ACGCGAACCACTATGGGAAGTGGTCGTACTTGGTCCGGTGGTCGGGCTATACCGAAGAAGACGACGTCTGGGAGCCCGCCGACCACATTGTGCCAGACGTCATCCGGACGTACTGGCGAAAGTAAAGGCACTAGGTGGGGAGGTGCCGGAGGGTGTGCTCTCTTCTGGAGGTGAGAAGGTGTAACGCCTTAAGCTCACAAAAGTGTGCACGTGACCAGGGCCTGAACCTGGACACCACACCGAGAGCTCCAGCGTTGTGCTAGGCCACGCAGCACTACGCTACGAAAGCCTGCGGTCTCTGACCGCACCCACGCAACGCGCGTTAATTAATAACGCGCACCGCGACGCGTTTGTTTACACTTACGCGTCGTCCTAGAATTGTATAAATAGGTAGATAATTATTGAATAAAACTAATCTTAACTATACCTACGGGACAAGGCCTACAAATTTCCAATCGAAATTGTCTATACTCCTGGCACCGAAAACCCTGTCGCCGATGCCCTCTCTAGGATAGAAATAAAATTCCTATGCCCAATTACCGAGGAGGACGAGAAAGCAGTATTGCGAGCGTCCTATGCAGAGAACGAGGATTGGAAGACGCGATTGGAGGATCTACAAGCAAAGGAGGACGATTGGGTGCCCGGAGACAAAGATCGATTCACTATGGAGGACGGTCTACTCTACTACAGGAACAATTCGGACTTGCCTTGGCGATTGTGTATTAGTGACGAGTCTACGAAGCTAAAACTAATCCATGATCATCATAGCAGCCCAATTGCAGGCCACCCGGGCGTCGAGAGGACATATGCGAAACTTGCACGGGCATTCTACTGGCCCAAGATGCTTCGAGACGTCCAGCGGTACACGCGAGAGTGCTTGGAGTGCCAGCTCTCGAAGCCAGCAACAGGATTGACGCAAGGGCTACTCCAGCCAATGTCAATTCCGACGAGGCCGTGGCAGGAAATCGCAATGGATTTCATCACGGGCCTCCCAGCAGCAGTTCCAAGCGGTAACGACACAATCCTGGTCGTTACAGATCGCCTCACCAAGATGACAACACTCCTGCCGTGCAAAGAGACCATCACGGCAGAGCAGACAGCAGACCTGTTCGTTAAAGGAGTATTCCGACTCCATGGCTTGCCAGACACGATCACTTCGGACAGGGACCCGCGATTCGTGTCCAATTTCTGGCAAGCATTGCACAAATCGATGGGCACACGCCTCAAAATGTCAACGGCAGCGCACCCTCAGACGGACGGACAGTCTGAACGGACGATCAGAACTGTCCAGCAGATGTTGAAGCCCTTCACGCTTCAAAACAAGAGCAGCTGGGAGTCCCTCCTTGCTCTAATTGAATTTGCTTACAACGACTCAGTCCATTCTTCAATTGGCGTTACTCCATTTCAAGCCAACTATGGCTTTAGTCCCACAGGCATTGCACGCCAAGCGATTAGTAACATTCCGGCATCAGGAGAATATCTCCAGTGCCTTAATGATACTATTCACCAGGCGCGCGATGCAATGCAAAGGGCCCAGGAACAACAGGAGAAACAGGCCAACAAGAAGAGGACCGAGCCAGAAGAAACAATGGAGCCGGGACGTTATGCCTACGTCCGGCGAAAAAACAACGAAAAGAGAAAGCTGGGGCGTCTATATGACGGCCCCTTCAAAATATTGAAGATTGGAGGCAATGCAGTTGAATTGCAATTGCCTCCCGATTCCAAGGCGCACCGAGTGTTTAACATCGGCCGCCTGAAGCTCCACCACGGGCCACCTCCAGCGTATGCAATCCGGGACGCTGATGAGGTGGCCGAGCAAACCTATGAAGTCGAGGAATTGTTAGCACACGCGATCCATGGTTCAAGGAGGTCTTACCTGGTTCGGTGGGTTGGCTACACCGAAGACGATGATGTTTGGGAGCCCGAGGAGCACATCGACTCGGGCACAGTGGAGCGGTATTGGCGACGTGTGCGGGCGCGACAAATTGACGTGCCCTCGTGGGCGCCCCCGCCAGGCTCCCTCCACCATGGAGACTGATCCCACTGACGCTGTGGGGGTGACCTCAGTTAGAGGTGAGAGAGTGTAAGGCCGCATAGCGTAGTTTGCTCTGAACTCGCTATGTGCCCTTGCGAAGGCTAGCGCGTTGCGCTAACCCAGACAGGCCTCTAGCCAACTCTAAGGAGTCGCGCTAGAGAGCCTTGCGCGCGCCAGCGCGCTACCCTAATTCCATAGGGTTATGCAGCCAGCTCTACTGAGCTGCGCTACAAGTCTAGGGAGTGCTACCGCACCTCCCTAAGGGAGTAGGCCACACAGCCAACTCCAAGGAGCTACGCTACAAGGCCTAGGGAGTGCTACCGCACTCCCCTAAGTGTGCACTGCACACTAGAACTCCACGCAGCGCTTACGGTGCTGCACTACGAAGCCGTAAGGCTTCAACAACGATTGCACATTAGTTCTCGCTAATGTGCAATATTATAAATAGCTAGAAATTAACAATAATATTCATACTTAATCTTACTACAGAGCCTGGGCTTACAGTTTACGTTTACGTGTTGCGCGTTTTCATTAACGCGCAGCTTAACGTGGAGGCCGTAGGCCTCCGTAAGCGCTGTCCGTTGGCAGCGTTCTTGGTGTTGCTCCCTCTGGGGAGTAAGGGTGACGCACATTCGCTTAGTAATAAGCTTAATGTGTTACAGTGTCCACGATGTTTGTAAGGAGCACTGTCCTCGTGTTCAACGTCGAACGGGGGGATCGTCCCTTCGACGTCTTCCATAGGTTCTGGCATCTCGACGCACAGAAAAAAAAACTTTAGGTAGGAGATTTAACACAAAAAATAAAATTTCCGATTAACGAAAATTTCTAAAACACAGTTGACTACCGGTCAACACTTCCGCCAAAGGTTTGGCAACACTGGGAGAGATTCCGCTTCTCTTCTGAGCTGTTGATACTTGGTCTTTTTGAGCCTCGCAACCAAGTGTAAGCCCAGGCTCAGGATTAAGATAAAGTATCAATATTATTACTGTTTTCTAGCTATTTATAATATTGCACATTAGCGAGAACTAATGTGCAATCGTTGTTCAAGCCTTACGGCTTCGTAGTGCAGCTCCTTGGAGTTGGCTGTGTGGCCTACTCCCTTAGGGAAGTGCGGTAGCACTCCCTAGACTCTGTAGCGCAGCTCGGTAGAGCTGGCTGCACAACCCTACAGAATTAGGGTAGCGCGCTGGCGCGCGCAAGGCTCTCTAGCGCGACTCCTTAGAGTTAGCTAGAGGCCTGTCTGGGTTAGCGCAACGCGCTAGCCTTCGCAAGGGCACATAGCGAGTTTAGAGCAAAGTACGGTCTGCTTTTGGCACTGAATACGGGTCGGACTCACATTCTTCTAGTGCTTAGTATAGTAACGGAATATAAGGCCATAGGCAACTCTAGAAAGTTGCACCACAAACCCTAGAGGGAACGCTAGCGCATCACTTTATAACCATACACTTTATCTAAGAGTGTCATATTACATTTCGAAGCAGCAAGACTTCAATAAAGATTGCACATTAGTCCTCAATAACGTGCATCATTATAAATATTAAAAATCATTAATAATATTCATGCTTTCTCTTATTACAGAGTCCGGCCGAATACTGCCACAGCATTCGTCTTCTGTGTTATACGAATATAATGATACGGGTCGGACGTGCGAAGCGGAGTGATGATATTGGGTAGAAGAATTGTTGGTGTTAATCAAAAGTATGTACCAGCAATTGTTTTTGACTGGTGCTATCAATGAATTTTTCTTTGACTTCGTATATTTTTCTTTACTAATTTGTCTCGAATGAATTAGGTGTCTCTATCTTTAAAGAATGCGTAACAGGATAATGCTTTAACACCCCGCATATGGTGACTTTGCCTAATTTTTGTACCTATACGAAGGTCTCAATTTACGATTTTCTGACATGGTGAATTAATGCTCAAATTTTCATTACAAACGATGAGAGCTTTCTCTTATCTTTCATTAAAGAATTTGATTACGAAGCCTTCTCCAACCGTCTTGAACTTTGTTATTTTTCGCGAAAGGGTGATATCCAACTTGGAATTAATGCAAACACTATTAAGAATGTATCATCCATTGTGCATACGGTGATGCTTCATGATGGATGTTTTACCGAAGTTTCTTCAAAGGATATTATTTTTCGTGCAAGTTACATCAACCAGAAAGTCAATATATGGACTTACGATTTTGTAAATCAAAGCTGTTAAAACGTTTGAGAAGTGCTGTGGTTAGGTCCGAAAAAATAGTATCTTTGGTTTCAACGAGCTTTTCAAAATACTGTCAAGAAATCCAATCGACATCCTGCCGTGCTACAATACCTGTGACAGATATTATGGCACACTTATATAAAGTTCAAAATGGTTACACCATAGAACAGTACTTGACACTTTTTAAACTTGCTAGCAAAAGAAACGGTATATTCTATGTATCTGATTTTTCTTGTTTTGAAGACTGTTATATTTCTGTGGTGAAAGAAAGTTATTTTCAAAATCGTGAAAGCGTCTGTTATCATTTACGTGACAAAACACCCGCGTTGTACAGTTTTCTACAAAAAGTAAAGCAACTTGTGAATCAGTTTAGAGCCAAAAGGTTGCCCGTTTCTTCTTTCAACATACATTCCTTTCCGCATCCGTTTATATCGTGGTCAAAAAACGATCTAACATTTATTAACTTCATTAAAGAATACGTCTCATTTGGCTTTCGGTTGTATAAAGGTCATACCGACCCTAAAATTGCAGAGCTTTTAAAGCGCAGCGAATGTTACAACAACCAAGAGAATATCTCATATTCAACTTGTTCTCACTTCCTAACTGAAATTGGGGTTTGGTCACCTTGGGAAATTCCTAGATTGCACTCGTCCGATCTTCCTTTAATTAAAAGTGCACAGCACTCTTCCAGTACTGACTGCGATCGCTCATGGTGCGGCAGAGATATACTAAGTAATATGCGCTTTGATTTTCACGGCTCCCCGCGTATGCAATTGATAATTCCGTCACTACTGAAGTTGATGATGCCATCTCTATTGAAGAAACTGCCGATAATTCTCATTGGATACACATACATATTTCAAATCCCACAAGCTCTTTCGACTTGAAGAGCGATATCGCCAAAACAGCCGAAATACTGGGACAGTCTTTGTATCTTCCCACAGCAACTCGGTACATGCTTCCGATTAAGTACACGAAGAAATTTTGGAGTCTTGATGCGAATTCAACAAAACAAAGAGCGCTAACGTTTAGCGGAAAACTTGGACACAATGGTGAGCTTCTTGATTATAAGATTAGGCCAAGTATAATTAGAAGACTCCTTCGATTAACACCACAAGAGGTTGATAGAGCTTTAGGAGATCAGCATCCAACTCGTAGTTGGACTCTTCTCAAGCGAGTTGAAAAAGTGGATGAATCTGTGTCATCTAAGCTCGACCCAATAACTACGAGCAATTTAAAAAAAATACTCCAATGTGCCTCACAATTTAATATGCGTAGACAAAACAATGGTGCCTTTTCTTTACTCCAACCAAGTTTTGATGTGAACGTTCAGCTTCGCTATTTTACTGCACAAAACCAAAATCTAAATCCTGTTTTATGGTCAGCCTTTCCGGATATTGAATTGCTGGTCAATGATACAAGTATAACGAAAACAAATCTTCTTGTCTCTGAATGCATGATTCTTGCTGGTGTGATAGCTGCACGTTTCTGCAAAGATCACGATGTTCCTGGTGTTTTTAGGTGCCAACAATTAGCATTTCCGTCGACTACAATTCGAGATTTATTTCGAAGAGGATTGGAACATAGGAAACTTCATGGGACAATCTCACTAGAAACAGCATCGTCATTTGTTCCATATTTAACAAGTGCATACTTAAGCGATGAGCCCAAGACTCACCAGTCTTTGGGTTTGACAAAGGGATATATGCAAGTTACGTCTCCTTTAAGAAGGTACGGAGATTTGTTTATGCATTATCAAATCCAATGTGTGCTTGCTGGCAGGGATCAAGATGTCGTTGACAAACATTTCTTGAAAAATATGCTACCATTATGGGCTAAAAAGGAGAAAAGCCAAAAAAACTTTGGGAAATACTGCTATCGATTTTGGGCTTTACTCCTTATCTCAATGCTACCCAAAGAACTCCTACCCGAGTGTCATGGTGTGGTGCAATTGAATAGTGCACTGTCACCTGTAATAATTCTAGATGAATTTGGGGTAAGTGCTCGTTTAGACACAAACATCGATGCAAACTACAAACAAAAGCTGGGCAAACGTTGTGCCGTAACGATACAAGAGATAAATCCTGTAATGAATCAGCTAATTGTTAGGCTGGCAGAATAAATTGTCACATTCACAAAATTGTACAAATGTCACAAGAGCGTAAATTCACCGAAACATCATTAATATGTAGTACAACGTTCATATTTGATGAACCCTTTTATGCTTCCCTGCCTTTGGCTTGACTTCAGTGTTTAAAAAAATAAATGTAGCATTGCATTGAGTCACCCCAGTGGTTTATACAACACTTTGCCATCATCACCAGCGCTCTTGTTAGTTGGGCTTCAAAATTTTATAATCTACAGATGTTCTTAAATGAGGCATGAATGCAAGGCCGGGGCTTGACGGAACCAACGACTGGTGAAGTTGCTGAAAATGGAGAAACTAAACCTGTTTCCGTAAAAAAATTGGAACAGTTCCAGTATAAGTCAAGAAAGCGAAGTACTTTTCGCCAAAAAAAAATAAGCAGCTTTCTCGAATCAAATAAAAATGTTGTAAGCACGAGGTTGAACAAAATGTGCTAATATTTGAAGTTATGTAACGATACTGTTGAAATTAAATTTTCTTACGACACTCCTAAACCATCAATAAGCAAAAGTTTGACAGCTCGTGTTACTAAAAGTTTCAAGAAAACGAAGTCTACGGATCATCCGAATATACAGCAAACATTGCATCGCTGGGGACATGTAACTCACCACGGTAAGCGACAAGTGTCATTACAAATACAGAACGGGTTTTCATCAAGTTTTCGGAACAAAAGTCTTTTGCTCAATCCTTCGCAAGCGATCTTCACGGCGACTTCGCAAAATATAGTATGCTCCAAAGCTGTTACAGATAATGAGTACGAAAATCAACGGGATGACTTTCTTTCAGCGATGCGTCAAGAAAGTAATATGTGGTCTTGCGGTTTTCGGGATGCATACGGACGTCTTTATAATGGTAGTGGCTACGTGTCATTTAATTACCAAGGCGTAAAAACCCCGTTCATACAACATCGTTGTGTATCAGACGAACACAATCTAACATTCTTGGACCTTGGATACGTTACGGCCAGCGAAAGTGAGGACCAATGTTTGTTGTCAGACTCTTCTAGTGTGTAACGTTCCTTCCATATTCGGAAAGCTTGCCTAGTAAATTAATGCTTTTAAATTATATTGTTAATGCGTATCTAGATACCATGATCGGCATTGTTCGCTAATTATCTTGGAAAACTAGTAAATTTTCTTCTTTAGCATTATGTGCTGAACATGTTTTATCAAATCTATATCTGTTGCAAATTAGTAAATATTGACAATACTATTAAATCTTGTGAAATAAAGGGAAGCGGTTTATCATCATGGAAAGCAGCGTGACGAGAAATATCTACCATTTTAAAATAGTGAAAATGAATGATCATTACAGACGATTCTCGTTTGATGATGCACCGGACTTTCACCAATTTTAATACGGTTGGTGTTCGATAATGCTGAACAACATAACTCAAGCACGAACCGAAGAACACTTACCACATACATCCACAACTCGTTTAAACAAATAATTTCATCCAAAAAACTCATGGAAAATGTCTGCCGATGAATATGTGTAGGATTGCATTGCGTCTACTGAAGCTTCAAGTTACATATTCCTTACAAGTTATAAAAAAAAGATGAAACATGACATCAATCTCTAGTTCATTATCTCGTCTTTTCTTCCTAAATTCCAAACACTTACAGTTTCTGCTCCTTTTCTGTTTTCTTTCTTGCAGTTGGTGTGCTCCAGATGTCGTTCTATTTGAGAAGTGTGGATCTTATGTCCCGAAAGAAAATATTGCCCACTTTGAAACGAAGGCAGTACTCTCGTATTATAGTAATGACGACCGGGCATTCTATGTGCAAGTAAATGGACAGATAAATTCATCAATTGCTCCCGTCGCTGGTAACGGAACTCATCAACATGCTGCTACAACCTATGTAGAGACTAATGTGCTCTCTTCTTGCGTTTATACAAATACAAATAAGTTGTGCCATTCTGTTGTTGATCCACACACCTTCAATGTATCAACGGTTTGCCCTTGGGCTATTGGACCCGTTGCCTTTCCTTGTTAAAATCCCTGTTTACTCACCCAAAAATGAACTTGCGACGTTGCGGAATCGTGTTATACTGGTTGATGGTGAACCTGAAAAAAATGTTCTTGCTTGCATTAAGTTCAATCTCACTGTTCCAATACAATACTTTTTCACGACTATAAATTGTCTCTATGTTTGCCTTCTTTTGTTTGTCGGTGCATCTGTTATATTCGCACTGTTTTTCAATCCATGGACAGGAAACCTTGATCCATTTAAGGCAATATGCAACTTCAGCATGGATCCTGATGCTTTAAGAATGACTGCTTTAGGGTTTACAGACTTCGTCTTGTATTTGCAATTTATGGTTTCCACTGCAATGCTCACGGTTGCATTTCCAAAGTTTTACATTAATACTATGTCTTTAATTTCGTGGTCAACACTCTTATTTCGTGTGTTTTCTTTTGGCGAACTACAGCAATACACATTTGTTGATTATGTTGACTTTTTTGGAAAAAATGGTTACTCACTAAGCCCTATTAGAACAAAATTCTACGGATTGTATTCTTTTTTGGACTCTGTTGGCGTCAATATTGACTGCTGGGTTCCATTTATGGTTATATGGATCATCTTCTTACTAGCTTGTTGTTGTTTGGCTATTTTGATCGTAGGCGTGCGATGGATGTCTAGCCGAATTTTCAAATATACACAAATAAAAATGCATTACAGCATTTGGAAATTTACATTCGGAGTTATTCTCCGGTTTTTTATCATTACATATAATCCGTTAGTTACATATTTGTCTGCGCAATATGTTGCTCCTCCTCATCGCAGCGGAATTGTTCCTATAACGCTGTTTGCTGTCTTAACCATATTCTTTCCAGCTATCGTTTTGTTGTCTATGTTACATGTTAGTCCACGATCAGACTTGTATGATAATCCCGCATATTTACATATGTTTGGTCCTTTATATAACACTTATAGGGAGGAGGCTATCTTTTTCTGGGTTTATCATTGCTTTATTCAGTTCTTAAAAGGTCTCGTCACTGGAACTGCAATAGCGTCTGGAACAATGCAGCTGATATTATCCGTTCTTATTGAGTGTACAAATTTATTTGCGTACGTGTATTGGCGGCCGCACTATCCACAAACAAACATGAACGCACTCAATGTGTTTCTTTCCTTGGTAAGGCTTATTGTGCTCTTTCTAATTATTCCACTCAGTTTACGGTTAAAAACTCCGGAATCTATCCGGGAAATGTTGACATATGCGATACTCTTTATTCATGCTATTGTTTGCTTCATATTTATGATTTTCTCTACTCAGCGAATAGTAGAGGTTATTGCACGAATGCTAGGAGCTCGTAGTGAAAGCAAAGGTATTGCACTTGATCGACCGTTTGGTTGGGCCCGCGTTTTTGGTATCAATGAGTTAAAACGACGAAGACGCCCCCCATCTAATCCGCGATTGAGCCTGGATACGTCTTCCTTAGTTCTCTCTCAAAAGTCTATGGCCACATCATCGCCTATAAATACTGTAACAACCGGATTTGCTAGCTCGTATGTCTCGACGCCCGCTTCCGATGATTACACTGGAAAAACGAACTCGTGTATTGCGGGTTCTTCTACTGCTCTTCTCCTCCCGAATAGTGCCGATACTCCTTCTTCTCGTGGCGACAATTCACCAGTATACTCTTACTACCGCCCTCCCAAGCAAGCCTTTCTAAATAAGCGTCGTATGAATTCTGATCGAGACCGATCGTTGAAGATGGACATTCTGACCTTCGAGCAAACCAGTATCTTTCAAAACGGGGTGGACTATGCCGTTCGCGAAGCTGATGTTTATCACCCGTATCTTGATGCAAACACTGCAAAAGCGTATCACGAGGCTGCTCGTGCTTTACCTCTAAATACCGCGTCCTCAAATGCTACTAGTTACAAAAAGGGTCTTTGGAAAACTATCTACGACTTTGGCCAGAGTCTACTCAAATTGCCGAGACTGAAGAAAAGGCAGGAGGAAATTCCAGCAGAGAAAGGCTTCCAAGTAATTCGGCCATGCCCGCAGAGGAATCCTCAGTTATCATCAACCATGACTAAAGAACCACAAAAGCCTGTCCCCGATCTCCAATTTCCTCCTGAAATAAAGAAACGTGAAAAGAAATAACAAGTATGTACAACTCTATTGATAACCCATTCTCCATACCTACTTGCAAATCTCTCTCTTAAAACCTACGGCCCATTTTAAGCTTGTACAAACTTCATGTACTAAACTACACCAATCAAATTCTGAAAGCAATAATATATATAGTCGTACGCCACATGTTTACTTATATATATGTTTGCATGCCTCCCAAGACGAAAAATTGGTTCGCGAAGGAGGCTGCATTAATATTAGTAATTCTAGAATTTTCGTATGTGCAGGTTAACGAAATTTAATCACTATCACAAGTTTAGTGTAGCGACACGCAGCTAAGCGCTACCATCCTCCCCGCCTAAGGCTGTCTTTCTTTTCGTAAAGCGTTGTTAGTACTGTCGCTAGGTATCGTGTAAACAATGACGTCACGAGCCAGCGTGTATTTAAAAGAGGCACACTATCACTCCTGACCAGCGCAAACCACCACTCTTCTGCAATAGAAAGTTCCCTAAATTTATTCACAATCAAAATGTTGCCCACTGGAGCCCGTCCCATCGGTCGTCAACATAGCAAGTCTCAGTCTGCTTTTGCTTTTGACAATACTGCCACCAGTATTGCAGCTAGTACCATGAGAAATGAGCTGAACCACCTCGCCAACACTGTCAAAGACCCTAAGCAACGGAAAGCTTTTGAGAAGGAAATGGATAACTTCTTCAGTCTTTTCAGCCGTTACTTGCAGGAGAGCGCTAAGGGTAACGAGATCAACTGGGATAGTGTCAAGTCTCCCAACCCCGAGCAGGTTGTTGAATACAGCACCTTGAAGGGTACTGATCTCACTCGTGACTACCTCAACAAGCTTGCTGTGCTCAAGCTTAACGGTGGCCTGGGAACTTCTATGGGTTGTGTTGGTCCCAAGTCCATCATTGAGGTGCGTGAGGGAAACTCTTTCCTTGATCTCAGTGTCCGTCAAATTGAACATCTCAACCGTAAATTTAATGTTTCTGTTCCTTTCGTTTTGATGAACTCATTCAACACTGATGAGGCCACGGCTAAAGTGATTAAGAAGTACGAGGCTCACAAGATTGAAATTCTTACGTTCAATCAATCTCGCTTCCCTCGTGTCCACAAGGAAACGCTTTTGCCAGTTCCCCGTGAGGCCGATTCCCCCATTGACGAGTGGTATCCCCCCGGACATGGTGATTTGTTTGAGTCCCTCCACAACAGCGGCCTTATTGATCGTCTTTTGGCTCAAGGAAAGGAGTATCTTTTTGTCAGCAATATCGATAACCTTGGTGCTGTCGTAGACTTGAACATTTTGAACCACATGATTGATACCCATGCCGAGTACATCATGGAGCTCACCGACAAGACCAAGGCTGACGTCAAGGGCGGTACTTTGATCGACTACGAGGGCAAGGTTCGTCTCCTTGAGATCGCTCAGGTTCCCTCGCAACATGTTGAGGAATTCAAATCTATTAAGAAGTTCAAGTACTTCAACACCAACAACATTTGGCTTCATCTCCCTGCTGTCAAGCGTGTTGTTGAAAACCATGAGTTGTCCATGGAGATCATTCCCAACTTTAAAACTGTGAAATATCATGGTGAGAGTCACAACATTATCCAACTTGAGACTGCCATCGGTGCTGCAATTCGTCACTTTAAGAACGCACACGGTGTTAACGTTCCTCGACGCCGTTTCCTTCCCGTGAAGACGTGTTCAGACCTTATGCTTGTTAAATCCGATCTCTACTCAATTAACCATGGTCAATTGGAGATGGATCCCCACCGTTTCGGAGGTTCCGCACCTTTAATTAAGCTTGGTGCTGACTTCAAGAAGGTCGCTGACTTTGCTAAGCATATCCCCAGTATTCCCAAGATCTTGGAGCTTGATCATTTGACAATTACTGGTAATGTCAACATCGGCCGTAGTGTCACGTTGAAGGGTACAGTAATTATCGTCGCCAGCGACAACAACCGCATTGATATCCCCAACGGATCTGTCCTTGAAAACTGCGTCATCACCGGTAACCTTAACATTCTTGAGCATTAGAAAGTTGTGTTACTGGTGCACTAATGGTTTATTAACACGATCAATTATGAAGTCTTAAGATTAATGTGGAGCGACTGCTGACTTAATATTTTTAGACCTGGTACGCACATAACGAATAGCATTCTTTACAATATAAAAACCTTAATAGTAAGCTTGAAAATACGGAATTAAATTAAAGTTTGCTTCATGACACTTATTCTGTCAACTTCAGATCTTTAGCAACCATTGAGCTGCAAATTTTGTGGTAAAAATCGCGGTACTTAAGGAAGGTCTTCACAGCGAAATCATGATCAACGCTATTCAGTAAGCGGTAAATGGGTCTGGAAATTAAGTTAGTAAGAATTCGAAAGCATCGACAAGCATACCTAACAAACTTCATGCGGCCAACAGACCCAACCGCCTGTGCAATTGTATCGTAGAGACGCGTGTACTTGGCCTTTAGTGCCAGTTTGTAAAATCGAAAGAGTAACTCTGCGTTCTCTGATTTGCCATAAGCATATACGTCGCTCAAGGTTTCAATATACTGATTTGGGAGCGGCGAAGTTTCAAATAAAAGGTCGAGAAACAGGGACGACTGTCCGGCAGACCATCTCTTGACATCGTCTGCCGCAAACGGTACTGGGGCAGTATGCGCTTCAGCAGCCGTTCTCCATTTTTCAGCCAATGTATAACAGGGATTAGCCAATGTCGTGTCAAAATTAGGAGTCACAGGAGGCATTCCTGGTCCGTATAACCATGCCTGCCAGTCAATTTTATCAAGTTGACCGGTGAGACCCTGGGGCTTAAAGAATTCATATAGCGTTTCCTTGAATTGGAGTTCGTTTACGGAAGAATTTGAAAACTTCCGGAAGTAATAGGGAAGAAAAGGCTCAAATATATGGGCACCGCCTAGTACAGTTTCAATATGATACAGCAGACTCGATCCCTTTTCATAAGGGATGGTAGAAAATGCATCATCCGGATCAACACCGTCTAAGTTCTGTACCAACTTTGTGAATTCATGGTTAGGACCAAAAAGCTCAACAGCTTCTTTTAGCTCACCCCAACCTATAATAGCATCAAATTGACGATACTTTTCACCGTAAATACGACCGATAATTTTTCGCTCGAGAAAAACCGTCATACCTTCATTCAGCCAAAAGGTTTGCCATGATTCATTCGTAACAAGGTTTCCACTCCAGGAATGGGCAAGCTCATGTGCAATGACGTTTACATTAGATCGATCACCAGCGATTAATGTCGGTGTTGCAAACGTTGCATTCGGGTTTTCCATACCACCGTAGGGAAAAGAAGGAGGAAGAATAACAAAGTCATAGCGGGTCCAAGGGTATGCAAAGGTAATTGATTCAGCAGCCTGAATAAATCTTTCCATGTCCTGTTCAAATTCATATTTGCAGGCCATGAGATTTGATGGCTCTGTGTAGACGAATGAACGTGGACCCACAGGACAGCTGGCAAGGTCTCCACTGAGCAATGAAATAAGGTAAGATGGAATTTTGTTGCGTTGTTCAAATACGTAAACCAATGAGCCGTTGTTAAAATCTTGGGAGCCAGCGGGAATACCGGATGCTATTACTGGAAAAGGAGAACGAATCCTAAACGTACAAGGGAATTTTACCGAAGGCGTGTCTTGGCAAGGGACCATCGAGCGGGCGTGAATTGCCTGACATTGCGAGAAGACGTAAGGATGTTTTTTACCAATAGTTTGATTCGGACTCAAGAACTGCAACGCGGTACAATCCTTCGTAGTCGCATAAACAATTCGTAATTTAAATTGTTTGCCCTTTCTAAGTACTGCAGAAGGTACAATATGAAGAGCCGATCCGAGAAAACTTTTGCGTTCCTTCACACAGAATGCCGTTTCCTGCTCATCTACGTACACATTTGAAATGTCAAGAAAAGATGTATCAAGGACAATCTGCTCGAGGGCCTTTCCAACAACTCGAGGTTCCATAGACAGAGTGACTTGACCAGTAAGGCGTTTCTCTGAAAAAATAATGCTTGTCTCAAGCAACATGTGTTGCAGTTCTACCTCTAGGTAGTTTGACAAGGTTGATGGATCTTGTCTAACTTTCATTTCTAATGATTACAGAATAAGCGAAGGAATTGAATGATTTGCGTTTTGTATGTGTAGTTACTCGATACACCTCAAAACTAATGTCTTTGTATTACGTGAAATTGTCAATAAAGGAAGAAACACCGGATTAGCAGTAAATTGAAGGTTGTTAATTAAAGCCGTGGGTCGTGTGGTTTGTCGCAGCGTTATCAGGAGTTGGAATAGTCTCGGTACCGTAAGGCTGCGGGTCTTAGTCAAGCGATTCTTTAATACCACCGATGACGGTCAGGAGGGTCTTCGAGTGGGGAGGGGAATAAATACTAAGGCTAATAGACGAACCTTGTCTTTCATACACAAAGAACAATTATACATCCAATGAGACAAACTGGCGCACGAGCGAGGAGTAGACGGACGACTAAACGACGATACCGCTGCATCCGTAAATTAATCCTCTGTAAACGCTCACATAGCCCGACCATGCCATCCCTAAATCCAAAAATACACCTTACACCGGACACTTTGCACCTATCCTAACCAATGCCAACCCATACACACACACTCATACGCAAAGACAATTCTCCAAGAACGCCGTTCGATTTTGTATACAACGCTTTCGTACGGACCATCCAAAACCTGCTGCTTAAACGACAGTACCGGCGTTGGAGGCAATACGAGGCCAAAGATCGGCACACTCCTTGGCGACAGGACCAGTGATGGCGGAACCCTTCATCTCACCCTTGGGGTTGACGATGACACCGGCGTTGTCCTCAAAGTAGAGGTACACACCGTCCTTACGGCGCCAGGCCTTACGTTGACGAACGATAATGGCAGGCATGATCTTCTTACGCAAGTCGGGCTTACCCTTCTTGACAGTAGCAAGAACCATATCACCACAAGCAGCAGCTGGAAGACGGTTGAGACGAGCACCAGTGCCAAAAACGGAAACAATGTAAAGGTTCTTGGCGCCAGAGTTATCGGCACAGTTCATGATGGCTTGGACAGGAAGACCCAGGGTCATTCTGAACTTGGTTCCAGAAGCAGCAGCACGTCCACCAGACATTTTGATCGGTTCGCTGGGTGTTTGGAGTTTGGAGTTTGGCTGGAGTGTGGTGGTGCTTGCAAGGGTCAAAGTCCCACGCAGAAATTTTGTGACTGTTTTTTCTTGGTGGTCAAAAAGGAAATGCAAACGCGCTACGCGTAGTAAACAAAAGACATACATTATTAATTAAGATGCCTAAAAACTATAAGCTAGGTTTGCTGAATCAGATGTGTAAGCTAAATAGTCTATGCGCTCCGTTTTCATTAGACAAATACAATGAAATACAACGCCAAGAGAGAGAGTAAAAACTTAAAATTGGGGCGTTGAGAATTCACAGCGGAAGAAGAAGATTCGTTTGACTGAACAGATTCAACATTATCATTGTGTTCGGTAGATTGGGTGTCATCAACGCTGGCCTTGCCTTTTTCAACATTACCAGAAACGGGTCCTTCGTAAGAATGTTTACTTCTTCCCTTAATTGTGATACGTTCTGACTGAGCTAAGATACCCTTTGATGGGCCTTGGTCCCGTTCGAGATTAATCTGATAGCCAGTCTGGGGTTTATCATCTTTACGGTACAGTTGTACAGAAGTTTGGTTCTTGCAAGTTTCGATGCTGCCTAACAAGACACGAATATTTGGGTATTGATCGTTGTTAACCAAATAGATAGATATTTCCTTTGGATCCGTGTTCACATAGTCCCATTTAATTGTATGGCGCTCGCGGACATCCCAAACAGCGTTATTCGAAGGTTCAAGTATGCGAAGTGCTTGAGTTAACGGCAAAACAAAAAACAAAGAAAGAAAATTCATAACGAGCAAAATCAATTTTTGTAAAGTTCAATCTTTGTGTTTGGGAATGTCGAGGTGCATGTTGAGTTTGCTCCTCTTATGTACCTAAGAGTGTAAACAAACTTATAATGTAAACAAAAGAGCAGAGTAGTACAGTTGTATGATTCGTCATTGAGCGGAGCCGTGTGAAAATCCATAAATCGTTCTTATGATGTATATATTTGAGTATCAACAAAATGTTCTTGTGCTTGTTCTTTTACTTGCTTGACTTTTAAAGAATCGAATAGCGAAGCTTCACCTAGACCCATTCGCTTGGCAGTATACATTTGTGCGAGGATGCCAGTCGACGTGGAAACTGTTTTTTCAACCCATTCGGTTACCCATTCCTTTGGGAGAATAACATTTTCACCGAACACTTCAACATAGCGAGGGTCGTTGGCCCATTCAAGCCACTCCAAAGGAATAGTTTGTGAGGCGGTACAGAATTCCAGGTTGTGTGTAACATCAAACATGTACAAGACAAAGCAGAGTTGTTCCTTTTCGTCAATTTCCTTGTTCATTAGAACACAAGCCTGAAGAGAGAAAAGGATACGAGATGTGTGGACGACTTCCTTGACAGATGCTGAGCTGTCCTCGTTTCCTTTTTGAATCTGCTTTTGAACCTCACGAATAGCCTCAGCAAGATTTTCCTTAACAAGCTTTTTTGCTTCCATTAAGCCATGGCACAAGGCAAAATCTTCATATAGCCGACCCGTAAGCGGCCGCACTTTTCCTTCTTTGGCCAGAAGAACAGACAAATCACCACCTTCGACTTGATCCAAGACAGCGTTAAAACCATCATATATAATTCGATCCAACGATGTGAATCCGGCAATATCGTGAAATACAGTTACCTGTAGAACTTCATGTTCTTGAATAGAAGGCGCAACTGCACTTAATACACTTTGAAGTGTGTGACTAAGCGAGGGTAAAGCTTTTGATCGTAATTCATTGCCTATATTGAAATCGGGTTAGTTCTATTTCACGCACTTTCTGTAATTTACTAACCAATCTTGTTTATGTCAGCAAGATCCTTCCATTTATTCTCCCAATGTGCATGTTCATCCAATTTGATAGAGCGGACACTCCGTTCAGCAGATTTAACCGCCTCTGTGGCCGTTGACCATAAATCACCGAACCAATTGCTAGACTTTTTTGTCGTTCGAGTAGGTTCTGTGGGTTGTTCTTCTTCCTTATGTTTATCAGAAGCATTAGTCGTTGGCTCTGGTTTTTTCTTGGCAACAGCTTTCTCGTCACCCGTTACTTCGACAGGTTTATTGAAAGTTGTAGCAGCAGTCTTCTCATCCGATTCTGTTTCAATATGTTCCGAGTGAGCTGGGTCTTTTTCATTTTCCAGTTCGTCTAGAAAATTTAGAATGTCCTCTTCATTCTCGGCAACATTTTCTCTTGATTCATTGCCCTCATCTGCCTTTGGTTGGTCGATACCTAACTGGTCAAGAGAATCCAGCATATTAAGCATTTCATCGTTTTGGTTCGGTTCTTCCATGATGGCAAGTAATTGAGCGTAAGTAATGGATTTTTGGGCTCACAATTCGTAAGGATCAAAAAGGAAGAGGTAGTTAGACGACGAATTGGAATGGACCTGAAGACGTCGATAGCCACCGTTTGTGGTAAGTAGTGAGTGCTCTGTCGGTACGAAACAAGAAAACCTATTACATACAACAATAGTTACAAAAGACAACAGAGAAACCTAAAGCTCGCTTAGGGAAAAAAAAACAAAAGAACGGTATTTTTATAAATTTTCGCCTCTCAAATCTTGTTATACAAAGACTGAGTTGCGCTGTTCTATATCCTACATATACATTAAATCCAAAAAAAACTCACTTGTGATGCTGCTACTGGTGTTCTAGATAAAAAGGTATGTATATAGTATTTCGATACTTAGTCAAATAGGGTCATTGATAATCATAAACGCGAACCTTGCATTATAGGAATCTTGACATGAAACAAACAAGGGTTGTTAGGTATAGCCATCATCATCATCATCATCATCATCAACGTCATCATAACAATACTTTTGCCCATAAAGACTGCCAAACAGGCTGTTGAAAAGTTAGGCCGATAAACCAAGAATGAGAACAAAACAGGATAAGAAAAAGCAAAACTTATAACGAAAAACAATGGCGGGAAAAAAGTGGGATGGAAATGGCAGAGAGAAGCGGCAGATACACCGCTCACTAGAGGTTTTGGGAACTTAACTTGGGAAGCGGAATGAGAACGAACGTAGAAACAAAGAGCACTCAATCAATGAACAGCATTTCGGTGACGGCGAGTAAAAAGGGTTGAGTTGTTAATGTTGAGATCGAATGCCCGGTGACTCGTCTCACGACGTTTGCGCTGGCATGCGATAGGCGAGACTGTAGCTTTTGTCGATATACGATGACCTCCATCGCCATCTGACAACACACTTTCCTCAATTACAGTAGAGTTGGACGAATTAAATTCTTCGTCACCCTCGTCTAAATCGTCCAGATCATTGAAGAAGTTCGCGTAGTTTTGTTTTATAACTTTTCTCCGATTTTTCTCAATTTCCATCCGGTGAGCGGCATAGGAAATGTTGAATACTTCGCGGAGTGAAGTCACTCCAGGCGTCCGCACCGTGGCTGCTTGAACATCCGTAGGTGTCATCAAGTCAAACTCAAACGCTGACTCTGGCTTACCAGTTGGAGGTGCATCACTTGCGGGGAATGTCGGTTCTTCAGTACCAACGATCCAAGGATGCGCCAAAAATTGATGAATATCATAACGCGATTTTGGGTCAACAGTCAGCAAGTGGCTGATGAGGTCCTGAGCGCCTTTTGAAATGTCGTCCCACCATGGAGACAAGAAAGTATACTGTCCTTGAGACACCTTTTTTGTGAGAGCTGGAATACTTTCATCATAAAAGGGAGGAAAGCCACACAGGATAGTGTACAACACACAACCCAGAGCCCACATATCCACGCTTTTTGAGTACGTTTGGTCCTGAACAATTTCAGGAGCAGTATAGCCCATAGTACCACACGGTGTTTTTGTGTGCGAATCCCAGACAACTTTGCTCAGACCAAAATCAGCAAGACGGATGCGTCCAATAGTGCCAGCACCAACCCCGGGAATAAATTCGCCTTCATCCTCCTTGCTCTCGTCGTCACCTTTCCGGAATCTGCGAACTCGAGACTTCACAAAATCAATTCGATCAAACAACAGGTTTTCGGGTTTGATGTCCCGGTGTACCACACCGCATTCTTCATGCAAATACCGAATAGCCTCGGCAACTTGCTTGATAACATGTCGCGAAAGGTCCTCAGAGAAGTAGGTTAGACGTACAATTTGATGGAACAGTTCTCCGCCGTCAGCAAGCTCCAAAATTAGGAAAAAGTGCTGCTCTGTCTGAATAAAATCGAGCAGCTGAATAATGTTGGGATGCTTCAAACGACGCATTATTTGAACCTCCTTCAAAATGCTAGCAGGGTCGACTCCGCTAGGCTTCCATGTTCCATCTTCCGACTTCAGCATCTTGTGGATAACTTTTATGGCGACCTTTTCGCCGGTTTTTATGTTCACAGCTTTGTACACGATACTAAACGCACCATCGCCCATTTGTTCGAGCAAGTGGAAGTTCTCGAGACCAGGAAGCTCTGGAAAATGCCGCCCACTGCTTTCCTCGAGTACAATCTTTTCTACCATGTCCTCGATTGCCTTGTCGTATGCTACACGATTATGCTCTTTCGGAACCTCCGATGCAGCATGGTCGGTAACCTCGTCCACGTCTGCGGATGTTACAGATTCTGAGACCGCATGTTCTCCCGTCTCATCGTAAAACTTCACCGTCTTTGGGTCTTTCATTTCTTTCGTAATGTTGAGGTCAGTAATTCGCTCTCCGTTTTTCTAAACGCAAACTTCGGTTAGAGCCTATTTGTAGTGAGGGACAACCTCGTGTATGCAAATTGATCAAATTTGGCGACACAAATTACGTACATCCAAAATTAACATGTAACAATTCTGTTTCTTATAATTGTGATTCCAGGTAGCGTTTACTAAGTTTTTCCGGGCAACTTTTGCTGTGCAGAAACCCGAAATGGTATAGGGAGAGCGTAGGAGTAGCGAGGGAGGTGCGAATTTGCGAGAGTTATGTGAGCGACATAATGTGCACGACGTAGTGGAACCATCAGCGGCGGTGAGAAACTGCGATCGTGGTTTCGCTTATCTGCATCATGATGACGAATTAGCGCAAACACTGAGAACAAATATACACGATGACGCAGACACGTGGTCATACAGCAACGTTTCTGCGCGGGTACCGCGAATGAAACAGTGGAATAAAGAAAATAAGAGAAAAAAAAATCTTAAAAGAAATAAACGGTTTTGAAAAATTTAAGCATCTTATTGAAATTTCAAGGGGCTTTATTCCTATTTTTTTTTCTCATTTTTTTTCGTTTTTAATCGGTTTTTTATTATTTTATTTTAATATTTACTATTTTTTCCCTTGGTTACCTTGTAAACCATCTAATCTATTATGACGTTGAATCAAAACAAACTTCTATAATGGTGCCGATCAATTATGACGTTATGCGTGTTTCCCCGCAATTGGATTCAATACACGCGGTATATGCTTGCACAACTGTGGCAATAACAATTCGTTCCTTCAGAAGCGCATCCGAACATTATTGCAACCTGAAAATAATCATTTGGGCGCTAATTCCCACAATGCGCAACCACGGACTCAGCTAAGATGCACGCGTCCCATTAAGAAACGAAACGCGCCATTCCTGCTTCGGGAGTGGATGAAAGTTTCACCCGTGCCGCATTCCATGTGAAGTCATCTACCCTATCCCGCATTTTCACCACTCTCTCCACGTCACGACTGATAGCAGAAAGGGGGGCAGCGTGATAAGCGTTTAAGAATCCACGTGGACGGTAACGCGGGTTTGAATGCGGGGGTTCGTTGTGGCCGATGAAAGCCCGATCTCCAAGATGCTTAAATATTGCCGGCCGGGTTAGAAACAAAAAAACACCGTAGCAAGGCCATCTTTTGATACGAATTGCGCGCTCGTTGGCGGTGACTTTCGCACTGATTTAATCAAAGCATTGTCGAAAATTGGTCCAACAAAGCAGAGTCCACATTTTGCAGACACGAGGCACGAAATGCTTCCAGGCCTCCGTAATGTTGTGCGCAACCCGTAAAGGCCTGGGAAATAAAGGACTTTAAGGAGACTGTGTGAACAGCGTCTTGAGATATCATCTTTTATCCACGTTAGTAATTAGACGTAAACAATCACAAAATGTTCTTTCGTATCCCACGCACCAATTCCTTTCTCTTCGCTTCCGCGGTCTGGGGATCGAGGTAGAATCCAAATTCGGACATGTCTTCGTTCTTATAGTAAATTTGGGCGCTGTCGTCGTGTTAGTGTATAGGCTTCGTCGCAATCAGCTTTACGTACTCTCCATTTGCGTCTTCTTCAACTTCACTAAGACCACTGAACCAAAGGTGCATGAGTGGATTCATGTTCTGCAACACGCCAGTATGATTGGAAGGAAGGAGACTGGTGAGACCCAATATGCACAGCTTCCGATTGCCTGGTGATGAAATATGGTCATACTAGAAATAATTAGCCGGCAGTTTACACTGAACAACACAACAAAACATACGAGTTGAATCCAATTCTCTACAAGCTTAGTCATTGCAGATCCGTCTGCGGAAGCTTGATCACAAACTAAAATTATTAAATCGGGTGAACGGAAAGCAAGACGAGACAAGAACAAACAACAGCTCGAAAGCTTTACAGGATGTTCCTTTTCATGAACGTTAGTATGTGCAAAACACAAAATATTAGTTACCTTGTTCTCCAGAACTTTGGTTATTTCCATGCTTAGCAATCCAGATGCCACAAGAGGCTCTGAAATATTCTCCATCGGGCAGTTCATTAACAACATAGAAAGCGAGTAGCTCAAGAATTCAAAAGTCTCGTTTTTCACGTCATCCATTAAGAGTCGAAATTGTGTCAGAGTGTATGTTGCAACATCGCCCGAAAGAAGCGTTGGTTCTAAAAGCATGTAACTGTTGAAGACAGTTAAAACAAACGGTAATGTAGATGTTCCAAGAGACAGATACCGAATAATGTTAGGGAACAAGTGTGAAAAATGCTCCGAGAGAGTTGTTGTGTTCTGAAGACATGCAGCCCATAACTCCAAACCGTCAGTTTCCAACATAACATGATCATCACTATCCAAATTCGTTGAGCATTCCACGATTCTCGACAACACAAAGTGAAATGGTTCAGCACCGGTTTTTATAGCCTAAAAAAGTTAGCTTTAAACTGAAAGAATCAAATTGATGCACGCATACATTCACAAAAACACTCATGACAGACACTGTACCCGCTCGCAGAATGCCTTCTTCCTCCCAATCCGTCCAAAGCTGCAATAACAAATTAACAATGGTTTCAGCGTAAGGCGTAACAGACTTTCCTAACCGATTCAGTAACGCGGTTAAGGAGTCCAACACAAGTTGTCTGGATTCTGCTACGTCAAACGAAGGCGCTAGATTAATCATACTCTGAGTAACCTCATCCCTGACTGCTGCAAAGCACGAATCTTTGAAGTTATAATCATCTAGAATGTCTTTGTAAGCACGAAGTGCCGTTAGTTTAACAACGCAGTCGTTACATGGACTATCTGTTAAAAACTTTGGCAAAAGAGAATAGATCAGCCGAATGGTGTCTTCATTCGACACAAATGGGGCAAATTGAGAGATCAAAATCGAAACTCTTCTTCTGAACACGAGGGATATGTTGACATCTTGGACGTCACTTAAGCCGTTATAGATGGAAAGAAACCAAGGTTCGAATTGGAAAATGTCTTGAATAGATTCTGCTGAAGCACCAATGATGGAAAGAATAGCATCCTGCTCAATCACGTTTTCAAATGAACTTGGTAACTGAGAAACCGCACTAAGGCTTACTTGCAGTTGAGGGATCAAAAGGTTTTTAAACAAAGTAAATAAGCACTGAACCAAATGCTCTGCCGATGGTCTAATATTATATCCGACATCTTCAGAAAGCTGTTCCGTGACCCAATGCTCCGGATCGTCTTTCCATTCTTCAAAATCATTTTTGCGGAGTACAACAAAAGCGGTTACCAAAACAATAAATAACTGACTGACATATTCCTGGTTAAATAACTCCACGTACATTGATTGTGTGGATTCCGAGGTTAATGTCGTACCGTCCGTTAGTTCCGTTAGTACGTGTGAAAGTGAACGTATGCAGAGCACTGAAAGTTTGCTGAATAATTCGACAAAATCGAAGAGCGACTCGTCTGCAGTTTTGAATAATAAGCCAGTATGATTAATTACCTCTGTGAAAGCCATTAAGTAATCTTTTGTATAATTGAGAGAAGATAGCATAGGAGGATATTCGGCAAGATCAATGAAAATCTTGTTAATAACCAATGCATGCTTCCAGACAATCTGATGAAAGTTATCGTCTAAAGAAGCCTGTTTCTGCCCTTGGCTTTCAAGATACGACACAACATTTGAGTAAAGTTGTAAGCCATTCTTAAAGAATGACTGTGCAGGAATGCTCGAATTCAAATCGCGAAATCCAGGAATAAGTCTGCGAGATGTTTTGAGACCATATCTCGTTATACTCGCAATCCAGTTCAACGCAACGCGAGCATCAGAATCAGCGTTATTTATATTCGTCAGCCAGTTTTCTGCCAAAGGAAAGACAACGGACACCAGAAAGTCTAATAATTGTGGTGCAATCTGTTGAAATATTAATCGGGACCGTGGTAGTCGATTAGACCCAAGTACTTTCACAGCATGATGTAAAGTGATGAAGTGTCTTAACGCGAGTTCCCACTGATTTGAACTTAATAGTGTGTTTGCTCTGTTAATAAGTGTTTCAAAAAAGTTAGGCCACTCATTTGGAAAATCAATTCTCACAATACGTGAAGCTATAAGAGCGTTTTGCAAAGCCAACGGCAAAGCACAGCTCTCAGAAGCAGGAAGCAAATTTTCTCTTATAAATTTTCGACTTTCCGCATCCAAAGTCCTGCATTTGTTAGAACCAAAGTAACGGCACAGCTTGGTTACATACATTTTTCCAGATTTTCTCCATAAAATATCAACATGATTACGGAACTCAATAACTGCAATCCATCTTACTTCATTCTCCAAGTTTGTGTCAACAAAAATGGAATATAGATTAGTATAGTACAATGCATTTTGTTTCCAATTATTTATGAAGATTTCAGCATCCTTGACTACTTGAGGATCCTGGCTGAGAGCACGTCTTAATTGATATATGATGGCTTCTCTGTCCATAATCAATGAACTACGGCAAGAAAAATATGTTTTTTACTCCCTGTAGTGTTGACAAATACTTGGTCCTTTCGTCAACTGTACCACTGCGGGATCGAATCTTGGATAGTAAATCTGGTTATACGAATAAATAACCAAGCTGTAAACATGTTTTATTCATACGTAAAATTATAAAAAAGCAATATCAAGGCGTACTAAATAAACTATATTTACTCTTCTAACTAGCACTGTCAAGCCTCGAATAAAAGTACCTAAATCCTCAGAATATCGTTACTATACCAAAACCCATTATTCGTATTTCATTAATGCAATTGTTACCTGTATTTATACAAGCCGACTGATTTGTTTCAAAAGTACTTTTAAACCAACACCCGATGAGGCATGTTCTTCTAGGTAGTCTTCAAACTCAAGGCGAATATTAGCAATCACATGTGTGATAGGAAATCCTGTATCTCCAGCATGAAATGTCGAATTTAGTAGAACGTCAAACAAACGATTCCACATATCTTGTTTCCAATATCTCTTCATACGCTGAGCAAGAACGTGTCGCTTAACACCATCGATAATATCCACTCGGGTTTCGATATATTTACCGAAAAGCATTGTGAAAATAATAGAAGCAAGACCGTGATAATCGACCTGATAAGTCCACGGCTTCCCTTCTCTCATCTCTGCACAGTCCTGAGCATCAGTTTCCCAATCTGCATAAAATTGTATTGAGGGATTGAAAAGTGACATGTCAATTCCTCGACCAAAATCTATAAGAACAATGCCTTTTGAAGCCCAACCATTAGAACCGTCTCTGAAGTATTGGGATGACCATGCAGTTTCTTCAACTGGCTCGAGACGTAGGAGGGCATTATCTGCCTTGAGGTCACCATGAATTATATGTTTTGAATGCAATGTCTCTATCGTTCTTAAGAACTCAACGGTAAAAAACATTGCTAGAATTTCATCCATACCGGCACCTTGTGACCTCTCTCGTGTTTTGTTAACCAAATCGAGTATGGACCCTTGAGAGCTGTATGCCATTAATAAATGACTCGCATCATCGTACATGTGCATCTGATGAACGTGGATAACAGAATTGTATGCTCTGTCCCCTTTCAACCGTGCGTTAGCCTCATTCGTCAGATAAAACTCAAAAAATGACGAAGGTGTTTCAATTTTTAAGGCGTATTTTCTTCTCGGTTCAGTACCAGATAAAGAAGATTCTTGCTCTTCCACCAAGTAAACCGGGGCAAAAGCGCCTTGTCCGAGTTTTGCAAGAACGTTGTATTGTTCCTCTGGAGAGTATTGCACCGTAAAGACACGACCGCCAAAATCCGAACCACTTGTCCTTCTACTACGACTGGACGTTGATGCTCTTCGTTTTCCACTTCGAGTGAACATTTCTATTTCCTGAAGTTGTCCAAAAGTCGATGCATGCTCATGATATATTGGTAGCTTTGTCAATGCTGGTCGCAAAGCCTCAAATAAGGTATCTCGCAAGTCTTGATCAAGTGGATTTACCACAGCTGCATCAAGGTGAATTGATGTCTCAGGGGAATTGGTGGCAAGGTCGTCCACTTGCAGCTGCGGAACTACTTCTTGGAGCTTTGGTTCTTGCTTTAATGAGAGCTGCGCTTGTTCGGCAACTAGCGGACTTCCATTTGCCAGATTAACTTTTTCAGTTTGAGGATATGATAGTTGTGCATCTGGCTCTTCAAGATGATCATGCTTTTCCCGTTTATGATTATCATTAAGATCCTGTTCGTACACTGGACTAAGCGAACGTTTCCTAGTATTATAGTCATTTTCGTCACCATATACAGGTGGTATTTTTATTTCCTTTTCAGAGGAAGGGCCATTATAATCTTCAGAAAACCCATTTTCCGACCGAAGAGTTTCAGGTGCTAATGGCTCTTCGTTCTTTTTGTCGGCTCCTATAGAAGAAGTGGCCAGATCTGCTTTTAGAGGCTGATTGAACAGATCTAATATATCTGCCAGCGCGGCTTTTGTATTAATTGTCGGGGAAGCAACTTTTGTTTGTTCTGGTCTCGGCGATAGTACCACAGGAGTCAACGCATCATATACGTCTGCGGGCTTGTCCACCATAGCGTCTAATGGCCTTGATTCCGTAACAGTGATCTTTCCACTGGAAACTGGTTCGTTGTGACAGTGGTCATAAGAACGACCTCGCAGTTCTTCCATGGATACTTCTTCGTTTTGGTATAATAGCCGAAAATCAAACGAAGAATACTCCGTGCGTTTACCTGATATTCCTTCATGCAGGATCCGCTCAATTGGTAAACCTTGAGACGATGATTTGTTGCCATTGACATGAGGCCCCGCTGAAGTTTTCTCATTATCTGAAAAGACTGCAAAGGCGCGTTCAGGGCGAACTGGTTTCTCTGCACCGGAAAACCCTTTATTGCCAAATACCTTTCTTGCGGGAGGAAACGGAGGTTGGTATTCTGAAACAGTAGTCTCTTCGCCGGGTGGAAGTGATTTCATTTGACGAAAAAATTCATTAGCTCGTCTCCAAAGCCGAGAAAATGGACGAGCTTCCCGACTGATTCCAACCTGGTAAACTTCTTCTGCTTCTTTCCACCGCCCACAATGAGCAAGTAGGGTAGCATATTGCTCGTAAAAAAGGGCGAGCTCCAAACCAATATTCTTTCCAGCTAGTTCATAAAACGTATTTACCGCAGATTCGAGATTATTTTCGTTTGACACCATCCACTCTATTTTTGCAAGCCAAATTTGTAGGTAGCGAGCATCATTGGCATAGTGTCGACACTTTTCAAATGCTTGTATACCTTTATCTACATAACTCTGTATTGTATCGGTTTGAATGGTTGTTGTATTTTGTAACCACTTAATGAACCGAGACCAAACGTCAAGAGGATCATCCAGCTCCTCAATGACCTCCAATTCCTCTTGATAGATGGCCAAGTTTTGAATCTCTTGTAGCTTTCTGCTTGCGCCAGCGCCAGCTTCGGCTTCGGAGATAGCATCGGCCATTTCATTCACTCGACGTAACAGCACGAAATACAATTTTGTCGGACATGTGGTACTCCTTTCATGTACGCTTGGTGTAGTAGCCTCCACACATTCCCGGAATCCGGAGACCTTTGATGGAGTTTACGGTGATCTATTAGCCGAGAATTCCGAACAAATGCCGCTTTTTAGCAAATTAAATTAAGTTATTTCTTACCGAAAGTAAAAAGTTACTGATTCGTATGTTATCTAACAACTACATTCTGGAGAAAATAAAATTCAGTAAATTCCCAATTCATCGGCGTTTTTTCTTTTTTCTTCTTTTTTCTTTTTTTTTTGAAATTGATTAAAGTTTAATTTAAAAAATCGTGAAGCTCAAAGCGATTGCAAACTTGGCTATTCTACTGAATTAGCCGAAATGAGAGTAATTTCGGTGATCTTCGGTAAACAATTCGGTCTTGCTTTACTTTTGCGCAATAAGGTTGCCGAATAAAAACACGCGAACGAATAACAAGCCGATAAAATAAGAAGCGCTCCAATAATTTTGTAGAATAAAAACAAAGTCCACCAATAGATACTTTTATTATTACCGTGACTCCTTCTTAACCAATAGTTAAAGCTTACATACCGACATTTGTAGCCAATAAAAAATAGTTAAGCCCCGAAAATACGGTAAGCTTAATCCAATGATTGTTGATTTTGTTTCCGAAACTCCGAAAAATAAGAGCCCAGACTCCGTGAATATTCACCGTAATCCACAATGTATGTCACAACTGAGTTTGAAACCTCTCACCATCCATCCCCCTCTCACTTATTTTTTGTTTTGCTTATTGTTTTTTGAATTACTAAAATGAAGACTGTAGGCATTCTTGGCGGCGGTCAGTTGGGCCGCATGATGATTGAGGCAGCTCACCGTATCGGTGTTAAATGCATCGTTCTGGACGCACCCAATTGTCCAGCAAAGCAGGTTGATGGCGGTTCCTCTCATATAGACGGTTCTTTTAAGGACGCCGATGATGTGAAGAGACTGGCTGATTTGTGTGATGTTGTTACTACCGAAATTGAACATGTTAACACGGACGCTTTGGAGGAAATTGCGACTCGGGTTGATGTGCAACCTACAGCCGATACTTTACGTTGTATCCAGGACAAGTATCTTCAAAAGCAACGCCTGAGTGCGCGAAACGTTGCTCTTCCTGCATTTTTGGATGCTCCAAACTCGGATACTATTTTAGAGGCTGCTAAGCAATTTGGTTACCCCTTGGTTTTGAAGAGCAGAACTCTGGCTTATGATGGACGCGGTAATTACGTTGTGCATTCTGAGTCTGAAATCCCTGAAGCTATGATGGCTTTGGGCAAACGCCCTTTGTATGTTGAAAAGTTTGTTCCTTTCAAAATGGAAATTGCCGTTATGGTGGTTAAGACTTTGGACGGTAAGCATTACGCATATCCTACAGTTGAAACTGTTCAAAAGAATAATGTCTGCCAGCTCGTTTACGCTCCAGCACGAATTTCTCCAAGCTTGCAGGAAAAAGCCCAAACGCTGGCTAAGGAAGCCGTAGAGGCTTTCACTGGTGCTGGCATTTATGGTGTCGAAATGTTTGTTTTGGAAGATGGAACCATCTTGTTGAACGAAATCGCTCCTCGTCCTCACAATTCTGGTCACTACACGATTGAGGCTTGCGCTACATCTCAATTTGAAGCACATTTACGTGCTGTGGTTGGTCTTCCATTTAACGAGGGTAACACTCAAATGGCAACTTCCAGCACTCATGCACTTATGGTTAACCTTTTGGGAACGGAAGATCCAGAGTATGTAAATCGCATTGCTCAACGGTCTCTCACCATTCCTGGCGCTACTTTGCATCTTTATGGCAAGGACAAGTCTACTAAGGGTCGCAAAATGGGTCACATAACTATTATTGCTGATTCATTGGGGGATTGCGAAGCTCGTTATGCTCAGCTGCTCGCGGGTGAGAAAGAAGGTGCTGAAAAGGCCAGCGTTGAAGCCAATGTAAAGAAACCTTTGATTGGCATCATCATGGGATCTGACTCGGATTTGCCTGTTATGAAGACAGCCGCCGAAATCCTCGAGTCCTTTGACATTCCTTATGAATTGACCATTGTTTCTGCTCACAGAACCCCCACCCGCATGTACAACTACGCACGCTCTGCTGCTAGCCGTGGAATTCGTGTTATTATTGCTGGGGCAGGCGGTGCTGCTCACTTGCCTGGAATGGTCGCTGCTTTGACACCTCTTCCTGTCGTAGGTGTACCTGTGAAGGGCAGTACATTGGATGGCGTTGACTCCCTTCACTCCATCGTGCAAATGCCTCGTGGCGTCCCCGTTGCTACTGTCGCTATCAACAACAGTACGAACGCTGCTCTTCTTGCTGCCAAGATACTGGGAACCTCTCGCCCTGATCTCTTGAAGAAACTTCAAGCTTACATGGACAAGATGGAATCCGAGGTTTTAGTTAAGGCCGAGAAAATCGAGTCTCTTGGTTGGAGAGAATACTAAATACAACAAGCTAGCTTAAGTGAAAAACATGGAAATTAGTTGACTATTATGTATGAACGATGGAACAAATTACCTTGTAACTAGTTTACTTTTTGTAGAGTACAAGAACAAAAACTATTACCTTTGAAGAGAAGGGTGGGATAAACTCTTGTTGACTTACCCATATTAGTGGTTTGTCAGATTGTTACCAGTTAAGAACGCAAGGCAATAAAAACATTGACGCCCAAGGCAATGAAGGTCATGGTGCACACTGCGGTGGGTCCGAAACGGTCGTCGTAACGAACAGCGCTTTGCTTGGCAATATGGTAGGCGCGCCAAAGGTAAAGGAATGTGGAGTACAGAATAGCGAGTAAGGCTGTGACAGAGAAGGTTGTAGCGGCGAGAAGCAAAGGCTTAGTATTAGCGTAACTGAACAGAGCGACAGCGACAGAGCCAATTAGAATTGAATATTGAAGATAGTCCAGATACGTTCTCTCCAAGGCAAAATATGTCTTGGGTTCCACACGCACAGGGACATGAATACGCTTGCCGGGAGGAGCAGTCCACTTTTGCTCATAAACCACAGTAGGAGGGGCAGGTGCTTCAAACTTGGGAATAGTTTCAAGGAAGAAATCGCGCTTGATTTCTTGAAGACGCTTCGTCAACGTCTTTACAAATGACTCCTGGTTGTTGCGCTCAAAAGCCTCAAGCAACGGTTGTTCAGTATTTTCAGGAGCAGTGAGAGTAGCACGGTTGCTGTCGCCGAGGTACTGTTCCTCGTTTTCAACATCATTCAAGCCCTCACGGTGAGTGCTTGAGCCATCGCTCGTAGATCCACGAGACACAATGCCGCGAGAGTTTGCAGATGACGTCGCCGTACTCGGTTGATGGTCGAAACCGAAGTTGTGAGTAGGAGGCTTGCGAATGTCCACGTCCATTTGCATAAACCAGTAGGGAAGCAAATCAACGCGGTCGTAAAAGAGATTAGAAACACCTTGGATAAACTTGGAAAACTTGGGTACGGCTTCCACCAAGTGACTGTTGACAAGATTAGTAACCCAGTCAGGAGGCTCTTGTCCAAATTGCGTTTGAAGCTTCACTTCCAAAATTGCGTATGGGAAACGATCGATATCGGAGTCGGGAAGCTGCTCAAAGGGGTAATCGATACCAATGTCCATACGGCGCCAGTTGTCGCCAGCGCGCGTAGGACCATCCTCACGGACAAGAGCAAGATTCGTATCAAGAGAAATACGCACACGAGCATCACCAGGAAGCTGGAACGCAGTACGCTCGTAGAAACTGCGGACGTAGGGCTTCAGTTTGCGATTGAGGACCGTGTACTGAACCTCACGTGCAAGACGTTCCAAGTTCTCGATTTCTTGCAGTGATTTCTTGCCCTCCTTACGCATTTTCTCAAAAGCTTCCTCCACGGTGTAGTCACCGCGCATAAAAGCATTGACATACTTCTCCTTCAAAGGGAAACGTGCCTTGACACTCTTTTCACCAGTCCAGTCCTCACGATGGGTCTTACGCTCCACGAAAATTGTCGTGTTTTCCATTCCTCCGTACCAACGAAGACGAATAGCTTCGGCGCCCTCGCTCTTCAGCAATCTGCCCTTGTACAGGTCCAAATCGTCGGTATCATAGTAAATACTGGTAATCGCAGCGTCCTCGCGCGTGAATTCCTTGTTGGGGTTGAAAACGAGCACAGGAAGATGTTTGAGAATGTAAAGCTTCAGCTCCGTCACATTGTTGGGATGAACCCAATACTTGGTAGTCTGACGAACGAAGTTCTGTTGAGAACCACCAGCAGCAGAATCACCCTGCACGGGGTTGCCGCGTGTCCGGACGATGTCGTAAAGCTGACTAAGTTTGACAACAAGCAAATCGTACTGTTCTTTGAAGAAAGGTTTCGCGCTCAAACGCGCAGCGAAGACGGGACGAAGGGACCAGCCGGTATGCTTGTCGTGTTTCTTGACGATTTTGTAGAAGGCAGTGTAGTTGAGTTCGCAGAACTTGGCCAAATCGTGGACGGTAGCCATAATGTCTGACAGTTCAGCCTCCAGCTCGAGAAACTCATCTTCCGGAGGGCGACGGCCACTGTTCACGCGGTTCACGACCTCCTCAATCACCTCTTGTGTCTGGCGAATGCGTTGGTCGACCTCGCGTTGCTTTACCATCTGAAACGTGTACACCTTGTCCAACTCATTTTCAAGTTGCTCAAGGAAAACAGACTCATCGTCCTCCGACCACGAGCCCTTGTTCAGACTGTTTTTCAGTTCCTTCTTCAGTTTGTCATAGTCGACGTACTGGTACTGATATTCACGCAACAGTGTTTCCTTCAACAGCTGTCCAAACTTCATCGTAATAAACAACCACTAACGGTCCAAAACAGTATAAAGTAGTAATAAAAGATCCTCACGTGTGTTTGTACACAGATATACTACAACAGCAAAGCTTTAACAGAGACAAAAAATTCGCTGCTAGACTAAGACACGGCGGGCTCAAAGCAGCAGGCAAATACTCCAAAATCAACTTCTATAGGTTGCAATTGTCTCAAGAATGCCTCTCCGTCGCAAGAAGGCTTCTTCCTTCGTAAAATGAAAAAACTGAGGTTGCAGACGACCGGTTGAGGTGTTGTTAGTTGGCAGGTTCGTTGGGTCGTTTGAAGCTCCTTAAAGGGCAAGCCAGACTCAAACTGCGCAAGTAGATGACGTCACGGATGCGCTATTTAGTTGGAGCGGAGCCGATACGTGGCACGGCATAAGAAAGCGCAGTTGGAAGCAGGAAGCGGGGGTCACAGGGGGTATTAGTGAGAATCGAAGGAGTGGACGCCGAAAGCGATCAACGAACATCATTGGTAACGTAAAATAAGCTTAAATTAACGTTTGTTCGGCTTCTCTCGGTTAGAATAACGTTGCACGTGGGATGGCGTCGTAGGCGAAACAAAAGCAGCAGTCACAGGCACAACCGAACATACATACACAAGCGGACACCTGGGCGGTAGCTGGTGCCTTTAGCGGACGACGACGATTGCTCCTTGAGAAGATACCAAGCAGCTCTGTTTGCTCTGACACCGTTTGAAGCGAGTTTTCCTTTCTGTTGAGTACATTCCGTTTTGTAATTATGGCACAAAGAGTTACTTACCGCCGTCGTCTTGCGTACAACACGCGCAGCAACAAGACGAGAGTCATCAAGACTCCTGGCAACCAAATTCGCAGCCTGCACATCAAGAAGCAGGGCAAGATTCCTCGTTGCGGTGACACTGGTGTTGTCTTGCAGGGCATCCCTGCCATGCGTCCTCGCGAGTTTGCTCGTCTTTCCCGCCGTCAAAAGACTGTCCAACGTGCTTACGGTGGTTGCCTGAGCGCAAACGCAGTCAAAGACCGCATTGTGCGTGCCTTCCTCATCGAGGAGCAGAAGATCGTCAAACAGAAGCTCAAGCAAATGGCCCTCAAGTAATAGAGTTCTAGTCAGAGTCATGTGTGAAGCTGTGTGGGGAAGTGGGTTGCATAGTGGTGTAATGTGGGGGTGTCTGCCGCGGAAGGAGGGATCGGCCGCGGGACTCCCGGGCGTTGTAGTGCAAAACCGCCTGCTGCACACCACCACGAACGTGTTGACTATGGAGCTGCCGTCGGTGCAGACACGGCCTTCGTATAACGAGATCAAGGCAGCGTTGGCCAAGATTCCAACGGGGGAACACGTCTGGGAGCTTTCGCATCACGAGGAGAAGCGTGTGCTCGACTGGATGATCCGGCTCATGGCGGCCAACTTGGAGTGGTTAGACGACATGGACGAGCGGGAGGACGTGATGATGGAAATGTCGGCGCGTATCGCCGAACGTAGTGGACGCATGTCAGCGCCCACGAAGACGCGTAATTTCACGCTGCCCACAGAGGAAACGATCGTCATTCGTGAACCCCGCTTGACGTATGAGAGTTTAGGGTTTAAAACGTGGGGATCTGCACCCCTGCTGACCCGCAATTTGTATCGGTGGGGTCCTGCAGATCCGTCGATCAGTGTTCTCGAATTAGGTGCGGGGACCGGGCTCATGGGTATTGGTGCAGCGACGATGCTTGGTTGGCAGGTTGTGTGTACGGATTTGCCGGTCATTGTCGACAATCTCCGGTACAACGTTGAACAAAATGCGAAGCATATAGCGAAACGCGGAGGTTCTGTAAGCGCCCAGGTGCTGGATTGGACCAATCCGCCGCCCACTGATGGCGAGGATGCTCCGGCCTGGGCGGTTCGCAAATACAACCGCGTCATGGTAAGCGATTGTCTGTACGAGACTCAATTCGCAGAGCTCTGTATCGCGCTCATTCTCCGTTTCCTTCGGCCAGACGGAGTTCTCCTAACCGAATACCCGCTCCGTGAAACAACTCTGGAAGAAATTGCGACGTTCGAAGGAAAGCTGTTTGCCCTGGGCTTCGAACGCGTCACTGGCGAGGAGATTGGCGAAGAGGATTTTGGCTCTCACTACCCTGTCACCTGCCGCTGGAGTCGATGGTTTTGGTCCAACGAGCGTAACGAAACTAGCGAACAACGAGTAAATACCCAGTAATCATCGGGCTTCTTCGCTTCCTTAGCGAATGAGAACAACATTATAAAAGGGCTGCAGGGAAGACCGCGACACGTGATACGTCACGAGCATTTACCTCGGTGAGAAGAAATGCGATCAATGCGACCAATCGAGAAAGATCTTTTTTTTGCAAAACAGTGATTGGCCGAAATGCAGCATCTTCTTAGTGCTGATTCGTGCAAACGTCGGGTTGTTGATTGGCTGAACTTGAACGGCTGTGATTGGTCGGAATCGAATGCTCTCTCCTTTCTCCATGGTGTTTGTGTCATCCCCTAAGGGTTTAGGGGGGAATGGTCACCTTTAGATCGAACGCCATTCGCTAAGATACGCTTACAATGCTGCAGCCTATCAGATCAGAGACAATTCGACAACAAAAAGCGCAATTGAACAAGTCAACGTAGCAAAAAGCCGTTAAAAAGTTGCGGTTTAGCAAATCAGAATCAATGCCATTTGCGCACTCGTAAGAGCGAGGAAAACCGTTGGCGTTTTTTTAGCGCCCTGCTTGGTTGCGAAAAATCTCGGTCGGGATGTCGTCGCACAGAACACGCGTCTTGGTGGCCCAAAGTAGGCTGCGGGCCTACAATCCTGAAGTGCAAAAAAACAAAAAGATTATCAGATGAAGCACCCAACGGTATAAATGACCAAGCTTTGCAGCACTTTTTTCCAGAGCACACACACATCCACGTCGCACTCTTTCCACAAGCATTGTCTGCACACTTTTGTTAACACACAACAATCAAACTGTGAGAAGCATTTCGCAAGGCACTTGCAGAAGAAAAAAGCAAAAGGATTTCAGCGAAAAGAAGTTGGAGAACAAAAAGTTCTGTCCTTCGTAAAAAAGGCTCAAATTGCTCCTTAATCCTGAGTTCATCAGACTTCATTGTCCGTAAACAAACACACACAATCGTCACAGTTTGTTGACATTTCCATCGTTAAATTGAGTGTTATAAACAACTCAACTGTTTCTGCTTTTCACCTAGCTGTTGAACCAATTTTTGTGTTGCAACAACTTAATTGACCGTTTGTTCCTGGTCCATTCGCTTTCGTTTCATTTCCCAATCATCGTTATCCTTTCGTTTCTCTTTTTCTTTTTTATTCTTTTTAATTTTCCCGTCTTGTTTTCAATGAAGATCTCGAGAACAGCAAGAATTTCCATCTTCCTCGGAATCGATGTGGTCTTTTTCCTTATTGAGCTTATCGGTGGATACACCATTGGCTCTTTGGCTTTAATTGCTGATTCGTTCCACATGCTAAACGATATTCTCAGTCTCATCATTAGTTTGTGGGCCATTCGTTTGGCGAAACGTCGCCATTACAAGGCCGAGTATACTTACGGTTGGCAACGTGCTGAAATTGTGGGTGCCTTGGTGAACGGTGTGTTGCTTGTGTCTCTGTGTTTGTCCATTTTCATTGAGGCCTTGCAACGTTTCCTTAACCCGTCGTCTGTCTCGAACCCCGAAATTATGATGGGCATTGGTATGCTTGGTCTTTTTACCAACATCATCGGCATCTTCCTCTTCCATGACGCCTCTCACTCACACGATATTGCTACCGAGTTCGATCGCCCAGAGACGCCTTCCAGTGGAAATGGTCTTACGGAGCCTGAGCTGCCCGAGGAAAACATTGCTTCCATCTTGCCATCCCGTGTGGTTCAGGACTATTACCATGCACGGACTGCGAGCCAGGCTTCGTATCTTGGACGCTCGCCCATGTCTGAGCGGACACCACTTATGGACAAAGCTTCTGCTAGCACTGCTGGTCGGTATACAGAGCCCACGTCTACCACGGCTGCTTCTGTAAATGATCAAAAGCTTATTCCATCCTACTCAGCAACGAACAATCCTCGTGACCTCGAGGCCGGTCTTTCCCCTTCTAGCAACTCTGGAGTGGTTGAGCAGCCGAAGAAGCAAAAGAACTTGAACATGCACAGTGTGTTCCTCAATGCGCTTGGTGATGCCCTTGGAAACATCTCCGTTGTGCTTGCCGCCGCTCTCATCAAGTTCACGCATTATTCGTGGCGCTACATGTTTGATCCCTTTATCACCATTTTCCTCATCTGTATTATCTTGTCGACGGCCTATCCTCTTTGCAAGTCTGCCGCATTAATTCTGCTCCAAGTTGCTCCCCGAAGCATCCGCATCGACGAATTGCGCAAGCACATCGACTCCATTCCAGAGGTACACTCAATTCACGAACTCCATGTGTGGCAGCTTTCTGATTCGCGCTATGTTGGCACACTTCACGTTCTTGCTTGCTACAAGGAAGATGATTTTGTTTCTTACAAGCACCTGGTCAGTGAAATCCAACGCTGCTTCATTGAGTTTGGCATTCCCGAATCGGTGAATTCCTGCACCATCCAGATTGAACCTTTTGATCCTAAAAATCCTCGTATTGATCTTTGAGCACGAGTCAAGCCGCCGTTAAGAACAAGCTTCTGTTATTTGTGTCTGCACACACCTCTTTGCTTTGTCACCGTTGGTGTATGCTGAAAACATGGAACATATTTGCAAGGTTATTGTCGTGCGATGTACCATTATGTTAGTCTTTTAATGATAATTTCCCATCTGCTTATACGGGACAATTTTCTTAAGATGAGAGAGCTTGTCCCAAGAGCCGTATAAGGTGTCATGAGCGTTGTATCGGTCGAATTGACTTGTTTCATTTTCATCAGCCAAACCAAATGTCGCGCCGAGGACCGAATTTGACTTAGTGTTATCGTCCCAAAAATGAAATCGGCTCTTTATTCGGTGAACGAGAGAGGAGAAGTTAGCGTCGCTAATTCCGCACCTTTTTACGCTTAATTCATAAAGCGAGCAATCATGGTGGGGGTGGGTTGTAAGTATGGTGGGTACGGCCAAGCGATTTAGGATTGAGCTAAACAAACGGCTCAGTGACTACGTGACGCTGGTAACAGAAATATAGGAAGGGAAAACCATTGTAGACAGTGCGAAAATTTGAACCTTCAACTATTGCAAGAACAATTGAAGTTACAAAATGTACAGACTATTTGGAAAGAGAGCGCTAAGTCAGTTGCTGAAAGAAACGCAGAATGGACGGACGCGTTTTGCATCCAACTTAGCTGCATTCGGAGTTAAGGAGAAACAAACAACCTCACCTGAGATTCTTGCTGGAGGTGTCATTGCTCGTCCCCGTATTGTTGATATCGAAAAACGTTGGTCAAAGATGCCCAAAGATGAACAGGATTCTATCATTGCTGACTTGGAGGAACGCCAGAAGAAGCCTTGGGATGACCTAACACTTGAAGAGAAACGAGCCGCCTACTGGATCGCCTTTGGTAACTATGGTCCCAGGGAGCAACGTCCTATAAACCAGAAAACAGTATTCTTCGGCACCATGGGTGGTATCGTGGCTGGCCTATTGTTGTTTGCACTTGCTCGTAGTCAAGCATCACCGACTCCCCGTACGATGACAAAAGAATGGCAAGAAAAGTCGAATGAATACATGAAGGAAAACAAAATCAACCCAATTAGCGGCGCTGGTAGCGAAAATTACAAGGGGCGCGGTGCTGTTTCGGGCGGTCTTTTCTCTCCGCGCGAAAAAGACAAGAAGTAAAACGATAGGCCCACGAACCCATCAATGCCCTGTCGTTTCCATTGCTTTCGTTTATGATTTAAGTTAGGATGCATGCCTTTCTTAGGACCAAGACAATGACATAGCTAATGAATGACAATGATTTAATTCACGAGCCGTGTGCTCAAAAGCGGGATACTTGTTAAAGGATTATTTCATGACATTGAACAACACGAAATATTCATTTGAAACCCAGAAACCAATAGATGTGTTTGTATAGTTTAAAAGAGCTTTCACGCACTCATGCAATGTTTACCATAATAAGTTTGATTCACGGACTTAAAGAATGAAAAATGCATAGAATATGATCATTAACAATGAGAAGGAAATGGGAGGGGCAACCAACATAGAAATGGAAAACATTGGTATGTGTGAACAGATGGATGAAAGGGAATACGTGGGGTTTGCAACTCTCGGCTAGTCGACAAAGTCACTCTCCCAAAATGAATTTGGGACAGTCCTTGGAACGCGTCGACGATGGCGACCAACGCGCTGAAGTAATTGCTGAGGAGCACTTTTTTGACAGATATGATTGTTGTTCTTTAGAGGACTATTCTCGTCATTCCATTTCGGCGCTCCAGAAGGCAATTTGACAGGCCCGTGTAATTGTAAACTAAATTGTTATGGTTAGTTAAAAACATACAATCTTCACATCTGTTATCTTTTACCTTTTCACAATCTGGGCAATCAAACGCAGGGAGTGTTTTGCGTTTGTGACCCCGAATCGTTGTGCCATCATCATCCTCAATGATAGGCTTTGACGGTTGTTGTTGTCGAGCTTTCCGCGGTTGGGGTAAGTGCTTGTTCGTCTTATTAGCGGCTACCGGTGTAAGAGGAATCTGTGTTTCACGGAGAAGAATCATTTCCTCAAGCGAGCGAGCTTGCAACTTCTTTTCACCTTCAGAATCCGAATCCGAGTCACTGGCCAATACACTATTATCAACGGTTTTTGACGTCTGACGAGGTGTAATTGGCGTCGCTGTACGATGAATCGAGCTTAAGGGTGCATTTTCATCCATGGAAGTCTCAGAATCATCACTATTAGGCATAGTTTTTGCCGAAATCCGTGCGACAGAGCCAGAAGAAACGGAAGAAGCCACCCGAGAAAGAGGAATATTATCTGCTTTATCATTCTCATCCTCCTCTTCTTCCTCCTCAGTGGTACTTACGTCCTCTTCTTCAGTATCTTCAGCAGCATTAGACTTTGTATCCGCACCTGTAAGCCTTCGCTCAGCCTTTGCTTTGTTAATCTCCTCTTCCAAACTCTTACGTAGCTCTGTCTCGAATGCAAGTGCTGTCTTTAGTGATGAAATCTCGCGATGCAAACTCTCGACATAGTCACCGAATTGAGCACACAGTTGTTTCCAGTCAAAGCTGTTCGGTTTCATAATACACCGTATCCGCACAACAAAGCAAGGTTACTGCTCCAACAAGTACGAATGGTGATATAAAAGATTGTTTCAAAGGTATCCTAGAAAAACGAAGATGTAGCGCTACCGATGTCGTGAAAGGAAGACTTCACGCAGCAATTGGTTTGATTTTTCGTACGTTTTGCTTACAAAAGCCTCTTCGTTTGAGGTAACTTGTTCCAACCGTTCTTCACGTACTGAATGAAGCTGAGCCAGGACTGAGTTATACGGATTTTTCCATTCGCGTAACGTGGTCTTGTTTTCTGGGCCAGATACTGTGATCTTCTGTTTTTTCGGTGCAATTGGCTCTGCAACGCTTGAGGAATCCTCAAAACTTCGAGTGCGTTTAATTTTAAATAACAAATTATAAAAGAACGACAGAAAGAAAGATATATATCAAAAGATGAGCAAAATTGGGATTTGGATTCTGCAATTCTATCTGTTAAAATCGCCAAACACCGAGCAATTCGTTTCCTTAACACAATTTACAAGTTGTTGGGAAACGGCACACGACGCGACGCGACGCGATTTTGCCGACGTCAGTGACGATGAAAGCAGTCACAAAGTAATATAAATACGTGTCCTACTACACACCTACAATCCGTCATCTGCAAACCACAGAGTCACGGACTACACTTCCCATGTGTAGTCACAGGCGGCTGTCACCGCTCGTGCTACGGATTGCAAAGAGCCATTTGACCCTTACTCTTACGACCTGTGATACAAACATCTCGTTTTGTACAGGATGGGAGGGGGGTGAACATCTTTAGTTTAGTGAAGTAAAGTTAATGTGAATGTTTTGAAGTGTATCTGGATGTTAATATTTGGTGGTTGCTTTAGGTCGAGGAGTGTGATTCTCGACTTCCTTTTGCTTTTGACGGAGTGCTTTCAGCTATTGATCTATTACTATTCACTACAGCTAGTAATAACTATTTTTGTCTTCTCTCAACCTTAGACTTGTCGGGCTCCTTAGCAGCTGCAGGTTTAATAACGGTAGTCGTAGAAGATTCTCTGGCTTCGGGTTCCGAGTTCTGTGTGTTTGGTTTTTGTCCCGTTGAAACAATTTCCTCTGCCCCATCGTTTTCAGTAGCTCCATCAGAGATAGAGATAGTTCCCGGAAGTGCTCCCGTAACACCTTCCTTTTCATCCTCTGTGTCCTCTTCAACATTTGTTCCCTTCAACTTCGGTTCCAAAGTCACGTTGGACATAACGTCAGCAAGAAGATCAACTTCGTTGTTGGCTTTCACCAACTCGTCAAGGTCCTTTTCCCAATCAAGGTACTTACACAGCTGACGCACCAACGCGTCGCAATCGCCCAGGACCATAAGGTCGGATTCACGCTCACTAAAATCGCCAACAACTTCACGGTTGATGAGAAGTCGTTGGCAGTTTTCGGTTGCAATTTCAGGAAGATCAGCGAAGGGATGGACCAGTAAACTTGTTCCGATAACCAAAGCCAAATCACATTTCTCCATGTCCTCATACATGCAGTCAAAGAAGCGACTAGGCAAGCCTTCACCGTAAAACACAATTGTTGGTTTCACATAACCTTTGCATTTCTCGCACAAAGGAACATCCTTTGTTTCAATGCAATGTCTGACATAGCCAGAGTCAGCCTAATTAGGAGTGTAAGTTTCAGAAAGCAAAGATGTAATCACCATACCATTTCCTTGCACTCAATACAGCGGTTGTACTGAAACGATCCATGCGCCTCGACAATTTTATCTTCGGGCACACCCGCGATACGTTCAAGGGTATCGATATTTTGAGCTAGTTTTTGGGTGTTAGATGAAGGACATAAATGTGTTCCACATACTGAAACATCGTAACATAAGGCCTTTCTCGTTCATTAGGCGTAGAAAGTAATGCGTGGGTGTAGGCATGTAACGGCCAGGCATTAGTTCATATGCCAGCTCGAAGAATGGTTTCGGGTTTTCACGAAAGTACTCCAAGTCTGTAAGTGGCAGGTATGTTAGATAAATAAGCTCAATTATACGTTAACAAGCATACCAAAGATGGCTTCTGCATACGGCAAATTGAATCTTGGGAGTTAGTAATGGAAAAAAGGACGAGAAAACGAATTACTTTTGCAAGTTATGGTATATACCAGTTTTGGGGCTATACAAAGGTACGTTAGAACAGGAAGTGTTTCAACAAATCGTGCCTTCTGAAGTCTGGAATACCCGCAGCGGTGCTGATGCCTGCACCGACCATCACACAAATGTTTTTGTCTGTATGAGTTAGTCCAATTGTTCCAACACAAACGTAAGTGATCGAACATTTCCCATTCTTTATATCATCAGCAACATTCTTTAAAATTTTCTCGTTCTCAACAGCCTGAGAGTCCATTCTATCCAAAAAGTAATCACGTCAACGCAAGAATCCAAAAAAAGCTAACACCGTAGAAACAGAAATATTTTTTTAAATGTTCAGTACAAGTCGTCCCTAAAAGCAAATATACAAGGGTAAAAGAGAGAAACGAGGGCCGTTCAAGACGCCAATTCGTCTGTAGCTAGAGCTCAGAACGCACGGTAGGGCTGTGTAACAAAATTCAAAGAGTAAGGGTAGGACATGATTTACAAAACACTCCACCAAAAGCAGCGCCCACGCAATTTGTTGCAGCGCCAAACTGTGCCGTGTACGAGTCTCTTACAAAACGCTGAATCCCTCCTTTTTCGGCTGAATAACGATGAAACAGCGCTTTTCTGCCTTGGATGTCTCTGCAATTACTGCTGAATTGAAGGATCGTCTCTTGGGATGTCGTCTAAATAATATTTATGACCTTAATGCACGAACCTTTTTGCTGAAATTTGGTAAACAAGTAAGTTACAATGCTAAAGGGGAGACAGCTAATGTATTGTTTTTAAGGATGTGAAAGAGTCTGTTATTATTGAGAGTGGTGCACGTGTGCATGCAACTAAATTTCAGCGGAATCCTGCACCTTTGTCTGGTTTTGTTACGAAATTGAGAAAACACCTGAAATCGAGACGGTTAACAAATCTGTATCAATTACGTTCTGATCGTGTGGTTGTCTTCACTTTTGGAGGAGGCGAAAATGATAGCGATCCTGCTTGGACATATTATCTGGTTTGTGAGTTCTTTGCCGCCGGTAATATCCTTCTTTTAGACGGTTCCTTCAAAATTCTCAGTCTTTTACGAGTTGTTACGTTTGACAAGAATCAATTTTACGCCGTTGGTCAGCGTTATGACTTAAATGATGCTCTGACTGAAGCTCAGAGGACTATCTCGATGGAGTCATTGTCTTTACTTCTGGACCAGATTACGGAACAAGAGAAGGCCGTTGCTGATGTCTCGCCTACGAATGAAGAGGTAAAGGACACTAAAAAGTCAAACAAATCGAAGAAACCTAAAGTTACTACTCTGCGGAAGGCCCTTACTATCCGACTTGGAAGATACGGAAATGCTTTAATCGAGCATTGTATTCGCCTTTCACAACTTGATCCTTTAATGCTAGCTTCTGACTTTAAGAATGATGAAGAAAAGAAAAAGGAATTGCTGGAAGCTTTTCATGAAGCTGACAAAATTATGAACGATGCCACGAAACCACCCATCAAAGGCTACATTTTTGGACTTCAGCAGGATATTATTAAGTCCGGTGAAGAGACTGGTGCTCAGAAAACGGAACAAGTGCTTATGTACGAGGACTTTCACCCTTTCAAGCCTCTTCAGCTCTTGCAGAACAACAATCGTACTTGCATCGAATTCCCATCATACAACGAGTGTGTCGATGAGTTTTTCTCCTCGCTCGAGTCTCAAAAAATCGAAAAGCAAAATCATGACCGTCTAAAGACTTTCGCAAAACGTATTGAAAATGCAAAGCGGGACGTCGAGAACAAGTTGAAGGAATTACAGAAGGCACAAGAGCTTAGTGAAAAGAAGGCCCAAGCAATTGAGTTAAATCCACAATTAGTTGAAGGCGCCATTGAGTATGTGAATTCGCTCGTCGGTCAAGCAATGGATTGGCTTGATATAGAGAAACTTATTACCGTCCAGCAACGTCGGCAACACGCTTTTGCTAGTGTAATTCGCCTCCCTTTACAGTTAAAAAAGAATCTTATCACGCTTGTGCTTCCAGATCCTAATCCGCTGGCGGTTGATGAAGAGTCCGAGCAAAGTGAGAGCGAGAGTGACAGTGAACCGGAGAGCACGATTATTACACCTGTGCAACGTCGATTAATCCAACCTAAGGGGCTTGCTGTGGAGGTTGATCTAGCATTGGGTGCCTTTGCCAACGCAAGAGTGCATTACAATAATCGACGTTTGGCTGCTCTGAAGGAGGAGAAGACCATTGAGTCCTCGTCCAAGGCTATTAAAAACACACAAAAGCGCGCCGAGGCAGATCTCAAAACCGCTGCTGCAGAAGCAAAACAAGCACTAACTGCAAGCCGCAGAACATTTTTCTTCGAAAAATTTCATTGGTTTATTTCATCGGATGGCTACCTTGTGCTTGGTGGTCGTGATAATCAGCAAAGAGAGCTTTTGTACGAAAAATATTGTAACAAAGGTGACGTTTATGTGTCTGCCGACCTGCCTAACTCGTCGTCTGTGATTATTAAGAATCGTAACGAGAACGATCCAATTCCCCCAAATACGCTGCAACAAGCTGGCGCTTTAGCACTGGCTACCTCAAAAGCATGGGACACAAAAACTGTCATCAGTGCCTGGTGGGTGCCTATTCATGCTGTCTCGAAAGTTGACCAAACAAAGCAAATACTACCTACTGGTCACTTTTGGATTAACGAGGAGAAGAATTATCTCCCCCCTACTAATTTGGTCATGGGATATGGTATCTTATGGTTTCTTGATGAAGTTAGTGCTAGACGGCGGAGAGAGAAGCGTATCTTGAGAGATGAGATGATGAGCCAAGTTTCAGAAGATATGTCCAACGTCAGTATTGCATCTTCATCGGCTCCTTCTGTCGCGTCTGAGAGCCAGACTTCTTTGCTTGCCACTACTGAGCCGACAACAAACTTGCTCGGTAGAGAACAGCAAAAGGTTTTCAAAGAACAAAAGCCTTCACGTAAGGCCAAGAAGACTGTAGTAAAGGCACCCTCGGCCAAAGAACGTCGCGAGGCTCGTAAATTAAGACGTCAGCAGGCACTTCAAGAGAGTCTTAAAAAGCCTACCACTCTTGAAGATGCATCTGACCCTCAAACAATTTTGGCTTTATTAAAGGAGTCGAAGAAAAAGAAGAAGCGCTCTGCCAATGCAGGTTCTACTTCTGATGCCTCTACCCCAACATCACAAGATGTTTCATCAATTGAGCCTCCCAGCAGTGCTACCACTGAATTTGAACTTGTTAAGGAACAGGAGCCTGTTGTTGGCAAGGAAGAGTTGCCTGCTCAGCAACATGAAAAACAGGCTGAACGGACAAGGGTTCTTGTCGATATGCCTACTCAAACTTTTCTTAGCGCAGAGCAGCTTGCCGAGGTGAATGAAGCTCGGGACTATCTCTCGCCAGAGCTTTCAGAGAAGGATAAGGTTCTCTATGCTGTTCCTATATTTATGCCTTACTCCGGTATGAACAAGTTCACTTACAAGATTAAGATTCAACCGGGTTCTGCGAAAGTGGGTAAAACATCTCGGGAAGTTATCGAGTACTTTAAAAGGTCGATGCCTAAGAAATCGCCTTTGTTACATGCACTTGATGCGTTGAAGGACAGTGAGATCAGTGCTCCCGTATATGTTAGTCGTTTAAAGGCTATTTATCCTCAATCGGCGAAGAAAACATCCAAGTCGAAAGGTTCAAAAAAGTAGGTTTTATAGAATACAATAAGGAAACGGTTTTATGCGTACATTAATAAATTATGTTCATAAAAGAAGTGGTTTCTGATCGTGTATTATTACGCTAAATACTAATTGAGTAACGTTGCCCTAGATAGCGTTTTGATCCAAGAGGAGTGTGTTGCTGTTAAGAATGAGCTTATTATCGCTCTCAGAAAGCATTTGGGCAATCTCCTTTGCGGTTTCGAGCTTACGTAGTTCAATGAAACCTGGTTTGTCTTTTACAGCTTCGCCAATAAGCTGAGCTGCTTTTCCTTCACCTTGAGCACGAACAATTTTTCCCTCCTTCTCCATACGGGCACGGTCGACATAGAAAGAGGCTATAATGAAATTAGTTAGCACCGATTGTAAGTTGCTACACACTGGCACACTTACCCCTTTGTGCATCCTGTTGTGCAATTTGTTTTGCTTCGACAGCGACAGTGAACTCGGGAGAAAATTGAACTGGAAAATGATTAGAAAACCAAGTTTAAGTGAGGATTATAAACGTACCATGAGTCAATGACACATCGTCAAGGAGAATATTGAACCGAGCGGCACGTTTCATCAGGTTTTCACGAACCAAACGTGAAACACGCTCACGTTGTGTGATGAGTTGGCTTGCATTGAACTGTGCAACCACACTCTTTAACACTTCGTTAATTAATGAGGGGAGAACTCTTTCGTCATAGTCAATTCCTAGGGTTCGGAATATTTTTGGTAATGCCTGAACATTGGGTCGCGATAAGACACGACAATTGATGTTCACCATCTGAAGGTCTATACGTTTTTGTTAGTGACAATGCTCAGAGATTGTCTCGTTGCTTTCTATTACCTTTTGTCCCCGTAAGCGAGGATACATTTCTTGGTTTGGCTCGCACATCATAGTCAATAGCAGTTTCGATCCAAGGAATCTTGAAATGGGTACCTTCACCAAACACATTACTTTTGATTCCGCTAACCCGACTATATTTGATTGCTCTGTGACCACCATCAACATTGAAAAGCGAGACCTGAGCACCATAACCCAGCAGGGCAATTGCGACCAACAGTCCAAATCCAGTTGCTCCTCTACGAGCACCTTGAGGTCCTTTAGCTTTCATCATAGTCCGGAACGCATTCACGGCACTCCGACGGTCCATCTTGAACCTTAATTATCACTGGGAATAATGAGAATGCTTGTTAATTAAGCAACAGGACAAACTTTGTTGTTTTTCACCAGTCAACGCTCTGCAAGTTCTTCACAAATGAAAAAAGATCGATTGAGCAGAATCCGCAGACAACAAAAAATTGTTATACGGAAGCAGCACCTAGGTGTAAGAAGAGTCTACAGAAACAAACAGCTTCTTTATTCAAGGAAGTGAGCTGCGAATACTGTTTCTAAGGTTTTCAATGGTGGTGACTTTTACCGTTTAGAATGTGTCAATTCTAATAAATAGAAAATAAATAGAAAATAAAAAAAAAATCCGCAAAAAAAATAAAAAAAAATAAAAAATAAAAAAAAACCAGTTTAAGAAAGCATGAGTGAAAACACACACACACACAAGCTGCCATCCACCATCGAAAATTGCACCGACGCCGGATTCAATGATGTAATGCCTTTTCGGCTAAGATAGTTTATTTTCGAATAACTATGTACACGTCATAATGGCCGATGGTGTTATCGCACCCTCAAACCTATGACATAGTGCACCTGACAAAGCAATATATAAAGGCACAGCCATCCCCATCCTGAAGCTCTCCCAACCATATATCGATCAATTCCTACATTAACGGACTTTCTGTATTCTACACGATTTTCCTCTTTCGGATTCAGTCACAAAACCCGTTTATTTCCTCGACCAAATCCGGCGATTTTCTGTCACAAAATGAGTAGCAAATCTTACATTGTATGACCGTGCAGTACTTTCTTCCTGACTCGATACGCGTTTATAGTAAAAGTATTCGTGTAAATCTGTTGGTTTGGAAGTTCTATTAACGTAATTCCCGTGCTCCGTCTACTTACGCTCGATTAGATTCAACTCAGCAATGACGCTGACGATGCCAGCGTTGAAAGGTACGATGAAGCGTCTTAAGACTTCTTGTTTGCTCGTAATCCTCTAACAAGCATCTTTAACAGATTCAAAAAGGACGTTGAGGCCAAGGGAGGCAAGATTGGCCATACTTATGACACCTTGTTCAAAGGATTCAGCGTAACGCTTGATCCCAACACTGTCACTACCCTTAGTAGCGATCCCCTTGTTGCTTCTATCGAGGAGGACAAGAAGATGCATACTCTTTAATACATGAACACGTCTACGAATGAATAGTTAATATCATATATCTGCAATGACCCAGAGTGTTTCGTGTCTCGTTTCTTCGCCATATTGCACCGCGTAGCGTCTTGATTTGTCCCCAGGTCGTACCGCGGAACCTTATTTAAGCCGCGGGTATGCCGTTTGGGGTCTGTCGCGTCGCGACCTGTCGTACACCAGCATGCGTAGCAGGCTGATCCTTGCTATTTGAGAACTACGTGCATGTTTCTGCTTTCAATAACGAAACTAATCTACTTATAAAGGTGTTTGTGCATCCGTCACTACAAATCTGTATAAATTATTTTGTTCTAGTTTGATTAACATATTATTTTCATTGCATACAACCAACTGAACACCTCCTGGTTGAATGACAACGAGATGGATACAACTTTAGAACTATCAGGAATTCAAAGTTCTAAAGATATTGATACGGTGTTCGAAGCTCTCAAGACAAAAGCCGAGAATGCAGACCATGCGTTGGCTAGTAAGGTGAATGAGGTGAAACATTTGCTCGAAAAACAGCAGTCTCTTCAGTCCATTTTATCAAGAATTACACGCGTAGTACAGGACGCGACTGAATTGGAAGTCGCTTTTACGGAAACGAAGGATGTCGACCACCGTCTCATAGAACGTATACAACAAATTGATCTGGAGCAGAACCGGGCCAAGGAGTGTCTGCTTTATGTTCGTCAAATCAAAGATTTTAAACGCTGTTTGCGGGACTTGGGTGTTGCCATGGAACGCCAGCATTGGGAACAAGCCGCCGATTGTATTCATCAGGCAAACAGCACATCTTCCGCAATCATTAACAGTGAGTTTGCAAAGATCAGTGTTCCCAGTACTGAGCAACCACTGGTTCCCGTAGAAACACTTCGTCAAGCAACGGATTCCCTATACACTCTCTTTCTTCGTGAATTCCAGAGAGCTGCTCGAGAGCAAGATCAACGGAAAATTACTCGTTTCTTCAAACTGTTTCCGTTAATTGGAAAGGACAAGGAGGGTGTAGATGCGTATTGGCATATCTTTGGCGGCCTTATTGCAGCCAAAGCTCGGGCAACCATGGATCAACCTGTCTCACATGTACTTTTCTTCTCACAAGCATTTGCTGGACTTTTGGAACACGTTTCCACCATTATAAACAACCACTTGCCTCTCGTGCATCGGTACTATAAAGCCGAGAATGCAATTGATGTGATAGGGAAACTTCAGTCGGATTGTGACCACCAGGGTACTCTTATTATTAATACTATGCTGGAAGAACGGAAAACGTTACAACTCATTGCCCAAATTCGTTCCTACACGTACCAATCACTCAAAGCCCGTTTACAAGGAAGGGTGATTCCAATAGAACAACGTGAGGCCGAGGCCGTTCCACTGCTTACGTTGCACCCTGTTCTCAATGAACATGGCAGCATCTTCTCTAGATGGAACGCCTACAAACAGTTTATTAGCCAGCTTGTCTGGCAACTCGGTCGTGATGAGTACAAACCAGGCGCGCCTATCACTATTCCCGAAGGGACCAAAGTGCCTCTTGCGCCGCTGTTTGCCAAAAGTCGTATTGAAGAGTGTCTCGCACAGAGATTGTTGTCTATGCAAATTGAGATGGAACGTTACTATTTCCGGCACAGCGTTGAAATTGCTCTTGAAATGGAAGAAATGGACTGGAGTAACATGCCGTTTGTAAGCTCGCTGGTTGACGATGTCATGTATATTGCAAAGCAAGTCTTGGAACGGCTGTTCTACGCTGGAAATGCAAAACTCTTTTGCACTTTTGTTGATGAGACGTTTGTAAAGGTTTTGACGGATGATTTTACAACTTATGTCCTTTCCAAAGAGAATGCCATGCGTACCATGCCAAAGAACGTAGTTCCCAGGCGAGGTGTTTCACTGAAACCCAGTGAAAACCACAATAACCAACTTTGCGCACTCCTAAACATCGCTTCTTTGGTTGCCAATTTTGCCAGACGTATCACGGATGCTTTAAGACAGAACATCCAACAAGTGTACGGTTTTGGTGAGGACACCTTTGTCGTTGAGAAGTCCCTTTCAAAAATTGATAACTTCGTTAAAAACTTTGATCGTATTCAAGACAGAAATCTCTCTATATACTTTTCGACGTTCGTTATTCCAAAAATCAACAAGTTGCTGTTCAACTCATTTGGCACTGTGAACTACAAGATGTCACTTGAAGAATACTCTGCTGTTGCGGATGCGAAAAGGTCCAATTTAGCACATCTTCGTCCTCAATGGAAAAAACTGACGGAATTCCCCGAATTCACTTTAGAGAATCAGACACAATTGCTTGAACTCTCGTGCAAGGAAGCTGCTCATATTCTGGAAGAATACCTACTGAAAAAGTTTCAGTGGACGGAGTACGGTGCGATGATATTAGAGAGCGACATATCTTCTGCCATTTCAATCTTTGTTTCCGACCACCAACGGTACCGATCATTCTTTAACAAACTTCAAGAGCTTCTCATGCTTGTTGTTTGGGAGAGCGAGAAACCAGATCCTCAACAGGTTTTGAATGACTTAAACTTGCAAGAAGTGAATGTAAATGATGTTCGTACAATGCTGTCTCGTCGCGTCGACTCATAATAGAGCTAGTCAAACGATCTTCGTGGGTACAATACCACAAGCTAATCCATTTCAAACCTTCTATTTTGTCATTGAGTAATCGCTATTTGTTGACTGATCTCGAGTGTTTCAATTATGACTACTAGGAAAATACCGAACGACAACAACAAGAAAGAACCCGTTTACGAATCTAATATTTATGAAAATGTGAACAACGCACTCTCTATTGTTCCACTATAGAATGCCTAACACGAAATAAATCCCATGCCAGCGAGTCATACTTTCTTCCTCCAAACACCCTCCTCACCTACACTCTCATCGCCAACGTTTTTACGACAAACATAAAAAAATGGCTTCTTCTCTTGAATACTCACTTTTTGGATTAGAAAATCCTCTGCTTGACTACTATATTGCCGGCGGTGAGGAAATCTTGGCCAAATATGGTCTGAAGGCAAATGATGCTATCCTTGCTGGCGACGAGCACATGGGTATCTATACTGAGGCCTGCAGCAGTTATAGTGCCGGTGGTGCTGCTCAAAACAGTATGAGAGCTGCTCAATATGTTATGCCTCCCAACTCGACTGTTTTCACTGGATGCGTTGGTAACGACAAGTTCGCTGAGATGCTTCGTGAGTCCAATGACAAAGCTGGCCTTCGTAGTGAGTTCTCCGTCGACCCTGACACTCCCACTGGTGTCTGTGCAGTTGTTTTGACGAAGAACGGTGCCAACCGTTCTCTGATTACCAACTTGGGTGCTGCAAACCACTATAAGCTTGAGCACTTGCAAAAGCCCGAGGTTTGGGCTTTTGTGGAAAAATCAAGGGTCATTTACGTTGGTGGATACCACTTGACTGTTTGCGTGGATGCTATTCTGGCTCTGGCCAAGCATGCTGCTGAGAAGAATAAGCCCTTCGTTCTTAATCTTAGCGCCCCCTTCATTCCTCAATTCTTTAAGGATCAGCTTGACTCCGTAATGCCTTACGCTGATGTTGTCATTTGCAACGAGACTGAGGCCGCTGCTTTTGCTGAAAGCCACGGTGTCGAGTCTACCGATTTGAAGGATATTGCTTTGGCCATTGCTGGTTATTCCAAGGTGAACAACGCTCGCAGTCGTGCTGTCGTAATCACCCATGGTGCCGAGTCTACGAACGTTGCTCAAGATGGTAAGGTCACCGTTTACACTCCTAACCGTGTCCCTGCCGAGGAGGTTGTCGACACCAACGGTGCCGGCGATGCATTTGCAGGCGGTTTTATTGCAGCTCTGGCCAAGGGTCAAGGTATCGACTATGCCATTACCTTGGGTCACTGGCTCGGACAAGAGTGTATCAAGGTGAGTGGTACTACTTTGGCTGAGCCTAAGAAGCAATACCCTCTTCCTTAAGTCAAGCATGGTTCTCTAGTATTGAACTAGTCTCTCCATTGGAAGTGTAGGTTTGTATACATTAATTCTTCGGTGGATGGGTGTGAAGCTGCCCAAGCAATTTGCCTCACCAGTATCTCCAGGTTGTAGTGCAAACTGAAAACACTGGCGCCTGTGCCGGGAATTTGTCAGGTTTCCGCTCAGTTTGATTCTCAGCTCTGTAATTCTGTGTATTTTGTAATTGCTTCAGAATTTCCGCGTTGCGGCGCCTTACGCCTCCTTATACATAAATAACGAACAGCAACGAATTACATAACGCTGCATTATTCTTCTTAACAGTGCGTTACTGCTTATGTCATATTCGTTTATGGTCTACTTTATTTTATTCCCGCAAAGCTTATATATTACTCCACCTTGCCCCCACTAGTCCGAGACCAGACTATAGAGGCTGCTGCTCCAGCTTTCACCATACCAGGACGTGCACCTGTTTCCAGTCATCGATGCGAAGTTCTCTATTAAACTTTCTATTCTTCACATTTATTGCAGCTGTTGCTGCAGTGAACGAGAGAGTTTTGGCTATCTTTGACCATGAGCACGCAGACTATGAAAGTTTGCTCGATTCTCTTCGTGGTACGCGCTTTTTCCTTGATTTAACGGCATCATTCTAACGAAATGAAATGTAGAACGCGACTTTGATGTCACTGTTAAGGATGTGAAGGCGCCCGATAGCTCTCTTTTTGAGTTTGGAGAACGCAAGTACGACGACTTGCTGTTGTTCAGTGCCCGTAACAAAGGTATGTGTGCTGCACGAAGATTCTGTTTCTTTGCTGTGTAGGAGTACGTTGACTGACCTCATCTTTACTAGGTCTTGGTGCATCTTTTTCTCCCAAGGCTTTAATTGAATTTGTCGAAGACGGAGGAAACATTCTTTTGGCCGCCGGCACAAATGTGCCCGAAGGACTGCGTGAATTCGGTCGTCAACTTGGCATTTTTGTTGCCGAAAGAGGAAACGCTCTCGTAGATCATTTTGCGTCGGTTGGATCTGAGGATCATCAGTTAGTTGCTCTTGACGAATTTTCCAGCTCGAAATACATCGTCTCCGACGAAACACGTAACGCTGGCGCAGTCCTGTACAAGGGTTCCGGACATGCTCTGGGAGAAAACCCTCTTGTCGAGCCTGTTTTGCGCGCCAAGACTACTAGCTACCTTTACAACCAAAAGTCTGAATCCGAGAGTTCCGCACATCCTTGGGCTGCCGGATCGCAACTCTTTGTGGTGAGTTCCCTCCAAACCTTGAACGGTTCTCGTGTTGCCTTCAGTAGCAGCTTGGATATCTTTAAAAACGAGTACTTGTCGCCTTCGTCTGAGTCTTACAACGCTGCCAATGCTCTCTTTGCCCGCGATCTGACGAACTGGGTGTTCCAACGCAGTGGTCGTCTCGTCCTCGAGAACATGACTTACGGTTTGATTTCCGAATCGGTCGAGGAGCGTAATGGTCCTGTGTACCGTATCAAGGATGAAATGGAATTCACGGCCGATATGTCTGTATACGAGAATGGTGTCCGTAAGCCTTACATTGCCTCCGATGTTCAGATGGAGCTTGTCATGCTTGATCCCTACTATCGTTTGAACTTTGAGCCTGTTGAAAGCGACTTGAAGGACGCTCAACGTTATTCCGTCAAGCTCGTTGCACCTGACCATTATGGTGTTTTCAGCTACAAAGTTCGTTACTCTCGTCCTGGCCTTACGAACATTGACGAAAAGCAAACGTTCACCCTTCGACAATTCCATCACAACGAGTATCCTCGTTTCTTGCCCCATGCATACCCTTACTACACGTCTGCCTTTATTGTCTTCGTTGGTTTTGTTATGTTTGCTGGTGCTTGGCTGTTTTTCAAGCCTGCCGCACCTTCTGTAAAAAAGCAACAGTAGATGATTTCTCACGAAACTCACCATTGATGAATGAACTACATGTACTTTGAACTTAAGTGAAGGCAATTGCATTCACTGCATACCTTTCGATCGTTCACGTAGAGGACGTGGAAGGAAGGTCATCTTCACGTCTGCGAGTTTTGCTGTTAGCGAAACTAAAATAATGAGATTTGTTCAAATGTTTTATGATACGTAGCTGTCAATCTTCTGTGTGAAACATCACGAACTTTGCACGATGATGTAGATTGTTTGCATGTCTTTTTGTCATTCATCTAAATACATCCGACTTGAATTCGGCCCTGCCGCCATAGACCGCTCACCGATAAAGATTAGACACGCGAAGTCGTCGGTGCTGATTTTTCCTCACAACTGCCATCTTAACGGTTAGTCAAGATTCTGCCTGCGTGAGTGTAGAGTAAAGAACTCCTTTTTAAGTTTTCATGAATTCACAATTTAAGAATTACAATGACAAAACTCGTCTACTCTTAAAAAGGCGAAACTTCAAAGAAGCATTGAGCTATATAACTCATTGCATAGAACGGGAACCAAACCCAACAATGGAGCTATTTGAGCTAAGGGTTATTGCTTTTGAGTATCTGAAAAAATATGATGAAGCTCAAACAGATGCAAAACGAATGATACATTTAAACAATAAAAGCGCTAAAGGATACCTACGCCTTGGTAAACTGCAGCAGTTAAGCAATCAAGACGGAATGGCAGATCAAACATACGCACTTGGATTAGCAAATGTTCACAAGTTAGATCCGCTGCTACCCGTGCTTAGGAAAGCGAGTGAGCAGCTTGCTAGACGATTACAACTTTCAAGACCAGTAATGAACCTATTTGCTCGGTTTCCCAAAGAAATTATAATCAAGATTTTTGATAATCTCGACTTCAAAACGGTTGTCAGATGTATGCAAGTTTCTCGACTATGGAGCAAGAGTATAAAGAAAGAACCCGCATTCTTTCGACGACTTGACTTTACGTATGCTAAGCATGGGAGTGTTATGAATCGCGATAAAAATGTAATGTGTATCGCAAGGTACTCCGCCTATGCGAAAAACGAGATACAGTCTGTTATAGGTGTTGAGAAACTAGGCATCCTTACACCTTCGAAAGCACTCCTTCGTTGTGTGCCTTCGTTGACTGAATGGCAAACAATTTCCGAAATTAAGGTCCCTCAACTTGACAAACTGCATTTGATATGGACTCCATTTTCAAATTTACAATTTCTTCACTGCAACACGCCGGTAACATTTTCAACAGCAGCACGTATTCTGCACTCTTGTCCCAAACTCGTTGAACTTACGTTTAAGAGCTTAATCCCAGACCTTTTATTCGATTCTATGGAATGGAAAGACACTGCTACGTTTCAGTCGCCAACCTTCAGCTTGAAGCAACTTGTATTTTTACGAGACCAAAAGTTCCCCTTGCATGAAACTGAAACTGAATTCCTGCGACAAATTCTCCAAAACTCACCATCTTTAGAAACCCTGACCGTAACATATCAAAACAATTTGTCCGGACTTCTTCAACAAGCACCGTGCAAATTAAAGAAGCTTTCCGTCTTTGATGACTCCCACAATCCCTCACCAAAAAAATTATTCATCTCATCATCCGTAGAATGCCTTACTGTTGAACCTGGGCTGCCCAACTTGGCAATCAGCTCTCCGTACGATATCCAATCGGCAGAAGGAGATATTGAGCTTCGAGAACTCTTACTTAATCTCTATGTGCGACTATCTCAAGACATTGTTACAAAAACGACCAATTTCCTAGAAAAGTGCAGACACCTTCGCTCACTCATACTGAAGGATGCCGTAGCTCTCAATGATCAGCTAGCACAAATTATCTCCTTCTTCCCAGACTTACAGGTCCTCGATCTTTCGGACAACATATCAGTTGACGACAAATTCGCAACTGTCTTGGGCACAATGTGCCCACAAATTAAGCAATTAAATCTGTCAGGCTGTCCGTCACTCACTGGACGAGGTCTTCTGTCACTAGTTAAAACACTTACTCAACTTGAAAAGGTTTCCATTCTACATTGCGATTTAGTGTCAAAAGAGACAATTAGTTTTGTCCGCAACAAAGGTATCAAAGTGTATACAAGCACATACACAAGTGTTCCAGTGAACGGTACAAAACGCCTTAAACTAATATAGTTAGTAATCCGAAAACGATATCCAAAAGGCACTCGCGAATAGACGTACTTAAACATACAAGGAAACAATCAACATTACAACTAGTCCCGTCACTTCATGTCATAGCATCATATTAATCAAAAAGAAAAAAACTAAGAAAAACCCAAAAAGAAATACAAGATATTTAACAATACTAAGGAGGTTCATCATGAGAAAAAACTATACCTACCCACTCATCATTACAAAGAACCAGACAAGGACGAAAGCAAAGCAGACTTGGCGGTAATTTTAAAATCGTTGCCCTTCGAAGAATCCTGCTGCACGCTAACAGCATCCTTCGTAGCTAATACCAGAACGTCAAAGAACAATTGCACAGCTTCGTCGCGCTTGTAACCAGTACTTAACTCGGAAAACGATTTCGTCTCACCTTCGACACTAGGATACCATTTTGTCCGAAGATAATCCGAGGCGTTTTGTGTACTTAGAAGACTTGTTTCAAAACCGAAATCACTACCGCCAAGCCCACCCGTAGAGTCGGATTCAGGCATGTAAATAGGATTGGCTCCTTCAGCAGTAAGCTCTGCAGAAACATTAGGCAATGGAGGCAGACCAGCTTCTTGGGGAAGATCATCCTGTTGAGCGTCCTGTGGCAGTACGGGTAGCTGCTCTTGCTCAGGAGATGCTGGTGGCAGCTGTTGTTCAAGAGGAGGAAGATCTTCATCATTTACAGGAAGCGGCACTGTGAGTGAAGGAGGAGCAATTTGTTCCTGTTCGGCCTGAGTTTGGACGTCATTCTCTTGGATTTGTTCGGCAGCTTCCAAAGGAGCTACCTCAAGCTCGGCAGTTTGAGGCGGACGAGATGGAGACGAGGAAATGGATTCACGTCTGGATTTTGTTGGTGTATTTGGAGCTTCGTCGACACTTTCAAGCTTACGCTTTGCAGAACGCACAGCCAATCGTTTTAGTGATTCGACACGAAGTGATTGCGAAATTAATGGGTTCAAATTAGACGAGGCCAAGACATGAGACAGGTTCCCCGACTTGTCAAAGCTAAATAAAGCATTCATACCAATACGGTTATTAGGGACAACTTTAAGAGGAGCTTTAATAGCAGACGTGTTGGCGAGCTGCTTTTTTATTTGCTGAGACGACATCTCCGTAATCGGATCAACAATGGCCTTTCTGCGTCGAGGAACTCGAATGGTAGAAGGAGGGGGCATGGACGGCTTGTCGATGACACTTTCGTTTGCCTGAACAGTGTCCGAAACATTTTGGGGGGCAGCTTTTGTTGGGGATACTGCTGTGACATCGGCGGCGGCAGCAGCAGCGGCAGCAGTAGCGACGACTTCTGTTCCGTCGTCCTCGTGAATCTCTGAAAGCAAGACTCCCACACCTTCATCCGCAGGTCCAAGACCGTCGCTGCTGGGGGGATTAGGGCCCAAGGTATCGGAAGAAGGAGCTTCGTTGGCAGAGAAAAGCGGTTCTTCTGCTGCGTCTGCCAGGTCGTCAAGTCCCAGGTCCAGCTGCAAGTCTTCCACCGGAGCCAGCAACTGTCCCTCTAATTCTTCGTTACCGATGGGCAACATGACAGGCGTGCCTAAACCTGTGATACTGGGGGAATGTGTGAGAGAAGCGGCGTGAGGAGACAAGAAACCACTGAGATCTGTTTGTAAGAGGGTTGCCGCTTCTCGCCCCATTTCTACTGAAACGTGCGAGTTTTTACCGTCTGAATTCAACGAATGCGGCGTTCCAGGAAGGGGAATTGTGTTATTGGCACCGCCAATGGAACTACTGTCGTCGCTGGGCAAAAAGTTTCCAAGCGTCGTATTTCCCGCGCTGCGTTCAGCATCACGGCCGACTTCAACGGACGATGAGGAGAAGGAAGGGGATTGCGTGGACGGGAGGGTGCTGAAGTCGAGCGGACCAAAACCCTTCTGAGGAGTGTGTAGCAGTTGTGAGAGTTGAACGTCGAAGGACATGTCGGGAGCCAGGATATCAAATTCTGTCAGTGTTTCCGGCAGCGTGAGACTTGCGCTCTGGGCAGCAGTCTCTGCCTTTTTTGAAATGAGCAATGAGGGATTCTCGATGGTGTCGAGCTTTGCTGGGCGAAACGCCATTTTAATTTTGATCAGAGCCTCCGTGCAATCCTCCAACAAATAACGCGTTTTTCTCGAGTAAATACGGACTACGCCCAGCATAAGCTGACTAGACAGACGCAGAGCCATGGGAGCCTGCTCCTCATTCACGATTGCGTCTACACTTCTTTCGATACTCGTGTTCAGTGTCTGCGACTTGGACAACTTGCGTTCCCAATGCGCTGCGAGCCATACCTTCGCTAGCGGGCCCTACGTGTGTTAGTACATTCAAGAGAAAAGAGATATTGTGTGCGATTCGCTTACGCGCTTCGAGAGAATGGCTTCTGAGTAGAACATGGCGCAACAGGATATGCAAAGGACTCAGGAAACGGACGGACAGTACTTCTGAGTCTTCAGAGGCAATTTATGTGGTCGTGCACGCCAAATTACACAAATTGAGCTTTGTTTTGGTTCAACGGGTTGCTGGTAGTTGGCAGGTGAATTAGGGCCCTCGGTTGTTGATAGCAACAGTGGGGGTGTGGGGTGTGGAGGCCATGAGGTGGGATATGCGATGAAATGGGGGCGTTGTGGGGCACAGTGGGCGGGCGTGGGGGATGCAGGGAGTCCCCACCTACCCCCACGCCTAATCGGACAAGGTGCCCTCTGTTCGCCGGTGGGCTCCTCCGGCATACGGCCGGCCGTTGCGTAGCCGCCGCGGACGCCGGGTGAAGCGGGGGACGCTGTTCGGGCAGGTTTTGTGAGACGGCGAGGTTGTGGGCGACACGTACGCAGGATCGACCGCAGGGTCAGCCGTAGGGGACGGGAAACGCGCCTCGAGGTTCGGAGACACGTCCGGCTGGAAGGGCGATTGCAGCGGTGCCCGGTCGAGAAAGACCTTGGGCGACTGAGGTCGCATTAAGCTAGTCGGTTAGCGAGGAATGCATGCGACACGCGCCGTCATCACCACCACATACGAAGCGAGGTTGGTGTCGATACGAAATCGCTTAATGTCGCGTTTCGGCCGAGTCGACTTGACAAGCTTGAGCAGCTGTATCCGCGTCGCTTCAGAGCTGTGCGGCCATGTGGAGTGGGAGAGAATGACGTTGAGCGTGCTGTGGATCAGCTTCGCCGGCGGATCGGTGGGATCATAGGGCCCCAGCGGGGCGCCCTCGCACAGCTGCTTGAGCACGGTTTCCCAACACTGTAACGGTTAGTGAGATGCTGTGGGCTGCACGCTGCAGAGCGCAGCAGCGCGCTGGAGCGCGAACTCCGAGATAATGCAGCGTGGTGCATTGCGCAAAAACAAATACCGCTTCGCAGCACGACGCACCAGAACACCATACAGCCCACTAACGCGCACTGCCGTGCAGTGTGTGCATTTTATGTGCTGCAGAGCACTTCGCTGTATCGCCGTAACGTACACTAATCACAAACAAATCGTCCTCCGTAGTCCATACGGCAGGCCGATCGGCCTCCCCGTCGCTGCAGGGTGCCCTGAACGGGCCAGCAGGCAGCCGATGAGGCGTCTCCGGCGACTCGTCCATGTCGTCTGGAAGACGTGGAGCGCCATTGAGCAGGCCCTCGCGACTGAGGGTTATCTTAGAAGGTTTTCGCCGCTTGAACATATAACGGACGGTGTTTACGGCAACAGGCTTGGGAAATCGGACGCACGCAGACGCATACACAGCACAACACCGGATAGAGGGGAAAAGGTGGAAGGGACGGTCGACAGTGTCGGGGGGAATCTTCGTTGACAAAAAGCGCGGAAAAAAACCTCAGCAGCGACAAAACGTTCAGACGGAATTTCGTTGGCTCCGGTTAACAATGGACAGACTAGGTGTTTGTATCAAACGCGTGTGGTCATTGAACAAGGAAGGAACAGGCGGCAGCACGACACCCCGGGAGTTAGCTGTTCTTAACTTTTGTCATTGGTTTTTCCGACAAATGCACGCGTCAGTTGTAAAAGACCCCTGGCTGTGGAACCGTTCGCTGCTTACGCGTGTTGGTTGAAACCGTATGAAACAGGCGGCGTGTTCAAAGGCACCGCGGAGGCTTTTGTTTGTTTCTCCACCTCCAGGACTGCTCCATCTGCGACGTCAGTCCCGCGCAGAGCATACGTCATCGGATGGCCTCCAACCGATTGACTTTTCCGAGATGGGAGGCTGAGAGGTGTGTGCGAGGCCAGGGATGCAGATAGATGTGGGGTGGAAAGGGGGTGCTGGCTAGACGAGTTAACAAGGGAGACTCAGCAGTGAACAAACCATCACTTGTCCTTAAAATAGACATTAGGGAGCAGCAGGAATTCGCCAGATGCCCCCTCCAATGCTCCCCGGCGTGCTCCACGTGTCATGCCCCGCTTGTTGGCGTCATGAGACTCCGGAGATAGACCACGTGACGGACACTAGACAGACGGTCTCCGACATGTATTGGCTTATATTGCGCATAGCGTCGCAGCGTGTCCCCGGCCCCCAGGGGTGGAAAGCTTATGTCCAATAAGATAAACCACCGCCCGAAAGCCGACAGGGCGGCCGAAAAGACGCGACACGCTGGACGCGTTGCTGCCATATCAGAGCCCAAAGGATTGGGTAAAAAACAACAGACGCAGCAAAAAATCATTTAATTGTTAGATCACACTGAGGCTGACTGTGCTGATTGCGCTGGAGATGATCGTGTTTTTGTGTTTGCGTGCCTAGATTACACGCTGCACAGCAAGTGTGCGTTTTTTGAGGTCACTGATGCGCTGTTGCTGGCGCTTCAGGAGGTTTTGCAGCTCGGTAAGCTCGGACGGCTTGATGGACAACGGGGAGGAAGGGGAGAAGGAGGACGAGATGGCGGCGGATGCGGAGAAGGACGAAACGGAGGGAAGCACGACGTTGGGCGAAAGCTTACGCTGCTGCTGCAGCCGTTGGACACGGGCCTTCAATTCGTCGAGACGGGCCACGTAGCCTCGCTCACCAAGCACACGGGTCTTGCACCGCTCAATCTCCTTGATGAAGGCCTTTTCTTGATCACTCAGCTCAGGGACATTGTGCTCCATGAACCGCTGCAACACCTTGTCGGTTCGGCTCTCGAGGGCCTTTTGCCGTTCAACTAGCTCCTGGATTCGGTCCAGCGGCACCGACTGATCGCGGAGATGCTGGACACGCTGGGTGTATTCACGTACCCGGTCAAATTGTCGCAGCAGCTCGTGAGCCTGCAAGTCTAGTCGCTCGTGCATGCGATACGTTCCTTCCTGCACGGCCACGAGTGCTTCCCGAGTCTGCGCAACGACAGTGGAGAAGTAGCGTAACGTGTCCGCGTCCACACTCAGCGGGCCACGGAGCCCTGAGGGCACAACGAAGCGAAGACTAGCGTCGGGAAGCTCGGGACGACGAAAGACGGGCGGGGTCAGTAGCGACGAGTACTGTGGAATGAGCAAGGATGCGTCTTCGCCAGTTCTCAGCTCGGGGTCGAGGAGGAGGGAGTCGAGCATGTTTGTGCTTGCATCCACTAGGGCAGTGCCCTCAGCGGCAGAGAGAGCCCTGGCGTCCATCGGCGCCAGGGGATCGCTCATCACGCTCACACACGTGTCGCGCGTAATGGCCACAAGCGCTGGCCCGTACAGTGGATGCCGCAACGATGCAAGCCCAAACACCGCATCACCCTTCCCCTCGTGAAGGGCATCGGTCTCCAGTCGTTGCTGCACCATGGTTGTTTCGGAAATTGTGCCGAGGACTTCCTGTACACGGTCGGTCTCCTCGCCGTCCGTGTCTTCGTCCTCACGCTCCACCTCTTCATCGGCCGCCGCCTCTGAGTCCGGCTCGGCGGTGGTAAGGGGAAACGCGCCGTCTTCGAAAGCCTGCGACAGCTCCTCCACCCAATGCCGGCAGTCAATAGTGTGCACGCCGCTAGCGTGATAAATGTGAACGACGGCATTGGAGTGAACATCCTTTTCCAGCACGGCGTATGGTGTCGTGACACCGAGACTGAAAGAGTGCACATGTGATAGAATGCGGGACGAGAGTTCGTGCATGCGGGCGCGGATACGCCATTCGGCCTGCACTTCAGAAACAATGAGCCACAAGCTGACTATGCCGGCGGTGTTGACACTCATCAGCACATCCATCGGTTCGACGCCCAGCGACACCAGACCGCAAGCGTCGGCCGTCTCGGAGTAGTCCTGTCCGGCGGGCTGAAGAAGGAAAGGTTCCTGAAGTGCAACTTCAAGGTGAATGTTCGAGGGTCGCTGAACAACAACGAGTTCTCTGTCATCAGCATCGTACACACTGCTGTCCAGCGTCCGTAAATGAAAATCCCGTTCAAGAGAAATCTCTCCCAGAATAGTTGTAATCCATCGTAATTGCTGACGAGTCATCTCCGTTGGCTGCTCCTTATGCCGCATCTTGACAAATGTAGCCAAGTCCTGACACTGGGCACGCGTAAGCACGCTGTATTTAGGCAAAACGGGGCAAATCATTTGAATGTCGCCGTTTTTCATTATAACGTACACCGTACACAGGCCCCAGCCCAGCCGTGACGAGCTGAAACAGAAACCTGCCGGTTCGCGCTCATCGAGAAACGCGCTAAAAGTGCCATTCGCACTGATGTCCGAGAATCCGACGGTGAAGTCTGGCTTCACAAATCCACGACGCACCTCGAGCAACTGAAGCTCTGTTTCTGTGAGCACAACAAGGCACTTGTCTGACTTGCTGTACGGATGGAACTTGGCTTCTACGACGCGATCCTCGAAAATGCAGACTGAGGAAGAAGACGCGATATGGATGTCATCACTTGTGTCAGACGGTACAGAGAAAGAGGCCAATGTCGAATCGGGCAACAAGCTCACGTCTGCATTTCCTTCACTTTGCTGATTGCGTGCAGGGTTTGGGAGGTGCAATGAGTGGATGCTAATTACGACCACTTTCTTTTCGCCAACCAACGCTAAATAACGGCCATTCGGACTCGAACAGATTTGTAGAATGTCGTAATCAACGTCAGTGACTTGTATAGTTTTGTATTCATACTGTTCGCTCGGATTTGAGCCTTTGACGGCGCTACAATCGATCCACCGAACCGTTTTTCCCACTGCAAAGAAAAGAGCTGCTTCAAAAGCGCAAAGGCGTTTTGGTGGAATGTCAGCAGCTCCTGGCAGCTTCGTCAATGTCTGAAACGCTGGATGCTGCTCGATGGCATCCGTCCATGAAACGTGTTTGGGCATTGGGCTGCTGGTGGTTGCTTCGCTGTGCGTTTCACCTCCATCTGGGATAGTGCGCGGAAACTCCGCGGCTGTTCCGCCAAAAGCAAATAACAATTCTAGAGCGATTCCGTGTGAGCCGTGAGGTGAGTGAGGACAATTCTGTTATGTATGAGAGAAGGGGGCAGAGAGCATTGAGAAGCACTGGCGAAATGAGACAGTAATGAGAAAAATGGGAGATGAATACAACACATACGTTTTCATCGTACCGCTTCCGCCAAGAATTGGCTAACCGTTTATTCGTTAGGATACTGCATTGCTAATGGAGAGTGTTGGTAAAGGGCAAGTTTCTCTGCTGCCAATTAAGGTTTTCATATCGCGTCGACCGCGACGCGTTACGTAGTTGTAACCTTAATTTTGCAGGAAACGCGAAAACACCAGAACGCGTCGCCCTTACTGTTGCCAAACGCAAACACCAGTGTTCAGACGACAGCTCAAGAAAAATGACATCGCTTCCTAGATTGGACGCTATTTCGCCCTATATTCTGCGTAATGGATGGTCAAATCCAGCAATTCTCGAAAAAGTGAAGGAATCCTGCTGCGTGTACGTTGGCAATCTTTCGTTCTACACAACCGAAGATCAAATCTACGCTCTGTTCTCAAAATGCGGTGAAATTAAACGTATTATTATGGGAATTGATCGTTTTACGAAGGTGGGTCTCGTGGTTTCTCTTCATTCTTGCTAGTGAAGAAGTTGCTGTGAAACAATTTACACATACTAACGACATGGTGTAGACACCTTGTGGATTTTGTTTTGTTGAGTACTATACACACGAGGATGCTCTCGACAGCCTCAAGTACGTTTCTGGAACGGCTCTGGATGAGCGTATTATCCGTGCTGATTTGGACCCTGGTTACGAAGAAGGCCGCCAATATGGTCGTGGTGCCTCTGGCGGACAAGTTCGTGATGAAATTCGTGAAGAGTTTGATCCCGGTCGTGGTGGTAGGCAATTGGAGTTACTGTTGATGCTTTTTGTTCACCTTTTGCTAACATACATAGGTTATGGACGAGCACATGGAGGCAAGCGCGATGCGGAGCGTTCTCTTGCAAACTATACCGGTGTTCAACAGGCTCCTTCTGGCTCTTCTCTGAGCGTTCAAAGCAATCCTCGTTATCGACAAGAGTAGGGAAAAAAAGTTTTGGTAATGAGACGTCCAACTTTTCTGATACAGGAGTACTCATTACATCTGTCCATGGACTCCCTCAACGCTATTCAAGTTTTCCGATAGCTTTTAAAGCGTCTTCCCAAGACAAAAATTTTGCAGAATGACTTCCTCTTCTTTGACCGCCTGTTTTTTCGTGCAACTCAATCTTTTTCCAGTCATCCCATGTTACATACGGGTGTTGTAACTCGTGTTCAATAGCTTGCCAACCGCGTCCGCTGTTTTCGAGGAAAGAAGTTCCGGTTTCCCAATCCTTCAGTATTTTGTCGGCCGTGCCGAATGCATCCATCATGGTCACTGCAATCACTCCAATAGGCCCGTTCTTCAACCAACCGCTCGTGTAAATGCCAGCGGCTGCACGACCATTCTCGTTACGAATGACATTTTTCTTCAGGTCAAAATGGGTCCCCACTGTTTCCAATCCATCAAGCGGCTCACTCTTATACCCTATGCTGCGAATGATAAGTTGTGCGGGCAACTCATGAAAAGCCTTGTCCTGTTGTGAACTAGGCCTGTTGTCATGAAAACGAATGCTAGAAGCTGCTCGGTTGCCATCACCGAGTACTTGAGCAGGAGTAAGCTCGTTTTCGAAGCCCCAGACGATGGCTCCGGCGGTTTCCTCACTCTTCGTTTCTTGCTTGGAATACAGAAACGTTAACAGACGCTTGCGTGCACGGTCAAATTTTTGTTTCATTACTTTGTCCCAATCCACTGGATGGATGGTAAATGGATTGTACGCTGCATTTTCTATAGCGAATAGCTCTCGCAATTCCTTCAAAGTGCAGGGGAGGTGCTCGATCGAACGGCGGCCCACGAGTGTAATGCGTTTAATTGTGCTGTTTCTCATTGCATCTAGAAAACGTGGACTAGCATCTGTGTGAGCAAGTTTGTCGGGCGGCGTCATGAGCATTCGAGCAACGTCAAGAGAAACGTTTCCCTGACCGACAATGACAACGTCCCGGACTTTATCCATAGCAAGGTTTACATCTTGGCACTCCGGCAATCCATTGTACCAGCCTACAATTTGTCGAGCGGAGAGAACACCCGACAGATCCTCTCCGGGGATTCCCAAAACACGATCACCGCTTGCCCCATAAGCCAAGACGAGGCAATCATAATTCTGCGCAAGCGTCTTTAGTTTAACGTCCTTGCCGACATGTACGTTTCCCACGAAACGAAAGTGAGGATAATTAGCAACTTCAGCAAATTTGTTTTGGACGTTCTGTGGATGTTAGTAAGTGTGTTGGAAACGAAGAAAGAGCGAATCCCGCTTTTCGCCCTGTCTCTCACCTTTACTTCAGGATGATCAGGAGCGACACCGTATCGAACGAGGCCAAACGGAACGGGTCTTCGTTCGTACATATCAATGCGCGTGTCAGGGTTCTTTTGCAAAAGTCGGTAAGCGGTATAGAAGGCCGATGGTCCGGATCCTACAATGCCTACTAGTGGTCCTCTGCTGCGTATGGGCAAGGAACTCATGAATCGAGCTGCAACCGCATTCCGTGCGGGTAAACGAGAACAATTCGTCAGCGAGATCATTCTTATTCAATTTTTTAGAGACGACGGACCGGGAGTACTCGCCAAGTCTAGTGAGTATTGGCAGCACAAAGTATTCAGCAGTAATCAACAGTATATGCCAGTGTCTACAGTCAACAACGAAAACCGTCAATTTCTTCAAAAATGTAGCGATGGTTACCGGTTACCAGTACAGATATCCGTTCTTCTCACTTTTCTTTCACAATACACTAATAAAACCTTTGGGTATCGATCGATGAATTCACGGAACGGCGGCTATTGTTAATTCCCAAAAAAAAAAATTTCAACAATCGACAGTCAAACACAACCTTTCTGTACCAAAAAGCTCTGACGGAACCAGTTTTCAACTCCACGAACGCACACTACTAGCCGTTTTCTACTACTAAGGTTTCGCCAATACAAAGTTTCTATTAGGTTGGCTAAAGTTTCTCCACCAACCGCCAACCACCACCTTCCAACCTCAACCACTCACGTTCTTTTTCGCATTTAAGGACATTTTAACGAAAAGCGATAATCAACCTGGTTTTCGGTCATTTTTTCAACTTCATTCACAACGCGACGCAGGTTGTCACCATTTTTGCGTCTCTCTTTGTTATTTCAACAATCTTGCGTGGTTATAATTTTTTCTAACAAACACGGGTAAATTGTCGGTTGTAAAGTCTTTCCAACGCCGACTTGTGTCTTAACGATTGGTTAGGTCGTGATTTTTTTTTCTATTTTCTCATCGGTTCTCGTTTTCCGTGGATCCGGTTCCTTCGTCCATACTTCTCGTTCAATTTTTTTGAGCTGGCGAAAATTTGTAAAAGCTAATTTTTCTCTCACTCCCTCTGTACTGGAGTCGTGGGTCTGCAAGTGTTCACGCCTTTACAGCAACAACAGTGACAAGGCCAACAACATCCCTTACATACCGTATCATATACGTGGTAAAAACCCCGTGGTTGTTGTTTATCCTCACAATCTTCTCCTGCATTCTTTTCTCCATCAATCGCACGCTCTTGCGTCTACTCAATTCGTCTAATAAGAGCGTCTCCGACACTCGTCCCTGTACTTTACAGCAAAAGCGTTCATTGAGACCGCTGTGTGGTTGCAATCTCGTTCACCCTTAAACGTTTGATCAACAGAGCGAACGTGTTTGCGATTTTTGACGAGCCGTGTACTACAGTGTGTGATCTAATAGCCCTCTACTGGACCTTTTGTGCAACGAATTCTCAACTGCTGGTACAGCAACTGACTAAATTGACTGGCACTGTGCAGCACGTTCATCATCGACTACCTCTGTCCCATCCATTTCTCCTCTTTTCATAATTTACTCCTACGACGACCATGTACCAACAATACAAGCCGGATTATGACCCGGCTGCGGCTGCCGCGCAACAACAGCAGCATCAACAGCAGCAACAACAACAACAACAGCAGCAGCAGCAGCAACAACAACAACAGCATTCTTTCCAAGGGTATCAGCCTCCGCCCACGCATGCGGCAAATATGCATATGATGCCGTATGAACAAGTGATGCATCCTCCTCTTCCGGAAAACAATCGCCCCGAAATGGTAAACACGATGCAGCATTATGAGCAGCCCGTCGTCTCTGCTCCTCCGCCATCCGACTACTCTGGTCTTTTTGAAAACGTTACTAAAGGACTATCAGGCAGTGATGCGCAAGTTCTTGCTGACTACTGGCAACGGATGATTGATAATTTGGAAATGGATAATCAAAACATTAAAACCTTGCAGCTTCCACTAGCAAGAATTAAGAAAGTTATGAAAACGGATGACGACGTTAAGACAAAAATGATTTCTGCTGAGGCACCATTTCTGTTTGCCAAAGGAAGCGAAATTTTCATTACCGAATTGACCATGCGTGCATGGCTCAATGCCAAAAAAAATCAGCGCCGGACGCTACAACGATTAGACATCGCCAATGCAATCTCTAAATCGGAAATGTTTGATTTTTTGATCGATATTATTTCTAAAGACGAGTCTTTCCATCCGCGGACAAATGACTCGCACGCAAGTTTCGTGTTGCCGGGCTATCAGCAAGGTCCTACTTCCAGAGCTTCTCCATCCGTGTTTGATCAAATCCGGATACCGCCCTCTCAAATGACTGTACCGTCGCACCCCTACGCCTTGGGTCCTCAGGCCCGTCAGGCCCCTCCTCAGCATGCCGCTTATGCAGGCCAACCGATGCGTGCTGTCATGAATCCCTCCAACCCTCAACCACAATATCTTTCGTATGGACGCTCATCTGCCTTCCCTGGCAACCCTAATGGAATGCAGGAGACGGGCGAAAAAGGCATATACAAGCAGCAGCAGCAACAGCAACAGCAGCCCCCAGGTGCCCCGGGAAATGAGCCTGATTACATGCGTATGCCTGCGCAAGGCGTCTCTGACACTTCATCCTCCAATAACATGTTGGGTACCCAACGTGTCCTCAGCGTTGCCCCCTATCTCGCTGAACACTTGTATCGCTATCCCCCTACGCACTTGTACGCTATGCCAGGCGCCATGCGTTACTCTCCCACCGTCCAGTACGGCCAACAACAATCCTCTCAACTTTCGCAACAGCAGCAGCAGCAACCCATGGCAGCACCTTATGGTAGCGGAACGGGGGCTGCAACCATGCCAAACGCTGGCGTGTATGAACAATCTGTGTATGCTGGTGATCCTGCAGGCAATCAACCAACACAGCCTTCTCAACAACAACAGATGCCTGCAAACATACAGCAGCAGCAGCCCACGCATCAGCAACAGGCTCCCAACTCGCAACAGTCATCGCATCTTCCACCCCAAGTCCTCTCCCAACAGCAGGTCATGTACTCCCCATATGGCCGCGCCAATGAGTAAAAACGAGCGTCATTTTTGTGTTATTTTCGTCTTTTAATAATTCTTCTATGTTGAACAACCATGTACATTGTTAAATGTTGATCCTTGAGTCTCCGGGAAACACGAGTAATGAAAGGAATCCAACCAACAGGCTGTCCGGAAGTCCCGGAAAGAGCCACCCAAAAACGAATTGAGGATACCGTTCCCTAAAAAGCTGAGCTTACCTGACAACCTCAGAACTCGTCTAGACAGCCCACTCGCTCCCCCTTCTTCCTTAATTCATATAACCCACCGCACAAGCGAGTGCAACCAAAACTAATGGAAATTTGAATTAAGAAATTGAAAGCTACAAACTTGTAGTCAACCGCAGCCAGAGGAAGTCAACGAACAGACAGCCCCAAGAGCCTCGGCAGACACGGTCCACCCCTGCTCGCTAATATGAGGTAAGGTACGAACAAGGATGGCTGCTAATTCTTCTCCTACACCAGAACTGCTCAGCTGATCAAGGACAACAGGCAGGCAGAAAGAGGAGAGAAACTAAACTAAGGGACACGTCCACGGAAGAACAACGACAACCTTCCGCCACCTGGCGACACTCAATTCTTTCACGTCCATCGTCGTATCACCCATCACAAACCTGAAGACCCAAGTGCCGCTCAACACAGCGGCATCAGTCATCGTCGCCAACCCCTAAGCAACAACTTCCCGTTAAAGGCTCGAGACATCTTCAGACACCCTTAGATATCTCGAAACTCAACCGCGAGTCGTTTGATGGAAACGGTGATCCGCGATGCTGCTATTTCGGTAATCACCAGTCGTATTTATACCTTTTTCGCTGTCGGCAAGAAAATTTGCGAACATCAATGTGACTGCTGATATGCGACTGACAAGCCTAGTAAGCGATCACAGGCTTAGCGGCCAATTTGTCGAGTAGACGTGCATAAAAAGTGTTCTCTTCGTCTACAATAAGCTCACCCACAAAATGCCTTCCATTCTGCTTTTGGGTTCTGGATTCGTCGCTCATCCTACGTTGGCCTACTTGGCCCGCCGTAAGGAAAACCAAATCACCGTTGCTTGCCGTACGCAGGCCAAGGCTCAAGCCTTTGTCGGTGACATTCCTAACGCCAAGGCTATTGCTTTGGATGTCTCGGATGAGGCTGCTCTCGAGAAGGCTGTTTCTCAACACGACCTTGTCATCAGCTTGATTCCTTACACCTACCATGCTGCCGTTATGAAGGCTGCCATCAAGTTCGGCAAGCATGTCTGCACTACGAGTTACGTTAACCCCCAAATGGCCGAGCTCGAGGAGGCTGCTAAGAAGGCCGGCTCCATTTGCATGAATGAGATTGGTGTTGACCCCGGTTTGGACCACTTGTACGCCATCAAGACCATTTCCGAGGTTCACAACGAGGGTGGCAAGATCAAGTCTTTCCTCTCCTACTGTGGTGGCCTTCCCGCTCCCGAGGACTCCAACAACCCTCTTGGATACAAGTTCTCCTGGTCCTCTCGTGGTGTCTTGCTTGCTCTCCGTAACAGCGCCAAGTTCTACAAGGATGGTAAGCTTGTCACCATTGACGGTCCCGATTTGATGGACTCTGCTAAGCCCTACTTCATCTACCCTGGCTACGCTTTCGTCTGCTACCCCAACCGTGACTCTACCGTCTACAAGGAGCGCTACGACATCCCAGAGGCCGAGACTGTCATTCGTGGTACCCTTCGTTACCAAGGTTTCCCCGAGTTCGTCCACTGCCTTGTGGACATGGGTTTCTTGGATGACACTCCTCGTGACTTCTTGAACCCCAGTGAGCCCGGTATGCCCTGGAAGGAGGTTGTTGCCAAGGTCATTGGCGCTCCCTCTTCCTCTGAGGCCGATTTGGTCAAGACTATTGTTGCCAAGCACACTTTCAAGGACGAGGATGACAAGAAGCGTATCATCAACGGTCTCAAGTGGCTTCACATGTTCTCTGCCAAGCCCGTCACTCCCCGTGGCAACCCTCTTGACACTCTCTGTGCCACTCTCGAAGAGCTTATGCAATTCGGTGAGGGAGAGCGTGACATGCTTATCTTGCAACACAAGTTCGAGATTGAGACCAAGGAGGGCAAGAAGCAAACTCGTACTTGCACCATCTTGGACTACGGCCACCCTGACGGCTACACCTCTATGGCCCGTTTGGTTGGTATCCCCTGTGGTGTTGCTTCTCAACAAATTTTGGACGGTGTCATCAACACTCCTGGTGTTCTTGCCCCTAATGACATGGCCATGTGCCAACCTTTGATTGATGACCTTGCCAAGGAGGGCATCAAGCTTGAGGAGGAAATCATTGACGAAGAGTAAATTATTACTCTCCCAGTGAAATAACAAATAACTAAAATGCAGTTGAAAAATGCAAAGTTGTTGATCGAAGTATTACTTATGTCTGTATGATTTGCGTCTGGTTTGTTCATAACTCATGTTTCACTTGGATGAGAAATACCGCTCAGTGCATTTTTTGTTACTTTCAAACAACAATTACGCTTACCTTGGGATCTCGTTGCTGACCAACTCGTATGCCTTCCAATCGCTATTCCGTCTTCCGTACTATAGAGTTAATATTGGACATTTTCATCTAATTAAAAATGAAGCTGTACCGTACGAAAAAAGAAACAAGAAAATACAGGGTCTACTGGAAGAAAGTACTAATAAATGGGAAAGGGAAGCAATGTGCGTGAACTGGTGCGGGAAATTAAGGACGTGCCGTACTGTCTTTTCCACCCTGGGCATCGTATTTCTGATGTAAAACGTGTTCCAATTCATCCACTCGTTGCTGCCGAATGTCCTGTTGTTCTCGCCGGTCCATCTGCCACCATAATAAGTGAAGTCCGTAGTAAGAAACCAGTGAGAATAGCACGACCTTGGCGATAGGCCGAGCAAAGTTTCGGTAGTACATAACATGTGGCGATGGTTCTCTAGGTGAACCACCAGCGCTGTTTGTGTTCCACCGCTGTTGAAATAAGCGAAAACGCGGACGGAAAAGTCCTTGGTTGCCTAATAAACCCATTCGCAATACCATTGCTCGTGTACACGAATACAATGAGTGTGTAAAGTTGTACGGGATTCAAAGGGGTGTGCACAAATCTTTGTCCGCTTGTATGTAACGCGGTGCAGGATAAGCGCGTTAAGTAGGAAAGGAAATGAATAAACACAGTTGATGAAATGGGAAAAGTAAATTGCAGGAGATGTATGTGGCAGGCAATGTGACGCAGTGCACGAAGTCGCAGACGGCAATGAGTTAACAATGTCCTTAAAATATGGACTTTGTTAAGATGCGACAGCCAAAAAGCCCCATGCTGCACTAGATCAAACACCGTCTATATATAATGGAAGAATACGCACTCGGTTCTTCCTCACTGGAAACGTTCTTAAAAGCCAAGAATATGCATAATTAGAGCGCCAACGGTAACAACAACGAAGAAAGACAGCACTGTCGCAGGTATACCAGCGCGTAAGAAATCTTTCACAGAAAGGTACCGTTCACCCACCTCGTTTTCCATCATGATAGCCGTCATGTTGGGGAAACCACTAGTGGGAAGAGCCATTGCAATTGAACACATGAGTCCAGCAGCCATGACGAAAAGTCTTGGATGGGGATCCTCAAGACGACTGCCAACTTCGTAAATAATGGGCAGGACAATCATCGCTGCAACCATGTGCGAGACGAAAGTTGCAACCACAATAGTAAGACCGGAGAAGACAAGCAAGACCGTATATGTACCCATAGTTTGGATTTGTTTGCCAATCTCCGTGGCAATTAATTCAAGCAATCCCGAGGAGGAGACAGCCTATATTAAGGTTAGCAAATAAATCTAAACGCAACGCATGTTTTCTCTTACCTTTCCTAAAGCAACACCACCCATGCCAAGTACGATAACTGTCCACAAAAAGTTATTGAAATCTTCCTTCGTAAGCAGACCAGTACCGAAGAACACAAGGATGGGAAGCAGTGCAATGACACCCATGTCACCAAACACGTCGTCGAAACGACGCTCAAGACACCATAAAATGATAGTGACGCAGGTAACGCCAACGATGAATGACTGTGTGCGTGTGAACTTGTCACGGGTTTGACGAACGGCAGCCAAAACAAGATGTTCTTGCTTGAAAAGCACGAAGGCAAGCAAAAACCACACGCCCAGAACACAAATCGTGCAAACCGGCAATGAAACAGCAAACCACTGTCCCCAACCCGGAGCCGGATCCATGTTTTGCAAGGCGACAATGTTTTGCGGAGACGCGATTGGAGACGCCATACCACCGATATTGGACGCGAGGGCAATTCCCAAAATTAAAACTTTCGCAAAGTTCGATTCAGGTGGGAGATTGCGCAAAACAGGTTGTGTTATAGAGAAACAAAGCACTGGAGCGGCAACGTTGCTAATCCACATGCTTGCTCCCATGGCTACAAACATATTCATGAGCAGTACATTCCGGGGCTTCCGACCAACGCGAGAGAGAATAGCCGTAGCCATGCGCTTTGCAATATGGTATTTGCTGAGTGCGGCAGCCAGTGTAAAACCACCAAGAAGCAAAACAATTGTAGGATTCCACATAGAAGCAAAGATAACTCGAGCAGAGTCTTTGCCTGACAAACGAGAACCGTCGTCGTCTTTGAGGATACGAAGAAACACAGTCAGAAAGGGAACAAGAAGAGCAGTAACAAACAGAGGAATGACCTCCGTAGCCCACATTAATGAAACAAGAAGAAGGAGAGCTAAACAATTGTTGGTTTCGGGATTACCAATTACGGGGAAATAAAGCAATGCAGCGAACATGGAAAAAAACATCAGCAGCAAAAACGCGTTCTTACTGAGCAGCCAACTAGGAAGGAAGACGGTTCCAAGTTTTGTACGTAAAACAACGGGAGGTACTTTAATCTCTTCAACTTGGGTCGCCTGAAGCTGCCCCCGGTTTTGCATTTTAGCAGCCTCGGTTCGACGCTCCATAGCAATCATTTCACGCCAAACCGTATTACGCTCCCATGCAACATGTTCTCTCAAGTAACTGCGCAACTTCTTCAATGCGGCGAGGACATCGTTCTGACAACAAAGTTCAGCATACAGGCTCGCGATCTTGTTGATGCGATCGCTCAAGCCATCACGAGAATCGGTGGTAAATGGCCGTGTCTCGTCAACTGTCGCCATGTAAGATGGACGAAGTTCGGTTCCAATTGTTTTGTCATATTTTTTTAGGATCTTTGAGAAACCCGTGTGATTAAGTTGCACGTATGAAATTAAGTCATGTAAGGTAACGTACACTTGAATCAGTCTGCGCTTAATGGAGACGAAGAACTCGTACGCAATGAGGTCAGCAGGGAATTCTTCGACAACCAGCAAATGACTATTGCCGTTCTCTTCATCTTCGTCTTCATCATCATCATCGTCGTCGTCGTCGTCATCTTCTTCTTCATCGGCCTCATCAAGTGTTTCTCTAGCGGACCGCTTTGTGTGATTGTGTAAACCAACTGCGGGCAAATTCATGTCATCCACCGAACCAACAATCTGCAGGTTTGGCGAATCTGTTGCCGCAAACATTCGACTTGGCAAGTCTTGGCTACGCACGGTCTGAGTACTCGCGCGCCGTGGACGACGAGCGTCTTTGTGATGATATTCATGCACCGTTTGGTTTTGAATTTCGGATTGATACTTGTCAAAGTCGCGTAAAGTGTGGTCAAATTCTTGGAACACTTCACTTTCTTTCGTTGAATAAAACTCAACGACACGTTCAAGCTCCTTGTCAAGAGTGGTACGGAAGACATCGTTGATTTCATCGATGTCGCGTGTCAGTAAGGCGGTTTGCTCATTTGGTGCAGCTTCCTGAATCCGCTGAATCTGCTCATGTTCGAGCGTATAGATTCTTTTTTATATTGTCAATAATGAAAAGAAACCCAATTGCAGAAAAAAAGAACGTACAGCTTTTTAAGATTCGAATAACTAAGAAAGAGCGTGTGTTAGGTTATCAATTGAACGGAAACAAGCTGTTTCACATACGCAATATAACTTTCTGCCCATTCTGGAACAGAATTGAATTTTAAGCTAAGAAAATTGTTAGAAAAAAATCCCCTCAACCTTATAAATCCATACCTATGACTAAATTTCATCTGAAAGTTTCCAAACCGAAGACTCCTTCACAAAAAACTTTAAACAGAAAAAATAAGCAAAAATTACCAACTCGAGTAGGAATTCGACACAGTAGCTGCTTATGTTAGTCTGTTCTTACGCGTACTAAGCGTTAGTTTCTTGTTTTTTTAGGAGTTTGACTAAGGAAAGGTGGTGGGAGAGAGCAAAACGCGGAAAGGCAGGAATACGTAGGATGATGTAATGCAACTTTAACCTTAAACATGGACCCCCGTAACACATAATTGACATTTAAACTCCCATTTTTTATCCGCTGTCACAGTCGGTCTTCTTTCGCCAATAAAAACGACGAACGAATGAAAGGCTGCTACCGTGGCGGACTATCCCATTTTCGCAGTTTCTGGCTTGCGTTTTTTCGCTGTTGAGACGGCAGATGACGAGTGGTTTTAGCTACGTTGCATTCGCTTAATGAAGAGCTTGTTTAGTATTATCAAATTACAGTTGATCATGTGACCGTTCACGTGATAATAAGCTTTTCACCACCAAAACCGCAACACCAAACTTGTGTCGAATAAATATTGCTGTATTCACCGAACACAGTCTCGTCTGTTCAAGTTTTCACTACAGGAGTGCAGCCTTCTGGTTTGTGTTTTTTAACATAGCATTTCACAACTCCCTTGTTGCTTTTTTTTATTTTGTTTCTAGATTTTTTTAAGCTCGGAAAAGAGGTTTTGACTAGTTAACATGGGAAACGAAGATGCTGCTAAGACTCCTAGACGTCGTTTTGTCGGTAAAAAGCATGGACTTACGAAGAAAGATGGTGCAGTCGATGGTTCTGAAGAAAAAGCTATCGTGAATGTTAAACCTAGAAGTGGTGGTCGTTTAGCAACGCGTGTTTCTCCAGAAATTCTGCATGATGAAAAATTGAACGAAGCGATCCAGTTGCTTCCAAAAAATTATAACTTTGAAATTCATAAAACCGTTTGGCATATTCGAATGAGAGGTGCCAAACGTGTTGCTTTGCAACTTCCCGAGGGATTGCTCATGTTTGGTTGCATCATCTCAGATATCTTGGAACGGTTTTGTCAGGTCGAGGTGATCATCATGGGCGATGTCACTTATGGTGCTTGCTGTATTGACGATTTCACCGCAAGAGCTTTGGGTTGTGACTTTCTGGTGCATTACGGTCATTCGTGTTTGGTCCCCGTAGATCAAACCCCCATCAAGGTTCTTTATGTTTTCGTCGATATCCAAATTGACATTCCACATCTTGTGGCATCAATCCGCAAGAACTTGAAACCTGGTCTTCGTCTTGCTCTTGTGGGCACAATTCAGTTTGTGACCTCACTGAACCAAGTCAAAGAGGAGCTGCAACAAGTGAGTGAAAATGGCGAGGGTGGATTCGTGGTTACCATCCCACAAGCCAAGCCATTGTCTCCTGGTGAAGCGTTGGGATGTACGTCTCCAAAAATAGATGCTTCCAATGTGGACGCTTTGTTGTATGTCGGTGATGGACGTTTTCATTTGGAGTCTGTTATGATCGCCAATCCAACGCTTCATGCATACCGCTATGATCCGTATTCGCACAAGCTTACCGTCGAGTCCTATGACCATGAACAAATGAAAAGCATTCGTTACGGTGCAATCGAACAGGCTAGAAAAGCTAACCATTTTGGTCTTATTCTTGGTACCCTTGGTCGTCAAGGAAATCCCAAAGTTTTGCAAAACATTAAACGGAAGCTTGAGGAACGCGGCAAAACGTTTACAACGTTACTTATGTCAGAGGTCTTTCCCCAACGGCTGGCTCAGTTTCACGAAGTGGACGCGTGGATTCAGGTTGCATGTCCTCGTTTGTCCATAGATTGGGGTTACGCTTTTCCTGCGCCCTTGCTTACGCCTTACGAAGCTGCAGTTGCTCTTGATACGGTTGCTTGGCAAGACGTATATCCTATGGACTTTTATGCCTCTGATTCCCTTGGCAATTGGACGCCTAACAACTCTGAAAATCGACCTTCTCTCCAACGGCCGTCTCGTAGGACGGCCAATGTGAAAGCGTAGAAGTTCTGGAAACTCCCAAAACCGTTCACCACTCACTCATCTCTTATTTGTTTGTTCAACATTTTTTCACACGCTTCCTGTAACACTCCCTACCCGTAAACTCCTCATTTGCCCGTTGGTACATAAAATATTATTTCCAAATACAGTGGTTTAAAGCATCTTGAATCTTTCCATAGTAAGTGTACATAAACAACTTATTAAAAGTACAAAATAGACACAATAGTCAATCGTGAGAAGAGAAATGTGAAACGCGTCGCCTTTTATAATGATACAAAACTGTTGCATAACCCTAACAGATATGCGAGAGGAATGGCGGCGACTCAAGTGAATACAACGAAATTTAGGCGTTCCGTGGGTATAATATAATAAAGCCGTTTACTTCGTCTTAACGGACGAACGGAGACGTTTTACTCGACACCACATGCCGACATTGGGGTCGGTGATAAATTGGTAAATAATACCAATCCAGCTTTTACACTCGGGGATCTCGTCGTAGAACTCCGGTGCTGTTGCGCGAACTTTAGCAATACGAGTCCACGGAACGTAGGGGAAGTCATGGTGCTCAATATGATAGCCAGCATTATAGACAAGTGGATTTAATGGTCCATAATAACTAAACGTTTCCAATAGTTTTCCCATGTCGGGTCCAGTGGCGATACGCTTGGTATGCGTCATGTTATAATGCTCACTCAAAAAATGACCAGCAGTTGGATGTAAGCTGCCAGCTAAGAAGGAGCTCATAAACAAGTAAACAAAGCTTCGATACCCGAGGGCACGAATAAGAATATAATCAAAAGCGACTTGTGCGACAATGTTCAAGAGATGCATTGACGTAAAGGGCAGGCGACGAACAAAAAGTGGGCGAAGGGCGTAAAACAAAATTTGAAAGGTACAGAAAAAAAGCTTTCCTAGAGTGTTGTTTAAAACCTTAAGCTCAAAAATAGTGGGAAGATCCGTATCAATTCCGTCTACACCCTGATAGACATGATGTTCCAAATGGTAAGGACGGAAACTTGCACAAAAAGGCACTCCAACCGGAAGATTGGTGATTATGCTAAACAAGCGGTTTTTCCAGGGTTCTTTGAAACCAAGATTGTGACTAAGCTCGTGAACAGCTAAGAATAGGTTTTGGCTGCAAAATCCTCCGACAAAGTATGCTGTCGCAATAAACTTCCAATTGAATATAGATGTATTAGACAAAAGGTAACAGCAGAGCATTTGTATAGCAAAAACGGTGAGAACAACCCACTTTGTCAATGGTTCAGGGCCATTGAGCTTGGTAATCTAAAACAAAATTAGCATTCATCCCTAAAAGTTAAAAACACTTGAAGTATCGCAAATATGAAACTAAGCTGGTTTCCCCAAATGAAAGTAAGTCCAAAAAAAAATACAATTCTTCAATACAACCAGCTCATTTGCGTCTACAAACTGCCATACCTCTGGATGAGCGCGTATAATTTCCATGCGACGCGTCCGATGCGGCTCATCAGTGTAAGTCCACAAGAAATTCTCCTTGTCGGACTTGTCCTCCGCGTCCGACTGATTTTTTTTACTGCTAACGTCCACAGGCGATTCCATTCCTGTAAATGTGAATGGTAGGTAGTGGAAGCATGGAAGTCGGCACAGCGTTTATATGTTGCTATCCGCATCCTGACATCATAGCTGGCAGGCAAATCATAGGCCTTGTTAAATAAGAAGGCGAAAGGGTTATATTAAGGTTTAACTTTAACGAATCATGAATTGATCAAAACTTAAACGAAGCTTGTAAAGTGTGTCTTTTGTGTGGCACGTATTTACCACCCAAAATCGCGGTAAATCGTTTACTGGTCTACCCAAATATGCGTTAATCCACTTATCGAAGTGCACGACAATACGGTCGTAGTGGTTACAGAGAACAGAACTTACAAGTCGTAGTTCTCTCTCGTTGTGCTTTTTAGTATAGTTTTTCTAATGTTCTTTGAGAACCGCTAGGCGAATTACTGAAGGAGAAGACTCTGTATTTTTATTTTGCCATGTACAGGTAGATTTCGAAATTACAGGTGCGTTTTTTTAGTAGTAGATAGTAGAGCAGACCCATCCGCTCGTTTTGACTACTCTTCATCTTCATCTTCATCTTCACTACTACTACTTTGCTCCAAGTTGATACTTGGAATCTCATCAAGTTCTTCTTCCAAGTCTGCATCTTCAATTGGATTCGCCAACGCAGCTTCGGCTGCGGAGCGAATTTCCTCCTGAGCGCTTGGAGGAAAGTCTGCCATATTAGAAGGGACTGCATCCACTTCCATAGCATTTTGATTTATGACAGTCTCCCCCTGCCCCTTTTCTACCTCTTCAGTAACAGCGTTAGTGTCGGGGTTGGGAGAAGTCACAGCTGTTTCGGCAGTAGTAGCCTTAACACTTTCGACAGTATCAACAGTGGTGGTTGTCGTTGTCACTTCTGTAACTGTTTGTACAGTCTCCTCTGTTCGAATTTTTTCTACGGCAGTAGTTTTGTCGGAATTGAGATTTGTGCTGGCAGAGTTGGCGGAACTTAGTGAACTGCGGGTATCGGGAGTAACGACACTTTCAGTGTTAACTTCCTCTTCAGTCTCATGCATGTCAAATTCATGAGCCATCTCGGGCGAAGCGTGACGAGAAATAACCGTGGACTTATTTGTTTCTAAAACGGACGAAATAATCTCGGTGCGGTCTTCCTGCATAGCTTGATCTTGAAGTGTTTCAGACACTTGAAGGCTCGAAGAAGTAGCTGCAAAATCATGTTCTGCTGGACTAGCCTCGCCAGGCTTGTGGAAAGAGACGGGTGCGAAGTTTGCGGTAAACGCAGACTCCTCCGAGGAGAGCTCTAAACGCTTTTGAAGCGGAGGGAAGCGTGGATGAACAAAGTTCTCTAATTCAGTCAAAAGCAGCGTAGCCTTTTGGTTCACCAAAGGAGAAGGATGGACGACGCCGAAGCGTCCCGACAGCAGTTGTTGTGCATGAGGAAGAATAACAGCTTGCACGTCACCAACAGAGGCAACAGAAGACATGAGAGCTTGGTGTAACAGGACAAGGACGGAAGCGGGCGGGTTGGAGAAGGTGAGCTGCAGAAGCAGTAAATCAATATTAGAGCGAAGCATTCGGGGAAGTTCAGATGCAAAGGTCAAGACAGAAATAATGAACTCGACGCAGCATTTCATGACCTTTTCCTCGAGTTTGAGTGTAAAGGCATTTACATCCAACAAAGCATCGGAAGAATGCTCATTAACAGCGGTCTTCCGCTTCTTAGAGGGCTGGCGAGCATCATTGTCTTTAGACGCCATTTTACCGGACTCTGATGCGAAGCCGCCCTCAAGCGTGCTGTGAAGTCGATTCAGCACGAGCGTCAGAGGATTTTCAAAATGACGGAACGCAATATTCGCATTTGTTTTTTTGAGAAATAACGACAACAAATCGATGGCCGAGCAGAAAACTTGAACATTCGAATGTTCGGCAATGAGACAGTCATTCAAACCATCCAAAAGATCGGCAAGCTGAATGAGACAAGCAGCAGGGGAGACCGTAAGCAGCAACTTGCAAAGCTTGTTAGCCATGCTGTGAACCGTGGGTAAAACAGCAAACAGCAGGGAATGCAAAGACTGTTCTTGCGGTGACAAAACAGGAGAGGTAAGTTGCACACCGTACAGACGCTGTACCAATCCGTACAAGGACTCTACAGGAATCGAAACCCTTTTTTCGGTGGATGAGGAAAGGTACGATTGAATGATGAGAAGCATGTTAGAGCAACGATCCAGCGCTTGTTGTGCTTTCTCTTCGTAGTGACCAGTAATCACGGGAAATACCAATTCCTCAGGACGAATGTTAGCCTTGGCTGTCGGCTCTTCAACGAACTGAAACAAATAATCCAAAGCTGCATGAAACTCACGAATAACTACGCTGAGCTCTCGCTTCCAATTGTCAGCAAAATTAGCCTTTCCACCGCATCTGTATAGTTCGGCGTAGCAAACTGCGGCCTTTTCCTTCAGCTTTTTAGAAGTCGATGGATTTTCTAAGGTTTCGATACACATGTTCTGCATCCGAGACTTAAAAGGACGAAAGGTTGTAGGATGATGAAGGATTACCTTGTACAAACAAGTGTACAGTGTATCGGAACACTTGCCGTTCTCAGCAATCCGAAAACAAAATGTCAAAAAGGGAGCCAAGTTGGGAGTAACAAATTCACGTGTCAAACTTGCATGGCCAAACGCGGCGTTGAACAGGGTTGCAATAGCAATCATAGTCGAGTTCAACGTAGCAGGAGCTTCTGGTTTGTTTAAGATTGCAACAAGAAGACGAGACCATGTTGCACCATATTCCAACACACACTCCCAGCTTTGTGAGACTGTACTGTGAATCAAAACCACGGCCGACCACCGGACACGAGCATCCTTCGACTGGAGTAGAGAACTGAGGCGTGCACACCATTTTTTGCGTAATAAATTCGCGTTTTCATTATGACCAAGACTGTCGATGCATTTTTGCTGAGATAAAACAGAGACAATTCCGGGAACGTGATACGGCAAGTACTGCTCGTGAGCAAAACTCGTCGACAACCACGACTTCACAAGAGCTACAGACCCACCATCAAGAGAAGTACTCATTGCATGCCAAGTGGATGTGTTTTGGTAAACGACAGGTGTCACCGCGTAGGACGCGAATAGGGGGAAAATAAAGTTAGGTTGAGATTTAGATCTTAGCGAAAACGTTAATCACCATAACCGTCAATCTGATAACTCTAATGAAATGCAGTGCCTTGAGAATAAGCAGAGCAAACAAGGAATGAATTGCTTCTAGTTAGTAAGTGAGGATAAACGGGTGGACGAGCTGTAATCAGAACGAGATACAGCCGGTAATAGGGGACTCGTAAAGTTTTGTTTTCCCTGTTTCCGGACTTCCTTGGTGATAAAAAACAGTGAGAATGAATATCTATTATTGTTCAAAAAGACAGGAACACGTAACAATGAAATGATCGTTGCCAGAAAGTAGCCAAACGTATGGAGAATGGTTTGAACTGGACAAGACGACAGCAAAGGAAACGAGTAAAAGTATACTAGGACCAACACCCTGGCCTTAGAACACACTAAAGTACAGTGACTGCAGACATCCAGTAATTGAAAGCAAGAATTCCCATCAAATACTTTTTGTTTAATTTTGTTTGTTTTTTTATCATTGGTTTTTAGAAAGGGGAAAAAGGGTGTAAAGAACGCAAAGATGCGAAAATCGCAAAAAAGATATATAGTTGCCATTCATAATCGCCGATACTGAGTGAATAAAAATCGCACACTGGTCACCGATTCGTTCAGTTTTTTGAGCTTTCGTTTGAGGCAGCAGCAGGCGTATTCGTCTTGAGTTGTTCCCAGAAACGCTTCCGTTCTGCGAGGACCTCCTCGGCCCATCCTCTAACCTGGGGATGTTTGACAATATTGATGGCCCAAGTGAACTGTTCCAAATTCTTTTCTCCGGCGTATTTACGCTCATACTCGAACATCTGAGCAATCATTTCAAACTTATCGACGTCCTTTACAAACAGAGCTTCTGGAGTTTCTGCAGCTTCGTATTCCTGGAACAGAGCTTGGATTTCCTGGGCATTTGCTGCGTAATTTTTAGGAATGAGTTGGGAAGCGATCTTCTCCATCGCTTCGGATTCCATACGGTGCTTTTCTTCCTTAGTCACATTGTCATGGGGAGTTATATCACCGACGATAGACTCGGCCATGTCGTGCACGAGAGCCATCTTCACACAGTGGTCCTTGTTGATCTTTGGGTCCGTGCAGAGCATACACAATACGCCCATCCGGTACATGTGGTCAGCAATTGATTCTGGGTGTTCAATCCCATGATACAACCAGCCAGTACGTGGAGTCGTTTTCAACGAAGACAAACAATCCAGAAACGGTAAAACAGCTGGGAGACCTGGGTACGTCATTGCCTTAATTATGTTGAGGTTTATTGGGTATGTGCAGGAAAAAGGAGAGAAGCCGGTCAAGAAAGTTTGCAGCTATACTAACCAGCCAACCATAATAAACAAAAAGGAATAGTGCGGTGTGGTGGAGTGCGTCAGTACACGGATTTCGTCGTTATCAATTATAGCGATATGTTACTACATCGCCATACAAATTGTTAAAGTGCGTTGCGAAACATAACGTGTTTCTGTAAACGTTTCACGTTATCCAAAATAGCGTGACGAAATGTGAACTCACTATTCCAAGATTCCTTCCTGCGTTCCAGGAAGCCGCGTACCGCGTCGCGTTTTGCATTTAATAGTCCCCCTACTGGTTGTGAGACTGTTTAGCAACACGTAAACATTCGTCTTGAAATTGCAAGTCTTCTTCGACGATGATTCCAGCAGCTTGCAGTTGTCGAACGCCTTCACAAACGACGAATGTAGTTGGTTCACGACATCCTAGCACGACTTTGTGAAACTTGTTCGCTATGATATGCTGAGTGCATGGAACGTTGCCAGAAAGACGTTTGCTACAAGGTTCCATAGTCGAGTAAATGACGGAACGTGTAAAATCGTGCTTGGGATCGCGTTGAAGGAGTTTTAGAATGGCAGATTCTTCGGCATGCGTATTACCTGGAAGCTCACGAGAGTATCCCGTAGACACAACCTGACCATTTTCGACAATCACTGAACCAACACAGAATGCTGTATCGGTAGGATTGCACTTTTTAGCTTCATCTAGCGCTAAACGTAGATATTTGCTGTGCATGGGAGAAGAGAGTAGTGAAAATGTATGCTAGACGTGACATTATGTCGCATCGCACACTTAAAAAATGATACTATCCATACAGTAAAGAAAACGTTTACAATTTGTCGAAACCATTGAAGCATCCGTTGCTGCATTTCGTTCCACTAGACATCGCGTTCATTATTCTTCCTCATTCCTTTTCTCGCTTAGTCATGTTGTCTCAGAACTCTAATTTAACCTTATTTCCCCGTGATCACAGTTTAATTGCGTTCTTGAACCATACACCAACTACGAACCATCAGGTCGAAGTAATAAAACAATTAAAATGAGCCTTGTAAGCCGATTTTCTGAGCTTAATCTACAAGGTGGAAATGATCCAAAGTCTGGATCTACTCCTGGCACGCCGAATGTTTCTGAGAAGCCGAGTATGGATCATTTTACTCGAAGAATAGAAAACTAACTTTTACAGGTGCCTGGTCGTCGTTACGGTCTCCTATGGCAGCAAATCAGTCGAAAATTAAAACCCTAGACATAAATCATCCTTCAAAAGGCCACATAATAACGTCAATGGAACAAGCGAAACCTGCCGCGAATGCTGAAGAAGAATCGCATAAAAACAAGCTCTTGGGCACGATTACCGGTGAAAAACTGGCGGCTATGGAATTCGGACGGAAAAACGAGGATGGTTCCGATGTAACTGCTGCTGCCAGTGGAAAATCAAGCGGTTCTAGCAAGGGAAATGGAACTCTGTATACTCCACCGTACAACCTGGAAGCATTACTACCCTTAATCAGAATGGAGGATGGTGACTTGTCTATGCTGTCACTGGGTTGTGATCTGGCAACATTGGGCTTGGATTTGACAACGCAGACGTAAGTTCATAAAGATGCAAGGGAGAAAAGAATTCCGGCATGCTTTTTCTTTTCATATTCGTTGTCTCTCATATGACTTTTCTCTAACCACGATAGCCCTGACCAACTCATCTCTTTACGACTTTCTTCTCCATGGTCGGAATTGAGTAATAAGAAACCACTTAATGAACCCATGTTTAAACTCCCGTCCTGTTACAAGCAAGTGAATCCTCCTCCGGCCCTTTCCAAAATATACCAATTTTCTGATGAAACCCTTTTTTACATATTTTATACGATGCCCCGTGATATGCTTCAAGAAGCTGCTGCTCAAGAATTGTATGTTTCAAGTGCCCCCATCTCTTTCTTTTGTAATACGTTGATGAACTTTGACTAACACTTACTTTTTAGAACAAACCGCAATTGGCGTTTTCACAAGGAACTGCGAGTTTGGCTGACACCAGTACCGGGCATGGAAGTGCTGCAGCGGACTCCTCAGTTTGAACGCGGTTTCTATCTATTTTTTGATCCCGTTCACTGGAAACGTATAAAGAAGGATTTTTTGTTAATGTACTCAGCCTTGGAAGACCGCACTCCCAATAACGTTTCCCGGTAGGAATCTTAGTTTATGGGGGGTACAAAGTGTACTGGTCGAATTATGACTTAGCTCTGCATCAATTATATTGCTTGCCGTGGCACTGTTTGGAGTCGAATTCATGGTCTTCTATCTACCGCTAGCTGTTCGTGCTGGGAACGCATGGCATTGTTACGAATAATCTACTCGTCAGATGTTTTAAAATCATTCTTTCTTCTACGTTAGACAATGACAGTCTTCTAAATAAAAGACTACAGCAACAAGGGCCGTATGCACGAAAAAACATAAATCATCAGTGTTAGTGGATAACACATATGCTTTGTAAACAGATTACCTTCACTATTCCCTTTAATTATTATTTTTTTTCATCGGTTTTATCCGCTTTGTCCGTCTTGTCCGTTTTGTCTGTTTTGTTTTTAGTATCCTCTTCGGGATGTAAGCGACGGAACGCTCTTTTGAAGAAACCGCCGACAGAGCCATTTTGGTTATTTTCATTGGTATCTGTAGAAGTCGAAGGCTTGCTGTCGTTTCCTGTGATACCGGTTCGTCGTGCAGTCGTATCGTGCAAGGAGTCCGCAAGCATTTCCATAAGGTGTCGTTGTTCAGGAGTCAGCGACTTTGGCATCGAAACTTGGAACTCGACGAGGAAATCACCCTTATAGCCGCTGCGACCGGTTGCCGTTAATTTGGGCATGCCCTTTCCTGACATGGTAATGTGTTCGCCCGTATTTGTGCTTGGAGGAACACGTAACTCAACCTCGCCATCCAATGTAGGGACGGTGATAGTACCGCCAAGGATGGCAGTAGTCATGGGGATCTTTGCTTGGTAGTAGACATTCGCACCGTCACGGCGGAAAAGCTCATGCTTGCGAATACGAACGGTAACGAACAGGTCACCGGGACGCGAGCGCGCGTTGGGAGCAGCATTTGCTGTAGAAGCCGCGTCGCCTTGTCCCTGGATACGCAAATGCATACCATCTTGTATACCAGCAGGAATGTCAACAGCAACCACCTTGCGTTCTCGAATAACACCTTCTCCTCCGCAAGTACGGCAGGATCCAGAGGGTGGAATGACAGTGCCTACACCGCCACATGCTTGGCAAGCAGTTGCCATTTGAAAACCTCCCTGCATGACATGAACTCGGTGACCTGTACCGTTACACGTTGAACATGTTTGACGGCTAGTTCCCGTTTTAAGGCCGGTCCCATGACATGTAGAGCAAGTCGTCAAGGGACGAATTGTAACGTTTTTGCGAGTGCCCTTTGCGGCCTCAAGAAAGTCAATCGTTACGCTGGTATCGATATCTTCGCCCACAAACACCTCGAATGCACTGCTTCTCCGAGATTGTCGAGCAGACCCAGTAAATCCAGAAAACAGGTCTTCAAAATTGAAACCGCCAAAACCGCCAAAGCCTCCAAAACCGTTAGATGCAGCACGAAACTCTTGCTCATAGTCGCGGGCACTGCCGTTAAATTCACCGTTGCTAAAAGAACTTGGTCCGTAGGAATCAAAAGCTTGCTTTTTCTGGGGATCACTCAAAATTTCATATGCTTGCTTGATTTCAACAAACTTTTCCTGTGCCTTTTTGTCTGGATTTGCGTCCGGGTGATATTGTTTTGCCAACTTGTAGTAGGCTTTTTTGATGTCGGAATTCGATGCATTTTTATCGACGCCTAATGTAGCGTATGGATCTTTCATAGGATCCAACCTTGGCGCAGAAGAACGAAAGGAACGAACATATGGTATTCCCCATGTATTCGCAAGTTTCTTGTGCAGGCGATTTGATACTTTAGAACGCGTTTGACTTGGAATCGAAGCAAACGACCGCCTTAAAACACTATTTTGAGTGCAAAGACGAGTTTTTGTACATGATTTTAGAATATGAAATGTTTGTTTAAGTGAGTTTCTCAACATGGTAGAGATCTCAAAAATGTCGCGTAAATCTTTTTTGAGTGTATTCCACCTTTAACGGCAGAATTGAGTGTAAATGGAAGAAAAAGAATAACAATTTAGGATGTATTGGCACAAAACACGTTCTGGAGCACAAGAGAAATTACTGGAACGAAAAAAAACGCGTATCCAAGAAATGAGCGGTGTTCACGCGAATAAAGCCGAATAGAACAGAAAAAAAATGCTCAAAAGATGAAACAAACAAAAGGAAGAATATAAACAATGCGCTCAGCGTTTCACAAGCGACAATATTCAGAAAAAGTTGACTTTATGTGCTTGGAAGAAGTTCGGTGAAGGGGGAACGTGCCGAAGCTTGTGGAAACTCTAAACCTTAATCTGTGGTATCCGAGCCTTGAAGTACTTATCCTTAACCAACCACTATTAAAACGCCTTTTAAGCGTAATCAAAGGGAGAAAACAGCCGTATTCACGTGTCTTCCGTCGTCCTTATAACGATTGTCATTTTTTGCAGACTTCTACGCGTATTCTCGTTCTAATCAATTGAGTAGTTCGTTGGTGCTTACATAACGATAATCTTTCTACTTTAAGATCTATTTTTTAGTACACATAGCAAATATGCAAACCGAACAGGTAGCTGGTGCAATTGTACTGTTGACTGTTGCAGCATTCACTTTAAAGTGGGTATTTAGTAGCAACTCAAAATCGCCTGCAACATTCAGATCACCAGCCGTGAGTCATGAATTCAGAGACAATGTTTTTAGAATTCATACCATGTTCCCCGTTGTTTCCGCAGCCGCCATCGCCTATGACCTGCAACATACCAACAGCGCCGATCAAACCATTGACAACATTCTTTCACGTCAGACGCTTCCCGAGCCTCCCGCAGAATGGCCGTTGAATCAGTTATTTGCAGAGGCACCTGTAAATCAAGAGGCGACGGAAGAGCATCGCCACGACTCTCTAAGTTCTACTGGTAATTCCAAACCCAGTCTCATTGAAAAGTATAATTTGACTGCTCGGCTCAGTGAATCTTTTGTTGACACTGACAACAAGCCGGTAAAGTTTCCATCGACGAAACAAGAACGTGAACGCTTGTTCCGTAAACGAAAGGAAGATGCGATTCTTCGTGCTCGCAAACGCATGGAGGAACAAGCAAATAAAGAGTAATGTTGCATTTGGATACAATTTATGACTTGCACAGGCCGCGCCTGGTTTGTACCTACAAAGATACCATAGCAATGTAATCAAAAAATGAAAAAGTGTCTATATCTGTAAAGTTTGTCAGGAATTATCATAAACCAATGTGATTCTGCCGCCGACCACGTTCCTACGAAAGTTCAAACTTGATAATAGTGTTAATGCCATCGGCAAAGTGGGAGGGTTGCATCTTTGTGCCCGATTATAGCATCATTTTTAGAAAGCCTTGTCTTAATGGGTATACTTTTTCTTCTGATGTTCAAAGCAGTAATGTCATGTTTTTGTTCGTGAATGTCATTAAAGCTCGCGAGGGCCTTCGCTAAGACGAGGAAAACGTTTGAAGGGAATACTGGAAGAGTCAGCCCGAATGGGCGTGGCCAACGAATGCCGGGCTCTAGCACTTCTACGGAACGCGGAGGAAGTAGAAGGAGTGATGGGAGACATTGGTGCACTGCGATGCTCAAGAAAACTGTCAATGGGTTTTCGTGGAGAATAATACTCGATTGTCGCAGAACCTGGTCCGCTCCGAGTGCTAACTGCCACGTCGCGTTTCCGTACAGAAAGCCTTGGTTCAACAAATTTCTTATCATATTCATAGAAGACTTGACGATGCAGGTAATGCTGGTCTTTAATTAATAATTGAAATTTACGCCCAAGATAGTACAACTGTAGTGAGAAACCAAAGGTCAATAACAGAACCAAAAAGGATGTTGAATATATCCATAGACAAAGTACATGGATGGGAGAAAAAAGACAGGCAAATTGCAAATGGAATGAACTTGGATTCCAAGTCACAAGCTGCAACATGCTCTCACCTTCAGGAGATACAGGATTAGAAACAGGATAAACATTAGGTGTAGAAGGAGCGCTCATTGCGTTTGGTTGGGTCATTGTGTACTTCTTTTTTTGATAAAACAGACAGTAGCCTGCGTTAATGATACTTATGAGTACTAATAAAAAGCAAATGCAGGATGCCACTGGCTGGAACCAAGAGCCCCTAGAAGGTTTTTGAGAGACGAACAATGAGCTTCGTTGCTGCCTAAAGCTCATATTGCGAACAAAAATACGCATGAGAATGAATACTAAATTGCATGCAATCGCGCAGGGGATTGTCCATTTTTCAGAGAGTTTTTCCCACTCAATGCTGTCAATATTCTCGGCAAGATGCATTACCCAGTCAATGGGAGCATTTACAATTCTGCTTCTTAAAGAAGTCTTACGAATAATCCTGGCCATTTTTTTAAAAACTGAAGGAAAAGAGTAACCGTTATAATAAATCCAATACGAAACACCGTAGACGCCTACGAGGTCTCAATCTGATATTAATTCAGGTTGTTTAGTACATAAAGATCGAAATTCAACAAGTGACAAGTTGACAGCGACAAAAAAAAAACAGTATATGTTGAACAGCACTGCGAATTACTGATTCGCTTACAGAAAGCGAAATTACTGTCCCAGTGTAATGCGTCAGATCCTGTAAGAGTGATGTTTTTGTATAACAAAAGTGTAGTGGTGATACTATAGTCCACACCTGTTTTCTTCTTTGACAGTTATTATCGAAAAATTGGACATTTTCAACTTTTATAGGAGGAAATAAATTGTCATGATTCTTCTGAATATTTTTTTACACTAAACATACTTGTCAAAACTCATTTTTCTGGCTTTTTTAACTAAAAATTGCGGAGGTTCAGGTTCACCGAATCTTATGTAACAGAATTTCTACGTGCTCGGTTTAAAAATTATAATTTATTCTCTTAAATCGCACATTACTGTTACTGACTGTTCCCATATATTTTTGGCGTACAGTTGTTCTACTGTGTTTTCGATGAAATGGTTCGAAAGAGTGCACGCCTTGCGAACAAGCGAAAGAATCAGGATGCCAAAAGGGGAGGTACCAAGGCTATAAAGACTAAAGAAGAGACACCAAATGATGAACTTGTGTCCATAGAGGAAAACATGTCTGCATTGGACTCTATCAAATCCGACAAAACACCGCCTACGAGTCCAGAGATAGACGAGTTGCGAAGTCAAAACAAGGAGCAGAATGGTACAAACGGCATAAATAGCTTTGCTAGTGACGACGATGATGACGACGATGATGATGAGGGTGACTGGGAACAAGTCGATTTATCATCACCGAAACCAGGTTCTCCCGCTCCAGGAAAAAAGAAGAAGGTTGATGACTCTGTTGAAATAGAAATGAAGCCAGTGGAACAGTCTCTTACCAGTGCGTTCCACAGCTCTATCCGAGGTAAGATTGTGAAAATTATCCGAAACAGTGTTCATACAATGCACACCGTGTGTCTAATTCTTCATGGTTCGTTTCGTAATCGTTGGATAAACAATGACGAGCTTCGTTCAAAACTGAAAGACGTGGTGACAGAAAAGCAAAAGGACCTCGTTACTCAATGGGGGAAGTCTGAGCACAAACACGATGATTTGGTGTGTTTGTTAAATGGCTTGCGGGCTTGGTGGCATCGTTCATTCAACATTGATGAACACGGTCTTCGAAAGCTCGGATACCAAAAACTCGGTGCGGAAAAGATCACTTTTGAGTCGGAGAAGATTGAGAATGAAACTGCTTTCCGAGAAAAGGTACTTGCCATGCACGGCAGTAGAGATTTGTCAGCTCAAGGCTTCACGGCTGTATGTCGAGCAATTGGCTTGCGAACTCGATTAGTATTTTCCCTGCAACCACTTACCTTTAGTACTGCTTCGTTTGATAACTTTTCGCCATCTGTCCTGCCTCCTAAAAACATCGAAAAATCAGCTGTGGATGCTGACTTACAGTATCCGCTGTTTTGGACGGAAGTTTGGGACGATGACGGGAAGCAATGGCTTGCTGTGGACGCAGCTGTTCTGAACGGATTATACACAACTAATATGACTTGGTTTGAGCCGAAGGGATCACTTGCCGAAACGAAGAAACTTCGTATTGCTATAGTCATCGCATATGAACCGGACTTATACGCAAAAGATGTTACGAAACGTTACGCCGATCTTTCCTCGGCCAAGTCAAAACGTATTCGTATAACAGCCCCGAATGTGCTGAAGACAATAAATCCGTACGAACTTGTGCTTCGGCATTTTCAGCGGCCGGTGCCTGACGCTGTAGATAAGCTGGAACAAGAGTTTTTGGCTTCGAAAGACCTTCCAAAGGAACCTAAAAGCTTGGCTGATTTCAAAAACCATCCCACATATGTTTTGGAACGCCATCTAAAACGCGAGGAAGCACTTCGACCGGGAGCTAAACCTGTTATGAAAAAGACATTTGGCAATGGCAACAAAGCAGCCGAGGTTGACGTGTATCTGAGGGCCGACGTCTTGATTTGCAAAACTCCCGAAAACTATCATAAGGAGGGTCGTGTAATAAAGACTGGCGAACAGGCTCGGAAACTCGTGAAGGCACGAGCGGTAACGCTCACTCGCAAACGTGAGCACGAAAGCCGTGTGGCCGACTCAAACGAGCCTGTGCTCCAAGGCTTGTACTCATACGATCAAACAGAGCTGTACATTCCACCCCCTATTCAAAATGGTCATATTCCCAAAAATGGCTATGGGAACATGGATTGTTTCGTGGAATCAATGATACCCCAGGGAGCTGTTCACCTTCCCTATCGCGGAATTGCTCGCATAGCCAGGCAGCTCAATGTTGACTTTGCTGACGCTGTCACTGGATTCGACTTTCGTAAGCAGCGGGCTATTCCCGTTACCACTGGTATCATTGTGGCCGAGGAAAATGCTGAACTGGTAAAGCAGGAATGGGAAAAGTACGAAGTACAGCGTGTTGAACGCGAGCGAAAAAAGCAGGAGAAACTAGCTTTAAACTGCTGGAAGCGACTAGCTCATGGATTGCTTATTCGAAGGCGTATTGCACAAGAATACGGAGGCGATTAAAAGAACTAGTGTGCTGCTGTTGTGTGCAAAAACATAGTTTCGCTATTCCCTCTTTTCGTTTTCTTTTTTTTTTTCATGAGCTCCCCCTATAGAACGCTGTGTTAAAATTTACTTCCTATTCATTTTTATGACCAAATTCGTTTATTAAAGCGACTAATTCGCTTTGTTTTTGTTATGTTTTACTTTAATAATTTTAATTTTTTTGAGCTATGGAAACTATTTACGATATAATCGTTTAGTCTTGGTTAATAAATGTGAATATGCCTATTGAATCTTCTTCATTGTAGCTACGTCCGGCACCTTTCCTGGTGTTCCTTCCTGGTTCTCTTCATAGCTCTGCCCCCTTCCGCGGTTCTTCCGTTACCCCCACATTCCCGGGTAACAACCAGCATATCTACAATCTTATCAACCAATTACTCGTTTGCCCTTTGTTCGAGGTGAAGACTTGGTTGGTTGTTACCTCGCTCATAAGCCTTGCTTCCACACTTGCCCTTTGAACCAGAGCCAACTACTATTTCTAACCAATTCGAGTTTTGCCCTTCACAAGTGAAATTCTAACAGTTTCTGCGCTTTCTCGTAACAAAACTTTGGTTTTTTTGAAATCTGCGCGTTTCTCTGTATTTGATTTTCACGGAGACTTATTTCATTCATGATTGGGGCGAATTGTGTCTTTTGACTCGTTTTGTTTGCTTGAGAAGAGCGCAATTTGTTCTTTGAGACTTATTCTCTTCCATCTACTCACAAATTCAACGGTTTCCTGTGCGAACGCGTTCAGCTTGCTTTGATTTGAACTTGTGAAACCTGGTTATGTCACATCTTGCTGCTCGACCACCAACGTTTACGTTTGTCGAAGATGACGACAAATCTACTAGCTCTGAATTGGATGTTTTGTCTAGTGAGGGCTCGAAACGGATTCCTACACATCAGAAGACACCGTCCGATATCGTTCTGGACCAGGTCTTAGAGCTGTACAATCGTCATGACATCGAGAACGCGGCACACGACTCCCTCTCGGTCACATCCAGCGGAAGTGATATGGACGAGTCGATGTACTCGTTCCCGGACGTTCCACCCGATATGGCAGATGCCACAGCAACCGAGAGGCCGCCTGAGCTTCCTGACGTGAATACGTTGCCTTACAACTCTCTCGCACTGCACACGAAATTGCCGGTGACGCCTGTAGCACACACAGCGCCTGCAACAACTCCTTCAACACCTGTAACACCTTCACCATCACATCAACCGTCAGTACGGACATCGACAACCTCTTTGCATCCTCCAGTAGTCGCATCTCGGCAGCATCACCTCGGCCTGCCAACTATTCCTCTTAATATTTCTGATAATAAATCGCTTAAGGACATTCTGCCAAGGTCGTGTCTCGCAGTACAAAAAGATGAGGGTCCTCTCACACGTACAGCATTAAATACGGCCAAAGACCTGACCCTACCATCTGACCGTGATTTGTATGGGTTCAAGAAAGTGACACAATTTACGACCAAGGAACAGTACAACGCATGGTTTTCCACATACCGAGATTTTATGGCTCGTCGCGAGCACAAATGGGATAGTTTGCTCACAGAATCCAACATTGATATTAGCACCTGGCCTGTAACCCAGTTTCCCAGTCGCGGACATAAGGTCCAGCGATATGTGCGGAAGGGAATCCCGCCTGTTTATCGCGGTGCTGCTTGGTTTTACTATTCAGGTGGACACGAGTTGCTGCGGGAGCATCGTGGAATATATGAATCGTTGTGGAAGCATGCATGTGTACACAAACCGAAGGATGCGGATTTGATTGAGCGGGATTTGCATCGTACTTTCCCTGAAAACATCTATTTTCGTTCTACTCCTGAAAGTGTTGCTGGTGAGTATAGTGAGGCTCCCATGATTAGCAAATTACGTCGTGTGCTCATGTCTTTCGCCATGTACTCGCCAGAGAACGGATATTGTCAGAGTCTTAATTTTCTTGCTGGACTATTCTTACTGTTTATGAGCGAAGAGAAAGCCTTTTGGATGCTTGTCGTGACGTGCCGTAAGTATCTTCCGCGAATGCATGATGCCAATCTGGAAGGCGCAAACATTGACCAAAGTGTTTTGATGGCCGCTGTACGTGACAATTTGCCGGCTGTGTGGAGCAGGATTGGGCTCAGCTTTGACGGCGTGCCTATGAACGATATTATTGATAAACTCCCCCCTATCACACTTGTTACGGCTGCCTGGTTTATGTGCGCTTTTGTTGGTGTCCTCCCTACCGAAACAACCCTGCGCTTATGGGATTGTTTTTTCTATGAGGGCAGCAAAGTGCTCTTCCTTAGTGCCCTAAGTATTTTTCGTTTGGGAGAGGCGGAGATAAAATCAAAGAGCGAACAAATTGACGTCTTTCAAGTCATTCAAGACCTGCCTAAATCCATTCTTGATGCAAACACGTTCATTGCACTTTGTTTCCGGCGCAACATACGCGGCACACCTTCGCAAAAGGAGATTGAGAAACGCCGCCGCAAAGTCGCTGAGAAGCGTAGATCCGCGGTAGGCTCTACTAGTTCAGACAATCCTGAAACTCCGGTTCGCCGCACCTCATCACGGTTCCGTCGCCCAAACATTATTAGCCAGATTCAATCACATCTCAAAATTTGAGAGGACTTTTGTTGTTGTGTGATTGATCAGAGCTTGTCAGTCGGCGTTCTTGCGTGGTCTTGATATAAACTATTATCCAAACCTTTCTTCATTGAACTATATATGACGATGTGTAACCATCTAATTACTAAATCATGTGCTATTACGATGCATGTGAACTATGCATGCCTGGGCTTTGGCTTAAGTGCCTTTCTCCAGCACTCATCTAATAACGAATGAGAAGTCGCTGGAGCTGCACCTCACTTGCCGCACCTTCGTCATTCTTTTTGTTTTCCTTTCCCTCTCATCCTTCTCATTTCCATTCGTTTAATGCGCTCTGCTAACACACATACACTCTCTTTTTCGTCTTTTTCCCCCTCAAGTTTTCGAATCCACAAAACACGACCTTGCATAATCTTACATACCACGCTCCTTACATTTTAAGCTATTCAATGCGATATGTACTTTTACCTCCAACAACTAATCCATCTTTCATCATTCTTTTTACGAAGAACATCTTGCTTTATTTGCTGGATTAGAGTTCAAACATGATTTTCCTATCGGCGAGTTAATCGTGTCAACAAGAAAGTTCTTCGTATCTAATGCGCGTGCGTATGGAGATCTAATTGCATGTTTTTACCACGTTGCTCCTAATGTTGGTTAAACGAACCTTGCTGGGGTTTTTTAATTTCAGTTTTGTGTTTCAGCTTTTCCCGCCCTTTTCCCTTTTTCAATCCCGCTCACGTTATAGCAATGTAGCAAACAAAGCATGAAGCTGGATGAGGTCGGCTTAATTCCTTTTGATTTTCCAGATGGAGATAAAAGTGCACCTGCAGGCCTGTGATTAAGACATTTTGACAACCAGTAATGAGTGAGAATATTAAGAGAAAAATATAAACCATTATAACTACCGTTCCCAGAACATTAAACCTTATTTGTTTTGTTTTGTTTTTTAAAGTAAATCAGAGTCGACTCAAGGGTGAGCCACTCATGATGTCGCTTTGTAGAAATGTGGGCGACGCAACATACGTGAAACCCTTGAAATTTGGCGTAACCGTTAGGCCATCTCTCGTAAAAGGCGTTTGGTGATCAATGGGCGTGGCCGTGACCGGCATCTTTGTAAATTCCTCTGAGAAATTCTCAGCAGCTTCAAGGTTTGTGATGCAAGGAACAATGGGCGGCGTAAGTTCACGTCTTTCTAGCTTCTTCCAGTCTATCTTACGATACATCCGGTGTTTGAAGATGGCTTCGTACCGCCCATTAGCTCCCAAGCGCTGCTTGGGATTCTTTTTTAAGAGCTTAGTAATTAAGTCGCGGGCGTCCGGTGAAACATAAAACGGAATGTTGGGACGAGAACGAGTAATTTTTTCGACAATACGTTTGTAGCTGTTGCCCACGAAAGGGGGGCTACCAACAAGTAGGTCGTAAATTAAAATTCCCATGGACCACCAATCGACAGCATGGTCATACGGCTTTTCCAGAAGAACTTCAGGTGCACAATACTCTTTCGTGCCAACAAATGAGCGGCAATCAGCGCCGGGTTCAGCGACCTTGGACAAACCAAAATCCGTCAACAGCACATGGCCTTCAGCATCAAGTAGACAGTTTTCGGGCTTCAAGTCGCGATAAACAATACCTAACTTGTGCAAGTGAATAAGTGCCAGGATGAGCTCACCGCTGTAAAAGGCAACGACATTCTCTGGCAGCATTCTTTCATTGGCAAGGTGAGAAAACAGCTCTCCGCCAGGAGCGTATTGAAGAATCAAATAAAGACGATCATGATCTTGAAAGGCGTAGAAAAGACGACAAATGAAGGGGTGTTTCACTTCTTCAAGAATTTGACGCTCATTGCGAGTTTGTTCTATGCCTTTAGAACGCAAAAATATACTTGCTTTCTTTAATTGTTTCTGAGCAAACAGTTTTCCAGACGACTTTTGTTTCACCAACAGTACCTTTCCATAAGAACCACGTCCAAGTGTTGTAATCGGCTGAAAGTCGTTTGGTTTCATCTTTCTTCTAGGAACACGAATGTCTTCCTCTCCTTCTTCCAATACAATATCTCCATTTTCCGCAAGCTTATATTCAACAGTCTCCCCGTCGGTTGAGTCATCATGAACATCTTCGGCTTCGGATTTCTTTCCGTTCTTGTTACAGGTATCACAATGAGTACCAAGTTCTAAAGCATCTTCCGCCAATTCATCATCGCTCTCCCAAGCAGCTCTATGGCTATCTCCAAATCCGTCTTGCTCGTCAAATTCAAATACAGGCATCTTTAACCATGAAAGCCGCAAGGAATGAACGAAATGGCCTCCTTTAAGGAATTGTCGGAGTATGGGTTTGCAATGCAGGCAGTTGAGAGGGAGAAACGAAAAATAGATAACGCCGTATATTTATTTAAACGTAATGGATCTACAGATGCGTGTGAATGTGGGTTGTAGTAGGTTGTAGTATTTAATCTAGTTTTTTATCATCAATTTTTTTTTTTTCTAATTTTTTTTTATTAAGACTTAAATACAAACAAGTTTAAAAAAATTTTTAAAATTCTAAAATAATAGAATAAAAACAATGGACTCATTCAGTTTGTTCTGCTTTCCGACGGAAAACTTCTTATAGTCTTTTGATTTATGCCTAATCGTTAGTTTCTAGACTTTGTGTTATGTGTCGTATCTTAGATAACTTTAATATGAAATGTGAAAGATCTGTGCTAAATGCACTCGCATTCATTTTATGAATGTGATGCACGCTTATAAACCGTTTGTGTTTGTACAAAAACAGAATAATGGTGACCGAAATGGGAGTCGTTCCTATATCATGAATGAAATTACATAGTTTTCACAAATGAAATTCCCCATTAACAGCTTGCTGAACACTTTAACCACCTGTCGCACCGAAACAACGTTATCGCATTAGAGATATATCCTTTAACCTTTACCGTACATCTCCTGTATCCCGCTCTCTCGTTATAGTTGCGCGTTATCAATCATCTATTTATAATATATTGCATATGCTATTCTGTTTTGCGGTAGACAGCTGACGTACTACTGGCTTGACAGAAGGATGCAATTGCCTCTTCCGCAAGAACAACGTTCTCTCTTCAGATTTAGTCAATTTTTTTGTCGCCACGCGTTTGTTATGAGCAACAAAAACGATCATTAATAATTGTGTACAGAAGGAGTAAACAAAAGGTAGCTTACTTACTAAGTCTAGAGATCAGTGAGGAGATACGTACATAATACATGCTTTATACTGTTTCTACAGACTTAAACCGCTGAGAGGAAAGCCATGCAATTCTAGTATAAAAAACAATTGATTACATTTTCTTTTTTTTTCAATGGACTTACATTCATTGCGTTTAATTAGCTACTAAACAAAGTTCATAAGCGAATGTATAGGCTCAAGAGCTTTATTATACTGAGAAACTTGTAAAAACCGCCGAATTAACAGTCTAAACAATGAAGTTTACACATACCAACTTTTAGTTTAATTTCGGATTTCAATAGGATGATAGAGTTTTGTGAAACGATAACTAGTGAAAGTTCATTATTTATGTGGTATCAAGTAGCTTAGTAATTTGTTTCTTCATAAATATGACAAGAAGACAAAACAACAGCGTAACTCCAGTTGAAGGCAGACAATTCGTTAACTCGTCTACACGAGTAGAAACGAACTTGGATTACTAAGAGCAAGCTACTTAATGTACCCGAAACTTAAGAAACAACTGAGCTGTAATTCGCTTAGATAACACGAAACTCAACATTATACAAAGTTATCTTAGCGAAAATACCATATTCATTTGCCCCACACGCCCCAGTTCACCACCATAAACTGGGGCACTACGGCGTGTCTGTCACTATAATAACTAGAGTTTCGTATAGGAACAACCTCGCGTCTCTTTACAGTTAACTGCAATTGCAGTCGAAAACATGTCAGATCGAAGTTTTTTTGAGCGTGAACCCCCATATAATGTTGGTTCGATAGACTTTCCTTACGGGAATGCCGAAAACTCGCCATTGAGTAATATTCAAGAACAACCAGCGTCGACAAATTCGACGAACACTTATCCCGTAGCCGGAGAGGCATCATCCCTGCTTCAAAATGTTCAATCATACAATCTAAAACATACTATTTCACAAAATCTCGGATCCTTGCCCTCTACCGTCAACAATTCATTTCCCAGTATTCCCAATATTCCCAGTACTAGCACGCACGCATTGGAGCAAGGGAATGGATCAAACTACACAAGGATCACTGCTCCTTCATATCAAAACCATGCTTCAACCGACAATCGTGTATTCAACGGTGCTTCTACAAACGTGGAACCTACAAGACCCCAGCAAGCCGCTAAACAAAAAACACGCAGAACAAATGCTTCAATACAGAAGCAAGAATACGAAGATGAATACGAAGACTTCGTAGTACAGGGATTGAAAACAAAGTCTGGTCGGAAAGTCCACCGACCTGCTCAATACAATCCCAACGAAATGGTTATCCGGAGGAAATCAAGAAAAGTGGATCCCACTTCTTTGTGTGTGGAATGCCATCGAGGTCATAGTCCACGCTCTAACCGCATTGTCTATTGTGATGGATGCAATTGTGCATACCATCAGTTATGCCACCAACCTCCAATTGACGACTTTGTTGTACAAATGGAAGCTACACAATGGTATTGCTCACGCTGCGATGCTAAAAGATCCAAAAAACCACTGGAAACAGGCGCGACTAGTCAAAGCCTTGGCTTGACTGAAGCCCAGAAAAAAACATACTTAGGTAGCTTGCCGATTGCACATTTGGTTGAGTTGGTTTTATTCTGTGAAAACGAGAAGCCCGAGCTTCCCATATATAATCCCAGAACTCGCGAAATAATAGGCGAAATGCGCCAGCAAGCCATCATGAATTCAGAGCGTCATCAAGCTGCTCTTCAGGATCAGTTAACGGCTAAACTCAGTGATCAAATTCCCGAGGAACCATTGAAGCCGCCGTATACCGCTGAATATGTCACGAGTGAAGGCACTCTGTATCCATATTCGACTCTGATTCGCGTCGCAATATCCAACTTAACAAGGCCAACGAAGGATTTAATCTTTGATTACCTAAAAAAAAATTATCCACTTGCAGAGAACTTTTCTGACTCAGCAACGGATGCTCTACGTTGGATGGTATCTAAGGGTCAACTCGTTCGGTCGGGTTTGGTTTACCAGTTAGCAACTTCAGAACCAACTCATTCTACTCAACGTTCCCTCATTCCAACCTTTCAGCAGCGTAGAAAAGTCACTCCTATCATTCCCTCTTCTTTCCCTACTGAATCTTTGAATTCGTTAGCCTTTACAACCATTGACTCGAGCTAAACAAGAAACTTGGTATCCAATTTTTTTTTTTTTTATAATGCATAACTAATGGACATTGAGCTTACTCGCCTTGTTGAAGAAATTCACATCATTTCATTTTGTCTCTTGGTATTTTTTGTTCAATACTTTTGCTCTCCCTTCAACTACCATAGATGAAGAGAACACTTCAATTGTTTGCTAGACAAACGAGAAGACAAAGGGTTTCCGCAAAACTGCCTACACCTAAGGCTTTCAAACCCGTCGAGGTATCAGAAACGCATCCTCTATGGCAATTCTTTCGAAATAAACAGGCACTATTCCCTCCTGAAGAAGAGGCCAAGTTCGGACGTGCTTGGACGGCAGAAGAACTTCGAATCAAGTCTTTTGATGATTTACATGGTCTGTGGTATAATTGTTTGCGTGAAAAGAACCTGCTTTCGACACAATCAACAGAATTGAGACGTCTTCAACTGGATGTTCCGAAAGTACTGAAAGACCGTAACAAAACTGTCGGACAAACAATGGCTCGTATCAAGTTTGTTCTATGGGAGCGACAAAGAGCTTACGAATCTGCAAAAGAATCAGAGCAAGTGCAAAAGACAACGCAATCGAAGAAGGCCAAATAAGAGAACGGTAAATGGAAATTTCAAAGATTTCGGTGCTTATAGGCTGTTTTGATTCCCTTGTTTTGCAATCACATATCCCTACCGCGTCTTATTTATTGTGTCATTAACGCGTTTCACTTTGCAGTTGACCGATTTTTTCAACAACCACCAAATGGTAAGAAGTTGAAACGAAATTGTCAATTGAATGAAGTGCACAAGAAAAACAAGTGAAACGTGATTGTGCTTAAGAATGTCGTGTGGAAACCCGTTGTATTTGCAATGGATCCAGGAATGGATGGAGGAATCCACACGGCGATATCCTAAATCGTATCAGACGTGGAGAAAGGTAAGAAGAATTGGACTCAATGCTAAATAATTGTTCGTTATGCTCACAAATAATAAGGCGTACGAGTCAATGAAGAATTGTCCCGTCACTTTTACAAGGCCTTCTGAAGCTTCTGTATTGAAAGGAATTGGACCTACGATATGTGCTAAGTTGGAAAAGAAATGGACAGAATACTGCAAGGAGAACGACATTCCTCTTCCGGAGGATAATTCTGTGGAGCCGTCACAAGCAGCTGCCACTTCTAATGAAAATGAAAATACTGCAAAGTCAAAAACACAGCGCAAGAAAAGACCATACGTTCCGTCCTACAGGTCTGGTGCTTATGCAATTCTTTGTGCTTTAAGCAAGTTACATGAACACGAATCAGCGGCGAAACCCCAAATAATTGCCATCGCTCAATCGCACTGTGAATCCTCCTTTGAAGTTGGTAGCCATAGTAGCAACCGCTACACTGCTTGGAGTGCAATGAAAACTCTGTTAACAAAAGGCTTGGTATATCAAAGTGGTCATCCTCCAAAGTATAGTCTCACGGAAGAGGGTGATGAAGTGTGCAAGCGACTGGGTCGTGTCGATGACGCTTTTGCTTCTTCCAGATGGAGACAAAAGGATGAGGACACACATGACAGTGACGAGGATGCGTTGGAAAAGGAGGACCATGAAGCTACTGATATCGATGAAGTTCAAGTGAATGCTATCGCTGAAGTACACAGATCAAACTCTTCAATAGATTATGAACCAAGACGCATTAATTTGAATGATTGCACTATTCTTATGCTTCTAGATACCCGGGAAGTTCGCTCTCGAAATGATCGAGACTACATCATCGATAAATTAAGTACAGTTCACAATGTTAAATGTCAAGTGAGAGCCCTCGAACTTGGTGATGTCTCGTGGATTGCACGGCATAATGATACGAATGAGGAATTTGTCCTAGATTACATCGTGGAACGAAAACGACTGGATGACCTTGTGGCTTCCATCAAGGATGGTCGATTTCATGAGCAAAAGTTTCGACTAAAACGAAGCACCATTCGAAATGTAACATATTTATTAGAGGAGTCTAATTACGATGAACATTTTACCGACTCAATAAAGACTGCTATCACAAGCACATTTGCTGACCAGCACTTTTTTGTGAAACGAGTCACCTCACTGGACAATAGTATCCAATACCTGGCTCGAATGTCACGGGCCATCGAACTACACTACCGGAAAACAGAACAGTTACTTGTTGTTCCGGACTTAGCTGTTGAAGCAAGGAGTCTTGAAGACTTGCATGAGCGTATGCAAATTCACACGCTAGGACAACGGCATCACTTATCCTACCATTCGTTTGCTTCTGTTATGTCGAAAACATCTACTATGACTGTTGGTGATGTTTTTCTTCGTATGTTGATGACTATTCGAGGCGTAAGCCCAGAGAAGGCGATGCAAATTCAACAGCTTTACCCTACAATGATTTCATTGGTTGAAGCGTACGAGAGACTTAAATCGCATTCCGAACGCGAGGCACTATTGTCCACGCAGTGCAAGTCATTCGGTCGCCGAAGCATAGGATTTGCACTTTCACAAAAGATTGCAAAGATTTTCCACCCGGGCACGTTAAATCAGTATCACGAACAAACTTAATGCTGTATTCTCGTTTTCTGTATTGCGTTACATTTACGTTTTAATTACCGCGGCTGACTACATTCTGTCCCGCGGCACATTTCTATTGCAGTTCTGGGCATTCAGACAAAGCTCACCAGGAACATAATGGCATTGCCCGTTCGAACCCTAGTTTCCAGAAATTTGAGACGCTGTGCGCTAATGCGCACGAGTATCAAAGTAGGTTCCTTGCGTCACTATAAAACAGGAACTGAAGCAGACGATGTTCCTCACCGTGAAGATGGGTTTACGAATTTCGGTTTTCAGACTGTGAGGGATGAGGAAAAAGAAAAATTGGGTATGTCTTCTGCATCAAGAAGTGGACTGTTCTATTGACCTTTCTGTTGTAGTCGGAAATGTCTTTTCCTCGGTAGCAAAAAAATATGACCAGATGAACGATGCTATGTCACTGGGAATTCATCGTCTATGGAAAAAACACTTTATTAAACGACTGAACCCCGGAAATTCTGCTCTTCCAATGCGAATCCTTGATGTTGCCGGTGGTACGGGTGATATTGCATTTGGTATTCTTGATTATGCCACCAAAGAAAATAAAGATACTCGAAGTAAAGTGATTGTGGCCGACATAAATGCAGACATGCTCCGTGTTGGTCTACGTCGCGCTCGTGACACACCTTACTTGGATGCTGGAAGGCTGGAATTTGTACAGCAAAATGCTGAAGTGCTTGATAAAATTGCTGATAACAGCATTGATCTGTACACAATCGCTTTTGGTATACGGAATTGTACTCATATTTCCAAGGTTCTTGAACAAGCATACCGTGTCCTGAAACCTGGCGGTGTGTTTTCCTGTTTGGAATTTAGCAAGGTTCGTTTCGCCCCTCTCGCTGAACTCTACCGTCAATATTCATTCCGCTTTTTGCCTTTAATGGGAACAATTATTGCCGGCGATCGGGATAGCTATGAATATTTGGTTGAAAGCATCCAGAAGTTTCCCGATCAGGAAACACTTGCTCGCATGATTAAGGACGCCGGTTTCACCTTGAGCGGAAAGACCGGCTATGAGAATATGACTTTTGGTGTTGCAGCGATACACACTGCTGTTAAGCTTTAATGAGTAGTTGTCAACGTTACTCGCTTTTTATCATTACTTCGTGTGCAACACTGTCTTAAGACGGGACTCCATTACGAGGAATTGACTTTAAATTACTGAGACGCAACTAATGATGAATGACCTTTTAACTTACACTTCTCCTCTTCCGTGCTTTAAATGTCCGCTATGTAAATTTTTTATTTGCTGTTTTTTCCGTTCTTTTTTACTTTTTTAATTCATCCACCAATAATTACAATTTTAGGCTGCATCGGCCTTACATTAGTTGCAGTATACAATTTCGCCTACGGGCTAAAAACTGACCGTAAAAAGTATTGTTTAAAAGGCATTAATATTACCATAAACCGTTATGTTGGAAAGAAAAATGGATACCGTTATTTTAAGCACTCCTCGATTTGATTTAATGACACCAGTTCGTGAAGAAGACTTTGATCAAATCACAAAAATAAAGTCAAATCCTCTGGTTTCGAGCACACAGCTGTATGGAACAATAACTTCACGCGGTAAATGCCGGTCCATGTTCCATCACTATATTGATGATGCCTACAGCAAACGCAGAAAGCGATGGGTTTTTGGAATTTATACGACGGAGCGATTCCAAAAGTTTACAGGTATACAAACTTACATCGGCAATGTAGGATTGGAAAGGGATAGTCCTGCATCAACTAGAGGTTCCTTGTTTTTTGAGGTAGATCCAGAGTTTTGGGGACTAGGAATTGCTAGCGAATGCTTGGCAAGAGTTATTGCCTTTGCTTGGGAAAAAGAGTTTAGCTATCTAATGGTAGATCCCATGGTAGGAAACGAAGCCAGTATACGAGTTGCAAAACATAACGGTTTTCGCGACACCGGACGAAAGATCGTTGCTTATAATGGCGTCTTGCAACATTTATTTGAGTTAAAAGCACCAAAATAGATCAAGAAAGTTCTTTTAAAAAAAAAGGAAGTGCTAATCCAATTCAGTTTCAATTGAGCCATCATCTGTCACTATTTCCGAAGACACTAAACCATTTGCATCCCTTCTCACCGGCTCGATTGTAGTACCAAATTCAGTTTCCCCCGGTCGGCGTAAAACAAATGTTTCGTCAAGCCAGTCTATAACACTAGCATAGCTCTCAGAGGGAACTTGCATGCGTTCTCTCTTGGTTGTCATTTTGCCCATCATAGTCATCAAGTGATGTTCAAATAATTGAAAATTGAGCGAGTAGCCTGTAGCATAAGCAACGAACTTTTCAACACATCCCCAAGGAGTAGAAGTGTACCCGGCAAACAACGCAGGGTTTTCCATGAGTCCACGAGCAGACATAACACCGTCTGTGTTTGTGTATTCTGCAATTTTGAGACCCGTGTCGAGGTCATTCACATCGCCATTTGCAACAACTGGTATTGAGACGCAAGGACGGACACTACGAATAGCTTCCAAATCCACTGGAAATGAGGATCTGTCCGCACGACGTCTTCCGTGGACCGTAATAAAGTCGGCTCCTGCACGCTCAGCTGTCTGCATCAGCTGTCGAGTTTTTTCGAGATCATTGTCAAGACGAATTTTAACCTCAACACAAAAAGTCTCTCCCAAGGCAGACTTGACGGAACGAACTAATTCATGCACTTTCTGAGGCTGTTTCAACAACGCAGAACCTATACCCTCTTGGATAGCCCAAGGTTGTGGACACCCACAATTTATACCAATTGCATCAGTATACGGAGCAACGATTTCAGAAGCTTGTGCCAAAATTACAGGGTCTTCAACTCCAAACTGAACCACAAGGGACCGGTCCTTTTCATTCGTGGAAAAATCAAAGTATCTGCCTTCTGGATGCAGAAACTCTTTTGCAAGTATCATAGGTGTGTAAACGATATCCGCATTATAGTCACGAACCAATTGGCGAAACGGAAGCTTTGAGTAGCGGACCATAGGCGCTGCTATGAATACTGGTCGTTCATTCTTGTGTAATTCAAAAATTTTGACTGGATTATACTTTTCTTCACGCATCCCAAAAAAACCCAAAAACCGGACAGATTTAATAAAAGTATATACAAAAAACCACAAATCGTCAAAGAAAAGTACTCCAGTAAGTGACAACTACCCTTCCTTTGGTCCAATCGCCGATATCACAAACAGTCAACGTCTGTGGTACGGTGGATGAAAAACACAGAGGAGATGAAGAACAGGATGTGAAAGAGTAGTTAGTAGCTATAAGTTTATAGATTTCAAAAGAGGGGCGTAAATTCACCGTAGTGAGACGAAAAAAACATTTTGGATGAGAATTGTTTTCCGGTTATTTTCGAAATATCATGAACCTGATTTTAGAACAACAGCTCGTGGACTAACAGAGCTTTTGGAAAGGTAGTAATAGAAGAGCAGACATGTTTTGTGTTTACCGAAACAGGCTGGCATTTTTAAAAAAGGGCTGCTCCAGCGCTTCTTCTGGTGTCAATCGTTTTTCAGGATTGAGTTCAAGACAACGATCCAAGAGAAGAACCAAATCATTTTGAATTACACCTTCCTGTGGTGTCGATGTTGGAGTTTCGCGGACCCTAGATTTCAAATCATTCGTGGGTTTCACAAAATTCATGGGTTTTCGTATTTCCCTTCCTGTTATAGGATCAATCTCTACGCTGATAAAATTGTAATGCTCGTCAAAGTGATCGTTAGTAAATTGACCACGTTTCAGCACTTTATGACTAAAGTGTCCTTTACATTCCATCATCTGTTTTAGCATCTGGTTGTTAGAACGACCGGCAAACAAAATATGACCCGTATATAGTTCAAAAATAGAACATGCAACACTCCATATGTCTATTGGAAATGAATAAGGAATTCCAAGAACTAAAGGTTTTCGGTTAGTAATGCCCTCGATATTAAGGAATTAAAACTCACTGATTTCTGGTGCTCGATAAAACCGACTCACGAGGTAAGGAGTAATCTCGTTTTCTGAGGCGTCAGAGGCTGAACCAAGATCGCATATTTTAACAAGGTTTCGTTTTTCGTTTACGAGCATATTATCCGGCTTAATGTCAGCATGCAATATATTGCACTTTTTCAGCAATATTAACGCCTTAAACATTTGGTAAGCATATACACGCACTGCTTTGATGTTAAGACCAACTCCTCGTCCAAACTTTTTTAAAATGTCTCGCAAGTTAAGACTGAGCATTTCAAAAACCATGCACAGGTGATGCTTATGCATAAAGTTTCGCTCGTAGTGTACAATCGTTTGACTGTTATTTTCATCAGCTTGCTTCAAACGTTCAAAGATTGAAATTTCTTTCAAACCAGCCTTGTACATCGTTTCGTTGTTACGGATTATTTTGACAGCGAAAAGCTTGCCCGTTTTTTGATCGAGAACCTTCACAACGGAAGAGAACACACCTTTTCCTAAGTTAGACTGCACAACATAACGTCCGTCGAGCTCTTCAAGAAGGACTACTTTATAGTAACCTTCAAGATCATCCCAAACATCCTCCATAACACCAAATTTCCGTGTTACAGCAACATCAGAGGATGCTTCTTTGCGGTGTTTAGTCTTTCTCGTCGGTGTGTCCGCAAACATATCGTCTTCTTCTTCTTCTTCGTCATCATCATCATCTTCCTTGACGATCGTTTTTGCCTTCTTCAAAGCCGGTTCACTTTTACCTTCATCGCGAGGTTGTTGTTGAGCATTAGTCTGATCGTTTTGTGCTTCATTCCGTTCACTATGAGGGATTTTGAATCATTACTATGCACAAATTCATCGTCCTTGAATAACGGTCTCTTCAACGACTGTTTCTCCTCACTTCCAATCACTGGCTGCTTACTTTGCAATACTGAATTATCCGTTACAGTGCTTTTCTCACCGGCTTGCTGGACGTTTTGGTATTTCAACAAAATCTGCCTGCGACGAAGTCGTCTTTGCTCTATAATCTCATCTTCTGTCAACTTAGCTTCAGACATTCTAGTCACAAACGTTTGTAATCACTACTTTAATGTATCCGTAAACCCGTCGAATGGCGAAGAACACACGCTGCGAGTATTCTCTTGACAAAGCTTTAATTCAGGTCCTCACCAGCGAAGGTGCACTACCCTTACCCAGCTAAACGTATTCATAAAACAAATTCGTATTCACTTTTCATTGATTTAAAGGATTAAATAGGATCATTGAAACACAGCAGACCATCTCTCCTCATCAGTGCGGCTTTCAGCATAAGCAATGGTACGCTCAAGGTATCCACGCAAAGCATCAATGCCTTGGTTTTGAGGTGTCTCCCATATAGCACTAGCACATGCGGTGCTATCCAACAAAATGTCATTGCTGGCTGCACTGACAAGATTTCTAAAGTTTTGTTCCGTCAAGTCTATGAGGCCGTTAATGTGCTTTGGAATGATCTGCGGCACCGAGTGTTAGTCGAACATTCACAACATTGAAATGCATTAATTTCTGGAGGATAAAAACGTACCGATTCACATTGTTGTTCATAGAAGTAAAAATAATACGCGAGTATATTGATAAATAGCTTAGTGCTGGTTACTTGGTCCATGCAAGCATCAGCAATCTTTAAGCTTTTCTGTAGACATTCAAGGACACGTTTTGCGTCACAGAATGGTTGCTAAATGTGTTAGTTAAAAAAGAATAAGCAGAAATGCATCCTTACCTTATCCTCTTCCGACTCGTGCGTCTGCCACCATAAGTGACTCGCGAGATAGATACCCCTATAAGCGGTTAGAAGACAAGGAGACCAAACGATAAAGTTGTGTAAATAAGTACCTGCACTGGTCAGGCTTCTTAAGAAGCTTCGAGGCGTAGAGTGTAACTTTCGTTATCAGTGTATCATAATCATCTGTAGAGAAATTCCGTGTTTGTTGGAGCACAGATATTATTGTCGTTAATTGTTGGAACTGAAGTCTGGAGTCAATGACCGATTCTTCGTATATCGAAAAGGCCGATGAAATAAACTCATAAGCGAACTCCGGATAATTCTCCTTGTCTGCTGTTTCGGCAGCAAACAAATAAAGAGAAAAGGCCAAATCTGACGAGTCCGCCGATGTGTAAAGGAAGGAAATGCACTGGTTTACGAATTTCCAAAGATCGGAAACTTTTTCTTTCCAATCCATACACTTAAATAGACGGAACTCTCGGACGAGAACAATGCATTTGTTTATAACCACTGGTAGAATTATTCTAGCATTCTCACCCGCCTTAACAAATGTTTGCTTTACGCAACAAAGAATCTAATGAGACGTTAGTACAATGTTATCTAGCAAGCAGTAAAGATCGCACCTGATATTGAAGTTGAGGATCGTCATTCTTCAAATAATGTACAAGACGAGGAACGTTCTCAAGGTCATAAAAGTTCTTGTCTGCATCGTATTCAATCACCATTGACATGAGATTAAGAACTTCTTTCACTTCTTCCAAGTCAGAAATAATTTGCTCTTTCTCCAAAATGTTTTCTAGCACCATTTTGGCAATGCTGTGACGAAGATCGTCTGATTGGCACTTCAAAACAGGCATATAGTTCGGAAGACTAAGGCATGCAGAGAAACTGGACAAGGTTGTTATAGGCAAAGTAAAAAGTTTGCATAAACGCGACTGGACATGTTTGTCTTTGAGATACTGTTGTACCGATGGTTGGTTTATCAGCTGTTCAGTAATGTACTGAAAGACACGGTCGGCATAATTAAGCTCACCCGGATAACACACTAAAAAGAAGGTCAATAAACTCGTTAAAGTTTGAACTACGTTTTCCAAAGACAGCTCTGAACGCTGACTTAAAACGGCGATAACATGAGTCCAAAATAGTTCGGGAATGTTCAGCTCTGCGGGAATTACAAGAGCGCCAGGGGACGTGAGAGCTGGTTCGGTTTTCGGGGACTCCTCTAAAGACGTCTCCTTCAGTGTGCTGATGATAGATTCAGTGTCGGAAAGGTTGTCTGCTTCTCGTTGAACATAAGAAGTGATACGGTCAATCATGGAGACAGTAATTTGGGTAACGTTCACATTAGGTGACAGTTTTAGCAGGGTATTGAAATAAATATCGAGTGTGTGCAAATGCTTGCTGTCAGGAAAAACCTGACAAATCACCTCCATCAAATACTCCTGTGCTAAAGCATCCCGACACTCTACAATCTGCTCAATAATCGCAGGCAAAACCTTGTTGCGGTATAGATCCAGTGTCAGCTCATTAAGTTGAGAAATGCGAACAAGGTTTGTGCCAATGAGAACTTTAAGCTCATTTCGTTCCTGTAACCGCTTCGCATACTCCTTTATGGGTCCTAAATGCTGCATCCGTACCCAAAGCTTGTTCATCTCAATAAAGTTTGGAATCAGAAAATCCAAGGCATCAGTGATTGTGCATTTCGTGGGCTTTTCGTCATCATTTTTGTTGTCCGTAAGCTGCACAAGTCCTCTTCGCGTTTGCGTGAGAAGGAAGTGCCGAAGGAACAAGCCGCGTAGAGGGTGTTGAACACCCCTGCTCATGTCGAGCATGTCCGATATTACGTCTCTTACAGATGCATCTGGGCTTTCTACGTAGGCGCCGCCGACCGTAATCATCAAGTATAGGCGTGGAATGACAGTGCCTGCATACTGCACAAGCTCGTACAAGTCCAACAGGTTATGAGAGCCGTTCAGATGAGCATCTAGTAATGCTCTCGACAACACACGCAACGATTCTGAAACAAGCATGTACAGCTCGTAGTACTGTTTTGGGGACAGAATGTCATTTCGCATCTCCTGAAGACTCTTGCTGCAATAACGGAAAGCCTCCATAAACCGATAATTGTCGAGATGTTTGTACATCAACGCAATATTTTTCTTACATATTGCAAGTGATTCCTCCAGAGGACGGGCAATTGCTTCGACATACGTCGCAGCAGGAGGGGGAGGATGACTCATTTCTGATTAAAGGATGTTATAGCAGAGGAAATCTGAAAGACGGTCAGTATGTGTTGAGTGAATTATTTGCACAGAGTTCGTACATCTAGTATACTAAAGTTTAGAAAACGAAACGAGGTAGAAGGAAGCTAGAACGTTCACACAAGGACTAAGGAAACCAACACACAAAAAATCTAGTGTCTACAGTTACAATTGAGTACTAAAGAGTGACAAGGCGTTAGTGTAAATCGTGAACTGAACGAGCACACGCAAGCAAGAGGATTAGGCAAAGGCTACGTTCGTTGAACAGCTGCGACCCTTTGAAGTGGAGATCTGCACGGCGAGCTTAATTAGCACGTGAATGCTTATTTCTTGCTCTAATAATGATGTCATTGGAAGGAAGTGAGAAATCGTTTAAGCTTATCTTCTTATCGCAACGTGCAAGGGGTTACCGACAGGGATGCGAGCGATACCGCGCTAAAGAAGGTCTCTGATAAAGGCCGACCTGATGTATATATATAGACTGAGAAGACGTATGGGCACACCCTAGTTACCACGCGAGCAACACCCTCTCACGTAGACAACATGTACCTTTCACGGGTGTTTCTTGGTTTTTTTACGTTCGTTACTGTCGTTTCTGCATATGTGAATTGCTCTGGGGATGCGGCAGAAGGCGAGAAATGGTTATCCAACACTGGCTACAATTGGACTGTGCGTGATGTGAATCCCACGTGTATTTTTGATGATTCTCTTATTCAGAACGTTTCTGACTCAAACTGGAATTCTGTTTTGGGTAAAGGAAACTGGATTGTGGAGCTTACGACGAGCAACTGTCCCGTGTGCCCTTTTGTGAGGGCTTTGATGAATGTAAGAGAGAAATGAGAAAGAAGATGGCATACTAACTACATCACAGGACATGTCCCACCAACTCTCTAACATTACTGAGCTCCATTTTGCTCGTGTTTACGCGGAAGAGAATCTGATGACGAGTACACGTCTGCTTGTAACGAAGCTTCCCAACATTTTGTACATTGTGAACAACACGGAGTTCCGTGTTCTTCCCTTTGAGTTCTTGACTCATAAACTTCTTCGTGATCTGTACACGTCTGCAAAGTTCACGCAATTTAACAAGCGCGATGGTTTCTTTTCCATCGGTGGACCCTTGGCCCCGTTGTACAAAGTGATCGGCATTGTCTTGAAGAAGTACACAGACTTAACGAAAGGCATTCCTCACATTGTTATGTCTATTGGTGTTGGTGTCTTCAGCGGTTTCTTGTTGAACATGATGCATTCTAAGAAAAAGCGTCAATCTGGCGCTGCTAAAACGAAATAGGGAATGAAGACCAAAGCGGCTCAGCAACTGGGGGAGGAAACAACCCTGTAGATGTCTGAGCATGCCCGTCCTCACGAGAACACCCGCCAAGCTTACTGGTTGCGTTCAGTTGTCATACACATATACACATTTGGACCCTCCCTCTCTCCCTCTTCGCTATACAAGACAAATTCTCTTCTTCTCCCCTCTTCTCTCCTTCTCTCCTTCTCCCTCCATGAGTTCTACTGAATCTATTTTGGACAAGCAAAGAAGGGCTTTGTAGAGTGATGACGACTGTCGAGCGTGAAGGGATCCCACTTTGTGGGCTGCTCGTTCTCAATGTTTTCCACGGCATGGCCCTCGTAGGCTTCAACGCTGATGGGAAACGTGAGATGTTGGAGGGGTTTGGTATCGGCCGGAATTTCAACGTCCTCGAGTGTGTGGATGATATTCACACCGGTGTTCACCTTTTCCATCATGGCACGGGCAGCTTTGGGCTCGGAGGGCTGTTGGAAAACAGCCAAATCGAGCATCTGCTGGTACTGTTGTTCAGTAACTCCGGCGATCGACGGTTTCCGGCAAACCAGTCGGAGAAGTGACACGTTTGAAGGCTTAAGACGCAACATTCTTTCAATCAACACTCAATTGCCGCTCAGCTCGATAGACACACTAGCCCTTGCTCTACGCTTTTCTTCCCTCCTGCAAGTCCTACTTATGTGCGAGGCAGGGGCTATGTTTTCGCCCGCGGGAAGCCGGATGAACCCTACCCTAAAATATGTGACTGCTTTTTATAAAACGTATATATACGGGAGAGGAAGGAAGAGGACGGGATTTTTTCTCCGTTCGACTCGTTAGACGGTAGTATATCGTATTGATCACCAACGACATACAGTTGGTTCAGAGTGGTCTGTGTGAGACACACCTGTTGAGAATGTAAGTAAAGCATACTCGTAGCGTAGCATAAGTTCGGGTGTTCCCGGATTGGATGTTGATTTGCTGCGTTTTTCATCAACGCAGTGTTCAAATGTCCGGGTCGGTCGGAGGTAGCCTCGTCGTTTGCTTTGATTGCGCGCGAGACAGGCCGTAGGTGCTAACATTGCTTCTTGCCAAGTATAAGTTACGCCTGTTTTATTGAATATGGCTGGGCCCGTTGACGAACGGGACGTGAATAGTCGCCGTGCTGGGGAGAGTGTCGTCGATGAGACGCGTAATACTGCACTGCTGAGCTCAGCTACAGATGCTAGTGCTACCACCACCGCCCTCGATGAGGCTTCTACCACCGCTGCTACTACTGCACGTCGTTCTGCAGCCCACACGGCCCCCACTTCATCGCCCACCGAGGTGGACAAGAGGAAGACGGTTTTGATTACGGGATGCTCGTATGGCGGTATAGGCAATGCGTTGGCGCGCAAGTTTCACCGGGAGGGATTCCGCGTGTTTGCCTCTGCTCGACGTCTTGAGACTCTGGACAACTTGGCCAAAGAAGGAATCGAAGTTTTTGTGCTCGACGTTACCAGTGACGGCTCTGTGCAAGCTGTCTTGGAAAAAGTGAGTGCGAGAACGGGTGGGCGTCTGGACATGCTGATCAACAACGCGGGCCAGCCCTGTGTTGGGCCTGCACTCGACATCGACATTGATCGAATGAAACGGGTGATGGAAGTCAACCTGTTCGGAGTGATCCGCATGAACAGCGCCTTCCAGCATCTTCTCTTAGCTTCCCAGGGAACAATCGTGCATATCAACTCGATTGTTGCCTATGTGCCGTATGTCTTTGGCTCTGCATACAACGCGACAAAGGCTGCCTTGCTCGCCTACACCAACACGCTTCGTCTCGAGTTGTCGCCGTTTGGTGTTCAAGTGATGAGCATAATGACGGGCGGTGTTAGTTCACGCATTACGGAGCAGCCCACGAACAGTTTGTCTCGAGAACAGCTGCCTGCCGACAGTATTTATCGGCCCTACATTGATGACATAATTAATGCCCGCAAGCATACGGGACGGACGTCGATGACTCCTGAAGAGTATGCCGACCAAGTGTTTCCCCAAATAACGGGACGTGGTCGCTGGTACCAATTGTTTCGGCCGGGTCTTCTGCCAGCCCAGATTTGGGGCGGTAGTTACTCCTCGCTCGCCCATCTCTCCTCGCTGCTTCCCATTGAGATCTACACAGGGTACATGCGTCGCAAGTTTCAGATGCCCAAGGATGTGATGATCGGCAGGGGCAGTGAATGAGCGGGTCGTTCGCGAGGGACGTCGAAACTACGAATTGGCACGAATGCCGATGACGATTAAAGAGAAACGAACAGTGGAAGATCGGAATGGGCAACGGTGAATGGAGAACGGGAATGGGTAACCGAAGTGAGAATAAAACTCAGGCAGGAGCCTAACAGACACCCAGCAGGAACCAAACGAAAGTCTTGGCCTCACTCATCACAACACGAAACTCTAATCTCGAAACCAGCGCAACGCACTCCATAAACTCGTCTACGAAAGACAAAAACAGCCGATTGCACATTACGGAACGGGCCTGCACAGCCAGCTTGGGGCATTGTCATTTTATTCGCTATGCATTTGCTAAACAGCTTACATTCAGTATAAGCAGACTCTACTCACCAGCTACTCACCAGCGCCGCATCCCTCTCGAATCTGTGCACCGCCCACCGGCTGCTTTCTCTTATACGTGATGAATTGCGAACCCTGTGCTCATGCTTGACTGTTCCTTTTGTTTACCGAAGCTCGGTCTGAAACTGCGCTCCGCAAGTCCCGGGAATAAGCACGAGGTTTTATTTTGAGCCCCTGGTTGGCGAAAGTGCGACGACCGTTCACATCCAACCCCGTCATCTCCAGAATGCGTTGGTTTCCCATCGCCGAGTACATCCCCGGGGTGTTGGAACCTCATGCTAGCGAAAGATGACGTACCCCACGGGATCATCAGCTAGCGAGCACGCTAGACGATGATAACGCCGCTTTGGGAAAGGGCCCCTCTGTGCCCCGTCAGAATTTTATTTTTTTTCTTAGGGAGATTGTGTCGAATGTTCACGAATCTGTTGGTGCAGTTTGTGCTGTTCCTCTCGTCTGTTTGGCTAAGAATTGCTGTGCGATTTGCCCCATGTCGACCATACGTCGAGTCGCATAGCCTTGTGGCTGTTGCACCCCACTAAGATTGCTTCGCCGTCTTCTCGCTTACCTGTCGCTCTTTGGTGCCAAGCACGAATCGCAGTCGCGTCGCAGTTTCCTCGTCTCCACTTAAGCTGGCACGCGACGTCATCCCTGGCGTTATTTTCGACGCACCTCGTCGATGATTGGCTTGCGCAGTTTCATTTCTGCGGAGTGCTAGATCTTAAAATGGCACAGCGTCTTTTTATTGGTGCGCTGGTTGCGTCATTGGCGAATCGTCTCTGCGCTTATTGGGCAGGGTGCGTCGTTCTTCGGCACTTTAAACCCTAAGATCGGCGTTGGCCAATGAGCACTGGTTTCGCCTGTCGCACGAGGCAAGGACGAGGTGGCCACTGCGAACAAAGGCGGTGTGCATGCATTGGTGATCGTTAGGGTAGGTTTGGCACATTTGCTATAAAGGCTGCCACCCTCGCCATTCGGTTCCTCGTGGTTTCCTTTTCGACTCAGCCAATTCGTGAGCTGACGAGCAATTCCTGCTGGTCGACTGAACGAATACAAGCACAAGCACTAGACTTTATCGGCACAGATTCATCTGTCCTAGCCTCACGCACACAGGCACACTCCTTTCAACACACTCGCGCAACAATCGCACCTATGTCTCAGCCCTATATAGACAATCCTAATCACAGCGACCTTTCGGTCGCTGGCCCCGTGGCCCACGAGGGCCCCGTCCGCACGCTCGAAGAAGTCGAGCAGGAAGAAAAGAAGATCAAAGGTTTGGGCGTCTCCAAACGTGAATTGAAGGTTCTGGCCCTTGCCGGTGCCGGATTCTTCCTTGATTCTTACGACCTTTTCATTATTAACTTGGTCACGCCCATTCTCGAGTTCCTTTACTGGGGTGGTATTGAGGGCCATGCCCACTATCCCTCTGGTATCCGTGGTCTTGTCAACGCTGCCTCCAACATTGGTAACGTCTTTGGCCAGGTTCTTTTTGGTTTCTTCGGTGACTACATGGGCCGTAAATTCGTCTACGGTAAGGAAATGATCATTGTCATCGTTGCTACCTGTCTCTGTATCTCTCTTCCCCAAAATCACATCCACTCTGCTACGAACAAGATGATGTGGCTCTTCGTTTGGCGTTTCTTCCTCGGTGTCGGTATCGGTGGTGATTACCCCATGTCGGCTTCCATTACCTCTGAGCGTTCTCTGCTGAACCGCCGTGGTAAGCTGCTGTCTATTGTCTTTGCTCACCAAGGTTTCGGTACCTTGGTCGGTGCTATTGTTACCATCTGTCTGTTGGCTATCTTCCAACACGTTCTCAACGTGAAGGGCGAGTACCACAAGTTGGAGGGTGTCTGGCGTCTGCAAATCGGTTTGTCGCTTGTGCCTGCTCTTGCCGTTTTGTACCCCCGTCTCACTATGAAGGAGGCTAAGAGTTTCGAGGAGTCTCGTGCTCGTAACAACATGACCAAGAAGGGTCAAGCTCAGGCCCTGGCTGAGGAACACAAGGGTGATGTCTCTACCTCTCAAGATGGTGCCGAGTTCATGTCCAGCGACCCCGCTAAGCTCGAGAAGCTGGATGCTGACTTCGAGACCGAGTCTATTGACAAGCCCCAAGCACCTAGCAGTGGTTTCTTTGAGTACTTCCGCGAGTGGAGACACTTGAAGATTCTCATCTCTTGTGCTGTTTCCTGGTTCTTGCTTGACATTGCTTTCTACGGTATTAACCTTAACCAATCCGTCATTCTTAAGAGTATCGGTTTCACCACTGGTAAGAACGAGTACCACAAGCTGATGAAGAACGCATGTGGTAACTTGATCATTGCTATTGCTGGTTATGTGCCCGGTTACTGGATTACTGTCTTTACCGTCGAGAAGATTGGTCGTAAGTGGATTCAACTTCAAGGTCTTTTTGTCATGGGTTTGATGTTTGCTATTCTTGCTGGCAGCTGGGGCAGCATCAGTACCGCTGGTCGTTTCATCTGCTTCGTCATTGCTCAACTTTTCTCCAACTTTGGTCCCAACGCCACTACTTTCTTGTACCCCGCTGAGGTGTTCCCTGCTCGTGTCCGCGGTACTGCTCACGGTGTCTCTGCTGCTTGCGGTAAGTGTGGTGCCATTATTGCCTCCCTGTGTTTCAACATCGTTTCCGACAAGATTGGCATGGGTAACCTCATGTGGATCCTCTGCGGTTGCATGTGGGCTGCTATTCCCTTCGCCTTCCTCTTGCCCGAGACTATGATGCGTGATGCTGAGGCCATCGATCGTGATGAGCTTCTTGGCATTGCACCTAAGCGCAGCAACCGCCGCTTCGCCTGGTACTGGGATGGTATCTAATCTGTGTTGCCACTTTACTGCTGTGCGTGTTTAATAATTTACTACATACGAAAACGAACACAAATCTGCGATCACACGCGCGCACATGCACACACAAGCTATTCGCAACCACTCAATCCTTCTAACGTCCCTTTATGCGTTTACCCGAGCATGGGCGCTTTCGAGTCCAAATTTTTGAGAACACACTGATGTGCCTACATTTTCTATTGACCGGCGTCCTTGTCCAAACCTTACCCACCCCCCGCTCCCCCCAGTATTTTTTTTTTTTGCTTTTGTTTTGATTTCTATTCGACCATCCCTCGGCTGACGACGGATGCTTTCCGGTGAACGTTTGTTCAGCTTTACAACACAAACAACACATTTATAACAGCAAATCTTACAAACACTTACATATTTCTCTCCTCGGGCATTTTTGATGTTGGTTTCATTTCAGTTTTGAAGCCCAAAAACCGCTTTTTTTTTGCATGGGTCTTGAGGAGTTTTTTTGAGGGAGACCTCTAGGATGAGCTCTTAGGAATTAATATTAGAACAAAGGTTTTTATTAGGAAAAGTTGGTGTGAACTGTGAAGTGTGAATGGCGGTGAAAAGATGTAGTTGAAGGGTGCGAGTTTGCGTTTGGGGAACGGAATGGTTCAAGGATGAGCCAGGTTGTTAGTCTGTGCAACAATTGCTCTGTAGTTATTTTCTCGTCACGCATTGAAGTGTATTGTTACATGCAGCAGTTGCAGTTGCTTCATTCCGCCCATTTTCTCTTGCCCGCCGGGGAAAAACTTTAATTACGATAAGCTCAAGCTCAAGACCCAAGCTGGTCAATATAGGCTGACGCGAAATCAGAGACCTACGCTCTACCATATTTGAATTTAGTAACAGTTAAACGAAAATGAGCTCCAAGTTGGAACAGGAGCTTGCAGAATGGTATGACCGTCGATGCGTGTTTCTGTTTTAGCTTCTTTTTGGCTGTTAACGCTTTCAATAGCATGGGAACCAAATTTCGTGGAGGAATATTCGTCAAGAACGGTCTTCCCTTTGCAGGTACGCATTGTTTGACACGAAGAACATTTAATTTATCTTAAAAACCTTAATCTTGTTCTTGTTTTAACGAATGAACGCGTCTAGTTTCAGGACAATTAAGCAAAGAAGAAAAAGACTTTATTTGCGAATGGAACAATGACTCTATGAACTCGGAGGTAGTTGTTTTGGACAACAATCAGCATTCTAGACTGCTTCTTGGAACCAAGGATGGTTACGTCGTCGGATTTGCATACAAGAATGGTGACGAGGACACTCAGAACAATCATAACGAAACTTCCTCTTAATGTGGGAAGAAGAAGCATATCATACACTCGCGCGATAAACTCATACACGCAACTTCACTTTATAACATATAAGCATTTCCCGTTGTTTTAGCCTCTGGAAACACGAGTTATGGTTCCAGAATCGTCGGTATGAAAGTTGTACCTGGGAAAAGTCGGGAGTCAGTCAAATATTCTCTTATACAGTCGTACCTGTTTTCATGAAAGTCTCTTGTCACCATCATGCCAGGACGAACAACTCGATAAAATCCTGGCAATTCGTTTACGTTCACAGTCTACACAGCATGGTTAGTCAGTCAAAAACTTCAGACTCGTTCCTTGGTCGCTACCAACTCTACGCACGTTCCGCTGGTCATCTTTGTTTGGGAATAGTTTCTTCCCGACAAACTTATCCATTTCAGATGTATCAAGTGGCATAATTGAGATTTGTGGTATGTGGTTTGCTTGACTTGGCTTAACGATTTTTATAGCTGGAATTGTCTGCTTATCGCTATGTCGTTGATATGACATGAGCGTTGCGTGGGGTCTGTTTTTGGGTACGGGTCGGAAACTGCCTCCTGATTAAGCATTTGTTAAGCTGTAATTAACTGGTAGTATATAGTTCGCGTAATTCCAGAAGTGCAAAACAACTTACAGCTGTTCTATTATTAATGGTCTTTTAATGAGAGCAGACCAATGATTCTCGCGTGCGCGCAGAATTACGAGCGAAGATAAATCATTACTAAGTGTGTAATTATGCTTATACTCAATGTTTTTGGCAAACAGTAACCTTCGGTGTGCTTTATTTATAAGTTATTTTTTAAATTATTTTTTTTTAATTAATTAATCGAAAAATTGTTTTTATTTACTCTTCTTGTAATAATTAGTTTGAAAAATAAAAAGTATACAGTTAGCTAAAATACAAGGGTATGGAAGTTGTATCTTGAAGAATGCGGAATGGTGTGAATTAAGCGTATCAAAGTTTACTATTCTTAAAAAACTAAGACTGAGTTTTCAACAAAGGTCCTCATTTGCTTGCTTCATCCTTGCTCTTCCCCGTTGACTATCTCTTTTTATGCTTATATGTTTCATTGAGGAAACTATTCTGTGTAATAAAATGAGTGATGCTTGGTATCTGAAAATGGCAGCTGTAATTGTTTTATGCCTTTAATAGTCTATTAAATAATTTCATACAAAAGTGTCCTGAACAAGCATTCCGCCAATTCGTCCAGTCACTTCGTTTTGCATTCTCGTCCGCTGAGAAACAACATAAGCTAGACGGAAAAGTTTTCTGATGACATTAGAGTACAGATTCCATTGATTGTCCACACAGTCAAATAGCATTCGAAGCTCAAGGTCCTGACAGTTGACAAAAGGCATGGATCCACGAATTTCCTGATTGGCAATAAACTTTTTTAGAGTGCAGCATATACGCTTCTCAATAGTCTGTTTAGCAAGGTCCGCTATTTCTCCATGTTCGTGATAACATAGCTTATGGAGTACTTTTAGACAACAAACGGCAATTTGTTCTCTACGATTCGGTATAAGGGATTCAGTGGAAGGAGGCAAGTCCATTGCTAATAACGAACCGAGTTCGCTGTTCATCATTGTTTTGATCTGAATACTGCCTGTTTCTTGGTACTGGTAAAACATCGAACCGGATACAATCGTGGACATGTAAGTTGGTATGTGTTTTGACAGACAAGATGCATGTAACAGAGGACTCCAAAGAGAATTCAGACGTTGTAACATTTCTAAGTCAAAGTCTTCATACACTTCGCTTAAAGACCATTCAAACGAGTACGAATCATCAGGATGAATACAGTATAACATGCCTTTCACAGAAAGTTCAAACAATTCAGCAGATTTCTCGTCATCTAGCAAATTTCTTCGTTGCATAATTAATTCAACGATGTCTAAGAATGTGCGGGTTGCACTTATCCATAACGGTTTTTCTTCTGAATTGATACGAGACGCCTTCGGACAACGATACTTACAGCGCATGGGCAAAAGCAGTGAGCTTAATACCTTAGCAAGTACCCGCTTCTCAATAAGCTCTTCAATACTATTCTGCGCATCACTAGGAAGAGAATTAAAAAATAGTTTAGATATACAGATCAAAGTGGGGTGCTCACTCTTTGAAAGCTTTTGTTCTGAAAATGCCTCACTTATAAGATCTGCCATGAATGAAATAATAAAAGAGTCCCACCTCTTCGTTTCAAGCAAAGCCTGAACAACTCTCACCGATACCTGTTGGAGCGGCGACAAGAAGTCAACGTCCAAAGAATAAGAAGGACTTTTAGTATACACTAATGCGCTTTTGAGCTCGTGTATAATTAATTTCGTATCCGCCATCGAAAGTGGGAGAATTGTAATTAAGTTTAATAAAGCTTCCACAAAGAGTGTTAAGGCTTCTTGCAGAATAGTAGAATTCTCCCTTTCATAAAAAGATACGGAACCCATCGCTTTCCATGTGTCATAAAAGATCTGAACAGTCTGTGCAAAACTATCACTCGCTTCATCCACTTTTAATTGTGATAAAGCGACAGCGATAATCTTGAGAGACTTATAGGCGCTCATATACACGGTATTCAGTTTGTTTTGATGATGCTTATTGATGAAAGACATCACCTTCCTCCACACCGAGATAAAATTATCTGAATGTCTAAGGACAGACATGTTCTTCGCATATACTTCTGAGATACCCGACAAAACTAAAGCCACTGTTTGTGCTTTTGATTCCGTTTCTGCGGTATCAGACTCCTCCTCAAGAGCTGCAAAAACAGGTGAGTCAATAAGACGTAAAATGACCAAATTGTTGACAGATGCCCAAGCAATTACGCCCAGCGTTAAACGATGGGAACTAAAAATACGAAATAAAATTTGCGCTGCTCCATGCTGGACGCCGCTCCAAGAGTTTTCGCAAAGATCTGCAAGTCTAATGAGGAGTATTAACCAAAGAACTTCTGGTAAAACGACATCTGATTCTGAGCTTGCCAGCCCCATTATTTCCTCTCTGTTGGAATATATTTCAGCGAAATCATCACCTTTAAACAGGTTTTTTAGTGTATCGGAGACGTTCCAAAATAAACCAACTCCAGTCAATGCAACGTTGACATCGATAGACTGCCTGCAGTACTGAGGTAAAGTCTCTAATAAATAACAATAGTTTTTCATGCTTAAAGAATCCAAAAAATCTGTGCAAATGAGCTGAAGGCAAGAAAACGAAAGCCAAATGAGACGCGCGCCCTTTTCAGTTCCAAACAGATTGACCGCATTAAGACACGTGAAAGACAGTGTCTCAAATATATAATGCCATCCATGATTAATCCGTTGACCGTTTGTTTCGAGCACCGAACTCATAGCTTCAACACCTATCCAAGAAATCTCATAATCCGTTGTCTTAGTTAAAGATGCTTCGCTATCCTTGGTCAGCTCTGTAGGTTGAAGTGAATACAAAGATGCCAAAAACCGCCGTTGGAACTCAACATTCAAGGCGATTTTTGTAGTTGATATTCTTGTAGAAAGTTCAACCAAAACGTAAGCGAGCGTCTTTGCTGCTTGTATCTTTAATTCTGCGGCAACTGTTGGCCCCTTAAAAATGCTGCTTAAGGTAGAAGATATTTTTGTCCATCCGGATTTTTCATCATCTTCATTGAAGAAACGTTCAACGTTTGAATTACAGACAGACTCAAGAATATGGAATGAATAAAGGGTTTCAGAGCTCCGCCTTAAGAACTTTATACCAGTAATTAAAGATTTACTAGTATTTCGTTGATGCCCAGAACCAGGCGGACCATTCTTTCCTCTTTGCGGACGCGTTGGAGTCGGCTGTACTGCAGTATCAACAGAAGAATTAGTCAAGGAGTCGAGAAGGGTTTCCAGGAAAGACATATAGGCATCCGAAGCATACTCTTTAGTGGATGTAATCGCTGAAGAAAGCTCACGTCGATAGGCCAGTATCTCCATTTCGATTACGCCCGCCCCATCTTTAGATTCGTAATAATAACGAGAGGTAGAGGTAGGTGCTTGGCTCATACTGCTCGTACTTAAGCTCTTTGAAGATGGCATGCGACCGAATATGATTTCGGCTTTATCACATGCCTCGAAAATGAGTTTCCAGGAAGAACCCAACAGTGTGCCGCAAACTCTGCATATTGTTGCAAGAGTTTTCAAGAATATGACTTCGTGAATTTTGAAGCTTCTATGTTTATCCTCATGGCTAGAATCATAGCTTGCCATGCCAGCAATCGTGGTCGCTGCCTCTTTGAGACCTTCTACACTAAACACCGTAGAAGTAGAAAGTCTACCAGAAATGTTGGAGTTTGAAGAGGAATAATGAGGTACGTTGTTTGCAATAAGGCTGGATGGAAGGGCCTTATTGCATAGCGTAGTAAGCAATGCATCGCGAGGTGTGTCCAAACCTAAAACAGAACATATTACTGTAAACTTCGTATAAGAATTAACAGAAAGAACGAGTAGTTCAAATGAAAGGGCTGCGGAAAGGAAGGTCGAAAAAGATGCCAAAAAGGCTGTCCAGTTGGCTGAAATTAATGTTTTGAACACTCGTATAAGCTCAACATCCCCAGGGCTTAAAGATTTAATTTGCGCATTAGCGTTGTCTGTTTCTTTAATCAGTTTTGAAGCTTCTAAATATCCAAATTTGTTGGTAACGACCTGTAAAGAACAGTGAATCCGATCATTGATTAAAACAAGACAGCACATTGCGAGAAAAGGGATGTAAGTATCTGGAATAAGCGGAGGTTCCTGCTTGTCCAATTGCTCTAAACAAGGGACACGAGGTATTGTCATCCGTGTTATTCCTATATGAGATTCACCCTTTTTTCCTGTATATGATCCCGTTATCTTGTCCATTGAGACAGAGAGCTGATCGTCATTGTAACGACTGTGCTCCTCTGGAGCCTGGAAATATATCACTCCAGAACCAACTCCCATGATTGATGGCTTTTCATTGATCACCCGGCTAAATGTGGTAATCAAGTCGGAAATCACCGATTTTCTGCCGGGGGCGTAATCAAAAGTCTGGTATGTATCCCTTAAAAATGAATCATTGGAAAATACAACGCGGAAAACTTCAAGAAAGAGAGCCTTTTTCCATTGTGTTTCATCAGAATCCAAAATGTGATTGAGAAAACTTAGTATAACCTCAAAATCCACAATTAAGAGCGCCGATTGTTGACGGAACAATATAGTAAGGACACGCGCAACACGAAGTATAATCGGAAACGATGCCATCGTTGCTAGGCTAGCAGTAATCAGTGGCAATAGGTTTACACGAATAGCATCTTGGAAAGGAAACCATTCAAAGATACGCTTATGATTGTCAAGAATACTTTCAAGCAACTCGAGACCAAAGGTTTGAGGTAAATAATCAATGCTTAAGAACACTGGCTTCTGACCATCAACAAGCAAGCATATATCTTTAAATATACTTAATGCATCATTAGAATATGCCTCGTCATCCTCAAAACTTTGTTGGGCACTGACACAATCAAACACAGAAGTAAAAATCTGTCGTAAAGTAGCAGCTGCGGCATTAGAAATGGTAGCGTTCTTAGATTTCGTGAGAAAAAAACTCGCCCTAATAGCTGTTTTCAGTGTATCGCCACGAACAAGGTTTGTATTTTTGGAACAAATAAGAGGAAGAATTTGTAACACTTTAATTTGAAAATCAGAATTAATGTTACAAACGGCAACAAAGATCTGAAACACAGATTTATAAGATGACTATCCGTTAGTATACTGTCCATAATGATAGCACGACGAGTTTCTTACAATTGGCAGTGCATCCATCATTACGAGTAATTGGATGATAGAGAGACATGCTGGTATGTATCTTTCTATACCCTTATTACACGCATAAAAAACTGGTTGTAGAAATGTCTCATTTCGTCGAAGGTCTCAAATAGTCAGCTTGTTTTCATTTTCAGAAAATTAACGTCAAATAACATACTTAGAATTAACTCCGCCTCAGGAAGATTACAGAATTGATGTAGATATCCTATGGAGGCTTCAGAAAGCTTGTTCTAGTGTTAATGCTAAAAAACGACGAATAACTGTCAACGAACAAACCTTTCTTAATTCCAAGCTTTTTTTGCGAGAATCAGACACAAAAGACTGAAGGTTCTCGAGTAGATTATCGTACAAAGTCATTCGTCATTAAGGAAGAAAGAATTCTGTTATCCAATTCTGAAAACAAACGTGTTTTGAAGTGGTTGAGTTTAAGGCTTGGTTATCCACTTCGATAAGTCATGCAACATGACGGTAAATACAGCACCGATTTTAACGCCTGCTCCGACTTTTCTGTAGGCTTTTAGGACTTTAGATATTGAATAATTATTACAATTAAGGCGGATGTAAGAATACATGTTTGAGTAAAGTTTTAAAGCAAATTTGCGTTACGTATATCAAAGTACTAGCGTAACGAAGGCAACAAGCTGTGCGAGAAAAAGGATAAGAACAAATTGAATCAAAATCTGAGCTGGCGGGAGGGAGAATGATTGACCGGATCTTTCAACCGCAATAGCATATATTGATGGATGGTGTCCTTTAGGATATCCTTCAGGCATAGTAGTTGGGGGTTTCACATAGTGGGTTGTCACTGTTACTGACGGGACGAATTTCACTTCAGGAAGTAAAGTACAATTGACTTGAGGAAGTGACTCTTTAAATTTGTTTGCTGGATATAGAACCTATACATGTTAGTGATCTCTAGCCAACCATTTCCTGAACACATACCCTTGGGAATCCATTTTTGATTGGCACTAGAAGAGTGTTTCTCGCATTTACTTTGAATTTCTCGCGTGAAATGATGTCAATCAATTCAGTGCCTTGTCGAAAATTATCCGGCATAAATTGAATAGTTAAACCCTCTGGGCTATGCACACCCCAGTTTCCAGTGACCGTAATTACATCTCCTTTCTGGAAGACCATGTATTTGCGTTTTGTTTTAAGAATATGTGAAATACGTTTTACATATTCTGAATCATCTTTAATGACCTGTTTTCTGAAGTTGTTCATTGTTCGTATTAGAGAGTAGTAGGGATTTTTTGTATCGTAACCATATTCCCACAAGGGTTCACGATTAAAAGGATCATGATAGCTGTGCAAATTCTGTTCAGTTCCATAATAAACGAAAGGGATGCCATCAAACATAAAGTTGAATGTAATTGCACCCATTACCCTTGCTTGATCAGTGTTATTATGTGCAATTCTCGGTAAATCGTGATTGCTTATGAAAGTTCCCAAGACTGTGACGTCCGAACAATTACCTCTCTCTTGGTCAATAGCATATTTCAATGCGTCGAATTCCATTCCTGTCCGATTGAACGCCCATGAAATCGGCCAGTACAAGGGGAAGTTTAAAAAAGAGTCCATTCCTGACTTTTGATATTCACAAGCTTCTTTAGGAGAGCCGGTAAAGTATTCTCCTATAGTAAATACACCTGCAGATGCAGCAATTTTTTTCCAGAACTCGTTTGGAGCGTGTTTCACAGCATCGAGACGAAGTGCATCTACATGAAATTCTTCAACGAAATCTTTAATCCAGCGCTCTAGCTTCTCAACAACAACCGGATTTTCAGTGTCCACGTCAGCTAATGCTATTCTCTCATCTCCAAGCCAACACTGATTAATACGGTTAGTCAAAAGTTTTCAAGTAAAAAAGATCACTTACGTCTTGTAAATTCTTAATGTCCAAAAGTTCGTAGTCAACCCAACACAGAGGATGGTAATAAGAAGGATTGTTGAATGGTACATGTTCTTTGAAGGAGTGTGGAGTAATTGGTCCAGCAACAGCCATTGAATTAATTGCGATATCCATCATAATCCACATATCTCTTCGATGCAGTTCGTCAATTAGACTCAACAAATCTTCCTCAGTACCGAAATGAGCATTTAATTGGTAAATATTCTTCGTCCAATAGCCATGGTACGCTTCACCTATATTATCATTTCCGTCGATATTTGCGAAAACAGGACTGATCCAAACCTAGTAATGTTAGAATCTCAATTCACAGCCTACGTCTCATTGATGAGAAAATTAACATCCTTACGGCATCAAATCCAAGTTCCTGAATATAATCCAAGTGTTTTTTCGTAGCATTCCAAGTTCCACCGCAATAAATAGAACGGATCGGATCGCAAATAATGCGCTCCTTCATGTCATCATCCAAAGCAAATCTGTCCGTTACTATTTGATAAACTGACCTAGTTCTCCATTCATCCAAACTGTGAGCAAATGCTATTGAGACTAGCAACAGAATTATCAAACAATGTGAAAAGAAAGACATGCTGAACGTATTGTCCAAGAATGCGTTTTTCTTTGCACCTGTTAACTGCTTGATAAAAGGCAATTGTTACTAAACCTATGTGCATGGAGCATTGAATTCTCCAGAAATGTAAACAAAACCTTAATCAAAATACCAAGCCTAATTCAAAATACATGTATTCATCTACATATTAACGTACAAGAACGTCTATGTGAACATAAATGTATAATTTATGCTTTTATTCACTTTTGTTTTCGCAATATGGCACCGCAGAAATTCGCGAATCAACTTATAATGAAACTACAAAAACAAATAATTATCATGCACTATACATGTATCCAGAATGAGAATTTATTTCATTTTTTTCACGTGTTGGTGCAATAAACTTCTTTCCGCTCTCAGTAGGGTGAGCGTTAGCTTCTCTCATACTCGGGACCAACAACAACAACGCACTGCATTTGCGGCAACGGCATTTCCAGCATTTCATTAAAGGATTTGCTCTATTTAAAGAGAACCATAACAATTCTGTTCTTTCATATAAACGTTCTACGTATCGTTGTTGTTCTCATATACTTGGAAGAGAAAGGTATACGATTTCTTGTTAAAGACTGGTTTTCACCAGCGGATAACATTAGCGGTCATTTAAAGAAGCGCTGGTGAACCAGTAAATTCTTATTCAGTGCTCATGAGCTTCTTGAAGTACCGTCCCATGCAACCGGGCCTTTGTAAACGTTGGTTTTGGTCGCTATGGATTGTTTCATGTTTTGTGTACTCATGCTTAGCTGCTCCCTATGATCCGCGTGAAGAGGCCTATAACCTCAATCAAAATAAAACTGCCACGGATCCCAAAGATTACTGGGGTGAATGGGAGAATCATGACTTTTACCCTAGTCCAGACAATTGGCGTTTCCCCATCTACACAATTGCTTTAGACAAGTGGGTTGATGGTGATCCAACAAACAACGAGGCTAATGGAACCGTTTTGAATACGACGTGTACGAAACTGGTCTTCGTAATGGCGGTGATATCATTGGCGTTAAAAATTCATTGGATTACTTGGAAGGTTTAGGAATTAAGGCCATTTATCTTGCCGGTACACCTTTTATTAATCTTCCTTGGGGAGCAGATCAGTATTCTCCTCTTGACTTCACTATTCTCGATCATCATTTGGGAACAATTAATGATTGGCGTGAGACAGTCGAAGAAATGCATAAGAAAGACATGTACTTAATTGTTGATCTTACTGTTGCGACATTAGCCGACTTAGTCGGTTTTGAAGGTTACCTGAATACCACAGCACCATTTACATTTTTAGAACACAATGCTGTTTGGAAAAGTTCCTATAGATACCCAGACTGGACATTTGAGAATGCCTGGGACAGATACTGTACTCTTCCCGAATTTTGGGGTGAAAATGGACATCCGGTTCATATCAATTGGGTTGGTTGTTATGCTTCTGACTTTGATCAGTACGGAGACACAGAAGCTTTTGGTGACCATCCGGACTACCAGAGACAACTATCCAAATTCGCATCCGTCCAAGATCGTCTTAGAGAATGGAATCCCTCGGTTGCACAAAAATTAAAACGTTTGTCATGCTTAGTCATTTCTATGCTTGACGTGGATGGCTTTCGTATTGATAAGGCCACGCAAATGACGGTAGGCTTTTTGGCCGATTGGGCCGAAAGTGTCCGTGAATGCGCTAAGAAATTCAACAAAAACAACTTTTTTATTCCCGGCGAAGTTACCGGTTCGTCTAGTTACGGTTCGATCTATTATGGAAGAGGTCGCCAACCTGACCAGCGACCTGCAACCATTGTCGATGCATTAAATGTTACTTGGGACGACAATCAATATTTCCTGAGAAACAAAAGCCATAAGGCCTTGGATGCTGCCGCTTTCCACTACTCTATTTACCGTTCACTTAATCGTTTCTTGGGTATGGATGGTCTTATGGAAATTTCATACGATCTTCCCGTTGATTTTGTTGATGCTTGGCACAATATTGCGATCAATGAGGATTGTATAAATGCTTACACAGGAAAACCGGATCCACGCCATTTGTACGGTGTATCGAATTATGATGTGTTCCGCTGGGCATCGGTTGCCAATGGAACACAGCGTCTTATCCTGGGAACGATGATCACTTTTTTCTTGTTTCCTGGTGCACCGCTGATTTACTATGGTGATGAACAAGGTCTGTATGTGTTGGATAATACTGCTGACAATTATCTGTATGGTCGTCAAGCAATGACATCGGCTATCGCTTGGTACTTGCATGGTTGTTATACAGGAAGCTCATCTACATATCCAGCAATCAATCTTGATCCAGCCAGAAAAGGTTGCTATGATTCTTGGAATACCCTGGATCACTTTGATTCCTCTAAAGAAGAACGCCAAGTTTACATGGCGTTACAAAATATCAGAAATCATTATCCTGCCGTTGCACATGGTTGGAAATCCGAAAAATTAGGCAATTGGACTCATGATGAATATCTACCCAACAGTGGAGTTAATCCAACTACGATTGGATTGTTTAGTGTCGTACGTGGATCGCTTACTCCAATTCAAGATTTATCTGTCGATTATCCTTCGACAAACAAAACAAAGCGCTCCAGCTCAGATGTTTGGCTGTTGTACATGAATCATAATACTTCCAAGGATTTTGTTTTTGATTGCTCGAGCAGTGAAGCTATTTTAGCACCTTGGGCAGCTGGCATAACCATCAAAAACCTAGTTTATCCTTATGACGAGTACACACTCAGTGAAACGGCTCAACAATTAGGAGATACCCCATACTATCAAGGCTGTCTTCCTAATCTGACTTTGTCAGCTTTTGCTTTCAAGATTTTCGTCCCCGTTGATGAGTACATTGCTCGCCCACCTACAATTACAAAGTTTACACCCAGACATGACGCACGCATTTTGAACACAGGAAACACAGTGAACATTAACCTTGAGTTTTCCGATGCCATGGATTGCGATTCCATTTACAATTCCATCAGTATTGAATCAAAAAACATGGATAATGTAAACGCTAGCATCGACCCTAACTCTATTTCCTGTCAACCATTCAGCAACGCAAAGCGTACACTTCTTAATGGACAACCCGGAAGTTCGTTTGCTTGGACTGCTGCTCTTGTTAACGTTACTGATGGCGTACACAGGTTGACTGTGAAAAATGTTAGTAACGCTGATAAGTCGATGAGTACTGGAACGACGGATCATTTTCTTTTAAGAGTTGGAAAGGCGGATAATCCTATGGTATTTAATTCTGCCAATTACTCAACAACTTTGCTGTTTATGCAAAATGATACACTTTATATAAACCATACGGCTACTGGTGCAGACTTATTTCGTTACTCCCTTGATTTTGGTTCGAATTGGTCTTCATGGCAAACCTATTCAGGTGGCATGACTCCTTGCCAGCCCATGAATTGGACAGGAACGAAGCATCAACGCTGGGGAGGCTACCACGTTAAAGTTCAATATTGGAGTAAGCTTACTGGTTCTGCTAATCATATTCAAGAAGGCGACTACGATTTCCCATACCCCCGTCGCTTTCCTCATGTCTATTTGAACAGTGAAAATACTCAATGGGGTTACGATGCCGATGATCGAAACAAAATGTCTCTAATGCCCAATGGAAGCTTTAAAGGCTACTTCATTTCGGATTATTACCCACGATCTTTGCAGTTTAATGTTTGGGGTATTAACTCAAATGGTAAGCCCGATCAGTCATTTATTTATGGTGACCCAAGAAACTCATCTGTATTGGTCCGTATGGATCCTTCATCATTGACAAGTGACATGCTTTATATTACGGATTTCCCCCCTAGTAAATATTTATCGTGGGCTGTCACTTTTGATCCACAGTCTAGAAGATATTACTTTCATCCCACCGGATCATCTCGTGTTTCTTTGGCTATTTATATTTTAAGTGTCTTAGTACCGTTGACGACTGCACTCTTGGCAGTGTTTCTTTTTAAGATGTTCTTTTATCAAGTTAAGTTCAATGACTTTGGAAAGAAGCCTAACGACCAATTCCACTTTTTCCCCCTTCTATCGAAGAAGAAAACAGACATTTTGCCCGAAAAAAATATTGCATCTGATATGGGGAAAGCCGTTGTCGCAAGTGAAAAACGCAAGTGTGTTCTACTTGCTACCTTGGAGTATGACATTGCCGATCTCGATATCAGAATTAAGATTGGAGGGCTCGGTGTTATGGCTCAGCTAATGAGTAAACATTTGACTCATGAGGACATCATCTGGGTTGTTCCTTGTGTCGGCGATGTCAATTATCCAGAGATGGAAGTTGGTGAACCGATTATTGTTTGCATCATCGGACAAGCGTACACCCATTAACGTTTATCATTTACTACAGCAAGAACATTTAAGTATGTTCTTCTTGATGCACCTGTTTTCCGTAGACAAAGTACCAAGGAACCATACCCTCCTCGTGTGGACGATTTGAGTTCTGCTATTTTTTACTCTGCTTGGAATCAATGTATCGCCGCTGTTCTTAAACGCAACCCGGTCGATATATATCACATTAACGATTATCATGGGGCGTTAGCTCCAATTTACCTTCTTCCAGATGTTATTCCTGTTGCTATGTCACTTCACAATGCTGAGTTTCAAGGTCTGTGGCCCTTGCGCACAGTGGAGGAGAAGGATGAAGTGTGTTCTGTGTTCAATATTCCCGTTGCACTCTGCAACAAATACGTTCAATTCGGTTCAGTTTTCAACTTGCTTCATGCTGGAGCGTCGTACATTCGTATTCATCAAAAAGGATACGGCGTGGTAGGTGTATCCAAGAAATATGGCAAACGTTCATGGGCACGTTACCCTATTTTCTGGGGTTTAAAAAAAATTGGAAAGCTTCCAAATCCTGATCCATCTGATGCTGGTGAACAGGCATTTAACTTAACAGCTGAGTCTATAGACGAAGCTGAGGCGAAAAAAGCTGCTCATAAACGACAAGCTCAAGAATGGGCGCATCTTGATGTTGACCCGGACGCAGATCTTCTTGTTTTTGTTGGTAGATGGACACTGCAAAAGGGTATAGATCTCATTGCTGATGTTGCTCCTGCGATTCTTGAAAATTACAAGGCACAAATTATCGTAATTGGTCCTGTTATTGATCTTTACGGAAAATTTGCTGCTGAAAAGTTTTCGAAACTAATGGAAAAATACCCTGGTAGACTGTTCTCTCGACCTGTATTCACTCAACTTCCGGGCTACATCTTCAGCGGTGCCGATTTTGCCCTGATTCCCTCAAGAGACGAACCTTTTGGACTAGTAGCTGTCGAATTTGGCAGAAAGGGTGCTCTTGGTATCGGTGCTCGAGTTGGCGGTTTGGGTCAAATGCCCGGTTGGTGGTACACTGTTGAATCCAATGCAACCAAACATTTACTTCATCAATTTGAACAAGCTTGTCGCCAAGCTCTTTCTTCTTCGAAGGAGACCCGAGCACGGCTTCGTGCCATCTCGGCTACTCAACGATTCCCTGTGTCCGAATGGGTGGCCCGTCTTGACCTTTTGGTGAACAATTGTATTGCCATAAGTAAAAAATATCGCTACTCTAAATCTCATTTCCGTTCTTCCGTCTTGTCTTTCGACTTTAAATCAAAGTCTAAGACACACGTAAATGAACTGGAGTTTACGAGCTCCAGTACTGATTTAACATCGATTGTGGAAGATTCTGCACCAGCTGCAGCTGACTCATTGCCATCGGATTCCAATCAAGAACAACCTTCTTCATCTAACAGTGCAGATGCTGCTTCTACTATTGATCCCTACCTTGGTCGGCCTACGGGACCAGGACACACTACGAATTCCGATGAAGCGACTAGTGTCACTGAAGACAATTCAGTTATTGACAGTTCCGCTAGTGATTTTCCGGAAAGCATTGATGAAAGTCGTGATGCAATCAAAGCTCGTCTTGCTCAAATAGGTGCAACATCCGAGCTGGCAAATACCAGTTTGGACTCTCTCTACAGTGAATTTGATCCACAGCGACCCACATTATCTGAACTTATTGCTGAGGAGGCACAACTCGCACATCCGCCAGTGGCAGGTTCAGGTGAAGGATTTGTTCACGTTTCATCACAGAAAACTCCAGCATTGGCTACGCCTAATCTTGGTGAGAGTTCTCAACCCACTCGGCCTTTGTCGATGCCCCCTATTGGCAATGCCCAAACTCCAAAAGCTTTGAATGAATCTAGATTAAGTCTCGCATCGGTCATGTCTGCACAACGGGACTTTGCATTGACCAAGGTCGCGCGGCAGTTTGATGACGAAGAAGGTCGTGCACTGCACATCTTTTCTGAAAAACTTAACGACCTCAATGCTAAGAACTCTAAAGACGAACTCTGCATTGAGTTATTTTTGTTGAAGTGCGAAAAAGATTACTTTGATGAAATCAGGAAATTACAACTGGGTATCCAAAAGCCCGGAAAACTCAAACTCGTAGACGAAACTCAAATTGTTGAGTCTAGTCCTAGTTTCCCACCGGCCAAGGCGCATCTTAACTCATCAGATGATTCTGACGAAGTCGTTGACGTTCCTATTGACGAACACGTGTACACTGCACCTCGGTTGAATGATGATGGCTATGTATACGAATTCGAGTACTACCATGGCATAAGCAAATTCATGCAATACAAAATATTTGACTGGCCAGTTTACGCAATCTTCCTTGCATTGGGTCAGATTCTCGCTGCCACCTCATTCCAGCTGAGTCTTCTTGCTGGGTCTTCAGGTCAGTCTGAGTCACAGTTTTATATCGTTAATGGTTTCTACATCGGCGCCACACTTGTTTGGTACTACCTATATGTCAATTACCCAAGCGTCTACCCACTGATTGCGCCATTCCTAGTCTACGCTGTGGCTTTCTTCCTCATTGGAATTGCTTCATTTAGCTCCATTGGCGACGGCCGTGTATGGATCGCTCGAGTCGGCACTTGGATTTACTCAATTGGATCAGGAAGCCAAGCACTGTTTTTCTCGTTGAACTTTGGAGATGATGGAAGTTACGACATTGTGTACTGGGTCTTCCGCGCTTGCCTTGTTCAAGGAACACAGCAGATTTGGGCAGCTGCCTTGTGGTATTGGGGATCATATGCCTCATCGGATACTACTTCTACAGGAAAGACCGTCTTACATACTGTTCAATGGATGCCCGGTCTTGTTTGGCCCATATCTATACTTTTAGGTGCTGTAGCCTATTTACTTTATCGCGGCTTACCATCTTATTACCGCCAACTTCCCGGTAAAATGCCAGCATTCTATCACTCCATTATGCGGCGCCGTCTTATCATATGGTTTTTCATCGCAAATGTGTTGCAGAATTACTGGATGGCATCCATGTATGGTCGTTCATGGAGCTTTATGTGGGCTTCACCAAAGGCTAAAAAATGGGCAATTTTCCTCTTAATTTTGCTGTTTTATATCGGTATATGGGTTGTTGTTATGTCATTATTGGCTATGCTATCGAACAAGCATTCATGGTTTATTCCCATTTTCGGCTTAGGCCTTGGCGCCCCAAGATGGCTCCAGACGCTTTGGGGCACCTCAAACATCGGCATTCACTTGCCTTACTTTAAGTCAGCCGCTCCGTACATGTCACGAATGCTTTGGTTGTGGCTTGGACTTCTCGACTCTGTCCAAGGTATCGGCATCGGTTTAATCCTGTTGCAAACTCTTACTCGTCGACATATTACGATTGCGCTAATGATCGGTCAAATTATAGGTGCCGCAGCAAGTATGATAGGTCGTGCTTCGTCACCTGACAGAGTTGGTCCCTCTAATACCTTTGTGGACTTCTCGTACTGGGAACCAGGTAAAGGCTCTAGCATACTTCACAGTGCCCCGTTTTGGGTGTGCTTGTTTTGCCAACTCGTTGTCATTGTTGGTTATTTCATGTTCTTTAGACGGGAGAATCTGAATCGTCCTTAGTCGATTTTTCTCCCTCATGCATACCAATGACTCTCTGTCATTTCCGCCCCCCTGTCATTTTCTTCCAATGATTCCTTCTGTGCTTAGCGTATAGTCTATGCACTGCTGACGAGTACTTTTGTTTGTATCTGGTGGTGACCCTGGAACAGCGAGTACCGCAAAGATGAGACAAAAGGAAGTCAAACAAATGGTCTTTGTAAATATTTCCACAGAAGGAGGATATGGCACTCAAGTTAGTCCCATCTGTCCTTTCTTCTCTCAATTGGCATTTTTTATCTGTTTTTTCTCTGTTGCTTCTGTTTCGTTCATCATCCGACACCCCAACGAATACAGCTGTTTGTATTATTTCGTTATTCAGTCATCATTCTCATCATTTAATTATTCCATGAAGATATCTTTAACCGATTTCCCATTCTTCTAGAAGTCAACATAATAGAACATAGCGCACAAGTGAATCTACCTATTCGTACTACGTCTCTGATTTAGTCCATTACCAACAAGATTCGTCACATTATTGTGCGGCTTTTGCGTTGTCGGTTAATGGTATCTTGGTGGTGAGTTTAAAGAGGCCAATCATCCGCCAGGTTGAATTAAAGTTATCGATAACGTACGTAAGCTTAAAGTATTCTACTGTACCCACTGAACTTGCGTAGAACATACACTATATAAACTTTGGCCGTGAGAGTATATACGGAAAAATACGCCAATTCTTAGTAAATGGAACAAGTACGCATAAAAAATGAATATACAGTTGCTAAACATTCATTTAGTCCTTCAGTGATCGCGTTCGGTCTGTTTTGGGAGAAAATTCGTCGACGCCTGCAGAAACCGGAGACGGTTGGTTTTCACGGTTTCGACAGTCATTGCCTTGGGCAGATGGTTACACGGCTGTCCCGACCACGACGAATTCGGATTCTGATGCGTTGTTCAATCGGTCTGACTTTACCTTAAGTCGATGGGAACGTATCTTGCTTTTTGCACTTTGTCTTATTGGAAGTATCACTTGTTACACAGTTGCCTGCTTTATGTTCCCTACACTTGTTCTCCGTCCTCGAAAATTTATTTTGCTCTGGACGTACGGCAGCATTTTATGTGTTTTGGCGTATGTAATTGGTTTTGATATTGAGTTGAAAAAAGCTCTGTCATATCCTCCTCAGTATTCGACCGATTGATATTAACTACTCCAGCTTTGCTATATTGATCGGCTTTAAAGCTCATTTTGTTCAACTGGTTTCTTCTGAACGTCTTCCTACGACTCTCGCTTATTTCTTAACATTGGCATGCACGCTTGTTTCGACGGTAAAGCTTCATTCCACCATTCTCAGCATCGTTTTTGGTGTCATGCATTTGTTGGCCCTTATCGCGTACATTGTCGCCTTCTTTCCCTTTGGAGCGCGCACAGTTTCGCTTGGCTCACGCATTGCCTCTCGTTCTCTTTCCAACTGGCTTCCTTAATTTCTACGCGTGTTCATTGTTTACTACGCGTCGTGTTTTGCATTTCGGCTATTTACTCTTCACTTGACGATAAGCGAAATATCGCTTAAGGAAGGCGTAACATCTCGCTTGTCCAATCTTGCACTATTGCTCGTTCGTTGTTACTGCGCTTTTTAGGGATATTAGTTTACACCCACATTTGCCCGCTACCAGTTCATAGTACGAGCACACAGGCACGCACGTCTGCACGCTACCTTGCAGTTTTTCGGGAAATAAACGCGGATTTGACATAGTCACTTTTGTGGTCAGCGTTCTAGCACGAATCGAGTTTTTAGGTGAAGCAAAACACAGAAGTTGAAATTTAAAAATGACTGAGGAGAAAGAAATTCAAGCACCGTCTACGGTGAATGTGGATATTCAAACTGTGGAGAATGTCACGAAGGATGTAGAGTCCAACGTTGAGAAGGTCTCTGAGAAGCAATCTAGCGAAAAAGATGCTAAGACTGGTGTTTCCACAGCCTCTGAAAACACTATTGAGTCTAAGAACGAGCCAGAAAGTGCTGCAGCAACTACGGCAGTAGATTCTCAAGAAAATAGTGCTGCTTCGTCCGTCAGCGGCTCTGAAACTTCCGAAGCTGTGAAGAATGTCTGGAGACTTCGTCAAGAAAAGATGCAAGGCAAAGGTGCTTCTAGAAACGAATCAAAGCCTCATGGCCAATTGAAGTTGCAAGATCAGAATGTCTGGCCCAGCCCAGATGCTGTTGAGAAGAAGGCCGTCGGCAACGCTACTGACGATGTTCAAAAGCCACTGGCCCCGAAGACGAGTGGAAAGGAGAAATGGGTAGCTATTACTCCTAACATCACTCACACTCCCATTGGTTTCCGTAAGCGCGGTGGCTTCAATCGCCATAACCACGAGTTCGGTCGTCGTGGAGGCTTTAACCGTCGTAAGGGAGGTTCTGATTACCGCCGTAACGGAAACCGTGGAGGTTATGGTTCAAAGCCCAACAACACAGTTGCTGCCACTGAGGCTGCTGGCGATTCTAATGCAACCACAGAGGCCGAGTCCACTAGTGCAGACACTTCTGCCCCTAACGCTACTTCTGCTGAGCCCTCGACTAGCCAAACTAGTGCTGCTGAGACCAACTCAACTTCGCGCACGTCTTCTCCAGCTTCTAACCAGCAGTCCTATCCCCATCACCACCCTGAGGGACGTTACGAAAACCGCCGCGGTGGTTATCGTGGCCGTGGAGGCCCATCACGGTCATCGTTATGGTGGACATGGTCGTCCATATTACGCCCATGTTCCTGCTGGTGCCAACTCTGGATATCCTGTGTATGTTGGTATGCAGAATGTGATGCCTATGATGTATGATCTTCAGGCCTTCTTGATTGCTCAAATCGACTACTACTTCTCTATTGAGAACTTATGCAAAGATATTTACTTGCGTAAGCACATGGATGCTGAAGGTTATGTTCCCTTATTCTTCTTGGCCAACTTTAATCGTTTGAAGAATCTCACTACTGATATCAATGCTATTCGTGCTGCCTGTGTTGCTTCTTCGGTTGTGGAAGTTCAAGCAAATGATGAGTCTCCATACTTAAGCCGGGTCCGTAAGGCTGAATCGTGGAAGAACTGGGTCATGCCCGAATCCATGCGTGAGATTCCAGTTCCTCCTGCTGCTTCCTCTCAGGCTGCATCTTCTTCCGACAAACCCGCTAGTACTGATGAAGCCACTGTCACTGAAGGGGTGCAAAAACTAAAGCTTGAAGCTCCTGTTTTCTCCCCCCAGCAAGGTGTTTCTAATTAGGTGAGCAAATCACCAATCATGTCGATTACACTAAGATGCTGAAGAAAATTACCTTATTCAGAATAAGGCTGTTGTGAACGTTGATTGTTCGTTCACGTCTTCATTCGTCTGAAACTGTGCTCTACACTACAATTATTCCATGTTTAAGCTCCCAAAAAAGGTCCTTGTAGCGGGCTGCGTTGAAGGAGAGTATCCTTCAATTGAGACAGTTTACAGGATCAAAAAGTTTTAGAGAAAAGACTGTGCAGACGATTGGGGTGTTTGTTTGCGCTCTCGATGTCTTTACATATTCACCCGTTTTATCTATAAAAGTGACGAGCACTTCGGCTAGTCCTTTGCATACTACTCCTTAACCAACACACGTATAGAATCTCAGTTGTTGTGCCTCTTGAAGAAAACATTTCTGTTACTAAATAATGAGCGGTAGGAATGGCGAACATATATGCACTTATATTAAGATCGTTTATGTGTCTAATTAAGTTGGGGACAGCAGGGCCTATGATGTCGCCTTTGGCTGCCACATTGCCTATTTATACTGGAAATACAACAGCACAGCGAATCAACAAACAATCTCACTAACACTACTTTGTTCCTTTATGTCGTTGAAAATACTGCTCTCGTCTTATAGCTTCAGTCAAGAAGCTGTCGCATTAGATGTTTTTGGATCACTGAATTAAGTGCCATTCGTGTGTATGCCTTATGTGATGCGATACTCTATGACTCTTTCGTAGACGGTTAATACGAGGATCTGCAAGCTTCTTTGCTCGTTTCATTCCGTCAAAAGCTGTCTTTCCCTCTCCCTCTTTTTTATTACTCGTTTGTACTTAGTACCTATAAAGTTCGTTTTAGAAACAGGTGGTTTTTGGTTCTACATCCAAAGGGCACTTGTTGGTACATCCTTTTTGGTAGATACACTTTCGTAGTTTCATTTTATATACACATACAGAGTATTTACGTCTAATATCGTAATTGATTAGTATTCAAACAGTTCTCTTTTGGGTATCGCAGCCAGGCGAAGGTGGGTCGGTTGTTAATGTATTCATAAGCTCCAATACGGCTGCTTTACATTCTATGGATCTGAAGTACCCTGCGATAAGACAGCAGCCTATTCTGTAGCTGGTTGAGTTGAATTAAATGTAGCCAATTATTTAACAAACATGAGTATGAAATCGAAGCAACAACTGGAAGAGATCAATGCAATAGTCTAAAATTTTCATGCAAGAGACTCTCAAGGCCAAAGTCGTTCTTCACCAATAAACTCGGAGCCGACCCGCAGAAATAGAGATCTTAACAATGCCCTGAGACTTTCTTCAACATGTTCCTTCATTAAAATGTCACAACACGGTTTGAAAAGAAATGCGACTGACGACTGGAAAAGCTCTTTGTTAGCGTTTACCATATTCTTCAAGATCACAGCAAGTACAGATTGCCAGATGGCGTGGTTTCGAGCATGCTTCTCCATTGGAAGCTCAACAAATGTTCGTAATATATCGTGACAGAAAGGGAAAAGTAATTTTTCAATATGCTTTTTTGTTTCTTCATCCATATCTGTCCGTTCCTCGTTTAGAAGACGGAACAAAATTGCGCAGTAAGCCAGAGCTCCTGCAGTCTCTTGTCTAAGAAGATTAGGCAGTTGCTTCATGAAGCCTGCATTTAGTAGAGCTACCCTCAGCTTCTTGTTTTCATTGAAGACATGTGCGAATTTCCAGGAGTCATGGATGCAAGAAGTAACACGCAGTAACTGTTCAACAGGTATATGCTTGAAAACCTTTGGATCATCAAGTAATTCTACAAGAACACTTATTAGCAGCAAATGAAGTACACATTTCCTGGTTGTAGACCGAAACTGCACTTGTATATCTGAGCTAAGACTCGCCCGCGGGTTCACTTCCATTTCACTTGCTGACTTTGAATGCAACTCGGCTGCTTCTAATTCAGCAGGACTCATAACAGAATGGGAAGTAACGTGTGAACCAAGAATGCTCTCTTCATCTAACAGCAAACTAGGTGTTGTATCAGCAAATAGTTTAGCGAAAACATCAATTATCACTCTCCATTCGGATTCAGAAAATTTTGATGCATTGTTAGTGAGTAACTGTTGTAAACAGCTTGTAGCCGCACGTGAGATGGTCGCATAATCTTGACAAATGTGGGTACAGAACAAATGGAAGAAAGCAGAAGTCATGCCATGAAGTTTGTCGAAATGTTTAGTAAAGAGCTCGACGACATTCTTTAAAGCCTCCACCATGGTTGCAGAGTGCCAGGCGCTAAGCTCTTCACTTTCTTGAAGATAAGCATCATTAACTGTGTCCTCAGGGAACTCATCAAAGATTGGGAAAACGTACTTCTTACACACGATTTCCCAAGTGGGTGCAGAAAACGATTCAGAGTCTTCGAATAAAATTCGGAAAAGGCCTTTCAAGGCCTTCGAGCGTACCTCTAAATCTTCAGCAGACATTATAATGTCATAATAAGCGAACATTACAGGGAAGTAATACTTGTCTAAAGCATTGGTTGATGTTGCTTTATCAACTCCATATTCTTTCAAAGATTTATTAAGAACTTGGATTAGCTCAAGACTTTGAAATGAGATTACTTGGAATTTTCCATTCTTGCAAAATTCTGTGAGCGTCACCAAAATATCCACAAAGCATCCTTGAGAAAGCATAACCTCAAAATAGTTATCGTATAAGTGTTTTACAGTTTCAAAAGCCAGCTTAACAAGAGTAAGGGAAGACTGTTTTGCGGCAAACGTGAATACGCCAAATAAAGTCTTCCAACCAGACTTTATTTCTGTGATTTTAGCCTGAATCATTTGACGAACACAGTGAATTACCAATTCCTTCACTTCGAAATTAGCATCGGAGGACATTACGTATTCAAAAGGCTTTAAAAATTCCTTCTGAAAATTAAAATGGGACAGCTCTTCCATGTCAAGAAACTGCATAGACAATTGTCTCAAAGAATCCAAAGCAAACGTAGAAACATGAAGATTTTTGTAACTTGCAACCCTGTTAAAAAAGCTTCCAAGAACGTTCCAGATAGCAGACCACTCAACCCTAATACGTTTCATGTTATAGTATGAAATCTCAACCAGCTTTTGCAAACTGAAAAGTCTCGGTTGATCTGAATCATAAGATGATTCAATCTCCTCCCATGCGACATCACACAAAGCCTTAAAGAAATCAACAATAGCGGTACCCGAGAGAGAAGAGGTCTGCGTAAATATTTTGTCGATTGACTTTACCGTTTCAGAAGAAGAAAGTTCCAAGGAGGCTTCTGATAAGAGCGTGGGGGGATTCTTTGCTATAGATCTAGCATAGTTAGCGGTGCTACCTCTACGTCCAGATGAGGTTGATTTCCGACTAAACGATTTAATTCTAGAGACATCCGGAACGTCATCTTCATTAACACCCACGGTGATTAACTGCATACGCTCAAGCTTGCTAACCATCGTAAGGATATCTGTCCAAGAGCTTCTCAAAAGATTGCCTTCAGTAAGAGCAACAGTTAAAAGAGTTCGAATTGTGTGCACATGACGTTTTTGAAGGGAAGAGAAATCCTCCAAACTAGTAAAATTCAGCAATGTTTTTATAAAAGCATCCCGAATAAGATCTAAATCGAATAAACAGGCAATTCGAATAACAAGCTTGAAGCCTTCAGTGCATATTAACAACTCATTTTCGTACTCAGAAACTTGGAGGGGACTCGATAACGTTGCCAGAATAGGCATCCAAGTTGCCTCTAGCATAGGACTAATGTGTTCAAAATGGCTCGCACTGTAATAAATTTCATAAGAAGAGTCACTTCTTTTTTTCTCGTGCATTACCTTTTTCAGAACAGAAGCAGTCTTTTTAGCTAACTCTTCTGAAGCTTGAATATACGCTTCACGTTGAAGGTCTCGACCAAGTGCCGCAAAAGCCGAAGCAAAGCCCGAAGCAGCAGGTCTTCCAAGCATCAAGGGAGCCAACGCAGCCATCTCCTGCTCATCTTTCATGACAATTTCATTATTTAGAATGTCGTCATAAACAGAGGAGAGGAAAGCTTCGTCAAGATCATTACCATCATTAATTCCTCTATTATTTTTGATGAACTCTTGCTTTGACATGCGATTCTTTACTTGCGGTGAATGCAAGTCCGTGTTTAACATGATGATCGAGTAAGCCAGAATATAAGCAGTGTCGGCAGTCGCAAAAGACTCCTCGTTTTCCTCCATATATCTCTCAGAGAACTTCAACATGAAGCGATCAATTTTTTGACCTTCGCCTGGGAGTCTAAATGCTTGCAGAAAATCGCGCATTGCATCAACAAATCGAACATTATTGAAATTAAACAAGTCGACAAAGGCATGCATCGTTGCAATGTTTGCATCGTCGCCACCTCCCAAATACTCGCCTAAAGCGGCTTTATTGATGCCTTCTGTAGTTTTAAGAAACTGCGCCAATTCTTTCGGTTCAGCCGCATTCACAAAACCATTTTCAGCGAGCAAACGAATTCCAGCTTGTGGCTTGTAATTAAACTTCCAGATACATTCTTGCAAAAGCTTCTTCTTTTGCTTATTGCTTTCAAACTGCATTGGGTCATCATTGCCTGTTGAACTCAAACTTAAGTTACTGCTGTTTAATGCATCCTTTTGTTGTATCGATGCCGACATTGGTGCCGTAGCTTGTTCCGCATAGGATTCAGTTGACATGTCATATGTCGATACCCTCTTCGTAGCTTGCATGCCATTCTCGGCCCAGGAAACAAGCGAGCGTAACGCAAAGACTATACATTCTAAAGCTTTAAGTTTCAGTTGATTATCACTGTATGTTGTGAGTTGAGCGATATCAGCACTCAAAGCAACTGAATTTGTATTTAAGAAAGGTGTGACCGTGGGAGCCTCATAGTTTAGAACAGCCTCTATTTCATCATCATTCATCGAACTCACGTCGTGTGTGGCATAAGTAGCTATTTTGGAAATTGAACCTAGAATCTGTTCAAAAAGATTATTTGGACAGTTACCATCACAGTCATAATTGAGATAAAGCTCCACTAAGACACGGGCATCAGAACAAATCCGCTGGAAAATTAATAGAGTGTAGTACTTTTGATTATAGGAAGTGTTTCGCATTTCCAAAATAGGCAAGTAGACTTCATGAAGAAAAACTTCTATTTCCTTTATAAAAAATGTGCGCAAAGAGGATAAAACCACCCAGAAAATATTAATGCAGACTTTGAACACTTGAGGAATAGGGCTGACAGCGTTTTTGGAAAGTGCCAGACACAGGTATTGACGGGTCGCGGAAAGGAATGAAAGGTTTTTTAAAGAGGGAACGTCAGTAAACACGATGGACTGATTCGAAAAGAGGGTAATATGCTTGCTGAGAATGTGATAAAGAAGGTATAAGCTGATTAACTTCGATCGCATTGACTGTGATCGAACATCCACGGCTTTGTCAAGGGAAGCATGTTTGACCGACAAACGAGACATAGACCGCGTTACCAAAAAGGCATCCTGCAACAATAGAGAAGAAAGGTCAGAGCTTGTGGCAGATTGCGATGGTGATGGGGTAACCTCGTTCACAGGGACTGGCTTCACTTTTGCCATGGTATCTAGGGACACTTCCGTACTTGATCCATTACTTACGACCATGTTTGCAATGTCGCTCTCAGCATCCACAACGTCTCTGTGCGCGAGTTCTGCACGCTCAAAAACCGCATCGATGATTTGAAAAAGAGACGCTTGAGCCACTGACTGCACCGAGTCATCATCACCAACAAGAAAAATGTTGTACACCTTTCGAATCGTATTCAACAAAGCAGATCCATGTAAATAACACACTGGCCGCTCGCACATGGCAAGCGCGGTAAGAGCCTTGACGACGTTAAGCTGAAGAGCCCCATCAACTACATCGTTGTGGATACAGTCGCAAACTAATCCGACAACAATGTCTATCAGTTTCTTCTGCTTCAACACGCGATCCATTGTGTCGTTCTCATTGGGGGTAGGCCGGAAATACGCACTGCCTGCGAGTTTTGCTATCGTGTCAAGAGAGAGCAGCAAAACAGAGTCTTGACTCATAAGAAAAGCAGTTTGAAGCATTTCTACCACTTGGATTTTGTCCACTGATTTAGGAGGCGTGAAAGAAGCTTTAACATTTTTGAGGATGTGCATCAAATCTCCGTTTTTTTGGCAAGCTCGAATACTGAGTAGCTGATCAACATAGTTTTTTATAACGGAAATTGACTGTTTCTCCAAAACCTCTTCTCCCGCTGCTTTCCGAGCTGCGTCTGAACTCAAACTGTCCGCCGGCAGTGCGGACTTTGGATCACTCAATTGAGACTTCGTTTCAGCACGTTGTCGTTCCTGGCCTTCCTCCTGTACTGCTTCTTGTGGCTGTGACATTTCGCCTTGATCATTTCCGGCCGTAGTCTGAGAAATTGACGACGAGTCCTCGTTTCTTTCGTGAACAATTTTCTCAAGTTCCTTGGACTTGAGTGGCAACGTACTCTGTGAATTGTCGGCTGTGTTCATCTCAACTTTCTCCTGCTGATGTATCCGAGAACCTTCATCAGCCGAATTGTGATCCGAAACGTTTCTACTGGCTAGTTCTTTCGAGTTTTCCTGCATTTTTATAAAGGAGAAGTTTGTATATTTACAAACTCCCCAACTTTCTCTATTATGGGAATTGCAAACGTCTACTGCGTGTGTACAAGCCCTCGTATGTGAGTCCTACTCAAGTACACTCTTCACCACCATGAGGCGTGTTTTGGTGGAGGTGGACTGGACGGATGCAGCCCGCTCCGTTACGAGGTATCGCGGATAGCATGGTTAACGGGAAATATGCAATTGGAATTGGAATATGCTGTTACGGTAGTTATTGTACTAAGAAATTGAAGTGGGATGTTAGGAAATTGTGAGAGCGGACGGGATCCTTATGAGATAGGTGAAGAAACCCGATGAGTAGTATGAGAGTAATTTTGTTATATCCCTTAGTTTGCGAATTTATAAATATGTTATGTACGTTTAAGGGTTCAAGTATTGATATCAAAAAGTCGTTTTATTAGTCCTACTCCTGCGCTGTTTCCTCGCCGTCTAAATCCATGTTGATTCTTTTCGAGAGTATCCGTGCCCCGTATTAAGAAAGAGTCTCAAATTGGCCATTCAAAAAGTCCACGAACAGGTCCTTAAGCTTCGTCGTATCATAGACTTGCTGACGATTCAGATGGACAAACTGTCTTCGAAAACGCTGCAATAAGGGTAATGAAACTGGGACATTGGGCATTTCAATCTTCTTTGAGCAATTAGGGACAGGTACCTCCGATAAGTTGTCGCCGTTCGCATTATTAAACACAAGCATAGTCACCTCTTGCGTTACTTTGTCCAATTCATGCAAGTAGTCGACCTCGGCGGGAGGCTTGATTACTGTTGCCTGGTTGGGTTTCACATTTTTATTGAGAACAAGAACGGACCACATCTGATCAAATGGAGGTGTAGGATCATCGTGCAGGACAGTGAATAGTGGGGAATCCCAGCGAACCATAGCATTCGGCTCTTCATACCGAAAAATAAGGCCTTCAAATACATCGTCTGGGTATGGGTTCTCTGAACCGTCATTCCATGTTTTAGCAAGATCCGTTGGAACGGCAACATGCATAACACAGTGTGGGGTATACATTGACTTGGCTTCACAGAATAGTTGGTAACGATAACCCTTGATGTAGTTCAGAGAATCGCAAATTACAAATGTTTCTTTTGACAAGGAACGTTCCACCGCACTGTACAACGCTGCTCTAGCTGTTTTCTCTTTTCGAGAGTCTATTAAAAGATTAGTAAATTGAGCTTGATGCCGAATATTGAAGGGAAAACAACTCACCTCTATACGTCTCCTTTTCAATACCAAGGCTCTCATCATCAATGTGAATAACCTTATATGAACCAGTTCCGTCTAAATTCTTCTCAATTCGTTTTTGAAACTCTTCTGCAAGTTGCTTAGAACGCAGTGTCTTTCCCGAACTGGGGAATCCAGAGACGATGATCAGAGGCATTCTGTAGTCAAAAAGAATGTCTTAGAACGTGTTTTTGTAGACAGCACTTCAAATCGTCGATACTGCTGTTCGTGTTTAGACAGAATATGGCAATTTTACTGTCCGTTCAGTACTCACGTGAACGTTAAAATTTTAAGGTTTCGGCTTTGTCGCTTAAGTGCGACAACCGACAATTGCAGGAATTAAAGGGAGGTCCGGCACAAAAAGGGCTTTTATCATTCACTAGTACTTAGATTTTATGAATTTTGATATCGTAGACAACTGTTTTGTTAGTCTTTGTGTTGTTTCTATAGACTTACCATCTTCAGCACGTTTTAAGTCGTACTTAATACCGTCAAAACGGCGACGAAGGGAGTCGTTTTTGAGTGTAAGAGACTGGAAGGCTGTATGAACGGCGGTGATAGTTTCCAAAACTTTATAGGCAAGTTCTGTTTTACCATGAATAACGGAAGTGACAGAAACTCTCGACTTGAATGAAAAACATTAGTAAAGCACATGTAGTAGAGCGTTAAGCTTACAAGTTCGGAGCAAAACGAAACTAAGGAATGGAGGTAATCCTCAATGGCGACGTGGAAGGATGCATCGTTCGGATAAACAGGAACTGAAAAGTCAGCAGAAATAATAAAAAGTGTAACGAGGACGAGACTTTACCATCAAAATAGTTTCCGACTTGCTCCAAAGTAAGAATGGAATAAGGAGCTGAAGGCGAGTCGGTCACAAGGCCAGACCAAGATGCAGACAGAAGACAAGTAATGGCTTTTTGAAGAGCAAAAGACCACGTGTCATGATACTTGTAAAAGGAGTACTTTGAGGTTTTTTCAGAAAGCTCTTTCACAACATTTTTGATATCTAAGAGTTTCGTGTTCAATGTTTCCAGTTCCAATTGCGTAGCTGTTTCAGTAAGAACATTAGCCTATATTTAATCAATGGATATCATAGGATTTGCGGCAAATACTTACGTTCTGTAACGCTTGCTCTGTAAAGAGAGAAGATTTTCGTTTTTTCATTCAGACGATCAACAATTTCTGAGATTTCCTATTAAACAAGTTAGTCATAAAAGCACAAAACCACCCTTACATCACGAATAGAAGCCTGCTGAGCTAGTTGTTGCTCGAGTTTTTCAAAAATTGACATGTCCATCTCGCTGCAATGTTTTTTATGTTTTGTGTTGAGGAAGGTAAACCAGGCGATGAGTTGAAACAATATTGCAAAAAACAAAGTCAAACGTGAGTTCGTGGATACAATCATGCCAAAAACCCATTCATGATCTTTAAAAACTGCTCCCATATCACCATTAACACTTAGTAGACTGACATTGTGAAATTGATTTAAAACATATTGTTATGCCTAAAATCTAAACTAAAAAAGACAAGAACTAGAATTTACAGTACCGATATTAACATTTCAGTGCATTGTTTCAAAAGGACAAGCCGCTACCTTCACACATTCGTCTGAAGGTACCAGAACCATTGTGATACAAATCAGCTGGCCGGCCATATTCAACTAAACATCCGTTTTCCATAACCATGACCTTGTCATAGTCAACAATTGTTTTTAACCGGTGGGCAATACAGAGCATTGTGGCATTACCAAAGGCATGACGCAAAGTTTTTTGAATTTGCTGATCGGTAGCATCGTCAACTGAGGCAGTGCATTCGTCTAAAATAATAATCTTCGAGCGGCGTACAATTGCACGGGCAAGAGCAATAATTTGCTTCTCTCCTTGCGAGAAGTTTGCACCCTCCGAAGCAACGGGGGTATCCAAGGAAACGACGCGTTTTACACCATTTTCGTCAATTGATGTCGTTAGCTCACTTACTCCACTTGTTTTCAAAGCTTCATTCAATATAGCATCATCGAGTTCATTGAAGGGGTCTAAATTGCTCCGAATGGTACCGGAAAACAAAATGGGCTCCTGCGGAATAAAACTGATGCGTTGTCTTAATGCGTCGAGGTTAATGGTCTCGATATCACGACCGTTAATTAGAATTGTACCACTTGATCTTAATGTAAATCGAAGTAAAGAAAGACCCAACGTACTTTTTCCGCTTCCGGTACGACCAACAATGGCTACCTTTTCGCCAGACTGCACGTGGAGATTTAGATTGTGAATAACATCCGGTGAATTTTCCATGTATCGCACACAGAGATTCTTAAACTCAATGTCACCTTCTGAAGGCCAAGTAACTGGTACGACACCATCAGCGGCAGGTTTAGGTTCCTGAGGCAAATCACAGTATTCCTTCGCACGCTGGTAACTGTTAAGCTCAGCTTGCAAATTATTGCTTACTCGAACGAATGTAATCACAACTAAGCTGAATGTGACAGCCTGATTAAGAGAGAAACCAACAAGACCTGGGTCAACATTACGACGAGCAAGCGCAATAAAACCTGCAATGAAACCAACGATGCCACTAATTCCTTCCGTACGAATTGCAACCCATCGATTGAGATTATAAGATGTACTCTCAATACGAATTAGGTTATCCAAGAGCTTCGAGCTCTTACGGGAATACAGATGTTGCCTTTCAAATGCTCTAATCACGGGCAATCCAGATATAGTTTCACCTAAAAGACTGAATATAGGAGAAGTATATACGGACATCAAGCGTTTGATGCTCACTTGGGCTCTTGAATAGATAGTACCAATGATGTAGCTTGCTATACAAACAATTGTGGTAGGAAGCAAGAAAACTGGCATAACAGACGAAACGGTGAATATGCTTCCAAAGATTGTCACAAAGCATTCAGCCGTGTACTGTAACCACAAAGGAAGAGTCGTATCCAAAGCACGCATGTCGCGAGAGAATCGGTTAATAATTCGTCCGACTGGAGTCTTGTCAAACCAGGAGCTGTATGTACCAAACACGCTGTTCACCATATAATTGTGCACATGCTTAGCTGCTCGCCATGTTCCGCGATTATAAGCTAAACCGCGGAAAATGTCGACCAAAAAGTACAACAATACTAATAATCCATATATTCCCAAGTAAAAACCATTGCTTCTGGACCCGGAGAGTGTATTATTTGTCCAAAATGCGACCCACAGGTTCGTGAAGATAGACATCATTCCGGTTGTGACGATGAATAAGAGCACAAGAGCAACATAAGCCGAACTACCGAACGACAATATATACTCAAACAACAGCTTCATTGATACAGAGCCGGTAGCCCGTTGCTCCTCCTCCACTAGTTTTCCTGAACCAGTCTCACCTTGACTGTTTTCATCTCCTGTTTCTTCATCCAGGGAATCGTTTACCTTTTCAGGTTCCGCGACTTCTGCCAGCTTAAGTAAAGGCGACGAAAAGTCTTCCAAAGGAAAAACAGACCCGTTCTTTGTCGTTAAAATTAATGAAGCAATAGATTTGGTCAAGTGTAAATTATGAGTTACCAAAATAACAGTTCGATCCTTCATAAGTGGTCCTTTAAAGCAGTTCTCAAAAATCCAGTTAGAAGTGGACACATCCAAAGCAGAAAACACATCGTCAATAAGGAGAACATCGGAAGGCGCATACACAGCACGAGCAAGAGAGATACGCTGCTTTTGTCCACCAGAAAGTGTAACACCCTTTTCTCCTATTTCCGTCATGTCACCGGCAGCAAAAGTAGCGAAATCAGGTTCCAAACCACAAGCCTTGACGACTTCATTATACTTTTGCTCGTCCAATTCGTGTCCGAATAAGATATTTTCTCTAACAGTGTCATTTCGCAGCCATGTAACCTGTGGAACATACGAAACACCGTTTAACCGGGGAAGAGAGTATGATCCCGATATAAGATTCAGTTCTCCCAGTAAAGCACTGAGAATAGATGACTTTCCAGCACCTGTGGGGCCCACGATTAACGTGACCCTTCCTTTTGGAAACGTAACACTAAGATCTTTGAGCATGAATTCCTCTTTTGAAGGATTTGGAGACCAAGCGAAAGTGGCATTTTTAAAACCGACTTCGTCATCGTCAGCATCAAACTTTGAAGTTGGAGCAACTTCGTTGTTATCATGAAGAAAGTCTTCCACACGGTCGATTGAAACAAAAATTTGGATAATTTCCCGCAAAATGTATGCACACCATGCAAATTGGTTTCGAATAACTGAAAAAAGACCAATCGAAGTAAACGCGATAGACGGCGTCAAATCCCGACCCATGAGTTTTGTGAAGACGATAAAAGTAATGAACATACTGAACAAAGGCAACGATTCAATAAGAACGTGCAATGAAAGGTCAACCACCATTACTCGCCATAATCGGGAAAGCTCAACGGAGCGCTTTCGATTGATACGCTGCACCATGGGAGCCTCCCAGCCAAAGTACTTGGTAATACGAATGCTTTGTAAGAGCTCAGAAGTCAGTTCAATACGTGAATCCGCTGCTGCGTTAGCGCGCTGGGTGAGTTTTGCGACTAAACGACTAAGGGCGATAGGCAAGATAGTAGTGACAATGGAAAAGAATAAACCCACGTATGCACTCCAACCGAGGAGCTTTTGCAGAGCGTAAACTGCCACACCGATTTCCAAAGGAGCACGGACAGCAACGTGAAACAGCTCGCGCATCTCAAAAATATCTTCAATATCAGTAGAAATAAGATTGTTCACACGTCCAATTTTTGAATCAGCACCCGCCTTGCGCACAAAACGGAAACGCAAAACTTTCAAGAGTAGTTCTTGTACAAGTGCTGTATGACAACGAACGAGAAATCGTGTAGACAAGAACAGATAGTTTTGAAAGGCCAAGGAAGAGACATATGGAGCGACAAGCAGCATTAGAATCCAAAGATAGGGACTTAAAAACTCCTTTGAATCACCCTCCAAGTATCGCAGCAAGTGATTCATTGCAATTAAGCTAAAGAATTGGGCAAAACTGACGAATACGCTGACAGCCATGATGCCAAGAAATTGCCAACGGAACATTGAAACAATGGTCTTGAAGAGTGAAGGCCGCGAAAACCGCTGAAAGCGCGAATGCCAGTATACATTTTCATCGTAATCAGGAAGTGGAGGCATATCCTCCAGCTCGAGTTCGTGTTTCATTGAGCGGCCAACAAGCTTGTTCAGAAAACCGTACGTGAACTGAAAATCAAGCATGCTGCAGACTTGTTCATCTGAAGCCTGAGAATCACCACCCGGATTCATGGGATACCAAACCCGAGGACTAATGCATGTGATCCAATGCGACAGACCAAGCGAGAAAACGTACACCCACACAAGTTTCGGCATCACCGACAAAGGAGGGTGCTGTAGGTAACAAAAGGGACGAATGAAAAGATCGACGGTCATAATTAGCAGTAATAAATTTAAGTAGACACCGCCGTGATACAACGAAGGACGTGCATGTGGCCAGCACAAGCGTAATGTGAACAAGCCAAAAACATGAAGATGAAGCAGGACAAATAGGATCCAGAATGGAAGGAAAGCAAGCTTTTGAGTCACACCAGGCAACGTAGGTATAACAAGTGAACATCCCAAATTGAAAGTACTTAAGAAGAAGAGCACAATAGCGTACACTTTCCGAAGGCCGTTAAACTCAGCAGGGACCATAAGCTTTTTCAAGAAAGTGTTTCTAAGCAACTTCCATGCAAAAAAGGCATACAACGAAGCAATTCCAAAGACGGAGAGAATAATATGCCAACGTGCAATAGGAGAGTCAATTGGATTTGTACCATTGGTGGCCGAACTGTTTGAATTATTTAACGAAAGAGGCTCATTATTGGATAGAAAAGAACGAAATACATCAATTTTTGTCGTAAAGAAACTGGGATTTCCACGGATCCAAGAAAACCATGGGGACAGATCCATTCTTCGAGCGAAGACCACACGAGCGTGTCAAGTTTTTTCTACTAAGTTGAGGAAACAAGCTGCAAAATACAAACACAAATGGAAACAGATTACCAAGCTTTGAAATACGCTAGCAGAACATGTAAGAGACCTTTAAAACACGGTAATGAGAACTTTGACGTGAAAACGCAAAATTCGTCGAATCACTAGACGGTTCGACCAAATGGCTCAAAAAACCGAAAATTCTACCTGTTAACAAGAAAAGTACACAATTTTCTAGACAATACAAAGTAAAACGTTGTACACAACCAACTTAATCAGAAATTGTCAATAAAGACCAATATAACTGTACAAGACAAGTTGGTCCAAGCTAGCATAAAGTTGCAACGTGAAAGTCTATATAGAGCTTGCTTCGTCATGACGTAATCTATTCCCAGTGAGTAGATCGACGCGATTCTTATCACCGAAACGCGAGCTCGTGGTTTACACGGAATCTGGATTGGAAGACCGAATTACGATGAAATAGCAGTTCATAGAGATATATGTTTAGAATTGGTATGAAAAGAGAAGGAAAAATTACGCGACAAAGAAGAGACTGCAAGAATCCGTAACTGAGAATTAAACACCATACACGTTTTGCTGCAGCAGTAACTTTAACAAAATAAAGTTTTTACGTAAGCCAATGAGAAACGTTCGTGAATTCAACATAGTTTCCTGAAAATAGGATACCGTTGTGTGAGATAATCTGTATGTTTCCAAAAACAGAAAGATACAGCAATTAAAGAAAAGCGCGATTGTTACGGAAAAACTTATATAGTAACGTCTTTTTAAATAAACAAGTTCGTATAAATGCTAACATGCAGATAGTGGGCCCCGCCACGAGCATGTATCTCATTGGCGGAAGCCCGAACTTAAACCAGCTACGTGCATTCCACGTGGAAGCCCATGTGCCGGCCACGTGGGATATCTAGCGAACCGTAGTGTGGCGTACCGAGAATGTGAGAGAGCTGGGTAAATTTGGGACAAGTCTCGTGCCCATCTGCCATGGACAGTGAAGCTTTAAATGCAACAGATGAAGGATTTAACGAAATTGGAACAGAATATGAACGAGAAACAGGAATTAAACTAAATGATTTAACGACAGAGCAAAAATTTGGTAGGAATTTCTAAGTAATTGGACCAGAATGCTAATTCCGTTTATCGTCAAAGATATCATTCAGCAATTGTTCTCTGAACTGCCCACTAGCAAGCTTTCACAGCTTTATGAAAAGCTAGGAAGTCTATTGCACAAAGATTTTCTTGAGGTTCGTTAAGAAATCCTATTGTTTTTATCGCATTTTCTCCAGACAAATGGTGTCGGTGCCATTGGCTGCTTTAATATTGCATATTATTCTTCAATTCAATACAGCAACTAACGGAAAACTAGGTTTTGCCTGTTGAAATTTGTTTCCATGTGTTCCGGCTGCTGGGTGGCCGAGACTTGGTGAATTGTGCTCGGGTTTCCAGAAGTTGGAAACAGTACGTGGATGACCCGACGCTATGGAAGTGGTTGTTTGAACGGAATGGCTGGACGCTCAATCGAAGCGTTGTCTCAGAATTCGAGGAATGGATTCGTATTCGGTTCTCCTTAAATTCTAGCAACTCAAAAAGCAACTTGGATGAGACATTATACAGTACCTATATGGGCCCCCGGGGTACTCATTTTGCACCTTGTCATTGCTATGTCCGTGCAGATGGAAGCATCTGTTTAAATTGGAAGTATTTATACCAACAACGGTTACTTCTTCAAAGAAATTGGACAAATGGAAATTATGTACTTACACGGATAGTGTGCTCGAACAGACTACACATGGACAGTGTGTACTGTGTTCAATTTGACGACCACTTTCTTTTCACAGGGTCGCGCGACAAAACAATCCGGGTATGGGAGCTCCAGGCTCGGCGATTGCTGTATGTACTCGCAGGACATACCGGAAGTGTTCTCTGTTTACAATTTGACAAAAAACGGAACCTGTTGGTTTCTGGTTCCTCAGACACGACTATCATTGTTTGGGACCTGGCCACTCTAAAGCCCTTGCAAACATTCCGTGGCCATACAGACAATGTATTGGGTCTCGTGTTTCAAGATGACTACATTATTTCTTGTTCAAAAGACCACACAATTCGAGTCTGGCAGTACGGAGCTGCTGATGAAAATGCATGTTTATATGTGCTTCGTGGGCATCTGGCTGCTGTCAATTCTGTCCAGTTTAACTCCAAAACACATATGATCGTGAGCGCCAGTGGTGATCATACAATTCGCATCTGGAACGTAAAAACAGGTCAATGCCTTGGTGTGCTACACGGACATAGACGAGGCATTGCCTGTGTTCATTACGATGGAAAAAATATTATATCAGGCTCTTCAGACCTAACCGTTCGCATTTTCGATGGAAAAACTGGCCTCTTACTTCGTTCATTAGAGGGACACTCGGAACTTGTCCGGACATTGCAATGCGATATTGAAAAGGTTGTCACTGGAAGTTATGACGGAACCATAAAAATATGGGATCGAAATTCCGGATCACTTTTGTGCGACTTAGGCAACAAACACGGAAGCCGCATTTTCAACTTACAGTTCGACCACAAAAGGCTAATTAGCTGCAGTCAAGACAGCCAAATACTCATTTGGGACTTTGACTTAGGCGTTGATGGGACGTTTTTTTAATGGTTTTCTAATGTTTTTGTTTTTGTCTTTTTTTTTTCATATCTGCTGCTTTGACTATTAAGGTTCTTTAGTTCTTTTCTTTTTTTTTTTCAAATTGTTTCTCAGTAAAGCATCCTTTCCTTATCTTTATTATTTATAATCATAATTTCATGTTCCAAAAGATTCCTTTCCTCCCGCGCCTTCAGAGTGCTACTGCATTTCTCTTAGCCCATCGAGACATAATACCTTCTTGTCTTCGTATAGTAACACCGTTTCACCAAACAGAATTCTATTTAAACAAATGTCAACACGTTAAATTGTGTTTTATTTATTTATTCTTTTAGAAACTCTTTCTCGTATATTCAGGTTGGGAGGAATTGTCTTGCTTTGTATACAAAAAATTTCCTTTTTTTAAACCTCGGCGCTTGTGGACTCTATGAAACTACTCGGTGCTACTTTCTCAATACGGTCCTTACAATATGTGTTCGTTATTTCTTCCTTATGCGCAATACTTGCAGTAATCCTTCGGCCACTGGTTTATACTAGTAAAGAAGATAACATTTATACTACATATCTACCTCCCAAAAAAGAACTTACCAAAGCTGGTACACATCGGGAAAATGCTACCTTAGTTGTGTTGTGTAGGAATGATGACCTTGAAGATGTACTAAGTTCTATGCAGAGTTTGGAGGATCGATTTAACAAACGATACCATTACCCTTGGCTGTTTCTTAACGAAGTACCTTTTACCAACGCGTTTAAAAATGCGACGGGTCGCATGACGGACAGTAAAATAGAATTCGTTACGTTAGCACCCGAAGAATGGGAGCTTCCAACTTCGATTGATCTGACACAACTGGCTCACACGCTCCGAGTTATGACAGAAAATCAAGTTATTTATGGTGGCTCTTTAAGCTACCGCTTAATGTGCCGCTTTAATTCGGGATTCTTTTTCAGAGTACCAAAACTGCTACAGTACGATTATTACTGGAGGGTAGAACCAGGCATCAAGTTTCATTGTGATCTCGACTAGTAAGTCATTCGTGTTGCAAAGGCGCGTGCAATAATCATCTGTTACTAACCATTGTTTTCATTAGTGATCCGTTCACCTTTATGCGTGAACACGACAAAATGTATGGATTTGTGATTGCTATTCGAGAATTTCCTAATACAATTCCTACCTTATGGCATCATACACACGAGTTCTTTCGCAAAAACCCTGAACTCCTTGCGAGGGACAACTCGCTTCCTTTTATTGAAGACTACGGCATGGGACTGGATGGAATGTACAATCTTTGCCATTTTTGGAGCAACTTTGAGATTGCGAATTTGAATTTTTTTCGAAGTGATGCTTATATGAAATATTTTAACTATCTTGACAGTCAAAAAGGGTTCTTTTATGAACGTTGGGGAGATGCACCAGTCCATTCGTTGGCTGCCGCTCTCATGCTAAACAAGTCACAGCTTCATTATTTTGAAGATATGGGTTACTTTCATCCGCCATGGTAAGTTCCGGAAAGCTGGATGATAAAAGAGGTATCGGAACGAAATACTAATGCATTACTTGCTTTTTAGGTCGCATTGCCCCCTAGATGAAGAATCACACACTTCTGGGCGCTGCTTATGTAACCGGGATCGGTCATTTGCAAATAATCCTTATTCCTGCTTCGAACAATGGCACCGTAACATGCAAATATAAATAGCTTTAATAAAACAAGTGCTCCGCAACAAGAGCACATCATTGTCGCTTGGATTGGGCTTGGAACTGATCCGCTAATGTATATATTTCCTCGAAGAAACGTTTCACAGTATGATTATTCTCATCCTGAACACCGAGGCCTAGTATATAACAGGGAACTTGTAGAGTCTTGCAAAGCATAGAGGAAACCCAAGTTGTTACACTCGTTCTACCGTTTAAAGTCTCATGAATAACGGAAAGCAGTCGATCCTTCAAAGGAATAAATACATAGTCTCGGAAAGCCAACAATGCTTTCCGGCGCACGTTAAGCCTCGTTTTGTTGAGTGAGCAAAACTCCCGAACCTCGTATGAGAGTGTGCTATTTTCGTGTGGATCAAGCAACTGGCTTTGAATAGGAAGGAAAATAGCTTCTAAAAATGGTGAAACATGAGTTGTAAAGAATAGCCAGGATTCCATAAACCGTGCGTAAAATACACTATCGGTTTCGGATGAAAGCGTGGCCGCAAGCACATAGGCTCCCTTCTGAAAAAGCTCCTCAATTTCTTCAATAAAAGTACCGAGGTTGCTTTCCTGAATACAGTTGCGAATGTGTACCACGACGATGCCATTCAAATCTTCGATAGGGACGTGAAGTTCTTCACCTTTGTATACACTGAGTACTTGCGTCTCGATACAAGACCAACTTTCGTCAAAGTTGACAAACGTCGTTAAGCCTTTGGAATCAATGGACGCACGCGTTTTCCCAAGTTTGATAGCAGAAGGACCGATGGGTACTACACTGCTTGCCTTAGGAGTTGAAAGTTTGGGAATTGATGGGCCAAACAGGCCAATGTTCTCCTTTCCGCGCGTACGCAGGAAACTGCGAGAAGTCGATATTGACTTGTGCAGAGAGGGTATTTCGAGAGAAAGGAGATCCTTATTTTTACGAAATCGGAGGTGATGCGGAGAGGAGGGACTACTGAAAGATGCACAGTAATCTCCTTTAACGTGTGATCCCTGTGAATTCGCATGCGCGAGCTTACTAAAGGTCGATGAGAGTAATTTTGGTTTGTGAATAGATAATTCATCGAATGCTTGTTTCAGACCACCGTGATTCAGTCGACTGCTGAAGGGCATGTGTCCATTGAAAGAGAGGGAACGCTGATGCATAGCGTGTTTTCCCGCTCGATCTGCTCTCGAACGGGCCTTGACAGTTTTGGGTCTGTAGAGACTAAACCGTTCAAAGCGAGCATTAGAGCCTATGACTCCATCGCTATTAAGGGCATCTGGTCTGTTATTGTTTTTTGGTGTAGTTGGGGTTTCACGGAGCTCTTCTCGATCCTCATCGTTCTCATTCTTGGTATGAATGACCGAAACGCAAGTAGTGGTCGATGCACTAGAAACAGAGGACACCGAGCTTACACGACGATGGAAGGTCATAATGAACTCCAAGTGATCGTCATTCCTTGTAACAAACTTAAAGCTTTAAGGGGTGAGTTCTTCAAATACTATTGATACAAGTAAAATTGAATAATTTGCAATTGTTTCGCCCGAAAAACGTTTCCAAGTCAATAGAACACAGCAACTGTAATCCGAGAGGTGAAGAACAAGCGTCCCAACCTAATTCACCTAAACGTGTTGAATGGGTGGTCGTAGCTGTGTTAGGTTGGTTTGCCATAGAAGACTTGTTAAGTTATACAAGGGTCCGAGGGTTGAGCTCGGATGGTGGAGTCGGTAATGAGCAAGCTTGATGGCAATTGCAATAACAAGAATAATCTGGTAAACTAGATGACATTCTGTAGATTCACCAGCCCGTAAAAATGGACTGAATGCATTGACTAAAGAAAAAAATACGTTTACATGATAGTACTCGCAAACTTAGACTTAAAACATGTCTAAAATGCGACTACTCGATTCTTAAACCGTATTAAAATAACACACTGACGAATTTACAGAATGCTTTATAACAATTCGCCTTAACGGCAAGTCTAGTTGTATTCAAAAAAAAAATTTTAAAAGTTCAATTCGCCGAGTCAACTGTCGACATAGAAGAACGATGCGTATGAAGACGAATACAAGCATGTTCACCACGGCAACCGTTGAAGACATGACACATTAGTCGCCGCACGCTGGTGATATCGATGCTCTTGTTTGCGTAGGAAGAAAAGGAAAAAAAAAACTTTCTAATCTCGGTAACATTCTCTCAAAAACGTTAGGAGACGCAATGTTACTGGCCGTATAAACAAACGAAAGAGTTAAAGAGTAGGCCAATTAGGTACAAGGATTAGACAGACACAACTTTGACTTACTTAGCCAAGGCCTCGAGAGAGTCCTCCATAATGTCCAAACCATCAGCAATGACAGAGCTTGGAGTGTTCAGAGCAGGGAGGACACGAGTGTTGTTGTTACCACCAGGCAACAGCAAGAGACCTCTCTCACGGGCAAAGTCGATGAATTTAGTGGGTGCGTCATGGAATTGCAAACCCATGAGCAAACCACGACCAGCATAACCGCGAATGATGCTGGGGAACTTCTCCTTAAAGGAGTCAAAACGGGCGGTGAGGGCCTTGTGTTGAGTACGGACGTTGTTCAAAATCTCAGAGCTTCCAATTTTGTCGACACAGTACGAACCAACACGACAAGCAACGGGGTTACCACCAAAAGTACTTCCGTGATCACCAAACTTAATGGTCTTGGCGATGTCGTCCGAGACAATAGTTACACCGATGGGCAAACCGTTAGCCAAAGGCTTGGCGAGGGTAACAATATCAGGACTGGCAAAATCCTTGACATAAGAGTGAGCCCAAAGATCACCAGTACGGCCCAAACCACACTGGACCTCATCGTAAATCAACATGACATTATGTTTGTCACAGGCCTTGCGAACAGCAGCGAGAAACTCGGCCTCGGCAGGGCAAATACCACCCTCACCTTGAACGGGCTCAACAATGACAGCTGCGGTGTTCTCGTCAATGACACCCAAAGACGAAGCGTCGTTGAACTTTGCTTGCTTGCAGCCAGGTAGCAGAGGCTTGAAAGCCTCGCGGTACTTGGGGTTTGCGGTAATACTCAAAGCACCCATTGTCCGGCCATGGAAAGAGTTGTTGAAGAAGACAATCTCGTTCTTTTGAGGACCAAAGTTAGTGTAGGCGTATTTACGAGCAAACTTGATGGCAGTCTCATTTGCCTCAGCACCACTGTTTACGAAAAAGACCTTGGAGGGCATCTTAATGTTGCTGTTTTCCGACAGCGACTGATTCAGCTTGGCAGCCAACTCAATGGCGGGTTCATTATAAAACAAGTTACTGGCGTGAACAACTTTGGTCAGCTGGTCAGCAGCCAACTTTTGCACATTCTCTTCGGCATGTCCCAGAGCATTGACGGCAACGCCAGAAGTAAAGTCAATGTACTTGTTTCCATCCACATCCCACAAGAAAGAGCCTTTTCCGTGAGAAACTGCGACAGGATAACGAGCGTAAACGGCCAAAATATTTTCGGCCTCCTTTTCCATCACCGCGGCGGCCTTAGAACGAGCAGCATTTACGCGAGTAGTCTAAGAGTATGTTAGCAAAAAGAGCTCCAAGACTTCCGCAAGGAAGCAAACAGACACCATTTCATGCTGCAAAGCACGAAATTGTAAAAAACTAAAAATAGCAACAAACGAAACGTTTTTCTCGCTTGTGTTGCTCCAAGTGCGCTATACTTACACTAAGGCAGCGTTGAAAGCAGCGAATGGAGCCTGTTTTGGGGAGAGAAGCCAAGTTCTTAACGGAGAGCATGTTTAGGTATGCAAGGTGTGTGCGTGTGTGTCTGTCTGTAGTTGTAGCAGCACTACTTCGAGGGACTTTTATTCACCTTCGGCTATCAGTTCAACATGCTTATTTTAACGATATTAATCAAGCTCATCAACCAAGCCCTGTTGATAGACAGCGAAAAACCGTGGAGAATCTAACCGCTGATGATAAAGTTTTAGTGGGTTAATACGTTATCGTAGACAGCACCACCAATCCGGCCACCGTTCATTGATGAAGATACCCTGTGGGCAAAGTCGGCTGGGGTAGATTTTAGATCAAATGCGGCATCTGTTGTACCCCGAACGTGTATTAGCGAGTTGAGCGATACTTGTTTCCCAAACATCCCCGTCACAACCATGCGTTGATCAGGAGAAGTAGTCGGCATCATACCTTTATTCAGTGGATCATCAGGATTTGGTGCGAGAAATAGGAACTGCAATCCAACAAACACGGAATTGAGGTTGAGGACCGGGTTCCATTCCTGTCGCAGAATGTTCAGACAAACATTGCCACTCGTATCAATGTTCGGGTGATAGATCTTCCCACGCGTTAACAACGGAAACCGATGAAAAACATAAAACGTTGTCCGCTCGTCGTCCACCTGTGCGTCTAGAGCAGTGATGACGAGGAGGATAAACTATCACACACGTACCTTGTTGAGACACTTCACTTTAGGAGGTTCGTGAGGATAGTTTGCTCCGATCTTCACCGAGAATTTGAAAACACCTCCCTTGTAAAAACCTGATAGCGTCAAACTGTTAAATATATGAACAAGTATGTGCCGAACAAGCTACACACCTTCGTCCGGAGCAATGTACAAAACCAAGTCGCTCAAATCTGCAGGGTTTGGCCACTCGGCCTTCATGGTACTCGGCAATTCCAGTTCTGTGACATCTACATAGCTTTTGTTAGAGCCAAAAAGCCGTAAATCGAGATTTAGATTCGGACAAAAGAACCTTTTTGAATACGGATTTGAGAAGCATTTACACCGCCGCTCAGCCGTTCTTTTTCGGCCATCTTCTTCTTTAATTCCCATATTTTACGCATGATCAATTGTTTCCGATATGTGCTTTGGCTAAGAGTGTTATGACCAACGGTGATCGTTTTGGTGTTGCACGCGACGCGTTTTGCATTAAAGTCGGGTATGTCGTCATTCGGGACTGCGGCATACATGCATGTGAAAAAATGGCTGAAAGAACGTGCAAGTCCGATACAAAAGTTGAGTAGCGCATAAAGCGTGACAGTTTATTTTGCCGAAATCTAAGATGCATTTTTCATGTAAAAATTCTTCGTTTCTCAACTCGTAAAATTTAAACTTTTTTATAGCGTCGCACCAATCACTATCCCCTAACTAACTCGAGTGCACGTTATTGACCTTAAATGATTCCCTATGACGTAAATCCCAGCGGCATAAATAGGACGCGCGTGCCTTGAACTCTGTGTTAGCACATCGCGTTTGTGTCCAACCTACGTACAATTGGTGCTGCCTGTGCCTTAATCTTTGCATATTCATACAGAATCTCCATCTGCTAATACCTCTATAACCTTCTGCATTCCATATCATCCACTTATAACCTATTGTTTCGCCAAAAATGGATGTTCTGGTGCCTATCTACACGGGAGAAGTAAACAGCGTGTATGCTCGAAAGGAGCATCCTTTGGCTCCGTTGTCTTCCTTGACCAGCGCTTCGTATCCTATCCAGACAAACAAGTTCTACGGAAACTTGTTCTTGGGTACGCGTAAGAATCCTTCCTGGACACATCCGTACTCTTTCACCTGGCAAGATGACACGTACCACGGGCTTATGATCAGTCATATTGACGAAAACCAACGCGCTTTTGGCCCTGACGGTGCCAATCCGTATCACTACTTCATTAACCCATTGGGCATCTACTCGCTGGGTGTCTCGGCCGTGGAATTCGACAGTGGAAACACTCTCTCCTTGGCAAACAGCCGACACTTCTCTGTAGAAGTTACGCTTACGCCGACATCGAACAGCAATGGAGGCAAGATTGTGCTTCCGCTGGTCAGTGGCATGGGTTTCGTGAGTGCAGTGTACTCAAACCTGACGCCTGTCTTCAATTCCTCAGTTATGGTTCGTACATACACAAAGGAAAGCTACGCGTATGGTCATAAATACGTTGTTACTCTGGAAGACAGTAAGGTGTGGGTAATCTACGCTTTCCAAGCGGGAACGACAATTTTGAGCTTACCCTGCCTGAAAACACCAGACTTCAGGCCAGCGGAACATTCAATGGACTCGTCCAAATCTGCAAGTTGCCCACTGCCAATTCAAGCGATGTCTCTGCTTACGATGGCTACGCGGGTAAATATGTAACTAACATTCAGCTCTCTGCGACAGCCTCCGAAACAAGTGCTGACTATTACTTTCACTTTGAGACGAAGGGAAGAACAGACAGGGCTGCCTTGATGTTTGCATTGCCACATCACGTTGCTTCGTTTGCCGGCGAGACACAGTCGTGTCGGACATACCTGGGCTTGGCTAGCACTGTTATGGGTGTCATGTTTGCTTATGCAGCAGACAGTTGGCACATGGTTGAATCGGATCTGCCTTACTCCGTTGGCTTTCTGCCTCAACCCTGGAACGGCGGAAGTTCGGGATACTCTAGTGCTGCATTGACAGCAATACGTACAGCCTGTGAAAGCGACATAACATATGATGTTGTCAATGCTTCGAACCTTGACAGTATGTATGCTTCCGGCAAGATTTTAGCCAAGTATGCTCAAGTCTGTCTTGTTGCTGCCAAAGTGCTGAATGATTCAAGCCTTACATCTACGGGACTGGCTAAGCTGAAGGAAGCCTTCCAACGCTTTGCTGACAATGTTCAAAAGTACCCGCTTGTGTATGACACAACGTACAAAGGCTTGATCAGCACGGCCGGCTTTACAGATCCATTGACCGATTATGGTAACACATACTACAATGACCACCATTTTCACTGGGGATACCACATCTACACAGCGGCGGTCATCGGTCTGTTAGACCCTTCCTGGATTGCGACGGAGAATGTTCGGTACGTTAATGCCATGCTTCGGGATGCTGCCAACCCCAGTGAGGAGGACAGCCACTTTCCTGCTTTCCGGAGCTTTGACTGGTTCGTTGGTCATTCATGGGCAAAGGGACTGTTTGAAAGTGGTGATGGCAAGGACGAGGAGTCGACCTCGGAAGACGTAAACTTTGCCTATGCAATGAAGCTTTGGGCTATGGTTAAGGGAGACGAAGTTTTGCGTCGCCGGGCTGACCTTATGCTTGCTGTCTTGAAGCGTAGCTTTAACGAGTACGTTTACATGACGGAGACAACCTCTGTTCAACCGGAGAACTTGCGGCCCAACTGTGTGACCGGCATCACATTCATGAACAAAGTTGACTATGCTACCTACTTTTCTGCGGAAACCTACTGCATTCATGGCATCCATATGATTCCTATCTTGCCCATCAGTGGATATTACCGTATTCCCAGCTATGTCAATCATGAATGGAACAGCAAATTGGCATCCATCATTAATACATTTTCCAATGGCTGGAAGGGTATTCTGTGGGCCAACTATGCCATCTACAATCCCACTGCTGCGTACAACGAGTTCACGTCTTCGGACTTTACGGATGCGGACTTGGATGATGGTGCTACGAAGACGTGGTACTTGACGTTAGCAGCAGGCATGGGAGGCTCAAGTTCGTAAGAGCTATATATGTATGCTTGTGCGCTAACAACCGGCACATGCCCAATTTGTACTCGAAGTTGCGCCTAAACGCGGTGTTTTCTTTCTAATACAGGCATTAACAAGGAAAATCGTTGGATTGGCAGCACCTTCGGTTTTCGTTGCTGTGTCTTTTCTACGCTAATACTAATACAATGTAATAAAAACTATGGAATCAAGAGCTAGAGATAGAGACGAGGAAATCTGAGGGATCTGTTCCAAGGAAAAGAACCGTTGTGAGGAGATTTGTTTATTCCCAATACGAGAAGTCGATTCATCGGACAAAAAAAAAACACACACATACTTATTCTATGTCCTTATGTCTCATTGCTACAAATATGGCCTTCTTGTCTTGCTTCACTGCAGATTGGCCTTGAAACACTTTTTGTCCTCTCTTCCCAAAGTACTACACCGAAAGTGCTCTTGGTGTTACAGTAGTAAGCACTGCGACGAAAAGGTAGGAGGACCCTAAGGAACACGAAAAAGATTTATTGTTCTGGTAAAACCGCGTTAAAACTCGCCTAACAATGTCCCAGACATCCAGTAATATAGGTATGTCACTAAAGGAGCTTTCCACTTTTCGGGAATATTATCACCAACAACAATAACAGAATTCTAACACATAAACGCAGACGTTCCGGCTCTTGTCATTGATCAAGGGTCTTGCTGGGCCCGGTTTGGTTATGCCGGTGATGATGCTCCTACCGTTGTTCTTCCGTCTAAATACGGTGTAAAAAAAAACAAAACTACTGGTGAATCAAGCTTCGTTATTGACCAGCTCGAACTTCACGCCCCAATTCCTCATATGGAGATTCTCAGTGGGTTGAGTGATGGTGTCGTCCAAGATTGGAACTCTACATTAAATATTTGGAAGCGTGGGTTAAACGATAAGCTAGGAGTTGATGCTTCCGAATACGCAATGATGGTGACAGAACCTAGCTGGAACCCTCGGAATGTGCGGCAACAAACTATGGAAACTGCTTTTGAACAATTCAAAGTTCCGGCATTCTTTCTCAGCAAACAAGCTGTGTGTGCTGCGTTCGCCAATAATCGGGCTACGGCACTTGTTGTTAATTTGGGCTCCAAGTATGTGAGTGTTACGCCGGTCGTTGATGGACTAGCAGTCCGTAAAGGCCTGATGAAACAGAATTTGGCTGGTGACTTTTTAAACGCGAACATTGAGCGCATGCTCGAAAACCTGCACATTCCCATTCATCCGCATTACCGTGTCGCTCGAAAAGCAACAAATGTGGACGGTAATGAAGGAATGGCATCTGTTATGTATAATCCTGTCGAGGGATTGACTGCCTCGTACGAGGAGTTGGAAAAGAACCGAGTAATTGAAGAGTGGAAGGAAAGTGTACTTCAGATGCTAGAATCCCCATTCAATGAGAGAAGTGCTTCTGTACGGACACCAAAGCCGTTTGAGTTCCCGGATGGTATTAGCTGGAAGTTTGGCGGCGAAAGATTTCGTATAGCGGAGATCCTTTTCAATCCTTCGCTTGCATTTGGGGAAACGCCTGCAACAAGTGTACCTCAGGGTGCCATGGGATTGCCGCAATTGGTTCATCAAAGCATACTCACATGCGACAACGATATACGGTCAACACTGCTCAATAACATCATCATTACTGGAGGCACATCTCTCATTCCTGGTTTGGCCGAACGTTTACAGACTGAGCTCCAGCGAATGGCTCCAGGAAGCCGGGTAACCGTTCTGGCGAATGGCTCTGCAACTGAACGTAAAAATGCTACATGGCTCGGAGGTTCCATCCTTGCAAGCCTTAATACCTTCCAACACTTGTGGATTACAAAACAGGAGTATGAAGAAATTGGAGTTGATAGGGCATTATTCATTGAAAAACGCTGCAAGTAGAGTCAGGACACACTTGCAAAAACAAAAACAAAAAAAACACACACGCCCCACATGATTAGTCCCTGAATTTCAAATCTGGTAATGCATCAATGAACGTTACGTTTGTACATTTTCTTTTTAGCTTAGCTCCATTCATCTTAAACGGAAACGGTAGCCTGAGTATACGAGTCGTTTTCTAATAAAACCACTTACTGCTGTGGTTGGTTTTGGGAATCAAAAAGAGCGTAAAGCGAGACGAGGGTCATTTGAACAGCTTCGGCTGAACCGGATATCAAGAGAATCTGTTCATCGTTTTGTGCGTCTGCCTGCGGAAGCTCAATTTGTGTATTGCAATCTTGGGCCACTTCTTGCAACTTTGTCGGTGAACGAGAAAGAACGGATTGCGCAAGAGCCTTTGGTACGCTGAATTGCTGCGTGATGACACGTTGACTGACGGTATTTGGTGGGATAGATGGGCCAGGATGTTGAATAACCTGGCTCGCTCCAAGGGGATCGGGATTTGCAGTTGCTGATATGAGTGAAGCAGGAGCGATACCGTACGGATTATTGGGTGTTAATAAAGTACTGGACGCGGGAATCGATTGGAATGTCGCTGGAGAGCCATACAAACCATATACGGGTTCCGGTACATAAGGAACAACCCGCGAAGTTTCAAGCGCAGCAGTTCTTTCTTGTAACAGTTTAAGAATTTGTTCAAGCGACTTGCTGAACTCTTCAGCAGGACCACAGACCGTAAGCGCCCTTTCGGTAGAACGAGGCAAATAGGATACGCTGCGTTTTATGCTCACGTTTGGGGCAGCACTGTGCGATTTTGGAACAAAATTTTGACTGTAAAAGGTTGTAGACCCTAGTAATATGGTCGAAATAGCCAACGAGATACATAACGACTGAGAATTTTGAGTTTTGTCAATGCCTTTCACAATTTCTACAAGACCTTGAGCCAACTGGTCAACATCACCACTCACTTGCAGTATTACATGGGTCGTAGGAAAAGGTTGTAAATGCAGTGTCGTCTCTAAACCTTCAATCGACACTGTTTTAGACTGCCAAACTCGGGCTTGATCTGCACTTAGTAATATACGGACCACCAATTTTTCTGAGCTTAAGCTATAAACATCTTTCACGTCTAATGCATGCTGATACTTCGTAGGTGCCTGATTTGCAGCCATTTTCAGTAATTAACGCGTGCGAGTTCTTACTTGCCGTGTTTTGCTGGCTGCGGTTTGCATTTTACGTTTAGCGAGTTGCAACGTAGATTACACATCCAGACAAAATATGCGATGGATAGAGAGAGACGCAAGCCGAAAGTTTGTCAAATCACGGAGGCAACTTGTGGATTACTTAATTCCTATTTTCATTTAATTTTTCTACGAGAACAGCACACATCGTTTTAGGAGCACAATTAAAGTTATCTAAACGAGATGATCGACGAGCTTTATCGCAATTAAGCTCCGCAACTAACTCGCTTCCGTTGGTCGTATATACGAAGGCCAGTATACAAGAAATCGTCCGGCAAAGCAGGTTCTACGGGAATGTTGTTCTTCATGTCATCAGACGCATTTCATAAACTGTATTAAGCATCAACTTGCATTTCGTCAAGCTCGTGCACAGTGACAAACTTGTGCATTTCTTCTTTGAGAATGGCCGTGGTACCACGAGCAAACTTGTAGTTTTGTTTCTTTTGCAAGCGAGGGTTTGGCTTCGTGTAACCACGGTAAGGTGTGGTCTTTTCTTCATCAATGACAACAAGATCACAGTTGGAACCAGAACCCAAGTCATTGAAGATACCAGCTTCAATGGCCTCACGGACAAGCTCCATAGCTTCCTTGCGCTCCATGTCGGGCCGGTACTTTGTCTCGAGCACAGAAATGGCTGCAAGACTACCGGATCCCAAAGCAACGTATGGAAGCTTATCACTGGAACCGTGGGCAGCGATTGTAAACAAGTGAGGACCTTGACAGTCATAACCGCCGAGTACCAAGTAGGCACCAATGTGACCTTGATAGCGGAAGAGATGTTGTTTCAAGAGGGTAAGAGCCGTAATAACACGAGGCTTGCGGTTGACATACATAGAATGCAATTCAACATTGGAAGAGGTTAAGGCCGTAACAAATTCAGTATCAGCGGCCGTACCAGCACCAGCGCACCAGATATTAGGCGAGATGTAATGTAATTTTTCACCTTTATGTGTCAGCATCTCCACAACGACATACACATAGCCAATGCATTTCCATGTCACTTACAGTTTTTGTCAGCAATGGTAGGACCAGCGGTAGCACGCGTATCGGCGCCCAGAACAAGGCAGTCTTTTGCAATCAAACCAACAATAGTAGTACCCGTCGAGGTCGCCTTTGGCATAGGGACTCCGCGATTTTCTAACGCGGCATTTCTGGAAGATTAGTAAAGTTGTTCATATAAAGTCACGAAATGCGTCTATAAAACTCCGGAAAAAAGACATACCTTTGAAAATTGTCAAAGTTGAAGCCTCTTTGAATGTTCAGAGCGCTATCTTTTGTCATTTCGATGATTTTCAACGATTTTCCCCTCCAAACGAGTCGTAGGTTCGTGTAGCGTTTCTCCTACAGTACTACCTACTGCTTACTGAGATGCTCATGTGGGATGTGGGGGTATCCCACACCCCACATTTGTCTACCACCAAATGCCAGGGTGTCAGAGCGCGTAGCCTCTAGCTTCCACTGTCCTTCTATTGACAGCTTTAGGTAAAAACGTTTGATTTTGTCCTTTTAATCAGCGTTTTTGCTTTCATAAATTCTTGTATACGTAATGGATTTTCAAAATCCTTTTTCGGCGCTCTCGGAGCCAGCGAATGGTGCTCGAAACACAGAAATTGAGCTAGAGGAGCATGAAACAGACGTAAGTGAGACCATACTATCTAATACAGCAAATACTTACGAAATAATAGCAAATTTTATTCACAGGATTGCAATTGGGCACAACTGTGTCGCTTTTTTCTGGAGCTGTGGGTGACAAAATTACCGAGACAGCCGTTTTGTTCGCAGTGAATGGAACCAAAAAACTTTTTGTTGCTGGCGGTCCTTCTGGGCTCGTTCTCGGTCCATGTGTTTCTCTTCAATCGTTTCTGTCGAACGCAGAACGTAATTCAGAGAAAATCGAAGTGAACGACATTTCGGATGTGGTCAAAGTAGACATTCCCAACGCTTCTCTCACTCATGTTGGATACTCTGCTTCGGGTGATTATGTTGTTGTTGCCGACAAAAACTCTGGCGTTTCTGTATATAGTACGAGTGCCTTGATGTCTAAAAATGTTTCTCCTCTCTGGCAAGATTCTAGCTTAAATGTTTCCCATTTACTTCCCAACCCGGATTTTAACGAATTCACTGGAATTGTCACGAATGATCGTAGTTTTTACGTGTTGAACGCTAACGGGTGGCAGCTTTCAGAACCTATTGCAACAAATGTCAGTGCGGCCTGCTGGTCCCGCCGTGGAAAACAGATTGTTCTTGGTTTGATGGATGGCTCCCTTCATCAGTACACACCTTTGGGTTCAAAAAAGGCCGAGTTTATGAAGCCAGACTCGCTGAATAATGTGTATGTTGAAAGCATCTGTTGGTCTGATAATCGAACATTTGCAGTTTATTACGCACCTGTTGCAACTCTCAATTTAGATCCCTCTGAGGATAATGTTCACGAAAGCAAACTTTACATTGTGAAGCCCTCTGTAACAGGTGCGGTTGAATATGGATTAGCCGAAGATCCGTGTCCTCCCTTTGGCATGACTTCAAGACGAAGCTATCATTTCTTTGGAAGTTTAAAATCATGGAAACCAAAACTGAAGAGTTTAATTGTAGTTGCTGGAACTGGCAGTGCGGATGTAGGAGTCATGGCTTACTTTCAAGACTCTGAGCAATGGCAAACATTGAGTATTACCGATGAGACTCAACGTGCTTCTCTACCCTACTCATCTACAACAGACTCAGACACTTCTCCCATTGGTATGTGCTTCGATTTTTCTGCAACAGATCGGATAGAAAGACCATTGGGTGCTCTCGCTGATCCGGAATCTTCGCCCTCTATGCCAATTCTCTGGGTTTATAACAACGAATGTCAGCTTAGTGGTTATCGGGTGCTGTACAAAGATGCCGTGCTGGATGGCTCCAGTTATGAAGAAATGTCCGGCGTTGAGAAACCGGCTCGGACAGTTGAATTTACACCTTCGGGAGCAAATGCTTTTGAGCTTTCTTCTTCGCCCGCCAATCTTTCCTTCGCTTCTTTTGGCGTAAAACCGAATGCCAGCTCGCTTTCCGCCGTGAACACTGCACCGGCTTTCGGAACTTCTACAGCGTCTCCTTTGCCCAATTTAGCCAAAACCTCCTTCATGCAACCGTCTCCTCTCGCTCAGTCATCTACCTTTGGTCAAACTGCCGTTTTTGGTCAAACTTCTTTTACTCAATCTCCGCTGACTAATATATCTTTTAGTAAGGAGACAAAACCTTTTGCTTCCTCCTCGGCCTCCAAGTTTGGAATGTTCGCAGCTAAGACCACGGCTTTTGAAATCCCTAAAGACAACGAAGCGCAGTCCCTCTTTTCGGCCCCAACGACCACGAGTTCGGTGTTTAGTAGTAAACTTGCGCAACCCGCACCTGAGACAAAAGTTGTTGAGTTAGACGAAGACGTGGAAAGTGATGTTGAAGAAGTTTCTAAGGTGGACATACTGGCAAACGATGAGAAAGAACCTACAATCACAGGAAATGGGGTCTCCTTTGACGGGGATAAGTTTGCTCAAAACATGAACACGGCGTTCACGTCTGTTTTTGACAAGTCTAAAAATACGAAGGAAAGTGAAAAACCTACTGGGTTTTTTCATTCTATTCCGGATTCTAGTAAGAAACCACTCGCTTTTTCTAATGCCCAAAATGGCGTCAGCTCCTTTGTACCCCCTTCCAGTCCTTTCTTTGCTGGATTTGGTTCCAGTACCAAACCGTCCGCTTTTGGAACCCAAAATGATATGAGCCCTCCTGCGTCCCCTTCACCCGCACCTACGTTTCCTAAGACTGCAGCAAGTAGCAGCGCCCCTCTTGGTCTACTTTCATCCACGGGAAACACAGCATTTTCGAACGTGCCGGCATCCAGTGATTCGAAACCAGCTTTTACTTTCTCTTCTCCTTTTGCTAATGCTGTGGAAAACAAACAAGAGGAAATTCAATCGACTGCATCAGTACCTGAAGATACCGTGAAGGTTGATAAGACTGAAGTTTTTGGAACTGCAGCGAAGACAGAAACAAAGTCGGGTACTAGCGAAAGTCTTGAAAAAGAGGAAAGCAAAACCGAGACTAAGGGGATGGGTGAATCTGTCTCTTCTAAGCAAAATTCTACCAAAGCTACTACAGAAAAAGCGTCGGAAGAGAAGCCTCTGTTCTCTTTCAAACTTAACGAGGAAAAAACTTCGCCTTTCGCCTCAGCCGGTGCCAGTGCTTTTCAGTCTACCTTTCAAAATAAAAATGAACCAAGCGTCGCGGCTTCAAAGTCCTTGTTCAACTTCACAAAACCCGGCGCGGAACCCGCAGGAAGCAAACCAATGTTTTCATTTCCTTCAGCAGCAACTACTAATCAAGCGGCACCAGCTTCTTCATCTTCGAGTGTCACAACGGAGCAAAAGTCCGCGTTTTCGTTCGGTTCCGCGACTGCATCTAATCAGCTTACTGTCAATAAGCCTGCTGCTTCCTCTGTATTCAGTTTTGGAGCAAAGGCAACAGAGAATATTTTTGCCAAAAAAGCCGATGAATCTGGAAGCACAGAGAACTCCGAGGATGAGAGCGCAGCCTCAGATACGGAACAGCTTTATGAAGATGAGGAGAAGGCTGAAAACGAGCTCCCTGAAGAAGAAGCAGACAGCACTTCAGCGAGTGAATCTGAGGAACAAAGTGAAACATCCGAAGATGAAGAAGCTGTGGAATCGCCTGCTGAGAATCAGGCTACAATTTTGCAGGAGATTATTTCCTTGCCTGCTGTTAAATCTAAATCAAAACCGAAACCAAAATTGAGAAAACCCGTTGAACTCCTGCCGCTGCTTTCACTGCAAGATGCCGATAAGCAGAAGAGTGTGTCCGCTAGTGGAATGGCTTCTGCATTCGAAGACTTGTACTATCAACTGAATGCCGAAATGGAGGTTCTTTCTAAGAATATACAGACTTTACATGCTTATGTGACCGATCAACAGAGTTACATTTCAAGTGCCAATGAACCACCGAGCATGACTGGTCTCGAAAAATTACAAGAAAAATTGGAGGTCTTAGTAGGAGAAGCCGAGGAATCCCGCATAGAAAAGAGCAAGGCCGAAAAGGAAATGGCATTTATTGAGTCTTCAATTGTTCGGATAAACGCCAAAAAGGTACAAGTGGCTCGATTAGCGAAAGCGCATTCGGACCCTTCCTTCCAACACATGGTTCAAATTCGTCAACTAGGACCTGAAGCGTTACGGAAACAATTGGCACTTCGCTTAAAAATGGAAAAAACTCAAACGCAGTTGGCAAACTTAGAGAAGGAAATGGCTGCCGTCCGTGTTCATCATCCTGTTGATGGTCGTGCTCCCACGACCACTTCTCTGATGGTTGCTTATTGTCGTCTGTCCGCTCTTCTTGCTCAACGCGAAAAAGAACTGTATCTAGTTGAAGACCAGCTCAAACGTATACGCAAGGTTTTACCCTCCTGTCGGGCAGATCAGTCGACCGTACTATCATCAAGCTTCCTTTCGATGCCTCCCTCAATGATTTCTCAAGTTGGTGAATCTTCGCCTGCTGCGTTATCTCCAGCAGAGATAAAGCGACAACGTAACTTCAGACGCTACGTCCACAAAAAGCTTTTCCAAATGGATGTGGAATCATCAAAGCCCATCCTCGAATAAGCCAGCGACCATCCGACAAACATTCCTGCTGATGGAAGCAGAACTACAAAGATCCTCGAGATTGGGGAATGTTTCTCTTGTTGTTCTACGAATTCAATAGGCAGGTAGAGACTGCGTGTTCAATTTGCCTTTTCATTTTTGTTCCCTCTATAGCTTTCTGTATGCTTTAATGTCATCGTTAGAGAACGCTAATATTCGTTAAGTAGGTTAGTGTTGGATAACGTGCGAAATATGTGAGCCCTGGTGTGAGTGATTTTGAGATAGTGTGGGCTAAAATTGTCGGCCTCGAATCAACGTTTCGGTTGATTAAAACAATTTCTTGAATGCATATAATGCATAATTTTTACATGAATCTTTTTTTTACAAACTATCGTTTCGTATGTATGTATTCTTCTGTATAATCTCAACGTTTTGAGATATGACATCAACGTCGGAATTAAGCTACCGCATAAATGATACAAATAGCTGGCTCTCGCACCCTAACGTGCCCTTCGCCAAAACCGACTTTCGGCGGACCGCTATCTTTTATACACAACTATCTTTTTGATTATTTGAAGTTTGGGTTTAGACTTCGACATTATTTTTGTAACCATTTGTTAATCATTTTTCTGGTTTTGTTTTATTATGGCATCTAAGGCTTTTTCGAAATTGAACGCATTGACGAGTACGCTGGGTAAGGCTGCTGGTAAGCCTATTCGCATCGGTGTCATGGGTTCCGGAAACTGGGGCACTGCCATTGCAAAGATTTGCGGTGAGAATGCTCGTGAACACCCTGAGATCTTTGACACTCAAGTTCACATGTGGATGTACGAGGAGACTGTGCCTTACCAAGGCGAGCAACGGAAGTTGACCGAGATTTTTAACTCTACGCACGAGAATGTGAAGTACTTGCGTGGTGTTCGGTGTCCTTCGAATGTATACGCCAATCCCGATGTCCGTGATGTCAGTTCTCGCAGCGACATTCTTGTCTGGGTCGTTCCTCACCAATTTGTTGAGCGTATCTGCCACCAAATCAATGGCAGCGTGAAGAGTGGCTCTGTTGCTATTTCGTGTATTAAGGGTGTTTCCGTGCAAGAGGAGAGTGTCTCTCTGTTCTCAGATGTGATCCAAAAGCATACTGGTATGTACTGTGGTGTACTGTCTGGTGCCAATATCGCCAATGAGGTCGCAAGAGAGAAGTTCTGTGAAACGACCATTGGTTACGACCCCGATGACACTGTGAACCCTCGCTTCACCCCTGAGGTAATTAGCGCTCTTTTCTACCGTCCTTACTTCCGTGTGCAAATGGTGAAGGATGTTGCCGGTGTCGCTTTAGGTGGTGCCCTGAAGAACATTGTTGCCGTGGGCGCTGGTATCGTTGATGGTTTGGGCTTGGGTGACAACACCAAGTCGGCTGTCATGCGCATTGGTCTTATGGAGATGCAGAACTTTGGCCATGTGTTCTTTAACTGTGATCGTCTTACCATGGTTGAGCAATCCTGTGGTGTGGCCGACCTTATCACCTCATGCTTGGGTGGCCGTAATCACCATTGTGCGGTCGCTTTTGTGCAGACCCGCAAGCCCATGCACGTGCTTGAGAAGGAGTTGCTTAACGGTCAAAAGTTGCAAGGTGCTGCAACGGCCAAGGAGGTTCACGCTTTCTTGAGACATCACAACCGTGTGCACGAGTTCCCTCTGTTCACTGCTATCTATCGCATTGTGTATGAGGGCATGCCCCCTGAGGATTTGATCAACGTCATTTAAGCTAGAATTCGCAGTTGCATGTGTTGGCGATGTGTGTCTCCGTTGTACGAAAGCTCTTAGATTTCCCTTTGTTATGTTCTTTCATTTTTCTTGGCTGCTGACTGACTGACTATACACGTTGTTGCTCAGGGCTAGGTCATCACGCTCTTTTTGATCACATTTCGGAATAACCGTTCAATATGTCGCATGTTCAGTTTTGGTGTTCTTGGATTAGTTCTACATTTACCCCATCTTTTCAAACAGAAAGCATTGCTGGAACTAACGAAGCTTCGGATGGACTAGGCAGGACCATTTCCCCTCCCCCTACTTCTGTCTAGTGGCCGGCGCCGCATCTCGACAAGGCTTACCAAACGCCTAATATTTATATAGCTAAGCTACGGACAGCTCTTACACAACTAGATGATTGCACATGTTGCAAAGTGTATATGTCTTTTTACGGTAATGTATTAACTGCTTGTATCGTATTCGCTTTTTGTCGTCTGTTGCTGTTTCGTATTCCGTTTACGCGGTTGACTGTCGTCAGTGTATCGCTTCCAACACACGCTATATTGCCTATTCAATCTAACGAATCGCTTTGGTAAAGAAGGCGACACTAAGCAAGCATGTGGTCGTCTACAGCGCCACAACACCTGTTTCTGTGGAATAGTGCACTTTAAAAAGTCGCAAACGCCTCTTTATGCCTTTATATTTGCTAACGCTGCTAGTGAATTATGTAGAAAGTGTCTGCGTGTGTGTTTGTGTGTGTGCCTTGTACTGCTTGCTTCCTCCCCTTTCTGCTAGTTCTTTTTGTACTGTACACCCAATTAAGGCGTAGAGCATCAAATACGTTAGGGTACATAGTGTTTGAATAGTGAGAGCTTGTGCACAACGCGTAAACCGCACTAACGAATCTTAACGTTTGCCGGTAACCTTAATTCTTTTGGTCGCGTTTCCCTTGCTGCGGAACCAACTCTGTGCCAGCCTCAGCAGGTTCCATGTTCCGTCTTTCTGTTCCTCCTTTCACGAATAATTTGTTGAATTTTTGACCTGAGTCACTGAATTCTGTTGTCTCGTTTGTTCTTGCTGCAATTCCAGGCCAGAATTTTCCTGTTTTTTTGGAGCATTTATAGCTAGAATCGTCCTAACTTGCCATTCCACAGGACCACGGGCAGCTGTCCCTTTTATTTCTTTCTGTTTATGTGTATAGGACTGTTGTCTCGTGCTTAATTATCTGGTTCATTGTTTTCCTTGTGACTTTGCTTTTGCCATTTACGAATTACCCGTTTTTAACTTATTAGGGGCATTTATTTCTTTTCTTTTGGACTCAACTTGTGTATTGTTGATATGAACTCATCACTTTCTGTGAACTCCACGCTTACGGCAGATGAATTGCTGCTTACAGACAAGTCTACAAGCAAATTGAGATCAAAGAGTGTTGACAGTGTCGACAACAAGTCCCTCCACTCAAAAAGACATTCATCTAGAGTGGGTTCGCATGAGCACATTAACGTTGACGATTTTGTCTTGCTCGATGATTTGGTCTTGTGCAACGTTCCGCTCGACATGGATCTCAGCCGGAAACCGGCAGAGAAAGATTTACAGCAACTGGCTCCCCAGGATCGAGACCTGAGCATTCAGTTGAATCGTCTTAGTCTTTCTTCACCTTTGTCACCAGACATGCATCGGCGGATGGACGATTTGGTAGACCCGCTTCCTCTCAGCAAAGAAAAACAATCCGTTCTAAGCGTTGGTCGTCCATCTTGGCTGCCTCCGAAAAGCAAGGAAGAGGAGCGTCGACACATGCAGGAATTTGAACAAATTCGCAAAGCAGCCGAGCGTCTAGAACGGCAGCGGAGGCATGATGCCCAAAGAGTGGCTGAAAAACAAAAGGCACGTTACAAACAACTAGTGGTATTATGGGAACAAAAAATACTTCGTCACTGGCCTGAGTCGCTCACCTCATCCAAAGTGAAGGACGTTTGGTGGGAAGGTATTCCTGCTCGTGTTCGAGGACGTGCTTGGCAGCGAGCCATTGGGAATGAGCTCCAACTCGGGCTGGAATCGTTTTCCAAAGCTTGTGAGAATGCTCGACACAGACTGGCCGCCGATGAAGAGCAACGGGTTTATTCCGTAAATCAATTTCGCGACGATGAGAGTGCCTTTGAAGTAGACATTGTGGCTACGATGCCGGAGCTGAAGTTGTTTCAAAGAACATGTCCGCTCCATCAGGATCTGTTGAACGTTTTGCAGTCGTACTCTTACTACCGCTTTGATACGAGTTACGTCCCTGGAACTTCCTATGTAGCAGCTCTCTTTTTGCTAAACATGAATCAATCGTTCACGTTCAATTCTTTGGCAAACTTGCTTGACAAGCCGTTGCAGCAATCTGTATTTGGAGCAAGTGATTCCACAATGTTGGATGTGTTTTGTCAAACGTTTTTACATGTGTTCCGCCGTGAAATACCTCAGCTCATGCTTCACTTACACACGAAGCTGGATATAGATGTGCGAGAGTATGTGCACCCGATCCTGCGATCATTTTTCGTGCCCATGGTATCTCATGAAATTGCTTCACGCTTTATGGACTGTTACCTGTTTGAGGGTGATTGTTTCTTCATCCAGGTCCTGCTTGCCGCCATGAATCACTTGCAATCGCGTCTTTACGTTTTGGATACACACTCAGCTCTAAGCGTTTTGACAAACTCATGGCAACTTGATGATGTTGAAAAGTTCCTTGCGGCCGCTAAAAGCTACGTTGTGCCTACTATTTAACAGGGCGTTCTTAATACTTATCTCTTGCCCTCCCTTCAAACACACCTAAAGATGATTCCCAAACTTACAACCATTTCATCTCAGATTTCCCTATGGAATTTGAGCACCTTATTTTACCCTATACAGTCACCTTACCTATCACCTGTTCTTTAAAAAGAGTTTGTAATGCTCATCTTGCAAACACTCTACCACCACCGAATGTAATACTTAGCACATAGTTGACGGACATAGTTTAAAATAATGTTTACCTAAACCAGTGTACAGTTGCCTGACTCCTTGGTAATGGCGTGCAAGAAGCATTAAGGAAATCTGTCGTCCGCTCTTTCATCGTCTAGCACGCATAAGGAACATGAATTGAGAAAGGGATTCAAAGTTGCTCTACAAACGTGAAATAGCTACCAGCATGTCGAGCAGTTGAAGGTATTCGTCGGCACCGTCGGTCAGGCATTTGTCGACTTCGGACATTTTTAAGAGGATTTTGTGTTTACTGTTACTGGGTATGCTTTCATCAGCCATTACTTTGTCATGAAGTTGCGAGAGAAGGAGACCCGTCGAGAAGCCATTTGCAGTTACGGTCTCGGCAACACTCTCGATTTTGCTGATGTCTTTGCTTTTGCTGACATCCAAAAGCTCTTGTATAACATCATCGGGAATGCGCCCTGAGATTTCAATAACTGTGTTTACAGTAACTGGTGTTCCTTGATGCAGGGTAGCAGCACTCTGCAGAAACGTAATTGCTTTTCGCATATCTCCTCCGGAAACGGACACTAGAGCGTCAATGACTCCTGGTTCTAAAGCAACAGTTTGGTCGGCAGCGATAAACTCAAGACGTTTTGCGATGTCTTGAGCATCTAGAGGCTTAAAGCGATACTTGCTGCAACGACTAGCCAGAGGGTCAATGATACGAGTAACATAGTTGCACACTAAACAAAAGCGTGTAATTCTCGCTGTTGCTTCCATTGTGCGACGAAGTGCTGCTTGAGCATCCTGTGTCATAGAGTCTGCTTCATCTAGGATGACGATTTTAAAAGGAGGACAGGGATAACCACTTGCAATATATGTTAGCATCGGATGCAAGGACCACCTTGTATAGAAAATAAACTAACTTACTTTACAGTATTGTTTACAGCGATACGTGCAAAATTCTTGACTTTTTCACGGATGATGGAAATACCACGTTCGTCTGAAGCGTTGAGTTCAAGGACACGGGACTTGACCAATTGTGGACTTTTGAACGTTTAAAGTTAGCATTATTCAAGAACAAGGGCAGTCATGGAAGGTGTCTTCTTAAACTGTGTAACAAACAGAAGACAAGTAAGACGTACCCGAATAATTCGCGGGCTAGAGCTAGAATGGTAGATGTTTTTCCAGTACCAGGAGAGCCGTAGAACAGCATATGAGGTAAGTTATTCGACATCATTGTTTTTTTTAAAACTTGAATCGTCATGTCCTGCGAGCTGACCTCATCTAAGGACTTTGGACGACTACATATTTAACATGTTTGTTAGCACTGTGGTGTTTCTATGTTACTAATAACATTGCAATTCAATGCTGCTGTTACATACTAGTGTTCGACCCATGGTACGGCCTTCTTAGTTAGGTGAGCCTGCACTTTAGCACTTTGGGGAGCAAAGAACGACATCGTTGAGGGAGTACTGAAAACGTACCAAGGAAAACCTGGTTCAACTTACAGAACAAACCAACGTAGAGGCCATTTAACGAGTCACAGTGTATTGTAATGTGTGCAGGAGGAAGGATGGGCAGCAAAAGTGGGAAGAGGACAGATTTAAATGGAATTTTCGTAGAAAATAGAAGTGTATTTTGTTGGTATTATACGCTTATGTAGCAAAAACAGAATTTTTGTTCTGTTTTCGTCTGCAATTGCTGCTGTTTGTTCTGCCGACAAATTAACAAATAAAAGGTCGAAGCGAGCATGTAGTTTTAAGCGAGAAAGTTTAAAAGCATGTTAATTTCAGCATTTGTTGTGTGTTCAATCGTTTAATTTCATTAAAAAAATACATAGTATTCCTACATAGTCGATATTTTGTTTTCATGTGGAAGGAATGGGACTTACCTTTGACAATTAAATAAAATAAGTGAGAATCGGTTGTATGAAAGAGTTTGGCTGTTTCGTTGAGAAACGTGGAGATTGAGTTAGATGTTATTTTCTTCAGTATGTTAGTTTTTAACGAGCGAGATTAATTTTTAGAATACTAGCTTTTAGTCAAAGATGAACGCATTAATTACTCTTTTTTATGGATTCTTGCGAAAGTGCCTACTTCACTACTACTCACCTATTGCTACTCATTTTTAAGGAATTGAATTCACAAGACGATTCCTTAAGTAATAGTGGCACCCATTCAAAACATCATAATCTTCCCATTAGCAATGTTCTCCCATAGACTTAATTCAATTAATAACATTGTATTTCATAAAAATATCCGTAAGGTTACATAGAAAACCAAAACCAACGAAAAGGAAAAAGAAAAAAAAACGTACAAACTAAATCTCCTTTTTTATGGAGGCATCACAAAGATCATCCTTTAGCTTTTTTATTCTCTCCACAATACGCAATTCTGCGTCGAGAGGAACATCTACAAGCAAGACTAGCTGCTCAAGAAGTCGTCCAAGCTGGGTGGATTGAACGAATTCAGGAACTAAACCACGAAACTGTTCCAGTTGTGAAAGTACCTTGTCAACCGTATGGATCTCTTCTTCGGTTGGCCGATGTGCAGGTCTGAGAAGTAACTTCTGTAGTTGTATTTTATAGAAAAGAATTGTTTTTTCGCGGGAATAAGCAACTGCAGCGTATTGGTCTATTGTACTAATGGGCTGCTTAAGCTGTTCCTCGTATGAAAATGACGGATATGTGATCTTTTCCACAGGGTATCGCTCTTCAATCTCCAAGTACGACTTGGGAACTTCTGTAAGTAGTTCAACATCAATGTCGCTCAGCTCATCCTCAGCTATGGGCGGCGTTGTTTCCAATTCATGTAGCACTTTTGTTAATGTTTTTTTTTGTGATACAAGAAATTTGTTGTCAAGAATATTGCGGCATTCAGCCAATGTTAACGGTCTCAAGTTCTCCAGATCCAAAAATGCATTTTCTTTTGAGGGAAGGAATTCGAGATAATAGCCCCTCCTTTTTTTCGACACACGAAGCGATCTTTGAGCCCTATCGGGCATGCTTCTGTATGTCACAATTCGTGCGACCCACCAAGGATATCCATAAACACGTCCAAGTACATAGTCACCTATTCTATACCTTGTTTGAAACTCTGTTGAAGGCTCGTATAAAAGTTTGCCCGATCTTTTAGAATAGAGCGTTTCCCGTGAGGATTTTCTTTTAATCGACGATTTTGTTGATGGTTTTGATGCAGCTGGAGCAGCTTTCGTTTTCTTTTGTTGAGATGAAGTGCGCTTCGACACTGAACGCGTACTCTTGTTCATTTGTGTGGTTTATAAACAGAACAGGAGAGTTAAAGACGGGAAACACAAGGTGACCGTGCCGGTCACTATTGCTACAAATCGTGTTTGCTGAATTATGGGTATAGCAGAGACGTCGCTACGTTGTAGCACGCATTGCTTCGTTAGAGTGTAATAATGCGATATACTGTATTTTAAATGGTGATAGACGGTGTTTTGAGTATGAACAAACGCCTTTTGTAGCAAAAGTGTCGTTTGTTCTTCTGTATAGTTAATACCTCATCGTTTAATTCTAAACAAAATCGAGAAGGGATTCCAGCCTTAACTTGAATAATAAAAAACAGCTAAATAAGCACAACGCAACAACCCGATATTGGAACGTTCTTTAAAACTAACAGAATTCAATTCTTTACTTTTGAATTCTCTCTAAATTTGCCCTAGTCGATCTTTCTCTATGCTGGGTTAATTAAGCTTTCACCACACTAGCGACGCTAGCATCCACCAACACCCACAAAAATGCCAATTGGTAAGAATTGCTGTTGTTTTATTGATTTATGAAGTATTCTAACGTTGATTTTGTAGAAGACGATGAACTATCTGCTTTGAGAGCAGAACGGAGTCATTTTAAACGGCGTTTGGAAAAAAACGAAACTGAGGAAAATCCAGTTTCCACGCCATGGAGCACAGACGGGTTTGCTCCAGGAGAGCCAAAAACCGAAAAAATTCAGTATGATACTCACATTTATGACTCCAATAAATCAATGGAGAATTATAACACATCTATTGACGTTAATGAGCCGGAACATTCTGACGATGCAAATGATATGGACGCTACAGACGAAGTACATTCGTTAGTTCGCCAATATGAAGCCCCGAAAGCGCTTGTCAACGAATTTGCCGATGAAGGTTACGATCCTTTGAAAGGACGTCAGTTGAACAAGCAAATTCAAAACCGTGAGACTGATTATCAAAAGCAGCGATTGCAAAGACAACTAACCCCAACTCGTGTCGACGCATTTGGTGCGGAAACGAATCCCAACGCTCGAAGCTATGCTGATGTTATGCGGGAAGCTGAAATTGAGCGCGAAGAACGGCGTGTGTACATGGAAATTGAGCGAAGAAGGAAAGAGGGTACGTTAGAAGAACAGCCAGGCGCTGAACCTACAAAAAAACGCACCACTGAAAAAGGCACAGAGCCCGTCAGAACGAAACGTTCTCGTTGGGATCAACCGGCACCAGTAAAAACAGAAGAACAAGCTGCCCATCCATTAGCAACCGAAACAGTGACTACTTCGGGCAAAACGACTGCCCCTTTACGTCGCTCTCGCTGGGACCAACCGAAGCAGATTACTACCGTTGCTGAGGTAGTCGTTGAAAAGGGCATTCCAACAACTCCCATCGCGGACAAGCAGCTAAAAGATCCCAGGGATCGTTATCTTTCCGATGAGGAATTGAACTCCATTTTACCTACTGAAGGGTATGTAATATTGGAACCTCCTGAGGGTTATGTTCCGCAAAAACAGGAAGAAGAAGTCCCATTAGGGTACCAAATTCCTGGAGCAGAAACAGATACTCAAAAAGTAGCAGCTCCCACTTACTTACCGACTGAGATTCCAGGCGTTGGCGATCTTATGTTTTTTAAGCAAGAGGATGTGAAATATTTTGGCAAAATTCTGGAGACAAAAGATGAGGCCAAGTTGAGCTTGGCCGAACTTAAGGAACGCAAAATCTTGCGTTTACTATTGAAAGTAAAAAATGGTTCACCTCCGATGCGTAAAAGCGCGTTGAGACAGCTTACAGATCAAGCTCGCGATTTTGGCGCAGCAGCTTTATTTAATCAAATCTTACCGCTGTTAATGGAAAGGACACTTGAAGACCAAGAGCGACATCTGTTGGTTAAGGTAATTGATCGGATTCTTTACAAGCTTGATGATCTCGTTCGCCCTTTCACCCACAAAATTTTGGTTGTCATTGAACCACTGTTGATTGATGAGGATTACTACGCTCGTGCTGAGGGTCGAGAGATTATCAGCAATCTTGCTAAGGCCTCTGGTTTGGCGCATATGATTGCAACCATGCGGCCTGATATTGACCATGTCGATGAATATGTAAGAAACACAACAGCCAGAGCCTTTTCTGTTGTTGCTTCTGCTCTCGGTGTGCCTGCCTTACTGCCGTTCTTGCGAGCTGTTTGTCGCAGCAAAAAATCGTGGCAAGCCAGGCATACTGGTGTTCGGATCGTTCAACAGATTGCTCTTCTTATGGGATGTTCTGTACTACCACATTTAAAAAATCTAGTCGACTGCATTGGACACGGACTAGAGGATGAACAAACAAAAGTTCGTACGATGACGGCCCTTGCTCTCTCTGCTCTTGCTGAGGCTGCAACCCCTTACGGTATTGAAGCATTTGATTCAGTGCTGAAACCGTTATGGGGAGGCGTTCAACGCCATAGAGGTAAAAGTCTTGCCGCGTTCTTAAAAGCTACTGGATTCATTATACCTTTAATGGAACCCGAATACGCCAGTCATTTTACTCGACGGATCATGAAAATTGTTTTGCGCGAGTTTAGCTCGCCAGATGAGGAAATGAAAAAAATTGTACTAAAAGTTGTTTCGCAGTGCGCTTCTACAGATGGTGTCACGCCTGAGTATCTCTCGAACGAAGTTCTTCCGGAGTTTTTCCAATGTTTTTGGTCTCGAAGACTTGCTGCAGATCGGCGAAGTTATAAACAAGTTGTGGAAACAACAGTCGTTTTGTCGCAAAAAGTTGGTGCCCTTAGAATTATTGAGCACATTGTGGATAATTTCAAGGACGAATCCGAACCGTACCGTAAAATGACTGCCGAGGCTGTTGATAAAGTAATCAGCAGTTTAGGTGTTGATGAAATTGATGAACGAATGGAAGAACGGTTACTAGACGGTGTTTTATTTGCTTTTCAAGAACAAGCTGTTGAAGAGCGCGTCATTCTTAATTCGTTCAGTACAATCATCAATGCACTAAACACACGTTGTAAGCCTTATCTTCCTCAAATTGTGTCCACCATTTTATGGCGTCTCAACAACAAATCAGCCAATGTTAGAGAGCAGGCAGCTGATCTTGTTTCAAAAATTGCCGTTGTCTTGCGAGCCTGTGGAGAAGAGGCACTAATGCGTAAACTCGGCGTCGTACTGTATGAGTATTTGGGCGAAGAATATCCCGAAGTTTTGGGTTCTATTCTTGGAGCTTTGAAGGCAATTGTGTCTGTTATTGGTATGTCTTCTATGCAACCTCCCATCAAGGATTTACTTCCTCGTCTTACCCCAATTCTCCGTAATCGACATGAAAAAGTACAGGAAAATATTATTGACCTCGTCGGTAGAATTGCTGATCGAGGTTCAGAATACGTGTCCGCGCGTGAATGGATGCGTATTTGCTTTGAACTCATTGATATGCTGAAAGCTCACAAAAAAAGTATCCGCCGAGCAGCTATTAACACGTTCGGTTATATTTCTAAAGCCATTGGCCCACAGGATGTACTTGCAACGTTGTTAAACAACCTTAAAGTTCAGGAACGTCAAAATCGTGTTTGTACCACCGTTGCTATTGCTATTGTCGCCGAAACCTGTATGCCATTTACAGTTGTCCCGGCATTAATGGCAGATTATCGTACACCTGAAATGAATGTACAGAACGGTGTACTGAAATCACTAGCCTTCATGTTTGAGTACATTGGTGACCAGGCCCGAGACTATGTGTACGCTGTCACGCCTCTGCTCGCTGATGCACTTATTGACAGAGATGCAGTTCATCGACAGACTGCGGCTTCGGTGGTAAAGCATCTTGCCTTGGGCTGTGTTGGTCTTGGTGCTGAGGACGCTATGTTACATTTGCTCAACCTGTTGTGGCCTAACATTTTGGAAGAGTCACCACATGTAATTAATGCAGTTAGGGAAGGCGTCGACGGAATTCGGAACTGTGTCGGTGTTGGGGTTATTATGGCCTATTTGATGCAGGGTTTGTTTCATCCAAGTCGAAAAGTCAGACGGGCATTTTGGACTTCATACAATTCAGCATATGTTCAAAGCGCCGATGCAATGATTCCATATTACCCCAAAGTCAACAGTGATAACCATAACACGTACGAACGGAATGATTTGTTTATCTGTCTCTAAAAGGTGTGCGCTCTTTATAGGACTTTTTTGAATTGGGTGTTAGGACGTGGAGCCATTCCTGCATCTTAATCTTCATTTTAATGAATTACACATATGTAAATTAAATATCTTCTTCTTATAGGTTTGCCGTTATGTTTTTAATATTGGATCTGTTTTCCTGTTTATAATTAAAACTCATATTTATGTAGTAAGTACGGTCTATAGTCTACGATAAGTGGAGGAACAGGAATGGTTATCCTGTTCATTTTTGATTTTGTGTACAGCCAAAATTTGTGTCTGTTCAATGTGATAGAACAATTAACATTAAGGGTACATAATAAAATAATAAAAAGAACAATAACGAGTTTCCCTCTCGTTCACGAGATTTTGTTTAGTTTGATATTCCAAGAGCCAGCCAGACAATCAAAAGAATGTTAATTGCTGCTAAGAATAACCAAACCAGCCAACTGATGACAGATGTCGTCCATGACAAACTATAATCATGTGTAATTTGTTTCAACTCGCTTTCGCCGCCGTTAGACACAAATTCAGATTCTTGCACCGTCATCACTTTTCGTGAACTAGTGAAAAGAATTAGAGGAAAGGTAAGGAAGGGAAGCAAGATTGATAAGCAAACCTGACTGGCATTCAGAACTCTGTTCAATCCACTTTCGCCAAGTCCTAAAGTGACAACAAGACATGGAATAATAGCAATTAGACGAGTTGCGGTACGACGAATCCAAGGCTTACACGTCCAGTTAATGTAGCCTTCACTGACCATTTGTCCCGAAATGGTACACACGTAACCAGCACTGATGCCAGAGAGAAGAAGTGCGACAGCGAAAAGTTTGCCAACGGATTTTGACACATACTTAGAGAACAATTCATAAATCGTGAATAGATCCGAAGCGTCTGCTTCCGGTGTATTATACAGAACGGCACCAGCAACAATTAAGATACTTGAATTGGTAAACAGTGCAAAAGTAAAAAGAGAGGAAGCAACTTCCACAATGGAGAATGTCAATGAGTGATTGATGGCGGAAAAACTTGGTTTGTACTCGGTGTCTGGATCATTCAAGTCGCCCGCCGTAACGATATTGTGTCTAATGTCATAGTCGCGCAATCTCGATTGAACGAGACCTGAACCAAGATAAAGGGAATGAGGCATCACGGTTGCACCCAAAATACCAATGCCTGAGTAAAGACCACTGCGCGAGAACACCGTAGTGGAGGGAAGAAAGCCTTTAAACAAATGACCAGCACTGCCCAAGTTTACGCGACCAAGCACGAGAGCAAAACAGATGGCTACAGTAAGCACCAATAAAGCGACAACCATTTCAAATAAACGAATGCCCAGCATTGGACCATCAGGACGCCATGCGACCAAAGTAAGCAACACATCGAGAATAGTAAGAACCACACCCCCAGGAAGAGGGAGCTTAAATAAAATTTTCAATGCAAAAGCTGTACCAATAACCTCAGCCATGTCAGTCGCGATAATTGCAATTTCTGCTAGAAGGTAGAAGGTCCAGCACAGGTATTTCGGAAAATGCTCTCGACAATTACGAGCCAAGTCGTAGCCTGAAACGGAGCCAAGACGACAACATAGTGACTGTAAATAAACTGCAAGAAAGTTCGACAAAAGAATAACAAATAAGAGCTTGTATTGGAACTTCGATCCTGCATCAATATCTGTCGAATAATTACCAGGATCAATATAGGCAACAGCAATCAGAAAACCGGGACCTACAAACCGACAGTATTCCTTCAATTGACTTCCTGCAGCATGGAAATAGTGTAAAATCCGTTCTCGTGTACTTTTTTCTTCGGAAGCTGTACTGCTTGCTCTTCCGGAATTGCTGCTGGATGATTCTACCGGATCAATGCGTCGAACAACGGCCGTAGACCGCGATTCTGGGCTTAAATCTTCGTCTTTCTTGTTGATGAAAGACATAAACTAATAGAAGACACAGAAAATGCAACCAACGACACCAAGAATGAAAACAGAGCAGAATTTACGTGCCGTTAATAATAACAAGACCCTTAATACCACGGATGTCCTCCAATTTCGTAAAATTAAAGTCCCCTGAAAGAGTTTATTGCGACTGAAATTCACTAGTACAGATTAGACTAATAAGCAATGCAGTACTCACGCTGTTTGTCAAAAAACTACTTGCAAACTCGCAAATTCAACTGAGAATGATTTTACGACACCGGCGAATGGTATTGGGAGACGGCAGAATTGAAAAACGCTGAAATTATGCTAAAATCCCTTTGCCTACGTCATTCGTCGACACCCTGCCGAAACATGGGATGACCGACAATTGCCGAAGCTTATATCAGATAAGATATTTTCTAGGTTTCGCGGGGTGAAAACGCTAATGAAGGGGGGGGGCATCATGAACTCGGTACGCGAGAAGACTGGACGAGGCAGTACTAAGGAGCCTGTGACTAGCAAGGAGTACGTAAGTGACTTGCAGGGAGCAAGTGACTAGTAAGGAGTAAGGAGTAAGGGAGTAAGCAGTACGGAAAAGGGCAGCCAGTCGGATAGGAGAAAATGATGAGGTGCACAGGATTGCTATTATGAAAGATGGACGTTAAACAAACACATTAAGGAGCCCAAATCATGTATGCAGCGGTAAACAGAACACCTATGATGCCGACAATTACCGCAAGACGAAGACGATGGGCAAGCGTATCGTAAACATAACTGATTTCAATGACCTTTTGAGAGAATTCATCCGAGACATCAGAAGCTTCGTAAACGAAAGATTGACGGCCTTGAATATCTAAGAAATGGTAGACAGTAGTAACGTTTTTAAGGGAAAGCTCAGTAGGAACGTTGACCTTGATGTCCTTAGCACCCTCGGGCAGAGTAAGCGTCCAAGAGACATTAGAGAAAAGTGCATCTTCCAACGACCACATGGAAGGCAGAGTCACCACAGTGCGGCCGTTCTTGTCGGCAGCAAACGAGTCCAAAGCCATGTTCCAAGCCAGACGGAAGTAATAGTTCCATCCACCAAAAACGGGGAATCGAGGAATAAGATCGAGGACGGTGTGCTGGCGGTCTGCACGCATGTGGGAAGTAGTGACATTGCCATCCTCATCCTTAAACGACACATCACGAACATCCTTGGGCAAATAGATGCGGAAAGAGCCGAGAGCAGCAGTAAGGGGATTGTAGAAGCGACTCATAGCCCACTTTGCGCGGTTGAAATGTCCACGAAGCTCAGCAGCATGGTTTTCAAGAGTCGTTTTCTCAACAACGCTGATCTCTTTGCGGAACTGATGGATGTCAACCTCAATGTCGAGTTGACGAGCACGAGGAAGGGGAGCAGTGTACTCATAACGCACACTGACCAACTCCTTGGGAGTATCACGCTCAACGGTTTCGAGCGTTTCGTACGTGAGAGTGTTGCCGGCACGAGCAGGCTGCTTGTTTCCACTGGCATCAGTAAATTCAGTGAAGGAAGGAACGTTGTTCGTGGGGAACTTGAATTTCAAACGCTGCTTTTCGGTGTCATAAGGGGAAACGAAGGTTTTGGAAGCACGATATACAAGGTACTGCTGGTCATCCTGCTTAATCTTTGCTGGGACAGGCTTCTGGGCTCCGTCCAAAGTCAGCGACACATGAATCGTCTTGCTTTCGCCAGGGAGCACGGGAGAGGGGAAACGAATGTCAAGACCGTCTTCCGTCGTCAGCGAAGGAACAATATCCAGCGACACTGAACCTCCCTGGGTCTTCTCTAAAGCCACGGCAGAGACAACTCGCTCATCGTCCACCAAGTCTTTCATCAAAGTATACACATTTGCAGCTTCTTGCAAGTCATTTTCGAGCTTGATCGTGATAGTCTCCTTTACGTAAGATTTCGTCAAATCGTATGTACGAATAAGATTCGTGTTTTTCCAAGCATTGACGCTACTAAACAAACCGCAAGCAGCCGTTAGAACGAGAACACGCAAAGACCACATGGCACGGTTATAAAACACGCGTTTGTTAACACAACGCGTTCCTTTAAAGAAGGTTTTCTTTGAAGACTGTCCAAGGACCGAACCTGGAGGGAATATGGTGAATGACGGGAACTGCAGGCCGTAGCAGCCCCACAAGGATGAGGGCCCCTCCAAGAATAGTGCGGTATAACGAAGACTAAGAGCGAGTTTTGCATTGCAGTATAGCTCACAAACATCTCTTAGTGTTCGTTATTCGTTTACTGAATTGTAACGAAACACGCGTTAACCTTGTTTTCTAACGTCTTCGTGTTTCTGCCCTCTGCCAACCTGGTCATTGACAATGAGCATTCAAACATTCCCCTACAGCATCCGAATCGCGGACGGTAAGACACCTCTGTTCAAGGAGGACTTTTATGTCGGTGTGTACAGTGAAGTTTCAGTCCGCTTCACCATGGCAGCAATTGATCCCTCAGTCAAATCCAGCAAGCCCGTGACTATCAAGGCTTTTACAAGTTTAGATCGTGCAGGTTACGAAGGAAGTGACGAAGAAGACGAGGAACTTTTCGAACAAGAGGAACAAATTACTTTGTGTACGTTGATGAATGGATCCATCTATCAACAAGCCCTGAATATCACATTTCCTCCAGGTGAGACCGTCTACTTCACAAAAACAGGTGGTAAATCCCCCGTGTACCTGAGTGGACAGTGCACAGTTGTCCAACGTTCTCTTGAGGACTATAGCGAAGGCGAGTCCGACGAGGATGACGATGAGGAAGAGGAAGACGTGAGTGATTTGGATAGCGACGAGATGAACGACATGTTCGATCTCATGGCTGAGGAGGCTAGCAGTGACGAAGAGGAAGAAAGCGAAGATGGTGAACCGGGCGTTACCATCGAAGAACTCGAATCTGAGCAGGAGGAGGAAAAGGAAGAACAGGAAGAACAGGAAGAGGAAGTAAAGCCCGAGGCTGGAGCTGAGGACAAAAAAGAAAAGAAGCAATCTAAGAAGGAGAAAAAAGCTAAGAAAGATGAAAAGAACGAGGATAAGGAAACGGACAAGGAGGACAAAGAAAAGGAAGGAGAAGCCGAAGCCGAGGAAGAAAATGAGTCCAACTCTTCTGCAGAAGTAGAATCAACTCCCTCTAGCGGCAGCAAGCGCAGCCGTGATCAAGCTTCTGCCGAACCCTCCAAGAAACAAAAAACTGAAACCGAACAGTACCCCAAGAAAAAACTTGAAGGAGACGTTATGGTTCAGGACAAGGTAATGGGAATGGGTCCTGTTGCCAAGACTGGAAAGCGTATCGCTGTCCGTTACATCGGCCGTCTTTCTAATGGAAAAGTGTTTGATAAAAATGTTTCGGGAAAACCTTTCTCCTTCTACCTCGGAAAAGGAGAAGTTATTCGTGGATGGGATATTGGAATTCCCGGTATGCAAATTGGTGGTCAACGGACTATCCAAATTCCTGCTCTTCTTGCTTATGGTAAGAAAAAGATTCCTGGTATTCCTCCAAATTCAGACCTTACCTTTGAGGTCAAGCTTCTGAGCGTAAATTAGATCAATCTTTTTGGATCAACAAGGATACTTGTTTTAGAATTACTTTTTGATGTATTTTGGGTATTTTAATGGTATGGTATTGCACTGTTTCAATTGATTGCAAGGGAGACGTGTTATATAGGAGGCAAGAATACGATAGGTTCTGTAATTTTTTCTTTCATTTCATGCTTTTGTCTTCCACTTCGGTTTTACCATATTTTGTATTTGCTGGTATTCTGACTCGCATTTCGTGCTAGTGTACAATCATGTCCCTCACCAAAAAAACATATAAAATGTAAGGAAAACCCAATAAAACTCATGACAGTTTACTTTTAATAAACAAACTAACACTTTTTAGATGTGCAATTGGCTCTGCAGACGGAAATTTTACAGCTGTGCTGGAGTTCATTAATAGTCTACAAGAAAAACATCACTTTGACTTTGTTATTTGTATTGGAGACTTCATCACCAAATCTAAGAGTGATTCAAATGCCGTTTCTGATTTGATAAGCGGCAAACTAAAAGGTTCGTTTACCATTTCAGTTTTGTTTTTTTTGTATATTACAGCAATTATTACTAACGCTCGCTTTGAGTACAGTCTCTGTTCCTATATACTTCTCAGTGGGTTCAGAAGAACTTCCTGAAGAAATCCTGAATGTTGTTCAAGGAAAAACGCCAGACGTTTGCGGGAACCTCATTTGTTTGCCTTCCATAGGCAGTATAAAACTTACTGAAGGACTCAAAATAATGTCTGCATGTGGTATTTACACAGAGGATGAACCTCAAGACTTAAATAACACAAAATGTATTCCCGAGTACTCCCCTACGCTTGATGCTTCCCGATTGTCATCATTAAAGGGGGAATGTGACATATTGTTTTCAAATGAGTGGCCTCCGAACATCCAAAACAATTCAAAACTTTCCCTCATTGAGGCTCCAGCGGGGTGTACACCGTTAGAAACTCTGTTGAAAAGTTGCAGACCTAAGTATCATTTTGTGCCTAGCAAGGTCTATTACGAACGTGAACCTTTCGACGCAAACTCTTCGGAATCCAGTAATCGCTATACTCGTTTCATAGGTTTGGCCTCGTTCAAAAACAAAGATAAGCAAAAGTTTGCGTACGCTTTTAGCGTCCAGCTTCCTGACGAGCCCTCATCTCCTCCATTGAATACTACGGTGTCCCCGTTTGCTCCACAAATGTTAAAACGGGCTGCTGATTCTTTAGTGAAATCAACTTCTGAGGGCGATAACGCCGCTCAGGATTTAGCAGTAAACCAACAGCAGCGGAAGCAAAAGAAACCTCGTATTGGGCGTAAGTCATTCATGCGCTTCTGTCATTTTTGTGTAAACTAACTTTTCAGCTGAAAGTTGCTTTTTATGCTTGAGCAATCCAGCTGCTGCATACCATCTCATCGTTGCAATCGGTACAGAATCGTATATGGGTACGTGCATGCTGAATACAGTGAATAACCAACTAACTATTCTTAGCACTTCCAAAAGGTCCACTTTCAACAACGGTTACAAATGAAAACAAGATGCAGTTTCCTGGTCATGTACTAATAATACCTTTGGCACATGTTGCTACGCTTAGTGAACTGGACGAGGAAGCTTATCAGAAGACCATTGGAGAAATGAATAAGTTTAAAGACAGTGTCAAGAAAATGTTTAAGTCTTTCGGCTTAGAAGCAGTGATTTTTGAGGTAAACAAAAAACAGGGAGTCCATTTGCTATGGCAAGTTGTCCCTATTCCCAGCTCTAAGGTTCCCCTCTTAATGCCGGCATTTGAAAAGCAGTCTGCAGAAGCAAGGTTTTCATTTCAAAAGCGAGATGTCCGTCCTAAGGAATACAACTACTTTCGGGCCATTCTTCCCAATGGTGAGGTGCTAGTGAAACCTCTAAAATTTAGAGAACGTTTTGATTTGCAATTTGGCAGACGCGTTTTGGCAAATGTTCTTGAGATTCCCGACAGAGTCGACTGGCGACAATGTTCACAAACAGTCGATGAAGAAAAGAAGGATGCGGAGGACTTTAAGGAGGCATTCAAGCCTTATAACTTTACTTTGGAATAGGTTAACTTGGTTTTAATGTATCATTTATTTTTGCTACACATTAAAGTTACATTTCTCATAAAGCAATAGTTGTAGTATCGATTCAGCCAACAGCATAGGTCGGCATAGAGTGAACTGTAGTTTTTATTTTAGGTCCCAACTTCCGATGGTTTCCATTACTTCATGATTACCCTTTGCGATTCTTGGATCATCTAGAGCATCTGCAAGACATAACCATGGTTGTCTACTGCCTCCCCATCGTAATACAGCATTTAAAAACTTTTCGCCAGCTTCGCGATTGAGAGGCCTCTTAGCAAATAATTTACTCCACACTTTATTTGCAAGAATGCTGTCAAAAAGGTAGGAGTAATAAGTACCACTATAACCATAAAGATGACCAAACTGAACTTGCCATGCCCCATTGGGAACAGCATTGAATCCACTCCATTTGTTTATGATCTCTTCATAAACTTTTGTAGAATCGAATGTCGGTTGTATCACATTTGACGAATGATACTCTTGATCGACTAATGCAAGACAGACTTGTCTTTGATTATCGAAAGCAGAAGAGAGATTCTCCATCCGGATGAAGTTCTCTAAAGCCTCCTTTTTAAGAGGTTCATCTGTTAAATAATGCCTGGCATACAACGGCAATACATCTGGTGAGCTCATAAAGTGCTCCATTAATATGGAAGGCAATTCAACAAAATCTGTTGCACAACGGGTTCCTGCAAGGTTTTGGTACTTGGTACAGCCCATGATGGAGTGTATTGCATGACCCATCTCGTGAAACAGCGTTTTCACATCCCAAAAATGTAGACAAGTTCTTCCTGCAAAAGATAAGGATTTATCAAAATTACAACTTAAGACAATAACTGGGAGCTGGTAAGAACTACCATCAGTGGAAACTCTTTTGTCGAGATGGAATCCAAGAAGCTCGGCGTCGCGACTACTAGACTCATCTAGCTGACGCGAGGAACGTATTGTAAAATGAGCTGCCCCATCACCCTTACCGTCTCTGGCGTATAGATCACAATATACAATGCCAAGGACATTTCCACTGTCATCATAAACATGAAGCTTACGAACATCTGGATGCCACAGTTCACCAGGCCATGTAGTAGCTGGCTCAAATCTTAGACCATATAGGTTATTTAACAGTCTCGACAATCCCTGCATGACCGTACCAACAGACATGTGACACATTATTTCGGATTGATTCATATGAAGACTTGGAAGCTTACGTGCATAGGCCTCTTTCATTCGCAGGAGATAAAAATCACGGTCCCAAGGATCAAGTGTTGGCAACTCGTTTAAGCGTAAATGTTGTTGCTTAAATCTTGAAACTTCTCGGCTTAAAGATTTGACATTTCTCAAGTTGTTGCTTGCTAAGGTGTGTAGAAATTCAAGCACGTTGTCTTGATTTCCAACCATTTTATCAGAAAGCTGGAGGTCGGCGAAGCTTTTTTTTCCAACAATTGCAGCTAATTCTGCTTTAGAAGCGAGGTAAGATTCCAAAACTTCAATTTCGTCGGGTTTTGCGTACATGCTTTCTGTGTACACCTTTTTCCTAAGTGATGGATTTGCAATATTAATTAGCGCATGTAAGCCTTCTTGGCCATTTACTGGGATATAAGCATGGTCTCCTTTTTCATTCAATACCGTCCGAGAAAAAAACGGATTTGATCCTTTTAGTTCATCAGCGGGGACTTTTATATACCTTTGTATACGATTGACCACGTTGTTGAAGAATTTTCTCCCCAAAGTCGCAGATTTGAGCGACTGAGTAACGAATTCTTTTCGCTTGTTTTCTTCAAGGTCAATTGCAGACTTCTTAAAATCCATTAGGAAAACATCGGCAATAATTCGTTCTTCTTCACCTAGCTGATGCTGAGTCTTGTCAATACGAACTGCTTGTTCAATTTTGTCATAAAGTCCACGGTGTGTATTTAAAACATTCATAAAATTGAAAAGTCGATTGTAAGCATCTTCTGACTGTGCAATAATCTTTTCATCCGTGTGAGCGCAACGGACGAATTCGCATAAATCAATTACGCTACAAAGAAGGTCTGATAATCGATCAAATTCAGCGACAATAAACTTTCCATTTGTACCATCTGTTTTTAACAAATCTTTGACAATCCGTTGTGAATGCCTCAATACAATGTCAGTCAACTTCTGAAACCCAGTTGAAGAGTCTACTAAAAATTCGTTTCGAAAGAGTCCGTATTTTTGAGTATGAAACTTTTCTTGAAACAACTCGTGATATTTAAGGTCGTCGAATAGTTTCTTTAAGCTTTCATCTTTATAATTGTGAATTGCTGAAGCGAAAGTGCGAGCATTTTTGAACCGTGTAATAAATCGCGTATTTACTATTACCTTTGGAGCAGATTTGCAAACAAACTTCGTCAAAATCATTCCAAGAGTTACAGATTGTGGGTATATAGTGAGATTTTTCAGAAATTATGTGACTTATTGCACCTTGAATATTCGAGCAAAACAAACCTTGCTCCTGTCTTCCGCCACTATATTAGAGCGTACTGATGAAAGAAATTTCGTTTAAACAAAAGAGAAATCGGTCAAGTCGACGAAAAAGGAGTGAGAAAAATGATTTTGAAGAGAATGATTTTGTTGAAGAGGAAGACTCTGTGCTACGAGTAAAAGCGTTACAGAAAAGAATAAAAAAGTCTTTTGGAATTAATGTTAACAGTTTGTCTGATACGAACACAAAACCCGATTGCTCCATATATCAAAAGCAAGAGCCTGATGACTCGAATCTATCACACGAGCTTCCTACGACAAAAATACAATTTACGAAAGAGACAAATGAAATTGACGTTAACGCCCATATGCTGTATTATGTTGAGAAGAAACTCGAAAAAGAACGGATGAAAGAACGAAAAGCTGAAGGTGACAAGACTATAAATAACGAACAATTGGCTACTTTAGAAGCTCACGCTGACAAGCCTTCATTCAGACTGAATAACATTGCAAAAGATGCAGCGAGCCTAGGAGCTATCGCAGAAGTCGATGTTCAAGGCGAAAGTACCAATCCACAAAAACGCAAGCCCATAAGACGTGTGCGAGCAAGAGGCAGGAAAGTAGAGCCCGAAAAACTATCGTCGAAGAAAACCTCAGAAGACCTGAAGCGAGAAAAATTCATAGAGAGTCTGCTACAAGTACAGGTAGATGACAATCATGCAGAAAAAACCTATCACAGATTTTGGACGCACAGTTCGTAAGATCGGCAAACCATACAAGCCAATTTCTCTTCGATAAGTGTAAAACAAACACAACAACACGTTCATGATTGCTGCCAATACATTATATCATTAGCCCAGAATACATACATCCATCCATCGGTGATTTAGACTGAGACGAAAGAAGTCGAATACCGATATTGAACCGTTTAAGCGTACTAAATACTTCCAATGGAAGATGTCGACACCGAAGACGGTTTAGTAACAGATGATATACTTGGAGGGGGAGGAATAGTGCTAGGATCGGCAGGAAGCTCAGGAGCTCCGTGATCGTTTTTGCGACTATTAATCTCTTCCTCTCTCAGATAATCTTCAATGCTCGTGTCAATACGTGCAGATCTTTTTTTATGACGTTGTTGATATTGGGGAATGGGCGAGGATGCAGAGGTTTGTTGATGTGGAAGAACAACCATCGGAGGTTCGGCTGGAACAAAAAGATTTTCATCAGTATTCACATTAAAGTTGCTAGAGTGTTCATTTGGAGATTCTGCTTGGGCTAAAGGATTCGTAAACGCAATGTCACCAGGCTGAGGAGGAGGACCTGACAAAGGTGTAGGCAGTCTATGTAAAGCTCCGTAACCCACTCCGCATCCAATCGCGCCGTTTCCACCCCATTGCTTGTTAGGGATAATGGTAACTTGACGAGTTGAATCCCTGTACCAGTTGTATATATAAAGACGCAAAGGTCTATTTAAATGCGTCTCGATCAAATCACCTAAAGCACGCTCTCCGTTCATTACTCCTTCAGGTGTTCCGACAATGAAATCTTCGTAGCCAACAACATTTGCTTTGTCCATAGGAGAGCCTTCTATGACATCTAAAATGTGCCAAACAGACTCAAGCGCGGGTGTAATATCCGCCCATTGCAAAGTCATACCAAGTTTATCTAAGCGATTAGAATTCGAATTGCAAGACTACAGAAGTAACATACCATTTTCGTCCAATAAGATGTCCAAAGTTACAGAGCGTGTAGTCTGGCCTTTTAGACTGAAGACTTGAAGAGTAATATTGTCTACTGCTTGCAGAAGAATAGCTTTAAATTTGTTTTGATCACCGTCCTGAAATTATGTTAAAGAAATGTATTCGAAATCACCCGTTTTCGTACCAATTGATAGCCATTCGCACCGATTATAAAATCATAATACGGCTCTATACCCGCGGAAGCTGCAGATCCATCCACTTCAACATTGACCACTCGAAATCCACAATTGTCAGAATGCTCTCGTTGAAGCCCACCCAATGCAGCAGTTTTCTCCTTTAAAAAGTTCTTAAAGCTCCCAAACATGTGTTAACTATTCCGGCTGGTTTAAAAAAAGGAAAAATAGAGTCGTTAATGAAAGTTGAGGTGGTAGTTAGAGTGAGAGAGCCGAGAACAGAAATGTAATTTTTAGACAAGAGAGGATCATACCGGGTCTTTGCGATTAATACTACATTTCTTTTTTCTTAGAATGTGGGGGATTCGACAAGGAAAATATCTTTCTTTTTCAGTTTTACCCATTTGTATATTCGTCGCATCGTAGCAAAGATAAGTCCACGGTCTGAGATAGAATTAGCAATGCAAAAAAACTGCATTGTTGCTGTAGACCATGTAATTTTGATGATTGGGGTTGTTTCATCCATTAGTAGAAGAAAAGGCTGTTGTTGATCCATGGAACGGTCATAAAGCTCAGCATATATTGCGTACAATCTTCGAGCCTCCTGAGTAACATGTTCACAAACATATCCCGGGAAATAAAGCTGAGATAGTTCCTTTGAATAAACTGCAAAGTGTAGAATTACCGGAAATCCGACGTGACAAGTAAGTGAAGAGCTAAGTGACTCATATTCATGAAGTTTTTGGTATATTTCCTTTTCCAAATTTAGCTCCTTCAGCATTTTCATTTTCATTTGTTGCAATTCGAAAAAAGCAGTTGGATCTGTGCTTGTAAGTACAAGTGAAATTGAATCATCAAGGTAGTGAACGTATGCATATGCGTAACCAGTTTTACAAAAGTGTGGTAAACAAATCGGTAGCCAGTGTTCTGCAGAATCTTTAAATGCAGTAGTGTGATATACAGCAGAAAGAAGAAGGCAAACATCAGCCGGATGCCATGCATAAGATTTAGGACGAATAGCAGATATTATTTTCCCATTGATTGCTATCATAGCAAATAATAATTCGTCGGATTTCGTTTTTAAAAGCAGAGCAGCCAATCGTTCTCGAAATGAATGGGGTACGGGCAAGCAGGGAACCGCAGTCAGGATACTAGAAGGATCAAAGCAATGTACATCTTCAGCTGCGGCAGAAAGGAAAACCGTCGCATTGCCCAATGCTCGCTGTAAATCATATCCAGGTCTCTGCGTAAATGCATGTTCAATAGACTTTGCCAACAAAATAGAAGAAAGATGAGAGTAGAGAAATGACAACTCATGAGTAATCATTCGCTGTGAGAGTCGTGCTTTCGTTTCAATGCATACAAAGAACAGAGGGTCACGTTTCATCACGGTAATGCGCTGTTCGTTGCTGGTGAATGAGTGCAATTCCTCGTTCCAGCAATCGAACGAAGATACAATAGCTTGTAAGGCTCCCGAAATGACATACCTGCTCTCTTCTTCGCTATGGGATTCGAAGATAGGTTTCCCAGCAGGTGAAATAATAAAATGAGTGCGTTCAGCGTCCGCAAAAGGTGGCTCAATTTGGGACAGTAGTTTTAAGTCTGTGTTGCTTTGTTAGTACTTATACTCGTTTTGGTTGACTTACGCGAACCCGTTGAAAACTGGCAATCATCTTCAAGAAACAAATCACAGTGAATGGACTTCGTGAGCATGTACTCAATATCCTCGACTCCCCTTTGGAGGACAGGGTCTTTTAATGATGCTACTGTACCGCATTCAACGTCAATATCCGAAACTTGAGATGTAGCATGAGCATTATGAGACAAAACAAGACCTCGGCCAGTTGCTTGCAACTGCAAACTTTGTACGTCCGTATTTACCTCGTCATCTGACGGCATGTAGCTCATGAAAACAGTATTGATGTTGTTTCAGTCAACTTGGAAATGAATTGAGAATATGTTTATGCCTCCATATATAAACGAGGTTGAGGCAGGAATAAGACTTCAATCAGTTCAACAATTGACGAGTACAGAAGAATAATCAATCTTCGATTAAGTTTTAATGAGACACGTAAGCGTTACCTCTATTTCAAGAGCATTGAGAGAGTAAATATCAACTACAAACGAGAATTCTTCCTTTGATCCCAATTTCGTTAAACAAGATATTTCAATGCTTCAAACGTTTACTGAAAAAAGTAATTATACAACGTTTTCCTCGTTACAAAACCTATTTTGTTGTATTTCTCTGTTCTAGTGCTAATTAGGAGTGACCTAGCCTGTAGGCGATACAGGTTCTCCCTACGCCAAAAACCTTCTAACCACAACAACAGTAAAGTTTGGATATACGAGATGGTATTACTCGGATTCTTTATGATTTACTAACTGAAATAGTCGTTCAATCCTCATCACATTTTTAGCGAAAATGGAACACAAGAAAAGGGCGAGAACGCGCGTCTTTCGTCGTTCGTCGGTGCCATTGCCGTTGGTGATTTGGTGAAGAGCACACTTGGACCTAAGGGAATGGTAAGAAACGCTTATTTAGACTTAGTGAACACACTGTTAACGTTCTGCCAGGACAAAATTTTGCAATCTGCTTCCTCTGGCGATATTGTCGTTACGAACGATGGTGCTACTATCCTTAAGTCCATTGCTTTAGATAATGCCGCCGCCAAGGTCCTGGTGAACATTTCAAAAGTTCAAGATGATGAGGTTGGTGACGGTACTACAAGTGTTTGCGTTTTTGCTGCCGAATTACTTCGCCAAGCTGAGCTTCTCGTCAATGCCAAAATTCACCCTCAAACGATTGTTAGTGGATACCGGATTGCTACCAAGGTTGCCTTAGATGCTCTCTCGGCTTCAGCTGTTGATAACTCTGCTGACGCCGAATTGTTCCGTCAAGACCTGATGAATATTGCCAGAACAACACTCTCCAGCAAAATCCTTTCTCAGAGCAAAGACCATTTTGCTAAACTTGCAGTAGATGCAGTGCTACGACTTAAGGGAAACACTAACTTGGACAACATTCAAATCATTAAAATTATTGGCGGAAAAATGGAGGACTCATTTTTGGATGAAGGATTCATCTTGAACAAAAAGATTGGTGTCAACTGCCCTAAGCGTATTGAGAATGCTAATATCCTTCTTGCCAACACGGCCATGGACACTGATAAGGTGAAGATCTTTGGCGCTCGTGTGCGTGTTGATGCGACAATGAAATTAGCTGAAATGGAGCGTGCTGAGCGCGAAAAAATGAAGAAAAAGGTTGAGAAGATCAAGACCCATAACATTAACTGCTTTATCAATCGCCAGCTGATTTACAATTGGCCCGAGCAGCTTTTTGCTGACGCGGGTATCATGTCTATTGAACATGCTGACTTTGATGGCATTGAACGCCTATCTTTGGTTACTGGAGGTGAGATTGCCTCCACTTTTGAACATCCAGAACTCGTGAAGCTTGGTCACTGCAAGTTGATCGAGGAAGTTATCATTGGTGAAGACAAGATGATCAAGTTCTCTGGCGTCGCTGCAGGAGAAGCTTGCACAATTGTGCTTCGTGGTGCTACAAACCAACTTCTGGATGAGGCTGAGCGTGCTATTCACGATGCTTTAGCTGTTTTGTCTCAAACTGTGAAGGAAACTCGTGTAACATTGGGTGGTGGCTGTGCCGAAATGTTAATGTCGAAGGCTGTTGAAGAAGCTGCCGACAGAGACGCCGGAAAGCGTTCTCTTGCCATGCAAGCGTTTGCTACTGCTCTCCGTCAAATGCCCACCATCCTCGCCGATAACGCAGGTTTCGACTCGAGTGAGTTGGTGTCTCAGCTGAAGGCTGCTCATTACCAGGGAAAGACAACCATGGGTCTGAACATGGAGAACGGTTCCATTGCCGACATGAGAGAAAGGGGCATTGTTGAGGCATACAAGTTGAAGCATGCCGTCGTTTCTAGTGCGTCGGAAGGTGCCCAGCTTCTTCTGCGTGTTGACACAATTCTTAAGGCTGCACCTAGACCTAGAGAAAGAATGTAAGGTTACGGAATTCGAATGTCATAAAAATATTGTTGGTATGAAAGAACGTCTCAATCAATGTAGAACGAGGAATACAACATGAAATTGCTGGGGTAGCTCCCAATTCTTATCTTGGGACTACTTCGTTCGAGTAAAAACAATAATTAATTACGGTGTACTGGAACAAACGCATTGCTACGAACGAATGTGTAATTGTACTCTATGAGAATGAAGTGAACTGGTAAAATAGTGTGTGAGCGCAGTTTTATGCAGAATAGAGATGCAAGGACATCAGGATTGTGCATAGTAAATAGGGAGGATAAGGAAAAAGGAGGCAAAAACATATACATGGTCCACAAATGAATTGGTCCTAACGTTTTCCCTAGGAATAATGTGCATCAATGTGAAAGCACAGCCATACACATCGTCGCAAAATTTCGAGTAGTTGAAATATAAAAATGCCCATCTCAAAGTTGTGGATATGTGTAAGTTGAGGATGAAGTTTGAAGCTCCAGGTGATACGGAGAACAAAGTTAAATATAATAGCAAGGAAGTAGAAGATTGCGGGAATCCCTCGCGGCCACAAGGAACGATACATAGCGCGGATACTCGGATAAAAGGGGACCTTCCAATCAAAGAATACATCCCAAATGAAAGAATACATTGAATTCACGATTGCCGTGAATATCCAAGCCCAGAAAAGTTTTCCGTGACCCCATAGAATTGGAAGTTCATTTTGTGTTGACCGAAGTCGTGCAGACAGCAAGATGACAGGGAAAGCTGTTGCATGTTTCCCGGCATTTAGAAGGTTGTTTCTTCGCTCGTTCGATGTTGTTGAACTGAAAGCTAGCCGAAGAGACTGCAGTACACAAATAAAATATGGATAGGCAATAGAGAGGGGAACATACAAACGGCCGTTACACATTTGATCTGGACGTAATGTTGAGTGAAAGATACCGCCGCGCACAGCACACATAGCAACCCAAGAGTCGCCCATGGCTTTCGCATACGATGTAAATATTTCGCCGATGGCCATATCCATAAATGTGTAAGCCGAACTAACCTTGGCAAGGAATACGACTCCGAGAATATGTTTACGTAAAACATTTCGTATTTGAGTAATAGAACGGGGTAGAGGAACAAGCAAAAGAATGACTAAGGACAAGAACCACAAGGACGGATAAAGAGGATGCGCATATAAAGCCCAGATATCGCCTCTTGTATAGCGCAGGAAGAAGAAGAAGCCCAGTCCCCATGTAACTGTTAGTATAGCGGCCACGCAATATCCAAACTGGTAACCAGGAACTCGCTTCTTAGGGGGAATGGGCGAATGTGATAAGGAATGTTCGGTCCAAGGTGGTAAATAGACGTCGACAGGTACGTAGTTTCTTCGTTGGGAAAGAACACTTCTTCCGTGAAAAACGAAACTGGTCAACCAAATGCCTAGCGATTATTAGTAAGGAAGAAAATCGTATCGAGAGAGAAAAACAAAACAATACCAGCTGTAACAAGGAGCCCGACGCGAAACGGAATGGCGAGCTTGTGTCTCAATGGCACAGCATCCACCTCCAAATCCATTTTTATGTTTTTTTAATAGAAGTGATTTTCACGGAAAAAAATTACAATAAGAACAAGAAACAAGCTCAGCATATAAGCTAATTTTTACTTAACAAAATATTATGTGATATAAGCAACAGATCGCCAGTAACGGCGCTGTACGAGAGTAAGTTTCTCCAGTACTGGACTTCTGGTTGCGGTTGTTGCTACAGACAAGCAAATAGTATGGGACGATGAATTGAGTGATCAAAATTCGTTGATTTTTTAGAGACAAAAAGTTTCTATTACAAGAGAAATTGCGAAGAGTCTAGTTGCCTGCTTTTTGTTTTTTTTTGTTTTTTTTTTCGCATTGATCTAAAGAAATGATCGGAATGACGAGGGGTAATGGTTAAAGTTTAAGCGTTTTTAAATTGCTAAACAAAATCTATTAGTACCGAAAAGCGGCACTTCTTACTTGACAGTTTTTTTATGTTCGATAAGGAGTTGTTCTAGATGTTCTCGTACAGAAGATGGTATTCCCCTACCAGTATATTTCACCATAGTACTTACTAATAGTTGTATGTCTTCGGAAACATTGGGAAGGATGTCTTCCCAATGTTTTCCATGGTACTTAGTAAATACAAACTTGTTCCAATCGGGAAAAGTAGCAAGCGCCTAGTATTAGTTAGTAGCACGACTCATTGACACAACGTTCTTACTGGCCAAATATTTGGATTGGGGGTTCCAAGAGTTTTGAATATACTGTTGATCAACTTTAATTCACTTGGCCAACCCTCCCGTGAGCCGTCATCAAAAAGGTCCGTTTGTGAAAATAGTTCAGCAACCAGAATGCCAAAAGCCCACCAATCTACTTCACAGTAATAATATTGATAGCCAAATAGCGTCTCCACGGGCTTATAATGTCCTGTTCCTATCTGTGTAATTAGTCCTTGTTTCTCTTGTCCCTTGCAATTATAGGACCAGGCAGTACTGAAGTCCGTCAATATAGCCGGCCCGTCTAGTGAGTCCAAAAGGACGTTGTTTGGATGAATGTCTCGGTGAATGATTTCATTTTCATACAAATAATCCAGTGCAGAAGCTATGTCCATTGAAACTTTTAATTTAGCTTCATAGCTCAGTTGCGACTGACACGAGCTCAATGTGAACCGTTTATAGGCAGACACAATGCATAACGACCCAAACTTGTCCATAAATGCGTCCTCAATCACATCAATGTTTGGATGACGAAGCTCAGATAATATTTTGAAACCCCGTTTGGCATCATGAGGAGGGCGTTTCCCACTTAAGTCTTGAACTTTGACAACATACACTCGGGTGCTTCCTTTTGTTCCTTTTTTTGCTGTAGACGTGTAGACCTCAGAAGCCGTTCCCGAACAAAGGTACTCGGCGTTTTCCAACAGCTCGTTTCTCCATTCTACGTTTGACATATTTAAGAAACCAATGATCGTTTGCAAGAAGCACACTCAATTCAGTAATTAAACCAAGATGTCAATTTATTCCACGAAATGATTGTCCTTAAAATTTCATCAGTTCGTCAAGCAAATGTCGTTGTGCCTGCAGATATCTGTTTATTCCCAGCTTAAGCTCTGTCTCCTAAGGACCTGCCTTCTTTCTCTTATCATCTCGCATGCCCCTATCCCACTGCACCTTTTCCCGCCTATTTTTTGCGTGGGGAAACTCACCACCAACCCCAAGACCAAACTCACCACCAAGCATTTCTCGGTTAACTAATTGACCGAAGACACCGAAATTACGCACTGCATAATATTGCTGTAGCTCGCATAATACACTGCTATCTTTAAATAACGCGGATTACGGAACAGACAGGTCCCGGCAAGACGCCGGCGAAATGCTCGCAATCTGAAGCTGCCCTCAGCACATATCATTGGCACCATGGCGAAGAACGAGCCAAACGTTTATTTGTTTGTTCCTAATCTAATTGGTAAGAGTAGTTGATTGAAGAATGATGTCTGACCGATGATTAAGGATTCTCCAGAGTTATTCTTGTTCTGGTATCTCTCTATTTCATGTCATGGCACCCTAACTACAGTACTGTTCTGTACCTGGTTTCCAGCTTGTTGGACGCGTTTGATGGATGGGCAGCACGTCGTTTAGGACAGACGACGAATTTTGGAGCCATTTTGGATATGGTCACGGATCGCTGTGCTACGTCCTGTTTGCTTTGCTTCCTTTCCTCCGCATATCCTAAGTATACGGTTGTTTTCCAGCTTCTTGTTAGTTTGGATCTTGCTAGTCACTATATGCACATGTACGCAACGCTTCATCTTGGTGCCAAGTCGCACAAAACCATGACGAAGAAGCACAACTGGATGCTGCGTATGTACTACGGAAACAACAAGGTCCTGTTCTTGTTCTGTGCTGCAAACGAGATGTTCTTTGTTGCTCTGTATCTGCTGTCGTTTGCTCCTCGTACTCCTCCGCGTCTGGGCTACCTTGCAGTCCCTACGTTCATTAGCAAGCGTGGAGTGCTTCCTTTGTCTTATCCAACTCTCATGGCTGCTGTGTGTGGACCTATTTGCTTTGCCAAGCAGGTGATCAATGTCGTCCAATTGGCTAATGCTGCTAATTCTCTCGTCAAGCTCGATGTTGCCGAGAGAGTAGCTCCTAAGAAAAAGGAATAAATGGCTTGCACCCTCCCAAGTGCAACTTTTTGGCATCTGGAGTGAAAGAAAACCTTGCCCGCTTTCCTCTGTACAAGCTTTCCTCTCTTTCAGTAATTTTTGTAAATTTGTTTGCGTATACTCGCGTCCGGAATCCCATTTCATTCTCTACTAACTTTTTATTAACTAAATCTCATACCTTTTTGCTTTTGTGGAATCATCTCGGCTGCCCTAAAGCTAAAAGCGGTATTATCTAGTAAGCAAATGTTACAGGCTTCGCGTACGAGAGAAGATAATTGCGCTTTTGATGGTTTTTGCGTTGCTTGCTGCTGCAACAGAACATGTTTCGGTAGTAGACATGACACAATTCGTACACCTCTCTGTGGATTCTTTCTCGTTTTTCTACTTCGAGATGCTTCGACTTAGGCCACCAACTTGTCTGTATGTACGTGTTTTGTTTCTCGGTGCTCAGTCGTGCTTGCCTCAGAAGGCAGTTTTCGTTTCTTTTCTTTACGGCTGTTTTTCTTCGAATTCGGTATCTGTTCCAATTGCTTATTAGTTTACATGGGAAGCATTGCATTGCAAACAAACATACCTTTTTTAAGCTGTGTGTTTTTCCTTGCTGAGCAAGTTTCTCAAGTCGTTCCTTCAACGCTTTCTCCTGCTCTGTGCTTGGATTTATAGGAATGATGTCGTCTTTGTTAACTGCAGTACTACACTGTTACGATGTTAGTGATCTGACGAACTCAATAGGCACATACCAAAACACACTCATTTCCGCCTACTGTCTGGAAGGCTGAGAGTTCAAACACGTGTCCACAGGGAACGATATAGACAAATTTATGTGCCTCGTTAAATTCATGTCGGGATAAGGGACACATCCACCGATCAGTTTCTTCATTTTTCTTCATGCTTAATTGTAGTACATCTCGAATGGAAGTTATGTGAGCAGGTGCGTTTGGATATAAGCTTCGATTAAGAAGCATTTCGAGTATTGCTTCTTTATTGTATAATCGACCAAAGCCGCATGAAACAATTGGATCTCGCAGTGATGCACCGCTTAACGAACATTGAGTGAATAAAGATTTGTGTAATGATCGTTTTAAATCAATGTCTAACTGCGCGACTTTTGACTTTTGTTTTACGAGCTCCTGCCTTAGCGGAATTGAACCACCTACATTTCTGTTAGTAAGGAGCGCCAGACATCATTTTTATGTGTTACATACCATCATTTCCCATATTTTCGACGTAGTAATTTGTAACTAATTCACCTTGCCACGTAGACAAAATTGTTTGAACTGCTGAAAAAAGGTATTTAGTGAGAGTCGAACCTCGACCGTAGCTGCACACACACGTGAAAGCTTAGACACACGTGACTAACCTAAAACTTCTCCATCTGTCGCCTTGATCAAGTTGGCCTTAGCCAAACGCATCGCAAGTTTTGTTTCTTCTCATTGAAAGTTTTTGGGCATTTTATTTTTGGTTCGTAGAGGATCTGAGGATATTATAAATACAACCATTTAGAACTTGAGCTTTTGTGGTCAGTCAAATGTCTCAGAAACGGGTTGCTCACGGAAACAGAACTTTTACCGTTCAGTTTGTATCGACAAGTTCTCCGGAAACATCACCTATCCCGTGCATTCATCTTTTTTTTGATTCCAAACGGTACCTGTTTGGTTCCGTCGGTGAATCCTGCCAAAGATGCGTCTTGTCACAGCAGCTAAGATTAGCAAGAATTGAAGATGTGTTTTTCTGTCAAGGATACTCATTGCAAAATTACAATCAGGAAGATAACAACGAACTTAGCTTGTGGGACTGTTACGGTGGCCTTCCTGGTTTCTTGCTGTCATTAGCTGATATTGGTGAACCAAAAGGCGACGGTAAAGACAGCATTGGGAACTCGAAGCTCGTACTCCACGGCTCTCGTGAATTGCCAAAACTTCTTTCTTGCATGCGACATTTTACATATCATGATGTGTTGGATATTCAACTTGACATATTTGACGATGAATGTCCTGCTACTTTTTCAGATGACAACATAAACGTTTATCCAGTGGTAATACAGAACCCTACACTACAGGTTTCTCCTGCTAAACGGCGCAAACGTGAGCATGCGCCGAAGGATGATGAAAATTCGCTAGTGAACGAGCCTAACAACGTCGTTCACTTGGGTTCTGCTGTACCACAAAGCGATGCATACAACGAAGGCATCGACACACACTTTTCTTACGTTGTTCAGTCTCATCCTTCCCCTGGAAGATTTGATGCCAAAAAAGCAAAAAGCCTTGGTATAACCAAGGGCGCGGACTGTGGAAAACTCGCGCGCAATGAAAATGTTCAGCTACCGGATGGAACCATTATAAAACCCTCGGATGTCATCGGTCCAGATGTTCCCGGGTTATGCTTTTACTTTGTCTATTGTCCTTCGCTAAACTGGCTCGAAGCAACCCTTGAACACTCGGCATGGAGTCGTGCCCCAAAACCTGTCTGTATTATACATGCCGTTAGTCAAGACGTTCTGAACCATCCCAGTTACCTCTCATGGCTTAATAGTTTTGGTGACAACGTTTCGCACTTGGTTTCCCCACTCGAGCCCAATCACTCGGTCTTGTTTTACAAAAGTTCTCTTACATCACTTGCATTAAACCTGTTACATCCAACCATATTTCCGCTTGGCACCTCTTTTCTGCAGACTAAACTTTGTAAGGATGGCCGTTTTTTCAAGGTTGTACCTCGGACTACTTTCACTTTTGGCAAGACATTAAAATTAAACGAACCGGAAGCATATCCCTCCATTGATTCCCTTCTCGATACTCTGAAAATAGAGAACCCTGATTATGTTCGTTTAGCGGGGAAAGCCCGTGAGCTCGTTTGTCAAAAGACCACGTCGATGATCGAGCCTGGTCATGACATCCAGCTTATTACCCTTGGTACGGGTTCTGCTATGCCATCCCTATACCGAAATGTCAGTGCAAATCTATTGCGTATACCCATCTTCGGCGAAACAAACAAAACGTATAACATTCTTTTGGATTGCGGCGAGGGAACACTCGGCCGCATGGCTCGTCAATTTGGTGACCGTTTAACAGAAGAGCTTGCTGCTTTGCGTTGGATCTACATTTCACACATGCATGCCGATCACCATGCTGGCGTTAACGGCATTCTTCAAGCATGGGCTAAAGTAACTGAACCTGACCAGGTTTTATTTATTACAGCGCCCCAAGCCTTTTATAACTGGCTTTCTGAGTATGCTACACTGGATTCCCTACCTATGGATCGTGTTGTCTTCATAAACAATACCGCACTTCGAAACGATCGTCCCAATATAACAGAGGCATGTTCAAGAGAGATAAGCCATCTGTTTAACTCATTGGGCCTTAATAGTCTTCTCACTGTACCTGCCATCCACTGCGCCTACTCGTTTTGTGTGGCTTTCACTCTGTCAAACGGATGTAAAATAGCATACTCAGGCGATACACGTCCCTGTTTACCATTCTGTAACATTGGTTTTAACGCTGATTTGCTCATTCATGAGGCAACTCTGGAAGATACCATGCAAGACATCGCTATAAAAAAACAACACTGTACTCATAAAGAAGCATTGGATATCGCTAAACAAATGCAAGCGAAAAACGTTGTTCTAACACATTTTAGCCAACGTTATCCAAAATTGCCAGATGTTCATATCGAGAGCGATTCACCGAATGTCGCTCTTGCATTTGACGGAATGGCTATTAGAATACATGAAATCTCTCAGTTTCAACATTTCGTAGAACCTCTCAAAACACTCTTCAGCGAAAAGCCTATCGAAAGTTAACAAAGGTCTATTATGTTTAGAGGTTTCTTATTGTACATACATAAATTGAGAAAGCTTCATCTTCGTCTCTCTTTTTTTCTATAGAATTAACTACTAAACGTCCACGGAAGCCTGCCGTAGAAGGTGATTGTGTCTCACGGACTCTATACAAGATCAATATTATTCGTCATGAAGGGGGAAATGAAGTTACAGCGATGCCATCAAGATCAAGGCAAGGCATTCGAAAACTAGTTGTTAACCAAAAACAAAATGAATCAAGGGAAAACTTTAAACGAAAAAGGGAAACGTTATGTATGAATGAAAGTTCGCAACCTGTTAATCGTTGGGCGAATTAAAACACAGAACATTCTGACGAAACATCAACCAAAGAGAACACATGCAGAGACGTTATGCATGTGAACCTTGGCCAATGCCCATAGCAAATCATATACACAGAGAGCAAGGATTATCGTTTTAAACATTGCTTAAAGAGGAGATGCGATTTCGTAAGAGAAATACGAATGCCATAAAGCCTCGCGCGCTGTAATCCGTTTGGCGGGATCATAGACAAATATTTTTCGCAGAAGATCGAGGAGTAATACGTTCTCCATGCATGTAGGAGCAAAGATCTGTTCCAGCGATTTCAGCGATTCCACGTATTTAACGTTCTTTCTTGGCGTATTCGACAAAGGATACATGGCATTTCCCTTCGAATCAAACATTTTACGAGCAGGTCTTGCAGCACGGTTTACAAAACTGCGATCAAACTTGCCAATAATTCGTTCCATCATGGCAAGGTGTTCTGAATTTTCATGCGTCTGGAACAAAGCTTGTCCCGTGAATAGCTCTACAATTAAGCAACCGATGCTCCAAATATCACAAGGGAAAGACCAGCCCATGCCAAGTATAATTTCGGGCGCACGGTAGTGTCGTGTGCTAACAACGCTTGAGTGATACTCATCATTAAAAGTTGCACTTCCAAAGTCAATTAAGCATATATCACAGTTGTCCAAGATTTTTTGCACGAATCCAAGCGTTGGTGAACGAACGGCATGGCATGCGTTAGAAACAAGCAAGATGTTTTCCGGCTTAAGATCAGTATGAACAAGATTAAGTTCATGCAAAAAGGCAACACTTTTGAAAAGTTGTCGCGCAAATGATTGGATGTGTTTTGCAGGGAACGGGATGTAATTGTTACTTTTCAGAAAATCAAAAACACTCCAGCTGTACAGATCCGTAACGATACAGACATGTTTTCTGAACTCAAAATAGTCACGCAATTGGATACATTTGTTTTCGTTGTCCGGATCGTTTTGGGAGATTGTTTTGAGAACACGAAGCTCAATGAGACTGGCTTCACGGTACTTTGGAATAGAACGGATAATTTTAATAGCACAGAACTTTTTGGTGACTTGGTCAAAACATTGAACAACTTTACCAAACGTTCCCTGACCAAGAAGTCTAAGGATCGTGTATCGGGACGTAAAGTTTGTGTTAGCGACGACTTTGTAATGGCCGTCTTCTTCATCAAAGTCAGCCGGACCCAATCCAGAAGTGTCGGGAACGATGGGAACCTGAACACGCTCAACCTTCGTTGGAGGGGATGCGCGTTTCCGTTTCGCTGGCTGGACTGCCGCAGTGTTTGTAAGAGCCGCTCCAATACTGTTTGAGGAACGTGGGCGTAGACGGGGACATAGGGCTTCGGGATGGTAAGTAGCATTTGGCATTGGAGGTTGATACATAGATTGGGTCATCGGCATCCAAACCGCCAGTGTAGGCGACAAGGGCATGCCGTTGGCAAGAGTAGAGTAGCTCGAAGAAACAGGAGCATTAGTGGCTGACAGATTGTTTCCAGTGGACAAAGCCAGAGTCGAGGAAGGTGTAGCAGCAGCCGCACCATTGTAAGGCATTCCCGTAGACCGGTAACCTGCCGCTGTGGGAATAGAGTTGCGTGCAGGAGCTGCTGCGGCCAGAGAAGACGCATAAGTCTGTTGCATGAAAGGCTGGGTTGTTGCAGCGGCCTCTTGCGTGTTGGCGCCGCCGTTCGCAAGAGCAGGACCATTCGCTACGTCGGTCCAGTTTTCGTAGCCACCATTGTAGCCATTCCAAACGCTGGCGGCATGTTTCGTTGAATCAAATGGGGATGCCCGAGGCGAAGCCGAGTCCTCAATAACAATGACTTCTTGGGGAAACCCGTTTTTGTAAAATTCCTGCCAGTTGGGACGCTGTCTTCTACGACGTTTTCTCCCGCAATCGTTGAAGTCCATGTACGGGCTATTATTACCAGCAAACGCAGAACTTGTCGCTGTCACAGTAGATGCCATAGAGGAAACAAGTGTCAGTCGAAGCAACTCTTTCGGAACCTGAAAGAGAATAGAGTTGGCGAAAAGCCTGCAATAGGAACAAAGGCCGAGTTCACAATCAACGAATTCGTTCGTAACAAGAAAAAGAATAAAAGACTCAAGAGATCAAGTGAAGAAGTTGAGTCCAGAAGCACGAGAAACACAACGATCAACGAGTGCTGAGAATTGCTTATATATGTTCTCTCAAACTTCGATTTGAAGGAAAAAAAGGTCACAAATATGGAAGGAAAAAAACCGTGGAAACGATGACCACTGAAAAATAGTCCACTAAAAAAACACTTCTAGAACCGCTAGATAACGTATAAAAAGACGGTTTTCGCTACAGACAGAGCAACTGTCTAAATAAAATTTGTTAAATTGCAACAAGATGAACAAAACTTGTTAACGTTGCCGGACTCTGCTCGACACAGCTGCCGTAAAAGCTCTCTCGGTCGGCGTACGGGGAGTGACAAGTGATGGGTAGTGAATTGTAGTGGTAGAAAGCAGTTTCGAGCTAGAAGTTGGGAAAAGAGAACGCCAAACTGTGTGGTGAGCGGAGAATGTTTCCGCGTGACTCACAAATGAACAAGATGCGGCGTGAGGATCTGTCGTAACCGGTTGGTTGAGTCACACCGGACACTACGCTCAATTGCCTTCGGTAGTTTAATGGACGACATCACCGGGTCAACAATGCGGTAGATATGCCTTGGGAAACCTATCCCATGGCGCCAACTTTTTACTCAAACTCAGTTACAAACTTTCCACTCATTCGAGAGCACATTACAGCTCGTTTGACCCAGCTACAAGGCTATTAAGCCAGCAATTCTTGGACGTCCTTGCTTGGTAAGCTTCTTTCCTCCACCATACCAAAATATCGACTCTTGACGAGTCGCAAGAATCAGCGAGAAAGCCGGCGTTTTCTGTATATTTCCCTTCATTCTGCGGTGTACTGCTTTAAAAGAAGCATCAATTGTACGTTTTCCCAGCAGGCTGTGCTTTTTCGGCGACTAACCGAATGTGTTAGTCCTTCAATTGCAGGTTACTCGAACGAACGGAACCCGAACGGAACCTGAACGCAACGATTGTTGTTCTTTACTGCTCTTTTCCTCCTGTGGGACGCCTGTACTTGTTTTGGTTTTCGTTTGCATGCTGTCGTGTGCTCCATTTCATCTGCCAACATTTTTTGTCAAGCTATACCATTCTCAGTTTGCTTAAAACGCCCTCTAGTTGTACACATTTCGTTTCGTCTTAAACACATTCTGTACCTATTGTCTCGTACTTTGTCACCATGAAATTCTATATCGATGATTTGCCTGTTATTTTCCCGTATCCTCGTATATACCCCGAGCAGTACCAGTATATGTGCGACCTGAAAAAGTCCCTGGACGTAGGAGGAGTTGCGCTGCTGGAGATGCCTTCCGGCACGGGAAAGACTATTTCGCTGCTGTCTCTTATTATCTCGTACCAGCAGTTTTATCCCGAACAACGCAAGCTCATCTACTGTTCCCGTACCATGTCCGAGATTGACAAGGCGTTGGCCGAGTTGAAGCGACTGATGGCGTACCGGGAGAAGGAACTCGGACGGCGAGAACCGTTTTTGGGTCTGGGTTTGACGAGTCGTAAAAACCTGTGCCTGCACCCCTCCGTACGACGGGAGAAGAACGGAAACGTTGTCGATGCCAGATGCCGTGCGCTGACCGCGGGCTTTGTAAAGGAGAAAAAACTTGCCGGCATGGATGTCGAGTTGTGCGACTTCCACGAGAATTTAGAAGACCTGGAGCCACACGCTTTGGTGCCAGAGGGTGTGTGGACGTTGGATGATTTGACAGAGTACGGCCAGAAAACCACTAGATGCCCCTACTTTAGTGCTCGCCGGATGCTGCCGTTCTGCAATGTCATCATTTATTCCTATCACTACTTACTTGATCCCAAAATTGCAGAGCGCGTCTCGCGCGAGCTGAGCAAGGACTGCATTGTGGTTTTCGACGAAGCTCACAACATCGACAACGTGTGTATCGAGTCACTTAGTATCGATCTCACCGAATCGTCTTTGCGGAAGGCGTCGCGGGGCATTACTGCGCTGGAACGAAAAGTCGCAGAAGTGAAGCAGGTCGACGCGGGAAAGTTGCAGGATGAATATCGCAAGTTGGTCCAAGGTCTGCGGGAGGCGGATGAAGCTTCGCAGGAGCAACAGTTCATGTCTAATCCAGTGCTCCCTGAGGATGTGCTGAAAGAGGCTGTCCCGGGCAACATTCGGCGTGCCGAACATTTTATTGCGTTTTTGAAAAGATTCATCGAATACCTGAAAACAAGAATGAAAGTACTTTACGTGATTGCAGAAACTCCCGCCTCGTTTCTGCAGCACATGAAAGACCTGACGTTTATCGAGCGCAAACCACTTCGTTTTTGTGCTGAACGCCTCACAAGTCTTGTGCGTACACTCGAATTGCCTATCGTGGACGACTTTCACTCGCTGCAGCAAATCGCAACATTCGCTACGCTTGTAGCCACATACGAACGCGGATTCGTCCTCATTCTCGAACCGTACGAGACCGAAAATGCCACCGTCCCCAATCCTGTGCTCCACTTTGCATGTCTCGATGCGTCCATCGCCATCAAACCCGTGTTTGACAAATTCCGCTCTGTGATCATTACCAGTGGTACGCTCTCTCCTCTGAACATGTATCCGAAAATGCTGCAGTTCGAGACAGTGATGATGGAGTCGTATGGAATGTCTCTCGCTCGCAACTCTTTCTTGCCCATGGTCATTACTCGAGGAAGCGACCAGGTCGCCATATCCTCCAAATTCGAGGCACGTAACGACCCCAGTATCGTTCGTAACTACGGTAACATACTCATTGAGTTCTCTAAAACTACGCCTGACGGACTGGTCGCTTTCTTTCCTAGTTATCTGTATCTGGAAAGTATTGTTTCTAGTTGGCAATCTATGGGCATTCTTGACGAAGTTTGGAAGTACAAGCTGATTCTCGTGGAGACCCCCGACGCCCAGGAAACAACGCTGGCTCTGGAAACGTACAGGGCCGCATGTTGCAATGGCCGCGGTGCTGTACTGTTGTCTGTCGCACGAGGCAAAGTTTCCGAGGGAGTCGATTTTGATCATCAGTATGGACGAACTGTCATCATGTTCGGCATCCCCTACCAGTACACCGAAAGTCGTATCTTGAAAGCTCGTCTGGAGTTTTTGCGTGACACATACCAGATTCGCGAAAACGACTTTCTCACGTTCGACGCCATGCGTCACGCAGCACAGTGTTTGGGTCGAGTATTGCGTGGAAAAGACGACAGCGGAATCATGGTGTTGGCGGATAAAAGATACGGTCGTTCTGACAAACGGTCTAAGCTGCCTAAGTGGATTCAGCAGTACACATCAGAGGGGGCTGCGAATCTCAGCACGGATATGGCTGTTGCGCTAGCGAAGAAGTTTTTGCGCACAATGGCTCAGCCCTTCTCTCTCGAAGATCAAGAGGGCATTTCGTGGTGGACTGTGGAGGAACTCAAAGCCCATCAAAAGTCAAGCCTAATTGCAGCAAAGTCGAAGGACGATAGCATGGACTTTGATATCGAAGAAGACGCTAAAATGACCCCTTGAGACGATTACTGTAAAAATGTGTTTTATTTATTTGTTACTCCTACTGCCGCTAAAAAAGGAATGCACAGGAGAGGCTTTCGGAAAAGTTCTTTTCCCCATTCTCGCAGCGGGAAAATCTACTGACAGCGCTTATATGAGTGCCTCACCTCCTCGTCCCTCGTCCCTCGTCGTACCCATTCTACGAGTCTCGAAAGCGCATACCATAGAGCGCCCGAGCAAAAGCGGGTAGCAGCTGTGCATTCTCTTCTCACCCGATGCTCTGTTTCGTCCATTCCGAGGGACTTTGTCGAGCTCGGCCGAGCTGCTGCTCACCCTCGGCTTTACGTGAGCCGTCGTTTCTCTGCAGTTCCTGTCGAGCGAAGCAGCCAATGCGCCTCTTCGGTCCGTTTCACACCTGATTCATATCGGCACGACCAAAAATGCCTCATCTCTGTTCCACGTCTTCTAGATGCTCGTCTATACTTATGTGACGTTGCCGGCTACCGATGCCTAGATTCGAGTACTACCGCACAGTTCCTCTCGGTTGTCGAGTCAGAGGCGCTGTTTGCCTAACTGCTACTGGGTCGCTGATCGTCGCTGCTTCAAATGGCTGTCGATCTTTTTCATATACCCTTGCGGGTTTTTTCTATTGGGTTTGATCATGTGCTAGTCATATGAATGCAAGTTTTATTTTTATAAGTGTTTATTCTAGGCACATACTGATTGACTCCAACCCAGAGAAACGTAAGCAGCTTCTCGCTTGCATGTGCGAGTCACGCTCAGCTACATCATCTACACACACATGCACATGTTCACATGGATCCAGAAGCGCATGGCGTGTGAATACGTTGTACCAGCTCGTCGTTGTTGTCGTCGTCAACGCATCCGTCATTCAGCGCCTGTCGGAGTGACGGTTCTGTCCATCGGCAGCAGCGAACTTGCATCCATTGTGCGTTTTCCACGCTATCAGCATTGCGCAAAATCTCACGACAGACTGTTTCTTGCACACGTGGAACTGCAGTTTCGGCATATGCTTTCCAGTGATTGGTTTTCTCCTGCATACTGTGTTTTTCTCTCCTCTGTCTTTGGCGGCCTACGTAACGCATCCTGATTTATGTGCCTATCGAAGCGACACTTTATTTCTTTATCGGCTCAGCGATTGGCCAATTCCATATAGACTTTCAGGCCTGATGTCGGCTTGCGAATCCGGTGGATGTGTTTCGACCCGCCGGCGCGGTCTCCCATGGATGCGACATTTCTAAGGAAAGCTGGGCCCTGTTCATCGCGTTTTGCATAATGCCATGCGCAAATTTTGCGACTGTTCGGCTGAATTTTTTAGACATTGTGTCGTCTAACGTTTCAACAAAACGCTTTGCCTTCGACAGCATTCACGCGCCCCGGGTCCCGTCTATTTGCGTCATACTCGCTTATACCAGTTTCATTTGTGAGGACACATTTATTTTCTGTTTTTCGCTCATATAGAAAGGCACCCCTCCGGAAGAGTCCACCCAGCGCGTCACGTTGGGAGTTCTAGTGGCACCCTTGCTTATTTACGTCAGCCTTTACTCTGTCAAAGACACCGTGTCAGCTTTACACAAAGCCCTGTTTGCTCTCTCATTCAAGGAATTACTCACTACACACTCTGAATTAACGAACAAACGGATCGTTGGCAAGACCAACTGAAAACGAGCAACGAACGCCGCCGTACAAGGTCTCTGTGCTTTTTTTATCCAGCTTTTTTCTTTCTTTGTTCCCGCGTCGACAGTACCAGCAGCCTGCTCCCTGTGTAACCGGTCCCTGTTGCACGAGAAAAAAAAACAAGAACCACGTTCTTAGGAGCAATTCCCGAAGTTTGATTGACTCTCTGTGTCTGTACGAAGTCACCTTTAGTTCATACGCGTGTCGTTTTTTAAATTTGGAAAAATAATTTTATTGAAAAACCAATTCCAGGGCTTGTTTGTCATTTCCCCGGCCCTTTCTGATGTTTCGACGGAAAAACAAAAATGTCAAGAACTTAGTTCTTCAGCCCGTTTCGGTGACGGGCTACAACAACAATCTGCTCCAACAGCAATTCGACAACAAGGTCGAAGACTCTTTGGAACGGTACATCCATTCGACCGTCCATCCCTCATGGATTCACGACCTCGACAACATGAAGCTCGAGACAGTCCGGCCCATTGGACAAGGAAACGGCGGGTCTGTAACGCTGGTTCGTTACAACCAGATCTATATGGCAAAAAAGACTGTGTTTGTTGGATCCAATGTCAAGGTCCAGAAGCAGATTCTGCGAGAGATGGATGTGCTCCACCACTGCAAGTCGCCCTTCATTGTCGGCTTCTACGGCGCGTTTCTCGACACAAACGGGATTTGTTTGTGTATGGAGTACATGGATTGCGGGTCGCTTGACCGCATCCTGTACATGGGCGGTCCTCTGCCATGTGACGTACTCGGGACGATTGTCGTGGCTATGGTGAAGGGCCTACAGTACCTTTACAACGTTCTGCACATCATCCACCGTGACCTCAAGCCGGCAAACGTGGTGGTCAACTCGGCCGGACTCATCAAGCTGTGTGATTTCGGCGTGTCGGGAGAGCTAATCAACTCGATGGCCGAGACGTTTGTGGGCACGTCGACATACATGTCTCCCGAGCGGATTTGTGGCGAGAACTACACGATCAAGAGTGATATATGGTCGTTGGGTATCACGATTTACGAGCTTGCCACGCAGAAGTTGCCGTACGCTGGCACGGATGCCGAGGAGGAACCGGCAGGGATCCTGGACCTGCTTCAGCTAATCGTCCACGAGGATCCTCCCCGTCTTCCCGACACATACCCTGAAAGCCTGCGCCTTTTCGTGGAAGCGTGTCTGCAAAAGGACCCTGCCATCCGAGCAACTCCTCAACAACTGTGCACCATGCCGTACTTTCAGACTGCCCTCACCACAAACGTTGACATACGGTCGTGGGCTCTCCAGTACAAGATTTAACCGTTCCCCTTTTCTCCCGTGCTACACTCTCACAAGATTTGTCATGTCCATCGGTAATGCGAGAGTGTGAAACAGGTTCAGCAAGTGGCCCGCTGTCTTTTCTTCCTCTTTCTGTGTTTATGGCTCCTGCCGTTCCTTGCGCGTTTCCCCCCATCGAATGAACATCCAGAATTCCGATTGTGTCATGTTCCCGCTTATGTATTTCACCACACACTTTTTCAAATGACGCCCTCCTGTCATGGTTCCCCTCTATTCTACGACTGATTGTTCTCCGGTTTCATATTTTTGTTTGGTTTGTTCGACGATAAGTTTAAACTTGACGAATTTTGGTATTTCAAACACTTTTCTATGACAAATAAAACGCTTTTCGTTTCCAGAAGATGGAGAAACAAAAAACTAATCCCATGTATACTCCAAAGTTTTTGCATAACAGCAAGATGTTGTTGCCCTATACCTGTTTCCCTCTGTGACCTCAAGGATACCTGGTAGTTCTGCGATTTATTCCTTTTTAGATTTACATGTTAGAAATACTATAAAAAGACGACTTGTTTAGCTTTCTGGTTCGGTATTGGGGGGGGGGGGGGAGGAGAGATCCAATGTTGTGTTTTATTCAATTCAACCTTTCTGTAGCTATTGATCTTTCAGTCTTGGGGTTTAAAGTGGGCATTGATACTGCGTAACTCGGCAATATTCAGTGTATATCCACTTGTGAATCTTATGTACAAAGCTAGTTTCGCATGGTTATGAAACTCTACGAGCTGTTATGATACCTCCCAAGTGCCAAATACAGCAATAAGTATAATCTATTGGCTGAATTGCTCAAGCATGAAAAATACTTATCCCGGGTCTGGTCTTTTCTTCCACAAAAACTCCCAATGCAACTCGACTTCATCGACGCATCATCACCTCCTCTCTTCTCTTCCTTCGACCCCGTAAAACAACTCACCGCTTTATTTTTGTGGTGGTGAATTGGACTTGCCTCTCGACAAATGCTCCACCAAAAATTCATCCACCACCGGTTTTGGTCTACCTAGGTTCGCGTTAACGTTGCTAACAGGATTTCAAGAGTGATTCAGGCGTGTAGCACTCTACGAAACGTCTTTTTGTATTGAAGACCTCGCGTTTTTTGAATAACCGGACGCTTTATCTTCATACACGAAATAGAAAAAGAACTCGCGGGAACTCGGTTATTTGTGTCAATTTCTCCTATACGAGATTATGGAATCCCGAAGTGACACAAATGAAGCTGAAACCCTCCCAAAAAGTCTTTTAAAATATGAACAACTACTCGATGCTTCGTTAGCTCCAGGACGTCCCGTGGAGGAGTTATCGGAATGTCTCTCTGAACTTCTCGAGCTGTCGGTTACTACGGACACTGTGAATTGCGTTCATGTCGCTTTGTTATTGAAGCGTCAGCTTAAAAACGAAAAGTCGTCGGAAAAGTTAATAAGCTCTTTTGTTGATGCGTTATGGCTTTATGACATCGAAGTCCTCCCGGGTGTGCGAGACGAAGCTGAAAAAGAAGGAGTATCTCAAAGGCTAGTACAGTTGGTGAAAGAAGTTCTACAGTCTCTTCCAAAAGAACTACTATTCACACGGCTTGACTGCAGCTTTCTGGAAAGACTTGGAGTTACTCAAAATGGTGAGCTTCTTAACCGAAAAATTGCTCGTGCCAATACCTCTCTCCTGTATAGGCAGCACAAGTTTAACCTTTTAAGAGAAGAAAACGAAGGCTTTTCGAAGCTCATTGTTGAGCTTGATAATGCGTTGCATTATGCACGAGATAAAAGCGTTGACCAACATACCCTAGCGGAAGTTCTTGTGAAGGATATTCAAGTTCTTGTTGGCACTTTCAACCTTGACGGAAGTAAAGTCTTGGACATTGTCTTGTCTTTCTTTGCCGAAAATATTGTTCACCAACATGACTTCCTTATAGACTTCCTAAACGCGTCTCGGTGGAAAGCGGTCAAACCTCCTTTAATGTTTTCACAACTTTCTGTGGAGCAACGTCAAAAACTACTGTCTGAATTGCTCGTTTCTCGTTGTTCGTGGGGAATCGACTCTTCTTTTTTAAAAATATCATCCCAAATATCTCAGTTACTTGGCCACAATCTTGCTTACTTTTATGAACATCTGGAGGATACTCCATTTTCTTATAATGTCCTTATTGCTTTGTTAATTAAGAATGGCTTTTTTGGTGTCGATAACATATGGCCTTACTTATCCCCAAGTGACGAAGAGGTTTCTACGGCTTGGGCCAAGCATAAAGACTCTATTGAAGACGAAATCTACAATGCTAAGGGAAATCCATTGTCCATGGCTGCGCCGTTACCAGACGAGGAGGTGGAAGACGGAGAGGCCCTTATGGATACGGAGATGACTGAAGCAGTTGATACGCCTCCTCCAAAACCTTCTCAAAAACTAGGCCTTCTGAAGGCTTTGCTTGCTATTGGTGATTTAAAATCCTCACTGCTCATACTTGGACGTTTTCCTGTGCTTCTTCAGGTCTGTCCTGAGGCCGCAAAGCTGTTCCTTAAGCTTGTACATATAATGGTTCGCAAAATTTACGTCTCTATCGACTTCCTTGGAAAGCTATCTCCTGATATGCAAGACCGATTACAACAACCAAAGCTGGTGCCGGAGGACTCTCGAGTCAGAGAGATTAAATTGACGCTCCCAAAAACAAAGAAGCAAAAGCCGGTGTTAAATCCATACCCCGTAAACCCAACTGGTGATGTATTTTTCTATGAGGAACGGCTTTCAGAGGATCTACCCATACTCGAGACGATGGAACAATTCTACGGTATATTAGTACCCCTTTTGAAGCTACCAGGTGTTCACTTTTCACAGGACCCTTTGCTATTTACCAAAATCTGCCGAATTGGTGTGTGTCGTTTGAAAAGTCACCCTGAAGAACGTGAACGATGGATTGAAATATGTCGTATCATCCTGTTACCTTCATTAACTTTGATACCAGCAAATGTTGGCATAATTAATGAGTTTAGTGAACTATTTTTCCTTTTTTCTGTAGAGGAAAGATATTCACTTTACGGCGAATGGTCAACGACGACAATGAAAAGGATTCCGGATTTGAAGCTACAAAATTTTCTCGTTGAAAAAGAGGCAAAAGGCATCTTGCGTCGGTTAACCAAAACGAATGTGAAGCAATTTGGTAGGATCTTTGCCAAAGTTTCGCATTCAAATCCAATCACCGTATTTTCATCGCACTGAATCAAATTGAGACTTACGATAATTTGGTTGGAGTCATCGTAGAGGCTTCACGATACCTGACAAAGTTTGGATTTGATGCTCTTACTTACGCAACGCTTGCTGCTCTCTCAAATAGTAACAAACAACGCTTGAAATCAGATGGCACAAGCATTGCACAGTGGTTACAAGGTCTTGCCAGCTTCTGCGGGCGACTCTTCAGGTACTATACGAACATGGATCCTACTATAATCTTTCGTTATTGCATAAAAAGACTTAAACAAAATCAAATGTTTGATTTGATTGTGTTAAGAGATCTTTTGGTTCAAATGTCTGGCATGCAACCGTGGACTAACCTTTCTGATAATCAGCTTCTTGGGGCTGCTGGTGGGAAACTCATGAGGCATTTAAGTCTTTCTTTAATATACGAAAAGCCCTCCGTTATAGTCGATGCAAGTTCACGGTTGCTTCAAGTTCTAAAAGCCAACAATCTTACTGGTCAACTTTTAATTTTACTCGCTCAAAAGTTGCGCACCTGTATCTATAACGTTGAAGAGCAACATACTCACCTGAAACTGATTGGGAACTTGTATGATGATTGTTCTGATGTTTTATTTTTACTTGTTGAATTCCTGTCATTCCATTGCACTCCTGGCGAGTATGCATCAATGATTCCTAAACCAGCAGATATGTTGGAGAAGTTTCATCTTGATCCACCTCTTATGTTTTTTTTGTATCGTTATGCAGTTGAAAAACCTTGGCGTGTATATAGTCTTCAAAACAATAAACGTTCGGACGATGCAGATGAGAAAATGCAGGTTGATGATCAAATCCCGAACGCAACCCCGAGTGAGTCTTCTGTTGTAAAAGAAGCTCCTATGTCTGATGACCAGTTGTCTCTAGAGTCTTTCATTCAACAGCCTCATGGTTTGTTTCCAGCAAATACTTGGGCGTATATATCTCCTTCTTTTTACACAATTTTTTGGAACCTCTCTATCTACGATATATACCTCCCCTTTGAACATTATGAATCCGAAAGAAATCGTTTAGTGGATCAAATGTATCAAGTCGGCGCCGAAAAAGAAGCTTCTCAATTGAAGTTCAATCAAAAGCGAATTGAGAAACAGAAATTATTTGAGATTTCAGGCGAGCTTCAAAGTGAATTGAAAGAACACATGCGTTCGTTAGAATCTACAAGAAAGTATCTTCATTCTAAGTCTGACTACTGGTTTTTGCCCTCCGGAACAAAAGTGGATGGGGAACAGTTGGACCGTCCAAGATGGAATGCTGTGGATAAATTTTGGTCTCTTTGCATAGCTCCGCGCTTACGTTTAAGTCCCCATGATGCAATTTTCTGTGCCAAATTTGTGAAGCTTCTACATTCTCTTAACACTTGGAATTTTTCCACGATGTCACTTTTGGATATCCTATTTGGTCCACAATTACCATCACTGATATTCAGCTTCACTCAGCGTGAAGCTGCCAATTTCAGTCGGTTTCTTTTTGAAATACTTGCTGAAATTACTGCCTGGCATAAAGATCCGGGGCTTTACGAGAGGGATTGTTTGGGAAATGGTCATTTGGTTGGTTTTGTTTTGGAATGGAATGAAACGAAGGATGATGGTGCTGTTGATCCTTCACGATTACTTCGACATAATCGCTACTTGCTTTTGGTTAGTAAGTGGCACAAGCAGCTCACCATGATTATGGAAAAATGTTTGCTTTCTGGAGATTACATGCATATCTACAATTCCATCGTTATTTTAGAACGTATATTACCCTTCTTCCCTCTCATTGAAGAAAGTGGAAGAACCCTAAAATCGGCTGCCGAGAAGCTTAAGGATAATGAACAGCGAGAAGATCTAAAGGTTTTGGCACTTGGCTATTACTCCAAACTAGCCAAGAAAGAGGCAACTTGGGTATCGTTTCATAGTTTCTCTGGAACTGTGAAACCAAAATCAACTAAAGTCGAAGAAAAACCAAAAAAAGCTGACCCTTCTCCAATGGCGGTTGAAAAGGATGTTGAAGAGGCTCCGGCTAAGAAGACCTCAAGTCCCGTTAAGGAATCTTCTACTACTATTTCAACTGCTGCTGCTCATTCGGCTGCTACTGCTCCTGCTACTCCTGCTACTGTTGATGAAAAGCCTGTTTCAGATACAAAGCCGACTCCTGTTCCGCCAAAACAAACCACAACTCCCCTTAACGTACAAGCCAAAGAATTCAAACCCCATACTGAAGAGAAAGTTGAGACTAGCGAAAAGCCACCTGAAGCAACAACAAATAGCAACGCTTCTGTCAGAAGAAGTAACCAACCTTCTCCTAAAGAAGGTACCCCTTCTAGAGGTACCTCTTATCGTCATGACAGGGCACCACCAAAGGACTCATACAAGCCAGGGGAAGCAAGAAATATTCGCGCTTCTCGATACAGGAATATGGCTTCAGAGAACCCGGATTCTCAACAACAACAGCGCCCTTTCAATTCACGTCATAATCAAAGAGATTCTCGTCAACAGTCTCCCGATCAAAAATATAACGAGAGTGGAGCAAGTTCTGGTAATTGGCGCTCTACGGGAAATCGCCAAAATCGCAATCCTCGTGGTACTAAGTACAATACTCAGACAAATGAGGGACAAACTTCACGTAATGAGCCGTATTCAGGAGGCGGAGAGCCAGGATCTCGTGTTCAGGAACACGACAGAAACACTCCTTCACAGCGGAGAAATACAGGCTCCAATGATAAGAATGAACGAGGATATTTCAATGAGGATGGTAGACATCGCGGCAACTACCAATATTATAACAGAAACCAAAGAATGCAACGACAAGATAGACAGGGCGATGATAAACAGCGCGAGTCATCTGCTTCTTCTAAAACAGACACTAATGCTGGTTACCGTCCTTCTGATAAACCGCGTAGATACAATTATGACAAGTCCTCTGCGGGAAGTCACGATGGATCTTCGCGCAGTGAAGATAACAGTTTCCGCAAAAGACAAGACGGTCGTTCTGAAAGAGATGGTAACAACTCTCACTTTTCGGGACGCAACCGACCTCGTACATCTTCTAATACTCAGAATTTTAGAGATGATAAAAGACGCCGCATGCAATAAATGCCCGCATTCTTCTTCATTCGTTTATTGTTACTTGTTATACCACGTTTTATGTCTCTGCAAAAAAGCAGCGTTCAATTTGGAAGGGTTTATTCTATAACTACTCATTAATAAATAAATATAATAGTAAGACAGTGTCGTTTAAAGGATTGGTTCGGGAATATACACAAAATAGATACATGTTGTTAACGAGTAAGAAGTGCGTAAGACTGACTTTTACGATTCTTATGGAAGACGGAAAACAAAACGTGAGTACTCGTTTAGGAAGACCCATCGCCGGAGTCATGAGCAGAGGAACTTTGGTAAAATGAAGATAGCATATTGTCAGAACGGCCCGTTCTCGTAGTGCGATTTGATGATGCGTCATTTACCCTGAATCTAGCCTGATGATGCACACCCTCAAAGCTTGTTGAAGGTCGGCGACTGCCATAGTTATTAGCAGCAGTGTTATTCATCTGAGCATTCTTAAGATGTTCAATGTCAGTTTGAGCTGCTATGAACTTGTCTTCAAGATCACGATAGCGGGTGAGTAAATCTGTATATTTTCCATCAAGCTCATTGTACATAGATTCGTACATGTTGCTAGAAACGTTGAAAGAGTGACGCAAACTTGGTGCCGAGATTTGAGAGGAAAGTTTCTTTTCCAATTCAAAGACCTTGGCCTCACTCACGATTTTAAGTGCCTCCATATCCTTTGTCAATGATTCTAACTGAGCAGTTAAACAAGCATTCTCGTTTTCGAGTTCAACACGTTGAATTTCATCGCGAATGCGAATTTTTTCTCGTTCTTCTGAATCCAAAAGTCGTTCGGATTTGGCCTCATCATCATCATCATGGCCAGACACGGCGGAGGACGACAAATCACTGTGAGTAGCTGAAGCATCATTGTCAAGTAATGTTTTCAACTTCAAAAGCTCTTGCACTTTTGCTTCCGTCATTTGAAGCTGTAACTTAAGTTCGGTTTTTTCATAAGCCAAAGTATCCTGGTCAGACTTTACCACACGGAACTGCTGCTGCAGATTGTCTAACGCCGTTTGGTAATTCTTGTCCTTTTCTTCCCATGCCTTTCTTTCTCCACGCATTGTTTTAAGCTTATTATTTAAATCGGTTTCCCATCTCAAGCGACGGTTCAGTGTTGCCTGGAATTCGACTTTTTGTTGTTCAAGATTTTGTTTCAGTAGCTGAACTTGCGTTTTCAAACTTTTGTTTGTAGCGTAAAGCTTCTGACGTTCAGCCTCAACTGCTATATCTAAAACCTGTTCTTTGCGCATTCTTGCAATGTTTGTAATATGCTGCTGACGCATGTATTTTTCAAAAGCAAGTTCGTTTTGTAAGAACAATTGTTGCCTGTACAAACGAAGAAAAAGAGCTGATTTGTCACGAACAGCGTTGATCTCCAAATCGTAGTCAGCGGCCGAAAGCACTGGTTGCTCAACAGGTTTTTCTGTCTTCATAATTGTATTAGAGACTGCACTGTTCACCGAAGGCGATATAGAAATATTATCTGAAAACTCTTCCATTAATTGAGTAGCCATTGTGTTTAAAGGTAATGCCGTTCCATCCTCCCCGACAAAACTAGAAACAGCAGAGTGAGAGCCTGATTCGTTTCCCTTGATACTGAAAGGTGTAGCGTCTTGAGAGACGTTTACATCTTCTCCGGCCTGTGCAAAGACGGTTCGATTCGGAGCCGGTTCACGCAGCATATTAACGGCCTGCTCAAAATGACTATTGGTTTCGCCCTTAGAACCAATAGAGTCTAGCAGATTTTGCACATTCAAGGTTGTACACATCCCAAAAATTTTTGTTGCATCAAGTTTGGTCCAGCGTGCCTTGTCTTCCAGTTCTGCCTCACTCGTATAACGCAAAAAGTTGCGATGCAATGTATGACGAGACAATAGGGGTTCCAATTTGCTCCGTAAAAGGTCCAAATCTATTTGCAAAGTGATGTTCACACCATGTTGCTCAGCATAGGCGTTCGGATTGAGCAGAAACTTTAAGAAATTGACAGGGTATAATGCATAAAGTAATGTAAATAACTGCTTAAAGCTTGGCGAGTCACTGACTCCTTCCGGTGCTGGAGGTTCTGTAAAACCCGTCAAATGATCATAAAGGCTTTCCGTATCGCTGCTGGAGCTCTCGGTGATATCGGCAGTGAGTATTTTCCAGGAGGGATTATCTGGAACAAGGGCACTGGGAATTGACTTGTGGTCAACTTCAAGTGCTATGCGAAGGAAAATGCAAAAGATCCGCGTCAGGGAATCGTTTATGAGATTGCACACATGAGGCAGGAGCATAGACAAAGAGGAAACCGCAAAAGACATAAGAAGAGGGGATTCATCAAACTCCAAGGTGGAGAGCAGGCTATCAAAAAAGGGTGTCTGAACAAGATCGTAAAGTCTCGGACCTTGGCAACATAAAATTTCGTTAAAAATGGAGAGTATAGGTACACGGTATTGGGTGTTTTTAAAATAGGAGTCGAACGTCGTGCAGAGCTCCTTGGGACGTTGCACTCCGTAGGCAATCAGAATGTCCTTCGTAGAATCGACAATCTGTCGTCGATGAAGAAGTACTGTCTGATCATTAGAATCAGTGACAGCGTTGTCTAGATACAACTCGATCAGACGCCTTGCAATCTCTTGTGCACATTCTTCCCGTAAAGATCCGCCCCAGTCATCTTCCTCGTAGATGAGTAAATAGAACAATATGGACTTGATATCACTGACAATTGGCTTCAACTGTGTTGGGGAATTCAAGAACGGGTAAAAAACCTGATCCCACCAGGAATCGACTGCATCTTTGTTCATGATTAACAGCGGAATTACCGTTTTCAACACGGTTAGCCATAGGATCCGCAACTGATTCGTATTAAACGGTTGTTTGTCGTACAACTCATCTAATGTACTTCTAATTTTCCGAGAGTTTGCTGCATTCGGTGTCGGAAATTTCTGCTGATATTCTTCCACAGACTCGTTCAACTTCGTAAAATCGACATTTTTTCCATCTGCAAAATTTTTAAACACTTCTTCAAGAGCTTTTATTAGCGATTGAACTGGCATTCCCAATAGTAACGCGTTCTGAGAGTGTTTGGTGAAAGGCAGGCGATGCTCTGTGCCTGTTAGACCCCTGCCCCTGTTACCTCGGAAGTCGCTTAAAATAGTGCGCTCGTTTACTCCGAGTTTATTTGGCTTTATGCGATGTTACTTGGAACCAGTCTAATTTAAATGGAGGAAATAGCTTAATTCCAACCTGCCGTTCACCAAACACTAGCATTTCCGTTCGGTAATTCTCCGCTAGGCTTCTCGTAAAAAAATAGTGCAGCACAAAAAGAAATTCTCCGTGGAACCATTAATCCGCGCTCAATCTTCGTTAGGGGGACCATCCCCATACTCATGGGCGGCACAAAAGAATTGGGACAAAGAACAAGGGGTAATTCTTCCTAGCTCATATAAATGGCGCGTAGAAGCTCTTGTGGCCTTCCTCGTCTTTTTTCACATACTGTAATGGAAGAACCGACGGTGCCGCGTAAACTGGAGTCCAAACATCAGAAGTCTACACGGTTCATGCAACTGACTTATGTAGGCAGACCATTCAGCAAGGTTCGTGCGATTTTATGTTTCCCCGTGGACCGGCTATATGTAAAGGCATCTACGGATGTTAACTAGTTGGTTTCGTCACAGCTTTGGGGCTTCCATCAGTTTTAGTTCTTGAGTCTAGATTCTAATGCGTGTTTAGGACTTTTTAGAGTTGTTTGGCGCCATGATCGTTTCGACGCCGTTTTCATCGCATAGAATGTATTTCAAGACCTTTGAGAATACGTGCACACTAAAACAACTGCTGTTCACACTCGAGAATCTGCAGCTTAATCTCGTTCATCGTATCGATGGAGATGCGAACGGCACTGGGAAAATTATTAAATCGACTACAAAGTTCAGCGTCCCGAAGAAAGTAGCCAAATGCCTCTGTCAGATGTTTCTCAACGCTCGTCTGATAACTTCCGTTTCTGATGCGTATGCTCGAAAGCTGACGAGTGAAAAAACGCTGTTGAGACTTACACGGAAAGGTGCCAGCGTTGTAGATCAGTTCATTCAGCAGAATGCTGTGAAAGATTACCCGTTCCCAGCACAGATGCTGAAGGATCCCCTCATCTTGGTCCCGATCAACCGCATGCAAGACACAGACCTTGTGTACCGCGACGAAACGTTGATTCAGACTCTCCTCCAGCGTATGCTCGGCAACCGTCCTCTCTTAGAGGATGGGTTGGACTCTCGAAGAGTCATTGTGTACGAGCGTGCGGACACGAGTGTCCGAGGTCAAAAGCGGTTGCAGTACGAGCTGTACGGCATCGATGTGATGGAGTGGTTGATGAACAACACAATGCTGCTGGACTGGACCGAACTTCAGGATATCGCGAACGACTTCTTGCTGTACGGTTTGCTTGAACACGAAAGACCTACTAGTCAGACGATGGTTTTTTCATATCACAAGGGTACGAGCTATATCATTACCGCGTCTGGTATTGAGGTTCTTGGCTGGCATCAGTTTGGTAAGGCCAAACGGATTGCTAAACTTATTCAAGAGCTCAGAAAGACAAAGAGTAATGTCGAGATAGTTGAGCAAATCTTGAAAATGCCAAACCTTCACACTTCATTTTATGAGTTCGCTCTTCATAATTACTGTGAGGAGAATGCTCGCTTTTACGAAGATACGCGTGATTTCCAGGAGTGTTGTCAAGTTGCTCTGCGTGAAAAAGACGAAACGCTCTTGCGTGAATGCTTTACCCAGGCCTACCGTATTTACAACTGCTACCTTTCTGTCAACGCGCCTAACCGACTAAACATCCCCGACGAAATATATCGTCGAGTGGTAGCACATATGGCGCGCGCCATGGAGGACGACTCTATGGCTGAGTGGGTGGAAGGCGTGCATATACTATTTGCTGAGGTCAGAGAACATGTCACGGACCTCATGGCAGGCGATTCGCTTATGAAGTTTTTGGAACAAAACGAGAGCAAAGAGGATGAATAGGTAGTGAGGCGTTTTCATGCCCGTTCACCTTTCTTCTCCTTCGGTTTCTTATTTCACTTTCGGTCTCACATCTCTCACTCCTCCTTCAATTTGTGCTCTCTCCAGTCCTTGGGCAATCATTCAACTGTACATAAACCCATTCCCTTTTAAGGAATAGCCTAGTGCCAAGCTCTTCCTTTTTGTAAATAAATTGGCACCTCATGACTGGAGAAGAGTGCATTTAGGCCTTTGCCTTTGATTGTATGGGGGATATATTCTTTTTTTCTCTGCTTTTTGTTTCTACCGCTGGTAATTGCTTGTTTCTGTACCTCGGTGGTTTCGGTCATTCTGCTTCGCTGTCCTTTTCTTGGATATGCAGCGTAAGCTTGTCCGCCTACTGTGTGTTGCACGATTTTTGATTGTGTGTGGAAAAACAATTGTTATGTTCCTTCTTTTGCCATAACAAGCAGTTTGTCGCAGGCGTGTTGCGAATATTAAAAAAACAATCCTTTGATACTGTTACTAAACTGTGTATCCCTCGCATTATCTGCTTCTTCTTTCTTTAAATTTGACTAAGATGTTTGATGCATCCACTACTCTTGTTTATTATTTTTTTTTTTTCGTTTTGCTATCTTTAATTTGCCATTTGGTTATTAGATAGTTATTGATGAAGTGTGTACATAGGGCAATGAATATAAATACATTACCGCTGTTTAACCGGATTGAATAGAAAACACACATGCCATCGGGCAGTATTTTCTATTGAATCTGTGTACAAAAAGACTGCAAATTGTGTGTTTAAGACATTTACAGCGAGTCGTGTTGATCAGAAGCCATTTGCAGCAAACACCTTACTCACACTTCTCGTTGCTCTGTCTGTTAGAACGACTACAGTCCCCTCCTCTACGAACCTCATGGGTACGGAAAAAAAGTTGACAACGCATACGCAGGCTTCCGCTCCCTCCGTGAAAAGATCCACTCGCCAATTTAAGGTGGTCGGTGCTCGGACTGAGCGAATTGACTTCACAAAAGACGTTAATAAAGTGACAATTGCTCCACCTGGGTCCAGTGTTGGACGGCGAGGAAAGAGCGCTGGCTGGTACTGTGAAGCATGTGATGAGACATATCGCGATTCATTAAGTTGGTTGGATCATTTAAACAGTGCTCAGCATTTGCGAAAAACTCGAACAGTCATTTCGGACGAGCGTGCAACAGTGGACCAAGTCCGGGAACGCATTGAGTACTGGAAAAACTTACTCAAGTCACCACAGGAGGGCTCTGCTGAGTATGATTTGAAGGCCAGAGTTGCTGCTTATCATAAACAACGGCAAAAGGAAAAGGAGCTCAAGAAATTACGCAAGAAACAACGGTCTAACGCCACCCATGCTGTCGACGACGCAGGGATTGACCCTCAATTGGCAAGTGTTATGGGCATAACGGGTTTTGGAAGCACAAAAACTTAGACGAACTTAATCTCTGCATCCCCAGTTGTAGCTAAACCGAACAAAAGAAAAACACTGCTACGTCTGTCCGCGAAACTCACACAAGCACATTGACGACTATTACCGTACCCTTTACAGCTTTACAGTTCGCTAAATTATCCGTCCCCTTCGCCTCTACCGCTTCTACCCGCCTCTTTTTTTCCTCTCCGCTTTTTTGCATAAACTACACTCCAATTTTCCTCTGGCCTGCTTTGACCAGCTTACCTTTATTTCAAATATCTGGGGTTTCTTAGTAAGCGATCACCAGGACAACTAAGATGCTCTTCTACTGGTCCAAAGTGCTCGTTTAGATGTCATCGGCCAGCGTACCTGCGCACTATCAGCGACCCCATTACGCAACTCCCTTAACGGAGTACGTGAGCTATCGTTACTATTTTTGTTGGTGACTAAGCAGGCAGCGCTTGTTTCTCCAAGACAGCGCAATATATAACGGGGTTTGGTTCATCACGACATATTTCGTTTTTTTCCTAATTCTCATTTTATAAACAGTTCCGCCTTTTGACGATTCGGTGGACGCGTTTCCGTATAACGGACCGAGAGTTTCATTTACTGTTTTATCTTTTTGGCTCTTGCTGAATTCTGCCGACTTGCGTAAGTGTAGCGGTGCTTTCGCTACAGTGTTCTTCCAACAGCAAAAACCTGTTAGAAAACCATTGGCATTGAAATCAATCCAAACTCAAGGATAATTACCTGTAAAAGCTGATAACATAACTGCTCGTTTGTGTTAGCGGACTGTTTGGTTTCATATTACGAGTTTTTGTCAAGGGTTTCGACAACGACTTACTTCTCCTGTAATTCATTATTACAGCAGGTTGCTTTTTGTCGCTGTATAATAGTCTCTTGTCTTTGTACGTTTTGGCTTCGTTTCGACTAGTATCGCGGATTTTTTATCGTGTTACTCCGAACTAATTGGTCTCTTTATTTTCTCCTCATTTCTTTCTCTCGGTTTAGTAATTTCTCCCCATATCTTTTAAATAGCGACTTTTGAAAACTACTCACAATGGGATTGCTGGTCGTGGGTACTCCTCTCTCATGGGAAGAATCGAAAAAATACTTTGATCATGTTCGTGAAAATGGCATTGAACAGTTCATCCACATGTACGAGAATGGTTTGAAAAAGACGAACGACATTCTCCTTTGGGGTGATGAAATTGAGTACATTGTCCTGTCTGTGGACGAAGATCATAAAATCGCTCGCGTCTCCTTGCGTCAGGAAGACATTCTTGAAGCTTTAGAGGAACACGAGAAGAGCGGCTTTGCCGTAGATGCTTCGTCTCTCATCAGCGGCATGCACAATTCCGTCCCCATTAAGCCAGAAGAATTGCGTGAGTTGTTCCACGAACAAGTCAACGAAAACAAAACCCCCGACTTAAAGAAGCCTTTCCGTGCTGAATATGTTACGCCTACCTTCCACCCGGAATACGGCCGTTACATGGTGGAAAGCACTCCTGGAGCACCATATGGTTCTACCTTGGAGGACTTGCTGAACGTTGAAGCAAACATGCTGATGCGACGCATTATCATTCAGCAGCACTTGGCGAAAAACGAGTTCCCAGTAACTTTGACCAACTTCCCCCTGTTGGGAGCAAAAGACTTCACTGACCCTCCTACTACGGCGAATGGACCCATCTCACGTTCGTTTTTCTTGCCGGACGAGGTCATTAATAGTCATGTCCGGTTCCCAACACTGACTGCGAATATTCGTACGCGCAGACGTCGCAAGGTCGCTATGAATGTCCCTATCTATGTTGATAAGAACACACCTCAACCCTTTCACGACAATACTATTCCTTGGGACCGCGATTTGTTCCCCGAGGATGTGAATGCCCGTGAAGGTGCCGCGTTAGATAATCACATTTACATGGACAGTATGGGTTTTGGTATGGGGTGTTGTTGTCTCCAACTTACCTTCCAAACGACTGGCGTTGATGAAGCTAGAAAACTGTATGACCAGCTCACACCTATCGCTCCTCTCATGATGGCACTCTCCGCGGCCACTCCCGTCTTCCGTGGCTTTTTGGCCGAGCAAGATTGTCGTTGGAATGTGATTGCAGGTGCGGTGGACGACCGTACGGAGGAGGAGCTCAAAACCGTTCCTAAATCGCGTTACGACTCTGTTGATTGTTACATCGCCAACGATCCACGTAACCTTTCAGAGTATTCCGATGTGCCGTTGGTGATGAACGATCGCTGCTACAAGCAGTTGAGGGACGCTGGCATTGACGAAAAGTTGGCTCGTCATGTTGCCCACATTTTCTTCCGTGACCCGCTTGTCATTTTTAGTGACAGTATTCACCAAGACAATACCAAATCGAATGGTTTTTTCGAGAACCTGAACTCTACAAATTGGCAGAGTATTCGTTTCAAGCCCCCTCCACCTCAAAGCAACATTGGCTGGCGTGTCGAGTTCCGTTCGCTTGAAGTGCAGCTCACGGACTTTGAGAATGCAGCCTATGCTGTCTTTGTTGTCCTGTTGTCTCGAGCCATTCTTTCGTTTAAACTCAACTTCTACATGCCAATCTCGTTGGTCGATGAGAACATGAAGCGTGCTCATGCCCGCGATGCTATTCACCGCCACAAGTTCTGGTTCCGCAGAAACCCGTTCCCTTCCAGTGCGGACACTGCTACTTCTAGTAGCCGGGATCAATTTGCAGAGTACACTTTGGACGAGCTTTTCAACGGTTCAGACGAGAATGGCTCCTTCCCTGGTTTTGTGCGCATTGTCCGTAGCTACTTGCATTCTTGCAATCCCAAGGCGAGTGTTCTCTACCGTCTTGAACGCTACATCCAACTCATTTCACAAAGAGCTTCTGGTGAATGCATGACAGCTGCCACATGGATCCGTCGTTTCTTTATGAACCATCCCGAGTACAAGCACGACAGTGTTGTGACGCAAAAAATGACCTACGATCTGGTAAAGAAGGTCTTGGACTTGGAGTCCGGCGGTTTCGATTCAGACCTTTTAGGAAAAACAAATGCTTAGAGGAAGCCGATCCCAGCTTCAACAAAACCACTTCAAACTGCTAGTTGCCTGCTTCGCCCAGTTTCCGTATTTCTTTGATAAACAGGTTTAAGTTACATGGACGATTCAATGACGATTCTTCATTCTGCTGCTCCGTGTCCGTTTTACGTGAACATAAACCCGCTTCTAATACACGGTTTGTTATGTTAATTTTCGTAATTAAAGTTACTATAATGAATGTGTGCGTTTAATTCTCATTCTAGCTGCATTGTTATTATTTTTACTATTAATATTGCTACTACCAGTACTACTACTATAACTGTATTACCAATGCCGCTCCTGCGTGCACCGAGGAGACACCAAGTAAGGGTTAGACGCTTGCTGATGCTGCCACCGCGCTACGCGTCTGGGTTCTATGACCTCATCGGAAATATGCCCGACCCTTACCGAGTACATTCCCTTTGAAGTTCGGAGCCGACGACGCCAAGCATCCTGAATTATGCATACTTCGCCATGCCACCTAGAAATCCTGGAATTCATACAGCGACGTACTCTGGCGTGGAAGTGTACGAATGCCTGATTAAAGGAGTCTCAGTGATGCGACGACGGCATGATTCCTGGCTGAACGCGACTCAAATCCTCAAAGTCGCGGATTTTGACAAACCCCAACGTACTCGAATTCTCGAAAAAGAGGTCCAAAAGGGCCATCACGAGAAAGTACAGGGCGGTTATGGAAAGTATCAAGGTAAAGAGGCTTTGAATTACGCGTTTTTTGCTGTTTCTGTCCCATGTTCTTGCATAGACGGGTCGTGTCTGACTATGGACGCGTCTTCATACACCGGAAAACAGTATGGCGGGAACGAGTGCTTCCGGCAGCAATTAACATGTGTTTCCTCAAAGAATATTGTCTAACGCTATTGTTAGGTACCTGGGTACCGTTTAAACGCGGTTTGGAGCTTGCTGTCCAATTTAAGGTTGACGCTGTAATGAGTCCTATCTTGGAATTCGACGTGAATGGTGAAGAACCACCTGCTTTAAAACGTTCTTCGTCACAAAAGTCGCGTTCTACTCCGGGTAGAACGCGTCAGAGAAAGAATGGAAACCATACTTCTAATGGAAATCTCGGCCGGAATTCGTCGACTGCATCCTCGTCCGAATCAATTGCAAAAGAGGAATCCAACATCGTTTCTTCTTACAAAAAACTTCCTAATGGTGCGAAACCGAGTGCTGGTCCCGTTAGTGCCATCGCAGCTGGCGACGACGACCGACGTCTATCGAGTTCTTCCATTGGGCGTGCACAGTCGTCTCCTAAATATGCTTCTAACTCTTATCACGACGTTACGTCTCAAAGTGCTGCTCTCGACACTCCGCTCGATAAGTATGAAGAAGCTCTCTTGGACTTCTTTCTTCACCCTGAAGAGTCTCAGATTCCCGCTTTCCTTTACAACCCGCCTTCCGACTTTCAGGTGAACAGTGTAATTGACGACGATGGCCACACATCCCTTCATTGGGCGTGTTCAATGGGTCATGTCGAAATGATAAAGCTTCTGCTTCGGGCAAACGCCGACATTGGCGTATGTAACAGGCTGAACCAAACACCGCTGATGCGAAGTGTCATTTTTACCAACAACTACGACTGTAAGGCCTTTAACCAGGTTCTAGACATGCTTCAATCTACACTGTATACGGTCGACGTATACGGCCAGTCCGTGCTGCATCATATCGCATTGGCAACGGCAACGCCTTCAAAGCTTCGAGCTGCGCAATACTACTTGGATTGTGTCCTCGAAAAGTTAACTTCCATGCAATCAGTGAACAATGTTTTGCGGCTTATCAATTTACAAGATACAAATGGAGACACTGCCATCTTAATATGTGCACGTAATGGCGCTGTCTCCTGTGTCAATGCGCTTTTAAGCTACAATGCAAACCCCAATTTATTAAACCGACAGCAGCACAGTGCTGCAGAGTTCATCGCGGAACTGGAAAAGAAAACCGATAACAACGTCGCTCCGCCTTGTTCAAGCTCACCCCCTTCTCGTCCCTTTACCTTTTCCGCACCCAGTATAAATAACACCTTCGGCACGTCTCAAGCCTTTGGCAAGGCAATTCCCTCCATCTCTGCTAAGTTTGCTCAGCTCGCGGAGACTTATAACGCTCAATTGCTTGAAAAAGATGAGGATCTCGTTCGAGCCACAAAATTAAAACAAGAAACGCAGCGAGAGCTTGAACAGACGCAACGGGAGTTGGAATCGCTCCGAAAAAATGTTCCAAACTTTGGCGTCCTCATTGAACGTGAAATTGATGATGTAAAAAACAGATGTGCAAAGGAAAAGCAAAACCTTGTTATGCTTTTGGAAAGTCGCCAGGCCGTTTTGTTAAAGGAAACATTAGACGTTCAACCACGGTTACAGAGTGCCAATGGAAACACTGAACAAGATCCACAACATGTTGAAGTTTTACGAGAACGGCTAAGAATGCTCCAGCGTAATAGAAGTAACTTGACACTTTCTATGATAAAACTTTATGAAGGACTCGGTATTGACGACACGGTGAACAGTTACAGACGCCTGATTGCTACTAGCTGTGGCATGAATGTAGAGGAGCTCGACTTGACGATCCTCGATGCCGTTGAAGAAGCACTAACACAAGAAACGAAGGGCTAGCCAATCCAAAACGTGTATATGTGTATGTGATGTGTGTGCTTGTTCACTTCTTCCTGTTGTTGTTCTTCCATTTTATCCCTTGCGCTGTTTCCCTTATGCTACATCCAGAATCGTTGTTCATTACTTTTCTTGCATTTTCGTCTCCCTTCCCGTTCATACTCATGGCATGTGTTTTCTTTCACTCTTTCCTGTTTTATTACCACAACACATCTCCCTCATATGCTCACCATTAAAGTGTCCCTTACTCGTTTCTCCTTTCCTTAAGTTGGGTGTAATGATTACGAACATTTAATTATCAAGATGAAGCTTGGTGCAGTTTAACTTAGTTGTAAATTCATAGCACCTTTTGAATCCAACTACCGTTCCACTTCGTCTACTGACTATCTAATAATGTTTACTGGTAGAGTAGCACCGCTACAGTCTACAATTGTTCCAAGTAGAAGAAGTATGCAGTAGAACGTCAAAGCCGAATCTTAATTTTTTTATAAACAAACATGATGATTCTCAAATGAAGTGAAGTATATTCGATCTATTGATCCACTTTTGTCTTTTTCGTTATTCACTTAAAGAACCCGTTTACTGAAGTCCAGCGTGCTTCACCGAGACTTTCATACACCAAAGTTACATCGGGTACACCTGCCGTCTGCCTTACTCAGGGAAAGGTGATTTTTTTGCTTTAAAACTTGTTCAAATGGATGCGTTTAAGCTCCTTACGACGGGAACTTCTTTAAAAAAGGCTGCCTCTGTTTCATTGGCGAAAAAACAAGAGGAAACTCGGATTCAAAAGATATTTTATACTGGTAAGGTAAAAGTTACTGGAACAAATCCAATTGAGCCGATAAAAGACTTCCCTGAATGTTTGTTCACCCAAAATTTGCACGAACAGGGTTTCAAGCAAGCTTCACCCATCCAGCAGTATGCAATTCCTGCTATTGAACAACGCCGAGACGTTTTGGCATGTGCTCCTACGGGATCTGGTAAGACGGTTGCATACCTGTATCCCATTGTACGGAGTCTTCAAGCTCATAAAGACGGTGGATTCCGTGCTGTGATTGTTCTGCCGACGCGTGAATTGGCAGAACAAGTGAATCGTCAATTGAAGCGTTTAATTGCACGGACGGACTTAAAAGCAATCTTCTACGACAAGTCCAACGAAAAAATACAAGAAAAAAATACGAAATTGCGTGAGATTTACGACATTTGTGTCTCTACACCAATGCGTCTCGTTCACGCCATTAAGTCGGGTCTTTCTCTGGCCAACGTTGAGTTTCTTGTCCTTGATGAGGCCGATCGGTTGTTTGAAAAGAACTTTGTTGAGCAAACAGACGGTGTTTTGAGTGCTTGCACACATCCACGCATTTGCAAGTGTCTTTTCTCGGCAACTCTTCCATCAACGGTGGAAGAGTTGGCTAAGACGGTAGCTCATGATCCCCTTCGTATCATTGTTGGCCAAAAAGATGCAGCTACATCAACTATTGAGCAGAAGCTTTTGTTCGTTGGCAATGAAGCTTCGAAGCTTGTAATCTTCCGTCAGATGGTTTCGGATGGTGAGATTCAACCTCGTGTTGTCATCTTTGTGCAAGACATTGACCGTGCGAAGGCTCTGTACACAGAGCTTATGTTCGATGGGATTCATGTTGCTGCCATTCATGGCGAACTTCCTCAGATGAAGCGCGACGAGGTTATGGCCCGGTTTCGTAAGGGCGAAGTTTGGGTTTTAATTGCCACGGATTTGTTGGCACGGGGCATTGACTTCAATGGAGTCAAGCTGGTTATCAACTACGATTTTCCTCAAAGTGTACACAGTTACATTCACCGTATCGGTCGTACTGGCCGTGCTGGTCACGGTGGCCGTGCAATTACGTTCTACACAAAAGAAGATAGCGAGTACTTAAAGCTCGTTGCTGGCGTCATGAAATCATCTGGTTGCGAGGTACCAGAGTGGATTATGGCGCTCCCTAAGCCCACCAAACAACTGAAAAAGAAGCTCAAATATCACGCTCCCGACCGTAAGCGTATTACGACTCGTTCTTCATACGATCGTCACAAGGAGGTTCGTAAAAAAGAAGCTATTCAACAAGCCAAAAAGCTAGCTTCTATAAAAAAACAACAGGAGAAGAAAAAGGAGAAAGTATCTGAGTCTGAGATGACAACAGACTAGATAAGGTGTGGATGTTTATTGTTTATATGCATGCGTTTTTAAGTGGACAACACAGGTATTCTTTCGTTTTGGATTTTGGGATGATGAGAGTTTTTACACATACTTAATACAATTTGTATTACTACATATTTAAGATAGCGCAGAATCCATGGTCTCCTACGGGTTTACGGACTCTTTTAAGTATAACTAGTGGCACTATATGTAAGTGCAAGCAGTAGGTTCGTTTTCATTTGTTTTTATTTATTACATTCTGTTTTCTTCATGACTATATTCGTAAGCGTCACATCACCGTTTATTAGCTATTGAAAGGAAAAAGACACCACTGGAAAGCAAACAGCACTAAAATTATCGTTGAAATAAGACTCTCGTCTTATAGGCGTTGTTTATTGGTGAAGTATGTCATCGTTTTCTCGTTTCTTTGGATCCATGAAGCATCTGGCATCCTCGTCTGCCTCTCAAATTGCATCTATCGGTAGGCCTTATATGAAACGCTTGTCACGTACGTCCTACAGGTGTACGAATTAGTTCTCTAATACAGTATCTAGGCTATCAAGAGCCTATCATGTATTGGACAAAGGTTTGGAGGGAATTTGGTAAGCAGGTTTATCGTTCGGAAAAAATAGGTTCAACATCTCAGTCAATGGTATGGTAAACGTCTTGCTTGAGATTGTTTCTAATAGTTTTGTAGAGACGGACGTCCCGCATATTTCAGGATTATTCCATGGAAGATATTAAACGAGGAACCTTTATTGCAATTGAACTATTAGGAATATTTTCTGTAGGACAAATGGTTGGCCGCCGGAAGATTACACCTTATAAGTAAAATGATTCTGCCCTATCTGTATTCTCTTGCTGTGCTTGTTTACAGAATTAATTTTCAGGGAATATGACATTGAAATACCATTGATGACAGAAATAATTAATGACAGAAACGAACAGTACTTTGTTTGGGTAAGGACACCGTTGACCATCAACTTGTATAATAGCTGTTCATGCAAACGCGATGACAAATATCCTTAAGCGAGAACCATCATTGCGCGCGAGTCTAATTTCTCATATGAATTAGAGTACGTTGGGAACAGGGAGTATATAGATCTTTCATTGAGTCTATTGATGTACCTTTCTTAATAAATCGCTTTCCATGATAAAATTGTCGATTTCATCGGCGCTACAGGCACATAATTAAGATGCATGTAATTACTACGAAAGGGGGCAATTAACATTATGTCAAGTATGAATCCTTGTATGCTGTGAATGCTTTCAAACCAAGTAAATTATTGTTTCAGTTTTGAAGTACAAACTCAGATTTCGAGAAAAGTACAATTTAAAATCGCTCAAAAAACCAAATCTCGCCTCTATAACCCGTTTAAAACGATCAACGAAACGTTTTCCTTTATCAAGCTATTGAACTTCTCGTTTCGCCTCCATTTCTCCTACCCTCTATAAACGAGCATTCCTTCGACCCGTCAACAAACGCAATTTATAGTACATGTAACACTCTCACATCAACACAAAACACGAAATTATCAACAGTTTCAGGCAGCTGGAGTAGTTACTACGAAGATAAGACTTAGTCGTAAAAGTGAACAGCGCTCACGTCTTCACACACCCACACCCACCTTCCAAATTCAATTAACTGCCATATTGGCGAGGAATTTGTTTTTTCGTCTCAATGCTTTCTCGTTTCTGTAATACAGGATGGAGAGTTTTGTTATTTGCTAAATCTACTCATACAGGAAGTACTACTAGTTGTAACCGTCGTTTTCTAAGTCAGTCATCGCGACTTAATTACCGCAAACCCTTTTCTGCAAGCTTAATTAGAGGAGAAAGGGACAAGAAGCAGCCAGAGGGCTTCCCCGAAAAAGATGATCATGAGAAACACGTAAATAGTGAAGAGAATGATAAATCTAACGAACAACCAATTCGGAAAACAGAAGAGACAGCCTCGTCTCAAAACGATACGACCCCACAGGATGGGGAGGAGGATGGAGAAGCTTCTGCTGGCTCAATTCCGGAAGTCTATCCTCAATTGATGGTGTTACCAATTATGCGGAGACCATTGTTTCCAGGTTTCTATAAAGCTGTCGTTACCAAAAATCCCGTTGTTTCAGCAGCTATAAAAGAACTTGTCAAGAAGCGGCAACCGTACATCGGTGCGTTTTTGCTTCGAGATGAAGATAAAGACACCGATGTCATTACAGACATAAAACAAGTTTATCCTGTCGGTGTATTCGCCCAAATCACTAGCATCTTTCCAGCGAAAAACGCCGGTGAAAATGCGTTAACTGCGGTCTTGTATCCACATAGACGCATCCGAATTACTGAACTTATCCCGCCAAAGTCAACCCAGGAAGCCGTAAAGGCTAATGTCAAAGATATAGAGAACGAACAGCAAGAAGAAACGAAAGAGGAAGAGGAACCCGAACAGCCGCATCAATCTGCTGAAGATTCGACGGCACTTCTTCCAAATAAGGATGAACAGTCATTGCTTGTGCCAGATGAAAACACACCGGGTGGCACTCCGCCTTCAACGTCTTCGTCTGTTCCAAAAAACGATTATTTACCGCTGCAGAACGCTTCAGCAATCCTAAAGAATTTCAATGTCTCGTTGGTTAAGGTTCAGAATATTCCAAAAGAACCTTACGATCGTCAAGATCCTGTTATCAAGGCTGTGACTTCTGAAATTGTTAATGTGTTTAAGGACATTGCGAACTTGAACCCACTTTTCCGTGATCAAATCGCCAACTTCTCTATATCTCAATCTACTGGTAACGTATTTGATGAGCCAGAAAAGCTTGCGGACTTTGCCGCTGCTGTATCCTCCGGTGAGCTTGACGAGCTGCAGCAAGTTTTGGAAGCTAGTAACGTCGCTGATCGCCTGCAAAAAGCTCTTTTTGTGTTAAAGAAAGAACTCTTTAACGCACAGCTTCAGAGTAAGATTAGCAAAGACGTTGACCAAAAAATCAATCAACGACAAAAGGAGTTTTATCTTATGGAACAATTGAAGGGAATCAAGCGGGAACTCGGCTTGGAAACTGATGGAAAAGAGGCTCTGGTTACAAAGTTTCGGGAACGCACAAAAGATTTGCGAATGCCCCCTGAAGTAGAGAAGGTTTTTAATGAAGAGCTTAGTAAGTTCCAGCATTTGGAGCCTGTTGCCTCTGAGTTCAATGTTACACGAAACTACTTGGACTGGCTCACTGAACTTCCTTGGGGACGAAAAACTACGGAAAACTTCAACTTGGAAAGGGCGCGCACTATATTGGATGAGGACCACTTTGGCCTGAAGGATGTGAAGGACAGGATTTTGGAACTCGTTGCGGTCGGAAAATTACGTGGCACAATGCAAGGCAAGATTATCTGTCTTGTAGGCCCCCCTGGTGTCGGCAAAACATCAATTGGTCGTTCCATTGCTCGTTCACTTAACAGGGAATTTTACCGTTTCAGTGTTGGAGGTCTTACGGATGTTGCCGAAATCAAGGGTCACCGAAGAACTTATGTCGGTGCTATGCCAGGTAAAGTTATTCAGGCATTGAAGAAGGTGCAGACTGAGAACCCTCTAATTCTTATTGATGAAATTGACAAGGTGGGTAAAAGTCACCAAGGTGACCCTGCAAGTGCTCTTCTTGAACTTCTAGATCCCGAGCAGAATTCTGCCTTCGTTGACCACTACATGGATGTGCCGGTTAATTTATCTTCTGTACTTTTCGTCTGTACAGCAAATACCTTGGACACCATCCCAGCTCCTTTGTTGGACCGTATGGAAGTGATCGAACTTTCAGGTTATGTTCTTGATGAGAAGATTAATATCGCAAAGGGCTATTTAATTCCTCAAGCTAAGGAGGCCTGTGGTCTGAAAGACACGAACATAAACATCACCGATGGCGCTATCAAAGGACTTATTCGTTATTATTGTCATGAAAGTGGTGTTCGTAACTTGAAGAAACAAATCGAGAAGATTTTTCGGAAAATGTCATTTAATATCGTGAAGAAGATGGGTGAAGAAAAATTACCTGAAGAAGCAGGCGTAACAAAAGAGGGAAGTGAAGCCTTGGAAGCACAATCAGAGCAAGTATCTGAACATGCTACTTCTTTTAAGCCTCGTGTGCCTATCAAAATTCCGGAGGTAATAAATTTAACAATTACGGATAATGACTTGAAAGACTATTTGGGCCCTGCTACCTTTTTGTCTGACAGACTCTACGATATAACGCCCGCAGGAGTTGTTATGGGTCTTGCGTGGACACGCTTGGGAGGTGCTACCCTGTATGTGGAGTCTATCGTGAAGAACAAGCTTACTTCTTCATCACAGCCGTCATTAGAACGAACGGGCCAATTGGGAGATGTGATGAAGGAATCGTCTCTTTTGGCTTATTCTTATGTTCGAAGTCTCGTGGCAAAGCGGTTCCCTGACAATCAATTTTTCCAAAAAGCCCAAATTCATCTTCATTGTCCTGAAGGAGCGGTACCTAAGGACGGACCTTCTGCGGGTATCACAATGGCGACATCGTTATTGTCGTTAGCTCTTAATATGCCAGTGGCTCCTGATATTGCCATGACAGGCGAGCTCACACTTACCGGTAGAATTCTTCGGATTGGTGGACTTCGTGAAAAGGCCGTAGCCGCTAAGTTGTCCAATGTCAAGAAGATTATATTTCCAAAAGATAATCTTTCAGATTGGGAAGAATTACCACCTTATGTCAAGGTAGGTCTTGAGGGATATCCTGTGGAATGGTATGAACAAATGTTTGACATTGTTTTCCCAACTGCGACGTATGAGAAATGCAATTCATTATGGCCTGAATTGCTGAAGGAAGATACGGTTCAGAAATCATCTCGTGTTACTGCAGTTGTGAACTAATTCCTCAAACGAACCAGTTTTGTAAAGTAGCCAATTAAGTTTAATTTAACGGCGTTATGACTTTTACGATCATATAAGTGTGTAGTTTACTTTTCCTTTCTTTTATGTGTAGTCTTGCTTTTTTTATATTAATGACGATGAAGATATGCAGAGAATCGTGTGAAAGAATGTCAAGAGACTGTTAAGCAAATATGCATAGGCACGAAAAGTTATGTACTCTTTCCTGCCATGAACATATTCTACCTCGGTATAGATTGGTAGACTTCTCAAATGGGTTTATTGACAATCATACGAAAACAGAAGCTAAAAGAACGAGAGATACGAGTACTTTTACTGTAAGCATTGAAAGCACATTTTTCTAGATGATATAACTAAATTCTCGTAGTGGTCTTGATAATGCTGGAAAAACAACTTTTTTAAAACGTCTACTTAATGAAGATGTAAAGAACGAAATATTGCCAACTATTTGCATCATTAACATCAATACAGGTTACAAGTGTCTCACCAACATTTGGATTTCAAATTAAAACAATAGAGCTATCTGGATTTAAACTCAATATTTGTAAGTAAAAAATGTCATCAGAAAAGATCCTAACGCAGTAAGGGGACATTGGAGGCCAGAAAACCATTCGTAATTTTTGGAGAAATTACTTTGAGGCAACGGATTCAATAATATGGGTCGTTGACGGACTCGATGAAGATCGATTACATACTTGCAAAAATGAGCTTCAGAAGCTATTGGAAGAGGAAGTATGTTGTGTTTTTTATTGAGTTTATTTTATGTGAACATTAGACTAATGAGTTGAACAGAAATTACTCGGTGCGAATCTACTTATAATAATAAACAAAATGGATGCCATGGAACCATCGGTCGTGGTAAAAGTTGAAGATGTAAGTTTTATTATTTAAGATAATGTTTACATCGCTCTAACAAAACCCTTAGGAAGTTAAGGCGATGAAGATTAAATCACATCATTGGAAGGTCATTCCAGTGTCTGCCTTAACTGGTAAAAATGTAGAGAAAGCAATAAATTGGCTATTGGAAGACTTGAGATCGACCAAATTTGATCCATCGCCTCGAACACAAGCTGACAAATAATTAAAATTTTCATGATTGAAGATAATTTGTAACACATAAACCCTTGGTTTCTTACGCTCACCCACATATTATGGCATCGTAATAAGAAATTTTTATTTTATGTCTCTTCTTCCTCTAAATCATTAAGAAAGGGTTGTTGAAAATGTGTGTCTAGTTCAAAATATAGTTTCCTAAATTGTTAGAGACTATTGTGTTATGTCCGTACTTACATTTTTCTTTTGAGCCAAAGTTCAATTATCTTTTGACGATTTTTTATGCCCAAATAATTTCTTGGAAATGAACCATCATGTACAAAAGCAATGTTGTCTAGGATGAACTTGTGAACAGAAAGTACCTTTGTAACAATTAAGGCTGCCAGCGTTGCTAGACAATTTTCCAGTTTAACCTCAACGAGCAAACATATGTTCTCGCCAGCTTGAAATAGCACACTAATATGTTAGCTAAGAGGTTATGAAAATGTGTTGACTTACCACCCATCTTTTGAAATGTTCGAGTGACATCTTTCGACCATCTGTTCAATATCGATCACAAAATGGTTAAGGCCATTTATCTCAAGTGTATCCCATATATTTCCTAACACATAAAGCTTCAGTGGGGAATCGCTATTAGAGCCTTGATTATGTGGCCGACTTAAAAATCCCAGTAAACCAGTGCGCAAGAAACACTTATGAGACATTCCGGGTTCTTCCATATATCCTTCCGATTCGATAGGAAAACCAAAGCCATCGCGGTCTAGGTTACACGCTGCTCCATGGGGGCCATGATACCAGATTTCACCGATTCTGTTTTCAGTCAAAAGTACCCTTTTTTCAGGATGTACAACACATATGTCAGTAAAGTGCATTCCCTGTTTTGGTTAGAATGATTCATTTCTTTTGACTTACTTCACCAGCACTTGTTAACAGTAAATTGTTGCCAACGTCAGAAGATTGTTCTTTAACTAAACCTTCTCTAAGCGCTTCAAGTGAAAGTACAATGTCATCATTTTTAGATAGGGCAAGGTTTATGTATGATAAAATAGGCTGTTGTGCATGCGAAAGGACGAAATAAATTGCATCTATCGCCAACTTTTTATCATTCAAATAAGTTTTTATCTTTAGCACTAGAATAGCGTTAGTAAAATACATCGGTTTCATGTGACATACGCCTTTGAGAATAAAGTCTCTCAGAGAAGGGCACAATCAGTGCGTGTATAAAGGTGAAGTCTTCATCGGGTATGTTTTTAATAAACTGATAAAGGAGATACTTTGGGAGAAACATATGCGAGATTTTATGCTTCAGTAAGGAATCTGATATCATCCCAAATCTGGTTGACAAATCATCTTCGGTTAGAAGAAAAGTAGTAAAGCCTAAAGGTTAGTCTCCTCATAAATACCTAAGACACATACCACAGTAAATGCCCATTAAAGAACTTAAAACTAATCCCAAGCCATGTGAAAAGTCAAATCCAGCCATTAGACTGTCAGTTGAAGAAATGTGAAATGCTTCCTTTAATTCCTTGCAGAATTGGATCAAGTCAAAATGGCAGAAAGAGGACGTGGAGACGATTCCGTCTATGGCCCTGTTAATCCATATAACGGCAGGTGCTCGATCCTTTATTAACTCTCTAATACCGCGAAAGCGCAAATGCTTTGTTGATTTTTTGGAAAGGGGAATTCCCGTTGTACAGAGAGTCTTTGGCATTTTTGTTCTAAAAAGAGAAGAGCGTTGCTTTATAGCCTGAATAATAGGTTTTGATTTCCAAGCTAAAAAGCCACTCTCATCTATTAAAATTGCAGTCACTTTGAATTCATCAATGAGTCGAATAATCAGGCCAATTTCCTTTTGCAACTGTAAGTTTCCAATCTTTTGAAAAGGTATGACAGTGATTCCAAGGAAAAAACAACTGTAAAGTGCGAACACAAATTCCATAGGATCTTCATATATCAACAACATTATTTGAGATGGCTTCGGCTTAAGAACCAATTGTATATACTCCATTATAGAAGCAATTCTGTAATCGACTTTTCTCCATGAAATCTCTGAACACTCAGTAAGCTTTGAACTAAGGTTAACAAAACTTGTTTGTAAAGGCGTCTTTGAAACACGAAGAAGAAAAAGATCCAAAATTGTGTTATAGAGAAGAAGCCTATCTGAAATTTGATTAGAGGCTTCGATGTCCTTAGTCGTAAACATATTCTTTTGAAGAATCTTTGATTCCTGCTGTTGATTATAGTAATCAAACATTTCGGATGACCAAATTCCATGGACAATATCTTTTCCAACGGGCAAACATGAGATAGCACGATCAACGAAGAACTTGACATACTTTGTCGGTAAAGTTCCTAACAAAAACTCATGTCTGCATTCATGTGGATTAATTAGACTGCCAGCGGTTTCCATATTCCGAGGTAGCTTATTTGTCCTTGAAATAAATACAGCATAAAGAGAGAGTTTATAGGAAAAGTTGAGGTACTCACAGCAATTCTGGGCCAATTCTTCAAATATAGGTAAGAAATCTTTTTCGAGAAATCGCAAGGCACAATGCTGCGCAGGCTCTGCTAAAGTCGTCTCAATTATTAAAACTGGGTAGTAGTCATCCTCAATTTTAATGTCGAACAAGACTGCTTCATGGATGTTAGGTATTCGTTTCATCAAATCTCTGATTAAGAACTGACTGTAAAAGAGTTGAAGTTTCTTCACTAACTTCCCGTTCTCAATTTCGTGCTTATTTTGTCGAATCTGATCTTCTTTCCTACCCACAACTATGATATGGCCTTCACGGAGGAAACCATAAATGTTTGTGCGAAAGAAAGAAGATTCGCAAATAAAGGATTCTGACTCGTTATCACTTGCGATGATTGGATGTTCAGGAAGACAGTTGTGAAACTTGTTATCGAAGAAAAGTTCTGTGGGCAAGCATTTGGATTGAACCCATAATTCACCGATTTCATTTATTTTGCAAAGCGAGTGGGAGTTTGGATTGACCACAACAACCGACGAGTTGATAATAGGCAACCAAAATGGTGATAAACATAGAATATCTTCGGGATTGTAGTTACAAGTTTCGAGAAACGATATGGTGTGAACCGTATTTTTCCATAAGGGTTGTTTTAGGACTAAGAGCTCTTGATAGAAATCCTCGTGCATCGGCCCATTAGTTAAATACGTGTCATTTACCATTAGCCAGTCTTTCATCGAAATGGATATCCCACCGTATTCATCTAATGTAAGGAGGGGTGCAACAATATCGCGCGAATATAAACATCCTAATGGCCGAAGCCATCTGTCAGACAGTAAGGCGTTGAACTCTGGATCCACGATGTTGCAATGAATTAGACATAGTTTAAGCAGAGAGAAGTTAACGTCAAACTTTTTACGATATGATAAAGTAGATCGGGGATCTTCTTGGTAATTAAAAACAACGTTTTTGAGTCCATTATAATCACAAAGAAGCATTGTTGCCTGGTATTTTGATATGGCGAAAGCAAATGTGCCGGCAGTCGAAATGGCTTCTGGCTCACAAATAACACTAGTGTAACCGCTAAAGAGAGCATTCCAAACTGTGAACGTCAATCCAACAGATCTGCGTGGATCAAGATATGTGAGAAGCACCTCTCCTCTAACGTTGAGCTGTGTTGCACGTTTCGTTTTGTAGTTTTTTATACCATGATCAAGTGGATTAGTAATGAGTGCCGTTGTAAGTGCCTTCACCTGGCTCATAATTGTTTTATTGCGAAATACAATGGCCTTTTTTGAAGATACAGTCGGCTTTATAAAGTCGATATATGCGATGTCATCCTCATTAGAGTTTAAAGACAGCACACCCGGAGGAACTTTAAAGTTACTAACTTCATTAATTTTCCACCATGAGATATCCTTTCGTTGCCCTATAGACGTTTCACGAATGAATATCTTGAATGTCGATTCAGTGAGCATAACATGTTTGGACTGCGTTTCCGAGAGAATAAACAGAAAGTCTTGAAAGGATAGTGAAGGCATCACCGGAACCACTATAATTCCTACGAGCATGCATGCCAAAAAGCAGGAAATATAATCCACAAACTCTGAACGCCGGTAGTAGAGGATTACGATTTCCTGACTCTTTATACCAGCATGTTTCGATAAGAACATTGCGAGTTTCTCAGCTCTGTCATACAGCCTTGACCATGTGCAGCAAGCGACTTCTCGTCCTTTGTTATCAAGGGTTATAAATGCTACCGAATCCGGATTGACTGTCTTGCGATACTGAAACAGGCCAGAAATGGTATGCAGACTTGCCATTGAGTTCTGCGGAAACTGAGGATCATTGATGATGAATGGCACGCGGCGTGGTAACGTTGGTAATTGCAAACGATTTAAGACAGACGAACAAGGGAAGGAGAGTGTACTCTTCTTGTCTTGTACTTTAATAGACTGCTCAGAGACTTTGTCGCCATTCACCAATGGCTGTCTATCTCTTTTCGGCGAACTACAAGGTTGTGTTTTCACTTGTGCCGCAGGATACTCCATGGCCTTCGCAATTGAATGCGACTCAATTGAATTCATGGATAGAACAGGGCTATTTGATAGCAGTTCAGATGAACTCCTATGTTTTTGATGCATGGATGCAATTGTTCTTGAGTGGATTGGGATAGTTGTTTGTTGACATACTCTTCCCAAAATGCATTACGAATATGCAGTATGTAAACAAACGACGATCTTATGTGAACCCCATGTAAGTAGCAAACAAACATGCATAGGTCCTAGACAGTAAAATATCACCCAGTGACAGAAGTAGACAGTATTTTGAGCATGGATGAGTATATTCATCCATTAGATTACAAAGTCCATTTTTCTAATTAATGATCGAGTCGATATACGACTGACACAAAACAGAGGACGAATCTGTAATTAAGAACGGCATTTTCATCGTTCTGTAATGTAATGGAGAAGGAGACTCGTGTTGGAGGCAGTCGCTTGGGATGAATGCAGATTAAGGTTACCTGCGAATGCGTATACGCGCGGTTTGCGACATGTAGAAATGGATGAATCAAAGAACCTGATTAATAGGAGAAAGGCGTTGTATTGCAATGAGTAAATTTGTAAACGGTATTACTATGTAATCAAAGATTCTTCTTCACATAACGAACCTTTTTTATCGAAAAAATAATATGCTTGATGAACTTTATTTCTCAAAGCGGCACTTTATTTGAAATCCCTGTTACCCCTGTAAACCCCTCCAGCTGAATCAAAACATTATTCGTATTTAGATTCATAAAACAGAAAGCGAAAGTTAAAATTACTAATGGCTTGCATGTGTAAAGGAGAAGGGGCAACTTGCACCAAACAACTCATGCTGAGAGTTTGGTTTGTTAAAACGGCTCCGTGTTTTTTTGTCGGCTCCTTTCTAAAAATTAGGTCCTTTCTAAAAATTAGGATAAACACGCAACATCTGTTTCTACAATTTCCCTATGATGTACAGACTCCTAACCAACCCTGTTGAATACGAAGCAGTGATTTTTGCAGAAGGAATTCTTCACTCGGAAGCATATAATCGGGTGCTAGTGGGGTAAGTTTCAGTGTGACAGTTTTCTGACATGACATAACGATACCGATGGTGCGACGCGATCTTCGGAGTTAGTGGTCGGTTTGAATAATTATTGGTTAGTCAGGGTCACCCCTGCGCGAGTACGAAGAGGGGAACATCATGCTTCGCGTTTGTTCTCGCCTAGTCGAATGACGATCGCAAGAGTCGGCTTGCCGTGGATCAAAAGACCCTGAGAGTTATGGGACCCTGAAATTGCCGCTCAAGCAGATAGGCTAGTATGGCAGCCGAAAAAAAATCGTAAACCAAAATTTGTTTTTGATACTAAACACGTTGTGTAGTTTTTCCATCTGGTACTATATGTCACTAGTTATTTGTTAATTAATTTATAGCTTTCAATTGAGTTATATTATTGTGCTGTGCTAGTTAACACATCACACATGCCGGGCGACGATGGAAAAGTTGCAGCACAAGACATGAGCACTTTGTTTTCGCCAAAAAGGGACAGCCCATGAGCAGGATGTTGAGCATGAGATGAAAAAGGGCGGATTATTGCTGAACAGGGTTTGCTCGTGTTCTCATTATTTTCGGAATCATGACATGAACTGCGGTAAAACACATGAATTATCATGAGCGGTTTTCTTGTGAACGTATCCGGTGCCCTTATCCACGTTACAATCTGTGGGCAGCCGGGAAGATGATCAAGGGAGTTGCGGAGCTCTAGACAGGGTGAGTATTTTTTTTTTTTACGTAAGGTAAAGAAACGAGAGTATAAATAATTGCTGTAAATGCAACATGTATACCATTCAATTGAATTTGTCCATCTCTAGGGCCATTCAGTTTCTAGCTATTCTCAGAGCCTTCTTCTATTTTTCTTTTTACTAAACATCTTTGCTTCCGACTGCCAATATGGTTGCATTGAAGAGTCTTGTCGCCTACGCCGTTTCTTCCGTTTTGTTCGGAACTGCTGCTGCCGTTGTTCCTTGGTATGGACAGTGCGGTGGTATCAACTATAGCGGTTCTACTGATTGCGCTGAGGGTAGCGCTTGCAAGTACTCGGATGCGTGGTACAGCCAATGCGTTCCTGGTGCATCCAATGATGGCTGCCAGATTGTTTATGGCCAATGCGGTGGCATTGGTTGGGAAGGACCTACTTGCTGTGCTTCCGGTTCCGAGTGTATAAAGCAAGGAGACTATTATTCGCAATGCACCCCTAAACCTCCCAGTGAAGAATGCGCTCCCTGGTGGGGTCAATGTGGTGGAAACAATTGGAATGGTCCTACTTGTTGTACCGAAGGCAGTGCTTGCAAATACACCGGTTCTTGGTACAGTCAGTGCGTTCCCGGTGCTGCCGATGATGGCTGTCAAATCGTCTACGGCCAATGTGGTGGCATTGGTTGGGAGGGTCCTACGTGCTGTGCTTCTGGTACTTACTGTCAGTACCATGATCCCTACTACTCTCAGTGTGTTGTTGGATCTGCCTCTTCCAGCTCTTCTTCATCCGTCCTTGCTGCGACGACGTCTTCTGTCCCCTCCAATTGGACATATCAGTCCAGTTCTATGAGTACATTCACTACTTCCACTCGCACTCGCTGTCACTAAGTATGGTGCTTTTCTATTTATGCAATTTTTGGCAATGCCTAATGAACTGAAAAAGTTCTTTTATTCTTTTTTGCTTATTATTTGATTTCCAACGACGATACATGATGATTGAATTATTTTTAACTCAATAAATAAGGTTATTTCCTGTACTATTTCGATTATTGTGTGAAACATCTTTAAAGTACCCATGAGAGTTTATCGGATTCAAAAAAGAGTCTTCGTATTTTTTCGAATATATTACGACCGACTATTCAATCCTTTTTCTTTTGCAACAACAGAAAATTCATTTTTCTTCATTCATGTGACCACTTTAAAATTGTCGCGTCGCGCTTCCTTTGTGTGCCGAGTCGCGTCTAGTTAATCCCAATCAAAAGGCAATTCTCGTAGAACCAAACATGAAACGGCGGGCGCCCTTTAAGATTCCTTCGTAAGTGAATATTTCTTTACCTGTTTACACAGTAACTAATGCATCACACTAAGAACTATTCATAAAACAAACCCATCAGCAAATGCAATTGCTTCAAAACAAACTGAATTGGAACAGAGTGAAAAGCCACTGAGAGTATTCTCCATACTATGGTAACTATTATATTACGAATCTTATTGCTTACTCGATTGTATTTTAGGAGAAAAATAACATTCAAAAAACACAAGACTTGGGAAGGAGACGGGATTCTGGTCATCCAAGGGAATCAATGCAGTATTCATAATTTGGATGGAGAACGGTACACGTGTTTGTTCAGCAAATTTTGAAGCTAATATAGACAGCTTGGGCGGCTCGAGTATTCGTGGAATCGACTTTTCAATCGGTTCTGTTGTTAGAGTATCTGGAAAAGAAATATCAGTATGAAAAAAAAATCATGAAAGTCGCTTGTTCTTACTCAATACAGCTTGAAAATACGATTACTGAGGAAGAGTATTTCAAAGGGAGCTTTCTAAATACGACAGTTAGTATCGAACCAGTTAAACCAGAAAAAAAGTTAAATACGGCTTTTGTTATGCCATTGTCCAAAGAGGGTCAAGAAAAGTTGCACAAGAAAAAGCTTCCTGTTGCAAGGCATGATCCAAACGCTCCAGATGCACTTGTTATGGAACGTATGCAACCTTGGGATGAAATGTAAGTTAAAAACACAGTTCGTCCGGTCTAACAAATCGATGAAGGAGAAATGTCGATGTAGTCATTGACCCAAGACTGGCAAAAATACTTCAACCTCATCAAAAAGAAGGTGTGTCTTTTCTTTACAACTGTCTTATGTCCATTGGAAGACATAATTCATACGGAGCCATTCTAGCGGACGAAATGGGTCTTGGAAAAACGTTACAGACAATAACTGTACTATGGACTTTACTTAGTAAGTCATACATACATGTCCTTAGCTAACACTTTCTAAAGAGCAAAATCCTATAGCAAACGCAGCACCTCCTTTAAAGAAAATTATGATTGTATCACCTGTGACATTGTTACAGGTAAGTTTCGTTGAAATTGGGAATACTGCTAAATTTTAGAATTGGAAAAACGAATTTATAAAATGGCTTGGTACTGAACGCATTCATGTGATGATTGCCAAATCAACTGTTGAATTTAAGGAGTTTATCGGTAATGTTTCCTATTCTGTCGTTCTTGTTGGTTATGAAAAGGTATGTACAATAACCCATGTACTTCTGTTGACAATTTCAAGGTTCGGTCTTTTTTACAGGACAACATCGATTGTGACAAAATAGATTTAGTTGTTTGCGATGAAGGTAGGCTAATTGCTAATGATTGAGCTAACTATATAAGGCCATCGACTAAAATCGATGAACAGTCAAACCGGAATAGCTTTACAGAAGTTAAAAACAAAACGCAGGCTATTATTGACAGGAACACCGATACAAAATGGTAAGCTAGACAAATTTTGAAAAATGTTAACAAGCTTTTCTTACTAGACCTCATGGAGTTTTATGCAATGGTGAATTTTATTATGCCTGGAGTACTGGGCAGTCAAACTTCATTCCGTTCACAGTATGAATTACCAATCCTTCGCAGCAGACTTGTGAATGCATCAACAAAAAACGTCTTGTTAGGCAATGCACGACTCGAAAGGGTATGTATTCTATTAATTCAACTGAGAGGTAAACATTAACGCAATTATTAGCTGGCTCGATACGCGAGTACGTTTGTTCTACGACGAAAAATAGATGTTCTAAGCGAGACATTGCCACCGCGAAGTATGTTACAAGTTCACTGAGATTTGCTACTAATACATAAGCCGATGTCACTATTTTCCTGAAACCTTCTAGATCTCAGGAACTCCTTTATGAAGAACATTTAGATAAATTCTGGAAGGACCGTACACTTGAAAACGAGAAAACATTTCCATTGAGTACACTCACTGAATTGAATTGTTTATGCAATTCTACTCGACTTATCCAACATCAAGAAAATACGGTATGTTTCTTTTTTTTTAATACAAGCTAATAAAACAAGGATTTATCTTTAAACGATTTGATTGCTTCGTCAAGCAAATTCGAATTCTTAAAAAGCTTGCTATTAGAATTCAAAAATTCTCAATTAAAATGTGTGATTGTTTCCCAATTCACTGAAACATTAAATTTGATTGAAATACTTCTTAAACACTTATTAATCACACATTGCCGTCTTGATGGAAGTACACCGACCAACACACGACAGAGCCTTGTTGATCAATTTAACTGTTCAACTTATGAACATCTGTGTAAGAACTACTTTTTATACGATTAAGCTAATAGCAGCCGTTTTCTTGCTCTCAAACAAATCTGGCGGAGCAGGGTTAAACCTAGTTGGTGCGAATCGACTAATTCTATTTGAGCCCAGTACGCCAGTCACAGTAATGCTTGAATTGATTGTTTAGCTAATTAATTAGGCTGGAACCCGGCTTATGATTTACAGGCTTTAGGTCGAATCTATCGTTATGGCCAAAATCGAAGTGTTTTGATATACACATTGTTAAGGTAACTGTTAGAAATGTTGAGGATAAAACTAACATTCAGTACTGGCATGCTTGATGAGCAAATCTATATACGTCAACATACAAAAACAGGACTGTCCAATGCATTCATGGTATGATACCAAAATATCGAACAAAAACTATACATTCACAAACTAATCAATGCGTCACAGGATTCCGACACAAGTACACTAAAATACAAATTTCAAATGAAAGATATGAAAAACTTGTTTTCGTACCACAAACCTAAAACCTGTCTAATGCACGAATTGATTACCAAAACCGCATCAGTGCTTACTGAAAATAACTCGAAGCGAATTAATCACTGCAAAAACGAAGACATGAATGATTCGACGAATAATAATGTTTTGGAAAACAAAGAAGATGAATATAAAAAGGAATGGAGACCCGCGCGATTATTAAATGAAAACTTGAGCGAGGTGAGTGTGCCGAAAACAATAAGAAGCTGACAAATCCCAGAATACGCTTGAGCCGATCGTGTTGCTCGAAGGTTGGAATCATTACAACCTAAGCGATGAAGGGGTTCATTCGTCGAAAGAAATTAAATGGATTCCGAAAGACAGTATGCATTTGTGTGCATACGTCCTTGCGAAAACTCTGAAAAGTACAAAGTCTTCCGGCAGTGAATAAGAGGAAGGAAACGGAATTAAAATACAAAAGAGGAAACCTTCAGCTTCAATGATCAAATATTTTTGAAGACTCGAGTGTTTTCATGGACAACGGACAATCTTTGTGTGCGACAAGCAACATCTTAAGGTTTACAATTTCTTCACGTAGCATGTTTGCCTGAGCCAAAAGAGATTTGTTCTCAATATTGAAGTATTCAACCTTTGCTTGCAACTCAGAAATCCATTGTTTTTTCCGTTGTCTGCATTTGTAAGCGGCCTCACGGTTCCGTTGCCTGAGATACTCCTTTCTCGACATGGACTTCCTTGGTGTCATTCCATCATTTACGGACTCGGAATAGTGCCCGTCCTGCGACATCATAAATTGTGACGCAGGGGACGATTCAATATCGAAATCTGGCTTTAGAATGGGAAGATCAAGGTTTTGCTTTTCATCCTTCATATCTAGCGGGTAGGCAGGAGAAGGCGAAAATCCAAGCGACTGGGAGGGTTCAACTTTATCAAAAGATCCCCATTCTAAACTTTCTGCTTGTGGGTTCAAATAATTCATATTTGGCATCTTATCCGGTTGACTTTGATCGCTAAATAATAAGAAAGACGGATCATTCACAAGCTTTAAAGTATCCGCTTCGGCGTTTGACATGGGAACGTTTGTATCCATGGTGAAGTTCATTATCGAATCCTCCTACCTTTACACGAAACGAAGGCGTTTACAAGGCAATTGTTTGTGTTTTAGAAGTGCTGATACAAAAGCGGAAATATCGTCATACCACGTTAAATGGCTCAATTGATTTGTTTTGCTTACTTCAGAATTTTAGGAAGAGGTTATGTAAACAAATAAGGTTTGGCGGCCGAAGCGACTTGCGACAAAACAACATAAAAAAAGCGAAATATAAACAGTAGCTAAATGAAAACTTGGTATCAAGAGTCTCCTCTAAGCATAAATACTAGGTTTATACGATTATGAATAATATCCTGAATACTAACTGCGGCTGAATAATACGAGACGAATACAAATTGAAATAAAGACATAGAAACTACGCAAAAACCAGTTCAAAGTCGACCTCTAATACCCCTAACAACCCCTGCATGTCGTTCCTCTATAAAAAGGACATAGTATTTATGTGTTTGATGAGAAGAATCCCATTAGAACTTCATAGTCGTAGATCATCAAAAAAGAATAGGAAAGGAAATTCGTGAGGAAACGCATACGAACGAAACGCATCTAAAGATGCAAACCTGACTAGAAAGCAATATTCAATCTAATGAATAGCATCAGCGATGTGCAGGGCCAAATCTTCGGCTTCAGCGCGCGTACTGGCTTCTGCGTAAACTCTATTTTAGAAAGGGTTAAAATTAAGGGAACAGGGAGAGTAAGAATTACATACCGAACAGCTTCTTCTGTTGCAGAAGAACGTACAAACGCCCGGCCGTTTGTATATTTTGCGACAAGTGCATCCACCTTTGCCTGCATGCCTTCAGGTGTTACAAGTCGACGCTCAGCGTCCATTGTGGTAAACTTGCTTGGATCATTGACCTCACAACGAATGAGAAAATTGGGTAACTCTGTGTACAACTGATTCCACTCCTTCAGCGTCCAATTCTTGTGACACAACACCGCTTCAACCAACAACATGTTAGCAAGCGCATCACCACTCGATTGGTTCGCCAGTGCCATGAAATTTTTGATCATCCGCAAAGCGGAAAACTGGGCCGGAGAAGAAACTTCGTAATTCATGATTGTTGCTCGAGCTGAGGGCGAGAAAATTACGGTTCCGTGGCCATTAGCCTCGAAACACACACCGATATCGTATGCTTGGCAACCTTGTTGCAAATTTTTTGGACCAGGAGATACAAAAACAACAGGCACCTTTAGCGACTTTTGGAAAAATGTAGTACTGGAGCCATTAGCATATGCGGTCTGTACAACACCTATTTTCAGTTCCAAACCAGCGGCACGAATAAGATCAAGAAGGAAAATGGTGAAAAGTGCGGCAATTTTGTCGCCATCAAGCAGATGGAAGCAGCGAATTCCACAACTAAAGTAAACGAGCCGATCACCATCACCATCAAAACAAGCACAGCGCTGGTGTTTTGAAAACTGGATTCCAATGGGCGGCTTCTGCTGTGTCTTTACGAAATCAGTTCCACACTGATAGTTGAGACGTTCAGGGTTATCAACGCTGTCATTTATAATTTTAACTTGAAGAACGTCCTCATCAAGAAAAGCCAGTAACGGTTTTAACTTCAGAGCCCCCACACCGTTTGCAGCGTCGATGTACAGGGTTCCGCGCGATGCTCTGCCTTCCATCATAGACAAAAAGCCACGGGCAAGCTTTTCGTAGTAGCCACGTTCAGTGGGAGTTCCGATGGACTCGGGCGTATCAAGGGTATGGTAAGCCTTAACAATATAATGCAATTGGGGAGTTGTGAGCAGTCCAAAGTCTTCATAAGCGGCCTTGCAGACTTTGAACGCGTCAAGAATCGCATCTACACACTGGGGAGAGGACGGACTGAAGAGGGTGTTAGAGGGAAATGCGAAAGGGAACACGAGGAAAAAGAAGCAAAGCAGAGGAGAGAGTAAAGCAGCGTGAGTTGTAAGTGCCATCACTTTCCTTTACTTCACAGAACCCCTCGCTGACATACATACCGAGTGTCCCGGGCAACCACAGTGTGGGGCATTGTGTTCAACTCGATGCCCGTCTTTTCGAAGAGACGGTAGAGACACATCGTCAGCTCGTCTGCCGAGTCAGCATTGACGATTTGGTTCAAAAATGAATTCCACTTGGACGCAACGGCCTCACTGAGAGTGTTGGTAATTTTGACACCGTTATCCCGATACAGGTTGTGCGATGCAGTGACCATGACTGAGAGTTAGCATGCAGTAAAACCGAGAAAGAAGGGTAAACGAAGGAAAGTCTAGAGGAGCACAAGAAACGCTCGGCCACTTCCCCGTCCTCATCCTTGTCCTACATACTTCCAACGACATCTCCTTGGTGTTTCATGGAGCACAAACAGGCGACAACGGCCGTCCGGAAGGCAATGCTGGGGACATATTCAGCTCTATTTCGTTAATAACCGAATGAAACGAAAGCGGTTTTTGCGGTTAAATATGAGAAATAAGTCCGACAAAATCATCGATGGGAAATTCAAGGTGCATAGTCGTCCACAGGCTGAAAACGCCTGAATACTAGGGTCCCAAGGCGGGCAGGTTTTAGGTTACTCACCTCGTTCGAAAGCCACCGACACCGTAGGTGACAGGGTGCGAATAGTTTCTGGGATACTTGTCCGATTCCCGGACAATGCTGGAAACCAGAGCTTCTACGGGAGAGATGGGAGAAACGTTCTCCATGCGTCGAGAATGCACAGATTGAGCCGTGCACTCGGGCAAGTCGAGCCCGTCGAATTGCGCACTGTAGCGATGCCGGAGGTGAATCTCGTTAAGGAGATTAAGAAGGGATAGTGAAGTAGAACGAACTGCGGGGAGGAACAAGGAAAGACAAGGAGGACTAAGGGGATACAAGGAGTCTTACGAAAGTGTGCTAATCCTTGGTGGAGTGTGCTAAACGTTATAGTGTGTCTTTACTGCACGTTATCTAGCATTGCGAATTGAGACACAGTTCAGCAGAGGCTCGTAGGTTTCAATAAAACACTGTATGATAGATAACGCAGTGCATAGATAGTGATAATTACGGTATTGCTAAGTACTGTTTCAAAGAGTTTTCCGTGTACTATTATTACTCGGTAGCTGTTGCCGTTCTTTACCCCCACACTGTGACTGCTCTTCCCCACACGAAAACACTATAAAAGGGCGCGGCTCGCTCCACGAAAAACCATCGACGATACTCCATAGGATCATTTCTATAGTATACGTCCGGCTTGGGTTTCCTAACCTAGCCACAGAACTCAACACGGATGATGATTGGAAGCACCGTTGCCCGAAGAGTGAGACAATTCTTTCTTCGGGGGGATAGCAGGATCTCTTTTCAGGTTCTGTTCTCCCTCTTCAGCGATGATCTCTTACGCCTCGGGTTTCTCGTCCTCTGGACGGTCCCGTCGTGTAGGGCAGCTGGTGTATTCTGACGTGTAAAATTCCTCTTCTCATCGACTGTCGTGGCCTTGCTGCTTCAGACGATGTGATGAGGATGACTGGTGGTGGTGCATTTTGTAGTGTAGTTTGAAGTACAACGCACAGGTCTGGTTGATAGACTTCTGATGAAGTCGGGTGTGTGCTGTGAAGAGGTTTCGCGGGTAAACTTGTCTTTGTAGAGTTTCGTGCGTGGGTCTCGTTTGCGATTCCGTTGAGCTCCGTCTTCACCCCCTCTGTCATAGTCTACATGATTCCCCCTCATTCTGCGACTGGACGAATCCTCGGGTGTGCCAGGGTCTCTCTCTACTGTGTTGAATTTCGTAATGCCACGTTAAATCTGAGTAACACGGTTTAATGTATTACAGTAAACATGTTATCGCAGCATTCTTATACGACACTATCGATATTAGCGCTTTTTCCTGTTTATCGCTAAAATGCAATAACGGTGCGGTAGCCATCCATAAGTAGGTTAACGCATTTTCTCAAAGTTCGTTAAACGAAATAACGTTACGAGACCTACTGCAACTCTCCAGCTTGCCCGCGCTCGATCCACGCTGTGTACGTCACGATGCGCCAGTAGTAGAATAGAATACAGTAGGAGCGGAGGAGTAGAGACAATGTGCCAAAAACGATGAGACGTTGGGTGCAGGTTTGTACGAAGAACCCGGTCCTTAGGACCAAACGAGTAATCGGCGATACCCGCCGATTCGTGGCATCTACGACGGTGTGCCGCAGAAACAAGAAATGTGCGACTCACAAGTAGTGCAGTTAAACAGGTTGCTGCTGCTGCTACGAACTTTTGTCCGCCTGATATTAGAGCTAACGTAGAATCAGTGAAAGAGATTGCCCGTAAAGAAGTCGAAAAGGACAGCCTTCAACCAGAGGGTGCTCCAGAAGGAACAATTCCCACAGACTTGGAGCAGTCTACAGGCCTAGAACGGGCAGAAATGATCGCAGACATTTTGGGTGAAGACCTTTTCGACATGGCCCCCTTGGATTCGTCTCGGACAGGCACTGTGCAAGACCCTATCATTGTACCGTCGCTAGATCCTTACCGGTATATTGGGTGCACAGGCAGCCCAGCCGACTCGCATCCGATTGTGTGGATGACCGTGAAGGAGGGCAAGCTGCGTCGGTGTCCAACGTGCGGCTCTGTATACCGTTTACAGCGTCACACACACAGCAAAGACGTCGAAGAAGCAGCGAAGAATGTTGACAATGAAGACAACGGAGGACAAGACGACGAAGGACGGTGACAAATGAACGAGATTTGATTGCGTTGGACTGCACACACCTTGCTTCAATCAACCATACACCCCATCTCGTCCTGTCTCCCTCCGTCAACGCCGACCAGGCTCCATATGCAGTTAATGAATGTACATTATGACATGAACTAAGAAAACAAACGAAGGATTGAATGCAAGAAAATGATGTGAAAGGTCCGTTGTACCAGTTGGAAAAAAGAAAGAAAGAAATAATTTGAGAGTTGAAAACATGCAAAAAGGTACCGAGAGAACAATGCATCAGGGAACGAGGAAGGATGAAGAAGTTAAGGGAGGGAGTCTGTGAACTGCCAGCAGCACACATTAACAATATTGCGATTGATCGTGTGTCGGAACAAAACACCTTTTTTTTTAAGTGGCTTTCGTTGAATCATTGTTGATGAATCCCTCTTTACAAAACTTGCTCCTGTAGCCAGCGATTTACACGGTCGGGATCATTCATGGAGGCCATGTGTCCGACAGAGTTGAGCAGCGTAAACGAAAGACCACGCTCGTTCAAAGTGAAACCGACCGGATTATCCCAGTCTGGCTCCGTTTGAAAGCCTTGCCAGCCGGCCCAAGTTGTGTTTTGCATGGCAAGCAGCGTACCCGACCATGGGATCTGATAGTCAAGAGCACCAGAGAGGAAAGCGACACGCTTCCCATCGGCAATGAGCGAAGGAACCACCGACTTGAGCACGGGCTCGTATGTAACTGTGTTGATCTTTTGAAGCAGATCGTAGTTGCAACCGTCGCCAAAGACACCATTAGCCGTGCTAAATGCAGCGACACTCGATGGTACGTGAAGAGCTTCGCGAACATCGGCTCGGTTAAGATACGGTGTTAAGTGGTCGGTGAGCTGAGAGGCTGTTGTGCAATCGATTGAAACGTCGTAGCTGATGAGACATGTGTTTTGCAAGTACATGAGCATATAGGTTGCGTCGTTAGTATCGCAAGAAGGAAAGTAAGAAAAAACATCCACCTCGGCGGAGGAAGACGAGTTCGTGTATGAAGCATTGCCTGAGCTGTCAGTCAACGAAGACACAGTAGCTCCGGCGCCGGCACCACTGCTTGTACTCGAAGAGCTGGTGCTAGTGCTGATAGAACTCAAGGGAGTTTGTGATGCGGGAAAAGTGAACTCCTGCATCACTTTATCGTAGCCGCAACGGGCGTTGACACGGGAAAAGCTGTTCCACGTGGACTTGTCTTGAGTGTAGTAGCCAAGCTTGTTGAGGTGACTCAACCAAAGACTGTTGGAGACGCTGTACTGGGTGTCATGAGTGGTAGAAAGACCACTGACGATTCCAACGGAAACGATCCGGTCATAAATATCGGGTCTGTCAGCGAGAGCTCGAGCAAAATATGCGCCCCAGAAGCTGCCGTAGCTTTCACCGACGAAGAAAAGACGCTTGCTCGCCGTGTCGGGGTAGGCATCGAAAAATCCGTCAAGGAAGGCAATAAACTCAGCAGAGGCGGCATCCATCGTCGTCGTGTAATCGGCTTCAGTGACAGCGTACGAGAAGCCTGTACCAAACGGCTGGTCGAGGTAAAGAACATCGGCGTAACGGGTCCATGAATGTTCACTACGCACCGGGGCACTGTCCCCCGGTCCAAATCGCACAGGGCCATTCTCAGCAAAGAGCCCGATGGTGCCTGCACAGCCTGGACCTCCCTGCAGCCAGACGATCAGATCGTCGGAGCCCTGCTCGCTCGGAGCATAGGCATAGAAGATAGAGTGGGGGGATGTGGAGGAAGCGGACACATTGAGGTATCCAGCATAGAGGGCAGGCATGTCACCGTTAAGCAAGGGCAGCGAGGAGACGCGAGCATCCGTGGGGGTGTTTGTGGAGGTTGATGTGGTGGGGGTATGTGTGGGGAAAGTTGAGTTCACTGTGTGGGAGAAGGTCGTGGGGGCAGAGCTGGTGGGGTTTTCTGTGGGGGCGTCAGAGGAGGTGACGTTGCTGGCGATGACAACGCTGCCCATTGCCTGTGTCTGCTGCTGCTCTCCTTCGACGTCAGTACGGACGGAGACGCGGAGAGAGCACTGGTGGGGGTCACTGTAGATAGGAATGGCAGACGTGGTAGGAAGGTTGAGAAGGAAGGAGGAGACGAGAAGCATGGCGCCAGCGGGCCAGAGAGAAAGGAGGAGTCGGTGGAGAACGACCATTGTGTGGAACTAGAGCACGAAACTGCATGATGGAGAGGGCGACGACGTGTTTTATGCCTGGGTGCTACATTGTGTGTATTGTGTGGAAGCAAGGCCCATTGAAGACAATGTACGGGCTGGTATGAGAGGGAATAGCCGAGGTTAGCCGAGGGCATTTGAAAGAACAGGCTTGTAGGCTAGTTCGTAACGAGCAGGTAACAAAGGACGCTGTGTCAGCCCCTGTCGAACGCGTTAAGCGAAGCGAGCGACGAAACCCGAAATGGAACATGCAGTGGGGGTATGCACAGTACTCCACCTATCCCACCTAGCCAACCCCACAAGAATACCCCACAGAGTTACCCCACTCTGACCCCACCTGTGTGCTGTCTCGTCTGTGTATTGAAGTTTGTGTATATTTACTTTGTGGCCGTCTCCATGTCGGTGCCTGAAAAAACTCAAGAAATTGACGTCTTGTATGAGAATCAAAGAGGGTACGTGTTGTTGGAAGAATTGCTCTAACCCGCAGCATCTTTTTCTGTGGCATCCCGTTGTTTTCTGCGCAATCGCTGTTAAATTTTGATCCAGCACCATGGATCGACAAGAACATGAAGACGTCGCCGGTATCTGTAGAGACCGCAGCGTGTCCGGATCCCAGCTGGGAATGGGTAAGTCTTGGAATGGAGTTGGAGCCAGATTTTGACTTGGAGAGGGACCCATGTCGGTGTCAGTTTAACAAGACGGGCTTTACAAAGACGGGTTCTGGGTATCTGCTTTCATAACGTCGGAATCAATCAGAATGACCCTCTTCTCTCATGGGATGAGTTTTATTGAATGATTTTACGTAGTCATTCACATGGATGTATCCACCAGTACACGCAGTCATCCTCGTCCTCGTCTCCGTTCTTTTCCTCTGTTAACTGTTCTCTGTTCCCTGTTCTCCGTTCTCCTTCCGCTCTCTCCTTCTCTCTCGCCGAGTTTTACTCTCGCCGAGTTTCAATCTGCTAACCTTAGGCCTGGCAACGCTGGTACGTCGACATGTCTGATGATGTTGATGAGTCTGGCTGGCAATACGCATTCTCTTTCACCATTTCCAATTGGCATGGCAGGCCCTTATGCTGTCAGTCGTTTGTCCGTAGACGGCGGTGGATCCGTAAGCGGAAAAAAGTATGTCTATGCTTGCTCACGCTTTTTATTAACACCTTCAAGCGCTCCATTGACACTCGACATAACGCCGTTTCTGATTACTTCACCCTTACTTCTTCCTATCCCGTTCACACATCGTCCCTGTTTTCCCCCGAGAGCCAACAGAACATGACTCTTGACCTGACCGATGCAACCACCATTTCTGGCCTCATTAACGCCCTCCAAAAGTGCAGGATTGACCGAGAAAAGATGTCTGTCCTCCGGCACTTTCTCCGTGCATGCACTCCCCAAGAATTGCCCCATCTCCACAAGTTTTCCGAACACATCCTCAGCACGTTTGTATACGAACAGAATCGTTTCGAAGCTTGTGACCTTCTTGAACACGCCGCCCGCTCCCCTACCATCGAACAACCTTCCCATGACGCTGCTGACGCTAGCACCAGCAACGCTGCCTCTCACCCTGAAACTCGACCGGTTCCTTTCACTCCCGCATGAGTACATTTTTCATTTTGTCTATTTAGTGGATCGTCGCATACTCCACCTCACGCATGTGCATCCAGGCTGGTTTTGAAGGCCCGGCTTGCGCTTCCAGCATCGCTGAGTACATAGCTGTCAGTGCTGCTTCCACATCTGCAGTGTCTTGAACCGTCGCATCGAATACCCGATACCATTCGTCGGGGAGTTTGCGATGGTGAATCCGTGCTGCAAGGGCTACACATCCTACTGCAACACAGAATGGCGCTAGCGAAACGCAGAGCCGCGTTCGCAGCGCATCGTTCATCAGGTTCCAGCACGTTTGCACAAACTGTGTATCTCTGACTAGACCAAGCGTCTGCAAGTACTGCACTCCAAGTGCGTGTGGAAGCACCACATGCAGCTCAAAGTTGAGTGCCTCGAGCACAACAAGCTCTCGCCGGAGCAACTCCTCTGTCGTCCTCAGCAACAGCTCGTCATACAACGACGGAAGGACGAAGGGATCGCTGCTCGTATTTTCAGTTGCGTCAGTACCGCCAGCCGTGCATGCGTCCGTTTCTTTCTTTTCAATCTTGTCCATCCCACATACGTACATGCCCACCGTACACAGCTGCTTTATCGACACCGCCGTCTCTGCGGCTTTACAACCCAGCAGCAGACATGTCAGTGCTGTCATTCCCACCTCCAAATTGTTTACCCGTCTTAATGTACAGTACCTCCGAAACAGCACCAACGATGTGCCTACGACTCGTTGCCGTCTACGAAGTTTGTTAGCAAACTACTGCTACTATTGCCGCTGCTTAAGCTTTCAATGATGCATACAATTCTAGTAGGACGCCCATCACCTGGATCCAATGACTCCCAATGAGACACACGCGTTCGGCATCTTCTTTCTCATCAAATGCAGCCAGTTGCTCTCGAGTCGCAAGTACATGGACTAACGAATTTGCCATTTTGGAGACAACGCAAGGGCTCACGCACGTACCTCTGTCTACTGTGCTCCTGCGCAGTAGGGCTCACCGCCAAATGAGGTTTAATGAACTGTAACGAACATTTTCGAAAACCACTAACATTCGTTACACTGCACTACACGCTATTACACTAAACTACACTCAAGTTCCTTAATTCATTTTAACGATACGTTTTGACAGATCATTGATTCTCAGTAAACTCAGATACCGTAGCTTACAGAGTTTCACTAACTCTAATCGACGTTATCGCCGACAGTTGGGCGCGCCAAACCTGCCCTCTGCCACACGCTCTGTGCACGCAATGGACACGAATAACGGCCAGGAAAACGGAATTCTGGTTCTCTACGGCTCGGAAACAGGTACCGCTCAGGACCTTGCCGAGTCTTTATGGAGGGAACTCACTAGAAACGGCTACGACGTCGCTGTTGAGTGTCTGGACGACTTGGATTTGGTACGCGCTTTTTTGGTCCTTCGCAGACCCTGCTAACACACAGAAACGAATTATTTCCCGCGTCCTTTGCATATTTATATGCAGCACAACTGGCCAGGGCGAAGTACCTCGAAACATGAAGGTAATTGAAGACGCGTCTCCTTCTCGTGAACGGTTTTTCTGACATCTCTAGACATTCTGGCGCTTTCTTTTGAGAAAACGTCTTCCTTCCGACTTTCTCGATTGTATGCAATATGCTGTGTTTGGTTGTGGTGATTCTTCTTATGCTCGCTTCAATTGGACTGCCAAGAAGCTCGACCGTCGTCTACAGCAGCTTGGAGCTAACCGCATCTGTCTACGTGGTGAAGGTGATGAACAACACGAGTTAGGGTAAGTTTAAGATCGGTTGCACGTTTGTTTGTTTTTTATTTACGCCTCTTCATTTTTGCTAACTATGTTGTGCTCAAGTGTCCCAGGACTCTTTGCCTACTGGTTGACTCACTTGAACGCTGCTATTGCGCGCTATCGTACACCTAATCGTCCTGCTCTTACAAAGGACGCGTTGCTTGAGCCAGTGTTTGATATTCGTTTTCTCTCTCCTTCTGTGGACGAGTCCGATTTGGCAGATCTTTCGCTGACTAAAGACCATTTGAGTCCATCTACTTTTAAATGTACCGAGCGGGTCAATTATGCAATTGTTGAGGAAAACAATCGGATGACGGCTCCTGATCATTGGCAGGATGTTCGCCATGTCAAGCTTCGTTTGCCAGCCAGTGTTTCCTGGTCTGCAGGAGACATTGCCGTTCTCTACCCCTGCAACGATGATACTAGCGTAATCTGGTTCTTGAAACGTATGGGTTGGTATAAGTTCGCAGCTGAACCCATTACTGTGCAGACGAAACCCAATGGCAAGCCTCTTGGTTGGCTGCCTTCGCCTCTGACACCGTACACATTGGTTAAATATATGCTTTCTTTGCATTCCATGCCTAGCCGCGCTTTCTTTGAGTATGCCGCTCACTTTGCCGACAATGATTTACATCGCGAACGACTTGCTGAATTTGCCGACAATGCGCATATTGAAGAGTACTATAATTACGTTACGCGTCCGCGCAGAACACTTATTGAAACTCTTCAAGAATTTGATAGTTTGCGTGTTCCCTTTCATTACGCTTTGGACGTGTTTCCACTCATGAAGGGTCGTCAGTACTCCATTGCAAGTGCCTGTCACCCTGAAGATAATACTCTCGAACTGGCCATTGCCCTTGTGAGATTCAAGACTCGAATGCATGGAGACCGTGAAGGAGTTTGTAGTCGCTGGCTTAAAGATGTAAAGCCAGGCACAGAGCTTTCTATTGATATCTTAAAGGCAGCATCCAAGCTTGACATCAATTCACCGTCTCCCTTCGTTATGATCGGTCCGGGCACCGGTGTTGCCCCCATGCGACTTCTTGTTCAACACCGCGTAAGCAATGGACTTACGAATAATGTGCTCGTTTTTGGTTGTCGAAACAAGGAGAAGGATTTCTTGTTCCAAAAAGAGTGGGAAGCTTATTCGGCGCAGAAACAGCTGGAACTGTACTGCGCCTTTTCTCGTGATCAAGATAAAAAGCATTATGTTCAGAACGTTATTCGTGAACATGGTGAACGCTTCTTTGACTTAATTTACAACCAAAAGGCAATTGTTTGCGTTTGTGGTTCCTCTGGTAAGATGCCGACTGCCGTAAGAGAGGCTATTGCAACCATTGTGTCCAAATATCTAGATGGAAAGTATTCCACAGGCAATGACTACCTTCTCACCATGGAGAAGGAAAAGCGGTTTTACCAAGAAACTTGGTAAGCTCCCACTGACTGTTACACCCATTTTTATTTAACAAGGCAACGTTCATTTTGCCTGTTTAAAAACCTCCCTCATTACACCATTCTCTTCTTTTCATTCCCTCTTTATTGTCCTTTACCTCTCTCTCTCTCAGGTTTTATTTTTTTTTGTCACAGACAAGTTGATGGCAGCAGCTTTTTACTCTTCTTAGTCACTTAATAGATGTATCTAAAACATGCGTATAGATTTATTTCTTTTAATGTAAAAGTGTAAAATGCTTGATTATCGTATGCTTCATTATTTACTACTTCTGAAAAAAAAAAGATTAAGGAACAAAAGGATTGTTTGGACAGCTATTCCATCTTGTCGTAAAAACTAAATCAAACCCCATTCAAGATATTGGCGACACTTTTGGGATCCAAGGAGCCATCAGAAATTATGTCAGTTGTGTCGGTTGCCGAGAGGGATCTGGACTTGGAATGCTTCGAATCGTCTGTTCGATTACTGCTGCCCCAAGTATTGCTTCGAGCTCGCCCACTCCAGGCGTCCTGGGATTCTCGTTGACTGGAAAGGGAAGATGACTGTATGTTCTGGGGGTAACCCTCACGACCCAAACGAGAAAGACCACCCATGGGATCGATTCTACGAATATGAGGCCGAACGGCCTCCAACGATGCAAGCACCTTTCTTTCAAAAAGACATTGCTTGCGAACGTAATCATCAATTGCAAGAGACAGCGAATTTGTAGTTTCCGCTATGTAGCCCTTGCTTTCCCGCAACAGGTTTGAGGTAACAAGCGTGAGTTTATCGGACAATTGCTTTTCATGAGTGCGTGCGTCAGCAAGTGCTTGAACAGCTTCATCCACTTTTGCTTTACTGATGTTTGTACTCTGTTTCACACGATTGGCGTTAGACAAAGCTGAATTTGTTTGACTCTGTGCAGCGATTAAATCTCGCATGAGCATATGACGGGTAGACAGGATTTCCTAAATGGAGTTCGTTAGCAATAAACCGTGTAGTGGATAGCACTTACTTTAGAAACAAAGGCATTGGAAGAGGCGTAGGCGAGAGGGTCACCAAAAGTGACTAACTGAGAAGTCGTTTGCAGCAGCTGTGAATCTGAAACATGTTGCAGCGTTTTACCAAGTTGAGACAATGCTCGAGAAAGACCGGTGTGTGGTTCTACTTGTGAATATGTCTGTAAGCCTTCAGCAAATCGGTTGGAAAATGCAATTAAGCCTGGAGTGTGTTAGCAAACGATGTCAACGGCAAAAAAGCTCTCTCAATAAACTAGACAAACAAACAAGCTTGAGACATACCCTTCTCTGATTTGAATAACTTCTGCAGTTTTTGCTCAGCATCTAGAGTTCCACGGTAAAACGCCTTAATAATAGGTCTCAAGTTGGCGAGTTCTGAACAATGATCGGGCGGCGTGGGGAGCTGTTTGAGGGCTTTTCTACGCAGTCCAGAGGTAGGATTGGCTGTATGTACGAGGGGAGAGTAACCAAAGTCGCTTTCGACAAACAATTTCGTCTCTGTGTCTGTAACGAGATACGGATTACGACCGACGTAATCCAACCAGGACTGTAGCGATTCTTTTAGACGGCGATTGTCTTCAATGCTTCCACTGCCAGCCGAACCGACACTGGGAGGAACGGCCGGAATAAGACATTCAGGGTGCATAAATGTAAGGTAACGAGCCAACTTACACAGCTCTCCGTACGTCCGGCGCACGTCCCTGTAATGTTTAGATCGGTAACCGGGACAATTCGTCTGCGTAATGTTAGTAAAATTGTGAAACGAATACAGGAGAGACTCAGAGACAGAAGTGTCATGACAGACTCGGTGACTGAGAGGATGCTACAAACAATTTCCACAGTGTCCATAATCATACACACACACGCATCCACAGCGTCGTTTTACTTACTGTTACGTTCATCTTCAAAATTGGATCATGCTTGTCGACAATTTCGATGCTTGCAATTCGAAAGGAAACCATGAATTTTGGCTCAGAAGTTGCGTTCTTCTTTGAAACGGTGCTTCTTTCTTCGTTTTCTTGGCTACGAAGCGAGGGATGACGCTCGAAAGAGACAGTTTCGCCAACATGTTCGTTTGAGTTCATTATGTCCACAGAATTCCCCGAGATTGGAACGTCCTGAAATCCTCCGTCCTCATCCTCGAACAATGTGTTTTTTATCGACGCTTGACCACTCATAAACCCCTCTGGGTTGCTTGTGCCGAACATGCTAACTGCTCGTGGAGGGCGAGAAGCATACACATGCCTTCTGTGGCTCCTTACAATGTGTTGCAGTGCGTTAAATGGGAACGGTAGAGGATAGTCGAAACGAGAAAAGAATTGCGAAAAGACACAGACGATAAGCTCATAAGCAAGACGTGAAGCTTCAACGGCAAAGCTTTCTGTTTTTATGTAAATGAAAATAGCGAACGAGGATGGCGGTGCAATCTTATCTGATAAGTTTAGATCAAGAAGGAAGGAATAACAACAAGAACCACAGAGCTTGAATAAAAGCGAAGACATTTATTCAGCACCGATTGTAGCAATTTATTAATTAGCAGAAAAGCTACAGACAACTCTCTCGATTGCGTACGCTTGCATCCTCTCATTAAATGTACTTATCTCGGCATAATTTCTTTCCCATCAAGCGAATATTTTACTTTCGCTAAGATAACCTAAAAATCCACAGCCGACTTTTGCGACACCAATTTTTAGCACGCTTGTGCTCATTCAAGCGATCTATCCGCTACGGCTGCTTTATCAAAGTGCGCCGTTACTGTTGTCGTTCTTTTCTTTCCATCATTTTTTGTGGCATCTCCTCGGTTCATACGCTTTTTTAAAATCCCGCCTCTCGGGGCTGTATCACAGAATGCTGCCGAAAGTGTCGTGACGTCAATTCTGCCGATCCGAGGTGTATGCTGGGAATATATTCGCTGGCATTTCATCCGTTCACCTATATCATTTTTGTACTTGATGGGCTTGCACAATCCGCTTCCTTCGTCTCTTAAGAGTACGAAATTTCGTTAAATGAGTACCAAACGCTAACAATCGCAGGTGAATGCAAAAAAGCCGGCAAAATTCTCGCCAGTTTTGTGGTACGGAAGAAAAAGATTGACAACATTTTCTTTTTTCGAGTTTATCGCTAACAAACGCGTGTTGATAGGATCCTAGACAAACGTTTGGGCCTCAAGAGGTTATCCCGCCTTCCGTCCTTTCTCGTGCGAAAGGTTTGGTCGTCATGACCGTACTGAAGGCGGGTTTTATGTTTTCTGGTAGAATTGGCTCCGGTTTGATTGTCGCTCGCTTGGACGACGGAACTTGGTCGGCTCCTTCAGCTGTATGCACAGCAGGAATGGGCTTTGGTGCTCAAATTGGCTCGGAATTAACCGACTTCGTTATTATCCTCAATTCGAAACAGGCCGTACAAACTTTTGCCCGTGTAGGCAGCATCACACTCGGTGGTAATCTGTCTGTAGCCGCTGGACCCCTCGGTAGGAATGCTGAGGCTGGTGGCAGTGCTAGTGCTGGAGGTGTCGCACCCATCTTCTCATACAGCAAAACAAAAGGTCTTTTTGCCGGTGTGTCACTCGAGGGTTCTGTGTTGATTGAGCGTCGAGACGCCAACAAGCGTCTTTATCGCGGCGATGTTACAGCGAAAAGCTTATTGAACGGTCAAGTTCCTCAGCCAGCTGCTGCTGATCCTCTTTATCGTGTACTTAATTCCCGCGTGTTCAACAGAGACTCCATTATCGGTGACGATATTTACAACGACATACCCGTCTACGACGACACCGGGTCTGATGATCTTTGGGACAGTAGACCCAACAATGGTAGTCGCACTTCTCAGCGACAATCGCATTATACGCGAGACGAGTTGGATGATTATGACAACCGAAACACCGGCCGCAGTGATCTGACTTACTCGCGACGAAATCGCTATGATAACGATGTTGATGAAGATTATGGTTTCGACGGCCCTTCAGCCAAGTCTCGTACGTTTGGTGATTCTGCGACAGACAGCCTCAAGGGCAACAAGTCTTCAATCGGAAGGTCCAAGTCAATGTTTCAGTCCAATTACCGGGACGCACCCGATGAGGGGAGTAGCGACGAAGACGATGCGTATGAGGGACGCTATGCCGCGCATCGCTCAAACAGTGTTCGGGTGTCTGCACGTCCCGCTCGACCTTCCGCTCCAAAGCCTACGTTTGATACAAAGCCATTGGGCCCTAACCAAGTGAGAGCTGTCTTCCCCTTTTCAGGCGAGCAAGCTGGCGATCTTACATTCCAAAAAGGCGACATTATTGATGTCGTTCAAAGAACAGAATCCACGGATGATTGGTGGACGGGACGCATTGGAACAAGACAGGGCATTTTCCCGGCTAATTACGTGAAGTTTGATTAAGACTTTGCGTTTATGTTTTCACGTTTCGTTTGCTTAACGTCTCTTCGTTGGACCTCTCCTTGCCTCTGATTTTTCGGGTCCGCATGTTGTGTAAAGTATAAAGTCGTTTTTGGTCGATGGTCAAATTCGGCAAGCTTCAGTGTATTGTTTCACTGATTTTGTTCTCTGCTTCTTAAAAATTGTTAATTTCCTGCTGTTCGCAGAATCTGTTAAGACAGTAAAAAGGACCGGTCATTTGACCGGTACAACATCAATAGGTTTTAATAAAAAATCGATGTTTAAGCAATCGAGTGACGGGATGACGCAGACGTAGATCGTAAAACAAATAAGTTAAGATTTGCAATGGGTTTTAAAGCTTCATCGCAAGAGTATGTGTTAGACTTTCATTAGCACTTTTCATTATTACTCATACTTCATGGTTTATTTATAACGGCTCCGTGGCAGTTTCCAACCATTTCTTAGCCCTCTCCGACAATAACGGAGAAAGCGTCTTGCGAACGGTGGCATGGTACTGGTCAATATAGTATCGTTCCTCATCGGACAACAAGGAGGTGTCGATTAGCTTGCGACAGTGGGGTGCCATGGTTAAGTCCTTGAAGCCATAATACTCACGACCTGCAAAGTGGAACTCGGTTTCAACCTCCTTAACGAAAACGCAATTCTCGACTCGAAAGCCAAAGCTTCCATCTTTGTAGAAACCAGGTTCATTACTGGTCACCATGCCTGGCTTAAGGGGAAGGTTGAAAACACTGCGGTTGCCAATACCAACAGGCAATTCATGAACATTCAAGAAATGGCCGACGCCATGTCCTGTGCCGTGAAGGTAGTCCAAACCACACTTCCATAAATGTTGTCTAGCCAACACGTCGAGCTGCAGTCCAGTAGTTCCCTTCGGAAATACAGAAGTAACAACATCGATCTGTCCCTTCAAAACCAGAGTGGCAGCACGCTTTTCGAACGCCGTGGGCTCTGTGAAATGCCAGGTACGGGTGACATCCGTAGTTCCATCCAAATACTGTCCACCAGAGTCGCAAAGATACATCTTCTTTGGGTCAAGCTTAGCGCTTCCAACAGAAGGCGGTGAATAATGGATAATGGCTCCATTGGGTCCAGAAGAACTAATGGTTTCAAAAGAAAGACCCATGAAATGTTCCTGTTTACTTCTGAATCCCTCGAGCTTGGTAGCGGCATCAAACTCGTTGATTTCGTTACCGGCAGCAAGATAATCGTCAAGCCAGGCAAAGTACTCAACAAGGGCGGCACCGTCTCGCACATGGCAGCGTTGCATACCGTGCAACTCCACATCGTTTTTCACACCTTTTGCAATGGCAATGGGACTTTGAATAGTGGTAATTTTGTTTTCGCCAAAAGCTGTTGCGACACACCAGGAGGCTTGATCGGACACTCCAACCTTGGAGAAGGAAATCGTCTTTGCGTCTTCAAAAATTGCGTAATAGGGCTTGATGCTCACATACTTTTCCAGATGTTTGCGAACCTCATCCGTTAATTTTTGCTCATCCAAATACAAAACTGCACTTTCCTTCGAAATTAGAGCATAAGCAAAAAAGACGGGATTATAAGCAACATCGGAACCACGCACGTTAAACACCCACGCAATCTCATCGAGCATGGTTACAGCAAATGCATCGAGCGAGTTTTTTTCCAAAGCCTTTCGAACGTCATCAAGCTTAGCCGAAACGCAGGCGCCTGCAAATTCTGTTCCCAGGACCAACATCTTTCCGTTTGGAAGAGCAGGACGCTCAGATCCCCAGACCTTATCGACAAGGTTGTCGTGATCACCGCGAAGAGTGATGTCTTTCGCTTTTAACGCAACACGAAACGAAGAAGCTTCAGCAAAAGTAATTAAACTTGAATCAATTCCAATAACGGACTTCGGCTCAGCTTGTTTCAGGCAATAATTCTTCCATGTTGGAACACCAGGAAGACCAACTTTCATAAGCGTCCAATTGTGATCCAACTGTTGACCAGCTTGATTGAAGTAACGACCATCAGTAAACATAGCTGCGCTATTCATTCCAATGACTGCGATACCGGCTGAACCATCAAAGCTTTAATACCGAACTTTGTTAATAAAAAGACGCGTCGAAAGCAATATTTTCAATAATAACATACCCACTGATGAAGGCGCGACGAGCGTCAGCATCACAGGTGTATTCTGAGTGATGAGCCTGTTTAAAATAATTAGTAGCTGATCAAGAAGAATTCATCAGTGTAATAAAAAACTCGGATAATATCCTATAGTTCACTAGTCACCTACGTCTTCAGATGGGACAATGTAATAGCTATAATTCCTCTCTTTCATGAGCTCGCGTAGCTTCGCGAGACGCTCTGTAGTGTCGACTGTCATTGCGATAAATAGTTTCAAATATAAGAATCAAGGCGGATAGACAAGATGGGAAGAATCAATTAGCGACAGACAGGTAAAAAGACAAGTTCGTTAATCGTTAATGTCGTAAAGGCAGGGTATTATAGTTTATATGGAGACAAGAGGTTGGTAGAGGGTAAGATGCAGATAAGGTAGCACACGCGTCTTTAGTACCGAGTTTCACGTGTTGGCGATAGGGCACAGTACGTAAGTCGCTGCCTATCTTTCATATTAAAGTTTGTATAAGCATTACACGTGCAATTTAAGCGAGATAAGTCTGAACGTGTCTTTAATTTAGTTACGTAGCTAGCTCTCCACGGAAATCTTCAAGACGCTTTTCGTCTCAAAACTGCGAAGCTTTCGTATGCAACATGGACGAAAACGATTTACGATCTGCTGAAAAGGTCTGTTCATTAACATATTGAATTATTTGCTGTTTCGAAATTGTTCTGACCTTGTTGATAGCTTATTTTAGATTTATACAGTGGTACACTCGCGCCGGAGCAAATTAAGGAAACCGAAAAGCAACTTCAGTTTCTTCAAAAATCTCCTCAAGGATGGCTTCTTGGACATTCTTTGTTACAGCATGATGATGTACGGTTGTGTGCATGCAACAATTCCATTATTAACGTTGATTCAGAATTCGTATTTACAGTTTTTTGGCGCATTGACATTGCAAATCAAAATTAACAATGACTGGGATACTCTTAGCCCTTCTGATCACATGGATCTTTGCAAAAGCATTCTTCAGAAACTGTTATCGAGTCCAAACATGCAACGTTTTGTCCTTTCCAAGTTATTGTGTACCCTTTCTTCCCTAGTGATCAAATATAGCGTCTCGGGGAGCACAAACATCCTTAACTTCTCTATTCATACTCTTGCTTTGGGTGTCTTCCCTGAAGTGGAGGATGCTAAATGTTTTTCCTCAAGTAGCAGACCTTCTTTTACTCCCAGAAATGCGTTTCTGGCTATCTCTTTCTTACACGAGTTCTTCATTGAGGCAGGAACATCTCCTTTTACCACTCAAGATGAGAATAAACTGTATAAAATGGTTTTCGAAATGAACGCCGAGGACGCTGTGGAGCTTCTTCGGGCCACATTTTCGCAAGCAACTCAAAGTTCATTCGAATATGGAATTTCTATAGAGGCGGCGATCAGTTGCACTGCTTCGTTTGCGTCTTATCTTTGTAAGAACGGTTCCACTATTTCCCTCGTGTTGCCCGGACTTCAAGATTGTTTAAATATGCTCATTGAACTTCTTGCTGTCCCTCAGCTTAGCGATAAGGTTATGGTTGTACTTACGGACTTGCTGTCAAATTATCAGCAAGCATTTTCAAAAGAGCTTACTCTGAAATTATGGGACATTCTTACGGGAAGCTGGGGTATGGGGCAACTCCAGTCCCTGCTCCAAAGTGCCTATGATGGAGAAACGCCTGAGGTTTACTTTTTAAATCTTGTGATCAGTTTTTCGGAGGCTGTTATGGGTTACTTGCTTGAACATTTATCGGAACAACGGAGCGTAAAGCTACTTGACATTATGATGACTCTCATGAAATTTCCCGGTTACGCTATGGTAGAAGAGGAAGTTAGCTGGCGGACTATTGAGTTTTGGACGGCATTGATTGAGGACTTTTCGATGAGTGATGCTATTGATGAGCCTGCTACGAAGGAACAATTCATTGGCATCGTATTTTCTGCAATTGACAATGCTTGGAAAAAAATGCTACTTCCGCAAGATGACGTTTTGGAGTCTTGGTCTTCTCAAACTCGTGACAGTTTCATCACTTATCGTCGAGAACTTGGTGATCTGATTGAGAGTTCTTATTCAGTTCTTGGCGAGCGCTTGTACGCTACATATATTATGAACGTGGAAAACATGCTGCGAAGTGCGGACTTGTCGTGGCAGACCTTAGAGGCTACGCTTTACTGTCTAGCTTGTATTTTTGAGTATGAGTGTCGTGAGAATGAGGTTCTTAACAGCTGGCTTGTTCGCCTTTACAAAACCCGTTTTCCCCAAAAAGTTGCCGAATTTAAGTCACCTCGTTTACTGAAAACCACTACTGCATTGTTGAGCAATACGTCAGCATTTTTAAAGGATCAGCCTGAATTTTTGAGCTTTTCGCTCCCAGTGTTGTTTGATGCACTTTCAATTGATAGAGATGCCATCCAAATCCCAGTTTCAAGAGCCATTCAAAACCTTTGCAATACTTGTGCCGCCCTATTAGTGCCTGAAGCCCCAAATTTCTTAAATGTTGTTAAGAATATAACACCGTCTCTCATTAATACGCCCTCCGCTTTGGAGCGTATATACAGCTCTATAGGATTTGTTATTCGCAGAATGGAAACCGCAAATGATCGGATATTCTATTTGCATCAACTACTCGAGTGTTTGCATGCACAAGTTGATCGTGAACTTACTTACAGAACTCGAAAAGAGGATATACAGTCAGTTCTTATATCTGTGCTACAATGTATTCATGGCTTGGCAAAAAGTCAGAGCCCACCGAAAGGATTTGCAATGGTAGACGTTGATGACGCACAGGATGATGTTTCTAAGTATTGGACGGATCCAAACATCCAGGCTTTTCGAGAATATTGGCTCTCATTTCTTAAATCTGTTGAGCAAATTGTTCCTGATTATAGCATTGCTGCGGATGTATGTTGAGTTCGTTGGTGAAACGTGTGCTAACTTACCATATAGTTCATTTGCAACATCATTATTGTTGGTCTGAGCGAAATAGAACCTACACCCTTTTCTCTTCCAACTGATACTGTAGCTAAACTTTTTGCTGAAAGATTTCCAAAACATCCACTGGCGAAGTTTCTTTCGTTACTTGTATCATTGTTCACATCCCCATATGGTCAGCGTTTTATCTCAAATGACGTTTTCCAAATTATAATAGGAACTCTTCAGCACACGGATATATGGAACAAGCATGGCAAGTTGACACGTCCTTGTATCCTTCTAACTGTTATTAAAATAGGCTTTTTACAAACACAAGTTGACGTATTATCTGAGCTATTCCGATTTTATTCCGTTGCTTTTCAAAAGCATCCAGAAACCATGCTCTCTAATTATGCCGACTTTTCTCGCGAAGTAATCGAACGGGCCATTTCTTCATTAATTTCACAGGATCGACTTGTTGAAGTGAATGCTTCACAGCTTGTGGTATGTTGACTAGTTTTCTGTCTTATTAACTAACATTCAGAACACCTTCATTAAAATGCATCGCATGCTTGGACCTAATAAAGTTGTACCAGCACACACCACGTTTCTTGATCGATATCGTAAACCTATTATATCACAGATAATTAGGGTATGCTATACTTCTTTATTGGTTTTTCTTAGATTAGCGCTAACAATTAAGGGTTTCTGCGGAGCCGCTCCTCGAAGTTCTATTCCAACTCTTACGAATGTACTCGGAAATCTTAAGTTGCAAAACTTCGCAGCAACAAAAGACGTTCTTTCGGATATTCTACTTCACTCAATTCCGGAAGAAATCATTCCTTTTTCAACGAGACAACAATTTCTCAAAGACTTGTTAAAGTAAGTACAAAAAAGATATCTCCTGTACTTTTACGTGTGCTAACGATTTTTTTCGCAGGGTCCACTTCAAAGAGAAGGTCAAAGACTTTTGGCTTAAATGCAAGGGAATTAATGATTCTATATATGCAACTTCTAGTTGGACTTTTTAAGCATCATAACTCTTCCCTCAGTATAGATGAATATTACGACTTAGATGATAAAGTAAATTAAAAAGCTTATCTCATTATAAAATAATAGAACACATAGCGGCTATATGTTACAGAAGTAATATTTGATTTCCTTGTAGTTTTCTGAACAGTGTATTTTAGTTATTATTCCTACACTGTACCCGGTACATAGCGAAACGACAAAGTTTGAGGAGTAATGCTAAATATCATTACTGAATGCGTTTGTTTAATGAGTTTTCTATAAACTGTCCCTTATTTGTGCAATCAAAATCAAATTCTGCCCTTCTGCTCTCGCTGCTTAACTGTCTCTGGTCACATAATTTATGTGAAGGACATATGATAGTATTTGGTAATCATACTGAAACAGTTGAAAAATTATTAGAAGGAGATGCCTGTTTCGATGATTATTTCTTAAAATTTGCAAATCGTGTCGAATTGTTATGTCTTTTAAACAAAGTTTTCATCCATTATGTGAACAACTGGGATGACCTGGAAAGAGTCATTCAGTCAACACGCAAACGAGTCATTGCTGTTTGGGATCTTGTTTCATTCATGCAAGCGCATGATAAACTGAATGCCCTGAGTCTGTCCTCTAAGGTTGCATATTTACTATCGAATAGTGAATATTTGCTTCTCGGAGACAGAATCGATATGACGTTACGAGTGCAATTGGACAAGAAAATCCCAATTTCTGAACTAAACTCGACGACACTGTACGATATATTTCGTCTCTGGATACCAGATTGGTTGGATTGCAAAAAGCAAGATGACAAACATTGCTCCTTGACTTACAGAAGTTTTGGTTCGCAAGTGGTTATTACTAAAAAAGAACAAGATTTTGTTGAGTTTTGATATGAGTAAATTTATGATTGTTTAGTGTTAATATAATGTTTCTTTTCTCTGTTACATTTGTTGAACCCTGAGAACCGATAATTCCGTCGGCATTCAAACGGAACTAACGCTAAATGAGAACCATCGAACAGTCTAAACGATAAAGCATCGTTCTCTTTGTAAAAGAAAGTGGTATGGCTGATTCTCTTCTTCCATCAACTCCCATTACTTGCTCAAGCACCACCTCGTGCAAACTCAGTTCCTTTACTGGGCTTGAGTCATGAATTCATGGAAAAGTGTATGAAGCATATTGTTTTCAAAGTCCTGACAAGTAGATTGGTATATATAATGAAGGGGATCCTTCTTCAGCTGGTGCTTTAAGCGCAATTTCTTTTGATCCGTTTTATGAATTGCTATGGACTGGTTTTGAAAATGTAAGGGATGACTAGCTTCAAAGCTTACAACAGGGTCAAATAAAATCGAGTTATGGTCCTCTCTTTTGTCCTTATGTTCGTTCGGTTGCCCACTCCTCGAGAGTCGGTCAAGTCTTACCAAACGAACGAGGCGTATACAGCATTTCGGGCAATTCTTTGCGTCTGAATAACAGAAAAGGAACACCTAAATGGGAGTTTAAGTATGTCATCTTCATGCGGCTTACCTGCATTAACATTTTTGGCATTAAATTTCACTAACCAATTCCTAAGAGATCCTGACGCTGTTGACTTCCAAAGTATGATCTTTCAAAACAGGACAAGTCCCGAAATAGTAATTGGCGGCTACCAACAAAAAATCATGGCGATCAATGCCGACAGGGGAACTGTGACACATAAGGTTTGTTCGCTTTCTATACATGAACTTGTAAGACTCACACACGTATTGCAGAACAAATATCCATCAGACGTATTTATTATGCGAAGAAATCGTTTACTCTGTTGTGGTTCTGGAAACGGCGAGGTTGTTCTTTACGACCCGTCTTCTTTTCAGCCGATTACTAAACTGGTTGCTCATACTGGTGCACTGTCTGATTTGGATACCTCTGGCAACTTGTTATTGACATGCGGCTACTCTGTGCGTCATGGCTCTTACATAATTGATCCATTTGTCAAGGTTTGGGACCTACGAAATCTATCCTCGCTTGTACCTGTACCCTTTCCTTCTGGCCCAAGTTTGGTCAGAATGCATCCAAAGCTTTCAACTACAGCTATTATTTGTTCTGCTACTGGACAGTTCCACATTGTTGATACTGGCAATTCTATCGACGCAAAACTGCAGCAGGTTACTTTAAATTCTTACCTCACAAATATGGACGTTTCCTCCTCTGGTGACGCCATTGCATTTACGGACATGGAGAATAATGTTCATCTATGGGCAATGCAGGATTCACCTTCTTTCAGTGAATTTAAGTTGCCCGTTCCCTGGGAAGAAAATACTCATGAAGTAAATCTTGAGATGAACGATGATACGTATGTTCGCTTGTTGCGTTAGTTACTAACTTTAGACCCCTTAACTCTATTGGAATGCCATTCTACAAAGAAGAGCTTCTGTCTGCATGGTCAGGCTATTCAGTTGTCGATGCAGGAAAGCCAGATATTTCGTCGAATGATCTGTTTGCAGCCCAACTTTCAAACAAAGCCGTCCCTTCCTCTCAGGATATGAAAGTTACTCGAAGAAACCAAACAGTTGAAGTACCATGGCTTGGAAGATGCCCCCCTCAAAATACAGCAACCCCGAGATTCCGCAGTGAACGTCAAAAGGATATTATTAAGGGTAGTGATCATCCCGATAATGTTAGTTTCTTTGAGGAACTTGAAGATTCAGAATCAGGACCTACTACCATTCCACTTTTCTACAAAAAGCCAGAGATTCGATACAGCAAGTTTGGAATTGAGGATTTTGACTTTGCATTTTACAACAAAACAAGATTTGCGGGCTTGGAAACCGATATTGCGAATTCTTACTGTAACCCGGTTTTGCAACTCTACAATTACATTCCTGTTTTTCAACGTGCAGCTATTCTGCACTCAATGGGTTCCTGTCCCTTAATGAACTGTTTACTGTGCGAACTCGGTTTCCTTTTTGCCATGCTGAAGGACAGTAATGGTCAAAATTGTCAAGCAACAAACTTTCTTCGTACTTTCTCCGCTTCCTCATTAGCACGCACAGTGGGCATTGTTTTTGATGAGGAAAATGAAGTTAATATTCAGACAAGTGCTGTCATCCAAGCTTGTAATCGTTTTTTGCTAACCGAAGTTTCCCGTTGCTTGGAGTACGAAATTAAATCCGTCAATAGTCGAGGACCACTTTCACAGCTTGTGAATAGTTTCGCTGTGATAGAGATCCGTACGTACAGATGCAGTATCTGTGGTGTTACATCTGAAAAGGAACAAACATCGTATCCTGTTTTAGATCTGCAATATCCTTCACATCAATTGGAAACCGTTGTTTCCTTTGAATGGTTACTGAAGCTGAGTTTTGACCAACGAATTGATTTGTCGCCTCGGTGGTGCAATCATTGCAAAAGTCATCAACCGTTCCTTATGCGTAGCACCGTAAAGGAACCACCTCCAGTATTTTTCATCCATACGAATATTCAAAGTGAGAAGCAATGGAATCTTTGGGCTAGAAAGGATTGGCTCCCTACCGAACTTTATTTCTATACTATAAACGATTCTTTGCAATGCGTTCCTCGGAAACAAGTGAATATTCTTGGACTTCCAAAATCAAAATTAATGCTTTATCGTTTACGAGGAGCCGTTCATGAGATACGTGATGATACTTCTTCGCGGTCGCATTTTGTTTCTGTTATTCGAGGTTTGTGTCAACGATGTTTGTATTTGTGTTACTAAACTAACCCGAACAGTTTCAGACAACTTAGCACGTAATGACAACGACGACTGTTACATTTTTAATGACTTTTTGGTGAAAAAGATTAGCACTGAGGAGGCACTGACGGTGCACGGACAGTGGAAGGTTCCTGCAGTCCTGTGTTTTGAGCGTGTCAATTTTGAAATGCCAGAGATGCATGAGGAACCAGACTCGTCCATCTTACACAAACCATATTCAGTGAATGAGCCTTCCCCAGAGTTAAATAAAACAGTTCCTCTAAAAGAAGATGAACACTTGGGACCCAATAGTATTATTGGTATAGATTCTGAATTTGTTGCTCTTCAGCCTGAGGAAACTGAGGTTAGGAGCGACGGATCAAAAGCTACCGTGAAACCAAGTAAGCTTTCCCTGGCTCGAGTTTCGGTGGTCCGTGGTGACGGACCCTTAAAAGGCGTTGCTTTCATTGATGACTATGTCGCGACAGAGGAGCACATCGCGGATTATTTGACGGAGTTTTCCGGAATACACCCTGGTGATTTGGATCCAAAAACATCTCGTCATTCTCTTGTTCCATTAAAGATTGCGTACAAAAAACTTCGTATGCTTGTTAATGCTGGATGCAAATTTGTGGGCCATGGATTACAGAAAGATTTCCGTATCATCAATATTCTTGTTCCACCATCGCAAGTTATCGATACTGTTGACTTGTTTTTCATCGCATCTCGGCAACGAAAACTATCACTAAAGTTCTTGGCTTGGTACCTGTTGGATGAAGATATCCAGTTAGAAGAACATGATTCTATAGAGGATGCACTATCTGCATTAAAACTTTATGACTGCTACAATAACTTGCGTTCCTCACTCACATTTGAAAAGACGCTCGAAGAGATCTACGATGTTGGACGGCTTCACAAATACCGGCCACCTTCAAGTGTATCTGCAATGGAAAAGTCCATAGAGATTGAAGAACCGTAGAAATAGTTTCAGTCAACTGGAACTTTGTAAAAGATATTAAATGAAGTTTTAATGCATCTGATCGTTTACGGTCCTTAAATAAGCGGGACGTAAGAGAAGTTTTGAACAATGTATTATAAAAAACGTAGTGGAATTATCTCTAAATTAAAATGCGTACAGATTAAAGCGAAGACGGTATTTTGCGAACGAAACTAAAAACGAACAGCACACGACTGCTTTGGTGCATTTTGTAAAAACACTATATTTTTCACTGATTGCTCAACGAAGCAAATATGCCAATATAGAGTTAAGTTGCATAGTCTTGTGTATACATATGTAATTTTTTACACCTCAGATGAATTACAAGCTGTTTCATATGTTGTAATTTGCATTTTCGTCGCCGCATTAACCTAAGTTGGTGTACGAAACACTTTCTCCAAAAAACCACATTCTACGGAAGAATGCCTAGAAAAAAGTCTGCGGCTAAGAAAGCTCGTGAAGCTGCCGAGCGTCTTGCAAAAGGACAACAAGAACAAGCAGCTGTTGTCGGAAAAAAATCATTGCTGGACGATGACAGTGAGGAGGAAACCGGTGACAATTCTTTAAAAATTAATAAGGAGTTTGCTCGTCGTTTCGAACATAACAAGAAACGGGAGGAGCTTCAAAGATGTACGTAAATACTCTTATACATTCGTTACATGTTTACGATTTTCATTTTTTGATAATTTGCCATTTCCATTTGGATATGAAAACTAATCTTGAATTTTAGTGCAAGAAAAGTACGGCAACGCTGCTGACGAAGATGAGGATGACTCAGACTCTGTTGTAGAAGACTCTGATGGTGAACTTGTAACTCCTGAGGTCGATGCTGCAATTCTGAAAACCATCATAAAAATTCGAAACAAAGATCCAGAGGTATACAATCCTGAAGCTACGTTTTTTAAGGAGGAAGACAATGGAGTTGCCTCAGAAGTGAAGGATGAGACAAAGGATAAGCCGATGACACTCAAAGATTACCATCGTCAAAACTTACTTTCCGGAAACGCTTTAAAGGCTATGGAGGAGGATGATAATCGTGACGTTCAAGACGGTGTCCCCACTCATACTCAAGAGCAAGCTGCTTTACGAGAAGAAACAGTTAGAGCCTTCCATGAAAGTGGTGAAGCTGCCAGCGAACAAGATGAAGATGACTTTTTTGCAGTCAAGGAAAAGACCGAAGAAGAGAAACAAGCTGAAGAAAGCGGTTATGAGAAGTTCCTGATCGAAAGTGTCGGATCTGCAGAAGCGAAAAAGGTTCTGGAAGAACTCTCTGAAACTTATGTTAAGAACCGTGAACCCGTCTTACGCGACAGTGAAAATGTTGAGAACGGTATAAAGGAAGAGGATAGCAAGTTTCTTGCTGATTACTTAATGAACCGTGGTTGGAAGACGGACGAAGCAGACAAGAACAAGTCGTACGAAGACATCGTTAGGGAAGTTGCCGAAGACAATGAATTTGTGGAACAGGCCGAAACCTACGAGACTAAGTACAACTTCCGTTTTGAAGAATCTGGTGGTGCGGAAATTCAAAGTCATCCCCGTATAATTGATGACAGTCTGCGTCGTAAGGACGAACGCAGAAAGCAAGCGCGTGAGCGTAAAAAGCAACGCGAGGAAGAAGTCAAGCGCCAACGTCGTGAAGAGCTTAACCGTTTGCGTAATCTCAAGCAAAAGGAACTTGAAGAGAAGTTGTCTAAAGTCGCTGACATCGCCGAGCTTGATTCTGTGAACTTAAAGGATATTGATTTAGATGAGGACTTTGACCCTCAAAAATGGGAGCAAAAGATGGCAAGCATTTTCAATGACGACTATTATGAACAAGATGCTAAGAAACCCAAGTTTTCCGATGATATCGACGTTGGTGATATTGAGCCTGTCGAAACCGAGGAAACTCCGGCTGAGAATAGCTCTTCTGTAATTGAAGGACAACGCAAGAGCGACAAGCAAGAGAAGAAGAAAAAGCTGAAGAGTCACAAACGCAAGATTGAAGAGTATCTTGACGAAAAGTACGGTGACGTGGCCGACACCGTTGCTGGAATACCCACGCGTTTCAAGTATCGTCAAGTTGCTCCGGACAGCTTTGGTCTTGAAGCTCATGAAATTCTTAATGCTACTGACGAACAGCTCAGTGAACTTATTGGACTCAAGAAGTTACAACCTTATAGAACGCCTGAACAAATTGCTCGGGACAAGAAAAAATATGGCAAGAAGAAAAGACTTCGGGAATGGAAGAAAGCGGTTTTTGGAAAATCATCTTGAATTTTGTTTTAATATACTACATTTTTTGTTTAAGGAATTACTTTATATTTTTGTAGAAAGGGCTAATTGTACCTACTGATTCTCTCTAAACAATAAGCTATGAAGTACGATAGTGTAGAAAACGGAGGTTTTAAATGACCAGGATGTTCATTAGCCGGAAACTGTAATGGATTCTTGTAAAGTGGCGACAAACTACCACAGCATACACCAGGCACCTATTTTAAAGTTCGTATACCACAACAGAAATTAAACTAAACTAAACGAAATAAATAAATATCCTATTAAATAAACCCAAAGACTGAAACGAAAATAAAAAGCCTATAAAACGAAACTAAAAGTACACCTAAAAGAACAAACCTAAGATCCTAAATAACCTAAACAAAATGAACTGCGTAAGTACCAAGATACGATGGTCTACGCAGCAAAAATGATCGTGACACGCAACAACTCAAGCGTGTGTATACGATCGTATATTAGAGAAATAACTTATCGAAGAATTCTACTTAATTTGAATTGCCTAAACGTGAATAGAAGATACACTGCAGAAATAATAACCAGCAATCCAAGTTCAAAAAACCATATTTTTTAAAATCCAAAAGAGACATTTCGCGGAAAGACCTTACCATATACCTTTCTTCCTGAACTTATAAACAAGAAGCAGCAATCAAAACACTGCTGTGACTCTAGTTGACACCCAAGACACAAGCCAAGAGAGCCATACGAATGTACAGGCCATAGCGCATTTGGCGGAAGTAGGCAGCACGTCTCTGGTCAAAATCGACCTCCTCATTAATCTCGCGATTACGAGGAAGAGGATGCATAACAATGCAGTTAGGCTTAGCCCAAGCGAGAACACTGTTGTCAATAATGAAGGAGTCCTTAAGACGCTCGTACTCCTCAACGCTAGGGAAACGCTCCTTCTGCACACGAGTACAGTAAAGAACATCGGATTGACCAACAACCTCTGGAGTCAACTCAGTATGGACAGAAAATTGCAACTTCTTAGACTTGATCTCCTCAACAATTTCGTCAGGAAGAGCCAATTGCACGGGAGAGACAAGGTTGATCTTCACTTGCCAGAAAGCAAGCAACTTGACCAAGGAATGAACAGTACGTCCATACTTCAGATCACCAATGAATGTGATAGTGAGGCCATTGACACTGCCAAGTTCCTCACGAATGGTGTAAAGATCAAGGAAGGCTTGAGTAGGATGCTCCTGAGAACCATTACCACCATTGATGACAGGAACAGGAGAAAAGTCAGCAGCAATACGAGCACTCTCAATCGAAGGATGACGGAGGACAAGAGCATCACCATAACAAGCCAACGTACGGATAGTATCAGCGAGAGACTCACCCTTGTTCACACTCGAAGCACTAGCAGTGACAGCAACAACCTTACCACCCAAACGCTTCATGGCAGCATCAAACGAAGAAGAGGTTCTGGTCGAAGGCTCAAAGAACATGATGCAAAGAAGTTTTCCTGTGCAAAGGTTGATAACGCCTTGACGTTCAACAAGGACACGGACATGGTGAGCAATGTTGAAAAGTAAGTGAAGGTCAGAACGGGACACTTGACGAACAGAGAGTACGTGCTTGTGCAAGAAGGGAGAGCTGTTAATCAAACGAACAAGCTCACTAGTGGCATCAACCTTGGGGGTGACTTCCAAGGGAAGGTCATTAAGAGAGATTTTGGCGGCTTCGTTCTTGTAAGGAACAAACTTTTGAGGTCTAGGACTCATGAGATCACTGAATGCATGAGCGGGCTCAGTCTCCGTAACCAGTCCAGAGTTAGAGTAATCACGGCCGAAAGTGTTATCCAGGTTGAATTGGCCATCGAAGAAAACGTTCGTCTCGTCAAAGTGAACTGATTGAACGACACCACAAAGTTTCTTCGACGAGAAGGGAGACCAAGAGGAAGGAGAGTAGGTGAACTCGCGATCAATTTCGACCTCCAAAGACGAACTGTCTTGATCATGAAGTCGGAAAATTGTCTTAGGGTTGGTGTAGAAACGATCAGTCACATCCTTAATTGACAGGCGTCCATCCTGAACAGCGGTGAAGAGGAGAGGAAGGGCCTCGGAAACACCGAATCCAACATCCACATCTTGTCCCAATTCCTTAGCCAAACGAGCGGGAACATCACCAATCGAGAAGCAGTCAATGTAGGGCAATTTGTTCCAAAGCTCGGCTTGATCCTCAGCAGAGGGCAAGAAACTAACACTAGGGAACTCCTCCCTGGAAACGAACAGACTGTAAACCGAAACATCGCAGGTAACAGGAAGCTTCTTTTCCTTGGCCAAAACAATAAGATCCATGTCTTGCTTGCGGCAAACATTAGTAACATGGATGCGACGATTATGTAAGCTAGCCAACAACAAAACGGAAGGCAAGGTCGTAGACTGAGCGTCTGTCATAATAGTTTGATCAGCAGGCCACATACTGAAATGTGAGGCAACAGCAGCAAGCTGGTCAATGTCATGACTCATGCCGGCAAAGTGGAAGAACAAGCAACCGGACTCACGACTCAGTTGAGAGATGGCCTCTTCATTTGTAGAAGCGGCAATTACCGAGAAGTTGTAATCACAGTGAGCGTGCTTTGAGGCGGCTTGCTTAGCAGAGCTCAATGCATCGCTCTCAGAAATGAGAGACTCAGCGCTGAACGGCAAAAATCTGACCATTGTGAAGCCAGCAGCCAAAGATTCCTTGGTATACGCCTCAATATTCTCAGAAGTGTAAGAAGGAATGTAACCAGCAACATTAATGAGACCGGGCAAGTTAAGAGTGGTGAAACTGCTTTGGAAGTCTACCGAGCTGATATCCAGAGAAGTGTTACGGACCATGGCCTCAATCAAAAGCTTGGCGCATTTAACGTTGGTAACCAAGGGTACTTGGTAATCAATTGCCATACGACGACTCTTGTAACCGCTGCTGATGTAGTTGGCAGGGCGGCGATAACGGTTACCAGAAGGCAAGTTGATGTACAAATCAATCAAATTTTTAGCCAAGTGAGCAGTCAAAGAGAACTCGTTGTCATCGGCATCAGGAAGCACAGCAAGGTACTTGCAAGGAACGCCGTTCTCAGAGAGGAAGTCAGAGGTACCAGCAGTGGCGAAGATACAAGATCCGGTGTCATACAACTTCTTAACGAAGGGCAAAAGCTCCATCTTCTCCTTATAAGAACCAATGGAGAAGAGAACATTCTTCTTAGCAACCTTGAAGCCGGTAGAGATCATGGCCTTCATGTAGGCCTCAAACTTATTGCGACCGAAGCAAGCAACCTCACCAGTAGAAGCCATTTCCACACCAAGGACGGGGTCGGCGCCAGAAAGACGACTGAAACTAAATTGAGGGGCCTTAACCGCAACATAGTCACGAGGAATGGCAACCTCGGGGTAAGGTTCAATGGGAATACCCACAATGGCCTTAGTAGCCATAGCAATGAGATCAACACCCATAACCTTAGACACGAAGGGGAACGATCTCGATGCACGAACGTTACACTCAATTACCTTAATTGCGTTATCCTTAGCAATGAATTGAATGTTGTAAGGACCAGTAATGTTCAGAGCATCACCAATCTTGGCAGCAGCATCTCTAATACGATGAATAGTCTCAGGGTCGAGATCTTGTGGGGGGAGAACCAACGTGGCATCACCAGAGTGAACACCGGCATTCTCAACATGCTCAGAAATAACATGCATGACCATCTTGCCGTCTACGGCAACACCGTCGAACTCGATTTCCTTTGCGTTCTCAATGTACTTAGAGATAACAACAGGATGGTCCTTGTTGATAGCAGCAGCCTGCTTCAAGAAAGTATGCAAATCACCTTGAGAGTACACCGTGTTCATCGCAGCTCCCGAAAGAACGTACGAAGGACGAACAAGTACGGGGTACGACACCTTGTCGCAGAAAGCCTCGGCTTCTTCAAAGCTAGTGAGCTCCTTCCATGCTGGTTGATCGATACCAATGTTGTCGAGCATACGAGAGAACTTGAAACGATTCTCAGCCGAGTCAATCATTTCAGGTGAAGTACCCAAAATCTTGACATTCTCACGATGCAAGGGAAGAGCAATGTTGTTAGGGGTCTGACCACCCATGGAGACAACAACGCCAGAAGATGACTCCAATTGGTAAATATCCAAAATAGTTTCAAGGTTAATGTTCTCAAAGTACAGTCTGTCAGCTTCGTCATAATCGGTAGAAACGGTCTCGGGGTTGTAATTAACCATAATGGTCTTGATACCGTGTTCACGAAGAGTGTTAACAGTGCGAACAGCACACCAATCGAACTCAACGGAAGAACCAATGCGATAGACACCTGAACCCAAAACCATCACACCGTGATCTTCGAACGTTACATCGTGCTCAACGGCATTGTAAGTGGTGTAAAGGTAATTCGTGCAAGCAGGGAATTCAGCAGCAACGGTATCAATTTGCTTGACAAAAGGCAAAATATTGTTTTCGGTACGGATACGACGAACGGCAAGCTCGTTCGAGTTAATGCAAGATGCAATTTGAGCATCACAGAAACCAAGACGCTTAGCAGTCTTAATAACACCAACAGGAAGAGAAGCAATGTTGTAGTTACGCAACTCACGTTCGAAGCGGACAAGACCCATAAGCTTTTCCAAGAACCACTTGTCAATCTTCGTAAGCTCCCAAATACGTTGAACAGAGTAATTTGCGGCCATGGCATTGGCGATAGCGAAAAGACGCTGGTCCGAAGGGGTTTGAAGCTCCTGGTCCAAGGACATCAAAGCATCCTTGGGAGAGAAGCCGAGGTTGCTGTAGTCGATGGCTCTGATAGCCTTTTGAATAGCTTCCTCGAAGCTGCGACCGATACTCATCACTTCACCAACAGATTTCATGGACGAGCTCAATGTGCTGCTTACATGAGTAAACTTCTTCAAATCCCAGCGAGGAATTTTCACAACAACGTAGTCCAAGCTTGGTTCGAAACAAGCACAGGTTACCTTAGTAACACTGTTCTTAACCTCGTTCAAGGGAATATTGAGACCAAGCTTAGCAGCAGTGAAAGCCAGAGGGTAGCCAGTTGCCTTTGAAGCCAAAGCGGAAGAACGAGAAAGACGAGCATTGACCTCAATAATGCAGTACTCTTTAGAGAAAGGGTTCAAGGCGTATTGAATGTTGCATTCACCAACGACGCCCAAGTGACGAATGACATTAACAGCGGTAGTACGAAGCATGTTGTAGTCTTCATCAGACAAAGTCTGGGAAGGAGCAACAACAATGGAGTCACCAGTGTGAATACCAAGAGGGTCAAAGTTTTCCATGTTACAAACGGTAACGCAGTTGTCATAGGCATCGCGAACAACCTCGTACTCAATCTCCTTCCATCCCTTCATACTGCGCTCGATCAACACTTGAGGGCTGGTAGCGAAGGCTTTAGAGCAAATCTCAACCAGTTCTTGCTCGTTGTCTGCAAAACCAGAACCGAGACCACCCAAAGCATAAGCAGAACGAACAATAACAGGGAAAGAAATCTTCTTCGACACAGCAAGAGCCTCCTCAACACTAGATGCGGTAACCGATTTGGCACACTTCTCGTTGATCTCATCCATGGCACGAGCAAAGAGCTCACGATCCTCGGTAGTGATAATGGTCTGAATGGGAGTACCCAATACCTTTACACCCAAAGACTCGAACTCATCCTTCAGCTCGATACCAACATTGAGAGCAGTCTGACCACCAAATGTCACATAGATAGCATCAGGACGTTCTTGCTTAATGACCTTGCGAACAAATTCAGCGTTCACAGGCAAAAAGTACACCTTGTCGGCAAGACCCTTCGAGGTTTGAATAGTAGCAATATTGGGGTTGATGAGAATTGTGTAGATACCCTCCTCGCGCAAAGCCTTAATTGCTTGACTACCAGAGTAGTCAAATTCACCAGCTTGGCCGATGGACAAGCCACCGCTACCAAGAATAAGGACACGCTTAACATCAACGCGAGGATGAGCGTTTTTGTTTTCAGCAACATTTCCACCGGGCATTTCAATAGGCAAAAGTTGGCCGGCCTCGGTGCAACGTTGCACCGCCTTGAGAAAAACATCGAAGAGGAACTCGGTGTCACGAGGACCAGGAGTAGACTCAGGGTGGAATTGCACAGAGAAGAAGGGAAGAGTTTCGTGATAAATACCTTCATTAGAACCGTCGTTGGCGTTAACGAAAAGTTCCTTCCAACCACCAGTCAGTGTTTTGGCATCAACGGCATAACCGTGATTTTGAGATGTAATGTAGCACCGGCCAGAAACCATGCAAGTGCAAGGGATATTGTGACCACGGTTACCGAACTTCATTTTCAGAGTCTTAGCACCGGAGGCACGGGAGAGAATCTGGTGACCAAAACAAATACCAAAAACGGGAACCTTCTTAGCATCAATCACAGCCTTGACGCGCTTCACAACAGCATCCATGAGCGACGGGTCACCGGGACCGTTGCTGATGAAAAGACCGTCGTACTGTTCCGCACTGATGTCATAGTCCCAAGGAACAACATTAAGCTCGACACCACGACGAACGAAGCAGCGGATCTGATTGAACTTCATGCCAACGTCAATTGCCAAAATGCGGTAAACCGAACCGTCAGGCTTGCGAAGGGCAGTTTCGGAGCTAGGGGTGTACAAAGTAGGTTTCTTAATGGAAACAAGAGCAGTCAAGTTTTGACTGTTGGGATTGACCCACTCAATGTCTTCAAAGTACTTGGCCCAGGACTCACCCTGACCAATCGTAACGGCAGGGTCGAGGGGAGCAGCCTCACGCTGCATCAGCAAGCGGCCAAGCATCGAACCCTCATTACGAATCTTCTTCGTGAGAGCACGGGTGTCAACACCATACACACCAGGAACACCCTGCTCCTTCAACCACTCGCCCAATGTGGAGTGGGCAAGGTAGTGGGACGCATTTTCCGAATAGGTAGCGACAACAACAGCAGCTACGTGGATTTGACTAGACTCAAAGTATTTTGGCAATCCCTTCACGAGCTCGTCCTCAACTTTCCGGTCAGGCACACCGTAATTACCAACAGTAGGGTAAGTGATGACGAGAATTTGGCCGCGATACGAGGGGTCGGTTAATGACTCTGGGTAACCCACCATTCCGGTTTGGAAGACCAGTTCACCGGAAACCGAGCGCTCGGCACCAAAAGCAAAGCCTTGGAAAACGCTTCCGTCCTGGAGTTGCAAGGTCATCAACTTGGCACCGTCCTTGCTGTAAAGAGCAGGTGATTCTGTGGTAACGGGCTCCTTAGGATCGTAAGCAGAGGCCTTGGGCAACTGGGCACGAGGAAGTCCTAAGACTTCATTCTGAACAAGAGGGAAGGAGGTGGACAGGGGGGAAACGAGACTGTCCATTTTGTTGGTTTTTTTTAATTGTCAGATAGAAGGAAATAAACGGTGAAAATGCAAAAAAGCGCGAACGCTACTAACTTAGTTCAGAGGGGGGTTTGGGTTTTTGAGTAGAAACAAAAAATTAAAATAAGAAGAAGCTTCAGACGTAGTAGCAGTCTCTTGAAGGCTTTCTTATGCGTAGCAAAAGCTGGAACAAGCCTGTTTGAGTTCTGCCGTGGGGTTGATTGGTATGTCCGAGAAGTGGTGAAAAGAGAGAGCTGCTGGTGTGGTTGGTGAAGGGAAGGAGCGACGAGGCGATGGTGCATCTTTTATTATCGGTACCACCACGTTGCCGAATCAACGAATCGTAGGCCTATGAATGGTCGATCCCCCGTGTGTTTTGCCGACAAATATCAACCACCAATCATACACGTGTTTTAGATCGCTCAAATGAGCTTGTTCCGGCGAGATAGCTCAATGAGTCTTGATTGGCGAATAATTCCTGACCGTCTCGAACACTAATTCATTTGTTGACTGTTGTAAAATACTGTCTACTTATACGTGTAAATGCACTTGATGACTTCAGGTGGCACACGTTCTTGATTCAAGCAGAATTTTTAGACCAATGAATGAAAATAAAAGAAAGACAAAATTCTGTGGGTTCAGTTTGAAGTGATTTTTGTCGAGGAAGCACTGACGGAGCCTCTTATATCAGGAGCATGGAGATAATCCCGCGGGAACAAGGTCTCTCAGACGAACCTGACGGGCGATTGTTTTATGTCGCCGCTTGAATTTTCTGTCATAGCAGTTCTAAACCTTGTTCACCGTAACTCCTATTATTATTCTGTATTTTATATATTCACTGATTTTTTTATCGTCAATCTGATTGTTACTTTCATTCACTTTATTATGTATCACAAATTACGTTTTATCAACTATATTATATTGTTTTATATTATTATTGTTTTATATTATTATTATTATTATGTTTATGTTTATGTTTATTTTTATTTATTATTTTTTGATTTTCTTACGGTTTACGCATTCCTTTGTACGAGCGGTATTAACTCCTCCTTTGTCTTGCTTTGTTGTCCATCTAGTTTACTAAATTCATTTTTTAAGAACGCGGTGTATGACGTAATCCACAGTCAGTTCCTGCCTCACCTCTCACTCGCTTGTTCGAGCCTCAATAGCTCTCGTCGAAAAGCCACGCGACGCTTTGTCATCGCGGCTTTCTGGTGTTCTAGAAAGTAATTGGTCAAATCAGCCATCATGTGGTTGAGATTCTTAGACTCGCGGCGGCCTCCAAGGACAGAAGAAGGCTCGTCTCGTTTCCGCTTCGTTTATTGTCGCTAATATCGTTTAGCATCGCTTATCATCGGAGCGGAAAATAAGCTCTTCCCCAACCACCGTGCTGCTGCCTGGTACGTATAACCTAACAACCTCGTCAAAAGTAAGTTTTTTGCTGCTTCTGGCGTCCTCCCTCTCGTTTTGCACTCAATTGGACGAATTATTATGGAATTGATTAAGTAAGACCATCTAACGTCTCATTCTACGAACCAATTGCTTCTCAGACTCTGTTTCTTTTTCGTTGACCAGACCCACGTCCTTGGCTGCTGGTTTCGAGTAAGCTCGTGGAGGCGAAAGCTGAAACCCACCTGGTTCTGAGCAATTCCGAATAATCCATCTACGGTTTCATTGTAATTATTGTCTATCTAAGCTCTACCTTTCATTATTGTTTGTCAGAATAACATACGGATTTTGTTCCCCTTCTGTCTATATACAATTACTCCTTGAGGAAGTACCTGACAAAATGACACCCTCTTACGATCGGGACGGAGTCATCGATCGTTCTGGCGGTGCATTGCATGATAATAGTGCACCAATTATTTTGATGAATAGCTCCAGTTCATCTGGTTCTTCCGACGACCGTTCGAGCCCGACAACAATTAGAAGACATGTGTCTTTTCGAACAGCTGTTGGAACTACTTCTTCATCATTACCTCGTGGAAGCCCTGGGTTTGTGTCGCTGCCGGATACCTCACTTGCATCTGATCCTTATAACAATCCTTACAGTAGAATCAACCGCAATTCTCCTCCTTCAGATCCACGTGAGATACCTCCCCAATTTCATTTCAAGAAAATATCGCACAGCAGAAGCGTTTCGAGTTTTCGTAACCTTATGTTGGAGCAACGGAATCAACGAGATTTTCTACTCGTTGACGACGTTGAAGAAACGAAGCGCAAAGGCGATAAATCCCCGACAAAGGAGCGCTCATCATTGCATATTCGACAGGGCTCACTGGATTTAGTACGCGTATTGAATCCGTGGTCTTCGTCCAAAAAGAAGCGTGAGCTTCGTAAAGTAAAATCTTCGCAAGAGGTTGCACTCCGGCAACAAGTTTCGCGAGTTCCAACGAAGTACGGCTACGTTGAAGAACTCATTGGTGAAGGTGCAGAAGGGCATGTCTACACCATTGCGACGCCGAACGAAAAAGGCATTAAATATGTAGCCAAACAATACCGTCAACGCATGCCCGGAGAAGGCGAGCGCGAGTATGCAAAACGCGCTACGGCAGAATTCAACATTTGCTCGACGTTGCACCATCCCAGCATCATCCGGGTGTATGACGTGCTCGTTCTCAACAAAAAGTATTATCAGATTATGGAGTACACGCCGTACGATTTGTTCACGTTGGTGAAGGAAAATCAACTGTCTAATGAAGACAAGCTTGTACTCTTCCGCCAGCTTGTGGCCAGTGTTGCATATTTGCATTCGGTTGGTCTAGCACATCGGGACATTAAGTTAGACAACCTAATGCTCGATCAAAAGTGCAATCTCAAGCTCATTGACTTTGGAAGTGCATTTGTTTTTCAATATCCCTTTGAATCTAGTGCGGTACAGGCACGAGGTCTCATCGGCTCAGAACCGTACCTACCGTATGTTCGCGTCCGCAGATACATGCAGCGGTTTATATGTACAATTTTGTGCGGAAGACTAACAACAATTATGCAGGCCCGAGGTTTTCCAGCATTATTCATATGATGCCCGAGGAATTGATGTCTGGTCATGCGCTATCGTGTTCTGGTTCGTAATCTACGTCTGAGAGTAGGCGTGCGTATGCAATTTGTTACTAACCGGCACATGCTTTTAGTTGCCTTATGCTTTTACGATTCCCTTGGAAAACACCCAAAATGACAGATCGGTCGTATAGAAATTTTATGGAACAGTCGAAGCTTGATCCTTCTCATGTAAAACTACTAGATTCCCTTCCAACAGATTCGCGACCCATAATCAAGCGCATGTTACAACCAAATCCAAAAGACCGATGTTCTATACAGGAAGTTTACGAATCAGAATGGGTCCAAGGTATTCCTGCGACGCTCGCGGTTTCGAAAAATACGGACCCGTCCATATACGCGGCAACGCCTTAAAAGTTAGGCGCGACACTCTAATCGTCTCCTTTCATTCACATTTGCTCCATCATTTTAAACAATAACCCCTTCCCTTTAACATTTTAACCAGAAAATTGACATCGTGTTAAGACGTGTATTTATTTCCGAAAACCATTTACAGAGCCTGCAGAGATTTGAAGGCGTTTGACCTCGTCATGAACTTGCGCAAACCGGTTGCTTAGTGCCATGAAAAGCTTGTGCTCTTCCTTGAGAGAGCGGACAAGCGCTGCGATCATGTTAGTTGAAACTGTTACGTGACGTACTATACTCGACTTACCCTCCGGGCTATTGTTTTGAGGCATAGATTCCACTTGCTCCAGGTGTTGCTCCAATTCACCGATGGTAGCGGCATACACTTGCGTGCGCTTTTTGGCATCTCTAACGAATTCATCAAAGTAATTTACAAGAGGATCATTAGATGTGTGCGGCAAAACGGCACCCGGAGTTTTCATCACATCAATGATTCTTGTGCTTATGCGGGCATTAATCGTGTCTTTGTCCACAATGTTTTTAACGTCTTCCAAGCAGTCTGCATCTGTTTCCAATGCAGTTGAAGTGGAAGAAAGACGCTGGATGAGTTAGCAAAAAAAATCGATCCGACTCGGATGGGAGCGAATTGTTGAAAACAACTCGTCACCAATTCTTTTTTAAACTTACTCTTTCCACTTCTGCAACATCATTTGGCACTGTGTCCACAAGTTGCCGGACTTGAGCAGCACTCTCATTTACCGTTTCAGAAAGCTGGATCTGGGCAAATATTTCTTTTCTTTGTAAGTCATGTTAGTCAAGTGTTCGTGGTCTTGCCGGAAAATCAAAAAATTGTGAAACATACTCGATGCTATCAAGAGCATTTTGGGTAGCCGCGTCTAAAGCAGAAAATCGAGTGGTCGATTGAATTGGTGTGACATTGGAAGCAACGGTATTTGCTTGACTGTTGTATTGTCTGCGTCAGCATCTCAGCAAATTCAGAAGATAACTTACGGCACAGCCTGTTGTTGCTGCTGCGGTTGTTGCTGGCCAAACAACCCAAAGCTTGGCTTTGTTGTAGTAGCAGTATTTTGTTGTCCAAAAAGACCGCCGCCAGTTGTTGAACCGAAGACCGGTTGCGTCTGTTGTTGCTGTTGTTGTTGATTAAAGCCGGAACCGCCAAACAAGCTCGTTCCCGCGGCAGGCTGCTGTTGTTGTGTTTGTCCGAACAGAGACGGGGTTGTTGTGGTTGTCGTAGCTGGCTTTTGACCAAATAAGGAAGTCGTTGTCGCAGGTTGTTTTGTCGCCGCCTGTCCAAAAAGGCCTCCTGTATTGGTTGCAGGTACATTCGTCGTTGTTTGATTTAACAATCCCGCACCTGGTTGCGTGTTCGTGCCTAATAGAAATTGTGTTAATGAATGAGAACAAAACTCGAATTGCTGTAACATACCCGCATTGTTTTGTTGGCCGAATGCCGGGGCAGCGGTGTTTGTGGAGCCAAACGAGAACAGAGGTTTGTTCGAGCCGAACATGCTTCTGTAGTAAGATATAAGGGTTTGGATGGAGGGAGACCGATGGTAGAGACAGCTCTCTTTCTTCTGTGCTGCACTCACATGAAAGCTTTGGTGTAGCAGGTGTGCAGTGCGGTTTAGCGAGTAGCAACGAACGAAAACGAACTTTACCAAAGTGCATAGAACTACGTTAAATATATTAAAGATCCTCAACGAAACATAACACACATTCGCTATACTAGATAACGATGCTGCAAGAGCTCAGTATTTCGCATTGCGGTGGATATTGCTGGCACTCAGAGACGTGTAGACGACGTTTCCTCCATGTCGAACGCAGACGAGAGTAGAACAATCGATGAAGACGACGAGTACCTGTACGGTGAGTCGTACGCGCAGGCCAGCGGCGATGAAACGCACGGAGAATCGACTCGGGCTGTAGCTGAAGGTACAATGGCTGTCGACGGAGAGACGGACGAAGACGACTCGGTATGACTCGTGAAATTTGAAAATGTTCCAAGTGAGACGTAGAGGAGGGGTTGACTACGTTGTTTGGAAAGGCTGATTAATTGATAATGATCATCTCTAACACTCACAGGACATCGAGTTTATCATTGATACAAAACCAGGCGAACGGGCAGAACCTCCCGGGTAAGACTCATTCTGAGCAACAAAGTTGTCCTCCTACACAAGTATGTTTGCTAATACGGTCGTTTTACTAGAGCTAGCAGTGCCGGAGCAAGCAATGTAAAGTTTACACAGAGGCCTGCAGCACCTGAAAAGGCAGGCGTCGAAATGAAGTCTACAGAGATAAAAGAATCCTCAGAAAATGCCCCGAAAATTGACATTGACAAGGTCCCAATGATAGACGGAAAAAGTATTTATGATGTTGACCTGGAAAGCTATGAAGATAAACCCTGGCGGAAGCCAGGTGCGGACATTACAGACTACTTCAACTATGGATTTGATGAGTTTACATGGGCCGCGTACTGCACAAAACAAAGCAAAATTCGCGAGGATTACACTCCACAAAAGGTGCTTTCAAGCATGACTCAATTGGCTGCACCCACTGACCTCTCTGCTCTACCTCCGGAGGTTCAAGCAATGATGGCCGCCGGAGGATTTCCACCAATGCCTCCCATGCCGTCGGGTCCAAACAATGGACCGGAAGATATGGCTACTGCCGCAGCTGCCGTGTACGGTGGACGGCCTGGAAGTGTCCAAGGTGGTGCCAACAATCAGCATCACCCCCCTCAACGGCCGCCTTCCAACATGGGCGGTGGACCCGGTGGTCGAGACGATATGCGTGATGCTCGTGATCAACGTGACATGCGCGACAATCAACGAGACAATGTCCGCGACAACTCTCGTCGGCGCGGACACTCTCCCGACCGCTCCGAACGGTCGGACCGTTCTGACCGCCCCGACAGAACTGATCGCTACGGCGGTTATTCTCGTTCCAACCGATACCGTCGAAACAGATACTAAAAAAATCGAGACCTACCACAGCCATGTGGTGATGATGACAAGGGCATATCATCCTCCAAAAACAAAAGTTCCTTGCTCAAAATAATTGCCGGTTTTGCCTGCCATCACTCCCAGCCTGCTATTCTACGTGGTCGTTTTTTTTAAAAAAAAAGCAGATCATTAACTACGTACAATGTACATCACATAAAAGAGACATAACAAGGACGGAATTCGTTAAAGAACGAAAAACTCTTTAACGGCCGTTGACCTCATCGTCAATCTCGTCAAGCATCTCCTTGGAGTGTTGCTTGGTTTGTTGAGAGACGTTAGGGTTCTTGAGAGAAGCCTTGAAGCCACCACGAACGTTACCCAAGTTCTTGCCCTTGGCGTAGTAGTCGTCGACCAAGTCTTCACCTCCGCGAGGAGCATCGCCCATAACGTTGTCGTCGCCGAAGTCCTCGTCCTCGAGGTCCTCGTTATCGCCCATCTCGGTGGTGCGGAGAGGTCCATCAGTAGGGTATCTACTGCGGCCCTTGGACTTGGTTTGGTCGGTCTGGTGGTGAGAGCTCAACCATTCCTCTTGACGGTGCTTAGACTCCTCAGAGACGTTGGGGTTGTGGAGGGCGGCCTTGTGACCGGCAATAACGTGGCTAGGATCAGACATTTTAATGTTGTTGAAATTCGTAAACTTGAAGACTCTTTTTGTAGATCTCTGTTTTGAATCAATCTGGTGAGACAGTGCTTGAAATTTGTACAGTATTTATCCTTTTCGGAAGATAAATGACAGCATGAAACGTCAGAGCTTGCCACTTAGTAAGTCTACGACAATTCTCTCATTTCATTTTCTATGTTGTTTATAGACTCATGACCTGGTCAAGTCTTAACATAATCTTAACGTCAAAGTCGATTGCTCGAGTTTCGGATCGAAAACACAAAGAAGGAACTTGAATTGGTAGGTGTGGCTATGTATACGTAGAACAATTTATTGTAAATGGAGTGAATGTCGAACAAGACGAAACGGAGATGAAATGAAATTTAGAGAAGCGGTCAGTCTGGCAATTGCCGAATGTAAAGGGGATTGGAGATACCAATGGTCGCCTTTCACGCCAGCCATATACTAAAGAGAGGTCCAGTTAAATCAATACACTTGAGAATTTTAGACCTAAGACTACGACGACAACTTGCTGTGCACATGCAACCAGCCCAAAGACTACTAACGCTAAGCACTACTGAAAGAACATCAATTCACAATAACAACATCCAGTTCTCACTACGTATCAGACAACTGGACCATAATACTCTACAAATTACTCTCATCCATGATGTCAGTCCACGTGCGCGCGAATACTCATTAGCGTCGCAACCCTTACGCTAAGTCGCGAAAATGCGACTGCTTGCGATAATATTGCAACCTTAATTATAATTACGTCACGGAAGTTCGCAAAACGTGGTCACCACACGGCATTTTGAGTTCGTTTAATGGATTACGTATTGAAGCAATCTTTATTTGTAATGCATATTAAATTCGTTAAGCACTGCCACTGCGTAATTGTTAGCCCAGAGTACAACAAAACAAGACCAGCATCACAATGACTGCCGATTTTGGCTAGCCGCGCCGAAAGGCGCGTCTGCATCCGAAATTACACGTACACCAACACATTGTTAATAGGAATGTGAACCAATTTGATAATATAGCCAATGAAACCCATCAGAATAAAACCGGCGGCGACGGCCTTGGAGACACTCAAGAATTCTGTCATGTTAGCAGAGTGGGTAGTGGGGGCGGGTACTGGTGGTGCAGAGTGGGGAAGTGGGATAGCCCCACTTAACACCAGAGCACGCTAAACCTCGCAAAACACAATAAGGAATCTCAGCGAGATGCAGCACACTTTTCAGTTTCTGCTCATCGAAAACATACCCTTGCGGTTAGGCTTCACGCAACGCTTGACAAAAGCACTGCCCTCCTTGTACAAAGTCTTGGGAAGCTCAGAGAAGTCGTCCGATTTTTCAGCAGCCATGGTGATATGCGGTTGTTTTGATGGGTGTGGGAGTGTAGGCGTTGAGGGGAAACAGCCGGGCTGGACAAGTTGTCCTCATCGCATCTTGGCAGGGACCAAATAGTGACTACTAGCGCACAGCGGTATACTGAAAACGGCTTTCGAACGCGCTTCCGAATAACACTTAGCGTTATCTAGGCGAATGCACTATTATACTTACCGTGCTTCGAACAGACACAGTGGAACACGCTGTAGTTCACTAACCTTGTTTTCTTATATGAAGCGAGACAAACACGACGAACTTTGTCTTTCTTCTCCTACGTGTTCGTGCATTTTATGTCTGAAGAAGCGAAAACAGAAGCTGAGACCTCTTCGGCAGCATCTTCTACGGCGACGCCGGCCTCAGCACCGGCTGCTGCGGCTTGGAAAAGTCGCTTCCCTCTTGCGAGAATAAAAAAAATTATGCAGGCTGACCAAGACGTAGGAAAGGTCGCCCAGGTCACTCCTATTATCGTTTCAAAAGCCCTGGAACTGTTTATGCAAAGTATAATAACCGAATCTTGCAAACAAACACGTCTTCACAATGCAAAACGCGTCACGGTGTCGCATCTAAAACATGCTGTTCAGAGTGTAGATCAATTCGACTTTCTACAAGAGATTGTGGAAAAGGTCCCGGACGCGCCTGCAATTAAGCCTGAACGGAAGTCAAAACGAACGCGTTCCAACGCTGCTTCGAACGAAAACGGAGGTTCCAATTCTGGAAAGCGTAGAAAACGTCCAGACAGCGAGTCTACCAGCTCGAAACAGTCTGCTGCGGAACCCGTAAAAGAAGAGAGTGCCGGTAGTGAGGAAGCCGCTGCTTAAGCAATCTGTGTGTTGCTGAAAGACTCGTTACGCTGTCATCCAAATGCCGTCTTTTGCACTTTTAAACACACACACCAACCTATATGTATACATATGTTCACAGACGAACGAAAAACGTCTTCCCAACTCTGTTCCTTTTTTCCCTTATATTCTTCCCGTTTACAATTATTCCCTCCCTATTCCTCTTTTCAGCTTTTGGTTTTGTGTGTGTTACATGGTATAGCGTATTGGAAATTATTCCCCTAATAAAAACGAACGACGGAAAAGAGTTGATCACAGCCGCTAGCAATAAGGTAAACACCGTGCTGGATGTTGCAACGATGTGTAGCTTCCCCCCGTTCACAACCCTTAGCGGAGCCAGGGCGGTTTGAAGTTAACTTCTAGGTCACAAAAAGGTCTCCAGGAGCATGGGTGGGCTACTGGAGTCAAATAAGAGTACAGGAAAAAACGTGTGCTCGTCAGGGAAGCAAAAGCAGCTCGCGGCCGTACCGCCCCTGACTATGCATTCTAAACAAGCATTTCCAAAACCGACTGGCGACGGTCTTGGATGCGACGTACAATTTCCAGAATCATACTCCAAAACCGAGGAACGTCCATCCTGAAAACGATGTTGACGTTGTTGACGGGTTCTGCAATTTGTCCCCAAACATCGCAGACCGTTCGTCCGAGTGTTAATGCATCCAAACTCACTGAAGTGGTCATTGGTTTGAACTCGGCCATGTCCGGCCACAGTGCGGCAGCCATGGCGCAAGCATCGTGCACAGGAACGCCTTCTTTGAACCCGTACGTCTTCTCGTATGTGTCGCTGAACGCCGTCATCACATCAACCAGCAGAGCCGCGAAAGGTGACGGGTGTTCACGAAGCTTCTGCAGGGTAGCACGGTCAAGAAGCACAGTATGAGTGACGTCTAATGGAACCATGTACAATTTCCCCCTAAGGGAGTTCGCCTCAACGACTAAGCGAGCGGCCTCAGGGTCTGCATACATGTTGAATTCGGCTTGTGATGTGATATTGCCTACTCCAGTACTTCCTCCCATAAACACAAGCTTCTCGATATTACTAGTAACGTCGGGATATGTAGACACCAACAAGGCAACATTTGTTAACGGTCCAGTAGCCACATACACTACCGGACGTGGATTGTCCATAATTGCCTTGTACATGTTGAAAACCGCATTTGGCTGCGCAGACTTCTTTGGGTTGGGGGGCAAAAGTTTTGTGTTAGACAACCCGTTCTCGCCATGGATATGGGTAGCGAGTTTGTTTTCCCGCATCAATGGTTTGGGTGCCCCTCGGTAAACGGGGACACCGATACCAAGCAACTCAAGGACAGCCAATGCATTATGTGTTGTGTGTTCGATACTGCTGTTACCGTGCACCGTGCTCACTCCAAGCAAATGGCAGTTCTCTGCATATGAAGCAATCATAATAGCAACAATGTCATCATGTCCAGGATCACAGTCCAACCACACGTCTAAGGGCTGTGCCAGTTGTTCCATTGTTGTTACCATATTTGCAGTCAAAAAAATCGATTTCGTCTATGTTTATGCAAGTAGTAGATGAAAAAAAAGAACGAAAAGCCCAAAGCAAGGAAGTAAATAGACTACCTTTCACTTCCGTTGAACGAGCCGGCTTTTATTGTGTGGCATACTAATGTTTACCATTTATATGTGGTGGTGAGTTTGGATATAGCGGACCCTAGCCTTAACCCTTCCTTTCTACGAGTGCAACATCAGTTGTGTTTTCCTTCGAAACCGACGTCTATTGCGTTGTTTTTTTGGCATTCAAGGTCTAAAAATTGTCGTTTATTAATTCTGTAAACGGATTTGTTGCTTAAACTGTATATAACTAGGGTTCTACAGGCTTCAATCGACCCGGCCTTTGAATACCAATTTTGTCTGTCATTTCTCTGTATAAGTATAGGTTTTGATATTCAGAAGTTTATTCGTGTTTTCTCATTTCTTTTGGTGCTTTCGGAAGAATAAAAAAAGTTGAGGAAAACTAAACGTACTTCGTAATTTTTTGAACAATTTCCAGGGCAGTCATTGAATATATTAGAACAAAAAATTATTACATGGATTCCCATACATTAATATCAACCTTGGAGGAGTATGTGCAAAAAGGTACTGCTATCTTCTCAGAATCCAAACCAACGGTGAGAAAGGTTGACTTTGAAGTGCCAGGCACATCCCATAAAGTTACCTCTTGGCGTTTTTGGGAACAGGCTTATCGCATCAATGTGTCGAATAGCAAAAAGAGAATCAACCGTGCAACTGGTGAACTTGTTTCTCTCCCAACTTGCAGCAGAGGTTTGTTTTCCTTCACGGATCCTGTGACGAACAAACATAGCATTGTAATTCGCGGCTACGACAAGTTCTTCAGTATAGACGAAGTGGAATGCACAAAATGGAACAGTATTGCAAAGGAAACACAGGGTCCTTACTATTTAATGGTGAAAGAGAACGGCTGCATCATCTTTATTAGTGCGTTGCCAGATGGAACGCTATTGGTAACAAGCAAAAACGCAATTGGCGATGATACGGAACGTCTTTCACATTCTACGGCTGGCCGCCAGTGGCTTGAACGGCATTTGGAAGCCAGTGGTCACACGGCACAACAACTCGCAGAAACATTACGGGATATGAATGTTACTGCCGTTGCTGAGCTTTGTGATGATGAGTTTGAAGAACATATTTTGCCATATCGCGGCCGTCACCGCGGTTTGTTCTTGCACGGATTGAACGAAAATTGTCCCGATTTTAAAACAAAGTCCCCAGAGGAGGTAGCAGAATTTGCTGGAAAATGGGGATTCCATCCTGTCGAGTTTTTACACGTTGACACGGTAGATGAACTACATAAGTTTTGCGAGGAAGTTCGTAAAACGGGGCATTGGAAGGGTAATGCTATTGAAGGTTTCGTTGTGCGCAGTAAACGCCTTGTTCCAACTGAAGACGGTAATTCGAAGACTGTTGATTTTTTCTTCAAGTACAAATTCGACGAGCCGTATGGGTTGTTCCGACAATTCCGCGAAATCACAAAGATGTTGATATCTGGTGAGCGCGTGGTGTATCCCAAGTATAAAAAGATTAGCTCTCGGTATCTACAGTTTTGCCGCCAAAAATTCGAGGAGCATCCAGAATTGCGTGAGCATTTCTCTAACAATAAGGGAATTATTGAGCTCCGTGATGAGTTCTTTGCCTTGACAAAGCTTAGTTCACTTGATATTGTGAAGGCCACTTCAGATGAGGATGAAGAGGCTGCACACATTGTGTTTGTGCCTGTTGCAACCATTGGATGTGGAAAAACGACTTTGGGAATTGCACTCCAAAAGCTGTTCGGATGGCCCGTAATTCAGAACGACAATTTTTCTAGCGGTGCTGGCAAACGTGGCTTTACCAATGCTATCATCAATGAACTGAATCAAGGCCAAAGGGTTGTTTTCGCTGATCGAAACAATCATATTCCCAAAATGCGTCTCGAACTAAGAAATTCCATTTCAACAGACGTGAGTGGTGTTCGTTATGTAGCTCTTGTTTTTCGCATTGATGAGGAGATCTCCAAATTTTTGGAAGAAAGAGTTCTAGCTCGTGGTGATAATCACCAGTCTATTCGTGTATCTGAAGGTGCGGGAAAGGTACAAGGAATCATGCGCGGTTTTAAAGCATCGTATCGTCCTTTTGATCCCGAATCTCCCAACGATCGTAACTTTCATTTGGTTATTAATCTCAATCCTAAAAATGGTACTCTTCAAAACATGAAGATCGTTATTACGCAGTTACAAAAGGCGTTCCCTGACTTTGTTCCTCGTATTCCCACCAATGAAGAGTGTGATGCTGCTTTGCATTATGCCATTCATGAGTATCGTCCCACGTTCACCAAAGTATTTAAGACCAAGAATGACACTTCTGTTCAGTCGATTTCTTACTTCGGCGCCTTCCTAGACGAACCTTCAATAATTCCCAAACTGATAGGTTCATTGTTTAGTCAGGTTCCGGACGTCGATCGCACTATGTGGGATCATTTAAAGGCAAGTGGTGCTGTTCAATCTTCGTTTCATGTTACTATGATTCACAGTTCAGCAAAGAAGGTGAAGATCAACGATAAGCCTGTATGGAAGGAATACATAAAAAAATTCAAGTCGTCGAATCCGGATAATATGGGTTCTGTTGAGTTTACTGTTACTGAACTCGTCTGGAATGATCGCGTTATGACTCTTAGAGTAACAATTTCTCCGGACAGTGAATGGGCTGGAAAGACGACAAATCCCGAGCTTCATATCACTGTTGGAACAGCAAATTCGGATATTAAGGCTTATGAGTCTAATGTTTTATTGGCCAAGCTCAGGGAAGGCACGAACGAAGGTATTCACGTTCTTAAGTTGCCTTGGCATTGTTCCGTTAAAGCTACTTTGAAAGCAAAGTATTAGAAGGACAAGTTTCAGAAAGGTAAAGTTGATAGTTTTGTGTTTATAATTTTGTTCGTCTTTTTGTTTTGGTAAGTTAATAGAAGTTTTACGGATTTATGCATCTTTATCAATTTCGACTTTCTGCCTTATAGGTTGACGTGATTTATTAATGTTGCCGTGTTATCTATTGAAACAGTTTCCATGTCCAACGGACAGAGTTTTGCTTCGCTCTTGAAAGTGTGTAAATGGCGTTCTCGCCTGAATAATTGTGAACATGCACTTTACCAATCCAACTCACTGGAGTACAAGGATAGCCGACCAGGCCAGTGAAGAACCATTCAGGTGATCTAATTGTAAGGAGAAGTTAGTTGTTGTAAAGGACGCGTTAATGTTGACATACTGGATGCGTGAGTATAGACAAAGACATATATCCGGTGTAAGCAAACCAGACACTGTTATCTGAGTAATGTCACCCGTCTGCGGCTCTCCAGCATTCTTCATTGGAATTGTATATGTGCTAACGTAAGGGTCTGTTGCATTCGTACTCTGGAGGAGAGGGGAGTGTAAACCGAGTAAGGACATGTATTCAAGGATGTCAAATGCGTTTTCCTTAAGAGTAGATAGATCATCATCATCGTTATTTTTATAAGGAAAGTTGGGTTCGAAGAGAACAGGAGGAATTTTTTGAGAACGGAGAGTATTATGCTCTAAGCGAATTGGTTCGCAACGCACGGTAAACGGGGCTGCTTCTAAAAAATCCTGGATTTTATCGGAGGGACAGGTTGCAATGAAGTTGAAATCGGGTAAACGTTCCAAACCCTTCCTCAGTCTCTCAAAATTTTTGGAACCATATTTAAATGGGGTGTCAGAGATGTTGAATAAGGCATCTATATAATGCCGGTTAGTATTATATAACGAATTAGATTCAATAAAATTTACCCCATCGTGTATTTTTTGGTTGGTTACCGGAAGCCTTTGCGCTTAATCCTGCACAAAGGTAGGTATCTTTATCCATGGATATCCAGATTGTTCCTGTACACGGTTAGATCAGTGATATGAAAGTGAGTTATACCATTGTATAAAGCTATAGATGAGCTTGAATCAGGCAATGAGTCGCTTAGCAAAGTAATAGTTCCTTCGTAAAACAATTAGCAACTCGCTGAAAGAAAGAAAAAAAAAAAAAACAGTTAAGTACCATTTTGGACAAAGCTTTCGTACAACGAAGATGAAAGAAGGCAGCTAGCATTCGCGCTAAAGTAGAGCGTCTTATGATTTTGTATAACTGTTTCAAATTGGGAGTAAATAAACTCACAGTCTGGAGAAGAAGGAACGATGACGTGAAACTGGTTTATGTTAGTGAATGTTTGCAATAAGGAGAGTTGCTCGGTGCAGAGAATCAAGGTATTACCTTTTTATTGAAAGGATGCAACAGCGATTGACTTTCATAATAGGAACTCTTCTCTACAGTTCCGGGGTATGTATCGACGGAAAATGAACATTTTGTAGTCGCCATATTGCAACGTTATAACGAAATAAAATATCTGTTGAATAACACGGCCAAGAATAAACCCAAAAAAATATATTTATCGGTTGCAAATACTTTAGCTTTACTTAATGCATATGTACACGTGTATTAACAAGTGTTTTGAAAGAATTCTTGAACGAATTCAGTTATTCGGTGGTAGCTTTAGGTCATGTCACAGCATGAACAAAAGTTGAGGAAATTAAAACTTTGACGTTGTTATAAATGATTTGCAGGTAGTGATAGCTTGGTCTAGGTATTTTTCTAATTTACTAAAATTACTACTTATTTTTTTTTTTTTTTCGCTTTATTATATCATTAATGAAAGGAATAAAAATAAAATACTCTATAATGAGTTGATAAAATTAAGGATACTTAATAAATACTTCTAGACAGTAATGATCTCGAGCTCTCTGGTCCTATTTTCTAGAACTCTTCCATACTGTTTAAAGAGATCATTTATTGACAACCATGCGCTATATAAAAACTCTTCAATCTCTTCTTCACCCCTCCCCATCTTTATTAACAAATTTAATTTCATTAAGATAACATATGTACCTTCATTCATCAAACGAATTTCATTGTCATAAAACTTTTTTGTTGCTTATAAACATAACTGTCACGGTTTACCAAAAAATAAAACGTCAGAAAAAAGAGTAGTCATGGGTAGAGAAGTTTTGGATGGTACGGTATGTTCAATACGTTGGTTCGTAACGGTTACTTGTCACTAGTAGTGAAAGCTGAGTTTTGGTTGTCGCCCCATATAAGACACAAGAAAGATAGGGCAGGCATAGTGTTACAAAACAATTACAGATCCAAGTTTAGGTTCTGACAAGAAGCAATAAACTCCTGAAGAACGATGCGATCGGGGCAACATTGCATGGCAGTATGTCCTTCCTTGTCAACACGTAAGGTATCAGCCCCAGCTTTCACGAGTTCCACAGCAGCATCGACATGACCTTCTGCGAGAGCAAAGTGCAAGGGAGTGTATCCGCAGGAATCGGAAGCGTTTAAAGGCGCCTTATGAGACAATAAAATCTTAATTGCATTCACGTTACCGACTGCAGTGGCACGATGAAGAGGCTGTTGACCCTGACGGTCCTTTACACGAACGAGTTCAGGTTTACGGTCGCAGAGTAATTGCAGCAGGCGCATACGACCTTTTGTTGCTGCGTAATGCAAGCAGGTCTGTCCTCCTCGAGTAGTAGCTGAAATATCCAAATCCTCGCGATTTAAAAACTCTTCTAAAACAGACTCTGGATTGTTCTTGTTGCAAATAGCGATCATAAACGGTGTCCAACCAGCTTCATCTTGAGCATTGATGGTTGCATCTTTTCTATCTAAAAACAACTCAATTGCCTCTAAACTTCCCATTGAACATGCCCAATGGAATGCAGTTCGTTGATCCTGTGCAAAAATGCGTTAGTTTTGAAAATTCAGTAATATTTTCGTACTTCATCAATCTTATTCAGCTCCGCAGGAGATTCATTAAGAATAGCTACTAGGGTAGCTTTGGAGCAATTTTCGAGAACAGCTTTAATCAATTTTGTACTCATTCTTATTCTTGGAGGTCTGTAAGTAAGTACGTCTGTACTTACTCTTGTGTCTACTTATAGGTGTCACCCTTACGTTACACACTTGGTGAGGAGAAGCATGGGAAATCGGCAATTTGGGGGTCTTTAGCAAAACACAGTAAGCTAGTGTATCAGTGTTTATGATCTTAGAATGTTATTCATTAATAATAATCGTTAATAATACAAAACTTATTTTTCGGGAACACTAGGTTGAATAGGCGCCGGTGCTAGCCAACGCTGTATCAGAGTTGGCTTGTGATATACATTCATCGTCGGAATAAAATGTCCTGGTGCAATATATCGTAACGCTTCCATCCAGTTCTTATGATCCGTCTCAGTTTTTGCTTCCAAACGAATCACTTCCTTATCTCCAAAAATCACGATCACGGTTTTCGCATCCTTCATTTCCAAAATAGCTCGCAGTTCAGCACTCTTCGGATCTTTTCTGTCGGAACTTGCTGACCAAAATATTTTTTTCGTAGACGAATCAACCCATACAAATCGATCGGATCCCGCCATTCGCTTGGACACGGCTATGTCCCGACGAAACGCAAACTTTGATTGAGCAACATTTCGAGATATAGTCTTGTACTTTGTCATACACATCCCCGATTCACAGAGGGAGAGGCATTTTTTGGCTTCCGAACTTTTAGTCTCATCGTATGTGTAATGTGGATAACTGCAACCAATGTAACCAGGATCTCTTAATGGCGTCTTCCTAAACGTATTTGAGCTGCTAGTATCGCTTTCAGATGGCAGTGTCATAATGTCAAATTTAGCAAGGTTTTTAACAAACTGACTCTTCGTTTCCACTTCAGCGGGTGTTTCTGGCAGCTGAACGTAGTGAGGGCCAGGCGATAATTTGGGAGCTTGAAACCGCACAATCTTTTTGCGCTTATGCGGTGTTAAATTATCAAGGGCACATGGCGAATTTTCATTTCCTGTCAGAGTTGAAGGGTGCAGATATTTTAGAGACAATTGAGCGATAGCTGCGCGCCGTCCAGCACTCGAAACAAAACCATGACAAGAATTCGGCGACCGCACAAGGGCCGGTTTCAGTGGTGTTTTCATTGGCCTTGCAACCGATGCATTAGAGTTGTCTTGTTTGTGCCCGGTAGGAGCAATGTCTTGCGTAAGGTTGGAGAATATTTCGGCAGTATTCAGGCTCGTTTGAGGGCCTAAACAGATGGGTTGAGGAGGAGAGAGCGAGCTTTGGTTTTGTATTGCGTCAAGATGTGGAGAAGAATTTGCCATTTTTTTAACAGACGTAGAGAGTAAGTCATGATTTGAAGACACGAAGCGGTTTTCTGTGGGGGATGAAGAGGGCTTATGTGAATTAGGAGAATGCTTTGAAATGCTTGAGTCATTGACCTTTGATGTGGAAGGACCGCTTAGCACCCTGCGTTCGTTTGCAGAAGGCCTAGCAGCAGGAGTAGGCGTACAAAGGTGTAAATTGGTAAAGTCGGAGGAGTCTTTTAAAAACGAAATGTTAGAAACGGGCAAGTCCGACATGTTAATAATGCTTTCTGAGGGAACATCTGGCAATTCCTTCCTTAATTGTTCAATTTGTGAAATAGCAGAAAATCCACGGAGCAAAGATTCTTGCTCAATATTGCTCATTTGGGTTCCTGGGGTACTGACCAAGCTTGCTTTATCATTATGATTGGTTCCAAATAAAGAACGATGTCCACATTTAAGACTTGAACTATTAGGATTTGTAAAGTTGTTTTTTGGGTTTTTTTTAGCAGAGGATTTGGTTTCCAACGCCTGCAAGATTACGTTGGTTATGTCTGTTTCTTCATTCATGTTTTTGACGAAAGAACCATGTACGCTGGTTGAATGCTGGACTGATGGCTCATTGACAAAAGATACACTGTCTTGCTGACAAAAATCAGAGGTACATTTTGACGATGATTTAAGACACGACATGCCTTGAGTATTCGATATGTTCCTTTTTGCAGAGGCGTTGTCTAAATTATGCCATTCAGTACCACTAATCTCAGCTGGATGAGTTTCACTCATTGTCATGCCTTCTGTATCGATCGAATCACATTCATTATGTTGAGATGATAATATCATAGTGCTTTGTTGTAAAATCTCATTTGGCTTCCAGTTGATTTTGGAATCAACCATTTCAACAGTAGACGGAGTAACAGTTGCAGGATTATTCACGTTGTCAGAACTTTGACATGATATTTTTGATTGTCGTTCCCGAGGCCGTTTTAGATTCCCAGAATAGCAATTAACTGAATCAATCGGGTCCCGTTGTTGAAGCCGGGAACTAGTAGAATTGTCACACTCGGGTGATTTTAAGTCAGCTGGAGACATTTTGAGGGCACTTATGTTTGAAATGGATTCCGTGGTTAATTCACCTTTGGAGACCCTCACCATACTACTCTTGGAGGAGCTGCTATGGCTTCCATTTAGTGATAAGTTTTTCTTCAAGTTGAGGCTCCAAGGTGATTTCTGCTGCTGTACAAGCGCTTGGCGGGGATTGAAAGAGACAAGTTTCGAGAGTCGAGAGAATGACACCGTACGAGGTTCAGATGGAGTACCTAAAATATTAGACGTATGCGTGTTAATATCCGCCCCGATTGAGCTCTTCGTATTAAGTTTCAAATTTGCAGAATACTCTTTTGCTCGCTGTAGAGAGACACCAAGGGATACTGGTTTCACCTCAATCTTTGCTTTGTGAACTGCAACAGGTAAAAGAGAAGCTTCACCAAGGCTTGAGGAAGCTGAAGGAGATGAAGGCGCTTTTGTAGGTAAATTGGATCTCTTATTTGAAGGACTTTGATTTCTGATTGGAACTCTGCTTGGCAATCGTTCTTGCGACTTCACCTTTACAGGCGAATCGTTTGATTTAGCGGACGAACTTAATTGAGCTTGGTCTTCACTCTGTAAATCAAAAACGTTTTGTTGGCGACCTTGTAAATCTGAAAACTCAGTAATCGAAGGCTCGTACTGTTCTCGAACATAATTTTTAAGCTGAGGAGACTTCTTATCACACTCTTTAGTCTCCTTTGTCGACACCGGAGAAGTCTGCTTCTCATCCTGACTCGTTGTTTTAGGGATTTTTAAACGTACTAAACTCGAGTTTGAAGCTGTTAAATAGCTAGAGGATGGGCTCTGGTGGTCACCAGAAGAAGAGTCACTATCCAGCTGAAAGCTTGAGGAAGAGGCCGACGAATATGACGGTGATGCATTTAAGGAGTGAAGAAGATGACGCTTGAGAAGCTTAAGTACATCACCAAATTCAGTGATGTATTTAGTTCCATTTCTTAAACGGATAGGATCCATAGGATGAAAAGTAACTTCTTCCATTGTCTGATCAATTTCATTTTTATGAAATTTCATCTTATGTTTGTAATACCGAATTTTATCAAACTTTGATTTTGATATTTGATCAGAACAAACAAGTAAAAGACCCTCAACCACAGTCATGTACTTCTTATTATATTTAGAAAAGGACCTCAGCTCATGAATTATACGTCTCAAGGCGACTTCAAGATTATCATGTTTATCCGTAATTAAGTGGAGATCAAAGCAAGCGGTACGTTGAACATAATGCAATTTTTCTTGTAGGTCGTGAATCTTTGTTTCAAGCTTTCCAAAGCGATCACAAAACGAAGACGAATCCATAATCATTGAATCCATCCTTCGCAGATATAAAGTAGTAAATACTTATCGCGAGGTCTATATTCCCATAAACACAACGGGTAAGTGCTGTGTGTAGCTTAATATGGAGGAAATGCACATTTGTTTATCGTTTATGAATTAATGAATCTGTGCAAACGTAAACAAATCGCAAAACCAGACTAATCAATTTCAGTGGAAGTTTCAGACATTGCACGAATAAATATAGTAAATTAACAGAGGAAAATGAAGAGTAACGGAGCATTCCGAATTGCGAATGCCTCAGTCCGTCTAGTTAATTCTGAATAAAAGTTCATTCGTTCATAGCGCAATATCGTGAAATTGAAACACAGAATTGTAGCAATAACACTACTTATTTGTGCTTAATCAATCTCCTTTCCTACTGTTAAACCGATTTTGTATTTTGTTGTGTGTCACGATACATCCTTAATTGTAAACAAAATAACAGTCAGGCGCAGCTTCCCAGAGTTTCATTGGAGCAAATACGAACACATATCCTATCTAATTTCGCTAATTGTGAACACGTTCAATTTCTTGGGGAAGAAGTTCGGTATTATTAGAAGCCTACGAGACACACCACCCCTCTTGAGCACTACAATCTGGTAAATCCTAGGTCTGGGTGTATCGTACTTTCCTCCATACTTCATTAAGAAGAACCGTGGCATTACTGTAACTAACTGACGGCCATTTTGCTGCTTAACGACTGTTTGGTAAAGTACGGATTACGTCTTTCCAGCTTGGTCCATCGTGGGGCACTATGAGAAGATTCTTCAGTAGCAGCGATAATGATGGACCTGATATTCCAATGAAGGTGCTGGATAGCTCAAGGGACAGAAAGAAGTTGTCTTCACGTTCCTTCGGCAATTCCCGGTTTTCGTTCGATGAAAATGAGGCCGAGTCGTTATTGATACAAGAAGACACGATTTCACACATTTCGGACACTAAAGACCGATTGGATACTCGCACTGTATATGTTGGTCAATCTTCTCCAGAGTTTTGTGGAAATGCTATGGTCAATACCAAGTACAATGCATTTACATTTTTGCCTATCTGTCTCTATGAACAGTTTAAATACTTTTACAACATGTATTTCCTTCTGGTTGCACTTTCACAGCTTGTACCCCAACTTAAGATCGGCTACATGTCCACTTACATCGCTCCTCTGTTATTTGTTTTGGCTATTACCCTAGCAAAGGAGGCTATCGATGATTTGAAGCGTAAGCGGAGAGACATCGAGGCTAATTCTGAAATTTATGAAATTAATGGTCGCTCTCTTTCTGCAAAAGATATTCGGGTCGGCGATGTTGTACGCGTAGAAAAAAACCAACGGGTACCGGCCGATTTGATTTTACTGGAAACAACGTCTGGCGAAGAAGCTTTCATTCGTACTGATCAGTTGGATGGTGAAACTGACTGGAAACTACGCGTTCCTTGTTCTAATCAACATGATCAAGGTGTATTAGGTTGTCGATGTTCCCATGAAAAGCGTTCACGAATTCTACGGAACATTTATGCTAGATGAACATCAGGTTCCCCTTTCCGTTGACAACACGCTCTGGGCTAATACTATCCTTGCAAGTGATCCAGTGTACGGAGTTGCAATTTATACAGGGTAAAGATACACGTCAATCAATGAATAGCTCAAAAGCAAGAACGAAGTCTGGCCGCCCTAGAGACGAAATTAAACTTCATTTCCAAGGTGCTTTGCGGTGTCGTTTTTTTATTCTATGCATCGTTTTGACTGTTCTTCAAGGATTGGCGGGGGACTGGTACATTTCTGTCTTTCGTTACCTCATTTTATTTTCCAGCATTATTCCAATCAGTTTACGTGTAAACTTGGACATGGCCAAGGTGGTCCATTCTCGTAACATTGAACGGGATCCTGGCATGCATGGAACTGTCGTGCGTACTACAAATATCCCGGAAGAGCTGGGTCGTATAGAGTTTTTGTTGACCGACAAAACGGGAACTCTCACTCAAAATGACATGGAGTTGAAACGGCTGCAAATTGAAACCATGGGCTTTTCAGGAGATTCAATGGACTATGTGCAAGCTTGTTTGAGTGAAGGTGCTGAAGGTGATTACGATCCCACCGATACCAAGAGTATCGTTCGTAATACTGTGCTCGCCCTTGCTCTCTGTCAGAATGTAACGCCCACAACTAATTTGGATGGTACGATATCGTATCAAGCTGCGAGTCCTGATGAAATTGCCATTGTTCGTTGGACTAGTTCAATTGGACTTGTTTTAAATCATCGGGATAGGCATTCAATGACCCTGAACGATAGAGTCTACTCCATCCTTCAGATATTTCCGTTCAAGTCAGAAAACAAGCGAATGGGTATTGTTATCAAGTCACCCGAAGGTCGCATCTGTTTTTATCTTAAAGGCGCTGATGTTGTGATGCAGAAAATCGTGAAACCTAACGTTTGGCTGGAAGAGGAGTGCGGTAACATGGCACGAGAAGGACTGCGAACATTAGTTATTGCTCGGAAACAGCTTACGGAGTCGGATTATGCCAGTTTTCTGAAAGAATACAACGAAGCATCACTCATTCTTGGCGATCGCCGGGAAGGGGCGATGTCAGAAGTCGTTGGGCGTTACCTTGAATGCGACATGGATTTGCTTGGCCTTACTGGTGTTGAAGACAAACTGCAAAAGGATGTCCGTGTAACACTTGAGCTCTTGCGAAATGCAGGAATTAACATTTGGATGCTTACTGGTGACAAGGTTGAAACGGCCCGTTGTATTGCCGTATCATCAAGATTGGTTTCTCGCGGACAGTACATTCACACGGTAACTCGTCTTTCATCTCGTGAAGATGCCTACAATCATTTGAATGTTATGAAGGAAAGCCCTAATTGTGCCCTACTGGTTGATGGTGAATCTTTGGACTACTTTTTAGAATTTATGAAGGAAGACTTCATTTTAACGGCCTCTGGTCTTCCAGCCGTTGTTGCATGCCGATGCACTCCTACACAGAAGGCAGAAATTACAAAGCTTATTCGACATGTATGTCAAGCTCGTGTTTGCTGCATCGGAGACGGTGGTAATGATGTGAATATGATTCAAGTCGCAAACGTCGGTGTTGGAATTATGGGCAAAGAAGGACAGCAAGCAAGTCTTGCTGCTGACTTTAGTATCCATGAATTCAGCCAATTGTCCAGGTTACTTGTTTGGCATGGACGTATCAGCTATAAGCAAACTTCAAAGCTTGCCTTATTTATTATCCACAGAGGTTTAATTATTTCCGTTTGTCAAGCTGTTTACAGCGTAATCTCAAAGTTTGAGCCCATTGCTTTGTTTCAAGGCATGCTTCTTGTGGGTTATTCCACCATTTACACTATGTTGCCCGTATTCTCGATTGTGTATGACAGAGATGTGAACGAAAAGCTGGCCTTTTTGTTTCCTGAATTGTACAAAGAGATGCGGGAGAACCTTTCATTCAGCTTATCAAAGTTTTTGACATGTGCCGCAGTAAGCGTTTACCAGGGTATGCTGATTCTTTTATCATTGTCCTTTCCTAACACATTATACAGGAATTGTTATTCAGCTGTTTACCTATCTGTTAATTGGATTCGCCGACGAAGGAAAGATGCTTTCCGTTTCGTTTACGTGTTTAATATTAAATGAATTAATAATGGTCGCTTTACAGATAAACAGATGGTATGCCATTTTTTATGCCACTTCCGTTGAAAGAAGGCCACTAACAAGTTTTAGGGACACGACAATTATTATGGCTGAATTATTGACACTACTCATGTACATTCTAAGTATACCCTTTTTGGCGGACTACTATGATTTATCATTTCTCTTGGAAGCAAAGTTTTATTGGAGTTCGTTTATCATTCTTTTCACTAGTTTGATGCCAGTATGGACCATTAAGACAATTACTCAACGATTGAAGCCTCCTAGTTATGCCAAACTTCAACGCTAGCGAAGAAGAAACCCATCCTTACATCTTTATATGTGACAAAGTGAATAAGTCTCTTCATCGTGTTCATGGACTGGTTCCGGTTTACGATTAACCTTGAGAGACATGGTCGATTGCATAGTTTTGGGTAAGTGTATGTTTTTCGTACCTCAAGAAAAATGTACTATCAAATCAAAGTCACGCTTTCTTGCCGTATGCTTCAGCATCACCCGTGCAAGGCATCAATTTGTCTAAGGCTTGTTTGTACCAAGTGTTCTGAGATGAATCTAAAGAATCCAATGTTTTAACAAATGACTCAACCAAGTTCTGTTGACAAGCCGTTTCTCGTATCAGCATAAGGCGTAGTAGACGTAGACATTGTTGTTGAATATAATCGAATAGACGAGTAACATCAAAATAGTCTTCAAAAAAGAGGACTGTCCCGTTCAGTTCTTCCTTTCCCATTGGAGCGCGGCTCCGTTCTACCGCCAATTCATGAAGATCAGTTAGTCCCAGGTTCTCAATTGTTTGTAGTAAAAACTGAAATTCATTCGTGAGTTTTTTTAATTCTTGGTCACAGTCTGTGATAAGTGAACAGTACTTTGTTTCAATGTATTGAATCCTTTGAGACACCTGTGTAAGTGACTTTTTCACCACGAACGCGTCCACGGGTTTCACCTTTTTCTGGACGGGTTTAGAAAGACAAGCGTTTACCGAGAGTTGAATCTGAGGGACATTTCGTCTGCTCTTTTGTCTTGCAAGTTTAGTAAATTTCAACGTATCCATGCGCGTTTAAAAGAATGCCAGCAATGGTTTAAAGAGTTTTAAGTGCTTTGTAAAGGACAAACATGGGACGCGACGCGTTTCGCTTTAAAGTTCAAAATGCATGTGTTACGTCATGAGCAAATTAAGGTTTTCGCTTATATTTTAAGCGAAGCTATAATAACAATTGGAAGTACTGAACAAATGCAACATTGACACGCCTTTGGCATGTATTCTCCTATAATAAACGACCATCCACACAGTTACTAATCAGACCTGACAATTTCTGTTTTGTTTGACGTTTCGCTGAATGTTATTTTTCTCTTTTCTCCATTACTACTGAATCTTGTCTTAAGAGCTGTCGTTCACCACCAGGAGAATAAAACAAAATGGCACCTAAAGGAGGAGGACAAAGCGTTCTAGTTCGTCATATCTTGTGCGAAAAGCACTCTAAGAGTAAGTCTTTCATGGTTATCGGTCCCTCTTAGTTCCTTGATTTAAACCTTCTAGTCTTCATACTGTGATTCTATTTTCGATGTTCTAACGAAACAGTTATGCAAGCCCAAGAGAAGCTGAATGCTGGCGAGCGATTTGACAAAGTTGCCCAGCAGTTCAGCGAGGACAAGGCTAAACGCGGTGGAAACCTTGGTTGGATGACTCGTGGTTCTATGGTTGGACCTTTCCAAGATGCTGCTTTTAAACTGGAACCAAGGTACGTATTACTCTAACGACGGCCACAAATGTCGGAGGCAAAGTCGTCAAAATTATCCAGACTAACTCCTGCAGTAAGGTCGACAAACCAATTACCACTATGGTGAAAACCAATTTTGGTTATCATATTATTATGATCGAGGGGAAGAAGTAATCGTTAAGTATCCTTAGTGCTCGTTAAATACAAATAAAAAATGTTTGCGCGTTCTATAGCAAAATAATGCAGTATCATAGAATACAGTATTTGTGTATAGCGTAGTATAACGGTCTCTAACGTCCAAATAGTTAGAAAAATGATTTCAAGCTGGCCAGGCCCACAGCCAGCACCAAACAATGTCGGGCACCAAGAAAACTGTGACCAAGGCTTCCACTGGTTCGTAACGAAAATACAAGACGGTTCATTGTTGCTAATTTTTCATCAGGTAAAACCAGAAAGTCTGGCTCTCTTTTAAGCTCCGGAGCTGCTCTCAAAGTAAAAGCAAATGCTGAAAAGAAGAAGAACAACGACGTCGTCTCGGACTCTGGGGAAAAGGGTGCTTCTTTAAATGAAGAAGAGTTTTTAAAGGGTTTTGATTCCGCCGAGGAAGACGAAACTGAAGGAAAGACTGGCTCTGTGGCAAAGAAACCCATATTGTCTATCGGTCAAGAAAAGGAGGACGCCAGTGAGAAGCCGTCTAAGCGCGATATTAGCTCGCATAACAAGCATCACGATATGTGTTATGTGTACTTGGGACGTATTCCTGACAGTCTCGGAGAGAAACAAATTAGAGGATACTTCAGTCAATTTGGCAGAGTTCTTCGCGTCCGTCTGGCGGTCAACAAAAAAGTAAGTCAGAGATTATTATCGGTGAGATGTGTCCGCCCTCGCTGTACTTGACCCTTGAGTTCGTTTATACTAACAAAACTAGACTGGTCACTCCAGACATTACGCGTTCATTAAATTTGAAAATGCAGAGGTTGCTCGTATTGCGGCTGAAACTACGCACAACTACTTGTTGGACGGTAAACTGTTGCAGTGCAGAGTCATTACTTCTAACGCCGATATGATTTCTGATGAAGCTGCTCCCTTCAAGTTCATTCCCTGGGCTTCTATCGCAAAGTTTCGGTGTGAAAAGCCTAAGAGCGAGAAACAAATTAACCGTCTTATCGCTAAAAGGGCTAAAAGACTTGAGCTTAAAAAACGTAAGCTGGAAGAGCTTGGAATTGTTCTCGCCGAGGAAAAGGTTGAGAAGCCAGAGAAAACAGCAGCAGTAGCCCCTGGCGCGAAGAAACAAAGAAAGAGGGTGAAGAAGCCTGCTAAGAAATAAATCGTCAAATATTGCTTTTACTTTGGGTAGTTTTGTTTTAATAAGGAATCGTCATTTTTTGGTGCATAACTGAAGGTGCATGTCGACTATCCTGAGGTTATGTGATGAAAAGTAGTGGTGCTGACAATGATGGTTGACGGAATTCAGTTACAATTGACCTTACTTTTGACCTAATCTTCGCAATGCTGCTTGGGCCCGTTTTTCGCGTTCGATACGCATTCGCATTTCGGGCGTTAAGGACTGAAGATTCTGTGCTTGGATCGTTTGCGCAAGTCCCAGTGATCGTCCCCGACCAAATGATTGTTCGTAAGACTTCTTCTCATTCTTTTCCATATCCTTAAGTGCCTGTTCCCGTCGAAGCTTTTCCTTGCGCTCTTGCTCAAGCCGTTGATCACGTTGACGAAGACGTTCCTTTTCCCGCTGGCGCTGGAATTGCTCTCGCGTTTTCGCCGGACCAACCTTCGCCTTTGCCCAATGAAACGCGCTTTCACCAAGTTCATGTCGTGCGATACTGAACTCTTCACGGATTTCTCTGCTGCTAATTTCATATGGTACTTTGCCATTGCCGTTTTTGATAGTGGGGTTAGCTCCCTGCTTCAACAGAGGAAGAACACACCGTTTCAAGTCGTTCGCAGCAACATAATGTAACAAGGTACTAGCATGCATGTAGGATGAGAGCGGGGCAAACGTCATATTAACATTCCGACCATGCTGTTTCAAATAATCAATAGCTTCGGAAACCTTTAATTGCTTAATTAGACCAATAACATGAGTAGTCAATTTTGCCTGTTCTTTTTCTCGTTTTTCCCTTTCGGCTTTTTCGGCCAATGCTTTGTTTTGCTCTATTTTTTGTTGCTCATGCTGTTGCTCAAGGGCGGCAAGTGCATTTTTGTCAATCGTGCTCGTCTTTAGCGTGATCAACTCTGTGTAACAACGAACAAGCTCGGAGTGAGTTGGTCGTTTTGTGGTAAAGGGAAACGTCCGAAGTCGTGTATCGTCAGTCTGCAACAAGGATTCACCAAACAGCATGTCTCTATTCGTCTTACCAGTCGCGCGCACAAAGATCAACTCGCTATCCTGCAGCAGTGTTTTCCATTGTTGCAACACTTGTCGAACATCCTTGGCAAGGGCCTGCTCATTGTAACGACGCAAGCTAGAACCGGCAGAGTGAATATTGCCCTTCGAATTATCGGCTGTAGATTGGGAGCCACCTTGTTTCCGACGAGTCGTATATCTGTGAATGGTCTTTTGAGCTAAGACCCGCGGTCCAGACTTCGCAGGAGAGGTTTCTGTTGAAGCAATCATCGCTGCAAAATGACCACCGCTCAGCATGAAGAAGGCCATCTGTAAAGGCTTGTCTTGGAAACTCCGCAGCTCTTTTAAGGATGGCTTCATAAAGTCAGTAAATAGGCATCGGTAAATACCGACGTGGAGTGAGAGATTTGAAGGAGTCTCTTGTTTTTTTAATTGAAACCAAACGATGGGCGATTTTTTTGCCGGCTTATTGCTTTCGTCAACATCCAAAGATAGCGACTTGTTAAAGTTATTATGAAGTTCGTTCAGGCCATGTGTGGACTCTGTATCACTGTCATCCTCGTCTTCAGAGCCAGAGATAGATTCAGCAAGGTCACCAATCGTTTTTTCAAACTCTGCGAGTGAAAGTGGTTGCAGTCCTTGAACATGTCGTTTCAAATTCAGACGATGCCAATCTGTTTTTACATGGACTCTCCGCTCAATAGCACTGATTATTTTGTCATAATTGCACACGGTACAACGGGTGTTGAGAATGCTTTTTGGATCCGTGACACGAACATCAGTAGGATCTGCTTCAGTCTTTTGGTCGACAGGAACTGTAACCTCTTTCTGGTTGGTATCCTCCTCTTCTAAGTTGTCCAAAACATCAATTGGTGTATGGAACACCGAAAACGTTGCCAATTGTTCCGCAGTATACATTCGTTATGAAATGAAAATCAAGAAAGCTTAATATATATATATAACAGTAGTGATTGTTAACCTGTTGTAACCAAAATTATCCCCCTCGTTGTACTGAAACCCACCAATATACCGGACAAAGTTGAATGCAAGATTAGTGCGTGTTGTGTCAAAATTCACAGCAAACAGACAAAATCAGCTCAAGAAAAAGCGTCAAATGTATCCGTAGACAATCGTAAACTACGTTTTAGACCGTTCCTCAGTTAAATGGGAAGATTTGCTGTTGGAACGTGTTTTTAAGGTGAAATGGCCATGTCCACCATACAGAAAGTTAACTACGTCAGAAATGCTAAATGCAAAACGCGACACGCTAAACGAAAAATATAATAAGGCCGCGACAGCTGCTTCCCCTCCCTGTCCTTTACCAACCACAACTGAATTAAAGAGAGTAAAAACAATGAATTAAAAAAATTTAGAAATGTTGCTATGCTCAATTTCAAACTTGGTCCACTCACTAAAACATGAAATTCTATTCCGTACTGTCTTTGAACGATATAAGAGGAAAACGGGAGGATTAAAGATTTAACGGTAGGTCCTTTAAACTCGTTCTTTACCGAGGACATGAGAAGATTTTCTTAGTCTTAGGTCTTATCATCTTACATACACGCAAGGCGCTGAGAAGCGAAAATCGCAAGAACGCGTCCGTGTTGCATTAGATGAGAAATCGACACTCTAGAAGCGGATGTGAAGGCCAGAACCTGCTGTGGACGAATGTATCACCTTTTCCATGTGACTATCTTAAACATCGATTACGAGCTATGCTCGTTATCTGGCGAATCAACCAGGAGTTGTTAGGATTCCGTCATTTTCGTGGCTACTGGCGGTACAGGGTTGCAGAAGAAAAAGGCCTCTTCACCGCTCCGCTTTTTTTCTTCCGTTGAGCCGACACATTCCTCGAAAACGCCCTCATAGACTCATTGTCGGCATAGAATTCATTTACCACACAAAAATGGCAACGACACTTTTTACGGCGCTCAGAGGCGAAAGCAATGATTTGGCTGTGGTTGACACGTATCTCAATGCGAAGCTAAGCTATGCCGAGTTTCGTATTGCCGTTATGGACCTCCAGCGGCAATTGGCGAATTTGGGCATTTCAAAAGGCGACCCCATCAACATTGTGATTCCCAATGGTCTTGAGTTTGTAGTTGCTTTCTTTGCTACGTCGTGGCAACGAGGCCTTTGTGGCCCTTTGAATGCCAATTACAAGCAAAAAGAGTTTGAGTTCTATATGGAGGACTTGAAGAGCAAGCTCGTGCTCGTCCCCTATGGAGCCATTGCCGCTAAGCATCCTGCTGTGGCTGCTGCCAGTCATCTCGGCATCCAGTTTGCTGAGTTGCGCTATGATAGCACCAGTAAACGTATTGTAATTGCTTCTGTGCATGGTCCTTCTGTTGGTAAGCCTCAACCTCTTGCATTGCCCCAGCCCAGCGATGTTACGCTCGTGTTGCACACCAGCGGCACCACTGGCCGACCAAAAGTCGTTCCTTTGACTCATGCAAACTTGTGCACGACACTCCGAAACATCATCACCGCGTATCGTTTGGACTCCCGCGATCGTTCGTACGTAGTGATGCCGCTTTTCCACGTTCACGGTCTCGTTTGCGGCTTATTGTCTACTTTGGGCTCTGGAGGTTGTGCTGTTATTCCTAAACGTTTCTCAGCACACTCTTTTTGGAAGGAGTTTGTGGAAAATGAAGCTACTTGGTATACCGCTGTTCCTACCATCCATCACATCTTACTGAACACCCCCGTGCCAAACCCCCTTCCTCGCATTCGTTTCATTCGTTCCTGTTCGTCGCCTCTTGCGGCAACTGTGCTTACAAAGCTTGAAGAAACGTTCCGTGCCCCCGTGCTCGAGGCTTACGCTATGACGGAAGCTGCTCACCAAATGACCACAAACCCTCTTCCGCCCGCTGTTCATAAGCCCGGCACCGTTGGGCTTCCTTTTGGTGTCGAGCTTCGCATCCTCGACAATGACGGTAACTCTGTCCCTCAGGGTCAAACCGGTGAAATTAGTGTTCGTGGTACGAATGTCACGAAGGGTTATTTGAACAATCCTTCTGCCAATGCCTCTTCGTTTACCTCCTCCGGTTTCTTCCGTACCGGTGACGAAGGCTTCTTGGACAAGGATGGCTTTGTCGTAATCACTGGTCGTATTAAGGAACTCGTTAACCGCGGTGGTGAGAAGATTTCTCCTGCAGAGGTGGACGCTGTTGTTGTCCAGCATCCAAAGGTTAACGAGGCTGTTTCTTTTGCCGTACCGGACGAGAAGTATGGCCAAGACATTCAATGCGCTATTGTTGTCCGTCAAAACGAAACTGTAACGCCTGAAGAGCTCAAACAGTTCCTCTCTACGCGTATATCAGCTTTTAAGATTCCCAAGAAGTTTTACTTCACTCAAACCATTCCTAAAACAGCTACAGGCAAGGTCCAGCGGCGCCTCGTATGTGAAGCTTTCTTTATGAAATCCAAGGCTAAGTTGTAATGCCTTCTGGATGTCAAGTATCAAGTTGTTTTTATTTGTTAGGACTTACGCATAGCTCTCTTGTCTTTTATGATATAACATTACCCTCTACCCAAACATGAAATCTTGTTGAAAGCGCCAGTGTTTGCACATTCTTCCGAGAAGGCAATTACTTCTCTTTTCTTTCCGCTACTACTAGCTACTACTACTTTCCGGGCACTTCACTGCACCTCGTACGGACTCATTAAGGCATACGACTTGGAATAGCACACTAACTATTCAAGCTCCATCTTGGTGTTTGTGGTGGTGGTACAGCTTCACTCAACCGCACCGTACTCCAAGAAATAGAGCTACGGAGCAAGAATAGTAGAATCTGAGACGATGAGCTCTACTCAGGATACGGTTGAAAAGAAGCGTTCTGTGCTCACACCTGACTCGCAGTCGTTGGAAAACGTCGACTCTGACCCCTCAAAACGCCCTAAAACAGCATCCCCAAACGAATCGCCGTCCCATTCAGATGAAGATACACATTCTATCCATACTGATGTGTCCACCATCAGTGGGCAGATGGGTGAAGTCGAACTGAACAAGGATGAAGACGATGCAAGCAAAAAAAGCTTGCAGTATGCAGACTCTCCGGATGCATACCCGTACCACATCAATGATCCTCCCACAGATCGTCCTGTTCGTGTGTATGCCGACGGTGTGTTTGACTTGTTCCACGTCGGTCATATGCGCCAGTTAGAGCAAGCGAAAAAAGTGTTTCCCAATGTTCATCTCATCGTCGGTATTCCCAGCGACGAATTGACACACAAACTGAAGGGTTTGACAGTGTTATCGGACAAAGAACGTGCAGAGGCTCTAAGACACTGTAAATGGGTGGACGAGGTCGTTGAAAATGCTCCATGGATTATTACTCCCGAGTTTTTGGATGAACATAAAATTGATTTTGTAGCTCACGATGACATCCCCTATGCTAGTGTCGACAGCGGTGATATTTACGCACCTGTGAAAAATTTGGGCAAGTTTATTCCTACGAAAAGAACGGAGGGTGTTTCTACTTCGGACATCATCACTCGTATTATCCGGAACTATGACCAGTACGTTCTTCGTAACTTGTCGCGCGGTATCGATCGCCGAGAGTTGAACGTTTCCTTGCTCAAAAAGAACGAACTTGACATTCGCCGGCACATCAAGTTACTCCGTGACACACTGCGTAGCCATTGGGTTTCTACTACTCGTGACTTGCGTGCGGATATCAAGTCGTTTCTCTCGGTAGCGACGACTGACTATCAATTGCAACACACGCCTTTGCACGAGTCTTCAGCCCCTCCTAGTCCGGTTGGTGTCCGGATCATGAACGGCATTAATCGTTGGATGCAACGTCGCGCCAGCAGTAATAATGACTTGCACAGTACATCTCAGTCTGTTGCATCTTCTGCTTCAGAAGAAGCTGCTCATTGAGGAGGTGTGTTTCTGCCCGAGAGACAATTTTTGATTGTTGCTTGTTTTATTTTTGAGACTCCTGCTCATTCCGCCTGGCGGCGTGCACTCGCTTGTTCATGAACTCACTTTTATTAATTTCTTGAGACACCACAAGCAGCGTAAATCGATGTCGTTTTCTTGTTCACTTTTTGTTATCTAATTGTGGCTTTTTTGAGCGTTTCACAATCGTTGCTCTCATCAGTAATGTCAACCGGTTTCTGCTCCTGTCTTGAATATTTTTTCTCTTCCAGCTTGAGAGCATGCTTATGAGTTTCTTTTGATTTTGTCTTCTATGATTTCTCCTAACTTAATTACTTTTTTTCCATTTAGCTATGGCGTGGACTTTTTACAAAACTTAAGGAATGGAACGCATTTATGTTCGACTTTTGCATGGAAAAAGCCGGGCCATTTTACTTCGCGTGTGGAATTGATAACACAAAACCTCTTTTTCATTCCAGTAAATATTTAATAAAAGGGAATACAGATATGTATTGGGTGGGCTCTACGAATGGTAACGAGCAATGTCTGGTTTTGTTCAATGTGGAATGTGAGCATCGAGTGCTGCATGTAAAGTACACTCGTTGATTGGGTGTTTGAAAGCATGGTAATATATAAAAACAGGCTTTGTACAGGCGGTTCGTGCCACTTGAGCCTTAGTGCTGCGTTGATAACTGTTTTGCCTTCTCGTAATAATCATTTGCTCTATGACTTCTTCCTCTCTTAGAGTACCCAAGTCCACGCTCTACAGCCAACGACATCTTCTCTTTTTTTTTTGGAAATTCATCGAGAAAGGGCTCGTTTAAAAAGAATAAGGGGCACTGGTTTGTTTATTGTACTTATAGAGGGTTGGATTTGTTTGTTTTGGGGTTTTACACATTTTGGAACGGAACAAAATGTCGGATCTATCAAAAGACGAATTAGCGAACGATGCATACCAGGCGCTACTGGTTATGTTGAAATCGGATGGGAAACACAAACTGAAGGAAGAAGAGGCACCTAGAAAACGACAAAAACGTAACAAAGTTACCGAGAAACTTTCAGTTGCTCAAGAGCCGGAAGAAGATGAAGAAAACATTGAAGACGCTGAACAGGAAAGTGCTTCTGAAGTTCAAGAGTTATTAGAGGCTGGAGATCATTTACAGGAGGATGAGGTTCCAAAAGAGAACGATCCTTTTCATACACATTACGAAGCCCCATCGACGGAGGAGCTGGCTTCTGCTATAACGAAGCTCAATAACGGTGAAATTAAAAAAGAAAACTTGGATTGTTCCCTTGGTGTCAAGCAAATACAGCAAGTTCCTTCCGAAAAACTCTCTCTTCGTTTGAGTTCATTTGCACCCGCGAATGTCTCTGATTTGAAGCTAAAGCAGCGACTTTTGCGCTCTTACCTGTCTATCAAACCATCTGGCAACATGACAAATCTCCAGTGTGAGTTGGCAAAGCATATCTTTAATTACGAAGACGTTCTGTTTTCCAATGTCTCTTCAAAATGCGATACTTTAGTCCGTAACCTTTACACGCTCCATGCCATTAACCATGTATACAAAGTGCGTGATCATGTTCTGAAGAACAGTGCCAAGCTTTCTCAAAATCAAGAGCTCGAATTTCGTGACCAAGGTTATACTCGACCCAAAGTTTTAATTCTGCTTCCTACTCGGAACGCCTGTTTACAGTTTGTTGAAACGCTAATCCAGTTTACTGGTGCAGAACAGGTTGAAAACAGAAAGCGTTTCTCCAATGAGTTCTCTATCGAAACGGAGGTAATTAGTGAAAAGAAACCCGAAGACTTTCGGCAACTTTTCGCTGGAAACACAGACGACATGTTCCGTCTTGGCATAAAGTTTACACGTAAAACTATTAAATTGTTCAGTCAATTTTATAATTCTGACATTATTGTTGCCAGTCCTTTGGGTCTCCGCATGGCTATTGGTAACAAAAGTGATAAGAAACGGGACTTTGATTATTTAAGTTCTATTGAAGTTGCAATTGTTGACCAGGCGGATGCTTTGCTCATGCAAAACTGGGAACACCTTGAGTACGTTTTTGAGCACATGAACAAGTTGCCAAAGAACTCACATGGTTGCGACTTCAGTCGTGTTCGGCCTTGGTATTTGGAAGAGCAATCTCGTTATCTGCGACAAACGCTTATGTTCTCTCATTACAACGCTGTCGATATTAATGCCTTTTACTTGCATGAGATGTTGAACTTAGCTGGCCGCGTCAAATTTCATCCAAAACAGAAGGGCGTTTTAAACTCACTTGGTTATCACATTACACAAACGTTTGCTCGCGTGCAAACAGAATCGTTGCTGAAAGTGCCTGATGCACGTTTTGAGCACTTCACAAGTACTCTTGTCCCTCAGTTGCTGAAGAATGCTATGGGTGGTATACTCGTTTACATTCCTTCCTACTTTGACTATGTTCGTGTGCGCAACTATTTCGAGGACGAAGCCATTAGTTACGTCTCCATTTGCGAGTACACGAAGAACTCTGATATCTCTCGTGCACGTACACAATTTTACCAAAATCGAAAGCAAATTATGCTGTACACAGAAAGAGCCCACCATTTCAGACGTTTTGATTTCCGTGGCGTTCGCGGTATCATCATGTACGCGCCTCCAACAAATGCTCAGTTTTATGTTGAACTTACTCGCATGCCCATGAGAAGTATCAGCGATGGAATTCTCGATGCTGATGCTGCTAAGTGTCGGGTTTTGTATACAAAATACGATATGATTCCAATGGAACCAATTGTCGGTTCCGAACGTGTTACCAACATGTGCAAGGGAAAGCATGATATCTACGAGTTTGTATAAATAACATTACTTGACTTTTACTCTACTGTATCACAAAGGCGAGTTGTCGTTTAAGGTCATTTACCACTATTAAAATGTGATTCTGACCACACACGCGAGGACTTGAACACAGTAATTAGTACTAGTTCATTACTGTTTTTTGGCATTCAAAGTAGCGACATTTGGTAGAAATCCTTACCGAAGACTTACGGTTTTTTAATGCAGTGCTGGAGTATACCTTAAAGCCTTCATTACGTAGCTTTAACGAGTTGCAATTTGGCTTGGCAATTCAGTAACTGTAAGGGATCTGGTTGCGCAATCAGCCTTAGGAAACTGTACGAAATCATATTCTGCTACTCATCACTTACCGTATTTCAAGAGAAGAGAACGATTTTCTCGTCACACAAAACCGCACTGACCACGCTGTTTTGTATTCAAGCGACAAAAAACGAAATGTCCCGAGCAAGACTGACAAACAAACTGTTTAGTACTACTGTAGAGCACATGGATTCGGCGGCTCCAGTTCTTGTAGAAAGCAAAGGCGGAATGAGATGTTTTATACTCAATCGGCCGGCGAAATTGAATGCAATTAACAGAGCGATTACAGACTTTATTCATCCTCGTCTCATTAAATACGAGAAATCCGACATGACGAAGTTAATTGTATTCAGAGGTGTTGGAAGAGCCTTTTCGTCGGGCGGGGACGTGAAAGCCGGAGCTATCAACATTAAGAAGGGCCGTGTCGATGAAGTCCGGTCGGCTTTTGCTGAAGAATATCGCATGTGTCACACAATTGCGACTTGCGCAAAGCCCGTTGTTACGTTAATGAACGGTATTACCATGGGTGGTGGCGCTGGCATTGCAATGCATACCCCGTTTCGCATTGCATGCCAGGATACAAAGTTTGCTATGCCTGAAACGACAATTGGTTACTTCACCGATGTTGCAGCTAGTTTCTTTCTGTCTCGTCTATCACATAGTTTTGGTCGATATTTGGCACTTACTTCCTCCGTCGTTTCGGGCTACGATTGTGTGAAATTCGGAATAGCAACTCATTATGTTCCAAAGCACATGTTTGATGAGCTTTTAAATAGATTGGCAGAACTGAATACTTCGGAAGTGAGTGTACTTTTAAAGAGTATACAAGAGTTCAGCGTGAAGCCCGAGTCTTATGAATACCAATCAGCATATCCAGAGTCACGTATTTCCATTATCAATGACGCTTTTTCGCATGAAACGATTCCTGAAATCATGAAGGCTTTGGAAAAAAATGGTTCAGAATTTGCCCTTCAGACTTTGGATGTTTTGCATACTCGGTGTCCGTTATCCATGCTTGTGACCGATGCTCTGCTTCATAAGGCTCGCAGATGGACAATTACGGATGCCTTCAAGTACGATCACATAGTGTCGTATCATATGTTGAAACAACCAGATTTCGTTCGAGGTGTTACTGCCCGTTTGATTGAGAAAAGCAAGAATGCACCTTCTTGGCAGCACAAGAGCGTCCAGGAGGTTGATCCCGCTACTGTGCAATCCTGCTTTGAACCATTGCCCGAGAACATTCCGTGTGACTATTACAGCAAGGACCGTCCTCGAACAGACCTCTGGGACGAAAAGAACATAATTCGCTATAACTAATATGAAATGTGATGCCTTTACGTAAAGTTAAGACTAAGACTTTGAATGTTCACGATCAAAAATGAAGGAATCGACAGAGTACTCTCCGCCTGGGCAGCGCATAGAACACAGCGATTTGGGAAAATGAATTACAAGTAACACGCACAACAATGTAAGTTTTTTACCCAATGGCTACAAGCCATCACATTAATTCAAAAAGAACTAAACAAAAACACCGATCAATGACCAAACTATGCGGCAAAGCACTTAGAGGACTTTTATATGCGTGCTTGCTAATATACGCCGTATGCATCAAAATTGCATTTCAGAGTTTACTGGTATCTCAGATACTTACCAACAATGATACAATGATCACGTTCGTAAGGCTCCAAGGTAAGTTGCTCTTGGGGCTTAATCTTTTCCTCTTGCATTTTCTTGACTTCACGAGCAAAGACAACGGAAGCCTCAGCAGTGGAATCGATACAAGAAGCCTTGACGGAAATAACGACACCACCCTCATTCTTCAAGAAGGCGGCGGCATTCAAACCGACAATACGAGCCTGGTCAGGCTGAGCGACATCAGCAAAGACCACATCGACCATGCCGATGAGCATGCGGTACTTTTGAACGTGACGGGCATCCTCAACAATAGGAATCACGTTGGTACGCTTCTTAGCCATGTTCAACAGATCACGGCCAGAACGATGAGAGAACTCAACAGCGTACACGAGACCCTCGGGTCCAACAACATCAGCAACATGAGAAACGGAAGTACCGTTAGCAGCACCAATGTACAAAACCTTGGCACCGGGCTTGATGTAAATGTTGTCCAAACCACCTAAAATACCGGCGGCCAACTTCGAACGGAAAGGGTTCCAGACACGGTATTCGACTTTAGTGCCATCAGGACTGTCGACGCTGATGCGCTTTTCATTGTAAACACTCTCGCCAGGGACAAGGTTACGAGTGACCAAAAGGTCTTCCTTTCCACGGGCAATGAAAACGCCGGCGTGACGATGAGGCTCGACGACAACTAGACAATACGTTAGCAAACTAGAACATAAAAAAATTTGGGTGTAACAGAAAAAGGTGTTTCTTCGACGCGAAAAAAATTTCAACCCAGAAAAAAGACTGAATTCCTCAACTTTCACGTAAAAAAACAGTGAAAGACTCCGTTATTCGGCTTACCTTTAGCACCACCGCGAGCAGCACCTCCACGGGCACCACCACGGCCACCGCCGCGACCGCCTCCACGACCGCCGCCACGGCCTCCGCCGCGTCCTCCACGGAAACCACCACGTCCACCGCCGCGGCCTCCACCGCGACCTCCGCGAAATCCTCCACGGCCACCGCCGCGACCACCTCTAGCTCCAGGTGTGTACGCCATTTTTTTTTAGTGGTTGGTTAAGGGTAGAAGAGTCGAGGTAGGACCAGGCAGCTTAAGGTGTTGCTATGGCTACCTCTCAGTCACAGCAGCCCCTTTCTCACCACCAAAAACGCTACACCAAATTTTACGCCCACAACAACAATAAACAGAAGGAGAAAGAAGCAAACAGAAGTTGAATAATAATATGTAAGAGTAACGTTCATAGCATTCATAATTCGTATACAAAAGTCATTACAGGGAACAAGAACGTGAGAGTAAAAGTAACAATTCGTTTTTGTAGGCCTCAGTCCTGACAGAGGCGCACCGGAAAGGTCGGATTCCAAAGGCACGTTACAATCACTAACGAAGAGAAATAATAAAACTAAGATGTAATAATTTAAAAGTACGTAGCAAAAAAAGAGCGGCAGACGATTCAACAGTCGGGTAAGATTCTAAAAAAAAACGAAAAATGTCTCAACCCACAGTAAATCCGTCGTAGCTCAGTATCATAGTTGCAATTATTATTGCGAGCAACAAAAAGTATGACGAAGAAACATGATGCCTATTCCAGAACTGTTCAGGGCACACACATGTTTTAACACGTTAAGTGAGATGCAACTATACTCACTTACTCACTCAAGGGACTTCCTGCGAGTTCGTCTTCCTCACTGTCCTCAGCTTCGAGCAAGCTGTCATTGTCATCCTCTTCCTCATCATCCTCAATACCGCTGGGCTCTCCAAAGAAGCAGTTGACAGCGAAGGGAACAACATGATCCTTAAACACCTCACCCAACTGGTAATCCAGTTCCACGAGCTCTGCCTTCTCTTCCATCAGACTGTCGTCCTCATCATCATCTTCATTCAAGGTAGGGGGAGTGAAAAAGTTGAAAAAGCTTTCCGCGGGAACTGTGGTGCGAACGGTACGGGTCTCCTGAGTACGACGGTTATGTTGCTTCTTCGTGCGGACAGTCACAGTCAAGTTATTAGAAACATTAGACCAGTCAATCTTATCGCCCTCAGCATGGTGGTACAGCAGCTCCTGATCTGGAGACACGTTGAGGTCCTCCTGGTAATAGTACTTCTTTTTAAGGACGGAGTTTTTGAAGAAGGGATTCTCAGCAAATTGGAATTCAAGGCAATAACCAGGCTGGTCATTCTCCAAATCCGTGACGCGGATATCTTCCAAGTAGCGGAGAGCTTGAGCATCGCGTTCGCTCACCATTTCTGACACGAGGAACGTGTTTCGAATACAAGTCAACCAAAACTCGGGAATTCCACGAACGACTTCGTCATCAGGCTCACCCAAAGGAACTTCGGGGTCCAGCTCCTCGTCTTTGGGCTCGCTTAAGCCGTTGACGATCTCAGCACGTCTGGCATAAAGAGGTTGGTACTTCTTGAAAAACACCTTCTCCAGATCCAACATGCGCTTGCGGAACTCGACTTGAATGGTCTTCGATTCTTCCTGAATTCCCTTCAGCGCCTTCACACGGAGTTTCACGTCCTTGGGGAGCGACTCGATGTAACCAGAGGACTGTCCAATTAACGAGCTGAGTTTGCTCTCAACCATTTGCACCATTTGCGGGTTTTCCTTTAAAAGTCCTTGAATCTCTTCTTCGACTTTCTTAGCAGTATTCGATGATCCGTTGGCCTGCTTCTCAGCTTCTAGTACGGACTTGTCGAGACCAAATTTCGTTAACGGTGTGTTCTGGGGCGTAGGAGCAGTTAGATCTGCCAAGATTTTGTTTTTAATGTTTATTTCTTGAGACATTACGAAGATTGGGGAGGTGAACGACTGGTAATTTACGGGGCTCCGGGCGCAGGCTGGGTTTGTGCGGTTTTCAAATGCAGTAGCGGCGTTCTGAAGTTCAGCGTTGGAGGAAGGGTGGGGCTAATTTAAAGTTTACACTACGGTGGTAGTGGAAGTATGAGCAGCAGTAAATGATTACGCGCGACGCGGGAGGTGGAGTATGGGAGCACGAGAAAGGCTACGTTGTTGTTTGCCGATAAATTTGCGAGTGGTGAATTTGTTTGTAATGAATTGGTATTGAGAGGAGCTGGAGAAGTGCAACAGAAGTTGAGGAAGTGATTTGCGTGATGCGAGGGGAGGGGAGGGGAGAGAGGCTTTCAATTATACGGGTAGCAAAAATAAAAATAAAGTGTCGGCTGTAAAAAAAACCGTAACCTAGGAGATCCTTCTTAGTATGCAATTCATTTGAAGTGAAATGATATTGCTGCTGAGTTCGTAGACCAATTTCTGTGATTTTGTTGCTCTGCTTAATAAATGAAGGAACTATTTGGAGACAATTGTTAGTAGTGTCGATCAATTGTGAACGCTTACACTGACAATTTGTTCAGTATTATAATTACGATCAGGAGTGTTGAACCATTTAGATTTGGCGACGACCATAGAGTGCGTGTCTCGAAAGGACTTTGGAATGTCAATTCTTACGATCAATTCAATGGTCTCGTTGTATAGACAACTGCATGTGCGATCGGGGTCTTATGCATGGGATGAAGGCTTCGGAATGTTATCCATTTGATTGTTTTTTTTTTCCCCAATCCATGTACTTATGCATAATGGAATCGTACTGAGTGTTTTATACAAAAATGAAACTCATGGAAATACGTCCGAACTCTAAACTGATAATCTCATGCTTACTACGTATATGAGTTTACATATTAATATGTGTTCAATTTATTAAATAACTAAGTATGAGATGAAAAATGAATAAATGAATAAATGAATAAATGAATAAATAAAAAATAAAAATATCTTAATAACCAGCTAATCAAAAAACAAGTACACGTTAACAGAACAAAACCATACTTATCACAATGGTCATTTAACGATGCTCTTTAGAACATTTTGTTCACTAAGCTATGTTTTTTGCTTACTCTCTCTATTCACAATTTCATTCATAATTGATTGAATCAATTCGACCACACAAACACGAGCCGTCTAACTATTATTTTTTTTTTTCATATAATTAATTCATAATAGCTAGTACTATTCAGTAGTTTTCACAAATCATAGCTTAAACTATATACAATCAACAAACTGAGTAAATACTTTAGTTAATTATACTTTGACACAACTATCATCCGCAACATCTTATCGCATTTGTTATATAAAATGAAACGTTTGTTTCGCGCGTTACAGGCCAGCCTATTTTATTGACTTACACCGCCTTCTCACCGCACATCTCCAGCTCACCTTGGAAAAATGCAATTAACATTCAAAAACCTCCAGCAACAAAAGTTTGTTGTTCCTGATGTGGATCCCAAGACGACTGTATGTCTTTTTGATTTTTTTCTTATGTTAATACTAACTGGACGAAGGTTCTTGAGGTAAAACAGAAGATTAAGGAACAACAGGGATATGAGGTTGAACGTCAAAAGCTGATTTATTCTGGTATGTCACTGCACCGTTTACAGACTGTGCTGCTAACATTGAACCCTCAGGACGCATTTTGGCCGATGACAAGACTGTCGAAGAATACGACATAAAAGAAAAGGACTTCATTGTCTGCATGGTGTCTCGTGCCCCTGCCTCTAAGGTGAAGACAGAACAGAAGACTGAGGAGAAGAAGCAATCTACCACTGAGTCTACTCCTCTTAATACGACATCTACTTCTCCCAAAACACCTGCTCCTGAGTCTGTCCCTGAGCAGACTCAACCTGCTGCTGTTGCTGCTGCTCCCACTGCTGCCCCAATCGTCGGCGACAGCTCTCTTGTTTTGGGTGCTCAACGAAATGCCGTCATTGACAACATGGTCGAAATGGGTTATGAACGCAGCCAAGTAGAACTGGCCATGCGTGCTGCTTTCAACAACCCTGACCGCGCCGTCGAATATCTTCTGAACGGTATTCCCGAAAGTGTTCGTCAAGCTCAAGAACAAGAGCAAGCTGCCGCTGCTGCTGCCGCTACTGCGGCTACCAATGCAACTGCTGCTTCTGGAAACGCCGCCCCAGCTAATTCAACGCAACCAGCTGCCCCTGGTAATTTGTTTGAACAGGCTGCTGCTCACGCCCAAGGTGAAGAAGAGAGTGGTGCGTCTGGCGAGGATCCTCTGGGCTTCTTGCGTGAGCTTCCTCAATTCCAACAATTGCGCCAGATCGTTCAACAGAATCCTCAAATGCTGGAGGGAATTCTTCAGCAGATTGGTGAGAGTAACCCTGCTCTTGCACAGATCATTAGCCAGAACCCCGAGGCTTTTCTTCAACTTTTGGCTGAGGGCGTCGATGGTGAAGGCGTCTTGCCCCCTGGTACTATTCAAATTGAGATTACACCCGAGGAAAACCAGAGCATTGAAAGAGTATGTGCTTTTCACCTGCGACAAATTACTAACAAATACTCTCAGTTGTGTCAGTTGGGTTTCGACCGGAATATCGTTATTCAAGCGTATCTGGCTTGCGACAAAAACGAAGAGGTAAATTTTGTTCGGTATCTATCTGTTGCTAACAATCTCAGCTTGCCGCTAACTACCTCTTTGAGCATGGACACGAATCCGATGGCGATGACGCATGAAGTGGTTCCCCGTCTTATTAAAAAAGAAACATTTTTTTAGCGTTTATGATGAAAGTGGGCCAACTTTTGTCTGGGTCTACTTGATGAAAAGGGCATGGATTCAATGGTTCTGTGGTTACAGCGTGATGGTTAAGGCCTTCCTTCATATATAGGTTGGCAGTTCAGGACCATTCAAATTCACAGGTGAAGTTTCAGTCGCCTTGCTAGGTGTCCTGTGATTAGACTACTTGACATTTAGTCTAATGTATAAATAAAGGGGACTTTTTTTAAAAGTAATTTTGTTGCAAAACAACGGGGCAAGATTGAACGGGTTAGTCTTGTATTGCAAAGTTCGCATCAACAGAGTGTGTTAAGCTAGGGTATGTAATTGTTAGAGTGTGAGTCATTACAGATCAGTTATATATGTGTATGTGTATGTGTGTATTTATATCTTGAAGTGAACTAGTGAGGACTATTTAACTTAGCGATAAAATCCATAACTAAATTGGAGCTTTGTATCAGCCATAGCGAGTTTACAAATGCCATTCTAGTGACTTAGCCAGATGAGTCTATAAAAACTAACGAATAGCTATCTTTTAGAAAGCGACTTTTCCCATGTTGCTGCTAACAATCAATCGGAGCGTAATGATTACTACGAACAAAAGCGAACGTCCTAGAAACGTTACTAATTACTGCCATCCAGAAAGACCCTCTACTAACAAAATCTCAACTGAATTACAAGCCAGATGAATACCGATGAGCTCAGCGTTTAAATGAGAAGCAATAAGACTCATACTACAGCAATGCACAACTCTTAAGGACAATCAACACTTTGGACCCCCGTACGTACGAAACCCAGTCTTCACTCTTTCCTTTCTCTACTCCCCTAAATTGTACCAAAATGCTCGTTTTATTCGCATCGATCCGCTTGGACTGGGCAGAGTAGCTAGACTAGTTCTGTTGAACGCGATGAACATGAAATTAGCTCATAAAACTTGCAGAGATTTCTCGAACATCAAAGTTTAAGCAGTGATGGCCTTGCGGGCAGCCAAGTTACGGGCCTTAGCACCTTGCTTCAAAGAAATGCGGACAGCCTTCTCCTCAGCCTTGGGGACAGCCTCTTCCTCCTCAGCAACAATAACCTCAATGTGAGCAGGGTGACTAAGGTAAGGAGTAATACGACCGTGAGCACGGTAGGTACGTCTGCGTTGCTTGGGAGCTTGGTTGACTTGAATGTGCTTAACAACCAAGTTGTCGACATCCAAACCCTTGGCCTCAGCGTTGGCCTCAGCGTTCTTCAAAAGGCCCTCGAAGAATTGGCAGGACTTAACGGGCCAGCGAGCTTGAACAGCGCCAAACTCCTTGCCTTGAGCAGAGTGGCCAACACCACCGTTGAAACGACGGAAGGGAACAGCCTGCTTGTGGTCCTTGACATTTTGAAGGAAAACAAGAGCCTTCTTCAACTTCATGCCAGACAACGTGAAAGCAACTTCACGAGAGTTCTTGAAGTGAGTACGGAGGTACTCACCACGAGCCTTAGCGGATTTGGTCTCAAGAGCAGGAGCTGCAGCGTAGCGGGCCATTTTTTCAATCTGTGATGTTGGAGGAGCTCAGGTTTGCGCCATGTTCGTGGTAGGTGAAAACAACGGTATGGTGGTGAAGTGTGACTGTTTTATGCGGTAGGGGTCGGTTTTTGCGCTCGAGGAACGAGCTCTTCTTCCGCCGAATACTCACCACCATAACCGTTCTGCTAGCCAGCAGCCTCGATTCGTAGTAGTTGTAAATAATATGTTCTAGAACAACAACACTTCTTGTGTTATAGAGGAATGAATGAGTCCGACAAGGTTGATCATTACGTAAACCTTCTAAGACAACTTTTAAATGATACTCCGAATAGATCAAATGTTGCTGAAATTCTGGTCTTGCAGAATGCCATCCAAAAATTGGCACAGGAGCTACTGAACAATGATGTAAAGGAAGCTTTGAGCCGGGATTCATCTATATGGCTTTTGTGCCATTACTCAATTTTCCAGCACTACAAGTGCTTACTGCAAGGCTGCACGTCGTTTCCCGTGTTACGAAAAAATATCCGACGGAATTATGAGAAATGTTTAAAGTCGGCAACGAAGTTTTACCAGCTGTTCATCCAGACACTCATTAAGCAGTTCGACCTATTCATAGATGTTTCCTGGTTACATGAACGGTTTCTGAAACAGTTACGGTTACGTACAGATCCTGAAATTTACTCTTCTCTTTTTGAAGAGACTGATAAAGAACATGTCCTTAATTGTGTGTATCGCTGCCTTATATGTCTTGGTGACACGGCCCGTTACTTCGTAATGTGTAGTCACAAAGACAGCACATTCAGACAGGCACTTCGTTCCTATTTCATGGCACATCTCCTTTTCCCGGAGAACGGCTACCATAAAAACCAAATGGCCATTCTGTACACTTACCAAAACAATGACCTCGAGACACTATATTGGCTTGCTTGTTCCTCAAGCTCTTTTGTTCCTATGAGCGGTGCACAATCAAACCTTACTAAAAAGCTCTCTTCAATGCAGAAGAAATTAAAGCAGATGCAGAAAGTAAACTTTTCGCGCATAGTAGCATTACTCTTTTTATTGTGCAGAAGCAATTTTGCCGCCCTTCAGCAGAGCATTTACGAGAGTGCCGCATTTTGTCATATCAAACAAAACGAAAACTTCACATCTCGTGAACTGTTCATGTTCACTACTCTAGTCGTGTGTCTGCATCATTTAAAGTTCTTTCCCTGGGATGGGTTCATTACTCGATACCTCAAATGGCTTATCTCAGAGTCTATAAATGTTTTTGATATGGTCCTTAAAGAAGTGGCTCCTTTGAAATTTGTGAAAATCGTTGCGCCGGCTTTGTATGCCGCACTACGGTACGTCTCAAGTTTAGGTGTAATGGACACATTTTTAGACAAGTCTACTTTCCACTCGTTGTTTTCGCGAATATCAAAACTTGTAAAGCTATTTGATACCGGACTGGAGCTCATTTCATTGACGAGAGAGGATTCGAGACTGCGGGTTTGGTATTTTACAACGATAATTCCAAAATCGAACTGCCGTTTGCCCAACTCAAAACAAATACCTCTAACAGATTTTTCACATTTGAGGTACTATCGTCCATCCCTCACCCTTTTGTTGAAATACAACGAACATTAATGAAGCTCTATGCGATCTCGGGTTCTCAAGTCTTGAATCATTCTACTTTTGGTGAGACAAATGTAGACGACGAATGTATTATTGTCGACTCACAAAAAACACAGAGAAGGACAGTATGCTAGAAGTAATGAAGATAAACGATGCAAAATAATGAGTATGTATTCATTCATTAGCACATAACTAAAATACATGCTCTTCGTGCGAGGAATTATTCTGGTTCCTTTTGTTGATAATTATGCCAGTCTCCACGAAAACTTTGTAAGAATTCTAATGTCACTTTGAATTAAATAGTTGTGATAAACCAAGTGTGTCGTAAACTTCATTTGGTTGAAGTTCAATGAATGAGTTGCTTGTTGCGGGTAGTAACTCGAGCGTATTGTTGGGTGATCCAATTGTTTTTAAAGCGGCTGTCAATGCATCACCCTTATTATCAATCGAGATTAATTTTTCACGGGCCTGTATAAAATCTTGAGTGTACTCCGGTTCTGAATTGGATTTTGAGTAATTGCAGAGGAGTACATAAATCTGCTCTGATGTTAGATAACAACAGACACTCAAAATCATCTTCAAATCTGATTCGGTTCGCTTGCGGAGACTTAAAACGGATGTGGCTTGTAACAAAGGCATTAAATGGATACTAGCATCACCCATATTATGGTGATGACACCAGTCCTTCAACAAGGTAACATTAAATGCAATCTGAGCTCCTCGTTTCCATGTCAAACGACTAGCATTCATGAGCATACTACGGAATGCTGAAGTGCCAATGTCTTGGATGGTTGCGGAAAAGAGAAAATTGACAAATTCAGGAGTCAAAGAAGACGACTGTAGAGCTTTCTGTATTCCACTAAGTGTTTTAATGAATTCCTGGACACTGCGCCTATCGTGTTTATTGATGTTGGACGTATCGGATGAATCCTTAAACTCTTCTAGCATTTGTAATTGCAGCAACACCGCTGTTGCATTCTTTGTAGCTGAACGTATTCGTTGAAGCAAAATTTGGAGAGCTTCAACTTCCAGAAGCTCAAACTTTGTTTTGCAGAAACATATCTTTTTGTAGACTTCTTTTCCTTTAGAATCCGAGTAATACATCGACTTTTTTATAAGGTAGGATAAAAGTGAACGAATATTGAAGATGGTAGCAACCCAGTTAGCCAGACGACTAATTTGTTTCTTCTGATTCGTCTTTTCTTTTGTTTCAGAAGAATCACCAACTGAAACAAGAAGAGATCGAAATGCAGTGGAAAACTCAAAGAAAAAAGTATCAAGCTCTTCTGAGAGCGACAAACGAACCGCAGCGTAAATTAAGAAATTACAAGTGCCAGCAAAGAGTAGTGCCGTTTGGGAATCTTTGTCGGATTGCTTCGAAAACTTCGATATGAGAGTTGATATGGGATATTCGCAAAGCACTTGCTTAATTTGCTCCTTAAATGGTTCTTTCAATGAATGAGACTTGAGTACTGAGGTTAGAAAGTCACGAGTTTCAACAGGGTAGATTTTGGCATTAGGGTTGGAGTTTTGCTTCATTCGCTGAAAAACGGAATCTAATATGCGAGAGTATGTATAGTACGCTCGTCGGAGGAAAAAGTGCCTCCGACTTGGTAGATCTGTAGTCAAAGATGAGACGATCGGTTGCTTGCTAGCAGATTCAAGAAGTTTCGCATGTGTTTCTAAAGAATTTCTCACTTGAGATACTTCGCTATTTACATGTTCTGTTTGGTAACAAGCCACAGACAGTTGCTCTAACAGCTGTTTCATTTGGACTTCAGACTGCACTAAATCCGCCAAAGGACCACCTTCGTGTGCGCTGACGTGTTGACGGTATTCAGTGCTTGAAGGAATGTCTTGACCATTCGCGAAAGTAGTCCAGTGAGACAATGATTTAAGCATGCTTTTAACGTTCATCGTTGACTCCGAAAGGCTCTTCTCAATTAAACCAAGTTTTCTGAAAATAGTTGTAACTTCATCTGTAAGTTGTTGTTTTCGTTCCTTTAACAAGGCAGCTCTCTCTGCACTGTCACGTAGCCTAATAAGATATCTGCGTGTCAAACGAGATCTTATAATAGCCTGAAACGAAATGACTGATTTCTTAAAAGACTGATAAGATTCGTGGCAATGGTGCGCTCTCCATGCCTTGACGATGACTGAGACGGCTCTTTCGTGCAACTGTCGAATGTAATCTCTCATAGTCATAAAACGACGAATAGCAGATTGAGTTAAAACAATTGAGTCCTTAACCTGAAGGTACCATCTTCGTTGGATAAACATTCTCCATTTGCTCTGTAGCAACAAAGCAGCATTATCCCTCCTGATTTTCTCAACCTCCTGTCGTTTAAGGTAGCCACGTATTGCAGATTGAAGGGAAACGACAGCCGAACGGATTTCAAGGAAACGCTTCCGGAACACGCGAGTAAGAAGTTTAGACTGCAAGAGTACAGCAGCCTCGTTCAATCTTTTTTCACGCGCCTTCTCAAATTCTGCTATAACGCCGGCACGGAAAAACAGTTTTGTTCGCCCAATTTGAAAGGTATTGGAGTCACTATCGATGAGCTTATTAACAATCGCCGCACATATTTCTTTTTCATCTTGGGCTAATTGACTGCTGGGTAAGAGCATCTTATACTGCTTAACAAATTCAGAGAAGGTTCGTTTGGTTGGGAATCCAGCAGTAGATATTCGGATAGTTTCAAGAACACCGCATGCGCGAAGTTGTGAAAGAACCAACTTTTCGTCAAGTCCCCAGGCAGTTTTGGTCTCATTTGGCTTTATACACCGAATGTAATACACTTCAGTATCGTTAATGGTTTCCATAAGCTTCAGGAGGGATGTTTTGAAAGTATATCCAAGCGTGGGTTTTCTCGAAAGTGAAGTAGACTTTGTTGAATTCTTCGCAGTACTTGCTCCTTCAGCGACATCAACCATATGACGTACCATTGGACTGGTAGACTCGTACATCAATTCCAAAACTTGGTCGGGAATGCCGTCCATATTTTTGCTTAAGAATTCCGAGCTAGTGTATGTAACATCGACAGCATAATGCTTAATAGTAAAAGTAGAATCGTTGAATCGGGACTTTTTATAGTAAGTAGAATGTGGTTGCTTAGAGTAGGAATTGTTGAGTTTCTGTAACCAACTTGTATGCGTGCCAGACGGGAGACGGCATTCTTCATCCAACAGAGACAAAATACCGTAACGGCTTTCAATCAACGAAATACATGCCTGGTTATCTGGATACTCAATAAAGTTCCAGGTCAGGCCTTCGCTCATGTATTCTTCTTGTTCCAAACGGAACACATGCTTTGTGAATTCTTGTTGTAGTTTTTCGTTAGCATAATTAATGCAAAATTGCTCGAAGGAATTTTGGTCAAAAAACTCAAAGCCGTAAATATCCAATACACCAACATATTTTTTTGCTTCCCGCTGCGCTTTAGTATAGTCAAGCGATACGTTGATCATGTGGACTAACCAAGTAAATAAGGAAGAATAGAAAAACTTGGAAATTGAGTCACGGACAGTGATAGCTTGTTCAGGCGTAAGGTTCGTAGTAATAGACTCCGATCTGGTCCTAATCTGTCTCTTGGTGATCCATTTCGCCAACTGAGATGAATCTAATCCAAAGAGTTTTGAGGAAAGAGTCAAGGAGGCATCGTCTGCATCAACGCTGGCCTCAGACCGATTGCTTCTAATGTGGACGTTGCCAAGATGCAGGATAGCGACGAGCATCTGATAAACTTCTTCTTGTTGTTCAGGATCTATACCGATAGTTTGAAGTGCAGAACACGTAAGACGGAAGTTCTCCTTGTCGTCAACATTTTCAATACTAACACAGTTTCCTTGATTTAAGTAGTGAAAATCTTCGACGTTCCCCAGACACCAGGCTTCTTTTTGACTGTCAGAACAACCAGCAAGCAACTGATAAAAGATATGGTAGTTCCGCTCGTTAGACGGCTGTGTCACCAATCTTGAGCGTTCAAGGAGGTAAGTGCTTATTCTTGCACCAGAAATAGCATTTTTCTCGTTGAACATGATAGCAATGTATTTTCCGAAGCGAGAAGAGTTATCGTTACGGGTAGTCTTTGCGTTACCAAAAGCTTCCATGATAGGATTAGTCGCCAAAACTTGAGACTCCACAGAACGCTTAACAAGATTGGGAGCATGTTTATGCTTGGGTTGCATTGAAGTCATAAAACGCATGATATACTTGGCTGAAACAGTTTTACCAGCACCTGATTCGCCGGACACGATGATTGTCTGGTTCTTAGAAGTGTTTACTAGACTCCGGTAACACTTACTCGCAATGGAATAGAGATGCGGCTCGCTTTTAGACTTAGAATGCTTTAAATATTGTGAAATGACGGAATCGTCATAGAGTCCGGGAAGAGCTTGGTAAGGATTTAATGCAACGAGAACAATTCCAGAGTAAGTGTAGAATTTTTGCTTCTCATAACGTTTGCAAATAGACGACAATACAGAAGGCTCGTTGAGATGAGTAAGTGTCGTCAAATCGTCGGCGTCTTCAGTGTCTTTGGGATTACACGGAAACAAGGATGCTCTGTCAACAGTTATGGTAGCGCCATCTTTACCTTCTAACGCGACTTCCGCAGTGCCCTTTTCCACATTTTCGTTCACTATGTGGCAGTAATCCCAAGTTTCCTCTTTGTTCTGGACCCAGAATTTCCTAAATTCGGTTTTAGTTGACATTACAAGGGATACGCAATTCCAGCAACGTACTGCCTGTTTTCCATTTTCAATCCAGCACCGCTAGCATGAATGACAAAAGAGTGTAAATGGTAACCTTTTGTAAAGGTATTACGATCTAATGAGATTTGTTTTTGGTTAAGGTTTAGATGCACGACGAGCTGGTTGTACGAAGCATACTCCACTCACCTCGCTTAATCTTATGAGGGACGAAACTTTATTTTTCGCTTCGGATCTACTTTAAATGAACAAACGATGACATCACAAAGGGGTATGTATATAAAACAGCATTGCTCCTTCCTTTCTCTCCCGTAAACAAACATTAAATAGCTTTTATTATTCTTAAACTAGCATGTTATTTAAACAGGTCACAGAAGCCGACGTTCGTCAGGTTTTGAATGACAGAATCAGTAAGCTCAGAGAAACACAGCACCCGTCGGTTCCAAAAGCTTTGGCAATTCCGTATGAGAGTGCATACGACAGAGACTTTGAGATTCCAAAATTTCAGTTGCCAGACGAAGGAATTCAGGCAAGAGATGCATACCGTTTAATTCACGACGAATTGGATTTTGATGGTCAGCCAACTTTAAATCTGGCAACATTTGTACACACTTTCATGGAGGATGAGGTTACACAACTGATGATGGAAAATGTGAATAAAAATCTTGCTGACGCCGATGAGTATCCGGCCCTTGTAGACATTCATGCTCGCTGTGTTTCCATGATCGCAAATCTATGGAACGCACCACTAATTAATGGAAAGAGCACTGGCTTTGGAACATCTACTATTGGCAGCAGTGAAGCTGTCATATTGGGTGGTTTGGTTATGAAAAAACAATGGCAGTTAAAACGCAAAAGCAAAGGTCTCGATTTCTCCAAGCCTAACATCATTATGGGAGCCAATGCTCAAGTGGCATTGGAAAAGTTTGCCCGTTATTTTGACGTGGAAGCTCGCATGGTTCCCGTTAACGAAAAATCCCGACATTGCCTCGATATTACTCAGCTTGAAAGTCAGGTGGACGAAAACACGATTGGCGTGTTTGTGATTCTCGGCAGTACATACACAGGAAATTTCGAAAATGTAAAGGAAGTTTCGAAAAAACTTGATGAAATACAAGCAAAGACTGGCTTAGATGTCCCTATTCATGTAGACGCTGCTAGCGGAGGCATGATCGCACCTTTCGCCTTTCCTGATTTGGAATGGGATTTCCGTGTTCCAAGAGTGAAGTCTATCAATACGTCAGGACACAAGTATGGTATGGTGTATCCGGGTTTGGGTTTCATTATTTGGCGCTCTCGCGAATGGGTTCCTGATGACTTAATCTTCAAGCTTCATTACCTCGGCGGAACTGAACTTACATACACGCTGAACTTCTCACGGCCAGGATCGCAAGTCATTGCGCAGTACTATAACTTTATCCGTTACGGCTTCCAGGGTTACAAGCAGGTGGCAGAAACAGATCTGTTTCATGCTCGTCTTCTAAGCTTTTGTTTGGAGGCCAGCGGTTACTTCCGCTGTTTAAGCGACATTCACCGTCAGCGAGGCTCGTATGCCTTTGATCCCAGTAAAGCAGTATACTCGAAAGCAACCGAGTTTTATAATGCCGGATTACCTGTTGTCAGTTTTTGTTTAATTGACGATTATAAAAAGGAGCATCCCTATGTTCGACAAGACGATATTTCAAGATTACTGCGTATGAAAGGTTGGATTGTTCCAAACTATCCATTACCACCGAATGAAAACAAGACCGAGATCTTGCGTGTGGTGGTACGAAACACACTTTCTCGCAATCTTGTCGACAGACTCGTTCACGATATTCTTGATGCGGTTGAGTACCTTGAAAAGGAAGCCGATGAGAAGGCATTTATTCATCCTCAAATATCAGTCTCTGCTGAGAAACAGCATTCTTCCCTTGGAGCAATTGGCGGCAATAACGATCCAGAGCATCGCTCCGGTGCAAAGGGTGCATTTTCTTATACTTGTTGAGAACGGACTTTTTGTTTTCCTTTTGTTTTATTCACGGCTTTTAGTATGTCTGAAGGAGAATTAAAAGTTGTTTCTTTTAAACTTTGCAAACTGCTTGCAAATGCATCTAACCCCGTGGTTCGAAGAACCTCAAATTCCGCTTGATGAAAGTTCCCCAACACAAACTTGGAAACATCTTTTGATAGATGTGATTCACAACGTCCAATTCCAATTGATATCCGAAAAAAAGCCTACATGAGTTAGTTCTTAGTGTCGGTGCAGCTTGTTCCTTTAATATACCTCATTTCCGAGAAAAGCTTGACATGATTTAATTCCATTATGACCCCTAAAAATATTAGTAAATGCACTTCTTTTCTAAACAATAATGTGCTAACCGGTGAGAAGTGCCGTGTTTGAGTTTAACTTTTCCGAGCGGAGATTCCATATCGTCGTGAACGACTATACAGAGCAATTTCTCTTCATCGTTATGGCAGTATTTTCGAAGAATTTCTTGGCGAACACGTTGTACGAACTTCCCAGATTCGTTCATGTAAACGGTAGATGGCACTAAAACAAAACCGTCGTGTTCTGCCGGCCATTTTTGGCCAATTTCATTCTTTTCTGCGAATAGCGATAGCATTAACTTTCCTACGGAATGTCGACTTTTTGAAGCGACAGATCCAGGATTTCCAAGACCAATGAGCTAGACATTAGCACAAGCTGTTATAATTTAAATAAATAATCCAGTTGCTAAAGGCATACCAAAATTTTTCTTTCCATTTATTAGATAATAAGTAAACTCTATAAAAGAATTTAAAGAAAACAAAATAAAAAAGAAAATATAAACCAAGCGCGAATGAAACAATGACACAGCTGTGACCATAAACACGATCGCTTTATTAAGCGTAAGATGTGTAGTATAGGCGTAGACCAGTTTATATCAAATACTATTTGAATAGTAAACTCCACAAACCCTAACTCATAATGGAAGAGGTATATTACAAATTATAATTATAGACTAACGTAATTTAGGAAAGATTCAAAGCTGAGATTTTTCATGTCACACAGCAAGTATGCAACAATACTGCTGCAGAACTCAGCGAGTCGGAATCGAAACGTGTAGTCGTGGATGAACTGTTTTGCGTTGGCGTAACCGAAATGGTCTGGGAACAAATTAAAGTTTTGGCAAAAGATGTTGAGATGTTTGCAGAGTATGTTGTTAAAATTCTATTCTATGATCTATTGTTCTGTTATTCACATTATTAAGACACGCCGGTCGCAAAACCGTACAACCCCAAGATGTTGTTTTATGCTCGCGAAGAAATGAGGGTTTGCATGAGATTATGCAAAATCTTAGCAAGGAAGCCATAAAGAACAGGAAAAAAAGAAAAGAGAACGAGGCTTAAGACCTGCTGACGTTAAGTAACCACAGCTACTTTGCTTTTATTTCGCGTAGCATTTTTCATTTACCCACTCACAATTTCACCACCACCAAAACCGGAACAGACTAGGAATTTGGATGGATATTAGTGTTCCTATGTCCTGTCGAATTTAATTGCTTTATTAAAAATTCTGTCATGCTCTCTGGACCCGGGTTTCGATTTGACTCTGCTATTTCCCGCAATCTATTCCATTCGCTCGAATTACAACAGGCCGGTCCTGTAACTGAATTTTATTTTCATTGCTTACTGCCTAGTATATCAATTTTAGCGGTAGTACCGTGTAAAATAGCAAAACCATGAGTTTCAATACTCCTGATGCGTTTAAAGCTGCGGTTTTAAACCAGCGCCGCTTTCTTTACTTTATGATGAATTTCCATGTCCTTCCCGATAGAGTTAAAACGGTTTTTCGCGATATTGTTCCAAAACCGCACTATTCCTACATCGATTCGGTGAATACCGTTCTAAATTCATGGCTTACTAATCGGATTTCAGAATCGTCATCCTCAGATCTATCAATGATTATGAGGTTATATGAAGAAATTTTGAAATCAGGCTTCTTTGACACTCCCATTCCACTCAGTACGTATGAACAGCTGAACAAGTCAAGCGCTGCCTCTAACACAGACACGAAGAGCGGACCGCTTTCAATGGGCGAAGTGTCATTTTCGAGTGCCCAGACAATTGTAAAAGACTCCCTTTCGCAAAGCAGCTCCTCTCTTCCAAATGAAACCGCACGCCCCACAGTAGAACAAAATGAAGTCCGCGTTTCACCACCGACAAATAATATGACGGTCGACAGCCGGCCTATTACTGTTCAGAGTCAAAGCTCAAATGAATCCATGGACAATAATATCACGCTTCCTCCTTTGTCTTTACCTACTATTGGCACATTATCCGAAAATACGCTCCCTCCATTATCATCTTCACAACCGGTTTACACAACTTTCCAAAATAATGGCGGATTGAATGCTGCACCCGTTCTTGCTCCGATCTCTGCATCACAACCTGCCTTGCTTCCACAATCTTTGACGGATGTACAGCCCCAATTAAATACTGGCTATCCCCCTTCTAGTGTCGACACCAATGCACCTCCAGTTAACTCACAACCGAATAAGTCTGATTTACTGTACGAACGGCCAAAGCTCGTTCAGCCCTCATCCGCATTCTTTAACTTTAATCGCTTGGATAAAAGAGTTTCGCCCTACCTTACACCCGAAAACATTGCATCTGCTATCTTATACGCGACAAACAACCGTCAACGATACAGAGGAAAGAACCCACGGCTAAATCTTTCTTTAGAATTGCTTCTGAACCGGAAATCACTGAACATTGATTTTAATGATGCGTTTGATGAGGACCTACGGAACATGACGGATTGGAACCGCCTTTCCGAAGTGTGTGTGCGGTATCCCACGCTTCCAACTTCAAGTATTAAGCGCGATGGTTCCTTTTATAAGCATCTACTTTTTGAACAAGAAGAAGCTCAATATCAACAGGCTATTGAGAAAAGTCTTAATATACTTGATCTAAAATCTGATGATGACTGCGAGCAACCTGTTCTTGGTAAAGACGGCCTTGTCAGGCTAGAAAAATCGAAACAAAACAATGTCAATTCTCCTCCTGATCAAACACCATCTGTAACCGTTGCTGATTCTGTTGTCGCTAGTGTTACTGATATTGAAGGTCATCAGACCTCTCTGACCATGGGTGCAGCTGATGTTGATACTTTATTTTTTGGTCCTCCAGAGCCCGTGCATCGAACGGGCCCTCCATTACAGCAACCCGAAGTTAACGAAACGATTCCGGAGCCCCAAGAATTAACTAAACGGACGCTAGATGCGAGTGCACCTGCGACTGTCAAGGACAACACGACTGTCCCTCCCGAAATTAACACTGAGAAGGCTCCGGAAAGACAATCAATACAAATTTCTGACGACTTTTCTCAATTAGAATCGGAAGTGTTGTCGGCTTTGGCTGTAGAGGATGATGATATTCCTATCATTAGTTCACGGAATCAGCCATTTACTAAACCCGTGAATCCGACTGATGAATCACCAAAATCTATTGTTGAAGATAATAGTTCACCTAAAGTACCTGCTAACGCAGTACCAAGTGACCGTCAGGAAGTAACAACAGGGTCAGCAAGCTTGTCAGTATCTCCGACCCCTTCGACTGAGACAGTTCCACTTGCTGATGGTAATGCGAATTCTAGTGCGGACTCTAATGGTAGCATACTTGGAGCATTGCAAGAATCCTCAACCCAGTTTGCGACAAAACCAAAGTCTATTAATGAAACCACTGTTACTGAGGAAGCGGCACCTTCAGATGACAATCCTAAGCTTCCGAATAATGAAAGCGACCCCGATATTTTGGTACCTGAAACAAAAATAACAGCCGAAATGCCTACGGTTACTCCGTCAATTGACGAGACTGTCAATGATGAAATTTCAGAACAATATTCCTCTCTTACTAAGGATGCTGGGACAGCATCGGATGCATCAATCGATTCTGCACTGGGACCGCAGCTTTCCTTTGCACCTAAGCCATCAATTTTTGATGCCAAAGCTACTGCTTCATCCACTGAGCAAGATGTTGCTACTTCTTCAGTTTCAGAAGCCGATAAACGGAATCTGGTTGAGTCTGACACGACAATCCCCCTCCCCGTTTCAGACGCAACCAAAAGCGATGTTCCTGATACTTTCGATGACACCTCTGAAGATATTATTCTTACAAAAGAGGTATCTACTACACTAAGTGCAAACGATACGATCGAAGAAAGTGCCAATGAAACTGACACAGGACCACTCCCGGTTGTTGATTCAGTGTCCACTATTGCAGAAAAATCTAAAAGTTTCAATGAAATTGCAAACGATGTTCAGAAAGTTGTTGCATCCGATGAAACTAATGACCTAATTGTGTCAGAATTCTTACATCCACATGACTTTCAAGCAACTTCCACCCCTAATCCAGTGGCTCTAAAGAAGATTGAGCTCGGTTCAAATCTGCCTCTAAATGAGGATTTACACATTTCACCCTTACACTCAAAACAATCGAACCCTTTGGAGTCACTAACGGAGACTGAGCATAGGAAAAGAACGTTTACGGAACTCGCTGAAACTTCAGATGACCAGGACGAACTCAGTAGCATAGATGGAACTTCAAGAGCTTCATTGGTTTCTTTTAAACAGCTGAAGCTTGATAGCATTTTTGGAACGGAACGGGAGAGCAAGCCACTAACTTACCGACCAGTTCTTGAACGGAACGAACTTGTCAGCACCTCTATTGCGCAATCCCAAGACACAAAGTATACCAGTAACGAAAATGCCCGGTCGCAATCGCCTTCATTAGCTGACTCTACAGGTTCTAAAAAGTCCAGTTCTCCAACTGTTCAGTCCCAGCACCCAGGCTCTTTGGAGGAAAAATTGATGATGTCGTCTGAAGGACAGCCCAGCAAGAAATGCCAAAAATTAACTAACGTATCATTCGATGAGATTGAACGTTCTCGCCAGAAAGTGTTAGATACATTCTCACATGCAAAAACCGGGTTTCCTGAATATAAATGTGTGTGGGTTGGATGCGAAGCCGTTCTTCATTCATTTGAGAATCTGTATAACCATTGCATAACGGCACATTGCATTGAGAAGGAAGGCGCTTTCCCGTGTTTTTGGCAAGCATGTAAAGCTTCTCCCTCAAAAAGCAGGGAACAGTGGAAACTTCATGTTCACGTGCATCTTAATTCGCTGGTTTACAGTTGTCCGATGCGAGGTTGTAAGGAAACTTTCAACAATTACTCTGAATTAAGCTCTCATTTTGAAGCTCAGCATTCACATTCAGAATATGAGCCAAGTAATTTTATTACAATCAAACCCACGGAAGAACCGACCGGCCGTTCTCGTCTGTTTGATCACAGTATGGAGGGAGCTCGATTCTTTTTGGAAACAAATACTCCTATTGTCGAGGACGCCCCTCCTGAATGGCAGCCGGTGCCACCTCCTGGGTTTTCTGGTGCACCAGCTGGGTCCACGAGCCTGAAAAATAATCCTAGGGAACGTTTTTGGAACACCCTTCGAAAAAAAAATGTATATCGTGATTTTGCTGGTCTTCATCCTCCAAGGCAGGAATCGGATTCGGATTTTGCACGGCCTGGAAAAGCCAATGGAGTTCTGAGAAAGCATCCTCGCTCTACCAAAACACTCGCTTCTCTCGTCGAAGGATCTTACTATCAAAAAAAGAATTGGGAAATCTGTTAAGTCATACTGAACAGACTCTTTCTATGTGCATATTTCCTTTCAGGTGTATGATTTATGACTGTTGTAACTCTCGTAAGTACGACGTCTTTGTATTGTATATTCGTTTTCGTTTTGTTAATACTATTTGTCGTTGTTGTTTTCTTATTTATATTTATTCTTTAATTGAAAGAGACTGCAATTAATTTTAGTGAAGCTGCTAGTGAAGCTGCAAGTGTTTAGAAAGCAATTTTGGTGTGTGAATTAATGGGATAATGGTGATAAGCTGGAAGCTTGTGTTCCGATTATTTCAAAGATCATTAGGTATATAATTAATTGTCTATATTTTTTGTAAACTTAGTTTAAAGCTTAGTGGTAAGGTAGATTACGAATAAGGAAAATAATCTGTAAGTCATTACTTCAATTATTTACCAATGAATGGTAGTTTAAACTTTAGGATTTTATTCAGTTAACGCCCTGTGACATTAAAACGCATTTACACATATTAATGCATTTCAATGAGTAAAACCTAAGTCTGTAAATGAGTTTGTGTGACAAAGCAAACTGTTCAGCTGTAATTCAAATTGATAGTTTCGTCAACGGAATTTCGAATGAGCAGGGGCTCATGGGTTGACTATTAAGAGGTCGATCTCTTTAACTATTACGGTTTTTATTACATGTAAAAAACTCATTTAATACAATTACTTCACATTCATTTTTCACACTCTCATGCTTCATGTCCGACCCGTATCTTTGAGTTTGGCATCAACACTAAGGGCAGTAAATACACAAGAAACTACTCAATGTGGAAACCTGGGTTAAAGGGTTTCCTTTCGCTCAGAAATACATTAAAAGAAATCGTCACACAGCAAACAGACTATTCTCCCCTTTTAAAATCCTCAAATCCGTTAAAACGGACAGCGCCTTCGTCTCATAACGGAATTGCGGCAACACAAAATGCAAGTTCAAAAGCTGCCATAAATCAGCCGTTTCAAAGAGAAGCTCCAAATCATCTAAATCACGGTGCTACGACCATAAAAACTCGTTCTTTTAATGATGACATTCACCGTTCCAGTTCAAACAAGCCAGGTCGACTATTACACGAGAAAACTATAGAACAAAACGGTACAGAAAACACCTCTACCATAAGTAAATCCAATGATCTTGAATGTAAAAAAGACAAGCAAACCGACGGCTCATCCACTATAGCACCAGACAGCGAATCCCCAAAAAACAAAACGAGAGGCCCATTTAATGAAACATCAGCCAAGGAACGTTACTTCGACGAAGATAATGAGGGAAACGAAGAAGAACCAAAATTGAAACCATCAAAGGTTCCTTCATCCCAAGTTAGTCGACTATTCCACTACGGTGGTTTGGCAGCTTCGCTCTCAGCAGGTGCCGTTAGCGAGAAATGGAAACGTTTCTGGGGTTCTAGCAAGGAAACTGGTGCTTCGTTTCTGAGTCGACGAAATACAGAAGTCTTAGTCAACAAGCTCACTCAAATGAGAGGGGCGGCACTAAAATTAGGTCAAATGGTTTCATTCCAAGACTCAGATATATTCCCTAAAGGCATGTCAAAGGTTTTGGAGCGAGTGCGCGATGGTGCACATTACATGCCCGACAAACAACTCGAACGTGTCATGCAAAAAAATCTCGGACCAGACTGGTTGAAACTCTTTAGCGATTTTCAGCGCATGCCCATTGCGGCTGCTTCCATCGGTCAAGTGCACAAGGCTCGTTTGGCCTCTTCTAATGCGCTCGTCGCGGTAAAGGTGCAGTACCCAGGCATTGACAAGTCTATCGATTCCGACTTGAGCAACCTCTCCATGCTATTGACGGCATCGAAACTTTTGCCAAAAGGTTTGTTTTTGGAGGAGAGCATCCGTGAAGCTCGCAGAGAACTCAAGTGGGAATGCGATTACAAACGTGAAGCAGCATGTGCAGAACGATTTCATGAACTTTTACAAGGTGATCCGAACTTCAAGGTACCAAGGGTGTTTCGCGAAGCAAGCGGACCCACTGTTTTAACACTTGAGTACCTGCATGGCCAGGCCCTTGGCAAGCAAAAGCTTCCTCAAAAAGAATGCAACCGTCTTGGTACACTGCTTATGCATCACTGTCTTCGGGAAATTGCAGATTATCACTTCATGCAAACCGATCCTAACTGGTCCAACTTTTTGTATAATGAGCATACACGACAGTTGGAGCTTCTGGACTTCGGTGCATCAAGGGAATATGACGACAAGTTTGTTGATCGCTACTGCCGACTTTTGTTAGCAGCAGCCAAACGTGACTTTGATACGTGCCGCCGCTTATCCGTTGAGCTGGGATATTTAAACAAAAATGAATCCTCTTTAATGATCAAGGCTCACATCGAATCACTCTTTACACTCGCCGAGCCGTTCGCCGACGACGCTCCCGAGGTGTTTGACTTCCGGACACAAACAATTACAGAGCGCATCAAGGCCGAAATCCCCGTAATGCTTAAACTTCGTCTACAGCCGCCGCCCGAACAAACATACTCTCTGCACAGGCGCCTCAGCGGGCACTTTTTACTGTGTGCGAAACTAGGAGCACAGATTAGATGCAGGAAGATATTCTACGAGGTCCTGAAGAAGTATGACAATAATGAACACTGATGAGTAATGAATAAGAATGATTACGCGAAAGCACAGCGGCAAAAGGCGAGAACACATTTTTATGGTGACTATACTACGGATATAAGAGAAGAACCTCATCTGAAAAGCGAGTGAAAAAAAAAAAAAACCAAAGAGGAACATACTACAGAGAGTGCGCGAACGAGTTGGAAAGCGAAAGTGGAGGGAACGTAGTAGTAAGCACGAGGAGAGCGAAACGAAAGAGACCGGTATGTATGCGAGAGAGAAAGGAGGCGACAACAAATGGTATACCACGTATATAAGGTATAATAAAACATATACTGAAGTGTGTGGAAAAAAAATAGCCCATGAAGTTCTTTTTTCTTTTTTTTAATGTTCTGCTCACAGCCGTCGTTCCCGTAGTCATCAACGCATCGTCGCTGTTTCTGTTGCTCTCACATTCTTTCCAAACGAACAAAAATAAAAACCAATAAACCCCAAAAAAAGATATAAACCCAGCAGACATCACGGCTCTTTTTCCGTGTGTTGTGTAATACACACACCTACATGGCAGGAGCACCGAGAATGGTTCCGCGGCCAGTGGATTGCACGTCCATAGCTGCAGTGTCGGAATCCTTCTTCACATCAGCGCCACTAGCAAACAGCTTGGAGGCCTTGTTTTTGTTCTTCAGTTTCTTCTCCAAAGCGGGATCCAAATTGAGAGGTGTGACGTCTATAGAAATGTTTCGTTTAGTAATCGGATGCCGGAGATGCAAAAATCACGCTGTACGCACCTGTCATCAAGTCGTCCAATTCAACACCCTTTTCAGCCAAACGTTTCAGCGACTAGTAGCGGTAAGTCTTACTATACTATACTGTGGCTCTAATGTCGATAAGTGTTCATGACTTACGTATTTTCCATTACGGATCTGCTTTTTCAGCGTCTTCTTACTGGGCACACGGCCGTGAATGATGCTCTCAGACTTGCTTTTGCGGAGCTTTTGGCGGTCGTTACGGGCAGGCATTTTTTGTATTTGATGAGAGAAGCAAGAAAGGCGGGCGAAAAGTGTGTTGGGCGTATAGTGAGGGCGAGTGAGGGAAGCACGGGAGCTCGATAAACCGGGTTAAGCCGGGTTTGCGATGTCACTAAACTGGTTTAAAGCGGACTAAGGAGCTGTTTCGTGTGCATCGCTACGTTACGATATTGTCTTTTGCGCAGCGCACCAGAGTACTGGGTAGTATGGTAGGGTGCCGTATACAAAAGTAAGGTACCATTACGAACTACTCAGTAATACGTTACACCCCGTTAAACCAATTAACGCACTGTACAGAAATGCAATGCAGTCTCTTATAGTGCGTTGTTGCCGCGCGCTAAAACACTCTAACGAAGGGTTTCGCGTATTTTGTCGCCGTACGCTATCCGGCCACGCCCAACACACCCAGCCAAGCACCATCCAGCTGACCAAGTCGAACGATGGCCGCGAACGGAAGAGCTCGCAGAATTGCTAAAGAACTTGCAGGTTTGTCACCGTCTTCCTTCATTCTTGCTGACGGGTTGCGTTGCAGACGTTGAAAACGACAAGACCGCCGGAATCTCTGTTTGGCTGGTCTCGGACGATGTTTCTCATTTGAAGGGAAGCTTCAGTGGTCCTCAGGGGACTCCCTATGAAGGTGCGGACTCCAGTGTCAGAAGCAGCAATTTCTCGACACTTGCTCAAGTAACAGCTCGTTCGAATTACTAACCCAGGGCTACAACAGGCGGCACCTTTGTCACCGATATAACCATCCCGGTACGTATGATCAACGCTACGCAACGCAAGCGCACCGACGACTGAGGCTGTGTGTGTGTGTGTGTGTGTGTGCCTTGTCAGGTCGTGCAATGCATTCGCTAACAATTACAGATTGGTAAGTGGTAGCGGTTAACGAGAAGACAGAGTGCACTTTTGGCTCGTCCACGCCTCGGCGTGTCGAATCCCACGGGACCTTTGTCCGGCATGCTTCACGGACAACGAGAGTATTGTGCCTCATGCCTGTCGTTGCTGCACCTTTAACGCTGCTGCTCTCGCTAACGAAGCTACACAGACTACCCATTCCGCCCTCCCATCGTCAAGTTCGACACCCGCGTCTACCATCCGAACATCTCCTCGCAAACAGGCGCCATCTGCCTCGACATTCTCAAGGACCAATGGTCACCCGTGTACACCATCAAGTCGGCGCTCATAAGTTTGCAATCGCTATTGTGCACGCCTGAACCAAACAATCCCCAGGACGCCCAGGTGGCCGGCGTATACTTGAAGGACCACCCCAAGTTTGTCGAGACGGCTCGAGAATGGACACGCACATACGCCAACGCAGGCGAACCTAAAGACGCTGCAGCAGCTGCGGGCATCGACAAGCACCTTGTCGACGAGATTGTCGCGCTCGGCTTTCCCTCCGACAAGGTCGTCGGCGTGCTGCAGAAGCTCGGCGTACACAACAAGGACGAACTCGAGAAGGCAGGAGGCGTAAACAAGGCACTCGATGCTCTTCTCGCCTAGAATAATGCGCGTAAATAGAAGAATGAACAAGGAGAGGGAGAAGCGATATTCGGAGGCAAGGAGGAGGAAGGGGAGGAGGATGTATGTTTGGACGGGAGAAGGGGAGAAAAAAATTATTAGAATAGACGCACACTTTTGCCCGGGCGCACCAATCCCTCATTCACTGTGTAATGAGGAACGTGCCCGCGTTCGCTGCAGCATGGATGTAATTCGTTCATTGACGGGGTTTCATAACAAAGTAAAAAGGATAGAGCGGATTGTCCTGCGCTTTCTTTGCAGGGCATCCAAAGGGGAATCATAGACAGTATGTGCGTGTGTGTGTGTGTGTATGTGGATAAAGAGAAGACATAGGGATCGGGGGGAGGGAAAGGAGGAAAGAGGACACACAAAGGCTGAGATAGCCGCAATAAGGGGAAAAGCAACATGCGACGATACCATTGGGAAGGACGCGATTCCACATGCTAAACGGACGCCTTAACATCGCAACAGCGTCCTCCGGCCGCGCCGTCGTAACCCCTGCAATCCCCTCTTACAAATCCATTGGCACATCTTCATTTCGGGGCATCAAGACGGGTTTTGGGGGAGGAGGAGCAGAGATGGAGAGAACTTCCGTGTCGTCGCTCAGCTCCATGCCGTCCTCTTCAAGGACGGCCTTCTCCGGCCACAGCTTGCGCTTGGTTCGAAGAGTGTGTGCTTCGCGAATGGCCTGTTGATCTTCGTAGGAGAGCTTCCGTGAGGAGCGGCGAGTTGCTTCTTGATGCTGCCGCTGAAGCTGTTGAGCTAAACGAGCCGCTTCGGCGCCTTGCTCCTCGACCTGGTCTTGTGTCTCGCTCAGCAACTTCTCGAGCTCGGCAATCTTTTCGTCCTTGAACGCGTTATCTTCCTGCAGCTGGCGCATCCACTTGGCCATCATGTCGAGCTTGTGGTCCGTGTACTCGAGACCTTGCACACTCTCCTCGCACAGCCGGTCAAGGAAAATGCGCTCCACCTCGCGCACACGGCTCTCCATCTCAGTGGTCATCTGCTCACGCACCACATACTCCAGGTTGACCATCTCGCTGTCGGCCTCGGCGAGCAGTTCACGCAACCGCTTGTTCTCCAGCTGCACGGCCTCCAGCTGTGCCATCAGGGCGGCCACGTTCACGGACGGCGGGCGAGAAGCACTGTGAGGAGCTGGCGAGCCGAGCGGTGTCCCGGCCCGGGGCGTCGCCGAAGCACTGTCCATGTGTCCATTGCCCATTTCGACGGGCACGGGCGGCAGCATAATCTCGCGGGCATTCGCACTGTACCGCATGACCTGGGCGTTCTCATCGAAGCTGCCGAGAGGGTCAATGTTGACAAGCATGCTCGTGCGTGCCGTGCCCGTCAGATGGCCGGAGTGGAACAGAAGCTCAGTCAGCTTGCTCTGGCGGAACGGCACCACATGCTGCTTGCCGTCGTGCTTTCGACGCAGGGCCTCTAAACACTGGCCCAGCGCGAGCAAACTCTTGTTGATGCTGGCACCCTCGCGGAGCAGGAGGCCAGACGTTTCGGCGGACCGCGTGCGCTCTGAACCGGCCAAGTCGACGAGATTAATCTCGCAGCTCGAGATCTCTCCCGTCTTCGGCTGCAGCTGGTACAGCTCGGCACACAAGACGAGATGGGACCGCGAGGAGACGGCGTTCGACTTCGTCGAGGTCGACTTTCGAAGCTGAAGCGCGACCGCTATGAGTCGACAGGCCTCTGCGACGTTGCCGACGAACACCTTTTGAATGCCATTGACCGCCTTTTTGTCTGACGTTGCTGACTTTTTGAGATTGAGTGCACGGCGATGGCCAAAGAAGCTCGCCTTTTCGAGTAGATCAAAGATACGGTCGTTGTAGATTTCAGCAAACGACAGATAGACTGCGTACTGGTACGAGTGGTCAACCACGTCGAAGGAGAACGTGTCGTAGAACGAGGCCGGCGGCAGCGCAAAGGTCGCGTTTTGATGCTTGTCAGCCAGATACTTGCTTGCCTCGAGAATTTTGCATTTGTCGAGCCGCGACCGCAGCGATTCCGCCACCGGGAAACTGGCCTCGCGGTCTCGAATGGCATGGAACAGCGCGCCCATTGTTATGTACGCAACTCCCGGTCGGTCGGGCGGTCCAAACAGCGTGAACGTTTTTCCAGCTCCCGAAACACCCAGCGTGAAGAGCAGCGAGTCGTGCTGCGAAAGCAGCGAATCCATCAGCAGCGGAGCACACGTCTCCGCAAACACATCCAGCTGGGACGCGGTGGGCTTGAGGATCCGTGAAAACTGAACGCGTTCCGACGTCCGGGCCTTGGAGACACGAAACGCGTGCGAGTCCTCGGGCGACTCCAGCAGGATTTCCGAGTCATTCAATATCGTTAGGAATCCAAACGTGTCTGGGTGCTGTTCATCCTTGGGCGGAGCGCTTTTGACGCGCAGGTACGTTTGGATCATGGGGGAGGGAGCGTGAACTGGTGCTCTGCTGAAGTGAGACAGAGGCCCACCGAGCGGTGCGAGCCCCAACGAGTTCCTGCGAGCGTTAGCGAGGGGGAACGAGGCAGGGCGAGGAGGAAGGCGTCGTTAAATGGTTTGCCGCAGCTCATTCTATCGTGTTCCTCCTCGCCCTCCCTCGCTACCGCTCGGTACCGCTCGGTACCGCTCGCAGGGGCTCGCTGGGGCCCGGTGGAGCTCCCTCGCCCCACCTCGCTAGCGCTCAGTGGGGCTCAGTGGGGCTCGGTCTGACGAACGCGCTTTCGCTTGTTCGTTAGGGCTCGTTCGCTAGGCCTCCACAACCTTAAGCCAAAGGCGGGGCTTCGGGAGGAGACGATGCAGGCGGGGTGAGAAAACTGAGGGACGCTGGCACGTGCTGGGCGTCGAACGGTTGCCAGCGTCATGGGAACACGCGCGTGCTCCCATGTGCGTGCGGGAAAAAAACGCAATGCCGACGGCGCAAGGGGCCAGCTGCAGCTCTGCCGTTCAGGGTTGCAAGAGTCTCGACTGGATCCGACTGGACTCGACTCGTCTATCCCGTCCATCCAGCGTCAGTCAGCTTAAACACTCCCCACGCACGCGCGCACGAAGATCGATAGGCGGGTGTGTGCGAGAGACTATGTGCGGGGAGCATGGGGGATGCTTAGCTAAGCTACGTTGGGCTGAACGGAGAGCGACGGGGCACAGCCCGGGCACCGCGTGTCGGTAACACCCTCAGCACCGGTGCTCCGCGGAACATCGGAGAGCGGTTGTGCCGTCGAAAAACAGTGAACACGAGCGAAGCCAGATTCCGGAGGCGCAGCTGGACCCATGTGCTCAAAAGCCGCGGCTTTAGGCATTGCGTGGGGACGCTCGAGTGCACAAGATACCGCGTCTCTGTGCGACACCGTGCGGTTCGATGCGTGTTAAATAGCGACGGGCCACGTCATCGCGCAAGGGTAGCCGCGAACCATGTAACCTTAATTCTAAAAAGGGGCCTTATCGATCGCGCCATCGGCTAGCGAGCGGAGCGGTGAATGGTCCGCACTTGTTGGGGCTGGGGAACGAGCGAGCGTGGGGCATGACGAGGGCGAAACGTGACTAAAACAGCCGACAAGGATGTCACGTGAAGATACGATGACAGCGAATGATGTGTGTGGAAAAGGGGATGGCCGAGCGGTAACAAGCACGTGCTAGGGGTAACAGTGCATAATCGGCTGCGGGAAGGGGAGAAAGCGGGGGAAGAGGGTGGTGCGAAGACGGGTCCAGGAGGCATCCAAGGTCGGCCGCGCCGACCTTGGATGCTTAGGAGCGTAAAGTCTCGTGCTCCCAGTTTAGAGGCGGTTGCCTGCTGGGACCGCCTGGCCAGAGCGTTAAGAGCGCAGAGAATGCCGACGGTGTGTGCTCCGATACGCTTTCGCAGCCGTCACACCACCGTCATGTGCCGCGGGAGCCCAGCGCCAGGCCAGGCAGAAGTCGCCGGCGGTGGATGGCCGGAGAGAGCCATCGATGCAGAGATGAGCGGGCCGGGCGAACCATTGGACCCAGGTGTGCTCGAGCAGAGACCGGGACCGCCCTGTGCATACGTGTGGATGACGCAGGGCTCTGGAAAGCACATGCAAAAGTTACCGAATTGCCAAACACACGTTTCCCCGCTCTTGCGCAACGTCGCGGTCGCAGTCGAGCGGCGAAACGCCCCCTCGGAGAAGCTGGATAAGCAGCAAATTGTGCTCCTTCATTGGACCCATATATGGCGAAACGATCTCCTCGGACCAATAGCCATGGTGGCGCTATGCCTCGCATGAACAAGCTTCGGTAGCGGGGCATATACTAGCGAAGCGAAAATGCCGCGTGTGGGAAACGCGTCTAGACGCATCCCATGGCGTGAAGGGCTATTTGCGATTGGTCGAGACAAACGAAACAGCGAAGACACATGCGTTGATCATTGCGTCAGCTGTGCCGAAGCCGAATGGGCCATGGTCGCGAAGGTGTGTGCGTGCTTGCGGCTACAAAGACCGTCGCGGCGGCGTGTGGCGAACGACGACACGTCCTCAGGGTCCACGTCGCTAAGCGAGCGAGCGTCCAGGACCGCCCGACATCGCCCGACCCTCATTGGTCAGCTGTTCGCCTGCTTTCGTCGCGTGCGCTCGCGACGCGCACGCGGCGATTGGTGCGCGCCTGCGCTTGCGCCCACGCTGACCCGCCTCGTCTCGCTGGTATCGCCGGCACTGTTCGCTTCGGCAACATTGCCATGCACAGATGTGACGTCATCGGCTAAACATCACATTCCTGGTTGAGCCAGCACGCTGATCTGTGTTATCAACGCGCTCTGACGCGTTGCTGCGAGTCCCCTGGCATCGCATAAAGGCGGTGCGTGTCCCGTCCAGACCGCGATCCTCTCTTCGCTTGTCAGCGCGCGCGAGCTTTTTCATCGCTTGCACCGGTTTCCAAGGCAAAACACAAGACCATCTCGAGTCGTGCAGCGTCTCGTATCTAATCTGCACCGACGCCGTCTGCTGCTCTGAGACTATATAAGAGTCGCACAAACTCGCGACATAACGTAACCCAGCGTAACCCAACGAGCCCGTTCCCCATTCCCCGTTGCACTGCGGCCCGCCCCCGTGCAGCTCACTAACTCTCGCTGGTGCTTGCAAGAGTCCGTTGCGCTTCGCTATCCGCAGCCCTCCTTGCTCCTCGCCATTCTGCCTCCTCCCTCGCAGCCCCCACTCCCAGGCTCTTTGCCCGCGCCGTCCCCTGCGCCTGTGCATGCTTGCTCTACCCCCACCCACCACCGACGATCGCTCCGCCAGCTTAGCCTTTGCAGCAGCGCTCGCCCGCGTCTGCGTCTGCCTCCGTCACCCCCACCATCCCCACACGGTCTGTCTCTCGCGCATCCCACACGCCCCCCGTTGCGCCCACGCATCACTCCACCATGTATCCCACCTCCTACGGTCTCGCGCCCCCGCGCGACGGCGCTGATGCTGCTGGCGGCCAGCGCCAACAACAACAACAGCAGCAGGCCCGCGCCATGGGCCCTGTAGGACTGGCGCACCCTGCCGCCCAGGGTGCACACTCGGGGCCCCAGGGTCCTCCTGTCGCCTCCACCTCGCCACGCTCCACCGCTCTTGCGGCCGCCACTTCCCTCGCCCCCACTCCCCCCTCCTCCACCGCTCTCCACCACCACCAACACCAACACCACTTGGGCGCCCACACCACTGCCGCCGTCAACCTCCTCCGAACCAGCAGCGGCAACGTCTCCGGTGTCAGCCCAATCCTCAACCACAGCATCCTTGCTTCCCCCAGGAACTCGTTTTCCCACCCAAACACTCTTCCTCCGCCGCTTCCCATGGCCCAGCCGCTGCAGCACGCCGCCTCCCTTGGCGGCAGCAGCCCGCCCGCCGCCTCGCTTCAGCAGCAGCAGCAGCAGCATTCACAACACTCTCAGCAGCAAGCTTCGTTCTCCACAGGCGCCGTCTCTCTCCCAGGCCTCCCCACACATCCCCAGCTCACCGCCCAGCGGTCCTCCCCCTTTCCTCCCTCCACACTGCTTCCTCCCCGACTGTCCCCGTCCTCTTCCGCTGCTGCTGCTCCTCCGCCGGGCGTCCCTGGCCCGGCGCTGCCCCTGCCCTTGCTCTCGTCGCCGTCCGCCTACGCCCCATCCCCGCACTCTGCGGCCCCGCCGGGCGCTCCTCCACACTCTGGCACTCCGACCCCTGCCCCGCACGGAGCCGGCCCCACGTTTCAGCTGCCCCGCTTCCTCTCGGCCACCCCTATGCCAACCACAAACGGCATGCTCCCCATCCCCGAGACCACGGCCGGCCTGGCCCCGCCCCCGTCCGTCCTCGGCTTTCCTCCCCTACAGGGTCCTCCAGTGCACGCTGCGGACGGGACTCCGCTCTCGATGTCCTCGGTGCAGCAGCCAGGCGCCGCTTCGGCCGCCTCGTCGGCGGCCGCTGCGGTTGCCTCGTCGCCCTCGCTGCACCCGGTGCCCGTCATGACGGCTCCCCCGCAGCCCAAGCGGCAGGCTCGCAAGCGGACGAAGACCGGCTGTCTGACCTGCCGCAAGCGCCGCATCAAGTGTGACGAGAAGAAGCCCGTCTGTTACAACTGCATTAAATCGAAACGCCAATGCGAGGGCTACACCCACGTCCTGCGCTCCTCCGGCGTCGTCGATGCCACACGCAAAATTCCTATTTCCAGCCTGCTCTCGGAGCCGGCCCCGCACGGCATGGCCGGCCATCCGACGCATCCTACATTCCTTTACTACATGCAGTCGGTTGCGCCGTCGCTGTGTCTGTGGGACTTCAGCTACTTCCCGGTCGGCAGCCCAGACGCTTCCTTCAGCTCCATCTACTGGTCCTCCACCGTCCCCGAGCTCGCCCTTCGGAATTCCACCATTGGCGTCGCCCTGTACGCCTTCGCCAGCGCCAAGAGGCGGCTGCCCGCGGATGCGGTCGCCTTCGCCCGACAGGCACGCGTTACTCTCGACAAAATCACCACAACCGAGAGCCTGCTCGTGCTCGTCCTGCTCGCCGTCACCCAGCTCTACCTTCCCGACCCCGACGTCGAGGTGTTCAACTTCGCCGTGGACCAGGTGCTGTGGTTCGATGCCGCCGGTCTCACTAGCTCCAGCGACGAGCTGATCACGTACCTTCTGCGACGGATGTTCATTCGGCAGGTCGTGCTGGCCGGGATCGTCATGCCTCTCGCCAACGGCATGAATCCGCTGCCGCTGCTCAATTGTGAGCTGCCTCCGCCCGTCAGCACCACGGCCGTTCTCGCCGACTCGCTCTTCAGCATGGGGCTCCGTTCCCTGTGCATGGACCCGACGTTCGACAAGAACAGCTTCTTCGACTGGTCCTCCCGCTGCCCCGTCGATCCCACCGACCTTGCTCGGCTCTCGCTGCTCATGATCCACTCGGTGTTCGTCGCTCCCGACAGCATCTCGCGCTGGGTCGAGATTATCCTCCAGCATCCCGACCCGTCGCCCGCCATTCATATTGCCCGTGCGTGTCTGCTCGCGGTGAAGCAAAGCACCGATCTGGCCGAGCTCCGGCTCAAGGTCGAGCAATGTGTACAGTCGTGTGAAGCCCGCCAGCTGCAACTCAACCTCTCGTCCTTTTCTCAAAACGGCTATTCTGGCGCTCCCGCCCCACCCAGTACAGGCCCAACTTCTAATGGTGATGCGAACAACTCTAGTTCAGCAACGGGAGACAACGGCGGCAATGCCGCCGGTAATAGTGGTTCTTCAACCGTCGCCGCCATCGGTTGCCAATAACGCTGGCACTGGCCGTTGCTTCGGCGGCCGTCTCGTTTGCAGCATCGAGAAGCCCTCTCATTACACTCCCCGTTACTCACTCGCTTACACGCTGGATCTGTTTGTCTGCTAAGACGTTGGCTGTCTCCCACACACACATGCGCGTCTAGCAACGAACATCGGGCCTTTGGTTTATGTTCCCTGCCCTCTTTTTTCGTCTCTTGGTACACTTGCTATTGGCACCTTTGTCTTGTCTTTTTCCCTTTTTCTTTACTTCTTCTTGTCTTTACTCTTTCTTCTTCTTTTCTTTCTTCTCGTCCTTGTTTATCACTCCGCGAAAAAGTGTGCTCTCTCAAGTTGTTTCCCTCTTCAGCTGTTGATGTTTATGTTGGTCTATGTGGTTCTCTTTTTTCCTTTATCTTCGTTTTCTCCGATCCTCCGTATTGAAACATGCCAGCAGTATATTTTTTTCTCCCACTCTCTTTTTTCTTCTCTTGTTCGATGCGAGTTGTGATCGGTGGTCAGGCGAATTGTCTGCTTGGTTGCTGCTTCCCGTTTGCAACTTTGTCCAAGTCTTTCTCGTTTACATACATACACTCGTGCGCACCCGCGTATTGTCGCATACTTATTATGAAGACTTGCTGCAATTGCGGCCAGGTTTTTGCCCGGATTGCAGCTTCGCCTTCGTGCAGGAGAAGTTGTTAAGAGTTAACGACCCTGTTTAATCAGCGCGCCGTCTGATCGAATAGGCGTGTTGTTTTTCGCTCTGCTGTAGCGCAATGTATAGGAATGGTTTCGAAAGAGGTTTGTGAGCAAAATGTGTCAACGACTCGTGAGCAACGTCGACAATTCATGGACGTGCCGTTTTTTGTAATATCGTGCTCACTGTTTATAGGCGTAATGGATTGCTTCGCGCTGCTCTTCAGAGATTTCTGGGTTTCCGTGGAATAGCATTTGTAAATAAAATTATATAGAGTTTCCCAAAGGTCGGCTAAGCGGTCATGTGACAGTAGCTTAAGCCCTGGTCACATGATCACCACCATCGCTTAGGTAAACCTTGTTTTGGTGCCACGTTGCTGTCGACTTTCTGCTACCGTCAACGGACAGTGTACGCTGTAATTTACTGCTTCCCAAAATGAGGATTGTCCAGCCGCTGTGGATCCCAAAGGACACGCTCAACGCGGTCTCACACGCTGGTGAGTTGCTGGCCGTGGCGGGTGACGCTGGTGTGGACATTTGGTCGACTCGTTTTGTTGACGATGCCCAGACACCGACAACGACGAATGTCGAGACTAAAGAGCGTTATCTCATAACGCGGATGACTTATGGAGCTGCGGTGTATTGTGTCCGCTTCTCTCCAGACTCCAAATGGCTTGCAGTAGCCACGGGAACCTCTACTTATATATACAAAAACAACCAATGGACCGAGCCGGTACAGATTCTCCCTTATCCCGCCCTAGACATTGCATGGAACCGGCTAAGCCGTGTCTTAGCCATCGGAATGAAGACTATCCACGTATTTTTGCTGCTACAGGAGGAGGATCCAGATGTTGCCGGAACCGACGCAAAGCCTCCGGTCAATGTGCCTCAAAATGCAGCTGAAAAACCGGCTGTCGAGCCTTCACGGGAACTCAAGGAACAACACTCGGTTGCCTCGGTGGTCGCCGTTTCCGAGGGACCACATTCTGATCGTCCGTTCGTGCATGTGAAGGAAATAACCGGGCATCAATCGTTTGTGTGTGGCCTCACGTTTGACCCTATTGGTCTGTATCTGGCCTCGCAGAGTCACGATAGAACACTGAAAATATGGAAGCTGTCAACTTTTGGTTTGGAGAAATCAATTGCGAAGCCCTTTGAGGACATGACGCTTGCGTCTCGTTTTCTTCGGCTGTCTTGGTCACCGGATGGTGCCCACATCGCTTCTGTGAACGCTGTGAATGGCCTTTCGAATGTCATTGCCATCGTTCAGCGCGATTCTTGGTCGTTTGATATTAACCTCGTTGGACATCAAGGTGCCATTGAATGTGCTGCGTTCAATCCCCATCTTTTCAACTGCCCTTTCAAAAGTCCGTCATTGCCAGCTGTTCGCACGATGGCACGCTTTGCATATGGGAGACCTCGCGAGCCCACCCAGCAATTGTGTTTCACGGATTATCCATACAGTCTGTGTCCGACATGCAGTGGGATTCTGCTGGTTTACGTCTTTTCGCCTCAACCTTTGAAGGCAATGTATTTGTTTTTGTATTCGAGGAGGATGAATTCGGTCCTCGAATGCAACTCCCTGAAATGCCCGAGCAGCCCTTTCCTGTTCCCCCGCCTGTTGTGCATTCGGCTGAAAAAGAAACAGTTCCTCCTGTGACTTCTAAACCGTTGCCAGTTACTGCTAAAACTACCGCATCCTTAGACCCCTCAACCGAACTTCCCTCACCTCACGTTGATACCTCACATCTTCCATTGAAACGACTTAAACGGGATACAAATCAAACTCACTCGCAGCCTGTACATGCTACTGTTGCTGAAACAAACGCTCAGATACGTCTCGCTCGTCCGTGTGTTCGTCCTCACTGGACCCTGCCGGCCGGCATTAATGGAATTTATCTTGCCTTGCATAATTACGAAAAGTTTTCATGTTTTGAAGTGCGGACAGATGACGGAAACTCATCTTTCGCTTTAGCCTCCTCGTCGTGGAAAAGTTATTTGCCGAGCTCAATTGTTCTGGCGCGTGCTTCTAAAAAATGCATTTCTTTGGCATGCGAAGATGGCGTCGTGCATATTTATTCGCCAAATGGTAGACGGTTGCTTCCTCCGCTGACTTTGGCTTCAGTTGCCTGCTGGCTCGAATGCGAAAATGAATTTGTTCTATGCATCACCAGCACCGGTCTGCTTTATGTATGGAATGTTGATACCCGTCGTGCGGTACATCCGCCGGTTGCGCTTCATCCTCTGTTTCATGTTAACGCTCATGTCGGTGAGGTGAAGCGTGCAGCCTCTATTATGCACGTCTTTGTTACGGCGTCCGGAAATGCGGTCGTCGTTCTCAGCGACGGCAACTGTTTCTCTTACGACGCTTCCATGCAGACTTGGATCCGCGTCAGTGAAGGCTGGTGGATGATTGGAAGTCAATATTGGGACACGCCTTTTGCTACGGATGCTTTATCATTCTTGGAGCGCTGTACAGATGATGAGATTATGAAACAAGGACGAGGACGGTTTTTACAGCGTGTTGTCAAAGCTTCAATGCTCCGGCAAGGTTACGAAAACTACGAAACGGTTGTTAGTGTACGACACTTGGAAAGTCGTATGGCTAGTGCGGCCAGCAATGCTTTTGCCAAAAGTTATCACGATGCTTTGATACTGTATGCGAAGCGTATAGCCGAAGAGGGCATGAAGGAGAAACTGGAAGAGCTGTGTCGGGAATTGATGGGACCACCCGGTCTTCGTCGTGCCGATGAAGTCGCCGTACAGCTGGGAACTCGCGTTTGGGAACCGACTGTGGCTTCTCTTCGTAAACGCGACCTTCTTCGGGAAGTATTAATGGCCGTTGGACGACAGCGCGAAGTACAGCGCATCACATCTCAATATGTTGAGCTTTTGGACAATCTCGAAAAATCTTAAAAAAACCCGCGACACACCGCTCCGATGGAAATTCACCGTTTTCAATGCAGACACTTCTTCTGCTCCTCTTCTCATTTCTGTTTGTTTATTCAATACCGCGGAACAAGCACGCTTCTTCCGGTTCGTCTTTAGGACCCTGTTGCATCCTTAACCCGAATCTGCGGGGGGACTGCGGAGCCCCGCGTTTCGCTTAACCTCCTATTCGGCCCGCTGACGTTCTACTTACCACCGCCCTTCCATCACCACCAACACAACTCCACCAAATCTCTAGCCCTGCCGTCTCGTTTTTCCATTTATCAAGGGCCAAGCTCGTCTCTTAAGCAGTAGCAGCAAAGATGTCGAGTAGGCTTCAACAATTCGCTCTTTATGGCGCTGGTATTGCGCTGTTATTTAATCCCTGGTGCCTGCAACTTGTCTCTGCACTGGGAGTCTCGCTACTGGCGTATGTTTCAACGGTTACGTTAATTCCTCGAGTTGGGGATGCCTTTATTCGCCGAGGTTTCTCTGGAAAAGACATGAACAAGGCGGAGAAGAAGATCATTCCTGAAACTATGGGTGTAGTGTGTGCTCTGGTGTACTTTATCTGCATGATTGTGTTCATTCCGTTTTTGTTCTACAAGTATCTAGTTCCGAATGGAGTGAAACCAACCTCAGAAGTGGGTTGGATGAATAGAGAACGCGCAATTGCGTCTCACTTTCCTCACAATCACCTAGTGGAGTACTTGGCGGCTCTTCTTTCTATTCTTTCCATCTCTCTTCTCGGTATTTTAGATGATTTGTTCGACATTCGTTGGCGTCACAAATTCTTTTTGCCCGCTATCGCTGCCATTCCTCTTCTCGTTGTGTACTATGTTGATTGCGACAAGACGTATGTGTCTGTGCCTACGGTCCTGCGACCCTTCCTCTCGCGATCTATCGTGGATTTGGGCGTCTTGTATTATATGTACATGGCTGCTGTCGCAATTTTCTGTCCTAACAGCATCAACATCATTGCCGGCATCAACGGCGTGGAAGCGGGACAATCGCTCGTTCTCGCTATTATGGTTTGTTTGAACGATGTACTGTTCCTCGTGCGTCCCGGAACGACCACGGATGCTATTCACTTGCATCTTCTGTCGTTGTATCTTCTTCTTCCCCTCGTTGCCGTCACTCTCGGTCTGCTTAAATATAACTGGTGGCCCTCTCGCGTTTTTGTCGGCGACACGTACTGCTACTTTGCCGGGATGGTTCTTGCCGTGGCCGGCATATTGGGTCATTTCTCCAAAACGCTTTTACTCTTCTTCCTTCCTCAAATCTTTAACTTTGTTCTCTCTATTCCTCAGTTGTTCGGCCTTGTGCCCTGCCCTCGTCACCGGTTGCCTCGCTTCAATCCCGAAACCGGTCTACTCCAGAATTCGTATGTCGACTTCACCGATACACCCAACCTTCCTAAGAAAACCAAACTTTCCATTCTTTTATTCGAACGGTTACGTCTCATCAAAGTTGAGTATGAACCCAAAACTGGTCGCATCTTGCGTTGCACCAACTTTACCATCATTAACTTTCTACTCGCCCATCTGGGCACTATGCGTGAAGACCATCTTACCATGGTGGTAATGGCACTCCAGTTTGGTGTCGGCGTTTTTGCGCTGTTCTTCCGTCACGTTTTGGCACCCATTGCTTACCGTAATGACAATCTTTAATAAATACATTTTTTGATTTGCAGAAGGTTCTTCCTGTGCAATGACTTTACTTACTCACCCTATACACTTAATGTTTCCATTCCTCCTACCATTTCCTTCACTCGTATTGCTAGTAATCTTTACTCGCTTAATATTAAAGTTTTTCCTGCACGAATTTACCCGAAATAACGTGCGCACCTTAAGAGGGAGCGGTCATGTGTTTTGTGACTGTTTCTTGCGTCATGCGTGACTGCTGATTAGTGGCCAGTTCTGCACTTGGAATGGGTATAAATACGGGAGGCCGCACTCACCGTTCTTCACTTACCTGGCACGGGTCTTTGCAGCTCAAGAAGTGTGAAGACTCGACTGTTCGTCTTGGCATTGCACTTAGCCCTGATGTGCAGTCGTAGACTGGCTACGGTCAGATCTGGGTGCATCATTTTTGAGTTCGTCCTTTCGGGGGCTTCTTCCTTGACCTTTCCGATATGGTTGGTTGGGACAAAGAAGTTGTTTCCTGGGACAGTCTTCAAGCGCTTCGTTGAGCCTTGTAACCGATGTATGTTGTGGCGGTCATCGTGTGGTGTGCGTGACTGTGTCCTTTTGTTGTACGTCTCTTGTCTGTTTTCCTCTCCTTTCCCAACTACGAAAGATGGAGGACGATGAATGCCCTGAGCTTGTGTTTTCCGATGAGCTCGAAGGGGCTGAATTGGACAAGAAGGATAAAGCTGTCTCGTCGCGCGTGCCTATAACCCTGCTTGCGGGGTTTCTGGGTTCGGGAAAAACGAGTTTACTAAAGGATATTTTAGTTAACGGTAAAGGCCGCAAGATTGCAGTGCTCATGAATGAGGTCGGTGAGACGGGAGAGTTGGAGCGTTCTCTCATGTCTGACTTGGGCGGCGAAGAATTGTATGATGAGTGGATTAACCTCGCTAACGGCTGCATGTGCTGCACGGTCAAGGACAATGGCGTCCTTGCGCTGGAGAAGATTTTGTCACAGAAGGGACGCTTTGATAATATCGTAATTGAAGCGAGCGGTGTGGCCGATCCGGGTGCTTTGACAAAGTCGTTTTGGATAGACGAGGCACTGGGTGCTTCTGTTTGTTTGGACGGTGTTGTCACGGTTGTTGATGCTACTAACTTAGACGCTGTGCTTCGCGACGAGCAGAGTTTGGGTGTAGCCCAGATTGCTCAAGCGGACTACGTTGTTTTAAACAAAGTCGACCTGGTCACTCATGAACGGCTCGAGCGGTGCCGTCAAGTGCTTCGTGGTATTAATGCCGTTGCCATTGTCGAGGAGACGACTTTTGGTCATGTTCACGATGTTGGGAAGCTTCTTGATCTCCAGGCGTACGAGTCAGAGTCCTCGTTAACAAATTTGAGTTCATGGACGAGTACGCTTGTTTCTAATAAGTCTTGTCATCATCATCAGGACGAGTCAACTGAACACGATTGTGAAGAGAAACTTCATGAACACCATCACGGTCATGGACAGATTACCACTCGCACCATCCCGTTACCATCCTCCATGTCCCTAGATCAATTAGACAAATGGGAGGATTGGATTCGGTCTATTCTCTGGCGCCCTTTAGATGATGATTACGACGAGACGGCGAAAGATGCTGTGCTCGTATACCGCTCGAAGGCAATATTTCGCATGGACGATCAAACTTGTCGAGTATTGCAGGGAGTTCGCGATGTGTATGAAATTGTTCAACCTTCCGTCACCCCAACTGATGAATTTACTTTGCTACAGCCCAATCTTGTATTTATTGGGAAGAATGTCGAATTCCTCAGCGTTCCTGAGGAGCTGCTTCGGAGCAGCTAGTTGGGTCCATTGACAAGGCTTTCAGTTACCTTTTTTTTCCGGCCCTCCTTTTCGTCTTCATTTCGTCTTACTACAAATTGTCTATTGAAAAGAAAACTAGCAACATATATATATTTATATATTAGAACGGTTAAAAATAGTCGGGCTAGCGAAAAGAAAAAAACGAGTTTGGATGTTATTCCCAAGAAGATGGACCAAAGAATTCACCAGCCGTTGCGTTCACCACCTTTCTTATGGCTTCGCCATTGGCATCCATAGTGTTCAGTGCTCCGGTGGTACCCCACCAGCTTGGAAAGTCTATTTTTTGAAGTTGCAAGCAGAAGAAAATGATAATGACACCGATTTGGGTTCCAGTGTCCAGGCCTGCGGAAAGATTGAAGTTGTACTTGGTCCACCAGTCGGCAAACCGTCTACGGATGTAATGATTAAAGAACAAGCCGACACCACACCAGGAGTAGTAGTTCGTTGGGGTTGCAGGAGGAATGTATCCGGTACCGCCGAAGAACAAGGGTGCGTTTAATTTTCCAATAAGCGCGTTCGGCCATTTTCTGTGAAGGGCCCAGAACAGAATGGTAACTACTACTCCGATAAGCCAGAACCATTGAAGGCCGGTGTACAGACTCTTTCCAGAGAACATTCTCTTCGGTCCAATAACACCCCATACGACGCTTGAGTTGAAGAAGACGGTTGCACCAGGACACGTATAGTTATCTGCTTGTCCTTTCTTACAGACACCATCAATGTTTGTGAGAGCCCAGTCAAGCACGCCAATTTGAACGAAGCAAGACCAGATGGTTGCAACTGTCTGGGTCCAAAACATTGTTTTCGGAGGCAGCTTCATGTAATGGCCGAACTTCAAATCGCCAACGAAGCCCAAACCCTGGGCCATGGTAATGTATGTGACAGTCTTGAAAATCATCATAGCCAATGGATGGCCAGGGTACATGTAACCTACGATGAATTCAGCAAATACATTCAAACCGATCTGGATGTTGGTCACTGCTTGGACGATACCGATAGGTAAGAACCAAATGAGGGCCAAGATAAGACCAATGATGACGACCCAAGCGGGCGTTTCTGTGTCCCAACCATAACAGACGCCCAGCATCAAGCCAAAAAAGATCACGAACAGTGACAGATACCACCAGTCGGGGACTTCCTCGTATTGTTGCATGAGCTTTTCATGGATGTCAGGCTTGGACTTTTGCTTGAAACGGTCCCAAATGTCTTTTCCGTTATACAACAAAACATGCGTGATGACTGCAGAGATGGAGGCAAAGGAAAGACCAAAAGACAGTGCGTATGTGGTGGACAAAAACAGTGGAGAGTAAGTGCGGTATGCATCGGGGTCAAAGCGCTTGTCAGCAGTGAGGATTCGTGTAACATTGTACGAATTACCCTGGTTATCCATAATACCCGAAGAACTGATTGGTAGATACTCCGAATACCATTTGTTGCTGTAATGAATTCCGCAAGTGACAATCCAGAAAAAGAAAGCTGTACCGATGAGGATGTTTGTAAGAGCATCGGTAGGACAAACAAGTGGTGATCCCATGTATGAACTGACTTGGTTCCAGTCAAATGTCATTGGCAGCAATGAAACACCCGTTGTTTCACCAAACAATTGATTGACCACTGGGCTATTCGGCCGAAGCCAAGTGACCCAGGCGAACAGCGAAAGCGCAGGGAAGATGTACGAGGGGAACCAATTCCAGACGAATGCGCCGATCATAACGAAGAAGAAAAACAAGAAGGGACGAATACGCCAGCCATTGGCTACCTTCTTGCTGTCGTTGTGGTGCAACGTCTTAATCATAGTACACTGAACCAGATTTCCAGGCCAGATCATACTCGCTGGACGCACAAGGAAGCGACGAGAGAGACCAGCAAGACCATAACCAATTAATTGAGTTGCCAATGTCAGACAAATTTCGTAACCGAATCCAAAGTTTTGCCCGTAGCGAACACGTTGCGCGAGAATAATATCGGTAGAATAAGCGTTACCAAATGAGACATTGGCCATGACGACGATAAGAGCATGTTCCTTCAAATTGAATGGACCAGGTTTAAGGTTAAAGCGGAAGCGACCGATGCGCCATTCACGGTCGGGGAAGATTAGATCCCATAATTGCAAAGCAGGATAAGAAAGAAGCTCAGCAATAAGTACAGAGATATACACAGTTGGGTTACGAAGGGAAAAGAATAAGTTGACACCAGCACCAATGGTCGAGAACAACAGTCCAACGACCCACATACGAATGGTATTGCAAGGCAAATGGATGTCATCAGTCGGATCGACACAGGCACGAACTTCGGCGTAGGGAGAGTCCTCTTGACCCTTTTCATTAACATAAATATCGTCTTCAACAGAGCCTTCAGAAATATGACCATCACTATGTTCACCCACCTTTACAGCGTGAACAAATCCACCCTTCTTCTCATCCACCTTTGTGTCAGAGACCGGGGAGAATTCAGAAGAGTCAACAGCATTTGAAGTCTGGGTGCCAATGGGATGGATATCGTCGTCCGAGTAATCCAACTCAATTGGTTTTTCATTGACTGTAGTCGGCGAATTGGGCTTCATTTTCATGAATTATAGAAGCAAAATTGGAAAAACAGAGAAGAAATTAAAATAAGGGAACCAACGAAGACGTCGTAATCTTCAAGTTCCGAAACTCAATAAAAGGGTATTGTTGAAACTAAAAAAAGTCGGATATTAGACTTGAACAAAAAAATGAATGGCGATAATTCCAGAATGGGAGAACTGAAAAAGGACTGAAAGAGCTTTGCTGAATCCTAAAATAAGGTAGAAAATTACGGCAGTTAGGAATCAGGAAATATTGTTGAGAAACTCGAGAAGCAATCGAGAAAACTGCTAACAAAAAACAAGTAAAACAATTAAATGTGTTGAAGACAACACTGGAGAAGTAGAAGCTTGTAGTAACGAATTTGTAAAAGGAGAAACACAAAAACGAAGAGACCGGTAAAGGAAAAGGAAAGACGCGGAAATTAAGAAACGAAATGAAAAGAAAGAATTAAGAAGAACAAAAAGTTCTTTAAAGGGGAAACACTCTATGCAGGAAGAACGATTCCGTGATTGAATAAATGTGAGAACAATGTCTCGTTAACGAAGATAGAACAGTAAATGTTTATGTATTTCACGCGACACACGCGACTCGGTAAACCACAGGATGGCACAAATAAAGTTGGGAAGCCGACTGTAGCGAGCACGTTTTGCTGAGCTTAATTGGATATGGAATGTTGCGAAAACGTGGCGGTTACCCGATTTTATACTCGCTTTCGTTGACCATTGACGTCAATATCTGAACGCATGTGGAGTTCGTAATCTGGGGTTATCTACTCGAGTCAGAGCCGGATATCCCCCGGTACGGTTATCCACGTGTGTATCAGAAATTGGCCTCGTGCCAACTGAAAAATAACGTGGAAGCTTACTCCGAAACTCCATAATCTCATCGATCGGATGGAAACATTAAGTTCACAGTCAATTCTACTGGAGGAAGCGCCTAAAAGTTCAGTAAAAGAACGAATTCAACATTACAACGGCAAGGATACCGGATCTGTTTTGTTTGCACCTGAAACTAGCGACATTGAGGGGAATTCCCCCGAGGGGACTTTTCGGCAATGACATATGAGCACTCAAGCCGCCGCTCCTGAGTTATCTATCTCTCTCGCTAAAAAATCAGCACACAAAGAAACAAAGAATTCGAGAAAAAAGGGTTGTTTATTTAGAAAGAATGAATATCATCAACTTTACTAAGTGTTTGTTACTATTTCTCTGACGCTTCCCTTTGTTGTTTGTGAGAAGTCGGCACGTGAATCGCAATGCGATAAGCGAACGCATGTGCTTTGTCGCTTAATTTATGATTGGTTGGTTTTTTGGACGCATGCTAGCGCTAAGTGTGGTGCCGGATTGCAGAGAAATGAGCACATAGAAGGCTTTGTAATACAAGATACACGGGCAAAGCAGCCAACAGTTAGTCTTGAAGGGGCAATCAAGCGTTGCATGTCCCCTTTGTGGTCCGATAATGGCGTATACTTTTATTTCTTTTTTTCTATCGCTTTGATTTTCATTTACTTACTGAGTTGGCGCCATCGGCCGCCAAGTTAATTCCTCGGCTTCGGTTTTCGGCGGCGTTCACCGAGGAATTACAATATAGACCGACACCAAAACGTGTTTTGCACGTTTTGTCTCGTTGATCGGCATCAAGAGGAAACAGAAAGCGGAGTGCGAGGAGAAAGGAAATGGGTTTCTTGACTGTTTATCTCATGGAGTGTTTAGTGCTAGCGCCGGATACGGAAAGAGTTCGAATGGGATGGACCAAAGTCTGATAGATGGGATTGCGAATGATCTGACATTGAGAGAGGCGAAGGAAGGCAGTGTAGAAACAAAAGTACAATAAAATTGCAAAGAGAAAGTAGTGTTAGATAAGAAGATGAGAAGAAGAAGTCGACGGAGTAAGAAGGCGAAGTAAAAAAAGGGATTGTAGAAGAAACAGGATGGCGAACAAATGTATGACGGGAAGGTATGATATCTACGATAACTTAAGCTAAAGAATTGCAATCGGTGAATAATGAAGAAGAATAAATTCCTCGTTAAATGAGTGATGGGCGTGTATAAGAATTACAAGTAAATTGATCCAATTAATTTAAAAAAAAAGAAACCGTTCCCCGTTGCGATGAAGACACAATGTGGTAATTGAGGGGAAGGAGCACATAGTAGTAATTTAATAATCAGGAAAAAATTTATTTTAATATTGATTAAGTTAGAAACGAAAAATGGAGACAAATATTAAAAAATATAAAAAACTAAAATTAAATAAATAAAAATAAATAAATAAATATGGAAAGTATAACAGAGATAGCAGCAATATTATAACAGACTTCTTAAATCAGATTAGGTAAATAGAATAGAAAGAACTACTTTATGTCATAAAATTACAAGTATAGAGTACTATAAAAAATCATAAAAAACCATGCACTCGTGCAAACATAAATTTAAATTATACAAAAAAACCTAGGGATTCAAAATTGAATGAATTAATAGATAATTTTAATTACTAACAAGCACGAAATGAATAAACATCACCCATCCATAGGCGAGAGAATACATTTTTTTTTTCAGGAAACCACCTAAACATCTCATATCGAGTACATTCGCTTGTAGCTCCTCTTCAAATCAAAATCTACACTGGAACAGTAAACCTCGATCTGCAAAAGGACCCTTTGATATATGCGAGACGTTTAGGGAAAAGCGTGGAGAAAAACACACATTTCCTTGATAACTCGCAAAACTAAAACTAAATAAAATGCACAACCAAACCACCCCTCTCCACACTCTCACAACCGCAGAACCTCCCATTGCGCTTCCGCACCTTCAATCACATTCATTAGACCCGACGGGATGAATCACGGTTCGATTGAACAAGTCTCGATTTTGTTTACTCAACCTTGCCACCCTTGCGAACGATCAAGGCCTTGCGATCCTTGTCAAGATGAAGCTTGGAGATGACGACCTTGGAGGCATCGACACCGACAGGGACGGTGGCACCGTTGGCCTTCTCGCGAGTGACACGCTCGATTTGGAGAATCCACTTCTTACGGTAGACGGAAGAGACCTTGCCCTCACGACCCTTGTTGGAACCACGGACAATGGTAACTTGGTCCTCACGGCGAATGGGAAGAGAACGGATCTTGTATTGCTCTCTGAGTTCCTTGGAAAGAGGAGCAGACATCAAGGTGCGGCGAACAGAGGAAGGAGCCGCAAAGTGGGCCTTTCTCTGCTTGCGACGAGAGCTGGTAACATCCCTGGAGAACTTCATCGTGTGTCGTGGATCTGGTAGACACAACAGCAGAAACAATTTGAGGTTTGGTTGTGCGTGACTGCGAATAGTCACATAGGGTAGGGTTGCCTGGTTTTCGAAAGGAGGACCCTGTCCTTCACACAACACTTACACTTTTTTGAGTTTGTGGGGAGCGAGAGCGACAGCAGGAGGTCCTCAGGGTCTCTCGCTTCCACCTGTTCGCGTAAATAGCTTCATAGGTAAATTGAGAAAGAATTGTGCTGTGCTTAAAGTGAAATAAGATCCTTACTGTTGACCCCTCGTATACAATGGTCCTTACAATTTACGACCACTTTAGCTTGCTCATTAATTTCTTCGTTTTTCCTTGATGGATTCTGTGAGTTTTTATTAAGGTCAGAGATGGCAGAAAAGTAAAAGAGTACAAATTGAGAGATGAATGGGGGCGAGAACTAGAGCCTTAAGTACGTGTGTCATGTAAAAGAGGTTTGTAAGGTTGTCGTAAAATGTCATTGCTCGCTCTATGCCAAACCGAATGGATTGTCAAACGCTTGGCGGAGAAGTTCAATAGAAATGGGACATGCTTCATCACCGTGATGCCAAATGACAAACGGTATATGCTCGGGAACGATGGAACGATACTTGGCCAATTGCCGGTACCACAGCTGCAGTTGTCGATTCGTTACACGACCAGCTGGCGGGTAGGTAGACAAGAGGTGGATGTTGCGAAGGACGGTGGCCGAGTGCTGAACACGTTCCACGTATATTGTTGTGTTGGTGACATAATCATCAGTGGGCACCGTTTGGATGTAGTAACTGTGGAGCGTGTACGAAGGAACGTCAGCCCCTTCAATCTTTTCAATATGTAGTACCTCACCCGGAGGCTGATAGTTAAGGTTGATATTTCCCACTTCTTCTTCCTCATCGTTTTCTACGCCAGCGTGAGCGGGGGCCTGTGAGGCCTTTTGTGCTTCTAACGATTTGAGTGATTTCACCGTGTCTTCCACATCTACCTCTTCTGCAAGTTTTTGGCCGATCGCAGTGCAATGATCAGTGAGTACGTCACGGATAAAAATGCCAAGAACGCGGTCAGGGAACGAGGCACTAAATTCTGCATACAAAGCTGGGTCCTGCTCACTGTTATCTCCAATGAGAAACAAACGCCGATCACCCAACATTCGAGCCGCGTTTATTAATGAATGCCGCTTGCGTTCAGCAGCATGCTCCATAAGACTTTGAAGGACACCATTGTAATGTTTTAGATGCACCGATGAAATAAACGGGAGGTCAGCACAGTCAAAAAACACACGTAACATCGGCCACAGCTGCCATGGCGAGTTGCTCACAAGATGTAGAGACGTGCCGTGATTGTACAAGTTTCGGAACCAATCCGACACTCCAGGCACATTTTGGCGGTCCACCGCTTGTAGCAGGGTGCTCTGTGCAACAGCACGCGAACCTGCATACACACGGGTGTCCTTGATAGTGTCATCAATGTCGGAAAGGACGGACACGCCAGTGCTGTCAAGTACACATACATCTTTAAGCACGTCAAAGCGCGGGCTCCCAAGTTTCTCAGTGCGCACCACAATTGCTTTCACCATGAACTTGTTTCCTTTTGATTTGCAGTACGGAATGGGGTTGTTGACCTCAAAGTAGCCTTGCTCGTTCGTAATTGTGCTAAACTGAGCGACCTGTACCGTCCGATATTCCTGATCATACGCATAAACGGTGACTCGGACACGTTCACCGGAAATACCACGACTCACGATTAGCGAGATTCGCTTTTCAAAATGATTTTTGCATGTTTCAAACCCTAACTCCTTAATCAATGGTGACACAGTTTGTGCAGGAACGAAACGCGAGAAAAGCCCAGAGAAGGCCGAAGATTTTGTGCCTTCGGTGGAAGGCAATGAGTTATCAATTTCGCTCATTTCTGACGGTGTAGGAGGCAAATCAGAGACAGCATCTGCGTTTGCAGGCAAACCAACCAGACGTCGAAGCAGACCAACGACAAGTCGATCTTTCCGACGCAATGGTTTGTTCGTGGGATTGTCGTGTACCCATCCTCGAACATTTACGGTAATGACTGAACTACCTTCCAGTTCAATTGTCTCATTGTGCAGGAAACATTGTGGGTACAGAGTGACATGAACATCCTCAAGTGACATTGCTGAGTTAGGATCCTTTAGTGGATCATAGTCACCGTTTGAAAATAGGCGGCCAAACGAGCGAAACATTATTACCGAAGTGTTTAAGAAAAGGTTAAGTGAAACAGATGGTCGTAACACACAAATTCCGTCGCATCAACACACGCACCAAGGGGTACTCCAAAAATACAAACTTTTTTTTTTCAACAAACGGAACTAGGAAGGGTATTGTGCGGTACGGAAGGCGCGCGCGTACAAACCCAATAGCTGATTAAGATACACAGTGAATCTTGATAATAAACAGAAAACACGAACGAAGAGATGGGGGTAGAAACTGAGTTTCGCTGTACTTGCTGTCGAGTATGTTATGTGGTGGGAGTGTCCGACAAATCTCACCCACACACAATATTAATTATTAACGGCATTTTCGGATGAATAGACCATATAAACCGCCGCAATTGAGCCACATGACGCGTTAGACAAGTGAACAGATGTGGATCGTTGACACCTGGCATGTGCGAAAGATCGACAATCATCAACCAACAAACGACCATGTTCACTCGCTAAAATAACCGATTGTGTGTACACCCATTCCTCTTCAAGCTGTAATTAAACAATTATTTTTTCTCTTTTTCAAGTATATCGTCCAGATCCTTGTCATCGTCGTCGTCGTCACGGAAAACAGGATGAACATCATTCTCACCAGTCAAGAACTTCTTTCGCTGTTCACGTACACGACGACGAACAGAATAGCCCCAACGTAATTCGGCATTAGGGTTTTCCTCTTCCTCCTCATCATCTGTATCGAATTCTCCGTGGAGACGAGTCTCCTTTCCGTGGACCATCTCAGGATCAATCGTTCCCTCCAATTCCTGTTGCTCCAGCGATTTCTTGTGCTGTTTCTCTTGTATTTTAGCTCCCCATTTTATCAAATAGGGGCGAAGAAGCATATATCCGCCAATATAAATAACGATTCGAAGCCAATCTGGGAATTAGTAAACGTATGTACAAACAAACAACAAGGACTCACCTTTGGCTGTGTAAGAAGCTAAATATCCAGCGAAATCAAACATTGGAGACGAGAATCACTGCCAAAATTAGGGAATTGGTGTGGATGGTGGAAGGAAAGAGAAGCGGAACGCGTCGAGACTTTTCTATGTTCACCACATACCCGCGACGCGACGCGTTTAATCAAACCTTAAATTAAGCAAAAAGGTGAATGGTCAGAAAGAGTAGAAGAGGCGAGAAAGATCGAGAAATTTGTGCTGTAAAGTGTTAGTGTGTGTAAAGTAACGCTTAAGTATTGTTTAAAGCTTCATACAAATGTTTATTCTTTGATATTAATGAAGTTATTAAGAAGTGTGCTGTGCGAGGAACGAAACCTTCAGAGGAAAACATATTAGTTTAGTATAATGTTATTAAGACTGTTGGTTAACGCATAAAAGCGTTAATATTGGTTTGCGGACAAATTGCTCATTGAATTACATATAATTTTCTTTGTATAGTCAACAGAAACAAACATAACACTCCAACCAATTTACGACTTTTTGCCCTATCATGATATTCATTATATACATTACCCAAATATTCTCTACAACTCCCAACTCTCTTCCTTTAAAGGATCATTTTTTGAAGCACCAAATTCACTCAGAGAAACATTCTCAAAAGAATTGCTTTCGATTTCTTTTAACATGTCTTTCTCGGTATGCGTTTGATACTTGTTTGAGTTCACAGGTGTAAACTGGATAGTTTTGGGAGGCGACATACCTGGCGGAAGCATCCCGTCCTCATCGTCACTAACAAGATCGTCAAACAATGTGAGCACTGAAGGTTGTGTTTGTTGGGCTGAGTATTCCTGAGGCTTCGCAGAGAAGTTTCCATCCTGTCGGGCACTTGTAGGAGACGGTGAAAACATGGGAGACGAATCAATATTCATCGCAGCTTGCGTGGTTTGGTTCCGTTGTAGAGGTGTTGCTTGTACACGCCAGTTGGTATCCAAAACTCTGTGGAGCAATGCACTTCGCCCAATGGTTCCTTCTTGCGTTGGAAGTGTTCGTTTAGCTGTCGGTGTTAAGCAGCGAGCGGGAATTGGTGTAAGACTTGTCGCTTGCATACATATATCATCTGAAGGCAGTTCCTTAGGTGTTGACTGGTGAAACTTTGTCGCCAAAACGGACGAGTCACCGACAGACTCTTCCTCTTGCAGGTGTGCAGAGGAAGATGGTAGAAGACTTGCGGAAAATTCATTGTGATCTTGTTGCATCACAGAAGAAGAAGAAGGCTGCGGTGGAGGCGTGGATGACGGAGGGAAAGCATGTTGTTGAGCTTCCTCTTCTCTTTCAGAGATTGTGTTGACCGGTTCCTCATAACCTGAAAGGGCAACGTTCGCACTAGCTTCAAAGAACTGTTTCCAAAACTGAAGATAGGTCAGAAAACTACTCTATACACATCATTCAACTTTTTGTAATCAGTACCTTTGACGGATTCCAGACAGCGTCGCTATTTTTTGTATACTGTTCAATAACAGGCAAAATTCTTGAATTTATAATTTTGTTACATTTGGCAAAGTTTGCGTCAATTTCATAAAGAGCGAGCGTAATTGATTGCTCCAACCGCTCTAACCTAAACAGTATTGACGGTTAACAAAAGAAGACATTTTTTTGATATAAATACCGTTCTAAGGAGCTCATTCTGCAAAGCACGGTACCCGACTTTTTTGGAAGAAGAACGACGCGCGTCCATTACTGAAGGGACTTTTCGGACGAAGAAGTATAGATTAGATAAAGTTTTAAGGTTACATCGCAAACTTGTTAAGCGAATAATGACATCAGCTTCTGAGTATTACAATACGAACAAAAAATTAAAAAATCTGGAGAAATAAATATACTTTTTAAGTAATTGATTTAACCTAATTCTAACAATTCGATACGCTAATTTTCTGTTTATGATTTTTGGGCTGCTTGTTAGTTGACGAGCTTTGTATAAGGTTAGGTAAACACATACAAATCAATCGTGCCCTCTGCCAACAACGGCGGTTCTGTAAAACAATTGAAATGTCGGACACTTCTGTCTTCAGCTATGATCCCTCAGTTGAAAATGATGAAGAATTGACCGATGTTGTTTTGGATACAGTAACAATGCCGGCAGTCGCTCCCCAGGAAAAGTCGGTTGACAATTGTGCAACATTGGCGGATTCTGGTTGCTCAGAACCTGAGACTAACACTGGTGAAACAAATGAAAAAGGCTCTGAAGACACCACCGGCTCAATATCAAAAGCTTTTAAGAATAATTTTGTTGTGAAACAAATTGGTTCTCTTGGTAAGATTCTTGGAGATTTGAAAAGCAAGATGGCAGGGAAGAAGAAGGACAATGACAAAAACAACATCGAAGCTGTTGCCTTAGCCATTGCCGTTGACGACAATGAAGAGGAAGGTTTTGTTCCACGTGTCGCGACCATTGGTCACGGTTCTTCTGAAGGAAGCGTAATTACTGACGTGAACGACACTTCGGAATGGGATCCTATATTCGTGGAAACTGTCCGTCGTTACCTGATGGAAGGTTCTGGTTCTGGACTCGTTGTTCAACATGAGAAACGTCTTCCTGATGGCCCTAGGACACTAGAGTTTGAACAGATGTACGAAGAAATTAACCAAGATTCAACTGCGTTCCCCAAAACGGGGGTTTCTCGTCCTTCCTCTGACCCACAGAGCCCACAAAGTCCTCAGGTAACGGCCGATGCAGAACATAGCGACATCGCAAAACGTCCTATTAGCTTGGGAGACTGCGCTCAGGTTAACAATGCCAAACGTAGACGTCAATCTTTGTTAACGCAGTCAAAACTAGTTCCAATTGCTGAGGAAGAGGAAGATCCCAGTAAGCTCGTAAATACTAGTCCGGCGCAATTGCCAATGTCCGAAGAAGTTCCTGACTATGGTCTTGGAAACGAAGCTATGCGAAAGCGCGTACTTGACGATTACGAAAAGCTTTCTTCCAAGAATATAATCGTCGTTGGCCATAAGTTGAGTCCGAATGTTCTTTTTGCGTTTGATGAAGAAGACATTGTTCCTATCGAAAATTACACCTGTGATTCGCACGAAAGAAGTCTTTTGACCAATACTTTCTATCCATCTCATTGGCAGTTTCGCAAGCTTCAAGCATCTCGCTTTCTGCATTTCGAAAATAGTCATTTTGACGACAGAAAGTTAATGGAAATCCCCTTTATTATTGTGGATAACGCGACAGAAGAGGCAGAAAACAATCCGGCTAGTGAAGAACAACATCCGCCAACTCAATCAACTGAGGAGGCCATTGATGACTCACACATGGCCGAGGAACAATCAATTCGAGAGATGGCATACTTTGAAACGAAATTTATTTCCCTTATCTACCCTTCAATTGCTCAGAGAGACTCTTATCGCATTAACGTGTCTGTCGCACAGTTACGTGAACGTGACTTTTCGCAGCAAGTTGAAGACCCAACGGGATATGCAGAAGCACTGAAAAATGATCCCTGCAAACTCCTTGTTGAGTTGGACAACTTTGAGCTTCTTTCACAAAACCAAAAGACACTCGTTTGGCGTGAACTCGCCGAGTTATCTGCAAGTCAGGAAATCAATCCAAGCTTGTGTTCCTGGAGAAAACTAGTTGCCCAGTCACGCATTGGACATCCAAAGCTGCATGTTGCTCCAATCCAAAGCTTCAAGTGTGTTAAAGGGTTTCCAGAGGTTGTTTGTGTTGAGAATTCTGTTTCCAAAGCATTCTTTCTAATCGACAAGGACAAAACTACCTTCGACCCGAGAACAAGTTACCTTTTATCTTGCGCACCAACACGTGCAGCACAGTATTGGCTTTTGCTTATGCATCATCTCGAGTTCATTGGTCGCTCTTTCCCACATTTGGTCTTCGCTGACAAGGAATACTCGACTCTTGAGTATGCTAGGTCCAATTACCAGTTCACTGAGCCAGAAGGAAAATCTTCAGCCCAAAATGTAGATAACGAGGAAACCTTACAGCAGGTTTAGCTTGTTTTTAGGATATGAAACCTTGGTGCTTAGCATTGCAACTCGTCCATGCTACTTACCCTTTATGATTCTAACGTAATATTCATGACTTTCTAAACAAAAAGCGTTTAACAATTTTATTTACTACAAACATTCTTAGTAATTTTAAAAACCTGTTTCCTTGGCAGTATTGTTTTTTATCTCAGAACAGACTGGTGTTGCTATGGTAACTAATACAACCGCGAAGACTATGTCCACGTAAACAAATCGCATACAGAAGCTACAGTATGGCGGCCAGTTCTTCTTTAGAAAAGGATGGTTCATTCCATTTCAGAAAAGTACATTCTTCTTCATCAACGAGTAGCCACGGGCTGAAACCGGTATGGTGCCAAGTTACTGCTCCCCAATTCCTCTAGGGGAAGCAGGCGTCAAAAATCAATCGCAATTACTAACTTTAAACTTAGTGCAACGTCCTGTCGAAAAACATTCAGTGGAAACTGAAACAAGAACTGGACTATTTACAGCACCAATATGACTTTGCCTATGTAACAAAAGAGGGAACCTTGAAACACACAAACTCTCAAAATACAGAGAACACACGTTCTCCTACGAAACGAACCGCAAGTTTTACAACCAAAAATTCTAGTACACCCAAACGGAGGAGATTCTCTAAAGGATCATCTTCCTTACTGCTGCCTACAGCCTCATCTGTTGAGGAGCTCAGATTAAAATCAAGAGAACTTGGAATAAAGGCTATCCAAGATTGGGCTAGCCGGCCGAAACGGACAGCCTAGTATTAACTGGAGTCCCACAACAAAACGCGCTTGCCCCGTATTTACGACAGCGCATTCACACATAGTTCCCCCCCTCTTCGTTCAACTTGCTCCTGAATCAAAAGGAAAGAATCGTCGTTAATATTAGTTTGTGTACGAACGGCCATGAAGAATGGAAGCAAACGGGAACCGTCAAAGAGACGAGTTCGTTTGTTTTCCAGTTTGCATATCCGTAAACTCGTTGTCGTAAAAAACCTACATATCGTAACCATCGATTTGGAACACGTTTGCCCAGTCAAAGTAAAGTCGTTCTACGAGCGTGACTACTTCCTTTTCCAAGTTTGTAGCCGCGAGCACGCTCTTCATCTTCAAAGCACCTTCCTGACTCATGACGTTTCTAACCTGCTCCAACAAAAACGGAGAATACTAATAAAGTGTTAGTAGCGATGATTATGACAAAGACAATAAGTAGTAACAGTGGACTCACCTCTTGATACCAACGGTAATTTGACACTGTGAGCTTAGCAATCGCTGTCAAGACAAGCTCCAGGTTCCCGTCTTCAACGTATATTTGCAGCAGCTTTTTCCATGCTTTATAGGAAAACATGTTTTCGAAGCAAGCAGAGAAAGCTTCAACGGCTTCGACACGGTGATGTAAGCGGAACGCTACATCACCCAAAATTTCCCATTCAACAGGCGACTTTCTGTATGTCAAACCTTGTGCCTTGAAATGCGTGTATTCTGCACGCCAAATTGTGAATACGCGAAGATCTTCGTACAGAACCATAAACAAGTTGTCGAGCCAGCGCTCACAAAGACGCTTGCTTTGAATGGTATCCGTCAATTGTGTCGCTTCCAAAGAATTTTGGGGGCGGTCAATTCCATGATCACTGGCCGCCTCATCTTCAGTAGCGGCATTGTCCTCCGTATTCGAAGTTCGAACGCTGGGGTGCAAAGACGACGTATCAGACTCACCAGCGTCCACCTGACCACTTTGTGTGCGGTATTCCTCTTCCATCACGAAAACGTTGGAACGAATGTGGAGCAGCTCGTCCCAGCCAACCTTTGAGCAAATTTGCGTCAACATATCATATGCCTTCGCAAACGTTCCGCGCAGAGAAGGCGAGGGTAAGCGGGCGAGCGAGGGATCAGTAACTTCAGACGAGGCGGTTGAGTTACCCAATTTGTCTTCAGCGACCAACTCTGACTTGGGAAGGTTGCCAGGGACGGGAAGGTGGGCCTTTGCGGGAGGAGGAAGGGCATATGAGTCTTGTTCATGATACGCATACATGGGACACGAGTTTAAGGCCAGCAAAGCAGACTCGAAGTTCTCTAAACACATATAAACTTTGGCCAAAGTCGCCCAGGAGGCAAATTCAGAGGGAGAAGAATGCACCGCACGCTTTGCACAAACAAGTGCCAAGTCATAGCGTCCTTTCGTCATTAAAAAGCGTGCTTGGATGACGAGTACTGTCGATGACATGGGATTTAATTTGATAGAGTCATACAAAATGCGAACAGCATTCACCTCACGATCCATCAGCAAATACAACTCAGCCAACAGAACGGAGACATCCGGGTGCTTTACACGGAGCTTTTCAAAAAGATTGAGGGCACCATCGTAGCGGCAAGTTTGCCGAACATAGGTAAAGATGCCCCGGACCAAATGATTATTGACGTGTGTAGGAACGCGAACGTCGGGCGACGAACCCAAAGTGTGACCCAAAAAGAAAAGTTCTTCGGCCGCCTCATAAAACTTTAACTCTGCATCAGGATTGGGAATAGGATTGAATCTACGGTGTCCCGTGAAACGAGAGTTCGACTCGTCTGAGTACAGCAGAGAACGCAAGACTTCAGACATGTATGCCTCCGACCAAATACGCGAGTCGACTTTATGACGCTGTCCATTTTCGTCCAGCGCGTAAGTATCAACGCCGCCTGGAATTTTTACTTCGACACGAATGTCCATGTGCGAGAACGCGTTGTAACAGCAGCACACGGCCTGCTTCACCTTCCACCCACTCGACTTTCCGAACCATTGCTGACTTTTCTCAAGTGAGTAAGACAGAGTGTTCAAATACGCAGCCAGTGAGGCAGAAGAAGAGGCATCTACGCCAGAGACAAAGTGGTATGTGCCGATCTAACCGTAAACACCTGTTAGTAAACCGTTTCAAGATATGTCCGCGGAGAAAACGCGTGGTCCCGGTCCGTTCGTACAGACACGCCCACGATAGCAGCAAACAAACCTCTTTCGACGAGCTTCTCGTATTGACTTTTAAAACATGAACATGGTCGGGTGCTCCAAGTTCTTTAAATTGCCCGATGCCCTGAGTTCTCGCTTCTAGCGACTCATTTACACGAGCTTCTAGAAATCTATTACAACGGTCAGTTTCTGCCAAACCAAGACGTCCACATACTCTGGTATGTCTTTAAAATATAGTTCACTCATGAATGCCAGTGGAATTTATGGGCCTTCCCAACCCAATTGCAAGAAATGAATGACCGTTGGGTTGTTGGTGGATGGAAAGTGAATAGGTGTTGTGCTGGGTCCTTAGTATAAGCCATGACGAGTGTACTGTAACCTTAATTCTCGACCTCGCTCCACCACCAGAATTACAATATCTGATTCTGTTAATCCATATTCTTAGTAAAACAAAACTGGCCCGTCGATGGCGTTTGCTTGGAAAAAGAGCTTTACGTATGCAGTAGCCATAGTAACTATTTTCGCATGTATTCCATCAATGACTAACAAAATTTCTAAAGGTATAGCAAATACCTCTCTCTTTGCTCCCAGGCTGTCCGAGATGCCTTAAAACCCGAGCTTCGGGCTCAGTCTCAGGCCCGTAGTACTGTTGAATTTGTATACAGCAAGTGGAAGGATGGGTCTGTGCAGTATACGAAATCAGGCACACCTAAGGAGGAGGAGAATAACACCAAGGAGGGGTAGATGAAGTAGGTGATGAGGCGAAAACATGAAAAAACGAGGATCTGTGTGCTTCTAAGAACTACGAATTACTTGCGTCCCGACCCGACCCGATCCGACCCGATCCTCTGCATTGTGATCCTACGTATAGCCAACGGGGAGCTGGATAGTCTCTAGTTATGTATTAATGAGGTTTTGATGAAATGAAATTGCTTGTGTTAAGCAGATGGTGATCATTAAGGAGTACAACTTGCTAATCGGGAGATTCGCGTCGTGCCCATTGCCGGTTCCCGTCCTTGGCTGATTCCTTCATTATGTTGTTTATGACCAAAAAAGGATTTGTTTCGTCCTGGGTATGTGCCTTTATTGAGGCCTTGGTTCTGTCTTGATTTACTATATAGCCGGTGTCAAAAAATAGTTCAATCTGTTCCAGCTTTATAAGCAGATTATGTAACTGAATGACTTTTAACATACAAATTGGGGTAAACAAACGGACGTAGTATGAACTCCAAAAGAAGTCTTGTCCTATCAAGGTTTACAAAGTAATAAAATGCATATTTTTAAATTTAGTGTATAAACAAATCGGTTTCATTTCGTTTAAGAAAACTCTTTTATCCAAATCAAATATCACTTCGTACTATCCATACTCTTTAAGAACAATAATTTATTGTCATCGTGTAATCCTCATTACATAGTACATACACTACATCTAATGAGTCTTGCTTAATTCAGCACAACCTGAAGAAAACTCCAAGAGTAGCAACAACGACAGTAACCTGAAGGAGAGTCTTAACGGGCCCTTATAAGAGCTTCAATGCTTGCCTAGTCTCTGTCGCTTCTTCATACTCCTTCCTGTCTACGGGCGAAACTGCTCACGGATACCCCTAACTACCTCGTCTCTCGCACAAACATCTCATTTCAACCTACGGCCTTACAGCTCCTACCGACTCGTGCACTTCGGCTTACGCTCCTTCTCCTTCAGGTAACAAGCAGCCAAGCCATTTGAGGGCCCTTGTTCTGCGCCCTTTAGGGCGACACAACACAACGCGACCTCTCGCTGGTGGTTTTGATCTCTTCCGTAAATGGTGGCATCTTTTCAGCACAGGCAAATCGTACACGCGAACCCATCACACCGGCTACTAGGGCAGAAGCCGTCATCTTCTTAACTGACTACAACGAGTTAGTTGTGCAGAAAAAGTATCGTCAAGAAAGCCTGCACTGGACTAAGGGTTTCTCCGTGTTAGACGAACCAGAACACGACGGACTGGGAGAGAAAGCCTTCTTGTTTATCTGTTGTTTTGTTCTTCTTGTTGTGTTTACATAGATTTTGTTGAAGACGATAAAGTTGGAACAAAAAAAAATTAAAAAACGATTAAACGGACTGCAGAAGAATTAAAGAATTTGTTGAGGCTAGGAAAATCAAAAATTGTTTTTGGCTTTTTTTCGGGATCCTTTTCAATACTGTTTTTAATTTGAGTTTCTGCGTGTTTTCGACGGAACTCAATATCATTAATTTCATACTTGTTTCAATCTCCCTCTTCTACGTCGCTACACTGGCTAATTTCCGTGGTTGACAATGGCAACATTCACTCCGCTTAATGTGACCAGTGAGGAGCTAGACAAAGAGAAACGCACACTCGAAATCCGGATAGAAGAGGCTCTGCAGCTGTACCAAGTTGCACTGTCTGCTCAACAAAGAGGCTCGTGGGACACGGTCTCCAAACTGTACGACAAGCTCCTTAATATCAGTGTCATTCGGAATTATGCCGACATCGACTCTCTTGTTGCACAGAAAAACAACGCGCTTCTTATGTTGCATCACCTGGTGCGAAAGAATCACGGTTTGTTTCTTCTTGACCGATGTCGGAGCCGACCTGGCCCAGATGGTCCAACTGCTCCTCGTGGGTTGTGCATAGAAGCCTTATCCGAGTTTGCGTTTGCTCTGGCTTGTGACCCAAACGACATACAGCTGTGGTCGCGAGTTTCAGAGCTGCTTCAAAAACTTCGTCTCCCTAGACTCTACCGGTATTCCCTCGAAAGCAGCCTTGGCTGTGCCTGGGATTCCGCCGACTCGGCCTTCCAGTCACAAGATTTGATGGCTTTAAACCCGGAAAAAATACACTCTTTATACCTTTTAAACCAGCTGCATGAACGGCTCCATCTTCCCTTTCCTTACCGCCATGTTCTTTCCCAATTCCGTTCCTTGTACACTTTCCCTTCACATTTTCCCTGGCTGCATGCTTTTCCCGAATCGGCGTCGCAACTTCTCCAACCATCTGTACCCGTTTCGTTAAGTCTAAGGACAAATGATTTCCATGGCCTTCTTGACTTATTGCAGTCGGCGCTTGAAAGCGTCTGGTCTTCTAAAAACTCGAGACTGGGGTCCATCCACATAATTTTTTCATCTATCCCAAATTCTAGAGAAACCTCTGTACCGGTTAAACCCAAAACAATTGAACACCCTGTTGGTCAAACGATACAATCATTACTTTCTCCGCTTGAACCCGCCTCCACCGTCGAGCTTACGCGAAAACGCTCAAGCGACGACTTGGAGGGACGCTCGACCAAACGTTCCCGAGTCCGGGACTTGCGAGATTCGGGCAATCATTCGTGTTTCACTTCTGTGTATGCGTTACTGTACCCGTGCGGTTTCCAGGGTTTGATTCAACAGAAACCAGATGGTCCTTATTTCTTTGAAACTATTGACCATAACTACGAACTCTTTAATGACTATCGACAGATACTGCTTAATTTTCCCAGTCAAGAAACTGCAAATGATTCGGAAAGCGAAGCAGAAGATGACAGTTTTTCTGCTATCGGCGAGTTTTCAAGGATGATGTTTTTCGACTTGACGATGAGTAACGCTCCCCGACTTGAGCAGATTGATGTTTCCGATCCTTACCTTAATCTGCTTATAAACAAAATGAATGCAATGCGTTTTTCTGTACCTGAGTGTGCAGTGTTTTTTATTTTAACATTATTAACGCCGAGGGAAGAAAACGCCCCTTTGTATTTGACACAGTGTTGGGGCAAAAGTTTCCGTATGAAATTGACTTCGATGATTCTTCGTTTGGAGTATGTGCTGTACAACATTGTTTGCAAAAGTCTTGATAATTACATTACTTTACATTGTGCACAGTCTATCTTCGAACTCTTTCTTGACGATTATTTCATGACGGCAAAAGGCAGGAGTGGAATGAATCATGAAGAACTCATACTCGCAGAAGCATTGTTAACAAAAAAGAAAAGTCGGTGTATTCGCTGGCAACAATTAGCATTAAGATTCTTTTCATCTTCAATGAATGGTCCTACGCTTGAGATCCTTCATTTGCAACTTCGCCATCACTGGGCTACGAACTTACTTGGTAGAATTCGTGGATATGGAACTGAAGTATTAGCCGAGAATTATACAATTATTCGCCGTATGTTTGTTGAAGGTAACATTACTTTGGAAATTCCGAACTGTCAATGTATGTCCGAAATTAACGCAGACGTAATCGACTTTGAGTTGTCGAAGCTTGAAACTATGGACTTTTTCAACATTCTCTCACAGAATACAAAAAAACTTGATTATTCTGCCGTAATATCCAACTTGGAGCCTGTCCTCTTGGGTGATAATGTGGACTCAAGAACTGTTATTATCACACAGTTTTTAAAAAAATCTGCTACAGCATTCCAGTTGCATCTTTGGCAACTGCTTCGAGAAGCATACGTTTCACACGGACAACCACAAAAGGCGCTGTATTGTATGACAAAATCTATTGAAGTGCTCTTCTCTCGACTGACCTCTACCAACTTTCAATCTCAGGAAACTGATCGTAGACAGCCAGAGGTGTTAAAACTCATAGGCTGTTTTATGAAGCTCGTTGACGGTACTTGGGATAGCATTGGCGATACAAGCGCACCATACAAAGGATTAACAGCGGATGTTCTTCGTGAACTATTAACACACTTGCTTCTCTTTCTCAAACTTTTTGGCGTTTTTACAATTGTCGATGAGGAGATTGCTGAAGGAAAGTTGCCCCAATTCTCAAGTCCTGATTTTAAGAATTATGCAGTTACTGCTAGAGGCTCTCTTATGAAAGGTTGGTGTTTATTTTACCGAGTCTTAGAAAGCTATCTTGCTCTTCCTATCAATTCATCAATAGAAGCTAACAAAGTGCTACCGAATCTGCTTACCACGTTACACGCGGCGTATGGTGTAAGAGGCTACTGTGCTCAGGGAAAGTACTGCTTCCTAAAGCTATCCCAGTTAGAGTGCCAACGGATTGACCCCTGGGAAAATGAAAATGAGATTCTTCAATGTCTTCATTGTCGTTTTGGATTTCAGATATCCAGCGAGTACTATGTTCCCACTGATCATGGTGCTCAGCCGATGACTTTAACCCCAGACGAGATATATCCTGTTATTCCGTTCGTATTGGGCTTTGCGGTTCGTAAAACACATGGCTGGATTATGCCTCGAGCTGATCAGAAAAATACCTTGGAGTCAATATGCGAGACAGTTGGACCGCCTGATGAATCTGTATTTGAAATATATGCTAATCATTGCGCGGTGGAAAGCTTTTTTGATTCGCCCATTACTAGAAAAAGCGTAAACTGTCTTCTCAATTCTCATTCCGTATTGATTCTTAATGATGTACCTTTAGAGAAAGTCAACCTTCACGTCAGGAGTTTGTACTATGCTCAAGCACAAATTCTGCTTGGACATTATCGTTCTCGTGGCAAGGGTACTGGCTGTATACCAGATCTTTTAAATGCGGTTGAGTATTGTCTCATGGATTTGTATATAAATCCGTATAGGCAGGATGGTTGGTACACATGTGCTGCTTTGTATTCGGCAATCGTAGAAGAAGAACTTTCTTGGAGCGCTGAGCGGATTCACTTTAATATTGATGATATTGCGAATTATCAAAGAAGGGCCATTTTATGCTATTTGTTCGCCATTTCATTGCCCTTTAACGATACTGAGTACAGGGCAAAAGTCTTTTTTGACGCTGGCATGGCAATTTACTCTGCAGCGACTCAACCTACGCCGATGTTAGCATTTCAATTGGACCAAGATCGTGTATGCAGTGGTTCTTCTGGTGTCTACGTTACGCAAACGACGGTTGTCGATAGCAAATGTGCGTTTTCAATTGCGGCTGATTTATTCCTTGAGGCCGCCTCCATAAAGGAACAATGGCTTGAACATTATATGGCTGCTAAATCATGTGCAAAAATTAAGGATTCCAAAACTGCACTGCATCATTTTGTGAAGGCTGCTGCATTAGTACCTGAGAAAACAGGAACGGGGGCACAACAATACACTATTATTGAGCCTCATTATTCACTAGTATCATATCTTGGCAAGGTAGTACTTTCAAAGGATATTGATCTAAAACAAGCCGTGGTTTTTGCACGAAAATTCCATCATTCACCGGAAGTCAAACCATCATTCCTCGAGAACCCAGAATTAGATTTTAGCGAAAGGGATTTTTTGTCTTACATACTCGAATGTCTTCGAGTGCTGAGGAAGCTTGACTCGAAGCACTGGTACCATCGGCCAGTTTATCGTATCGCTAAGCTTTTGGAACACTTTGGAAACATCGAGGGTGCAAAGGAAGAAATGGAGTCTTTATTTAGCATACGCTCAACAGTAAAAGGTCTACTTAATATCTGGCGTCCTACTTATGAGAGAGCTGGCAGACACTTTTATTATGCCGCTGAGTATACTAAATACCTTATTTATTTGACCCGGAAAACAGATGACGTTGTTACACTTAAGCAGTTACTGAAACGCTTTCGTCGTTCAGCTCCTTCTGTACTTGATCATAAGCAGATTTGGATTGACGTGTTTGGTGCATTTCTCCGGGAATTTAGGGAACAAAATCATATTGCCGTTCACGAGCCTCCCAGTATTCAGCCTTCTCATTTTAATATTGTGCTGAGTGCTATTGAAAAGCTTAATGAATCCGCTTTCGACACTCTCCGCCAAATTGCTGAATTGCGTCGTTTAAATAATTCGCTTTATCCAACAGTTGAAGTTGATGACCTGCTGATAGATTGTTTCATGATTCTCTACGATCAGTGCAAAAAGGGAATAATATTTCCTGCTCTTCAATTGCCGGAGACTGAACCTGTACCTAATGCGAACGGCAAGCGGGAATCGAAAGCGGTAAAAAATGCCCATTTGTCACGGAAAGAGCTCGTCTCAAAAATCATGCATCTCACTCAAGCTGCTGCTAAGGAATCAGCCGCAAAGGATTCACCGTCGAAATCGGGTAGTACAACTCCTACTACACTGTCAAGGCAGGGTACCATGAATAGCGAAACCTCTGTTGATTAGGAATTAAATTCCTCATCCGTTCGTTTGTAATTGATTGTGTGTAATTTACACACGCCTAATTATTTCATTTCAAAAATTGTTTAGTTGTTTTTTATAGACGTTTTAAAATATCCCTCTTAATTTGTGCACCTGTTCAAATATATATATTTGCCTTGTGAAACTGTAGTGCTGCAATAAAACATAATGATATTAGTACTACTGGTCTCAAGTTGCCATTTATTCAGTAATGACACTCTTTTTATTGGTCTTCATTTGCCTTCCTTCCCTGGTATCAACCACGGGCGGTTTCAAACAAGACCGAAATAGACCTAACTCGCCTTAAATTTTCATTTATTTGAATGAAGCTGTTAAAACCTTCATGGTTAGGACATTTTGGTAATACTTTTCCTATTTATTAATTTGTTTCTAACTAAATTGTGGTAGATGACCGCGGACACCGACTCTCCGTCTTCTCAATTCATGTTCATCCAGATGGTTCAAGGATTGTTACAGGCGGTTTAGATGGCACCGTGCGAATTTGGTCTACAAAAGCACTGTATGAAGAAGATAAAGGTTTACCGAAACAGTTATGTTGTATGAGTACCCATACGGGAACCGTCACTTCGGTACGGTTCAGTCCAAATGGTCAATTTCTTGCTTCTGGAAGTGATGATCGCGTTGTTATCGTTTGGCACAAAGACGAGTAAGCTCAATGTCTCCTACACATCTATTAACATTTTATGTTTCAGCTCGGTACCAGGTCTTCGTACTATTTTTGGAAGCACTGAAACAAATTCAGAAAATTGGAGAAGTTTCAGACGATTAACGGGTCATGATAATGGTATGTTGAAAGCTTAAACCTAATTTACTAAATAATCAGATATTCAAGATCTCTGTTGGAGTCATGACAGTCAGTTGCTCGTTAGTGTCGGCCTTGATAGTTCCATTATTGTGTGGAACGGAAACACATTTGGTATTAACTTGTGGTGACTTGTTCCTGAGTTTCTAATTCTAACTGTACCAGAAAGACTGAAACGGATAGAAGCACATCAAAGTCATGTTAAAGGCATTACCTTTGATCCCGCTGGGAAGTATTTTGCTACTGAGGTATACGGCAATGAGTTATTGACATTAACTAATTTCGTAGAGCGATGACCGCACAATCAAGGTTTGGAGAACGACTGACTTCGCATTGGAAAAAACAATTATTCAACCATTTAACAACTCGCCTCTCTCAACATACTTCCGCAGACCTTCCTGGTCTCCAGATGGAAAATACATTGCTGCACCGAATGCCATGAATGGTCCTGTGTCTTGTGTAGCCATCATTGAACGTGGCACCTGGACCAGCGATGTCAACATCATTGGCCATGAAGGTGCGGTTGAGGTCACCAGTTTTAATCCTAAACTTCTGAAAGGACCTAATGACAAGCTTGTTTCCCTTCTTGCCTGTGGCGGGCAAGACAGAGCACTTAGCTTGTGGACCACGGCTAGTCCTAGACCCATCATTGTTTGTGAAGAACTTGCTCAGAAGAGTATTGGTGATTTATGCTGGACATCTGATGGACTTAATCTTTTTGCTTGTTCATATGACGGTTACGTTATCTTGTGCATATTCGAACCTTCTGAACTTGGCGAAATCGTATCAGATGAGGAAGTGGTACGGGCTAAAGCACTTGAATCCAGTTGGGATTACTAACAGAGTTAGACAAAAGCATTGGCTAAGTTTGGTCATGGAAGACATGGTATTGTCTTACCGGAATCCTGTTCGCAACTTGCTCTTGAAGCCAAGATTGAGGAAAATGAAGTAAAAACCACAAAAGTACCATCAATAGCAACACATACAACAATACCAGCAACATTAAATGTATCGACACCATCGGTGGCATCGACAACATTAGCCGCACCTTCTACCCCAGTTATAGAAGGACCTCCTACCCAAAAGACTGGAACTCCAACGGCTCCTCCTTCAGAACCACCGAAGTTCAAACAGAAAGTAACAATAACTAAAGATGGAAAGAAAAGAGTTACTCCACAGCTTTTGACTACCCTTCCGTCGGTACCCTCTGCAAAACTTCCTAGTTCGCAGCAAATGTCCCAGAGTGCTTCAACACAGTTACCCGTATTAGAGTTGTCGCAGCCAACCCATACTTTACCAAAAGGAGGAATGACTGTTATGGCTGTCGGTACTAAACGGCGAGCAGTAACTGAATCATCAGAAGCTCCAGTTGAAGAGCAGCCAGTACAGAAATCCCCCGAGGAAGCACTGGCTCCTTATGTCCTACCCAATGTCATTGACCCAAAGGTCTCAATCGTCACAACCTTGCTTGACGTTCCAAAACTTGACGATGCCATTTCTTGTTATCTGAAGGGAAATACTCGGTATTCTCTTGAAGTTCAAAATGGTTCCAGTGAGCGGCATCCAACACGAATTGTTGCCTTTGAAAATGGAAACTTGAAATGGATGGACTATATTCCCAGACCAGTTCTCCTTACAGCTTCATCATCAAGATTTTGGGCTATTGCTTGTGACGATGCCTCACTCCATGTATACTCTATTATTGGAACAAGAATTCTTCCTCCCATTGTGGTTGATTCAAATGCTTGCTTTTTGATGTGCTCTGAAAATTGCCTTCTCTGCATTACAGCAAACGGCATGATTCATGCATATGATATTATCAACAAAAAAGCATTATTTACTCCTATATCACTTGCACCCATACTTAATGGCAGTACAACTACCGACACAAAATCTGCCGATGAGCTTTCACGTATCGTTAGCACAAGCATTACCGAGCAGGGAGCGCCTGTAATTGCTCTGTCTAGCGGTGAATCTTATTTATATTCCTTAGAGATGCTTTGCTGGACACGAATAAGTGACAGCTGGTGGGCCTTGGGCAGTAAGCTTTGGGATTCCTCTGGTATTTCCTTGTCTCCAGAAGCGCTTCCAGATTACTCCATTCGTCGACTTGAAAATCACACCAACGAATCCGTTGTTAAAATTGGTCGGGGTAGACTTCTTCAAAAGATGATGAAGACCGCTACTGCAGATGAAGGCTACGAAGATTTTGAAACAACTATCACTATCAACCATGTCGAGAACAGATTGTGCTCAGCTCTTCTTCTTCACTCGTCACAAGAATATTCCGACGCGGCACTACAGTATGTTGACTTGCTCTCAGAAAACAGACTTTGGGGGAAGTTGTCAGAGTTCCTCCACAGCTTGTGCGCCGATAAACAGACTCCCATCATTACAACCTTAATGAATCAAAAACTATGGCGAAAAATTCTAGACAAAATTTATACACTTGTGCCAGTCTCAGAGGTTCCTGAAGAGATCAGCCGATTTGAGGCCAAGTTCGTTGAGAGGTATGCTGCTAATGAGTAAAAAAAACAACCACTCTAATCGAGTGCAGCTTTCCACTGTTTTTCGAAGATTAGTACTCGTTCTTCAAACCCCTTAGAGAAGACATACCAAGTTGTCACCCAAATAGTGAACATTTTCAATACCAATGCCCTTTCCAACCTTCTTCCTAATAAATAGTTAGTAGACAGTAAGCAGAAAAATCAGCCAGTTACGAACATTTCTTGAGCACTCATTTTCGTGTAACCAATAGCGGTAGCGGCCTCTTTTCCTTCAGCCATTACAACGACAAAGACGTCCTTGGGAATATCATCGGGGAGGTCACCCGTAGCAGAGGTTAAACCAGGAATCATGATGTTTGCTCCGGAAAGCACAAATTTAATTGCTCCACGGTCAACACAAACTTGAGGAAAAGCGTCAGGGCCTTTCATAAAGTGTTAGAAAATACATAACATAACGCAATCCAGAATGTCTGCACGTACACTTATGGACGAGTCTCAAGGAAGGAATAATAGGGCCATTGTAATGTTCAAATAACAGTACTTCACCATTCATGCAGTACAAGGTGATACGGTCCTCACTATAAACATGTCAGTGCTTATTCATTGGAGATATAGCGTCAGTATTTTCAGGATAAGCTGGATAGGTTTCGTATCGTCCTGAACATTGGTGTTATACGAAGGATTACGACGTACCATTTTACTTGAAGCAATTGTGATTTTTTGGGAAACAAATCATTAATAACAGACTCCAATTTGGGATATGTCTCCACAAGTTTGGATTTAATTGCTCTTTGGACTGAGGACTTGACTGGGGTAGTACCCTTCACGTCGTCTTTACCATTAAATCTGCAAGTTAGTCATTGAATGTTATTATACGACTGAGAACACACTTCTTAAACATTTTCCTCGACTTTCCAACAGATTCTGACAGAAAACTGCAAACTTATTGACGCAGTAGACTCAGGTGGTGGTACGCGTAGGTAGAACTTAATACCCAGGTCGACTGTAATAGAGCCCTTCAACTCCACGTACGCACCTAAAAGTAATAATAATCATGGAGTCTGGGGCGCCACGCGTAAAGAATAAGAATCCAGCGCCAATTCAGGTATGTAGAAAATGCCAATGTGCAATTCTAACTGAAAAATTAGATTTCGGCTGAACAACTTCTTCGGGAAGCGTTCGAGCGACAAGAAGTCGCGTATCTTCCTCCGAAACAGAACATCAGCGATTTAGAGGAGCTTCATGAGTATCAAGGAAGAAAAAGAAAGGAGTTTGAGGAGGCGATTCGCCGGAATCGGCTCGCAATGGGAACTTGGCTTCGCTATGCTCAATGGGAACTCGATCAAAAGGAGTACGCGCGCGCTAGATCAGTTTTTGAGAGAGCTCTCGATGTCGATGTAACCCATATTCCTCTTTGGTTGAAGTATCTCGACAGTGAGGTTAAGACCCGAAACATCAACCATGCGAGAAATCTGTTCGACCGAGCCGTTAGTCTACTTCCTCGTGTTGACAAGCTTTGGTACAAGTATGTATACATGGAGGAGATGCTAGGAAATATCAGCGGTACGCGGCAGGTCTTTGAACGCTGGATGAAGTGGGAGCCTGACGAATTGGCTTGGATGGCTTATATTCGAATGGAACGCAGATACGACGAGAATGCTCGAGCGCGTGGAATCTTTGAACGGTTTTTAGTCGTTCATCCCGAACCTATGAATTGGCTTCGTTGGGTACGATTTGAAGAGGACTGTGGAAATCTGACCAATGTTCGCAACGTCTTTTCTGCTGCTTTGGACGCACTTGGATTAGAATTCATCGATGAGAAACTGTTAGTGGCTTTTGCTAAATTTGAAACACGCCAAAAAGAGTACGAACGTGCTCGTACTATATACCGCTATGCTTTAGACCGACTTCCGCGGTCAAAAGCACGACTATTGTACAAAGAGTACACACAATTTGAAAAGCAATATGGTGACCAAGTTGGCATTGAGAACGTGGTTATAGAAAAACGAAGACTGAAGTACGGAAATATTCTTGCTGAACAGCCTCACGACTACGACACTTGGCTCGATTTAATCAAGCTGGAAGAAAGTACCACTGAAGCCGAGCGAATCCGTGATGTCTACGAACGGGCTATCGCTCAAGTTCCAGCAGGCGACAAGAAGGCATGGGAGCGCTATATTTACATATGGTTGAACTATGCCTTGTATGAAGAAATCGACATGCGGGACGTCGAGCGCTGTAGAAGCGTATACACCAACTGTCTAAAACTTATCCCTCATAAAAAATTCACATTCGCAAAAGTTTGGCTTGCTTATGCATACTTTGAACTCCGCCAGAAGAATCTCCCTGTCGCACGACGGACCCTCGGTCGTGCTTTAGGTACGTGTCCAAAGCCAAAGCTGTTTCGCGAGTACATCGCTTTGGAAGATTCTCTAAAACAATTCGACCGCTGTCGTATCCTCTATGAAAAATGGATTCTGTTTGACCCTGAAGCATGTAATCCATGGTTGGGTTATGCCTTGTTGGAAGACAAGCTTGGTGATGTTGACCGAGCTCGTGCAGTCTTCGAGCTTGCTGTTTCACAGCCCGTAATGGAGACTCCTGAATTGCTTTGGAAAGCATACATCGACTTTGAGTTTGAGGAGTACGAGTTTGCTAAAGCTCGGCAGCTATACTACCGCCTGTTGGAAAAGGCACCCCACGTCAAGGTTTGGATCAGTTTGGCCAATTTTGAAATTGCCCATATGGAAGAAGACGATGAACAGCCTCCCAGTGATGACAAACCTTCTCCCACAGCGATCCTTCGTTCTCGCAAGGTGTTCGAAAACGCACTACAAAATCTCAAGACACAGCAACTCAACGAGGAGCGCGTTCTGTTGCTAGAAGCTTGGAAGCACTTTGAACAGTTGCATGGTGATGCATCTTCCTTGCAGAGTGTTGTTTCAAAGATGCCACAAGTCATCAAGAAACGCCGGAAACTTCCCGACAACTCCTTTGAAGAGTACTACGATTACTTGTTCCCTGAAGAAGGTTCAGAAAAGGAGGACAAAATGCGCAAGATGCTTGAACTTGCTCGGAAATGGAAGTCTGGCATTCAAAATAAAGCTGCATAAACAGCATTAACTAAACTAAGGACGGCAAGAAAATTGAGGACGATGAACTGATCAAGAGGAATGCCGGAGAAGGCCACTCGGTTTCCCTGTCGAATAAAACTACACATTTTTGGCTCATACTCATACTAAATGTTTGTTCTACTAAGTTGTTTACCTGTTACTTTTTCATTCATTTACAATGGATAAGCACGTGCCCATTGTCGACGTCCTCAATGCACTTTTCATTCTTCTCTATCTCTCTATTCTTCTACTGTCCCAGATCTAAATTTGCCGCCGTGTTTTTTGCCCGCTTGTGGCGTTCGCTTAATTCACCGTGTTTCGTGACTTTGCTATTCCACGGATTATCCCTTCCGAACCCTCTTCATCAACAATCATTTCCTGACATCAGTCTACCGAAACTCGACAACGTTTCGTACTTTCAAAAGAACCCTTCCTTTGTTATTTTGGCTGCATTTTCGGTTGTTGATGATCTACAGATCGACAGATCTGCATACCTAAATTAAGTTCCGTTATCACCGCAGATCACTACGCAAATCACCCATCTTGCCGTTGATCACATCGGGATCTTTTGTGCCCCCCTCTTTCGCCGTACTCCAAGCCCTGCCACCACCAGTTTGAAACAGCAACTTAATCTCGAAGCTGCCGTTTCCCATTACCCCGGAACACTTAAAACAAGGCCTCCAGCATCCTCTCACGTCTACGATTACGTCTTTAGCGGTGGTTCAAGATTTTTCCGAGCTGAATCTGAAAACGTCCTCACACACCGAGTTAAACTGTGCGTCCGAGAACGTTATTCCGTGTGTGTTAGAGAAACATCAACCTGGACATCGAATTCGCGGAATACTTAGTCATTGTTTTCCACTGTGGAATAGTCGACAATGAGAGAATCCAATATCAGCGTAGTATGGAGTAACAAGGCTTCAGTGACAATTAACACGGTTCTCTACGACCGTAGAGCACTTGACTGTGATTCGGAAATGGCTCTGATGAACTCGCTGAGTCATCTAGCTTACTTGACGTCGACATCACCGAAGATTCGTGAAATTCTTACAGTGGACGGCGGTTTAATGCGTTTGGTCAACATTCTCCGCAGTGGCCGTGGTCAATCCTTTACACGCATGACTATCTGGCAACTGGCTTTACAATGTGTGGTAAATGTCGGAATTCGGGGCTCTGAAGCCATTCGCATGCAAGTTGTCAAGGCCGGCGTTATTCCCGTGATTGTCACTCTGCTCGATGACTTCCTGTCGGCATTGGAGTTCTTTGTTCCTCAACATACTCGTCCTTACTCGAGTGCTTTAAACTCTCCTTTAAGCTCTGCACATTCTTCCGCTCAGAATTTGGCGCTTCTGAATGCCAATTCGCTTGATATCTCGGCGGCTCAGAATGTGGAACGTCTGAGTGATGGAACCACTAACGGTACCGCTCACACAGCCGACATGGGCTCTGGCGATGAGATGCTACCTAGAGCTGCCACGCCTTTGCGTGACGAAACTGGTCAAGCTGATACCCCTGCTCAAATGGTCGATGAACGTTTGTCTAACACTGTGCTGGACGAAGGTGTGGCTTCAAACAGTGCCCAGGAGACGAATCCTCCAGCCGATTCTACGCGGAATTCGCTCAATCGTAGCGTTGTGGCGGCAACAGCTGCTCCCGTCGGCGGTGTCGTGAGTGCAGCACCAGCATCATCTTTGCCGTCTGAGACTCAACGTCGTTTAACCGATCAGCATCTTTTCGCTGCTGTCCAGCAGCAACAAGTTTTTGCGCGTCGTCATCGGCGTCCGCAGTTTCCCGTAATTGCAAACTCGTATACGGAAGCACGTCGTTTGGCTGAGGTACTGTCTGAAGGCAGCGTGCCGTCTTTCCTAGAGGGATCGGAGAAAAAACTCAATCGTATTCCAAGAGAGGAAGACATTCTTTTTGGCTTGCAACTACTTGCATACACGAGTAAGAACTATTTTCAACTTCGTCACTTCTTTGAAGCGTCTCGTGACGTTCCGGCGCTGAGAATGACGAACACCTACAACACCTCGAAGACTTGGAACACATTTCAACTAGTAGAGCAGTTTACACTCCAGATATATCCGCCTCAGGTGCAGTACTGGGCTTCTGCAATCATGTACAACTACTGTCGAAAGGACGAGAGCAACGGTGGCATTCGTCGCTGCGCCAATCTTATGTGTGATAAATGGGAGGAGCATAATAGACAGTTTGCTAAGTGCCGTCGTTGCCGTCGCACGAAGTACTGCAGCAAACGTTGTCAGCATCAAGCGTGGCCTGGACATCGTCGATGGTGCAAAGCAATCGTTAGGGAGAGCCGCTCTTCCAAGACATCTTCAAATGCAACCGCGTCTCAGACTACGACTCCATCTACGAATCAACAAGCAGCACCTTTGAACACAGAAATGGACTCGGTGGTGAATGGCACAGGTACTCCCGCTAGCGTGAATGCGACCGGTGCAACTGTGTAAATCTAATACGTGGAGCCACGAACTCCCCTACCGCCTATTAATTCCCTCAAAGTCGTAGTGGATACGACTGTCATCACACTCATTTAACCGTCTTTTATTGTTTGTTCTTGCACTCTTTGTTTTCGCTCAATCTTTCCTTTAGGCGTTCGAGACCCCGATGGAAGGATTTTATATTGGGTGTGTCTATACTTCCTGACAAGACAAACTTCTTCATATGATTTTTCCGAACCTTTCAGTTGACCCGCTCATTTCTGTTTGTTATGATGTTTTCTTTATTTTCTCGGTTGTTATTCTTTATTACTCCTACTTTCTCCTTTTCTTCCAAAAAGGTTTTATTGAGCACGTTTCAAAGCGCATGTTGCCGTGTAATTTTTTCCTTGCTTGCTCCTGTCTTTGCTTTCGCTTCCCCTTTGAAGAGGTTTGACGATGCGCGGCTAGGCGTGCATGTTACTTGTTTTCCCTAATACTTTCGCTATACCTTTCACCAGGTGGCACCCGGGCAGTTGGCCCATGTCTGTGTAGTCCGCAAGTCGCATTCGTTTTGTGATGAGTCTGGCCGTGCAGCTTGTCAAAAGTCAGCAGTAAGCAGAGTGAGCGAATATATACACGAGCTCTGTTTTCTGTTCAAATTCCCTTTTTTGGCTAACAATTTGATAACCCCATCTTTGACTGTCCTCACGCATCTTGTATCTTCCAGTCACAGGACGACGGTTTTTGGCACTGCTCCAATGACCAAATTACAACACGTCTACCTTCCCATTTCCATGCAGTCGCCGTTCGCACTATTTCACTCAACACATACGGAGAAAAAAGTTTATTGCCAGCACTTATATTAAGTCGAAAGATTAAACCCAAAGCACTTATTAGAATGAAGTGATTGCTTTCGAACTGAATTCTTTCACTTTCATTGGGTTTGATAATTGGCGCTCCCTTCTTTAGCAGATTTTTGTCAACCAATGATTGATATCTCACTTTTACCATGTAGAGTGTGCGGTAGTGGCGTTACCTAGTTGAACGAGCAGAAGGCGGTAGCTCTTTTCATGAATTGTTTCTTTCCACCGCTTACCAAATTGGCTTTCTCATCCTCGGGTCAGTTGGAGCATTTTGCTGTGAGTGTGTTTTAGGCTGCTAGAGAATAATTAAGCGAAACCTTAAAGTTACACGTGTTACTTCCACCATAAAGTTTATTGGTCTGTACAGTGAGAAGGCTTTTCACGACACATTCGAGGATTATACGAAACCGTTCAAGATTGATGAATTCGCTTGAGTTTGAAAATGAAAAACTCCATCATTTGTCGAGTGGAGTGAAAGATCTCACTCAGACGATGTATGATTTGGCGTTAGTAATCTACAACTTGGATGACACGACACCGAGGGATACCATTCCCGAATACTTGGACACGCTGGTTGAGCAAATCCGACGGTTACCAGCATTGGCCAAAGATGCTGACTGTCCGATTTCTCAAGATGTACTGGAATACGTTGAGCATGGTCGAAATCCTGACGTTTATACTCGACAATTCAGCGAACTTGTTCAGAAAGACAACCAATACGTTCATGGAAAATTAAAAACAATCGAAGGCTTCCAAAAAGCTTACGCCGAAGAAATCATTTCTGCCTTCCCAGAGCTCACATCTGTTGTACTAAAAATTATGAAGCAAGGCAAGAAAAAACCTGCGGATAAATGAGTACATTAATAGGGAAAATACACAAGACATATAGGGTTTAGGAAATTTAATGATTTGTTTTCATGACATGGTTCATCATATAGCAATTAAGATTTAGGAAGGAAAACGTAAAGCGTTCATAGATACAGGGAGAATAAGTTTTACAGTCGGTTTTAATGGACAAATTAGTGATCAAACGAGTAAACACATGATGGCGATTGTCTTCACGCTCCTCTTGTATATCTTTAGCGACATAGTATTCCATTGAGCAGGTGAAGACAACGTTCACGTTCCTGTGCATTACGTGGTGTGTAATCGGGTTGAAGCAACGCGAGCAGACAGTCGTACTCTTCTCGCAATTGAGACCTGGTGAAGCAAAGACGTTTTGAATTTGATCCTTTTCCGCCTTTGTGAGTGGAGGAGGAAAAGGTTTGTGTGCTGCCGAAGATATACTCAAATTCAGCAGAGTCTTCATCATCCTAAACACGTGTGTTAGTTCCGAATATATGATTAAAAGGTACATACAAAATGAACCATAACTTTCTCGGAAGGACCTCTACGAGTGTAACTCGGAACAGCTGAAGTTTTTGGTGTCGACACGCATGTGTTCTGCCCGTTTTCACATGAAGAGTTCGTTGTAATTGATTGAGAGGCAGGTGGGGCTTCTAGCACGGGATCAGAAGGACCCAAGTTGAAGTGCAGCAAATCAGTCCCTTGGACGCCGGACGAGTCATATAATGGTACAGGTGGCAAGATGAAAGAGCTTGTAATACTCGGTAGCGAACCGGGATCAGATGGTGGGTTTCCGTTTGCAGCCGACCATACGTTTTCGGCACTGTTATCAACGACATTCGCTTGTTGTAAAGAGAACAATTGACTCGCTGCAAGCGGTTGAGACGCCTGCGAATTCTCATTCCGCACTACCCATCGATCAATGGACAAATCACTAGCGACAGGGGGCCTGTGTTGGCTGGAAGACGAGGGATTCGCTTGTTCACGGTGAGGACAGTAAGTACGATTATGACCAGCTTCGTGACACAGCCCACATCTTCGCACCTTTTTGACAGCTGCAGAAGGTCGCTTCTGACCTTGGGAAAGTTGTACATGCTGGTTAGCGGCCAATTCATCAAAAGCCGAATTTAATTTTCGCTGCACGAAAAACTTAGACGAAGACTCGTCTCCTGCAGGGGTACTGTATACGGGAGAGCTTACGTATGAGGGCGAATACAATTCAAACATGGAGAAGCAGTAAGAAACCAAGAACAGGGAGCAATGGACTTTGGAGAAGGGTCAAGTGCAGTACGAGTCAAGTCGCGTCGACGTGTACGCGGTCGGGTCCGCGAAAATAAGCTTTCACATGAACTACGTGGGGCGAGTTTAAGTTGTCGCAAATCCAGTTAAGATTGGCGATTACTCCACATTTGTTCCACATTTAGCCCCGCAGTCTTGTTCCTATGTACACTTTCAATTATAAGCAAAGCCAAACAACATTAATCGACACGGTTGCGATCGCTAAAAGGATTGTTTTCGTCATCGTCATCATCTTCCATGTCGGCTTCTTCGTCTTCCTCGTTGACATTAGCGTACGTATGCTCGGCGTCGAAGTGACGGTTGCGAGAAGGACGTCGACTAGTGCGGCCAGAAGAACTTGTGTAGACGGTAGAGGCATAGTCGCTTTCAGTTGCTCCGTCATCGCTGCGTGTGTTGTGAGACTCCTCACTGTTTTTAAACAATTCAATGGCTTTGTTGATTTCATCATTGGCTTTCAACAAAGTGCCCAACCACATTTCATCCGTAATCGCCTGGACATAACGAAGGATTGTGCGACGAAGTCGACGACAATCGTTGTAAGATTGAACGACCTGCTTGTTCTCGGCGGGACTTTGAATGTTGGGGTTAAGACGCTGAACGGCGTTTGTGAGATTTGTAGAAGCAAAGTTAGCAGATGCAATCAGCTTCTCTAACATGGGAGTCGCCTTCTTCATGTCTACCGTACGGTGCGTAGTCGTCTCGGCGCCATCGCGAGAAGAACCACGAGCCCGGAAAGCCTGCTTTCCGTGTGGTAAACGATTGCTTAAAGCACAGAGCGACTGCATGCCCTCCACGTCGTTATATTCTGTGTGCCATAAACGAATTAAGTGTACTGTACGTTTTTGCACACTTTTCGGCACGTCAACTTCTGTTGTCAGTGCGGCAATTCGGTCAACCAGCCGTGAATCGCAAAAATTATGCACAAATGTCGGACCCGCGTTCTCGATGAGTGCCTGCAGCAAAGAGAGCGCACGAAGTTGTTGATGCTCAGTTCCATACTTGAGCTTCTTACGAATAGCACGAGCAGCTTCAGAGGGACCGGTGCTCTGAAGATTGATGACCTCGCATAATTGGACTATACCGGAAACGTCGTCCTCGGCATATCTGTCCGATGTGTATGTTTCTACGTTGTTAGAGGGGAGGGGAAGAGGGGAAGGATGGAGCTTAAAGAGAGACGGAGTTAAGAAGGATTGGGGAAAGTTGACGAGGAGTCGAGCTGACTTCCGGTAGTTTCCTATAATACCCGATATCTTCCATAGCTTCCGAAAAATTCCCCCGACGCGTGTGCATCCACGCAGCATAATCCACTGCACCAAGAACCACGTCTCACCGACACGTTTTCTTCAAAACAACCTGTCGCGTTCGCTGGTGTAGCACTGTTCCAATCACTCACTCACTAACTCACCCATTCATCCACTCCACTTCCAGCCGTTCCAGCAGTTCCGACTTACCAATAAAGCCCGTAACGGCAGACAATGGTTTGGGATCCGAGAAAAAGCCCATTGCGACGAATAGAGTAGCGGCACGTTCTGAGCAACCAAAAAGACCAGTATCAAGAAAAACTTATCCAAATGAGTGGGATGAATAAGACAAAAGGCAAGACGGAGAGACGGAAAGGGAGAGAAGGAATCGTCCCTAGCCCCGAGTTTTGCAAAGTCGTAGTGGTGTGGATGTACGGGCAACAGGCGTTTATGGTGGTGGTGTGGAGGACATCGGCTAGACGGGGCAAGATAGTGCGGGGAAGAGAGAGAAAACGCATCATCACGATGACGTAGAAATAGATTCACAAAAACCGTCGATCTATTTCGCAGTCATATCACGAGTGATCGACAAATGATCGACACCAATATGTCGATCATTTGTCGATGACGATCAATCCACTCACCACCGTGAATGCCATACCATTTTAATTCTGTCTCGACGACGTCCCGCGCGGTAGATGCTCTGCAGTAAAACGGCATTCTCTCGACTCAAAAGTCATTTGCTGCCGCTGCTACTCCTACTACTACTCTGACCACCCGGTGCACCTGGTGGGCTGCTTGATGTCTTAGCTCGCCAACTCTTCCCTCCACCAACCACTACGACCACCACACCTTAAACAAAACAAACCACACACACACACGCGTACCAAGTTGTGCCAACATGTTCATCCTCAACTGGTTTTTCGACATCCTTGCTTCCTTGGGCCTCGTGAACAAGCATGCTAAGATGCTGTTCCTTGGTCTGGACAATGCTGGTAAAACCACGTTGCTCCACATGCTGAAGAACGACCGTCTTGCCGTTATGCAGCCTACTCTTCACCCAACGTCAGAGGAGCTCGCCATTGGCAACGTCCGTTTCACCACGTTTGACCTGGGTGGACATCAACAGGCCCGTCGTCTGTGGAGAGACTACTTCCCCGAGGTTAACGGCATCGTTTATCTTGTCGACTGCTGTGACTTTGAACGTCTTCCCGAGTCTAAAGCTGAACTTGACGCCTTGCTGGCCATGGAGGAGCTGGCCAATGTTCCTTTCTTGATTCTCGGCAACAAGATTGACGCTCCCGGTGCTGTCTCGGAGGACGAGCTGAAGAATGCTCTTGGTCTGTACCAAACCACCGGCAAGGGCAACAACAAGCAGGCCCCCGGTATTCGTCCCATTGAGGTCTTCATGTGCTCTGTCGTCTTGCGTCAAGGCTACGGTGAAGGCTTCAAGTGGTTGGCTCAATATGTTTAAGGCGGTTCGCCGTGTGTGCACCGAGCAGACTAAGAACAGTGAATGGTGCGGTAAGTCCTTGCTGCCATTTCTTCCTTTAGCTCTGGTTTATGCACACACACTATTCGGATCCACTCGCACCCACTCACATCCACTCGCTTGCTTCCCATTCATTTGTCTTCTTCATCCTCACTAGCATCCGTGCTTGACGTAGTCGGTGTGTAGAAGCCTTCATTGTCGTCGTCGTCGTCGTTCTTGTCGCGGTCATTGCAGTGTTCGACGTCCTTGCCTTCTTCAGCATAAGCAACCATTTTAAGCGTTTCCTGTATTTCGTCTGCATCACTTCCCGTAATGTGCATTCCTTTCAGCAGTCGTTCTGTGTTCGAATCAGCATCCAGCGTTGCTAGCACACGCACTAGCATGCCCGGGCGCCACTGCCGGTTGTTTGTTTGGTTAGGTACAACGTAAAAACGTGCTAGAACCGTTGGCATCTTGCCGCTGCGAAATGCATCTTCTAACTCGAACTGGGCAATTGGTTGTTTTTGTTTAACGTTGCGTATTTTCCCTGTACGACAGAACGCAAAATGTAATTAGTAAATGCAATCCTTTAAAGTCGTTGTGTGTAGAGGGCAGAGAAAGGGTTTATGAGAGTAAAGCTCGGATTGATAACACCCAGGGCATCGTAAAAACTAGCTCACAGAACCTCTTCCTGTCTTCCCGTCTGTCTGTTTCTTACCAAAGTACTCAACAACAACGGGAACTGCATTTCTGCGTCGTTGAGAGCACATAACTTTCAGTAATTCACCCATACGAAAACATGTTCGTACAGACATAACAGGTGTTACTCGTTTCAACGAGCAATCTGTGTTCACCAGTTCAGGGAAGCTTCCACGAGCGGGAATGGCATTGAGTAGCAGTTCAGTATCTTTACAATTCAGAGAACGCGTCTCGGCATACGTAGGAAGAACCCTAAACGCGTCGTAAGCATGTAATTCGTGTATAAACAAGTTTCTTCTTCTTTTAGTAAGTATACCCTTGACGTTTGTTATAATCCGTGAGACTTAAAGTTCGTGTAACTGTTGTTTTCTTCAAATTGGGTGCATTGTCTGTTGTCGAAAAAGCCCTGCTAAATCGTTTCATGTTCTACTTTGTTAATTCGTTTAAATATTTGTTAATTTGGTTTAGATGATGTTTCAATACAGCGTTTCACAAAATTTTGGTAACTTGAAACGCATAGACGTGTCTTGTTCTTTGCAAGTTTCCCTTTCCATGGCGAAGCGTGTTTTCATTAAGGTTATGTATGACGTAGGTGTCCCGACGCGAGCATGTTTACGCGCCGCGCTGCGCGTCTGCTCCCTACAACTACCAAATAGGCACTCGAAGAATCGCCCATGGTATGGCTGAAACGTCAGAAAAAAACGATGATTTTTTGTTACCAATAGATCCGGAGGCGTTGCAGGACTCGCTTCTTGCAGTGTACGTGTTTTTGTCGCGTTTTCTTTGCTCAATGGCACAAAACACGGTGACGAAGAATATCTGCAAAAGCTGAGTAATGTACTAACAGAATAGTGATTCCGAAAACTCACTCGCAACTGTTATCCCAAAAATTGTGAAAAAATATGGTCTTTTCCGGTCACTCACTGAAAGTGATTTGCGTGAGAAGTCTGAGCAAGAAGAACAATCGCAGGAAGTTCAGGAAAAAGCGAAACCCACCCCTGCAAAACAACCTACAGCTGAGGAACAAGGCCTCGATAATCTTTCTGCTCACAAGAAAGAATTGATTGATCAAATTGCGTATGTAGAAGTAATTACGATGTTGTGGGTAAACAAAGCCTTATCATTAATACCACTTCGTAGCCATTTGAGCGCTAACTGTATGCTTCAGTATGGCCCAAAACGAGTGTTCGTTAGCCTTGGACATGGTATCACTACTACTTAGCAAGTATCGAACTAACAGTGTCGATACAATTTCACCCTTTTTGGAAAATGCAGTCAGTTTAGGCTCTTTGACGATGAATCGTTGTGAGGCACCAAAAGCAAAATCTTCGGATGCTTTAGTTGGGAAATTATGGAAAGACAAAGCGCTCAAAAATGCTCGAACTTCTTTTACCGCCGCTGCTCAACGGTTACGAAACGTTGTAGAAGGTGAACAGGAAAAGTGGAATCTGTTTGCGCGTTTCCATGAAAAAGGATGGCCTATTTTACGAGGCAAAGATGGTGCACTGTGCGTGCAGTACAGTGCTTTAGGAGGACAATCCGTCGGTGTGGGTACTTTTGACTTGAGCTCGAAAAAGGGCAAGCCAACTTTTGTACACGGATTACAATACGAACACGCGTCGCTGAAGGTGGATATACACCGGCGTGATGAAATTGTTGCTTCTAATCGGTGGTCGTGGCCCGATGAGCACAAAACCGAAGAAGACGATGTGGAAAAACAACTTCATCAAGCTCGTCGGACGCTGTTCGAAATGGACGTGTGGAATGCATTGTTGCTTGAGGCACAGTATTGTGGTAATCAGGGTGTTATTTATACAGGCAACTCAATTGAAGTTACATATGATGGGACATACAAGACGTCTATTTCTCTCTCACCGGTAGATTCTGGTGCGGATGAACATCACAAAAACGATTTGTCGTCAGATTCTATGAATGTCGATGATAAAGACGTACAACTTCGGGAACTTTGTCTCGTTTTTAACACGCTGATACATGTATTGTTTGTTCAATATTGTCGAGAAACCCAAAAGTTTTCCCTAAAACATCTACGCCAAAATCCCATTCCTGCATCCATCCTGCGGCCTCTCATTTTTCTGTTTTCAACAAATCGTCTCGCGCATTCCTTTCAAACATGGTTGCAAGAACATAATATTCCATTCACATACGAAGCTGAATACCCTTGGACGAAGGCAAAGTCCCTTGAGGAACTAGAACGAGCGCTAATGAATCCAAAAGTTCGTATTCTCTGGAAACTTAAATGTAAAGAGTACTACGAACCAGCTTGTATTGAACAGACACCAGTTATGCAAGGCACCGAAAAGTTCATCTGGAAATGGCAGGACGCGTGTGCTTCCTTGAAATTTCAGGATATGTCTAATCTTTGTCAATACATAGAATACTATTTGGCTGAAAAGAATCATTAAGCTATGAAATGCAAAGGAAACGGGATGACAACTCAATTTAAGGAAAGGAGGTCATTGGAACGGGATGAAAAAAGAGCGATCTAAGATTGTTCAACACTTTGCTGTTCAAGTGGTTTGTCTATTTCTGCACGGTTTTCTGAATCCAGTTGCTCCTTTTGTTCTTGACATTTCAGAATTTGGCACGCACGGTTGTAGAGCGTTATCACATGTGTATCCTTCATCTCAGGCGACAAATGAGTGAGAGATTCAGCAAGCTTGAGCAAATAATCGATGTTGGGACCACTTTTTCCTCTGCTACTGAGCATCACTGATATGAGTTTGTCTACAGATTCTGAGGGACAGAACTGTGGACTACGACTCGTACCCACATACACGAGACACTGATCTACAGTGGGTTTCTCATTCGTGATATGTGTATATACCGGCATGAAGTGTGGAGTGTAACCGTTGATTTCACGTTCATCAAGGTACTCGCGTACGTACTTTGCATGGACTGCCGGGATTCTGTATGCCATACCCCAACACGTTTCCTCGTCTGGCGTATGGGCCCAGTCTGAAAATTGCTTCCATTCGTCTTTAGGAATAAGCGTTAAAACACGACCAGGTTTCTCCGGTGTTCCTCTGTGATCTTCACTTTTCATCCAAAAGCGCCGCACATATCCGCGAATAAAACATGGAATACTCTTGTCGTAATACGGTGGTGGACTCCAAATTAATGATCCATAACCAAAGAACCAAAACGCGTCCGCATTTTCTGTTTCCTCTTTCGTCATGACTTCTAATGAAAGCACGGATAGATGGTCAAACGGAAGTTGAGTTTGTTGGTTTCCTACGATGAATGTTTATAGAATTCGTCAGTCCGAGTGCGGATGATGAAACAAGCTCCAGCAGCGACAACACACCAACACCTGTGATTTGTAGAACGAAACCTGCTACTTGTGGAAAAAGGCACGATTAATTTGTGTGGCAAACTTTATGAAAGGTATCTGTTAGGGGTAAACAGTATGAAACTAGGCTGAAAATTCAGAAGCGTGCTCCTCGGGTTCATCATCAAGGTCCAGTTGATTTCTGGGGTCTCCGAGGGAACCTTTAACAAATTTGGTATGACGACCCTTGGCAAACACCTTCAGCGATTCATTCAAAAAATCGACACTTGTGAAGGCAATGTTGGAGCCTAAACGGTCGCATTTGGCATGAATAAAGATGCGTGAGCCTAAACCACCTCCTGTAGCCAGGAATGTTTGGTTCATATCAATTGAAACACCAGAGGAAAATAATCCTCTGCTTGCCAACGCAAGTCCGCCGCCTAGATCGGTCAAAGCGGCAATACAGCCGCCATGAAGGCGGCCCATGCGGTTTAAGTGGTATTTTTGTAATTCCAAGGAGCATTCAACGAGTCCAGGAACTGCTCTTGTAACTTGTAGCGTAGAGAGCAGATGATAGTCAAAAGCTTCAGTATCGAGAAAGTCTTTCCAGACACTACGAACAAAGCTCAAAACTCTGGACGGTTTGGCACTCATTGTGCTAAAAATTTCTAAATGTTCTTTTTAACTCAAGGGAAGGTTCGTTACAGATGGAATAAGTGCCTGGCCTTTGGAAGGACATCGGCTGTGGCGGTATGGTAGACTTTCACCGCCGACCAGATACCAATATCGTAGTAAATGAGAATGTTTTCGCATTAGGTTTATTTACAGTTTGTTCTCAAGAATTCTTTTCTAAATCATGATGGCCGTTGGACGATGTTTTCTTCGTTTAGCACGGACATTATTAAACACTAAATGATAACCCGTAGCAAGATAAGGGCGTTTACTTTTTGAGTATATATAGTTACAGGGGTTCCGCTTGAAGAACTGTGCTTAAATATTCACTTTGTAATTAATCGTCGTTCGTTTCATTTTATTACGGAATAGTTTTCTTTTTTTTTTCTCAAAAGATAGGAAGGGCAAACGAGGCCGTTTTGGACGCAAGTCATTACATTTTTTGGCATGGCGGAAATATAATAAGTAGACCCGGACAGTGAGCAGTCAAATAATGGTTTTACTTTCTGCGCTTTAGAAAGTTAATCATCGGTTGAGCACCAGCATTTGTAATAAAGAACATTCGTTTTAATGAACTATCCCAAACAAGAACACCAAGCTCCTTTGCATATTGAACAGCTTTTTCAAAATCTTTGTCCGTGAGGAAGTCGCGAAATAATATACCAGGAGTCGCCCGCAACCGATTCCGTTCTAACTCCCAAAGATAAATCTGATCAACTAAAGTAGGCGGCAGGAGAGGAATCTCTTTCCGCATTTGGGGATGTGCGTGTGTCGTTAAATATGTGATAATCTGCTCTGCCGTAATACCACTTTGCAATGCCCGCCGAATACTATCTCTGGTAATAACACCAACAATTAAATTGGAAAACCGAGCACGTAAGTTGGTAAAAAGACCAAGAATGGCGATTTGAAGCGGTGAGTCTGTGTAAGCGTATAAACGATAATTTGTCTCGACAATAATAAACCCTTTCCCGGCATCAGATCCCGCACCCTTGACTGGTGAATGATACTCAGTGGTTAAACTAGTAGCAAGACGAGTCGGGTAAAACCGCCGGGATGATGATTTTTTTTGATACACTAGGCCGTACTCGCGTAAGTCTTCTAACATGATTTGTTGAGTATCGGTCAAGAAGTGAACTGAATAATCTCGACCTAATTCCAAACTGCCCAACATGAAGAGAAAGTGCAACACTTGCACGGGATCCATGTGCGTGTCTTCTGAAAGCTTCAGGTACTCTAGTAAAAGTGTCCAAATTTGTGTATTAATGTCTTGAAGCAAGAACTGGAAGCCCGAATGGGTAATTCGAACTTGATTTTTTGTTCCCGTCATCAACCCACCCCGACGTAACAAACTGAGAACACCTTCACCAGGGATTTTTTTAACTGACGTTCCTACCATGAAGTGGAGAATTGTCTCCCATGTGTCGGTAGCATATTTGTCCAAAAACTCGATGTCGACTCTTTGTCTGTCCTCATCTATACAAGGCACACCAAAAGAATTGTGTGTTCCACTGTTCAATGCAATTAGTATGAAGTAGTCACGAATTAATCTTACCCTCCGGTAAGTGCCGTGATGAATTGTTGGCGAAATTCTGAATTTAAAATCACATTTTGACCATCAACTTGAAAAATGTGCATTCTAACAAGTTTATTAAACGACTCCGTTTGATAAACCTTGCTTGATAATTTTGTCCACAAATCAAAGTCGTTTAACGCAACTGGGGAAGGATTGAAGAGCATAGCCATCACATATTGTCGGGCAATAATTGGCAGTAGACGAAAAATGGCTAAACACGTTGCAGGTTTCTGATACAACCGCATGTGATTTGGAAGCTGTTCAAGGTAATCATTGATGCTAGTTTTGAACTCTGCTTGCATTATTTAGCCTTTTTTCAACGTCCAACTGGCAGAATGGGTGGAAGGAGTGATAGCCTGTTCCAAAGAATGGGCAGGCATTCACTTACCACAATATAGGAGAGAAAACTATTGAAAGTGGAATGAAATTTCAGATTTAATTCACCTTTTTCAGTAAGTAAATGGTTTTGAAAAAAAAAAGCGTTGTCTGGACAAAAAAAAGTTTAAAACAGAAAAGCACCGAAAAACTCGAAAAAAAAAAACGAAGGGAAATCGGACAAAGTGATAAGTAAAATGTAGTGTAAATCTGTGTCAAGGTATTCATGTTTACGTGCAAAAGGAACACCTAAGAACGAAGTGCTTTCAATCTCTCTTGTAATAAATCATCAAGGTCTTGTGCTTTCACGGGCACCGGTTCTTGGGCTTGAATTTCAGTAGCTGATTGCTGGGGAAGGGGCTCGCTGTTAAGAGATTGATTTAACTCCAAGCCTGCTTCGTCAGCTACGCTTTGTAGCAATAAGTCAACGTCTTCTTGTGGTGCATCAACAGCCGTCGCAGTTCCCATGGACTATAAGTCAGTATTAGTTTCGCGATATATAAGAAGAAATGATTTCTTAATTTGCATACCTTCTCCATGACACCTGCTTGAACATTAATATCGTCGAATTGAGTCTCGAAACGATCCATGACCCTAGATATCTGTAAGAAATGTAAGTTAGTACCATACTCAAATGAAAATATTTATTTAAGAGTAATTGAGACATAGTGTCAAATGCACGCTGCAATTCAAATCTTAAAACCTTAGCACATACCATTTCAAGATTCATAGAACGTGTAGCTCTATCCATTTCACGAACGACACCACTCATGTTTCTGGACATCTATCCATATTGTTAGTTGCATAAAAAAAAACATGAAGAGATCGAACGAGAGTGTTCGACATTATAAACTCACATTTCGCATCGTAACCGCAGTTTGTATTCTGCTGCTCACTGCATCAATTCTTGAGGAAAGCCGTAAAAGATTGAGTGCTTCCTGTTGTTTCCGAATGGCGTTCGTAGCATAAATTCTCGCAATTTCAGTATTTCCTTGGGCCATTGCCTTACAAATATGTTAGATTATAGCAATGAGACAAACAAGAAGTTTACACAATCCTCACCTTTTTTATCTTTGCTTTCTCGGATTTCTCTTCTTTTACAGCTTTCTGAGATTGTTTCTTCAGCGATTTTGCTGCAAACTTAAATTTAAATTAGCGCGAGTACAATCATTTATCATACTTTTAACTGAAATAATGAATCTGTTTTCGGTTAGTTACTGTATTGAAGGTATAGAATTAATTAGAGTATTTTGAGCCAATTCTTCATACTTTCAAGACCACTCATCGTATTTACACACTAATATAATCAAAATGAGTTTGAAAAGAGTATTGATAAGCTGTAATTGAATATAACGGGAACTAGTAGTTGTAGAAGAAAGACTTGGTTATGGATACGCCGCCTGGTAGCACTCAAAACCTTGAACGAAATGCAAACGCGTACGCGTCGTAAACATTACTTTTTAAGTTAGAAACTGAAATGAAAAGGTACACAAACAATGTTCTTTATAATTAAAAGTGGCATTTGACTAAAATTACCTGCTTAGACCATTGTGAGTGAAAAGCTGATTATATATAGAACGGGAAAAGAGCGTAGAAAAAAAAAAGCTTGAGATGAGTGTAACATATACAACACGTAGTCCCTTGTTGGGACAGCAGTTAATAAAAAGGGTCAGGTTTGGTTTCTTTCAATTCACAAAGGGACAGAATTCTCTCGCAAAACCCTTATGGTTTAAAAAGACTAGAGTAACAAAATCATTCCAGCGCTGGAACAAAACTCAAATTCGCCTACTCTTTCCTACATCCGTACGAACAACTCTCTGTGAGGAGAAAACTATGCAATTATGCAGCAGGAATTCTGCTTTTTAGCAGACTTGTAAAACATACGAGACTGAGCTGACAAATTGTCGCTACGTTGAATAAGATCATCCAGTTTCTCACCGCGAGCGAGAACACTCTCAATGGTTTTGTGGAGAACGTCCTTTGTTTCGTCGAGCTCCTGCTGAACCCGCATAATGGTATCAGCTTGTTTGGGATCTTGGTACTTGGAGATGTACGTGTCCAGTTCGGGGAAGGGAAGTGTTACAGCACCCTCTGCCCATTTGTTTCGAGGATACTTTGCCAAAAATTCGTCCAGAACCTTATTTAACAGGGTATAGGCCACTCTCATAGGGTACTCCTTGTCACTAATTATGACTCCACAGAGACCATCTGAACGATTGTATACGTGGAACACATAATCTGACTGTTCAACGTCTTGTCTTTGACCAGGGGAAGTACGTTCTGTTACTGTTTTCGTGAAAAACCCCATAAACTCGCCAACACTAATGAAACGTTAGAACATATCTTAAACCGTGTGAACATACGTAGAACGTTGGAAAAATGAAAAGCTTGAGAGATCAGACACCGTGCTCAGCAACTGGACGGGCTTAGGATCATAACGGAGAACGTTAATGCCGTAAAGCTTCATAATGGGTTGTTAAGGTGAGTTGCTCTGGTTAACCTTGGCTAAGCTCATAGTAAGGTTAGTGATGACGTACAATCACACCTGTAGTATGGACGCGTCAAAGTTGTATGGGCGTCAGTCGCGCTCTTACCGTTTCCCAACCACGCACCACCATTGGGGCATTGTGCCTGTAATTTGCTTATTTTTCTTGGTATATTTTGCTCTATATGACTCCCATTCCAGATCTTCTTGCTAAGGCTGACAGTGTGTTCAAAAGCTTGCCAGAACTCGATGATTCTGTGAAGTATCATTTTGAATACAAGATTGACAATTCTGCTGCTGGTCTTGCGGTTTCTCGGTTAAAACAATTATGGAGCAAATCCTTGGAAAGTGAGGTAGACGTTCCTGATCAAAATGCGACAGGAATTGAACAAACGGAGGAGGACCCTATGACTTGGTTGTTAGGATGTTGCGAGAATGTCGCACCGTCGATGTCTTTAGATGCAGATGCACTCTTTGAAGGTGTTGTTGAGGCTCTGAGTCACTCCGCTAATGAGTATGCATGTCAAGAAGCTCTTATTAGCTTACTTGGTTACGACAATATCCAACTTGTTTCAGATCTCTTAATGAAACATCATGAATTGAAGCAATATCTAGAGACATCTGCTATTCAATACGCAGAGGAAGATCAATCTGGAAAAGATGAAACTGCCACTCATGGTGCCGCCTTATTAGAGCGTATTAAACGTTCAAAGCAGAAAGCTTTGCAAAGAACGGATAATCGTGGTCCTCTATTTACCGGACAAAAGCTGTTTAATGACGAGCAATACCCGCATGTCTACGGCGCAAAAAATATCGGCAATTCTGTTAGTATTGTGGGCAAAAAGTTTGCTCTTCCAGCCGGAAGTGTTCGTGAAGAATACGAACGCTATGAAGAGATTACAGTTCCTTACGCAAAACAAGCCGCTCGTCTTCCGGGTGAGAAGCCTGTTAAAATTTCTTCATTGAATACCTTATGTCGGAAGACATTTCTAGGATACACTTCTCTGAACCGTATTCAATCTCTTATTTTCCCGATTGCTTTTACAACAAATGAAAACATGCTGGTCTGTGCACCTACCGGTGCTGGTAAAACAGATGTCGCCATGTTAACCATCTTACAGACTTTATCCAATTATTGTGATGTCGTTGGAGTTGATAGCAATGGCGATGATATTTACAACTTGCGTAAAGATGAGTTTAAAATTGTCTATGTTGCTCCTATGAAGGCACTTGCAGCTGAAGTTGTTGACAAGATGGGAAAACGACTGGCTTGGCTTGGGGTGAAGACCCGAGAGTTTACCGGTGATATGCAGCTCACGAAGAAAGAACTTAGTGAAACTCAGCTACTTGTAACTACGCCTGAAAAATGGGATGTCGTTACGCGTAAGAGTGTTGGTGACACGGAACTTGCCGAAAAGGTTAGACTCTTAATCATTGATGAGGTTCATATGCTTCATGATGACCGTGGTGCTGTAATAGAATCCATCGTTGCTCGAACACAACGTTTTGTGGAAACGAGCCAGACAATGATAAGAATAGTTGGTTTATCTGCTACCCTCCCAAACTATCTTGATGTTTCAGACTTCTTGGGTGTAAATCGTCAACGCGGACTGTTTTACTTTTCTAATGCGTTCCGTCCCTGCCCCATTGAACAGCATTTTATTGGAGTCAAAGGTACTGCTAATTCAAGACAATCCATGGGCAATTTGGATGAGGCTGCTTTTGATAAAGTTCTTAATCTTCTCGAAAACGGTCATCAAGTGATGGTCTTCGTTCACTCACGAAAGGATACCATCAAGACGGCTAAGAAACTGAAAGAACAGTTTTACAATGAAGGCAAAATGGATTTACTGGACAGTTCTGATGAGTTGCAGTCTGAAAATCCAAAATATAAATTAATGCAACGAGAAGTGGGAAAGTCCAAGATGAACGACCTTAAAGAGTTATTTAAATATGGTCTCGGTGTCCACAATGCTGGAATGCATCGTTCAGACAGACATCTGACTGAAAAGCTCTTCTCTATGGGTCTCATTAAAGTTTTGTGCTGTACTGCTACTTTGGCTTGGGGTGTTAATTTACCAGCTTATGCCGTTGTCATTAAAGGGACTCAGTTGTACGATCCACAAAAAGGTTCATTTGTTGACTTGGGTGTCCTTGATGTTCTTCAAATTTTTGGTCGTGCTGGAAGACCTCAATTCGAGAGTTCAGCAGAGGCCTATATTGTAACTACACATGATAAACTCGCTCATTATCTTTCTGTAGTGACACAGCAAAGCCCGATTGAGTCACAATTCGTTGAGCATCTTGTCGACAATCTTAACGCAGAAATTGCGTTGGGTAGTGTTACTAACATTGATGAAGCGGTGTCGTGGTTGGGTTATACTTACCTCTATATCAGAATGCGGAAGAATCCCCTGATTTATGGAATCGCATATGATACCCTTCAGGACGATCCACTTTTGGGAAGCAAGCGAAGAGAACTGGTTATGCTTGCAGCACAGAAACTGTATGCGAATCAAATGATTGTATATAATAAAAACACTGGTTACTTAACTCCAAAAGATTTGGGACGTATAGCGTCACATTATTACATTTCCTACCAAAGTGTTACCACAATTAACAAGTTACTAAAGAGTCAAATGTCGGAAGCCGATATTTTTTCATTACTTAGTAACTGCAGCGAGTTCTCTCAAATTAAGTCAAGAGAAAATGAAGCAAAGGATTTGGAAGAGCTCTTAGAATACTCGACTCCTTGTCAACTTCGGGACTCAGTCTCTAACACACCTGGAAAAGTCAATGTCGTTCTTCAAAGTTACATTTCACGATCCCGTGTTGATGATTTTACGCTACAATCAGATATGAACTATGTTGCTCAGAACGCCGGAAGAATTACTAGAGCTTTGTTTGAGATCGCTCTTTCTCGGGCATGGTCCTCTGCATACACTGTTCTAAGTATCTGTAAATCCATTGATAAGCAACAGTGGTCATTTGAACATCCGCTTGCCCAACTGAATCTTCCTCGTGAAATTGTAGCGAAACTGGAGAACCAGGCTTCCTCTTCAACTTCAATTGTTGAAATGGTCGAAATGGACGACACGGAGTTGGGAGATCTTGTTCATAATAAGCGTATGGGCAACGTTTTAAGAAATGCACTCTCGCACTTTCCATTGCTTAAGGTGGAAGCAGATTTGTTCCCTTTAACACAAAACGTTATGAGGATCAGTTTAAATATTTCGCCTTTATTTGAATGGGATATGCGTATTCACGGAAATACCGAATTGTTTTGGATTTTTGTTGAGGATAGTGGTAGCAATACCATTTTGCATCATGAAGTCCTTTATTTGTCTAGGAAAACGTACCGTTCTATTCCTCCTTTGAGTTTTGCAATTCCGCTTTCTAATCCACCTCCTTCACAGCTTTACGTGATTGCAATTTCAAACACATGGCTTGGCGCAGAAACCGTAACCCCCGTAAACCTCTCCCATGTTGTATTGAGAGAAGATCCTAATCCTATTACTGAGCTTTTGGACTTACAACCTCTTCCAATCACTGCTTTACAGAATCCTGTTCTCGAGGAGATTTGTGCCAAGCGTTTCAGCTTTTTCAATGCAGTCCAAAGTCAATTCTTCCATACAGTTTACCATACGCCAACAAATGTTTTCATTGGTGCACCTACAGGTTCTGGTAAAACAATGGCAGCTGAATTAGCGACATGGTGGGCATTCCGTGAACATCCTGGTTCCAAAGTTGTTTACATCGCACCAATGAAAGCTCTTGTAAAGGAAAGATTAAAGGATTGGGGCGCTCGTCTTGTGGAGCCCATGCATATCAATATGATTGAACTTACTGGTGACACTTCTCCCGATTCAAAAACAATTATGGGGGCAGATATCATAATTACCACTCCCGAAAAATGGGACGGTATCACAAGAAATTGGAGAACACGCAAGTATGTTCAAAATGTGTCTTTGGTTATTATTGATGAAATTCACTTGCTTGGCAGTGACCGTGGTCCAATTCTGGAAATGATTGTTTCCCGTATGAATTACATCGCTTCACAAACCAACTCTTCTGTTAGAATACTTGGTTTGTCAACTGCGGTTGCAAACGCGCATGATTTGGCTGATTGGTTGGGAATTACAGACGGTTTGTTTAACTTTAGACATTCCGTAAGACCTGTTCCCCTCGAAATCTACATTGACGGTTTCCCTGGAAGAGCTTATGGCCCCCGAATGATGTCAATGAATAAACCCGCATTTCAGGCAATCAAAACTCATTCACCTACGAAACCTGTTATTATTTTTGTCTCCTCACGTAGACAAACCCGTTACACAGCAAGAGACTTGATTTCTTTCTGTGCGCTTGAGGACAACCCTAGACGTTTCTTGAACATGAAAGAGGAAGATTTGGAAATGGTGCTAACAAAAGTTGAGGACAAAAATCTAAAAATGTCTCTTCCTTTTGGCATTGGGTTGCATCACGCTGGTCTTACTGAGGATGATCGACGGATCAGTGAAGAGCTGTTTGTCAATAACAAGATTCAAATTCTCATTGCTACTAGCACAATTGCTTGGGGTGTTAACACACCTGCGCATTTAGTAATTGTTAAGGGTACAGAGTACTATGATGCTAAGATTGAGGGTTACAAGGATATGGATCAAACAGACGTACTCCAAATGCTCGGTCGTGCCGGACGTCCTCAATTCGATACCGAGGGTGTTGCAAGAATTTTTGTTCAAGACACGAAGAAATCATTCTACAAGCACTTTTTGCATAGCGGTTTTCCTGTGGAGTCATATCTTCACAAAGTTTTGGAGGATCATATTAATGCAGAAATTGCTTCTGGAACGCTTCATTCGCGACAGGATGCGATGGACTTTTTAACTTGGACGTACTTTTACCGTCGTGTTTATCAAAATCCTGTTTATTACGGTGCTGCCAGCAACGATCAGGAAAGCGTCGATGAATTTTTGTCTCAACTTATTAATAACACTTTCAAAGAATTGGAGCTTTCTGCCTGTATTTACAGAACAGATAACGAAAATTACGCACCGACCTCACTTGGAAGAATTGTCAGTTATTACTACATTTCTCACAGATCCGTGCGCAATGTGGTTCAAAAACTGCGGAGCGACTTTGATTTCCCAAGCTGTCTTCAGCTACTTGCCGAGTCTACCGAGTTTGATGATTTGGCTATCCGTCATACAGAAGATATCACAAACGCAGAAATCAACAAGACCTTAAAGTATAACGCAGAACGTCTCAACCTGAGAATGGTCGACGCACATGTGAAAACATTTATTCTTTCTCAGGCGCACATGGCTCGTTTGGAGTTGCCCGTGGATGATTATATTACCGATACGTTCGCCGTTCTCGATCAAATTATTCGTATCATTCAAGCATATTTGGATGTGTCAGCAGAACTAAGTTTCCTTAATGTGTGTTTCACGTTTATTAGCATTTTACAGTGTTTAAAGCAAGCTTGCTATCCGGATGAGCTATATAGAAACGCACTTCCCTCTCTTACGTTTAAGTCAGAGAAAGAGGCGAAGAAAGTGCTATATAAAGTTGCTGGAAAGTCTCGTCAATTTTTGGAAAAGACGCTCGCGAAACTAAGTTTGGTTCCAGAAAGCATGGATGCTTTGTACGCAGCGACCTCCGCATATCCAGACATGGACATTCATGTGAGTCAAAAATCGCCTGAACTTGTTCACTTGCAGATTCGCCGTTGCAACCCCCCTTTGAACCCAGACTTCCATATTTACTCTGAAAAATTCCCTAAACCTCAGACAGAAGGTTGGTTCGTTCTCATTGGCAATCCACAGACTGACGAACTATTTGCTATTCGGAGGGCGTCTATGCTGGGAAAGAATTCTGCTCAACAGAAACTTACGCTACGTCTTCGACTCGATATTCCAGCTCCCTGTCAAGGCCAAAACGCAAAAGTTTATGTTATCAGCGATAGCTATCCGCTGGTATACGAACACTCCATTCATTTAATGTCTCCGTCTGAAGCAACGAGTACAACCTCATAATTCGCCTTCCGTCACGTCCTCCCCCGCCAACTGAGAATAACCTCCCGAATTAACCAAAAATTTATTAGCCCAATCTACAACTGCATTTCTTCATCCGGAATTTCTTCACCACGGCTCGTGCTGTTTGCGAGTTCACGGCGAATCTCCGGACCAATGGAGTAATGACCCTTAGCAATGACAACCTCGAGCAATGCATCTTTTTGCTCAGGCGTGATATCATGCTTGTATCGTTGAGCGAATACAAGCAACGATTGATGTTCAAGAACAGCAAGAGGACGATCAATAGACTTCCAACGAAGGAAATAGAAAACAAGTGCGTCCACTACCTTGTACGGCAGAGCGTACTTTTTGTCCAATAAGATGCGGATAAATAACGACTGTGCTCCACTCATTTCAAACTCTGTCAAACGAAGCAAAGCAGCAGCAGAATGCAGTACAGGGACTGAAACTTTAGTGAGAACACTGCCGACGATAGCGGCTTCACGTAAGGTGCAACCCTCCTGGAGGAGAGGAAACAGGAATCCCTTAAACCAAGCTGCGGGTTTATAAAGGCCCTTCTTTAAAGCCATGTACAAGTGATAGTTAAGTTTTCCTCCGTCACGAATATCCTCACGGACACGTTCAAGCAAAACAGTTGTCAAAAACCGCTGGGCCTGGAGAGGCTTCAAATTGGAGACGAAAATACGTGTGGCTTGATACACGGCGTGAGGAGTCCATGTGTCTGGTCTTGTAAGATAGAGAATATCTTCCCAGTTCGATAAGTTAGGAATAATTTTGAACGCTTTAGGGATTTTGCCTGAACGGTATCTAGACAACAGCAAGCCTACCTTGCTATAAACCTCGATAACCTTAGGAGGGAGCGGAGGCAATCCCGATTCTTCTTCTTCTTCCACGGGCAACTCACCGCGAGCTCTCGCCTCTGCCTCTTGAATCTTCTGCATAATAAGATTCGACAAGTTGGTGGGTTTTTGTTCTGTTTCTGGGAGAAACTTGTCAAACAGAGCCTTGTCACCTTCATCGATTTCGAACTCTTCGTACTCATCCTCCTCCTCTCCAGCAACAAATTCATTATCCGAGCCGTAATTAGCATCATCACTGTCGTCGTCCTCGTCTTCGATTTGAGGATTTGACAGACTGTCTCTGGCGGAAAGCGAAACTGAAGCAGCTTCAGGCTTGCTGGAAGCTTTCAAAGATGTAATTTTCAACGAATTGCCCTCATTTTTCGCGTTTCCTTCGGCGTTTTCTTCCTGTTCAATCTCCTCTGCTTGTTCTCTAGCAAGACGAAGAATTTTCTTTGACGATTTCGCGTCTAGAAACTCAGCATTTGCCTTCTTTTTTCCGGACTTTTGAGGTTTTGAGGTTTTTGTTCGCAAAATGCCTTCCTCGCGGCTCTTTTCAATGTCCTGGTGCAAAGGCACATGGCTCAATCTCACCTTAGGAGCTTTAGGCATCTTACAGTTATCGAGGTAGAGGGTGCGTCGAAATTTTGCTGGTTTCCTTCCTGGAGTGCCCGAGCAGGGAAGGAGCGGTAAGCGAGTAAGCGATGGTCTGCGGGATTAAGCGATTGTTAAGCGAGGTTTGAGGACATAGAGACGGTGAATAGATCTGTACACTAATCAAGAATAAACTGTTAGCAAGAGACGGTGTGTGTATTTTTACTAACAGTTTTCTTGCTTCCGGAAAGTTTGAATCGTTCAGGATTTAGTTTTCCTTCACGTGATTACTTTAATATTTAAGCTTTCGCTACGCAGTGAAAACGAGAGAACTCTAACGAGCGTCCAAAGTGCTCTCCGCGAGAACTATGAAAGTATCCATTAGCCAAGAACTCGGCTCCCTGTGTTTTTCTGTTGACTGTGATCATTCTGTTTAAATATTCGCGTAAAATACGCGTTTTTGGTTTCCTTATTTGTTTTAAAGGTTAAAATTCGCGGAATTGGGCAAGAACAAAGTTTTAGAAGGAGTGTTCGTTGTCATATTCTTTCGAACGACGCGATTCTCTTCGTTTCCTCCATCACGACTTGGGTTATTTCATGAAGCTCGTTTAATACTGTAATTTTGGTTGTTCTGGTTTAACATTCTTAAATACAACTCTTTGTCTATCATCATGGATGATGGAGTCGTTTGGAATGCGTCTCATACACTAAACAATAAGCATTCTTACTGCTACTGTGGTGCCGACAGGAACCTTTGTGTGCCGGATTTGCAATGCTCCTCATGTCATAATATGTTTCACTTACAATGTTTGACGCCTCCTTGCACGTCTATGTTGGGATTCAGTACGAATTACCGGTTCCTGTGTAAGAATTGCTCTGAAGGTGGGATTGAACAATTGGAAAGAGGAGTTTCTGCTTGGAAAGCTGTCACAGCAACTGCAATGGCGAATCTTGTCGTCAATAAGTTTCGTGAAATGCGTCCAACAGAGCCCTTGGATTATTTCAGTGCTAAAAATATGCAAAATTTTAAAGCGAATACATTCTTTTTTCAAAAAAAGGTCGACTTGATTCCATACGTGGAAGCGAATTGGCACCTGCTCTGTCCAGACCGTGAAAAAGTGCAAACATGGCAGGCAACGCTTGGCAGTTGTCTTGTTGCGAATAAAGATACTTACCGCGCGAAGGATGAGTCTCAGAGAAATCAGATATCAGAATATGCTTTAGCCAACCCGAACCTCTTTGAGTTTCGGTCGGGCTACATCTCTCCCTTCCAAAAAATTGGAGCGGTTGTGCCTATGAAGCGTTACATTGACTCGGATCATATGAGTCATTTACAACGAGCTAAAAAAGAAGCGAAAGAATACAACAAACGTGAACCGAAAAAGGCTGCCTTACCGCCGCCCCCTCCAAAAAGACAAGAAGTTGTCATCAGTGTGCCAATTAGATACAATCCACCTCCATGGAAACCATCTGACTTCGATGCTATGCCAAAACCGCCCATGTTTTCGCCAACTCACACTTCAGCGAATGGAAATACTTTCTTTACAGTGGCGGACATTCCCTTTAACCGTCCTGGCTTTCGATACACTATGTGTGAGGCCGCTCGATCACTGCCGAGTATCATGTATCGACAAATTGAGTTGCCCCCTTATAGAGCTCGCATTAATTGGCACGACACATCTGAGCCGTTGCTCGTGGACTCTACGGCGATGGCTGCGTATGTCAAAAGGGGTTTCCGAATGGCACGGGCAAACGTTTTTGTGAACAGTGGAGAATGGTATTTTGAAGTTAGAATTGAAAAAGGAGGCGGTGAAGATGGTGCACATGTTCGTGTGGGCGTTGCCCGACGTGAAGCGCCGTTGGATGCGCCTGTTGGTTATGATGCATACTCTTATGGTTTGAGGGATACGGGTGGACAATGCGTTCATTTGTCACGGCCGACGGATTTTATGAAACCTTTCGGAACAGGCGATGTACTTGGATTTCACATATGTTTACCTACAAAAAAAAGGGCGGCGAATGTTGATCTTCCTGTGTACCGTGATCGTATTCCCATTCGTTACAAAGGACAACTTTACTTTGAACAATTAGACTATATACCGTCAAAATCAATGGACGATTTACTCGTGCCCTTGCCTTCGCGACCACAATTGAATGCAGCCAGTATTCCTGGATCTTTTATTAAAGTCTATAAAAACGGTGTTTTGATGGGGACGGCGTTCAGTGATCTGCTCGATTTCCGACCACCTCATTCCGCCAATGCAAATCATATGTCTTTCGATGATGGACAACTGGGTTATTTCCCAGCAATAAGTATGTTTGGGGGCGGAATCGCTAGTTTTCAATTTGGACCACATTTCTCTCACGTTCCAGCTGGTATCGGCCCAAATGTGCGCCCTATTTGTGAACGTTATGATGAACAAATAGCGGAGGATGTGCTTTATGATATGCTTGACGAAATAGAATACGCTGAAGACGCGGCTAAACAAACTCCTCAAACCGAGACAGCAACCAATTTGTCTATCGTCCAAGAACTTAAAGAGTTCAACTAACACCGGAAGGAATTCCATATGGCGTTAAAAGCCAAATGTATATTATAGATTCATATTCATGATATCGGATCAATCCTAATTAGTTACCTGTAAGAACGGAGTATAGATTTTGTTTGAAACCTTTATCGTAAATATTGTCTACTTGTGACATAGAGGTAAGTAGTTCTGCATTAGGTGGAGCATCTTCTAGCAAATACAAACGTTGTTTACCATTTACCACTTCACGGTAAAGCTTTCGATCTTCAACGAGATGCTTGATATCTTGCCATTTTTGTGATTCATTCGTAGTCATGCCGGTATAAATTAACCATAACTCGAAGGCTAAGAATGCGATCACAATTGGAGAGATAAGGAAACTCATTAAAAACATGCATCCCATTGCTCGATGAAGCCGAATAGAATTCCATAGAGAAGGTATAAGGGCAATATCACGGTTACGTCGTACATAAACATATTTTCCTGTAATAAAGCATCCTTGCACTAGCCCTTGGCAAGTGCTAAATAGAAAAAAAAGAAAGTAACGTGCATTTTTTTCACCGACACAATTATTAATCCATATACAATGATGGTCAAATCGGCTTACACAGTAGCCACAAAGTCTGCAATGTTTTGAGCGAGCGGGTCTCACAAATTTGCATGTAGAGCAAGTTTGGGGGAAAAATATGCAATTGTCGAATGGATACTTGCGAAAAGCTTGAACCCAGTTCTGTTCCGTTATGCGTCCAGGATTGGAAGTCGAGGCAAGGAACAATGAGATACAAGGTAACGAGAGACAAATTAGGATATACGTCCAGGTAAAGAAACCCCACTGAGAAGTGATTTCCTGGCCATTGTGAAAAAAAGCATATGCGCCAGCAACTAACAAAGTAAGGTAGAAAACAATGACCAGTGGATTCCTTTCATTCCAGAGGTAGTTGTGTACACGGCGAAAAACTCGAGTCAATATGCCACGAAACAGGTTTTGATCCAAGACAGAAAATAAATGTGGAATATGTACCAGCAGAAGCCGATTTAGCCAACCAATTGGTCCATGATGAAATGCAGGTATTTGTCCAAAAAGGATCACGAAAAGAAACGCAGAAAACGACAGACAACAAATCACATAAATTTGAAGCGATGTCATTTCCCTGACATTTACGGTAGAAAACGTCAGATACTTTTGTCGTCCTCAAAATAAACAAAAGGAACAACAGATTGTCGCAGAAACTAAGATTTGTACTTTTGTTAAGGCAAATTTCTTCTTATTTGGAGGTGTGCCACTTTACTGCCAGAACAACTTAACAAACACCCCAAACATAAAAAAACGAATTGTTTTGGTCAGGAAAGTTCCTGTAGCTCAAGAATGGTTGTAGAAAAGAAAGTTTTTGTCCATCTGTATCGCAATTTGATTCGCACGTCGAAGCAATTCCCGTACAGTTTCAGAGAGTTCTCCCTTCGTCGAATTCGTGACGCATTTCGTGAGGGAAGAAATGAAACGGACCCTGTAAAGGTTCAGAAGAATTTTGAAAAGGCTCAGGAAACTCTTCAGTTGATTCAACGACAGACGATCATAAACAAAATGTACACCAAAGGCAATTTGGTTGTCGAGGTATGCAGTGTCACTTAATAACAACTCTGAGATGTTCAGAGTAACAGTTCGTAAACGTCGCTAATACGTAACAGAATAAAGGACCTAAGGAGAATGTTGATAGTGCTTTGAAAAAAGCACACTAGAGGAGGTGTAGTTTATGAGGTTGATGAATATAGATATGTGTTTTCATAAGGCAGTGAGAGAACTTAAGGGAAGTGCAATCTGTTGGTAATTATCGTTTGCGTTTAGGGTACGCTCGAATTAGACAATTTAAACCACCTTAATGGTAGAGTGTTGAGGGCAATCATGCGACGTCAATCGTTTTTAGAATCGCATTCCATGTTTACCATATTCTCTTTGATACCATAGAGTAGCGCTCCAAACTCCAAAACGACTTGTTCTTATCTGTCGCTAAGTCGTCAGCAGGATCATTTAAATACGACTTTGTAGGTTTGTCGATTTCAATATGGCCACGAAACCAATTATTTGCCTTTCTTTCCTTTTCCCAGGCATTGCTTTCCCGTTCACGTTGATGAATTCCATCTACTCTTGACTGAGCGAAACCGTAAATGCTCATGCCGATTGTCACTTTGACACTTACGACGACGACAACAACAATACCAACTACAATGGCCCAAGAAAAGGCAGACAAAATTGTATGTTCCCAGAAAGATTCGCTCGCAAAGTCTTTTATACCCCCAATAATATCTTGTCGAGACATGGCAAACTGATCAGGCAAAAATCCAGCAGCTGACCTGTCCAGGTCTCGATGCAGCTCTCGAGCAGATTGAAACATTGACCAAGTTTGGCCAAGAGTGTGAATGAAAACAACAGCAAGCGGCAAGACAGGGAGACCCATCCGACGAGCGACGAACTGTGAACGACCAGTGCTAGTTGAGACACTATCTTGTTCCACCTTAATGTAATCATGACAAAGTACATCAGTAAATCGTGCATAGATGGAAGGGCGTATGTAGTTAAACTTTGTAACAAATGCGTGTTTCAACCAATCAACAAAATATTCTGATCCAATGACCCACAAGAAAGGCATTACTAATTTCTTCAATTTCGTATAAGTGAACAGTGGTACCGTAGGTGAAGAGGTTGCATAAAGTTCGGTCACATTGCGAAGAAAGACAACGATCACCATAACTGTTATTTGAAATCTTTCAATAATGTCTGAACAAGTAATCTGGAAGAGGTTCTCTTTTTCGAATTTTTTGAAGACGGCGCCTTTGATTTCGACAAATTGGTTGGAGATCAAGAGGCCAAACACATTGTTTGAGTAGGAATTGATGGTAACGTTGAGAGTAAGTATTTGATAAAGCAAGACGAGAGAGTGTAAAACCATGTATGCCACGCATAACCCAAAATACCAGATTAAATGTAGCCAGCCAGAAGCAGAAGTAAAAGGAAACTGAAGAGTGTCCAGAGAAAACAAGCAGTCCAGTAAGTCTTGGCCGAATGCAGAGCAAAGTCGGTCAACGACTTCTAATAAGTTGTACAGAACGTAAAAACGAATAGCTGCCTGAGCCCGGATAACATGGTAAACTCGACTTGCATCAAAGTTATGTAGTAGTCGTGCAGTTAAACAGACCAGTAAAAACTTCAAGATGTCAGTTTTCTGACACAAAGACAGATGAAATTTGTGATTTCTCGGGCGTATACGGATGAATGACCAAAGCATCGAGAGAAAGTTTAGAAAAAGCATAAAAAAAGTCATGACTAAACGGAAAGGAAACAAAACGAATATATACAGGAAACAGTCCACACAAACTAACCAACCAAACAAGAATGTTTTTTCTATAGCAAGTGGGACCTTAAGAAAGTTGGCAACACGGATCTTTTTAAGTGAGCTTGTTTGAACCATATCAGGTTCCGTAAGCTCCAGTTTTAGGTAATCCCAAAAGGAACGAAGTCTCCGTTTTCTACGAGAGCTCTCCGGTTTCGGAGTGCCCGGGGTTGCTGAAGGACGTGCATTGTTGGCCGTTGAAGGATGAAGAAACTTCGCATTCAATAACGGATCCATATTGATAGATGACTTTCCCTCACCGGCAACCTTCATACGAGTGTATACTGCAGATTTCAGCGGCTGTTCTGCTTTAGCAGGGCTGTTTTTTGCAGAAGACTGAGCACTGCATCGAAGATCAACACTGTGCGACCGTTCTTTTGAAACATGTCGGCTTCGCAAAGTAGAAATGCTGCTTGAGGACGGACGAAATTCTTTACTTTCTTCCGAACATTTGGACGGAGTCTTATAAACATCTAAAACAGTATCTTCTGTTCCAGTCAGGTCTTGTTTAACACGGTCATTTGGCATAATCGCAAGACTTTCTGTCATTAATCACAGAGAAGTAAGAATGAGAAGACCGTAAAGTGCAAAAAAGACTATAATAAGACAATTACCACGGTGAAAAGATAAGACACAAACGTTCTCGCGTCACAGCAATGGAAGCGTTCAGCGGTGAAAATGATTCAAATACTCAAAAAAACAGTATTTACTGGTATCAATTGCTCGTAAGTCAGGCAAGCATTCAATTGAGCAGACAAATTCACTTGTCGTGCAAATGGCAAATGGAAGGACGCCAATTTAGGTTTGTCTACGCGATGCCTAAATAAGGTTTAAGGTAGTGTACGTTACAGTTTGATAAATGTATTTAACGCAATTCCGTAAATTTTCTTAAAGTCACACAGGGAGCAACTGTGTGGGAAGAAATGGAGCGTGATGAAATTAAGCAAAGTCAGCAAAAAAAGAATGGAGTGTTGAATGAATTACATTATCAGTTGGCAAGGACGATACTCCTAACTTGTTTTGTAGCTTTTGACTTCGTCATCTTAATTGGACGCATGTTTATTATCGGCCGCTTCGCTTAAATCGTAAACCTTATATGGTGCGCCTATAGCAACCAATTATAAACTGAAGTAGAGACTTTCTTGGTAGAACAATTGCATTGAGTATACGAGCGGTTATTTGCTATTTCACGGATAAAATTCTTTTAGTTAAAAATATCTATCAATCGTAAATTTAGCGAATGTTATACAGAAACGTTTCTTTCCTGCAATTATAAGCAAGATTAACGTCGGTAAAATGAATGCACTATTGAACAAGATTGGGGTATCGACCGACATATAACGATAATAGCGTCGGTTTTTTTATTGAATATGTTATTGGATTGAAGAATTGTGTCGCATGTATAATGTCTTTCGAAGCTTGAAGACGATCATACTTAAACGTATTCGGTTTGTGCCTTTGAGGAAGAGAGGGAACCGATAAAATTTGGTTGGATACTAATACACCTCAAGCAATCACCTCAGTTCGTAAAAGCTGCAAGCGTTCTTAAAGAATCTCGACTCGTAAAAAAGATGTATTCAATATTGGCCTTGTTGACGCAGCTGAACTGGCATTCGTGATTAGTTGTCAAAAATATAATTACCTATGAACAAGTGTGAACTGAATCTAGAAATCAACGTTTATTTTTAAAATTGGAATTAGGAATTAGTAGAGGTCAAAGTGCTTTCATTGACTTGAATGAGAAAGGAATACATATGTATACATATATATATATATACGATATTCCCGTCTTTCCAGAAATTAAGATTATATTCTTACATCCTTCGTCTGCATTTTAGTGGCATTCTGTTCGAACCCCTAACTGGAAATTGGAAATTAAAAAGGGAGACATTGGAAATTTTCCTTGAACATAAACTGATTGTTCTCATGGAAGAACGATATGCATATCCGACGTATACGACTAAATGTTTTCGATTGATAGTGCTATGTCACTGAGCCTGTAAGCATGTGGTTACAATTGGCTCTGTCAAAAATGTATTTGCCAGTGTCTCTGAAGATGTTGAATGGCTTATTAAAAATGGCCGAAAACATCAAATTTGTAATGAAAAAAGGGGCTTGATAATGGAACTCGAAGTAATTGCTAGTCATCGTAAGTATTTTTGGAGATAGGCCGTCAGAAGAAACAAGGTGAATACGGTTATGATTGGCCGAAACGTTTTCTGGATCATGGTATTGGTATTCGTTCATTTTTTTTATATTATACTAAAAACCCTATGAATTTAGCGCCCATATTCTTCGGATCATACATTGACTTATTGTTGCAGCCAAGTGTCTTCCGAAACCCAAGAACTATATGTGAGCCTTAATCCAATATGTAGTTATGAGATTTACTAACATCAAAATTGACTGTATATTTCACGGTGCTATGCTTGCACAGGTCGAGCATGAACTTATCTAGTTTTGACCTCCATAGACTATAATGCAATTGAATTAAGCGTGTTAATAAAACAAGGTTGGTGACATCAACGATGTCTTTGGGCGGACCACGCAGAGAGTTGCATGAGAGCCTTTGCAAATTGATCTTTCGAGAGAGGGAGAAGGCCCTCTTTTAATACTGCTAACAGTATAGTGCATTAAATGCTTCACCGTTTAATGATTAAGTTCAAGAGTTCAGAACAACGCAGGTCGCACTAATGATCAGCTATGTACTTGCGACGCATCACAATTGTCATCGTTTGGTTACTAGGTTCGCCATCAACGATGTATAATAATATTATTTTATCAACTTTTCTTCAGTGACCCACTCAACACTTGCCAGCACCCTTTCCAATCTCCATAAATGAGTATGATAATATAAACGTAGCCAAGTCAAATCACTTAAACCAGAGCTCCTACAAACAGCGATTGTTCGTGCAGAGTGACAATTGAAGCTTTATTAATCCACCTAATCATTATTCTATAGTGTAAAAATAGTATACCAAATGTGCATACATATATGTATGAATCCTTTCACTAAAAAAATAAATAAATAAAAAATTACCAGAAAATAATCCGAGTTAGTAATTTAAACCTACTGAAAGAATTATTTATACTAACATGTTTCTGTTTTACTAAAATATTTTACTTTTATTTTTTTTTTGTATATGTTACAACCTGCTCTTCTCCATCATCCACTCGGTTACCTCGCTCATTATGGAAAATGAAAACGTGTTTCGTTTGTCCGAAAAGTTCTATAAAAAGCAACCCGATAGTGGAATTGATTTATCCAAAGTTTTAGATGCCTCGGACGAAAACTCGTTTGGATTTGAAAAGCTACAAGAGACGAAACCGGGTGTCTGGGAACACGAGGAGATGCCTGGTCTGCTTATTTTAAATAAATGTTTGGCACCTGAGACTCAATTGGACATTGTTAAATGCATTTTGGAAAGACAATTAAGTGATTCCCGAAACAAGTCAAACCTTTCACCTTTTTATGAGCTCCCTCATGGCGAAAAGAACCTATGGACAATGTACAAAAACGGGGAAGACAACGTTGCTATTCCTCCCACTGGAAGTAGTAAACCTGTTACGGTTAAGAACCTTATGGAAAAGAAATTGCGATGGATAACCTTTGGTGAACAGTACAACTGGACTACTAGAGTATATCCAGACCCTGCCACGGCTCCGCCATTTCCAGAAAAACTAGGTCATCTCACTGAAGAGCTCGTGCACAAAGCAACCGAGTTTAAAGATTGGAAAGCAGAGGCCGCGATTGTTAACTTTTATTCTCCGCGTGATACTTTAAGTGGACATGTGGACGATGCAGAGGATGATTTAACACTTCCTCTGCTTTCCATGTCCATAGGTTTAGACTGCATTTACTTGTTGGGCACTGAAACTCGAAAGGATGTTCCGAAGGCTATCAGACTTCACAGTGGTGACGCTGTCATCATGACTGGACTGTCAAGAAAGGCATATCATGGTAAGAATAAGACAAAGTCGACTAGTCAGCCTTCAAGCTAACCCCCCACAGCCGTACCCAAGATTATTCCCAATACTGCTCCCTCCTACTTACAGCTCAAAGACGAAGCTGTTTGGAACCAATGGATCCAAACCAAACGTGTCAATTTTAATATCCGTCAAGTTCGAGTGTAGCTTTATACCATTTGTATTACTAGGAAACCTGTAACTTATGTATAGATACATATATATTTATATATATATAATTTTTTTTGGAACAAAGCTATAGACATAAAGAAGGAAACCATTCATTAACAAAACATTTATTATAGCTTCCGAATAATGGATAGACATTGCATAATAACAGTTTTAATGATAATTTTTCTGTACACGCGTGGCCTTTTTGATGGCAGAATTGACAACACCACAAAGCTATTGTTGTACAATCTTGAATTATTTTAAAGTACACTTTAATTCATAGTAGAGTATTGGATTAGTGTAGACTCTACGTGCTCTGTTACACCATTCGTTAGGATGTCAAACATAAGAGAGGAACTTATTTCAAATGCCGTCCAATTTCTTCGACAACAGGACGTCTTGTCAAAACCTCTTGAGAAAAAGATTGAGTTTCTTCGTGGGAAAGGACTTTCCAATGAAGAAATTGAACAGTCTATTCAACTAGCTCGAAATGTCATTTCTGGACTTGATACTCCAACAACGAGTCGTCCATGGGATTGGAGAGATTGGTTCATTATGGGTGTCCTTGGCTCAGGATTCGCGTGGTCTGCGTACACGCTGGTTAAGGTAAGAAAAAGTTCTGATAGACCAAGTGTCTTGCTCAATCAACTCACGCTTTCCATAGAAATATGTCATGCCCATGGTACAGCCTCCCACTCGTTCTCAGTACGAGATTGATAAAGAGGAATTAGAACTGAAATATGAGTCGACTCAATCTTCTCTTCATGCACTCGGTAACGATACCAAAAAGGTTTTAGAAGAGACGGAACGCCAACAAGAAGTTCTTGATTTGGCGCTGGATGATCTGGAAGACACTTTGAAACAGCTCAAACAAAACGATGATGACCGTGACCGAGACATGGCACGCTTATCACAAGATGTATATACATTAAGTACAATTACGCTTCCGAACGCGCTTAAGGAAATCCGAGACACCCAAGCAACTGTATTGACACAGCTTGCTCAAGAGGTCCGCTCTCTTCGCCAGTTGCAAGGAAAAACCGAAGGCCATAATTCTTCAGAGTTATCTTCTACATCCCCAGCCAGTTCCGAACCATTAGATGCCAAAGGCAGTGCTCCTGATGCTGCTGCTACAGCAACTCTTCAACCTGTTTTTAAAAACAAAATACCTCATGCCATTCCTCCTTGGCAGGCAGCTATGCATGCTCAAACTTCAAAGACTATCCAAGAATCGGCAGGGGAAACGAAACAACAAACTGAGAATGAGGATATATAAATTACTTCTACTCTAATAACATAAAACGAAAGTCGGCGCTGGGTTTGTCATTTGCGTGGGAATGTCAATTCATTATGTATTATAAAAGCGCACGTCGTCTACATTACAATCTCACCAACCAAACCAACGGTAATCTCTTTGTTGGGAAGAACAAGACAGTTTTGGACACGAACCTCATCAGTAACCCGACAACCAGAGCCCATAACAGTGATGGCTTGCACCTTCACATGGTTGCGCATAATAGTAGTAGAGTGTTGGCTGGGGAGTGTGGGCGATCCCTCAACACGAGACCAGCGACCAATACGGCAATGGCGGGAAAGAATGGAGTAGAGAACAACGGCATTTTCACAGATCTCCGAATCGTCTTGAACAATTGAGTCACGGATACGAGCACCAGCGTGTACCTTCACATGTGCACCGATGGACACATTAGGGCCGATCTTAGCACCTGCCTCAATAGTAGCTGAAGGATGGATGTAAACCGGTTGAATAATTGTGGCCTCCGTCTCGACCTTAGGAAGCTTGCCCTCACGGAGAGCCTGATGAAGGTAAAGATAATTTGCAGGAACTGCGGAACCAGCGGTCTTGATTTGGCGCCAGAAATCTGTCGTGTTGTAGGCATAAACAGGTTTTGTCTGGTCGGAACAAAGGGGCGCGAGAACATCAGTCTCCAAACTCAAATAATCTTCTGAAGTTTCTTCAGAATAGTGTTCCTCGGCTCGTTCCTTGGCCGTACGCTCGTACGCCTTCTTAATCTCATCAAAAATAGCAACGTCAAAGACGTAAATACCACAGGAGATAATGTTAGAGATGTAGGAATCGGGCTTGTCCACGTAGTGCAACACTTTTCCGGAAGAAGTGTCCTCAACGAGACAGCCAAAGTTCTTGGCATCATCTTTACTAACCTTGGTCGTCATAAGCGTGACCAAAGCCTTCTTTTCTTCATGAACTGCGTACAATTGACTCAAAGGGAAGCTACAACAGACATCAGCGTGCATAACGAACAAGTCCTTCACATCACTCTTTCTGATTTGGTCACGGAAATGGTAAAGACCGCCACCGGTTCCCAAACAGTTGTATTCGCGTAAATACTTAATGCGACGGAAGCAGGGGAAGTTCTTGGAAGCCTCGTTTACAAATTCCGAGAACACATTATCATCATAAAAACCGACCAAAAATACGTCCTTAACATTTTCCAAACGCGACAAAGCTTCCAGATGATGGTAGATCATCTCTTTTCCAGCAATTTTAAAGAGAGGCTATGATAAATTGTTAGAACAGAAAACACGTCTACTAAGAAGTAATTATTCGAGTACAAACCTTTGGAACATCAAAGGAGAGAGGACGGAAACGAGTACCACTACAGACGTTGTTAGTGCGAGTTGAAACAGGGAATTACAAACCGAGAAGGACCGCCGACCAGGATTACGGCAGAAGAGCAGTGTTTTTGTATGGACATTTTGTTTTAAATAGCAGGCACGTAGAAACGTTTGTGCAATAGGTATTGGGAAAGGGCTAGAGAAGCTAACGGAGTTGCGAGACCATACTGGTATGTTTACGTCATATCTACATCATCGACGTCTGTAAACAAACGCGTCGCGAACTTAGACTGAAAGCTTAATTGAGCTAACGGTAAAGAAGGCAACTGGTAAGCAAAACAATTGAAACGTCACTCATAGAATTATGTTTAGCTGGAATCTAATTGATTCTTAATCGTCTTCTGCTTGGTTAACAGTACTTTACAAAACATCGAATTTCTCACTCAACACGAAAGAAACGTTACTAATTGAAGAATAACCCTAAACAAACCTTCTAGAATTGGTTAAATGCTTTAGAAAAACCCTATATACATTTTTACATACATCAATCTGTAACAGATACACTATTCTATCTTCTTTCTTTCAGAAACCGAGATTGCACCAGTTGTTGATTCCTTTTAGCTCTGATGGTAAAAAAGCCCAAATTTTCGCTTTCCAGACAGGTTTGTGTCATACATATTAAGTATAAGTACTAACATATCTTGCTCGACAGCTTTTACGGCCGAGTTGGAACAAATATAACGCTTTTAATTTTGCGTGTAAAAAGCTTCCCAATCTGAACGGAAAAACACTATTTCAAAAGAAATGGATCGCAAAACGAGAAACAAGAAGTTTTCATGGACCACATTTACGAGAATATCAGTTCAAAAACTATTTTGAATCGAAACTACTCGGTATGACTTCGGTCAATTCACCTGCTGAAAACTCAAAGATTCCATTTATGAGCCAGTTGTACGCACCGTTGGAGTCTAGACTCGATATTGCACTACACAGAGCTATGTTTGCTTCTAGTGTCGAGCAGGCTCATAAAATTATCGTGTCCAATAAAGTGTCGGTGAACGGTATTCGCGAAAAACGGGCTCATTTACGTTTAGAACCGGGGGACGTAGTTACCGTCGATCCTGCTACAGTTATGCGCTCCGTTTCTTCCTTTAAACCGACCAAAAGTTCTGCTTCTTCAGCTGAAGCCACACAAGACGCACAAGATACACGAGACGAAAAGGCTGTCAAGGCGCAAACGAACAAAGCATGGTTAGAAATGGGCGTGGAAAAGTTTATACCCAAACCATTTATGTGTGTATTCGCGTTTATCCCTTCGTATCTTGAAGTTTGCTTTAGGACATGTTCATTCGTCTATGTTCGACATCCAATTGCACGTGCAAATATGTCTGAAGTACCTTCACCGTTTCCTGAAAGATTTCATGCCCTCGCATACAATTACTACATTCGTTTTCGTGCCATGAGACAAAGTTTAAAAAAGCATCAAGCCAAGCACATGATTCCACAGCGCATTCACGATCCTAAGTTCTACCGAGGTCCACGAAGTCTGTATCGAAATGCTGCAGTGTCACCATCTACTCCTTTACCCTCTGATTTCTAATGCCGGTTGTCAATACATCTAACGAATCTATAACAAAAATGTGAAAAATCGCCATGCTTAATGATTCCGGGAAATAATTCTCTCAATTGTTTCAACACACACGTTTATTGTTCTATACCACAGTATTAACGTCCACGGTACTTTTGCCTTTTTTTGGTAACGCGTGCTGACTTGAACTGGCCTTGGACCTCTCCCTTTCCCATTTTCTTCTGATTGAGCTGTAATACGGGACAATCACCTCAAAGTAAGCAATAGAGACTTAAAAGAAAGACAAATGGAACGAAAAAATGTTTTTGAACGGCGTTCTCCTTCACGCTCTCCAGAGTTACGTTCTTCGTCGGGACGTGGATCCAATGACCGCAGATCATCTATGGACAGACGACATTCTCGTTCGCCATATACTTCAAGAGGATTTTATTCCCGTTCTCCATCTCCTAGACGCTACAGTTCTACAGTATGAATGCTTATCCTACATTGGTTTTCACGGCATTACTAACCAAGCAACAACGATAGATTCTCATTGAAAATATCACGCGAAATGTCACGAAGGAGCACATAAATGAAATCTTTGGCGCATATGGAACTATTGATGATATTGACTTTCCATTGTTCAGGAAAAGTGAGTTTCTGAGTACAACAATGGCTTACGATACGGACGGACACTAACTCTAATTTAGGTCATGAACCAAAAGGGTATTGCTACGTGACATACGCCTATGCCGACCAAGCAGAAACAGCTGTTGATCGGATGAATAGCGGTATGCTCGACGGTGAAGAGCTTTTCGTCTCTTTACAAGAGCAACCTCAAAAATATGGTGACAGAAGAGAGCGTCAAGGAAGCTTCTACAAACCTGGAACAAATTACCGTTCTCGGTATTCTAGGAGCATATCTCGTAGTCGGTCTCGTTCTCCATACAGATCCCCCTCTCACTCGCGATCTCCTTCACGGAGTCGAATGTACGACGATTTAGACAGCGAGAGGACTAATGATTTGGCTCCACGAAGAGCAGAATACCATTCTCGGTACCGGTAGCACCGAGCAAAAAAAAGTGGATTATCAAATCTCTCTCTTGTCTTGTACATCCAACTTAGGGGGTTTGGAGTATTTCATATACCGTTTGGGTATCACAGCAAGCTTTTGGTACACAAGTGATATCATACGAGCATATCCATGGGCTTCAATGTCCGCACTATTAGTGTACGCTGGTGCGAAGAAACTGATCACCTTTCCTTTTTTTCCAAAAGATCCAACTCTTCCAGCGACGTGTTGGTAGACCACAGCGCTAAACGTATTCCATAATTGAAACACATGGGTCAGGCCAAATAAACTTAAACCAAAAATGTCCGTCAGCTTTCCGACATAGGCAATTTGATGGGCACGTCGTTCTTCCTTCTTTTTAAGGTTAAAAGTATCCAGTCTTCTCAGTAGAAGAGAATTTTGTTCATAAAGCGCTGCGTTTTGTTCAACATATTCAACAATGTTCGCTTGTTCAGGGAGAAGAACAAGAAGATCGCCCATAAATGTTGGTACTTGTTTATGCTCCTTCCGAACAATTAATAAAAGAGCATTCGTATAAAGCTTTAAGACAGTGTCTAGTTCATGGATTGTCACTGGGGCTGACCCAGCTTTTTCGTAAGAGTTTAAACTTTTTGCGACTTGGAACTGAACATCTCGGATTTTTGGTTTCGTGTCTTCACCGCTTAAACGAAGACTAATGTGTTCGATGTTATTCCACATTCGCAAACCCCAATCCCACCAGTGTTTCCCTTGATCTAGACCAATGCAACCCAAAAGATGCTTGCTAAAGAGACCAAAAGCGTTGGCAATGGAGGACGTATTTGTGGCGGACAAAAGGACAAACTGGGGAATAGCATTTAAATCGCTGCGAATTCTTTGTTCCGTTCTTGTGTAAAACTTATCCCAGAAGAAGAAAAGTTTTCGAAACTTAGGCGAGTTTTCGATACCCATAACAGGCCCGGCTCGCCGGTTTTGATACGGTGCCGCAAAACCCTCTATTATTTGATCCGACTCATCCAGAACAACCCGTTTTAAACCCTGCAGAAAACTGATGTATTCAATTTTTGCTGACGACAACCATTCTGCTAAGCTATCAACCGAAGCGATTACGACACGCGCCTGCTGAAGCTTTCCATGTTTCCATTGCCCATATGGCAGACGTATTAATGGGTATACTGGGCAATTTAAACCAGCAAGTAGCTGTGACCATCGATATAACTGTTCAACGAGTGAATCGGATGGGACAACGTATAGGATCGTAGCTGAATACGAAGCCGCAGGCTTCGGTTGATCACTCAACGCAATAGATAACATTGCGGCGAGGGTCGCAAATGATTTACCCGAACCATTCCATGATCTTACAACAAACGAGGTCTTGCCCAGTGTGATGGCAGACACAATCTTCTCCTGTATGTCGTTGGAACGTGACACCTTTGGAAAATGCGCTTTTACGTTGGCTTGGATCCGATGATCAAGTGGTAATTTTTGAAACGGTGTACCAACAGGGTGAAACCTCCTCACCCATTTTTCGGTTTCCGGAGAGGCTGCGACTCTTAACGGTTCTCCGGTTTCAAGTTTGATAGTTTGTGAAACTACAGTTTTATAATGTTCCACCTGAATCCGGCGATAATTTGACAGCACCAAGGATTCCAACAGACAAAATCTACATTTCTGTAGCAGTATCATTGAACGATTAACTTTTGCTCTGTTTCTAACAGACGAGAATAGCGAAAGGAGAATGTGTGATGAAAAGTAGGTCCCCGACTGGTACGTCGGTCTTTGGAACGTGAATAAAGGGTAAAATGGCAAATGGGCAACAGTTCAATTCAGCCAAATTTTCTATGTAGATGACAAATCGCAAAAAGAAAATCCAAAAATAAGTGATGCGAAAGGCTTTTTTTTTTTTTCATATCCTGATGAAAATTGAAAATAATAAGAGAATCAAAAAAATCAATCCTATTCCTTGCGATCACAAGGAAGAGGATGACACTTAAGCCTTTTGCTCAGAGGGAACAGCGGTAGGTGGAGGAGGAGACTCATGTTTGCGCTTGCCAGCTCTGCTTTTAGGTCCCCAATTTTCTGTAGGGTTCATTTGGTAACGGGTATAGCCTGCCTTCTTAGACGCAAACTCTGCATCAGGATGCAAGGTAAAGTCGACCTTGTGAGTAATTTCCTTACGCAAGACCTCGGCACCGGGACTTGCATCGTTGATGTTGCTCTGCTTGACGGGGTGTTCCTTGATCCAGGTACGGAGAACATCCCAGACAAAAGCCCAAGGAGCATCTGTTTTAATTGCACCACTGCGTGCATGAGATCCGGAAACGTGGTAGCCCGCGTTCAAGAGAGCCGAAACAAACGTATTTTGGGGAGGGACTTGCGAATGAAGAATACCCGAAATCTGAGAAAGGATGAAGTAAAGAGGAACATCAGTGAGTTCCTCATCGGCAACAGCCAGCATTCCAAGAACGCGTCGTTTAGTTCCGTAGACTTCAGGGTCCAGGGTTTCGGCAAGCTTACGCATATTCTGCACGAAGGTCTTATCATGCAACGGGCCTCCCCAGAGAGGACCACCGATGTGATGTCTGTGGTTACAGTGAGCACAGCTTTCGCCGACAGGAGGTCCAGAGGCATTCGTGTACTTGAGCGTACCGGGGATCTTGGCCGGCGCGGTTCGTCCCATATACTGAGTGGCATAACTACCACATCCAGAGCAATGGTAGACGAGCATTGATTGACTTTGCAAAAGCTTTACGCGTGCGGGGCGAACTTCAACACGAACAAAGACACGGAAGTAGAAATCAATACTCAGCGACAAAAGAGGCACAATGGCTCGACCGTACTTTGCGGCAGCCATGGCAATGGCATACAGCAAATGACGCACAGCCTGCTCGTGACAGAATTGTGAACGCAGAGACGAGCCGCCGTAGGCGGAAAAGCACTTTTCGGGATATGCATTTCCTGCCAACACAGCAGAGTCGGTACAGGTGATGCACAAGAGACCGTTATTACTGACGGATTGCACAGCAGCATCCAAGAAAGGAGCGGCGGAACCGTAAGGATCCAAATCAATCACGTCGTAACGGAGCTTGTTCATGTGCATGACCACGTTCGCGTCACCCTTGTTAGGAATAACAATATTCTGAACATTGTTAAAGGCAACATTCTTCTCAATGTTGGCCACAGCGTCAGCAAGCAAGTCATTTGCCAAAACGCGTTTCACGTTCGGGATTTCGTGAGCGTAACGAATGGCACGCAGACCAGTAGCAGAAAGAGCCTCTAAAATCGTAAACGAAGACAGTTCTTCCGTAGCTTTCGTTGAGTCCGTCGCAGTGACTGTGGAAGCCGAGTCTGTTTCTACGTCCTTGGGAGAATTGTCTTTTTCCGAAGCAATTGAGGTCTCTTTCTCTACGGATTTTTTATTTTCTTTCGAAGAAAGGTTTTCTTCAACAGGGTCGTCCAACTTCTTGTGACGGTGAGCCGATTTTACACGCGTTTTCGGTGATCTTAAGTCTGCCCAGGTGCGAATTGCGAGAATACTCAAATCGCGGTTGAACTGCTGCACTGGATTGTAGAAAACCTCATCTCTGCTGGGAAACAGAATGGTAGCGCGACCCTCTTTGACCTCAACCGTGGATGACTCAGTCATGGCGAACGAAGAGTTTCTTTTCTGCTCCTGCTTCATCAAAGTCAAATTCTGCGTACAGTTACGTTAAACGATTTAGTGGAGTGTGTTCCAGCTCAGAAGAGTTGGTGGTGGTGGAGGGGACCCTGTGAGAGAAGGGCTCGTGAAGGAGAGGTGAGACAAGAGATAATGAGCAAGTATGTTACTAGGAAAACCGTCTGTTGATGCTGTCAGTCACTGTTGCAAATCGCCAATGACAATTGTTTCCCACTTGTGATGTTGTATAGTTAACATTGAATTAATATCTAAAGAATACAAGTCGTACCCAGACAATCCTATTCTCCTTAGTAAGTCCATACTTACTGTTAAAAAACAACCAAAAGAAAATTGGTTTTCATCGGGTATTCATAGAAGTAACGTTATCATACTCGACTTTGCAATTGAATGCTGTGTCTTTCTTAAAAGTCTTCATTGACAGTAAACATATGTTCATCATTGTCTTTGTTTTGGGCAGCCATAACTCCTGCAATCTGATAATCGGAGACCTTCTTCTCAAAGAAGTTTGTCTTTCCAGCAAGAGAAATATTCTCCATAAAGTCAAAAGGGTTGGTGACATTGTAGTACTTCTCATTGCCCAGAGACAAAAGAAGACGATCAGCAACAAACTCAATGTACTGACACATAAGATCGCAATTCATACCGAGCAAGTAGACGGGAAGAGCATCGGTGAAATACTCCTTCTCGATGTTGACGGCTTCGATAATAATGCGCTCAACGACCTTCTTGCCGGGACGATGTTTCAAGTGACTGAACATTAAACAGGCAAAGTCCGTATGCACACCCTCGTCACGGCAAATCAACTCGTTTGAGAATGTCAAACCAGGCATCAAACCACGCTTCTTTAACCAGAAGATAGAAGCAAAAGAGCCGGAGAAGAAAATTCCCTCGACAGCCGCAAAAGCGACAAGACGCACGGCATAGATGGATTCGGGATCCTCGATCCAACGCAAAGCCCATTTGGCCTTGGCTTTGATTGAGCCCATGGTGAGGATGGCGTCGAAATGGCGCTGTTTTTCATAGGGGTCGCGGATATAGGTATCAAGCAAGAGGGAATACGTCTCGGAGTGGATATTCTCAATCATAATTTGAAATCCATACACACAGCGAGCTTCAGCGATTTGAACCTCGGAACTGAAACGAGAAAGCAGATTCTCGTTAACAATACCATCGGAAGCAGCGAAGTATGCGAGCACAGTGGAAATAAAGTAACGTTCGTCCTTGTTCAATTTGTTGTCCCAGTCGTGTAAATCCTTCGACAAGTCAATTTCCTCGGCTGTCCAGAAAGAAGCTTCAGCCTTTTTGTAGAATTGCCAGATGTCATGATATTCGATGGGGAACATGACAAACCGGCGAGGATTGGGAGTGAGCACCACTTCATCCTTCTCATCCTCTTTTTTACCAAGGTAGTAAGGAGAGCCCTCAGTCATCATTTCCTCTTCGGAGACGTTGTCAAACTTGAAGGTCTCTTTAATAGAGGGAACATAAATTTGGCGATCGCCATTTTCCGCATCATAAGAAACATACTCACCCTCGTGAGTGGGAACGGTGAAAGATGAATCACCAGTGTTGCCAGCCATAACGTTTAAAGTTACAAATCAAGTTAGAAGTCTTGAGTCAAACGAGTTTTACGTTTGAAGATCGACAACAAAAATGAATATAAATGGTATAGATAGGAAATGAACCTTAAAAAAACCGGTCCGTTATTGAAAACGCGTAAAAGTACAAGTTGAGAGTTGTAAAAAAAAACTGCGATGTTTTCGCCGGGTATTTGACTTTTTATTGCTCGACAACAGAAAAACGTGTTCGGCAATCGCAAAGCAAAATATTAAAGCCGAATATATGAGAAACTAAGAGACCAGATGAACAACGCAACTGAACAAAGTTAGTAGATGCACAAGATGTGCGGGAAATTGGCCCATGAACAGAATTTAGTCCTTACCTGAAAAGCAGAGGTTGAAAATGGGAAATGTTGGAGAATTGAGAGGGGAGAACGGCGTGTTATATGCAAATGCTGGGGGGACGAGAGCGTCCGACTGGTGGTGTTTTTTCAGCTAATTAGAACGCGTATCTCGTCTATGGAGGTGATGTCATGGATGGGTGGAGATAAAACGGAGATAGTTGATCTACCCTAGGGTGACTCATAGAAGCGAAGGTCGGAGTATGAAGGTGTTTGTGCATTGGTTGGCGATACGATTGATTTGATTAAGGTTGGCGCAAGAGAAGCATCTTACGTTTTAATTGGTTGACAATTTTAAACGAATGTTCAAAACCCTGACCCCTCTTCAGCTTAGCGTTGGCGAGATTGCGTCACGCACTAGACTATTTATTAAATGAAAAAAGTGACGCGCCCACGCGCGTGATGGATTTGTAAATTAAATTCCGGTCACGTAGTAAACAAACGATTAGTCCGGATTCAGCCTGTTCCGTTCATAAGGCAAAGCCTCTGTGAAAAGAAACGTAAGAGTTGTGAGATGTGCGCATTGGGATCGATGAGGAGAAGAAGACCGACGATGAGAGAAAATGATTGACGGGAGCAATAACCTCACTGAAAGATGCGAAGAATTCGTTAAAGTGCAGAGTTAATGAATAAAACATATAGATGTGCGACTAGTTCTGTTTTTGTTTTTAATAATATATTTCTATTTGTTTTCTTTAATTTTTTATAAGATAAAATTTATTAAAAAAAAAAAAAATAAAAGGGAAAAAAAGGAAAAAAAAAGGGAAAAATCCCAAACAAATCAATTACCAACTCCTCACTTCATTTGCTCTAAAACATACCTATTTCCTTCCTTTCATTCCTTTCTCTTTTTGCTTCACTCCCTCTCTCCACTTACCCCCATTCTGTATCCCCCTTCACCCTCAACAACAGGGAACTGCCTTTACCAGTAATAAGACATAAATCGCGCGTAAACCAGAAGAAAACACTTCTTTCGGTGCTTATAACGTGGAACGAATCGTGATCTGTAATTAAGTGAGGAGTCAGTTCCTTTTTTTCGCGTACGTATATCGCCGATTTTCTCGTTCTTCCTCTTCCTAATTCGTCCGCCCTCTCATGGCCCTGCCGACCGTTGATTTAAAGATTCCTGACTATGAGGAGTGTCAGCACAAGATTACGGACTTCCTGTCTCACTTCAAGTCGGAGAAAACAGTTGCTGAGGATGCTGAAGATATCATGATGGAAGAAGACGCGGAAAATCCGTTAAATTACACTACAAAATATATGGATATCCTGCAAAAAGTAGCAAACAGAGAACTCAAGGCTATCTGGATTGATTTAGACGACCTCTACTCGTTTGATCCTACAGATGTTCGGCTATTAACAGCCATCCAAAAAAATACCAAGAGGTTTACTGAACTGTTCGCAACATGCGTTGATAAGCTCATGCCTACACCCACAGTAGACGTCAGCTACTGTAGTGAGGTGCTGGATGTGATTATGCAACAACGCCGCCAGCGCAATGAGTCGTTGGAAGGTGAGCAACCCGGTTTCCCTCCAGAGTTAATGAGAGGTTACGACTTGTACTTCCGTCCATTGACTCGCAACCAAAAACCCTTCAGTGTTCGCATGCTGCACGGCGAACATTTGGGCTCTCTTGTAACTGTTCGAGGCATCGTCACGCGTACAAGTGATGTAAAACCTAGCTTGCTCGTCAACGCTTACACGTGTGATCGGTGCGGTTACGAAGTGTTTCAACAAATTCGCCAAAAAACATTCCTACCTCTGAATGAATGTCCCTCTGAAGAATGTCGCAAAAACGACGCGAAGGGTCAATTATTTATGAGTACACGTGCAAGCAAGTTTTTACCCTTCCAGGAGGTGAAAATGCAAGAATTGACAAACCAGGTGCCTGTAGGACACATTCCTCGTTCCATTACTGTTCATTTATACGGTGCCATCACTCGTTCTCTTAATCCAGGTGATGTAGCCGACGTGTGTGGTATTTTCTTGCCAACTCCTTACACTGGTTTCCGCGCTATTCGTGCTGGCTTATTGACGGACACTTACTTGGAATGCCATTCAGTCTCACATCTCATTAAGAGTTATTCGAATCTGGAGAGCACGCCCGAATCCGAGGCTGCCATTGAACAACTTCGCCGTGACGGAAATGTGTATGAAAAACTTTCAAAATCAATTGCTCCAGAAATTTACGGTCATGAGGATATTAAAAAGGCACTTCTCCTTCTTTTGGTCGGCGGTGTTACAAAAACCATGGGCGATGGTATGCGTATTCGTGGTGACATCAACATCTGCTTAATGGGTGACCCAGGTGTTGCTAAGTCTCAATTGCTTAAATACATTTCTAAAGTTGCTCCCCGCGGTGTCTATACGACGGGTCGTGGTTCGTCAGGCGTTGGTTTAACAGCCGCCGTGATGCGTGATCCTGTTACCGACGAAATGGTTCTTGAAGGTGGTGCCCTCGTTCTTGCAGACAATGGTATCTGCTGTATTGATGAGTTTGACAAAATGGACGAAAATGACCGTACTGCTATTCACGAAGTTATGGAACAACAAACAATTTCAATCTCAAAAGCCGGTATTACTACCACTTTGAACGCTCGTACTAGTATTTTAGCTGCAGCTAATCCCCTTTATGGACGTTACAACCCTAAGGTGTCGCCAATTCAAAACATTAACCTTCCTGCAGCTTTGCTTTCTCGTTTCGATATCCTTTTCCTCATCCTGGATACCCCTTCGCGTGAGGACGATGAGCACCTTGCCCAGCATGTTGCTTACGTCCATATGCACAGCAAGCATCCCAAAATGGAATTTGAGCCACTCGATCCTCGCATGATTCGGCATTACATTGCCTCTGCTCGCCAACATCGTCCTGTTGTTACTAAACAAGTGGGAAATTATATCGCAGGCGCTTACATTCAACTGCGTCAAACTCAAAAGCGTGATGAGGCCAATCAGCGCCAATTCACGCATACAACTCCCCGTACCTTGCTTGCTATTCTTCGTATGAGCCAGGCCCTCGCCCGTCTGCGTTTCAGTGATGAAGTTGAAATCGGCGATGTTGATGAAGCTTTGCGCCTTATGTCCGTATCCAAATCCACTTTGTACGATGATGCAGATCCAGGAATGCACGACACTACATTGACCTCTAAGATTTATAAAATCATTCGTGACATGCTCAACAACTTACAGAGCGAGTCATCGCTTCCTCTTCGTCTTATTCGCGAGCGTGTTATTGCAAAAGGATTCACTGAGGAACAGCTCATGAATACAATTCGTGAGTACACGGAGCTCGGTGTTTTATTCACTGCGAACGAAGGTCAAACGATCATGTTCTTGGATCCCGAAGTGCACACGGAAGTATAAACTTCAATTGTGCGCTATCTTAAAATGTCTGTGCTCGTTTGAACATTCTTGAGCAGACAACCCAAGTGTAGAACTAAATTTGTTTCGTTCTTCTTTCTTTCCTATCTACGTATTCTTCCTGCACATACCTTTTCGTTTCTGTCAGTTTTACCATCCGTATGAGACCATCTACTTTTTACTATTCATACCCCGGAATTGATGACCTTATAATAATGTTATTCGTACTTTTTTGCTACTGTAATTATCTTATTCTATAACGGCTATACATGTAAACCAGTGTCCTACGTGCCATACAGCGAAGTATGCCCGTTGTCCATCTCCATCTACTCTCATACCAGCATGAATCTTGGATGTGTCTCACCCTTCCTCCACATCTACTACTAACCACCAAATCTCATGGCACCACCCAAACTACTATACTGGTTTACTCTAGCTGAAAACTAGGTTAAAAGAGACGGAAAGTTGGAGTTTTAGGTGTAATTCATAGTAAAAATTCAATACAGTTGCTTTCTCTGAAGCAACGTGTTGTCTCTTAAGCCATTCGCTATAATACGCTTTTTATATAAAAAAAGTACTTAGAACCGCCGACTTAGCTTTGGTTCTTACACAATGAACTATAAGCTTTATGTTTCTAGGCACAACTGTGAGAGCAGACGGTTTCTGCACATTTCTAGAGCCGGTTGTAAGATTTCAGAGCTGAAATCTGCGATTGAGGAGTCCTACAAGAACCTTTATCCCTTCGACTCGTAAGAAAAATGTGCAGTTTCGTTTTGCTAATGGTGTGTAGAGATATTGACATTTTAAACATCAAAGATGATCAAGGTTACGATATTCCCGGTGAATACAAGGTTGATCAAGTGTTCACGGACGGTAGCAAAATCTCATTTGAAGTAATCGATGGAACTCGATCATTACCCTCCATCCAACTCTCCCAAACACTCGAACAAAATGGGAGCCCAACAGTTATTGATTCGCATGACGATCTCAAAGTGTTAAAGTCTCCAGTTGTCTCGAGTTTAGAGGAGCCTACTGAAGAAAGACAAGTATCACCGGCTAAACGGCCCTTCTCACCGGCATATGCTGGTGTAGCACCCTCTCACAAGCGTCTTAATGTGGGTACTGGACGCAGGGACGAACGTGAGTTGGCACCCGAGAGTGTAATTGGTATTCGTACACCTACTTCTTTCAGAAACGAGAATTCTATTATCGACGCTACACAGTATTCCGCTGCAACTCCACCTTCAGCTCAATACCCCGGTTTCGTCGATCTTAGACAACAACCAACCCAGCCTACCCCTACTCGCAATTCTCATGCTGCTGAAACCGAAAAAGAACAGCTTTTGTACGAAAATGACGAGCCAAATTTTGACTCTGACTCGTCCACACATACGACATCTGTTGATAGAAAGAACGCTGTCAGTTCTAAAACTACCTCAAACTCCAGTCCACGGAAACCTCTTACCCAACGTGTTGACAGCAGTCCAGAGCCGGAATCTACGGCAGAGAAGCCTCACCTTCCGGAAGCCAGTTCTCAGGAAGAACACTCAAAAGCCACTAACGAGGAGGCAGACAGTGACTCCTCCTCTGACGACGACAGTGATTTGGCACCTTTGTCATCCAGAAGTAATAAACCGGCTATTGCAATTACAAAAACGGGGTTACAATCGCTTCCTGTGTCGTCTCTCAGTGAAGAAGAATCGTCTGACACGGATGGTGAAATGCTGTCGGATTCTAGTGAAGTTTCCATTACTTCTAATTTAGACTACGCTTCTCTGGCTTCAGATTCCGAATCATCTTCAGACGAAAGTGATGTTGCACCTTTGCAGTCCCTTTCCCAACGCAACAAGCAACAGCTTTCACAGGAACCCGTAGATGATATACTAACACAGAGGGCCACTGAGCAGCAGACCACTACAGCTACAACTACTTCAGCAACCTCAGAAGCTTCCAAGCTTTCACCCGAGCCTCCACTGACGCAGGTGCCCGTGGAAGCTGCTTCTCAGCCGTCCCCTCTTAAACCAAAACGCACAAGATCTCAGCGACAATCGTTGTCCTCTGTTCACTCCTACTCTCGGTTGTCGGAACTTTCGAAAACCTTTTCTCCTGAAATCCGAGACCCTAACCATGCGCCCAATCCCAACACTCGTAAACCTTTCTCCGCAATTGCCCAGTCAGCTTCGGAAGCTGAAAGTTCTTCCCAGTCAGACAACGAAAGCAGCTCCGAAGACAGCAGCTCAGACGATAGCAACTCTAGTGATGAAGAGGATTCGGCCGCAAAGAAAACCAAAAACAAAGCTGCTAACAACGACTTTAATCCTATTCCAGTTGAAAAACGTGCTAGTGCCATACCCGTTAGAAGGAAATTACGTCGCAGAAGAAAAAGCGGACTGGCTAGTTTAGCTTCTCTTGTCTAATCAGTCTTATTTTCAGTAAGAGTTCTTTCCATTGAGCTTTTCTACTAAAAGTTTTGTGTTTTTATTTCGGGTACTATTAATTCATTTTGTCCACCTTTTTGACATTTATTTTTTTGTATTGAGTGTAATTGGTGTTACGTTCCTTGCAGTATTACTTCGAGATGTATAGTGAATTTGTCTGTTATTTTCGTCTCTTCCTCATTTCATTCTCTTCTTTTCCATTTCTCATTTCGTTCTCATTTTTATGTGTTTACCACGCGTATCGCGTTTTCATTTAACTTCAAAAGGTGCCGCGTGTTCCTCACCACCAAGTTTTACCCAACTAAAATTTTGCACCATAGGCAACTTGCCCTTAGCGTCCTCCTTTACCCTTAACCATGGCACGAGTCAAGCAAAAAGGTATGAGTAATTCTATTGATATAACACTGTCTAACCATTTATAGGAAAATCTGGTGCGGCCCGGAACTTTATCACAAGAAACCAGGCCTTAAAAAAGCTTCAATTAACGCTTGCCGATTTCCGCCGAATCTGTATTCTTAAGGGAATCTATCCCCGTGAACCACGTAACAAGAAAAAAGCAAACAAGGGATCGACAGCTCCCGTCACTTTCTGTAAGTATTATTCCATGTGGAGTGAAACTCATGAGTGTCCATGCACAACTCGAGTCCGAGATGAACAGTGAATGGGTTTGCAATTAAGTTTGGACTTCAGTTCACTACTCTTCTGTACTCTGCAACTAAGATTCCCACTTTCACTTTTACCTGTGTTACATGTTTGTGAAGAGACCCTGATTCTAACTCGATTAGATTACACGAAGGATATCCAATATCTTCTTCATGAACCTATTGTTGAAAAGTTCCGCGAGTATAAGACTTTTGCCAAGAAACTTAGCAAGGTTTTAGGCAAAGGAGAGCTCCATGAGGCAAAACGTCTCGAGAAAAAAAAACCCAGCTACACTCTGGACCACATCATTAAAGAGCGTTATCCTACATTCCATGATGCTTTGAATGATCTTAGCGATGCTCTTAGTATGCTTTTCCTGTTCGCCAATATGCCTGTTACTGATAAAGTGGGTGCTGCAACCGTCGCCAACTGTGAACGGCTTTGTGCCGAGTTTCAGCACTATGTGATTGCTTCGCACAGCTTGAGAAAATCATTCCTTTCTATTAAAGGTATCTATTACCAAGCCTCCATTCTTGGAGAAGATATCACCTGGATCGTTCCTTACAAGTTTGCACAACACGTTCCTAGCGATGTTGACTTCCGTATCATGTTGACTTTCCTCGAGCTTTATCAGACTCTTGTTGGTTTCGTGAACTTTAAACTGTATTCTAGCATCAATCTCAACTACCCTCCAAAGCTGAACATCAGCAAGGACCAGTCTGCTGCTGGACTTAGTGCTTACGAAACCGAGGTCAAGTCTGCCCTTCCGGCGCCAGCTCACGCTGATAAGGCTGCCAAGAAACGCGTTGGTACTCTTTCCGGAAAGCTTGATTCCATCGTTGCCGATGAAAAGAAACATGCCACCGACGAACACATTCAACAAATTGATCACGAGGAAACCGAGGATGCAGAAACCGTTACTTTGGACGAGTTTAAGCCCATTGATGAGGAGCCTTCGACTTCAGATGTGTCTTCTTCTGTGAAGCAGAGTGATGTTAACGTTAAGCTGTTCTCTCCCTTTACTTTCTTTCTCTCTCGTGAAGTCCCCCGCTACTCTTTAGAATTTCTCATCCGCGCTTTCGGAGGTAAGGTCGGTTGGGATCCTGTCTTGGGAGCTGGTTCTCCTTTCTCAGAGGACGATACCGTTATTACACATCACATCAGTGATCGTCCCCGTCTTCGCTCGAAATACGAGGGACGTGTGTACATCCAGCCTCAATGGGTTTACGACAGCATTAACAGAGGCGAGCTCGTTCGTACCGATGAATACGCACCTGGTGCAACTCTCCCTCCTCACTTGAGTCCCTTCGTCAAGTATGATGAACATACTTACAACCCTGAAGAGGATGTTTCTTCTGCCGAGGAGGAGGAAGATGAGGAAGTCCAAGACGCTGTTGAAGAAAAAGAGCCTGAGACGAAACAGCTTCCGGCAGCCGAAGAACCTGCTGCTGCCGAAGCTTCTGAGGACGAAAACGAAGCGGAGCAACATCAACGTGAGCTTGAAGCCGAGGCCGCTGGTGTTTCTTACTCTGAATACGTCAAGAAGAATTCTGATGCTACTTCCAGTAAGAAGAAGGGCAAGAAGCGTGGTCGTGATGCTTTGACTGTTGAGCAAAAGGAGCAAAAGGAAGCCAAGGAACTGGCTAAGATCATGATGAGCAACAAACAGAAGAAATTGTACAAGAAGATGCAGTACAGCAACGCTAAAAAGGAAGAGCTCAAGGAGAATTTGAAGAAGAAAAAGCGGGCCATCGAAAAAAGAAAAAAGGCCAAGACGGAAAACTAATTGGCTGTTTAATTTTGGTTTTTGTAGTACAAGTTTTGTTATAAAGGACAATATACATATTGGGTTTAAACTAGGAACTTATGAGGGCAAGATGTAGAAGCGCAAATAGTTTGGTTTCGTAGCAATCAATTATTTTGTACATTAATCCATGTAAGTACAATTCTTTCAAAATACACTTCCATCCGCTCATCAAACATCGAGATGATCACCAAAAATTGAGTTCTAATTTTATTTATGAACAAAAAAAGGAGGGAGCAATGCTACATGTTTAGCATTTTTTTTACTAGTGGTAAAGGGAAGTACTGTGACGATAAGGATAACAAAAACAAGGTCGCTGGGAAGCAGCTGAAGGGAACAGAGCAAAATTATGAAAAAAAGTTCAAAAAAAAACGAAACACATTGACAATCATGCACGCTCACAAAATGACGGCGAAAAGATAGAAAGAATGAAAGCAAGGTGCTGTCCAGTCCTCATAATGCAAAAGCATTCAATCCGGAAGCATTTCTAAATGTGATACCGAGTTGAAACAACGATACCATATTAAGAAGAATACAGCCAGGGCTTCTCAACAAGTAAAGAGGCTTGAGAAGGAACGACGTGAAGCGAAGAAGGTTTACCCAAGAATTCCTCGTGAACGCAAACCAGGGCCTTTGCAGCGTTCTTCTCATCAACAACACAAGAAATGTTAATCTCACTGGCACCTTGACTAATCATTTCGATGTTGACCTGAGCTTGAGCCAGAGCCGAGAACATTCTTCCGGAGATACCAACCATGTTACGCATGTACTTACCAACAAGAGAAAGAATGGCCATTCCATGCATGACATCCAAAGTACCCAAACGACGGAGCTCAACGAAAGCATCGTGAAAGTTTCCATTCTCGGATTCCTCATGAAGAGCCATGGAAACATGAACCTCAGAAGTGGTGATCAAGTCAACGATCAACTTGTACTTATCAAGGATAGCAAAGATGGACGCAAGGAAACCGTGAGAAGCCGCCTTGCGGTTGGATTGGATGTTGAGGACCATAACATCAGTCTTGATGGTAACTGCAGTGGCGGTCTTACCCATTAACTCCTGACGAGCCTCCTCAGGCATGATTTTAGGAGGATGAGGAGGAGTAGCGGAACCATGGCGCGAAATAGTGTCAGGGAAAATGATAGTACCGGCGCCAGAAGGATTGTCAACGTTTTTAATGCGAATGGGAATGCGAGCAGAAATGACCTGGGACATTGTGAAAGGGTGAATGACCTCACTACCATAGTAAGTTAGCTCTGCAGCCTCCTCTGGCGTAATGAGAGCCAACAAACGAGCGTTGGGCACCTTGCGAGGATCAGCGGTGAAGATACCGTCAACCTCCTTCCAAATTTGCAACTCATCGGCCTTCAAGCCGACGGCGAGCAAGGCAGCACAGAGATCAGTGTAACCACGACCAATCTGAGAAATGATGCTACCGGGGACGAGACCAAAGAAACCAGTGACGACAGGAACCTTGTCGCCAATTTCACAAACCTTAGAAACGAGTTGGTTTGCAATGTAGGAGTAGAAGGAAGCATCAAGAGCCTTCCAGTCAATGGACTCGTCAATGATCTCTTCCATACTGACCATTTCAGCCTCAATGCCTTGATCGTTCAAGACAGCGGCCATGAAACGACAACTCAAACGCTCACCGACACCGATGCATACATCGCACGAACGGGGAGAAGTCTCAGAGACAATACGAAGAGCGTTGAGATATTGTTCCAAGGCTGCACAGTCATCACGGATGTCTTTAATAAGCTTCTCGCGAATTTCTTCGTTCGAAATGAATTTGTTGGCGGCACCAACATGGTCGTCCTCAATCTCCTTCACTAAAGCACCAAGAGATTGAGTACGAGATTTGATGGTAGCAGCAACAGCACGCAGAAGACGGCTAGTAGTACCGTCTGCCTTTGTGTCACTACTCCGAGCAGAGCAAACGAGAGCAACTTGATTCTTCTCCATAGAAGCTCTATAATGAGTTTGTTAATAAAATGAAAAGGACTCTAAAGACGCAAGACTGTCGAATGGAACAGGAAGATTTGTTTTCCAGTCATTTTCTCTTTTCTCCTTTTTCAATAAAAGCCATAAATTAATGAACGCGAAGCCCTAAACGAAAACAAACCATCCATGTTCCAGTAACGTCAAACCAATTGATAACGCCTTTAATGGCCAAAAAAAGGCCTAGGAAAATTCTTACTTCGCGACATCATTTGCAATTTTCAATGGAAACTTTCCAACACTAGTGCCACCAAACTTCTGAACAACCCAACGTTTCGATGGGTCATTACGAAGCTTTTTTTCCGTGTTATTCAAGACTGACATTGTGGACCAAACGCGCAAGGTGTGTGCGGAGGGATGAATGACTTTTGCTCAAAAAGTCGCGTAAATATAAGTGATATATCTCGGATAATCAATCACGAATTCCATTGGCTTATTTCCCGTTAAAAAGATTTTCCGATGGCGTAATGAGCGATCGGGCGGCAATAGAGTATGCGGGGAAGCAGTAAGCGACAAATACTAAGGGACTCATTGGTCGTTTAGTAATAACACTAAATACGAGTGGTTGAAAACAGTTCAGTTGAGTAAAACGATACTTACTTGTTCGCCTTTCGATAGCTGAGGAATAAGCAAATATGAATGCAAATCCGCTGAACCGAGAAGATCCGGCCAATCTCCGAAGTCATTATTTTTAGCATTTGGATCTCCTTGATCAGTGATGCTTAGCTCGTTAACATAGATGGTAAGCGACACTGATCAAGGAATGGTAGCAGTGCTAAGAAGTGAACCGTTTACTAGGGAAAAGGGGGTTAGAAAGTAAAGTGGAGGTCGTCGAAGTATACAATTGAACTACAGGGGCGCAGACTGGACATAATTGAAGGAACTCGGAACCGTCTCGTACTCGTAGAGCATCCGTATGTTCATGTTCACATCAGCAGGAGTCACGAATTGCTCACTCCATGTTACCATCCTTCTCACATAGAACAAAACAGAAATAAAAACATTACTGTCTTCTAAATAAAACAGTCTCATAGTAATAACACGGTAAATGAAAGATAGATGTTAATTAGTTGGATGTAAATAGAACCTTTGCAACAAAACGAACGATTGCAAACGAAAAAGGGAGAGGAAGGAAAGGGGGATGGAAAAATGAGATGCCCTTCACTTCTTCGTGCACAGCTCTTTCTGCTGCACCTCCTTTCCATATGCACTTAATCCAAACGCTTGTCAAGTTGACCATTCACTTTAAACACACGACCCTTCTTTGTGTAGACAGAATGGAGGAAGCTGGGAAGAACCAATTTGGGCCAGTTGACATGTTGCATTCCATTACTCCAGCATTGGTACACGGAAACGATAAGCGAAACGAGCGAGAACAAAAACAGGAACCCGGAAGGCACAAGCGGCTTACTCTTGGGAGTAGCAAAGAACGAAATGAACATGAGAAGTAAACTTCCCAGAATCATATAAGGCATACACTGGATCTTAAGGGGTCTATAATCGGTATTGTAGTGAAAGTCGGGAGAAGGCGTAAAGTTGCCAAGAACTAAATCATAAGCATCTTGGCGGGGTCCATCAAAATAGTTGTTCAGGAGGTAACGCTTGGCAGAGTTCATAAAGTCTTGGAATGCACCGCGACGAGAACGCTTACCAGTGCGAGTGAAATCCGTCTTGAGCGCACCGGTACCAGAGTAACTGCGACTCACCAGATCGGCATTATCCGACCAAATGTTACGGAAAATTCGCTCCAGAGGAAGAACAGACTGCACAGGCTGGTTTTCACCGAGGATACCACATTGACGAAGTTGCTTTGTCAGCATCCAACGACCAACGCAGCTCTGAACAACGTTTGTGCGATCAAGACAGTCCATGCAGTTCGTACGAACAACGCTGGTTTGATGAGATAACACCTTATGGGCTTGAGGATCCAGGGTCGTGTAGCCTTGGTTCTCCAACTCTGGCTCAATTGCATCAAGCAACAGGGAAACCCGGTCCCAGCGCATCTTGCTGCACTCCTTGTGGAAGTCAAAGTAGTGATAATGAATTTTAGGATCGTCCAGAAGCTTCACGATGCCCTCATACGACTGCTTTACGGGAAGCTCGTGGCCCTTGTCGTTAACCAAGTTTACCAGCGTTTGCTCACCGTAAATGGAAATCTGTTCATCAAAATGCTTCCTGGCCGCCGGGAGCGCGGTAGGAACTGGATTTGTAATAAGCATGGGTTTGTAGCGAAGATGATTCACCTCGGCCCAGTAGACAGGGACACTGCCGCGAGTTTGTACATGAGCAAACGTGACATCTGTGTTGCGATCAGACACAATGGTGACCTGCTCGGTCTCGTTGAAGTTGGCAACATTGCCATTAGCGTCTAAACCACGCGTAAAGTAACGAGTTCCTGCCCTCCGCTTGGAACGACGGGAGATAAGAGCAAGAGTAACAGCTCTGCCTTTGATCATTGTCGACGCGGAGTTGATGAAGCCGTAGATCATAGGTGTAATGAACTGGGCAACCTGAGGAAAAGCTTTAGCACACTCAATAAAGTCCTGACAAGCAAACTCATTCCAAAAAAACCGCTTGTCAGACTTTATGTAATTGGGTTCATTCGATTCGTTTAAACAAGAACGTTGTAACGAGTTCGTCAGATCCCAAGTGTATGAAAAGTAAAAGGGTCCCGTACCAAGGTGTCGAACGAGCAAATTATACAGGTCCAACTCGTCTTGATCCTCTGGATAACCTCCATGGTACGGAATTACTTCAAATTTGTCTACACGGTAAATACGATGACCCAAAATCTGAGCAGCACACGTCTTTTCCGTGGCCAGAATGATGTATTTGTCTCTTTTTAACTGGACAGCTCCAAATAATGTTACACTGTTCGCCTTGGTACGCTTAATCGTCTCAAACTCTTCTGGTTCGACGACGATTTTTCCTGTATCGCGATGAATTGTCATCCGACAATCCTCCCGTCGTAACGTAAATACATTTTGTTTTGCTTCAAACTGGACCATTGCTAGCTGTGAGTCCCGTTAAGGAATCGCTGAGTTGGTTGTAGTGGGAAGGGGAGTGAGGTTCGAGGTGTGTGGTCGGTTATCAGCAGTTTTAAGCGGGAGGTTGTCACTGACGGAAGGGCTCCTTCGCGGGAGTCATTTTGCAGCACAGCCAGCACAGCTCTATAATGGGAGAAAGGGGTGAGAGGCTCGGACCGCAAATCCAAGCCGAACGTAGTCGTAAAACGATATTTCAAAAAGTCGTGGGTTTGGGAGGGAAATTGAACAAATGGCGCACAGTTTGATGTGATTCTTGAAGAGCCGACTATGAACGTTGCTTATTATGATAATGGTATCAGAATGAAGACATAACTGAATTGATCTTTAGTATTTGTTGGTTTATCCCAGTTTAAGGTTATCTTATTTATCTTAAGTTATCTGAGATAAATTAAATTTGCTCGTAACGAAAACCTTATCTTACGAATGAGTGATTTCTTACAAAATATGTATCCACTCCACCTTCACAACGGAATACAATCTTTTGGCATAGCACAGAGGGTTTTCATGAACGAATGATACCTGTCACTACTTTCATTTGGTTGGTTTAACGTTAACTTCAACCTTAAACAGCTTTTTGCTGCCCACCACCCTGTCCCCTTCCTCCCAACCACTACACCGTAAAACAACGAAACGCAGCCAGATTGTCAAATTCTGCTGTTCTTGACCTTACTCAAGGCTTGTTTTGATTTCCTCGTTTCGTCCGGCTTTCTTGCTCTTTTTGTAGCGGATTTTACACGCTGGTTTCGGTAATTCAAAAAATTGTGGTTCAGGTCGCCTCTTGTAAGTAAACTTTTTTCTTTGCCTTGAAGTTTTTAGAAGAATACTCTCTTTTTTGTGTTTCCCCTTTGTTCTCTTGTTTCAGTAGAGAGTTTTTTTTCGTTCTTGTGTATATCTGTTGTGGGCAAAACCTTCTTTTATATACTAAAATATGGATATCCATCGTTGTCGCTTTGTTGACTATACTCCCTCACCCATAACGGCTGTTGATTTTTCGCATCCTGCAGATCCTACAAAGCATGCTCCTCCAAACTTGCGACTCGCGGTCGGTCGTTCTAACGGAAACATTGAAATTTGGAATCCGCGCCATGGATGGTGTATGGAAGCTATTATGTACGGTGCCAAGTCTCGGAGTATCGAAGGATTAGCTTGGGCACTCACAGACAATACACCACGGTTATTCAGTATTGGCTTTTCCACCATGATTACTGAATGGAATCTGAACACGACAAAGCCCTTAGTGCATGAAGCTTCCAACGCTGGTGCCGCTTGGTCTCTTGCTATCAACAATGAGAAACAATTGTTGGCTGTTGGCTGTGACGATGGCAGTTGTGTACTTTTTGATATCAGCGGTGGTCCAGGCGTCATTGAGTATGTGCGAACCCTCACTCGTCAAACATCTCGAATTCTCTCCTTGGCGTGGAAGGACAACTTGCTCGTCGGTGGTTGTGCTGACGGCATTGTCAAGGTTTGGGACACAAACCAAGCGAACGGACCCATTGTTGCCCGTATGCGCGTAGACAAGGTGAAGAAGGGAGAACCGGCTCTCGTGTGGTCTGTAAAATGCCTGCGTGACGGAACAATTGTTACCGGTGATTCGCTGGGAACGGTGAAGTTTTGGAACGGTAAATATTTTAACTTGGAACAGTCTTTCAAGCTCCACGCCGCTGATGTTCTGTGTTTGGGCGTCTCATATGATGGAAATATTGTTTTCTCCTCTGGTATTGATCGTAAAACCATCCAGTATGTCCGTGATGTACACTCACACGAGTGGACCAGCGGTAGTTATCGGAGATTCCATGCACACGATGTTCGTTGTATGGCGGTCTATGAGTCCAAGAGTTTGGATTTGCTTGTTTCGGGCGGTATGGACATGTCGCTTGGTCTCATTCCTCTTCGACACTTCACACAAAAAAACCACCGCATGATTCCTGCAGTTCCACAAATTCCTCGCATGGCCATTGCTTCCAAGGCTCGTTTATTCATGCTTTGGGAAGATCATCAAGTGCGTTTATGGCGTGTTGGATCTCCTGGTTATCGCTCCTTGCTTAAACTTGTAATCCAAAATGAAGAGAACATTGTCCATGCATGTATCTCTGTTGACGGGCAGTACGTTGCTATTTCCACTATCCTTGAGACAAAGTTATTCAAGTTGATTTATGGAGAGAATGAGGTGACGGTCGAGCGTGTGTATGATGAGTTTTTATCCAGCGTTGGAGCATTGCTACTTCAATTCACAATGGATACTAAAAAGTTAATATTGGTGACACCTGAATCTGATACATTCATTATCGACTTGAGCCGTGTTGACTCACATCAATTGGAAGTTTTTGAGGTTTCTCAAACCGAACCGGTCAACACACCTATGAAGCAAAAACTGAATCAAAATCCATCCCCTAACTTTGTGTGTGGAATCGCCGTTTCGCCCGATGGCGACTGGTTTGCAATTACCAATTTGCATGGTCATACATACTGTTATTCTTTGTCTAATCTTACACACACAGAGCTTCCTCGCATGAGCTCTCCCATTCGTACCATGGCATTCCGGCCTGATGTCGCCGGCCGTCTGGTTGCTGTTACCGCAAGCAACCAGGTTTACGAATTCGATGTACAATCTCGGAAGCTTACCGAATGGTCTCGTCACAATTCAAACATCATGCCTAAAGCTTTTGCTCAACTGCAAGACAAGGCGTTTGGCTCGTTCTTCGATGCAAGTAAGCCGAGTCGATTCTGGGTTTGGTCAGCCAATTGGTTGGCGTTCTTCGATTTGGAAGAACAGTTGCCCGCTTTAACATCCGAAAAAAGAAAGGCGGATTCGGGTGCCGAAGGAAAGCCTGGTCAACATCGTCGACGCCCTAGTGGTTCACAAAATTTGCCGACACCCATGCTCAACAACCATGCAACCAATTCTCGTGCCTTTTGGATTACATTTAAATACAGACCCATGCTTTCTGTTGGCACCATTTCGGAAAACGAGTTGTTAGTTGTTGAACGTCCTGTGGCAGACATGCTTATGGACAAAGACCTTCCTCCCAAGTTCTATGAAAACAAGTTTACCGAGTAAGACAGAAAATGCTGCACCCATGATTTTGACACTGCAAAATGAAAAGAAATACAAGCGTTGGGTTGCAGGCTTGTTGGTTTGGGTTATGAAGGATTCTATTCGAACTACGCAAGTAGTGAGATAAGGAAATTAAAAAATGTTATTAGACTAGTTGGTGGTAATATTTTTCTTTTGGTTTATTATAATTATATGGTGAAAGGGTGTGCCGGCTGAAGAAGAAAGTTGATGTTGTTTTGTATTCACACTCGTATGTTTGTTCAGCTCATGAAACTGGTTATTGAAGGTGAGATTACATCTGGTCTAAGGTTTTGTCAGAACGTAATTTGTTAATTCTTTTAGTTTCTTTTCCATTCACTCCATGAATACCACTGTGCACCACTGTGCAATCTTTCTTGTGAGTGCATGTTTAATCACAAAGATATTCATCTCTTAATAGACTGTTGACAGCAAAAAAGACAGTTGTTTGGTAGATTTAACCAACATTGTCTTTAGATTTTGGTATTCAATTCAGTTTTAGAATTTACCATGGCATTAAGCCATTTACGGAAACTTTTAAACAATCCTGGGCCTTTTGCAGATGCCTATGACCCAGAAGAAGCAACGAAAGCGATTCAGACAACAAAAATCCTAGTCGTTGGTGCTGGAGGTTTGGGATGCGAGATACTGGTAAATCTTGCCTGTCTTGGATTTGAGAGCATTGACGTAGTCGATATGGATACGATCGACCTGACAAATCTTAATCGCCAGTTTCTGTTTCGGAAAAAGGATGTTGGTCAGCCAAAAGCCCAAATTGCTGCTGAAGCAATTCAACGGCGTATGCCCAATTGTCGGGTTACACCAATCGTATCAAAGGTTCAGGATATTCCTATGGATCAACTTTATACATACGGTCTCGTAATCTGCGGTCTCGACTCGGTTGAAGCTCGTCGCTGGGTAAATGCAACTTTAGTATCTATGGTCGATGATGACGATCCGCAGTCCTTAAAAGCTCTCATCGACGGAGGTTGTGAAGGTTTTCGTGGGCAGGCTCGTGTCATTTTACCGACAATTACAAGTTGCTACGAGTGTTCACTCGATATGCTACCGTCGAAAAAAACATACCCTATATGTACTATCGCTAACAAGCCTCGACTTCTTGAACACTGTGTTGAATGGGCATACGTGTTACAGTGGCAGGCGGAACAAGGCGAAAAAGACCCTTCGTCTGAGCAGATCCCGTTCAATCCCGAGCTCCCCGAACATATGGATTGGCTCGTTCGAACCGCCTCTGAACGTGCGAAGGAATTCAATATTCCCGGCGTCATTACCCACAGTTCGGCTCAGGGGATTGTGAAGAACATCATTCCTTCCGTCGCCTCTACGAACGCCATCATCGCTGCTGCCTGCTGTACGGAAGCCTTCAAACTCGTTACTGGATGCAATCCAATTCTCGACAACTATATGATGTACACAGGTGATCAGGGTGTCTATACGTATTCATTTTCGCTAGAAAAGCAGAAGGACTGCCCGGTTTGCGGCATCGAGGCAGTTCTCTTGCCTGTATGTGGAAACGAACCTTTGTCAGCCGTAGTCAACCGACTGAAAGAAAAGTACCGCCTGTCCAACCCATCGCTCTCACTTACACCGAATTCCTCGTCAACTCCCACTCGTCCATTGTACTATGCCGCACCTCCTTCTCTTGAAGCAAGTACGCGTTCCAACCTCTCCATAAGCATGCGCGAGCTGTGTCAGCAGTGTCGTTCGTTAACGGTAACCGACACACAATTGCCCGTCAGTATGAAGGTGGTCTTGAGATGGGAATAACAATAATGTATATGATGTTAAAATGAAATGGAATGAAACAAACACACAGCTGGATACGAACGAATACTTGTTTTGTTGAATTAGCAAAATAGCAATTACATCATTTGTCGCCTAAAAATAAGCTTATTTAACCGTTGGTCTGATTGGCCAACAAAACAGAGTTTTGCGCTTAACCACAAATCGCCGACAAGTAGCAACTCACCCTTCGATTTCCACGCGTCACACTCAGTAAGACCTATCAAGCAAAATTCATTACAGCCACAGCATTCCCCTCGCATGCTTCACCTTCTCAAAGTCTGTCACCCGCTTCTCGACTGAGCGCATTAATAGCTGCTCAGTCAATGGCTCATGCTGTAACAGATACACGACACGTGTAAGAACCTTATCTATACGTCGCTCCGAAAACAACCCGCGTCCAACAATCTTAAAGCCGATCGATAGGATTTCTTATTTCCAGTATTTATTGTCGCAAGGTGTCGCAATCGGCGCAGCCCTTTTTTTATCTCACCAATAAGCACGAGCCTTTCGACTACCGCCTGACTGCTATAGCAGATACTTGCACACAGACAAAAATAACCCGGCCATGCACGCAACCTGTTACCTCTGTGGTGATTAAAGAGAAAACACCACTGTATGAACACGTGTTGCTCAGTAAGCACGCTCACCATCGTTGACCAGAATCAATGAATTTCCTCCAAATTATGGGCTCTCCAACCCAGTTACGTAATGCCCGGTTAACTCTACACCTAGGTTTTTCATGACGAGTCCGCATCGTCATTGATCCGTCAGACTCGCTTGCAGCTATCTTATCTCGCTAACCACCCTCGGCTAGATTCGCCAAAAGTAACATCCCTTAGTAGCTGGAGCCGCTGTTTCCGCGCATACACGCTACGGCGATTCCAAAACATACGCACTGATAATTGATACGCACAGAGCTTAAATTGGCGAAACCCTTTTTGCTTGCATAAAGTCGGCGTTTACGAACTTCTACCTTCGTCTCTCAACCACCCGTTTAGAAAAAGCACTTCCAATTTTGGGGGCTGCTGCTGACCTTGGGTAATTCGCCTTCCTGTTTGCTTTCTTTTCATTTGCCAGGGTGTTTGTTCTGTGTATTTTGTTTCTTGATTTGTTAGCGCGTTTTCTTCGTTTTCTAATTGATAAAAGCGAAACCTTTAATAATTTTTAATTCTACAGGTGTTCTCGTGAAATCCTCAGCTTTGAGGGTGTGTTTGTTTGTTTTCCAAGGTTCCGCCTTAATAATCATTGTTTCTCCGGTTGGAACAGAAGCTTAAAAACATTTTTTTTGTTGTGGACATTCATTTCCTGCATTTCCTGCCTTTTTGGTACCTCTCATCTTGGTTTCTCGTTTTCGTCTTACAGTCCTTTCCCTGTATATTCCTTTAAATTTTCTTCCCGACTGCAATTCCTCTGAAGAACAGTTTTTCTCTTCGTCCTTCCCCTCATCTACTTTCCTTCATATTTACATTTCCCTCATCTCGTTTGAACAATGCCTATGAGGTTTTCTGACGCAGATGACGCTTCCGGCTCCCATGTCGGTAGCCTTCGCCGGAAGTTTAGCATGCTCATGCCTATGACTGAGAACGCAGACGGCCCCAGTTTGGTAAGCCAGAGTTTCCAGGACCACGGGGCTATTCACCTGCAGTCAGCTCAGCTTGCAATGGCTGAAACTGATTCCGGTGTTCCTGTTGCCGACTCGCTGGCTAGCTCGCCCGCCGATGCGTACATGGCCACCGGTTTTGGCAGCATTCAATCCAGCCCTGTGGTGTCTGAGCACAAATTCCCAGAACGGGAGCCTTCGCTCGGTGGACGGCCTTCTCGTGTGTTCCCCTACAATCAAGCACCAGCTGAGACTGAAGAAAATGAACGTCGTCCCCTGCTCTCTTATGCGCCCGAAACGGACAACGACTGGAATATGCCGAATGTGTCGAACTCCAACGTCCTCTCTACAGATTACACGCCCCGTCGCTGGCATGAGCGAGCTCGTATGTACTGGAAGTCTTCTCATGAATTTATGTGCGATTCCGCTGGTCCCTCAATTCTCATTTCTAATATTCCTGCTGTGTTGATCGGTCTTTTGCTCAACATCTTGGATGCTCTTTCGTACGGTATGATTCTTTTCCCTCTTACATCACCCGTCTTCAGCAAGCTTGGTCCTGATGGTATTGCATGCTTCTATGTTAGTTGCATTGTCAGTCAGCTGGTGTTCTCGTTTGGCGGTTCTTGTTTCAAGGGTTCTGTCGGTTCTGAAATGGTTGAGGTTATTCCTTTCTTTCATCAAATTGCCTTTACCGTTCTCGCCCGGGTGGGTCCGACGAATCCTACGTCTGTTATTGCGACTACCATTATGTCCTATTCTCTTTCCTCCGTCATGACCGGTGTCACCTTTTATTTGCTGGGTCGCTTCCGCTTGGGACGACTCATTGAGTTTTTCCCTCGTCACATTCTTGTTGGTTGCATCGGAGGTGTCGGCTACTTTTTGTTTTCCACTGCTATCGAGGTTTCTTCTCGTATGGAGGGCAACATGGCTTATGATTGGGCCACTCTGAAGTTTCTCTTTAGTCCGTCCGTTTTCCTTCACTGGGCCATTCCTTTGGTTCTGGCCTTGGGTGTCGAGTTGGCTCAATCACGCTGGAGACACCCTTTCCTCGTGCCTGCCTTTTTTGTCTTTTCTCCGCTAATCTTCTTCACGGCTGTTTCGCTCATTCCCGGTCTCACCATCCAAGACTTGCGTGACATGAACTGGATTTTCCAGGCTCCTGAAAGCAATGAGCCTTGGTACCATTTCTGGACACTTTTTAACATCAAAGAAACAAACTGGCACGCAATTCTCGACACGGTTCCCGAGATGATGGCTTTGACCTTTTTTGGAATTCTTCATGTTCCCATCAACGTTCCGGCCCTCGCTATTTCCACCGGCCAAGATGATGTTGACACTGACAAAGAGCTCATCTCTCATGGTATTAGTAACGGGTTGTCTGGTTTGATTGGCAGTATCCAAAACTACATGGCTTACACGAACTCTTTCATCTTCATTCGCAGTGGTGGTAACAACCGGTTGGCCGGCGTGATGTTGGCTATCGCAACTGCTGGTGTGTTGTACCTTGGCCCTGTTGTCATCGGATACATTCCCATTTGGATTGTGGGCGCCTTGATTTTCCTGCTCGGTATTGAGCTGCTGAAGGAATCGCTTATTGATACAATTGGAACAGTTACTACCATCGAGTACATTACGATCGTAGCCATCGTGGCCACAATGGGTATCATGGACTTTGTTTTTGGTATTGTTCTTGGTATCATTTTGGCCTGTTTCTTCTTTGTCATCCAAGCTTCGCGTCGTTCAGCTGTCCGCGGCATCTACTCTGGCAATCTTGTCCGTTCCACTGTTCGCCGTCCCGCCAACCAGCAACGCTATCTCAGCCAAGCAGGCAGTCAAATCCAAGTTTGCAAGCTTTCTGGCTTTATGTTTTTCGGAACCATTAACGGTGTGGAGAGCACGATTAACAATTTGATCAAGGAGTTAAGCTTCTCCAAGAACCGTCTGCGTTACTTGATCATCGATTTTAGTCTTGTTTATGGCGCAGACTTTAGTGTTGTTCAATCATTCCAGCGTATCCGTCGCCTTTTGTCGGCACGGGATGTTCAGTTGTGTGTTTGTGGTTTGGATGAGCGTCGTGCTTCGTTTAAAACGCTTTGCAATATCTGCTTTGTTGGTGAAGACAATAGCAATGTTCAAGTTTTTGAGACCGTAAACAACGCTCTTGAGTACTGTGAAAACATGTTGCTCAAGGCCTTTAACCTGTATCGCAACAAGCTTCTTCAAGAGCAAATGCGTATCAATCATCTGGAGATGCCAAAATCTGCTTCCAAGTTCTACAGCTCGGACGCACAATCGTACTCGCCTTCGCCAAGATTGGAATTTCTGCGTCAGGCTGCTGTTTCCACCTTACAGGACGAGTCTCAGGAGCTCCCTTCTATCGTTAAATACGCCCGTTTTGAACAACCATTCCCTCTCATTATGCAAGTGTTTAATGGTCTTACTACGAAGAACGAAGATCTCTGGCTCTATGTGTGTCCTCACTTCAAGAAGTCTTTCCTCCAAAAAGGTGATGTTCTCTGGCATGCCGGTACTCCCGCTAACAGACTGTGTATTGTCGAGTCGGGCATGTTGAAGGCCTTGTACAACTTAAGTGCTGAGAAACTTTCCGAGAACATTACCGGTCTGTGCGTTGTTGGAGAGCTGCCTTTTATGTGTCAATCTGCTTTCCGCGCTACTGTCACTGCCGAAATGGACTCCGTGGTCTGGTCCCTAGACATGGACTCTTGGAAACAATTGTCTCAGGACGAACGGATGGGCAAAGAGATCATAAACGAGTTTCTCCTAATTAGTTTGAAACTGACCCAGGAGAGAATCAGCGTCATTACGAACTTCGCGTTGAACATGCATGCCTAGAAAGGTTCTTTTTCCGGCGTGCAGCATGCACTCACACGCATTCTAAGCATCTTGTCATTATCACCGCCATTGCATTGCAACTCTTGACTACTACTTTTATTACTACAGTCACCACATTGTTGTTGATACCGCAGAACTATTTTCCCCGAGTTTGTTTTATATTGTCTCAACCTCCCTGCATTTTCGATAACCTAGGTTACTTATTAGGTCTTCTATCTTGGGTTACAATGATGCTTAGACTTGCTGACGTGCTGATCGTTATTGATAGTGGCACCAAAAAATTATAGTTTTTTTTATAGAAATGAATTAATATTAATCATTAAAAAAAGAGAGGAAGAAATTGACAAACTGCGCATTTTATTATGGACGATTTTTATTCTACCAGATTATCGGGTAGTTTGCGCTCGTGTTAGAAATAAAGTATCCACGTTATATTTCATCCGCGACACTTAAATTCGGTAGAATACAGGATTTTTAAACGCGTGTAAATGTATCAATATATACATCAAGGGGCTTATTAGAATGGCGAAGTTCATTTACGCGCATTTTTTCATTAGATGTTCTCCCTCAGCCGCTTGTTTACTATTTTACTTCGAGACGAGAAGCCCGGATAGCATATAAGCAGAGCCACCCCCCGTCTCCTATCCTCTCCCAAACACAACACTTCAGCGGCATCAGACAAAAAGGTCATCTAAGCCTTATTAGAGCGAGAAACGGCCACGAAACCGTCTTTCAGCTTCGTCATTCTTTTTTAAATCGTCGTTCTTTGTGTCTCGTCGCTCCTTTGCATCTATCGGTCGCTCCTTCCTCGTTTACAGAAAAGGTCGGTCCACTTAAGCTTGGCCAAGTCATCCTCGTAGTTGTAGTGGCTTTTTTGTTTGCTGGATAAACTCCTGTAGCCAAGTCTCGAAGATCCATCTTTTGTCAACAAAGGCGCGCTCTCCTTTTGTTCTCTTCGCATATATTCACTCCTTTTAGGAATCTTTCGGTATTCTCATCTTCAAAAATGGTGTACTCGAAGTCTTTGCTGTCCGTTGCTACCTTTTTGCTCGGTATCGCTGGTGTCCGTGCTGGTTGCGTGGTCGAGTCCGGCAATTACTACTGTAACGAGGTTTCGGAGGTCCTTTTCACCAATGTCGGTTCCTCTGGTTCGTACAATGATATCACGAACATGGATACTTCTTCTTGCACGTGTTCGCACACGAGCAAGTCCTACAGCGGTCCTCTCGCTCCTTTGGACGAGGAAGTGTCTTTCCACTTCCGTGGTCCCATCCATTTGAAGCATTTCGCCGTTTATAACGCCGACTCTTCTGCTGCTGCTTCTTTCCGCAAGAAGCGTAGCCTCCGTAACCATCCCGACCTCAAGAAGCGTGACATGGTTTATGTCACCGAGTACGTTACGGAGTACATTAACGAAGATGGAAGCAAGTACGTCGATCCTGCCTCCTCTACGGCTCTTTCTGACTATGTCTCTTCCTACATTGCGTCTAGCAGTGCTGCTGCTGCTACCGAAGCTGGTGACGCTACGACGTATGCAACTTCTACCGTTGTTTCTACTGCCTCGACTGAGACTTCTGACGATTACTCGTCTCCATCTTCGTCTGCTACGTCTTTCACCACTTCTACCACCACTTCTTCTCCTTCTTCTTCTGCTTCTTCCACCAAGACCTCTTCCACTTCCGCCAGCTCTGGTTCCGGCTCTGGCAGCTGGTCCCGTGCTTCGTACTACGAGGCTAGCTCTGGTACCGCTGACAACGCCGTGTTCTTGAACAACTTGGGTGGTAGTGGATCTGGTGTCTGGTCTTCTTGCTTTGGCAATTCTTTGTCCTATGCCGCTGCTGACGGTGTCAGCTGCTCTTCCTCCTCCAAGACTTTGAACGATGTTGTCGTTGCTTCGAACAAGGAGTTCTCCATTTGGTCTTCGAACAAGTGTGACGGTGACTGTGGCTACTACTTGCCCGGTATCCCTGCATTCCATGGTTTCGCTGGCACGAAAATCGTCCTTTTTGAGTTTGTCATGCCTCACGACTACTCTTCTGATTACAACCAAGACATGCCTGCTATCTGGGCCTTGAACGCCAAGATTGGCCGTACGTTGCAGTACGGTAACGCCGATTGCTCGTGCTGGACCACGGGCTGTGGTGAGTTCGATATTTTCGAGGTTCTTAACTCTGGTAACGAGAAGATGATTGCTTCTATCCACAGCGCCCAAGGTGCTCCCTCTGGCAGCAACACCGGCGGTGGTGGTAGCAGTGACTACTTTGCTCGTCCTACCTCTTCTAGCATGATCGGTGCCGCTATCTTCGACACTGTCTCTTCTAGTATTTACGTTATTGACATTACCGACAAGGGCTTCTCTTTCGGTGACTCCATCAGCACCTCTGATGTTGAGAACTGGTTTGTGGATGGTGCTACTGTTGTTCAGCTCAACTAAGCTTGACGCGTTGTCAGCTTTCAAAGTGTGACTAGCGACAGAGTACTTGCTGGCTTTGCTGTTTCTCATTTTGGAATGTACCGTCTATTTCAAAGGAAAACTTCCATACGCAGTGCATATGGCGTTTTCAGTGGCATATAGTTTTAGGTTTCATATAGTGCATTTTAACTATTTATATAATGTATGCGGCATGCAAATTTGCTAAATAAATATCTAAAATTTTTAAAACAACGGTTCTATATGTTCGTAACTAAAAGGTTATAATCGGGAAAAAGTGTTCTATTACAACAAGCTCTTCCAGCCCCCAAGGTCTTCCATCTGCGAAACTCCATGGAAAGTGTTGCTGTTGGACGCTTTGTTTGGAGGTGCCGATGCAAAGTCAGAGAATACGCTTGCACTTTCGTTGAACGTCGACTCATTGGTTGGGACCAAACTCGGCGTTGAGAGGGAATTCAGCAAAGGTGGAAAAGAGGATTGAGAAGAAAAGGCGCGACGGACAGGCGATTGCTGGGTGGCAGGTTTCCTGAAACTTTGCTGAGTTTGAGGCAAGGTCGAAGTTGAGGTATTCGTGCTTGTTGATTGGGGTTGATGAGTAGTAGCAACATAACCACGATTCCCCTTTACAGAATCATATGTTTGTGATGGGCGTAATTTTTTGGCAAAGGTTGCTTCAAACGTGTCCAACAATCCCCGAGTCAAGCTCATATTCGCTTGGAATTCTTCCAGACTAATGCTTGTCGAGAAACTCAGGTCAAGTAATGAAGGTATAATATCCTTCACCACTGTATCATCAGGAACTTGGGAAGATATCTCTTTGTAGAATTCACGCAGTAAAGAAACAACAATATTCTCTCTAGTCTTAATTGCTTTAAGTGTAGGAATGACTTTATTCACAACCACGAACGAGCTTAAGTATTGCTTTTGTGCGAGAAGATTAAGCTTCTCAAGAACAAGGGCTTTCACTCCCAAATTTTTCGTTTGAGCACAACAATCGGTTAATTTGGGTACGACAATATCGGCAATTGTTGAATTCGGACTCACATCAACAATTTGGTCGAGATGAGTAAGGGCTAATCGTTGAATATTAACGTAAGACGATGTGATAGCATGAACCAAAAAGGGTGAGTACTTGGATACAAAGGTGTCAGCGGAAAGTTTGCTTTTAAAAACTTGTACGTTTTCTAAAAGAAGCGTAGCCACACTTTCGTCCACGTCTCTCTCTTCAGATAGCAGAACCGCAATCTGAGGGAAAACATTGCTTTGAAACTGTTCAGGAGTAATCCACGTAGAGATTTCAAAAATACACGGAAGTAAATAGACGATGAGACTCGGATCAGAAAGCGTTTCGAGCAGACAGGGAAGAATTTTCCGGGACGACACTGTTTTTGGAAAAATATGTAACTCGGATTTCAAGGACTGTAGGAAAGATGTCTTTTCACTGGGCAACTTCTCGGGTAGTCTTTCCAAAAACTGCAATGATGCCAAAAGTCCGCTATTAAAGTAAGGTAACGAATGTAAATCGGAAACGGAAACTCGATGTTGAGGATATCGAGTAAGCGTGGATTCTAGAAAAACTTTAAGCGGATCAGAGCGAATCTTCATCAGAAAAAGCTTTGAGTTTAACGCTTCATCCAGCTCTTTTTTGTAAGTGAAAGTGCTGTCGTAACTGGTTATGAAGCTGTTCCCAGAATTGAAAATGGCGAATGTGAGACAACCAAGGGAAAAAACATCGTTTGCAGGTGAGATTACTTCGTCTAACAAGTACTCTGGGGCCAAAAAATTAAAATTCTGTTGAAGTTCTATTGGAAAGCGACTGTCCATTTCCGGAAACTGAAAGGTCGCATCAGTCAAGTTTTGCGAATAACCAAAACCACAGATCTTCCAGTCTCCTTTGGCATCAATGACAACTGACTCAGGCTGTACGTTTAGATGCACAATACCCGCAGAATTACTGAGAAACTCAAGACCGTCTGTGAGTTGAAGAAGACCCTTCTGAATCTCCAGTTCTTCCATTGATTCTGCACGCTCTTGATGAAAAGAACGCAATTTTTCGGAAAGTGATACCTCAATTGGTTCTGTAACGAATGTCATACTGGAACTTGTCTCTTCTAATGGTTCCATCAGACGAAGAACAGATGGATGACGCAAACGTGCAAGTGTAGACGCATCCTTTCGCAGGACATTGAGCAAGAACTCAACCCGAGGGCGAAGCATAGAAGACTGCTTTTGCAGATGCTTTAATGGCTTTTTGTCGAATGTAAACACGGAGACTACCACATGTGAATCTTTCTTCCTCGCAGAGTATACCACCCACGGACCAACATGGGTTTCTGACTCAGCATCAATGTGATAATTGTTCTTCAAAGACTTCGAATTAGTCCCTGTTTCCCAGAGTTAGTGGATATTCGACAAAGCGTTTTCGGCATTTCGGGGCAAAAAACATACAGAATTTAAGTGCATTTCCAAACATTTAAGCCAATTCTATCGTTTGAAAGACGTTGAAAGTATCAAGGGTGTATTGAGAGAACAAAATGGCAAAAGTGAGAATCGGTCGACGCTTGGGTGGTTGCAAGGAAGTAGGAAAGTATGGGGGAGCAAGAAGAATCAGAATTCAGTTTTTGACGACGAAATCCAAGATATAGTTTAGCAATCAAAGGTAGAGCTCATGTTTAAAAGTTTCTCTGTGGATGCCGTGACACAAGCCGGCAGTTTTGTTTTTTTTTTTTTTTTTGCAGACCAACAACAAAACAGCTCCAAAAAAAGGAATCGTCTTTCAAACGAAAAGCACATTTTAAAGGGAGCAGTAATAATACATAAGACGTATTCTTATCGAAACATTTGCCAAACTTGTCGGCTATAGATAGCACGAATCCCTTCTATACAAACTCATATGCTGAAGATAGTCAGCATCAACTTGTATGAGGTTAAGAAGAGTGATAATGGTTGAATAAAAAGAAATACGCTTAATTTTGCGAATTCTGTAATTGGTCGTTCGTCGAAGTTTGTTTTTAAAAGATGCAAGACAGTCCAGTTGCGTAGTCAGAGTTACTTGCTATAACACTTTAGGCAACGATCAGAGTCGAGGAAGGTAATATATAAAGAGTTAAAGCATGTCCTTTTGAAAGAGATGTCTGTGCGTGAATCACTTCTTTGCCATGCTAAACGACGCGTAGAATTGCACGAGAATATTGTTCTACAGCTTAACAAGATAACCTTGCCGAATCAATCTTTCAACGTCCGTTGTCCGAACGTGTAATTGTGAGTTCTTTGTCAAGTTAATTGTACCATACTCAGTTTCAATTTCACCAACGTCTTCGAGAACACGGACATCGATAAATAAATCTTTTGGAGGCACAGTAGACCCTGTCAAGTCAACATCTGTCCAAGGGCCTTTGTACGCAGCGAGGAGTTCAGAGTAACGAGACAGATATTCTCGCTCTGTTGGGCTGAGTGCTGTTTTTAAAGAAGCCTCCATTTTTTTCCCTCCGTCCCAGCAGTACTGACGGATGCGTCCCAATCGCAAGTTGTGATATGCCATTAAACAACGTTTGTTGTGAAGATTTGTCGCGTGAAGCATTAAGAGCGATGCAGCTTCTGAAGGGTGTTCTTCTGGTTGAAATGTGACAGTTCCATTCTCTGTCAAATGTGACAAAACTGCTGATGCTTCGCGGTCGACAGCACGAATTTCACGAACAACATCGGCTACAGCGTCCGTTTGGTATGGAGGTAAATAATCCAGATACAAAGTACGTTTAGAGTCGTGTATAAGCTTGTTTGAGTGGTTTCCAAGGCCGTTTTCCATATTCTAGCACAATTTAAAGTTAGACCACGCGAAATGGCAGTTAGAAGAGCAAAATGAGCGATGAGTGATGATGAACAGGTGGAATGAAAGGAAAACGAAAACGACTGGGTCTTAGCAGATGTTAGCAAACTTGTTACGATTCCTACGACGGCTGATTCGGTTGAATATGTTGCTAACTAGTTGATGCACTTATTTTCAGTGGTTGTACGCGAACGCGTTTGAATGTCGCACCCCAAAAGCAACAACTCGCTAAGTACATAAACCTTAATAAGCATACGGTTCACGTGCATTATGTATTAATTACGTGGTCCTTCGGCCGAAATTGAGGGAATGGAATCTTCACGCCTGCAGTTATGCACCTTCAACAAGCATGAAAATTGGACCAATAAAAGGAATTTACAGACGGTTTGTGGATTTTTTGACTAACAGATAGACTAACGAATATAGTCAAGTAATTATTGACTTTTGCGTTGCAATGTCTATTGGACTTGCGGGAGGATGCGCATGGTGGTATGGATACCACAAGCCTTTTCTGCGTCAAAGAGAGGCATACTATGAGAAATTGAACTCCGAGAAAGCACAAATGGAAGAGGAAAGTGCTTCAGCTGCTACAGAAGAGTGAGTGTGCGCTTTTTGGGATTCCGCGGTTAGACCGCGTTTGGGATTCAAGGACTCCACCCCGTTACGTAGGTTTCCCCGCAAGAACGCCCTGATCTGCAATGCCGATCCTTCGGTTGTCTCGCTTAATGTGATTTTTAGCCGAGACGTGTTTCTCACCACCAACACCACCACTACCACCATTTTAATTCCACCACAAGTTTTCCACCCAGGAATTGGCAAAAACTGGCCATGTCGTTCAAGTCGTTTAAACGCAAGTACCTCAAGCTGAGAAAGTCGTTTGATGTGGCGTGTCAAGAGACAACTATTATAAACAACCAGATCGAACAGGTTTCGATTGTCTATCGGAGGATTCAACTTGAAAACATGTAAGTGAGTTTTTGTTGGTGGTGAACAGAGGAGGTCGAAGAAAAGTGGTGGACAACGTTTTGTGTGTGTACGTGATACATTCTGCTTTGTCGTTTTGCTTTTCTTGTTTGGTGAAGTGAACACCAATTCTGTGGTGGTTTTGTTTGGTGGTAAATTGGTTGCCGTTTAATTTCGTGTGCTTCCTTTTCTGTTCGTTCATTCTCTTGTGCTCCCTCTGTATTTTTCTGTGACCCGTTCATCGTTGCTGACAATTCATAGGCACTTGCTTGATTTGCTGTTGGACATGCAAGATACGGATCAGGTGCCAATCCCAGCTATGAGTCCTCCAGGTTCGCCTTACTGGCAAGAAAATCCACCAAAACATGTCGGAGAGTTGGAGTCAGAACTTGTGCTGGCTGAGATGAAACCGTTTTCTACAAGTCATCCGTGGAACAATGGATTCGATCCTCAGATTGGTATGGAACCTTCTGCTGCTGGCGGTTTTGGCTACAACAGCAATTCTATGTCCCCTTCCGCCGGCAATGCTGCATTCAAATTTAAACGGAAAAGCACAGGCACTACTGAGCGCCGCGGAAGACGGAGATGAGTTGGTTTGGCGGTTCTGTCGTTTTCTCTTTCCCGTATTCCTCCGCTTGTTTGTAGTTTATTTCGCTTCAATTGCTTAAAACCGTGTGTATTTCCAAAACTAGAATAAGATTCTATAGCGAGGGGAGTTGACGATATCAAAAAGTCATGTGATCACTTTGTCTGAACCAGTACTCCAACACTACCACCTACCCAGTACATACCAGTTGAGAAACTAAGTGGTACGCAATATTAGCTTAAAACTGTGTATCTAACGCTTTAGAAACTGGTTTTAGACTGCATCAGAGCAGCTATACCCTTTTTTTGGGTCTGAACGCCATTTTCTTGAGTGTACGGTGTTTGAGTACTGAACAATTCGCCACATCCATTAACAGTTGGTTGATGAATTGTGCTCATCTGTGAGAATGGAGGTGAACGAGTTTGGCGTTCCAATAGCCTTGGAAGGTGTATTATTTGACGTGTTGCACCATCATGGTTTCAGCGGAGTGAGCGTCGCTGCTAAGCATCTCTTTTTGAATGCGTTTGATAAATGTGGGTAAATCTCCTAGAACAACAAGCGCGTCGAATGTGTCTCGGTATTTTTCGCTCATTCGCTGTTGGTAATATTCGTTGAACGCTTTCTCTTGTCTTGCATTCTCTGTTTTATTTTCTATTTTGTTGGACTTTGCTAACCTCTACAAGACTATAAGTCATTTTTAAAAGAACTCGCTGTACAAACACATTTAAGGAAACATACTGTATCGTCACCTCTTGATGTTTCGATTTGTCTTAATCTTCATTTAATAACGCGGTCTGGAATGTCAAAGGAAATGCAACGAAGAATACAGAAACCGTGTACGGCAAGATTAGAGCAGGTCTTAAATGTGGCACCAGAGGTTGATGTTCCACAAGAATTTCGTTCTTCCATTGAAACTAAAACTGTGGGACATCTACTTGGTCCTCTTGCTGTCGCGCAAAACCGACGGTCCTATGTCTATTCTCATCTTCCTTCGTTTCCTGCTGCACATACTTATATGGCTACTCCTGTGTATCCCACGAGACCAACTTCACCGCGTAAGATTCGCGAGCTTGCTACACAAGAATCTCGGCTTGCTGAAAACGCTTTACAAAGAATCCTTGGGGCAAATAAACCCCCGAAAATTGATTCTCCCCGAAGAGAGTTGTTTGAAAAAACCTGCATAGAGCTAGGTCTGGAAGCTAAACATTTTCACATCATAAATTGGGAAGTTCAAAAGTGGGATCCCTCAAAAAGCAATATAAGTTAGTATTGATGATGGCAATCAACCCTATGAAGAGAATGACAAAAAATGGAAGAAACATTGGGTTTTCATGACAGTCAGGCCGGTCCTTAACTGTTATTTGGGAACACGGTTTGGAATGACTTCGACTAATTCATTATTTTGGCATCTTCGTACTGTTAATATCTTGGCATGCTAAGTATTTTGGCAATTACGTACAGTCGAAAAAACCGCTTCATCATTTGACAGACTACTTTTTTTTCGGCCGGTAGCGGCTCACACGAGTACTGTTTTAAACTCATTAGTCGGCAGTTTGTGTGCTTGTTATTATCGTGCTGTTCGGGCCTTAACATGTATGAAATCCACAAATCTGATGAGCAAAGCGCTCGATGGGGTCTGCTAGCCGTGTTCTTGAAGGACGTTTTTATGCTGCGAGTCAGCAAGACTACGAAGGTCACTAGTTACGAGTAATAGATGTCGCTGCTGGTCTCTGTACGCCTTATTTACACAAACACCTTGATTCACCCTACAAACTGTAAGAATTATACAAAACTTTTGCCCTAAAACTGGCCTGTGGTCAATTTTGACTTGTTACATAGAATATGCCATCACAAATGGAATAGAAAAGAATACTTAAAAGGAAAACAAGACAGATATGAAAGACGGAAACTGCAATGAGGAAAAGGTGGAATAGGATGCGGGTATTAGGATTATGTGTTATATCGAGGCAGATTGCTTTTCGATTTTACGAGCGTGGATATCAAAGTTCTTAATAGTAACGCTCTTCGTCATGTTAGCAGTTTTGTAAATGCCAACAAGTCGCGAAGCTAACTCAAACATATTGCTTCGTAGAGAGATGACAATAAATTGAGCATTTTTCGTTCGTTCTTTTATGTAATTGGCAACGATGGATACATTTTTAAAATCCAGTGCTGCATCAATTTCATCCATAACATAGATAGGAGTCGGTTTGTAATTGTGTAAAGCAAAAACAAGAGCAAGAGAACTGAGTGTTTTTTCTCCTCCCGACAAGTTGGATATATTTTTCCAAGACTTTTTAGGAGGCATAACACTAAATACAACGCCTTCAGAAAAGGGATCCAAACTGTCTACCAATTCTAGTTCTGCATTGCCGCCCATTGTGATGATTTGATACATCTCTTTGAGCTTTTTTGAAATGGCATTAAATCCAGCCATAAATTCGTCTAAACGTAGAGCATTTAAGTCGTCAATTTTCTTTTTCAATTCATCACGTCTGAGAACCTCATCTTTTAACTCATTTTCTCGTTTAGATGCTTCAACTTGGCGGCTCTTGTATTCTTCGAGAACATTAACATCCACCTCAACATTCTCTGTTTTTTGTTTGAGCTCAGCGATTTCTTGCTTAAGACTGTTTTTATCCATATCGCCAAGCTCATCGTTAGAGTACTCCTGTAATTCAGAAATGTATTCAGCTTTTTCATCAACAAAATCAGCAACATCATGTAACGAAAGCTTGGATCTTAGATTCGAGTAATGGCGAATGCTAGAATCCAATTCCTTTAGCGAACTTGTGTGCTCTTTAAGTTGATTCTCAATTTTCAGCTCACTTTCTTTGCCAGCGAGGACTAAGCTTCTCTCTTCTTCAAGCTGATTGTTCAAATCTTTTAACTTTTCGCGGAAAGATTCGTTAGATCGCTGCACTTCCTCATACTCAGCTTCGCTTTCTTTGGCCCTTTTTCTTAATGATTCCATCGAACTCTCTTTATCCGATACTTCACGTTCAAGTCTTGCTTTTTCGTCTTCAACTTTTGAGATTTCCTTTGAGAGACGTGTAATCTCCTGGACAATTTTTTGCTTTTCAAAATCAGAGTTATCAATGATCTCTTGCAAAAAGTTTCTCTGCTCTGTCAAATCGTCGACTTTAGACTTTTGTAAACGGAATGTGATACCACCAATGTCCATAATCTTGTCCTGCAAAGATTTAATTGCTGCTTCCGTAACAGAGTTCTTGGAGCGAATGGCTTCAATTTTCTCTTCAACTTTCGATATTATATCGTTCAGCTTGTTGATTCTGACTTCAGTCTCTTTGGATCTATCCAGTTTTTCCTGAGTTTCCAAAATAATGCTTTGGAGATTTTTCTTCTTCTGTTTCATTGACGAAACATCCATTGCGAGTTTTGAGATTTCCATTTCAAGCTCAGGAATTTTATTTTCTCTTGAAGAAATTGAAGATGATAATTGATTGCACTTATGAGTAAGTTCGTTGAATTCAGCTTCAATTTTACTCTTCTCAGACTCCTGTATCTGAAGTGTCTGAGAAGAGTAATCAGCGGAAAGTTTGCTTGACATTCCGCCCCGGAAAACCCTGTTACCACCGCCGGTCATGGTACCTGATTTATCAATAACTTGACCTTCTAATGTTACAACTCGCCAACGCTTAGCACCATAGGCAAGTCTATTAGCTTGTTCGAGGTCATTTGCTACCAGAGTGTTTTGTAACACGCTATAAAAGGCCGGTGCGAACTTTTCGTCTTTAAATTTAATTAAGTCAAAAAGTCTTGGTGAATTTTCCGGGGTTGATATGCGCGACAGATTTCTTCTGGCCAATTTATCCAGTAAAATAAAGCTTGCACGACCAAGATTATGTCTTCTTAAATAATCAATACACCGCTGACCAGTTTCAACATTCTCAACAACAATGTGATTGAGAGCAGGACACGCGGTGGTGATAGCAACATCATATCTCTGATCAATGACACCCAAGCTTCCTAAACGACCAAAGAAGCCAGGAAGCTTACCAGCTTGGTGTAACTGTGTCAAACCATTTAGTACACTGCCTCGATTTTTTGAAGCTTGTAAAGAAGAGCGAATTTCATCGACCTGAACTTGGCACGAACGCAATTTAGCGCGCAATTTTTGCATGATTGGTTCATGCTGCGAGAGTGTCGCTTTTTCTTGTTCGAGTTGCTCTTTCTCCTTAGCCAAGACTTCAAGTTTGGATTTGTATTCGGTCTTTGCTGTGCTATAACCTTCTCGAAGTTGATTGTACTGTACATCCAAGTCTTCAAGGGACTTTCTCACAGCATTCTCATTTTCGTAAATAACATTGAGTTCTGCTGATGCAACTTGTTTTTCCGATTCAAGTCGATTAATTTCTTCCTTGGACGGCGCCAATAGCTTTTGCTTGGCCTCAATTTCGTTAGATATATCTTTCGTCTTTTCGCGAAGGTTTTCCATGGTTATGCTGAGTTGCTTCTGTTCAGTTTCAAGCTTGCCTTTTACACTCTGTAGTTCTGCAAACTTGTCCTTGATTGTTTCTTCATGATTTTCGAGAGAACTTTTAGCAGCAGAATGCTTCAGAGTAGTTGAATCCATCTGTTTTATGAGCTTTTTTAGCTTAGAACGCAAGTGCTTTAAAAGCTCCTCCGTTTGTACAAGTTTCTGTTCATTCTTACGATAAATGGCTTTAAGTTCGGCTTCTTTTTTCGTTGCAGAAACAGAGGACTGTTGAAGTTGTTGTAACTCGCTATTAAGCTCTTGAATCTTGTCTTCATTGACCTTGTACTTTTGCCGTCCGCTTTCAAGGTTTTCATTTAAGTTATTTATAACGCCTTGGAGTAACGACTTCTTATTTCCAAACTCCATGAGATAAAGTTGATATAGAGCAGATCGTTTCAAAGCAAGGGTATTTTCTTTTAACAAATGCGTCACAACTTCAGTCTTTTGGCGTTCAAGAGCAGAACGTTCGTTTTCGACAAGCTTAAATCGATGTTCTTTTTCAAGACAGACGTCGTTCAAACCAACTAGTTGTTCTTGACTTTCTTCAATAGCAGTTTTGTACTTAGAAGTGCCGATAATGTCCTCCAGATACTCCAATAGTCCGTCATCATTATCATTCAAAGCTCGTGGTTTCATTTGCGCAATAGATTCAACTTCACCTTGAAGAATCAAAAACCGCTTGTGATCCAAATCAACGCCTTTCTTTTAGGAGTGTCGTAACTTCTGTGAATGTACTTTCAACATTGTTTAAAAAGTACTTGCTTGTATTGTTTTTAAAAGCCGTTCTTCGAATAGAAATCCGCGAAGAAGGAACAGAATTGTCAACGGGAATTACTCCGTCATCAGTATCGATAACCTCTGAAAAAACAATTTCGACGCTACACGAATTTAAGGAAGGGTATGCTGCAGAATTATGAATCAGTGCAGAAAGTTTTGATTGTCGAAGTTTACTAGCCCGGAAGCCGAAGACGAATAATAATGCGTCAATGACATTGGATTTTCCAGACCCGTTGGGTCCAACAATTGCAGAAAATGAGTAATCAAAAGGACCGATAATCTGTGTTCCAGCATAAGACTTGAAATTATGTAACCGTAGCTCTCGAACTACCAAACGAGACTTAAATTCACCAGCTTCTTTAAAGGTATCATCATTAACTTCTTCTTTTTCATCCGGGGGAGGTGAGTTAACTGTGGCCTTCTCTACCTCTACAGCCGTCTCGTTTTCAGACACATTCTTTTCCGGTCCCTGATTCTCATTTTCCAACCCACTTAAAAACCGCTGGGATGCTCGTTTCGCTATAGAACTTCCCCTCGCGGACGGAGACCACTGGTTCTTTGTGATTAACACTGCGTCCTTGTTGAATCGTACGGGAGTCTTCGTTGACGGTGACTCTGGAGAAGATTCAGCATCCTGACGAGGTTGTTTTCGCGGCCTCTCAGCTCTGTCAGGAGTTGCATCTAGAATGGACGGTGTTGACGACGTCCGAGTATTCTTTTGAAGCTCCATTACGGCATATTACAATGAAATGAAGGATTTTTGTAGTAAGCTCTGTAACACGAAAACCCAAATTGGTGCCAGAAATGTCTTACCTATGGTGGTGACATACACCAAAAATTAGTAAGAAAAGCATTTAAAAAACGAATGAATGTAGGTACAACTGGTCGTATTCTCTTCGATCTTTCGTGTTAATACGTCCGCTTTCCGATGAATTAGTCGCTCATTATTTTTTTTTTTTTTTTTTGGTAGCAATTGCATACTTATTATAAAACATTGTTTCATGTTCATTTTTATAAGCATTGCGTGCGTTTAAACCCTAACGCTTCACTTTTAATTGAATTGTTCTTCTAGCAATGTGGTGCATTATATGTTAGTTAACTAAATGCAATAAAAGTGCCTTCTAAAACATATTCATGATCTATTAATTAAAAAATCTAGGAATTTAAATTTTTTCATAGTATTTAAGAAACAGAAAGGATATTACGTCTCAATAAACTACTATAACCTAAAAAGGAACATGGCTAGCTATCAAAAGTTTCTTTGTTTTGACCATTCTTTGTTGAGAAATTGAGTACTTTATTTTATAAAAGCAACTTCCGTGCCACTTCTTTTGTATAGATCCACATTGTAATCATTCAGACTATATTAATTTGTATGAATGCACCGTACTTGCAGCTTGGGGCTCGCTTGTCACAATGTTGGTTGAACCCATATACAGTGATATGCTTATACATTTTGGTCAAAATTATTGTGTTCTCCGCTAATTTCAAAAAGAACCTGAATACGGTTCAGACGGATTTAGTCAAGACGTGCCTCGTTAGTCAGCAGGCAACAAATGATCTCTTAAAAACTCCAGCAGTGATAGCAAAAGGCGCCTCTCACTTGATTGCTTCAGGAATACAACATAGCGTAAAAGCTATGTACGAGGTCCTTATTGATGCCATTATTGCACTAGAAGGATTGATTATTTTTTTCATTAAATTTATTTATGGAACATATTTATGTCTTATTCAATTAACGGTTAATGGTTCTCTCACGGCAATAGCTGATGTTGGAGAGAAAATCGGAGACTATGTGAACTCAACACTTAAGGTCATTGCAAATGGTATTGCTAGCACCGTAAGCGTATTCCAAAAAGTCATTAACAATGTTGACTCACGGCTTACTATTATTGCAAAGTGGATTGGGGAAAATGTGACTCTACCTAATATTACTATTCCAGAACTTGATAAGCTTCGAAACTTTAGCATTCCCTCTTCATTTGACTCCAGTCTTGAAAAATTAAAGACTGGTATCAATTTTGACTCCGCAATTAATGCTACGGAAAAAGTAATCCGTGAACCCCTTGACAAATTAAAAGTCGTCCTTAAAGAGCAAGTCGGGAACTTTTCTTTCAATGAGTCAATACTTCCTATTCCTGCGGTTACAACAGTTTATTACTGCGATGATCTTACAACTAATAATGCCCACCAAGTTCTGGGAATCGTATTACGAGATACAATAAAGGTCGTAGTTGTGATCCTTGTTGCACTCTGCATATGGTTCACAATTCCTGCTTTCTTCCGTGAATGGTGGACATGGACACGCATACGAATCAAAGCAAGTGGTCTATTACAGGAATTCACCTTAAACGAGAAACTAGATCCTATTCGTCTTGTCACCTCAGTTTACACTCCTTTTTCTTCACTCATTAGATTTGTGTGCAGGAAGCTCTCACATTCACCCCCTGTCCAATATTCAATACAATGGTTTTTCCTTTATGTAACACATCAACCGGCGTTACTTATTTTAGGAATTGGGCTCGCCGGCGTACTTGCCAGCTTGGTGCAGCTTTATATGCTCCGCAAATTGCAAGCTGCCATCCCGAAGCTGTCGACAGTTGCAAATTATACAATGATTGACACGGGGAAAATACTATCTAACGTTTCGAATGTTTGGGCAAATGAGACCAACCAAGTTTTGCTAAATTCACAAAATCATTTAAACACCCTTCTGTTTTCATATGTGAACTCAACAACATCAACCTTCAATAACACCCTAAATACTTTTATGAATGGACTTAATGGAACCTTGTTTGATTTTTTTAATGGCACATTACTTGAGTCTCCTCTTCAAAGTGTCATGAAATGCCTAGTTTACAACAAAATTGAGAACATAGAAAAAGGTATGGTATTTAAAGACCTAGGCAGCTCATACTAACATTTCTTTAGCAATTACTTGGATCCACGAAAAGGCTCACATTTCATTTCCTACAGTTCCAAACAACCTATTAAATGATACCATTGCAAACGAGACAGCCACGAATTCTAACAATACTTCAAATTTTACTAGGTTGTTATCAACAGGCGTAAATAACACTATAATTACATTTCAACGCTCTGCATCTCAGGAACTTCGCATTTCTCTCTTTTTTGTATATTGCTGGTGTGCAATTTGCTTTGCGGGTATCCTTGCTATTGTGTATTCTGGTACACAAATGGCGTACAGAAATTACAAAGAGTCTCGATCATTACTAACGGTAAACACGGGCTCTTCGGAAAAGGACAACAAGTCCCGTTCCTCATTTGAACCATTAATTCCTGTTCCCCCGCGCTCTCCTCCGCCTCGGCCTCCGAGAAGCCCAATGTTATCCGGTATTCTTCGTATGACAGGTTTTTCAGAGAGAATAAAGGATGCGCGCCTTCGTAAAATGGAACTCAAAGAACAAAAATTCCCCCTTCTATCAACATCAAAAGACCTTGCAACCGAGTTTCCTTTATCCCCGCTTCCACTTATACCCTCAACTCTCATTGACAATCCTGATGAAGTACAATACGCATATAATGATCACGAAGACCAAATCCGATCCCCCAAACGCGTCTCTAGCAATGTTCAGCATATTAAAAGCATGACAGGAACTATTCATCTATAAGAAATAATCTGTGTATTTAGTCGTTAAACTAGTAAATAATCCAAAATTTATCTAAAATCAAGCGGATCCACCACGTCCACCAGCATTTTGAAGTTTTTCGAGTGTTTGTTCGGTAATGTTAACCTTAGGAAGGGGCTTACCCTCGCCTTCAGGCTTCTTCAAGAATCCAGTCTTAACCAAGTAGGCCAGATAGAGACCCATCTGAGGCTCCAAAACGGCAGCACCGCCAGAGACATCAACACCGGTCCAAGCGGTATCTTGCTTAAGAATTTCGTGAGTATTCTTGTCATCCAATTCGGGCGCCTTCGTGTTGGCAGGAAGGTTATCAAGAACAAAATGTAAAAGAGGATATAAAGCATTGTCATTGGCCTCGGAAACATGACGTTCCAGTGCGACACGCCATTGCAAGTACTCAACGGCCTTAACGTTAAAACCAAAGACAGGAAGGGTACCCAAGAATTGGCTGAAACGAAGACGAGGGTGACTCGTAACTTGAGCAACACACACACCAGACTTAGGAGGGTGGAATGCAGCAGCGGTAGCACAACGAGCGACATGGTCAGTAGGAACCATGTTAACAGTGTTGTTGATATCAGGAGAAAGTCCAAGTTGAGTACTTCCCTTAATCATTCTGACCAAGAAGTCATCAGTGTTAATGGCACCCGTTCTAGAGTCACCAAAAATGTAGCCTGGACGTACAATTACACCTCTCAAACCACGAGCACCGGCTTGACGGATAAGGTACTCAGCAGCCCACTTGCTCTGACCGTAACCACCTTGAAGACCGACGGCGGAACCCTCGAGGTCATCAGACTCAGGAACACCGTTACCACCCTTGCTCATTATATCAGCAGAGAGGTTGACATAGTGCTCATTATCCAAAGTGGACGTAGAAGAAACAAAAGAGAGAGACTTCGGCTTGCCAATACTGCAAAGATTAATAGCAGTGAGCGTACCAATGACGTTGGGGCCACGAAGCTTGGTATAGGGGTAAACCCAGTGCACCAAAGCACCGTTGTGAATAATAGTATCAACAGTCTCAGCGACATGCTTCCAAGTGGCATCATCCATTCCCCATTGAGGTTTGGCCAAGTCACCGGTAACAACAGTAATTTTGTCCTTCCAAGCATCCTCCCAGACACCGTAAGCAATGCAACTGTCTTGCAAACGCTGAAGACCATGCTCCTCTGATTTGGCACGTACCAATACATATACACGGACATTGTTGTTACGTTGCAGCAAGTCTCGCAGAATGAACACACCAAGATAACCGTTACCGCCGGTAAGGAAAACGACCTTTTCGGCATCCTTCGAGAAATCAGCAACAGGGGTGAAGGTCTGAGGAAGTTCCTTCACCAAAGCTCTAGCATCCTCACTATAACTAAGTTCAGTTTCGTTCTTAGTTTGAGAAGGTGCAGCTCCGGCAACATTAGCAACATCACCAAGCTTCAGTCTATCAATTTCCTTAGAAAGTCCCTCAATAGTGGGTTGTTGGAAGACCAAACCAAGAGGAACATTCACAGCGAAAACTTTACGTAACTCGAAAATAAGTCTAGTAGCGAGGATTGAGTGACCACCAACGTCAAAGAAATTGGCGGTTTTAGAAACCTCAGTAGCGTGAGGGATAATGGCCAACCAAATCTTCTTCATTTGCTCCTCAGTCTTAGTCAATTGTTCAGCATTTTTGTTACCACGTGAACGGAAAGCCGCAGCCAGTTGATTGGTATCAGGGAAAGGAAGAGCAGGCTTGTCAATTTTTCCATTAGGGTTAAGAGGCATCTTGTTCATTGGAATGACAACAGAAGGAACGGCGTAAGAAGGAAGCTTAGTCTTCAAATATTCACGAATATTGCGAATCAACTTGCGGTAACGGCGCAGATTAGACACGATCGGATCAGTTGTGTCAGTTGCACTGCACTCATCATCCTCATTAAGGTTTTGGGGAACGACATAAGCAACCAACGTAGGCTCCTCATCCTTGTTGCGACGGACAAGAGTGATGTTCTCACGGACATTGGGATGACGAGAAAGATGGGTATTAATTTCACCAAGTTCGATACGGAAACCACGGATTTTAACTTGGTCATCGGCACGACCCGTGCACTCAACATCACCGGAAGGAATGTAACGACCAAGATCGCCGGAGCGATACATACGATCACGAATACCAAACCAGTAAGGCTTCCAAGGAGCATCAGCAGGAGTGTTATCCTTGAACTTACTGGGATCGGCAAACCAACTGGTCAAAAACTTAGTCTTGGAAAGTTCCTCATTGCCCAAATAACCTTCAGCCAAACCACCGGCACGAACGTAGATCTCACCGACTTCACCAATACCACAGATTTGATGAGGATCATGACGGTTGACAACCAAAAGTTGAACATTGTACATACCGCGACCAGCGGGAATAATTTCCTTTTGGGTTTCCAAGAATGTAGGGTCCTGGGAACGGGAAGGGACGACGAAGTAGGATACGGCACGCTGAGTCTCGGTGGTACCATACATGTTAACAACAGCGGTGTTAACGGCAAGTGCCTGAAGACGCAAACAATCACGCTTGGTCAAAACATCACCAACGAAGAAAGCATGATGAAGCGAAGGAATAGGCTCTTCAGCCTGAGCCGAAAGCAATTGACCCATGGCGGGAGTCAAATGAGTAACAGTGACTTGATACTTACTAGCCCATTCGGCCAATTGGCCGGGAGTACCAATGTCATCGGCAGTAGGAACGATAAGCGACGCACCCAAGAACAAGGGAGTAAAGATATCACGTTGGATAGGGTCATGAGCAATACCACTAAGCATTGTAAATCTGTCGTTCTCAGTAAGGCTAAACTCCTTCGACATCCAATCGAAGTAGTAAGCAAGACTGAAGTGTCTGCCTCGAACACCCTTTGGTACACCCTCACTACCACTGGTGAAACTGAGAGTAGGAGTACTGTCAGGGCCGACAACAACACCCGTGTCCTTAGAGCGAAGGGATTGTGTATCAGCAAGAATATCACTTCCATTCACTTCACCACCGGTAACAGAACCGTCATCATGAAGCTTAAGAGAAGGAACGAAGGTACGGATGTCCAAGTTCTTCTCAACATACTCGACAACGGTGGGCGAAACAACACCAGCATCCTTCAACACTACCAAAGCACGAGGCTTTGCAACGCTGAGATAAATAATTTGACGGGCAGGAGGATAAGCAGGGTCAATGACGGAGAAGGTAGCACCGGCCTTCAGGACACCCATGACAGCAATAACCAAGTCCACGCCACGGTAAGCATACACCATTACAACCTCACCACGTTGAACACCGGACTTAACAAGGTGGTGGGCGAGCACATTTGAGGCCTCGTGAATTTGACGATAAGTAAAGGACTTTGTAGGAGCAGAAGAAGTGACAGGAGGTGTAACAACAACACATTCTCTCTCAGGGAACTTCTTTGCGTTGTCGGCAAAGATGTCATGAATAGCACCACGGAAATCAGACCAACCCAGATCCTTAGTAGGGTCAGGAAGGAGGGCCTTTTGTTCGTCCGTAATCAAAGAAATCTTTGCTGGAAGCTGGTTAAGCACATTTTTAGCAGCAAGCTTCACGACTTGAAGAAGCTGGCTTGCAAGAATGCTGATGCGGGCCTTAGAAAACAGCAATTGGTTGTAAATAAATTGCAATTTAAGAGGAGGCAAGATGGAGTCAGCACGAAGAGATGAGTGCTTGCTTTCATCAATAGACACAATTACGGTAACGTCAACGTCAAGGCCGGTTGAAGAAAGGAATTTCATGGAAGGCGCATCAGGTGCATTATAGAAACGAGTATACACCAGACCGTTACGGGTTTTCTCGTCTTCAGACTTGCCAGCATTAAGATGCTGCAACAAATCGTTGAAATCAACAGTATCCGCACTCCAGTTACGTTCAATTTCAGCAATCTTTTTCAAAAGTGTCAAAAAGCTATCCTCGGCATTCAAAAAGGAACGGAGAACGAAAGGAGTGCCCTTTTCAGAGCTAGTTCCCACACTGATGTCTTCATCACCAGTCATTCTGTTAACAAGGACGATGAAGGCCGTCAGAAGCGTCACAAAAGGAGAAGCGACGAAACCGTCACCTTTGGCCTTCATAGCCAAGGTTACGAGAGCATCTTCTGTGTCCAGATCGACATCTTTTTCAAAAGTAGCCTCTACTGAGCGAGCAGGAACAGGTCTACTGTAATCGGCAGGCAGATGCGAAATTGTTTGGCTTTTCAGACGTTCAGCCCATCTCTCCAGACGGAGCTGGTATTCTTCCTTTGATGGAGCATCCACGGTCATAGTGCTCGTCCTCAAATGAATCAGAGCCCTGTAAGTGTTTGGTTGAGGTAAAGCGCTGCACGCACGGAGTAAAGATGTCGCTGATACGTACAAGAGTCAACAAGAAAAAAAAAAAAGAAAGGAAAAGGATTACTTTTAATGCAAATAAGGTAAGATAAATGTGATCAAAGACTATAATAACTTTATGCTTTATATTTATTTTCTCTTCAATTTGTTGTTACTGTCTTATAATGTACCCCTTAATACCCCTTGACACGAAAGCAACAACAGCTCTTGCAATGAAGGATGATTCCACCATGTTTTACTAGTTGATTCGACCTCTTTTAGCTTTCTGTTTAACTCTGTTGACTCTTTCCATCTTTTTTCCTATGTATTATTTGCGTGGACTTCATTGTAAGTGACAACGTTACCTTGTAAACTCAACACCAAAGGAAGCACTCAGATGTCAAGCTTAACCAAGTGCCAGGAAGTACTATAGGTGTCGTTCTTCATGTTTCTATTTTAGCGAAGCCTTGGACATAGTAACATCTTTCCAATTTCCTACGGGACTGTGCAACATTGTCTATTTAAATATTGTATACGAGATCATGTCCTCCAATTCTAATCCTGCGTCACCCAAGACAAATCCTTCGAATGACACGAATGGTCATGCAATGGAGCGACGCGAAGTGCATAATGACATGGAATCAGCAATGGCTACTCCAGATAAACGACCCAGAGACTACATCAGCCCTTCAAATATTGCGGGTCGTTCAGAGAAACGAACAAAATTGTCTATGGAAACTCCACCCGCAATGAATGGACCTTTCACGGATCACCCGTATCCCTCGGCACGCACCATGCCTATGAATTCCCCTTTTTTGCTTCAACCAGGTGCTCAAGGAGGACCTGGTTTCGCACCTCAGAATATGCCAATGAACTCTTCTCGTACTGTGCCGTTCCTTCGGACAATGCCGTATATTGCACCGCAAGTTCAAGTGTTTACGGCTCCTGAAGTTTCGGTCGACAACTCTGCTTTGCAGTCTTACATTGACGAGTCGGTCCCGCCCGATTCGTCTGCCGAAGTGGCAATCGCTCAAGAATTTGAATACACGCCTTATTTGCAGCTTCCTCTGTTGTACCGTCTAGTTGGAAAAATCATTCGAGTGAACATTGAAGCCAAGTGGATGAACGCAGCCATTAATCTCCGGCTTTCCAAAAGGGAAATTTGGGGAACAGACGTATATACAGATGATTCGGATATCGTTACTATACTTGCACACCGCGGCTACTTTTCCTTACTGAAACCGGTGGTTGAGGACGCTGTTGTGGACCTACATGTTCTACCACCACTAATGGAATACAAGGGCACTCGCACCAATCGTATAGAAAGTCGAAGTTGGTCGACTCCTCACGACGGAATGAGCATCAAAGTGTTCCGAGTTACGTGGAAGAACGTTAAGCCATCCCTGTTTTCTCTTAATATGGCCCAACAATCGTTAGAGGACAGGCTGCAAAAGCGCCTAGAGCTATCTCAGACGGCTACATTCAAGGTGTAAATTCGGAATCTTTCACACCCCGTCCAATAACTTATATCAAGGTGCTGTTTTCGTTCACCTAAGCCTCTCTGAGCCTACATTCTCTCGTTTCCCCTCCCCGTACATAATCTACCCAGTTTCCCTCCTGAAACGCCTTTGTTTACCATTCAATTCTATTCCAAATGTTACTGACTGCAATTCCGCAGCTGTCGGCACAAAGTGGTTGTGCCTGAAGGCGCGGTCATTTTTGTCTGCAGGTGTAATCAGCTTCCCTCATTCTATGTTTCCTCTTTCGTTATAGCACAATGCCTCGAACCACTCTTATCAACCTTTCCCAAAACTTTGTCCATAATCACCATCTCCTAACGGGCTCATCCTGTAGAATTTCACATCTACCCTCGCCTTGCGACTCCTTGCACCACGCAGTCTTGTATAAGCTTGTCGCTGTATTTTGTGTTAATGTTTTTACGGAACAGTAGTGCACTTCACTAAACCGTGGTCCAGAACGCGGGCATCTCCGAGCAGAAATGTCCGGGCTAATCAAGCGAGTCCTTCTATGATTGATCATGGCCGTGACGTGTGTACCTATACCCCGGCAAAAGTTTATGGGGCGATTTGCCAGATTCGTGTATTACGGGCGGCAATTGTGTTAGGTTAGGGTTGCACCCGTTTATGCACCCGCGAAGTACTCTAGCCTAACTTAACCAGAACCAACTCCAACTCGGGAATTGCACGTATCGGGGTCGTTAGTGATTTCGCATCGCGCTTGCACCGGCGTTTCGCGCTTCTCTTCCATTTATAAGACTCAATTCGACATTCCTAAACTTTTTGCGACTCGATTCCTTTGAAACTACGCTTCTACGCGTAATTCGTGTCGAACGGTTTATTTGTTGCTAAATCTCGGCTGTTGAGTTTTCGATACCCTCGTGGTAATTGTTTAAAGCAATTACATTCTCGTTTTTATACACGAAAGACTTAAAAAGCTGCGTCTTCTGTGTAAATATACCCGGTTCTTTTTTCCCATTCGCCTATAAGTCTATATCTGTTTTCAACGCTCGAAGATGTTGGTACAAGTTACCTTCATCCTTTCTCTTTAACCGAACCCACGATCTTGTGTTTGGCGAAAGTTTGCACCCAGCAGTATCACTACTCAGTTTGTGCCCTTAAACTTTCTGGTTTACATCAATTCTATATAATCTGTCTCTGAAAATCCAGGAGTTCGCAGCTTCCTTTCGTCGGATATTCTTTCAGGTGTTATAGAATTACACTCTTCAATCAAACTCTTCAATCGGATTCTTTATTTCACTGACGTTTTTGTCTATTCTTACAAGTTTGCTGCTATCTATTATAGACGGAAACATTATCTCTAGCCTTGTGTCACAGTAGTTGCTCACTTATTTACGAAATCTCACTTTCAACGCATCGTGACTGCCGTGCCTTTGCTTATTTCTGCTACAATGACTACAGCTTTCCTAGACAAGAGCTCTTTTTCGACTGCTTTGAGTTCTGGGTGCCGTGGCACTCCATTATCTCTTTCTCAATTGAACGGTGCCAAGCTGGCTACGGAATGCCAATCGGGTGAATCGACAACTCATGACCCTGCCGCTTTTAAGAAGTGTCCTTTGCGGCCTGTCCAAGTCGGGGGCTTGCTGGGAGCTTTGCTTGTCCAGCCTTCGCGGAATGAGGTAAATCCAGTCAAGAAGGTCGGATTTGTGTCTACACAAAAGCCGGACTCATCCCGATCCTCTACTTCTACCTTTTCTGTACATTTTGCGGAAGTAACGAAGAAGGCTGGAGCGCCCATGGTTACATTCGCTGGGTTTACGAAGCATCAAGCCCCAGAGGCCCCTCGTTCGAAGACCGTGATGTTTGCGGACAGAATACCTCCTTCGAAGACTACTTCGTCAAGCGATATGTCACACATTTTGTCACCAACTTCTATTTACACTGCCGCAAGAAAACGTCAAATGGTTCATTTGCCGTCGGCCGGCATCGTAAACGCTTCGCCTGAATTCGCATTCACACATGTTCGTGCGGCCAAACCTACTGTCGACGTAGATGTTCCTGGCCCTCAACGTGTCACCAAAGCACCCGAGCGTTCTGTAAGTTTCGCTACCACCTCTGCCAAGGAGAAAGCTCCAGAAGATCAAGATACCAAAGACACGCCTAGATTGCACACTACATGCCGCGATGTTTTGGCTGATGTTCTTGGCAAAGATGATGCTTTTCGCATGGATGATTCTTGCGACGAGGATGAGGAAGAGGATAACATGCGTTCTGAGGAAGAAGAGGACGAGGATGAAGAAGACGATGGCGACGAGGAAAATAACGACGACGAAGATGATGAGGATGACAAGATGTTTGAGGATCGTTTCTCATCTTCCTACGGTCATTCGTTCGGCAAGAACGTTGCGGAGCCCTCGTCCGTTAGTATCCCAAAGCCCTCTTTCCACGTAAGAAGACGTCGTTCTCCGCTACCTTCCTTTTCCGATGATGAGAGCGTTCATTCAAATTCTGCAAGCGAAACAAATGTCAAGTCTGAAGAGAAGGAACACGTGCCTGTTCAAACCGTGGCTCCACCTTCGGAGAACGATGTTCCCGATGAGACCGACATTGTTCTCGGTACTCTAGACGAGGACCAGCCGGCCTGTTTGGCGTATGCTTACGCTGTTGATGAACGCACTTCTAAACGTTGTCAAATGCATCCACAGGATATTGACCCAACATTTCCCGACTCATTCTCTGACGATGAACGGTATAATGAGGAGAAGAAAGCTATTTCGTCTACTCATGGTAAGGCAGTCTGGAACTCACGTTGTAAGAAGCACGAGCATTCGGCAAGCAAACGTTTGATTCGTTCACCTCCCGTGAACATTCGACGTAAGCCACGCAACCCCAACTTGTAGTGGCATTTGCTGTTTGTGATTCTTACTTTTCTTTCAACGATTCAACGACTCCTTCCGAATTCCTTCCGTTTGCCGTTTTCTCTATCCTTTGCTATTTTACATTTCATAGACCAGCTGTGCGACGGGTCGCCAGGAGGCGACCTCGGCGGCAGCGTCTTACGCTCTTTTTTTTACATTGCATTCCTTCAGCAGGCTTCCACTGACTCATTCTACATTGCATTTGTAGGCGTCTACTTTTTGGTTTGTTGTTTCCCATACCTATAAACAAGTTCTTTAAATATCTGTAAATGTTTGTAGTAACCGCAGTTTAAGGAGTGTCTATAATCCCTGCGACATTTCGTCCTGCAAAAGGCTGCAGCAATTTATTAGCACTTGTACTATGGTTGGAAAATATTGTTTCAATAATTTATGCAAACGGTATTGAAGGACGCGGCAATCAAAAAATAACAGTTTCAGGATTTTCCAAACCGGATTTGAAAACATCGAGGAACTTTTGCGCGCGCTTGGCATCAACATACTCGGTGTCGAAGGTAATCGACACCGTAACGGCGTCCTTGGGAGTTTGTGATTGAGCAGTTGTGTTTGCTGCAGAAGAGGAGTGGGTAGACGAGGATGTGTCGAACAAAAAGTCATAAATAGAGTCGATTGTTTGAGCAGAAGAGTCAGCAACATCTTTCGTAGTAGTTGAGGCAGCCTTGGGTTGAGCAACACCTACGGAAGCGTACTTAGCAATTGTAGAAGGCATCGAAATGATGGCTCCGTCCAAAGCAGATACCAATTTGTTTGCGCCCTTTGATTGCTTTTCGACGAACTTCTGAGCAGAAAGCTTTGGCTCAAAAGCCAAGGGTTTACCGCTGTCAGCCGCGAACGCTGTCGACTTGGAACCAACCAAGAAATCAAACATATCGTCAAGGATTTTAGACTTTGGAACATATACATTGGAACGTTCCAATGCATTTTTGCAGGCCTTTTCAACAACACGCTGGAGTGGAAATTGAAGACTGAGACCTTGCAACTTGTCCAAAAGAGCTCCCAGTTGCTGCACGTTTACAGTCGTTTCGACGGTAGAAGGAGGGATGAGCTCGGGCTTTGGAGCAGCCTTCTTCTCCGTCTTTTGTGTTTCCTCAGCGGCAGGCTTGTTAGCAACCGCGGGAGCGGCAGGTTTGACGTTGCTCAAATCCAACACCTCCATGGAATGCACCACCTTCTCGATGTCCACAGGTGCCTGCTTGGAAATCTTTCCAAGATAAGCAAGGACATCGCCCTTCAGCAAAATACCATGAGGACCCGTAGGAGCAATCACAGAAGGATCGGTAACATTATTCTGCTTGAGCAAAAGATGAACAGAAGGAAATTGAATGTGAGCATTACTCTCCTTAGCTACAGCCGAAACCTGTGAATTCTCACGAGCTCCTGCAGTGACGGGGGTAGCAGGAGCAGACTTGGCCTCAGTCTTTTGAGACTCTTCCTTCTTTTTAGGAGCAGCATCTTCGGACTCGTACTTTGACAAGTCCGCACCCTCCAAATCAGCGGCATCGTCTGCGATAATGGCAATCTGCGCACCAACAGGAACAGCCTGTCCTTCTTTAACTGTGATCTTTGCAAGAACACCATCATCAGGAGCTTCCACGTCCATAGTTGCCTTGTCTAAAAGGTCATGTTAACGAAACCATCCCATTAAGCGACCTTGTAAGCAAATCACTAGAAACGATCTGCTCTTGCATAGACGTACCAGTTTCAATTTCCAGAATAACATCACCAGTCGCATAGGCGTCTCCTAAAGCACGTCGCTGTTAATACGTTTCCATTAAACAGCACGAGACTGTCTATTACGAACCCTCCTTCAGTCTCCACTTTGCGACAGTACCTGTCTCCATTGTAGGAGACAGTGCAGGCATGTTAAACTTGCTAATTGCCAAAAGACGCGTCGAGGAATGGAATGCTACGGACGTCGGTTAGTATAGAAACGCGAATTCTGCGACATACACTTTCCATTCTTCAACAAGGCATGTCTACATGTGGAGTAAATTGTATTTAATGAGCGTAACATGCCCATTCCCATTCCCAGTACTCACGTCCTTCTCGTACTTGGCTGAGGTTAAGTGTTGCACATCCCTACCCCAGCGATGATATCGGCCACCGAGAGGAGAGCGTCGGATATGCCGCGGATCATCCGGCAACAGGGGTACCCCTCAGTTGTCCGGTGGAAGCTGTTTAAAGACCAGTGAATAACGAGATACCTTGTTAAGAAAACACAATCGTTTTGTGATGAATAGGCTAGAGGAAGTTTGTTTGAATTAGTGAAAAAAAGTCAGAGGAAATTTGGGCTATATTTGCTACATGAGTGTGAAATTTTTGAATTCACTTTGCGTATGTGAAGGTTTGGACGATAGAAAGCGAACTGAAACTGAGGGTTATGCAATACATGTACAGAGAATAACGTTATGAATACTCACTTCAATATTTGCCGGGGTCGCTATGCGTTAAGGGTCATGACGAAAACCAGAACAAGACAATTCTCTTTACTGAGAAGAAAAACAATTAACGTTCTGGGTATTGAAACATCCTGTGATGATTGCTCCGTTGCTGTTTGCCAGTACGACCAATCACGTAATGAACCGTCGAAGGTCTTGCTTCAAAAAACACGGAGAACAATACATCTGTATGAAAAATACGGAGGTATTCATCCAAACATTGTCATGCACGAACACCAACGACAGCTTGCACCGCTTATACAGTCTGTATTAACGGAGGCTGAAAAATTGGATGCTTCTATTATTGATATTGTGAGTGTTACTCGAGGCCCGGGAATGCTAGGCCCTTTGGCTGTCGGACTAAATACGGCAAAAGGTCTTGCTGTTGGTCTGAAAGTCCCGCTTATTGGAGTCCACCACATGCTGGGACATTTGTTGGCCCCAAAACTCGAAAGAAACATTGATTTTCCGTTTCTCAGTCTACTCGTCTCAGGCGGGCATACAATGCTTGTGTACTCAAAATCCTTATTTGATCATGAAATACTTGCTACAACACTGGACATAGCTGTTGGTGATTACCTTGATAAGTGCGCACGGCTTTTGCGTATTCCATGGAATGGAGAGATGCCGGCAGCTGCATTAGAACGATACTCAGTTGTCAGTGATGTTACGGAATTTCCATTGCATGTTCCATTGTCAAAAAACGCGAAAACACGGCTTCATTGCTTTTCGTTTGCAGGTTTGCAAACACAGGTGGAAAAGGTTTTAACATGTTTGGGAGGCGAGACCGCCCCAGAAAATGTAAAACGACGGATTGCATATGCTGTTCAAAGCATTGCGTTTGATCACATTTGCCGAAAGGTTAGGCTGTGTATGAACGACTTGGTTGACAAGCCAATTTCTGCTTTCGTCTGCAGTGGCGGCGTTGCACGAAACCGCTATCTTCGTAACATGCTTGTAGTCATGCTGTCTAATTTTGAGACGGATACATCTCACAGCATTCCTCTTGTTTGTCCGAGCGCAGACTTGTGTAGTGACAATGCGTCAATGATTGCCAATGCTGCCATTGAAATGTACAAGCACGGCATTACGAGTCCTCTCACGATTGAACCAACATCAAAATGGTCGTTGGATGCATTGTCCCCTTTTGATCGTGCCGTTTACGAACCAATGTCTTCGTTTGAGGCCCGACACAGTCATCTTCCCTGACCATTATATGCAAGTTGTCTTTTTTAGTTCTCCATCCTCACGTTGATTTCCCTGATATTTAAACGATTGATATATTCAGATAGTGCGTATGTCTACATTCATATTTCTCCAATTTATAAGGAACCCTCGATACGGCCAGTGTTTAAACATGTATCGGTGTAAGGCACCTAATAAACATTATCGTAGCATTTCATCAAACCAAAGATACATGAAGGCAAGGACGCCGTGTCCCACCTTTGGTACTCCTTGGCAAGAGTACCTGTTTTTTATTTTTTTTATGACTCAGAGAAAGGAAGAAATAAACTAGAAGTGTATTTCTCCATCTCCTGTTTATGACAACCATTAATTGGTATTTCGATTAAAGAAAACATCCTCTTTGTTTTCGTCGCTCAAGAAGCCCTGCGTGATTTGTTGCAAGAACAAAACAAGGACATCCCGGAGATTAGATTGCTCGACAACCTTTTGAAATGCGTCGCAGGAAAGAGCAAAGGCTGCGTTTTGTTCTCGGAAACCAGAAAAGCACAAGTGAAGAAACTTACTAATAGTAGTAAGGTAAATATCATCGCGAGAAGTATTTGTTTTGCAACACATGAAAATAAGGGTCTCAGACAACTCAATAATATCTTCTTTATCCAGGAATCCACGTTTTTTTGTGTCATACAGATAAAAGACGAGCATGGCAGAATGAAGAACACAGTCGACCTTAAGACGCTCAACCCCGATAACGAGATTTTTGAATGAAAGATATGTGCCATTGCCATCACGCATCCAGTAAAACAGCCGAAGACACAATTGACGCTTGGCAAGAGTATCATTTGCAGTCTCGTATGGCGAATTGTTACGAAACCAGTCAGCATTAAATTCTATCATTTTCATGTAGTGCTCATAATCGATACACTGCTCCAATACGTTACTGTGACAAATCTGATCTTCTCCAAGGGCTTGCACAAAGGAATCATAAATGAAATCAAGTTCTGTCCGTGAAAGGAGAATCTGTTCGTAAATTCCACGCAAATGCGTCCGTTTTGTAAACCCATGAATGGAGGAAAGTACGGAAGCTTTAAGTTCAGAACGTTTCGAGTGAATGAGATCATTGGTCACATAGCCAAACGTCTCAAACGCTGTGCTGAGAAGCTGTTCGAATGAACAGTTATCGGCACTTGAAGATGAACTGTCTGAAATGGACTTTGTTGGATCTGACGTATCATCTTTATCGACAGAAATTGTGTGAGAGAAGCCGACGGGAAAACTGTTTATTGAGTCAAAGCACGTTTGAAATGCGGCAACCACGTAAGAGTCGTCTTGTGCTTCAAGCAGGCGCGAAGCGGTAATCTTGAAGAGCGCGAGTGCGAGCTGAAAAAGCACACAAGGGCCGCTCATAAATAGACAGTCGAGCACCTGAGCGGCCAAGTCGAGCCGAAATACTTTGATGTAGAGGGTGAGGAACCAGTTGAGGGTAAGGAGTTTAAGGTCAATGTCAATGTCGGCAAGGTGTTTATGAACATGGGGCAACGTGTGCTCAAGCAAATAAGTAAAAACGTTAAGGTCAAGCAGAACGCCGTAAATAATTTTCGAGTAATAGCCAGGAATGTAGTACTTGGAAAGCTGCGAGAACAAGAAGTATGCCTGTTCCTCGGTACAATAGACGAGAAGGGCCGCGACGACGATATTGTTTGCCTGGCAATAACCCATGTCTGCGTTGGCAGCGGCATGAACCGTAAGCACGCGACGCAGAGAATCAATTCCCTGAGCGTGATGGTAGCCTGAATAGCCTGGAAGACTGCGTTCCAAGTCCTTTTCAATCTCATCATCTCTGTCGACAGCTGGATCTTCCAGTTTTTTCAGCCACTGATTATAAAACTTGCTGCATTTCCAACGAACGTAAAGACTACAGGACAGTGTTTCCCAAAGCTCACCACGCAACTCATTCGGGACGCCTGAACGAACGAGCTGACGTAGCTGAGCAGTCCGAAGCAAGGTAAAATTGGTACCCAGCGCCTGGAAATAGCTCTGCCAATGCTTCATTTTAAGGGAGGCCAAGGAACTGGCTGTAGAAAGGCCGTCTGGGTAACCGAATTGGGCTCCCAAGCCCGGACTTTTCCAGGACGAGAATGAGGAAGCGGAAGTAGACGAAGTTAACGAAGAGGCGGCAGATGTTGAGGAGGACACGGTTGAAGAAGCAGGTGTGTGCAAGGGAAGAGGAGGGGCTGCTGTGTCCTTAGACGACTTGGTAGCGCTCGACGCATCCGACCTGGCCGCATGAGACATTGTCCGCTGCTCCTGCTCTCTGTCCTCATACTCTCCATTTCCTGTCAATCCATAACACAACCGCTCCGACAGCAACGGTCTCAAAAAATTGTGTATACCCTGGACATCTGGCATGGCCTTACGCAACTGAGTGAGCAGCCGGTCACAAAAAAGCTCACAGAGGTGCCGTTGTTCCTGTACAAACAGTTCTAGATGCTGCTCATGCAGCGTGGTTGCATGAAACACATATATATTTGAGGTTGTTTTTGCCCGTTCCAACTGGCACAAAGCAAACAGCGGAAACGCAAAACAAAGTGCACTGTCTTCACTCAGGAAGCACAGAAACGAGGTTGTTACCCACACAAGGCCTGAACTTGCCGTCAGCAGTGAATGGTCTTTTGCGTACACAGACACAGTGCAAAAGACTTGCGCCGCGACCTCCTCCTCGCGCGGCAGACTGAAATACTGCAATGGGTTTGTTTTCTCTGGCTGTGTTTTATATCTATTTTCAAGGAACAATTGCTTGATTATGTTCATTAGGCATTCTTGTGGAGGAGTGGAACGCAAGCGCTCGACGTACGCGAGTGCGGCGTCGACGAAGACGAGAACGAGCTTGTAGGAGCTGCAGGAAGCGCAGAAGATGCGCGAAGAATTACGAGGATGTTTGCAACAATGTTGGATGGGCGGCTGCTTTTTGTTGATGGATTTACGGGTAAACTACAAATTGGAAAAAAAAAATTCTACGATGGACTGGGAAATTGAGAAGGATAAAAGAGGTCTAACATAGAAATCATTAAAGAGGAACAAGTGACGGGATGTAGAGATGAAGTGTAGGGAAAGTTGGGGCGAGTCGTTGAAACCGGGACGAAGAGAGAGACCATGTGAAGAATGTCTTGGCTGTTAGTACGATGTAACCCTTTTTCCCCCTTTTTGCGGTAGCAATAGTTGTGCAATGGCCACTACTTACGAGGCCGACCTCGGCCTCGTCCGCGTCCTCGTGTCGTTTTAGCAGCCGTCTTAGCCTTTGCTGAAGCTCTTGAAGCAGTTTTTTTGCCCTTTTTAGAGACGGAGACAAACTTGTCTTTCGTAAGGTCCAGCTCATCGTCATTATTTCCATCGCCATCTTCGTCATCACCGCCGTCGTCCATCTCGTCTTCGGCTTCAATAACATCTTCCAAGTTTGGCGCCTCGACTGTCTTCGGACCCTTGGTAGGCAGAATGTCACTGGCACCCATAAACGGAATGGGATGGCTCATCGAGTTGTACTTGCGTGTAAACGCCGACTTGGCTGCAGACGGCACGCCCTTGAGCACTTGCTCGCCAAGGTCGGCCGGCAGCATGAGTTCAGAGACAGCATCAAAGTCTTCACGTGTCAAGTAGTATTCATCCATCAACTCAATCATGTCAGGCACAGCTTCACCCTTGTCGGTCGCAAAACGACGATGCAGCATGCTGAAGAGCAACGGGAGATACTGCTCGCGAACGCCGATGCGGTCGGCAGAGATTTTGAGACGCATGTGTAATTGCAACTCACGCAACATGCGCATGAGCTTGTTGCCCTTGGAGTTGTTACCAAGCCATGTTGTGAACACGGTTTGCCGGGTACCAAAGCCGGAAACGAACGAGGCGGGACGCACGCACGACAACAGCGCATGCGTCGGCATCAGCGACCACTGCTGCTGCGAGCCATGGATGAGGCTGTCGACCAAGTCGGCCTGCGAAATGGAATCGGCCGCCTTGGAAATGAGTTCGAGATGCTTCAGCTTGGCGATTTTGGGAGGTTCTTGACGCAGACGATCGGGACGCGTGCTCAAGTAGTTCTCCTGCACCATGAGGTACGAGAACTCGTGGTCATTAAAGTAAAGTTCGAGTTTGTCGTTGATGGAAACGTTGCTGGAAGGATGGAAAAGGTTTCCATGAAGGTATCGATTGCAAATGTCCCATGGTTTGAGGACAATGTGTTTTTGAGAAGCCTTGGCGACGGCCGTGCTCTCTGCAGGACTGAGCGACGACTGGCCGAGACGCCAGGCAGAAAGAATGTTGATAATTTGACGAATGTCGGAGTGGGTGCCTTGTACGAGTTGGTCGACAGCAGCGGGTGCAAGCTTCAGCTGCTCGCGGTATGCAATAGACATGATACGCGAACGCAGCGAATTGGCGTCTGGCCGGCGGAAACGCATGTCGAACGTAGTGCGGTCGAGAGGACGGAGCTTGGGACTAGCGCGGTCGTTGCAAATGCAAATAATGGGTATCCGGGTCTTCTTAATGATCGTGTTCAACTGGCCGACGCCGCCTCGGTCGCCGGCAGACATACCGTCGACCTCGTCCATAATCAGCACAAGCCGTTGCTTGTTGGCATCGGGACGCTTTCCGCCGGGCCCCTGTAGGTAACCGGCCAAGGAACGACTGTCCGTGACGCCGAGCAAATGCTCATCAAGCATCCGCTTGCTTCGAGTGTCACTAGCATTGAACTCGAGCACATCGTAGTCCTCGAGATGGGCCACCAAATGTGCTGCGGTCGTTTTTCCAATGCCCGGAGGACCGCTGATGAGCACGGCTCTGTACAGACCCAGGCCGTCGGGACCCGGTCTGCTGAAATTGGCCGCACGAGCGTTCGGCCAGGAATGAAGCCACGACTGAAGCTTCTGCACAAGCCCCTTGTTGCCGCAGATGTCTTTGAGCGAGGTTGGAGCGTACTTGTCCGTCCAGAGCCGCGAGTCAACGGCGCCGTTCTCGCCGGTAGCACTGATTTTAGCGGCATGAGCAGCATCTGCGCGTGCAAACTCCTGCGCCGTCTGCTCCAGTTTCACACGTTCCTGCTCGCGCTTGGCCTGGACAGCCTGAGCAGCTGCTCCGGAGCCGCCGTTTTCAGGAAGGTGACTGATGAGAAAGAGCAAACCGTCCTCATCGATGGCACGGATGTTGTGCGTCTTGATCGTCTCCACCTTTCGGGGACCCGCATTGTCTCCAAGCACCACGAAATCCGTTTTTGTTGACGGCGCGCCGGTGACCTTTCCACCGTACTGTTTGATCAAGTCGCCGGCCTCCTGTCGCGTCAGCGTTTCGAGAATGCCGGTAATGACAAAGCTGAGACCGCTGAGACAGCCGGGCTGGCCAGAGGGAATGGGTTTCGAGCCCTGCTCGCCCATAGTCGTCGGCCGGTCGGCAAACGTTCCTGCGGCCATGACGCCCATGGAATCGACGTTCACGAGGGGCACGCTCTGGAGGACGCGCAGAGCATCTTCAGAGAAGCGCGGAGCATTCCGAGCAGCGCGGCGAGCAGCAGCAGCCGTCGTGCGCGCGCCTGCAGCAGGCGCCGCACGTCGTCGCGGGGCCCTAGCTGTGCTGGCCTTGCTCGCCTCTGCTGCAGGTGCCGCCGCCGCCGCCTTTGCTGAAGCGGCAGAAGCCCTGCGTGTGGGGGCCGGCTTGGACTCCACCTGCGCACCCCCGTTTTCGCTGCCCCCGCGCACCTCCACATCCATGGGCGTGGGGGAGGGGACGACGACTACGGGAGAGGAGCGGCGGGGGGTGTGTGCAGCAGGCTCGACCTTGGTGCTAGGAGGTTAGTGGGATGAAGTGGGATGTGTGGGGTAGTATGGGGGCGTACCGTTTGGTGCCAGCATCGTCGTCGTCGTCGTCGCTGACGACAATGGTCCGCCGTTTCTGGGCGCGCGGACGGGAGGGAGGGGGAGAGACGGACGCGTCCGCGGATGCAGGCGCGGGCGTAGCGGGTGCAGAGGCAGAGGCAGACGCAGCTGACTTGTCTTTTGGTGCACCGAAAAAGCTGCGAATGTCAGAGTTCATGGGGGAGGGAGAGAGCGGGAGCGGGTGGTAGCAGTGAGCAGCAGCGAGCACCAGGGAGCGGTAGCGAGCTGGTGCGAGGTGGTGCGAACTGGTACGAGCGCGGACTACCGAACTGCGTAACACTTCGTTAACTGCATATCGATGCTGCACTCCAACGCACTATTATCCGAATACCGCACAACATCTTTCTCATTAGCGAGCGATAGCGAGCTGGTGCTCGTTGGTTCTCGTTAATTCTCGTTGGCGCTCCCTGCTGCCAATGACGTGAGCTGCGGCATCCCTTCTCAGGGATGCCACGTGGCCTGCATCCGATCGCGTCATGCAGCGACCCCGCACGCTTTAAGGTTGAGCAGGGCGTGCGTTAGAGCTCGCAGGAGCGCGCAAGACCTCGTAACGACGATAGCGCACGGTAGCGCCGCGCTGAGGCTCGTAACCTCGCTAAGAATCACTGCACCTCGCAAAATTTCCTCAAGCTCGCTGGCGCTCGCGACGACCTCGCGGTCTAGCGAGAGGACCGCGGTAGCCCACGCTCGCACCATCTCGTACCAGCTCGCACCAGCTCGCTATCGCTCGTTGGTGCTCGTTGGTGCTCGCTACCGCTCACTACCTCTCTCCGCCTCTGCCCCTCCTCTGCCCTCTGCCAACATGCAACACGTCGACCTTGAAGTCGCCGTCCCCCGCGACGGTGTGCGGGCTGGCGACGTGCTCCGCTGCAGCATTGCGCTCCACGCCAAGCGCGACCAGCACATCCTGCTCATGTACGCGTACGTCCGCGGTGAAGCAATTCTCGATCCCGAGCTCGTCCAGCTGAGCGCGTTCGACAGCGCGTTCGCCCAGGGCATGCTCAACAAACGAGCCATGAGCGGCCTCGTGGGCCTGCCCAAGTCCACCGGACCAGCAGGCTCGCTTAGCCAGGTGCTCGGCTCGTGGTTCGGTCGCGCGTTAGCGAGCACCGCCAGCTCGCTTCGCCAGGCAACCGAGACCACGCACCCCACGTCCATGGCGCTCCTGCTCACCGAGCCCGTCGTCCTGCTCGTCGACGAGCGCGTCCCCCGCGACACCGCGCGCCACGTCTCCTTCCAGCAGCTGCTGCCCCCCACCACGCCCCCCACGTTCGCGGGCACCGCGTTCCGCATCACACACTCGCTCGTCGTGGGCGTCCAGCGGCTGGGCGAGGACCAGCACGCGGTCGAGCTCGACTTTGCCGTGAACGTCGAGCCGGGGCCGGTGCCCGCCGTGCTCGAGCCGGTGCTCGTGCGCGCCGGCGACGCGCTCGCAGTCGACACGCTCGCCGGCCCCGGCGAGAGCGCCAGCAGCACCAGCACCAGCACCGACAGCAGCGGAGCTCTCGCTCCCCCCACTGCCCCCGCCCCCACTCCCACCGACACGCCTCTCTCGCACCCCCGGGTCGCCGAGTTGGCCGAGCTCTCCGCGCCCACGCCGAGAAGCACGCCGAGAAGCCCGCGCTCGCGCTCGCGCTCCCACAGCAGGCACTCGCGCACGCCCTCTGAAATTAACCTCCCCCGGCCCTCGGGCCTCGTGTCCACGCGCTTCGAGGTCTCCGCCAACGGCGTCGTGCTCTGCACCATCCAAATCTCAAAATCCACGTTCCGCTCCGGCGACATGCTCGTCGCGCAGATCGCCAACATGCAGGGCCGCATTCGCCAGGTGGCCGTCGCCCTCGAGTCCTCTGAGCACATCGCCGACCACCTGCGCGTCCGCAACGACGTCGGCACCTACCGCGCGACGCGCCGCGTCTGGGGCTACGTCAATCGCAGCACCCTCGGCCTGCACAATCTCGGAATCTCGCTCGTCGTCCCGCCCGAGTGTCCCGCCTCCTTTTCCACATTACACTTCTCCGTCGAAACCTGTCTGTGCGTCGATCTCCTGCTTTTCGCGCCGCCTGACTCGGCTGCAGCCGCCGCGAGCGGCCCAGTCGCGAGCGCTGGAGTGGCAGGCCCAGCGACCACGGGTCCTGGCCCCCTCGGCCCACCACCGCAGCGGCTGCAGCCCTCTCGATCCACACCCCCCAGCGCGCCCGCTGCTCCCGGCCAACCTCCTCCTCCACCCGCCCCTGGCGGCGAGCCCAGCACGAGCACGCCCAGGGGCGGCCAGAGCCCGCACCAGCACCAGCACCACCAGAGCCCGAGCCCGAGCCAGAGCCAGTCCCAGGACCGCTCCCCCACGATTCCCCCCACCTCGTCGCCGGCCCCCGCGCCTGCGCCCCCGCACAGCGTCTCGCCGTTCCTGGTGCAGCGCGGGCCCTCGACGTTCGTGCCCGCGGCCACCGTGTCCAGCACCCGCGTCAATTGCCGGCTGCCCGTCGTCATCCGGCACACGCTGACCGACGCGACCAGCACCAACATTGGCCGCGTGTCGCCGTAGGCCCCCGCAGCGGCCACGTGACCGCGTCGCGCTGGCCTAGCGCACTCCACCGCGCCGCTGCCCTGCATACCGCGCTGCGCTGCCCTGCCCAAAACACCCCCGCTCCTCACCGTCCCTCACCTGCATCCGATCATCTCCGACCGCCCCTGCCGAGCTAGTCGGCTCGCGTGTGCGCGCCGGACACACCTTTTTTCCTTCTCCCACACTCTCATAGGTCAAATCTGCAGTTACGTCATTAATGCGCCGCCTCGGCTCTTGATTGGTGTGTGGGAAATATGCTGCTCCTTTTCCTCTCATCACGTGTGCGTCCTTGGCGTCATTGGGTGCAGGCCTGTGCGGGCACACGTCATCCTCGCATGCCAGACGCAGCCACGCGTCGACCCGGCGGCAGTTGCGACCGTCCACGCAGCGCGTCCAACAGGGCGACGCCCACGTGCGTTCCTGCCAGAACGCACGTGGGCCTGCTGCAGCCCGCGCCATCGGTGTGCAGGCATTCTCTGCACCTGTGCCCCTGGCGACCGCCCAGACCGCGCACAATTTCTTACGCTGCCCATGCTGCCCATGCCTCCGTTCCGCCGTGCGAGCTGTTTCTCCACGTGCCGCTCGCGTCGCTTCGGAGATAACCTTCCCGTATTGCGCTACGTCTTGCCGCGCAATTTTGGACTTTTTTTAAGCTCTGATCGGGGTGAGTCTGATGTCATCGCGTCGTCATGCTCTTCACATGACCCACTTTTTCGAGCACACAAGTGGCCGTTAAGGTGTCAGGGGGGTTTTCATAGGCCGGTCTGGGCGCGTCGGCAGCCAGGGGACAGGGGAGCCTAATTCGAGACCCTGACCGCGATTTTGGGGGTGCACACACGCCAAACTCTGTGTGCTGCGACATGCTGCCCAAGGCCCTCCCACACCGTCTCCTCCGTGCTTTCCGCCACCCTTGCCCTGCCCGAATGCCCTGCTGCCCGCCCATTGCTGGTCACCTCCTTTGCTCCTCGCTTCCTTGACGATCTCCTGCTCGTGATTGGCGGTCATTATTCCCCCGCGCTCGCGTTTCCGTCATCCACTTGGCGCGCCCACGTTGCCTCCCCTCGCCCCTCTCTCCACTCCAAGCTATTAGGGTTTATTAGGCGTCACACTGTTATCATCGCTGCGTTACTATTTCTGGATCGCTAGCCAAAATCGCGCTCTTTTTGCCGCCCGCTCATTGGCTGTCCGCGGCTCTTCGCGATAGCATCCCCTTCGCTATTTCAGCCATTGTTTATTATGGCCTCCCCTCCCGCGCACACCCACACACACCCACTTAACCGTTGCACACACGCACAACAGCAGGTAGACGTGTTTTTCAACCGTTTTGTGTGCAAAGTACGAGGTTTCTGCTCTTAGAAGCATTTTCCGCGCGTCTCAACACCTCCTGAGTCCGTTCCCGCCTTTTCGTGCGCATTCTGCCTTGAATTTCGCCGTCGCTGCTTTTTGTGCCTCGTTTTGCACTGAATCGTAGACGTCGACGTTTTCAGCAATCCACTGCCCGTCGGAATTGTTTGTTTTCTCTAAAAACCCGTCGTGTAACGCGTAGGTTTTCCTTTTCTTGGCGACCCATTGCTGTGACACTGTTTGTGTGCCCGCATCGCCAGCACCACGCGTGTCTGTGAGGTTCTGCGTACTCGTGCCGTGACCACACACGTCCTCCACTCCGTGTCCCACGTCGTTTTCGTTTTTTTCTCCTTCTCGGTTTCTGTGTTCTTTCTCTTCTTTCCTCCTTTACCCCTCTCCGCCTTTTCCTTTTCCGTTTTCGCGTTTTTTTCGCTCCCTTGTGTACTGTTGCAGCTGCGTGAACTGACACTTTGCAACATTTTCACGAACGAGCATATGCAAGTGCTGACGCGCCGTGTGTTTGTCCGTTCTTGCCTTTTCGCACATCTCTGAGTGAGTCCCAAGTGCGTATACGCGTGTTTATGAACATAAGAAGAGCGTCTTGTGTGCGTGTGTGTCTTTTCGTGTTTGGAATTGACTTTTGTCTCGCAACTTCCCACTTTTCCATACTCCTAAACTCCTAATCGCTCGCTCTTCCATCCTCCCGCCGTGTAACACGACCAACTCGACCTTTTTCCCTTTTTTCGTCTTCTTTCGTCTTTTCCTCTTTCTGTACTTTCTCTCTCACTCACACACACTCTCTCTCTCTCACTCTTTACGCACACAATCATGGCGAAAGCTACGCAAGCTTCTTCGCCCGCCCCCCAGCCGTCGCCTACTGGCCCTCCTGGCGCCTTCCATCCTGCCCAAACGAACTCTACGGGTCTCAATGGACCGATGGTTGGTTCTATGTCGGTCCAGCAGCAGCAGCAGCAACAACAGCAACAGGCCGGTATGGTCCAAAACGGTGGTTCTGTGATGGCACAGCCTCCCAGTCCCCGGACAGTACCGTACGGCTCCGGTCCCGGCGTCCCAGGACCCATGCAGCACTATGGCTCTCCTGCCATGTCGATGCAGGTGCACCAAAAGCACCTCTCTCAGGGCCAGCCCCAGCAGCACTATGCCATGGCTTCTCCTCGCATGCATCAGGACCAGCAACAGCAGCAGGCTCAGCAGCAGCAACAAGGTGCTCCACAACAGCAGCAGATTCAACAGCTTCAGAACCCCATGGGTGCCGCTGCGTACCAGTCAATCATGCACCCGTACTCCCAGCCTGCCATGGTTCAGCCTGGAGCACAGTCTGTCGTGGGCGCCCCCTACTACCAAACTACCGTGAATCCCCAAACCCATCAACTTGTTCATCACGTCCATCCCGCTGCAAACCCGGCCGCCCCGGGTATGCATTCTTTTCCTGGTGCCCAGGCCCCTGCTCTCCCTTCACACCTGCGTCCACAACAACAGCAACCAAACCAACAGGTTTCTCAACAGCCACAGCAGCAGCAGCAACAACAGCAACAGCAACAGGCTGCTTCTCAGCAAGTTTCGGTGCAAGGTCTCCAGCGCCAAGTGCAGGCTGTTCCCCTTGTACATAATGGTGTGAATGGTGCCGGCGTTGTGCAGGGTGTCTCCTACGTACCTGTGGCTCCGACGCAACCAAATCCTGCTGCCATGGTTGCCGGCGTAAAGCCGCCAGACGGCACGAATGTCGTGGCTGCTGCTGCTACCGCAACCAACCCCAACGCGGGTTTCAAGCCTCAAGGGGCCTTGATGCCTCCGCCTTCTGTAAATCCCGTCACCGGTGGTCCTTCCATACTTCCTTCAGACGCCCCAGCGGCTTTCCACAAGCTGCTTACGCTCAACGAGGAAACTTGGATTCAAGTCGGTCGTTTGGCCGAGCTCATGAATGACATGGACAAGGCTTTGCTCGCGTATGAGTCTGCTCTTCGGCACAACCCGTACTCTATCCCGGCAATGCTCCAAATTGCCATGATCCTCAGGACTCGCGAGCAGTATCCGCTCGCCATTGAGTACTTCCAAAACATACTCAATATCGACCCCAAAAACGGAGACATCTGGAGTGCACTCGGCCACTGCTACCTTATGCACGATGATCTTGTCCGTGCTTACCAGGCTTATCAACAGGCTCTTTACCATCTCAAGGATCCCAAAGATCCGAAGCTTTGGTACGGAATCGGCATACTGTACGATCGCTATGGCTCGCATGAGCATGCTGAAGAGGCATTTGCTCAGTGTTTGCGTGTAGATCCGAATTTTGAAAAAGCAAACGAAATTTATTTCCGGCTTGGTATTATCTACAAGCAGCAACGCAAGTTTGCCCAATCACTGGAGTGTTTCCGGTACATTCTCGACAAGCCTCCAAAGCCCCTCACTGTTCTCGATATTTATTTCCAGATTGGACATGTGTACGAACAACAAAAGGAATACAAGCTTGCCAAGGAGGCCTACGAGCGTGTTCTCGCCCACACTCCCAACCACGCAAAGGTTCTCCAGCAGCTTGGTTGGCTGTGTCATCAACAGTCGCCTTCTTTCTCCAATCAGGAATTGGCCATTCAGTATCTTACAAAATCGCTTGAAGCAGATTCCAACGACGCGCAGTCTTGGTATCTCATTGGACGCTGTTTCGTCGCCCAACAAAAATACAACAAGGCATATGAGGCCTACCAACAAGCCGTTTACCGTGACGGACGCAATCCAACATTTTGGTGCTCTATTGGTGTTTTGTATTACCAGATTAATCAGTACCAAGACGCTCTGGATGCGTATTCACGCGCTATTCGTTTGAATCCTTACATCTCCGAGGTTTGGTATGATCTGGGCACGCTTTATGAAAGCTGCCACAACCAGATCGGCGATGCTCTGGATGCTTACCAGCGCGCCGCTGAACTGGATCCCGGCAACCCTCACATCAAGGCACGCTTGCAATACCTGCAGGGTGCTCAGAGTGAACAGCAGCGTGCTGTAGCTGCTCAAAATCAAAATGCTCAAAACCGTAACGAGCAAGACCATAAACAACCGCAAGTGGCCATGAATCAAAACATATATCCGAATGTCATCTCAGGCGGTAACCCTCACTGGCAGGTTCAACATCAACAGGCACCCAATGTTTATCCTCATCAGCCTGTTCATTATGCTGGAGTTCCTCCACAAGCTCAGCAGGCACAAGTTGATGCATCGTTGCAGCAGCAGCAGCAGCAGCAGCAACAACAACAACAACAACAACAGCACCAGGTTGCTCAGATGGTAACACGTTCACCTCGCGGTACTTACCATTACATTAATAGCGCTCCCACACCGGCTGATGTCAACCGTATGTCGAAAAGTGGTCCTTCGCAAACGTATCCTGGTGCCATAGCACAACCGTCTGCGATTGTCCAGGCGCCCGGTCAACCTTTAACGCCTGGCTCAGTAATGTCTCCGTCAAACGAAGCCAGTATTTCACCTCATACAAAAGCACCTGGTCCCGAAGCCGGTGACGCTGAGCAACGTCAAGATGTTCCTAAAAACTGGCAGCCTAGTACAGAGAGAGGCTCAATCTCTGGACCCAAATCCGCTCGTGGAAGCACGAGTGGCCGTCCACGGGGTGTCTCTTCTCGCCGGTCTAGTTTGGCTAATACTACGGATAATGCCTCGACGATGCCTTCTTCTCAACCCCAAAAGGAGCCTGAGAACAACGAGCTTCCTGCAATTCTGCCGGCCAAACGGTCCGCTTCTGAAAAGTCTTCAAATGCCCCAGATTCACCCCAACAATATGAGAATGTAAAACGGCCGAAGAATTCTGCTACCAATGAACAACAGCGTCAACAAGAGCCTGTCCATACACAACAAGCTGATCACAATGCTGTCAGCCAAGCCCAAGCGCCCGTCGCAGCCATGTCTGAGCCTACGACGACGTACCCCTCTGTCCAAAATGCTGTATTTTCAAATGAGAATCCAGTTTCTGCAACCCCGCCGGCCGAGGACGCAGGAACCTCGTCCAGAGAAGCGCAATCTGGTGGCGCGCATGAAATAAACGCCTTCAAATCGTCTGGAACAAAGGGCGAGACAGCTGATTCAAACCCTAATTCCACTCGAACCGATAATAAAAACAGCGAACAGAAGCAGGCCCTTCAACAAGGTGCTCGGACGCTGGGTGTTGATGAAAATTACGATGAAGATGAAAACGAAAGAGAAGAAGAAAGCCGAAACTAGTATCTCTATTCACTTCTTTCTTAACGTTTTTTGACTCTTATGTATGCTTGATGTGTATAACTTTGAATGATTTTGGGAGTTTCATCATGGGATCTACTTTTGCTTTTCTCGTTGTTTACCTCACTCTTTCTGTAGATAGCATAATGATTATATTAGCTCGACTAAAAGGATGCGTTCGTTATTTTATGTTATAATTGTGCCTTGCCTGCCTAATATTGAACTACTTATTGGCCTATTACTATACTACGCTGGTGTTTGTGGGTGAGGAACATACAGTAGTAACTGGTTTCTCTGTTTTTTTGGTGGTGAGTTGAAGATGGTCGTTGTTACTTGAAACACTACCACCACAAGTAACAACGCTGTTAGCAACTAATGCTGCAATATGCAGGCCTGGTTTGCTTGTGTCAGCACTCTGAGGAAGACGCAGCGGATGTGAGAACGGAGCAAGAGAGCGAAAAAGATCGTTAGCGTGAAATTAGTAATATCTCAATGAGTTGTCTGCTAAAATCAAAAGTCGTGTGGAAACCAGCACGCTTCCTCATAGCATCCTTCTTTTCTTTACAAACAACTGTAAGAGCAACGTCAAACAAAGCGAACGTTGTTCCTAATAAGCGAAACAAAAATAACATTCCGAAAGAAGCATTATTTGATGATGAAAATATGAGGATCCTGCCTGATAATGTGCTTGCTGCTTACGTTGCGCCTGTCCGTCACCCTGTGACGAAAGATGCCGTAGAATGTGCTCAAATAATGTTTAAAAGTTATGAACTATCAAAGTTAGAGTTCTTTGCAGACTTCGCAGTTCGTTGTGCATATTACATGAATATACCTGTTAGGGGACCAACTCCCTTGCCTAAAAAAATACAACGGTGGACTCTAGTGCGTTCACCTTTTGTTCATAAAGCCTCTCAAGAGAATTTTGAAAGAATCACATACTCCCGGTTACTTCGTTTGTTTAACGTAAACAGCGAAACACTCGAAGTACTGTTGGGGTATCTGAACACAAGCATTGTTCCGACGATTTCCATGGATGTAACTGTTTACGAGCATGAAAAGTTGGATGTCTTGGACCGAGTGCAACAACTTATTCCTGATGCAAACGAAGAAACGTGGGAATGTGGAAGAGAAGATCAAATTATTCCCAAGGCGGTTGACCGCTTGCTTTCCACAGACAAAGATTTCGTTGCCTTGATGAAAAAGACCGGACGGTAGTTTTTGCAAAACGCTTTTTGCATTTTTTTTCCAAACCATTTATGATTTTGTATAAATCAATACATTTGCAAACGCAGTTCGGATTCTAAAATGGACACCCAAAAAAGATGTCTAGTGCATTTATATATCCAGTGAAATCTCCTCTGGGTTCGCTGGAGAAGCTTGTTTTGAAGGAGATTGGTCGTTCACATTACCACCCTGCGGTCCCGTAGAAGAGGCAACAAAACCAGCAAGAGGTTTATCGCGCACGACTGCATTGTTTAATTGTTCCATTGCATCGTTACTGGCAACAGCGTCACTGCTGGTCGAGAGAACGGCCGCTTGCTTTGCGATGAAAGCAACATCAGAATTGAATTTTGCAAGAACAGACCGCTTGATGCGAAGCATGTCTTTTACTGTTTCTTCGGCGTTTCCATACTTAATTTCGAAATCCTGCCATTTCTCCCAATAATCAGATTCTACTCGTGGATCGCAGTATTGGCTTCCATGAATGAAGATAGCACGAGCACGATCAATTTCACCCAGCTTTATTTCGAGTTCCGCATAACGAAGACACATTTCTTTCACTTGGGCGTCCGGAAGTATTTCAATAGCTTTTTCATAAATAGGTCTTGCAGCAGCAATACCGAAGTTCACGGTGGCTTTCACCAACCATATATCGAACACATTTTTTCTTTCCTCTGGTACAACGGCAGTACTTGCTTTCTCCAGAATGCTTAAAGATTTTCGGGCCTTTCCATAGGTTTCTTCGTATTCGGCGTAAAGAAGATACAGTGGTTTCGCAAATTTTTCTGGGCAATTATCAAGCGCTTGCTCAAATAGATCACGGGCACGTTCCAATCTTTGTCCTTTATAACGTTGAACGAATTTAGTTAGATACAAATTCCATAGTTCGAACGCAACGGGATAGCTGAACAATGCAACACCGCGTTCATAAACTTTGAAACTATCTTCAAAGAATTGGTTTTCTTCTAATAGATTGGCATAATTAACGACGACTTGGGGTGTCGCGATTTTAAGTTCGAACATTCGTTCATAAAGAGCTCTTGTTGATTCGAGTGTGCCGACACTTTCTTCCAAATCAAGATAAAACAACCAAAGCTTTGCGGATTTGTGCAGCCGTGCTTGTGGACTCAAAGATTCATCAAAGAAACTGACAGTGCTGTGCTTTGGACCTTTCGTGGCTTGTGCTACAAGTGAACGTGCACGATCAAAATTGTTTTGTCGAAGTTCCATCTCAGCCCAATCAATCCATATTTGTGCCAAATCATTTACTGATTTGAATGGCACTTTTGTAGCTTTCTCAAAAATGATCCGTGCATTTTCTAAGTCATCCAATTTTTCAAAAAACATTGCAAAATTCGTCCACAAACCAACAAAGTCGCCGACGGCTTGACTAGGCTTAATGGAACTTAATGCTTTGGTATACACAGAAAGCACAGCTTCAGCATCTTCACCATGCAATTCAACTCTTCGCTGCCATTCAGAAGCATTATGCACGTTTTGTCGAAGGAGCACATCGTTCACATAAAATGGGCGCTGGTTCAGGAGATTTTCTAGCCGTAAGAGTTGGAAGTCTAGCTCAACATCATTTACATTATTTGTTTCTGCCCGTTCCATTAAATGCGTGACCCATTGTTCTTCGAATTCAACGGCAGCATCGAAGACGAATGTGAAATCCCGTACAGTTACAACTGTAGTAATTCCCTCCATAAAAATATCACGCGCCTGAATATTAGCAACAGAAAAAAAAAAATATTAACAACAGCTTCAAAAGAACGGTTGAGAACTTACCTTTTCATACAAACCCATCCGAATAAAGTACCGTGCAAGAGTTGTATACAGCCGACCGGCTTGGTCAGTAAATCTTTTTATGCCCGCTCGCAAAACTTCCTCAACGTTGATGTTCTGGATTTCGCGCGGATGCTTGACCAGGAGTTCAGAAAACTCTGACCAGATTTGGTAATTACTTTTCCGTTTTGTCGAAAGGAAAACGGGGCGATTGAGAATGTTGAGGTATTCGTGTACAGCGTCATTCCACATCTCCATGTGAACAAGTTCTTCAATAAAATCCTCAATTGCCCGAGGTTCAACACAGACGTAGCGTCTGAGTACATGGACGCAGAAAGGGCCTCCAATGCTAATAGCGTAGTCTTTATATAATTCCCAAATACGATCATGTTGAGCGACGGGTAAGGCCCTTAATGCTTCATCAAAAGCTTTCCGAGTATCTGTGACATTCGCTTGTAGCATTAAAAACTTAAGATACATTTCCCAAATAACGGGAAACCGATGAAGTAGAACGAGGGCTTTTCGGAAACAATTGTTCACCGCTTCATAGTCGTCGACGAATCCAAAGACAGGAACTTGCGTAATGTGTTGTATCCGAAGCTCTAAATACTGTTTCCACAGTTTGTAGCTTCCAGGAAGATCGTTACAGGCACGTTCGTATAGAAAAACGCGTTTTAAAAAAGAGCTGCTTTCATTCGCAGTCAAATAGCGTAACCAAGCTTTAAGAGAAAACGGGTTTCGAAGCAATTCTAACTCAAAAGGTTCATCTTTTGCCTCAATTAGTGAAACATCTACGAGAACATCGTTACTGTCATTCATTTTAGACAGTTGTTAAAGGACGGGAAATGTCGCTGTAAACACGAACAAATTTACCAGAAAATCGGGCCAAATGCTGCCAAAACACGAAACGCGAAGAATGTAAGTAACTCAAACAAATATGCTTCACAAACAATGAGATTAGAAAACGTCCTATTAATAACGGACATCACAAACGTGATTCTCCTACAGTGAAAATTTCCACCCAAAATACAGGTTATACCAGCTAGAACAAAACACAACACGCAATTAAAATAGATGTCAACAATATAAATATACAAACTAATAAAAACTATGGAAGCAAAAGTCATCAGTCAGATAAGTGAGTTTCTTTGGTATCAGGTTGTCTTCAGCATTGTTCAGAAGCAGAACTGATTATAGGTATCATCATTTAATGACTTTTGCTGATAAGCTACTCAAAAGTTCACGACTGTAGATGTTAGAAAAGTTCCAAATAAATAGAAACGTCAAAGTCATTCGGTGATGCATGTTTTCTGATGATCATTGAATTTCACAGACAGAAAGGGGTAAAGTATAATCATTCAAGACTTGACAAATTGCATACCTAGACGAGTTAGTAAGATGTATGTAAAGAAGAAGAAAGTGAAGGTAAATCAGCAACGAAGAATTCCTAAAATAAAGATTAAAATGTCCGCATCGATTGCCCTACTAGGAACAAATCTTATCATCCTGTAAACCATCACTTGCTTAAATTACCTTTTTGTTACTGATCAGAGATCACCGCGCCCACCAGGAGCACTCAACAGCCCAAGCTGAATTATTGGACTCATGTTGTTGAGTGCTCAAGGCGAATCCGAACTTGATGGTTTGTGGTGAAAAACGCAATCGCTTATATACTAATTGTAAAGCGTGACTGCGTTTTCTATGCAGTCACACATAGTTGCATTTGCAAATGAAATACGCGTCGCGTTGTAAACAATGAACGGCTCGAGAAGCATAGTAATTCGCTACTACATAAGCGAAATGAAAAGCTTACGGGTATCGGGATTAGGTTTTGAAATAAAGTTGTATAAGTTGTAGTAACTATAAATTAAGGAGCCGTGGAATGAAGCGGTGTGGGCGCTGTTTTACGAATCGTTCGAAGGGTCTGTTTTTTCAGGATCTGGTATGTCTGTCTTGGCGGGCTTGAGCTCTTCAGTAAGCTCTGGGAAACATGTAAGGAGACGCTTCCAAGTAGAATTCCACTGCTCTTTGAGTGCTGTATCGGTAGTTTGAAGTTCTCCGGTCTCGCTTTGCTTAATATAGCCAGCAGAAGTAAGAATGAGATGAACGTTTTTTAACGATTCCGTAACTTCCGTCAAGGGTTCACTCTTGTTCAACTGATAAAGGGAACAGGAGAGTTCCATAACACGAACCCAAAGACTTGGGAGAGCATTTGAATCAGAGGATAATAAAGTCATATCAATAAGCAGGGTTTTGCAGAGAATATTAAACATTAAGGCCTGAGCTTGGCCCATCATTCGTCCTTCGTGTCGAGGGGGGGAATACTTCATCATATCTTGAAGAATTGGGACCAGAATCTCGTCGAATAACAACAGGGTTACACCGACATCGTGTTCTGCGTCCAACTGCTTCATAATAATTTGTTGTAATACAGTCAATGAAGTAGCACGAACTGTTTTCCCCTGAGATGTACACAGACGTCTTAGATTTTTGTATAATATTTTCCAACGAGCAAGATTTTCAGCTTCAGCTTCATCCTCTTCATTTATTTTGGTGATGGTATTAAGCATAGTAGAAGTTGAGGCAAACAATTGAAGTAAATCGCTGACACTTTTGGCATGTTGATCGATAACTTCCTTATCCAAGGTTTTGTTCCGGGCATTTGATCGTTTATGTTCGAGTATGGTTGCAGTGATTGCTTTGGACATTTTTCTCACAGAATTTGTAATAGATGACAAAAATTGTTCGTAAAGTTCTCGGGGCAAAGCAGTAATACAGACCTGCTCAAACAATGGGACAATCTCCTCTGAAGTACCAAGTTGGTCTGCGAGTTGTATGCATAATTGGGTGAAGCTCTCTGTTTTCTGCAGAACAGTTGTGTTTTCACATATTTGTAATAACGAGTGACGAATAGGCTTTACAGCAAGTAAATTTGTTGAGGCAAGCTTCGCCAGCATGGAATCCATAATCCGGCAAACCATACTGCCTTCTGCAATTGAAACACATTTAAAACTTATAAGAGCTGAAGCACATGAGAAAAGATGGCAGGTTGCGGCGGGAATTCGCGTTATTTCTTGAGAAATAAACATAAGAAGTTTCACTGCGTACGGTTGGTAATCTTGGGGACACTGCAGGCATATGCTTGTAAGGATTTCAATGGGAAGACTTATTAAAACTTCGTCGCAAAACTGATACCGCAGAGTGTCAACATCGGTTTCGATAAGAATGAGTGAATTGGAAATGAACAGAGGAACAACCCTCTCACTGTTCTCTGTTATTGTAATGAAGGTATTGAACAACCACTCTGCTGCAGCGTTATTTATGTGGGTAGGAAAGTTCAAAAGACATTCACGCAGCTTTGAGGATTTTAAGCAATCGGCTGCACATAGACTGTATTCTACTTCGGTTTCAGTCGGTGTAGGTTCATTCTCGCTTGAATAACCTGCAAGGAAGGAAGAAAAGGTGGAAAGTATACCCGACTCTTTACCAGATTTATTTTTCTTTGAGGTTGTATCAGGTATGGGGAAATAACAGGTTTTCGTGAAAGGAAAAGTGGGAAGACAATCACCTTCAATTACATTTTCTTGAACGAGACAAGAAAGAACACTAAAGAGATCCTGCATTCCGTAGCGCATAGAACTTGCAAACTTGTTAAATATCCAAAACAGTAAGATAACCGCCAATTGTGCTCGAAAATCTCTGCCTATGGCAACCGTGGCATCGTTCACCTTAATTGATGCTTCGTTATAGTTAACAGTTGTTGAAAATGTTCTTCTAGGAAATGATCCAATAGAAAGCAACACTATGTGAGAGAGTCTTCCTACGATGAAATCAATTGTGTCAAAAAGCGAAACTTGAGATGCTATAGTAACGCATTGATGTATACCATTTATAACATGTTGGTATACTGTATCCTTAGTCGCAGTAAAAAACACGTACATAAGAGCTGAAACCATAGGGCGCCAGAACGCCTTGAATACGAGTACATTGAGCTTAATTTCATGGTTGCATACGAAAGGGCCAAATTCTGTGGTTTTCCTTTGCAATTCATGCCAAAAGTAGTTGAAACTTGTTTCCGTATCGTGTTCCTCAACAATTATTATTTCGTTTTCACGAATTGACGTATAAACCTGCTTTAAGAAATCCTGATCGAAGTCTTTTCCGTCATTAATACCACGTATATTGCGTCTGAAATCGTCCAATGTCATACGCTTTTGCGCCTTTATGTTCGGATTATGTTGGTCAGTATTCAACATTATAATTGAATACGATAACACAAATACAGCATCTTTCGAAGCGATAAACTGCTTGTTACATTCCAGATAATAATGGGCAAAAAACTCCAAAATCCGCTCGATTAACTGCGACTCACCAGGAAGTCTAAATGACTGCAGCATTAACCGCAACGCTTCATCAATTCGTATATTGGTGAAATTAAAGAAGCTGATAAATTTGTCCAAAATAATCAAGTTCTTTGATTTAGTAAGGAACTCACCGAGAACACGCTTGTCAATTCGATTAGTTGAGTGAAGGAACTTAGCAATGCAAGATGCATCACCTGGTTGTTGTATAATCTTATTTTCCAAAAGAAAAAGGATACCCGCCTCGGGTTTTTCGTTGAATTTTAAGCAGCCCTCGGTTATAATTTCCTTTTTCATTTTGTTGTCCATTAGTTCTTCCATCTTAGCAGCGTTAACACTGGTGTTACTCAAGTTCGCAGCTGGAGAAACTAAAGACCCGTGAATAAACGAGATAGCATTGAGTAAAGCGCTGAAAGAGAGGGGCGGAACATTGGGAGTAGAGTAAAGTGCACTGTTAGAAAAAGCATTTTTAGACAAGGTTTCAATCAGATTTTGACATATGTTGGCCATTCGAATATCACAGTCATAATTTACATACAGGTCTGTAATGTAAGAAGGGATACGGGTGAGTGAATCAAGACATTCAATAAACAGTTCTCGTACTTCCGGTGTATTACCGAGCATACGAAGGTGTGAACGCTCTGAAGAGGTTGTTTCGTTCAATGAATTGGGAAACGAGGAGCTAGCATCGCTGTAGGGCATACAATTATAGATAGCGGGATCAACGCCTTCCTCAATGATTGCCTGTTTAGGAATTTGTAGACATGAAAGAATGTACGTGAGGAATAACTCTTGCTGCAACTTTAAGTGTTCTCGCATGGTCTGGAGAAGAGTCACCATAACTCGTAAAGCGGCTGAAAGGATGGGCACCTGGTTGCTTCTTATAAGTCGAAGAAGACCCTTACACAGATAATCGGTAGCGAGAATGCGCAAGGAGGGAAAGTCTGCAAATTTACTACCAGCAATTTCCAAAGCTGTATTGATTTGGCAGAGAGCCATTAGTTTTACCACCTCCGACGAGCTTGTTGACTTGAGCTCAACAAACGTTATTAAGACACGAAAGACTTCTCGTACTGAGTTAATACCATAAGGTGCAAGCTTTAACATTGCTTCATCGGACAGTTCCGTCTCTTCTGTTTTTTTCGTTGCCTCATTAAACACGGTGCCATCATCCGTGCTGGGATCGAGGGAGTGCAGCCTTGTAAAGATGCATTCTATCATCGAGCTTAATGACAAAGATGCGCTTCGCCTCAAACTGTCAGAAAGTCTCCTCTGACAACACATTGCAAGAGCAGTTTCAACCATTTCACAGACAGAATCATCAGAGAGCAATATACTACCAGGGAAGCGAAGCAGCTGCTCCATCAATCGCAAGATTTTCAGTAGAACGGCTTCATCCTCCAAGTCTTCGGTGTTCTCAAAACGGCATTGTGTGAGTGCATTAGATAGCTTTCGAATAGCGAATGCAAGATTCGGTGAATTTTCATTAATAATCCCATAAGAGAAGAATTTCATAATCGCAGTAATTGCCAACGAAGTGATAAAACCGACCATAGAGGAGTCCTTTAATATGTCTAGGAATGGATCAAGCAGTTTACAAGCATCATAACTGGTGACATCTGGATCGTGAGTCAGATCGCTTTTTAATTGAGCAAACTGAACAAAAATATAAGCTCCCGCTTCAGAGTCACCATCTGAAAGGTTTCTCCATTGATTCTCGAATCCGTCTGGAAGAAACTCGTTCTCAGAGATTGCTAGCCGTAGGATAGAGGTAAAACCCGAGCTTTTCCAGCGAGCCAGTTTTCTAATTGCTGTGACTATTGTAACGATTTCATTAATTATAACCGAAGAAGGTGATAATGAGCATAGAGGACTTTTATCTCTGGCGATTTGAGGCTTTTCCATAGCCTTAATGAAGGATTTGGTAGAAACGCTCAAGCTCTGTTTTCAACGCGTTTCGACAGAGGTGTCTTGGAATGGTTTACTAAAGACTTACCCTTACTAGAAGATGTACACAACGAAAATAAACAGAAAATGGTATATATGAAGACGTAAATATTAGATACAAAGAATTAAGCAATTGCTTTTGAACTTTCATTAAATCCAAATTTAAGCTACTGTACATAGATTTCTGAAATACAATGAAAACGAAGGACTGATGGAGGTATGAGAGTAGGGTAGACAGGGAGGCATAAAGGGAAAAACATACAAGAAACACAGAATTGTCTTAAGAGTTGATGTCGGTAAGTTTACACCATTTTTTGAGCAAAACAGAACAATTAAGAGTGTAGTTTACTGAGTGCTAGAATCGATTTTCGGTTTTACCTCGTCGTCATCAATAAGAAGGGCTTCATAATCACAATTAGGATGTAAGGCAAATACTCGTTCTTCAAAAGGTAGTTTGGTTGTGCTGTCGGCCTTGTTTTGGATTTCCATGAGTATAGATTCATGAACAAGTCGATTTAGAACTTTGCGGAGCAAACCGACTTCGTAGATTAAATCATCTTCTGTCTGAATTTCATCTTCTTTTTCTTCGAGGTACTGTTGAACTAGCTCGGCAGCCATCATTCCTTCCTCGCCTCGTTGAGATTGAGTGTGAAGGATACGAACAATGGCATTCATCATCGAAACATACTTGTCATAAGTAATTTTTACTTTTGGTTTCTCTGTCTTCACTTGAGTGCCCTCGGCCTCAACTTGCGAAGACGCTTCTTTGGGTCTTTCTGACTCAGTCTCCTGCTGCTCAGCTTCCTCTTCTTCCACTTCAATATCATCCCGTTCAACGTGAATAATGGATTGCCGCAAGAGCGAGTAGGCTTCATTCACAAACGCAGGTGTAATGTCATCAACGCAGTTCGCACGGGCAATAGCCTCGGACAGTCGAATCATTGATTCTAATTGTCGAACAGTGATTCTGTACGAGTTCTTGCCTGCGCCTTGTGCATCATCCATACGCAGTTGTTTGTATTTTTTTACAATTTCTTGACGGGCATCTCGGGACAGCTTCGGCTTAAAAGTTCGAGCATAGCGGATGTAACGTTGCAATTGTTCAGTACTAAATTCGGGTTGAATAGCATCGTCTCGTAAGCGATGCAAATCCACGATATGTCTTGCCAGATGGGTGTCAACTGCTTCATTACATTCATCCAATACGACGAAAAACAAATCGAAACGAGACATAATGGGGGCAGACATTTGGATGTTGTTTCGAAGTGTCGTTTTACGATTATATCTTCCGCCGATGGGATTGGCGGCGGCCAAGATAGAGGTTCGAGCATTCAAGGTGGCCTGAATACCAGCTTTAGCAATAGATATTGTCTGCTGTTCCATGGCTTCATGAATGGCGACTTGGTCCGATAAATCCATTTTGTCGAATTCATCAATTGCACAAATGCCATTGTCAGCAAGCATTAAAGCACCAGCTTCAATCGTGAAATCTCCAGTCTCTTCATCCTTAACAACAGCAGCAGTTAAACCAGCGGCCGAAGAAGCTTTACCAGACGTATAGACGGCGCGCGGAAGAAAGCTACAAACATATTTCAGAAATTGGGACTTTGAAGTACTTGGATCGCCAACAATGCAAATATTAATATCACCTCTCAGGTTAATACCCTCTGGTGTAACCTTGTGGACACCGCCCATTAGCTGTAGTAAAATACCCTTTTTAATAATTTCGTGACCATACACGGACGGCGCAATTGAATTAACAAGTCTTGCATATATATGATCAGAATGCACCATCGCACGAAGATCATCCACCTCAGCCTGTGTCAATGAATGCAAAAACTCTTCTTGTGACTCTACTCCCTGCGATCCGTCGCCACGAACATCTGCATTACTGTGATCGTTTGCGTCAGCGGGTTGTACCATGCAAGCCAAGAAAGCCAGCTTGTAGGTCAAATCACGAACACCAAGAGCCTTGATGCCGGTGACGCCCTCATTCGTTGAATCACGACCGCGTCCAACACTTCGATTGTCGCGATATGCTTCTGGTTTCACACCGGGAATGCCTAATTGTGAGATATCAGGCACCGCGATAAGTGTGCCAGTGAAAGCACATTTGTCACCTGCTTTGGCCCGTTCAACAATTTCACCTCGCAGAATAACGTCCAACGTTCTGGGCATTGATCCTGTAGGAATTTCATTGCTGTTTTCTTGAATTCGAACTTTTTGCCAGTCTTGAAAGGTCGATTGAGCGATGTTGAGTTTCCAATGTCGCTTATTTGCACAGATTTCGTTTGGGCATTGAGTTGGTTCAGTATAACGGAAAGCTTGCTCGACATTGGAAATTACAGTATGACACTCTTCACAAATAAAAGTACCTAAAGCCAATTCTGGTCGAACTTCAGAGGTACGGGTTACTGTGCCAGTGATTGTTGTCAATCTACCGATTCTGTCAGTTCGCAGATCTCGTACAGTCGAACGGAATGGAAGATTGTGGAAGGCAAGCTCAAACGTTTGATCGAGTGCTTTGGTAGCTGGAGTCACGGAGACGTGAGTTTGAGAAAGAGAACTACGATAGTATTCTGGCTCATACTTTTCGACAAGATTTTGTAAAGCTCGTGTTAAGTATGGAGCAAAACGGTAGTACTGTTCAACTACAGCAAGTGCCAGAACTTCATCAAAGCCGGTTAAGTGCGAATAATCGACATAGACTGTATGAATTTCATACATAGCCAAGCCATGGATCTGTGCAATGTAAAATTTTTCACTTGCTGAAGACGATATCGACCGACCAGGTGAGCCGGTGTTGCTTTCGGTAAAAGATTCCAAAAATGCTTCAAATGCTTCGCGTACAGATTCACCCGTTGTGTCTACAACTTTCGGAATTGCACCATCCACGTTATTTCTAGGTTTGTGTTTAATGGCAGGCTCTTGTTCTACAACGTTTTGTTCCTGAGACGTTAAAAACCCGCGTCTTACAGACGCACTAGAATTTGGAGCTCCACCGGTATACGAAGGCGTCGATGGAAATCCATTTTGAGGTGTAGATATCGGAAGCGACGACATCTTTGAATTCCGTCGCAGAATTGACAGTGCGTAAACGAAACGCTTTTTTTGTTAGTTATGGGAGTGTGTAAGTTTCTTCCACGTAGACGCGTAGCTCTTGCAATTTGCTTCCACCAAGCGAATATAGGCATAACCTTAAATTCAACGCGTCGCGAGAACGTAACCAGAGCAAACCTACAAAATGGTAAACAATTGAAGTTTTATATTGTCATTCTTGCTAACACTATTGTAGGCAGATAGATTGAGATCACAGGCAAAGCTTGAGCAGCTTCAAGCGCGTTTTGTTGGAGTGGGATACGACGAGACCACGAAGTAGTACGTGTTCGACGCGATTTTTGTGCGATATTTTTTTTACTAATATTCTAGTGAATGGCTTTCAAATCAACATAGAGATACGCTCTCTTCAATGGTTGGTCATCCGACGAATTTAGCTTATTTATCCACAGCCATGGGAGAAAGCCGTCTTGAGACTCGGACAAAACTTTTAGAGAAAATGGTATTGCCTTGCGGTCCTCCACCACCTGCAGATGAATAATACAATCTAAAAAATTACGAATGCATTTCGTTAAACATTAAAACGTCCGAACACTTCGCAGGATCAAACTTGACTTGCTCAAAACAACTAATCTTCATTATAATGTGGAGAAAAACTCATTAATCAATTACGATAATTCGAATTTTGTGAAGTTAAGCTCATATGTATCTACGGGTGATCTACTAGTGTTCTTTGTTGACTTCTTTTTTTTTTTTTTTTTATTTGATTATTTTTTACTACGAGAATTGCTGGCTACGGTTTTGGAGTCGTAACGAGTTCCTTAATCATTTTCTGTTGAAGCAAAAAGAATGGGAAACACATCAAGTCGTTCTTACTTAAGTAGGTGATTGTTCAAACTCTTAATTTGTTACAAAATAATAATCTAGCGAGATTATCCTTAACCCTTTTTTTATACAAAGTTGCCAAAAACAGTTAACAAAAAAAAGACAAACAAGACTTCTTTCAAATCTCTCTCTAACTTTCCCATGTTTCAGGAGTTAATACTGGTTCTTGCAGGGTATGACTCTGACCTTTTTGACTCTACTTTTCAACTACGTAAAAACATACCTCTGCTCCATCCAGCAGAGAGGCAATTGATCAATGAAATTGCAAAAGTTGCATGTATACGACGGGAAATACAGAGTTGCGCTGAAGCGTACGTTTGCAAACTTCACCCGTTGAATAAACAAACGGTCGAATATGCAGAGCAAATACTTGCGAATTTCAATGAGTTCTTAGCGACAATTGAGATGAAAATTGCCTCTAAAGATTCTGAACTTATTGGCACGAGTTTTTCATTGGCGCAGTTTCTTGCCCAACTATCTCCTTGGAAGCTACGTTTACGTGCATTATTTGACATTGTCAAGCGCGTTCTTCCGTGTAAAATAACGAAAGAAATATTGGAAGTTTTATCTGAAAGTGTAAAGCAGGCTCCGTCGGCCGCTCATCTTGAAATATCACAGGCTTTGGAAATAGTTCTTCACAAAGCATGGCTTTCTGCGCTCCTTCACTATCTAATTATGGGCCAACGGTTGGATGAATTTGTAATTGACTTCTTTCATGGCAACTCAGAGTCAAAGAACACATATACTTCAGACTGTATATTTTCAGAAAAGCTTCCTCATTTTCTCTCTAGTCACTCAGTTCATGTTTTATGGATGATCATGCGTTCTCTAGAGATTGGTCGCACACTGGTTGGCATTGATTTTGCCGGTACTTGCTTAAAGATTCATCAGATTTCATCGTCAGCAATCTCATTTCCGTTAACCAAAGATGTTATGGATGCGTTTCTCGAGAAATCGTATGGAATTATTTCTCGGAATATAATATTTCATCTTGCGCCAGTGAAACGACTAGTTCAAGTGGCAGACGTACTCGAAGCTCTTGTACTGTTTGGTGACCAACGGTTCGCACGAGTATTTGCTGAGAAGCTTAGGGAACGGATAGAAGGTATATCGTCTTTGCCAAACGCCAAACAAGAGCTTGAAAAAACTATGGCTTCAACCTTTGATTATACGATTCTTATGCTTGATTTAGACGAGCGATTTGGTGAGTGTGTGTCGCTTCTAAAACCTGTGTTCATAGAGTATACGAACAACGAGCCGGCGTTTTCCTTCCAGTTAATCCCGTGGTGGCCGTATTCTTTGTTCTTAACCGATGAGCTGGCCCGTGTATATGAGAAGCTATCCGTGCACTTGCTCTCACTCCAACAGTCTATCATAATAACCAAAGGCATGTATGCTGGGGTTAGAAATCTCGATACCGATAAGACAAAATGGATAGGCGTTTGGTGCGTTTTCCGCTTTTTGTCAACTCTCCAAAAATACTTTTACGACGGTATTATTCGACCACGTTTTATTCATTTAAAACAGTTCTTGACCACAAACTCAACAGAGTTGAATATGCATTTTTTCCAAAAGCAGCACTCTGATTGTATTCAGTATATCCAGCAAATGACGTTTCAGAATGACCCTGATGTTGTACAACAATTGAATATCATCTATGCTACAGTACAGCAAGCAAAAATAGCAACAACAGAGGACTGGATTCGACTTCAAAATGTTGTACAAAACTGTATTGGACTCATGGAAGCGAAGTTGGATGCACCAGACTATGACAAAGTCCCGATGAACACATTCCTACTTCAATTGACCTAACTGTAAGGTGTATCGTTGCATTCATTAACTCGTTAAATAATCTCGACATTTACTCATCATCATCATCATCGGACAAGCTTTCGATAGAGGAAAGCTCGCTCTCCTCTTCCTCGTCATCATCATCATCTTCTTCTTTTGATACATCCTCGGCCAATGGGGGTAAACCGTCCGCTTTGGCGAAACGATCTACGTATTCCTTTATTTTGGCACGGTACGCCTCTGGTTCTCGCAGCATGAGAGCAGCAGCTTCTCCGTTCAAAGGATCAGCGGCATTCGGGTAGCGCAACAGTTGTGGCAAGAAGACCTCAAAAATGTTAATCAAGTCAAACATGGGTGACCATGTTTGATTAATGACATCCAAACAAACGCTTCCGCTCAATTCGTCAATGTTTGGATGGAATATTCTATTGACGAAACCGATACTAGGACTCTTCCAAGGATACTCATCCTGCAGTTCAACATGAACTTTCCAAACACCACCCTCGTATGGAGCTACATGAGTTTAATTAGCATACTGTACATAGTTTCAGAACTCGTTGAAGGCCGACAAAAATTGTGCTTTTCGATGCTGAGGTGTGTGTTTACTTACTCTCTTTTGGACCATGAAACTGAACATGGAAATCCTGTAACTTGTCATTTACAAGTGTAACGTCAAAGTTGCTCATCAGCAAATTCATAACGTCCGTTCTGATTCTGTGTTTATTTTCGGACGACATTATTTAATAAAAAAATGAAATGAAGGAGTTCAGAAAAAAAAGGAAACAGTAGCAATCGTTCGGTCGCGGGAAACCTTCAAGAAAAGGAAAAAGTTGTTTAACAGGCTTGCCCCTACAAATGACCGGAAGCAGATAAATTTTGTTGTGGCTTACTGGAAAGTACAATGATACTGCAGTGGCAGCACATGTCAGTTCGGTTATCATCAGACGTCACTTTCACGCCAAAATTCCAGAATCCGTCAATTGTAGGGAGGGACGGCGAAGGTAACGTAAGATGGGAAATTTCCCCTGTGTACGCTTGCTGTTTTAAGTTTTGTTGGGGTTTCGGTTTAACGGATTTAGCGGTGTTCATAAGATGGATGGTTATAAGGGGATAGTTGAGTTCAATGTGCTGAACAATACTACAGAGTGCTGTCGTTCCGTAATACGCAATTTTTGAGTTTGTGTAATGTAAACAATTTTAGTGATACATCTCTTAATTAGCTTTGTACGACCGCTCCGAGGACAGATAGCACGTAGCGTTAAACAAAACAATAATTTCACGACCTGCTTCAATCGCCAGAGTAAGGCCTGCCCGTGACATAATTGATTTTTTTTTCACATATAGAAGGGTTGCATACCATTCTTCTAACGGATATCATCTCTATGCCGAGGTAGCAACAGAGGTAGCATTAGAAGAAGAACTACTATCTTTTTCGGTTTGCTCTAATGCTTTTTTTTTCTGTCTCTGCCAGAACATTGTTGGCCACAAGACGCGTTTTTGACGCAACGTCTGTACACTTTTCCAACAGTTTAGACAGGTCTGTTGAACTGAGCGAACCTTCAGTCCATACTTCGGTCACTTGACCGAGCGATGCCATGTAGCCAACAAGCATGAAACTAGTCGAGCGGTCTGCATCTCTCTCGTCACTCTCTTCAGGATCGACAATGCAGCTTGCCGACGGTTGTTTGTATAATGCAGATGCTCCTGTAACGATGTCAATGCAGTCAATTTTGGCATTAGCAATAGCCAATGAAGCACATGTGATGGCAGCAGCAATGGTAGCCAATTGCCCATCGCTCTCGAGAATTTGAATATAAACATCGATTGAACTTTTGGGGTATAAATGAAGCATAATACTCGGAGCAAGTGAACGTTCTATGTGTTGAGAGAAGTCTCTTTCGTTTATGTCTTGCACATTGCTTTTACGAACCGTTTGGGCAAACGGACTGAATTTTAATTCGCAAGTGAGCTTCGCAATAGAATGAAACGAACTAGTCTTTGTTGGTCTAGGACCGAAGCTACAATAGTTAGCATGCGTAATCGAGTCAATTTATCTTCGTACACTGAGCAAGCAATCTTAATGTTTCCACTTTCGAGATAGGCGTTGCCATTGGCTTTTGTTGTCCAGCCTAACTGTAAAACTAGAAATGGTTAGTCAGAGTGGAAAAAGCATTCCAGGTCAGCCAAGCTATGCCCAAGTTTATTAAGCGTACATAGACGACGGCAGGTGTCTGAATCTCTGGTGCGTTTAATGAAGGCATGATCTTCATAAACAGGTGGAGTCGAAACCGCAGGTCCGTTAATTCTTCTTCTATCAGTCATTCTGAAAATGTCTGCTAAAATTCTGGTGTAGAATACAGAAGCGCGGAAATTCAAAACCTCGAGAAAAAACTGTATGCCGATACTTTTAAGGCAAACAAACTTCAGTACTGGTCAAACAGGTGTTTTAAGTATAAAGGAGACAACACAGACTGCTATCTTGTGATTATTTCCCGATACAGCTATTCTAATGAAAAGTGAATAGTGTTGGTAGATTTGCCTTTGAGTACCACAGAGAACAAAACTGACGAGTCAAGATTGGAAATTTATGTAGGAGATATTAATTTCTCTGTTTATAATGATGAGAATCCATTCTATCCGATTTACCTTTTTTTTTTATGTAATTTTCTCTTTGAAAAAAATTCGAAACTTAATTTTCTTCTCTTTTTTTTAGTTTAAAGACAACCCATTAATAACACTAAGAAATTGTTACATGCCCCTTTGCTTAGAAAAATCACATCGCAGAATTATTTATTTACTTTAGTTTCGATAAGTTACAACCTCAATTGCTATTTTAAACAAGCCGTTGACTATACAATTTATTCTCATTCTCCTTTATTATTCCCTACAGAAACACAAATTCGTTTTCTTTTTCTCGTAGACGTTATTACCAGTCGTAATGTTTCAAAATTCCCTGTGTCGCCATCCCGCTCCTCCGAAACAGAAAAAGTCAAATTTGATTTATAAGTAATCCTTCTAAACACCAAAAATTCCGCAATTAAGCTGACTTTTTTAACGAGATTTCATTTATTATGTCATGGCATACTCTTAACTATTAAGCCTACGTATAGCGTTTCCTTTCCCACCAAGAACCTAACCCGAACCACTACATACTACTTACTATTGACGGTATAGAACTGTACTCGTTTTTTGTTGGTATCCGTTCTTAGAAAATGACGGTACGACTCTTGTTTTTTTCGAATGAATCAAGCTAACTGTCTGAGAAGACGAGAATGAAAATCGACACGTCTGATGGCGAGACCATTGACGAAAGCCTTTATTCGAGACAACTGTAAGCAGATTGGGACACGTTCAGATCCGAATTCCGTGAGCGATACAGCTAAATTGTGTATTGTTCTTCCTTTCTACCTTTTGTCCCACGCGATTCAAAACCGCAACAAAACCCTTGATTGAAGCTAACCTCTTTCTTCAGTTACGTTCTCGGTCACGATGCTATGAAAAAAATGAGTCACTCTAACGTTCTCATCATCGGTTGTCGCGGTTTGGGTATAGAAATTGCCAAAAATGTTTGTTTGGCAGGCGTTAAGAGTGTTACCATTTATGACCCTCAACCTACTCGTATGGAAGATCTTTCTACTCAATACTTTTTGCACGAGGACGATATTGGAAAACCACGTGCTGAGGTCAGTGTTCCTAGATTGGCTGAATTGAATGAATACGTGCCCGTTAAGGCAATCACAGATATTTCGCTCGAAACTCTCAAAAACTTCCAATGCATTGTGGTTACCGAAACGACGTTAACGAAACAAATTGAAATTAATGACTTTACCCATCAAAATGACATCGCTTTTATCTCCACAGACGCAAGAGGCCTTTTCGGTTACATTTTCTGCGATTTTGGAAAGTCTTTTGTGTGCACGAATACTGATGGAAATGAGCCTTTGACGGGCCTAATTGCCGGCATTGATGAGACTGGCCTGGTAACTACTCTCGAGGAAACTCGTCATGGCTTAGAGGATGGTGACTATGTCAGATTCTCCGAGGTGAAGGGCATGGATGCATTGAACCAATCTCAACCTTTGAAGGTCTCCGTTAAGGGCCCTTACACTTTTTCTGTGGGACCCCTTGAGAATATGGGTACTTACATTTCCGGTGGTTCTTTTGTTCAAGTAAAGATGCCTTTGAAAATAGAATTCCGTTCTTTGCGCGATTCTCTTGCCGAGCCCGAATTTGTCTACTCCGACTTTGGTAAAATGGATCGTCCTCCTCAACTGCATGTTGGTTTCCAAGCAATTCTCGCCTTTGCCGAAGAAAATGGCAGCCTCCCTCGCCCCCGCAACGAAGAAGACGCCGCGAAGGTACTTGCTCTTTCTGAATCCATTGCGAAGAAACTCAAGCTTGACGTTGAACTTGACAAGAAGCTCATCTACGAGCTTTCTCATGAAGCACGCGGTGATTTGGTTCCGATGACCGGTTTTATTGGTGGTATTGTTGCCCAGGAAGTCTTGAAGTCTTGTACTGGCAAGTTCTACCCTATCAAACAATACTTCTATTTCGATTCACTTGAGAGTCTGCCCTCTTCAGTTGAGCTGACCGAAGAGGAGTGCGCACCCATTGGCAGCCGTTATGACGGTCAAATCACAGTGTTCGGTAAGAAGTTCCAAGCCAAATTAGAAAACCTAAAGCAATTTTTGGTTGGTGCTGGTGCTATCGGTTGCGAAATGTTGAAGAACTGGGCTATGATGGGTGTTGGCGCTGGTCCCAATGGCCACGTTTTTGTGACCGATATGGACTCCATCGAAAAATCAAACTTGAATCGACAATTTTTGTTTCGTCCTAAGGACGTTGGAAAGCACAAGTCTGAATGTGCCGCGACTGCAGTTGGTATCATGAATGCTTCCAGCATAGGTTCCATTACGGCTTACCAGGAGCGTGTTGGTCAAGAAACAGAGAATATTTTCAACGATGACTTCTTTGAGAATCTTGACATTGTTACTAACGCTCTTGATAACGTTGATGCTCGCCAATATATGGATCGTCGTTGCGTCTTTTTTCAGAAGCCATTGCTTGAATCGGGTACCCTCGGTACCAAGGGTAACACCCAAGTTGTTTTGCCCTTCTTGACCGAATCCTACAGCTCTTCTCAAGATCCTCCTGAGAAGTCATTCCCCATTTGCACTCTCAAGAACTTTCCTAATCAAATTGAGCACACTATCGCATGGGCTCGTGACTTGTTCGAGGGTTTGTTTAAGCAACCTATTGACAATGTCAACTTGTACTTAAGCTCCCCTAACTTTTTGGAGACAACGTTGAAGACCAGCAACAATCCTCGTGAGGTGCTCGAGAGCATTCGCGATCACTTGGTCACTGATAAGCCTCTTTCCTTTGAAGAGTGTATCGTTTGGGGCCGTATGCAATTCGAGAAGTACTTCAACCACAACATTCAGCAACTGCTCTTTAACTTTCCTAAGGATTCTGTGACTTCCAGTGGACAACCGTTCTGGTCGGGCCCGAAAAGAGCCCCCACACCGCTTGTCTTTGATGCTCACAACCCTCTTCATTATGATTTCGTAATCAACGCTGCTAACCTGTATGCATACAATTATGGTTTGAAGGGAGAGGCGAGTCCTGATGTTGTGGAGAAGGTTCTTTCCTCTATCGAAGTCCCTTCCTTCACTCCCAAGTCTGGTGTTAAGATTCAGGTGAATGAAACTGATGAGGTTCCACAGGAAACTTCCGCTGACGAGAGTGAGTTGAAGACTATCGTGGATTCCTTACCTGCTCCTTCTAGCTTGGCTGGTTACCGTTTGAATCCTTGTGAATTTGAAAAGGATGATGACTCCAACCATCACATTGATTTTATTACTGCAGCTTCCAACCTGCGTGCTACCAATTACCAAATTAAGCCTGTCGACCGCTTTAAGACCAAATTCGTTGCCGGAAAAATTGTCCCTGCTATGTGTACATCTACTGCAGTTGCTTCTGGTTTGGTCAATTTAGAGCTCTACAAAGTGGTAGATGGTAAGAAGAACTTGGAGGACTATAGTAATGGTTTCTTCAATCTTGCTATTAGTCTTTTTACCTTCTCCGATCCTATTGCCTCGCCAAAGTTGAAGGTGAACGGCAAGGAGTTCGACAAAATTTGGGATCGTTTCACTATTCCGAACATCACCTTACAAGAGCTTATTGATAAGTTTGCGCAAGAGGAAAAGCTGGAGATCACCATGCTTTCGTCTGGTGTTTCATTGCTTTACGCAAGTTTCCATCCCCCAAAGAAACTTGCTGAGCGTTTGCCCTTAAAGATTTCTGATCTCGTGGAATCTGTATCTAAGCAGAAGATTGACCCTAGTGTCAAGAATCTGATTCTTGAAGTTTGTTGTGATGATGAACAGGGAGAGGATGTCGAGGTACCGTTTATTTGTGTCAAGCTTTAATATGTGCTGGTTAATGACCTACTCTTAAACGCATTTTCATGTGTTTAAATAATCAAGCATCACTGCTTGTGTTCTCGTGTCAGCAATACTTAATAAATGTTATGTAGAGTATTTTTGATAGACCTCTATTCCTAGCTGCCATATTTCACCACCCGGAAGACACATTCACTCGAAGAATGTCAACAGCTTCGAAAGTTAGTATTGGATTAGCGTCATTGTTTTGCGTTGGAATGATAGCGTTTGTTCATCAAAGTCAAGGCTCTGAGAAACAGGTTTGCTTGTAGTGATGTTTGTTTAATCAATTATGCTAATTAAAAGAATATGCAACTTGGTATTGAAAAAGACCGAGAAAGAAAACAACGACGACAAGAACGAATCAACGACTTTAATAGACAGAAACAACTCTACAGTACTTATGTTGTGGATCAGCCTGTACAGGCACAGCCAATTTCTGCACCTCCAGACGATTTGGACGAAAACAAGGCAGCATAAAGTCTTCTACGTGAGTTGATAATGTAGTACGACAATAGTTAATATTATTATGAAATTATCCTAATTTCCGCCTCTAATTGATTTAATTAAATTTTTCGTGTTTAACTGACGTAGCGTGGTAGCCGAAACAACACGAAAAACAGTTATAATAAAAATCGAATAAAAAAACTCCTTTAAAGAATGCAAATTGGCGCGAAACACTTCCTTTAAAGTTGTACATCTGTTTATATAATTCGACCGAAGTCAGGGATCAAAAACCACAATTTGAAAAGGCTTTTGTTAAGTGTTAAAGTTGTTCATTACCATTACCAATTACCACTTTTTTCAGGCATTCATTAATTATTCTGTGTCTATTTTCCAAGTTATACCATCAACCGTTCTGTTGTTTTTTATCATTTTGTTCATAATTATTCGTATATTTCTTTTGGTCCATGAAGAATGAATACACCTAATGGAAAACTCCCTTCTTCCGGATTACTGACTCCTAAACGGTTCTCGACACTTACACCGACAAGAGCTTCTATACAAGCACGGTCTAGTCTTCCTTTGTTTAATTCTGCATCTTACACGACTATCAATTCGACACCAGCAACACCTGTCGGCTCTAACCACGGCTTAAAGCAACCCAGGTTCTCTCCTCAAAACCAACGAAATGTAAATAGTTATGACGATGATAGTTCTGTCCCTCCGAGTCCCATATCTAGTGCCGTGAACACAAACGTTATCACTAGCATCCGAATTTGTCCAACAAGAGATGTGTCAAACTCAATATGGACATTCGGTGCACTTCCTTCGGACCCTCTGTATCGTTCCTTTATTCGAAATAAGTCTCAAAACTCTAGCGTCCGCGAATTTGTCTATAACAATGTCTTCGATATGTACACTTCTAATTTTGAGGTATACCAGAAATCGGTGTACGGCTTAGTTCAAAATGTTTACATGGGTTATAATGGCATTGTTTTTGCATATGGTATGACAGGTACTGGAAAAACATACTCTATGCAAGGCCAACCAGGTGCTGATGGAATGATTCCTCTTGCGGTGCGTGATTTATTTGAGCTTGTCGAGCGCAATAGCAGCTCTGACACCTTTCAAATTCACGTTTCCTACTTAGAAATTTATAATGAACGAATTCGCGATTTAATTACCAATTCGTCAGAGGAACCTCGCATTCGTGAAAATGCTAATGGTGAAGTCACCGTAACTCCTGTTGAACGCGTTCTCGTCACCACTCCCGAAGAAGTCAACTCGCTCATTGAGCAGTGCGTGGTGAACAGAAAAACAGCTGAAACAGATTTCAATAAACACAGCTCTCGTTCGCATGCAATTCTGCAAATATTTTTAACCAGGAACATCACAAAGGAAGGGAAAACCGTTTGCTCAAACCTTAGTCTTGTGGATTTAGCTGGTAGTGAACGGGCCTCTTCTGACATGGAAAGACGCAAGGAAGGAGCTTATATCAATAAATCACTGTTAACACTGGGTACCGTCATTTCGAGACTGAGTGCCACTTCAGCGTCTGGTCTGTCCTCTTCCAATAACAGTCATATTCCTTTCAGAGATTCGAAACTCACTCGGCTGCTACAGCGATCACTCTCAGGAAACGCGCTTATATCACTTCTGGCTACTATCAGCATAGAGCCACAACATGCACTGGAAACAACGAATACTTTAAAATTCGCCTTACGGACACAAAATATACCATTGGATGTAAAACGTTCGGAAGGAAATTCAGATGTGCAAACAGAACTTAGTGCTTTGCATATTCAACTGAAAAAAAAGGAAGCTGAGAACGAGTATCTTACTTCAGTGATTGCTCAACTATCTTCTGATTTAGAGCAACGCGATTCATACATTGCAATGCTTGAAACAGAACGATCCCAGGGCGCTGCAATTAATAGGGTACGGATGCGAATGGAAGAACTACTCTCTGATCGAGATTTGGAAATTGCAGACTTGAAGGCGGAATTACAGGACAAAGACAGAATCATTCACGCATTACGTTTCGCACAAAAACAAAGAGAAATTGCCGAGTACAATAACTCGCAGTTGTCCTTACGACATCCTTCTCTAGAAAGTTATGACCCATACGATGAAAATGACGATGATCAACTGATTGAAATTAAAGAAGATGGTGTGTAACAGAAAAATGGAACCCGAATTAGGGTTTCACTTTCTTCTGTAACTTTGCTTTACTTTTTTGTTGCCATGGTCTTGCTTGTTATGAGAACCCAAGCCATTACTTCTCAACTACCTAGCACTACACAAAAGCCATCAATTTCTTGCAGTGAACGTTGAGGTAAATCCATTTGGACTTCATCCAGGTTACGAAACGACAAAAGAGCTGCTATTGTAAGAAATAACATTGTCGTTTTACAAAAACGAACTGTCAGAGCGAACTTGGCTGTTTTCGTACAATTCAAAAAGCGTAAGCCTTGAGGACTTTGACTAGAGATATGTCAGCCCGTTCCTCGTTTGATGGTTTTATCACTCGCAGTCTTACGGAATTGTCTCAGGCCGCATTCGGTCTTAATGAAAGCAAGTTACCGCCGTACCTTCAAAGCAGCCCAGCTAAGGAGAAATTAGAGTTTTTCGTTCAACAGGCTTATTGTCCTCATGTTATCACTCTTGCTACACGAGAGGCGGATACATTTCTTCAATGCAAAGGATTCCGGGATTTGGTAGATTTCTTGAGACCATTTGGTGACAACATAGATGGACGTTTAGAGAACAAAATTCGTGGAGAGAAGGCCTTTAGGAACCTCAAATTCTCACTTAGATTTGTTCCACTTAATGCCGTACGTTCCCCTCAACAGATTATGAATGACAAACTTGCTCGGAAATCTTTTGATACTTCTCCCCCTTCAAAATATGCAAACTGCTTGCCTAGTGGTAATCTGGCAACCCTACAAACGGTCACAGAGCGGTTTGTTGATTATTTTTCCGAGAATGAGTTAGGTGAGGATGTTGATCCGTCGTCACCGTTTTATTACTTTTTCCAACGGCTGCTTTCTGGAATACCAGTTAGCGCCCATGAAACATTTGCACATCCGGTTGCCTCATTGCTAGTGGTGACTTCACACAGTGTAAATCCTTTGGAAGATTTTATGCAGTTATATAAACAATTGAACTCAGCAGCATTTCCCCATTTCGTATCTAGAGACTTGGTTCATTGCTACATATACCTGCATGATGATGAGAACTCAGATTTACAGAAATCGGTGGAGGCTTTTGAGTTGGTGAGAAGAAGTTTTGGAGCAAATTGTTACTTCTTGAAGTTCTCTTCTTTAAAAGATGCTGTTGCGGATAATAAAAGTGATATTGACCTGCAACAAGAAGTGAACGGAACACAGTGGAAATCTGCTTCAGAGTTGATGATTGAGATTGAAACCGGAAATAATGCCTTTGACGAAGTCCATCTACTTCCTTTACCCGACATTTTAGCAATAAAAAAGGTTGTCTACGATATGCTTAACGAAAGTATTATTCCATACATGCAAAGATGCGTACACTTATGGACTGAAAGATTATCTGCTTATCGAGGTTCCTTTACAAGCAAGCTCTTGCTTGTTTCCAGGAAGTACTTTTCTCGTCAATCAGCTCCAACGGATTATGGCCATTATGATCCTACTACTTCTTGTTATTTTCCTGACAAGCCAGAAGCACAGCTCAGAAGACTGGCAGATCACCATTTTATGCTTAGAGACTACAAAGTTGCCTCTGAAATTTATGAATCCTTAGAGAAAACGTTTTCGGATGATAAGGCCTGGTGCTATTTAGCATCTTGCCAGGAGATGCATGCCGTCTCCATGCTTATGCAAACCCAGCTCCTTACACAGAAGAACCGGAGCGTTTATTTATACCCCTTACTGGAACAATCGATGCAAACTTACATCGATCGGTGCCATATGCCCTATTTTGCTATCAGGGCGCTCGTAACTGTCTGTTCTTTATTATCTACACGGCCCGGTTTGTCCGTAGATGACTCCGTTCGTTGGTTTTCTCGGTTATTTGAGTTTAATCTATTCAGCGCCTTTGGTACAGCATTTTGGTCTACCTGTATTGCAACTTTGTACTCATCTAAAGATTCGGAAAGTGAGTCTTCTTTTGGTCAACGAAAGCGAAAAACGGCTTTTTGGTACTTGGTAAGTACCAGTTATTGGCTTTCTTTAAATCGGCCACGGATGGCGAACCTTTGTTTGCAATACGCTTATGAAGTTTATGAAACGTCGCATTGGGATGAATTACGGGTAACAATTAAAAACCTGAAAGATCAATTAGAACATAGTTTAGAGTAATGGAGTTTGTTCTTTTCTTTCCACGTAAATATTATGTTTTATATTGATTGTGCGTGTAGTCTCATGGCTTTAAGTTTACTTTCGTAATTGAAGAGGTTTACTGAAACAATATCACTTAAAGTTGTCATTGCTAGCATATTGCTTTGTTTGCCTCCTGTGGATAACTTGCGCTCTCATGAAACCGTTCATTTCTTCTAAATTTTAATTTTCCTTTTGATGTACCCTAATGACACAGCAAGAATCACAAACATTGCTAAAGTACATCTTTAGTTTGGATCCTTTTAGAGAAAGTAGAAGAAGATCCCTTTATTCGGACTTTTCCAATGCAATTCATCGAAATCCTGAGGGATTTCGTGCAAATATGGTTGCATGGAAAGATGCTCTTGAAAAGGCCTGTTACAACGGCCATTGGCATCACAAGTTATACATAGAATTTAACGATGAACTTCGGGATTCTCTTTTCTCCACTGAATATGGGAGACCATTGAGTTTGGGAGCTGTTGCTGTAATTACATTCTGATATATCTGCAATTACTAACTTATATTCGGTAGAATTACTGGCTTGACCAAGGCGACTGGGTTACGAAAAACAATCTGAAAGGCAGTGTTCAACCACAAAATGGCAATGGTTCAATCATAATGGGAGTTTTACGATGGGGATTTCGGACACTCGGTTTTACAACTTCGTCTGAGAAAAAGATTCCTAAGCAAACATACCCTAATGGAAAGCTCTTTTTGCTTTCAAATTTGCAGAATCTTTGTATTTCAATTATATCCGAAGCTGAAAGATTGCATACTTCGTATTCATCTAACATTTACTCCTATCCATCATTTGCTGAAATATTCGGTAAGAAGTTATGGGCGGGTCATACGTTAGATGAAGATGAGTTAACTGCAATTTTGTTGTACCTTTCCGGTAAATATCGACGCATTACATATGACAAAGAGGTTAGTTATTTTTTTCAGTGCCTTCTCTAACATTCATCAGGTTATCAAGTTCATATTAACCCCAGAAGAAGAATTACTAGAACAAATAGATCACTCAATTGCTAAATTGCGACAAGCAAGTTTTACAACTTCTCAAAGACTTGAGTCATTGAATGATCAAATTGAGAAGCTTACTTTTAAGCTCAAGGAATGTCTGGAGCAGAAAAAGAAAAAGTCCGCTCTGAGTTTGCTCAGAAAGAGACATTTTCTGTTTTCCAATGTGGAACAAAAAGAGGGAGTCTTGCTACAACTCGACAGTCTTGTTTCCAAAATTGATGAAGCATTGGACAATCGCAATATTGTCGACGCTTTGTCGACAGGCGCGGAATCGTTGGGCTCTATTTTGCGCTCCATGGGAGGTGCTACAAATGTCGATTTGATCCTTCAAAGAGTAGAGGAGCAAACACAAGTTGCCGATGAGATAGCCGAATCCCTGTCTGCTGCTGCTCCTCTTCAAGAAGATGAGGATATTGAGAAGGAATGGAACAAACTAGTAAAGGAGGAACAGAAAGAGGAGGATCTTGTTTCATTGTTAGAAAGAACCTCATTGCGTTCCCCGTCACATCCTATTACCGCAAGTGAACCTGAAGTCAAGAATCCAGAAAGAGTACTAGAACCGGCAATGCAATCATAATAACTCGAAACTCAGACAAATGCGAACAAGCATATGCAGTCATGAAATCACCTCCTAACTATGATTCCCCTTTCATTGAAGTTGCATTTTATATAGTAATATTTATTAGATACATCATATTTATTATAGCCGTGTGACTAACGACAATCTTTTTTACAGTTGATTATACTTGGTGAACGTTTCAAAAAAAATAATATTAAAACTATTAATATGCTTGTAGCAATCATTTCTACTTTTGTTAGAGCGTATTTTCAATAAATCAAGCCGCTACCGCATCTGTAAATTTAATTGACTTTTGACCCAAGTGTTCTGTCATAATTCTACCAAGATGTCAATTATCTTGGAGCTAGATCAAAAGCAGGACTTATCGGCCGTTATAACACAGCTAGACGATTTTCAAAGGCGAGGAATTACGGAAGAAGTTTTGAAAAAGGTATTTTACCCTTATAGTCCGTTCATTCTAACAAGGTAGCAATGCTCTCTTCTCGATTCTGAAAAACAGCAAATTCAGCACGCAGACTTTGGTAATTTAACAAAATTACGGAAATATCTAACAAATGATTTGGTTACTATTTTAAAAAAAGGTAAGACGTTATTGAGTATACATATATCAATGATGGGAATGTGAAGGCTTACCCTGCAGATAACTCAAAACTTCTTCAATTATTTCAAGAGCGAGCAGCTCGTATATTTCATTTACTCGAGAAAACTGGCTTGCGGCCAAATCAGCTTAATCATATACTTCCTTTATTGTTTGACATTGCGTGTTACGATTCTTGCCCTTTTACGGTTGCGTCCTCTGCTGCAAGAAAACTTCTTACGACAATTTTTAACGGGTGCCAGAAAGATGTTTTGTCACTTTACATTCTTGAAAATATTTATCCAAAATATTTCGCCAGCAATGAACGATTAACAAATAGCGGCCGGAAGTATGAGTATGAACTCCCGCCCGCGAGACTTCAAATACAAAATTCTAAAGAGTTATTTACTTCTTCTTGGAAAGACATCTATCCATTGTTGCCTTATTCTATTATATGGGTTATACAATCTATGAACGTATGTTAGAAATCAAAACATTATTACGAAAACAAATTAACAAATTGGCTTTAGGCATATTCAGTGGAAAAGTATTGGCATCTGCTGATCCCTCCGATCCTTGTATCTTGAGACATGAGTTGGAGAACAAGAATGTTGCTTTACAAGTGATAAGAGCTCCTAAACAAAACATCGCTGGACTTTCTCCGATATACACGAATCAATGAATTATTTGAAACAGATATCCTTCCATTGTATTCGTATCTTCCTCCTCAATATAGGGAGGATATGAGCAAACAAGTTTTACAACGAGCGTTTCTTGTCTTAAACAAACTGCTGAAAGAGGAACAGCTTGATTGTTTGCTTACGCAGTCCATCTTCCCTCTGTTCACGTATGCAAACAATTATCCGGGTATTTTACACCAAGCTTGCAGTCAAATTGTCGATGTGTTCATAAAAATGGATGACAGAGCGCTCGTTTTCTTAACAGTAAGTGAGATAAGGCTACTGAATCTGTTTTGTTATTAACTAGTATTTAGCCGTTCATTGATAGTGTCTCTTTCGTTCTCTCTGATCCAAGAATTTCCGATGCTAACGACAGTTTCCTTGGTATACTCGATTCGCTGATTCAAGTTCTGAGGATGTTTCCTCAACGAATTGGCACACACCATACCAAGTTACTTAGGATGTGGATTCTGTGCAACAATCATTTAAGTACAGACATTTCACAAACGGCACGAATTGAATCTCAAAACAGACTTAATTCGCTACTGGACCTCATACTTCAGAATTTAGATGACACATTTGCGGCAGACATCAAGCTGATATCCGAGTTTCTTCCTGAAAAATATCGACGTTCCTAGACTTTGTTTTTCTTTCACCTTAACATATACCCACAACCCTCCCACCGAACGACTAGTCTGTATTGCCACAACCCTGTTTCTTCATCTATCGATTTTTTCGTGTCTGGAATATGCAATTTACTGACGAATTAGCTATAAAAGATGTTGGTTCATATGGAATCTACAAAAGACGAGGAAGAGTTAAATTCGTAAAGTCAAAAGAGCTTACATCGTCTATTCAAACAGAAGAACATACTGGAGCCAATATTTCCGAGTTCTATCGCTCACTATTCAGTGAACGGACGACAGATCAAAACAAGCAAGTAGATACACCTCTTGCAACGCCACAAACATATACTTGCACTGTTTGTAACTTAGAAGTTCCGACTGGCTCTCGCCTCAAGCATGAGCAAGCTACAGCTCATTTGTCCTCAAAAGCTCATATACAAAACAACTACCGTCCATCTCTTATAAAACAGGGACACATTGGGTACGAAACGATGTCGAGGTTAGGATGGTCACCAAACAATCAAGCCGGCCTCGGTGCAAGCTCACAAGGACGCATCTACGCTTTAAAAACAGACAAGATAAAAAACGACTCTTTTGGAATAGGTTTTGACTATACAGTTAATACAATTAGAAAACAAAACCGGCAATCGCTAGGAAAACGCGAATGTTGCCGAATGCACAAGGAGGAAGTACGTAAAAAACAAATGCTTTTACAGTACTTTTCGCATTAACGCTCCTTTTCTCTTCTAAGAGAGAGAAAAAACATCAACTCCATAGAGGAACAAGCAGTTCACACGAGAAACAACTTTATTCCCGAGACTAGTGATTGTGCTTATATGAAAAACAATGATGATTACAAAGAAAGAATAACTGTCAAGTCGTCTCTTGACTAACTTTCGTTCCCACAGCACGGACCTACTTATAAGGTCAATGTGCTTTATGAATGATTCCGAAACATAATAGAATCGGCAACGCGTTTTACAACGGCCTCTGGAAATTTTCGTTTGGAAAGCTCCTCAAGAACGCGCAATGCATTTTTGCGGTCGCCACATCCAAGGTATGCTTTTGCCATGGTTTCATATGTACTGGGCTCTTTTCCATAGATACCTTCACCATCGAGACAGTTATAGAAGTAACGTGCTGTCTCAATTTGCTTTGCCTTAAAGAATCCAGTAATAAGGGAGTTAACGATATACGCATTAAGTCTTATTTCGTGCTTTTCCATGTCCTTAATTACTTCAGAAATCTCATCAATATGACCATTAGCAACGAGAACATCGATGTAAGTTTGAAAGAGATATCCGTCCAGTGTAAGATTGCCCTGCTGGTGCATTGATAAAGCCGCCTTATATGTTTTCCGTGCTTCATTCATTTTTTTCATGATGCAACCGCAAATACGCATGTACGCAGAATAGTGCATAGCTTGTAGAGCACATTTATTATGCTCCATTGACCGCATGACACCTTGAACAGCAACGAAATCAACTGGCTCCAATGTTCCATACGCATCGAGCAAAAGCTTGTAAGTATGAGTAGATGGCTTAATTTTATGTTTCCTCAATCTTTCATAATACTTCAGAGCTTTGTCCCGGTTGTGAAGTACCTGGATTTCAAACTGTATGATAGTATTGTATGGGGCAACACGCGCCTGGTAATTTGGCTGCTGCTCCATTTCCTCAAATAGTTCTTCAGCAAGCGTCTCATCGCCAATCCGACATGCGGCGTTGATAACGGTACCATAAGTTACACTTGATGGAACCAAACCCAGAGACTTCATTTCCTCGAACAAAGTTATACATTCAGAGGTGCGCCTAGCTCTGCCAAGTTTTGAAAGAACCGTGTTGTATAAGAAGACGGAAGGTCTGACATTATGCTCTTTTGCTTCTTTGAAGAAGCGTAGAGCCTCCGCCGCATCGTCATGCTCCTTTGAATCAACAATATTACTGATAATATGCGCATAGCTAGACGCACTAGGATAATAACCCAAGCGAGCGATAGTGTTTTTCAACCGGAAAGCCTGCTTGTTTTTCTTTTGCATGGCAAAAGAAGCTAACTGCGTATCAAGAATAGCAGCTTGAAAAAGCTCAGCATGCCGTTTGAAATGCGGCATCATCTCCTTTTGCAGCGTCAGAGAGTACATTCTCATCTTTTCGACAGCTCCAAAGAGGTTAAATTTGATAAGCGTCTGACTTAGCAAAATGTACACAGTGGGCAAAAATAGTTTGCCATTGTAATGTGCTTTCGCAACACGATTGTAAAAGCGAACAGCAGTCGCCCGATCAACAATGCCTTCGAGTACAGGTATTATCTCTCCACTAGATTCAATTTCAATCTTCGGTATGTGGGAACGCAATGCAGATCTACTAGGAAATGCATTCCGCATCATAGCAATATCGACTGAAGGCATCCGATACGGCGCCAACAATTCATCAAACGATTTGATACCCTTGAGCTGAGTAGAATACGTGTTAAAAACTTTATGTACAAGAGCATGATCGCGAATCGTCAACGGTATATTGTGTTTTACAACGAAAGAGAAAGTGTTTCGCAAGCTCTCGAGATGTTCCGAGTTCTGCGGAACCTTGCAAATAGTGAAACATAAATATTCGAACAGGTAGGACCACAACTCCGAGTCACAAGGCGCACTTGGGTCCTGAGAAGCTAAAAAGCAAACCGCTAATTCGGCGGCGTAATTCAATACAAAATAATGCGGTTGGTTTTGGAGCATCAGCAATATCCGTAACGAAGAATCCATCTTCTCGGAATTCAGTGACAAACAAGACCAGAAATCTTCCAAAATGGCTTTCTGCAAAGTAGGATTGTCAACATCGAAGTGTGAGTCAACAACCGGTGTCGAAACGTGATGCTCCAAAACATCCAATGCATCGTTCAAACGTCCATTTTGAATTAATCCAAGGTAGGCTTCCTTGAAAGTACAGTTCGTCCACATAGATAAAGAACGAAGATAATCATTAGAATCATTGATAAAGGCAGTAAACTGTTTGGTTGCTGCCAGGTACAAGAAGTAGTTCATTAAAGCCACATATTCCTTCCGGAAGGCTTTCAAAGGAATCATTTCCAACAGCTTGTCGACAACAGTTGACACGCGTTTCTGTGCTGCATTGTTTAGTATAGTGGAGCCAAGTTTAGGGACCAAGCTAGAGGTCGATTTCATTTGTTGAAGCCGTTCCAACCAGCTCATGGCTTTGTCAAACTCGCCAAGTTCAGCAAACCGCTGTCCAAAAATGTAAATGAGTGAAGGCGGAACATCGCCTTCATCTTCTTGCTCCAATCGTGCAAAAAACTTGACCGCACGGTCAGAATCATCACAGTCGAAGCATGCTGTAACCAAGGCCGCATACACATCGTACGAAGAGTGTGCAGGTAATGTGTTAAAGCTGCGTTTGTACTCATTGAAGCACTCAATCGCAACAGTTAAATCTTTCGCGCGTCCAAAACCCCGAATGAGCGAAATGAACGTTTGTGCCGTTTCGGGAATGCTGCATCTTTGCATATGGTCATATACCATCAGCAAGTCATCAGACGATCCGTACTGCGAAATAGCAGACAGCACCTCGTGATAAAACTCAGACGACAAGTTGCGTTCATATGAGTTCCAAAAGCGCTTCAGAAACGAGGCCAGGAGATTCATGGATTTGTTTGCATCGTAAAAACTGCGGATCTTGGCGAGCTGTTCCACGCATACAGAGCCTCCGTAACAACGAGACTCAAGCACTTGCTTGTGCTGGGCGATCCAGCGTGTCTGTCTGCATAAAAACAACACTGTCTTCTCGAAAGCTTCAGAGCTCGGGGCCGTTTCCAACACCTGGAGCTTCTCAAAAATGCTCCCAATCACTCTAAATGCGTTGAGGAACTCTGAAAGCTCAAGCGTGTCGGCAATGCCAATCAGACACCGATCATAAAAGTCGGGACTAACAGGGAAGCCAGAATTTGTGACGAAGTCGAACAGCTGCAGCACTTCGACCTGCTTGGAGGCAGCAGCCGGCACCACTTCCGATCCCAGCAGATACTCCTCGCTGGAAGCGTTGTTGGAAGATGTTGCCGAGCTACAGCTATACAGTGTGCTCGACGTAGTCGACGAGTGGATGGACGAATGAAGGTCTTGAGATGGCGATGTAAGCGGAGACGGCTGGAAGCCGACCATTTGTCGTTCCAGCGGTACGGAGGGAAGAGCATTGGGCGAGGGGACGATGGTCAGCATGGGCAATTGCGCGGGTTTCAGCTTGACATGCTTTTTAAAATCAGCATCGCCGAGCGTGTCGACATCTGAGACGTTTTTTATAGTAATGGCCATAGCTACTTGCATACTTTTCGCGTTAAGAGGTCGTTAAACAGTATGAACGGAAAGAGAAAGAGGTAGAAAAAGAGAACAGGAACGGAAACGGGAACTGGGACGGATGGGAACGAGGAAAAACAATTAAATATGTTTGCGGGTACCACACAAAGTCAGCTGTGTCCTAGTACTGACGATTGCTGCGATTGAAGACCCAGCGATGATCAATAAAGACTCAAATATCCGCCGACAGGCACGTTGTACATGCCACGAATGAACACAGGAGTACACAGAAGCAGAGTCCGTATAGAGGGGAGAATGAGTACCAATTCCTCCCAGAACCCACACTAGAACAATTCGACACCGGCGACTGGTCGAATACGCGGAAATACTACAGATTTACAAGTCTTCTCGTGTTAGCAATACGGTCATACAGTTTCCACTCAACCCCCACGCGACCAGCTCGTACAATGGTGACAGTAGGGCCAAATATAGCTTTTCGACGAGAAAACAATTTCTCAGCAGCGGCCCAATATTCAATTGAAACAGAACAGTAATTGTTCGTCCAGTGAAGTGCTTAGGTCCACAACCACCGCTAGCGGTTCTGATTTATGCCGGATAATCACATCGTGCGCTCGTATGCCTAAAGTGGAGAGATGAGTCGGACCGTGACGAAATCGCCTGATCCTGAAGTAATCGGCAGGGAAGAGTTAGAGCATGGGTTCCGTAAGACAGGGGAAGGCTACGTTTTGTCGTGCGTAAGCGGAACGAATCTGCGTACTAGAAGGTTGAAGATGCTGCCAAAGGTAAGGGCCATTACCGTGCTGGTGAGGATAATGACATTGTACGGCATACTGAAGTCGGGGGTCGGAAGAGATAACAGGAGCGAGGTTGTACGGAGTGTGGAATGGAGCGTTGTGTTGTCGTAGATGGAGATTATAGCGGGTGGAATATCGAAACCTCGATTGGCGTCGGGTGGGTATTCGTGTAGCTTGATAGGCGATTTTTCGAAGTCGGTGATGATTTTGACGCTGGTGAATGCCGGAAGGAGGAATTGGAGCTCGAGAAAGGAATTATGGACGCGGTCCTTGAAGGGACGATATGCGATCTGGCACAGCACGTCTTCCTTGGGCAGCAATGTATCGTTGACCCGCACCTGGAGCGTGTGCAAATACGAATGCGCAAACCAGGGCAGCTGGCTCATTGCCGTAGCCGTGTAGTTCTTGGGTTGGGGATTTGTGAGCATGAGCGAGATGCCGCTCCAGTGATTGCCGTAGTTTGTCAGCGCATAGTCAGCTCGAACAAGGTCGGGGTGCCGCTGCTGTAATGTAGTGAAAACCACATCGTCCTGCAGACGTCCATCAGACAGCCGGTACCATGCCTCAGACTGTTTGTCGGCGCCGACGACGAGCACATCGTGCTCGTTCGTCGACAGCGGACAACTCGGCTTTGGCGGCATGCCGAAAAAGTCGTAGAAGTGGACGGCGAAGGGGCTCCGAATGGCTTTCAAACAGGTCAGCGGATCTTTTCCATGTTCGCCGTCGCGGTCGCCATTGTCGTCGTAATGCTCGCATTCTTCTTCGGGCGGGTAGAAGACCGACTTGTCTGGGCGTCGCAAACGACGCTCGACGTCGTGAACGGCTTGGATGGTGATGACAATTTGTGTGCTCGTAATGACATTGGCACCGTCAGTGCGTTCACCCTCGTTTGATGGGAGGATGTCGAGAGACAACGAGTGCCAATTGGTGTCGAAGAGCAAGTGCTGATTGATGAGAGAGGCAATGCCAGACTTCGTCTTGCATGGGAGCAGCTTGAGAAAGGGCGTCAAGTTTTCTGTACACACGCTTTCTTGCGGCAATGCGGCAAAGTAAAAGGCATGGTTTGGCTGAGACACCTTTGCCTGTAGAGGAAGCCGCGGTTGATATGTGTTTGTGCTGTCAATCGTGTCCAAGGACGCACAGAAGATGCCGGACAATTGGTTTGTCAATTGGTACCAATGCAGATTGTCACGTTCGACTGGCATGTACGACCACAACTCTAGCCCAGTGCCTCCAGAACTCAATCCTTGCTTGGGAATCTCACCCCAGAGCTCCACGTCCCATCGACCCCGTGTAAAACGCAGATGCATTTCTGCGACCTGGTTTTCCTTGATCAAGCGTGCAATCTGCAACGGCACGATCGTGTATCCCGGATCAAAGAAGTCATCCGTGCTTGAGTCGTGAAGATCGTTGACATCTATCGTGAATTCGAAGGTCGAAAGAACATGTTTACTCGTCAACGGTTTCACCGTCAGCAATTCTCCATAATTCTCGCGAACAAAACCCCAGCAGACGCGTACACACAAAAGCAGAGCAGCAAAGAACTTCATCCAGAACGATATTCTGTGTAATCACGCATGCAAACGCAGCTGCCAGCTCTAATGCGGTTTGTTTAGGCTTGAAGTGCGACCGGGGTAAGAATGAACTCTAACCTAGGTTATACACACATAACCTAACTCACCACCATGTAACCTAGGTTACCCCCTGAACCTTGTCCCAGGAGGGTTCCAGCGGCGCGGGGGGCTACACCACACGATAGGATATAGGGCCCAACCTAGATATTGCTTCCTGCTAAGTACATACCACTGCGTCCACACGCAAGAATTCGGTGAACTGTATACAAACACCGTTTTCCCTGGCACTGCCGCAGTCCTTCCACCACTGGTCGTTTCTGTTGTCTCTTTGTAAAGCACTTTTCGGGTTCTGTGCACTGTACGCTGACAATTGGTTTGTTCTGGCGCGTTCCAAACGCATGTCTAGAGAAAGCGTTGTTTGCTTGTTTCTTATTGGCAATTTGGGTAGAAAAACAGGCTTTTAGTCTTCAAGATGCAGTACAGAGATCCTTCTTACACGAACATTCCTTCTTCATCGAAGAAAAACGAAGATTACGGTAGTGTACGGTCGGTTTCACGGTCTCCCATCGTTCCTTTGGGCTTTGATGAGCGATACTACGATCTACATCCCACTCGTACTGCTCCCAAGCCTCCGACTGCGACTACACGTACGCTTTCGAGTGGAAGCAGTGCATCGTCGGCAGCATTGCCAGTGTTTCAGGTGACAGCGAACTCTTCTCGTGTGCCCGGTGCTCGGAAGAATAGTATTAGCTCGATGCGTAAGACACTCTCTACTAGCTCGCAGAACAGCGACTACCACTCTTCCCACATGGAAGAGAAGAGTCCGAAGAAGACAGCGTTTGGTAGCTTTGTGTCGAGCATGAGCTCTTTGCTCAGCGGACACAGTTCTGCCTCGTCACAGCGTAAATCCGGCACAATTATCTCCTCACCATTCGACCCCAAGCATGTTACGCACGTTGGTTTCAACTACGAAACCGGCGAATTCACTGGCCTGCCCAGAGAGTGGCAGTCCCTGTTAAGCAGTAGCGGCATCACCAAGTCTGAGCAGGTTCAGCATCCACAAGCTGTGTTGGATGCTATGGCTTTCTACACCGACTGCCAGAACGCGCAGGACGGCGACAGCAGCCCCAACGGTGTGTCCTCCCTGCACTCAGGTTCGCCGACGCCGACGATGTCTCGCTCTGCGTCGGCGTCTTCGAACCATCATTTGTCGTCGAACGAGGAAAACAACATATCTTCTCGCTTTAACACAGCGATGCAGTTGCAGCCCTCGCGTCCCGCTCCGGCTCCTCCGAAGCCCGGATCCATGAGCAGTCGGATGCATTCTCCTTCTCCCACCCCGTTTGCGTCGCAAACGCCACGTGAACCCAGCTTGCGTAGTCATTCGCCCGTTCTCGTGGACCATAATGCATACCCTGCAAAGGCTTCTACCAAGTCTTCTCCGAAGCACTCGCAAGGTGCTCCGTCGACGCACTCATGGTCCGGTAAGCAACACGGACACACGAGTGCAGATATGGCGACGAAGGCCTCGTCAGCGGCTGCTTCGGACTCTTCCCACCACCATCATCACACTCATCACCATCAGCACAAGACTGGTGCTACGGCTGCTGATTCTGCCGCTCCTCCTTCTCCCGGAAAGCAGCGGAAGCGCTCCCAGCACCGTGGTGCTAACGATGCTTTCGTCCTCAATAAGTTGCAGAGCATCTGCAATCCCAAGAACCCCACGCTTCTTTACCGCAGCTTTGTCAAGGTTGGACAAGGTGCTTCCGGTGATGTGTACTCCGCTCGACAAGTCGGAACTAACTTGTCTGTGGCTATTAAAAAAATGAATATTAGCCAGCAGCCCAAGAAGGAGTTCATTGTCAATGAAATTCTCGTGATGCGCTCCAACCGCCACAAGAACATTGTCAACTTCATTGACACGTTCTTCTACAAGGGCGAGCTTTGGATGGTCATGGAATATATGCGCGGTGGCAGTCTCACAGAAGTTGTTACCAGCAACACCCTTTCCGAGGGTCAAATTGCTGCTATCTGCCGTGAGACTCTTGAGGGTCTGCAGCATTTGCACTCTAACGGTGTCATTCATCGTGACATTAAGTCCGATAATGTGCTGCTTTCTCTGCAGGGTGATGTTAAACTGAGTAAGTTCTATACAAAGGCATTTATATGTCACGACATTAAAAACGATGTTGCTAACTTGTTGCAGCTGATTTTGGTTTCTGTGCCCAGATTAATGGAGAGGTTGCCAAGCGTACGACTATGGTTGGTACGCCTTACTGGATGGCACCCGAGGTTGTTACTCGTAAGGAATATGGGTATGTATCAGCATGTTGCTGTGCGGACAATCCTTTTTTACTAACTATTTTCGCAGTTTCAAGGTCGATATTTGGAGTTTGGGTATTATGGCTATCGAGATGGTTGAGGGCGAGCCGCCTTACCTGAATGAGAACCCTCTCCGCGCCCTGTACCTTATTGCTACAAATGGCACTCCCAAGCTGAGTCATCCAGAACGTCTTAGCCCTGTCTTTCACGATTTTTTGTCTTTATCCCTTAACGTCAATCCTGACAAGCGTCCTAGTGCCGCTGATCTTCTGCGCCATCCTTTCCTTAAAAAAGCCGTTTCACTGTCCTCCCTTTCTCCGTAAGTACAGTCTTCACACGCTTGTTGTTAATTCTTCTTTACTAACATTTCTTCTCTTTAGCCTGATCAAATCGATTCAAAAGCCAAGCAGTCTCAGTTAAGCTTTTGTTTGTGTTGAATATATGTGAATTGTGGTATTCATTTTTCTCATACACAAAATATAGCTTTCCCAAGACGAGTGAACATGCCTTTTTGTTGACCAATTCTAATGATGGTATATGAAAACCTTTTCAGCCTATTTATTACTTCGTGTAATGCCAAACCGCTACTCTGTACACAAATGAACACTACCATTTCGCAATCTCTTATATATAGATGCAGTATTGTAATTAACATGGGAATGGCTGCACGCCCTTTGTTAGCCTTTAGCAGCGCCAGACTGCGAAGACTTGGGAAAGAAGACTGGGGGAGGGGGCTACCCCCTATCCCTGTTCGCTAACTCGTTGGTGTTGTTGTTAGCTTTGTACCCCCGTTAATACTACACCAAAACCTCACCACCAAAAACACCCCCATCAAGTCTAGCGGTACTTGGTACTATCGCTGACGTGGTGGACGTCGTTGACAAGTCCTTGTCCTCGTTATGTCCTCAATCGCCCGGTTAAGCTCGGGTTCTTTGTTTAAGAATTTGTCTTCAAAACTTTCATTTTTACAACTACCTTCAATTCGAATACTTCTTCCAAAATTCCTAACAGACCTTCATTGGATTGATCATGATAGCATTTTATTAGCTGCGCCAAAAAAGAGAAAGTCTTACAGCCGAAAGCGTATGAGACAGCTCGCGGGAAAGGCACTAGTGAACAAAACAAATATTAATCGCTGTCCGATTTGTGGAGGGTACAAACTCGCACACAACCTTTGTCCCATGTGCTACAAGAATTTACGAAAGGAATGGAGAAACTCATGCGATGTAATTAATAAATGAACGGAACGTGTGTTTTCCAACACAACTTTCAGCTGGATTATGTTCTCTATGCGGAGCCCAGAGCTCATATAAGAAGAGGGTAAATATCAGGTAATATTTAAGTGAAGATTGATCGTTATGAAGTTAGAAGCATTTAATCATACATTACACCGTGAAGACAACATAAAGAAGGAATAAAACGTGAAAGCCGACTACCGCAGTAAGGACAGACGAAGTTAAAAGTAAAAGAGGGTATGTGTAAGAGGAATTGAAAGAAACAAGATAAAGAACAATCCGACCAAGAACAGCGGTAGCCGATGCAACGAAAGGAAAAAGGACACCGGGTAAAACAACGTACTGCTTTGTTTCAGTGTCTTTCTCGTCGTCATGGATGGCTGCACTCAGTATACAGCTTCGGAACCCAAGAGGTCCCATAATGCTGTAGTCGTTTTGTTGACTGCTGAAGTACGGTTTAACCAACACGGATAATTAGTAGTAAAAAAAGTAAATAAATGGCAGAAGATGACAGCCAACGAAACGTGTGCTAAACCGTGCTGCAAAGCAGACAGCTCCTGCGAGGATGACCCAAATGCAAATTAGCAGATAGTTAGCAGACAAACGGGTTAGTACGTCCAAGCATGGATGTGAAAAGCCGAACATGCAAGAATCTTCGAGTGTGGGGATGTGATGCCATGAGCGAAAGTGGTAGCGACAGAACTCAGGATCTCCAGGATTCAGCGTTCATACGCTCCCGGCGAACATGGTCCTCACGGACAGTCTGGACTCCGTTGCAAGTGCTCGTAGCGAAACACTTAACAACGTGGTACATTTTTGTGCCTGGCAAAGACACAGTGATGGAGGCAGGGCGGCTGCGTTGTTGTTTCGACGAATACTTAGCTTCATCGATGCGCAAGATTTCGCCTTCTATGGCGGTACCATTTTTGTTGTAGTCAACGACAGCGTGGAAGGGCGGCACCTTGGGGAGAAAAACGCGAATGTTTCCCTCTTGACGGTGACGCTGCAACCACGCCTTTCGAGAATAGTTAGTCGTTGACGGAGATGTCAAAGGCATCGCCGCGGACGAAGTCGCTGTTGCAGGAACAGAAGTGCTGATCGTAGGCACAGCGGGAGCATGAGGAAGTATGGGGAAGCTAACGGTAGGCGTAGTTGAAGCAACGCGAGCTCGACTTGTAGGAGTCGAAGCCATGACACCGGGCGACTCGAAGACGTTGCCGTTAGAAATGGAGGGCGCCGTGTTAATGGGTGGTGGAACCATAGGCGTTGAACGCTGCTTATAAGCATTGTTGTCCAAAATAACGTCCTTAATGCTCAAAATAACCTCATCAATACTACGAGACTTTGTGTGTCTGCTGGTGGGTGGATTAGCAGGCATCTCACGAGTAGTGGATACATTCGGGACTGCTTGTTCAGGCTCCTCAACCGTGTGAGTATTATGTATGGGTACTGACTTTTTAGCCTTTACGGGACGACAAGTCGCGCGCCAGGAAAGGTCACCAGTAACGGGGGTTGCAGGCGCAGGTACATTAGAAGCGGGAACAGGCTCTGCACTTCTGGGAGAAGCGTCATCGCCAGTAGCGATCTGGGTTTGAGTTTCATCGGCAGCAGGAGGTTTAATATCTTCCCGCTCAGGAGAAGCGGGTGTGTAGTCGTTTGCTGCTGTCTGCGTTGTGACAGGAGCCGCAGCGGCAGGCTTACTTGCAGAGGACTTAGCGGCGAGAGATTTGCTTAATTCTTCTGCCTTTCTCAAAGCACGCTCCCGCGACTTTCTCAATTCTTCCTCCTCTCGTTTACGCCGCTCAATGGCCTTCTGACGAGCCTCTTCCATAATTTTGTGCTGCTCCTCTAACAACTCTTCGATAGCTGGCTCCTGTTCAGTGGGAGCCGGGGGCCGATTACGAGAAACAGAACGAGCGGAACGCTGAGAAACAGTTGTAGAAACAGAAGACCGACGGGAGGCACGAGAAACAGGTTCATTATGTGTGGAGGGAGGAAAAGCCGCGTTGGACTTATCCATAGGTTCCTGGGCTCTCGGGGCATTCTTATGAGTTGCGTGTTGTGAATGCTGGGACGGCGGGTATTGCTGATTAGTGGGAGGACGTTGTTGATGATACATTTGTTGTTGATGTTCATTTAACGAGTCCCGTCGCCATGCCGGGCGAGACCAAGCAGCGGGTCTGGGCTGCTCGGAGGTTGAGGCGTCTACAGGTGCCGGAGGAGCACCAGAATTGAGACGAAGAATCGTAGAATGAGATGTGGTAGTAGAGTCAGTTTTCGCAGCCTCGGTAGCGAGAGAAGAGTTGCTGGAAGTTCGCGACGCTTCAAATAGAGTAGCTTTCGCTTCAACTGCTCTAGCAGCTGGACTGGTTTCTGCAGCAGCAGCGGCTGCAGCCGCTGCTGCGGCAACCGCCGTTTCTGTTTGAGCAGCAACACTGACCAGATTTGGCGGGATGTGTACTGGTTGGTATTTGTGCGTCTTAGCATCAATGACTACCGTTGTTCCATCCTCAAACTCTATTGTACTACCCCAGTCGTCATCGTCATCATCGTCAATTTCATCCCACTTTCCTTCCGACACGTGAGACGTTCGACGCGACTTGGTTGGCGAAGGGAGCCGACTGGGTGAAACTTCACGGAAGTTTGCTGAATGAGGAGACTGTGCCCGCGAAGACACGGCAGATGCTGCGGCCACGTCAATAGGTTTTGGTGGCAGTGTGTTTCGCAGAACCCTGACGGCAGATTCACTGTCCATGGATTGAACCGAGTTTGTAGATGACAACGTCGTAGCCGGTGTCGACACCGAGTTCCGATGACTGACAGAGGACGCTGCGGCAGCAGCAAACAAAGGTGTTGACGCGTTTTCGTCTGCCGCAGCAAGTGGTTCAGACGCGTTTTTGGGCTTCTCAGCGGCGGCGGAGCCACTGTGACCGGACTGGAGGGACGTGGAAGAGTCAACACGATGTGTCCATGCTGTTTGTGTGCCATTGGACCGTGACGACGCGTTGCTAGCGGCAGAAGAGGCAGACGAAGAAAGTTTAATTGACAGTCGCACCTTACTATTACCGGTCGTGATAGTTGTAGTCGCCGACGAAGGCTCTGTCTTCGCGACCGACGCGGTCCCCCCATTTACTTTTGTGGAGGAAAGCTTCGCAGGCTGCGTTCCTTGTGCCTTACTAAGATACGTCTTGTTTATGGACGACGGTTTAATTTTAGGCTTCCGAAAAATGAACTTCAGAGGATCCGCCTGGTTGGATTCTCCAGCTGGTTGAACCGTCGCATCAGCTTGTACATGTTTCGAGGAACTCTCCATCAGGTAAGGAGGTTAGCTACTGTGCAAGCACGTACTTGTTATGTCCTAGAGGGTGATGGCGGAGGGAGTGTTAGCGGTGATGGGACGCGCGTTTAAGCTGCTGTGGGGGCCAATAAGAGCACATGGGGCGAAAGTAGGAAATAGCTAGCGAGGCGTTTAGTGGTGGTACGATTGCGCTACCGCTCGTTAATTGGCTTAAAGAGGTTTGATGGTGTGCGCAAGAGGGAATAATGCGGTTTGACGAGATTTTAGGTGGAGTAGTGTAGCGCTTCGCACTGCACAGCAGTGCGAAGCGCTTGCTTTTCTGAACTAGCGAGGTGCACGGCGACAGTGAGGTTTGTTGCTCTACGCACTGCTCGCACACGCCTGTAATGCCCGCTAACTGTTCCCTGTTAGATTCGTTTCATTCATAGCATAACGCAGTCCACTGCAGTCGAACGAGCTAGTGCTCGTGTGCACTGTGGTGACGAAGGTGAAAGTAGTACTCGGAAGCGTAGGAGAGCAAGAAAATGCCAGCAATCAGGTGCAGCACCGGCTTGCCACTCGCCTTCTTTCCGAAGTATTTGTTGGAGTACCAGCCCATGAACGAGTTGTACGTAGGAGCAGGTGCAGGGCCCTTGGGCAGTTTGGAGTAGAATTGGCCCAGCTCGCTCAGTGTTTTCGCATTTGGATCCCTCCGGACGGCCTGCGAGAGTTAGCAACTACGTGAGTTGGATTGGTGATGCTGTGTACCTCGAAATTGGCAATAATCGGCGGAATAAACTTGAACGGCGTCATTGCTGAGGGCGAGAGGAAAGACGGCTACAGGTTAGAAGGAGCAACTGCAGACGATAGTGAGATCCAACGTTATACAGTAGAGTGTTTTAGCGACTTTTAAAGACTCCTTTATCCAGAACACCGGGAATTACTGAGTTACAGTAAACCATGATTGTGACCTCTTTTGTAGCACGTTAAATGTGCTTAACGCACCACTTCGTGCTGCACGAACTGCGACGAGGGCTGCTTACGGGGCTGGTAGGGTCTCGCGCTTGCGAACCTCATAAACCAGCCTGTCCAGCGCTTCGATTCGTCGCGTCAATTGTTGCTGCAGAACGGCGTTTTCTTTGCGCAATTGCTCCTCTTCGGTTTGTTTTTCGTCGATTTTCTCTTGGAGCTCCTTCACTTGTTGATATTGTTGCTCCGGCGACACGGACACGCCTGGTAACTCTGTAATGAGTTTCTCAATCTGCTGGAATTTGAGCACAATGTCATGAGCAAGGTCTCGTTGCGAGACTGAATCGAGCGAACGTTAGCGACGGAAGAGACGATGGGAGAGAAGACGCGTATTACACGCCCATATGGATTCACATACACGCAAGTTCCTCTGCTGGCAGTGGTTGAACTAAACAATTTGTTAGTTCTCAATCGACGCGTCGAAATGCAAACGCGTAGGGACGTGTCACGCGTACCACACACGCGTCAAAACCTTATTTCAAGAATCTACTGTCGCAGACGACGTAGCCTCCGCCACATACCGTTTGGGTCTGAGAAAACTGTCTGTCCTGGCCATAATGGCTCGAAGTTGTGATGTGAGCTGAGGTAATGGATGGACGAGTAAAATTGAGTCGTCACCTGAGCAATTTCCGTTGTTAAAAGCTAGTTCGTCCCCGTCAACGTACCTCATCGATCGTGTCTTGCAACTGTGTGCATTTACAGGCCATGACGGTTCGTAGCACACGCACGGTAAATAAACCTTGGATGTGGACGGTTCCCCAGACGGCACCCACATATATCCCACCAAAGCCCACATGCCGTGCCTTCCCCCCACCCGCGTCTCTTCCTTTTCCTGCAACGCGCTGTAACCTGCCAGCCTCGCTATGTCGTCTAACTGGGAAAAGCTGCAAAAGGTACGTGGAGCACTTCCCTTGTAGCCGCACAAAACTCAGAGAACTGTTTTGTGTTTGCTGTGCACCTGCTTGCTGCCAATTCGGCTTCTGGCGCCTGTGTTACTAACGCGTTGTAGACGCTGCTGAAGTCCACAAAGAAGGGACGAGTGGAAAAAAAGAAAAACAAGTCAAAAATAACCAATTTCGTGACGAAGAAAGCGAGTCGTACCGACACTTCCAAAAGTTCAGAACATGATATTGCAGCAGCCGTGCTGGCTGATGCAGAAAAGAAAAAAGACTCCAACGATTTAAGGTCGTTCGTGGAAGACAATGACCTGTCTGCTAGCCAAATTATCGCTGCATATGGAGACGATGCCTCCGGTCTGGTGAAGACCGTGAATATGGACAAGCTTGGCAAGTATATTGCTATGGATTGTGAAATGGTCGGTGTTGCAAACGACGTCTCTGTGCTCGCCCGTGTCAGTATAGTCAACTATCACGGCCGAGTCGTCTACGATACGTTTGTTCGTCCAAAAGAACGCGTCCTCGACTGGCGAACATGGGTTAGTGGTGTCAAGTCGCATCATCTACGCGACGCTCCTTCATTTGAAGAAGCTCAAAAAACGGTGGCAGACATTTTGGATGGGCGTGTGCTTGTGGGACACGCAGTGCACCATGACCTTAAGGCCTTGTTGCTTTCCCATCCTCGTCGCATGATTCGTGACACGAGCAAGTTCCCCGGTTATAGAAAGCTCGCTAAGGGCCGAACACCGTCTTTGAAAAAACTGACTCAACAGCTTCTGGGCAAGGAAATTCAGACGGGTCAACATTCGTCTGTCCAAGATGCCCAGGCGACCATGGAGCTCTACAAACGAGTCAAGGCTGAGATGGACGAGCATGTTTTGAAGAAACATGCACTTCAAGCTCGTGCCACGAAAGAGTAAGGTGAGGGTAAGAACTCATGCTGTTTCTCATAGGGTTCCTAGAACCACCTCCTCAACCACACACCCTTTCCGTTCAAGCCACCGGTGGTGCCTGCCTGCCGACCTTCCTTTCTTTCTTCCTGTCGTTCTCCTATACTTTCACTTTCCCATACCCTCTCCCTCCTCTTCCCTGCTCCGGTAACCCCCGTTCCCCCCACTGGCCCCCTCCCCCATTTGAGTTCCGCGGTCATCCCGTGGTGTCACCTCGGCCACTCACCTACTTAACCCACTGCACTTTACCACTACCACTTAGATACCTCGGTTCTGTAAAAACGACGGACGTAAAAAATGGACTCTGGAGCCTCGAGATTCATGTCAGACAGACGCAGCCGCTTTAAAGGCAAGGGTGTTTTTAAGGCTGACGAGCTGCGTCGTCAGAGAGAGGAACAGCAAGTAGAGATCCGCAAGCAAAAACGTGAGGAGAGCTTGAACAAGCGCCGTAACCTGAACACGATTATCAACACGGACATGGAAGATTCTGGCGATGAGGAGTTCAAGGGTCAACTGGAGCAACAAATGGACGATGAGTTCCCTCGGCTGACAGCCGCCGTCATGTCTGACAACATCGAGATGCAGTTGGACGCTGTTACCAAGTTTAGAAAATATCTTTCGAAAGAAAGCAACCCTCCCATCGACCGGGTGATCAGCTGCGGTGTCGTGAACCGCTTCGTACAATTCCTCGAATCCGAACACAGCTTGCTTCAATTTGAGGCTGCATGGGCCTTGACAAACATCGCCAGTGGAACAACGGAGCAAACGCGCGTTGTTGTTGACGCCAACGCTGTTCCCCGCTTCATAAATTTGCTTTCGTCGCCTGAGAAGGACGTGCGTGAGCAAGTCGTTTGGGCTTTGGGCAACATTTCCGGTGATTCGTCCGCCTGCCGTGACTACGTGCTCAACAACGGAGCTCTCGAGCACTTGTTGTACATTTTGGAGCACAGCGCTAACGACACTTCCATGTTGCGTAATGCTACGTGGACGTTGTCAAACTTGTGCCGTGGCAAGAATCCCTGCCCTAAGTGGTCCGTTATCTCGGTTGCCTTGCCCACCCTGTGCAAGCTGCTGTACTCTGACGACGCTGAGGTGGTTGTGGATGCCTGTTGGGCCATCTCTTACCTCTCCGACGGTACCAATGAGAAGATTGGTGCCATCCTTGAAGCTGGCTGCGCTCCCCGTTTGGTCGAGCTTCTTAGCCACCCCAACACGGCTGTGCAGACACCTGCCTTGCGTTCTGTCGGCAATATTGTCACCGGCACTGACGCCCAAACTCAGACAATCATTGACTGTGGTGCTTTGAGCGCCTTCTGTAGTCTTTTGGGACACCCCAAGGAAAATATCCGCAAGGAGACGTGCTGGACCATCAGTAACATCACCGCCGGCAATACTCAACAAATCCAGGCTATTATTGATGCCAACATCATTCCTCCCTTGGTTCATCTCCTTTCCTTTGGTGACTATAAGACGAAGAAGGAGGCCTGTTGGGCCATTTCTAACGCTACCTCCGGTGGTCTTGGTCAACCGGACCAGATTCGCTATCTCGTCAACCAGGGTGTCATCCGCCCTCTGTGTGACATGCTCAGCGGTGCCGACAACAAGATTATTCAAGTTGCCTTGGATGCTGTCGAGAACATCCTCAAGATTGGCGAGATGGACCGTGCTATGGACAGCGACAACATCAACCGCTACGCCGTGTATGTCGAGGAAGCTGGTGGTATGGACAAGATTAATGATCTTCAAACCTCTGCCAACAACGACATTTATCTCAAGGCCTTCGGCATCATTGAGAAGTATTTCAGTGACGAAGAAGGCATTGAGGAACTTGCTCCCGAGACGCAAGGCAACACATTCTCATTTGGTGGTGCCGGTGCTGCTCAACAGCAGACAAACTTCAACTTTGAGTCTCAAGATATGGCCATGTAAGCAAGCAACAGCCCGACTCCTTTTAAGTCTTAATTGTTCTTGAACAACCTTTATCTTTTTCTGTTCCCCCGTATCTTCGTCTCGTCGCTGTGCTGGACGTCGGAGCTGGGGCCCAGAATTGCATTGGCAGTTTGGTGCATGGTTGGTTGGGCCCTGTTACTTGCGTGAGCTGTTAATGGACGTGTGCATGCATACACACATTGTATCGTATTTGTCAACCGTCAGTTGTATATGACGCTCGCAGGCACTCTTTCACCCTGTACACATTCGTACGCCTATATGGATACCACGAAGCTACAACCTGCAGGTCACGTCTCAGCCTGTTGGTGTCTACACTACATTAATTGCTTCATAGAATGTTGCATTAGGGAATGCTAGATTAGGTTTAAAAAATTACTTCATAGAGCTTTCGAGCGTTAGAGGATGCAGCGGCTGCAGTATGCAGATTGTTCGTCTTTGTCGTCTCGGCTCACGGTCCGTCCGCCGCCTGCTAGTGTTCTTTTCCGTTCTTTCCTTTCTATGTCCCGTTACCCACCGTCATCACCCACACCAACTGCAGGTCCGACCAACTCTCCGCGTCTGCACCCTGACGTGCATGTTGGAGTATAATGACGCAAGTTCGGTCGGAAAATCCTACTCCTCGTCACGTGACGGTATTTTCCCGGACTATATAAACAAAGGACACGTCCCCTCGGACACACCTGAAACGTTAACCCTACCTTTTACAGCCGCACATACTTTTTGGGAGTTTCGTGCGTAAAGATTCGGTTGCCGTCGTAGTCATACATTCCTTAACGATGTCTTTTAACCTTGCTTCTTCCCTGCCTGCCTGGAAGGCCCTTAAGGCCCACCACGAGAGCGTTGGCTCCAAGCTTATTTTGAAGGACTTGTTCGCTCAAGACCCCAAGCGTTTTGAGAAGTTCTCCCTTAAGTTTGAGGGTTTGGCTGCCGAGGAGGGTCCTATCCTTTTCGATTTCTCCAAGAACTTGGTCACTGAGGAGACCATCAAGTTGCTCGTTGACCTCGCCAAGGAGGCCAACGTTGAGAAGCTCCGTGATGCTCTTTTTGCCGGTGAGCACATCAACTTCACTGAGGACCGTGCTGTCTATCACCCTGCCCTCCGTAACTTGTCTGACAAGCCCATGAGTGTCAACGGTGTTGATGTCATGCCCGGTGTTCGCAGCGTCCTCGCTCACATGAAGGAGTTCTCCGAGGCCGTTCGCAGCGGTGCCTGGACCGGTTACACTGGCAAGGCTATCAAGTCCATTGTCAACGTCGGTATTGGTGGTTCCGACTTGGGTCCCGTTATGGTCACTGAGGCCTTGAAGCCTTACGCCAAGCGCGACTTGGAGATGCACTTCGTCTCCAACATTGACGGTACTCACATGGCTGAGGCTCTTCGCAAGTGCGACCCCGAGACCACTCTTTTCCTCATCGCCTCCAAGACCTTCACCACTGCTGAGACCTGCACCAACGCCAACTCTGCTAAGTCTTGGTTCCTTGAGAAGGCCGGCAACCCCGAGTACATTGCCAAGCACTTTGTTGCTCTTTCTACCAACGAGACTGAGGTTGTCAAGTTCGGCATTGACGCTAAGAACATGTTTGGCTTCAGCGACTGGGTCGGTGGCCGTTACTCTGTCTGGAGTGCCATCGGTTTGAGCGTTGCCTTGTACATTGGTTACGAGAACTTTGAGGCTTTCCTCTCTGGTGCTCACGCCATGGACAAGTACTTCTGCGAGACTCCCTTGGAGAAGAACATTCCCGCTTTGGCCGGTCTGTTGAGTGTTTGGTACTCTGACTTCTTCGGTGCTCAAACCCAACTTGTCGCTCCTTACGACCAATACCTCCACCGTTTCCCTGCTTACTTGCAACAATTGAGCATGGAGTCCAACGGTAAGGCCATCACCCGCACTGGTGACATGGTTGACTACACCACTGGTAAGATTCTCTGGGGTGAGCCCGGTACCAACTCTCAACACTCTTTCTTCCAACTTCTTCACCAAGGTACCAAGCTTATTCCCGCCGATTTCTTGATTCCTTTGGAGTCCCACAACCCCATTGATGGTAACAAGCATCATCGCATGCTTTTCTCCAACTTCGTTGCTCAAACTGAGGCTTTGATGTTGGGTAAGACCCCTGCCGAGGTTAAGGCTGAGGGTGCTGCCGATGACCTTGTTCCTCACAAGACCTTCGTTGGTAACCGCCCCACCACCTCCATTGTTGCCAAGAAGATCTCTCCTGCCACCTTGGGTGCTTTGATTGCCTACTACGAATGGGTTACCTTCACTGAGGGTGCTATCTGGAACATCAACTCCTTCGACCAATTCGGTGTCGAACTTGGCAAGCAATTGGCCAAGAACGTCTTGAAGCAACTCGAGACTGAGGGCCCCGTTGACAACCACGATGCCAGCACTAACGCTTTGGTCAACTTGTTCAAGTCTGGCTTCTAAGCTGCCTAAGGCCATTGGCTTTTATGAAACGTCATGTTTGTTTTGCTCGTTAATTTGGGCAAGAAATGTATGCAAGCGTGAGCATTTAGACCCTTGTTTAATTTTGTTCACACTCCTAGCTGATATGCAGCCAATAGACACAAACGCATTAACTGCACGTTGAGGATGGTTCATTTGTAAAGGGTACTACGATTGAGACCAAGCTAAGCGAGCGAGGTAAACGTTTTAAACTTAAAATTAATTAGGTATCTGCGGATCCCCACCTCAATTTATTACTTAAAAAGTCTATTTTAATGCTTTACAAACCCGAATCCATTGATGAAACAAAAATACCGAGAGGCTAAGAGCAAATAAACCCTTTGCCCCATAAACTGATCCGTTAAAACTCCCAACTTTCTTCCAAACCGGCATCAAAAGACACCGCTTCAAACTCAAACGCCGGTTCACGCTTCAATGGCCGCTTCAGTTCAGCCGAGCACATAGTCTGGTAGCCATGGTCAAAGAAATCCTCTAACTCGTAACGTGGCTTGGTGAACTGTTGACTCATGATGGAGGCAAGACTACCAATGTTAGAATGGAAATGCGTCTGCAACGAAGCTAACTCCCACAGCGAGGATTCGAGTGCACCTGTATGCATAGGGTCAACAGCAGCCTCGTCAAAGGGGTCATCTTGCAGGTCTCCCGGCTTGTGGATCATCTGCATACAGGTTGCGTGACGCTGCAGCAAGTTATAAATGAAAGGCACAATAATGGCAATGGCTCCTGGAGGAGCAGACAACGCCAGGCGCGAAAGACGTTTAATGAATGAAGCCACAAGAGCTGCGGGTAAATGAGTTGACGACAAAAACAAGTCGAGCAGACGGAAAAAGCGTGACCGTGAGCGAGAGAACAGAATGTTCCGATCAAGCAGAGCATACAGCTTGGGATAGAAGAGCGGGTAATCCAAGTTGTACTGCGAGATGAGTGTGAACAAGCCGTTCAATGCTAACAAGGCGACAGTGTGATGCGAATTGTAGGCATCTGTCAAAAAGTCCATCAGCAACGTTGGCTTTGGCAAGAATGGAATGATACGCTTGTGCATAACCGCCAGAATTCGCTTAAAAGTGGGTACAGTTAACGGAAGCTGAAGCGTTGGGATCAGCATTTCCTGAAACTGTTTCTTCAACAAGGCATCATCTGTCGTTTTTTGTGCCAGGCATGGAGCCCAGCTGGAAGAGTCGTCGCCGGCGACGACTGGTTGAGGAATGGCGCATACGATGCGAAGAGCATTGTAAGCAATCCGTTCTTTTTTTGCGTGCTTCTCCTGGAGACTTCCAGCAACAATTTTGGATGCGTTCTTGTAGAAGAAGAAACGCAGATCACGGTACTGAATTAAGTAACTAGAGACAAAGTCGTTGACGCAAACGTCAGACAAATTCTCTGCATAAAGAAGTGTAGAACACACACGGAAATACAGTTGGTTCAGCAAGGGACCGTCCAACCCCTCTGCCTTCGAAAGACGAAGTAAAATTGCGAGGAAGGAGACCTGAAGTTCGTCAACATCCTCACCATCAAACACTTGAGAAATATGACTTGTGAACAGCTTAAAATTTTCATTCAGCCATTCACGCACAGCGCCTTTAGCAGACTTAGCAGCGTCTCCGTCCACACGTCGAAGAGTGCCATCTTGCAGGAAATGAGAGAAAACTCGGTACAGTGCAGCGGCAGCCTCGTTAACCGTTTCGAGAGATCCAGTCGAGAGATCAACGAGCTGCAGCAACTCAACAATGTTGTTGAGATTTTTTTTCGACTTGAAGATGTCGGCTTCGAGGGAGGCAACAGACATGGTGGACGGGCGGCTCTTCGTGAGCATGCCAGAGTCAATGCTTCGTGGTGGTTTTGAGACGCGAGCCACGGAGTGTATCGTTAAATCTCGTTAATCGCTCTAAGATGTTTTACTGTTGCATTTTATGAAATCGTTAATTTTCTTTGGCTTTCCGTAAATTGGATTAACGAGCTCGGGGTAGTTAACTTTATTTATTTTAAGGATTTGTAACGCATCGCAACGAAGTTGAAAACAATAAGGAAGAACGGAATAATTGAATGTTGCAGTGGTAATAGAATGGTAATGGTTAGCAGATATGGCATGTAAACTGTCCAACTCAGTAGTACATTTCATATTTTTGCTTTTAATAAATCAGTCTCTGAAACAGTACTTAATCTGTGGTAGCTATCCAACGTAAACAAGTAGTTAAACAAGGATCAGTTGTTTTACTCAAAGTATTCATAGTGATGTTTAAGGGTTATGTCTAGGGTTTATTCAATTGACGTGCTCACAGAATTGTCTCTTGGGCGTTCCAACTAAGACCATTTGCAGAAGTGTAAATAAAGCAATTGCAGTGCTAGGCTGGTATTGGTTTTGGTCCCTCCTATTGTAATTGTACACATAATTTAGATGTCAATCAACTCAAAGTTATTTGCTGATACCTTGCATCGGCATTTCAACTTTGACTAAATAAAAGAATCCTCCTTGCTAGGGTCAATAAAGCCTATAGTTCTTTAGTTGCAGTTGCAACAGCATGGAAAGGTGCTGCGGCTACGTCCAATAAAGAAACGTTGTTTTATACAAAATATAATATCCATTATACATCTTGATGATAGCAGCTCTTAATTAGACAGTGGATTATTCAAAATCATTAAGCTCCTCCTCAATGAAGTACTTATCCATAAACTGCCAGATATCTGAATGTGACATTTTTAAATCATCAATAGCCTCTTTAGCATTTGTGCCAACTAGACAATAATCATTAGTAATCCGAGTCGTAAAGCGGTAATGGGATTCACTAGAAGCCCACCCAAGACATACCAAAAGGCATCGAGTTGAATAATGCCAGAAGTTGAAGAATTGCAGCATATCTTTGAGCAAACACTTCACTACTATTGTCTTGCGGTAACGGTTCTGCAGGCACAGACGCTTGTATTGATGTGGTGTCAATATCTTTGAGTAACATTTTACGCAAGTTAAAAGTAACATCAAGACGCGGTTTGGTAAAGTACTGAATTAGTATAGCCATGGAGACTGCCGCAGCCTCTCGAACACAAAGCCTCTCCTCATGAAGCATAGTAACAAGTGTTTCTAGTACAGATAACTTCGTTTCCGTACTCACAATAAGTGAATGTTGAAACATGAACGGAGGAAGAATAGCAAGAACATGCAAACGCTGGCTTAATGAAGTCTGGTTTTTCAAAATAGTTGTGCATGCTTCACAGAAGTCTTGCGCTATTACAGACGGATAAGTCAAATTTCCCAAAAGATGAAGCAAAGAGGTCGCTGCTTTCCGCAAATCTTTGTCGCCCTTCACATCTAACATATGGAGTACAGCGGGAAAAATTAACCTCGAAACCATAGGCAAGATGGCGAATCCACAGGGTAACATTATTAGCTTCTCTGTCCAATAAACAACTAAGCTTGCATAATGTGCATAATCCTTAGAACTTGAGTTATCAGTTGCATGAATACGCAAAACACCCAATTCCTCATATGCCTTCGTTAAGGCGTTGACTTTTGTAGTAGGAATCTTTCCGAAAAACAAACCGAGTGGGCCCGCTAATAAATTGGTTTTCAATAAGGCTTCAACACAATCATGGGACTCGTGGATTTGAGCGTGTTCAACTCCTGCTAACACAGAAGCAATAATATCTCGATGTGTTTCGTGAGATTGCTGCAAACTCGGAAGCAATAAAGCATAAACAACTTGGTCAAATTGAAAATGCCAGCCCACTGTTTTGATTAACTCACTCAGTAGGTCGAGCTTTGAGTCATCCAAAATTCGATGCAAGGATATATTTTTAAACATGTTGACCAATACATTATATAGTGGCCAATAGAGTATGGGATCAGAATCTGAGAAAACCATTTGAATAAGAGATTTCCAGAATTCTAAATTTTCCGATGATAAATTGTTTTGCATAACAGTAGTGACAAAAGGCACAATCCAATTCCAATGCTTTTCAGCAATTATCCTCCTGCATTGTGACAAACTCTTAACAAAACCAGTGAGCAGCTCCATGCCTGCCCGGTTTCTTAAGCGGTCAGAAGACAAGCACAGAGTCGCAATTTGTTTATGCAAGAAGCTTGAAGAGACACAAGAACCTGCGTTGAAAAGGATTTTAAATAGCAATTCCCATGTATAAACAATGTTACTTCGCCATTTCAGTTTAGTAGCCGAATCATCATCAACTTGTGGATCCCGAATTAAGAAAATCAGTAAATTCTGTAACCAAGATTCGTTAATTAATTTCAAAGCAGTATCAACCAGCTTTTGCGCAGCCGAGAAATCCACTTGCCCGTTGTAATTTTGCTCATAAACATCCAAAGTATCAGGTATAGCAAGCCAGCCGGGATATGACGCTCGAATGTAATGTATTTTTTTGCTGCCCGTAAATTCGAAAATAGTTTGCTTTATCTGAGCAATGTTATCTGGTGTTTTCTTCAATCTTTTTTCACTAGGGAGATGAATGTTTTGAGACAGTAGATCTTTCGCATCACCTTTGGATAGAGATACCTGCCAGACAAAATACAAAACTTCAAACAATCCGGCAAGACAGTAGGTTGCAGTAGTATAGTTTGATGAGATTATTCCTTCACTAAATAACTTCAGCAGTCTTGATGTTGGAGGAGCAAGAAAATTAACGGACAAAGTATATAATGCGTGTAAGATCAGCTCTTGCGTTTTGGAATGAGCATCGGGAAATGTATCTATGAACTCATCCCGAGCCATGCAGGCTATGTTAATATCTCTTTGCCTTTGTTGTTCTGTCGCAATGATGAACAGTCGCAGTTCTTCGTTTTCAAACTGTGAAGGTATTTTAGGGACGAAGTAATGTTCATATATGGGGAAATAGGTTTCAGCCCACATTTCTGATGCAACTTCTCTGTAAAGTTGCAAAGCTACCGTCTGAAAGGCAGGCTTGTCCGAGTTTCGCAATCGAACAATAATTTGAAGCACTGGGTATAAAAATACCCATTGCCGCTTTATTATGTTCAGTAACGAACGAACAGTGTACAACGCATCAATTGATCCCTCCAGGACGTCAGCATTCTCAGTTTCATTGAGAATGCTTACCAAGAATTGAAAAAGTTCTAATCGTGTATCACGGAAGAGATCGTCGCAAGATGTCAAAGAGGCTTGAGCGATAAGACGTACTTTATTATGATTTGAATAACAAAGCTTGATTTGCTGCTTATATATATACATTTCGTTTGAAGTGAGAATTCTTGGTACGTACGACAGGCGAAGATGTTTGAGGAAACTAAGTTGAATCCTCTTTTGCAAAAGCGTTGTATTATATGGTTGTTTCGCTTCTTTAAAGCAGAAGTACGAAATCAAAGGACTAGAAATGATGTCGATTTCTTTGAAACGTCTTAATGATTTTGAATACTCATAATCAATTAAGTAATACTTTTCACAAGCAACCACATTTTCCAAGATCATAACATCATAGCCAGGTGATTTGAAAACAGCATTATGAATTTCGACTAGTAGAAAACCTAAACGCTTTCTTAAGGCCTCCATAACGGAGTTCTGTTGAGGAGATATAGTCCAACGACTACGAGCTTTTGAGCGTATGTATTGATAGTCTCCGGTGTACGTGTTGTACTCGTCATGTTTGTATTCTGGAAGAAACTCTATATCAGGAATTTGAAAGAGCTCTGCCGACGCTGAACTTAACAAGCGCAACCAATCAAGGTATGAACAGACATCATCAACCCATTCATTTGTCACTGCAGCTGATTTCTGAGTGATGACTCTCTGCTGTAAATAATCCATACATAAAGACATATACCGATCGCATATGAAAACAGCTAAATCGATTTCCTGCTCAGAAGGTATATACCAGTGTATTTGAAGACACTTATTTTCATAGGGTTTCCCCCATTCGGCTATAGGACGATGTAGTCGTTTTGTAAAATTCGTTGGATATGCCGAAATTAAGTTGAATACCAGTTGGTGAACGAAAGATGAAGCTAATGGTTCCGTAGATCCCCTGCACAAAAGTAATCTGTCAAGAAGTTCCTTTAACTCACACCTTTTATCCAGGAAATATTTTCCATTAAAGTCAATAATACCATTTAGAATATTCAGATTCCAGACTAGTTTACAATCGTCAGCTATATTTTTTTTCAAGTAGTATTCAATAGACGGGTCTGCGTTCCTCTTGTCAATTTCGACATTAATATTATGAGAAATAACAGGGTATAGTGTCATCCAAGTTTTCTCCGGAGAAGCATGAGTAAATGCAGCACAGACCTTATTAACAGCATTGACAGCCTGGTTAACAACGTTTGTTGAAAGAAAGTTGCAGAGTCTTGAGAGTGTTAAATCAAACCACTCATCGCTCAGAGCAGGCAGTAATGACTCTAATGTCATCGATAGACACTGTTCAATATCTTCTTTACTGTAGTCAGTGGGAAAATTCTCAAGCAGCGCATATATGCGATTCTCAAAAGCATGCAACCAATTGCAAAAAGTAGTCATTGAACTAGTCATAACTTTATCGTAGTCAATAAAAATGGCCTTAGCATCATCATGCAATAGATAATTATCATCATTCATTTGTCTGAGCTTGGTGATTTCTGACTGAAACCATTCGAGGAATATGCCAGAGCCCAGTTGCTCGTCTATATTGTAAAACGAAACACAATGCGAGACAATCGCCACGAATTTTAAGACGAGTTCTGTTCTTTCGCAAAAGTTAGAGTCGATCCCGGGAAGAATTAGTTCCAGCAATGGAAGAATATGAGGCTGATATTGCTTTGTTCCAGCTATTACTTGAGCTAACGAAATAAGAGACTCGATCGAGACAAGCGCGTTATGTGATTTAACTGATGATTCAAGGGCTGAATAAATTCGCTTTAACATACACGGAACAATTGCATCTGGTTCAAGAATGGCAAGAGCGCGAAGAGACTTCTGCGCCATGGTTCTTAAATACTCTTCTGTAGAGTGAATGGCATTAAGTACAGACGGTTTAAGTATTTCCACAAACTCTTTTTTTATATGATTTGTCAAGCGTTTCTCTCTTGGAATAGTAACATCCTCGTCGTTTTCATATGTCCAACGTTTGAGAAAGCATTGTGAGAGTTCAGCGAGAAACTGAAAAAGCAATTCATTTCCTGGTTCATTGGCAGATAGGTGATAATAGGGCGTAAGCAGGTAGAAAAGTTCGTTCAGCATAGTGAGAATATTATCCTCAGTTTGCTCGCATTTTAAATTCAGTGAACAAACAATCCATTCGGCAAATTTTGAAATAGCGTTCGAGTTTTCAGCGTCAAACATATACATAGCCGTGCGTTCTTCCGAGTAAGGAACGAAGGCCACTCCATCAGGTGGATACACATTGAACTTAGACATGACCGTGTACTGCTTTGAGTTGGAAAAAAGTGACATTCCTTCAGGGTCATCCGCATTGAATAACCGGAGACCATAGTGAAACAAGGTTCGTGCTTGTTCAGGCGTGAAAATACCATATTCAGAAAAGCTATATTTAAAGCCGTCATTAAGACCGCTGACAGCTAAGCGAGAAAGAATATCAAATAGCATTGTGTCAGCAACAACGTTTTTTGTAAATAGACTGTGAAGATGGAAAATAGTCGGGAGCCATGTCTGTGGATTCAAGCTGGGAACATTTGTTAAAATTGAAGTGGGAAGTAATAAAGATAACATTCCAACGGCAGCGAGTGCATCTGTAAAGTCGGATAAGGAAAATAATGGCAATACTTCATTCAGAACGTTATTCGTTTCTTCCGCCGGGAAAAAAGCGCTAGCTGCACGAATTAAAACGGCATCAAAGGAGTGCCTAGAAAGAACAGAGGTTGTGCATTGTTCCAAACGAAAAAGCTGTTTCTTCATCAGCTTAAAAGCCAACCGCCAATCTAGCTGTAAATCGGCAACAGTGAGAAAACGTCTGTCAATGGGATGCTCACAGACATTGCTTATACAGCTTTCGTCAGGACATGAAGGAAGGTCTACGAGCATTTTAAACCGATTTGCAGCTCTATCATCTATCCAATCTGGAAGGTTTAGAGACATTGCAAGTTCGTAATAGATTTCCATAAGCGTAATATGTGTCTTTCTTGGTAATCTGTATTCTAATTGAAGCCATTTGTCCAGCTCATTGTCCCACTTGGCGATGCTTGGCCAATTGCAAACGGTAAGAGCATTGAAAAAATGACTAATATAAATTCAAGCTTTGACAACTGTTCTGACCGAGTATCATTTTCGAAGGGAAGATGTTTTAGGACGTCAAAAGTGAATCTTTTCTTGAAAAGGGCCGACATTTTGTTATAAAATTACGAGAAGAGTCCTAGAACCGAACTTCGCATAAAGTAATATGTCGATTGGCCTCTGTTTTTCTTCGTTTTTGTAAAAGTCTGTGAGCAATTTATATGCTATTGCTTCACACAGCCTGTATCGCCGTATTAATTGGGATTCGTTCGTGTCCTACGAACATATACCAAAGATCCCAGTATGGTATAGCATCTCGCCTAATATCATAGCAATTATTCTTCATCAAATTTGGACTGCGTTTCAGCAGATACATTTAACGCGACTCATTACTCTTCTTAAACCTTATTTTTAGATGTCGGTTTTGAACTGCATTTTGTTAAAGCTCGTTATCGTAAAATTTAGGTGACTAACCAAAATAAAAAGGTAGCACATAGTACAAAAGGACAGTAAATTTAAGAGTACGTCGGAGTAATTCACGAATTAGTGCGACGTAAGCATCAGTCCCTTTTTGTCATCTAATAGTTGCCAAGTAGAGTCAATTCCGAAAAGAACAATTAATTTATTCATAATAATACTCGGTGGAGACAACCATTTTAATTCGCAAGGCTCAAATAATCCGCCAATAATTTTTCAGCATTGGGACTAATTATCGGTGGTTATGAGAAAGCTCTATGCGTTCTTTGCTTTCAACGAGTTAATGAGAAGGGTGGATTATCTGTGTGTATGCGTCCATTTCGATATTAAAACATGAAGCTTCATACTGTCTCGTACGGACGCAATACTTTCAGTTTTTTTACAATCGACAATTGTATGGATTGATGACAGTTAAAAAGTCTTTTATTTTCTGTTGTATTTTCAATCATAAGCCCTGTCATTAAGTTTATCAATTGATGCAAAAAGAGGCCGAAATTACTCTAAAAGAAAAAATGTTCTGCATAAGTCATCGTCTTGCTTGGGCTGCATAAAAAGGGCCTTTCTGAAAATGTAAGCTGTGGTTGATAGGGATGAATAGCTTGTTGCTTGTAAAGAAACTACTGTATATGATTAAGGTTTGTATCTCGAAGAGGTAGTTACTTATTTATACTTCTCGTCGTATACAACTCGCTTTGCTAATGTACAACTCTGCAAGATAGCTTACCAAATAAAAGTCTCATAGAACAACATTAGTTAATTCCTTAGCTATTCAAACACTTTGCCGCTACGGTTTTCTATTAAGAGTAGTGTACTCTCGCTTTTCACCATACACCGTGATAAAGTGCTAATTGTTGAGGTAATAATTTGACATTTTGTTTGTTGATACTGATACATTTAAACAAACGCTGTTGGTAGTAGAAACGTCAATGTTACCTTCCATCTATGGCGTTCGTACTCACCGAAATAAAATAGCATACGCTCTTGTACTGCTTGGACATTGAAAAGCTCTCATTAATATTTTTTTATGCTCTCTTCGTTACCCTTTCTATGCTCCTGATATGTGGGAAATAATAAGTGTATATTTACTACGTTCCTTGACTATTTAGTTTTATTCATTTACATTTTTTTTTTTTGATAACGAATGATCGTTCAAAAAGGTCGGTATAAACCTTGATCAGTTATCGCCTTACAAAAGTCCATCCATGATGAATGATAAAATAGACACTGAATAGAGGAGTTTTAGTAAAATTTCTGTAACGTTTTGAGAGCTGTTTTCATGACTCCGTTTAACTAATAATATTCGTAGTAACATCAACGTTATCTGAATGAACTACAATAAACGAGTGTCATAGTTTTTTTTAAACCATTACAGATTTTGTAATTCGTCTATCGACCGTATCAGTACTGAGTTTGCGTAGAGGAAATATTTATATCATTGGTTTGAAGTCTAAGACTTGAAAGTGGTATATAAAAGAAACGTTAATGAATATCAGTCTACTTCAATGCCTATTTGCAAAAAGTGATATAAGGTTTTATACATGTCAAGCATTTCGATACATTTGCAACAAGCTACATACCGATGGTGTCTGCAGTGATGCCAATAAAGGAAGCACAATAGGAAAGATTAACATTCTCTAAAGCTGCTTTGGCATTGGAACACATAGAATTCCATCAGTACAAATTGTTTTCACTAAATCTCCGTCTCGCTCAGGTACCCTTCGTCATATAGCAAGTTTATCAGAGAACAGTGTTCTTTACGAAACTATCAAAATGCGACTCTCTAACGACCATAGGTAGTAATCCCCGCAGCTGTTCGCTGTTGAAATTAAAGCAAACGTCATTTTTGTAATAGCGAATTGCCCCATTTCTCCCCTAACTCAGGGTCAATCCAGGGTGTTAGAATATTTTGTCTCGTTAGTGAACGTAATATCTCGAATCGCTTATAGTCATACGCAACAGTGCGGAATCCCACGAAGTCAGCTTATAGGAACTAGGTATCACGCATTGCTCCTTACTAAGGTTATTTTAAATATGACGATGCAGGGAAACAATTGGTTGTTGCGACGTTTCGTCTTGATGATTAGGGTTGTCCCACTCGCTGACCCTTTTCGTTCTTCGCAACAAGCTATGATTGATCAACTTTCTAAAACAGTTTGTCGCTAAAAAAGGAAAGCCGGCGATCCGACGAAAAGGACTGCAACCCCTTACAGTAACTCGTTGATCCTGTGAGTGCCTGTGCAGGAATTTTGCAAGGGTTGACCCCGTAAGAAACGAACAAGGCAGCGTGTAGATCCCTTCGCTTGGCAAAACTTTTGTTGGTGAACTGGATTTGATGCTGTGATAAACAATTGCAGTAGACAATTTAGAAAATGCAATAGGGAGTTTGTCCCAAGGAGGTAGGCTGTGCCTCTTTTTCATGTTGAGACAGATGGGAGGAGAATTGCGTAAAGAATAGGTATAAATACTTGTCCATTGAGCACCTCTTCCACCATCCAAAGACGAATCAATTCATCTTTACAACAACTACTACTTCAATTCTCAATATGAACTCTACTGTCGCTTCCAACAACACCGCCGTTGACGTTCTCCCCACCAAGGGCGCCAAGTACCACCCCACCCACTGGCGTTACCCCAACATGTGGTAAGTACAGGGACACCGTTCGCTTAGATAATTCGTCGCAAAGCCGACACTAAAATTTCGCCTCGATAACCTTATTCCAATGCTAACGCCTTGCAGCATCATTGCTTAAATTGCTTAGCGGTGATACTCATTCTTGCACATTTTTTGAATTCATTTGTGACTCATCTTTGTCGCAACCAACCGAGTCAACTATGACGAAGTGGATATTTTCATAATCAATCATTTTTACAACTATTTATGAGGTGGATGTGAGAGGAGGTGCGCAGGGTCTTGCATTTGTTTTTTTTTTTTCAAAGTAGTTTCTAGATATTGTCGTAACTTGTATTGTGAACTGCATTCTTTCGTGCTATAGAGCTTACCGGCACGCCTTCTTCACATCGTTCGTACTCTCCGAAGTCAAACCATACTTTCATTATATCTCACTAAATTGTAAATAACACAATTCACTATCTCTCATAAACTCTCACTAAATCTCACTAACCCTCACTTTCCACCTTGCTCGCTCATCCTCACAGACCATCCACCATGATTGCCTCTATAGTTCGAAGTCGTGGTTTAGGAGCGGCAAGTTTGTATCTGAGGTTCTCGTCCACGGCCTTGAATCGGTCGTTTCTGGCCCATCGCTACAAATCTACGACTTCGTCGTCTTCGCCCGCTCCGAAACGGCCTCCACCTGCCGAAAAAGCTGCTAGTTTATTAAACAAACTGCCGTCAACTTCTCTGCTCACAAAAAGCGGTTTCTTGACGGTTACCGCTGCTGGTTTGGCAGCTGCGATTTCACGCGATATCTACATTGTCAACGAGGAGTCTGTTGTTGCTGCCGCCTTCGTTGGTGTCCTTCTCGTCCTCGGAACGCTTGGTCGCAAGGCTTTCAGCCAAGGTGCCCAGCAAGCTGCTGAACGAGTGACGAAGGTGTTGCAGGACGCACGCGAGAACCACGTGGATATTGTACGTCATAGGATCGACCAAGTTGCCTCGCTTCAAGATGCGGAGGAGGTAACAAAACTGCTTTACGATACGGCTCGTGACCTCGCTAAAACGGAAGCCGAAGTCTTTGCATTGCAGCAACAAGTGGCCGTTGTCCAAGAAGCTCGTTCAGTGCTGGACAGCTGGGTTCATTACGAGGCGGCCGTTCGTGCAGCAGAGCAGCAGCAAATTGTCAAAGATGTGATTCGTCGCGCTACAACTAGACTTCAAAATCCTCGTGTGCAGGCTGCTGTGATGGAAGAAAGCTTAACAAGCATTGAGGATTTGCTCAAAAAGCATCCAAAAGCAGGCGCTCAAAGCTAAAGCGGAATGTCTTCAATCACACGTGTGTCTGTCTTCTAATGTTCCTTTTCTTCATTCCTGCCTGCCGGATTTTCTTAACGACGTAATGAATTGCAGTTTCTGTTCTATTTGCGTGTTGTAGGATCAAGCTGTTCCAGCAGCTTCATTGTTTCCTCATAAAAGAACATTGTAATTGCACTGTGGGGTTAGCGTTCGCTTAAGCAAGCACGTGCGAAAATGCGACGCGAGTACAAGAAGACGAGCAAAAATAACTCCTTCGTAGTCTCGTTCGCATTCACATTGACATACCTTCCTGGGGCCACCTTTGTCAAACTCATGGCAAGTCCTCGGTAAAGACCGCGGATTCCGTCTGCACGCAGGATTCCCCGAAGACATTGCCATGTGTTGTGGTAGATATTGCTGTGGGCTTGGAGATTCCGCTTCAGGGTGTCAGCCGGAAACGTTAGTGTCTTTGAAGTAGCTCCGGCAATGATACCACACAAAAATGAACGCGGTCCCGTGTCGAGTCGAGAGAGCGTGTCATCACAAAAACGATATGTCGTGAAAAAACAGCCAATGTACGGTGCAATTTGCACTACTGAGACGCCTAGGCCGGGGTAAAAGTCGGCAATGCCCCGCGTCTTTAATGTGTGGAGAACCGTACGTAGGATGTGGGGTCGATGTGTTTGGGCTGCGAAACGAGTCCGCATCGTATCGAACGGATACGAGACCGCTGTCGCAAAACTGCCGGCGAGTGCTCCACACATAAAGTCCATGAGTCGCGGGTGCACCTTGGTAGCATGATCTAGGGACAAACGTTTCGTTTGTGAAAATGCAAAAAACTCGCAACTACCGTATGCCAGATACAAAAACTCGGCTGAAAGATTTCCCCTCCAGAAACCTAGTAAACCTTCCCCGCGTAACGTGCGCAAAAAGGTTGTACGAAGCGAGTCTTGCGTCACTTGCATACGAATTTTCATGACGTCAAGGGGAGCGACAAAAAGCCTAATTTCTTGATTAGCAAAACCGTTCATGATGAGAGGAGATGACGTAAGAAATTAGCGATGTTTGTAGTGAACTCCTAAAAATATTTTGTGTAGCACACTAAAACACAGTAAACAGCCCACCACCTAGGGCGGTGAAACTTAGTGCACTAACGAGATGGGGGTGTAAAACGTTACATACCTGCAAATGCCAGAGCCCAAAGCACCAGCAACTGTGTGATGCCAAGCAGGACGTTGGTACTTTGCTTCCATGGCGGCAAAGGACAGGAGGCGAGCGAGGAAGGTTATACCGGCTATAGGACACCGGTTCTCGGAGCTGACTGAAGGCAGAGATTAGAAAAACATACGGTAAACTGGGATAATGCAATTCAACGCATTTTGAAAAGATAAATACTGAACTCATACATTGCATCGTAAAACAACGATTTACCATCGTTCATAAACTTTCACTATTCACGCTACCATCCTCACTACATCTCACTATATCCCAACCTTTCGTTAGTATTTCGTCGCGTCTCCCCGTCTTCCTTCCCATACAACCTTTACCGTTTTTTATTCACAATGGGCTCGTTTCTCTCGACTCCGGCTTTTGAGGTGCGCCGTAAGCGTTTACTCCCCTTGTTCCGCGCCAATCATTCTCACTTTTCTCCTTTGGACTCGAAAGGTCTTGCCAATCCAGTTCCATGGCTTCTTGCCGGATTACTCTACGGGCCGTGCGATCCTCAGGCCTTTTTCCAGCTTTACGACACCATGTCCCCCCATCTGCCCCCACAATCCCACAAGGGCCTCCACACGAACGAGCTGACGCGTGAGTCGTGTCAGAACGCGCTCGGTAATCCTGACCTGGTTGATGAATTCGTGCTCTTCTTTGAAGATCGTCTTGTTCAGGACGCGTTGTTTAATACGTCAGAGCTCGTAAAACGCGAATTGAAGGAAATGCCCATGCTTCTCGACGGACTCTGTGCTGACGGTGGTGCAGCTTTAGCATGCATTGCAGTGGGACTCGAACTCGAGGTTCAGGAGTGCGTTGTTGATGGATTGGCTATGGCTGCAGCTACTCCGAGGAAGCCCCCTCCGAGCATCTCCGAATCTGTTAGCGTTTCCGGTGACGTTTCGGGGACTAATCCGGTGTCTTCTTCTGAGCAAGAACAAGAAGAGCAGCAGCAGCAACAAAAGAATCCCATTCAGACGGCTCTCGAGTCATTACAGTCGCGGGATGATCCTTACCGTATTCACAAACTCGAGGAACTTCCGGGTTTGCTTCTCGCTTTTGCAGAACGCGATATGAAACATTACTTTGTGCCGTATATGGCATCTCGTGCGATCCCTCGTTTGAAGAGACTCGTTAATGATGACTTTGCTTTGGACGCAGCTGTGCTGTTGCTAATTCAATGCAGTCGTGTTCCTGAATCCATGCAGTTTGATTCTGTCGACGATTGGGTCAGCAAGGCTGGTCTTCCTTAAGACCTCTTGTAATCTTTTTTATATTGACCGGTACGGGATGGACGGTGTGAGCTACAGTAAGTCCGGACTTGTTCGGTAAACTGAGCAAATTCGGACACTTTTCCAATATCATTTCGGTATTGCTCGGTGAATTCCAGGTGTACTCCGGCAATTACACCGACTCTGTCTTTGAGCTGGCTATGCGACGAAGCACTTGTATGTGTGCATAGTTTTGTATTTTATGCTGAAACGGGCTACACAGCGTCTTGTCCTCTTTGCCCATTATCGTTGTTTTTGTGTGGATACGATATCTTCCGTTCCTCATGCCTTTCCTGTACATGAACAATTCGTGGAAGAGTCAGATACGCGTTCAATTAATCAGAATCGACTAAAATCCGTGGTTGGTTCTACTCAGAAGGACAAAGGTGATCGAATTGCTTGTGAAGCGTTCACAAACGCAGATGGATGCGTTCGTTCTTTTGCCCGTCAATGTCGACCCGCTACCAGTAAAAAACTTGGTCCAAAGCAGAAGACACGCACCGATGAAAATACTCAATTGTTGATGAATAACAATACTCAGCAGCGGGAGACGTCGTCAACCGTGCTCTCAGTAAAGCCGGGCATCGAAGTTGATCTGGAAACAAAGCTTAAGAGAGCTATGAGGCGCGAAATGAAACGAAATAACTACAAACAAGCCCTTGATTTGTTTCTTGTCTTTATAAATGGATCTAATGGATTTCGTTTGGCTACGGTGGGTGAATTAAAACAAGATGACTTCGGTAACGGCGCAACCCCGACGGTTAACTCGGATGAGAAAAAAGCATTGCACAGGTCTCGGCTTTCACGGCATAACAAATCAACTGCTTTCTTCCAAAGTTATCGTGACTTTTGTCGATGCTGTTCGCTTGCTCTGGATTGTGTTAATCATCTAGTGCTTCCTCTCGAAGCGCGTCGTCTGTATGATTTGTTCCACATGCACGCTATTCCGTTCTCGCGAACAATGTATCAGTCCATACTGAAATGTATCTGCTCCTCCATCGCTTGTCCTCAAAATTTTGTGGATTTAATATTTCACAACATTTCCGATAAAGACGTTGAAGATTATCGGATATATATGCGAAGGCTAGTCATGTTACAAGTGCCACCAGAACGTACATGGTCGGTTGTGGATCAAATGCATCGTGACCATGTCTCTCTTGACGCAAGTATTTACGAGGTGCTGTTTCGTGCATTTGCAACTCAAAAGAACCACGGTGTTCACTTTTTTCGTGCACTAAAACAACTTTTACAAAGCAAGACCACGCTACTTCCGTCTACGTATACTGTAATTATTCAACAGTTGTCTCGGTTACAATGTCCACAACTTGTTTGGGTTGTGTTGCAATACCTCAAAAAGCGAAAAAAGAAACTGACAACAGATCATTTAAATCCGTTGTTGTTAATGAGTTTACGAAGTCGCAACATCGCCGATGTACGGCTGTTTATCAAAGTATTGCGAGATAACAGGCTTGTTCCTAATGTATCTTCCTTCAATATGCTTGTTAGTGCAGTTTTGAATGAGACTGTTTCTAGTATCAATATTGAAGAGGAACGAACTGCGTCCACTCCCACTGCGACGGAATCATGTTTCACCAGGCAGCTAGTGCATGTATTAAATTCATGCATGCATAGCTATCATGTGAACGCAGACTTAACTACTGCAAATATCATATTGACACATATTCAGACGTGTAGGGCTGCTGGCAGACTACCGTCACCTTTATTGAAAGTGTTGTTGCCGTACGTTCAACATTCATGCAGCAGTACACCTCAGTATTTGTCTACAGGAAATTTACCGAGTCGACGTTGGTTCATTCACTTGACATTAATTCTGCATGTAAAGTCGAAGTCAAGCTCTGTATCGAAGTGCACACAGCTTGTTAATTATGGGTTGTTTGATGCATCTCTTGCACGGAATTATCTCGATTATTTACTGAGATCCAAGAAAACACAGCTTGCTTATGATTTTTTTGTTCAGTATCTTACGAACAACGGGCATATAACGATGGCATTGGCAGACTTTGTACATATTTATGTTCGGGGTGTCATCCGTACTGGAGACGTTTCAAATCTTGAGCAGGCACTCCAACATGTACGTAGAAGTCATCCGTTAGAACTTGGAAGCCACACCGTTTTGTTGTTAGTTTTGTACACTGATTATTGGCGAATCTTTGATAATGCCTCTGATCGGCTAATGTATTGGGTCGAATACTGCGCTCGATTCAAGTTAAGCCTGGATGAGTGTCATTGTACATATATCGCAGAGTGGCTATGTTCAAATAATTACACTGACCGTGCTATTGACTGGGCTCTCAGTGCCCTTCGGCTAGACAAATCGCGAAACTTGTTATATCCTTGGTTTTTACTATGCTGCTGCTTAAGCCGATATCATGATGCAACTGCCTTTATGGAAGTGCTGACAGTTTTAAACAACCGTCAATGGCATTTTCTACCACAAAAGTTTGCTTATTTAATTGAGTGTAGCAAACGTTTATCTAACAATGATGTTCTAAAGGCAAAACTTGGTTCTCTAACAAGGATTTTAAATGAACGAACAAGCTATTACAGAAATTTGCTTTCGCAAATGGAAAAATCCATCTGCGATTGTTCTTGTGTTACGCCCAAAAAATACTGAACCTCGCTTTAAATTTAAAATTATCCCTTACACTGGGGGAATGCAGTTCTTTTTGTTCAGTTGCAGTGTAAGCTGGTTTTTGTTTCACTCCTACTGCTCCTCGCTTTCCATCAATTCATCCTCCGTACTCACCCGTCCCTTCTCAATCGTTTAACGTTTACCTCCATTCCCGCTTACACATTGTATCTTGTGTTTACTGGTACATCTCCTTTTTTTCTAAGTTTATTTTCCATTTCGTTATGATCGATACGCTTTTTATGTAATGAATGTTGTCTGCAGAAAAAACAAAAACGATATTACTCGTGAATGTCGACAAGGTCATTAATCTTGTCAATTCACGTATAGCCGTTAGACAATGTCTTTGAATGAATCTTTTCTTTAAATTAATGAAAGTACAATTAAAACTACTAGAAAGTTCCTGGAGTGCTAATATCTGAGCATAATGTAGCATGTTTGATTCAGGTTAGTTTCAACTCAAAGTGTTAGTGACTTTGACGAGTCGGGCTCCGATCCATGCATAGGGATACTTTCTCTGGTAGAAGTTACGGAAACTTCTGCGGTTTGCGATTCGGGCAACTGTAGTAAAGCTTCCACCCATAACTACGTTGTGCTTTCCATCAAAGAAGTCTCTCGTGTAGTCTGGATACAATTCTTCGGGAGTGAAATCCAGATCTTCTTTCAAAACAGTACTTGTCCATTCCCAGAGACCAGTGTATATTTGAGGTTTTTCTTCATCCTGTAATGACTTGGGATACCATTGCTGGAACGCAGTTGCATAACCGGCTGTATCCACATACGTTTCTTCATTTGGTTTCAAAACATGATCATAGAAGGCTCGCAGTTCGTAGTCAGTTGGTAGCCGGCATCCTTTTGCATTTGCATATTGTTTCAATTCATCATAAGAAGTAGCCACAGGCCATCCCAGAACATGCTCAATCGGTAAGGGTCCATACATGGATTTTGCAAACAGCATCTCATCCTTTAGTAACCAGGTTTTTGGTATAGCTGCCTCAAATTCCTCCTTACTCTGTGTGGTTTCTTTCAAGAAACTCAAATACTCACCATTTGAGATTGGCCGGTTAGCTATCTCAAAACAGCGAACAGATACTTGACGTTCGGGCTTCTCGTTGTCCCAACCGTAATAGAACGTTTCTTTCCCATCAGCAGTTGTGGGAATACCCATGGTGATGAAGGACTCGGGCACACGAACCCAAGTAGGATCTGTTTGGAGAGCAGGAGCAATCGGTGGAGGAAAGTTGTTGGGAGAAATTATGTGATAATCCGATTGTAATAAAATGTAATACGAGGTTTCCAGGTGCATGGCCGTATGCTCGTAAATCATCCACATTGCGCGTTGCATATTCGCAGACATTTCACCCTGCTTATAAATTGAAACAAGACGAGACCAAACATTACGCTCGTACTCGTTAACTTCTTCTACTGAAGGCCATTTCTCGGGAGGTTGCGAATGCCAGTGGCATTTTTTCGTGTTGTCCAAATCAGGATCAATACCTCTTTGAAACCAATCCCAATAGTCTTTACGTCCAAGTGTTGGTTTCCCATCTGTAAGACGTGCAAGATATATGTCATTGAACGCAGGAACGTGACCAATGTAGAAAATAAATGGGTGTCTCACTGGAATAAGTTCAGTAAAGTACAGGTCTCTAGGATAAAGCTTAAAAACGAGATACAACCAAGCAAGACGTATCTGAGTCCATTCTTCTAACGTTGGGCACGGCGTTTCCGGGTTTCTGGAGACGTCAAATGTAGGGACTGATGCAATGAACAATGAAAAACCATGGTTTGATTTAAGTTCGGCTTCTGTGAAAAATCCGCCATTATGCAAAATCTTGTTAGCTTCCTCCGAGCTGCTCTTCCAGCTTTCTTCACAAAGTAGTTTGTGATTCTGTGGAAACGATAACTGAAGCTCAGGAATAGTAACTGGGCGTTTAGATATAAGGAAAGCCTTATGCACACCAGTGTGCTCATCGTATTCACCTTGGTACCGCCAATCATCGAGATGGAATAGACGCGCTCCGAAAATATGGTTGACATGATTCAGTATGTTAAGCTCAAACTTTTCCGTTATATGGTGTTTATCGTTGTATGCACTAATAATTGTTTCCTTTTCATGACGGTGATCGAAAGAAACAATAATTTGATCATCAGGCTTAAGCTTTGAGGAAAAGGCTTGAAGGAAAGTGGCGCTTTCCTCACGAGAAAAGTTTCCTATGGAGGATCCAAGGTACGTAAGAACAAATTTTGAATTAGGCGAACTGCGAAGGATAGGTAGATAGCTTAGTGCGTGTTTGAAACAGCCGCATATACCAGAAATCTTAACATTTCGGTAGCTAGTTGAGGCTTCCAATGTGTTCAGTGAATTTTGTAGCTCTTTTCTGTTTAAATCCAACGCATAATAATGGACCGGAGAACATGTGTTTTCAAAAGCATCGAGGAGGACTTTTGTCTTTCGCATAGAGCCGCAACCAAGCTCAAGAATAATAGTTGTCGACGTTTTCGAGCGAACGTGTTCAGCAATCCAATCGGCATGTTTTTGTAAAAGCTGCATCTCTAGTCGAAAGGGATAGTACTCATCCTCTTGTGTTATCTGTCCAAACAACTGTAATCCAGTTTCATCGTAGAGTAAGGAGGAAGAAAGACGAGATTGCTTTAGGTTGGCACTGACGGACTGAGCCGAAAATATATCAGCCGTAGCTCCTATATCTATAATGCTTTCAGCCATCATGATGAAGATTTAGTAAACCGAAGAATTTGGAAGAGCACTACAGTAGCACTTGAAAAGAGACGGAGACGTAAGGAAAATGAAACATTCGACTTGTTAAAAACGCAATCTGTTCAGCATGCTGCGGATACCTTTCGTAATGTATGATACATTTGATGTCAGTATTCCTTCATCAATCATTGGTTCTGAGAGGAGGTTGTGTGTGTAGTTATTGTATCCTAGTAAGTATGAGAGAACACTTAACCATCTTTTAATTGGATTGTTGTTATAAATGGAATAAGTAAGTCAGAAATGTCCAATTTGGTTCAATTTGCTCAACAGAGCTGGGAGAAAGAGCAAAATCCATTTTTTTATTTCTTAATTAGAGCATCTATTTACGAAAAAGAGCATATATACTTGTAATTGTACATTTTAGCTCAAGCTCCCACTTTGCTTGAGGATGGAAGACGGAGAGAATGTATTCCGTCATTTATCGCTTACACAAAACTTTAATTGGACTTTCGGCATCTACTAGTGTCCCGCGAACTTTAAATTGTGTGACACCAAACTGAGGGTTCGTTAGGCAGCTGTGCCTGACGGCTTACTGGCGCTCCACCAACACAGCAAAATGCAGAGAATTCATAAAATCCTGGTCTATTTCATCTTGATGTCTATCTTTAAGAACTCATTGTATCTTATCGATATGGAGGAACCATGGGCCTCGATTCGTCCCTGGACCTCTATCATTTTGCTTGCTCTGTACGGCGTTAAGCTTGGCTTCGAGCTCTTGTACAATGTTGCCAACACTCACAACAAGCCTGAGGCTTATGTTGATTTGGTCAAGGTGAGTTTGGGATGTTGCAGGTCTTTTTGGAAAGGAGAAACGCGTGTACTCAGTGAGTGTACGCGTTCTTTTCCTCAAAAAGACTTTCAGTTATCAAGACCGGCTGCTAACATTTTGTTTAGGACATTAAGGAAGCCCAAGATGCTCTTCGTGCCAAGGGAATGGTGATTGACGATGAGTAGATGGCTACAAATATTAAGGCACATACTTTACGCTGTCAATCACGTACAACGCATATATACATTTAACATAATGTGAATAATACATACCCCTCTGCAACGTTTAGAAAGGAATTATTTTTGAGAACTACAAAATAAATCAAAAGCAGAACGATGAACAGTGCCAACTTCACTGAAACTAACGTCCAAAAAACCAAACAAAATCTATTCGATGATGTGTGCACAGACGAAACTTAACACCCGGGAAGGGAAGTTAGACCTGTAAGAAAAAATGACGATGAAGTGCAGGCATCTTTTGAAGGGGTAAGAGAGGTAATGATGAGGAATACTGTAGAGAAGAAAGGAAATGGAAGACAAAAAAGAAAGGGACTCGGGGATATGGATGTACTCGATGTGAGTCATTCAGTAGTAGAGTGTAAGTTGTCTTGACTCCGAATTGCTCAAACAGAACTGGCTTCAGTCGGCTTTGGTGAAGGTGTTTGTCTCTCATTCATCGTGACATGTTTACTTGCGCAGATAGCGTTGGTAAACAGGGTTTTGTGTTTCCTCAACCCAAACGTAACCGAGAGAGTTGAATATATCTTCGATGAGGGCACGCTTGTCATCCGTCACTTGGACACCAACAAGGACGCTGGCAATGTCACCACCTTGGTTACGGTAGTGGAACAAAGACATGCTGAATTGGCTCTTCAAGGTACTCAAAAACTTACAGAGAGCACCAGGGCGCTCGGGGAATTCAAAGCGGTAAATGCGTTCGTTGGGAACGAAAGCCTTGCCGCCAATCAAGTAACGAGCATGCATCTTGGCCAATTCGTTTTCACTGATGTCTTCGGCAGCCATACCGTTTTCGGAAATTTGGCGGATAACTTCGGGTAACTCAACAGAACGGTTCTTTACGTTAAAGGACATGTAAATGTTGGCGACATCGGGGTCGGAGTAACGGTACGAGAACTCGGTAATGGCACGAGGGGAAATGATGTTGTGAAGCTTCTCAAAAGAACCAGCACGCTCGGGGATGGAAACACTGAAGAAGACTTCCTTGTTCAGACCAAGGTCAGCACGCTCAGCAACAAAGCGGAGACGATCAAAGTCCATATTAGCACCGCTCAACACACAAACTTGGGCGGCGTCGGGACGGGAGGGAGGGTGCATACTAAGATAACGCTTCATACCAGCAACAGAAAGAGCACCAGAGGGCTCAATAATGCTACGGGTATCCATGAAAACATCCTTGATAGCAGCACAAATCTCGTCCTTGTTCACAAGGACGACATCATCCACATTTTCAGAAGCAACGCGGAAGGACTCCACGCCATTCACCTTGACAGCGGTACCATCGGCAAACAGGCCGGCCTCCTTGAGGGTAACACGCTTGCCATTCTCGACGGAACGCTTGAACGCATCAGCGTCGAAGGTCTCGACACCAATGACCTTCACATGAGGAGCCAAACGCTTCACGTAAGCAGACACGCCAGCCAACAAGCCAGCACCACCGACAGCGATGTAAATAGCGTCAAGCTTTTTAAGATCAACTTGTTGCAACACTTCCTTGGCGATTGTGCCTTGGCCAGCGATTACATAAGGGTCGTCATAAGGGTGGATAATGGGCAAATTGTGCTCCTTGGCAAGACGAGTACATTCGGCCTTAGCTTCATCAAAATTATCACCGACAAGCACGGCCTCCGCACCAAGACGTTGCACATTCTTCCACTTCACCTCGGGCGTGTTTCTGGGCATAATAATAGTAGCCTTAATGCCCATATGGCGAGCAGCGTAGGCAACACCTTGAGCATGGTTACCTGCAGAACAAGCAATAACACCGTTCTTTGTCTCTTCGGGAGTCAACGAGGCCATCTTGTTGTAAGCACCACGAAGCTTAAAGGAGAACACAGGAGTAAGGTCCTCGCGTTTCAGATATACGGGACAACCAACTCCCTCACTAATAACGACACCCTTCGTTAACGGAGTCTCCTTCATCACATCGTAAATACGAGACGTCAATGTCAACCGTAAATAGTCCGGAGTTCCGTCTGCCTCACGCATTTCCTTGGGCACGACACTGACAATCGCCTTCTGTTCCTCGTCTGTAACCGAAGGAGACACATTGTACTCGTTCACACCAGCAATTTTTGGGTTAGAAATGGAGCTAGCTTTCAAAGTAACGCGTGTCGAAGTGAAGGGACGACGAGGAGCAGCAACATTTGTGTTTACAGATCTAAAAACGCCAATTTGAGCAGTTGAAGCTGTAGGGTGTTGGAATCCTAAAGCAGACCTCAGGAAGCCTGAAGTCCGCGTTCTACGAAGAAACGCAGCCGATTTCATTGTGAAATTTAACGGTTGCTTAGCAAAACCGGTTTGGCGTTGAAGCAGGACGTGAAAGGTGGATGGCAGCTGCGTACTGACAGTTTAATCAAGACCATCCTTCGCATCGTTAGAGGTCACTCGGGCGCGGTAAACGGGGAATTGGGTGGACAGTGAGTGGAAGGCCTACAGCGAAGAAAAAGGAACAATTAGGTCTATTGGTTTTTTTATTATTTATTTGTTTGTTTGTTTGTTTTTTTGTCGAATTTTTTTGTCGAATTTTTGCTTTTTTTTTTGCCTTTTTTATTTCTATTTAATAATTCACATGTAAAAATTTATTTCAATAAGTATTAGGGAGGAATGTTACGGATTTTTGTAAAAAAAAAAACGAGCTAATATACTTAAGTCTTTAAAGGTAGTACTTGGACAAGAGATCAAAGCAATATTTTGGAAGCAACACATAACCTAATAAGTAGCATGCTTGTTAACGAGACCGGCATATCTAGTAACACAATCATTTACCTCGTTTACGCTTCAACCATTTAGTAAATCCATCAATATCGCTTAATGGCGATCGTCAGACTTATCAAGTCAAACTGTTATCAAGCGTACTAATCCTTTTTTTCTCCCCTCTAGTAAACCGAGTTCAAAGTCCATACTTTATATATAATAAATTAATATAAATAGCAATTGAATATTCCAACCAAAGTCAAAAGCTTCATGATCACTAACGTAGGTCACGTTCTCAAATATTATTAGGATGCAATTACTACAGTTGTTTAAGCACATCACATTCTTCGTAACCCTCCATGATCTATTAGGACTTCCTTAAATAAATAAAAGAGTTCACTTCATTTATGTAGTTTTCTGTTAAGAAAATAATGGTACCCTTTTACCTCTCTACTAAGGAAAAACAGCATTTCTCTTTTTTCTTTCAACCGAATAAGCCAAACGGACGCTATAAATATCAAGTATAAAATCAAATAACGCGATCGAAAAAAATCACCCTCATTAGATATCCGTATATAGTACATTATCGACATTACCGACATTCTTGCTATACGCAGTTTCGAAATTGCAGTGTGCTGATGCGGAGAAGTTGGGAAAATTCAAAATAACAAGAGAGAGTGCATGTTGCAATATCAACGATGATAGAGTATGTGACCTTCAATTGCATTGATTACTTCGCAATGATGTAAAACGAGACATACTGGGAAAGAATAGTGATGAAACGCAAAGTTGTTTGTGTCGTCTCAAAAGTTTTCAGAATCAATTTCTCAGAGGAGCAACAAAAATGAAATTACATGAGACCGATACCGTTAATATTCGACAATTACCGGAATCAGCAATAATAAGAGATTTTAGGGTAGTAGCTGGGTCAGGTGTTTTGTCCAAGGATTGGTATGCAGGATAGACGCATGGCACAACGACATCCGTTTCGAGAATAAAAAAGATTAACGGAGAGTATATTAGCATAAAGTAAAGGCGGTATCAAATCACAAAAGTCTTTTTTAGAAACTTGGTCAATAGCCTCTCTTTTGGAATTGCAACTCTTTCATCGTTTTCATAAGTTCAACGTTTCAGAAATTGAAGTGACAGCTCTTCAAGAAAGACGAAAACATTATATCGTAGGCATACCTGCAAAATGATGGGTTGAATCATGGAAAGGTCGGGAAGTTAAGTCTTCAAGCATGGAAAGCATACTGTCTTTGCTTTCCTCACATTTTAGACTTAGCGAACAAATAACCAATCGACTGTATTAGATAGTCCCGACTGACCCGAAGTTCTTAACATTCTTGACGCTCCGTTCATATCCTCGTCCTTGTGGACAGTTGTTCTCCTTCTTTTGATGGAAGCGGCAATATCTGAAGACTATATTAAAACAAAGTTCGCGTTTGCTCTCGTGTAAACACGCCGTACTCAGAAAACCTACATTAATAGTCATTGTTAAGGCTGCGAGCTGCCAAACGAGAGCACACATCGGTGAGTGCTACAGCAATGGCATGATCCTTCAGTAAAGAAAAGGTATCGCACAATTGAAAAATGGTAGGTAGCCATACCTGCAAATTGGTTTCATAATCTTTAAGAGACGATGGAGAGGTCGTAAGCAACAACGAAGGCATACCAACAGCAGTTAGTGCATCCGCAGAACGAGATAATGAAAACAAGGGCATAACTTCATTCAACACGTTATGCACCTTTTTTGCCTGAAGGAAGGCGTTTTCTTCACATATCATTGTTCTCAACGATGTTGTAATTTTCTGGCATGTATTTTTTGTCTAAACGAGGACAGGCTTTCATGTAGTTGAAAGCCAAGCACCAGTCTAATTGTAGATCGGTCACTGTAAGAAAACGCTTTTTAAGGAGGGTGGGTACAGACATTGCTCTCGCAGCTCTCATCTGAGTATGAAGGGAAATTTGAAAGCTGAAAGAAGCGAACATAAGTAGCATCCGCAAATTATCCTGGATAATTTAGGGATAGTTCCAACTCATAGTAAATAGGAATAAGTATCTTTTGTGCTTTTTTCTGGGTATTCTGTAACCAAATCAAAACCACTTGTCCTGCTCCTTGTCGCATTTGAGAGCGTTTTGCCAACTGCGAGCGGTAAGACCTTAGAAAGTTTCGACAATATAAAGTCAAGCTTCGAAAGCTGTTCTGATCGATTGTCATAATTGAAGGAGAAAGTGTTTGAGTTCATCAAATGTGACTCTGTTTTTATGTAAAGCCGACATAATCTCGACGGAGAAAGCAAGAATAAAAGACGAAATTAATTTTTTTAAGCGTGTTTTGTGTACGGAGTTGTCAATGAAATTCTGGTTCTTCCTTTTCCTCACGAAATTGAAGAATAAACCAAATTACAGACTATGAATAGCAAAGACACAATCCCAATCGCTTTAATAAACTATTTTTATACTAATATATTCGTTTATTAAGAAAGTAGATTAATAATTCCAATTGAACACGGTCCAACCGTTGAGCACAGTAAAGCTGTTATATATAATCATTTGGGCTGCGTTCACAAAACCTATTAACGTGTTTCGACACATTTATCGCACTTGAAAGAATTGTTTTTTTGGTCCTCGAAAATCCTGATGATTTTTTTTTTTCTTTTCCTTTAAGAAAGAGGACGAAAATGAAACTTGATCGTAATATTTTGTGCAAACAACTTTATAAGTATTTATACAAAAAGCAATGTTTTGATTAAATAAACAGTAAAAAAAAAGCCCAGTGAATGCGATTTTTGCATTAGTAGAGATATTGCAAGGTTTCCTTACGATTTATTATGTTTGAGTCTTCAAATATATACGCAATTTCCAGTTGTGCCATGTGTAAAACGCTAAACTGAGTTCTATGTGAGCGAACTTTGTTTTTTCTTAAGATGAAACGAAATGAATTCGTTTGGTGGAAAGCTTCGAAAGAAAAGCTTTTGTTGCTTACACTTTGACACACTCAATTACTTTACTAATTGGTTTGTGCAAAAGGCTAATATTAACGTCTCAACAAATTCGACAGTATCTTTTATACAAGTTCGAAAATTCGATGCTTGGTTAATTCTACGCTCCTGGCGCACCAACTTTCAAAGGGGATGTATGTACTTGCTTGCCTCTTTAGTTATTTTTCATAACTTTCAGTTGCAGCGGCTGTTAGAATGCCTTGTTTTTCGTGTTTAGTCTTTGGGTTTTCATCGGCGAATTTTTTCATTGGTCAAAAAAAGCGCTTTCCCGCAAACGTTATTCTTCTAAGGCGCAAATCAAAGTTAAGTTTCAGGACTTGAAACACTTTGCATTAGCATACTAACTGTATCTATCTGTTTTCTCTCAAATTTAATATGTGTGTGAAGCTAATCACGTTTGCTTACAAATCTTTTCACTAACCAATCAAGTACAGAGCTAAAGTATGGTTGCTTTATATGTGCAATGGTACTTACATTAATTGCCAGTACGAAGTAGCTATTTTTTTTTTTTTTTTTTTTCATAACATTCTTCTTTCCTTATTATACGTACACAAAACGTGCCCAACACGAAGATGGGCCAGCAGACTTAGGTTACATACATTATTATTCCTCGTACGGAACTTTGTCTCTTTGTGAAAGGCACATTGGAACTCATGTATCTCCCTTTGACTTTCAAGAATACCTTTTCCATAAAAATGAACAAGATACTTCATTCACAGAAGCGCCATTCTCGATTACCACAATGATCGAAACAACGCCGTTCTTTTATTTTGCTACCATTATGACAATGACCACCCAAACTCGTCTTTTCGGCCGACAAACCTTAAACATCATTCAACCTATCATATTATAGCCGATTTAATTATGCGAAAAGTTGTCGGCACCTTATTTACTACCTGTGTATTGTGCACCCGGAGAACACTTGAATTCGTTGCAATTCAAAAAATATCCCGTGGACTTCGTCGTTCCTGCGACCAAAAACATGAGACTTGCGTGCTTTTTTGAATTGCGTTTGCCTCCAACCGACGGTGGCAGAGTATGGGGCTACAACATACCGTGGAAATTCGCAGCCGTAAAACTCGGGCTGCACCAAGCCGATCAGCCCTCTAGACGTGTACGAGGGAATTTGGTCCCGAGAATAACCACCAGCGGTAAGCTGACTCCGCTGAAATTGCAATGCAAAAGACCTAGCATGCACCCGGCGCAATGCTGAGTATGATGATGTAAGGTCAAGAAAATGCTATAAGAACAAACAGAATTGCTGCTCAATTACCATCAAGCAATCAACAAGCAATCCATTCAAAGCTCCAATTGCACAAGTAAAAGTTCAATTCTTTTTTTCCCCACTCGAAAACACAATGTCTCAAGTTACTACTCTTTTGCAAACTTCCCAACAACAAGCTGAGAAGCAAGAAGCTTCCCTGGTCGCTTCTGGCTGCAGCTCTTTAGCAAAGGCTTATCCTGACTATGTGTTTGGTGAGGACTTCAAGTTCGCTCCCATTCGCGAGAGCATTGTCGCTCGTGCCATGATCAAGCGTTACTGGAAGGACTTGGAAACTTACGCCGAAAGTGACATTGTCATCGTCGGTGCTGGTTCCGCTGGTCTTACCTGTGCTTATTACATCGGTACTCGTCGTCCCGATTTGAAGATTGCCATTATTGAGGCCGGTGTCGCCCCTGGCGGTGGTGCCTGGTTGGGCGGTCAACTCATGTCTGCTATGGTAGTCCGTAAGCCTGCCGATGCTTTCTTGAACGAAATTGGCGTTCCCTACGAGGATGAAGGCAACTATGTTGTTGTTAAGCATGCTGCTCTCTTCACCAGTACCATCATGGCTCGTGCCCTCTCTCTCCCCAACATCAAGCTCTTCAATGCTACCGCTGTCGAAGACTTGATCGTGAAGGAGGACGAAAAGGGTGAGCAACGCATCGCCGGTGTTGTCACCAACTGGACCCTGGTCTCATTGAACCACGGTACTCAATCGTGCATGGACCCCAACACTCTTAACGCTCACGTTGTCGTCTCCGCCACTGGTCACGATGGCCCGTTCGGTGCCTTCTGTGTCAAGCGTTTGGCCAAGGCCAAGCTTATCCCAGCTCTTGGTGACATGAGATGCTTGGATATGAACCGTGCTGAGGACCACATTGTTAAGGGTACTCGTGAGATCTATCCCGGTTTGATTGCCACCGGAATGGAGCTTTCCGAGGTCGACGGCCGCAACCGCATGGGTGCCACTTTTGGTGCTATGATGTTCAGCGGTGTCAAGGCTGCTCAAACCGCCCTTTCCATCTTCGACGAGCGCAGAGCTTTGAACGAGAAGCTTGAGGGTGTCCACCACTAAGCCTCGAGTCTTATGAATGTTTTCTAGAGTAGTTTTGTCTTCTTCTTCTTCTTCTTTCCGTTCAGTACTTCTTATGAACCAATAAACTTTTTTGCTACAACGTTTAAAAGACCCACTGATTCATAGAAAAGTGCGAGAGTATATAGTCAATTAGTGCCGGGGAAGAAAAAATTAGAATCTGAATGAGGAAAAACAAAAAGGTCATCTCCATTACAAGAGTCGTATTCAATGTATAAAGAACGAACGAAAGGGTTTTTACTATAAAACCGTCAATAATGAAACATGAAAAAACCGAGAGCGGTAAATGCTTGACGAGCAGAAAAGGACGGGTACCAACGCATTATGCATTTGTCTAGTATGCGTTCAAAGTCATTCATTGGATCCATACCGAGATGGACACACGAAACTAATGGATACGGCGTATACGTTCAATATTAAGATACACATCCGTGTCCAGCTGGTCACTCTTGTCTTGCACGGTTGCTAATCTCGAATTCTGAGCATCAATCTCTTGACCCGTAGCGAAAGCCAGACCCCGCAGACGAGAAGCAATTCCGCCCAGCTGATCCAAATTCCGATCAATTTCCGCTTCAACAGCATCATCTTCGGCGTCTGGCTCAAACTGGTAACGAGCACGTTCCGTAAGAGAGGCATTCCGTTGACCCTTCTTTCCCATTGCTCGATCATTATCCTGGAGTGCTCGACCAACACGTTGTTGCGACTGGTACGCAAATTGTCGGTTCACAGCTTCATCCGCACGCTCCGCTTCACGCTTGGCCGTCAATCTGGCTTCTTCCTGGGCAACACGTTTCGCCTTGCCCCATGGTTTACCAACGTGAATGGCAAACATACTACGATTGTAAGTCTTCAACTGAGCTGCCTGTTCCGTAGCATGCTTAGCATGCACACGTGACAAATCCAACTCCTTCTCGGCGTTTGCAATCTTGTCCGTTTGCTGACCCAACAAGTTCAATGTAGCACGGCCCGTCTCCTCAGCTTGAGCTGCAATCTGAAGTGCATTTCGGGTACTTGCAAGACTGTCCTGCTTCACAAAACGCATCTTGTCTTTAATGGCATTCACTTCATCTTCCTCTTCTTCGTAGGTGGACGGAGCACCATACTCGTTGTTTCGTCCTTCTGCCATACCATAGCCATAACCACCCTGCTGTGAACTTGCTTGAGACGCCGTCTCAGGATCTGGCCGTGTCATACGGGCACCTCGAAACAGTTCCTGTTTCCGTTGCTCGAGCTCGGGACTCGCAGTCCTGCTACTTTCCCGGGTATTAATAGAGGATGCGTAAGCGGCCGATTTCTTGACAGAGGGAGAAGGCGTCGAAGCCGCTGCACGGCTCGATGAGTTCATGGCGTATGGGTTCATTGATCGTGTTGGCGCAGATGCTTGTGCGTATGCATCACCAGCATAGGGATTCACTGTTTTATACGAAGGTGGTGCTGCAACCGAAGAAGAGCTTTGAGAGTCTGGAGAATCGTACATACCAGTAGAAACGCCCTTCTTTCTTCTAAAAAACTTCTTCATGCTGAGAGTAATGAAAGGATGAGATGAAATAAAAGTTCACTACTTGGTGAGATGTTGTAATTGGTTGAAAGAAAACCTTTGATGAGAAAGAAAATATGCGAAAATGCGTAAGAGAGGATTGAACTTGGATGAATATGAAAAAACAAGAGCTATCAATGAAGAAATGCACGCCTCACGGACAGAGAATATACGTCAATTCGTGTAAGCAAATCGACTAACAGATATATGACACAATTAGGTCGAACAGATCAATTGTGAGAAGAAAATCACCGGTCCAAAGCGATGCAATGGGTCGGCAGAATGAGGGATTGTTTCCAGCTGGTTGCTTGTACTGGCGTTTGTGGTGGAGATAATTTGGTGTTAACATGGGTGGCTGCTGGCCACACATTAAAAGGGGGAAAATAGATATGAACAAAAAGCAACAATAAAATAGATAGTTATTTTGAATAATAAATACACAACTACCATTGCAAATATCTATTGTACTATACAAAACCATTTAGGCAAAGAATCATGTATAAACAACTTTTTCGAAATTACTATATAAACCCCCGGTTGGTTCCACCTTTCACCAGGGCAAGTGATGAGTACACATTTTTTCATGGTTTGTCTGAAAAACAGTGTTGAACTAAAATATGCGTTATCTTTCTGATGCCCTTGTTTCATAGTTAATCTTGTTAAATATCAGAGACGTGAGGTTATAGACAAGGCTGTTGGTGTTGTTACGGATTGTGTGTCTGGTTGTTTGTGTTGCAGCAGTTTTGGTGGGATCTCAGTTAGACTTTTTTTTAAGCGAACGTTTAATATGGTCTATCGTGCGCGATGTGCGATCACCGCTTATTGCTTCGTGTTTTCTTCCAGAACGTTCTCCTACCTTTTAGCCAGTAGACCTCGCATTTCAGGGTCCAGTTTTAAGATTTGATAACACTGGCTTACTGCGACTTTCCTTTTATCTTTCGCCCGTGGGTTATTAAATGACGTCATTAAGTATACCAATTCCTAACTTTTCGACCAGCCTTGGGTAAGCGAGAACTAATTATAGCCCATTCCTTGTTCGGTTAATAATCAAAACCGATCCCCTTTTTATCTAGCGATTCTGATTGCACAAAGCACGCACACTAGATTCAGTGAATGACGTATTGAAGTTCGCTTAGATAAGATGCGACGCGCATGAAAGCTCCCAACAAGCAATGAACACCTCCTAGCTTTAGCCAACAACATCTCCTCGCGTTGTTCTGTAACGTGCAGAGATAGTTTACCGTTGTGTACGCAGTAGTTCTTCCGTTAATCTGAGCAAAAGGTGCTTGGGAGAAGTGTTTCTCTATTTCACCACTTTCACTTGATCTATTTTCGTAAGGACGCAAACGCTAATTCCGGCGACAAAATTTATAGACTTAGCCGGAGTTTCCCTGTATCTCTTAATTTTCACACAACCTGCTCACGATTAACGTGTAACTTTCTCTTTTACTTTTGTAGCGTCTACAACTTGTGAGAGCTATATTTTGCCGTAAAACCGAACAATTGTCTTGGATTTTGGCTGTTTAACTTTACTCACTATCTTTGGAGTGTTTGAACTAAGTTCACGATTACTGTCGTCTTGGTATGATTGACTCGGCAGCCAAGGAAAACACAATTACGCCCATCATGAGTTTAGAAACCGAAGAGGCTTTAAATTCTGGCGGAAAGTCCTGCGAGGAACAAAAGTGCAAGAAAAATGCAACCGCAAACATTAAGGTTGTAGAAAACGAGGACAGCGAGGCCCGTTTAGGCCAGACTCCTTCGGGTCAAATCTTTGTCTTGCCTCACGACCCTCCTAACCGTCGTAGTATTCTTGAAACGGTAGACTTCCGTGTTCCAAAGACGCCATGGGACCTTGTGGTGGACGGTGTAATTCTTGCACAAGTCCTGCTATTTTTCGTAACTTCAGGTATGGTCCGTAGGTTTCTTATGCTTGGCTGTTTCTTCTTCTGGCGTGTTTCTTACGATGCTGGTATTGGCTATCTTCTCCACAAGCAATCGCATCAACAGAAAATTGTCGATTGGATTGTCGGAATGGGTTTCTTCGACAAGACGAATCATCCTAAGCTTTATGAAATGACCAAGCGTCAACTCAAGGCCAAAATGGACAGTAGCTATGATTTTGAGAATTCTCCTGTTGAATTCAATGCGTGGCTTGTTTTCCGACACTTTGTTGATTTGGTCCTCATGTGTGATTTTTGTTCCTACGTTTTAATGGCATGTGCATGGTTGTGTTGGCCCAAAATGAACTTTTTCGCGCACATTCTTCGTATCGGTGCCGGTTATTTGTTACTCGTCTTTAACCTTTGGGTAAAAATGGATGCCCACCGTGTTGTACGTGATTATGCTTGGTACTGGGGCGACTTCTTTTTCCGTTTGCGCGGTACACTTGTGTTCAACGGTGTCTTTGAACTCGCACCTCATCCTATGTACTCTATTGGTTATGCCGGATATTATGGTATGAGTCTGATTACCGGCAGCTACATGGTTCTTTTCGCTAGTATTGTGGCCCATATGGCTCAATTTGCCTTTTTACTTTTTGTTGAGAATCCTCATATCGCTCGTACTTACGGAAGCGACTCCTCAAAGGCGAAAGAATTTTTACCTCATGATTTAGTGAATGAGCCTCTCTTACCGGCCCAGAAGGACACAGTCGTTTTTTTCAACTTTGATATCACTCGCGTATCTGACGTTGGACTTGCTCTCTTGTCTGTGTATAGTATTGTTCTTGTGTTGTTTACCCCAAACAGTAATTACGCGCGTGCTTTGGCCGTTGGTCAAGCTTTTATTTGGCGTGTTGCCCATTCCTTGTTGCATGGATTCATTTTGTCTCGGCAGTCGAAAACCAAAGCCTGGACCCGGCATTTTATTTCCCGTGGTAACTCTGCACTCGACGCTTGGGCCCAGTGGAAAGGCCTTTATAATCTTACTCTTTGTATGTCTTATATTACATTCATTATGGCTTCTTGGAAAATGTACTCCTTCCCGACCAACTGGATTTACGGTTCGGCTTTCTTCCGTCACGTTTTAGGTTTAACGTTTATCGCCCTTCATATTTACACTTCGGTTTCGATTTTTGACGATCTCGGAAACTTTGGCTGGTTTTACGGTGATTTCTTCCTTCCTGTTCAATCTCCCAAGCTTAGTTACCGTGGTATTTACCGTTATCTGAATAATCCTGAGCGTTTCTTTGGAAGTGCCGCCTTCTGGGGTATGGCCTTAATTAGCAACTCTTCCTGGATCTTTTTCCTCGCCCTTTTGGCTCAAGTTTCTACTCTTGGAATCATTCGGTTTGTTGAAAAGCCTCACATGCAACGTATTTATGGTTCCGGATTGAGAAAAGAAGCTGGCGTTGAAAAAACGATTAAGCAAGCGACTCTGAAGTCGAATATTACTATTCCCACTGCCTTGAAACAGCGTGTTAAAACCATTACAAGCACCATTGACAAAGTAATTGATCAAACTGCGGGTGCTGTCGAGGAGTTTTTGGATACTGCCGGACCTAAGGTTCACGAGTTACTGCATGATACTAGTGCTCATATTCGTTATCAAGCGCAATTAAGTGTCTTGAAAGTTTTAGATCCTCATACGAAACAGTTAGGTCTTTCCAATTACGGCTTGGAGGTTGATGACCTTTCTGATCGCAAAATTCCATTTGGTGCGCCTATCCGCGTGAAGTGGAATGCGCCTGCTAATCATTCTACACATGACTGGATTGGCCTCTACCGTGTTGGGGACAATCCCAGTACTTCTGTAACTCAAACCTCTAGTCAGGGCCGTTGGTCTGCTGTACAGCCAGATGTGTACAGTTCTCATTCTAAAAGCATTGAATACCTTTCTCCTAACAAAGACAGTGGCGTTGTCTGTTTCTCTGATGACCTTTTGTTTTGGAAACCTGGAATGTACGAGTTCCGTTATCACCATTCTAAAAATCATGTCGTTATGACTCGCTCTCAACCTTTCGAAATTGTTTTGAGCCGCTGCGATTCAGTAGTGTATGAGGACATTTTAACTGCACTGAAACCAATCATTTCCGCCTGTCTTCCTGGTGTTGATTTGGAAGATTCAAAATTACCGTTGGAAGATATCTCAACGGATCAAGCCAAGCGAATTGTTCTTGCTATTCGTTATGCTTTTAAGCTTTCTTTTGAGCACAGAGTTGTAAAGGTTGATGGCAAGGTATCGGTTTTGGCGCGTCGTATTTCTAAAGCAAAGAAAATACTACAGTCCTTTTCTGACTCGTTTTCTGCTGAAAAGAAAACCGCCTAATATGCTTTATGATCAATGATTTAATGGCGATTGGTGTACTTCATAAACCACCGGGTGACTGACTATTTTGTTACAGCTACACATTTTAATTTCAGTACGCCCACTCATGATAAATTGTGCTTATTCAATGATTTGCTTCGTGATTTCAACAATGACTTAGACTTTTTTTAGAGGTTACGTATATACGTAGCTGAAATGTTATGATTATTTTTTTCTGTATGCATTAACGCTCATGATTATTATTAAATCGTTGATGAAACATTAAGATTATAAACAAGTAGTGTCTAGGAGAGGAAACAAAATTGTGTGGAATTTAATCGTCTTCAAGTTCGAAGTCGCTTATCGAAGAATTCATATCCATGAGGCCATACTCCTTTTGGTAGTGGTCAAGCGTATTGTCGTAGAATTCATGCAGAACATCTTCATTGCTGCAAAATGCTCTGAATTCTTTCTCTAACAGCTCGGTGGTCTGCCTTGCCGAAGGAGTATTAATCGAGGTTCGATGTGAACCCGTCTTGTCATATGTTTGCATTTTTTGTACTTTAGAGTTGTGCAGGCGATTTGGTAACCAAAGAAAGCGACCCTCGTCATCAATTTGTAGCAAAATCGTACCCGTACGATGTATGTACTGAGTATATTTGTAATTAGGCTTTCCCCATGAGTACGTGACATTAACATTCTCTGGAAATTTATTTGCCGCCTCAGTATCCAAAACGAAGTTAAAGTACTTTAATATCTCAGTATGCCACCATTGTTCGTCGACATTCTCACCAGGCGCATAAAACTGTTGCGGTAGTTGAGGAGGCGGTACAGCTAATTCGATAATTAAAACTTGATCAAATGGATTTAACTGCACGACTGCAGAGGCTTCATGAATGGGAGCTTCAACGAGCTTCAGTCCATATTTTTCTAACATTCGAGACCAAGACTGCAACAGACTCTCAATCACACTCGCAGTGGCCATAAGCCATTCAATACGGATTTGATAACATGATGCCGGATTGTGTAATAAATCATAATGAAGTGTAATTGTTTCCGTTCTTCGACTGCTACTCTCGGGATCAGCATTGAACAGTATACGTTTCGACAATTCAACTCTCGGTATCGAAGAAGTGTCATCACTGTGAGCACGTTCCTTTTTTTCCGATGACTTTCTCCAAGAAAACCAGCTTTGGTATGGTTTTGCTGAAACAGGTTTCGCACTGTACTCTTTAGAAACGCGGTAGAAATAATGACCATCCAAAACTGAGTGTTTATTGTGAACATGCTCAATTAAACCCTTATTAAGAAGTTCATTTCCGAAAGAGAGAGCTGCTTCGCGACTATCAATGTCATCAAAATTGTTTAACAACCAGGTCACCAAATCGCTACCAATAAAACAGTTCTTGTAGACTCGGTAGTGCCAGTGAAGATCCTTGATGCGCACACCAGAAGTGGCTTGAAGTTCTCTGGCAATATCCTGAATAGAGTCGGTAGTTTTAAAACGCTTCCCATGTAAAAATAAAGTTCCTTTGCACCAGTCTTGTTCACTTTTATAGCTCTCAAGTTCAGAAGCAATGAATTGAGAAGCAGTCAAAGTGGTAAAATTAATACCAAGCATATTCGTTTCTGTTAAAGATTTTGTCTTCTTGGTATCTTCTTCTAATGGATCGACCTTAGCTTTATAGATAAGTTCACTTAATTTGTTTATACCCTCCAGGCGAAATTCTTCTTCTGTAAATGCATCTGGAACATTTGCGAATTGAAATTTTTGACTGAGGCTAGATGAAAAGGTATTTGTTGGGATAAGAACGAAGCGGGCGCGCCAGTATTTCACCGAATCAGGAAGATACGTTTCAAAACCACAGATGAGCTGATCAACATAATTCCAATTATACTTTGCGGTGTCATTCGCCGAGAATGTTATAGTTGATGGAGCGTACGACTTGGTATTTGGAGACCAGATATTAAACTCATACTTCATTTTCCCATAGCCCGCTCCACGTTTAACATAACGTTTTACCTCAATGTTATATCCGTCAGGGTCACAACACAATCTGTGAAACTGACTGTCTGCCAAACTTAAATAAACGGGCGCGGCATCAAGACCAAAATATGATTGTGCTTCATTGTCAAACTTGTGGGATTTCTTTGGCTGTAACCGTTCATGTAAAAGTCCACTGTCTGAAGTATTCAACTCATTTTTACGAACAACAATTTGGTACCCACGAGACAGACGTTGACATACCATTTCCACCAACAAACTTTTCTGATCCATCTTGGTAAACTCTGGATCAAGACTAACGGTGTAAGTGTGTTCCTCGAAGTTCTCCTCTAACTCTTCTTCCGATGGAAAATAACCAAAAGTCAGAGGCAAAGCTCCAGGAGTGCACATGGAAACCCAATTAAATTCTTTAAGTTTTCTCGCTTTGATGTAAAGATGTTCCCAACGTAAACTGACAGGATCATTTTCTGCTCCAGCTTCCTTTGGCTTGAAAGGATTGTCTATAATTTTCCATGGCCGTTTCATCGAGAAACCGACAACAGTTGTTTTCTTACCATTTGAACCGGAACTTGTTGTCAAATAGTTTTGATGTTTCGTATTTTTTGAATTTTTGATTGTCGTGTTAAATTGAAACTTGGACATGGTAGAAGGTCCCGATTCCTTCAAAGAGACTTTGACTGCTATGGGTTTAGTAATTTGAGGAGGTCTCAGCGGATCCACAGACGTTGTTGGTAAAGCTGGAGGAACGATAAACCCGGTCACTCTTTCCAAGACTGTAAAATTCTGTTCCGTTGAAAGATTCGTTCGAGATGAACGTATGCGTTGATTTGAAGTAGCTGGTCTGGTTTTACTGGACTTTATAATTTCACTTAAGATAGATTGCCGGTCACCGTTACCTCTTTCGTAAACACGTTTTCTTATCCCACTGTCTTCAAATAATTCTCTCCGAAAATAATCGCGTGCATTTGATTGAGCAGTGTATACAGAATTAAGTGTCTCAATGTCTGCAGGTTTCTTCGAACCATAGCTTTTTATTGAATGGCAATGGGATTTCTTTGAAATTCCTAAATCAAGAATTGCTGAGTCCATGACAAATTGTCGCTCGTCGTACTTATCCTGAAATTCTTCATCAAATATATCACCTTTAAAATGAGGATCTGCGTTCAGCAAAGGAATTGATATCTTTGCATTTTCCGTCTCCATGACACCAATCATCTGAAGCTCGTGCATCTTAGCTGTCGGTTGAAACTGGCATTCCAACATATAATTCTCCCACGAAGATCTTAATGAGTGCATTTCTGTTGTGCTGTAGAAACTAATATTACAACCGATGGGTAATGTATAAACCCATTCTGTATCAAGACGTAAATTGTTGAGAAAAGATCCAATGGAAAAATTAGATATCGAAGAAGAAATAGAGTGAGAGGCCAAAACTGAAGGGGACAGGGCTTTTGAAAACTTCTGAGCATTCTCCGTTTGATCGTCACACCTGTCAGAGTTTTTATAGCGCAAAACAGGAGTGTAGTAAAGGGGAATTTTACCAAGTGATACTATATCAATGCCAACGACAGTGTTCAACAGACTCTCAGAAGTCAGGCGAAGCATTTTCTCGTCAACCTCATAAAGACCGGTACCAGGGGTAATGATAATAATACTTGTTCCCGTTCGACCAAGATCACGATCAATATAATCAGTTTGAAATTGATAAACAGCCATGTTAATGACTTCCAAAAAGTTGCCTTCTTGAGCACTGGCCATGCGTCCACAAATGAATTCGGTAACTTCACCATCATCTGAAACAACTTTATCTACTAATACATCATGCTGAAACCTTGCTAGTTCAAGTTTCAGATTAGCAAGTGTAGAAAGCCAGTCGCGACTGGAACTGTTATCAACCACGACTTTAAAGAAATCCTTGTAGCTTTTTTTTTCGGCAGACTGATCATCTCGAAGTGTCGTTTGTGCTTTGTTTGTGGAAACAGGGTCCTTACAATCAGGATTCTCCCAAACACATACTGAGCCAGCTCTGCTGTACTCGACGCGGGCAAAAAGAATAATGGAAACGAGATGATGCGCACCAAGCCGTTTCCACGCAGAAAAGAGGTCAGGAAGGAAACCGTCTATAGCTTTGTTGAAATTGAGTTCTCCATCTTCTTCAAAGTGCCACATTTCGCTGCTCATTTGAATGAAGATGAGAAAGTTTGCACTTTCAGAACGGAAAATTGGTTTTGTTTTTGAAGAGTAGTAAGCAGAAGTTCGCTTTTGACCGTCTCGCCAGATGTATTGTACGACTGCAGAAACATCGCCAATAAAATTAACACGCTGCTTCGAATGAACACATGTACCCTTCAATTTCTCTGATACTCTCCACATATCACTGCGAGATATGAATTTATCACGAAAGAAGAGAACCACGTATTCAGCCTCAGCTTCCTCCTTGTTCTCACAAGCCGAGACAGTTACCATACCTCGTACACTGATGCCTAACAAGTTGGCTAGTTGAGGCGAGAGTGACAACTGTAAGTTGGGTTGGCGTTTCCGCAAGTTACCATCAAGAGGCTCTGGCATCACATAGACAGACATAGTATTTGCTTTAAAGCGGGGTTTCCCATGATGTATGGATCCGTCCATTTCTGAATAACGATCATCCGAATGTTGCGCCGACACTTTGATGACTTGGCCTAAACTGGCACTTGGAACTAAATCATAATTGAGAATGGCATCACTTGTAGTGAGTGTCGCATCATGAGTCCACGTAGTTAGTGTGGTAGACATTATATTTTATATATTTGAAGTTAAGATTAATTCACAAAAATATGTTCAAAACATCCAATTGAGAGAAATAAATGAATAATTGTCCGTATATTTTACATTACAAGGTCAAGAACGGCCGTACGGCTCGTTCTAATGTCAAAATTGGTGAAAAACAAGAAAGCCGGGTTTTCCTGGAGTTCTGCGTGAAGTGTTAGAGACAACACAAAGTGAAGGAGAAGACTAGAAGAAGAATTGTAATGCTGCATAAAACAACTATAGCACTTCTCAGTCTTTACGATTAGGTTATTAACGAGGTCCTTCTTTGTTAACACATTCAGTCAAGCCTCTGCTCCCGTATTATCACCATTGTAATCCCCCGAAAAACAATAGAGGGTAGCAACATTGTATGTATTTTACAGTTATAAACAATACGATATGGAAAGTACTAAATCAACCTGCATAAAAAAGACTCAAGACATTACAAACCGAGCAATGTCTCGGAAAACAGTAGTTCAAATATTTGAAGAATATAACGTTGCAAGAAAAAACCAGAACACCAGATAGAAATCGGAAACGGAAGAGGTGAGCATACAAGCATGAAAAGAAGGTAGACTGTATAGAGGTGCGCGTAAAAAAGAAAGAAGTAGGATTGAACTGGTCATACGATTTTTCAACAAAACTTTTGAGAGAGGGATAAGCGGTTTAAGCATGAGTATTAGTCCTCAGTGCGGACCATTGGACATTAATTAAATCATCAAAGCAACCATCAGTCATTAAATTACTGTACCAGAAGTTAGTAAAACGAACACAGACAACTGTTTGTCATAGTGAATAAACGTACCAAGAAATAATCAGCAATTGGCTGTTTTGCAGGTATTCCTGTCCGCTCCTGAGGTGCTGCTCCGAAAATTTTGAATGTTTGAGTGTCGCCGTCACTTATTTGCATGACGGAAGCAACGTTTCCACATCGGTAACAATAGTTAGGAGCACTCCAGACTGTGACAACGCTGCCAAGATCCTTGTTTGCAATAGTAACAATATCACCCGGAGAAGGGGTATTGTCTTCGGATATAGAGTGTGAATCGGTATCTAACTCCTCTTCGGCATCCTGATATGACGGCACTTGTTTTTCTGCCGAAGAAAAATGCAACTTATAACCTTCCATGACTAATTGATGGGCACGAGCGACAAAGCTTAAGCCGTTTGCATGATTGAAAGCTTCGGCTATATTAGCGCCAAATAAATAACCTGCTCCGCGGGGAGACAGACCCCAACCGCCAATATCGTCAGGATCCGACCAAAGCAAGTCGCACATGGCACCCTCGTGGGGAACCTCTTGTTTTCGATCCAAAAGGCCGATCTGTAGCGGTTAGTAAATAATGGTACGGGTGATTCGCAAAAAAACAAGCATCGGTGTACAAACTGGCCGATTTGAAAGAGGAGTCGCAGCATACCTGATCAAGACTTGTGATACTGGGAGAAAGACCACCGTGTACACATAACACTTTTCCGTCAATTATAGCACCCAGTGCCATGTAGTCAAAAATTTCACAGCAGTAGCGCCAGACATTTGCAGACCCATATTTACGATTACATTCATCGTAAAACCCATACACTTGAGTAATTTGGCGAGACTCATGGTTTCCACGAATTAGAGTGATGCGTGATGGATACTTGCATTTAAGGGTCAGTAAAAGAAGGAATGTTTCTACTGAATAAAATCCACGATCAACATAGTCCCCTAAAAATAAGTAATTAGTGTTAGGACACGGCCCACTAACACGAAATAGTTCAAGCAGATCGTGTAATTGACCGTGAATATCACCACAGACGGTGACCGGTGAATTCACCCACTGCAAGTTGGATTCTTCGATCAAAATTTCACGCGCTAATTGGCAAAGTTCTATGACTAAACATTTGTACATTAGCAAGAGCACTAATTGACGAAAAGCATTAGTATCACCGGTTCCCTACATACCATTTGATTCAGGTACACTTCTGCATTTTTGCAATTGTTCCAATTGCCAGTCGAGATCGAGTCCTCCTGACATTCAAACGCGATTATTCGGATACAGTGTCTTTAGATGTAAGAGTTTTGTGAAGAGGGCGTCTTTACTAGCAAAGACAGAGAAATCGAGCAAGAAAGTGCACGATAACTCTAATTTTCAGATACGAGATCTTTTTTCTTTTAACACGAAATGGTTCAAGTTTTGAACTTGTCCGATAATAATTTCCCTTCTTGTTCCTTGCCCGTGTACAGTAATAAAATAGGCCAAAACCTGTAAAAGCTGAAAAACGCCAGTCCACAGGTGAGAGGGGTTTGTCCGTCAAACCCGAAGGTCTCCCACAGTCAAAATGAAACAGACGTAAGTCTTGAATTTGCTTCTGACAATAAAAAATACAGGAATCGCGCAAATTTGCGATGCTGGTCGTTTTGACTGAATATGCTCTGGTCAGGTGCGAGCCGGTGTTGCAAGGGATTACACCCTTGACATTCGCCTAAAACGGCCCAACCCTTCCTTTCTGCGTTCTATGACATCAGAATTGCGTACTTGTGCCAATTAAGGCTGCGGGAAGCCGACACGCGAATCGCGTGCAGAGCACGTGGAGCTTAAGCGAAATAATCATGGGCGCGCGTATTTACTGGGTGCCTCGGACTGCTGCGAAGGGGCGCCAAGAGCGGCGATGTCAGAAAAAGGGAGAAGGTGGCGATCGGCAGTCAGTGATTGATTTAACGCACGCATGCACACACGCCTGTGTAAAACAAACGAGCTTTACAGATCTTCCCCTGACCCTCTCTAAACTTTTCCCCACACTCCCCGCCCCCGCCCGCCCACCGCCTCGCTACTTAGTGTTACTTTTATCGCCGATGACAATTTTATCAGATCTTCCGACGAACGGGGAAACCTGCAGAAAACCAAGTTGCCCAGAGCACATACCCTGTTTTGAGTGCGCTTTTTGCTGTTGCCTTGTGTCGTTCTCAAACCGTGTTTTGAGGATTTGATTTTGTTTTGTTCTGCGTGCGTTCGGTGTTAAAACATAGCAATGAGTATTTCCGTAGATTCTGTCGAACAATTCCAAGAAATTGTTCAATCGAACAAGGAGAAGACGATTATTCTGAATTTCTATGCACCTTGGGCTGCTCCTTGCCAGCAGATGAATCAGGTTTTCGACCAGCTTGCGACGGAGGCCCCTAATGCAGTATTTTTAAAACTCGAAGCCGAGAAGCTCCCTGACGTTGCTGAAATCTTTGATGTTGCTAGTGTTCCTCTGTTTGTCTTGATTAAGGAACAACAAGTCATTAGTCGTATCTCCGGAGCAAACCCCCAGAAATTGAAGGAGGCTGTTGATGAACATGTTAACAAACTTCCCGGTGCCAAGGCGGCCGATGCCAGTGCGACAAAGAGTACTAGTACTGCCGCATCCAACACAAGTGCTGCACCAACCGCTGTCAAGGAGACTGCTGCTGTCTCCGCCGTCGAGTCTGGAGAAGTTCGTAAGGAGGGTGAACAAGAGTCTGAACAAGAGCTGAACGCCCGTCTGGAGAAGCTCACTCGTGCGCACGATGTGATGCTTTTTATGAAGGGCATTCCCAGTGAACCAGCTTGCGGTTTCAGTAGAAAAATTGTGGCTCTGTTGCGTGAACAGGGCGTCCAATATGGTTATTTCAACATCCTCGCTGATAACTCTGTTCGTCAGGGTTTGAAAACATTCAGCGACTGGCCTACATTTCCCCAACTCTATATCCGTGGTGAGTTTGTTGGTGGTCTTGACATTGTCAGCGAAATGATTGAGACTGGAGAGTTCCAACAGATGATTAATGGATCCGCTTAAAGCGAGAGGAGATCATGCACTCTTGCTCTCCCGTTTATGTGCTTGAGTCTTTAAACGCTCTCTCTATAGGAGTCACTCGCAAGCACTTCAATAACACTCTTTTTCACTCCTATCCCGTATGTGTTTGCACATGGTTATATACTTTTTCCTTTGTCCTCGTTTTGACTCTGTTCTTTTAGTTCCTCCTTGTTTTATTTCTGTCACTCTCAAAGGGTATATACGCTTTGTTGGCAGGCACATATATAGTCATACTCCAATAAAACTTTTACTTCATCATATAAATACGTAACAGGCATAGCTAGTAGCTTCTCATGTGTGACATGGACGTCTCAAAGATATGCTCGTAGTCTCTACGCGCAGTCAAAAGGCGCTGATTCAAGTCAATAAGCTCATCTTTGCGTGAGGAATACTGTTCCAGCAACCGAATTAACTTCGGACGGAGACTCACCACCTGCTGTACACGTCCCTGAATCTCCTCGTCGTCCGCAACTTGTGGTTGAGCAGTACTAAGCAATTTAAGCAAATCCTCAACTTCGGGTAAGCTCTCAAACACAATTCGTTCTGCCTCCTCATTTCGTTGCTTCTGCTCAGTCGATAGCTCGCGGATACGTTCCACATAGTTTACCGGGAAAATACCAGTTTTACCGCCGACAGTACCTGTCCACCAGTCTTTGTAAGCGCTCTCAAGAACTGTAATAATGTCGCCCTTGTGAATTGACAACTCTCCTGGCTCTGTGGCAGCAAAGTCGTACAAAGCTCGGACTCGGTATACAGAAGAGGCAGGGGTTTGGTTGAGGGGAATATTCTGAACAGTCTCAGGAGCAGGGCCGGCAGTACCATCTGGAGCAGTGGAAACTGCTGGCGGGGCACTGTCATTGCTAACTTGAGTCTTATCGGGTTGAACACGCGAGAATGAATTGTCAGGTTTGTTGGTTGGAGCTTGTTTGTTGACGCTCATCTCAGAAAGAGAAAGAGCGAGTGCATACTCAAGTTCTTCTTCCTCTCTCCTTTTATCTGCTGCACTAATTCTGTGTTTTCCCGGTTTGTCTGGAGCATCCTGCGGTGTAAGTCCTAATCAAGCATTCATGTTAGAGAATTGGCCTTGACTTTCGCCAAAATAAAAATACTTACCCAAGCGTTCTATGTTGTCTTTCAGTTCAGACATGAGATCAAGATTAGCATTGTAAGAAAGCTGAGTGGCCCATTCGTTTACCAGGCTGGCAATTCGACTTTTTACATGGGCATGCACATTTGGAGAATCCGCCAGTTGATAGATAGCCGTTGTAAATACCCTAGAACAGACCTCCTGATGAAGCTGAAGCTGGCAATTCTTAACTAAAGCATCTACGAGCTTTGAATGTTAGTTTCGTAAAATTGAATTTAAGTCACTTTGAGCTTCGTGACTCTATTGAGACATACGGACAACGAATACAACTGCACATTCGCATTGGGGACCTGGAAACGTTTGATAAGGTGGTTTACCACAAGTCTTGCGCTATTTTGGTTAGCAAACTGCTTGATAGAAGATTTAGTCTTACTCGTCGGGAGAACCTCCATTAACACGATCGCACACATTAAGAATTAGGTCCCATTTTTCCTCTGTGTTGTTTTCATCCGTAATTTGGTTGATTTTGGCCTCCAATGAGGCACTTCTGCGTCGTGCCATGTTTTGTAATGGTCAAGGCTGTGGCAGCAGGAAGGCTTATTAAGTTTGTCATTAAAATGAAGCAGTCTGATTTCAAAAAGAACTAGAAGCGTGAAGAGAATTAGGAATTGTATGTAAAACACACACGTAATAGGTTATCTTTAATTGTTCTCATGTTGCGAAGTCGTAAATCCGAATACACTCGAAATCCAAAACTGTCAAAACCTGAATAATGATTATGTACCGTTATAACTTACAGAACGACCACCTCTTTGTTCAGATCTACATGTTTCATTTACTGAACTTGTCCCTCTATGAGCTTCTCTTGTCTCTATGGATATGATAACTTTACGCTCCAATGTAAACTTCTTTAAAAGTAAAATTAAGAGAACGGTTATAGGAAGTTGTTTTAGTTTACCGTTCCATATTGCACGAACGCATCCTCTGAATATTGCTCTTAACCGTCTTGATCAATTGGGCTAAGGAACAATTGTGCTGAAACAGAAGCATACCAAATGCTGGGATATTTCATCACATCAGCTACTTATTTATGCATTCCTCCACTGCACTCTTTTTATAATAGAGTCAAACGGTTCTAATACTTTTGCCTACAACTGCGAAAAGACGCCAGCACGGCATTTATTACGCTTCAATCAAATCTAACAGAAAGCGGAGCAAGACGTAAGAAACAAACGAACATTCGTAAAGCTTTCTGCTTCGGTTGCTATCTAACTGGATACTGTTCTTCGGTGCGAGTTGGGATGGCTCCTTCTTACTACACAGCAGGTTGAGCTGCCATATTTTGGCTTTTTTTGTTAGTAATCGCCGGGTTTTCAGCAGTTCCTGACTCTAAATTACAGATATAACTGTTTTAACTTATAATTTTTTCAATATTGTGAGCAATTCATGCTGTCTATTTGTGAATTGAAATGCATGATTCTCAATCATCTGGATCATATCCACGCACTTCAAGCGAATGGAACTCCTTCGCGATAGATGAAACGCCTTCGTACATCATAAATCATGAAATATTTCCCGATCGAACATTCGCTCAACTTGTGCAGACAGCTTTTTCTCCAAGAATTGCCGTCTTGGCCACGTACGATGCAGACAAGTTGGCTTATCACAAGGGTTTTACACAGGGATTTTGGGAACTGCTGCGTCCATTTGGAGATGAAATACGAGAGAAAATAGTCGCTCATGATATGCAAGGCTCTACCCGAACACTTAACAATTTTGCTCTTCATTTTGTACCGTTTGATGCATACGATATGTCCGTACGGACCAAAGGAAAGGAAAACTCTTTTCGAGCAACCGTGGCTTCAAAGCATCCCAATCTTGTTTTGACGACACCATTGTCCGACTATCGATTTGGCACCAATTCCAAAGACGTAGAACAGTGGTTGTGGTACTTGGCATACTTTCGGCATCAAGATATTTCAGGGAAAAGTGCGCTTTTATACACGCAGCAGTTCCTTGCCGGTCAACCATTAGTACCTTTTGAAACATTTAATTATCCCGTACTAAACCTGTTTGTTGTTTCTTCACATAATACATCGCCCGTTGATGCTCTCCGTGTCCTAATTCAATCAACAAAATATGCAGATTGCCCTACCTTCCTCACGCCTGACGCAACACCTCGATATGTCTTTGTACATGACGAAGACAAACATGATTTAGAGTTGTCCATTGCAATCTTTGATACAATGAAACGCTCGTTCGGGGATAATGGATTTTTCCTTCGTTTACACTCTCAGAAGGCAACATTAGATTATGAGTCTGCTGTTCCATGTCCCCGGCCACAGTGGCTTTCTGCCCAAGAACATTTGAAGCTTCTACAAGCTAGTGAAAAAACCCCCTTTTGCATTTTCCAGTCCGATGTTCAAGCCATTCAACGGTTTGTTACAAACTTTTCTACCCTTAGCGTTATTCCTCATATGGAGCGCTGTGTCAAAAAATGGGATGATCAATATGCTTCTACTCGTCGTGGCTTTACGGGAAAACTACTATTTGCCTCGAAGAAATACTTCTCACCTTCGGGTTCAGGAATCGCTAGCAATTTTCGCCATGCCTCACACACTTACAAACGTAACAGTACCGAGTTTTTTATGCGTCGTTTGGCTGATTTTTCCTTTATGCTCGGTGACTGGACTCACGCTATAAGTGTTTACGAAGCTTTAATCCGTCAGTATAACAATGACCAGGCTCATCTGTACCTTGCCGCAGCCCAAGAAATTGTGTCTATTGCGCGCTCATTCTCGCCCGAGGATCGTGTTCGTAACAGTGAGAAGTCTACCTTACAAACACTGCAAACATACATGAGTCATTACACCAGAGGTGTCCCCAATTCCCATTTTCATGCTGCCCGCGCATTCCTTCTTTTAGGTCAACTTTTTGGTTCAAAAACCGAAGTTGATATTGATAATAGTGCCAATTGGTGCACGAGCCTTTTATTTTTTAGACGTTTAGGCCCTCTTGGACAAGCTATTATGTTTCAACGCATTGCAAACTTGTACCAGGAGACTTGTGAAAAAGCTGTATCCGCATCGCAAGGTGCTGTTACAGCCGGTACTCACCGTTCTCGAATTAGGAAGGCTGCATTTTGGTCTCTTTTAGCCGCTGAATTTTGGTGTAAATGTAGATTGCCGGAACTTGCAACTCCCTTGTTTTCGCAATCACAAGGCACATATGATCAAATCCGTTGGACTTCCATTAATAAAAGCGTCTACAACGTGAGCAAAGAGATAGATCGTTTGCAAAAACGCTACACACACAGTGACCCTTAATCGTTGCCAGGAAAAAATTGCAAATCTCGCCGGGCGAGCAGAATCATGGCTGGGCCAATACACAATAGCAAATACGTTTCCCCTTTATTCCTCCTTACGGTTATGACATGAAATGGTCAATGCTTCGTATATCTACATCCTAAATGTTGCTCTATTAAATGTCTAATCCAATTACACTTCACTCTCATGACTTGTCGGCTCTCGTGCTGCGTCACTGCTGGCTCCGGCAGAAATATTATTTTTTGATTCTCCTGGTTTTTTTGCAGTAGAGTTTCGTTTCATGTTGTTTCGTGCATTTCCAACAAGGCGCTCAAAATCATCTGCGTACAGCTTTTCCCAGTCGGGTCCTCCAATTTTGTCTCGTTTTACGATGGGCTTTCTTGACTGGGCATATTCCCAGTCTCGAAGCTCACGAAGTAACACGGCTCGAGTTACCGGGTGTGTTCGATCAAGGTTAGCATTGTACATAGTGACCCATTGAGAGTGCCGACGCTGGAGTGTCTGTTTGTTACCGTCTGTAGGCAGTCCAAGTTCAGACAGTTTAGATCGCATTTTCGACTCGGAGAGAATGGCATATGTAATTTTAGGCAGACGAACACGCTCTTCTATAGGCATCTCACGATGATTCCGACTGACGGTAGACGTGACAGAAACGGATAATCCGCTATTTGTAGTGGCTAATGATGTGCTTGAAGAGGAAGAAGAGGATGGAAGTATTGATTGAGGTGTTCGTAACCGTTGTAAAGTATTTCTTTTACTTAGCAAAGTTCTTTTTAAAGCATTAGTTTTGGAACGAGAGGCGTTTGAGTCTGCTAGCGAGTTTAACGAAGACTCAAGTTCTTGGATTTCATGTTGTAGGGAAGCAGCCTTTTCTTGTTTATCAATGCAGGCATTTACATGAGACTGAATCTGATCTTCTGAAATTTGGTCATCACATATAGGACAAGGAACGGTAGCAGGCGCAACCTTTCGTTTTTTTCCAGTGCTTGCTCTGGACGAGCGTGAAGGAATAGAGACTACGGGAGACGGGCTATTTTTTATTGTCATTGATGGGGAATTTGAGACTTCGTCGACGTACACGAGTTCGTCCTCGACAATAGGTTCAGGCAAACAAATTGATTTGGATTCTGATTCTGGTATTGGTTCCGGTACTGGAGCTAGTTGTTCGAGCAACGAGGACCGCAGTTTATTAAAACCTTCTACCAATTCTTCAACCACAAGATTTTTTCTCAACCTACTCTCCTGTTGTTCACTACGACATATTGGACAAATAGAATGATCCTTCAAATAGCATCGGATGCAATATGAGCAAAACGAGTGACAACACGAAGTGATGAGAGGACCGCTGAAAAAGTCATGACATATAGGACATCGAAGCAAAGATTCAAATGAGGTCAGTGAGGGAAGGCGAGTGTTTTGCCAATCTGAAGAATCTGTCGTATCAGCTTGCATATAAGGAGCTCACGGATTGGTTCGTGTTTATATTGTTTTATAAGAAATGTGTAGACGAATTTCCAAAGAAAAAAGCGCAGAAAAAGCTTTAAAGAGAAAAAAAAGAGACCAACTTCAATGAAAGAAATGCAACTTAATAAAATTAAAAGAACAAGCAAGACAAAAGACCTCGTCAACAATTCTCAAAACCCTCGACGTCGTCGCTTGCACTCCAGTAATTGCATGGCCATTAAGCTCTGAACTCACCACCAAAAAATGGAGGAAACTCACCACCAAATGAAGCACAACAGTTGGTGGTGGAGGCAGTAGCGGTGACGGCAGGCGATTAAAGAAGGCAAAACAAGCAGTAAGAGAGACACAGAACGCAACCGAGGAAACTAAACCGTAACACAAGATGAGTGACATTGACCGCCTGCTCAGTCGGCTTGAGTCGAGTGTAAACAAGGTACGAAATGAGAAAGCAGGATACTCATATTTGCAAAACCAAATTTCTAACCTTTTGTGCCAATCTAGGATCGAGAAATCGAACGAATTATGGGTTCATTTAAATTGAATGCCTACGATGTTTTAGGTGTGATGCCCGGCATCAGCCCCGAGGAAATTCGTAACGTCTACAGGAAAATGTCTCTTCTCATTCATCCAGACAAGAATCGCGATAATCCTAAAGCAGCCGAGGCGTTCGACGTGCTTAAGAAAGCGGAATCAGAACTACTGGATGACAAGGTCCGGGAATCGTTAGACTCAGCCTTTACAACAGCGCGCAACCTTGTAATGCGTGAGAAGAAGCTCAATGTCAATTCAGAAGAGGTGAAGAGTGAGGAGTTTCTCTTCCAGGTACGGATGAAATGGCGCGAAATTCTTATTGAAGATGAAGTCGCCAGACGACGAGCTCGGACACTAGAACAAGCTTATCAAAGACGCGAACGAGAGAAGGAAGAGGAAGTCATACGGGAACGCAAGATGAAAGCTGAATCGGAGCGTGTTTGGGAAGAGACTCGCTCCCACCGAGTCAACAACTGGCAAAAGTTTTTACATAAAACGAAGAAAGACAGTCTTAAAAAGAAATCTAAGAAACCGAAGGTCTTGGGATAAACAAGGTTTAAGAACGTTACATCTAACAACTAAAACTAAGCGAACAACGACGTACCAAAGCATCGGCATATAGCTCAGAGAGTGTCACATATACACACACATATTCATATATAATAGACACGCACATGCAGGCAGTACGATGACACGCCCCACAAATTTCCCCTTCACAGACAGCAAGTAGGAGAGAGGAATAAGAAGAGTAGTGAACCATTCACATTCGCTCACACCCATGTGCAGATTCACAGAGAAAACAAGTGGGCATCAAGCGAACACGAACATAAGCCGAAACGAAAGGGCAACATTTATATGGCAACATCTGGTGTCTGCACTGTCACCAAAGCCTATACAGTTCTTAAGCAGAAAGAATCACCAAGGCTCGTCAGCTTGTTCACCGTGCTCGCGTACTGCAAATCCCAAAGCAATCAAACACAGTTATTGTGTCTGCACATTAAGTTCATAGGGTCCGCTTACACGGTACCCTTTCTTGTTGCTATTTCAGTCACACAATGAGTAATATACCTCGTAGTCTGTTCATCGAACACGCACAAACACACACACACATAATACACACTCGCATGCATACACTTGGCTTCACGGATACCGTGGTACACAATTGCTGTAGGGAAGATGTGCAACAAAACGTGTGAACTGCAGGTACCCAGACTGTGTGGACTTAAACACTTTTGGGAGAATTAAATGAGAGAAAGGCAAACAGCAAAGGATGAACAGCTGCCCTTTTGAATGGAGGATTACCGCCGCTTACACGCACCTACGCGTGTTCACGACGATCGATCAGTGTGTAAGGCGGAATGCAAGCGAGAGATACACAGCAGTACTAACTAAGCTTTATGTGCGTTGTTTCCATTAGATCCCTCATCGTTAATGTGAGCCAGAGGTCCTTGCTCAGAACCATGCTCGTCAGAGCCATCGTCACTGCCAACAATGCCCTTAGTTTTATCAGCAGCAGCTTGAGCAGCGCGTTCACGCTCTCTCGCCTCCTGCTCCTGACGCTCCATTTCGGCCATATGCCGAAGATCGTCATCACTAGGTTCGTATATGTGCCAAATCACATAGTGAGGCAGACCAACCACTGAATAGCCCATCTTGCGAGCCATTTTACCGAAACCTTCCGTTTCAGCGTGTCGCTCAAACGAAAATGCTGGGAAGTGACAACCACTGAAGAATACGTAGGATTTGGCCAAAATAGACACACCTCCAATACCGTCCAAGGGCATTTCATCAGAAGGGTCACCGTACTCGTCACGCAAGTACGCCAAGTGAGGACGCCACGTGGCATATTCTTCGTAACCTTCGACGATAACGTCGTCCTCACCAAGTGTAGCAGCAAGTTGCAAAGCAACATCAGACTCTTGCCACGAATTCAAATCGTATGGCTGTTCATTTCCGAGCCAGTCGGGAAGTGGACGCCACACGTTAGGAACGATAACATCCTTGTTATGACGCATCAAGTCCTCCAAGATGGTCGCTGGAGCTGTTTCAACATCAGCATCTCTCCAGTAAACCCAAGAATGGTAGGGTTTCAATGTGGCAGTAAGCAGCCAGTTTCGGGCACGGGCCATCAGCTTACGACGGGGGCCTTGAGCGGCGAAACCATGACGGTCACTGAAATCCTGACCGATGACTGCACCAAAGTCTTTCAAGAGGATCGTAATCTCACCGAAGCGCATTGACTCATCGGGATGGCCCTGTGCTTCAACCAGATGCTTCTGAAGGACCTTGAGAGTATTGTCATCCGAGTCAGAAACGAGAAAAGCGAGGTCAATGAGTCGATGGGGGTAAGTAAGGTTCTGTAAGTGACCAAAAAACATCTTCATGTGACTTTCGGCATTCCGCAAGGGTACACAAAACAAAACACGGCCTTGTCCGTTAATTCCGAGCGAACGGCGGTAAGTCTCGCCCATGTCGTACTCGTGAACATTTGAGGAAACACCTGCAGCAGCGGAAGAGGCGGCAGAAGACGAGGAAAACGCGGAATTTAGAGCTGGTGCAAACGAGAACATCGAGAGAGAGAAAGGCAGGGATTGATGGAAAAAGAGAACAACACAGACAAGCACCACAACAATCAGAAACTTCATTCCTTTCCGCCGAAAAAGGTAACCTTCGTAAGAACGCGGTTGAAAACGACGGGGTGTAATTCCAAACGGTCCATCGTCACTCGGCAAGTGCTTGGACTTCATGGTGAAGAAGCTACGGAGTGTTTGGCTCTGGGTAAGTGTGGCTCTGGTAGAGAAAAGCCCAAGTCGTGGAGCAGTTCGGCTGGAGGACGATGCGGGGCGTGTGGGGGGGATGTATGAGTGAAAACGGTGTAGTGGTGGGGGTCTGAAGATCAGTGGGGGATTTGCAGAGGATCTGCAAAAAAAGAAAAGACAGAAAAACGATTCTGTCAAACGGCGAATTGCCGTAAGACTAGTTAGATTGTAGCGGTAGGTGAATGGATTGTCAGAAAACACTGACGGTTGAAACGAAAGTAAACGATAACTGTATGCGTGTAAAAAAGTTGAGTTACACACACAGGGTGAAGAAGACAGAAATAAGAGTGGAACGGTTGCTTCTTTTGAAGACCGGAGTTATGCAATTGTGTGCATAAAAAACGGATGCGGAAGCTAACAGAGTGTTTCGTAGCATTTGCACTTAGCAGCATAAGTGGAGAACGTGAGCACGGGTAACACTGTCATGTGGACGACACAGTGAAATGCACACTGTGAACCACTCGTAGCTGCTGCGGCAACAATGCTCTGAAGTCTTAATGGCTGTTGCTTTTCTGGACGGCATTCGCAAAGGCGACAACTTGAGCCATTTCATCCACATCATGCACACGGACTATATTGGCTCCTTGAAGGACACTGGTAGTAATAGCAGCAGCAGTACCCCAGGTCCGGCGCTTTGGGTCATTGCTTGTCTCGCCAGAGTAGACACCGACGAAACGCTTACGACTGGGTGCCGAAAGCCAGGCAAGATCACGGAAACCGGGTGTACGTATCAAATCTTGGAGGTGCGAGAGCAACTCGATGTTTTGCTTAGCATCTTTGGAAAATCCAAATCCGGGATCAAGAATAATGTTGTAACGAGGGATGCCCGCATCGATAGCACGTTGCACTGCCTGTGCAAGTTCTTCACGTACACTGGTTACAACATTGCCGTCGTATGTCTCATGGCTATGCATGCGAGCAACATTGCCGCGATTGTGCATTAAGCAAATAGGTACGCCAAGATCAGCCGCCAAGGAAAGCATATCAGGACTCGCTTGCCCAGCCGTAACATCATTTATAACATCGGCCCCGGCAGAAATTGCCTGCTTGGCAACTTGAGATGAATATGTGTCGACGCTAATGGTCGTGGTTATCCCGGCAGAACGAAGAGCTTGAATGGCAGGAATTACACGGTTGGCTTCTGCTTCGGCAGGTACGAGTTGTGCACCAGGACGCGTTGACTGTCCTCCAATGTCCAAGATACGAGCACCCTTCTCGACCATGGCCTTGGCTTTCTCGACAATACTGTCCAGCGTGCACTCGCCGCCATCAGAAAATGAGTCCGGTGTTACATTCAGAATTCCCATAATAACGCAGGCGTCTGTTTGCTCACTTCCCTTGAGGTATGGACGATAAGCATGAACGCCAGTTTCGTCGCAATCTTTCAGGTAATGAACAAGTGGAACACCAGTTCGAGGATGAACTAAGTCTGGTGCAATACACAACAGCGGCCGAAGCACAAATGCCCGTTCGTGCATTAAGAGATGGGGAATGTGAAGTCGCTCGTTGTCAACAAGGGTCCCATCCTCAAGCATTACCAAATCTAGGTCGATGCATCGGGGTCCTTTGTCCACCAATTTGACGCGACCAAGTTCATTTTCAATAGATTGACAAATGTTGAGTAACTCTATTGGTGGCAGGTTTGTCTTAACCTTGCAAACGCCGTTTAAGAATACAGGTTGATCAGTAACATACATGGGACGAGTCTCAAACATTGGTGATACATCAAGCACTGTCATTTTAGAACGTAATCTTTTGAGAGCAGCCTGAATCATGCCGAAACGATCTCCCACGTTGCTTCCAAATGACACATAGCAAATCCGATCAGTCGTGTCAACAACTTGCGGCGTTGAAAGTGCCTTTTCAAGCGCAAAGTAGGCTTTACTACGCTCAACACTGACTGCAGAAGCGTCAGCAAATGTGATTGCACTTGGTTTCTCCGCTGTCACTCGCACATTATCGACGTCTACTTTATCACACAGCAAGCGAGCGACGTCAAGTACCAGTGCTTCAATGGTCAGGAAACTGGTTTGTTCGACATGCTCTGAGATTGTGCGGGCAATGTTTTCGACATGTCTCACTTGATCATTTGAGTTGCATTCGAAGGAAACATGCATCACGACACGTTGCTTTTCAGCACGCTCAAATGGGTGAACGCCAATGATAGCCGGCACTTGTAGTTCTCGTAGAACGACTCGATCAGGATGGTGCTCTTGCTCAGAAGATAAGGATCCGGTGGATTTGCTTGTTCGAATTGCTTTATATGAAACGCCGGCGTCGGATCGAAGCACTGACTTTGGTTTTGTGAGCTCCATCTCGACAAAACGAGCGTCAATTTCCTTGTGAGAGCAAGTGTCACCCACGAAGTCAGCCAGTTCTCGTAAGCTACCAAAAGTTCTCGCTTCGACGGCGGCTTTCAATATCTTTGAGGCAATTCCATAATGAATTGTGGAGTTCAAATCGTCTTCTGTTCCAGCAATTCGTACATTGTTTCGCATGGACACATGCATGACAACTGGCTGGGGCTGTTCACGACGCCATTGATCCAATCCAACTGTTGTTGTTACACGCAGATTCTTGATAATGATTCTGTCGTCTACATCATCAAGTGTTTGCTTTTGTGAAATGTTCTTGGCCATGTTAACAAAACCTCTCGAAGGTACGGGGACAAATTGCTGACTAGACACAGAATTGTTTTTTGGTAAAAAACTACGGCGAAACGATATGCGACGACGACCTAAATGTCCAAATTCCCAAAAAATGCTTCCAAAGTACTGTAGCATGCAGAATGCAGCTAGTTTTCGTAATAAGAACCTCTAATAAATTGTTGACTTGTCTACAAGAAAAACGATCAAAAGTGTAGACACTTGTTCCCTATACCCCTATTCTATGGCAAATGCAGCTTACAGGTGCTTTTTTAAACTATTAGTCAAAGAATTGCTGCCAAATGTAAATTGCCTCTTGTAAGGAGCTGGATGTGGGTACGAGTAAAAAGCTGGGTGAGAGAAGAGATATGTTTTCAGAATACTGAGAAGATGCAAACATCTATGGACGTGGATAATTGACCTTACATAAACTTGTACCGCGTTTTTCTGTGATTGAAAACGCATTTGTTGTCGTAGTGAAATAGCTGCTCATCGTATGCGAGGGATACACACAGTTACAGTTAGAAGAAGAACATGTTTGTAATATAAATCCTTAATTGAATAAATATAACGCGTTTTATTCGTATATAACGAGGAATGGTTCAGTCTTACTCATCCATCTTCCCCATACATTTCTTTGTCCGTCCCAACCCAGCACCCAAACCTAATCCCTGTTAATACTGTTAACGGTAGAATGGCAGAATCAACCTCGGATTACTATTTGCAAGAAGTTATTCTTAACGAAAATGGAACTGTGAGTTCAGTAAAGTTGTTTTTAGACAGCATTTAACAAGTTAGGTTACCTATCAATCGTTAGCGCGTCACCTCAAAATACACATCGATGAAGCAAGAAAGTACATAAAACTCCCCCTGTACTAAATATCTAACGGTACTAGGACTATGCTTGAGTTCTCTCGGGGGCATCCAGAAACGCAATTGATTTATTTGGTTGCGGGAATGAAACAGCTTGCATCTACAGTGGTTTCTGAGGACTCTGAGTTGGTTTGTACAGCTCAATCTAGCTATCAGCTTGCACGAGCATCCGAACTTGAGGGTATGAAGCGAATAAAGGCAGTTGATAAGTCGTGATATTATTCTTACGAACTGTGCTAATCTTCGATACTTTTTATCACACCCAACCTTCATGGTTCTGCTCAATGCTAATGCTCGTTAGACATAAAACGCTCTTTCGATAAAGTTTCGAGTGTAACAGTGTACGCTATGTCTGGCGTTATCTTACAAGTGTGTTATATTATCGCTTTCTCGCTGGTTTCTAACTGGAGTATAGGATTTTGATGAACTCGTACCCATTATAAATCATTACGAAGCACAGACTGTTGCATACTCTAAGGAGGATGCTAAAAAATTCGGTTTTATTTACAACAAAAACTCCAAGGTGAGACTTTGTGTGTTTATTTCTTTTACTTGTCTAACATGGGTAGCCTCGGGATGAGTACGCAGAGACCTTGGAAAAACAACAGAAGAAACAACCAAGCGTCGTTAAACTCGAAAATAAAAGGGCCGCTACAGTGCCTGTTGCTGGTCGCCCAACTAGTACAAAGCCTAGTGTGAAGCGTCAAACAAAGAGGGACAAGGAAAACGAGGAACTGGCATCAATGATGGAAGTCGATGATGAATCTTTTGCCCCGTCCACACGTACAAGCGGTAGATCAACTCCCTCAATTGGTTCTGTTCCGGTTGATTCCAAATCTACTACATCTGCTAATGCAGATCAAGAGTCCGACGTGAACGAGTCTATAACGTCTCGTTCCAACGGTCGTAAACGTGGTAAGAGAAAGGTACTTAAAAAAGAAACAACTACAGATGAGGAAGGGTTTATTGTTGTACGAGAGAACTACGTCTGGGAATCATTCTCAGAAGACGAAGAAACTGCTTCACCGGAATCTATGACAGCAGCTAAACCCAAGCGCTCAAATACTGCTCCTGTACGTAAACGCAGCACTGCTGCACCAAAAAAAAAGACTCAACAAAAGTCGATCATGTCCTTTTTTGGAAAGAATTGATCCATGCTCACACTTCCATAACAAAAGACAAAACATTTCATCAACGTCTACTCCCTTTCATCCTCGTCAAATCCGTCCGGTTCCTCTGCCAAACACTCAGACAGTCAGTTTCTTTGTAAAACAGCCATTTACTATGTTTTCCTATTGTTACCACTTCTATACAACAATTCTTCTTTCCAGCACAACTGCGTATCTTCCTTCTGGCGGTAAGGTAAGGCCTATGCAAGTTCCTCAGATATTCACCCCCACACACCCCACATGTCCGAGTAACATTGTTACCTTTCAGTTTTGCGCTTCTCGACGACAATTGCCTTCTTGCCCTTTACACGATTCGCATGGCAAACAAAAATAGCGGCCGGAAAGGTTCCCGTTCGGGAAGCAAGCCCGTCATTAAAGATCCCCGTTTTGCGTCCCTTCATTCTGATCCTCGTTTTGCCAGACCTAAGAAGGACAAGTTTAAGGTTCAACTAGATGAGCGTTTCAAGTCCATTAAAGAGGATAAAGATTTCAAACAGACCGCAAGCGTTGATCGGTACGGTCGAAAAATAAAGGGCGATAAGTCAGAGAAAGAAATTGAACGTCTGTACAAGCTCGAAGGAGAAAAAGCCGAGTCTGAAAGCGAATCCGAGTCAGAAGAAGAGGAATTTAAAGGGATTGAAGGAGAGGACGACGATGAAGCTGAAAGTGGTGGGGATGACAACGAGGAGAGCGAAGAGGAGTCAGAAGAGTCTTCCTCTGAAGAGGAAGAGACTGTGTTCGACCCTGCTAGAGGTGAGGGTGTCATTGACACTTCCGACAGTGAGGACACTTCGGATGAAGAAAGTGAAACAGAGCTGCAGCCAGAAGTAAGCGAGGCTGCAGGCATTGAGCCTGAGAACGTTATTCCTCGCGGTGATGAAACTTCACGACTGGCTGCTGTCAACTTGGACTGGGACAACATTCGTGCCGTTGACTTGTACGTTGCACTCTCTTCATTTTGTCCCGCCGGTGGTCGTGTCTTAAGTGTTACCATCTATCCCAGCCAGTTTGGCAAAGAACGTATGGCTAAAGAGGAACTCGAGGGTCCTCCAAGTGACATCTTTGCTAAGAACAATTCCAACACAATTTCTGCTACTTCGTCCTCGTCGACAGCCGTTGAAGAGGAAGCAGACGCTAGCGAAGACGATATCGAGTATGAGTTTGACGACGCTGATAATGGCGACGACGACGACGACGACAACTTGATCACTGAAGATAAAGGTGAAGAGTTTGATATGGTTCAACTGAGAAAGTATCAACTTGAACGTCTGCGTTACTATTATGCCATTATTGAGTGTGACTCTGTTCACACAGCCAAGAACATTTACGACTCGTGTGATGGCACAGAGTTTGAGGCCAGTGCCAACGTCTATGACTTGCGGTACGTCCCCGACGAAACATCTTTTGAGGAAGATGAACCAGCCGACGTGTGCACAAAGCCTCCCGTAAATTATGAACCTCGTGAGTTTGTCACTGACGCCCTTCAACATTCTAAGGTGAAACTGTCTTGGGATGCTGAAGATCCAAACCGCCGTGAACTCATCAAAAAGGCATTCACCTCTGACGCTTTGGAAGATCTTGACTTTTCAACATACGTAGCATCAAGTGATGATGACGACGATGAGGAAGAAAGTGAATCTATCCGTCAAAAGTACAGAGCGTTGCTCAATGGCGATGATAACGAAGGAAACGTTTTTGAAGATGACTTTGGCAAAGGATCAGCTAACGGTGAAATGCAAGTTACATTCACTCCGGGCATAGACGATTCCAATGACAAAGATTCAGAAGATGAGACGACTATTGAAAAGTACAGACGCAAGGCCACAGAACGCAAAAAGCGCCGTAAGGAGTTGCGGAAACAGCGCATTGCTGAGCAAGCTGCTGAAAACGGTGAAGCTGATAAAGATCTTGGCTTTGATGATCCCTTCTTCAATGATGAGAATTCCAAGTCGGGTAAGACAAAAGGAAAGAAGGACAAAAAGAAGGGCAAGCCTTCTGCTACTGAAGATGATAATACCGCTGCTTCTCGTGAAGAGTTGGAGAAACTCGTTCGTGAAGATGAAGAAGCAGATGGCAAGAAGCACGATCACTTTGATATGAAGAGCATCATCAAGGCTGAAAAGGGAAAGAAGAACAAGAAGATGAAGAAAAAGCTCAAGAATCTTGAAGGCCTCCAAGAGAACTTCAACGTTGATCTTAGCGATCCTCGTTTCTCGGCCCTGTACACAAGTCACCACTTCGCCATTGATCCCACAAATCCTCACTTCAAGCGTACCACAGTTACTGAGACTATCCTCAGCGAAACTTTGAAGCGTCGTGAGCACGAGCACGAAAAGCCCACAGAGGGCCGTGTCGAGTTGAAACAGAAGCGGAGAAGGGTCGCAGAAAAAGACAAGTCGCAGGAACTTGATCGACTTGTTGCATCTGTTAAGAACAAAAAAAAGTAATCCAGTTCACAGAATGACTTGGGTTGGTTGGGTTTCATATGGTTAATTTTAAAATAGATCAATCTTTCTTTTTTTGGACATAAGCGTACATGCCCAAGGTTCCTACAGAGCCTTTCATTTCCGTCTCCCATCAAATCGATAGTGCGTTTTCGGCTGTAATATTTAATGTGGTCTGCGTTTTGTTCACCTTTTTCCCGAACATTGACATGTTTTAAATCTGTTTAAAATTCTGATTGTCACAACATAGTTAAGAAGCTGATAAATCTGTTTTTGCTATATTCATTGTAGAGAGCAAAGGGGAAGAGAAATCGGTGGAAAGGAACTCGTGAAATTTCATGAACAAGGTTACACAACACGTCTGGTCCGACGAAGTCTATAAAAACGTCGTATGGTCTATCATATACTCACTCATATAATTGATTGGTCAGCGAGGAAAACCGCTTAGTTTTTCTTGGCATCTTTGTTGGCATAAATCTTGGCAGTAAAAGGTCTACAAAAGTTAGTAAGAGATTTAAAACATGACACAGAGTTGTAGGGCAACCGCACGGCTCGAAAATCAGCGAGCCGAACAGATACCGCACTCGGTACCGACTGTAAGACGTACTCTTCGTATTTCAAAGCGAGCTTATACACATAGTAAACCTCGGCAGTCAACAAGAAACCAACAGGCTTTCCGTAACGAAGGGCCGTGGCCAAAAAGCACAGGGTAGAGCCGACATACATAGGGTTGTCGCAAACATTGAATGGAAATCCGGTGAGACGGGCGGGAAGAAGGAAACCAAAGTAGTCACCAAGGTAAGTGTTAACTATGCCAAGTCTGTACATGCTGGACAAGACGAGAACACTTCCGGCAAGCAACAAGAGCTTCGAGATGCCTTGGAAGAAAGGTGCCAAGAGAAGCGACATCGTTGGTTGACGCTTAATGGCATTTTGGAAGATCAAATCGCGAATAATACCGCCAACAAAAATGACTATAGCCAAACCATAGCAAGCTTTCTTTGAATCACCGTTTGCGAGCTTGGTCAAAGTCTTGTTGTGATACTCTTGGCGCGCTGCCAAATTCCAAAGCAGAGGGTTCAGGAAGATAGACAAGACGGCGGCCAGCAAGGACTTTTTGAATTCAATAAAGAACATTTTTGTTAATGGGAGAGGACAGGAAGCCCGAGACAGAATTAACTAGTGATAGGAATCGCTACGTCATCGTGAGAACCAAGTAACACACACGTAAGGGAGAAAACAAGGCATGAATCAATGACGTAGAAGCCGTGCATTTTAAATGAAAACGCGAACACGCAAACAAAGGATACACGTCTTAGCGTCCGAGCGCCATAAACAGAACAACGGGTCTACAAAACACACAAAAACTACAGTGAACCTTCAAAATATGGTTGAAACTTTCGATTAACTTAAACTAAATAAAAAGGATGTATCTATCACCTAAACCACGTTAGTAAAAGAACTCCAGAAAGAGAAGACAGGAGCAGAAAGGATTCACTCAGCATAAATGGGTCTGTTTCTCATCACCGGCAGCCGAAGCCGCCTGAGAGTGGTGCATGAGACAGTTTATCATCTTCGGAAACCGATCCTGCTCCACCGAAAAACTTACCATGTACATGTTGCATAGCACACAACTGTGTGCATGGCTTGTCAGGTAGTTTACAACGCCAAATTTATAGATGTGTGTGACTGCCATTTTCTCCACGTGAACCAAACTAAATGAATTTCGCGTCGCGTGGTAAACAAAATAAAGAACTCGATCACTGTACTTAACTTGCTAGACAATAGAAGAGATTGGCATTTAAATAAAGAACTACATAACGTATTTGTATATTTCATATCTATATCGTAAAGAGTAATAATGAATGGGTAAGTGGCAAAGTACACGATCTCGTTTTAAATAACATTGTGCTTTCGCTCAATATTTTTAAATATCAATTCTTATACTCATCAAAAAACTTGGCTAGAGAAACCTTTTCGTGTTCTTTAAGATCATAAGAGTTCTCTTCGGACGGGAATGTTTTGGATTTGACTTCATCTCGATACGTGGACAAAGCGGCTTGAGCTCGTTTACCGATTTCGTCGTACACACGAACAAACCTGCATATGTTAGTTTCAATAAACGAGAAGACGGAGACATACTTAGGCCTAAAACGGTCGAAGACGCCCAAGGCGTCCATCTGTACAAGAACTTGACCAGAACAATGGTGACCGGCACCAATTCCAATCGTAGGTATTTGTAACTTGGACGTAATAAACTGAGCGAGGGAAGCAGGGATTGCTTCAAGAACGACAGCAAATGCACCTGCTTCCTGAACGGACAAGGCATCCTCAAACACACGACGTGCCGTCTCTTCTGACTTGCCTTGAACGGTGAAACCACCCGTCACAGCCTGGCGTTGAGGGAGAAGACCAATATGGCCAACCACAGGAATACCAGCAGAGGTAATGGCTGCAATGGTTGGAGCAATTTCTCGGCCTCCCTCCAACTTCACAGCCTGGATTCTTCCTTCACGGAACATGCGAATAGCACTTTTAAGTGCATGTTGAGGAGAAAGTTCATAGCTACCAAACGGCATGTCAGCTACGACAAAACTGCGTCCAGATCCACGCTTAACCGCCTTGCAATGATGAATCATTTCCTGTGGATATTGTTAGCAAATAAATCTTACATGAGTTGCCGCTCTCCTTCCCCCTTTCTCTTTACTTACATCTAGCGTTAAAGTATTTGTGTCCTCGCGACCCAAAGCGACCATTGCCAAGGAATCGCCGACAAGCAATACATCCATGTCTGCTTTACTAGCAAGCATGGCAGTAGGATAATCATGGGCTGTCATACATGCAATGGGCTCCCCTTTTTCGTAGAGCTTTCGAATGCTTCGAACCGTTCGTGGAAGTGCCTTTGCTGCAGCGGTCGACTGAAATCGAACGCCCAGAGGGAGGAAACGAGTCGCTAGACGAAACATCGCAGTTTATCACAGGGTATTGTAAAAAATAGTACCAGAATCCCGTCAATTCAGACAAAAGCTGGTCTCGTTAGGTTAAGCAAAATGTGGTAGTGAATCTAACGTGGTAGAACGAACAAATCCGCACGAGGCCGCGCCATTAGAAAAGTGTACTGACTAGATGTAGAGGCTCACAGACGCTTCTCTAGTATAAAGTTCAGCAAACCTCTTCGGAGTAGGCCGTTTTCCGGAGGATTTTGAAGTTTGGCCAGATCATTCCGTATTTTTGATTCAGTAAACTGACACCGTTGTCCACAGTAAGGAAGCATGAGTTTCATGAACGACACTGAAAACTCTGGGTGACCTTGAAACGTTATGATTTGATCCTTCACATAAAATCCTTGATATTCACACTTGTCTGTTGACGCGATTAGTTGTACATTTTCAGGTAAAGGACCTGTCACGATATCATGGTGCAACTCAACGATGTGAACTTGCTCTCTGTTAATACCGAGAAACTGTTTCCCCGTTTCGGAAAGTGTTATAGCAGTGGATGATGTTTCCCATCCCTCTGGATTTGGAATTACATCCATACCAAGAGCACGACCAACGATTTGATGGCCAAAACATAGACCAACAATTTTTATAGCTGGTTTCATTCGAATCAAATTACGAATGAACTCCGTTAACTTGACAACCCAGGGTTCATCTGATCCGGCAAATGCTGGTGAGCCAGTGATGGCAAACGCGTCGAAGCTGTCGAGTTCGTCTTCGGGAGGGTAATCATCAGTTTGAAAAACTCGAAACTTTGTAAATTGTAGTTCAGGAACAAGACTAGGTTCGGATTGCACCGCTTCATGAAAAAGCTGTTGAATCATGTCTGCATAGTCGCCGAATTTCTTTCGAAATTCTGGAGCCGAACTATCTGTCAACAGAAGTCCGATTTTGAGCATCTGTTTAAACAATCCTGTTAGCATACGGTTTCCAAAAATAAAAAATTACATTTTTTGAGAAAGTCATGTTGCAGAGTACACAATAAGAGTCTGATTGTTGTAAGTGGGTAAGAGGCGAATATCGCAACGCTTATACAGGGATATTGCATCTAGTAACCCGATATCGGCGTAAGTCAATTCACTATGATGACTGATAACACAGGCATCGATTGTAGCGTTAATTTTTAAAGATAATCCGATTCGTTATAGTAAAAATCAGTGAATTATCAGTGAATTACTGGTTTTTTTGTTCACATCTCCCACCAGGAAGCTGAATCCAATTTCTTGAGCTGTTCATTCTTTTCAGGCATAAGAATCGCATTTGTCGATGGGATTGTCGTGTAACTCCCATTTGTATAACATGTTGAAGGGATAGGTTCAACAGGTGTGCTTGGTTTTTCCGTAAGCATCAGAATGTTCTGTTCTCGTGCTGTAGTTTTCCTCCGAGAACATATCAATCCAGCGATGATGATACTTAGACCAAAAGAAATTGCAATCAGTGAAATGAGTAGCAGCTGTTTTTGAGTCAGGAATCGACGTATGGGACGTACCGCTTTTGTAAGTCGATTACCGAGTAATGTAAAACAATAAATAAGAGGTTGAGGCAAGGAATGTAAAGTAGCATACGTACAAACAGACATAAAAATTAAAGTCAAACACCAGTGCCTTCTGGCAACTGAAAACGCTTTTTTGAATAAATTGAACAGTATGAATATCGCACATAACACTAATGTGGGAAGGTATCGAGTAAACATGTTCGAAATGGAGTAGAAAATCTGTCGCATAGTACGAATGGCAGAGAAAACCCAATCAATTGTTGTGTTTTGCTTTACCAAAAGTTCTTGTAGCTCTTCCTTTACCACGGAAAAAGCAATTTCATTTTCAGATTTCTGCAAACACTGTTAGCTGAAGATCGAAAAAAGGGAGTGTAAAAAACTTACCCTTGTTGAGAGAATCCAATCATCCGCTGCTTGAACGTCATTCATTAATTTTTCACTCCATTCGACAAGTGGTTCCAAAATAAAATTCTGTGAGAGATTGCTGACTTTTCATAAAGTTCATCAAATCATTTTTTGTTTGCGCCATGGAATTACGATATGTGTGGACTACCTCATTTGCAAAGATCTTTGCGTCTTGAACGGCACTTTCCTGCAAATTAGTCTGGTGTTTTGAGACTTCGTCGGCCAAACTTTGAAGTCCCCTATTAGCGATGTTCGCTAATGCATTCATTTGTGAAGAATATGCAGATAATAGACCATTTACGTTCTCCCTTAATAATTCAAGCTTGTTGCTCGCAAAAGCCTCACTGTCCAGAACCTCAGACTGATATTGAGTTAAAAGATCAAAGGAATTCTGTAGTTTCTGCAACTGAGCAGTTTGCTGTTCCATGTCCATAATTACGGACGATTGAGATGATGTGATTATTTGCTCTAATCGTTTAACTGATGTTGCAGTGGTGTCTTGCATGAGTTCAAGACTAATTTCCTGTTCAGTCAACTTCTCTTGCAACACTTCAAGCAATCGCTTTTGTATGCGAGTGATGTTTTTGTTCAACTCCAGTGCATTTTCTATTCACCCAAGTTAGTATACAGTAAATCAAACAAAAAAGAGATTACGTTTTTCGTATTCCAGAAAAGCTGATTTACACAAACGATCCATGTCACGGTAATACGACACAAACGCCAACCACCAGGCTGAATTATCTTCAAGTGTAGCTAGGCATTTTTGTTGAGAGCCTCTGAGACACTCAGAAGGTACCGTTATGTCTGCGTGTTCCAAGTCGCACATGGTAAGTCGAGTAGAAAACTGAATTCGCTCATCCATACTCAATACGCTGTTCTGAAGCTCACATTGTGCCATAAGGGAATATATTACAGATTGATGACACGTCGGTTTTCTTGATAGCGTCTGAAATACCTGTATAATGGAATCAAATTCCATAAGACCTTCGGCCTTGGGCGCGACTGAGAGTTGGGCCTTTAGTGAAGAAGCGAAACATCCATCTGCCTGTAACAATAAGCAAACAAATGCAATCATGAGCCAGTATTGCATTGTACTGTGTGTTGTATACTGTAATTGATGTTGGAAAAAGAACGAAAGCACAAAGACACAGATGCGCGTCGCGTATGCTTTATAAATGAGATGACGTAATTACAGACGCGTCTTAATGAAAAGTCGTTGCGCGTGGTAAACAATACGGGCGAGGCGTTAGGTCACAGCAGGAAATTTATGAGGGTTGTAAACATTGTTTTCGCTCCTCGGGCATTAGAGATGCGTACCGGACATCATTTAATATCGTGGAAGGCAGTTCATCTTCGGTGGTAGGCAATTGCACGTTATTCACGCGACAAAGTTTGAAAAAATCCGACATTCGCTGTTCGCTGGATCGCTTTCTACAGAGCTGAAATTCACGGTATATCCGTTCCAATTCTCTGTCCGAGCGACCAGCAACTTTCAGAGTTGGTTCTTTTCGATACTTCCGTTTCACTTCGACCCAGTACATATTTTGAGGAAGAGTCAGAATAAAATCAAAAAACTTTTGTATTGCAGACTTTGGCTTGTGTTTTGCTTTCTTAGCAATTGCCTCTTTGCAATACTCATTAAACACTTCTTGTCGTTCATCACCACTAGACAAGACTCTGTAACGCTCATCGCCAACAAGCTTTGGGTATACTAAATCCCAAGGATGATATGGATCAATATGATTTTCCGACAACAGACGCTATGTTAATGTTAGTAAACAAATATTAGGGTTAGAACGAACCTTGAAAATAGAAATAGCTTCCTCCTTTGAAAGTTCCGGTTCGTTTGTCTCTGGAACTATGTCGTTCAATTGGTACGCAATGTCTTCTTCATCAAACCCAAATTCGACTGGTTCACCATCACTGGAAAGGTCCTCTTCTTCGAGTTCGTCTTCCAGGACATCGTTCTCGGATTCCTCTTCTTCAGCAGGAGAGTTTTCATCCTCGGAAACTCTTGCTCTTTCTTCAATAGCTATTGTGCTGCGAGCTTCTTTTTTGTTTTTCATGAGATCAATTTTCTCCTGAACCTGTTTTGGGGCCGTCCACAAAGACACTTTTGTCTCCGTATTATGAACAAATGTTCTTTTCCTTTTGGTTGTCACCAGAACCCATGGTTCGCAATCAGGAATGCGTATCCTTTAATGTGTTAGAAACGGTGTTTACAAAAACCTGACTTACTTGGACTTTGGTCGGTCAAACAGCTTCTTTCTTTCTTCTCTGCTGACACGTTTTCGTTCAGAAATTTGTTCAGCAGACTCTCGAACAGGAGCGATAACTTTTTGCGCGGCTTCCTCTGCTACTGGTCTTTTGTATGTGCTTTTTTTCAGCTCAGCATTCCAGTAGTAAGGAATACCACTCGGAGCTATATTTATTGAGTCAGAACAGCTCAAAGCCAAATTTATTCAGTCGACCTTTGCATACCTTTATGCTCTGTCCATCCGGAGGGTAGAGGCGTACTCATTCTTACAAATTAGCTGCGAAAAAATAAGAAGAAAAATTAGGAAACGGAAAACGTTCGGCTCAAAGCAACCAACGTCAGACGTAGCAGAAGGACGGGAGCTAACCGTATGTCTTTTGTGTTGTAAATCTTAATCAAAATAAGAATTAAAGAGCGGTGATTCTAATACACAACAAAAAAACAGAAACCAGAAAGCTCAATTTGGTAAACTGTCTCACACGTCGACACCGAGTTTACCGATACCGCTGTATCATTCAATTAGTCAATAATGAATGTTGCTATGTTTTTTGGTGTAGCATTTGCGTTGAAATGCGTTTGATCATGCTAAAGCTTATTCCGCGGGTTACTGCTGTACCTTATATCTATTAACGCCAAACAATGCTCTGCGCTAACCTTAATGTCCCTACAGAAGTCCACGACGCGAACACCAAGTCTATCCTGTCCTTTACCTTACACTCACCATGTCCCGTAGTTACGATTCTAGAACGACAATCTTTTCGCCAGAGGGACGACTATACCAAGTGGAATATGCTCTTGAAGCCATTAATCACGCCGGTGTAGCTATGGGCATTGTTTCTAAAGATGGCATTATTCTGGCCGCAGAAAAAAAGGTTACTAGCAAATTGCTCGAGCAAGACACGTCTTCAGAAAAACTTTACGTTCTCAGCGACCATATGATTTGCGCTGTTGCCGGTTTGACCGCAGACGCTAACATTTTGATCAATTACGCCCGGCGTGTCGGTCAACAATACCTTCAAACATACAATGAGGATATCCCTTGCGAACAAATGGTTCGTCGCGTTTGCGATCTGAAACAAGGTTACACTCAACACGGTGGACTTCGTCCTTTTGGTGTTTCTTTCATTTATGCCGGTTGGGACAAGGTTCATGGTTTCCAATTGTACCAGTCCAATCCCTCTGGTAACTATGGAAGCTGGCAAGCAACGAGTATCGGTGCTAATAACGCAAGTGTTCAAAGCTTGATGCGCCAAGATTACAAAGACGACATGGATATGAAGGCTGCCTGTGATTTGGCTGTGAAGATTCTTAGCAAAAGTATCGACAGCACAAATCTTTCTGCCGAAAAAATTGAGATCGCTACGATTGTAAAGAATGAAAATGACAAGGTCGTCTACAAAACTTGGAATGCAACTGAGATAGATGAGCTTTTGAAGCAACACAAAGAGACCTCTACTTCGTCGTAAGAACGGGATAAATATGACATAGTAGACAACGCCGTACATGCACGCTGATAAAAAGCGCTCTGGACGAGTTTCCAAGCGGATTCACTGTGTGGTAATTCGTTATGATTCGACAGTGTAGACGATTATGTAAAATGGAAACGAATGCAACTTGTTGAATGAGAAATTATTACGATGGGTATTAAAAAGAGTGAAACGTCATTGCAAACTTTTCTGAGAATGAATATAGGGAAGAAGGATGTTGCTAATGATTGTCCATCAAATAAACAAACCAACGTCCGCATCCGGATTCTCCTGAAACCGTTCGTTTTCTTCCAATTCAACCAACCTCCATTTAGCAATCTCAATCTCAGTTTTATGCCGAGCAAGGCTTGCTTGAATGGAGTGTTTAAGTCGTCGTAAATCTTGGTTAAACTTCTCGTAAAAAGCTGGAATAGAGGTCTCACTCTCTTCTCTTAATCGTTCGAGCATATTGATTTGAGCCTCAACCAATTCAATTTCACGTTGCAGATCCTTAATAGCATCACCTCTGACCATTCCTGGAGGTGCATCATTAACTTCACTTTCTCCGGCTGAGGAGCCTTCTGCTGAGGGCGACGCGCTCGGAGTGGCACACGATGAATGACTTGCCTTTGTGACTAAGTTCAGTGTGACGTCTTCTGTCTCATGTGGTTCTCCAAAGAGCTCTTCGCTATTATAAGCAATAAATTGAACAAGTTGCCGAGCAGTATAACCAAACATAGACGGGGAAATAGCGGCTGCCACCGCTTCCAAAACATGGTCACATTGATCTTTTCGAGGTAATCGTAGTAATAACCTGTAACTTGTTAGTCTATAAGTGTGCACGAAAAAGTATACATACTCAGACGTAATACTCATAACAATTTCAAGCAGCGCATTACTTGTCTCAGTGAGTTCATGTAAAAGATCCCTCACAAGTTGAATAGCCTTCTCTGAATTTAAAGACAAATCTGGTGAATCAATGTTAATAAACTTAAACGCAGAAGAGACGTTCAATCGTACCCAAGTTCTCAACGACGCTCAACCGTTGGAAAAGTATTGCCGGTAACAGGTATCCTGCCTTCTTTAATAGATAATTAGATAAGTAGTTTTTGAATGCAGCAAATATAAGTTTCGGCCGTGAACCCATTACGACATATTCACGCTTTGGAGTCTTCGTAACAGCATCATAAATCTTACGGACATGTTTCGCCTCTCCCATTGAAACAGGATCAGTCATATTAGAAAACTCAGTAAGATTAAAAATAGCCTTTTGGAAAATAAATAATCCGGCTTTAATAGAGTCAATTGCATCCATCGCAGTGATGGGGTATTGACTTTTTCTTATACTAGGCGTTTCCTGTTGATCACTTTTGCTGGACAATGAATTAGACCATGATTTGGGTCGTGATCGGAACTTTGAACTCTCTTTCAGCGAATTCATTATCCGAGAGGGACTGATGGAACGTCCAGAGAAAGATAATCGACTTCTCCTTGGGCTCGAATGGTTGGAAAGCACTTTTTTTATAAATAGCAAATAGACTTGGTTCTTAAGGAACGAGTGATTAATGAAAGGACTTGCCAATAGCCTCTTCACTTGAACCAAGTCCGAAAGAAACCGTTCCCGTAATGCTTCCCTTCCCACAACCATATTGACTGGAAGCGAAATTCCAAGCCAGCTGTCGAAAGAAACACTGAACTCTTCTTCATAATCCGTGATGGATATAATGATATTTCCATCGCTCAGGAACGAGGTTTTCTCGACATTCTGACCGGGTTCCGATATAAGAACGATGATGGAGGAGCGTATCGGCTCCTTCTTATAAGCTTCTACGTTAAACGTAGAAGAAAAAATGTCCAACTCACTATGAGATGTATGAAGAACATTTGCGCAATGAGATTTGTTGTAAGCAATTGTTTTTTGAAACTCAAAAATGAAATCTCTAACGGTCAACGTTTGGTGTTTTGCGACTTTGAACGTGTTGATAGGATTTGCATATAGATAACTGTCTTCAGGAGCATTTCGTACAACAAGCCATAGTGTATTTTCGTCACGAACACCGGAAGTTAGCTCAATATCAGTATTGTGGGCCGAGCAGAGAAAGAAGGCTCTTCTTTCCTTAGGAAGCGTAACATACGCAGGCTTGCTTTTTAACTCCATGACAATGCTTGCAAAAGGGGCTTTTGTCAAACGTTGGACAAGACATACTTGATCGTTAAACAGTATTATGCTGTAGAATGTAACTATTTTTTGGCTGTTTTTAACGACCGTTCTTGTCAAATCAATGCATGAAATCAAACTGCGGGAGTAAGAAATTAAATTAGGAGCAAAGTCCATAATCAGCGTTTGGAGTCCAGCAAAAACCTTTGACCTATCCTCAGCATCGATAGTTGGCATTTCAGCAATATTTCGGATAATTTCCAAAGCGTCGCAATATAGTTCTCTCGTTTTCCCAGGTCCGGTAAGTGCAATAATTTGATCTAAAAAGAGTGAATATCTTGGAATTCTTTGAACAGGTTCCATAATTAACTGATTCATGCTGACATTCATAGAAGAAGACACTTTCACCTGTTCCACGAAATCCATGAATCTAGTATTCTTACAAGCATTCTTAAGCATCAGCCCAAAATCACTACTTTGTTCGAGATACCGTGGATAATGTTGTGAAAATACAGCAAAATGGTTTCCTAAACAAAGAGCAAGTTTTTCATCGATTTCAGGAGGTAACTCGACTGATTCTAAACCGCTTGTAATAGCTTCAATATCATCAAGAAACGAAGAGTTGATTTGAATAAGTTTATTTAATGATTGAGGAAAGAGAGTATTAATTTCATACAGCCCAATCATTAGTTGTCCCGATTTCGAAAGTCGGCGGAGGGGAGCCGCATAGTCATTTACCAAATGGCGAAGTCGTTGAACGAACGTAGCTTCAGTTTGAATCATCTCACGTATTAAGTTGTATTTTTTTCGAATACCAGCAGGACTGTCGTAACGCTTGGAAGAACTTACGCTTGGATTGGGACTGGATGTTTTTTTTCTGTGAGTACCAGTTTCGCAAGGCAAACCAAGGATCGGCCCCCAATGTGAAAGAAGTGAAGCAAGTCTTGTTCGTAAACTGTTCTCTTCCGGTAGGTTGAACACTACGTCTATTTGGAACGCAGTAGATCCATGCGGTTCACTAACTGACAAAATCTCGTCAGTAAGAGACGAAGATCGAAATATCCGCATTGTACAAAAGAGTGTGTTTGCATAAGCAGGGTCAATAACAGCATCTTGCCAGTTTTCTCCAAGGAAAAATGTCACTGGATCGGCACATAGGTATTCCAAAAGACAAATAGCCGCATTGCGCTCTGAGCCAGAAAACTTCCAATTGAGGTTTAGCGCGCGTACAAATGAATCGTACTTCTGGTGCATGGATGGTGATATAGTAAATGCATCTGGTCCAAGTTGTGACAGTACAAAAGCAAGGAGATTCTGATCTTCGACTTGAGCAAAAGCTATAAGCACCATACCGAGTACATTGTGACTGAAGGTGCAGTAGACTAAATGACGTTCAAAGGTCGGATTAGATTCGTACATATGTCGGAAGAGCCAAAGAGCTCCATGCTGAATTTTTGGACAGCTACTAGGAATACTCACATCGCCGGATGAATTCATATATAACAGCGTATTGTTCTAATAAGAGTTTAATGAACTGCTTAAGTCGAATTAAAGAGAGACACAGATAAACAGAGAGCAAAAGCAGAATTAAATTTTATCCAAAAAAATCGTGACACTGGATCCAACAGAGTGAATTCACGTAAAATCTATGAGTCAAAAGCACAATAATTCTTTGAAGCAGACGTAAAAATGTGAACAAATCAAAATCAACTTCTAACTGAACCAAAATGAGACAATCAACACTTGGTAATCTCAGAACAGCCAAAACAGAACAGGCGTAATCCTTTACTAGCAGAAATGCATAGTTATGTGGAAATTTAACCAAGAATTGTCACTGTGTAGGGTACACACCATACGTACGCGACAAGTAGCAGTTAACTTAGGTATTCGAAACGACTCTACAAACTTTAAGGTTTGTATCTTCGTATATCGTTTTTCTGCAACCGTTTGCAGTTTTGTTTTATCCTAGTTTAGGGCGTTGGTACTGGTTAAGTCTTGCTTACGGTCAAGGACATACTTTGTGTTATGAGCACTGAAAAATATCATTTACAATATGCTCCAGAGGAGGAGAGGTTAATGCTTATGGAAGTGAACGATGAATTGCTTCGGGAGATTGAATCTTGTTCAGATCGAAGGTTCGTTTTTTGAATTTGTGAATTTCATAAATTAAATGGAAAAGGCGTTGAAAGCACGTCAAGCTATTATAATTCTAACATATCACATTTAGCGCGATTCTGCTAAAACCCGACAAGAATGGAAGTACGTCTGTCCTATGCACACGTTCAAAAACCTATGCTATTCGACAAGTCGTTCAATCAAACTCACTTCTTTTGTTCGAAAAGGAGAAAACCCAAAACACAATGGACTTAAAGACGAGATGTGATATCTATTTAGAGCTGGATAGAATTCACGGTACAGTCAATCTTGAAGAGCTATTACCCCTCTGGTCACTTGACGATATGAACAAGGTAAACAGAAAATACTCGGCTTTCCCACCGCTTCCTTAGTTAACGCGAATAGAATCTACATGGAATTGCTATGAAAGAACTGAAGGTGATGATTCCTTTAAGCATCGGGGAAATTGATCAAATTCTCCTGGACGAATGTGTTCTATTTAAAAATGGTGAATGCTGGAGGCTAACACCTGCTGTCATTTGTGAGTATATTCAGTGGATATGTGCTATCTATGTGAGTCTCAATGGACAAAAGGGTCTTGAAGCTGAAGGAAATTGGAACCAACTCGAAGAAACTGCCAAACAAGACGACCTTGATAGGGATATTCTGCAGTCAGTTTTACATGGCATCTCTACAACAAAAGTCCCTTTGGAGAACCAACTTACTTGTGTAAAACTTGACAAGCAAAGAATTGCCTACTGGTTTGGAAGAAAGTTACTCTTAGACATTGTTACAGCGTCCCCAGAACAATTCGTTGAGCAATGGAAGCAACTAGTTCCACCTGACGTAGTTGAAGAAATTGATCTAGATGTGTTGAAAGTAAGTTATAAGTTCAAAAAACAGAAAATATATTAACGCTGCAAAAGGATTTATTTTTCATATCGAGAAACGGTCAAGTTCAGTACCTTTCTGTTCATCACTTGCCAACAGACGTCTCGCGGAGGTTTCAGTCGTTATTCCAACTTAAACAAAAATGGAAGTATGAGGAAATTGTCCCATTCGTTAGGGACTTGGCTTTCAACATGGAGAAAGTTGAAGCTTTAATCCTTAAATATGGAAGAAAGCAGACTATTAAGGGTGAATTATTCATTAATGAAAGAAGCAGTTGGTAAGACTTCCGTGATTATAATTCATAATTATAATAGTTAAAAGGAGGAAAAAATGAAAGATAAATAAAATGGAGATATAAAACAAAATCATCATGTTGAATCATAAAATGGTGTTTCGAAGCTCCTTCGCTCTTCTTCTACATCATCAGTTTTGTTTTCAGGAAGAGAGTAGTGCAAAACAACATCACCAGACGACTTCCATAGACGAGTCCTGATGGTAGCTAGCGTCATGTTTTTAGGGACCTCGTTTCCGCGACAAGTCAATATTAAGTCAGAAACATCATCAAGTTGACTTTGCAACCGCTCCTTTCCATAGTCAATAATCTTCTTGGCGCGCATCAATGAACCTGCATTCAAACGAGTCGTATTGTTCAATACTGGCGGCAGACCGGATTCTGGCAACGGCTGCACAGTGAAGTTCACAGTCGAGTTTTGTTTTGGTTGCATCTCGTTCAACAGTACGAGCCGGGCTAACCAAGCCGGCATAATCTTCCTCAAGTTTTCAGCATCTTCAAAGAGTGTTCCTGCATGACCTTGGTAAATTACCTTGCCACATCCAGCGACAGCGGTCTCTCCCGTGATTATTATCAGAGTGTTTTTATCAATATCCAATGGAGGCGTCTCCTCAGGTAGCAAACGAACAAGCTTGCTATTGGGGATACCTTTGGTCATATCAGCCAGAGTATAAGACTTGCGTATGTCCTTAAGCAAATCTGCGGCCGACAAAATGCGACGCGGCTCAGGCTTAGGCACAATGTCAACCACTTTTTTATTAACCGGCGAAGTCGGAGCCGACACTAGCGGTGCGGATTGTAAGGGAGAAGAAGGTTGTACAGGGGGATTCTTAGGACTACTAGCTGTCGAAGTTCGTGAAGACTTAGACCGTCCTAAAGACTTTAAACGACGCATAAAAGACTCTTTGCTTTTAGGTGGAGATGATGTCTCGCGGAATTTTACCGTACTAGGAGTCTGCGGTTCCAATTGAGAAGAGTCTGGTGTCGGCGGTGAAAACGAGAAGTAATCCGTTGAAGTGGATGCATCATAACTCAAAGAGTTATGTTTGGAGAACACGCTGTCAAGCGTCGGTTGGGGGAGACCCGGTCCAGACAAACCATCGATCGGCGACTGCGGACTGAATGGCAGCGGCTTTCCTTCATACAACGGAGACATAAGCGGAGAGGTAGTCAAGTTTTGTTGACTGTATGTACGGGCAGGTTCGGTGAGATTAAGGGGAGGGGGTCTAACTCTTCCTTGCATAGGCAAAGCACTCATAGACTTCATCGGCTGCAGCACCTGTGGTCGCATGGGGGGCGATGGTAGTCGTGGAAAAGTCTCGGGGTTTAGAGAAATAGGGACACTTTGTCGCGTTTTAAAGTCTTTATATATACTTTTACGAGTTTCCATATCAAGCTCAAGCTCTTTCTTCATGAATCCCGCAAAAAGGTTTCTCAAAACCCACTTACCCAAATTTATACGCGATTCCTTGTCCTTGAACTGTGTAATCTCCACTCCAGTTTCGTCCGCGTAAACTTCCGTATCCATAAAGTGCCGCTGATCAAGGGTTACAGACAGGACTCCGAGAAGCGTATCCACGCTAGCCCAACGCGGCAAAGTTTCCATAGTGTCGTGCCGATTTATGGCATCCTCCATCGTGACCGGAGGCTTGTATTCCTTCACACGCTTGCAGGTAACGATGTCCCAAAGGGTAATATTACCCTTCGTATCTTCAGTGAGAACGTGCCGGCGATTACTGAGTAATGTGTGCTTAACTAAACCCGGTTGCCCTTGAATAACTTTCAAAGGAGCAACTTTAATAGGAACACTTGTGAAGATATTACTCACCATGCTATCGATAGAATGACGAGGATGAGAAGTTGTCATTGCCGAAGACGGCTCGAAGTCCGTGTTCAAGTCTAACGCAGAGCTGCGCGAACGACGGTTGGACAAAGAGTTTTCACGCGAATGAGTACTGGGCTGCATGGACACACGCGAGGACGCATGACTGCTGTGTACGGGATCTGGGTCATCCCAAACGTTGATGGAACACATTGGACCAGTACTCCAAATTAAACTGTTGCGAGCAACTAAATCGATGACGGGATGCTCTTGTTTACAAACCGGAACGCAAACTTCAGAGTAATTATAACGACGCAAGTCTGTACGCGAAATAAGACCAGAACGATCACCCGCATAGAATGTTTTCAGGTCTGGGTGCTCAGAATACAGGGACCACACACTGTCCGGATGCAAAGTGAAGGAATGAATGCAACGTTGAGCTCGCAAAGACCAAAGTTTAATGGTTGCGTCTGATGAGGCCGTCAAAAGGGCCTGTCCATCGTCGCTTATGAGAATATCACGAACATTGTCTGTGTGACCCACGAGGTCCATGACTCGTTTTCCCGAGCGCAAATCCCACAACTGAACATCTTTTTGAGGTCCCCCGTTAACAATCACGCTTTGATTAGCAGCAAGTGAGTAAATACCACTGGCAGGACCAACGATGACGGAACAATTCTTTGCTTGTTCCAAAGCGAGCACTTGTTTGGCCTCATGGTAATCCCAAACAACAATTCGCTTGTCCAGCCCGCCGGACACGACGATGTTTGACCGACTTTTTTTCGGAATGGCTAGCCGTTTAACATAATCGTTATGTTCTCCAATCGTTGTAAGGGAATACGGCTCCTGACCGCTTGGGTTCCAAAGTTTTACCGAAAGATCAGAAGAACAAGAAATGACTAATAAAGCGTTAGTCGGGCGTCGACATAAAACGAGCTTCTCAAACGTCTGTACAAAAAAAAACGCTTGTAAAAACTATCTGCACTTCTCTTATTTCATACCATTGGAATCCGGAGTGACAACAATGTCGTTGACCCAACTAGAATGGGCCTGAATTTTAGATAGAACACTATAGTCACCGTCGTATTCATGACCAAGGTCCCAGGCGAACAGCAAACCGTCTCTGCCGCCGCTATAGAGCGCTTTCGTTAGCGGGACATTTTCGTACTTGGATGAGTACTTTCCCAGTGCCAAGCAATTTGCATTCAGACGATGTCCACTCTGTTCTCCAGCCGAATCCAGTACATAGGAAACCTTATAACGAGTACTGGGGTCGCTCAGCACCATGAACGAGGTTTTTGCAGTTCCACTGCGTTTGTGATGCGATTCTGACTACGAGGTTACTCCTTTCGACGGTTCGTCAGTAGTATACTAACGACTAATGTATCATGCACAATTCGTACTACGTTTAACAAGTTATACTGGAGATACGTAGAAAGTTGTCAGCGAGACAGCCTGTGTGTTGCTTATGACTAATACGGCAAGATATCAGCACATTAGAGTTTTTTAAACCTCGGTATCTCTATTTAACATGGTGTAAAGTACCGCAAGGTGGCTTATAAAAAAAGATGATCCTGTGATTTTTGTGTGGGCAGACGATTTCCCCACCCCCACCCCTTCCGAGAAGATAACCACCAAAAAAATGATGTCATATCACCCAGTCCCTTATGCTGCATGCCACACAGACAAAAAGCAACAGCAGCACCGGTGACAGCCGTATAACTGAAGCTGTTTCACACACAAAATGAATGATCACAACGAGCATCGGCTCAAAGCCTTGTCAAGTCAAGTTTCTGCGTTGAAAGGTGTTACCATTGACATTTACAATCGTGCTAGCGACTATTCCAGAATTGACCAGGCAGTACGTTGCATCACCGGCTAGCTACCGTGTGTTTACTACTACAGAAACAAATTGTAACTAACGATTCTTGCGCCAGAGTGAGGGATTTGCCGGTCTCCGGGTCTCTGTCTCTAATGTCGCCGGGCGATTTGCTCGTGTTGTCAGAACAGCCGGAAAACGTAGCATCCTCTACATGGTCTTGATTATTGTAAGCGTAGTACTACTGGGGTACTACTCTCTGAAACGGTATCTGTAGAAGAAACTACCACCAACGAAGAAAAAGAAGAGGACCATCGTCACCAAGCTGGGCTGTGGTAACGTAGCTGTTGAAGAAACAACAAGCATATAGCATGGATACACGCCCTTTTTCAAGGAGCGCAGTGTACGAACCATTTTCACTTATTAAAGCCAACCAACCGTCAAATAGCATCTCCTGACAACAAGTTGCGCGGTTTTATTACATAGAATAGAGGCCGTCGTGTTTTCGACGCGACCATCCATCAAAGAACGTTAACGACAACGACAGCATGTATCCCTCCTCAGCACTGCACGAGTTGTGCGGATGGGGGAAGAAACAGCGTGTTTGTGTTGAGCGAGTTATGTGTGTGTCTGAATGTGTGGGTGTGTGTGTATGTGTGCGTGGAAGAATGTGTGTAATGAAGTACGGAAAGGTTTGTAGTACGTATAGGTGTGTTTAATGAAAGAACGAGACTAGCAATCCGTTGAGTAGAGAGCTAGTTCTCACGGCGTGACGAGGACGAGAAGAATGACGAAGGGAGCATACGCGCCCGGCGAAGGGCATCAAGTGCGGATCGATGACTTCCCAAACGCGCAACCTGCGGCCGATGGGGTTGTCCCCCGTTTAGTTGTGTACTGGGATGACCTTGGGCCAAAGACGACAGTGACATGGCGCTCTGAGAGTGATTTAAGCCAACACTGCCGGGAGCGCTGTTGGAACCATTGAGCAAACGAGACTGATCCAATGAACGTCTGGACAGGGTCGGCGAATAATAGACAGAACTACTGGGAAACGAGTGCGGGGGAGTAGTCGCATTCGGTGATGACGGACAGGACATACGCTCCAAGCGTGTAACATCTTCGTAACTTGGCAACGCCGGTTGGAGAGGAGACTCAGAAACAGAAGACCGCGTAGCCTCGCTATATGAGGGCACCCGACTTAGTTCAGCCAGACTAGTTTCTGAGGGATTGCGCGAAACCATTGAGGAATTCGCTGTACTCGAAGCACGAGAATGATACGAATAGGAGGGTGCACTCATGCCGTCTTCTTCCGTTCCGTTAGGCATGAAGTCGATTGGCGGAGGAGGTCGTTGCTGCTGTTGTTGAGCAAGAGCCGTCAAACCAGCAATCAACTGGCGACGATGTGACTCGGCAGAGACACCGCTGAACCCAATGGGGTCAATTGAGTTGCGACGATGGGGTGTATTCGCTCCACTGGGAAGAGGAGTATCAACGTTTGAATACGATAAACCATCATACAAGCGATCATACATACTCCGTTCGTAGCTGGGCAACGGTTGATTAAATGTTTCAAAGTTTTCACGCAACGAGTCCACTTCGGAAGGATCGCCAAACAGTTGTGGAGCAATCATTAACGTCACGGGTAGGGCAGCACGCAACTCTGATACATGTCCATCTGGATTCTTCAACGAGATGGTGAACCGGAGCTTGTGACGGTTTTTGATTCCCGGAATGTCACAATCCTGCAAGCACCGCGTCAACGACGTGGGCAATTGTAAGTTTTTGTTCACTTCGTAGTGATCCGAATACTCTGAAAGTTCCTCCGTGTGCAACGAACACACCGTACGCACTTCGTCGGTAGTGGCAGGCAGTCCGTGAGTGATGCTCAGGGTAATGTATTCTTTCAAAGCGATACTGATTCTTCCAATGGTAAGACCCTTCAACAAAGGAATAAGAACGATGTTAATAGGAATATATGAGCCAATGGCATACACCTTCGTGGGCACATTAATGTTATACTCAATCTTGTTGGGCCAGGTGTTCTCAACACTGACCGTTTGTGTGAACTCAACGGCATCAGGCGGTAACGAACGGATGATACGAAGATGCTTTTTCTTAACAATTTTGCTCGCAAGACCGGGTCTCTCGATGACAGCCTTCAAGCGGTACACGACATAGCAATTTACCAAGCCTTCCACAGACTCCGTAATGTTTCCAGGCAGTTGAACCTGGAAAGGGTATTCGTAATTGCCTGCCCGGAGAGTTTTTGATCCATGGAACGGGAGAAATGACCATTCCTTTTCGTAGACAACGGAATCATGTCGATTCACACGCTGAGCGCGTCCAGACGACGGTGAATCCGTCCAAGCAATTCTTCTTTTGCCAACAAGTTTGAGTGTGATGTTTTTTACTGCAACGTTCTCCGTCAGACAGAGAACAACCTTTCCCTTCAGCCAAGTTGGCTCTGCCGTCTCAGCGGTTCCCTGTATGACGACAACGTCATGTTCTGCTGCTAATCGGATATCAAAAAGTGAGGTAACATGGCTCTTTGGCAATATGTTCATGCTCTCAATTGCCTAAATAATCCAACCAAAATTCTCTTAAGAAGCAAAGATGGAATTTCTCACCAACACGAAAATGAACAGCGCCTGTATGTGGACACGATGAAGCGCAATCGGTAAAGCCTTTACCGACTATCTAGAGTGTATATAAGCGTGTACAACAGGAATTCTGTCTTGTACAAATGAAGCGAGGAACCACGGTATACGTTCTAGGCAGGATGGGTTCAAGGCACGGTAGCTTACTTATAGGATGACATCATAGACTGCGTAACAAATTTTGTTTCTGGAAAATAAGGTTGCTCAAACGCATGTCGTCACGTTAGTCCCTTGATGATGTCACTGACAGTGGGACACGTTCGCTTCGACTCTTCCGTCGGTTGCGGGTGTGTGGAGCACCGGTAACGGAAGGAAGAATGCGCGTTTTCGAGTTTAAAAAAGTGAGTCTTTGCGGAGCACATATAGCTGTGCTGTTTTAAGCTCTCTGATGCGTGTTTCATCCCGTTTTCGCATTCAATGTTCGAGGCTTGCATAATTTGCTCTTCCCTCGTTTTTTTTGTCTCCTTTTGCACGCGGGGAACGCTCTCCACTATTTCTCCGCATGTGGAGATGCGGAGTTCTGACGTTTGATTGGAGGATTTAGCGACCCCTGTGGGGGACTTCCCAACAGATCGGATCGTTAACTGGATAGGTAGTTATAAATTCTGAGAAACCCTATTGGCCAAAAACTGAGTATTCGCGTGCATGTGTGGTCCCCCGCAAAAACGGTTTGTGGAGAGCTGCATAAATTCCCACACAGTCCACCCCTGAACCCTGTGAGCTAGTACTGCTTGCAAACACCATCACATAATCCTACCCTTTCCCAACATCAGGCGTATGAAGAGACGGCGAACGAATCCCTCGAATTCTCATTTTAACGCTTAATAAAAACGCAGAAGCTTCTTGTTTTGTCGCTTCCTGTCCAGGATTTTCTGTTTTACGGCATAAAGCGCTCATTGAAGTAAGTTCTGACGTTTTCGTTCGTTTTCGTGCGTTTTAAAGTCGTTTGCGTTTTAAAGTCATTTACGGACCCGGTTTTCGGGTGTTCATAGGAGAGAGCTTTTACAGTTTGATTCTTGTTTGAATTGAATTGTTTTCCTGTTTATTTGTTCTTCTCCGGCATTTCTCCGTCGTTCCTGTGAGAACCGTGTGACCAAGGTTTGTTGATGCATTAGGTTCAGTTTCTCCCATTTATTTCCGGTTTCCATTTTTCAGGAGTCAATTTCATTCTTCCTCTTATTCTCGTGTCTGCCGTGCAGGCACAACTGAGTTTTTGTTTCCCCTCTCTATCATTGTTTTGGTTTTTCTTGAACACATCTGTTTTGCTTGGATTTCCAAGATCAAAGAAATTGTTTATAATAAGTTCTCTCATATTTTGTTAATTTGTCTTTGTCGGTGAGTCGCTTCTCTACTTCTTAATTTCTGAAACCTTTCTGTCTGTGAGTTTGCGACGTCAAGTCTATTTCCCTACAGTTCTCTGTGTTCTCTTGTCTAGCTAAGGTGGTCGTTTTATCCATTGAGGCTTTTCTTCCATCTTAATTTCCGGTATCGCACAGGGTTTATGTTCGATTGGTCGCATAACTGTTCTTTCTGTCTATAGCAACTGTTTCTTTCTCGTCTTCTTACTGTTTCTTTTTTTTTTGCACACACGCAACACATACTTAATCGCTTTTCCTTTTGCATACACTCAATCGCCATGGTCATTAGAGATAATCACAAGATGGCATGCATGAAATGCATTCGCGGCCACCGCGCGAGCGGTTGTAATCACACAGACCGTGAGCTATTCGTGGTACGTCCAAAGGGCCGTCCTATCACACAATGTGAATCGTGCAGGCGTGCGCGTAAAACACGTCGATTGCACATTAAATGTAACTGTGCTTCTCGTGACAAAGATGTCCAGCAGGCTCGGCAGCAGCTCGATCAACAAGTGAAGCAGGTGTTTGTGGAAACGCACAAGCGCAATGCTCCGGCTGCACCTTATTCCTCGTGTTGTCGTTCGAATGCGGGACACATGAACAATGCCCCATGTCATTCGGACGCGCCTGCAGCTGTCCGCCTCCCATCTATTGTTACTCCAGATGCTGCCAGTCCGGCGAACACACTACCTTACGTTAGTGTACTACGCCCGCCAACTACGCAAGCGTACATGCCGCCGTTAACCGAAGAAGGTGTCGTCGTACCTGGTCATCTCCTCCCTCCGGGAGCCCCGAAGTTACAACCTCCTGCAACCATCCTCCCTTCTCACGAGCCTCCAGCTGTTCTTCCATCACAGCTTGTTCATAGTGCTTCGCCTTCAGATGGGTATGGGGCAATTCCTAACGGGGGTGCTCAACATACAGAAGTGTACCCCTTCATTACCAATTCTGAGGCAGCAATTACGGCAGCCGCAGCAGCCCACAATTTTTATCCTCAGCCAGCTCAACCCCTGTCGTTCGCTCTACTGGGAAATGGTGAGTATTTGCCTGTTGTTGCGCTCCCGAATCAGGCACCTAATACTTATGCTGGTGTTGGTCATGTACCAGAGCAACCCATTCCCGCAGTATCGGTCCTTGACAAGATCCAGCTCGCAGATCATTTGGAGGAATTTCCGCGCTGTGCGAAACCAAGTTCGCAATGTTCTTGTGGAGAGAATTGTCAGTGTGTTGGCTGTTTAACTCATCCGAATAACGCAACCACTCTTGCTGCTTTGAATCATATTTCCGTTTTGCACATGGAGAATGCCGTTCCACCCAAGGTTCCCACTCCGCAGCCGTCGCAGGCTTCTCCCTTACACTATCCTCAACCTTCTCAACAACAACCGCAGCACTATCCTGTTCCTCCTCTCACCTCTGTAGGCAGTCTTTTGGACGAGAGTAGCTCGCGCAAGGCTTTCCCACAAGTCGGTGAGGCTAAAAAGGCTCAACCCGATAATTTCTTACATGTCGCATTGGTTCCTCAAACTCAAACTACGCCTCAGACTTGTTCATCCAATGCTCCCAAGCAATTGTTTCCTGCACCCACGGGCAGAATGTCTTCACACTTTTATGAGTTGCCTCCCCCCTTTCCATCACATGCTGCTCCCGGTTCGTTACGAGACTATTCCATGGTTCCTCCAAATACCCTGAATTCGAGTTACGCTACCTCTGCACCATCTGCATCCCCTGGTTCTTACCCCATGCAGCAGCAGCAAAATGTAGCACAGCTTCCCGGTTTTTCTCTTGCTGTTGAATCTCCACGCCCTATGAATCCATCAACTATGGGTCCTAATTTGCAACAGGGTCCATTGCATGGTAGCTTCCCTCCACCACTACTTGTCGCTCCGCAAACGAGCGGCGAGTATATACCGCCTGCTACCGCTAATTAAACGAGCACATGATAACTTTTTTTGTATATAGATCGAATAATTATGAAATCTTAATCTACAGTATGCAGGGTCCATGGTTGTGTTTCTCGTTAATGGGCATCAACCAGGTGTGTGAGGACTTTTAATTGTAATAAATGAGCGTTATTCTTCGACAACGTATATAAGTTCAAAACCGTATTAATTATGAGGAGAAAATTTGTGTTAGTTCTAGTCGGAGATAGGATTAATGTTTAGAGAAAGGAAGAATCCCAGTCATTAGACAGGATTGGTGTAATTTCGTCATCAGACATCTCGAGGAATGGTTTTTGGTGCAGCTCTTGCAAAACGCACAGTCGTAGTATGTACTCTAATAGCGAAAGACTGTTCGGATTGGTGATGTAGAGACTGTTGCTGGTTTCTATGTTAAGAGCAGCAAGAGCCCTCGTAATTTCATCCTCTGCAGTTGGTAACATAGTGTCAATGGCCTGCGCTTTTTTGGAAGGGATGTGAAATGGTGAACTGGACGTAGAAGCATCGGAAGCATCGGAAGCATCGCTTTCATCATAAAAGCCGTCATCCTCTTCGTCCGAAGATGCTTCATCAAATGTCCATTTCTCCAGAGCAATCCACTCAAAGTCTGGCGTTGGTTTCGGGGGATCGTTGAGGGTTCCCTTTAATGGTTCAATGAATGGGTTTTCCTCATCATCGAGGCTGGATTTTAGGATGGACTTTCTCTTGGATGATGGAGCTTTGGGAGAGGAAGGTTTGGAAAGTTGTATAGCCAGGACTGGAGTGCGGGCTTGCTCCAAGTCTAGAAGCTGACCGGAAAGTGAATACGAAATTTTACGCACCTGGCTGACGGGGATAGTTCGTTTTCGACCTTGAAGGAAGGCACCTTTCGTTGGAGAGGGCATACCCGCTATTTCATCGTGATATCGACCATCGTTTAGGTCCTCATTAAGCGTTATACAATAGGCGTGCTTTGAATTCGCATGACGTTTCCGTTCGACAGTAATTTTTGCTTTCGCGTATGTTTCTTTCCATGAAACGATGGCATCATCGTTTGCAGTAGCACCCCGAGAATGACCGCTGAAAATTGTGTATAGAATCATGTCAAAAGGTGGACCGACTCGTATATTGGCGGAACTTTTGCTTTTGAACTTTTCGTCTGCCAATTCAAGAAATGAAGCCGCCTGTAACAATCGAGAAGGGGAAATGGTATCGGTGACCGTGCTTGACAGGCTTACGCCCGATGTTGTCAGTGCCAAATTGATAAGGGGAATAGCCTGAGTTATTAGCATTTAGTTTTAAAAAAGAAGCCTACCTGCTCAATGCTGGAAAGTAATTGCTCACAGCTTTTCTGCACCTCGTCGCAGCGAGCAGAAGCAGCTTGCTCGCTGGACGGTGGGGACATGTTGGTGTACTCAGCAAGAGTGTCATTGAAATTATCGATATTACCACGAAGTCTAATGATCAATGGAACTAGGTTTTGAAGACTAGAGTTGCCCCGAGCAGCACTGTGATAAACGGTCAGTATCCTACTGCAATACACGAGGTGTTTCATCGTCACGTACATCAACTCAATTAAGTCAATGGCCGGAGTTATTGCCTTTTCTGTTAACAAGCCATGTTGCGTATTTCAATACCACAAACCCTGATTTTCTGTTCTAGTCGCGATTTCACCAGTTCTAAGGAATATTGCGATCGTTCCGATGTCGTTTTCTGGTCTGTCAGTAACTCCAGAACGGGCAATTCGACTGTAACAGTCTTACGTGAATGTATTTTGACAGGCGTCTCGCGGCAAGACTGCCGGCCCACTGGATCCCACTTCTTATAGCAAAAGCTGTAGCATACGTAGCAGCACTTGATGTTACTTTTGTCAGCAATTGATCCATTACGTCCTATTCACTCAAACAGACGCGCCGAACGCGTGTTTTTCCTAGACGTGAATATTCGCGTGAGAAATGTGTGGACATGTTGTCGTTACCTGCAAGACGTTACCTAAAACTCACCACCAAGAGTTCGGGAGGGAGCCAGCTTAGCCGAGCAGTGTATTGGTTTTGGGACAAGGAAAGAGTGAATTGCTGTAAAGAATATACACCACAGAGACCGCCTTCTTTATGATTTCCGTATGTGTTTTTCACCTACAATTTTTTGGTAGAAGGTTGATTGTGTCTTCTTCTAATTACTTAGGGGTTCTTTTTGTTTAATTTGAAAGGTGAAACACTCATTTGTCGAACATTTCGTCATGAATTGAAGTGAGTTTGGATTCATTCATTTTCTTTCCTTATTGCTAACATACCCATGAAGACGTTCTGTTACAGATATTTTTCGCGTCCAAGTGATTTCCAACACAGAGATTCGGTCCCCCATTGTAACAATCGGTTCGAACGCTTATTTCTTCATAAAACACAATAATCTTTACGTTGTCGCTATTTGCAAAGGAAATGTTAACACGGCACTTGTTCTCGAGTTTATTGATGAGTTTATTCAATTGTGCTCCCGGTACTTCGGAAAGCTTAATGAAAGCTCTGTAAAGGATAATTTTATATTCATCTACGAGCTCCTTGATGAGCTAATTGATTTTGGCGTGCCTCAGACAACCGAAATGAGTGCTCTGAAATCATATCTGTCTACGGAAGGCATTAAGTCGAAAGGTGGACCTAGCTCCAGTTCAGAAAAGACGACGTCGCAGCGTGTTACCGCACAGCTTACTGGTGCTATTTCATGGAGGGGTGCTGATGTTAAGCATAGAAAAAACACCATATATGTGGACGTTATTGAAAATATGAACTTGCTTATTGGAACCACGGGCAATGTGCTAAGAGCAGATGTTTCCGGTGTCATTAATCTTCGTACCATGCTCAACGGAATGCCAGAATGTGAATTGGGTCTTAACGACAAATTGAGTTTTGATCTTAAGGGTCATGAAAGAGGTTACGATTCTAAAAAATCATTCGAAGGAGGTGTGCATTTGGAAGACTGTCAATTCCATCAATGTGTGCGCTTACAGCAATTCGAGGATGAAAGAAAAATTGTTTTCATTCCTCCGGACGGGAACTTCGAATTGATGAAATATCGCGCGCGCGAGAATATACATATTCCCTTTCGTGTAAACCCCATCGTTGAACAGGTATCTAAAAACAAAGTTGTCTATCGCATTTCTATTCGTTCTAGTTTTAGTTCGAAGCTAGCCTCCTCTGTTAGTGTTTGTGTTCCCGTTCCCCTCAATGCAACAAAAGTTTCCGTGAGGTCCTCCCAAGGCAAATCTAAATATAAGCCTTCAGAAAATTGCATTCATTGGAAACTCGCTCGGTTTATGGGACAAACAGAGCATGTTCTGTCCGCTGAAGCAGAGCTTTCCCATACAACCGTTCAACAGCAATGGTCCAGACCACCCATTTCACTCGATTTCAACATTCTCATGTTTACCAGTTCTGGTACCGTCGTGCGTTACTTAAAGGTGTACGATTACGATAATCCCAAGTACAAAAGCATAAAATGGGTTCGTTATTCAACCCGTGCTGGCAGTTATGAGATTCGGATTTAATGTAGTTATAATATTTATAGGTAAGAAAACTATAATAGAGTCATTCATCATAAACAATTGTAATTATTTTCATGGGAACATAACTGTTCGATATTCTACTTCAGTTTTTTCAGCATTGCTTTTACCAGCGACTGGCCTTGGATGACTTCGGGCAAGTGTGTTTTCCCAAGTTCTGCGTTCACGCGATGAACATGAAAGGGTTCGTAAACATTAGAGAATTGACTCACTCTTCGAACGCTTGTTCCATCTGGAAGTAATTGACCCATCTGCCATGGACTCAAGTCTTCTGGTGGTTCCGGAAAAACAAATGGTTCTTCCATTTCTACTATTACTTTTTTAATAGACTTGGGTCGTTTTACCTGACCCATTCGGTTACGGTATAGTTTTCTCGCAAAAATCATTGAACGGACGGATAAAACTTTTAAATTATAAACATGTAATAAATAATCCCGGACATCGAATTTATTAACATGCAGCGGGACCTTAAATGCCGCGAAATTTGGAGGAAGATTACTTCGTTTGTAAAGTGTGAAAATAAGATTTGGTAGGTAAACCAGCTTAGTTCCTTGTCGCCAGGGAATTGTGTTCATTTTTTATAACAAATAACAAAAATGTTGTCAAGTAATATTGCACTTCACTTCATTTTGCCTAATGTTTGGCGACCAGCTAACTAACGTTTGGTGTTGACTTTTTGGTGTTGACTATTACTTGGGTCTCCACACAAAAAAAAAATAAAAAAATATATAAAAACAGATACAAGTTAAAGGTGATATCTTGTGAACGGCATGATGATCGTGAATATATTAATAATTAAAAGCATCTATTCCATTCATACCTGTATACTGCAGATTCAACCACTTGCAATTACCCTTGTCAATCGTTGTTACCTTAACGCAGCACCTTGTAACCACCTAAAGTAACAACATCTAAGCAGCCAAATGATTCTGAATTTTGCTACCATCTCCGTAGCTGTAACTCCAACGCTATCCGTAGGTCAAAAACTACCATATCGCTGGAAATTCAGCCGGATTCCCAAGAGAAATAGTTCTCGGGCACTAAAAAAATATGGCAGAGGACTTTGATCTGACGAATGCTTTGGCATCCGTGCCAATTGATGGATTTTCTGTCGCGCAACCTGCTGAACATGCAAAAACAAACGATGTCGAGGTTAACGATGAAGAAGAAGAGAAATTCATTGCCTCAAAGATTTTTGAAGTAAATCGTAAAACAAAAGGAAAAAAGCTTTCCGGAAAGGCTACCAATTTCCAATCAATGGGTAAGTTACTCGCTGGACAGGATACTTTCCTGCAATAAAAACTTTGCTTGGATAGGTACTAACATATTTATCAGGCCTCAGCACTACTATGTTACGTGCCATTACGAAAAAGGGTTTCAAGGCACCAACTCCTATCCAAAGAAAAACTATCCCGTTTGTGTTAGATGGAAGAGATGTCGTTGGTATGGCTCGTACCGGATCCGGCAAGACCGCTGCTTTCGTTATTCCTATGATCGAAAAACTAAAGGCTTCCCGTGCTCAATCCGGGTCCCGTGCAATTATTCTTTCTCCAAGTCGTGAACTTGCGCTGCAAACCATGAAAGTCGTAAAGGACTTTTCAAAAGACACCAACCTTCGTACAGCAGTAATCGTTGGTGGTGAGGGCTTGGAAGAACAATTTAGTATACTTACAAACAAGCCTGATATCATTGTGGCTACTCCCGGTCGTTTCTTGCATTTAAAAGTCGAAATGAAATTGGAGCTTGGTTCTATCGAATATGTTGTGTTCGATGAGGCTGATCGACTTTTTGAGATGGGTTTTGCTGCGCAATTAACAGAGATTCTTCATGGTCTTCCTTCTTCTCGACAGACGCTCTTATTTTCGGCCACGTTACCAAAGAACTTGGTAGAGTTTGCCAAGGCCGGACTTCAGGAACCTATTTTGGTTCGTCTCGACGTTGAATCAAAGGTCTCCTCTGATTTGCAAAGTGCTTTTTTCTCCGTGAAAACAGCAGAGCGGGAAGCCGCCTTGCTTTACGTTTTGCAAGAAGTAATTCATTTGCGTTTACAGGAAGAATTGAAACCAGCCGAATTGCCATCTCAAGCTGAGAATCCTAAGAAGAGAAAAAGACTGCTGGAGCATACCCTGAAAAAGCCAGAAACTGCTGCGAGCGATTCCACTATTGTTTTCGTTCCCACCAAGCATCATGTTGAGTACATTACAGAAATGCTTAAACAAGCGGGTTACGGTGTTTCTCGTATCTATGGTTCCCTGGATCAAACGGCCAGAAAAAATGAGATCACCAATTTCCGTCTCGGTGTTAGCAACGTTTTGGTAGTAACAGATGTTGCTGCTCGTGGTATTGATATACCTTTACTTTCCAATGTCGTTAACTATGATTTCCCTGCCCAACCTAAAATCTTTGTCCACAGAGTTGGACGTACTGCTCGTGCTGGACGCACTGGTTGGGCATACACTTTTGTACGTGCAGAGGATGCCGGCTATTTACTGGACTTAAAGCTGTTTTTGAACAGAGATCTGGTTACCGCTGAAGTGGCCGCGTCACGTGAAGAATGTGATTTCACCAAAGAACTCGTACTTGGATCTCTTCCGTCTGAGTATGTTTCCAACATGCAGGAATGGTATGAATCCCTTATTTCGAAGAATGTGGAACTCGCACAATTATGCAAGGTCGCCGCAAAAGGTGAAAAGCTTTATATAAGAACAAGAACGGCTTCTAGTGCCGAAAGCGCTAAGCGAGCAAAGGAGCTAGTTGGTTCGAGTGGTTGGTCTTCCATCAATCCTCTTCTGAAGGACAAGGTTGATGACGCTGATGAAGCGCGTGCTCTTTTATTAGCCAAGGTTTCCTCCTTCCGACCATCGGAAACTGTCTTCGAATTGAAGCAACATGGTCACTTGCGTACTGAGGCCGCTGAAATTATGAGGAAGCGTCGGGAAAAGTTTACGCCAAGAGCAAATACCATGACCTCAAAAGTGTTTGCTACCGATAGAAAGCTCAAAAAACAACAGGAAGTTTCTGAGTCAGAAGTCGAAGCTGTCTTTACTGATTCAAAGTCACTTAATATTTCCAACTCTTCTAAAAAACAAAAAGATTTCCGTGATAAAGAGTATTACATGTCACATTACGCTCCCGCTGAGCATGTTCAAGAGTCTGGCTACGCTGTCAACCCAGGCAAAGAAGAGAATTTTGCTGCCGCTGCTCGCAGTGCTGTACTTGACTTGACCACTGATGAAGGTGTTGACCAGTCCCGCCGCGGTGGTCAGAGATGGGACAGCAAAAAGAAAAAGTTTGTTAATATCGTTAACGATGAAGATGGTTCTCGTGGAGTACCTAAAATTATCCGTGGTGAAAGTGGTGTCAAACTTCCAGCTACATATAGAAGTGGTCGCTTTGATGCCTGGAAAGCATCTCATGGTGATGCAGCTTCAACAGAAACAAAAGGCACAAATTCCAGTGGCAAACGGTTTGTTCATAAGTCAGTTAAGGCACCAAAGATGCCAGACAAGTATCGTGATGACTATGAAGTTCGTAAGAAACGTGTCAAAGAAGCCAAAGAGAAGGGTATCGGTGTCCACGTCAAAAGCGAACTTCGTACTGCTACTGAGATTCGGAAACAGCATGAACTTCAAGAAAAGCGGAAGGCAAAGAATGCCCGTACTCCAAGAAAGTTTCGCAAACACCGTTAAATGTGTTAGCTGTTGTACATATACTTTACTCTATTTATCTTTTTGGGGTAGACTTAATAAATCTATGGTTCACAGTGAATTGTTTGTGTGCGAATGATTTTTATTGTTGGTTCATAAAACAGAATTCAGTGGAGATTGATCAACCGTTGTGTTCGTCGAGCGTGTATTTTTTCGACATATGTCTATGTATTTTTTCAGAACAGTTGAACTCGTATACGTCGGAATTTCACACTTCAAGTCTTCAAGGATATATGTAATTAAATAATCTGAAGCACATTGTGATTTGCTGTTTGCTACCTGTTGAAAGAGATACGTATATAAATCCAAATCCCGTTCAATGGATGCAACCTTCAGCTCGTTCCATCTTTTTCGTAAAGCCGTCCAGTTTCGTGTGCTAACGAGTATGTGAATAATAATCTTAATGTCCTCCCTGTTATATTGGACCCCTTGTCGCCTTATAAGCTGGTCAATTTTGCGGAAACGGTAGTCAAGGTAAGGATTTTCAGTAGTAGAAGATGACTCAATGAAAGAAGCAATTAACAAAGCCCTTACAAATAGGTTCTGTAATGTTTGCTTGCTTACTATTTGCGCATCACGTAGCGTTTGATATAGTAAGCACACTTGCTTGAAACGTAAACTCACAATGGCTTCGGGATCTTTATGACTATTTGGATCACATTTAGCAGTTGCAGCCTGCAAAAGTAAGTCACGTACACTTACACTACTGAATTCCTCTTTCTCAATTGTTGATAGTTGACTTGAGTTGATGTGAGAAAGCAAAAATCCATGTTTGTGACAAAAAGCCTGATTCATGTCATTACATGCAAGCATAATCTTTTTAAAAATTTCTTCCCTTGACATGCCATTTTGCTCTTCTACTTCCACACTATTGGCAGACGGACTTCTGACTGCGGACAAATGCGTTCCATCGTGGAATAATGCTTGATGATCATCTGACAACAGCTCAAGCTGTACCTCTTCGCGTTTTTTAGGCGTCAGCAGATGAACGTACACGTTTAATTCCTCAATGTACGTGCAAGTCCACAAGCAAGCGGAAGTGTGATTTATAATAGAGTCATATCGAGGATTCTTTCGTAGGCGCCTCTCCTGAGCCCGCTTGTAATTTGCAGAGGGGGGGAGACCTTGTGTATCATAATGATATTTTTTTGTATCTTTCAGTAATTGTTTGAGGGACTTAGACGCAGAGATAATATGAGACTCATTTCTGCAGCTACCGATTATAAGAAAAACACATTCTGATTGAAGCTTTGTTTCGGCACGCGGGCGCACACATGATAAGTCGAAAACAAATGAATCCTTTGCTAAATGTAATAATAGTTTCTCGACGAAGAGGGGCGTGTTTTTTGGTAACTTCGGTATCTCAATGTCAATTTTCTTTATGGAGGGAAATATATTGTGTTTATCACTTTGATACCAGAGTTTTTTGGCACTTCTCTGTGATCCTTCAGCTGTTGAAGTAACGTACTTTCTGCCCAATGGCACCAAAAATTCAAATGTAGATCGTCGAAACGTAGTTTTTCTTAAACATGCAGCAAGTTTCAAAGCTTGTTTCATCTGGTTAGCTTTTTGTTATTAAGCAATTTCACGGAGTGCTTCTCAGTATGCCAACTTGTTCCAAAAAAACTCGAATTTGTTACTAATTTGAAAATCCGAAGAACAACACAGAATGGACGCGTAGATGTAATAAACTCTTCTAACTCACTTCGTCTGGACCCTGTTTCATTGAAATCGCATTCCTTTTTGAGTGGTAGTAATAAGTTTATAAGCGGTAGTAGACGAAATAATTTCGTGTAGGCGATGCGAACTCTTCTTTCACCAATATGTCAACGCACGTAAAGGACGACGAAAACGCGTCTTTTGATGTGTTTTCCGCGTTCAAATTTACACCATTGACTACTGGAATTCCTATTTCACTTGGTACGAATGCAGAATTGATCTGTACTGACCATAATAGGTACCAATGTCGCGTTGACCCCATCTTCTCGTATTCCAAACGAACCTTTAGAGTTAAATAAATCTGAAATGGAACAAATGACGCGTTACCTTGACCATTTAAATTGCAAAAACGAATCTTCTTTGAATCCTGAGGAGTCTAAGTTTTACGAAGAAAGCCTAAGAACTATCCTCAAAGAAGACGATTTAGAAAATCAAACAATGTATGTACGGGATTAAGAAAGAAAGTTAACTAAAACTTCTTTAGTAAACTGATTGGTACCAATTCACAGAGGCCCACCCTTCAACAGAAGTCGTCCGCCCTTTTTATCCCCCCTATCCTCCAATCACTCAGTCCTCCATGCAATGTACAATTAGAAACGCCTTTAAGAAGTACACCTTCGCTTTCATCTGACACGAATGTGTCATTTGATGTATCATTGCTTTCTTCCCCAAGTCGGACATCTGAAAACATTGTCGAACGAAATACACACGTGAAAGATGAGCCGCTTAATCAACCCTCCAACGTCAGTGCACTGCACAAGCAAAATGATGCGCCTCAACTTCATCGCCTGGAGGATGATATTTCGCGACAAAAAGAAGAATTGGACTCACTGCTAAGTACATTGTCTACCGGATTTCACTTAGAGCCACAAAAGATTCCTCGAGAAATGCGGCCATTCTTTTTTGTGTATCCGGATACTATGGGTCTCTCGTTATCGAACTTCGCATTAGACCGTCTAATACTAAGTTTTAATAGACTTCAACAAATAACGAAGTTGGAAAGTGTAGTAACGGAAAATGCAATGGCAGATTTAAAGTCATTCTCCGAAGCTGGATTACGAGCTTGGAAACCTCCTCACTTCATGCCTCTTCAAAATGTAGACGAAATCATGGATGCTTTGGAATCGTTGGAGCACATCTTGAAGCTCATTTATTTTATTGTATTTATTTTAAGCTACTTTCCTACTTATGTTAAGGTGCGTTTCCTAGATCTCTATTCACTTACTATTACTAACTATCAAATGAAGCTCCATGATGAAACTACACTTTCATTAATTTTGGAAAAGACTTACTCCATTGGTGAGGTTTTCATTTCACAAGCTTTACAGTTTTATAGTGTCGATGGAGTACAGAAAAACCCATCTCTTAAACCGAAATTCTCAATGGTCTTTGGAAAGTATTCTGATACACTCATGATGATTGCCAAACTCTCGGAGTTGATACCTTTCTCTGAAGCTATTATAGTTCGCACTGTTTTTTTAAGTGTTTTTCTCGTAACACTTGAAGCTCCAGCGAAGGAAAATACTGTCACCATACCAGCTAATGCTGCTGACGTTATTCAATCTTCTGCGTTTGAGTGTTTGCAATTGGTACAACTACAATAAATCATGCTTTTCTGCTAACATTTTAGATTTTTTCGACTTATCCCTCTCATCGTGAGTTCGTCTTACAAGAAGCACTGATGAGTTTAACCACTTTACCTGCTTCACGTTCCCTTTTAAGAACATATAGACTCTCTTCCAGAAAACAGGTTCTACCAATTTCAACGCTCTTGGTTAAGTTGATACAGTCGACGTCTTTTGAAATTAATCGGTTTCTGGAGGACCTCAATGTCCCCGTTGAAACTGTAGAAAAGTACGAGTCTATGAAGAATTATTCCAAACTAATAGAATCCGTATGTTACAATTACCTACTTATTATGCTAATGATTAGATTGATTCACGCTTGCTAAAAAGCCGCGAACTTGAATATAAGTTTGCTAATCTCGCTGTCTCTTTTTTTCTCAATAGGGCAATGCAGCAAGCAAAATCAGATACTAACACATTTATGTCCGCTCTTACGCATGCCATTGTGGAGGATTTGCTAAATATGTTAACCTTGCCAGAATGGCCTTCAGTTGAAACTTTAGTGCGACAATTTGCGTTTAATTTGGTTATCATAATTCTAAACGAACGCCAAACTGTGGCAGTTAGACGTTCAGCTTTAGAACTCTTGAGTATCATTGTGAACAAACTTAATGAAACTTTCTCCGTGAAGCTTTACGAGAAATACGGTTTTCAACCATTTGATAATAAGGATTCAGAGAAACCCCTAACCGAAGACCTATTAAATCAAATCGAAAAGATTGCAAATGTATGCATCGCATATCAATATGAGCTATCTTTTCGTTCGAGTTGTTATCGGGTACGCGCTTGTTTGTACGTTTTTTGACTAACATGGAAAGTACAATTTTATGTACTCTAGAAATCTGTGGTTGCTTTACTTTCTTAGTTTAAAGCCAAACACTAGAGATGAAGTTGTTAAAAAACAGCTGATCACATTTATTTTACGCTATTCCGCAAGTAACGGAATGAATGTATTTAACTCCCCAAATGACGAGCAGTTGAACGATTTCTATTTACTGTCACTTTACGGGAGTTCGTTGTACCAAAGTTTGCAGTCATTCATTTCTCTAATTATTGGCTTTATAGATAGCCCGCAAGCAAATTTACGGACGAAAAGCCTTCGTATTCTTAACCATATGAATGATTTACCAAAAATATTGCGCACTCAACCTGTCCTCTTAAACCAAGTTATAGGAAAACTCAACGACAATTCTGCTGTTGCGAGAGAATTGGCTGTTGACCTTCTTGGGTCGTATATATTGTCCAATCCGGATGCATTACCCTCAATATATGAGGTTATTTCCCTTAGGACTAGTGATGTCTCTACAGCTGTTCGAAAACGTGCTTTAAAAAACCTTCGAGACTTTCACAACCTTACTCAGGATAAGGCAATCCATAACGACATCTATTTAAAGCTCCTTCTTCGACGGACTGATCAAGAAGAATCCATTACTGTATGCACCACATCGATTTACTGAGAAGCCTCTAACTCTGAACAGGTACTTTCCTTAAAAATACTTGAAGACTTATGGTTCGGTTCCATACCGTTACAAGAAGGCTTCGGTGATTTAACATTTGATGATCTTAGTGTTGTCAGTAAAACGACATTGAATGCACATTGCCGTTTTATTACTAATTTCTTCGCGGAAACTACTGGTGATATTCAATTACGTATCGTTGCATCCATTAAACAGATGTTAGCTTCGAGCACTGATGAAGGTCGTATAGAACTAGAGTTCCGATTGTCCATGCTACTTGGCTCTCTGTTTTCTAGACTCATGGAAAACCTTTACGTAGTAGATTCTGAAAGCGCTTCAAAACAAGTTCGGGAGATCTTAGCAACCCTATACCTTTTTTCGCGATCTACCCCATCACTGTTTACCGAAAGCCAAGTTACATTGCTAAAGTCTTATCTCAAAGGCGCTTCTAATCTAGAGGAACAGAGAATGTGCTTTTATGTTGTTGCTCTTTTGAGGCAAATTCTTCCCTACCAACCAAGCATTCCTGTTTCGTTTCTTCGTGAAGTCGAGACTGTCCTGCTTCAGCTTTTGCCAAAGGCAGGTACGTTTATCCTTCGCGAACTCGTTCCCTGCTTATGTTACCTTTTCGAAAAACTCAGCGATCATCAACGTCTTCAAAAAATCTTGAAATCCTGTCTTACAAATCTGGGTACTATTCCAGTTGACACCAAGCCGGAAAAGGTCTCAAGAATTTTGGATCTTTTAGGATTGTTCGTCAAATTCGGTGACTTCACTGACGCTTGCTTTAATCCATCTAATTTGCTATTGACTGCTATTAAGGATTCGTCGATATATCTCTATTTGAGCAATGTTTTTCTGAAGTACTTAAGTTCGAAAAACAGCCATACTGTGGATTCCGCAATGGAATGCCTTATGAATGTTTGTTTAGCAAGTCCATCATTATTCGTTAGCGAACGAGTGGTGCAGGTTCTTGATACTATATTTAAAAACTTGGACAAAAAGAAAATATTTACCTTTTTCGCTGCCCTAAGAGAAATCTTATCTATCGATCAAGACATTATTCGGGAGGCGGACGCCAAACTAAACTCTAAGAACAATAAGAATAAGCAAGTGGATTTGGATGTCGCCGTTTTTAAGGGCCATTATGACAATATGCAAAATGAAGGGTATGCGCACACTTTTGCTATATTACTAACGTAGCATTCCAGAGTCACGACCTGCCTTTCTCAACGTTACTTGAGCTACATTTTACAGTTTACACTTTCAGAAGATACATCACTTTCCTCACAAGCGTTCGACATACTGAAGTCGGTTGTTCAACAAGGACTCATTAATCCTAGAATGGTATGGTGCTTAAATTGAAAATTAAACTAATAAAGCAGTGCTTTCCTACTCTGTTAGCGCTTGAAGAAAGTCCGCAGCCGTTGTACCGAGACATGGCAATGAACCTCCATTTAGAACTTATTCAAAAACACGAATCACTTTTGGAGGGTCTCTACATTGAAGGAGTCATGTCTTTATACAAATACCGGAATCTGAATAACCCAAGCAGTTTACTCCTTTACAAACACTCACCATTGCAAAACATATACACAATTGTTGCGCGCAGTAAAGGCACTAAATCGCGTAAGCGATTTATTTGCAGAATTGCTAAAATGCTTGAACTGGACAGTACCCACTTAGTTGAAACTAGTGCTCATCAAGCGGAGTTTTACACGTTCATATGCTATGCTTTGGCATTGTTGGAATATATGGCTTACGATGAAGTTTTAACCATTATTCACTATGCGAATGCGATGTTAGCAACAAATGGACCTTTCATTATTCAATGGCTCCAAACTGTCGGGGAAGACACCGTATCAAAGCAAGCTAATGCTATTATGTTGTCTAACGTTATACTATTGAAACGGTACTTGACGTCCACTTATGCCATCAGTGAAACTCGGATACAAAACTTTGACATCTCCAAAAGCTTTCGCGACATTAAGCTTCCTCCTCGCAATCAAACATTACTTCCTTCATTCTGCGTTGTGGGAGAAGAATATGCAACGTTGTATAAAAAGGTTTGTTCCGCAAATGTATTTATCAAATTCCTGCTAACAGCATAGTGTATTCAATTGTTCGAAGAGGAAAACATTGCAAATGTTGTACCTGTTGACGATGAGCAACCGTCTAATAAACGAAAAAGTGCATACTCTCATTCTGCTACGATTCCTGATCACCTTGATGCAATGGACATTTCGGAAGCATCACCCGCGAAATTGCGGAAACTGTAATTTTACTCTGCATCTCACCGACATGAAACACCGTTATGACTGCCTCTTAAAATCCTTTGATATATACACACATATATACGCAAACTAGAACATATCAACCTTTAAATATTCAATGACAATTCACTTATGCATTCATGCTTGTGACACAAGCTGCAAAGAAAGCTAGTAGTTTTTCCCTTGACTCTGCTACGAGTCTGCTAAAGCGACTACGGAAAAAAACGGCGAGTTCACGGCTTCTACCAAGTCTCTCATTACTGACAGCACCCGTTCGTTTAAAACGTCTCCATCAGTTTGAAACAAACGAATTGGACCCTTCCGTCTACCGTCAAGAACATATATATAATCGTCGTTTCCCTTGGTGAAGCACAAAAAGTGCAAGTCCGTCTCAACGTCTGCGTCAGACGAATCTTCAGACGGAGCACCGGCAAACTTTGCATGGATGCGAGCCAGCTCCTTTGAGTTTTCAATATACTTTGCCTTTTCTTCCGCTGTTAAACCAGTCGTCTCCTGAACAAGGGAAGCAGCAAAACTCTTGGGCAACCGCTTGTTTTCGGGAATACCATTAGCTACAGCATGTAAAAGAGCCATTGTTCCGCATGCATTTGCAATTGTCTGTGGGTACCAATGAACATTCTTTGTGTTACAATCTACAATTGTATCATTTTCGAAGCCGCGGGAAGCATCTGTGTTAGTGTTCTCTGGATAAACCAGCAAGAGAGAAAAAATGGGACGAGGTAAGTATTCTGGAATCTCGTTCAGTGAGAATATATCAAATGCTGCAACGTTCTCTACCCCAATTTCCTGAAGATAAGCCTCTAGAACTTCAGGGTTGTTTTCTAATGGTTTCCACATGTTGTGAATTATGAGTGAAATAAAAGTAACAGGGAATCAAGTTAATTCCACGGAAAAGAAACGAAAGTTAACGTAAGGGAATGTTTAAAATGGAACGGAATGATACAATTCACAACCGCCGAAAACGCACGTTGTGTGCCAGATGCGGACGCTTTAAGGTGTCGTCTTCCTGGATTAAAGTATTATACACCACCGACAAAAAATTAAAATAAATAGTGTTGTGGGGATAAGCGGATTCGTTTTCGGGTTAAAATGTGGGGAAACTCAGAACAAGATCAAAAGTAAGAAAAAGGAAATACAAATCCAAAAGGTGGACACGGGAGGCAAAGAAAAAGAACACGAGCTCTTAACCGTCCCGTCTTGATGGAATTTTATGAGCTGGCTTGCATAGCATTGTACATTTCAGCCATGTACAGTTCAACGTGTGCGGACAGCTTAGCAAACTCTGTCTTAATAGCTTGCATTTGATATTCGGCATCCTCGTGTGCTTTGTGTATTTGCTGTTCCAACGATGTGATGAGTGCCTTTTTCTTTTCTGTCTCCTTCAATTTTTGAGCTCGTTCCTGCGAAATAATCTGATACTCTTCTCGTGTTTTGTCGATGCGCTCCTGAGCAGCAGCAAGCTTAGAAGCGCCAAAACGTTGCTCACGATCAAGCTTTTCCTTAGCATTATGTAGTTGCCGCAGAAGTTGCTCTTTACGGAACTCTGTTTCTTTTTGTGTCAGCAACCGTTGGTCGTACAGCTCACGATTAGTGTAACAGAGCTGACTTGCTTGTTCAAGCTTTTCTAATTCGAGCACGCATTCATCAAGTGCTTTTATGCACGAATTCAAGTCAGTCTCCGCAAGTGTTAAGGCGCCACTTCGGGTTTGTAGCTGTCTTCTTTTCTGCTCGAGCTGAGACAAAGTTAATTTGTCGGCAGAGAGAGTTGAGGACATGTCTGTAAGAGTCGTCTTCAACTTTTCGGGCGAATGAACGATGCAAGAGCGCAACCGATCCACCTCCTGAACGGCTGATTGGATAAAGAACACCGTACTTTGTACTTTGGACATTAATTCTTTGGCCTCTGATTTGAGCTTGTCGTATTCGGCTTTCGCTTGAAGCTGTGTTTTTTTCATTGTACGCAATGTTTCTCGAAGCACTTCGTTTTCCTGTTGAAGTTGTTTTATTTCGGGCTCTTGGGAGTGCTCTTCTGGCCCTACTTTCCTCCAGCTGGTGCAAATACCTGCTGGTGTTTAACGGTCAACTCATTGTACCGACGCAGTATCGTTTCTCTTTTCTGCATGTATTCATCGAATAACGGGAGCTTTTGCTCCCGGCATTTAGCAAAATTGATGACCCCAGACAATATTCGCCGTAATCGTGCAGCTTCTGGCTTTAGTAAGTCTCGTAGGCTGAAATCGTCTACGGATATTTTGTGCATAAATTGAACAACTTTTTGGTAAAACATCATAAACATAAGCGTGTCTTGCATTGAATCCAAGTTTTCAACCTCCTCTCGAAGTTTGTTTAGCCGTCCTTCCACATCCTGATTCGTTACACCCATAAACATATACAGAAACTCTTCATATAACGCCTGAACGCGTGCCGGAGTTGGTTTTGTCAAATCCTCCTTGGAAAAGGGAATTCCAAGACCGTTCATACATGTTAGAATTTCGGCAGAGGACAAACTAACAAACGTGAACTTGTGCGACATTATTCATACAAAAAAGACATTGGCATAAGGTACATGGAGTTCGACACCAAAACGCAATTCGTGTCGTGTCGCGTCGCGTCGCGTCAAATGCAGTCGCTACTTCTTAGCAGTGCGAAAGAGCACAGTTCTGTGCGTTAAGGTAACGGTCAGCCAAAAGGTAACGCCGAGGAGATCATGCGGGGGCTTATGACGGTGCTGGGATATCGGAGTGACATAGGTAACAAGATATGCTGATTACCCGCAATAAGAATACAAACAAAGTTCCGCGTGGAAGAAAGCGGAAAACAGAGGGGCGATTGCTCCCGGAATGGAGAGTGTAAGATCTTCCTAAAAACTTCGAAAAACGTGAATGGGACAATTATTTCTAATTGTTTAGAACTTCTTCTCTTGCTAAATATCCGACTAGCCAAACGATGTAGCGTAACGTCACTAGTTGTGGATGTGTGAAACCTCAACTATAGACCTATTAGCCAGTTTTTTATTCGCTCGGCTAAATAATCTCTGCGCTGCACCGCGGTATCTCCCCGTCAACTCACCAAAAGATAATAGATAAGATGATGCACAATGATAGTGAACCGCGTTCCGTTGCCCCTGGCCACGTTTTTGAGCTAGTGTTACCTTATCAGGAGGCATCCAATAAAGGCCAATAGCATTAGAGATATCGTGATTGATTTGCACTAGCAGCGACATCTCAGCAGCCGCTGGATGGTCAGTCAAAGACACTCGACAACTGGGGACAGCCGCAGAAATAGAAGCATCTGCGATATACATAAATCCCGTTTGCTTTTGTCTGCATCAGGAGCTTCGCAAGCCGTGTACAAGCACCCGAATACGTAATAAAATTAACTCTGAGATTGCGCTAGAACCGACTTTATTAGCATTTGCGACTTCCTTCGATGACGTGTTATATGAAGACTTTAGACGTGCTGCAGAGAGTTGCACATCAGAAGTCTTAGCTTCGCGAAATGCCGGCGTCCCGAAACCCTTCTAGCTCTATTTATTCGTTCGGTTAATGAACAAGGTGTGAAAAGTGTCCCATTTCCCGCGATCTTTACGCACTTTGATTCGACAAGCGCCCAACATCTCGTTTAGCTCGTTTATAAATGGGGTGAATATGCGCATGCTAAACAAGGCCTGGCCTCGGCAAGTGGTAATTAGAAGAAATGTGATTCGCTAGCAAAATTATCGGGGTACATTATCTCGGGTCTGATAATTATTATCGGGACTTATCCTCCAATCATGGGTGAACTGGTGTGCTTTCGAATTAGGAAATGACGTAGATATCGTTTTAGACTCTGAAAACGATCCAATCTGTGACATCATTTTCAGAGATATGCGACCCGCCTTCGCGATTTAACCTGCCAACTGCACCCACTGTAAAGGTCCCTTTTTTGATCTGACAGCGTGCTAGTCGTGAATTACACGATTTTTGTACTCAATTTACGCCAATTTCGGCTTTAGTTTCTATATTCTTCGTATTTCGGTGTTGTCATTTCAAATTTCGCCTTTGTAGGTGAAGAATTGTCGATTGTGTTTTTCTCAACTGGAGTACTCCCTAGATCGTCGTAGAAACGTCGTCTCTCGTTCATTGAAAAGCGTCTATTGTTCACGAGTGTTATAAGAGGCTTCTTGCGTTTGTCGAGACTCCGACTGCATTCTACGTGAATAGCCACTGAAATTACATTTTTGGAGGCTATTAAAGGCGGTGAACCGTACACTAGTTTCGTTTCCTGCTTTGTTCCAAGTCCTCAACAACCTTACTACTGGTACAGACTGCATTGAAACATTTCTTCGATACTGGTTGTGAGGTGTGTGTCCTGTTTTCCAAAAGCTTCTTGCTGTATTCGTTGAGGTACTATTTTTTTGCAAGACATTTGGAAAGTGTACGATTTGAGACGTTTCTTTTAACTAGAAATTCCGTCTTCTCTCTTTATTCCAATTGTTAATTCGTTGGAGCATTAGACTGTACGAGTCTCTGTATTATATCATCTCGTTTGTTTTCATCAACGAGAAAACACCATCTGTTACTTCGTTACTCTTCAATTTATACATACACAGTGTTTGTTATGGCGAATTCAGGCTCGCTAGAACCACAAGTTTGTGCTAACTGCAAGTCGCAAATCACTGCTCAATGGCGTCGTGGACCAGACAATTCTATCCTGTGTAACGCATGTGGTCTCTATTTCAAAACTCGTGACGCGCCTCGCCCTGTGCGGCAATCAGACGCTTCTGAGATGAATAAAGTTGCTGCTGAGATTTCGAGCAAAGGTACCTGCCCTGGTGATGGTCACTGTGACGGTACCGGCGGCACGAAAGCTTGCCAGGGTTGTCCGACATTAAACAACCGATTGAAATACTACAACAAGAACATGAAGCGTTGCGGCGGTTCGAAGGAGAATCCCGACGTCAGCGGATTTGTTTCAGCTAGGGAACCGTCCCCTAAACGGTCTTACTCTGAGGCTTCACAAGGATCTACGTCTGCATCTGACGACGCTCACCCGTTAACGCCAAAGACAAAAATGGAGCCAAATTCTAACGGAGATGGCACCAAATATCCCGTTAAAACAACCACTGTCCTCAATCATGAAGTCGCTGGTACTTACTGCCAAAACTGTGGAACGACGACTACTCCTCTGTGGCGGAGGGATGAATCCGGTAATCCGATCTGCAATGCTTGTGGTTTATATTATAAGATCCATGGCGTGCATCGTCCTGTCACGATGAAAAAGGCTGTTATCAAGCGTAGGAAACGTATGGTTCCTAATACGAAGGCCCAATACGTCGGTCAGCCGACATATCCGACGAACGGAATGCATGCGAACACGCCTCAAGGATTGCTTAGGCCTATGTACGATGGCCCCGTCAGCGGAGAGGCCGTGAATGGTGCAAGACAGTCGTTACCAACTCCTTCTCCACAACACCAGCAGTCAGTTTCTTTGGAAAGAGCCGAAGACGCAAGTCCAAAGTCTGTTGTGAACGCATCATTGGATGACGTTTCAAACGATAAGAATCTGCATGCGGAAGAGCGTCCCCAAACTTCTCCGCTAATGACTCTTTCCCATCTGGCAGCCGGTGATCCTTTAAAGGCGGGCAACGATGGCAATCGTCCTTCCAAGGGTGGTAATGTTTATTGCCATTTACCGCCCATCATACCCGTTGGAGAGTCTGTATTCCTTCCACCTCGCGACTCTTCTAAGCTCCCTCATGTGGATGGCATTCGATCTATCTTAAACAACTCTCACGAGTTTGGATCTACCCCATTAAATAGCAACACTCCAGCTCCGGCGGCTCCTGGTGCATCACCAAATAGTGAGCAAAGACCACGTGCCAATTCCAATTCGCTACCCGGACCACCAACTCCATCCTCACAGTCTATGGCATCAGCTACGCTGCCGCCACCCACGGCTTCCCTTTTCCCTAGATACTACTCGTCATTGCCTGTTACATTCCCTCCAGAAATCCTTTCTCTACCTCCTGCAGACCAAAGACAATATGCTACAGGCATTATTGCGCAACTGCGATCACGTTACGATATGGTGCTCCAGCAACTTGATGAAATAAACTATTCGATTTATCGCATTGAGTCGTGGCTAAATGCAACTTCGTCAATACAGAACACCGTATGAGATGTTTTCTCTCTCTTTGGTTACCAAGGCACGACTCGCAGATTTGCGCTTTGGTTTCCAATATGTGAAGTTTCTACTACTCTGCATATATGAATGACCTTGTGTGCAAGTACGCCATGATGAGTTTGCATCCTACGCTGCACAAATAATGTGGGATAGGTTTTATTACGTTTTTGTTTCTTTTCAGTTTTTTCTCGGGTTGTGTGAACATGTGTCTACGGTAAAAGTTAACGATTTTTTTTCAGTATAATATTCTTGTCGCAGTGATTACGGTCAGGGCTTCTTCCGAAGCCGACTCGCACTCGCTTTCATTCTTCTTTTCTACCGGTTTGAAGCCCCTCTTTTATCGTGCTTAGGACGGTTCTTTGCTTTTCGTGGGCGCATCGATGATAAATGCCGATTGCAGCATTAATTTTTGCCTCTGTCTTTTTCCTTAATGTTTAGGTTTTTCTTAGTTTTCTTATTTATAACATAGCGTTCGCTGTGTACCGGATTATTTGTTTTATCTTAATAAACTTCTATTCCATGAGTAAATCGATCGTCTTCGCAGTTAAGCAGTACAACTATATCGAAAGATATACAGCTCACATAAACGGCGTATAATGTTTATAATGGTATGGTCAAGAACGTAATGGCATGAATATAATCTTGTTGCTACTTTCATAAACGGCTCATAAGAAAGTAAAATATAAAATGGGAAGAACATTGATGACTAGAGGTGCAATTGTATTTACCAATACGGTGAATGTATTTATACCACATTTAAGGAACTTTACTCCCAGTCATCATCTTCGTCATCGTCATTCTCGTTCTGCTTATGCTCGGCAGCTTTGCCCTTTACAGGTTTCTCTGGTTTTGAGTCCGCAGATTGAGCGTCAGCTTTCTTCTCTGTAGTACCCTTTACGTCTTTCTCTTCAGCGGCAGTTTCGTCACCGGTGCCACTTTTCTTCTTATCAGTAGTCGATTTTTGTAATTCATTCTTATCACCAGTCTCGGTCTCTGGTTCATCGTCCCAATTAAAGATTTCATCTTCTTCGACACGTTTCGTATCGGCAGAGAGACTCCGTGCTGCTTCATGGCGATTGCAATCCTCCTCTATGCGTGTTTTGTGGAAGAAGTAACGAGCCCAAAAGGAAGAATAATCAACTGTTTCCGGAACGAGGGATTCCATAGACTTACGTAAACCAGGATACTGTTGTAGGAGACTAGCAATTTCATCCGTCTTTTCTTCTACCGAAAAGTCTTTTATCCAAGTAGTAAACTCGGTATTGTCAGTCATACCATCTTTAAGTAATTCTGTGTTATTTGCAACAGAGTCCAGAAGACGTTCTCTACGAGTCGTACTAATAACATGTTAGTAAGTAATGAAAGAGAGATCCAAAGTTGTGTTAAACCAAGGAATAGAGAATTACATACTAAATGCTGACAGCAGGTGAACTGCCACGAGTTTCGTTTTCAGGAGATACTTTGATAGCACGGTCAAGAAGATTACTCATCTTGGCGCCCAGATTTGTCCAATACTGACCGGCCTTGTTTTCCATAGAACGAAGGTTTTCCAATGGCTTTTGACTACTTTCACTTATTTGTTTCTTCCAATTGGCCACCTCGGCCGATGCTTTCGTTGTAGCCGTGTTCAAGTCTTTACGAGTTTCCTCCCATATATGTTCACTCTGTACGGTAACCCAAGTTAGCGAAAAACGTGAACGAACTTTGAACTGAGTTTGTTGCAATTATTATCAAGAATGAGACGTACCTTCTTCATAAAGCTGTTCCAAAAAGTTCCGAACTTTCCATCTGTAATTGTCTACGATATGATTAGTCAGAGTCCATTAATATATTAAACTTACGTTTAACGCCGATTGAACCTCTTTTTTAAGCTCTTCTCCACCACTTTCGGAAGTAGTAGGTTCTGTCGTTTCGTTAATTGCTCCAGGTCCTATAAATTCATAAAGATCCATTATTGTTAAAATGTTCAGGTAGAGGCCAAGTACGAAACACCCGATCAGCCGCTATATTTCTCTACACCATAAGGTGTCCGACCCGTACTTCCTCTATCTCAATGACGATGGCACTAGACATTCCCTAACGAAACCGAATACACAAACTCAGCACTAAGATAATGAAAATGATGTATTACAATAAAAAGAATGCGTGCCTGCTTCAGTAAAACATGCACTACTAGAATGAGTTATTTATAATATGAACAATACACACGGTGGAACACGGAACGTTCGCATCGACATCGTTAACAGCATTATACTCTTAAGCTGACCAAACGCGGAAAGGTCGAATTGCTGATCTGGCAGCTTAGAGCTCATCTTCATCATCGTAGTCGGGTTCGTCTTCATAAGAACCGCCGGCTTGCTCGTACAACTTGTTGGTAATGGGGTGAACGATAGAATCAAGTTGCTCACGCTTCTCCTCAATCTCCTCCTTGGTGGCAGAATCGCCTTCAGACTCAAGCCACTCAATAACTTCAGAGACAGCGTCAATAACAGCCTCCTTGTCTTCTTCCTCGACCTTGGAGCCCAATTGGCTATCATCAGTAAATTGGTTCTTAACAGAGTAAGCGTAGTTCTCCAAGACGTTACGAGCCTCAATGCGCTCCTTGATCACACGGTCCTCCTCGGCGTACTCCTCGGCCTCCTTGACCATACGCTCGATTTCCTCCTCGGAAAGACGGCCCTTGTCGTTCTTGATGACAAGCTTTTCGGCCTTGCCATTACCAGACTTGTCGACAGCAGAAACGGTCAAGACACCATTGGCATCGACCTCGAAAGTAACCTCAATTTGGGGAACACCACGAGGTGCGGGAGGAATGCCACGAAGATCGAACTTTCCAAGAAGGTTGTTGTCCTTGGTAAGGGAACGCTCACCTTCATATACTTGGATACGGACAGTGTTTTGGTTGTCGACAGCGGTGGAGAAGATTTGAGACTTACGAGTGGGAATAGCAGTGTTGCGGCCAATCAACTTGGTCATAACACCGCCAGTAGTCTCAATACCCAAAGTCAAGGGGATAACATCCAAAAGAACGATGTCATCACTACCCTCGGCACCAGACAAAACACCACCTTGAACGGCAGCACCATAAGCAACGGCTTCATCAGGGTTAATACCCTTAGAAGCCTTCTTTCCATCAAAGAACTTCTCGAGAAGCTCTTGAACCTTAGGGATACGAGTAGAACCACCAACAAGGACAATGTCGTCAACTTCAGACTTGCTCAAACCAGAGTCCTTCAACACTTGCTCAACAGGCTTGAGGGTACGCTTGAAAAGCTCCATGTTCAATTCCTCGAACTTGGCACGAGTCAAAGTCTCGGAAAAGTCCTCACCATCGTGGAAAGCCTCGATTTCAATCTTAGTGGACATTTGAGAAGAAAGGGTACGCTTGGCGTTCTCGACGGCACGCTTAAGCTTACCCATGGCCTTCTTGTCCTTGGAAACATCAGTGTTGTGCTTGCGGTTGTATTGTCTGACAAAGTATTGAATAACACGGTTGTCAAAGTCTTCACCACCCAAGTGAGTGTCACCGGAAGTGGCCAAGACCTCAAAAACACCGTTGTCGAGAGAAAGAAGAGAGACATCGAAAGTACCACCACCCAAGTCGTACACAATGATATGCTTCTCGTCTTGGGTCTTGTCAAGACCATAGGCGATGGCGGCGGCAGTAGGCTCGTTAACAATACGGATAACATTCAAACCGGCGATGGTACCGGCATCCTTGGTAGCCTGACGCTGGGCGTCGTTGAAGTAAGCAGGGACAGTAACAACGGCATGAGTGACCTTTTCACCCAAGTAGCTCTCGGCAGTCTCCTTCATCTTGGAAAGGATCATGGCCGAGATTTCCTCAGGAGTGAACACCTTCTTGCCCTTGCCAGTGTCGATCTCAACGGCAGGTTTGTCCGAACGGTCAACAACATGGAAGGGGAAGTGCTTCAAGTCCTTCTTCAATTCCTTGTCGCTGAATCTCCGGCCAATAAGACGCTTGGCATCAAACACAGTGTTCTCGGGGTTCTGGGGAGCTTGGTTCTTGGCAGCTTCACCGACAAGACGCTCTTCAGGAGAGAATGAAACATAGGAGGGAGTAATACGGTTTCCTTGGTCGTTGGCGATGATTTCGACACGACCGTTTTTCATGACACCAACGCAAGAATACGTGGTACCCAAATCGATACCGATAACAGTACCGTAATTTTCAGTGCTGTTGCTTTCCTTACCGGCAAAAGCCAGAGGAAGCGTGAAAAGGGCCAGCAAGTAACCAATGATCGACAATAACTGAAATCTCTTCATGATTTGAAGTAATTGTGTGTGTTTTTTTTTCTAAAAAGTCTAGTTGGGAACTTTTTATCTACCAGTCTCGAGGAGAACAGTAAACGTGTTCCGAAAGCCCAAACTCGCACAATTCAAGCGATTAATGAATTGCTTATCCGGTTTGTGAGATTAGTTGGGAGAGAAGGGTGGTTGGGAGTTGGCAGGTTTGTGGACCGTTTAAATCGGCGACCCTACCCCATAAATATGTGGGGAACAGTCACAGTTGGCTCGGTTAAGGTTCTTCTAGAAGGTACCAGAATGGGGGGTAAGCCGATTCATGGGGGAGTTGTGGAACAAAGCGATGCTTAAGATGCCGATCAATGTGGGGTAGTCGGCGTTTCGTAGGGCCCGTGTTACAATGGGAAACCGGAGATCTGAGAAAGGAGCGGCGGGATGGGAAAAATTGGAAATTCAGAAAGGCGCGCTGATCGAGGGGTTTCGGAAAACCTCATTATGATTGGTTGGAGTACTCTATTACGCGGTTATGTCAATTGAGCCGGATGACGCATAGTGTCGCTCAAATAGTTTAAAGTTTAAAGTGAGTTAAATTTGCGATGAGAGAAGAGAGAAAGGGTCATGACAGGAAAAAGCTTGACAAAGTTTTGATAGGAATTCGAGCCTGGAAAGGAGTGGAAATGAAGTAGGATTGAGAAAAGAGTCTTTTGTATTCGATGTGTCGTAGCGAACTTGGGGAAGACTTTTCTGGTGGCCCCATTCACTCGTTTAGTGGTATTGCTTTGTACTTTTTCGTGTGACATAAGCATGACTCTGGTAATCACATGATCGAGCTTAAATTAAGCGAGACACGTTTCAGTTCCTCACATCGTCACTTTTTCCATTGTTTTCCTGACCTCCCAGTGCATTCCAGTCTGTTTGCGGCGGAGTTATGCTTTATTCTACACAAAATTCCAAGTCACATCTGTCTATCTCAAGTCGGTATATCCCCTGCATTCATTGCCACAGTTTTAGTTGACGAAAACATGACGAAACGAGCGGCGCAATCCAACGGAAAAAATTAGCAACAGCTTTCCAGTATGTTGTCTTGGATTACAAGCACGTGAACAACAAAAACAATTCCATATCGCGGCGCATTGCTATTCTACGACTTGAGACTTTTATTCTTGTCGTCTACCCCTCACCGCTTTCACTATTTACACCAGTGGTCGCAACTCCACCATTTAGTAATTACATAAGTATGATGTAAGTGTGCGGGACACTTATATGACGTTATCGAATTCTGCGGGGTTCCTGGGGAATAACCATCGGACGTCATTGCCCAGCACTTATATAAGCACGCTGCAGAACACATTCAGCATCATCTCACAAAAGAAACAAAACATCAACTCGTAAGCAGTAGTGTGTTTATTTACTGTTCACAAAATATAACTGTTATCAGACAGCCGATTTGTTGTAACGGACTCGCCTTGGTAACGAATTTCTTGTCCTAAGAAGAAATCACATAAGTATCATCAAAATGCCATACATGCCTCAAGTTAAGCACGGCGAAGTGATTCGCGACGACCGTCATTCCCACACCGGTCTTAAGATTTCGGACCGGGCCGACACTCGTGGATGGGGAGACGTAAAGCACGAACGCGAGTTTGAAGAGCTCGCCGAACGGGATGCAGAAACAGACCAAAGACGCGACACCGAAGAAGTGCAAAAGGAACCTGAACTCCTTCCTCCTCAGTAGACTACTCGCCGAAACGCGTCGCGTTTCGCATAAATGGTCCCTCACTAATGACGACACTAGCGACGCTCGTGGGGGCAATTCATGCTTCTATGGGCGTCTCTACAAGCATCGCCACGATCAGTGGCGCAAGCATTTGTAATAACGAATAATGATTTTGCATCTGACGGTATGGTGTGGGGGTTGAGCTGCTTGAGCGGTTGCGTTTGGTGTTATAGAGGTGGTAATTGATGAACGTGGGGGCGAATGCACATAGTAGTAGTATTACGAAACTCTCCTCCTTTGTTTGCCCTGTTCTCCACCCCATATGACCCCATGTGACCACAGTTGCTCCGTAATCTATCTCGCTTATACCCCACAGTTTCTCACACTTTCTTACGTATAATATTCATCAAGTCATAACTTTAGTACATTCAAATTCGGTTAATGGAGCGCTTTAATCTAAGCGAGACGCCGTAGTGCCCTACTTTTGAAACCATTTACGCCAAGTCTCGGAAATAGGATTCGGCACTGTTTGGTCCTCGTAATCGTCATATGCAGAATCTTTGGCGTCAAAAGAGTGCCGGCGATGGAATACCCGGAACGGGTTAACGAAACCGGCCGACGACGAGTCGTGAGTGATCGGATTGTTTGTCGAGGCAGTCGATACTGTCCGGTTTAAGGTGCTCCGCTTAGACGAGGATGAAGCTGAAGTGTGGTTCTCTTGTGTTTGATGCTGCATTTGATCCTTCGGAGCGTCCTTCCGACGAAGAGGCGATGCACACTGGTTACGCCAGCCCTGGCTGAATTCGTGCTCGTCCCTAGAAATCGAAGAAGTCTTGGTGCTACGCGATGATGCAGATGATTTACCAATGTCCGAGTCGGTCATGTTGCGACAATCGGTATGAATAGCACGTGGTCAAATTAGTTTGCACTCACAGGTATTCAAGTTGTTGTTGTTTCTCAGTAAATTTAATTCCTGAAGTTGGTCAGTAGGCTATGCAACTAATATAGTATGCAATTACTTCGTTATATCATTTCAATTGCCACTGACTTAATTATTATGAATCCCCACAGCCATGCATTCCATCCACAGCGACGGCAACTGATGTCACTTGTCGCCGCTGCATTGGAGACGATGTAGTGGATGGTCTAGTGTTTAGTGAGGGTGAGCACGGTGTGCCGAAACCCGTTTAGCGTTGTAAAGTAGTGTCTAACGTACGCATCGTTATGTTATGTTGCAGTGTACTATATACTTTAAAGTGTTTTTAGTGCAGTTCGATACACTATATACCGTGGTTTAGCGACAATTCTCATCTTACATAACGCGTAACGCAACACTATGCTAGCCGTGCCGCACACTCCGTTTATTGTACTGCCTCCTCCCACAACTCGCCACACTTTTGCCGCGCATTACCGCGTCTTTCATCTGCAACTGCCGTGTTTGATAGATAACACACGGCAGTTTCTCCCGCTTTCCTCCGCTCCTTCCCCCACCCCTGCAGTCACCGTCTGTCCCGCTTTGGTCTTCCAAATCCAGTCGATCCACCACCGTTCTCTGGAAAGCGCAGCTGAATGAACTTTTATAATTTCTCTCGTTCTAAGGGCGGCTACGCGCCGATCTCTCCAGAATTTCGTTCTGAGAGCCGCAATCGCAGTCGTAAGAATGTTCGCTTTTCCAGTGAAGTTCAAACGTACTCGGACGACGGCGAAGACAGCGACAGCGACTCTCCAAAGTTCGTTCATCGCGATCCTCGTCGGCGTGTGGATCCGATCAAACACATGCTGATGATGAAACGTCTTCATAATGTTTCCCGTCGTTCCCGGCAGTTCTTCCTTCTCACCTTGTTCATTTTTCTCGCTGCTTTCGCCTTTTTCATTCTCATTTCCTCTTCTCGTTAGACTGTGTGGCATTTGTTATAGTCGCCAATGGCTCTACAGATCTTCCTGGCGCTGGTATAACGCCATGCCAGAGCTAGAACGACTTTAAAAGAAAAAGCTTTTTGCCCCGCGTATTGTGCTTTTCCATCATCACCAACATATAGACGAGGCTTTTTGACGCACCCCCACGTTGGGGTTCCCGGGGTACTTTAACTACTATTGTAGTGGGGTACGCGGTTACCCCCACTCACCGCCGTTCTTGGTAAAACAAACTTTTGTCCTCGGAGATATTGCACAGCCCTGGTAGCCAAAATATAAGACTATCTCCTCAGCTACTCCGCACGTCGAAGGACATCAGTGTCGCGCTTTCAATCCTTACTTGCTCAGTATTTAAGTTATACCGTCCCGTACCATTCTAATACGAAGCAAACATTCATTTCCTTCACTAATCTACCTTCAGAAAACCAAGGACCACATCCGCAAATGCTCACGGCCCACCCACACGAGCTGTCGTCAAACCTTCGCAAAACTTTGAACCTCCCAGATTTTCTCTCTGTATGTAGAAAACAGTAAACGCACGCGCGCGCCAAACCAAAGGTGCAGCATCGTATAACTTAATCTAAAAATATACCCAAGAACCAACAATCCAACAAAAGAGAGAAATGAAAACCAGATTTAAATCCCCATAGATACAATATGAAGCACCATTCCATAGCTTCAGTCATAAACTCCTTGCCCTGCAACATGCAAATTAGTAATGGGCATGCAGAACCAGAGTTACAAAAAATGATGCATCATAAAACTTTGCCGAATCGTCGTAACTGTCAGTGTCGTCGTACGCCACTGCACTCAGCCAAACAACGGAATGAGAAACCAAGCCAGAGTCTGGCATAAGCTGCGCGTGTACCTCTCCCAGAAAGGAAAGAATCAAACACCAGACGAAGAATACCTTGTCGCCGGCGACGACAGATCCTTCCCGTCCGGCTAAAACAACGTGTTATAGGCTAACAGTCATCCACTGACGCGTCAAAGTCTGAAACATCAGTCCACGGGATAACCGCAAGCCCGAAAGGAATTAAAAAAATTGAAGAGGGCGAGGAAAAAGGCATCGCAATTTCGTCGCAAGCAAGCTAGAGTTGAATGCAAGCAAAAAACATAAAGAAGCACACATTGAGAAAGCAACTTACCACCAGCTTTGACCGCCACCGCTGTTGTAGCTCGCACCACCATGGTGACGAGCAGGTTCAGCGTAGCTGCTGGTGTAGCTACTGTTTCCACCGTAGGAGGGAACGCTGTTGTTGCTGCGGCGGAAATCACGGCCACCATAACTTCCACCACCGCGGCCACCACGACCATAACGGCCACGGCCGCCATTACCGAAGCTGCTTTCACGAGCCATGGCAACCAAGAAACTAGGACACTCCTGGTTGGCCTCTTGAAGAAGCTCGATCAACTCCTTAGCGATACCCTTGTTGTTGCGGTTGAAGAAAGCAACAGCCTGACCGGTGTTACCAGCACGACCAGTACGACCAATACGATGAACGTAGTCATCAATGTCAGTAGGAAGATCATAGTTAATGACATGGGTAACGTTGGGAATATCCAAACCACGACTGGCGACGGCAGTAGCAACCATGATGGAAGAGCGACCACTACGGAAGAGCTCAAGAGCACGCTCACGCTCACGTTGCGTGCGGTCACCATGAATGCTAGTGGCGGGGAAACTAGAATTCAACAGGAAGTCCGTAAGGGCGTCAGCCATACGCTTCGTTTCCACAAAGATAAGAGTCAAACCCTCAGGAGGAAGGGTGTGAAGGATATCGAGAAGGTAACTACGCTTCTCTTGGTCCTCGACGAAAACGACCTTTTGGGTAATGTTTTCGGAGGTGGAACCAACACGACCAACACTCAAGAAAACGTAGTCCTTCAAGAAATCGCGGGCAAGAACTTGAATATCGCGAGGGAAGGTAGCGGAGAACATGAGAGTTTGGCGCTCCTCAACACCGGGCATATCAGCTCCCTCGACGATGTGACGAATTTGGGGTTCGAAACCCATATCCAACATACGATCGGCCTCATCCAAAACCAAGAACTTGATGTTAGCCAATGAAATGCGACCACGGTCAATCAAATCGACCAAACGACCTGGAGTAGCAGAAAGCAAATCGCAGCCTTGATCAATTTGGCGGATTTGGGCACGGATGTCAGCACCACCGTAAACAGCACAAGGGCGGACCCAAGAACGGTAACAGAACTTTCTCGATTCCTCATGGGTCTGGCAAACCAGCTCACGAGTAGGGGCAAGAATAAGGGTGGTAGGGTAAGCCTTACGAGAACGGTAGCCAAGTGCAGAATCCTCATCATGGGGGATGGGAGCGGGACCTTGGTCGAATGCCTGAGAAAGGATAGGGAAGAGGAAACCTGCCGTCTTACCAGAACCAGTTTGAGCACAAGCCATAAGGTCACGACCAGAAGTAACAATAGGAACAGAGTACTTTTGGACAGGGGTAGGTTGAACATAACCAGAGAGTTTAATGTTCGTCAAAAGATGGGGGTTCAAAGGAGGGTTGGTGAACTCGTTCACAGCCTCGATCTCAGCACCAGTAACCTCGACAGGAATGTTGTCATACTTCTCGAAGTTGATACCAGTCGTTTGCTTGGGCACCTCAGCAGAACCGAAGAGTTGACGCTCAAGCATGGCATTGGGGGCGCCGAGAACGTGTTGACCGTTCTTCCACTGACCGAAACCACGGTTGTTGCGGAAGTTTTGGCCGTTGCCAGGACCGTAAGAAGAGCTACGGCCATAGCTAGGGCGACCCGACCAATCTCCACCATTACCACCGCGGGAAAACTCACGGCGTTGATAGCCACCTCCGTAGCCGCTGTGGGGAGACTGCAAGCGAGGGGAAGATGCCGCAGATGAACGAGCACTGCGAGAATCCTCACGCTTCTCACGAGCAAAAGGGGGGATGTATTTTTTGGGCTTGTTGTCCAGGCTGCTCTTAGCCAATTTTTCAGTTACAGAACCAACTGAATCTACTTGTTGTTGTACATTGTCACTCATAATCTTTTTCTTTTTTTTTTGGAAAAGTGTTTGGTAGTGGAAAGGTTGTAAGGGACCGCGATCCCACCTTATTATATTGTGGGACTGTTCTTTTTTGCCTCTCGCTGAAAATTATAAATGCGATACTAGCTTTTAAATGTATCAAAATGCTTTATAGATTTAATGGGAATACGTGGTATAATGTATGCTGTATTTTATTTATCTATTGTTTTGCTGTATCTGTTTGCCTCTAACGCAACTTTCTTAAAGGCTACTGCCAATGAAAAGAAAACAATATAGTCATAGCTTTATACACTAAAGTTTCTTGCTTACGATAACAAGACTCAAATAAACCATGATATCGTTCGTGTTTTTGTTTTTAAATTGCCGCAGATTTTTTTCCCTCAATGGAGATTTTCAACTCAAATGTTTGCGCCGCACAAGACCCTTATTAACCAATCATAAAACCTATTAAGGGAAGTGTTAAGCAAGCCTCGTAACCTGACTGGTGAAAGTGATCTAAGCAATAAGAAAGCTCGTTAACGGAGGCGATGACGCAAGTGTTTACGTCTCTTGAGGTTAACTTAATTTTGCTGCGAGGCGCCCAGCCAACTTACCTTTTCCATAACACATTTGCGTTTTAGGAAGCACTGGGAATTATAACAACCGTGGTTATTTCACTGTAAACAACCGCTTCTCTGTGTTATTTTGACGGAAATTGCGTATCAATAGATGAATTGTGACTAAGATATCCCTAATACGTCGCATTCGAGATACACGCATATTTTTGTATTCCTTCATTTAAAAAGCCAAACGGTTATCATTTTGTTGCTCAAGCGTTTCAAAAACTGTTGAGGGTGTTCGTTCTATTATTTTAATTTCAGGATGGGTTTCTTCACATTACTTTCTTATGCTGGTACAGCTTTAGGTTTTGTCAGTTTGACTATCAGCATTGCTTGCGCTCTATATTATCTTTCAGAACTTGTAGAAGAGCATACTCAGTTCGCGAAAAGAATTTTGGAAAGGATGATATATATAGTGATGGCGATCATTGTACTGTTAGTCATCTTTGACGGGTTTCCTAAACTGCTGTCGTGCTTCTCTTTATTTAGCTTGTTTGTGTACAAATCGAATTTGGACACATACCCTGTATTCAGGTTCACAAGACCGAAATTTCTGTTGGCTTCTGTACTTGTCCTTTTGAATCATTGGTTTTGGTATAGGTTTTTCCAAGAACACCAGTTCAATCGTGGTAATACTGGAAACACCTACGATCTGTTCTCCCTGAACAATACATCACGAGCAAGTTTCTCGGAGATAGCCTCGTTTATGGGAATCTGCGTTTGGGCTATTCCTATGGGCTTTTTCGTTTCTTTCACTGCAGCAGACATGGATCTTCCAACCGCTTCTTCGCCATCTATCAATGGTGCGACTTCATTTTCCTCGCCTTCACAATCGAAACGACATAATCTTGTGCGTAAAATTTACAGTTCTACTGGGGACTTCATTCACCGTCTTCTTATCGTTTTGGGCTTTGACGATCGGAATCGCTCAAGTCGTCCATCCTATGTCTAATTTGTTCGCTAACTCTAACATTACAAACTTGGGACAGAGATGACACACCTCTTTGGATAATGAATTGTATATTAATTTGGGATACAGGTTAAGAATTAGTCGAAACATACGGGGGATTGATTAGCAGGATGTGTGTTTGAGTGGGACCTGGTAGTGTAATTAAGGTATATGAATGATAAAGGCTAAACAATTAAAAGATAAATGAAACAACTATGAAACAAATAAGAGAAACACAACAAAGGGAAGAGCGTGAAAATGTTGAGAGATGTGCGGAGGATTGTTGGCTGTCCTGACTGACGACGTCAGTTGCCAAGCTATAAGATGGAAGGGAGCTAGGCGTGATAATGGCAGATGATGAGAAAATCCATGTGGGATAAGTTGGAGCCGCCGTCTCTACTGATTGCGACGAGGAAGCAGTTCGCGTATATGCTGAGATAATTTGGTGATGCAAAGAGGAGTATGGTGATGTGTAAGCAGGTGAAACGGAATGAGGAATTTCTGAAGGAGAGATTTCAATAAGGTTGGAAGAATCATTGTTTGACACTTGAGCAAGACCGGCTAGATTTAGATCAAGGTGAATGACAGTATACACCACGCGCATAAACGCTTGACCAAATATGATATCGTCTTCAGATACTCCTATACCAAGAACACAAATGTCTTCTAGTTCGGCAATAATTAGATCAGGCAAGTATATGTCCACGGTATCCCCGCTGGGGAATAGAAAAGTTAAGCTCACTGAATCAACCACCTTGGAACAGGGGATGGTAAAATAATCTGTGTATGCAGATGCACCTAGCAAGTCAACAATAGCGTAAACAAGCGGAGATGGTAATGAAATATAGGTAGATCTTGTAGAAAATACACCCACAAAGTTGTTTTTAACGCAATAGCTATACGTAAGATTGTTGAAAGCAACTCCTTGGACGGCAATCTGGTACCCACCAGCTAATTTTTCTGCATTGGTATTCGAAATAAGAGGAACGACCGTCAAATTCCCTTCAAACTTGGCTGTATCGACGGCACCCAAGAGCACTGTACCATTTCCCGTAGAATCGAAATACAAACTAAATGCATGAGCTTGTAGCAGCTTGACTTTTACGAGCTGTTCAAGCAACGAAGGAGGTTGAAAGGAATCATACCAAACGAGATTGTTAAACGTCTTGTCTATAGAGAGAACCGTGCCTGGAGGGCCTAGACCTAGAACACCTTTGTAAGGATATAACCCACTGGGGATACTCTCTTTTAAAACAAGACCAAAACGAAAGTTTACGAGATTCCGAACATAATTAAACTCAAGTGTGTCTTCAATATTTACGCCAGTCACGAGAACATTATCTGACGAATAGTAGAGGAGGAAGGTACTTGGCTTCTGTAAAAGTGTAAAGCCAGTAGAGTTTGCATGATAACAAGGATCGGTAGTGGACGAGCACATGAGCGCTCGAAGTTCTTCCGTGGACCATTGAGATTCAGGTGGCTCCCAGAAAGTTTCCGTTGGATTAAATGCTATCACCCGGTCGTAGGTGAGCCATGAATAAGGACTCTCTAAGTCAACGATAACGGTGTATGGTTTTCCAGGAGCTCCAAGAGTAACTGTTGTAACATAATGTGTATATTGTTCAATCCTTAGTGCCAAAGCAGCGACATTACTAGAGATAAAACGCTTTGATTTTTTTGCCGAATGGATAGGTTGAGAGTCGGCAGGGCTTGGCAGCGAAGTGAAAGAGAAAGAGTATATATTGTCACCAACCTTAGTAAGTGCAACGCACTGTTCCAGTACTCCAAAGAAGAGCAAAAGGAGCGTGAGCAAGACCATACAATGATATGTGGGCTTTTTTAAGTGCAGATAGTAATATCACGGAAAGAAAAGGTGAAAGTAAAATTAACTAATGAATGCAGTTCACAAGAAAAATAAATAACCGGACATTAGATTGTTTTGCCAAACAAAAACACCCGGATTATTTATTAAAAATGGAATCCAATGGACAGACGTTTTTCCTTTTTTGTTTTTTTTTTTTGGTTAAGTTATTTGCAACCAAAAGCCTGAATTCGTTTAAGTAGAAGGCAAGCAGTACAGTTCCTAGGGATCAGAAAAAAAACATTTCATGTGCAAAAAAAAGAACGAAGTAACTGGAATTCTTCAAAAGCAGTTAGATATTCGAAAAGGTTGTTGAAAAGACGTTAAATATCGTTTTCGTTTTCTTGCTGTGGTGTCAAAGTGTATCAATTTGTTTCTGGGAGAGGGCTACACCACCTTTGAAAAACATTTTCAAAAAAACGTTACACAGGCTACGTAGACGGTTGTAACCTCTCGTAGTTCTTTACAGCTGACTTCCAGTCCAAACTATGTCATGGGAACGGTAAGTTTGTGTGTATTTCGGTCCATCTGACAATATCTTAGGAAAACCAATTTGATTCAAATGAAAACGGAGTGAACATCGATGAAACGGCTGTAACCATTCATACATTTTTGGAAAAGACCGGTTTAGATGAAAAACCAATTTTAGAGAATGAATCGGATCACGAAAAAATCGATAGTTCTCTTCAGCAGCTTAAGCGATACAAAGAGCAACTACTCAAGCGTCTTTGGCTGCTGACAAAATTTCAGGATCTAAATGCTCTTTTTTCTGGCGAGGACACATTCTCGGAAGCACAATTGAAAGACTGGACTTCATTTGTCGCGAATAACGTAAAAGGAAAGTTTCAGCCGGAGACACTTAACGAAATTGAACAAGAGCCAGCGCTGTCAACTCCTCAATTGGATGCGCTTGTGAAGAGGCAAGAAGAAGATATTGCTTCGACCGAACAAATTCCGGAAGCTGTTGAGCAAAAAGTTTCGGAGACCCACGAAGCATCCGCTGAATCGAAGGAAACGACTGCTCCTGAATTAATGGCTGTATCTGAAGTTGTACCTGAAACAATCCCCACAGAATCCGCCGATGAATCAGTAACAGCTCCGCAGCCTCAGATTGTTGAACCCAAGCTTCCAGAAGTGAAGGAGATTTCCGAGCAAACCTCAATCGTCATTGAAGGAAAAGCAAGTGAAGAAATGCGGGACACCTCTGTGTCTAGTAATTTGGAATCACCGAAGACTGCTCATCTTTCCCCTTCTCCTGTTTTGCCTGTTGAGCCTGAGCCAGAAGCTCTCCCTAAAGAGGCATCACTCATTATTGATGATACTGCTCATTCCCCCACCGTTACTGAAACGGAAATTTCTCAGAAACCAGCAGCTAAGGAGGAAGTGGTAGCTATAACGGAAACAGTTGAAAAGGCTTCCGCGGAACCCCAACCAGAAACTGTTGCTTCTACCTCAGTACCTATTTCACCGAAGCATGTAACTTCTGAATCAGAGCAGGAATCTGTGAAGAAAGAAGCATCGCCTCAAGGAGATTTTTTCCCGCCTCTTACTTTAAAAACGGAGGAGTCGACAGAAGGAACTGTGTATACTGCCCCAGCCGTTGTTAAGATTGATGCAGTTCACTCGCCGCCATCAACACAACCTCTCGATATTCCGCAAGAACAGCCTACCGAAATAAGTGCTGCAGTGGAGGTTGAGAAAGAAAAGGTCACAGAGACTGTTCAAGCAACTGTAGAACCAGAACCAGAACCGGAGTCAAGTATGCCTGTAGAACCCGTTACTGAGGAACAGTTGTCGGTACCAGAAACGCAGGTAGAAGAAACTCTTCGCCAGTTACCTCCTAGCGAACTTGATCTCAGAGTCACGCTTCCTTCAACGTTAATCGCACCGGAACCCGTCATTAATAGAACTCGAGACGGCTCGGTTGAATCATGGCTATTACGAACAGAAATGCAACCACTGCAGCCATTAGTTGAACTCGCACACAAATGTGTTCGAACTGAGCAGTGGATGCACGTCAACAAAGAAAATATTCTTCGGCATGTGCTCTTAAGAGTCAAAGCGTTGAAGGATAAACAGCAATGGTCGTTTTGTCAGCCAATACGAGCGAAATCTCTTCCTCGTAAAAAGTCACATCATGATTTTTTATTGGAAGAGATGCAATGGCTCTCCATGGATTTTTCACAAGAGCGACAGTGGAAAATGGTAATGGCAAAACGGCTTGCCTATTGGGTCTTGGATTATCATAATGCTGAAGATAAAAAATCACTATGTGTAAAGCGGAACTCACCAGCTTCTGCTTCCCTCAGTGAACCGTCAACTAGTAAGTCATTAGACACATCTAGTGAGGCTATTACGGCTGAACCTGACATCGCTGGCGATGCGGTACGGCTTTTTGAGGCGGCATCCTCAGATGAACCTTTGGTTACCATTTCAAACCCTCAAATCATGTTTGCTCTAAATTCAGTTCCTTTATACGCTCCCCCAGATCCCTCTAATGATTCCTACATTAATACCGTCGACCAGTTTCCCTTCGTACCCCTCTCTCGCTTTTCCCTGGCAAAAACAAAACTAAAGTCGGAATGCAATTTGTTGCCTAGAAAACGGTCCCAGCATTTGCCTGAACTTCATTCGAAACAATTTCGAGGAGAAGTTATTGAGTCTGAAGAGTTCAACGAACATAGGAGGAAGCGAATACATTTTATTCTTACCATTAGGCCGCCATGCCCTCCTTTCAAACGTGACTCGTCGGAAGCCTCGTGGAGCCCGGAGGAGGACGAATTGTTGCTTTCCTTACTAAACCGTTATTCTTATAACTGGGACTTTGTGTCTCGATTGCTTACGCCAAGTGGTTTATATATTACGGCTAAAGAGCGGCGGACAGCGTGGAGCTGCTTTGAGCGTTGGGTTCAGATTGATCCTCAAGCTGCAAACGCACAGCTCGTTGGCACCTATGCTCGCTTGGCTCAACAGCGTCTTGATGAATTGACATCATCCAATACAAACAGTGAACGACATATAAACAACGCAATAAAGGATTACCTCTCTGCCAACACAAAGGCATCGTCTTTGCTTTTGCCTTCGGTTTCGAGAAATTATCAACAGTCATTAATCTTTGACGCAATGAGAAAAGTTATAAAAAAACGAGAGTTAGCAAAAAAGGCAGCATTGTCAAGAAAAGTTATATCTCGGCCAAAGGCAAACACTGAAAATCCACCACCAGTACCTTCTCCTTTGGAGTTGTCAAGGCTTAAGTCTGAACGTGAAGCACAATTACAGCAAGTGCAGGCACAACGAAATGCTGCTTTGCTAATGCAGTACCATGCTCAAGGTCGGACTCCTCATCGTGGAATGAGTTCTCCAACTGTTCCATTGTCTCGGCAGCAAATGCAACAGTTCTCATCTTTGCAGTCATCCGGCGGTGTTCCAAGACAAAAAAATATTATGTCTGACGTTCCTTAGGAATCAATCAATCTAACTTTATTGATATAAAACACGTTGAGCAAGAGCAGAAAAGAAATTTTTTAATGATGATGGAGTAACTTCAGATGCAGGCTTATATTGTTTGACGAACTCAGAACAACTTAAATGTTTATATCTATTCGTATTTTGTGCCTCAGCGATTATCTGCTTTCTGCACGTGCTATTCCATTACGATGCTAATTGTATTTGGTTCTTTTCAGACTTTTCTCATACAATCACACTGTAAAATACTATAATAATCTGATTACTCGTACATTCTCGTGGCTATTCGTAATGTAGTTTCTTTACCATTTGGGAAAGGAATGTTTTTGATCAACCTGTTTTTTTAAGTATACTTAAAAATGGAAATGTGATTCTTTCTAATAACATGGCTGCAGATCTCGGTGCGCAAGTTATAAACGTTGAGTACCGGCGTGTTATTCTGTTTAGTTTTTTTGCGGTCTTTGCGTTTGTCCTTGTCCTCTGTCCGTGAACTGGGAGTCTTGTGGTATGTTAGTCAGCCTACTAAAAGAAGAACATGATTGCACTACTAATGGATTAGAGACTTACCCAGCACTATGCCGCAAACCTTTGTAGCTACGGATTTGTACATATCTTGCGATATTCTTTTGAACATCACGTTTTAAATCACTTTCTAAAGTCATCCCGTTCAAGATTTGTGAAAGCCTTGTTAATTGTGTTTCAGTTAAATCTTGTATTTTTAGGGTATCGTGGAAAGATAACCGAGCACAGATTGCTTCTGCTGTAATGCGACCGATTCCATAGAAAGATGTCAGCGCATATTTAACGGGTTTGTGGTCTGGGAGTGAGACCCCCAAGAGAAAAACCATCTCGAAACCCAAAAGATTATTTCTAACTCAAGTCGTTACGACTGCTCTTGACTGAATTTATCATAACGGCTCCATGGTGTAGTACATTTGGTGTAGCATTCTTAGATAAGAGTGTCATCTAAGCGAAGCTTTAATTTCTCTGAAATGCTGAAAGAACAATGAATAAACGGTTTCGAGGACAAAGAATACTATGGCGGCTAAAATGAACGCAAAAAGGCTATTTTTTTTGTACTGCGTATACCCGACTGATATTGATTTTCCCAAAACAACCAGCCTGTGCCGGTTATGGATGCTTAATGCACTGCAGATCAGCAAAACAATGAAGCGCAAAATATTCTGATTCGTTAAGATAGTATTATACTCCCATTGTTCTCCGCATTAAGATATTTAATCAACCAATAATCGTCAGAACCGAAAAAATGTATCGAACCCTGTCGCTCATCCTGAATATTGGCTTATATTTACTACGTATCAACCAATGATTGCAAGGTATCAAACGGATGAAAGCGTTTAACCGAAACGAAAGAGCAAGCATTCGGCTTCAAATTTGGCAAACTTGCTGTTTGGGCACATCTATGCTTGTAGTAATGTGTGAATATGCTAGTAAACACGAGGGATACAAAGAATCGTAAACACAGTTATGGATTCTATAAATACTGGTTCAATTTCGCTCTTATTCATCAGGAAATCAAGCATTCTTTCCATCTCACTTCCACTTCACCAGTCTTTCTTCGCTTTCTTTAAGTGTTCCAATTCAATTCAATTTTCAAGATGAAGTTCTCTGCTATTTTCATTCTTTCTCTTTTCGCTTCTGCCTTTGCTGCTCCAGTTCCTAGTTCTGATGCCGTTGAAGCTGCTGCTCCTATTATTCCTGAACTTCTTTCTACTGAACAAGTTGTCTTGGAAGGTCGTGTTAGTGACCGCGTTAAGCAGATGTTGTCGCACTGGTGGAACTTCCGTAACCCTGACACTGCCAATTTGAAGCGTTCTGAGCCTGAGCGCCGTGTTAGCGACCGTGTTAAGCAAATGCTTTCTCACTGGTGGAATTTCCGTAACCCTGACACTGCCAACTTGAAGCGTTCTGAGCCTGAGCGCCGTGTCAGCGACCGCGTCAAGCAGATGTTGTCGCACTGGTGGAACTTCCGTAACCCTGACACTGCCAATTTGAAGCGTTCTGAGCCTGAGCGCCGTGTTAGCGACCGCGTTAAGCAAATGCTTTCTCACTGGTGGAATTTCCGTAATCCTGACACTGCCAACTTGAAGAAGCGTGCCTTGACTGATGCTCAAGAAGAAGAGGCTGAGTCTGAAATGGATCTTCTTTCCTACCTCCTTTATTCGAATGATACGAGTATCGCTGCCTCTGGTCTCAATGCAACTGAGATGGTTGAGACAATTCTTAAAGACTACGAGTAAGAATACTTACTTGGTAGCGTTACTTTCGGGTGCATGTACTAGTACATTCACAATAACTTGCATAATCCGATACCTTTTGATGTTTTGGAACACATTTTCAGATGATTTTCTTGCTCTACATGTGTGTACACACTCAACGTCATGTTTAATGTATTATCTAAAACAAATTAATAATTTTAGTTAAGCAATTCTGCAAAAATAATTATGGCCATATATTAACTCATGGAATGCACATTGAAGTAATTTCTTATTATGCGAGAGGGGTTGTTGCTGTTTAAGAAAATGATCAAGAGTTCACTTAATATACAATGGGTTAGCCTATAATATTCTGTTCACCTATGCCTGTAGAGACTGATAAACTGGACTGCTCCGTCACTTATATAGAAGTATGCTAAGTTTGAGATGCTCTTAAAGTAATTAAGTTTAGTGCCTTAACAACGAATCAATAAAAAATTAAAGGGCTATTTAATGTAGGGACAGGACCATTAGTATTGACCAGAAAAGGTTCTGTCAATTTGATTTAATGGTTTATCAAAATGAAGTGCGTACAATGATAACAGGTCTAAAGAGAAAGAATTCCTTAAGTGATAATTATATTTTGATAATAAAAACATATTTTTATTTTTTTTATTTTCTTTTGTTGCTTTCCGTATAAGGACATTTCGGTGTAGAAGTTTTATTGTTTATTATTTTCCCATTTTTCTTCCGTTTCCTATCATTTAGCTATCGTTTTGCAGCGTACTATACACTAAATCTTGCTTTATATAAGCAAATATATATATATACGAATTTCATCAATCTCTTTTTATTCTGAGATTCTAATTCCAATTTTTCAACGTATTCGTTTTAATATACAACTTATTTCTACGGTTAAAATCCAAAAATAAGCAGTATCAATATTCTCTTTCTAATTATTCTATACAATTTGCTTCTAGAAACTGTAATCACCTGTTACTTAATAGCCATGTTTTCTGTTCAACACTAATATTCTCGGTGAGAGAGAATAGCATGTTCTGTGGAATCTAGCGTTTTCCGATGTACTGTTTTTGAAAGCACTTAATTGGTTGTAATTGATTCTTTTCAGTATTTGATTGATTGCGAAAAACTCTTAAATTGATATACTAATTATCAGTGTATTCGTTAACCACGAACTATAGTATGGCGCTTTTATTTTTCTTTACTTGGACTTTTCAATTTCAATTACTGAGAAATATTACTGTAACTATGAACTTCAAATCAAACTTACCAAACAACAAAAAATTTAAACTTTAAACTGTATTGTACAAGTTGTTGATTTTGTCAAGCACCGCCATATTTCAACAATTAACGAGAAATTGTAATGAATAGGTTACTTACATAGAGCCCTAAGTTACTCAGAAAAACAAAACCAATATCAAAATAGCACTAACGCAGTCGTCTTGGCTATGAATAGATAGGCTTCCTCAATGTAATGTTCACCATTTCTAATTACAGAAACAAATTAAAACAAAAAAGAAGAACAGCAGAAACAGATATAAAAATATAATGCACAAAGTTTGTTCTCGAAGCAGACGAGCTCACCACTTTATCAACCGTCCGGGTATCGTTCGTAAAGTCGACATCCACGTTATAATCACTATTATTTGCATACAATGGCCGCGTTAGAACACAATATTCGCCTGCTCCACCAGCCAAGATAAAATAAAGAAAGTTGTCGGTGCTGTTTCTTGGTCTGAAAGATCCCGTATACACGGTTTTACCATTTTCGTTATTAACAATAAACCCAGTTTCATTACCCAATGAAAAATCGATCATTCCGGGACCATAGACAAGATAAGAAAATGAAGCGGTTTTTAAAGGATCGATCTCCAAAACTATCATTCCTATGACACTTTCTTTCGTGGGTTTTACATAGTCACAATTCATTTTAACACCATCTGTTCCATCGGCTGCAGCCTTATGGAAGAATTGCAGAAGCAACAAGAGATTAATGTTCAGAAAGTTCAGCTTCATTGCAATGTCCAATTGTTAGAATTCGATGAGGATGTCTATATAACGAATACAACCAAAGTATTTATACAAGCGCTACTAATCTTCGACAACGACAAGCAGATGCTACACGTGCCATGAGACGAGCACATGGACTTCATGTGATTGACTATTCACTCTCACGCTTCTCATAGCGGAAAAACTATCTTCCAATAGAAACAATTCTGAAAAAAACTTCTAGGTTTGCGAAAAAAATAGCCCTAAATGATGTTGAATACATATTAACAGTAGCATGTGATGTGGGAAAACCGAATCAGTGAGGCGAATCGGCGCAATTGTATTTCTCCATTACTGCTAACTCCGGAAATACGCGAAGTTACAGCGTAGCAAAGCCTTGGGAAAATACATACTGTAGGCCCCTTGATTGGAAACCTTTGGTAATAAGGTTTCGCTTTTATTAAAATCAAGTGCGGTGAGTCACAATTGCGCTCTTGTTGTAAAGCTATTTCAAAGATTATATTTTTGATATAGTAGTTTACCCGAGTCAATTCAGCCAAACGAAGAAAACCACACTGATATTATAGTTGTTTTCAGATTCGTCTAAATCAATGTTAAAAAATGCACCCCTCGGTTGATTAAGCTTGCAAGGGTTCGTAACGGTGGCTTTGTAAGATACAATCCTTAAGGGTCCACTGATATTATAGTGATTAAACAGCCACGACTTAAAAAGTAAAACCACAACCGCCGGAATAATTGTGCATTCTTTGTTTACCAACTTATAAAGGAACCCGACCTTGTAGATAAAGGTTCCTCATCGAGCAAGAAGTTGATGTCAAAGAAGTTTCACTAACTAAGAGAAATATAGTCATCTAAGATTAGTAATTAAGCAGTTACCTATCTATTCTGTACTCTCCCTTTATGTTTTAATATTAGAAGGCAATGCTGTTTCATTAACGTTTGTGCAGTATAGAACCAAAGTGCAAACATTCATAAACATGTCCTTTCTTTTAATAGATTTCCAAATACAGATTAGTATTAAACTCTTAGTTGCATCAATGCTTGACCAAAATGTTTAAGAATAGCTTATTTGTCAATGACAATTCGCCTCTTAAACATTATAGTAAAAAACGTTTGTACCATTTTTACATATTACATGTTAGCAAATGTTTGTTATAATTAATACAAAAAAAAAGAAGGAAAAAAAAAAAAAAAAAAAACAATGTGCCTGTCCGCATTAGCCTAATTAAGCAATAATATAATGATGGTTACGCTAGACTTTGATTTACTGAAATAGGAAACACAACTTGTAAAAGAAAAGAAAAAAACATATGTCTTTAAATCAGCTTTAAAACAAGATTAATGTTAAAGGGGCAAAATAACCGTAATGGACACACAAAGAAATTTAGATCGATGTCTTTCGTTTATCAATAGGACTTTTTAAAATGTATTCAGGATCTTAAGCAAGGATGGTGTACTATTTTGATTCTTCTATGTGCGAATAATAATAATACCTTACCGTCGATCAACGATTATAACGACTACATAGCTGTTGCAACAACACTAGATCCCTAAAACTTGTATGCTAGAGGCTTAACACTAGGCTTTTCAATACAAAACAGCCATTGGTCCGGAGTAGTCTAACGTTACAGTTTAGAGCTGTACATTCTTTCATGACTGTGAATATTGATTTAGCCGACTTTAGTCCACGTCACCCCGGATTCTCTGTTGACTAACTTGTTTAGTTAACCTAACTAAAAAATTATCGCATATGCAACATTTGATGAATGTTAGCCAAATTTGCAATTTTTGTCAAGGTTGCGGCACATATTCAGATTCAAATGTTATACCGTTTCTCGTATGGTACTACAACAAATCATGTGCATTTTGGCACTGACACGAACCAATGAACCTATAGAGAGAGAGTCGCCAAATAAATTTATGAGTTGTCGTAAATGATGAATTGTTAGTATCGTATATTTTCAAAATGGAATGCACAAATGTATTCGTAATATATTATGTTGACGAGCAGTATGGCGACGCTCGTAAACTGCTAATATAAAACCTCTACAGTTACAGCTGTTTGCAATTAACTGCTGCAATTTCGGTACCCCTTTCTACTAACTCGTTCGCTACCACGTCCTTCCATAATCTCAAGTAATAATACTCTAATGCCGTAAATTATAAGACCTCTGTGTCGTCTTGTTACCCCGTTTCTCTGTCCTTCTCTTCCGTTCTTTTCCGCGGAAGCAAACTGCAACATTGTAGTCATCCCACAAAGATGCCATCGTTCTTCACATGGGCCGCGGCTCTTTGCCGACGTGACGTTCAGCCTCATGTACTGATGAGTCACACCCGACCGCTCTGAAGGTGGATTTGGCGGGCCAGTGGTGTTTTCTTCGTAATAAGGGAGTTGAGTCTGACAAGCAGCGTTTAGCAGTTCCCAACCAGAACCAAGGAACATACAAGAAAGACATTAATTAATAATTAACGGAAATGTAAGTAAAGAGTGACTACGGAAAACTATTCAGAGGGGACGTTAAACGAGTTGGAAGGACAGGAGAAGATGAAGAAACCCACGATTAACTGTTCTGTTGAATTTTTAATATTTTTCTTTTTTTTTCTCTCTGCAACTATCAGCTTTAACGCTAGTGGTTATCTGTTGTCGTTTTAGTCTCTCTTTGCTTGACGTAGTTATTCATAAATTTCTCTGTTTTGACATCTTTACTAACCCACAGGACCTCTGCTACTGCTACCGAGTCTCCCTACAAAGTAATTTACGTCCTTGGTGGTCCTGGCGCTGGAAAGGGCACACAATGCTCTCGCTTGGTCAAAAAGTACAAGCTTGCTCACATTTCTGCCGGCGACTGTCTTCGTGAAGAACAGAGCCGTGAAGGCAGCAAGTACGGCGATCTCATTCGGACATACATTAAGGAAGGTCAAATCGTGCCCAAGGAAATTACAATTAAGCTGCTTGAGCAAAAGATGAAGGATTACTCCGCTGAGGGTATCGACACCTTTTTGATTGATGGCTTCCCTCGTAAGCTTGATCAATACCAGGCTTTTGAAGAGATGGTTTGCCCTGCCTTGACTACACTCTTTTTCCAATGCGGCCAAGAAACAATGCTTGCCCGTCTTTTGAACCGCGGCAAAACGAGCGGTCGAGAGGACGACAACACGGAGTCCATCAAGAAGCGCTTCGTTACCTACGTTGAGACTAGCATGCCGGTCATTGATGCCATGAAGGAACGTGGCCGCTGCGTCACCATCAACGCTGAGAACGACCCCGACACTGTCTTTGAAGACACTTGTGCCGCTATGAACAAGGCACTGGGATTGTAGGGGAGACATTTTATGTATTAAATCATATAGAAATAGACATTATTAAATGGAGATTACGGATTGTACCTACCAGGACCTTATCACTAGCACTATAGAACTTCTCTCTTTCAATTCGTCGACTAACCAAGCGAATCCCGTTTGCAAAACCAGAAAGGAAACGTACATATGCTGAATAACGAGCACAAGTTCCTCCATAAAGAGACACACATATCGACAAAACAAACGCAAAAAACAACAACAAAACAGCGATAACCAAATCCAACTCCCACACTCGAGTATGATTGTCAAACGATTCCATCTAAGCTAAACAATATCTAACAACACCCAGCTGACCCACCTCAATGAACCACGCAGGACGTACGTGCAAGATTAGTCGGAATTGAGTTTCCCGCAAAGCAGGTGCCGCACATTGCACTAAAAGAAATCTTCTCAGATGCGTTCCAAGACATCCACACTTGTGTGCTTTTGTCGAATTTCTGGTACATCTGGCTGAATTAATCATTCACCGCTCCTCACGAGCACGCAACGAAGATGTTCCTCCGACCTTACCCCCCCGAGGAATGAAAAGCACATTTCTGCGCGTATGAGATCGGGGAAGTGCAGCGTTCGCCCGTACGTCCGGCATGGTTCTTCAAGGCAGGTTCAAACCAAACAACAACACGAACACTTCACATGCTCACAATAAGCCATGATCCGTGCCCTACAAACTACTGTGCCAGGCAATGCTGTTCACAGTGGAGAGTGATGTGCTGATGGTAAATTCGTGGTTCACTGCACCTCTATTTATGCATTTGTGACTGTCTTTTCAGGTTTGGGTTCGAACGCGTTCGCGTCCACTACAACCATCAACAAATGGTAAGGAGTTTGCGGATTTCGGTCAAATTGCTAATAAACAGAGCTCTATCGGCACAGGATACGATTTGGGATTATTTTTCTCCCCTGACGGACGTCTTTTCCAGGCGGAATACGCGTACAAAGCAGTAGAAAATGCAAGGTACGAACGAATTGCTTTTATCGATAGCATTGCTGACTTATGATAGTACTTGCATTGGTATAAAATGTAAAGACGGTGTTATTCTTGCTCTCGACTCTGTTGTTACTAGCAAACTACTTAAACCCAAGGCGAATAAAAGAATTGCAACCGTCGACCGTCATGTTGGTCTTGCTGCCACTGGATTCATTCCCGATGGCCAACACCTTGTGAATCGTGCTCGGGAAGAGGCAATGAATTGGCGTGACAACTACCGTTCTCCTATTTTGGGCGACACGCTGGCTGACAGACTGGGTAACTATGTTCAAGTCTTCACATGCTACTCCAGCGTTCGTCCCTTTGGTGTCATGTCTTTTCTGTCTACGTACGATAAGCAGGGCCCTCATCTGTACATGATTGAGCCTAATGGTGTATACTGGGGCTACAATGGTGCTGCTGCTGGCAAGGGACGTCAAGTCGCCCGCAACGAGCTCGAAAAACTCGACTTTAAAAACATTTCCATGAAAGACGCGGTGAAAGAGGCAGCAAAAATGTATGTTCCGAACCAGGAGACCAATGCTTTTAGTATTTTTGTGAAGAAACTGTCGCTAACTTTTACAGCCTCTACACAACCAGAGATGAAGAAACGAACAAACAGCATGAAATTGAAATGACTTGGGTGGGTGCAGAGACAAATGGTATGCATGTTCCCGTCCCCGATGATCTCTTGGCAGAGGCAGAGGCTTATGCTCAACGCTCTATTGAAGGTGAGGACGAAGTTGAAGATGTGAGCATGCAGTAGAGTGTTCGCTTCATTCGTCAAAATAGACAGTATTTACGTCTTGCACTGAATTCTGGGTGCATGCTCTTGTCTTACACATTCACATTTGTATCCTCCCCTGTCTACTTATCATCACTCATGTCATGACTTTATTCCCTGTATATGAAAACGTTTCGTAGACCGTAGAAAGGGGTTAACGGAACCTAACAATATTCCATGCTTGGATTGCTGTTTCATTAATGCAACTGTTTCTTGGGCACGCTGGGTAGTCCTCCGTTCTCCGTAAGCAACTTCATGGTCTGCCGGTGACGGAAGGCATTCAATACCGCACGCTCTCGCAGTGCATAGATATCTTTATGAAGCATATAAGATCCGTACATTGTGCCATTAAGATTCTGTTCCGATTTCGTACGCTCCGGCACTGCGTTACTGCCTTTGAAAGCATCAACGTTATTCTCAGACTGCTTGGAGTTCTCGCTAGATTCCTTGGGCTTATTGTTCTTATCATCCGTTTTGTCCTTCAAAGCGTCTTCGCTCGACTCTTCGGTGGCATTTTCTTCCGTTGATGGTTTTTTCTTCTGCGGTTCCGTGTCTTTTGTTTGCAAAGTGTTTCCCTTATTGGGTGTTGCAAATCCCGGGTCCCGTAAATGACTACGACACACATAGAAACTGTAGTTTACGCATTGCTAGTCAGTTAAACAATGAACACTTTTCAATCCCCACTTTAAAGTGAAAAAAAAATAACACTTACAAATCACGTTTTGCCTCTTCTACCAATACGGTGCTGCTCGGTCGATAACACTGATTGTAAATACCTGTTAGTACGAGCAGACATTTTCCATACCTTACAATAAAGCAAGCTTTCTGATTTGACACAGCAACCTGTCGAACGGTATAGGAGTTTTTAATCAAAGCCATAAACTCGAAGACTGAGAGAGAACACAAATAGCCGGACGCGAAGCTATAAACGTGTGCTATTCACCTTCGGTGCTCTCTCTACCACACCGGTCACCACTACAAACTCGCTCGGCAACAACTCATTTCTATACAAACAATTAGTTTAAAATATATTACATAATTACAATGGAAACCAGGTTTAATAACAAGGAAGACAAATAAGAGGCCAAAACAAAGGACAGCATTCAATTACCAACAAGTATACATTGGCAACGATCATGTTTATTGCTTTTGCCAATTGGTACGACTTGAGCAAAACTTACAGATAGAATCCAAAACAAAAAGAAGGCGAAAACGGAAAGCGGGTGTGTGGGACGTAAGAGCAGATGATTGGGACGGAGAAAAAACATGTTACAGCGCTGTGGTAGGTGTTTCAATTTCGCTGCGAGCATTGCTAGTAAATGAAAAGTGCTTTCTTCAACAGCTGTGTGCACCTGCGCATATTCTATGTGCACACAAGAGCTTGTAATGCATTAACAAAAAACTTGGGGGTAAAGAGCGTCGGGTGCCAGAGAGGAGGCGTGGGCTTATGCATATCCTTTGTAGAGCGAAAAACCAAGCGGTGAAATGAATGCATGAAAAATGGTGGTTTGCATGCACCTTTTATAGTAAACACAGTCAATATTTTGCGTTTGTAGTGTGTACGCAACGACGCATAGCGCCTGAAAAAAAATCAATGAACAGAGGTTTGAAGGACTGGTGCCGGCACAGAAACGTCAGTAGCTATGCCAGAATGAACAGCCGAAGACGACGTAGGAGTAGATGACGAATTCTTTGTATACAAAGCTTCGACTTCCATCACTTCAGGACGGTCGAGGAGAGAGAATATTTTAGCATCTTTAACGGGATCGGGTCGAAAATCTTGCGTCTTTGGAATTTTAGTGCCATAGTGCATGATCAGTAGTGTAATAAGTCGCATCAAGTCCTTGCGCAGCTTCACCGTATCAACTTGTGTACCCTCCAAGTTCATATCGACCTTGCTGACATAAGGTTTCTGAAGTAGGCGGTATAAGAGGATCCGTGTGTTCTCGCATACATGAAGACCGCAATCACAGTCATTGACCTGCTGAGGCACCTTCATCTGCTTGATGGTGAACCTTTTGTTTAACAAAATCGAAAGATTCCGGACAACAAGATTGCAGTCGTTCGCATTTCCATTTGTCATGGAGTCATAATAATAGCCGACGCCTTGCTCCACGGATACGACTAATAAACTCCAATGGGAGCCACCCTCGATACCGCTCTCGCTTGTGTCGTTAATAGGGAGAAATAGGTAGGAAGCCTTCATTAACTCAGGAGGAAGAGCGCCGGCGATCTCTCTAGGGTCTGGAGCCTGCGACAAGAAATAAACCATTGCAGGACGCATAAGTAGAAACTCATCCCGAACGCTGGCAGGACGCGGCAAAAGCACGCGATACTGTAATATCTCAAAGTAAAAGTCGATATTTGTGTCAAGAACCCAGTAACCCGGTCGGAAATGATCAACGTCATCCTTCCGCAGACAGACTTCATAAAACTCGAGCCATATCCGGTTACGGTACTGTGTACTAGTTGAGGATGGTTTAAACGAGGAGAACAGAGAACGAAAAAAACCTCTCTTCTTCTTTTTCTGCGAGGTTTCCGAACACCGGGAACTTGAGCGATCTGACACGGCTGAACGTATTGCCGACACTTCGTTGATGTCTTTTGAAAAAATAGAATTAGAACGCATCTTGAACGGAGAAAATAATAACAACGATAATAATAATAATAAAAGAGTGAAAGCGATCGAACAATAGACGGGGTCAAGTAAAGTCCGCGATTTCTTGAAAATTTCGCGAAAAAAACAAATGAAGAAGGAAAAGAAAAAAGAAACCAAAGAAGAACAAGGAACTACACCTATAACACAAGTTTCTGAACAACGACGTCCTTACGTATACAGAGGACCATTCAGGTTACGTTAATTATGGGTTAATTAGCACAGAAGCGACTGATGTTTTCAATGAATAATCGTCTAGTAATGGCCCTTTCCGGGGTGTGTGGAGAGTAAATTGAGACTTGTTGTTTCGTGGAGAAAAATTGGGGTACGTGGTGGGGAAAACGGTAATAATGGTTGGGGGATTTCTGCGTAGCCGAGAGGGGTGCAGTCAGAGAGGTTTAAAGCTGGATCCCCAACAATACCGAGCCAGCCGCTTCCGCATTTTTTCAAGGGATGCAAGCCTAGACCATCGAGTATTACCGTGCTTAACATGATTGGCCACAACCAAGCCTTTGTCTCCACTCAGCTTCGCCATCCATTATACCACCCAAAACTCAAACGCAAACAACCAATAAGAAGCAAGAATTGACGCTTCATTTACGCAAGTTCCGTGGGATCGACCACAGCCATTACGTAGATGCGCCGAAGTTAGCAGTTCTCGGCTGAAACTTCTCCGCATTCTTTAAATGTGCATAATTGGACAATGCGGACATCACCGATCACTGGTGGCGTCTATCAAAGCCTAACTGAACGAACATGTCTCTCAATGGTCAGCTGCACGTCATTATATATGAATAAACCCCTTTTACAAGGCAATGCGGGGATCCCGGGACAATTGTGTGAAAATGATGTCACATGCGATCGCCAAGCAGCCAACGAATGCACTCGGACCGAGTATAATTGCGGACCGCGCGCAAAAACACCCCTTGTTATGACGAATTATGTTCATTTTTGCATTAGAGGAGTAGAGGAGATTGCACGATAAACCTTAATTGCATATAACTCCGCACGATCTAAACCTTATTGAAACAGGTTAAAACGGATCCGAGGAAGAATGCTTCTGCTCCGCGAGATGGCCATCATCGCAATAAGGAAAAAAAACGGGAGTGTCCATGAAGTCGGGTTGGGTGATGCGCGATTAGCGCGCTATTGCCTACGACCTTAGGATAGCTTTATAGCGGGGAAGGGAGGCGGGGTTCATCATCAGTTGTGGTTAGTGTCAATTTGGCGGTGAAAAACCCGCCCGTGGAGAGTGGGGGAGATGCATACGGGATGAAGTATAAGCCGACGAGCATGAATTGCGTTGTTTGGCTGCTTCGTCGAGCGTGAGCGGGGACGTTGCGGGAGAGTAATGCTGCTCAAGTTCCATTCTCGGGTTTTCGACTTCGTTTCATACACCGAGGTGCCGTCTGCTGCCCTGTCCTTCCACGGGCTTCGATATCGTAAGGTTCACCTGAAGAAGCTTCGGCCTTTCCATATGCTGAATTATGCTTTCTGTCAGGGCCTCTCATGTTTGTGATTGCGGTTAATCGGCTATTTTTAGTACTGTGAAACTTTATCGTCCGATACCGATGCATTCAGCAAATATGATTCGATAAAGCGTGTCGCATCACACCAAAACAACGCAAATGAGTGGCCAGCAGTTCCACATCATGGCGTAACGAGTGATGTGTTGTGTTTACTGTTCGTCAAACGGTCGGCTTCGTCTCGGTTGACGTTCTTCTTAATTACTTGGTTGGACAAAAGCTTTTGTTATTGCTTGACATAATCTCGTGAACGTACGCCCACGACAGCTGTTCTCGCTTGCCTACCTTTCGATTTTTGACTCAAGTACGCTTCCGCGGTTCGTCCCCCTTCCACTCGCACTGCCATAAGCGTCTTCGCATCTCCGCGAGAATTGCTCAATTTTCCCTTCTCCCACATCCTCTCAAGCATGGGTCAGTCATTTTCCGCCATCGCACTGAACGTTCTCAAGTACGGTGGCCTGGCCTCACTTCTTGTCACACTCCTCACACTTGGCCTTTTATACTCGTACCAGACGAGCATTATTTATCCCAGTTCGTTCCCCAAGGGCTCTCGGACCAATGTTCCTCTTCCCAGCACTTACAATCTCAAGTATGAGCGTCTTTCGTTAAAAACGCGTGATAAGCAAACGTTGGACTCTTTCCTTATGCTTCAGGAACATGACCCTGAGTCTCGTCCTACGCTCTTGTACTTTCACGCCAATGCCGGCAACATGGGTCATCGCTTGCCCATTGCCCGTGTATTCTACACGGCTCTTAACATGAACGTGTTCATCATCTCCTACCGTGGTTATGGTAAGAGCACAGGAGTCGCGAGCGAGAATGGCCTTCAAATCGATGCTCAGACTGCACTTGATTTCTTAAAAGACCATCCTGTGTGCTCCAAGACCAAGATTGTTGTTTATGGCCAGTCCATCGGTGGTGCCGTTGGCATTGCCCTGACAGCAAAAAATCAGGATTCAGTTTCGGCCTTGCTGTTGGAAAACACCTTTTTGTCCATTCCCGATATGATCCCTACCGTCATTCCTTTTGGTGCGCCCGTTTTGTCTCGTTTCTGCACTCAACGTTGGCCTTCAAAAACGCGCATTAAGAAGATCGACAAGGTGCCTGTCTTATTTTTGTCTGCTGAAAGTGATGAGCTCGTACCACCTAGCCACATGAAACTTCTTTTCGCTGCCTCAAAGTCGCCAAAGAAGCAGTTCAGATCCTTCCGCAATGTTCACCACAACGATACCTGTTTGGCTCAGGGCTATTTCCAAGTCATTGCCGACTTTTTGCAGACAAACGATGTTCTTAAACTGACCGCTTAATTCGCATGGCCTTTGCCGAAACATAATTGTTACGACGTACGCTATTCTTTCTCTTTGGTCAGAGTGTTAGGAATAGTCCAGCTCGCCTGTAGCCGACAGGACACACATCCCCCTGCTGGCTTTTGTCTTTCTTTTCTGTTTCCTCCTTCTTTTCTCTCTTATTGTTCCCTTGATTTATATGCTGGTAACGATCAAGAGCCCCTCTTTGGCACAACGTGGTTCTTGGGTATCCCTAATTCTTATTTGATTTTAACTGGTCACAAGTAAAAAAACAAATGGCTATTAAAAATATACACAAATCATAAAAGGGTATCTCAAAACATAGATTTTACGCCGTACTGTGACGATATTGGGCGGGTGGGTAAGCGGGAGGTTGCTGTTTAAAAGTAGAAGGGAGACGTGGCTGTTCGGTGTTCGAGTTAACAAGTATGTCCTTCATAGGAGGACATGAAACTCGCACGCGAGCCGCATCTTTTTGGGGGTTATCAACTTTGCGTGGTGACAGAATAACTTCTGAGAATGTCCGATGCCGTTTCTGCGATGTTGTATAGCACGTCGTATCGCTAGAATCAGAAGTTGGAAGAGATGCTTCACGTAGACGTTGTTTGTAATGCTCAAGTAGGTCTTGGAACCGTAATTGTGCTTTTTGATCATGCTCCACCCAGTCGTCCATATGATGTTGACCTAAGAAATCAACTTTCGCAACGCTATCTCCTACACGATCGGCTTCATGTTGAAGATGCGCGATATCTGTAGTTTCCTTGTAGAGCTTATCAAATAACTGTTTTGTAATTTCATCATAGGAACTGCTGCCCTCTCGGGCACCGCTTAGAGAAGACTGAATAGCCTTTATATTTTCCGTTTGATGAAGTAACATTTCAGAAGAGAACCCGTTTGCCTCATTCGTAGCTTTACAAATTTGGCTAGATATAGTCGATAGTTGCTGCAGTGATGCGTTTTGGTGATCCTGTAACCTTTCAACAGTATCTCTCTGCAATTGATTATGATTTTCCGAGAGCGAATCATAATGCTGCTCATTTGACACGTTCATCTGTTGAAATTCAGCTTGAAGAGTTTCAAATTGCTGTTGCGAATTTTGGGTAGTAGAAGAAATACTGGCCGTTAACGAAGACGGAAGCTTCATCAAATTAGAAAACACATTCTCAACAGCGGTTACAATGCTACTTTTTAACTCTTCTTGTTCACGCTGAATTTGTGTAGTTGAATCCTGCCCAAATCTTAAAACAGCAGCGTTGATATTCGTCGAGAAATTGTTAAAATGCTTTCCGTACTTTTTTATATGACTCTTAGCTTGCTCGGTATACAGACTGTGCTGCTTATGAAGTTGCTTTGAGAGTTCAAGTTGCGTTTCCAAAGATGACCGACAAGATTCAAAACTCGACTTTATTAACGTAGACAATTGATCGTGGCCTTCATTAACACCTGTGAGAATGTTCCCCAGTAACGATTCGAGCTGAGCAAACATAGTGCTGCCGGCAGTCCAATAGCCCTCTAGCTGTGTTTGTGATCGTTCCAGCGTTGTTTGTACAATTTCGTAGTTCACATGTAGGGCGGGGTATGATTTCTTTATGGAATGATCGACAGAACGAAGCATGTCGAGAAACGAATGAAAGACAGAATCGAACAACTCTATAAAAGAATTCTTCCATTCAGTTAATTCCTGCTTATGTGATTTCACCCTTTGGGCAGCATGGGACTGCTGCTTTTTAAATTCATCATCAAGAACATTAGCGTGAACGATCAGATCTTTTTTGTGGCTTTCAAACTGTTTGCGCATCTGCTCCAAAAGCTGCTGTTGCTGAGAGATGCTACTTTGCAAAAAGCTAACATCCTTTAAACTTGCTTCGTATGCCTGTTTGCTTTGTGAAAGTTGTGCGCGAAGCCGGTCGTTTTCATTTTGTAGTTCTTCAACTTTAGTCTGCAACTGCTTATGTTCATCTTCAACAGACATTAAGTCAGCAACCAACTGTGAATTCTTCTCGTTCATCTCAGTCAACTCTGCTTGCATGGATTCGCAATTTGTTTTCATAGTCTGAGATGATCTTGTGAGTTCAACGTTCTGTAAACGAGTCTCACATAAACACTCGTTTAATGAAACAATTTTTCGATTTTGCTCATCAACAAGCAATTTGAGACTGCTATTTTCTGCTGTTATGGATTTGTACGTTTCTTCCGCCATGAAGATACCGTTCTTTTGTCGAGAAGCTGCAAGATCGTTCCGCAGCCTTTCAATTTCCGTGACATAATCCTTGATTAGCATTTTGGGACTGAGAAGCACATTGCATTGAGACTTATTTTTTATATTTTTGGCACGATTAGCATACTCCAGAGTAGATAACGTCTCGTCGAGACAGGACCGAGAAGGAGAGACAGTCGCAATGATGCACGTTTTTGTTTTTCCGCCGAGTGAGTCTTGAAGTAAACGCGTAAGTTTACTTTCTCGATATGGAATATGCTGATTTCGTTCAACAAGTGCAATGATAACCCTTCCTAAAGTGAGAAGCGACTGATTAATCATGCCTGCCTCACGAGCACGCATGTTTTCAGCTCCCGATTTTCCAACGTTTTCGCTACCGGCAAGGTCGACAAGATTGAGCTTGCCAACCTTGATAAGTGGCTCGCCCGTCAACCCTTCTAATTTCATATGTATGGTAATCATGAAAATAGAATGACTACGCGAAGAAAGATCATTAATTTTGGTGGCTGCAACCTGCCGACGTACGCTACCAGCATGTAACAAATCGATGCCTGCGGCTGCATTTCTGACAATAACCTCCTCCATCCCGTTAATAACAACAGAACCCTTGTTTGACGAATCCTCATAAAGTTTAATATTCTTTTTATCTTCCTCGAAGGACAAAAGGTCTCGTAATTCTTCATTGTAGAGTTCGATAAAAGAACATTTCACAGTAAACTCCTTCACATGAGTTTCAAGTTGTTCATAAAGATAGGCCAAACTGCGTGGGATGATACCTGCATTATGCGACAAGTGTTTGTCCTTAAACGAAATGTCTCCGGTCATAGTATAAGTCTTGCCCGTACCAGTTTGACCATAGGCAAATATAGTACAGTTGAAACCATTAAGAACCTTACTGTTAGTATAGGGAAAACTTAGAATAAACGCAACGTGTGCAAGCACCAGCTTAGTTAGTAAACGCATTATAAGCCAAATTCGTGCACACAAACAATACTGAACGTACCTGATCCAACATTGGGATTACCGTGTCTTCAAATACCATGGCCTGATCGGCCTCAGGACCATAGACACGGTCGAAAGTGTATGTTTTATTACCGACATTGCTAAGAAGAGGACCAGTGTGGGCGAGAATTTCGTTCCCCTTAGCACCGAATGTGGAAATGGCAATGGTTCCGTTTTCCTTAATTTCGCGTTCATTTCTGGCACGCGTCCGAATCACAACTTGTACACTCGTTTCCTTAATACTCTGAGGTTCGTGGTTCTTTGACACGCGACCGCTTCTTCTCTGAGACGTTGAGTCCCGCTTGCCAGCAGGTGCGTTTGTTTCCCGATGCGTTTTCTGAGTAGATGAATTTGAAGCAGGGGAAATAGACGAAGTCGAAGGAGGCACTTTATCCATGAACAACCTTGACTATGTTTGGTATTATGATGCTAATACAAAATGTCCGGATGAATGATCAGTGGGTAAGAGGGATACAACAGATGCAAAATACGAAGAATACTGAACAGATCTATCCGTAATTAAAAAGAAGAATATCCTCAAACAATGTTTGGGCCTAAGAAATGAAAGAATGATGACAAAAGAGGGAGAATTTGAGGAGGATCGAAAAATGCTAACTATGAAGAAAAGGAACGAAAACAAGGACCAGTGAATGACTTTGAACAAACGAAGAAGTAGAAAACAACCGCTCACGCTCAAAAACTGACAAATATGGTCACGATAGAACGCATTGGTGCATATGGTAGCTGGTAGCACAAGGCTGACAGTCAAGTTCAGTTTAAGGTTAGCTGTTGAATAACGCAAAAAACAACTATGTATGACAAGACATCAAGTAGAAAGAAGAGAGTTACAATATACGATTGTGGTGGCTCGTGTTCAAACCCCTTCTTTCGTGCAATTGAATCACTATTTCTCTCTAAGACCAACATTGTATGAAACACAAATATACAACATCCACACACACCCAGCACATTCATAGCACATACATTAAAAAACCCAACCCAGTTTTTATTCCTTTTACCGTAACAAGAACAAAATAAAGCAACAATGATCGGCAGGATCGATGAGGATCTACGTTTTAAGCAGTGCGATCTGCATGGAATACAAAAAGATCGACGATAGTCTTAGTCAACAACATCAACAAGTCGTTCAACTTTGATACGATGGTTGGCGACAGACAGAATGGGCACACCAGGAATCTTACGGATACGCTGCTTCAAGTTTCGATCGTTCGTAGCAACCAGGTAGCATTTGTGTTGCATAACGCGATTGACAATGCAATCATCTGCATATGTACCCTTATGGGAGCAAGGCAATCGTTCAAACCGTTCATCTTTGGCGATTCTGAGGGCGATCCGATACCGAATACCAAGCTTTTCGAGCTCAGCAATGACACAATCCGTCACACAAGGAATCGTCTTAGCGAAAAGACAACTCATAAGACCCTCAAAAAGCTCAATTTTCTGCTGCAAGCAAAAGTTGATGAAGTTTGTATCAATAATCACATAATAAGGCGGTCCCAAACTCTCATTGTACTGGAAAAACAGATTCGAAGCAACCTGAGGACTATATTGGTTAGTGGGATCAGTGGGGGCACAAGGAGCGCTGAGTGGGATGTAGGTGGGTGAACATGTGGAAGAGCCGTTCCTTGACACTAGCAAAGAAACGAATTATTGTGAGTAATAAGTCATGTTCCAGCGACTTCGTAAAGGTACAATGGTGTGAGGCTCTGTTCCGTCCTGCGTTGCTCTTTTTTTGTTCGGATACCGCCGGAATTTCCCGTTTTCAGCGCAACTTCATGAAACTTACATTTCTCGAACAAGTTCTCCGTTTTTTGTGGTCTTTTGTTTGTTTTCTTCCTTCTTCTTCGTCAACCGCTGGTCTTTGGGGTTGAGAACGCGTTTAACAAGCGCGAATTTCCTCGTCTTCTTGGCCTTGCCCATGTTGCTGAAGGCGAAAATCTATGCCCACAGTCTCGAACAAGCACTGGAGCCATGGTGGGGGCGCAGTGGGATATCCCACTTTCACCCCACCCACCGTAGTGTCCTACTGCCAGCTAGGTAACAGCTAGTGAACGACACCATTCCTCTCCTCGCGCCATGCTACAGTACGTTTTCACGTTCGTTCTGCTTGGAATAGCATTTGCGTTCCAAAACACATCACCTTTTCTCTTATTTTCTCCTCTCAAGTAGGTCGAATGGCTACTGGACGTAGCTGTGAAGTTTTAGTCTTTCGTTGTCTAACGCTGTCTAGGTCAAATCAGCCTGAACACTACTCTGTTTCTGCTACCACCTCGCTGAAAGACTGCTACAGTCTGGCCGGTGAGTTAGCAGATGAATTTAACGAAGCTGCCGCCGTAATTCTCTATCTTCCTGGTCTTGACACAAACGATTTCCAAACAGGTGCCCTGCCGACGCTCAAACAAGCATTGTTGGATGCAGAGACGAAACTTTTTGTCCCTTATGCTTCTGACTCCGTGAAACCCTCATCCCTTGTCCAAACATACATGAACAGTTTCGGCGAGAGCAACTTTTTTGCCATCAACAGTACAACACAGATGCCCCGAGTGCTCGACGAGAAGGATATCGTGTATCTTCAGTTTGATGCGTTGTCTGAAACTCCTGAGGAAAGAGCAGCTGACTTGGAAAAGACTGGTAAGTGAAAATGAGGCTGCAATGAGGAAATCCGTATACTTAGACTGGTATTTGACGTGGTGAATGCTCTTTCAAACACGTTTTCCGCTGTGATTCCTCATCCTGAGTTACTTTGAAGCTAACTCGTTAGATGCTGCTATTTCTTCTGTGCTCTCTCTCACACCTAAAAAATACATGCTTGCTCTCTTGTCGAATCCTTTAAGCGATGATAACGCTAGCCAGCTTGTTACATACGTCAAACCAACATCTGCTTCTGCTGGTGAGCAGCAACAGTCAACCATTGCAAGTTCTGAACGCCGCAAGACTGCCAACAAGCAAGTCAATCAACCTTCTGGCATTTTTGCTAACTACACATTCTTCTCTCCTGGTTTGTTCATGAGTTACATGGTGCTTGCCTTATTGGTGCCCACGCTTATTCTTGCGTGCAAGTTGGTTGGTGGAATTGAGATCAGCTACGGTGCTTTTACAAAGCCTCGTCCTAGAAAGCTTGCCTAGACTGCTGGATTTTTGAATGCTGCACGACAAGCCTCTGCACTATGACCTTTTTTTCGTATGTTTTGTGTGTGAATATGCTCACGTGTGTGTGTGCACTTAATTTTTAGTAATCCCAGGCGCACAAAAGTAAATTGGGAAATACCACATTTTTACTTACAGCTAGAGTACTATGGAGGGATGAATTGCTTTTGCTTTATTTTGCGAGTTCCTCAGAATTCTGTTCCTTGGGTTTGTCTATGCATCCCGTCGGGTTTCCATTAAGCTATCGTTTGTGCGGACCAATGAATTATATGAGCGACGTCACGTGATTGTTAAGCGAAAAGTTTAGATCCGCTTTTCCCTTGAAGTTGCGTTCCCCCATCACAGAACTCTTATGTCAGACAAAGAAGAGGGGGTTGAGACATGTGCACGTTCCGCACATGTAAAGGGGATACTCCGACACTCTGTAGTAACCAATACCGACTCTCTCTCTTTCAACGACAGCCATCTGGCTTTAGCGTGTAGTTCGGGGACTCGCCATAAACAAAGTTATCGCTTATCAGTTCTGTCTCGGCTATTACGTAATCTGCGACGTTGCGACAACTTTAATTGCCGACGCGTTCAGCGTGTTTCCGAAACGGAAACAAACACGAAATAGGGCAGGAAAAACCATTAACTTTGGCTGCTTCCGGTATATGTGAATGAGCTTTCGCAAGCAATTGCACGTAAAATAGGAACCTTAAGGTGTCGGATTTGCGAAGCCGAAACACCCACGGTCCACTGACTACATACTCTGTCGCTACTATCACTATCACGTTGGGGATAGCTACTTCCATCGGTTCTCGCGTCACCCTAAAGCGAGACGCGTTACGTCGCATCCTCTGACATCACTACGCAATCTTCCCTAGAAAGCTTAATCCGCGACCTTCAGCAGTTCTCCTCTTCCTTCTGCATGTACCATGTCTGGCATCGTTCGTCCTCGTCCACGCTATGCTGAAGGATTCCAAAACAGAGATTCCAATCCAATACGCAAGACTGCGTCAGTGCTCTCATTGTCTTCTTTAAGCAATTCCGGTTCTACACTCTGGGGCCTTTTTGAACGTTTTCGGTTGGAGAGCGACGATGAAGACGACAGTTCTGGCGAATGTCCTTCACCCGAGGGTTCTACAAACGTCGCTTCCAGCACTATGAATGATCGAGGACGCGTGGATGGTCGTGTTAATGGAAATGGCCACACCTCGTCCTTGGACCAGAGACCCATTCCTCATTCACCGGCCGCTGTGAGTCGCTCCACAGTTCGTTTTAGGGTCTTGGGAGTCATCATCGTGATGTTTTTGGGCTGGTCATTTACATATCTTGCCGAAAAGCTTCTTCTCGAAGCTAGACTTCCCGGTCTTCGATTCACAGTGCATTCACAACAGTACAAGCCGCATTGGTCGCTCTTATTTGGATTTGCTGCTATTCTTGTGGGCTTCTCTTTCCCATATGCGGATCGTTTGTCTCACAATGGCCATCGACTTGTTGCACGGCCCTTTGAATGGAATTTGATTGTCCGTTCCATTATGGCCTTGTCGTTTGTCTTGATTGGATTAAAGGTATGTGTCTCCATAAAACGCCATAAAATAGTAGGGAGCAATCGAGTTTTAACGAGACGTCGCTCGTTTGTCTGCCCGTGGGTTTTGTTTCTACCGCTCTCTCTCTCCCTCTAGCCTCCTTACTAACAAGATAGCGGTGCTTGGGAACAGACGTGAAGCAAACGGCCATTGGCTTTGCTGTCAACGCCTTAAGCGTTTGGTTTATTTTCGATCATACCAAGACTGGCTTTGTCATGTCTTCCTTTTTTTCTTCCCTCGGTACCTTCCTATACACGGCTTTTGTTGAAGTGAATTTAAGTCAAGGGTACGTTTGCGTTCAACGGAAACGAATCACATATTGCGTGTTTGAACTCTTGATTCGTTTTCCAATACACGCCTCAGTTTTATTGCTCCCTGCTAATCTTTTCTTTAGGGAAAGTATTCACATTTCTAAAAGTCTGAGATACTGGCTGCCGTCCATCATCTTTTTTGCATGTACAGTTATTGGCAACGTTGGCCGTCTCGTCTTTTAAGTTTTGAAAAGGAACCAAGCAGCTTGATCCACTACAATTCTACTTAACGTTTCAGTATTCTGTGTGATATTATAGAACGCAGTAGCAGCAATGATGACAGCGTAAATTGAACTCGAGTTCATCCGTTTTTGTCTCCCCAAACTTCATTCCTCTTACCAATCTCACCGATGAACCTTGATGAAATGTTTTAAACAGCTTTCCAATACCGCATTTTCATTTCCTATTCCCATGAATTGTCCGCCTCAAAACGCCTGCTGCTCTCCCACTCATAGAGAGGGATTCCAAGATACACTCCGCCCCCGCTCCTAGTAATGGTTAGCTATGTTATACGCTAGCAACACCAGGCGGACTCCTCTCTATACCACCGCTACTGCCAATCTCCTCCGCCTTTCGCCAACGCTACCACCAACACCAACCACCACGACGTGTGCTGTCACCGGTATGGTACACCACGGCACACCTGTCCACGACCTCACGCAGAGCACGGTCTCAAGTATCGCTGCCATTGCCATTACATTTCACGTATATCGGCTTCGATCTGTTCAAGACAAACTGCTTTGCTTCCAAGCTGGCGCCTGACACCGTTTTAAAACGCGCTACGTGTAATCCGTGCGAACAAAAAAGTACGTTTATGACAAACACGTCCACTCACTCTTAATTTTGAGCGGCTGCTTTTTATGATCAGTTTTCCTTTTTTGCTTGTTTTTTTTTCATGTTAGTATACTGTGGAAATGCAAACGCCGCTGCAGCATTCCCAATCGTCCTCACAATTTCCCAATGGAGGAGCTGCTCCAGTAAAACGACGAAATTACCGTGTGTTATATGATCCGGAAATTCATTACAAAGCTGCGTACGCGAAGAAACCGATCTACCGTTTTGATGGACACGCGAAGCCGCCAATTCAGGCTGTCGATCCTCGTGAACACAATCCTAATTACTCGCGAGGAATACCAAATAGCAGCCGTCCAGTGCGTAAGTCCCTTCTGCCAGTCCAATTTGAGTACGACAGCAATTCAATTGGGCCAGAACCACCAACCCAAGTACTAATAACTAATCTCTCGCCGCTGGTTACGGCAAACGATATTCGTTATCATTTCAAAACATTCGGAAGCGTGAACGAGGTCGATCTTCAACTCAATCCATACAATGGCACTTCACTTGGCCTTTGCCGAGTGACCTTTCGGAAGGATCCTTCTGTTTCGGCAGCGCATGCTGCCGCTAAAAAAGCTGTCGCTTCCGGAACCGGCTTACGGCTGAATGGTAAGTGTATGCGGGTTGAGCTCGATAAAGACGGTTCGCTTTGTCGCAAGGCATATGAGCGAGCTGTGCATGCTCTTGAGGAACAGCTCGCAGCCGAAGAGGCACATCAACAAGAGCTCGCTCAAGCGGAGGCCGTTGCAAAAGCAAAAGCTGCTGCCCTACAAGCCCAAGCCGCTGCAGCTGCGTCCAGACAGAACCAAAAGGTTCATCGCTATGGCTCATACGAGCCTTCTTATTTTACCGAATCCCCATCCCACTCCCATTCTTATGCTCCATCCTCCTCTTCTTCTTCATCCGCACTTCCATCTTCTTCCCATTCTTCTCATCACCCTCCCGAAAATCTGGATGAACTGGTGTACTTATTCATAGATGACCGTTTTGTTCCCCCTGACCGTGTACTTTACAGCGACATTCGCCATCATTTTCGCAAGTACTACTATGACCGTATTTACATGGACCGACGAGGTTTTTATATAACGTTCTCCAATTATGAAGAGGCGCGCGAGTGCTACTATCGGTTGGATCGAACATATGTGAATGACTGTCGTATAAAATTGCGATTCCATGAACCCCCAGTTCTGCGCAATCATGTTCCCGAAAAAGACATTACGACGACTACTCCGCGGGAACGCGTACTAAAGGCTGCTACAGATGCTATTCTCACAGAGTTGAGCGAGGTCTTATTACGAGATATAAAAACAAAGATTGCTGGTCCTGCCATCTTTAAGTTCTTTACTGATTACAAAAATGCACATCCTCGCAGCGATAAACAAGAAGCCGCAATTGAGGCAAGGGTTGAACCAGCATCTATAGATGCGAAATCGACCAAACTTGAAGAGGAGGTTCCCGTTGATGTACCTCTTGATTCGCTCTTACATAAAAAGACCGTGCTTCCAAAATTCAGGAAACGCGTTACTAGTGGAACAACCACAAAAGGGTCTAAAGCCTTGCCTACTGCACAAAGTGTGCGCCGTCGTAGACGGAGGCACTCTGATGCACGTCCTCTCTATCATCGTCTGAATGATAACGTTGATGATAGCGAGTACAGTGAGGGCAAAGAGGATGAAGACGTGTCTGATACTCACTACACTCAGAACATTCTCTCCGAAACTTCAAGCAGCGAGGAGGAAGTTGAGGAGGGGGATCAGTTAATCTTAAATACCCATGATCATGAGACAGAAGAAGAGGAAGAGAGTGAGGATAATGAGGATTTCCTCGAAAAATTTCACGCTGCTTCTCAAAAGAGTAAAACAACGGAGGAAGAACAACCGGACTTTACTGATGAGATTGACTATACTTCGAGCGATGAGGAGACTGTTCAGGAACAAGCTGTGGCCCCCCTTCCTGAACATACAGAAGTATCCGAGTCCGCATTGAAGGCGGAACGCGTTGAAACCAAAATCGAAGCAACAACAGTGACTATAAAATCTACGATTTCAGAAAGTATTGTTCCTGCTATTCCGGTGAAACAAAACACATGGTCCGAAGATGGTTTCGTGTTCCATGGAACCTTGCCAAATACTTACCCTGAGGATGAGGTTTTGCTTGACTTGGACGGCTTTCAGCAAATCGTGAAGGATGATGAGGATTTACAATATTTACGGGAAGTTGTTGCTGCGGAAGAGTCGAAGGAACTTGGTGATACTAACTATTGGGCCTATCGACGAAAGGAGAGTAAAATTCGAAACGGTGACGCTGAGCCGTCGAATCTTGTTCTTCCCTTTAACAAAAACGAGTACCATAAGCCCAATTCGACCGGTTCGGCACGTACCGAAGGTTATTACATGGTACCTGCAGCAGAAAAATCACAATACCTCCCTCTTCGGAATAGGGTTAGTTTGGAAAAGGCAAACACCTCTAGTTCACGCATTACGAGTCGTATGAATAGAGTGAACAATCGTCGTCTTGCTGCCGGTGTCGAAAAATCTAATTTGAATTCGGAGACAGACTTACTCCGATTCAACGCCTTAAAGGCAAGAAAAAAACAGCTTCGTTTTGGCCCTAGTCGAATTCATACACTAGGTTTGTTCGCTATGGAGAACATTGACAAAAACGACATGGTAATTGAATACGTTGGAGAAATTGTTCGGCAACGTGTGGCTGATACACGAGAGCGCAAGTACGTTAGGGAAGGTATTGGCGACAGTTACCTCTTCCGTATTGACAAGGATGCCATCGTGGATGCAACCAAGAAGGGCAATATTGCTCGTTTTATCAATCATTCATGTGCACCAAACTGCATAGCCAAAATTATTCGCGTTGAAGGTCATCAAAAAATTGTAATATATGCCGATAGAGACATCGAGGAAGGAGAAGAGCTTACTTACGGTATGGAATTCTGCTTGTTTTACTGTTGTTTCTATGTGCTTACTAACTCATTCTTTTAGACTATAAGTTCCCTGAAGAGGTGGATAAGATTCCTTGTTTGTGTGGTGCGCCTACTTGTCGTGGATATTTGAATTAGACGTAAATGTAAATGATGAATATAATGCGTTCACTAAAATTGTATCTATATTAAACGGCGAATTCCTTTTTTTTTCTTTGCTCTTTATCTCTTATTTACTTGTAGTTTTCCGCTCTTCTAGCTGCACCTCCCACCGCAGCAAAAAGTCGTCCACGAAGACGTACGCATGGTTTACCTGGTAGCTACAAACCAGTACAAAACAGCATGGGACGCGCTAGTATCGGCCCCAAAACGCCGGTACATCTTACTAGTTTGAATGATGATGCATTAGAAAAGAAAAGAAACAAGGAAAGACTACGTAAACAGCAACATTTACGGAGAACTTCTGCCATCAATTCAATTACACCGAGAACAAGCTTAACTGGACGAGAATCGATCGGTTCTGGTTCTCCTGGATTGAATTCACCCTTTGGTACGCCCCAGAAGAAGGCACCTTTATTGGCGAATTTTGAAGAATGGATGAAACTGGCTACGGATAACAAAATTAATTCGACAAACACATGGAACTTTGCTCTTATTGATTACTTTCATGACATGTCCTTGTTGAAGGATGGAGACAACATTAATTTCCAAAAAGCTAGTTGCACATTAGATGGCTGCGTGAAGATTTATACTTCTCGTGTAGATTCCGTTGCTACTGAAACCGGTAAACTGCTCAGTGGTTTGGCAAACAACGCCCAATGGAAGGAAATTGAGGATGAGCATGCGATGGAGAACGACGGTGAGGACAAAGACGAACTAGCTGGCGCAAAAGAAAAACGGGAACGGAAACGTGCTCATCGAGCTGAACAGACGCTCGCGAAGAGTTTTGAAGCTCTCCAAGCAAAGCGACTGGATCTTGAGTACACGTTCGACCCTCTGTTTAAAAAAATGTGTGCTGACTTCGATGAAGGCGGCGCAAAAGGCTTACTTATGAATCACCTGTCTGTAAACCTCCATGGTCGGATCGTGTTTGATTCTACAGATGACATGGTGCTTGATGAACACGACGATGACAAGACAGGAAGTAACGAGGACAAGGACGGAGCTATGGACGAAGACAAAGAAGTAGAGGAAGACGTCAAGGAAGAGGAGGAGGAAGAGGAGTTCAATCCAATTATGATGACAGATCTGAAGAACATTTATTTCCAACGTCTTGATGGATTATCGGTGTGCCCTTCTCTTCAGGGCTTTGAGTTTGGCAACAACACTTCGCTAAACGTGTCCCTGCTTAAGTCTTTGGGAGAAGAAGCGACGTCAGTTGATGGTCCCCTTGTGTTAGACAATGCCGACAGTCAAAGTGGACCACCTAATTTGGAATTGGATGTCAGCGATGATGGTGATGATGATGATGCTCCGCTTGATTTTATAGGTTTAGCCCAAGACGAAGAAGATACTACGTTGGCTACAGCCCAACATGCCATTGTCGACCCACAGCACGCACATCCAACACTGGTTGGAGAAACAACCGAAGAGCAACAGAACCAACAGGATTACTCCATCAGCAGTATTTACTCATCGTTTAATGAGGTGTATGGATATTTTGACAAAAGTCTGAAACACAACTGGGCTGGTCCCGAACTTTGGCGTATTCAACGTTTAAAACAAAAGGCTCTTCAAGATGCTGAAAACCGAACAAATTCTTCGAGCGCGCTGGACGCCGCATCAACCAACGACACTGCTACCAGCATTGTTTCAGTGGATAAAAAGCGGCGGAAAGAGGTGGACTATACGATTGATTTCAGTGAGCCCATAAATGAAGAGTCTCTATTCGCTCCTGCATCTGCAAACCTGCAATTACCCAAAAATCACTGGCGAACACTAAATCGGAATCTACTTCCTGATGATTACCACATTGATTCAAAGCGTTTGCTTCGACTGTTCCTGAAGGACAACGCTCTTATAAACGCACGGTCAAATTCTTCCACAACTTCGCAACCAGAGGCTGATGTCGATCCTTCTACCGATGTGCCTGCTGATGCTGATAATTCACTGGTTCTTGCACACCCGGGTCTTGATGACGGCGCCATGAGTGACAGCGACGGTGCTGCTGATGCTCCTCTGCCATTTGTTCCCGAGGGAGAGGAAGACAATCCTTTTGCGATGGACTCTTCGAAGCCGCCTTCAAGTGCTGGTTTTGGTGAAAGTCTATTGCTGAACGCTCGTCTGGCAATGCCGGAGATGTTACAATACGCTAAGCGCGCAACGAGAGTTGATGTTAAAGTGCTTAAAGAACGACTGTACGAGTGTCTGGAAATTCCACCTTCATCGGAAGAAGCTCCTGAGCCCATTGTCCGTCGGTTTACCGATGTTTTAGACAAACTTAGTGCGATTTACGAACCCTCAGCTTACAAGGATGTTTCTACAAGTTTCGCGTTCATTTGTGTTCTTCACCTGGCCAACGAACACGGATTAAAAATTACAAGTTCAGATGATCTGAACGATCTGTACATTGAAAGGGACCTATCGCTGGAACCTTTAACTACCTGAAGTTGAGCGAAAAGATATCCCATTATTGTCGCCCTTCAGCATCAAAATACCTAACGGGAAACTCTGTTTCTTCTTATCAAAACGGGACTCCACATCTACGTCTAAGTACACGTTTACATACCCACCACACACCATCTTTCTATTCAAATCGATTTCTCTTTCGTTTACGTCCAACACCCAGCACCGGAGAAATACAGACAGTTTTTTCCATCTTCCGTTTCATGAAATCAATTAATGTCGTAAGTACTGCGCCATTATATTGATTTCCGAGTTCAACACAGCCATTTTGTCTTCAATTCTGCCTACTGGCTAACGGAGTGTGCACCACCCTTCCCCAGCTCAAATTCCCCAATAAGCCGTATAGGCTCCCTTCCTCCCCACAACAGTACATTCTACTGCTGTTAAACATGTCGAATATATCAAGTACCTCGATGAACATTTTCTACGATAAATGGGCTGAATTGAAGCGGTTTCGGGTATGTACGATTTGAATTGGAAGGGGACAGGCAGGTTATGGCCGATAGATTGAGAACACGACGAGACTATGAAGGATAAAACGCGTTGAGGGACTTATTAGTCCGTCATCATGTACTGTTCTTGTTGCGTGGTGGATGACAAAGAACTTCCAAGTCATGAGCTCCCTCTGTAGAATGCTACTTTCAAAGGTTGCTAACGAAACGTAATAGCAAACTCATCTGTCGAGCTTGAGACCGTACAGTGAGTTTTTAAATGTTCGACGTTTGTCACGTCCCGTTAACTACAGCGATGCTCAAACACGAGTTGTGTTTAATCTGTCACGGTATTCAGCCAACTACGCTGTCGTTGTCGGTCTTTTGACTTTAAACGCTCTTTTGACGAACTGGATTTTGCTTCTCGTCCTCATTCTTGGTGCCGCAGGCACCTACGGTATCCGGAAGCTTGAGGGTGCTGATCTGATGATCGGTCCCTTGGTGCTGAAGAACTCACAACTGTACACGATCCTAGCCTGCACTATGATTACGCTCAGTTTCTTTGCTTCCCCTATCATGACACTTATGTGGCTCATTGGACAGTCGACGGTTGTAGTTTTGGCTCACGCCGTTTTGATGGAGCCTCCCATCGAGTCTGCCTTTGAGGCCGTTGAAGACCAGGTTTAAAACGCAACAGCAGCGTAGCAGCCATCTCTCAGCAGTCCGAGTAGCAGAAGCAGGGTATCGTCTGCCACGACTGTCGTTTCAGTACAGCTGCTCGCACCCATTCATACAAACGCAACATTAGACGGACACACCGTGGAACTTCTAACCTCCTTCACCGTTCCCTTTTTTTTCACACGTTAGCATTATTTTAGTTGTCGTCGTCGTCGTTGTCATCCTCGTCGCTTCGTTTTCATCTTTTCATAACAACCATGTATGTCTTTCGTTCATGCCACACAGCCGTTCCAAGGCACTGAAGCGGCCAGCGGCTGTTCAAGAGGTCGTGATACAACGTGAAGAATGAGCCTTGAATGCGAGAGCTCTAATACAGAGGCGGGAAAGGGGGGAAGAAAGAGAGAGAGAGAAATCCTTGTGCTGGATGGAGGGTGAGGGAGAGAGAGTGAATGCGCGAAAAAGTATTTACAGATACTATGTACGTGCGCACATTCTTTCATTTCCTCCCCTCTCCGTTTCTGTCTTTTTTAATTGTTTACAGCGCTTAGAGCTTTTGGTAATCAATCACACCCTCAAGTTTCTTTTGTTCAGCAATCTTCCGGGCTGCTGACATAAGGTCGGACTGAATGATATAGTCACGGTCTTCCTTAATAGCAACGAAACCGGCCTCTGTTACGACGTTCCGAAGATCTGCACCATTCGTACCATCAGTCAACTTGACGATGGCCTCGTAGTCAATGTCTCCCTGTTTGGCGACCTTGGAAAGATGAATCTTCAGAATCTCCATCCGACCCACTTCGTTTGGCAAGGGAATCTCGATTTTCCGGTCAAGACGACCAGGACGTAACAAGGCAGGATCAAGCGTGTCTGGACGATTGGTAGCCATAATCACCTTTGTACGGCCAAGGGTATCGAAACCGTCCATTTGGTTGAGCAGTTCCATAAGTGTACGTTGGATTTCACGATCAGCAGAAGTACCTTCACTGAAACGACGACCACCAATAGCATCAACCTCATCCATGAAAATGACACAGGGCTCGTGTTCTTTGGCATAGCTAAACATCTCGCGAATAATACGGGCTGATTCTCCAATGTATTTGTCGACAATCGCACTAGAGACAACCTTGAGGAAATTGACGCCAAGTGTGGAGGCTACAGCACGCGCCAACAGGGTCTTACCCGTACCGGGAGGACCGTATAACAGCACACCTTTGGGGGGTTTGATACCAACACGCAAGAAGAGTTCTGGATTTTTTAAAGGCAATTCAATGACTTCACGCAATTCGCGGATTTGTTCACTCAAACCACCGACACCTGCAAATGTAATTTCTCCTGGATCCTCAACGGACATGTTGTATACGAGTGGATCGACTTCCCGAGGCAGAAGCCGCATAATTGTCAATGTAGTCATATCCAGCGATACACGAACTCCCTGTAGAAGACGCGTTTTGTCGAGATTGTTACGGCATCCAACCACATAACGCGGTCCGGAGCTTGCTTTTACGATGAATCGTTCGTCGTCCAGCTGTTTGAGGACTTCTCCGATAATTTGACCGACAGACTGCAGCGACTTGATGTCGTCCTCTGTTTTTTCAAAGTCGCGAACGAGACCTTTGTTACCGAAGCGCAGCTCCTTGAGCTTGGCGTCCCATTCACGGTGCTGCAACAGCGCCTGTTTGTATTTTTGCAATGCTACCTGTCTTGGATCAGTCATGTGTAGAGGATAGGTGAGGACGAGGTACACGGCAGAATGTATGGCATTAACGTGGTGGAGTGGAGTGGAAGGCAGATAGCTGAGAAGGAGAGCTAAACTCGGTTATTTTAAGCTTATATTACGCGAAAAGGGGGAGGGGTGGTTTCTCAACCCCGCCGGAGTTTCCCGCAAACCCTAAAAACTTTGTTTAAGAGAAGAGCGGAATAAACAGGAGAGGGAGACACTCTTAGGAATCAGCTGCACCAACGCTCCGCGCCGTAGAGCTGCCCACGTACACGCAACTAAGACTCGTCAAAACCCCACATACGAGCTACTCCACATCCCACCTGCACACCCACTTACGTATCCCACTCATCACTTGGAGAAACCAATTTTGACATTCACTGTAGACGAGCCCCCACATGGCGAGAGCAACTCAGCTAGTTGGCACAAATAGCTTACTCCTCGGACTTCTCCTCGGAAAACTGTTGAAGACGCTTCTCCTCAGCAGCCTTGGCCTTGCGTTGACGAGCAGCCTTAGCACGGGCACGACGAGCCTCTTGTTGTTGCTCAAGAAGCTTGGTACGGTTGGCCTCAGCCTTGGCACGTTGGATGTGCTCGATAAGGGCACGCTTGTGCTTGAAGGTGTTACCCTTGGCCTCAAGGTAAAGGGTGTGGTAAAGATGCTTGTCGATCTTACCGGCCTCACGATACTTGCGAAGGAGACGACGCAAGACACGTTGACGACGCATCCAAACAACAGAGGAGGGCATACGAGCCTCGGCAGTACCCTTACGCTTACCGTAGCCAGTGTGACGGCCAAGACGCTTGGCGGCTTGAGTCTTGCGGACACGGAAACGCGAGTGCATCAAGTTGGGCTTGCGGATGACCAAACCATCCTTAATCAACTTGCGGATGTTTTGGCGGCTGTTGGCGTTGCTGATCTCACTGATTTCATTGGGATCCATCCAAACCTTGCGTTTTCCGCAGCCAAGAACGGCTGCAGCAAGTCTCTTTTGCGTCGTCAAATTGGCCATTCCGTCTGTGGAGTTTGGCGGAGTGTTTTGGTACAAAAGTGAGTTGTAGTTGGGGCAGTCACGAACCCTACCCTAGCGACGCGGTGTATATAGCAGTCCGTAACGAGGTGCAGCGACGAGCTGGACACGCCATTTCCGGGAGAGAGGTGGAAGGAAGGAAGACGAGGAACAGACAGAGCAGTGCCCGAGCTCACTGCATTTCATTAAATTATGTTAAGTCTCGTTAGAGCTCTGTAGCGTTCGTTATTTATCATTCGATTGCCGTATTGTGTTTAATGTACTGTAGCAGAATGTACGGTGGCTCGTTTTTACTCGCTGCATCGTGTACTGCTTCGGTGCACCTCGTTGCAGAGCAACACCCTTGAAACCTCTCCCACCCTGTCCCATTGACACCAGCCAGCTCCAGAACGCCTCTTTTTCTTCTGTTGAGCATTTTGTGGCTGTTTGGACGCATATTGAGGCACTTTGCGTCGTTGGGAATTGTTTTCCGAGGTGGTAGTTTTTTTTCCGGTAGTATTAGACGTTGTTTGGGTTTGTTCCATAGTTTCTCGCGTTTCCTGCATCCTCCAGGCCTGCAGCAGTAAACCTGGCAGTTGTAAGTGATCAGCTTGTCAGTGATTTCACCGGTTTGTCCTTTTCATTGTGGTCTGTGCGACTGGCGTGTATCCCGAATTGTAGTTCACTTTTGACGTAAGTGGTCCCCGCTATTTCTGTCCATAATGTCTGTCGCTGCCTTGAATGGAAGCTTGGATTTTTCTTTGAAACATTCACTCGATGACTTGCTGAAGAATCCGGTCCGGTTTCGCAAGTCGACCAAGTCCGTCACGGCTACTCCGGATGGCAAATATACTCCTTTAAATCGCCGTAAGGGCGATTCAAAGCAATCTGCTTCTTCCAAGGATACGAATGCTCACGGTGCTGCCGCTGGCAACACCGGCAGTGAGAAACGCCATCGTTCCTCTGCATCCTCCAACCAAACATCCGGCACTCGAGGCGAGGGTTCGGTTGAATTGGATGAGGAGGATGAGCAGGGTTTTCCTGGTCCCGCCCGTGTCCTGTTCCCCAAGGAGAACATATCTATTGACTGGCAAAACATCTTGCCCAATGCTCCCGGCTTGGTCAATTTGGGTAATACGTGTTTCATGAACTCTGTGTTGCAGCTGATGATGCATACGGCCCCCCTCGTCGAGTACCTGTTGACCGGCCAACATACTGCTGCTTGTCGCATGAATGCGTGCGTCTTGTGCAAGATGGAACAACACATGATGAAGGCCTATCCCAGCAAGGGGAAGAAGCGTGCTTCGGCTTTCAAACCCACTGGTATCCAAAGCATGTTAAAGGTCATTGCTAGTCATTTCCGGCCATATCGCCAGGAAGATGCTCATGAGTTCATGCGTTATCTCATTGATTCATGGCAGAAGTCTTGTTTGCAAAGTTTCAAGAATCTCGACCATCCCAGTCGTGAAACATCGCTTATTCACCGCATCTTTGGCGGGTACTTGAGACAACAAATTACATGTTCCTCGTGCCACAAGCCCAGCAGTACATACCAATCTTTGCTCGACCTGTCACTCGAGGCGAACGTGTCCAACATCCTCGAGTCACTGTCCCAGTTTGTACAAAAAGGAGAAGCTCACCAGGGGGGCAACAAGTACCGTTGCGAGGAATTGCAAAACACTTGGTGGAATGCTTCAAAAGCAAATGACTGTGTATCGTGCTCCCAACTATCTTACACTTCACCTGAAACGATTCACCTTCAACTCCTTTCATTCACACAAAATCACTAAGCATGTTGCTTATCCTGAACTGCTCGATTTGGGCCCTTTCATGTCGGACGCCAATCGTGCGTGTGTTTATGAACTGTGCGGCGTTCTTGTCCACGCCGGGGGAAGCACTCGTAGTGGTCATTACTATTCGTTTTGCAAGAGCAGTAGCGGAACCTGGCTGAAGTTTGACGATGATTTTGTTTCAAACACAAGCATTGACCGTGTCTTGAGTCAACAGGCTTACATTCTGCTGTATCGTCGTAAACCCGGTGCAAAGGCTCCTGTCCAGAAGCGCAAGGGTAAGCGTAACAGCGATGGCGGCTCTGGAGGCAAGCATCGTAAGAAGGTGCGCACCTAGGTGTTATGGTGCAGTTTAATCGTTGTTTGGCATTCTTTACTTTTGCTGAATCTGGAACGTTGTCTGTGTGCTCAAAGTAATTCATTTGTCTCGCTGCTCGAGCAATTCAAATTTCCATTTTACAAGTTCGTGAATATGTAGTTTCTTACAATTTTAAACACTTTAAACATTTTTTCTCATGTATATATTTGTTTTCGAGATTGCTAAATCTGTTGCGTTTGCGTTTGCGTTTGTTATGTTTGTTTGTTCGTCTCAGCGTTTGTCATTGGCACACACATTGCATCTGTTTTCTCAAATTTCAGTAAACCTTTGTCACAAGTTGAGTTTATCGAGTGTATTCATATTATCTATTGCCCTTGTCAGCCTTTCTTCACACGTCTTAAACATATTATTCATCATTGCCGTTGCTTGCCACTACAATACCTCAATTTCACCAATATCAAGGAAAAACCACTGAAATTAACGGTTTCCCTACTTGTTTATTTATCAGGCTGTTGTAATAATAGAAAACAGCATCTCTGTGAAGCAGTTTCATGTTTAGTGACTGTACGTTCGCCCAATTGTTGATTAGTTACTAACACCCTAGATGCTTCACGGTTTCTTGCCCAGTCGCGCTTTTCTTCTTCAGAGCAGCTGTTACAATCGTCTGCAAATGTATTTAATGGACGATTGAACGGCAATGCGGAGCTTCCAAGCTTACAGGATTCTTCTCTTGCTCCGTCTCCAGGTTATGACTTGAATCAAGATACTCGTGGCGTCGAATCTGCTTCTGTCAGCTGGTTATTAAAGCACAGCGATGTTGGTAAACCTGCCCTGACCGATTCTGCGAACGTTGCAAATAGTTCAAGGTTGTCGGCTTTCTCAGACGCAGTCGAACACAACCGGCGATCACAAAATGTCTCAGAAATGTCATCTGCTGTGTCAGAACAGCATGAACATGTTCATCCCAATGCTGCAATGGCTATGGATCACGGCTCGAGACTGGCAGAGGAGATGGATGATTTGCCATTTGAAACATTTGAGGGAGTTCAAAGGGCAGTTCCCAATCAACGTTGCGGTACTGTGTACATTTACATTACAACTGCTCTTCTTGCGTATGGATTGGTTACCTACTGGAGAACAGATGCGATGTTTACCGATCCTAATTCCATGTATAATACAATTCGCAACGCAGTTCCTTTTTTGTTTTCCAGAATGCTTATTTCGGTACTTGTTGCCGTTCTTTGGCTTGGTCTAGTGCTTACCGTCGAGTCTGCATTACTATTCATTCTCTTTGCTACTCCATTCGTGTTTACTGGTATCAGTGTATATTTTTTAACATCAACTGTCAAGCAAGTAGCCCGTGACGTTATGAAACAGTTGCTGGTGATGCGTATTATTGGTCTGGTCCTCTTCATATTCAGCATCATTCTTGGTCGTTTCGTTTGGCAACGCAAAGAGTCTGTTAGTCGTGCGCTCAGAATCGTCCAATTGGCTAATCGGGTGCTTGTAAGTCTTCCACAGTTGGGCGTTTTCAGCTTTCTGTTCGTAATCTTAAACAATGTTTGCATTTCAATTTGGGCATTATTCTTTTCACGTATGTTTCTACGAGGCTTAAACGATGGCAATCATACAGTCCTCGCTTCTGGATCATGGTTTCTTGCCGCGCTTTACGCCTTTGCTTTGTTATGGACGATTGGGTTTCTTTCCTCCGTTCATAGGTATGAACGATTTTCCGGTATTGTTTTAAAAAAAGTGCTAACTGTTATAGATCCGCTGTTAGTATTCTCGTATGCCAGTGGTATTTTTATCGACAAGTCGAGTCACACATACCGACAAACCTTATGGTTTCGCAGTCGTTTTCATATGCTTTCACACATTTGTATGGTATGTGTTCGTTAGCATCGTTGCTGAATGTTTCTACTCGTGTACCTCTTCAATCACTGCCGAAAACGCTGCGAAGGATCTCTCAACTAATATACTATTTATTCTCTACAACCTCGGTTGCTTTTGTCGCATCACCTTTTACGGTGACATATGCTGCGATATACTCAATCTCGTACCAAAATGCCTTGAAAGCTTTGTTTCGTCTTGACCAACTCGATCTACTGAGCTGGCGAGAAAGGAGTTATCGATTGTCCAAGCTAATGCTCAGGGCGACGAGAATCATAATGGCTTTAGCCATTGGAGCGTCTGCCTGGCTCGTCTCTTTAAGGCACGAGGGCGTCTTCTACGGCTACATAGTCGGCTTAATAGGGGGGCTCTTGGGTTGGTTTACCATGGGCCCTATAGAAGGTGGTCTTGGCATGATGTACGTTACAGGAGCTTCATTGAAGACTCTTCTGCCTTTATTACACCTTTACTAACAATTTTACAGTGTGGATGCTTTAATGATAAGCAGCGCGATAGACGTGTCAAGCTCCCAGGGCGATCCAAATGGAGCTCACTGTTTTGAAGCATGGCGACTCTTCAACCTGGCTGACTGAAAACATGTCTTTGTACGATAATTAAAAGTGACGACTATTCACCCAGTGTTGGACAGACAACGTAACAAACTTTCCTCCGTTCAGTAGGATGAATCGGTATATGATATTCACGACTCTAACTTCACGATAACGCAAGTCTCGACCTTAATAGCAAGCGATGCTTTTTTGACATGTACAATAGTCTTTCCATCGCATAATCGTTCTTACCATTCTTTGCCCTAGTGCACTTTTTTTATAAATTTCGGTATAGCCATGAACTCATAGAATTGATTATTTTTCCTCACCAAACAATGTTTGGAAAAGCATACGTCCTCGGTCACAAAAACGCGAACGGGCTACAAGTACAGCGCACATACACACAAATATGTAAAGAGATGTGAGGATGACAAAATGCTTAAAAAATGCCACCCATCCACATAAAACGTTACACAAGTTAGTAAACGGTATCATAAAACTGGCACATCAATCTATCAGACAAACAAAAGACATGAGGAGTACAGTAGACTAATGTGTCTTAATTTGGCATAAATGGATCTTCGTCCACTGCAGCAGTAGTAGCACGCTTTTCAGAGTCGGTACTCTCCTGCTTCAAATCAAGCTTGTCTTGTTCTTGCTCAGCGGCTTTGCTAGCAGCCAAGGAATCAAGCAAATCGTGTAAGGCAATCACCGAGCGAACAATGCTAGAAAGGTAGACGGTCATGAGTTGGTCATTAGAATTGATGTTGAACGAGCGCTCGTCTCCGTTTTCCAAACCAAGAGGGTCGTTTTCGTTGGAAGTTTTGAAAATGTTTGGCAGCAAGTTGAAGACGCCTTGTAATTCACCCAATATAGTATGGTTGATGGGCAATTGACCATCCACGACTTTCCGCAGATATACTGCAATCTCATCTAGCCGTTGCTCCAACGCACGCAGAGACTGTACTTGCTCCGTAACTCGTGTGGCCAGGGTTCCTGCGGTAATGTCACGGGTATCACGCAGCAAATGCTCAACACCGATTTCTTCTGCCTCTTCTGCCTCGATGCTGGAGGGCAAATGTACAAACGTCAAGGAAGACTTTGTGCCATCGTCTTTAATTTCGTCGACAGCAAAATAAGCACTGGTTGGCAGACCCACCGCCTTCGATTGTACGTCAATGATAACAAGGACTGGGTTGGGAATGTATTTTTTAAAAAGATTGTTGATTTCGAGATCAGAAGAACGCAATTGAGGTCCAGTATGATACCATCCAACAAGTTTTTCACGGGCATTAATTTTCTTGAACATGTCATTCATTGATTCCATAAAATTATGGTCCAAAAACCAGACAGAAGAGTTTTTTTCATCCTCTTCAAATGGAATTGCGAAACTGTTTGCAGCATTAACAACCCCATTGTTGTTTTGACCCAGTAGCACGCCCAGAACACGGCGTCTTGAGCCACGAGCGGATCTGTTGTACGAGTCTACTGCTGAAAGCAAAACCAAAGGATGTACAATCTTTAACGTTAGTGAAAGAAAAATTTATAGACGAGGAGAGAAACGTACGACATGCTTAGGAACACTCGGAGAGATATCTGAAATGACCGAAGGAGCCATTTAGAAGATGTGGTTTTGGGTAAGTGCTGTGCTCGGTGGTGGTGTTGGTTTTGGTGTAGGTGGTGTTTTGAATTAAGGTTAGTCTTTGACGTGTCATTCTCTATAATTAGAAACGCGACGCGCATATTGCGAAAAGAAAACGTTAACGCGTCGCTTCTTCTAACTTGTCTTTAGCAAACACCTCGCCCAGCGAAAAGCGATGATAGACGTATATTTCAAGGGTGTTACGTATGAAGGAACGTGAGGAAACTTGTACGAAATGTACCATTACGGCCGTCTGCAACAACTGAGCAATCTGGACATTATGGGAGATCAGGTGAAAATGATTTCCCAATGAAGCAGCAGACATAAAGCGAAAAATGTGGTATATACGGATATTCTAGGTGATTGAAGGAAATTCCGTGGACACTATGACCACTACTACGTCCGGTTGATCGATGTGTTTATGCTCGTCTTCTCAAGTTTCTCATCTCATCGCATGTTGACAACCTGCATCAGTAGCAGTTACGTGTTCTTCTTTGTTTCCCCCCCCCATCTTGAACAATGGCTTTGAGTACTTCGGATCATCTCTACACAGCTTTTCTCAGTCAGCGAATGGATCAGCTTCGCGATCGTCGTCAACGCGTGGTGTAACGACAATTTCTTGGTCTGGACAATAACCAGCTTGATCTACTTCTTTCTTGGAACTGATCTTCATCATTCTACTCCCCGCTTGCTGGTATCCATCTCCTACGGCAATACCGCTTGTCGCATCAAACATCCATGCTGTCGGCTGCTCTCATCGCCGACCAATCGTTTGGTTGTTAATCTCCATTCTTGCATAATGTGCTGGTATCTAATCTCCTTTAAAGTTATCAGTATTTCGCTTAGGGAGCAGTCACATATTATTAGATACCTCATTCAAGGAAATGCCGATATAAGGGAATCGTTAGGAGCGGCGTAAATAGCCCAGATAACTGCTACGACCCGTAACGGACGTTTTCACCTATTTCCAGTGCGTTAAATAAGAATTGCTTGTTCGGATATTTGCCCGCAACTTTAAGTCACCAACTAAATACACAAAATGAGTGCTGTTCAAAAGCAGAATACAGAATCGCAACGGGCTCGTCTGCTAGGATCGGCCTCTGCCGGTATATTAGAGTTGACGATGTTCCATCCTGTGGACACGATATCCAAGCGTCTTATGTCAAATCACGGTCGAATTACCTCTCTTGCTCAGGTGAATTCCGTTATTTTTAAGGAGCAAGCCAATGCCTCTATCGCCAAGAAGTTTAGTTCTCTCTTCCCTGGTCTAGGTTACGCTGCCTGCTACAAGGTGCTCCAGCGTATCTACAAGTATTCCGGTCAACCCATTGTGCGTTTCTAGTTGTCTCAATGACAAGGATTTACAGACTACTAACTCTGTGTGCAGGTCAAGGATTTTCTGGCAAAGAACTACGGTGAATGCTTCGATCAAAAGTTTGGTAAAGGCACAGGAAAGGCCATTATGCATGCCACTGCTGGAAGGTATGGATGTGTTAGCTACTTTGTTGCTAACAATGACTTAGTATTGTGGGTATTGGTGAGGTTGTTCTTTTGCCTCTTGATGTCTTGAAAATTAAACGCCAAACAAACCCTAATGCGTTCAAGGGCCGTGGTATTTTCAAGCTAATTACTGAAGAAAAATTTGCTCTGTATCGCGGTTGGGGCTGGACTGCTGCTCGCAATGCACCCGGTTCCTTCGCTCTTTTCGGTGGAAACGCATTTGCCAAAGAGTATGTCTTTAAGCTTAAGGACTACTCCAAGGCTACTTTCTTCCAGAACTTTTGTACTTCTATTGCCGGTGCCTGTGCTAGTCTAATTGTTTCCGCTCCCTTGGACGTCATTAAAACTCGTATTCAAAACAAAAACTTCGACAATCCCCAGTCAGGCTTTACTATTTTAAAGAACATGATTAAGCACGAGGGATTTTCTTCCTTCTTCAAGGGTCTTACCCCCAAGCTGCTGACCACCGGTCCTAAGCTCGTCTTCTCGTATGTTACAATGGGTGTCCTGCGCCATTACTGTCTTGTTTCACTATTACTAACCCCAACAGATTTACCCTGGCACAAACCCTCATTCCGTTGTACGATAGACTCCTCAAGTAAGCATAGTACAGTACCCTTAATTAAGCTTTTTTGTTTACCCACTTTCGGTTATGCGTCACCATGGTAACATTGTATAATGTATAAATAGTTTCGGCTGCCCGACATTTCTTCACCACTCCCATACGTTATCGTATTTGTCATATATTTGTTCATTCAATTAAAGCTTTAATTGCTTATACAATTCCGTTTTGAGCAATTGACTTTGCTAGTAACGGAAACAGCTGCTTGTATTCGGTGATATTTGCTGGCCATATCCTTCTCTCAATTGGAACTATCTGTTAAAGTTTAGGTTTTCCTGTGTTTTACTTTTCGTTATTCTCTGTGTGTGATACCTGCGGGCATAGTGTTATTCTGAAACCAAATTAGAAAACGCTAATCTCTAGTGAATTATTAATTCTTTTGTACGGAGTCGTTTCGACATCAGTCTTTCATCCAACAACCGGCTCATTTATTACTCTATCATTACTGCGACTTTTTATTTAAACATGTGTTCTATTAAACCATCAGGTACTACGACTATTTCCTCAAATTGTTCGAACAATGCTATGGGAGACGCTAAAACGGCCTCCCAACGTCGACTTTGCGAAACAGATTCCTCTGTTCGACATTTAACTGAAGAATTAAACGCGCTAAAGCTTCTCGTTGAAAAACAACAAAACGAAATTGAGACGCAGCGCCGAGATCTCTCGCTTAAATCTAAGCACATCGTTAAACTCACTCAAGCTATCTCAAACGGTGAGCGCTCATCATCAATGATAAATGCTCCTCATTTATTGTCAAACGATCTTAAAGCGAGAAATTTCTCTTCAAACCTTCTTCAAAACAAAAACGGTGTTTCGGGTAGTGACGATCTTTCGCTTTCCTACTCAGCCAAAGCACTGTCAAACAAAACTAACTATCTCGTGGGCGATTCTCTAGAAGTCCCAAACGAAACAGCTTCCTTGTGTGGGCATCGCAACTTCTCATTGGAGGGGGCCAGTTCTTCTTCGAAGGATCCCGTTTCGTTCATCTCTGATCATTTCGGGAGAGAGAACTGCTTCAACCCGTCTTCTTCCTCGGGTCGCGATAACAAACTATCGCTGGTTTCGGTCCAGAATGGCTTTTGGCAATCTTCGACTCATGCTCCCCCGGTGGCGGAAAGTCCCTTATCGAACAGTTTAACAGGCAGTGATACATTTCCCTTTCGTTCGAGGGGCGCCGCACCTTCTGTGACAGCAAAACCGTTTTCACCTCAGCTTGTTTCACCTCGTGGCTTTGGAAAGCAGTTATACTCCGGTACGACCTCTCGATCAAATGCTTTCGAAGATCACTTTGGCCAAAGTCATGCTTCCACAAATTCACCAAACCACATGAAACCTACAACCAACCTCCGTGCTATATGGAATGGTAATGCGACTCCAGAAACTTCCGTGGAAGATCCTGTTCTCAAGGACGGAGCAGCAAAATACAGAAAGCTTTCAGAAAGGAATGCTGTGTATGATTGGAAGGTAAGTATCGTTCGGTTATGGAATCCACTGAATGATAGTTCTAACGAGTATAGCTAATTGTGGATCGTATTATATATAATAATGATCAACAAGCTTCTGATTTTTGCAGCAGAAACTGAAGGTTGCGGCCCCTGCCATCAAGCATTCTATCATTGATACCATTTTGGAGCAAGCTTACCCACTAATGTTAAACAGATTTGGCAATTTTTTGGTCCAAAGATGTTTTGAGCATGGATGGCCTCAGCATGTCAGAGCCATTGGAGAAACTATCTTGGGACATGCATTACAGCTTGCTACGGACCCGTTCGGGTGTCATGTTGTACAAAAGGCACTTGATAATGTGACAGAGGATATTAAGCTTGCCATACTGGATGAACTGTTCGTGCACATTGGATCGACCATTACGCATCACTATGCTTGCCACGTATGGCAGAAACTTTTTGAAGTACGCTGGTCGGAATGCGGATCAAATCTGATGACTCGAGTCAATGATGCTTTACGCGGTAAATGGGCAGAAATTGCACTGGGTGAAAATGGAAGCCTTGTTGTTCAAAACATGTTCGAAAATTGTGTTGAAGAAGACAAACGTGAGTGCATTGAAGAAGTTATCAGCAACTTGGATACTATTGCTAGAGGGCAATGGGGCAATTGGGTCATACAACACATGCTGGAAAATGGACATCCAAAAGATCTTGACCGAGTGACTACCTTGCTCTTGGCTAAGGCTGCTGATTACAGTGTCGATCAATATGCTTCTAAGGTTATTGAGAAGGCTATTAAAATCGGTTCGAATAACTTCATTCCGCGATACTTAACACAGGTCACTACTACACGTGTAAATAGGACTCGGCAACCGTTGGTTGACATAGCTTCTGACCAGTATGGAAACTATCTTGTCCAACAAATACTCCAAGTTGCGCAGCCGCAGGAAAAGGAAGTTGTTGTGAGACACATAAAAAAGCATATGGTGTCCCTTCGCGGCAGCAAATATGGTCAAAAGGTTGCATTTATGGTTGAAAAACTTAAGAATCAAACCTTTGTGAACACTCAAACTACACTTTAGACCGTGAAATGTCTTGAAATTAAACGTGAATTATCTAACTCTGTATGTATCATTTAGAATGTATTTGTATTCATCAAAACAATGAAAGAAAACTTTTATTCCTCTTTTTATTTTATGCTTTGTCAAGTTCTTAAATGTTAGGAAGTATGGCTTTGGCATCCAAAACACTCGTGTAATTGTTCATGAGCAAATACGTCGCATTCAATGCAAAAGTGGTGCCCACAAGAAGGACAAGCATAACGAGACGAAGAAGCGTTCTGGTCTTCCTTGGCTTGCGGAGTCATAGGAAATGGTGCCTGGCAAGCGAAGCAGTAAGTCGAAGTTGGTTTCTCTGACCAAGGAATTTCCCGCCAATTTTTTAGTGGAAACAAGTGATGATAGGATCTGGCTAAATGTGTAGAAAGAATGAGAATTAGGGAACAGCCCGGACATTCAATAGGGAGTGTGCATACCTTGCATTTACAACGGGGACAATGGAATCCTCCACGAGAAGCAACTGAATGGCATGAACAAAGACTTGGGAACGGCTCTATTACCTTAGAAGGGAAACCCATCTTGACAAGGGAAGCTGGAATTCCCTCATCTGAATGTGTAGCTGGTGGAATTGTTTTCTCCATGAGCAGTTCTTCAAGATGGTTTTCGTTCAAGATGACTCCATAAGCATTCTGAGCACCATTGTTTGTTCTGCGGCATATTTCTTTGCACACAGACACTTCTGCAGAAAGGCCAATGATGTGGACACTTATGTTCTCCTTAACCAGGCTGTCGATCGTCTGAAAAATATCACCAGGGTCTGAAGACAGTAAAGACCCGAAAATAATTAAAACTTCTCGCGTTCCATGAGAAGCAATATGAGCTAATGAAGCACGAGCCATTTCAAGAGCGTTTTGTAGTGAAGCCATACCTTTACACTCACGGAGCTTTTTTAACTTATTAATATGGTCTTGAGGATTTCCATGAATGTCACTTATTTTTACAGCAATTCCGTCTTTCATAGCAATAATTCCAAGCTGGGAAATTGGGTTCTGTTCAAAGTAGTTTATGATGAACTCGGTTCCATACTTAATCTGTAAATCGACCCGCTTCGTGCGAAAGTCCCGCTCTTCCATTGCTATACTTAGATCAACGACCAGAATTAGATGTCGAATAATACCTCTTTGGAGAGGCGTTGTGTCCCGAAGAATACTATTCGTTAATGTTAGTCATGGAAAAGGGAAACTACAGAAGAGGAACTTTTACCGTACCGTTTGCGTTTTCCCGCATTGATAAGGCCTTCTACGACGCCAGCAAGACTTCCTTCAGCATCTTCTTTCACAATATCCCATGAACGTTGATATTCACCTTCCCAAGTATAACCTTCCTTGTGCTGCGATTTCGTCTGTTTGGAACCGTTTTTGGAAACTCTTTCGTCTCCATCTTGATCGGAATTATCTGAATCGTCGTAGTCTTTGGTAAGAGTACTCATGATTGTAATTATTTTGTGCGTATGAGTTTTGAATGTGTTTCACTTAAAGGAATAATAAAAAATAAAAATATTCTTTAAATAAACTTGTCTTGATTTTTGGAGAATGTAATAGATACAGGTTTTTACGAATTTTTATGAATTTTCCCAGCCAAAAAACACTGTTTTTCGTAAATTCGTAGATGTGTTTCGTCTTTCCTGACTCGCACGAGTAACGCACACCGCAAGGAATCGGGACTAATAGCAATTACAACAGTCAAAGAACAATCTCACGTTACAAAGGTTCTGTGTATGCTCCATGAATGGATTCTTGGACTTTGAGGTCAATTGATTTTGTGCTGGCTGACGAATACATGCAAGTGTTTGAGAGGGGTATGTTTGATGGATAGAAATTACTACATACTGAAACCAAGACCATAGTCTTTGCTTTCTTCGCCCTAGTAACTGTTAAGCTAACAAGGAACTTTCCGTTAGAACGAATTACTACAATTGATTTGTTGACACTTGAACCAACTGTAATAAGCGAACGTTGTCAGATAAAGCTTGAGGAAGTTCAGAATCTCATTGAGCAACTAAAAAAGGCTCTCCTGCCACAAAGAATTACTCCAGATGCTAGGGAAACCCACTTTTTTACGACGGGCGATACGGAAATAGACAAAGCATTGCACGGTGGAATTGCTCTCGACCATATCACAGAAATCAGTGGTGAGAGCGGCTCTGGAAAATCACAATTCTGTATCCAATTATGTCTTACTGTACAATTACCAAAATCTGTCGGTGGTTTAGACCGGGCCGCGGTTTTCATTTCAACCGAATCCGGTCTGGAGACTCGACGGTTATTTCAATTGGCAAAGTTTCTTTCTTTACAATATCCAAATGATGATTTGTCCTATCTTTCTCGGCATCCAGGTGATCGCGTATATACGATTCTGTGCCCAGACCTGGAATCGCAAGAGCACATTATCGAGTATCAACTTCCCATTCTCATGCAACGGGTAAACATTGGTCTTATCGTTCTCGACAGCGTTGCAGCCAACTACAGAGCCGAACTTCGTTATTCGCGAAACCATCCGAATGCTTCGAGCCTTGGCAACATCGCAACTCGAGGAAACCAACTTGCCAAACTTGCCAGCAATCTTCGTGAACTAGCACACAAACATAATGCCGCAGTAGTAATCGCAAACCAAGTGAGCGATCGGGTGTCTCGATCTTACGACCAAATTGGTCTTTTCAGCCTTGACTACCAGTCTCAATGGTTCAACGGATGGGACGACACGGATATTGATCCAAAAACACCATCATTGGGACTTGTATGGACGAACAATGTAACTACACGACTTGCCTTACTCAAGCGACCCAATTCTGCGACCCGAAAATCATTACGAAAATTACGCATAGTCTATTCACCTATAGCACCGACTTCTGAAATTGACATTGCAATTACGCTTGAAGGTCTCCACACGGTTTCCGAAGATACATGAACACATACTGTCTTTGGCTTTTGTTTGCAGCGATTTACAGCCAGCTCTATGTCAACTCAACTTTCTGTCAACTTCCTCCAGCGTCCTGCCTTTGGGGTACCCTTGGGGTGTGGATGTCCGCCTACATACTGGACCAGGACCAAAACTACCTAGGGTCACCACCTGAGATTATAAAACAAAAACAACATAGAAAACGTCCTTTTGCTCGTTATTGCGTAGTCCGTGACATGCTTTGGCAATGAACGTTCACGAGAAACGGCCGCACACGCTGTCTCCAGAGCATAAACTCACGGCTTCAAAAACCCAAAAACTTGATGACTATTTCCTCGACTCAGAAGAAGTTAACGACGAATTTGAGGTTTATGATCCTTTGGACGACATTCCAATTCCTAAAACGAGGCCACGAGAGGCCGTTGCACTCGTTCATCCCGCGCCTAATGGACCTTTAAAAAATGGCGAGGACGAATTGGCCTTCACATTAAGTGCAGGAGATTTTGCTCCTGCGTCGAGACCTTATTTAAGTAAAAGAGCTCGAGAAATGCCTTGGTCTTTCTCCAGCGAAAAAACACATGCAAAACTGCAAGGAAAAATCATACATGTCGACTTTACTCCGGAAGAGTGCCTACAACTGCAGGCAGCCAGGCGCAAATACGGTCCAGTCAACAGCGTGCGGTTTAAGGATGCGTTTCATTCTCATCTAAACGTCTTATTGCCTTCTCGAACGTATGAAGACTGCCAACAATTTGAAGCCGATAATGCCGACCTTACGCCTACTGGAGAAGCCTTTGCCATCCAAATAGCAGATGTGGAACCAGAACACCCTATTATTCCAAACTATCTACGGAACTGTTACGACTTAAATGTGTTTGATCGTCGGGGCTGTTCCTTCTTGAAGTCAGCAAACTTTCTCCGTTCCGAGTCCATACTAGCAATGAAACCTTGGAAACACTTCAACGAAACTAGTGGTGACACAGTTTCTGTTGGATTCGATCCTTCGGGCCGTAAAATGGCTCTGGGTAGCACGTCGCAGCGCGGTGTCTACAATCGACTTGGCACTTTATGGCTTGGCGACTTGTTACGAGGAGAAATGTCTGTCCTTAAAGGACATCAAACTCGATCGCTCGAAGGCGATATTGAGTTTCGAACCATTTCTGACGTTTGTTTCAGTAATTCTGGGCGACACTTATTCACCGGAGGTTTTGATGATTGCGTTCGTATATGGACGACAGAAGGTGTTGCGTGTGACGTTTTCTCACAATCAAAGGGTCATATCCAGCAGCTTACCTTGTCCAGAGACGATGTGCTGGCTGCCTCCAGCAAGGATGGTCGCGGCTTTCTGATTCGAACGCATCCCGAAACAGGCAAGGTTAAGTCCTTTACTGAACTTGCCTTTAAAAAGGCGCTTGAAAAGCGCTACGAGGCATCGTTGATTGAGTATACGATGCCAAATGTTAATACTGGTGGATATGTAGTTGTAGGCTACGACAACTTTCATCAACAAAAAAATGACGGCTGTGCTGCAGTCTTTGATCCAGGTTCTGGAATACCTATAAAAGAACTGAACGTTAACTCAGAGGCTATTGCCTCTTTGGCTATACAGCCGCTTAGTGACAATTTCATCATAGGAAGTAATTCCCATGTCTCTGGCCGAGTTCGGCTGTTTGATTCACGAACGCTGTCGACGGTCAAAATGTTCAATACTCCACAGAAAGACATCAATCACACAACCGTCGATCGCAGCGGAATTTTCGTTACCTCCAGTGGCACGGACAACCAAACTTATGTATGGGATGTTCGAAGTCATAATAAACCACTTCATGTGCTCAAGCACGGCAAGACAAAAATGATTCATTTTGATTTTGAGAACACAGAGGAGGTCGATGCTGGCATCAACATGGCCCTCTGGCAGCCCGATGGAAGCGTGTTTATCACGGGTGGAAGCGACGGCGTTGTTAAAGCGTGGGATCCTCGTCTACATGAACCGTTCGTACAGAATGTGACAGAAGTTGACGCTGCAGTCACATACGGTTGTTTCAGCCCGGATGCATCCAAACTCGTTGTCTGTTTCGCTGGTGGCGGCATGAATATATACTCGGTTTGTGGAAATCGTCCCATTGACCAGTTCGGTGAATTTGTTATTCGCGACCGGAATGCTGGTGAACAAGCTTACGATGCTGTTGATGAGAGTACGGGTCCTATTGTTAACACTGCAGGCTCTTCTTACAGTGACGATTCTAACAATCGCGAACGGCATGTCTCCTTTACTTCCTCTGCTCACTAATTTTGTTTCCTCAATCCTTCTTCATTCATCGGCACCCTGTGCGTGTGCGCATGTATGTGTATTTTCATACACTAACTTTCCTTCGTTTTTCCCTCAAATGGCCTCCTCCCTCCGCCCCTTGTCTATTCGAACCTTTCTTACTCTTTTCCCCCTTCCCTCCCAATTGCCCATCCTCTTTACCGTCCGCTGTATTTTAGGGAGTTTTGTTTGTTATTATTAAGCATCATAGATAATACATATTCCACGTTTTGCATTCGCCGTGGCACACTGATAGAGAGCAAACCCTTCGCTATTTGAAGCGAAATTTTACCTTCTCGGAAAGCGTAGCAAAGAAGGAAGGAGAAGAAACTTCAGATCAAGCAATGGATAATTGCTTCTGCTAATGCGACGAAAACATCTCACATGGTTCCATTAAAGCTCGCTGTAGTAGGGCAAGTTCTCTGAAGCTCCGACGGAAAGAAAGCTCGGCGGTGTTTTGATGATACGCTCAATAAGAGTAAGCAAGCTCTGACGACTGACCTTCTCAATAGCAGACACAACGACATCTGCGTTGCAAGAATTCTTTGGTCCAGTCATCCAACTCAACAACTGAGAGTCCAAATACGGGGTCTCCATTTTACTCAAAAAGTTGGTTTTCGCTGTAGCGATACCACGCTTAATGGTATCGTCTGTAAGTAACTCAGGTAGCTTCCGCATTGTAGCGACAATTTGCGAACCCATAAGCTTCAAGTCCGCAAGACTTGTAGACGACGCTGTGATAGTCAATAAACCAGCATCTGAATATTGAAACAATTTTGCTACGGCTGTTGAGTTTGAACGTTGAACGGGAACGGCAATTTTGGCAAGCAAGGAACTGCCTTCGCTCCACTTAAGCATACTGTGGCCGCCCAAAATGCTCTCAAGTACGTAAATATCAACGGATGGTGGACCAAGGTAAGGATAGCCAAATAGCAAGTAGTTGAACGTCCCTGGAGCAACCAATCGAGACTCGTTATGCGTAGGCTGGGGCGGAACAATTTTTTGGTGAGTACCATTAGGAAGGTCAGCAAAGTATTGCGAACAGAGCTCCTTTGCTTTAGCCGGTTCGCTGCCTGAGTACACGACGACCATGTTTTCTTTCACAAAAGAGCTCTTAGCGAACGACTTAACGTCATCAATTGTAGGCGTCACTCCGGGTTGCACGAAAACAGGGTACGCCAAACTGCGTTCGAACGCAAGTTCATGCAAACGACTCATAGCACGCTCAAGCAAACTATTCTCAAACAATCTATACTCCATTCGTGCAAGCGGTAGTACTTCCTCCTCAAGTTGATGAGGTAAAAACTTTGGGTGTCCAACCACTTCCGACATCATGTCTGCGTAGTAATCAAGATACTCGTTCAAGAAACGAGCTGTGAGTATAATATGCTCACGAGTCACCTTGCTTTCCAAGTGACCTCCTAAGAGCTCCGACTCACGCACAATTCGCAAAGCAGACCGTTTCTCCGTAGTCTTATACGAATACTTCTCCAATAAATGCGCAACACCGTAATTCGGTTGGTACCGACTGCCTGCTGCAATTGCAACAGAGAGTGTCGACGTGTAGCCAGGAAACTCACGGGAAAGCAATGAAACTTGTCCGTTCTTTGTAAGTTCGTACGTCAACGACGAGATTGCCCTTTGACCCAAACGACCACCGCAAAGTCGTGGAAACGAGTTTGCCCTTAAAACTTTTAACATAGACATTTAGACCTAAAAAACAATTCGTATAACAAGTAATTCAATCTTTCCGTATCGACTTCCAGTTCGTGTGCCTAATAGTTCATTAAGTAAGAAGATTCTTGCTGTACGCAATTTCAGCTGCACCAGTACTGACCGGTCATGATGTTCTCGTCTTGACGCAGGGATGACGTGAAATGAACGCTCAGTTGTGTACACATTTGGTGGTTCAACACAGCAACGAGACAGGAGAACATATAACCAGTTAGATACTTAATACACAGGCCAGCCCTGTCTTGGAGAGGGGCAATTATCAAACAGGGTTTGGATGGATTAACCTGCTCGGCTCTTTAAAAACTTAGTTTCAAAAAGAAAGAAGAGCCAAACGAGATCAAAGTAAAGTAATGGGTCGCTCGTGCCAATATGAACGCAAGAAGTTAGCAAATTGTTTACTTCGTTCAGACTGTATGTTGATCCAAGGACGCAGTGCTCAAGACTGTCTGCGACACAAAGATGAGCTGCCAGTGGAATGCCAAGAATGCTGGCGAGCGTTCCACGAGTGCAAAAGACGGATGGTATGTATGGTTTGGTGCATGTAAAAAGGAAGAGACACTTAGAGAGAAAAAACGAGAGGCACTTGCGCATCCAGCAGATGATTGCACAGATATAAGCATATGGTCTTCCTTCAACAGCATGATCATATACGAGAACTGAGCTGACACAACTTACGAAAAGCTAGATATGTCACAGCGATTTAGAACAGTTCCAACGAAACCGGAAACGCTCGAGGAAGAGGAAGACTTGTTGAAGGACGTATGAAGGAACAAAAACTCTTTTACACACAGATTACCTTCCCATTAGGCGCCTACGGAAGTAGGCTTTGCTGCTGGTTTAGAGGAAACCTGTTTTTTTTCATCCGTACCAGCCAAGGCCTTACCACGGTTTGAGGCCGTTGTCTCTTTTCCTTTTGGTCTTGCTCTGCGACGTTCCTTCGGTTTAAGCAAATACATTTTTTCGTTCATGAATACATCGCCAAACTTCATGTAGCTAATTACACCACCGTCATCGATGGCGATAATAATCTGTCGTCTTCCCTCTTTTATCCGTTGCATGGGATTGTTTGAAGTGCTTTCTTTGAGAGGCACACTGCGGAAAAGCGCATCGAGATGCTGCAAAGTAGGTACACATGTAGTGTGTGCATTCACAACACACACGGTAAAATCGGGCTCACCTGGTGCGGATTTTTTAAAACTAGCTGATGGTTTGTACACATCAAACGCATTTCGAAAGGGAAGATCAGGTAATACAGGCGCTTTAGGTTGTGGAGTGTAACCAGCGACAAACTGAATCTGCTCGTAAATTTGTTCATACGAGCGGTACGTCCGATCAGGCAGCATGCTTTTCTTCATACTTGACGGAGAAAACCATAGGCGCTGGAATGCCACAAAGGAAAAATTGAGAAGTTTGGACTTCAAGTCAAGCATTAATGTACGCAACGAGCGACCGTACATTTGCTTCTTTAACTGATACGCTTCCACGTCCTCTGGAGAAGGCTGCTTGCTTCGCACAACAGTAAAACCACAACGGCGTAGATGAGCATAAACGTGATAGTATTCAAGACCACCGCATGCAGCAATAGCCTCTGCATAGACATGCTGTAAACTCATAGGTATACCCTCTTCGCACCAACACTCCATTGAGCCACGCTCGACGAGATACACCGTTTCTTCCGGCAGCAGCCAGACAGAGTTATTCGACGTAGCATGTCCCATCGTCTTGAACATAGGGCCATGGGCATGTAGCACCTCGGCCTTTTGCTGCTGAGGGCGCCAGACTGCCTGAATGACTGTTTTTCTATGAGACAGAAGGTAAGTTTAGTGTTCTAAGACAACTGCTATAAGAAATGCATCTGTAACACGTACGCTGGAATCAATCGTTCAACTGCCAAAGCGTCAAACATGGCATTCTGGCTATTTTGTAGCACCGTAACCTGTTTTTGCGTTCCATCAGGCTCAAAATCTTTCAATCCACGCTTTGGAATGGTGAAATTCACATCGTCCCTATTGTCCCAAGGAGTCAGCAAAAACACAATACGCCACGCGCTCGCCTACCCCTTCAACGAGGATAAGAATCTCCAATCCTGAACTTCGTCACTAGGATCCACATCGTCTTCGAAATTCGAGAAAGGGTTTTCCCCATCCTGTTTGTTCATCCTTTCGGTGTTGTTCCTACAGTTGGGTGGAGTTCAAGGAAGACCGACAGCGACCAAAAAAAACTCCATACAGCGAAATAATACGCGGATATGCTTCCAGTTCGTTAGGTTAGACCCCGTTCCAAACATCTCGGATATGTTTAATGTTTCTTGAAGTAGTAAATGGATTATTGTTTCGTTTATAAGGCTGATAAAACACGTTTAAGGGTTTTTAAGTTTGCTTTTTTATACCAGTTTTGTCTCCACACAGTATACCCAATTTATATGTTTGTTAATAAGCCCATTCCATTTGTATAATTATCTTGAATTGGTTGTCTCAATCCACGAGTCTTTTTCGAAACGCGAATCTCTTCATATCTTTTTTTGCTCTAAGCTTGAAAGCTTTGAAGCAATGTAGGCACTAAGCGACTCAGCGCATCGTGTGTAAACACCATTGCCAATCCCTGAGGCTTGATACCAGCTTCTTGAAAAACACGATTGGCATCCGGGTTAAAGTCCTGGTTAACATAAGGGAAATCGATGGCAAGGGTAGCAAACTGACGAAGAATTTCGTCTTCAGGATGAAAATAAAAAACTTCGTTAGAATTCTTTTCCTTCTTTTTCTTCAGTTTCTTTCCCTTTTTGGTTGGACGAGGAGCATCATCGTCGTCAACGTCCAATTGGGGTGTACACTCGGTATATGTCTTTGAAACGAGGATATAGTGTGTAAATTCGCCCTTCTTATCTTGAGCGAGTTCGTCAAAAAGCATCTTGTACATTGGAGGGATGACCTGAACAGGCATGTTGATCAATCGCTCATTAAGAAGCAATCCCACGTGTTCCTTTGAACCATCAGCGAGTGAAGACTCAAAAAAGTTCTTCAATTCTGGATTTGCGGATGCAGAACGATCAGATAAGTATTTAATAATGCATGACAGAGCTTCTTGAGCTTTGTTAGCCGACACATCCAAAAGTGCCAGCATTGCATAAGGATCAGATTCAGGCCCGTCAACCTTCACCGTCGAACCAGCGACGGCACTGCCAAGAATAAAGTCAGAGACCGCACTCAAGTTGATAAATGTGTGGTCATAGCCAAAAAGTTGTTTGAGAAGGTTTTTGGAAGCGTGAAAATCAATCGGTTTAATATCAAAAAACTCAAAGTCTGATAAAACAAAACTTGTTAGCAAGCAGGAACGGAGAATCCAGGACAGTGGTGAATGAGTACACGTAAACAACGATCATTTCACAGTATGACACTTTAACATACCAACTTGAATGATATCTGAGTCAACAGGGGCCTCCTGGCCACCCATAGTGACATCCTCACGCTCCTCTGGTGCTCTTTTCACCATTTTTTCGAGATAGGAAAGATGTGGTGGGTGCGGGAAAAAAGTCACTGGGCTGATGTGGGTGGAAAATGCACCCAAGGAGCAGGCTCACAAATGACCAAAGTAGTTGAACAATTGCTTCCATAAAAAAAACTAGCGTTGCTCTAAGGATTGCTATTTGAGTTTTCCAAGTAGGAGCCGAATAACGGGGGCAACGCAGAAACGCCGGCATCATGTTCTGATGGCATCTCAGAACTATCGCTTTCCCCAGAAGTACTTTCCTCACTATCAGAGCTCTCCGTGCAACTTTCGCTGTCTGTGCTATTTTCATCGTCTGAGCTTTCTTCCAATTCACTGACATCGTGTTCAGTGACCAACTTGCATGAGTGGGTGAAAATGTGAACAACAGGATATTCCAACACGGTTGAGCCAGCAAGACATTGAAGTAAGGACAAGCTGCTGTTCAGTGGCCGATATACTGGTCCTAATTTTTTGCTTGTAGAAACGTGAACAACAAATGTCAATGCTTCGTCCATGCTTATTTTCGGTTGTTCGATTTTATCCTCCGATGCCAATTGAAGCCATTGTTCTTTTGCACGATTCCACAACTCTTGAAGTGTAGATGTAGAGGCGTTCCCGTGGTTCGTAAACGTCGATTTGAGTGGTTGAGGTTGTTCAGTTTCCTGTCTTTCAGAAGTTGTATGTAAGCACCAATCGATACTGCACATCAACACTTTATTTTGACGGTGAAAATAGGTGCGATTGTCCTTAGACCGCTGTGTAAAGCTAGGAGCAAAACGGACACCAATGTTGTTACTTTCGTAAATTTTTTGAATAAGAGAATGCTTCTTTTGTAGCTTTCCAGCTTGTGAGGCATTCTGCTTGTCGGCGACAGTTAATGCACCCTCAAGCCGAGTGAGAAAGTTGTAGTCAGAGTTCAGACTCTGCACTAGCTGAGACTTTGGAAGGAATTTCGCCGGATTTCGTACACCAGAACATTTTTTCTCAACTTTGTGTTTTCTGCTGCAATCGAGCGAACAAAAACATTCTTCGCACCGGGGACAGCGATATTTGCTATCAGTTTGCTTGCAAGTTGAGCACAACCCCAAACGACTTTTTCCCATTGCAAATGTGCGATACAGTTTGCTGGAGGAAGTGACGTCGCAGTTGCAGGTTTGTGAGCCAAATGGACTGGCTCCTTAATATTTTATCCGTGCATAATTTGCACATGCAGAAAAAAGCCGACGAGATTGGTTACAACACGCAACGGTTGCTCCTTGTATTTACGCGTTTCATCGTGTTTCGTTTGTTCTCTTCGCGATTCCCCGTGGCCACTGGCTAGCGTACCAGAAGACACCGCCGTTGTTCAGCGAGTATATCCACCACCGGTGACGTCCAACGGACCAAGAGCACAAATCCTCCTGTGCTGAAGAATCGCCTCGTTGCATCTTACTGAAAATGGTTCTTTTGTATCCTGTTGTGCTGCTTTTGTGCACTGTAGCCCCAGCTTTTGCAGGTTGGATAGAAACGCATATGCAGGAGGAGCATCATTTGGATTCCTTCACAGACGAGTACTTTTTCAAAGTCCACGACTTGGGACGTAAAGGCTTTTGGGATGACAAAGATATTTTGACGTTGTACGGCCTGCTCGAGAACGATGATGTCCCTTTTGAAACAAAGAACGATGTTCTTGTTGACGTTTTGAAGCGTTGTGATGCAGGCCAGCAGGACAGAAAGGTCACAATGGAAGAGTTTGTGTCCTTTCGCCAGCACGGAGGAGAGCTTAAGGATTGGGGTTTCCCTGGTCATCATGGTGATGAAGAGGAGGAATTTGAGATGCATCATGTGGAAAAGTATCACCCTAATCCCGATGAACCTGAGGAAAATTGGAATCACGCCGAGGATATTGAGCATTTCCAAAAACATGAAGAAATGTACCACAGCGGAAAGCCTGTCGAAGACCGACGTGTGCACTTTCTGAAACCAAACAACATTCCTAATAAGTACAAAGCATAAACAGCATTCGTCTTCATTCATCACGGTCGTAAATAATTAACCACTGACATCTCCCATCTCAATTTGTCTATCGTTTTGTGTTGGCTTGTGAGATCTGCTGGAGAATGGAAAGTGCGTCTTTTTGAGCTTGTTGCAGAGCAGGTGCATCGCATTTGCACGACATGATTTGCTGGACGAGACCTGGTGTTCGCAGCGCTTGACCGACAATAGTCATGTCTGGCTGGTACAGAAGATTGCAAACACACACGAGCACTCTGTGTCTCACGCCCTGATCATCGTCTCGCAAGCCGCGCACCAAAAATTCAAAACCAACGCGTTGGGCAATTGCTTTGCAGCATTCGAGATAGCCTGTAAATTGAACAATCGCTCCAAACGCAGCTTGACGTGTAGCCGCATCCTCTGCGTCTCCCAAGGCAACTATAATGCGTAACCGTGAGTTTTCTGTATCCTGTTCCTTTTGACCAAAAATCTTTTCCAAACATGTAGTCGATAATGAGAGGTTATTTAACAATTCCGTGCTAGCACGTTGTACGAGTGTGTTGCTGGAAAGTAAAAGGTTGTCCAAACTATCCCAGCAATCTCTTACGATGGCGGCTCTACTGCTTTCATCAAAAGAAGCCAAATTCGTAAGCGCGAGCAGTGTTTCAAACAAAGCAAGCAGTGAACTCTCGCCGTCGGCAAGTAGGACAGACATGAGTTTTATTGCACCCGTTGGAGAGAGCGAGCCGGTGAATACAATATGAGGGGAGACGCTTATGAGGATACGAGAGACAGCGTGAGCAGCAACCGAGCTTTTCTGAAGCACAGTTGAGCGAGTGAGAAATCCAACTGCTCCCTGCTGGACCAAACGACCTCTTGTTGTTTTCACATTGGCAACGTGCAGTAACAACTCGGCCATCACTTGGCACAGTCCAGGACGCGTGTCGGTTGCGTGCTTCAATAGCAATCCAATCAAGCCAGACTTGATAACGAGTTCGACACGCGCCTGTACATGCGAATCGTCGTCCTCAACACAATCGCTTGGCAATCCAGCTTCGTCGAGGGAAGCGTTCTTTTTCGCGGCAGCTGATTGTATAGTCTGTTTCAGACGATTGCGTTGGACGTCGTCTTCCGTTTCCACGGGCTTGGCGAATTGGCACAGATGGAGGAGCGTTGATGCAATTGTGTATGACTCGTCAAACGCGCCTTTCAGAAAGTCCTCTTTGCTCTGCTTCAGTATTTGAGTCCATTGAGTGAACAAGGGTGTGGCAGAGTGAGCAATACACTCTTTCACTGGCCCGTAACAAGACGCGACCAATAACGTTTGCAGCAACGAATCATCACAAACGGGCTCGTGCAACAGCTGCTGCACCATGGGTAGGAGTTCGTCCTTATGGTTTGTTCCCAGTGCGATTTTCGTCAACACAGGGATGCATTCTCTTTTAGAGGCGTTCGCTTGCAGAAAGTCCTGGCAGCACTCCTGCACTAATGTTCTGCATTTGGAAAAGTCGCATATGGTGCATAAACAATCGATCCAGGCGAGCTCCAAATGGCCCTCTTCTGAAATCCGGGTCCAGTAGGACAGAAAGTCTTTGTCAACGATATCTGACTTGCTACTGCTCAAGGCCACTAGTAAAAGTGAAGACAGTCGGGACAATACGAGTGAGCGGCAGGGATCTCCATCCCGAGCAAGTTGTTTACAACCATTGAGGGCTTCTTCGGCAATGTCTGACCGGTTCGCGAACAGAACAGCAGCCAAAGAGTCGTACAACGGGCACCGAAGAAACGACTGCAAAACACGTTTGTGTGAAAGCAATGGCTCGACACGAGCTGAAAAGGCAGCACGAGTATGAGGTTGATGCAGCAAAATAGCCAGTGCGGTTGGAGAAAGGTTTTCGAATAGACGCGTCAACAGACATTCTGCAGCTTCCTCACCGGTGTCCTGCTTCTCAAGTAGCTGAAACACAATCTCGACGCCCTTACGAGTACGAGCCAGAATTGCTACCGGCGCTGTGTCTGGTGAAAAATCAGTATCGGCAGCAAAATTCGCGTCGATCCACGCGTCTATCGCTGCTCCTTGTTTGGCAATTGTCTCGAGAATGGTTTTTTCGTGCTCATCAGACAGATTCTCTTGCGTCCGACACACAGGACACGCTGGATCCGCGGCGATTGCCTGCAATTCCTTCAGTTCCGACGGACCAGCCTTGGTTTTTGCGTCTAAATGGTCAATTGCTTGACACAAAGCACACGGTTTCGTAAGGGTGGACATGACAGTAGCGTTCTTGAAAAGAATCGTTCATCAATTCAGTTGAGATGTTAGCGAGGACACGGCCTTCAATGACGCAGACTTTACCGGTTCCAAGACTAAGCGGGGACACAAGAAAAGACCCAGGTGAATCAGCGACACAGTGCAACACAAACAAAATTACAAATCGTTTCTCAAACTAAATCCCTAACACTCACACAGAACACAAACCTCACTTCTCATCACTACAACTTATTTACAGAGCTGGGGAAAGGCCTCTATTTATACATTTGCGACGCGTCCCGAGTGCTACGCGTGACGAAGGTGTGTCGTCACACAGCTGCCAATAAGCTCACGCGTCCGCGTTTGCATTTCGTTTTACATGTTAATGTAAAATTTTATTGACCTAAGCCTTGAGGGCGAACTTGCGGAGGGGGAAGTAACGCTCCTTCTTCAATTGCTTAAGAGTCTTACGGCTCTTCTCATAAGGAGTCAAGGCACGACGAAGGGCACGAGTCTTCTTTTGGCGGAGATCCAAAGGAATGTACTTCTTGTTCTTGTAGGCCTCACGGGCGGCAGAACGGTTGTTCTCGTTGATGACGGTCAAGACGCGAGCAATATCCTTGCGAGCGGTCTTAATCTTGGCCAACTTCGAACCGGAACCACCAGCGATCTTCTGGACACGAAGAGAGGAGAGCTCTTGACGAAGCTCGGTAAGTTGCTCGGCCAATTGCTCAGCAGATTGCTTGCGAAGTTCAAAGGTCTTGAGTGCCATCTTAACGTTCGTCGTTGGTCAAGAGATGCTAAGAGCAAGAGAGGTCGTGGTGTAGTTTTCTGGAAGAAAAAAGCAGTCACGGTATTGGGTCTGGTGTCAGTGGCTGTGACTGTTCTTTCGTGAGGGTCACCACCACAAACTTCTGCACTTGCCGAGAGCCTTGACCAGCAAGCAGCAACCAGGATGGGACGTGATATTTACAAGGACGAGAATTTGCCTATTCCCGAAGGCGTTACCGTCGACATTAAGGCCCGTGTTGTTACCGTCACTGGCCCTCGTGGTACTTTGACCAAGAACTTGCGTCACGTCGACTCCGAGGTCAAGAAGCAAGGCAATGTGCTCAAGTTCATTGTCTGGCACGGTTCCCGCAAGCACAACGCTTGCCTCCGTACCGTCCGTTCCATCGTCAACAACATGATCATTGGTGTCACCCAGGGTTACCGCTACAAGATGCGTCTTGTGTATGCACATTTCCCCATCAACATCAACTTGACTGAGAACAACACTGTTGTTGAGATCCGTAACTTCTTGGGTGAGCGTATCACTCGTGTGATCAAGTGTTTGCCCGGTGTCACCGTTTCCTTGTCCCAAGCTGTTAAGGATGAGCTCGTCCTCGAGGGTAACTCCTTGGAGAACGTCTCCCAATCCGCTGCCAGCATCAAGCAAGCTTGCAACGTCCGCAACAAGGATATTCGTAAGTTCTTGGACGGTATCTACGTCTCTGAGCGCGGCAACATTGTCGAGCTTGAGTAGTTGAATAGCTATCAATGATTTACGGGCTTGACTGAGAATTGTGATGTGGGGTTGTGAGTGGGGTGTGGGGTTATGTGGGCGTGGTTGTATTGTGTTGTATTGTGCCATGTTGTGTTTTAGTGTTAGCCCTCGTTGCGGTGCCTTGATGCTCGTTATCGTGCCTTAATTTTCGTTGTTGCCGTTATATCGTTCTCCAACGCATCACAATGTCGGTTTACCGAGCACCGTTAACTTCACTAAACGCCGGCATTAACGAACGGCTCACGAGTCTCCTCTCCGCTGCCATCCTCTGCAATGTTTGATTTGCTTTCGTACAGCTTAGTGGCTCTGAGCGGCCTATTTGCTGCCTCGATCAGCCTAGGTCTAATTGCATCGGAGCTCTGTTTCTTTGTACTTTCCCCGTTTGGAAAACGCGCAATTGCTAAATCACGTTCACTTAAAGCCGAATTGTACAGGTCTGCAGGCGTGAATACGCAGACAGCCCGTGTCATTGGCTTCTTTCATCCCTACTGCAACGCTGGAGGCGGCGGAGAACGCGTTTTATGGACTGCAATTCGTGCTATTCAGAACCGGTATCCTGATTGTGTCTGTGTTATTTACACAGGCGACAATGACGCGTCGGATGAAGATATACTGAAAAGAGCAAAGAATACGTTTGGTATTGAACTGGATGCACGCAAGATTTGCGTTGTTCACTTGAGATTACGCTTCCTTGTGAGCGCGAAAACTTGGCCTCGCTTTACATTGCTCGGTCAGTCCATCGGCAGTATTTTCCTTGGCCTGGAGGCCGTTTACAATTTTGCTCCAGACATTTTCATTGATACAATGGGTTATGCATTCACTTTTCCGTTTGTGTCGAAGGCTCTTCACATTCCCATCGGTGCCTATGTCCATTACCCGACCATTTCTCGCGACATGTTGCAGTCCATCAAGTCCAAAAGCTTTGTAGCTCGTGTCAAGTTGATGTACTGGCGCTGGTTTGCTGGTCTGTACAAGCGAGTCGGCCGTAATGCTACTTTTGTCATGACCAACTCTTCATGGACCCAAACTCACATCACTCAGCTGTGGAGTGTTGGCAAACGTGTCAGTGTCGTCTACCCCCCTTGCAACACGGCCGCCTTAGAGAAGCTTGATGTGACAAAACACCGTGCGCCTGTCTTGTTGTACTTGGCTCAGTATCGTCCAGAGAAGAACCATCGTCTGCTGCTGGAAAGCTTTTCAAAGTATGTAAAACAGTACGACGACAAGACAGCCTCTTTGTTGCTTGTGGGCAGTGTTCGAGGTGAGCAAGATCGTGTATTCCTTAATGGTCTTAAAGACTATGCTCAGGCCCTCAAAATTGGCGACCGCGTTACCTTTGAAGTGGACGCCCCTTGGCCGAACGTGGTCAAGCATTTGCAAGAGTGCTCCGTCGGCGTCAACTGCATGTGGAACGAACACTTTGGAATTGGTGTCGTTGAATACATGGCCGCTGGTCTGATCCCTGTGGTCAACAACTCGGGTGGACCTAAGTGTGACATTGTTGTCCCATGGATTGGCAAGCCTACTGGATTCCACGCGTCCACTGTCGGCGAGTATGCGGATGCTATTCATCAGGCCTTATCGTTGACGCCTGAGGAAGAGCAAGACATGCGTATGCGTGCCCGTATGGCCTGTGCCCGTTTCGGTGAAGACGTCTTTGATCGTGGATTCCTCGATGTCTTCTCCAAGCTGTTAACTAAGAGTTATGGGTCCGCTTAATGCGTGTACTCTCAATAAACGACCCAAAAAAACAATTACACGCAAACACAATTATTCTTTTTACTACAGCACACACATACACACACACAACCCATTTACACCTTCTCTCAATTCTTCTAAAAAATCCACCCACCTAATTCGTCTTGGATTAATACAGTAAACAAACACTCTGCAGACCTCTTTTTCAGCGCTATCTGTACCACTACTGTCTTAAACCATTGCTAAAAACCTTTCCTTATATCAACACCGTGCTTAAACCTGCAAATCTTTGCTTACAGAACACAAAGATCTGCATTGTTTTTCACTTACACCCAGTTCAATTCAAACAAAAATTTGCAGATCTGCACGTAGGAGGGTTATTGCCCCAGATTCTGGCGTTTCTGCGGCATTTACGAACAATAACTGGTTACGGTTCGCTTGTGCGCTCCCCTAGGTGCCGATATCGAAGGGTCATTCACGCTTGTTTATTGGGACCTTGATTTCGTGATGCCACCACTTTGGGGGAACAAAATTTTAGGAACTAATTTGTGACCGAATCTACGGGAAGACAACACCACCGGAGTTGCACAAGTTGGACTGACGGGCTGCTGGCGGTCATTGCTGAGGCATTTCCCTCTGTGAAGAAGTTGAACTACGGACAATATTGAATATCCCGAAAGAATTGTGCAATGGATCCAGCCGGGAGCGTAAGCTCGCAGGAGACGCTAATTCTACGGTTTAAAGTTCCATCGGATCGTTTACAAAAGATACTAGATGCTGTGAAGACGGCGGCTCCTTCGACTCCTCCATCAACGGCTGTCAAAACACATGAGCGAAGTTTTCACATCAAGAAACCACGGGCCCCGTACGGAATGGGGCCCCGTGCTATGAAACGCCGAGAAAAGGCTGAAAAGGAACGTCTTGCTGCTTTACAAGAAGGCGGAGCTGCCGCTGCAACTGGTGCAGCCGGTACAGGAACAGGAGCATCAACACCGTCAGGGAAGAGTGCACAGAAAAACGGCGTGAATGCAATTCATGCAGCATTGCACGCCTTGGACCGTTCTGGAAAGCCGTGTCGTCGGTGGCATAAAGAGGCTGTTGTTATTCACAGTATATCCAAGCTTTCCTGGAGTTCGCTGTCATGGCATGGAGAAGGCCTTACATTTCTTCCTCCGCCTTCTCGTACTGCTGAAAGTACACCGGAGGTTCAAACTGCAGACGAGGATTCGAATGCTGGGGACTCGGCTGCAAGCGTTTCTGCCGAACCACACTCTGAAGGTATGGACAGCAATTCAGAGAATAAGCCGCTAAAGGAGGTTATGGCTTCTGAAGCAGCAACTGCTGCTGCTGCTGCTGCCGCCGCTGCTGCAGACTCGGCGCCGACTCCCAAAAGAGCTCGAAAATCTGGACCCAAAAACGGCACCAAAGCTAGTCGAGCAACAGGGGCGAAGCCTGGCCCTAAACCAGGTTCTAAAAGCACTCGTGGCGGCGCACGAACACGAGGAACAGGAAGACGAGGAAAGAGAGGTGCAGCGGCTGCCGCTGCCGCCGCTGCTGCTGCTACCGACGCAGACGCAAATCCTGAGGCTGCCGCTGTGAAGAAGGAAGACAAACCAGAAACAAAAGAAAGCTCAAAAGCCACTAAGGCCAGCAAACAAGCTGCAAATAAAGCACCGACGGATCAGCAATCACCAACTGAATCAAAACCGGTGAATGATGCTGTTCCTGCTGATGTCCCTTTAGATCATGCTCCTCCTCCTGCTCCCTCTTCTGCTGCTGCTCCTCAAACCGAACAATCCTCTGAAATTAAACCTGACCCAGACACAACTACCGCCCCCGTTGACCCTGCGACAGCAGAACACCCTTCCACCGAATCCGCCGCCGTTGTTTCCGAACCTAAAGACAGCTAAACCTTCATCGTTTGTGTGTATCTCATTTCAAACCAACCCAAAGAATACGAATTTATACGCTATTCCACCTCATTTACGTGTATCCCGGTCTTTCCGTGTACCCTTATAAGTGTCTAGAAGGCACACAGCTAAAGATAGCCGTTGTCGCTGCGATCAAAACCAGTACCACGATTAGCAGGCGGGTAGACCGACGGAATATGCTATGCTTGACCGTCATATTCATGATGCGAGCACAGCGATAATTGGATGTTTCCGTATAGCCAAGAATACCGAGGACGGGGTCCAATTGTTTCCAAGCTGCCATCAAAAAATAATAGCCAACGAAGAATGGAATCAATGACCAGACCCTTCTGCGAATGCTGTATCCCAAAAAGATTCCGCAAAAACCATACCAACAACCGGCGAATGTAGCAAGATAGCCTAATATGAACCTCAACGAACTACTGAACGGTGTTATGTTTTTGTGCAAACGGTTCCGTACGAAGCTGTGATAGGTAGGCTTCAGGTGATGCTCATAGACATAGTCCTTAATGCTCTGAAAGATTTCCGGATCATCACGCTGGTCAACTTCAATGGCTGTTGCGACAGCACCAGCTAATTGAGGAGGAATGCTGATTTCACGTTCAGAGCCCTCAATCAGATACGAGTAGAGAATGCGTTCAGAGAGGGCGCGGACGTTGTTACGCTGAATAGCGTTTTCGTAAGCTTTGGTAGCCTGTTCACGGCAGCTCGACAAAGAAGAAAGGTAAGAAGCACGCAAATGAATCATTTTCCGAGCAGAGCTAGCAACGCTATCTCGTGCAGACAAGTCGTCAAAATTAAAGGGTCCGTAGTGAGCAGCGAATCTGTCGATGTTATTATTCAAGTTGTTACCCTCGTACAATACGGCATAAATTCTGTCTTGTCCATCCTGTAAATAGTTTCTTTCTGCTCCGGGCTCCAGCATCTGTCCCGTGGAGTCTCGAAGCGATTTCACATACTGCCGACAGACGATAGCATGCTGCATAATATCCAACCAAAGATCCAAATAGTCCACCCTGTTCTCGTTTTCAATCATATAAATATAGTAGTTGTAAAGATCCAGAGGCCGTTCACAGGGCTTCGTGAGGATATCGAGTAAAGAGGGTATTTGGTCCGACATAATGCAATAAAATAAAAAGAACGAATGACTGGGTGTAACGATGCAATTATAAGAATAATAGGTTCAAAGAGTGTATATTGAGTGAATGAACACGAAACAGAGCGTTCAGTGCGACATCCGACGCATATATTAGGTCGAGGAAAAAAAGCGAGCGTACGTTCAGGCTGAGTACAGGAACTCGCCAAAACTGAATTAACGAAAAGACAACTACTGAACGGATAGTACGGGGTAATGAAATGAAATCTAAAGAGAGGGTGTGACTGTAATGCGACTGTAATTGTTGACGAGTTTGATGTAGTTTGTAACTGTTTGGACACTTTGAAGGTAAGAAAGTGTGGAAAGGAGAATGAGGACGGGGGGAGGAGGAGAAAGGGGAAGAGTTCAAGGGTCATAGAAGGCCTCTTATGTATGGGGGGACTATAAAAAGTAGATTTATTAAGAGTGGCATAATGTGAAATATTGGTTATGACATCTGTCGGTGCAATGCTCGCAATTGAAAGACGGAACTGGTCTCCAGTAAGCATGGTATTGCATTGCGACACGAGATTTATATTCATTTTATTCTATTGTTCCTGTGGACACAGCTTTTTCCTGACTTGAGTTGTTTAACGAATTCAGTTCGACAAATTCAATTCTTCAAATCACATCACAAACTTGCGAGGAAATTGCAGAGATGCTACAGAAAAGTCACAGTCATACCAATTCGTGTGAATTGCAATGATTTGCTTCTATGGAGAATTGTAGATGTAGAAATGGAGAATTAATCAATTGGTAAATGCATAAAAAAAATTAAAAAAAATAAAAAAAAATCACAAAAAATCGGAATTAATAAGGGACAACACAAATAGCCACACACAACGTACGCACTACGGGGATACCATTAACATACCCTAATACACAACACTCTCTCATCTCCCTTTAATGCCGTCGTTTTCTTTCTCCTCACCACTCACATTCCCCGCAAACCCTACTCCCGTTAAGCATCTCGCTAACGTCGCCCCTGACACCCTACTCCTCGTTGCATCTCACTGCACCGCCCTGCAGCACAACCACCACACTTCGACGGTCACAGAGTTTTCTCCTCTACCACAACCTCCAACTCGCACTTGTGCTAACCTGGACTGTCAAACATTGTAGAGATGCTTATTCTGACAGGTACGACTGGCACGGATTACCGAGAATGCTGATCTAACGATAATCAAGAAACCGCGGCTGGTTATGCTGTCTTCAAGGCAAAGGACAAGATTTTAAAGAAGCAGGACCAGCTCATTGAGAGCTTCAAGAGTCCCGAGGGTGCTGCAGGCATCCTCAAGCTTCAATCCTTTGCCAAATTTGAAAGCACTATGGATGCTCTGGACAACGTCTCGGCACTTGTGGAGGGAAAAGTTTCGGGAAAGCTTGCTTCTTTGCTGGAGGACTTGAACGACAAGAGTGAGACTCTTGTCGTTGCTGATCCCAAGCTGGGAAACGCTATTAACAAGCTTTCCAACCTGGACTTCAAAATTATCTCGGACTCTTCCGTTTTGGATCTCTACCGTGGTATCCGTCAACATTTGTCCTCTCTTATCGCCGGGCTGTCTCCCAAGGACTTGAACGCCATGTCTCTGGGTCTGTCTCACTCCCTTTCTCGTCATAAGCTCAAGTTCTCTCCCGACAAGGTGGACACTATGATCGTTCAAGCCATTGCGCTTTTGGACGATTTGGACAAGGAGGTGAACACATACGCTATGCGTGTTCGTGAATGGTACGGTTGGCACTTCCCCGAGATGGGCAAGATTGTCCAAGATAACCTTGCCTACGCTCGTGTCATCAAGACAATGGGTATGCGTACCAACTGCTCTGAAACAGACTTCAGCGCTGTCCTCCCCGAGGACCTTGAGGCCACGTTAAAGAGCGCTGCCGAAATCTCTATGGGTACCGAAATCACCCAAGAGGATTTAGACAACATTTTGATGCTTGCCGATCAAGTTCTGGAGTTGTCGGCTTACCGTGCTCAACTTTCTGAGTACTTGCGTAACCGTATGCATGCCATTGCTCCGAACTTGACTGCTTTGGTTGGTGAGCTCGTCGGTGCTCGTTTGATTGCACACGCAGGTTCGCTTATGAACTTGGCCAAGCAACCCGCATCTACCATCCAAATTTTGGGTGCCGAAAAAGCACTTTTCCGTGCTCTGAAAACTAAGCACGATACCCCCAAGTACGGTCTTATCTACCACGCCAGTCTCGTTGGTCAAGCCAACCCCAAGAACAAGGGTAAAATCGCTAGAATTATGGCTACGAAGGCTGCTCTGTCACTTCGTGTGGATGCCCTCTCGGACAAGGATACCGTTAGCGGAAACATCGGTTTGGAGAACCGCGTTCGCGTTGAAAACCGTCTTCGCAGTCTTGAAGGTGGAAAGCTTCTCCCTATTCCCACTACTTCGACTCAGCAGTCGAAGTTTGAAATGCAACCCGCCGCTGCCTACAACGCAGCTGCTGATGCTGAAATGACCGAGGCTGCTGAAGTGAAGACCGAAGTGAAGACTGAGTCGTCAAAGAAGGAGAAAAAGGAAAAGAAGTCCAAGCACAAGCACTCCGGTGACTCCGACTCAAAGAAGGACAAAAAGAAGAAGAAGAGAAAGGCAGAGGATGGTGAGGACAGCTCTGAAAAGAAGAAGAAAAAGTCCAAAAAGTCCAAGGAGTAAGTTTTGCTCATTGCTTGTACATCTCCATAATGGCATGCCGTTTCCTGCAACTTGTGTGCTATTCTTCTTTTCCGCGTCCATCTGTTTCCGTGATGCTTGGACCGTTTGTGTGTGACGAGTACGAATAATTTAATCTTGAACCAGTTCTAAAGTCAGAAAATTAAGGAAAAGAGTTTCCCGCACATGTTCTTCCTCTCCTTACTGGTGAACTTTTTGCATGGGTTGCCATTTCAGTCTGTCTTTTCAGAGAGCAAAAGGGGATCTGGCGTGAGGCTTCTTCCTCTCTTGTTGTTAACAGCTATTTTTGTTTTTTTGGAAGACTTGAAGGTCGGGTCTGTCTAATTTCATTAAAACGTATTGTGATCGTGTTTTGTTGTGTTATTTAAATACTTTTCTTTATGGCGAGTGGGAAATTGTATTTGAGAAGGACATGAACTGTAGTGGTGGAACTGTATAACAAAAGAAATCGAAACGAGAAGACAAAGTGAAACGGAAACGGCCGAGGGAGTCGGCGAAGAGCTTGAGAAAATGAGTGACAGTGGACCAACAGCGGTGTGAAGTAAAAGTGCCATATACGGCATACCTTCTATTACAGGTACGACTTTGAATTTTACATCCAGCCCTGATGCTGAGGAGCCTGCTGCTGCTGCTGCTGCTGCTGCTGTTGTTGTTGTTGCTGTTGATGTTGATGCTGGTAATGCTGCATCAGTGATTGCATTTGTGAAGGCGAGAGGGACGAAACGTTCTCAGTGCCGTTATTGTACATCTGCTGTTGTTGTTGCTGCTGCTGAAGAGCTTGTGATGTTGTCTGCGAAGGCACCTGTGGAGGACCCATGTTCATAGACATACGTTGTTGCTGTTGCTGTTGCAAATTTCTAGATGACGCAGCAGCACCTGCGTCAGTTGCAACATTCTGTGCTTCGTGAGACGCGGCATTCGGGAAATGATTGGATGCATAGGAAGGAGGAGGTCTCATGAAACCAGTATTATTGTTCATAGCAGCTGGATTCATTCCGCCAACCGGTCCAGCATTAGAAGAAGAGGAAGTAGGGTTTGAGCCTCCAACTTCACGATGAACGCTGGGCGAAGGCTGCATAGATGACGGTGGTGTTTTTAGGGCCTGGTGTTTGGCGGCAGATTGGTTATGGACGTAATTTGCTTTCGCAAATGAATTTTGTAGACTTTCGTAGAGCGGTTCCAGCTGCTCCATACCTTCAAGAGGCTGTAACGGGGGAACTTGAGCTTGCATTTGACGTTCTGGAGCGGCAGAAGAAGCTAGAAAAGCCAAGTTTTCTTTTAATCGCTGTGCATATCTATTCTGAAAGTTAGTAATTGAGTTCGAAGAGAATGCGAAAGCGTACCTCATAAAACGAGCCGTTGATGTCGGATCAGACGGCTGGGTTTGGATTTGCATGCATTTTTGTAATAAACAGTTGTTAATTTCAAGAAACTTGTTAATGTCGTCAAATTCAAGCCAAGACACTTGTGCCATTTTCACCAAACGCTCTGCCGGTTGCTGTTGCATCACAGATGTCGCGAGCGAAAGAGAAGCGTAAAACAGAAGGAGCTGCTCGTATAAAGCTCAAATACGCGAATTCTTAATTTTGTTTTCAGCATCGTGAAGCCGGTTAGAAATTTACCACCACAAAGAATCGCCGCGTATCAAGTCACCGCCATAAATGAAAAAACGCGCGCGTAATAAACAGAGGGAATGTAAACAAAACGGAAATGAAAAATGAAGATAGAGATAAAGAAGAAGAAAATTGTCGTTACCACGTGTATGTAGTTTTGGATCATACTGTCAAAGATAAACAAAAAAAGAGGGAGAAAGAGAAACGTTCTAAAGTTGGGTAACACATTTTCGTAAAGCATATGAATGTCCTAGTTTGTAGGGTTTAAAGGCGTTCGTAAAACAACATATAAGCTTCCGCTCGACTGACTTCTTCCCACGTAACAAGCTTGACAGTGGAATCACTAATGTAAAGCCACTGCCGTTCTTCCATTCCGGGTTCATCCTTTTTCAGTTCAGGTTCATCAACAGTTTGCCGAGTTACACACTTGTGCGACAGTACATAACAAGTATAGTGGCCAGAATCTAACGTACCTGCGTGTACAATGATACCTGTTAACCTGTACATGATTCCATTGGGCTCCTGATGTTCAGGCAAAACAAAATCATTCATATCCAAAATCGGCGTAAACTCAATCGGCTGTGTAAGTTTCTTCGAAACAACCTTGCCATTGTGTGAAGCCTTGTGAGTAAAACGCTTCAAATGAAGTACGAGAATACGTGAAAGAGGAACATCCAGCATAATTTTTTTATACGCCTTACGAAACACGTACGGCTGTTTCTCACTGACGGAATCATCTGGCGAAGACAACTCATGCTCATGTTCGCTTGGTGAACGACACCGATGTTTACTGAGCTTATAGCATTCTTCACACGCGAACATATTGTCGCCTTCCAGTTTTTCCGTATGCACAAAATTCTCTAAACACTCATGCACACTTTTTGGCTCGACATACAAAACCGTTTTGTCTGTAAATGTCTGCATCAATGAAGAAGACAAGTGTCGTTCAGAGGTAGGCGTGGATCCACGGAAACTACTGTCCATTGACGGCAAGGAATCTTCAGAAAGAAAACCCGGTTGTGAATTTGGCGAGCACAGACGAAGAGAAGACTGTGTATCTAAACTCTCACCGAAAGGAGAATCAAATTCGAGAGCGGAAGAAGAGCTGTTAGGCACGGGAAAACTGGGTAATAACGACGACTCCTCTTCCACTGGGTTAACAATAATCTTGGGCATGTTTTTCGATCTTTTGCTTCCAAAAGAGAAACCACGCTTCAGTGCCTGCTGAAAGCGGTCTCTGCGTCGGATATGAGGAGGATCGTGCATTATAGGAAGCGATAAATCGTAAATCGGCTCGCGTATCCTCGTGATATTATGGCAGCAACTGCACATAACAACACTGACTATGTTTCCGGAAAACAAGGAACCAAGTACGGTCGTCTGCTCACTAGGTACTGTAGAGTCTGTGACAGGAGGAAGCTCTACTGGGCGTTGTGTGACACAGTCTACATCAATTGGCGTTGTTGGGGCATCAAAGAATGTAAAAGTGTGTTGACACTGTTCATTCGTCTTGAAAGGAGACGCTACTGGAGGAGCAAGTGTGTCTAAAGAGCACTCAGGCCGTGTCTTTTGCAATTGAGTGGATAAAGCGCCTTGCGTCTTTACGCCAAGTGAAGGTTGAGCCTGTGTCCGTTCTTCAAGCCGACGCTTGTTTTCTTTCAACTCTTCTTGAATCAATTCGTCCAGTAAGACCCGAAAAAGCTCATGTGCGTCCTGCTGGACACTTTCGGTAAAATGGGGATGCCTCCGTTGAATTTCGCTAAACATGCATGATGGTCTATAGGAGGGGATGGACCCATTTGCGTGATAAAAAACTTGTAAAAAGTTGACGAACGTGTGCAGCATAGACGAGCCGCAGTCCTCCATTAAACTTGCTCCAGAAATGGTAGGCGGCCGGAAAGGGTGTTGGCTAAATGCATCATGAATGTACTCGCTACTCGTCAAGACCTGCATGACTGAGTTAAAGTAGCAAGTTGCACCAAGGTTTTGTAAACCCGGATGAAGAACGTGCAAGCATTGATTAGGCTTTGGAACACTGATTGTCATTTTGGATAGTGCTTTCTTTTTCTTCTTTTTGACCGACTTTGGTGCCAAAACCACGGTTTTTGCTCCCACATCACTGGTGATATTGCTTTGGATAAATTGGGCAACATCCCGTAAGACAAGGTTGCGTTTGTCGGCACATTTCACCTCCATCTCGCATTGGGAACAATAAGTCTCCCGAGTGACAAGGTTCATTGCTACACAGTGTTTGTTGTTTTTCTTCATGTGAGCTTGCACATGTTGCTTCTCATTGTCCGCACAAAACAAATATCCGCAAAATGTACATAGCATCAGGTCTTCGTAGTTTACTGCACGAGAACCTTCTTTTGAACAAGTGACACACAGTGTCTTACTTGGATCACGAAGAACACGAGCATTGCTTTTGATGGAAGGTAATTTTACACTCTTTTTTAAGTGAGGACAAACTTTCACTGGTTCAGAACGCTCTTCTGCTGATGCTTCAAGAGGCGTATGCTTGTCCGCAGGCAAGTGGAGGGAAATAAGAGATTGTTCAATAACGTCCTCCATTTTGTCTATCTGATTATTGACCGGTAACTCCGTATGTAATTTTAAGGAATGTCAAAGCTACACATAAGCGAGTTCAAAACGAGTCGGGAATTAATAACAATTCTCTGCTACATTGTTAACAACGCTTCACTCGTTGATCCAACCTTCTACACAACCATACATTTGAAAGACGCGAAAAAGCTTAATTCGCACTGAACCTTGCTCAAATAAAAAGACGTTCTTTGGATTGGAAACACTGGGCCGCTCCTGTTGCTCAAAATCCAAAGTATGATCCAAAACTGTCTATACGACACGACTAAACGAAAGAATCCCGCAGGCAGGCAGTTGGCACCGAGTAACTACTATTACTCGCCCAAACAACTCGCTAGTTCCATATCTGGGTAAGGGTAGTGCACGTTCACGATAACCTCGGACAACACGCTTTACCCAGAGCACATACACCTCAATCTGGTGGTAAATCGTAATTCTGTGTTTTCTTCATGAATTACGGAATTATGGACGTTGGGAATAACCCGGTGAAACGGCCTGGAGATGGGTATGTTAAAAAAGTCAGCTGGGATACGTGGAATTGACCGAGTTAGAGACGATGGGCCGTTCTCCAAACGACATCGAAACGAAGAAATGCCGGATTATCAGGGAGTGAATGGAACCCGTAAACCCTCTTACACATCTGGTGCAGGTGCTGGGATGGCAAAACCTCATGGTACCGGAGACATTTTTAAAAGCCGACGTATTAACAGAAACAGGTTCCCAATCCTTGAATGCAGGCGGCGCCGGCGGCGGGTATGGAACAGGCAATTCTAACAGAGCTATGGTCGAGAATAAGCGTTACTAATCATTGACTTTCTAGCATTGATGGACAAGAGACAGATCAATTGCAGGATGCTCTTACTTCCTTTGGTTTCAACTTGAAGGTACGTTGTTTTTGAATTAACGTCGGAGCATTATTGCTAACAGCGTATCAGGAAGAGGAAATGAACTTGTCTACGTCCTTGTACGATGCATCCAATCTGAATACATTTGCCCTTACTACCGAGGATCGTTCTCGCAAATCCGACTTTCTAAACTCATTCGCCCTCATTCAAACTGTAAATCGCATTGTTAGCATGCATAGATTAAAAGGAATTGATCCTGAAATTCATGCTCTTATTTCAATGTCGGCTCGAGACTACCTTGCAAACTTAATACAAAAAATGATGGTTGAGAGCAATCATCGCACAACAGTCGTTGATACAAAAAGACTTAAGCAAATAGATAATGTTCGCCAAACGCTTGCAAGTATCGCTCACAAAGAATACGAAAGTGAAGAGCGCAGGCGTGCTGTGCTTAACATCAGACGTGCCGAACATGAAGCACGACTTGCTGAGATGAATGCAGCGAATAATGGCGAAGACGGTTCCTCAAGCAGACGTCGGAAGGAACAGAGCTCCGCTGCCGCTGCGAAAAACATATCTGAAGACGCACAAAACAGAATGACCAATGCTACGGCTAGTATCATGGCCGGTAGTGCCTTGCCATCTGGAGGAAAAAAGTACTCGTGGATGGCTACTGACATGACACCAATAACTCCTGCTATTGGCGGTGGCTTTGGAATAAGAAAAAAAGATTCTGCTTCTCATAAAATGGCTAATTTGGCTAAGGACGGAACTTTACCTGTATTGCATGAAGAACAGAACCTGGTTACTATGAGAGACGCTCTTGCAGTTTTAGAGATGGACCGTGAAGGCGCTGGTCGCGTTTTTGGTCGGGGAGCTCGAGCCATGATGCGTGGTTATATTCGGTTAAAAGACTGATTCAACGAACCATGTCTATTCACTTTAACGTACAAAACTAGAAGAAAAAAACTCAAAGCTATTTCTAACGACTTCAAGAGCTTGAAATGCAAGTTCGCAGGGGCTCGAAAAGGGATGGGATAATAAAAGGCTACAAACAGCTTCAAATGGCTATGGAAATAAAGTTGAATGATCGACATTGGCGTCAGATGTGTTCTCTATTTCATTAGCAGCACTATTATTCGCCCTTTTTCGAAAAGTCTCTTTATTTTTTGCCAATATTTTTCTATAATTAATTTGAGTAGTTTATGTTTTTATATATAAAAATGTTACTCTGTTTAGGGTTTCGTGATGCATTTCCTTTCATTCTACCGTTACAAAATATGTTCCCACTAAGAGACTCTTTTGTATCAATTTACTAAACAGAAAATATCAACTAGAAAGTCATGTAAGCAGTATAAAGTCAACGCTCCTTCACCTACATACCATGATATCTGAAACTCTGTACGTTGTTCTATCATGGTCTCCACAAGAGAAAGACCTACGAATTGTCCATTCGTTTACTAAATTGACTGTAACTTTATGGATGACCTTTTCAGCAGTGACAGTTCACCAGATCCCATCGCATCATCTTCTATAGAACGTTTAAACCTTTCGATAAACCATCCTGAGAGTTCAAATGACCATGTTAGTGTTTTTCCTAAATTACAAGATCAAATGAAAGCTATTCGATTGAAACGAAAAAAAGTTCAACAGAGCAGGGTTAGGCCAACAAAAATTGCCAAAAAGGACTCACAGGAACAGGGTGTCGGTCAGAATGAGCATCAAGAATTAACAAACGAGCCTCCTAATAAGAAGAACAATAAGGGAAACACTTCATTAAAAACAACAAGAAAGAGAAAACTGAGCACTCAACAAAAATCAACTTTAACAAAACGCAAAGTACCAATTCCACCAGAATCCGTCGTCCCAAATGAAGCCCCTCTTGCTTCTGCTGCTCCGGCCCATCAAGAAAACGATGAAATTCGTAACGTATCTTCAGACCATGTCGAATTTGACGAAATCAAAAGTCCTCAGAGTAACTACATGCAAGACTTGCCTTCATTAGAAAGCTCTGTACCAACTCCTCACAAAATCGTTTGGTCGAAACAACATTGGAAACAATTGAATAAGCTCATTAAAAGATTTCATGAAGAAAACGCTATTATAAAACATTTTATGCAATTCGAAACGAACTTTTCTATACAAGAAGTGAATCGAAGATTAAGAGCGCTTATTATCGCTCGCCAAAACAAACAACAGCGCGAAAGAAACGAAAACTAAAGCTACAGCTTATGAGAAATCTTGAAGTAAACTTTTTTGGTTCTATTACGTTCTTCGAGTAGCAGCATTCAAGATATCCTGCTGCTTCTTACTATTGAGCTGATTCAGATAGTGGAATGAACTCTCATACACCCATGGCTGTTGGTAGAAAAGCGAATTCCGCTTGTCTTCTTGGTGAATTCCTCCTCCGTCCATTATGATTTCAAGATCCCGATTCTGGGAACTAATCCATTTATCGATAAAGGCTTGAGGATCATTAGCAAACTGTTGCATAAAGTCATGTTTTGCCTTGGAGAAGTTACAGGCCTGGACATATTCCGCCAGCTTGTCATCCAACTCTGATATTTTTTCTTGCAAATGTATTTTTTCCAAGAACGATTTGATTTGCGTAAGCTTGGGATCTTCCAAACTAACTTCAATGTCATAAACCTTGTCGCAAACCGTTTTTTCTTGACCCACTTTCACAGTAAAGGAAATGGAGAATGGGTCGACTGGCTGAAGAAATTTATTCATCAATTCAGGGATTTTAGGAAAGTACAGGCGATCCGTACCAAACACATCTTGAAGGCCCTTGTCACAGTTGATCAACCGTTTGTCCTCCATGTCCTGTAACCGGTGAAACTTGATATACTGCCACAGTGCCATGACAATAGTGGGTCTCGTTCCTTCTGAAATGCCTAGTAATTGTGCAAAGTTTGCAGACAGCTTGTAGCGCTCCGGATGCTCCTCCGGATACAAGGAAATTTGAACATTGACATCAGCATCACCACGCCGAGTGATTTCGATTCCATCCGTATGTTCGAAGGAAGTTGTGGGTTTGTTCCATTCGACATAGTTGCCTTCAGGATAGAGCTCGTCACTGCGGTTAATTCGTACACACACACGCTTAAAAAAAGCAGTAAAGTGGTGCTTTTTCAAGGCATCTTTCGTATCGTCATTATCATTTGTTTCCTATAACGCATTAGCCATTAAATACAGAGCAGGGATTGGAATGAAGCATCCAGTCTTAACATACCGGCAACAAACGGCCTTCTATTTTTAATGTCCATTGAGGTATAGGCATGTTATTCATATTATAGCCATTCATGCCTTCATTCGTGTTCAATTGCCATTGTTGGTTTGCAGCCTTGCAGCTAATAAATATCCGCATTCTACGCTTTAAACGAATGTGACGATTTAACGAATCTTGTAAATCAAATTTTTTTCGCATAATCAAGGAGTCCAATCGTTTCTCCAAGTTTTGAAGTTTTGCATATTGTTTGGCCTCAGGAACCATCTCAGCGATGGATTCTGGAATATCTCGCTCCGTAAGCCGAATTCTTGATTTATGTTCAGCCATTATGTCCAATCTTTACAAGTAAACTTTATACTAATTACTGACTGGCTGTTTTTGAAGGTGTTTTCCTCTTTGTGTCGATATAATTGACAGTCGTTGTGCACGGAGTGTGCGAACGGTAGTCTAAACAAGTATCATTTCTGAGCATCGTAAAATAGAAAATTGCCACAGAAAAGTACATTTTCGTAATTAGAAAACTCGGCTAAATAACATAGAAACAAAAGTGGTTGATAAAAACGGTTTGCGTTTTGTCTTTATTTACCACCAGAAGCCTCCATGTTTGCCTTGCAGTAAGGCCGCTTTAAGCTATAAGCAGGTTCTCCACCACACAGGCTGAAATTACCCAGCGTATACCATGTCTAACGTCGAAATCCTAAAACAGGCGGAAAGTGCTTTCAAAACGGGAGATCTGCGTACTGCAGAAGAATCTTATGTTCATCTCTTGAAGCTGCCTTCTTCCAAGTCGGAAACGCTCGCGAATGAGCAAGAAGAAGCACTTCTTCACCTCGCTGATTTGTTTGTAAAGGAGAAGTACGTTTATCCACCAGGGTAAATAGAAACATCGTGACTAACCTTTTAACAGCCGTACTGAGAATCTCGCTGAGTTAATTCGTTCTTCGCGTACTTTAATGGTCAATTTCTCAAAGGCCAAATCTGCTAAATTAAGTACGAGTTCGAGAAACAGTTTCTCAAAACATTATTACTAACACGACGCAGTTCGTACTCTCATTGACAAACTCTCGGAGTGTCAGAATGCTTTACCAATCCAAATTTCCATTACTAAAGACTGTATCAAATGGGCTGGCGAAGAAAAGCGTACTTTCCTGCGTCAGGCTTTAGAAACGAGACTTGTATCTTTGTTATATGAAAATGCTTCGTATGCTGAGGCATTGGAACTCATTAATACCCTCCTGGGGAGCTTAAAAAGAATGGACGACAAGCTTGTTCTTACAGAAGTACACCTGCTTGAATCCAGAGTGTACCACGCCATCCGAAACCTCCCGAAAGCTCGTGCTGCTTTAACAGCAGCTCGTACTTCTGCTAATGCCATCTACTGTCCCCCAGCGCTGCAGGGTGGTTTAGATTTACAGAGTGGTATTCTGCATGCAGAAGACATGGACTTTAAAACCGCTTACTCTTATTTTTACGAAGCTTATGAAGGTTACACCTCACTGAATGACGACAAAAAGGCACTTGCCTCCTTAAAATACATGCTCCTTTCCCAAATTATGCTTAATTCGGCTTCAGAAGTGAAATCACTTTTGTCTGGAAAGCACGCAATAAAGTTTGCTGGTCGTGACTTAGATGCTATGCGTGCAGTTGCTAAGGCTCATGAGGACCGTTCACTCGCCGCTTTCGAAAAAACCTTGCTGGAATACAAGAGTGAGTTGGCTTCGGATCCTGTTATTCGCTCTCACTTTTCTGCTCTATATGACAACCTTCTGGAGCAGAACTTGCTCCGTGTCATTGAACCTTTTAGCCGTGTCGAGGTCGCTCATGTCGCCAAACTTATTGGACTTTCCACTGCTCAAGTGGAGGGAAAGTACGTGGTTTTTCTATCCTTTCTACGGGAGTGTTTTTGGTACTAACCTTTTCTTAGGCTCAGTCAGATGATTTTGGACAAAGTGTTTTACGGTATCCTTGATCAAGGCAGTGGTTGCCTTATAATCTTTGACGAACCCCAACAAGACGTATGTATATCATTCTTGGTTCGCCTTACTAACATTGTCAGAAAACCTATGAGGCTGCGCTTGAAGTAATCAAGCACATGGGAAACGTTGTGGATTTGTTGATTGAAAACAAGGCTTCCTCTTTGTTTTAGTCATGAATAAAAGATTGCTTTTGTCCAAAAAGTAAGCTTGAAAACTTGTTAGTCTATCGGTTACGGGAAAGATGAAAAAAAGGGGGAAGATCTTAAACTTGTTCATCAAATTCTATGTTGTCATCGACTGTGAGGGCAATGCTGGGATCACTGCCTTCGCTATTTTCGCCGTACTTAGTTGCTCTCCAACCAGTAGGTGTGCTTTCGTCCTTTACAAGCTCGACTGTAGGGAAGTAGTGCTTGTTCATCTTAATAGTAAGGACGACGTTCACGTAATCAAAGCTAACTGTTTTGACACGAACATATGAGTTGTCGGGGACCTTGCGAATTTCTCTAACAAAAGCATCGAGATCTGGTGTCGGTACACCGTTGACCGCAGTAATGTAAACGGCCATACCCAACTCAAATTGGTCTGCCGGGGAGCCGTGTGTAACTGTAGTCACATAAACCTGGGAGGGAAGTTTTGTCGACTGCATACGAACAGAACGATGTGGAGCTTGAAGTACAGCGCCCCAGCAAATCACTACATGATCTGTTTCGGTATTCTTTGTAGAAAACGTCGGAACAGTCAGTTTTAATAGTTCACCATAGCGGAGGATTTCAACTTCCACAGACTCAACGTTCTGTTCGACTTCCAATTGCTCGACGCTTGTAACCAACTTTCCGTTGATAGTCAACAAGAGATCGCCATCAGTTAAAGTACGTTTAGTACCGGCCTCAACATGCGTGACCATGAAAAGTTGTCTTTTTCTTTCGTTCGCCTGCTCGAACTTTTGCACCCATTCCTGGGTTAAACCCATGCTACGGGCATTATAAATTTGCACTGCACGAACTTCAACATTAAGAAGTCTAGGGTCCCCAGTTTCCCCGTTTTGCAAACGCTTGAGAATGGGTAAAACAACGCGCGAAGAGATACCAAGCTGATATTTTGCGTCAGACCCATTAGATCTATGCTCACCCAAATGCATCAACCAAAGTCCAACAATTTCGCCCATATCATCAGCAAGGACACCAGACTCGCACATGTTGCCTAAATTAGACTCAATGGTTATGGCTTCTATATTATAAGCACGGTAACGAGGCATTAGGTTGTGAGGTATAACATGAGTTGTTATGTCAATAATGGAAGTTCTTGCGGCCATCACTCTTGATCTTACATTGAATCCAAAAAAGTTAACAGTGTCACCCTGTTGCACTTGAACGTCGCTAAGCTTTGCGGCTCTAAGAGGTGTGTCACCAACCAATTTTGGATCGTAGCGAATAAAAGCAAGGTTTTGGGTAGGATGTAAGAATACAGCTTTTGCAGGAATGACAACGGAATTCGCGATGGTGATATTGATGTCAAGCATTTCAAAGGGAATAGTATAACGACTCGTTACAGCTAAACCTCGTTCAGTGTCCAAGATTAAGGCAGTTCCTTTGCTGCGGCTTCTAGGATAACCATCCAAGCGGACAGGCAAATAGCAGTCTACCGTTACAAAACAGTTCACAAGACCTGCTGTGGGGCCGAAGCTCTCGACATCAATGCGAGGAATGGACGCCGTTTGAGGCTGTAATACTTCAGAAGGCACAGGATCCGCCAAGTTAGTGAAGTCCCAAAGACCTGTTTGATCATTACGAACAACAAGACGAAAAGCCCTTGCCCAGTGACGGTCAATATCCACTACGGCAGTGCACAAAGTGTGCATATCATGAATCAAGCGGTAAGTTACCACGACTCGTTTGCGGTCTGGTAATGTTTTCATAACTTCAATGAAAGCGTCCAAGTCTGGTACAGGCTTGTGCGCTATACTTTCAAGGAGGTAACCATAGTCTGATCCTTCCAAATAGAAAGAACCCGTAGGTTCGCTAATAAAAACTCGTCTAACGGGAAGAGCATACTGGCGGGCAAGCTGGTAAGAAAGATTGTGAAACGTCGCCCCACACACCTCGACATAGCGATCGGGGGCAATTGCATGCGTGTTGCCAACCGTAATAGTAAGCTCGACTTTTTCAGGTCCACGTTGAACGGTTAACTGAACATCTTGCCCAACTAACTCGTCCAATACGCTTTCCAACTCAATCAAGTTCACCAAATATGAACCATTCAAACACAAGAGAATATCACCCTCTTGGAGCTTTTGGTATGACGGTCCTTCAGGAAGCACGTTTTCAACGACAAGCATATTCGTTGCTTCGGGGAACAGCTTACGAACGCGCTTTTCAACGTCCGAAGGCAAACCGAAACGAGAACACTCGTCAAACGGTTTCATGAGTAACTGGGCTTGTATGGTTCCCCGAGTGATGGGCTTGTTTTGCTGTAAACAACGAAGAGCACGCAATGGTCTGTCTAAAGGCAAAAAGTAATCGGTAGCAGCCATAAGGTGCCCGCCTGCTTGCAAAGCTACCACATAGCCGTTGCTGTCCACTACAGGACTTCCACTAGAGCCCCCGCTAGCGTTCGCAGCAGCTTGAATGTAGCTCGTGTTAAAGTCACAGTACGTGTACTCGCCGTATTCGGGAACATTGCGATCAACACGTGAAATCCAGCCAGCAAGAATACTCAACTTCTCAGCAGCATCGTTACCGACAACGCGAATTTCCTTGCCAACCTTGGCAAGGTCTGGACGCATCTCGAGTTGCTGAACCTTCATATACCGAATCTTCTTAGGGTCAAATTTTAGAATACCAAAATCGTGCACGGGATCTCGGTAGATGGGATAAACCTCGACTTCCTCGTGATTGTCCAAGACGGCGCGACCCACAAATGGACCAGCACAGGCAACATGACGGTTGGTCATCATATATCCATTTTCAGCATCCACAATGAAAGCACTAGCTTCACCCGTTTGCGCTCCATCCGTATCAAAAGAAGCAACTTGGCTAAAACGAATGGAAACAACACTCTTCACAACGCGAGAAATTGATTCTTTCCATTTTCCACTTTCAAAAATCTTTCTAGGAGGCGAGTCATCTACAATTTCATCCAATGTAACCGAGTCCACAGCCATCTGTAAGTCATTGTCGTTCAAATGATCGCGTTTTTCCTTGCTAAGAGTCCCAATTCTTGTTCTTTTTTTCAGTGTCATGTCTGCTGCAGAATGGCACTTCTCAGGGTGAATAAGCTTGGATGCCTCGTATTTGGTCGCCTGTAGATCCGATCAGTAGAAGATCTACATCCGTCGATCATCTCGCTTAATCGTCGATCATGCAGAATGATGTCATTCTCGCTTACCGAAAACCTTGTCGGCCACGTGAGGAAAGCGACTCGTACATAAAACAGCAGCAGTACAATGAAATGGTAAAATGTGTGCATGTATCATTTGCAAAGCGTCTGTGTTGAACGGCTTATTGTATACGGAAAACATGCGCGAAGGCGTGTTGGTTTTGTTAAAAAAAAAAAAAAAAAGGAAATCGTAACATAGAACAAAAAAGAAAAGAAAAAAGGTGAATGGTCCAGAAATCGTAGTCTCATTAGTCATGACATTCGTAAATTCATCATGCCCATTTTACTTAAAAAGGTCATTGCACAAAATCATCAAGTTTGCCTTTATTCTAGCGACGAGCATTTTCCAAGCCCGTACGAATAAGTCGCAAAAATTCATCAACATTCATTTGGTTCCGGCGGCAAGCCTTCCACAAGCTCCCTGTTTGTTCAATAACCAATTCAGCCAGCCCGTTAAAGTCACGCATAGGCGTCACAAGACGGCGATCAGGACTCACTTCTTTTGGCTGGTTTTTATCCACTGCGTCGTGTTCGTTTGCAGACGAAGACAACTTCCAAAATGACGGATCGTCCTCTAAGCTGCCGGTTTTGCAGCGGAGACGCTCCGTCTCCTCTTTTGGTTTTTGAGCAAGCAGGTCAGTGGAGTTCGAGCGGCCAGAGCCCTCTAATACTGTTTTTTCAGCAGCAGTTTGTCCTTCTTGAGACGAAGGTGTAGAGACGTTTAACAGATAACGCAAACCGGCAAGTTTCGTCTGCCCCGAGCTTTTGTCGTACAAGATACGAAGTAAATAGTTCGTTCCCGCCTCGTATTCGTACATAATTTCCGACGTAGCGCGTAAAACGCGTAAGGGAATTGCGTCCTTGCCATTGAAATGCTCTAAAAAGTCGCGAAACGCGAGCGATTCCTCGATGTTTGCGAGAGGACCGTCAAAAACAGCTTCCCACCAGCGTTCTTTAGGCGTCACATAGTTGGATCGAAGCTGTAGGTAAGGTGTGATGGATCCTTGTAATTGGTATGAATTTTTCACTGGAAAGAGCGAGAGACGCTTCAAACACTCAATGGCCTCGTGCTGGTCTTCCTTACTGATATCACGGTTCATTTTTAGTTCTTGTGCAGGAATATGCTTCGTGTATGGTTCTTGGTAAGTGAGTCCGTGTCGCCTTGAAATAGCCATGGGCGGGGATCGAAGTATGACGCAGGAGTTGAATCCGCATCGGAAACGAAAAACAACAGGGAATATGCAGCATGGATTGTGTATGCGTGCAGCGTAATACTATTAAACTCTTTCATGCATTTCGTTTGCCCTATAACGCTTCTTTTTCGTTTTCTCTTTCCTTCCACTCACTTAGCTTCAAGTAACTCTGTACCAAAACAAAAGCTTCGTTTTGCGCATTAAAAATGGCTTCTGTAAAAAGGACTTTGCGAATAATCACTAATCAAGTACGTTTTGTCAAGTTTTCGAAAAGGTCTGGTCGTTTTCTGACATTTTTTTCTTCAGCATATTGTGTCTGGAGAAGCAGTCGCTTTGCAAGACCAAAGCTATGCTATGCGTGAATGGTCCATTAGATTGATGACACTGAATGAACATGATGAAGAGGTGGATGCTGTTTTCCTTGACCGTGTCACATACAAACTGCACCCGACGTTTATTAATCCTAATCGAAGTACGTTATTTCTCGATTGCCGGACTCGGGCTGTTAGAACGGGTTTCCGCCCATTTCTTGTCTATCTGCAAGTTCTAACAAATGCGTAGCCGTGAAAAAGCCGCCCTTTCAGATTGATGAACGTGGTTGGGGTGAATTTGAAATGCAAATAGTTCTTCACTTTGTAGACAAAGGCGGTGAACAAACAGTGGCACACTACTTGAGCTTTGAAAAGGAAAACTATCATGCGGATCATGAACTTGTAAGCATTCGAGCGACGGCCGAAGGGGACGGGACGTCGTCCTAGAACGATGCCCAAATTTACGACCGGTCCATGCTGTTGTTCGTCGCTCCGTCTCTCATCTCGTCTCTCTCTCTCGTCTCTCTCTCTCTCATCCCATCTCTCTCTAACAGTCCCTACAGACAATTCCTACTCACAAGCCCGGGTTGTGTCGTGCTCTTGCTGCTTCCGGTCCTGTTCCGGGCTACCCAGAAGAACCGGAAGAGACTCGCAAGGAGAAGCGCAAAAACGAAGTCGAAACCACCGGACGAAAGAAAGTCAAGTCGAAGCCGGTAAGCAACCAACAAGCTACGTTGCTTTTATGGGCGCCTTGGATGCCGTTTACATTACGTGTCTCTCTTTACTAACGCACACAGGTTGATATGGACAAACTGGCTGAAGGACTGCAAAAGTTACAGGAGAACGATTTACTCCAAGTGGTCCAATTGATTAATGAAAACAAAACCCCGGAGATGTTTGTTCATAATGATGTTGAAGGTTTGTATTTAACTCTACAATCTGTGCTAGTCACCGTTCATTTCATCGTTTCTTTTTCTTTTTTTTTTTTTGATAACGATAAGCAACGGTGTCATATTCGTTTCATTTGTTACTAACGTTTTTTTTAGCTGGTGAATTTCATATTGACCTGTATACTCTGCCGGATAAGTTGCTACTTTTGCTCTTCAGTTTTTGCGCTAAAAGAGTGTCTATGTAAGCTATAATGCAATATCCCCCTTATTTCAGTAGCTTAAGCCGCAGTGCAGCTCTTATCGTTTAATTTTTTTCATGTTTTTAAATCAAACTTTTCCTCCCCTATCAAGCTCGCTTAGCCAAATCCGTAGTGTTGAAAAAGGCCGGGTTGCTCCTCAGTACACGAACACTAAAGCATTTCGCTTAGATTTTTTCTCATCAGTTGCTTGCTATTAACAAGATGTCTGTGACAAAGATCAAACCCGTTAAGCTTGCATTTGAAAAATTTGCTGCAAAGGCCCCTTCCAGCAAACCCCCTTTGGTGATGCTGCATGGGTTCATGGGGTCGAAGCAAAATTGGCGTGCAATCTCCAAGTTCTTTGCCTCTCACCTTAAAAGAGATGTGTTCATTGTCGATCAGCGCTGTCACGGAGACTCGCCGCATGCTGTCCCGTTGAACTATCCGGCCATGGCCGCCGACATGAAGGCTTTCCTCGAGGAGCACAATATCGAGAAGGCTGCTCTTCTCGGACACTCAATGTAAGTATGGGGAAACGATCGGACAGAAAGGAGATTGAAAAAGAAGTCCCAAATAATTTGCGCTGCAATTGCTTTTGTGCAATTTTATGCTAACATGTTTTAGGGGTGCCAAAACGGTGATGAGAACGGCGTTGTTATGGCCGCAAAAGGTCTCGGAGCTAATCGTTGCCGACAATTCGCTTCGCAGAATTCCAACGCACCCAGATTTCATTAAGAATCTTCGGTGGATGATGGAAATTGAAAAAGCTCGTTTGACCAAGCGTGGCGATGCGGACAAGATGATGACACTTTCAGAAAAGGATCCACTCATTCGTGGCTACCTGCTCTCGAACTTGGCTCGTCACAAAGCCAATGCGACTCTCCATTTCCGTGTGCCATTACAGGTAATTCTCGACGCACTTCCAGACATTGGCGCCTCGCCATTGACGCCTGACTGTCGGCCATACACGGGACCAACTTGTGTCATTCGGAGCCTGCAAAGTGGATATGTTGAACCTGAGGATCTCGAGGAAATGAAGCGCTGGTTCCCGAACAGTACTCTCGTTCCTTTGGATTGCGGTCATTGGGTGCACTATGAAAAGACTGACGAGTTTAAGGCGGCAATTTGCGACTTGCTTGACCCTTAAGCGCGCTGATGCGATCGTGATTGACGCTATTTTTTGAGGATACCCAGGATACCCATTCACAAGCACACACGAACTCTTTAGGAGTTCCATTTTGAGGCACATTTTGGCATTTAATAAAATTCACTTTACAACCCAGTTTTGGAACACAGGTTCGTGCGACGCGATACGATGGAGCTTGAACGGCATGCGAGTTAGAATAGAATCAGTTTGCCGACATTTAAGAACTCGCTGAACGACACTTTCGCGTTACTTTAAGTCTTAGGGTTTAGTCCTCATCGAATCACAGCCTCGATTCACTCGTTTTAAAGTGTTAAAGTTTGCATTGAAGTTTGGGTTTTAAAATCATTTTAGCTGTTAAGCCTGTTCCATCCTATACCTTTAATGTTCAACCTTATTAGTTAGGTACGTGCTCTCGTATTGGCTATTCTCTTGACCTAGCGTGCTAATGGCAGTATGGCAGAACTGTTAGCAGTATGTATTAGCTGCTTATACGGAGGCCAAAGGGGCAACGTCCTTGATAACCTTAGTGCCGACGTCTTGGGCCTCACCGTGTTGCTCAAGAAGCTTCTGGGCATCGAGCTTGGGGGACTTGAGGATCTTGACCTTGCGAACGAAGACGTTCTGAAGGGGGAAGATACCACCGGTAGCCTTCTCAATCTCACGACCAATGATCTCAGGAATGAGCTTTTGGACGAGCTCGCGCATGGAGCAGCCAGTAGCTTGGTTCTGGATGACCTGGAACATCTTTTGACGGATGGCACGGATCTGGGAGGATTGAGCGTAGGTGGTCTTCTTGATCTGGTTGTAACGACGACGGGTGAAGCCGATAACGAAGATACGGCAAACGTAACCATCAGTGGTCTTGATGGTCTGGTCAGCCTCAATGGTGGTTTGCCACTTGCGCACAAGAGAGCGCAACTTGTCCGAAGTCATGCTCATACCATTGAAGGTAGTAAGACAAGCCTTGCCTTGGACGTCGTCAACACGGAGCTTAACCTTACGGAAGGAGTGCTCCTCATCCTTTTGAAGGTCGGCCAAAGAAACCTCAACAATACGACCCTTCAAGGCGTCATTGGCGTTCTTCAAACCGGCGGTGCGGTTGACAAGAGTCTTTCCAACGTTCTTAACTTCGAAGAAGGAAGGGGCCTTGATGTCGTACCAATCCTTACGAGAGAAAGGGTCGACAACACGCTTCTTGATGCCCTTTTTGCCCTTGGAGAGTCTCTTGTTTTTTCCAACTGCCATTTCGGTGAAGGTTGGTGGAGGCAGGTCAGCGCCAGGGAAATGTGGGCTATGTGACTGTTATAGACGTAGGGTAGGGTTACAGCTCCGCGGTGAGTGCGCGGTGAGTGCGCGGGAGTGGTGGGGTAGTGGGGGTGTTGAGGTGTATGGGATAAGACAAGCGTGAGCCTGTGAGTGTGCTATGGCAGACAGTAGTACTGGTAGTAGTGGTAGTGTGCTATAGCTGTAGTCGTGTAGTGAATAGAAATGCATTTATAACAGACTTTTGGCCGCGGCCGTAGCTGCCCTTAGTAACAAAGCGTAGATATTAAACGTAGGGAGGTTCATTATTAACTGGTCATTAAATACGAAAAGCGGCTCTGCTGGTCGTGCACGCTTGCGGTGTTTATTAGCGGTTGATTGAGGTGGGAAACAATGCTGGGCTGGAGTGTGTATGCAGCAACTACGAAGGAGCGTTGATTGTTCCGTATGACTTGTTGGACGGAGCGCCGCTTCTTGGCGAAGGGCCCTCTCCCCCAGAGTTGCTATCGAGTGCTCCGTCTTCCTCTTCGTTTTCGTCATCTTCGTCCACACGAGGCAGTTGGTCTTCTTCGATGATCAGGGCTTCTTCTATTTCACCGCCCTCTTGTAGAAGCGCCTCGCGCTCGCGATCAAGAGGGGACATGCGTCTTCTCGTGAACAAGGCATATGCACCCGAGCACGCAGAGCCGCAAGCAATCAGCGTCAGAACAGAAATACGTACTGCTCTCCAGAAACTGCTGATGCGTGTTGGAAGAGGTTGTCGTATTACAAACACATCACCCAACGGGCTCCTGCCGTAATTGACAACACTCACCCAAGGACCTTCGTCCACGGAAATGGCACCTCGAGAAAAGACGAGCAGTTGTTTTTTCAAATCAATAATGTGCCGTTGCACAAAGTCTGTGTCTCGAACGCTCAAGTCGTCTTCGTCCAAAAGGGGAATAACCATCGGGTTGCCCTTGTCCAACATGTCTGCAAGACCATGCTTTTCAATCAACTGTAAAAAGATTGTATTGTTACTGGCAAGAATCATTTGCCGTTGTGAAACAATGAAGGGCACACGAGGCCTCTCTAACACATGCACCACGGAATTCTCCACGAGTATGTCTCGTTCACGCACATTGTACAATTCTCCATTTATACGAAGAGCATCGACTTTCTTGCCTGCCTTGTACGATGTTGCATCGTGAATATCAATCAAGGACCCGTTGTAAGTTTCATACGTTCCGCTGTACCACTCCAAATTGCTTCCGCCAAAATGATGGATACCCTTGATCGCCTGCTCGATAACAACGTCGTGCATAAGTTCCATGTTTTGTCGCAATACATCATGAATAAGACCAAGCTGGTCCCAACCGTCATTGGCGACAAGGAACCAAGTCACGCCCTTTACATCGCTCAGGCCCAGTGAAGCGATGTAGCGGATGTTGGTTGTGATGTCGTCCATGAGAATAAGTTCTGGAAGTAAGCTTTGAGGAAGCTCGACGTCCTTTTCCAAAATAAATATAGATGTACCGCCGATTTTATCGCTCTGGATTACGCGAGTGTGGAAATTCAAAACGAGCTGACCCTTGTTGGAGACACGCAGCAAGTGCTGAGAATCGTCGGGTCGTTTGGCTCTCGTGCGCAACAGGGCATATTCGCCCTTTTTGGGGACATCAAAATGGTCAACAAGGTGATAGGGCAGATTACAAGTCGGATTAAAGGCCCAGTTGGTGGGCGCGAAGATAGCTCTTTCGGATTCGGTGTCGTTAGCAACGGACGGCAATTGACGTTCCAACAGAAGGGCAAAGTCGGATGAGCCCATGCCAATCAGATACTTTGTCGGAGTAAACTCAAGCCCTTGAATAGGCAAAACCACCGGCAGAATGTGAATAGCACCGTTTGTGGTGACATAGTCATATTTCGATGTCTTTACACCGTTCACATACATGAAACCATCATCCTCATTGTGGAAAAGCTCCACGTCTGCGCCTTCGCGAGTCTTGAACCGGGTAGGCGTTTTCACATCGTCCGAGTACACACGTTTGTTAAAGAGAGTGTGCTGGAAAACGACCTTCTTCACATCCTTCGTAGCGTACAGAGAGAAGAGGTAGGCGATTTCCGTTGGCCGAAACGCACGCTGGAAAGCAAAAATATCGGGTACGAGCAAGGTAAACGACTCGTAACCGTCTATCCAGGCTGTCGAGAGACGGTGGAATGTGCTGAGCAAATAGTTGTCTGCTAAATGGACGGAAGAGGAGGGAGGTTTGGGAATTGGTTTGTTGATAACTCGTACAACGCCGTTACGCGCTTCAATGGTATCGAGCAATTCAGCGCCTCCGACGAAAACCTGTTCACCACGTCGAGCGGTCCATGACTTCACAGCAATAGGGCGCCCGTCGTCAGCCAACGACATGGTTGGATGCACTGCACGAGTGAATTCCGTCGTATCGAGTAGATGGTACCACCAGTCGGGTTCTTCATCCTGGTCGTCTAGTCCAGTATTGACTGGGGCAAAGAGTGTTAAATTACTGTGCCGATTGAGAAACGGAATAAGCCGATTCCGTTGTAAATGACGAATTAATCTAGAGAACTTGGGGTCTGCAGACAACACATCTACGATGGATGTACTAGCAGGAACAATTGTGCCAAAATTATGCGAAGTAACTAATGTCAGCTGCAGAAGCAGCTGAAACCACAGTATCAGCATCTAAGTAAGCAATGTATGTGTCAAGAACTACCTTACGGACGCACAGAAAAGACAATTGCTGTCCGCGAGTGATGTGCTCTGGTCAACAGTAGCAGGAACAGTTATGAGCGACTCTGCTGTGGGGGTGTGGGGGCAGACTCATTACCCCCGATTCCCCACATGTATCCCACCCATGTTATACCCCCGTTGAATCCCACACCCCACTCTCCTTCCCCCACCCGCCAACACCCTGGTGCTCCTAGTTGTTTCTGAAAAAAACCATAAAACGCGAAACGCGCCCATAACCAGAAAACTCGTTCAAAATGGCTGCTATGACAGATGTGAGAGACTACGGTTCCATTACGTTGGACCAGGGTCTCGAAAAAGTTACTATTGTACGTGCTGTCGTGCTGGAACGATGAACAATTATGCCACTTAAGTTCGCGTGTTTTCCATTGAGGCTGGAACAAGGGGAATCTTGTCTGTGCAGTTCATTGTTCTTGATTTGTCTGGACTGACTGCTAATGCGTCTGTAGCTTGCTGGTCATTCGGCCGATTACACATCTGTGACTTTTCAAATTCAAAAGGAAGACCATACACTGGGAAACGCTCTCCGGTACATGATCATGAAGAAGTACGGAAATTAGACAAATTGCATTTGCTGTTGACGGGTCTAACTAACCATCTTGAAGCCCTGATGTCGAGTTTTGTGGTTATTCTATTCCTCACCCTTCTGAGGCAAAAATGAATCTTCGTATTCAAACAAAATGTAAGTGGGATACCGTTGTCGTACATTCCAACTAACTAATAAGCTACTACAACTGCTATTGATGCACTGAAGAAGGGTCTGGACGACTTGATGGATTTGTGTGATGTGGTAACCGAATCCTTCAATGAGCAGCTGTCCGAAAGCACATCTTCTATGCAAGTTGATTAATTTTTTTGTCTTAAAATATATTAAGGGCGTTGGGTATACTAATGGATTGAGAAAAGGGGTTAGGGAGAGAAGGAGGACGGCGGTTAAGTATAATTTGCAGTAGCTTATGATTAAGGATGCAGTAGTTATTGAAGAGGAACGCATTTGGCTTGGGGATATAAATTGTCGGTGAAGTTTGTTAGATTTGTTTAGCTTTGTTTATTAAAGAGATTGTATTCTTTCATTAGTAGAGCCTGCGTTTAGAGATGTTCCTTGTAATTTGTTCCATGAGTTGCTTGGTTTCCGGACTTTTCTTTATTTTAGTATATAGCTAGATATATTTTTATATTTTTTATATTTTCTGTATTTTTTTTTTTTTAATATTTTATATATATGTTTTTGTTTTTTTTTTGTTTTTACAGATAATTTTTCTAAAGGCAACTCCTTAGAAAACTTGGAATTCTGTTTCCTTTACAGAGACGATCTCAATTAATACCGTTCTATGCCACTGTTTTGTCAACTTTTGTCTTCGTATTAAACTTATCTTAGCGATCGCCTCTTTTCGCCTCTTTTCGCCTCTTTTCGCCCTACGTCGTGCCTTCCAGCAAGCGTTCTCCCTACTTCGTAGTATCGATTCTGAAACGTGGTAGAGATGTCATTGTTTCCATTAGCGTTTGGTGCTGTTCAAGCCTCTATATATGTTGCCTCCTTGTACATTTTCCCTGCGGGACGTCCCAGCCCAACTTTTGATCGAAATGCAACAAAGACTGTAGCTGCAAGATGCTGCAGTGTAATCATTGCTTCTGTCGCAAGTACATGTTTGGCACACTTTGTCTTGACTGACTCAAACAATTACTGGAAAGTCAATTTAATCGACATTTCGAAAGCTATCTTTCATGCAATGATTTTCTTTTTAGGTCCTCTGTACGAGGTGATTGTGGTTCAACAAGGATATCGTACTTGGAAACATGATTTAACCAACATGATTAAGGAACCAACAGAGTGGAGAAACCTTGTATTGGTATGATGAGTTGATGCGTTAATGAGTTTGACACGACTACTACGACCTACATCCTTTTCATATGCTAACTTTCTTTCTTAGGGTCCTCTGTCCGAAGAGGTTACTTTTCGCAGAGGAATTGTTCCTGCTTGTGTATCTAGCGGCTGGTCCAACACTCGAACTATTTTTCTTGCTCCCGTTCTGTTTGGCCTCGCACATGTTCATCATATGTATGAATTCCTGTTACAATATCCCAAGGCATACGTGGTTGCAATCGTTCGCTCCTTCATTCAATTCTCCTACACCAGTGTCTTCGGTTGGTACGTTACATATCTCTTCCTTCAAACCAAAAGCATATGGCCACCATTCCTCGTCCACGCTTTCAGTAACTACATGGGTCTCCCACGCTTCTTTGGTTACTTGCCGTTGAAAAAACAGACCGTCTACTACTACACTCTACTCGTTTCAGGCGTGGTCGCATTCTTCGCATCCTGGGATTTATTTTGGTCAAAGGAGTACTAGTGGAACTGGATGGGAACTTTTATTTTTGTGTTTTCGAATTGCGTAGCATCGTAACTTCGGTAAAGAGATTTGGTTGCGGAGATAAATTGCACATATTACTTTTAAATAACGAACAGTTCGGGCTTCAGGTGTGCTTTTGCAAGTCGAGCAATAAGAGCACTCAGTTGCAGATATGTTTGCACGCCTTCGAGAACGATCATATGAGCGCTTCCGATTTCACGAAGCATTTCGAGCCGTGAGTATTCGGGAACCTCATTCATTGTCTTTACCACGCGGAACATCGTTGTGATGATATCCACGGGACTGAAGCCTAGTCCCCAAATACCCTTGAGACGTTCAAGTGCTTTGTCGATGTCACCATGCATGCAGTGACGGATCATATCCAACACGGCAACGGGTGAGGGCTGATCGGCCACCTTGAACACGTTTTCGCTGTTCACGAGGTCAAAACCCGCAACTGTACTCTGGAGATTGTTGATTGCTTGTCTCATATCGCCCTCAGCTGTCATAATCAGAGCTGCCATACCATCATCAGTTATCGACACGGACTCTGCCTTGCAGATCTCCGAAAGTCGTTTTTGTATTTGTTGCTCATTCAGTCGAGAATAACGTAAAATGGCGCATCGAGATTGAATGGGCTCAATAATTTTGTTTGACTGATTGCAAGCGAGTGCGAAACGCGTAGTATTGGAATAAATTTCCATCGTGCGTCTCAGAGCCTGTTGTGCACCAGCCGTCATACTGTCTGCTTCGTCGAGAATAACAATTTTGTGCCGTCCAGGAGGAAGGTTCACTTTTTTCTGGGCAAAGCCCTTAATTTTATTACGAACAACGTCGATACCGCGTTCATCAGAGGCATTCAGTTCCAATACACCCTCCCGATAAGCCGAACCAAGCAATTGGTGAGCAAGACACAGCACCGAAGTTGTTTTTCCGATTCCCGGCATTCCCTGCCAAACGCGTTAGCAATACAAATATCCATTTAAACAGTTTACGTACAGAAATGATCATGTGGGGCATGTTTCCATCTCGAGCAATAACCTTTAATCGTGCTATGGTATCCTCGTTTCCAACAATGTCATCTAGCACTACCGGTCGGTACTTTTCGACCCTTTTCTCAGCATTAGCATCTAAAGTTTCGCAAAAAAATTTACCATGGTAATTCGTATGTAGTAGCGACCTTCTGGCCCGTGTAACCCGTCGAAGCGGAAGAACCAGCGCCCTGCATTTTGCCTTGTTTGGTACGTGCCAAAGCTGATTGAGAATTGGGAGGAAAGTGTCGTGCTAAAATACATTAGACAACGTTAATCCAATTAGCGATATACACTAGAACTCACTAAATAAATTTACGAAGCATAACGATACTTAACGCAAACTTTAATCGGACAAGCGACAGTGTTCGACAGTCCTCGAAAAACCTACCCAGAACCCAACATCCATTGCATAGGAAGAGTTGTCAAAAGTCGTAATAAAAAGCAGTAAAAACAGCAATTGCGATGGTTTCTTCACAATACGACGCGTTTCTATCAGATCCTTGTGGATTTCTTCAGAAACTACAAAATGATGTTTTTGCGAATCAGAACACGCCCAATTTCCATACGGATTTCAACATTCCGCAGCTAATTAAAAATATTCTTCAGTCAGAGCAGGATTGGAACAAGGTACGCGTAAAATAGCTGCATATGACCCGTCTTGCTCACCTTTTCGCTTGTTTTAGATTCCTTCGCTACAAAAATATCAACGAAAACTACAGGATGGACAGCTTGTACAGCTTGAGTGTATGGTACAGGACACGAACTTTGGTCATGAATTCTATGTTGGAGCTGTGAAAAACACGCATGATGAGTGGAAAAGCTGCAGATACAGTTTCTTGGAGGAGGATAATGAAAGCGAACGGGTAGAGAAGTTAGAGACTGCTTTGGATGAACGCTATTCAATTTATGTAACAAGTATTCCTGGTCAAGAAGAAACATACTTGCAGCCTATTTCCGCCGAGCATTCTCTGAAACTTGATTCTTCATCTGCTTACCAAAATCGAATCTTCCATTCCGAAAGCATTGGCGCAATTGTAAAATGCTACGGTGGCGTAGAGACAGAAATCCATGTCTGCGACGCTCTTCGGATTGTAGGCTTGTATGAATCGCCAAGCGAATACACCGATGATCTTCCTGTCGTGCACATGCTGTACTTTGAAAACATTTCCAATCTTCCGCTCCGACGACTTTCACCGCTAGAAAATAAAACAATGCGGGAGCAAACGCTGGCTTTTATGACCAGAAAGCTGGGTGACCCTATCGCCGCGGAAACGTTACTATTGACGCTTTTCGGGAACGTTTTTAACAGAACGGGCGGAAGCGCAATTGGTTGTATGTCTCTTAACCTCACTAACTGTAATACGATTGATGTGGCCAATGTCGTTTCTACGCTAAAACAAGTTTGTCCACGAGTATATCAAGAAACAGTTTCTATTGAACGCTTAAACTCTGTACGCTTTTACCCGAGCAGCGACGGTGAGAGTCTCAGCACTGGTGTGCTTCAAGTATCACCGGGAACTGTTCTTGTACTGGATGAAACCCAACTGAACAAAGGTATCTTGAACGATACCGGCGTTCGAAACATTGCTTTTCTTGAACAGCTTATAACGGAGCAGATGTTGCCTTTCATGTTCCCATTCAGCCAGTTCGAGGTGCCTACGAATCTACGGATTGTCATTTTGAGTCAGACAAAGTCACTTCTCCCTTCACAGGTTCTGTACAAGTACAAAAAGCCAATCGATGATAAGGAACATTCTTCTTCTTCTTCAGAGCCATTGGAGGATGGCCTGATTCCCGCGGTGTTTGATTACATTTCACAAGCTACACTGGTGACACGAATTCCGGATGATGTTTCTAAACACATTCAGGATGCGTTTGTACAATCGAGACGCGAAGGCAAGGCTGCCGACGAAAAAACACTGGGTCTCCAAATCAATGCTTCCTGTCTAATGGCAAAGTCGTGGGGACGGAACGAAGTTAGCTATGAGGACTTTGACTTTGTATGTGATCTTTTCGAGCATTGGAGTCTATGAAGTAATTAATTGCAGCTTCCTTGAGATGTTCTGAAATTGAAAAGGAAAAGGACTAAAAAAAAAATTACGCTCGCATTTCCTTAGCGTAGTCTTTAACATTTTCATCAGAAATTTCAGTTTTTTTTCTACTTCATATGTCTTTTTCCTTTATATCGTTTCTATGGATTGCCGCCGCCTCCGAGATTAGGACAGCAACAAGCGATATAGGAAAGTGGACTTCTGGTCTATTTTTGTTGGAAAGATTGCTATTCCTATCTACTGCATAAAATTTCTTATTCAACGTTCGGCAAATTTGTCTTACAACAGGAACGCCAATAGCTCACCAGCTTGCCCTGTTATTAATATTGTCGACATTTGGTGTCAGTCGCCAACACTTCCATTTGCTTGGAAAAGTCGACCACCAAGACGCCGTAATCCGGTTCACCTCCTTTGCGGCCCATCTGCTCTCTGTTTTTTGATATTCTTGCCTTTTCTTTTTTGAAGGATTCATAAATCGGCTGGAATTTGTGGGTTTTTTTCTATGTTTTACAATTTTCATCCAAGTGTTTGGTAGTTTAAACTCTTTCATGGAACAAGCAAGCTTTCTTCGAGAATTGCCCGTACGTACCTTATGGAGGAGAATCGTGCAAAATTCTGTACTGACAATGTTTTTTAGAGTGTTCTAAAGCGAATTGAAACAGGCTTGATTGTCGCTCAATTAAAGAATGTTCTTCGCATTTTTTGTTTACGACTTTCTGGAACAAAACAAGAACTAATCAATCGAATTAAGCAGTTCATTGAAAAAATTACCCTCGAAAATGATATGGTTTCCTGGGAAGCACTAAAAAAAGCCGTAAATGGTGATATTGCTGGTGCCACGCAAATTCTACGTCCGCAATTTCCAAATCCTGTCGCATATCCAACAAGCGTACAGGCTCCAAGACCATCAATCGTTACTTTTCGTCCGTATCCTCAACCTTTGCCGCATGTTGCTCCGACAAGGACAAGGCTTAAGTTCAAAAGTAGTCCCTTTTATGACGTTTTAGAAAGCTTTAACGCTCCATTTCCCATCCCTCCTTGTGTTAACGCCAGAAACACCGTTAATTTCTGTTTTCAATTGACACCTGCCGCCATCTCAAAACTGGCTACTGACGCAAACAAGCGTTATCGTATTTATTTCTTTTCTACAGCCACTGAAACAATTGGCCTAGGCGAATGTTTAATGGAGTATCCAACCCCTCAGATGGAACTTCGCATTAACCACAAAGTCGTCCCTGCTTCGTTCCGAGGCTTAAAGGGAAAAGTAGGAACCTGTAACCCTGCAGACATTACAGATTATGTTAACTCGTACGCTGGTGCCCCGGGAAACAATGTAACAATTCATTATATGAACGCAAACAAAGCTTTCACCGCTCTTGTGAGTTTGGTGCAGACTTGGAGTGTGGATCAATTAATGCAACGTATTAAGACTGGACGCAAGGAGTCCAAGGAAAAAATTGTTGAACGGATAAAGCGAGACAACGACGATGCGGATTTAATTGCTACCTCAGTTGATGTTTCTCTGAAATGTCCTCTGTCCTTCACTCGCATATCTGTCCCTATTCGATCAATTTTTTGCAAACATATTCAATGCTTCGATGCACTTGCTTTTTTGCAATTAAACAAGCAAATGCCTTCTTGGTCATGTCCTGTTTGCAACACAACAGTACGCTATTACGATCTTATTATCGATGGTTACTTGGAGGACATTCTTGCAAACACCCCTCCGAATGCCGAGTCGGTGACCGTTGATCCGGAAGGAAAATGGACATTGAACGCCTTTGATGATGATGACGAGAGCTCCGAAAACGAAACACCGGCCAAGGAAGACGTTGTCGATCTGAGTGATATCGATGAGCCTACAGTAACGCCCTCACTGAGCAATGGTAGTGCCGCGCTGACTGCCGCGGCAGAACATCATTCCGGCAGCCAACAGATTCCAGCAAAAAGATTACCCTCTGTCTCGTCTCACTCTCACCACTCATCTTCTCACAATCCTCCTAAACGGAAACGCGAATCCATAATTATTGACCTGACGATATCTGATGATGACGAGGATAACGCTGCAGCTGACACACTCAGTTCAATGTCTTCGTCCATTCATACTCCTCGGCGGGAAGACGCTGGCTCGACTAACGGACCAGTTGCCAAAGTTCAAAAAACTATTCCTGAACCTCCTCAGCAGCAACAACCGCCTCCTCCTTCTTCTCGTGCCTTTATTCACGATGGTCAGGACCATGCTGGTTCAGAACTTCCTTTACCACCATTAGACAATGCTAGCGCTCTTGGTGTCCCTCAATCAATTTTCGTCACTGCGAATAACGAAACTTTAAAGACGAATGATCAATTTTTGTTTAACACGCCCTCTCCTGCTTCCTCCACAGCCAGTCCGTTCCAGTTACATCCTGCTCTTCAGCACCAGATTGCTACCTACTCTCCTAACAATTCACCAAATATGGCTTCTAACAACGGCCTTCCTACCGTTGCACACGAGCTCAGTTCTTCCCCGGATCATCGTGGCGACAAAAGTCATGCCTTAGCTGTACAGCAGCAGCAAACTGACAATACTCTTGCTTACAACGGTCCGCTTATCCCTGGTCTCAATCTTGCTGCCACTTCTCAAAATGTAAAGCCCCCTTCCAATTCAGTCAACAGCAACCTAACTAATTTACTGCAACGGGAATACTTGTCAAACCAGTTAATGCGGATACCGGATTATTCGCTGAACTCGTCTACGCCGTCAAACACGGAAGGTATACACAAAATCGACAACGGTCTAATGCAACCGGAAGCCACTACTTCTGTTTCAAGTACAGCTGCCACCACCGACACGACTAACTCCCATCCCGAAAACCCATCGTCCCCATCGGCAGGTCCAATTTGGGACGAACAAAAAGATGATCAGATTGACTGGGAACGAGAATTGAACATTCCACTATTTTTCAACTCTTCGTAACAGTCCGTTCGTATAGTAATACTCCCGCCCGCTGTGCACGCTCCCTAGCATTGCAAAAAAAATCTAATGCTTCTATTTCACCTAAAGAGAGTAATGTCAGTAACAGCAAGAGAACTGACCAAAAGAAAGCGCCTCACAACACTGTCCACACCACAACCAGGACCCACACGATGAGCAACTACAACTACACACACCCCTACACACTCACTCAAACAGTTCACGGCAAGAATTTTGTTATTGAACACTACTCATCCAGAGCGACCTGTTTAGGCAGACTTTTGGGCACGTTGAGCGGCCAAGAGGATGGAAGCACGGGCAACAGAGGCTCTCAAGAGGTCAGTGCGGTAACCGTTCTTGGCGACGCGGTTGGCAATAGCCTTGTAAGTCTTGCGAGTGGAAGACTTGGCGAAGACGTCAGTGCGGTACAACTTGGCGGGCTTTTGAGCGTTCTTAACACCAGTCTTGGTGATCAAAGCAACACCACGGGGGCTGTTGGCGACGACGCCGGCAGCCTTGTCGCTAGCAAGACCGGAGAAGCGTTGAGCGTTCTTGCCGGTAGCGTTCAAGGGCTCACGGTTGAATTGGATACCGCCGAAGTCGGAACGCTTGACGAGGAACTTGTTGTTATCGCGGATAACTTGCCAGACGAGATCGTTGCTAACAGACATGGTGTTGGTGCTGGTGAACTTTCGCGGACTCTGTGTTCCAAAGTTTGTTGTGTTGTGACTGCTCACAACACAACAGGTAACATCCCAGGTAACAGCTGTGCAGCCCAGAAAATGATATCATTTTCTGTGGTAAGCGAAACCTTATTTGTATTAAGTTTACCGGCGCAGCCGTCTCGCATTTGCCATCAACCTAGCACCGGAGCTCAAGACGACAGAAACTTCTCGACGTTGTTTCTCGTTCTAAGAACTGAACTAAGGAGATTCAACCTTTTATTGCTGCACACGGATCATCTGCAAAGTCTTCTCGGTTTCTGTTAACAATTGATTGAAGGACGGGACATATTCCATTGCTCTTATCAACAAACACCGGAAGAAATCGGTAGAGGTATGACGAGCAGGACATGCGCCTTTACAGTGCCTAATATTGCGTTAGAGTTCGTTTTGGTGACATTCGATCTTTTTGTTCTTGAACAGCTACACACGTGGAACCAAGGAAGTTGCTAGTCCCGAGAAATAAGTCTCCAATTGCTATTTAGCGCATTTCGTTTGGTTTGTGATTTCCCCCTTCCCGGCGGCAGTAATACGATTCTCATTTTGCATTGAAACTTGATTGACTCAATTTCGAAGCTTTATTTCTAATTTTATCCTTCTCGCATTATTTTTCTGGTTTACGATAACTGTGTTACGCCTTTTTCTACACACATCCAACATGATTTCGTTTCACTTGACCGTTTCCTCTGTTTTTGTTTTTCTTCTTGTAATTGTTTCAGGTACGGATGGTAATAGTGCAGGAAATGCACTCTCCGACATTTAAGAATCAACCTTGCTAACATGGTGCACAGTACTCGTCTGGAGACGTTTCCGAATGCATCGTCCACAATACACACCGCTGCAAACTGGCTTTGCCGCTGATATCGAGCATGGAATGACATCCAGTACGTTTGACTTGCACAGAAACCTTGTTGAGGGCGATCCCCGTGAAGGTCTTGACGATGCAGCCGTCACAAAGATCCGCGGAATTATGAAGCAGAAGCAGGTTTCGTTTGACCAAGCCCGGGTCGAGTATATTAAGGAGATTATGCGCGGTAATAACATTGATGCATCTGGTATGCCTCTCGACGCCAAAGCTGTGACTCGGCTTTAGAATTTGTGATCATGTCTGCAATTGAGCTATGATGAGCCCTTTTTTTTACCCCGGTTCTTTAAACGTGTCAAGTTGTCCACATCGACTTGGAGAGCCCTTATTCCTCCGCTGCCCCTTTCTCCCCCTACTCTCCTGTGATGCTACTACTACTACCACCCTTTCTTTCAGCGAGATCTTGTCAAACACCTTTGCTGCGCTCGATCCACTTCCTTTTTTTTATTCAACACAACCCATTCTCGCTGTAAACCTTTTCTTCTTCTCGGCTTTCAAAAAGTGGTGAAGTCGCATAGAGTGTAAATAAGCTAGCTTAAGTTATCTTAAGTATATCTAAACGACGCGAGATGCTCCAGATCTAAAGTTATCTAAGCGCTCGGTCTCCTTTTTCCCCGTAGGGGTTTCTGGACAAACATTCTGAACCAGTATTGCTGCTTTTTGCTTTGACGCGCGTTAACTACGCGAGTCGCAGCTGATGGAATACAGGAAGAAGTGGCGCGTAACGGACGCGTTTCGTTACGCGTCGGACGTTTATAACGCGAAACACAGCTCAACAAACGTTTCACTCTACCACACTTCCTTACCAAATTACAAAAACATGAAAACCTGCTTTCTCGGATAAACTACCAGTGATCTCGTCAGACAAAGACTATTTGTGAGCAGTTCGGTAAAATCCTTTTGACTTCTCTCAACTCTCACCACGTATTCGGCCATTTAGCCGGTTTTCTCCGAGTCCAGGTTTCTCGCCTATTTTCGCCGTTAGACTATTGATCTCTCGGCGCTTTCTTTTAGTGTGGTGGTAGTAGTGGTGGTGATTCGGCGATTTTCACGGATCCGGTGCCATATTTTGGTGTAGTGTTTTACTAGAGGAAACCGCTATTCATCCACGCAATTAAATTCGCCCTCTGCTTCTGCTATACGTGACCAAAAAGTGCATTATACTGAGAAACACTAACAGCTCCATTGAGTGCTCAGAGACGTGTACAATTGTGTGCTCTTGTGCCGTATTCATCCCCGAGGATCTCGTCTTGCGACCTGCACTATTTTTAATTGCGATTTGCCCATGTAGTAGTGCATTGTCATGCACAAGACCTCCCAGCATCGTACCAGCACATCCAGTACGGATCAGGGAGTCCAACGTGTTCCTTCTGCTCCTTTACCCATTCGTCCGCTCCCTGCTCATGTTTCTCATCTTCCAACCGTCGAATCGACGAGTTCCAAATCCGCTTCCTTGGCAGCAGCAGCAAACACGTATCGTCATGTGTCGGCTCACACTCCTGCATCCACGCACAGCACATCCTCCCATCATCAAAAACGCTCTGTAGTCCTCTCTACCAGTGTTCGCAACGCTTATGCTCCACTTTCACGTCCTTCCCATGCTCAAACGCCTACGACCGCTCGTCCCTCGCTCAATTCGTCTCCAAAAAACGCTGTAGCAGCAGCAGCGGCTGCTGCAAAAAGCAATGCTGTCAATGATACGGCGAGTGTACGGTCATCGGTTGATGCAAGGGCTGCAGCTTCAATGACCGGAGTTCGCCAGTTTTCTTCCAGCAAAATGCGATCAATGGATGACATTTTACAGACACAAACGGACGGTCTTGACCGTTCACAGCTAGCTTCGCATAATTCTGTTCATATTCTTGCTGCGTCTGCACATGCACAATCTTCTCATGACCTTGCCAAACAGGAAGAACGGTCTACTGTATCAAGTTCAGCCGTGGCAGCATCGCAAAACATCCGTCACTTGCGCTCCACGCTCCGTAACGTAAACGGTTCAGTAAAACGCAAGGGCTTTTTCCGCAACAAGTCTAGTGCTCCTACTCGTCGCAAGTCTAATGATCTGCCAACTACTCGCACAAGCACAGATGCATCAACGAGTCACAGTGAGAAGGCGAACGGTGCTCGTTTGCAACCGACGACTTCTTCCTCTTCTTCTATAGTGTCCTCTCCCAGTTCTCGCCCACGCACCCGACAATCGTCTTACGAGGGTGTACGACCAAATGCTCCTTTAGCCGCTGCCCAGTTGGCAAGACTAGCAGTAAAGAATGACGAAGAAACAGGTCTTACGACCGTCTCTCAGCCGGTGGACACGCATTCCACCAACACGAGTCCCTCTAAAAAAAGATCTCGACCAAGTGCTGAGCTCCAAGCTTCCGCCGCTTCTGCTTTGGCCGTAAAGGAGTCTCGCACCAAAGACAAGAAGCCCGGTTCTATTTCGTCCTCTGGGGTAAACGAAGAAACCGACGACAAAGATGAGCGTGTACGAAAGGCCTTTACGCAAGCGGCTAATGTTGCCGTGGTGAAACACGTTCCTTTACGACCATCTATACCTCCTCCGACCACCGGCAGCTCTCCCGCCATAAAAGGAGATACGAGTGATGTCCCAATTATCAACGTTATCGAGGACACACCCCGGACTCTTAAAGTAATTGAATCTTCACCGAATTATCTTTCAGCAACTTCCTCGTTTACCGAGGAGAAACCTTCGCGTTTGAGTGTGGATTCTATCAGTGCTGCACCTATCCGGAGTTCTGCGTCTCTGTCTGCATTTGGAAACTACAGCAATAGTGACGTTTCTTCTTTTTCCAGTGTTGACCAAAGTCACGCAAAGTTTGTCGATCCTTTTTCCAGTCCTGGTCGTCTTGCGACAGCAGCTGCAAGAAGCAGACCTTCCTCCCGCAAACTCTTTTATGTTGATGCTTCCGAAACGGTGGACGAAAGCCCTTCCGCTCTCCATGCTGCTGTATTCGCCGACAAAAAACTACCAAAGGCTCATGCCATTTCAGAACCTTTGAAACGAATTGTTCGTACAAAGCCTTCTCCACAAACGCTCCGCAACAGCTCTTCGTCCGAGGGAAAGCACAAGCATCATCATTTTCGTCTTTACAAGGGTGACCATAGTCGATACTACAACAGCAATTCAGACAAATCAAAGTTGAAGCTATCCCAATGGTGTATTGACGAAAAACGGCGCACGGCATATGAGGCACTCTGGGCCTCTAACAAGGGTTACATGATGCTGCGTAATGACGACAAGAAAATGGATGACATGGTTTGTAACATCGTTGTCCGTGACCTTTGGGCTCGCAGTGGAATCCCATTTTCCACGCTCGCACAAATCTACAATCTCGTGAGCCGTGATCGCCGTCCCTGGTTGACGAGAGATGAGTTTGTTGTTGGAATGTTTTTGATTGATCAGTATTTAGCCGGACGAAAACTACCATCGAAAGTTCCTGATTCCGTTTGGATCAGCAGTCGAAGAATGGGTGATTTGCTTTGGCGCTTGGAAAAACTAAAACTGTCCAAGGAAAGAGTGAAGAATCGGAAGAAACAGAAGAAACTTAAGAAAAAAGAGAGAAAGGAGAAGCGAAAGAAAAAGAAGAAACTGAAGAATGCCAAGGATCGGGAAACGACAGAAGACGAACACGCGGTGTTGGCTGTCTCTTCGTAAGCTAGACTTCTACGTACCTTTTCCGACACAATTGTAACCTTAACAACTTGTATTCCATGCATGTTGTAACAGCCCGTTTTGTACTATATATTCTTTCCTATTTATGGATGACTATAGCATCATTTTAACGCATTAATATTATCATTTCTATAACAATTATGGTATAGTAAGATGGATTATAGTGCGGGTTAATAGCTCGAGTTCTGTTATTCCTGTTACTAAAATAATTTTAATAGCTTCCGGAGACTAAGACTAACACGTGTCTGAAAACGACAACCGTGCCTATATTAGACTCCTTATGTAACTAGTATTTGAATCTGAATTTGAAACTCATCCCCATGGCCGTCGACCATTTTCCTCGGCTAAGCATTACTTTTACCAAGCCTTCCTAACTACATCCTTCTCTATAACGTTACCGAATATTCACGGCAATTTCTCAACAAGCGAAAGTTAACGGCAATTTCGGGTCCTTGTCCTGCTTACGGAACATCCTTAAAGCTGTGAACACTTACTAAGACATTTTGGAGTCAACATTGTGCTTCTCTTCTGGGATTCAGTCAATTTATCAATTGTCTACCCGAAGAGACGAATTGGTTGACAAAAACCAGTTAAACAACCCTGTGACCACATATAGGTCACATTTGTGCTGTTCCACGTAAAAATGGTACAATCTTTACCAGACTCTGTCTGGGACTCTATCCGAGGTACAATTGAAGAGTTTATCAATGACACGGAGCATGTGTGCACGGAATTAGGATATGAAATGGGTCCCGAAGGGATCCAGTCATTCATTACAGAGACATTGAACACTCGAAAGTTTGATCTGACAAGTGAAGCCGAAAAACTGAAAACACAATGTGCTCAATTGCTTGATTCCATCAGTATAATGACTTCTGCAATGCATATGGAATTTGAGGCGGAGGTAGAACCTCCGTTAAAACAGTGCTTTCGTCGGCTGTCGAGGGAAAAAGAAGCCTTTGAACATACGTTCTTGGAAAAGCAAGAGACGGCTCATGGTATGCTCCCCTATTGAGGTGTCACTGAAATGAACGTGTAATTTTGCTAATAGTTACAGACCTTTACTCCAAATTAAAGGCTTTATACGAAGAATTGGGAGAAAAATGTGTCATTTCTCAATTTGATGGAAAAATGTTCTCAGATGTATCTGACGAATTCCTCAACACGCTCCAACAAACTGTTGAAAAGGCGGCAGCAGAGGTTCATGAGAGAACGGAATTGATACACAAGCTTCACGACAAAATTCGCCGTTATCACGACGTCTTAGGAATCCGAAAAACACTGCCTTCTAAAACAATCTACTTGAGCAATGTTCGCTCACTTGTGGATCAAGCTCGTAGACTGAAGTCAGAGTACCACGAACGAAAGGAGCGCAAGGAACGAATTGTTACTGACGTTCATTCTTTGCTGACTTCACTTAAAATCAAGCCTAACATCCGCGTGAGCGAGTCGGATTTGAGCGTGAATGCTTTGAAAGCCGTAAGTATTTACCACGTTTGATGACGGGAACAAATTTTCGCTAACGTTTTCAGTGGGAACTCGAAAGACGGCGGTTGCTTGGCATCAGTAATATTCGATGCAAAAAAGAAATTGAAGTGTTACAACAAAAGCACGCAACTCTCTCCAAAGTTCTGTTTATCTCACGCAAGACACATAAACAAGTCGCAGCCGAAACATCTAGCGATGATTTACGTCCTATTGTGGAAAGTTTGAAACAAACAATTAACCACATGACAGTTGAACTTCGTCTTCGTGCTGATCTTACTCCTCTTGTTAAACGATACCTTACCATGGAAAAACAGTTGATAGGTCTCAACGGACATGAGCGGACGACCAATAAGTCGAGACTTTCGCACTCGAAGCTTCGCAAGGATTTCCTTATCTTGCGAGCTCAACTGGCAATTAAGCTTCAGGACTGGGAAGAAGAGAACGAAACCGTGTTTTACGTGTTTGGTCAGCCGCTAAAGCAAATGCTCCATCAACCTTTGCAACTAGAGGAAGATGAACCTGAACCAAAAGCTGCCCAGGACAAAAAGCCCGTCCCGGTATTGACTAGCCGCATTAAACGTCCTTCCGTCTTTCATCGTTTGTCTAAGCCGCGCACGAAAAATGAAGCCGTGCCTGCGAATCGTTATTCACCGTCACCTTCTCGTCTTCCTGCTTTAAGTCGTTGCTCTTCCGCAAGCACAACTTCCACGTCTAACAGTTCATTCTCCCACAGACCGTCGGAGAAAAATACCCCTGTCAAGAATACTGAAAAAGAAATTCCGGAAGTCCATCGCCCATACTCTTCCTTCTCCCGAACGCTTCGTGAAATGCTTCATGAAGTCGTCAACAACAAAAATGCTCATAGATTGAGTGAGGACTTTGACAAGCCTCGTTCTTCTATCACTCCTTTCCAACGGATTTTTTCGCGTGACATGGATGAATGGGAGACATGTTCCAGTTTGGTTGACCCTAACGAAAGCTTTGATTCTCTGAATTCACAATTGTCTGCCATGGGTATATCCTCTGAATCGTCTTTCGAACCGCAACAATAAAAAAAAACAAAAAGACTGTTCCAATCGTCAATCTCATGCATCACAGCCTATACCCCAATGACACTCGTTTTCTTATAACACGCTGATACCATGTATATTTTATTGTTATACCAGATGCTAACGATGGGAAAACTACCGCAAAAATAAAATTGTATGAAGTATTCACATGAAAAGGTTTGTTGAAGAAGTTGTAGAGGGACGAAAAGATACAAACACACTGATTCAATGACCATTTTCAGCGTTTTCTATGCCAAATGTACAATCAAAATGCTGTCGTCTCTGTTACTGCAGCTGTTCATTCTTTACTCTAGTCTACCTATGTATTAATGAACGACATTTTCGTATATTTAAATATTTTCACCTAGATGCGACCACTAAATACTTAAATGGTAGTTTGGACTTTCATCCTTATTCTGCAATAACACAATGTCGTTATACAGCCACGGCCTTCATCGTTAAAGGGCCCAGCCTGTTTCACACTTCACTTTGCCTCCTCTTACCTTACTCGGCCATTTTTTGGTGGTGAGTTTGCCGAGGGGAAGCAGACTACCACCACACATTTGCCGCACACGAATTCTGGCAACCGCAAGCATCTCGTCCTCATGGGTAAAATCGAGAAGAAAACGGCCAAAGGTCGTTTGGATAAGTGGTACAAGCTTGCAAAAGAACAAGGATACCGATCTCGTGCAGCTTTTAAGCTGGTTCAATTGAACAAAAAATACAATTTTCTTGAAAAAGCCCGAGTGGTCATTGATCTGTGTGCTGCACCCGGTGGTTGGCTTCAAGTAGCGTCTAAAACTTGTAAGCCCGGCTCTTTAATCGTAGGTGTGGATTTGGCTCCTATTAAGCCAATTCCGAATTGTATTACTTTTGTAGAGGATATCACTAGCGACCGTTGTCGTTCGCAACTTCGTGGATACCTGAAAACGTGGAAAGCTGATGTCGTAGTGCACGATGGTGCACCCAACGTTGGTGCTGCTTGGCTTCAAGATGCATACGGACAAGCAGAATTGGTATTGATGGCCATGAAATTGGCCTGTGAGTTCTTGGGACCTGGAGGTACTTTTGTTACAAAGGTTTTCCGTTCCAAGGATTACAACAATCTTATTTGGGTCTTTAAACAACTCTTTAACAAGGTTGAAGCCACCAAACCTCCTTCGTCTCGTAACGTGTCTGCTGAGATTTTCGTCGTTTGTCGTGGTTACAAGGCTCCTCACAAATTGGACCCTCGATTCACTGATCCCAAAAGCGTTTTCGAGGATGTGCCGGAGCCTACGCCTAACGCGGAAGCCAAAGTCTTTCACCCTGAAAAGAAGAAGCGTAGCCGTGAAGGTTACGCCGAAAATGACTATACCCTACATAAGGTCGTACCTGTCGTCGACTTCATTCGCGCTGATGATCCTATAAACATCCTGGGTACATCCGCCGAAATTGGTTTCCCCGAAGATGATGAAGAGGCACAAAAAATTCGCAAAATGAGCATCACTAATGAGGATGTTATTTCTTACTGTTCAGATCTTCAGGTTCTTGGAAAGAAAGACTTTCGTGATCTTCTTCGCTGGCGTCTGAAGGTCCGTGCTCTCTATGGACTTGGTAAGAAGAATAAGCCTGAAGGAGAAGTTGCCCAAGTAGAGGAGATGCCGGAGATGGACGAGGAAGAACGTCTCGATCAAGAATTAGAATCTCTGAACGAAGTGGAACGCGCTAAATTGAAGCGTGAGCGCCGCAGAAACAATGAACGCAAAAAGAAGGAAATCACCCGTATGCAAATGGGCATGGAGGCGCCAATGGATATTGGTCTTGAACAAATAGTTGGTGAAGAAGTCTTCGGGCTCAAGTCAGCAGAAAAGCACGGTTTGAGGACGTTCGAGCACAGTGAAATGCCAGCTGCGGTTGAAGATGAGGAGGCCACTATTGAGGACGATGAAGTTGAACTGGACAGTGAAGACGAAAAGGAAAATCTGGAGGAAGAACTCGACTTAATGTACGCACAGTACACAGACCGCAAATCCGAAATGGATGCCAAGTTCCGTGTTAAAAGACTTCGTGGTGATGTGAATGATGATGAATGGGAAGGTTTGGATGGTGCTGCCAAAGCGGACTCAGATGAAGCTGAGTCTGAAGACGAGGAAACTTCGGAACGCCTTACCACTTCTCTTGAGGACTCTGGCCCTACTCAATCTGGCCTTTCTCGTAAAGCCGCACTCTTTTTCGATCAAGATCTCTTTGAAGGTGTTGATGAGGAAGAGGAGGAGGAAGAAGAAGAAGAAGAAGAGCAGTCTGGAGATGATGCTGCCGAAGAAGAAGCTGGCCCTGATGCAGAATCTGAGGAGGAATCTGAAGACAACAACGATATTGAGATTGTTCCTAAGGAGGCTGACTCTGACGACGACGGATGGGACTCGGACTCTGATAACGAGAAGCGTGAAAACATCGACATCGTCACGGCAGAAGCTATGACCTTGGCCCAAGCAATCGCCTCTCGTTCAAAATCTAAGGCTGACCTGATTGACGAAGGCTTCAACCGGTGGGCATTCCAATCGAAGGATGGCCTTCCGGACTGGTTCTTAGACGAAGAAACCAAGCACAATAAACCCAAACGACCTGTTACTAAGGAAGCTGTTGCTGCTTTACGTGAGAAGATGAAGGCTTTGAATGCTCGACCCATCAAAAAGGTTCTTGAGGCTCAGGGCCGTAAGAAACTTCGTGCTATGAAGAAGATGCAACGGGTGGCCAAGAAGGCCGAGGGTATCACCTCTTCCGACATGACTGAAGGTGAAAAGGCCAAGGAAATTGGCCGTATGATGGCTCGTGCCATGAAGAAGAAGGTTCGTCCTAAACCCACTATTGTTGTTGCTCGTGGTGCAAACCGTGGATTAGCATCTCGGCCTAAGGGCGTCAAAGGTCGTTATAGGATGTTGGATCCTCGTATGAAGAAGGAGCTTCGGGCGCAGAAGCGTATCGCCAAGAAAAAGAAGAAACACCATTAAGCGTCTGTAACGCAGCGGTTGCCGTTTGTTATTGCAATTGTTATAACATCCCACTGGACTTTGTTTTTTTCACTTTGGTCTCATCGGTTTTTGGTTTACTGCATGTACATAATAATTTTGGTTTTTGGGATGGCGAGCAGCAAATAGGAAAAGCATTAAGCACACACGCACATTCACACACTGGACACCTTCCGCCTGTCCGGCCGGCTTTCCTTTGGCTCTTGGGCTCAGTTTCGTCTACACATGATTTGTTTCGTTTGTTATAGAAAGAATGATTTCTTTTATTAAGTAGGCTATTTCGTTAAAGTACGACCAGTTACAGAGCGGACTTCAGTGGCGTAAAAGAGGAGGTTGCGAAGAAGGAAAACAAAATGTAGAGGAGAGAAAGAAGATTGGGCGGGAAGCAGACATTACATGCGGGGACTCTGATGTATTCATAAGCATGTAGACATATTGAAGAAAGAAAAGGGAAACAACATTAGAGAAACAATCTTAATCGTAAAAACGCGTCTTCATTACGGAGTGTTTGGAGACAATGCAGGAGCCTGTTGAAGGCGAATGTGCTGACGAACTTCGTCAACGTCGTTTTCGAGCTCTTTTTCCCAGTAAACATTAACGAGTAACTCGGCCTTCAGCCCATTACGAATGGCCCAAGGAACATACGTCCTACGGAAACGCGATGCCTGCACACGATTCAAACGCAAAGGACCAAACAAGGCACTCAGCGCTCCTACGGGCAATCCCATATTAATAAACTCCAACCTTTTTCAAGTTAGCAAGGGAGGAAAAGCAGGGGATAGGAAAAAATCGCAAACAAGCAAGTGTGCACATTGCTGTGGAGTTTTTGTCACATACCATTTGATAGCCAGTTCACCTTCGATGTTAGTGGGCATTTGAGAGACGGCGTGAAAAAAGTCGTGACATTCGCGATACCGTTGCATCACGTATGCTTCTTCCGGGTCATCAACATAACGAGTTGGAGCTCGTGAGTCTGGTGTTACATGTTCCTTGTCGATCCAGTCAACATAAATTCGACCCAATGTATTCGGAGGAAGAGTTCGAAGATGAGGCAGATTAAGTGATTTGGAAGTCATTCGAGGCTGTTCTTTCAGAATGCGTCTGCCCGTTTCATTGGCAAGCATTTTGTCACGAAGACGACGTAAGAAAAAAGGTTGACCAGACGCATCACCAAGAACAGCAATCATATCGCCTCTCCAGGGCGCCTTTAATCCCATAATGGCCGATCCAGCAACGAGAAACATTCGTTGAAGAGGAGAGAGTGGGATATGGCCCGGATAGTTGACAGGACGAGCTGCTCAAGTGTCAGTAAATCGTCAATAAACAATGACAAATCGCCATTGCGCGAGCTCTCACAAGCCCACAGCGGTAAAACCCTAAGACATACCGTTAGGGAAAAACATGACGAGAGACCGATCGATTTGAAAGAGAAAGATAGACAGAAATACAAGAAACTGTTTCGTCGGTTTGGAATGTGCAGCAAGTAGCTGGATACCACTACGATGGAGGGAATGGATCGACCGTAGATCATGACAGACCTGTGATTGGTCAAGGCGTCAACGAGCCGATTAAGGTTTTCGCGGGAACTACGCAAAAACAACTCAACTCAAACGTTCTGTATGTCCACCGCTGCTCGAGACACTGTCAGACGAAGCCAGACGATCGCGTAATTTTAGCCCATGGATGACCGCCTCGTTGTCCTCAAACAGCTGAGAATCCCGTTGCAAGGCAGCCTGCACAGAAATCTCACCGTTCGCAGCAGACTTTAAACGGTCGGCCAGGGCACGCTCCCTGCGGAGTAGATGTGGCGCATCCTGCAGGAGCGTGGGCTGTGAAAATCCATACGCCCAGTTACAGGAAGCAAGATACTCGGTCACACGTTTCTCAGCCGACGACTGCACGATTTGAATGGGCAATTCGTAGTAGTCATTGGCATGAACACCGTAGTCTTCGACCTTGGATGCGGGCATACTAGGCTGCGGGGTAGCCGACGGGAACGACTTCATGTGGGAAACGTGGGACGGGATTTTGCGTCTGCGAAAACAGCCCGTGGGGGATCTGCGCGATTGCGACGCGACACATATTCCACCGGGAACGTTCGAAAAGCAGCAATATCGACAGAGGAACCGGTACGCGAACGAATTGGATCGACAACAATCGCGACGAACGGATCCTGAAAGCGCTGGTTTTGTCGCTGTGTCTCCACATCAATGCCTGACAGCCAGCAGCCGTAGTTTGGATGGGAGTGGTACCAGCCGATGACGTATTCGGGCCGATGCACAGCCTTGCACAGCGTCTGGTATTGAACGCTGAATTCGAGCGCCTCCTCGTGGGCGTTCACGCGCGTCTCCGTGCCCTTTACCGGCAAGGCAAACGCATCCATGACGACCATCGTCGTGCCACGAACAAATCCTTGAAGGTAGCCCATCACTTCCAAAGGAACACCGTCGGCCACATGACGTAGCATTTTCGTAAGAGCCACGGCGGTGATCTGCACATCGGTAAAAAAACGTGGACTAACACGTGTCAGTAAGACAGACACCCGCTAACGTAACACACACAGGCTTCACATAGCTAGCTAATTACACCTACCGCGCGCTTTCCGCGGGACTCGCGCGGAACAGCACAAACGGCTGTATGGAGAGAATGCAGCTAGGGGAATTTTACTGCCGAAGAAAAAAACTTACTTTTGTTTCCAAGTAGCGCTCCGGAGATGCTGCTGCTCGGACGGGGGATCAAAGTGATAGAGGTGGTCCATGGAGAGGGTGCGTAGAGAAAGGCCCGACCAGGCGAGACAAGCGAGTGAACCGAGCTACGCGAACGAAACGAGAGTGGGGCGGTGGGGGTGCAGGGAGACGCGAGAAGGCAGTGGGGGCGGCCAGACGGGAGAGGAGGACACTAGAAAAAATAGTGGGGAGAGGAGACGGGAACACGGCGAGTGCTCGAGGAGTGTCCGTACGTGCGCTGACGAACGTGGGGAAGGAGAAGAAGAAAAGAACGTGGATGCGTGCGTAGGAATGCGTACGCACGTGTTCGTACGCCTGCGTGTACTGACGGGAGTATGGGGATGAGGGCGGGTCAGGAAGTATGGGAGGCCGTAAGCCTGTTACGCGAACACGTGCTCGCTTAGCCTCGGCAATTACGATTACCCGATGTGTTCCCACAGCTTTTCAAATTCTTCACGCGACACGCGTCCGTTGGAACCGGCGAGTTCAAGCATTGACTCGAGTTGTTCAGCCGTTAAATCCTCGCCGAGCTGCGCGCAAGAACGTCTGAGATCTTCCAGGTCAATGAAGCCCTTTCCGGCAACGTCGAACAGCTGAAACGCCTGTTCTGCTTCTGAATCCATGGATGTTCAATGAGGTGGATGGGTGGGGGAGGGACAGGAAAAAGCGTGCGTGCCAGTCTACTAGTGGGCTTGAGTGTCGCTAGCAAGGCGACATAAGCGAGCCAGGTGGGGCTTAGTGGGGGGTTGCCACCACCTTGGGGCAGCACAGAAAAGCCGCGGACTTGATACTGATCTAAGCTTATCTAACCGACGCACTCTCCTTTGTTTATCTCGCTACGTCATCCGTTATCCTCACCACCGCCAACCCCGCCTCGCTTACCCGCAGTTTACGCGAGCAGATCTCGTTTCGTGAATACAACGCACGCTGATTCGTCCGATAGCGACGCCAGCTTCGGTATTCTCGTGTCACCAGAAACACACGACGTTCATTGGCTTCTGCCCCTCGGTTGCATCGCCTATCTCGCGTGCGCCGCTTACCTCGCTTCGGACAAGGTATGCTCCCGCTGGACTCGCATTGCTCCCTGCCTCCATGAACCACACTCAACGTACGCAGCCGTCTCATATCTCCTCTGACATTGCAGTTCCTATGGACCCGTTCCGCGTCGTCAAAGAGACGGTTCGCGACGGTGCCACTGGTGTAGTCAAGCAGCTCTCATACACCTCGACCAAGGTGGTCGGCAGTGGCAGCTTTGGCGTCGTCGTCCAGGTCCACCTCATCGAGAGCAACCGTAAAGCCGCGATCAAGCGGGTTCTTCAAGACAAACGGTTTAAGGTTTGTGCCGGTGGTGTGACGGAGACGACGAGAGACGACGAAGGACGGCGACAGATGGCGCCGTGTCGTGGATGTCGTGGACGTCTGGGCAGCTCGTGGAGACGCTCGTCAAGACGACGTTTGTGTCGTCGCAATGTGGCGCCTAGTTGCCTTCAGACGTCTGTGTGTAAGACGACACGGTTGAAGGATTGAGTCGATGATCGACGTCCGTCGATCATCGATCGTCGTTTACGAAGATCATTGCTGCTGATCATTCAATTCAATCCAGTCCAATCCAGTCCAACTCAATTTCACTCACCGTCGTCCCTTCGTCTCCTCGTCCCTTCCCCTCCTCGTCTCTCCCCCTCTCTTTCTCCTTTCCACGTTACTAACTGACAGAACCGTGAACTCCAAATTATGCGAATTATGCATCACCCAAACATTGTTGAATTGCTCGCCTACTACTACACGACGGGAGAGCAGCGTGACGAGGTGTACCTTAACCTCGTGCTCGAATTCATGCCTGAAACCATTTACCGGGCTTCTCGGCTGTATGTCAAGCAAAAAGCTTGCATGCCGATGCTGGAGGTGAAGCTGTACACGTACCAGTTGTTGCGTTCGCTCGCTTATATCCATGCTCGTGGCATTTGTCACCGTGATATCAAGCCGCAGAACTTGCTGCTCGATCCCGAGACGGGGACGTTGAAGCTTTGTGATTTCGGCAGTGCAAAGATCCTTGTCAAGGGAGAGCCGAACGTCTCGTACATCTGTTCGCGTTACTATCGAGCACCCGAACTGATCTTCGGTGCGTCCGACTACACACACGCGATTGACATTTGGTCGACGGGTTGTGTGATGGCCGAGCTTATGCTGGGTCAGCCGCTGTTTCCTGGTGAAAGCGGTATCGACCAGCTTGTCGAGATCATCAAGATCCTTGGCACGCCTTCTCGTGAGCAGATTAAGACGATGAATCCAAACTACATGGAGTACCGTTTCCCGCAGATCCGCCCTCATCCTTTGCACCGGGTATTTGCTCGTACAAACGCCTCCCCGGAAGCGCTGGATTTGCTCGCCCACATGCTCATGTACACACCGTACGAACGTTACACGGCCATTGAGGCCATGTGTCATCCATTCTTTGATGAACTCCGAGACCCAAACACCCTTCTCCCCAACTCCCGTCACCCCGAGCATTCGCCTCGTGCACTGCCTCCACTTTTCGATTTTAGTCCTCTCGAGTTGTCCATCCGGCCAGACCTCAACCACAAGCTTGTGCCTCCGCACGCTCGTGATGCGCTCTCCGTTGATCTGGACACATTTGAGCCTTTGGACATTCCACGTGCACGACTCGATTAAGTGTGAGCATGGTTTATGGGTGCAGCGGGTGAGCTGCATGCTGCTGCTCTAATCTGTGTATGTACGTTTGTGTTTGCGTGTGTGTGTCTGTGTGTGTTTGTATGCCGTTTTGCGAGCTACACGCCTTTTTGTTTCTTCGTTTTTCCATTCACCCACCAGCCCATTTCGTCCGTTCGTCTCATCCATCACCCAACCCAACCATCGGTGCAACGGTGATCGTCAAACCACTCGCTGACCTTCCCGTTGGTTCTACTTATTTTTTCCCCTTATCTGCCGCGTAGGACAGTCAAGGACGTGTACGAAGTTTGAAGATGACGCTTGTAACCTCGTGTTTGTTTTTTGCTCTTCGTTTGGTCTCTTTCTCTCTCTCTCGCTTTCTCACTTTCTCACACTCTCTCTTTCTTTCTGCCTCTCACTCTCCCTTGTACTGTGTGCACTCCTATTTACGGCAGTTGCAAAATTGTTGTTAAGACTTCAAAAAAGGCGTGTCGCTCGCTCCTTTGCCCTTTCGATGGACATTTGTTCTTGCTGTACTTAAAAAGAAAGTCCAATTGACACTATACCGTTCGTTCATCTCACAGTTGTGCTGCAAGTAACATGGAGAAAAAACCACAAGCATTTGACTTCAACAGCCTTTTTATTTTCCTGTTCAATTCGTGTTTGTAACTTGGGGTCGTTTTCAATGAGTTTTTACCGCTCTTTGATGTCCCCGTTTTCTAGTACACATTTCTGACATTCTCACTGCAAATGCCTAAGCTAAATTTGCAGTCGTAACTTTGTCAGGCCTATTTTTCATCTTTTAGTCTTACAAAAAAAACTAACTTCCCCATTCGCGCGTCGTAGTATATGGTAAATGCGTCCTAGACGCTAATTCTTATTGTTACAATACAGAGGACCATCTAAAAAGGACAACGGAGTAGACGGCATTGAGGCCACACTATGACTTGACACTGCAGCCATGGGGCGCTTCCATCAGCCTGTCTGTCCCGGTCGATATACACCCTCGCGATACAACTGGCAAGACGGCGCCAGGTGCGTGAACGACGGGAAGATAATGTACAAAAATATAGAGAAGAATAGAGAAGAGAGAATGGGAGGGGAAGGCGTCGGGTGAGAAAAGGCGAGACAAAAGACGAGACAAACGACAACGACGCCATTTCGTGGCTGTGAGGGGATCCCTTTAACTTCGCCTACAACGTCTTGTCTGCAACATAGTCACGGTCGTCGTCGCCTTCAACCTCCTTCTGGATTTCCTCCATCTGGGCAATTTCAACAGCCAAAACCTCCTTGCGAGAACGCATATCCTTGTCAAACCAAGCCGGGTCGGGAGCACGGAAGGATCCGCCAAGACGGTCAAACAAGGTGGTGAACTGGCCGTAGTTGTAGTTAAAGTACAGATGATGTCCGTTATGATGAGCAGCACCGTTAATGATGGGGTTGTTGGACAAGTACTTGCCGTCATGGATCATAATGGACCAGAAATTCACAAAGGTGAACAGCCCCAGGTAAGTGAGCTTGTGAAGGGGAAAAAAGAACGGGAACAAGTGATAAGGCAACGACTGGAGGAAACCATCACCGGCCTTGAAGGCATGAGAGGCAAACGGCGTGCAAATGATCCACTTGTGATGCAGCTTATGCAAACGGGGATACACCCAACGATGGTGCAAGAAACGATGAGCCCAGTAAATTCCGAAATCGGAGAAAATAACAAACAAGGGCAGAGAAACGAAATAGTACTTCCAGCCGTAATCACTAATGTTGTCGTACAGGTAACTGTATCCGTGGAGCTCGGCCAAAAACCAGGGCACCGTAAGAGCAGCCATTCCGGGCAAGTTCTTCATGGCCGTCATGATTTCCAGCCGGACCTGGTTCTTCAGAAACTTTGGATGTTTCATCAGCGACTTGTCAAACACAAAGTGATACGACAGGGAAGAAAAGAAACCGTACAAAAACACACCAAACACCCATGTCAGCAAGTACAGGCTGATGGTCTGGCGGACAATGTTGTCACGGGGGACGGGCCATACGGCACCGTACACCTTGTCGAACACAACCGTGTCAGCAACACTAAGAACGTAATCCATGAGAAAGACGCGTTTAAACCCGGTTCAATCGGCACACGGTATATAATGTACACAGCAGAGAGAAATAGTACAGTACAAACGCGAACAGACAGACGCGTTAGCAGACAAAAAATAAAGGTATTAACAATAGCTACGACACCAAACAACCAGACACAATTATTGCGTGGACACCTGTTTTGGTGGTGAAGTTATGTGGGATTTGTGGGGTCTAGTGGGATGTGGGGGAATAGCAATAATAATAATACAAGACACTGACCAAAGTCCAAGCCGAGAGAGCGTGGGGGCCAAGGGCGAAGGCGGGGGATGAAATGTGTGTGTGTGGTGAGTAAAAGACGGCGGTAGTTGCGAAAGCAGTTACTTTTAAGTTCATTGTGGGCTGATTTTCTATTAACCGAGAAGGTATTCCCAAGGGCTGATTCGCCGACAGTACCCAATCACTTGCGGGCAAATCAAAACTGCGTCCAATGGGAACACAGCGGAAGAGGGGATGCCGAGTGGCAAGGGCGGAAAGGCGAATGAGCGAGATGGTGAATGCAGGCGAAAACGGCGTGAACAAGTGGAGACAAAGAGGAGCAGAGGGAAATTGAGTTCACCAAAAATAGTTTCATTAATAAAATCGTAAAAAAAAGTTTTGCTTGTCATAAAATAATTTCGTTTTCATCAGCAGCTGGAGACGTCATTCCAGTTGACCAATCATTTTGGGGAAAGATACGGGTCATCCCAGGGGAAACAATTCCTTTTGTAAGCGGTTATTTCACTGATTCGCCGAAAAAAGCACGTGGACGAAGCGAACACGTCAGCAAGATGTAAGGATCTGCCAGCACGGTTTCGCTTAAGGGAAACCTTAAATAAACGATGTCGCTAGATGCGACTAGGACTGCATGTAGTAGTAGAAGTAGTAGTAGGTAGGTAGGTAGAGATGCTGTAGCAGCAGACGCTGTAGAGTAACGGGAATCGCATTCTTTTCGGTTTCATAAAGACGTCGAGAAGCTTGGAAGCTGCTCTTAGGGAACGGGAGGGGGGTAGATTTGTACATTTGAGAATGTGAGCGTCCGTTGCCCGCGAGTGCGCTTGAGTCTTCGGAGAACCAAGGTGTGGTTTATGCGTGCGTGTATGTGCGTGTATGTGTGTGAGAGTGTGTAGTAGTAAGGAAAAGAAAAAAGTCAAAGATGCAGTAAATGCGGGAACGTCTGAAAAGTGTTGGAGAGAAAGCAGAGACGGCGGCGACGACGGTGACCGGTGGAAGAGTACAGTGGGAGCGCAAGCACACAGGGCACAGGGCACAGGAAGCCCGGGATGGCAGTAGAGGGGGCGACAAAGGGCGGGACTGCAGGCGGCAGGGTGCAAGCGAGCGTGTGGGAGGAAAGACGTGCCAGGGTCCTGTTCCAACCGTATGTGAGAGAGAGTCTTGCACGAAATAATCTCGCGCACCAATCCCAGCGGGTGTGTGCGCAAGAAACCAACAGTAGTAGTCAAAACATCCCCATGATATGAAACGATCTTGACAGGGATGAATCGCAGGAAAGGTGCGAAGGGAAGGGGAGACGACGGGGGAGAGCTTCGAAAAGGGGAAATGAGATGGAGACTATGGATGGGCGTGAGATGCTGCAAGGACATGAAAATGTCGCAGCACATCCTCCCTTTCTCCATTCCATCCACGCTAACACACTGCTCGTCTCTGCAGCTTCTCCCCTCTACCCTTTCGCCTCAATCGAAAACGTGACGGAGATACTCTTCAGAGTCGGCATACACCTTGCGAACAACGGCCATTGCCTTCGTCAGAAGGTCGACAGCGACATTGTCGTCGGGAAGAGGATCGGTGCCGTTGCTTGACTTGCAGGCACCGAATCGCTGAATGAGTTCGCAGGCACGTTTCATGCGATTCAGACCAAGGGCAGCGGAAGAGCCTTTGAGAAAGTGACCGAGAGACGAGACGCTGGACAAGTCCCGCTTGTCGAGGGCCTCTTGTAGCTGGTCGAGGGTCGTAGTGGCCTGCTCGTTGTAGTTCGAGACGATGCTCTTGCTAAACTCGTGGTTGTCGTCGTCGTCCATCTCCAGCAGCTGGTCGAATGTAGTACGGTCGATCATCTCAATGTACTCGAGCTCCTTGTCCAGGCTCGATTCTTCCACACCGTAAGCGAGAGACGACGAAGACAGAGCAGCCGCAGCACCGTCCGTCGAAAAGTGGTCTCGACTGGAAACAAGGTCGATGCCACTGCCGTTCGCAACCACGGCCGTCGCAGCAGCCAGGCTGGAGGCTCCTCCCATCCCGATTTCGGTACCGGCACCACAGCAACCAGGGCTCACGCAGCACCAATGTCTGCCGTGGCAGTAGCGTCCTTTTCGAATGTGTTGTTCAAGGGCAGAGGGCTGTGGTCCATCGACTGTGCATTGCCCGAGTCGGGACTGCTGGCGTTCGACGACTGGGAAGCACGGGCCAGATCAGCGTTCAGCAGCTGCGTACGACGGGCGAACCGTCCGGGGATACCACGACTGTTGGTGGTGTTCAGAAAATCGTTACGAAAACTCATGACAGAGAAATAGACGGACAAACGTGTGTGTGAGGATGAAGAACGTTGACGATAAAAACCAAGAAAATTGTCCACAGAACTACGAATTCACGCAAAAAAGGGCAAAAAGGGCAAAAAAGATAATAAAAATCGCGGATCGCAAGTCAATCAGAGCGGAAAAGCCGGGCTTTGATGACAGTGAGGGGAAAAACTGCTCCGGAAAGCACAAGTCGTGAATAAGTCGGGGAAAGACCGGCGGAAAAAACAAAAAGAAAAAGTTGGAGAACGGACAGTGAGGAGACGGCGCGGTAAGTACCAGAGCGGCGGATGTGACACTGCAAATAGAGAAAAACGGTGACGATCAGGGAGCAAGATGGAAAGTGAGGTGCAGGGGGAGGAGGGAGGGGTGTTGGAGAGAGGTGGAGCGTGCCGTGTCGATCATCAGACGCGGATCATGCTGCGTCGATCATGGGTGACGTGGGGGAGGTGGGAAATGCGGGGCAAGATAGGATTGGTGGAGAAAGATAGGGTTTAAGGGGGTGACGATTTGCGAGGGATTAAGGATTGGCGGAGAATGCGAATTTGCGACAATTAACGATTGGCTGCGGAGCTCAGTTTACAATGACATCATATTGTGGTAAGCGAGGGTGGAAGGTCGAGCAACTGCCAGCGGCAGTTGTCGCGTCGAGCAGCAGCAGCAGCAGCAGCGGTGGCAGCCCCATCGCCTATTTACTCACTGCATGGATTGCCTCGGCCAGGTAGCGGACATTGCCGGTGTGATGCCGGAGATGCTGATGCGGCCGTTACGGGTCAAATACACGTGCCAAGTCACGTGTGAGCTTATCCACCTGGGCGGGATTGAGGCCTGTGTAGCAGAACATGCCGATCTGGCTCGTGATGTGGGACCAGTCGTGCGCGCTGTGGAAGGTGTCCTCGAGATGGCTGCGCAGAAGAGCGCGCATGTCGCGAATGCGCGTGGACATTGTCTCGATGTCCTGGTGCCATTGCGTCCGCAGCTCCGGATCGCCCAAAATGCGCGCGGCAATTCGCGCGCCATGCACCGGAGGGTTCGAGTACAAGCCGCGGATGATGATCTTGACCTGCGACTCGAGACGCGCAGCCTCCTCGGCACTTGCAGCCAGCATGCTGAAGCAGCCGACACGCTCACCGTACAGGCCCATGTTCTTGGCGAACGACTGGCACAGCATCATCGGCACATTCATTTCGGCAAACAGGCGCGGGGCAAACCCATCCCGTGCGGGGTTGCCGCTCGCGAAACCCTGGTAGGCCATGTCCATCAAAACAAAATGGTTCTTGGTGCGGACGACGCGGAGGATGTCGTCCCACTGCTCGGGCGTCGGGTCGACGCCGGTGGGGTTGTGTGCGCAGGCGTGCAGCAGCACAATGGACCGGTCGGGCATGTCCTCCAGGTCGGCAAGCATGCCCTGTGCGTCCAGCATGTGCGTCTTAGGGTCGTAGTAGCGATATGATTGGACGGCAAGCCCCGCAGCCGAAAACACGTTGTTGTGGTTGCCCCACGTGGGGTTCGAAACGTAAATCGTGCTGGAGGGCTCGTAGAACTTGGCCAGCACGGCAGCAGCAACTCGGAGGGCACCGGTGCCGCTGAGACTCTGTGCGGACACGAGACGCTCGGCGATGCTTTCGTACACCTCGTCGCCGTACGCGAGACGCGTGGCCAGCTCGCGGAACACGGGAATGCCGGTGATCGGCGCGTACTCCTTGTCGAGGTTCATTTGGGCAAGCGCGTTTTCCGCCTTGCGCACACTTGGAAGCAGGAAGGGGCGTCCCGCGTCGTCGCGGTACGCGCCGACGCCCAAATTCATTTTCTTCGCGTTCGTCGAGGCCTTGAATTTCTCGGAAATGCCGAGGATGGCGTCCGGCGGCCCCATCGGCACCTTGGCCCATGCAGACATGGCACGGGCCAGACCCGGAGTGGAGTGTGGGGGGAATGCGGGGGCCCGGTGGGCGAGAGAAGAGAGCGAGAGAGCTGAGCGAGTCGTCATGTGGGGGACAAAAAGGCTGTACGGTGGTAGTGGGGGTATCTGAGGGAGAGCAGGCGAGGATCGAGCGAAACAAAAAGCGTCTGAGTGGGTTCAAGAAAGAGAGGAGCTGCGCAGGAAGAACGCAGCGGTGTTGGTCGAGGAGAGGAGGGTGAGCCGGTGAGGAGGCGAGAAGAAGGGAACGACTGCGATAAGATGAAGGAGTTGCGGAAGATTACGGCAGTGCAGCGCTGGGGGTCTGGGGGTTCGGTTCGGAACTCACGTTAGTGATTAGTGATAGGGAGCGTCAGCGAGCTGCAACGCGCGCCAGCGCGCTGCGGCTTTAGTGCATATAGTGTGCTGGCTTCGGAGGCGGTAAGGGCGGTGTAGGGGATGCACTGCAGTGCGCTAGCGGGTATAGCGTGTCGCGGTGCGTCGCGTAGAAGCTGGATAGAGAGCTGTGTCAGAGAGCTGTGTCAGAGAGCGCTAATACCGATTGCGCAGCTCGCTGCGTCTCGCTGCGCGAACAGCAACACAGTCCCGTTATCGCCACCCCTGTCCTCCCCACCCCCGCGTCGCTGCACCATCGGTTGCCACAGCTCGCAGCAGCTCGCTATCGCTCGCTATTGCTCCCTGCTTCTCGTTGCCGCTCGCTGCTGCTCGCTGCCTCTCCTTTTCCCTCGCTTCTGTTCACTGCAGCTCACTGAACCATGTCCCGCACAATTCCTGCCCTTTCTCCTCACTGCTCAGCACTGGCCCATCCATGGCCGTTGATCCAAGTGCAGTTTCGCGACTCCTCTCTTCTGCTTCTAGCGCGGGCTCGCAACCGCATACTTCGGCGGACCTTCCACTGCCCACCTCCAGCGGCACCATCGACCTCACCGACAGCTCGTCCAACCTGGGCGCCGGTGGCCTTCTCGGCGTCTTTGTACAGAAACACGAACAGCAGCAGGCCCAGCACGCACCAAATGGCGGTTCGGCTGGGCCTGTAGGCTCTGCACAGCCCGGCGGCTGTCCTGGCAGCAGCAGCGGCAGGCTGCGTCGAGACTCGACCAGCTATCACAGGACGACGAAGGAGGTGATGAGTGTCGAGAGCGCCTGTGTTGGTCTTCTCATTGGAAAAGGCGGTGAGACGCTACGTCGTATCGAGTCTCAGACGAACGTGCGTGTCCAGTTCATGCCGGAACGGCCTTCTCATCCCGGAGAACGTGCCGCCATCCTTACCGGCCGTCCTGAATGCATCGAACAGTGCCGTCGTGAAATGCTCCACATGATTGCCGAGTACAAGTGGACCCTGGCTCGAGGTGCTGCTGGCACAGCTGCTTCTCCAGCTGTGGCCGGGTTGAATACCAACGTAGTCGGACCCGGCTCCAATGGACCAGCTGTGGCCACGGGAAGCACTGCAACAGCAGCTCCTGCAGGTATCAGTGCCGACGCCTCGCTCACGTTTGCCATTCCCGATCGCTGTGTGGGCCTCATCATTGGAAAGGGCGGTGAAACAATCCGTGACCTGCAAGAAGCCTCCAAAACCCGTATCAACATAAAAAGCGAAAGCGACAGTAGAAACGGTGCGCGTCCTGTGTACCTGTACGGGTCTCCAGAGGCTACTGCTCGTGCACAGGCCATGATCCTCGACATTGTGCAGCAAGATCTCAACAAGGACGCAGCAGCAGCGGCTGCTGCTGCCGCTGCCGCCGCTTCACAAGTCGCCGGGGGATCGTCCTCGTCGTCCACGCCTACCGCTCTTGCTCCGCCGACGTTGTCTCCGTCTCTCTCTACGCTCACTCGAACCAAAATTATTTCCGTGCCTCGGGAATCGGTGGGTCTGCTCATCGGCAGAGGCGGTGAGACGATTCGAGAGATGAATGCACAAACAAAGTGTCAGATTAAGGTCGCTCCTGACCTGCGTACGCCCGACAATCGACGCAATGTTTCTCTCATCGGCACTCCTGAAGCCATTGAACTTGCCGAGGCTACCATACGCCGCCGTCTGGAACGTGGCCGTTCGCTTCCTCGTCGCACTATCGACCCTTCAAGTCCTGCCACTGCTAGCCAGACGCCGGGTGCTCATGTTCCATACCCCAATTACCACAACATATATGCACCCCCTTGGAAGAGTTATGCTGGGGCAGCTTCGCAGCCTCCAGATCCGCACTCCCAGCCGTGATGTGGGGACGAGCAGGAGTGAGCATGTCTGAAGGTTGGGAAAGCAGTCTTGGTGCGTAGGTGATGACGAACAGCGTTGGTGATGAAACACCTTTTTGGTAAACCAACCCTTCCCCATCACTGCATCCAGCCTGTTTTCCGTCTCTTCACGCATGGTCCACGTCTTTATTTCTCTCTTTCTTTCTCTCTTTCTCCAAAAAAAAATTGGAATTATATTTCTGTCTGTACTTTAGAGTGGACATACTCCTCACGCCCAAAAAAAAAACAAACCGTGGTACTCGTCTTGCTTATGTTATCTTCCTTCTCGATGCTTATACGTGCGTGATCATCACTTCCTCACCACCGTTTTATCGTCACCCTTTTCCTTTACTATTCCTTCCCGTCGCTGTTCCTTCAGCTTGTTTCGTTTCCAATGTTTTCTCTTGTCTACATATGCACACATACACATCCACACACATCACATACTCTTTCACCAGTCTCCTCTGGGCTCGTTTTATTCTGTTCTCTTTCTATCTTTTGATCCCATTCCTTTGCACGTGCATACTCGTTCACAATCACTCACAATCGCCCACAAAATCGCTTTCCCATTTCATTTCTTGTTCCATCTCTGTTTTCGTGTTTGTTTGTTTGTTTTGTTATTGTTTTTCCCATCCCCCTTCCCACACATTCCCTCTCCGTTTCTTCCTCCTTTTTCCCTTCCTCCCATTCGCTACTACTTATTCTTGTGCGTGCGTGTTGCCATTCCTAATTCTCTTTCTTTCCTGTTCTCCTATTCTTCTTCTCGTTTTTGTTTCTCTCTATCTTATCTCACTCGCATTCACATCCATCCTCCTCCATCCCCTTTTACCATCCCATTCCCTCACTTAGATGAATTTCATGAATCACACATGACCTGGTCATCCATCGTAACCGGCCATTCAACGCTAACAGTTCACACACATACACAAACACATTGTGCGTGGCAGACAAACCCGAGGACACTGACCAGTCTCTCTTCTGTTCTGAACTTGTTTCGTTGGACGCACACCGATGATGCTCTGTCATCTCGGATTCCACTCACCGTAAACATTTCTTCCTTTACGAGCGAGACTTTCCAGTACCGCCTCAACACGGCGGGTCTGAGATTTTCTTCGGGGGATTTTGGCTTCGTACTGTAACTGAGCGCTGTTCTGCCGCCTGCCTCCTGTGCAGCTGTAGACCATCGTTCCTACCGCTGCCGCTACCGTTGCTACTGCTACCACTACTACTGCTGCAGCCAGCTGCCTACTTCTGACCAGCTTGACTCCCAAGACCAGTTTTGGTGTAGTAGTTTTGGTGGTGAGTTTGGTTTGCTGCTAACCGACATAAGCGAAACGTGCTCGTATCGATTCGCTTGTGTGGTGGTGCAGTAACAACGCAGTGGAGGGAAGCAGCACAGATGTGGGGGTCGAGGAGGACGAGAGGGCAAATGGCGACGTCGATTTCTGCGTACAACCAAACACGCCCGGTATCTACAAATTTAGACAATGGTAGGTTTTTTGCGCAGATGCTCGTTAGGATGAAGAATTACGATATTGAGAATGTTCTCATTCAACTGCTGACGTTTTTTGCTTTCGAACGATACCGAATTCGTCTGTTGGGAAGTGGTCAAAGTTATTTTTTGATGGGAAACACGTTTTTGCTGCTGGACAATGTCCATTGCGGTGTTCGTTGCAATTGTGTGTTACACAACATCCTACTGCGAACCTCTCCTCTCTCCTAGTGTGTTTTCATTGAATGGTTTTATTAACAAATTGTATAGGGACAAGCTCAATCAGGATTCTCCAATTTTGGAGATGGCGCCAACAATGGTAATCAAAAGGGACAAAAGAAAGAGAAACCAAAATACGAACCTCCGGTACCTACGCGGACAGGACGTAGAAAAAAGAGAATGCAATCGGGCCCAGACGCGGCCACGAAGCTCCCTGCAGTTCTGCCTACTACGCGCTGCCGTCTGAGACTTTTGAAAATGCAACGAATTCATGACCATCTCCTAATGGAGGAAGAGTATGTAAAAAACCAAGAACGTCTCAAGCCCCAGGACGAAAAGACGCAGGAGGAACGCAATCGGGTTGACGAGATTCGGGGGACCCCAATGTCTGTGGGTACGTTGGAGGAACTAATTGATGATGACCACGCCATTGTTTCGACTGCTGGACCCGAGTACTATGTTTCCATCATGTCATTCGTTGATAAAGACATGCTGGAGCCCGGCTGCAGCGTTCTCCTACACCACAAGACTCTGAGTATTGTCGGTGTGCTGCTTGATGACACGGACCCTATGATTAATGTAATGAAGTTGGAAAAAGCACCCAACGAAAGTTATGCCGACATCGGTGGTCTCGAATCTCAGATTCAAGAAATCAAAGAGGCCGTCGAGCTTCCTCTTACCCATCCAGAGCTCTACGAAGAAATGGGTATCAAGCCACCAAAGGGTGTCATTTTGTACGGTTCTCCCGGTACCGGTAAAACGCTTCTTGCCAAGGCTGTGGCTAACCAAACCTCTGCCACCTTTCTGCGTGTTGTCGGCTCTGAACTTATTCAAAAGTACCTGGGTGACGGTCCGCGTTTAGTGCGTCAACTCTTCAAGGCTGCTGAGGATCATGCACCTTCTATCGTCTTTATTGATGAAATCGATGCCATCGGTACCAAGCGGTACGACGCTCAGTCGGGTGCCGAACGCGAAATTCAACGAACCATGCTTGAGCTGCTGAACCAGCTCGATGGTTTTGATACCAGTAACCGTGACATTAAAGTGATCATGGCTACGAACCGCATTAACGATCTCGATCCAGCCCTCATCCGTCCTGGACGTATTGATCGTAAAATCTTGTTTGAAAACCCTGATGAAAACACAAAACGCAAGATTTTCAACATTCACACCTCTAAAATGAACCTCGGTGACGACGTGAATTTGGAGGAGCTTATCCAATGCAAAGACGAACTGTCCGGTGCTGAAATCAAAGCCATTGTTTCTGAAGCTGGTTTGCTTGCTTTGCGCGAACGTCGTATGCGTGTTGTGATGGATGACTTTAGACAAGCTCGTGAAAAGGTTTTGAAGACCAAGGACGAGAGTGGACCTGTGAGTGGACTTTATCTTTAGATGCGTCTACACACATGCTTTCCATTTTTCGTCGACTCATATTCATTTCCTTATACCTAAATCATACTTGCTTGATTGACGGTGTTACTGTCAATCGAGTGTTGTACGTAGACCAACAATACACATGAAGCTTGCCTATGGAAAAGGGAATGGTGTTTCAGTATTACATTGTTTTATTTTTAACAAAGTTGTAACTAATCTTTGTTCCAAAATGTGGAGGATTATCTTAATGTATTCGTGCTGGATATTATGCCTGTGCCTTGACTGGACGACACAGTTCATCGTAGTTGGTTGGGTTCAGATTACGAACCACGGTTTTAAAGACAGTTAAGGGACAAATGGAATCGTCACCCCGGAAACCTTTGCCCTTACAGGCACCCATAACGACGGGACTGGAATTGTAGTTGATGCGTACATACCAGTCAGCAAGTTCTGATGGTGAGGATGTAGTTGCTACCGAGTTAGAAGTCGATTGAGCACTTTCTTTTGACTTGTCTTGGAAGAGTTCAAGTTCTAGATGAGAGGTAAAAGGAGGCCATTTGTAGTCAAAGGAATCTGTTGCTGCGAGAATAGCGGCTACAGTTACATCGTGAGCGCCGTAGAGTTCAAGCTTCTGATTTCCCTTGTTGCCTTGGGTGCATGACTCCATGCGATTATACAAGTCGTTTAACAAGCTACCAGCACCAAGCACGCGCATGAGCTTGGATTGCTTGTAGCCTCCAAACCATTCTTCCGTAACAGCCTTTTGTGCATCGCTGAGAAAGTGGGTATCAGTTAAGTTGGGGTGAAGAGGAACATGGTTACCAATAGCAGCGTTTATGGTATCAAGCAAGCCGCTGAGACGAGGATGACTAGATACGACGCGAACAGGTTGACCGTCCATGAACTCGCTCATCATTTCGGAAGCGCGACCGGCAAGCAAGGGATCAAACTTGATGGCTGCTTTGGTAGCAAACTCCTCATACAATTGGCGGAGTCTAGGGCAGTTGTTCTCGTTAGGTAACAGGTTCTCCTCGGCCCAATTGCGATTGTAAATGACAGGAAGGAAACCAGAACGCTTTTCTTCGGGATACAGTCCCTCAAAGACATGTTCGAGCGATTCCAGTGCACGAACAAGTGGAGTGGCACGCATGTACACCTGGGAATTTTGGCTCAGTGCATCGGGTAAGAATTTAAGACGCTGAATATAACGCTCGCGCAGATATTCACCGAGTTGACGAGTCGTAGTGCGACCGATATCTGTAAGCTCACCATGGTAGCAAACAGCACTTTCGGTGGGTTCTTGCACGGGTGCGTTTAAGGTCATATGGTCGGGTCTTTCCATTTTACGCTCATAGCCCAAAACGGTCCATCTCTTTTGACCCTGAATTTGAGCGAAAAAGCGACGAGCATTATTGCACATCTTCCAATCTCTTGGAATTCCTGCGCTCTCTAAACGGTCCTTTACTGGCGTACGTTCACCATGACGAAAAATCACCTGCAGGTACTTGAGTTCTAAAGGTTCAGGATAGTCCAAGCCAGGAGCCGGTGAAGGAAAGAAAACCGAAGCTGTTGACATTTGTGACATGGCGACAAATGAGTTTTGTTTCTAGTATCTATTGTGATTGAACACGCGGATTTTATGATTCTTATGGTGGAACAAACGAAATAATTGGAGAGTTTGTACGAATGAGCTTTAGCAACAGTATAAGGATTGTATGTCGCACTGGAAAGCAAGTCTTGTAACACAAATGAATGTTTTTGTTTATAGTTCCTGAAGAGTGAGTGGTTTCTTGGTAAATTGTATGAATGAAATGAAACTGAGAGGATAAATTAGGAGACTGAAAAGAGATTGAGTAGTGTGTGAAAGAGGTAGAGTGAGAACAAAGATATAAAGCACTATGTGAGATTATAAAGTTATTTCAAGAATTAAAAGGTTTCTCGTTCCGTTAATTTGAGCTGAAGATTTTGGTGAACAAAGCCGGATCAATTATTACCGTACTTTATGATTTATCCGTGTCAGAGTTTGTACTGAACAGACTGCGTTAGTCCCTTAAATAGACTTCAGAGAGTATTGTTTTTCATAACGAATGAAGTCCCCGGTCGATGTGAGTCAAATTAATTCCACTTTTTTTTTTAATTTATGAAATGATACAATATACAGAAAGTCTACGAAATCAGTATTATAGCAGAGCCAGCTTTGTAAGAATTTTTTTTTAAACAAAGAAGACGTATGTGACAATGCTAGTGGTGCTATTCGTTTGAGTTTGTTGCTTTGCTTAAGAGCAGGGGAGGTTTGATATAAATAGCCAAAAACCCTTTGTTTCACGGGGAAAAAAAGGATAATGTCGGGTTTGGTACCATGAATGTCCTCTGTTTGTTTATTGAATTGAATTTTCTTCCGGAGAAATTCGATTCATAATTTTGAAAAGAACGAAGGAGAAAGAAACTGCATATGTACATAAAATATAGTATAAGATACATATTGCTCATATGGAGGACTTTATTTTTCGTTTGAAGTTTTAATTGTTTGCCTTGTAAGCAACGATAGAAAAGGAAGAAATCAAACATCGCAGAGTAGAAACACTTGCAGCATATTCAGCTCTTTGTAAATCACTGTTAAGGTCGGAGATACGAACACATAACCAGGCGGTTTTAAGAAGAATTATTAGATCACAAGCCATAGCAACGTCCCAATATTGCTGAGCACATAACGACTACATTAGTAGTTGGACCCTTTCCTGTAAAAAATAGAAAAGGGTATTTCTTAGAATATTTTGTAATAGTAACACCCGTGGTGCTTTGGTTTAGGGATTCTTAGGAATAAAGTTTCGCTTTAATAAATTAATTATGCGAATCGCAATTAGACTATAATTTGCGATGAGGCATTTGCTGTTGTGTTAACGAAGAGCAATATGGATTTTTTTGAAGTCAATTTTGTCAATAGAACGGAAAGACATATTCGCAATCAAAGAAAGTTTCAGTTTCGTTAAAGTAATCGTTAATAATAGTTGCTATTTAGTGGACCTCAATTAAATACATTTATATAGACAGAATCGGGCAAAATATGGCATCATTATAATTACTATGTAAGATTTATTCAACTGAATTTCACCCAATGCAAACTATCATTGGTATTAGCTGGACTTACTTGAGACTGGGTTTTCAAGTCCGTTTATAGAGACAGATTGAAACACGAGAGAAAAACAGCAGCAGCAAGACTAAATGCTATCCAGAATGTACCGGTTCTTGAAGCCGCAGAACAGTGTCCATCAATGCTATCGTTAAATGAAACTTTGACTTGATAGTCCGTTTCGTTTGAATACAACGACCGTGTCACAACAGAATATTCACCGGCTTTCTCCAAAAGTGCCCACGCAGCGAGGGATTCGTTTCCATATGGGATGTGAATACCCATAGACAATACTTTGTCTTTTCCCGTATGAATAGCAAATGGGGTATCATCATCGCCCAAGGAAAACCCAATGGTTCCAGGACCATAAAGAAGATATGAAAATGCCCTGTCATTTGAGGGATCAATATTCAAAAGAATTTCACCAATATTGCCCTTGCTGGGTTTTATGTAAGCAGTAGCATTTGTGACAGATGAGTTCAGAGTAAATGTCGCATCGGCTGCAGCCTTGTGGAAGAATTGCAGAAGCAACAAGAGATTAATGTTCAGAAAGTTCAGCTTCATTGCAATGTCCAATTGTTAGAATTCGATGAGGATGTCTATGTAACGAATACAACAGAAGTATTTATACAAGCGCTGCTAATCTTCGACAACGACAAGCAGATGCTGCACATGGCGCCACGCGTAATGAGCAATTTCTCATATTGGGATTAATTATTCTCGGTGAAATTATTCTTCGCATTCGCTGCATGGGAAGGGGTGCGACGAGCGCAAGCGTTGGACTGAGTCACATTATCTACTCGAAGCGATACGAATGTAACGAGAAGCAAACCAAAGGTGTCTCGTTTAACTGGGTTGTTGATGATTACTCAAGTACAGCTCCAGGTCATATACACAAGTCAATATACGTAATATCAATTTTTATTCCACCAATGTTCGATAAGGTGCGATTGCAAGTGCTTGAAAGTTACTGGACCCTTATAGCATAGTCTAAATTTGAGTATGGAGTCCCCATAAGAGAATTTACTATAAGAAATCTGAACATTGGAAGCTACGTTCGTAAAAAGGTTTTCTTATTTCGCTAAATATTGCAAAAACAGGGACAAATTCATGATTTTAAGGAAATGAGAGAGATTGTTTGTTATATCAAAATATTTGCTAAGCGATTGCTAAATTTAAGCACGTTTTTGCGGCTCCTCTTTTCAATAATACAATGAATTAATATATAAATGTTTTGTCATTGCCCTTTCACGAACGTAGAAGAGTATCAGAATTGAGAACTTAAACGTCTCGTATTCATGAATGTTCATCATAACATGAAGAACATGGAACTATCTGATTTTAACCCAACAAGGGAATCTGAATTTTAAATTAATCCAAGTCTCATTCTCTACATTGGTAATAACCAGAATTCATTATCTTTTTGTATTTACCAATTGTGACTCACCGCACTTGATTTTAATAAAAGCGAAACCTTATTACCAAAGGTTTCCAATCAAGGGGCCTACAGTATGTATTTTCCCAAGGCTTTGCTACGCTGTAACTTCGCGTATTTCCGGAGTTAGCAGTAATGGAGAAATACAATTGCGCCGATTCGCCTCACTGATTCGGTTTTCCCACATCACATGCTACTGTTAATATGTATTCAACATCATTTAGGGCTATTTTTTTCGCAAACCTAGAAGTTTTTTTCAGAATTGTTTCTATTGGAAGATAGTTTTTCCGCTATGAGAAGCGTGAGAGTGAATAGTCAATCACATGAAGTCCATGTGCTCGTCTCATGGCACGTGTAGCATCTGCTTGTCGTTGTCGAAGATTAGTAGCGCTTGTATAAATACTTTGGTTGTATTCGTTATATAGACATCCTCATCGAATTCTAACAATTGGACATTGCAATGAAGCTGAACTTTCTGAACATTAATCTCTTGTTGCTTCTGCAATTCTTCCACAAGGCTGCAGCCGATGCGACATTTACTCTGAACTCATCTGTCACAAATGCTACTGCTTACATAAAACCCATCAACAAGAACGCCTCGGTTTCTTTGGACGTTAATCCCTTAATGAACAATTCATTCTCTTTACTTATATATGGCCCTGGAGATGTTCAGTTCATAGCAACTAAAGACGGCCAGATCATTGTCGAGAAAGGTTGGGATCGTGTCATATTATTGGGATACTATTTCCCTGGAGGAACGACCAGCGGCTGTTTTACCTTGGAAAATGCTGGCGAATATACTGTTTGGAGTCATAACTACGGAAACGACACAAGTGATTATCAATTGAACGTTACTTATACGAACGGTACTTCTTCTAAGCACAAAAGTTCTGCGGCTTCTAAATCGGGTTCTATCAACACAATGCTGGTTTTACTCGTAGCTGTTTTTCTTTCCGCTTTCAGTTTATATATGTAGCGGAAAATAATAAGTATAGCATAACATAATAAAAGAATTACTAATGTAACTTTCTGCAAAGTCAAGCATTACGATTGTCGGCGTTCTCGTTCGTTGTGAGATGAATTTTTAAGCTTGAATTGGCAAGGCAAATGATACTTAATTGTTGTATCAGAGGTATCTAGAATAATAGGCTTACTATGTCCGATTCCACTTGAAGATGCTATTGAACATAGATTGTCATTCTCTGCTGACTATCTTCTTTGTTCTTAATAAAACAATTAACTATTTCACTACTTAAAGAAACGTCTTTTCAAATTCATAATCTTTACCAAAAGCTGTAACTTAAAATATTGTTAAACACCATACTTCAACAACGCTCTTTGGCGGGTAAAAGAACAGTCAAAACCTAATTTGAGCTGTCTAAATCAATGAAAACGTGGCTCCTCGCGTAATTGATTCATGATATTTTCTGTTCTCACTTGAAATAGTTTCCTCAAAAAGTTCTTCAACGATGAAACCTATATAAGCGTTTATACATCAGAAGATAAACCATGCTAAGAGAGAATTGTTACTTAGTGCGTTCTTAATTTTCGTTTCGACTCTTCACCTCTTGGAAATATGTTCTGTTTTTCATTGACACTTTTTTTTTAATTTCCATTAAAAGCAATTTGCTTTTTGCGCAACCTATACATTCGTCTTTTCCTCTTCATCATACTAACAATTGCGTAAGATCATAGTCAAAAACTTGATTGTCGCATTCTCGTGCTTGTTACGTAAATATGCGCACCCCTCTTTTCCAGCATAGCCATATACATTTTCACAGCTTTCTCAAAAGTCAACGTTGTTATAACAATATGGGCTCTGAATTATGGACAAACGTCTTGAAAAAACTTATCTCCGAAAACAAAACAGAGAAAAAAGACTCGGACGCTGAGTCATTTCAGTTGGCAACATTACCGGCAATTGGAGAATGGTACCCCAGAGTTAGAACAGTAGCACTACGCGGATTTGTTGGTTGTGGATGGGACTATCAATCCACAGAAAAGGCAGCTCTCAAGACCGATTTGCTTGTTTTCTCAACCGATTTGTTGATGAAGAAATCTCGGAGTATTATTGAAAGACAACGTGAAACTCTTCGAACGAAATCTGTGCTAAACGGATATGAACTCTGTAACTGGCTTCCTAAAACCCTCCAACAAATGCGTTTGGCAGGCCAAATATGGATTTATTTACCTGAACTCTTGGCCAACGGTGAGTTTCCCGGACATGAATTGATTCAGAAACATAAGCTGCCAAACAATGCATCCGTTCCAGAAGATTGGTCGTGGGAGAAGGAAAGAGTGCGTTTGTGGTCCATCCATTCGGCTTCGTTGAGAGGAACATTTGCATGTCCCGAACCATACTCTCCTATTGATCCTAACTTCCACTATACTCCTCTGCCCGAAAAACTCACGGGTGATGAATCAGAGACTGTGAGGAAGAACTGGGAAGAGGCTTTTCATCGTTTTGCTCTCGTCGTTTGTGAGGTTCAACACTTTGAGCTGCTGGAAGCGGCTCCCCCTCCGGGAAGACATTTTGTAACAAAACCCATAAATGGCGAATGGGTTTGCGAAGAACTTAATTAATGAAACAAACCGTAATGGAATCAAAGTTTATGAATATGATGTACTACTTACTATACTTTGATAATTTAGATTATCATGATGTACATCCTAGCTTAGTTACCCCTATTTGATATATGTGTGTATCGTCTATGTGCTGTAACAATGCTCGGTCTCATCTAACGGATCTAAACGATCTTGAGTAATTGCTGAATAGTATTGCGAATTCTCTTATCCTATACTAACCCATCGGTGTACATTTTGTTATTCGACCACGCCCAATAAATGGGAGCAAAAATCCTCGAATTACGCATATTCTTTTAAGTGAACTTCTCGTTTTTTCCTGTTCTCGGTAAAGAATAAAACATGTACGGAATTACGAACAAGCCATAATACTAAATAATTGATTTTGGACATTTTCTAATACTATTTGCAGTTTCCCTTAAACGTCGCTTTCTTGGAATATAGAATACCGGTCATTTACGGTTTTTGTTCGTCCTTTGTTTAACTATGAAGAAGACATGTTCGGAGGTTATTGCTGAAACTCTTGTTTCGCTACAAGTAAAGTACGTTTTTGGAATTGTTGGTATTCCGGTTATCCAAGTAGCTGAGGCAATTCGAGATGCTGGCATTCACTTCGTCTCTTTTCGTAATGAACAAAGTGCAGCTTATGCCGCTACTGCATATGCATATTTAACCAAAAAACCGGCTTTTTGTTTGGTCGTTGGCGGCCCCGGTGTTATCCATGCTATGGCAGGTGTATTTAATGCAAACAATAATAGGTGGCCACTTGTGCTACTTGCTGGATCTTCAGAGACAAGTTTGCGTCATATGGGTGCTTTTCAGGAATTTGATCAGGTCTCATTTTTGACTCCGCATACCAAATTTGCAGCAAGGCCACCTTCAATTCAGCTGCTCCCTTCGTACATTCAACGTGCGTATCGTGTGTCACATTTTGGTACTCCAGGAACTGCTTATGTCGACCTCCCGGCGGACCTTATTGAATCCAGTACAGCAAGTGAGGATATTTGCATTCCTTCACCAAGCAACATTCTGGATTCTCCAGTTGTTAATGCAGCAGAGGATGTGCTCAACAAGGTCGCAGATATCCTGATCCATGCAAAAGCTCCACTGATTGTAGTTGGAAAAGGTGTTGCGTATTCAAAGGCTGAAGATGCCGTTTACAATCTTGTCGAGAAAAGCGGGATTCCATTCCTACCAACTCCTATGGGAAAAGGATGTATTCCAGAAACACACCCTCTTAATGCATCTGCTGCACGATCCTCTGCCCTCAAATCTGCAGATGTGGTTATCTTGCTTGGTGCTCGGTTGAACTGGCTGCTTCACTTTGGGAAACAGCCTCGTTGGTCCCAAACTGTCCGCTTTATCCAAGTTGATACTTGTGCAGAGGAACTTGGAAATAATACATCACTTGGCTCAACATTCGTTTGGGCTGACATAGCGTGTTTTGCAAATCAATTGAGCACACTTTTGGAAAAGAAAGGTTATAAGCGCTCTCCTTCTGTTGCGCAATACGTTAACTCACTAGCAGCTGTGAGGAAAAAGAATGAACAAAAGGCACTTAATCAATTGCAAAGTTCAACTCCCCTCCGCATGAATTATTCTCTACACGTTATGAACGAAGTATTAACGTTGCTTTCTAAAAACAGTTCTACACCTGTAACGTGGGTCTCGGAAGGTGCTAATACAATGGATAGGAGCCGTTTGCTTTTACATGTGTCTCATGCAAGGGGTCGATTGGATGCTGGAACCACGTCTACCATGGGATTAGGAATGGGTTATTCTATCGCTACCGCTTTGGCAAATCCAAACCACCGGGTCGTGTCAGTGTTTGGTGACAGTGCTTTTGGATTCAGTGCTATGGAGGTTGAAACTGCTATTCGTAATAAGCTCAACATTATTATTATCATCCTCAACAACAACGGAATATATCACGGGCTTGATGCTGATTCTTATAAAGACTTAGAAGAAAAGAATCAGCTTCCGACAACGGCATTAAGTGTAGCAACGCGTTATGATGCCATATGTCAAGCTTGTGGCGGTCAAGGTTTTTTCGTCCAAACGGAGCAAGAGCTTAAAGATGCTTTGACAACAGCTTGGAAAACTAATAACGTTTCCCTTATCAATGTTATGATTGATCCTGAAAGCAAAATGAAATTGGTAAGTGTGACAAAATACTCAACACACCCTCTAACGATATTAGATATTTAACTGGATGCAAGAAACAAAGAAACCAGTGAAATTGTAATTATTAATTGTACTATTGCCATTATTATGAATATTAATATGTTTCATTAGCAATCATGATCATATGTCGTCTCAAAGTTTGGAGATATAAAAAGCTAGCTTGCGTTACATTCTGGAATAAGCATCAAGAACATCTGATAATAGCAAAGATCCGATATCTGAGTATTTACCTTGTGCAATGGGTAATGCTCCAGGTAGACTTCCATTGTTGATCTTTGGTTGAATGCTTAATATTCTGCATAGAAGGTTGTATATTTCAACATTTGCGAACGGGGATAATTGCTGTCTTGGATGTAACTTATGGAATGATGGACCCGAGGCCACAAACAAGGCTCGCATTAACGGTGACCTGTTGTCATAACCATGAACACCTTTAGGGTCATAGTCAATTTCTGGTGAATGATCAAGGCTGGAAACAACAGACCAACCAGGCTGAGGCACAATCCAGTTAGGGGCGATGCGATCATTAGCTGAATAATGCCATCTTTCAAGCATGGTTTCCCGCGAATAGTATGACCATGGGTATCCATTACTAGGTGCGTTTTTTCGCAGATCAGTTGCTATTCCAATATCGTCTTCGTTGTCAAATCCACGATAACCAGCCAAGGGCCAACCGTCTCGGTATTGGACCTGAGAAATGTTCATGACATCGTCCATCCATATCAAGCGAGAATTGGAAGTCGGTGCCATACCGTGATCACTGACGAAGACGATGTTGAGAATCTCCTTCAAATTTCTTTTCTGATAGACCTCGTGCAGAAACGTAGAAAGAGAGTCATCGACTATTCTGAGTGTGGAGTTCAGTTCAAATGATTCTGGACCGAATGCATGGCCCACGGAATCGATATGAGGGATATACAAAAGCAGAAGCTGAGGACGTGTCTCATCGGGCAAGTCCAACCAATTTATTACATCCTGGAATTTTCGGTCAAGTCCCATACTACCATTGTAGGGTGTGTAGAATGTCGGTTTAAGACCATTATTTTCTACTTCTGAACCAGGCCACATGTGAACAGCACTTCTTATACCATTGCGTTCAGCATTGATCCAAATTGGTTCGGAATGCGACCACCATTCCGGATCATGGTTGCAGTCTGGTCTAGTATTAACAAAATCTTTGTCTGAAGATCCGTCATGGAAGTTGTTACTGACTATTCCATGGACTTCTGGGTAATCACCTGTTACTAAGGTGTAATGATTTGGAAAAGTCATTGTAGGAAAAGAAGGAATCAAATATGGAGCTTGAATTCCATTTTGTGATATGTTGAATAGCGTCGGTGTCAAATTTCGATATAAGTAATCTGCTCGAAATCCGTCAAAAGAAACGAGCAAAACTGTCGGCTTAAATGTGTTTGTTCCATTACTCAAAACCTCTCCTCTAAACGGAAAGTATAGTAGCGTTGTTGTAAAGCGAGAACACAACCAATATCCGCACCCTATAACTAGAGCTACGCAAGCGAAATAGAACCTTCCCAAATACCAATGCGCGTCCCTTCTTTGATGGTGCACGTTTGGGATTCCATAGTTACCAAATAAACGAAAAATAGACAGCATAGCCTTTTTTCAGCGACACTTGTAGGTGACTGGTACGAACGACCATAAAGCGGCAAAAAAATGCATACTGAATACACTGTACTAAAGCAATTACTAGATTGAATCGTATTAAATGTTATTCATTACTCTGCTTCACCTATTAGACAAAAAACGAAAGTATTAAAGTGAAGAAGAACAAAACTTGCTCAATGAGAAACAACTCTTGGCTTCATGGCGTTCTATAATTTGCCGATACGTAACGGCAAAAGACTTTAAAATCTCCTTGTTGCACGTACATAATGCACCCAGATTAGAATAATGGAACACGGAGAGTAATGGGATACTGAGAAATGATCCTTGTTCGTTTGTCGAAACAAAACACCGTGTTCCAGAAAAGGTAATCGGTGAAATATCAGTACACGTACTACTTTTCTGGGTGCTTTGCGTTGTGCTAGAGTCCATGCTTTGGCACTTCTGCAAGGCAACAGCATCTCCTTGCAATTCTTCAAAAGTATTCTCACACATGTGTTTATAATTCGGAACTTTGAAATAATCAAGTGCTTCAGGGTCCATTGTCTTTGGAACAAAGGGGCCCGTATTGGTAAGGATGCTAGACCATTCAAAGTCCTTAAAGAAACTAAGATTTTGGATTTGTATAAACCCTGCAACACCAAGTCGCTTGCAAGGGTTCTTATCCAGCAACTGTGTTACCATCTCAATTGCTTCTTTAGAGCAGGCGTCCTTGTTCTTCGGCCACATAATTGGTTGATTAACAATGTTGTTGAAGAGATCATTTACATTTTCTGCAACAAACGGAGGACGGCCAAAAAGCATTTCAAACATGACGCACCCAAGAGCCCACCAGTCAACCATTTCTGTGGTAATATCTCCTTCAATTGCTTCTGGTGAAAGATAGCTCGGTGTACCTGCAACTCGAGTTCGGTGTTTTTGACAACTGTCAGTAAGAATGCTACAGTCAAGAAGACTGTAAATAGCTTCGTCGGCACATTTAATGTGCACATTTTCGAGACGGCAGCACAAGTCACTTTTCTTGGTACTATTGGTGATATCGACAGAACGACTTCTGGTATGGCTTCTTATAAATGTGCTTTTGTGTTTATAGTCTGTATTTGTACCCAAGAACGTACTGAGGCCAAAATCCGTTAACTTCATATGACCTTCGCTGTCAATTAGTATGTTTGAGGGCTTTATGTCATGGTGTATAATACCATGTTCGTGGATGTTTGCTACAGCATAGCACAGCTGTGCCATATAATAACGGACCCAATCTTCAGGTAATGCTCCCAAGTTTGATAATAGGGAAAAGCAATCACCACCGTTCATGTATTCTAAAACGTAACATATAAACGATTTGCTTTCAAAAGCATAGAACAATTTCACAATACTTGAGGACAGCTGATACATCTTCGTTATATTACGTTCATTGATGACATTTTTCAGTGTGTTCGCATTCGTGAGATCAGCCTTCCTGACTATTTTAATAGCGAAAAGCACGTCTGTACTTTTCTTTTTTGCGAGGAAGACAGATCCAAAAGCACCTCTGTTGATTGTTTTTATAACCTGAAAGTCCTGAATGCACGGTTGTGGAAATTTGCTAAGCACCAAATCTTCTAGCTTCGGAAGCGCTAGGGACCATACTAAAGACTGAATCGTATCAGAGCAAGAATTTTCGGCAACAATTTTTGAAAGAGCGTAGACGGACAAATCGTCCAAGAAAGCACGCTCTGTGTGTGCACGATTATTTTTCAAGCGCACACATGTTCTTGAATGATTGAAAGCAAGGGTACAACTAGTGTCAGAAAAACTTCGTTGAAATGGACATCTCTTCTTCATAGATTGTGAAAGTCCGCTTCTTTTAAAAGAATTTTGGGGGACGTAGGAACAGCTTTTGCTCATTGTTCCTTTAGTATTCGTGTTTTCAAGAATGTTGATCGACTGATAGAACTTCCTTGAATGTGTATGATAACTGAGATTGGAAGGAATGAATTCGATACTGCGTAAGGAAGCAAAGTGCCGAATCTTAAAGTCCGTATCTTGGAGAACCAAACCGAAAAGCTTAACATTATTCTTCATACGAAGCAATGCTTCGTTCTTTTTCGTTATGGAGTGTCGTATATCATGGAGCATTTTAGATAGATCGGACTTCACCTTGCACTTAAAATCCCATACAAGACTCTTCTGGAGCAACATACTCATGATTTTTTCGTTATTCGAAGGATCTGGAAAGTATACAACTTTGGAGTAGTTGCATAGATTAATCATTTTGTTCAATTCTTGAGTAAGAATGTCAAGTGTTTCCTTTAATGATTTTGGTTTTAGCACGACGGTCTCGTTTGTGTCAACAGTTAAACGAAATTCCGGAAGCATGTTCTTCGAGATAAGTGTAACGTTACCGTTGTAGTCAAAAAGATTATGATCGGCGTCTTGCTTTATAGTGTTCACAGTAGCTAATTTTACTTGAAATTGTTTCTGAAGTTCTTCCAACTCATATATGACATCGTGACAGATAACACAAAAGTCAGTATGCAATTCGTAATACCATTGTGGTAATAACTGCTCGCAAATGTAACATCGCGCCTTGGAAGGAGGAGCAATGCTATGAACTCGATTCATCACGGCCTTTTGCACGTATTCGTCGAGAATAAATATGCCAATACCCAGAGAATCAAGCAAGTCTCCGTATAGGAGACTACTATTTGGAAGCATTTTCGAGTACATGCATTTAAAAATCCAACTGATTCCATAATTTTCGTTTCCAGGCAATTCGGTTACCGCTGCCCTACAAAACATATCAATTGGATGACAGTTTTCACCAGAAAGATAGAGAAATTGCATTTCTGTCTCCGAGACATGGGGGTAATCACAACACTTTAAACGAACGTGCAGAGTTGCCATTTTATCTTGATGCTCAGTGAGCCAAGCCGACTCTTTCGTAATATTTCGTTTGTCTTTTTCGGACCATAAAAAGTGTCGAATATTACTGTTTTTCAAGGTATGCAATCTCATGAATTGGTAAAAGAATGTTGAAGCATGCATAATTGTTCCATCGAACTTTGTTACTATCCTTAACGGAAGTTCGTTAATCACCGTCTGCTTGAACAAATCAAACGTCGGAGTAACCATTGTTCGTTATTGATCTTTCTTCATTTGCAATCAGACCGCCTTCAGAAGACAGGAATCGCGGAAATATCTCAGGGTAGTGTTAATCTTGTTTATTGTACTAACATCGAGTTCTAGGTTGCTTTTGTAATTCTCGCAATTCGCGTGTGTTAGCGGCAGCTTACGACTTCATTACATTTTTCGCTTTCCAGAAATCACAGAGCCATTATTACTTCATGATTGACTGCCACAATGGCCAAAAAAAAATCAGAAAAAGCCACCACTGTAACCAAAACAGGCCAAAGCCAAAATAAAATCACTTTGAGGCTTCAAAAAATCGAACGGTCTGCGAGTTTACACAATTAAATAGCCATAAATGTGGATTAAGAGTGTTTTCATGTATTGGACGCGCGGTGAACAAACACTGACGTAACTGTTATTTATTCATGTCGCAGACCCATCATCGGTGGCTGTATAAGATTTATGAGGCAAAAAATAATTGGAAGACTTGTTAATATGAAAAGAAAAGCCGGAAACAATTAGGAAACAATTGTTTGGAATTCGAGAATAGTTGCAACTTACTGTTTTTAGTTTATCGGCTTGCCGATAAAAAGCCGACACTAGCGATAGCTTGCTCTACGATTAAAACGTCAAATAGTAGATTATAATTTAATAGCACAATAATTGGCTCTTTATTTACGATTCGCTGTGTTAATTATTCTTCTGAAACAAATTATATGGCCTTAATACTGTTGCATCCGGAGATAGAGAATTTTTGGAAATCGGCAAATACGTAATGCGGAAAACCTTAATCGCGAGTGCGAAATAAAGCAGAAGAATGTAGTTGCTGGGAGACTGCAGTAAACAAATGCTGATACTGGTGAATTGATGTAAAAAGGTTCATAGTTATGTAACAGAGAAAAGACAAGAGATGATACAGTCAAACCTACCCGAAGAATTTTCAAGTTGCGTTTAATTGTATTCTGCATTTGTTCAAAGGCCGAAATCTACTGTTTTGCTTTTATCCTTCATTAAATACCAACTATTTGTCTTTAATTATTTTACTTATAAGTTTTGAGTGTTTCTTTAATTATTATTCATTTTAATATATTTTTTTTGGATTTTTTTTTTTTTTTTTTTTGGAATTTCTTTATTTATGATTTTATTTCATACCTAAGAAAGTTCCGAATATCTAAGGACCTGACCAACTACATTATATAGATCAACACACTCAAAGAATACGGAAAGAAATGTTCAAGAAACTACAGTCGAGTGCCAGGCAGACCATCAAGTCTTTTAGCAGACGGTTTTCCAAACGAACCAAACCAGAAAGAAAGCCAAAATTCGTACAGCCCACACCGCCCCCATTGAATAAAAAAGCTCAGTACGACTGGATACAGCAACAGCGAGAAGCTGCAAAACGTCCCGTAGACGTAGTTCATCGACCCAAACAAGAGACATTTGAAGGAAACCAAAACCCCGAGGCAAGTTCACTTCCACCTACAAACACAGCACTAATGCTCAACAGACAGGCGAAATTAATGGACCAAAGGAGGATCCGTTAAAGCACGGAGACTACTCTTTTGGAGGACGAGTCACCGACTTTTAAAACTAAGAAACAAACAAACTACGTTCAATCACCCCGGTCAACATCACATCGAGTAGATAATTCTTGCATCGCTATGTAACGACTATTCCTATGGATTGTGTGCACACTACTATCAAGACCATCTCCACATTTTTAGGTAGACTGCTAGCGAAATGAGCACTTTGTTCCTCTCGAGCACATTTTATGTCCCCCGTACGCGAGTATCTAGTACGGAGGTGATAAGGTAGGCTCTTGGTAGAATGCTGAGTATGAAACCTGACTTATATAGTACTTTTCGACAAAAAACGAGTATACAGAAATAAATACAGTAGATCATGTAAAACATTCAAAAAATAATATCCATGTAAACTTAATGTACTATATGCGTGTTTTTTACTAACCGGATCTCGAACACAATATCTCTCCTCTCCCAAATAAAAAATGAAATAGATTAGAATTATTGCTAACATTTCTTTCGCTTCGGTAACGTCGAATAAGTTTTGGTGATAGTTCCTGTTTTTGAATACACACTGGTTCAAATTTGTCTTATTTTTTTTTATTTTCTTGAAGTTTCATTCGAAGCACAATTGGTGGCCGTTGGTCAATTTACTGGCAATTTGGACTATTTTCATATAATTCTCTCTCATATTCTTCTAGATTATACCTTTTTATGTCCATCTAGGTGAATTTTTTGGTATCTTTATTCTATTTTCTTTTCTAATTCTACAATCATCCTCAAATGTCTTTTCTTGCTGGCGCTGGATGCTCAGCAGCGGCTAATCCGGCTAAAAAGCTAAGCCAGTTTACAAATACTTCGTTGCAACGGCCTTCTACCTTTCCAAATGCATCTTCGACTGCGCAAGCGTCAGCTTCTAGCTCACAATCATTGACGAAAGAGGCAACTGAATTTGAACAGTTCAAATCATTCAATGCGTCACAACCTTTAAATTCAACTTCCTCTCCATCTTCCTTTTCTCAATCATATCAGGCTTCTACGGCTCAACACTACTCGTTAAAAAGCTCAGCTACCCCAGTAACGGCTCAATGGAATGCGGAATTTGCACAGTTCTCTCGTCCGAAAGATTCTCAAGCTCTTCAATCCCCCTTCCAAAATCAGAGTACTTTCCATGCCCCTCCCGCTGCATTACAAAATCCTCTAGTCTTCCATTCGTCACAACAAGTTCCCGAATATCTCCCGCGTGTAGTCCCCGATTCTTGGGATGAGCAGTTTTCGTTGGCCGAAAAAGCTGCAAAGCAACTCCATTTAGCAGATAAACAAGAAGTAGGAACCGAGCAAACTACCGTTAAGTCTTCGGAAAAAACTTTAGAAGAAAAATGGCAGGATCATCAAAAGGAGCTCGAACGGTTAGGAAAGGCTGCTCAAACACTGGAGGAATATCAGAGTCAATGGGAATCTTTTCTTGAAACCCAGGGCATGGATGCGGAAAATTATCGAACCTCTGATGCCAATTTCTCAAAATCCATTCCGTCAAAAGTAGAACATTCAGCACCACAAAATGAGACCGTGTCTCAAGATGCTAGCTTTCTGCAGCAAATTCCATTGAACAACTAGCTGACTCTTTAAAAGGGAAATCTGCTTATGATCGGGCAATAGACCTTATTAACAAGCAGGGCTCATATGCCGAGGCTTGTGTACTGCTAGAAGTAGCTGTGCTACAAGACAGTAAAAACGCAAATGCCTGGGCCAAACTAGGTTGGATGCATACCATGCTAGGTAACGACTCTAGAAGTGCAGAAGCTTTTCGTAACTACGTTGCTTTACAGCCTAATGATCACGGTGCACTATTGGAACTTGCTGTCGCCTACGTGAATACCGAGAGGACAACGGAGGCATTACTTACGATAGAGCATTGGCTTCATGCCACCTTCCCTGACATGTCGTCAAAGTTCAAACAAATTTCGGGTTTCTATGATTCACAAGATGGCGCTACTGACATTGACAAGATGCGCGCCTGTCTTTTGGAGACCATTTACTCTAATCAAAGCGACAAGCTACAAATTGATTTGCAATCAGCTCTTGGATTAATGATGTTTCTCTCTGGCGATTTTGAAAAGGCTTATGACTGTTACCATTATGCTGTTGAGCACAATCCTACGAAGCCCGAGTATTGGAACAAACAAGGGGCATCAGCAACAAACTGTGAACGACACGTAGAAGGCATTGAATCATATAAGTCCGCGCTTAGAGTGATGCCGCAGTTTGTTCGTCCCCTGTCGAACCTTGCGATCTCGAGCATCAACTTACGCTGTTACAAAGAGGTATGTACATATGCTCTTTTAATGAGAGTCAATACTAACTTTAAGTAGGCTACCGATTACATTTTGGAAGCACTAGACTTGGTAAACGATAAAAAAGGAATTCTAGCCAACTGCGAATCGAATGTTGAACTCTGGGGATTATTAAGAAAGGTTTTGCTTATCGGTTTGGAACGAACTGACCTTGCTTCGTTAGCAAAGCCAGGAGGTGATATCAATTATATTCGTTCGAAAGTGAATGAGATAGAGCGTCCTTGATCGGTTCGGCTACCGGGTTAAACAGTGGACTTTTATCTGTTAGCCTTTTGTATATTTATTTATGAATAGTAGTTCTTTTTCATATCATTTCGTTTAAAGCTTGGTGTAATGGAGCTGTAAAAGCACAAAGCTGTTCTTTACAAAAAGTTATATTAATTCGTTGAATAAAAAAACCCTGGTTTTATGTAAAATGAAAGATCCCATTAAAATATCAAAAATCAACAAAAACAGAGACGAACAAATTGACTGAAATCCCTGCTTTTTCTCCCTCCAGTCCCTGCTCTGTCTTATCCATTACTGTTCTTATGAACGTTTTTCCACCCTCACTTCCAACAGCTCTTGCGTCTGCCACAAGTGCACAATTCCATACCCCGGAAAAAAAGAAACCACACCAACTAAAACTGTTGTGCCGTTGTCTATATTCTTTAGGAAGACTCTTCTTGTAATCATAGGAACGAAAGCAATTGCACTCCAGGCACTTTTCAATGGCCCATCGATCTGAGAGAGCAGACGAAGACTATTACCGTGGAAGAAGGGAGGGAAACGATGGTATGTACCAATTACTATAAATAAACAACTCTACTAACTTAAACAGATGCTAGAGACCGTTCTGCGAGTCCGTCTTCGCGCTTTGATTCGCGTTATGACGAACGTGGTTCTACTGGTTCAGGTTTTGCACGAAGCCGGTCTCCTCGTCGCTCCGTTTACGCTTCACATGACGACGAGTACAATTTACATAGAAGGGAAGCGTATTCTAGCTACTCTAGCGGCTATTTTTCTCGTGGTTTGAGTGATCCTTATTCATTGAATTCCATCGTTCCCTACGATCGGTTTATTCGTTGGTATAGCCAGGAAAACCATGTCTCAGCAACCTCTGAGGACCTTTATAAGTCGTTGCATAAAAGTTACAATTCATACAAGCAAGATCTTTTCGCTCGAACTGCCGAGTCGTTTGTCGAAAAACACATGAACGAGGCCTGGTTCCAAGACACGTATAAGGCAATTGCAAATGAAGATCCCGTGTCTGTCTCTGACGTGGAAAAAACATACCGTTCAAATTTACACGACCGTTTTATGAAGCGGTTACAAGATGGTGCCTACGACGAGTATAGCATCCATGAAAACGTCATGCAAAAGGATGAAGCATTAGACGAAGATATTGCTCCTCCTGTGCCCACAACCTCTTACAAAACAGTCGATGTTGACCCTCTGTTCCCAGAAACGCCGGTCTTGTCTATACAACACGTACCTGTTGACGTGTCGGCAGAACAAATCAACGAGTTCTTTGAGAAGATCGACCTTGTCTCGTACTACTCCATATCAGCTCCCAGACCTCTGCATAATTTCGTGCGCACAATCTTTGTATACATCAAGCCAGGCTTCAATGTAGATGCTGCCATGGAGTTGTTAAACGAAAAACAGTTAGCCGATAACTTTACAATACTTACAGAAAAGGTTAAGATTCCGGAAAAGAAGGCAGACGTTGTTGCCCCTGTCTTTTACACAAAAGAGAACTTGGAAAAGCTGCAATATTTGCTGGACCGTGTTATCAACTTGCTTGCAGCTCGGTATGACTTAGATCGAGACGTTTCTCAGCGCATTCGCGATCATCTCATTAGCCTTAAAGCATCCTCGAACATGGAAGAGGTTGATCAATTGGACGAGGAACAGTACTGTGATCTTCTCGTCCTTTATTTACGAGAAGTTTTGACTTACGATTTTTGGAAGCGTAAGCATTATGGATGCTATCTGGCCTTGCTTCAGGATACTCCCAGCGGGTATGTGAAAACACAAAAAATTGAGGACACATATGAGCCCACACAAGAGGAAACAGTGCTATTCTCAAATCTGGAGTTTGATTACTCGTGCCTGCTTGACTCCGCTACCGTTGACCTGTCAGTTTTGGGTGCTCGCCCTGCGGAAGAAATGGTTGAGAAAAAAATTGAAGCCGCAATCGGCAAAGAGGACGAGCAAAAGTATCGTTGCCATGTTGGCGAATGTACGAAATTGTTTTTGGGACCCGAAATACGTTAGAAAACACATCAACAAGAAACACAGCGAGTGGGTTGAGTCTATGAAAAACCTTGCCAAATATCTCTGTGCTTATGTCTTAGACCCGGGCCATATTCTGGCCCCACAGCTGATTAGTCCTGTGTTTGCTACTAATGATTCCGACAACGCAGCAGCAGCAAACCCCTCATCCGGTTCGTATGCTGAAACTCGGCATCGTAGCTACGACTCAAATCGTCCCCGTAGACCATACGGTTACTCAAGACCGCCTCAAAGACGTGAACGAGACAGATACAGCAACTATCACGACTTAGACGCACCCACCCAAAATGTGCCCGAATTAGACTATTAAAGCACCGTAGTTACTACCGCTACATAGTGAATGGCAAAATTCATCCAATTACTAGTATTTACTTACTTTACTCTGCTGTCGATTAATTGTATGCTGGAACAAAAAGAAACTTTCATTAGAGAATAAAACAGTTTGCGGGGGAAGGCTGTGCATCACGACTGCTAAAAGCCATATAAGAAAAGCATGTAAGTTGTAGTGCGAATTTGAGGACATGGCCTTTTCTAAACCGTGCTGCTTTCTGCTTTGTAAAACTGCCAAGGCCATATAAATTGAAAGTGTAAAAGGTGTATGCTTGCATACGAGTCTGTGTATACGAGACGAACGCTTGCGCAGCGAAGCATGCCACAAAAATAAAAAAGAGGAAACGTGTAGGGATAAATGTTGCTGAAAACCGAGTCATACAATTTTTTGCAAAAATGGCTCGGGTACTAACTGACAAATAAAAGGCAAAACTCATAAAGACGCGCAACAGCAAAACCAGTTTACGGTTGCCAGTATATATGATAGTCGTTCGGAGGGTCGTGTATGCTTATGTACATGCATGTACGCTTTCAGCGGGGCGATGAAAGAGTGAGAAAGCTTGGATGGGAGAAGAATAGCTTGCGGCAATCGTGAGCAGACGCACGATCCGCACATCTAACTGCTGTTCAAACCAGATATGGAAAGATCGCGCATGCTTTGTAAAACTTGCTCCACGCGCTCATCCAACACACCATTAGAGTAATCATCCCGCACAGTACTTTCAAAGTACTGCTGAACTTGCGCCATCTTCTCGTAGCCCTCTCTACAGAAACAGAGCTGAATCTTCACCAAAGCCTCAAAACTAGGGTCAAGGTAGGGCACACGCAAACTCACGAGCTGAGGCAGCTCAGTTACAAGTTGCTCGTTCAACGTCTCGTAAGCTTCACGGGCCATCGTCGCATCTTTTTCGGCACGAGGCAATTTCGAGGGATCGCTAGAAGGTTTGTCAATCAGTTTCTGAACCTTCGAACGCATGGCATCGTGATCCAGAAGCTTGTGGTTTCGTTTCGTAATGGCAGCGTTAATATCAGGGAAATAACTGCAAAACCGAGAAATGGGCTCCAGAACAGTCGTACGGAAAGGACCGTCAAGTCTCTTCACCGTCTCTGCATCCAAATCCTCAACAATCTGGCGGTAGTACGCGCTCACTCCGTCTTTGGAGCCAGCATCGCCGTAGAAAGCGTCAATCGTGTTGGCAATTCGCGTCTGAGCGGCCGTCATCGCTCTCAATGCGTCCAAATAGCCCTTGGCTTCCTTTTGCAGCTTCTTAGCTGCCGTCTCCATCGAACGGAAGCGTCTCTCCTCCGTCTCAAACTGACGATCAACAGTGCGTTCCACATGGCCTGTCTTCATCATCACCTACAAACAGAAGTTAGCAAATCAAATTCTGCGCAGAAAACACTGTTTTTACCGATGTTCCGGCGCGATTGACGGCCTTTTTGAATCCATGCCAACTCATTGTGCAAGTTTAGGTGTTTGGTAGAGGGAACGGAACTCTTGACGTGTGCACCGACATAACCCTAAACCCCGAAATAAGCTTCGACTCGGGTTCGAGTCTTGCTGAATCCACATTATGATGCCGATTAAGCGCATCTCGGTTACGAGGCGACACTAAAATAAGCGACTTCCACGAAATAAGCGAGAAAGATTCTGTGTATGCGAAATGCCATCATTGAGGCTTTTAGTCGTGCGAATGAGACACGAATAGCACCGAGTAGCGTCCACCGTGCTACACATGGACGGCCTTCGAAATCCTCGCATAAAGTGTCGTGTTTGACGCAATAGCCGTCATCCTGACCCACCTCGAAACAGCTCATTCCCCTCGATGCTGAAAAGCTGTATCGGTCATGATGTCATGTTCTAATCGTGACATCATCCAGTTTGGCGGATATATAAGCGAGAGCTTCGGCTGACCACCGCGTGTACTGAATCGAATTTAAGTTTTAATTAAACTTTTGTTTACGCGAATGTAAACAAACACGACGCGTCGGCAGAAACAATTATTTGCTAACAGAAAAACAGAACAGAATCGCATTTGTGTATATTTTGTATGTGTACCTTGCAGTAATTAAGAGCGATTCGTAAAACAAGCATACTTTTCGTGTCATAACTAACACACTCATTAGTAATAACAACCCCTGCTGAATCAAGACGAAAAGCCAACTCTCAACAAAATGATAGAAATTGGTTTGCAGTTATTTTCCAAAATGAACCAAAACAAATGGACAGCCATGCTGCTGCCCATTTTGGGCGGATGGTTTGTCGGCCGTTCCACGGCAAAACATGTAAAGATGTACAGAAGAGCAAACCAGCCCAAGTTCAAGCCACCTGCATGGGCCTTTGGTCCGGCATGGACGATCCTGTACGCGTTGATGGGTTACGCTGCACACCTTGCATACCGAGCCGACCCAGCCCTGGTCACTGCGAAGGGACAGCTCGGAGCAAAGTTATACCTGGCTCAGCTCGCTGTGAATTACATGTGGATGCCCTTGTTCTTCCGATACAAGATGAGCAAATTAGCGCTCGTGAACATTGGTGCAGTGACCGGAACCGTCATCTGGCTCTCCAAGACATGGTCGTCCATTGCACCGATGGCCTCAAAACTCTTGCTTCCCTACATCGGCTGGTTGGGTTTTGCAGGATACTTGGTAAGTTGTACATTTCGTAAAGGCCAGCGGTAGAACGAAGCCAACTTGTGCGATGATGGGCTTATACGCTTAATCATTTTGGTTGTTGGCAGCTCTGCCGTAGTGACCCTGCATCAACGTGTTCGACAGGACGCTGTCGTCGTGGTGCTCAAGCACGGGGCCCGAGGCATCGTCGTGTCCGCCCAGCATGAGTTGTTGTCCATTAACCGTTCCATTAGAATCTGGGATTTTGCCTGCTAAATTAACGCCCTCAGTCGGATCCAGAGACGAAGTCATTTGTGAATGAACAAGCATGTGTTGCTGGGGATGCTGTCCGTGAAGCGAGTTCACCACTTCAGTGTGTTCGTCCACGAATCCCAGCTGATTTTTTCCGCTTAATAAAAGACCAGGTGTCTCAGACGAAGGAAGGTTTGCACCCATAGGAGGGTTGACGTAGCCTTGAAGAGGATGCAGCACGTCGTTTCCAGTATCGGAACCGGCCGTAAACATGTTGGGGTGTTGAGTAGCCGCAGCAGACCCCGAGTGAAACTGGTCTTGCATATTCAGGATGCCGCCTGCTCCATCCAAAAAGACATCAGAGGGATGTGAGGGCGGATGAAATGCCTGGGCTGCTGCTGCGACTGCTGCTGCATTCGGGTTCAGGTCATGGTGAGGTTGTTGATTAGCGGCAGAGGGGAGAGAAGAAGCATCTGAGGAAGACTGTTGTTGCTGTTGGTCTTGAGAAGGGAGCTGTTGATGTTGTTGCTGCTGCTGCTGCTGCTGCTGTTGGTGCCCCCCGCCGTCGACATTGGGAGCTGTGTTGTTGGGGACATCCTGCTGCCGCGATTGTGTTTGATTGTTTAACCCCACTGTTTCTTGCAGCACACCTGAGCGTCCAGCATCGTCATTAGAAGCCGCAGCAGCGACGTTGGCGTCTGGCGTAGCAGACATAGCTCCATTCTCCATTACCGACCTCGTAGACTCGAGGGTCTGGTTGGCTGCCTGGACTTCTTCGGCTGTTTTCGTCGTATCGGTGTTCGTGTTCGCTTGGGCACTCTCCATTTCCTTAGCTTTCAGTTCAGCAACTTTTTCTGCCGTTAAAAAGCGTCCTCCAGGGCCTCTAGGACGACGCATGGCGTGCTTGTGCCGAGACTCATGCAGATACGGTTTTCTTTCTCCTTGGACCCTGCGTAGTCGCTCCTCGAACCGCGCACGGGCCTCTCTTCGCTTGAGAATGCGATGATACTGTTTTGCGTTCACGTAAAGTCCTTCAGCGCCGTCGAATTGATTCATTTTCGTCCGCAATTGCCAACTCGCTGAATCTGGCAGTTGGCGACCAGGCGTCCTGCTTCGGCTCGTAGAACAAAAATGTTACCCAGACGGAAGTCGTTTTGGTGCGTTGAGACTACAAGTGGGGGACATCCCACATGCGCCGTCCAGGCCCCACACGGCCCCCACTAGTCCTAATCCTATTCGGTATTCTTAGGAGCAACAGACAGGGTGTTTCTGCCGTTTCCCATTCGCTTTTATTGAGACGCTGAGAGGCGACTGTTTGGGCACTTTTGGCGATAATGACGGCATCTCAGTCTGTACTCCAGAAACGGAAACGCGTAGACGAACCTGCGGACGTGAAACAGCGGCAGGTTCGTCAGAAAATCCTACGAGAGAAAAAGTCTGATATCTTGGCGAATTTGGCCTTTGAATGTATGAAATGCTGCTTGGTGAAAGAATTGGGGTGGAGGAAGGCGTTACACGAGTGGTTGTGTCCTGTTTTGGCGCGTTTTGGAGCTCATTTGACCCTTGTGTCTGATTTCATTGTGCTTCCCTGGTCTTTCCGTGCTTCTACGACTCAGTTGCCATTACCATCCATGTACTAACTTCGTATAGTGTCTGATAAAATCCGCCGATTGCGTTCGAATGCCTCTTTATTGGCTTCGACTATAAAGATGCGCGGTGAAATTCGCATTGCATCTATTCCCAGAGCCCAACGAAGCGTAAAGCTACGTGACCTCATTAAGAAAGAGCCATCCTCTATTCCTCGTGTAACAACTCCCTGGCGTTCTCGTATTAAGGACTTCTACAAGCTAGACGAAATCTCGCCTACTAAACGTGAACCAAGCAAACTGAAATTTGAAGTAAAGAAGGCCAGCAAGTAGGACGGAGGTGGTTGGCAATGTAATGTACAATTGTACAGCTGTGTTCAACTGTTGTTCACTCTCCCTCCTTCGATGCCTGCACGACTTTCTGCATCCGATTCATGATTTGAGTAAAAAAGGGCCGGATTTCGTTAATTTCCATGGCTCCTAGATTATCGACGCCCAGCTGTACTTCGTTTACTGCCTCCAAACCTTTGCGGGCCTTGTTTTGCCGAGCTTCACGCAACTCTAGAAGCAATCGCTGAATCTGCTCCACGTCTTCCATGTCGTCAGCACAGTCTCGAAGCAGCATTTGTGCTACTTCAAGCCAATGGAAAGGAAGCGGAGCGAACGCATCCTGCTCAATCTCCTCGTTGCGGAGCTGCTCTAATGTTGCTACATTCAACCATTCTGGCGGCACGATTCTTGCACGGCCTTGAGTTTTCAATTTCAATGCCAACCAGAGAGGGATTTTCAGCTTTCTAGGAGGTTTCATTACGGGTATCGTGCAACTGATGAGTGGGAGCTGGTCCATGGTTTCCAAAGGAACAATTTCTATTTTCATATTTTCCGCCAGAAACTCTATTTCTTCTGGCGACAAAGTGCAGCACAGCGCTGTTGCTGATGACATTTTTGCAATATAGTTGGATCGTCTGGGAGAACAGATGGAACAGCCTTCAGACGGCTTTTTAATTCGTGTTCTTGGTTGTTGCTAAATTTTCTTGATCACAGACAAACGACGAAAGATGCAAACACCAGTGCAATTTGCTTGCATACAAAATCACAAGTACTCGTTTTTTCTGTGACTTATCGGTAGTTGTCGCGCCTTACATACCGATTGATACGCGTGGTTGTGTACAAACGGTCAGCACACGGTTCATCGCAAAAACGACGTTCTACAATTGATTAACCATTTAACCCAATTTTTTTCTTTAGCAGCCGATAAATCCTACTTACGGAAGCACAATGACTCCGAAAAGTGCTGCTTTGGTGGACGATCTTGTGTCCATTCTCAAATCCGTTCAAACAAAACGGTCAGCAAAGGGTTTCTTGAAAAAGCTGTTTCCACAACCAAATGAAGATGCCACGCCGTCATCTACACATCAAGCACCGCCTGTACGCCTTGCAGTGACAAAACTTGCCGGTGTGGAAACGATTGCCGATGACACGCTTTTTGGCATTGGCAAAACAATCCAACGCATGTCTCGATTGGGAATGCAATCTATCATTGTTCCATCGATGTCAACACCCACGGGCTTGTCGGCGTGTTTTGCGAGCGGAAAGTGTGCTTCTCTGGCACAGGTGAATGAATTGCGTGAACAACTTCGAACACAGGAATTGTCACAGCTAGACCGTGTTTCCGACATTCTATGTCAGGCTGGAGTCCTTGCCCGACCTTCGTATGGCACTTTGTACGCCTCGAATGCAGATGGTGTGTCTTTGGAAGCACAACGGTTGCTGCTTGAAACGCTTCAGAATGGCTACACATCGGTAATCGGCAACAGCGTCGTGAATCCTGGTTTGTGTCTTACACAAATTACTCCGGACCAAGTTGTTTTGGGCGTTGTCCGCTCTTTTGCCCAGATGAAGTCGAATGTCTCTGTCGAGCGTTTAATTGTCATCGATGAGGTTGGAGGCATGCCGTGTCCTCGTCGGTCTCATGGATCAAGTCACGTTCTCATCAACCTGGCCCAGGAATACGTAAGCCTGTGGCCTACGCTGTCGCCGAAACATGCTGAAAATTTACAGCTCGTCAACAGCTGTTTAGATCTCTTGCCCCACTCTGCTGCAGCCATTGTCACAACTCCAGACGCCGCCGTATTCAACGGCTCTACCCGGCAATCACATCCCATCATCCACAACATTCTTACCGACCGGACTGTTTTCTCTTGTTCTCTTCCCGTTGACCGGTCGCCGGAAACGAAGACGACACTGCTTCGCAGAGGCACACCAATCTACATGTACCATGGAACGGACTGTTTAACGAACGGTTCCGTGTCGTGGGATCGCATTTGGTATCTACTGAACGACTCCTTCCAACGGGTGTTCGACATGCCACGCTATTTGGAGCGTATTCGCCATAACCTTGCACTTGTCATCGTTGCCGGCGACTATGAAGGTGTTGCAATTATTACTCTCGAGCAACCGCAGACGCCGGGTGCTGCTCCCGTTCCCTATCTGGACAAGCTTGCCGTCTTGCAAAAGGTCCAGGGAACCTCTGCCATTGCTGACTTTGTGTTTAATGCCATGTGTTCCGTATTCTCGCAGGAAATCGTGTGGCGGTCTCGTTTGGACAATCCGGTGAACAAGTGGTACTTTGAGCGAAGTCGCGGTTCACTCCTTTCGCGTTCTACACCATGGAGATTGTTTTGGACAGGCTACAAGAGTGCCGACCAAAAGCGTATCCAGGAGTATTTGGATGTGATTGATTCTATTCAACCGACATGGATCAAGTGAGCCAGCAGTCACCACTCCCGACTGCAATTGAGCCCCGGCTACACAACTCCTTCTTAGACGCCTTAATCCCGCCAGCATCTTTGTCATTTCATATTTCTCGACCTTTTCTTAGACATCCTTGCCTGCACTCTGTCGATCATCCGGCGATCATTAATTAGTGTTGGCGATCTTTTATGATCGACATTCTGATACTATCGTTTTTATTCCATACCTACACCGACGAAAAACAACTTACACAGAACAAGCAACATGTCGCACAAGGTGGAACTTTTGAAACGTGCTCTCGAGAACCAAGTCCTGAAGTTCGGTGAGTTTACACTGAAGTCCGGCAGAAAGTCGCCCTACTTCTTCAACTCGGGTCTGTTCACCACCGGTGCCGACTTGAATGCTTTGGGTGCGGCGTATGCCAAGGCCATCGTCGACATGGGTGTCGAGTTCGATGTTCTGTTCGGTCCCGCCTACAAGGGTATTCCCTTGGGTGCCGTTACCGCCGCCAAATTGTACGAGTTGACTGGTAAGAACTACGGTTTCTGCTACAACCGTAAGGAGGCCAAGTCTCACGGTGAGGGTGGAAACCTTGTGGGTGCCGACGTTACGAACAAGCGAGTCATAATTTTGGACGATGTTATTACGGCAGGCACCGCTATTCGTGAGGCCATCTCCTTTTTGACCCCTAAGAACGTCAAACTCAGTGGTATCGTCCTTCTCCTTGACCGTCAAGAGCGTCTCAAGCCCGAGGTGAACGAGAGCACCATCACCAAGCTTGTTGCTGAGCTTCAAGTTCCCATCACCTCTATCCTCACTCTTGATGACATCGTCGAGTTCACCAAGAACGAGCTTTCGGCTCAAGAGAACCAAGCTATGGATGCTTACCGTGCCAAGTACCAAGCTAAGTAGACCTGGCACTGAGGATACTGGTTGATTGACTACTTGTTGTTCTATTGTTACTTTTTTTTTTGCTGTTCTAGTGAACGAATATCCAGAAAAAACTCGTATCGCCTTGTAGGGGAATGTTAGTATGAAAGTGTGAGTAGTTGTAAAGGGACATTCATCGCCACTAAACCTCAGTTAGGCTGTTTGTAGGCGCACACAGTGCTTAAATACTGTTTTTTCTTAATGACTCTTTTCATTACTGGGTCTCGCTTCCGGCGCTGTATATGCTTTCCCCGTCCCATCCCCCACCCCCACCCCCGCGATTTCCCCAGGAGATCGTCTTCCTCTACTAAAATTCACCACCAAAAATGTAAACGAAGGCCAACGAAGGCCACACGTACAGCTTTCCACACTAGCGACGGTGTACAAAGTCGCCTCCAGTTTCTGATACGAAGACGCAGCAAAAAAGCTTTGAGTACTACTCCAGCCAGAACCATTTATCTAGTCGGACGAGCAATTGACTTGTTGACGGTTGCTCTTACATTTTCAGAGTCCTGGGACATTGTTTAGTTACTCGGAAAAACTCGTAGTTTTGGTCGAAACGCGTTATAACGTATTTTCGTTTAATGTGCTGATCCAAAAACTAAAAAAAGTTGCTGTTCTGTTTGTAAGTTTGCAAAATTGCAAATTTCAGATAGACTCAACCTGTCTTGTGCTGTGGTTACTGCACAATGAGTACGATAAAAGTGTACAAAACAGCGTATTCGGGTGTTGCGGTTTTCGAATGTATTGTTAATGGAGTGGCCGTTATGAAACGTTGTCGCGACGGTTGGCTGAACGCTACACAGATTCTGAAGGTTGCCGAGCTTGACAAGCCAAAACGAACAAGAGTTCTGGAAAAGTTTGCCCAGCGTGGTATTCACGAAAAAGTCCAGGGCGGATACGGCAAGTATCAAGGAACATGGGTGCCGCTACAACGAGGTGTAGAACTGGCGATGGAGTTCCAGGTGCATGCTTTGCTGCTGCCGTTGATCGAGTGTGAGGGCGAAGAAGACCCATATTCATCTTACAAAGCTCCTACTCGGACTCTGAGAGAGTCGGGCTCCTTTTCTCATGGCATGAGTGCGAAGATGTACGGATTCGACAGCGTCTTGCCCATGTCGTCGCCTACCCCGTCCAAGTTGTCGAAACAATCTTCGTTCTCCCGTACGAATTCGGTGGACCAGAACGGTACAGCGAGTTATGGCGGCGAGTCTGTTCAGCTGTATCCCGACGACAAGAGTGCATCGAGTGCTGACGAACAGACGACTTACGAGTCGGGAAATGCGTACAGCGATGCGTTGTTGGATTATTTTCTGCTCCCTCAGAGCACAGAAATCCCGGAGTTTGTGTTTCGGAATCCCCGTGACTGGAATGTTAACGCAAGCATTGACGATGACGGCCATACGGCTCTACACTGGGCAGCTGCGATGGGAAATCTGGAAATGCTGCATGCTTTGATTGAAGCAGACGCAAACATTGTCGCAGTGAATGCGCTACAGCAAACAGCGCTCATGCGGTGCGTCATGTTCACCATGAACTATGATCTACAAACGTTTGAAGTGGTTGCCGATTTACTACAGTCTGCCATTTGTATGACTGACTGTTTCAATCAAACCGTGTTTCATCACATCGCACTGTTGGCCTCGTCCAAGTCAAAGATGGAAGCGGCTAGTTATTATATGGATACGCTGCTTCAGCTTCTGTCTACCACACAGCCAGTCAACGTCGTCGCTGGCGTTCTGAACATCCAAGATGAACGTGGGGACACTGCTTTACTCATCTGCGCACGCAATGGAGCAAAAAAATGTGCTCGACTGTTGCTTATGCTGTATGCCTCGGCCAATATTCCTAATAAAGAGGGTCGGTATCCAAGCGACTACCTTCCGGATGATATTTTAAATGTGCCAACGGCTGATTTGACTACGTCTGCTTCATACACCTCCTCGTCCAATCCTCTCGCTATTTCCTCCGATTCGTTCAGTGAAAAATCCGCCCCTCTGATAGCAAGCACAGAAGTACCACGAACTGAGCGGTGCCGATCTGTTGCTGCTTCGAACATTATGAACAAGGCTTTGCCCGATGTTTTGAGCCGTTTGACAACTCTATCAGAAAGTTATGCTGAATTACTGAAGGAGCGACAGCAGGAGTACGTTCGCGCGGCAGATGTATTTGAACAAACGCTTCGTGAAATTGAGTCTTGCCAACGACTACTCAACGAGCATTCCGTAATGTTTGATGTTCCTCTGGACAAGCAGAAAAAGGTTTTAAAGGAAGCATGCATATACTTTATGCAAAAATTGCGTGCCGCACACGAGCTGATGGAACACTCTCAACAAGTTCGCATAAGAACCCTCAAGTCATCAGCAACGGAAACAATGTCAGATGCAATTGAGAGACCGTTGGATGAGACGAGTGGTGCCTCGTTCTCTTTGCCGTATCACGCAGAAGACCCTATCCGTGCTGGGTTGATAGAAAAGCTTCGGGCGCTACAAGAACGGCGTCAACAAAAAGTACTTGATATTTTGGACTTAATGTCTCTCGGGCCGATAAATCCTAATTCTGTGAAGACACAGTGATGGTGAAGGGTCTCAGAGAGAGAGAGAGAGGACCCAGAACCAACTTGCTCCTGTTTTTTCCCTACCTTTTGGTTTCCGATTGTTTTTTGTCCATTCCCATTTTTTTCACATCCTTCCATCCATCCCCTTGTGTCCCGTTTCGCGCATTTATCTCTTTTTTTTACATATAAACTGTTCATCCTATCATGTCTGTAAAGGCGTTGGGTGTTTCTAACAAACGCATTTCATCGGCTTTGGCAAACTGTTGCCTAGCCTTCTCCAACCAACGACCCCTTTCATAATGATTTTCCTCTCGGTTTGCCATTTCTAGAGAGAGCATAGCCGAGTATACGTACAGCGGTTGATTTTCGTTAAACGGAGCTGAGAGCAAGTACTCGTCAAGTGACGAGATGGCCTGTCCGTACTCTCCCATCTTAATCTGGAGCAGTACAAGCGCAGGAAAAAAGCTGTGAGCCTATATTGGTTAGTGGGTAATTTTTATGCACGGTCGCGTACATCAATGCTTGTTTTATGCCGTCCAGGGATGGCAGGAAATCTTGCAATTAGACGTTGTAAGTACTCCCTTGCCTTACTTGGCTCCAATTCATTTAACAGCTCTAAACCAATTTTCCACAAAAGACGAATGTCCACGGAGCGACACCGCAGAAGCAGTGAAAATGCTCTGAATGCCCGAGGATAGTCTGCTCGCAACAAACACAAATGAAGCAGCGTTCTTAGGTTCTCAATGTGTTGCAACCGTAATGACTTTGGAGGCGCCGGCAATGCTGGAAGTTCTTTTTGCACAGATTCAAGCCGTTTGAACCCCGTTTGCACTTTTCGTTTGGTCACTGGAGAAAACATGATGATAAAAGTAAAAACAAAAAAAGACTGACGGACGAACGAATGAACCGTTATTGACAAAACGTGATCTAACTGCCGATGTAACCTTACTACAGTATGTCTCCAAACGAGGATAAAGCTTTCCAGTAAGCGTTTCCAAATCTCTCACACACCCGCACTCCCTAGCTCTTTCTTGGTTCTTTTTTTTTTGTTTTCTTCTTCTTCTATCTTTGATAAAAGATGTACTCTCTTTCTTTCTTTTTTTTGGTAATTTAGATGTTCCTTTTCTTAATAAATATTTGAAAGGTTTGTAATGAGAAAGAGATAAATAGGTGATGAAGGAAAACCCCGTTCAGAGTGAAATCTACGAAGATCAAATAAAAAGGATGAAACAAGAAGACGCAAAGTTATTGATGTGTGTAATCATAAAGAGAAAAGAAATAAATTTCCAAGGAGTTTTCTGCTACATTAATCAAGCAGAAATTGTGCTCTAATTGACTGTGTTTAAAAGATAATTTCTTTCGTGATGATACCTTGAATGAAAAAATAATTAAGGTATTTAAAGTTTTGTTACGCGAGCTAGTAAATTTGGTGTTGAGGAATTCGGCGAAACTGTAACTCTACGCGAAATCTCTCTCGCTAATCAGTCATCCCACGCGTCGCTTTGTTCTGGCTACTGTCAACCAATCACACAACTCTGGAGTTTGCCAGTCCCTCAATCATGCAATCAGGGTTAGGGTTGTAGAAGCTATAAAAGGGCATCGTTCGCATCCTAAACAGCATTCTCTCTTTGCCTTTTGGCTTAGATCAAGTGTAGTATCTGTTCTTTTCAGTTTAATCGCTGAAATCACCCCATCGGGGTGTTTCCGATTATTCTTGTTTTTGGCGTTCGCCCGGGAGCCTCTGGCTTGCTACGTTCCTGGGCACCGGTGTCCTTACCGTTGCACTCCAGGTATGCGACGCCGAATCTCTCAATCATTCACCACTGACGGTACCGCGACTCGCGGTGGCGGCAGTGGTGTTTGGTTCGTTGGGTTCGTTTCTTGAGTCTGTAACAAGTTGTTTTAGAGTCGGGCAATTGAATTGGGACGGGTTAGTCTGTGGTTGCCTGTGTCTTTTGTTGGGAATTAGTCATTGTTGTTTTCCTGGGTGCGATTCATTCTGGCTCCTCTTCGTAATCGCCTCTGCCGATCTCTGCTCTGTGAGTGGTTTCGGCCATAGTGGTGGCGATGTGTTGTTTGATTACGGGGAAACAGGTTTGTGTATAAGAAGTGAGGGTCTCCGCTGAGAGTTCTACGCGTTTGTGACCACCGGTTGGGTTTTGGTTTGTTCTTGCTTCTGTTCGTCGAATTGTGGACGGTATCGATTTACTCAACTTCGAACTTTGTCAAATTTGTCGCTAAAAGGTTTCTGAGCACGACTTTGTTTTTCCCTCCTGTACACTTTTTTGGCCTCTTTCGTTCTGCTTTTTCGGATTTTTTTCTTTTTCTACGCTCCTTAACGTTTACGACGAACTCAAAAATGTCTTCTGCCTCTATGTTTGGAACCGTAAAGCGTCAAGCTGACGAAGGTTCAGATCCTGTCGATGTGCATGTACGCGTTGGTGTCTTGGCTTTGCAAGGTGCTTTCATTGAGCACATTAACATTTTAAACTCGTTTCCTGGTGTCCAGGCTTTCGAGGTGAGAAGTGCTGATGATTGCGAAGACATTGACGGACTTGTGCTTCCTGGAGGCGAGTCGTCTACGATGGGTCGGTTAATCAAAATTGACACCGCTTTAAGAGACGTTCTTGACAAATTGGTTGCTGAGGGTTTGCCTATGTGGGGAACATGTGCAGGCATGATTTTGCTTTCGAAGGAAGCTTTGGGCGGCAAGTTCCCTGACCCGCACTTGCTCCGTGCTATGGATATTACGGTGATGAGAAACTTTTTTGGCCCTCAAACCATGTCCTTTGAGTCGCTTATCACTGTGACTGACAATATGAAGTTTGAACACACAAAACCAATGGGTCCCTTCCCCGCGACGTTCATCCGTGCACCAATTGCCTCTCAAATCCGTTCGGAGGATGTGAAGGTGCTCGCTTCTATCGTCCACGAGGGTAATGAGGTTGTTGTCGCTGTCGAGCAGGGTCCCTTCTTGGGCACTTCGTTCCATCCTGAATTGACGGATGACAACAGATGGCACGAGTGGTGGCTGAAGGAGCGTGTCATTCCCCGTAAGGAGCATACGAGAAGCTGTTAGAATGGGAAACGTGGAACACGGACATGCTAATGATTGACACGTAGCAAAGTCTTTGATATATATTTTGGTTCAATAGTATACTTTTCGCTCCTTTTATTAGAGTTTTGTGGGGCGGCTATGCGGTAGTAATGTCGTGTTTGCTTGTATTTTAAACTTTCTCGCTTGTAGTCCACGTGGCATAGCTTAATACACCTTATTTCACTCCAACTTGGGAGAAACCATTTGAAATACAACATTGCCAACTCGTTATTAACTGGTTTTAACAATTGACGCAAAAATATGTTAATCTATTTCTCTTGCGCATGAGAGTTGCTCATCTTGTTTCTTCTACCTCTGTTTAAGTGTCTCTTTTCTGACGTGTAAACCGAGTATCTTATTTCTTCTGGAAAAGTCGTCTTAGCCGACTCGTTCCAACTAGTTCTTTTTTTGCCAGTAACAACATTCAAACACCGAATTTTTGATAAAAGATAATCTGTTCTACTGCATCATTGACTTTTTTTTCTGCTTCTGTTTGTCTTGACGCGTTCATAGCGCTCCTGGAACGATTCTGTTCATTTAACGTTGTGTGCAACACTGGTTCTTGAGATTGAGTCGAGATATTCCGAATAATGTCTCGTAAGGCGGTCATTCGACACCGACGTAATCCTGTTAAGCCGAATGGTTATGCTAGTCATGGTATGAGCTTCCCTTGCGACACATGGTTGAGTGTGCAAGATGTGCTAACGTATATGTTTAGGGAAACTGCTGTTCGCTGCATTACTGGAAACATTCTGCCGTACGTGTTGCAACCCAAGAGTTCGCAATTGGCTTATGCTGACCTGTGAATCTATACAGAACTGTACGATTCGGATCCAGAGCAATCACGGAAACTCTTTAAACTCATATGTCAGACACTGAGAAATATGGGTATTCTTGACGAAGAGTATATGGATGAATTGTCGGGAATACGTATGACTTATCAGAATGCGCTCCATCATTTAATAATACAAGCTAAGCAAATCATGCATGAGGATGTTCCTCCTTCATCCAGTACTTCCTCTGCTGACCTGTTGGAGCAACGTACTTCACAGTCTCTAGTCCTTTCTCCCAGACAACAAACTCTGCAACTTAATTCTAGTCCTTCCACACCGAGGATGTTGTTGGATTTGGAGGGCAGAGATTTGAATCCGTGGAGTACGCAGAGAAATTCGCGCTACTCTAATGACTTTGATGAAAAAAGGCTTCTTGGAAAGGGCGGATTTGGTGCTGTGTACCAAGCGCAACACAAGGTTGACGGAGTGGACTATGCTGTGAAAAAGATACACCTCAATTTGCACCATTATTCCTATTCAAAGGTGTTTCGTGAAATTAAATCGCTTGCTCGGATGGACCATCCGAACGTCGTGTATGTGTAGCATGTTTCTCAAATTCTTTATCTCTCACGTATCCCGCTAACCATGTACTTTTAGACGTTACTTTTCCAGCTGGCTCGAGCATTCGAGTGAAACTAAAACTCAATCCACAAACATGGCTCATCCCATGTCTTCTACACATCCATTTGAGCAGGAAACGGATGATCTCATCGTTGAACCTTACTCTCCCACACTTTCGTTTCAATCCGACACAGCCGAAGAACCTTCACGAGTCGACGAAGAATTGGGAGAAATTGTGTTTGAAAAGAGCACTACGAGAAATGAAACTGATAGTGAAGAGGACGACAGTAGCGTTACTCTATCTAGCACATCTTCATCCACAGATGATTCTTCCTCCTCGTCTAATGATTCGTCTTCGGTTACTCAAAGCAGCCTTGAAGATATTGAGGGACGTATAGGAAATTTAGTCCTGCATCAAACAAGCCCTCCGCCGTCAGAACACGACGAGGAAGAAACGGGATACTTTGATACGGACCACAATGCTTGTGATGGCTTGGCAACTCCCAGTCCGTCGTATCGTTTAACGTTATACATACAAATGCAACTTTGCCCGGATGACATGGCATCATATTTGGAACGGAGAAATCGTGTTTTAAGCTTCCCCATGTCATCCTTTCAAACTCAACTTCACTTAAACCTCTTCCGTGCGATTCTACAGGGTGTTCTTTATGTTCACGAAGTCATGCATCTCATTCATCGAGACTTAAAACCCGGAAACATATTTCTTGCACAGTCAAAAGTTGATGAAAGGGGTAGTGTTTTGTTGAACACTTTTCGAAACGGTGAGCAGAGTGATGATCTGACGTTCGTGACACCCAAAATCGGTGACTTTGGCTTGGTGCTGGATCGTCGAATGGGTTCTAGAGCACTTACACCGAGTACGGGAGGTCGCCAGTTTGGTCCAGACGCTGTTATATTTTCAAACAATGCAGGTACATCTACTTATGCGCCTTCTGAAGTCCATGCCCTGGACTCTGAAGGACGAGTTCCAATTTCGGAAAAGGTGGATGTGTATGCACTAGGTATTATCTTGTTTGAGTTGCTGTATCCAATGCGCACTGGCATGGAACGGATGGTATGTTTGCGTAAATTGAAGCAAGGTATTCTTCCGGAGGAATTTGTAAAACAACTGGTGTGTGAATCGACCTTAATCCTGTGGATGACGGCACTTGATCCCAAGAAGCGGCCCTCTATCTCTACAATCCTGCAAAGTGATCTGCTGTACAAAGGAGGTGGAAAGTCTACCGAAATAATTGCTTATGAAGCAGATAGAGTGCAGGCAGCGGATATGGAAAACAGTCTCCTTCGTACAGAGAACATGAAACTACGAGCTGAGATAGAAGCTCTTCGTGCTAAACTGCGTGAGAAGTAATGATTTATGACTTATGATGAGCATATGCATGGAGAAACATGACATAGACGAAATGCAATGAACAACAACTTATTACCACTAACAGCAGCCTTCGTTTTTTATTTATCTTTCTTCCTTTCTTTCTTCCTTTCTTTCCTCCCTTCTTTCTCCCAACTTCCCTCACAAGTTGTTCCTAAACGCACCGTTTTATTTAAAACTAAAAACCTCAAACACATGAGCTGTCCCAAAAAGTATCATTTTTAACCCCCATTTACCAAGCATTTGACATAGAAGTCGGTTTTTCCAATTCCTCCTCGCGTTCGTATTCGATTTCAACGTGAGGACCACGTCTCTTAGCGGGTCTCTTTGTTGTAGATTTCCGCTTCCGCGAAGGGCCTTGTTGTTCTTCGTCGTCTGAAGATGATTCAGAGGATTCTTCCTCATCACTCTCCTCAGAAAGCGATTCATCCTCGTCCTCATCATCATCCCCACTGGCGAGCCAGTCCTCGAGGTCCGAGATTTCCTCTTCTTCTTCTTCGTCACTGACAAATTCCATCTCGGCTTCTTCCAAGTCCTCGAGTTCTTGTGCTTCATCAACAAGACCCTCCTTGGCAGCGAGGACCTTCTTCCAAATGTCTTCGTTGACGTTCAGGGGTTGATCACCATAGACACCGCTCTTTAGACGCTCAACCAACTCCTTTTCAATATTCTTTTCGAGTTTTGCTGCAATGAGAGCTTTACGTTCACGAGTCGTCTCTCTACGGGTTTGTTTGGGCTTGATAGGAATGAGTGTGGGTTGGTGCTTTAATGCCAGTCTCCGGGCCTTCAGCAAGTACTGTGTGAGACGAGTAAGTCTCTGTTTGCACCGATGAATTTGAGGGCCAGGCCAGTAGAGTAAATGCTTATCGATTTGCTCCAGAGCTTGAGCATAGTTTTTAGACAGCTTAATACGCTGCCATAATTTTGCAGGAGTGAATGCACGTTCAATGGTTTTCATGTACAGGTACAGTTTGCCATTATCCTCACGAATCGTTGCATACCTCGAGTTTGCTAGCGGACAGGATTCACGATTGCAGAGACCCGTAACATTGTACTCGTTTCTGCAGAAGTTCTGCGCTTCTCCTCTACGGTTTTGTTAGTGAAAAAGTTCTTTTTAAGCTAAAAAAACACGAAAAACACGAAACCCTCTCCTTTTTTCCCGCAAAAAAAGGGAATCTCGTGCTAATACAAAGCTGGATGCTTACTTGACCCTGTAGGAACAGAATTCGTGTCCAACGACCTGCCAAATGATCTCGTCCTGCTGCATTTTGAGGTAAAGGGTGGAGGCTCCGAGGAGAGTGTTCTTGGACTCTGCAAAAAATTGAGCGGTGGCATCGGTGGAGGTTGTTGTGCGAGATAGCGGGGGAGAGGGTAGAAATGATAAGCTTAAGTTGTTTTAGGTTATCGTATCTAAGCGAAGATATGCAACAGTATTGATACATAAGAAACAATAGTTTAGGCTTCTTGGTTACGTTCTATAATGTTGGATTAGATGGTAATTAGAATGCAAAGAAGTACATGATGCAGGCGAACTAGGTTTGTTCGTGAACTCATGCGTTGTTCTCTTGGACACAAGAAAAAAAGAAAAGAAAACAGGATGCTTACATGTGTAAGATGAATAACTTTGGAGAGGAAGTTGCGATTACAGTAATAGAATAATAAAAAAGCACCCGTTGGACCTTTTCCCACTATAATTGAGAAGAAATCTGGTCCATAACTTTGTTACAGTGCAAGGCACTTCGAAGTGCGTTGTGAGAAGCCACAGTCGTACTTACTACGAGTCCAGATTGCTCTCTCTTCTCGCGGGCGGTTTGAAACACACAACTTCCTTGAGAATATTGATTCATGATGGAAATCGGCTTGCCGAAACCAAGATGCTTGGCCAATTCGTAGGCATGAACAAACGCATCCGTAAGCTGGACGAGTGTAGATTTGTCCAGAAGTTCAGGGAAGCAAACAACTTCATTCAAATCTTGATCTGCCATATGAAGAATTGTTTTTTTGTCACTTGAAGTGTTAGCTTTGGAATGATACAATGAAGCACACTCGGATTATGGTGATCGTAGTCTTAAATTTATGAGTACTACATTCCTCGCTTCCTTTAACGTACTTTGCAAGGTCTGCAAGCTGTTGGGCTGCAGAAGACATGTTTGGAATATAGAGAAATACACTGAGAGATGGAAACAGAAACCGTGCCAGAAAACACACTATAAACTTTGATTACAGAACCACAGACAAACTCCTCGCACCAAATGACAAAGGTATCCGTCCAATCCGGCAGAATATGCTAATGAAAAGTGGTTGAATGGTTTGTGATGAGTGCTTGAACTCTGACCCAGTTCACTTGGCAAAAACCAACTACCAATTCTGTTGAGACCATAACCTCTCAAAACTATATTAAAAATGTCTTTCTTTGGTATGGGAAACAATAACCAGGCGGTTAACCCTCAAAACATTGCGATGGCCGAGCAGGAGGTCGAGATGATGTCTGACATCTTCAACAGGTATGTATACGAAGACGGGCATGTCGGCTGAACGGATTGGATGTGTGGGTTGAAGTAAAGTTTTTACGATTTCTTTGACTAGCTTCCTCGTCAATGGTTTTTGTGAGTTTCCTTCTTCTTCCAAACAACTCTTCAATTCTCTTTGCAGTCTCGACAGCGAACATACACCTTTTCATCTATTACTTACTAACCTCCAGAATTGTTCGTTCTTGTCAAGAAAAATGCATTAATAACAAGTACCATGAGGCCGATTTGACCAAGGGTGAAAGTGTTTGCATTGACCGTTGCGTCGCCAAGTACTTTGAAGTGAATCAAAAGCTTTCTGAGCACATGCAAAAGCGCGGTGAAGCGCGTGGAGGCATGTAGAAAGCTGCAAGTCTACTCCTTTGTTGTTCTGAACGTGGCCATTTATGAAAATTGGAGCTTCCAACTCATTTTGTAAATAAAATGCTGGTAAAAAGGTTGCTATCTACAAGTGTTTGAACCTATAAAGATTTTATTCTGTTTCATAGTCTCATTTCTCTCGTACTCTCTGTTCAATGATTCGACTTTTTGTGTTTGTTTACCACTATATCGATCCATCGCCAAAACAGAACAACTGGCTATTCCGCCCCCAAAATTGTAAATCAAGGGTATGTAGGGCCTCGTTGAAGTTGTACAGTATCGCTGTATCTGCTGGTCGGATCTGTTTCCGGTTGCGTCGTTGTTTGTCTCACTGACTTCTGCTTCCGTCTCTTTTATATCCCGCCCGAAGTGTCCATTTCGACTTCATCCCAGCACATTTTTTCACACAAATTACAGATTTGTAGACACTGAGAACGGCTGTAGTTGAATTGCACAAGACATCGTTGTACAGTGATTAAGCTTGGGTTTTGTCTGTACATATGCTCCTGTCATGGGTCAGCTGTCTGAATTTCGAGCCTCGGATCCTAATGCTTATTCACAAAAGCTCGGATTCAAGACAGAGAGTGAAGCTTTACATGCTTGGAAATTAGAACGTAACGGCATGGGAGTCTCGAATGAATGGCATTTTCCGTCCATTTCTCAGATGGGTTCTCATTCTACAACCGTGTCTCCAAGTGCTGCAACGGTAACAAACGCCTTTTTTCCAAGTCCACCGCCATCAGCGTTGCCTCAAGATTATCACGATGTCAGTGGAATGTTTGGAAATGGTCCAAGACAGTCATTGACTGAGCCGAGTAGTATTGACAGCGGCTTTCTTCGTTCTTCCCAGTCATCATCTTCCCTGAGTGGGTTTACGCCGACACACACAACTGTTCTCCACCCTTTTTCTTCCGTTGATTTGAATGGAAAAGGTTCTGTCGGTTCTCAGGACGGCAAAATGAACAGCTTCTCTCGACTCAGTGTGGATGAGAACGTATTTCGAAAATCGAGTTCTTCTTCTCTTATCGGACAAGGACCGGCTTCCTCCATTGGGTCTCTTCCTTCTGCGAAGTTGTCTAGCAGCTACAAAGGCAACCTCAACAATTTTCTTGGTTATCGGATACCCAATAGCGCTCCTATTTTATTTGACCATGGAATTCATTCACAATCTGTTTCGCTTCCTCCGACACAGAACGATTTTCCGTCTCCGCTTGGGGAGCCAGCTACGAATTCGCATAAAATGTTCCCACTCGAACAGCAACAGCATTCTTCTCGTTCTGAAGACCTGCTTTATTCCCCCTCAAATACTGCAGCTGCTTTTAATTCTTCCCTTCTTTCACGACACAATAGTTTGCGCCGAAGGTCAAGCCTGATTGCCGGATCATCGCTGTCTCAAAGCAACAAACAGGTCCACTCCCCCTTGGAATACTGGCCTCCCTCCTCGCAGGGGATGTCTCAAGGAATACCTGCTCAATCACGTTCTCTTTCTTACAATTTCTCACCGGAGCATCAAGCTTTTATGACTTCGCCTACGGAGCAACCAACACCCTCGGATATTGTTGCTACGTCGCCATACCATAGCTCATTAAATTCTCCATTTGCTTCAGCAAATACGTTTCAGTCAAAACTTCCAGACTCCTCTGGGCTTTCAAATATTGGTTCGGCCGTCGCTTTTGGTCCGAATGGTACTTCTCATCATAGTAAATTTCGTCCGCACGTAGCGGAGCAGCATCAACCGAATTTCCATTTCGGGAATCCAACCGATGAAATCTTTGAACTGGAATCCAAATCTGCTAGCGCCCCCATACGTGCACATTCGCCTACATCTGCGGGGTTATCGAATGCTGTTGGTCACTTAGTCTTGTCCGGCAACTCTTCTTCATTCATGTCTTCAAAGCAAGTTTCCTATTCTTCCGAGGAAAAGCAATCTGATTCCGCTACGGATTACACCACTCGAAACAAAATCCTTCACGATATTCGAAACAATAAACATAAGAAGCTCGAAATTAAACAACTTGTCGGGCATCTCGCTGCTTTTAGTACGGATCAACATGGCTCGAGATTCTTGCAGCAAAAAATTGAAACTTGTTCTGACGAAGACAGAGCCCTGCTGTTTCACGATATTGTGAACGGCAATTGTTTACAACTTATGATGGACGTTTTTGGAAACTATGTTGTTCAAAAGCTCTTGGAGTTTGGCACAGACGAACAACGAGAGGTATTCACTGAAAAAATGAAGGGTCATGTGCTCACATTATCACTGCAAATGTATGGTTGCAGGGTTGCACAAAAGGCGCTTGAACACATCCCCTTGAATCGCCAAGTTGAGCTCATTCAAGAACTTGACGGTGACGTCCTTAAATGTGTTAAGGACCAAAACGGAAATCATGTTATTCAAAAAGCCATTGAATGCATTCCTTATGGACATTTACAGTTTGTTGTGGATGCTGTAATGCCCAATGTGTATAACTTATCTTCCCACCCATACGGGTGCCGTGTTATCCAACGTATCATTGAACATTTTGCGGATGCTCGAAGCAGTGTATATCTTCAGCTGCATACCCAAATACTACACCTTGCTCAGGACCAGTACGGAAACTACGTGATTCAACATCTGATGAAGAAGGGTTCACCTTCCGAACAGAGAGAAATTGTTGAAGTAGTTCTTGGAAATGTTTTGCATTTGAGTCGCCATAAGTTCGCTTCTAATGTTGTGGAAAGATGCATCTCATACTGCAGTGACACTGATCGTGAACGGTTCTTTAACAGCTTACTTGGTGAAAACGAGGACGGGTAAGTAACGAATTTCTTTAGAATCTTATCAACTCTATTTACTAACAGTGTTTTCAGCGACACATACTTGCTCAATCTAATCAAAGACAAGTATGCGAATTATGTGATCCAAAAGCTTATTGATGTGTCAAAACCTGAGTTGAGGGATCGTATAATTACAGTTCTTAATCCTCATCTAAACGTACTAAAAAATTATACATATGGAAAACATCTGTATTTAGGTACGCATGATTTGTGTATACCTTCTGCGGTACCTCTAACATATTGCAGTTGTTGAGAAATTTCAACGAGGCAATGCAGAAGAACCTTCTGAAAATTCTAAAACTGTTATGACCAATATGCCCTAATATTACGTGCACGAATGTTTGCATACGTTTTCCTTTTTCCTTTTTTTTGTATTTTCGTTGACGTTTTTGTTCTTTGTTGGCACTTTTACGCTTCACTTGTTGAAGCTGTTGTCTTGCAACTAATATCTTTTTTTTTCTTTTGGATTAGGTAAGGTTTTTCTCGCTTACTCTGTTTTGTTTTATTAAATAGTTGCTTCGGGAAGTTCTGGAACCTGATGCCTCTCTCCCTGGCAATTGCTGTCTGTTTCAGATACTTTTTTCACATGATTACGCTTGCTCCAGACAACGTCTGAGCCTTTAGTCTGTAGCGTTATGGGGCAAAATTCTGTTAATATATTCAAGTGTATTTAAATGAAAAGAAAACGTTGCTTACTCCCTTACTGTTCTTGTGGAGCACAATTAGCAGCCTCATCTAAATGTGAAGTGTCACCAAAACAATGAATGTGTCCTCCTTCCTTAGAGAGAAGCTCAATTTCAGTAACACCAGTGTTACTTGTAATAAATTTCTTTTCATGTTTCTCTTTTTCAAAGGTAAAACCCTTCTCTTGCATGAAATGGTCACGAAGAGCATTGATAACGCCTCCATGGCATAGCACAACGACGCACTTCTTCTGTCCGTACAATGGAATGATCTTTTCGTCCCAAAACTTCAGCAACCGTTTCAAAAGGCTGCTGTAACCTTCGCCAAAACGGTCTGGGTGATTCTCTGCCAAGAGCTTCTTTGCTTCAGCGACTGGCATTCCCTCAAGTTCACCAAAGACGCGCTATTTGTTAATTACTTGAACCAAAGATACACGGATAATTTGTCCAAACAGTGAACAGACAAAGTGTAGCAGTGAGAGCAAACAAACAGTTTATAAATAGATACTCCAACAAGTTTTACATACCTCACGGATTAAGTCTGAGTATTCAATTGGAACATCAGGGCGAGTCTTAACGAACGGAGCAATCGTCTTCGATGGTCAATATTGGAAAATCATTATAACACAATGTTTTTACCTGTTTGCAACGCGACATTGTACTGCAAAAGACCTGGTCTACATCGAGTTTTGCAAGTCTTTTAGCCACTAATTCTGCTTGTTGCTTGCCATCCGCGTTTAATTCCGCATCGAAAGATCCTTGCTAGAAAAATTGTCAGAAAACGTTACATAAAAAAGAAAGCCACGAACCAAAATCTTCGCCTTATTTCTGTCAGTTTCACCGTGACGAACGAGAAAGACGCGCATTCTGTGATATGTGAAGGACAAACCGTTTTTGGCGCGGATGATTAAGCTATTTAAGCTCAGATGCGATATCAGGATTTGCCCCAACTTGTAGATGGAATTGAACATTTTGATTTGTTATAAAGTTCTGTTGCTCTTTTTTTATAGTTTCTATTGGGTGAAACATTATAGTTTGCGCTTCCTGCGCTCATTTGTTGCAGATAAGATATGATGCAAGAAACGGACACGACGCGTTGACTATGTTCAACTCTACCAAATGGCTATAGAGTGTTAATTCTGTTCAGAGCACCTGTATATTCAATTACGACTGGTTTATTTAACTGTACACGAAATAATTGACTCGCAGAACTTGTTTAGATGAATGAATTGGTCGCTATCTGTTTAACTTCGTCTTTATTGACTTCTTCTTCGCATTTGTCTTTATAGGTTCGGATACATCTTCAAGAATGACTGAGACAGATGAAAATGTTCAATCGCGAACGACATTTGCTTCTTTTTGTTCATGTTTGGACGCGTATTCTCTCCCGCCGAAGGCACAGTTAAAATCCATTAAAGAGTTGTATGAGTATGTCAAGACGGTCGGTTTATCTAATGCAGAGATCGGTCTGCTTCTTTCTGTGGTTCTAGGACAAAAAGAATCGCCTTTTTCCCAAGGCAATCGTGTAAAACTTATTCACTGTTTGCTTCCAACCGAGCCTGTTAGCGAGGATATACAATTACGTATCGTGTCTGCTCTCGATCCCACAGGAAGACGTGTTCCTTGGACCATACAAACAGAATTACTTCGATGGATGATGCATGTTTTCCATGTGTGCAGCAGCACAAATGTGCTCTCCCGCAATTACGGCATACTCTTTCATTTTCTTGAGTTTCAGACTTTTCGCCCATACGTTTGTCCACTTCTTGTTTGGCTTACTCGACGAAAAAATGTTCGTACTTTTCGTATTCATCACTTACTGGCTTTATACAATCGCCCGGGAAACTATGGTGATCCATATCTTTTGGAACTTATTATCACATTCAAAAAACACTACCCAGACGTAATTGTGGGAACATATGAACATACCAAAGCGTTTTCATTTCAATGGGATGAAACATGGCTTGCGCGTTTACAAGACATTCTTCAAAATGCTGCCCCTTTGAAACACGCTTTAAAACGTCTACGTGCGGATTCTATCTTTCCTCCGCTTCAAACGCTACAAGTTAAACCAAACGAATCATCCTTGGAGGAAAACCACACAGCAAAGGAACTATCAAATTGTATAGAGCGCTTGAAGTTCCCATCACACATAGCAAGTATTATTGCTGCACCCCCGCTTTCTCAGTTAGCTTTTCTCATCATCAGTCAGTCATTGCCAGAATTGTCTGCTAGACTGGATTTCTGGGTTGCTGGTGCTTTACATCAAGCAATACGCGATGGTCTGCATTTATCATACTCTTTTCATCAATTGTCTCTTTTCCTATCTATCTCCAAACAGACAATGCCAAGAACCATCCGGTTGTTAGTTGATGCGCTTCACCAGGCTTCGCTATCAAAAGAGTGTGTGAAGGGCATATACTCTGTGTTGTCAAGCATAAATGCAGAGTCGATTCTTCAATATGGCGACGAAATTCTTACTTTACTATTTAAGTCTTTTCTGGATAATGATCATGATCCTTCGTGGATACATGAGACCGAAGACCTATTTTTTCAGTGGCTTTTCACACTTCAAAGTTCATCTCAAAAAGAACTGGGAAAAACAATTATTTCACGTATGCTTGATGGATGGCTTGAAACAGTCAATCGACAAATTAAGAATGACACACTGTTATACACATGTCTCCGCTTGTTTGCCTCTATTTCGGCTATTGAGTACTTTGCTGACATTGTTCTAACAACCCCGTTCGCCGACTTTGTGTCCCGAGCAACTTTTTCACCATTTCCTCCGTGCCGTGAGGCCATCTCAGAATATTTACTTCATTATCCGGGCAATGATCGCTTAGCTTGCAATGTGCAAAATGCGTTTCTTGGAAAGGCTTCCAAAAAAGGAGTATTACTATTACTTCGAAACGAGCAATTGAACCTAGATTCCCTCTTCAGCAACATTTTTAACAAGCATGACCAAGGCTCTTCACCATCTTTTATTAAGCAGCTCCCGTTTTCGAATCTAGGTTCTGTTTTCAGTATCCAATTACTTGCGCATACATTTCGTTGTTTTACAGATGTTGAACGGACGAAGTTGATTACATTGTCCAAATTTCTCGATTACGAACTGCGTACAAAATCAAACGAGAAGAGTCGTTTTATATCATCTACGGAACAAACATTTTCTGAAAACTTCAACAAACAGCTTCCATCTTTTCTTCATTCACAAGGATTTGTTTACTTTACGCGTTTTGTTTACGCGCATCAAAACACCACCACCAGAGAGTCTGAGTTGCCTTAACAACGCCGCTGAAATTCTCGTCTTGGCATCAAAACTAAGTGGCCGAGAAAAAACTCAAACCTGCTGGTACTGAATTTACACATACTCCTTAATGTCGAAGGCCACTACCTCTGCACTTGAGTTTCGGGTTGTAGCCCGTTGCTCAACGACAAAGGCTCGAGCGGCGAACATGGTATTGCCGCATGGTCCTGTAAACACGCCTGTATTTATGCCCGTTGGTACACGTATGTTAAGCTTTTTGAGATGAAAATGAAAATTCGAATTCGTTTCTAATTCAATTTAGAGGCATCATTAAAAGGTGTTCTTCCAGAACAATTGGAAAAATTGGGCTGCCAGATTATGTTGAATAATACATATCACCTCGGTTTGAAACCTGGTCAAAAAGTTCTTGACGCAGTTGGAGGTGCTCATCGATTCCAAACATGGACTCGAAACATTCTCACTGACAGTGGTGGCTTCCAAATGGTATCCTTGCTCAAGCTGGCTACCATTACGGAGGAAGGTGTAAAGTTTCTGTCCCCGGATGACGGTTCGCCAATGCTGCTTACACCCGAGCATTCCATGTCCCTTCAAAACTCCATTGGTTCCGATATTATGATGCAGCTGGACGATGTCGTCCACACGCTCACGGGACCGGAACGCATGGAAGAGGCCATGTACCGTTCCATTCGCTGGCTTGACCGCTGTATTAAGGCGCACAAAAAACCCGAGACTCAGAACTTGTTTTGCATTATTCAAGGTGGCCTTGACAAACGGTTACGTGAGATTTGCTGCCGTGAAATGATAAAGCGGGATACCCCTGGAATCGCTGTTGGCGGTTTGTCTGGAGGTGAAGAGAAAACAGCGTTCTGTGAAGTGTAAGTTTGGTTCAAAATCATCATCTTCTTAAAACTAATGAACCAGTGTGAATACATGCAGCGATTTGCTTCCCCAAAACAAACCGAGATATCTTATGGGTGTGGGCTATGCAGAAGATTTAGTGGTCTGTGTCGCCCTGGGAATGGATATGTTCGATTGTGTTTATCCTACTCGAACGGCTCGGTTTGGTAACGCAATTACACGATACGGTAATATGAACCTCCGCAACCATAAGTACAAGTTCGACGAACAACCGTTGGAAAAGGACTGTCAATGTCCATGCTGTTTGCCAAAGGAGAAAAACGGTTGGGGCATTTCACGTGCCTTCTTCCACAGCACAGTTTCCAAAGAGACTGCTGCTGCTCACCTTATGACCATTCATAATGTTCATTACCAATTAAACCTTATGCGCGAAATGCGTCAAGCAATCATTGATGATACATTCCCGGCTTTTGTGAAACGCTTCTTCAATGACAAATATGAAGGTGACAAGACCAAGTATCCTTCATGGGCTGTTGGCGCCTTGCGTACTGTGAACGTCGATTTGTTGGAATAAACAGGGCTATTCGAACCAATGATTGTAACTTATTTTTGTGTTGGATTTTTTATGCTTCATTTATCAGATTGAAGCAAACCTTTACTAGATTATTCGTTTATATAGATACAAATGTATTATTGTTTTTTTTTTGGCATTTTTGCGCCAACTAAGTCTCATTAAGGTTTGTTTAGGTTTTCGCTAAAGTTGCACGTGTTTCTCTGCGATACCCCACTAACTTAAAGTTGGTGAACGCGTTCACGTCTTTTCCAAGACAGGAATGGAATGCAAAGAACTCGTGCAAACACAGAAAATACGGTTCAAACGGAAAAATATTTGTTCTTATGGCCGCTAGCTGAGAAGTATTTCGAGTGTGCCACGGCATTGCTCAAAGTAAAAGGCCTAGTGCCGCAATTTGGGCGTCTAATAAATGCAGGTTTGCATTGCTTACGCGTTGTCTTAAAGGTAAGTACCGTGAGTTTTTGACTAAAAATTTTGTAATATTCATTTCTTAACACGTTCAGGACCCAACCATCTCATCTATGGTCGAATTGAAAACGCGAAAACGAATTTGTCAAATTCTTTTGGCCCATACGACTGAATACGCTGAAGCCGAAGATATGCTGAACAAGGCACTCATTATAACAAAACAAATGGTTCGTTTTTTTCTATATTTCATTCTATACTTTTTTGTACAATGACTAACTTGTAATGGAAAGAACCTTATTCATGAGCAATTCGCCTTAAATGGACTTCTTGCCCATGTGTTCAAAGAAACGTCTCCAAATGCAGCAAAGCGCTTGTTACAACGGTGTTCACAAGATGCAGAACAATATGCCGCGGTTGCTAGCCCGGCAGATGCTGCAATAGCATATAAATGGGTGTATGAATATTACTTGGCATCACAATGCTTCCAAGGAGACGCTTTTATAGCCAAAAACATTGGCTCCTATGCATCGAAACATAATCATAAGGAAATGTACCTTCTCGGACTTTTGCTTGCTCATGAAGACATCCCAGAAACGATTCGGCCCCGAAACTGGCAACTGACAGTGCTTGTAAAACTTGCTCGGACGTTATACTCCTTGGGCATTGGAGATGTAGCTACGAGTCGCGATCGTCTTCGCTCGTTGCACATTGAACTAGAACAAGACGAGCTCAACTGGCCTTCGGCAGATGTTGCTTTTCATGTGCAAGACGATGCATATTTAATTACTCACTGGGTCTCTCTCAATCAATTGTACATTATTGTGTACCTTGTATCTGGCCTCTGTTATCTTGGAGACACGAATTCTGGCAGAGCGGAACGTTTTTTCTGCGAGGGCTTACGCTTACTCGAGACATACGCCTTCGATGACTCTGATGCTCGTCACTTGTATTTCTCAAAGCTGTGGTCGGATAAAACACGACACACATTTTATGCTTATCTGACATGTGCTTACTTGAACAGATCAAACATCGCTTCGGCAGAGCAGTATGCTACAAAACTTGACAGCTCTCCGTTCTCAAACGTAATCCGAGCAATGCTTTGCCATCGGCGTGGACAAACGGATTCTGCTCTTGCCATGTACAAGAATATTATGATGCAGCAGAATATTGGTGAAGAAATCTTTGTTCTCGCGGTCATGAATGTGATTAACATCCTCCGTGATACCGTTGAAGCAAATCGGTTTTTGGAAGCAATTGAAAAAATCTGTACCTCACAACACAACACACAGTATGCAACCTGGTGGGCCATTCTAAAAGCTGTCCGAAACCCGGACAAAACCGCACAAACGAATGAACTGCTGTATGCTTCAGGAAGTGCTAGTGCCCATGCAAATACACAGATGCAGTACGTGACACTGCTGCCACTTTGTGCACGACTGAAGGACACTCAGCAAATCGAAAAGATGGCTCTGAATTCCTATTTGATGGCGAAGAAGAGCAAGGATATCGTGTGGACTTTTCTGACCGGAAGCGTCCTAGAAAATGTGTACCATAGCACACAAGATCAGGAACGCATATCGCAGCAGCACCGTCAAAACGAAATTCATCACAGGCAGCTACAAAAGTTCTTACGGACGACAACATAGTTGAACATAGTCGGTTTACAACCCGCTTTCGACACGGTTTTGGGATTTATGTTACTAGTAAATTACGCAGGGAAAATACATTACCATTAAAACACGATATTATTGTCTCAACTTGTTTATATGTGCATAAGGACCAATCAAACGAGCTTTGCGATACTTCCTTACGCGTTTTTCCTGTTCCCGCAACTTCCTTTTGCGACCGCCTCCCTTAGTTATCACCACTACTAGTAGGGTATATCATACTGGTGTGGGTATATGGCCACCTCGCCTTTGTACCGCGCTCCCATCTACCATGTTATTACAATTCTTACGAGGGATTCCTCCTGTCACGAGGTATGTTTTGTCGCAATGAAACCGGATTTTTGCTAACAAACAGGTTTTTTTTCCTCGGGACAATTCTCGTTACTTTGTTAGTTGTATGTTAGTTCTGACGTACATCTCGAATCGCTAACAGCTTCCATAGAGATTCCAGTTCATAACGGAAATGAACGTCTACTTCAATTGGCCCTTGGTGTTTAAAAAAGGAGAGGTAAGCATCACGTTTCTCTGGAAATGAATTTTCAAAGAAGCCTCACTTCCACAAGTGCTGAATGGAATACTGGAATACTAACACGGATGGTTGCAGTACTGGCGCCTTTTGACCACGTTTTTGTATCTTAAAACAAATGCCCTTGATTTTTATCTGTACATGTCTTTCTTCGTTCGGTTCATGAGTACTTTAGAAGAGTCATCGCCTCCTCCACAAACGAAGAACTTTCTTCGAATGGTTTTGACTATCGCTGGATGTCTCATCCTTGCTGCTCAAGTATTTTACATGCCTTTCATTGCGAACTACTTTTCCTATACGATGCTTTACCTTTGGGCTTGGCGACATCCTCAATACCGAGTGTCTATATTGGGACTAGTCGACGTGAAGGCTCCGTTTTTGCCGTGGATGCTGTTACTGTTGAGATGGGCCTCGAGTGGTCGCTGGCCTGCGACTGATTGTGCTTGTGCTTTCATTGGTCACGTCTATTACTTTCTTACTGACTTTCGGCAAACTTGAGTGCAAATTGTTGGCGAGAAAATCGCGAGCAATTGCAAACAACTACGAAGGACTAGCAAACAAATGACAAGCAAACTGAAGCGCAATCTCTCATATAAACTTGGGACACTGGCCCATTGCATAGTCTTGTCATTTATAAGCGAACACATACACACTCACTCACTCACTCATACACACATGCTGCTGGAAATGACTTGAATGACTCTGGCGGTCTTAAACAGATACGCTCAGAACTAAAAAAATACCCACCTAATGTTGAGACAATGACACTCTACAACCATTCATCTTCTTTTGGATACGATTTGCAGTTACCGTTCTGATTCCTCTTAATGCGAACAAGACTCGAGACAACGGCGTCTATTGCCATTGACGAATTCATTTTTTCATTACTACTTTTTGCTTCTTTCTGTGCATGTTGGCTCTGTTAAATAAGGTTTCGCCCCGCTTTCGCTTGATTTTCTTCCTCCAATACACTACGTCACTTCCACCTCTCCCGACCACTCAACTCGACGTCACGACGCTGAACGAACTTAACGCTTTCCTACAACAATCAGAAGTTCAATGCAGCTGAAAACACCATTGCTGCTGCTATTTTCGTTTTCTCAGCTGCTCGTTTCTCGAGCAGAAGGTGCGTTGCGGTTTGGTCTTGTCGTTGGAGTGCTCTAACGTTCCTGCAGAGAAAACATTGACTGCTGATCCAATTGTCACGATAACAAACACTAAAGTGGTTTCTATCCAAACAGTAGTTGTGACTGAGTTACCGGAGCTTTCTCATGTTAGCGACTCCTGGCCTCAAAAAAAGATCGACAAGTTTCTGGAGAAGAACATTGTTGAACCGGTGGAAGACTTGCGTCAGAACCTTAAGAGACGCACTCAAAAATACTGGTCGAAAAAGGAGAAGGATGGCCGTAGTGAGGAAGAGTTGCGTGAACAAGCTGATGAAAGGGAAGAAGAACTTGAACGGTTGTACAGCTCGTGGTCAAAATCAGAACTCGTCAATTGGTTAATCCAACATAATTACAAAATTCCTGAACCAGGTACGTATGAGCAGCTGTTGCAGACGGTGATGCATGCTTCTCGTACCCTTGTTGCTACAGGACCCGAAAGCTACAACGAGTGGTCTACTATTGGACTGACAGATCTGCTTCACAGGCGTGGAGTCAGAATTCCTAAAGGCGCTACACACAGAGAATTGGTAGAGCTTGCAAAAAGATACGTTCCTCCGAACGACGCCGAACCTGACGAAGCGAAACCCGTTTCTGTGAAAAAGGTGGAAAAAGAAAAAGAGGAGGACGTAGACTCAAAGCCGTACGTCGATTGTCTGTTTTATCATTGGTACGATGGTCGTCTGTTGGCTTTCTTGCGCTCAAGGGGTCAGGCAACTTCAGCTCTTATGCCTCGTGAAAAGCTACTCGAAGCTGTGTATGAAACGCGTTTCGATCCAAGAGCACCCATTGCGTCTAACGTTCTGGATGGATGGTCGACTGCTGATATAGCACAATGGCTATCAAAATATGCACCGTCTCTTATTCAACCCGGTGAAAACATCAAGGCAGACAGAAACATTGCTCTAAACGTCGCTAAAATGTACTACAGCACGGTTCTTGACGAGCACGACTATCAGACGCTTGTTGTTTTAAACGATACTCTTCTGTCTCATGCGGGCCTTTCAACAATAGACAGTTGGTCGGATGACGAATTATTGGAGGAACTCGAAGCTTTTGGGGAGCTTGTACCCATTCCATTTGATAAGGCTAATGCTTACAAGCGGTTACTGCCGCATTGGAGATTCTTTATGTATGGACCAAGTGTAAAAGACCACATGAAATACTGGGCTAAGAAGCTCACCAAAATAATCCGGGATTCGTCTGTTTTCGCTTGAAATGTTACGAAGTGTCTGCAGCGATGATAGCGGATGAAAACTTCGTGGTGTTTCTCTTCTCCGTTATTATTGTGCTCTAGAAGGAAGCTTGTTATTCCTCAGCAAACGCGTGTCAGATGCATGTTACTTATTTGTTAATTTTGCGTCGGTGATGAATGAGCGTTGTATAGTTATGGCTCTTTAGAATCTATTACTGGAGTTTGTTCAGGGTGGACAGGCTCACGGCTACGGTTAACAGCTGTTTCATTCAAGTAATTGAGGCCATTTGTATCAGCCTTTAGGGTATTTCCTTTTCCCGCATCTCTTCGTTTTCGTTCGTCCTCTAAAGCCTTCATCCATCGCCGATGCTCCTCTCTATTCTTGTTAAGTGCTGTGTCCTCACGCCGATTAAAACGTACGAATGTTTGTCCAGTAATGGATGCAAAGTATAGACCTAGTTTGTTTTCTGTGTCAATAAATGTTTTATATGCATGGAAAACAACGCATACAGTCGTGCCTACTCCAATAACTACAGCAAGAAGAAATCCACTAGGATGTCTACGGATCATATTAAGGTAGTTATAGAAAATCATGATTTTTGATATTATGTATGTTTATTGGGGTTTACTATAAGAGACGAAACCGGAAGGGGTATGTAGGTATAGTGAGCGAGATTGAGTATTTAGGATTCGTCAAATGGGGATGCGTTATAGTACAGAACGAAATGTACTTCCAATAATTAGTATAAGACTGTCTATGCATCGCTTTTGTGATGAACTATCTTAATAACTTCTTTTCCGCCGTCTTGGGAAGATGACATCCATCCGAAATCCAACGTTCCACCGACACGGCAGAATTCAGTTTATAGCGTGAAGAATTATTACTTCCCGGACGAATCACATTTAATACTTTAATAAAATACTTGAAAAATGTGTTTTCCCGACTTTCATCGTCCTTTTTAGGAATGGGTAAATTCTTCTTGTGCACCAGTTGGTAAGCAAGATAATGTATCCACATAACATTTGTTTTAGGATGGAAGGAGGCCCAGTCTAACTTTATTGAATCACGCATAAAACGATAAATGTCAAATTGATAGTCGCCTGTAGGTTAGCACTTTTTCTCCGGGTTGAATTTACGCCAGTATCGACCGTTACCGGCCCCAATTTACATACCCTCTGCCGTAAAGATTTCTGGGTCATCAAAATCATAGTACAGTATGCGTCCATCAGTACACCGTAGTCGAGAAAGCGTATAATCAATAATGGTAATCTGGATATCACCTTCGGCTGCAGTCGATGCAGAGTTTGTTTTATCTAGGGCGTTTGACAAGGATACGCGACCAAGTAAGTCAATGACTTGTTGAGTACTTGCTTGCTTTCGACGAACAAGTATATTGCCCCAGTGTAAATCTCGGTGCTCGAACTCAAAACGGCGTTCAGCAATTGCGAGAGCATGGATTACTTTCGAGAAAACAATCCAAGCCTCTTGCCAGCTGTATATTGTAAAATGCTCCAGATCAATACCCCCATGTTCTAACTGTAATATACAAAAATACTGATCTTTGTCGAAATAATCAGGCCGGTAGTTTTGAGTTCCATACTTGTTCTTGTACATATCCCAGTTTCTTAGAAGAACTCTGGGATAAGGACCCTGAACAATGACACCCCTTCGCATTTTAACAAAACCGTCAAGGTCTCCCAACGTTTTTGTCGAACGAAGCTCGTTGTACAAGTCAATGCAACGAAGTTGTTCTTTTTTCAAAAAAGGAACGATCTTCCATACGAGCCGTCGACGAGTGTGTACTTCATAGACCTCACTGTAAGTAGCTTCTCCAATTTTGCGGATCCACTTTTGAAACGGTTCTATATAGCTCTTAAACGGTAAAGCAGCGTCTTGATGCAAGAACCGAAGAAGATCGTCAAGCTTGACATGTCTTTTAGAAGTGGATTGCGAGACGGTCTTGCATCTTTGAACGACGGGAATGTCAAAATGGGCGATTCGAGGCCGAGAACCTGCTAAAACAAGATTCTCCTTTTCAGCTTTCACATATGCGTGTGTTTCCGTTTTCTTCTTGGAGTAAAATTCATCTCGTTTCTTCTTTTTATCTCGATTCTCCCGACTTTCTCGCCTCGAGGACGTTTGAATGAGAACGACAGGTTCCTTCGGTGGGACGCCTGAACGATCTTTCTTTTTTGAAACGCTCAGTCTCAAAGGTCTACGGGTTTGAGAGGCTATTCGATCACTTGTGTCTTTTATTTGTGTAGAAACTCGTTCACGTTCAGTGGATTCTTGAAGGACGTACAAGTCAACATTTTTCTGAAAATCAGGATCATCCAACTGAGCCCAAATACGTTCTGAATTTGTTATATATCTACGAGAGTTGCCATACGTCCTTAGATGGTTTTTTTGCATTGAGCATTCGGTGAGTACATAGTCGGTAAGGTTGTTTGTGGCTGTCAGAAAGGTGGGAAGGAACAAGACTTGAACTTGAATAATAGTAGGCAATGGATTACCATTTTCATATAGTAAATATTATAAAGATTCGTTATAGGGACAAAATGAATGAAGGTGTGTGTTTTCTACCTCTAGTGCTCGAGCTCAGCAATTTGTGCCGTAAGACGTTGAATCGTCTCCTCCAATTTGGCGATTTTCCAATCACGAACTGCGGTTTCTTCTTCATAACGCTTCTCAAGAGCTTGGATGCGCGATGAGATGTCGTGAATTGAACCACTAATCTTTTCTTTTACTGCTGAAGAAGTTGTCGAAGTTTTGGTTGGAGCACTAGCCGGGGAAGAAGACTCCTCGGCGGAAGGACGAACGGAAATAGAGACCTTACGCTCGACAGAAGCAGGCTTAACAATGGGCTTAGGCTCAGTCTTGTCTTGTGCAAGTTCTTGTTCCTTCAACTTGGGAGAAGTAGTTTCGCTGGAGCGTCGTGTAAACTCTCGATCACCCGAAAACACAGAGGGAATCTTTACCTTGTCGGGGTTGGTGGGACGTTGATACACTTCTTCTTGAGTTTCGGGAGTCGTGGTTTTGACAGGCTCAGGAACGTTTTGCACTTGCTCAGCTTGCTTGGGCAAATCAACGTCATTGATGGCAGGTTTCGCTTCGGCGGCCTTAGAAGCCTCCTTGGGTCTGGGAACCGCTGACTTTGGAATGGAAACAGTCGAAGCCGCATTCAATGCTGTTAAGCCATTCGTGTCGTACAAAATGGAAAGATCGAAGACGGCAGGTTCTGCATTTTTACCCTCAAACCAATCCTTAGCCGAGATAGCAGGCTGACCAGAAGGCGCGGGAGGGTAAATGTCGCTCTGGAAACCTTCAGAGCGTCTGGGAACAATGAAACTGATCGGCTCCACAAGTGAGTCATGAACCGACTTGTATATCCGAGTAACCTCGTTTTCTGCGACATTGACACCACGCTTAGGCATAAAAGCAATTCCACGTTGGGGATCAGAGGATTTGTATTCGGACAAAAAGTAAAAGGTATCGTTATCCAATTCAAAGTAACGAATGTTTCCATCACCCTTTCCAGCCAAGTATATAACATGGTTACCGTCGTCCCAGAAAGGCATAACAATACCAGAGTCCGTGTCCAAAAAGGTGAATCCGCCGAGGGGTTGCGACATGTCAGCAGGGTCCCACAAAGCCAATTGACGATCACTCATCTTACTGAAACCAGTCGTAGCAATGCGGTTCAGACTGCCAAGCCATACCGCCCGCGAGTTCTTGGCACCTTGGTGACCATTCGATACAGACACAGGTTCAGGCTGGCGAGGATCCCAAATAGTGATTTTCTTGTCGCGGCTTGTGGTAACCAAGCGAGAACCATCTGCGTTGAAGGATATCGATTGGCAAATATCCTTTACACGAAGAGAGACGACATCTTTTCCTGCCTCGTAATCCCAGAGTTTCACGGTGTTGTCTGCACTAGCAGAAGCCAAAACGTTTGCCGCAGTAGGGTGATATTGCAGGTGACCTACCTTACTGTATGGATATGTTAGTAAGAGAAGGATATCAAACGGCATACCGATGATGACCAGATAAACAGGCAATGGGATAAACATCCTCTCTTGGTTCAATTAATGAGTAGTCGTCAGGAACTCTCCACAGCATAATCTGAACGGGCGTTAGAGCAAGAGAGAGGGGGGATGAAGAAAAAGAATCAGGTTGCACAGAAGGAACGAACAAGATTAATCAGAGGGACAGAGGGGTCCGTACTAGAGGGAACAGGTTGTCGTGAAATTGTTGTTCTTCAACAATTTTTCTTCATCTCATTTTGGTACATACCTTGCTGTCATCACCGCCAGAAGCAAGCAATTGATCATGGAAGGGGTTCCAAGCAGTATCAAGAACGGCACTCGTGTGTCCACGGAACAAGGCAACCTGGTCACGGAGTTTACCGCGTTCCTCGAGTGGAATTACAGCAAAAGCACCTCCTGCTCCAGCATCCCAATTAACACTCAAGTAAAATGGGTTCACGCTCATCAAATTCGAGTCCCAGGCATTTTTGCTGACCTATACCGAGTATCAGAGTACTAATTCTCAAGAAAGTGTTCGACTATTTTACCCGTAAATTGTCATAGCAAAGTTCCTTTTTGCAGGGTTGACCAAAAATGTGTCCTGGAAAGGTTAGCTGTAAGTACAAGTAATGAACCACGGCATCACACATACTGTACTTGCTTGCTCTAACGAAACGTCCGCTCATCGAGGTTAATTGTGGTTATTGTTCCAGGCGGAACTACGTAGGATGCATGGCTTGCTGGATATCCTATTGGTAAGGGTAGTGCACTACATGTGGTTCTAGTAAGGCTTTAATAACGGTTACAAAGATAGGCGTTATTGCCGACTAGAATTCGGGTTTTAGTAATGTACGTATGATTGAGAAAATCGTGTCTTTTGTGAAAACATTGTCAAACTTTTGGTTTGTTTGTTCACAGATAATTATAAATTGAGGATGAATTATTTGAACAATTTCCACAACCAGGGAGAATTTTATTAGTGCTTGGAATGTTTATGAGCTAGTTTTTAAACGCTTTGCAGGTGGCATATCTCCTTTTTCAGCTTGCGGAATCGGAAATCCTTCTGCTAATATGCGTTTATATTCGTCAAGCTGATTTTTATACGCTTCCTGGAGCTTTTCTAGGCGCTCAGGTTTTTCCAATTGCAGAAGGACGTCAATATTTTGTCTAAAAATGCGTTCTTTGACCGTTAATCTATACGCTTTTCGTTCAGAAGCCAGTTGATTGTTAAGCTTGCTTAGTAATGCGAGTTCGCAACAACGAGAAAATTGGCGCTTATCATTCGTTAGTAAGGAACCATTCATGAAGACTGTTTTTACCTTGTTGAGTTTATATGGAAGTCTGTGGAGCGAGATCCACTGAGTCGAAAGTGGAGCTCTGAACTCTTCTCTGTCAAACAAGCCGCTTTCTGCAATTCGAGTAAAGTCGCATCTGTCGCGGAGAGCATCGAACGACTCGGATGAGTCTTCAACGGCAAAATCGACAATATTTTTGTCACCCATAAAATCACCAACAATTGTTTTGTACAGCTTTGAGCCATGTCCTTGATGTTGAAAAGGTGGAAGTATAATAAACTGAGAGATACGAGCACGTAGTGCACTTGAGTCATCCTTCTTCCAGACATAATAGTGGTACACTGTGGAATACCCTCTAAGATAAAGCTGTTCATCTTGAACCTCAAACCTGTTTTGTTAGTATAGAAACGAACTGGTTAGAGGTGGCTTACACAAAATAAACAAACCATTGAGGATCCTCAAGGTCGATAAAAGAACCGCCGTCGATGAAGAACAGTGGAAACACTTGAAGGTTTTGCATTAATTTTTCGGCTGCAGTGACAGAAGTCTAAAGAGTTAGTTTCATTAATAAAGACAGTGTCACAATGGGTGGTTTCCTTACCTTAAATATTTTGAATGTTTTCTCATTCTTCACATAACTGCAAAGAGGCTCTTTGGGAAGGAAAGAGAGTGTGTCGGAAGAGGCGGTAGCTTCTCCATCTGTATTTGTAAACGGTATATACTCCTTTAATATACTGGAAATGTCTGTTGGAGTGACTCCAGATGTCGAGGGAATTGTTTCGTTAGAAGTAATTGTCAAACTTGGTTTCATCCAAGGCATCAAGAATTTTATCTTGAACGAGTTAGTTTAAAGAAGACAACATCAATAATATACCGTAACATTGAGTCCTTTGTAACCATATATGGTCTCAGCATCACCGAATATTGAATATGTATTCGCTGGATGGAATTCAAAATCAACCTCTCCATTTGGTTTTACTAAATTTGTCAGCAAACAAGAAAATCAATATAATAACTAACCTAATTGGATATGAATGGCATCATTAGAGTTGGAAGACCATTCATCGGTAGTGCTCATTTTCTTGTTTTGGTTTTTGGGAAGTATATGAAGCTTAGGATCGCCTAAGAATTTCTTTCAGGAGGTCTCGAGTTTGTACAAGGAAAATAGATAAAAAATCCGACGTTTGTTAAGGCCCACACCTTACAAGTATTGAAATCATTCGGTGTTCTGTTCTTAATGTCACAGTTTGGGTCTCTAAAAAAAAGTCTCATTACTGCTTTCTTCGGACCTAAACATTTCTTAGATAATTTACGGAAAACGGGGGCCCTAAGATTGACGGACTCAAAAATAGATTCCCTTCTTCAATCTTTTCGTAATAATCCGGATCAGTTTCAGAACTATCTTAAAGAAGCATGCAAACGACAAGGTAACTCTAAACAGTATGGTTCGGAGAGCATAAGGATACTTTAATTTACTAACATTACTAGAAATTGCACCAAAAGATCTTCTAAATCTTGCGAAACTCTCCTTTCAAGCCTCTCAGCTATCTAACAACTTTAGTTCGGAAGTAATCCCTAATGCTCAGCGAAAATCTTGGGCCAAAGCATGTTTGAAACAATCTGCAAAGCTCTGCTGTGATGAGGCTCAAATCATATATGCATCACTTGTTTTTAACCAAATTAAATTTACTGAAGATGAACTTAAAACATGTGTCGAATGGATGAAGCGGGTTTCCGATCATTCGCCTGAACCAGAAAAAGCTTCCAAGGCTTCCAAACTACTCGGAGTATTTTATCAAAGATTAGGAAAAGCAGAGTTAGCGAACACTATGTTCCAAAGGGCAGCTGCTCTTGGAGATGCAGAGTCTTATGTTATGCATGGACGGATAGAACTTGCGAATGAACGAAAGACTCAGGCAAAATGGGCTTTTGAGAAGGCAGCAAGCATGGGTATGTGTTCCTTGCAATACATGAAAGTCTTCTGACTAACATTTGGAAGACCATCCACTTGGTTATTTTTACCTCAGTAATCTATGTACAAATGCTCGCGAAAAGAAAACTTATCTATTAAAGGCTGCTTCATTTGACGGTTGTCCACCAGAAGTTGCTCACAACCTGGCACTTATTTATGATCGTACTGAACACAATGATAAGCTAGCAATCGAATGGTACACAGTTGCGGCATCGAATGGGTTGTCAATTAGTCGCTTTAATTTAGCACAACTTTATCAGCGCGTTGGTGATTATCAGGCTGCGATGGGTCAATGCGACAAAATAGCCTCCGTTCCTGGTTCTATTGGTAAAAATGCCACTCGTCTACGAGAAGAAATACGAACAAAAATGGCATTAAGCACTGATGACCCCGCTCGTTCTGAGACGAACATTCGTAAATGCATTATCATGTAGACTATGGATTTTTCATTATGAAAGGACTTTAGTGTGGGAATATCTGAAGGCTGATGGCTTTCTCAATGAGGAATTCATCAACTCCGTGCATACCGCCTTCCTTTCCATAACCACTTTCCTTTATACCGCCAAAGTCTAAGAATGGGTCGTTAACTTGTTCCGTATTAGCACCGACAATTCCAACTTCAAGTCCCTTGGCCATGCGGAACATTGTGTTCAAATCGTTTGTATAAACGTAGCCAGCGAGTCCAACGCTGGACGAGTTGGCGGATTTAATTACCTCATCGACATCTTTGAATTTAATTAGGGCGGCTAGAGGACCAAAGGTTTCTTCTCTGAAAAGGCGACATTTCTCCTTGACATTCACTAGCACGGTCGGTTCGTAATAGCATTCGTTAAAACCTTCAGGACGCTTTCCACCTGTTAGAATTTTGGCGCCATTGGCCACAGCATCTTTGACATGCTCTTCAACCTTCTCGGCACCACTTGCAGCAATAAGAGGACCGAGTTTTACTTCAGGATCGAAACCAGAACCAATCTTCATTTCGCAAACAAGGTCAGCAAGTGCATTGGCAAACGTATCATAAATGTCTTCGTGTACATAAATTCTGTTGGCGCATACACAAACTTGGCCGTTGCTGTTAAACTTACAAGCCATAAGCGACTTGATAGTTTTCTCCAAGTCTGCATCAGGGAAAACAATAAAAGGAGCGTTACCACCCAATTCGAGTGACATTTTTTTAACTGTACACGAACTTTGGGACATTAATTGCTTGCCGACATTGGTGCTACCAGTGAAGGAAACTTTACGAACGATGGGGCTGTTCGTAATGACCTCGCCGCATACTTTTGCATTACTGTCAAGAATCAGATTAAGAACACCCTTTGGAATTCCGGCCTGCTGAGCAAGCTTAATCATGCCAATTGCGGTCAGAGGTGTAACTTCAGCTGCGCGAATGACGGCGGTACATCCGGCCGCTATAGCTGCACCGGCTTTTCGAGCAATCATTGCTGCTGGGAAATTCCACGGTGTAATAAGACCACAAACGCCGATCGGTTGTTTTACGTTGAAAATTCTATGGTTACTGGCAACACCTGAATGTGTCACATCACCATGAATTCTAAGCGCTTCTCCGGCATACCAGTCCAGAAAAGAAGCTGAAAACTCAATTTCCTGTTTCGAATCCGCAAGTGTTTTGCCGTTTTCCCAAGTCATTACTTTTGACAAATCGTCGCAATTCTTTCTAACAAGTTCGGCCCATGTTTTGAGCATCAATGATCGCTCTAAAACCGGGCTTTCACTGAAGGATTCGAAAGCGTTTTCGGCGGCCTTAATGGCCTCTTCAACAACCTCTGCTGGAATATCCGCAACTTCTGTAATGACAGTGTTGTTAGCAGGATTTATGTTCTGAAAAGTCTTCTTGTTTGGTGATTCGACCCATTGTCCATTAACACAAGATCTTGCTGCTGTTCTGTCCAAATCGAAGAGGGAAATATTTGAGATTTTTGGAGTAAATACGCTACTGTTCACCATTTTTAAAAACGGGATAAATGCAAGATAAGGTTCGTTTAATTGTTGTCTTTGAACTCGATTGTCTTTCGGACTGAAGAAGGAATTACTGACCCATTTATGTTATTTACTTGAAAATTATGTTCTTTAATGACATAAAGATGAACTCAAACACATGAAACTGAGGTCACTTTACGTTCATTGGTACACCTTCACGACGTTTAAACGTTTAAAACGACTGATATGTTTTCACATATATGAAAGGACTGTTGGTGTTATTGAATTTCGTCAATGAGAAGTCAGAAATGAAGTTTGGCTCATCAGGTTGACAAAATGTATAGAGTAGTTGTAGAGAAATTGTACAGCAGTGTTTGTTTGTGTATATTAAGTCTTTTTTAACCTTTCTAATTAAATTTTTTTACTATTCTTACTTTATGAAATTTAGGTAAATTTATTTACCGCTAATTTTTGCAGAAATAAAACTTCATTTGATTAAGGAATTGCACTATGTATAGTACAGAAATTGCAAAAAGTTGCAGGAGGTCCTCGTTTTTAAGTATCGGGGTTGTAACATAAAATCACAATTGATGCAAAATCGTTATTCTAGCACACTTATGTCTAATAAAGGCGTCAAAATTTCGTTCAAGCTTTTCTGTCCTATTAGGAAGTTTAATATGATGAAAGGGGAAATTTGAAATAAACGAAAAAGAAAATTCATTAACAGTTATCCTCATTATAAATACTACTTGGTACAAAATTATAAACTAAAAAAAATATAAATTGTATCACACGTATCGTTGAACGAGTCTAAAAAACTACCGAGGTTGTGAAAACACATCGATAATTTTTGCTTGAATCTCCTTTACAGTGTGAGTAGGCGTAATCTGTGAAGTCATGAAGTAAACGACGTTTCCTAAAGGACGCGCCAGGATACCATATTCTTCTGCACCGGTAGAAAACTCACGAAGTCGTGAAAGGTACTGACCAGCGGCGCTGGATTGGTAGCCATGGTCTCCCGCTTTCAAAACGACAGAGGCAAGAGAACCAAGTGCCATAATGCTTTCAACACACTCAAGTTTAGATACTTCATAAACCCACTCAGGATCCCAAACACTCCATGCGTTAGGATTTCTCGAAGACAGAACACCATTAACGTTTTGGCAGCCAAAGAACTCCAACCAGCGTTGCTTGTTTTCGGTCCAAGCTGTACGATTCAGTTGGTCCAAACGCTTTAAGGACTGACGAGCAACATGACATCCGACTGGATGTGCAGTGTATGAGTGTCCATGCAATAAAGCATCAGACTTTTTGTCAGAAAGAAAGTACTCGAACAACTCCTCACTCGCCAGAGTCACAGAGAGGGGCACAAGACCACCGGTGAGCAACTTGGCATTGACTTGAACATCCGGATAAACCCCGAGAATATCAGCGGAACGAAGCTGTCCTAAGCGATAGAGACCAATAAACACTTCATCAAATACCACAGGAATACCTGCTTTCTTGTTCTCATGTGCTTCTGTGTACCATGGCGATTCTGGTAACCGACCCTTGGCAATATCAACGAGAACTCGTTGAAATAACGGGTCTACGAAAAGCATGCCGCCGGCACCGACGACAAGTGGTTCGATAACCAAAGCTCCAAACTGGTGACCCTGTTGCATAGCAGTTCTCACTTTCTCGCCAATGAAGCTGGCATACTGTTTGGCAAGATGTGAGTTCACTCTCGAAGAAACATTGTATACGTCATCCAAAGCGGTAAAGGAAAACGATTTGTCTTCCCATTGAACAGAAACTTCACCGTTTGAGACTTTGACCACGGGAGAGTCAAACCAGATCCCGCGACCGTCATACCAGTCGACTTCAACATTGTATACATTTGGCGGGCAAGCATCCATAGTACCAATCGTATCGCCGTGGTACGCGCCTTCAAGTCCAATAATCTCAATCTTTCCACTTAATTGATGTTGAATACGTGCCGCCTTCAGGGCCATTTTCAACGCAATTTCCATACCAGTCGCACCATTGTCGGAATAGTAAACACGATTTGCCCATCCCTTGCCAACAGTACTGAGCAAATCTTCAGCTAAACCTAGTGCTGGCTCGTTTGTACAATTGGGAAGCAAAACATGCCCGTAACGACCTGCAGCATAAGCTGCAGACATGGCAAGATACGGGTCACCATGGCCCAAACCTTGAGTCCACCACGAAGCAGAGGCATCAAATAGCTCCTTGTACTTGTTTTCTTCTACGGCAACGGATCCTTCCTTCTTTGAACCGTCAGCCAAAGCCTCTTCAGACTTTCTTTTTGCGTTGGGAGCAAAGACAGTATACATATCCCCATGGGCAGAATCAATCACTGCTATCTCCTTTGGATTCACAAGTGTATGCTGTGTGAAGGGGTACCAAATATGCTTTTCTGTTTGATTGATCATGTCATCTAACCGTGCAAGCCGGGTTTTCTGGACTTGCTCAATATGCTTCAGTACATCATAACCGACTGAAGCACTTTCCGAGTAGTACTTCTGCATTGCCTTGAAATCAGCCTCGGCGTCTTGGCTCAAAGCTGGCGGAGAAGGTATAGTAAAGCACTTGATGTTCTCCTTGTCATGACAGCTGTACGACTTGGACCAAATCTCTGAAAAGTACTTCCAGTTTTCGTACTGAGGAGCGTTTTCCGGGTCTCGAAGCATCAAGATTGCGGAAATGTCGTAACCACGAACCTTCAACTGTTCATATGCAGCAATGGTTGTTGAAATTCCTCCCAGTTTTGAATCACCAATCAATAGAACAGGCAGTCTAAGAGGACGATACAAGTCACACTGTAAGGATCCACTTGGTGCAGGGGAGGAAACGCCTCCAGCAGTTTCAACAAACGTGTTTTTAAACGAGCTGGCCTGAAGATGTTTCCGTAAAGCAGAAACGATAGAGGCGTCTGTAGTTTGCATCGCTCCCTCCGACATATGGGGACTCATTGCTTTTTCGAATTGATGAATGTTCGTACATTTGCAAGGAACAAACTTTGCGAGATGGACGTAATCTGCCTCCTCAACTGGGCCAGCACCAACTGGTTTGATGTACTCAACAGGAGCATGCGCCAAATAATGCGACGCATAACACAAGGCCGTTGACCAAATTGTTTTACCAACTTCAGTGTTGGCACCAAAAAGAATGTGAGCCAGCATGGCCGACTGATTTATTCTTGTAACTGTTGCACTTGGTACAACTTTACGGCTGATGTATGTTGTCGAACTCGAAAAGAGTAGCAAAATATGTTGTTTTTTTCTCTACTCCCAAAATCCCCTGTCCACACTTTTATTAACTAACTGCGTGTGTTTTTGGTGTATATGTTTCGGGTCTTGTCGGCTTGTATTGAGAAATGAAAAAGTGACAAGGAACAGAATTCGCGCGCGACAGAGGATGTCGCTGAAATATATGCATTGTAATGGAAGATGCGACATTCAAAGATGAGTTGTAGATAGCCTATTCCAAGATTCTGACCTCTTTGTTGAGAAGATGATCGATCATCCGTGTTTCCATTAAAATCACAATACTGATGAGAAGGATCCGAGCAAGCATTGAATACTCACGCGGATGCGGTTGAGGCACATTTCTTGATTGGAGCGGCGCAGCTTTACACGGGTCCTAAATGAATGAACAGAGTACCCTGAGACAATATGACTAGGCTGCAAGTCTAATAACCTTTCCACGGGAATTACACGATGAAGAGATTACATTAAATTAGTACATGAAACGGATGCGTTGTCGGCAAACGCCTTTCTCTATATGGCCTACTCCCCCTTCAGTTCGTATTCCATTTGTTGCTTGCTTTTCCACGGCAACTGAGTGTGGTTTACATACTCGCGGTTTGTTTTTCGACATATACTTTTCTTCCATATGACTTTCAGACAAAAGACCGGACTGGAGGCTGAAAAAGGGTATGCCGCAAGGATGACATTGCGGTACATGTTCCTCAGAGACTGTATGTCCGCGGCCGATTTGCAGTCAATAAGGTTCATTAGAATGTCTGGGTGAAAGAGGATGTCATGAAACAATGCCTTCACGGTCTTCAACATCGCCTGCGTTGTCTTGTACCAGGTGACCAGATCGGTCGTGTGCAGTTTCTTTTGGTTCGACAGCTGGTCGACGTTTCTGTACTCTGACTTCCAGCGGCAAATGGCCCGTTTCAGTGTTTGCAGGAAAACAACATACTCATTCTCCTGTTGTGGCCCATAGAACAGCGGCCGCATATGATCCTCGTGGAGAAAACCATTCTTGAGGACACATCCCACCGTATACAACACTGTATCGTATGCCGTATGGAAGTTGTCCACAATTGTTTGCTGAAAGGGCGCCTTCATTTTGACTGTGAACGGTTACGAAACGGGCACTCACAAGCACACACAGGTACCCAAGCAAGCTCACGAAGGCAGCTCTTTCACTACACACGGCACCGTGTCTGGTGTCGACGAGAATGTCGAGCATCTTTTATTCTGGGTGCGGATGAATTGAGGTCATTCTTCAGACTGTATGGTGTATAGTGTGAATTTGAAATCTGACCTTTACTTATGGAATTGGTCCACAATGTCGTGTCTCCTGGCGGAATCAGGCAACAATTAACGGCTCACACGAGTCGTGGTGCGCTGTGAAGGGCGGCGCCAGCATGATGTGAACGCGCGCTCCCAGAGGATCAGCGAGACTAAAAAACAAGGAGCAATGCTTAGAAGAGAAAGCAAAAAAGGAAACCGACTGTTATAAATACCAATTACAACGGCAACTCATAAGCTCGGCTAATGAAGCTTAATCGCATTTAGTCCTCACCCGCCTTCACGTGTCGACCTTACTCCAATTAATCTTTGCGATAGGATCAGTTCACCTTAATCGTGTTTAGCTCAGCCGAAACGGACCAATTGGCCCTAGTTGCGATAAGCTCACCCCTAATCGCACCGCCCTTCCCCTATCCCGTCTGCCGAATCGGCCCGAAAAGTCTCCCCGGAAAAACTGCCAAAAGACACACTTTTTACTGAGATTTACGAAAAATGATATCGCTTAAACTTATGACCCATTCTTTGACGCGCTTTTCGCATCTACAAGGCTGAGTTTAAGGCACCTTATTGCTCGTTCGCTCTCCTAGATCGATCGATGCAACCAATTATTTTCCCGCTTCTTCCGTGTTACCCCACAATCAGACATTTATCTAAGCGAATCTCTTAAACCGCCAACATTATAACCATCTAGCAAACGCGTCCAGAAAGTTGCCCTCTGTCAACAACCTTCACTAGCTGTAGGCCTGTATCATTTTTGTTTTTGCGCACGAAAACGTGTCAAAAGACGACCGTATAAACAACAAAAGTTCACACAAAGAATCCCTTGTTAGAATGTCTGCTCAAACTGGAGTCAAAGCGCCTGTCGCAGCCGTGAGGCCGCCGCAACAAAAACTCACTACGTTGAATGCTTTCCTGTCTGGAGGTGTTGCTGCCTGTGGTGCTGTTTGTGTGACAAACCCTTTCGAGTTGATTAAGACTCGTATGCAGTTGCAAGGTCAGCTTACGAAGCTGACAGACGCCCAGCGCGTGTACAAAGGTGTTGGACAATCCTTCGCGATGATTGCTCGTCACGAGGGTGTTCGTGGTCTTCAAAGAGGTCTGGGAACTGCTTTCGTGTACCAGGTCTGTCTGAATGGATGTCGTTTGGGTTTCTACGATCCTATTCGCAGCAGACTGAACCGCTGGATCCTGAGGGACCCCAAGAAAAACAATATGATCATTAACATGATCAGTGGTGCCGGTTCTGGCTTTGCTGGTGCCCTGGTGGGATCGCCGTTCTTCCTGATCAAGACTCGTATGCAGTCTTTCTCTCCCAAGTTCCCTGTTGGTGAGCAATATGGCTACAAGCACATGGTCGATGCCATGAGACGCATTGTCAAGGCCAACGGTGTTCGTGGTCTGTACGCCGGTGCTGATGCTGCCATTCTCCGTACCATTTCCGGTTCTTCTGTGCAGCTGCCCATCTACTTCTGGGCCAAGCGCATCATCGAGCGCTACAACCTGTTGTCTGAGGGTCCCATCAAGCATTTGACTGCCAGTGCCACCTCTGGTTTCGGTGTCTGCTGCGTTATGCAGATCTTCGACACTGTGATGACTCGTATGTACAACCAGAAGAACAAAGAGCTGTACAAGAACCCCATCGACTGTATTGTTAAGACCATCCGTTCCGAAGGCTTCTTCGCTTTGTACAAGGGTTTCGGTGCCCATTTGGCCCGTATTGGTCCTCACACCGTTTTGACCTTGACTTTTGCCGAGCAAACCAACAAGATTTTCCTGAAACTCCAAAACAGATTTTCTGATTAGGTTCCCGAGGTGCCGATCCCCATCATCATCTTTCCTTACTGTTCGTTCTCCGTTGCTTAAAAAAAAAACCAGATGATTTGGACGTGTTCTTTACAGCTGACAAAGACTTAATTACCTCACACACTGTTCTGCGCCACGTCCCGTGTCTGATTGTCTTCTTTTGGATATCTAAAAACCTCGTTCGTTCGTGGATATTGTCTTTGTTCTTACCCTTTTGATTCTACCACCTCGTTTTTTGTTATAGTTTGGATACCTCTACATAGATTTTGTTGCTTGAGAGCAGTGGGTGTGCACAGGCTTGTTTAGTGGAGAAGCTGGAGGTGGTCCAGAGAGTTTCGGGTGCATCGTTTCGTAAACGGCGTAGACGATTCAACCGACAGCTAGCTTTCGTAATCATTTCCCATAAGTTATAAGTCGTCTTACTGCATGCCTTTTTTCCCATCACACGCACACTCTCTCGCTCGCTCGCTTGCTCCAGGCCCCCACTATCCCACTCTGCTCTCCCACCTTTCTCGAGTATCCCACTCTGCCCCCATTACGTGCTTACTCCCCCACATTCGCACACTCCGTAACCCAGTGTAAGCAAAAACCTGGATTGGGCTTGAGCAGCACTTGTAGACGCGTCCTTCTGTGTTGCAGACACCATGACCAGTAAGAATACTCGATTGTCCTGAAAGAATGGCAGCTAATCACGTCCCGTAGTCCGCTCGTTAGACCTTGTAGCACCGAATGGAGGCCTCAACAGAAGCTCTGTTAGTCAATTAAAAGGAAAAGTCCTCGGAATTGATGCTACTTACTTTCTGTTTCAAGTGTTTGGACTCTGGAAACACAGTGAATCGTCGTATCTGGCTTGTACGGAGGAGTCTGAGCAGCTCAAGTCTATCCTGAAAAATTATCTGGAAGCATTCCGGAACAACGATATACAACCCCTGTTCATCTTTAATGGAATCTCGTGTATAACAAATTGCGTGAGACCAAACGAGTCCTCTGCCGCAGAGAGTGCTGCGGGTGTCAACGGAGCCTGGAACAGAGACGACCAAAAGTTTGACCCATACAGCTTGGCTTCCTTGACCGTGTCGTTTCTGTCCTCGTCCACTCAGTCTGCCTACTATTCTTCGTCTGCATCATCAGGAGCAAATCATCCTTCTAGCCGTACTTTTGTCCGTACCGTGCAGCAAAACCAATTGGAGTATGCGTGTGAACTCTTAAAGCAGGTGCTAGATGAACAAAACTGCACGTTCTTCGTCGCTCCGTACCTTGCTATGGCACAGTTGTGCTACTTTCTGCAGGGAGCCCCCAAAAAATACATCGACGCTGTTTACGGACCCGAAGACTTGCTCCTGTTTGGCGTGAAAAAAGTAATTACTCGAATGGTTTTGGCCGATCAGGCTGCGACTCCGGTGAGTCTCGTGGACTCTGTAGCTTTAGATGCATTCGAATGGATTGACGGACGCACAGTGTTGAGCCAACACTTTCCCGGTCTTTCCTGGTCACAATTTGTCGATGCCTGTCTACTGAGCGGCACTGCGTTTACACTGACACTTCCACAAGTGGATGGTCCCTTTCCCTTAAAACAAGCTGCACAACTCGTCACCCTGTACGGTTCGGCGTACCACGCTGTCCACCATCTCACGAAAGCTGTGCATACTCCTTTTCTCGATGACTATATGCATCAACTGAAACAAGCCATCTGCATTACGTGGTACTATGTCTGCATGGACAGCAACGGTGTTACTACGCCACGACCCGTGGACGGCGTCGTTCCTCACGACATCCATGAATACATTGGAACCCGCTTTCCCGCTGAATTATACTATTATGTATCACAAAGCCTGATACCATGCAAAATTATTGGTGCCCTAGCGACCGGCTGTTTCAACGATCCAGCCTCTGTCCTTGAACAACATGGCGGCAATAACTGGGCTAATTCTCCTGCTGGTAGTTTGTCTCGCAACGATTCCGCTGCGGCTGCTGTCGATCAGCGAAGGTTTGTAGATGATATTGAGGAGATTTGGTCGCAAGCATTAAACTTGCTGACCCAACCGTTGCACCGGTTTTACCAAGCCCGTGATGTTGTTTCCCTGCACAATGGCAACCAGCAGGCCTCTTTGAAGGTCATGCATCCCTATGACCCACCCTTGTATCATGATACGCGTTCTTGGATGTTACAAGAAAGTGCTCTTCCTTCGGCCGCAAACTCCTTTGTTGAACAAAACAAACCAATTCCATTTTCTGTCATTCTTGAGCCACTAAACAATGCAACGTTTGTTGAAGAAAGCTTGCACAACAACAGTGGTAGTAGCAATCACTCTTCACCAATAAGTAAAAAGACAGCCAAAAAGGTTCTGCGTACCGCGCCCGAAATCTTAGTCAATGCACTATACCGGTTTTTCCAAATCCGAAACTTCATCTCCACGAACCATCAACTGACTTCTTGGGGTGCACCGTTGTTGAAAGCCCTGCAGTCATGCGTACCTGAGTATCAAGAAGCCATGTTTGTTGCCTTCGAGATGTTGCGGTTGAGACAATTGCGAGAACCAAAAGCCGCTTCTGGCAAAAGCGCACCTGCAGACAGTGCTACTATTGATTTCTTGTCTAAGCTAGCCACATTCCTTCCCTATCGTCTGCAGCAGAATGACCAGGCTGACAATATGACGTGTCCACTCTCACATTTCCATCTGCTTCATGCGAGCTTTGCATCTAATTTGGGTGAATTGTACGGCACTGTCACAGCCTCCATGCTGTTAAACGGAAACATCGACCGTTACTCTTTGCAACCCAAGGTGCTTCGTCAATGCCAACCCTTTCGTTTGCCAAATGGATCGGTGACTTCTGGAAATGTCATTCAATCCTACTTTACTACTTTTTGTAATTCTGTTGCCGAATGTGGAAGGGAAACTGCGATTCAAAAGGCTCTTGCATCTATTGCCTCACAATTTCCCAATGGTGAACAACCTATTCGACACATTCAGAGCTTTTACTCTTTCTGGCAGAGCCTGCTACTTGGAATTAAAGAAGCTGAAGGCTCTGGAGCCGTTGGTAAGCTTTTCCTCCATAAACTTATGGATGTAGACACATGGCTCACGGACAAAATACCTTCTTTTTAAAACAACGTATATGATGTTGTGAAATTATGAGACGTTCTGACTGGTGCATTCTTTCTGTTTTTTTTTTCTCTTATTCTAAATTTTGAACTGCAAATATATAAATGACTATAACTGTCTATCTCATTGTTCTGGTTCAAGAACACGTAAAATAAAGATAAATATCAAGCATATGACTTGTAATCAATTATTGGTTATATATGTTTCATTTTTCTGCAGAGGTTGCCTACTACCCTGTCGCATTTCTGAAGGTGGTGTCTGTTTACCACGCGACGTGTTTTGCATTTACAGAACATCCACACAACGCCACACCACTTACACCATAAGCTCATGCCGTTCGGAACGCACGCTACGCACTTCCAACTGAGGCCTACGAACCAATTCCCGTGTTGAAGTCCAAACCAGGCCTTTTTCTTGTTCATTTTGCTCTCTAAACGAAGTTATGGGTGTTGATGACACCTCGATTCAACCTCGTCTTTCTTCGGAAACTACACACTCTTTAAGCATTCAAGAACAACAGACTTCAAATCATGGCGGTATTATGAGCAAGAAACACAAGAAGAACCGGAATCGGCCTCGGGTCCGGTTCTTCACCTCTGATAATGAAAACAAGGAAGAAGAAGAGCATCACGTTTCGGAATCCGACGATGCTCAGTCAGTACGGACAATCAATGAACAACTTGGTTTAGACGATATTCGTGCTATTGACAACGCCGATTTCTCAGTCCTTAATGAGCCTCCTCCTGCTCACGATGCTTCAGATACCTATGAATCGGCCTCTTCCATGCGAAAAGCCCTTTCGGCGGATGCTGAACAAGACAATAATGTCCATGTCTCCTTCCAGGATGGCTTTGCGATGGAGATTCCTTTACAAAATCTTCCTCCTCCGGTTGAAGAAAATGCTCCACAGACTCAACGGCTGTTTATTCCTCCGGAGTTGCTCCGTATCAAAAAGAAACGTCGGCTTCATTTCTTCAATCCGATGCAATGGCTCGGTGACAAAATTGCGGCGTTCTCCAATAAAGACCATCGCTATTTGTCATCGGGAAACCGTAGAAGAATCATTATCAATCCTGAGAGTTGTGAGTCTCAAATCGATTCACGGAATGGGAAACCTTTTATTGGGAATGAAATTATCACATCTCGGTACACGAAGTACAACTTTCTACCTCTACAGATCATTGCACAGTTTTCGAAGGTTGCAAATTGTTATTTCCTACTCATTTCTATTCTCCAAATGATTCCTGGATGGTCGACCACGGGAACCTATACAACCATTATTCCACTTTTGCTGTTTATTACCATCTCGATTTGTCGAGAAGGTTATGATAGTTGCCGCCGTTCCTCTCTCGATCGTGTTGAGAATGCTAACCAGGTGAAGGTGTTACGGCATGTACGGAATGAATTTCCTGTTGCCAAAAAAACCCTGCGGACACGGTTTCATAGACGCCATCCAAGCTCCGGCATGACTAAGTGCACAATGGATTCTAAAGAATCCGTTGAAACAAAAGAGGTAAAGGACACGACGAAAGAGTTCAAGGAAGCCGCTTTTACTGCTACAGAGCCGCTGGAAGCATCAGCTCCGCCGGCATCTACATCATTAAACACGGTCGTGGAGGAAACATCGACTGCGACAGTAGGACCTGCGCCTTCAATAGAAGCGACTATCGCACCCAGTGATACGGACTCCGTTCGCCCAACTGTTAATGCTGACCCCTCTGCCATTCCTTCTACTTTTTTTTGGTCCGAGTGTGATTGGAAAGATGTTCGTGTTGGAGACATTATTCGGTTAACCTCTGATGAGGCTGTGCCTGCTGATGTTATTGCACTTTCTTGTTCTTCTCCAATTGGCGCAATGTACGTGGAAACGGCAGCGCTTGATGGTGAAACATCTTTAAAAACAAAGCTCATCAATTCAACCTTACAAAAAAGGTGCTGTACTGTCGATAAAATTACAAAGCTTCGGGGCGAGTGTATATCCGAAGACCCTAATGGCGATTTGTATAACTTTACTGGTGTCTTTAATCTTGAAGATTGTAAACACGAAATTCCCTTATCGAATAACGACATCATTTATAGAGGTTCAATTATTCGGAATACGAAGGAGCTTTTTGCTCTCGTTGTGTTTACCGGAGAAGAGACAAAAATTCGGATGAATGCTGTTCAGAAAGTTCATGTCAAAACACCTGTCATGCAAAAAATCACGAATGGTATTGTCTCATTTATCTTCGTGTTTGTGTTGAGCATGGCAATTTTCTGTACAGCCGCTTATTTTGTATGGCAAAACAATAATGAAGATAAGTTGTGGTACATGTTCGGAAACCATTTGTCCGTCATGCCCGTGCTTATATCCTTCATCATTTTGTTTAACACAATGGTCCCTATTTCCCTTTACGTTTCTATGGAAGTCATTCGTGCTTTTCAATCCTTCTTGATTCAAAATGACTTGGATATGTACTATGAACCTACCGCAACGCATGCTGTTGTTCGGACATCCACCATTCTTGAAGACCTTGGTCAAGTGACACACATCTTTTCAGATAAAACCGGAACTCTCACTGATAACATTATGCTATTTCGGCATCTTATAGTTGCTGGCCAGTCCTGGCAGCATTTAGGACCTGAAAAACCTAAACTTTATGTGCCCGGAGCTAAACCCGGCGATAAGTTAGAGGAATATAATGACCCAGAACTTGAGGGTACAACTGTTCAAATGCTTCGCTGCATGCACGAGAATCCGTACACTAACTTTTCTAAAATGGTTCGCATGTTTCTTTTGAATTTGGCTCTTTGCCATACATGCTTTCCGACATTAGATGAAGAAACGGATAGTTACAAGTACCAGACCACCTCGCCTGATGAATTGGCCCTTGTACATACTGCGCAACAGCTTGGTTACGTTGTTACCGAAAGGGATGTGGATTCCGTAAGCATACGCCAACATTACCCTTTGGATTCTTATTCTAAACCGACGACGAAGTCCTACCGAATTCTCAACGTTATTGAATTCAATAGCAAGCGTAAGAGAATGTCAGTCATTGTCCGGATGCCTAATGGCAGAATCTGTTTGTTCTGTAAAGGCGCTGATTCAGTTATCATTCCACGCCTCCGTTTGAACAAACTGGCACACAAAAAGTTAAATACCGTTAACCAACAAAAGAACTTAAAGAAAAGTGTCGAAATTGATCGCGCCATTGCTCGTCATAGTCAAAGCACTGCTCGGCCTAGTCTTACCGCTTCAAGACCGAGTATGAATAGACACCGTCGCGATTACATTCAGAATATGAACTCGTGGCTTGATGAACGTCGGGCGAATATTCTTGGGCCCCGGCCGCGTTCGAGTACAAGTGTCTTGCAACCTCGTCGTGTTGCTCCTATGGCTAGACATTCTCTTGCATATGGTGAAAATGTACAGAGCTTTAGTGGTCATCAACATCAGCATAGAAGAAATAATAGCTTCGCTCGAAACTTTAACGAAGCTATTACTAAAGATGATGCCGCCATGTTTGAAAGTACATTTTCGAACCTTAACAGTTTCGCCAGTGAAGGTCTACGTACACTACTCTATACTCACCGTTATCTTACAGAGGAAGAGTATTCTGAATGGAAGAGCCTCAATGATGAAGCCGCCTCAAGTTTAACGAATCGTCAAGAATTAGTGGAAGCTGCTGCAGAATTAATCGAGACCAAGCTTGAGCTGACAGGTGCCACTGCCATTGAGGACAAACTTCAAGATGGTGTTCCTGAAACAATTAACGCTATTCAACGCGCAGGCATTAGCTTTTGGATGCTTACTGGTGATAAAAGAGAAACAGCCATTAATATTGGTCACTCTTGTGGTATTATCAAAGAGTTTTCGACTGTGGTTATTTTGGGCGTCCGAGACCCGAGTGAAGGCAGTGATGAAAGTGTCAAAGGAGGTAAACGTTTGTCTATGGATCATCATAACTTCACGGACCCATTCTCAATTATGATAGATCAACTAGTTTCCAGCCATGAAGCTATCCGATTGAAGAAGTTAGCACATCTGGTTCTTGTTGTTGACGGCTCCACTCTCGAGGACATCGAGGCAGATGAAGATCTATCGCGGCTGTTCCTTAATGTTGTTGTTGAAGCAAACGCGGTCATTTGTTGCAGAGCTAGTCCTATGCAGAAAGCCCAGATGGTCGGCAAAATTCGTGAGTCAATCGATAAATCTGTTACTCTCGCTATTGGTGATGGTGCGAATGATATTGCCATGATTCAAGAGGCACATGTTGGTATTGGCATTGCCGGACGTGAAGGTTTACAAGCGGCACGCTCATCTGATTTCTCAATCGCTCGGTTTAAATTTATGGTAAAACTTCTTTTCTGTCACGGGCGATGGAACTATGTTCGACTTTCGAAGTACATTCTTGGAACATTTTATAAGGAGTTATACTTTTTCTTACAGCAAGCAATTTTCCAACGGTTTGCGGGGTACACGGGAACAAGTCTTTACGAAAATTGGTCGTTAACTTGTTTCAACACTTTATTCTCGTCACTGTGTGTCATTTGTATTGGTATTTTTGACAAGGATCTGTCTGCTGCAACTCTTATTTCGGTTCCTGAGTTGTATCAGACTGGTATAACGAATGAAGCCTTTAACTGGCCGGTGTATTTGGGTTCCATGGCTGTTGGTTTCAGCCAGGGTTTCCTTGTCTTTTACTGTGCATACGCTGTTTTTGGTCTCCGTGATCTAAATGACGGAACTCTCTTTGCAATCGGCCAACTTTTGTTTACCATTTCTGTCATTCTTATCAATGTGAAACTCATGTTCCTGGAATTGCGACCAATGACTATTGTCCCTTTCATTGTTGTTGGTCTCACTGTCTTTGTTTGGTTTCTTTTTAACATCTTTATCAGTCAGGAGTACTCAGGTTCTGTTGTCTACCTTGCGAAAAGCCAATTCATACATCATTTTGGTCGGAATGCTGCATGGTGGTTCTCATTATTTTTCATTGTAATTACGGCACTCTTGGTTGACGTTTCAGCACAGTTAATGCGGCGTTCTGTGAAGCCGACGGATACGGATATTTTTGCTAATATGGAGAATGATGCTTTTGTTCGTTCTCGTTTTGAACAAGAGAGCTCCGAATTCCTACGCTCAGAGACCGCTGATGAAGAAAAGCAGGTTGAAGATTTTCTAGCGTTCCGCGAGGTATAATTCGGTATGTTTGGGCCAACTAACAGTAGAAGCTTGCTGTTTATAACCGTTTCATCTATCCTTCCCATGTTAATTTTTGCGTATGTTCTATTTTGTTTCATATGCTCGCTTCTAAATGATGCCCTTACTGCCATACTACTTGTTTTTAGGTTGTTCGCTTATGTATCCATCCGTCTCTCTTGTCTCATTTTTTCTATTTATTTTCCCGTATTAACGCTGGCTTGGTGCCGACCGACTCATCATTTCCTTGTTTTCTTTTGGCAATCCTCCCATTGGACGCATCATTCATTTCGGTTTACTCTTCCCTGACAAAGCCAATCTTTGGTATTCGGTTCATTACAACAAACTAATAAGCGAACTCCTGGTCTGTTCTTGCTCCATCCTGAGCGACAATTACAATTCCGATCTATAGGAAGATCGGTTTTACAAATCAAAGGAAGAATGCTGGAAATTTCTTTCTCTTCTCTCCTTTGTGACAACGGGGCATGCTCAACCGGAGCAAAAGCACCTGGTTCAAGTTCCATTTTCTCTCCCCAACAGTACCCTCCTCTTTACTTTCAACAGACCAAAGTCATGGTACAGTAGCAGCAGTCAACGTCGCCCGTCGCTAGTGAATATCTCGTCTTCAACGATGCAATTCCCCGCCTCTCGTCGACTATACTAATAAACCGCTGTTACGAGCCCAATTTACATCAATGATGTTTAGTCTACTGATTCCGGCCTTGAGAACCTCCAGTGTTTGCTCTCCTTTATGCCTGATGGGTAATGTATTTATAGTGGCGCGAATTGTTTAATAAGAGCTTTTTTTACGTTATCAGATGACGGTTAGTTTTGATCTCCTTCACCCGTGGTACGATTTACTCATGCGTAGCGTCGGTCTTGCTTTGATCGGCTTTTAACGAATCCCCCCGGTTTCCTTAGAGCTTTTCGGACACAGGTAAAAGCATTTAGCGTGAGGGTAGGATGTCGCTGCTTAACGTAGTATTAAGTAGCGTCACAAATTATCGTATATAACGATAAGGTTGTATATCAGACTACGTTAATGTTGATATAGTGCATCTGTATATCTCCTTATCTCCATTACAAACTCGCTATCATGCGGTATTCGAACGTTAAACTATGACGTCGATGATCCCTTCGTGATCTCTTGTGAACAGAAAGTTTACTCTTTTTACGAACACTTCAAACGGAAAGAGTGCTCATTCGCGCGAACTCCGTAGATAGAAGCAGATGTGTATGATGGAGGCGCAACCGTTCGTATTAAGAAAACAACGCGACAGACGTTGAATGATACATGTTTGCGATAATATTGAAAACAGTTCGCTACACTCATTCGTTGCGCGTCGACCCCGCAGTAAAATTACGTCACCGTGACGAAAGCTTAAAACGCAGCAGCTGCGAGGGTTGAACCCTAGGGGCAGTTGGGAACAAAATGCAGTCTAATGTCAGCAGAAATGACTCTGTTTCTAGCGTAAATAACGCAAACCTCCTCCGAACCAGTATGTTGTACAAGCAGAATGCTTGGAAAAATGTATGGAAGAGAACAGAATTATATCTATTCAAACATAAGTTTGCCATCTGAAAAGTATAAATACAGAACAGCTGCAACGCAATTGTTCAACGGCTGCTTTTAAAGAAAAAAGTGATTTAAACATCAAAAAGTCCTTTGCATTTTACATACAATTCAAACGATATCCCACGTACAATGGTGAAAGCGATTGCTGTTTTGAGAGGTGATTCCTCTGTAACTGGTGTTGTCACCTTTGAGCAACCCGACGAGTCTGCACCGGTTAAGGTACTTTACGACATTAAGGGAAACACCCATAACGCGTTGCGTGGTTTTCACATCCACCAATTTGGTGACAACACGAACGGCTGCACGTCGGCTGGTCCACATTTTAATCCCGAGGGGAAGTTCCACGGTGACCGGTTAGATGCATCTCGCCACGTGGGTGACCTGGGCAATATTCCAACCGACAGTGAAGGCGTCGCTAAGGGAAGCTTTAGTGACAATGTCATTTCGTTGTTCGGGCCCAACAGCATTGTTGGTCGTACAATCGTCATTCACGCCGGTACGGACGATCTCGGTAAAGGCGACAATGAGGAGTCGTTGAAGACAGGAAACGCTGGGGCTCGCAATGCATGTGGTGTCATTGGGATCGCTGCATAGACATTAGTATTATCTCGTTTATACGTACAGAGTTGATCGGATTTTTGAATGAATAGGAATGATTATTGTTTATGAAGATAACAGCTACGAGAACAATTGCCAGTTCTCAAACAACTAGTAAGAACCACGACTACGAACGTTGTTCGGCTATCCTTCGCGAAAACCGTCAACCAATGTGTATGTAACAGAATAACAGGGGATTATATTATACGAAAACAGTATGAAAATTTCGCAATAAGGTTTAGATGAATTGCAAAAAGGGCTCTTTCCAGAAGAGCTACTATGCGCAAACATTTAGAAAGAAATGAGGAGCTTAAGGTTCCAGACCTAAAGCTTAGGAAATCCACCAAAAAGACCAGGCCAACAGGCGCGACAAAAAGGAAAAACAGAAAAGGGGAATCATAAGTGGAAAAATCACAACACGAAAGAGAAAGACCAATTGCTCCCTCCTTCTTCTTTTAAAATTACCGCTTACAGGGCAATTAGACGACCTTCATTGCACGAGTAAGCACCCGTGTCATAACAAGCAATTCCACACACCTCGAGTGCCTTTCCGTCAATGATGGGACAAAGTACGTTTCCGTAACAAGTATACGACTCCGTGCTGTAGTAAGCATCCCCACACATACCAATAGTCGGTACGGTCGAAGTCGCTGTTGCGGTAGGCGTGGGCGTTGTTGTTGTGGAAGTAGCAAACGTAGTTGCGGCAGCCATTGTAGTCGTTGTAGTGGTTCCGTAGTAGAGTGCATTGTTAGAACAGTAGTACTCAGAAGGATTGTAGCATGCGCCAGCACATGCCAAATATACTACTGAATTGATAATAGGGCAAAGCACAGAATTGCCCTGACAAGTATAGGCCGATGAATCATAATATGAACCTCCACACACTCCAACAGTGTTCGTTGAAGTGGCAGCCGCTGTTGTTGTCTCGGTAGGAGTAGGAGTAGGCGTAGGCGTAGTACTCGTCGTCATAGAAGTTGTTGTGTACGTGTTTGAAGAATCGGCAGGATAAAGGCTGTCATAACTGCAACTGTATTGATCGGCATTGTAACACGCACCGCCGCAGTTCTTATAAACAACACCATTGATAATAGGACACAGCATATTTGATTCGCAAGTGTACAAAGACGAATCGTACACTGCTCCATTGCAAATGCCAGAGGAGGAAGTAGTTGATGAAGCAGACTGCGCAGTAGCAGTAGTCGTAGTAGGCTCGACAGCAGCCGCAGTCGTAGTAGAGGTGGAAGAATCGGAACCGGTACTGGCTGGGTAATAGACAGCATCGACACCAGATAAGCCAGCGGCATATGCGATGTACCAAGAGAGACAGCTGCCGCCATCAAGGTAGGCAGTGTCGAAGTTCTCTTGAGAGAAAAAGGAGTACGCGGCAGTCGGGTTCGCAATAGCCAAGTTAGCATATAAGATTCCGCGCCATCCATCTGTAACGCTGTCAATAGCACTAGCCAAAAGAGATTCCCATTCCTTAGCAACGAAAGCAGGTTGACGAATGAATGCTGAAATAGGAGTGATGGGAAGCATTTGAATGCCTTGGATGTATTGAATCAACGTTCCAAAATAAGTTGTATGGGCAATTTTGTTCATGAATGTGATACCTGCGATCTCGTTGGGTTGCATAACGGTGGGTTGAACATTGCCATCATTAAAAAGCATATATTTTCCCATGGCATGTCTCTGAATACCCAAGATAATATCAGCCCGCTGTTCCATGTCCGAGTCGCCAATGACCTGAGCCCAAAGCTTCATTCCATAGAAGAAATTGTAATCCTCGGAAGTTGACTCCTCGTCTTTTCCATCGTTAGAGACAAAAATTCCAGTAGCCCAAGAATGTCCGTGAAAAAAGTCAAATGATCGTTGAACAGGGAAGTAAGTATCAGCAGAGGTTGGGTTGGAAACATCACGAATAAGCATGTTGATGTAAGCCTTGTTGTTTCCCTCGTTAAGCCAATCCGGATAAATGTGCGCCAGAACGGCAGCGGCATGAACGAAATATCCATAATGAAAATGATGATCGTTGTAGTAAGTGTTACCAAAGTCACTCAAGGACGAGCCCGAAAGACCAGCCTTACTGACAACGCCCTTCCAAGTCTCATCGTAAATTAAAGGATAAATTTGAGTGTTGCTGACGAAGCGGTTCAAGGCATCTGCCAACCGGACAGCACAAGCTTGACCATTGGTAGTATCGGCCAGCACATCATTGATAGTTAAGCAAAGAAGACCATATTTTGCTAAGACTTTTCCCGCATAGTACATAGAATCAAGGTTACTCTCGCTGGAAAAGTCATTCGTAAGTTCGCTTTCAGCAGCATTCGCAATAGCAATCAATGCTTCCTCGGAATAACCAATGGCGGTTCCATTGGGACTCCATGGAAGAAAACCAATGTCAGAAGGTGCGGTCTCTTGGAAAGTCCATGTAGCACCAGCAATGGCGGTCATAGCGCCACTAGTCAATGAGCTCAATTGGACTGTTGAGACAGTGCCTCCCGAGATCATAGATTCCACATGGTGAGGCAAGCCGAAAATAAGGGGATCGTGAGATAAATCACCAACGGTGTTGAAATTCAATGAGTAAAGCGCCTTTGAGTCTTCCGTGTGACCAGTAACAGTTGCGCCAGTAATGTAATTACCGGCATGTTTATCGTAAACCGCTTCGGCGGTCGCGCTACCAGATGGGATCTTGGCAATTTGAATAAAGCCGGTGAAGGTGTCATTGGCCGTGAGCACCTGAGTCGATGTGGACTCCAGACTCAAAGCATTACCGAAAACGTAAACCAGCCAGACATTTCCATTTGACAGTTCGATACGATACTTCTCCGCGGAGTCGCGAAAAGAAATCTGTTCAACCGAGGAAAAGTAGTATGTGGAAGAGAACAAAATTGGGACGGCATTATCATACACAGCCGTGGCATATGCCATTCCACTAACGACATTCATAGACATAGACGAGGAATCCCATTCGAAAGAAATCCGTGCCGACATCTGATCAATCTCATCCACCTCCGGTGCAACAGTGGAAGTAATTCCCGTTGCACCAAATCCCAAAGAACACAATCCAATGGGTTCAAAATAGTACTGAGGAACAGTTTCGGAGGTATCGAAAACGCGCTGATTATCGTCCGTATGAGCAACGCACATGCCCGAGACGGACGAAGATGAGCTCTGCCACCATAAGCGAAGGGGGTCGGCGTAAATGAAAGAAGTGCGGTCGCCTAAAAGGATATTTGCGTAAAACTTGTTGGTCTCAATTGGTTTGCTAGAGGCGTCAGCTGTGACACCCCCTGGGGACAATGGATGTGTTGTAGAACCGAAAAGTGATGCGGGAGAAGACGTGTCGACAGGAACACTAAACACGTCGGTATACCGTTTCTCCAAAGAACTTGGGCTATCATTGCGCCAATTTGACCAAAGAGGGGATGCCGACGCGAATGGGGAAAGGAGCGTACTAAGAAGCACTAAACGCTCAAATGGCACAAGCATTTTTGTTGCTTGTTTTCTTTTACGGAGTTAAGGAAATTCGTGTATTAGAAAATACCGTGCCGGGAAAAAAGCCAAGTCTTTGTTTGTGAAGACAATGAAGGACAATGCATAGACAGCCAAAAAGCCTTACATTTATTACCTTTCACTTCATACTTGTCACAGCGTTCTGAATGGACGGAATTTGTGTGCCAGCCATTGTACTGGTTAACTGTTCAAAGGTTCCCAATTGAAACAAGTAGTTCTGTAAGTGGTCATCGTCGAAACGATACACGCGGCTAGTATGTACGTGATGACTGTTTACGCTTCCTGTTCGATTCGCTGTTTTCGATGAAGCGACGATAGTTTGGCCATGTGTCACTTCAGAAAATAACCATTAGCGAAAATGCCGTATCCATTTCGGCTAAGAAGGCTGGTTGTTTCACAACGTAACTTCGTAAATTACTTCAGATGCAGCTTAAACGTAAGTAAGTATCCATTAAATATAATCTGTGTATAGTTGTTGGTAGGTTTCAGTGCGCGTGCTAGCGCGTTTTGACGTTTCTAGTTTTCGATAATGCATTCTCGCTTAAACATAAATCATGTATTCTAATTATATAGTCCACGCGAATAGTTTCCGTTCCGTCGCACGTTGCACTATATGCGTTACTATTCTGTTTTCTGTGTTGCTTTCTCGTTTCGCTTCCTATTTGTTTACGGTGGGTTGTTTATTTACGTGTCCCGTTGCTGTGGTAATCGGTTAAAGATCCATAGCAACGAGCTTACATATAAACGCGCGGCGCGCTGCTTATTAACACAACAATAACCAAACATATTGGGTTCATTGGCATTGTTGGGCATTGACTGTCTGCTTTTGTCCGTACGGTACTTCTTTCTCTTCTTCTAGGCTGGTCCTATTGAATGAGTTCACTGAGCTGGTCTCATAACCATTCATTCTTCACATAAATTAACCTTCCCTCTCGAGCTGGTCTCTCATTATTTTCCTCTAATTAGCATTCGTGTGTAACTCATCACGACTCGCATATAGATTACGATTTTTGACACACATTATTTATCCCTAATACCTATCACCAACAACACTTGTGCTGGTCACAATTTGTTTTCTTTCAGAGCTTTTATCTCAATTAACCGAAATTCTATAACTTAACACAATGGACAAGAAGTACTTATTTTCTTCAAGTGCAGAGGAGTGTTCCACTCCTCCTCGGAAACGCAGTTATGCCTTTATTAGCAGCCCTGCTACTCCCCTCAGACAACAGGTTCTTGCTGGTCATGTCTCTCGCTCAGCGTTGAAGAACTCGCCCAAGGCCTCTGTTGTAATCAACTCCCCTAAGATTGAAGTGGTCAAAAGGGATTGGAATGTGCCAACTACCGGCTCTCCCAAACCCAAAAGAAGACCAGTGATCGGTTCTGATCGGTTTATTCCCGTTCGTCCGAATATCGACAATGCTCATATTAACAACACAAACAACAATTCGCAATCTAACGATACCAACGACCCTGATTTATCTGCCCAATATAACGAAACGATTGCAGAAGCTTGTGGTTTAGACCTCAACACAAGGATTTTGGCATTTAAGCCTGCTCCCCCAGAATCGAGAAAACCTGTGGACCTTCGCGCCCAATACAATCGTCCCGCGAAACCTGTGGCCTCGCAGGTTCGACGGATCATGACCACTCCGGAGCGTGTCCTTGATGCGCCTGGAATTGTGGATGACTACTACTTGAACTTGCTCGACTGGTCTTCAGTCAATAATGTCGCGATTGCTTTGGAGAGCAATGTGTATATGTGGAATGCCGACACCGGAGACGTTGCCGCATTGGCTTCGGTTGACGAAAGCACGTATGTGGCCGGCGTGAAGTGGTCGCAGGATGGTGCATTCTTGGGTGTGGGCTTAGGAAATGGACTCGTGGAGATTTACGATGCAGAAACTTGCACAAAGTTGCGTACTATGGCAGGACATCAAGCCCGTGTTGGTGTCATGTCGTGGGACCAACACATTTTATCCAGTGGAAGTCGTTCGGGTGCAATTCATCATCATGATGTTCGTATTGCTCAGCACAAGGTTGGCGAGCTACTGGGACACAATAGCGAAGTTTGTGGTCTCTCGTGGCGCTCGGACGGTCTCCAACTGGCTTCTGGCGGAAATGATAATGTTGTCCAGATTTGGGATGCCCGCTCTTCTGTACCGAGATTTACGAAAACAAATCACAGTGCTGCTGTGAAGGCCTTAAGTTGGTGTCCTTGGCAAAGCAATCTTCTTGCCACGGGTGGAGGCACGATGGATAAGAAGATACACTTTTGGAATTCTACAACGGGAGCTCGTGTCAATACAATCGATGCTGGCAGCCAAGTAACTTCACTTTGGTGGAGCATGCATACCAAAGAGATTATTTCTACACATGGCTTTCCCGATAACAACCTCTCCATCTGGTCTTACAGTAGCATGGGTCTCGTGAAGCAGGTCGATATCCCTGCTCATGACACTCGAGTCTTGTACTCGTCCATGTCTCCGGATGGATGTGTTTTGGCCACTGCCGCCTCTGACGAAAACCTTAAATTTTGGAAGGTTTATGATAATGAGCTTAAGAAAAAGTCGGTTGTTGGAAAAACGTCCGCGAGCAATATGATGATTCGTTGAGTTGAGTGCCCCTTAAACAGGTTTATTGCTCAATGGGTACACTGAGTCATTAATGCCTTCTCGTGTGCCTGGACTTCCTCGTTTCCATTGTATTGCGTATTTTTCCTTCAGCTTTGCGTTTGGCGCAAACTCGTTCGCTCTTTTGTATCCCTTAGACCTTACTGATGTTTCTTTATTTTATTCCTTGGCATACGGTTTTCGTTCGTTTCTTAACCTCCTTTCGTTTTCCACCCACAGTGTGTTCCTGACAGGTGTTGTGCGTTTGGCAGATTCGATGATTGCCTTTCAGCATACATTGTTAGTTTCGCATTCTTCTATCCTCTTAATTTTCGGTGTTTTCTCTCTGGTTCCTTCTAACACTACTTCTGTATATTAAACTCCACATGTTAAACGTTTGAACTGCACAGTCTTCTGTAGATCAATTATGGTTTTTATTAATATTCCCTCAGGAAGTCAAGAGAACAAGAACAATTCTGTTGATTTCGTCTGCATTGAACGAGTTTAAACGAGGGTGGAGGCTGGATTATAAAGGATCAGTGATGGTTCGCTTAAACGGGAAGCCATGTTGTTCTTGCGAAGGCATTTATGAACGGATATGTTGAGTTACTATTGGTTTTAAGCTATACGGAAATCGCAAAAATGTCTCTCTATGGAGATGCAGATACTGAAATCCCTCTGTGTCCATCACGTTTCCATGTTAAGCTACAGAATGGCTGTAAGGAAATACGCTTGCTGATCGCTTATCGTGGTAATTGGTCGGTACTAAGTATTCTCTATCCGGAGCCATGTTGAGGGCGTTATGTGTAAATGACACTCTTTTTCTACGAATTGGCAACTGTTTTATTCATTAAATACAGTACAAAGCGGTAAAGCGTATAACTCGTGCTCCGCCTGTCATGGCGAAGCACCCAATATTTGTGTGGTCAGTACGACGAAACCTCAACCAACCTCAACGCTTGTAGAAGACAAAAATTCAAACCTTTTTCGCATTTTTGCGCAAGGTACGGATGAACGTTGAGTCTAAAGTTCTTTTCTACTCAGGGTTTTAATTTTATTCGGTCGGTTAAGCCACATTTTTCCTGTGAAGCAGGTTCTTCCTTTTCAACCTTCCTATTGCCATTCAGACGAGCATTTGCCGTAAGGGCGGCTTGGAGTATTTATTTAAAACGGAACTTGGTGTCTTGGTGTTATAATCTTTGCATTCTTGTTCGGGTTCTCTATTTTTAAGAGTCGTCATAAGGTCAAATATTTCGGCTGACAGCAAACGAATTCTAGAGTTTATTTGGGTCACGGGACAAGAAACAAACGAAACGAGAGTGTTCGTTTAACTTGCATTTGTTTCGATTTATTGTTTTTGAAGCGAAACCGTTCGTCCAAATCGTTTATTGTGCTTTGGCAGTACATCGGAGCAGTCAATCTGCACAGTCGCTATTACCTTCTTCTGCATCTCTTTTGTTGCTTGTATGCCATTTAGGGCCATTATTCATTCGTTGTATCACAAAAGCGCATTGATAAGCATTACTTTGCTCTCTTGCTCAATTAAGCCAACTTACCTGTTTTCGCACTTTCGTTCAGCATTTTCCTACACATAGAGTGGCTACGGTCTGTAACAGATATCTGGCTTTTCTTATATCACCTTTTAGGTCAAAACGAACACAGTTCAGCACTTCTTTGGCTTTTCGAGACGTTCAAAAAACTACGTTTCGGACATATCCACGGTCTACGTTAATTCCTATTATTACATATCTCCCCTATGAACCATTACGCTTACCCAGAAACGCCAGGCAAGCGATTTCGCCCTTCCCTGCCCGGGACAATGTCCAAGCAAACGAGTCCTGTGGACAAACCAGTGAAAAGGCGAACTAAAACTGGCTGTTTCACTTGCCGCCGGCGTCGTATTAAATGTGATGAGGCTAAACCTTATTGCATGAATTGTACGAAATCGAACAGGAAATGTGAAGGCTACGCTGTTCCTGTGCCATCGGCAGCGCATCCTCTCGGAAACGGTTCTCCACCAGATCCTACGGCGGCGAATGCTGCAGTGGGACATCCGGTGGCTATAGCGGGAAGCATTGTACCCCCAATGCCTTCGCCTTCTGCTGGCGATAATCCCGGAGGTGTACCGGGACTCATGCCAAACGAATTACCCCAGCTGAATCACCCGCAAGCCGCAAATCCTATGGCACAGCGCCAGGGAATGAAGCCAATGGCCCATCCTCTAGGACTTGGTCCCCTTTCCGCGCATCTGTCAAACCCGAATGCTCACACGATCAATCCTAATCCCCTTGTTGGAGCAACAGCGGAACAGGGTGTTTTAAATCCTATGGGTTCGTCAAGTTTCACATTGCCGATGGTGCCCCCGTATTATGCTTTTAATGGCGTTTCTTCTAGTTTTTCGAGTTACTCCTTTTGTGATTTTTCTCCTTTTTATTTTTACGACGTTGTACCTTCTCTTTGGGCATTTGATTTTGACCACGACGTTGCCTTGCAACTCTGGTCGGTTGTAATTCCTCAATTGGCTCGATCGGTATCGGCTGTCGCTTATTCGTTAATGGCATTTACATCAATTAAGCGCCTTGATGTATACAACGCTTACACTTGCATGGTGCAGGCGCTTCGTGCTCCTCAACCGGATCCTGGTTCGCTCGAGTCGAAAATTATTTATTCTTTTTTGGCCGTTACCCAACTGCATTTACCTGGTTGTGATATTACATTTATCAATAATGCTATACGCAAAATTCTCTGGTCAACAGAAGTCAAGATTGATTACCTGAACACTTTGTTGGCCATGGTGACTCGGGAACTTGTGTTTGCGGTTTTGCAGCGTCGTTACGTTCCAAATTTTGACGGTATGCCCCTGGCCGCTATGAACATTGTTCGTAGTCATGCGTCGATTTCCGATTCTCTCTTCAATATTGCACTCAAAATAGTGTCACAACCCATGGTGCCCTTGGAACAACATAGAGAGAAAATCATCGAATGGCGCGATCGGTATCATGTCAACTTATACTCTAATGCAGCGACTCCCTTGGCCAAAGTTCTAGATTGTGTGGGTCATGCTGTCACTAAGAATGACAGCGACTTACTGCATGGTCTTCAGCAACTTATGTCGGATGATTGCTCAAATGTTGCCGTTGTTCATTCAGCATATACCTGTGTCTTGTCATTGCAGAACGTTTTTCCACCTAATTCGCCGGCGGTCCGAACCCAATCAGAGATTGAATCGTTCTTTGGCAAGCGACTGCTCGTTCATTTGTTCGAATGCAGTGGTACAGAACGCATGTTTAACAGCGTAAATAAAAGCAACGAGGCGGTTATCCGAAAATGGGACGGCGAAAATGTACAGTAAAAATAATGATTATCCAATCTGCCTAAAGCAGTTGGATATACCAAACTCTCACATTGGTTAGAATGCATCATTTCCATCATTTTATTATTAAATAAGTTTCTGCTTCTCTTCTAACATGTTAATGGTGCAAGGATGAATGAACGGTGATTGTATTTAGTGAGCTGTCTTTATAATAATCTAATCATGCGTTGTTTGCGTCCTGCGTTCGCGTCGTCATCATTAAATGGGTGTTCGTATCTCTTCAAGCGGCGGTCTGCGCTTGTTTTGTAACTTCTTTCTGAGCAAGGGTAAGGGTGTTTGTGTTTGTACCAGCGGTTGACGGAACCTGGGAGGAGGATTGCTCTTTGAGTGCAAGAAGTTGCTTTGTACGGAAGCGCTCGTAATGAACGCAAGCGGTCATTTCGATTAAATCTTGAAGATGCGTGCGAATTAAAAAGTTGCGTAAGTATACAAATTCGCAGTGATTTTCGTTTTCCACGTCGACAATGCCCCAACGGTTTTGACGTCCGCGTGTCGGCTTTCCATTTACCATGACGGTTTTTTCCGAGCCGACGACTGCGAATGGGATAATGTTACGAACGGCCGCATTGAGACTGCGCTCGCTTTCGTCCATATCTTCCAAGTCGTATGGGTAAAGGTGGATACCGTGTTTCGCAATGTCCTCACGGATTTGTTGTTTGAAAGCAAGACGCTCGTCAATCGTCAGTGAGTCGGATTTAGCAATTACAGGAACGACGTTGACAACTTCGGAAAGTCTTTTAAGGACACTTATGTCGATAGGTCGCAGGTTGTGACCCGTTGGGCGAATAAAAAACAAACAACAGTGCACACGGGTATCAGGAATGTTTTTTTCACGGTGGGCAGTCAATTCACGTCGAAGATAGAGAGCATGCTGGTCACGGATATATTTAATGATTGGCTCCCAACTGAAAACGTGTTAGTAAAATAGGAAGGTCATCCAAAGAACAGTGTTTGAAAGCATACCATTTGTCATTGTTGATCTGATCGCAATATCCCGGAGTATCAATAAGGTTCAGGCGTAGTTGGACCTTGTTCTCTTGGATAACTGTATTATGGCAAGTTAGTCAAAGAACCAAAACGACTAAACAAATGTTGTGTGTCTCTCATAAGAATACGTACCCTTGCTGATGACCGAAATTTCAGTCGTTTGACGAATGGGTTCGTCAATGTTATCGCGACCACTGCTGTTCATTATGTGCGTCGAAAACAGCGTATTAATTAAGGTACTTTTACCAGTTCCTGAAGGACCTAAACAAAGGATTGTTAATGGAATTTGATCATTCTTGTAACCGATGTCTTTAGAGACGTACCAACAACCATCACATTGAATTGGAATCCTCGAAGAATTAGCTTCCGGTTTATTTGAGAAGTAATTGTATCGAAACCTGGGTCGTTAGAGCATGTTTGAGAAGACGTTCGTACCAACATAGCCGTTTAATTGAACAGTATCATTTGCACTCATTGTGAAGGTTAATGAAACTGGTAGTTGGTTCGTTAGGGAGAGCGCTGGGTGTTCTTAAAGTGGAAAGCTAAACAAACGCTTACGAAAAGCTTAATTTATTATACAGAAATTAAGCAAGAATTGAAGTGATAGAGAATTATTCGACATTTTTATGTACTTAAATTAATAATTATGCGTTCTTTTTTGAGGTTGCTCAAACTGCCCAAGTTACACAAAAGTGAAAGAGTAAAATTGTATGGTGAAATGAGGACATGTGATATCTAGCAAAAAATACTTAGCATCATCGCAACGCTCTCGGAAAAACACTCTACTCTGCCCCTCAACTCAGCAAAAAGTCCCACAGGATTTAACCGCTGTCAAACGCTTTTTATTTGGCTCAATGTACAGAAACAACCTAATGCCATTAAACCCTAAGCAGAATAAGCATTACGAATACCAAACATTTTTGAAAGGAAAGTGGAACTGTGAGATTGCACTTGGTTGCAGTGTTGCTCAATTTGTGCCGTAATCAACAAAGAATCCAAGAGACGAGGCTCGGTAGGAGCCTTGAAAATACGCTTCCACTCATCCTCAGCAAGCAAGGGTTGGTTGTTGGCGGCACGAGTAGCATTCTCGGCCTTTCTCTTAGTGATCCATTGTTGGATCTTGGTTTGCTCACGAGCATATTGACGTTGATGGAATCCAACGTTTCCCTGCTCATAATGGAACTCATCAATCGACTCAAGCAACAACGAGAGGTTCTTATTGTAGAAGGAGTTCGAGGTGAGCTCCAGATCAGCATATGTTTCCGTAAGGGGAAGCTTAGGGAAAGCGTCCTCCGTCCGCGTGGAGAAAGTGGTTTCGGGAATTTCAGGTTCACTAAGCGAGTGCAACATGCAAGTAGCCAAGTGAGAGTTATAAACGATGATAGGGATCTCACGAAGAATATTCGACGACTTCAGTTCGTGCTTTGTCAACGAAGAGGCCGACCACGTCTTCTCAGCGTGCACTGCCATAAACTCGGACGTGAGTTGGTAGGCGTGAAGAAACAAAGAACCCTGTGTCGACTGAGACAAGTCGTAAACGAGAGCGATGCTGTTGGGGTTGCTCTTTTGGTAGGCAAATTGTGTCTCGACAAACGAGCTGTTCAAAAAGGAGCCAACATAAGCACCATGATACCAACCAGCATGACCGCTAGGAACGCCAATTTGTTTAAGACGAGCAAGCATGTTTTCCGTGTGAGCTTGGCGGTTTTTTCCAGCGACGGACTTGCTGACAGGAGACTCCTCATTGTCGAGAACGGCAGGGGAAGCAAAGCTGTTGCTAATTTGCAAAACTCCGTCAATGTCGATACCAACCAATTGACCGATTGTTCCCATACTAGGGAAAGACTCACGGCAGTGCTTGATGATGTTCAACACCACCAGCGATTCAAGCTCAACCGTGGCAATCGGTGTACTCAAATCTTCAAGTCTATCAAAATATTAGTACACTTTCAAAAAAAACAAAAAAAGAACAAAGACAACAAGCAGCCTCCAATCTGCACGTACACTCTAGAAGTGCCCATTTCCGACATTTTTATGCTCAGCTAGGGATGTGGTTGGTTCGGGGGAGGATTTCTGGAGGTGTAGTACTGACCCATAGCATCGGTGAGAACAACTGCAAAGTGGGATGGAGGTGGGCGGAGGTGGGATATGTGTGGAGTCTTTTTTTAAATTTAAGGTGGTCACGAGGAATATAAAGTTCACGAGACGGTAGAAAGCGAAAGGAGAATAACGCTTTAGAAAATGGATTGTCAGATTTACAGCATGAGTAAATTGGCTTCTGGGTGACGATGGAAAGAGAATTCGCTTAAAATAAATAATATGAGATGATATTTTCTGCTGTTGGTGAAAAGAAAATTTTAAAAATTTAGCGGCCAGTATAATTGATTATTATTATTATTTGCTTAAAAATAAATAAAAAAAATTAAAAAAAACTCCAACGACACCAAGGTTTACTTAAAGACCATTTCAAATCGTTGTCATGAGAGATAATGTAATAACAAATAATAAATAAATTAAGGAGTTCTAGTAATAAGTGATTGCGGACGATCCTAACTGAATAAGAAAAGTACGTTCATTAATTACCCTAGCAACATACAACACAACATCTCGCCTAAATTTATAAACCTTAACTAAATTTGTTTAATACCAACTTATATCGCCTTAGACTGTTCATTTTTTATATCCTTTCCTGTCTTTTCAATTGCAAACAAACTCAATAAAATACATGCTTTCGGCCAATTGCAATACATTAGTGTATTTTACGAAACGAGGAAATACTCATGGATTTTTATTACAGTAACAAATCTTTTATCTAAATCCGATCTTCTTTTTGTTTGTCTGTTCCTGTCATTGTTCATCTTGTTGACATTGAAGCCAGACGTACTGTTGGTTCTGCTTCATTAAAATACATACACGTGTTGCTCACAAAGACATCGCAATACTGATTACGCTCAATTGCTTGCCGATTGGCAGAGTCGATTAAATATCTGGCGGCTCGATATACTCGTACTTTTCCATGCTTTGAAAAAGCCGACAAATAAACGTTCACGAAGGGTAGCGAATTGTCCTTATCATAACTCTCCCCCACGAAGCCCCTGCCAGCCGTTACATCCGTATTCCTGCATTATGCAAGAGTCAATTTTGTTGCACTACTGTGTTAGCGAGAAAAAAAAAAAAAAGAAGAAAAATAAGACTCATTATTTAAACGCGATGTCCAATTCTTCCATCGATAAATCTAAATAAAGCTCTGCTTGATGAGCTGTATATGAACGAATATATGAACCCTAGGAAGTTGAGCGTTTTGTTATTCGTTGTTCTTACCGCTTACAAGCACCATTTTTCGCATTTTAAACAATAGTGCTCAGCTAATAAATTAAGCGTGCATGAGCCGTTTATAATGGCTCGGAACGTTGCAAAGAGGGGAAACTGTTCAATTGCACATTGCTTACTTCGAGAACGACTATACTACTTTGTTAATGCACCTAGATATCATAAATCAATCCTATGCAGATGTTTGTCAAACATAATTAAAGGACAGTAGTTTCGTACAGTAAAAACCAAAAAATAGCAAGCATACAGCATCTAAAAAAATGCGCGACACAAAAAATACGATTGAATCTTCTATTTAAGAATTATACCTTCACAATTGCTAATGTTAATTTCTTCCCTAACAGCTCTCTTTCCCATTTACACGCACCCGACGCTTATCCCGCCTGTGATGTCAGTTTCGCTTAGCTAAGCGAAAACGAGCCTGGAATTGGGCACGGTAACACTCGCTCCACCTTGCAAAGCAATCCCTCCCTCTCCCATTCTCCTCTTGTACAAGAACAATTGCAACTGCAGAGTCATTCCCGCGATAACCAGTAACATCTTTCGTGTCCCAGAAACGACTACACTCTAAGAATTCGAGAACAGTTCACCCACAAACTCTGGAACAGAGAGAAATTACGATCGCCATGGAGGACCAAAACTACGTTGTGTTCGATCGTGACCCCAACAAGTTTTCTAAGCAGACACTTGAAAAGGTTGCTCGTACCAAACATCACATTGAGCATTTCTATAAACTGGCCGTAAATCATGCAATTGAGAGAAACCAAAGGTAAAAAATCCAGTGTTTTGTTTAAGAAACGCGTTTTTCCTTAGCTTGTCTCTTCGACAGCAATAGCGTACAAACGCTGTTTTTCTTAGCACTTATATTCTTACTGAGAATGCATTTTTGATGATTTGTTGAACAAATTGCTAACATCCGTACAGGCGAATTGAACTGGAAAAGAAGTTATCTACTGAAAGAGGTTCTGAGGAAAGAAAGAACCGGCAATTACGTGCGTCTGGAGAGCGTGAATCTCAGTTTCTGAGATTCAGAAGAACTCGTCTTTCGTTAGATGACTTTTACACTGTCAAGGTTATCGGCAAAGGCGCTTTTGGTGAAGTTCGTTTGGTTCAAAAACTCGACAATGGAAAAATTTACGCCATGAAGACTCTGTTGAAATCTGAAATGAAGAAACGAGATCAACTGGCACATGTTAAGGCTGAGCGTGATCTGCTTGTGGAATCCGATTCGCCATGGGTTGTCTCCCTTTACTACGCCTTCCAAGACGCTCAATACCTATATCTAATCATGGAGTTTCTACCTGGCGGTGATTTGATGACGATGCTAATTAATTACGACACTTTTTCTGAGGACGTGACACGCTTTTACATGGCCGAGTGTGTACTGGCCATCTCAACCGTGCATAACATGGGTTACATTCACCGCGACATTAAACCGGATAATATCCTTATTGATCGCGACGGTCACATCAAGTTGTCAGATTTTGGTCTTTCAACTGGTTTCCATCGTCAGTACGATAATTCTGCTTACACTCGTCCTCCTCCAGAAGGACAAAGTAAACGCAACACCGTGATGGTTGATGCCATTTGGTTGACCATGTCATCCAAGGATAAGATGGCGACGTGGAAAAAGAACCGACGCATTATGGCCTACAGTACTGTGGGTACACCCGACTACATTGCCCCGGAGATTTTCTTGCAACAAGGTTACGGCCAAGACTGCGACTGGTGGAGTTTGGGTGCTATCATGTACGAATGTCTTATCGGGTGGCCTCCGTTCTGTAGCGAAAATTCGCATGAGACATATCGTAAAATCATTAACTGGCGCGAAACGCTGGTTTTCCCGGAAGATGTGCATCTTAGTCCCGAGGCACAGGATCTCATTTGCCGTCTGCTCACAGATTCCGAACATCGTCTGGGTCGCGGCGGTGTTGAGGAAATTATGCACCATCCATTTTTCGCTGGTGTCGACTGGGGAAGCATTCGTGCCATTGAAGCACCCTTTGTACCATCATTGAAATCTATCACCGACACGAGCTATTTCCCTACGGACGAGCTGGAACAGGTTCCTACACAACCGGAGGCCCAACCGTACGGAACACAAGCAGGTTACGAGGCGATGGACGATTCAAACTTGGCGTTTGTTGGTTACACTTACAAGAAGTTTAACGACCTCACAATGCGAGGTGTCTTGTAATAGTACTGTAGCCGCTTCTGGATTCCCTTCAGCCGTCTTACCTTGACCGTGTGTTCTAGTGCCGTAAGCTACATACTCTCTTTGGGTGTTAAGGTTGGTTTATCTACTGCCATCTTATTTATTTATTTTTTAACTGGTCACAACTTACAGTCTTAGCAATGAACATAGATTATCCATGATGCCAGTTGGATTTCTTACACCGGATGAACTTTAGGAAATGGACCTACAAACCTTCTCGCTTACATCAAAGAAGAAAAATTAAACTCAAACGATTTTACAACTATTCGCTGCTAACGAACAATGCAGTTTCCCGTTTTCGCTTTTCAGCTGCCTCAGTTGTTTTTCCCGGGCTTCGCAGTACCCCACCACCCCCACTTTAAACGATCTTTCTTCTTACCGAGAATTTGACTTACCGTTTGTAAATAACAAATGTCGCTGAAGGAGATTGCTCGTGAGGCCAAGGACGCGTTCTCTTCTATCCAGGCTCTTTCCTCGGAGGAAAGAGACGAAGCTCTTCAGCTTATTTTTGATGAATTGAAGACTGCAAAAAATCAGGTCCTTGAGGCCAACACCCTTGATATGGAGGCCGCTGAGAAACTGCTTGCTGAAGGAAAAATGAGCAAGTCTATGTGTAAACGATTGGACTTGCGTGTATCAGAGAAATACGAGTCTATGATGCAGGGTGTTTTGGACGTGAAAAATTTGCCCGATCCTTTAGGTCACATCAGTTACGCTAACAAGATTGACGACGGCTTGGAATTATACCGTGTTTCTTGTGCTGTCGGTGTTCTTTTGGTCATTTTTGAAGCCCGTCCCGAGGTAGTTGTGAACATTACTTCTCTCGCCATCAAGTCTGGAAATGCTGTCATTCTTAAGGGCGGTAAAGAGTCTACACATTCCTTTGACGCATTGTCAAATGTAATTCGTAAGGCCTTGTCGAAATCAAAGGTCCCACTTGATGCTGTCCAACTTGTTCATAGCCGTGATGAAGTTTCGCAATTGCTGCAACTTGATGAGTACATTGACCTTGTTATCCCTCGCGGCAGTGATACGTTGGTGAAGAACATTAAAAACAATACAAAGATCCCCGTTCTTGGTCATTCCAAGGGCCTTTGCTCTGTGTATGTACACGAGGATGCTGATTTAGACCAAGCTGTCAAATTGGTTTGGGACAGTAAGACCAACTACCCTGCTGCTTGCAATGCTGTGGAAACTGTGCTCATCAACCAATCCGTGCTCGAGTCTCACTTTCCTGCTATTACCAAGAAGCTCATCGATTCGGGTGTGGAAGTTCGCTGCGATGATGCCTCGTACGCCGTTGCTGCTAAGGCTTTGCCAGAAGCTGTCGCTTCCGGAAAGCTGAAACACTCCGTTGTTGAAGACTATGACACTGAATTTTCCGACCTCATCTTGTGTGTTAAGGTTGTTAATTCGTTGAGTGAGGCCATTCAACACATTAACCTCCACGGTTCCAAACACACTGACTGCATCATTACTACGAACGAAGCTGCTGCTAAGCGTTTCATGACCGGTGTCGATGCTGCCGGTGTGTACTGGAATGCTTCAACACGTTTCGCCGACGGTTTCCGTTATGGTTTTGGTACCGAGGTTGGAATTAGCACCAACAAAATCCATGCCCGTGGTCCCATGGGTTTGGAGGGTCTTACTATCTACAAGTACATGCTTCGTGGACACGGCCAAATTGTTGGTGATTACGGCGTTGGTCCCGGCAAGCGTTCTTTTAAACACGAACCGCTTCCTGCCAAGCATGTTTCGGAACTTTGAGTGGTATTTGACCGTTTCCGTGTATTCCAATGCATAACCCCAAAACCCACAAAACCTGCCCACCTATCCCAGTGTGAATGGTGTTGTTGCGTCTTGCCTCTCAGAGTGTTTGTTTGTTGTCGTAACTAGCCATAATCAGAACGAACGAACTACCTGAGCAGTGTCATTTTTTCGTAATAAACCTTATGGGTTTTGTGTCTTTTTCGTTTTTAATTTTTGATTTCTGTTATTTTTTTGAACTACATCTTTTCTTGAAAAATTCCTGGCTACTGTCGTACCCACGACCGTTTTTCATTCCGCTGCTATGACATCTTTTATTGCTAGAAAAACTTTTAATTTTCAAGGGATGACAACATGGTTTCCCGGACACATGAAAACAACTCTTAAACGTCTCCGGGATTCCGTGTCAAAAAACGATGTGATTGTGGAAGTCCGAGATGCGCGTATACCGCTTAGCTCACGAAATCCAGCATTGGAAACACTCGCTGCGAATCGAAAGCGCGTGGTCGTTTATAACAAATGCGACCTCGCATTTCCCAGCGCAGGCGATTTGTGCAAAACACGTGCGCTAAATAGTGTGCGGGCTTTTGAGGAGACGTATGTTGAAACACTTGCACGCTGGGAGACGATTCAAACATTGCGACGGTACGTGGGCACGGTTTCGAATGTGCCCGAGTGTATAAAACGACTGCTGCAACTTTTACAAAAACTTACATACTCTGACCATGCAGCTTCCAACAGGACTGTAAAAGTTTTCGTCGTCGGCATGCCGAATGTTGGGAAAAGCAGTGTGATGAATGCTTTGCGACACGCGAGTCTTCATCGTCGTAAAGTGGCAGTAGTCGGGAGCCATCCAGGCGTGACACGAAATGTTGGCGAAGTTGTTCGACTGTTTGAAGGAAAGAACGTGTACATGGTGGACACCCCAGGCATAATGCTGCCCACGATTTTGCAGCCAGAAGATGCGATTAAATTTGCGCTTGTTCATGCAATGAAAGATGGGCGGTTGCACAATGCGGTCGTCGTGGATTATCTGCTCTACCGCTTGAACCTCATTGATCCAAACACCTATACTCGTTTATCCTCACCGACAAACGATGTTTCGACATTTCTTCACAACGCGGCAGTGCATACGGGCAAGCTCGGAAAAGGTGGCACTGTAAACGACGATCTCATAGCATCCTATGTGCTGCAGCTTTACCGGACTGGCTTCTTTGGCGCCTTTGTCCTGGATAGTATGGAGGAAGAGCAATGGCAACAACGGCTTGCCCTAGAAAAAAACCTCGTTCGTCGCAACCAACGGCGTGTTTGCAGTACAAGGAAAAAGGCATAGTCCAAATAGTGCGGTACGAGATAAATATATGGATTGAAGTACTAAGAAGTATGGACAGTCGAGAGCATGGTTTGGTCTGTTGAGTTCTCATACGACCCATCTATGACAATACCAATTCCAGAACCCAAAAGGTACAATATACAATTGATTTCCCAACAATAACCTTGCGTTGAACAATTAAACCAACGAACCGACTGAATCACTCATTTGACTTAACCTAACCAGCAAACACTTGACAAGCAAGCACCTGAATCAAACCAAGCCCAATGAAACAAACCGTCCCGCTCTACTTCATCACACTCCACACCGTACAACCTCTCCTTCTTCATGTTGGCCAAAATAATTCAAAATTGAAGCTGCAAAAAAAAACCCGAAGGTTTATCGATAAGGACGATCCTATTTCGGAGAAGCGACAGAGCCATGTTCAGCTGATAAAGATCGACACAGCCTGTATTCAGAGGAATAGGACGACGTCCTAAGGCTAAGGCCGAATGTGCGACTTAAGCCATTTAGGCAATAACGCTACACGTGATGGTCAGTAAGGGAAGCTGAGAAGGGAGCCAACATCGACAGGGTCTTTCGGTTGAGCGATTTTCGCAGACATTGAGAGGAGGCCGAAGGGGCACCGAAAGGGACCCGGTATAGACACCCTTACAGCGAATCCAACCAAAGACCTGTTCAAACAAAGTCGCTTCGCCGAGAACTTGCAACCAGTAATGGAGCAGTGAAACACGACTCGCCAACCAAGCACACCCTGCTCCTGTCGCAAGGGACAAATCACTTACCACATGTTGGGGTATCTCCAGTTGGGACCGGGGTTGTAGGAGGCCATCTTGGGGACAGAGGATTGGGCTTGAGAGTTCATATTGAGATCGATTGAAGAAGTTGTAGTTGTTGTGAGGAGCGAATGAATGCTGATGGTCTCTAGGGCGGCGAAAACTTGGTATTTATGCCTTTTCTCACCGACTCACGTCCTAATCGGATGCGGTGTTTTCGCTTTTCGATAGTCCGGGTGTTGCTAAGTCTGTAGCACACTTGAAGGAGTCCCGGAAGCGACATCGATGTCCGTAGGTAGAGGGGATGAATTTGCAACTTTAGAGCAGGAAACAGGGATGCAATATTCATTTTCGTCTCGTGGCGCCAGATGACTAGCCAGCAATCCGTCCTAGAGCAACGATTTGGGATTTCAAGCGGGGTTCCGGCATGTGATTTGCGACGTCACTTCCAAGGGGTCCAGGGACTGTCAGGGATGCGACGTATGTGAATGGTGTTGTGGGGAGAAATTAGAGAGGGGTCAGGTGTGGAAGCGAAGGAGCCGCGAAAGATTACGCGACGGACTAAAGGGTCACCTCCTGAACTACTTACCGGCCGAAGGTTGCGTCCCTGAACCCCGACGAGGTAAACACGCACCACCCAGTGTGAAAGCGAGAGCGATTAAGGACGAGTTGGGCCGATTTTTGGAGCGATCTTTAAGCGAGTTTTAGAGGAACCGTCACTATAAATTAACTATCAGGCGAGCGAGCGAGCTCCAAGGCGAGGGATAGGCTATAATCGAGACATGTCGCTTAGCGTCGATCTTTTGAGGTAACAATCTGGAAAATCACCGAGAAAATCATCGACCAGGGAAATAGGGAGGTGGAAGGTGAGACGATAATTAAAATTAAGGAGTGCTCACCACAAACTGATATATAAGCATAAGGCACAGTAGCGTGCTACACTACAAAAAATTACACATTGTTGTCATGCTCACTAAACTAATTGCGCAGTTTAGCGAAGATACAGAGCACGGTAAAATATATAACGAAGAAGAGTGCACACTCCAGAATCCGAACATACCACGCTACAACGAAAGCTAACGCAGCTCTTCATTGGTCTCCACCACTTCTGAGGACTAAAAGATTCTCCTTGTGCAAACTACTGTGCAGGATGAGTGAGGAATCGCAGGAGCAACAGCCCAATGGTACGGAAAACAGTCCTCGACACATTTTTACTAATAGAACAGTGGTTGTGAACAAAAACAAACGTTACAGGTAGGAAAATACTCGGGAAATGGATAAACTTGTTAAGTGTCAATGAATTTCGGCTGACGATAACAGACGTGAAAAACCATGGGACACAGATGACATTGATCATGTAAGTGAGAACGAGTCTGAGGCGAGAGAGTAGGAATACGAGGGATCTAAACCCTAAGACCTTGTCGTATTACTTTAAAAGTCTTTATGCAAATTAGTGCTCTTCCTGCCTCTCTAACTTCACCATTTCTCTCTCTCTTCTCTCTCTACCCTGCTAACTCGTTTAGTGGAAAATCGATCCCTTCACAAAAGAAGAATCGTCTGGTCCCTTCTTGGAAGAGTCTAGCTTTGCTACACTTTTCCCCAAATACCGTGAAAAGTATCTTCGTGAGGTTTGGCCTCATGTAACACGGGCCCTGGACAAGTACGGAATTGCTTGTGTGCTCGATTTGGTCGAAGGTAGTATGACGGTGAAAACGACTCGGAAGGCTTATGACCCGTATTCTATTCTCAAGGCGAGAGACTTGATTAAGCTGCTTGCACGTAGTGTGCCCTTTCCTCAGGCTATCAAGGTTATGCAGGACGACGTGGCCTGCGATGTGATCAAGATCGGAAACCTCGTTCGCAACAAGGATCGTTTCATTAAGCGTCGCCAGCGTCTCATCGGCAACAACGGCCAAACTCTCAAGGCTCTTGAACTGCTTACTCAGTGCTATATCCTCGTCCAAGGAACCACCGTAGCAGCCATGGGTGGTTTCAAGGGTCTAAAGGAGGTTCGTCGTGTCGTTATTGACTGCATGAACAACATCCATCCCATTTATCACATTAAGGAACTCATGATTAAGCGAGAGCTTGCTAAGGATCCTGCTCTGGCTACAGAGTCCTGGGACCGTTTCCTGCCGCAGTTCAAGAAACGCAATGTCGCCCGCCGCAAGCCTGCAAAGGTCAGAGAGAAGAAGGACTACACACCCTTCCCTCCCGCTCAACAACCCAGCAAGATCGATCTGCAAATCGAGAGTGGTGAGTACTTCCTCAACAAGGAAGAACGCGAGCGGAAAAAGCGTCAAGAGAAAAAGGAGAAGCAGGCCGAAAAGCAAAAAGAACGTCAAGCCGAGCGAGAAAAGGCGTTCATTCCCCCTACCGAGTCTGCTCCCCAAACCAAAAAAAGAAAGGTCAAGGTCGAGGCCGAGTAGGCGGTATCACCTGCACGACCTTAAAATCCTCTTGTCTCTTTTGCGCTGTGTCCCTCTTGTGACAACTGTTTTACTGCGAGTCATTTTGTGTCACGGGTTTGCATTTTATGTATGTGTGTGTGTGTTGTCTGTTTTATACACAACGCGAACACATCCAGATTTCCTCATCTGGTTTTCGTTTCTGTCTTCCGTCGGAAAGGCGCACAAGGGTTTGCGTGTGTTGTTTTAAATAGTAACATAAATTACGGTTGGAATAGGTATTATTCCGTTTTTTGTCTCTTTTACTTTAATGAGAGCGGCAGCATGCCTGTAAACAGTCAAAGACAAACGTGGAATACACTTTTTCGCTTGGCGTATGAGGGTGTAAAGGAAAGAGGAAATCGTTGCCGCATGCGAGTCGTAAAGTATACACACTCGCAAGTGCACCGTCGGTTCTGTCTAAAAGGTATGTGTTGTATGTAATGCGTGTGTACAAAAGAGAGACAGGGAACCTTTACGAAACGTGGCAAGCGGGCGGCAGTAGGGAGAAAACGGTGTAGTAGAGATCTTGGCAATTCAAGCACGGGGAGTAGCCACTTATGGGTGAAGAGCAAAATTTGTATGGCAACTATTTTGGTTCCAGGAAGCACACAAAGGAAATAGAGCAAGGCATGCAAACAAGGCAACAAAATGATTTTTCGTCCTTAGTACACACCTTAGGGAGCACTAGCCTTCCAAAGGGTCTTACGCCGACTGTCGGCGCCACGAGTCTTGTGAATAACTTCAATACCACGAACACCGCCGCTAAACACAAGAACAACGCTCTCTTCCACGTTCAGGTCTACGCGATTCTGCTTACGCCAAGCAGCACGCATCTGAACAATTTGGGAAGCAAGCTTGTAGCGAGCCATACTGCTTGTGTCTACAGTAAGCTTGTCGCTTTCGAGAATCTGCTTGATCACGGGGAAAGGCAGAGTGCACAAAATGTGTGCATATTGATTGTTCCAGTTTTTGACAAGAGTCGAATAAAGCACACGCACCACATCATGAAACAATCCAACGGTATAGGGGGGATACATGCCAACCTCTAAGCGTTCCAAACCCTCCGATTTTGGATCCAAAAATGCGATCATATCCCCAAGCACAGTTGGCATCAAAGAGGCCCGCAAAATTGAGATAGCCTGTTGAGCGACCCAGTTCACACCCAACAACGAACTACAAGCAAGTAAAGAGCGAGCATCAAGACCCGTAGGAATCTCAAGGTTATCCGTGTAAAGGGTGGAAAGGACAAATGTAAGGCAATCCTTCGTAACATACATGTCGTCCGTCTCGAGCTCAATACGGTAAGGAGGCTCTCGCTTCTCCTGCTGCGATATTTTCTGCAAGAGAACTGGCGAACGTGCAAGGAACAACGCGTGCAAACGGTATTGCTCGCCTTTTACGATAAGTAACGTATCAGAAAACGTTCCCTGAAGGAAGGCCGTTTGGAAAACGAAGTCCTGGAGCTAAAAAACGCGTTAGTTTCTCTATTCTGTGATTTTTTTACCGACGCAGAATTTGTACCGAAATCGTGTCTTTCGCGTTTCCCGCTGCCATGTCGCTCGAATAATGCCTAGATTTTACAAGAAGCTTTCACGTAAAGCGGTAAGCTTTTCTGCGGCAGAATGCTCCAAAATACACGACAATGGCTCTTAATGCCAAAACGTCCCTTAACGGTATGTTGTATGTGGAAGTTGCATGCGTGCGGCCTGTAGACGCTATTTTGGTGGTTAAGGAGCTGCTGCTCAGGAGGTTACATGTTACTTGGCCAAGTATGTTTACGGGAGCACGGTAGACACTACATAATCGTAAAACAGAACAGTTGAATATTATAGCAGAATTCAAACAAAAGTATAATGTTTTGGGTATCTTAAGAGTCGCCTTTTTTGTATCTCTTCAAATGATTTTTCATTGAAACATGAAGTATGTTTTATTTGTCTTCCTTCCGACCAAATGACAGTGAGAATGAAGTAGTAAGTACAGTGTGAAGCAAAGTCTATGCGCCATAGTAGAAGAGAATTTTTGCTGTTGCTTGTCCAATACTCGTATAATTCTGAAAAGGTTCATTATTTCAAATAAATCTCTACACATAAGCATTTTGCCATCTTTTTAACCGGCTGCAGTAATTCCTCTTTTCTAGTCCAATTGCTTATTTATGTCGAGAGTAGTTTCTTCAGGCTGAGCTTCCGTACTTGCAGGAATCTCGTTCTCCTCTCGAATGGAATCAACACTGGGAACCGACGAGACCACAGACGACACTAGACGCTTGCCAGTGGGTGAGGCATTATTAGTAAGAGAATTCGACGATGTAGTCTTCTGTTCCGCTGCTTGCATAATAGCCGTGTGCGGGAGGAGCGCCGCACTGTCATTCGAATTCGACATCAAAGAGGTAACGGATGAATTATCGGCTTTGCTTCTCCAATGCCCTAAACTCGTGTTTGCTCTTGCACGTAATGGTGTTTCATGAGGGCGAGACGTTGATGTGCGAGAAACGCATGTGGGACGAAGAATATTTGCTTGCGAGACAGATGCTTTTACACCCATCCGTGGTTGCTTACTTAATGAAGATGCTGGGCGAAGTGAAGGGGAATTGCCGGCGGATGTCGATGGGCGACGAACTGTTTGACGAGACGGGGTTCGGATAGTTGCTGAAGAGCCTGCACGAACAGAGGGAGAAGTAGTAGTTGAAACACTTTGACGAGAGGGTGAACGAATGCTTGCTGGACTTGCTACACGCGCACTGACTGCTTGACGGGAAGGAGAGCGGATAGCAGCCGACGAACCTGAACGTAGACCTGCAACCGATGCACGTCCATTCGCTTGACGAGAGGGAGATCGAACGGTTACCGTAGAGGGAAGACGAACATTCGGAGAAAGAGTGCTATCCAATGCTTGTCGAGAGGGGGATCGATACGATGCAGTAGAACCAGGGCGTACAATTTGAGCCGCTGATCTCACTGAAGAACGTTGATCAAGTCGAGATGACGAACGCGAAGGGGAACAAACGGTGGGCGGTTTTACGGCACGAGTGGTTGCATTTCTTGATGGGGAGGAAATAACGCGAACAGAAGCTGTTGAAGTAGGGCGATGAATGGTAGCTTCATTACCAATGCGAGATAAGGGTCTGCGTGTGGCCGCAGAGGTTGATGGCCGAACAATAGAGGCAGTTGAACCCACTCGTACCTTGGCTGTTGCGTTTCCACTAACGTTAACATGCGCAGTACGTACACTGGCTTTACTTTGAGGGCGAGTGGTTACAGGTCTGGACGTAGTAGTAGTGCCCAGTCGCGAAGGCGAACGAACAATACTCGCTGAGGTGCTTGCTCGAACAGGACGAGTTGCAGAAGAAACGACGCCTGACCTTGCCGAGGGGCGAACAACTCTTGGTGCTGGGCGAACAGTACCAGAGGAAGAATTCAACGTTGTGGTTGAGTTTGCCCGAGAACGTAGACCCGCGGAGGTTGCAGGACGCTGTGTCGGGTTTGTATGAGGAACGGTAGGTTTGGATGACAATTGGGCAACTCGAGGAAGACGTGAACGTGTCGTAGAAGGACGCAAAACCTTTGCCTTTGACGATTGAGTGGTAGAAACCTTAGCTTTCACTTGAACGGGACCTACGCTCTTCTTTACGGGAGAACTTGGTGCTGAGATGACGGTTGCAGACGGAACCGAAGGCAAAGGAGCCAAAGAAATGTCCTCTTTTGCTTCTACGGTGTCAGTCAGCTCTTCTAGCGTATGTTTACCGTCAATTTCCATAGAAGGCTCTTCCTTCTGCTCCTTTGGAGCGTCGACAACTTCAGTTTCATCAATTTCTTTTACAGGGGAACATACTCCGACAGCGAAGGAGTCATAATTAGTCGTAACGCTAGTTTCCTTATTTTCTTCTGTAGGGATATTTTCTTTCAAATCCAAATCAGAACTTCTCAGTTCCTTCAGAATATTAGATGCTTGCAATTGCAACTCCTCCAGCCGTTTTAGCATTCCATCCTCTTCAGCTTCTAAGATGCTATTGGCATCTACGGGTATGGACATATGGATATGGTGCACTGGAAAAAGAAAGCAGGTAAAGTGTCGTTACCCTATTACGACAAAAGAAAAAGAATAAATAGAAACAGATGGCGCGTATTTACGAAGATTAGTATTAATAGGACGCCAAAAAAGCACGTTGTTTGCTGAGAAAACAGTAGGAATCTGGTATATGCAAAAATATAGCAGGGACGCAATAGCAGTGGGAATTACCACGTAGAAAACCGTTCATCAATTCCCAATGAACCAGAGTGTAGGTTAAAACACACTGTCTATATGGAAAGTCGTTAGCTTTCTGAGTGTGATACTGCGTAAGTGTACGGTTGCTGTGGTTAAGAGGGTCCGTCAGGCCAGCAGGCAAAAACCAATGAATTGTACACGGTACGGAGGAAATAATGCCATATACAGCGTACGATACTGAATAAACGTATGGTCTTAATCTTTGAGTGAAACAAGAGTACTAATGTTTTTTTTTTCTTGCTTGCTTGAACGTTTTAGTACGTATATAACAGTACGAGAATCAATTTTTATATACAACAGAACTATGAAATTTACCTAAAAACTGTGTCCATAGTGCCCATTCTACATACGCTCGAGAGGCGTCAGCCCAAAAGCGTCATACCATTGTAAAGCACTAATCTAGCAGCACCGAACAAATTGAGACGAGCAAGTTGCAAGGGCTCTTCGCGACCTTGAACCCAGAGGATATCGTAGAGTTTGCTGACCATGTGAGTAAGCTTGAACAAGTAAGTAACGACAGTGGATGTCTCTTGGAAACGGAATGAGCTTTTCAGCACATCGGGGTATTGAGACAAAAGACGAACAAGATCGAAAGCATCTTGTTCCTTAAGAAGAGACAAATCAGCGTTGGCGATTTGCTCGTCGGTGAAGTTGACCTTGCGGCGAACAGAGCAAAGACGAGAGTGGGCGTATTGCAAGTATGGGCCAGTATCACCTTCGAAAGACAGCATACGGGACCAGTCGAAAACATAGTTGTTGACACGCTTACCAGTGGAGTCCTGGATACGAACAGCAGTCTTGCCAACAATGTCGGCAACCTCCTCAGGGTTCTTGATTTGGGCATACTTTTCCTCGTTCTTCTTCATCACCTTGTGCATTTCCTCCTTAGCAACCTCCATAATGTCATCCAAGAACACAGCCTTACCCTTACGGGTGCTCATGCCTTGCACAAGACCATAGTTGATGTGGACACACTTCTTAGCCCATTCGAAACCCATAAGCTCAAAGATCTTAAACAGCTGAGCAAAGTAAAGATCTTGTTGAGAAGCAACGACATAGATGGACTTGTCGAAGTGGTACTTGTTGTAACGGCGGATGGCGGTACCGATGTCACGAGTCAAGTAAAGAGTAGCACCATCGCTCTTTTGGACGATAGCCTTGCCAAGCTTCTTGTCGTGCTTGGAAAGATCAACGAGAAGGGCACCCTTGTCCTCCTCGATCAAACCAAGCGTCTTCAACTTCTCGAGAGCCTCGTTCATGAGGTCCAGGGGAACTTGAGACTCACCATCGTATTGGTCATACTTAATGTTGAGACGCTCATACGTCTCTTGAAGCTTGGTGATACTGAGTTCACGGAAACGGCCCCAAACCTTCAAGGCCTCCTCGTCACCTTCCTCCATACGCTTGAAGAATTGACGAGCCTTGTCATGAAGTGTCACGGGGGTCTCGTAAGGCTTGCCAGCAGCTTCAGCCTCAGCCTTTTCGGCATCGATCTTCTCTTGCTCAGCAGTAGCGTCAGCGTTGATCTTTACGTAAACTTGGTACAGGTGACGAATGGGATCCTTGCTGAGTTGCTCCTCGTCACCGTGCAATTCGAAACCAACGGCAAGCAAACCAAATTGCTTACCCCAGTCACCAAGATAGTTGATACGGTAGACCTTCCAGCCTTGAGATTCGTGCAAGTTGGCCAAGAAAGAACCGATAATAGTACTACGCAGGTGACCAGCGTGGAAAGGCTTGGCGATGTTAGGACTGCTGAACTCAATGACAGCGACCTTGCCGTTTCCAGAGTTGTTACGACCGTACTCGCTCTGCTTCGACCAGATCATGGGCAAAACAAGCTCGGTAAGCTTGCTACCGTCAAAGTTGAAACGCAAGAAGATGCCGTTGGCTTCACAGTTGACGTAACCCTTAGGGAAAGCTTCGGCCCACTTGGAAGCCAATTCTGCAGGCTTTCCCTTGGCACGAAGACGGGGAACAGGCAAATTCAGGTCAGCAGCATCCTTGCTGATGTTTGTCTCCAGAGCAGGGTAAATGAGCTCTCGATCGACGCCACTGATTTTATGCAGTTCGTTGGCGATGTAGCTACGGTAAATATCTACGGGGTTCTTAAAAACATCAGCTTGGGCAGAGAGATCGCTGGTCTCGTCCAAACCCAATGTCTGCAGCGTCTTCGTGATGTCGGCAACAGAAGCCATCGTCGTTCTTCTACTACAAGACGAGTTTGTGGTGGAGTAGTGGTGAATGGAAAAAGCACCTAGTAAAATCGACCTGTGCTTATAGAGCAGCGACTGTTGTTGTTGTAGTTGTACGGGTAGACGAAGTCGATAAAATCGCCCACGAAGGTTTGTGAGCAAGCGAATTGTTAAAGGAGGGTGGAGAGGTGAAGGGAACAGAAATCCAGGGTGATAAAGACCGGGGACACGCGGCGAGCTGTAACACGACGTAGTGCTGTATACTGCAGCTCGTTTGGATACGCAAACGCATATAGCGATCTGTAACGAGATTTGTTAACTAAATAGTGCAATATACAGAATTACTCAACAATGCATTAGACGGTATACCGCATCACTATTTTTCGGTAACTGTTGCTGTTCTTTACCCCCACACCGTGACTGCTCTTCCCCACACGAGAATACTATAAAAGGGCACGGCTCGCTCCACAGAAAACCATCGACGATACTCCATAGGATCATTTCTATAGTATACGTCCGGCTTGGGTTTCCTAACCTAGCCACAGAACTCAACACGGATGATGATTGGAAGCACCGTTGCCCGAAGAGTGAGACAATTCTTTCTTCGGGAGGGACAACAGGATCTCTTTTCAGGTTCTGTTCTCCCCCTTCAGCGATGATCTCTTACGCCTCGGGTTTCTCGTCCTCTGGACGGTCCCGTGGTGTAGGGCAGCTGGTGTATTCTGACGTGTAAAATTCCTCTTTTCATCGACTGTGGTGGTCCTGCTGCTTCAGACGATGTGATGGGGATGACTGGTGGTGCGTCCCGTAGTGTGTCATCCATAGGTTATGTCAGTAGTGTAGATTGTCGTTGTACGTTAGTTGAATGTAGTTGTTCCCATGTGTTTCTCCCCTTAGTCTTGTCCTGCTGTACCCACCACTCCGTCTCCTTGCTTCGCTTCTCCCCTCTATTTCTTGCCTCGCTCCGTATACACCCTTCCTCCCGCTAAGTCGCGCTAATTGAAATAACGTATCTTCTCGATACTCCATCCTACTGCGCAATTTATTGCATTCTCTAAGCTACACTACGTTTCATCGCGTTATACTGCCTTATTCGCCGCCGCCTGGCTTAGGTGAATAGTCTCGAGGTCTGCTCGTCAGACAAACTACGGCCTTTGCTTCTCTTCTTGTATACGCAAGCATTCTTGTTTCTGTTTACGAATACTGACTAGAAGTTTCTAACTCGTACCGCTTATTTTTTTCGTTACTAATTCTCGTTTGTCGCTTTCTCCTGTGTTCTTATAACCGACTTTCTCCTCTCTGGTCAGATTGATTCGCTTTTCTGTCCTTAACTTCTCGAGAATCTTAATAGAGGATCCATTCTACTAGATCTACTGTTTTTTTACGCTGGAAAAGCACATTTAGGCTGTGAAATTTGCCATTCATAGTTCTGACTTCAGTTCTTCTTACTCTTTACTTGTGAGTTTTTGCATCACAAACGCCCGAAAACATTCTTATGACTTCTCCTAGAGATAGTGTCTCATTTGGTGACTTACCAAAACCAGAACCTCGTCATATTGTGCGTCCCAATTCTACCTTAGGCAATCGAGACAATCATCTGCTTCCCCCCATTATTACCAATGTTCGCCAGGCAATCTCCGCTCCGAGTACACCTGTAACGAAACACCTTACTCCTGTGGGCATGACAACCCGTCAGCAAGCTGAAGCTGCACATTTTTCGCAACCAGAGTATGACGAGTACCGTCACAGTCGGACCCAGAGTCTTTCTTCTCCTCCTCCTAGCCCTCACTTTCTGAAACGTATCTCCTTTGACACGTTCAGCAACAAGCAGGGACCGGATTTCTGCTTGACACTCAAAACACAGCATCAGGGATTCAAGTGGACGCGAAACTCACGGACGTTTTTGTGTGGTGTGGACGAGAATTCTTACTCTGAATTTGCTGTTGACTGGCTGTTCGAGACACTACTGGCTGACAATGACGAGGTCGTTGTCCTCCGTGTCATTGATTCTTCCGGTAAGATACCAGATGCAACCGAGGATGAATCGTATTATCAAAGTATGGCTGAAGGAATGATGACTTCCCTTATCAAGAAAATTGATGACGATAAAGCCGTCTCCATCACAGTCGAGCTTGTTATAGGAAAGCCTCAAGACGTGATTCTCCGTACCATCCACGTCTACTCGCCCGACAGTCTTATTGTCGGCACTCGCGGCAAGGGTTTAAGCGGATTTCAGTCACTTCTGTCGCCCGGCAGTATCTCTAAATTTTGCTTGCAAAAGAGCCCTATTCCTGTAATTGTCGTGCGGCCCGACAGAAAACGTCAACGCTCTAAGAACAAGCGTATGAAGGATCCTTCAAGAAAATCTTATGTGGACATCCTCGAGAAGAGTGTACGGTCACACAAGTAAAACTTGTCTGGAGCAGTATGTTTCGCAGTTTCAGCACGGTGTCCCTAGATGTCCCCTCTCAACTTTCCTTCACAGCAACACAAACTAATTGCTGTTTCTCGATACGGGTTTCATGCTGTTGTGACTACCCTCATCCAAATTTCTTTTGATATATTATTTATGAATTGTCTATGAAACTTCATTGTCACGAATCTAATCTCTAAAAACCCCGCAAATGGCTATCTTTTCTCTTCTAGATTTCTTTTACTTCTCTTGTTTCTACCGTTTGCGAAGTTTATGTTCCACTTTATTGTTTTGACTAATACCGGGGAGTTTGTTTACATTAGTCGCAACCCAAACCTTAATTTCTACCCATCTCCAAACGCAGCCATTCCTACTCAAACACCTTCCATAATGTGTCTGTTACGTCCAAATACCAATAAGAAACTGCTTCCTGACGAAGTTATATTCCAATTGTTTTCTTATTTGGAAATTCCCGAATTGCTTGTGTGTCAACGGGTTTGTAGGAAATGGCTGAATTTTTGTTCTGTATACCTATGGCACAAAGTTGCTTTTGCTTCTGAAGACAGTTTCAAAGAATTTTATAGATACTATATTAAAACAGGTCGTCTTCGATTGTACGAAAAATGGATTCGAAAATTGAATTTGTCGCATGCTAGCGCATACGTGTTCAACGCAACAATACTTCCTTTCTCTCGGCTTACAAACTTGGTGCGGCTCAATTTGTCCAATTGCGCAAAAGTACCCGAGCTGAAGCTGATTGTGATGCTTCACAACAATCCCGGACTTATTGCACTCGAACTAAGTAGTATCCCAAGCATCACAAACATGACGCTGTTTACGGTTTGCACGCATTGTCCTTCGATTAAGGGTTTGAATGTTTCCAATTGTCCGAGAATCGATGACACCGGAGTTGTTCATCTTCTCCAGCATTGTCGGGGTCTTCGACGTTTGCGCATTGCGGACTGTCACTTATTGACGAATGCAACCCTCGAGGCTATCGCTACTTTTGGGGATTTAATTGAGCTTGACATTAGTGGCTGCTTTAACATTGAATCGGCGGACCTTTTATATAGACTTTTTGAGACTAACAAACAGTTGCGCGACGTTAATTTTTCACGCTGCAGCAATGTAATGTCTTCCTTTCGTTTGAGACACCTTAATACTGCTTTTCCAAGCGTTCGATATCTAAATTTAAGCGAGTCCTCTGATGTTGATGATGAAATTCTGAACGGTATTACAAGATCGTTTCCCAATTTACAGTCGCTTTACTTGGCAAAATGCTCTCGTGTTACCAACATTGGTGTTGACTACATCACTCGTCTTGCTCCTTCTCTCACTTTTCTGCATCTGGCACATTGCTTCGACATTACGGATGACGGTGTCGCGGAGCTTACCGAGAAATGTCAAAAGTTGGTATACGTTGACTTTGGCGGGTGCGTTCAAATTACGGACAATGCTGTCAATGCAATTAGTCGGCTTCCTAAACTACAGCGCGTAGGTTTGGTGAAGTGTGTATCCTTGACGGACAGATCCTTGGCTTTTCTACAACATTCGCGCTCACCGTTCTTGGAACGAATTCACTTATCTTATTGTGTTCGTCTCACGACAGCGGTATGTCTTGTTAATACTCTACATTTATGAACATTGAACTAACAATTACCAAGGGCATCCAACGTTTAATTCTCACCCGGAAAAACTTGACACATCTTAGTGTTACTGGAATAACTTCCGTATTAAATTCTGATTTAACGCATTTTTCGCGTCCTGTTCCTCGCGGCATGAGTCCATCCCAGGCTAAGATTTTGTACGTTTATCGATCCACGGCTTAAAAATTGAATGTCTGCTAACTAGTTTTAAGTTGTGCTCTACTAAAAGAAAACATCGATGCTTATCGGGAGTACCTGGAAAACTGTTTCAAACAGCAACCCCCCTTGAATGGGCTTAATGGCTACATCACCGAGAAGGAACGTCTTGGAATGTTTCGTGAAACCGCATGAAATTCATTTGCATTGCACTTTTTTGTGCTTTATTTGTCTGGCACTGAACGTCTCTTTTCGCTCCGTACGGTACCGTTTTTATGGATTCATTAACATATATCACTAGGTGTGATGATTTTTACTACTGACCATCCTTGGTTTTTCTTATCTTGTCAACTGGGATTCTTACAAAAGTAGCCAGAATGGCCGTCCTTTCTTTTACCCTATAAAAAGATTAAAACATAAAACTGACTCCGGGAGACTTCCCCAATGTCATGAAGCTTAAACGAATCTGTGATTCGAGCAGCTTTTACGCATAAAAATTGTTTCTATATTTTTCATTTGAATTTATTCCCTTTTCCACATTAAGTTCGTAAATGCGATTGATATACAATTTACTGCTATGTATGTGTCAACAATGCACTCCGTTTGTTGACAGCAAACCACGGATAATCTGTTAATAAAACATCCTGCGACTCGATGGAATGATTTACTTAAACAGTAGTTAGTCCTCAACATGCAGCGTGTTTTCATTGTTAATTTTTGGGTAATGATGAGATAAAACCATCAAGGTTATTATACTCGTCATATTGCGACTCATCCCATGTTTCACCCAGTTCCTCCAGTATAGCGTTAGGCCGCGAAGAATCGTCGTTCGTCGATTGAGCAGATTCCAGTTGATCATTTGCGCTTGTATTGAACAAGTCAAGGATTTGGTCAGTACCTATAGAAGCCAATCCGTTGTTTTGTTGATTTACAATGGTCGAAGCAACGTTTAGCTTGAATTGTTGCAGACCCATAATCTTTTCTTCCAGGGTGCCACGAGTGATCAGGCGGTAAACATTGACAACCTTCTTTTGACCGATACGATGTGCTCTGTCCATTGCTTGAAGATCTCTCATGGGGTTCCAGTCGTGTTCAACGAAAATGACAGTATCAGCACCAGTAAGATTCAAACCCAATCCACCCACATGGGTTGTCAGAAGCAAAACGTCAATAGATGGGTCACTGTTGAAACGCGTTACTACTTCTTGACGTTTATTAGGATCCACCGAACCATCCAATCTCAGATATGTTACGCTTGGCATCGTTTTTCGTAAAACATCATTCTCAACAATATCAAGCATATCCTTAAGTTGACAGAAAATAAGCACACGATGTTCACTAACAGCGGAGCCAACTGTGCCGCCGTTTGCTCCCAAAGCAGAATCATTTTCTGTGCCGATATTGCATTCAAGCAAAAGTTGTCGTAATGCCGTCAATTTCGGAGCATGCTTAAAATCGTGAATACTTGAGTTTTCTTTCTGTAAACGAGCTTCGATAGCAGCTGACTCTGGATGCTTTTTAGTTAAAATCAGAGCCGGATGGTTGCACAATTTTCTCATATATTGCAAGGCTTGGAAAATATGTGTCTTTCCCTTCACCTTTCCAGAAGAGAGTTCCTCGTCTATCTTGCTCTTGTCCACCTGCAATCTGTCAACAAACTCATCATGAAGTTGCTGTTGTAAGGGACTCATTTCACAATAATAATCTTGGATAATTTTAGGCGGCAAGTCTGCAAGGACATCCTCTTTAAGGCGTCTAAGCAAGAATGGTAATACTTGTTTGTGTAACGTTTCCATTGCAAGAGCACCACGCTCTTTTTCTTTCGGAGAACTCTTGTTATCACGACTGGAAGCAATTGGTTTAACAAAGCGCTCCTGGAAGCTTTTCTCGGTACCAAGAAAACCTGGCATAAGGAAATCAAATAATGACCACAACTCCAAAACGTTATTTTGTACAGGAGTACCAGAAAGGATAAGGCGATGATATGCACGGATCATTTTGACAGCTTTCGTAAGCTTTGCTTTAGCATTTTTGATAACATGACCTTCATCCAGGATACAGTAGTTCCATTCCAGAGATTTCAAATCATCTATATCGTTTCTACAAATGTCGTAAGAAGTGATAACGACATCAGTGTCTTCCAGAAGACCCCGAAGTCTCGAACGCTCTCCAGGGGGACCCACATAAGCGAGAACCTTTAAAAATGGCGCATAAGTATTCAACTCCTGCTGCCAATGACCGGCCAGGGTCGATGGGCAAACGACCAACGAGGGCGCATGTGCATACTGCGGACTTCCGGCTCTTTGAATACAACAGAACGATTGTGATGATCACTAGCAATGATACAAATAGATTGCAAGGTTTTACCTAGACCCATGTCATCACAAAGAATACCATGCAGTTGGTATTTGTTAAGAAAAGCGAGCCAGCTGACACCCTCCTGCTGATACTTGCGAAGGTTGGCTTTAATGGCCACAGGAATGACAAAGGGTTCGACCTTGGTCGGGTCAAGCATCTGTTCCAAGAATTTCCGTTCTTCTTCACGGTTAGCAAGAAGATGAGCTGGCAAAGAAGGAGCGTCAGGCAATCCTGCCTCTAATGGTACGAGTTTGACCAATGTTGCAAATGTAGTAGTGGCAATAACACGGACGTCCTTGTCAGCATCACTCATTCGACCTAATAGTGAAACAATCAAGAAAAGAACGTAAGGGAGAATATCCATACCAAGGCGTTGCACAACATGATATATGCATTCAATAGCACCTTGTCTGTGAACAACACTACTCCGATCGTTAAGCAAGGGTAGCAAATCTTCAATTAGAACACGCATGGCGTTAGAGTTCGTACCGCCAATTGTGCAAATTGCAGCAAAACATTTCGAAGCCACAAAACGTACAGCAGAGTACTCTGAACAAAGTGCATGAACGATAAAAGGTAGAACATCATCAATGACAGAACTAAAACTGGGATCAATGTTAGGTACGAGGAATCGTAGAATAGACATTGCATCAATAAGATCTTGACCAGAAGTGCATTCTTGCTGATCAACCTCAGCTGGAAATCCATTCTTCGCAAATTCACGGATGGGTTCAAAAAGACAGGTGTTTAAAACAGGAACCTTTTGAAGTAAAAGAGAGCCAAATGCAGATGCCATGAACTGAAGCGCTGTCTGAGCACCCAAACGTTGTAAGATAACAGCGGATTTTTGAGTACTTTGGGAAATGAAAGGCAATGAAGTACTGTACATATCGGGTAGTGACGACAACGCAGCAATACTACTTGCAGTCTCATGTTTTCCCTTCATTTTTGACATTGTCAAAGTATCAAGATTTCCCTCTTCAATGTCAAGATTACTTCCTGGATTAAGAGTCATAATCCCCGATTTTGAACTCTTGTAAAAGACTGGAGTTTCCGTAGTATCCATACAAACAAACGCACAAAGATTCTTGACAATTTTTTCCGCAATAGTTTGACGGTTCGTCTCGTAGCAAAGGTCAACAAGGGTTACCATTGAGGAAGCCGAATGTGCTTGCAGAAATGAGATTTGCTCTTTTTTTATAGATTCCATGATACTTTGTATGATAGAATTCAGCTTCTTTGGTAATTGTTTGCGAGCAACTATAGCTGTAGCTATGCTTGAGAAACATTGAATATCCTGTTTTTCCTTATTCTCATGGAAATGATCAATTTCGTTTTTCACTAGCATCTTCGTTTCATTAAGAGACTTCTCAGCAATTCTTTTCGTTACTGAAGGTAACAACTTCATAAGGCGATCAAACTCTTTGGTTAAAACACGTTCAGCATCAGCAATACTGAAAGCCGTTGGTCCTGCATCAACGTCACCTTGTACCAAAACAGCAAGAGTAGGGAGCTTGGGAGGGAGAAACACGCCCCGACATCAACAAAAGCATTTAATAAGACATTGCATTGAGCGCGTACAACGTGAAGTTGGGAAACAAGGTTCCGATATGAAGATTGCTTCGGAGCAGCAAGCTTGTCTGATAAAAGCTTGTAGAAAGTTTCCATTTGAGAATCCATTTCCTTGGGAGAAATCTTAAAGAGCTCTTCCAACAACGAAGCCGCCATCACAACAGGTGAGGAATATGGTGAATTAAGACATGTTTGAATGGGTTGCAGAAACGTGGGCAACAGCTCATTCGGATTCCAATAGCTCAAGATCTTACCTAGGATCGTAGTCGCTTGAAGGCGACTTCTCATGAGTACCTCCTCGCCGACAAGTTCAACTTCACCATGGAGAACGGGATCATCTACGTTATACGAGCTGGAGCTTTGGACGGGTTCAGTTTTCCGTTCAGCGCGAGATCCACGACCACGAGTACGAACGGGAATTTTAACATACGGCTGGCCATTAGGTTTGAGCAAGAGTGTAGCGTCGAGCGGATATGGATGCCGAGGTATACCAATAGGTGTCATCGTCAAACGAAACATTGCTTCAATGTGAGGTTGTAAAGTAGTTGTGAAAGCTGCAGGGCTTTTCTTATGTAACAGATCAATCAGTTTAAGCGTAAGCTTTACTGATGAAACTAAAATGTCCTCATTTTGCTCCAGCAGAATATTTTGAAAACAAAGACGAAGAGCAAAGCTGTCAACCCACGAGGTCGCATCTTGTGAATCAACAGTAGCGAATCTTGTTAAAGCATAGACGACTGAACGACGAACACTGGTAATAGTGTAACGCATCAGATAAAATAAACGGGGTACCAATTTACTGAATGACTGGTTTTCGTCAGCCTCAGCATTTTGTTTCATGAGTTCAAGCACAGGTGGGAATGAGCACAGACATGATAGCAAGTCCATAATACTCGAAGTTGAGGATGAAAGATCATCTTTAACATCATCCAAGCAATCCCAAAGCACCCGAAGAAGTTGATTACAAGCATCGAGTCGTTTGTCAATTAGACGCTCAGCAACAGGCAACAAAGTTGATGCACTAACGGCGCGAACATCATCATCACGATTAGCAAGTCCATAGATAACAGTGCTTAAAACACTGTCAAGCAACTCTGGTCTACTAAAGACAAGCTCATGCTTACAAGCAACTAAGTACTTTATGCCGAGAATACCGCCATGACAGGCTTCCCAAACGGAAGGCTGCACACCTATCTCCTTTTGAAAGACTAGAGCGTGCAGAAGCTTGTACATGGCTATAACTGAAGAATCAGGCACGTAAAGGATAGTAACAGCTAATACCTGACTAATTGACTCTCGGATAGGAGCAACAACCTGATCAGCCAAGTAGTCACCAAAACGATCAAGAGCAAAGACGCATGAGATTCGACAAAGCAAGTCTTCCAGACACTCTTTATTCAGATTATCGTTCTCAGCTTTGGTTTTCCCATACTCACGTCCAAAGCCATATCCTGCATGCTTAATGATTTCTCGTAATCCCATAGAAGCACCATGTCGAATTTCCCAAGATGGATCAAATATGTCAACAAGGAGCATCTCGGTAATGTTTTTAAAGGGCCAGACGCTTGTATTTGAAACGGCAACGGCAGCTGAGGGGAGGGTAGCAGCTTTATGTTCAACGACAAGCTTGTCAGACTGGGCCTGTGCAGTAAAATTGTAGTCTCCGCCAATGTTGGATCCAGCAGCTTCCTTCTCCTTATGCTCTGTTTTCACGGCCTTTTGAACAGGAGAAGCCAATGGAGCAACGTCAATGACACGGACCTTTTTAGCAGCCTTCATCATTTTGGCTTTCCGTTTCAGAGCATTTCTCTGGCGCGCAGAAAGATTAGACATATCAGCAGGAAGGCCATCAGCAGTAGTTTCAGGTGTGCTTTCTGAAGCAGGGGTAGGGGTCGAATTCTCCCTATGAAGGACATTCGGTGTAGGAGCTTCGGTTTCAGGTGGTTCTTCGTCTACGTACTCGCCAGCGAGTCCCAGACGCTTAAAGAGGTTTTCCTTCATCTTTTGATATTTTGCGAGCGGATCCAAGTCACTACCGAACGTGGATTCGCGAGTTGCGCTGCCAAGAAGCTTTTTTCCATATTTCATTACGGCAGCGATGTCTAGTTTGTCAAACGTTAAGAAACAGGTAGACGCAGACGAGTCAGCAGCTGTAGCATCGGAAGCACCATCCGGTGTTGTTACAGAAGGTTCCGATTTGACAGGAGCAAGGTTCTCTTGCTCGTCAGGTTCCTTTTTTACAACTGCAGCAACTTGCTGTATCGACCCCGTGGCATCAGTGTCTGTTTCTGTCTTAACTTTAGCCACGGAGGAATCATCGTTTGCAGGATCAGGTTCGCTTTTCACTACATTATTCTCGGAATTTGGATCCCAAGATTGAGCATTAGCGACGATGCCACCAAGAGCTTTAGCAGCCGCACTTCTTGTTTCCCAACTTTTTGATTTCAGGTAGGGGACCACTCTTCCCAGCAAGTTAAACAGCTCATCAGGATGAGCCTTTTGTATGTCAGCTATCTGCTTTGCAGCAGTTTCACGGACAACCGACGTTGAACCAGTGTCTAGTAAGATCACAAGCCGGTCAAGTCTAAAGATTAGCCTATCAGAACGAATGTCGAAACAGAAAAGAGACAATATCTACATGAAGAATTATGCAGCTGGCCAGAACCCCGGACGGAAGACACGAACATAGTAAAACGGCGTGACAACGTTAATAGCTCACGCAACGTCGTTACGAAGCCCAAACGGAAACACAGACCAGAACACGATTCGTTCAAAACAACAATGTTCCAGATACATACCTTGTAGTCATGTTGCCTAAGACTCAACACTCACGGACGAACTTCGACTGTTCAGTCAGAGTAATAAACAAAATGAAGCAGACAATTATTTTAATGTACAAGCTTGAAACAACAAGCTTAAAAAAAGATGTTCTCTTTCGAAAACCCCAAATTAAATCGCAACGGGATATTAAAATAGTAAAATAATGAAAAGGTAACACGTAAATATGCTGCTTAACGACCAATTGGTTTGAAAAGCATGCTTTTTTGGAAAATTGATCCGCGCGACCGACCAGCGGCCACAGTGGAGGCGGTGGTACTTATGGGTTTCCGACGCCTTTGGCTGGAGAAAAAAGTTCGAAACCCTAACCCTCGAAAAATAAGAGTGGCATAATAAAGAATAGATTAATGCAGATGCATTAGTACAAATGTAATCATCCGATTTGTATCATGTATATGGAAGCAATTTATGCTTGGATCATACCTCAATTAAGGTTAACGCAGACCGGTCGATATGCATTGTTACCTACCAACCGCGACTCCAGGGTAACAATGACACCCGCTATACCCCAAGGCAGCCTCTACCACACATCGTTCGTATTTCCAAACGCATCGTATATTGTTCCGTATTCCATTAGAATTGAAGTGAATATTTACAGTACCTCGGCTCTGAAACTGAATTTTGACTCCAGGAACACTGTTGTGTTGTCTTTGTTGCGGAAACATTAGACAATGGCTGACGTTTCGATGCAAGGTCAGCAGAGAAAAGCTGCCCCAGCTGCAATAAACCCGGGAAGAAATGAGTTGTTTTCCAGGCTACCTCCGGGAACGAAGATGATCGTTGGAAAGGAAGCGGTTACGGTTGAACGGTATTTGAGTGAAGGTGGTTTTTCTCATGTGTATCTTGCGATTACTTCTAGAAACGAGAAAGTCGTTATGAAACGGATCCATGTTCCTGACAAAAAGGCACTGCAGCTTGTGTATACAGAAATTGAAACGATGAAGCGGTTGCGTGGACATCCGCACATTGTGTCGTACATGGATTCCAGTGCCGTGTATTCACAGACCAGTAATCTGTACGAGGTTTTCCTGCTTATGGAATTTTGTGCTGGAGGTGGTCTCATTGATTTTATGAACACACGTTTGCAAAGTCGGCTTACAGAAGCTGAGGTGCTGAAAATTCTGCATGATGTGTGCTCGGGTGTTGCAGCTATGCATTATTTAACACCGCCGTTGATTCATCGAGATCTCAAGATTGAGAATGTATTGCTAGTAAGACCGAACGTGTACAAACTTTGTGACTTTGGCAGTGCCTGTGAACCAATACGCATTCCTAGCACTTTAGAGGGCCGGAGACGTCTTGAGATAAACATTAACATGTACACCACTCCCCAATACCGCTGTCCGGAAATGCTCGACTTTAATAGATGTGCCGGCATTGACGAGAAAAGTGATATATGGGCTATTGGAGTTCTTGCATACAAACTGTGTTATTATACAACGCCTTTTGAACAAATGGGAAACCAAGCTATTTTATCAGTCTCATACTCATTTCCTTCATATCCAGCATACTCAAATCGGATGAAGCGGTTCATCGCAACTTGTCTTCAGGAACAACCTTCACATCGCCCAAACATTTATCAAACCATGAACGAGATCTGCCAGATGAGTCATGTACCTAACACTCTAGTTGACATTTACGGGGGTATTAACTCTGCCACTTTCAATCCGCCTCGGCCGATTCAACTCCCTGAAACCATTCTTCCCCCAATTCCAATACAAAGTGGTCATCATACTGGTCACCAAAGTTCCTCTATTCCATCTTCATTTCCGCTTCAGGATGCTGTGCAGCAGCCATATACTACTGGTCAGAGTTTAAGCCGTGTATCCAGTCATGCTTCTTTGTCCCGGAAATCCTCACTATCGCGCTCTGCTTCGAAATCTACTATAGCACAGAGTCCGATGTACACAAACAATACTCAAATTGTACAAGCGCCAGTCGCATCGAAAGCAGTCCAACTTGATATGAGTGACGCCAACGTTTTTGAACGCTACCCGGATCTTGAAGTCTTAGAAAAAGATGTGTTTCGCAGAACACACTTGTCTGATCACATCAGTTCGAGGGGTGCTCGTAGCGGCGAACCTATTGGTATTGCATCAACTGGCCATCTCACTGGTACTCTGGCTCACACAGGAGAGTCTCATTCCCAACCGCCATTTTATGCATACACCGGTACGCCAGTGACAACTCTCATCAATCAAAATACTGCCAAACAAGTTGTCATGAACACTTCCAAGTCATATACAGCAATGGAGCGTCCCCCACAACAGTCTTCTTCGCAAAAGCCATTCCACGCACATTCTCTTCCCGAGCATCAATTTGTTGCAGACGTGCACGCAGGTCGTCCCTCAAAGTCTGGCGAAACAAAGACGTCTGCTGGCAGCGTTTCTCTTGTTGACGAGGATATCACTCTGCAACGCGACAAGGATGCCGCTCGTCTAAAACTTTTTAATGTTCCTGTTATGAGCGAAGTCGCAAAACCGAAACCGAATTCAATGTCTAATGAGAAATATTATGTTGATGCTGCTACGGATACTAATCTTGATAGAGTGGTTACAGTTTTTTCCAAAACAAGCCTTGACGATCCGAAACGTGCTGAAGAATCAAAAGTTACAAATCAACCCATTGATAATTTTGATGCTGTCATGCCACCCAAGCAACATAGGGATTCTAAAGGAAAACTTCTTGATTTAGACACGTCCAACGACAGTTCTGATTCTATCCAAAGTTCAACGAATGCAATTTCGAATGTTGAATTTTTAAAGGGTTTGCAATCTCATCCCCATCGAAGTTCGTTTCAAAAAAGTCAGCTTTTGAAGCTTTATTCAAAATCACAGAAGGATGAAGACAAAGCAGATAACGGTAATCAGAAGTCCTCTTCGCATAGAAGATTAGGAAGTGGATTGCTTTCGAGCAAATTCAGTGATGCTTTTAAACGATTCGAGTTTAGTTCAGAAAAGTCATCCTGGCGACGATCAAATTCCTCGAATTCTCGAGGGAAAAAACAGCTTTGGGCTCTACCAGGCTTACATGGAAAGACTGATGAATGGAAGGTTGAAAGCGAAGAGCTACCTGAAGTTAGGCAAACTATTAACGAGTATCGCCGCAAGTCTTCTGAACGTCGCCGTCCCTCAGATTTGTTGGATCTGAATTTGGATAGTGAGGAAGGCGTAAGAAGGGTGAGTTCGCCCTCCTCTATCAGTACTAGTGGAAGCGGGTTATCCATTGAAACAAAATCTATTCAACAGCGCATGCAGGAATTGTTTCGGAATGCTAAAGTTCATATGAACTCGGCTGTCGATTCTGTCCATCCGCCCCCCAAACCACTTAAGTTGCGTAGTAGGCGGGTTGCTTAGATCCTTTTACTGCAGCTCTTTAGCTGTTATGAATGAATTATTTTTGTACCTACAAGAGTTTATGCACGTTAGCGCGGAAGAAGTATCTTCCTCTTTCCTTTTTACATTTACATTTGTGTTTTGTTAAATGATGCTCCTACGAATTTGGGCGATAACTTCCCTGAAACTTAAATTATTATGGAATCGTTTTGCTGGAAAATTATACAGATGAATCATTAAACTTAAACGTAAAAGAACACGGGGAACCATCACAGAAAAGGGAAGAGTGAGAGGGAAAAAAAGTGAGAGAGAGCAAGTCCGTGTTTCATGACTCATAAAATGATAAAATGAGAAATGCAAAGACGAGAAGAGATATGGAAGAAAAAAAGAAAGAAAAAAAGGGTGTACGTCCTCGTTTCAAACCTTGTGACAAAAAAATAGAGGTCTGCAAATGAACAAATTAACTTATTCGCGGAAGAAAGCAACGATAGAACGTTTTCTGCGTAGCGAAGAGGATGGAGACATACCACCTTGACCTTTTTGGTTCAGACTTCTCTGTATAGCCGCTTGGGAAGCAGGCGTTCCTTCAATTCTCGTCGTCGTGCCCAAACCCAGAGTTTCTACACCGGCAACAAGTTCATCTTCTTCTGCAGGACTTACATGGACTGTAGGAAGAACGGCCTTTGCACGACTAGAAGCAGCCTCGTTTGCAGCGCCAAGCTGAGCAAGGGTTATTGAACCATCAGGGTTGCTAAATGTGTGTGAAAGTGTCTTGTTAATCCCGTCAGCCAACGTCGTAGTACGTTCGAGTTCATTGCCAAGAGGCTCTCCATCGTCAAGTGAAATTCTTGGCAATTCAGACGAAGGCATGACGCACGCAAGAGAACCAGTCAAGCTTTCAGCAGAAAATGCTGCAACCGGGCTTCTGCTAGAAACCTTGTTTCGATGCGGGTTGCATGGATCAAAAGGACCGTCGTGGTGAATGCTTGCCTGTCCTTCGTAGAGCCCACTCACATCAAGTCGGTCAATTTTGTCAATGCCCAACAGTGTGTTTCTGCGTTGTCTCGGTTTCACAACCTGGGGCTTTCTTCTACGAGAGCTGTTAGACTTTGAATGAGAAAGTCCCGCATTACGAGGAGGAAGAGAGGGGGGTGTTTTAGTAGGGAGCTGCAGGCTTAGACCGGTGGCGCTTGTACCGGATTTGTTGTCACTGAGATATTGTTTTTCTGCATGCCGAAAACGAGCAGAGGCGGTGGATGAAGATCTGGAGATAGAGTTACCCTTAGCCACAGGAGGTTTGTTTTCTTGGCTGGATCGAACTCTAGCAGAGTTTCCTCTTCTCAAAACTGTGTTGTTGTTTATAGGAGCACCAGGCGACATTGATCGAAACTATTTAGTTAGTGAGGGAACGAAGGATAATGGAATATCAAAAAACAAGCTAATTGACCGAAACAAGAGATATGTAAACGAAGCTTCCAATGTCAAATAAGATCAACAGTATTTTTACATGTGTCTGATAGTGTGTCTAGGTGCCTGTCTGTCTTTGTTGTTGAACCAGAAGAGCCTTGAAAATTCCCATGTAGTCCGGTTATCCGTCAAACAACAGCATTCGTGAACTTTTGTATCTTCGTTTACATTCTCATTATATTCTCGTCATATCCACAGCCTCAAGACTTACTGTACGAGTACCCAACGCAGCGACCTCATCGTCTATATCTAGCAAGGAGACAGTCTTCTTACTTGAAATAGAGTTCTCACGCAGAATCTCGTTCTTGAATGGGTTATTTGAGCCCATTGATGCAAAAGGTAAAGTTTGGTTTTTGAAGCGACAAACCAGGTAAACAGCGTGGAGTATATGGTTGTGGTGGTGAGTGTTTATTTAGGCTAGCGGCCCAACCTGGCATTGTCATTCTTAGGTAGGAAAAGCAGAGCCACGATGGTATATTTAAGGCAAAGATTCGTCCGAAAATTATAACGTGGTTTTGTACAAATCTGTCGACAACTGTCGCTTTAATTTTCGTTTCTTCGTAGGTGCACCGATTTATGGCTGGCGCTGCCAAGCCCTACTCGCTGAAAATGATGTCAGTGGAAAAAAGCTTAGATATTTAGGCGAATTTGCGACTCGCTTAGATAACCTTGGTTATTCACGCTTCCTCTTCCACTTATGTAACTACGGTGAGAAACAATCAACGGACGGTAAGCCAAACAAAGTACAGTTTTATTGTGCACTCGTAGCAGAAACGTTTTTGTTTGATCTTTTTTTGCTGGGTCTCCGGGTCGTTTTTGGTGAGATATTCAATATTGAAGAATCATAAGGAAACAACTCGTTAAGACGAGTGGAATTGACTGTTTTAAACGAACAAGAGTGGTTCCATTACTGTTATTACCGTCACTTATTTGTTTTTCTTCATTCGTTTACCAATATGGCCAGCAAGTTGCCATTTATGAGCCTTACAGTTCCAGGTTTAGCTGTACGGGATCCTTCATCATTACTCGAATTGGTTCAGCTAGAAAGCTTAGAGTGCAAACGGAGAGCGGATGTCCATAAAACGTCTAAACTTGCCTTACTTTTGGCCTTGACTGTGCGAAACCAATTAATGGAAACAAAGTTGCACACGGCTGATGCACACATCATTAGCTATGTCGGCAAGTTACAGCGTTCTAAGTCTTCTCTTCAAAGCAAAAAGAAACAACTGGTTTCTGTTTTGGAAGAGCTGGATGAGGTATACAACCTAGATCATGCATTGCAGCTGCTAACGTACTTTTCATTTAGAATGAGAACAAACTAGGCTCCGCAGAGAAAGAGCTCGTTCAATTAAAGGTAAGTTTTTACCATGGTCTCCATTGCAATTCTTATGCTAATACCTGAATGGCAGGAAGAATACAAACAGCTACAAGAAGATCTTATTAAACTTTCAAAGAAAACATATGAATCAGAGGTATGCCTGTTTATACTAATGTGCCGAAAACTCACCGGTTATATGTAGGAAACGATACGGCTTTTGAAATCGTCGAAAGAAAGCGGTGAAAGTGCAACTTTTGGAAAAAATGTCGAGGTATGTCAATTTACTATGCAATGTATCTAAACATTTAAGTCGTCAAGCAGCACAACACGGCTTCATAACGCCGTTAATGAATATAAAAAGCTACTAAAAGCTAAGGAACAGGACATAACAAAGCTTCAGGTAACCACTTTTCTTTTTGTCAAGGCTTAAAACTAACAAAATCGTTTTATGTAGTCAAGCGTTTCTGCACGCGATACAGAAATTGATCGTTGGCGAATCCGTGTGGAAACCATTGAAGCTAATTGGAAAGCCAGAGTACAAGTGTTGGAATCAAAACTTGCGACATTGGAGAAAAAGACTCGACTTAGTAGATCTGCGCACGACAGAAAAAGCACCTCCTCAACCATGTTAAGCTCACCACAACTCGTTACAAACAGTCCGTCTCCGCAAAAGAGCAGCCTTTCGTCAAGACGTTCTATCCGGGAAAAATCAAGTCTTAGTATGACTCCATTCCTTAAAAAAACAAGTGTTGCATTAGGGTTATCTTCAAGTCCTCTTCGACGAGACGCAAAAACGCTGCCTAAACCTCTCAGTCCAAACAAATCCTTCTCAGAGACTCGCTCGCGCCTGCCAAGACCTTCTTTGTCTCCATCGAAACGGACATCTACAAATGTCGATGGCGATAGTATATCTCAAAATCTTGTTCAGGAAGCGCTTGGGAATGGGAGCCTGAAAAAGAAGAGAAAACTTGAAGCTCCAAGCCTCGAAGTTCAGCCGGTAGACGAAGAGAATGAGTTGCATTCTGATGAGGACTTAACATTAGCGCCTCCTAAACGGGCATCAAGTATAGTTCGTGCTATAAGTCCTCTTAAGGCGAGGTCGGAAACGGTCAATTCTTTAAAGAAGGGATTTTCTGTGAAGCAGTTGGAAGATACATCTTAGTGATGCGTATTTGAATCTGTTTGTATTTCATAATAGATCATTATTCTTATTCATCATCTTCGGGATCGCTCCCCCAGGCGATAATGTCATCAGCAAGTTCACCTTGCTCATGAATTTCACTAAGGCCACTTAAATCCTCAATGTACTTGGAGTCATTCATTGCATTCGCGACAAATTCCCACTTCTTATTGCTCCACTCAGCACAAACACGAGGATTGCAAGCGGAACAATGTGGATAGGCCTTTCCTTCAATTTTCAGGATCGTGAAGTCGTGAAGAAAACCTCGTAACTGATGTGGTACCTCACCAAGGATGCCATTTGTTCCATGGTTAACACAGGATTTGTCAAAAAGTTCATGCTGTGTTAAAGATGTCAGAAGTTCTACCGCAAAAGAAGCGGCCTGTGCGGCGGCACCAGGACGTGTAATGGTACATGTTTGATCGATGCTTCGATCCAACATCGAATTTGTAGGTGCGAATACATCATTGCAAAAGTAGCAGCCAAGTTCCCGCTTTCCTTGAAACTTTTTACCATGTCTCATTACGACCCAGCTGTCAAAACCTAAAGCCGCGTTGATCAACGTTTTGTTTAGTTCTGCCGCAATAACAGATGGAAGCCATCGAGATTCTCGTGTATCCGTGAGCAGGAAAATCACATCAGCATCAATCATTAGCTGTTCAAAAGAGGTATAGTCACTTTTAACTTTTTTTACTTCTGAAGCAGAAATAGGATGACCTATCATGGGAATAGTTAAGTTGTACCCTTTGGATTTCATGTCTGGACATATTTCCTTAAGCCTTTTTGCTGCACATTCTGCCTTCCACTGTCCACCGTTCTTACAGTCTTCAAATGTAAATAAGGATTGTCGAACAGGATTTGAATAAGACACGCGTGAGTTGTCAATGAACGTGATGTTTCGGACACCCCATGCCTGTAAATGTCAGTTACTTTATGTCCGTTATATGGTCATTCCTTACCATTAAATTACGAGCCACATGGCATCCAAGAGTGCCTGATCCTAAGATTAAACATTTAAGATTTGTAATTTTCTCCAAGTTAAGGTCAGGTACAAGTCTCCATTTCATAAGACTCAAATTCAGCATGGAAGCTGTACTAGCAAGATGGTTTGGATCAATTAAAGGAGCGAAATTGACTAAACGGGGAGTTGTTTTTCCATACTCGTTTCGCTCCCAACCAACAACGTTGTCGCTGATGTTGTTTGGCACACTGGAGTGTTTTCGAAGTTTCAGTATAATGGACCGAGAGAAGGAGCCCGACCGAATAGTATCACGTATGAGTAGTAAGCTGACAGATTCAAGTTTGTGTACTACGTTTAAATATAGTAACAGATTTCGAATTGGCCAAGAAGGATACTGTTCGTGTAAAACTGAATCGACAGCTGCGATATAGAACTACAAAGTTAGTATCTTTAAGTCGAACGAGTAGTACCGTATTTCCACTGTCTATAATTGAATGGAGTTTTACCAGTGGCACGGGTGACCAGCTTCCTTCTTCTAATTGTACCAGAATGAAAATCGAGTGTTGACTTGCGTCATGATCGTTTCGAAAGGAAGCAATTAATGAGGACAGTTCATTTGAAGAGATTGCGTCTGTGGCACTTAATGATTCTTCAAGCTTCCACATAGGTGTATTCTTAAACGTTGGAAACAAGCAACGGTAATGAAGTTTAAAAGCTTTTATGTCAGCATAACAGAATATACAGAATGGAAACAGTTCCCTAGGATCATTTGAAACTGCATCACTTTCAATAGATGACCATAGCTTTAAGAATTAGTTCAAATTGTTCTTTAACTTTAGCTCAAAAATTAGCTTATACCCGTTTACCAAAGTCATCTTTCAATTGACTTATATTGTAATTGTTAAATAGAGACAACGAATTGACATTGATAACGTGCCCTTTAGTGATACACTCATCATCATTTAAACTTTCAAATTAATAAAAACTATTTGCACAGTAACATACCGTGAAACAAGATCGTCCTTTATACTAAACTCAATTGATGATTTTGACAAAGGATTATAGATTCCATAAGCGCGTATAGGCGAGTCGTCCGTTTTTTGTGTTTGAACCTTGAACGATGTCAATTCGTCCCAAAACGAGACTTGAATGAAAGAATTGAATGGTTGGAACTGCAAGACATCAGATTTTGACATCTTTCTGTGTAACAACTTGGTTCAAAAACACAGCTGCTTGCTAATTCCGAGTGTTTGTAGTGCAGGTAGGCAATTAATTGGGCGTAAGCAAGATAATGTAAAACGCGAACATAAACATAAATTAAAAAACATTATTCACTCAATTGACCACATATTATGCCATAAAGACCGTCTCTTTATCAAATCCATGCCTTGACTAATAGATTTACCAATCGAAGAATTAATAAAACAATAAAAACTTTTATACTGTACATGAAAAAAAAATACATTTCCTATTAATATATTGATAGATATATCTTAGCTCGTTAAGAAATCACCTATTCCCTATGCATCTAAACGTTCCAAGATATAAACATAACTTGTGCTTTCCGTTTCTTTTAAACTTGAAACCTGAAGTACTTTTTCGTCATTAAACAAGGCCCAGACATCCTGTCCATCCACAAGTTCACGAATGAAGGCCACATAATGGCCCGCATGAACACTTCCGCCCTTATGACAAACAATAGCTTTGAGTTTATAAAGTGCTGGAACTGTGGTAGAAGCAAACACGTTAATTGAATTTTGATCAGTAGCCCCCTCAGTTGCATTTTCGATTGCTGCTAAATCATCAGTATGACTAAAGAGCCAGTCAACAGCACGTTCAACATTGTTTTGGGTTTCTTTTAAAGCATGCTTTGCAGCTTTCACTGTGAAACCCATGTCACATAAAGACGAGACATGATCAGATGAAACTTCAGTGCTTGATGGTTCAGAAATTTTACTTAAATCGACGGGTTCATCAATACTGGGATCTTCAAGATGCTCAAACAGCCAATTCATAGCACTTTCTGCATCGGAATTTCCAGTCGCGAGCAAAGCGTGCTGACATCTATTGACGGAAAATCCCATGGCAGTCAACTGCTCCATAGCAAGCTCATTCCATTCAACTTGACTTTTTGATTCTTCGGGTAGCAATTCCTCGCCTTCTTGTCTCGGACCAACCAAAAAGTCGCTAAGATCGTAAATAGCATCACCGCCAAGTTGAACGGCTGTATTTACTTTCTTCAATTCCCAGTTGACAATGTCAAAGCGATTCAATTGCACTGCGAGAACCTTAGGAAAGCTAACAAAACGTGTTTGAGTGACAGCGCCAGCCTTACTATGGCAGGACTCACAAGTATACTCCATTTGATCCTGAGATACAAATGAACGTAAACAGTCCTCGAAGAACGACTCCCCATTATTCCGCTTCACGATCGGAAGTGCCAAGCTTTCGGTTTCTATTTTCGAGTATCGTGCCCGATTACAGCCAAGGCATTGAAGACGCTGCTCAGTGGTAAAACTCACCATAGAGCTCATGTCCAAGCCAGACTCATCTTTCGCTGTCTTCACTTTTTTTAAGAGGTAAAGGAGAAATTCATAGGCATCCTATAAAAAGCGAATAGGTTAGTTGCTGTGTAAAAAAAGCACGCGAATGACATACCTGTTGTCTTCCAGTAGAAAACTCTTCGTGACCCTTTCCAACAATGTCTTTCAACATAAACGGCCGCAACCCATCTTGGAAGGGAATCTTCGATGGATCTTCACTGGCCATGACGAAATGGCTAGGCCTGGAAAACTTTCCCGAGCACAGTCCATCTGCGAGTTTTCCAAGTTGGCATACAAGGCACGTTGTTGCTGAGGAGCATTTAGCATTATGCGTTTGAAAAACTTGTAAATAATGATTGCGGAAGACATCAATAGAAAACAGTGCTTGCACCACAGACGATAAATAACAGCTATTACCCAAGTTCCGAAGTCCTGTGAGACAAGGTCCAAACAACTTCTTCGCGCCTTCCTCTTCTTCCATTGAGCCAAAATCAAAATTTAGATTTTGAGCTAATTGCATTTCCGCCAATGATTTCTCTGTTTTGGACATGGAGTCAAGATTAAGACCAAACGTACTTAAATGGTTCTTGATTTCAGGATCATCACGTTCCTCGTCACAAATATAACAATACACATCAGGTTGGGAGGAAGCCGACAAGGAATGCAACTTGACGGCAACTCCATGATTCGTACTTTGAAAATGTTCAACGGCATGTCCGTTACCGCCGCCTCCACCGAATTGTTTTCTGCCGCAGCTTAGTTTTCCACAATTTAGACAAAGCCAGAGATTCTCCGAAAGCTCGCACTGGGTACAAGAACCTTGTCATTGTTAATCAATTGTAAAGCAATTGTAGCATACCATTTACTGAGACAGTATAAGCAGGTGTTTGTTGAAGAGTAAGAACATGCTCGCAGGGTACAATTTCATTTTCCCAACTCTTGACCTGACTCATCTGTGAAGCAGAAGGCGACTTTTTTAAAGCATCAACGATGGCTTTAACCTAAAATTGTGTTAGTATGCGTCAGGAATACGAGTAATTGCTCATTGAACAAACACATTTATGCATACTTTTTCGTTTTCTTGATCGATGGCCACATCACAAACGATACAGTGTGCATTGTAGTAAAATTGAAATTTATCAGCTTCATTTTCTTCTTTTATCTCAAGTTTTGTCAATTTTTGAGGCGGCTCTTCCTGGTCCTATTTAAGAAGCAATTGTTAATAAACACGGTCAATTGATCATTGAAAACGAGAAACGCACCTTAGGCGTACGCCGTATGTTCAAATATATCGGATGTTTAGTCAGGTCAAAGTGACTGACGTTGTGAGAAAGATCATTTTTTGTACAACCAGATTCGAAGCAGCAGAGACATAAATCGATTCCAGAACTCGAATCCTTTTATGTCAGTAACATGAAACGCAATGAGTGAATGGATAGGAAGGCCAAAAACGATAAACAAATGGTCAAAAACGTACAGTGGATATAAAACAACGAACACACTCCTCTTGGTAAATAACCGTACCAGTAGGCGGACAATGAGCGTATTCTTCTGTAAAATGAGGGCAAGTCATGACCAATTGCAAAACTATTTGGTCAAAAAATGAAACGATTCGTTTCTTTTAAAAATATGGTTTTTGGGAAGAGCTACCGGCAGTTGTGACGTTTATGCTTTAGTCACGAAACCAGCGCTTAGCTAAAGCTCCTGCGATACGAGGAAGCAAAGAGACTGAGACCAAGAAAACGGAGCGTAAAGCAACATTCTCTATTGGTAATGAATACTTCTTCCATTCCCTGCCACATACTGGTCCGACCCTGATACAATTTAAACATTATTAAAGCTACGCAGAACCGAAAACCGCAACTCACTGAATATCCCCAACAAATCATATTTACAGCGACAGTGACAGAACTGCTATTGATAAACTCGAACTAACTATTTACCCTACTTAAGTGTTGGACTGCATTGAAAAAAACATCCTAGGAAAAAACGAGATGCCTCCGTATTACAGATCCGTCAATTTACCGAGACATTAAAAAACAAACACAGTTGAATTGCTTGAAAGCGCTGCATCCGTTCAGTTATCACTCGGAAAGGCCATAACAAAGAGGAAACTCTCAGCCTCCGCGATATTCCTGTTTCATAGAAAGTTTCAACTTTCACTTCTCACCCTGTCGACAATCCATCAGAATAGAAATAACATTCTTCTCTACAAGCAGCTGCTATTAAACGTAAAGAACGTTATGTGTGAAGGACAAGTTATCGTGGATGGGAATTCTTTATATACACAAAGCTTATTTTTCGAGTATGTATGAAACTAGATATTAGACATAAGTATTAGTCATTTAGTATAAGAATAATAATCAAGCCTGTTTTCACTGTATATTTGTTTTGTTTTTCTTGCATCTGTAAGGCTCACTTGGGTGAGCGATGCGCGTTAGTCACAACGCGGAATACAATTTACTTCACTGCGAAGCAATTCTTCCATGGCTACGTTCAACCCAAATTTTTTGAACGAAAAGCCTCCTCCTAATTATGTTGCAGTAAGTTTTGTTCTAATTGTTTTCTTTTTATATTCATCTAACAGGTTTATTAGGGCATTGGCCGTGGAGCTACAGGATTCACAACAAGATCAGATTTAGGACCAGCTCAAGAGGCTCTTCCCTCTGCTGACGATATAAAGTAAAGAGTCTCTACTAGATGTATCGCTAACTAATCCAGAAATGCAATTGAGAAGCGGCGAAATGCACCAGAAGAAGCAGACGACGTAGACCCACGTTACCAAGATCCAGACAATGAAGTAGCCCTGTTTGCGACAGCTCCATATGATAAAGAAGATGAAGAGGCTGACCGCATCTATTCCGCTGTTGAGGAGAATTTAGCAATGCGACGAAAACATCAACGTGAGCGTCAAGAACAATTACAACGGGAAGAGTACGAAAGGAAACATCCCAAAGTCTCTCAGCAATTTGCTGACCTGAAACGTGGTCTGTCGCTACTTACTGATGAAGATTGGGCCAACATTCCAGAAGTTGGAGACTTAACACGCAAGCGGAGGAAAAAAGAACCACGCCGTGAGCGTTTTTATGCCACTTCGGATTTCGTTTTGGCAAGTGCGCGGCAGGAAGGTCAATTAGACTCAACGATCGATGTGAATGAGGGGGATGGAACATCAACCCCGGCAGGCACGAAAACCAACTTCGTTGAAATTGGCGCTGCCCGTGATAAGGTACTGGGTATTAAATTAGCACAAGCGTCTTCCTCTCTAACATCTCCATCTACTGTCGATCCTAAAGGCTATTTAACGAGTCTGGACAGTATGATACCCCAAAGCGGTACCGATCTCGGAGACATTAAAAAGGCACGAACGCTCCTCAAAAGTGTAATTGAAACAAATCCTAAGCATGCCTCTGGCTGGGTTGCTGCCGCCAGATTAGAGGAGGTTGCGAACAAACCATCGCAAGCACGCGCCCTCATTTTGACGGGATGTAAAAACTGCCCTAAATCTGAAGACGTATGGCTTGAGGCCATTCGACTTCATCCTCCTCAGGAATCGAGAATTATCGTTACGGATGCAGTCAGAAACTTACCGAATTCAATTGCTCTTTGGCTGCAGGCGGCCAAATTGGAAAATCAGGTAACGACCAAAAAACGTATCCTAAAAAAGGCTTTGGAAGTGAATTCCACTTCGGTCCGATTGTGGAAAGAGGCCGTGAATTTGGAGGAAGATCCAGAAAGTGCTCGGGTCTTACTAGCGAGAGCAGTAGAACTGATACCTATGTCGGTTGACCTGTGGCTTGCCTTGGCGCGTCTCGAAACTTACGAGAATGCAAAGAAGGTTCTTAACAAGGCACGGAAAACTATTCGTACCTCCTACGAAATTTGGATTGCGGCTGCTCGTTTGGAAGAACAGCAGACCAACGTTGAGCGGGTCGAAAAAATCATGGCTCGCGGTATTAGTGAATTACAACAGACGGGTGGTATGTTGCAAAGAAACCAGTGGCTGCAGGAAGCAGAGAAATGCGAATCTGAGGGAGCTATTTTCACAGCGCAGGCCATCATCAATACATGTTTAGCTATCGATCTGGATGAGGAGGATCAATATGAAACATGGATGGATGATGCACAGTCCATGCTTTCCCGAAAAGCTATAGGGTGTGCACGCGCTGTGTTTGCATATGCCATTCGGGTGTATCCGGATGATGAATCTTTGCGGTTACGCGCTGTCGAAATGGAGTCCGTTTACGGTGACTACAATACTGTGTGTGATCTTCTTGAAAAAGCGGTTACTTTTTGTTCAAAATCAGAGTCTTTGTGGCTCATTTACGCCAAAAAACGGAAGGATCATGGTGATGTTGATGGGGCTCGTAATGTTCTCGGCCGTGCATTTGAACAAAACCCCAACAGTGAAGAGATTTGGCTTGCAGCAGTCAAGCTTGAGTTCATTAATCATGAGGATGAACGTGCCCGGAAACTGCTGGCTCGAGCTCGCATAGAAGCAGGAACACAACGTGTATGGACAAAGTCAATCTCTATGGAACGTGTATTGGGACATCTTGATAGTGCGTTTCAGCTCACTGAAGAGGCGCTTAAGCTGTTTCAGAATCACGACAAGCTTTGGATGATGAAGGGTCAAATGCTTGAAAGTCAACAAAAGGTTGAGGAAACTCGACAAACGTATGCTGAAGCAGTTAAACACTGTCCTAATTCAGTGAATCTCTGGATTCTGTTCATTCAGTTTGAACGGAGAAATACATCAATTGTTCGTGCTCGTGTGATTCTTGATCGTGCTCGTGTAAAGAACCCAAAGAACGAGTTGTTGTGGTTTGAGGCAATCAATATGGAAGAAAGTGCCGGAAACATGCCTCAGGTAAAAGCTGCACTGGCAAAAGCACTTCAAGAGTGTCCTTCTTCTGGTCTTCTATGGTCGAAAGCTATTTGGTTGGAACCAAGAGCACAGCGTAAAACACGAGCAACTGATGCCTTGCGAAAATGTGAGCATAACGCTTTTTTGTTATGCACTGTTGCCCGGATTTTTTGGATCGAAAGAAAATTGGACAAGGCTCGCAACTGGTTTTTTAAAGCAATTAAAGCCGACCAAGACAATGGCGATGTTTGGGCCTGGTTCTACAAATTTAGTTTGGAAGTTGGTACTAAGGTAAGGTTTTGCTATGTGTCTATTGATTTTCACTAACGTAATAATAGGAGAACCAGGAGGAAGTCTTGACTAACTGCACGACAGCAGATCCTCGTCATGGTTATTACTGGCCAAAAATTACCAAGGATATCGGAAATGCGAGGAAACCCATTCGTGAACTTTTGACCATAGCAGCTGAGTCGCTCTCACAAAATGAATAAAGAGTAACTGTCAAGTCATCATTGACGGCTTACGCTACTATCAATCTTTGTAGTTTCTTCATGATTTAATGAACATCTTATAAAAAAAATTACAAATTTTATTCGCATTTCTGCTTTCCCTTAATGTCTGTTAAAGTTACAACAAGCGTAGAACTAATGCTAACTGTAGTTCCTAACCAAAGCATTAGAGAAGACAGGTCGGGAGAGAGTAATGTTCCTATAATAACAGAACTTTGACTCTTTAAAGGGAAAGAGCCAAGGTCAATGAATTCATTCAGAATTCTAAAAGAAACACATAGTTTGTTCAATCCGAACAAAAACTATTAGAGTCCTTCGAAACGCAACTTCTCAGAAAAACTTGTACGTGGTATTAAATCCGGTCAAGCAACGGAAGCACCAGCAATGCTTTACTCGTTGGCAGGATTCCATTGAGCAAAAATATCCCATCTGCTAGAACCAGCATCACGAGAAACATACTTAATGAACTGTAGGACTCCCTCGTCACGATAAACGAGAGAAAAGACATTCCAAGAAGCTGGCAGGGAAAGCAAAATGCTATCTTCTTGCTCACTACCCTTATATACAGCGGCGTCCTCATCAGGGTCCTCGTCGCCGAGCATGTATACATCGTAGGCGCCATTGTTCGTATCGGCAATGCGAGTTCCGGGGGAGAGGCACAGATTAGACTCAAGAACTGGATTGTCGTTTGATGTTGCAAGAGTGAAATCAGAAGAAGGGCGAAAACGACGGCCCCATTGGGTAAATGAGCGAACAGCCAAACCACTAACTCTTTGAATCCAGCGTTGGAATGCAGGGAGTCTTTGTAATTCCATGGGCAGGATGGCCTCCGGACCAGATTCATCATGGTCCACATAAAGGTATCTGTGTTTATGAGGAGGGATCGCGGTTTGCCAAGGATAAGACACCTCTGACGAGTTCATAGGTGTGGGTTGACTCTCTGCTTCAACAACACGGCGGCGCACGGCTTCAGCAGCGTCGTCGTTCAAGAAATTCACGAGAACAATGGCTGAGTCTTTGAAGAACTGCTTTGAGAGGGTTTCAATGCCGTCCTCACTAATATACAGGGGATTTATATACTTTTTTAATACCGCTAGATCCTTTTCAGAAAGAGGTGCAGGACGTGCAACGGTGTGCGGAACACTTTTTGGTAGTTCAAGGTCCATACGTTTCATGGAAAGTGACTGCAACGTTGAAATTGTCGAATCTTGCTGCATAGGATCGTAACCAGGTTCGCCAGGTTGAGGGTAGTGAAACCAACCAGAAACGGAGATGCGTGGTTTGTCGACGAACACTTCTTCCACATCGTGGAAGGAGTGTCCTGGTTTGACACGGAAGAAAGAAAGCTGATTCCACTGAGGAGGAATGGAAAGGCAATAATCTGCGGCAGGGAAAGAAGGCTCTAAAGTGGGAAACAAGCGTAAAGCACCACCGTACTCAGGCTTCCAGCCCTCGTCCGGCTCAACCAAGTAGAGAATGTAAGAGATGCACCGACTTCCAATCACATCATCGTGGTTCATTAGGTGGCATCCACGAGTGTAGACATTCACTGCCAAGTCCTTCTTGGAAGCAGATAACGGACCACAACCGGTAATCCGTTGCACATGTGCACGGAATTCCTCTGAGTACAAAGCATCCCGCAATTCGTGCAAGTAATGCAACATTTTTTGTTCCTTGGCATCCAACCCATCTAAATTTGCCAGATCACCTGTCTGCCAAATCCGATAAATGTCCGTTACCTTTTCCGTGAAGTGGATGTTTTCCATAATCTCCTTGCGAACATTACGAAGCAAGGTGTCGTCTATAAGAGGACGGATAACGACATGATTGTAAGGCCCGTTTGCATGGTAAATCGCCGACAGCCGTTTCGACTCTTCTACATCAAGAGCATGAGGAGCAAAACGGTCTGCGACAGAACTTTTCTTTTCACCCATGGTGTATCTGCTGGTGAATTCCGCTGCTTAGGTGAAGAGGGTATGTACAAAAATTTGGTGGATGGTCGGCCTCGTGTGTACAGTGTCGGTAGGAGCGTGTATTGGTTGGATCACGAGACCACCTTTTTATATCCTGTTCTAATAGGATGCGTGCGTATTCAACGTGCGAAGCATGAAAACGCCTGCTCGCGATTTTGGTCTTGTGCCAAAGATGATCCTCACGTGCTTAGGCCGTGACATGCTCAGCAGGGTCGCAAAAACAAATTCAACGGGGTGCTGTATGCTCAAAAAAACTGTTCACTGGCTCAGCAACGAGAGTTTAATTAGAAGATAAACACGTGTATCAGTGTTTGCGAGAAACGAGAAGAGGAAACGCCCCATTTCTCAGTGGAATTGTTAAAATCAGTAGAATACTTATGAAAATGGTGTCACGTTGTAAGAGCATTCTAATTTTGTCCTTGGTCCTGCTGATGTTGTGCAACGTCCGTCATTTTTAAAATAGTCGACTTTATCTCCTGTAGCATAGAAACTTTCAAAGACGAAGGAAACGACTCTGTTGCAGCCTTTAACAATTTCTCATATAGATCCTGAAAATGAATTGTGTTATCTGCTTTAATGAGCGAACGCGCATAATCTCTCATCTCAGTGGCCCAACCGCACTGTTCTAGGTTTTGTTCAAGAACCTGTGACAGTCTAATAAAGGTGAGCAATCAACACAATTTAATAACAAAACAAACCTTTCGAAATCGCCAGACTGGTACAATTGCTCAGTGACTTTTTGTGTTGACATTCTAAAGTTGGTGTTGGAAGAGAGCAGGTTATATCCATCGCGAAATGCGATTATTTATACCGACGCGTTCGCGGGCGCATAACCTTATTTTATGTTTTCGCGTCGTAACTTTATTCGACGCGCTGGCCTAAGCTTTTGTGATTTAATGTATTTTGCGGCAGAATAAAAGACAATTGTAATCGAGGAGCCGTTGAGAAGAATGAGCGTGTAGTGTATTTAACCGATAATGCATTTCCTAGAACAATTGCATTTAAACTTGACTCGTTCACGGTAATTTGTTCCACATTGTAGTCTGTATGAAACAGTAAATGGAATATTAAATTATTGAACATCTAACATTTTTTTGAAGGACATGCTCGTCAAACGAGCACTTAAACTAATATGCTAAGGCTTTTTTGTTAGAAGCGAAACTTCAGGTCATCGTCGTTATTTTGTTCTGGCACGGAATGAGAAGAAGTAGCTGCAACCTCAGAAGTTCTATTAGAAGAGGAAGTTGAGGAGAGGGAGGACACGTGTGCATTATCTCTGGATAATTTCCGCATAAGCTTCGGAACGGGCTCAGAAAAATCATCACCAAACTCGTTTGTCTTTTTAAATTCTGAAACAGAAACGTAAGCTACCGGTGCAACCTTGTTTTTCGTATGAATCTAGTACAGTTAGTATAGTTGTTTCAGCGTATCGCAAGTAACATACTCGTGTGAATGCTTTGAAGTTTTTCCTTTTACGATATCTCGAAGCAGGACTTGATGCAGAGGAGACTTGCTTGACTGGTAACTGCACCCGAACAAACTCAACGATGCCCGGATTGCATGGCTCAGCTTGAGTATTCAATCCAGTTTGGTTAAGAGGTTGGACTGCTTCTGTACGACTTGGAGTTGCTGGTTCATGAATGGGATGCTTTTGTGAAAGAGCTGCTTGTTGAGTAGAGTCAGGAGGAAGTACATGTTTGGGCGGTTGTATACTTCGAGATGAAGGAACAATTACCTCAATGGATCTGCTTTCTTTCTTTGAAGTTGCTATTTTCTTTGGCAACTGTGGGGATGTTGCCGCACTGTCAAAAACTTGTTTTTCTGGAGACGGTTTCGCTGGAAGTGATGCTTCAAAGCCAAACAGTTCTTGCATAACATCTCGCTTCTTAGGTGTTTGTCTTGCAGAACTGTTTGTCCTCGAGAGTGTTTTGGGTGTTCTTGTCCGTTTTGGTTTGCCTTTCAACACAGTTGATAATTCATCTTTGCCGAGTATAAGGGAGAAGAATTGTTTTATGTTATAGTATGTGAGTCCCTTTGTGGAAAGTAACCGCGTAAACTCTTCAGTGGGTTCCTCTGATGTTCCAACAACAAAGTCAATCGCCGCATCACCGCTAAAGAGAAGCGAGCTTAATTGTTGTATGTCTTCTCCGGAAGATGCGGCGCTTTGTATTCCCAAAGCATCCAAAATGGGTTTGAGTTGAAGTACGCCGTCAAACACAAAGCAACGAATGCCGCTGCAACTTCCCACGATAGCCTTCGGGGAACGAAACGTCTGCTCAGAGCCAATAGAAATATGAGGGAGATACTCTGACGCAGGTGGAATGGACCCTGCTTGTTTGACGTAGTCCGTTTCTATACTGCATAGTGTACTAACAAACGCAGATGTGACAATGAACTTTCCATAGATAAAAGCGAGTACAAGCTCCGGTAAAGCAGAAGCATTGATATCCCCTGCTGTAATATAGTGCGTTATCGTTTCCACGGGATTCGTGTCTTGAACGGGAATACCTAATAATTGCTAATGAGCAGAAGTCCAGGATGATATTGGCGTACCCATATGTTCAAGTGAAGGAGCAAAGTCTTGTATTAGGCTTAAGTTAGAAACGCCCAAAACTAATGCTTCCCATTTGAGACTGAGAGCAGTGTATTAGTATTAGAGAACCTGATAAGTTTGAAACTTACACAATCGTCTCCGGACTTTTTCCCAGCTTCAGCTCAAGTTGATGAGTATCAAATTTGTGCTTTTTGTTTATCAAGAACGTTTCATTCACTGTTGTTCCAAACTTCGTTTCTAAATCTTCGACGACAACTTGACAAGAATATGATTTCTGAAACAATCGTGGTTAGACAAGCATGCGTTGGAAGGTTATAGAATATTTACTTTATCCTGAAGCACAGGTGGGAAAATGTAGATGTTAGCATGTTTTTTGCTGACGGATTTTGAAGTGAATCGTATTGTTTTTTCGGAATCTTTTAAGGTAAGCGACACAGAAACATAAGTGTTATGTACTTTTCACGGCTCTTCCTAAAACATATTTCCCAGGGAAGAGATATCTTTGAACTGTAAATATGTTAGTTTATGAATGTGAAATCTAGAAGAAGCAAAATTGAACCTACTTTCAGAAGATTGAAGAAGCCACATTAAAATATATTTGTTAACACAAGCTTTATTAGTAAGAAAGAACTAGTGACTCGATTTATAATCTTTTTGCTCAATGTTGACAACGCGTCTTAATACACTTAATTTGAAGTATCGTGAAAAGGACGCGACACTACTGGTAAATTTCGCGTTTTATGAGAAAAACATTGGATTGCAACAGTAAAAAACCTAACTCACGCTCGGTTACAGACGCTCTTATTAACAGAAGGTATTCGCGTTCGGAGACCTGATTTTCGTGTCTAGTTAGCCATCATGGTCCACCACTTCAGCTATTAATACAATAAAAATTGCAACACCAATTGGGTTGAAAACAAGATGAATATGCTTGTATCTGGATATACAAGCGATTCTGACAGCAGTGACGCATCAGATCAAACTACATCTGCCTCAATCAGAGTGGAATCGACACCAACCGTGGTTGAAACTGTAAGATTGAAAGTGAATTTAAAAATCGAGACTAACGACATCAAGTTCACAGAATCAGAGAGTTCTGTTGTTAAAGGATTGCAAAATGGCCAACTTGTAAAGAATGTTAGTATCCAGGAACTAGCGAGGCCGGAGTTAGGTCCGTACAATCCATACAAAACCAAAGAGCAAGATAGCAAGAAAAATACCATAACGGGATACCTGGAAAAAGAGTACGTCTCAAATCTTACATTTGACCAGAACTTTCACACTTATCAAAAGTTCGGCGAAGTGGTCAAACGGAAACTGAACGAAGACGGTACTGATGCAATTGTCGACATTGCGAGCGTACATGCCAATAAAAGAAGTGCACAAGAATTTAAAAAACTGAGAGAAACATCCGGAGATCCCTCTATCCTTCACGGCGAGAATGCGTACAAAGGCCCTTGGGCTAAGTATTCAAAGCCTGAGTCAGTATCAGATCCTGATGAAGTCTTAGAGGTCGAAAGTGTTCAAGGTAATGGAGAAGTTGAAGTTCCCAGTAAAGTTGAGGAATCAGTCACTGATTTGTCATCCGAACAAGAAGCATCTGCAGCTATCGCTCCTATAGCACCGACAAAACAAAAAGAAACGACTGTATTTCACGGTGAAAGTGAGTTTGACTACCAGGGTAGAACGTACTTGCATGTACCTACGGACACAGGTATCAATTTATTAAGAGAGCCTGGAGAACAGACGTGTTATATTCCTAAAAAGCAAATTCACACATGGACGGGTCACAAAAAGGGCATTTCAGCATTGCGATTTTTTCCGAATACCGGACATCTACTTTTATCCGGTTCTTTAGACACAGATGTCAAGGTAAACACGATTCTCGTATGTCGCAGTTATACTAACATAGGTTCATAGATATGGTCTACATATCACGACCGTTCATTACTCAGAACTTTCAGCGGACATTCCAAGTCTATAAGAGACTTGTGTTTCGGTCCAGATGGAAAAATGTTTCTTAGTTGTGCGTATGATAAAACACTAAAGCTGTGGGATACTGAGACGGGAAAATGTATGCAAAGATATGCAAGCGGAAGGCTTACACATTGTGTACGCTTTCAGACTAACCCAAACAAACCGACTGAATTCTTAGCAGGCATGGCGGATAAACGAATTTTACAATTTGACACAAGAACCAATGATGTTGTTCAAACGTACGAGCAACACCTTGGTCCTGTTAATTCGTTAATTTTCATTGAGGGCGGCGAGCGATTTGTGTCGACCTCCGAAGATTCTTCTATGAGATACTGGGAATATGGTACTCCAATACCCATTAAATACATCGCAGATCCTACAATGCACTCTATGCCTAGAATTGCTCTTCGCCCAAATGGAAAGTCACTTCTATGTCAGTCATTAGACAATTGCATGTATGTGTACTCTGCGGTAGAGAAGTATAGACAAAACAGAAAGAAGGCATTTAAAGGCTATAGCTGCTCTGGTTATGCCCTGGAGGTCGGGTTCTCACCTGATGGTAAGTTTCACTTAAATGTTTTTTTTTTTTTTTTTACAATGCTAACTAGCACAGGGCGTTTCGTTTTTAGTGGGGATTCTTCCGGAAATGCTTGCTTTTGGGGTACGTTTATACGCTTGCTTATATTATGTATGTGCTAATCGTGTTACAGATTGGAAGACTTGTAAATTATTATCAAAGTTGCCAGCACATAAAGGACCACTGCAATCCATGGCTTTTCATCCTCAGGAGACTAGCAAGGTTGCTACCTCATCTGTAGTTGATAATGTCATTAAATATTGGGATTAACTTTCTTTGGAGACTCTTAGCAACAGATCAGAGAATAAAAAACTTTTGAACACCCATTTACGTTCTATGAACTTAATCTTTCACATGCAATGTATTACTCATTAAAACTGAAATTATGTACTCATTAAGTTTAATCTACAACCCAGTTCAAATTGTAGTCTTCTGTAGCTAAAATGTAGCAATCCATAGCCTTTCTAAACCGGTTTTTGTATTGCTTAGGCGTTACAATAGTTGGTTCCAGAGCACGACCGACAAGTCCCTTTTCTTTGACCCAACTTTCGAGCTTCTTGTCCCAAGTGTAAGTGCGGATAAAGTCAATGATACCGACGTACAGTCTACGTTTTGTTTCATCGATTCCAATGACAAGAGAATAATCCATGATGTTCATTTTTGACAGAAATAAAGTATCATTCCAAAGGGCAGCCTGTAGCAGGCTTTTCATTTGCTCCGCAATAAATAGAGGTGACTCGTATATAAACTCCACAAGGTTTTCATCGAGGAGTACTTCGTTTACCTTTCCTGTAGATTGAACATGACGATTACGCATTGAACCTTTTAAATCAAAGATTCTAGTAGGGACCCTATCAAAGAAAAGATTCTCCATAATCATAATATCCAACTTACATATATAACCCGTAATTTGGTTCCGCGTTTCGATTTGGTAAAAACCAAAAATTTTAGCTAGTACAGTTGGCAGTTCATGGAAAAAGGCCTTCGACATATACTCAAAGTATGCTGGAGCAAAAGTCAAGAAGGCGTCACTTTCCATCCTTGAAAGCTGCTTTAAAACGAAGCGATCATCAGCAGTTTTTAGGAAAGCAGAACCAGATTTACCACCACTTGATTCCCAAGATGAACAACGAGAAAGCGACTCTATATACGTGGAAGCGCATTTGCAAACCTCCCGTATTGCGTCAAACTGTTCTGCAAAATAAACCTTGCATGACATCTTCGCTGATCCCTCTTCAAATTGATATTTTAAATGTGTTCCTGTAGATTTAAGCATCAGAGTTTCTAGAGTCATCATATCAGAAACCATATAGTTCTCATCGTTAACTTCCGTCTTGAGTTTTGCCTTTATTGAAGATAATTTTTCAAGGTAATCAGATGAACTTAACGTAAAAGCGATAATTGAACTCGGCTCCCTTTCCCGAATAATGACAGTAGAGTCCGAAAATATATGTTCAGAAGCTGTTAATGGAAATTCCAGATCAGGGAAATTAAGGTTGTTCCATTCACTCCAAAAAGAGCTTATGATTTTGACCAAAGAATTATTATCAGCAAGCAACGAAGAAGACGGTATTGATAAGTGACCTGATTCTTGAGATTCAAAGCTCCCAATTGAAGGCGCACTATGTTGTGTATAAGAGTCATCCTTAAAAAGGAAGCCAAATATATCTTCCAGTGGATCGCTTGCTGATATTAAATCAAGGATATCATGACTTGGAGAAGCTTCGTTGATACTCGGCTCCGGATCCTTTTTGGTAGGCTCGCTATTCTGTTCACTAGGTTGTTCGCTATCATCATTCACTTCAACCTCGGAATTATCATCACGAAAAGCATCGGTAACACTACTGAAAACTTCAACTGTTGGTTTTGAAGGAACCACGGCAGAGGCTCTCTTGCGACGAGCATTAATCAAGTCAAATTCCTTCTTCTTCTCTTGATGTAATTCCTTACTGAACTCCTCAAAACGTTTGACAAGAGCACTAACTCTTGATTCTTTCAGACGATAATTCCGTTTTATGCTGGGCCGTTTTGCTGAAGATGGTTGTGATTCTGCCATGACCAATTTCGGTGAATTCGAATTTGTATCTACTGAAGCGGCCGGAGAAGGACCGGGTTGCTGTTTTCGAATTTTCGGACAAGGTCGTTTTTGAGTAATAACATTTACATCCCCCTCAGGCGACCGGTGATCGCGTTCATTTGTTGAGGTACGTGACAAAGACAAGGAGCGCGACAAGCTTGGAGGAGTTTCAGTAACCGGTTTATAAGCACTAACAGAACGTAGTACAGGTGGTTTAACAGCGCGCGGTATAACAATCTCTGGAGGCGTTTCACTGTTAACGTCGCTCTCAGTAGGCGTTTTCTTGGGCTTTTCAACATCACTTGCAGTAGTATCAGTTGGTATATCAACAGGCTCAGTAGGATCCTGAGTCAAATTTTTCTCAGTAAACAATTTCTTGAGTTGAGATGCTGCAAGTCGGCTTATGTCCTTATATGAAGGGACGTGTTGCTTTTCAAACTCCATTAATTGTGTTTCCCACTGTAACATCTTTCGCTGCAATAACCTTATAGCAGCATTTAGTGGCAATTGCTCCATTAAACCAGAACGTTTATAGATATTGTTAAGTTCAGCTTCAACTTCTCTTTTGTCGTTTTCCAACTGCTCACTCAGCTTTGCAATCAATTCCTTCCCTTCGTCGACCTTTCCAGCTTTGTTCGTCCACTCCAGCTTGTAGTGATTAATCCGAAGAAGAACACTTTGCAGACATTGAGTTATCTGGGTTCGTATATTTTTATATTCGGCTTCCTTCAAGTTGTTTTCAATTTTTGGTTTGGCCAGAATACGAGGTTTGGGAAAACACAACTCATAAACATCAATGTTATCTCTTTGGAAACGCACTGTAAAGTTCTTAAAGCCAAAGTAATGGACATGATCGCGCATTAAACTGTGAGAACAGAGATCTGACTTACCGGTGAGAGAACGATTGTAGAAAATAAACTGTAAATACTTTCCAAAACTATACCGCCATGTCCCATCAGACATTAAAGTAATAGGTGTATTTCTCTGGCAAATACGACAATAACTCCACATTAAAATTCTTTCTTCCAGTCCAGGTAAGGGACACAAAAAGTATTCTAGAAAAATACTAATCCGTCCATTTCCATGGACATAACTCCTGTAATGGTTGAGCATTTCTTGTTCAGTACAATAGTCGCCATCACAATTGCTTTTTGCGTTAAGACATGACTCTTCTATGAATTGACCAAGAGTGCAATCTGTCTCACGGTAGAATTCAATTAAACACCGTTCAGGGCCAACACAAGGCACTGATGTTTTCTTGTTCATTATGGAGAACAACAAAATTATTCGCTGGTCAGAAAAAGGAGAGTAGAGAGTATAAGTGCTGGTAAAATACGTTTCCCAATGCTTGGCATAGACTTCGTAGTCTTCCTTAGCCTTGGTGACACGATATGCTAGTTGCAACAACTCAATGTTATTGAGTTTCGGGTTGGTGTAATCAAGCGCTCTTGACAATTTAACTGAATTTGGTAATTTCAACTTAAATTCTTGTAGTAATCGGATGAAAGTGAGCCTGGCGCCGGAAACGCGATATAAAAGATTCGGTAAAGGTTGTTTAACAAATGGGGATGTGCATACGAGCTGTTTAGATAGCTTATTGAGTAAAAGGTCATAATCATTCACGTCTTCTAGGACGATCGGTGAAGGGATATCTTCCAAGCAGAAAGAGTTCGTTATTATTTGTGTGTCATTAAAAAATTGAATTGAGGAGTCGCTGCTCGAGAGACTCTCCGAGCTAGAAACTCGGGAAACAGACATGCTCTGTTGTTCACCTGTTTCAATGTCAGTGCCTTCTTCACTTTTTCCAGCTGTACTAGCGGGGCCAAAAGCTTCTGAAGATGACGATTTCACGTCAGGAGGTTTGAAGATTGTAGCATCAGCAAGATAGCTATACATATCCTGCTGTAATTGAACAAAGCTATCTCTTAACATGAAAATCTCGAGTTTCAGATGAGACGAAACCATTGACAGTAATTGTACAATTTCTTTGATACGGGATAGCACTTTTAAATTTCCTCCCCTCAAGATAACAGAACATCCTAGCTGTTCCAAACAACCATCGACAATTATGTACGACTTTCTTGTCTTTGAATGAGGATCCACCACAAAGCTCTTAATTTCAAATGTTTTGCAAGAACCCAAACGTGGTTGAAAAGCAAGTCTGTCGATAGATGGAATAATATCGGCACCGCAACGACGAGAGAGTTCAAACAGTACAGAATCTTTAATGCCATGAACAGCGACAACCCCTCTCTCCTTCAGATAGTCCAAAGCTAAACCCGGAATTAAGTCTCTGATGAAAAGCAAGTTTGCGCCAAGTGTGCAAATACGGTTTACCAAATTCAGCAGGTACTCCTGCTCCTGGTTTATAATAGAATCCAAAGACATTAATCGCTGTTCATCGCATTGATAGTCCAAACTGAAAGCTATGATAGCTATTTTGGGGTTACAGAGGCAATGTTCTGTCATCTTTAAAGTTGACTTTTTGGTGAAAACGTAACCTGAAATATAAGAAGTATCAGGTATAGAACCCCCTGGTATACGCTTAATTTTAACGTAATTACGAACATCAATATCATCACCAAACCGAATATCAGGATGAATGTTTTTTGCGACGTTGAGAATAATAGGACTCAAAGTCTTTTGCCATTGCAGCTGCTCTTCATAATTAAAGCCAGTAAGCAATTGCAAAAGCAAAGCATCGAGAAAGGGAGCAATAAACGTCTCATAATCATGCGAGATTGCTGCCCATGGAGTAACCCATGAAACACTTCGAGCAGATGTCGGTTCTTGAACCGGTGACGATTCGTTGCTTTCATCAGCTGGGACCGCATCGTCAGTAGAAGGCTCCGGCGGAACGCCCTGGAACCAGGCTTTGCAGTTATTAAAAACCTTTTTAATTTTACTGAACTGGTTGTTAAAGGTGTCCAAGGTAAAGTTGGAGGCAAGGTTACTATTATTGGTAGTGGCCGATCCTCCAGGATTCAGGTCAGCGGAAGAGCAGCCAGGATTGGATTGACTGGAGTCGCTGATACTTGAGGAATCAGAAAGTGAACTGTTCATTCCATCCTTGCCGTACAGACCAAAATACTGAGACGCTGACAAGCTTTTCAGATTGAACTCCGTAAGGGCAGGATGTTCTTCAGTAGAGTTTGCAAGCTTTGAAGACTCGCGTTTAGGAGATTCTAGCGGATTAATTGAGCTGTACAGGCCAGAGGAAGTTGCGTTGTATAAAGAATGGCCGGAACCTAAAGAATTAGAACTGTTACGCGCAGGAGATGGAGAATGTATTCTTGATGGTAGATTGGTGTCTGAGGCGTTTTTACCCCAGCCAACTGTAATAATTTGATGAGACCATCCAAAGGAAGGATCAGATATCTTCGTGGATGGAATGGCAAGCATAGGTGCTATATCTGGGGGCCGTGCATCCACTGGCATCTCAAATGAGCTAGCATTATCACTCGATGAGACCTTTTGTGCTAAAGCCGCACTTGTATTCTGGTCATTCTTCAAAGGTTTTTGATTAGAAGCTGTAGTAGGAGCTGTATTAACCTGAGAATAAATTTCCAGATTCTGTTCGGCCAGTCGAGCACAGGTGATACATGCACGGATAGACTTTGTCGTATTAAGCAATTTGCCAGACACTTGAATCGTGCATTTTGAACAAAAGATTTTTCCACAAATACGACAATGATGCCGTCTTCGGATCGCTGTGAATTCCGCCTCGCACAGGAAGCAAGATAGGGCACTCGAATCCTTCATCCAAAAGTTCTTGGAGTACGAGTTATCTCGTAGGCGGAGCAAGGATTGCGTAACTTGAAACGGAGAATGTGAGTATGCATTTCTTATTAATGATCCACTCAATCTTGAATTTCTAGCACTGCGCTTTCGTCGATGTCTGAAATGTCCTTGTGTAATTGAAGACTCTCGTTCCATGAAATGTCTAGATACAGTATATTTAGCAACAAGGCTGCGACGATAACGAATTAGTCGCAGTTGTGTGTTAGATTAAAATATGTAACAAAAAGAGCACGAAAACCCAACAAAATACTATACAATTCAATCAATTGATGGCAACAGCACATACGACAAGCATCATATGTGTTTTCGTAGAATTTGAACGATATAGTAATTTCGGCCAGAATGTTGGTTTTAAGAGTGCTTGAGTTAGTGAGTATAGTGAACATAAGGCTGCTAAGACATGGTGCAGTTTCTACTAAAAGAGACAGAATGCATTAAAATAAGACAAGAAAACTGATAATATCATCAACGGCGCGTGTTTAGTTATGTCTGCGTTGTTATTGCTGAAGAGGCAAATTTAACTTGAATTGTCAACACATGGTAATTTTTTATAAGTTCTATGGATACAAAACAAAAAACAAGAATAACACATCCGAACGTTCGCTTTCATCGACTCAGTACTGTGTATTTAATCCTGAAACCCAGTAAACAGATGATGATTATTTGTAGCTTAGATATAGGTCCGTTGTACTCAAAAAAAAAGGAAATTTTTAACTTGCGTAAAAGTGTAAGGATGGAGGAAGAATGTAGAGATCGTTGAACGTGTTATACTCATGAATGGCACTGTTTGTTGGTGCCGTTTTATAGCTAATGAGCAAATTCATCCTCCAGAGCTAACCGAGGTATGATGTTCATACTCATAAGTTCCTGGAACAGAAGCTTGGCTGCATAAGGAATAGTCATTTTAACAACGTGCTTGGAACTCTCACAACTGTTGCACCAACCCTTGTATCCAAGGAGACCACAGTTCTCGCAGACGTCGACCTCAAAAGCATCAGACGACAGCATAAGACGCTCAAGCAGCAATTGCGAGGCACCATATGCAATTAAACAATCACGTTCCATTTCACCCAAACGCAAACCACCGTCGCGGGAACGACCCTCAGTAGGTTGACGAGTAAGGACGGCACGCGGACCACGAGCACGAGCGTGCATTTTGTCCAGTACCATATGCTTCAGTTTTTGATAGTAAATAGGGCCAAAGAATATATAAGCTTCCAGTTGTTCACCCGTAATACCAGAAGTAAGCATATCCTTACCTGAGTAGTTGTAGCCGTGTTCAACGAGAATACGACTCATGTCTTCCACCCGACTGCCTCCAAAACAGGTACCGTACTCGAGAGTGCCTCTGAGGACGCCTGCCTTTCCAGATAGCAGTTCAATCATTTTTCCTACAGTCATTCGCGAGGGGAAACCGTGAGGATTCATAATGATATCAGGACAAATACCAATATCGTTGAATGGCATATCCTCCTGTTGAATGATAACACCACAAACACCCTTTTGACCATGTCGAGAAGAGAACTTGTCTCCCAGTTCAGGACGACGGGTCTGGCGAGTGAGTACTTTTACAAGTGTTTGGTCAGCGTCGCTGTTCGTAAGCATAACTTTATCAATGTATGCAGGCTCTGGCGCTTTGTATGTCATCGGAGTAGCACGGTATCCCGACTCTGTCGTCTGCGGCTGGCCCAACGCAATGGTATTGTCCAATGCATTAGTAGGGGTCTGCTTATTAATGTAGACTTGTCCTGATTGTACCTGGCAGCCGACACCGGCCAAACCGTCATCCTCAAGGATTTTGTGTTTCCAAATCACCTTCCCATTTTCTGGATCACGCTGTGGATCACCAATTCTATCGTGAGTGCCATTAGGATACTTGCGAATGATGGCAGAGTGTTTGTGGAACACTTGACAACGACCGAATCCACGATCGAGAGATGCCTTGTTCAAGACAAGTGCATCCTCAATATCATAACCCGAATAACTCATAATCGCAACCATGGCGTTTTGACCAGCAGGCAGCTTATCATAGCCGATAAGCTCGATTGTTTTTGTTTTTACCATAGGCTGTTGTGGGTAAACCATAAGATACAGAAGCGTGTCGATACGCTGTAGCTGGTTGTAACCAATTGCGCCAATAGCCTGTTTACCCATTGCACACTGGTATGTGTTTCTTGGAGATTGGTTGTGATGTGGATATGGAATGACACCTGCAACAGCACCAAGAATAGTGAAGGGTTCAATTTCAAGATGTGTTGTATCTGGAGCAATGTCTTTTTCGTAAACAGCGATAAGACTGTCGTTTTCCTCATTTACATCAACATACTCCACGTAGCCCGCTTTCAAAAAGTCTTCAAAAACCATTTCACCATTTTTTAATTTGCGGATATGCTCGTTTGTGACACGAGGCAATCCATTTTCGACAACAATAAGTGGACGACAAATACGACCACCGTCAGCCGAGATAAACACGGCCCTTTGGTGCTCGTTGATGAAGATACCAACGAACGGGGAAATGCGGCCACTGCGTCTCAAACGTCTGAAACAAGAAACAAAGCGGCTGGGATAACGGGTGATACCAAGGATGCTACCATTAATGTAGACCAGGTAGGAGTCCTGAGCCAAAATTTCCCTGCCCGTGACAGTGTGTACGTCTTCTACGCCGAAGGCATACGCCAGACGAATAAGCGGTCCTTCTTCTTCGTCGGTTGTGATATGAGTCATAAGGGCAAGATTCTTCACCAAACCGCAAGCTTCACCCTCAGGCGTATCGGACGTACACAACATACCGAATTGGGACGGTTGCAGAGAACGAGGACCCGAAACCTTTCTCGTCTTCTCGAACTGACTTGTGATACGTGTCATCATACCAAGGGCACTAATGAAACTCAAACGAGACAGGACGTGAGTGACACCGGCACGTTCCATTTTGAAACGCTTCAGTGACCAATTACCTGTTGACAAGGCTCTCACCATGCCCTGCGTAATGTGGTCACCGTGCATAGAGAGTTGGTTGTATGCGTCAAACTCCTGCGTGCGGTTAGGCTTCTTCAACACTTTGTCGATGTTCAGCTTCAAGTCAGAGTTGAACTTTTTGAACAAATCTTCAAATAACAAGGCCAGCAACTGGCCGGCTAGTTCGAGACGTTTGTTACCAACATAATCACGATCGTCCACCTGTGAGGGATCCACCATGGCCATAAGGACACGACGAGCCATCATGGCCACATAAACAGCCTTCGGGCGGAAGTCCAAGTTCACGACGCTGATATGTGCAAGCACCACGGCAGCCAAGACTTCGAGAGCCTCTTCATGTGGAGGCAAACGAGCGGCGCCAGCACGGCGGTTTACCTTTACGTGCGAACCGATGTAGTTTAAGGCCTGCTCAGTAGTGTACACATTCAGTTTCGCAGCTTCTTCAACACTAGGTGCGAATAGATCCTGGTAGTTGGCCTCTGAGCCGGCAACTAACTCGAAGATTTCGCGATCTGATTGCAGACCCATTGCCTTCAAAGCGATGACGATGGGAATGTCCTCGTTCACACTGTTGTGCTTCATGTATAGCCGGCCGTTCTTCGTGACCACGTATGTCTTGGATTTTCGTTCGTGTGTCGAAGAGGTCACGGACGCCTGCCACATCTCCTTGCTGGGCTCTGCTTCCACGATAATACGATTTTTTGAGAGTTGTTCCTGGACCAAAATGACCTTCTCCGTTCCCTTCACAACGAAATATCCACCAGGGTCCAAAGGACATTCGTTGAGAGCAGCCAGCTCCTTCTCACTTTTGCCGTACAGAACACACTTGTTGCTTCGAAGCATGACAGGCATTCTACCGATAGGCACATTCCGCCGCCGAACCACCTGACGGCCTCTTGTGTATTCGATGTCCACGAAGATGTTCGCACCGTACGTTAGGTCACGGAGTCGACACTCATGTGGTGAAATAGAGTGTTGTATGGCGTCGAGGTCAGTACGTACAGGCTGACCCACACGAATATCCAGGTATTTCAAATAGAACCAAGGCTCGACATCTGAGGTGATTTTTTGGTTTGCTTCGACAATTTTCTTCAAGTCCACATCCACGAAATAATTGTACGAATCTAAATGTTGTTTAACGAGACCTTTGACTTTTAAAAACGCTGGCAAAAGCTCCCACTTGTCTTCAATTGTAGGGACGGGGTCCGTCAACTTTTTTCCTTTATAAACCGGGTTCAACAGGGCGGTAAAACTAGCATCTTTCTCCGTGGATCCATTCGGTCGACCGTCTGTCCCCTCTGCCAGCTTGGCCATGTTGAATTGCACGTTGCTGTTGTTTCTAGGTGAAGTCGTTGAAGAGCAGTGTTCGTGGTGGGACGCGATAGAGAGGTGGAGCGAGGGACAGCGAGGAGGGGGTACGTGGGGGAGAAGGGAGGAGAAGGAGGAGGAGGAGGAGAGGGAGTAAAAGCAGTAGGTAAGGAATTGAAGGTGAAGGTGAAGAGCAAGAAGAGAGCAGCAAGCGATGCATGGGCTTTGGACGTAACCAGCGTGACAGTACCAACGAAGTGGAATAAAAACAAAACAGTACAATACAAGATAAAACAAAACAAAACAGCACAGAGGACAGTGACAAGCGAATGTGCTTCACACACATCCTACACACGCAGAAACATTTCCCTCCTCATACACACTTCCCCTCCTTCCTCCCTTCATTATCTTTTCAGCCATTTCTTATTAAACAGTGTGTCATCGAAAAAGTCTAGTCCAAAGAAATACCAGCGTACTCATCGTAGCCGCAAGTAAGGTTCATGTTTTGAAGGGCTTGGGTAGCAGCACCCTTAAGCAGGTTATCAATTGTAACGTTGATTACAGCACGCTTCGAAGAGGAATGTACACCGAAACCACCAATAGAAACAAAGTTTTTAGTAGAGTTGTCCTTCACCAGAGGAATGTCTCCTTGAACGTGAATGAGCGCCTCACCCTCGTAGCGCTCCTGGTAAAGGTTGCGAAGCTCGCGAGAAGTGATGGACTTGTTGAGAGGAACGTTAATGGTCAGACTAATGCCTTGGAACCATTGGGCGACATGAGGAATGAAGGAAACTTGGTGACCAAGATGGTAAGAAATTTCACGCTCGTGAATATGGTCTGTAAGAGAGTAGGGAATTAAGTTGTTCGTTAAAACATTCAAGTCATTCTTGGGAGAAGGCTTCGTTCCAGCTCCGGAGTAGCCAGAAACACCAAATATGGTGGGTTCACCACCGAGCAAGTCGAGAACGGGAGCCAATCCGAGTTGGGAGCCCGTAGCGTAGCAACCAGGGTTGGAAATACGCTTCGACTTGCGGATGGCAAGACGATCGCCAAGTTCGGGAAGCCCATAGGTCCAGCTGTCGTCGAAACGGAAGTCGGCACTCAGATCAACGATGACACTCTTGCCATTGGCAGAGGAAATAGCCTCCACAAAAGGCTTGCAAACACCGTTGGGCAAGGCCATGAGCCAGGCATCAACCTCGCCGGCCTTTTCCATGCGTTTCACATCGTCGGCGGACAGATTGACGTAGCGGACGTCCTTCTTGGTGTAGCCGGGCAACTTGGTGCCCTCCAACTCTCGCGAAGAGACATGCGACAGCTCAAAGTAGGGGTGTGTGTTAATCAAGCTGATGATGTTCTTGCCTGTGAAACCACGTGCACCAATCAATGCAACTTTAGAAATGTTTTTGTTGGTACCAGGACCAGCATTGCTGGCGTAGGAACGGACGCCAAATTGACGAGAAAGAGCAGCGGCGCGATGGGCGACAGTACGACCAGACATTGTGGAGAATGTGCGCTTAGTTGCGGGACTTGAACGAGGTGCAGAGGTAGAAGACTTGTTGTTGCTTACACCATACGTAACGCCACTATCAGCACCAGCAGAGTTTATCGCTTGCTGGACATCGGGGAGATCGATACCGTACCAGAAGTAGTAGCGGCCGTTGCGATAGAGTGTGCCTTCGCTTTTGCCGAAGAACCACTCAAGGTTCTTGACTGAAGGCTCAAGGCACCAAATGAGCGATTTGTGCTCCGACTTGAGGGTGGCCGATAAGCTATCAACAACGTTGTTCAGCCAGCTGCGATCGGTAGCACCGAACACACGGAGGAAGGCAAACTTGGGATTGGAAACGTCAACGACGACAAGGAGCTCGTGCTCGCTGTCGGAATACACCTTGACCTTCGAGGAAGCAATGTCCTTCTTGAACTGCTCCAAGGAGGAAGGCTTCGCCATAGAATTGTCCTCAAAGACTAGCTTCTTTAATGCGGCATCAGGAATGCCGTCAATGTTGTCGCTAACAGAGACATCGAAGCCGCGGCTAATCATGGTACCGGCTCCAGACTCTGTAAAGAGCTCCTTTTGTAAATCCTTTGTGTTAATGATGGCAACCGACGAGGTGCGGGGCAGGGTGTAGAGCAATTCCTTGATCTCTTTAATTTTAAGTTTTGTTCCGTATTTGACCCAGGGCTCCTTAATTAGCGAATCATACTCCTTGTCCAGGTAAATAGTGCTGATTTTTTTACCGGTAACGCCATGGTAAAGGCCACCCTTTTCGTTCAAGTACACGATTTTCAAGGGTTTAAGCACACGGGCCAATTCACCGGCGGCAATGTCGGCGTTGACGTTAAGGAGTTGACCGGACGGGCTTTCCGCCATGGATGTGAGAATAGGCAGCGTGCCAGCACGAATGCTCTGCTCAATCGGGGCCTTGTTCACCTCAAAAATTTTGCCAACATACTGATACTTTTCGCGGTCGAGGTAGTCTGCTTTGAACACACCGCCTGTGATGGGCCGAGCGCGGGTGCCCAAACGTTCGAGAGCCTCAACTAGTTTAGCATTTTCCTCCAAAAACACTTGACGAGCAACCGAAAGTGTCTGAGCATCAGTAATGCGGATTCCGTCAATGTAGTCAGGCTCAACACCTTTGGCCGTCAAGATACGGTTCAATTGTGGACCGGCTCCGTGAACCACAATGGGATACAGACCCACATGGTTCAAAAAGGCCAGACTGCGAGAAAGTGTGTCAATCTCGTCTGAGATAATCGCTCCACCGACCTTGATAATAGCAAATCTCTGCAATTCGAGAGACGTGAAGTAGCGTAAATACTGCTCAACCTCGCGACGACTGCCAATAGAAGAAAGAATCCGCACTAAGACGTCCCGTTCCTGGTCATTAATAGCTGGAGAGGCGAAGGATTTTGTAGAGAATGAGTGTTTTTGGCAGGCAATTGTGCGTGTAACATTGCGTGTCAACGCACGCTTGGCCAGGCGGATGCTGGCAACTTTATTTATACGAGACAGCATCATCACGCTTTGCTTTTAGGATGCAATAATCTCGCTGATGATTGTCGAAAGAAAGAAAGAAAGAAGAAGGAATGTGAGAGAGAAAGAGAGAAATGACAATCTGTCGTTTGCGGGGACAAAGCGATTGCTTTTAAGTAACGTCACGCAGATTCCCCATCCTCAGTATGTGCTGCTCGCTTCTAGCCCTTAGCCGTCTAGGCCAATCTTTGTCCCTTGATGCGAATCTCACAATACCAGGCCATGATACGGTGATACGGCGACCGAGCGATATCTAGCGCAAGGCCACATTGTTACACGAATTGACAACAAAGCGCGTATCAGCAGCTGCAGGTTAGCTGTAGTGACAACAAGCGTAGCGGCGAAAATGGCCTCCACAGCACCTCAACTACCGCCGGTAGATGGTATAGTAAACATCAGCATCGTGAACTCCGCACCACCGGCGATAGCAAAAAGATTGCCCAGGAATCGTTTCGAGCATTACTTTCACAAAGTGTTGAGGTATGTTGTTGTCGTTGTTTGTCGCTCAGAGGTGCAGCAGAGTGTGTGTTTTTTAAGCTCAAGCTTTTGAACGCGCGCGATTCGCAACCAAGTTATAAATAGATACATCGATCAATAAAGTTTCTTGAACGCGAAAAGACCTGTCAGTAATGACGAATGACGAGTGCTTGGAAACGTGCGGGATACCTTGCCATTCTGACGGCTTCTGTACATGCAACGATATTTGCACGACATAATCACACAGCGGTCGACATTGTCCACGGCCCTATTCTCGTTTAGCAGCTTGGTGGAATTCCCACAACCGAATGCAGCGTAAGCGAGGAGAAGTTCATGCGCAAGATGACATCAGCTGCTAGGAGATTGATTGCTTTGGTATTGGCTGAATAGCGGCGATCCACCACCACCACCCAGCGTCTGAGCGATAAGCAGTTTCGGCGGGCCGACACGGTTGGGATGATGTACGGAGGCAGTGTGTCAAACAAGTCAGAGAATTGTCATCGCATCACTGCATTTGTAGATTGATTGTGAAGTGACGTCTTTCATCAACGACGAAAACGAGCTGTTAACCGTCAAATCAATGCTTGAGATGCGATAACAGAGCCCCCCCTTCAGGGAAAACGAAACCTTGTTTGAGATGATCCTCTTGCAACACAGCATCCAGCCGTGCTATCTCACAAGTTTCGCTAAACCACTTCAAGGAAGGAACCAACAGCTGGGGTTATCGATCAGTCCATCACGTTTTGTCCATCCAGTCTGACTCCGAGACAAAAGCTTTATTAGTTCGTGTTTGAACGCATTGAACAGCATTATCCATCGTCTTGGTTTTCTTTGTCTCATAAAGAAGGTAAGCTAGAAGGGGACGACGGGTGGGAGGACGAAAGATCGAAAGAGCACCCAGTATTCAAAGTCGTCAGTTGCTAACAAAGAAAACAGAATCCTTTCCTTTCGCTCGTTCGTCTGCCAACACTTCAATTGTTCATTGCATAGATATCATAAAACACAATTCGCAACATGTCAGTCGTCAAACAAATTCCTCGTCACTTTCTCTCCATCCGTGATATCACCCGGGAAGAGTTGCTTCGTCTCGTTGAGCGCTCTGCTGAAATCAAAACTGCATATAAGGCAAACTATGCAGCTCGGAAACCAGTCGCGCTGAGTGGCCTTGAAGGACAAAATGTTGCCATGCTTTTCTCCAAACGAAGCACACGTACTCGTATCAGTGTAGAATCCGCTACTACTTGTCTGGGCGGTAATTCGCTGTTTTTGGGCAAGGACGACATCCAATTAGGTGTCAATGAGTGTATGTACGACACTGCTCGAGTCATTTCTAGCATGACTTCGGGTATCGTTGCTCGTGTAAACTCGTACAACGATGTAGCAACACTCGCAAAACATTCCAGCACGCCCGTCATTAACGGTCTTTGTGACACCTTCCATCCCCTGCAGGCATTGGCCGACCTTCTTACTATCAAGGAAACATTTGGTACCTTTGACAATCTGAAGGTTGCATGGGTCGGTGATGTCAACAACGTTCTTCACGACATGCTCATTGCTTGTGCCAAGCTCGGCATTGGTGCCGCTGTTGCCAAGCCGAAAGATGTCTCCATTCGGACAGACATTCTCGCCCTCATCAAGGAGGCTGCAAAGGAGAAAAATACAAAGATTGAGTTTAAGGATGACCCCAAGGAGGCCGTCAAGAATGCCGATATCGTTGTTACCGACACCTGGGTCTCCATGGGTCAAGAAGCCGAAAAGGAACAACGTCTCAAACAATTCGCTGGCTATCAAGTCACCGAACAGATCATGGAGCTTGCTAACAAATCTGGCAAATTTATGCACTGCATGCCTCGTCATCCTGAAGAGGTCACCGACGAGGTCTTCTATGGTCCACGGAGTCTTGTATTCCAAGAGGCCGAGAACCGCAAGTGGACTACGATTGCCGCTTTAGAAGCATTCTTTGTGAACCGCGGCAACATCCTTTAAAAATATGAGGCCAGTTTCGGCCACATAAAAAATGAAAGTGTTAACAAAAAGGAGTCGTTTCGACGCAATTTAATGAGTTAATCATTCGCCAGGTTTTATGAGGAAAAATGTTTCTTGACAATTCGAGGTACACAATTCAGCTGTTCATCGTTCATTCAGTCATTAGATGTTTCAAAAGAAATAATGAGAACCGTTCAATGTTTAAATAAGAAGTCAAATATGTATTTCCAGCGATTCCATTCATTAAAAAACATAAAGCAAAACGTAATAAACGCGAATAGGCGATCACATTACTTCACAAAGGAGTCGCATGCCAAAGGATGTGGCTGCAGCTTCTTACAAAGACTTGGTGAGACGGTCGCGAGCTTCATGATAAGCAGCAAGGTCTCGCTCAAACGCCTTCGTATACGGGGCCTTCTCGCTTTGGCTCATGGACCGCCAAATCTTACCAGCTTCGTAAGCCATATCCGTAACGTTGTCGGTGCTCATCAAGTCGTACTGATCACGCACAGATTGGTTGTCCTTTAAATCTTTGTAGAACCGAATGAAGGCTCCAACGGGACGCTTAGGATAGCCAGGAATGCGTAGCTTTGGAAGGGAACGACTAGAAACCTTTTTCTCAGCGCGAATGCTATGACGTACGGTGTTTTCGCGCTTGATGTCTTCCAAAGAAGCGTTTTCGAGGGCTCGGTTGAGTTCGTACTGCTTACGCGCGTTAATTCTGTTGGCTTCCTCAGTCAATCTCTGTGAAAGTGTTAGTAAAACACGAAATAAATACAAACAGCCCGTTCAGACATACGCTCTTTTCAACACTTGACAAATTTCTGTATTCCTCCGACAAGGCGGCGACCCATTGCTGAAGGTTTCCTTCTGGTCTTTCCCTTTTGACGAACAAAGTCCAAGCATTTACTCTGCTAGGAGTGCCGAACTTCAGACCAGCGACAGAGCGAAAGAGCACGTTGGCAGCGCTGAATGGGCGCTTGAACACGAGTGTATTTAACAGCATTGGGGAGTTGGTAAAGGGGAAGAGAATAGTCACTGGATGCGTAATAAGATTTCATCATACGTCACAAAGAACGTCGCATAACTAATACAAATATACACAAGTAATAGTTAGAGACACTATTTTGAACTACATGAACCATGTGAATGTATATATTGGAACATATATTATTAGCAAGGCATCCAAGTAACAAGGGTCCCTCTGATTTCCTGTCGCTGTCTGCTGCTGTGCGCAATCGTAGCGGTGTTAGTAGTTACACTATAAACCCACTATACTTTAGCTAGCGACATTACACATGTAGATGGACTTGTTTACAACTAAATTATATACAAAGTAGTTAGTAGAAGAGTGTGATTTGACGAACACGTGTTCACTTTATTTGCAATAAGCTTCGTTCTTTTAGTCGGCTGCAACCTGATTGCTAGGAGGGAATGCTAAGCAACCATTAAGACACAAGGAGGATGGAGGGAGCGACCGTCTGAAACAAATTTGCCGACATTCGCTTCGACGATAACGGAGAGGTTACAACAGTGGTTCGCGTATTCCAAATTACAGGCCTAGATCGTTTATGCATATATTGGTGGGATACGTTGTAACGGAATAGAAGTCATATACAGCAGAGGAGAAAACACATCCTTCCGAACATTCAGAGACGCAGAAGACGTAGTTCACAGTAACTGAAGACCATTCACGCAAACAGAAACACGAACAATCTGGAACAAACGAAACGGAAGAAAACCCGGAGTTCCATTTAAACGGAGTAAGAAGACGAACGAAAAACAGATCCAGCTATTTCACCATGAGTACCATCGCAAAAAAGGAGCGCAAAACAGACGTTATTATCGTTGCTGGACCGGCCGCCTGTGGAAAAACGACGATTGCTGACTACTTGTCCAAATCATTGGGATTCACATACATCGAGGGAGACGATTTACATCCCCAAGCAAACATTGACAAAATGGCACAAGGACACGCACTGACGGATGAAGACAGATGGGGCTGGTTGGAAAAGATCGGAATAGTGACCGCAAGAACGGCAAGCAGCGAGGACGTTCACGGGATCGTTGTCACTTGCTCGGCTTTGAAACGCAAATACAGAGACCGTCTCCGTTCCGAATTGGCCAACAAAAACATAGTTCTGTGGTTCGTTTTTCTCCACGCCAGCAAGGAAACACTGACGAAGCGCATTAAGGCTCGTGTAGGCCATTTTATGAAAGCCGAAATGATTACTAGTCAGCTCAACACACTCGAGCCTCCCAACGACAGCGAACCAGACGCATGCACCATCAACGTGGAAGGTACAATGACGCAGGCCCAGCATGATTGCCTTGCTCAAGTCCAAAAGTTGCTCGACAAGGAGAATCAAGAGTGAAGAGACGTGCGTCTGGTCGTTTGTGAGAATATGAAAGGGAAAAGTTGTGATAAAAGACAGAAAGAGAGAAGAAACGAATAGAGTGATTCTTGTAAGCGTTGAGGGAATTGACGGAGTTGACGGTGGTTTCACGCCGGACGAGGTTTGATCAATTGAGTCATTAGCGTATGGACGTTTGTTTGGGCATTATAATTCATCATCTTTCGTCGGTTACTTCGCTCTCTGGGCTCGCTTCAGGTTCCTCTGCTTTTGTTGCGGTAGGGGAAGGCTCGTGTCGACGCCAAAACGTAATTTCTGACTGCTTAAAATAACGGCGCTGATCCTCGTCAACAAGAATCAGGCTGAGATAGTAGCGGACACTCAGCTTCTTATTCACGTCGCGGAAGGTGGGCGTCAAAGGGTACCCATTGAGGAAGATTCGAAGCGGGATGGTTTCACCCCGGTTAGGATTGCCATCCATGATTTCGTAGCGGGTGACAATCTCGCTGTCGCTGAACTGGTTTGGAGCTGTGCCTATAGTCTCTCGTCGAATAATGTTTACCTCCATTCGCTGGATCTTGATGCGTACAAGCATGAAGTAAATCTTTCCGATGATCACATCCTTCAGATGGTACTTGTTCTTCATGTACTGGAACTCAATGTGCAAGCAGTCCTCGATACCCACGTCCATCTTAATGTCTGTATTCGTCTCCGGTGGGTTCTCGTACTTGTACACCCACAGATCCTTTTCTCGAAGGACGTCTGACATTTTCCGAGACACAGTTACTCTGCAAAAGTAGCGGAGACGGACGTTTCGGCCCTTGTACGATTCATAAGGCTTGTCAACGTGTCGAAACTCAAAGTCAAGCATCTGGGCTTGTTTCATTTCGCCGGGAGCAGCCAATTCTTGGACACTTCGAGTGAATTCATAGGCATTGCTTTTATCGTAACTGCTCTCAATACAGCCAATAAACTCGATCTTAATACCATTATGTTCAACTTTTCTGCCGTCCTTTAAACGGATTAAGACCTGATTCACACTCACGTTAGCAAACACCTATTAAAGCTACGACTGTTTATTCTATGACTGTACGTACAGTTCCCTTAACCGTTTCGTCATTGTTGTAAATAGGCGCCTTCTCTTTACGGCCATTGCCAAGTTCAAAGTCTACGGTTGGGCGTTCATCCTCATTTGCGAGGTAAATGTCAACGTCGATTGGACTCTTAAACAGATACGACATCGCCAGGTTGCAAGTGCTGCGTAGATGCCAGACTCATGCAGCTGTCACTGAGACGGGACTCGCACTAAAGCTCCGTGGCTTTCGTTATTCCGATTAGTGTGTTAGTACGTAGTTTTTTAAATGGATTACCACGTTCGTTACATGTTGGTATATGGTTTTACGAAAATCACTAAGCTTCGGTAAACCCGATTTGCTCCACCAAAATCATCGCGGAGCGGGGAGCATCAAGACAGAATTCGCAGTAAACAGAAGAGCATTACTGTTGTACACGATACCTTTATACCAATCAGGTACGACGAAGGCCGTATGCTCTGTATACGGTGAACTTACAAATGTTCAGAAATTCGTTGGGATTGCTTCTCAATTCCAAACCCGCTAGCTACTGAACAGTATCTAACGACCTTTAGGTCCCTCGTATTTATTACGTGCTATTTCACCGGTACCCACCAAGTCAGCCAGCTGGTTCTGCTCTCTCGTCGTCTTGGGTACTTCCACCATATTCTTCTTTCTAATACATAATAATCCTCAAGGTTTCTGCGTTGATCGTTGGAACAATGGCACCTCCTCTTTCGCTGTATGTGTCACTCGATCGACTCCATTGTTTGATGTTCGCTTTCATCTAACGCGTTCATTAGTATCGCTGCCCTAGGTGTAAATGCATTCGTGTTACTCCAGTTGACTCGCTTGTTTGAGACTACATACGCTATTCGGCCTTTGCTGACGCTTGGTTTGCTCAATGCATCTCTAGCAGCTTTTTCCGACATCATCGCTCAGGCCATTGACATGTACAAATCGCAGAAACTGAAGGACGGTGCTCTTATGGAAAAGTATGGACAATCCTCGTTCACCACATCCAGCCGTCCGCAATCACTGGATGGAATGCGACTTGTCCGTCTGGCGTTCTATGGTCTAGCATACACCCCTGTTCAGGTGACATGGTTTGCAAAGCTTAGCACTTGGTTTCCCGATAGTGCAGGTAAAATGGCGTCTGTGTGCCGAGTGCTGATGGACCAGGCCTTGTTCGCCCCAATCGGTATCTTTGTTTTTCTTTCCTACATGAGTCTTGTCGAGTGCCGTCCGCTGTCGCAACTTCGTTCTGTTCTACGCAAGCAATACGTCTCCATCCTCAAAGCCAACTATCTTCTCTGGCCAGTGGCACAGTTGGTAAACTTCTGTTTCATCCCGCTCAAATACCAGGTTCTGTTCGTGAACATGATTGCCGTTTTCTGGACCACATTCCTTAGTCTCAAGAACAACACCCGACACTGAAAGACGATCATTCGACCATCGTACACGCGGAAGAAACGGGACTCGGAGAATCCATCTAACGCAATTATTATTCTTATTTATCTCTACGTAACGTCTTTCTTCCTCTCGTAAATTCACATTCCTCTCTGTTATGTTTCACAATTCCAGGCCTCCCTACGTCATTTTTCGCTAAGATTTGCGCTTAAATTATCTAGACGAAGTTTTTTATACTCTAGGCTGGCGGGCAGGGACGTACGGTCTGCCAACCAGCGAGTAAGTCGATACAATGATTTCTGCACGTAAGAGACGCGAAGTTTCGTAGATACATATGACTGACCGAGTGCAGTGTTCCCGTCCTGTACCTTATTGAAGCGCTTATTGCTGCTTGTGGGCGTTACAAGCACACTTATGTTCTTGGGCTCCCTGGCTCGTTGCATTTATAACTGCACCGCTGCTAAAGGAAAAAGTGTATGTCGTGTATCATGAGTGGACGACTAGTCTCTGTTTTTTATGAACGCGTTTCTAACGTGTTTTTCGGTATAGTTGACCGTCTACGGTGCGAAGAAAAATGCTTGGGCAGTGGTAACGGGTGCCACGGACGGTATTGGCAAGGAATACGCCTTACAACTTGCCAAGGCTGGCTTCAACATCGTGATTGTTAGTCGTAATCCCGAAAAATTGAGCCGTGTTGCTCAGGAAATCACGGAGGCCTATCGTGTTGAGGTCCAAACATATGTGATCGACTACAAAATTGCTACGGCTGCCACTTTCCAAAAGCTTGCTGAGTTCCTGAAGCCATTCCAGGTGACCGTACTCGTAAACAACGTCGGGTTGTCTCACAACATGCCTGTGAGTTTCAGTGAAACCACCGAACAAGAGATGGATGACATTATGCAAATCAACTGTTTTGGCACACTTCATACCACTAAGGCCGTCCTTCCTAGCATGTTGGAACAACGTCGTAGCAACAAGAATGGACCTCGCTGCCTCATTTTGACTATGGGTTCTTTCGCTGGTCTGCTTCCCTCGCCTTATCTGTCTACGTACGCTGGTTCTAAGGCTTTCTTGGCCAACTGGTCTGCTTCCCTGGCCGAAGAGGTCAAGAAGGAGGGCATTGATGTTTGGTGCTACCAATCTTATCTTGTCTGCTCTGCCATGTCCAAGGTCCGTCGCCCTACTGCTACTATTCCCACTCCCAAGAACTTTGTCCGCGAGGCACTGGGCAGCATTGGCGTCCAACGCGGTGGTAACCAGCCCTACATCAGTCAGCCATTCCCCTCTCATGCCGCTCTCAGCTGGGTTCTCGAACAAGCTGCCAGTCGTGTGAAAGGTTTCGTCGTTGCTCAAGTCGCTGCTATGCACTTGAGCATTCGTTCCCGTGCCCTTCGCAAGCAGGCTCGCGAGCAACAGAAGGCCAAGGAGACCGCTGCTTCTGCTTAAGACGATGAGAATACTAGTAACAGACGTCTCATGAATGTACTTGCCAACTAATGCATAGACTTATATACAAAGTACAGAATTTCTCCACTTCTCTCAAACGCGCGAATAAAGACACGACAATACGCACACACACACGCACACCCTGATTCCACACAAAATACACACCAGCTCATGCTTTCACCATCGACTCGATCGTTTATTTTATCTACTCAAGCTCGACGATGTTGCCGCGCTCAGAGACGTAGATACCGTCCAAGAACTTACGAATATCCTTGTTGCGGACGTTGCAAGCTTGCTTGATGCTGGCGGCGGATTGGGAAACGTTCTCCAAGGAGTTGCCCTCGAGGACAAGCTCATCCTTAACGGCTTGGGACAAGGAAACGGTGACACCGGGCAAACACTTGATCACACGAGTGATACGCTCACCCAAGAAGTTACGGATCTCAACAACAGTGTTGTTCTCAGTCAAGTTGATGTTGATGGGGAAATGTGCATACACAAGACGCATCTTGTAGCGGTAACCCTGGGTGACACCAATGATCATGTTGTTGACGATGGAACGGACGGTACGGAGGCAAGCGTTGTGCTTACGGGAACCGTGCCAGACAATGAACTTCAACACATTGCCCTGCTTCTTGACCTCGGAGTCGACATGGCGCAAGTTCTTGGTCAAAGTACCGCGAGGACCAGTGACAGTAACAATACGGGCCTTGATTTCGACGGTAACGCCTTCGGGAATAGGCAGAGTCTCGTCCTTGTAAATATCACGTCCCATCCTGTAGAGAGTTGGTGGTTTGCACAGCTCGTGATGCGAGACGTTCGACCTACAGAAAGTGTGACTGTTTTTCGTAAATTTTAGGTTAGGGTTTTTTGTGGTGGTGAACTTGTCCTGATTCGGCAGGGAGGCCTTCGGAGCGTATCATTTTGGGCGATGGGGGAGGGGCGCGGAATAGTAGACGTCAGCGGTTCATCAGAGGCTCGCTTAATCGCAACCCCGCAAAGCTTAAGCGCGATAATACTGTTGTTGAACATCAATAAAACGCTGGCCTCGTTCAATGGCGATGTGTTCCGGGAGACGTTGCTGCTGCAGCGCTTCGAAAACGGCCTTGGCAACGTTCATCCTGTTTCGTGAGCCAATAACTTTGGCGCTGATGTCTGAAATTCCAGCACAATTGCAGATTTCGTGGACCACGGCACTGCAACGGAGACCAAAACCTATGTGAGAGAGATGGTTAGTAGGAGGAGAAAAAAAGGATGAGAAGCTTGTGGATGTTAAATGAAACAACGGACTCGAAAGATATGTTGATTGTCAATTTAACACCGTGTTCCATTTGTTGGCATATCGTACCTGGTGGCCGGGAACGCATGGTAAGATGAACGGCGTGAAATTTTGTCCGAATGACGCCGTATACAGTTCGATCCTGGTACCGCGGAACAAAGATCATGTTACGAAGGGCCTTCATAGAGGCCTTTTTGTACGCAATTGCTGTTGTTGCACCTTTTCCCTCGCCGTATCCAACAAGACCATTACGGTCACCAACAGCAGCCATAGAGTACATGCTAACGATCTTGCCCTTGCGAGTTTGATTCACGACCCGACGAGAAACGAGCGGTACGAACACAAGCTTTCGAAGTACCTCTTCGGGCACGACAGACGTCCGACGCATGTATTCCGCAAACCCCAAACGCTCCATTGTAGTTGGGGGTTTGTCCATATCCTCAATGTCCGGAGGAAGCCTGGCCTGATGAGTGAATTTTGGGTTCTTTAGTGCATTTTGGACAGCAGGAGATGATGTGTTGAGATGGGGATAGTCATGAAGTTCATCGTAATTGTTGAGCTTCGAAACATATGAGAGATGGAGTTTTGTATTTCGAGCCAACTTGGCGTTTTGAATGTGCTGCTTCACTAGCGGATTTGTCAACAAAAAAGACTCCAGCTCGTCTATATTCGAGTCAGCATTCTTGGTATCTGTTTCTGGAGTTTTTCTTGGTGTTTGTTGGTTGGATATGTTTGCAGGAATGGATGAGTGAAAGGAGAGGCGATTAACAGTTATAAACCGTTTTTTCAACGAAGAAAAGCATGTCCGGGCAGCAGTCTTTGCTGGCTCAAAAAACTGTCGTAGCATAGGGCAGGAAACGAGCTGATTTGCTCTTACGTTGTGGAAGCAGGTCCACGAGGAAGAACAGAGGAGAGAGTATGGACAGTACTTTGATGATCGTCGGACGAAATGGAACGTACAGGGAACGCACTCAAAGGGAAAGGGAAAAACTTACAAACGGAGTTTACGAGCAAAGGATTGTTAGGAGGAAGAAGATAAATTAATTAAAAATAATTATAAAACCAAAAAAAAAAAAAAATTAATTGAATTCACAAAAAATACAAAAAATATTAAAAAAAAAAAAAAAAAAAAAAAAAAAAAGAGAGAAAAATATTTCATTCCAAAGGAATCGGATTTCGTAACTTATCAACACCCCAGTACTACATACTGTTTACTGCAAATTCTTTGATCACGGCTGCAATCCTGTGTAATCGTTGTTGTTGGTGTTATAACGCGCGACGCGTCAATCGCCCTACAACCTTAATTCGCTCTCTTTGTTGACGTCACTTATAGCTTAATAGATTTCCGAATGATTTCTGAATCCTGCCAAGAACCAACAACCTCTTTCTCTCACTGTCCCCTCACCATTTGGCAAAACAGGTGAGCACAGATTGATTGAATTGACCTGTACGAGGACTTTTGCTTCCTCTTGTATGTGAAAGGCGTCTGGGATTTTTCAGCGTTTCTTCTTCTTTATAAGTTAAGTTACATGCCCTATGTTCATAACGAAGAATCCAATGCTTCACTAACACCTCCCGTTTGGAAAGCCCATACTCAGAATCGCTGATCGCATGTATCACTGGCGTTCGGTGCGACAGGTAAAGTTCTTCTTCCCCACGAGACGATGGTTTGCACAGGCAAGTTTGCACGGTCGACACGATTTGGGAGCCTTGTCGCCATATGAAGTACTTGGACTGCCGAAAACATGCTCGAAGTCGGACATCCGGAAACGGTATACCGAATTGGTAAAGAAATACCACCCTGACTTGAGCGCCGACAAAAATGAAATCAGCCAAGAAGACCGTAATCGTGTCTTTCAGCTCATTGTTTCTGCCAATCGACTATTGTCAAACGAACGTTCGCGTCGTGCATACGAGACTCTTGGAATTGGATGGGAAAACAGCCCCGAACCATCACCGTCTACAACGTCGCAAAGTAGGAGACGTACGACAAGACCCAATCGACCGCGGTATAGCGGAACAGCCGCATGGCAAGACTACTATTACAATTCACAGCAGTACTACGACGAATGTGAGCGCACCGGCAAGGACACTGCTGGTCCGGAGGATGAAGGGATTTTGGCTATTTTGTGTATCTTCGGCGTTTTGACGGCAGCGCTCTACGCCGGGAATTGGTACACTGCCCGCGAGCATCTTCATGCCAAACGTGCAAGGGAGCAAGCGATTATGGCGGAAGACGCGCAACTTCGCGGTGAAATGGCTCGTAAGCTCACGCGACAGCAACAAGTCGATTTGTTTTTGAAACGTCGCGAACACAGCCTTTCAAAAAGGCTCACTCCTCCCAAATCTTCCTCGGCTCCGACGACATCTGCAACAAAGAAGGAGTAACGCCCATGCTAGAGGTACCGGACTCCCTCGACTAAAATTGTTTGATGCGTATTTATTATGAATGCGTACTGGAAATGAACGAACAGCAAAGAGGAATAATTGCAACAAAAAAGCATAAACAACAAGAAACAACGAGACAACAAGAAAAGGCACACGACCGTTAAAGCATGCAATATGCGCGTCATGCGCACAGGGTCGTGATACCACTTGAATTAGACGTCCCGCAACTTGTGAGCGACAGTTTCATACACGTAAAACGTGATAGCGTTCACCGGTGCAGCACGAGCAAGCACAGGAACGAAGCCGCGCCAGAAACCGGAAAAGCCAGCGGTTCTAAAAATGCTTTGAGCACACTTCCATGACGTCGAATACTTGGCGCCAGAACCAAAGGCGTCCGTTTGAATGTTGGACTTGACAACGTCAAACATGTATGCTGAGATCCACATGGCGTAACCAGCGGCGGCACCGTACAAGCAGAGTCGCCAGCCAGGGACCTCGGATCGGCTGGTGTACCCACGAGCTTTAATGGCCTGGGCGAGCAACAACTCATAAGCCAAAAAGTACATACCGACTCCGTGAGTCTCACGAAGTACGGTGGGGAAAAGACCCTTCATGATGCCTTTGAAACCGTGCTGTGAGGCTATCTTGCGCATGCAGTCGACAGGGCCCTTATACAAAGGATTGGGGCCAGTTTGAACCTGCAAGCGAATACGAATGTGTTCGATGGGACTGACGAGGACCGAGTTAACCGCTCCACTAAAGGCACCCGCCATATAATATTGGCCAAATGTCAGTTCGTCGGTACCGTTTCGGGCGTAAAAGAAACGTTTGCCGGACTCAAAGGCAGTGAACTGTGTGGAGATACAGAGGCCAATGCCCAACAACGGCATAACAGTGCCCTTGTAAAAGGCCTGCAAACCTTCATTCTTGATGATTTTCTGGACACAGTCAACTGCGTTTGTGTATTCGGGTGCACCAGCAGCTTGGGACTGCAAACGAACCTTGACACAGTCGAACGGTTGTCCAGCCAGAACCTGTGCTACGCCGCCAGCAGCGCCAGCGACAAAGTCCTTCGCCTGCGCAAATGTCAGTTTCTTCTGCTCTGAGCTTTGACGACGATTACATTCTCGTCTAGTAGCAACCGTGGAGGCGACCAACTACCGCGAGAAAAAAGCTTACCGACTGCGAAATATTGGATTCAGACATGGATGGTCTTCGGTGAGCAGCAGAAGACGAAGAGTATAGGGTTTAGACTGGAACGATTACCGACGAACAACTTCGTGGTCGCCGTAATGAATGTTGTGCTTATCTCGAAAATTCACAACTCGGTAAGTGCAGGCGAGGAGTACGGTGAGTTTCGGTAAAGTTCGTTATTACAAACAACAACAAACTGATTAGTAACTCGTTATACTTCTTTATTTGTAATTAGCGTGCACCCCATCACTTCACTATCCTCGATTTTCTCTATGACGTCCGGCATCAGTCATTCCGTAATCTTCGGCTACCCCAGAAAATCGCGTTTACTATACGGTCATGCATGCGTCAGTACTACGTCACACAGACCTTAACCGCAATAACAGCCAATCAGAACGAGAATATGTTTCTGCGTCATTTCTACGACATCAGAACTTTTGCTCCACCATGTTCCCGTTCACAGCGGCCGTTAATTGTTCTGACGTAGAGTACGTTTCATGAAGAAATGGCACAAGTATAAATTGACGCGGGTGCGCCGTCTATTAGAGCACACAACAACAACATTCAATTGCAATCCCAGCAGAAGTTCCTCTTTTTTTTTTGATTAACAACCATGTCCTCCAGGTCTCATTACCTTGCACACACGAACGACTCAGATGAGCGTACGGGAAAACATCATCAACAGACAACCAACAAGCACAATCATGCTCATAAGTTAAATGACTCTAAAGACCAGCGCACGCTTCACAATCGTTTAGAAGCTGAATTGGAAACTGAGGCACCAGACAACAATTCTGCTGAAATTGGCGGTCCTCCTCCTCATCACCATCATCATCATGCAAATGATAAAAAAGAGACCATTATGAAGGGCCAGCTCACTGATGCCACTGGTCAGAGCGACCTAAAGGAGCTTCGGGATTATCTGAAAGAATAGACCATCTTTTGGAGTAGATTTGCGAACAGCACAGCTACAAATGGCAGTAATGACATGATTACGATTACCATAATTCGTTACGATGGAGTGGAGAGTAGTGTAAAGCCGTCAGTTGATGATTCCAAACGCCGTGTCTGTTGACTTGCCAAACAAGTAGCCCATTTGTCAAAAGGTTTAGAGTACAAAGAAAGAGAATACAGTTTCGTAGAAGTACTTTAGCCTCTCTGTGTCCTGAATTAACTTATGAATTACAATGCTCCAAAGTGTGGAGACTAGTAGATTTTACAGGATGGCTTCCCCTTTCACCGAAAGTAAAGTAGCATATAAACGACTGAGTTTGAGTTTGAGTCGAGAGTGAGAGAGAGAGAAAGAGATTAACAGTTTAAAACAACGCACGTCACCCGCTGGACTGCTAAATACCAAAAAAAAAAAGAAAAAAACAAAGTTATTCTGTCTCGTTTTTTCCTACTGCCACTAGTTTTCAATCGAGTTTCCGTACTTGTCGGCAAATATACCAAGAGCCTTAATGGAAAAATAGAATTTATAGTTGGGATAGGCAATGGAAACGTTCTTGTTAAAGATGCCTTCCATGGATTTTTGGTGCCAGCTGCCGTCGTCACGCTGACTCTTCATGAGGAATCGAATACCACGAACAATCGGTTCCCGGTCCGGATACTCTGCATTCATCAATGCTAGAAGAGCAAACGATGTCTGAACGACAAGACTTGTATCCCGCCATTCGGTATACACACCGGTAGCACAACCAATATAGCTCTCGCTCCAGCCGCCGTCTTCACGTTGCTTGGACAATAAAAATTCACATGCCCGCTTTTGGTGCTCGTTGTTGGCGTACGTTCTGCCAACAATAGCAAGAGACTCCGTGGCAAACATAGCGGCATACGTGAAACAAATACCCCAGCTTCCGTACCAACTGCCATCCGGCCGTTGGGCTCCTTCGATGTAACGAACCGCCTTGTCAATTGTCTCATTGATATCCGAAAGTCGATACTCCGGATCCAAGTTGGAGAACGTTTTCAGGGCCAGAACAACGGATGTCGTACATTCTGGATACGAATACTCGACCATGATCTTGCCGAAAACTTCAGCGGGATTGATTTTCTCCAACCAAGCTCCACTGCGAATAGGCTCATACGACGCAAAGCCCAGATCGTCGTTCTGCATAGTCAACAATAAATCAACAGCCCAGCGCAAACGGTTACGGCTGACACGAGACAAGATACCCGGGACAGACTGCACCATCATAACCGCCCGCATAGCTTCAGATGTCGTGTCTGACACCGTATAGCCTTGGGTAACGTTACTGAATGGCCAACAAGCAAAGTTGCTATGACGGTAACCTTTTCCACCAACATTCTTACGGACTTGCATATTGTCCAAAAAGTTGAGTGCTTTTTGTGCGTTGCCAAGGTATTCCTTCTCAAAAATAAGCTTTGACTCGTACAAGGCCTGCAGAGCAAACGATGTGTCCCAGATTTGAACGCCGTTTGTTCCCCGCATACACATTCCTTCCGGTTGAATCCACATGAACTCGCGTAACCGGTCAATGAGACGCTTGAATGCATAGCTCTTGGGACCTTCGTGAAAATACACACAAAGTGTATTCATGCAGGCATTTACCGGACCGAGACATGCATAGTCTGTGTTTTCATTCTCAATCTTAATCAAGTCATAAGCAGCCCTGGTTGCAGCCGTACGAACAAAGTTTGGTCGAACGTAATGCACATACTTCTCGACGATCCAATTGATGGAGTCTAAAAGACAAGTGTGTGGGCAATACACATCAATTGGATTCACATTGTTGCGATGTTTTCGGAAGTTAATTTCGGAATACGGTGTAACATAAAGCTCCTTGCGGAGCTCAAGAATTAAGTCATTTACTGGACAGGCATGTCTTTCTCCGTACATGTAACCCATTGGCAGGTAAACCATTCGTACATGACACCACCATTTGCTGGGGTGTGCGGGAATCCATTCGGGAAGCATCCAAAGCTCCGGAGGAATAGGATTCACACCATCCCAAGAATAAACATTTAAACAAGCAAGCCAAAACTTGCCCCAATGGGGTGCACCAATGGCACCTCCAAGTCCATGCAGACAATGACGAGCCTTCGCAGCCACAGGATGATCGGCCTCCATACCCAGAAGACGAAGGACGACGTAGTTCATGACCGTACCAAAAACGGTTGACTCGCCTTCTGTGTGAATACCCCATCCACCGTCGTCATTCGTATGGTTTGTCAAGTATCGAACAATTTCCGTAGCCCATCCATCAGGGAGCGGAGTCTGTGTAATGTAATATGAAAGGACAAATCCTGGAATCAGGAACAACGGTCCCTGATACGGACTAGCCCAATGTCCGTCATCGTTCTGGAGGTTGCGAAAGAATTCGAAACCATTTCTTGCACTCTCTAGCGGAGTCTTCGCTGGACCAAGTTTTTTTGCTTCCTGAATAAATCGTTAGCAAAAATTTCAGGCTGGAAAAGAGTAAATCAAATAGGGTGTGAAGCTTAACGGTTCATATCGTCATTTTTCATTCGACCCTTTCTGTCTTCGTTATTACTTCACATACTGGGTCTATTCCAAGATAGTACTTTTCCTTAAATGTTAACGGTCTTTTCTTCGAGTCTTCTTCCGATAAATATTCCCAAGTCTCTGCTGAATCCTTCGCGATATTCAATCTCCATCTGCTAATATCTGTTTTCGCGATGAGTTTCTCGAGTTCTGGACGGAGATGAGTGGACTCCATTCTTCTTTAGAATCCAAAATTGTCCAACGAAACCGTTTCGTCGTATTAAGATTTATGTGAATGTATTATAAATTTACAGTATAACGGTCGACTCTTTCCTTCACAAAATATACTATAATAGTACAGGCTGCGTTTGAGGTCCAAAAAGTCCTAGAATCCCTTTCACAGCAGTCGTTGGAACTTGTCTTAATGATATAGGTTTCGGCTGGGAGCTGTTACGGCACTGACCTTGCCTAGGCGTAAATAAACTGGTTGTTGTAATGGTATCTTACCACTACTCCACCTATCACTGGCCTTACCGAATGCTTTACCACAACCAGGTATTCCACCATTATATGCTGAATTTAAAAAAAACAATTGAATCTAAATACGCGACGTGAATCAGCACAGTTGCTTTCCCAATAGTGGTTTTTTTCACAATCGTGTACGACGATTTTGGCTCTACTGACACGCGATTTAATTTTCATAAAGAAGTGGTTACGACGTGTTCTAGCCATTCGTTGACCGCCTGTGCTTTTCCATTTATATAATGAATGACTGAACACTTATTGAATAGGATCACATCTGTTTTCTTGTTTTTGTTACGTTTTACTTAGACTTTCCACCGGTTCTTTTACACTCTTGTTTTCGTGTCCTTCAAATACCACTTCAGTGCATTATCCGTTTCTCCGGTCTCTCCAGTGAGCTCAATTGCTCGTATCCGTTCATTCTGCTTCATTTTCTGCTCGTTATTCTGTTGTTTATATATACTCTTCGTTTGTATATATCGTCTCCTCTATTTTACTTCATCATGGCTACTCCTATTAAAGAACATGTTTATGTTATCACAGACTCAGATCCTCCTGCCCCAGAATACCAGCAGCCTTCGCAATTCGAATTCATCTCCTCTTCCATCGAAGTTTATCCCAAATCGGTGCAAGAAAAAAGTGGTGAACAGCAAGCTTCAACTTTTGTATCGAAGGCGTCGGTTACAACGCCATTGCCTAAAGTAAAAGCTCATAAGACAATTGAAATTGTCGAAGTCACCGACTCCCCCATCTTAGACTCACAGCAATCCTCCTTGCGTTCACAACCACCGCCGCCTTCTTTCACTGAGAACGATGATTACCTTCCCAGTCCAAAGACGGCCTTTGCACCTCAGGCGATCTCTGCGCGTGTTCTTGCGTCCGCATCTCATCTTCCTTGTCATGACCAAACAACTCCAAAACACAGCTCACTTCTCACAGATGAAGGTCCTATAGTGGTGTCTTCCTCCTCTCCGCTATTCCTTCCTCCAAGTCCCGTATCCGTTCCTGCTCCACTTGCCAGTTCCTTAAATACGTCCACAAATGATTTACACAAAAGCGTGCCCGTGCAACATCCGGTTTCGTCCTCTCCTCCAGAATTGCCTGTCTTCCGTGTAGATGAAGAACAGGACCAGGATACCACTGTACTTAGAGCAAACTCTGTTTCCCCCACACATGTTGCTTATCCAATACCGTTGACAGACTCGTCCAGTCCGCTCTCTAACCGTGTACTTCAGGACATTCAAAAAAGCATTCGTGCACCTCAGAGCATGTTTTCAGTAAAGGAAAAAGAAACCGTACCTGATCAGAATTTGGTTACTCATCCAAAACCTTCAAGGTTAAGGAAATCTTATTCAGAATCTATATGCTCTTCTTCGTCAGCTGCAACTGCAAACCTGCATGTTGCATCAGACTTTACTCGCTCGCGCTCCCTGCTTGGGGAACAAGAAACAAATCGACTGCAAAAGCTTAAAAGGAGACATAAACAACATACAGCAAGCGAAGAGGTATGTTCAAAAAACACAACCACCGCGGTCACTCGTACTGTATCTGGCGTTGCACACAGAGAAAAAGTTCTTCGTTCATTGGAGAAGAAAAAGGCGAAAGAAGCCAAAGCTGCTGAACGAAAACGTCTGAAAGATATGGAGACTTTAAACAAAAAAAATCGCACTCGAAAGGACTGCCTTCCGGAGATGATCTTAAATGTTTCGGAAGAGTGGATGCTCACTGAATTTGGAGAAAAAGTTATGAATAACTTACGCGAAGAAGGTTGTACATTCAAACCAATTCCTAATCACCCACTAAGTGCAGTTACTTGGAAACGCCTTGTATCCAATACTTACAATGCTACCAAAGGTTACTTCGAATATGACAACGAGCATGAAGAAGCCGAAAGTCTCATTCTTTTACGGTTAACCTGTACTGAAGTTGTAAAAATGATCTCTGACAACGCACTTGAAGACTACCTTCATTCCATTCAGTCTCAATTTCCTTCCATGAAAATACTCCTCTTGTTGGAGGGCTGCAAAACCTACTTCAAAAAACAACGTTCAGAAGTCAACAGACAGTTTGCTGCCGCAGTGAATAATGGCACGAAGCCCCTTCTTTTCGGATCAATGTCTAAATACCAACACATAACAGAAGACGTGCTGAGCGAACGTCTTATTGAGCTTCAAGTGAACCAAAGTATTCTCATTAATGAAACATACAATGTTGACGAATCTGTTCAATGGATTGCTTCAATAACGGGCGATTTGGCAATACGTCGATACAAGCCGAAGCCGAAAGGAAAAATGTTTTGTTTGGATAGTGGCCAAGTCAAGTCTGCTGCAAACATAGATGATTCACTAAGTTACATGCTCCGTGAAATTTCGCGTATCACACCTGCGGCCGCCGATGCAATTTGTTCCAAATTCCCTACCTTGTTTTGCTTAATACAGCACCTTCGTGAACATGGCCCAGATGCTCTTGCTGAAGTTCGAATTAATACAAACCTGGTTTCCCGTAAAATAGGAAAAGCTCTTTCTAAACGTGTTCACACGGTTTTCCTTGGCCGTGACGAAAATCAAGACATTCCATGACTTCTTTTAATATCTCCAGCATATCAAAATAATTGCTTCTTACAATCTCCCCGTTCTGTACACCTAACCTCGTTCTATTTTCCTTCATTCGGTACACGGCCGTGTAAAATTACAATTTTAAATCAGTTCTATATTTTCATTAATATAATCATAATACTTTCATGATAGTCAAAACGTGAACAAGCACGTAAGTTGAAAAAAAAACGTCTAGTTAGAGCTCGTCAGCTCGATATCGTTTAGACAGCGTCTAATGGCCAACACATTATCGACAATTACGGCATCAACGCCATGTTTGACTTGCCTTCTCACATTCTCAGCGTCATTGTTCAATACACCGTATGTGAAACAAGCAAGATCCCTTTGCTTCACTGCATCAATTAGTCTGGGGCAGTGAACAATGGGTTGACAGGCACTAACGATGCCAAGCAGGCCCCATTTGCAAGAGAAATTGATTGCCTGCTGAAGAGAGGCAGCACGGGCATCCGTTCTATAAGCCGTACCAGCTTCTGTCAGGAATAAAACCGGAATGGCAGACTGCTTTAATGAAGCAAGGATGCAGATATCAGGATTAAAGCTGGAGAATATGAAGTTTCGCTTCTTGCCATGGGTATGTATCATGTCGAGTATAATATCAACATATGTATTCGCGTCAATACCCACGGGCTCCAAACCCTCTTCCTCAGCTTCGCTTAACATGGCATATTTTAACTCAATGTTAAGACCAATATTCAAAGGAACCCTCAAAAGAATGTCCTTAAACGTAGTAAAAGGTCCGCAAATACTATTACCAAATGAGTTTCCTTTATAGACACTCGAATTTGGGCTGAGGGAGCCTGGTTCAATGCCATCTTCTAAGGTGAATGACGCGGGTCTAGGCATGTCAATGCTTCGCGAACGAGTTCTTCCAACAGATGATTCAGTTTCATCAACGTCACGGGTAGGATATTGATGGGAAAAGGAGAGGAATTGTTGATAGGTGAGAGAATGAATTTGTGCATCCACACCGGTTTCGTGAACAATGAAGTCGTGATACACAACGGGGACAAGGTCTTTCGTCATCTGAACATCAAATTCGACATAGGAGGCACCAAGATTTCCAGCTGCAATTAAGGAATCAAGTGTGTTTTCACCAAGCTGCAAACATTTGCGATCAGGAAGATTCTTACCAAGACCACGATGCCCAATTAAGGCCACATTGCTTCCCTTGGCATCATGATTCAAACTGAAACTTGAGTTGCAAGCATGTTTCAATGATGAAGTACTAGGCTTGGACGATAAGGTCGCTAATGCGGGTTCACTCGTTAATGCCTTAGGGGGCTCCGCTTCCATGCTGATAGCATTGCCGGCTTTTGAGTAAGTGGAAATAAGTGCTTGGACATTAACCCATCTAACCACATTCATGTCCTTTGTGGAAAGCATGGGCAAAGGCGATGCCGGCTTCAAACTCTGCATATGCGCTCCAACATTTGTCAATAGACTTGAAATTCGACAGACAGCCTTCGCAAGCATACGCGAGGAACGTGAAGCCAACAAGTCGACATGTAGCACAGCACTTTCTGGCGAGGCAACCTTGAACAACAGCTCCACAGGTTGCTTATGAGACGTAGGTGGAGCGGGCGAATTGTCTTCAAAAACGTCATCTTCCTCAACATCACCATCGTCGACATCTTCCTCGAGACTGTTTCCGTAATGCTCACCAACTTCACCCAAATTGTCAAATTGGCTGCGCGGAATATTGATCACACAGCTAGGGGATCGCTTGTCAGACGAATGTGAAGACAAGGAACTTGTCGATGCGTTAATGCTCAATCCTTCAAAAGAAGTGTTCACTTTTCCTGAAAGGTATTCCGCCCCTTCATCTAAAACCGTTACACGAACTCGACCACTAATGCCATCCAGTCGAAGAATCAACACACTAGCATTAGGGTCCGAGACACCGATTTGCATGGCACGATCACAAGAGCGGATGTCAGAGTTAGTGGGTTTAACATCCAAACTTCCACTAGTGACAGGTTTATTACTTAACACAACGTCCGTCTTCAGTAGAGCAGCGCAGTCCAGGTGCCCACGAATGGCAGCGTGTTCCATTGCCGTCCAACCACACGAATCGACTTGTGTCAAATCCGAACCAGCCTCTAACAAAATCGAGACAATTGGCTGCAGGCCAAAAGCAGCTGCGATAATTAAGGGTGTCCAGTCGTAAGGCGGTTCAAGTGCAGTAACGGACTGTGGGCATAGCCGAAGAAGTTCTTGCACGCAGTTTGCATGATTAAAACGAGTTGCGACGTGAATGGCAGAACTCCCATGTATGTCCTTTGCATCCACAGGATAACCAGCACGCACCAATGCTTCAATCACGCCAGCGTCATCAATCAACCGACACGCAAGTACAAGAGTTGGAGTAGGAGTGTCATGAAGCTTCGCGTTTTCTTTTGGTTGATACACGGTTAAAGCATCAATACAGCCAACATTACAGTTCCGAATTGCAAGAGACATGGGAGTTTCATAAGCAACGTCGCGCCATTCCGGACTGCTCCAAGTGCAAGTCTTCCGAAACGTTGGACATACCTCATCCAACTCACGACAAAAGAGAGTGCATAAGCCTGCTTGGCCATTCTTTGCGACGTAATGAAGAGCCGTTTGACCAATACTGTCTTTCGAACTTAGAAGACGCGCCACGAGATGAGGTTGCTGATTGACGCTACTTGATTCGTTCTTTGTTTCCGTAGAGCGTCGATTAGCGGCGTGCAGAGCTTGCTCGTGTACGAGTTTCAAGAATGTTTCTAGCACCTCCGCGTCTTTGTCCTTGCAACTATATACAGCATGTCGAAAACCACGGCCGATCATGTCAACATCACCGACCAGCAGCTTGAGAACCAGGTTAGTGCATTGCACGGCTCGTTTTGTGATACACGAAGTCAACACATCAGAAAGAAGGTGTGCCGGAGCTTTCCCCATAATGTTAAACAGGCCCAACGAGTCATCTTTCTCTAAGCAGACATCCAGAGATTGTCCACTGCTTGAGGAGGTGGGTGAACTACCATAGCCGCGAAAACTGAACTCAGTCTTGAGTGTGTTCATTGTTGAACGTACAGTTTTCAGCGTACGTTTCACCTCATGGGCGCCAGCAAACGGATGCGTCAATGTTTGGAGTATGTAGAAATCGTTAAAGGCGTTCGTATCAAAATGCTTGTCAAGCTTGCGAGCAAGCTTCTCAAAAGCACATTTGTTCCATTCGCAATACGAAGAAAGCCGATGCAGCTGAAGCTCAATATTGTTCAATTGGGACAACAGAGACTTTTGCAACTCGGTCCGCGATGTAGTGGAGATGTTAGATCCCTCGATAGATTGTGTTTCCGACTGCAAACGTTGAGCAAACAGACTCATTCGAGAAATGCGCGAGTCATAAAACGTTGTTACACGATCGAGGTTGACATGTAAGTCGTCCATTAAGTCACGGAGAACAGCTTGACGTTCGTCATTGCGAACATCCTTCGCTGATTCGCCTAATTGAGTGGCTGCAGCAAGCAGTTTACGCTTGATTCCTTCATAGTCCACGTATTCATCTGCATATTGTGGTACAATGGCTTTGTGTAGGCTAAGATATCGTTAGTATGTATAGATAAGAGGATGAGCAAGCAGACGCAAAATCAAAGGAACCAAAAGAAGCAAGCAAAGGGTAGTTTGAAACGATGCAACCCGACGCAACACCACACAAACTCAATGAGGATCGGTCCTCGTCGATAAGATCCTCTTCAACTTTTCGTCGCTAAACCGACATACCTTTCAGTAAACTTCATTACGAGCGACGGATTGACAAATGATCCGTAAAAAATTCCGCGGGAATTGCTGGGATCCTATTCAGGCAATAAAAATGAGGACACTGTAAGAATGTCCTGTGATTGTTGCCACAGCGTCGGAGAAACGTGAGTCAGCAGGTGTTTGTCCGGTAATGACAATTCTTCTTTACCAGACTGACGACAAGGAAAGTGAATGGTATATGGTAGAAGCAATCAGGAAGGAGAAGTCGTCCTAATTCAACGTTTGGCGACAGTCTAAGAAATGGGTTTCCGACTGCGGAGTTTGTTTATTCGGAGACTTAAGCGTTCGTCGCAGATGCAAGAATGTGGGATGAAGTAAATAAAAACAAAAGCACCACTGAACACTGGAGGCTTCTTAGTCAGAACTGAACAGCCCGTATGCTTCCGTAGCCAATACAATGGGCAGGGAAAGTCAATGACCGGACCGACCACGGTGCCAGCCGAGGTTCGCTTTCACCTACCGCTTGCAAACGTCATCGCTGTACAGCCGCTGGAAAAGAGAGGTAACACAGGTAACAGCAAGAGGACCAGAAGGGCCGACATGTGGCGGAGAAGTGTGGGGCGTAACATGGGGAGGAAGATTGGACGAGAAACGGAGAAAAAGACGGAACAGGAGCGGAGGAATACAAAAAAACACAATCAAGAACCGTAGACGCGTCATAAACGATCGTTGACGCTCCGTCTAGAGCAATGTGTTGAAAAAAAATCATTCTAGACGCGCCAATTTTAAAGAATGTTACTGTGAATTAGTGCAAAAACACGGTTCAACTCGGAGGCTCTCTTCCTTGTCCGCACAGTTCATTCACCTTACGCGTACAAACACGATGAAAAAGAAAATCGTCCTTCTTGGGTTCCCGAATTCTTCATTCTTCCCCTCTGTCCTTTCTCACCTGCCCACTTTTTCATCTTCGATTTCGCCATTTCACTCCAATTGACCCTCTCTGCATTCCAATTGTCGACAACCAGCCAGTTCTCATCCTCTAATACACCGAAACTCTCTCTATAAGCGTCGTCTTCGATACGACTACATGATCCTCCTCTTTTTGGTATTGGCTAAGGTTAAGTGAAGTATGGTGTTGCACCAACCTAAATTGCATTAAGTTTGGATGGAAGTGACGTCAGATTGTGATTCAGCGGACAAGAGTCATTTTCGCTGCGGCCTCTCAACGTACAACCAATAAGAATTATAGCCGCATACTATCTATCACGCGTCCACTAATCCGCGACTTTGCGTCGGCAGTGAAAAACGCGGAACGTTTTATTAGGTGCAGAGGTGTGGAAGAAAGGAAATCACAGGAACAAAAAACCATAGAAGTAGGTATTTAGCACACAGTTGCATACACAAAATAAAGAAAGTCTCTTGTTTTTTTTTCCTATTTTTTTCCCCTGCTCTCCCCTTAACGTTCCCATACTATGTTTCCTTCTCTCTTCTCATAACGTGCGCGTAATCATCGCTCATGACGTGTTTGTTTATTTACTTTCTCCGCCCGTGCACGCTATTATCATTAAACACTGTAAACACTGTTGACATAGCAACAATGTAAACAAACAAGCTATAAAGATGACAGACGCGCTTCTTGGAGGACCGCAATCTCAAAACAAACCCGTATACACAAGCAACTGCTGCTCTTTCTAAGACTCTACTAGTCTATATCGGAGCAATGCAGCTGTGGATACTATTTTTCCTCCTTTTTGCATTCTTTGGCGCGCAGGTTCGCGCCTTCCAAGCAAACGCGTCCACTAACCTTGTTGGTTACTGGGGCTCAAACTTGTCAGGCAAATTTGCTGGACAAGATCAAAAACGCCTATCGGCGTACTGTTCCAACTCTCCCTTTGATGTAATCGTACTTTCATCCGTTGTTAATTTCAACAAGAACGGCTGGCCCGTTTACGATTTTGGTAATCTCTGCAGCGACAGCGTGACGTATGAAGGCACCGACCTTAAAGTGTGTCCCCAGATGGAGACCGACATTAAGAAATGTCAGGCTGCGGGGAAGAAAATTATACTTTCGCTTGGCGGGTATGCGGGAGACTACGGTCTCGGATCTTCGGGTGATGCCTCCAACTTTGCCTTCCAGCTTTGGAATGTATTTGGAGGTGGTGAAAGCATCTACCGTCCATTTGGCAAAGCTGTTGTCGATGGTTTCGACTTGGACATTGAACATGGCTCCTCTCAAGGCTATGCTGATCTCGTGAAGCGTATGCATGAAATTTACAAATCCGATCCCGACCACACGTATTACCTGTCTGCTGCTCCCTCTTGCGCACAACCAGATGCACTTTTGAGTGACTCTATCTCTAAAACGAGTTTTGACTTTTTGTTCATTCGCGAATTTAACACGACTCTCCGTGCTGAGTGCAAAAACAAAACCGGAAAAGGTTTCAAGTCTTGGCTAGAATATGTTGAAAACAGTGCCTACAACACCGAGACCCGTCTTTTCCTTGGCCTTGTTTCAGACAAACGAGCTGCTTTGGATGGGTACAGAGATGTGAACAATATGACCGACTTTGTTCGTGACTCAAAGGCAAAGAGTGACGATTCCTTTGGCGGTGTTGCTCTTTGGGATGTCAGTTTGGCTTATTTGAACAAGGTCAATGGAACAACGTATGCTGAGTATGCCAAGAAGGCTTTGAACTCCTCTTATTCTTTAACTACAGGATCCACTTCGACCGACGACGGAAACAGCGCTTCCGTTAATGAACCAGCTGGCACGACTACAGTCTCTACTTCGATTCTTGCTACATCGTCTGGCAAGAGTGCCAGTACAGTTTCAAGCTCAAAGTCAAACTTGCATTCTGCTGCTTCATCCTCTTCTCCATCCTCTTCTCAAACAAGCTCCCTTACCACGTCCGTTATCTCTTCTCAAGCGGCACATAGCCTTTCTTCTTCTTCGCATGCTGGTCATGCATCGAGCAGCAGTATTGGTTCTTCTTCAAGTGCTTTCCGGACTGTTCAGCCCGCGAAGGAGAACCCTACGGTGTCTGCTAGTGCCTCTAGTATGAATGTTGTCGGAACTTCCTCTTATTCTGAACTCTCTGCTTCCACTTCTCCTTCTACAACATTGTCATTGAGCTTCAGTTCTAGTGCTGCTGAAAGTACTCCTAGTTTGGCTACTAGCGCTGGCGCTAGTAGCTCATCAACTGCAGCAAGCACTCCTGTTGATTCTTCATCCAGCACTGTTACCACTCCTGAATCAACGGAGCAAAGTTCTACTGAAGAGATTCCTGTTACGTCTACGGTGTCTACATCTACGTCTTCGTCTTTATCTCCGTTTTCTACTTCTACTTCTTCTACTTCTTCTTCCAGTACTGCCACAGTTTCCAGTGAAGAGGGTGCGGGATCTGATAGCACATCTTTGGACAATAATTCCTCTATCGAATCTTCAACCAACATTGAGTCTCAAGTGATTTCTACCCCTGCCATCTCTTCCTCCACTGTTAGCACTACTCCTTCTGTTGAAACCTCTGCCGAAAGTTCGGCTCCCAACAGTTCTCTGCAGTCGTCTTTCCAGTCCCAAACTGATTTTTCTTGGCCCGTATCCTCTACCTTAGAGAGCTCTACAACAACAAATGCTCCTGATGTTGCATCCATCGTCACTTCAAGTTCGTCTTCTGTAACTGTCTCTAACGCGGTGTCAGTCAGCTCATCAAGTTCTGTTGTAAACAGCGCTTCTGAATCAACTTCCGCCGCCTCTTCAGACTTGCCTTTTACGACGACTTTCAGTTCCTCTTCCCCTTCCTCTGTCTCTTCAGTTTCTTCTTCTATATCTATCTCTGATTCTGTTTCTTCTTTTACAGCTGTTTCTGATTCTGTTTCTGTTTCTAGCGTTCCCTCTGACTCGTCTTCAATTTCCTCTGTTTCCTCTGCCTTTGCTTCTGATGCTACTTACTCAATAAGCTCTTTTGCCCAGGCATCTATTTTCTCTACCGAAACGCTGAACAGTGAATTCAATTTCTCTTCTTCCAGCGCAGATGTTTCTTCACCTTCGACTGTGTTGACGGTACCATCGGTAACTTCTGAGCCCGAGGCTTCAAGTTCTTCCTTCATTACTGCTACCTCTCTACCTGAGAGTGCTTCTGCTGCTTCCGATTACTCTTCAGCATACGAAGTTCCTGCTCTTCATTCGTCCGCTTCCACGCATTCAAAGCACTATCGTACTTCAGTTATTATTGTGACACCCGTTTCTTACCGCACAACTACTTTGACATCTTGGGTTCACTACGGTACAGGTTCATCTGCTGTAATTGTCACAACTACTCAGAGCGTGGCCGGCCCCGTTACCGTTTCGACTGTTGTTGTTCCAATTGAATCAACAAGTGCTGACTACAACAATGGAGACAGTGTTTCTCTTGAAAGTTCTGTTACTACACCTACTGTAGCTACTCCGACGATTATTTCTTCAACTGGTTCCAGCTCATCCGCTGAAAGCTTGGCCACGAGTGATTCCGTTTCTTATACAAGTTCAAGTCAACAACCAATTGCTTCCGAAGATAGCTCATTCACTTCCTCGGATCTGCCTCTCTCTTCGACGGCTGTTTTAGGAACATCTGCTCAATCACTGTCCACAAGTGCTTCTGCTTCTATATCCGCGCAACAGCAAACTTTTTCCTCGAATGTCTCCACCTCTGTTACTTCAAGTACTCTTGGACCATTGATTTCTTATACACAGTCTTTGAACGTTTCTTCTCAAATTTTGCCCACAAGTACTCCTTCGGCTTCCGTTTCTACTCAACAACAATTCAGCTCTATCGATTACTTCAATGCGTCTTCTTCGAGTATTGAAAGATCATCTTATTCTGCTGTATCTACTTCTTCCTTGAAGCCTAAAGTCCTGACAACAATTCCTATAATTTCTACTGGACAACCAACTCTTCAAAATAGCACTTCAGCTACTCGGGTTCCGATATCTTCGGGATACAGCAGCAGTGTTGAAACTAAGGTTCCTGTTTTTTCCACTGTTCAAACAAATTACTCTACATCTCCCTTAGCGACAAAGTCTGTCTTGACTAACTCGAGTTCTGTGAATACGTTCTCGAAAACGTCGTTGTTAAGCGCTAGTTCTGTTTCGACTTCCGGCGTTTCATCTTCGACAAACAACACATCCTATTTCTTCACTTACACCTCGTCGTCGTCTAGTTTGACATCCTCTTCGCCTATTGTTCTGTCTGTGCCCTCTGTTAGCAGTTTCACTTGGTCCCCAAACACAACAACTTCGTCGATTACTGTTTCTCCCTCTTCAACCTCACACAGATTATCGTCCGTTATTCGTTCTGCTTCTTCTTTCCTTAATTCGTCTTCCAATATCTTGTCTACGTGGTCCCCAACTGCATCTTCTTCTGGAGTCAGTCTTTCAACTCAGTCTTCAAGCATATTCAAGCATTATAATACCTCTACTACTAGTGAGTACTCTAGCACGGCCGTGTCGAGTTCCGTGCCTGCTGTAAGCAGTAATGCCACTGCTTCCACTTCTTCTAGTGCTCTTTCGTCGAGCATAGTCACTACTCCCTTATTGTCTTCATCTGTCTCTGCTAAGACTAACAGTTCGACAACTTCGGCTTCTACTTTATACACTGCACCTACTTCCAGTCTTCAAACAAACTCCTCGACGTCGTCCCTTTCCTCGCTTTATCCTGCATCTCTCAACTCCTCAACTGTTTCGAAAGTATCTGCTGAAAGCTCAACTTCAAGTCGACTCCTAACATTGGTGACTCCAACAATCACGTCTTCTTCACAGACGAATTCTTCAACCACTTTAGCTGCTTCCTCGACGCTACTCCAGAGTACAGTGAAAGCTTCCTCTTCTGCGAAGTTTGTTAACGCAACTGTTGTAAGCACTCCTTCTACGCGACTTCCGTCGACTAGTTCAACAAACTCAACAACTATCTCCGGTAAGAAGGATTTGCTTCCAACGGTGACAGTTACCTCGTTTACTGTTGTCGCAACTGACACGACGACCTTCACTACGACTGATGCGACAATCACTATAACGACTACTGATGAATGGGGTTACCCTACGGTTTTAACAACATATTCCGTTGCCACCACTGATCCTAACTACTACACTGATGACGATGGTAATGTTATAACTGTCGAGTATGTCACTGCGACTGCTGATAGTGATTCTGTTCCTTCCGCGACAACAACTGCAGAATCTGTGCCAACTACAGACATATCTTCGGATTTGACTACAAGTGTCGATTCTACGACAGGTGCAACGACTGATGATGTGAGCCCATATGCGACACCTACTACTACTATCGTACCAAGCACAACAGATGTACTGGCAACAACGGCTTCTGCTTCTGTGTCTTCTCAAGTTACAGATGATTCCGATTCGTCCACTGTTAACACCGATGCTACTACTGGGGACTTGTTTACAACTACTTACACTACGGTGGAATGGGGTTTCACAAATGTTTACACAAGTACCGGTACATCTACTGCCGGCTCGGGTAGCTCAAACGAAGCTGTCACGACCACATACACAACCGTTGAGTGGGGCTTTACAAACGTTCATACAAGCACTTACTATTTGAGCGGCAGCGCTACTACCGACATTGCGACCATCGAGAGTCCCACTACAACGAATCCCGACAGTACAACTGCCGCCACAGAAGCAACTTCTACGGATGCTGTTTCGTCAGCCATTGAAACTACATTTGTGTCAACCGATATGTGGGGATTCCCTACTACCGTTGTATCCTCCACAGTTATCACAGGTAGTGCAGCGACCTCCGAAACTGAATCCGTTTCTGAGACCACTTACGTTTCCACCGATGAATATGGCTTCTCTACTACCGTAACGTCGGCAGCCTCCACATCAACAAGTGAAACTACTGGTTTGGACTCGGCTATTGCAGCGACAACAGCTTCCGAGAGCACAATTATTTCAACTGATCAATGGGGTTTCCCTACTACAGTGACCAGTACCATTGAATCGACTACGGACACGCTGCCTGCTACAAGTACACAAACATCTGAATCAATCGTGACAACTACTGACCAGTGGGGTTTTGCAACTACTGTGGATGTTGTTTCAGCTTCGTCGTCGATCAGTACATCAACTGATGAATTTGAAACTGCAGCAACAGTTGTCACGGAGGCGGGACTTAGTTCTACGGCAACTACGTCTGAAATTGTTTCAACAACTACTTCCTCTGATTATACATTGGACATAACCGATAGCACGACTGCTATTTACTCTACTTCTGCTGAAGTAGAAACAAGTGTTACCGACACTGTTACTACGACGACCGCTGCTGAGACTACGACTGCTGCGCAAGCAACGTCCGTCAATTCAGCAGGTCGCTGGTACTCTGCTGTCAGGGCTACATATTCGGTTCCTGCTGGATTTTACTGGTCCGAGATAAACGGCATACCCGTTTTGGAACCAACTGCAGGAGCACTCAGAAAACGTAAGGTCGTTACTCAACTTCCGAGATCTATTGTTAAGCCAGGTGAACCTCGCCGGACGAGTTCATCTAATATGGGTTTTATCAAACCTAAGGCTTATTCTACATTTATCACCTCAACCATTGTCCGTTGAGGTGTTTGATTGTTTTTTGTATTTGGTTTTTTTGTTTATTTTCATTCATAGAACTTGCATCTATTAGCAGTGCTAATTTATTATCTAATAACAATTTATATATTGTCCTCTGAATTCAGTTAGGGAAATGAGAAAGAGGGAGTTGTCTACCGCAGAAGTGTTGGATTATTGCCAATACCTTAGAAATTTCCAATATTGTTAAGAGCACGTTTATCATTTACGCCTTTACTTATAATGACTTATAACAACACAAACACGAAAATGGATTTGGAACGACAATATTATTTACTTTTAAAAATCCCCAAATAACATAACCAACTCATCCAAACGAGCTAATTGAACCAAAAGTTGTTGCTCCACAAGTCCCAGCTTTTTTAAGTCTGCCAACTCAAACTTTTGTAAATATTTCTCTTCGTTCCCCTGCACGTTGCTGCGCTCGACTTTCTGCAACAAGAGTGATCGTTGATCCCGTTCACTACGCAACCGTCTAAGAACGCGAACCATGGATTTGAACAATTGGTCAAGCAGGAGTGAGTAAGCTCTATCAGTACGGTGGAACCAAAGGTAGAATGTTTTTGAGGGTGCCCGGTCGGCAGAACGAGGGACTTCTTGGATGTCAAGAGCACCTACTTCGCACATTGAGGTGAGGTGAGCACGAATGTCTTTTTGACGAAGTAGTGCAAGATTTGAAAGTTGTTGCTCAGCAATTTTTCCCTTGTCCTTTATTATGCGAAGTAGAGTCTTAGCTTGATCACCGAGCTTTTGTTCTATTATATTTTCGTAATGTATTTCGCGCAGCACAGTGGAAAGGTAAGTATAGTCAACCATCCACTCGCCCATAGCGCGTGTGCCGGTTTTAGTAAGGAATCGAAGGGAACTATCAGCAAGGAGTTCCAAGTGCTGTAAGAGTGCAGCCGCCTTGCGATCACGTTTACTCTCGTCTGCTGCTTCTGCATCCATGTCAACATCTTCATCCTCATCTTCGTCATCTTCATCATCTTCGCCGATTAACACAGGGTTTGAGACGGAAAGTGTTTTTAAGGAGGAATCCTTCACGATGCAGGAAACTAAATCTATGTCGTCTTTGAAGTGTCGTGAAAGCTCCATAGTAGTAAAGAAGAAATGCTGGTTAGGCATGGGTATTCCGGCAGTTTTGGTTTCCAACAAGGAAAGTACATGGGAATAAACAATAGAAGTTGTTTTTCCAATACGTCGCTCAGCCAGCTGAACAAGTTTGGCATTACGATCAAAAATTGAATCTTGCTATTCCGGATTCGGACGAGGGCATCTGGGTCGGGTACAAGAACAAAGTCATCACCATCAGCAGTCTCGTCAGCGGCACCAGCGCGACGCCTGCGTTTGCTAGGACGGGCGAATGATTCGATTGGCTTTCTCTTCATACCGACCTCCTTTGATTGTTCAGCAGCATCAAGCTTGGCCAGGTCTAATTGAATAGCGTCTTGAATTTCATGGTTTCTTTTCGCATCCGACATATTTTCCGACTTCAGGCGCTCTGTGTGCTTAAGTCGAAGTTCCATCTCTTGGTCAAACATGGGTATAAGATGACGAGGTTGAACAACGTCGAGGAACTTTTTTTCCATCAAAGCATAAATTTCATTTCTGAGCTTGTTGGTTTCATCGTCAACAGCATCGGGGTCTTTACCAAATGCCTTAAAGATATCCGAGACGCGAACGCGGCCCTGAGTTGCGATATACTTAGCGATAGATCCAGCTTCTTGGGATACTCGCTGAGAAATTATGTACACAGCCTTTCCTTTCCGGACAAAGTTATAGATTTCAGTCCATTGAGCTTCATAGTGTGTAACTTCCCGCAGGTGCTCGATTACCTTCGCGTACAGCACTAAATGATGGCGCATCAAGGAGACTAAGGCTTGACGAAGCTTTTTTAATGGGAGTTTCGTTCGAGAACGCAGAGTTTGAAGCGTCATTCGTCCATGATTCAAGAGAGCATGGCATACAGTCTACAGGGTTAGCAAGGAGAGCTCATTTGCAAGTCAGAAGGAGTGAAGTTTTCACTGAGAAACTAATTCTTGGTCCAAGTTCGTGTAAACCCCAAGAACCAGCACAAAAAAAAACATACAGCACAACATTCACCAAAGAACTCTTGAATGACGACCTCACAAAGTTCTACCGCGTACTGCGACATGTTGTCTCCGAGCCAGACTGGCAGTAGGCGTTGGGAGAGGTAAAATGGTGGACACTTTTCCTTCGACTTCACACCCACGACGACAGAAAAATACAAAACGGGGAATTTACCAAGTTTCTTACAGATTTCGCTGTTATTTTTATTGAGAGTTCTTATTTACTAAGGTTTAGTTATGTTATCTTTTTTTCAACCAGGTTGTCCCATCTATTGAGGAGTTATCAACTTGAACATTTTTGCCTGGAAAAACATACTAAAACAAATTAAAACTGTGAAATGGAGACGAGTTATGCGGAACGAACTAATATTTAACGAAGTAGACTAATTTAAACCTCAAATTCCGTATTCTTTGGGGGTATTATACATTCCGGTAACAAGTCAGTACGAGTGCTACATCAAAACCAAACTGCACAGTTAATGTGATCGTTTCATAACAGTTGTATGGAAAAGCACCAGGGTGTTTATGGACTATTTTGTGGAATCAATTTAAGCATAGCTGGTAATTCTCTTTAAGAAGTATTTTCCACTCGCCATTCTCTTTTCCAACTATTGAACACTCTTCGACTACGGTAATCGTACAGCAAACAAAGCAAACCTCGTCTTGGCTTGTTCCCTTTTTCCATTTTCGTGCGTCCGGTTTCCACCACCATGTCTACTGCAAACAGGCTGGTTCCTCGCTATGCTCATACGGATGGTTTAACACGTCTTTGTTATTCACAGGACGGTAGTCTATTATTTACAGTCGGCTCTAACCAGGTCGTTCGCAAGTTCCAGGTGAATTCTGAGGAGGAGCCTGAAAGTATCGACAACCACCAGGATCCCATTACTGGAATTGCAGTATCGGTACGCTGAATGAGTTCTGCTTTTCGCAAAGATAACTAATCCGCTTAGAAAGACACGTTTTGTACGTGTTCCGAAGATGCAACCGTGTGCGTATATCCCATTGCTTCGAAGGGTGAATTTTCGTTATTGACTCGCTGTACTTTGCCGGTACGAGATGTGGTCTATTCAGCTGATGGTGAATGGATTATTGTCGCCAGCGACGAAACCATTGTGAAAATGGTAAACGTTAAGGATCCCATGCAAACACACGTCTTTCGTGCTTCCAAAAAATCGAACAAATCAGTCTCTGTCAGCCCTTCTGGTAACTGTTTAATCATTTCGTGCTGCGATGGAACGTTATATATGTTTGATTTACATACTCGTGAGCTTGTTCACACAGTTCGTGACGTTATTCTGTCTACCGAAAGCACTTCTGAGATTTGCACTACGGCTGTATGGCATCCGTCGGGTGAATACTTTGTTGCAGGTACTCATGATAACGGTATATCGCTCGTTTCGTCTACAGATTGGTCTATTCTAGATACGCTTAAAAATGGAGGACACACAGCACCTATTACAGCTCTTGCATGGTCGTCAGACGGTCTTTATCTTGCCAGTTCTGGACAAGATGGGCGAATCATAGTTTGGGACATACAAACACGTACAGTTGTTGCCGAACAGGCATATGGTAACGTCGTGGCCCTTGCATGGCAGCCATTCGCAAACGTTTTGTCATTCACCACAAACCAAGGTGTTTTATATACATGGCCACAAGTGGTTGCGTCTGTCCCGGCCGCATTGGATGCTTCGAAAAAGCCTAGTCGTTCTCACAGACAGCGTGAGGAGTTGAGCAGTCTGTTTGGTGACGAAGAAGTTAGCGTCAGCAATGATGGCATTGATGTTAGCCGTACGCTGGTCGATACGGAAAGTGCTGTCGATGCTGGCATGAACGACTTTGCTGCTGAGGGAAACGATGATGAACTTGACATTGATGCAGACAGCTACATGATTAATGAAGACGACCTTCAAGCCGTTCGTCGCAAACGGAAGGCACAAGAACTAGCAGCTGCTAACGATCAAGCTAAAAAAGCCAGCAAAAAAAGAATATTTCAAACTGATGTTCATCCACCTGTTCATCCCGGTAGTACCCCGTGGCAAGGAAATCGTCGTTACTTAGCCTTAAATCTTGTTGGTTTCGTATGGACCGTTCGTCAAGACGAAGCTCATCATACTGTTACCATTGAATTTCATGATGAATCAAAAAACAAGAAATATCATTTCACGGACGAAAACCTTTATGATATGGCTTGTATAGATGACCAGGGTGTTGTTTTCGCTGCACCAGGTTCGAAAAGTGAACCTGGCGTTCTGCATTTCCAACCGCATAGTGACTGGGCAGGACGGTCGGAATGGACTGTTCAGTTTCCAGGTGAGGACGAAAATGCAGTGTGCATAGCCCTAAGCGATCGAGTCGTTGTAGCCTGTACAACTCTTGGTTATGTTCGTGTATACTCTCGCAGCGGATTTCCCCTGCGGGTTTTTCGGTTTTCATTTCTTCCCTTTGTTGCCTGTGTCTCTTATAAAAGCACAATTATGATTGTTGGTAATGAAGGTGTTGGACCTGATGGTACGCCTCGGCTTACAGCATATATTGAAAATGTGCAGGGTGACGATGAGGGCGGCTTGGAGAACCAGACTGTCTTTCAGAACGCGTGTATGGTGCCTCTTCCTCCACAGGGTCAGTTGATGAATGTCTTTTTCTCCGATAACGGCGATCCGTATATTTTCGATTCTGCCGGTGTGCTACTGACATTGTTGCATTGGCGTCAGCAAGGTCAGGCCCGTTGGGTTCCTGTACTGGATACCACACAGTTGGAACGCTTCGTGAATCGTGAAGAACGTTATTGGCCAGTTGCCGTTATGGACAACCAGTTCCATTGTATCATTTTAAAGGGTGCACTTCAATACCCCTACTTTCCACGACCCATGGTTACTGAATTTGACATGCGGGTACCATGTACGCAGCTTCTCGGAGCAGAAGAAATGTCTGTCGCTAGTCTTGAGGAGCAATGTGTTCGTTTCCGTGTGCTTCTTGCTCTGCTCGATGACCGGTTGGCAGCAGATGCAGAGGACGAAGATACCGAGCAGTCGAATGCAATTGCCTTGCAACGAGCACGACTCCAAGCAAATGCAGACAAGGCTGTTCTGCAGCTTGTTCAAAAATCTTGTTTGGAGGAGAAGAACGACCGGTCGTTAGCACTTGTGCATCGACTTTGTCGCCCAGCAAGTGTTCTTGCTGCACAAAAAATTGCTTTGCACCACAACATGACATCGCTTGCTGAAAAGATTGGTGAAATTGCTACGAAGAATGCCAATTCTGGTAATTAGAATTTATTCCATTTAATCTGATAAGATTACAAAATTCATCATAATTCATTAAGTGTTATGCTCGTTTCGTAGAACGACCATCTTATCTTCTAACAGAGTTATCTTATCTAAACTTTATTTTCATATCTTAGGAGTCGTATCGAGAGTCGTCGGCAATTTCGCTTGCCTCCCGCCTGCCACTATAGAGAAAATGAGTGTCGGGCAGTTGGCGGAGAACGTGAGGTGCACACGTCGCATAGCAGCTGCAATGTCGAAAGAACAAGGCGCACAAGACAAAGCTGCACCTGCCACCGCTGCAATGAAGCCGCAGGTGCTCCAAGCGAAAATCCAAACGTCCGTAAGTTTGACACGAAACCTCATCAGCTCTTGGCTGGGCCCAGAAGAGCCGCATGGCAAAAACGCGAACAATGAAGCGGATCAAGAGACACAATTAAAAGCACGTCCTCCTCGTCTTGGTTTAGGAGCAACAGCGTCCCAATTAGCATCGAAAACAACTCACATGCCAGTGTCCATGAATGCGAAACTAAACAGTCTTCCTCCCGCTCTCAAAAAGAAAATCGAAAGACAAATGCAAAAACGAAAGGAAGCTGAAACCAAGTCAGCTCGTTCCACGTCTTCGTCGGGCAATGCAGACCCGGGAGACGACAGCGAAGACGATGATGATGAGGACAGCATGACTTCAAAAGCGTCCGTTTTGTCGAAGAAACGCTCAAAGGCCAATATTTCCAGTTTTGATATGTACAAAAATTCAAAAAAACGCCGTTAGTGTATGATAGATGCCTAGCGGTATGTATATAAAGATGGAGTTAAAAAAAAGCAGCTAACCAGGACGAGAGCTGCCAATTTTTGGTACTAATAATTGCAATGGCAAAGTGATACGGTGCCAGTGAGGAAAGTGACGATACCAAAGAAACAGTGTGTTTAGGTCATTTTTTGGCTTTTGTTTGGTCCAACCTCGTCTTTAAAGCTATCTTTGGTGCCATCGTTTCAGGAACGATGAAAGAATGCTCTTCTTTATGACCCGAGGTTAATCCTATAACTTCCAGGTAATCCCAAGTAACGGGATGTATACGCTCTCCCGTCGAAAAACCAACTGTAACCAGGAAAACCGGAACGCTTCGTATCCTGCTTTCACCAATTCGGCAGGCATTTCCCTAGGAACATAAAACTGCTCCTTCCAAGGAAGCACCATAGAGCCCAGCCAAAAAATTCGCGAGAGCGCAATCATGTTGATTACACAATAAAAACTGTATTGATCACATTAGAAACTTAATCATATAACACTGGAAAATGTCGTTTTCTTTCACTCGCATTCCCAATACAGAGGGCCGAAATAGGACCAATGAAAAACAACGCAATAAAAACATACCAAGGCCGTTTGTAGAGCACCAATGCTACAATAAATGCAATGTAGAACAACGGAGGAGCCGCATTAGCAGCCAAAAGTGCAGGAATAAAGTACCGTAAGCATAACATTTCGTGGTGGCAGATGAAAGGTGTTGCAACTGGGACCGAAAATTGAAGAAGTAACATCCGAACAAATATAACGCACTGAAAAATCAAACTGAAACTTTGTAATAAATGTGATAAATAAAAGTAAAATGTCTAAAAACCACTGAGTATGTCCACCTTTTTTCCCTTTGTAGCCCGGTCCACTCGTTTTGCTTTTTTCTCCTTTTTCAGAGCCCTGTAGTCATCATCGAGTTCTGACAAATCCTCGCCGCTGTCGGAAGGAACAGTTTCTTCTTCTGCAGGCTTTGTAGTAGCTTCAGATGCAGAATCGTTGGTCGACGTTATTGCTTCCTTAGCTTTGCCGACGGAGTCCGCTGTACCCAATTCACGAGCCTCGCGAATCTTTTCACGACGATTTCTTCTCTTCTCTCTGCGCTCAACACGCTTTTCTTTGCGCTCTTTTTGCTTTGACCAAGCCTCTGTTTGCTTTTTACGTTTCTTCGAGGGTTGATGTGACTCTGGAGATAGAGCTTGTTTTTCCAAAGCGGCTTGACGAGCCTTCTCGCGGTTGGTATCACGGAAGGCAATAGAAGCAGTGTCAACTTTCTCCGCTGTAAAGTCCTCGTCCGTATACTCGACATCACGGAGCTCTGGCATTTTTGGCAGATGTAACAGGGCGTATGCTGTAGCCATTTGAGGAAGATCGAGTTCCTTAACGCGAAAAATAAATGACGCCTGATGCTTCGAGTAAGCCTTGACGTGAGAAACAAAAGCACGAAGACCCTTTTCGTAAATGTCACGATCTTTTTTACAAGCCTTCCTCAAAGTGGAAACAAGTTCTTTTAAAGCAGTCTCGTCACACACGCCCTCTGGAATTTCGGCACGCTGAATTGGCACTTTGCGTACGCGTAGCAAATCTTCATACTCTTCTTCACGACCTTCGTGTAGCATTACAATTGAAAGACCACGTTTTCCCGCACGGCCAGCACGACCGGCACGGTGGGAAAAGGATTTTGGATCGAGAGGTGGATCCATTTGCAACACAATATCAACATTGGGGATATCAAGACCGCGTGCAGCAACATCCGTAGTAAACAGCACAGTCTTTTTCGATGCCGAGACAAACTGTTCAAAATGGCGGGTTCGGTTCGATGGCGCTTGCTTTCCATGCAAGGGGACAATGTCATATGGAAGTTTCATGCCAGCCAAAAGCGTTGTAAAGTAATCAACAGTAGCACATGACAAAAAGAACACGATTGCCTTTTCAAAAGATGTCGTGCTTAAGAGTTTTAGCAAGCATTGAAGTTTGAACTTTACAGGAACTACCATGGACTGAATGGATAGAGAAAGGGGAGTTCGTGCATCTTGCTGCTTCATAGCAACATTGACTGTGATGCGAACGCTGTTCCGAAGACCTGCCACCCGAAGGAAACTCGAAATAGTATCGTTCATTGTTGCACTGAACAATCCCGTGCGGCGCTGTTTGGGAAGTCGACTGATGATCGATTGAAGCGTCTTTTGGAAACCCATGTCAATCAAAGTGTCCGCCTCATCCAAAATGAGAATTTCTAACCCTTTGGTACTAATGTTATCAAGCAACTCGTTAATGCGTCCAGGCGTTCCGATAACAATCTCAGGAAGAGTTTTCTTGTAAAGTCTGATATCTTGAGCGACGGAGTCTTTTCCACCAATATAGTTGACGGCCGTAAGCTTTCGCTTCTGTGTGGTCTTCGTTTTCTGCGAATTGGAATCCCCATCCTTGTCTTCATCCTCATCCTGATACACGAGCAACTCCTGGGTCACATTGAAGATCTGTGTCGCCAATTCACGAGTCGGTGCGATGACCAATGCACCAATTCCGATTTCGTCAGCGTCACGACGAAGCACTTTTTGAATAGCAGGAAGAAGATACGCAAGAGTCTTTCCTGAACCTGTCACGGCCTGCATAAAAATTTTGTGTTAGTTTTCATTGAACAGTAGTCGTGATGAAATGGATTCAAGAATTAAACATACCTCGACTACGAGATCTTTATTTTTCAGAAAAAGAGGAATAGAGTTTTCCTGAACTGGAGTCATATTGGTAAAACCCATGGCCTGAACGGCGCGTTTTCTGTAAAGATGAAAGTTAACGAAAATTCATTTTAAAAGCGTCAAAAAACGAGATTTGCACGTACAGCCACGGCTCAATGTTCAAGTCTTGAAAACTCATGGTAGACGGGGTACAAATGTGCCGTTAAAGAGCGACAGAATTGGATTCCTTTATGGGTCCTCGCGGTGGTGCACGAGTCGGTGAGAGCGCGAAATTAGTTTCATAGGAGCAGTCGGCGACGCTTCCTTTCGCCAACACCGTTTTCAACCATGCTGATCAAAGTAAAGGTACGAGTTCTTTGAAAATGTTGTGTGCATCTAGTAACGTGTTTTCGTTGTGCAGACCCTTACAGGAAAAGAGGTATGAGCGTTGTCCTTTCAAAATCAATTCCTGGTTAGCGCTGGTAGCTAATTGCTTTTGTAATTAGATTGAGTTGGACATTGATCCAAACGACAAGGTTTCACGTATCAAAGAAAGAGTAGAAGAAAAGGAAGGAATTCCACCTTCTCAGCAGCGGTTAATTTTTGCTGGAAAACAAATGTAAGACGAAAACAGGAGGAAGCATACGAAGCTGTGGACAGATATATGCCTTGTTCCTTGTTTTTTATTCTTGATTGACTCGTTCTCTCGCATCTAGATACTAATGGGCAATTCAGGTCTGATGAGAAAAGTGCAGAGACGTACCACTTGGAAGGTGGAAGCGTGTTACATTTGGTACTTGCACTTCGTGGAGGCAACTAGAAACATTCGTTTGCTGCACAACTGTCTTCAAGTATTAGTTATCTTGAGTACCATGCCAATAACAAATAATGATCGTTTAATACATTCAGCAAAGTTCAAGTAAATCCTTCCCGTAGAAGATGACAGAGCAGAACAATGCCTAGCTTGGTTGGATACCGTATGAATTAGATTTTGTAAATACCACCATAGAAGTTGTCATTCTCCAAGCCTTTCGATACCACCATGTCCATGAAATCGCTGGCAAAGACACTATTTGGCGTGTCCAAGCGCACCTTCTCGTACTCCTCAGCTCTTCGCGCAGTGCATCCTGTCGTTTCTAGTGCTGTATTCAACGAGAAAATTAGGTTTGTAGGCTGTTTCTGCGTCGCGACTAATCCCTGTTTATAGTTCGCCGAAATTGACCGTTGCTGACTTCTATGCCACCTGGTGTGGTCCTTGTAAAACAATACATCCTCTGTTGGTTACTTTGAGTGAGAAATACGACGACGTTTCGTTCATTAAGGTCGATGTTGATCAAATGCAAGACCTAGCACAACAATACGGCGTGTACGCCATGCCGACACTCATGGTATTCAAAAACGGTAAACTACTCGACCAAATCGTTGGAGCAGACCTAAAATTGCTTAGAATGTCCATAGCGAAAAACCGTTTAAAGTGAACTCCTCTCCCGACCTAGAATAACGAAATGAATGCGCACATTGTAACAGTAGATGTAATTCTTTAACACATATGTACTACATGTGAATGGGAAACGGTAGGAAGGTTGCTGGACTTGTGTGTCTTTAATATGCACCAAAACGCGTGACGTCAGTATAGTTTACGCGTTTTGCAAAAAAGCTTAACTTAGTGCGTCTGGATTTGCATTTATAAGAAAGTTAAAAAGCATGTGACAACCTTAACGAAGGCTTAATTGATAGTTATTAGTTTTATGTAGAAGAGTTAAAAGATTTGAACAATTAAAGGATTTGTTTGTTCTCTAATAAACGAGAACTTTAGGGCTCCGACCTATTTCCCTCCATTTTTCAAAATCAGTTTCTTCTATCAAGAAAAACTTTTGTAGTTTCTTGAAATTGAATTCATTAAACACTAGCAATCGGTATGTCAGTACAATTTCAAGTGACCCGCATTTCAGCTTAATTCGCCGAAACCTTAATCGCAAACCCGAAAGTGACTAAATAAATTAACCTTTTAGGCTTGAAGCTTATTATCATCAGTCATGATTTGACGAATGCAATTGTTCATATAGCTTTTTTTTATTGACCCAATTCCCATCTCCATTTGTGCATTTACGACTGGCCCAATCGTCCTGCTAATGCAAGCAGATGTTGCATGCACGCAGTAATACGAAAGACATCAATCTTTTCCAAAGATGGTTTAAGCTTTAGGAGTGCCTGTGGATCATCAGCGCATGCCCATAAAGCTGCTGCGTAGGCAATTTCGTGTGGGTGACAAATAAGTGACAATTGCGTGGCATACGAGTCGTTGACCAGTCCCCTAAATTGTTGTTAGCAAAAAGAATGAATTTGGTCCAATTATTGTGAGCACTTTACCAGGCCAACTCAAGTTGTTTTTTTGTAATCAGGTTTTCACGATATATCTTTTCTAAGGTCGGATAGGGATGAAAGACAATAACGTAGGCATCAAGATGAGAGAGAATATGCGATTCAGTTTGAGCAATCAAGCTTCGACTTGGTTTCACGCTATCAGGCCAAAACTGAATTGCCTCAGCTGTAACAACTCGAATGTGAACGGGACATTCTTCGACCTTGCTTGCTAAGTAAAGACATGCAGTAACGAATAGCTCGCGCTCTTTAGGCTCATGTTTGACCGCGTGGATGTAACGTTTTAATAATACAGCAGCAGTCGCCTGCGCTCTTTGACGAACCTTGAGCTTTGTACCAAAAGACTTGATCACTAAATGGAAGGTGTCGTGTTAGTACGCTGTCATACTGTTTCATGGAACTGGAATTACTTACAATTCCAATATTCGATAGATGAATCATCAAATGTTGGTCTACTCAGGGCAAACTGGTCAAATGAAGCAAACCATTTCTTACTGTTCACACCGTGTTAGCTCATTGTACTCATAGAATCAGTTTTCCACAGAGAAAACTTGTGTGAAAAGACGCGTCTTTCGCACATAATTACGCGTTCACAACAAACAAATCCGTACAATTGACTGGAATTCCAGTAGTTTGCAGCCATAAAGCTACTGTAAAAGCCTTATTTCATGTATGAGAAACACGGGAACAACCTCAATTACTAGATTTACAAGCAAGGTAGGGTAAAACTTCGTCTTGATTTTGTTGGTTGAGAATTGAAGGTTTGTTACGAACAACCGTGTAGACACCAAAAACGTTGAATAAATTCCTACCTAAAAGATAGTCAAATCAGACGGTATGGGACATTATGCACGAAAAAACTCAAACAGATGCTTCATTTGAAGGTCTGTTGGAAGATTTTCAGACGTTAAAAGGTGCCGCTACATTGCAAAATGACGAGCAATACCAAAAGTTTGACCTCTGGGACAAAGTCCCAGAACTCTCTTCTGCGAAGAAGAACATTGTATCTGTACGTGAACATTCGAATTCTTTTGTTCTAAACGCGTTAACACCTGTCAGACGCGATCTTTTGGCCATGCGACAAATTGGAATTCCCCAAAAAACATCATTAGCAATCATTACCTTCTCACAAACTCACCAGATACCAACGTATTACATGACTGGTTCAAAAACTCACCTCATTCACGCGTCTTTCTCAAATTACTACAAAACTCCTCTGAAGGCGATGTCGTTGTGACACAAAGTATTCTAGGAGGCTACGGTTACTTTGCTTGCGGCGGTCTCTCTGGGATTGTTTCCCGGACACTAACAGCTCCTCTAGACCGTTTGAAAGTCCTTCTCATCTCTAATACACAGCGGCAACCCTTGTTCTCTCTTCATCATTCGGCCCTACTCGAGGCTAGCAAAACGGTTTGGCGGAAAAATGGAATACGCGGATTCTATGTTGGAAACGGGTTGAATATACTAAAAGTAATTCCAGAGTCCTCCATACGTTTCGGTACATATGAAGCAGCGAAACGGTTTCTAAACAGAAACAACAAAACCCAACCAATCAGTCCTGGCAATGCATTCCTTGCTGGCGGAATTGCCGGCTCTGTCGCCCAAGTATGCATGTATCCTTGTAAGTTGTTCCTCTTTTTGTTCTCTCGAGTTTCCAAGTGTGAAATGCTAATCATGATTCAGTGGACACCATAAAATTGTACGTGTAGTCAGCGCTGTGATTCCGAAATTAGATGCTAACCGGTAACTGACAATAGCCGTATGCAGTGCGTTTCCTTTGGCCTGCAAAATAAGAGGCGCCTTATGATGTCCGTGGTGAAAGACCTGTACAAAGTCGGCGGTCTGCGGGCATTCTATCGGGGCGTATTGATCGGTGTGCTGGGCATATTCCCATACAGTGCTGCTGATTTAGGGACATTTGAAGGCATGAAGCAAATGTGGATACGCATATCAGCACGAAGACAACATGTGGATGCAAGTGATGTCGAACTACCCAGCGCATCTGTTCTTTGTTTCGGTGCTCTTTCAGGAAGCTTTGGAGCAATCCTAGTGTATGTTTTCTTTTTTATTTTTTTTTTTAATTTCGCTGTAAAGCTACTCGGGTCATTATTACTAACAATGGTTTACAGATTTCCGTTGAACGTTTTACGCACACGGCTACAAACACAAGGAACCGCTGGTCACAGGTCAACGTATAAGGGTTTCTGGGACGTTGCACACAAAACCATCCGCAACGAGGGTTGGTCAGCACTATACAAGGGTCTCTTCCCCAATCTACTAAAAGTTGCTCCAAGTGTAGCTATATCATACCTTGTGTACGAGAGTTCAAAGAGCTGGCTTGGACTGACGTGACGGAAAAAAGAGGGAAGGAGGTAAAAAAAAAATACGAATTTGTTATGACTTGTTTCGGGAATGGTTTAGGTCAATATAGAATGATGTTTCCACATTTATCGTCTCGTTGCTTCGTTTAAGCTTCCACCCACGCTTCAAATAGTACGGGCCCAATATTAATGTTCTGAACAGGAATCGTTCGACTATGCAGCAACCACTCTTTCTCGTCAGTTTCCTGCTGTGCGGCAATCCAGGAATGATAATTGCCTGGACGGTCGTGATCAGCTTTAAAGCTTAGGCGCACGCACCAGGTGGTTCCTACAGCAGAAAGTTAGCCATCATGACACGAGAAAGTGTGTGTGTGTGTGTACACGCATACCAGACGGCAACGGTTTTAAGCCTTCAGCAGCGCGAATAAAGCGAACGATGGCAGCCCGCAGGCTTTCGACAGACTCTGCTTCTGTAACGTTGCGACCGTTTTGTGCAACGGCACTAAGACGTTAGAGTGGATGAAGGATGAAGGATGAATTGCTTTCCGCTCACATACGGTCGATCGAGGAACACTGAGGAAATCGTTGGGAGAGACTCTGTGGAAAAGACAAACCGTTCGAGAACCCGTTGAGACTCTGAGAGCAAGCACACGGCTATTCTACTGACATGACCCTGAAGGTAAGCAACGCTGTTGTGAATGGGGAGGGGAGGAAAAAGGCACACCGAGTTTGTCTTACCGATTGAATTTCAGCAACACAGGACTCGACGACTTTGGCAATGTAGCCGGAGAGTTTGGGGTGTCGGCTCTGCCAGACAAGGGTGTTGTATAGTTGGGTTTTCGTGAACAGGGCTGATGTGAGTAATGGGGACACTGGCAAGGAGTGTTTGTTTCGTACTCTTGGGATAAACGCCTCGCAAGTATAAGAGTGTATGGATACAAGCAGTAACTGAGTGTTAGAGAGGATAAGGCGGGGATTCGAGGGAAGAGGAAAGAGAAAAGAACTTGTCGAGGGTCCTCGAGAGCAACCGGTTCAACCATCACGATGGATCCGATGAGCTCAACGAACCCAGCAGCAGCACATCCCATCGACCCTCACTGAAACTTCAGACTCTCTTACAAAATACTCCAAACTCTTCTGTGCATCCTTTCACGTTAGTCTCAATTAATAAATAAACAAAATAAACAAAACAAGAAAACAGAAAAAAAAAAAAAAAAAAGAAAGCTGCTCACTTCGTATGCTCCATTCTTGATTGTCCATTGTCGTCAGCAACCTCAAACTGTTTGCAGTTGCACGGAGGAAATCGACGATCCAAGTCTCATCAAACGAAACGAAACACGACCAAACCAAACCAAACCAAAGTGAGCAATTGCCTCTACTGTTTGTGTGAATTTTGTATTTCGCCTCTGTGCTCTTGCTGGTTCTGCGTCCACCTTCAGCTGTGTCTGCTCCTTCTGCTCATTCCCTCCTAACCTCCTCTGCTACCTCTGCTACCTCGCTCCCACCTCGCCCTCCACCACCACCACTTTCCCCATTCCCCCCACTACCCACCACCCCCACGCCTGGTGGTGAGTTTCTGCCGACCGTCGCGACCCGTTTGTTTTGGCCGAACTACCGAACTCTCCCACCATCGCTTACTACCACCCAAGCTACAGCTAACTGACGTCGAGTTCGGTGCCCGACACCTCCGCTAGGAACCAACTTCTAGCTACACTGGACGAAAACACAGAACACCGTACCTCACGGTTTCCCTTAAAGAAATGAACACAATCAATGACGCTATTTGTGAGGTTGAACGGAAGATCGGCCGGGAACGGTCTATGATCCACGGTGCCCGTGCAATGGAGCAATTGACGAAGAACCAGGTAATCCACCAGCAGCTGCGAGCAAACATCAAAGAAGCCGAAAAAAACATTGCATACTTGGAAGAAAGACTGCAGAAACTGCGGCTACGACAGGCTGGGGTGCATTCTAAAAGCTCGACGAGCGTGTCTGGACTGTCCACAGGAAACGGACAGGACTCGGAGGATAAGAGTAAAGAGACAAACAGTCAGCCGCCGTTGACAAACCTCGGTAAGTATGGGATTAGGGGATGGACGTCAAGTCACGTCGAGCAGCATCGAGCAAATGCGAGAAACGACGGTGGACGACGGTGAGCCACGGTCGGATTAGCGACGAGAACGGTGCTCGAGGACGACGCGTTCTGTGTGACTCGGTTCGACTCGGTTTCAGCTCGGTTTCAGCTCGTCCTTGAGCCGTTTCACTTGGTCGTTGCGGACGGTCCTGCTCGAGAGTCTCGTCTCGCTTTCGCTCGACGGACTCTCTCACATACTCTCTCACAGATCCCCTGCTAACATCCACAGACATCATCAAATATGACACTCCCATTACAATTGCCAAAATCTCAGTCATGCTGCAGCAGCTCGAGTTCAAACTCACACTCGAAAAACAGTTCCGCGAGGGCATTGACAAGATGGCCAAGCTGTATCAACGGGAGGGCGACAAGCGAAGCATTTTCGAGGCCGAAACCAAGAGAGTAGAAAGCGCACAAAAGATCAAGCTCCTTCAGCAGGCTCTGAAGCGGTATCATGACTTGCATATCGAGATTGATGAAGACGACCTCAACACAGGCACCCAGCTCATCGCACCCAACATCCGTCGTCCGCAGTCGGGAACGCTCACTATATGCATCGGCTCTCTCCGCAACGTGAACCATTCGTCTACCAGCATCACTCGCACAACCGAAACGGTTGCCGTCATCAAAATCGAAGATGTGGAACGGAGTCGAACGAGGCCGAGCCGGAACGACAAGTTCAACGAGGCCTTTGACATTGACGTGGAAAAGGCCAACGAGGTTGAGATTGTGGTGTACGACAAAAAGAACGACAAAACAATCCCCATCGCGCTGCTTTGGATTCGTCTTTCAGATCTCGTGGAGCAGCTGCGACGGAAAAAAATCGAGCAAGAAATCTCTGACTCTGGCTGGGTCAGTGCGGACAAAATGGACACGGATCCTTTGTCGAAAAGCACGGGCAATCGTCGGTCACTTCTTGTAATTCCTAAAAACGAAACCTCTCATGGGTCATCCAGTACTACCTCCGTCGTCAGCCCGCCTGTCTCCGCATGGTTTTCCATGGAGCCTGTTGGGCAGATCTACCTTTCCCTTAACTTTGTCAAACACAACCTCCGCAAGCGGCCGTTCGATGCCGGACTGGGCCGCCAGGGCGCTATTCGTGCGCGCAAGGACACGATTCACGAGGTGTTCGGCCACAAATTTGTGCAGCAGCAGTTCTACCAGATCATGCGCTGTGCATTCTGTGGAGAGTTCCTCAAAAATACATTTGGCATGCAGTGTGAGGATTGTCATTACACCTGTCACAAAAAGTGTTACCCCAAGGTCGTCGTCAAGTGCATTTCCAAGCCTAGTGACGGCACGGAGAACGAGTATGAGAAAATCAACCATCGCATCCCACATCACTTTGAAGCGCACACCAACATTGGTGCCAACTGGTGCTGTCATTGCGGTTATATATTGCCTTTGGGCAAGAAGGTTGCTCGCAAGTGTACTGAATGTGGTGTCACCGCTCATGTTCAATGTATGCACCTTGTTCCCGACTTCTGTGGCATGTCTATGGAAATGGCAAACCGTATTCTTTACGAGCTGCGTACCACCAAACCACGAAAGACTCCTACGGCAACTCGTTCCGCTTCTATTCCCTCGACCCCGGTCAGCAAACTTACTTCCAAGTCGGAAGCTAACCATGCCAAGAAGGACTCTGTTGTTTCTACAACGTCGCTGATTTCTCCCCTGGCACCGACTCAACAATCACCTCCCCCTGTTTCTACCCCAGTTTCTGTGCCCGTTATCGAAATATCCAGTCCACCTTCTCTTACTCCCGCACCGTCTATCAAACGGAAACCTATTCCCCCAGGTGATAATGAGCAGCCGCTGTCTCCTTACTCCATCCCGCAAGCAGAAGCCGAGACCCCTAAACAAGATGTAACCATAGTCGATTCCGTTGGTCGGCCTGTTCAAGCGACTGACGCCAATCTCGCCAAGACTCTTGTTGAGCCCTCTAAGGTGGTCGGTTTGGATTCCTTCAACTTCATCTCTGTTCTCGGTAAGGGTAACTTTGGTAAAGTTATGCTCGCAGAGTCAAAGAAAACCAAAAATTTGTTCGCCATCAAGGTTCTAAAGAAATCATTTATCCTTGAGAATGACGAAATTGAAAGTATTAAGTCTGAAAAGCGTGTTTTCCTTGTCGCCAATCGCGAAAAGCACCCGTTCCTTCTTAATCTGCATTCGTGTTTTCAAACAGAAACTCGTATTTTTTTCGTTATGGACTATGTCAGTGGAGGTGACCTAATGCTTCATATCCAGCAAGAGCAATTCTATCCCCGCCGTGCACAGTTTTATGCGGCTGAAGTCTGTTTGGCGCTCAAATACTTTCATGATAATGGAATCATCTACCGTGACTTGAAACTGGATAATATTCTGCTGAGCCCGGATGGTCATATAAAGCTTGCTGATTATGGACTTTGCAAAGAAAACATGTGGGACAAAAATACCACTGTTACCTTTTGCGGTACGCCAGAGTTTATGGCTCCGGAAATCTTGCTTGAACAAAAATACACACGAGCCGTCGATTGGTGGGCTTTTGGAGTGCTTATTTACCAGATGTTACTCGGTCAGTCGCCGTTCAGAGGTGATGATGAGGAAGAAATTTTTGACGCCATTTTGACGGACGAGCCTCTGTATCCTATTCACATGCCTCGTGATTCTGTATTTATTTTACAGCAATTGCTTACTCGCGCCCCAGAGAAACGTTTGGGTTCTGGGCCAAATGACGCTGAAGATGTTATGGCTCATCCCTTCTTCAGTAATATTAATTGGGATGACATTTACCATAAACGCATTCAGCCGCCATTTGTTCCTAAACTTGAGGGACCTAAAGATACGAAATATTTTGATGAAGAGTTTACGAGTGAACTCCCCATTCTTACTCCCATTCAGTCTACCCTTTCGCCTGAGATGCAAATGCACTTCGAAGGCTTTTCCTATATTTCCGATTTTGATACACCTCTTGGCAACTAGCCTCATTAAGCATTTCACGGCGATCCTTTCACACGTTCTTTGTTATAAAGGTTGTCATTTGTTTGTACATGTTTCATTTAAGCAATATATTTTTTTTACGCTTCAAAGAGTGTACTCAGTTGAACTCATGTATATGTATTACGTGGCACTAAGGGGAATTGCAGCTGTTCAAATTGAACCTCATTTTTTCCTCATGTGAAATCTTGCATTACTGTCAAATAATTGCTTCATTTTTCCTTCTAAATTTTACCAACAATCAGTACTATTTTGAGAAAAGGCATGCTCCAACAAGTACATTTTTCACTACAACATGTCTAGTGCATGCCCGCATGAGGATCTTCGGGTTGCTTTTCGGGATCCAGCTTAATGCTTGTGTCAATGCGGAGAATAGCAATACAAGCCTCTACGGCACTCTTAATGCTTTTCAGTTTGGACATCATAGGCTCAAGCACACCAGCTTGAACATTGTTGCGGAGAGTGCCGTTCAGCAGATCAAGACCGTAGAACTTGTAGTTACGCTTCTTTGAATCAGTGGGATCGGCATTCTGGGCAGCTGCATGGTAAGCACGAAGCTTAGCCGTCAGCTCACTAGAGTCCTTGGCAGCATTTACAGCCAACGTTTTGGGAATTACCAGCATTGCTTGGGCAAACTCAGCAATGGCAAGCTGCTCACGCGAACCAAGAGACGTAGCGAAATTCTCGAGGTAAATGCTCAAAGCCGTTTCAACGGCACCTCCACCGGGAACAACGCTGCCGCTTTCCAGAGTCCGCTTGACGACGCTAAGGGAATCATGAATAGAACGCTCCATTTCATCCAAAGAGTATTCGTTAGGGCCACGAAGAACGATAGAGGAAGAAGAGAAGGCCTTTGTGCCCTTGATGATAATACATTCGTCATCGGAAAAGCGTTCTTGCGAAACCTCTTCGGCGGAACCAAGGTAAGAACTCTCAAAAGTTTCTTCGCCCTCCAAGTTTGACAAAGTACTGATCATCGTAGCACCGGTAGCCTTCGCGATGCGGCGTAAGTCTTCCTTCTTGCAACGACGAACAGCCATGGCACCAGCTTCAACAAAAGACTTCAAGCAAAGATCATCAATACCCTTAGTAGTGAGAATAACATTGGCGCCAGCATTAAGAATCTTTTTCACACGCTCCAAAGTAATGGCAGCCTCTCTTTCACGAATTTTTTCAAGCTGGTCAGGGTCATCAATCGTCACATGAACACCGAGAGCCATACGGGCCTTCTGTAAGTTCATATCCAAGACGGCAATCTTGGCATTTTGAATACGTGTCTTCATAGCCTGACTGGCAATTGTACAGTTGAGAGCGTAGCCCTTGATTAAAACAGATTCCGTGGAACTGCGACCATGGGCCTTAAGGATGTTCACAGCTTTCACGGGATAGCGAACCTCTCCACGAGGATTAATGGCCTTCACCGAAAGCATGGCATCAACAACCATGCTGGCAAAGAAATCTGAATCGGATCCAATAATTTTGGACGACATACTGGTCTTGGCAACGTTGATTAAGCAATCGCGACCAAGGCTCTCGACATTACACTTCAAAACTTCCGTCATAAACTTTACAGCCTCACGCAAAGCCAGACGGTAGCCAGTAATGATGGTGGTAGGATGAATCTTGTTTTTCACAAGTTCATTCGCACGACGAAGAAGCTCAGCAGCGACGATAACAACACTAGTCGTTCCATCACCGACCTCCTTGTCTTGTTGTTGTGCAAGTTCGACGAGTACCTTGCCGGCAGGGTGTTCTACGTCAAGTAAAGAAAGAATAGTAGCACCATCATTCGTTACAGTAACATCCTAAAGCGGTCAGCAAGTGAAAAGAGTGACATATTAAACAATTCAATTCTCCAAATGAGGCTAAGAAGACAGGAGGACCGTGTTGACTCAGTATCGTTCAGATTGTTGTAATTGTTTTTGTCGTAGCACTCATGGCAATGTTACAACCGGTTAATAACCAGAACAAGTCATCAACACTTGAACAGGTTTCCTTTACTAAGTGACACTCCTAGCCTTCACTGTATGAATAAATTAACAACTTACACCAATATCGTCGACAAGCATTTTGTCGAGACCGACGGGACCCAGAGATGATTTCACAACATTTGCAATAGCCATAGCAGCCAAAACTGTTCATTAGCGGACGGTTCATAGAGATTCTAGCGAGAATTCTTACCGTTCTGGTTGCGAACATCTTCACCACTGATTTTCTCTCCTCCTAGGACTTCGTTGTTAGAAAAAAATCAGCTAAAGTGATTACATACAGAGAGTAGTATCTCTAGGAGCCTGAAAAAGCGACATTCTTTAGCTAAAACCTGCAAAGAACGTTGTTGACTTTTGGACGGTGAGCAGGACTTGGTTGTGAGTAGCGATGGTAGCAGGGCCAAACTCAACACCAAAATGAGCAGCAAGCTGGAACTGTACTCCATAGCAGTATAGAGTAGACAAGAATATATTGTTGTTAAATAGTTCTATTTCATGTACTATTGCGGAGTTGATGGTTTACTAAAGACGTTCCTGATATAAATAAAAACGATATACTGTCTTTCAATCTGTTATACATTCCCAGAAACGGTCATCACCAACCCTTCGTACTCGAATCAATGAAGTGTATATATGTGTCAGACTGACGCACATTCAGAAATTGATTATAACTTTTCACATAATCAACTTGATATATCACACAATCTACACACAAATTGCAAAACGAATTAAGGAAACGATTAGATGAGACGTAGAGAGAATATACAAGATCAATTTCCTCGAGTAGTTCGTTCAGGAGGACAAAAACCGAAACCTTTCCGAGATAAACAACAAAAAAATACAGAAAAGAAGGAACAGCTTACTCTGGAAGAGAGAGTTAGTCAGTTGCCTGAGCTACAGCGTAAAGTAAACGAAGAATGGGAGTCTTCTGTGAACCATAATCCTCCGGTTCATGCAGAAGGAATGTCCAAAGTTGAGTTGGTGCTGCATAAGTTCGATATGACAGCTAAATATGGACCGTATTTAGGAATGACGAGGCTTGAAAGATGGCACCGAGCGGAAAGATACGGTCTTCATCCACCGGATTTTATTCGTCACATTCTCGAGTTGCCAGAGGCATACGAAGCCAATAATGTCCGAAAATCCCTGTTTTACAGCGTAGCATCCACAAAGTGATGGGCATGTAAAGACACACTTGGGATGTTCCGCCAGCTTTTTTTTTAATGGAAATATTGAGAATGTAATATGTAAAATTACGGAGGGATATCGCCATGCACTCGAAGTTGGTATAAGCAAGTGAATTCGTTGTTCATCCAGTTGCTCTTGATCTTTAGAACAACGTTTTTAAAAGGAGGTTTTGACGTATCTGTCGATATAGGATATGTCTGGATAAAATTGTCGCCGGGCTGATACTCGAACGTTGTCAGGAGCTCGTAGCCCCTATCCTTTTTGAAATGATATCTTTGTCCCCAAAGCTCCATTTCCCGTGGAGCGCTTGAGATGTCCAACGCAATGCTGGGATGAACATGGTGAATGGAAACAGCATTAATGTATATAGGTTGGGATAGGGAAACTCCGAGTTGGCCAAAGGTACCAGCAAAGCTCCAGCACATCCCCACCTCGTTATTACTTTGCAGGGCCGTTTCTGGTCTATTTCCCTCAATGATATTGTCGTCCACTAGGTAGGACATGAGACGTGGAAATAGTGAGCTGGGACGTTTTTGATAATTGGGCGTTGTCAAATGACGGATGACTCTTGCACCGGTTGACAGCAACGCAAAATTTGGTCTAGCAAGAGTGTCAAGCGTCATTTGCTGCACGATGGACCGTGTAAAGCTTTCTAGTTTCGTTCGTAGAGCCTCGTCGTCCTCAAAACCATACTCGTGCAACAAGCATTGATTTTCCACTTGCTCTATGGCGCTCTGTACTTGTTGAGCGACAAGTTGGCTGACTTCATCACGCTTCAAAAACGATTTGTCTAGCGTAGACTTTGCAATATCTTCCACGATTTTTTCACTATCTTCAAGCAGCTCCTGCCAGCTGCTCTTTCTCATCTCTTCCACCTGTGCAGAAATATACTTGGACAACAACGCGAGAAACTCGGGATGGACAGTGAGTTGTCCGTCGTTATATGAAACGGCAGAAGCACCGTCGTCTCCTCCTTTAACTGTATTTTTGTCACTCGAGTACAATTCCAGTGCTTCGCGCTTCAAATTCGCGACAGTTTGAAACAATTCGGCTTGCTGCTTTTCCAAGCTTTGTAAACGTTCTATGCTTCCCGTCAAGCTCTCCCGGTACTCTGGATCGGTACCGACGGAACGACTGATGGACTGTTGGATAGAACTGATTTTCTTTTGGATAGTAGACATGACATCCTGCAAATGCTCTTGACGACGCGAAAGATCAATCCCTTGTTCCGTGATGTTGAAAGTACTTGAATTTAGTGCTTTGGAGATTGCAAAAAGATTGTTTATTCTGTCCTTTAACACCTCGTAGTTTTGTGCAAGGTGATTGTGATCCTTTTCAAGGGTTGCTTTTGATTGTGAGAGGTATTTTGCTATATCGCTAGCGTTCTCCATTTCAAGCTCTAGCTTGCTTAGACGTTGAAGAATGTCGCTAGAAGCATCGGTCGAGAGTGCGAATGGAAGCACACTTCGACTGTGTTGGAGATAGAGACCGACGCCGCTAGAAATAATAATAATAAATACGGAAACGACAAGAAAAAAGGATGGCGACATGATCCAACTTTTGTTGCGTTTTCTTGGACTGGCATGGGTTAGTTAGCTATCGAAAAAGGAGAGAAAGAGAGAGAGAGAGTGTGTGTGTGTGTGTGTGGGTTTAGCATACCTTTTGGAGTTTAATTCTTTTGCATGCTCGTCGTCTGAGGTCTCGTTTACGTCTGAGTATGGGGACCCTTTTCTGTTCCGCGGATGATTGTCCGGGTCAGAGTATGAGTATTCTGAATCGGAGTGGTCCTCGTCTGAGGAGTGCTGTGATTGTTTTACTATGCGTTCAAAAACCTCTTCATCAGACGCTTCTGGATACGACGTATCGTAGTGCAAACCAAAGCTGTGTTCTGGACTAGGCGAGCGTTCCAACGCTCGCAACTGGGGAACAGAAATACGAGTAGGCATGGCATTCAGACGGCCTGGTCGGGCCCGATGGATCTGGTTTGCTAGTTCAGCAGTATTTTGGTGTATACGAGCAGAGGATTGACCAGCAAGCCCCCGCAAATTACCGGCATGTTGTTGTCGCTCGCGTCTTCCTCCTACCGGTGTATTCGTAAACATTCTAGCGACAAATGAACGCCGAAAACGTCTCGTCTCCACGACAACAGTTGACAACGATTCTAGTGAACAACGGAAGCGAATGCAAAGACCAACGTGTGTTGGAATGAAAATGAGCGAAAGACAGGACAAACTCCTGGCAGTAAATCTGCGAAAAAAAAGCAGCTAGCCCGTAAGAATTGTGGACCCTGAACCCGTGACCTGATAGAGCAGAGAACCCGGTATAGACACGTCTTTTTGATTTCTTCTCAACCGAATACGCAGTACCTCGTTGCACTTCTTGGTGTAGGTGGTTGTGGTGGTGGAAAATACGGCGGTGTAGCGCACTGCAGGGGGGAGACAAGAGAGGAGGGCAGGAATGGAGTAGGGAAGCGAAATGTGAATTGTTTGTATGGAGAAAGAGTTGGGCATTGAAGAGTAACAGTAGGTGAGAGTTTTATTTTTTGGGATTTAGTGGGTTTCTGAGATTTTGGAGTCTGTATGAATACATATGTAATATCTATATACATGTGTATATTTTTTATATTTTTTATATTTTTTTTAATACTTTTGATTAATTTTATTTTTTTTATTTATTTATTTATTTTTTTTTATTTTTTTTATGTCTATTATTGATTAAACCCTTTTCTTGTAATTATAATTAATAAGTTAATATTTCCATTGAAACCCTAGACTATCTCGTCCATCCTTAACTTTACTAATCTCAACCTTTTTATTGAATCGAATGGTATCATTTTATGAACAAGCTTCTTCTCTAGAATACTCATAACACCGAATTAGCTAATGAACTTGTTTTTGTCGAACAATACGCTCATATCCAAGTGATGAAATGCTTTTCTTATTCCTCCTAGTAGTTACCTAGCCAGCTATGCTCAGAGTCACAGAAACACTGTTCACCTAAAATCCACACTTGCTCAAAAAAAAAAAAAAAAAAAAAAAAAAAAAAGGAAAAATCATTCATTCCTCAGCTTTGCTCCCTCGTAACAAGAACCCTTCATTCGTTTCATCCCGTCTTCGTTCCCCTTCCTCCCTCACCTCCTCACCTCCCTCGAAACCGTGCTCCACTAGCAGTTCGCAGCAGCTCACAACAGCACTCTCTCCGTACTCTCCCTCATCTCCTCCCAGTTTCCATCCCACTCACTCCTCTTGGCGAATATGCCTCTCTCCTCTCAGCCCTCACTGGCTCTTCCTGCTCTCGGTTTTTAAAATCACTTGCGCACCTTAGTCTCTCGCTGACCGCAGAATTTGCCGTGATATTACATCATATGCAGCTTCTGCGGACCATCTGCCGACCGAAACCAAAACTCCCAATACCACTTCGTCTTGCCCTTGGGGCTCCGAACCATTTCGGGATCGGCAGTGCACTGACTTTATCTTTTGCCGAGTCATTGTTTTTAGCTCCCTTGCACGGGCCGGAACAACCAGGAAAGGGCGACTTGCTCGGTCCGTGTGTGTCATGACCAGACTGATACGGGGAGGGGAACAAACCCTCTGACAAATAATACGCCAATCGAGCGAGTAAATTCTTGTGAGAGCGCGAAAGCGCAGGTATTGCGGCCCGACGCACTCTAAGCTTTTTTTGAACTAGAATTAGCCAGTTCAGCGAAATTCCGCGATTGCTAACAACTTTTTCCATAGTAACCAATTGCCATACCACCATTTATTGCGCGCTTCGATATACGTCATTCGCAGTTTGCGAAAGACCAAGCCTGCATGAACAGAAAAAAATCAATCCAGTCAGATAAAAAACTCCATCCATACACAAGAATAAAAGCCCGAAACTCGTTTTTCTGTAGCTAAATCGTGTGCGACACAATTGCTGATTTCTCCATTCCAACACTCGGCGATACTTCAGCTAAGGTTGGCTCGTTTGTATCATGCGCTCGGAGAAATCATATGCTATGGCGAATGAATGACGTTTTGTCGACTGGGCCAGATACGATAGACATCCAAACCGGTCTAGCGAGACAAATGCACGCTCAAACTCCGTTAAAAGAAATTGGAATCTTACCATCCATTCCGGAAATGCGAAAATCGAATGTGGTTTTGTTGTTTTTTGCCGAAGTATCCGCAAAATCAAAAAACCAACCGGCAAAAATGGACAGCATTACTGAAAAAACATATACGTTTTATACATTTGTTCGACTACTGTAGTTGTAATAAAACCAATTTATGTATTTATTTTATCGTGCATGACAGGTTTCGGATAAAACGACGAAATAAAAGTCATGCCCGTCGCTACCATCTTTCTTTCGACAGACACTTTCTTCCAACTACCACCACACCCAACAAACCACCACCATCCTTGTTTCACATCGTTGAAAACCCTCTTCTTCTGCCTGTCTAAACGATAAAGGATTCCTTAACGAAAAGCATTAGCTGAAGATGAGTGGATCACAAGTGCACGGAATTTCTTGCTTTTCTCTCGTTGCTCCCAACGATGAGACCTATGACGCTACCCTTGACTTCTACACGAAGTTGGGTTTCACGAAGGTTGCCAACTTCGGCGTCTCTGACAGATCTGACGACAACGTCTGCACTGACAGCGTCCGTGAGGACTGGCTCTACAGTGCCGGCGCCGGCGAGGCTTCTAACATCACCTTGAAGCTTCGTCTCGTCCCCTCTGAGATCACTTTGGCTCCTTCTGAGAGCACCGCTACCGAGTGGCGTGGCCAAAAGGCCGCCGTTGTTCTTTACAGCGCCGACCTTTCTGCCATCACTAAGCAACTTGATGCTGCTGAGATCGCCTACCAAGCTCTCCCCAACGAGAAGAACCCCTCCGAGGTCTACGTCCGTGACCCCCTCAACTCCCTTGTTGGTTTCTCCAAGCGCTTGAACCCCTTTGCTCACTCTAGCATCAAGCCCCCTGTCGGTTCTGATGTCGTCTCTGGTATTGCTACCCCCGCTACCCACGAGGCCATCAACAGAGCCGCTGCTACTGCCAGCGCCAAGGCTGCCGGCATCAAAAAGAAGATTGCTGTCATGACTTCTGGTGGTGATTCTCCCGGTATGAACGCCGTCGTCCGCGCCGTCGTTCGTTACGCTATTCACCGCGGCTGCGACGCCTTCGCCATTTACGAGGGTTACGAGGGTCTTGTTCAAGGTGGTGACATGATCCGTCAAATGCAATGGGGCGACGTCCGCGGCTGGTTGGCCGAGGGTGGTACCTTGATTGGTACTGCTCGTTGCATGGCCTTCCGTGAGCGTGCTGGTCGTCTCCGTGCTGCCAAGAACCTTATTGCTGCCGGTATTGACTCTTTGATTGTTTGCGGTGGTGACGGTTCCTTGACTGGTGCTGATCTCTTCCGTTCTGAGTGGCCTTCCTTGGTTCAAGAGTTGGAGGACACCCAAGCTATTACCAAGGAGACTGCCGACTTGTACCGTCACCTCACCATTGTTGGTTTGGTCGGTTCCATCGACAATGATATGTCTTCCACCGATGTCACCATCGGTGCCTTCTCCTCCCTTCACCGTATTTGCGAGTCCGTCGACTCTATTTCCTCTACCGCTATTTCTCACTCCCGTGCCTTCGTCGTCGAGGTTATGGGTCGTCACTGTGGTTGGTTGGCTGTTTTGGCTGCCTTGGCCACTGGTGCTGACTTTGTCTTCATCCCCGAAAAGCCCGCCGAGGTTGGCAAGTGGCAAGACGAGATGTGCAATGCCCTTCAAACCTTCCGTCGTTTGGGCAAGAGAAAGTCTATCATCATCGTTGCCGAGGGTGCTATCGACTCTGAGTTGAAGCCCATCTCCGCTGAGGACATCAAGAACCTTTTGGTTGACCGTCTTCACCTCGACACCCGTGTTACCACTCTTGGTCACGTTCAACGTGGTGGTGTTCCTTGCGCTTACGACCGTATGCTTGCTACCCTCCAAGGTGTTGACGCCGTTGATGCTGCTCTTGCTTCTACCCCCGAAACCCCTTCCCCTATGATTGCCATCAACGGTAACAAGATCAACCGCAAGCCTTTGATGGAGGCTGTCAAGTTGACTCACCAAGTTGCTGAGGCCATTGAGGCCAAGAAGTTTGCCCATGCTATGGAGCTCCGTGACCCTGAGTTCGCTGACTACTTGGACGCCTGGGTTGGCACTACTCTTGTTGAGGACGAGACCCACTTCGTCCCCAAGGACCAAAGAATGCGTGTTGCCATCATCCACGTTGGTGCTCCCGCTGGTGGTATGAACGCTGCCACTCGTGCTGCCGTTCGTTACTGCTTGAACCGTGGTCATACCCCTCTTGCCATTGACAACGGTTTCTCCGGCTTCTTGCGCCACGACTCTATCCATGAGCTCTCTTGGCTCGATGTCGATGAGTGGTGCATCCGCGGTGGTAGCGAGATCGGTACCAACCGTGATACCCCCGATCTTGACATGGGTCTGACTGCTTTCAAGTTCCAGCAATACCAAATCGATGCTTTGCTCATTGTTGGTGGTTTCGAGGCTTTCACTGCCTTGTCTCAACTTGAGCAAGCTCGTGCTAACTACCCTGCCTTCAGAATCCCCATGGCTATCATCCCTGCCACCATCTCCAACAACGTCCCCGGCACCGAGTTCTCTTTGGGTTGCGACACTTCCCTCAACGCCGTTATGACTTACTGCGATGCCATTAAGCAAAGTGCTAGCGCTAGCCGTCGTCGTGTCTTCGTTTGCGAAGTCCAAGGTGGTCGCTCTGGCTATGTCACCACTGTCGGTGGTCTTATCACTGGTGCCTCTTCTATCTACACTCCTGAGGATGGTATCTCCTTGGACATGCTCCGTCGTGACATTGACCACTTGAAGCAATCCTTCGCTTTGGAGGCTGGCCGCAACCGTGCCGGTAAGCTTATCCTCCGCAACGAGACCGCTTCCTCTGTCTACACCACTGAGGTTATTGCCAACATCATCCGTGAGGAGGCTCACCAACGCTTCTCTGCTCGTACTGCCGTCCCTGGTCACGTCCAACAAGGTGGTAACCCCTCCCCCATGGATCGTGCTCGTGCCGCTCGTCTTGCTATGCGCGCTATTCGCTTCTTCGAGAGCGCTCGTAACAATGGTCTTGGTGCCGACTCTTCCTCTGCTGTTGTTATTGGCATCCGCGGTGCTGGTGTTTCCTTCAGCCCTGTTGAGGAGGTCGAAAACAACGAGGCCGAGATTGAGTTGCGTCGTCCCAAGAACGCCTGGTGGCGTAGCATGCACGAGTTGGTCAACGTTTTGGCCGGCAAGACCTTCTCTGACTAAACCTCGGGCTCTTAGAGATTTAATACTCTGAAGTCTTGTTTTTGAGAAATGTTTCTGCTATTATGAGCTTTTAGAACTTGTGGACTTTTATTTTGTTTGTTATTTATATACAATTCTGGTGAACAGCGTCTGTACCGGAGGACGGGTACGTTTGAGTTTCTCGAGACAGTTCTAGTAGCGATTTTGTTTGCTTTTATTGTTACTGATGGGCTTTTCAATTGGGGTAATTGTGTCTGTACTGCTCATGAAGTTCCGTTCTGTGACCTTCAGTAGCTGGTCCATTTCTTCCCTCTGTCTTGGGATGTGCCTGCTGTTTTTAATCACCCGAGTTGTTATAACATAAGATGGCGTTCTCGTTCACGGCGCCGTAACTGAGACTTTTTTAGAAAAATATAGATATCAAACACTACACTTGTCCTCCTTTAGTTTGCGTCTGTGCGGTAGTGTTTATGGTTAGTTTTGTGGTTTCGTCATGTGCGTGATGCATTGGAATTGTTTCATTCAAATCCAAGAAATGGAGAACGATATGTCCCGCTAGGCTCATCTGGGCGGTAAGACTGAATCTTTGACAGAAAATGATTGTTTTTGTAGTTTCTCTACCCGTAATGTAACCTTAATTCCATGATTATTGCAATAGCGAGTATAGGAACTGGAAAGTGTATTAGGCATTATCGAGCTTGCCCTTTTTGACAGCGGTTCCGGCCGCTGGAAGCTCGGTAATATCATCTTCAACGGTCACTGAACGTTTCAATGGTCTAGATGCGGAAACGACATCGCCATTTTCAAGAGATTCTCCCAGCTCATCCTCGATAATGATGGTTTCCTCGTCCAAAACTATCAATTCTTTATCTTCGGGATTAACGGCTTCCTTCAGCTCATTCATCTCCTCTGCTTCTTGAGCTTGTTTTTCAGGTGATTGTTTCTTCGGTATTTCAATTTGTGTCTCCGGCAGTACAAACTTAACTGACCTGTCATGCTCTTGATCTAAAGGCACAAATTCCACAAGAAGAGGAACACGTTCCAGGGTCTCTACAGAATCACCTTCTGCTTCTCCAAGAACTGTTAGAGTGTTGGCTGGCTGCGCGTCAACAAGTAGTTCTGACAGTGGTTTGTCAACATTGTCATCAAAATCTGGATCATAAATTAGGTCATTACGAAGAATACTGATTTCATCGGAATATTGCAGATATTCTTGAAGGACTTTGCTTATGAATTCACCTAGCGTAAGTTGACTTATATCGGCGGGCAGCTGAAACGATACGAAATTGCACGTTTGGCAAAAAGGATTCGGTGGACAAACCCTTTCTCCATGAAAAACTCGTTCTGGGCGTCTTGATAAGTATATCTACAAGGTTAGTGTTCGAAAAAAGATAAGAAATGGACTTTGCGTCCTACATACATTCATAGATTCGCGAGTCCCGTTTGTAAGTACTTTCAAAGCCTGAATAACACAAATACCTGCAACTACTGCGTTTGTAGTAGCAATCGCTGGAATGATGTTACCGGCCATTTGTTTAATGTCAAATTCGGAGAGTGTCGGGATACCAAAAACATGGGCACGAAGGTTGGCGGCTGAAGCCACGAAATCCATCGTGTCTTTGTCATCCTTGTCAAAGTCTATATCCTTTCTTGATTTGAGTTCTTCATCCCATACTCGTTTGCGTAGTCGCTGGCAACTATCATAGAAGACAGCTAAATTATCAGCAAGAGACCAAATCCTTCGGTCTTGTACCCACGGTTTGGAGTCTGAATCGATTTTCGTAATTAGTTCGTCGAAGTCTAACGGTGTGGGCTCCTTTCTATGAGTCCACATATCGGGCACAGAACGAAGGCGTTCAATATCATCGCAGAAGACCTTAACAAAAATACGCCTGCATGCATCATCTTCACTGGTCAATGCGTTTCGAAGCTGTTTTAATTCTTCCGTCTCTCGCTGAAGCTCAGCAATCTCTTTGACCTGTTCGGCATCTGAGGCAGACGTGTCGATAGATGTATCAAGCTCTGCCGTAGTTTCAAACAAATTAGGAAACAGGTAGCTTTTTGCCCAAACAACGCAATGGATGGGAAGATTTGGTGTGCTTCGAATCGTACAAACGGGATATTGTTTCGGTGTCTCTTTTGGGTTACAGTCGTAGCACTCAGTTTGCCCATTATGAATTACTTGAACCTGTCCCAGGAAGCCGGTCGTTCCACTCTCAATGAGTGGAACGTTAGCTAGGAGACATTGGCGATTTACGTGACGGCGGGCATCCAAGTTGTCAAGGGCATTAAATACAATGTCAAAATTGCGAAACCAGGCAACACTAAATTCCGGGTCCTTGATATTTGCATGATAAGGATGTATCTTTACATGTTCATTGAAAGCTTGTGCCGTTTTCGCAGCGACAATGGCTTTTGGTTGCTTTATATGTTGTTTTCGGAATAAGAATTGTCGGTTCAGATTAGAAAGGTCGATAGTATCCAAATCAATCTGTCCATAAGCATTAGAATAATTTGCTCGTGAGAGAGAATTCCTCAACCCGTCACTTACAAGATGAATTTCCCCAAAGTTAGACATGACCAAATTTTTTAATAACTCACAGCCAATTCCACCGGCGCCTACAAGTAAAACCTAAAATGTGTTTAGTAATTGCAGTACATACAACTATTGTATTTACCTTTTTGTCACAAAAGACACTGTAAGGATAACCTAAAGTTTTGGCCGAGACATTATTATCCTTCGAGTTATTGTCCATTTTTAAAACCAACTAAAACGAGATGGAAGGTATTTAGTGACTTGATGCGGGGATCAGACAATATATAATGTTCAAAGCTTGTTTTATGCTGAGTACGGCCAGATACAAAGCCCGTCTCGAGGAATGTAGAAGGCGGCAAGCAGGTGAAAAAATACCAAAACAATTATTTCGTTAGTAAGCTGTGTGATTTAAAAGAATGGTCATTTGTAATTGCCGAAGTAATGAAACTTAAAGTAATTTTAGAGGTAGAAAGGGTTATAACTGTTAGAATGAAAATTGAGATAATCGAAAAACTATAACAGACGAAATACAAACTGACAACGGTATTGGTGGACGACCAAGAGATTTTAGTTACCTTAGTGAGGGTTGTAATGAAGGAATTACTGTTTAAATTTGGGCATTAAGTTTTCTGTATCAAGATAATAGTTGACAAATTACTGCAGCTACACATCAAGCTGTATATTGTATCCGGTTACCTATTTAGAGAGTCAACTTACTTGACTCGCTATTAATTTCTTCTGACACATATGTATTCTATTTTTTTATGAGTATCTATGATTTCCGCTTACTTGAGTATTTAGACTTTTCCATGTAACGACTAAGAACATCGTAAAAACTTCATAAACTATCCTTATGCAGTTACATTCACAGTATTGTTTGACTTTCGTCTCTGTTAATTCCAATCTTTCACTCTCGTTCACCTCGCACAAACCATATCCCCCTTCACAACAAGTGAATCCAGGACAAAAATACAATCAATTAACCAAAGGAGCGCAGAATAGTAACCCACTCGAGTAACACCCACGATTTGGTATCTGAAATCATTTACAATTGCACAATTTCCCTCTGACCGGTAGCTGCGTTAGAGTGCGGTCCCCGTCGTTATTCCATCAGCGATACCTTGAAGCCGCACGATTCAACTGCTGTATCCTTTACGAACTCCAACCTGAGCAAGCATTAGAAAATGGCTGGAATCCTGCAGAAGGTGAAAAAGAGTCCTCAGGTATGTCATGGAAAACGTTTGTCAATCGAACTCATATTGGTAACAAAATATGAATAGACAAAGTCAATTCTCATTACCTTGATTTTGATGAGTGTGACCAAGGTTGTAGATCTCAAGCAACCGGTTATTTTGACAGTTCTGAGAATTGCTTATTTCTCTTGCCTTGCAACTCAATTGGGTTTGTTCTGGTACACCAAGAAATTAATTGAAAAGGAGAATGGTATGTGTGAATGGAACGAATAAGTTGGACGGAGTTGGAGATGGGGGTCGTTTCTGCAATGGCCGTGACACGCTTAGTAGATGGTTTGTTAACACCGGCTAGACCTTACAATGATGAAGTTCGTGGAACCTGCTTCTCCAATGTCTGGCCGTGAATATGCTACCTTTGTCGCTACGACTGTTTGCGAATACGACAGTCGTGAGTTGCTTAAAGGCTTTAAGCAGTACATGATTGGTGTCAGTACCACACTCTTCATGCATCTTTACATGGGTTTTGCTCCTCCCCTGCTTTTCCAAACAGTTTCGGGTTTCCGTGGACTTTACGACAACAAGGAAGTCCAACTCTACGTTCAAAAGAAGCCTGCTCGTGACGACCTGAAGCGCCCCTTCAAGAGCACCAGTATGTTCGGTTCCTTCGGCGGTATGGGTCAAATCCTCACGGACAAGAGAAGCATCGAGGAAGCCGAATTGACTAAGATCAAGCCCTTGTAAAGAAGGCAAATCTATTTGTAGTTGCTTTTTCTTCCTGTGGTAACCTTCGTTCCTTTGTACCAGCAAAAATTTATACCTTCACGACCTTCCTGCCTGTCCATACAAACTTCCGTAGTCCGTAGTGTCATTGCTTGAGACCGTTTACTGACTCCTTTTGTCGGAAACAAGACGATGCGCAAACCAATGGGCATCCTCTTTATCGTTTTCATTCGTTTCGCCAAGTCGGTCATAACAAGAATAACACGCAGGAATATTATGAAGTGTACACGGCGTTTCGTCAATTGAATTTGTTTTTGTAGCTGCGGAATCGTCAATATCGCTAGCAGATCGGATTTTTTGTTGGAATTTTAGGAAGACATCAAATGTCGAGTCTTCTTGCTGCTGTCGCAGCTTCTTTTTTGCAGGTAGTACTCGTCGCGTAGCCTTAAATTGCTCTAATTCCTCTTGTAGTGCGTTGCGTTTTTTGGCCGATTGCTTCCTCTTGGAGGCCGAAGAGTCAACGTCTAGTGGTCGTTTATCTAATTGCCGAAGTTCAGCTTTAAGTCGCGCAATCTCTTGCTTAACGGATTTCGTTTCTGTGGACACGGGCGTTTGAAGAGAGGAAAGAGATGCGGAAGAGACTGTCGAGGAGGTGATAGGCACCTTTTTTGCAACAGGAGTTTCCTTGGTAGCCACCGACGGCTGTTGTATCCGTTCATCCTTTCCCTCATCCTTTTCCTCCTTCTTCGTCCGTTCATTTTGGGGAGGACGAATCTTCTTTTTTGGCAGTGGAATTTCAACTTCATCACCAAAACTGAGAAAAGTTTTATTTCTTGTTCCTTTTTTGAGTAAAGCTGCTCTTTCCTGTTTTTTTTGACGTTCTCTTTGTTCCTGTAAAACGCGTTGACGTTCGTCACGATTTGTTCTTGGCTGAATATCTGTGAATGGGTTTTCGATGACTTGTGTTTCAACAATTTTTGGAGGATAAACGGGTCGTTCAGTAGCGTCTAATTCCAGTTCTGAAATACGAACAACGTTGTAAATAGTGTCACCAACGACTCGAGCAAACAATGTATGCTTTCCCGCGAGCTCTGGAGTTGCATTAAGGGTAATAAAGAACTGTGAACCGTTCCCCTCACCATCAGCATTTGCCATTGCAACAAGTCCACGTCTGGTGAAACGAAGACGAGGATGTGTTTCTACAGGAAATGGCTTGTCATAAATAGACTCACCACCTTGACCAGTTCCGGTGGGATCGCCTCCCTGAATGATATAATTCGGAACGATTCGATGAATTATTGTTCCATCATAATAACTGAGTTTGTTAATAAGAAAATGCATATGAATAAGTGTACCGCGACATGATTGAGACTGACGTACACCTGCATACGTACCCTTCCATACACAATTGAATAAAGTTTCGACAGGCTTTTGGAGTTTCTGTACACCAGAGCTCCAGCTGGATGTCACCTCGTGTCGTTTTGAGAACAACACGACCGCTATTTTGTTAGCGAAAAATGAGAGTAAAATAATTGATACTTACGTAGCAAATGGTTCAATATTCGTCACGGACTAGATTTCATTAGTAAAACTGTCAAACTGATAATATAACTTCTCTTACCGTCATATCGATTAGCTAGGGAGGTACGGTCAGCATGTTCTTTGGTGTTGCATTTATGGTGGTGAGTTTGGTAGATACCGGGCCACACCAAAAATGAGGATAATATAAGGCATGCTGAGTAAAGTAGTAAAATGCAATGAGATGAGGGTGTTTTAATTATGAGTGCAGTAGGTCGTATATCAAGTAGGTCATTTGAGTTTATACTACAGGATTCATGAACTGGACTCTTGTAGCGGTCTTCATCAATATTATTAATTAATGGTAACAAAGTCTGTAATAAACAACTTTAAACTTCTTATTCAATCCTTCAATGTATATGAAGAATTGCATTTACCGAGTCAGAGCGACTATTTTCTTAATGAGTGGTTAAATAAACCACCTGTCTGTGAATCAGGTTGATCATACCAATAATTTACCAATACCATCTTTATGTCTCTCCTCTGTCGGTGACAAACCCTTTAAGAAAAATTAAAAAAGTTTTCTACCTTTCTTACCGAATGAGATTTTAGTACCACCAGTTTCTCCACAGAGTAGATCAAGGAAGATTCTATTCTTCGTCCATGTTCTTGAGGAAATAAAACTTACACAAGCTCATAATAAGAACAACCTAGTTTTATATTTTCGGATTCACTGCCAAAAGTAGTACCATAACAACATTAAAAGGTTCAGCATTTTTTACTCAATAAACTCGTTCATAAGCTCAGAGACTTTGAAGGACAGACCTATCAAATTTTCAACTAAGAAATTCCCCTGCAAACGTACCAGTTTTCCTCTATACTCATCACCTTCACTGGCGGTATAGCTTTAATATGGACCCTACGGGACAAGAACTTACTTCCTTTGCTGCCTCTCACTTTGGTCCATCAGCTACTAAATGCTGGGATAGTCTCTTTCTCGGGCCACCGAATGAACAACCAGTTGTACCGGAACGTTATCCGGACGGCACTATTCGTACCCTCACAGACGAACAAATTCAATACTTTCGCGAATCCGAGTTGCGTCATCTTCGTTGGGAAAAAGAACTGGCACAAGAGCGCGAAGAGCTTCGTCGGATTCGTGAAGCAGAAGAAGAAGCATCAGCCAACGAACCACGCACATGCTCGTCTGTGGAAGAGACACCAGCAACAGTGCCCATTCCTGCTACAGAGGTGTTTAAAGGCAAACATTTTCAAGTACTAAAGTACAGAGCTCACGAGCTCATTGAACTTGAACAAACTCTCGACAATAATTTTCGCAAGCAAACGGCTACTGGCTTTGTGAAGTATTGGCCGGTACTTCCAATGAGGAATTGAGAAAAAAAGAAAAACAGCTGAAGGATGCCTAAGAATACAGGCAAATGCACCCTGCAGAAACAAAACAGTTTACTCTCATTTCTTTTCTTCAAGAATTCCTCAACCATTTCGCAACCCCGCAGCTTTATTCCTTTCCCCACGATTCGCCAAGCAAACCTTAAAACTCTACACCATCAAACGTCGGCCTTGCGTCACTTCCCCGTATGCAATCATAAAACAGCTAATCCGTGCCATTTGCCATACACTTCTTTTGCTTATTTACAAGCAACAAACAGTACGAAACATGCCCTTGCGCCTGCTGAAAACAGGAGAGGCCTTCCACCGCCATATCTCTAAGGAATTGCGTTTTTTCCCGCGCTCTGTTCGCCCTCCGTTGATGGTAAATCATAACATCGTGCGTCCATACTCAAATTCGGGCGACGAAATCCCAGACTTTTCGAAGTACCGCACAAAATCCAGATCAGATGCTCCTCGCGTGTTTTCCTATGTAATGGTTGGGGCCCTAGGCGCCCTGACGGCTGCCGGAGCTCAAGCAACAGTTCATGACTTTCTATCCAGTTGGTCAGCTTCCGCAGATGTGCTTGCTATGTCCAAAGTAGAAGTAGACTTGAAGAAAATTCCCGAGGGTAAAAACCTCATTATTAAATGGCACGGAAAACCAGTCTTTATTCGTCACCGAACAGCTGCTGAAATTGAAGAAGCAAACTCAGTCGACATCTCAACTCTTCGGGATCCTCAGCCAGATTCTGCTCGTGTACAAAAGCCAGAATGGCTTGTGATGATTGGAGTTTGTACGCATCTTGGTTGTGTGCCTATTGGAAACGCCGGTGACTATGGCGGATGGTTCTGTCCTTGCCATGGTTCTCATTACGATATTTCCGGCCGTGTTCGCCAGGGACCAGCACCGACAAACTTGGAGATTCCTCCTTACCAACTAAATGAAGATGGAACAATAATTATTGGGTAAGGAGTCGTTCAATTCGTGTTATCTCGCATCGAAACACTTCGTTGAAAACTTTTGCCGTCGCAATACAAAAACTGAGTAGTTTTCGTTTATTTGCTGTTTAACTGGTGCGGGACAGCAGCCATTTACAACATCTTTTGGAAGAATCGGTGGTGCCCCTTTTGGCTTTCGCTCTGTTGATGGATTCTCTATAATTGAAACATCCATTCATTTTTTCTTGCAACTCTCTCCGACCAGAAATCGCCGCAGCTTGCTTTCAACAGCTCCCATTTTGCCATTAGAAGAAAGCGGAAACATCTCTCTTAATGACTTCACTTGTCTCATGTCTGTACATTTATTGCACTGTCTCAAAGATCTATGCTCGCACTCCTTGGGTGTATATAACTCGCACGTCTTTCATATTATCGGGCCTCTTAACGCTCATGAACACGGTTTTAGTGTGTACGCGGAATCGAGTAAGCTGGTTGAGTATAGATGAGAGAGTACGGAAGATTGATGTTGAGTAAGAAGTAGTAATAAGGATCGGGTAGAGAGAAGTGTAAGGGATTGGTGTGTGTGTGTGTGTGTGTGTGTCCTTTATGTTTGAGCTGGTATCTGTGGGCTTGTTACAAATTACTTATACGGGTACAGATCCGTATCCTTGTCCCATAACAAAATAGTACTTTTTATAACTGCAAAATCCATAAGTCATCTTAAAGGAAGTAATCTAAGCGCGGAAGAGAAAGTTAGTGAAATGAACAAGTAAGAGAAAAACATTCGCATACCCGGAGTTCGCCTCGTAATGATAGGCTCACCGGTTCTAGGAGCGGGATCGAATTGTAAACTGAGAACGAAGTTAGTAAAGGACCTTGCTAAAGGAACGGTCAACAGTCACAGCAAGCACAGTGTACCACTTGCTACAAATGCTTTTTAACTTACAAGGTGTGATTCATATCGTCATCAACTTCGAGAATAGCTGCTTGGTTACCACAACGGTAACAATAGTTAGGAGCGGAGAAAACAGTAACGACATCACTTTCATGGGTCCAGTTGTAGCCCTCCATCACGAGCTGATGTGCACGGGCAATAAGACTGAGACCATTGGCGTGATTAAAAGCCTCAGAAATATCTTGGCCAAACGTATAACCAGCACCACGGGGAGAAATGCCCCAACCGCAACGGTCATCAGGGTCGGACCACAGCAGGTCACACATGGGACCTTCGTGTGGCACCTCTTGGACACGATCCAGGGTACGAATGTGATCAAGAGAATCTATGCTGGGGGAAAGACCTCCGTGAAGGCAGAAAATACGGTCATCAATGAGAGCCGTCAGTGGAAGATAGTCAAAAAGGTTTGTGAAGTATTTCCACACATTTGCTGAACCATACTTGCGCAGACATTCATCATAGAAACCATAAACCTGCGTAATCTGCCGGGACTCGTGATTTCCACGCAAAATAGTGATACGGCGAGGATAACGGAGCTTCAGAGCAACCAAGAGACTCACTGTCTCTACACTGTAATAGCCACGATCAACGTAGTCACCCATAAACAGGTAATTCATGTCGGGCAAATCACCTCCAATTTTAAACAATTCCATAAGGTCGTGAAATTGTCCGTGGATATCACCACAGACCGTGACAGGACTGTGTACGGGTTGGACATTTCCCTCTTGAAGTAAAACTTCCTGAGCCTACTCTGAAGTCAGCAAACGACCCATAAAAATCTTTTTCCCATGAAAAAAACGCGTTTTCGCTCAGAAATTCGCATAACGCATGCACTTTCTGCGCAGTCAAGTCTTCATTACACAAGAATTCCCGCCAGCAGTCCCCGTTTTGTCCCATCCGAAATCACCAAACTCACCTTATCACAAAGTTCTTTCACATCTGCCTCTGACAGAGGCTCACAGCGCTTCAACTGCTCGATCCAAGCATCAACTTGACCCGGATGACTTTCTGTAACTTCGTACGACGGCCGATTAGTTTCTACTGACATGAAATGCTATGTTCCCTTGGTAATGGGGTAGAGTACGTGTTGAATGCGGAGGGTGGGTGAGTTGCCGGCTAGGTTTGCAGATCAAATGATCTGCTATCAGTAACCGACTAGCGGGGCAGGTGATCTGCAGGGGCCCAGCGGGGGAGACAGGGTCCAAGAGCGCCGACTAATGAATGAATGAAAAGAAAAGTAGATATGAAATAAATGTTACAGTCGCAACATCGCGCTAAGATGCTGAGCTACATTTATAAAACCGAAACAGCGAAAGAGCCACGTTACACCGGGTCCTCTCGCCTTCCCGAGTTTTCCCATGTACATTTAATATTAAACCTTCTATACACACCGTTTAAAGCCTTGTTAACAACCCAATGTATAGTCCCTACGATTTCCATAAAGCTCGTAACGTAGGGACGAACCTGGTTTCAAAAGCTTTTTTTATACAAAAAAGGAGGGCGCAACAGTACAGCCGATCTGTTCTTGCCAGCAAACGAGAATCACAAATTCAGCGCCCGTCAGGATGTAAGCATCAAGCAACTTTACAGTACCAAAAACAATAGCATACACATGGCATCTACGAGCTGCTAGCCATCGCGCTTGTGTAACAGACGCTTCAAGCAGAGTCGTTGAACCAAACTCTCGAGTGGTCTTAACAAACCACCAGCTAGCTTTTTTATCAACATCGCAGACAGCTTAAAGCAGATGCTTAACCTTGAACGTAGTGTCATGCTCCTCAAGATCGCGGGCCATTTGTTTCTTGTAGTCCTCGATAGAGCAAGACAATTTGACAACCTTCTTGTCCTTGACCTCCCAAAGCTCATTAGCGACTTGACTAATAAGACGGAAATCGTGAGAAACGAGAACGACACCACCAGTCCATTTGTTGATGGCCTGAGCCAATGCATCAATTGTGTCAATGTCCAAATGGTTAGTAGGCTCATCAAGCAAAAGGATGTGAGGTTGCTCCAAGGCAAGAGCAGCGAAAACCACACGACTCTTCAAACCATCAGACAAGGTACGGATTTCACTGGTTTGGTGAGCACCAGAAAGACCGAAACGACCCAAAGTACTGCGCCATTGCTGGACTTCTCTGTTGGGGTATCTGGGCTTGTAGGTGTCCATAACGTACTCGAGTGGCGACTTGTCGTAAGGAAGTTGGTCAGCACTGTGTTGCGAGTACTTGGCCATCTTCAGACCACTGTAACGAGAAACATTACCGGCGATGGGAATAAGCTGACCAGTAATCAGGTTAAGCAACGTAGACTTACCCGTACCGTTCTTACCGACAATGGCCACACGGGAGTCCATGTCCACACCGAAGGAAAGGTCGCGGTACAGAGCATGATCAATGTTGCCGTCGTACGAGAAGGCGACATCGTTGAAAGCAATAATGGGAGGAGGGAGTTTGCGGGTCTCCTCAAACTCAAAGTTGAATTGACGGGGAGGCTCGGGCTTCTCAATCAAACCGGCAGCTTCCATCTTGTCGATAATCTTTTGTTTGGACTTGGCTTGACGAACCAAGTTCGAGTATGTACCAGCACTGGCAATGAACTTCTTGATGTGGGCAATTTCCTCTTGTTGCTTGACGTAAGCCTTCATTTGGTTCGTCTCGTTTTCTTGCTTAGTACGCATGTAGATATCGAAGTTACCACCATAGTACACAAGCTTCTTCTTGGAAGTCAGCTCCATAATGTTGGTACAGACGTTGTTCAAGAAATCTTGGGAGTGAGAGTTAACCACAAGAATCTTGTCGTACTTGGCCAAATAAGACTCCAACCAAACGACGGCCTCCAAATCCAAATGGTTTGTAGGCTCGTCCAACAGAAGCAGAGAAGGCTTGATGAAAAGGGCACGAGACAAGGCAACACGCATACGCCAACCACCAGACATATCCTTAGTGGGCTTGGCCATCATTTCCTGGGTGAAACCAAGACCGTTCAAAATCATGGCAGCCTTAGCCTCGAACGTGTTGGGATCCAACTCGTCCAACTCCTCGTACAACGACTCCATCAAGACCTCATCCACATCGTCAGCCGTAGCAAGCTTCTCAATCTCCTCCTCAATCTGGGTGACACGTTCCTTGGCAGAAGCGACGATGTAGTCAATGGCATTAACATCCGAGGGTTCAGCCTCAGCGTTCAACAAGTAAACGTCGATATGAGGAGGAATCTCGATATCGCGAGCAGCCAAACTTTGGAGGAAGGTAGACTTTCCTGAGCCGTTAGCACCCAAAAGACCGTAACGTTGACCATGGTTAAGTTCAATAGTTGCGTTCTCAATCAGCAAACGACCGTGAAATGACAGCGTATAGCTTTCAATCTTGATATCACGACTCATAGCCTGGGAAACGAGCACACCCGAAGCACTACGCTCGAACATAGGATCGTCCGTCGAGACGTTGGCCATGCTCTTCGTAACATCGTCCACAGACGCGTCCTGAGTAGCTGCAGCCTTAGCAGCTGCTCTCTTGCTAACGCGCTTGCCGTTTTCACCCTTAGCGGCAAGACGCTCTGCCTTCTTGGCTTCTCTTCTAAGCTTCGATGCAGACTTCGACATGTTGGTTGCTAGCAGATTCGGAGCTCGCTCAAAAAAAGTTATAACCGAAGCGAAACGTCATGCGTCGCTTATAAGCGAGAAAGCGGCAATTAAACGAGTCGCCGCGAACTGTGACTATAGGAAGAAGAAGGAAGAGGGAGGAAACGAAAAATGCAATTGTGCTTGAGCAGGGTATCGCATGCACAGACGGAATGCTGCGCGCATCAGTTTTAATATTCTACTTGCTGTTCCTCAACTGTGAGCTGTTAAATTGTAGTGGAAGCCTTCTGTTAAGTTCAGGAAGGATGGCAAACAACTGCCACTCGTAAAATCTAGAAATAGGGTTAGTAGAGTGTACCCTTAATAGACTTACCAACACTATCGCGCCCGTCACATGCCATATTGCTTTTTCCATGGGGACAATGCGTGAGCGGTGCATGCGAGTAACCGATTTCATCGAAAAACTTTATTTTTGAACGGTCCAAGAACAAAGCCAATGCAATTGAGTGAACGGGAGCGTCTCCCCATCGCTAATTTTGTTGTTAGTAAGAAAGAGGACGGAAGGAATTGAAGAATCGAGAGAGGTAATAGAAGGAAGAGGAAGAATTACGGAGTTTCTTCTTCCTTCAGACTGGAAAATACACTTCCAGCATCCCTCGTGTCTGCACTTTCTTCTTCGTACCTCATAGAAAAATCCGCCTTTTTTATCTAGAAAGTCAAAGTAGGCATTGTAGATATCACTTTTAAAAAATTCCAAGTCGGCAATTTCAAAGTTCGACCACTTTTAAACAATAGGTTAGTAAACAGTGTGTTGAACATATACTTACAAAGTGGCACATCGAGTATTCTGTGCCGTTCAAACTTGAAATCCAGTTCCACAAGTTGTTTGGAGCGAGAGCACTTGGATGCTGCCCAAGGAATTCAAGCGTGGTGTTCCATAACGAAGGCACCGTCTCTTCAATTTCATGGATAGCAATATTAAAGCCATAAGTTTTGTTTTCCTGAATCAATATCCGAAACGGATCGTAAGGAACTCCATTCAGTAACCGCGTACCGGGTTCGATACGCCAGTAATAGCGATATGGCTCAAGAAGCGAATGCTTGTAGAAGAAGCCAGAGAAGTACCGACACATGTGATGATAAGACTCCATGGCTCCGTAAAGCACATTATCCGCACCTAACTGCATCCAACGAGCTGATGCAACTTGACGGTCAATCCAATCTGGCAATTGCCAATGATGTTTAGGAACTGTGCCAAACGTGACATCTCCACTCACAAGACGGCCAATTATAGACTTAAACTCCTCGTTGAACGGTTCGTCGTTCAAAAAAACCCAAGGATAGTGGTACCGTTTGTTGAACCGAGACTCATAGTTCCACACAGTTTCAATCATTTCGTTCAAATCAGCGTTTCTAGCAAGTGTAAGGAGAGTTGAGTTCGTTCTCTGTGTCGTAGCATTTTCAAACATTAGTTTTCCATTCAATTCTTGAAGTGCAAATTCCCATTCCCCTAAAGGGAGAACATTTCTATAAAACACGATATAACATAAGGAAAAAGTACATAAAATCACAAGAAAAGACTGTATCACATGTCTTCTCAATAAAATGTGTAGCCAATTCAGCATTCTCACATCTGTTACACGGAAAAGACCAGGTTAGCTGTAGGACGAGACGAGACGTAGGACAGTGGACTGAAAAACAAGAGAATCAGAAACGTACACCGGATAATAACACTGTACAGGTGTTTCTAGGAGACATCCGAGCACAAATTAACACAATTACTCACAATTGTCCACTCCTCTTGAAACTGCTATGCATCCACCCTCAATACTAACGAAAAAATGAATTTGAAATACCCAAGCGCTACTTGGGTATCTCCCATCTATTGAATACCAATATTAACACTCTACCATAGTACAAAAAGAAAGCAAATGTTTGGATAGTAGGAACTGTCGAACCCGACAGTAATCAAAAAGATATTGCATGCGTAAGCGTCCGAGGCATGGACACGCTTATTATTTTTTTTAACACGTATCGCCAACAACAGAGCGACACAATACGTCGTCGAAACCATTTAAAAAGACCCCCGTTATATAACCATGATTAGCGACGCGTTTTTCTCGTACGAGCAGCGATTTGATAGACCTTCTTGAGAGCACTGTGTACTTCCCGGTTGTTTTCGAAATCCTCCAGGTCGTAGTAGTTCGTTGCCAGCTCAACTAGCCATTCAGGACGAACGGCCGTGACGGTACGAATAAAGTTCTTCGTAGTAAGGACAAACTCATTATACATGACCCACTCTGGGGTCACAGACAAGCCACAAGAAGGATGCAGTTGGACAACTTGGTTATCCTTCATCGTTACATAGCTTTTACCATTCGCACTCTTCTTTGCAACCTGCATGAAGAAGCCAGTGACAAGTGAACGACGAATGTTGTTATAGTAGTTTCGGTCCTCAAATGGCGTCGATACAAGCTTCACATCCAAACGTTCCATCGTACGGCGCAATTGGTTGCGAACATTGTCTGCACTAATAAGGGCACGCTGAGACAAAAAGTGGTTCCAGCACCAGTCAGAGTCACCAGCACCAGATCTATAAGCGTGGTAAACGTTGAGCAAGGTCAAATGATCACCGTCGGGATGTGCAAATTGTGCGTGCATTTCATCAGCCTGCTTACGGGCTGCAGGAGGCCGAACGAAAACATTAGGAACCGACAGCATAGCCGTGATAGAAAGCACCTCATTACTGCAGAAAAACTCCGGGCTACGAATCAACATCACTGCTAAGTGAGGATCCAAGGGAAATTCTGAAGCTTTGCGACCCAAAGGTGTCAAGTCACCGTTGTCATCGAGACATTCCAAGTAATTAAGCTCTTCCAAAGCACGCATCATGGTTTCAGGTGCAGGGGGATCCATGTAGTCAAAATGCACCAGATCATCAATACCAAGTTTCTTCAGTTCCAAAACCGTACTCGATAAGTTGCTGCGCAAAATTTCAGGGTAACTCTGCTCAATCAACTCCTTCCGGAAAGCGTCCTCAGTGTACAGACGGAAACATTTACCGGGACGCGTACGACCAGCACGACCAGCACGTTGTTGCGCACTTGCCTTACTGATGGGACTAATAAGCAATGATTCAACACGAATACGAGGATTGTAGATCTTTTGCTTGCTGAAACCAGGATCCACTACATACACAATACCATCAATGGTCAGTGAAGTTTCAGCAATGTTAGTAGACACAACCACCTTGCGACCGTAGCCGTTTTTCGTGTCAGCAGGGGCTTTCTCGAAAATACGTTGTTGCAAATTGGGAGGAAGTGAACCATACAAGGGATATGCATTCAAAGGACCAGCAGCTCCTTCACGAACAAGCTCGTCGCATTCAAGGGAAAGTTTCCGACAAGCATCTTCAATTTCCTCTTCACCAGTAAGGAAAACCAAAATATCACCCGGACCCTCCTCGACATGAATTTGAAGTACGGTACGCAAGGCAGCTTCCAGGTAGTCCCGCTCAGGTTCTTGAGTGTAGTAAATCTCGACGGGATGGGTACGACCGGGGACGGCGAGAAGAGGTGCGTCATAAAAATACTTCTGGAACTTTTGTGCATCCAAAGTAGCAGACATGACAATAATCTTCAGGTCCTTACGACGAAGAGCCAACTTTTTAACCAAACCCATAAGAATATCCGTTGCCAAAGTACGTTCGTGAGCTTCATCAAGAATAACACAGGAGTAACGAGACAGCTCGGGGTCTGTCATTGCTTCACGAAGAAGCATACCATCTGTCATATAACGCAACAGAGTCTTAGGGCCAGTACAGTCCTCAAAACGAATGTTGTAACCAACTTCTTCACCCAAACGAACATCCATCTCGTCAGCGACACGTTTGGCCACAGACATGGCAGCAACACGTCGAGGTTGCGTACAAGCAACCTGTTTTCCGACTAAGTGCGGCAACTCATCGTACAAGACGAACTGAGGAATTTGAGTTGTCTTACCAGAACCTGTCTCACCAACAAACACGAGAATTTGATTTTCTTGGTAAAGTTTCAAGAACTCGGCACGCTGCTGGTGCACGGGAAGATCACGACGAACCTTTAAGATACCAAAATACTTTTCAGACAATGGCTGACCCGTAAAAAAATTGTTTGGACCGTCCTCAGCTTTTTGAGCTTGTTCCGCAGTGGTGCAGTGTCTCGTCAATCCTCCACTAGAGGAAGTGTCATCATCGTTCAAATGAGCCAAATACGGGTTATCAGTTTCAGATTTCTGTCTCTTCAATGACGGCTCCATGGTTGGCGAAGGACACGTCGTCAATAATTCGTGCACCCTGCTAATGACTATGTTACAGTGCGATACACTTCCTTATGTAATAATAAGGAGAAATTACGATGTGCAACGCAAAAAGGAAGTCGGATACAGAAAGCAAAACAATACTGCGTACGAAGTCGTCAAGAGAGAGTTATTCACTGGTATGCCTGTCGCATTGTAGAAGATCCGATTTGGCTTTCAGAGACATTCTTCTTCTTCCTAAGTGAAATCTTTTAGTAACTTTATTTATATTGTACGAAATTGTAAGGCGCTCATGAAGCGATACAAATTTGCGAAACGAAACCAGACCGTTGAAATATAATTCCTCCGTCCTCCATTCAACGACAAGTCTGTCCGCTCCTGAATTTTTATTTTTGGATCCGACCCTACGACAAGTCACAGTAGCTAACCTTGCCAGAAGGGTTGTGAATTCGTGTAGACGAAAGCTCAATATGCTTTCCATTACGCAGAATTGTGTAGGAGTTCGCAGCCCATTCGAACCAAACCTTAGTACCGTCGGTTTGGCGCCACATTTGGAACTCGAGCTGACTGTTTTCGGGAACATATATGGGGTTTTGGACCGGAATGTACATAGGAAACCAAGAAAACATGTCTGGCGACTTGACGTCCATAGTCGTCGGCAGAATCGACAGCGAGATATCCTTGTATAGTGTTGCTTCAAAATATCCAGCAAAACCATGCACGACGCCCGGAGTCGAGACTTGGAAGCGAACATGAGCATGGCGCTTGTTATGTGTGTTGTCCACATGTTGAATGGCAGCACGATCGGGATGATGGAACGCCCAAAGCGGTTGGAAACGGTACTCGTCATCAGTAGCAATAAAATCAAAAGCGTTCATAAGCACCACATATGCTCGGTCAAACGCGCCATTGCCCAACTTCCGAGCTTCGGTCCAAAGTTTTTGAGACATGATGGGTGTCACAAACGGGACATAAGAGGAGGGGATAGAAATGCCGGTCTCCTCATCCAAAACAGCTTGTGCTCCATCAAGGCATTCAGGCGACAGTTCGTTGTCACCCATACTACCCAACAATTCACTAACAAGAATGTCGACTTTGTAATCTGGACGCCATTGTCTCATGTCCCCGAACACTAGCGTCACCTTGCTGGCCCAATCTTCGCGGTTTCGTTTGACCAACATAGAAAAGGCGTTGGGATTCTTTTCCAGAGCAATCATGTCTACTGTACGACCAGACTGAATGGCCGCACGAAGCGCACAATCGACAAGCGGTCCACGGCCAGCACCCACAACGGCAATACGAGTCACTGAGTCTTCGGGGCGATCGGCCAGTGCTGCATGAATTGCCTGTTCATACTGTGCATACTTGACAGGGTCGCGCTCAAACACCTCGTATGTAATGTTCTCTAAATCATGACTCAGAGGTTGCAGTGGGATCTGCAAATAATCCTTGTAGCCTTCAGCAAAGTCTTCCACGACGGGAGGCGGTGGTTGGGTCTTAATAAGGTGCTTCAAATAAATAGAATAGTCGGGTGAGGCACCAACACGGTTTGGCTCATCATTGTCGCACAGCAATAAACGGGGTTTCAGCTGTAAAAATAGGGACAAAATGGCCTTGTGTTTTCGTCCTAACACCGGATAGCCTTTTGGATTTGCAACAAACGTTAAGCATGACATGATGAGTACGCCAATTGGTTCGGCGTACCAACGGCTAATGAGCTCAATGGGCGGAGACTCCTTAATTGGCATTTCTAATGCTACATGAAGACGGGGATGGTAATCGCAAGCGGTGCGAATAGCCTGCCACACTTTCCAGGAGCTGAAGTAGTCCGCCTCATTGTTGCTGATGTCAATACGGACAAAAATATTGATGATGTTGGTTTTGTTCAGTAACTCCATTATGACAGCACCATATTGCATTGAGTTTGTCGAGTTTCGAGGACCGAATAAGATAACAGCCTGCAGTCCACAGTACTCAGCATATTCTGCTTCACGGAGTGCTACTTCAGACGAACGTTGAACAACCAAAGGATCATCGGAATCCAGTTCTATCCAAGGAGAAGCCAATCCAAAAACTTGGTTTGTAAACTCTTTCCTAGTAGTTAGCAATGAACACTCACAAAACTCGTAAAAAGATCAAATTCGTCCAAACCACTTACCGTTCGGGTAGTAACCAACTTCAACTTCATGAAATTCGGCCAATTTATCCGTAGGAGCTAACGATTCAACACGATATTTTAAGTCCTCTGTTGTCAAGGGGATTGCGACGAAATCATAGCCCTCTTCAAAGAAAAGCTGAGATGCGCTCTCAGCGCTACAAATACCTAAAGCCGTGGCCTTCTTGACCATCGTATTAACCAAATTGTTGTCTCGTTGCAACAGGAGAGCTTTACCTGACGCCGGGTCAGATCAGCTCCAAATAGCGGAACACGCGTAGAAGAGGTGACGGATACGTCATCGGAAAGCGTCATAAGACTGCGGGGTTCGGTCATTTTGTAAGCCGACTGAAACCTTATTCAACTTTATTTAGAATTTGCCGAAAAAAAGAGAGAGAGTAGGAATAAGAACATTAAGATGAACAAATGACGAGACGATGCAGAGAATGAAATGCGATTTCCGGTAACGGAGGGCGCAGTAAGCGCAGAAATATTTCGCCCAGCCCTTGCTGCCGACTTGTATCCCCAAACGGCACGACATTTGTTTGCATTCGGACATGATTTTATTAAACAGTATAATTGCTTAAAGGAACTTAGGCATGAGCGGTTTTTGATGACGAAAACGAAGGTTGGGAATCATCATGAGTGATTTCATTAGAGGGCTGCTGGGAGTGAGACTCCTCAGACTTGGCAGAGTAATTGCCATTGTCGGGACCCATTCTGCCGCTTGAAGGAGGAAGAGAACGGCCGCCATAACGACCTCCTCTGCCTCGTCCACGAGTACCACGAAAACCGCCACGGGAATCGAGACGGTTATTGCGGTACCAGGGCTTTCCTTGACGGTAATAGGGTTCGTCGCGCAATACGTTAGCGCGGACTCCCTCGGGAGTCTTCAATTTAGGCAGGGCCTTATTCACAGCCTCTTGGTTCTCCACGTACACATATGCATATAACGAGGCAGGGGCAGAGGAGCCCTGGAGGTGCTGCTGCTTGTAGCGGTTCATGGACGTACGGATTTGGATATGGGTAATGAGGCTGTCAGAGCCCTCGGTAAACATGGAACGGACTTGCTCCTCTGATGTGCACGGAGCAATATGGAAGCCAAACCGTTGCTCCTGCTCACCGCCATACGAGCGCGATCCCGTTCTCGTGGTAGTTTGTTGTTGCTGTTGTTGCTGCTGCTGCACAGGTGGTTTGTGTTCAGTAGTGGAAGCAGTAGTGGGTTCTTTTTGCTCCTCGTATTTTTCCTCGGCATGGGAAGGTGCTGCAGCAGTTTCGGCATCGCCTTCGGTCGTCGTCGTCTGCTGTTCCGCCTTTACGCCTTCAACAGCTGCACCCGTTTCCGCTTTCGCAGTTCCCTGATCGACGGATGTTGTTGTCTTCTCCTCAGAGGTCGCGCTCTCAACGGCTGTTGAGTCTTCGGGTTGTTCCTCTTTGGTAGCCTGCACTGGGGTAGCTTGAGAGGTAGCAGGCTTGGTGACATTGGCAATAGGAGCAGCATTAGCACCGTCTGGGCGACGGTACGAAGAACGCCGGTAACCGAAGTTGAATCCGTGCGACTTGCTCTCCATCTGAACGTGTCCGTTTTTGATTTCAAGCACCATCCAACCGAGCGTAGCATCCACGAGGTTAAAGTTCCAAAGGTTTTTGAAAGAAAGCCCGGGAGAGACGTAACTCGGCACGAAGCCGTTCAAAGCTTCAGGCATCCGAGAAACCATACGAACAACGCCGCTGATAAGTTGACGTTGTGCGGGTGTAACAACTTGATCAACCTCAAGCTTGACGGTTTCCCACAAGTCAAGGAATTGACTACGAGCAGCGGACAGCTTTTGAATGTAGTGTTCCTGGTTGTTGTTGACACAAAACTCATTATAACTAGCACAGTAGCGGAAATGCAAGCCGGCGGATATAGTGATATCAGCCTGACAGGCGTTTGCCAACTGCGAAAGGACGCCTTCGCGTCCAACGGGGTGGTGCGTAATTAGGATTTTCGTTTCTTCGCGATCCATAACACTCTTTGCGGTCTCCAGCAGCTCACCAATTTGCAGCACTGTCGTCCACATGTTTCCCTGGGCACCAGCAATCGTGCCCTTACCTTCACCATTGTCAAAAAGCTTGAAAGGAACATAAGGTCCACCCAAGCCAAACAAACGGACTTTCATGCCTCCCACATGTAAAAGATGTGAGTTCACTTCGTCAACGATATGAAGGTTAGGAATGGAATACTTTCCGGATCGAAACTTTTCAATCACCTGCACATCTTCGCAAGCACCCCAGACGATATACACAGGCACATCAAAAGAGAGCTCGCCGGAAAGGAAGCGAGGAAGCTCAGACAAGAGAGGTTGTCCGTAGGTAGCAATGCTGTTCCGCAAAGTGTTGATAGGATTAGAAGGGTAGTAATCAAAGTTTTTTGTGCGAGGTAAGTGTTTGATCAAAGGTGAAAACTGAACAATGTGACGAAGCGTTCTTATTTAAGCATTAGCATCAACCAAGATTAAGCGATCTGTTGTATACAATAGTCCAACAGCATCTAAACGGCGTGCTCACGCCGGTAATACATACCGTTCAGAAATGGTGGGTAACGACGCATCGTCAAAAAAGCCAAAGTCGCCAGTATGGATAACGACATCAGCTCGTGCCTCTTTTGCGAGTGTATTGATTAGGCTCAGTTCACCTACACATCATCTTGTTAATCTCCACACGTCGATGTCTCTTCTCCACACGAAAAACGCGTCTCAATCGCGTACCTCGAACGTCTGCAATGCATAAAATCCGGTTCCCATCGTTCGTCGTAATAATCTCTGTCTTTTTTCTTGTCACAGGTCCAGTCCGTGCAATATTCTCATCCACCTCTTTACTGCTGCTTTTCAATTTCGGTGCAGCCTCATTAACATTTACAGGTCTAGAAGTCTAAAGAATTAGCGATCATCCTTCCAGCTTTTTCCACGTACATCCATCGTTTTAAGCTATGAAACGTGTATGGAATGGACACTGATGATGGCAGTCTGGTAATTTCCAAATGGCACCTGGTGTAAATAAAGTTAGGAGTACCGGGAATGTTGGTGGTGACTCTTACTGGAGGGGAAGGGTAAGACACTACGCGATTTCACCCACACACAAAAAAACGCGATGAAACACGCGAGATGACGCGTGTCGCGTGCGACCCTTGCAGTAGAGGTGAGGCCCTACAGTCCTGCTATCGCTTCCAAACGCCAACCTCTGTTTTCTGTTTTTTGGGCAAATTAGCGTGAATTAGCGCCTTAAAGTATAGACAATTGTTAGAGAAGGGAAACAGTGTAGGAATTAGTTCGTTAACGTCACAGATTACGCCTCAATTGAGCCGAATTCGGCATTGTTGTGGATTAGATTTAGAAGGTTTCCCTTTAGTATCGCTTACTGGAATGTTTTCCGTTGGTATACAATGTCCATGTCCCACCACCCGTATCTCTGACTGTGATTATGTGACCTGCTGTCAAGAACTGGACTCTTTCGTTGCATTTGGATTCTTTTCCGGTCGAATTCAACTTTACGTCGAAAAATCGACATCAGATGGCACCCAGTATGTTTTGTCACAGTCTTTGCTGTACCATAAAGCGTCAATTGCTGCAATTGCGTCCCATGTGATGACGATTGACGGGCGACCAAAACGACTCTTTCTCTCGCTCGATGAAGACGCGACGTTGAGTCAGTGGAATGCGGAAGATTGCTCATGTAGAGCTGTTCTTCATCTTCCAGAACGGAATCTCTATCGATTGTCTACCGTATTGGGAAACTTTGCTCTTGTGTCTGGTTCTTCTCACAACATTTACTGTGTTCGTATTACTGACATGCAGCTTATTCGTACTTGGGAAGGACATAGCGATTGGCCTATTCCTTTTTGCGATTTAATGAACTTCGAGCTCTTTACCTGTAGTCCTGCAGGGGTGGTCTATCAGTGGAAGACAAATTGGCGAACATTAGCACTTAATCTAGAGGGCGAAGCGATGCGTTTAAGTCTCCAAGACGGTGAAAACGAACGTGTCATTGATGTACGTACCTTCCAGCACATGAAGGAGTGCTACTGGCTTTTTGTCCTTACAGATGGAGTTTGTATCACCAACAAACAGAGAATGAGTGATTCGCTGTATTACAAATTACCATTTCTTGTATCATGTAGCGTGAATGAACAAGGTCAATTGCTGCTGGTGTCACATGAAAAATGCATGCGCGTTGAAATCGACTATCCGACGTTGAGTATTCGGCACACTGAGTCCATGGATACTTTGCACCCGGAAGGTTTTTTCTCGCTCCTGCAGAACGAGCTGGCAGTCATTAATTACGACAAAAACATACTCTATATCTGCTACCCGTTCTCCCCCAAGCATTCCCCGACTGTAGTTCCTTCTGTGGAAGAACAATCGACGTTATTCAACAACGTTTATGACCTTGATGACCCCATTTCATTTGTATATACCTTTCAGTACGATATTTTTATTGCGAAAGTCAAATCGGGCTTGTCTCAGTATGCTTTACTGGACTGGTTGAGCAGCACGGAACCCAAATGCCTTCACACTTTTCATGAAATAAAAGAGTGTGTGACGACAATGGCGAGCTTTGTCACAGAAGAAAAGAGCATTTTGCTGTGTGCTGGAACGGCGAACGGAGTCGTCTATTTTTATGAGAAGAGGAATGATGACTGGACCTTATTGGCTCGAATAACTACTGCTTCACTTCCTATCAAACGTGTGATGCGCCTTTCGTCCAAGCAGCATCGATTCCTTGGCTACGTTTTGTGCATGGCTTTTGATGGTACTGTGTATGCTTTCAACACTAACTTCAAACTGTATGTAATCTATATCAGTAGTATCTTGTGTTTGTGTTTTGTACTAACCATACTTTTACAGAGCTGCTTTCCTCTCCTCGGACGGAAACCAAGTGTGTCGAGTCTATGTTCCCGAAGGAACAGACGCATTGGTTCTTGCTTATGAGAACGAATGCATGGTCGAATGGCAGTTATTTACTGGAAGACATCCTTTAATAGCTGCGCTTCCGCCACATGATAAATGGAAGTGCCTATCTTTTCCACACGAACACAATCCTTCGCGCAGCCTGGAGTCTGGATCGTACTCGTGGAGAGGTCCAAACAATACGTATGCGCTTATTGACTTCCACGTGTTGCTACAGAAAGAAGCGACAGCCACATCTGCTGCGGTTGTTCAGCTCATGCGTACACTTCCAGACTTTCTAACACTGCTTCGCTCATACGTTCAGAGTCTGGCGGCTGCAACGACAAATATCGGCTCACAACGGCAGCTTTCATTTGCTTACCCGGGGCCTGAAGGGTCGCTTGTCTTTGTTCATCCGAACAATGAGCAACTAGTGTTTAACCATGCATTTCACACAACACGGCTTAAGTGCGTTTATGAAGCTTGTGTGCATGCATCAGCAATTACTCTTCCTGAGTCTTTGACCGAGGAATTTACTTACGAACGAACGTTTTCTAGTTTGATTGACTATTACACCCACGATATTGAAGTCGTCGCAAATGTCGCACACAAGGGTTTCTCAGCGCTGGTACACGAGACACCCCCTTCTGAGTTAGACAAGCTCATTCATTTTTACGCTGATCTTCTTATCCCGTCCAATACGTTTAGTATCGTTTCGCAGGCGGACAGCACCAAGGCATGCCGTATCTTGGCAGCCATTGCTGTTGAGATTCCGGATGGTTTAAATCTCAATTTGAAGAAACAAATAGGTGACAGTGTGATGGATGAAAGCATGTTGGATACCATACAAGACCTCAAGTTCGTGATTTTTATTATCTGCACACATTTCGCCCTTTGGACCAAATGGCTTGATCCAGCGCGTCTAGTGTTTGCGCTTAGCAAAGCGTTAAGTGTGTATCAGCAGTTGACTGACGACAGCAAGAACAGCTTTTTGTCGACTTGTTTCGCTAGCGTAGCAAAAGACTGCAGCCTGCTTGTGCTTGCTTGTCTCGTAGAACAAGTGCGAGCCTTGAGCCATGAGGTTAACAGCAGCAGTAGCAGCAAAGACCGTGAGATTGCTGCATCGAGTATGGAGATGACACGCCTCATAGCGACACAGTATCCACTGGAGAGGGATACATTCATGCCGTTACTCATGAACATACTATCAACTGTGGTACAAAAAACAAAGAGCAGCGAGCTCATAAAACCGACACTGCAGGCGCTCACACGTACTCTTCCAGCTGTGTGCATCGACAGCAGAAACGTTCGCTTGGCGTATGTGAGCAATGGCGTTCTATGCGTGTACGAACTTGACAAAGGAGAAAGCGAGCAATGTGAGCAAACAGTGGATTTTACTGTGCAAGTACTAAGTGCGAGTGCGACTGGCAATTACTACATTGGAGTGAGCGATCACGCGGACAAATGCGCCGTGTGGCACTATCATGTCGGAAAGCTGAGCTTTATTGCTGGCACTGGGCGTTCGTTGACGCTGAAGAAGACTGTTTCATTTGAGCAAGACACAGATAAGCAATCCCCGACGGTGAAATGGGTGGATGCAAAGTATGCAGAAATTCATTTCGACCGGCACAAAGTAATTATCCAGTTGTAACCAATTGACGAAAAGGACTTTCCTTCAAAGGCATCACAGAACCATTGAGAACACCTGTTAAGTGCACACTGCTTCGTTACGCCGCTTCGTCCGTGTCAATTTTAAAATGTCATTATTTACAAAACTATCATCCTACAGACATTTCGACTCTGCGTGCAGATCAGTCTTCCTTCTTCCTCGCATACACATTGTCCATTCCACTGAAGGCCCGAGCAATACGTTGCAGCCACAACGGGAGTGGCCGCATCCAAGGCATAGCATGAACATAACGGGGCTTAAAGTGACGGCCACACTTGTGCTTGCGAATGTTGTAAGCGATGGAGATGGCGACGTCCTCAGCTTTCAGAATGGGAGCCAGGAACTTGTTCGGTGTGTCCTCGGGAAACATAGGCGACTCGAATTGACCAAACGAGTAAAGCGACATATCGATGTTAGAATGCTGCTGACGCAACTCATTCTCGAGTGTTTCGTGCACAGACAGCAAAGCAGCCTTGGAGGCAGCGTAAGCGCCGACGCCCACGGCACTGAAGTGAGCGAGAGCAGAGGCAATGTTGATGATGTGTGGCTTCTTAGCACGCTCGAGCAGATTACGAAGACTACGGATGACGTTCAGCTGACCGGCGACGTTAACGGACAAGCAATGAAGCAACTCATCTCCCGAACTGTCGAGAAGCATTTTTTTCGGAGCAATTGCTGCAGCATTGACAAGGACTTCAGGCTGCCATTTGGATTCCTGGATGCGTTGAAAGAGACGATCCACATCGGCTTGTTTAGTGATGTCGCAAGTAACGGTAAGAAGGCGGTCGACGGCTTTTACAGGCTCTGTGTCTTTCTTGGAACCCGTAGAGGAGACATTTCGGGCACGAACATTTTCGTCGCCACGAGCAGCGACTCCTGCTCCGGTTGCAGTAACCTCAGACAGAACGCTTTTAACGCTGTCGGCGTCCTTTACATCAACAGCTATGACTTGGTCGCCAAGTTGAAGACAGATTTTACAAAGTGCACGACCCAGGCTACCGGTGGCTCCGGTAATAACTACGCAGCGCTCCCTCCACATGTCATTTTTAAGACGAAACACTGAGAAGACGAGAGCTGCAGCTACCGGCACGACTATGAGAAACAAAAGCAGACACATGGGGAGGGCAGCTGGCTGCCCTCCTCCCTAAGGCAGCGCCCTACGGAATGAACCCTCCCCGAGCACAGCATACGACGAGCGAGAAAGGGCACTTAGTAAGCGGGATAAACTCACCACCATCATCACTACCATCACCAGTGGACCCTAAACCCTCTCTATCAGTTTGTGTCTGACAATTTCACCACCAAGGTTTGCAGTCAGCTTCCACCACAATTTCCACCTCCAACATGAGACGCGCATTCGTCAGTCGCGAGACCAACGAGACAAAAATTTTCGTCGCCCTGTCGCTGGACAAGGCGCCGCTGCCGCCCGAGTCCGATTTCATCGATGGACTCATTACATCGACGCACGCCAACCAAAAGGGTGAACAGACGGTTCAGGTGGACACAGGTGTCGGTTTCTTGGACCACATGTACCATGCGTTGGCAAAGCACAGTGGTTGGAATTTGCGGTTGTATTCACGGGGTGATCTTGTGATTGACGACCACCACACTGCTGAAGACACGGCAATTGCACTGGGAATGGCGCTGAAACAGGCGTTGGGCAAGTTTGTGGGTGTTCGTCGATTCGGACACGCCTTCTGCCCGTTGGACGAGGCGTTGTCTCGCAGCGTAGTCGACTTGTCTGGTCGTCCTTACGCCGTAATCGATTTGGGTTTGCAACGCGAGAAGGTTGGCGACCTGTCATGCGAGATGATTCCTCATGTGCTGACGTCGTTTGCGTTTGCCGCTGGAATTACGTTGCATGTCTCATGCCTTTACGGCAGCAATGACCACCATCGCTCTGAGAGTGCGTTCAAGAGTTTGGCCGTTGCACTCAGAACTGCCACAGAGCTTACTGGCAGCAAGGAGGCCCCTAGTACGAAGGGCGTGTTGTAGAGAGCATTAGTGAGGTGCAGAGTGTTGCCGAAAGTCACGGCGTGCGCTCAGGCGAGCCTGTAGCAGCTTGCGTACTACTTACTGCTTAAGACGTTCGCTAAGCGTCCTTCACGACGACTCTCGTATTACCCTAAGACTTCATTATAGACGGTATCGAAATAGCGAGTTTTTGCGCGCGATGTTAATGCGTTTTGTGAGACTTAGTGTTTTATGATACGCCGCGTTATGTGTTGCTGGACTACGTAATTATGAATATTGTTCTTCTTTCCTGTGCTGTGTAGTACGAAAATGCGCCTTATTGGATTTAACGCACTCCAATACACCTCTACGCACTGCTCATCCTCACTAAGTATCTGTATCCAAAATAGTGCATTATTGACAATCTTGTTATACACATTTACGAAACCGGAGTGTGCTGTAGCGGAGAAGTTGCGAAAATTCAAAATAACAGGAAAGAGCGCATGTTGCGACATTGACAGCGGTAGAGTATGTATCATTCAATTGCGTCGGCTGCTTTACAATGATGCATTTCTTCTTGAATTGGCTGTAGATATAATGAATATTACTATTTACAAGTTATTTGGCTGTACAGATACGACTTACTCATCATTGACTGGTTCAAATTTAGTCAACTCATCGAGCCTCTCTTGAGTCAAATAGCCTGACACCAGCGGCCAAATGTCCACCTGCATAACCTTGAATTCGGCGAGTGCCTTTTTAGCAGTAGTGCCAAGCAGATCTGAATCATTCGTAAATTCAATCAATCGCAGGAGAATGGGCTTTGTGCAGCTCAAGGGCGTTCCAACAGATACGGATTTTGCCAATGCCGAAAGGCCTAAAACTGCGGCATGTCTGCGAGCAATCAATTGGTTATGTTCCTCTTCTGTTGTCGAATTATCAGCAGCAGACTTCGGCATTGGGGTAGTGTCAAGAACTTTGAAGAATCGTTTGCTCAGATCGAGAATAATATCAGTCTGTGGCTTCGAGAAGCACTGAAGCAACGTAGCCACGGCCGCAACTGCATTTTCTTGGACTTCGGGTCTCGTGTCATCAAGTATGGTGACAAGAGTCTCTAGGACAGACAGTTTCAATTCTTCGCTTAAGAAAACGGAATGATGAAGCACGAATGAAGGAAGAGTGGTAAGCAGTTGCAAACGACGATGCTCTGAATCCTCATCCTTAAGGATAGCCGTACAAGCATCGCAAAACTTGACAGTAGTTGACAAGGGATAGTTCATGTTTTCTAAAAGGATTAGTAAGGAGGATGCTGCCTGTTGTAGATCGTCTTCGCCCTTCACGTCCAACATGTGCAACACTGCAGGCAATACTGTATCAGGAACAATGGGAAATACAACAAGGCCACACGGATGCAATAGTAGCCTCTCCGTCCAATGAACCATTGTGCTCGCATAGCATGAATAAGTTTCATAGTCTGAGCTGACCTTTGCTTGAAGACGCAACGTTTCAAGTTTCTCAAACGCTTCTACTAGGGCAGTAATTTTCGTAGTGGGATTGTCTTCAAAGAACGAATCCAGTGAGCCTGTTGTCGAATTGGCTTTTAATAAGGCGTCAACCGAATCATAAGTTACGTGGACCTGTGCGTGTCCAAGGTCGGCTAATACAGCACCAATTGCTTTTCTACATTCCTCTTGCGGTTGTTGTAAAGCAGAAAGCAGGTACTCATATAAAGGCTTGTGATTTTGAAAACGCCAACCAACTGTCCTGACGAACTCTTCCAGCAAGTTGAGTTTTGCAGTATCTTCAGAAACGTGCTCAAAAAATACAGCATGGTGTAAGTTTGCCAATAGATTATACAAAGGCCAAAAAAGAACGGGATCTGAGTCTTTAAAGACCGTGTGAATAAGGTGAGACCAGCATTCTTGATTGTCAGGCCACAAGCTATTCTGCAACGAAGTATCAATAACGGGCACAATCCAATCCCAGTGCTTTTCGGCAATTTCAGTTCTGCATTGGGGCAAAGATAAGACAATGCCATTAAGCAAATATACTCCTGTCTCATTGCAGTAGCGATCAGAAGACGAGCACAACTTTTCGATTTGTTCTTTCAAAAACTTTGCAGAGATGTTAGAATCACCATTCAGTAAAAGTCTAAAAATTGACTCCCAAAAATGGACACTCAGATCCCGCCAATCTTCCGAGTCAAGAGGATAGAAATATGGTCCCTCAAGTGAATAATCCGGTTCAGAAGGTCCTTGGGCGAAGAATGACAGAACTTTTTGTAGCCAATCTTCATCAATGGATTTTACTGCAGTATCAAACAGACTCTGTACGGATGAAAAATCCATCTCTTTGTTATGGACACGCTGTTGTACACTGACAACGTCGGGGGTAATGAGCCATTCCGGAAATGTGTTTTTTATGCAATAAGTTTTCTCGCAGTTCCTGAAGTCGTATAAAGCCTGGTTGACTTTATCTTTGTTCTCGGGGGTATTTTTAAGCTCCAATTCATTGGGGAGATGTAAATTCTGACAGAAGATATTTTCAGCGTTGTCTTTTGAAAGAACTAACTCCCATATATAGTTTGTGATTACAAAGAGTACTTCACAGCTTTTCTCTCTAGTGGCGGGATGCGAAGAGACCATTCCCTCAACAAATATTTTTAATGCTTTCGGTGTCGGGGGAATAAACATATTAGAAAACGAAACCCGGAATACCTTAGCAATCCAGGTTTGTAGTGTCCAATGGGCATTAGGAAACGCGTCAATGATAAAGTCCCGAACTTCGGCGGCAGCCTCTAATGACTTTTGCATTTGTTGTTGTGTCGCTGCAACCAGCAGACGCAATTCTTCGGTTTCAGATTGTAAAGAGATCTGAGGAATATTGTGATGTTTGTACATGGGGAAAAAGGTTTCAACTCGTAAAGGCTCAATGTAGCAAGCGAATACATCCCCAGCGATAATTGGCATTGAGTCGGATTCATTCCATCGCTGAATTAATTCGCGAATCAGAGGGGGTAAGATTCTCCATTGTCGTTTTCCCGTATAAGCAATGGTCTCAATTGCTTCTGTAATGACTTCAGCACTTTGGCTGTTTTTAGCGATGTTCATTAACGTCTGATAAATCGTCAAGTATGCATCACGGAAGTAACTAATACATTGTTGTAGAGCCAAACACGCAGACTTACATACGCTTGAAGGCTGTGTGCAGCAGGATGTAGCGAGATTTTGTAGAATAGCTTTCTCTTTAGGAGTGGGAACTCTCGGCACAGATGACAAGCGAAGGTGTTCCAAAAAGCGGATATAAACATTTCGACCTAAAAGCGTAGCAGGATGCGGTTGTGCTTGTGGGACGTAATCAAAATACTTCTCACTACCGCAATAACGGCGTCTGGCAGCTTTCAAAGGATCTATCGAATTTGAATAACCGTAGTCAGACAGAAAAGAGCGTTCACAGTCGATCAGCTTTTTCATCAAGGAATCCTGGTAGACCGTAGAGTCAGAGAGAACATCGTGAAGCTCAACGTAAAGAGAACCCAATCTTTCCCGCAAAGCCGTTAATTCAGAGAGCTGTTGAAGAGTTGTAAACCGATGACAGTTAACCTTTGAGCGTAAAAACGGGTAGTCATTTGTAAATGTGTTGAATTCATCATGTTTGTGATCCGGAACGAATTCCATATCAGGAATTTCAAAGAGCTCTGCCAACGCTGAAGTGAACGAACACAACCAATCAAAGTATGAAGTAACCTCATCGAGCCATTCTTCTGTTGGGTCGATTGGTTTTGTTTCAATTACCATTTGTCGCAGGCGATCCATACACAAAGTCATATACCGATTGCAAATGAAGATAGTCAAACTTATTTCCTGTTCAGAGGGTATATTCCAGTGTAGTTTGAAGGAATCCTTTTCACAAAGTTTTCCCCAATTGCTTATATTGGGCTGCTGTCTTTGCGAGGGAGCTGTCGGATATACCGAAATTAAGTGATATACTAGTTGGCGCACGAACGATGAAGCTAAAGAGCCAATAAAGCCTCTGCAAAGAAGAAGTTTGTCAAGCAGTTTTGTTAGCTCTTCCTCTTTGCCAAGAAAGTATTTTCCATTAGAGCTGGTAATAGCATTGAGAATACTTATGTTCCAATATAACGTGCGATCACAAGGCAAAATCTCACTTGGGCTACTTCCCCGGGAAAGGCCCGCCTTTTCCCCATCAAGTTCGATGATAATGTTTGTAGAAAGAGTAGGATATAACAATCTCCATGTTTTTTCTGGAGCAGCATCTGTAAAAGCGGCACAGACAGTTTTTATCGTGTCGACGGGTTGACGTTGGACGCTTGTTGCAATAAAATCGCGAAATTTTGAAAGCGCTAAATCAAGCCATTCATCACTTAAAGCAGGTACAAATGACTCTATAGCTTCTGAGATAAAAATCTCAGTCATTAGTTTCCCTCTCTCTTTCATAAAATCATCTTTGTACTTGTCTGGAGAACTGTCAAGAAGATCAAATACATAACGAATAAATGCAAGTAGCCAGTCACCGAACTTAGTCATTCCGCTAGCCACTACATTGTCGTAATCGATGACAGATTTATAAGTTTCCTCTTGTGACTCAAAGTCATCAAAATTCCTAAGTTCCAGTTTCTTGACTTCCGTTTGAAACCATTGAGTGAAAATGTTAGAGTCCGCATTTTTATCAATGTTGTAAAATGAAACATAATGGGAAAGAATAGTGATGAAGCGTAAAGCTGTTTGTGTCGTTTCAAAGTCTTCAGGATCGATTTCTCGGAGGAGTCTCAACAACGAAATAACATGAGGTCGATACCGTTTATGTTCGGCAATTGCTGGAGCCAGCGTAGTAAGAGATTTTAGAGTAGTAGCTGCGTCAGGTGTTTTGTCCAAGGATTGGAATATAGGATAGATTATCTTCAGCATGCATGGCACAACGACATCCGGTTCGAGTATAGAAAGATTACGGAGAGTATATTTGGCTGGTTCAAGACAGTAACTTGAATTTTGACGGATAGCATAAAGCAAAGGTGGTATCAACATTTTCACAAAAGTCTTTTTAAGAGACTTGGTCAATCGCCTCTCTTTTGGAATTGAAACTTCTTCATCGTTTTCATAAGTCCAACGTTTCAGAAATTGAAGGGAAAGCTCTTCAAGAAAGACAAACAATATATCGTCGACATATCCGTGAAATGATGGGTTGAAGTATGGTAAAGTCAGTGAAATCAGGTCTTCAAGCATAGTAAGAATGCTGTCTTTGCTTTCCTCACATTTTGGACTTAGCGAACAAATAACCAATCGACTGATACTATTTAGTCCCGATTCACCCGAGGTTCTAAACATTCTCAACGCTCTGTTCACATCCTTGTCCTCTATGGACGGTTGCTCTCCTTCTTTTGATGGCAATGGCAACATTTGAAGGCCATAATGAAACAGGGTACGCACTTGCTCTCGTGTAAACACGCCGTACTCAGAAAACTGATATTTATAATCACCGTTAAGGCTGCGAGCAGCCAAACGAGAACACACATCAGTGAGTGTTACAGCAGTGGCTTGATCTTTCAATAAAGAAAAGGTATCGCACAATTGAAAAATGGTAGGTAGCCATACCTGCGGATTGGTTTCACTATTTTTGAGAGACGATGGAGAGGTTGGAAGCAACAACGAAAGCATACCAACAGCAGTAAGTGCATCCGCGGGACGAGATATTGAAAACAAGGGCACAACTTCATTCAACACATTATGCACTTCTTCTGCCGGAAAGAAGGCGCTTGCTTCACGTATTATCGTTTCCTGATTTATCCAATAGCTGTTGGAATTTTCTGGCACATATTTTTTGTCTAAACGAAGACAGGCTTTCATGTAGTTGAAAGCCAAGCGCCAGTCCAATTGTAGATCGGTCACTGTAAGAAAACGCTTTTCGATGGGGTGAGTACAGACATTGCTCTCGCAGCTCTCATCTGGGCATGAAGGAGAATTTATAAGCTGGGAGAAGCGAGCATAAGTAACATCCGCAAATTCCCCTGGAAGATTTAGGGATAGTGCCAATTCGTAGTAAATAGGAATAAGTGTCTTTTGTGCCTTTCTAGGGATTCTGTAACCAAATTGAAACCACTTGTCCAGCTCCTTGTCCCATTTGAGAGCGTTTTGCCAACTGCGAGCAGTAAGAGCAATACAAAGTTTCGACAATATAAATTCAAGCTTCGAAAGCTGTTCCGACCGATTGTCATATCCGAAGGGGAAATGTTTGAGTTCATCAAACGTGACTCTGTTCTTATATAAAGCCGACATGATCTCCACGGAAAAAGCAAAAAAAGACGGAAACGAGAGCTGTTAGTGTGTTTTGTGTACGGAATCGTCAATGAAATTCTGGTTCTTCCTTTTCCTCACGAAACTGAAGTATAAACCAAATTAAAGACTATGAATAGCAGAAACACAATTCCTTCGTTTAAAAGAATTTGTTTTTAATGCTAATTTACTCGTGTATCAAGGAGAGAGACAAATAATCCCAATTAAACACGGTCCAACTGTTGGGCACAGTATGCTCTTTATATATTCGTTTGGACTGCGTTTTACAAAATTCATCAACGTGACTTGGTGCATTAATCGCACCTAGAAGAATTGATTCTCGGTTCACAATAGTCCCGAGGCCATTTTTTTTGCTTTAGAAGAAGTTGGTATTCGATAGAAAGTCCATCATTGTTCTTTGAAGACGTGGACGTATGTAACTAAATGCGACACTATGCGATTTTTGAGAGGTCAAAGCCGCAGAAAAAAGAAGAAGAAGAATCAATTAATAGTAATATCTTGTGTAAACAAATTTACAAGCATTTACACAAAGGCAATGTTTTGATTAACAGTTGTTTTTTGTTGAGACAAATGTCAAATCCTGTCGGCTACTGTAATGTTGAGCGCGACCGCCAATGTTAGACCCGCAAGCGAAAAACCCACCAATCAAGATTTTAGGTTCTTGTTAAGTGCCGCCAAACTATTATTATTGTAAAGGAAAGAATCGCTATGAAATTGTCTGACGAATTCTGTTTTCAAGAGACTCAGGAACAGAATCGGATTTGATTGGGATTGATCATTACTTCCTGAGGAATTTCGATTGGGATTTTTTCTTTTTTTTTTCTTCTCAGAAATGCTCATGAAAATAATGACGGCAATAAAAACATCCGTGGTTCAGTGTCATGAACGAGCGGCTTTCGGATAATAAGGTTTTGTTTAAATATATTAAATAAATAAATAGTAAAAAAAGCCCAGTGAACGCGATTTTTGCACTAGGAAAGATATTGCAAGATTTTCTTGGGAATTTCAAGAATGTATGCATTTTCCAGTTGTGTGCTATGCGCAAAGCATTAAACCGAAATTAATGTGAGTTAACTTTGTCCACTTAAGACAAAAAAAGAGGTGTTGGTTTGGGTGGAAGATTCTAGAGAAAGGGATTTGTTGGTTACGCTTTAGCGCACTCAATTACTTTACCAACTGGTTTGTGCAAAAGGCTTATATTAACGTCTCAACAAATTCGACAGTATCTTTTATACAGAGAAAATAATTTGATACTTGGTGAATTCTACACTCCCGACGCACCCTTTTTTGAATGGGATGTATGTGCACGTTTGTCTCCTCAATTATTTCCCATAACTTTCAGCTGCAGCGGCTGTTAGAATGCCTTGTTTTTCGTGTTTAGTCTCATGGGTATTCATCGGTCAATTTGGGAAGTTCGCAAATTTCGCTTGTTTTTGTTATTGGTCAAAAAAAACACTTTCCCACAAACTTTATTCCTCTAAGGCGCAAACGAACAAAGATGGGTTTTAAGGATTAGCTTTGAGTGAAACATTACTTGGATGAATAATTTTGACTGTCAAACGCCTTGCATTAACATCATAAATGTCTCGTTTGTTTTTCTAATAATTTGATATGTGTGAAGTTAATCGCGTTTTGTTTACAAGTCCTTTCACTTACCAATCGAGTGCAGAATTAAAATACAATTGCTTTTGTGTTTTATTTGGTTATTTATTTTTGAACTTGCTTGTCCGTTGCTGAACTCCATTTGCACAGTTGAAGAAGCGTTCGCTATTTTTTATTTTATTTTATTTTTATTTTTTTTGTTGAATGTGAATTATACTGTGACCACACAAGGTGTGCAACAGTATGAAATTTTATTGCTTGGTTTTCGTTTAATGCTAGTACGAAGTAAATAGTTTTCCTTGATATTTTTTCCCTTGTACACCGAACATGTCTAATGCAAGGATAAGTCAGCAGACAAAGAATACGTACATTTCATTCTTTCTCGTGTACCTACTGTGTTTTCTTCGTACGAAGCTTTGTCTCTTTGTGTGTTTCGTTAGAACCCACGTATCCCTTTTTAATTTCCAGTAATAGTTTTTTCATTTATTTAATAACATATTTCATTCACACAAGCGCCATTCTTCATCACCACAATGATCGAAACAATGCCGTTTTTTTGTTTTGTTGCTATTATGACAGCGACTCCCAACTGTTTAGCCGACAATTTGGCTCCCTGGACAGTCCTCGCTATTCTCCTGTTTCCCTTATCAGATCGTAGTAATCTCATCTGTAAAACATCTGCTTGCCGACTTCGGCTCAGCCCCGCCACCTTAAAATTCGCAAGCGCTATTGGCTTTCTTTAAGCGAGCTCACGTTACACTATCTGATGGACCCTAAGTTCACGTGTTTCCGAAGAATTCACCAATGAGCATTTGCCTTCATTCGCCCTGAGGCTTAGTGAATTAGCCATAACGTCATTAATACCTGGGGATCGTGCCCGCATAGTCCATTAAAGTTTTCGCGTAGGGCTAAGCGAATGTAACGAACCAGCTAACTGACATAAACTCCAAGGGTTCATAACGATCCCTGACCAAGTCGCCAATTATATGGTGTGGCGTTATCTTACCGAATGCTTTGCGACGTACTACGTGCATACATCCCAGGAAATCCATTGTTTAGGAATTGAAAGCAGAATGTATTCAATAGAACAATCAAGTTTCCCTGTATCCGTGAAGGCTGATGTCGTTTTCAGACTCAGAAGAGTATAAATTGACTCAGGGCGCTCCAGCTCTGGCATTTCTCGCGTTCACTTCAGTTGAAATCCAACATCGTGAACCGACATTCTCTAATAGCAGCTGAATTTTTTCGTTTGATTTTTTGATTTCAGAATTTTGACCTAAAAATCGCTTCGCTCATTTTTTCTAACTTTCGTTTTTGCGTCGTCGTGTAAACAGTACAATGGCTATAGACAATAGTTACGGTTACGTCCCTACCAAATGGTTAGGAATTGTTGCTGTAGTCCTTTTCTGTCTCGCTTTTGTCACGGAGGTTGCACAATGTGTTCCCATTCGTAGGTTTTTGTTAGTGGTACCCATGATTGGAACACTCGGTGAAATTGTCGGTTGGATAGCAAGATTAAAGTCTTCATCGGATCCTTGGTCAACCAACTTGTTTTTGGTAAACTTTGTCGCATTGTGTATTGCTCCGGTTTTTTACACGGCTCAAATCTACACAACCATGCAATACCTTGTCCGTCTTTACGGTCCCGACTTTTCTTACTTCAGTCCAAGAATGTATGCAGTCATCTTTGTTGGAAGCGACATCATCTCCTTGGTTGTCCAGCAATTGGAGTGCCATCGCTAGTTCGGCTGCCAGGCTCTTCAAATATGAACTTGGGTGGGCATATTACACTTGCCGGTATTTGCTTCCAATTCATCAGTGTCTTGGTTTTCACAGTTTTTGGCATCGATTTTGCTTTACGCTACCAAAAGAAAAGACCCTACCGCACCACGATCATTCCTGGATCAACAGAATCTTCTAAATTGTGTCCTCCTCCTTCTCGCAACCGTAAACTTGCCATCCAGACTCTGATTGCCTCTACTGTCTTTGTAATCATTCGTTCTATTTACCGTGTTGTTGAGCTTGCTGATGGTTGGACCGGATACATTGTTAAACATGAGCCTTTCTTTGCCATTTTTGACTTTGTGCCTATGTTCATTACTTCCATTCTACTCCTTGGAACAGTTGCCCCGATGCTCGAGGTCCGTCGCAAAGTTGACACCACTGAGCTCATGTTGATGGATACGAAATTGCAGCGGCAATTTTCGCACCTTTCGTCCATGGGTTCTCATGATCATATTTACAAAACGATTAGCAACCCTCTTTCCGTAAGTACTGCCGGTGAAAAGAAGAAAGACGTCGTCTTATAGAGAGGTGTGCTATACTTTTGGTATCATGCCAAGTATTTTTTGATATATTTCACTCTCGTTTCATCTTCGGTATCTAACAACTTTTTTTTCTTACTTTCTGTCATCACTGTACAATTTTTGTCACACTCCATCTCAATTCGCTTCACTTCTTTTAATCGTCCTTTTTTCCTGTGCGTGCTTTTACCATACAGCAGAAAGGGAGTTTCATACCCTGTTCATGTCAACTGTTGCTTTCAGTGAATTTAAATGACATAAAGAGTATTATCAGTCTTTTAAAAATGTTTTGTTTCAGTCCAATCTCGAACTTTTAATGCTCGCTTAGCTTGTCCGTTTCGTTTCGTTATATTCTTTGGTTAAGTGACTACACGATATAATGTGTCAGTGCTTTCGATATTATTTTCGAAACGTTTATAGACAACTGTTTTTTTCTTTAGCTTTAATGAATTCCATTATTTAAAAATTTGTCAGTAGGTATCAATTTCTAGAAAATCAAGAACTTGCATCTGAACTTTGTATAGGTTTAAATGTTCATTTGTAAGTAAACTAAGCAGAATCGATGCATTCTTATGAATTATCTAAGTATACATCAACAACCTCCCAATGTTAACCGAAATTAAAAGAAAATATCAGTCATGTGTTCATAATATAGTTTTTCAAGTTTAAAACGAAATTGGTTATTGATTTTACGGAACTCGGGCAATGTATTAGTACCTTCGATTAACTGTTTCATCAAGGATGAGTGTGGAAACAGCGATCAAGCATAATTTTTAGTTGGTTTCATCAGTTGTTTCTGGGCGGGAGATACTGTATGTAACTGAATTGATTACTTTCGAACATAAGTTGAGTCGGATGCACTCATGAACTGAACTCGAAATAACCATCAAAAAATTTGTTGGGAATTGGTCATGGTTCCGGAAATTATGATCTGTTTCTTGTGTCCGGTCCGGAAAAGATTACCGAAAATATTAAAGGACAATTTAATTTAGCCATTCATTAATAACGTACCAATTGCAATTTGAGATATGTTTTAACAGTGCCACAAAACTTACAATGAACCGATAGATAATCAGAATAGAATGCCAAAGCTGTCGTAATGAGTTTACAAAGCAAATAGTTTTAAAATTTCAAAATACAAACACAGTCAATACCATGACAAAATACCTACTTTTTATAATAATATCTTCTAAAATCGGCCTCATCGAATATGGAAAACCTGAATTATGAATTTTTATCTCAAAAATCGGATCTTGCTTGTTTTTATAAGTTTCTCTTACGCAAAAAAGCGTTTGCTACAATTGGAAAATCCGTACCAGGAGACATATGAGAAAACTTCAAAGAATGTACGATAGCTACGTCAAACTGTTTCCTTCCAGATAAGTGTCAAGTTAAAGAAAATGAAAATAAAAATATCGTAATTATTGAATTCCATATGTTCTTTATTATATGCCCTGCCACTTAGTTTCCGAGTAATTATGGCTGCCCGAATACTATTGGTTTTTGTGCCACTTCTAATAATACCTTGAAATTTATTAATCAAAAAAAAAAAAAAAAAAACATGTTATAAAAACATTTATTGAATAAAGTAGTAGAACTGAAAAATCATGGGCCTTATTATATTCAAAAAAAAAAAAGAGCATCAACCGAAGTTTCTGTGTACTCCCTTTCCTCCCTACCGTACAAGCAATTACATCAACATACTCAACGTGTTAAGACTATGACTAAACCCTGTGTAGTACACACCAAGTCCGTAGAAGCAAACGTAATAACTGCCAAGAGTCGTTTCCCGAGCACAAATTAAGTCTATTCAAGTTGCTTACCAACAGGAACTCTATTAAAACTGTTTTCTAGATAACAAACACGTTCGCCAACTTCATACAGCTGCACCCGACCATTTGGTGCATTGTACCGTGAATGATGCACTGGTGCGTAATTTAGTTTAACGAATTTTAACACTTTTCATTCCTTACGCAATCGTACTTCAACGCAGCTTTCAAATAATACTATACACTTCGCTAATGTTTTTAACATGCCGCAATGCAATGTAGCGCCACTTGCTTTATAGAATGCAGAATAAGTGCCTTACTTACCACAGCAATCAATCCCTTCAACGTTAGGCAATTGACTTAATTGCTGCAGACAATCATATGATGCAGTCATAATAAATCGTGAAATTCTGCACAAAAGTCGTTTCATACCACCTGTGTGCAATTCAATCATATTACTCTTTGTCAAACCATTTTATTGGAAACCACTTCATGATACGATTCTACCTGAATTCTCTGCTCATGTTGAAAAGCTCGCTGCATCGTGATAAATAAAATAGAGCACTCCCTTAACCTACGTAAAATTTATGTTCATCGAGCTACGTCATGCACCACATAACCCCTTCCTTCCCCGTGGAAGAGCGTATCTAAGCGAAACATTATTTATCGCACATTCTTTCATACCGAAAACTTGGTTTAAAGGTTTGTGCCATCATGTGTAGTATCCTCTTCGACACAATATTTCTCATAAACAAGATAAGGCATAACTCTTTCATGGTTGTATTATCTACGCAATTGTGACGTTTAGCAAGCGGATACCCACGTGAATCTTGATATAACTCTCTTTCACGTATTTTCGCTACTGGCGGTTCTTTAGCCGACCCACGAATAAAGTTTTGGCGGAGCGATAACTGCCGCCCGAGGCGAAAATATTTGTGATGTATGCTTCCCGGCAGTTGTAACAGAAAAGGAAAGGCTAGCCATTAAGCCGTCGTCCTGAAGCCGTTTGCAATAGCTGAAGAAAAGCCATTGCCACAATGGTCCTTATACAGTAGTTTGCTGTAGATGGTGTGGTTGATTTTAATAATTAATCATCAGTTACAATCGAATGTTAAACAAGACCGCGAAACGCTACAGCATATCGCTTAATGAATCATTTTTTTTCCCACGGTCAGAATTGATGTCCTCTTTCTCCTATTCTGCTAACATGCGATTTCTTTTTCCTTTTTCTGTTCTTTTTCTTTTCAAACAGACCACATGGAGCTGCTGACTGGTTCACTTGAATGCCCTCGACTCATATTTCCTCGACCCTTCTTTCCCTTTTATTCTCGGTGATTTTATGCTGAGCCCCTCCACCTTAATAAGCAACCCCCCTCGGCTTTATTCACGTCATGATCTTCCGAAAGCGTCTACGTCAGTCCATTCTAAGCGAGAAAATCTTAAACAACACGTTTAACCAACTTTCAGCTGATTCATTTTAAGTGGCTCGCCATGTAGTCAGTCGTTCATTTAAGTGGTCCAATTCATCGCATGGTTTTCCATAGTGCACCGAAAGACCCTTTCGCGACAATTAGCCGATTTTTCCTTATACGTCATTCGATAAACTCAAAACAGTACGACGTCATGGTTCGAGCAGATTCTAAACTCCGCGGTTTTATTAGAGTTTACGCTACGCTGCAAAATAACCGAACCATGACGACAGTATTGGCTGCTTATTCAGGGGTTTATTCTGATCCCTGCACAGAACTACCAATGGATGCTTTCACCGAAAAACTCTAACTGAGCCCTTGCGAAATAGTTTCCACTAATCCCTATCGTTCTGTCGCATAGTAACTCTAAGCAAGGCAATCGGTACATAACATTCCCGTCTTTCCTGATGTACTCACAGTAGTGAATTACTATAAATTAATCCACATGCGCTTCTGCTCATGGACAAGAAACAAGGACTGATCCTTTCAGCGGGTTTCACTGGGCATCTACTTTCTTTATTTTTTCTAATCGGTAAATTTTACTGATCATCGCATTGCATCGTCCAACCTTTTTCCATTATATCATAAGAAGCGGACGCTGGTTTGTTCGTTTTTCCTGCATTTAATCTCGCTCGCATAGTACTTTTGTTTTATTTTCTTCCATTCTCTTATTGAAACGATGCAACTTGAGGTTAACCCTTACGGCTACATTCCTACCGAATGGTTGGGTATTCTTGGTATCATTCTTTTCAGTTTGGCGCTTATAGCAGAAATTGTCCAAATTGTTATGATCCGTGACTTGTTACCATTGGTACCACTCATTGGAACAGTTGGCGAAATTGTCGGATGGATCGGAAGACTGTACTCTCATAGCCATGTTTTCTCCAACAACTCGTTTTTGACAAACTTCATTGCCTTGTGTATTGCTCCGGTGTTTTACACTGCTCAGATTTACACGACTTTGCAGTATCTTGTTCGTATTTACGGCCCGGACTTCTCCTGGTTGAGTCCCAAGCTCTACACGATTGTGTTTGTTGGCAGCGACATCATTTCTTTGATTGTTCAGGCTATCGGAGGTGCCATTGCCGGTTCCGCCGATCAGGGTTCTTCAACAATGAAGTTGGGTGGAAATATCACGCTTGCAGGTATCTGTTTCCAACTTCTCAGTGTCATGTGTTTCTTCATTTTTGGTCTTGATTTTGCTTCCCGTTATCGTAAGCACAAGCCTTACCGTACTACCGTTGTTGCTGGATCCCCCGAAGCCTCCGACCTGAACCCTGAACCTTCCAAGTCGCGCAAGGTGGGTTACCAGACCTTGTTTATCTCTACCGTACTTGTCCTCATCCGTTCTATCTACCGTGTCATTGAGCTTGGAGACGGTTGGGATGGATATGTTATTTCGCACGAGGTTTACTTCGCTGTCTTTGACTTCATTCCCATGTTTATCACAGCCCTCTTGCTCTTGGGAACCGTCGGCCCAATGCTTGAAGTTCGCAGAGGTGCCAAGCGTGGAGACGACTCTTTGGTGAACGCGAATGACACTCAATTCACTTACGTTTCCTCTGTTAACTCCAAGGAACTTAGCCGCAATCCTTCCAGCAACCCTATGGCACCGACCATCGACGAGGAGAAGCAAGTATAATTCCGCCGTGACATGATCGAGTGTTCCCCTACCCTTGTGCATCTTATACCCCTTCAGTTGCGAATGGCCTCTGTTCTTTTCATTTACTCTTTCTTTTCATATGCTATTCTATACGCTATTATTCTATGATATCATATGATTATATATACGTTGAAGTTTCAAGTTTTTTTATGCATTTCAGTTCAATTGTTTCAGTTCAAGAATAATTATTTGACCATACATGTCCTAGTTCATTGTATCAAAGCGGACGAACCGAAATCGGTGGCAAATGGACGGCAATGGTCATGGCAATACGGATTTCTCGTTAATCATCGGCAATGGAGTACCTAACTATCCATTCTCATTAACTACTCTGTAATTCTTATTTTTACACTGCAGTTGCTACTCTACCAGTTTAGCCGCTCGCTTAATCGCAACGACGAAACCTTAATTCGCTCAGGGATTGTTCTCGCACAAGGGACTCAGTGTTTTACGTACACCGATTAACTAACTCCTAAACGAAGGGGTTATCGTTTCATAAAAAGCGCTATAATTAAGAAACAGTATTACATCGCTTCCCCTCAGACACCCACGCTGCCGTACAATTTGGTGTGGTGCACTAAAACTCGTCTCGGTACGATCGCGACTGCGAAATTATTGTGACTGCTTTTTCTGTTTCATTTTACTATAAAAACCCACTGCCAGCTACCTGATATCCAGCTTCAGGTCTCTTTTACCAATTGCAGTCTGGCCAAAGGCAATGAGGTTGTAATTAAATGGCTTGAGACCGAAAACGATCCTCCGTTCTAATCCTGACCATCGAATTTATAATGGTCCGGTTCGCTTAAGGAGAACATCTTTGTAGATTGTGCGTTATAATAGTGAAAATTGTTTCGTTTATATGAGTCTGAAGTTGTTTATGTGTGGTTTTAGTTGTTTGAAGTGGTGATGTACTAGGTGCTTCGTAATCCTCTTTAAACAGGTGGAATTTGTTGCAGGATGTCTTTGTTGCTTGCTGCAAAGAGCGTTTGGCGTCAGCAATCGGTGATCATGCTCTCTCTTCGATTAATCCTAAGCGACCTGAGCAAATGATCGACGGGAACTCGGTTCTCAGGTCAACAAAGCGTGCTACTCTTGACTACGTAGTGAACGTAATTAATATCGTAAACTCTTTAACTGCGAATTGTACATCACAAATACGTCTGCCGCATTTCACATCGAAGGTCATTGACTTTCAACTCACACTACATTCCGTTACAGCCAGTAGCGTCGATCCTCCTCCGATCGACACACTCAAGTCTTATTTAGTAGACTTTTAAACTTTTCTACAAACTTCTCGCATATTCATTAACAGATCTCATAAACACTAACGCACGTCGTCCTGCGCTTTATTTGTTCTTCCTTCACGATGTTTGGGGCAATTTGTGCTGGTCGCCTGGTTCAAACGAATCTTCAACAAATATCTGAAAATCAGTTCCTCTTCGTCCTCGAAAATGCAGAGTCCATAAACCACATCGTTGTTTTCGTACTTCCTACCTCTCCCTTTCCTAATGGATTTGGCGCCAAAGTCTACTTTCAATGGCCAGACAAACCATTTCAATACCTGGGATACCTTACTAACGAAAAACCCAGTGCCATTTTCCGTTTGAAAAATACCGTACAGCAATTCACACAGGGTGCTGGTCCCGTTAGCGGTATCACAGCCAGTCTTGGCATTAGTGTTGAACCGCTGGAAAGCATTGCACAGGAAGCAATGGCTTCCAGCTCCTCAACTGCTCTTGCCAAACCCGCTGCTCCTCCGTCTTCTATTGCAGAACGTATCCTCAAAAACTTGTACAACTTTTTGGCTAGCTTTGCCGTCTCCAACTTGCCTCCATATGCCACGGGACTCGGTGATTTGCGACCCAACGATACTTATGTGCCGCTTCGTGTGTTCCAAGACTGGCATGCGAAGTTCCTTAGTAAGCTCACCAACAATCCCAACTTCTTAAACGAGGATCAGGCGTAACATTCATGCCAGACAATGGCTGCATAACCTTTAAAATTAGCGGGAGAGGGTGTGTAAGTACGGATATGAATAGTGCGTATTGTTAGCGAATATTTTTTTCCCCTGTGAGTGTTTTCCAAAAACAGTTCGGATGCTGTTTATGTCCTTGGAAACACAGCAAGGTTCTCTACCCGTAGGAGACCACATGCCATTCCACTCGCAAGCCAACCAGCATATTTGAAGTTTGGGTTCCACTCTACCTTGCTGATTTGCACTTGCCAAGGATGCACGTACAAGCTTACCTTTCGTGGTTTAGGCAGATTGGGACGAAAGTTTTCGAGTAACCGATACACATCATATTTCGAGCTGTACTCAAGCTGATATAACCGATAGACACTCATTTTGAATTTGTGGGACCAACCCAGTAACCTGAAGGGATTCATCACCGTAACAATGCCATCTGCTCCGCCAGCTGCTACAAACGGGTGCCGGACGGTTGTACCGATACTCATCACAGATCCATTCCGCTCATCTAGTGTAGGATTTAATGGAGATCCACGGATGGACTCGAGAATAACACTTTGTGATTCATGTCCAATTACAGTAGATTGTAACATATCACTCCATGCAATGGACTGACATACATCTAAATAGTAATGTTAGTTTTGAAAACAATGTGGTCCCTGTTTTGCTTACCTCTTTTGTGCGATCGGCTCATACTGTCCAATTCAGGATCACGCAGATCAAATAACTTCGTATAGCAATCGTAGGAATTGGTAAGGAAAATGTAAGGAAAAGTAGGTGCGCACTGGCAAATAGAGGTAATGTACGAGTCATGAAACGGCATGTAAGTCAAGGGTGTTGATGAGACGTTGAGCAAATCAAATAATGCCAGATAGCCTGTTTTCGTTAGCGATCAAAAGGGGGAAAAGGATAATGGTTCCAAGAAGTTGGTGCGAAGTCAAAATACTTACCATTTGAACACCCTGCAAGTATCTGATGTGGAGATCCTGTAGCTGGCTTGATCCAAGTCATGCACGTATACAATGCATCTTTTAGTTGAAACGTCCATTCGGCCAAGTGGACATGCACTAAAATGAATGTTAGACATATGTTGATAGCCGGAATAGATACACATACGGTTTGTATCAGAAATGCTGTTAGGTACACGTATTACTCGTAAAATACCGTCACTGCTAATCACGGCTAAGAGACCTAAGATGCTTGGATTGGCGGATGCACATGGACACCATTGTAACTGATAAATGTCGCCCCAATCGTGCCAAAGACGTTGTTTCAGTTGGAACTCGCCAGCACTGTTCAATTGCCAAAGTTGAATGTGATTACGACCAGATGTGCGAATAAAGGCGGAGGGTTGTTGCTCAGAGATCGTGCGCATACCACCAACTGCCAGACATTGCTCATCCTGCAATGTATAAAGCCATGATAAACTAGTCACCGACTGACCAGTGTGAACAAAGAAGCCACGTTTATGTGGATGACGCTCAGACAAATTGAAAATATCGCCTTCACGCACAGTCAATGGCTGTCCTGTGCTATCCAACATAAGGTTTAGTTGTGCTGGCAGTCTCTCGCCTTTTTCTTCCGTTTCCTTTTTCACCTCCTCGATTTGTTGGAATCCGTAGCCAGTTAGGAGCAATGCGTCCAGCGTATATTGTTCCGAATGGTCGTGATCGAAGTGGGCCACCCCGGGAGCAGTTTCGTACATTCTCCAAACGTCCATGAGCGCCTTTCCTCTGCTCAGACTAGAAGACTCGGATCCATAGAGATAATAGAGTTTATCCTCCATGCTTTTCGCCGGCGTCCGACGAGCAGAACTCGGCTTGGCTGACGACAATCTCTGGCTATTCGGGGTTCTCGTGTTTCGATTTGGCGTCGGCGTTACTACAGCAGAAGAGGTGCGAGAAACAGAACGTCGTGGTCGTAATGAACGCCTCGGTGTAACCGGTTTCTGATCTTTTTCTTCATTTGATGTTTGTAAGACCGCGTTACTGTCATTCTTAATATACTCCACGAATTCATAGCTTTCGTTCCCGTTTTGATCGCTGTCTACGAAATCCAGATCCGCGACGGAGCGTTTTGAACGTGAGCCCATGGCAATCGATGCTCCTTTTAACAAACGAAATTGATTCTGGTGGGGACTGTTACAAAAAGGGTTAGTCCTCAGGTGCAACAAGTCTAAAATGTTACAAGTGTGTGTTTTTAATTACTCGTTGGAGGATGTGTCGATAAATTGATCCACAAACTCGCCAAAAGACACAAGTGTAAGATGGTTTTTAGTTTTTTTTTTCACTTATACTTAAGAATAGCAGCAAATATATACTTCCACTCAAATGAGCATAGACAAGCAATCTATTTCTTTCTGTTAATTTGCGAATTTTTCAGTCTAGCGTCAAAGACGACCAATGACCATTAATTGCCCTAATGTTGTTGTTTGTTGCAGTTTTATAGAACTGACATTGCTCAATTGACACAAATCAAAGCACGAAAAGAATCAATTAAACAGGATACTCCCCAATTCAGCGACAGTGTGTTTGTAAAAAAGAGAAGTGCATTCTTAGAAGAGAGACGCGTTTCGTGTTTGCGAATTAAGGTTAACGAGATTGACGGAACTGCAACGTGCCAAGACGCGCCGCGAGAACAAGAACCAACACCTCCAGAACCATTCACGCCAAAAATTAGCCTCTGGGTGTAACAGTTCTTAATTTGAGTGAGAACTATAGTTTGACTATATTCTTTTTGTTGTTTGCCTAATTTGAGTGCAATTGATTGTCTTATTTAGGAGCTCTCCCTCATATTTGCCGAAAGACGCGTACCTTCTCGAACAAGGAAAACATAACCTTTTCTGTCTTACTTTTACCTCAGCATTTAAAAGAGTATTTAAATGGACGAGACAAACTCTTCACAAACTCCCCAGTATATGAAGGTCGAGTCTGATGATGAAATTCAACCTATGAGTTTGGATCGTGGGGATGGGAGATCACCATCAGAAACGAACCAAACAAACACTGCAGGCGGCCATTCACAAACCCCGGAAAAGGAAAAATCTGAGAACGATGTTGCCTCTTCGACTTCTCCAAACTCTGCATCAAATTCAAGAAAACGTAGTGCCTCTCCCACGCTCGAACCAAACATCGATCCCGATGACATGTTCAAGGACAAAACGTTAGAAGACTTTTTAAACAGTATGGATGATTATGCTCCTATTATTCCGGATGTCATCATCGATTACTATTTAAGTCTGTCCGGCTTCAGCAGTGTTGATCCTCGTATGAAGAGGCTTTTGGGCTTGACAGCTCAGAAGTTCATGTCAGACGTGGCTCAAGATGCATATCAATACTCGAAAATCCGCACAGGAACTTCGTCTTCAGCTTCCGGTTCGGCTGCAGCACCAGGAGCTGGTCCTGCCGGCGCCAACAGCTTTGCCTCGGCCAGCAGACGTGCGGATAGAGGAAAGACGGTACTTACAGTGGAGGATTTGGGTGCGGCATTAAACGAATATGGAATCAACCTTCGTCGCCCCGATTTTTTCCGTTAGTAACTATTGGAGTTCATCATAGCGTTGAACTTGTTTGAGAGGGTTGGACACTTACAAAGATACACTATTACTATGTACAATATTGCTTCCCATATTCTCTTCATGACTACTTATTTCGCCTTCTGCCGTCCAAAATTCCCGTTCGTCTATTTTCCTCAATCTCTAAACCCACTTCACCCCCACTTCTCACTATTCAGAGAATTCACTACGCCAAAAAAGGAAAAAACCAAGTGCTTTCTTTACCAAGTATTACATATTAATGGACGAGCCATTGTTACTAAATTTCAATGTGTCTGACTCGGTTTCAGCATCTAGTTCGGTGCCAAAGGGGGGCCGGTGGAAGGATCGGTTGAAGGCGAAAAAGTTGATAAAACATCGTCAGCAAAAAGATGTAAAAAAATCAGGAATTGAAGCTAAACCCAAGAACACAACTTCATCAAAACGGTTAAATGAGACCTCTTTTGGGACTGATAATTCTTCTGACAATTCTGCTCCAGCAAAGAGATTTAAGACGTCTTTTTCGGCAAATGCCGTCAAGGATGGTTCAAGAAAAAGAAACAACATGCATGCTGGTTCCACTCAGTCTACCGGTGTGATCTCTTCATTGTTCACCGGCGACCCGTCGGAAAAGTATGATGATGCGAAAAAAAGCGATGCCACTGCTTCATCTAGCGCTGCTCTCCAAGCTCCAACAAATGCTCCTCTTACGACCTCGACGTTTGCCGGTGTGCAACTGGACGAAGTATTGGTAAATCATTTGCGTGAAAAAATGAACATCACCGCACCCACGGCTGTTCAAAAGGCGTCTTTGCCTGTACTGTTAGACAAAGCTGATCACGATGTGTTTGTTGAAGCCGAGACTGGTTCGGGAAAAACACTTTCGTATTTACTGCCTATTGTTCAACGCATGCTTGGCTTGCCAGAGGAAATGCACAAGCGGACAGCGGGTGTGTTCGCTGTTATCATTGCACCTACTCGTGAACTTTGCCAGCAGATTTACAACGTCGTGACCGCTTTGGTGAACAACAAGAAAGCATTTTGGATTGTTCCTTGCAATGTCATTGGCGGTGAAAAGAAAAAGAGTGAGAAGGCTCGTATCCGTAAGGGTACGAATATACTCATTGGTACTCCAGGTCGGTTGGCCGACCATTTGGAGAATACGGAGGCATTGGATGTCTCAAACGTTCGTTGGGTAGTTTTGGATGAAGGTGATCGGTTAATGGATATGGGTTTTGAAGAGACAATTACAAAGATCTTGACCACTTTGGACACGCAAAGCAGTTTCAGTGCACAAAAGTTGAGCATTCCCTCACGAAAGGTGAACATCTTGTGTTCGGCCACCATGCAGGGATCACTTGCTCAGCTGAAGGAAAAACAATTTAAGGACGCCTTGTACGTGAAGGCAGCCGCTGAAGATAATTCAACTGATGAGGGTGAATCACAATTGTCCGCTGTCGGCAGCAACGACAAGTCCATGGCTCCAGCACAACTAGTGCAACAATATATGGTAGTTCCACCAAAGCTGCGACTGGTGAGTTTGGCTGCCATGCTTAAGCGTTATGTTCGGCTGAATACCAGAATTGTTGTTTTCTTCTCCTGTGCTGACAGCGTCGACTTTCATTTTGAAGTTTTCAAGTCAGCCATGAATTTGGATGGTGATGACGACAATGAGCCAGACAGCGATGATGGCGAAAGGAGATTTGTTCGAAGAGATGCAGACGCACCGAAAGTGCGAGTAAAGGAGGTGGAGCAACACGCTGCCCAGGCGAAGCGCATCCATCAAAACGCTCTTGTGTACCGTTTACACGGTTCGCTTTCTCAGCCCGTGCGTACAGCCACTCTGAATCAGTTTGCGAGCATGAAAAGCAAACAACCCAAGATTTTATTGTGCACGGATGTGGCTGCCCGTGGTTTGGATCTGCCTTCTGTTGACTATGTAATTCAGTATGACGCCCCCTTCAGCACTGATGACTATGTACACCGTGTGGGTCGAACGGCTCGTGCAGGTCACCAGGGTACGGCAGAGCTGTTCCTTCTCGCTTCCGAAACGGACTACGTGGATCTGTTGAAGAAAACTGTGCATGCGAACATAGTTGAGGCACCCGCTGGTGTCTCAGGCAACTTGCAACAGGCCTTCCGCCGTGCTGGTGAGCGCAAACAGCAATGGCAAGACAACGCAACCGAATGGCAACTCGATGTTGAGAAATGGGTGCTCAAGTCGGAGCGTCACCACGAATTGGCCAAGAAAGCGTTTTCTTCCCACGTCCGTGCCTACGCTACCCACCTGTCTGGTGAGCGAAGCATCTTCAACATGCGTTCGCTCCACCTCGGTCACATTGCCAAGTCATTTGCTTTACGCGAGGCTCCGGGTAAAATGGGTCAGGGACACCGTAACGCAAAGGATAATGGACACAAGAGCAAGGGGAAATTTCAAACGGGTAGTAAGAGTACCGAATCTATTGCTTCTCGTATGAACCGCAAAGCTATGGAGACCTATCAAAATGAACACCAAGTTGCTTAGATGAGATGAAACAGTGGTCAAGTGTAAAGGCGTCTTTTTTGTCTGTCATATTTTTCCGTCTTCAACTTTCCTACCGCATTCCTTCCCTCATTGACGCCACCGTTCCGACTACTATCTCTATTACTAAGACTCGCTGATTGATCCTCCTCTTTTCGCCCAACGCCTTTCAACGTTGCTAAATCACCTTCGGTTTGGTGGAGCACTGGAGGTAACGTGTTACCTCACCTGCTCAAACCTGTTCACTAACCATGCGATTCAATGGCAGAAATGACTTCTTTTATGTGGTCTTTTGAGCCGTCAGGGGGTCGCAATGTTTGTCCAAAACGCCTCGTCTTGATGTTTCGTCCTGTCGAATTTATTGTGGTTGTTGATGTGCTTACTAAATGACGCCTTAGTCACCACCAAGCAATAAGGCGTAATATTTCCCAATGCTGTTTCGGTATTATTGCGATAATTGCGTATACACTATTGCCGATAACGCCATCGCACACAACCAGCTCCTGAGTTAAATAACCGTCGGTACGCTCATGCTTCTTCGTCAAACAGACATCATTTCAGCGTTACCCACCGCAAGCAATTGGCTTTCTTTGGTCTAAACGCAATTCAATCGAACTTTAATTAGGACTTGTTACGTCTGGACTCCATCAGTTCACTCATTTTAACAGAAGCCGACGCCTAATCCGCGGACCTGAATTGATATTTATTTCGTTCTTTTCCCTCTGTTACTTTTGGTCGCATTTCTCTTAAAAGCTTTTGTATTTTCTCGAGACTTCTCATTACACTCTACAAAACAACTACTACAACATGTTGAAAAACGCCGTGAAATCATTCCCCAAGGTTGCCGATGGCTTTATTGGCGCTATTGGAAGAACTCCTCTTGTTCGCTTGAACAGCTTGTCTGAAGAGACTGGCTGTAACATTCTTGCCAAGGCTGAGTTTCTCAACCCCGGTGGCAGTATCAAGGACCGTGCCGCTTGGTATGTCATTAGAGATGCCGAGAAGAAGGGTACCTTGAAGCGTGGTGGTACCGTTGTTGAGGGTACTGCTGGTAACACTGGTATTGGTTTGGCTCACGCTGCTCGTGCTCGTGGTTACAACTGTGTTGCTTACATGCCCGACATTATGGCACAAGCCAAGGTTGATACTATGCGCTGCTTGGGTGCTGAGGTTAAGCGTGTGCCTGTTGTTCCTTACTCTGATCCTGAGAACTTCAACCATCAAGCTCGTCGTTACGCCGAGACCCACCCTAATACTGTATGGACGGATCAATTCGACAACCCAGCCAACTTCCGTGCCCATTATGAGACTACCGGTCCCGAAATTTGGGAGCAAACTGGTGGTAACATTGACGTTTTCACTTGTGCCACTGGTACCGCTGGTACGCTTGCTGGTGTTACTCGCTACCTGAAGGAGAAGACCGATGGCCGTATGAGAGCTGTCGTTGCTGATCCCCCTGGAAGTGTGGTCTACAGTCACTTCATGACTAAGGGCAAGAACCCCGTTATTGAGGGTGACACTTATGTCGAGGGTGTTGGCCAAGGTCGTATCACCGGCAACATGAGCAGAGTTTATGACATTCTTGATGCCGCTAACTCTATTCCTGACTCTGAGTCCCTTGCCATGTTGTATCGTCTTATGCTTGAGGATGGAATTTTCGTTGGTGGCTCGTCCGCCGTCAACATCAGCTCCGCTTACCGCATTGCTAAGGAGCTTGGTCCCGGTAAGACCATCGTTACTGTTATTCCTGACAGTGCTCACAAGTATGCTCCTCGCGTCTTCAGCAAGAGCTATCTTGAGGGAAGAGGCCTTTACGATACTCTCCCCGAGGACTACAAAAAATTTGTTTGTCTCCCTTAGATGACCTTCACCTTACATGGTTTCTGAGAAGGCTATTGGGGTTTGCTGCTGAATAGGGCTAAAGCTCGCCCTTCTTTGTGCCAGTGACTCACGTTCATGTTGTTCTCTCATAAGACTCGTTTTCATTTGATTCGCCATTTACACCTTCCCGACGGCATGCTAGACATGTTAGGAATAATTCCCTTTTTGTATACGTCAACATCTTTAACTTGTGGCCTTAAGCCGAATAAGACTAGATTCATTTTTTCGAACGAAATTACTGCAAGAGTTGTCTTTAACTTGTGTGAGAAGCACGAGTGAATGGGTAGTAGCATCAGCGATTTATGTAGCAGTGCTTGTCACATCTGGTATAAGCTGTGAGAACATGTTTGGTTATAAACTCGTATTGTTCTCTGTACGCAAAAGCTAGTATTTCTTCAAAGCAATTACTCAAATACACTGTTTAGACTCTTTCATCCATAACATCGTCTGCTTCAGCTTCCCGTTTTTCTTTTTCGCTGAACTCCAGTTCTTTGGGAACGTCTTGCATTTGGACACTGGGAGCGAAAGAGATATTGCGCAGATTGTCTACGACTTCGGCACTAATAGCAGTTAGTAAGAGGGCACCCACAGTAGCAAAGACATACATAATAGAATCCAAGTATTGCCGTGAGTTGTGGTTCTCCATGTTGTTTGCTAAGACATTCAATTTGTAATCAGGACCAAAATACTGCAAGTAATCATTATAGGGTAAATCTTCGGGTAAGTCTTCTCCAGCAAGAATACCCGTTTCATATGTCCATACACGCGCAACGTTTCTCACTGTGTATCCTCCGCCGCCAACACAAATCATCGGAATACCAAAACTCTTCACAAAGCGTACACAGTCAGAATGACCTAAACGAGTTAGATGTTGCACCTACTTATGTAACCTTGCTTGTGCAAAACTGAGTATACCTTTCATGGAAAGATTAAAACATCCTAGACGATCTCCAGCAAGAGAGTCTGTACCGCATTGGAGAATAATTGCTTCTGGTCGGAACCATTGAATGATATGGCTAATAACCTGCGCACTGTTAGGATGGATGAATTGGAATTTGTTAGGTCACTCCACGTACCGGTCTGAATACGCTAGCATAAGTTTCATCAGTGATTCCATCACGAAGTGGGACATTCACAGCGTAATTTTTTCCCTTTCCGATACCAGTGTCCTTGAAGCAGTTAGAATGATGAAACACAGAAGTGGATGCAGCAAACCTTAATATGACCAGTTCCCGGAAAGAATTCGCCAAATTTGTGAAACGAACATGTCATTACACGATCCGTTGTGTAAAAGAATTCTTCGACACCATCACCGTGGTGCACATCAATATCAATGTATAGTACTCTTTGTCGAAACTTAAGCAGCTCTAAAATAGCGAGAGCAATATCGTTTACATAACAAAAGCCAGAGGCCTCACGTTTCTTGGCATGATGCAGACCACCAGCCCAACTATAACGGAGTTAATAAACTGTAGAAAAAATTCCAATAACTTACTTAACAGCGATGTCCGTGTCTCCGGAATTGAGTTCTTGAGCAGCACCTTCCATGGTTAATTAAGTGTAAAACATGTAATACATGTGACATACCAATTGAGCCGCCTGCCGAGATAGAGCAAAACTCAAAAATACCTCTTCAAGAGTGTTAGCAAGGATATAAAAATCGATTCCTTAATGGATAACATACTCAAAAACAGGAGAATCGTCACCAACATTAACTGAGTATCGATAGTTAGTTTCAGTCCAAAGTTATTAGTTGCATACACTTCAATTGATGTGTCTGAAATTTATCCATTGTGTCCGGCGTGACACGATAAAGAAAGTCAATATATTCATCCGTATGGCATCTTGTCATGTCGTCTTTTGTTGCCCGAAATGGAGTCTAAATGAAAATTTGTCAGAAGCTGCAGCATCCTTTACACAATAGCTCATACAATTACGTTCATCTTTTCGTGTAAACCATAATTAACAACCAGATTGTGGACCTACACGAGAAAATTTTGTTTAGTAAGCGCTCTTATAAAATGCGAAAAATCAAAAAGTACCATTCTCACTCGATGAGGCTTCATGACATGTTGTGGACCATAATGAAAGTTTCCGACATCAGCTACACGGTTAGTAAATTGAAGGAAAACGATATACATACCATCATAAAAGTAAGAAACTTTTTTCCGACTATGTTTCATTTTTTTCGTTTATATATATAAAAAACAGCAATAAAAATACCAGTTAGGAGAGCAATTTCAGTACAGAAGTGAATTGATCGCGTTAAATGAATCGCGCTTGTTTATTTTAACCCGAGTTAAGTAATGGGAGTTGGCTAGAGTTGTTTTGGGATGATGACTGGAAAAATGCTATACGACTTGCAATTACACGGTAGAACAAGACCCGTTAGTCTAGAATTTTATATATTTTCACGTCTATATACAATATACATTAATGAAATCTCGTTTCACAGTATTGACAATACAGCAAATGAGGAAATACCGGGTTTTGCGGAGACAATAATAAATAGCAGAGAAGCATTATACCCCAGCTTACTTCTTACGTTTTTGCATTTTCCGGAATAATATTTCAAACGCAGCACGCTTAAGACCAGTGGTCTCGTCAAGCTGTTGAATTTCCCTACCAATATCCTTGATGAATAGGTGCTCAAGTTCATCATATAAATCGGTCATTTTCAGGTCATTATACAGCTTTTTAATGGTATTTTCGCTTTCCATATCGTGTTTCCCGTAATTGCTCAAAAGGAGTTCTCTTTCTTCAGGGGATGCCTTGTACAAGGCATAGCAAATGAGCCATGTGCATTTGCGTTCTCGAATGTCGGTGCCTATTTTTCCAACAACGTTCGAGTCTCCGTAGCAATCCAAGAAATCGTCTTGGAATTGGAAATATCTCCCCAATTGAACAGCTAGTCTTTTAGCATCAACATAAGCCTGTTTCTCTTTCATTCCGACAAGTATCATGGCGCATTTAATGGGAAGATAAAAAGAGTAATAGGCGGTTTTATAAGTAACAATAAACTCATAAGCCTTTAGACTAAAGGATGTGTTCATCGGAACACCGCCAATGGACAAAATAAGATCCATTTCCTGGCCAGTTTCTGTTTGTAGTAGAATCTAGACTAGAGTAAGAAAGAGGTCGATACAATCATATACCATACCTCATGAAATGTATCTAATAATTCCTTATAATACGGCTGATCCCTAAAAAAGAGCCTAAGAAGTACAAAGACAAGATTCTCCATCATGACAGCCTCAGTAAAGGCACGAGACGTGCCAACCTGCAAGTACCAGCATGGCCTGCCTCTGCGAGTAAGAGACTTGTCCATAATATCGTCAGCAACTAGAAAACTGCCTTGAAGCTAAGACGGTTAGAGATGTGTTAACATAGTACTTCGTTATTGAACGAGGCAGGCTTTTTGGAACAGCTTAATGTCCTCACTTACCATTTCAACAATCCATCCAAGTAAACAAGATTTCTCGTGCATGTCATCTGTAAGTTCTGTTCCTAGCAAAACTTTTACAGACTCTAAGACGGCTTTTCCCCGGGTTCCTTTTCCTCCAATGGTATTTTGTGTGATAGTCTAAAGGGTCAATAAGACATACAGATGCTGCAAAACACATACATGAAGAACATTTTCTTTTAGCCCTTCTGGGCAGTTTAATTTTGACAAGCTTTGTGTCAAGGTGTCCAAGATAATGGCAAAATGTGCACTGTAGTCTCGCTTCATTAAAGGAAGAGGATATAGTTCGAGAAATGATAGATGTGAAACAAATAAAGACGAAAATTTTTAAATAAACGATGTCTGCAATTCAAGAAGGGAATGTTTAATGAAGAAATCGAAATCTAATTTGAAGAAACGTAAATGAAGGAAATTTAACAGCGACAAACTGCTCAATTCAAATAGAAAGAGAACTCTATACGCTCAGTAACCTCCACAATAACGAATGAAATAAAAAGACCAAAATAAACGGCTGTTCGACTATGCAGTTTGTGGAGTAATTGAATAATTGAAATTCGTCCACAACGAAGCACTTTCGGTTTAACAAAAAATGAATAAGTTACCCTTAAGTTAAAGTGTAATAAATATTGGAAATATGTGTTCTTTTGTTGTAATTTCTCGTTTTCGACCAGCTATTCGCTGGAAGGTGTCCAAAAACAATACTTGTTGTCACCCATACTGCAAATCCTTTTGCACACCTCCAGCTCAAAGTCTCTTCATACATAATGAAAAACTTGACTCTCAAAGGTTGTCAAGGGCACCTTCTACAAAGCGGAGATGTAAAAGGAATTACTGTTGATTCTTCTATAGATGCTGTTTTTGTCGCCGTTGGGTTAAGCGAAAATAATCCCGGTCTTACTATTTACAAGATTGCACAAGGAAAAGAACCCCGTGAGTTCATTACCTATGATGATCCACGTCTGCTTAGTGAAAATCAAGAACCAATTTTGATTAGAGATATGAAATTTCTCAGTGAGAGCAGTTCTATCTGTATTGTTTTATCAAACGGCGAAATTTTGATGATCAGAACCGAAGTGTCTCCAGATGAAGATGTCGTTGAGTCTATTGGGGATGTTGAGAACGGAATTCTTGCTGCACAATGGTCCCCAGACGAACAAGTGTTCGCTTTGGTGACTGGCAATAGTACCATATTGCTTATGTCCAAGAACTTTGATACTATTGCAGAAGTTGACATGCTGGAAAAGGATTTGACAGAGTTTAATAAGCATGTATCTGTTGGCTGGGGTCGTGCTGAAACGCAATTTCGCGGAAAACGTGTACGAGCAAAACTTCGTGATCCCACACTTCCGGAAAAGGTTGATGAAGGGAAACTCAGTCCTTATGATTCATCAGAAGTAACTCTCTCGTGGAGAGGTGATGGTGCTTATGTCTCCGTCAACCGTATCGAAAATGGTGTCCGTCGTGCTATCCGTGTTTATAATCGTGAAGGTGCTTTAGACAGCATAAGTGAGCCGGTAGACTTTATGGAAGGTCAAGTTGGATGGCGCCCGTCTGGTGCGCTTATTGCTGCTGTTCAGCGTGGGGAAGATGATCGTAAAACACAGGTTATCTTTTTTGAACGAAATGGTCTGCGTCACGGCGAATTTACACTTCGTGATGTTGAGGATCAGCCAGTTTCCGATGTCTCTTGGAATATTTCTTCTGATGTTTTGGCTGTATGCTATTCCTCAATGGTTCAGTTTTGGACAAGGAGTAACTATTATTGGTATTTAAAACAGGAATTCCGTTTTGATTCCAACATTAAATTCCAGTGGCATCCAGAAAAAGCGTACACATGTTATATTTATTCAAAAGACAAGGTGGAGATACTTGACTTTGAAAATGTATATTCCAACGACACATGCTTGCCTCCCAATGATCTTGGTGTAATGCCGGTGATTGATGGCAATGTTCTTAAAATTACTCCCCTGTCTCTTGTTAACATACCTCCTCCAATGTCCCTACACGAATATGAATTGCCGTTTAATTGTCGTTCTGTTTCTGTCAGCAGCAACTCGGACTGCATCTTCGCTATGGGCCCCGACCAGTTGCACAGACTTTTTGTGGACAACTGGGATATTACTTCAGCAGGAAACTGGGACATCGCTTCTTATGCTCCTGGTCTTATCTTTAAAAGCGTGGTATGTTTATCTTCGACGGAAGTTCTTTTGCTTGCTGATGACGCCGACACAACCACTGTAATATTCTTCAATGTTAAGGATGATGACTTGGTAATGCAAGATGTTCATCAATACGAGAAACGAATTATCAAAGCAACGACTGCAGTTAAGGAGAATGTTTTCTACCTACAAACTATTGGAGGAGACATTTTACGTTACGATCTCGCTACCTGCGAGATGAAAGACGTTGGTGTTAAATTTCCAGCAGAGTGTTACTCTTTCCAAGCTTGCATGGCAAATGAGATTCCGGTATTCATCGGACTCTCCCGTGCAGGTCGTTTGTACGCAGATACCCGCCTGTTGGCACAAGGTTGTACTTCTTTTCTTTGTGTCGGCAACATGTTGGCCTTCACAACGAATAAACATATACTAAAGTTTGTTTGTTTAAAGGGTTATGTTGACGACTTCTTCGTTGTTGATGACAGTGCCATTAAGGATCATGACGAACGTTGCCGAAATGTTGAAAGAGGTTCTGAGCTTGTGACTTTATTGCCTTCCAAAATGTCTATTGTTCTTCAAATGCCAAGAGGTAACCTAGAAACCATTCATCCGAGACTGATGGTTCTTAATGGTGTGCGCGATAATATTGTGAAATTGGATTACGGCAAGGCTTTCATAATATCTCGAACTCATCGTATTGATTTGAATTTGCTTTTTGATTATGATCCGGAAAAGTTCTTCAGCAATATTACGCTGTTTGTTGAACAAGTCAAAAGGACAGACTATCTTGATCTTTTCCTTTCATCCTTAAAATCGGAAGACGTAACGAAAACAATGTATGCTGATACGTTTTCATCGAGAGGTTCTTCTGCAACAACGTGTGAAGATAAAGTGAACAAAGTGTGCGAAGCTATTCGCCGTACCCTGCAAACTTCGTTTAGCAAAACTCATCTCCAAACCGTTCTTACCTCCTATCTATGTCAACAACCTCCAGACGTTACGGCCGCTTTAAGTATTGTGTCTGACCTTAAGGTAGAGAATGAGGGAAAAGCTGAAGAAGCTATTAAGCATATCTCATTTTTAACAGACATCAATATGTTATTTGATTTTGCTTTAGGTACTTATGACCTAAAGCTGGCACTTATGATTGCTCAGCAATCTCAAAAAGATCCACGGGAGTATATTCCATTTTTGCGTGCATTCCAAAAGGAGACACCTTTGCGTCGGAAGTACAACATCGATTGTCATTTAAAACGTTTTGAATCCGCTCTTCAAAACCTTTCGGAAATTGAGAACGCGTTTGATGAAGTTAAAAATTTTGTAGTTTCTCATAAGCTTTACTCAGAAGCTTTGAAACTTTACCGGTATAAGAAAGAACAGAGAAAGGAGCTTCTACTTCTTTACGCAAATTACCTAAAGGACAATGGTAAAGCGAAAGAAGCTGCTATCGCTTTTGAAAGTGTTGGTGAGTATGATCGTGCTATCGATGCATTTAAGAGTGCTGGCGCCTGGAGAGAGTGTCTTTCAATTATGGAGTCACAGTCATACCCTAAACACAAGATTGAAGAAGCAGCAACCGATTTGCTCGCCCTTTGTCTAGAAAAGCGTGAGTATAACGACGCAGGTTATCTTAATGTCTTTTACCTTAGGAACAAGACGGAAGCAATTCAGAATTTCTGTAAAGGAACCATGTATGCTGAGGCTATAAGAATTGCTCATGGCTCCAATGAGAACTTGTATGAGGCTGTGCTTCTTTCATCCTTAAACGAGTCATTTGTCGAAGCAAGTGAGACCATTGCTGATTATAAGGGTCAGGTAAAAGCACAAACAGAAAGACTTCAAGTTCTTCGTACCAAGAAGCAGGAGAACCCTGCAGCTTGGTATGAGGGAATTGTTGATGATGGAACTCCCGATGACATTTCCTTGGCTTCCACAAGCATGACTTCGAATCCGTCTCTGTACACTCGATATACTGGTACTAGTCAGTCTAGTCGAATGACCCGTAATACGGCAAGAAATAGAAAACGAATGGAGCGTAAACGTGCTCGTGGAAAGAAGGGTACTATTTTTGAAGAAGAATATCTCGTCAATTCCCTTCGTCGTCTAATAACTCGTGTGAATGAGACGAGAGACGAACAACAGCGTCTAATAGAGGCACTTATGAGATGTGACATGTTTGCCCAAGCTAACGAAATTCAACATGGCTTCTCACAAGTCATTGATACCTTGCGCGAAAAGGCAACATTCATCTTTAGTGATCCTGTTAAGCCAGTTTCGTCGAACGAAGGCTTGCCAGAGCAAAGCAAATCAGAAAATTTGCCAATTCCGCAAATCAGTCCTTTCGAAAAGTTTGGTATTCTCGCTTAGAGGAAGTATTAAATAATCTGGGGAAACTATTACTAAGTTTCAAAGTAGTTATATTGGGAATATTAAAAATTTTACTTTTGGGGTTTTATATAAAGGTATTGGAATAATGCATTAAATATATTATCATAGCGATGCGGTCTTTTGAAAAGTCTTCAGTTCGGTCTTTACATTACTCACCCAAGGAATGTGCTCGTATTTCTCACAAAGCAAGTTGGCTTCCCGTAGTGTCGTGAACCAGAGACCTCTATTACATTTGATCGAAGCTAAGAGTTCCAGGTTATCTTTAAGCGTTTGCAAGTCAGTGCATTCAGCCTGTTGATGTGAGTATGATATTCGATTCGTGAGCAGCTTACCAATTGTTGATTCAGTTTTTTCTTCTCCTCTAAACTAAGTTGAAGGCTGTTCTGTTTTTCAAGCGATAGAGAGTTAAGATTCTGCAATATTAGTCATACTGAGGCTTGTGCTATATCGAACCTGGAGTTCTTGTTTAAGTCTATCAACTTGGGATAGTAAGGTCTGGATTTTCTCTGTAGCCTGATGCATCTTAGTTCCCATAGAGACAAATTTCTGGTAGTTATTGCTTATGTATTGAAGTAACTCGTCATTTAACTCTTCACATTTTCGATAGAGAGTTTCTTCAAGGCCATCCAATCCAAGATACCGCTTTGAAACCAAAAACTCGTCAACATTAAAATCTCCCGGTGTCTGAAGCTCCTCTAATTTAATGTACTCATTCGTCAACACCTTGTCTACCAAGTCTTTTTGTGGAGCATTGCTTTTCTCCATTTCGTAACAAAATGCGATGCAACAATTTTAAAGTCTCGTGCGAATTTATTTCCAGTTGATTTGTACGGGAACAGTACGGATAACAACTTTAAACAGAGATTAAGTTGTCTTTATTTGTTAGAAACCACGTTCTTATGGTGACTATGTTTCAGGTTACAGGTTGATCAACGCCTTAACCAAAAACTACAAAAAGAAAGAAACTCTTACAGAACGTGCTATAAAATATGTCTGAGGGAGTTTTGGAAGCACAGAGATATGCACTTGAAGAGCTTGAGCGATTACAACAAGCAATTGTCGATAGAAGAGTTGTAAAACCGCGTACCCTCAAAGATCAGGTCAAATTAAATTTCCAGTGTGCTAAATTGCTGGACCAAGTCAGCAATACGAGTAGGAAAATTCTCTCTTTTTATGATTCTGGAAAAGAGTACGTGATTCCTGATCCAGACTGTTTTGATTCATGCGTATGAATTTCGAATTAACGAGAGCTAGTTTGTTACAAAAAGAAATTGACAGTATCAACGCCGACAATGAGCTGTCTAACTTCTATGAGCAGTTAAACTCCGTACGAGACTTTCATCAACGGCACCCAGATTATCCTGTAGAAGACCTACGGAAACTGTATGCACTGAAGCCTTTGGACGAAAATTATTCAGGTATGTTGCTCATTCTAAGAACGTCGTGCGATACTTCTGTTCTTCTATTGTTATTTCTCTAACGTACATTTTTAGAAGTCGATACTATGTTTCGAGGGGAGGAGATGTATGGACGCTTTTTCGACTTGAATGAATGTTACGAAGACTACATTAACTTGAAGCAAGTACCACGCTTGTCATATCTTGATTACATATCAAAAATGGATGCATTTGACGACATCCCTAAGGCTAGTAAAACCCAACAGTACGAAAACTATTTGGAACATTTGTGCGAATATCTTGACTCCTTTTACCGACGTACACACCAACTTGAAAATGTTGATAAATTTATTTCCGTATGCACCGCTGAATTTGAAGCGGCCTGGGAAAATGGGTTGTTAAGCAAATCTTCATCTGAAAACAGTGCAACTGGGAAGGGCATATTTTGTCCGTTTTGCCAGAAGTATTACTCCAAACAATCTGTTTATGATGCACATCTAAACAGTAAGAAGCACAAAAAAGCATCGACCAATGCTACTGCTGAGCAATCGCAAAGTAATTTGTCATCAAAATCGTCAAAATATTCAAATATATCGCGGTTAGAATTTCTTATAAAGCGTATTTTGGAACGTATGGATGGAATTCGTCAAGATACTCGTGACAATGTTGTGCGTCGCCAAACATTGACAGCTTCTGAGCGTTTGGCCGAAATCGAGGCCGCAGAACGAAGCAAATATGAACCTTCGGAGTCTGCACAGTCGCAGCCAGGTACAACAGCAGAAGAGAGTGACGAAGAAAACGAGGAAAAGATTTACAATCCTTTGAAGCTTCCTCTTGGTTGGGATGGAAAACCTATACCTTATTGGCTTTGGAAACTTCACGGTTTAGGCAAAGAATTCCCTTGTGAGATTTGCGGCAACTATGTGTATTTGGGTCGAAAGGCATTTGATAAACACTTTTTTGAACAACGGCATATCTATGGACTCAAGTGTCTTGGCATTACCGCCTCCCCTTTACTCAATCAGGTTACATCAATTGACGAGGCCGTCCAGCGTATGTTAACAAATATATTGCTGTTACGAACAATTACTAACTATTCAGTTTGGCAAAAAATCAAACAAAAATCTCGGAAGAATGATATCGACATTTCTGCTATCAATGAAATGGAGGACGACGAGGGTAACGTTATGTCTGAAAAGGTGTACAATGATCTTAAAGCTCAAGGCTTGCTTTCCTGAGTAAATGACCTAAAAGACGACAGTACTGTTGATATAAAAGTTACAGTTGCTTCAAAAAATTCTGCAACTTAAAAGTTCTTTCTCGATGACTTCATTATCGAGATATATATTATTGTGGGATGAACCTAAGATGGAATACCTTTTTCTGTAAAACTGAAACATTCTTTTTTTTTCAGTAAATGCTTCTTTATTTTTCAGATTCTTCGTCCTCCACTCGTTCCGTATACGCAAAACTGTTGATTCTGACATTCCGGAACGAGCCAAAAAAAAAATCCAACAAGACTGGAACTATTTGTGACTCAACTACCGAATTACTCAGAGTAATTCGGTGTTGAAGTTATCTATATTACTCCAATTCTTGCTGTAACAGTTGGTAAAGTTGGAACCAGTCATTGACCAGCTCCCATGCGAACTCACCTAGCCGGAACACAAGCCAACTTTTGGCGTTCTCTGAACGGAATCATCCAAAAACACTTCCTTTTCGCCAATTACGCTTGTTACTCATGCAACTATATATAAAAAATACCTATTTTTTGCTTCGACTTGGTTAAAGAAAAAAAAAAAAAAAACTGTTAACAAGACAATTTTGACGGCATTTCCGTTAGTGACAATAATGAAGTTCTTTGAGAATTGTCATCTGTTTAATTATCCATTTTCACATGTGTCTGCTGCACATTGGCAAAAATACCCTAACGAGTGGGCTACTCAGGTATACGCAATTGATACTCTAAAACAATTTGTGATAGAAGGTACACAGACCCTATATACAGAACGACTAATAACGTGCCGGCAATCGATTCCTCGTTGGATTCGAAAAATCACGGGTAATATTACCGAAACATATTTTCTAGAAACCAGCAAAGTTGATCTGGCGACTCAAACGTTCATCATCAAGTCCACCAACCTGACATTCAATGAATATTTGAATGTGGTCGAAACTGTGACTTATAAAAAGCATCCTGAACTGGAAGAAACGACTGTCTTTCAACAACAAGCCACAATACAAGCCCTTGTTTCCTTAAAACGTCTTGCAAATTATGTGGAAGACTACAGTGTGTCCCGTTTTAAACAAAACGCCAAGAAGGGAAAGCTTGGATTTGATAGCGTGCTGGCCCGACCAAGTCCCGTTGGCTTGAATTCACAAGAACGGACGAATAACACAGTTTAGTAAGTGTCCTGTGTTATGAATGTTCAGCTTATGAGCATTCTATTTCTGCGGAAAAACCAACTCGTTGCAGCTAGTTCTGCTTCTATCTTTTTTTCTTAAAACTCGTCATTTTCTTTTGTTTATTGTTCGCGTTTTGCGTGTTTCTTTATTGTTTCATAAGCTCTCGTCATTAATTACACTTGAGGATTGTAAGAGTAGTCAGCTGTTGTTGAACATGTCTTCTATAAACTATTTCTTCTACAGCTGCTAATATGCTTAGTTACAATTTCAATCAGTTATCTGTAGTTAATGTTCAACAAACATTCTCTAACGCTCCTATATATATCATCCGTGCTTTTAAGCTATATTATATCGCGGAGCACAAATACGTGTTTCTTACGAAGCCGTTATGTCGCAACCTAAGATCTAGTTTCTTTTCCGAACCAACAACAAGTGCTTAGCTGCAGCCAGCACCACACAGCTCAATCGCCGGGTAAACCTAAGAAATTAGCTCCAATTAAGGCCCTCTGTGTTACACTACTAATACTTTTGCTGAGCTAAACTTCTTGGAGTAGTGTTGGGTACGAATTTTTTTCGGGGCCTGCTTTTCGCTAATAAGCATAGATGTCGTTTCGTAAAGTGAATTACTCAACTCGGAATTAAAACTGCTTCACTTATTGAAACTATTATTACTGCTTTGTTATTGAAACTCTAGTCTTGCTTAAACGACTCGATCCCACGATTTTGTTCTAAGGCTTGGATTTTACCTATATCTGCTCTTTTGCTTCGGTACTTAATTGAACGACTATAGAACCGTTTTCTCCTATTATTGGTCTCGTATTCTTCATCTCTACTTTGTTTCAGCAAAAACTTTTCGATTTTATTGCAATCTTGCCTAGACGCTCCTTTGTTGACTCACAGTGGATTTCCTACATACAGTCTTTTCATTGCTAAAACAATTTGTTGGAGAATTCGTTTTCCATCTATGAATTGGGCTCACTTTTTATCCTTTTAGCAGTTCATTTCACGCTTCTCTCTGAAAAAAGAAAAAAGACGCTTTGTCACACAGGCCCCAAATGTCCTCAACTTCCTTTTCTTTGGAAGATGTAGCTGTCCCAACAAACACAAACCCGCATCGGTGTTCAGCCCGACTTCACCGTCATGTGGCTCCTTCTCCCGCCAATAGCTCATTGAGCAGCTTCATTACTCTTCATGTTCGTGGGAACTTGGATGCGGCTACAGTCACAGACATTTATACAAGCATTGCTGATGCCCCAGATCCTGGTGACACAGACACAAACGGAGTTGAGTATGTTACAATCACCTCTACTTCCCAATTTCTTTATACCTACAGTGCTCCAGCACCTACGACAACATCTTCTTCACAGAATGAACCAACACCGACGACATCCTCTTCCCAGATAGTTTCCGCTTTCTCTACACAGCCTTTTACAACCTCACCTGCTCCTTCTACCGTTTCATCGACAGCTCCTGTGGCTTCCACTTCCTCACCCGCTGCTCCCGCTTCTACTCCAACCAGGCCAAACCATACAGTTGGAATCGTCGTTGGTTCTGTTATTGGTGGTGTTGCAGCAGTAATTCTTCCTTTTATTATTTTATACGCAATACGTTGCTACAAACGGAAGAAGTATTTGGCTGAACAACGTGAATTTGAGAAACAGTTAGAAGAAGAAAAGTCACGGCTTGCCGTTTTGCGGGATGCTACCAACGAGCCGAAAGTTGGATATCGCGGCGGTATTCAGGTTCAGGAAACTTTACCTCCATGGGCTCCCCAATCATTACGAAATTCTATTTTACGGACACACCGGTCTATGCCCCCGGATAGGCGGTTCAGTGATTGCCGTTTCAGCAGTCTTTTGTTATCCAATACCTCCGAAATCCCAGCTATTCCTGCTCCAGCTGCCACAGATTTTCCTCGTGTTTCTCGAAACTTTTCATTCTCTTCTGTGACCTCTGCCAGCTTTTATAATGATTTTGCTAAACCAAGAGCTCCTTCTCGACGTTCAATTTCATATGGTGCTGCACAATCTTTAGAGGGAAGACCACTTGCTCCTATCCCTGGCCGAACCCTCATTTCTCCTACTGCTGCTTTAGAATCCAGCTCAAACTCACTCGCCTCATCTGTTTCTGATCGGAGAAGTTTAGATGCCTCCGAAAAGGACATGGATACTAAATCGAATTACTCCTTCGCTTCTGCTCACTCTTTGGACAGAACGGCAACTACCAAATCAACCAAGTCCGTCCCTGACAATCCTTTCCAAAGTCCGAAGAAGTAAATCAAAGTTTTTCGTTATAGGTCTGTATTGAAGAATTGCGTTTACTGGTGTTATCTTTGTTTTTATTCGTTTGATTTTTTTCAAACACAGTCTTTTTTGCTCATCTGGTGAAATGTCAAGCAATTAAACCTCTTTATGTCATTGATACTGCTCGCCATTTGAACATAACCCTTCATGATTTCGCGTAAAAGCGATTCACAAACATCTTTCGGTTTATATTTTATTCATCGTTCCCTCATTCTCCACATTCTCTGTTATCATGTTTTTTGCTAGTTCATTTTTATTTTGCAGCTCTTTTTTGGCCTTCATATTTGATTCCTTTATTATTGTCTTTGGCTATGTTACTGAAATTTACCGACATTAATTTCTGAAAAGCATTGCCACATATGCTGTCCCGTTCTTGTTCAATATGTATTTATTCTCTGAAATACGTGCTACCATTTCTTCGGTTCAACTCCTTTCGGAGGCTTCGTTTCAAACTTTCGCGTACCTACATCGTTCCAGTTCGTTGAGAGTGCAGTACCATTGCTTTCAACAAAGCTTTTCATCATCGCACGGCGTGTGTCATCGTCGGCATCATGATAGATTTGTTGAAATAAATTGTTAAGGGCGGCTTCTCCCGATGCTTGCGGTTCATCCTCTTCCAATTCTGCTACCAGATTATCCCAGTTTTTTTTATTTTGTTTATGTGAAGTTGCAGTAGCTGAGGATGGAGTTGTTGATACGGAAGAGTGCACTCTCTGGATATTGGAATGATTATCTTTTTGTTGTAACGCCTCCCATTTTATACATCCATTTCGTTTCTTCAAACTGATCTCTATTTTGGTCCTGCGAATGTCTAAGGTTGAATCTTCCGTTGCAATCTCATCGTACAGTGGTTCTAGCGTAAGGGTGTATACACTGTTGTCAGGTAGTGCAAAGTTTAGGGAAAGCTGTTTGTAAGTTAGTATTAACTCAAACGAGTACTTGCTTTCTTCTAGCACTTACATTATTGCAAGTGAGTTCGTAATGTACGGAACTGGGGTCGACATTTTTGGCATAAATGTCTATGCTCACGTAGTTATCCGACTGGGACCAGTCGTATCGTACTTTCTGAGCTAACGTTGTTGCTTTTACCGCTGTTGTTTTTGCTGAACATTGTTCTTTTTTGTCAAGACTAAGTGACAAGTCCTTGATCAAATTCTCAAGTTCGTTGTTCTGGGGTCGTTTCGTTACCGTTACTGTCTTCATCTCCTCCTCTGTAGCATTCGCTAGTTCTTTTTCGGTTTTTGCTATCCAAGATTCGAGTTCCTTATCTTTATAAATGTGTTCTTTTGCCCATTGAAAACAGAGCCCGGCGTTTGCGTATTCCTCTGTACAAAAGTAACTAATTCTACAATCGTTAATTGAAATAATGTTTCCTATACTGTACCGTAAATACTTACCCCCTCAGTATTTGTGCATTTCCGCAGGCCATTCCATTTTTCGTGTACAATGCTATAATTACAGCACATTCAGCATCCTTGCGTGCCCGTAAAGGCTTCTGCATGGAATTATAGACCGTAGCCCGCTTGAGGTATCCATCCAGCAAAACTGGGTCTGATTTGAGCAGTTCATTTAATCCGTTTAAAGCTGCTTCCCAATCATTTTCTTTTATTGCAGAGTTTACAAAATCCATTTGGCTAGATATTTCCGTTTAGCGGTATTTATAAGGTATTGATTTTCTTCTGCGAATGCTTCAAATTGTCTGTTTCTAGCTTAATTGGTCATTAAACTTAGGGATAGTAGTATTATAGGCGCATGTGAACAAAAAAAATTCTGGAAAATACCACAGTTTGTGTGTACATCTGTACATGTGTTTGTGCTATAGAAATGAGCAGAAACGTTGATTATTGTATATCTGGTTTTGATACTTCTTGTGGCAATGGTTTACAAGGAAAAACTAGTTTGAATAACTATTCGGCTTCATAAAAGGCTATCTAAATGAACAACAAAAGAAAGTACTAATAGAAACAGTAATGCTGTAAATGTCTTTTTGTACAAGCCATATAAATATCATCCAAGTGATGGAGTTTATGCGTGTTGAAAAAGGTTGATTTACAAACAATAAGGCACTATGCAAGCACCAACACGAAAATCTGCTCATAACGAACAGTCGAGACTTCGTGAATTAAATAGATGGGTATACTGAGGAAAGCTGTGTCACATCGAACATCAGTGAAACAGTAACGCCTTAAAATTATACTGAATCAGCTGCTGCTCGTATACGTATATAACGAAAGCGGAGAAGCAGTATATAAATCATTTTCAAAGTGCTTTTTCGCCCTATTTCATATGAATGGCCTGCTCGTTACCATAAGTCTTGTACGTAGAACGTCCCGGATAATCCAAACCAAGGACGTGTAAACTTGAGTCCAGTTCGTCAAAGGGGATTTCCGCATCCTCCTCCAAGTAGTACGGTTGGGACAACGTATTAGCTTGGAGAATAGCAACCCGTGCTTTTGCCAGTAAAACAGAAGGAAGGTGAGTCCGTTCCTGAAGACGTTTCTTTATCGAAGCAACGTTTTCGCCCTTGAAAATCTTAAAGAGGAAAGGAATTCCATGAGCTCTTGCAACATCGCGGTGGAAATGTTGAACGGCAATTGTCATATTACCCTCTGAGTCTGTAAAGTAATCCTCGGGAAGGATTTCGACAAATTTCGTTGAGAACTCGTTGAGGTCGCTTATGCTATCAAGATTGGAATGAACTTTCAAAATACGGTGATTGTAAACCTCGTACAAGCATAGTAACCCAGCTTGCTTTTCATCCAAAAGTAGCTTTTCGGCAACGTATGAAAGAATATCTTCGACAGTGCCATCTTGATTTACATAAAATTGAAGGCGCTCATCCTTGCTTATTCCATCAGAGAGAAAATCAATGGTCATATGAGTTTTCAATTCCAGTTCAGAAAGTGGGATTTCTAAAACTTCATAAAGAATTGTGGTATACTGGTTGTTAATGGCAGCGCTTGTCAGCACACTACGTAACACAAGGTCTGGGAAGTATTTAATCTCAGCTCTTGGAGTTCCCGAAGGATAGTTCGTCGTGGTAAAACGTAGATACTCAGGCCGAACATTGAGTTCTTTAGCAGCAAGAGCGGCCAACTCGGCGTACGTATACTGACTTGAGATGACTTTCTTAAAACATCCATCCAGATTGTCCGGAGATTTTGTCTCATCGTAATCCTTCGGAAGAAAAGTAACAGTCAGCCGATGCGACAAAAAGTCATAGTACTCGAGAGCGTTCTTGCAAGAATGCTGCGAAATGGCTTTAGAAGACACGTCAAGAGTATCGTTTCCTTCATCTTCTTCAGCAACTTCAGTTTCAGTTTCCTGCTCTTGGTCTTCGTCTTCATCTTCATCTTCGTCTTCGTCTTCGTCAGCAATTTCAAAACAGATAATGTCTCCGTCTTGTATATCCGCTGTTTCAAAAGAAAGCTCCGGCGAAAGTTTTTCGACCATGGACTTCTTAACCTCTTCATAGAAGTTAATTCGAGTGTCGTCAGGCCAATCCATTAATTTCTTAACCTTTGAATTTAAGATTGAAATTTCTGCTGTTCGATCCACAACGCAGGTTGAAATTCCTGAAATCATTTGTTTTTCTCGGTCAAAGTACTTCAAGAACAGCAAGCATTCCTCCTTTTCTGATTCGGATTCTTCTTCATTAGATTCAACTTCGGACTTATCCTCATTTGTTGTATCAATGTCCTCTACATATATACGAAGATCCATTTGCTTGTGAAGATGGATTTCACGTAATTTTTCAACATTTTCCGACTCATCTTCAAGCAGAATATCGGGCCGCACAGTACGATTTTGTCTTGTGTTCATGATCCATAAACGGATACGAGAAGGATCGCGTTCAAATAATTCTGCCAAATGGACCTTCAAGTCATGTACTGTCGCCGTCTTGGGAATCTTAGTTGGGACAACTTTGTGTTCGTCTAAACCAGCAGGGTCACTAAAGTCAACAACGTCAAAACCATGATTAGCTCGAAAGGAATCAGACGATAAAGCGAACAAACGGCGATATAAATGTTGTTGCTCACGTTCACGTGCTTTTTGTTCAAGACGCTTTCTCTCTTCTTTTACCCCCTCGCTGACATGAGCAGGTACATCTTCATCCGTAATTGGAGCAAGAATTTTCTCCAGTCTACTTTTGCGGAAATAGACAAGCATGTAGGCATTCATGAACCGTTTGAACGGGTTTCCGATATAGTTTTTGTGACGAACCTTAGCTTCACCACCAAAGTTATCTTCCAAGACCTCTTTCAGTGTAGCTCTTGTTACACGATCATCATCAAATTTAAACCAGCCGCTGTCCGCAGTTGGTTTAATCAAAGCGTAGTAATGACCACCGTGCAAATCACCGCCATGAACAAGGACACCATGTAAAGCATAGACGTGAGACTCGGATTTATCGGCGGACTCAGAAAGATAGGGCTCCAAGTCAATTTCTAACGGGAATTCATGTCGGTCATTTATCTTAACCATCATGTCGCGCATCATATCATAATCAAACCGTTTTAATTGCAATTGTAAGACATCAGGGAAAGACTCAAATAACATTCCCTTGTGGGCATCCTGTAATCCATGACCTTCTGCATAATATTTGTTGTCACCAGTCAGCGTCTCCACTTGAATGGCATCACGGAAAGATTCTTCCAAGTTCTTCATGCCTTTAACATTCAGCTGAACGTCCCAAAAGTCTTCAACTCTAGAAGATTCATAATCCACATCAATACACTTGATATAGCTTTTGATTTTTCCGACAAAAATATCGTTGAGTGCAGAATCTACGGGAGTACCTTTCATCTTCTTTTCCAAATTGTCTTGCAGCACACGATTAAATTCTTGCACATCGTGTTGCATAAACGAGTCAAAAGAATTCCATCCAAAAGATTGTGTCAACTCCGTAGTGCTCACGGGCTCGCTCTCATGTTGCAGATTATAGAAACACCGTTGGAGGGCATATGCCACACTATCAGTGGGCGAGTCGTTTTGCGTGGGGATCGTAAAGACGGTGCGTCGAAAAACATTGGTAAAGTATAGAGACTGTAACAGGGAATTCATGTAACAAGTGGCCCCCTGGTTCTTTAAACCAACAAAACCTGTTTCCTTTTTGGAGTTATAGTTAACGAAAGAGTGCCACAAAACACCAGTAGGATCCTGCATGACACGAATGCAGGCAGAAACGCAAATGCGATTATTCTCTAAGAACGGACGGGCGTACGCTGCTGAAGGCTGTGTCAACTTTCGCAGATCAATGAATCTTGTGAAGCCCCAATCTTTTACTTCCGTACGGAAACGGTGATGCGACGTATTCAACTGAAGCACCGTAGGATCATCCGCGTTGGATAATATAAGAGCGAATTGCGCACACAGGGCGTATGTTTCGTCTACATAATTTTCAGGGTCGATTTTAGTGGAGCCAAAACGTTTCTTTTCAGCTTCGGCTTGTTCAATCATAGCAACCTTAGCAGGGGCAAGGTACTCAAGAAAGACGGATGTGTACTCTCCTTGGTTGCAGCCCTTTGGAAAGAGCAAAATCCGCCAGTTGGTTTCACCAATAGTAAATATGGGGCTGTAAACTTTCTCCTCAAGCTGGTCCCAATTCTCAATTAGCCAAGTATAGTGTCCATGCGTCTCCTCCTCTAATTCAGGCTGCTCGTCCACTAGCGTATTGTAAATTTCATCGACTACGAATAATTAGTACTTGGTCAACACGTAAAAAAAGCTTAAATGCTGAATAAAACCCTACAATCATCTGCACGGAGAGCGGCTTCCGACGACTCATCCAGCTCCATGCCACTGCTTTCTAGACTGGGCTGTTCAGACTCGTGTTTATCATTTGCATCCTACAGAAGTCAGCAGTTGATACTACAAGGCAAACTGGATACTCCTTACCATTCTTAAACCATAAAATTAATCATAAGAAAGCTCGTTATCGTAACTTTGATCGTAAATTGGCTAAATAACTCGTATATCACTTACTGCCTAAGCAAATAGTCTCTGTCTCTGTCAATTGTGCTGGTTAACAGTAGGTTAAGGACAAGCTGAGGGTTGACTTGGTGGAGATATCGTTCGTCCTAGTCGAAGGGAGAAAACCGCCGGTCGCTGGAAGACGCGTATATTTCCACCGCCAAATTTTGCTACCTAATGATGTAATTATTACATCATATTCCGCACGTGCTTGCACGTTTACAATTGAAGTGATCACGTGAAAGTGGGACACTGACGATGATAACGCATACAGCTAGTAAAAGGTATTTTTGGTTGTATAATTGTGATGTCCATTTATAACGGAATGGGCTAGTGCAAGAATTTAGGCATGGAATTTATCTGTGCTTATTGGTCCCATTAAAGAGGGGAAGCGCAATTGCGGACAGTGTCGGCATTTGAATTTCTTATCGGTTATGCGCCTGTAACCTTAATTTTTAAGGGTATAAATACAACTCCTGAAACATCGCAAATACGGGAAAAGATAAAACTTTGGAAGGAGAGATATCGAGAAAGCTGATTGTTTGTCAACTTATCAAATCATTTTATAAAACGGATTCGTTCACGAATTGAACCATTTGAAACATAAATTGCTGTAAATGTACTTCTTAAATGTTAAAGGGTGATGCGCATGCTTATCGGAATGAAGATATAAAAAGGTATCACTAATGCTTGGGAGCGATTGTATTAGCAGTGAGTTCCAAGCTGGGTGTATCTTTTCAGTATATGTTCTTTATCATGTCAATTAAAAGCCAAGACGTGCAATTACATACCAAAGATTCCAAGTGACTAAACAAAATCATTTTTGCGATGCTGGTTCATTTGTTATGTAAAGGGTCTGCAAATTTCTATTTCACTTGGTATTTATTACCTTGGTAAAGCACCCCGAAGGCATTATAGTCATGACCCTTAATTCGCTTAATTATTCAGTTCTAAAGGAGATAGAAGCGTTAGGGTACTCGGCTCTTACTAAGTCCCTTAGTGTATGAACAGTTGGATTTTTTCCAGCTGGATCCGAGTGTAATGAACACTGCGTTTCATATGGAGACACAGGCATTCATTTCGAATTCTCTCTTAAGAGTTACGATATACGTCAGTTATTGGTACCTTCAGATCATACATTGTTCTATCCTGTCTGTCTCCATAAAATTCCTGCTCTGCTAGACACGAGGAATACAACTCAACGCTTAATCCAGCTGAAAGGTCTTAAAACCGTGTATTTTACTACCCTTAAAAAAACAAACTGAACCACAAACCCACTTTTGAAAACCAGATCAATAACAGATCCTAGCCATTTTTCTATACTTTGGCTTTTTAAAACAAAGAGCGTATATAACTCCCTGGTTAAGCAGCATCAACAGCCATTTCATCAGAATTGATTCCGTCGGCTTGAGCAGCTGTCATTTTATCGAGAACAAAATCCAATTGATACTCGTTTTTTCGAGCAAGTTGTTCAATCTTTTTTCCAAACAGCACAAGATTCTTTCGAACGCTAGTAAGTTGCCCACTGTACTCGAAGCTTCTCATTTTAAGCAGTGGTCCATGATGAGCGAGTAAAGCTTTCAACCACCGAAGGTGATACTCAATATGGGGTGTCTCGTGTGAAAATTCGGAAATGTAATTGATGAACTGCTTGAGGTACATGACAGGAAGCTCTCTAGCAACATGCTCAATATCCTCAATGGGAATTGATTCATAAACCTTCATGACGACGTTGTGTTCATTCAAACGCAAAGCCATCACCAATGCAAGAAGGTGCTCACCTTCCGCAGATGCTGCAGCGATTGTCTCTGGAGTAATATCAATATCCAAATTAAAGGGATCGAACACCAGTGCGTTGTTCAACGAGTAAACAACCAATCCCTCAGTGGAAGCAGCAGCAAACGATTCTCCACCAGGTGAAAACTGGATGCATCTACACATTGCCTCGGGCCGCACACGACGAGATGATAAATCGCCTCTCGTAGCACCCGGCAGGGAGTTGTCAATTCTGTCTTCAAGATCAGAAGCCTCACCTTGAGTGTCAATCAGACTCATTGGGCCAGCCTCCGTCATGTCTTTACTGTTAAGCATCTCCTTAACGCCATCAAGAGACTCATTCTTAGAAATTTGAAACTTCTTCACCAAAATACTGGTAGCAACATCGTACAAGCAGATGTACTTGCTTGTTCCGGCCGTAAGCACACAGGAACCATCAGCAGTATAGCAAATAGAAGTGAACGTTTTGTTAGAGGTGGAATTCTCAGCACTCCGTGCATCATTCGCTTTCCGACCGCCAGACAAATCTTTCCGTCCATCAATCAAGGAAAGTTGGCGAGCATTATCTACGTCCCAGAAACTAAGTTGGCCGTCGAGTGTTGCAACGCAAAGCTCTTTACCATCAGGACGGAATGCAATAGATAGTACATCAGAAGGCATGGGCAAAGGTTCCACAATGCCGCTTCGTTTGAAGATATCCCAAACACGAACAGTTTTGTCCCAACTGCCACTGGCAAGAACGCCCGAGTCGTTTGAGAAAGAAAGTGTACTGATTGGGCCCTGGTGTCCAGCTAAACGTTCAAGAAGCTGACCCGTTTGTACTGACCACATGTAAATCTCGAAAGTGTCCTGACTTCCGGCACAAACAATTTCACCAGCAGGATCGACAGCCACACAGGAAAACTGAACGCGGGACGGAGCAGTAAAGGTGCGGAAGTTACGATAACGAATGAGATCCCAAGCACGAACGGATCCGTCCAGAGAACTTGAGAACAGTACATTACCACGTTTTGCGAAACAGATACCGGTAACAGCAGCGGTATGCTGAGTAAAGGTAACGATGGAGAAACCAGAGTGAAGATCCCAAAGCTTCAATTTTCCATCGTCTGCACTGGTAACGACACGTTGACCATCCGGAGAATAGGCCAAACTGCTGAGGACATCATAATGTGCTTGTTGCTTAAGGATATAGGATTCAGATTGCCATTCCCAAACAAGAAGCTGGCCAAGTTTACTGGAACCAATAGCTATCCATTCACCACGTTTGTCAATGCTGATAGTGTCAATACTGCTCTGTGCAACACTGAGTTGATAAAGCATATTAAAGGAAGGCATCTCATACAAACTGAATAAGCCATTGCTGAAGCCAACCACAAGCAAGTTTGTTGCAGGATGAAAAGCGGCAGAGCGTAAGAAGGAGTTTTGTTGCATGAAATAATGCCGGTCTTTAATCATCCAAATGTGAGTACGGTTTTCAATACCCTCAGCTTCTTCGTCAATTACTTCACCTGCCTGAAAGAGTGGTGAATAATTCCAGCGGAAGCAAGCACCATCCTTACTAACAGAGTAAATTGTTTGTTGGTCTTGAGAGAAGAAAGCCCGAACAACCGTGTTTTTGTGACCAGTAAGAGCACATGGGTGGAATCCTTCAACAGGGTCCACCGAGTGTAAACGAACCGTTAAGTCCTTTGAAGTAGAAAGGAAAAACCGAGAATCGGCGGACCAACCGAGAGAGGTGATATCGTCAAAATGTCCCGTATACTCACGGTGTTTGACAAACGGTGCAAACTCCAGATCGTCTGAAGCATTAGGAGTTCTCCAGACCTGCACAAGCTTTCCTATAGCAACTGCGAAATAGCGTCCGTTAGGAGCGAATTCAATTGCACGAACGGGAGACTTGAAGTTAAAGTAATACAAAGCATTTCTGCGCACAAAATTTGACAAGATAGCTCTTCCATCTTCGTCTACAGTCATCATAAGCGTAGCTTGAGGTGAGAGTGCAATCTGGGTGATATTTTTTCTGTTTTCAAATGGGAAGGTAAACGATTTGTTATCCTTCAGGTTAAAAGCCGTGACCCGATTGCCAACCGGACTTAAAACAGTGAATCCATCTGGAGTAAATACCAAATTTCCCTTGGTATAAACAGTACCCAAGAAATTTGAAAATTGAAAGTCTGTTTTCATGTTGCAACCAAAACGAGCGAAGAACGGCTCAAAAGAGCACCAAAATAAATGTCCTTAAGAAACAAATTCTATTAAAACGTTAAATAGCACCAAAAACGTACTGGAATGGCTTCTTCCTTCAAAAATTAATTAAACAACCCAATGGTGGTAGGGAGTTCGACGGTGCAGTTGGGTCTGGTTGGTAGGTGTTGACAGCAGAACACAACGAAAAGAGGACGAAACGATGAGGCGATGTGTTATGAGGTTTTTGAAAGAGTATTTGATAGATAGTTGTGTAGTGCTTGTATACGTAGTTCGTTAGTAGAATTTTGTTGAATGGAATGGAGGTGACATATGTTGGAACGAAATGAATGACAAAATGTTCAGCAAATCTCCAACTGAGACGGAGGAGTACATGAATGAGCGAGATAATATGAATACCAATAGTAATAAGCATTCTCTACTAATTATTTTTGGGCAACTACATGTTTCCTTAATAATAACAACTCCTACATATTGCATGTAGTTATTTCAATATTACGCTCGTTTTCTCTTTATCAATCTCCTTACTCCTTCTTCATTCTTCTGCGGATCATATAGTAAACTTCTATATCATTTCTCTACTCATTCTAAATCTCCTACAACAAACAGTCAATTTCTTGTTGCACTGAACTACTGCTGGATTTAAAAGTGTTTTATGGGACTAGAACTTGTGAATACTTTACAGACACCAACAAAAGAGGCCCTTAATGTAGTTCGATTCAATACGACGGGAAATTATGTTCTGACAGGGGGGAACGACCGGCTCGTTCGTATTTGGAACTCTTATACGAAACTATGTATACGCGAATTTCAAGGTGTGTTATTTGTTTTGTGATTAATAATTAACACAATCTTCAGGACACCTAAAAGAAGTACTCGATATCGATGTAGTTGATGACAGTAGCAAATTCGCATCCTGCGGCGGTGACAGATCAGTCCTATTATGGGACGTAATGACTGGAAATGTTCTTCGGCGTCTAAGTGGGCATTTGTCTCGAGTGAACACTGTTTGTTTCAACGATGATTACTCGGTGCTAGCAAGCGGTAAGTACAGGAAACGGATATGCACAGGGAATTAAATCATTGACATATATTCTAGGTTCCTTCGATTCCACAGTAAGACTGTGGGATTGCAGGTTTGTCATTTTCCAATATCTATCAAATTCCTAACGCACGAACAGATCAACATCCACCTTGCCCATTCAAGTATTAAATGACGCTAGAGACAGTGTAGCTGCAGTAAAAATCACCGGTCACTTTATTCTCACTGGCTCGACAGATGGATGCTTACGAATTTACGACTTGCGACAAGGAAAATTATCCACTGATATGCTTCAAGGTAACGTCGTGATACCTTTCAAGGCTCATTTCAAAAAATTATTACTAACGTTATAATGGATAGTGCCAATCACTAGTCTTCAGCCATTCGAAAAAAAACCATCCGTTCTGGTTTCCACATTAAATTCGGCAATTCACTCGGTTGATGTTAGCTCGGGGGCATATCAGCACCATTACACAGGTCATGACAATAAACAGTATCGAGTACGTTCGTGTATTACCACAGATGAAAGCTGTGTAATTAGCGGCAGCGAGTCAGGAAGCGTATTTGTTTGGAACAGTGAAAATGAGCAATTGCTCTATCAATATAATGTAGCAAATGATGCTATTGTAAGCGACGTCTGCTACCATTCAACAAACAAACTATGTGCTGCCCTTTCCAATGGAGACGTCGCTGTTTTCAGTTTACATAAATAGAATATATGAATGCTTTTACACCCACCAAAAAAAAGTTAAGATATGTTGCCTTAATTTCTTAGAAGGCTTTTATAGTAAGAAAATATTGACATAATGTGGAAAATGAGCCCTTGTCCCACGCAATCTAGTTGTAAAAATCATCGTCAAGAACATCAGCACGAGAACCCACATATGCACGCCACACATAGGTCTTTGCGAGTGCATTCATGTCTCTCTTCTTCTTTTTCTTCTTCTTCTTTTTCTTTGAGATTTCTGGGTCTTGCAGTGAGGCAACGGGTTCTTCATCTTTCGATGCCTTTCCTGCGATTCTGCGAGCTAATCGAACATACTCTGGAACAGTGAGATCCTTCATATAGTATGGCTCACTACGCGAATCGTACAGCACAGTAAATTCAATGGGGGTACTTTCATCGGCATCGATATACTCAGTCGTGTTCAAAAAATATTGCGTAAAGCCAGTAGGTGTGAAGGGTTGAGGTTGGTATGCTGGACCAGGGCTTCCAGGAACCGCGCGCTTCTTCTTCTTGTTCTTCTTTTTCTTTTTCTTCATTGCGTCAACAATGTCTCCATTCTCATCCCCGTCCTCAGACAGTTCCAGCAAACACAACTCATCCTCTTCAGCACAATCTTCATCATCTTCAACTTCCGTCATCCGTTCTGCACTTTGGAGACTCTCGGTGCCGGTGACGTTGTACTCGTAAACCCGGAACGAAGGAAACATCTCCGGAATGATACTCGCTCCAACAACAGCAACCGAATAAGACTTTACCTTGTCGTCAATGACAGAATCATTTTCGTTTAGCGGAACTGCTGGCAATGCCTCATATTGGTTGCTGATGAGATTCACCAAGTAATTGGGTTGAGCACTGCGAATGGAGATGGTGCGCTCGTTCTGAGCTACGTCAACATCGTGCTTGTGCTTGTATTGCATGAAGGCAAAGTGGTCGACATTCATATGTCCATACAGCTGACTGATAACAACATCTCGGTATTGATACATTAACCGAGAGAACATAGAATAGCATCGATCGTACCATTGATCACGAGTAGGAGGGATGTGTCCAATAATGTAAGCCTTCATACCGCGTTCCCTCAGCAGCTTCAGTTGAACACGAAGCCAGCGCAAATGCAGCGTTCCGGCTTCGTGCTTTTTGTTCGGGCAACCATCAACAGCCGCGTTCTTCGACGAAAGGTACAACGTATTGATGGAGAGAACAGCAAGCTTGTTGGGGATCACTTCGTTCACATAGTAAGCTCCGCGTTGGAATATGTGTCGTTCAAACTCGGGCAAAATGGGCTCCCAAGCCTGCTCCAAATCTTCGATCATGAGCGAAGGGCCGGCAGTCATAATGTTGTGTGGGTAAATGTCATTGTTACCAATCGAAACGACGACCGGGATGTCTGGAAACGTCTCTACCATCCAATTAACCAAATCTCTATTGGCTTCGGCAATCTCTTTACGCGTACGAGGAAAGTGATTGTCGTTATCGTGTCGAGAGTTATCACCCGTCCACAAAACAAAGTCCAGTCCGCCTAGAACATCGTCTTTGTGTTTTGAGAGCCAGCTGAGTGTCTCGTTCACCAAAGCTAACGAACTGTCGCATGCGTAACCCGGTCCGGGAGAGAGGTAGCGAGCTTTCTTCTGCGTAGACAAGTCCTCGTCGTGATTATGACAATAATTGCTTGTAGAAGAGCCCGCACTGTAGTACTTGTCAGGGTGGAAGTCTGTTATATGGAGAAATCGACCGCGCAAGTTTGGCTTGCTCTCCGTAGTGGCACATTCAGCAACCCAGACGTTCCATAAGGAAACGAAAAAGGCAAAGAAGCAAGCCTGATTGAAAAACGGTCTAACCATTTAGTCTTAAAGCTCGCAGACTTGCTGAATGCTGAGAAAAAACGCAAAAAAATCAATTACCAAGGTGTTCCTTGTCAGCACCGTTGTAGTCACTTCAATTACGGTCTAATGGTCTAAATTAGCGAAGAAATCCTCAAACTTCGTAAAGACGGTGTATAGACAAATTCAGAAAAACGTAAAGCCGTGCAAAGCCCGTAGAAACGACAAAAAGCACAAACCGTTTGACGGTACTGTGCAAAATCTCGTCCTAGTAAGCGCAAATGCAGGAGAAAAAACCCTGCAAAGTGTGTTTTGCTAACGTTTCATCGCTGTTTAGAAGCTCCGCTTGTTTAAGGTTATCTTACGTCATACCTTCAAACTCTGGTTATGCTTAGTTTCGAAACGGGTGCCACCGCTTAACCAGAACCAACACCTTCGCACTCAATACCCAACCATTCCTACTTAATTGACTGTAAAATGGATGTCTCGCTGCCAAAGAGAGTTTCGCGTTGCATTTTCCAGGCTATTGAAATTCTTAAATTTACCTTTGTTAACATTGGATTGCCATTCCTAAACGGTGTCATGCTGGGACTTGGTGAAATATGTGCGCACACCTTTGTGCATCATCTCGGATGGGCCAGAGGTCATACGAAGGTGGGTACTAGCGCAGAAATCTGCATTGACGGACCGTACACTAACAACTGTCTAGATTTACTCAATTGCTCAACGAAAATACATTCAGGCTTAAACTGAGAGGCAAAACGATGGATGTGACGCGAGAGCTGAATTGACGAATGAATGAATGAGACGGACCAGACGAGAGTAATGAGAAGGATCTCGTTTACGTCAGACTGAAACCTTGTTGCTGAAATGCGAAACCTAGCATGGGAGAATTCAAGAGAGGGCGGAGATTGAACAGCCGTCTTACTGATGAGAGGCCAAGGAAAGAACCACCGGTAAACCGAGAGGCAATCACAATCAAGCAAAACAACCTCAGCTCAGCCAACACCGCTCCTCTTTAAACGCCAATCTAGTCAAACATGTACCGAAACCACTCTAAACCACATCAACCCTGGTTGTCGCAAAAACCATTTCTTTAACTACTACAACTAAGATGTTTGAGCCATCTGACACTCGCTAACAAACGGTAAAATTGGCAGCAAGCTCTTAATAAGCTCATATTCGTCTCCGCTCAGTGAATAGCAGATGGCGATCCACAGCAGAATGCTGTAGCAACTATACAGTCGCACCACCAGCACTGTCTTGAGCAGGTACGGTGAAGAACTGTTGTGTTTGTCCTGCCCTTATATACCAATTTTGGCCGAAATTTTTTCGAAACTTCGTGACTGCTGTTTCCGAAACAGGGCAAATGACGTCATAACCTATTTCAGAAAAACAGGAATTATACATGGAATGGACGTTTATTGGGGTATCTTGCATGAATGACATCCATTCTTCACATTGGGTTTCGTCTGTTATACTTCAGAGTTTGCGGGTTTATCAATTTAACGTGGCGGCCTTCCGCATTCGCTGACAAGGCTTAACATTGAGCATGCGTCATTGTGCTAGTGCCGGCGCGAATCACCAGAGAAGCACGTTTTGACGCTAGGTCCTTCCTGTAACTCACATTATACAAACCGTTGTTGGCGAAGCGGTAACGAAAGTGTCAATCGACTAGAGACCGTTCCTTGAAGCAATTGATAATTATCAGAGGTTTTCTTGCGTCTTTGAGATTGGAAACCGGATTCAAAAGATTCGTAGGACGTATTGAGGAAACTTTATCGGTCGCAGCTGCAAAAACAACAGTTTTAGCGAACAAACCTCACTACACTTTTATTTGAAGAAACCTAAACCAAAATTAAAATTGAACTGGAATAGCTGTGTGTATCTAGGGAAAAACTGCAGTGGCAAACTCACGGTTTTCACCCACTTTCTCGCTGACGAACCCTTTATTTCGAGCTGAATTTGCCAATTGCATACACTTTTAGTTGCGTGCCCTTGTTATCGTGTGCTGCTTTTTTCCGTCTAGTCGAGATACATAGCATTGTACAAAAGGAACTGCTTCGTTACTGATACTTTATGAAGTCTTGTTACTAGTGCACACTTTTCATAGGGATTTCTGTGCTGACGTCGAGTAGCATTCATCGTTACTGCAACTAGTTAACAGATTGATAGCCTCATGGGCGCTCAAGAATCAAAACTTTGCTTTCGGCGGGCCGTTCTCAGGCTTTATGAGGAACGGGTATGTCACTGCTACGACAAGGAGAAAGCTTGGACTTTTTTCTTTTGCGTCGTAACGCATTTTCTTCTGTCTTTGTGAATAAAGTTTGTGGCTGTGGATAACATGAAACTAATCCCTTTTTTTAGGATATCGCGATTGATGATCCATTTTGGGAAGACGTATGTGCGAAGCTTTTTAATTTTTTATAATTATTAACTCATTTCAGTTTTGGCGATTTTCAAACACAGCCAAGGATGTATTTAATTTGTTGCCGCTTAAGGACATACGGAAAACAAGAGATCTAGCTTTTGAAAACCTGCAGACACTAATCATTCTTCTGTGTCATAGGATTATTGCTTGCTCTAGTGATCCCAATTTGGTCGAACCTTCAAATGTTCTTGTTACTCAATTACTTAACGCCGTGCGCATATTAACGCGTGTTCTCCCGGTTGTTTTCGAAACCGAAATTGGTAGCTCCTGGATCGAAAGCGTTTTCTGGACTATAAATGATAAGAACAAGAGGGCTCTGGGCGAACAGGTCATGGATTCGTTGTTATATCTACTATTTTACGTTGGTTTTACCATTCCGGCTGTCGATTACAAAAGTAAAGGTGTTCAATTGTGCATATGGGAAACAGGTGTTGGTTGCAATACACTGTTAACATCCAAGCACAGCTATGAGCAAAACAAAATTGAGATTCTGCTGCTTTTGCTTGTTCTGTTTTCCGAGACCATGTATCGTGAGCGCTCACACAGCAGCAGCTATCTGGCATATGTTATATCTCACAACAACAGTGATTTGTCACTATCTTTGTTGTGCTCACTGCTAAACACGGCCATGCAATTTAACACCTCTTTCTGGAAACCTCGTTCCGTCATGTCTGCTCATCTGGCTACCCATGCGACCCTTGTTGAATTATGCTTCACCGTATTTCTCACTCTCATCACAGATCCGGTTATTGGCAGTTCCAGTCGGTTTCTTGAGTTCGCAAGAACGAGAAACATAGCACTTAATAACTTTTTCTCCAAGTCGATTTCACAGCTTCATAGGAAGTCTGATTTCCAGTTTATATTGGATGGGTTTAGTCGTTTGCTTTACTCCCCTATACACTTTGAAAAACCGAATGTGGTTGGCGTTGTCATGTATGATTATTATCCTCTCACCCTTAATTTGTGCAAACAGATGCTGCATTACAACACCCGTTTCTTTCACTATCTCGTTGACACTGGTCGTGCCTTGGATCTCTTTGTTTTTATTTTATATCTCAGTTTCGAGTATCTTTCGGAAGCATCTACGTTTGATCACTTGAAGATATGTCTCATTATTTTACGCAGATTAACGACCAGTAAACAGTTCTGTGAAAAACTGAATATTCCCTTTGAGCAATTGAGCAGTCTGCCGACAAACCGCCGTGTTCCCTTTAGCAAGGGTTCATATGCAGATTTCTCAGTGACTGCAATGACTTCTATTATAACTGCATGCAAAGATTATCAATCGGAAGCCGTTCTTTTGTTAACTGAGACGCTCTCTTATCTTGTGAAGTACGTTGACAACATCACGATTGCTTCCAGTAGGCGTCTTGTGAAACTATTTGTTAATGTCAGCGATCTGGGTTTTTTGCTTGCGAATCCAACCAACTTTAAAAGTACCAAAAACGTTTACAAGATATTTGGTAATCTCTTACGACGACGATTTTCTCAGAACCCGAAATTTGTCTATACCGTTCTCCGTGCTCATGAAACGCTTTGCAGTACCATTCCTGCAAACTTCAGTCGTGCGAAAGAGATCGTCACTCAAAACCAACCTGATATGTCTGTTTATTTATCATCCTCTAACAAAACCTACACAAAACACATATTCGAAAGAGCACTACTTGATGAAAAGTTAAACGCTGAAAAACGACAAAATGGGTACAGCACGCGTGATCGCCGCCACAGGCGAATCGAAAAGTTGTACCGAGATGTTGATCATTCCTCGTTAGAAAGCTCTGTTTCTGTAACACATCCCGAGGAAAAACCGTTTCGTCAGGGAAAGGATTCTGAGACACAGAATGAGCAATTCTTTACTCGTGCGGCTCCTCTTTCGCAAAGTAATATTGACTACAATACGGATGTGAATGGGGAAAGCAAGTTGTTAGACTCCATCGTTCCGCATGCATACGATCACACATTTACGCCTACGAAACAGTGGTACGAGGAATGGCGCCATCAGTTGGACATTGAGCCGTTCACCAGGCTCGTCGAGCTTGTGTTTCCGGATGTTGTTCGGATGCGTTCTGAAGGATTTAGTTCACAACAAATCTTCCAGGCTCTATCAAACTGCGAGTTGTATGACGATCAACCCGCAGAGCCGCCTTCCTTCGAGACGAGTACCTGGCGGGACGAGCTGGCTCACTTTTCCAAACTGCTTACATGGAGCACTGCATATGATCTTGACCGACGCAATCATAATGGGATGGGTATATGGACAAACACAGAAGTGCGACTACTGAAGTTTCTCAAGCGTCTGTAGCGCAGCACTCTGTGAATGTGTTTTTGACTCATACGCAAACTTCTTTTACTTAATAGTCGGCCATTGCGTGTTCCATGTTCTTGTTACTCTTGTAACATTTTGTTTTTTTGTTTAACATGTTATGACCCTTTTTTTACTGTGCATACGTTTGGATTTCTTCGTAATGAACGGAAGATGAATAACGCTGGTACAGAAAGTCTCACATAATGAATTTCTTTTGTATTCATCACGAAGCTCACAAATCCGCATATGCCCTACATGAAACGAACCATGCACTCACCATATTTACGACTCATACTCGCATAAACTGGTACACAACCCAGCCCATTGTAAGTCTACGCACCGTTTCCCTCAGCCTGTCGAGTTTCTCCCAAAAAAACACAATACCATTAACAGTTGTGACGACGTACACTTAATGAAAAGCGTACTATTTTTTATTTAACTACTTGTTGGCGAACAGAAACTGAAGTGGCAAGTCTACTGCACTGAAACACTTCGTAAAAAATTAACCAAATATTCACGGATGAAATGAAACACATCAGTAAATAGTAACGACACCCGGGAACCCAAAAGAAATGAAAATAGGATAGACTAAAAGCAAAAAAAGACAGTATTTTCCCGGCAATTTGTTGCACAAATGGGAACAACGTTATTTACCATTTGGGAGCGGCTAAAAAGAAAGTTAGCGTCAAAGGCAAAGAGAAAAAGAAGCACAGCGGATTACTTACGTTGTTGAGAAGGCAAAAGACCAAATCTTTTCTTCAAAGTGTAACGTTGTCTAGAGTACTTGTCATCAGGAGAGAACCGGGCAGGGTGAGAAGAGTGAGTGGGCTTTCCATCAGGAGCAAATTTTTTAAGCGTGTAAACACGCTTTCCCTCGTCGTTCAAATAGTACATCAAATGCATTTTGTCGTTTTATACTGTGAAGTAATTTTGTGTTTTTTTTTTTCTGCCGGTGGAGGTGTGCACAGTAGGCAAAATGTTGAGAGCCGAAATTTGATGTGACTGGTGTAGCGGGGGTATGCGACGAGGCGAATGACCGGGAAGAAGGAAGGAACAGAAGGTGAAACCGTAGAAGGGTTGAAGTTATTAGTGAAGAAAAAGTGAGTTTACAACGCAAGCGGAACTGAGAATACTTTATAAAAAAATTGATATATAAAGACGGAGAATGTTAGTAGATGAATGAATAAATCAAACATGAAAACTAGGACCAAGACATTGAAACAGCATGACCGACCAGAACCATATGAACGACACGAGTAAGACACCCACAACCAGAAGCAATACCGAGCCGAAAACAAAATCACATTCACTGCTCACCAACACAGTCCACACAAAACCAGACAGAAAAGTACCTCAAAACTACGGCAACAAACACACACCCAAAAGCATGAAGAACCAAACACAACAAACAACACGAGCATACAAACATAAACATCCGCTCCAACACCTCAAACACCATCAACCCCTCACCGAAACTTGTCAAGACAAAACTCACTTTCTAACAGAATAAGCTAAACAACTATTTAACAAATGGGAATGAATCAGAAGGAAGGCAACGGCATTATCCACACGGTTTTGCGCTCTCGGACATGTATCATCCGTAAATGTTTCATCATTTTCAAACCCAAATGTTAAACAGAAGCCAGTGTCATTCCGAAGAAATCGAGTTCTTGAGTTCCAAGAAACGAAGAGAAATGTAAGGAACCAGTCCACCAAAATTGAAAGCATAACGTCCATTGAAACAACAGATATGAAAAACTAAATGGTACACACCAGCACACGCGACCGTTGTCAAGCCCCTTGACGGAGAACTCGAATACCATCTCGGCTTCTCATGCGTCTCTCGACAAGGGGGTATTCAACAGTTGCTGCAGTGCTTTGCCCATTGTAGCCAAAAAAACACCTTTTAAAACAAACGGCCATATGCACAGTGAAAAACGGAAGTAGGGAAAACATAGAAAGCAGTCATGAAAAGATCGTCAACCGAGTTATTAAACATTTTGTGTTTACATCATACCACCCATACCGCCCATTCACGCAGCATAGCGGGAGCAGCCTTGGCCTCTTCAGGAGCATCAACAATGGCGCACTCGGCGGTACCCATCAGAGAAGCGACACCGCTGGCGTCAACCAAGCCGGTGCGAACAACCTTCAGAGGGTCGAGAACACCAATCTTGTTGAGATCAGTGAACTCGTCCTTGGCAATATCATAACCAACGTTGAACTCGTTACCGTAACGCTCCTTAAGCTTACCGACAATCAAGTTGCCCTCCAAACCAGCGTTCTCCAAGATGGTCTGAGCAGGCTTGGTGATAGCCTTACGGACGATATCAATACCGAGCTTTTGGTCAAAGTTGGCGGGTTCAAGCTCGTCCAACTTCAAGCTGGCCTTAACAAGAGAGGTGCCAGCACCGGGGAGAACACCCTCAGAAACAGCAGCCTTAACTGCGTTAAGAGCATCGACAATACGGTCCTTCTTCTCACCAACCTCGACTTCACTGGAACCACCGACGCGGATGACGGCAATACCACCGCTGAGTTTGGCAAGACGCTCTTGGAGCTTTTCGCGTTCGTACTCGCTGATGCCGCTGTTGTCCAGCAAGCCACGAATTTGTTCACAGCGCTCAGCAACAGCGCTACGGTCACCCTTACCGTTAAGGAAGATGGTGTCCTCCTTCGTAACGGTAATGGATCCACAGCTACCAAGGTGATGGGCTTGGAGCTTGTCAAGGGTCACATCAACATCATCGTTGAAGACGGCACTGTCAGTCAAAACAGCCAAGTCGCCAAGCATGTTACGTCTGTTGTCGCCGAAGCCAGGAGCCTTAACAGCGACAACTTGAAGCTGGCCGCGGAGCTTGTTCAAGATGCATGCGGCCAAAGCCTCACCGTCAATGTCTTCGGCGATGATAACCAGAGGTCGGCGCTGTTGAGCGGCAATCTCCAAGGCAGGGAGGATATCCTGGACGGCAGACACCTTCTTTTCGGAGAGGAGAACGAGAGGATTCTCAAACTCGCACTTCTGAGTCTTGACATCGGTAATGAAGTAGGGAGAAATGTAGCCACGGTCGAACTTCATGCCCTCCGTGACGTCGAGCTCATCCTCAATAGTGCGTCCCTCCTTTACGGTGATCACACCCTCCTTGCCGACCTTCTCCATAGCATCGGCAATCAAACTACCAATGTGGGTGTCGCCGTTAGCAGAAATTGTGGCAACCTGGGCAATCTCGGAGGTAGTGGTAATTTCACGCTTGTTGGCTTGCAAAAACTCGACAACCTTCTCGACAGCTTGTTGGATACCGCGACGAAGGTCCATAGGGTTGCAGCCAGCAGCAACGTTCCGAACACTCTCAGAGAAGATAGCGTGGGTAAGAACGGTAGCAGTAGTGGTACCATCACCGGCAACCTCGTTCGTTTTGCTAGCGACGTCCTGAACAAGACGAGCTCCGAGGTTCTCAAACTTGTCTTTCAAGGAGACACTGCGAGCGACAGTGACACCATCCTTTGTAATTTTGGGAGAGCCAAAAGACTGCTCAATCAAAACGTTACGACCTTTCGGTCCCAGCGTGACAGAGACGGCACGAGCCAACGTGTCGACACCACGAGAAAGAGCGGCACGGGCCTCAACGCCAAACTTCAAATCCTTAGCGTAAGAACGAGTCTGCATGGCGAAACGGCTGGCAGCAACGCGTCTACCACCCACACGGAGAGGAGCGCGTGCAATATTAAGAAGAGCACTTTGATTAATCATTGTGTCAAAATGGCCAAATTAAGTTTTTAAATGTGAAAATACAAGTACAAATCGTCAATTCGAAATTTTAGAAGCAACCGAGAACGAGTTCGTCTAAACCGACTTTTAAATGCGGACCGTTTGTAATAAATTAGTCTTCCGTCGACTGCACGGTCGAAACAGAGATGCGAGTTTTGTGTCCCGTACGTATAGAGTGCTACGTTCGTGGTGAGTTTCAGTTGGGCAGAGCGAGGGGTATTTATACTGTGACTGCGTAAAGCTTCTAGAAGGAACCAAACACTGATGGATCTGACAAGAGGCGTGCTCAAGATTGAGCTCTTGATTTGATGTTACCTTATTCAGGTAACAAATACTCCACCAATAATGGAAGGAGCAAAATAAGCTGCGGTAGCAAACGAGATGGATTAAAAAGAGAAATGCAGTAGACAGTGCGCGATCTAAGGGAGTTCTAGATGGTCGATTGTTAAGAAGTTCAGTTACGATGTTAGCAAGTGGGGGGGGCAAGAACGACCTTTAATACGAACACATGCACTCCTTCACTCCATTCACACTACCACTTAAATCAGATACTTGCTGTCTATCATTTTATAGTACTAGGACCAGCTAGCTAGTTATTACTCGGTCCGGTCCATAGTGCGTTCACGTAACCTACGTTTCAACGTGAAGGGAGAAAACTCCCTTTGATCAACAATTATTAGAAAGGCAACGAGACTTCGATACTTTGATAGAATAACGCACAATCACAGAAAATCATCACACGCTTCGAAAAACCGGCAATTAGTGTCACAGAAGGAAGTACAATCTGCGCCAGCCGTTTCCGTAAACGTGGAGGAAACATACAGTACGAGTCGAGGGGAAAGAGGATGAGAGAAGGATCCAAGGCAATAAATTGTTTGCATTATTAAACCAATCTACACCACCCTATCCACACAAGACTTTTTCAAATGGCGGACGGACTCTTTCAAGCAGTGTTCATGCCGGAGAGAGAGGCAATGGAGGGGAGTAGGGGTTTGTGTGTTCCAATGTGTGCAACCGTTTTATATGCGTAGATGTTGGGAAGTAGTGCACACCCTTCGAAGCCTCTCTCTCCAAGTTTGTTAATAACGATTGAGCAAAAAAGTCCGGCGACAGAGTGGACGTAAATCAAACAAAACCAAAAAACGTAATTAAATCATAAGATTTTTGCGTGCGCATAGAGAAATGGAAAAAAAGAAAAATCAGCATCAAAACAGAACATGAGCAACCAAACGGCTCATGTGACGATTCATTTCGAACGAAAGCATACAAAGCGTTGTACAGACAAGGCCGTTAGTACAGCAGCTTCACTCACCAAGCGCGGCTATTGTCCACGACATTAGCGAACGAGGAAGAGTTCACAACTGCGGGCACTGTATTTGGAACAAGAACAGCAGTACCCGCACACGGTTCCATGTTAAAATCATTATTCGTTAAAGCGGAAGAAGAGGGTCGTTCTTGTTTTGTGACGAAAACGAGAGGTTGGAAAAAAAGCTGGGGGACTCAAGAGGCGTCACGGGGTTGCTACGCACATCGGAGAATGCATTCTTAAAGTCAGCGTAGCCACGAAGCAGCTTCATGTTGTCCGACAATTGCAAGGACGGGGCCCCGCGACGAAAAGAAGCAACATTGTTCACCGAACTCGATCCGTTACGCAGAGAGTTTGTCGTCCCTCCACCCACCAGTGGGCTAGATACGTTCGGGGCATTGTTGTTGTTGTTGCTGCCGTTGTTGCTACTGCTGGAAACAGACGAGTTACTCATGGGCTCGGAAGGAAAACTGACGACAACTTGCTTGTGTTCGTCAACACCCTCGCCACGAATGGTACAGTTCAATCCAAGACGACTGGCCAGCAGCTTTGAGACACGGACCTCTTCGGCACTCAAGTTAGGTCCCAGTACAAGTTCATTCATCGAGTCGGTGCGGTGGTAGAAAAGGATCATGTGGGAGTAAAGGTTCAAGGTTGCGCTATCGTTCATGTCAATATCGGTGCCAGCACCCAACGAATGGACAGAAAACATAGTTTTCATTTGCTTGCGACGTTCATCAGAAAGGCGCTTTTCTTGTTTACCGCGTTCAATTCGCTCACGCTCAGCGGCAGGAAGTTGACGCTTCCATTCCACACGCAATCTGCGTCCGGAAATTTCATATCCGTTCAGGCTCTGAACTACAATGCGAGCCTCCTCGGGTGTGTGGAAGTTAGCAAAAGCTAAACCACGGAAAACGCCGTTATCAAAGTGATAGTTGAAGGCGTAGGGGCGAGGAATGTCCAACGCCGTAAAAACCTTGAAGAGAACCTCCTTTTTCAACGAAAAGGGAATGTTTTTGATGACAATGGCTGTTGGGATGGTTTCCTCCTGTTGTTCTTCAATGGCAGCAGAAACTCTGTTGCCATTCACAGAGCCCTCCAAGCCGTTGTTTCCATTGCTGCCTTTGACTACAGAGGCAGAAGAAAGGGCCGATGGAGTTTGAGCTCCACGAGCAGATTCTAGCAGGCTAGAACCCATGAACGACGGCGGCAACGCCGACGTCGTTAACGGTCCCAGATTGGAGAAGGCGTTTTTCGCTGAAAAAAAGCTCAGCGAAAGTCCCGACGACTTGTTGTGTTCCTGCCACGCAGTCTGCAACCGGGTACGACCGCTAGCCAACGAAGTTTTCGTAGAGGGTGCTACTCCAGCATCCAGTGCCTGTTGGAGAGCGATTGGGAGAGCGTTTGCACCGTCAAACATCGTTTCCTTTGACGAATGCATGTCGAAGTTTTCACCGATACCAATCCCTGGAGTGCTAGCAGCAGACGAGGGAAACATTGCTCTCTCAGCGGAGAATCGACTGTCGAAATAGCCATAGTTGTTGCTCGGGGGGAAAGCAGCCTTTCGTTCGTCATCAACAGCGTTCGTTTCGTCGAACTTGGGGAAAAAATTAGAACGTTTTTTACGAAGTCCAGGAAGGTCAGAATGAAAGGGGAGTGGAGAGGTTACAGGCGACAAATTGTTCGTAGCAAGAAATGCCTGTGATAAAGGCGTCAAAGGCCTCTGACTCATACCCTCTGCCATTCTTAGGATGGGGTGAAGAAGCGATGGGTTGTACTGGCAGATTTGTGGTTGGTTGGGTGTTCTCGCCTGATATGGACAAACACATGACCAAATGTAGGTGAATGCCGGGTCGCAAAAATGTATTTACAAAACTTTAAAAGTAATTGTAAGAAGTAGAATGCATGTATTACATTGTTCTGAAATAAGGTTTTCTAATTTCTGTAATTTTCTTTTTTTCGCTCAGCGAATTTGCCTCCGATTGTGCTGTGCGGAACGGTAAAGCGTGGTAAACTGGATAGTGATGCCTGAACCCACATTATATTATTTAGTGAACTTTAGTGCAATGACACTTAAATGGGTGGGTGAGTATATGTGTGTATCAAGTACTTGGTACATATAGGTGCATAGTTCCAATGGTGTCTTAGGCTCACAATACGGTTCAGACTTAGTGTAGACATCGTTTTATGAATGATATTGAAGAAGAACCCCTTCAGCGTCCTTGACTCATCATTGCGCTTCTGTAGGGTAATATGATTTGTACGGGCTGTAAGCCGTCCCCGTTCCAATTTCCAAAAAAAAAAAAAAAAGAAAAAAACAATAATTTTACCGATGCTTGGTCACGTCTCATATAAGCATCAGAAGCTTATCTATACCTCCAAGAACTCATCCTCCATTTTCACAGAGGAAGAGTTGTCATTCGACTTTTCAACTGTTTTCGTAGTTTGTGAAGCTTCGTAGAACTTGTCGTGAGCGACTGTATGACCCTCCTTTTCTAATTTTTGCTCCATTTCTTTCCAAATGGCAGTACGCTTTTCCTTTGTCTCCTTTGTCGTGTCCTCAATATAAAGAGAAATGTACTTTTTTAAGGAAGGAAATTCCTACGATCGTTAGTAAGAATCAAGACTAGGGGAGGACCGGCGAAACAGGTTGTCTCGTACAACAAGGGCATAAGTTAGAGCCCGCATTTTAACATGTCGTGCCGTGTCCATTACAACCCACTTAGCAGCATGTTCCATACCTTAATATACTTCAAGTCAACTTCATACTTGTGCCTCCGTAGAGTAAGTTCCTTGCGCTTTTCGGGGTCTGTCTCTGCGTCCAGTTGTTTCTGAACCTGTTTCATTCGCTTGGAGGCCTTTTTGAATTCTAATTTGGAAAAGCGTCAGCATAATCACCACTCCCGTTTTCTCTGTAAACAGTGCAAGTTTCAGCATACCAATAAACCGAACTCTTCTGTATTTGTCAAGAAGCTTAGCTTCTTTTAACTTCGTTTGGGTCGAAATTAATTGCTCCTTCAAACCAACAATAGCACGTTCATGTTCGACGCGAACATTTGCAGGAAGATTCTCCTAGACACCGGTATTAGTTACAGTAATTTAAAAACTATTAAATGTCGTCTTAAATAGGACTCAATTGCATAAAGAAGGAAGACAAATACTTCAACGTGTCCAGAAAAATAAAAAAAAAAATAGAAAAAAAAAACAAAAAAAAAACAAAAAACGAAACAAAAAAAAAGAAAATAAAAATACGCACCCTTTTTAACAGTCGTTCGCTATCACGAATCTTTTTCTTCAAAACAGCAAGTCCCGGACCTCTAACTTTCACCATTTTGCTCGACAGTCAATACAGCGACAGGCTCTTGGCAGTACTCGATTCTTGGTGTTTAGGTGCAGGTGCTTTACACGTCTCCCTCTGCAAAACACTACACCAAAAATTGTACCCTAACTGCAGGGAACTGTTATTCCTGCATTACCCTTCCCCTGTCGTCCCTATTCGCCAGTAAGGCCAACTTGTCGTTGTCGTGTCAATTCGCCGTATCGTAGGCTGAATTGACTTCAATTGTAGCCTTTAGGAATGTTATTGCGTAGTAGAAAAGAAAGCTCTATTTATTACTGGGTTGACAATGCTGCAGACGAAATCCGACAATATTCGTTTCAATTGCATCCTACCTGGAATTATCACCTGTTAAAGACATGGAGACCGTTTCGAGGAATTCGTTGTATTGATGTAGCTCACAACGTAGGTTCTCACGAACTCATTGCTGCTGGTTCGGCTTCTGGCGGAATTGCACTTTTCTCAGCTGACAGTACGGAGATTTTGGCCGAGATGAATAGTAAACATTCTCGCCTTGCAATAGTGTTGCATTTTGTACCTCCAGAAAACTAGCTGCTGGTTTCGGCCGTTCAAAGAATGAAGCCTCACTGAAGATTTGGGATGTAAATAGTCTTTCAGATGATGCAGAAGTAAACCCTTATCTAGAAACAACCGTTTTTGAAGGTGTTGCTTCACTTTCGTATCTCGCAAAAGACGAGACATTGTTGGTTGGATCCAATTCCCGCAGTTTACACCTTGTGGACTTGCGTCAGGGTTTGGAACCCACTGCTTCCTTTACCACTCTGTATTACAATCACATCACGCGGGATCCTTTTGCTGACCATTACTTTACTGCTTGTTCTTACGATGGTCACATCGGCGTCTTTGATAAACGGTATCTTTCCCGTCAGGATGGACTTCAATTGGTGCTCAGCACCTTCAACTCAACCAAACGAGGCACTCTGACAGACATTCGGTATTCAAGACGCACATCTGGAAAATTTGCTACGCTGACGGATTCTGCCCTGCGAGTGTGGCAGACGGCGCCTTACTATTTGGGTGAGGATGCTAGCAATATGGGTGGTCCGAGTGAGACAATATCTGTCATTCAACAACGAACAGTAGCTGAAAGCAGTGAGCAGGAAATTCAAGCCTTTGATTTTATTTCTCATCCGAATGCCAGCTCTCTTTGCGAACAGCTTGTCGGTATGATAGATGGAAAACCTGCGTTGCTTGAACCACTAACGCATCCGCCGGCAATGACTTTTGGTGCGAACAATGCGTTCTCTGCGGCCTTTGATCATTATGTTGTTATGTACTCTTCCGAAAACGATAATACGTCGCCAGAAAAACCCCTTGATGGAACGGAAAGCGTTAGCGAAAACTCAATAATGTCTACAAGTATCGCACATGGAGCCGATTATAACACCTTTGGCTCTTTTGAGTCTCATGCTGACAATTGTCTTCCTGTTAACAAAATTTTACGAACTGACGTACTCATGGCCATCAAAAAACGGGTACTCAGCAACTATGAATTTGATTGTGCTCATAATGCCGCCCTGGTGAATGATCATTTCCTAAAAGATGTTTGGAATTGGATTGGCTTGTGTCATGAACGTCAGAAAAATGAGCCGCTTTATAACGAGTTGCCAGTCGATTTTGCTTTTCAAGGAGTTCTTGGTCTGTGGTTTATGAGTACTGGTAAGTCGCTTCCTCAACATTTAACATACTAATATTTTTAGGCTTTAGTCATTTTCTTGATGTGCTAGAATACAAACCAAGCCGAGCAACTCAACAAATGTATCTTAAATCCGCCAGTGCCCTTGTGTCCAAACTTGGCCGCGATGTCTACACAGCCAAAAACACAAATAAACCACTCCGTCAGTTGGGCATGATTATATGTGGAGTTGACTGTTCAATTCAAGAACTGGACAGTCGGCTAGAGCAACTTGTTCATTCAAATCAAATTATAGATGCTGTTGGTTTGGCACTGTTTCATGGCAGAATTGAAAGTGTTGTTCGCGTTCTCTCTGCCGGAAACGATCAGGAACGCATGCTTTCTACAGCCGTCGCCGGATACATCACTGCTCAAGGACTAACCCATTCGGGAAGCGACTCACTCTGGAAAGAAATGTGTCGGAATCTCAGCACTGAATTGGAAGAGCCGTATCTGCGAGCGGTGTTTGCGTACATTGGTAATTCTGATTGGCGTGATGTTTTGGATGAACTCTCGCTACCTTTACGTGATCGATTGGGTGTCGCATTACGTTTCCTCCCCGACGAAGACTTGAGCAAATATTTGGAAGACTTATGCCGTAATGTTGTTACAACCGGTGACCCGGAAGGACTTTTATTGACTGGGTTGACTCCACTCGGTATTGATTTACTTCAAAACTATGTGAATCAGACATCGGATATACAAACATCGGCGTTGATTTCTTCGTTTGTTGTTCCCTTAAAGTTCACCGACGAACGTGCAGATTGCTGGATTAGCTCCTATCGTAATCTATTAAATCAATGGCAACTATTTCATAAGCGTGCCTTTTTCGACATTGGACGAAATGAACTTTCCAAAAACCGGAAGGGCGAAATCACTCTTCGACGAATTGTGCAACCATTTTATGTGCGCTGCAATTACTGCAAAAAGGTGTGTTTGATTTTGATTAGAAAGAAAGTGCAACATCTAGTGTTACTAACTTGCAAAATAGAGTTTCTCATTTTCCGCAGCCGAGAAACAAGCTGCAGTTTTGTCCAAAGGAGGGAGAAAATTTGTTGATACATCAAAGGTAAGTGTATCAGAAATTGCAAGAAGTACTGTTTTTGAATTTGTCTACTAACAATGACCAGAGAAGCGCTTGTCCTCGTTGCCATCAGCAGCTGCCTGTGTGTTGCGTATGTGGATTATCTTTAGGCATGTCTATTACAAACAACGATTCTCGAAGAAAATCCGTAGTCTACGGAATTTCGTCTTCAACAGCGCATTGTGATGAATGGCTAAGTTTTTGCTTAAGTTGCGGTCATGGTATGCATGCTGTCCATGCCAAAGAATGGTTTTCCCGTCATCATGTGTGCCCCATGGCTACGTGTAATTGTCGCTGTACTCATTCATAAAAGCCAAAGCGTGTCTTCATGGCATTAACTCTCTTTTAACCTCATTTCCAATTCGAATACTTCAGTTCTCCCTTTATTCACTTCTTTTTGTCTCCCTTCAAGTGTTATTGTTCTCCGCTAAATAATTATGATAACCATAAACGAATAGAACGAACATGCAATATTTAATATATAATATCTGTCGAATGCACGATTGTATATTCAGTAAAGCATTCTTTCCTCTTCATCGAGTACCACTTTCCAAGAGTTTTTTTATTTCAACGACAAAACGACTGACACCTCAACGAAATAAGGTGTTATTCATTTAATCTAAGTTTTAGCAGTAAAATTACAAATTGATAAGATTTATTCGTGGCACACAGCTTTTATATGTTTCGCCCAAATACCAAGTACCTGCCGGTTACGTTAAGTAATTGAGACCTCAACTATATAGTTAAATATTGGCTGAAGCAACATACATTAAACACGGGCAATGTCCTCAGACAAGCCGCAATGGCCAGAAGCGCTGAAAAGCTTTGTTGGCCGTTGTTTTCAAGAAGCTGACGATTCAAATCGTCTTAACGTTGAGTCTGCCTTGAAAGAGCTGATTAGTAAACACTATAAACAAGGAGATATATGGACAACTGATTGGAATGCTATAGGGATGGAAGCGCTTGCTCCATTTCTGGACCAGGAACAGCAAAAAGTCGTAATACCTTTGGATAAAAAACGAAAGGCAGCCAACAATGAATTAGGAAAGCCCAAGGACGAAAAGTCTACTGATAACGATAAGTTAGACAAGCGAAGAAAACGTTTTGAGGCCGAGTTTCAGAATTTTCAACGCAAAAATGTTCGTTCAAAAAATGACGACCAAAACCAACTTGGCCCTATTATCGGCAAAAGCACACAGCTAGAAAAAAGATACCTTCGGTTGACATCTGCCCCAGATCCCAATACAGTTCGTCCGCTGCCGATTTTAAAGCGCACACTTGAACTATTAAAAAGCAAATGGAAAAGCGAAAAGAATTACGCATACATATGTGACCAGTTTAAAAGCATGCGTCAAGACCTAACTGTTCAGCACATTCAGAATGAATTTACTGTTCAAGTTTACGAGATTCATGCACGAATTGCTTTAGAGAAAGCTGATGTTGGCGAATATAACCAATGCCAATCTCAGCTAATGAACCTCTACAATTTGGGAATCCCGGGGAAAACAAATGAGTTTCTTGCATACAGAATTCTGTACAACTTGTACACAAAGAATACATCAGAACTGAATACGATTTTGGCTACTCTGACTGAAGAAGAAAAACAACACGAAGCTGTGCAGCACGCTTTGCAAGTACGAGAGGCACTTGCATCTACCGATTACTACACCTTCTTTCAGCTCTATCTCATAACACCCAACATGGGTGGTTACTTGTTGGATTTGTTTATCGAACGAGAGCGCGTAAATGCACTCTCCATAATGTGCAAGGCGTATGTGTTATTTCACTGATTAATAAACCAGTTATGCTAACGCTTTATTAGATATCGACCTTCCTTAGATACAACGTTTGTCGCTAACATGTTGGCTTTCGAAGACATGGATGAATTTAAAACCTTCATTTCAAGCTGCAATGTTGTTTACGACGCTAAACAGCCTGACCATATTCTGATGCGTGATAGCATGGACAGTGTTGAGAGACGGAAGAAGAAGTTTTCTGTTGTTGATATTAAAGGTCAGATTTAGGCTAATCCATATCCATTGGACGAGAAGAATCTTTATCTTGCTCAGATGAAAGAGGTTCTCGCCTGTACAGGTATATGTTACGGTTGTTAAGTGGGTTGGCATTTTTGGATGGTTCTTCCCGACTCTCAACTTCAAGAGGAATAAGACCGAAGCGTTTCAGATGCACATCAAATGTTTCGGGTTTAATACGCAACGACGCCAACGTTTGCTTAAATTCCTGCATACCTTATGTTAGTAAGAATGTACCATGCGTACAGTAGACGTTGAATGAATTCGTCTATGTCTCATCATACCGGATTCTTTTTGGCAGCTTTTTCATAAGATTTCCATTCCTGAAGCTCTAATACAAATGTTCCCTCCGGTCGCAACAGTTGTGACACCTGCTCAAAGAAGTCAAGAAGACCGTTGTCCCCGAAATTCAAGTGAATCCATTTTACGACGGAAAACGCCAGAATGGTATCAAATCGTCTACATCTAGAAGGGGGCGTCCATTGAAGAATATTTCCGTGGAAGAACTCTACATTCAGGGGAAACTCGTCTTTGTTTTCTGCAATGAAGGCAAGTGGTCTGCGGGAAAACTTCTTCACAGCAGAAATAGGATAAAAGTTTGCTCGTTCAAGCATTGTTTCGCACTGGTCTGTTCGTGGACCTATACGCGAGGCATAAAACTCTAGATGTTTATGCGCTTTCTGAATAAGAACGGGATCAATATCCACACCTACAACTCTCTTTGCATCAAAAAAAGCAGCCACTTGTGTTGTTACAGTCGCATTGTTACAGCCAACATCCAACACAGTTGCACCTTCGAATATTCTTTTTGGAAGACGCTGTAATCGCGGATCCATGAGGGATCCATCACCACGAATTGTATAGTAACTATGATAATTCCCGTAGCGAAATTTTTCAACCATATTAAAACGATAAAACGAAGCAGAGAAAAAACTCCAAGATGTAAATACGTATATGAAGCAATTTTCTATTTTCAGGTCTCGGCTGAGGTTCGAAGGAGTGAAACAGTGTGAGGAAAAAGAGTGAGAAAAAAAAATAGGATTCGAAAGAAAGGCTTTAGTGAGAGGCATTACGACCCTGTAATCAATGAAAAGGAAGGAAGTACGTTTAAGATGCTTTTTTAGAACACTGGCAACGTTTATCCAGCCCAGATTGGAAGCACTCTCGTTTTCACTTGCCTTCCCTATAGGGATGCTTAGTCAAAATCGCTTTCAGGATCATCCTCACTGCTTTCAGAATCGCCGTCTTGCTTCTCGTTCTGCAAAAGCTTCAGATCCGACTCTTCCAAAGCACCTGTACTCACCAAAAACCGAGCAATATCAATAGGCTTTGCAGACATTCCACCCACGGTCATGAGCGTAAGCAATTGTCTTTGTAAGTCACCGTGGCCATAAACAAGTAGCGTGGGCATCATTGCATCCGGGTAGTTCTCTACGGCATGTTGTCCGGGAATCTTAACAAACTTCACCTTTGGGTACGTGGCAGCCAGCTTGTCGAGAATAGCATTCAACAACTTGCAAGCCGGAATGTAATCCTGGAACATATGGACAACGACAAACACCTCCTTGCTGGCCTCCGTCACCTCCTTGGTGTAGTCGGGTTTAGAAATAGGATACACGCGGCCAAACTTGGCTGCACGAGCAGTTTGTTGCCATTCCTGCATGCGTTTCTGCCGGTACATTTGCAAGAACTCATCATCCTCCTCATCTTCCAATTCATCCAACTCATCCAGGGTTTTTTTATCGAGACGATGGTCGTGAGCCATCTTCATGGAATCCACCAATGCATCGTCAAGTACCTCTTCTACATCGGGTTCTTTAGGAGGCAGCACTCCTGCCGCACGAAGAGCATCATTCCTACGAATTAGAATCATGTGCATTTAATGAGCGTACATACCACTCAGTATCAGCATTGGGATCCATTTTCGTAGCAAGTAATTACGCCGTGAGCGTGTTTTTATGTCAGCAAACTGGCGACCGGCTCGTCTGTTCTACGACTTTTCGTCACAATTGTGTTGCTGTCAGCAGCCATGGGTCTGTTTTTGGTGTAGCGGATTTGGTGGTGAGTTTGGTTTCCTCTTCCGCGGCTACGCACGGCACACAATCGAAATAATGGGTTTATCCCCGAGACCCCACATGACTCCCCACATCCCACGCACCGACTGTGTGGGGCTTTGTGAGAACTTCTTTCCCCATTCATCCCACATGGGGGTCTCCATCAGGCGAAGACAGCTGAGCCCAAAGCGACTTACACACACAGGGCTCGACCAAGGCAACCAGGACATACTGCTTGGCACTTTTCCCCTAACCAAACGGCACGTAGAGACGGTAAAATTTGTAAAAAGAAGAACCTGACGCAATGGTGAAATCTACTGTTGTCAATCGCTTGGACGGTAAGTGGAACATTTTCCAACTTTGCAGCATGTCATCATGTTTTGCGCTGTTCTATGGAAAAAGCGGAACAACATCCAAGCTAACGTTCTCCAGGACTTCCCTTGGCAGCTAGTGTCGATGATGAGAAGACCGAGAAGGATTTGGAGGCACACAAAAAGCAGGCCAAGTTACTCTTAAAACGTTTGACACCAACATCAGAGAAAATGGCTAGTGTTGAAGCTGGAAACTACACCTTCCAGTAAGTTACCAAAAGTTCATTGGCTCGTATGAGTCCCGTTACGTCTACGTCAATTGATCTGTCTTTTCCTTGCCTTCCTACAACTGATGCTAACACACAACAAGCTATCTCATCGATAACAATATTTGCTACCTTTGCATCTGTGATCAATCGTATCCACGCAAGCTTGCATTTTCCTACCTCGAAGAGCTCGCTTCTGAGTTCTGGAGTAGCTACGGTGAAGATGCTCTGAAACCGAACTTGCGACCCTTTGCCTTTGTTCAGTTTGGTATGTTACGTGTCAGAGGGAATCTGATCGACTTTGCACGTCCTTCGGTCCGTTTACAGATACTGTTTTCTTTTTTCTTTTTTCTATTTTTTTTGTTTCACTCCATGACTAACATCTGAATCAGACCTTTTTATGCAAAAAACAAAACGTCTTTATAATGCTCCTCGAACAAATGAGAATTTGGATCGTCTGAACTCAGAGCTGAAGGATGTGACTCGGGTGATGACGAAGAACATTGAAGACTTGCTTTACCGCGGAGACTCGCTCGACAAGATGACTGACTTGAGTTCCAAGTTGCGTTACTCTAGTGCCAAGTACAAGAAAGCGGCTCGTCGTGTGAATATTGAGGCCATGCTGCGCCAGTACGCCCCCATTGTCCTGTTTATTATTCTTTTCGTTGGATTCATTTACTGGAGATTCTTTTAAGGATTGGTTGTTTCAAAGTTAAGGGGCATCAGCGCTCCCGCATCCACATATGCTTGACCCTACTGCGCAACAATTCGTGGCTAGCAATTTCTTTGGCTGCTTTCTAACCCGCACTCCTTCCGCTCATTCTACTCACGACCTCATTCTCGAGCTATGGACGACGTTTTCAGACGCCGTTTTCCCCCTGCTCCCTTTCACCTCTTTGCCCTCTGGAACATCCGCAACACTCTCTTCCGCTACTATTACCTCCACTACCTTCTTGTACAGCCTTATGGCTTTTGTATAGCAATTACATATTCGTTCACCCGCTGTCATCGCTTTCTTCTTCTCCACGCGTGTCCTCACGTCATATCTCGCTTAATTTGCGCTTGATGTTTTGTCGCACTTAAGGTTAAAGTTTGAAAATGACTCCGCCTTTGTAGCTACGTCATGGCGGACGCGGCGCGTACCTCAATAAGCTCGAAACGGGCTGGGGTCAGACTTGACCAGAACCAAACGCGTTTTGGAGTCGACGATACTCGTAGCACCACCGTTTTTGGGTACAGCGCTTTGGACTAAGCACTAGAGTCTGTGCCGATTGTTTTTAAGTGTGAATTGCTGCTTCATTATGCCGAAAACACCGTGTCTTCCCAAGGAACCGGAAACAACTACCGTTTGCTGCTTTCCCATCTCATGGAGACGACTATTTTCTCGCGAACCGCAATCGTATGTGACTCAGACATGGAAACGTTCGTGCACACGTACATTAAACCTCGCTTGCTGCTGTTCCGTGGGCCTCAAAATATGTCCACGGGCTGTTGGATCGCATCCGAGTTCACTTGTACCGCTCGAGTCTCCCTGTCCACCCCGTATCGCATTCACTAACGCCTTCTTCTCCACAGAACGATCCCCATCGTCCGCATTCAGGAAGCTACTCCTCGCAATTCCTCCAGCTCGAGCAATCCCCCGCATACGCCCGGGGGCAATGTCCAGCAACCACTTGAGCGCCACGGCAAGGCCTCGGTAAACATGAACCGCGGCTGAGCCATGGAGTACGCGGCAATTGCCGGTCATCTGCTCCACGTGATCCACGTGCATACGACACCCCGCTACTTTCGGGATGGAGGTTTTCGTCTATGTCATCTATGACGTCAATTCTCACTCAGGTTCCTGTCGTCTTCGAGCGCATGTCGATAAACAGCATCAAACATGTCTGAAGGTGGAGCCGGGTACCGAGTTGGTATGGAGAGCATTGGAAAAACATGAACGTTTGGTTTGGGGAGATTTTCATCGGCTGACGAGCTTTCAAACAGAACTCGCGAAAACTGGACGCGCCAGCTGCAAAAGCAACATCTGTGGAAAGTAAGCCGCCATTGGCGTGAACGGTGAAGCACGCATGCTTTTGCTAACACGAGGTCGCTTGTTTACGCGACCACTACAGATCACGTATAGAACGGGGAAGTTTACGTTTCGGAACATTCGTTGACACGGGCCGATTTCAAAATTGGATGTGGAGACACTGGGGATGTGTCACGGACAAAGTGCTGTCGAATGTGAAAACAAAAATCGGTGATGACATCGCGAAGAATCTAGACGGTTTTGACGACGTGGGTGCCGAGAATCAGGAGCGAATCCTTCGAGCATTCGAAAATGGACATGTGGAGGATGCCGATTTGGAGGCTTCAGAAGAACTGGCCATTGATGAACATACACGCGCTATTTTGGACGGAGAATTCGATTCAGATGAGGCATTAAGTGTAATTGTTTCGGCCCTGCCTCCTCCGAGTGCCCGTGGCCATGTTGCCGCTGCACATCCCAGCAGCAGCAGTAGCAAAACGAGAGGATCTCGGAAACACCGGTCGCCGTCAGTGAAGCGTGAGGAACACTATTCTGACGATGATGGCGTAGTCGACGATGGAGAGGTCGACGAGACCGAAGAGGAAGAGTTATCGGAAGAAGACTCTTTTAGCGAGCGACCGTCTACGGACGACGAGGAGGAGGCTTCTGACTTTGAGCCAACAGCGCCTCGTGAACGCTCCTTCCGAGCCCGACGAGTTGTGGACTACCATGAAGAGGATGCGCCTATGACTTATTCTGATGACGAAGACGAGTATGTCAACAATTGAGAAGCGGCCGCTCGACGAAGGCGACCCCGACCACGAATTGACGAGTCGAACCGTTTTCCCGTCTCACCCTCCGTTTCTCTACTTCTCCCTGTGCTCCCTCTCCGATGATCTGCAACGAGTATGATCTGCTACCGCTGCAGCAGATCATCTGGACTTTGTCGATCAGTTTCTTTGAAGCTCGCTTCTGCTCGCTCTCTCTCGTCTAATCTCGCTTCTGTTCGGTTATTCTCACCTCTCGTTTCGCCAGCACCAACCTCGACACGCCTCCAACAGTGTTCCACAGCGAGTGCATGCGTGTGTGTGAAGAGTGAGACACCATGCTGAGCAAAATCTGTTTCCGCGTGTTGCTCTGCGCGCTGCATCTGTTCGTGCGTCTGTTCGACGGAACGCTCTCATGGATTCGGTGGACGCAGAGCTACTTTTTGAGCTTGCTCTACCATCATCACTGCAGTCATGATTTAATTCGACGCGACACTGAGTCGCTGAAAAAACGACCCAAACACATCGCCGTGATTGTCGATTACTCTGAGGAGGGCGGCATTGAGGCACTTGTGGACAGCGTCTGTGAGCTGTCTGCCTGGTGTCTTTGTTCCGGCATTTACGAGCTGACGGTTTATGAAAAAAATGGTATGTAAGAAGGTGTAGCGATATATCAAGGGGGTATAGAACTGCATAGAGCTGTTCACAGTTCTCCCGTTGTCCCCCGCCGTCCCCCTTTTCTCCCTCACTACTAACCTCTCTGCGTGCAGGTTACCTAAAAGAACATCCTACTGCTTTGCAAAAGGCCATCGAGTCACACCTGCCGTACTACTTTGGCGAACTTCGCATCAACGTTAACGTGAGCAGCCCCTGTTCGCCCGAGGCATCTGCTGCCTCGACCACTGAGAGCCACTCAGACCAAACAAGCCTCAACCTGCGTCTTATTGCACGCGAAGATGGACGTGACGCTATTATTGACCTTGCCCGTGGACTCGTGGACCTCAGTGTAAAGCATGTTATTACGAGTACTCAAGTCAACATGGAATTGATTGACAAAGAACTTAGTGAAAGCGTAATCCCCGAGCCTGACTTGCTCATTGTTTTCTCTAAGAAGTTCAGACTTCAAGGTTTCCCCCCATGGCACTTGCGTCTCTGCGAAATTTATTACGACGAAAGTCTGAGGGGCGTCAATTACTTGACCTACTTTAAGGCTCTCATTCACTACTCGGACGCCGAAATGCGTCTTGGTCATTAATAGTATGCTACGAAAGTTTGCGGGGTACATTGCGGAGAAGGGCCGTGGTCCGGGGAAATGCGGGGAAGAGTGGATAAGGTTTTAAATAAGGTTTGCGTTTGCGACGCTTGCAGAGGTTCAGGGTGTTTGACGTCACGCGTCGTGTCGACGCGTCGCGAGGATTTTTTATAAAGTTGAGCGGTATCGGCGGTACACACCTACCCTCTACCAAATACGACGATTCCCGCTCCAATTCAGAATGGAGACACAGACACTGTCAAATGTAGCTCCCACTGCCCAGGAGTCGCCGTCCTCTAACCTGCGGCTGTTTCAAGGGTCTTCGCACCCTGTTGCGCTGTTTTTCTTCCTTTTTTTCCGTGGTCTGGCTCTGGCTATGTACTTTCTCGGATACCTTGTTCTCTCTAACTTGTAAGTGTCCGTATAACCCGTGTCCACCATGCGTGTGTGTAATTGTGCTAACGAACGTTGTTAGTATGCTTGTTTTCGTCATTACTGTTGTTTTGCTCTCAATGGACTTGTGGACCGTGAAAAACGTGTCGGGACGGCTGTTAGTGGGTTTGCGCTGGCACAATGAAGTCGGTCCCAACGGTGAAAGCATCTGGGTGTTCGAGTCTGCGGATCCTAGTCGTCCGAAAAACGCAATGGATCATCGCATGTTCTGGCTGGTCTTGTACTCTACCCCTGTCGTGTGGTTCATCCTGGCCGTTGTTGCGCTCGCTCGTTTCGAGTTCCTGTGGTTCTGTCTCGTGTGCATCGCCTTTGTCCTGAGCTCCATCAACACGGTTGCTTACACGCGCTGCGACAAGGACGCCAGACGTAAGTGGGCCACAGACCTTGCTACTTCTGCAGCTACTTCTAGCCTCGTTTCACGCTTTCTCCCGCGCGCCTTCCTCGGCCGCTTTTTCGGGTAGACCGTGTTTGTCCCGAGGATATAACTCAGCAACCCCGCGGCAATCCCACAATCGCTGTTTCTCGCAAATTCTCGTAAATTCTCCAGCGAATTGCAGTGGATTTCCGAAAGGTGACATGTTACTGCAGTTCCCGCGTCCCGGTCGGCGAAATAGACAGGCCAGGTGGGCGGATGACTGATGAAGCCAGATGGACTCGCGGACGCGCATCTGTTATCGGCCCAGTGAGCCAAATGAGTGGTCTAGTACGTTCATCGCCGTACGCGATTATTCGCTAGTGTTCTATTGACCGTTCCCCCCCGTTACCCACGCCGAGGCTCGCGCCCACGTTCACCTGCTCTTTCCTTGCTTTGGTACGAGTAGGTCAGACGGTTTGCGTTCCTGAACAGTTACTGCCACCCGTCGAGCACATCACCACCGCACTCGATTTCGCTACCATTGCTGCCACCACCACCACCGTCATCGTTATTCTGCTCCCAAATCGTCCACTTTGTGGTACGTAATACGCATACGCTGTGGGTGTTCCCAAGTCCTGTTAAAACACTTGTTTTCTATTTCTATGCAGAGCTTCATACGCACACTTCTTCAGCCAACACATTCCACTAATCAACGAACTTTCTGGTTTCATCGAATAAACGACCAGAACTAGTGAAGTCTGGCGAATTAAACATCGAGAAACGCATATTTTTGGCTTCTTTGCTCGACTTCCTAACTTTTGAAACAAAGATTAAAAAAGTGACCCATTAACTCGCTGAAACTCACTTTTTTCTTCTTCTCAGTTTGTCTTGCTCCGTTTCTCTGTTGTTATTTTTATTATTTGTCCGCAAGTGGCATCTCACGATTTTCTTTCTCTCTCTCCTCCTAGTTACTATTGTCTGCCTTACTCGTACACACCGCGTCGTGTGTCTTCATTGTTTCTTTCCAATCGGTCTCCCAGCAACGGACGACAACTGCTATTTAACTCTTGCTTGCTTGAAACAGAACTTCTCACACAATGAGTGATCGGCCTCCCGTGAACAGTGAGGGACAAGGTACACCTCCGCCATCTGACCAGTCTTCGCAACAACAAGACGGCCAGCAGGGGGCGACGGCCGGTACGCCTGCCGGCCCCTTGACGTTTTCTTTTCAAACAGTGCTTATTATTCTGAATGGGGAGGGTGACGGCCGGCCTGAGGATGGTTTCTTCCCCTCCTTTCATCCTCCTATCAAACGTGTCGCTAAGGAAACTTGGGATTCGTTTGAAAAAGTTGCTCCAGAGGATTTAGAAGATAAAACATGTCCCATTTGTTACGACGAAATGGGCACTGGTGCTGAAGATGGTGAAAATGCCATTCGTATGCCCTGCAACCATGTCTTTGGAGACAAGTGTTTAAAGCAATGGCTCGACACGCATGACACGTGTCCTCTTTGCCGACAAACAGTGCCGTCTGAGAGTGTGCAGGGATCTCCAGCACCCATGGTCATCCTCATTCCCCATCGTCGTGAGGAAGAGCACGTAAATGTTGCAGATGGTGCGGCCGCAGACGCGAATGCCGCTGCTGGTCAAGGTGAATCACTTTTTACAGCACCACCGCCAACTTTAACCTTTCCCCCAACCGGCGAGGTGCCTCAGGGTGCTGCTGCTGCTGCTACAGACGGTGCTGCTCCAACAGGAAACACTGATGCAGAGGGTGATGCCCAGCGTCCTCGCAGCGTCTTGCGCTTCATTTTCGCCAGTCCATTGCAGCCAACGGTCACGGGCGGTGCGGGATTGCTTCCCCTGGCGTTTGCTAACCAAACGCCTGTTGCTGGTAATGAACAACAGACAGAACAGGGTGTTGGCGCCGAAGGCGGTCAACCCCAGCAGCATCCGAACCCCCTCGATACCATGCTAGACTTCGTGTCTCTGCTCAACAACCGTGGTAATGCTGGACAGGACGGCGAAACGAATGCTGCTGCTGCTGCTGCTGCCCCTCAGGAAACCGCGGCTCCTACTGACTCGAACGAACAGCCTCAAACGGCGATGTCGAACGAGTCACCGGCGGTTCCTCGGTTCACCGCGACAACTCATATTCGCCTGCCTTTGTTTCCGGGAACGGGCACGTTCCCCCAGATGGAGCGTCCTTTGAATGCAGATGCACCGATGGCCGAAGCTAATACTGCTGCTGCCCCCGGAAACGGTGCAGCGACAGAAACTGCAGCGAATGCGCAAACGCCAGCCAATCCATCGCCAGTTGAATTCATCCATATTCGCTTTCTTCCTATTCCCCATCCAGCTGCGGAAAATGAAACAAATAGTCCAACAACCGCAGGTGCCGCTACTGGCGCAGAAACCGTTGAGACGGTAAACGAGAGTAACACCTCGTCCTCTTCTTCTAGTGAATCTGCATCCTCCACTCAAAATCCAACCACAAACGGCTCTGCTGCTGCTCCAGAAGCCAATCCTGCACAGCAGCAGACGGCAGCTGGACACACAGCTGCCACAGTCGGGGACTGGACGCGGTTTTTGTTTTCACGGATACTGCCATCACCTGTTCCTTCAGCATTTTCAAGACCAGCAACGGCCCAGCCTGCTCCAACCATTCTTCCCCAGCCGTCTATGCGGATTGTCTTTCCACGGATGCTGCCTTCCATGCACAGCCCAGTCGATGCAGCAGCTTCGGCAGCCGCGCAGAATGCTGTTTCTGCAGCCGCCGGTCAGCCGAATACTACAACTCAGTCGTCGCCTTCACAATCCGTCGATGGTCAACAGTCTCCAGCGCCCGCTTCTGCGAACGAGCAGCGCCCTGCTACGCAACCACTGCCTCCCCATTCTGTGCTGACACCTATTATTTCGCAGGCTATCCGAGTAGCTCTTCGCCAATTTCAGTTACGGAATGCTTTACGAGCAGCAGAGGAGCGAGTTGCTCAAATCGCCCAGCAAACTCGAGCGTCATCGACATCGACAAACGCGCCGTCTCCTGACGTGCCGACAGCGTCGGCAGCTTCAGGTATGCAGCTCGATACATCACCGCCAGCTGCTGCGACGACAGTTGCTGCCCCTGTCCCCGTGATAGCACAACCCCAGGCCCCTGCTGCTCCGGTGGCACAAGTAGAAGCACAAGCACATGTTGTGTCTGGCCTTGAGGAGACTGCTGATTCCCCTGCAGTGTCATTGCAAAGCAGAAGCACGGTCCCTAGTCAGGATTCTGTGCCACAGTCTGCAGTCTCATCTCGTTCTGCAACTCCATCACAACGACGCTCCACGCGCCATCATCCTTACGCCAGAAGTAGTTCGACACATGTGCGCTGTCAGCTGATGGATCGTGGAGCATGTAATCCGAATGATGAAGTTGTTCGTTTCCAGTGCGGGCACTATGTACATCGTGGTTGTCTATCATCGGCTAATCCCTCGTCGAACGAGACAGACATGGATGAAGATGTAACCCAGTGTCCTGATTGTCGGTCATCTCCAACAAACCACTAAGTAATGTGTAACGTTCTCATATCGTTTTGTGTACGCCTTATATTTCGTCTACGTCCCGTTTCATTAAGCAATTAAGCAACCTCTCCTGTTTATACGAGCGTCCTGTTCTTTCTCTATCAGCCCTTCTCGCTCCTCCCCCGTGTTTTTTCCGTTACTTCCTTTCTTCCAGTGGTGCACGCACACTTTCATCTATGGATCGTGGCCGCTCATAATTTTGATGGACAAACATCGGTCTGAACGGGAATAACAACCTGTGCCTCTAGGTCATTCTTACTAGTGCATTTCGTTTCTCAAAACCATACCTCTATAATACGCCAATTGCGTCCGCTACGTCTTACATTCCTCCTACAATAGACGACGACTCGTACCGTAGCTATGAATTGTGTTTCCTGTGTATTATGTGATGTGGGGGCAGGTTTGCGGGGGCCTCTGGCTGTGAGGATGGGTCAGGCGTGTTTGTGTGCAGGTGCGTGCAGGCGTGTGCGATGGTAACTCCTTCACCCCGAAAGCAGTTTCGCGCGCTCGAAAGCGGCCAATGCCCTCCTTGGGTTGTACGATTTCAGCGAAACCGTTATCATGATCAGTATCAATTAATTTCGCTGAGAAAAACCGCTATTTGTGCTCGGTATAGAGTAACCCCCGGTCAGCCGCCGCTACACTACGTGTTAACCCACATAACCCACATAACCCACATAGCTTCTACACATCTCCTGCAGAGGCTCGTACAGCGTTGTACGAAAGCGTGAACGCGACTCCTGCTAGAATTAGAGTTTTTGCTGTGGAATTGCTTCTTAAACGTGTCGTATACTGTGTCTGGTTACTGGGTGTCTAGAAAAAAGGATTTGAACCCCGTCAAAGCAGGATAGGACGAATCTACGCAAGCACGAAGAAATTCGCTTGTTTACTAGTCATGTGGAGCTTGAGAAACACTCCGGTTCAAACAGTTCAAATTGCATAAGAATGTCTGAAAATGAAACACGAGTTCCAGCATCGGAAACGCCGGGCAGTTCACTGACGCCTGTTGCACCTGCAGCACCAGTTAGTAGCTCTCGGTCGTCGTCACGAATGTCGTCGCAACGAAGGACGTGTTTGAGGTGCCAGCAGCCTATCTCTGGTCAGTATGTCCATGCTCTTGGAAGCATTTTTCATTACAACTGTTTTGTATGTGAAGACTGTGGAAAGCCGGTGGCCGAGAAGTTTTTCCCTATCGACAAACACATGTCTGGCTCGGTTTTCCGCCAAAGCCTGAGCTCTATGAAGTCCTACGCTGGTGTGCTTTGCGAGACAGATCGGTTCCGCCGGTTGGATATGCTTTGTGCAAAGTGTGGATCAGCCATTCGCGATTCGTACATAACTGCCGCAGGCCAGAAATACCATGTCGACCATTTTACTTGTCAGATGTGTCCCACCGTGCTGGGTCCACGCGATTGCTACTACTTGCACGAGGACCAGACATACTGTTCTTTTCATTATGCGGCTTTGTATGCCACTCGCTGTAAAGGTTGCAGCTTGGCCATTTTGAAGGACTTTGTCGAGGTGTTTCGTGACGGCAAAAAGACCTGCTGGCATCTTCCGTGTCACCTGACGTACAAGCATTGGCATGTCTCCTACTATGGTTACTTCAAGAAGCAGATTTGTTCACCGAGTTCCATATCCGCTGTGTATGATGACGGCCAGCGTGAGCGAATTGAAGAACGCGACAAGCAGCTGCACACAACCATTATACATGTGTGGCTTGTTATGTCACAGTTCGAGGAGCAGATGGCTCTCTGTCTCGGAGACATGCTGGCTTCGTTCTCCAAGCGAAATGTTACCGCCATCATTCTATCAACACAGTTCCTTGTATCGCTTGTGAAACCGTTATTCAAAGCCATTATCACGGTTGACAGCGCATTGCAATCTTTTAATTTGCCGAGTGCTGACTGTGCTCGCGATGCCCGCTCATTGTGTAAGCGTATCGTGGCCTTTTTACTCCATGCATCTGAACGTACAAACCTTCATGCCTTTCCCGACACTTCACCCAACAAAGACCCGCTTTCTATAATTACTAATGTGGCCTATTTATTGAAACACCTTATACATACATCTCTTTCTGCTGCTCTTCGTTTGACTTTTAATCTTTCTTCATCTGATACCCTTGATACGTTCCTTTCTATATTCGAAAACGAGACGCCCACAGGCCCCCGTGTTAATTCTAAGACAGTTGACCGCTCAATGGCTATGAGCATGGTAGAACAGCGCAGCAATTTGTGTCCTGTCTGTGAAAAGCCCGTTGAGGAAAAGTGTGTCTCGTGGCGATCTGTTCATATTCACCTTTGCTGCATGCGTTGTGCTGTCTGCGGTAAGAACTTGGACAATGACTTTTGTAATGCTACCTACAACCTTGAGTTACAGCGTGTGGAATGTGCTAAATGTGCACAAGGCGAGGTCCTTGAGGGCTTCCAACTTGTGAAGCAGTATGAGCAGTTCGTGTACTTACTAAGTATCGCCTTGTCGCGTTTCATTCTGAGTGCTCGTGAAGCTCATGTATTCCATACAGACGAAGATGTTATATCTGAGTTCCAAAAGTCGCAGACTTCTCTGCTTGCGTATAAGACGAATGTCAATTCGTCGAAGTCATCTCCTACGCCCGACTTAATGCTGAACGGAACAATGATTGATAATTATCATTCGTATGCCGACAAAGTGAAGAGTTTTTATTATAACAAAAGTCTTCCATTTATTAGCGACGATGAGCGTTCTGTTGTATCATTCTTTTCTGACGCTGAAAGTCGCACAACCTCTCAAAGTTCGTTCCGTTCACGTTGGAGGGGACGCAAGAGCCATTCACATAAACTGTCAGTTACTCCTACGACGCATGAAGGTTTTCTGTTCACAGATGCCCAACTTTTCACCCTGGATGATATTTGCTTGGCTATTTTGGATCAACGAAACCGAGAGAACAGACCAAATGCTTTTCAGCATGCTAAAAATATTGGCATCTCTCACCAATCCATGTATAAGAAACAGATTGTACAAAGTTACAAGTCGATAAAAAATGGTGATGATTCTCTCGAGCGGAAAAATGATTATCTCCTTATAGACAACTTAAGTGATGAGCAAAACGCATTGCTCAGGCGTTTGTGTTTGTATACGTTACACAGAAAGTCTAATACTTTCCGCTCCCTAAAAATTCCGGACGCTAATATTGAAGTAAGAGAAGCATCAAAGCCGCTCAGTTTTTGGCAACGAATTCGCAATTGGTGGAGGCCTTCTCCTAAAATGCAAACCAATGGTCTTTTTGGCATTCCACTTACTGCCCTTGTGCAGGAGACAGGAGTATATAGCACGCTTGGTCTAACATCTTCTAATAGTCGGATACCACTTTTTATTGAAAACCTTCTTCGGGCGCTGCTGAGTATGGACATGTCAGTTGAAGGTATCTTTCGGAAAAATGGTAATCTGAAGGAATTGAGACTGCTTGTTCGTGTATGTGAGAAACAACATGGCGATGTTGGCTTTGAGAACCAAACTCCCGTGCAATTGGCTGCTTTATTGAAGAAGTTTTTGCGTGAATTACCGGAGCCACTTTTGACTTTTGATCTGTTTCAAGCTTTTATTGATGCGGCGAATATTGAAGATAACGCTGAACGATTGGAAGTGCTCCACATGTTGTACTGTTTATTGCCCAAGGAACATCATGACACGACTGACGTTTTATTTGGGTTCTTTGGTTGGGTTGCTTCGTTTTCACGGCTGAGTGAAGACACTGGTAGTAAAATGGATCTCCATAATCTTGCTACTGTAATATCTCCTAACATACTCTATAGCAAAGGCGAAATGTCCGTTGATGATAGCTTTTTGGCCATTGAAGTTGTCCGGATGCTCTTGGAATACCATACCACGTTCGAGTCAATACCATCCCAATTTGTGCCGTTCCTGTACGATGAGAAGATACTTAATTCCTTTATGGAGCTATCACCTTCTCAGTTTGAGAACAAACTGAACAGTCTTGTTTCTTGATAAACCAGTTATTCCCCTAATGCATCCCTCAAATTCCCTTTCTCTGCGACACACTTATGAAAACCAGACCCATCCCTTCTACCTTAAACACACACACCGAGCCGAACACCGCTGTCGTATCTGATCGGGTTGAGCTTATAGCGCTATCCTTTAATGAAGTATCACTGTTTCAAGGTTGGCCCGTGCAAACCACCGGTCAATGTCTAATAATGGATTATGGATAGTTTATAAGTTTACTGAAACAACAACACTGGAATAACATAATATTTCTTTAAATAGTAACTGAGTAAAACTCGAAAGTTACAAAATAAGATTGCCAATAGAAGGCAAAGTAACCCTATATTCTAGTAAACCTCCAACAACAGGATCATCAATGCCTATGTAGAAGGCATCGTCATCTGGAGAAAAGCTTATACCGGAAATTTCACCAAAAAAATCCAAGGTTTGAGCAGTACTATAATCTCGAGTTTTAAAAAGCTGTACAAAATCTGCCTTCTCTGCAGCAGCAAGTATGCGGCCATCCCCACTGAACTGAAGATTGTGCACAGCACTCATTTTGCTGCTGAGTACTTGGACAGGGTTACCCAATTTTCGAGCATCCCATATCCGAGTAGAAGTGTCTTGGCTGCTTGTAGCAAAATGGTTCCCATTTGGATGCCACGCACAGCACACAGAGTAATCCATGTGACTTAATCGTGCAACTCGTTTCCTCGATCGCGGGTCATGCAATTGAGCATATGGACTGTCGCCGCATGCTAGTATTAGCTTCCCGGATGGATTTATGTTTGCACAGTTAACAGCCCATGGGAGGTTTAGAGTTTGAATACACCGTAAGCTTTCGCAAGGGTCGAAAAGCTTTATTGTTTGGTCATTTGTACTGGCCAAAATTCGGCTGGAAGACGAATCACATAAAAGCGAGACATGGTTTACAGAGGTTTCTCCCAGAGAAACATGTTCCTGTGTACCATTCTCAGTGTTGAACGAGAATAAAAGACCTCCTTGGAGCGTGCCACATGCTCCCAAGGTGTCTGAAGCTGCAAGACAGCAAGCGTAATTATCTTGTATAAGAAACGGATTCAAGTCAACAAGTAACTTGTGCGTCTGTGAGTGAAAATCATATATGGAGATTCCGTTTTCAACGGAATAAAGTACTTTCTTAGAAATTGCCGCAAGATTGTAACTGAGTTGAAAGTGTACCCGAAAGCAGTTGATTCGTCTATCGAACCGAGAAAACTCGTACAGCTCACTGGGTAAGCTGTCTGTGCTTTGTACAGGAAACAGTGACGGATACCATTCTGTGGAATTGCAAGTCGTCACATAATTGCTTAATCGATATTCTCGAAATGCAAATCGCTCACCCAGGGCAATTGAGCCCCACGGTATTCCTTGTGAGTCTGTAATTCCGTTTAAAGGGCCCTCCACACAATCACTTTTGTTGCTTGGTAGCCAAAAATTAGAAGATGTTGGATAGTCGAGTACGTTTTTTTCTAGGCAAGCATCGTTTCCCTCAAATAAATCCGAATAAATAAAGTCAGCAAAGTAATCCTGAACTGTTTCACAGTACTTTACTACAAGCAATTAGCTGGACACAAACAGTAGACGCTTACATTCAGAGTATTGTTCAAAGGATGAATGGTCGTCTTCTGAGATTTCAGACATTGGAAGACGGCGCAACCGACGGCTTTCGTGTTTATTAGTAAGACAGTTAGTAGTATTGTAGTCAGCCGATGCTATAGACGTGGTTTTCGTCTAATCATTGAGTTGCTGGATATAGAAGGGCTGTCTCCCGAGTAACTGCTTGCTACTACTACGAACCTTGTCTCACAAGAACGAGTTAAGGAAGTAGTAATAGTAGACGACAAGCTACCACAGGAATGGAACGTGCGAGAAATGAATTGCTAGATTTGATTGACTCTGTATGAATTTTTTGTTTGCTTTTAGCTAACACGAGTTTGAATAGGTAGTTGGAAAGAAAAGTCTTGTACTGGAGAAACCAATCTCAGGTGTTTTAAGCCTTCTAATACCACTTCCTGCCCTCCAGGAGCACGGTATTCAACGTATCTACACAATTGAGAAGAACCTCCCTGAGAACATTGATGAGAAGATTGTGTACATTTGTCGCCCTTCGTTCGACATTGCCCAAATTGTTTCAGGTCATATACATCAGGCGCAAAGACTGGCTTTGCGAAGAAGTTACACGGTGATCACGTTGCCAAAGTCCAACATACTGTTCGATTCAATTCTTCAAGAACAAGGTGTGTTTGGTGAAATTGATCTACTAAAATGGAACTTTTCAACTGTCGTTCTTGACGACGATTTATTGTCAATGGAATTGAGCCCGAATGAGGAACCGACACAAATGTTGTCAATGGCTGTTGATGCCGTTTTTGAGTTTGAAAAGGAGCACGGATTGTTTCCTCGACTGTGCGGACGTGGTCCTTTGGTAGATCAGTTCTGCTTGTTACGTGAAAAACGCTTACAAGAAGAAAGCAGCACGACTGATCGCAGCGAAACTGCTTTCCTTTTTTCTCAAGACATCGATAGTCTTTTAATTTTCGACCGTTCAATGGACATGGTCACCCCTCTAATGACACAACTGACGTTTGAAGGACTTCTCGACGAAGCATTTGGCATTAATCAAAGTAAGTTAAGCAAAAGGGGAAGTGAAAAGTTCATACTCAACCTCTGGCAAAATCCAATAACTAATCTGTATTCTAACTATGAAAGTGTTTGTTAAACTCCCTCCCAATCTAATAACGGATACCGCGGAATCTGGTTTAGTTGGGAAAAAGTTCTCATTACATACGCATGCCAATCCTCTTTTCAAAGAACTAAGGGATTTAAGTATCCTCAATATTGGTCCCCAGCTGGGACGAATTGGTCGCAAGCTTTCCGACACATACAACGAACGAAAGGATGCAAAGACCGTTGGTGAAATTAAAAGTTTTGTTTCTCGTTTGGGTGCCTTACGAACTGAACACTCTTCCCTTAATATATGTACGTCGTCGGTGCACGGAATTCTTAGATGCACTTTATTCGTATTACTAACTTTTTAGTCACTTCACTCGCAGAGGCACTTGTTCAACAAACAAAACGACCAAGCTTTCAGGATTTTTTACAGCTTCAACAATCGCTAGCTTCTGGTCTGGACGCTAACAGTCAACTGACATTGTTGGACAGTCTCATCTCTAGAATGGCTCCCGCGGAAGATGTTTTGCGAATGCTGTGTCTGGCAAGTGTTGTTTCGGATGGTCTTCGGGCGAAAGACATTGATGTCTACAGACGGGAAATTACTCAAACATACGGTTATGAACATCTGATTACATTGCACAGACTTATGGAAACACCATTGCTTCAGATACGCACTACGTCTGGCTTGCCTTTCCAAAAGTCAAGCTTATATCAACAGTGGTTGCGTACATATCCGATAATCGTTGAGAACGTAAATGAGCAACAACCCGATGATATTGCTTACACGTATGGAGGTTATGGTCCTTTGTCTGTTCATATATTGCGAGACATTTTGGAACATCGGGATGCCCCAGATGCAGTTACACGGCTGACTTCGCTTCCAGGAAAATATGTCGATTACAGATCTGAACAGCCTTTGAATCACAAGAACACGCTTCCTACCGCAAACCCGTCCCCTAAAACCGTTGTCATTCTGTTCCTCGGTGGATGTACTTATGCCGAGCTTTCTGCCCTTCGATTCCTTCAAGAGAAACTGTCTCTAAACTTTGTATTTATTACTACAGGAATTATCAATGGATCCTCCTACATGGGCTCTTTCGTTCCCAAGTCTATGTTTCCGACTGCTTAGCGGATTTGTTTTGTTTTTCTATTTCCCAAGCTGCGGTTGCCATGGCAACCACGACTTAGTCGTAGGCTAAATGAGTGTTTGACGAATGCCACTAGATGCTGGAAACCAATGTCATCTTCAGGTAATAACAAAGAATATGGCTATTTTCAAGCGTATAATGAACAATTATTAACATTTTTTTGCAGATTCTGATTCGGAACCTTTGATTTCTAGACGTTCTAGTTCTCGGAAACGTCGGAAGGACAAGGCAGTTGCTGAGTCTTCTAGCAGCGATGACGATGTCCCAGTAAAAACGAAACTGGAGCGTTCGGACACTAAGAGATCGTTTTCAGATGCCGTGTCTGATGACTCTGATGTTCCTCTAAAACAAACAAAACGTAATCGTCGGTCACAATCGAAGGCTTTGGCTATTAAGGACGAAAACAGCGAAGAGGATGAAGCTGATGGAGGTCATTCGGGAACGTCTTCCCCAGCATTTTCAGACAGTGGTAGCGATTATGAGGATGAGCCGATTAAACAGAGAGTTGCAAAGAAGGCCCGTACGCAAAAGACCGTGGCTAGTCGTGCAACGAAAAAGACAACAAAATCCACAAAATCCACAAAATCGACTGCTAAAACGAATGGAAAGTCTGCGACAAAAACTACGAGTCGAACTCGCTCTCGCCGCACGAAGATGGACGAAGAGATTGCTCGTTCCTCTGCGTCTACTCCAGTGAAGATGGAGGTGGACGAAGATATGAAAGATTCTGCACTCTCTTCAAAACACTCTATTGCAAAATCCGAAGTTGCATCACCAAAAATGTCTGGCTCGATACGTTCTTCACCCAAAACTGAAGAGGAAAATGGCGATTTCAAATGGTGGGAAACTGATTTGCCTGACGGTAAAAAGTGGAATACGCTGGAGCACAACGGTGTCATGTTTCCACCCGAGTATGAGCCTTTACCTTCTCATGTGAAAATGCTTTATAATGGAAAGCCCATAGACTTGCCGCCAGCCGCGGAAGAGGTTGCTGGTTTCTTTGGAGCTCTGTTAGAGAGTGATCACGCTCAAAACCCTACCTTCCAAAAGAACTTTTTCCGTGACTTTCAGGCTGTATGCAAGGAAGCTGGTATGAAGTCCGCTGATATTCCAAAAGAGTTCAACAGTTGTGATTTCCGACCTATGTTCGAGTACTTCGAATCTCTGAAAGAGGCCAAGAAGAACATGTCGAAAGAAGAAAAGAAGGAACTTAAAAAGAAAAAGGAGGAAGAAGAGGAAAAGTTTAAGTGGTGCCTTCTCGACGGTAGAAAAGAAAAGGTAGGCAATTTCCGCATTGAACCTCCTGGACTTTTCCGTGGCCGTGGTAGTCATCCAAAGACCGGCACTCTGAAGCGTCGTGTTTATCCAGAGCAAATTACCATTAACATTGGTAAGGGCGCCAAAGTTCCTGAACCACTTCCTGGACATAAATGGGCAGAGGTTCGCCATGACGATCAAGTTACTTGGTTGGCGATGTGGCATGAAAACGTGAATGGCAATGTAAAATATGTCTTTTTGGCCGCCGGTAGTTCATTGAAAGGCCAGAGTGACTTGAAAAAGTACGAAAAAATCTCGTAAGCTGAAGATGTATATCGACGACATTCGGAAAGGTTACAAGAAAGACTTGAAAAGTGAATTGATGATTGAGCGTCAGCGTGGTACGGCCATGTACTTGATTGACGTGTTCGCCCTTCGTGCCGGCAACGAAAAAGGTGAAGACGAAGCGGACACAGTCGGTTGTTGTTCCTTGCGTTACGAACATGTCACTCTTAAGCCTCCGCGTACTGTTATCTTTGACTTTTTGGGTAAGGATTCTATTCGCTATTACAACGAAGTTGAAGTTGATCCTCAAGTCTTTAAAAATTTGAAGATTTTTAAACGTGCACCAAAGAAGGAGGGTGACCTGCTATTTGACAGGTTAACTACAGGCATTTTAAACAAGTATCTGAATAGTTTAATGGAGGGACTTTCAGCTAAGGTATTCCGTACCTATAATGCTTCATACACAATGGCTCGTGAGCTTGAAAAATTACCGCCGAACTTGTCGCTTGCCGACAAGATCCTTTTCTACAACAGAGCGAATCGGACAGTTGCCATTCTGTGTAACCATCAACGCTCCGTGACCAAAAATCACGACATTCAAATGGGTCGCTTGGAAGAACGTTTGAGAGGTTTGAAGTATCAACGTTTGCGACTCTGTCGTATGCTGTTGAACAACGATGAGACTTTAGCTAAGAAGCGTCCTGAACTGCTAAAAGTGGATGAAGAGCTAACTCCGGAATGGATAAAAAAGCATCATGAAGACCTATATGAACTTGAAAAGGTAAAAATCTCAAAGAAGTTTGCTCGAGAGAACGAGAAGCTGGTATCTGAAGATCCCTCGAGTGTTATGCCTGATTCGGAGCTTGAAGAACGCTTGAAAGCTGCTGATGAACTGAAAGCCAAACTTGACGAAGAATTGAGAACTGGCGCTGTGGAAGCCGGCCGTTCATCAAACGAGCAACTCGAAAAGCGTCTTATAAAAATGGACGAGCGTATTAAGGTAATGAGTAACTCTATCATCGACAAGGACGAAAACAAAACAACGGCATTGGGAACTAGTAAAATCAATTATATCGATCCTCGTTTGACCTTTTCTCTATGCAAGCGAGAGAACATTCCCATTGAGAAGTTGTTCAGTAAGACGATTCGAGACAAGTTCAATTGGGCGGCAGATACACCTGCTGATTGGAATTGGTAGAGATACTGAAAGTGCGCCGTGGATTTGTCTCTACCATGTGCTACGGTTCCATGTACTACTTCCTAATGGACTGTGAAGACATGGACAAAAAAATTATGTTTATTTTCCGAGTGTTTAATTGGTACTTAATTGGTGCTTAATCTGTACTTATTTTGTGCCCACCCATGGCTTTTTCCCATGTTGCTTTGTTGTCTTTTATTTCTTGCCGTAAGCTTAAGAGTCTTCTTGTTTTTCATTTCCGTTCAACTATTTTTACTTTACAAAATAGCACTTAGAAAATGCTCTCTACTTAATACCCAAAATAACATGAAAATGCTCGTAGAGATTGCACAACTTGTCATACATTCTCACAGGCATTGGAGATCATAGTACGGAAAGAAACAAAGTTTTGCTTAGTTTTGTCGAAAGAACACAGCCATAAATGAAAGTTTAGCAGTGCTGTTTAATTGACAGGAGTTTCAGACTGTCTCTTGGTATTTTGTCGGAGGAATAACCCGTCTTACATTACTTAGTTATCTTACTATAGTGACCTTCTCCTCATAGCATCTACCACCTTTTCAACTTGAGTTATTGGTCAACATCAGTTAAACATTTCGGCTGATACGAAGTCGGAAAGATTGGTCGTGTAATCAGTAATAATCTTTTTTCGTGTACTACTAGTAACCTCATTTATCTTTCTAGACTCGTGATTGAGTCCTGGATTTCTTACCGACGTTTTCTCGTGCAGATTAACAACAAAACTCAAATTTGCAATTTGCCGAGTCGAGCCCTTTTACCTCACACGGATTGGAAGAAAACACTTTTGGTGCTTTTCTCGTTCACCGCTTAATTAACTTTGTGGAATTAAGTAGTTAAGAAGACTCGTTCTTCCTGTAGCAATTAGTAATTGCTGCTTAAACTCATTCTGTTATAACTTCCTTTTCACCTTTACTGTAATCTGGTCATTTTCTCTTGATGGCGTCGAAACCTTCTTCCAACAAAATCGAACTTTACACAGGCAAGTACTACGGTCTATGTGCACTAGGAGGCATTCTCGCCTGTGGTACAACACACACTGGAATTACGCCGCTGGACTTGGTAAAATGCCGTAAGCAAGTGAATCCCAAGATCTATGCAAGCAACATGCAGGGTTTCCGCAGCATTTTGCGTGCGGAAGGAATCCGTGGACTGTACACAGGAGGTATTCCTACGTTCATCGGCTATTCTCTACAAGGATGCGGCAAGTACGGTTTCTATGAGATCTTCAAGCACGGCTATTCCAAGATGCTTGGTGAGGAAAAGGCCCACAATTACCGTACAGCTGTGTATGCTGGTGCTTCTGCCTCTGCAGAGTTCCTGGCCGATATCTTCTTGTGTCCTATGGAGGCCATTAAGGTTCGTATTCAGACAATACCCCCCGCTTTGCGAATACGACGCGTGAGGCCTGGTCGAAGATCGTTAAAAATGAGGGCTTTGGTACACTGTACCGAGGATTGACACCTTTGTGGTTCCGTCAAATTCCCTACACTATGATGAAGTTTGTCTCTTTCGAGCGAATTGTTGAGGGTCTGTATACCTGGTTTGGAAAGCCTAAGAATACATACACTAAGGCTCAAAAGATTGGTATCTCGTTTGCTGGTGGATACATGGCCGGTGTTTTGTGTGCTATCGTCAGTCATCCTGCTGATGTTATGGTTTCCAAGCTGAATTCAAGCAAGCTTCCTGGTGAGGGAGCCGCTGCTGCTGCTGCTCGTATTTACAGAAACATTGGTTTTGCTGGCTTGTGGAATGGCCTTGGTGTGCGTATTCTGATGATTGGTACCCTTACTGGCGCGCAATGGCTTATTTATGACTCCTTTAAGATTGCCTGCGGCTTCCCTGCTACTGGTGCTTAATGAAAAACGGAGAATGCATGTTCTTTCTCATGATTCTACCATGCTATTTGAACAAGAACCTCTTATACCAATGGTGTGTTTTAGTTTTCTGTTTGCCCTTCTATTTAACATTAGTTAACCTTGATACTCAATACAGTATGTTCACATTTCGTCTACATTGAACAATTCATTGAAACTCAGTACTTTTCTTACAGAATTGTTGAGCTTGCATTTCATTAATTAAAAACAGGACTAAATCATAACGGCAGAAAATTATTAAACAAAGAAACATTTGCAAAAGATTCATAGAGGACTACTTTCGATAACGAAGAGACCTGAAAGCGCTTTTATGAAAACGTTTGTTGGGCTGCGGAACGTCGAACATGTCTTTTCCATCGATGGGGAAACTGGGTGATTTTAAAGTTGTTTCTGGGGAAGTGATGAATGAGTTTCTGTTTCCATTAAAGGAGGAAAGGAAAGAGTGTGGTTCTTTTTTGAAGCTCTTGGAACGAGAGGAGAAGGTAGTTGCACGTTGAGGAGTCGTTATGCGAGCAGCGGAAGGTGCATGAATGGGAACGGGAGCAGGACGTTGGGGAACCTCAATAGTGTCTGAGAAAGTGGGAGATGCAGTGATATGTGATGGTGGAAGTATGTCAAGTTGTGCCATTTGAGAAGTAAGGGAATTAGAAGCTGGCGATTGAGATGAGCGATAGGCATCGTTCGAATTACTCGTCGTGGGCGTGGCACTCATAGAGCCGTCGTCGGACGAAGGAGTCTCTTCTTCTTTTGCTGTGTAGAATAAAACATAAGCTGTTGCCTCTCCAGGTTGGTCACCAAAAAACTTTCGAATGAAACTATCATCAACGGGTGTAACCGTTTCATCATCAAACAAAACCCAACCGCAAGATGTGGTACGTACAATAGCAACATAGTGGCCATGATGGGGCCCTCCTCCTATATGGACAATGATTGCAGAAAGTTCGTATAGTCGATCTGCGTCTTCAGCATCTTCAGTCGTATTTGGAAGACGCAGTTCGCTCGGATACGCTACTGTATGAAACAGCTTTGCATGACCAGATTGTTGCTCAGAATAATTAAATCGTTTCAAATGAAGGGCCAAAATTTGAGGAAGCTGCTTTAACTTGATACGCTTCTCTGCCTCTTGTAAACTTCGACAAGCATCGCAGTGAAATTTATTTTTGGAGGACAGCATTTCTGCAGAAGAAAACGTTCGCAGACACGAAGAGACGGAAGAGAAATCCTCAATGTCAATACTTAAATCTAAGAATGATTCTTCGCGAGAGGTTACCTACAACTCAGTTAGCTACCAAGCTTATTGGGCATCCACGCATCAATATGTACATTTTCGCATGTAAGACATTTCGTCTCGCTGGTTAAAATGCCGCCGAACAAAGAATGAATCCAATTAGGACCTGATGTTTCGGAATGCGAGCGATAATACTCGTTGATAATTTCTTCAATAGCATTCAGAAGAAAATACAAAAATTCGTGTGCATCTTGCTGTTGAGTTGCACGAAACAGTTCATTATCTCTGCGCAACACTTGTATAAATCGTGTTGGTGAACAAACACCGTACCGGCACTCACAAGTAGCAATGGATTCATACAAATCCTTTAATGCAGTAAAAATATTCTCGTCCATGCCATATGCCTGAGAACCAGATTCGTCAACTGAAATCTTATGTTTTGCAGCAATTTCGTTAAACGTGAGAATATCAGCACAGCCGCAACTATTGTACGATTGTTGAGAGGAAAGCTTTCGGCCATCGCCTTTGTCCTTTTTCTTCGTGTGATGACTGTGATGATTATGAGAAGAAGCCGGTTCATTAGTTGGGTTGTTTCCACAGACACTTTTGAAATTTGGAGCCATTGCTTTCGAAGGAAACTCGCTCAAAGTCTTACGAAATTGTTTCAGGTGAAACAGTGAAACAAGAACAGAACTCACATAACTTTTAGATTAGACAATGGTTCATTCTTTATGAATACTGTACGCATTTAAACGTTCGTTTCATACCAAGTATTACCAAACTACAGATGAAAAGCACCAATGTCAGCAGAAATGTCCAAAATACAGATAACGTGTGCACCAAGTGCATAACTCATACATTTGTTAAACCAAAAAAGCGATCAGTTGATGGAACAATGGGATATTCATTCGGTGTCATCGGATGGTCGCCAGAATCCTTCCTGCGGCTAGAAGAGCCCTGAGAGCTCTACAGAAACTGTTAGTTATTGAAAAGTAAAACGAATTCTCACCATTCCCATCCATCGAAGGAACGACATATTGCCAAATTGGTGTTTTTGCTTGAGTGTATGGCAAAGGTCAACCTAGTATACGCGCTGCACCTCGGGCTATGAACGCCGACACTACGTAATTAGACAAGTGAAATTAAGCTTAATGAGCACGCGAAACAACAAAAACAGAAAAATCGATTAATGAACTTTTAGCTTAGTTTAGTTCCTTGAGATTAAGAAATTTTGTATTTATCAAATTTTAAAATTCACCGTATAAAGAAACGAATTTCGTTCGTCACGATACATGAACATGAAGTGCTAAATACTACTGTCCTGCAGTACTCAAAAAAAAAGAAAAAAAAAATTTAAATAATTTTGTTACGAAAAGGATTTTGATATTACGTTTCTTCGTTTCATTATTTGTACTGCATTTCGATTCTTTTTGTTTTTCTTCTGTACTGGTTTCTTCGTCCTCACCACAGAAAAAACTTAGCCAGTCTTTATCCAAATCAGTCAATTTCACTTTTGGAAGAACATTTTTGTATCTGGGGAAATCTAAGGGTTTGGATAGAAGAGCAGCTTCAATTTTGAATCGAGAATGCGCAAAAGTACGCGTACATATAGTAGCAGGAGACGGGAAACTCGTCTATCCAGTTCCAAAAATGATGATCAATTGGAAGAGGAGACTCAGAAACAACCATTGAAAAAAACTAAAAGTGTAAAGGAAACGCGAGGTGAAACGGCAAAGCGTTCATTTCCCTTGGGATCTGTAGTTTTGGCAAAGATGGATAGCTATCCATGGTAAAACAACACTCGATGGAGAGTGATACTAATACTTTTGTTCTAGGTGGCCTGGAATGATTATTTCAGAGGAATACCTTCCTAAGAATATGAGCAAAAAACCAAGAGGAGCATGTTTGCCAGTACAGTTTTTCCCTGATAATGATTGGTAAGTAATTTCAGTAATGCTCAGTTTCATTAACATACCAGTGGTTGGGTAAAGCTGTCTGCTTTACAAAACCTGACCCCAGAAATGGTTTCTGAGGCTCTAGGCAACAAAAGAAAGCTTTTGGAAGGCCTAAGGCCAGCCAAGCTTCAAAAGCAACTAGTGCAAGGCTATGAAGTAGCCCTGGATCCTCCTCGGTTTGACGAAAGTGACGAAAGTGTCGATGACATGGATGAGGAGGATGAGGAGGATGAAAACGAAGTTAAAGACGAAGACGTTTCCAGCATGGACGAGTTTTCGGAATCCTCCGTATCAGAGACAAAGGAATCATCTGTTGATGAAACTGAAGGAAGACAATCCAAACGCCTGCGGGATGCTTCAACACATATTTCACCGCCTCATAAACAAACTACCAAGGATACTGCACCGACGAAAACAACAGAAGATGCTCCTGAACCGAAGTTAAGATCTTCAAAACGTTTGCGTGGACATGCCATGCCTTCAATGGCAGAGCCGTCTAGTAGTGACGAGGATGACTTGTTGGAATCTTCTGAGAACACTGTGTATGATGAAGAAAGGGACGATGATTCAGATGCATCGTCCGTCACTTCAATGGAAAGTATTGAATCTTTAAGCGAAATGTATGATGAGGCAGAACCTTCCAACTCCGCTGCTAATGCAGAGGACACTGATGTACCGAAAGTTGCTCGTCGTTCTCGCCGCCGATTTGTGAAAAAGAAGCCACATAGTATTTACCAGCCCAGAAATAAACAGGCCATGACGAAGGAAGAACTAGCTGAGTTCCCTAAGCGTCATGCAAGTGTCATTAGCGAGCTGCTTGCTGATCATACTCGAGAACAACGCATCCTATTCCTGCGGCACAAACTGCAAAACTGTTTTCTGCGTCCCTTGCATGAACCTACCATGGCTGAGGTGATTAATTGTCGACTTTACCTTGCTGCGTTATCCGAGTTTCCTGGTATGAACTGGGATCTCATTCAGGCTACGAAAATCGCAAAAGTTTTAAGTCGCATCTTACAATTGGAAACCATACCGTTTGACGAAAAGGATATAATTCGCAACAAGTGCTCTCATTTACTAAATACACAGTGGATATCTCTGTTATCCGAATCGAGAAATAAGTCTCCTACCGCTACTAAAACACGCACTCGCACGAAATCCAAGAGAAGCAGGAACCCACAAAACAAATTCGAGGTCTCTATAGGCCCAATCGAAACGACATTGGATGCGAAGTCAAATGGGAACAGCTCTTCTACTACCTAAGTTTCCCCGCTTATTTTGACAACATATATCCATCGTTCTTCCTACGGAGAGTACAATACGACCCTAAGCATGGGAGTTGCTCTTCAACCCTGAGCAGCAAACAACCAGGTCAGTTCAACTCTAATTACCTGCAAACGGCTTCGTCGAACGAGACACATTGAGGCAGCAACCGATAGTCACCCTGGCCACACACAATACACAAACTTCTCCCCTATTCAATCACACCTCACATTTTAGCTGTCCACCGAGAAATCCATTTACCCAAGGTAATCTTTTATGGCTATGAGAAGTTGGTCATCTACTCTTCCTCCTCGGCGTTCTCAGCACCCTCTTGGGCACGGAGCTTTCTTCTTCTCACACGGCCGGGGCGTCCACCACCGTAGGGAGAAGTGAGGGCAAAGTCAATGTGCTTTTGAGAGTCCAAACGAACAACGAAGGAGGGGACATTGACAATTTGCTTACCAACACGGATGTGGCGTTGACGGATCAAGACACGAGCGTGGTGGATAGACTTGGCAAGACCAAGCTTGAAGACTTGGGTTTGGAGACGACGCTCCAAGAAGTCCTCAATACGGAGAGCCAAGACGTAATCCAACTTCATACGGGTCTCGTCCAGGATACCCAAACGAACAAGACGACGGATAATAGCGTTACCCTCGAAGAGACGCTTAGGGTCCTTCTCGTCCAAGGTCAAAAGCTCACGAGCAGCACGACGAATCTTGGAGAGGGTAAGGGCAACACGCCAGATTTCGCGCTTGTTTCTCAAGCCATACTCACCAGCCAACTTGAGCTCGGCATCAAGACGAGCCGACTCGTAGGGACGACGGGGAACCTTGTAAGTCTTTGATTGCTTACGGGGAGCAGAAGGCATGGTTGGGTGTGCTTTGGGCTTGGCACGGTATCGTGTAGGCAAAAAACACCAGCGTGACGGTGTTATTGTTGTTGTGTTTAGGTTAGGGTTCGTGACGGTGGGAAATTGAAGGGGGTCGGAGAATATCGTTCTTCCCTTTACCTATATCATGAACGGACTTACACCAATAAAGTTGTGGCTTAAGCAGATGCTTAACGAGTATAAACTTGTTTTATAGATTCGTCTTTGTTTCTCTTCTCTGGTTTCGGATACCTTTTTATTAAACAAAACCTCGATTTTTTGTTGTTTTTTTGTTTTTTTTTGTTTTTTTTTGTTTTTTATCGATTTTTTGGTTTTCAACTTTTATTCCGCATTCATATAGCTTCCATTTCCATGCAATGTGTTCAGAAAAAAACGGAAAATCCCCGAAAGGGTCTACCTACCTTCCAGGCCGCCTTTATTTCTTCTGCTGTTAGTAGTGTTGTTGGGTTTCCCTTTGATTCGATAAAAGTGAGACAGCAAACATACAAGTTTCCTTCTATTCTAGCATGTGCACGCCATACCTTACGAACGGAAGGATGGGGCGGCTTTTATCGTGGTATGACAATGCCTCTCATCTCAACAGCCATTACACGCTCTATCTCGTTCACTCTTTATACTGAGAATCGAAAGCGGACCGCGTTTCTGAATCCCTACCTCTCTCCATTTGTTTCTGGATTATGTACAGGCGCATTAATATCAATATTTGCCTGTCCATTTGAATTTAGCAAGCTGTACTCACAGCTTGATGTTCTAATGAAGGCATCCGACCCCACCTATAAGTCAACTGCTAAGTCGCAAAAGCCCTTGTCTTCGCTCCAAAGCGCTCGAGACATTGTACATCGTCGCGGATTCACAAAACTTTGGACTGGTCTTCCCTACCATGCAATGCGAGACGGTTTTGGTTCAGCATGGTATTTCGCAATTTACGAAACCCTTCGTTTTCGACTACTTCAGACTGGGATATCGAAACACGCGGCCTATGCACTGTCTGGTGCCTTTTGTGGTGCACTTTCGTGGATTCTTGTTTTTCCCGTGGACACCGCGAAGTCGCTTGTGCAACGAAACGCACTTCTTAAAAAGAGCACTTCACTTAGTAGTATTCCCTGGTTTACTCGTGCAATGTATCGTGGTATATCCATCTCTCTCATCCGCAGTGCCCTTCTTAATTCGTGTAACTTTACTCTTTACGAACTCTTTCGTTCTATCGAGCGCAAATCTTAGCAACAAAGCACGGTGCTCCAGTTTTGACTACATTTTTTATTACACTCTCTTTCACGTAACTACAGTATTTATTCTCTTGAAAATGGCAATTTGTCACTGCATGCATTTCGTTTCGCTTAGATAACCTTGTTGCCATATTTATAGAGTTTAATTAAGGTTTAATAAACGTTCGCATAGATAAGAATTTCCTCACATCCTTTTGCCTCCCGCATCTGTCAAGAACAAACTGCACAAAAACATGTTTCGCGGCGTATGTGTCGGGTTCTATACAGTTTCTGACTTTGTTTAGGTTGTAAGGAACTTTTCTACTACAATTAGGCGCAATTCCGGTACGATTTGAAGAAAGAATGAAGTTTACTAACTCTCTCGTAGACGTCATTCAAGAATTGTATCTTTCAACCTTGAGTAAGGAGACATATGGCAATTGAAACCAATCATACTGTTACTAACTTGTTAAAGAGGCATACAAACCGAAACCCATCACTTCAATTGCCATTACACCCAAAGAATGGGTCCCCCCACCTGTTGCGAAAGCACCAATATACAGTATGGACGCCTCTGCGTTGGCTGATTACAAGTTTGAAGGAATTGATACAACTCCGGAAAAACTTAAAGAAATTGTGGAGACACCTAGTGAGACTGAATCCGACGGTCTAAATCAACTTCGTTCCTTACGACTCTAATGCTTTACGTACAAGCACTATAAAGCGTTCCCCCCTGTCTTATTCTTTTTTATGATTTTTTCCCCTACCGCTGCGGTTCAAAAAATATTAGTTACTTAAGTAATATCTTTTTTTTTTTTTTTTTTTTTTTTTTCGTTATGAATAATTTGTAAACCAATATTTATTACAAGTAAACGATAATACAGAGTAAAAAGGTGATGAGTATTTTCTTCCAACAGACAATATAATTTCGTCATTAAAAAGCCTAGTATAGTTGTTTCATACATTTAATTTGCTAAAAGTACGGTTTTCTGCTTATTTACAGAGATTTTTACTTTTTACGCGACGCGTTTTTCATTTCGTGGCATGACGTATGCACAAAGGGACGCGTATTCTCAGAAGAATGGGCAGTAAGAACCTATCTTCTACCAACATTGCCATGGAACAAGCATTCGCAGCAAAGTTCCCTGATGTGGACCGAACAGTTTTACATTACTGTTCTGGTTTTTCCAGCGACGCTTTAAAGGATGTGGACCAGGTAGCTGAGCAAGTTATCGCATTTATTTCGAATTTGCTTCTTGACGCTGGTGCGGATCAAAACGGCGTCAAATCCATCCAAAAAGAGCTGGAGGAGAAATTTCATGAACGCGAACAGAATGTTGATATTTTGGAGAAGAACAAACTTGTTCGTTTGAAGGAAACTATTCGTATGGACAATGAAGCCGAGATTTCATCCACTCTGGGTCTCGTTGGAGACAAGGTCGACCTTGGTGCAGTCAAGGGAAAAACAATCGAGACGCGTGTGGATAAGCGTAAACTTGAAAAGGCTGAACGCAAGATTCGTGCTAAGTGGGAAAAACGTACTATTAAGGCTGAATATGAGAGTTCCAAGCTTATTCAACCCGAACAAAAGTCTTACGAAGAGTTCTATATGAGCGTGAACCCTCTTGATTTGACTGGTAACAACCAAGGCAAGAGCAAGGATGTTAAAATTGACGGCATCGATTTGGCTTTTGCTGGCAACCGTATTTTGACGAACGCTTCTTTGACTCTGGCACAAGGCAGACGCTATGGTCTGACGGGTCGAAATGGTGTGGGTAAGTCCACTCTGCTTCGTGCTTTGTCTCGTCGTGAAATCGCGGTTCCTACTCACATTACCATTTTGCACGTTGAGCAAGAAATTACGGGTGATGATACTCCCGTCCTTCAATCCGTATTGGATGCCGATGTGTGGAGAAAATACCTTCTTAACGAACAAGCCCAAATTAATGAACAGCTCGCAAACATTGAGCGTGAGTTGGAAGAGCTTGCTCAAGACAAGGACGCTGATCAGGCCGTTGCCAGACGGTTGGAACGTACTCGCGATGACCTGGATGTCCATCTTATGGATATCCAAAACAAACTTGCTGAGATGGACTCTGACCGCGCCGAGTCTCGTGCTGCCACAATTCTTGCTGGTCTTGGTTTCGATCAAGAAATGCAATCCCATCCCACAAAAAGCTTTTCTGGTGGTTGGCGTATGCGTTTGTCTCTCGCTCGTGCTCTGTTCTGTCAGCCCGATCTTTTGCTTCTTGATGAACCTTCCAACATGCTTGACGTTCCTTCTATTGCATTTTTGGCAAACTATTTAAAGACTTACAAAAATATCGTTCTTGTTGTTTCTCATGACCGTTCATTCCTTAATGAAGTTGCTACTGATATCATTCATCAACATTCCGAGCGTCTCGATTACTACAGAGGTAACTTCAGTCAGTTCTACGCAACCCGTGAAGAGCGTCGTCTCAACCAACTCCGGGAATACGAGAAACAGATGGAGTACAGAAAGCACTTGCAAACTTTCATCGATAAATTCCGTTATAATGCAGCCAAGTCCTCAGAAGCACAAAGTCGTATCAAAAAACTCGAGAAGCTTCCCGTACTGGAGAAACCTCAAATGGAAAACGAGGTTGCCTTTGAATTCCCTGTTGCAGAGAAGATTTCTCCTCCTGTGCTTCAAATGACCGATGTTTCGTTCGAATATGTGCCAGGTCGTCCTGTCCTGCGGCATGTCGATATTGATGTTCAAATGGATTCTCGTATCGGTGTCGTTGGTCCTAACGGTACCGGTAAGTCCACAATGCTTAAATTGCTGATTGAACAACTTCGGCCAACCTCTGGTCTCGTCAGCCGTCACTCGAGACTGCGTATCGCTTACTTTGCCCAACATCACGTTGACGGTTTGGATCTGAATTTGAGTGCTCTTAGCTTCTTGGCGAAAGCATTCCCCGGCCGCGGCGAAGAGGAGTATCGCAGACATTTGGGTTCCTTCGGTGTCACCGGTCCCATGGCACTTCAAAAGATGGTTACACTTTCTGGTGGTCAGAAGTCTCGTGTGGCATTCGCTTGCCTGGGTCTGCAAAATCCCCACATTCTTATTCTTGATGAGCCTACTAACCATCTGGATATGGAGTCTATGGACGCTCTTACTCGTGCCATCGACAAATTCAACGGAGGTGTGATTCTCGTTTCGCACGATGTTGACTTCTTGGATAAGACCTGCACAAGCATTTGGGAATGTGATCATGGAACAATCACCAAGTTCGACGGCACGATTGCTCAATACAAAAAGCATTGTTTGGAGACACAACCTAATATGACAATCAAGTCGGTCTAATTCCATACTAATAAAAGATAGAATTTTTGTCGGAGGCCGTGTTGTCGAAACGAAGCCTGTACTACGCATATAAAGCTTTACTTAGAACAGAGAAAAATCTTTTATTAACAAGAAGGAGAAAATAACGGAGAATGATGACAAGGTGGATTACGGTTGACGAGAATGAAGTTAACAGACGTGAAAGAACACGCCAAAGGGGGAAGGATCGTGAAAAGCGAGAAGGGCATCCAAGTACACAACGGTTTTTCCCAACAACTACGGTATCCGAGGAGCTGAAGTTGGATTATGACGAGGCAGGACTGGCCGAGGAGGGGAAGACTGCCGTTTGGGCAACACGTTTTGCTTTTCAGGACGAAGTTTAGAAACAGGAGGCCGAATGACAGATGCTTGTGGAGTCGCTGGAACAGGACAAGTGGTGCCGGTTGGACGTGAACTCGGAAATCGGAATGTGGACGAGAGTGGTTTGTTTGGTTTGCCCTGCCGGTACATGCTCGCCTTTTTCATAAAATCACATTTGGCGCGATTCATTAAACTGCTAGTCGGCGTGTAAGTTGGAAGAACAGTGCGACCACGTTTCCGCTGTTGAATAGATTTCGGATCAAATTCTAAAGAAACAATACGTTTGTGTTGTTTGTTTTGCTCGAGTTTTGTGTAAGCACTACGAAGTTTCTTCGATGCCAAGTTGTACTGAGCATTCCGCCGTTTCTTAAAATCTTCATAAGCTCGTCTCCAGTCTTGAATGTTTGAAGTGTCTTGGTCTGTAATGTCTAGTCCGAATTCTCGATAGACGTGGACCTTCCATAGACCCTGTGTGTCGTCTCGTAAATGTGGAGAGTTTTGTTCCAATCGTATCAAGTGGTCTGGGCGAGCACACGCTAAAATAGGCTCGACCAGCGAGAATGGGTGGTCACCAAGGTCCTCGATATCCTGTACATATCGTTGAGCGACCTTCACACAAAGGTCTTGCAAACTTGGTACAGTCATGGAATTGTCTAAACCCTTAAAAAAATGCCAACCTTGTCCTTGAAAAATAAAGAAAATAAATAAGTCTGACTGCTCTCAGAGCGAGTTTCTGTGGTTCGAAGAAAAAGTTTTGACGAAAAGCTCCCTCTTTAACAGAATACACCAAGAAGGGGGATTCGTTAACGAAGGTCCCTGAAAGACCTGTGCAGGTTTCGGCGTCGATTTCACACTTTTTGAGACTTGGCAGGCGTTCCGTTTTGTTTTGAAAACCATCCACTGCAACTTTTTGGTGGTGAGTTTTGGAGCCACTTCCACAAATATAATTCAAGGTTTGGTAATGATCGACGTTTGATCGACATTGGGAGTGTCGATCATTCAAAACTCACCACCAAAAAGCTGGGCTGAGAATTGCGAAAACAAAAAGTCATCCTAGCCGTCTGAACCCTTGGGGACGTGAACAGTAGATATAACATTATTTTATTTAGCTACTTTTTGTCTTTCATTAGGTGGTGTGAGATAGCTTCTTACAAAAATGTCTAAAACAATCGGGCCTGAGGTTACACGAATTTTGTTTGTGAAAAACTTATCGTTTAAGGTCACTCGAGACGATATGTACGAGTTGTTTGGTCGCTTTGGACAAATTCGTCAAATTCGTCTGGGCAATGCAGTCAACACCAAAGGTACAGCTTTGGTCGTCTACGATACGGTGGCCGACGCCAAACTGGCCTGTGATAAACTCTCTGGTTACAACTTTATGGACCGCTATTTGGTTGGTAAGTATATAACAGTATTACTGGGACTCATAATTAACGTTTCCAATTTGCAGTTCACTACTGGAGTCCAGAGAAACAAAAAGCCGACGGTCAGGATTTGGCAGCACGATATGCAGCTTTAGAAGAGGCAAAACGAAAATACGGCATCCATTAAAAGATTGAAAACGGACGGATGGAAGACGGGTAAAATACACTGCACGTACTAAAGAACATTTCATGTAACTGCACCCCACGCACACTCCCCTCCCCCTCCCACCAACGGTTTGTAGTAAGAACTGTTACTGTAGCTATTATACACACGATCCCAGAATGCCCAAGAATAAATGATCCCTGCAAGAGAGTAGCAGCAGTTGGTGTTGTCGCACTCCCTTGCTTTTTTGTTTGCTTTTTCTGTGTTTCTGATACCAAAAAATGACGGTCAGTTTGACAACCATCTCCTTACTAGAGGTAATGAGCAAGTTTCCAGAATCCAACACGACCGGCTTCATTACCAACACAGAGCTCACCTCCCTTGCCAAAGATGACGGCTGTGACACGGCCAAGAGGTGTTACACTGGTGGGCCAGTTACGGAAGGTGGTGAAGCTGGGCACATGATACAGACGCAAAGTGTCCTTCTTACCGCGTGACGCGGCAAGAAGCACTTGGCCGTCGGTTGAAAAGGCCAGAGAGTTGATGCTGAAGGTGATATTGTCCAACGTTGCTATAGCTTTAGGAGCATCGTTGCGAGCCAGCTCGTAAACATTCACGATACCACTCTTACTGCCAATGGCCATATAGCGGTTCTTCGAATCAAGACTAAAGCGCGTCGTTGCCACAGCGTCCTGAACGTGCCAGCGACGAACAATCGTCTTTGCCTTGATGTCGAACTGCCAAACTTCTGCTTCATAGCTCAACACGAACAAGTTGGCACCATTCGAGTCGAAAAGCACATCGGAAATAGTGCCTTCAATTTTAAAGTTGGTCACAAATTGACCAGTAAGTGCATCGAGCATGTTCACATAGCCGTTCTTGCCCTCCAAGGCCATAAACTTTCCAGAAGGGTCGAGGTGGAATCTTTCCATACTGGGTTGCAAGTCTTGGTGGCCATAAATACGGCTGACCTTTTGTACTTTTGAAGTCTCTAAATCCCAAATGTAGAAGTAACGACGGCGACCACCAGCAATGACATGCTTTCCATCAGGGTGGAAGGCTGCTGTTTGGAGATCGGAGCTGCGCAGATGCATAGACGTGAGTAGAGGATTGGTACGGCCGTCAAGTTGGTAAATACGCAACGTGCGGTCGAAACCACAAGTAAGCAGTAATGGGTAGATAGGATGTAGGCTCATACACCGAATACCGCTGTGAGATGGAGATTGGAAGTTCGCGTCCTTCAAACGTTTGATATCAATCTGTCCAGGCTGCAACACAGACGTTTTCTTTGCCGCATATGACACGGAGGACTGAAGAATTTCTCTAAGAGACGAGGGCAGTACACTGGCTTCACTCAAAGAAACTTCCTCGTCGGAATTCTCACCATCGTCGTCTGTTTTCTTTAGTGCCCATTTTGGTTTGGGATATATACGCTCGAACTGTACTCGCAGACGAGCTGAATACTGCACTCCATTCAGCATGTTTTCGTCCTCGTACCGACGCAGCTTCCGGAGGCGAGCATTGTCCAACAAAGAGACCTCGACTCTTTCATCATCGCTATCGTGCCAAACGGCCTCCTCCTGCTCTTCTTCAAAGTCCTCGTCTTCTGACGCATTGCTAAGCATATCCACATCTCGAGTAGCGGCGTCTTCGCTGTCAATTTTGCTTGGTTCACCGACGTCCATCATAAAAAGCTCAGAATCGTCCAAAAGCGCGACATCTCCATTTTCTTCCTGTTCGGAGACTTTACCACCTTCATCTATTTGCACCTCCTCATCTTCTGCACCCAAATTTTCTTTAAACTCGTCAAGATTGCCGAAAATGGCCTCCTCGAGTCTGAGTTCTTCAGCGTCCTTTCTCGATTCCGGCTGTTTTTTTTCACGCTTCTCCTTCACCGTGGAGAAGTCGAGGAACTTATCTCCTCCCTTTGAAGATGTACGTGTTTTCTTCGCCATTTGAACGAGATGAGAGAAGCTTGCAGACAGACGGTTAGTGCGTCGCCTGGCAGTAGTACACCGAAGCAGCAAAAAAGAGTTAGTACATTCTCGCTTATTTTAAGGTTATTTTTGGTGGCAGTTGTGGGCGAATGATCGACAGGGGGTAAACCAGTATTAGTAGCCTAAATAAGCTTTTTTACGCGTACACCTTCATGCAACGCGTATCCAAATGAACAGTTTCACAATCCTTGCTGCAGTAGCCAATTCCGCAGTTTTGACAAGCGTAGACACCCCAGTAACCGCATACGCCACAGAATCTGCGCGGAGCACGTTTAGACGGGCGTGAAACACAGTTTTGGTATTTGTTGTCGGGGGTTTCGTCGACGTAGTTCACGAACGTCTTCTTCGAAGTGAGAATACGACGAATTGTGATGGGAAACGACCGGTGTGATACTTTCACATGTCAGTAACAACGTCTTCATTGATAAAGCGTACAAAGTTCTTTGGCTACGTCAAATCGTAGCTCCATAGAAGGTTCCTTCTCCAATTCTGCCAAATTGCGGCGAACGTGCAATTCACGCGTAGCTTCATCGACAATTGTCTTCACATTTTACATTAGCAATAGAACAAGAAAAAAACACGACTTACACGCTGCTTTGTGCGTTTTGTCTTGCTCACATGAGAAGCAACCGCTGAGACAAACATGGTAAAGGCCAAGTTACAGGTCACGGGAAATTGCAACTTTAAACCACTCGTTACGATAAGAGAGGTCAGGAACCAACCACAACCACTACAACCACCACAGCCGAACACCAACCGAGCAAACAACCAATCACAACACCACACAAATGTCACCACGAAATACCTACAATTTTCCCGTCGAAATTAGCTATGGAAGCTTAAACACGGCCATTAGCGGCAGCAGCCTTAGCACGCTTAGCAAGCATGGCCTCGGTCTTAGCACCCATGATGCCACCACCCCACTTACGACGAGCCTCGTCGTACTTGTCGTTGAAGTTGGCTTGGACGGCTTGAGCGACAGAAGCGAGCTCGCTCTTGTCCTCGGCGCGGACCTCAGTAAGGGCCAAGACGGTAGCAGTCTTCTGGTGAACAACAGTACCCAAGCGAGCCTTGTTCTTCACGATGGCGTAGGGAACACCCATCTTTCTGCACAAGGCGGGAAGGAAAACAACGAGTTCGATGGGGTCGACATCGTTGGCAATGAGAACCAAGCTAGCCTTCTTAGCCTCAATAAGGGCAACAACGTGGTTCAAGCCAAACTTGACAGTGTAAGGCTTCTTGGAAACATCCTGGGCAGTCTTGCCTTCGGCAACAGCTTGGGCTTCAGCAGTCAAGCGAGTCGTCTTCTCGACGCGAGTCTCGGGACGGTACTTGTTGAGAAGCTTGAAGACTTGAGTAGCAGTGTTCTTGTCCAAGGTGTTCTGGAACTGAGCAATTGCAGGAGGGACCTTGAGACGCATGTTCAAGATCTTACGGCGGCGTTGCAAGCGAACATACTCAGGCCACTTCATAAAACGGCTCAAGTCGCGCTTGGGTTGGATGTCTTGTCCAATACCAAAGGAGCGAGGACGGCTGACGAACAAAGGGTTCTTAGCCGGCTTGTTGGACGCCTTGGTTTGAGGGAAAGGCGAGGGAGCTACCTTCTTCGACTTGGGTGCCTAGAAAACTTGTTAGTTTGGAACTGAACTCATAGACTGACTTACCATTTTTTAGTGGTTGTTCGAGAGATCAGTTCGAACGCAGAATTAATTTTGGCTTCTCGTGACTGTTAAATTAGCCCTACCCTAAAATAGACTGCTTCCGCAGCTACCGCGGCCTCAGCCTCGGTAGGAAGCGAGAGGCAGGCGAAATATAGTTGGCACGTGGCAACTTTTAGTCAGTTGCCGGTGTCGCGTGCCTGGGGATTGAGAGTATGAGTGTGTGGAGAGTCGTTTGGGTTGGAGCCTAGCATGAAGTTTGGAGCGGGAACAGCTGGTCGTAGAAGTATTGTTTGAGAGATTATTTATCAATTGTTCTGTAGTAAACGCGTTGAATTAGTGAATATGCGGGTCTTGGAACCTTCGTGCGGTGATCTGAGCAGTAATATGGTTCATACGGTCTTTACGAGACCAGCTCGACATGCCGTACTAACGGTTTCCGATAAGCAGAACAGAGATGGGAGATGGGAGATGGGAGATGGGAGATGGGAAATGAGAGATAGGTGCGTTTATTGAATTGTGTTTTACTTTTAGAGTTCAGGTTTGTGAATGATTGTGCGATCTTTGAGGGAATGACAAGAAAGTAATGTCCTTATGTTTTCCTATGGTGATCGGATTGAAAAATGAAGGCGAAAGAAAATAGAGATGGAATGTAAGTGAGTTTTTCTGTGTTAATAAATGGATCGTAGGAAAAATGATATAAAATTAAATGATAAAATATTGGCATAATAAAAATAATTATAAAAAATTCATAAAAATAAATAAAAAAAAACAAAAAAAAAAACATTGTCATGACTTTAATTGAAACGATAACACAAACAGAAACCAAACATATGCCTACCGACTCCGCTCAACTTCGTCTATACAGTCCAGTGATGAGGATAGTTTCCTATGGTGACTGAGCACAACAATAAATTCAAACTACGGTTTCATTGTGCACCACATCAACATGAATTACTAATCTTTGCCTACACACCAAGCGGACCCTTGTAGTAGTACATGTCACAGCGATACATGTTCCATTCACTTCATTTACGAATTCGTACCCCCGCTCTCCCACCCATCCCACATTTCTCCACCTAACGAACTGGTCTTCTTCACCCGTCTCGACATCCGCCCCCACTCAACAATGTCTTACTACGACATTGACAGTATCATAGCAGAAAACCAGAAGATTCCATGCACCTGTCTCGTTTCTATCCCCGGGCTTGGTCACGAAGGTCGTGAGGTAAGAACCACCACTGAAGTCGCGCTGCTAACTTTGCTGTTTTAAGGTGTCCCAAGGGTCCAAAGTGGAGCTCCCCTTCTGGCTTGCAGAGGTGTTCGCTGTAAAGTAGGTTCACATAAGTGGGGGCCAGAGACACAGTTGCCCTCAGCTATGCACGCTTTCTTGCTAACCCCCACAGCTCCTTCGTGGATATCCACATGCCCCCACCATTCTCTTCGGTCGTCAGAAATGCGTTAAAGGCAAATCCAAACACGGTAGCTCTGCGCGATACCACGACTCACTTTTATCATTTCGCAGAACAACTTCTTCATGTTGTGTCGGACACTTCGCTGGCCGAAGTGGTTCTTGACACGCTGAGACAGCGCTCCATGGAAATTGCCGATGCTGCAGTCAACCCCCAAGGCGCTATTCAGCAGAACAACAGCTTCATTGAGGGTCTCGACGACTTTGAGCGATTGTGTAAGTATCACCGACTGAACTATCGACTGACGCTTCAGTGTTTCGGCTTGCCTACCTTAGTCATAGAGATATTGCCAGATGGCAGAAACAGAATTGAAGATGACTTTAAGAAGAAGAACATACTCACCGCAATATTGAAGGGACCTTGGTCGAAAACGAAACGACGTAGCACAAATAACAAACCTCAGACAAAACTTCGGAAGTACGAGAGACCATACACACAACTCAACTTAACATCACAAACCTATAGAGAAGCAAAATATAAAAAATAAAACTCGAATAATAATTTTAAACCTACCTAAGAATATAAACTAAATCCGACACAGTTAAAAAACACAACGGCAGACAGTTCACCCAAGCTTAGTTCTCAGAAAACGTTAATCAGCAATAGCGCCTTGTCACAGGCAATTCTCGTCAAGGTATACACTACGTAGACCGTCGTGATAAATTAAGTAACATCATAATAACGTTTCCTAAGAGCCAAAGCCTGAGTAGAACCATCCTCCTGAGAAATCCGATGCGAAAGAAAACAACAGTTCCAAACCAGCCGCAAACCCGCACACCAAGTCATTTCCATTCGCTTCGAGTCACCCATACAACTGCTCTTATCAGTCATGCACAAAGATGGTAGGTCAGACACGAAAAAGTCTATCTTCACGATATCAGACATATGCTTGTCTTTGTTTTTCGAATTCATCCTCCCAGCAACTTTAAACATGAGACAGAGAACAGTGACAGCTAAATACGAAGCTCACCGACCACAATGAAGCGATTCACAGAACTAATGATTGTTAGAAATTGATCAAAGAAAGAAAATGCTTCATGTTTGCCTCAGTAAGGCATGAATGGAATTTATAGAGTCGTTTCGTCATGGACATCAGACTCGTCATCTAGTAATTCCTCATTGGCAAAACTTATAGAAGCAGTAAGACTTACCATTCACAAATATACTGTCAAACAGCAACAGGACGAATGGATGGCTCAAGAAGCACGATCACAACCACCAAGAGACAACAACCAGACATTTACCGCACAACTCGAGCTAGGTTCAGGTTAGCAATTGTAACAACGAGAGATCCCATAAATATCACTTGTTGAAAGAGTTTGGACAAGTCAGTAAAAAGTTGCAGCACAATTTTTTCATCAGAGTGGGATTGCGGTCCCACTGAGACGGTAATTCCAAAAATGTTTGTATCATCATACAATCCAAACTCTTCGACCAAGGAAATTCATGGTTGAATCGGAAACATACCCTTCCATCCACCGAATAGAGCCAGCAAGACATGCACAAACACATAAACGCGTCCATCTGCAAAACTGTCAGTCACCTAGCCCAAAAGAACAATGACAGTCGCTGTTGTGCTCAGCAAGTAAGGTTGAGATCATGTGTTGTACATCACAAACTCTAGTTTGTTTGACAAAAACATCATTGCGTGCACGAGAAGACGCGCCGCGACCAGTCAGAGGAATTCACTTACGTTTATCCTGTGATTCGCCCCTTCGCCTGTGCAATCAAAGACAAGTAGATGAGTCGAATGAATGTAAGGCGAAGGACAACTTTTAGGAGGGGCGAAAGCCAGCTTTTATAGCATTGTGGAAGAGTTTCTCCGAAAACTCACCACCATGAAAATTTCTCCGTGACAGTCCCAGCACTGGAAGGGGCACAGCAGAACCGAACGATTCTGGCGGTAGGTAGCGACGAAACGAAGAATTGGGCAGAGGCTAGTAGCACTACTAGCGCCAGGTGAACCTGTAACGATGTGCAGCGGTTGTTAGCGCGCTTTCGTCGTTTCGGTTTAACACTGTACGCGTTACACATAGTATCTAAGGTAAAATAATAAAATTTCATTTCAATTCTTGAATAGTATTCGTGGATAATGTGGGAGAACACTACGTTTGTCATTCAACAACCTTCTGTAGCTAAATACATTTCCCTCGTTAATAATGTTGAAAGTTCGAAGACTGAGAAGGCAGATAGTTTTGTGCGGGATTGTAAACTCATCGCAAGCTGCAAAACCGTAAATTACAGCAAAACAAAAATATAAAAAAGGGCGTGCGTAGGAGAAGAAAAAAGAAGAAAGGGATAAGAATGGGAGTTATACGTTCTCTCCAGGCAAATGTTGACTTTCTCGCCAAATTTCGAGACGACCAGCGACAGTTAGCCGCTGAGAGTGCGAAGGGTGCTCTTAAACAGCCGTGAGAACCACCCATCCGACTGGTACTGATCCTCTGCAGCTGTTTTTGTGGACGAGAGATCAGTCTCTGTGTTGCTGGGAGGACTTGCGGGAGGCTCCGACACCGAGGAAGAACGATTTGGGAGTGTGATGTCGGGGGAGGAAGCCGACAAACAACCGGAGATACTTGCTGAAAGATTGCGGGTGTGACGAAGGGATGGACCGTCTTCGGACGCCGTCGAGGCAGACTCAATGTTGGAGCGATTGTCGTAGGATGACACACTCTGCAGTGTCGTCGCCGTCGTCGACATTACTGGACTTACACCAGCAGGGTATGGATGGACGCCAGAGGGAGAAGTGGTACGTGAGGGACGCTGTATTTGTTGCTCTGAGTCTGTCAGTGGAAGCTCACAGGCTAGGTCGCTATCACTCACACTGCCCGCGGCAACGACAGTCTCTTTGGGCGTAGGGGAAACGGGCGCGGAGGAATAGGCAGAAGTTTCTGGGGAGCTACTAGAGGCTGACGAGATGGGAGCCGTATTCGACTTTGATGGTGCCGTCTGAGCGGCAGCGGTTGTTGTAGTGTCTGCAGCAGCAGCAGCAGCAGCGGGTACTGCTACGGGAGCTGCTATACGAGGCGAGTCCTGCACATATTCACGGATGGGAGTGCGGACTTTTGTAGCTTGTCCCACACCCACATCCTCAACAAAAACATTTTCCTCGTCACTGTCACTGAACTGGTTGTCATCATCGTCGTCGTCGTAGTCTTCATCTTCTTCATCCTCATCGTAATGTTCAAAGTTGTTTACAGGTGACTCATCAAAGCTACTCGAATAATGGTCATCATAGTAGTTTCGTGGCTGCACGGCGACAGGAAACGTCCGTCGAGAATATGTGCCGGGAGGAGGAGCGTAATCATCGTCGTCATCGTAACCGCTCAGTTCGGCATACATGTCCTGCTTGGGTTCCTCCTCGATATACTCCTCAGAATCGAAACGGTCTCCATCGGCATCGACGCGCCCGGCATTGTACCGACTGCGAGCAGCGTAGCCATACGGCTTCGCACCGTTCTTCGCCCACAATACGCTCGCCGACAAGTGACCATACGGCTCGGGTTCGCGGACACCCTTGAGGGTTGAATCCGGCAACTTCTCAATGATGGGCCGGTGACGGCTGTGAGAGGAGCTGCTTGGCGGCGGGGACGAGGAGCTCGGAGGAGCCAAGGCTGTGTCATGGTACTCCTGGGACGAAGACGTCCGGGTAGCGTCGCTGTCTCCGTCGCCGCCGTCATCATCCTCGGTTGTGATCGCATCTGTGTCGGCATAGTCGACAGCGATGCACTGCTGAACGCAGTCGTTGAAGTGAATGCGTCGGGTGTTCTTCGAAGTAGTGCTCGACGAGGCAGAATCGTTGTTGGCACTGTCCTTCGCACTACTGCTGTCCATACGCGCAAAGGGCAACGAGGGCGAAGGGAGTTGGTAGCGACTAAACTCGCTTTTGGGCGACAGACGGAAGCCCAGGTTCCTGCCGGTAAGGAGCAATTCAGAGGCACTTCTGTGCTTCAGTATGGGCTTCATGGTGCGGTGTGGCGACATGCAATCCTTCGACTTGGAGCGCCGGCCTGGACTGCCGGGAACGAGGGGAGGAATACGAGAATTGGCGCCCACCGAGGCTGTTTCGTGGGGAACGTCGGCGGCGTGTGTCCGAGACGACGAAGACACGACATGGTCGAGCGAGTCCGGATGAGACAGCGACGAATGGAGCAACGGGCCATAGAGCCAGGTCACATCGCACTCTTTTAGCCAATTCAGGGTTTCCGGAGAAATAGTTTTGAGGTGATTTTTAGCTTTGGCCCACGTGCGCCAAGAGGCATTTTCGAGACGGATCCCGTTCTCGTAGTCGTTTTTTATTCGGGTTACCTCGCGCCAACTAGCCCAGATGTCGTCTTCTTTCCAGTCGTAGGAAAGGTAATCGACGCGAGTATACATGGTAGCGTTTTTCAGTTCACAATCGTCGGCCCCGACAAAGACAGGGCGTCGTACTGTACAATTGGTCCCTACGTGAGAGAGCTCGTGTGGACCCGGGGCATTGGTCGTAGTTATGGAGAGGGAAGAGGAGGATGATGTCGATGTTGATGTTGATGATGATGATGAGGTAGTAGCTGCTGCTGCTGCTGAACCAAGAACTGGCGGAAGACCCCGTTCGTTAGATTCTGGAGCTGACAGGGATTTAGTGGTGTCGTCATTTTCTTTTGTCTCTGAAGTCTTCGTGGCGTCTGACGCAGGCCCTGGATTCGCCTCAGAGATGACTGAAGCTGAATTGTTGTCCGTCTGGTCCAGTAGCTTTTGGGCGTCATCATAAAAACTGTGCCAGACAAGCGAATTTTTCGACGGTTCAGAAACACGACGACGGAGAGGAGGGCGGGTTGGGTGTGTGGAAGGCGGATTAGGTACTGACTCGTGATTGTTTGAGGAAGACGATGATTGAGGCATCAAGGCTGTGAGCAAAGGAACCGGGTGTCAAATTAAGCGTTTTCCATCGCAAGACGGTGGCGGGACGAGGGGCAGAATACACAGAATACAAAGCGAAAGCGAGATTTACAACGATCAGGAGTAAGAAAGGCAGTTGGAGAGAAAGAGGTAGCAGCCAGGTCACCGAGTCTGAAGACCGAAACACCAGAGGGATCGCCGAGCCTGCTCACCGAGAATAAGGAGATTTGCGGCGGAACGCTGTGCCAACAAGCGGGCAGGCGGAGTACTGGGCGGAGTATTAGGCGGACGGGTCCACCACACATGTGCATTCCCACCACCCTGTATCCGGAGAAGTGGTGTCCGGAAGCGTCTGCAAAGTCGCCGAGCAAGGTCACCGTCCCAGCCAGCATTGCAGCCCTGAGATCACCGAGAACCTCTCCGTGGCCCCCCTAGGCTGTAGTAGGGGCCCGTGATTTTCGGCCATCTCCGGCGAACCTGATCGGACTCAGTACGGCGAACCCTCGGAGGTGGATGAGGTCGTGGAGTCCCATACAAGGTCGGGATGCAGGAGGTGCTGCTGAACAAACAGGAGGTTGGGCAAATCGTTGGAATCCGCGCGTTTTTCAGCTTCTTCACGCGTTTTCGCGAGTCCCGCAAGCATGTGTCTTCGGACAAGTCGTTCACGGGCCGTAGCAACGTCAATGGGCAAGAAGACGCGGATATCATACATGCGAGCAGCTTCCGACCACGGAGGAAGGTCGAGCAAGAGGTAATTGCCTTCGAGAAACACCACCGTGTGGCACGGGAGCACTTCTATGTCCTTCTCCACCGGGTCTCCAACGCTGTGGTCAAACGACGGCGCATAGACCGGTGCGTCCGTGCGTTCGCGGAGTTGGTGCACGAGTGCACAGAACTTGGACGCGTCGAAAGTCCAATGAGCTCCGCGGCGGGCCCGCGCTTCTTCCGCGTTCTCCAAGGAGTCGAGGTAGGCAAGGGGGTAGTGGAAACCGTCCATGGGGACAGCAACAGCAGAGCCAGATTCGGAGCGCGTGTTCCATTGCTGCACGAGCTGCGCAACCAGCGTCGACTTTCCCGAGCCCGGGCCACCGGCGACAGCGACGAGGACGCGCTTTTGGTGGTGCAGACGCGCTTCTATGGACGAGAAGAGAGACATGGGGTATTGGATTGGGTGACGAGGGAGCCCACCCCAATCCCACTTGTGAAGACGCCCCCACGAGACCGCCACACGAATCCCACCTGAGAGAGGCGCCCCCATGTGGGCGACGAGGTCGCCCACATGTCGCCCACTTCCACCCCTTATCAGATATCGGCATCAGATACCGCGACTTTTCCGCCTCGCCCTTCCTCGCCACTGCGAGCGTCTCACGTTTGCGCAACCCGTGATGTCATATCCAACCGATATCGCGTCCTCATTCGTCGGCTATCGTAGCGTGCAGCAAATAAGGTTACTCAACTTCTTATCTGATGAGGAGTCCAGGGTTAGGGTTTGTTGACTTATATATGCGACTGCCTCACGGAGGTGTCCCCGTTACACCCGCCAGACACCGCCAACCCTCCGTTAGCTACGCTCGCATACTCCCACGGACCACAGGTGAAGCTTGAATCTCGAACACTCTGCGGAAGCCTTTTCATTAGACCCCCTCTTCTCACCCCCACATATTGTTCACATGCTCCGTTCTATCAGATTAACTCGCGTGCTGGCAAGTGCCCTTCCCGCGGCTAAGCACATTCTTCCCTCGGCTCGGCTGGCAGCCCGCCCCGCGGCGCCATCCCTCGTTTTCCCCGCGGCTCGTCGGCTCTATCACAAAAACGTCATGGACCACTACAACAACCCGCGGAATGTCGGCACGCTCCCCCAGAGCGACCCGAACGTCGGCATCGGCCTCGTCGGTGCCCCTGCGTGCGGTGACGTCATGCGACTTGCCATTCGCGTGGACGAGAATGGCGTCATCGAAGACGTAAAGTTTAAGACATTCGGCTGTGGCAGCGCAATTGCCTCGTCGTCCTACGTCACCACCCTGGTGAAGGGCATGACGTTGGAGGAAGCCTCGAAGATCAAGAATGTGGAGATTGCACGTGAGCTGTGTCTGCCGCCCGTCAAGTTGCACTGCTCGATGCTTGCCGAGGATGCTGTCAAGAGTGCTGTCAAAAACTACCAGGCCAAGCGTCTTGCGCGGCAGAACACGGCACCGGCTGCAAGCACCGCTTCTGCTGCTCCTGCTGCGGCTGCCCACTGAGCCAGAGGGCGGACGCAATCGCACTGAGAGGGCAGCTTGAGCAAGATGTACACACGGTGCACGCACAGTGCACGGTGTCTGTGATTGTTTCTGTTTTTTCAGTAAGTTCGTTTTGGGTGTTTGTCGCTGGCACTGGCAACCATCAGCGACAGCACTCTTGTGATGTCGACGTGATGAAAATGTTTTGGCCGAGAGGTCTGCCAACGTTTCTGCCCATGCGTTGGTTTTGTTTCTTGTTTAATAAATATTGGGTTTCGGGTTAAGTGGGGTCGAGTGGGCGGTCAGGTGGGGTGTGGGGGAAGAGGAATTGTTGCAGTGTTGGGTGCCGTTCATTAGTAGTAACATTACAATAGCATCGTGCCTGGATGCGGATATTTTTCGTCTGGTATCCCGCCAGTTTTGTCGTTCTCCTCGTCTTCTTCGTTTCTTCGTCTTTTCGTTCCCTTCATTCTCTCCGTCCTGCCTCACGCAAACTCGCCCGTGAACAGCCGGGCGGTGCGGTCGAAACCGCTGGACACGAGAACAGGACCTCGCTTCTTGTCCACAATGCTGGCGTCCACGGACATTACTTTGGACTCGGGGATCTCAAAGTCGTGAACAAGCGACCAGTCAAGCGTGTCCCAGACACGAACGTGTCCGTCGTAGCCGCTGGTGACGAGACAAGCAGCTTCGTACTCCGCGCCTCTGACGAAGCGAACGTCGGAAACAAGGCTTTTGTGAGCCGGAATCATGCATGACTGTGTGACCTTTCGTACGTCCCACACACGGGCTGTGTCGTCCACCGAACCGGTCACCAGCTGATAGCCGTTGGGTGCCCAGTCCATGCACACGATGGCACTGGCGTGCGCATCCAGCACCATGACCGATTGGCCCGTGCGAACGTCCCACACGCGGCCAATGGCATCCAAACCACCAGACGCCAGCAAAGATCCGTCGCCCTGCCAGGCTACCGAAGCAACTCCCTCAGCGTGACCCTCCTGCATCAGCAGCTCCGTCCCCTGCTCCACATCCCACATCCGCCAGGTTGTGTCATAGGATGCGGAGGCGAGAAGCGTGCCCCCAGGGTGAAAGGCCACGCGACCAACACGTGCAAGGTGACCCCGCAGGACGCGAAGCGGGGTAGCGCTGGCACCCGACCACAGACAAACAAGGTTGTCGGCTGCCCCGCTAGCGAGACAGACGCGTTCAGAGTTGGAATCCCAGCTGGAAACGGCAGGATGCCAGTCCACGCCGCTGACTCGGTCAGTGTGTCCCCGGTACAGCCGCTGTTCGGACATAGATGTCGTGTCCCAGATCTTGACCTGCCCGCTCCAGTTACCACTGGCGAACATTTTAGCGTCGCCCGTCAGTCGCACGACCGACGTAGGCCGTTCGCCGACAACTTGTGAAGCCACCGGCTCCACTTTTCGCCAGACATCCACAGCGTCACGGTGGGCAACGAGCTTTTCTGACGCCGGCTCAGCGAATCGAACTCGCTCCGCCGCCAGCCGCCGCGACGCCCGCTGCAGCGAATCTCTCAGCAACCATTTCCGCGTTTCTAGAAGTTCGGGTGTGCCGCGGATATAGCTCTCGGATTCCGCGTCTACGTCCATCGATTCCGCGGGTGACTCGGTTGTGGTCCGCGGAAACCCCGCCTTCTCCGCGGCTTCGTACATGAGCTGCTGCAGGCGTAGACGGCGGTCGAGCGCGTTTTCTCCAAACAGCGTCACAGGCTGTTTCAGGGCCCTGAGAGCCTCGCGGACGCCGACATCTTCGACGGGGACTTTGAGCTCGGCGAGACGGGTTTCTCGTTCTTTTTCCGCAAAATACGCGGCCTGTTCTTTGGTAGCGCGCGTCCTTCCCTCCGTGAACGCGCGTGTTTCCAGGTCCTCCAAGCCGATTTGTTGGTTCATGGTGTGTATTAGGAGAGGAACGCGAAGCGTAGAATCATGTAGCGAGCTGAAGTGAGCTGTCTTATTCTGTATAGTGGAGTGCGAAGTGCTTTCTTAAGATGAATAACGAAGCATGGGGAGGTTTGCTGTGGTACATAAAACTGTTTTGCGTAGCACCTTACACTTCGCTATTGTAACTTAATGGTATACACACCAACACCGTATCTGGTTTACCACACCCTCCTTCAACCGTCCTATCCTGCTTACCACACCCTCCCTGCACCCCACTATCCCCCTTCCATACTGGATATTACCATTTCCACGAATATGCGGCGTTTTACTGTTTTGAGCTTATTTTCGCTTGCGGCATGCTCCTTATTGAATTACGAAGATGTGAGTTCGTAGGAATTGGTTTTCGAACGAAGAAATTCTGACGGGTTTTAGATATTTGCCTACCCAAAGTATTCGTTTGTCTGGAGCACAGATGAATTGACAAAAGAACGTGCCGAACAGCTGGTTCAGGAGACTCCCGAGACTCAGAACACACAATATCTTCGTGTCGGCAACGAAGAGTTTCTCTGTACATATCCTCAATGGAAAGGTGTCATTGAGACTTTCAACAATGGTGCTTCGCACAGCACTGACGACGAAGTCGTAGAACAAGGACTTCAGGCTATTCGGACTCTCGGAGGAGTGTGTTTGTTAGACGTATGTTGAACGGGATGGGATCTGATGTGGGTCTGAGACCCTTTCATCAGCTTTACGCTTGTCATTTCCTTTCCCTTTTTTTTTTTTCTCTCGAATCTCACTAACACATTCTTAGCCCAATGGATACTGGACATATGAGTATTGTCACGACACCTCCATTCGTCAGTTCCATTACGAAGATGACAAGCAAGCAGCACAAAATTATTATGACTTGGGTATAGCTCCCGTAATTGAAAGAAGCAGTATTGGTGCTTGGACCGTTCGCAAGTCCGGTACTAAACGTTCTCTTCAAATAGAATGGATCAACGGCACAAAGTGTGATTTGACGGGAAAACCTCGTCAGACATTGGTTCAGTACGAATGTGTCGATGACGGTGACGCTCCACGAATTGCTTGGTACACTGAGCTTTCAACGTGTTCTTATTCCATGACGATTCACGTCCCTGCTTTGTGCGGATTAGAACCCTTTCGTCGGTCGGACCTTTCTGATGTGCAGAATATCGTTTGCCATCCAGTTGTTGAAGTCGCGACTTCAACAAAAGAAGAGGATGATGAGAAAGAAGAAAAAGAAAGTGCCCCCAACGAAGACGCCGTCACTAATGTTGACGAGTCAAAACCGGTTTCTACGTCTATCTCTTCGGTTTCCCTTCCCTCTTCTTCTTCTGTCTCGATAGACGAATTGTAAATGTACTACATGGATTCTCTCGTCCTCTTAACGCACACGTTTCCCCTCTACCATGTCTACTATACCCCACCTCCCTTCAACATCACTCCTACCACCCTTCGTGTAGTTATATTCCTTCAAGAAGACGGTTTTGTTTGACGCCGTCTACTGACGAATGACTTGGATGTGATTCTTCTTTTGAAACTCGTTAAACTCTTTTTCGAGCTGCTTGTACTGTTCCACCAGTCGCTCCATGGCCGTTTTAATCTTCAGAAAGGTTAGCGCGTCAGTTACATATTGCTTGATAGCGTGTGCATGTGTATGTATGTATGTGTTCCATACCCCGTTACTTGTAGTTTGAAGAATAGGAAGAACCGTTTCGACTTTACGTTCGGCCAGCACACCATTGATCATTCTGTAGCACTTTCTATCCTTGTCCGTTTTCTCCAGCGTGTCAATTACCAACCTGGAGTATGTGTAAGCAATTGAACTTGGGCTGTGAAAAACATACTTGTGTTCATCTAAATCCGTCTCCAAGTCAACGATTTTTTGCGCAACTTGCTGCAGGTTTGCTTTGTACGCATTGTACTGAGATTGAATGACTAAAACGTTACGTTAGAATATTTGTTTTTATGAAAAGTTAAGCCTAAGCAGGACTCTTGGGGAACTGCTCACGACGTGCCTTCTTGGTGACTTGGTTTCCCGGACATATTCTCCACGATAATGAAACAAATGAAACAAAAAGTTGCAGTTGATAGGTGTTGTTTTTGTTTCTTGTCTACTTTCTATCGAGGCAGGAACAGCAGCAGGAGTAGGTCTCGATAAGATAAGATAAGATTGCGATCAACTTTATTTAGTTTAAGCGGCAGTAATCTTTGACAGGGAAAACGAGACTTGCTGAACGAAAACATAATTTCATAAAAATCCAAAAAGATCAAATAATTTATTGTTCTAAGGGGTTGTTTAATCGTGCGTAACTCCATTGTGGACCATTGTTCGTTTCCTTCACATTTTTCATTCTAATCCATAATACAGGAATACACGGCCGAGAAGGTACAAGCTACCACAAACAATCACATTGTTTGGGGTTCTCTCAACCGCGTAATCGATGGCTCCGTGCCAATTGTCGGAGAATTCCTCACAGGGAAGATTGAGAGAGGCGGCAATTTTGGCGATAGACGCAGTTGGCTTTGCATGAATCCACGGCATACCCGCAACATCTGGAAAAGTAGTAGCGGCAATACAATCGCCAGGCTTCACAAGAGTCTTAATAATCCCCAGAACATCCTTTGTTGAGGTGAAAGCCATTACCCATGTAACTGACTGACCGGGTTTACGGTGCTCCTCAATATACTTAGAAAGCTCAATGGCGGCATTTTCATTGTGCGCACCATCAAAGACAATTCTGCCCACGTCAGGAAGTTCTTGAATGTCAAGACGTCCCGGCCAGTGTGTGTGCTTTAAACCGGCTACAACGTGAGGAAGCATGAGTGGAACAGAGTTGGAGATAATATCAAGTGCAGTAACGGCACATGCCAGATTAGCGCCTTGGTAAGCTCCGTTAAGACTCGTTTCATAAACGTTTTCACCCCAGTTGGGCGTGTTGACGATCCATTTGTGTTCATCGTCCTTGACCGGTTGGGCCGTAACAGCATGCACAGGACCGGCAGACAACGACTCGGCCACTTGACGCACAGCATCCAAAACGGTAGGATCGTTTGTACCATCAATGACGCAAGGAACTTTGGCTTTCATGATTCCGGCTTTCTCTCTTGCAATTTCAGCAAGCGTATTTCCCAAGAAGAACTGGTGATCAAGACCAATCTTGGCGAGTACAGACACAAGTGGCTCCTCAAACACGTTTGTTGCGTCCAATCGTCCACCAAGACCCGTCTCGATGACTGCAATGCGAACATTGGACCGATGAAAGCACTCAAACGCTGTAGCAGTAAGCAACTCAAATTCCGTAGCTTCAGTATGATGGCGAAGATTCGTCTCGTTCACCTTGTTCCAGCACTCGTTAAACAGAACTTTGCTAGCTTTTGATCCATTGATAGAAATACTGTCTCGGGGGTCTACGAAGTACGGACTTGTGTAACGACCAACTTTGTAGGATGCTTGTAAGAGTGATGTGTAAATGTAAGTACAAATGCTTCCCTTTCCGTTTGTTCCAGCGACCTGAACAGCCAAAAATGACTCTTGTGGATTTCCCAAGAGCTTTAGCAGCTTTAACATACGCGTAAGACCCAAATTAATCGGCATTTTGAGGAGACAGTTTTGAAGAAAACAAAAAAGGTACTATCAAGAACTGGTTAATTGAGAGGTAATCAGAAACACGGCGTTTCAACAGAACAACTAAGTCTACAGGTTGTAGATGACGATTTCACCAGGCCGGAGGACTCGTTCACAGCGTGTTTTCATGTTTCATTATAGGTGGTGAGCGCGTCTTCTATTTAAGAACTCACGTGATGGTTTAAGCTTTTCGCTTATTTTCGCATTTGCCGTTTTACGCAGTGCAATATTGTCGCCATATACGTCAGAATGCCGCAGAAATCCAAAACGTTATACGTAAAACTCGGGTATAAATAAGTCTGCTGCCACTGTGAAATTGCTAACAAAACTTTCACTACAGTTCCGCTTGAACCTTTTTTATTTTTATTATTTTTTTACATTACTTATTGTGATGCCGACTTTTCGAAGAAGACAGCATCGTACAGAAGAAGAACCCCCGCCTTATACACCTTACCCGGAGCACGGAAATGTTGCTTGTGAAGAGATTCCCTCCTACGATCAGGTGCAATCGGGCAGCAGTAGCAGCAGTAGCACAAGGGTTTATCCTGGTGCAACAGGAGCAGCTACTGCTGTTCGTCCCGAAGATGTTGCGGTAGAGATGGATCCTCGTGTGTACGAACGTCGACAAAATAACGCTGCAATGCCGGTTTCCTCGAATACAAGTATGAAGGAACGTTCGTACGCCGCAGCAGCTGTCCACTCCATTAATGAAAACAAAAAACGGAATAGAGACATAATGAAGGCACCCTTTAAGAAAGACTTTTACCGCAGTCTAGGACAAAAAACGTCCTACAAGACAAAGAAGTTCAAGGACCGGTCGAAGTATTATGCGAAAGAATTTGCGCATGACCTTGCTGATGACTTTAAGCAACCCGTTGGCTATGGTGCCTATGGGGGCTATGGTGTTCCCTACAATTATTACGCCGAGACTGGCGCTAACCGGGCTCACGGAGAGCCTTTGCAAGAAGGCACTCTGCGAAACGATGAGACGTACGCGGCCCACGGCGCCGGTCCATTCGGTTCTCGTCATCGTCGCCATCCAAACTACGACCCCTTCATGATTGGCGTTGGTGCAACCAGCTTGGCTCTCCTTGGAGCATTTATGATTTAATGAGTCAATCATCAAGCATTGTACAACGAACGACCACCCCTCCTTTCATGACCAAACCAATTGCACAATGCATATGATAATATTGCTGCTACATACGATACTAGATACATGGGTTCACATATCTTTGAGGACGTTCAACAGCACCTCGACAGAACTTTTTAATAATTATTTAATATACGAATATACAAATAATGACACATCCTATTCTGGGAGCGACGTCATGGTGTTGGACCCTGTCGCTTAATTTGCCACGTGGCAGACGTTTAAACTAAAAAGGGTCAGATGAAACTCACCACCATAAACCAACCACCAAAAGTAAATCACCTCGAGAAAAACATGACAGGCACACAGGCGAACATGACAGAATTCATTAAAGAAAAGGCTATTGCGGCCGATTTTACGCCTGTACGGTTTAAATTTGACGACTATTTAGAAAGACACCATCAGTTTGACTACTCAGCACGTTACGACGCCCATCAGAATGCTCGAGAAAATGGCTCAAAAATGGGCAGTGTCGTATGCAAGCATTGGTAAGTGAGCGACGGAGACGAAGGACGGGAATCGATGGAGAAGATGTTCTGTGGGGATCGTTTCTCGTCGTTCTACGCTCCCTCAGAACTAAATGACGCGAGCACATTACGTACTAACTCCTTTAGGCTGAGAGGTCTCTGTAAAAAAGGAAATCAATGTGAGTTTTTGCATGAATACAATCTAAAAAAAATGCCTCCTTGTCATTTCTATGCGGAAAGAGGTTGGTGTTCCAATGGCGAAGAGTGTTTATATCTGCATCTTGATCCCAGTAAGCAAGTTGGCGTCTGTGCTTGGTACAACATGGGCTTCTGTCCCTTGGGTCCCATTTGTCGAGGAAAACATGTTAGGAAGGGGCCTATCTGTGAACGATTCCTTGCAGGCTTCTGTCAATTAGGGCCCAACTGTCCTCATCCTCACCCTAAACACATTGAGCCCATGCACCCTCCTCAAAAGAGAAAAGAGTATTAAAGGGGGGCACTCAACCCGGGAGAAAGTTTGGTTCATTAGATCAAAGTTCTTACTACTTTTTTTCTGCTTTCTTTTAGGTCCTTTTTCCTTCCCTTTCACTTTATCCCCCTTCGACAACCTTCGTTTTGATTTCCTACAAAATTGATGCAACCAAAAAATCGTGTTTTCATTTTAACGAATTTTACGTGATCCTCCTCTATGCAGAATTATGTTATCGTTCCGGTCGCTGTAACCAACTCTGCACAAAAAACGTAGTTTCTTATTTGTAATTATTTGCTATATACATACAGTGCCGCACAGAACATTTAGTTGCTAGTAAGAAGGCCGCCTTGTACAAATTGCATCGAATTGCGTTGCTTTTACGATCTCTTGCACTTTAAATATGCAAATTAACCTCGTGAACCATCATCCACAGCAACATCCATTTCCATTTCCAATCCCTCCTCCCTCCTCCTCCTTCTCTTCTTCCCCTCTTACCTGCTCTGTTTTCCCTCCAGCCCGCTCGCCTGCTCTGCTGCTAATCTCCAGTGCACACCACCACTGACCCCCGGTAGTGTTCACCCACTCCGCGCTGACCCCTCCCAACTGCCGCTTGCATACCAGCAAGACTCCACCACCATCCACCGGAGACCCCTCCAAACCGTTAGATTTGTAATTTCTCAGTGTCATCGCCTGTTGTAGAGTTAGATTAATTGTCTCACGGACCTTTCGGACGAGACAAGCAGCTTTTTTAAATTTTTGGACACATTGCGGGAGCAAAAACGAGAACAAGTGTGAACCTAGCCACTCCAACGATAATTACAGAGTAAAGAGCTTGAAACCGAGCGGCAGGGAACCACGAAGACTCACAGTTGCAGGAAGAAGTTAAACGACAAAAATGGATGATTCTCGTCCATGGAAATTTGCACAGTATGTTTGATTGGAACACGACTACAAGAATGAGATACGAGCAGTAACTCTCTAGATGCTTTGGAGACAAAGGCGACGTTGAAGACATTACAGAAGGTATGGTACCCATCACATGATCAGAAATGGTCGTGTTTTCGAAGAATGAATACTTGATGAAGATGCTGCAGGAATGAAAGACCTTGATCGGGCTCATTCTGAGTCCGTTCGGGTGTTTCACGACTTACGTGGATGGACGAACAATGGACAATGCCGTTGACAAGGGTTTTGAGACGGATAGTTTCCTTGACTAAGCAATTCTGCTTGTCCAAGCATTTGATGCGTTTATTCGTTTTGTTGATGATTGAAATTAAGCACTTTTGGGATAGATTGAACGTTCCTAATCGTACCCCACTATCAGAACCTTCGTTCTCTGCTTGAATGCATCTCGATATACCTGTCCTACTCCGTTCCATTACACACTCTCTACTCCCTTCCCTTCCTCGTACCTGCACCTTCATTTCTTATCATTCCCCTTCCTTTTTATCCCCTTCCCCTCTCTTCTCACTAACCTTCCTCTAGCCGACATCATCTCGGCCGTAGAATTCGATCACACAGGCGATTACCTTGCGACCGGCGACAAAGGTGGTCGTGTGGTTTTATTTGAGCGTAATCATACTAAAAAAGGTTGCGAGTATAAATTTTTTGCCGAATTTCAAAGCCATGAACCTGAATTTGACTACCTAAAGTCATTGGAAATTGAAGAAAAGATTAACAAAATTCGCTGGTGCAAAAGAACTAATCAAGCGCATTTTTTACTGTCCACGAACGACAAAACGATAAAATTATGGAAGGTGTATGAAAAAAATCTGAAGGTTGTTGCAGAAAATAATCTTAACGACGAGTATGGATCTCCTTCGTCGACACCCATTACGCCTTCTGCACTTCGTCTTCCTCGGCTTAGCCATCATGACACTATTGTTGCGGCCTCTCCTAGACGTGTGTACGCGAATGCACACGCTTACCACATTAATTCCATCAGCGTCAACTCTGACGCCGAAACTTACATCTCGGCCGATGACTTGCGTATCAACTTGTGGAACTTGAACATCTCTGACCAATCCTTTAACATTGTTGACATCAAACCTGACAACATGGAAGAGCTCACAGAGGTGATCACGAGTGCCGAATTCCACCCCGTGAACTGTAATCATCTTATGTACAGCAGCAGCAAGGGCACAATCAAACTTGTGGACATGCGTGAATCTGCCTTGTGTGACCGGCACTGCAAGCTCTTCGAAGACGAGGAAGATCAGGACAACAAAAGTTTTTTCTCGGAGATTATTTCGAGCATTTCTGACGCAAAGTTTTCTAATGACGGACGCTACATCCTTTCTCGTGACTACCTAACATTGAAGATTTGGGATGTGAACATGGAAAAGAGTCCCATCAAGACCATTCCTCTGCATGACGTGTTGCGCACAAAGTTGTGCGATCTTTATGAAAACGACTGTATTTTCGACAAGTTTGAGTGCATATTCTCTGGCGACGGTAAGCACGTTTTGTCAGGAAGCTATAGCAATAATTTTGGTATATACCCAACGGATGTTTCCTACACTGGCGATGAAGGTCAGATTGTTTTGCAGGCTGATAAGTCTGCATTTAAGGCACGGAAGAATGCCGGTGCCGCCTCAAAAATGAGCATAATGAAAGACTATGACTGGACTTCTCGTAATAACAACGCTATGGGTACCGCTTCTGCCGGACTCGACCCAGACACCCTAGACTATAACAAAAAGATCCTGCACGCAAGTTGGCACCCTCACGAAGACTCTGTGGCTATTGCCGCTACAAATAATGTAAGTGATCTGCTCGATGCATACACGCTGCTCCTTTCTACTAACCTTCTAGTTATTCGTTTTCTCGCGACTTTAAATAGTAATGAACTTGTTTTACGAAACAGGATCCGACTGAGCTCTTTGTGAGATACTGCAAGTAATCCTAATGCTACGTTTGCACGTACAAGTCGCTCGTTTTGTTTCCATTGTTTTCTCTTCTACTCACACAGACCCACCTATGAACGAAAGAAAGCCAGAGCCCCAGCTTTTTCCGATTTGTTCTTCCTACAAATAGCTTGTCTGTAGATATCTCTTTTTACTATTTACAGTATCGCTTTCTATTCGTGTCGACGCTAACCCAAGCCCCAAGCACGCTTACTCAAATAATCATTAATCAATGAAGCTCGTTTGGCCAGAGCCGAGATTCATGTACGACATGCGACCATTGCTATAGTTTATTAGGCAATATAAAAGAGCTACTTTTTGCGCAAAGGGGAAATGCAGGGATAATATGTGCGTGTGGGATGTATAGCAAAAAACCGTACGGAGAAACTGTATACTGACACAGGTTTTTTTTCTATTTAACTCAATTCATTGTGAACTCGCTCTCGAGTAACGGAAACACTGTTCATTGAAATCGTTATCGTAGTAGTAGTAGTAGTAGCAATAGGCCATCAATCACTTGAAGAAGCACCAGTGCAAAGCAAGCGCCAAACACAAGTGCAGGAATACAATGCCAATACAAGCTAACTTACATATATACGTCCCAGCCTTCTGGCATACAGGGTAAAGGTTTTTCAGCAGGAAAACCAGCGAGACTGATAGACCCGAACCGGTAAGTATCCAACGAACAATAGACGATATATGCGATGGCAACAAAGCAAGTGGAGGGCTGGCCAACGAAACGGGGAGCCATACAATGTTTGCATAACCGAAGAGACAAATACACTCTAGTAATTTTGGATTACAATTGTAGAACCGAAGAAAGGCCCACAAGAACACAGATATAAAACCCGTATAGCCATATAAAGCAGCGGCAGCATTCACCAATTGATGAATATTATAAGCAACAGTGTCGGAACTTGTTTTATGTGTGATGTATTGAGTCATAGATTGAGAAAGGAACAAGACTTGCACGATTGTTGTCGTAATCCAGAAAGGACCGTACAAATCAGCTCTATCGTCAAGGATATCAAAGAAATTAACCGTAGGAACAAGGGCGTGCACACATCTTTGCATTACATCGTTTGTGGAGACGTCGAACGACGACTGTAAAAACCACTTTGCAGTTTGCGAGGAACTGCGATGAGGAGCTCCAGACGATGGCATGGGCTTGTCAGCATCAAATGTCTCGTCAACATCCAGTGTTGTTCTGCCTAAATCGGCATCTGTATCAATTACCGCCGCGTACGACATTCTTTCGAGGTGAGGATATAGAGAAGGGCAGGCAAAAAATTATAAGGAGAACAAAAGAAAGAACAAACAAACGAACAAAGCCTGGCGACTATGAGTATGAAAAGACGCTTGCAAAGTAATAAAGCCCGACGAGTTGATAAAACAAGTCGTAGATTGTCCGAAGACAGAGTAACTGTTACGACACTTAATCCAAATTAATTTGATCGTGAAACTTGGAATAGAGACGCGTTTTCAGCTCCTTGATGCGGACCATGTCTTCTTCCATTTTCTCGTCAAGTTGTTCAACAGCTTTATTGAGTTGTTCTTGATCTTGTTCAAGATGTTCGTTCAACTTATCGAGAGGAAGCTTGAAAAAAGCATCTCCTACTTTGTACATGGGAATTTCGTCAACATCGTCCTCGTCCAAAAGCTCACATTCGTTTGTAGCGTCCACAACGTCTTCCAGCTGTGTTTTCAACTTTTTCTGGTCCATTTCCATCACCGCGTGACGGGCATGAAGAACGGAAAACTCGTTTAAGAGAGCTTGGTCTTCTTTCGTGACGGCAACTTGGCTCATGTTGTTCAAAATATGTAACTAGCAACTGGTTTTGTACGGAAAAATCAAAGAGCAGCGAAACGTGAGGTTGGGGGAGGTTACGTTCACAAAACTGCACCAAACCCCGTCGAAATTCAGCAGTCACACAGAAACGAAACAAATCACGGTGACTTGGTTTACCTTTTACGGTGTCGTTTCTACCCTCCACCAACCACACAAATAATCTGCAAAATGGCCTCGGCGACTCTCCTCCCAGAAGTGTCTTTGGACGAGAATGGAAGCATCAAGCTTTTCAACAAGTTCCCCTTTGAGGGTGTTGAGGTGAAGGACATTTCCTTGGTGTAAGTGAGAAATGTGCTGGTCGGAGGCAGTAAGGTCGTCGACAAAGTCGGCGCAAGCCTTCCTACCAGTGTTTGTCTCCGTATTACTTGTACTAACAGCTCTTTAGTGACTACATCACCATCGGTAACGGTCAACCCCTTCCCCACACTGCTGGTCGCTTCCAAACCAAGCGTTTCCGCAAGGCCCGTTGCTTCATTGTCGAGCGTTTGGCTAACAGCTTGATGATGAACGGCCGTAACAACGGTAAGAAGCTCTTGGCTACTCGTATTGTCAAGCACGCTTTCGAGATCATCGCTCTTTTGACCGACCAAAACCCTCTCCAAGTTTTGGTTGACGCCGTTGCTGCCTGTGGTCCTCGTGAGGACTCTACCCGTATTGGTAGTGCTGGTACTGTCCGTCGTCAAGCTGTCGATGTCTCTCCTCTTCGTCGTGTTAACCAGGCCATTGCTTTGATCACCATTGGTGCTCGTGAGGCTGCTTTCCGCAACGTCAAGTCCATCTCTGAGTGCTTGGCTGAGGAGATCATTAACGCCGCCAAGGGTTCTTCCAACTCTTATGCCATTAAGAAGAAGGATGAGCTTGAGCGTGTTGCCAAGAGCAACCGTTAAAATGAATACATCGAGAGATTTCAACGAGAATGGCGCTTTAGTGCTGGATGGGAGGTGGGTAGTTGGAGGGGGTCCCGGGTGCAGTGTTAGGATGTGTATGGTAGATGTCGTGCTCATTGTTCGTTAGACGATTGTGGAATTCTCTGTGAACAGCCAATTCATGCTTGTACTTGGTCTCACTCTGTTTTCTCTATTCTCTGCCTGCTACAGGTTTTTAGATTTCTTTTCCCCACGTTTTCCCCGCATCTCCCCCACAACCTTAGTTTCTCACCACCAGAAATGTGCGCCGACTTGCGACACCCCTGAATCGGGTACTATTTTGATTGGCTGAAAAGCCGCCAGCGAAACCGTTACTATTCATTTGCAAAAGGACCCGAGTAGTTGCGAGAAAGAGAGAATAACAGGTGCACGAAGAACATCTGTTGAGTCGACATACGGATAACAAAAACGGGAACAAAGGAAGAAGTGGAAAAGAAAAAAACTGAAGAGCGAAGACGAGTGCGTTTGCGAGGGGCGAACGCAAAAGACTGATCAACGCAAATGGACGGGAAATTGGAAAACAATTGGAAAAGTATATATGATGCTGATGATGAAGAAGAAAAAAGTGTTCATGCTCAGTTCCTTGCTCAGGCGAGTTGGAATTTCTTGTACAGTTCAAGAACGCCGTTAAACACAACCAACAAAATACCACCGCCAGGACCAAGACGAAGTACCTTGGGAATGAAACCCTTGTACAAGGCACGAACACCCTCCTCGCGCCAGATGGTGCGGACGGCAGGGAACGCCCAGTTGTACTTGGGGACTTGGCCAGGGACCTTGACAGTTGTTTGGACACGCGACTTGACAACGTCGAAGGGCGTGCAGAGCATAGTACCGCAGATACCACCCAAGGTACCGGCGGCCAGGTTCTTGGCCATCTCACCACGACGAGTGGTGGTCTTGGGCAACAACTTGCGCACCTTTTGGATGAGACCGAAATAACCAGCATTCCAAATCACATGGCGCCACATCGTTGCCTCGAAACCGTTGTACAGCGAGCGAAGACCCTCTTCGCTGACAATTTTCCGCAGACAGTCGTAGGTGCCGGAGTAATGCGCCATGTTGCGCGAATCCTGCAGACGAATCTTGACCAATTCGAAGGGCACCACTACAAACGTCTCGGTGAAACCGGCACACGAGCCGGTCAGCACAGATAACATAGGCGTGTTCTTCTTCACGTTGAACACACGGCGCCACAACTTGCCGTAAAAGTCGTTAGACGCGAACTTGAGCGCACGTTTCGGCGCCTCCATCATGATAGGCGGCAAAATACCGCGATACAAGAATGCCGGACCTTCATTCTTAACAATTTGGCGCAAGCAGTCAAAGGTGCCTTTGTACTGGGACTGGCCCACAGACAACTGCATCCGGGTCTTCACCACATCCAGAGGATACAAACACAGCACCTGTACACGTTAGCGAATGTAAGCGATACAAACGAGATTAGCCGCATTAGCGAGAATATGTACTCGAAACGACTCGTCACGATCCGCGCCAATTCCGCGATGCGAACAGGCACTGCCTAGGCTGCTCCGTGGCTAACTGCCGAGAACCGAGGCATTTCCGCGGATGTAGCCGTTTCTCCGGAAGCGAACTCCCGAGCACGGAAGCACGAGCAACGCGACTGAAAGCTGCAGCCGCAAAGTAGCAGAATGACGACGACGCGTGTCCGGACGTCGCAATATCGAGCATGAGCCTGTGCTAGACCAGCTAACGTACCTCTGATATTCCAGCAGTTGCTCCAGCTAAAAATGTGACGGAGAAGGGGATGTCGTTTTTCATGGCGGGGACAGGTTCTCAGAACACATGGCTCTGCCTTTCCTCTTATAAAAGACAATAGTCACAGGCTCGGCCTGGACGCTGTGGGTGATACCGACCGTTGTAGATAACGCTTGAGCGCGCTAGATTGCGTTATTCCGATTACTATCGGTGAAGCGAGAATCGGCAGGCTCGTTAAATGGAATACGGAGGCGCTGTGCATTGCGGTATAGTTGTTACGGAGCCACCAAATATATCGTTAAACAATGCAACGTACCGCTTTGCACTGTGCCACGGAGATTAGCTTCCGCTAGCGCTCACTAGTTATCGCTAATGCACACTAATCCTCGCTCCTGCTCACTATTCCATGGCAGGCAGTGCCTAACGCCGGGTAAGGCTCCTGCCAACCTCCAAGACGCTACTTTCCTGCCTTTTCTGTGTTCTGCATCCAAAATTGCAAATACTCCGTTCATCTTGGGCACAAGTAGCGCTCCTTTTCTTTTCTACCGTTCCATATGGCTGATCTTCCCGTAATTGGAATTTACAAAGTCCTATATGGATACACAGCACAAAACGACGGAAGCACTGGAGACGATGATCCTCTGAACAAGGAACTGTCTATAGAAGAAGACGACCTTTTGTGTCTTCTGCAAAAAGGTGAAGATGACTGGTTCCTCGTGAAACGGAACGTTCAGAACCAAGACGGCCAGGGTGAAATTGGCATTGTGCCGTCAAATTACATTGAGGAGGTGTGTAGACGGACGACGAGGATGGAACCGGGGAGCTGTGAACCTGTCGTTGTCTAAGCTTTTGAACGTGTCTGACTAACAAACGTGTGTGTAGGCTCAACCTGCAGCTTCTGTTTCTGCTCTGTATGACTACGCCAAACAGTCTGTCGACGAACTGGCTTTTGCTGCTGGTGACGTCTTGAATTTGTACGGGGACTTGAATAGCGATTGGATTCTTGCAGGCTGCAAAGGCACCTATGGCTTGGTTCCTAGCAACTATCTCGATATGCAGGCAGCTTCGAGTGGTGCTGCTGCTCCTGCAGAACGAGGAGCCGTTTCTGGCCAAGCTCCGTCACAGCAACCGGTGGCACCGGTGCCGACGCCTGCTCCAGTTGCAGCACCAGCACCTGCTCCGGTGCCAGTACAAGCACCAATTCCAGTTCCACCTCCTCCAGCACCGGCTGCTGCTCCAGTTGCGGCTCCAGTTGCGGCTCCCGCTCCGCCTCTGCCTCCAGCAGCACCAGCACAGACAATGAAGGCTCCTCCGCCGCCTCCTCCAGCAGTTCCGCCGGCACCTTCATCTTCTTCGTCTGCTGCTCAAAACTTGGCTCCTCCTCCTCCACCTCCGGTGCCACCTAGTGCTCCCGCTGCCCCTGCAGCACAAGCACAAGCACCAATGCCCTCATTGCCGCCTCGTACAGCGGCTCCAGCAGTGACGCCTGCCAGTGCTCCGGTTAATCCTACCACATCCGTGCTCCCTCCTCCCCCTCCTCCACCCCAATACAGTGCTGCTCCCAAGGAGCGTGTGAGTGAAGAACAGGTTTCGTCGCAGAGAGCTCCAAGTTCTCCTACCGATGCTTATGGAAACCCAAATGATCATTTCCGCTTGCACGGTGACGATGGGCTTTCGTCTCCGACTCCTGGTGAACCAGACATGCCTTTCAAAAAATGGGATATCCAGGAAGTTGTAGGAAAGAAAAAGAAGCGTTCTGGACAGCTTGCGATTAACAACAAGCAAATCGTTTTGACGTTTAAGAAATCGTTGGATCCTTCTCAAAGTTGGTCAATTACGGATTTGATCACCTATTCTTCTGAGCGTAAACATGTCTTCATTGAGCTGCATGGGCTGGGCGGAGAAATTGTTTCGCTGCACTTGCATGCTGGGAGTGCCTCTAACGCTGAAAGTATAATACAAACGCTGGGTGACGCCGCCGGTACTCTTCGAGCTGCGGGTCTTCGTGAAATTGCTGCGGCTAGTGGCTCGCCGCTTCCCAATTTACCTCCTGATTCCGCACTTGATCGCTTGAACCGGGAGGGTGAAACTCGTGTGCGTGCCTCTTCTTCCTCAGAAATCTTTAAGACCAATAAGTCTGGACGCGGTGATGAGGATTACAACCCCGCAAAGGGTGAGCGGTTGGCTACGGTTCTTTACGACTTTGAAGCCGAGGAGAGCGACGAGCTTTCTGTGCGAGCTGGCATGCGCGTGGTCATTATTAATGACACAGCAAGTAGTGACTGGTGGAAGTGTCGTTATGGTAATAAGGAAGGCGTTGTTCCTAGCAGCTTCTTGGAAGCAGACAAGCCATCAGCTGCTCAAGCCGGCGACACTCAGTCCCACAGACATGAATCTGGCTCCTCTAACCGCAAGAGCTCTTCTCGTCGCCATTCTGTGTTGAAGCCCGACTTGAGTAAGCTTCGTACGTGGACGGATAGAACGGGTGCTTTCAAGGTCGAGGCAGAATTTATCGGATTCAGTGATGACAAGCTCCATTTGCATAAGGCAAATGGCGTAAAAATTTCCGTTCCCAGCAACAAGATGTCTTTAAGAGACCTTGACTATATTGAGCTGATAACCGGAAAGCAAGTTTATGACCGAGGTGAGGCAAATGCTTCCTCTTCTAAGCCTGCTGAACCTCTTAATGATGATGCTCCCCCTCCCAAGCCAGCACGTCCCCGCCAACGCTCGCGAGACGAGCATGAAGAACTGTCTCGCTTCAACCCTAAGAAGGAGCCTCACAAGGTGGAAATTGTCACTGAGCAGCCGAAGCCTAAGTATGATTGGTTTGACTTTTTCCTTCAATGCGGTGTTGACTTTAGTGTTTGCAACCGTTACACTCGTAATTTCCAGAATGAAAACTTCGATGAAGAATGCATTCCTTCGTTGAATGAAACAACCCTTCGAACGTTGGGCCTGAAAGAGGGTGACATTATTCGCGTGATGAAGCGGGTGAACGAATTGCGTGGTACTCCCGTTCCCACATCTGAGCCTGCTTCCTCAGAATCTGCTGTACCCCATACCGAGGCTGTTGTTCACAATGTGATGACTGGAAAACCTCAGCCTGATATACCAATTGGTGCTACTCGCAGATCCCCCACACAGGAGATGGAGAAAGGCCATTCCGTGGATGTTAATGTACAACAACCCGCTCCACAATATACTGCTTCCGTTAATAAGCAGGTTGCTGCCGCTGCTCCGGAGCCTACTAAGCCTGTGCAAGAAAAGTTTGACGATGACGCCTGGGCAGTTAAGCCGATTACGGAGCCACCTTTGCGTACATCCTCTGTGCAATCGGATCCCATGAGTTCTGTTGCCCAGGGCATGAAGAGTGTGTCTCTGGGCCCTAGTGGTCGGGAGCTTCCTTCTGGTGTAAATGCTTATCCGGAGCGTCCAAAGTCTGCACCAGTTCCTGACGAGGCGAAGAACGTTCAGGCTCGCGAGAAACCTCTGCCTAGCATTCCTGAGGGTGGACAAAATCCCGTTGCACCTCAACCAACTGGCATTACAATTCAAAATGCCTACTTTACAGTTCCACCTTCTATGGTTGCTGATCCGTTCCAGTCACCTTTGTATGTTCAGCCAACTGGATTCAACCCTCCCATGAATGCTATTACAGCTCAAAAGACAGGTTTAACTGCTGCGAACATGATGATGCATCCTCAGGTTACAGGTGCTATTCAGCAAATGGTTGCTCAACGCACTGGTATGCCAGTCCAGATGACCGGCGTTGCTGTTCAACCTACTGGAATGCAACCAGCTCAAATTCCTGTTCAGCGTACTGGTATGGTCGTGCAACAGACTGGTATGCCTATCCAACGTACAGGTGTGCAACAACCCCTCCAAATGCCAGTTCAACGCACTGGTGCTGCTGCCCAAGCGTACGGTAACACTGTTCCGCCTGTTTCCATGCAATTGCAACCTACTGGGAACTATGCGCCAATGCAACCAACTGGTTATGCCACTGAAAATACTGGTCTTTATTCTCAGCCTACTGGTTACGTCGCACAAACTCCCGCGTACCAAGCGCCCACTCCTTCAGTCCAAGCACAACCTACGGGTTATGCTGTTTATGGTCAGTCTACTCCATCAGTTGGCATGCAGGATGCTTCTATGATGTCTGCACCTGCTCAAAATTATGCACCTCAATATGCAGCAGGTGTCGACTATAATGGTGGGGCTTATGCTGCGCAACCAACGTATGGCTACGATGCGAATGCCGCTGCTGGAATGGGAGTTTATCCTGATCAACAACAGGTTTATGATGGTGGTTACCAGCAGATGAATAATTATGGCGGATATTACCCTGACGCCCAGCAACAGCAGCAGATGGGTTACAATAATTACAATGCACCATATGGCCAGCAGCAACAGATGGATTACATGAATCCCCAACAGTCCTACGACTACAATGGTGCTGCGCAAATGCAGAATTATGGTGGCTATGAACAGAATGCTACATACCTGACGCAAGCATCTCCTTATGACCCTGTTAACAATCCTTCTTTATACATGCCTAACGGCCAGCAAAACCAACAGATGTATGGCGACAGTGCGCCTAACTACGGAGCATATGCCTCTTCTAATCAACCAGCAGCAAAGACGGGTCAACGTGCGAACATCTCACAAGCGACTCCTGATAATCCGTTTGGCTTTTAGGTAATCCTCGCTGATAAATTGACACATTGCGTGTTCCCCCTTTGTCCATCACCCTTTCCTTCGTTGAGTGCTATGCTACGTTCGTTAATATTGCGTCGTAACAAGCTTTTTTGATCATTGATATAAAGACGAAAATGACCAGGATGCTACGTCTTACCTTGTATTTAATGCTTTCCATATGTCTGACGTTTCGGTAGACATGGTATATTCTGAAACTACACTCCGTACTAGTCTTTGACTCGTTATGTATTCCTCTGCAATCATGTCTTACACGGCGTCATACTACAGGCTCATTTTCATTTCTTTCTACCGTACTTTAATTCCATTCTATGAGTTTTGCTAATATACAATTCTGCTACTTGTAAGTTATAGGAATGGGAGTGTTTGTACTTTTTTGTTTTTGTAGAAACTCGACTTGTATTACGCAGCTCGAGCTGAAGTTACAGACATTGTTTCATAAAGCAAGATAGAATGTCCAAACAGTAATAGCTCTTAGTTCCTTCTGTCTTCGTTCTCGAATTTTACCTGGTAGCTAATTGTTGCTGCTTCATTGGAACCTCAGGTACAAAGCGATACTGTAAAAGGCACGTAGTACGGGGTTTTCGTTAGTCAAGTTATTAACAGAAGGAATATGATTAAGCCTGATAAAGTTTGTACCATTTTTTATATGTGTTTTTGTGCTAATCTGTGTAGTTGACGAAAAGCTATTTGTTCTACAGGGAATATCACAAACAACCAGGAAATGTACTAGTCCATAAGAGTAAGGATATAGAGACTTTGCAAGTTAAAAATACACCTCTTCTGACAAATGATTAGTTTTTGTCCCTATTTTGTTGCACACGGCCTTCGTGTTGCTTGCTTCAAAAGACTTACATATAAACGCTACATTTGGAAGCGATGGGGCAAGTGGTCATTTCCAATGTGATACTACTTTCGCTATTCCTGCCTTTTTTATTTACTTTCTGTACTATTTACGACTTCGGGTTTCCCTGGCCTTGCTGTATCTTCCAGTTTTTTATCTCTTAACGCTTGGCCTTGCTTCTTTCTGGCTTTCTCACTTTGAGGTTTCGCTTGTGGAACGTTTAGCTTTTCGTATTCATATTGTCTCATGGATTGTTCAGTTCATTAGTCATAAGTACTCTGAGCATCGCCGTCCAGCATTGTTCAAAAACCTCGTCCAATCTCTTATGTTTGCTCCAATTTTTGTGTTCATTGAGACTGTGTTCTCGTTGGGCATGTACTCTCATTTGAAATCTCGTTTGCATCGACTTGAGCGCGAACGAACGGGGGGCCTTCAAAAGATGGAGAAATTCCTTCCGAAAGCAGATAATGAGTTGTTCCCCCATGAAGTGTTACATCCTGCACTTTCTCAGCCCGAGTTCCGCAGAATTACCAGTCGCTATGTTATTCGTCCGCTCCGCCAGACAGATTTGACCCAAGGTAAAGCACTTGCTTAAATGAGTCAGTAAGGTTTTTTTTTTTACTAACACTTGGACTTAGATTATCTTTACTTGCTTGATGTCCTCGCAGCTGCAAAAGAGAAGCCTTCTCTTTATCACTATAAAGACATGTTCTATGACATGAAGAAACGTTACGAAGACACTTATTTCATTATTGTCGCTCAGGACCATGAAACAGGAGTCATTGTATGTTTTAGTTTTTATCTTTCTTGTAACTAACACCGTTTATTACAGGTTGGAACAGCATCACTGATCATCGAACACAAGTTTATCCGTGGATTGGGTACTTGCGGGCACATTGAAGATGTAGTCGTGCATCCTCAATACCAAGGTCAATCTCTTGGAAAAACACTTCTCACAATCTTAATTGATTTGGCCAAAATTCTTGATTGCTATAAAGTAATTCTTGATTGTGATGAAGAAAATGTTGAGTTCTATCACAAATGTGGACTCAAGCGCGCAGGTGCCCAAATGAAACTTTACTTGAAGCAGCACTAAATGTATCTATAAGAAAAAAAATTCTAACGAAATGACTTTTGCACTATCATTTCATCAATGAGATCAAAAACAACTATGAACATTGGTTCTACTCGAGACGTTGAAGAAGGTAATCAACCTCAACCTTCTTCGTCATTGGAATCACATAATCCTAAAAACATTAGTTAGCAATAAAATGCACACACGATAGCAGTATAAACATACGCGATAAATACTAACAACGACATCAGCCGTGACTCGGTCACTGGGCTTGTCAGGCTCGGCTGGATCACGACCATATGTAGCAGCTTTGTAGTGCAAGCGGTCTAAGACACGCTGTTCCTGCTTCTTGTCTACGATAGCATCCTCGATGCCCTTAATGTCGCGAGCAAGAATAAGCTTCTTGTATAACTCCGGGTTCTGACGATATTTAGCTTCGGCGACGAACTTGCCATAGTGAATTCTGCGTGACAAAGATTGCAAACAGCTAATGTCACAGACAGCCGTACTACCGTAGTTGTCAGGATCAATGCCCTTTTCACAGATTTTGGGCACAATGGAATGAATGTAATAGTTCAAAATATCGTTGTTTACGTTCACGGTATTGGGATGCAAGACGGTTTCGTGTTGCAACTTGGGTAAAATAGGTTCGGGAAGATCATCAGTGAAAGGATATTCTTCCGGATGAGCGTAGCGTCTTGCAAGAGCATATGGCTTTTCATGTTCATGCAACATAAACATTAAGAAACTATTCCACCGTTCGGGAAGTTTCAGCTCTGGGATTCCATTCTTTTCGTAAATTAGATCATTAGTCTTCAGCTTTGCGCGTTCCAAAAGATCAAAAATAATAGTGTCTTCTTGAGAAATCAAAGAATTGCGGATGTTCGTTAAAGAAACTGCTTTAGGGATATCTTTCGAGTCCGTAGAAGCCATAGTATTAACGGTTCTAAGTACCAAAATGGACTAAATAGGAAAGTTTGGTTTTATCGCGATGTCGTTTGGAGAGAGAGAAAAAAATGGCAACACACCGACAGAGATATGAGACAAAAGTTGATACGAAAGTTCAAGGGAATCTGATACGATGAAAGATGAATAGTATTGAATGCGATGTTACTTAATAGATAATTGAGAAGTTTTTGAGTTTTCCCGTCTGCGTTATTGAACAAAAAAAACTGAAGACGTAAAAACTTGATTGGGAGGTCTCAGACGATGAATCACAAGACGGAGGCTAAGAACTATATATGGAAATCATTAATGAGTGTTAAAGCTCCAGTATAGTCTATTCATCAAATAATGTTTAACTACATAAACAAATTAACAGCCAGCCCAGGGATTTTCGTTATCGCGTTACGGTAAACTGCTTTATGAACGTGGCTTTACACTCTGACAATGTTCTGACTCTTAAAGAACTAATGGATTTCTCACGTACGACTGTTTTATACTTGATTTGGATTAGTACCATAATCAAACACACAAAACATAGCTGCACAGTTCAGTTCCTTCACATAAACACAAGATAATGTCAACAGCGTCGTAGTCCTACTTTTAATATTCCCATTAATCCATTTTGTAAATTACCTATAACAAACAACAAAACATGTTATAACGCGCGGACAAGTGACATACCCGATGCCACCGCATTGCTTCCAAAGAAACTACATTTGGATCAACCTATCATCCCAAGGAGTGTCAATCACATCATCTTCTTGAGCATACGTCTTGGGTTTCTTATTCTCGAGCTTCCAGTTTTTGTAACGGAGACCAACTAACCGTATGGATTCGCACACTGTGTCAGTAATGCCAACTTTTCCGCTGTAGAGTACCCATTCACCGTCTTCTTTACAAGCACTGAATCGATCAGATCCCTCTGCAAGTAGAACATACGGGGAATCGTTATGTAATCGCTTCGGTAGAAAGTCAAAAAGAAATTCAGAAGAAGCTGACGAAGAGACATGAACAGGGCTCCCGGGTTCATAGACCAAGCGCTGCTTATCCTTTAACTGAAGAGAGTGATCCTGTTGATGCTGTACACGCAATAATTGACCATTTTCAACTTCGCCGATATACAACTTTCCGTCGCGTTGGTGTATCAGGAGTCCTGGAACAGAGTTAATACTAGGAACAGAGTCTATTGTCTGTGAATCTCTTATCGTACCTTGAGCATCGATTGTACTTCCGGAATTCACATGCGCGAGAAATGACCAGTATCGGGAATAAAGTGTTTGCAACACACTCGTTGGAGGCGGCGCCGTATGCCGCTTGGCTAAATCAACTGGTGAAGCAGTAGCAAAATGCCAGTGAAATACACACAGCTGAATGAGGATAAGTGTGAAAGAAAACAACTGCATTAAAAGGTAACAAAACCAAACCGTATCCGAGAGAAGATATGTAAGTTGCAGGAAAGTAAACAAGGACTGAACTCTATATACCAAAAAAATGGCTCACGAAAATGCTGTGTAAGTCATGTAAACAAACGCGACAGATGCCGTTGAAAGCACGAGGAACATAGACAACATGCGTGCCAACCGTATGCACCATCTCTCTCTAAACTCCTTTTCGTATTTTTACATCCGCTATTCCGCTAATGCTTTCCCTTTTTCGTTTTTGAGACGGGCTTCTTCTTACGATGCTTCTTCATGATAGGGTTGTCACCGGCCTTGGCGCGGTATCCTTCCAAAGCCATGGCAATACCTTGCTTGATAATAGCTTGACCAGATTTGCCAATAAGATTACGGGAACGACCTTCCAATGTACGATCGTGTTGATCGCCCTTACGCTTGCCCTTACCCTTAAACTTGTTTTGCTTGGCAACCTTACAGCGGCTGACACGAAGAGTTCTACCTTCAGGCATTTTTTTGCCATTCAAGAGAAGAGCCTTGTCGACAGACTCGGCTGACTGGAATTGAACGTATGCGAATCCCTTACCAAGATTGGTCTTCGGATCACGGATAATACGTACATATTCCACAGGACCACAAGGTTCAAAATAGCACCAAAGAGGCTCCTCCTCGGCTTCAAAAGCCAAATTTCCAACAAACACACAGCGTTTGTTCACCTGAGGAGCGGGATGGCTAATGTGATCGACACGAAGGTGTCGGTTAAGGAACATTGTTCCATTAAGTTTCACAGCTTCACGAGCTGCTTTTGAAGTTTCAAAGACAACGTAAGCATTTACACTGTCGCGCTCATCGTGAAACTTCTTCTCGATGAAAGCTGCCTTTCTAGGAATAACTTCAGAAAAGGCAATGGAGCGGAAGCGTACGGATTGGACCTTACCGTACTGAGAGAAGTGTTTTTTCAAAGACTTTGTTAATTTCTAGTGAATGTGTTAGCGGCGCTCATTAATAACAAGTTCGGCATGCATCGACCTGTCGATATGGAAATTCGTACCTTGTCAGTTACAATTTTTGCAGGAAGGTTGTTTACAAAAACGGTACGCTCAGACTTTTCGAGCTCTTTATTCACACGATTCTCGATTTCAACAAGGGGCTTCTCTTCTTCAGGAATTTCCTCCTCCTTTTCCGCCTCCTTCTTGTCCTCTTTTTCGTCCTTCTTCTCTTGCGTCTTCTGTTCCTCCTCCTCTTCTTCAGCAAGTTTTTCCAAGTAGTTTGCCTCTAACGATTCGTCTTTTTGCTTCTTCTGCTTCTTAGCCTTTTTTCTTTGCTGATTCTGGCTCAACTCGACCGAAGCCTTCGATTCTTTTTCATCGTTTTCACCATTTTGTTCTCCATCCATGGCAACGTCCTCGTCGACAGCAGAAGCTGCTGTCTCTTCATCGTTGTTTTTTGGTTCGGGCTGCTCGAGCACGGTAATATCTCGCTTAGGAGGTCTTTGAACAGGAGCCTGAACACGTTAACACTTGAATTCTTGTATTGCGACACTTACAGCGTTCTTAAACAAGTCGTCCAGAGACGAATCGACTTTTTGGGGTTCAACAGCCAAAAACGGCAATGCAGCCGGGATTTCTGAAGCCTGGTTGGCAGGCGATTCAGCAGACGTCTTTTTGTCCATTTTCAGAGTTCGAAAGCTACTGCTGGCTTGGTTTTCGATTGCCAGAGGTGTTTTGCTCTGACTAGAAATCGTTGTAGTGCCGCTACCAGTAAAGTGGTAGAATTGGGTAGGAAACTGCTACTACTGCTAACGAAGACACAGACGAGACAGAAACGAACTTGTCAAGCATCAAAATTGGATCTATGGGACGAATTATTATTATTATTTGACAGCTAGTACGAAGGGAGTGAGAGAAAAAGAAAAATAAAAAAGAAACTAAATTATCCAAAAGCACTTTTCGCCTGACTGTATCACACACGGGAAAAATGTGTTCATTAGACAACTCATTATGTAACAGAATGACGGTTGTAACATTCTACTCGGCGTTTTCAATGAAGTTGAAGGGAGTAAAGGCATAACCCTCACCTTCAAAGTGCTTAGACATGCCCTCCACCCAGTGCAAACGAAGACTGTGAAGCATGGCACTGGTACCTTCCATGGCTACGAGAACAGCACAGGTGATAACAAACCAAAAGGCAAACAAGATGAAGATCGCAATGGAACCAGAAACACCAGTCATGCGGAAACCATTAGCAATTGTCATGTTCCAAAGCACCGTCGACAGCTGATTGTGAGCGAGAGAAAGTGCCCACAACCGAAGGTAACTGGCGGTATGCGAAATACAACCAAGACAGAACTCAATGGTGTGGATTACCTGATGGATAACAATCTCACCAAGTTCAAAGTCCTCGTGGTCCTTAGGGTCGGCCTCCGTGACGGAGCTCAACAGATTTGCATCCTCAGCCGTATCATCCGAATCACGCAAAGACAAGTACTTGGGGGCAGTAGCTTTCTTGTGCTGACGATAGAGAGCGATGGGCTTGGCGCAGAGCAACCAGGGCACACAGATAAGAGCGGCACCAAGAAGAATAAGTTGAACGTACTTTTGTCCGGGATATAAAGGCTCAGCAATGGTGCCAGGAGACAAGAACATAAGAATAAGCATGTTGAGCAATCCAGGAGCACGCAGTCCGAGACCGTTCCAGTCGACACTCCATTTGTAGATAATTGTGACGACCAAATAACCAAAAATGGACTCGAGGAAGATTAGAGAGGGAATAAAGACGGCGTAGATGTCAAGCTTCTTCTTGAAGAAACGGTAGTTGCTAAGGGAAAGGAACAGACAGAATGTCATGTGCACAATACCGAAGATGACCGAAAGCTTCATTTTATACGAGTTCATGAAGAGAAGGTTATTGTCTGCGCTATGCCAAGCGGGATCGACACCGATGGGGTACGTTCCAACCTCAACTGCACGCAGAAGATCTCCACTAGCCTTGGAAGGCCAGTGCCAGCCGGAGGTGAAAAGAGAAAGCGGCTTACTAAAGATATCGTTGTACAGAAAACCCGTGTACATGGAGAAAGCACCCATAAGCAACAAAATGTAACGACCAAAGAACACCATACCAACCATCTCATCAAGATCCTTTTTCGCACCCAACTTCTTCTCGTTGAGAATGAATGCGAGAGCAATAGCAAACATAATCGCACCGTGACCCAAATCACCGAACATAATGGCAAACAGGAAGGGGAAGGTGACAATGGCAACGATACCATGGTTCACCTCGCGATACGAAGCAATACCGTAGGAATCGATAATCGATTGGAAACCCTCAGTAAACTTGTTGGTCCGGTGGTAAGTAGGAGGAACCTCGGACGTTTCAAGAACATTAAGAATAGTTGGGGCCTGCGAACCCAAACGTTGCGAAACATCGCGGAGAGAGGCCTGCACAAGAGGAAGGTTGTCCTGGGGACACCAACCCTCGGCAATAAGACACTTGTGATTCTGGTCGAAGATGAACAGATTCATGGCCTGATAGACGCACTTGTCCGTGTGCAAAAGAGTCTCCCAATGAGACAAATGGTCAGCTACGAAGGACAACTCCGTGAAAAGCGCGTTTTTCATGTTGTCGAGAACAGAAGAAAGATCGCCGATGCGGTCATTGACATCACGAAGCTGGTCGAGACGACGAGCGGCGTTATCCTCAACGGTGAAAAGCGTAGAGCCGAGACTGTCGGAAATCTTGCGAATTTTAGAGAGAATCTGGGTACCGTGAGCAAAAACAAGGAAGATAGTTTGAGCATCAGCGAGTCCATCGTCGTTAGAGCCGGTTGGAAGGTCAGCAGGAACGTGATAAATGTAAAGGTTACCGCGAAGTGTACGCCAAAGAATACGCTCCAAGTACTGGAACTTGGCAGTAGGAATGACACCGGCCACAAAGTCAATGGGAATACTCGGGTGTCCCGACTCGGAGAGCGTAGTCGGGGTAGTTGTCGTGTCGAGTTCAACAGCACTGCTGCCCATCAAAGGGGCAGCGAGTTCGTCGTCGTCTTCGTGACTAGCATGAAGAGCACTTTCGTCGAGACTGGAAAGCACGAGTCCCTCGTTGCTTTGATTGAAAAAAGCGTTTGTCTTGATCAGAACATTACGCAATTGCAAAAGACGCTCGTAGCGTTCATTGAGCGATTTGCTCGAGTCTGCCAGCTGGCGAATGCGAGAATCAAGCGTGTTGCACTGGTCCATAACCTCCTCGACCGTAGAGGAGTTGATCAGTTCTGTATTTTCAGAAGGACCTTCTTTGATGGGGATACCGGCAGAGGTAATTTCCGCATGGAAGTAACGGAGTTGGCGCTGAGTCTCGTTGAGACGGCGAATTTCTTTGACAAATGAACGTTGGAAAGGTGTTACGTCGGGATTTAACTGACCGTTAGTAAAGCTGTAAACGAATTCGAACAGCAGCATGAGGATACAATGAGGAGCATAGAATGCGAGCAGCACGAGTCCAATTTATCAGACTAAGCAATGTAAATGACTCGTTGGAACTGTCGGTCCAGAAAAGGAGCAAAATGAAGCAAGCTAGAGCAAACTGAATTGCTTCTTTGAGCCTTTAATAATTCATCTCCATCCATTCCGACTTTCTCTCTTGCATTGTGCTCTTTCTCACTTCCATCCAGTAGCCCGTTGTGGAGTTACTTACATCTCGAAATTGGATTGTCGACAAACGGCCCAGAGCAGCGACTGTTGCCCGTGCCGACTCGGTGGGCAGAAACAGCTGCACCAGCGACACATTCTCAGAGCCTTTTCAGTCAGAAACTACGAGCAAAAACAGCAAATTACTTACGGTACAGAGAGGGTGCCATGGGGGTTGAGGTGTGGTGGACTGGAGGGAGAGAGAGGACAGCTGTGTCGCCGAGGCGTAGTGCGGCGTAGGACGGCGTAGTGAGCCCCAGCGATACTTGCTGAATCCGAGTGTACTTCATTAACGGAGATACCGAAATTCATTGGAGCACGCTGTCGTTCAGTAGTTTACGCTATAATGCGTTGCGTTTCCTTCGCGTACGCTCCGGTGCACTAACTTTGTTTTTTTTTTAATTGCCTTGCGTCACACCAACGTAACGCCAAACTATCGTACGCCCTACGACTCGCTCGGTTGCCAAATTAACTACTTTAACTCACTTAGCGACTGGGTCGCGACCTCCGTGTCGGCTCGATTACTCCCTCGGCGCATTCTTTTTTGTTCGTGTAGCACTGCCACAAAGCAGCCAGCTCCCAGCTTCCAGCTCGTCCAGTCTTCTCATCACTACAATACCAGCAGCGTTTGCTTTCATCATGCCCGAAACCACCGTACGGCCTGCCACCGCCCGCAGCCCCATGGACGCGCTGCGTGTCCATCAGGCCGCCTTTGATTCGACGCGATTTAGAATTCTCAGCCAAGAAGAGGTGGACCACATGGAGCAGGTATGTACAGGGTAACGAGCTGCAGCGAGAGCTAGTGACCGCGTACACCGGCTGTGGAGCGCGCTAAGTAAAAATAGCGCGCACTAGCGTGGATTCGGTAACGCTACGTCTCGTTGCGACTCGGGACACTTCGCTAATGCTCGTTAAATTTCCGTATCCCCTTTACTAATCAGCAGCGCTGCAACTATTTGCGTGCCCGGAAGCGTATTCTCGCGAACCTTGAACGGCTCCAGTCCGCCTATGACCGGGGATGCAGCTGCTTCCTCCAATGACACGTTCTCCTCCGCCAGCGCCGGCGCCCGGAGCTTCTCTTGCACGGTCCGAACTTGACTCGCTCACCGAAGAGCTTCATAATCTTGAGAAGACTCTGATAGGACACATGGCCGCCGTCCTTGGCACATACGCCCTGGAAGAATCACTACGCAGCCTTTGGCCCAGTGAGTCTGACGTCAACGAGTCCACGTGAGCTCTGCTGCGGGGAAACCCCGCCTTTCCCACCCCGCCTGTATGATCTGCACAGTGTGGCCTAACACGGCGTATCGAAGCGCACTGTGTCTCCCTGTTTATTTATGAGCCAGCCTGTCCTGCTGGCCTGTCGCTCGTTTCCAGGGACACCTTAGTAAATGAAACATGATTGCATTGGACCCAGGCTGTTGGACTAGTGAGGCGCGTAGAGGCGGGCTGTAGTGACTCAAGCGGACTACGCGAGCACGTCGCTTAGCTAACCGACGCACACGAGCTCGGTAAACACTAGCGAACACGGGCTTTCCTTTTATTCGGCAATGCTCGCTTGTGCATTCGTCTAAGTTCGCTAGCTTCGCTACACATCCACTGCTCTCGAGGTTCGCCGCCCTCGCGCTGAGCGCCGCACACCGCACTCAACCTCTCCCACTCCTTGATTCCGCTTGGATGCTTTTTCGTCAACGTTTGGATTCTCCTCGCGCACATCTTTCGTGGACTTTTGAGCGGTGAAATCTCCCTGACCTCTGCTGACCAAGCGAACTGTGAATTTTAGTCTCGCAACGTTGATGACCGCTGCTGACGATGCAGCAGGACAGGAAATGTAAGTAGAAGACGACAGCAGACGTTGGAGGACGTTGAAAGTTGTAAAACATCCGCGTGTCCGTGAGCCGGAACGAGCAAATGCGACGGAACGAGTCAGATTGAGCGACTGAATCAGTCAACTTAAACTTACACGAGCTGGTCGCTACTAAAGGAGCGACTAACGGAATCAGACGGAGGATTACCGGGTTGGTGGTTTACTTTTGAGCTATTGTCCCTTGTAAGCTTGTTTTGTGATCCTCTTGACGGTCAACAGTGTCTGTTTCGCTCACTTTTTGGGCTGGAGGGCTTTCATTAGACATTCCTCTTCCTTTCAGTTACATCGAAGACTTTAGGCGTCGAAACGGGCGGATTTATTGCGAAAAGAAGGGAAGAGGGGTCTTCATATGCGTCTATTCGGTCACGGTACAGTCACTCTGTTATATGTATATGTATTGACGGTGTTGTGTCGACGAAAATGCTTTGTAACTCACTTTGACCGCCTCCTCTTGCTCACAGGATGCTTGTCCTGATCGTATCCTCAAAACTCTGCTTGTTGATCGCTGCTCTCTTGTTATGTTCACATACTAACTACAGTCTCCTCCAAATCCGTTCCCTCCGACCTCTTTCGTGTGAAGAGCTCTCAAGACCCTCAGGTTGTCCGCACGCAATCCCATCACATACAACCACAACAACCGAGGGCTAATAGCTATTCCTCGGCCTCCGCCTTCTTTTCCAAAACTTCTCTCTTTCAGCAATGTCGGCTGATCGTTCAAAACCTCCAGCGGGTCGAGGGCTTCGAGGAAGCTTTCAAAGCCGCCGACCGTCTGATTTTGGATTTTCCTATGCGGATCATTAGAATCCGTGACCTCGTAGAACATGATCCCGTAACACAAGTGTGGAACATGTGCTGTTTGGGTTTCCCTCTGTGCGCATTGTTGAATGCCTTCCAACTAGAAACTCCACTCCAGGTGAACCTTGATACTACCCTTTCGAATACAAATGCTTGCAAAGCCAGTTTGTATCACTTCCTCCTTACCTGCAAGAAAGACCTTTCACTGGTTGATGCCGACCTTTTCACTATCTCCGAGATTTTTCAAGACAATACGGCTTCTCTTGCCAAAGCCGCTCACACCGTTTCTTTGATCCTTGACATGCTCGACGAAAAAGGACTCTTGCGTAAATCAGTTTCTCGCGACTCTCCGCTCGAGCAGGCAAGTACACTCTCCTTGCTCATTCAAAGCAGTCAGCGCGTTTACGCCGAATTGCTCGAAACCGAAATGAAGTATGTACAAGACCTTGAGTTCCTTTCCGATTATGTTGCAATGCTCCAAGCCGAACACATTCTCTCTCAAGCAACCATCCAGCAGGTTTTCTCCAACCTCAATGAACTCCTTGACTTCCAGCGTCGTTTCCTCATTGGTCTCGAAATGAACGCCATCATGCCCGCTAGTGAACAGCGCCTTGGCGCCCTCCTTCTTCAGATGGAAGACGGTTTTTCCGTGTATGAGACCTTTTGCACAAACTTTCCCTTCGCCCAGGATCTTATAATAAACAATCAGCAACAACTGAGCAAGCTTTCAGATGTCCTTTGAGCCCAAAGTACGAGCTTCCCGCCCCCTTCTCATTAAGCCCATTCAGCGGATATGTAAGTATCCTCTTCTCGTACGCGAGCTTTTGAAAGGCACTGCCCCCGGTTACAGATATGAAGAAGAGTTGCGCCAGGGTTTAGAGTGTATCGTTCGTGTAGCGAACAAGGTCAATGAGAACCGCCGGCGACACGAAAACAATGCTGCACTCGTTGAACTCGAGAATCGGATTATTGATTGGAAGGGCTATTCTTTGAAACACTTTGGCTCACTCCTCGTTTGGGAAATCGTTCCTGTCGCTAAGGGAGACATGGAACGTGAATATTATGTTTATCTCTTTGAAACTATCTTACTTTGTTGCAAAGAAATTTCCCCGTTAAAAAAGCAAGCTCGTAATATGAGCATCAACCGCAAACTTAAGCGACAAGACTCGTTACAACTTAAGGGTCGTATTTTCATTTCTAACATTACTATGATTGCTCCGAATTCAGCGTATGGCCAGCATGCCCTCCACATCTTTTGGAATGGTGACTCTCATCAAGAGTCTTTTGTCTTAAAATTACGAAATGCTGAGAGCTTTAAACAATGGTACTTTGTCTTAAAGCGTCTTCTTTCGAAGAAATCTTCCAGTAGTGGTAATCGGCAATCTAGCGGTTCTACCTCAACCGTTCCCTCTTCTTTGGGTACTTTCCGTGTGTCTCGCGACGAAGACGCAAACTCACAGAGCACTTTTACCTCTAGGGAAAATGAGCAAGACTGTGGTTCACCGTCCTCGCTTGTCCCCTCCTCCAGTACACAGGATGGCGACGATGCAAACTCCTCACAGTACACTTTGCTGTCATCTCAGCATAATCCATATAGCGTTAAGGATGCATCCGTATCGCTTATGTCTAGTATTGGCTCCTACAACAACCGTAACTCCCCTTCCTTTCTGCCGTCAATGGGCCCCTTGTCCGATGATGGAGCAAGGTCCGTTTCGCAGCTTCATAAAACTCCTAGCTCCTCCGAACATTCTTTCATTAATAATGTGTTCTCAAACACCGCTACCGATGCCTCCGCTACTAACCACGCTGCTCCCTCTCAATCTTTCTTTACAGGCAGCCAACCAGACCTTTCAGTGGCCGACTACGCTTACCAGAGATCAGGACGTCTGCCTTCTAACAGTCATCTTTCGGCGGATAATCGTTCTGTTTCTACTACCACGGCTACTGGTAGCTCGTCGCCTAAACGTCATTCTCGACAACGCTCCTTCTCCAATCCGGCCTTGAGTGTTTCACGGCCGTTGCGTGAGTCTCTGCAGTCTGGCGACCTTGAATCTATTTGTTCCGGCGATTCGGCTACAGGAAAAGGTACAAACACTGTCAAGGTTCGCATTAAGTACGAGGAATCCTGTCTCGTATTGCTCGTACCCGCTCAAATTGGTTATCAGGAGCTGAATGAAAAGATTTCACACAAGCTTCTAGTCTGCGGTCTGCTTAATATGCCCGAAGATACACCTATTAGGTTGCGCATGAAATATGTCGATGAGGACGGAGACTTGATTACAATCACTTCAGACGAGGATGTGTTCATGGCCTTTGAGTATTGCGTGTTTGAAATGTTCAACCGTGATGGCAAGGATGGTATCTACTGCATAGATCTGTTCACAAGCTTAGCCCCATAATGCTTGTTCTACTTCGGCACTCATCTCAGGCTGTTTATACTCTTAACCTCTAATGACTCATGTCTCGTACCCTTTTTCTTTTTGACACGGTCTTGTTCCCTGTTTATACTTTTTCTTCTTCTTCCTCTTCTTTGTCGTCTTCTTTTTTACTCCCTTTGCTTGAAATTTATTTCGTTGGCACGGCTCTCGATTCTTCTTCTTAACCTTTTTTTTCCTATAGAAACAGATACTAATTCAATTTCATTATGCGTAATCATAAAGCCTATGTGCGTACGCACGAAGTTGCATTTCTAGATCCGGATGGGTGCGTTTCCACGATTATTTAGACACAGCCGGTGCAGCTGTTCTTTTTGTTTGATGCATTTGCTCGTTCCATTGTGCACGGCAATGATTTCTGCAGCAAGTCGCTCGGAAATTGACTTGCTCTTGTACGAATTTGATGCATCCAGCATCCAAACAATTGCAAAACGCCTGCGTTGTCGCTCGTTTAAGGGTAACGGGAATTGAATATTCTTGGTCGGACGTTTTTGGGTCACCTAGAGTCAAGAGTGCGTTAGTAAAAGAAGTCGATAAGTCAATAGACGTACAAGTTTCATTAAGGGTGATATTTTTGTGACACTTTCATGTAGCACCTTAACAGGATTCTGATTCAACTCCCGTTGGACAATCAGTAAAGCCTTGTTGACATACTTTTGGGCAGTTGCCTTTTTCCCATGTCGCATTATCGTATTTACAAGTTGAGAAACAACTTCATCTGAGTTGTAATCCTTAGCGTACTGTTTGTAATTTTCCTCACTGGCTCGTAAGTTTGGAGGGGTATCTTTTTCTTCAACCGGAACTTCAGACAGCAATTCATTATTCGTTTCCGTTGGTTTTGATGTATTTTCCGCTGCACCATTAAATAAGCTCCATATTTCGTCTGTTTCGTTAAAACTGCCATCGTCAACGGCGTTTTGTCTCGTAATTGAGGAATGAAAAAATGAAGCCGCTGGCCTATTGAGAAATGGCGAAGCAAAGAATTTTGCTGAAAACCAATTAATTTTCTGCTTAGTAGTACCCAATCCTTGTTGGAAAGTGTACCTTAAAGCCGTCTTTTTTACTATATGTAACATTCTACAGACTTTTGTTCCTCTAGACACCAGTCATATCTTAACTCATTGGGGGTTTTGAGCAGTAGTAGTTTTAAGAGAAGAGCCGACGAAAGCTTGGGCAGTTTTGAACTTCATGAACAATAAATTATATTAGAAACAAAATTGTATGTACTCCCCGAATAGGCATTCCCCATGATTCTATGTTGTTGTCCAAGTAGTTTAACAAATATTGATATCAAGTAACAGTTCCTCATTTCCACTACAAAATAGCACGCTTAACCACTGTTTTGCAGACGACTTTGATAACAAGCAAGCGCGTGTTTTACCGATTCGTTAGTTGATGATAATGCCTATAGGATTGTTAGTTAACGACACTACCCAATGAAGCTAATTTAAATGCACGTACTTGTCGAACAATATTCGGATCTTTTCCGGCATCTATTGCCATCTTTAAAACAGTTCCCATCCGGGCATTCGTCTTTTGCAATGCTTGCGCTAACGAAGACATTTCCTCTTTAGAGTCTTTTTCAGAATAATATGCTAACCAGAACTGGTGCAAGAATTCAACTGTAGCCGCGTGACACATAACCATTTCATCTTTAACATTTTTTGGTAAATCGGGTTCTGCTCCCTGGGTGCGAAACTCGATCTTTTTACGAAGCGCAATAGTAATGTTCATGGCGGCTTCACTTAAAGCCTTGTCATCTCGTGGCACTGTATACAGCTCGAATTTACCTGTCGGAAATATACGTTTCGCCTCCTCTAATGATGGAAGCGATCCTTGAATTTCTTCACGCTTGGGGGCAATTCCGGTTTCAAAGAAACGATTCTGATCTTCAATTTTAAGAAGGGATTGCGTTTTTGGAACATCCTCCGCCAAATCGTGAAGAGAAGACTCCTCCAAATACTGATTTTCCGTGTCAATGACTCGTTTTCTAAACCATTGTTCACGTTAGCAAATGTTTGTCCTTGGTAAAAAGAAAGTCATTTTACTTACGAAATACTTTTCTGTAATAATCTTTGTGATAAACCGTTAATATTTCGCATCAAGGGAACAGTAGAAGAGTCAACTCGCATCGTGACATCAGGAACGAGTTGAGCGACGTAATTTGCATTCTGATCATTTCCCTCAATGTCCAAAACATGTGAGACAGCAATGTCATTCGTCACCTTATTTTCTATCCAACGTACTAATTAGCCGCCGAACGTTGTTGGAAACCCACGCTATTCCGTCTGAAAAAAATTCTTACCAAGTGGATCAACTTTCAAGTACTGATCCATAATATCATCAGAAGCATCCATTGCCGTAATTCTGTCTCCTCGGAGCTTCTTGCATAGTTTAGACAGGAAGAACCGACTCCAAAACTCGCCTTCTGTCAAGGGAGGAACATGTTTGTCGTAGACCAGCTTCAATAGTGGGTGTTGATCAAACATGTCATGAATTTGCGGGCGTGTGAGTGAGACTTTGAGTTGATTGTCAACAGTTTTCGGTTTAATGGTAGCGAGAACATTATAAGGTCCTCGTTGTTGGGCCTTTTCAACAGCATGCGCACGCAAAAGATGCAACCGTGTACTCCAAAACTGCTCATTTGTGAGATGTCCTTTCATAACAACCTCCTTAAAGGTTTGCAGAAGCTCAGGATTCTTCGTCAGCAATGATTCTTGTAAGTCTATATCTTCCTCTAATCGAAGTTTGGTTCCCTCTGGTGCAGAGCCTCCTGCTTGTTGTACATCTCTTTGTCGAGTAACAGCCTTCTGCAGTTCTGTCGTGATTGTGTCACAGTGTTCTCTTCCATTTGGTAGATTTGTAAAATTAAAGACCAGTGGTTTAGGTTCTGTTCCTTCCTTAACCACAATAAAAACACGTATCATAATCTTTGCAGAAGTCGCTGGTGTTGTTTGGAGGTCTATTTATTAGTATTATATCCGTTTTTATTGGAAACTTACTGGCAATTGAATCGAAGGAAATATCAATTGCTGGTTGCGTTTGACCAACTTCTGTCCATTTCAGCCTATCACGAATAGTTATAACGCCTATATAAGTACTCAATTCTCTGATAATATACCCTTTTTCTTTTTAAATAATGCTACAGCTTCCACAACGTCTGACATTGTGATGGGTGTGCGCTTCGCGCTCACCCAAACACATTCTCTCAATAAGGTTATTGCTGGCAAAAAACTTTCGGATTAATGAAATAATAAAGTAAACGCGTACTTTATTTATCAATTACGACAAAAATTACCCCATTGTACAAATATAACGCGTCAGTTTAGCAAATTTCAAAAAATTGTTGCTGTTTGCAAATTAAAAGAGTATTACTGCATTGGAAATTGGAGACCTTCACAATTATTGTAATCCTTGTGTTAAAAGTCATGTCTCTGTTAACTTCAAAGCAGAAAGCTGAATTGTGGGTACGCGTGTTTTAGGATTATGTTAACATTCAATTCATTAGATACCTGGCAATTCTTGACCACTTTGAAACCAATGGATTTCAGCGGTCGCACGACACGTTTAAAGAAGAATTGGAGGAACGACAAATCCAATTGTCAAAGGGAAAGAGTCTCGAAATTAGTAGAGCTAATAATCACCTCGAAAAAAAGTGGACAGGCTTGCTAAGACTACAGAAAAAAGTAAGTTAGAATGGATAAAGAGATAATCGTATAATGCTAAGTACGAAAGATCTTAGAACTTGAGTTCTACAATCGTAAGCTGGAAAATGAACTTGTAAAATTACAACCATATAAGGCTACTAAGGAAATATGGCTTCCGCAAAAAGATGATGAAGTGGAACTTCTGGGACACAGAAGCCCAATTACTGCTTTGGCGTTCCACCCGTACATTACAGTAGTGGCCTCTGCAAGTGAAGATGCGAAAATAAAAATTTGGGATTGTGATACAAATTCTCTCGAAACGACTCTTGTTGGACACTTCAAAAGCATTCGAGCTCTTGCATTTTCAGAAACGACTGGAAATGAACAAGAAAAAGTATATCTTGCATCAGGTGCAGAGGACGCAACTATTTGCCTTTGGGATGCTACCAGCGGATATGCGAATCTTTACGCATTAACTGGACATGAGGCTACGGTGTCATGTATTCGATTTTTAAAAGAGCATGATGGTCCTTTACTTTTGTTATCGGGGTCAAAGGACGGAAGCGTCCGCTTATGGGATGTTGAAACTGGAGAATGTGTTCGAGTTTTCAATCAATTTGGCTCACAGTGGGTCCGTGCACTGGCTGTTTTTGAGGACAAAGAGCACTTTGTGGCCGCAGGTAATGATGGAAAAGCACGAGTGTTAGATCTCAGAAACGAAAGTGCTCGACCGATTCTCTGCACGGGACATTCACATGTAATTGAGTGTGTGGAAGTACTGCCATCTACAGCATATCCCTACGTGCAGAAATTTTTTGGACGAGAAGTAGCAGCACGTCAAGAAACATTATCACGGTTGTTATTTTTAACTGGATCCAGAGACAACAAAATATTCCTGTGGGATGGTGCTACTGGGAAGCTGCTACATAAGTTCGAAGGGCATAAAAACTGGGTCCATAGTATTACGTTCCATCCATGCGGTAAGTATTTCCTTTCGGTTTCGGACGATCGGACGATGAAGATATGGGACCTTGAGGGAGGTCAAGCCGTTGAAACCATATCTTTTCAAAACAGAATTCCGCTATGTGTCTGCTGGAAGCATCCAATGTCTTCAACCGATGTACTCCAAAATTACCTTAACTTATTTGCCAGCGGTTGTAGTGATTCACATATTCAAATATGGTCATCACACAAAAGTAATCCGGTTCAGAAATAGTTTTTTGTAGCGACATTCGTCGGTTTTCAGCAAAGAATATGTGGTCAACAAATATGTAAAAGAAAAGAAACGATGTAAGTGTAAAAGGCGTAGAGGGTGGGAGGAAAAACAATGTGATACGGTTTATAGTACAGGATAGTGAGATGTGTGTTTGCTAATTTGCAAATTAGATAGGTCATGAGGGAGTACGAGAACTCGCTCTTAAAATGGAGAGTTTTAATTTTGACAATGACCAACTATAATGCAAGTCAAGCCTTCTCTAGGCACCTGTCGCAAATCCATTGTTTTGATGGATAATCCTCCATGTGTAAACATGCTAAATGAAACCAATGCCGTTCACAGTTTGTATTAGAGCAATATACCACCTGACCGAACTCTTGGCCATCACAGTAGCAACCATTTTGTTCACTTAAACTGGATGGAACCTGAGAGTGAGCAGTAAGAGAGGCGGAGTTTCCTGATTCATAATCCTCGTCACTAAATGAAGTATTAGTTTATGTAAGATAGAAATAGATTCACGCTTGCAAACAAACCTTGAGTTCGTTTGACTGGATGAGTCATCTGTATTCTGAAGATACTTTGGAGCAACTCGGCTGCGAGTTCGCCGCCGTAATACACGTCCAGTAGTTTGTCTGAGCGTTTGTTTGGAGTTGTTTTGTTTAGACTCGTCGTCCTTCTTTGGAAAAAGGAAGTATGGGAGTGTTCTTTCCATATCGGCAAATGCATCGTCGATTTTCAGAATTTCGTTATTTGTTATTAATTTTGCATACAAAGAAAGAGTAACTTTGTTATCAGTGGTTGATTTATTTCGTTGGAGCAGAAATTGTAGATAGTCTAGTGAGTATCTTGACAATTGAGAGTTGTCTAAACAGTTTTCCACAGTTTGGTCGATGTGATGTCGCATTTCTAGGATATGTTAGCAGTAAATTCAATAAAAAAAGGCAATGAAAACTCCAATCAATCTTAAACGATTTGATTGACATGAATTGAGCTTGGCTGGTAAAAAAATTCAATCCCTCACCAGAAGCCCACAATTATGACTTGTTTTCTCATTTAAAGTTGTCATACCTAAAGTATTTGTTTGTATGTCTTGTATCTTCTCGAGAAAACTTTTGTTTAAATTCCCAAATTGATTTAGGGCTGTCAAATGCATAATTAGCATGTCAAAACCCCAGAAAATTACATTTATAACTAATCATACCGTCGCAAAAAGAAGAAATCGCTTCTGGATGCTTCATGCGTTTCTTCGCTTCAGTTTTCCTCATCTTTTTTTAGATAAATGTAAACGTATTATATACGAATTGGCCCGCTGTTGCGTTTGGTGATAGTTCGCTGTACTTCTTGGATAATTCGCTTAGACGCAGGGAGGATGGTTTCGCGTCATTAGTTTCTCGTCTACGCTAAGTGTTCGAGTGAACTACCAATAAAAAATTAAGCCGATTTGCGGGTTTTTCTTGTTTAAGGGATGCGACCAGACACTTTTTTCATCCCGTGGGATCACCGTGCCATAAATCGGCTAAAATTAAAGTTTTAATGAGCATTTATATTAACAGTTTAAAAAAAACATAAATACGGGAAATAACTATGTGTTAAGGACGTTACATGTATTTCTTTTTGTCGCTGTTAAAAGATGCGTGTGATATTGTCTTTCTCGATCCTTCTACGATTTTTTTTTGCCGTTTGTTCCCAGTGTCGGGTGCGATCGCATATGTATCGTATCCCGCTAAGATGTGAATATTTGCAATATAACAACACAGATCATATATATTAAAATAAATCCAAAACGGGGTATTATACTTACCTGCAAATCAATCAAAGGCTGAGAAGAGCTTTTTTAGCTAACATTATCACTCCTTTTTTAGTTCTTTAACAAACTAATTTTCATATCCTTTTGGCAGGGTTCTCTCTGCTAGGATCACCCTTCATCGGGTCAGATATAGATAGCGGCGCATTTCGTCGTCATCAAGAATGATGTCATAGAAAGCTTAATTTTGAAGACACGCACGGGTCCAAGTGAAAAGCATCTGTCCGGAGCAAACCACAAGACGTAGCATTGCTGTTCAATTCACGTAGGTTACCCATTAGAATCTGGCTTTTACCTAATTTAATGCAGTAAACTTTTTTATTGGACAACCTTCTGACGAATTGTGTAGAGTTTAAACTTTTTTTTGGCATAGGAACCGTTTTGCCGTGTTCCTTCTATCATTTTCGGGAACTGTTTTACAAACAATTCATTATTTGAAACCGGATTTCTCGTTGCTTTATGGATGCGGTACTTTTTAAGAATATTCTGTGAACATCCAATTGCTTGTGAGTTATTTCACACGTCGAAAGACGAAATCAAAACAATTGATCCTTGGTCACTAAACAAAACTGATTTTCGCTACGGTACATTGAAGATGTACAATATGGACTTTCCTAATGTTCGTGCATCTAAATGCACGGAAACGTCGCTAGGCCACGGTATCGTTCATTTGTACCGGGATTCTAGCGAGATGTCTGCAGAATTCGATGTTCCGGGTCTTGTCGTAGCAATCCTTGCCATTCCATCCTACATGTCCCCTTCCGATATCCTTGGCTTTCTTGGTTCTGACGTATGTGAAACAACCAGTCATATAAGATTACTGCAAACAAGCGCACAAAATCGTCTGCTGGCGCTTCTGAAATTCCGTTCGAAGGAAGACGCTGTGCGGTTTCGTGAAGAATTTAACGGGAAACAATTCTCGCAATTGGAACCCGAGACATGCCATGTAATTTACGTGGATGCGGTTGAAGTGATTGAACAAAAAACGACGTCTGATGAAAACCGTGTTGTCTCAAAGAAACCCGTTGCTCCTCCTACCCCGTCGCTTTCCGAGTTACCGACATGTGTTGTGTGTCTCGAACGCATGGATTCTTCAATCACGGGCTTGCTCACCATAGCTTGTCAACACACATTCCATTGTCCATGTCTCCGAAAATGGGGAAATTCATCGTGTCCCGTGTGTCGGTATACTCAAAAGCCTAATCATAAAGAGCATACAAGCAGCTGTAACGCCTGTGGCTGTCGTGATAATTTGTGGATGTGTCTTATTTGCGGCAACATTGGATGTGGTCGTTATCATGATGCACATGCAAAGCAACATTTTGTGGAGTCCTCACATTGCTATGCAATGGAGCTGGAAAGTCAAAGGGTATGGGATTACATTGGTGACAACTACGTTCACCGGCTTTTACAATCAGATACAGATGGAAAATTGGTAGAGCTTTCTACGAAAGCTACAGAAGAGAACGAGGAAAATATTGGCAGCTCTTCACGCCAAAAAGAAATGAAAAAAATGAGTTTAGAATATACTCATATTTTGACTTCGCAATTGGAATCTCAGAGGGAGTATTACGAAGCACGTTTAAAAAGTCTGGCGGATAAATATACAGATCTTCAAAACAAAAGTACAAAACAGGAAGAAATCGCACAGGGCAAACAGACGAATCAGTTACAGGAACAGTTGGCGAAAGCTGATAGCGCTATATCAAAAAGGGACTCAAAATTGAAAAAGCTAACTGAAGAAAATACGGAATTGCGACATGAACTGGAAACGGAAAAAGTTATGAGTGAAAACCTCTTCTTAAAAGTTAAGATTTTAGAAGAAAATCTAGAGGAACGCAATGGAAAAATATCTGCCTTAGAGGATCAAATGACGGACTTGTCGGAACAACTTCGAGATGTTATGTTCACGCTTTCTGCATCACAGACACTGTCGAATGAGGAAGAAGACGTAAAGAACGGCACCATTGTTATACCGAGCAGCCCTTCCAAAGACAAAAAGAAGAAAAATCGTCGTTCAAGAAGGAGCTGAACAAAACAAACTTTTTGTGAATAAAGAAATATGAGTTTATTCTTGTGTGCGTTTTAAAAGCACGAAGGATAAAATAAAACAAATACTACTTAAGTAATCGAACAAGCCGCGTCATTCGCATTGTTTCGTTCAGCATTCTTTACGCTGACTGGCCTGCTTCGGGACCAATGCAAACATCTTAACAGGGAATAAGTCGTCTGGAAATCCATGTTGAAGGGCCTCTTGAACAACTTCAAGCCCAGCCTTTTGAAAAATCTGTTTGTAGCTTGCTTCCGTACGAGTTACACTGCTATCTTGTTCGTCAAAACAGTCTTTAAAATGGGCAATGTTTTCCTAAAACCTTGTTAGGTACATGATCACACCGATCGTGTTGATTACCTTGACACAGATCACACCGTTTGGAACAAGAGCTTTTTGTGCTCGTACCAGATAGGCCAAAAGGTCTTCGTCTGTTAAATGGGACAGACACCACTGATTCCAAATGACGGCTATGAGAGTTAGAAAGCGAAATCGTAAACATCACTGAGGGAATTCGCAAAGAACAATAGAAATTATCAAATAAAGCTTCTCCTCTCTCCCTCAATGCAGCACTACGTACCATACTTTCCGTGTTCGGGCGTCCACTTTTCAAGGCCGGTACAGAAAAAGTCGCATGGCTTTTCCTTCAACTGCTCCTTAGCGGTATCAAGAAACTTGGGAATAGGTTCCACAAGATCGACATGCTGAAAGAAGGACAAGAGCACGTTTTCAGTAACACGTCCAATGCCGGCACCGCAGTCTGCAGCAACAGCAGGCTGAATGTCTTGCCACCTGCTTTTCAGACGGTTCAAGAATTGACGACTTGCAAGAGCATCCACTCGAGGAATCTATGAAATATTATCGTGTGAGACCAAGCGGTTAACGAGCCATGCTATTCCAAAGGACGAGTTTTTCACGTTTGTGATGTTCTCGAAAAGACCGTCATCAAACGGCTCCTCATTGAACAGAAAATCATGTTCTTAGAAGAGACTTCATCATTGAGTTTTGTTGAGCCGTTTTCGAGTTCCATAACGTTCGTCAACTTGACGAGAAAAATTCCGTCCTGAAATTGCAAAACAGTTCTCACGTACCCTTCCTCTACCAAAGCCACCGAGCATTCCATCTACGGTAGGCTCGATTTTCGTCCAGTATCTGTGTTGTTAGCGGTTTTCCACTGCACACTTCCGTACTCGACTGCGTCCTTATAGAAATTTGTGTTGGTCATACTCCTTGCCAGAACCATGCAGGTCCAGCAAGCAAAAGAGGAACACCAAAATTTAAACGAAGCTCCTAAGGGTGCTCTGCGTACTGTTTTCAATGACAGATACGATTTCAACGTCAAGCATCCTTTGACTCGTGCCTGGACACTGTGGTTTTTGATGCCGCCTACGCCTGGTTTGGAATGGAATGAACTTCAAAAGAATGTGATGACTTTCAAGAGTGTCGAAGAGTTCTGGGGGTAAGTAGGGCGTACATTGTCCTTTTCTTGCGCCGGACGTTTCCATTGAACCTGTGAATTCTCGTTCAAGACGGTTTTCTTCGGTGTTGAAAAAAAAATATCAAGTTCTTTAGCTAACAACTGTGCCAGCATACAAAACAACATCCATACTGCTTCTTCTTTGCCCATCAAGTCAGACTACTCCTTCTTCCGTGAGGGTGTTCGTCCTGAGTGGGAAGATGTTCACAACAAAAACGGTGGAAAATGGGCTTTTCAAAACAAGGGACGCGGTGGTGCTGCCCTTGACGAGATGTGGTTGAATACAGTAAGTTTTACGAGTGGACCGGAGCTGTGAAGAAAAGGAAAGATGCTCAGAACGACTATAAGGTGGAATAGCATGCGAGTGTGTCGTCAGCAGTGCCATCCCTGCTTCCAGAACGCTGTTCCTAGTCTTTCCTACGTTTCTTCATACTTCTTCGTCCCCCCCTCTCTCTCTTTCCTATTACTAACTCTTCCAGGTTTTGGCCGCCATTGGCGAGAGTCTGACCCCACTGGTGAGGAAGTTATGGGTGTTGTAATCAACATGCGTAAGGGCTTCTATCGTTTGGCCGTGTGGACCAAGACCTGCTCGAACCGTGAAGTGCTGATGGAAATTGGCACTCGTTTCAAACAAGCCCTGAACTTGCCCCGTAACGAGACCATCGAGTTCAGTGCTCACGAGGACTCATCCAAGTCAGGCAGTACCCGTGCCAAGACCCGCATGAGTCTGTAAGTAAACTTTTGGTTAGGTTTTGAATTTTTGATTCTGTTGAAACAAGCCGAATATAGTGAGTTGGAGTGAGTTCGTTAATGCACTTAGCGAGGCAGGAGGAGGTTTTATGCGGTAGGACGGTTTAGCTATCTTTGTCGCGCTGCAGTTCGTTAATCATGTTATCGTAATTGGCTTGCTTCTGTCTTCCGCCTCGCTAACGTTAATAAGGAGGCTTACAGCACTTTACCAAAGTGCATTGCAGTTTCGTATCACCCGACCCCACGTGGCAAACTCGGCTGTCGCCCATCGCTTCCGACCGACCATACGCGAACCACCGAGCGCTTACATAACTTGCCGTCTCCCATCCATCGTTCAGCGTCAGTCAGCTTTCCATCCGTACTTCGGCTTTTTTGCTGTTAGGAAAAGGATATTTCGAGGATTCCAGTTATTTAGGAACAGCTGTGCTTCAATTGGATCGTGTGCTCCTTTTTGGTACGTCGAAAAACGCATTAATTGCCTTTTCGCGCGAGTTGAGACTAAAAGTCGAAGATTGGAGGGAAAAACGTTCTACTTTTGGTAGCACCCCACGTTACGTACACTGAAATTGGTCTGTACGTGTTCCTTTCCTGTGTATCTCACTTGGACATACGTCTTTTGCCGTATTGGACTCGGATTGCTGAGAAAGAAGGGATTAAGTTGGAATCAAGGCTTCTTGTGCCACGAACTACAATCAGAACTCGAATAGTTGCGGCAACTCCGTTCATTTACCGGTAGGTGTTTGCTGAACGTTCATCTGAGTTGTATTTTACAAAAAAACTGCGTATCTATCCATCCTTTGCTTGCGAACGCATTCTCTAGATCATCAAAATGTTGGACACATCGCCTATGAGCGTTGGAAAACGGTATACCATCGCCAACAGAGCGACAAAGTATGATTTGTCCATGCAGTTCAACCCCATGCACACCTTGCGCAAGTTGCGGAACGTCAAGTGGAAGGTGACGCATCTGCAGTACATCGTAATCACTGCTTCTATGATCTACAGTGTGTGTATCATTCAGGAACCCGGTTTCTGGGTCAAAACCCTGGTCGCCGTGGCCTTGACTGTTGCACTGCTCCTTCCATTGACGAGCCAGTTTTTCTTTCCCGCCATCTCTATCCTTGCATGGTTGTTTTTGTTCTATGGTTGCAAGTTTATTCCCGTTTCTGTGCGCCCACACATTTGGGTCCGTGTGCTCCCTGCTCTGGAGAACATCTTGTACGGCTCCAACATCTCCAGTCTTTTGTCGAGCACAACTCACAGCGTGTTGGACGTTATCGCATGGCTCCCCTACGGTGTCATCCACTATGGCGCGCCATTCATTGTTTCCTTCGTGTTGTTCGTGTTCGCACCTCCCGGCACATTGCCTGTGTGGGCACGCTCCTTTGGTTACATGAACCTGATCGGAGTGCTCATCCAGATCTTCTTCCCCTGCTCGCCGCCTTGGTACGAGAACATCCATGGTCTCTCTGCCGCCAACTACGGCATGCATGGCTCACCGGGTGGTTTGGCGCGTATTGATGCGTTGTTCGGTACTTCCACCTACACCAGCACGTTCACCAACTCGCCTCTTGTGTTTGGTGCTTTCCCTTCGCTGCATGCTGCTTGTGCCATGCTTGAGGCGTTGTTCTTGGCCCACACGTTCCCGCGTGTTCGATTCGTCTTCTACGGTTACGTGCTTTGGTTGTGCTGGTGCACGATGTATTTGACCCATCACTACTTCGTCGATCTTGTGGGCGGTTGTGTCTTGGCTCTGGCATGCTATCTCTTTGCCGAGAAGCTGTACTTGCCTCAACTGCAGCCGGGCAAGGTGCTGCGCTGGGAGTACGACACGATCGTGCGTGGAAGTTCGGGCCACACGGCCGAAAAGGCGTTTGCTGTGGATGCAGAGACGGAGCGTGAGCGTAATGTTGTCGAATTTGTCGAGGAAATGGATGCACTTGAAATGGCGGACCTCGACCGGGAATGGTCAATTGGTTCTTCGGCCCCCAACTCTGTTATTGAGACTCCTATTCGCATGCGTTCTCCTCCCGCACATCCTTCCACACAACCACCCATCACCGTTGAATCTGCTAAAATGACTGCCGCAAAAGCGTAATTAAACCCCCATAATGGAGCACGCAGTATACACATACACACGAAAGGTGCTGACGGTCTGTCATTTATATTTTTTATTTATTAAAAAGACGAGTCCAGGCATACGTGTGCGGGCACATGCATTCGCATGCGTCTGCACGAACATGAATCCGTACAAACTACTTTTGTCTCCGTTTCAATTCTACGGTGTGATTGTAAACGCGGGCAGTGTTGACCTCCATGGTTGTAATCTGAGCTCTGAGGAACTCAAGGTCCTCCTTGCATGTCTTGAGAGTTTCCTTGGCCGCCTCTAGTTTTGAAGTAAGAAGTGTTTTGGCCTCTGCGACGGGATATTCAAGCATCACGTTTGCTCCGAGCCACAAGCACACCGTGTTGGAAGCAGTAACCTGAGCGTTGGCGTACAGCGTGTCGTCCAGCTCGTAGAGTACGTCCAAGTTTTCATCCTGTTCAGCTTCCAAGAACGTTACCGTCTGTAGAGTCTTTTCAATTTCCGGAAGTTTTTCATCGAGGCCTGCGACACGGCGGACGATGCTCGTTTCCATGAATCTATATTTACTGTAAAAAGGTTAGCAGGACGAAGCTGGGGAGCATGAGACCGCGGTTGGTGACTATTTGCTCAGGTGGTGAATTTCTGTGTGTCCCATATTTGTTATGTGCCTGCTGCACCTGTGTCTCCTCCACTTACGCAATGAACTCTTGGAACCGGGTCAGCTGCTTCTCGGCCTCCTCCAAGCTAAGCTCTTTAAATTCATAAAACTCGGCCGCAGGAATTCCCCTGCCGTTTCTGTGATGTTAGACGACGTGCTGAAGGTGCGACATACGTGTTGCTGCTGTCCATGTTAAGGAAGAGACCAGACGGGCGTGCGGTGTGTGTGCCCGTAAGTGGGATGAACCCGACGAGAACGGGGGCAGTGTGGGGTTTGGTGGGATGGGTGGTGGTGTTTTGTGTTGGCGGTGTGTGTTCGGCCCCCGCTAGAACCCCAACTGTTCGAGGATGCGTTTTGTCTTGTGGGTGTGTTTGCCTTTGAGGATGACGTGGTTTGTGGGGGTGCGGACAAAAGCCTGGCAGTGGAGTTGCTGAGCAAGTGTGCGCTGGAGAGCAGACGCGTCTCCTTGGACCCGTCGAATTATGGTGAGAATCTGGGAGCCGCCATTTTTGTAGTCGACATAAACTGGCAGTTGGTTTGTATGAGTGCGGGTTACACGGAAGGGCAGGCGGGCGAGGGTTCGGCCGAGCATGTTGGCGGACATCAAGGGACGACGGAAAGCAAGAAAAGGTTTAACGTGCTGCGCAAGCGCGTGCTAACTTGGATAGTGTGGGGTGGCGTGGACCAACGTGCTCTAGCACAATAGGTTTAAGATGCGTTGGAGCGCGTTGGTCATCGTTGCGCTTTAATAAAAATTTTTGTGTGGTTCGCAAAAGAATATAGCGTACTGCGCACAGAGTTTCACTATTCGAGGATAGTGTGTTTATTTGCACTACCTTTCAGTCCTCTGCGACTCGTTATACCCGTCTTACACCCCTTCGCACCACACGGTGGTGCTCAGCGGTACTCAGCGGTACTCGGTGCTCAGAGCTGACGACGCGCACCCGAAAATCCTCTCCATGAACCGCGAAGAAAAAAACCAGGAAGCGACAATCTACATTGGCAACCTCGATGACAAAGTCACCGACTCCATTTTGTTCGAACTGTGCCTGCAGGCGGGTCCAGTAGGTAAGGAACCGCGCGACCGAGTCAGCAGCTGTCAGCAGCTGACGACCGCTGACGACTTCTTGCTGTGCAATCACCGCTAACGACTTCCACAGTTCACATTCACATCCCCCGTGACCGGATCCGGGCGACACACAACGGCTTTGGGTTCTGCGAGTACGCCACCGAAGCTGACGCCGAGTACGCGTGTCAAGTGCTCAACCAGGTCAAACTCTTCGGCAAGGCGATTCGCGTCAACAAGTCGAGCCAAGCAAAAACACGCAGAGCGTGATCGGTGCCAATGTGTTCGTGGGCAATCTCGACACACTGGTCGACGAAAAAGTTCTGTTCGACACGTTTTCCGCGTTCGGACAGATGGTCCAACCGCCTCAGGTGGTTCGCGACGACAGCGGCAAGTCCAAGGGCTACGGCTTTGTGTTCTTCGACAGCTTTGAGGCTGGTGATGCTGCCATCGAAGCTATGAACAACCACTTCTTCATGAACAAAACCATCACCGTGTCCTACGCATACAAACGCGAGGGCAAGGGCGACAAGCACGGCGACGCTGCTGAGCGGAAGCTGGCCGCCGCCGCTAAAAAGAATCGCGTGCAGACGCTGCCTGCTGGGTTTGCACCGGCAGCAGCTCCTGTAGGAGCTGCTGCTGCTGCTGCTGCTGTATCCGGTGGCCTGCCAGCAGCGAACGGGGCTCCAGCAGTCCCGATCCCAGCACCGGCCGTCCCGCCGGTCATGGCCGGTGTCTACGGTGTGCCTCCTCCCTTCCCCGTCGTGCCCGGCATGCCTATGCCGCCCATGGCACCCGGTGCCATGGGCGGTCCTCCCGTCCCTGTGCCTGGTGCTGCCAACCCAATGGTGCCCCCACCACCTCCCCCCGGAACCACTCGCAGTCGCAGACGCTAGCCCCACCTGCGCCCCCGCAAACAGCTCGCTCCCCCACACTCCCACCTCTAACGGCTCTGCATCGCCTCGTCCTCTTCCCTTCCCTTTTCTCTTTCCTCCTTTCTCCCACCCATCCTGCCATCATCCTTTCTCCCTCATCACCATGCTGCTCCCACTCGTAGCGCTGCTTGCGCTGCTGCGGCTTCGCGCCTGCGTGGCAGAAATTGCCAACTACAACGCGGACCTGGTGGGCACCTGGACGTCCAAGTCCGAGACTGTATTCACCGGACCATCGTTCTTCGACCCCACCAACGAGGACTTCTACGAGCCCGACCTGCCGGGCATCAGCTACAGCTTCACGGAGGACGGCCACTATGAGGAGGCGATCTACGTCGTCACGGCGAATGCTTCGACGCCCTCGTGCCCGACCGGTGTGCTCCAGTTCCAGCACGGCACCTACGCCATCAGCGACAGCGGCAACATGACGCTCACTCCGTACTACGACGACGGTCGCCAGCTGCTCAGCGATCCCTGCTCGGACTCGCAGTACTCGACGTACACCGAGTACAGCCAGACCGAGGTGATGTCCGAGTTCTATGTCGCCATGGACACCTACCACGGCCGCTACAAGCTGCAGCTGTACCAGTGGGATGGAACACCAATGCAACCCATGTACCTCGCTTACCGCCCTCCCATGATGCTGCCTACTCAGCACTTCTCCACCACCTCGAACAAGAAGCGCAGTCTGTCCAGTGGTGGCAGCAGAATGGCCCGTCGAGGGCCCGTCGCAGTGGGCTCTGTTCGTCCAAAAACACAGCAAGGGCATCCGCTGGCTGGGCCTCGGATTCATCGCCTTCGGCAGTGTCGGCTTCCTGCTGGTCTCTTAAACACGCACACACACACACACACATCGGGCGGAGGCCGGCAGCGAGGCCTCCAGGGAGATGCGAGCGCGAGCGAGTCGGAATGAAACCGCGTAAAAATGGGTAACGCGGGCGAGTGAGAACTAAAAAACTGCCATGCGCCTCTCTCGCTCTCCTTGGGACTCCCTCTTTTTCGCTGTTGCCCCGCAAATTTAACCCTAACCTATCCACCCGCAGTCACACACCAACACATTGGCCCTCCCATCCACACACGCTCCACAACATCCAGGATGGCTACTGAACTTGTCGTGCAGAGCGAGCGTGCTTTCCAAAAGCAACCTCACATCTTCCAGAACGCCAAGAAGACCGTCGGCCGCCGCCGTTGGTACAAGGACGTCGGTCTGGGCTTCAAGACCCCCGCTGAGGCCATCCGCGGCGAGTACATTGACAAGAAGTGCCCCTTCGTTGGTCAGGTTTCCATCCGTGGCCGTATCTTGACTGGCACTGTCGTTTCCACCAAGATGCACCGTACCGTGGTCATCCGCCGTGAGTACTTGCACTTCATCCCCAAGTACAACCGTTACGAGAAGCGTCACAAGAACTTGTCCGCTCACCTCTCGCCCGCTTTCCGTGTCAACGAGGGTGATGTTGTCACTGTCGGTCAATGCCGCCCCCTCAGCAAGACTGTTCGCTTTAACGTTCTCCGCGTCGTCAAGCATTCTGAGGGTCCCAAGCAATTTGGCAGGTTTTAGATAATGCAGTAAGATAATTGGCATCAGGAGTGCGACTGGGGATGATGGGGACCGGCTTGCTTATGGCCAGGTTGTAGTAGTCGTAGCTGCAGGGCAACTTTAGGAGTGGTGGGCATTGCGCTGTTGGTTTGTGAGGAGGGGTCCATAAGGTGCACCAATCTCTCCATCCATCGGTTCGTCTAGGAAGCATGTGCTCCGCCGAATCTCGCATCTCGTTAGCGAGCGCTCTGCGGTGCTTGTTTTCGCTCATTTTCGCTCACTGCGTTCGCCGTGCAGATCTTATCTTTGGTATTTCTTGCCTTCTCGCTCCCCCTTTCTAGAGCCAAACACAACCATGGCTGCCATTCGCAAAATCATCTTGGGTCTTATTCCTGCCGATGGAATTGGCAGAGAAGTCGTTCCGGCTGCTGTCCGCATGATGAAAAACTTGCCCGCCAAGCACAACTTGCAGTTCGACTTTGTCGACCTCGATGCCGGCTGGGGAACCTTCGAACGCACTGGTGTCGCCCTTCCTGAAAAAACTGTCGAGCGCCTGAAGACCGAGTGTAACGCTGCTCTCTTCGGTGCCGTCCAAAGTCCTACGCACAAGGTTGCCGGCTATTCTTCGCCCATTGTCGCTCTGCGTAAGCTTCTCGGCTTGTACGCTAACGTCCGTCCTGTCAAGTCGCTCGCCAACACCAAGGGCAAGACCGTCGACATGGTCATTGTTCGTGAGAACACCGAGTGCTTGTACATCAAGGAGGAGCGCATGGTTGTCGAGACGCCTGGCAGACGTGTCTCCGAGGCCATTCGTCGTATCAGCGAGGAAGCCTCCGTCAAGATTGGAAAGATGGCCTACCAAATCGCTCTTAGCCGCCAAAGAATCCGCGACGCTGGTGCTGCTTCCATTCACTCCAAGCCCAATGTCACCATCATTCACAAGTCCAACGTTATGTCTGTGACCGACGGTTTGTTCCGTGAGTCTTGCCGCTACGCTCAAACTTTGGATCCTGCTTTCGCTTCCGTCAGCGTTGACGAGCAAATTGTTGACTCAATGGTGTACCGTCTGTTCCGTGAGCCTCAATGCTTCGATGTCGTTGTTGCTCCCAACTTGTACGGTGACATCTTGTCCGATGGTGCTGCCTCCTTGATCGGTTCTTTGGGTCTTGTCCCCTCTGCCAACGTTGGTGATGACTTTGTCATGTCTGAGCCTGTTCACGGTTCTGCCCCTGACATCGCTGGCCGTGGTATTGCCAACCCTGTTGCTACGTTCCGCTCTGTTGCCCTTATGCTTGAGTTCATGGGTCACCAAGAGGCTGCTGCTGATATTTACCGTGCTGTCGACAGTGTACTCATGGAGGGCAAGGTCCTTACTCCCGATTTGGGCGGTAAGTCTGGCACCAACGAGATTACTGACGCTGTCATCGCCAAGATGAACTAAGCGAAGAAAAAACGTTTCACGTCTGGTCTCGGGTTTTTTTTCCATAGATCATACCCAATTTTTTTGTTGAATAGGACTGAAGGAGGGCGAATGGGGAAAAAGTAATAATTGTTGTAGAAGGGCTTTGTATAAAGATATGTTATGTTTTTGTGTATCGCGTTGTCGCTGTTATTTTGTGTGTTCTATCGTCGTCGTCGCCGTCATCATTATCTACTTCTCTTTGGCCCAGGGCTTCTCCGCCTGAGCACGAAGCACAGAGGAACGCAATGTGGCAATCACATCCTTGGGAGACGATGCGAGAAACACAGCCGTACCTGCGACAATCACATTAGCACCGGCGTTCGCAGCAGAGTCGATTGTCTTGGGAGAAACACCGCCATCCACTTCAATGTCCAACTCTGGATACCGTTGACGAAGATACTCCACCTTGGGCAGGCATTCAGGCATAAAGCTTTGACCACCCTTGCCAGGCTCAACGGTCATGACAAGCACCATGTCCAAGTGAGCAACCAAAGGCTCAATCGCCTCGACAGGTGTTTTGGGCTTGATGGCACAGCCAACACGCATACCACGTGCGTGTGCACGTTCAATCACCTCCATGTGCTTTTCCGTGGCTTCGTAGTGGAAGCAGAACAGGTTAGCTCCAGCGTCAGCAAAATCGTCAACCCAACGCTCAGGGTTCATCACCATCATGTGGCAGTCGAAGAATGCCTTCTCTTTGGGTACACCGTTGCGCATGCACTTGACCACGACGGGGCCAATCGTCAACTGGGGCACAAACTGAGAATCCATAATGTCCACATGCAGCCAGTCACTGCCATAATCAACCATACGAACAACCTCCTTTTGGAGGTTAGAGAAGTCTCCAGCAAGGAGAGAAGGTGCAATTTTGGGTTCTGGCATGTTTAAGCGTCTAGTTTCAGTGGTTTTAGTGTTTTGCTCTGGAGAAAACGTCTCCGACGGTGGAGCGCGTTTGTGTTCTTCGCGTGTGCAGTCGGATTACGTCATTCGATTGTATACGCGTCAAAGTGCACCGAAAGCAATTTCTGTGAGTTGAAAGAACACGCGGGACCGTAGCAACAGTTTTTAATGGCGTTTTTCAATGTTTAGCATTGACATTGTATAATTTTGCTTTTGTGTTTCAATCAACGAGTGCTTCTGACAAATCATCGCGTCCAATTTCAATGGATTATTTCAAATTGTTCATTACTAGGTTTTGTGGATTAAAAATGTGTTTGGTAGAGGGAAGGTTACACAACGCGGGAAACGGGCAGTTGTATCCAGATATGTGACGTCATAGTAATAATTTAGAGTTTCGCGTAACCGAACATTAAAACTTGTGGATCATCAATATATGCGAGTGAAGATGAACGAGTGTAGCATTAACGGATCAAAGATGTTTCTCAGTAAAGGGGAGACGGTGTGAAACTGCAGCTGCAACTGGAATTGGAATTGGGTTTGGGTTCTTTCCGTAACGTAATTGTATTTTTTGTAATTTTTTTTTTTTTTTTTTTATTTTTTGTTATTATGTTTTACAAATCAAAGTCTAAAATTGTTCATTAATTTAGATACCCAAGTTCCTTCCTAGACTGAAGAAGCATACTTCTTCATGTTGTAGGGATTGAAAGCTTGTGGGTCGGATGGCCTGAATCAACATCAATTTCAATTACAATTTCAACTACGAATCTCACAAAGTTTTTGGATTGACAAATTTCACAATATCAGTAGAGGACTACAACAATATGATCAAAGTTCAAATTGTGTGAATCGTGCCTTACAACGGACATGTATATTGTTTTCTGTATTACAATTCCAATACTAAAAGTTCCGTTGAAGAAACACATGTACATGGCATTATCAGTATAAACCGGCATGTAAGCGCACCGTACACCTCAATTAAAGTACCCACCTCATACTTAAAGATCACATGCCAGGAACATTAGTGCGCTTCCACTAAACTTGTTGTAAGCTTTCTCCATATGATAATAGTTTTCATTGTATCAAGTAAACAGCACTCTCTATGAATATAAGGAAGAGATAATTCATGAAATACACACATTCCTTAAGTTCAATATTTTGACAACACTCATTCCATTGTCTTTCCTATTGCGACTCAAAAACGTAATAATCAAGTTACAAGTACTACTGGTACTCTCAAGAACAAACGCAACAGAACCTATGCAACATGTAGTAGCACAATTTTTGCGCGAGTATTTAAAACACCGAAACGCTAAAAACTAAGTGCCTTTTCGGCGAATTACTGTTTTCGCTTGAAGCAAGATGCCGCTCTCTGTAACCATCATCCTGTGTCAATGAGAACATTAGAATCTAAAAAGGCCAGTCGTCCTAAAAGTTTAAAACGTAATCGTCGTTCTCTCAAAAAAAATCCACAGACTCTCGAGATTCCTGTTTTACGTAACAAAATAGCTACTGAAAGCACGTCTCAGGATGACTCTTCCCTCCAGGTTGTAGATGGAAGTATTTCAGACGCTGAACGAAGAAAAAAAGACGTTGCTGCGAGCTTCGTCACTAAAAACAAAGTGTCTGATACAAATGTTGTGTCCAGATCACAGCGCGGTCGGGTACAGAAATGTGAATATCATTCTACGTCTTCTACGGATCAGCATCCTATTGGTTCATCATCAACCGTGCATGAGAAATCCATATTCAAAGAACGAACGGACGATACCGCTCAACCCATAGCACTTGCTAAACAAGGTAAAGATGGAATCTCTAATTCAGACAATGAAGACGCATACTCTCTTCAACAAGAGCTAGGAAAAGAAGAAATCCACCAGACACAGGATTCAGAAGAAAAAATAAAAGGTAGAGATGATCAGAACACTGCTGTATACAATGACCACGGGCATAACGATGCAGTCTCCGTGAGTCGCACTACGGCTATCTTGCCTCTACAATCAACGGTTTCTTCTGACGATGATGTGCCCTTGGCCAGCTTAATAGCACTTAAAAGGCAGAAGCGCAAGAATTCTGCTCGGGACTCTTCAATCAAGAAAAAGCCGGCTAGAACGCCGCAAATGAAGGAATTTCCTTACTATGAGAGGGCGATACGTCGTCTGGAATTTCAACATCCTGAACTTGCAACTTTATGGGACCGTCTTGACGCTGAAACTACTGTTGAACTAGAATGTGCCGAGCAACCTAAAAGTCTAAAACTTCAATTAATGCCATTTCAACTGCAAGGCCTTAATTGGTTAAAGCGACAGGAAAGCTCTTCTTATCGTGGAGGTATACTGGCTGACGAGATGGGTATGGGAAAAACTATCCAGACTATTGCCTTGCTACTGTCGGAACCTAGAGGAAAGCCAACCCTTATTGTGGCTCCTGTTGTTGCATTACTACAATGGAAGTCAGAAATTGAATTGCATTCTGACCACTCGCTTCAAGTGTATACATATCATGGCGCATCCCGCACAGCCAATGCTAAAGAATTGTGTGAATGTGATGTGGTACTGACAAGCTACAACATGGTGGAAACCGTGTATCGTAAAGAGCATAAGGGTTTCCGCTCCAAGTCTGGTGTTGTAAAAGAAAAATCGGTGCTTCACTCAATTAACTTTTATCGAATTGTATTAGATGAAGCACACAAAATTAAATCTCATTCAAACACCACGACAGCCATATACGAGTTGCAGTCAGATCGAAAACTATGTTTGACTGGTACACCATTACAAAACCGCATTGGTGAAATATTTTCATTACTTAAATTCTTGAAGGCAGATCCTTTTGTGTATTGTTTCTGCGCGTGTTGCAGCTGCAAGACACTTACTAACCCGAGAACATTGATGTGCAACAGTTGTAAACACAGTTGCAAACAGCATTCATGCTTTTTCAATGTGGCATTGCTAAAACCCATTAATGATTTTGGGAACGATTGGCGAGGTCAAGCCGCGTTTGCGAAAGTGCATATATTACTTCGACGAATTATGCTGCGACGAACCAAGTTGGAAAATGCCGATGATATAGGCCTTCCTCCTCGCGTTGTCAGAGTACGGCGAGACTTGTTTAGCAAGGAAGAGGAGGATTTGTATCATTCATTATTTATTGAATCAAAACGCAAATTCGATACCTATGTTGAAGAAGGCGTTGTTTTAAACAATTACATGTACGTTATGATTAGCGCACAAAAACTTGCTCTTTGTATTTTCGAAATATTAATCCTTATACAGCAACATTTTCCAATTGATTACGCGAATGCGCCAGATGGCTGATCACCCTGATCTCGTTTTAGCAAACAAGAATAAGACGATAGATGTTAAAACACAGGACAATTTTGTATGTCGCATTTGTGATGAGGTTGCACAAGATGCCATACGATCAAAATGTAAACATATTTTCTGTCGGTTGTGTGTTTCAGAATTTGTTAGCACGGCTGCGGCAGACAATGCGCAGTGTCCATCATGCTTCCTTCCTTTAGACATTGATCTGGATGCTCCTGCATTAGAGGAAATTGGCAAAGAGGAAGCAAGTAAATACAAAACCTCGATTCTTAATCGCATTGACATGAACAATTGGCGATCATCTACAAAAATTGAGGCACTGGTGGAAGAATTGTATATGTTGCGAAGAAAAGATCGCACAACTAAGTCAATTGTATTCTCCCAATTTGCAGCAATGCTTGATCTTGTCAGTTGGCGCTTACGTAAAGCAGGATTCAATTGTGTTAGACTTGAAGGCGGTATGACACCCAAAGCGCGCGATGCTACTATTAAAGCGTTCTGTTCCGATGTCAATATTACTGTCTTTTTGGTTTCGCTTAAGGCAGGTGGCATTGCATTGAATTTGACTGAAGCATCACAGGTGTTTATGTTAGACCCTTGGTGGAATGCATCTACTCAATTGCAAGCCATGGATCGTATTCATCGGATCGGTCAGTGTCGTCCCATTCGTATTACGACACTGTGTATTGAAAATTCCATTGAAAGTAAGATCATTCAACTTCAAGAGAAAAAGGAAAAGCTGGTTAAGGCAACCTTGGATTGCAATACGACGGCGTTTAATCAAATGACTGCCGAAGACATACGGTTTCTTTTCACTTCTTGAGCTGATGATAAATCTCTCGTCTAGCCCGCGGCTAGACTACAATGGATCGTTTTATAACAACTTGTTTCTCTTATTACTCTTTCTTTTTTTTTTCTTCTTATTCTTTTTTGAAATAGATTCCATATTCTTCCTTTTCTTAAATACTCCGCTGGACCCTGTAATTGCTTTCATTGTTTCAAGACGCCTACCAATTCTTATTAAACATTATTTTACATTTTCAGTAAATTTATGATTTTGCGACCTGTCTCTAACAGTTTACAGCGGATTTCCATTTTACCGGGTCTTTTTTCTTTAGCTAATTGCAGTTATAATTATCATGGTATAACTGACCCGCTCTTTTTAATAAATAGCCGAAATCGACTTCTTCTCTATAATATATTTTAACATATTTAAATAGCTAAATTGTAATTGTTACTTTTATTTTTATTTGGAGTATTGTGCACATGTATACTTTACTAACGAGTTTTGAATGACTTTCTTGTTGTATTTAACTATACGTACCTTACGCAATCGATGTATCCACTCGTATTCTTTGAGTCCAATATTGTTGTGTTAAAGAAGAAGCTAAACGCTTCACCCTGTATCAAAATTCTTGTTATTTGAAAACAAAATGCCTACACTTTGTATTGTTTCCAAGGTTAAAGTTATACTTGTCTGTCCAGTATAATTACTTAATCGGCTTCGACTATGCCAGAGTTGTGCACACAATAATTAATTGTATAGTTCGTTATTAACTAAGCTGAAAGTATGAAAATGCGACTTTAACTCAACACGGTTATTAGTAAATAGATTTGACTTGCTTCTCTCAGCGCTAATTGTGGTAAAAAAGGTAAAAATTAGTGCGACAGTCCCAATTAGTTCAACTATCTGGTAGTTTTATTTAATTAACCTTCATAGTGCTGAGCTTGAGCACTTAGTATTTTAGAATAAGGTTTCGGCCAATGTAACTATATTTAATATTTTGCGACAAGTTTACTAGAACAGAAGATAGTGTGCTGAATGCATTCGCAGTGTTCATGAAATTATTACCATTGAAGTTACAAAATTTCATTAATGTTAAAGTTTAAATGTTTATTATTCAGACAAATAGTTGAGACAGACTAGAGCTAATTGTGTTTACAGACTTCAAACTTTCAAATTAATTTGTCCGAGTTATTCTTTTTTGTCCAAAATCACCAAAACTGAAAAGCGACAATCTCGTTGCACTTATACAGAATTTAGATATCGGAAACGCGGAGGTGAATTTAAACGTAATAGCTCCTTTGACGTGAATGTCATGGAGAAAACCGACTTATGTCATCGACTCTGAGTACTTTCGAACTTAAATAGGAAACAATCATTCAACTGATTGGTTTCTTAGATTGAATGCCTAAGCATTTGCTAATATTGAGACAACCCGCTGAACATTACTTAATTCTCTTGACAACTAACTTTCAAAATCTGTTGTGCATAACATAACATATAGGTTTTATTAACCGAAGCTTATTTGGATAGGTTTGAAGAATTAAGTTACTCATTGTTTGAAGCCTATGAACAAGAATCCTCAATCGAATCAAACATATTCGACCTCGAATTCTGACAAAATGTCTTAAGCAGCGATGCCCGAGTGGTCTAAGGGGGCAGATTTAAGTTGGCTGAAAGGTTAATGGAACTCTGCTGTTGATAAACGCGCGAGTTCGAACCTCGCTCGCTGCATTATTATTTCTGTTGTTCATTTTTTGTTGTTAAAGTCATTTGACATTTGTTGGAAATGGATTGAGATCAAGTGAGAACAACTTCAGCAGGAGATCCTTACCAAGAAGGCACAAATAGCATTCTGAATAATTATTTAAGCTCTTATGTCAAATGCTGTGGCTCTAATGCCATTCGTGTGACGAAATCACAATAGTTTTTCTATTCCCATTCCAATATATAAAACTTTTCAGTTGTAGTAACTTTTGGATCAACCACAAACGTTTGGAATGCTTTAAAACGAGTTTGAAAGTTCGTAGAATAATTGGCTTATCATAGTACCATTGAAACTTGTTAGAAACTTAAATTTACAAAGAGGAATTTAGTCTTGTTTAATTGCAACAATGACATCTACGGCTCCCAAACGATACCAAACAGGCTTTCCTCATCCAACTGTTAACAGTAACAAGTGTACTAAGAATCAGTTATCCACGTCCGGTGAATAACGACATCAGAATAACTGCTCAGTATGGAAGGAAAAATTACAATTTAACGACTAACCACTAAGCCGTGGAGAGATTCAAAGAATAGTATTTTTCAATTATACAAATGATTAAGCTGCTTGTTTATTGTCTTCCTTTTTTTGGCACACCACTTTCTACCAGATATTTTTTTCTATTCAATCATAATTTTCTGTAGTGACAGATGTGTTTAGATCAGAAAAATGATCATATTGACTCTTTATATATATGTTAGAATTCAACAAGCAGAGTATTCATTCATATAGACTTTTATTAATCAACGCTCGCTTAAAAGTAAACCTTAATAGGTATTTGCGAAAAGGAAATTAAAAAAAAACCTAAAACATTAAAAAAACGTCCAATGATTAGCGGACATCTGAAATTCATCGAAAATAAAAGTTTAATAATCATTTTTGTCAAAGTTCAATAACTGTATTTCATATTGGCTGGTGTTTTTCTAATGGTCGCTTGTTCGCAGAGCCGAAACCTTACTTGAATTTACGAAAATTGGAATCTTAAACTCTTATAGAAGAATGAAAATAACATAGCAACAACTGGTATACAGAATTATCCGTATAGTAGCTGTAGTTCTTTCTCTAAAATAGTTACACCCATAGCTTCTTATGATATTGATGCACATACAAAATACAAGCCGAAGACCAAGTGTTTTTACTTAAGAAGCAAAATAGACTGTACCCATCAAGAACAAAAAAGCTACGAGACAGGAAATCTCATGTATCTCGTCACCAGCAGGACTTGAACCTGCGCGGGCATAGCCCATTAGATGCCTGAGCGAATTCAAGTCTAACTCCTTAACCGCTCGGACATAGTGACTCTTGTTTTGCTATTGCGGTTCGAGGCCCTAAATATTCAGTTCACTTGAGGATTCCTGTTAATAACTTCTCTCTTTGAACGCGCAATAAATTCTGAAAGTTGCTGTTGAAAGAAACAAGTAGTGTTCAACGGATCATAACCATTGAACCCTTATATTTTTTTTACAACTAATTAATTGATAATATCGTTTGGTTACTGATTCGTATTTGTAATGCTTGTTAACTTCAGAGAAACAAAATCTTATTGTTTTGCAAGATGTACAAATGAAAAGCAATGGCTTGGAATTTCGTCGTAATAGTAACGAATATGAGCAAATGCTTAGGCATTCAATCTAAGAAACCAATCAGTTGAATGATTGTTTCCTATTTAAGTTCGAAAGTACTCGGAGTCAATGACATAAACGTAATGGCTTCGCAACAATTCAAGCTGTAATGGCTTGGCTGAAGCGGATGCCCTTTCGTCAACTGAGGTCTGCTGCATCTGAGAGTTCGAGTCTTGCAATTGATCTTCTAATCCCTCTCTTCCTTCGGAAGGCAGCTTCTGTAAGGACGGAGGGTTAAACACGGAGCCATCGGCGGAGGTTGGTGACAATGCACGTCAACTCCGGGTTAGAGGCAGTGCGATTGCGATGGGATTCACTCTAGCATCGGCCCCCAGGAAGGGGGCCCGCTACAGCACATTTTTGTTCATTCAAAAAATTTTGTTAAGAAATCCAAAAAAGAAACAGGACCAATTACTTCACAGAATGGAGTAAACAAAAGCTGTATAAAATCTAACTTGATTAAGCGCAATGATATTTTACTTTATACATAAGACGAGCCAATCCAAAAGAAAAAAAAATAATAAAAAAAATTGCGAATAACTGATTAATTAGAACCGTTTAAATTCAACACCCGGAAGCTTATAATAATGCCCTTTTAACTGATGAAACAGCTATTATAATTCAATTCTTTTGATTACTGCTTGTAACTATTTAGGATACACGGCGTACGAAAGAAAAGACTCATAAAGTGTATTTCCTTTCTTCGACTGGTTTATTTGCTTTCTTGCATCAAGTAAATTTGAAATCCTCAAACAACACATCTATTTTCGACCAGCTTGAACCTAATTGCAGAGCAAAATTTTTTTCTTCCATCCTCACAAACCGACCATGCCGTCCAAACAAACATCCTCTGTCCGAGAGGCCAGTTTCTCGATTAACGAGCAATTTGGTGGTCGAATTCTGAAAAAAGAGGAGCAGGTTTTTGAGCAAAATGCTTGGTAAGTCAAGGAAAGACGATGCATTTGATGATGCATCGCACATTTTCAAAAGTTTTAACATTTTTCGGTACAGGGATCATGTGGAATGGGACGAAGAACACATAGAATATGCCAAACAATGCATTGAGAAACAAAAACAGAATCCCGTGGCGGAAGTAGAAAAATATATGGAACAGCCTGCCTCGTTTTGGGATAAATTTTATGAACGCAATGAGGGCAACTTCTTTATGAACAGACGTTGGTTGGCTCAAGAGTTTCCAGAAATCATGGAGGCATTGAAAGAGGATGCAGGAGAAAAACGCATTATCGAGGTTGGATGCGGTGCCGGAAATACAATCTGGCCTATTCTCGGAGCAAATAAAAATCCTCAGTTAACAGTATTTGGCGTCGACTACTCCAGCAAGGCTATTGATGTTGTTAAGGAAACACCAGCATTTCAAGAAAGTGACATTGTTCAGGCCTCCGTGTGGGATTTAGCTGGATCTACGTTGCCAGAAAACGTAGAGCCAGAGAGTTGTGACATTGTTATCCTCATTTTTTGCTTTTCTGCCTTGGCTCCGGAGCAATGGGAGCAGAGTATTTCCAACATTACGCGACTTTTGAAACCAGGAGGCCTAGTTCTGTTCCGTGATTATGGTCGTTGGGATATGACACAACTCAGAGCAAAAGGAAATAGACTTCTCGGTGATAATTTTTATATTCGTGGAGACGGTACTCGTGTATACTTTTTTACAAATGGTAAGCTTCACGCTCCTCGCGTGAGCGCGAAAAACTGGTGTGCGGTATTGCGGGTTAACTAACGAATGTACAGAGGAATTAGAAAATGTTTTTGGATCCAACTTTGCCGTTCTGCAAAACGGCGTAGACAAACGGTACGTCAGAAGAATGAACCAGTCAATTTGAAGACTAACCAACTCAGACTCCTCGTGAACCGTAAGAAAAAGGTAAAGATGTACCGCTGTTGGTTACAAGCCAAATTTCAGAAGAAAATTCAATCTTAGATTGCGAAAAATGGCATGTACAAGTTAAATTATTCATCAGTATTTTTGTCATAAGAGTCTTCAATGCAGCCTGAAGAAAGCTCACGCGCCCATTGATTAAGAGTTATTCTAGCTTGTTCTTCCTGCTCTTTTGAAGTAATATTTTTTTGAAAGCGAGCGTTAAACTCGCGTAAAGATGGTGTTCTACAAGCAGCAAGGATAGTGCACCCAATAGAACCAAAAAGAGACGTAGTGAAAAGTGTGGCCAGTGCGAAAACCTTCAAAGAGGTCACAGCAGGATTCATACGAAGATAGAAAGGAACATTGCTCATAAAAAATGACGGTCTCCGACCAAGCATACGAGCAATGCCATAGGCCGACCCAAGCAATACAAACTGGCATGTACCGAAAACGTAGTCAAGTGTCTTTAACATGATTTGAATGTACGGGATGCTCTGTGGGAATGTTTTTGGGTCAGCGTTTTTTTTTTTTTAATAATAGGAATTGTCGTTCAATATTATGCACATGGAACACGTTTTCATCCAGTAAAATCAAAAACTTTCCAGCTCACTTTCAGTGCTAATTTTGAAATGAGATAGCTTATGGGTGTAGTTGATGGTGTAAGTGGTTCAAAATCCAAACAGCCATTTGGCAAAAGTAAGAACAGACATGAAAAGGAGTAAGGGTGTTGTGTACAGAAACACGAGTATATTTTACCAGTATCTGTTTAACGAAAGAAAAGTTGAATTGTGTAGGTAGGAGCGTCCCAATACGTCCAAAACCGTCCTGGCGAGTCATCAATTTCTCGGGCATCTGCGTGGATAGTTGGTTAGCGCTCTTTAAGAACAATATTGTTTTCAGGTAAATCATAAATATGAAGTGTAGCATACCAATTTTAAAAGCAACCGACTCATAAGGTTCAGCCGCTATGACCATATACTGATAATTGCGGTCAGGGACCTCGACTTTTTGTTCGAAAGCACTCATTATACGGTATCGAGGGTTGACATTGGTAGCAATGTCGGGGAATTTGAGCTGGAAACGCAGGCCTAACTGACCAGTCTCCGGATCTCGAATTTTCGTCACTTTGTAACCAGGACGTCCAATTTTGACGATGTTTTTACGGACTTGAATTTGCGACTGTGACACTGCAGCAGGCTGAGCTGCCGTGCTGGCCTGCGCTCCCCGACGCGATTCCATTGCAGCACGGCGTGCTAGGTTAGTCTGATGTTTTTTTCCCTGAGTATGAGCCAAATAAGAGCCATCATTCGCGTGTGTTGTTAAACAAAGTCGGCACTCAAATGTTCCAAGATGGTTTTTCATAAAATAGGGATCCTATACAAGCTCTGCGTCAGCATACCTTATCAAAAATTACAAATGGAACAATAATTCATACTTTGCTTAAGTCAATGGTTTCTAAAGCCAATTGTCGCAGACGTTCACGTCTTGCAGCATTTGTTTCTTGATACCCAGCGACACCACCGCCTCCAAAGCGCACACCTGCGCGATTTTGATAGTCCATTTTTGTAATAATGTAACAATTGTTGTATTCACGAGCAAATACGCGTGGATGGGAGAGGACACCTACTGACGCGTGGTAATCTCTGTGAAAACCTAATTTGCGAAAAAGTGCGTAGCCAGTGCGATGTCTCCCCCCTCGACAAAACTCACCACCAATTTTCGATCCAAGAAGGCAATCAATAGTTAAAGGCAGTTTCTTTCACTGTTCCTGGGCGTCTCGTTATAAAAAAAGGCTTTAGAAAAGCATTATTATATTCACCTGAAATATTAAAAGATCTGACTGTCACCGCTATTTTAGTCTACAAGGTTTGAATTAGAATGAATGTTCTGCAAAGTAGCTTTCGTCTCATCGGGCTTTCCAATATTCAGAAATGTGTTTCCGGTAAAATGATTTCGTCTTTTTTTTCAAAAGCATCACCATTTAGTCAAACGCAACAGACCCCGTCAGTCAGTCCTTTCGGTTGGTCGCAACAGCGTTGGAAGTCTTATGGAATGGAATATCAACCCTCCAACATACGAAGAAAACGTAAACACGGATTCTTGTCTCGAATTCGAACACATTTGGGACGACGGATACTGAATAGAAGAAAAAGAAAGGGCCGACGTTATCTTAGTCATTAATGAAAAAGAACGAACAAATAAATGAACAAATGAACGGAGAAAAAGCCACGAAGCAATGAATTAAACTTAGAATTAATCGATACCGTTGAATCTATTTTATAGAGGGATAGCCAATATCAGAACCACCAATGATGCTTTATACGCTTGGTGAGATCATATCGGCCTTTACCCAGTTTTCAACAGTCTGTTTTGATGTTGACAATAGTACAAAGTCACGAAGCTCAAGAGCCAACCAGAAAAACAACGTTACGTACCACGAATTATTGGTGCTAAAGTTTGTTGCGCCTTTCACGGAAGCATATCGCAAATAAGGAGTTGCATTGCTCATAAGATCCAAATCAGGATCCAGAATCCGACCGATTCCGGAAACAAGAAGAATAGACAAGACAACATTGGCAAAGTTTGGATCCACACGAACATGATGTTCACGAGTCATTGTCATAACCTCTTGCAATATAGAACCCAGCTGAACCTTCTGCAAAGAGAATGTTTGGCGACTCACTCGGATCAACAAGTTTTCCATTTTTAATGCAAACACGTGTGTATTAATCGCCCGTTCAGGTTGTCGGCTTCTCTCAACCATCAATCGGCCAGCCTGATATCCATCGAGGTTTAGCACAGTCTTGAACAAATCGAGAAAGTTTCTCCTGTCCTCATCCCCCAGTCGGACAACGAGCCCAGCGTCGAGGAAAACCATTCTGGGACGATAGCCTTTGTCGTACAGCATTTGCATAGTTTCGTGCCACTCCTCTGGTGAGCAATTCTCTTTGAGTTTAGATGTATCATACATGCTTACACGTTTCCGTCTGCCACGCTTTACCAACTGAACAAGAATATTGCCGGGGTGAAGGTCAGCATGGAAAAAGTTGTCACGAATGAGCATTTGGAAAAGTGCATCTTCACCAATACATGCAAGGGTATGGTCGAATGGGCCCCCGGGCGCTTGTAGAAACCTGTTCAAATGTATTCCCTCTGCATAGCTTTCAACAAGAACCGTTTTTGTTGTCAGTTCTTTGACAACAGTCGGGAATAGCACGTAGTTCCTATCATTAAAGTTGTGTTGAAAGCGGATGAGATTGTTTGCTTCACAACGCAAGTCCGTTTGCTTTCGCAGCATTGTTGCAAACTCATCCACCTCTTGCGGGAGTGACAACCATTTCATAGTTGGGACCAGATTTATCAAGGATGCCAGTGCGCGCAGGAAGAATAAGTCAATGTGCATTTGTTCCTCCACTCCTGGATGCACAATTTTTAGAACGACCCATGGAGAGCCCTTTTTTGGAGCATACTGAGGCGAAAGTTTCGCTCGGTACACTTGTGCAATGGAGCCTACGCCGATGGGTTTGTTTTCAAACACCTCAAATAATTCTTGAAGTCGTGAGGCGCCGAAAGATGACAATAGTACAGATTCCGTATGCGGAAAGCCATGCGGTCTCCCTTGCGAATGCAGTTTGCAAAGTGCCCTACACAGAATCGGTGGCAGCATATCCGTACGCAATGCTGCCCATTGTCCCAATTTAATAAACGTTGCGCCCGAACGCTCCATCTGTCTCACAAGCAAATGCAGCCAGACATACACACCGCGTCCGAATATCCACGAACCTGGAAGTCTTTTACCCAGAAAAATGATTGGCAAGCATAAGCCTACCGGCATGAAAAGGAAAAGGACCTTACAAAGTCTCCCAATTATCATGCACACTCTGACAACAAGAGGTCTCTTGCCAAAGTTGTCAACAACTGTCGCCTCTGGATAATGATCAAGGACAGCATTTTCGTATGCACGAGAAGCCCTTGCGCGTGCCCTGGATGTTAGGAAAGCCAGACCTGCTCCTCCGGTCACGAATGACAATCCTGTGACCCATCTTCGGAACGACCGTTCTGATTCAGTGCTGTCTGAAGAAGTTTGCCATTTTCCTCGGACCTGGATTAGTGAACGAGGTGCACGACGACCATAAGCAACGGCTGCAATTGTGAAACGTGGGACGTATCCTTGTTTCCAACAACACCATGGTGGTCTACATAATTGTTTTAATAAATTCATAGAAGCCACCCGGAACCGCGTAGGGTTGGTGTTTTGCGAGGATTTGTTTCCTTATTGAGAAAGAAAAAAAAAAATGGAAAATGGAAAATGGAATAGAGGCGGAGACAAGTGTTACAGCGAAAAAGAGCCGGATTTCTTCTCGAGTTTCATCCAGAAACGGAAAGGAGCGATTCAGTACTGAATAAAGGAAGACACTATGGGTAAACGAAGATAAACCACCCTTTCCTTTCCTTCAGAGGTTAATTGATCTTCGCCGCTAGTTCAGCAAGGGCCTGTTTTAGGCATTCTTGTTTGTTCACTTCCTCTCATTTAACCAAGTTCATTACTCGAGCAAATTTCAGTTTTGAAAACGCGTTTTAATACTTCAAGTCCCACTTCACCTTACGTGTTTCTGTTTCTCCAAAATCCATATATATATTTTTTTGAAAGCAACCGCAAAATTAACCAACGTATTTCCTAAAAATTAAATCCCAATTAAGAGACGACAACGGAGTCAATTATGCAGGATTGCCGCACAGCTGCACCAAAGAATGTCTGTTCGGTTAAACAGTTTAGTGAGCAGCGGACTCCTGGAAGGGGGTCATGTCGATGGTGGGGAGGTCAATAAGAGCTTGCTTAATGACTTCAACACCCTTCATCAAGTCCTCCTCAGAGATGACAAGAGGGGGAGTGAGACGGATAATGTTACCGTGAGTGGGCTTGGCCAAGATACCGCGGCTGCGCATGATCAAACACAAGTCCCAGGCGGAACGGCCGTTGGTTTGAGCCTCGTCGATGACAACGGCGTTCAAAAGACCCTTACCACGGACGAGTTGCAAGTAGGGGACGTCAATGGCGCGGAGGGCGGCACGGAACTTTTCACCGAGAACGGCGGCACGCTCAACGAGACCCTCCTCCTTGACGACTTGGAGGGCGGCGATGGAGACGGCGCAACCAAGAGGGTTGCCACCATAGGTAGAACCGTGAGTACCGGGCTCGAAGTTGAGCATGATCTCGCGGGAGGAAAGGACGCAACTGACGGGATAAGCACCGCCGGAGATGGCCTTGCCGAGGATGACAACGTCGGGCTTGACGTTGGAGTGCTCAATGCAGAGCATCTTACCGGTACGGGCGACACCGGTTTGGACCTCGTCGGCGATGAAGAGGACGTTGTGGGCCTTGCAAAGCTCGTAAGCCTTGGTCAAGTAGTCGTCGTCGGGGACGACGACACCGGCCTCACCCTGGATGGGCTCGACCAAGAAACCGGCGACACGGGGACCGTACTTGTCGAGGAAGTACTTGAGGTCGTCGAGGTTGTTGTAGTGCAAGACACGATTGGTCTCGGGGCAGATGGGGCCAACACCGGGCAAGTAAGGGCCGTAGTAGTCACGAGCATCAGGGTCAGTAGACATGGAAATGATACCCAACGTACGGCCGTGGAAGTTGTTGGCACAAGACAAGATCATGGCATCGCCTTGAGGAATGCCCTTGGCGCGGTAGCCCCACAGACGAGCAAGCTTGCAGGCGGTCTCGACGGCCTCAGCACCGGTGTTCATGGGGAGAACCATCTCGTAGCCAAAGTACTCGGTGATGAACTTGGCGAAGGGACCGAAGACATTGTTGTAGAAGGCACGGGAGCTCAAAGTAAGCTTCTGGGCTTGGTCACAAAGGGCCTTGATGATCTTGGGGTGGCAATGGCCTTGGTTGACTGCAGAGTAGGCAGACAAGAAGTCGAGGTACTCGCGTCCTTCAGGGTCCCAGACCTTGGCACCCTCAGCCTTGGCGAAGCAGACGGGGAGAGGGTGGTAGTTGTGAGCAGAGTACTTTTCCTCGAGGACGGCGATCTCCTCGGAAGTGTAGGTGTGTGCAGACTCAGACATTATGTAGAGAAGTTGTTATATGAGAGAGAAAGAGAGAGAGAAGGGTGTTGTAACGGAAATAAGACAGAGAGGTGGATGGACTCTAGAAGGAACAAAAAGGTGCTTACCGGTGGGATGTATCTATGAAGGGGACGTTTTCACCGCAGAGCGTGCTGAAACTGGGAGCAGAGTATCGGTTTTTATAGCTGGCGTTGTGGTGATGGCGGGTACTACGGTAATGGCGAAGGGTAAGATCGTAAGGCTGTTAGGAGACGAAAATAGAAACGCGTGGTCGAGCGAGTCGCGTCTTAATGGATATGGGGAATGACGTAACGCGTTCTATTCATGGACGCGAATGCGATTGGGTCTTAATTTGGAAGCGAAAAGCCTGCGCCGCTGATGGGGGTGGTGATGGGTGGGATGCGGTCGGGTGGGGGTGCAGCAGCAGAGGTAGTATAGGAAGAAGGAAGGAAACAGAGCTGCCTAGTAGCGGCGGCAACGACGTAGCAAACAGCGCTAATGGCGACGTAACGCACCGTTTCATTGACGCCATTTGGACCGACTTGCTTCTGGTGCTGAATGGCAGCAACCCCCACATGTCACAAATACTCCTGTAATAGCAATTGTCTCTATTTTTACTGAACGTGTTTCTAAGGATAAGCCATCTCCCATGCCCTCACCAGGCTCTATCTACTGTGTCGCTCGTCGTAAGCGCTTGCACATTCTCCGAGGCAGCGTCCGTCTACGAGGTTCCATAAATAGCCACCGACGCGAACTTTTCGCAAGCAACGAATTTGGCGCTGCGGATTGCACGCAAGTTGCCGTACCGGAATGCTTTCAATGAATTCCCGTGACCCATTGTGTGCTCTTTCAGCCGTAATCAACCGCGTTGGGCGCTTTGCATCCATTGTCTTGCATCGTCCAATGCCCCTCTGCGGCTATTTATAGGCGTCACTTGTCGCTGCTATATTTGGTGGCGTGGGGGCAGTGGGGGTTAGTGGGCTAGAGAGGAGAGTAGGTAGTAGTAGTAAGTACTGGGTGAGTAAGTAGCTAAGTAGTAGGTAAGTACTAGGTAAGTAGGAGGCAGCAGTAAATATTGACAGGCTATGAAACAAAAGAATGGTGCATGTAACAGGACGGGATCTTCTTTCCATCACCGCGCAACGGCGTTGATGGAGAAGCCGCTCTGGGAAATCTCGTTTCCAGAGGCATCACGAAGCTTGGCCTCGAGGACATCGCCGGGTGAGACGGGACCAACGCCTTTGGGTGTGCCTGTCAGGACAAGATCGCCTGGTTCAAGCGACATGGATTCGGTGATGGCACTCAGGATGCGGGGAATGCGGTTCAGCATGAGCGAGGTGTTGTCGTATTGAACGCGTTTTCCATTTTTGAGGAGCTCGAGAATGACGTTGTGTGGGTCGGGGATTGCTGTTTTGGGCAGTATGGGTCCCACAGGCAGGAACGTGTCGTAGCCTTTGGCGATGGTCCAGGGAAGACCTTTCTTTTTGGCTGCGTCCTGAACGTTACGTGCAGTCATGTCAATGGCGACAAAGTATCCGCCGATGGCAGCCATGGCAGTGTCGTCGGGGACGCTCGCGCCAGCCTTCAGCTTGTCTCCCATAATAAGACCCAATTCAACCTCGTAGTGGGCTAAGACTTTGTCGGGAATCTGGATTGAGCCCTTGCCTGGTTCGACAATGCTTGAGGAGGGCTTGAGAAAGTAGAACGGTTCAATGGGCACGGCATTGTTCAGCTCTTTGATGTGAGCACTGATGAACGGTTAGTTGGGCGTGATCCGTTCGCCTGTGCACGTACGCATAGTTTCTGCCAATGCATACGATTTTCTTGGCTTTCGACAGTAGCGACATAATTCCCTGAGCGCGGTGATGAGATATTTGTGTACAAATAGAAACGTTTAAAAATAAATACTATATCGATTTTATTTCTGTTCCTGAGCTACAGATTGTCGGGAAATCTTAAGTTGGATCTTAGGTTGAGATAGAGCTTTTCTGATAACAGTCGACGGCAGATGTTGCAGATAGTATGGATAGCAGTCGGAGGGAAAAGGGCAGCAGGATATTCAGGGAAGAAAAGGGGAAAGCGGCAAAAGGTGCGATTAAATGGATAGAGCTGATGTAGTTTGTCCATTAAAGAATTTTTAGCTATCAGATATTTTTTCTATTTTCGTTGTCTTTGTTTCTGTGGTAAAGCAACATTCATGTACTGTGATCAATAATAATATGTCATTACCACTATTCTTCCTTTTTTCTTTTTTTTTTTATTTTTTTTTTCCATTTAATTTAATTTTTTTTATTATAATTTAATTTATTATCTTTTATTATCTTTTTCCATTTAATTTATTTATTTTTTATTATATTTTAATTTATTCAATATAATTCAATATACTATCTATTCTACTTATTAAATTTACCACCGACTTGACTCCACCAAAACATCAAGTACGGTTCATTTGTCCCATTTACTTCACTTCACTCCACTCCACTCTCATGTATCTCCCCGCACCAAACACCGACTACGTATTTCTCACTTGGGCACAATCCCTCAATGGCCGCATCGGCTACACTTACTCTCAAGGTAAGCCCAATCCGGGTCAGCTCGTACTCTCTGGCCACGAGTCTTTCGTCATGACACACAAACTGCGCGCTCATGCAGACGGTATCATGGTCGGTAGCACTACTGTTCGTGTCGACAATCCAAGTCTCACTGCGCGGCTTCCGGATCCTGCTCACGACACACTTCCTCTTGATCAGCAACCGCGACCTATTCTCGTCGACTCGTCACTCTCGCTTGACTATGAATCGCTCAAAGTCATCAAGCTCGCTCGACTTGGTGTCGGCAAAGCACCTTACGTCATCGTTTCGCCGAAAACAGAGTCGGCCGCGAAAAGCGATCCAATTATAGAGCAGAAAGTAAACGTCATTACTCGCGTAGGCGGTAAGCTTATTGTTCGTGCGACAGACAATACTGTACGTTTTCATGAATATGTCGCCTTGGACCAGTTGCGCGAGCTGGGTATTCGACGTCTCATGGTAGAGGGAGGCGCGAGGCTGCTCTCCCATGCTCTGAAAAGTGAGTGCGTGGATGCCGCTATTGTCACCATCTCTCCGCAGTTCGTTGACCCACTCTCCACCATTGGTATAGATGCTCCTTCTCTGAATTGGCCTTGCAAGTCTTGGGAAATGTTTGGCGACGACGTTGTCTTTGAAGGAAGACGCCGTTGAACTGGTGCAACTTAGTATACCAATTACATTTACCGAAATACAACACGGTGCAGCGGACTAGACTTGTCGATAAATCTCGTTAAAGCTCACTAAACGGAACATGAATGTCCTATGGCCCCAATGCTTCTCTCTTCCTCCTACACGTCGCCATGAGCCTTGTTTATCTGTGCAGCGGCTTCCAGCGCGTTCCCGTACGGGCTACACCGTCTACTACGCTTCAAGGTGCTCTCCTGTCTTCCTACAAGCAGCTTGGCTTCTCTTCGTGGAAAAACTTGGATTTGACACACAATTCAAAACGACTGGATCCCTCTTTACTTATTCGACATGCAGGACTCGTAAACGGCGCCAAAGTTTATGTTTCTGAGTCAAAAAACCAGAAAACAACGGTCACAAACGGTTCTGACGCTTCTGTTCGGATTGCCCTTCAGGCCCCCGGTCGAAACCGAATTGTCGAGAGCGTCGCATTGTCTGTTACTTTAAAAGACCTTTTAAATCGTCACAGCTTTCTCGATTGCGGCGTGCTTGTAAATGGGGTCTCGTACACTGGCGAAAAATTGGACTCAACTCTCGCCGAGTGCGGTATTACTCAAGGAAATGTGCTACTTCGTGTCATTCCCAAAGCCGTGCCAAGAACCCAAATAACGGAACAGAAAAGCCCTGCGAACCCTGCTCCTCCAGCGTCTGCAATTTCTCCCGAAGACAGTGTTTCGCAGTCCGAGATTCATCAAGAGTCCGTGTCCAAACGCGTGTCTACCGAAGCAGATGCACAATCTCTCCCTTCAAGCACTCCTTCTTTCTCCCCTCAGGTTGAACGTGAACGTGTCTCCGAATTATCACAATCGTTACAATCACAATCACCATCGACTCAACCGTCTACACACTTTGAGCCCACCGCTCAATCTTCAGCTCCAGCATCTTCAATTTCGACTACCAACAAACCATCCGAACCCACAACCCAAGCTGCTAAACGAACCCATCCTACACGCTCACCTTTTGAACTTTACCGAAACATTCTCCGTCAACAAACAAGGGGTGAGGTTCGTTACGCAAAACACCGATCAACTGCAACTACTGGCTCGTCCGTAGGGCCTTCCGAGGGTACGGAGGGCACTTCTGAAGATGTCGAGTTAACACCTACACGCTCTCAACTCGAACTCTACCAAAACATCCTTCACCGGCGAGCTCGAAATGAGCCTTACGTCCCTCCTCCTCGACCTGTACATACGTCTACGGCCATAAAATTCCAGGTAACTAATGGTGACAGCTTCGTCATTGATTTTCATAAAGGCGATACCGTTCAGACATTACGCTCTGTCGTCGCTACAAAACTTCCCCCGAACACACCTTTTGACCTGACGACCGGCAACTTTCAGTCACTTCCCCCTAACGATGCCTCTGTCATCGACCAACTTGATCGCGCTCTAGTACGCGTTCACCTGAATGAAAAAACACCGGCAGCTAAAATAGCAGCTGAAAATCAACGGTTGTTACAGCTCTCCGTTCGTGATGATACTCTGTTTACGATATAAAGAATAAAAACTGTTTTATTGTTCTCTTTCATTAATTTTTTTCGCGTCGCATTTGAAGCTTATTTCAAGCATTGACGTCACGCGACAAATCTTTATATAAACAGCAATATCCACTCTTCCTTTCCTTTTCACCAACTGGTAAATGGCCATTCCTGTGGAGTTTTTGGGGAATGAAATTCGTCAATTGATGAAACACTCATTGGTTCGTGAAACATTAAGCGTGAACTGAAACATGCTGCTTCTCCGCAGCCTTTTCTTCGTCGGAAACCATGTAGATTACGCATGTCAAACTATTGAACGAACTTTTGGAATTTTTTAGCGTCCAAACAATCATAATCAACGAGCAAATCTTGTTCGAGAGTACCATCCTCTGTGCGCGTGTAGCGACCAAGAGTGGGAACGGCCGTAATTCCATACTTGATGCGGTATTCGTTAGCAGGTGTCTTCCATTGAGAAACGCCGCCGACGTAAACGTGGACAAGATCCAGTTTGTTTGAGTTGTTGAAAGTACTATTAAAAGATGGAAGAGCAGCACGGACAGTCGGGCACCAAGGCTGTTTGGTACGAGGATCGATAGACGCCAAGTAAGCCACATACAAGGTTTTTCCCTTTGGAATTGCCTTTAAAGTAGCCTCAAGGCTACCAGAGATAAGTTCTTTCAGCATGATGCACTATAAAGTGAAAACGGGTGAATGCTGCGTTGAAAATGGATTCCTTATAACAACAACGTCACTCTTATTAAGCGTTTCTTAGAAAAAGCACGTCGTTTTCCAACTAAGCTTTCGTGGATAACATTGGTCGTTTATAAGCATGCAAGATTGCAACAAAAGCGGTGTCTGTTGATGAAATATCGTTAGCAATCACGTCTTCACTTGCCGGCCCGCTTTTTCTACGAATGAAGAAGCTCCCGCCTCTGGCTAGGCACGAGCCTTTATAAACGCTGGTTGGTGATTGAGTTGCTTACAAATGAACCAGAGGTTGAGAGGACCTTCATGTTCCCCCTTCGTGGCAACCCATTCTAAACTATTGGACGAACAAGTCAAAACGACCGAGCCGTTAAACTCGTCCATCCTAACACGTAACGATAATCCTCGCGCAATCCACACGAATGTATCACCCTTACATCAGACTAAATCACCAGTGGTTGCCATTCACAAACAGGCTCTACCAAAACAAAATACGAAACCAAACGAAGTACACGCATCCCAAATTTTCTAAAGCTAAACAAAAAAGTGATGGAAGAGTGAAGCCAATGGTGCACATCTTCAACCTCTAGACCAACATCTAGCGGAGACGAGAAATACACACGATTAGCAGCATTCGTACACTTACTCCTTGGCGACGACGGGCTCGCTCGACTTCACCTCGGGCTTCATGTGAGGGAACAGCAAAACCTCACGAATGGTGTTACTGTCGGTCAAGAACATGACCAAACGGTCAATACCAATACCCCAACCACCAGTAGGAGGGAGACCGTACTCGAGAGCGGTACAGAAGTTTTCGTCGATGAGTTGAGCCTCATCATCACCTTGATCCTTTTGACGGGCTTGCTCCTCGAAACGAGCGCGTTGATCAAAGATATCGTTCAACTCGGTGTAAGCGTTGCAAAGCTCCTTCGTAGCAACGAAAGCCTCGAAACGCTCACACAAACCGGGTTGAGAACGGTGGTACTTGGCAAGAGGAGACATCATTTGAGGATGACCAATGATGAAAGTGGGGTTAATGCACTCAGACTCAATGTACTCACCGACAAGCTTGTCGAGCAAACGAGCATTCGTTTGAGGAGGAGCACAGTCAACACCATGCTTAGCACAAAGATCTCTCAAGAAAGCGTTGGTCTCAGCAGTATGCAATTGATCTCCAGGAGGGAACTTGACGTTCAACTTCTCCTCCAAGAACTCAATCATGTGAATACGACGCCAGGGACGAGCAAAGTTAAGCTCGTAGCTGGGACCGTCGGGGCCTTCAGGGTGGTAAGGCAAAACATAACCACCGGTGAGCTCCTTAACCATGCTGGACACAAGCTCCTCAGTCATGTCCATAAGGTCGTAGTAATCGGCATAAGCTTGGTAAAATTCACAGGACGTGAACTCGGGATTATGAGTCAAGTCAGCACCTTCATTACGGAATTGACGGCCAATCTCATACACACGGTCAAGACCACCAACAACAAGCATCTTCAAGTACAACTCGGGTGCGACACGCATGTACAAGTCCATGTCCAAATCATTGTGATGAGTGACGAAGGGCTTGGCAGTAGCTCCACCGGCAATCATGTTCATCATGGGAGTCTCGACTTCAATGAAGTTACGCTTGTCCAAAAAGTTGCGAAGGTATTGGATAATACGGCTGCGAGCAACGAAACGATCGCGGGTCGAGTTGTTCATGATAAGGTCCAAGTAACGTTGACGGTGACGGATTTCGAGATCCTTCAAACCGTAATGCTCCTTGGGAAGCATACGAAGGCAGGGACTAAGCAACACACATTGGCGAGCAAAGACGGACAATTCACCATCAGCACGTCCCTTAGGGTTGGAACGACCGGGGTAACCAATGATACCGATGATATCACCACGACGGATGTGCTCGTGTTGAGCAGCAAAGTCAACGGTCTCAGCATCCTGGGCTTGGCACATCACTTGAAGCTTCTTGCCTTCAGAGTGAATCTCGTAGAAACGAAGCTTGGCACCAGCAGTACGCAGAGCGTGGACACGTCCGGCAACAGAAACCTTGACCTCAGGGAGAGTCTCACCCTTTTGCAAGTAAGCATACTTCTCGATGAACTCGGGAACGTTAATGCTCACATGGAACTTGTGAGGGTAGGGGTTGGGGTTCTTGGTAGAACGAAGCTCGTTGATGGCCTTGGAACGGTTCTCAAAGTATTGAGCGGGATCCAAATCCTCCTCGTCCTTCTTTTTAGGAGCGGCAGCAGCAGGAGCCTTGGCAGCCTTTTCGGCTTGCTTCTTAGCCTTAGCAGCCTCGCGTTGACGTTGCTTTTCACGCTTCTTTAACTCAGTCTTGGACACCTTTTCACCCGTGACGGGGTCCAAAATGAGCGTCTTGACGCCCTGGGTAACGTTGTTCACCTGTTCCTCGCTCATGCCTGTTTGTGACAAGTTAGTGGTGGAAGGGAGAGGCCTTGAGTTCGATTTTTTTTCGCATTTAACGATACCTAACGAATATATTATATACACCTATAGAAGTACAATGAAGTCGTGCGCACTGGGCGCTGATAATCCCCAAATCATATAGCAAAACTGCTACTAAGTCCCTCCCCCCTGCACTAGTAGCTGCTTATATAGCAATTCCAGGCGCCTCTAAAAATGCTTAATCATTATTTTTCATGAAGAGGACGCAAAAGCGATTAAAGAGTAGAAGACAAAATATAGGCTAAAGACGTTTAATAATATGCAGCAATTTTCGTACTAGCCCTAATTTAGAATTCCTTGTTTGGCATATGCTCTTGGTGAGGTGTTACCTTACCAACACTTAGCAATTGACGAATGATCGAGTCCTCGTTGCATGTACCAAACTCATTCTCCAACTCTACCTTTGAGGCAGTCGAAAGTCGTCCGGTACTACCTTGTCGATGTGTCGTAAACACTTGAAACGAATCAACCACATCAACTAAAGGCTTGCTTGAATCCTCTTTCCATTGCTCCAGTTCTTCTGGTCCGCGAAGAATAGCCACATACATGTTGCCGTCGGCACCTTGATGACAAATGCGAGTCTGATTGCCTTTGTAACTGGGCATGCTGATTAAAAATTTGGTAATGCTGGTAGGATTTGTGTAGTAAGGTCTTTGGTCGTTTTGAATATATATGTACACGTGTTGGTAAAGTGAGTTGACTTGACTTGTTTCAGCTCGCTGGCGTGACTCGGTTTGTTGTTAATCACCAAGTTGTTGGTGATATATAAATAAATGCTTTCAAAAATGCTCGTATTGAACGTTGCCGCAAATATGCCCTCTCATATTTATGTATACTTGAGGCATCTTTCAAATCAGCGGTGTCCGTTGGGTACGTCAGAGTGTATGGTATATGACAAAAATATTATCAACAACTCACAAGTCTTAAGCAGCGGGCACTTTGATTTGTGTTGTCGAATCAGCTGTTGCTTTGACGTCAGTTACAGGCATCTCTGTCACTGCACAGGCAGAGAAAAATTGATGACGCAGAGCAGCTTCAGCAGTAAGGCGTTTCGCAGCTACAAGAATTGTTAGTGCAAAAGTTCCAAGGAGGGATTATAATCAAGTTGCATTACAAACAGAGCATTGCTCAAGCCAAAAGCACACAATCAATCGTCGTACATCAAATTCTGTCAACGACTTTGTTTACCTTTTATCATGTCGCTGCGAAACATTTCCCCAGAAAACGAGAAGTTAAACAATGACATCACAAAGGACGAACTTGGTAGATCAGCTGGCACGAGACGGAAACTTAGTCATTGCAGCAGAATAAGACGTATCACAACGGAAATAGAAACATGATTGTGTGGCTGTTTGTAGCAACTGTTGTCTTCACTTACGATTCAGTTCAAGCAACTGATCAAGCAAGTCGATGGCAAGCGCCATCAACCAACTAGAGCTTGTTTCCAATAAAGGGTGTGTGTCGTTTTTTGTAAGGCTATTTACCAAATCAAGCCAGTCATGTTTGTGATTAAGAATGGTGGGGATATTGTCTGACCAAATTTGTCCTAAAAAAAGGTTGTTAATAATTGGTACACTCTTTGTCCACTTACCATGCAGCAATGCACAGTTCGACATATCGTTCCTGCCGAAAATATGTGCAAGCTCCACAATTGCATCGACATCGTCTTCGCAACGGAAAAAAGGGTAGCGGCGAGTAAGGAAACAGAGTAAAACAACGCCAGCAGACCAAGTGTCAATGAGGGATGTTTGATTTTGACACCGAAATAGCACTTCCGGTGCCCGAAAACCACGAGTTCCTGCGCGGTCTGCTTTCTTGCTGGGACGAGGATCATGTAGTAGGTATCCGTGTGAAGGATCGGGAATCGTCTGTTCAAGGGGAAAGACGTCGTAATACCGCTTTTCTTGCTTTAATTTGCGGACGCGGTCAATGCAACAGTTTAAGCCGGGCATCTCGGCTTCTTGCCATTGTGCCAAACCAAAGTCAAGAATGACACCGCGCCGTGTGTAGGGGTTCCAAGCAAAGTTTCCCGGTTTGATATCTCGATGAATAATGCCCTTGGCAGCAATGTGAGAAAGACCGTCCAACAGGTCGCGCATGTAGTATGCGATGTCGACTAGTGAGTAGTTCATGTAAAAGTCTCGAAACTCAGCATGCTGAATGAAAGGAAGCACTATAAGGACTTGATCCTGATGACGCATAGCTGTAATTATATTTAACACACATTTGCTGCCACGCAACTCGTGCAACACCTCCAATTCTGTTTGTATGCGATTAGGAAGGACAGTAGCGTAGACTCGCTTTATAGCAACAAACCGTTGCTTCTTATTACTGCTAGAGGAGGACAAAGCAGATGCATTTGCGTCGTCGTTTTCAACAAAGTCCCAGTATGAGTTGTCATATGAATCCCGGCGCTTATCAACAGCCTTAAAAACACTGCTGAAGCTCCCGGCGCCAATTAGTTTCACCACATGGTAGTCGTCTTCAATTGTCGGGAATGCTTGAATTAGTTTGGCAATCTCAGGACGGTCTTCCCGATCAACGTCGCTTGCATAAAGGCCCGAATGGCCGAAAGGTAAAAGCATAGAAATCATTGCAATGGTTTTTGATGTATTAAAAAAGGTTGAACGGTAGGAATTAGGAGTAAACCGTTTTGTTTATACTCAGGTAAAGGAAGAAACCTTATTTAGCAAGGCCGACTCATACCCGAAATGCGGTACAAAAATGCATCTTGAAATGTACACAAAACCTCTAATAAAGAATGGAGGGATCAATAAGAACCTAATTAACGTTAGTTGACGAAATGTATGCGTTTGAATTCGTACTTTTGGAAATCCAAATTGGATGCTTGTATGTAGGGTGGATGAAGCAATGCGCGACTCTAGGCCAGCAGGCGGCTTCTCATCGAAAGCATCCACCAGAGGTTTATTTTCACATGTTGTTCGTAAAGGAATTTGTATGCGAGAGTTGAAAGTAGAACCCATATTAGTTAGAATCACATATACGCCAGGTCGCGTGAAAGCATACAGCTGGTCATTCACCAGTAACGGCTGCGTAGGCTCTGTCGTAAAGTTTGAATATATGTCACAAAGCTTAAGTCTGTACTTCAGGAGCGAAGAAATGACACGGAACATAGAGTTCGTTGTATCGTAACGGGACTTCCAGAGTGCATCACGATTTTCCGGATCATCCCCGCCATTGTACATTTGTTCCTGACCCTGGTATATAATGGGAAATCCATCCATAAAAATGGTTGCTACAAGAGCGTTTACAGCGAGCTGAAGAAAGTGTTAGTAAAGTGATGACAAAAAAATCATTTGTTCAAGAATAAGAAAACTCTCTTGTCGTAGGCCGTACCGAATAGTCTCTGCAAGTGTGCAGAAACCGAGGGACATCATGATTTTCGACAAAGTTGCCAGCAGTCGTAACATCGTAAAACGAGCGATGGATGTCAAGGACCGCTTTTTGATAGAAGACAGACATGTTTTGCTTTCGATCGAGAAAAGTATCGCGTAATTGGTAGTACAGTGGATAATTCAAAACCGAAGGCAAGTAATGCTGATACACACCCACATAAGCCGGATCTCCGTGAAACACTTCAGCCATAGCAAAGACATTCGCAGCATGCACAAAGGGCGGATAAAAGGTTTTTTGAACATGTTTGGCCGTGTCGACGCGAATACCATCAAAGTTGTATTCCCGATGCAAAAAGGCAATCCAGTTTTGGAAAATGCTACAAATGCGTGGATTCTCAGTGCGGATGTCGGGAAGACACACTACATTATCGCCTAACCAGCCGGTAAGACAATCGTTCAGATTGTCATAATCACGAATGAAGCGTTTCTCGTGGTAATCTTCAGCACGATGAAAAGGCCGGTAGCGAGCAAAGTTGACGGGTCCCGAACCGCTGTGGGCCATGTGATTAACAACAATGTCAATCATGCACAGCATATTTCTTTCATGCAATGCTTGTACTAAAGCGCGAAGATCATCAGCCGTACCAAAATGACTGTTCAACTCAGTCATATCCTCGGTCCAGTAACCATGGTAAGCCTGCCCATAACCAGTTGTTTCTTCAATATTCTTGACAATTGGACTAATCCACACAGCCGTAATGCCTAAGGATTGCAAATAGTCAAGTTTACTGATGATGCCTCTCCATGTACCTCCCAAGTAAAGTCTTCCAGTTGCGGGATGGTCATAATCGTCTTCATTACGCGCAAAACGATCGGTCAGCAGCTGATAGATGTTCTGTTTCCGCCAAATAGCTGCTCCATAGTCGTTTGCTTTCTCGGGCGCTTTAGGTGTATAGCCTAAGCAACTTAGGAATGGACGAAACATGGCCAAAATCATTGTATGTGCCCGTAAAGCACCAAAACGCGTCCAGTCACAATGTCTTGAACGTGTCTATTAAGATGAATACGTGATATTTTCCTCCTGCTATTAACGCACACCGTAGGCAGCTTAACGTGAAACTGCCGTACTAAAACAGGTTTCAAGCGCGTCGAACACGCTAAAAACCACTCAGCAAGACTCTATCAACGGTACCGGTGGAAGCTAACTTGCAGAAAATAGTAGATCCAATGAATACTGAAACAATTCCTGTTGGAAACCCGCAACAGTACTGCGGTGGAGAGGGAGCGTGAAGTTAAGAGAGCGCGCGTCTCTAAGCCTGTTTTAGTTGCTCTCTACGCGTGTTTACGCGAACGCAGCACGCGCGGAAGCTTAGGGAAGGGTAAGGCCCGTAATTAAGGTTGTCCCGTGTTGCGACACGCGTCCGGACGGCTAACTCCCTCTGCGTCAATTTCTTCCGTTCAAGCAAAAACCAAGGTTTATGCTGTGTTCGGTGTACGGGAGAGTCCAAATACACGCCTCAATATGATACTGTCGCAACTGTTACTTTTTTTCGTTGCGTGTTTCTCGTTTGTTACGAGAAGCCGTGCAGAGTTTACTTTTTTGACTCCCAGTGATGGTACGGAGCAAAATGAATAGCTACGATTGAGGAGAAGAAGACAGAGCAACAAGAGTCGGATTGATTGTTTCTCTGCGTACAGCCGATCGTCCTTACTTCCCCCTACTCCCTTGCTCCCTTTCCCTTATACTAACTAAGAATAGGTTCTCGCTGGGCTATTTCCAATACATACTCTATCTCCTGGGATAACAATACAGACGTTGAGTTTGTAAACCTTGCTTTAGAGTATACGGATGGTGACCGAGAAGTAATTACACAAAGTGGACCTATCCCTACCAACCAATCTCACTGGAGAGTACAAGTGAAGAAGAAATGGCTTCAGGGTGCAAACAATTTGACAGCAAGAATTGTCGCCGTTCCCCAACAACCGAATCCCACTGTGCAGCTTGGCCCCACCGTCCTGCTGGCCGAGACGTTCTATTTCGTTTGGTACGTTGAGACGTCTCCTGCCTTTCAACAAAACAACATGGACAAGGGTATTGCCATTGGATTATCGGTTGCTTTGTTGGGATGCGTTGGTATTGTTTTAGCCATTCACTTTACCACTCAGCATCTCCGCAAGATCCGTCCTTACGACGATGTGATAGAATTGCGTTAGGAGTTCAAGACGCACTCAGCAGCTGCCTAAGGATGTGCGACAATGAATGCTCCCACGAGACGCTTCTTTACCATGCATGTCTGGTTGCAGTCAATGCAAAGTCTCCAGTATCTTTCCTCTCCTCAACCACCTTCCGCATCCATACGCATCCTTTTGTTTGTCTCTCTAAACTATGTTTCTTCCGTCCCATTAGTTCATCTTACTGAATCTACAGCTCAACGGCTTAGACTCTGGCCTCTGTTTCTACTACCAATCTTCTCCAGCCTAACCCACTGCGACCAGTTAACAAGCAGCTGCTCGCTACGGCTTCCCGCCCCCATATGTGCCCCCACAATCCCGTATAGTGCAACAGCGTCGTCGAGCGTTATTTAATTTAACGGATTGTAACATTGCGTAAAATAGATTTAACATACTCCATCACACATCCCGTAACTGAGTTTCGTCCTATCCACCTCGAACACTCTCCAACTCCCAGAACCTTTAACAACTAAAACACTCAACGCGATGGACAAATTGAGTCGTAGTCGCAGTCGTGCCTGCCTTGTTTGCGGCATTATTTTACCCTACAACACATTTGCTGCCAAAGGATGTCCTAACGACGGATTGGATGATGTCGAAACGTACACGTCGCCTGTTTTCGAGGGTGTTATGGCTATGGTCGCACCCACAGAGTCCTGGGTTGCTCGTTGGCAAAGAATTGACGCATTTACACCTGGAATGTACGCGACTCGTGTTCAAGGGTCTTTGAGCGACGAAATGATCGATTCTTTGCGACAACGCGGAATTCATTATCGTCCACGAAACGGATCTTCGCTTGATTAGAGCTCTGGCGAGTGTTATGTGCCATTTACACGCTCATTTTCCGTTTGCCAAGCAGCGAATTGAGCAGTGGGACGGGTGGTCAATTTTTGTGTTCTCGTTCGGATACGTTGTGCTGTGTTGGTGTGCGAAAACTCGTGTTAAACTGTGTTATATGAGAATACCGACCGGTTGTGTGGCACACAACACCACGGTAAAGGTGTGGAAGAGTTCATTCTTGCCGTCTTGCCCGCCCTCCCCGTCACGCGTTTTGGTAACAACGACCGTACCCCTTCCTTGTCCAGCCTTTACGCGTTTACTGCTGCCATTTTGCGCGGTAACATTTGTTCAGGTATGTAAGCATTAGGCACAGGACATGTGAGCGGAAAGGAATGCGACGAGCCCTTCTTTGTGGTCTTATTTCGTGTCGGCTGGCGACGTTTGTGTCACTTATAAGCAGCATTCGTGTTGCTAAAAGTGTTCCTCCATACCTGAAATATTTTGTTATTTCAGTTGCCACTATGTGCTTTTCTTTGCCGTCTCAATTCCATTTTCGTCTTGTTTCAAGCAGTCCAGTCTTTTCTAATATCCCCAGTGCCTCCGATTTCATCGGTGTATAATACTAAAACCTAAAGCCATTTCTATTTCTCCTGTTCAAGTTCTAAGATGACTCTTGCCACAGGTGAATTACTTCAATGTACCTGTCCTGGTAACGGCGCTACCTTGGGAGAAGTCCGTCTATTTACCAAATCGGATGTCGACCGCAGCATTGAAGCAGCGGCAAAAGCTCAAGTTGAGTGGAAAAAAACGTCTTTCATTGAACGCAAAGAATTTCTCGAGACATTGAAAGCGGAAATCTTGAAAAATCAAGATAAGTATGCCGAAATTGCTTGTAAAGATACCGGAAAGACATTGGTTGATGCCGCCTTTGGCGAAATATTAGTTACTTTGCAAAAAATCGACTGGACTCTAGAGCACGGTGAAGACTCGCTTCAAACAACCCGCCGGCCTGAGTCTCTGTTAACCTCATACAAGCGCGGCTATGTGTTGTACGAGCCGTTGGGCGTTGTCGCCGCTCTGGTTAGTTGGAACTACCCTTTACACAACGCTTTGGGCCCCATCATTTCGGCTCTTTTCGCCGGTAACTCAATCATCGTGAAGGGCAGTGAGCTCACTGCTTGGTCCACCATTCAATTTTGCAACAAGGTTTGTGACATCCTCGAGTCGTTGGGACATTCACGCGAGCTGGTTCAGTGTATTACCTGCTTGCCCGATGTTGCAGAACATTTGACCGGACATCCTGGCTTAAAACATATCACCTTTATTGGTTCTCAATCTGTAGCAAAACTGGTTGCTGCTTCCGCTGCTCGTCAGCTTACACCGCTATGCCTTGAGCTTGGCGGAAAGGACCCTGTAATTTTGCTCGATGACTCCCGTTTGCAGGAAGTCATGTCGGTGGTCATGCGCGGTATTTTCCAAAGTGCAGGCCAAAATTGTATTGGTATTGAGCGTGTAATCGCGTTGGCACCCATCTACGACACGGTCATAACTCTGCTATATGACCGTATTTGTAACTTCCGTCTTGGTATGTACACGCAACGTGATGTGGATATGGGTGCTATGGTGTCTGACAACCGCTTCGATACGCTTGAAGCGCTTATTCAGGACGCTGTTCAACACGGTGCCCGTCTTGTGCACGGTGGACACCGCTACAAACACCCCAAATACCCCAAAGGATCATATTTTATGCCCACCCTGTTGGTGGATGTTACGAATGAGATGAAAATTGCACGTGAAGAATGCTTTGCACCCATTGCCCTTGTTTTTCGTGCTGATGATGTTGACCACGCTCTCTCTATCGCCAACGGAACGGATTTCGGCTTGGGTGCTTCAGTCTTCGGCAAGGACAAGGCTGTCTGCGACTACATTGTCGAACGCATTGAATCTGGCATGGTTTCAGTGAACGATTTTGGTGCCACATACTTGATGCAGCTTCCATTTGGCGGCTGTAAGAAGAGTGGTTATGGTCGCTTTGCTGGAAGGGAAGGTTTACAAGGTATTTGTAACACCAAAGCTGTTGTCTACGACAAGTTTTCCTTCATTCACACGACCATTCCTCGGCCCGTGGATTACCCTATTCCTGACTCCCAAAAGGCCTGGGGCTTTGTAAAGGGTTTGATTGGTGTCATGTATGGTAATTTCTTGGGACTTGCAGGCAACCTTTACCGCATGTTGCGTAACAAGTAATTGACGAAGAAGCGAGAATCCTTCCAATGTACCGCGTTTCTTTCTTTCTGTATCTTTACATAGCTGAACAAGTAATGAATGTGTTTCGGACACAAATGCATGGTTTAAAAGGGGGGAGCATCTATTATACTATTGTAACTATGTTGGTAAAGTCTTTCAAGCTAATTGTAAAACTGACTAGAGTGTATGGTTATTGATTTGATGATGAATACGCAACTTTTGGAATCCATGAAGGTATTCCGGAAAAAAAGAAATAAGAACAAAGCTTGGTACAAACAACTGGACTATTAAGAATCACAGACTCATCGAGTCAACGGTTTGTTATTGTTCTTCACTTCAAAGACGCGTCGCGACGCGTCGCGCTCAATAAAACGTCATACCCAACCACCACAAAACCTTAAATGTATACACCAAAATAGACTCCAGCATTCGCACTCGCCTCTTTCTTAACACACCTTGGTTGCTTAAAGAGTTCTGAAGGTATTGGTTTGGCGTAATCCTTCGTGATTCAGCGTTTGCGACCGCCGGAGTACCCACCTGGTTACTCTCTGTAAAAAAAAAAGTGAAATCTCTTTGTTGCTTGATTTAAGAGTTTTTAGCATTTCTATTTATTTTCTTCATTAAAAGCTGCATCTTGCGTGTATAACGACACGCATCAGTATAATCCGAAAAAAAAAGAAACATCTGAGTTAGTTCCTCTCTCTGTTTCGCCTGTCTAAATAACGCGTTACCCCCTTTTTGCAACTCGAGTTTATTTTTTCGCGTTCAGAATTGAATATGCGTGTCTCGTTTGGTAAATTCGGTAAGAAGCAATCACTTTCTGGTTTCGTCTATCGAGTTCTCTTTGTCCTTGTGTTCGTTTGTGCTTTGACATGTGCTGAAGCAAAGAAGCAGAATGAAGATTCATTTGCCGTTCGCTTTTATCGGGAACGCTTGGACCCTCTAGGCTCCTCCGTTTGTTCACTTGCTGCCAGAGCAACAAATTATGTCGGTGAGTCAAAGGATCGGTTGGTTCATCACGCTTCTGAGTTTTATGTTGGACATGCAAAGCCCGTAGTGAGCTCAGCCAAGGCTCGTGTGCGTGATTTCCACGAGACTCGCACTCTGCCGTTGTGGCACAAGTGCAAGGAATCTGCTGTAAGAAACTACAAGGTTTATTTCAGTGAGGAGAAACGTTTTCAGAAAAGCGTTGTACATATGTACAACACAGTCTGTCAGTTTTGTCAAAATTATCTGTTTCCTCAACTTCTGAAAGCTACACATGCTGTGGAGTCGGTCACATTGCGCATTCTTGATGTGTTGGCTGAGGTTTGGCGTGTTTATATACTGCCTAAGTACCTGGCTATAATGCCCGCAGTAAGTAGTGCCGTGCAAAAAATCACGCATTGCGTTTCTCACTACGTTAAGGAGCACGGTGTAAAGCTTTTTGCCAATCCATCTCGTATTTTTCGCAAAGTGTTTTCCTTCCGACTTGTCCCACACATTCAGAATTGCTGGAGCACATATGTATCGCCTCAGTTGGAACGTATCTATTTCAGCATTGTGTCTCGTCAGGGTCCTGTTTCCTTATCAATGACGGGTACGACTACAGCATTTGCAACGGCTTTATCATCTTCAGTCGCAGCTTCTGGAACAGCTCTTGCGGGTGGATCAGGAAAAGAAAACCCATTGCTGTCCTCTCCTGTTCCGCTCTCGGTAAAATCAATTAATTCTATGTCGTATTCTGAGACAGTGTCTACCGTCATCTACTCCACAACTACTTCCTCGCCTGCCGCCTCTCGTGTGAATGAGCTTATTGGTGACCTTACAGTTAATTTTGTTTCTTTGGAAACTGATCTCCAGCAGACTCTGTCTGTTCTTTTGACAGGCATCCAAACGAAATTCGAAAATCTTCACAAACATTATTTCTCTGCATTTGACAGAAGCAAGGAAGCAGCCAACAAACTCATACAACATTGCCATACCCTCGAGTCTGGTGATGATAATGAGATTGACGTTGAAGTAGTACTTGAGTCATTGAACGCTCTTGTCAACAATCAAATTATGGAAATCCATAATCAAAGCGCGTCTTTCCGTAAGGATCTGACTCGCTGTTTTGCCGAGTTGGAAGGCACTATTGATGCTCTTGTCAACAAAACAAGCATCAAGGTCGAACAAATGTGGAAGGACTCATTCGTTAACGCTGTTTTTGATAGTGAAACACAGCAACACACGGTTCGTGCATTGTTAAATCACACACTTGAGCGCTTGTCTTCGATTAAAACAACTCTTCTTAATGACCAAGTCGCCAAATTGAAAAAGGAACAGCGCAATTACGATTCCCGGTTTACTGTTGTTGTCGCTGACACGATTAGGGAATTGTTTAAAGAGCGGACAAATACACGCAGCTCCATTCTTGCGAAGCACAAACCAAAGCACACACATGATGTTGAGGTGTTGAGTGCACCTGAGGAAATAAGTGATGAAAGCTTAAAGAAGGATAATTCTGTGCAGCCCGATGTACAACCGGAGTTGATGAATGTCAACAATGAAGATGAAAAAGTGACATCTGAGGATGCTGAGCTTGACGATACTTATCATTTGTATCAACGGAATACCCAAACCGCATCGGAAGAATCCGATGTTGTCAATACCTCTTCTTCTCATACCCCCTCGACTACTACTCTTTCTACCATGAAGCATAACGGCCTGTAGTGTTTTTGGGATTGTGTGTTGTAAAAGTTGAATACCCTTATTCTATTTTTTCGTTTTTTTTTTTGCTTTCTTAGCAAATGCTAAGCAGCGTGCACGAACGATAGAGCATGCTGTATGAAAAATAATGCAGGCTGTATGGAACCAAATGGATGTTTGATCAATCTATGGACTTCTTTATGTGTTTGGAGAAAGAAGAAAAATTCACTTTCGAAACTCGAGGTTTCGAATTCTTGCCCGGTCAGATGTCTTAAAGTGATACTGGCACAGAAAGCATCTTGTCGTCAACTGAAACTGGGTGTTTTTGTACTGCGATCGGCCTGCCGCAGCTTTGAGAGGCTTTAATCAATCACTGTTAATTACTCCTGGTTGCAACGGAGCTTGGTTAGACGGTTTCTCTAATGTATATCTAAAGTTTGTTATTTCAGTCTAGCAAAATCCGGTGTTAGGAACAAGCGGTAGATAGGTTGGAATTCCGACTAAAGAGCACATAAAAACTAAAAAAAACATATCCTCTTGTGAGAATGAGGTACGCATAAATGGGTTCGCAATATTTTTGATTACGGAAGCTACCTCGCTCTACTGCTTACTTTCTTCATATTCCTCTAACTACTATCGCTCACCTCTCCTGCCACACGGAAGACCCAACACCACAAGTTGATAAAATCGCAGATGACCTTTTGGTGGAATATGTACTGGCGAATCACCTCAACACATACACCATAAGGTGGTTTCATCAGCAAAAGACTGCACGACCAGCGGCTTACTCAGCTCAGCTATAAGTAAAAACTTGGTCCGACAATTTTTCCCTTCACAAGTAACGAAATATGTTTGATTCTATTGAAAGCGCAATTGAAGACTTCAGTACGTCATTTGTTTCGTTGTTCCATGAGGAGTAATAACTGGTATTTGAATAAGTGCAATAAAGATTACATGTTACACTTTCTTCATACCAGCGATATCATGTTCCTGTAACAAACTCACGGCTATTTTAATGTGCTCACACAACAGAAAACGGAAAGTTTTTGATCGTCATGGACGATGAGTCTCGTGAAAACGAGGGAGACCTCATTATTGCAGCATCCGCTGTGACCACAGAGAAAATGGCATTCTTGGTCAAACATTCAAGGTACGAAGAAAAGTGCAAGCATGAGTTATTCCACTGAAAATGTTGGCAATATCACTTTATATGACCGAAGCTAACGCCCTTTTCCTTTAGCGGCTATGTCTGTGTGCCCATGACAGGGGAACGTTTGGATCAGCTTGGTATCCCCATGATGTGCAAACAAAATGAAGAACGCATGCGCACTGCTTACGCAGTAACGTGCGATTATGCAGATGGAACCACCACCGGTATTTCTGCCCATGATCGTGCCTTGACAACTCGTCAGTTGGCTAATCCATCTGTGACATCGCCCTCAGCCTTCAACAAGCCTGGACACGTTGTGCCTCTGCGTGCTCGTACTGGAGGTGTTTTGGCTCGTGACGGTCACACAGAGGCCTCTGTTGATCTCTGTCGACTTGCGGGTCTAGAGCCTGTCGCCGCAATTTGCGAAATCGTTCGAGAGGACGACGGTCTCATGGCTCGCACAGAGGAATGCGTCAAGTTCTCCAAGCAGTGGGGGATCAAGATCATTAGCATCAAACAACTCATTGACTACATCAAGGCCCACCCTGAGGCATTGAAGTAGGTTCTTGGTAGGAGCAAATCGTGCCCTACTGGGTTTTATCTTTATGGATGTACCTTATTATGAAAGCATGTTTCATATAATGAGTGAATACAAGCACAACTTAATCATTCTTGTACTGTCGGCCCATATTTGCAGTTTAAAAAAAAAGATGGACATCCAAACAAAATTGAATAAAATAAACGAAATGAAACCATACACAGCAAAAATAACAAAATCCCAAAAAAATTGAACCTCTTTATAAGCCCTTTTCCCGAGTCAATTAAAAACTGACATTTTTTATGGTCTCTCGAACACCATTGCAGAACACCTCAATGTCACTGCCGGGTTCCAAGGAGAACTCACTTTTCACGTAACTTGGAGCAGTAGGAACTGCCAAGCGTAGAATATCAGTGCTCATGTTGGGTTGAACCAGAACCGTAGTCTCCTCACGAGCAATGATGGTTGAAGGGGATGCAACCAAAACAGGATGAGGAACAAGGATGTGACGGTTGACAAGTTCACGGATACCAAGATGACTGCCCTCTGTCGTCAAGGTACGTGTGTGGAAAGGATACACAGACTTCGTGGCTTGAATTTCAGCCAGGAGAGCACGAGCAGTCTTCAACTTGAGCATGTAGGAAACATTAACATCGTGAACAAATACGGTGGGTTTCAAGTCGGGGTGCTCCTTCAGTCTGTTGATAGGCTTCGATGACATGGAAATGTCAATTAACCAAGCTTCTTGAGGCATTACTGACCACTCATCAGTGTTCTCAAGTCCAGCAAGATCATCGTCACCCTTCGCGGCCTGTTGTTTTTCCTTCAACTCCTCTTCCTCGGGCTTAGGCCATTCAACAGAGTGTTTCAAGTCTGCACCATCAGCAACATAGTCTTCCACGTTAGTTTGGCCAACAAGAAATCTTTTAATGCGACGAACGCGAGAGCCGGGGCAAACGTGAACGTGGAACTGAGCTGCAGCCTCTTCAACGATAGCGCGAATACGACTCGGGGTAATAGGGTTGGCTGCGTTTGCCGAACCCAATAATTTGGTAACACCGTCAGCAGCAAAGTGAGCAGCACAAATAGCGTCGGCTCCGGGACCAATATAGGGTCCCATACCAGGTGTAGGTTGGGGTGTAATGACGATGGTATGTGCGAGAGACGCAGTATAGCCATCAATGTGAAAAGCCATAGCAATTTTCACGACATCGCCAATTTGCAAAACATAACTGTCGTCAACCTCAGCATTAACGGCAGGAGAATATCCACGAGCACAGTTATTGACGGAAATAGATGTAGGTTCTGCAATTCCCTTTTCGTATTTTGACGATTTGTACACCGTAGCTGCCTATTTCAATCATCGCGTTAATAACACCGTTACAATCATAGTCGAATAGAAGACTCCGTGTTGACTTACGCATTCGGTTAGAAACTCATCTCCTGCTTCACAAATCGCTTTTGTTGATGCACCAACTACACACATCGGCACAATTTTCTGAAGGGCCTTGCTGACGAAGGATCCCGCAAGACGATACTTCGAAAGAGTCAAATCTGTCAATGCATTGTCATCGTTGGCAGCATAATCAACATCCATCCTAGCGAAATGTAGTTGGGAATAGGCAAGTCTTTTCCAGCGGTCCAGCAAAGTTTCGCTTGAAATGTCGCTTACCTCGCTTCAATAAACTAGGTTATCGCTTACTTAACGAGGACTACCACCATATTCTCTCCACCCCAGAATTGCGAAGCTGCCAGGAGACACTTCGTTTTTGTTATTAGCAAAAATGGCTTCATCTCTTCAGCAACAGTTGAGGCAAATACAAAAAAATAATGTGCTGAAATCAGGAAAAATAAGACGGGCTCCGTCTCTGCTTTATGACCCAAAGGTCGCAGCAGACATGGATCTTGACCAAATTTTTACTGTAGCGGTCGAGGGTTTCCATGAGTTAGTGTCAGTCGAGCCTCGGTTATTGCATTTTGAAAAAACTCTATTAGCTGAGACTTCAATTGAGGTCGACAGACTGTTGCTGTCGAAAGAGGAGAATGATAAACTTAACAAGGAATCTCGAGCGATTCTGCGTCATTTGGCTCCTTACTTACCTCATAAAAATACCCTGAAGGTTTTGGAATGGCTTGTGAGACGGTTTAGTATTCAAGAATATGTTTCAGATGAGTTTATCTTGTCCTTTTTGCCCTTTCACGACCATCCATTCTTTGGACGGGTTTTGTTTTGCGCAAAACCAAAGTCTCGTTGCCTCCAATTCCTTACACATGCCATTAAGGCGCGCACAGTGCCTTCCAGAACAGACATTGTTCATATGATGGTTAAGGACAAGGAGTTTTTTGCATTGTACGCTCAGACGGTGCAAGCCGCTGCTGAAGAGGCTTGTACTTACCCAATTCTCTCGCGTTTCTGGGCAGGTATATCTCTGGAAGTAATTGCTTGTTGGGCAAATGATAATGTTGCTGCTGACACTATCATCGACCGTGTCTTCGTGAGCGCTTCCTACGCCGCTTGCTACCCTTCTTCTGAAGAGTTTCGTCTTGCTGGATTCATGATACTTACAGGCTTGTCCTCTTGTGTTCCGTTGGCGTCGAATGTCGTTCAAGTTCTCATTGAGGCTGTTTGTGAAAAGTGTTCTTCCGAAACGCTTTTCTCGACGCTAATGTTTATTTCGCAGCTCGTACAGACTCATACAGGTACTGTCGTGCTGAAAAAAGAGATTGTTTTGAAGCTTTCAGGCCTGGCTGCCGGAAAAGCTTTGGAAAAAATCTCACAAAATTGCTGCATTAACAAGTTTCTTTATCTTTATTGGTCTACTCTTATCCGCGAAGCTTGCACCCCGGAGGTCGTAGAGGAGTTTTGCTCTTCCTTCTCTCTTTTGCGTCTTACGAAACAGGAAGCAATTTCTCTGTTGCAATTGTTGCATGCTGTTTCACCAAATGTTGAAATTAGTGAATGCAGAAAAGCCTTGGAGCAAGTTGAGACAAAATCAACTAATGTAGAAGATGAAGTTGTTACTTTTGAAGCTACCGAAAAGGATTCTAAAAGGGAGCGTGCAGAGCTTGTTAAGGCTCTTACTCGTGAAATTGCTGAGTTTTCCATCAATGACTACAAAAACAAAAATGTTGTCTCTTTGGCTGACAGAGTTGCTATTATTGATAAGCGTCTTTTTAGCAAGCTTACCAAAAAGTTTGACAACGAACTGGAACTGCTTGCTCAAATAATCGTTTCAGGAAATTCGGATTCTCAAGATCTTGCTTTTAGTCGTTTCGAAGAAAATATCCGAAACAACGAAAACGTTGATTACCAGGCATTTATTCCTTACTTGTTGTTTGGCCTTGCCAACCCCTCTGAAAAAGTTCGGACTAGTTGTATGTCTGCTCTTTCGTCATACTCTGTTTCCGTCAAGCATCTTCAGCAAGTGAGTGAGCATGAGGACTCTAAGCAAAAGATCACTATCTATTCATTGAATGATGAGAATAGCAGTGTGCTCAAATGGTTGTCCTATACCGAGTTAAATTCCCTTTTGGATGATATTATCGGTAGTCGGAAGGAAGAAATTTTGGTTGATCCTAACTATGTCCTTACTTATCTGAGTGAACGTCTTTCCTCTGAAAAGAAGCAAAAGGATCTTTCTCATAAAGCTGCTATTGTATCTTTCTTATCGTCGCACGTAATTGGTAACCGCTTTTCCGAGGTTCGTGTCTTCCTGCTTTCTGTGTTGGACGGTGTTAAAGAGTACACTCGTGAGATTGCAAGTCAGTTTTTGGTTCCCGTATTGGAGGAGTATGTCTCTGGTAAACGCGATTTGTCTACGCTTTCCCTTGACGAGGCTGCCGGTCTTGTGAATTTGGCTACCCATCAAGACTTCACTGTTCTTATTGCTTTAGTGAGTAAACCCAGCAATGCTGCTTCTGCTGCTTGTAGACGACTGGTGCAATTGCAGTCAAAACTGAAAAACTCTGGACGTCTGGAGTTTGTTCGTCTGTTGCTCAACATGGAACTGCCACCTTCATATGTGTCTGAAACCTTGGAAGCAATAGACGTTCCCACTAGTGTCTTTAGCTCTTTGCTTGCCGAATTGGATTTGACTAGTGAGGTTGCTCCGGCAGCAAGTGCAAAGAAGGTGAAAAAGACTGCTGCTTTGCAGCCAAAGATTCAAATATTAACTCGTATTCTCGAGTTATTAGAACAAAAGGATCCCACTTCGCATATAGCTCTTCTTTCCGGACTTTTTGAGATTCTGAATTTTGTTATCTCCTCTCGTGATGAAATCCAGTTCTCTGCTTATCTTCTGCAGTTGCTCCTTGGCATTTTGTATACCATGGTGAGCGCTACTACTATTGAAGAGGCACCACCGTCTATCCGTATCGACATTTTGGTTAACTGCATTCGTTCCTCTACAAATCCTCAAGTACAGAATCGTGCTTTGTTGCTCGTTGGCGCGCTTGCTAGTGTTGAATCTTCAGCAGTTCTCCATGGTGTCATGCCTATTTTCACTTTCATGGGAACCACGCTTTTGTCGCGAGACGATGCATTTTCTTCGCATGCCATTGAACAAACTGTTAAGAGAGTTGTTCCCGCACTGCTTTCTGGTTCAACGGATGTGAATGCTGCCGTTTTGATTTCGTGTTTTGTGAATGCGTTTCCACACATCCCTCAGCACCGCCGTCTTCGTTTGTTTGTCACTCTCTTGCAAACTATGGGTGTTTCAAAGTATCTCTCCTCATTTTTAATTCAATTTTCAGAAAAATTGCTACACATCAAATCAACTCATGCGAAGGTCATTCAAGATTTCTGTTTGTTGCTTGTTCGCACGATTTCTCTGGGAGATCGTTTTACCGCTATAGAGCAGTGTATTGGTGCATGTGTCCAATTACGCAAGAGCGAGCTGGAAGTCGGTGAAAAGCATGATAAGGATCATTCTGAAATTAAGCTTGAGCAAATTCCTTTTGAGATTTCTGCTGCTAGCGTCGCCAATCTTCGTCTTAATATCATTGAACTTATTTCTTTGATTTGTAAATCGAAGCAATTTGAACTTGATCTTGCTATGACGCTTGAGTCAGACGCCAAAAAGTTTGAGTTATTGGAGCGCGGAATTTCTGACTCCGTCTCTTTGCTTATGGAGTTGGATGAAATCCTCACAACTGAAAATGAAAAAGAGGCTGTTTATGCTGCATTGAGAAATATTATTTCCCTGCTTCCTATCTCTTCTTTTGCTGCCGTTATCAAAGAGTTGCTTCACGACAATCGCGTATTACTTCGTCGTAGTGCTCTTACTCTGTTACAGTTTAGAGTACGTCAAGGCACAAATGTTTCTGTTCTTGGAAGTTTGGTTGAAGATGTTACGGCTAACATTTCTGAAAATGTCGATGAAGAAACGACTCAAATGGCGATGGAATGTCTATCATTCATGGCTCGCCGCTTCATGCAACAAGTGGAGATTTTTGTTCCCGCTGTCTCTTCGGTTATTGGATCCGCTGGATTAAAGAGCAGTTCAAAGGATGTGCAAGTTTCTGCCATTGTGTGTGTTACGGTCTTGGGCAAATTCTCTTGGAGCGCGTATTCTTCCACAACTGGTAGAGTTTGTTCCGTTCACTTTGGAGATTTTGAATAATGCTATCAATGATGAGGAAGGAAGTCTTGTGGAGCTTGCATGTATTCATGATGATAGACTTATTCAAGGTCCTTCCGGAGTTTACTGCTAATTATGTTCGTCCAACTATTATAGCTGCCTTGACATCCTCAAGAGCTTTTGACTCCGAGAGTATTGGTGAGATGCTCTTCGAAACTGTTGCTAAGTACATTCCCACAAGATTGTTATTCAAAGCCATTCTTCAAGTCTGGCCCGATTGCGTTAAGATTGGACCGACTGCCGCCATTCGTCTGTTTGATTTGATTGGATTGGGTATTGACAATGCTACACGTTCTGCGTTAGCTGTCGTATACAGACAAACTTTCAAATTCTTTTGGATTCCTTCGACAGCCGTCGTTCGTTGTTGTTTGCTGAAGAACTTGACAATGTCGAGACAAAGTCTGTAAATGTGTTTCTTAAATTCGTTATGAAGCTTAGTGACTCCACTTTCCGTCCGTTATTTTTCCGTCTTCACTCTTGGGCCTTACAAGATTTAGTCTCTACAGACCCTGCGGGTTTAACAGCTCGTCAAATCTTTTTCTACAACTTCTTTACTGTTTTCTTGAAGTCTCTCACTTCCATCGTTACGAACTACTACGCATATGTATTGGATGATACGGTTGATTTGTTGGCTTCGAAAGAAACCAATGGTGAGTTGCGCCAACTGATATTGAGTAGTCTTGCCAATGCGTTTGAAAATGACTCTGAAGAATTCTGGCTTGTTCCAGCCCGTTTCAACAAAATTGCACCCGTTCTAATTGAACAAATATCTTATGCCCCTCTCCTTGACAATAGCACTCTCATTAAGGCGGTCGTTGAGCTCGCCAGCACTGCTGCTTCTGATGATAACTTTAAGGCTATTAACACGCCGTTGTTGCAGTACTTGCGCTCTGAAACTGTTGATGTCCGCGTTTTAGCGATCCAAATGGAAACAGAATTGTACAAGCGACTTAACGAAGACTGGCTCACTACTCTTCCTCAATCTGTGCCATTCATTGCCGAGTTAATGGAAGAAGACGATGACCAGGTTGAAAGTGCTACGACTGAACTGATTAAGGTGATAGAGGACAGACTTGGTGATTCAGAGTCTCTCCAGGACTATTTGACTTAAAAAATTTATAGAACACGTATGGGCAGCAGGACTGTATACAGCCTTTGTTGTGAGTAATCTTGGTTACACATTTGCTGCTGATTTTGGGTTTTCGGATTATTCGGACTTTTATCATGGATGGTATTTGTTCGTTTTTGTATGTATAGAGCATCTATATACTTTTGGTACCTTGTTTCATTTTCTTTTAAACAATCAATATTTGTTATACCATAAAACAAGCGTTGTAGCATCATATTAACACCTTCACTGTGTTTTTGTGCCGATCGATGATGATGTATTCTATTCACCCACTCATGTATACTTTACATGTTCTACAGTTTTTAGTCCTACGGACAACTGTTTTTAAATTTTGACACACTTCATTTTCAATAAAATGCGAATCGCTTGTGTTCAATTCTGTCCAGAGTTTGGGAAAGTTCATAAGAATGTTGAGAGGCTCAATAAATTACTTAGTAATTATTCAACAGCTCTTGGTAAGACGGATCTCATTGTGTTTCCTGAAATGGCACTTACAGGTAAAGTTATCAATAACCTATATGGGATTGAATACTTAGAATAAAATTACAGGTTATAACTTTCGATCAAAAGCCGAAATCTTGCCCTTTGCGGAAAGTAGAGATAGGTTTGATGGTGCATCTTTGAAGTTCGCAAAAACGATTTCTCGGCTGTTCTCGTGCCATACAATAATCGGATTCCCAGAGATTATTAAGAATTGCGATAAAAATGCACAATTGTACAATAGCACAGCGCTATTAGGTCCAGATGGTGATCTTCTTCATGTTTACCACAAGCATTTTTTGTATGAAACGGACAAAAGCTGGGCAATACCGGGCGATGCATTTCACATGTATAATGTTGATGGTTTAGGTCCTATTTCGATGGCCATTTGCATGGACATCAATCCGTTCGATTTCAAAGCTTCGTTTGACGAGTTTGAATACGCGAATTTCGTTAAGAGTCGACTCTCTACTTTGTCGCAACGGCCAGTTTTATGCCTTAGCATGTCGTGGTTAGCTTCTGAAAATGACAAGAATTTGCTTCAACAAAATGGACCCGATATTACAAACATCAATTACTGGGCTACACGATTAAGTCCTCTTATCGAGAAGGATGTAGTTATAGCGATTGCAAATAGAACCGGTGAGGAAAGGGGTATCACCTTCGCTGGAACAAGTTGCATTATGACCTTTGCAAAAGGAAAGGTGAACGTACATGGACTATTAGGAATGAAAGAAGACGGAGTAACGTTTGCTGACATAAAAGAGTGAAAATAAAAAACACGGTAAATCCAAGCTTATCATATAAATACATAATTATCCGGAAAAGGGATATTCACAAAAATAAAGAACAAACAGAAAAATTAACACAAAACGAAGAGAATCAGGATCAAATACTTTGATTCGGTGACTGATCCATTCCAAACAAGAATGCCAGCTCTTTCGTATTAAGGCGAGATATGTTGCGGAGACCCTCTTCTCCCATGGCGCCATTGATCAGTTCTCTTTTTTTATTTTGCAAAGCAACCACACGTTCTTCAATTGTCTCACCAACTATGACTCGGTGAACGGTGATATCTTTTGTTTGACCAATTCTGTGAGCACGATCAATGGCTTGATCTTCGACGAATGGATTCCAAAAAGGGTCTAAAACGATAACATGGTTCGCACAGGTCAGATTGAGTCCAACATTTCCTGCTTTTAATGAAATTAAGAGGACGATGGCATCTGGATCAGTTTCAAAAGCAGTCAACGCATCGTTTCTTTGAGCGGCATTCATACCGCCGTTATAAGCGATAAACTTCAGGCCTTTTTGAGTTAATGGAACCATAAACAGTTCTAAAAAGGGAACAAATTGTGAGAATAGCAAAACCTTGTCACTAGGATGCTTCTTGTGAATGTCGTTTATGATTTCCAGAGCCTTTTCAATTTTTGTGGAAGTTACCCATTGTGTTGGATTTGTAAATATCGACATTCCAATTTCCCTATTCTCAAGAATGTTTGTGAAACTTGATGGCAAAATTGAACTGACGTTTTTTAAGTCAAATGTATTGTTGCTGGTCATTAAAGACGAACAACCTGCAAAAGATCGAAACAGCTCAACACTTAATACATTATCAGTGTTAATGTATTCAAGACAAATAGAGCATTTTGGGAACATTGATAGAAGATCACCATTTTCCCCAGCATTCATTTTATCAGCATGTTTGGCCAAGCACTCTCGGCATATCAAGTGACCACAAGGAATTAGAATTTGAATATCCATCACGGAATCTAAGCATTCTGGACATTGGTACGATTCTAGTTGTTTGATTCCCTCAACAACACTTTTTGGGAGCTGTTTGAAAAGAGCAAGTTTTTCACGCCGAAACCCATCGTTATCATCTGCTGTAGCTTCACGAGCCACAACTAACCAAGGGTGACAGCACGCCTGTCTCAAACGAAGAAGAAGAACTAGAATGCTACCATAATGTGATACTACGGTGCCTTCCTTCATAAACTTTCTCATTTGAATTTGCGCACCTGTTTGCAGAGCAGAATAAAATTCTTTTTCCGGAGGAGACAAGGCAGCTTCCTGGACATTAAGAGTTTTTTTAGGCAAAGTAAGTATAGGTTTACCGTCTATTTTTGTATTCTTTGTCCTCCGAAGTAACACAGCCTTAATAAGAGCTCTTAAACGATTCATAGCGCGTGTATCAGATGAACCTACCTCATGTTTTAAGGGGACAGAAATGTCCCGACAAAAGATTTCCCAATCGCAGTACGGTTTTATCCGCAGGAATTTTAGCAGACTGTGAAATTCATCAATTGAATTTTGCATGGGTGTGCCACTGAGGCACCAGCGATACTTTGATTCTATGAGGCAGCAGCCCTTGGCAGTCAATGTGTTGCGATTCTTGATCATCTGTGCCTCATCGAGAATAACACGGTACCAATCGCCATATAGAATGGGAAGTTGTGCCTCATGAATCATAGTACTACCTTCCTCATTTGCTTCAAGTATTGCTTGGTGCGTTTTGTACTCATATGCAATTGTATTATATGTTGTGAGAACGACATCGTAATTCCTTAGTTCCTCAAATGATTTATGTTTTTTTAGCAGACCGTGGTGAATGTACGTCCGAAATCCCATTTCAGGAGCAACTTTTGTTCGAATTTCTTTTTCCCATTGTCGCAATAAAGCTACTGGGGCAACAATAAGATTTGTCTTATATTTTGGATCTTCAGAAACATTAGCAACCAGTAAGGCTAATGTTTGTACTGTCTTTCCGAGACCCATATCATCAGCAAGTATACCACCGAGTTTTGGACTTTCTTCCATTTTTTTCATCCACATGAACCCTTCTTTCTGATGTTCCATCAGCGTAGGAACAAGGCCATGAGGTGTACCGACTCGAGATGCGGGATCGGAAATGGGCTGCTCTTCCAATCCGTTGAATAGGTTTTCAAGATCCTTTTTCAATTGTTCGTTCACAGCACCGCCAAAGTCTGTCGGATATTGGGTTTTTACACGAGCACTGGCATAGGAGGGCATTAAACGAAGATATTCCTCTTCAGACATTGGTTGCTGCTTGTTATCCGTTTGCCATGTGTAATCATGCAGATATTGTATGTAATTCCCGACATTCTCAATCTCATTCTCATCTTCATCACTAAGAGATATAGGGTTGTCTGCCGTGCCATTACCAGAAATAAAATTCTGATTCACGCTCTCAGGAGCATGGACGCTTTTGTAATAATAAAACGAATTGGAATCCTGTGGTTGGAAAGATGCGGGGAGTTGATTAAGAACGAGAGGCTTTTGTTGAACTTGAGGGGAGGGCAAGGTCCGGTGGGAAAGGATTTCTGGTGCACTATGAGTTTCCATTTCGAATTCGTCACGCCAATCTTGCCCATCAGACTCATCTGAATCAGATATAACGATTGCAGAGGCCTCGTCTATCGCATGTAAGTTCGGGCTTACATTGTTCAGACTGGATGCTCGGACACCAGGTGATTTATTGTTCTGCACCCGGTCCTTCATTTCGTCAACTATAGAGGAAAGTTGGAAGTTGCTGTCTGTTTTCCGTGGTGTGTCTGAAATGAACAGTGGTTGTGCTGTCGTCGTAGAAATATTATCATTCAGCCTAAGAGGAACAGTGTCTTTCTTCTCCTCTGCCGCATCTCCCTGACCCGGTTCATCTCGTAAAAGAGGTGAGGGTGAATTAGCACTTGTAGCAGCGACGAACCCGTGGTCCGAAGGAGATGTAATTGAGGATGGTAGACTTGATTCCCCGAAAGCTCTTGAACCAACTTCAGGAGAGCTACATATTACCTCTTGCTCCATTGATACAGGTTTGCTTCTCATCGGCGGTGACGAATCCGCTTGCCATGTTCTTAATATGTCCTCAGCATCATCTTCCTCTGAAGCAAGATCAATAACATCTATATCCTCAATCGATGAACTGTAACGAGGAAATTTCGTTCGTTCCAGTGAGCTAGATGGGTGCGAAAACAGATGCGATTCGTCTTGGTTTCTTTCACGTTTTCTCTAAAGGTTTAGTATAACAGATACTGTAAAATGAGTAAGCTACAAAAGACACTTACACTGAATTCCTCAGGGATTTGCTGAGATAATGCATTATCGTTGTACCTTAATGTATTTTTCCTTGATGAAGAGGCATTTGCTAGATGATGGCGAATTTCCGCAGCCATCGAGTATGCTAGCAAACTCTTTGCAAAATTTAATTCACACTAGGTGATTATGAGGAACAAATGTCGAAATTCGAGTACTATGAAGGATTCTGTTCGTCGACGTTGGATGGGCACTCAACTTCCTTCCTGGGTGTCGCAAAAATTAAAGCTGCGGGAACCTATTTTCTAATTGGTTGGTCGCAACCACGTGGCGATCGACGAGTTCTGTGCTGCGACTAAGTTATACTGGAACAGTATAGAGGCAATTTCAATTCTTGTTCCGGTAGCTATTGGTATCATTTGCGGGAGAGTGTAGGCAATTAAAATTAATGAATATTTATATTTTATAAAATCGATAATAATTTTATTTCGCAATGGACTCACACAAGCGTTGGCGCTTTAATCCACGCGTGCAGGTATCTAAGCGAAGATTGCCTTTTTTAGTATAAGCAGAATTTTAGCAGACGGAAATAGCTCACCGAAGAAGTCAATTTAACGGAAGTCACCAAAAGATAGTTTTTTTTCCTCCTTGCTGACAAAACCCAGCTTGTACAAACCAAGAACTTTTCAAAAATGTTATTGTTGTGAAATATGTGAATAGGTCAGAGATGACTAAAACAAGCTTTACAGATGAAAGCACTTTTCATCGTCTTTCTATTTTTGAAGTTTTTTTTGACCAAATCGCGCATTAACACTACTTAAACAGTTGTGTTTGACGATAACAGGTGAACTCTATTATTAAAAAAAAAAGAAAGAAAGCAAAGAGATTTTTTTTTTATTTTTATTTTATTTTTTTTGAATTTTTTATGCTTTTCAATCGTCCCAGCTGAACTCAGCTATTATGGATGATTTCGCCGCTGAAACACGGTTATTCGCCGATTATGCCTTCCCCACTTGCGCCCCCGCCGTGTCTATTCTCTCACAACATATTTACGTCATCTTGGTCAGGATCGTTGGTAACCAAATGTGGCCAGCAATTCTCAATAAAAAGCGAAATAAAATACACGCATATGAGAAATGATTGTGCGAATTTGTTTCATAAATTTCTCTCATCTATTTGATTTGCATTCGCCTGTATTTTTTTGCCCGAACTACCCAAGGCTGGGTATCCGCCATAACCTTGATGGTAACGACGAACTACACCTCGCAACAACACACAATCATTTAGTCCGTTAACTTCAGAATTGTAGTAGAAATACTGCTTGTTTGCTTGGTTTGCAGCTAGAATTATTGTTTCCTTTGATTTCTTGTTTGTTTAAAGAAATCAGCGTGCTCGTTCTGGTTCTGACGAACTCGTGTTCTGGCCTCTAGGGCGATCACGATTTTTGTATTTGCTGCTGCTTTTAAGGTTTGTACGCGCGTTCTTGCTGATAATTATAACAGACACCTCTTATTTTGTCTGTCGGAGCTACAACCTGTTGGTTTTTCTACCTGCGTTTGATCAATTTCTTTTTACGCGTTTTCGCTTTTCTTTTCCTTTTTTTTTCTGTGATTATAAGCGAACAATTTCACCTCCCTGAAATCGTTCAGTAGCCCTTTCTCATACCTCGCAGTTTACGATTTTTAGTGAAACGTGGTTCTGAGATTCTTTTTGCACAGCCACACTCTTCATTCTTGCACTCTGTCAATTGCAGCAGTTTCTGCTGCACACTTCTGTAACTTGCAGGCCGGATTGCATTAAATCCCAGTCCTCCGTTAGCTTTACCTCAACGGTTCTATAAGCTTACAACTTGGGCGCTGTACTCCTATTACACGTTCAGCTCTTGTTTTTCTTGTTACGTTTATACGCTTTGGTTGTTATCTTCTTGGACGCTACCTTGACTTTTGTGAACACACTTCTACACCGTGTCCCGAAGCAACTTGCTCTACACAACACTTTGCGACAACTGCCAACTGTTCTTACTTCTTGAGGAATTCAATTCCCTTGTGACGACCTTGCACGTTTTTGACTTTTGTCCCCCCTTTTCTCAGTATTCTTGATTATAATGGCTTCACGAAACAACGCTGAAAACGCTGGTGACGTTCAGCCTCAAGATGTTCAATGGAATATGAGTGTTAATGCAAATGCGTCTTTTTCTAATGATAATGGCAACGGTGCCGAAAAGCTCTCTCATGATGCGATGTCGAACAACCAAAATGGGGCTGCTACTAATCCAGCTACCACTGGACTTCAGTTTCACTCTTCCAATAATGCCAGTAATGCCTCCCTTTCCGATATTAAAAGCTCTGATAACATGATGCATGTCAATAATGACGAAACAGCTTCCCATAACAATAGCACTCTTTGGATGGGAGAGCTCGCCCCTTTTATAACGGAGGCGATGGTCCAGCAAATCTGGAACTCTCTTGGTGAAAATGTCAACGTTAAGATCATTCGGGACCGATACTCGGGCCTTAACGCGGGTTATTGTTTTGTTGAGTTTAATTCGCCTGCTAGTGCGATGAAAGCCATGTCGCTCAACGGCACGGTGATCCCCGGAACAAACCGATTCTTTAAGTTGAATTGGGCTTCTGGAGGTGGTTTACATGATCGCCGCGAGGGGAAAACACCCGAATTCTCTATCTTTGTGGGAGATTTAGGTCCTGAGGTTACTGAACCTATGTTGCTCTCATTGTTCCAATCGCGCTATCGTTCCTGTAAGTCTGCTAAAATTATGATGGACTCCAACACAAATCTTTCCCGTGGATATGGCTTTGTTCGGTTTTATGACGAAAATGACCAAAAACGTGCATTGACAGAGATGCAGGGTGTTTACTGTGGCAACCGCCCTATGCGAATTGCTATGGCCACACCCAAAAGCAAAAATCACATGTACAGTCCAATGAACATGATGCACATTGGGCTGCAACCCGTTGGATTCTATGGTGCACCCCAACCGGTCAACCAGTTTACTGATCCCACCAACACTACTGTTTTTGTCGGTGGTCTTTCGGGTTATGTCACTGAAGAGGAACTACGTTTTCTCTTCCAAAACTTTGGTGAAATTATATATGTGAAAATTCCTCCTGGGAAAGGTTGCGGCTTTGTCCAATTCGTCAATAGACAATCTGCAGAACTCGCCATAAACCAAATGCAAGGCTATCCACTTGGAAAGTCTCGAATTCGCCTCTCCTGGGGTCGTAGCCAAGGAGGAAACGTTGGAGCACCTATTGCTTACCGGTCTCCACCTCATCACGCTGCATCGACGGCTTCAGGACTGTATCACTCGTTGGGTCTTCCTCCCCAGCACCAATTTAGCCCTTATGCCTCAGTCGGTGCTTCGGGCATGCCCATTCAATCTGCACCGCCAACTGGTATGGAAAACGCGCTCCCACCTGCGCCTGGTTTCCTTCCCAACCCTTTGTATGCCACTGAACACTCGAAGCAAGGTGATTCAATGTCTTCGCAAGGGGGTGATGGCGTTCCTAGCAACTAAGAGCAGTGTCTTAGTGAGTGTTCTTGTCCTATTCCTTCACGAAATAGCCTCTCACTACACGCTTTCATGTGTGTGGATTTGCACATCCAAATAAAATGGCTAATCTCTCTCGGGATATTTAGTCAGCAAGGGTGATTCATCGTAGTCAATAACTGTTTATATGAATTAATCTCATTGCAAAAGTGCACGTTGGTCATCGGTAATATATAGCTCCGTTACTGCGAGCTTCGCTGCCCATCAACAATCAATTATTTAAGGTGATTTAAATGAACTTTTATTCTGCTATTTACGACATTCCTATTGCTTTGGGCAATTCAAAAGTTTGTTCAGGCCTGTCCTCACGAGGCAATTACATGCGCTTCTGTAAGACGCTTCATTAGGTGCATCCTGAAAACTCATTTGATGGACGGCCATCTTTCCAAGGTAAAGTATACCAGTAAATCCTTTACCGGATTCGTCTGTCTTAAACTGTGTGGACACTTTACTGTTGTATCCCGCTGATATGAGAAATGCTATGCACGTATTAGTCACGAATAACATAATGCTGAATACTAGGTGCAAATTATTCAAATTACCTTGCAAAACGTCGAGCATTCCAAATTCCCGCTCAAAAGTTTTAAAAACTTTTATTGCTAAGGAACAATGTGATGCGTCTGGGACAATTTCGCGTTGTTGATTCGCATTTGTGAATGCTTGCTCTTCGGATTTTATTGAAGCTTGTTCGTTGCGTTCCTCAGTACAAGGTGGCATGTCTAACATAATCAGATTGTCCTGCGCTTCTTTTTTCAAAAAATCTTGCGAGACGGGAAGGCTGCCGGGTTGATTGGCCGACGTGTCTGATGTATCGTCGCTCTTCATCCAGTTCAAGTATTCAAGACAGGCACTTCTCTTTGCCAGTTTTTTTGATTGAGCGGGCTTGCCTGTAAATACTGATTTGTCAGCAAGTCTCATAGAGCACTGGAACTGAACATTGTCTGGCCGAGTATATTCAAATGAAGGTGGTACAGCACTCCTCTCCTTTTGAAGCAGTTCTGTAGTCAATTAGTATGCCAGGTCCTAGTGATACAATTAAACTACCACAGATATAACGAAGTCTACTTACTGAATAAGAAAGACACGGGGTCCTTTTTGACAGCCCCCCAATCAAGCTTTGTAGCCATGTTTTTTAGTATTTTTTGCTCCTTACTCTTCAAGATCAACTACGTCTTTCTTATATATATTCCTCACTGTATTACGTTTCTTCGTTGTAAACGGGCAAGTGGCTTGTGGAAACTTCACTCTCTGAAGAAACCCCATACTACTTTGAGTTTTACATAACTAAACATAAACAGGGAGCAAAATTCCCCTATGGACCCTCGCTAAAAATATTCCGGACCCTCTTTAGTTCAGGGTGTTAGCTAGTTTTTGCCCCATCATAAGCAACAAACCAACCTCATACAGTGACGAAAACACCAATTGTTGCCACAGTTGAAGAAACTCTGATTATTCACGGAATTGTTGAAGCATAGGAGCTCTATTAGGAGTAGACAGCTGCTCCTTTTAGCTTGTTAAGTAGCTAGTCCTCGAATCGGCGAATTATGGCTTCTACAACAGATACGGAAGACAAGGATGATATCGTTGAAGAACCTCCTGATTATTACCAATGGGTAATTAGGGCCTTTTTGTTTATGGCCTCGGTTCGTAGCCGACGAAACCTAAAGCAATCTGAGCGAACAGAAGAAGTATTTGATCATTATTGCTTCTTATTAAGGAATGCCTTATTGCGGTGCTCTTCAGAACAACAGAATGTGCCTTTCATTTCCAGCACAGTGTCAAATCTTTCGGGGGAAGTTGCTCGGCTACGAATTCTCGAGAGTGATTTTATTGAGAATACGGAAGAACTTCGGGATAAGATTCAGATCTCCTCCTTCTTAAACAAGACAAAGTGCTTAAGTCTCGAAAAAATTCCCTCATTAAAAACAGTACATTATTATAATGAGTACTTATCCGCTGTTTTAGAAGCATTCGTACGCTGGCTGTACAAAATTGAAAATACGAACATACTGGCTATCTTACGAATTGGACGAAAACTCATTGAAATACTTCGAACAGCTTTAAGTAATTATCTTCGAACAAGGACCAGTGTACTAGCAATCTTTGAAAAGTTCTTTGAAAAATTCTTAAAAGAATGGGACAAGTTTCATACAGATACAGTCCTACGAAAGCCTCTGTTCTTACTGGGAGATTTTTCCCTCTTAAATCATATAAAGATGCTTTGCTGTATTTTCGAATTGTCAAATTACGATGCCTTTCTAAAAGATGTCGGGGAGTTGGCTCATATGAATGTACCACTAGCGTCACTTTGTGACATTATAGTTCTTCGTCAGCGGATAACGAATGGTCGTTCGTCTATAAGCCTAACGGATTTTGATTCTTATGTCGCTTTTGAATCGTATATGAAAGAAGAGCTTGCGTCTTGCGATGAAGCAGCCCGCCAAATCTTACAAAACTATCCCGGAATTGCAGAAGCACTGGAAATTCACAATCACTACTACGATACTCCCTTTTCTTCGGCAATAGCGCAATTGAACGAGTTTACGCTGAGACCATCAAAGAGTTTTCAGTACTATAAGTATGGACTAAACCTGGCTTTCCAGTACAATTTTAAAGAGAAAGGTACTGTAGCAAATCCATCTACTTGGGGACTGGCAAAAAGTTTCAGTACTGTCTGGGACATCCATCCGGGTACCGTATGTAGAGTTTCTTTGGAGCTCGCGAAGGATCAATTTATTAAAAAGAATAAAGTTCAAATTTACGAGCTTCGTGACTTGTATTATTCGCTTAAAACGATTGAGCTTGGCACACCTTATTCAAAATGGCTTGCCATAGACAGGGATATCATAAAGGATCTTATGCAATGGTATCATAAAACTTGTCTACTTAGCTTAATTTCGAAACTGTCCGAATGTCCGCGAACAAATGCTATTGTTGCACAACTTAATGATGTCTTGAGCAACTTAATATTCCCTCATCCATTATTCGACGGAAGTTCCGAAGAAGTTACGGACATCTACAGGAATTTTCCAGTTCTTCTCAATCAAGGTTATGCTAAATATTATGAAAACCAGGCTAAACAAGAACTGAACGGTGTCTCAACAAATATTGTAATCGGATTAAAAAACTTAGGTTCTCACCTTTTGACACGATATAACACTTTGAAGGAAATATTTCCCTTAAAGTTATTTAATCAGTTTCCACCAGCTGAGATATTTAGCAAAGCAACTTTTGAACTTTATCTAAATGATGTTTGCAAAACTGCCCGACGTCTAAGTAATAACTCATATAAAGATTTGTCTGACGGTACTATGAACGATCTCGTCAACTTGTATCATCAGGCACGTGAATTTACATCCGCTTTAGGAAAATACTCCTTCTACTATCCAGAGTTTTACCATGTCTTTGGGGTTTCTTTTGTTGATAGGGGAATAATGATCGTTTTGGAGAATGCCAAACCGCATGCTGAACAGGCAATTTACAAAGACACTTGCCCTCCAAAGGGCTCGAAGTTTATTCTGGATTCATATAAGACAATATTGGCGCCTGTGACTTCATGCATGGATTTGCTTCGGTCTTTCGATTGGCCAGATATTGAAGAGGCTAGATGCCTGTATTTTCGGTTCCTTAAACAGTGTAACAATCTTGGTTTTTTTTATGTTAGTTCTCTGTACTATCTGTTTTGTCGAATTTTGGATGAACCTTTTTCTGAAAATTTAATTTATGATGTGAATCTTCCGAGGAAGGAACTGGACGAAAAAGTTGAGATTTTGAAGAAACAAGAACAAGGCACTCAAAAGAGGGTACTATTGGAAGCATTGCTTTTGGTAAACACAGTTGATCATTGTCGGTTGTCGGCTACGACTGTTCGTCAGAATGTTGATTATGAAATATTAAGAGAGCGCCCGGATGCATTTGAATCCGCTCACTTGGTTTCTAATGTCTGTTTAAGTGTTGCAATGGCATTTGTCTCAGTCGCTCCTAGTTCAAATTATGGATTTAGTGTCATACTGAGAGATGGTGCTAACGATTTACTTCAAACAGCATATGCTCAAGAAACCGTGGTTCCAAAGTGGGACGAGTCTGTGCGTCTTGTGATCTCTCAATCAAAAAATATCTCAGTAATTATTAAGTGCAGGGATTTGACTACGAATGAAGAAACTATTTATGGCGAGGGTAGCTTTGCACTTGCTGACGATCCTGCTCTTAGCGAACGTCGCTCTGACAATTGGGTTACTTTAAGTCTTGGTGGAAGAGTTCTTATACGAACTAGCATTCTTACTATTAGGGACACTCAAAATTACATATTTTGTTCTTCATTTTTCTTAACGTCTACTTTATATGATGAGATGATTCAAAAGTTAAGTTATCATTTACAAGATAAATGTTCGTGAGGCATTGAGAAATTCTGGTGTATATGAATTGATCAGATACACGAATGACAAATCAAGTATTCAGTATTCTGCTGATGAATTATCTCTTGACGAAATAACAGCTAAAAGTGAAGATGAGAAACAAAAACTTTTACAAAAACTCGATGAATCCTTCTACTGGGTATACGTTAATCTTTTACCTAATTCTCTTTACCAAATGCTTTCAGATTTTTGGTTTTGTGTACTGCAACTCTTTCGAGTCATCTTAATTTCGCCGGATTATGATGATAAACAACTGCGTGTACCATTGACAAAGGGCCAGTTGAAGTTAGTATATTCATGGATTGATGTGATTCATGACTTTCTTAAAACATTCCAAGATGTACTTCCAGCACATTTTCTGGATATTGAGGAATTTGACCGGGTTATGCAAATCCACGATGCGTACTTCGTGTCTAATGAGGATATGAAAAAAATTTAATGAGTTTTCGATTGTGTTATTAAGTATTTTTAGTTGAAGTAATGATCATTTAAAATAATATTACAAATGTAGATGCTACTAGGTAGTATCGGAAGGTTTGATTTAAATTGTTTCATGCAACCAAGACTATTGTAATAAACGGCACAAAGTAGTTTTGTATTATATGGGACAGTGAAACGTATCTTACTTTAACAAGAACAATCTTGCGGTTATGTGAGCAAGCTGTTTCCGCAAAGTAATGACTTGCGGTTTATCGAAATCATCATCCGAGCGATGATCCTCTAGTGAAGCAATGCAGTCATAAGTGTCGTTCAATGACATTAACTTCACTCTATTTTCTTCATCCTCAAAAAGGTATGAGATGAAACTAGAAAGTTCGGAGAGCAAGGGGAAGAAATATTTTTTAGGGAGACCGTCTGCTTTCAAAATTGCTACTAAAGAAGAAATCGCTTGTGAGATTTGACCATTTTCCCTTAAAGAAAAATATTGGTTTAATGTTGCTAAAGGGGCCAGCATTGTCGCGAGAACTGCTGGACACTCCATCGGGGAGGACATCAAATGCAACATTGTAGAATCTAAACTGTCCAGTGGTTTTTTAGAATCAAGAAGTTTTTCAAACAAATTCCAATTTAAACGATTAAGAGAAATAACATCTTCAGCCTTATTCATATGTAAACAAGCCTCGCCGTATTCACCTTTTTGGACTAGAAGCTGTGCCCAATGACTGAGAATACTTTTTCGCTCATCTTCTAAGTCAAGTTCTGCACAAAATTGAAGAGCTGATTGAACATCATCTTGAGACTTTATTTCAACATGGGAAATGCTTTCTTTGATTCTTTGAGGCCCAAAGTTTGGTACATATTTCCAATACGAGTATGCAACCTTCCAATTACCAGTAGATTGCAAAACAGCGTTTCCAAACTCTAAAATTAAGTGTTCCCTTAAAGTTACAGGAAACTTTGACGTGACAAAGTTTTCAAGGTATCCTGATTTTGTAAGAAGATCAGTCAAGTGTACGGAAAACCCAAGGTCAAGCAAAAATGCATGTTGAACAGCTTCTAATGGTTTTTTTTTACAGAGATACGAACACACACATTCGAACTCCAAAGTTACATCAGGTAAGTAGCCAGTCTCTGGAGCAGTGGCAATTTCATAAAGGATAGATGCGCCGTTAACATCATCACATCCAACAGGATCATACAAATAGCAAAGAGCACCGAAATATTCTTGCCAGTGATTTGAAAGCGAGCGCAGCACATCCTGATCACCGCTAAGTACACGTAACAGCAAGTCCAAGTTTTCGCGGTAATGGGTGTTCAGGCCTTCATCTGCAAAGACTGTTTCTCTCATGCCTAAAACTCGTGCTCTCCAACGTCTCCAGTGTTTTTCAAAGTCGAATTTACTGTGTGTGCGCTTTTGTTTGTGTGGTGCCGCTTGAATGATGTCGATAATTTCAGGAATGCAGCTTTTTAAGGAAGCACTCTCCAAGATCAGAGAAGAAGAATCGAGACATGAAACTGTTTGCTCAAATAAACCTCGAAGGGCGGTTTTAAAAACATAGGACCAAAACTCTGGGTGTTGGTGAGGGACTTCGTAGGTCATGATTTCCATACCATCCTTAATTGAGGGTTGGGGATCATAACTATTCACCCAGTCCATTATACCAAATGCAAGGGTGGGTTCTTCGGGACTTGAGAGATATAGCGCTTCCGCACATTTCCATGCAGAGGCAACTTCCCATAGGGTATTCAATGAAGGCTGCAGATTTTTTTTTCCTTCGTTAATCTGATCCTGTAAGTTTTGGAGTGCTGGCTTCAGCTTTTCTCTGAAGAGAAAGCTAACCCTTTTCAGGAAAGACTGTTGAAATTGTTGGGCTTCCAAAACCGTCGAAAAGTTGTATTGTTGCAACTCATTCCATAAGTCTGCCCATTCAACTAGTAGCGTTTCTGGCTCAACCACGTACGAAGGAACTTGAAGTTCAAAGACTTCTGATTTTGGAATAAGGGACGCGGCAGTTGAGGTTGAGTTAACTTTTTTTGTAGTAATGTATGAGGCGCCTTGTGCTAAATAGGGGTGAAGAGAAAAGCCAATTGTTCCGTCGCTTTGCTCCCAACTTTCTGAATCTTTTATAGGGGCATCATTGATGTGGTAGACCAATGGTTCTTCTTGGGGTTCATGTATCGTTTCTTCGTACGTAGACATACTTACATAAGATGAAGAAAAAAAGAGAAGTACAGTATAAGCTCTGTCCAAACACCAATAGTTTATATTTATCAGCTTATTATTTTGTAGTAACCTTACTACGAGTGAAAAAATCGATAATTTGTATCCAAACGAAAGCTAACAGCTCCAAGGATTGTGACCCGTAAAATGCGTCAAAAGGGCTATTCCTGTTTAAATTGAGATGAAAGTGAGTTCCACTAATGATGATGGTCGTTTACCAGATACTTGGTGCTATGGTGTTGTTGCCTGGCACGTACGTTGTAGTAAGAATGACAGGAAAATGAAATACAGAACGTAGACGCTCAGAGTTTCGTGTTTAAACTTATAGTTGATTTTGTTTTAAGTAATCAAAGCATCTAAACACCGATTCTTATATTTTGGGCTTTTCGAACTCTCAAGTTGGGAATATTACCGTTACGAAAATCATTCTAAGGACTTATCGGATATAAGCTATTGTTCGTTCTATTCAGGGTTCCCTACTGTTACTAGCAGTTTTTGACATGTCAGTGCTTTTGGAAACTTCTCTTGGCGACCTGGTCATTGACTTGTGTATCAACGAGGTCCCTACTACATGCAACAATTTCTTAAAGCTTTGCAAGCTTAAGTACTACAACTTTGCACCATTTTATAATGTACAGAAAAACTTTATTTGCCAGACTGGCGATCCCATAGGACCGACAGGAAATGGGGGTATCTGTGCAAAAGGGTTAATGAAAACCGGTGATAGATTCTTTCCAGCGGAGTTCAATGAACGCTTGACTCATCAGGCTCGAGGTACAGTCAGCATGAGTACGGCTACTATTCGCAACAGTGAAGGTGAAGAAGTAATAGGATGTGGAAGCCAGTTCCTTATAACATTGGGTGAAGGGCTGCATAATTTGGACGAACGGTATCCAGTTTTTGGTTACATTGCAGAGGGTTTTGAAACCCTAGATAAAATTAACAGCACCTTATGTGATGAAGAGGGTCAGCCATTTATGGATGTACGTATAAAACACACAATCGTTTTAGATGACCCATTTGAAGATCCACCCGAGCTTGTCATTCCATCACGGTCTCCTTCACCCACGCCAGAGCAACTTGCAACAGTGAGAATAGGTGACACGAATGTTATAAACGAAGAAGAGCCAGAAGAGGTTCAAAAAGCTCGGTTGGCTGAACAAGAAGCACAAGCCCAAGCTTTAACACTTGAAATGGTTGGCGACCTACCTTTTGCCCACGTTGCTCCTCCAGAAAACGTTCTCTTTGTCTGTAAATTAAATCCTGTGACTCAGGATGAGGATCTTGAACTCATATTTTCTCGATTCGGAAAAATCGTGTCTTGCAAGATTGTAAGAGATAAAAAAACAGGAGACAGCCTGCAGTACGCATTCATTGAATTCGACAATAAGGAAAGCGTGGAGCGTGCTTACTTTAAAATGCAGAATGTTCTTATTGACGACTCGCGCATTCACGTCGACTTTTCACAAAGTGTCGCTCGTTATCGCTACACTGACAGGAGAAAAACTAATGAGCGGGATTATCATCGCACAAACGACCAGAGAGAACGTTCTCCTCAACGGCATTCTTACAGACGCACCCGTAGCCCACCGCGGTCGGCTTCCTCATATCGGCCCTCACACAGAAACCGGTATGAAGATGACGAAGAAGAATCTCGGATCCGCCATTCTCGTCGGTCATATAGGCCACATAGGAACGGCCACGATCAGTCGCATTCTGAAAGATACGAACGAAGAAGCTACCGTAGATAAAACAAATGTGCTATCAAACTCTAACCTCAGAAATGCCGAGCTGCGTCGTAGCAAGCGGCAAGAGAGATACGCCTAGTTTTCAGTCTGCACACGAGGACCAATGCAGGTAAAAAACATTGTACGGGTAATCTCCATCATAGCCGCTCTCTTATGAGGAAAATTGAACTCCAGGCGTTTAGCATAGTTCTCGCGAGTGAGGTACTGGATGAATTTATGATTGTCGATGCGAGGCTCTAACAACACACGCTGGGTGCGACAATCCATTAAAAATAGCATGTGTGTGATGCTTGAAATCCAGACGGGCACTCTGTGGGGACCCCGGAGTTTCTCATTGCCCACAAGAGCATGAAAGCCACGATCGTGAGCGTGCAGAGGTTGTGCAAAAGGCGCCAAACGATCCTCCGGAACCCAATATATCTCAAAGTAACCGAAGGGTTGGTCATTAAAATATCCAATAACAGAATAGCAGTGAGGATCGTTTTGCATCTTCTGAATGTACTGTATATGCGCATCCATAGTGCCGGCCTCCGACCAGAAGTAGTTTACGCGGGGATTGTTTTGCCATTCATGGAAGAGAGGAATGTGCTTGCTAATGTCAAAGGCGACAAACGAAATTGTCTCTTCCAGAGAAGGGATCCATCGACGATATAAAACAGTTCCTGGTGCTGGAGCAGGAGGACGGCGTATTACTTGATTACGGAGATATGATAAGGGCCATTCTGGTGAACTGTTAACTAACCACGGTTCCTTTATTTGCCAGAAGGTGGTTCTATCAGCACTTAGGGATAAATTCTCCTTATTAATTTCAACGGGTAGTGTTACATTGCGAATCAAGTTTTCATCTGCAGCAATATAAACTTCATTAGAGTAAGAGTGATACAAAGTAAAAAAGGCATATAAAGCGAGGAATACATTCTCATCTGCATTTAAAGAGGGATTCACGGGACTCAATCTCCAGGTATTTGGTTTCCCTGACGCCAGTAAACCGAGTTCTCCATTCTTACCGGTCACTGAGAAGCAGTCTGCCTCAGAGGACTTGATCTCGTAATATTCACCCTTGTATTCGATTTTCATTACAGCGTGAAGGTCACCAGGAGTTCAATATTTTAGTGTCGTATTTGTACTAATGTTACAACGTAAAGGAAAGGTAGCTAAGAGGGGTAGAGAGTAATATCGTAGAAATACTTCGTACACATCGGAAAGTCTACTACCAATGAATGTAAAGTTACGAACTAAGGTGTTTATTCTGAATGGCTTGATTGGGAAGCGGAAAGCCGGCGTTATGTTTACACGGCTCGGAAGAAATTAGTTGATATGACGAGGAAATGAGTATTATGTATGAGGTGAGTTGTTTTCAACATGTTCAATGAAATAAATGGAGGCAACATGGGACGAGTCAAACTGCTGTGTATCAAACAACAACAAGTATGATGCACGGGTATATGAATAAGGTACAATTTACATACTATTAATGAATGTCTCCGGTGTGATAATTATTCGAGTTGTCACAGGAAGGCTTGTTCAATTCGAAACTGATTGTTGAAAGGATGCCTATACTCTCTTACTAATTTTAATTTACTAAAAAAAAAAAAAAAAAAAAAAAACCATGGAAGATTAAACTAAGGAACACTGCGAAAACATACATTAACAAGTTACAATTAAACTTGAGTGGATGAATTACGAAACCTGCCCGAGCTTTAAATCAATATAATTCATTCAAACACGTTACAGTCTATTTTCATCACAATAAAATTAGACCAACTATTTTAACAAGATCCCATTAGCCAAGATAAAGAAAATACGAAAAAAATACTAAAAAAAAAAACAACAATAATATCTGCATTTAAGAAAAGCGCTTCAAATTTCGCTTTATATTACATATTTACTAAATCTTCCACAGAATATCCAGCAATTGAATTCAGATGAGGGTTCATACATCCACGCAGCACAAACATAAAATTTAGTGTCAACAGGTAATCCTGCTCAATTAAAGACACCGTAAATTTTTACCGTCTTCGCACCCACTACCAATCAATCCTGCTGTAACATAACATTGCATCCATTGTCGCAGGAATACTCGCTTATTTATCCCGCAAAACCTTATTCACATTAAACTGTCTTATCCAACCATCATCGTTAGGGTTCGTTATATCATAAATAACGCATTTAACAAATGTTATATCTAACTATAGAGAAAAGCAGTCACATTTGGTGGCCGAAACAAAATGTGCCTATTCAACCATCCCGCTACCCACCACCATCAAGCACCGTAGTGAAAATGAGTGAGGCCGTTACCATCAGAACTCGCAAGTTTATGACTAACCGCTTGCTCCAACGCAAGCAAATGGTATGTTTAATGCTCACCAGCTTTAAATAAGAAACTTCTTCTGACTAAATCCTTCAGGTTGTGGACATCTTGCACCCTGGCAAGGCTAACATCTCCAAGGATGACCTTCGCGAGAAGTTGGCTGAGATGTACAAGGCCAGCGTTGAGAACGTCCAGGCTTTTGGTCTCCGTACTCAATTTGGTGGTGGAAAGACTACCGGCTTCGCTTTGATTTACGACTCGAACGAGGCCTTGAACAAGTTCGAGCCTCACTACCGTCGTGTTCGCATTGGTCAAGCTAACAAGATCGAGAAGGCCTCTCGTCAACAACGCAAGCAACGTAAGAACAGAGGCAAGAAGGTCTTCGGTACCGGCAAGCGTTTGGCCAAGAGAAAGCAATCCGAGTAGATTGATGTTTCTTAAAAAAGATATTTACTGCTTCTGCTTTCTAAGAAACACATACCTTGTCGTTCTGCATGTGTAACATTGCTACGTGAGTGATACTAGTCGTTTTTTGTGGTGTAGTGAAGGTCTTGTGTCTCGTATGTGCGTGTCGTAGGTTGTCGTAGCACTGTGCGGTATGTGCGTTCGTGTGTGTGTTAATTAAGTGACAGGTGGAAACATTGTAGGGAAACTTTCATGTCAGAACGTAGCTTGAATTAAAAAGTTGCTGGGATAAGCACTATAACTGCTTAACACCAATTAGTCTGACTGCCAAACATTGGTAAATAGTTGCAAGAATATCCGGGGAGCCAAAGGGAGACTGCTCAAAAGCCAACGGGTTGAGGGGTCATAAAAAGTGTGGGATCAGTTGTTGCGGGGTTGTTAATGAACAAAAGCGGTAAACGTTCGCGAGAGTTATTAGGCGCGAATGTCTAGGTATTAGATGTGGAAGGAAGATGGCGCAAGTGGTAGTCAAACACGTCCAAGAATTAATCAGTTGCTCGTCCACCAGTCGGTAACTCAGAATGTGAAGTTGAAGTCGAATGCCTCGTCACTTTTGGAGCTGTCGTCGTTGAAGCTGGTATCACCACTTGTTTACCTGTTCTGTAAGCGATGTACTGCCGAGCTTTTACAGAACATGAAGCCAAAAACGCTTCGTCTGTTGGTAGCGCAACGCCGTTATGCCCCAGAAGCTCTGCAATCATCAAGGCATCCTGCTTCAAAGCAGTCTCCATTGCAATCGTGGGAATGACTCCTTCGATAGAAGCCAAACACCATATAATATCGCGTATATTGTTTGCTTTGATTGCCTCTAGCAGAGTCTCAAGAGCGTCTCCAGGAACACTTTGTACATATGCCCGTTTCGTATACTTGTCCTTAATAAAACTAGCTCTCGAAAGCGGGCTATCAAGCATCGCCTGCTTCTGCGCAGAACTAGGAAGATTCGCTTCGTAAATGTCATTGACAAGCGCATTGCCAGTGTTTCGCAAAAGTTCAACGGTCTCATGTGAAAGTTTGTCCAGGGTCAAAGATCGAACCTTAGAAATATGAGTACCCAGAGAGCGGTGAATTCCAGAACAGTCAATACACAAAACCACGGGGAAGTTGATAGAGCACCATTCAACCTTCGTTCTTGAACCACAGTCAGCACAGTATTCGTCGCTTGGATGAAGTGTCTTTAGAACAGACACCAAGGATGGCTTTGATACTTTCACTTCAACCGATTCCGAACGAGTATGCCGCTGTCCAGGACTAAGCGAAGAGGCACGTCTGTGTAAAGCATTTCCTCCATTACTAGAAGCAGATGAGAGATTGCGATGATTCGTGTTGCTGATGATAGAGGAATCTCCGTGCTGTTTCTTCCCTTTCAAGGCGATACTTTCAGCAATTGCTGCTTGGATAGCCTCGAGCCAAGAAACAAGCTCTGTTTGCGATGTTGCTTGGTACACACGTCGAAGCTGCGGGGTTATTACCTCAAAACAAAACCGCCGGCCAACATTCTTAGCTTCACGAACACTTGCCATCAGCAAGTTGATGGGTTCCGTATGAAGCTCAAGAGATTGTTTCCAGTTCGAATATTCACATATACGTCCGTGATCAAGGACAACCCAGTACTTGTGCCAATTCGTCTTGGGCACAACTTGGATGTCTGAACTAGTTTTAGACAAAGCCAACAAAAGGCCCTGCTTAGCAGCCGAGCTCTTTTCAAGCTGAACGGAATACGCTTGTGCAGCTAGTTCAGCGTCCAAATCTTCCGATTCGAGTGTACTTGTTTCCAACGTGCGACGACGTTCTTCGCGACCCGCACGGATCAGTTGAAACTCTTTATCAGCTTCCGTAACCGTTTCACGGAGAACATCCAAGTTCGGGCGTAGATTTTTTATATCACTCAAAAGCTGATTGATAAGAGCATAGTCTTGCGTTGCAAAATTTGTTAAAACCGAAAGAATTTCTTGTCCCTTACGTCCGCCATTAATATCCTGCATGTAGGAATAATAATCAAAGCGCGTGAGTTCAAATTCACGTTTTTTAGCCGAAAACTTTGAGTCTTTGACTTTGTCGGCTTCTTTATTTTTGGACAGGTACCGTGAAAGCGATGCATAAAAGTCGCGACTTCGCTCTTCAAAATCTTTCTTCTTCGAGTCCGTCGTTTTAATGTCATTTTCGTAAATTTTGCGAAGCGGCTCAACAAGTTTGGAACGCACAAGCTGAGCTCTGTCTAGGTAAAATGAGGAAAGTAGCCGTGAACTTTCACGATGGTAATGGTCAACAAAAGGACCAAACGCAGGGGGGTTTACATTGGCAGCCTTGCTTAACACTTGACTAAATTCATTGTTTGAGACGTACATCAGTCCGCTGGTTTGGGCATAATCTTCCGAACGTTTGATGACTTTCTTCAACGCTGAACGAGTTTCGTTAGCGGTACGTTCGAAATTCAGCATTGTTGCCCGGAACAGGGGGCCATCCTGAGGCTCTGCCTGATCCATTTCTCGAACGGAGGGATAGTGAATGGGTGACAAGATGGCATCTGAAGGAACAGCGCTCGTATCTGTCTGAGTTTGCTCGTAAGGCATCGCGTCAACAGGCCGTTGTAGCTGTCGAAACGCTTGTTCGTCTAAAGGAGACTGGGAAGAATCGGTAAAAAGTTCTTTCACCCAAAACTGAAAATAGTCCAACGGTACCAAGCAATTACTGTGCTTGTCGTACTCAGCAAACTACATAAATTATGCGTTAGATGAATGTCGTCCAGCCAGGTTTAAACTTACACAGACGTAAATGGGTCTTCCATTATACCGAAAGTCCAAGGGTCCTATAGGGATGTAATTCCAACTCCAATCAATAACTTTACTGCCACTAGCTTTTTCGAGAGGAACATTCCCAATTAAAGATACTTGTTCATGATTTTGAAACTGAATGGTTAGTAAATGGAAGGAAGCAGAAGCAAGAAAGGTGCTGTTTCTGTAAAAAAATAGTACATTAGGGTCGGTAGAAAACTCCCGCGTAATTAGTCGATTAAGGTCCTGCGGAGAGCCTGCACACACGTATGTCAAGCTTGTTAGCAAGTCTGTATCATCCTCCGTTGAAGCTTCCAGCTGAAAATCCAATCGAAGACCGTCATCACCGTCCACTTTGACAGGGGTTCCTGATCAGCGTGGTACTATAGGGGAAACTCGTCAGTAACCGCTTATATTGTTCATTGTACTAGCTCCCGTACCTGAATAAACTCAATTGGATCGTTATTCGAGTAGTTGAATGTGAAAGACGGTTCACCCTGTGCTGTATTGACACGATCGACAGCGAGCTGTCGCGAATTGCCAGCCGAGCCGAAGACAACGGAAGCGATTTTCACTAAAATGTGTCAGAGAAACCAAAAAACAATAGTAATAACATACAGGAATGATGAACAGACAAAGTAGCATGGTTGCTCATCTCTGCTCGCGTTGTAGGGGGAAAGCAGAACGTCGTACCCATCTTCTCAGACTTGGGCCAAACCACCATGCCGATATATCTAAGCGAGTATTACATCACTATTCGATAAGATAGCGGGACACTGGCTCAAAGTTTATATGAACTAAACTCATCACATGATCTCACGTGCACACTCTGATCCCATAAAACACATGAAAACGAGAAAAACACCCATAATTGTTTCGTAATTCAACACCATCCGAGCTGGTATACTTGTTTTTGCACCCGCGGATAATTACCACTGACAAAGCAAAACCAAGTGCTATACGAATATACAAGAAAAAATACACCAGTACACATTCGCATATCAAATGAGAATGATTGTACATTAATATCAATACACTTTTCACTTTCACTCTCGGCTCTGGTTTGAGCGAGCATTTTTGCCATTACCACTAACCACCACCGCTGCTCACCACCTGGCCTCAACACTGCTCTAACGTGACAGTGAGAAAGGACAGTCTCCTGTGTAAAGGATAGAAACCAGTGTTTACAGCGCTCATTGAAGCCATCAATCACTGTAAAAAAACCACAAGACAATATGGTTGAAGCACTCGATCCTACTGAACTGACCCCAGTTCACCCTGCCATTATTTCTAGACAGGCCACGATCAACATCGGTACGATTGGTCATGTAGCACACGGTAAGAGTACCGTTGTTAAGGCTATCTCCGGTGTGCACACCGTTCGTTTCAAGAACGAGTTGGAGCGTAATATTACAATTAAGCTCGGATACGCGAACGCCAAAATTTACAAGTGTGAAAATCCCGATTGTCCCCGTCCTGGCTGCTACCGTTCATACTCCTCTAACAAAGAGGATGAACCTTTGTGCGAGGTGCCCAATTGTGGCCACAAAATGAAGCTGATCCGTCACGTTTCGTTTGTTGACTGTCCCGGTCACGATATTCTCATGGCTACTATGCTTAACGGTGCTGCCGTTATGGACGCAGCCCTTTTGCTGATTGCTGGCAATGAACCCTGTCCTCAACCTCAAACGAGTGAGCATCTTGCTGCCATCGAAATCATGCAACTGAAGCATATCATCATTTTGCAAAACAAGGTGGATTTGATTCGTGAGTCTGCCGCCGAAGAACATTACCAATCCATTCTGAAATTCATTAAGGGTACAGTTGCCGAAAACGCACCAATTGTCCCTATCTCCGCCCAATTGAAGTACAACATAGACGCTATTCTGGAGTACATTGTCAAAAAGATTCCCATTCCCGTGCGTGACTTCACATCTGCTCCCCGTCTCATTGTCATTCGTTCTTTCGACGTCAACAAGCCTGGTGCCGGTGTTGAGGACTTGAAGGGTGGTGTCGCCGGTGGTTCTATTCTCACCGGTGTTCTTCACCTTGGCGATGAGATTGAAATCCGTCCTGGTATTGTTACTAAGGACGATGATGGCCGTATCAAGTGCCAACCCATTTTCTCTCGCATCGTCTCTCTTTTCGCTGAGCACAACGACCTGAAGCTGGCCGTTCCTGGTGGTTTGATCGGTGTGGGTACCACCGTCGATCCTACCTTGTGCCGTGCTGATCGTCTTGTCGGTCAAGTTTTGGGTTCTAAGGGCAACCTTCCTGAAGTTTACACAGAGCTTGAGATCAACTATTTCTTGCTCCGCCGTCTTTTGGGTGTGAAGTCGGGTGACAAAAACACGACGAAGGTGCAAAAGCTCGCTAAGAATGAAGTCTTGATGGTGAACATCGGTTCGACGTCTACGGGTGGACGTGTCATGATGGTCAAGGCCGACCTTGCAAAGATCCTTCTTACTGCTCCTGCATGTACCGAGATTGGTGAGAAGGTTGCTCTTAGTCGCCGTATCGAAAAGCACTGGAGATTGATCGGTTGGGCTAAGGTTGTTGAGGGTAAGACTCTCAAAGTTTAGTTAATGTTATTTCCTGTGCCTTTATACAAAGTCAGCTTGTCGTAGATGACGAGCGGCTGGGAAACCCTGCAGCAGGGGTGTGCATGGAACACACGATAAATCTTCGTGTTCATCCCACGTATTTACTTGGTGCCCTCCTCTCTCCCTCCCTCCCTTGCTCTTTCCCTTGACGCATTCATGGCAGGGCTCCGGTGAAGGGCCCTGCTGTGTTACAGCTCATTATTGCTCCTTATTCAGTTTAACGTGCTGAGCAGTCCTCGTTATTATCTTCGGTAAATTTCGGCATTTGCAAAAAAATCAAAATTCATAACCCTACCCTAAATATACTGTGACTGTCAACGCAATGAGTAACCATCAACAATACCACGCGTACTGTACTCCCCCACCGCAAACACCATGGCAGAGAAGGCACAAAATCCCATGAAGGAGCTCCGCATCGCCAAGCTTGTCCTTAACATTTCTTTGGGCGAGTCTGGTGATCGTCTTACCCGTGCTGCCAAGGTTTTGGAGCAACTCTCCGGTCAAACTCCCGTCTTCTCCAAGGCCCGTTACACCATTCGTCGTTTTGGTATCCGTCGTAACGAGAAGATCGCCGTCCACGTTACCGTCCGTGGTCCCAAGGCTGAAGAGATCTTGGAGCGTGGTCTCAAGGTCAAGGAGTTCGAGCTCAAGAGAAGAAACTTCTCCGCTACCGGTAACTTCGGTTTTGGTATCCAAGAGCACATTGACTTGGGTATCAAGTACGACCCTTCTATCGGTATTTACGGTATGGACTTCTACGTTGTCATGGACCGCCCTGGTATGCGTGTTGCTCGTCGTAAGGCTCAACGCTCTCGCATTGGTGCTCCTCACAAGATCAACGCCGACGACACCATCCAGTGGTTCAAGCAAAAGTACGACGCTATTGTCTTGAACAAGTAGATTTAGCCTTTAAATCAAACTTGGTGAGCGTTAAGAGATTAGCCGTAGCGGTGGATGTGTATTGGAATGGCATTGTTATGGTGATGGTCAGAGGGGTAGTAGTGAGTGTGAATGCTGATGGACCCTACTACTGTTAGGATAGGGAAGGTATAGACTGTGTGCTATTCTTGTGTGGGCTTGCTTGAGCTTACTTAGTTAAGACATTGCTGGCACGCGACGCTGAACATGGAGGATGAAACACTTTTATTTGACAAAGTCATAACAGTACATTCACAAAATTCTTACAAAAGGAGACTAGATTACCAATAGAACCAAAACGTAAACCCTACTAAATACAATTGCTCTACTCGTGTTCCAAAACGAAACACAAGTCACCTCCGTTCACAGAGTCACCCTGTTGGATGGTGAGCTCCTTGACGACACCGCTGTGTGGAGCACTAATGACGATTTCCATCTTCATAGCACTCAAAACGGCAAGGACATCACCCTTCTTCACAGCGTGGCTTGCTTGTGTACGGATCTCCACGATAATACCACTCATAGGTGCAGCGACGTGACCAGGGTTGCTGGGGTCAGCGGTTTGACGAGTTTGAGTCTCGGTAGCAGCCTTTGTGTCTTGAACTGTAACATGACGAGTTTCACCATTGAGCTCAAAGTAGACCTCACGTTGACCAGTCTTCTCTTGCAAAGGACCAAGTGCGAGGAACTTGATGATAAGAGTCTTACCCTGGTCGATCTCGACGTAAATTTCTTCGTTAATGTCGGGCTTAGCCAAGAAGTATCTGGTGGGCAAAACAGAAAGGTCACCATAGCGAGCTTGGAAGCGCTTGAATTGCTTGAATACGTCGGGGAACTGACAGTAACTAGCAACGTCACAATCGTCAGCATGCTCATATTCTTGTTCCAAACCACCACGAATGGCCTCAAAGTCGGCAGGGGGAAGAGTTTTGCCGGCACGCTCGCTCAAAGGCTCGCGCTTACCTCTCAGGACATTAGTGCGCAATGGCTCTGGGAAACCGCCGTAGGGTTGACCCATCATTCCTTGGAAGAAATCCATTACGGAGCCAGGGAAGTCAAGCTCGGATGCACGATCCTCGACATCCTTCTTTGTGAGCTTGTTTTGAACCATGAACTGTGCAAGATCACCAACAACCTTAGATGTAGGAGTAACCTTAATAATGTCACCCAACAGCTCATTAGCGTCAATGTACGCCTTCTTGGTTTCAGCCCATTGGGAACCAAGGCCGAGAGACGAAGCTTGGAACTTGAGGTTTGTCAATTGACCACCAGGGATCTCGTGATTGTAGACATCAGAATCGGGTCCCTTAAGTTCGGACTCGAAGGGAGAGTAGAGAAGACGCATTTGAGACCAGTAACTGTCGATTTCTCTGAGGTGATCGGGGTTGAATGTAAGCTCCTTCTCGGTACCATCGAGAGCAGCAACAACTGCACCCATACTGGGTTGGGAGGTAATACCAGACATACTGTCAGTGGCGACGTCAACAACGTCGGCACCGGCCTCCAAGGCAGCGACCATAGAGGCGACAGCAGTACCAGCGGAGTCGTGGGAGTGAACATGAATGGGCAATTTAGGGTACTTAGCGCGGATAGCACCGACAAGCATACGGGCAGCACGAGGTTTCATGACACCAGCCATATCCTTGATACCCAGAACGTGAATACCTTGAGCAACGATGTTGTCAACGAGATCAAGATAATAGTTGAGGTTATACTTCTTCTTGGGGTTCAACATGTCTCCAGAGTAACACATGGTAGCCTCGACAACACCGCCGGCACGCTTGACAGCATCAATACCAAGAGACAGGTTCTCAACATCATTCAAAGCGTCGAAGACACGGAAAATATCAATTCCGTTTGCCTTAGCCTGCTGACAGAAGTGATAGAGAACGTTGTCAGGGAGGCTAGCATAGCACAGACCATTAGCACCACGCAACAACATCTGGAAAGGAATGTTGGGAACGGCACGACGAAGTTTGCGAAGTCGATCCCAGGGACATTCGTGCAAGAAACGCATAGACACATCAAATGTTGCACCACCCCACATCTCCAAGGAGTAAGCAGAAGCCAAAGCATGACTAGTGAAGGGAGCAATGTTGACAAGGTCGATGGTACGGACACGAGTAGCCAAAAGAGATTGATGAGCATCTCTCCAAGTGGTGTCCATGACCAAACCGCCATGATATTCACGAACGGCTCTAGCAAAAGCCTCGGGACCTTGCTCCAAAATAACCTTGCGCCAACCCTTCTCACAAGGGAAACGGGCATCAATAACACCATCGGGTTGGGAGGGATCACGGAGGGTAGGCAACACGACGGGAGCATTCAACGAAGGATCGCCGTTTTGACCCTTGATGGAACTTCCGTTAACAATCAAGTCACCCAAGTAAGAAAGCAACTTCTGTGCACGGTTACGGGATTTGTAAAGGCGGAAGAGGTCAGGCGTATCATCAATAAAGGTAGTCCAGCAGTTTCCTGACTTAAATGTAGGATGCGTCAACAAACGAAGCAAGAATGTGATGTTTGTCTTCACACCACGGATACGAAACTCAATAAGAGAACGGATCATTTTTCTGCGGGTGGCTTCATAAGACGAGTCGTGACAAGTACATTTTACAAGCATAGAATCGTAGTATGGCGTAATAACGGAGCCAGCAAAACCGTTGGCACCATCGAGACGAACACCGTTACCACCTGCGGAACGATAGACTTCGATTTTACCAGTGTCGGGTGCAAAGTTGTTGGTTGGATCTTCTGTAGTGACACGGCATTGCACAGCAAAACCACGGCAGGTAATGGCATCCTGTGTGAGACCAATTTCGGGCAAGGTGTAACCAGCAGCGATATGAAGTTGAGCGGATACAATATCAACGCCAGTGATTTCTTCGGAAATAGTGTGTTCAACTTGGATACGGGGGTTGATTTCAATGAAATAGTGACGTCCCTGGCCATCAAGCAAGAACTCTGCGGTACCAGCGTTGCAGTACTTGACTTCACGGGCAATCTTGATAGCGTCGTCGAACATGGCCTGGCGAACCTTAGGATCAAGATCCTTGGCAGGTGCAATCTCGACGACTTTTTGGTGACGACGTTGAACAGAGCAATCACGCTCGAACAAGTGTACGACGTTACCGGCAGAATCAGCAAGCAATTGAATCTCAATGTGCTTAGGGTGGTCCAAGAAACGTTCAATAAACATAGTGCCATCACCGAAGGAAGAAATAGCCTCAGAACGGGCACGGTCGAAAGACTCTTGGAAAGAGGAAGCTTCACGAACAACACGCATACCACGTCCACCACCGCCCATTGCGGCCTTAATGATAACGGGGAAGCCGATTTCAGCTACGAAAGCTTCGGCGTCCTCGAAGGTTTCAACGGGACCAGGAGTACCGGGGACAACTGGCACACCACACTTGATAGCAATGGCGCGGGCCTTAGTCTTGTCACCCAACGAGTCAATAACCTCGGGAGGAGGACCAACAAAGGTCATACCAGCTTCGCGCACCTTCCGAGCAAAAGTTGCATTCTCTGAAAGGAAACCATAACCAGGGTGAATCAAATCAGCACCTGTCTTTCTAGCAATGTTTACAATTTCATCAATAGCCAGGTAGGCGGCAACCGGAGCGTACTGACCGACTTTGCCGATGGGATATGACTCATCGGCCTTTTGTCTGTGCATAGAGAGCCGGTCCTCATGAGAGTAAATTGCGATAGTGTGAAGAGCAAGTTCATGGGCGGTACGGAAAACACGAATGGCAATTTCTGAACGGTTTGCAACCAAGACCTTCTTGATGTTGCGGCCCAAGTAGGAGACCGAGCTCCGAACCTGTTTTAAAGGCTTTAGATGGAAGTCAATGTCGTCGTTAACAGATTTCTCCATTCTGAAAACTATTTTTTAATCTTTAGAGATGTGTAACAAAAATGGGCAGGCTTTAGAATGAGAGATTGCAGCCGCTGCGTAATAAAGGAAAAGAATTTGTTATCTTTTCCACAAAATAAACACTTCAAGCGACAAATGTTACGGTGCCCGTAAATCAGAAGCTGTACTGGTGTAGGAGTGTGTGTATAAGCAGAAAGACAAACCGTGTGCGTTATGAGTGTTCGGTCGCAATAGTGTCCTGAATAGATAACGATGACGATCCAAGTGCGATAACAAAAATGATACAATTGGTCAACACCAAAACCAAACAGGACAACATTTATAGTTAAAAACGGCGAAACGTATGCCGATCTGGGTACAAGTGGCGACGACAAGGGATGTAAATTGTCGCTGCTTGTACAAGGTTTCCTAACTCCGTAGTACCATTGAACCATGGGGCCCTGCAAGGACACTTAGCGGTGTTTGCTGCTTGGAATCAAATGTTGAAGCCATTGTGAGCCGCATCATGCTTATCACGTTGGTAGATTGCGGCGATATATCACAAAATCCGTCAATAGTTAGCCTCTAGGGGTCCGTTATTTACGGATGAGTATTACGATGCGCTTCCTATCGAGCATCGTTTTGTTGATGAAAGAGAAACGATGATATGTCACTCCATGTGGTTGCCGTGTACAGTTTTGCGACGTGGACAGATGTCCGCGTTTTCCACACAGGCTGTGTTTTTTGTGATAAGTCGAAAGGTGGCATAGCCTGTTTATGTGTGCCGGAAGCCAATGCTTGTAGCGGTATGAGAGTCAAGACCATCCGTTGTATAACGTCAAGAACACTGTCTTTTTCACCGATAAAAATTCCAACTTTGGCTTGAAGCAAACAGTACAAGTCTGTTAGTGAATCGCCGACGTAAACACTCTGTAAGGCACTTTTTTGGAGCTTTGTGAACACGCGAAGTTTATCTGTCGCTGTGTGAATAGGCTCAGAACTGCCGTATGGACTCATTGCACCAGTCGCGATGCCGGTAGTTGACTGTAGAAGAATGTCGTTACAATGAATGTAAAACAGTTCAGGAGTAAGGGCTGCTTGGGAACATAGCGTGTGTCTGATGAGCAGGGCTGACCAATTTACGGAAAGGATATGGAGCTTTATAAGGCCTGACTCAAGATATGGTCGCAAGGAGGTGATAAACTGGGTAAATCCAGGCCGCAACTGTATGCTTTCGGCAAGTTCTTTGATAGCGCGTTCGCCAACTCCTTCAAAAAACCGACTTTCCGTGATACGCTGAATACTCGCACGTTCAACGTTGTCGAATGCATCCAAGTAAGTGTGTAACTGACCAAATGTTGCTGGTTGAATGTTGCTTACGGACTCCTTTGCAGCAGCATAGTCCTTCATGTACGCATCTGATAACACTTTCCACTCATCAGGCTTTCCAGCTAGATTTGCTAAGGGGAGAATTGTATCTTAAACTGTGTGAATTGGTAATCCTAAAACTGTTGTTTGACAAATGTTGTTTTAAACGCAATACAACAATCGAATTACTTACCATGTAAGGTGATAGTTTCGTCAAAATCCAACACGAGTAACATTGTAATATCGCTACAACGATCGTAGAGAGAACTGCAGGATTGAATTCGCTGAAGGCAGATCTTTAATGTAACGCGCTGAAAAGTAGACTTCTACCGAGACTTGACCGCTAGCATATAGCCGTAGTGACGACATGCGGTGTTTTTGCAACTCCAAAGCGATTTCCCCAATCATGTAATTATGTAACCATGAAGGCCATAAAACATAGCATTAATTGTCCATAAGAGCTCATGAACGCACTATTCTCCATGTTTTTCAACGGCTCGCGGTGCTGATAATTTATGGTGCGTTATTTCGTCCAGCACAAATGTGTTCTGAAGAAATTGGTGGGTTCTTCGTTGGAGAAACCGAGTCGGATTCGTGCGAGGAAATTTTGGAGTAAAGGGTGAATTCAAATGTTCGCTGAATGACGATTGAGCCAACAGTGATAAGTGTTCCCATTCTTTTGGGGTAAGAGGTGCACGAATGCGACGGTAGCATTCAGAATAGCAACGCCAAATTTTGTTTGCAGCATTCCTGGGAGGAATGGTCTTGTCAGCAATGATTGGCTTTGACATTCGCATGGGAGTATTACGAATAAAGCCTAACCGATGGTTTTGTTTGTACACCCACGCAAGTAAGGGAGAAATGTGAGGCAAACGCGTCCGTGGTTCGCTGGGAAGCAGAGTTATAGGGCTTTCAGTACCAGGAGGTATGACCGAAAGTTCACGGAGACGTTTGTGTTTCAATGGCCCTCGTTGGCCATACGCGTATTCGAGTAAGTAAGAACAATGATCAACATGGCCCTGTCGCGACTTTTGTAATCGTTTAACGAATTGGAGAATACGTTTCTCAAAGCTGCTCACTCGTTCTTGTGTCCATTTTGGGCGATTTTGCAATGCGCTGCGAAATGTTTCTCTAAAATGGTCGCGTAAATAGGACCTGCGGTGAGCGCGTTGTTAGATCGGTACAACGCTGATGAAGCAACACAGTTGCGTACCTAGCTAGCGGATCCCAAAATGCACGTATCTCCTTACAGAGAGTGCGATACAATTGCATGAGATTACGTTGAACAACACAAACTCGACGAGTCTTGATGTGTTCTCAGAGCACAACGCAAAATAACGAGACTTAATAGGTGGGTGTTGGTGGTGGTTGATGTTCGAATGAACAAAACGGAGCGACCCCAACGGTGAGAAACCCGAAAATGAACAGTGAGAAAAGCAAGAATGGCTACAAAAGGATAGCAAAGTCAATGGGTAGATCTTTGTGATGATGCACAAACCAAAAAATAATTTAAAAAAGTTTTATTTTTTACAGTATTTGGAGATCAACCAAAAGAACTGCATCTCAAAAATTCAGATCAAAAAAAAAATTAAATAAAATGTAAAACAAATTCCAAAAAAAATTAAAAAAATTAAAAAGGAACAGAAAAAGAATACCAGTAAGAAATCACCAAAAAACTAGTGAAAAAGTTTGAGATACGACAGCCGCATTGACTATGCACTTTAAATTGATGAGGTAAAGAATATTACCTTCCACACCATTGCAACAACCACCAACACCCTACACTAATGAGATGGCGTTCCTTTTTATACTCTTTCGCATCATCATAGAAGTCCGTTTTTGGAATAGCCATTTGAGCGTTCTCGTGATACGAAACTTGGGAACAATAATGCATTGTTACTTCATTTATTCTTTTCGTTCTCAAAGAACCTACCTAAACACTACGTAATGCATAGACTTTTAAAAATAAAGTTCATAAGTTGTTAGCGGATAGGCTTGGGACCCGTGGAGAATTCCTCATACCAACGTAGATCCCACGTCATGAGAGACTTTGTAGTTTCGGACTTGGATTTCAACTGATAAGCAAACATGCCTTTTAGTATGAAGAGCAATTCATGCGTAATTTTGATGGGAAATCGGAAAATATTAGAAAATCCAATTCCCTTTCTTGAATAAAATAATTGTCCATTGCGTGTTCCGATGTTCTGGCGACACCGTGCCTTTGTTCGACCGGTTCAGCACGTTGTTTGTCGCATTTGCGATAAAAGATCGACTGCAGAAATACTCCCTTCCTTCGGATTAACATCGAACTGCCGTTTCCCCATGCACGTCACCCAATGGGAGAAACTGTCTTCGTCAGACTGACGTAAATGTATCGCTCGTCAGCAGGATATTTGCGTGACAAAAACACTCCTGAGGGGCACGTTACCTCAGAGAAAACACATAAGCGATAAAATGCGATAAGTCTTACGTGTATTGGTCAATTCGTAAAGAAGGTGTACTTTACGCGATAGATAGTGCGCAGTTCAAGCACAAGCCGACGCTAAAGCGAGCGGAGGAGTTCGGAAAAATTATCTGCGACACCTTCTTCGCGAGAAAATGCGCAATCCAGGGCATGCGATGCGGCACCCAGCCAGTCCATCAAGTGTCTTGCCGAGCTTCCACGCGTTTCTGCGATGTTCCGAATGACGCCCCGTCGGCTTCGAGGCCTGCTCGGAAAAGCTATAAATACCAGACTGCCCAGCACGTATCAACCATCAAGGAATACATTCAATCCTAACACAACAACAACAATGGCAATTCAAAAGGTTCAAGCTCGTCAAATCTACGACTCTCGTGGTAACCCCACTGTCGAGGTTGACTTGACCACTGAGACCGGTGTCCACCGTGCCATCGTCCCCTCCGGTGCCTCCACTGGTATCTGGGAGGCTCTTGAGCTCCGTGATGGTGACAAGACCAAGTGGGGTGGCAAGGGTGTTTTGAAGGCCGTTGCCAACGTCAACGAGATCATTGCTCCCGCTGTCGTTAAGGCTAACCTCGACGTCACCAACCAAGCTGCTTTCGACAAGTTCTTGATTGACCTCGACGGTACTGAGAACAAGTCCAAGTTGGGTGCCAACGCCATCTTGGGTGTCTCCATGGCTGCCGCTGTTGCTGCTGCTGCTCAAAAGAAGATCCCTCTCTACCAATACATTGCTGAGATCTTCGGTACCAAGCAACCCTTCGTTCTCCCCGTTCCCTCCTTCAACGTTTTGAACGGTGGTTCCCACGCTGGTGGTGAGCTCGCTTTCCAAGAGTTCATGATTCTCCCCACTGGTGCCCCTACCTTCTCTGAGGCCATGCGCTATGGTTCCGAGACCTACCAAATCTTGAAGAAGATCGCCAAGCAACGCTATGGCTCTTCCGCCTCCAACGTCGGTGACGAGGGTGGTATTGCTCCCGACTTGCAAACTCCCGAGGAGGCTCTTGACCTCATCAACGAGGCCATCAAGACCGCCGGTTACGAGGGCAAGATCAAGATTGGTCTTGATGTTGCTTCCTCCGAGTTCTACAAGGACGGCAAGTACGACGTTGACATCAAGGTCAAGAACCCCAACCCCGCCAACAAGCTCTCCTTCGAGCAACTCGGCAAGATCTACGCCGACCTCGCCAAGAAGTACCCCATTGTCTCCATCGAGGACCCCTTCGAGCAAGATGACTGGGATGCCTGGACTCATCTCCAAGCCTCTTCCGACTTCCAAATTGTCGGTGATGACTTGACTGTCACCAACGTCAAGCGTCTTTCCAAGGCCATTGACAAGAAGTGCGCCAACGCCCTTCTTCTCAAGGTCAACCAAATCGGTACCATCACCGAGTCCTTGAACGCCGTCCGTATGTCTTACGAGGCCGGTTGGGGTGTTATGGTTTCTCACCGTTCCGGTGAGACCGCCGACACCTTCATTGCTCACTTGACTGTCGGTATCAACGCCGGTCAACTCAAGTCTGGTGCTCCCTGCCGTTCCGAGCGTTTGGCCAAGTACAACGAGCTTCTCCGTATCGAAGAGGCTCTCGGTGACAAGGCCATCTACGCTGGTGCCAAGGCTGCCAACTACATCAAGGCTGCTGCCGCCAAGTTCTAAACGTCTTAACGTTGTAACGGATTTATAGAAAGCAAATGAATGTCTTTTTTGATATAAAAGTTGTATACTGGTTGAGGTGTGATTGTGAATAGTTTATTGTGTGTGATCGTTTTTGGCTGTAGCTGTTTCGTTGTGGTTTCTTTGGTTGTGATTTCTTTGGCATGCTTCTTGTGTGTTTGCTAGTCTTAGGGCTTAGGGTTGGTTATTCATATACTGTTTGTAGTCGACTGCCTTCGGTACGACCTCTTCGCTATGCCATGTGCCGACAGAGCTACGATTGTTTCTCACCTACTCATAATTTCCCTTTACCTGTAACAATACATTTTCATTAAACATACATATGCAATCACAAAAGACCAATATCCATGGCCCAGGGATCCATTGGGGCTGCGAGAGTCGAGCGAGCACGAGTGGGGGCAACGCGGCGGGAAGGACGGTAAGGAGCGGAGCGTGAGGTATTTGTGGGGGTATGCGAGTGTGCAGACGAGGAATAGGCGGGGGTAGAGCGACGGACGTAGCGGGAGCGAACTGCATGCGTCGCATGCGGGATGCCAGGGCGTAATGAAGAACTCCGAGGTCTCTGAACGGTAGCGGGGGTAGAAGGTGGGGGGAACGTGTCGTCGAGGAACGGAGGGCGAGCTGTGGGAGAAGTAGAGTGGAGGGAACGGCCGACTTTTAGCGACTTAGGAGAAGTCAAAGAGTCGGCAGCGTTCACAGCAGCAGCAGCAGCCGTCGTTGCATCGTCCAGACCCTCATGGTGCTGGAACACCGAGAACTTGGACGTGGGGACTGTGGGGGTTACGCAAGACGGAGTCAGAGAGGCCGACGAGTCGAGACTCAGCACGGAGCTGCAGCTATTGACGGCCGATGTGGGGGTCATGTTCGATTTAACAGTGCTCTCCCGTTTTGCCCCCACTCGTGTTGGTCTCCAGACATCGATGGTGCTCCAATCCATGGCATACTCGTCCAGGCCAAGGTTGGCAAGAGGAGACGTGGGGGCACATGGGGGCATGTATTCGATGTCGTCCTCGGGAGTCTCAGTGTGAGTGACCTGAGGAGAGGAAGTGAGTCGTTTTGTACGCTGTTGCAGCGTGGAAAGCAGCATGCCAGGAGGCGTCTGCAACGCAGATTTCAGCGTTGGAGTTGCTTGAGAAGCAGCACCAAGTGTCTCAGGAGCGTAAATGACCTTGTCATCTTCGGCTGTGTCTTCGTGAACGACAATTGCACTGGTAGCGTTGGATTTGTGAATGTTTGTGTTCTTTCCAGCAAGAACTGTGCGGCCAGAAGTGAGCCTGGGTTTTCCATTCGTGAAGAGGGGCTTCTTCGTTCCAAACACCCTCCCGCCATTTGAGGGCTTGCCCAGCGGTGTTACCGGGATTGAGTTTTCTTTTCCAAATGAGAGCATGGAGAGGGCAGGACGAGTGCGGTACCCAAGTAAGAAAGCACCTTAACGCGGTTCTGTGAAGGACGGTAACAGAGTTAACGATATGTAAAAACTATTGTAATACTTTTGTTGTGAAACGCTGCGTAGTTCAGTAAAAATATAACGAAGTGTTACATAGTACTACAAAATGCAGTACAACTCGTCTACCCACGCTAAACGCATCTAATCTGCCCACCGGCCATCCTCAGTGTGCCAGAGGCCCCCTTCCCTTCAGCTCCATACAATTCATTACACATTGTCCTTGACTGCACATTCATGTTTGCCCTTAGGAGAAATTCCATTGTTACAATTCAGCGTATCTTTCCCATTGCGGCGGCCGTCCGCTACGGGAGCTCTACAACAGCAACTGGCGCCTATGGCACCCATAACACACCTGTCGCTTCTAATGAGACTCTCTCTCGAGAGGACAACAAACTGCTTGACCAAGTGATCCGTGTGGACCATGCTGGTGAGTTGGGCGCCAACAGAATTTACAAGGGTCAGCACTTTATCCTGCGAGTGACGAACCCCAGAGTCGCACCAACCATCCAGCATATGTGGGACCAGGAAAAGTACCACCTTTCCATATTCAACAAATACTGTACGGAACACAATGTTCGTCCCACGGTTCTTCGTCCCCTATGGGACGTTGCCGGATTTGCACTTGGTGTCGGCAGCGCTTTGTTAGGCACGCGAGCCGCTATGGCTTGCACAGAGGCTGTAGAGACGGTTATTGGCGACCATTACAACAACCAAATTCGTGAAACAGCCCATCTCGAGGACAAACATCCAGAGTTCTCTAAACTGCGTGAGAAACTTGCCGAGCTACGTGACGATGAGCTGGGCCATCTGAATGCTGCGGTAGACGACTGGGAAGCTCAAAAGGCCCCTGCCCATGGACTGTTCACGAATGCAATAAAGCTTGGTTGCAAAACTGCCATCTGGTTGTGCAAAAGGTTCTAAGCAGCAATGGACAGACTAGCCTTCGTCCATGTCTGGCCAAGTGGTTGTTCACCTCTCCCATCTTCAGCTGTGTCTTTTTCGTTTCTTATGTTTCTCCCGTTTAGTACTTTCGTTTTCATTTTCAGTTTCTTTTCTTTTCGGTTCGGTTCGTTTCTTTTTTTATGTCCTTAATGACGACGCTTCTTAATCTTGGAACTTGCGCAGTGTGGACAGTTCGTCCAAGATGCCTTGCAGACTTTCGTCTGAAATTTTAGTTGCCAAACTGGGAATCAGTGTACGAGCTTCTTCTGCGTCTTCACAACACAAAGTACCTAGTTGAGCACGCTCAAACTTGTGGAACCGGTTTCCTAGAATACGTTCACAAGCGTATGTCGCTTCTTGCGTCTTAAAACGCGCAAAAATGTTGAAGTACTCCATTGTTTTTTTCATGACACTGTTCGAGTTTCGTCAGCGTCTCTCCATGTGATAAAAACACGCAAAAACGCCATCCACCGTTTTAGAAAGAGCGCACAACTTACTCTGTCATAGGAACCTCGCCTCCGGTTTCGCGTGAACGCTGAGCCAGCACGGTTTCGACAAGAATCTTTGCTTCCGAAACGGTCAACATGTCTTCGTTTTCAAACTCTGTATCTGTATTAATAAATGATCATTTGTAATGTGTATCAGTACGCAAAGATGTTCTCACCTGGTCCCAATTTCAGTTGGCCAGCGTCTTCCTCCATAACCGTTTTTCGGGAAGCCATTCTGAACAGTAATGACGATTCCTAACTATAAAATACAACGAAATATTCAATGCTTCGACAATAGAGCGCGTTTTTTACGCGTTTTCTTGTGATTTTTATCAAACTAGTGTGAGGAATGTGTGAAATACGTGTACTTGGTAGAAGGCAGGTGCAGGGGCGGACGTTGCGACGCGTGTCGTCCGAAAACAGCAAAATAAGGTTATGAAGGCGACGCGTTTTGCATTTAAGAAAAACACCTCCACCAAAAAACAATACCACGCTACCCTGACGCTGCCCGTGCCGAACCACACCGTCTGTCTACGATAACTCAGCAGGCTCAACCTCTGCGACAGCTTCCTACCGATACCGCATACCTTGTAGGCATTCACAAGCGTAGTCAACCATAGTTGTTGGACACCGGGTGGCATTCACGAATCAAATCACACACGAACTCACACGTTTCTGTATTGGTGAAGCGTTTTTCTGGGCATTCTCTTGTACATAAACCAACTTAATACGTATTTGAGGCTAATCTCTCTTTATTTTCTTTGAATCTTCTGTGTTTTTTTTTATTTTTTTGGTCCTGAAACGTTGTCTGCTTGAGCCAATTTTAAGCCGACTTTTCTTTTTGTAATTAGGTCTATTTATAAGCGCACACATACACGCTTTCAGCGCTTTTCTTCATTCTTCATTTCTCGTTAACGTGTTCGTAACGGTCAAAATCACGTTCAACAATGCGTAAAAAGGTTCTACTGATGGGCCGCAGCGGCAGCGGCAAGAGTTCCATGCGAAGCATCGTATTCAGTAATTATGTGGCCAAGGACACCCGCCGGCTGGGTGCTACAATTGACATTGAGCATTCTCATGTACGATTCCTCGGTAATCTTGTTCTCAACTTGTGGGATTGCGGTGGACAAGAAGCTTTCATGGAGAATTATTTGACTGCTCAAAGGGATCACATCTTCCGCAATGTTCAAGTGCTTATTTATGTTTTCGATGTCGAATCTCGCGAGTTTGATCGCGACTTACACGCGTTTGAAAGTTGTCTCGAGGCTACTGTGACCAACAGCCCAAAGGCACGCGTGTTTTGTCTTATCCACAAGATGGATCTTGTGCAGGAGGATCTTCGCGACGTAGTGTTTGAGGAACGCAAGGCTATTTTGATGGAAAAAAGCAATGTGCTTGAAACAACATGCCTTGCTACGTCTATTTGGGATGAAACCCTATATAAGGCTTGGTCAGCTATCGTTTACACGCTCATCCCAAACACTCCTACCCTCGAGTACCATCTGAAGGCTTTCAGTAAAGCAGCGGAGGCAGACGAAGCTGTTTTGTTCGAGCGTACGACATTCCTTGTCATTTCATCTTACTCATCAAGCCGTAACGTTGCTACCGACATTCACCGATTCGAGAAAATCAGTAACATTGTGAAACAGTTCAAACTGAGTTGTAGCAAAATGCAAGCTCAGTTTACATCGTTCGAGCTTCGTGGCGGGAACTTTTCTGCTTTCATTGTTCCATACACAGATGACACATACATTCTGGTTGTCATATCTGATCCCGAGGTCGAGTCTATGACTACGTTGATGAATATTACTCGTGCTAAGAAACACTTCGAAACACTTGAAACCGCAGATTATTCTATGCGTCCCCATTAATGGCTGTTCCGTGTTGCCGTCCTCTAATTATTTTGTACTCCGAAGCATGCATGTTCACGTTCAAGTCCTTAAGACACTTGCTTCAAGCAATGTAACGTTCACCTGTGCTGTTTTCTAATCCTTTCCCCATTTACACGCCTTTTCATGACACTCTTTTATATTGCTGCTAATTTTATTTCATTGAATTGTATAGTGTACAAAATTAGTTCCAAATACTTACTCACAGTTCGCCCGTAGTTTCGTGTTTCTCTTTCAACAGAATCTCACACACACAAACGTAGAGAACGACTTAGACTGGTTTGTCTCTTTTTTTTTTCTCATTTTTTCAGCCGTTCCCTCTCCCGATTCCCCTTTTTTTTTTCAATCTTTTTCGTTGAAGTGAAACACAAGTAACAAATCAGGCATGCTTTTGTTATAATGAAATAAAAATAGGAGTCGCTCCTGACGCTGTAGAAGATGACTCCGAATCCTGCTTTTGCTCACCTTGCATCTTTTCTGCACTAACAGCCCCCTCTTTTTTCTCTGTGCTTTCGAGCTCCTTAGGGGGATGGTACAAACGACATTTTGCATTGTGACATGCCCCCTTGAGCGCGTACTCCGTGCATTTCAGAATGTGTTTCATCTTGCAATGGAGGCCGTTTTCACACATTCCATATTCGGAAAAGTCGGGACACACTGGCACACTCTCGTTGTAGTGGACATGTGCATATCGACATACAGGATTCGTGCACTTACCTTTTAAGAAATAGCGGCAGGCTGGTGTCCGCTTTTCATCTCTGTCGTGCGACAAAGAGCACTGCTCTCCATTCGGGCAATTACCACTCAAAAACCTCGGACACACGTATTTATGAGCGGGATCATGGACATACATGCACTTGCCTCCCTTCGCACAATACCCTACCATGTTATAGTAACGACAGTACACACTGTAGGGTGACGTACCAACAAACTTGTACATGGAACGGTTCATGAGCACATACGCGCGACCTTCATGGTATATATGCTTGGGAAGCTGAGCAAGAGTGTCCATGCACTCAATAAACTTAGGATCCTTGTCGTTTATGATAAAAGGTAGCTCCTGAATAGTGAGAAGGTGGTTGTTTGGATCGGTGAGCTTTTGCTGAGTCTTTTTCTCTGCAACTGCTTTCCGTTTTTCGTTAAGTTTTGCACGAGCAGTTTCCATGCTGGCTTGCCTCGCCTGAGCATCTTGCTCGTAAATACTTTTGTGAATAAGTTGCATGTGACGATCTTTCCGTGCAACAAACATCGACGCCTCCGTAGCGTCCTCCGACATTGACGAAACATCGTCTTGTGTTTTCGCTGCAGCGCCCTTGATAGACGGAGACGGAGGCGGATTATTGACAAGCGTTTGATTTCGTGATGTGGACCAATGTGAAAGTTTTCGTTTGCGCCAATTCGTGGAATTTGCGCCGTCTGGCTTCTGTGCAGATTGGTGATGAATTTGTTCTTTTCATGAAAAATGTGTGTTAAAAAATAGTTCGCAAACGATGTATGAGAAAAACAGAAAAAAAGACGTCGACACGAAAGCAAGCACTTAAAACGCGAACAAAAGAGCGTGCGAAAATGCTAATGTAATACCAGCAGGGAACATGTATTGCAGTCACAGTCAACATGAAACGCTTTTTCCTAACGTACCTTGAGAGTATTTGTACTTGTTAATGGCACCTAATACAGCCTGTTAGTGACAATTCCATTACAAATTAAAAACAATTACCAGCTAAGGAAGCAATTTGCTCCAACAGCTTTTGCTCTTCAGAATTTGTGCCGGCCATAATTATATATATACGCGTTTCCAGTGCGTTATTACGTGAACAGAACGATAAAAGCTAATGCCACCCAAAAAAGAGAAAACAGAAAAACAAAGAATTAATCAAAGAAATAAGAAATTACAACTTGTGGACAATGAAAGAGAGGAATACAGGTCAGACGAAGCCACAGAACCTGTTCAACAAATCCTGTTGTGGTCGCCAAGGAATTAGGGTGTTTGGTAGAGGAGAAGTTCTCGCCCTCGTTCTATGGTTCATCACAGCAGCAGACGAGCAATACGTCATAGATAACCTTATATACGCGTACATCTTCAAATGAAAAACGCGTCGCGTGAACCGAAACGAGTTGCGTAAGTGACACAAGGGGAAACGATGGAAGCAAAAACTGACGACGACCTTAATTAATTTGAAACGAATTGATTGTTGTCAAACCGTTCGCAATGACCTTTTTTTTCGTTCTACTTCCATACAGCAGTCGCACAGATAGCTACTATGTTCGCCATATCACCACCACCACCACTACCACCAAAGATTATTAGGTAAGCAGCGTGCTAATAATATCAGTGGCAGTCGCTTTCACCAATTCCCGAGCCTGCTCTTGCCACCAGTCCCGTACCTGCTATTCCTCTGAGGGTTAAGCTCTGCTGCGAACTGCTACATTTTTTTCTGTACACATCGTGCTAAAAGGTTCTTGGTGCTAGAACACCCGTTCTGTCATTGGCCAGAAACTGAATTAGGAACCGGAAGACTTAGGAAGTCATATATTTTTTTTTGTTGCCGTACATTTTCAGTTTGTTTTACTTTCACTATGACTACGACAATCGTCTTGGCTTCCCCGAATTACGCTGCAAACGAATCCAAGTTTGCTACTTCCTTGGCCAAATTCCAGGCGAATTCTACGGATGCCAGTCATCAGAGGGACATTCATATGATTGACCGCATTGCTGGTAATTTGGCATCTCTTACTGTCAATGCATACGATCGTGGATTGTTATTTTTGGATGAAAGCACTACGTTAGAGGAAATAAAGGCTATCCTGCCAAAACTGTTTGCTGCCGTACATCCTGGAGCTGCTCTGAGTGTGGACGGAGTGTTTGCAAAGGAGCTTGCCGATGCTTTTGAACGTGAATCGTTGTTGGCTGGTTGGATGATTGAGTCAAAGGGCCCGTTTGTTCTTCGCCGTCCTGCTCAAGTGGAGGCTGTCCCGTTGAAACTCAGTACCAAAAAGAGTGCAGGTGCATCTGTAGGTGTCAAGCTGGACTTTTTATTTAAGAAACCCGAAAAGCAGAACACACTGTCGAAGAACGATGTACTGAAGGCAGCCCAGGAAGAGGAAGAAGGTGAGGACGATCTGTATGATGAGGACGCTCTTGTAAGCGACGAAGAAACTCAACTCGGTAAGGATGTCCTCGCTCCTCCGTCTACTTGTTCGAAACCCGGTAAAAAGAAGCGCTGCAAGAACTGCACATGTGGCCAGCGTGAGCAGGACGAAGCAGAGGCGGCTGCGGCGTCTGCTGCTGCTCCTAAGGCTGTCAAACTCACCGATACAATGGAGATCGATTTTACCGAGCTACTGAAGAGCAAAAATGCTGTATCCAGTTGTGGAAGCTGTTACTTGGGCGATGCTTTTCGCTGCAGCGGCTGTCCTTACATCGGGCTGCCCGCCTTTAAACCTGGTGAGCAAGTTCTTATTTCTGAAAACCGCGACAAGCTTTCCTGGATGGCTGATGATTTGTAAAATATATAGGATTGGAAAAAAAAAGAACAACTAAATATATATCAAAAAAGGGCATGGTTTTACTGTTATCATAAAGTGTCTCGGAGTTACCAGTGTGCCATCGTTCCAACCGTCCAACTCGGAACCATTGGGAGGAAAGACACCCGTCATTTTTATTGCTGGTCAGTTTTGTCTATTGTTGTTGTGTGTGTTTGAGACGGAGAAATCTTGCAGCTAAGTGTGTTCCGTTTCTCTCACATTGCGTTGCTTCATAACCGGGGAACGCTACCCCTCCGATGTGTCACCGTTCTTGGAAGCGAGAAGACGTGTCTGAAGCGTTTCCTTCTTCCTTCATTTCTCGTTGTAATAGCTTGATCAATTTCTAATAGTTAGTACTAAGAAAAAAACTGCTTAAGTGGAACCAGGAGCAGGATTCGGTAGTAATTGGTACCTTTAGCAGTAAAGCTAAAAAGTAGCGATGCCGCGTCCGGCATCTGTATCCACGGTCCATACCTGTTGGTCATGAATCTTGTGGGTGAGTTTCACAACTTGACTTTCTCGTTTTTGCAACACGTCTTGAGCCTCTGCCAACTGGCTCTCAAGCTTTTTTTGTGATTTATGTTGACGCTGAACGGATTCACGTAGTTTATTTAATTCATTACGCTGCTGTTCGTAGAGAACGAACAGTTTGTAAGGGTCGATGTGTCCATCCGGGTTCAGAGCCTCAGAAGGACACCTGAGACTTGGTGACACAGGCTCACTGCTGGTTTCCTCCTTACTACTCGTCCTCTGCTCGCTAATGTCCATGTGGTAGGTGTTGAAGTGGCAAGCAAGCGGTAGCTCAGAACGGCCGTCTAAGGGCCGCGCCCATTAGTTTGTATGGAGAGCAAGAAGTCTCTAAAAACAGTAGTCATCCACGGAAATAGAAACGTAGCCATACCGTAATAACCCGAGGTTTAGTCAGGTGGTCGAAACGCTGAAAAAACGTTACAGGGAGCATTGTAAGAAGAAAGAAACACAAACGGCACTGGCAACGGCGAAGTAGCGGAAGTATGAGAGAGAAATTGTCCCAAGCATTCCCATTAGACGAACAGAACATCTAATGGGAATGCTGCAACTTGCAACTGCCTCCACGTTGCCAGAACCGTCCACGTCTCACTCCTCCAGCAACCCCTCCGTCTCATTTCATTTCATTACGGGCTAAGACAAACCCTAAGCCTACATAGCGAATAATACAAAGGTTTTCATCTTAGAGAGAGTAAAAGTACAAGTCCATCGCTGGAGAAGTAATAAGTTACACGCAGCCGCTGTGCAATTGGATACAGGCCTTTATACAGTCTTTTAGGCAATGAGCATGCAATGGCATCCGGTCAGAACCGTATGCAATTCTACTGCAGACCCATAATTGTCAAAGAGGAATCGCAGACAACATTCTAATAGGAAGCAAGCTTGCCCACATACGCATCCTTCTGCAGGGCCATCCAGACAATACTCATGGTCGACACGATAATGGGGCTTGCTAAACCAGGTCCCATAGCAGTTGTGCGGAAGGCCATCCATTCAAGCAAAAAGTGGAGACAAGCAATGTAGTAAGTAGCTTGGCACAAGAAGTACACATGAGGATCGTTCAAATGGAAAGCACCATACAAGCGAACGACGGCACTCGTAAGTGTCCAGATACCGAAAGTTCTGCCTTGCAAACCATTCACCTCGTTCGTGTTACTATACACTCTCTTCGTCAACTTGGGTGTAAGGAAGGACTGCACAGTGTTGAACACGGCCGTAAGGCCAACAATGAACATCCACTTGGGCAACAAGCCAGCAGGCAGACTGTTGATAATTGAAAACATGCTTTTAGAAGAGGTTAGAAGGTGGTGTGTAAAAGGAAGGTGCGCTTCTGGCGCTATGGGAAGGCTATATCCGTAATTAATGCGCTCGTTAGACCCCTCTTTCCCCAATAAACATGCTATATTAGTGTTCGGAGCGGAGATGTGTGACCCTGATGCTCTCCCGGGTCAGGAGGTTTGGCACCGACAAGACGAAATAGAGCCAAACTTCGTTTCTCACCTCCACACTACACTTAGCTTGCAATAAACGAAGATCCACATATCGGCAAACGCATCATCACACTCTGCGACGCCATAGGATGGGGTGAACAAAGAAACGTTTCACCGTACGCGAATTCGTGTAATAGAGCTTCTGCAATTTACACGTACAGCAATCGCGTCCTAGTATACGGAGATACGCGCGTAATGCAACAGCCATCCGCGCTTTTTCCGTTTCGTTCCCGAGGAAATTGTACGGAGGGCCAGCCAGCTTTCCGTAATGCTGTTCTCTCACCATTGCGCGAGCCCGCTTCCTTTGACGTATGAGCCCAGCACCAGATTGCCAACGTTCGCTCTCTTTGTTCCACGCTATTCGGGCTCACCGAGAAGTAGCGAGAAAGCACGAGAGATAGACGAAACGACCTCCTTTGGCGCGCGCGTATCTGTCTTCTCTCCTATCCACGAGCAGTGATGTAAGGTAATGGCACCCATCGCGAAGATGACATCATCAATGACGTTCGATTTATGTCATGACTTTTGTGGAGAGCCTGAGATGCATGGTATTGTGTGCAGGAATGCAAGGTTTAGACGAGAATTTGGCGGCCTTTTATAAACAAAGAGAGGACAATGCAACGCATATAGTTCATGAATATAATGCAGAATGTCTTTGTTAAGCATACGGAGGCGAATTGCCACATTGTTCGTGTATTTTTTTGGAACACTTTCTAGAACGATTGATGTGTGGCAAACTATATAAGGCGAGCAAGTCTCCCCGAAACCCAACGTGAACATACTACCATGCAGATTTTCGTAAAGACACTCACTGGAAAGACCATTACTCTCGAGGTCGAGTCCTCGGACACGATTGACAATGTGAAGAGCAAAATTCAGGACAAGGAGGGAATTCCTCCCGATCAACAACGTCTTATCTTCGCTGGTAAGCAGTTGGAAGATGGTCGCACGCTGTCCGACTACAACATTCAGAAGGAATCTACTCTCCACCTGGTGCTCCGTCTCCGTGGTGGTATGCAAATCTTTGTTAAGACCCTCACGGGCAAGACTATTACGCTCGAGGTTGAGTCCTCTGATACGATTGATAATGTTAAGAGCAAGATCCAAGACAAGGAGGGCATCCCCCCTGACCAGCAACGTCTCATTTTCGCTGGTAAGCAATTGGAGGACGGCCGTACTTTGTCCGATTACAACATTCAAAAGGAGTCCACTCTCCACCTGGTGCTCCGTCTCCGTGGTGGTATGCAAATCTTCGTTAAGACACTCACAGGCAAGACCATTACGTTGGAAGTTGAGTCGTCCGACACCATTGATAATGTAAAGAGTAAGATTCAGGACAAGGAGGGCATCCCCCCTGACCAGCAACGTCTCATTTTTGCCGGCAAACAGTTGGAAGATGGACGTACTCTTTCCGACTACAACATTCAGAAGGAATCTACCCTCCACCTGGTGCTTCGTCTCCGTGGTGGTATGCAGATTTTTGTAAAGACCCTCACGGGCAAGACTATTACGCTTGAGGTTGAATCCTCTGATACGATTGATAATGTTAAGAGCAAGATCCAAGACAAGGAGGGTATCCCCCCTGACCAACAACGTCTCATCTTTGCTGGTAAGCAGCTGGAGGACGGCCGCACTCTCTCTGACTACAACATCCAGAAGGAGTCTACGCTTCACTTGGTTCTTCGTCTTCGCGGTGGTATGCAGATTTTTGTTAAGACGCTTACTGGAAAGACTATCACCCTTGAGGTTGAGTCTTCGGACACGATTGATAACGTTAAGAGCAAAATTCAGGATAAGGAAGGAATTCCTCCCGATCAGCAGCGTCTTATCTTCGCCGGTAAGCAATTGGAGGATGGACGTACCCTCTCTGATTACAACATTCAAAAGGAATCTACCCTTCATTTAGTGCTCCGTCTTCGCGGTGGTTACTACTAGGTTGCCTGCCTTTTGTTAATGCTTAAACTGTCAGTGTAAGAATTTATTATTTATTCCTTTTGTGGATGCGAGTAATCGACGAGTAGATTTACGTAAACGTATGTGCATGATGTGTTAAAGAAGGCGTGGGCATGGGCGCAATTCTTGAAGCTGATTCTTAGGGGTGACATCTGTTTCCTCGAGTGCAATCATTGCTGTGGTTCGGCTAGGCGGGCTAGGTCCAGCTTTACCTTCGGCCACGTAATGCAGCGCTAAGCCGTGATTGGTTAGATACTAAAAGAAGACCATTTAGATATGACGTAATCAATAGCTTATTTTCATTCTCAGCTTCGAACAAACTTGACAGGAGCCAACACTTGCCTTTTTTTGAAAACAACGACTTGGGGACTTTCATTGGAAGGAGGAGCTCACGATCATAGATCCAAGGAGTTCAAGATGTTGCAATTCATGTTAATTGCCCTGCTGTGGGGCTCACACGTGCAGCCTTCCTTGCAGTACATTTTACCTCAGTCTGTATTTACTAGTCCAGAGCTGCCCGTAGATGGAGAAAACACGTTGAAGGAAGAAGAATTTAATGAACCTGTTGCTTTTGCAGCGAATGTACCGGAGTATTTTTCGCAATACGCGGACGACACTGTTGTTCGCGTTTTTTTGGATTCTCGAGAGGAAAAGGGCGTTTTGATGAACGAGCTTTCGGGTTACAATCTGGATGTCTGGAAGGATGAGGGAGACGAAATTGATGTTCGTATTCATCGCGACGGTCTGCCTCGTTTGGAACGCGAAGGCTGGAAGTTTACGGTCGTCATCTCTAATGTCACAGAAACACTTCTTCGCTCCGTCAGTCATGAACATGAGCGTGAACATGAGCGTGAACATGAGCGTGAACATGAGCATGAACATTTTCATAACGGTGCTGATAATGACAACTCTGATGACGCGGATCCTGCATTCACGCCGTCTCCCTTCTCATCTTATGACAGATTTTTCTCGGATTATCAGCGTTTGGAGAGTTTCAACACCTGGATGCGACTTCAAGCATCCCTGTTCCCAGACCTAAGTGAACTTTTCTCGCTGGGAACAAGTTCTGAAGGCCGTACCATCATGGCATTGCGTTTGCACGGACACCGTTCACGCCAGATTCCCGTGAACGAAAAGCGCCCCGCCATCGTCGTGTTTGCCGGTGTGCACGCACGAGAATGGATTGCGAATCCTACAGTCGTTTACGCTGCCCAACGCTTAATGTCCTCTTACGACTCAGATCCTCAAAGTCGACGTCTGTTGGATTCGTTTGATTGGATTTTTGTGCCTGTCGTTAATGTCGATGGTTATGAATACACCTGGACCAACGATCGTCTGGTATGCTTTCGTCCGACTGTTTGCCCTTGTGCCAAAGTTACTAACTTTTTCTGTAGTGGCGGAAGAACCGTCAATCCTTCAACTATTCTTCATGTGTTGGTATTGATTTGGACCATAATTTTGATTTTGCTTTTGACTACAGCAAACGCGCTCGCAACCCGTGCAGTGAAAGTATGTACTTTTTCCGTTAACGCGATCTTTTTCCCTAACGTTCATTAGTGTACCAGGGCAAGTATGCGTTTGAAGCACCTGAAGCGGCCGCTTTGGCCAAATTGCTGAGCGAGACATTGCCTAACTCCGGTTACTACACAGCTGGACTCATTGACGTACATTCTTACTCTCAGTCAGGTATGCTATTTCAAAAGTTACTATTATCCTTTTACTAACCAAAATGCACTTTTAGTCCTTTGGCCATACGCTTCTTCGTGCGACATTGTTCCGCGTGATGAAGAAAACTTTGAGGAGCTCGCCATAGGAATGGTGAAAGAGCTTCACAGCGTCCACCATCATGTCTACATGTACGGACAAGCTTGCACGAGTGCTGGTATCTATTCCGAGTTTGAAGAGACTGGAACAGCCCTTGACTGGAGTTACGAGCTTGCTGGTGTTAAATGGCCATACGTCGTCAAGCTTCGTGACACCGGTAATTACGTAAGTTGCTTGGTGAACAGGATGGTTTGCGTTGAATTGCTTATACTAACTACTTATGAACAGGGTTTCCTTCTCCCCGCGCATCACATTATTCCCACCGCCGAGGAGTTCTATGCCATGCTGCGGTATTATGGCGACTTTATATCACAATTTTGAGCAGGGAAAGCAGTAAGAACCCTGCACGAGATCTCTTGTACAGTAATAGTAATGGTTGAAAGAGGAGGAAAGATGAAGATGGAGGGGGAGAGGGAGAAATTGGAGGCATAAGGATAAAGGAGGAACGCACACAGAACATAAAAGCATGAATGAACAGGAAGCTGGTATTGGCGATTACACTACTCTACAACTAAGCTACATTCAATGGAAACATCCTCATCACATCGTCTGAAGCAGCAAGGCCACTACAGTCGATAAGAAGGGGAATTTTACACGTCAGAATACACCAGCTGCCCTACACGATGGGACCGTCCAGAGGACGAGAAACCCGAGGTGTAAGAGATCATCGCTGAAGAGGGGAGGAATAACCCAAAAGAGTATGTCCTCTCCCTCCCGAAGAAAGAATTGTCTCACTCTTCGGGCAACGGTGCTTCCAATCATCATCCGTGTTGAGTTCTGTGGCTAGGTTAGGAAACCCAAGCCGGACGTATACTATAGAAATGATCCTATGGAGTATCGTCGATGGTTTTTCGTGGAGCAAGTCGTGCGCTTTTATAGTGATTCCGTGTGGGGAAGAGCAGTCACAGTGTGGGGGTAGTGGAGGAGACAGGGACGCTAAACTGTGTTGTACGTCGCTAAACCGTTTACCGTGACTCACTCCCTCACACAATGTCTCTATAACGCTCTTCGACTAACCCCTTTATCCACAGTTACTGCATCCCAACATGCCTCGTTATCCACATCAATTCACTTCTATACTCTTTCTGCCCAGTAGAATTCATATTTCCTCGCAATGGCGACAAAGGTCCATGTGCAGCACAAGGACGTTCACCATAACCTTTCAGTAGACGGCTTTATCCAATATACACCATGGTCCGCCAACCTTCTTGTTTCATTCCGACTAACAGTTACTAGTTACTGTGAAGAAAATATTTACCAATTAGCAAAACTGTTCGATGGACAAGGACAGGTTGTTTTTATAACTACGAAAACGAAAACGGTAAGAACAAAAGTGTGATATGAACGGTCATAACGATGCAAATGTTGTGTGTGTTGTGTGTCTTGAATGCATGTTCGTAATATGGATGAGTGTGTGTGTGGGAATGGAGGGAGACCATATCTGTGTGCATTGAAAGAGCTTCCAGAGCTAACGAAATCGAATTAAAACAGACGCCTATTTGGGAACAGAAAGTGGGAAAAGAACCTGATGGATTGGTTGTTTGGGTAAGAATAAAAAATAAAGACAAACCAGAAGATAAAACGGTAGCAAAAAAGAGACACGGGGTGGGGAGGGAAACCGAGTTGGCAAAGACGAGCCTAGTAATCGTCCTCGTGGCTCAACGTTGCAAGATCTCGTCCCTTCTGATGGTGGGTCTCTTTATTGTCATCGTTTAAATCATCACTAACAAATTAAGGACTACCACGTCGTGTTTCTCAGTCGTGGTACAGACAACAACGACTGGAACGTATGGGACTTTGACAGCAAGTTGCCATTTCCGACGACGTGGAGTGAGTATCGATACAAAGCGTTAAAAAGGGTACAGCAGACGTACGAGGGGAATGTCCTGGATCCGGATTCACCCTGCCTCGAACGTTGTTTCCGTGTCGTCTCGGCCAAACAATATCTCGACCACTTCAGCAGCGATCGTTCACACATGAGAACAGAAACAGGCGACTGGCTAGCTCCACCGCCATTATACCCACCCATTGGTAAAGGAAGAAGCAGCAACTTGGAAACGTATTTGGACATGCAAACCCACATCGAGGATTCTGTGTTTGGTCGAGTGCATGATGAGGATTCCATAGACAGCATGCTTTTCACGTCTTGTTGAAACAGTCGTGACAAATAGGTTCGTTTTCCCTACGACCGTCGACTTGTGAACAAAGTGAGCAAACAACACGACTACAAACACAGCATTCGCGAGAACAAATAAGACACATGTTTTGAGCACATGCTTCACACATACTCACACGTAGAAATGTGGAACTTTTCCTGTAACAAACGTGGCAGAATCGCAGTGACAGTGTTTGGCGCGACGCGTCTTGCAGACTGGATAATGCCGTTTTAGCTCGCGTACCGGTCAAGCTGGGCTCCTCTGGCAGCATGGTACGACTCTTCTTCGTCCGTACATCGTCACCAGCGGTTTTTCCATCTCCAGCACCGGCAGCAGAAAATGTTCGTTTGTCCACCATCTTGCGTGGTTGGTAGCAGAAGGACGTAGCAAAGGCAATTCCATCTGCCTTTTAGGATTACGGAGTCGTAGTGCAGTGTGTTATAATAAATGGAGGGCAACTTAGCGAGCGAGACAGAGGCTACTTTGGCGCTCGCTGGTTTACGGTAGATAGATTACAGTACTGTAAAGAACATTGTTAATGTTGTTAACGCACAGTGTTCGTAAATCGTTACATTTCATTAAACAGCCTTAAGGTCTCTGCTACACATCACTAAACCTCATAGCCATACTGGGCCATGCACCTAGTACGCGAATTAGCACTCGTCGACAGAAGAAACACGAAAACGACCGTTGTGCAGCTGCACGCTGTTCCGTCTTTGCTACGTACTTTCTGTGCGCCTCAATCAACTTGGCACACTCAATGGGACCATTTTTTGACTCAAGCAAACACGCGTCGCGCGCCTTTCGGGTTTCGGGACATGCGCAACAAGGCTGTATGGACGCCGTTAGCATAATTGCACGAGAATCCACTCAGTACCTTTGGTTTTTCTTCCTGTTCTGGCTGCTGAACAGCGCTAGCATCGCTGGCAGGCATTTTTTCTGACATGGTTCTGGTTGAGTGATCAGTGACGCGCGGACCCTGGCATCGACAATGACGTCGCAATAGTGCGAACGCGTGGGGGCTGTCAAGGGGTTTCTGTGGGATAAATCGTTCCTCCCACAAACCCCACTACACCCCACACTCCCACCTTGGCCGCCACATGGGCCCTCCACCAGCAGGTGCAGCAGCAACGCTCTTGGTATTTCAGCTTGGTCAAATTCAACGTTGCCGCTACTCCCATGTCGCTTACGCCAGAGGCCGTGGAAGCCAAATTCGCGTCTCTTAATGATACCCAGGACAGCATCACAGGCATCGCCCACTGGGTGATGTTCCATAAGCGTTATGCTAACGAAATCGTTCAAATTTGGCTTCAGACTTTACACGAAGGTATGTGCGAATTGCCTGGAATTACAGCTGCAAGGAAGCATGAAAACTTGAGAAATGTGTGTGTTGACTGGTATAGCTTCTGGAAACAAAAAACTGTTGCTGCTTTACTTACTTAACGAGGTCGTACAGCAGTCGCGTGTAAAAAAACGCACGGAGTATATTGATGCAGTTGCACCGGTAAGTAAAAAGAACTACTACATAAAAACAAATTGGGTCCGTGGGCCAGATACGGTGGATATACTTGGGCTGGCAGAACACCATGAATTGTTTGAATTGTGTGGGCAGCGTAACAGTTTCGGAGGATTTGGAGGACTCGGAGGACAAAGTTCCAGGGCAATGACTGCAAGAACAGAAACCGAATTTGATTCAAAGCGTGTTCTTGGGTCCCCCTTGTCGGGACAAGTATTCCTCCATCCTCCATGGATATTTAGAACTACAGATCTCACCTACTCTCCCCAGTCCTTACGCCCCTTCTTCTACAAGACCCCTCAATACTTGCCTCGAAACACACCTTTCTAACAATACAGTTCGTTGTCGCTTCTGTCTCCTCGGCTTACCATTCTGTGCCTAGTGCAACAAAAACGAAAATAAAGTATGTGTATGACATTTGGTGTCAACGCAATATCTTCTCCAAAGACATCCTTAACGAAATGAACAAGTCATTTTCCAATGCAAATGCTACATATGGCCAAAGCTTTGGCCCGATGGGACCACTAGACTGGTCGCCCGTAGCTGAAATGTTAATCCAAACAAAAATATTTGGCAAGTCTGCTTCTACAACGAAGACGGCTGTCGATGCTCTCTGGGGCTCTTTAACACAGGACGGTGCCTCCGTGACTTCTGCTAGTAAGGAACGGCGTGCCCAGCTTGAGACAGCCATTCGAGCTTGTCAGGAAGAACACAAAAAGAGTATCGAAGCTCGGAACTCCTTTATTGAAGCTTTAAACTCCATTATACTCGATCAAAAAACTCTCACCGAACAAGAAGACGCTAGTGTGCGCGAACTTGACGAGAAACTTGCTTGTCTCACCGGAGCCAGTAGCGGCAATGCTGTGGGTGCCACATCGGGAGATGATATGGCTGCCGCTACAGCAACGGCACCTACGGCTACTGTTCCTGAAACCTTACAAACCCAGCAATCCCCCTCGGTGTCACATCAAGAACCCGAAGAACTGACAGAACCCGGAGCGAAGTCAGCATCGTTCACGCCGCCCATTGCCAACGATGTACTAAGCAGTCTCGATAATCTTGATCCAAGCATACGGGCCCTTTTGGAGAATGGATCCCTCAATCCTAGTATTTAAAACCCAGCAACGTCTCGCGCGCTTTCACTCCAAAAAAGCTTTCGTGTTAAATGACTACCAAACACCCATACGTCTCTGGCTTTGTATCGTAAATGACCTTTTGTATAGAATTCTATCTCTCTTGAACCTATTCTCCTGCGTCAAATTTTTTGGAGTAACCGTCCGCGGTACTCTTCATTACTGAAGCATCACTGTGTGTAACTCATGTCCTACCGCGAAAAATGTGTCATCACTCTTTAGTCCTCGTCCCAGTTAGGGTTGGGTCCAGGAGGCTTGGGACCACCGGCAGGCTTTGCCATTACGACTTGGTCGACACGAAGTACCGTAAGCACGGTTTCTGTAGCAAGCTTCAGAGCCGAGGCCTTGACAGACAAGACATCAAAGATGCCGGCTTCGCGAACATCGATAGTTCCGTCATTCTCACACTAGAAAGATATGTTAGCAAAAAGGGAAACGAATAAAAAAAATCATAGCTTGAACACTCCCCCGCAATAAACGACTTACATCAACGTCAACACCAATGGTGCTCGTTTCATTGTTTTGGTGAGCAGCGTAAAGTTTGCTAACAATGTCTGTTGCCTCTAAACCAGCATTTTCCGACAAGGTCTTAGGAACAACTTCAAAAGCCTCAGCATATTGCTTAATAGCGTGTTGGTATATGCCAGGCGTCCGCTCGCCCAAAGCAAGCAACCGTGAGCATAACTGCATCTCCGTAGCACCTGCACCGGGGACAAGACGGTTGTCCTTGATGAGAGCCTTCACCACGTTCACAGCATCATCAATGGAACGCTCCACATCCTCCAAAAAGTTTTGCGTAGCACCACGAAGAACGATGGTAGCTGTCCGTGTAACATCGTCCGTTTGACGGAAAATCGTTACCCGGTCTCCTCCAATTTCGCGCGTTTCCACAACGTCGATAGAACCCATCTCCTCAGGCATGGGCACACCCAAACGAGCCAAAGGCGTAGCACCAACAACGCGACACAAACGACGGAGTTCGAACTTGCTTGGGATACGGATGACAAGAATGTCATAACGGTTCAAGTAATGCAAGGCAAGTTCGCCGACATTGGCGCCCGTGACAACAACACGAACACCAGCATCATGAATTTCCTTGATGTGAGACTCCATCAACTCCTCTTCACCCTTTGAGAAATCGAGCATTTCCTTGGCGTTGTGAAGAAGAACTGTTCCCTTCGTCTCGGTTTGTGAAATGTCAATGGGACAGGAGAAAACGGCGACCTTTGACTTGCTGGCCTTTTTCACAGTACCTTCGGGTTCACGAGGGAAAACCATTCCCTTGACAACTTGGGATGATGAAAGATTGTTGCCCATAATCTTTACAACGCGCACGTTATCGACATTGAACTTGGCGGGATCCTTAGGCATCACCGTCAACACAGCCTCAGCAACAAGTTTGGCCAAAAGATCTTCGCGACCATATTGTTTCGAAGCGATGCAGCTGCGAATGGCGGTCTCCAAGTCATCGTTGCTTTCGACCTTATCAACCTTTTGGACAACGAGCTTTTCAATGATTTCGCTGGTGTTTTTCCAGGCAATCTCGTAACCCTTGGAAATCTCAGATGGATGCAAGCCAAGGCGAAGCAAGTTTTCAGCACGAGCCAACAATTCGCCAATGAAGACAATAACCAAATTTGTGCCGTCTCCGAGCTGAACATGTGTTAATAGAAGGAAACAGAGCATGCGACTTGTCCGTTTCTTCAACCCTCCTCTTGCAAAGAGCGTATCGATACAAAATGGGGATGAAACACAGGGACATACCTCATTTTCTTGTTGCTGACTGGCCATCACGGCAAGCTTCGCAGCAGGGTGAACGACCTCGAGTTCACGAATGATGGTAGCAGCATCGTTGGTCAAGAAGGTTTTGTTCAAATGGTTGATAACTTTAATTTGAGCGTGTTAGAGAATGAACGTTTGTTTTCAGTAGAGTCAAACACATACCAATTTTGTTACGTCCATTAGGACCCAAGGACGTTCTAGTCTGCCAAAAATGTTAGAAACCACACTGAAAACGTCCAAAAACGCGCGTACGATTTCTGACAATTCACGAATCGCGTTGCAATTACGAATAACCGCATCTTCAACACCTTGCATGACACGGTATCCCTCACGGAACAATTGAGGGCCAGAGGCCTTTGGTACACGAAGCGCCATTGTGTAAAAACAAAAAGGAACCCGGTTTTCCTCTTTTAGGTAGAGGGAGAGAGGAGGAGTCCGTTCACACTAGGAAGACGTGGGATACGGAAATGTGTTGGGGATCCTTATTTTAATTATTGAGTTCGTACGATGGGCAACGAGGTTTGTGTACAAAACAAGACATAGTAATAGAAAAGAAGAATTGGCAGAGGTGTGGGGAATACGGAATGGCTATGGGTATGGACTGGTTGGATGAATTCGTGTATGTGCTTCATAGTTACAGACCAACAAAATAAAAAAATATCATAACCTATTAGATAACATGGGTAAGGAGCAGTGTAGTTTTGGGTTTCAGCATATGGGAAATGGTGAATCAGCTTTCGGGTCGTTTCGAAAAAACACTATTCAGCGTACGAAACGAGCCATGAACTTTTTGTGAAAGTCGCTTCGGAGCATGTCGTTGACAAACTCCTTTGGACGTTTTTCGTCTACTCCCTTGTGTGTATTCCGGAATATGACATCCTCGTCCCAACGACGCTTTACGGCAAAAGACTCACCAGCTGGTTTGCTTAGCAAAGAGTTGCTCATAAGCATCTCTCGTTCTCTTTTTTTCTGCTGTTCTTCTTGCGCTGAAGCCTCTTGACGGGCTTGTTCCTGACGACGTTCTTCCTTAATTCGCTCTAGTTCACGCAAAAGCTGCTCTTCTTCATCCTCGTCGTCATCGTCGTCATCTTCAGAGTCGTCACTGGAGGAAGAATCCGAAACGTGCTGTGTTTTCTGTGAAGGACTTTTTGCTTCGATTTCATTCTCTGACTCAGAATCACTGCTGTCTGTGTCGGCGTCGATCTCACGAGTGCTTTCTAAAATTTCAGCAAACTTACTGAGCTTCGTTGTGGAAATCGTTTCATCTTTAACGCCTTCAATTGCCTTTAGTGTTTTGTTCTTGAGGATATTAGGGTTTGGTTTTCCGATTTTGGCATAATGTCTTGCTTCTGCCTCCAGCAAATCTGCACGAAGATCGCGTTTTTGAATTTCGTTTTCAGTTCCCTGGGAGGCTTGTCGATATTTCAGCTTCAAATGAGCGGGAAGGGCACGACTGGCTGTAATCCGTGTAGGAGCCATTTCGCTCCTTCCCCTTGCGGGATCAATTTGAGGTCTCTTTACTAATATTAGTCATCAGAAAAACCGGGATTTCATAATCACTTACATGAGCAGTCGTCATTCTGCCGAATTAGTTATATCTGACAATTATTGTGTTTTCGTGTTTTTAGCTGATATACTTGGTTCAGTGTAGGAGAAGTCGGTGACCTGAACTGCGTTAACATTCGTTGTGTGTCGTAAATCTTTATAGTGTTTTCTAGCGTATGGCAAGGAGACATTTCATAGTAGCATATGGCAAGTAAAACAACAAAAGTTATGGAGGACGAGGAGTGATCGCTAGAAGGAGCTCATCCAAAAACCATTTTTAAGTGGTGTGAACTGGTAGAATGGCGAACGACTGTCCGGTCAACAGTGACAATTAGATTACTAGCTCTTCTGCTTGTTTAGGGTTTAGTCTTAGGGTTTAATGAATTTGCCTATATCGGCTACGAACTGGTAGCATTTATATTGTATTCTCGCTTGATTTACTGTTACAATTGACAAATCTTATTTTATCAGTATTTAAACGTAACTATCTCGTGGCGACGTTTCGCTTAAAAGAGGTTCATAACTTTAATTACGTTTACTTGACACGGAAGTGTTCTTGTTAAAATCCTATCTAATCTGTGTCTATTGCCCACTGGACACTGGTGAGGGTCAGCAGGACACCGGTCGTTACAGCAGGCACATGTTTACTATATATAGACTCAGCCGCGCTTCCATTCGAGACCACTCTAGTTGTTAGTTTCAACAAATCTGAGTAACGAGTTTCCTTAAACTTTTAGTGTCAATGTTTGGTTAAACAGCAGTAGCTTTCAAATAACTGAGTACGGCTGTTCAATTGGGCCTCTTTCTCTGCTTGCTTTGCTTGTAGCAAATTCTCACTTCACGAGATGAATTGAGATAGGAATGGTTGAAATTAATGCCGAGCAATTTTTTTACGCCTTCATATATATGTATATATATATATATATAATGGTCTCCTTTACATACGAATTAATGAGATATGGCTGCGACCTTTAAGGATTCCTTAATAGGGTCTCAACAGTCTCAAAATGCAATCGAATTGAAAGAAACGAAGCCCAAAGAATTTCATACTTTTATAGTGAGTCAACCGCGAGCTGCAGATTCGCATACGCTGTCAAGCCTTCGTGCGCAATCCACTGAGAGTCCTGAAAACGAAAAACTTCTGCCTCCAATGAAAAATGTTGTCTTGATTATCATCAATAACTTTCTGTCATGTGTATCCTTTAACATTGTTATTCCAATTTCGGCTGAGTATTCGCGGCATCTGGGTGGTACATCGTCCTTTTCAGGTATTATTATTGGTACGCCAACGATTGTTGCCCTGTTGCTGCTTTATCCAATGCTGAAGTTTTCCCTTGCCAAGAATGGACGCATGATTTATAAACGACCAATCATTGTTTGTGCCATTGGAAGCATTCTTGGTCATGTCCTGTACTCGTTAGCTGACTACGTCAATTGGTTGTATCTTATTCTGATTAGTCGGCTTTTCTTTGGAGTTGCTTGCACAATGTTTTTGTATCATAAGCGCTATGTGACCGATAAGACACTTGTCAGTCCTCGCTATCGCACACCGTTGGCGACTTGCACTACGTTGGCTCAAGCAATGGGAATGTGCGTTGGTCCATTTCTTGGCGGCCTTTTGAGCAAGGCTTCTGCGCATGCGCGCAATCGTGTCTGGGATAAATTCACTTCGGGAAACTGGATCATGGCCATTGTTTGGCTTGTGTATCTCATTGTCGCTGCTTTCTTGTTCAAGGATGACTTGGAGACGAGTTACACTGACACAACAGTCGATCAATCTGTAATTACAGATGCCGATCAGAACTCTCAGCGATTGACTAAAAATGGCATGTTTACGATGTTTGTCGTTAGCTGGATTACATTCACATCTAATTTCACACTAGTGGGATATCTCTCAAGTATTCCCGTTTACACAAGTGAGCTTTACGGCTACTCAACATTTCAGGCTGGAAACTTCATTGCCCTGAACTTCTTACTAATTTCACCACTCGTTTTATCTGTTACGTTTCTTTCACGACACATTCAGGATCGCATTATTTCCCTGGGAAGTTTAATCGTTCTCCTATTTGGCCTGTTTCTGCATTTAATCATTCACGAATGCAAACGCGAGTACCTTATACCTTACTTCATCGCGTGTCTCATTATCTTATTTAGTGGAAATGTTGTCGGTTCGCCATCTGTATCTCTGTTGACTAAACAACTTCCGCCGAAATTCCATGTACGGGGAAACGTTGCTGTACAAATTGCCATTTCTCTGTCCGACACTCTAGGTGCAATATTTGGAGGTGCAATTTCTGCAATAAAGTTCATTCCAGTCTTTTTGGTCTGCTTTCTTATCAATGCCTTGGGAATGGTATTCTTACTGTGCATATGGACCTCTATTAAACAGAAGGTCACTTAGACATCCGCTTCACATTACCGGCTATTGTGAATTTAATGATCGAGAACCATTCGTTAATGAATAATACTTAATTTTGAAACAAAAAACATGAGTACTCTATCTCGTATTTGTTCGCTGCTCAACGACCATTGCAAACGAAACAAACTGGCGTCTATCTATTTATTCTTTATTACGGGCAAACTAACTACAGACGACGGCAAGTCCAGTGGAGATCAACTCCGTGAAGGAAGGGCACCAAGCAACCCTCAAACATTTCCGGGAGCACATTCGATTCTTTTTTCAAGATAAGTTCCTTGGGCAAGTCACTACTACTGATACCGTAGAACTCGCGTCCAAAACGACAGGCAAAACCTTCGAGCTTGTCGAGAGCGTTCTGTTGATCAAAAATGAAGGCAAGATACGATGCTAAGTAGGGCTGAGTGAAAATTCCAGCAGCCGGAGGGTTGGCCAGCTTTTTCTCCTTAGGGTGAGGAGCGGAATCACTACCAAGGAAAAATTTGCTATTACCACTAGTAGCAGCCTTTAGCAGAGCCTGACGATCCTCTTCCGTCTTCGCGACGGGTTTACAAAAAGAGAAGGGGTCATGTTCCCAATCAGAATGTGTGATAAGTAAATGATGAGGAGTAATTGTTCCTGCAACGCTATTGCCGCAGGCAAGAACCGTATCAATGGCTTCTTTCGTGGAGCAATGCTCCAAAATGATTTTCAATTTTGGAAATTGTTCATGAAGCTTACGGAAAGTAGGCAAAAACTGCTTCTCAGCAGTCATAACAGAACCACCTTCCTGGCTAGGAGGAACCTCGCCGTGGATGTTGAGAACCATACCTGTTTCTTGCATGGCCTGAAACGTAGGGTAGAACGGCTCGTAGCTTTCGACGCCGACATCAGAATTTGTTGTAGCACCTTTGGGATATGATTTAACACCTCTAATTCCGGCCTTTGCGGCGGCGTAAATAACCTCTGGCGTAATCTCTGGACACAAGTATAAAGACATTAAGTAGGCAGTCTTCGGGTCCAACGACTCGATTTCCTGTTTGTACTTCAAACAGGCATCCACGCTATTGATAGGAGGAACAGTATTGGGCTACGTCGTAAGTAAATTGTAAACAGGGATGGGAGCCGTTGAACAACAGTTTCAAACAAATTGGTCATACCATAACATAGGCCACATTAGTACCGCCAAGACGAACGCCAGGAACGGTGCTTTTCATGAACTCTCCTTGACGGAGATGAACATGCATATCAGCCAAACTGGGCAGTTCTAATGTTTCCATACGAGGTTACTTCGAGATAGAAGTGGTGGTACAGTTTATGATGAAGGTAGAACAGCAGTCGAAGGGAAATCAGTGAGTCTTAATCCGTTATCGTAAAACCTTAAAACAGCATAGCGACTAGGGAGTAAGTTGGTTGCGAAATTGTGTTAATCGTAATGGATTGGAATTGAACTAGGGAAAAGTCCACTAATAAAATAAAAAAAAGAAAAAAATACTGAAATGTAATTTATAAAGTAAGCTGTAAAATATCCGCTTAATATACGTTATCTGTAAAAGAAAATTTTGGGTTTCCCTCCGTCAATTTGTTTGTCATTTACATTATGTTTAGGTTTCACGTGTGGATGCACGTGTCGCATGGTGCTCAAACTTAATTTTACTACCACCACTACACATCGTTTTGGTACCACTGGAACTTTTCCGTTTACTACACAGAACCACTATGGCAGAGGAATCGGCTAGTAAGAGTTTGAACGAGACTCCCGTACGTAAAGTTGGCAAATAACGCGTGTATAACACTTCACTAACAACTTTCTAGATCGTCAAGGAGGCTGCTCCTGCTGGCGAGCCCCGGCAAAAGACTGCTAAGGAGTGTACGTAAAAAAGTGAATTTCTTGTCGTAAATCTCTTGAATTTCAATGTTAACGTTTGTCAGTGGAGCGTGAACGTCAAAAGGCTGCTAAGTTGGCCAAGTACCAGGCTAAGTTGGCTGCCAAGAAGGCTAAGGAGGTATGCACTATAGTGAACGACAATGAAACCGAGGGACTTTGAATTTCGCTTGTTCGGTTCATTCAATGTATTATTGTCTTCTTGCTGACACATTTACAGGAGGCTAGAAAGCCGAAGGAGGGAAAGAAGGCCAAGGCCCCCAAGGAGGTTCCTCCTTATGTTGAAAAGACGCCTGCTGGCGAAAAGAAGATTCTCCAGGATCTTGAGAGTCCTACTCTGAAGTCTTACAACCCTCTTGCAGTCGAATCTGCCTGGTACGACTGGTGGGTTAAGTCCGGTTTCTTCGAGCCCGAGTTTGAGGCCGATGGTAGCATCAAGAAGGCCGGCAAGTTTGTCATTACGAGCCCTCCTCCCAACGTTACCGGTGCTCTTCACATTGGTCACGCTTTGACCATTGCCATTCAAGACTCTCTTGCTCGTTGGAACCGTATGAAGGGCAAGACTGTCCTGTTCCTTGGTGGTTTTGACCATGCCGGTTTGAGTACACAGTCTGTGGTTGAGAAGAAGCTCTGGCAAGAGAAGAAACAAACACGCCACGATTACTCTCGTGAAGACTTTTTGAAGATTGTTTGGGCTTGGAAGGAAGATTACCATAACCGCATTAAGACACAAATGTCTCGTCTTGGTGGCTCCTTTGATTGGACTCGTGAAGCTTTCACTATGGATGAAAACCTGTCTCGTGCCGTTAGAGAGACTTTTGTTCGTCTTCACGAAGAGGGTATTATTTACCGTGCCAACCGTCTCGTCAACTGGTGTACTGCTCTTCAAACCACGTTGTCTAACTTGGAGGTTGAGAATGTCGATGTTCCTGGTCGTACCATGCTCAAGGTCCCTGGTTACCAAAAGCCAGTTGAGGTTGGTGTTCTTACTTCTATTGCATACAAGATCGTTGATTCTGACGAGCGTATCATTATCGCTACTACCCGTCCCGAAACCCTTTTGGGTGATACAGCTGTTGCTGTGCATCCTAAGGATCCTCGTTACCAACACCTCCATGGCAAGTTCGTTCAACATCCCTTCGTTGACCGTAAGATTCCCATTATTTGCGATGACATTATTGTGGACATGGAGTTCGGTACTGGTGCCGTTAAGATTACTCCTGCACATGACCCCAACGATTATGAGGTTGGTAAGAGACACAACCTCGAGTTTATCAATATCCTTACCGACGATGGCAAGATGAACGAGAACTGTGGTGAATTTGCCGGTATGCCCCGTTTCGAGGCTCGTGTTAAGGTTGTTGAGCGCCTTCAAGAGCTCGGTCTTTTTGTTGGCAAGGAGGACAACGCTATGGTTATTCCTCTTTGTGGTAAGACTGGTGATATTATTGAGCCTGTTATGAAGCCCCAATGGTGGGTTAACCAGAAGGACATGGCTGCTGCTGCTGCTGATGCTGTTAAGAATGGAGAGATCGAGATTTTCCCTGATGTCTCTCGCCGTGAATTTATTCGTTGGATGGAGAACATCCAAGATTGGTGTATTTCCCGTCAGCTTTGGTGGGGTCACCGTATCCCTGCTTACTTTGTTAAGCTTGCTGATGGTACTTCTGGTAGTCGTGAGGATGACAAGTACTGGGTTACTGGTCGTACTCTCGAGGAGGCCGAGAAGAAGGCCAAGGCTGCCTTCCCCGGCAAGGAGTTCACCTTGGAGCAAGATGAGGATGTTCTTGATACCTGGTTCTCATCTGGTTTGTGGCCTTTCTCCACTCTTGGTTGGCCTTTGGAGACTCTCGACCTGAAGAATTTCTATCCCGGTACCTTGATGGAGACCGGTTGGGATATTCTTTTCTTCTGGATCGCTCGTATGGTCATGTTGGGTATTAAGCTTACCGGACAAATTCCCTTCAAGCGCGTTTTCTGCCATGCTCTGGTTCGTGATGCCCAAGGCCGTAAGATGTCGAAGTCTCTTGGCAACGTTGTTGACCCTATTGACGTTATTGAGGGTATTACCCTGGAGGCACTTCACCAAAAGTTGATGTCCGGTAATCTTGATCCTCGTGAGGTTGAGAAGGCCAAGAAGGGTCAGAAGATTAGTTACCCTAAGGGTATTCCTCAGTGCGGTACTGATGCCCTTCGTTTCACTCTTTGCTCTTTAACGACTGGCGGTCGTGACCTGAACCTCGACATTCTTCGTGTTGAGGGTTACCGTAAGTTCTGTAACAAGCTTTACAATGCTACAAAGTTTGCTTTGGGACGTCTCGGTGCTGATTTTGTTCCCAAGAAGGATGCTTCTCCCTCTGGCAAGGAGTCTTTGGTTGAGAAGTGGATTTTCCACAAGCTGAACATTGCCGCTGCTAGTATGAACAAGTACATGGAGGAGATGAACTTCTTGCAAGCTACCTCTGCTGTTTATCAATTCTGGCTTTACGAGCTTTGTGACGTTTACATTGAGAACTCTAAGTACCTTTTGAGTGATGGTACTCCTGAGCAACAAGAATCCGCTAAGCAAACCTTGTACACTGTTTTGGAGGCTGGCCTTTGTCTCATGCATCCCTTCATGCCTTACGTTACTGAAGAAATGTGGCAACGCCTTCCTCGTCGTCCTAACGACACCACTCCTTCCATTGTTAAGGCAGCTTTCCCTGTTGAAAGAGAGGACTATGCTAATGAGGTTGCTGCTAAGGAGTATGAGTCCATCATCGAGGTTGTTCACTCCAGCAGATCCCTTATGGCTGACACTGGTGTCAAGGCTGACGCTACTATTTACATCAAGCCTGATGCTGATCACAAGACCTTGATCGAGGCCGAGGCTCCTAGCATCCAAGCCTTGATCAAGAAGTGCAAGTCCCTTACCATTGTTGACAATGAATTTGCTCCCGCTGATTGTGTTGAGAACAAGGTCTTGGGTGACTGCACTGTTTTCCTTCAAAAGCCGTAATCATAGGGGAATTTTCTAAAAAATACCCGTTACAGATCATTTTTGTTTACTATTTAATAGTTTAGAGGGAAGTTTAGTCCTTGTATAAAAATCAATTTTGCTTCTACTCAAATTATGAGGAATGAATTGTAGATTAGTCACTTTCACACGGGTGTCTACCATGCCCGAATCTTAGGTGTGAATTATTGTGATGTTTATTACGCAAGTCGCTTCGTAGAATTACATATTTAAATTAACAAAAATATATTAAAACGAGAGTAGCAAGTTAAGTTTCATGTTTAGGACTATAGACTTTTGTCCGAAGTTTTTGGAATAGCTGAATGGTAGCATATGAGAACGCGCCCATCATTTTCAGAGCTGAAAATGAAAACAGCAGCCAAAATATGAATTTCACGTATCCATTGTCATCAATGGACGTATCATTGAGCGACTGAGTTAGTATCATAGCGAGTACCAGATTGCAAAGTGCCCAAAGTAATACGAATCTCGTCCGTATACTCCGAGTATAATCAGCAAACATACGAGATTGCTGACTTTCGGACACTATATGATTCATCGTCATGTCAGAAGCATCTCCATGCAAATTGTTACGAGAAGCATGATACTGATTCTCAACATCCTCCTCCGTTGGGATGCTTAAAACGATCGTCTGCGAATTATTAGAGCGAACACACTCCAATAAACCATCTTCAATATCGACATAGTGTTTTCTTTCACCTAGCTGCAAGGTATCATGCATGTGACAGAAAGCGAATATGTTCTTCGTGAACACGCGGAAAGGTAATAATAAGACATAAGGGATTGAACCGGTCAGTATATGCCATGGATTTAATTGTAATAAGGCGGTTATAAGGTGGAAGAGAAACATCATTAAAGGGCAGAACAGCAAAGTTGTGAATGAATTATTTCCCAAGATGGAATCACCATTCGAGGAGGAGTTGGAAGCATTTTTGCAAGCGACATAAAACAAACAAATAAGGAAGTAAATACAAACAATCACGGATATACACATGCTTCCAAGATATAGCGAATGTGTTCTGTTATAGTTAGTAAATCGTAAGCAGAATTAAAACTTACGCGTAAGGCCGATTTCCCAGAGCCAAAACAAATTGTGAAAAGATTAAGCAAATGAAAACGTAATAAAAAAAGACAAATATGTGGTTACCCCATCCATGACCAAACAAATCATAATCGGAAGTCGATGTGGCATGACAAACAAAATAAAAGACTGAAAACAGATTAGCCATAGCGAAGTAATTGACCTGCAATTCAAGGCTATTAAGCAAAACTTTAAAAGAGAGTGAAAATTGACGAAGGGTTGAATGGTTTGTTTCCCAGATGCTAGGGAAACGACTTAAAGCATAGAGTGTGGAACCCAATGAGGTGTTTACTTCATACTTTGCATTATCCAAATATGAGGCAATGCTGTTTTGTGAACGAATAGTCGCCTTGACGGTGTCAACATATTTCATGACCCAGTCTGTTTTTGGTCTCAGCATCACCGACCAACTTAGAAGAGATTCTTCAGCAAGACAAGCATTCGTTCCAAAAATTTTCCGGGAATTACTTCCAGAAATATCTTTTTGAAAATAATCCTTGAGTGGTTCGGAACAAAAAGCGTCCTCAACAAGCACCGCATACCGGTAAGCATAAAACTTTCCCGGTATGTCGATCACATATCCCATGCAAGAATCGAAAGGATACTGCATGCATTTGTAAGTTTGCAGTTCGAAATTCCGAACAGCAAGGAGTGGGTTGCAAAGAGTCGAATACCAGTTAGGCAACTCAATATTTGTATTACCGCAAACACCACCGACTTTGTTGTCAGTAGTAAATTGTTTCCATATGTGGTATATAGCGGTTTCATTAATTGCTGTTCCTGCTTTAATAAAAAAGCAGACTTTTGGCTGCAATAACTTTGCAATACCATTAAGGAACCACCGATGAGAGTTGACTTTTCCACAAGACTGTGCCTTTTTGCAATAGATCAGATTGATTGGGACTGACTCCATAGAAGTGATGTAGAATTGTTGGTCAATTCTCAAACAACTCGTGTACTCATAAATGTGTGCCAAAACTGGCGAGCCGCTGACCATTTTGCTTCCACTTCTATGTTGATAAACACCCAAACTGGAGAGAACGTCAACGAAGCTGCAATCTAGATCACCGTCACCGTCAGCAATAATGCAAACAACAACTTTTTGCCAGCTATCTGTATTCCAAAAGCGGGAGGATTCTCGAGAACACAAATCGGCTATATTCTCCATGACGCATTGCAATGTATTAATGAATTGGTGCACGCTTTCCTTTTCCAAAGTTAGGCAAACTGCAATTTCCGTTTCGCGCCCGTATATTTGTTGTCGTAGTTTATATCCCTTGTCCTGTGTTTCCTCTGGCTCGCATGTTACCGCTGAATAGCGTAAGGTCTGTGCTTCCGGTTGATCGGCAAAGGTGCCCTGTAACGCAAGAAGTTGCTTCGACACAGAATAGTCGACGATCAAGTTTCCGTCAACCAGTGGTACCTCCTTAACACTGTATTGTGGAACGTCTCTTCTCAGTGTGTTTGTTTCGGTAATAACGGGCAATTTTGGAAGTTCACGCTCAACTTCATAATTGCTAATGTATGAAGGAGCCTCTGTCCAATCGCCCTTCTCGTAAATAGGCTCTTCGAAATTGGACTCTATAATATTTCCATTCAAATCGTACTCGAATGGCCGATAAGAGGGAGCAGCAGAGACGGGTCTCGAGGAACGCAAGTTTGAGCGCATTGAGTACATTGAAAACCGCCGATCGTCCCCATAATCCTCTACTTTTGAAAGATCACAGTCCGGAACTGATGAAGAAACATCATACTCAGTGTAATCCGTCGGGTTTGAGACTTCTGTCGAGGAACCATCCTCAGTACTTCCTGAGACGGTCAATTGGCAGGAAGAACCACTTTCTCTTGATCCGTATCTCCGAGTATGTTCCAATGGTTGACGCGACATTAGAAGACGGATTTGGTGTGGGTAATTTTTAGTTCTGTTCTGCTGAGTTACGTTTAAGGAGAACGTAATCAATTATAAAGAACAAATAGAATTGTAAAAAGCAAGAACAGTGACGGGGATGAGACGAGGACGGATAAGTCCGTTATATAATTTCTGGTAGTTAGTGGGGGTTTTGGGGCTGTCTAAATACATATAAACGCGAGTGTACAAAGGCTGTGTTTACGCGGTAACCACAACAAACATCAGCTAGCACGATAGTACAATCACCGAAAAACAAAAATTAGTTTCATTGAGGGGATCGAGACAATTTTGTGAGCTCCATTATAAAACCGAGTATCATTAATATTTGTTGACGGAGTTTCACAATGGTAATGTTAATCCTAAACAAATAATTATTGCTTATAAAATGATAACAAGAAAAAAGGAAAAAAATACACACAAAAATTTAGAAAAAAAATTCCATATTAAAAATACGGAAAAAAAAAAAAAAAAAAAAAAAAAAAAGAAAAAGGCAAAAAACACACAAAAAAATGGACAGTATAACAATCAATTCAAGGCGCACGTAACATTAGCTGGCTATAACGGACTCAATTCATTACATACGGGGTGTTGTTGGTTAAGGTTAAGGTTAAGTGAAAACTATGACGTCTTTGTTGTAGATGAAGGAATTCGTAATACTCAAACAAACCCTCCAAACCCCATAACCTAAAGGAAGGAAGAAATTGAGAATCAAGTGAGTGTATGGTTCACAGCGTTTCTATTACCGTTCAATTGTTATTCGAAGGCCTTGTTTGCGCATATCAACGATTTTTCTGAAACTTTTACTCATTTCGACGGTATTATGTCGACGGAGAAAACTCAGAGCGAAAATTGGGGTACGGGAATTTTGATGATTTTGTTCTAATGCCTATGGATTAGCTGATAAAGGCGGTAATGATACTCTGAACGAAGAAAAACCAAGGTTATCTGCGAATGAACGCGAACGGGCTTCCCTACCGGTTATATCAGCTGAGGCAGGTTACAGAACGACTGAAGGACATGAAACAACTTCTCCGATGATTGCCGGACAAAGAGAATTGCCCAAAACGCCTACTACCGCAGGTTCCAATGTTACAGTTCAGAATTCCGCCCCGCAGCAGTCAGAAACGCGTCCTTTGAATGTGAAAGATGCTTTATCATACCTTGAACTCGTAAAGCACCAGTTTACTGATCGTCCGGAGGTCTACGACCAGTATCTTGCAATTATGAAGGAATTCAAAGCACAAAGGTTTGCTCATAAAAAACGAAAACATACTAACATATGACAGTATCACTATACCAGAGGTAATAGAACAGGTATCGACTTTGTTTCACGATTACCCGCATTTAATTGAGGGTTTTAATAATTTCCTGCCTCTTGGTTATCGTGTCAAAGGCAAACAAGCCGCTCCTCAACCCACACCGAATGCTACTTCGACTACTTCGCAACCTCCACCGTTAGCTGCACCTGGCTCCTCCTCCCTTCCTCCTTCTTCCCCGGCTCTGGCAAACTGGACCATCCCCGGTTCAACGGCCTCACCTCGCCCAGCGCCATCATCGCCTTCTACTTTTTCCCCAAAGCCTCAAGTTGACTTTAATTATGCAATCGCTTACATGAACAAAGTGAAAGCTCGATTCCCCCCTAACTCCGGTACATACTTGAACTTTTTAAGTATTCTTCGTACATACCAAAAGGAGCAAAAAACCCTTCAAGAAGTTCGTCAGCAGGTCTCCCAACTTTTCGTTGATGCTCCGGATTTATTAGAAGAGTTTAAATTGTTTTTGCCTGATAATTCGACAAACGAAGATATCTCAACCAGCAACCTGGATGTCAGTCGGCTACCCCCAGTCGGTAACTTTACTCTGCCTACGACACAAAACCGTGAGCGTCGTCCTCGTCCAGCTCCTTCCGCACAAATCGAGAGATCAATTGCTAAGCGGTCCAAATTGGCCCGTACGGTGAACGATGTTCAATCTCCGTGTTCGTTAAATGATACAAAACTTGTGTCTATGGCACCTTATTCAAAATTCGCTGCTCAAGAGGAAGAAGTATCAGTGTTTTCTGTATTAAGAAAGCACTTGGGTGACATTGTATTGTTTCATCGGTTCTTGGAACTCCTGCACATGTTCAGGGAAAAGCTTATTGATAAAACGGAATTACTTAATTCATTCTCAAAATTGGTGAAAAATGAAGCTTTAACGTCTTGGTTTGCATGGTTTATTCATTGGAACAATGACACGATTAAAGTCAAGAACGTCCCTGTTCCAGACCGTGTTTGGAAGGCGCAAACATATGAAAGTGTTGGTGTCTCCTATCGGAAAAATGAAGATACTCAGTCAGGTGAGATATGTTCAGGTCGCGATAGTCTGTGCAACGAAGTATTGAATGACACTTACCTTTGTGTTACAAACTACTCCGCCTTTCTCACGAAGCCGAGTCACTACGAGAACCAGTATGCGGAAGCGCTTCAGCTTGTAGAGGACGAGCGTTGCGAGTACGATTGGTCAATAACAATATTTGAAGAAACTATTGGTATTCTGAGTCGACTAGCTGGTATCAAATCTCCAAAAGCAGACATGGATGGCGAAACAGAACTAAATAAACGAAGTTTCGTTGTCAAATCCGCATTAAAAAAACTATACGGCCAGGAGTGTTACATGCAAGTATATTCTGCCGTTCTTAAAAACCCCCCGACGAACGCCCTCGTCGTTATTCGTCGGCTAAAAGAGAAACACAATGAATGGACTCGCCATAGACGTGAATGGAAACGCGTTTGGGGACAGGTTGAGCGGAATAATTATAAACCTGCAATGAATATTCGGTTTTGTGAAATAGAAGGTGCAGATCGAAGAAACCTATCAGCAAGGCGACTCATAAAGGAAATTGACGACCACTATCAACGACAGAAACAGCGTATAGATGGTGCTGTTCCTGGTTTCCAATTTACGCAAATCCTTGATGACCATTTTATCTTTCTAGACGTCTTAAAACTTTGCGATGCTCACCTTTCATCTTCATCATTTTATTCCTATGCAGATAAGGGCCGGATTAGTGCGGTCCTGAAAGCGCTTTTATCTCAATTTTTCGGAATTCCATTGCCACGAGAAGCTCTTGAAAATGAACTTAATTCAGAGGCCATTGAATCTGTTGAACATCACCGTGACGGACTGAGTAAAATTATTAGCCCTAAAACCAATCTCTCAGAAAACACTCCGTCTGAACCACCCGAGTCTCAACCAGTACAAGAGACAAAGGAAACTGTTCAGCGAAATACACCAGAAAAAAACAATGGTCCTAATGTTCGTGCTCCAGAAGGAAACGTTCAAGCTAGTTACGAACAAGATTCTTTCTCTAAAAACTTAATGGGTTACAACTTCTTTGGAAACTCCATTATGTATCTCCTTTTCCGGCTAATATCAGTATGCTATGATCGTCTTTATCGTGTAAAGCTAGCATTACAGAAAAAAACACAACCTAATAAAACATACGAAGACGTTCTGGCGAATTGCATTGCTTTCCTAAAAGGCTCAATGGATGCAAGCAGTATCCAAAAATATTTACAATCGTTCAATAATGAAGATTGCTGCACGCTGAGCTCACTTGAGAGAATCATGAAAATTATTTGTTATCGAATCCATGAAGTGCTATTGGATCCAAAACTTGGTCAGCTACTGCTTCTTTTCGAGTCAGATGGCGCAAACTCCTCTGCCACATATCGGGAACAAATGATCTACCGGAACTGCGTAGAAGCCATCGTTGCACCCGAAAGCAAGCTTTACAATATGCGCTGGTATCCGCTACAGAAAAAGCTATGCATCCAACAACTTTTGCCGGGGGATACAACTCAACACGAGTTTGCGGCACCGAGTAAGGCTTTCACATACTACGTGGATAGTTATGCGATTTCATTAATCACAGAAGGCGTTGACTTTATCCAAGTGCGTATGCCCTTTCTGCGCAGTTCCCTGCAAAAAATTTCCCAGTATGGATATATGCTTGGGCGCGAAACAGGCCAGGTTTGCGCTTTGCTAAATGAACAGTTTTGCAAGTCAAATCTCCAGCTGTTCTTTTCGCCGAAAACATACACCATCTTTTTTGAACCGGAAACGGAGAATGTTTACATAAATTCTTTCAACATGTGGGTCGATGAACGGACAAAATACCTGCGGGAACGACGGACACTTGTTTGGCGACGCTGGCTGAACCGAACAAAAGCGTGGAAAGGTGATCTTCCGCTGCACGAGGTAGAGCGCTTATCCACATGTACTCTAGAGCAAGTGATATCTTCCTTTGGAGAAAAACCTGTAGAATAATTGTTTGTTAGAAAATTTATTATTGTTTTGTTGACTAAATTTTCAAAGTCGACCGTATCTGGGATATATATAAACGTTTCAAGACGAGTACACCTATGGCTGTACAGATGCTAACAGCACAAAACGTTCTTTTTTTCCGGAATTACTATCTGCTGTCAATGCATAGGCGGGGTCATTGGGGTTTCCTGTAGATAAAATGACCTCTAAACAATTCAAACCTATCGACAAACGTATTTCGTAGCAAGACTTGATGGGCTCGTCCCCTAAACCGGAGTCACCGACGTACAGAGCTGCCGCAGGAGAAGACACACTAGGACTCAGCTGTCTGCCATTCAGCATCACGCTGACATTGTAAGGTTTAAGGAGTAAAACAGGATTCAAAAGTAATACAAGATACAGAAAGTAGTGCTGCTGATGAAGCGAGATAGTTGAAACCTCGGCTGCATTATGCAACGGCTGCGGAATACGAAGTCGAAGAGGGTGTGAAAGAGACAAATGTGTTGGAGAACAAAGATCAATGGCAAGTAAGGATGGCGAGTCCGATGACGTGGGAACGGAAGGAAAGGATAAGGACTGTTGTGTTAAGGTGGAAGAGGAATTGCTTTTGTAAAGGGAAGGCATAGCCGATGTGACAGCCAAAGCTTGACGGTTGGCCTGTTTCAACGACAGAAGGGCAGACGGAAGAGGAGAAGACGCGGACGACGACGATAAGGCTTGTGATACCGTGTCTTGGAAAAATAGCGAGTGTGTAGGAGTAGGTTTCTCCTCCGGCGACATCAAGAGGTGCTGCTGTTGCGCAGAAATAAAACTGTCTGAAGCAACGGGAGACTGAGAAAATTTCCCAACTGGCTTGGAAGCCAATGCAAATGGAGAGTTTCGTGCTGACGCTACTGTTGCAGCCTCCATTTGGGTAATTAATGACATCGCAACTTCATGCAGACTTAAAGCATCATTATAAATGAGACTTCCTGGTTGATTGTACGTTTTCGCATTATTAACCATAAGATCAATGTCACGACGAACATCAGCAAAAGATGTGTACTGACCCGTTGCAAGTTTTGTTTCTATGATTCTGAGTGAAATGGGTTGCAGAATAGTTTGGTAGTAATCAGGATACGTGTATTGATCAGGAAGTTCAAGAAATGCAGCTGCAATTAAGTGCCCATCCTTGTGTTTGAACTCCTTTAACGCATGAAGCACTGTTAAAATAGGTTGTTTTAACGTTTCGCTAGCCAGGGCCCTTTGAGACATGTCAAGCCATTCCCGTTGAAAGTCAAGAGCAGCTTTCTCGATGTATTCTGCACACACATAAACATAGCTTCCCGGCATGTTGTAGTGTTTTGCGTTTTTGACCATCAAAGCGAGATCGTCTAGCGGATCTGCTAATGACCTGTAGACGCCTTTTTTCGCTTTTTCACGCATCATCTCTAGCGAGATGGGGTGCTGAATGATTTGGTAGTAGTCTGGATAATCATCTTTTGAAGGCACTTGTTCAAAGATGTAGTCAATGGGTCGTTTTCTGTTCGCAGTCAAAATGTTAGCAAACTAGCACAAACAAAACTAACAAAATAAAAATAGGAATGACAAGCAGTGATTATGTATAGTGCTTGGCGGTGAGTTATCCACTCGTCCAGCCAGCTACTACCAATCAACAAAAGTTAACCACCCAATTTCCTCTGGAATTACTTTTTGTCTCGAAGTTTAGATATTCTATTCATCCATTCATAAAAAACGGTTTCTTGAAAACCGTCGTCTTGCTGCATTGCTGCTGACTATAACAACCCAAGACAGCCTTTTGTGTGTCGCGTTTCGTGGTGGAGTAGCGTTGGTGTTGTAGACCCGGAATGATGGGAGTGTTGAATACGGTTTTTTGGTGGTAGTGTTTTGAATTTAAAGTATTGAACGTGATTTTCTTATCCCAAATAAGCTATAATTCAGTGCGAAACTAAGCGACATAAATGTCGCTTAGATAAAAAGTCTTCTGGAGGAGCCGTTATCTTGAACGATATCTCAGCCAATAAGAAGCAGTAAAGCATATTGTCTCGTTAGTTTTTGTTTCGCGAGTTTTCTAGTCGCGGCCACGCGGTTGTCTCGAGAGCCAAGAACAGCGAACCGCTTGGCTGGGACACGGCAACATACCTTCCTTCCCACAAACACAACCCCATGTCAAGAAGTGACCCTCCACGCCTCCTAACTGCGTCCGAACGAGCTCGTCTGGAGGAATTTATAGATCAAATTCACTATTCTCCTCGGTATGTAGTTCAAAGTCACTGTCTTTTCGCTAACAGGCTCAGTTATGCAGACGACGAGTTTGAGTACCGCCATGTAATGCTTCCTAAGGCGATGCTCAAGGTTATTCCTAGAGACTATTTCAACCCAGAAACCGGTACTCTTCGTATCCTAAAAGAAGAAGAATGGAGAGGACTCGGTATCACACAGGTACGTCGTGTCGATCCGTCGAAGCCTTGCTTTTGCTTTTTGGCCAGCCTCGTTCGATCCACGGTTTCACCGCGGACATACGTCATAGCCAGAGGCACCTTTTCTGCGCGTGATACGAATTAAGCTAACACGTGCAGAGTCTTGGTTGGGAGATGTACGAAGTACACGTGCCCGAGCCCCATATCTTGCTTTTTAAGCGGGAAAAAGACTACCAATTAAAATACGCACAGCGGAGATAAGCTCTCGCGTGTGAGGGGTCATGCACACGTATTGCGGGGGATCTACGTGCTTATGGCTCTTATACGAAAGCAATGTCCATTGAAAGTATCATCCATTCATGTAAACAAAGAGCATTCTCGTTCATAGACGACGAAAAACGAAACGAAGAAACAATGGCATTGATGCCGGTGGGGTGAAGGAGAGGTTGGTTGGTTGGTTGGGTGCAATGGGTTGGAGAATCGAGAGAGAAAGAGGGAGAAAGACTGTTGTCTTCGAGTGTGTGTTCAGCGAGCCTCTCCCGCATTACTGAAGGGCGTTGGCTCCAGTGACAATATCAATCAGCTCGTTCGTAATAGAGGCCTGGCGTTGGCGATTGTACAGTGTGGAGAACCGACTGATCATGTCGCCGGCGTTTTTACTAGCGTTCTCCATAGCGTTGCGACGCGATGACATTTCGCTGCAGTGTCCCTCCACCAGAGCTGCATACAGTTCGTTGGCTAGAGCAAATTCCATGAGTGGTTCGAGCACGTCGTCTTCGTACTCAAACGCCGCCAACTGGGGTGACTTGATCATTGTCTCTTTTGTGGGTAGAGACGAACGTGTGGTAGAGTAAGAAACAGCCGATCTGAAAGAATTGTAGATGACTAGAAAGCGTTCGTAACTGGCGGCGTTCGCCATGAGGATGTTGGTCAGGGCCAAAGCTTCTTCATACGTAGGGACTGAGCGGCCAATTTGAGCAAATGTTAGGTGAAAGGCTTCGGGGACAAACCGCATGAGCTGGGAACGGACCTTGTCTCCAATAACGCACAATTCCATATCTGATGCGTTTTTGCTGGGGTTATCGCCATCAGCTGTAGCAGACTGTTCTTCTTCCAATTCCATCTCATAGAACAGGCTTCGGACGTTTCGAGAAAGATTTGAATGAATACCACCACATAAACCTTTGTCACTCGAACACACAATGACCAAGGTTTTTCCCTGTTCGGGCACTTTTGTTTCTGCAGATTGGAATACTTCACGAGAAACCGAAGAATACTTTCGGGCAGCAATCATTGATCGTTGAGCCCTGCTCAGTTTTGTCTGTGCGACTGTTTTAATAGTCATAGTAATCTTCTCAATGTTTTTAATAGATTTTAGACGCTGTTCAATCTCCTTTAAAGTAGCGAGACATGGTGAACTTGAGGTTTGTTAGTAACACAGTTATTGTCAATCAAAAAACAATTCAAGCAAGTGTATTGTTTAGTCATACCTCGTTCGAAAACCGCGTGTAATCTTGTACGACACAGCAACGCTGCTGCGACCCCACGATACGGAGGCTCCTCTCAATCCTCGCACAAATGCAGACAGTGTTGGCATGGGGACATGAAAAGTGGAAAAACTCTCTCTACTGTCTTTTTGTGAATGAACGATGATGACAATGCGTACACGAACGTTGCGTAAAATCGTGTTCGAGTGCGGTAACAGGAATTGTTGTGGTTGGGGAAAGCGAGCCAGAGGTAGTTGGCAATTGTGGAGAAATTCGTTTTACTGTTGTTGTGGCCGAGCGGTATAGAGTTTTGTTGTCATCAATAAGGACTATGGACGAGTTCGAGTCTGCATCGTCACACATAGCACATTCTCCCTAGATTAACAAAAAAACAGGACTATAACTTATTTTAGTCAAGTAGTTAGTATATTAAGGAATTTCGCTATGCATTTGTATGGTTATTAGCAGTCGAAACAATATGGCCGGCTCACGACGTGACGAACAAGGTCAGTAAAAGTGAACTCAGTTTTATTATTACCCTTGCTTTTAATATTCCTAACTGTCTTTACTGTACCTTCAAATACGAACAAAAGTCTGAAGCATTAATCATTTCGTAAACTCTCTCATTCTATGACAAATTCTTTCACCCTCAACACAAAAAATCCAAACCAAATTCCTCACGCAATGTCTCCTCAACTGAAACAACGTACAGCGGCTAATGACACATAATTGGTCACAGTTTAACGGGTTTTATGTAATGCGGAACTTTGCTTCACCTTAGCTTTCGGTGGAGCAAAAAGTGTATATATCCACACGGCTTTTTAACACAAACACGACTAACGGATAGTGTTCATTTTTGGCTTGCTTCTAACAATGAAGCTGTACAGTACCCTTCTTTTGGGTATAGTACTTGTGTATGCCTACGTGGTTCCATACACGAAGGTTGAAGAGTCATTCTCTATCCAAGCAATTCACGACATCCAACATTATGGAGTCGATTTAACCAATGTAAGATAAAAAGTCTCACTCGTCTGAATACTCATCTCTCAGTATGACCATTTTAGCTTTCCCGGTCCCGTAAAACGCTCTTTTATCCCTAGTCTTGTTATTGCTATCTTGTCATGGTTCCCGACCCAGATCCTTACTCCAATCATTGCTGTACGTTTGACAATTGGTTTTTGTAGCTGGTCTAGTTTGAATTATTTGGCTACTTATGTCGATCAACGGTATGGCAAAAAAACGGCTTCTTACTTTTTACTTTTATTGGCGACGCAGTTTCATCTCGTTTACTACATGTCAAGACCATTAGCAAATGTGTATGCCTTAATCACTACGAACATTTCATTTGCGCTAATTTTGTCTCATCGCTACTATAAAGCTTTAGCCGTTCTCGTTGCTACGGCTGTTATCGTGCGTTCGGAAGTTGCCTTATTACTCGTTGTCGCAACTGGAATGCTGTTCTTGAGTGGCCGCATACTTTTTTGGAAAACTATTAGGGTTTGTCTTGTTACCTTTTTGCTTGCCTTGTTCGCTACCGTTATGGTTGACTCTTGGTTTTGGCAAGAATGGAACTGGCCAGAAGGACAGGCTTTCGTGTTCAATGTAATTGCCGGAAAGTCCTCAGATTGGGGTACTTCTCCTTGGTACACGTACTTCCTACGTATCCCTTGGCTGCTTATGCACCCATTTGCGATTCCACTTATCGTTCTTGCGGCCAAGGTTGTTCCCGGTGCGCTCATGCCTTTATTGTATTCCTTGATTTATGTCTCATTCTACTCGGCTTTAAAACACAAGGAGTGGCGATTCATCATCTACGTTCTTCCTTACTTGACGGTGGTCGCTGCTATGGGTGTCACATGGGTCCGCAACAAAGCCCAATCTAAATCTCGCAGAGTTAAGAAACTGAAACTGTTCCTCCTGTCTATACGTCTAGGATTTATCGCAAGTGCTTGCATGAGCCTTGGTATGCTCTTTATTTCATATCAGAACTATCCCGGTGCTTCGGCTCTCCAACAGCTCTACGGTCTTGAGAAAACATCAGACAACAGTACGTTAAAACACGAGTTCATTTTCTTCTAACTATTAAATTACACAGTTTCCGTTCACAGCGATGTCTATAGCTGCATGACTGGCGTGGTAAAGCTTGTCGAAAAACCCACTTGGTCATTTGACAAGACGGAAGACCCACAGACTCTCACTAACACTGATTTCTTTCGGCAGTTTGAATACGTTTTAAGTGAAGAAAACGATTTGGTCGACCTAGGATTTACACCTGTCGCGAAAAGCAAGCCTGCTCAGCTTCCCATCCGAATCCCCATTCACCTTGACATTGTTGACCGGTTTCTTCGGGCGATCACACCAAGACCTGTATACGTTCATTGTAAGACGAACAAGGTCGACGAGCTCTTGTCACAATTTCAGGGACAACCGGTGAACAGTATTCCTGAACTTCCTCCATATCACAGAATCATTTCACCGGGGGCAATGGTCACGAAAGACTACAGACCAGAACGTATTAACATTCACATCACCGAGAATGGCCTCATTAAGCAAATTACTCACGGCTAAGAACCCACAGCTCACCAACCTTTTCTTTTGATGCAATGTGATTCATTTCTCCCAAACCCGACTTGCCTCCGCCCCTTCTTCCTTTTTTACACACACGCAAAATGTGATCATTAAACTACCAGACCTAAGAAAAGAACAAATAATGCTTGAGGAAATCCTTCCACCGTAGGCATAGTCAATGAAAGAAAAATGTAAATGAAGAGAACACAGATATATCTCCAATTATAGAAAAACAATATAAAACACCGTTTTTTAGTACACATTGGGCGCCCCAACGCAGGGAGGTATAAGTACTGACCAGATACTTGTGGAAATACAGCCAAACGAATCCCTTGCAAGTCAAAGCCTTGAGCGTTGAAGGCAAGTATTTACTTTGAATCCTCGAAGCGTAAATAAAAACGAGCGGACCACGACAAGAGTTCACAGAGCGGCTGTAAAAGGAGCGATTGATAATTTAGTAATGAATTGGCTCAATCAAGATCATGCAGCGGACAATGGCGTAAGGTAAGTGACCGCTTTGAACCCTCGTCCAACACAAGATTGGAGATGTCGATCAAAACAGGATGCAAAAGGTCGCTTTTTTTTAAAACAGACACGTATGAGCTTACTGCTGTGCGCATTGAACACCGGGGTGACCGCCGGCCTCCTCATCCTCGTCCATACCAGAGCTGCCGTAATCACCGTTGTCCAAACGAGCTTGCTCTTGAGCATCAGGAGTGGCCAACACACATTCGTCAACAACAGCGTTACTGGGAGGAGTCTGGACCTTACGAGGGGGAAGAACCTTCTCGAGAAGAGCAAGTTGCTCGGGAGTAGCAAAGTTGGGCTCAGGGAAATCAATATGGAAGCGAATGTAAAGATTTCCTGGCTCGTGGTGACGGTAAGAGAGCATACCTTGACCGGGAATAACCTTCAACTCGTCAGGCTTGATGCACTCGCCAGGCAAAATGGGAACAGTGAGCCAGCGTTCGTCAAGATGCTCAATGGCAATTTGACCTCCGGCCAAAGCTGTAAGCAGATCAATATGAGCATCGTAGAAAAGATGGTCACCACGACGCTTGAAACGGGGATGCTCCTTCTCCTCAATGACGAAAATAACATCACCGGGGATGATGCCGGGAGCTTGCTCGCCCTCCTGCTTGAAGACGATCTTTTGACCATTGGTCATACCCTTCTCGATGTGAACGCTCAGAACCTTACGCTCCGAAATAGTCTTAGCACCATGACACTGAGGGCAGCGGTCGCTATCCTTGATGATTTCACCTTCACCGTTACACTCATCACAAGTCATCTGCATACGTTGGATCATAGGACCCATGGCACGGGTGACAAACTTCACACCGCTACCGTTACAAGAGGCACATTTGCGGACAGCACCTTCCTTGCCACCACGTCCCTCACACTTGGGACAGATGACACGCTTCTGAAGAGCAAGCTTGGAAGTCTTACCACGGTAGAGATCCTCAAGAGAGACCTTAAGGGGGTGAAGGAGATCCTTTCCACGACGAGGACCACGGGGTGCTCCACCGCCGAACATTCCGCCTCCAAAGAAGGAAGCAAAGAGATCGTCAGCAGACATGCCACCCTCGGCTCCACCGCCTTGGAGACCTTCTTCACCGAATCTGTCGTAAACGGAACGCTTGTCCTCGTCCGACAAGATCTCGTAGGCACGGCTAATTTCCTTGAACTTGTCACCGGCATTGGGGTTCTTATCAGGATGATATTTAAGAGCCAATTTACGGTATGCCTTTTTCAGCTCAGAGGGAGTAGCAGAGGGGCTAACGCCCAAAGTATCGTAAAGTTTCGTATCTTTGACCATTTTATCAGAAAGTCTTAATGTGAAAACGTTCTTTTAAACCAAGGGAAGAACGAAAGATTATGCCAGTGGTAATTGAGATAAAAATGAGCGGTAATAAGACTCGAAAATTTTCCTCAAATAAAATATGTTTGTGACGGTGTTTAGAAGCACAAAGTTCCTATGACACAGTACGTTATGTCTCTTACTTTTGATCTAATTGGGTAATTGGCTTTACGAAAGACGCGTTAAACCGATAAAACCGCAAAAATTTCCCTTCTTCGTAGAAATAAAAAAGTCTTCAGACAATGAAGCTTCTAGACGAATAAAACAGTCTTGACACAAGTTGGATACTTGTCTCGTATAGTCGTACACAAGATTTGAGCACTAGTGACTAATAGCCTCCAAAGAGTTTTATTTGGTAGAAGGATGCCCAGCATTCGCGTGGTCTCTTTTTAATTTTCACCACACCTCCAAAGAAGGTGCTGGAAACTTCCTAACCTTATATCAGAGGTAACGGAGGTAACAAACGTACCATCCAGAAGACAATCATGCACTGTTACCTGACGCGCGAGTTTCGAGTATAAAGCAATTCTAGTCAATTCTCCTCCTTTCCTCTCCCAACGCGAACGTTCATGTTCGTTCTGTCTATTGGTCACAGTACAATGGTTTCATAGGACTTGTGGCAACGATCTGAAATGCATTTTTATTTGCAACGGGCCGCGACGGTAATGCTGTGTGTATGAGCAGTATGGTGACCGCCGAACTGTCTCGCAATCTCGGAATGCGAGAATTTCTTCTTCTTTTGTCGGAATTGCACCAATTCCCCGATACGTGTTGTTGCATCAGGCGCTTAACTAGGTAACACAAGTCGGTTAACGAACCGTAACGGAGCCCCGTAACTTTTCCTGGCGTCACGAACTGCTGCTTTTCGGACCAGTATTCACGTCGCGTCTCGCCAGATTGTGATTGCAGTATCTTTTGACCGAAGAGGGATGCTGTCGGAACACTTGGTTAATGTGGGTCGCATAAATGTCTTTCTTCCTCCAAAAGTCTTGGAGAACGGGTGGAATCCAAGGAAAGCCGCGGACTTGCCATTCGAATTGCCCATAGATGTACCGGAGCAGACGCCAGTCAGCGTTGCCGAAAGGCCTGACTGCACAATGCTGACGCTGCCGTGCTCATTGCTACAGGGTGAAAGATCGGAAGGTTTCATACCCTTGGAAGCTGATGAGCTAAACGAGAGTTTACCGACAACTATAATCTGTAGGAAATGCAATTCTAAATTGGCTACAGTGTCTTCTTGGAAAAACTTACCTGCTTCAAATTGGCAAGAATTTATTGATTGCTGGGCGTGTCATACGGAGACGCCAGCTGTTGTTTCGGCAAATCCTTTTCTTCCTACATTTGCTCCTGCTAGTGGTCAGGGATTCTGTTCTGTTTCTTATTTATCAATTCACTCAGATTGCTTGGTAAGTTATTTTGGTGTGCAAAGGATGTTTTGGTAAGAAGTCTGTTTTACAAACTGGGTTTAAAAGAAATCATGGTGCACTTTCCCCACTGCATCATGGGATACATAAACCCAAAAGCGAACGAGTGTTTCACGACATCGTACCCTTGATGCTGAGGCAGCAATGGGTTAAGACTGTGCATGCTCGCTTCCTCCACAAAGGTCGAGTCGTCTAAAGCTAAAGCCGTGCCCGGTTATGGAGAGATAACATGTTTCTTTTTTCTTACTGAAGTTTGCTTCGCACTTTTGTGGTCTACATATGCTAATATTAAAAAGGTGAATCCTCTTAAACTCGAAGATGAAATGCCGTTTGCTAATGGAATTGTGAAGAACAAAATTGCTCTTTGTTATAATTGCGGTGAAGAAGTTGGTGGTATTGAAGAAAATGATCCGCCGGCAAGTATTCGTGTCCATAAGTTTGCTATTAAACTGCTTAACCTGAACTATCCTCCCCTTGTTATATTTTCGTCAACGTTATTATCCTTACGGAAACAATACTCCGTGCATAAATTTGTTATTTTATCCGGAGATAAAAAGCTTTGGGTATGGTGTATGACACCGTACCTCAACATTTCATTATTTAAACCGTGTTCTGCTCTATCTTCTTCGACCAAACTACCCGTGATGAAACTTATGTTCCGCAGAGAGGCGAAAGATCTTCACTTTGAGGGAGATGATTGGATGGATATCGTGCTGCCTAAACCATTATTTTGCTTATTGCAAGAAACACTGAAGGTAACAAATAAACTTTATCCTGCTTCTGCAAGAAAGATAGGACCATGGCGTGTGGGTTTAGTTCCTCTGCATAAGGAATAGGGAGACTATAACAGTCAGTATCAAGGACATGACTATTCTTTTTTCGATTCTAGTTTCTGTTTCTTCGTTGAAGCGGTAGCATAAACGGCGCTCGATCCAAAGACCAAAAAGGCACCGAACAGAACTGCCGGTCCAAGCTCGTTCTTGAAAATAAGGATGCTTAGAATTAGGCTTGCGAATTTACGGATGTTGAGTACGATCGATACAGCGAGCGCAGACTGTTTAGCGCCCAAACCATTTACCCCGCGTACACAAACATACTGAGCAAGGGTGTTGAGGAGCAGGAAGAAAACACCTCTTGGAAGTCCAATGATCGGTTCTTGCGTTTGGGAGACAGTAAGCAATCCGACCCATTGTTCCTTGATCTTTCCCCATAATGGAAAAAAGAAAGGTATTCCGAATGCGTGGGTATAATACAAACTTTCCCGCCAATCAGACTTGTAACGTGCATATGTTTTCTCCAGCAAAAGTCCCATGAAAGCACCCATGAACTGTGTTACAACAAGCAAGCCAACTCCAATGGCAAAATGTGTCACAGACGATACTTGAAGTCGAACATTCTGAGCGTTTCCCAGCGTCGCTATAATTATGCCGAGCGTGAGTGTACAAACGCTAACCACTTGCTTCACGTTGTAGCGTTTGTGCAAAAGTGCTGCTCCAAACGCCATTGTTGTAATAGGACCGCTACTTCTCAAAATGATGTGTACGGGAACCGAAATATCGTATGCAAGAGCGACATTGTTCAGAACATTAATGAGGAAGAAAAAGAAGACAATAATCAACCAGCGGGTTACAGGGACCTTTGGGCGCACCAATGCTTTTGGATTGACAATGCAATGGTATAGGAAGCCTTCTACACCAATGAACAAGAATTGGGCAAAGGTCAGTAACACTCCACTATTGGGCGCTTCCCGAACGATTGCTTCAAGTGTGTATGCTGTCGAGCAGCAACCTCCAAAAATATACGATAACGCAGATATCATGGGGTTGTCGTGAATAGAGAAAGACGCTATTCAATATATGAATACGTGTTAAAAATAGACGTTGTTTGGTTACGGGGCAAATTCCAACTGGAACAAGGAGAGCACGGTGGATTGCAATTTTACACCACCAGGCGAAAATCTCGTTTATTTTTTATGTGAAAAGGTCTTTGCAGCGTCCAACAATGGGCATGTATAATGCTTTACCCAGTCTGTTGTTGCATGTGCGTGTGTCCGTGAACATTGTCAATACGCACGCACAACACCAAAAAATTGAATTCCCTTGATTTTCGATTATTTGAAGGATTACCTTTTCAAACGAAAAGGTATGTGTTACTTCCTTAAAGCGCTTACCTATTTGTCAATTTTCTAGTGGCATTCTGAAACGTTTACGGTTTTTGTGTTGTCCGAATGCCGGGACATAGCTTTCATGTGGAATTGCCGTTATCAGCTTCAACGCCAATTCGTAAAGAGAAACAAGTTCCCGATTTACCTCTTCTGAATGAAAACGATGAAGTGCGGACGCCTTCTCCTGTAAGAAACCAGCAAAGATTTTCTTTACCAGGTGGCTCACCTCTTGTTTTGTCTTCTCCTACAACGCCTTTATTGCCGTCCTCACCTCCGCTACATGTACCTTTACAAGCTTCTACGCCATCTCCCAAGCAATCGCCCAAACCTCTTTCGTCTCCTTCATCCGATACATCGTCTGGATCATCCTCCATTCTCTTTTCCGGTGTTGCCGCTGCGGCGCTTTCCAATCAAGTTTTATCCTCTCGGCATACTACATCTAATGACTACTATCAAATGTCAACTGAACAGCTGGAACAACTTCTTCCCAAGCCTAGACGCGTGTCTCAACGGAAACGGAGGAAGCCAAAGCCTTTATACGTTAAGGGAGCTGTAGCATCAGATTCTGACAATGCGGACATATCCTCAGGGGTCTCATCTAATTCGGAGGAGTTCAGTGAGTACGAGGAATCCGGAAGATACAAGTCTCGAGGGCGCCGGAGAAAGCGTACAAGCACCGAACGAAAAGTTACAAAACGGAAACGACCAACAAAAAAGGAGTCCGACTCAACTTCCGAGGAGGAGGCTGTTGCTGATCCTGAAAACGGTTCTGCTGATGATGATCCAAAGAGCCAGAAACTTATGCAAGAACATATGCAAAAGCTAAGAGAATATTTCAAACAGGTTGATGAATACAAACTACGAGTGGAAAACGAGTAGAAGGCTTGAAGCAGGTCATGGGCAGCAAAGAAAAATGGTAAAGGGCCCTTAAAAGTCCCTGGCGTATATTACCCACACGCGACCCAACCTTTTCCAGTCCAACACACTGCAATTACACTCGCATTATACTAACACGGCTTGCGGATAAACCCTAAGTGCTCATTCAAAAAACATGTATTGATTGTGTCAAAAAAATTTCTATGTGGTTGTTACAGTTCTTAGCTTGTAAAAAGCAATGGGGAATTTTCTTGTGCTTAAACAGTCATCTTCTTTTCACGCTCCAAGTTAATCTCAACAATCTGCTTGATAACTTCAATTCTGGGAGCACCAGAGAAAATGACACGACGCTCAGCATCCTTCAAACCATGGAACTCACGGGGCATAACTTGTGTCTCAAAGTTGTAACCCTCAAAAGAGGAAAGAGCCAAGTTGACGGCAGCGTCAAATTTGGCAGGATGGGCAGTGGACAAAGACACAAAAGTGGTGCCTTCGGCACCGGCCTCCTTCATACGACGAGTCGTAGCTTCAACACCAACGGCGGTGTGAGGGTCCAAGACGTACTTGTCAGTCTCGTAAACCTTCTTGATAGTGGCGATGGTGGTCTCATTGTCGACACGCTCACTGACAAAGTCTTTACGAGCAGCATCCAAAACTTCAGGACGAACGGCGACACTACCGTTGGTCTTAAACTCGTTCATCCACTTAGCCAAAATCTCGCAGGCCTCGGAGTCAGTGTGGTTAGGAGCAACTTGTTGACGGGCCAAATACCAGAGATAACGTTCAAAGTTGGAAGAAACGAGAATGTCCATAGCAGGAGAGTAAGTCTCCTTAGCGCACACGGGACCGGTGACGGGACCCTTGCTGGTATCGGCCTTCTCGTAGCGACCAGTGTGGAAGAAACGGTCAAGAATATCGTTTTCGTTAGTGGCAATCACCAACTTTTCAGTGGGCAAGCCCATTTCCTTAGCGTAGTAACCGGCCAAGATGTCACCAAAGTTACCAGTAGGAACAACGAAACGGACCTTAACGTCCTTGTTTTGCTTGTAAAGAGAGAGGTAAGCGTAGAAGTAGTAGGTGATCTGAGCCAAAATACGGGCCCAGTTGATGCTGTTCACGGCACCAACGTGGTGCTTGCGGTTGAACTCAGCATCACCGAAGACTTGCTTAACCAAGTCTTGGCAATCGTCAAAGACACCAGCAACGGTGACACAGTGAACGTTAGGATCAGTGACAGTGGTCATTTGAGCCTCTTGAACAGGAGAGACACGACCCTCGGGGAACAAAATAAAGACAGAAACATCCTTCTTGCCACGGAGACCGTAAATGGCAGCACTGCCAGTGTCTCCACTAGTAGCACCAACAACAGTCAAGTGATCACGCTCCTCCTCAGGCTTGTCACCATTCTTACGGGTGAGGAAGAACTCGAACAGGTTGCCGAGGAATTGCAAGGCAACATCCTTGAAGGCAAAAGTAGGACCGTGGAACAATTCAAGAACGTTGATTCCGTTGTTCAACTTCTTCAAGGGAGTAGTCTCGGGGTGACGGAAGGTAGCGTAAGAACGAGCGGCCAAGTCCTTCAACTCTTCAGCAGAAATCTCGCTGCGAGGAATGTAAAGAGACATGATCTCGTAAGCAAGCTCGGGAAAACTCAAGCTGCTCCATTTCTCCTTCCAACCTTCGGGGAGCTTGGGAATCTCAGAGGGAATGAACAAACCGCCATCGTTGGCCAAACCCTTCAACTATTTACGGAAAACATTAGAATGCGACTACAGGAAAGGAAAAACTCCGGAGCGGAAGATTTTCGTGAATACACGTACGACAGCATCCTCAAAGGAGAAATTGGAGGAACCACCACGGGTGGATTGATACGTTACTTGACTTGACATTGTACGGTGTTGGTAGAGGACAGGATTTCTGGCGGCGACGTTTTCGCATATAGCGTGGAATTAAGGTTAAGGTTAGTGGAGTTCAGTGGAGCGTGATAAGGTGACAATGAAGTAGCAATGGTCGTGAGGACCACAACACCAAACCTGAAAGCGGGGAAATGGGTGCTTGGTGGCTTCAGGGCTCTTCTTATCCATCTCTACAACTAAGAGACCAAGTTACTGGTTGGAGTTCCGTGGTCATTGTCTATGACAATGGCAATCGCAGAACTACTGTTACCTAGGGGGACCCTATGTGCGGTGACTACGGTTTCAAGACTCAAATGAAAGGAAACTCACCAAGAAAGGCCATTCACAAGCAACAAAAGCTACCTAAAAGCACTCCGGGTAAGCACCATAACGGTAACGTGTCGCCTTACCGTAGACGGTACGTAGAGTCGTGTGTGCAAGATAGCAAAGATGAATAGTCAAACATTGGATATTAGACAAGCGCGAAAGACGAGAGAGAGAATGTGTGTTTGTATGTGTGTGTGAGTGAGTGAGTGTGCGTGCGTGTGAAAGAAACGTTGAGCGCGTCAGAAACGAAATTGGACATGGCGAGTGAGATGCTTTTCTTTTAACTTCATTCTTGGTTCCAGAAAATGCATATCAAACACATCGCCGATAGTGCGTTTACCTGCGTAAGAGAATCGTAAATTCAAGCAGGGACACGAGAAGAACAGCACAGTCATGGCTTACAACAGTCCAATCTCAGAAGCCACATGCAAGGCGCGAAATGACAAAAGTAAAGAAAATGGCGAACATAGAGTAGTTAAAAGAAGCATTGTTCGCTTACCAATCGTTTAGCAGCAGCGCTTGCTGTTGCGACTAGAGCTTAAATCGATGTTGGACGCTTGGGCGGAACTTTCTTGCTCTGCGTCAATTTTTTGCTTCTTAATTTCACGAGCTAATGTAAAAAACGCCTCATCGACGTTAACGTTCGTCTTGGCACTGGCTTCCAGGAACTTTATACCAAGTTCTTCAGCGAGAGCCTGTCCTTGCTCATACGTTACTTGCTGTTTTGGGGTTAGCGGTTACCAACAAGCGATATACAACATACTCTTTGTTCTTCGCAATCACATTTGTTTCCAATAAGGATCTTGAAGACATTCTCGCTAGCATGTTGTTCGACATTACTGAACCAAGTGCGAATGTCTAAAAGGTTAGCGGCTGCTTAAAGAAATGGGGTGTTGAAAACAAGAGAAGAAGGATGTGCAAATGCATTTACACACCCCTACGTATATCCCTGCACAAGCCCCTGTGTAGGTCCTCGTAGGTGCATTGACATACTTTCAAAAGACTTTTCGTCTGTCACATCATACAAAAGCAGGATACCCATGGCGCCTCGATAATACGCTGTAAGATTAGCATATGCACAACGACAAGAAAAATCTGGCAAGGCATCCACTAGCGGATGTTTATACATAGCAGTTTGCCTTTTATGAACCGACATACCCGTAGTGATTGTCCGGAATCGTTCTTGGCCAGCAGTGTCCCAAATTTGGAGCTTGATGCGCTTTCCATCGAGTTCAATAGTACGAATCTTGAAGTCGATGCCAATAGTCGTAATGAATGAAGGCGTAAAAGAGTCCTCAGAAAATCGCAGCAGTAGACACGACTTTCCGACGCCAGAATCTCCAATGAGAAGGAGTTTTATAAGATAGTCATAAGATTTCGTAGCCATCGACGAAGAATTAAAAATGTTAACGATTAGTCCAAGCAGGTAGCAATCAAGGCTTCAATTTGGAATGAACAGTGCTGTCGTAAAAAGTACCTCTGGTGAATGTGTGGTCTTCGGAACTTGTATATTCCCTGTTTTTGTTAGCAATTGTCAATGAAAGAGTATCTACTTAAGACGTACAAACTTATTACAGAGGTAAGAGATTTGTTCGAAGTTGCAATAGCAGCTACAAGGTTTTGGTGTAGCGTGGTCAAATAAGGTATTTTTTAGCGTTGCATTCCGATTTGCTACAGTTCGCTAAATATGAGGAGTTGGTCTTTCGGTGGTCGGAAATATGTACCCTGGCTTTTTAGGTTACCGGTTTACCGGTATCCAAATAAGGATCTACGTAAATAATCGTAAACGCTTATAGCGAGGATCACTACGTCTCCGTAAACGGTTTTCATACAGCGGGCCTGGTTAATGCTGGCGGGACGAATGGGCTAGGCAATCCATTAATACGTTTACAGTGAAACGTATATAAATTTGGTGTGTAGATAGTGTTTGAAACCTTTGTAGGAACCAGAGAACTACGTCTTTATCATATAGTTGGCATTGACTGTGTCTTCCTTCTTACTCCATTCAAACGGATTGCTCTTTTACTTTGTGTGTTTGCACCGAAAATTAAGTGTTCAATCAAACAGCTGGTCTGTTTTCTACGAATTCTGTTCATGAGGGACTTTGAAAAGGATTTGGGTCGTATAAAAGTTTTGCTATTCTGTTTGTCAGACACGATAAAGACATAAAACCTGGGTGATTTTTGAACATATACAAACACAGGATAACTGCAATGGATGTGGATATTGATTCAGAATCAGAAGAATTGTTTGAAGGAATTGACCTGGACGAACTTGAGCAGCAGGCTCAATCACAAGTACAAAAACAAAATCATGCACGTGAATCCATTGACTCAATTGAAGAGCTCCCGTTCCAACCTGCGTCTGTGTCTGATAAACAGTCGTTTAAGGTGCAGGAATTGGAAAAACAGTTGCTTATTCGGTCAGGCGAGAATTCCATACTGCGTTCTAATCTACAAAAGCAATCCGAGCAACACAATCGAACGATCGAAGCATTAAATGCACACGTAAAATCTGTGCAAGAAGAATATCAGAGCAAAATTCGAAACCTGGAGCAGGAAATCGAGCGTGTAAAGACAGAGTCTTGTTTCTTTGAGAAGGAAGCTCAGGACGCAACTCTCAACTTAAAAAAGCTACAGAAACTGAATCAACAAGGAAAGAACGAGTCTAATACTCAGAAAAACACATCCACGGACATCTTCCAGGACCCGGCGGCAGCATTTCATTCCAACGTTGATGACTGGGATCCTTTACCAGAACAAATCAAGGTAGCAGTCAATGCAAGTGCAACAAAGAAAAAGAAAAAGCGCAAACTTAGCGTCCAAGAGGGTGTCGGAAAATCTAGTAGTTCTGTTCCCCGTCAAAACGATGACCCCCAACATGAGGCTACGATAGACTTGCTATGTGAACAGCTCGTGCAACTCGAACAGCAAAACGGAATCTGGCTCGTGTCCCGCGGACTTGGCGAGATATACGGTGGCCTCCTAACTGAACTTTCAGCGCTAGAAGATGAGGAGGGTCAGGCTCGCGTAAGCATGCTTACGAAGCTTATATACGATCCTGTAGCCTTCGACACTGTAAACACATATGTGCAGTCTTTAATTCAACTTATTGAGGAGATTTTTGTCGTCGCGCTTAAAAAAAGTTACTGGAGTGCTGCCGGTACAATATTAACGCTTTCACTTGCGATCATGACTATGGAGCCTGACATGGTCGAAAACATTTTGCAATCAAAAATCCCTTCGCTGGCAAACGATTGTGCATGCACTCTTGTGCGGGAGAAAGAAGTACATCAGGTTGCCTTTGAGAGGTGCATTAATTTCCTGTGTACTTGCTTGTACAATAGCAGTGCATTAACATCCAATACACAACTGCAATCCCAAGTATCGCCGATGCTTTTTGAACGTTGTATTGATTTTCAGCAACCAACACATGTCATAAAACTAGGCTTGCGCATTTTGATGAGCTCAATAAAGCCTTCTGCCATAGCATGCGTGCCGTTAGTTAACCCCCCAGAAAACGACCAACGTCTCGTCTATGGCATTTTCTCCACGCTGTCTCGGATTTTGGCAGACGAGAAGCGTGCCGCTAAAAATCACCTGGTAAGTAGGCATTTCGTTTGCCCCTATACCAGTTCTATTTTATGTGCACAAACGCTTACACAAGTAGGAGTTCCTTTCTATTCATGACATGGTGCTTCAATTGCTGCTGCACTTCTACAAACAGACGAAGCCCATAGGCCTCGATGTTCTTCAAGCATGTTCGCCACTTGTTCCAAGCTTTGCATTGGCAACTTGCTGGTATTTGCAACTTATTCAGCAAGGATTCCAACCTACAGAGTCATATGCCCAGAACCTCGTGAATCTTCTGCGAATTACATATCTCGTTGCTCCAAGCGATTTATCTACACGCCTCGTCAATTCGGGACACGGGTTGCTTCAACGCTATGTAGCTGCCGTTGCTAGCTGCACGTACGGAGACTTGGAGTACATGTCTTTCCAACGAAGTGCAAAAGAAGTTTCCACTTTGAGCGCTGAAATTCTTGAACTCTGTGTTTCTCCAGAGGAGCTGGACTCTCTCTACACACTTTTCGACCAGTGATGACTGGCCTGCATGTTTTCGTTTTTCCTGTATGAATTTCTGTTTCTTCGTACGTCACTGTTCGCTTAGCCGAAACTTTATTCTTTGAGACTAATCCCAAGGAAGCGTGTCGAGCGAGCGTCCCAGTTCAGCTTACCTTTCGCAAGCTATTAATCCGTTCATTTAGTCTCAGAAAGGCCAATGAACGTGTATAGAAAGCAAATTGGTTATTATTACACTCAGTTTGACAACTTAGGTGCTCAAATCTCAGCGGAAACGTCAAATGAGCCAAGTCTGTTGGATAAACGCGTAGTTGAGCTGTACCAATTGCTCGAGGACCCGGACAAATGTTTTCATGAACTAAATAGATTACGTTCCTTGTTGTCGGAGGTGGTATCCGACACTCCTCATCGCGAACTTCCGGAATATTGGATAGTGCTGGGTCGTAGCACGGTTATAATTCATGTTTTTGCGCTTGAGCGACTGCTCAACGAAAATCTCGACATTTCTGAACGTATATTTTATTGGAACAGTGTTAATTCTTCTTGGTGGACCCGTTTAAATTACTTTGTCGCGACGCTTCCTCGTCGAGTCACTATTGGCTTAAGAGAATCACGAAACTTGAGAAAAGGTAAATCTTCTTTCTCTGCTTTTGTTCGAAAACTCTTTTTTCCAAATATGATGGAACCGTCTGGACATGAATCGTTTGCAATTATCCTCTCGAATCTCAGCATAAACTCCCTGTTACAGCGAGAATTGCAAGAGAAGATAACGACCCTCACTAATCTTCAGCGAGAAAACGTCACTAAAATCGGATCGCTTTGCGCTTTATTAAAACCAAAAGCGCTTCGTAGCGCATATCATTTGCCGGGTTTAAATGCAAACAAGATAGAACAAGTGAATTTAGTATCTGACGTTGAGCATTGGATTGGCAGTCTTGCTGCCATTCTGCAAAGCACGGAAACGGAAGGAAGTCAACCAGACACAAATCTTGCATCTCGACTGCGGGATATATTGGACTGTGCGGAGAAGCCCTCGTCCGCCTACCAAGCATCCTCGAAATATGAAACTCCTTCTGCGTTAGAGCGTGCTTGGCCTGCGATTGTCAGTTCACTAATAGGCGGTTGGGCGGTTGCGACAACCGTAATGCGTTCTCGGGAGACCTTGCTTGCATGGGCTACCTCATGTGTGTCGACAGTCTACGATTTATGGAAGAATTGGGTGTATAAACCGTTCCAGAGCATGCTTCAGACAATTCGCTTGTCCAATGACTCGCCGAGGATTGCGTTACTGAAAACTCGCAGTTTGTACAGCGACATGGAAAGCTTGGAACGCATGGTGGTTGATTTTGTGCGCGACACACAGTTTTCTGGTGATGTCGATGTGAACGCCGTGCAAGCTGCAGTTCGTCAGGGCGATGTTACACCCGTACTCGAGGTCTACGAGCGAGAAATGAAGACTCCACTTCGTCGAATTGTTCGGGGAAAGCTTGTCCGTGCCTTGTTGATTCAGCTCCAAAAGGCGAAGGTTGACCTGGAGGTTGCTTTGTCAGGCATTGATCAGTTGTTGCGCAGTCAAGAGCTCGTCTTTGCCAGCCTGGGAATTACTCCTGGGCTGTTGCTTCTCTTCGGAATTGGCCGATACGCACGGAGCCATTGGCTTGTCCCTGCACAAAGGTTCAGTCAGCGTCAATTGAGATACAGGTTCCATAAGGCATTACTCGAATGTGACCGAATTCTCACGAGGAACATGAGTGCGAATATTCTTGACGTAGAGCAACTCGGTTTTGTTGTTTGTCAAGCAAACGAAATGGCATCCATTGCTTCTCAATTACGATTATCGAAGGACAAACAGGGTGAATTGCTCCATGACCTTGAGGACCTCCAAATTCACAACACAAATATCGCCGGCCAGTTGCGCCTCATCGACCGTCTTGGCAGGACTGTTCCGGTGGTTTGATACAGCAATCATATCTCTGCTACTGATGTCAAATCTTGCATTTTTTGCGACAGCAAAAATCTCTCCCTACGGTTCGTTGGGTCCCCCCCTTCATTAGGCGAGATCACATGCAGCACGGCGGTATAACGAACCCCGTTATCGAGTTTTTTTGTTCAACGTTATACCTCACAATTTGGTGTCGCTAAACTGCTAATTACAACACACCTATTTAGTAAGTAGGTATCTGAACGCGTCAAACGCGACCACTTACTACAAGATATATTGACTCTTATTGCGATGACTGAACGGAGATACAGTGACATAAACATAGAAGACTTTACAAAACCACTAAATCAGATGTCTCAGGAAAAACAAGATGCGATGAAATCTGTCGAGCAACAGCTCGCGGAAGTTCCTCCAGTTTGTCTGAACCTGGAAGGTATGTACTGCCGCAAACAAGGAATTGTTATCGAACAGTAATCCGGAGGGTGGTTAATTAATCCGTTTTGACGTCTTCTGCTTACTCAGTTTCGTGGGAACTTTTCTTGGAATAACTGTTCTTAATGCTCTTTTTTTTTCGAAGGAAGCTGACGCTTTATAGGGGCTCGAATTGTGGAGGGAACGTCTCCAGACAACAGAGACATCATGCTTCCAAATAATAAGTCTCATGTTGCTCACATTGCAGTCGATGTATGTTCCTTCTCTTCCTTTTGCCTTTCTTAGATTGTGTCCTGCTGACTTTTATAAAGATTGGCGGCTCCCTAGCTAAAGTTATGTACTATGTCCGCATCTCCAGCTCTCCCTCATCATCGTCGAGCGATATCTCTTCGCCGGCTGTCGTTAACATGGTCGGTGGCCGGTTGTGTTTTGTCAAATTCGAGACGGCTAAGATTGATGAGTGTATCAAGTTTATGGCGAACTTGATCAACTTGGAAAGGCAGTTCAGGCCTCACGCGTGCAACGCTCGCATTACTGTCATTGCTACGGGTGGCGGTGCATACAAGTTTTATGAACAAATGCGGAGGGAGCTCAAGGTCGACATTGTGCGCGAAGATGAAATGGAGTGCCTCATTGCAGGATTAAACTTCTTTATCAACTCGATTCCCCGTGAGGTATTTACACTCGACTTGAGCACTTGCAAATTGTCGTTCCAGGAAGATCCCAGCCGAGGAAAATACCCACATATGCTCGTTAACATTGGCTCTGGTGTTAGCATACTTAAGGTGAACGGACCTTCTGACTTTGAGCGTGTCGGCGGTTCTTCGCTAGGTGGAGGTACTCTTTGGGGTCTATTATCACTTCTTACTCCTGCAAAGTCCTACGATGAGATGCTCGAGTTGTCGAAAGAAGGCGACAATTCGTCAGTCGATATGCTTGTGAGTGACATCTACGGTGCCAATCTCGGCTACGAGCGCTTTGGCTTAAAGAATAACATGATTGCAAGTTCTTTTGGCAAAGTTTTCCGTGAACATAAAGACTTGGAGGAGTTTCACCCCGGAGACATTGCAAAATCACTTTTGTTTGCGGTGAGCAACAACATCGGCCAAATCGCTTACTTGCATGCTCAAAGGCATAATGTTGAAAACATTTATTTTGGAGGAAGTTTTATTCGTAACCATGTGCAGACTATGCAGACACTCACTTATGCCATCAAGTTTTGGTCAAAGAATACGATGAACGCATACTTCCTAAGACATGAAGGCTATTTGGGTGTTGTTGGCGCATTTTTGAAATACTCATGGCCTTGCACCTACGACGGCTTCCTTCCATCGATACCCGGTGTGCCTGTGGAAAAAAAGAATTAGCAACATTTTACCACTTTTGTTAGCAGGTTTCATCACATACCCCATTCTTGGCTTTAACAGGTGTTTTAGAGTTTTTTTCATGATCCACTATTACTAAATAAACGAAGATGACATTGCTGGACGTTGAAACGTTTTGTCCTAAACAACGTCTACGATTCCCCCCTTCTTTACCTGGCATCTTAACCTTAAAAGTGGAATTCTTCGTGGACGGGACAATATACGGCAGCACATTGCTCAGGATTCGTGTGGCAGGTAATTCTGCTCGTGTAAAAGTAACTGTTCTTTTTGTTAATTATCCGCTTGTTTGCTTAAATGTTCTCAGTTGACGGAATATAATACATTACCAAAAAATGAATAATAATATAAAGCTTGATGAACAGTCTCTTGTTACAATATGAATTTTAGCGGAGCGATTTGAATTATAGACGGACATGCTCTTTATGCGCTCCTCAGGTATCTATGGTTGTACAACATATTTATTTCCTAGTTATCCCAACTTAAATAGTTAAATTTCAGAGTGAGATAGCGAAGGCGCACCAGCTGTTTACACGATAACGCTATGGTGATGAATGGTCCAACTGTTGAAGAAGGGAAGAAAATGGAACAAGTAACGAAAGAATGTGTTTGGTTTGCACTATATGCTTCATTAAGACTCATAGAAAATGGAGCGTGATGTGAAGAGCTTTTCCCTCGTAACGTGAGCAAAACATACAAAGTAATTTAGGGAATGAATGCCACGCTGCCAAAGCAGGAGGGAACGCTGCTTTTTTTTAAAAGAAAAAATTCGTTAATTGGAATTAAAAAGTAATCGTTCACAACAGTCAGCCATTAAGTTCGTGAAAGGCATACTTAGGGAATAGCGAAGAACGAGTGGTTTTATTTTCTCGACTAACGGCAAGCCTGACAAATGGCGTCTACAGTTAGCTTTCCCTGTGAAATAAGGTATTCTTTCAGGTCTTCAAACAATTCTAGTTGCTCGGCACTCGTGAGACTCGTAACGGCGATTTCCAGCAATTCAGTAACGTTGCCACGTTTCTCTGAGATGAACGATTGAACATACATATAGACAAACGCTCCGTTCAACAACTGACAATCCACACGATCAGTTAAGCCACCATGACCCGGGATGGAGTCGCCGAAGTCCTTTAACTTGAAAGCACGCTTCAACCCACTAGCAAAGAAGCCGCCAAAGGGGGCCACAAGACTTGCGAAAGTGGCAAACACGGCTAAATGGAAATAGATGGGAGCCAATGTTAATGTACGAGGGAATCTGAACAGACGACTCATGATCAGAGGAACATTGTACGTTTTGGGCAAGAAAACGCTGTTAGGAACACACTCAATGTTGCTGAAAATGGTAGCAGACAAATCACGAGTAGGGCAAATGAAATAGTTGGAACGCATGAGCATGAATGAGAGCAGCGAACCCACCACAACCGTGCAAACCCATCCTCCAACAAAACCTTCAACAGTCTTCTTTGGAGAAAGCTGGATAAGGGGATGTTTGCCGAATACCTTTCCGCAAAGGTATGCAAAAACGTCGTTACAAACAACGTAGCAAACAGGAACAAAAAACCAGAAAAGGCCTTCAAAGATGTTATTAATCATGAAATGTGCCTGTCCAACAACGAGTAAAAGAGTCATATGGGTCCAACAGAACTGAGAGAATTGGAATTTGTAGTTACCCTTCTTCAGCGAAGCGACAAAGAGCACAAAACCTTAGACGTGTTAGCAGCAGCCGTTTCATAAACTTTTCCAAACATACTGATAGTGTATAACATAAAAGAAATAAAACGATGGTGAGTAGCCAACGGCATCAAATAAGAATCTACAATTAACAAATGATGAAAGTATCTCAAGATACTTTCACCATAGGCATAGTACAGAGTGGTAATCAAAAAACACCTAACGAGTTAGTTTCAGTTCGTTCAGAGGGAAGAAAAAGAATTCGAGCACCCAATAAAACCCAATCCATCACCCCGTTTAACAAACGCATACCAATTCACCACCTTTGTCAGTGGAAGATCCTTCTCTCTGCTAGGAACGCTGGCAATGGCAATCACCTCTTTGTACACGCCGATTTGAAGTACAGTGACGAGAACAAGTATCCAGAAAGGTCCCATAGCAAGAATGATAAAGAAGAACACCAACATAATCACCGTCCAAACCGTACGTTGAATGAAGTTCTGACTTGGCTTGTGAATTAATGGCTTCTCCCTCAATTTTCCGACCATATTGCTAACAGTATCTAATTTTCTGTTGGCCAGAGATGAAGAAACCAGACCTTCGTTTTCGTTCGCGGTCCTTTCAACCTCTGGGCGGACCTGTTTTCTCGTTCTTTTCTTCGACATAACGTTTAGGTCTAAAACGTTCAGAGAAGTTTCAAAACGTATCTACAGGTGCTCTGGAAAAGCTAATATGCGATGTTTAAGGGAAACGGTCCTCTTCAAATTTGCTGCCGGAACGGTGAGGGTTTGTTCCTGACAAGATATGGCATTCCCTGGTGGTGGTATACTCGTGTGTGCCAACCAAAACTGACAGGATATTCGCCAAACAAAATTGGGCGGCGAAAGCGTTACCGAATAAACGAAAGCTGAGTATATATGTAGCTGTGGGTTGATTTTACAATTAGAGGGTTTTGTGTCTTGATTTTATCGAAGGCTTGCATGGAGTGATTTTTAACACATTTACTAATAAACATACCATAAACGAAACAGTGTGTGCAAAACAGTGCAAACTAGCTTATATCCCTCGCCGTCGTTCGGAACATCTTGAATTAAATGAGAATCTGAGTTAGGGTTCGATCTCCGGTTTCTGATCCTTACTTTAGAGTAGGCTAGGCACAAACGATTCACTGAGAGTATATCGAGAGAAGAAAGAGGGAGAGAAGGTATGGGATAGGCATGAAGGAGGGAAAATACGGAAAAAGAAGAATTTGCTTTGTATTTGTAAATTCCCTCCCTAGTTGCGCTCAGAATTATGTATGAACCACGTTCTTAAATCCGGCTTTTCAAATCCTAACAGCATCTTTTGAAATTCTTATAATACCAGCTACTTACTATGTCCAAATAATTCAGTCAAGTAATTGTCATTCGTTTCTTTCTCTACTAGTTCTATCAATTGACTGGTTTTAAGACTAAAAAAAAAAGTCCACCGAATATACGGCGACCATCAATATACACTGCTGCTTTTCATCTCGAAAGTAGCGCACAGATCTTCCTTTTAAATGTTTTTTTAGACGGCTCTTCTGTCCTCAACGATCTCTTTGTTTTGTCCATTGAACAAAGAGGGATGTTGACAAAAAAACATACAAGTATGGGATCAAATCCACATAAATGACTTTTATAAACCCCAAAACAGCACAAATGCTTTCTGAATCCATTGAGACGGTTGAAACATTACATCTCTTTCGCTTTCTGTCTTGTCTCAAGGGTTCTTGCGAAGTAAAATAAAAAATACATAAGATCGGCTTATATCGCGTTTATAGAACAATTTCATTTGTAACTGCGTACTACCATTAAAAGTTCTGCATGAAGTGTATCTTCATTAAGGTTTTGGGGCACCTCAACAGGATCCTCGCACATACAGCTCCTGCCCAGAACCACCTCCTCCAAAATAAAAATGTCTGAAACTAGGCTGTTTATCGGTCGCCTTCCCTCGCAAGGTACGTATTCATAGGAAAGCTTATATATTTTAACAATTTTTAGCCGCTCGCGAAGATGTGGAGGATTTTTTCAAAGGCTACGGTCGAATTCTTGACTGTAAACTTATGAATGGCTTTGGCTTTCTTGAGGTTCGTTCGAACAATTACTGACGGGATGTACACTTTGCTGACATAAATTCAGCTGGAAAACCCCAGAGACGCTCGTGATATTGTAAATGGTATGTCTTGTGGCAACTACGATCCTCTGTACTAACGTCTTTCTAGATTTCAGTATGTATTTTGTGTGAAAGACACTTTGATCAGTTGCTTACCTGTTTTTGTGCAGATGGAAAGGAATTTATGGGCGAACGGTATGGCTTGGCGCGTTCCGGTGGTCATTCAAAGTCTCTCAAGATGCATTCCTCTTATCAAAATGGACTTGGTGAATGAAGAACCTTTTGTCTCTGCTGATTAATGCTTTTTTGGGCTTGCTTTGGTGCTCTCTGGATACACACCTTCTCCTTTGCTGAGGAATATGCGATCTAACATGTCCCAGCATCATTGTCGAGCCTGCTCGTGGCGAAAGACGTAGAAGAGATACATTCCGTGACGGTGCTGCCAAGTATGTTGATTTGAGAAATATGGCATTCAATTACTGACTGTATATATTACAGGTACCCTCGTCCTCGTCGCACAGGTTACCGTTTAATTGTTGAGAACCTTGCAGAGGATGTCAGCTGGCAGGTATGCAGCAATGACAAACTCCCATCAATAGCTTTTGCTCACACAGAATAGGACCTGAAGGACGTCATGCGTAAAGCTGGCGAACCTACATTTACCGATGCCCATCGTGAACAACGCGGTACCGGGTATGTGCCTATTACTGTTTAACTGTAGTTTTTTGTCTGACACCACAGTGTTGTTGAATTTTCTACTGAAGATGACATGAAACATGCTCTCGACACCTTGAACGGTGAAACCATCAAGGGTCAAGCAATCTCTCTGCGCGAGGATCCTGTAAGTGACTCTGTGGATTATGTTTTCTTCTGTCTAGCGCTAACACAGCTTAGAATGCCGCGAACGAGCCCATTCCTGACATGCCTTACCGTCATCGCTCTCGTTCTCCTCCTCGCAGACGCTTCCGCGACGATTATCGCGGTGGAGACGATTACCGTAGTGGTCCTCGCGACGATTACCGTCGTGGACCCCCTCGTGACGACTATCGCCGTGGTCCCAGAGACGATTACCGTCGCGGACCCCCTCGTGACGATTATCGTCGTGGACCCCGTTCGGATTTCCGTCGTGGTTCTCGTGATGATGACTTCCACGGTGGCTACCGCGACGACTACCGTCGTGGACCTCGCTCAGACTTCCGCCGTAACTCTCGCGACGATGACTACCGCAGCGGTCCTCGTGATGATTACCGTCGTCCTAGTCCCTCTCGTCGCAGCCCTCCTCCTCGTGACGATGACAGACGTTCTCCTGCATATGACCAAGAGGCCCCTGCTCCTTCGGACTCCTATGGCGAGAACAAAACTGAAAACGGCGGAGACTCCTGGGGTGCTAGCACGGATGCTCCCCAGCAATCAGAGTCTTCTGCACCTGCTGAGCAGAGTTACAGCAACAACAACAACAGCAACAATGAAGGCGAGTCGAATCGCGATAACTCGGACACCCAGGTTGCTGCCGAGTGGTAGTTATTTTTAAGGAAGTGTATCTTGTTTTCTTTTCTCTTGACGGATTGTCTCAAAATGAACTTTATATGCACATTTTGGCAATAGGTACTGTTTGCTTTTCATATCCATTTGAACGTCATGATGCTATGTGTATACCCAGACGTTGACGTTGTAGAAGTACTTAAAAAGCAAGCATTTACTTGCGTTGTTTTTATTGCAATCCCCGTTCACCTATGTGTGTTCGATCAACGGAAATGCTTGTGTCTTAAAACAAAGTATACCTGTCATTGTTGGAGGGTTGTCACGACGGATTGTGCTACCGTGATCCTGGAACTTGTTGGGATTTCTAAATGTCTCTTCTACTACTATTTTGCCTTGGTAATTGTTCAATTTATATTGTCTTTCCATTTATTTCTCTATGCCAACTACTCTGGGGTTACTTTTTGTTATTTGATGATCTCGCGCACTTGTGGAACTATCGTAGCCCTTTCTTCCTCAAAGAATGGCTTTAGGGAGCGAAAGACCAAGTTGCATTTCTATGTGTTTGTGTATTAGCTGTTTGGTTACGATTTGGGTATTATGTTTATCAATGGGACTGGAATTCCTTCATTTGTTTAACTATAAATAAATGGTTTTGATAACTACGTTGTACATGAAGCCGTTAATAATTGTAATCTACATTAATGTTGCATCGTCTTGATGGTCGATTAGTTGGTCTATACTAAGACAACGAGATATTGAAACGATAGACGGTTGACTTCAGTACAGGCATAAAAACGCATGATACTTCTTGTCTGGAGGAAAGCAATGCGACAAATTGTAACGTGAATAGCAACTGCGTTTATTCGAGAAAGAATTGTGTGTAATTGGGGTGTTTATGTAGAAAGCAATGCGTGCGGCGGGATACAAAAGGTTGGTAAAAAAATGTTCTACAACAATGGGGACAGCATCAGCGGAAAGAAAGGAAACAAAGAAGGTCAGAGGTTTACAAAATAATGCAGCACTTTGTGCTTGTTTTGGCAACTTCGCTATCACGAACTGTCAAGGCAGCTCGTGTAGCTGCTTCAAAAACATCGTCAACACCGTCGCCAGTTAACGAGGAACATTCCATGTACTTCCTTGCACCGATTCTCTGGGCAACAATTTCAGCCTGCAACTGTTAGAGCAAAGATAGTAGAAAGAATCGGTGCATCACTTGTTCGTTTTAGATGCTCCCTTATGAATCTAACTTACCTGCTGCGGTTTGACAAAGCTTTTATTTCTGCGACGCATCTCTTCAATGGCCACGGGGTCTGAACGCAGATCTGCCTTCATGCCAACAAGAATGTATGGAACATTTGGGCATAGATTGTTAACTTCTTCGATCCACTATGTTGTGTTTTGTTAGTAACGAAGAGTGAAGCTTGAACAAAAAAGAGTACCTTAGTAGAAACATTTTCGAGTGAATCCTGAGAATCAATGGCAAAACCAATTAGGATGATGTGGGCCTTTGCATAGGACAGAGGACGTAAACGCTTGATAAAGTTAGTAAAACGGGGGTAGCATGGGATGAATATACCTCATATTCCTCTTGGCCACTATGATGGTTAGTAAGAGTTTCTGTTAATCTTTAAAACATTTGCTTACGCTGTGTCCCATAACGCGAGTTGAACAGATTTTCCGTCAACCTGTTTGCAACGTTAGACTGAAGTAATGTGAGTATGTTTATACATACCCTGCAGTCCGAAACATAGTTCTCAAAAACCGTTGGGACCTATCTGGTTACTTTACTGGTCTTCCAACACGTAGTGACTTACGTATTCCTATAATAGTTAGTACACACAGAAAAAGCAAACAAAACGCTTAAAAAACAACAAAGATAACTCGTTGCGAGTGCACACGAGTTCTGATATTAAGAATCATCGCAACCCCGTAAACAGTCGCCATCCCGTCTTAGTCTCGCTTACCGTTGGAAAATAACCCAATGTAAAAACAGAAAGGAGAGACGTTTTTCCACAGGCACCATCGCCAATTACAACGAGTTTTCTACCAAGATGCCATTAGCACTAGTACTGGACTTAGAATATGACAAACCTTCGAATAGGAAGCTCCTGTGACATGGCTAAGTAATTAAACCGAATTAGACCGTTCTAAAGGTAAATGTTCTCTGTTAATACCGCGTCCGTGACACGGATTCTGTCGTTCTTGAGCTGAATATCCAATTCCCTAATTGCGTCCGACGCTAAACAGACGTCTGCGTGAATTATGCAAAAAAACGAATGTACAGCTCGAACAAAAAGATTCCTGGAAACGGAGACGTCCAATATAGCACAGGTAGTCTTCTACCAAGAGAAAGAGCGTTTTACCTATGAACAATGATCAGAATGACACAATGTTAATTTCGTTCAGTCGTGGTGGATACAACAGCCTCCCTGCATACCATACAGGTAAGCCTCGAGGGCTAGTGGCCGAATCGCCAGTACGACGTAGATGATACTGCACACCAACGCATATCAACACCACGACTTCACCAACACCCAGTCTGCTGGCAGAAGACAGGAAATTGGACGAAATACGGGTGGTCTTTGTGAAATAAAAACACAAAAAGGTTTAATAGTGAAGGACCGAGTCATCTAGAAAGTTTGTGCTCTTTTTTCCGGGCGTTTTTGCGTGAAGTCTTGGAACAGATAGGATTTCACGCTTTCCTACTCGTTCCCGACGTTAATAACCGTGTAGTTCAGTTTAGAACTCTGTAGAGAGTTGTTTTCTTTTACAAGAACGGGTTAAGCGCGTGTTTAAGAAAAGATTTGTCTTTTTGTTCGTCATACACGACAAGGTTGCCTGGCATCATGAGTAACAAGGAATTGCGGAACGAAGCACTCAGTGCTGGTCTCGTTCCGCCCACATTCAATGATTTGCTCGTTCCCGTCGATAGCAGCTCTTCAAAGAAAAAAAAGAAGAAGAAGAAAAAAAAATCGAAAGCCAAGAAGGCTGTTGCTGCTGCCGCCGCTGCGGTAGCAGATGAAGACGGAGCTGTCTCGCCGTCAGCGTTGGGAAATGCTAACGGAGATACTGGAGTTGACCTGCTTGTCGATAACAGTGATGCTCTGCCAGACATCACTGCCTACAAGGTTGGAGAGGGCATGATTGGAGAGTTGGGTGGTATTACGTCGAACAACTGGCAATTTACCATCGACGCCGACAAGCTGAATGGCGCTCCAGACATGTTGGATTCTTCGGAAATTGTTGACACCGCTGAGTTTCCTATTCAGTTACCAGGAGGCGTACTTGACGACGGGCCAGCAGGTTCACAATTGACTACTTCTTCTACCAAAAAGAAGAAGAAGAAGAAGAAGAAGTCAAAGGGTGCACAGAAAGAAGGTTACGGGGCTTCGGATTCGTACGAAGTGCCTTCCCATCGACAACCAATCCACAATCAATTAGCATATCCATCGAGGAATACGTCAAATGCTCTTATCAATTGGAAACCCAAAGACAAGATTTGGAGCACTTCCAGCACAGAAGAGCGAGAACGAATTCGGGAATTTTGGCTTTCACTCACAGAAGATGAGCGGCGTTCGCTTGTAAAAGTCGAAAAGGAGGCTGTATTGCAGAAGATGAAAGAGCAACAGAGGTACTCCTGTTCGTGTTCCGTTTGTGGTCGGAAAAGAATGGCGATTGAGGATGAACTGGAGGTGCTGTATGATGCTTACTATGAAGAGCTAGAACAGTACGCCAATATCCAACGCAACAAGGCTGCAGCTGCGGCCGCTGGTGTCGCTATGGGTACGACTGTTGCCGCTATTGCTGGCGGCCACTCTTTAGGTGTTGTAAACGAAGCCATCTCAAGAGATGCGGTTGAAAATCCATTTGGAGACTATGCAAGTCAAATTCAATCCGTTCGACAAACCACTTCAACAGTGACCATTGCTTCCGAGATGACGTCTGAAGCCCTCCAAGAAGCTGTTGCTAAGGCTGAAGCTGCTGCTGAGTCCTCAACTTCCAACAATGACGCCTCTTCTTCGACTACGGAATCGTCGCTTGCCCAGGAGACAGAATCAGCATCGTCGACGGAACCAACTTCGGCTACAATGGCGGATGTGTCTCAAAAAACCATATCTACTCGTCCTGTGGTGCGACATCACAACGATATGCTCCACACAGCATCACACACAGAACACAATGCCCATCATCATGATTCTCGGCATACCGGTTTCTCCACCGATCTATACAATTTTGGTAGTAGCCTTACGGTGAAGGGGGGAATATTAACGGTAGCTGATGACTTATTAAAAAATGATGGACGGAAATTCATTGAGATGATGGAGCATCTGGCTGAACGTCGAATTCAACGGGAAGATAACTCTATGCTTGAACCAAAAGACGAATATGATGAAGAGGAGGGGGATCTAGACGAAGAACTGGAGGATGAAAATGACGAGTATGATGACATGGAAGACGAAGCTGATATGATGACTGAAGAGCAGCGTATGGAGGAAGGCCGACGCATGTTCCAGATATTTGCAGCTCGACTTTTTGAGCAACGCGTGTTCCAAGCATATCGCGAGAAGGTCGCCCGGGAACGTCAAGCAAAACTTTTGGAAGAGCTTGACGAAGAGAACAGAAGGGCTCAAGAGCGTGAGCTTAAGAAAGCGCGCGAGAAGGAGAAAAAGAAAGGCAAGAAACGACAACTGAAACAGCAAAAAGAGGAAGAACGTCAACGCCGTGAGGCCGAGCGTCTAGCCGAAGAAGTTGCTCGTCGTGAGCAGGAGCAGAAGAAGGCTGAGGAGGCTCGCAAACGTAAGGAAGAACTCCGTATAAAACGGGAGGAAGAGAGGAAAGCTCAAGAGGAAGAACGTCGTCTTCGTGAAGAGCAGAAACGTTTAGCACAAGAGGAGAAACAACGCGAGAAAGAACGCGAAAAGCAACGGAAGAAGGAACAGGCTAAGATTCGTGAACGTAAACGTTTGGAAGAAGAGCAACTGCGTCAGAAGAAAAAGAAAGAGGAGGAAGCTCTTCGTCGAGAGCAGGAAGCCCTGGAAGCTGAAAGAAAACTGAAAGAAGCCGAAGAGGTTCGCGGACTTGAGCAACAACAAGAACGAGAACATGATCAGAAGCTTCGTGAGGCAAAAATCGCTGCATTTTTTGCTGACGGAAGACCTCCTACAGAGCCTGTTTCTTCACAGACGACTCACGCACACACTTCTGTTGCTTCATCGGCTTCTCCTAGTACACCCTTACCATCTCTTTACTCTCCTCCTTACGCTACTCAGAAAACCTTCCTACATTCGGCACATCCTCTAAAAACTGCTGCTCCACTTCTTAATAATCTTACTCGACTCCCCTCCTTCAGCACGAATGCTTCTGATCTGCTTTCAAATCGGTCTATGATTCAGAGTAATGGCGACATGGGTACGCTGAAGTTGGGCAATGGATTTGCTTCATCCCCACTTCTGTTGAATAATGGCGGTGTCGATGTCCGTTCGTCGCCTTTGCGTGATGGTTTGGGTTGTTCTATTCCCTCGTTGCATGGATCGTCAGCGAGCGCATTATTGCCCAATGGTACGCTTGGTAGCTTGGAAGCTCAACCTACTCGGCCCTTGTCAACCGCTCCACCAGGTCTTCCATTTCCAGCTGCGGGCCCCTTGGCTCTTAACAGGTCGCTTTTCAGTACTCCTTCCCACTGGCAGGCTGGTAACGTAAAACCGGAAACGCCCACAGAGGGTGAGCCTTTTTCGTTGCATACCTCAAAGCCAGCTCCCATTCAACGGCCTTCTTCCAGTACTCAACACCTTCTTACAAAAAAGAAGCACGATCAAAGGAAAATGAAGGAAGAAAAGCCTATGGGCAGCAAAGCCTTGTTAGACAATGATGAGGAGGGCTCAGAAACCATTATTCCCTTTGCACGCTCTGGAAACGAAAGTGCACTGAATATTAATACAACTGGTAGTACTTTTGGAACACTGTCCAACACGACCTTAAACTCTTTGAGTAGGAATCAAGCATATCCCGCCTCCTCCACATTTAATCCTTGGACTTCTCCATTTACCTCCCCGTTTTCCGTATCGTTGCAAAACTCTACAAGTTCCCTTCCCGGTTCAAGCATATGGTCCAACAACTCTAACGTAAAGTCTGTTGCGACAGAGCTGAAACCGAGCTAACCCGGGAGAACGGTACCTTTGCATTGATGTAGAAAAGCATACGTGCCGTCTGCATTGTTTTTCTTTCCCTCTCTTTCTCTCTCTCTCTCTCTCTCTCTCGTTCTGCCACATCATACATCTCCGCTATCCTCATCCTCATTCCATTTTCTACTTTTTTTTTTGTTTTTTTTTTGTCTACTCTCTTTTTCATGTTGTATTTAGTGAATCATGTTGGCGCAGGAAGCTGCATTATTCGGTTAGGGTGTTTTAGGAAAACAAATAACATGTTCTTAGGGTGCTTTCGACAAGGTTTTATTGGTGTTGTTTGTTGTAAATTCGTCCACAGAATATCGTTAAGTTAAATCATATTGTGCTTTCATAAGTGGTGATGAACTCTGGTTACAAATGCAAGTCAAATAACCGGGGTGCGTGTACGTATAGCTAATTTAGCAATCCTCGAAGAGAGAAGGTAATGTACTACTTTCATATGATGTGTCTATAATAAGTTGACCGAGGTCTGTATCCTTCATTTGAAATGCGTGAAATCCAATTATGTCTTCATCCAAACCGGCATTCACCCGATCGTCTATTTCAGAAAAGGCAGTATGCGGTGGCCGTTCTTTAGATGACTCAACATCGTAATTAGGGAATACTGTCTCGAACGGTGACGATGATTTTTCATGGTCGAGTTCAGATTGAGAAGCCTCTTTCTTAGCCGGAGAACTTATAGAAAACAGATGGTTCTGTTGCCCATGCGAAGGGGACCGTGTTGGCCGGGGTGTTCCTGATATATCGGCCATAGTATACAGTGAACGATAGTATCGTTTTCGTTTGCTTTCTGCGTTTTCATCATCTATATGTGAACTGCATATGAGAGTGTTTCCGTTGGTATCCGAATGAAGCCAGAGGTGCAACGGTATTCGAGACTGTGTACAGTTGTGCATATAATTTGTAACGAGTGTCGTGAGTCTTTCAAAAGTGTCGCCTGTTAAAGCGGAATCAGAAGAAATGAGCCTGTATAGGCACGGTTGATCAACCATCATTCTTGACACGACTTGCGACACAGCCGAGCGACCATTCAATTGGATGAGAATACTTCTAATATGCCATAAAATCTGATGCTTATACTCGGTGTTTGATGATAACGGCTTCAAGTGTGCCAAGTGATCGTTAAATGTTTGGAATTCGTACAGTTCAGTCAATGTTGGGTTCCATCCTTCATTAGATGGGCCCCGTCTTATATTGTCAGACACATCACCGTCGCCTTTCTTATCTTGTTCCTCTGAAAACGTAAAGGATGGTCCGTCCGATGTCGAAACGTTTGTTTCTGGAGCAAAAAGATACTCTAAGTTTGACTCTATAGTGTTTTCATTCTCTGCTGCTTTTGAACGTTTTGAGTTGCTTCCTTCATTCAAGGACATAAAATCCTCAAGTTCGTTTTGAGCAAAAGATTCTCGTTTCCTACTTTCCTTTAACATTTCGTGTTTCTGTATAAGGAGGTTGACGAAGGAAGAGCTTTACAAACTCCTTACAGACATTAATCGACGTAATGTCAAGGCTTATTTGGCTTGTATCCGCCGCAAACGACACTTCTGTATCGTTACCGCCACAATCTTTTCCAGTCTACAAAAAGATATTCACTGACGAGGTCCAGCAGGGCCACAGTGGCTTTTTAGCAAACCGCGATTCTAACAAGCTAATAAAGACTGAAATTCACCTGTACTACTTTTGAAACCAAAACACATGGCAACTTCCATTGGGACCACAACATGGGCAGAAGCCTTACGACACATAATTCCCAGCAACTCTACAAGTCGATTTCCCCCCTTCAACCATTCTCCTCATTCGTCTTAATGAAACAAGTTAATTAATACAAACAAGTTCACCTATATTCAAGGGTAAATAGGTAGACAAGCAAAGGATGACCCCAAGTGCCCAAAGCAAAGTAGCAAGATCGCAATTAGGCCCGCATTTTTTAGTTTTTTTTGAAGCATTTTCAAATTTTCAATGTTTCGTTCTCTTCCCATTCGAATTGCACAACCGAGTTACCTTATAAAGAAGAAGGATAGGCAGTGTATCTCCAACAATCAGTCCCGCTGCAGCGGTTGAAGACACGAATCGGAAATTGCATGCATGTTTAGCATACGTGTGCATTTGTGTGAAGGTGTATGTTATTTGTGTATCGCGTAGACAATTTGATGAGTGACATAGACAGAAGGTTTCATGGTGCAGCACATTTTCACCCTTACAGCGAAGCTGTCGTAGTAGAACAAGGGAAACGTCAGTGCACATGTTGCCATCCCACGCATACATCAGTGCCTTCACGGACAAAACCTGTCTCTCCACTTGCCTCACAGAGGTATAGTTGGCGAACAAAAACCCGCAGATACGCTCGACCAGACGGAACTTGACAGACACAGCTGAGAACGGTGTAAACAGTCTTAACCAAAGCGATTTACACTAGGTCAAACCTCTTAAAGAGTAAAATACCAACTGTACTGAAGTCAAACGAAACGGTTGTCACCGCGTATTGGTTAACTGCGTGCATTTATCGCGCTAGGTTTGTCCAATGTCCACACGAAAGGTCAAAGTACAGAAGTAGCTTTCGAACGGCCCCAGGTCATTCAACAGCTAACTTCCATCCACGCTTGATGTACCGAGGAGACGGATGAGCGACAAAAGGCACTGTCGTTTATGAAAGTGATGATGAATGGAACAATAGGTGTGCGCATACTTGTCAGGTAGCTAATGTGATATAGGCACGTATGTACAAGCAGTAACAAGCACACGCAAAATCACTACACGATCTGTCCACCACAGGGAGAACAACAACGTGCAGCTCGGCGGGTAGTGTGATGAGGAATCGTAATAAACGACGAAAGGAAAGTGTTTGAGTGCGTTTGTGATAAGGGAGAATGTGTGTTTCGTCTGCGTGCTTCGACAAAAGGAGTAGCAAACGGCAAAATTGACAAAGCCAAAAATTCCAGCCAAAAGCGTTTGGTGTGATGCAAGCTTGACAGAGACATGGCATATTCCAAAGTACTCTGTTCGTTCGCACTCTACCGGCAGCAAACAGTGGGGATCCACAAGATCCACTGTTTGAGTGCAGTTTAAAGCAGGTGCGTGTGCTCACAGAGCTAAATGGCTCGCAAAAGAAGTGTGTATCGACGACATGCACAAAGCGGAAGGAAGGTGTTCAATATTGGCGGCCGATAGGTAGACAACGGCCTCGCTGTAACAGCAAACCTAAGGCTTACGGAACTCCGACAACACTGGATAAATGGCTTCAAATGCCTGGTAAATCTCCTCGCGGACCTTGGCGCCCGTAAGAACGATCTTTCCAGAGACGAAAATCAGCAACACAATCTTCGGCTTCACCATACGGTAAATAAGGCCAGGGAACAACTCAGGCTCGTAAGACGAGAAAGTTCCGTGAGAGTAGGCCAAACCTTCCAACCGAATGGGAAACTTGACATCACAACTGCCGACAATGTTTTGGATCTTGAAGTCCGTGAACTTGGCGTTGAAACCGAGCTTCTGAATGATACGAGCGTACTTACGAGAAGCAAGCTTCGAGTCATCCTCCGACTTGGCACCAGTGACGACCATCTTGCCTGAAGCAAAAATCAGGGCAGTCGTCTTGGGTTCACGGATACGCATAATGACGGCTGCAAAACGCTAATCACATGTTAGCACCGTGCTGCTGAACAAAACGTGTTATGCATTCGAGTTGATGCATCCTTTCCGGAACCAAAAGTGTTCCTGAAAGCAGGTTACTTACTTTAGGATTGTATTCGGCGTTACGCGCGTGCAAGGCGATCGTCTTCAAGTCCAAACGGCAGCTGCAAATGCATCAGTATAACTGTTTCTAGCTATCGCATAAACTACAGTGCCCAGCAAGACACCGCCATCAGTCATTCAGCACGCCCGCATGCTTCACTGTGACGGTGCTTCACTGTCGTATAAGAGCAAATGTACTTACTCTAAATTAACCGTGGCAACGATGTTCTGAAGGGTAGGAACGATACCAGAAACACCCTCTGTCTTCACAGTCTCTGTGTCCTTCACGTCCGATGCCGGAGAGTGGTTCTCCTCCCCACCGCTGGGCAGCACCGGGAACGAGAGGGCGGCAGAGTTAATGAAGCTGTTGGCTTGTTGCGCGTTCTGAGGGAGAGCAAAATCCATTCTGTATGATGTCACACGCGTTTCACTGTACACCCCCCAACTGTGCTCGTAGAAAGTGGGATCGCTGCTTTATATAGTCAACTTTCAGGGTTAGGGTTTCGTCAAAAAACACAACGCCATGAAAAAGAAAAAGAAAAAAGAAAAGCGCTAAAGAAAACTATATACACAGGGGCATTTGTTTGATTCGTATTGCCCGATTTTCTACATTTAAAAAAATTCACTTTTTTGTTTTACACTTTCGCATCCTTGCAAAGATTTCTCCCAAATTTTCATAGTGTGTTTAAGAAAACAGCAAGTAAACGTGTCGTTTGGTGAACGAAACAAGCACTTTTGGCCGTAATTTATGTGTCTTGCCAGAGAGATTTTTTTTTTCCTCGACACCTCCAAGAAAGGATTGGTAATCAGTTGCTTTACTCCTCTTGCTGCCCTGGCTTTGAGGGTAGTGTTACCGTGGCAACATGCGTGACGGTGATGTCAGGCTTAAGGGTTGGTGAAGTTTATCGGAAGGAAGGGCAAGGAAGACACGTGGATAAAGTGGGGCAAATGCAGTGGCAAAAAATAGTTGTGCTGTTAGGTGTCGTTATACGAATTAGCGTAACTTTAGAACATAGGTCGCCTTATAGAATATAGTGAATTTTACGACGGCACGTTATTTTTTAACATGGCGCTACAGTAATTTTCGGTAAATAAAGATAACGATGCTGAAATATCTCTTAGTAAATCATTAGTCATCATTATCCCATTTAAGGCAGCTCGTTGCGATGCGCGATTCTCGAGTTGCCGAGCCGTATAACGAGTTAGTTGGTAGTTGGGGAGAAAGCATTTCGTTAGTAGTAGCATCACATCTTCATTTTTCTGCCCGCAACGCAGTTTAACCGCCTGATCCTACGGTTCGTGCGAACACGAATATCTTCCTGAATATGTGACCGATACGCGTGATTTGTTGGTGGAATAACGAAAAATTCTATGATAGCCCTCACCGTATAAACGCGCCTTACCCTTCCCTAATTAAGGTTAGAGTTTGGACGTCTTTTCCTCCTACCAACTCCTAACACGGTGAATACGACATTCTTTCATTTCAGGCTTGGAATACGCCGTTTTCACCACTGTCTGCGAACAATGTCGAGTGCAAAGACTAAAGCATCGCCATGGATTCAGCCCAAGGGCACCACAACCCCGTTGATCGCGTTCAATTCCATGACGCACACGAAAACGCCGTTTATTGCACCTAACGGACATTCATTGACATGGTACTGTTGTGGACCTACTGTGTACGACGCTAGTCATATGGGACATGCTCGGAATTATGTGACTACAGACATTTTGCGTCGAATCCTGCAGAATTATTTCAATTACGACATCACGTTCGTGCAGAATGTGACCGACATTGACGACAAGGTACGTGAGAGAGGGGAAATGTGGAGAAGTTGGACGCGGGTTGTGGATGCTGTTTCTCGGTAGTGTTGCTGTAAAATTCGCCGATCGGAAACGACGTTCTCTTTCAATAATCGGCAGCCGGTGCATTTGTCCATGACTTTCTGTTTTTTTCCCTGCAAACATCACTTATGTATTCTCACTAACACTTCAGATTATTGTCCGTGCTCGTCAGAAGTATTTGCTTGAACAGTATATTCAGGAGCATACAAATGCTTGCGACAGCGAGGTGTTGAAGACTGTACGGGAAGCTTGGACAGAGTATGCCAAGAAGAATATTCCTGAACCTGTCGAGTCTGAGAAGGAATGGGCTGAATGGCTGAAGAGCCATGATGTCGCTACACTCTCAGCAACCTCTCCGAAACTGCCTATGCGTGTTTCGGCTCTTTCCTCTTCCTTAGCCGCCGTTGAGTTGGCTGAGAAGTCCAACGAGCTGGACGATGCTAAGACCGCTTGGTTCTGGGAGAGCGTTCAAGATGTCCTCGTGCCTGTGCTCGACGACAAATTGGGTTCCACCGTCACAGATCCAGCAGTGTTTCGCAAATTGGCCGCTTACTGGGAAGATGACTTTAACAAGGATATGCGTGCCTTGAATGTTTTGCCCCCAACTGTCGTTACCCGTGTTTCCGAATACATGCCCGAAATTGTTGACTTTGTAAAGAAGATCATTGAGCGTGGTTACGCATACGCCGTTGAGGATGGCAGTGTGTATTTCGATACTGAGGCCTTCAGTGCTGCTGGCCACTTCTATGCCAAAATCGAGCCTTGGAACAAAAACAACCGCGAACTCATTGACGAGGGTGAGGGTGCACTGGCTGCTCGCACAGGTAAGAAGCGTCCGGGTGACTTTGCCCTGTGGAAGGCTAGTAAATCTGGAGAGCCCTTTTGGGACAGTCCTTGGGGTAAGGGTCGTCCCGGTTGGCACATTGAGTGTTCCGTAATGGCCGGTACCATTTTGGGTTCCAATATTGATATTCACTCTGGTGGTATTGACTTGGCCTTCCCTCATCACGATAATGAATTGGCCCAAAGTGAAGCATTCTTCGACTGCCCTCAATGGATCAACTACTTTTTCCACATGGGACACTTGCATATCGAGGGACAAAAGATGTCCAAGTCGCTCAAGAATTTCATTACCATCAAGGAGATCCTTAAGAAGTACACCGCCCGCCAGTTGCGTTTGGCCTTCCTTCTGCAACAATGGAATACCCAAATGGATTTCAAAGATGCTTTGTTGACTCACGTCCTTAGCACTGAGCAAATGTACGAAAACTTTTTCCGTAACGTTCGTGCCCTCGTGGATGAAACGGACGCCAATAGTGCTCGTGGTGATTATGTTCCTGAGAAGGTCAACGAACCTGAAAGCGAGCTGCTGAGTGCTTTCCGTGAAACACGAGAAGCTGTACACGAGGCTCTCTGTGACAACTTCAACACCCCTCTTGTCATGCAACGTTTAGACCAGATCGTGAACAAGGCGAATGTTTACATTAACGGCGCTGGCAAACACGTTCACTCACGTCTATTGGCAAGCATCGCTGTTTACATCACCAAAATGTTCCAAATTTTTGGTCTCGATGAAAACGGAAGTCCAAACGCTATCGGATGGAACTCTACCTCTGGTAACAATGATGCTTCATCCGCTCAAACTACCCTCCCCGTTGTCCGTGCTGCATCTACTTTCCGTGACACCATTCGTGCTATGGCAATGGAGAAGAAGTCTGCCGCAGAGATTCTTGCAGCTTGCGACAAGTTTAGAGACTACGACATGGCTGAATTGGGTGTCAGTTTAAACGATCGCCCTAATGCTCCAGCCCTCGTAAAGTTTGTTCCTGCTGAAGAGCTCATTGCTCAGCGTGAAGAAAAGATCCGTCTTCAACAAGAGGCGAAAGAACGCAAGCAAAAAGCAAAGGAACAAGCTGAGAAGGCTCGTGTTGAGCGTATTATGAGGGGAAAGTTGAGTCCATCGAAGATGTATGAGTCAAACAAGGAGTACGTTTCCCTCGACGAAAAGGGTTTTCCCAAGACTATGAGAGCTGAAGACGGTTCTGAGGTCGAAATTCCCAAGAGCAGAAAGAAGAAGTTGTTAAAGGAATACAATGCACAGGCAAAACTCCACGAGGAGTACTGTGAATACATGAAAAGCATTAACCAAGGAGAGGACAGCGAAACAAAGTAAGTCAGGCTTTCGGGTATCGATGGAAAAAGTAGTCGCCCGTCAGCAGTGTTTGATGGAATGTGTCTCTACTCCTTCGTGACTTTCGTTTCGCTCTAACCATTCATTTTCGTTCTTCATGCTGTTTCTTTTGAAATGCAACGTCTATTCCCCACCATCTTTTTTGGCAAGTTTTTTTTGTGTGTCTTATATCTTATTCACATGCAAGAATTCCAATCTCCCATCCGAAAGGACCAAAATGTTTATATAAAATATATATTCCTTATTAATGCAAGCATAATTGAAGGTCATTAAATCTCATCAGCAGTTGATGCGTGTATATGACAGGTTCATTATTCGCAATACGATCATTCCAGATGGCGTTATGAGTAGCCTGTAGGGAATTTATTGTACAGCTTTATTGCCCGCGGTTTTGCATCATAGTTGACAAATAGAATTGTATTAACCGACTTATTAGCTACCTTGATTAGTCATACCCTACTACACCTCACTTAGGGGAAAACTGGTGCTGTACCGGAATTATAAAGCCTTGAAGAGAAAGAGACAGAAACATTTTGAATTTAGATTTTAGAAAATGAAGACCGCTATTATAGCAGCAGGCTGTTTTTGGGGAGTCCAAGAAATTTACCTACGAAAATTTGTGCCTCCTGCAGCCATTCTTAAGACGACAGTTGGCTATATTGGTGGCCATAAGCCTACTCCCTCTTACAAAGAAGTATGTACGAATACAACTGGTCACGCGGAGGCATTGAAGATTGAGTACGACGAAAAACTGACTTCGTACGAAAAAATACTCCAATTCTTCTTCGCCATGCACGATCCCACGCAGCTCAATCGCCAAGGCGGTGATGTTGGCACGCAGTATCGTTCAGCAATCTTCACGCTCTCCGATGAGCAGAACAAAATTGCTCGAGAAGTAATGAAACAGGTCCAAGAGAAGCATTATCCCAATCAACCACTCGCAACAGTAATTGAGCCTGCTGGTCAGTGGTGGAACGCGGAGGACTATCACCAAGACTACTTGGAAAAGAACCCGTCTGGATACCGTTGTCCAGCCCGTAAGTACAATGGACAAATCCGATGGATCATGATACGCTAACTGAAAACAGATTACCTTAGATGGAAGATTGAATAACGTAGAATGGCAATGGAAGAGAGAATCACTTTTTTGGAATTGAATGTTTAGTAAAGTTTAAATTGTCTTTTGGGGTATAGAAAGATTACTCAGTATGTTCCTTTTCCAGTTGTTGAAAGACATGGTCGATGGTGGGGCCAACCTTTTCATAGGCTGGCGTGTTGCGAATACCAGTGATGGAGGCTTCAAGTTTGTCGAGCTGAGCTTGTAGCAGTTCAATTGTTTCGTTAGTACCATTTTTTTCTTTTGCCAGATCTTGCTCCAACTGTGCGATTTCCGCGTCGACTTCTGCGAGATGAGCCTCCAGTTTTTGAAGAAACAACTGTTTGTAATTGTAAAAATGTGCTAAGAGTATGTCTTCAGGATTTTTTTGTGATACGTTTATAGGGACGGCGCCCGAACTTTGACGTGCTTTGGCCTTGGCAATACATTCATCCAACAAATCTAACTTGCGATACAAATCACGCTCTTCAATAAGTTTCGCGTACTCCTTACTGCAAGCACTGCGAAAGAAGTTCGTAAGTTGCGCATGAATACCGGCGATGACCTTCCCCTTTTTGAAGTTTGGAAAACATTGAGCAAACTTTTCCAGCGATATGTGGGCAACCGTTTCGGAAAGAGAAAGTTGGAGTACTTTGTCGAGTTGTTCCTTTCGACTTGTCATGACAAATGTATACACGAGCGAGTCAACAAAATGATATAATGGAGCGTATACGCGGACGTATTCACAAGGATATTCGCAAGCAATACTACAGAGCTACAAATGACCGGGGATACACTGTTACTGTAATAGGAAACGACAGTTCGCTCGCAACCCGTTGCTTATAATTAAGCATTCAAAAGAACGGTATCTTTAGTAGAAAAATAGGCTACCAAGGACAATACCGCAACAAGGAGACCAACGACAGCAGCGAGCAGGCTTTGTATCTCGTTTCGGTTGTAGGAAAAGACTGTCGAAACACGGTCTACGATGATTCCAAGGAGTACGCAGAGAGCAATAAAATTGTAGTCTTTATCGCCAAAAAGACCCGAAAACAACGTAACAATCGACAACCAGGAAGCCAAAAGTGCCATTGATCAACGCAGAGGAAAAGTCGAGTTGTTTCGCGTCAGTAGGTCATCTATGTGAATAGTGAGATTTAGTGTGGTTTAATGAGGATTTGGGTAACTTAAGACGTCACTAAAACATTTAGTGATACTCAACGGAACCCTACAGTTAAATAACGAACTCTAATGCGGCCTACTGTGCTGTGCTTCCTCTAACAAACCGCTTGGAGTTACGCGCTTAGCGAGCGGATGCGGGACGGGGAAAACGCAAATTCGGGCTCGGCCGAATTCCTGTCGTTCACAACCGGAACGGAAACATATTTTTCCTTTATTATTGTTTGACCAACAAAAAAAAACAAGTCAGTAAATGTTAATAGTTGATTTAAACACACAGTTCATGAATTAGTTGCATGATGTTGGTGGACATAAACTTTAATAAACTATAAACGTTATCAGATTAGCTTAATTTGGTTTCTCAATAATTTGTTCGGAGAAACTGTTGTGCTAAAGCATTTTGCTTACAGATCTAATAAAACTAAAAACTGTTACTACTGTATAATAGCTCTCTAATATCGAGCGAAACCGCGTACTCTTGGCAATGTTGGTTTTTTGGAGCCCCAACGGGGAAAGACTCGTTTGACGCGATCGCGCACGATCCAATGTTAATTAATGACAAGTAAATTTTAAATTCTTCTATGTTAGAACCTCGGTAAAAGGGCTTAGAGTGATTAGAAATTCGAAACTCCCAATCTCAATAAAAGTGTATTCCTTAGAGACGTTAGTAAAGCGATCGTTACGCGGGGCTCTTCGTAAAAGAATTAGACCTTTGATGGTATTCTCAAAGCATCTAGTTGATCTAGTCTTACTGACGCATTTGAACACTTTAGTAAGTAACAGTATACAGTAAATTTAATAAACGCTACTTTCGGTTAAAACCAATTACCACTTTAACTTCTGTCTTCTCTACTTCGTTCTTTCCTAGTCTTTATGGTCTGCTACGCAGTAGTCAGTTTAGACAAGTGTAAAAGAAAAGAATACTCAATCAAAAACCGTGTATAGTCATGCACAACAGTTACCCACTTCACATAATGCTAGCAATTAAATTCATTATTCCATATTATAGATTAGAGATGGCTGTGGTTCGTCAATAACCATGACTGTAAGCAAATTGTCATTGTTCAGCAAGGAATCCAAGTGCTCATAATTCGGCAAAATTGTTACCAAAATTTGCACAAAAAAAAACAAAGAGAGATTCGAATGAATTGCACTTGGAAGATAAGGAAAATTGATCATTTAGGCAATGATGCTGAGTATTTGTTAGCAAAAGGTAAAAGCCATCAAGAAGCGAAGGCAAATAGCCGACTGAGGCTTTTAAGCTCATCTTAGCGAGTCGCATTTCCTCACTTCTACTTACCACATGTTGGGGTATCTCCAGTGGGTAGGGTGGTAGCTGGCGCCCTTGGTAGGGAGGACATCAATGGCAGAGTTAGAGACGGCGACAGGAGTGGAGTTCATATTGAGAATTGAAGAAGTAGTAAATGTTGTTGTAAAGATGGATTGATGCCTCTTTGGATGCTGAAACTGGAGGTTTATGGCCAGCTACTTATGTAACTTCATGCTCCAATTTCCCAAGTCATGTTCTACAAAACCAGTGTTCAAACAATAATTCGCTTTTAACAACTGTTCTATTGTATCTTCTATTGTGACAAGAGCACAATTGTCCGTTCACCGTCACGTTTCGCACCCCACTCGCGGATAAGTCTTTGTTCTTTCTTTGTTCAGTAACGGAGACTGGGAAAAGGAAACAAAAGAAGAAAACCAGCTTGTCACTACTCAAAAGTAACAGCCACAATGGAATTCCAAAGACTGCGTTAGATTTTGACAAGGCGCCTGATAAGACACAACAAAAGAGTTTGTTCCCGCATTCACAAATATTGCTCACAGAATAGTGTATAGTAGCAATAATACATATTGTCATCATTGAAATGAAACTCAACCGTCTGAAATTATTATTTCCAACTTATACACTTTTTGATATACAGCCAATGTGTGTTGTAGTACTGGGTTTACGTTTTGTATCGGTTGATTAGATTATAATTCATCATCGAAATTAAATATCAACTTAACAATAAACAGCTCTAGTTACAGATATAAACATAATCTAACATCAATTCACAGTTCCTACAATCAGCAATTATTCCACAGATCCTATACTGAGGTGTTACAGGATGAAAAACTGTTACCGCATTGTGATAACATACTAATTTTTCCGTTTATAGTCAACTGAGACTACGAATCATGATGGAACGCACGTTCATTTGTTCCTCATTTATTGTACATCCCGAACTGCATCCCAAGGGTAGTCCCCAAAATTAATTTCTTCACTAAGGCATCTTAATCACAATTACAGGAGTGAAATATGGAGAACAACCTCTCTCATCAACTCAACATATTTGCACTTATTTAAAAACGACATTACCATTTTCTTTTTCATTCATAAACTATTAACATTAAGTTTTATTTATTATTTATTATTTCATATTTATTATTTAATTTTTTTCTTTTTTTTTTCATTAAGTGCACATTCCTTCTTTTAGAATCCAACCCACCACCACCACCATCGATAATCACGAATTTACGGTGGTACGAAGTTCGTCGGCTAGTAGTGGTAGGTAGTCACTAGTGTTGGCAACACCTTGCAAACGCAGGGTGCTTATAGCTACGATCACAGATGGGCATTGGTAATAGCAAAGTTAGCCGCCGTGATCAGAGCATCTTGCTCATTAAAGAACAAAGAGACCGTTTATCCCGGTACTCCAAGCGTCTTATGCGAATAGAGCAATTAGAGACTTCGTTTGCCAAGACCTGTTTACAGCAAGGAAATAAACAGGGAGCTTTACACGCGCTGCGTGCTAAGAAATTGTATTCAAGCTTGATTGAAAAGACAAGCGATCAATTGCTTAATCTTGAGCAGCTTATATCCAATATCGAATTCTCGCTGATCGAAAAAGATGTTGTGTTCGGCATTGAACAAGGCACAAACGTATTACAACAACTTCACCGAGAACTTCCGGTGGAGCGTGTTGAGAGAATCCTCCTTGACAATGAAAGCGCCATGGACTACGTGGAAGAAGTTAATGGAATGATCCAGGGCCAGATAAGTCGTGCTGACGAAGAGGACGTCGAAGCGGAGCTGGAACAACTCATAGCTCAATCCATTCCAGCACACATGGAACAGCCGCCTGCACTTAAACAAACAGAACAGAAGGAACCAAAGCAACCAACAACGGAGGCAATCGATTTGTTACAAGAGCCCCAGCTAAACGCCCCTGATAAGACGCCCATGTCTGCTGAGTCTGAACCCGCACAACAATCAATAGAAGTCCAGAAAACTCCAGTCGCCGCCGAATAATAGGCCAGGTTTAAGATTCATCAATACCTTTAGACGTCTGTTGTCACCTAATAACTCCTTAGCCCTTTTAAGCATTCATTCTTGAGTATTTCCGTTTCAGTTCGGAGTGCTTCCTTCCACTTCATTTTTCCTTGCATAACAATGACGCTTATCAGGTTTTAATGTTTCACATAAGATAATGAATTTTATGAACATATAGTAGTGCTCTTGACATCAAAGGAAGTGTAATGCCCAATGTTTAAAAGTCATTTTTTTTTTCTGTTTCCTAATTAAATCTCTTATAATTTTCACTGCTTGTGCCCTTATTAAATGATAGCTGTATAAACAAATGACAAATAAAATAAGTGTGGTATCCTGGAACAAAACTTAATTAGTAGGCATGAGTAAAGCAGGGAAAACTCCTGAAAATCGTGGGGTATAATAATAACGTATGGGCCGAAGGGATTGTTTTGAAAGGTTGGGAAAACCGACATTACGACCAGCCACATCAAACTCTGGTTATAAGAGACACCTTCTCTCGAATGAGCAAGCATTTCACGGATAGCACACTATCAAACCACCACTAAAGCAGCAATAGCCAGAGAGAAGGTAGTGATAAGTGCGATCACCTTCATGCTTGGCTCACCAACCGAAGACATGCCTGCTGATACTACAGAAGTCTGTGATTCCGAGTTCGGGGAAGCGTAAACGTAGAGAACAGACGTGATGGTAGTGCGATGATGATTAGAAGTACTAACACCGACTGTTAATGTTTGCACTGTAACAAGCACAACTGTCGAACGTTGTTTATGAGAAGTAATAACAGTTTCATAAGACATAGTAACGGTTGTAAGACTTGGATCGGTAGTCGAAGATGATGTCAATGAAGAGGACGACGAGGACGACGACGATGACAACGTCGAAGACGTTGATGGGAACGAGGAGGTGGTAGAATTACTCATTGTCGGAGTGGTAGAGACAGTTGAAAAGGTAGTGCTGTTCAGGGTTGAAGTCGTCAGTCTCGTCAGCGACAAACTGGAGGAACTGCTCTCGGAAGAGCTAGTTGTCGAACTCAGCTTGCTACTAGTCGAATTAGCCAGAGTTTCAGGCGCTCTTGATGTAACCATAGCCCGGGCTGCTTGTGCTACTCTTAGTAAGAGATGAACTCGTCGTCAAGGAAGAAAGTTGAGCTCGTACTAGGAGAAACAATGGACGACGGCGACTGCACTGTTAACGTGGAGAACGACTGCGACGAGGAAGACACAGGCGAACTCGTAAACAACGAAGAAGACTGCTCAGAAGCAGACGAAGAAAGGGAAGACCACACGAAGGAGGAACTTGAACTCGACCATGTGCTTGAAGGAGACGAAGAGGGACTTGTGGAGGACGATGAAGATGGCAGAATCACCGTTACTGTCGAGGACGGGGAAGAAATAGAGGACGGAATAATAAAAGAATAAGTAGAAGAAGAAGAGAGAAACGAAGTGTCCGACGACGAAGAGACAGCGAGCTCAGAAGAAGAAGAAGAAGAAGTGAAGGGAGAAGCAGATGCAGAAGAAGTAGAGAAAGTAGAAGAAGGAACATAGACAAAGCTCGACGAACTTGCCATGTCGCTACTACTACTAAGACTGCTACTAATGCTGCTACCAATGCTGCTACTACTAGTAGTAACAGTACTAGTAGTACTATCAATAGTGCTAGAACTCCAAGCACTCGATGGATCTGGTGTCTGAACCGAGCTTGAACTCAACTCGAAACTCAGTGACGGAGAGCTGCTTGACTCATCCAGAGTCGAGCTGCTGCTGGCCGACATGCTGGGCGTGCTCAACACAAACACGGACGAACTAGTTGGAACCCAACTAGGACTGAAAATGGTCGACACTGGTGATGAAGACGGCAATTCGCTGCTTACAGTGGAAGACTCCAGAGCTGCTGAAGAGGAAGACGGCAAGGTTGAAGTGCTGAATGTAAAAGAAGGATAGGTGGCAGACGAGGAAGCCTGCAATGATGTCGACGACACCGTCGATGGTGCACTGCTGCTAATAGCACTGCTTGAAACGACTGAAATCGTTGATGCCGGTGCCGAAGAACTAGCAACGGCGGACGAGGCATCCATCGTCGAAGTTGTGGGGATGCTGGTGACATTGTTGCTCACAATCAAGTCTTTCTCCCAGAACATTAAGAACCGTTCCTTACGGGTCCGACTAAGGTTTGGGATTTCAATGACGCGTTCAACTGCATTCTCACCATTATCCGAGCCATTCTCAACAACCAGCGAGAGTGAAACCTGCAACAGGTAAGGAAGAAACAGCCATGAATGCTTCATTCTAATAAAGCTGTAGAATACGAACTCCTGTCCACAATACGCTTCACGGATTAGGCGAATGTGCTGCAGCTAGCAGTAAAAGAAAGTGATCCGCAAGCCGATACGACTAACTATAACAAAATATGCTTGTTGGAGACAGCAGGAAGTTGGCAAGAGTCTTCGGGCGTCCGAGGCTATATATGAGGAGAACTGCGATCGTTTATGCTATGTGACCTCAAGTCACATCGCATATCCGAACCAACACGCACGCTTTAAGTTTCTTCGGGTCCCACTTTCAGGTGCTGATTGGCTCTTTTCTCTAAGATCCGAACAATGACGATACTAAAAGAAAGCATGACGTAAGAAAATCCCACTATACCAAGAAATAAGCTCAAGCCTCAGGAAATAAAGCAATGTTAATATGCCGAAAGGAACTCCCCCTAGAATGCTGTTCCCACATAGAAATAGTAGGCGGCTCACAATCCAACAAAATTTGTATTTGTAGAATAATTAATTCAGAACTACAGTAGAATGACATAACCATTCCTCTCGGCTTTTTTTAACGATTCCGTTTTTCAGCTTAAACGAGCCACTGTTGGTGGAAAAGCTTTCGCTTAGTTTAAGAAGCGCAACGAGAATCGTGGTAGCGCCCAGTGGAGATTGTCGAATCTCGTTATACTGAGCATTAGCTCGCACTACACTAATAGAGCTCTTTATTGTACGACCGAGGAGCACATGCTATTGTTGGTGCCTAGCACTAGGCTAGTCGAGAAGGGGAAGGATGTGCGTAGAGTAAGGGTGAATAACCAAGTGTGCAAGATAGGCTTTTTGGCTTTGATACCGGGAAATGGGGAAAAAACGGTATTGTAATCGAGTGTATGAAGGGGAAGGAAATGGGGTTACTATCCATCACAGGCTTATACGGGTTGCTGAAACGGCAGCAGCAGTGTTTGAAGGAAAGAAGTCATAGACGTAGACAGTTAAGGAACGAAACATGAGAAACGAAATATAATCAGTAGTTAATTTTCTTTTAATAAAGTACAACGCATCCTCGATAGACAGGAACTACCGTGTGTGATACCATGGAGAGGGTGATTTCTAGGGAGCGAGTGGGTTTTATAGGAAGGACGACACAATGCCCGCGTCCTTCAACGAATCAATCATTTCCTGATCAAAATACTTGGTAACCGAGACGTCTTCGACAAGACCCTTACGGCGTCTAGTTTTCACCAAGAAATCACGAGCCAACGCAGGACCGTGTGCCGCTTCTAAGGGCTTCATTTTAATGCTTTTGTCAAGTGGATCACCAGGCACGACCTGCCAATGATCAAATACTTGCTGGCACATTGCCTGACCTTGAGTCTGTACTCGAAGGTCCGATTCGAAACCACAGGAATCAATAACCGGCAGCAAGGCTTCCAATAAATACAATGTAGAGCCGGGCTTTGGCTCATCCTTCACGACATGACCACGTCGACGTGAAACAACGTTGTATATTACAGGCAAACTATCCGCAGGTGCATAAATCTCAACGTGGTAAACAGGTTCCATTAATCGAGGGGAACCCATTAAGAAAGACGAGTAACACACACGTCTGGCTGTTGGGATAATTTGGCCGCCTCCACGATACAAAGCCTCAGAAGCTAGTGTAACGTCAAGGATACGGAAGTTCACGTTTCTAATGGCCTCGTCGCAAAGAGGTCCCTCTTGCGTACCCCACCGGAATCCTTGTGTTATATAATCCTTCACCGAGTTCAGCAGCGGCTTTTCTTCGTCAGGCAACAGAGTATCGTTTCTCAGAATATTCGGGCCACAGTCTCCGGGACCGAAAGCCCAAATGGAACGTGAAGCCAAGAAATCCCAGCTGTAATTTTCTTGGAAAAACTTGCCAACTTCTTTCGTAGGCCATTTCAAATTCACATGACCCTGCTCAATTTCATCAGCAATACCCTTATCCAAGGGCTCAACTACCATCGAAATACGGTTCTTTTTGTTTGGAGTTTCAGCGAAGCATTTTAAGGAAGAGGTTTCCACAGCAGTTTCGCAGAACCGAGCTACAGGATCGGAGACTTTGATCTCGATTTCGGAAAAAAGAAAACGCAAGTCGTACAGTAAGCAGTCCATGTACATTTCACCGGTGCCATAAACAGTATGTTCTCCCGATTCCTCCACTTTTGTGATAGCCAAGGGATACACCTTGTTTACCTTTCGAAGACCATCAAGCATTTTGGGCAATTCAGAAGGATTGTGTGGCTCGATAGCGACCTTAAAAACACTATCGGTAAAATGCACCACAGGCGAAAACACGTACAACGCGGACTGAATGCCCTCAGAAACAACAGTTGCCGACTTGCTGATGGAATTATCGACACCGCTCAAAAAGACCAGCATGCCAGCAGTAGCGCCTTCAATGGGCAAACGATAACGTGCACAAGGAATAGATATTTCAGTAACAGTGGCATGCACCATGTCCTCTTCATCATCCACCGAGTAGTTCTCACCAAGAACACAAACCTTCTGTCCTTTGACAACCTGGCCCGAATAAATGCGGGCCAGTGCATAGAAGCTATTGGCGTCCACGGATGTGTAAAGCTTCGTAACGTGCATCACCAAGGGTGCATCAGTCGAACGATTCATCTCAACAAGCGAACGGCCGATGGGATCGCCATCAAGGGGTCCTGTGTAGCGCCGGGGAATGTATTGAGCAGCGGCTTCACGAGGACACGGAATGTGCTTCACTACGGCGTCCACAAAACCGGTGGGAAACCCAAAGAATGCTGAACATACCAGGCGCAAAAGTGGCTGTGGATCGAGTTCATAATCAGACTTTTTTAAGTAGATTCGAAATTTTGCCAGAAGTGATTTCAAGCGTGCAGGTTCATCGCTGAGGGTATGCGAGTGCAACTTGTACAGAGGCTCCAAAATGAAATGAACGAAGCTGCGAACACATTGCTGCTCATTTGTTTTACGAACAAACTTGTGAAGCTGTTTGTCGAAGAAAATATCGCCCCACAGTCGCTTGCCAAACTGCTCAATATCGATCTTTCCATACTCATCAACATACATCTTGGCAAAGGAAAACAGAGTAAAGCAGTAACCCAACTCAGAGGATGCAAAACAGACGTTACCGAGTTCTGGAGACACGCGTCGCGTAGGATCAGGATTGACACTGTGAATGACATGATTGACCTCATCTATAGTGTGCTTAATTTTAAAGTAAGCGTCAGCCGGAGGAAGTCGCAGTTCAAGGATTAGACGGTCGATTTTGTTCAGTACAACCACAATGGGCATGTTTTGCAGTACAGCATGCTTTATTATACGGCGCGTATTTATCATCACCTACAATGCAATGAGTCAGTACTTCACACAAGGACAAGAACAGTTACTGCTTCACATACCCCTTCAATAACATCAACGACGAGGACAACACCATCACTGACAGCCATAGTGGTAGCGACTTCATCTACGAAATCAACGTGTCCAGGGGTATCTATGCACTGAAAGGCATAAGACTTTTGTTGAGACGATGTGGCAAGCAATGTCATGGGCGTACTCTTGATGGACATTACCCGCTCACGCTCCAAATAATGGGTATCGGTGTACCTCAGTGATTTGGTTTTTGGTTCGCGAATATCGATATGTGTGTAACGCACAAGCAGATCGATCAGACTAGTTTTTCCATGGTGCAAGTGTCCTACGACAGCAAATGTTCTCACATCGTCTGTCGAACACAAAACATCTCGCAGAAATCTACAAAATGAAACGTTAGTAACTCTGATCCAAAGTACCATACAGCACGGGATTGCAAACCAACATCCTGCGTGCTTCCTTTGCATACTCTTTTTTATAAATACATTCAGGAACATTTGTTGTCTCAATTGCGAACCGTTTTTCACGAATAGGCGCAACAATAGGTTCCGTCAGCGGTTGTGTGTCCTCTTCCTGCACCATAACATCCACATCTTCGCCGTACACATTGGCAGCTGAAGGGTAGTATGATTTATCTTCATGCAACACAACAGCATTTTCTGCTGCTACTGGAGGAACAACATCAAGAGCCATGGTACCCTCCGCCGACCGGTACTCTTCATCGATAGCAGCACTTTCTTGTTCCTGCTGTTCCTCAGTTTCAATGAATTCTTCAAAACCAGGTGCGGCTGCAACGGATTCCGCTGCAACAGCATTATAGGACTCCAAATCCTCATCCTCTTCAGGACCGATGTAGTTACCAAACCTAATGCCTCGTTAGTTTTCCATTACTGAGTCTCAATTCATTCGTTACGTGGAGACGGGTTTTAAAAGCAACGTAATCCACGTGTCCAGCACGAATTCTGTTCGTACTCATCATAAAGCTCTTCATCCATCTTGTCCTAACGAGTATAAGCCAAAGTGGAACCAAAATTGAGAGGAATGCCAAGAAACAAGACGTGAAGTACGAGAAGCAGAGTTTGCGGTGGTTGCGTTGCGAAACGTATGTAGTGGTTGAAACAGGTGCATTACGCGAGATGCGACGCTACGCGTCAATGGCGCCGTTTTTGAGTCGCCAAAATAAGGTTTTGCCCACGCGTGTATAACACCAGCCCGATCCCAACACACAACTTAACCAGAGCCAACACTCTTACATTCCGTCAAAATCACAAGAATGACCAAACCGTGAGTTGTACGTCTACTCGACATATCTAACATTCGTACAGAGAAGTTTACATCGTCTCTGCTGCTCGTACACCTGTCGGCAGCTTTGGCGGCAGCCTTGCTTCCCTCACTGCTCCCCAACTTGGTTCAATTGCAATCAAGGGTATGCATCCTTAGGAATGACTGGGAAGGGTGGAGAGACGGACGGTCGCTGGACACAGTACGATGCAGCAAATTGGGGTTACAAGCGTGCAGAAGCGTTTTGTAGAGAAACGTAGCAACGGACCATGTGACGTCTTCGACCTTACGCGTCGAAAAAATCCTTTCTCACTTCTATTCATACTCGCTCGGCAACACCTCTGTCTGCTCTCTCGCGTCACCCTTCTTTTTCATTCCCCCTACCGCCCTTCTGCATACTAATTGACTAGGTGCTTTGGAGAAAGCCAACATTAAGCCCTCTCTCGTTGAGGAGGTCGTGTTTGGCAACGTTGTTTCTGCCAACCTTGGCCAAAACCCTGCCCGCCAATGTGCTCTTGGTGCTGGCTTGGAAAAATCTACCGTTTGCACGACTGTGAACAAGGTCTGCGCTTCTGGTATGAAGGCTACCATTTTTGGTGCCATGACGATTATGACTGGCAAGGCCGACATTGTTGTTACCGGTGGTTGCGAGAGCATGTCGAATGCTCCCTACTACGCTCCCAAGGCTCGTTTCGGCTCGAAGTTTGGCAACGTCGAGATGGTCGACGGTTTGCTGCGTGATGGCTTGGTCAATGTTTACGACAACACTCACATGGGTGTGTGTGCTGAATTGTGTGCCAAGGAGCACGACATCAACCGTGAGGCTCAAGACAACTTTGCCATCCAATCCTACAAGCGTGCCCAAGCTGCTCAAGCCGCCAACGCTCAAGAGTCTGAGATTGTGCCCGTTGAGGTGAGTCTCGGCCGCAACAAGCCCACGAAGACCGTTGTCCACGACGAGGAGCCCGCCAACTTGAACGAGGCCAAGCTCCGCACTGTTCGTTCCGCCTTCCAGGCTAACGGCACCGTCACCGCTGCCAACGCTTCCACCTTGAACGACGGTGCAAGTGCTCTTGTTCTCGTTTCGGCTGCCAAGCTTAAGGAGCTCAACCTCACTCCCATTGCCAAGATTGTTGGCTGGGGTGATGGTGCCCAAGACCCCGAACGTTTCACCACTGCTCCCTCTCTCGCCATCCCCAAGGCCTTGAAGCACGCTGGTCTTACTCAAGAGCAAGTCGGCTACTACGAGATCAACGAGGCTTTCAGTGTTGTTGCTCTTGCCAACATGAAGATCCTTGGTCTGGATCCCGAGCGCGTCAACGTTTACGGTGGTGGTGTTGCTACTGGTCACCCCTTGGGCAGCAGTGGTTCCCGTATCATGGTGACTCTCATCAACGTTCTCCGCCAAAAGGGCGAGAAGTATGGTGTTGCTGCCATTTGCAACGGTGGCGGTGGAGCCTCTGCCGTTGTCATTGAGCGCTTGTAGGTAACGAATTCTTCTGACTCACCCGAGACGCGCATCGCGTCCGAGTCTAGCATGATGGACGGGCCATGAGTTGTCCGCTAGTTGCGGTCGGTGCACCGGCCTGTCATTCCCTCCTTCCCGTTCGGTGCGGCGAGGATGGGCTGCGTCCAGCAGCAGCCCATCCGTCCGCACGAAAAGATACCCGTTCGTGTTTTACGACACGTTCCACAGCACACCCTTTGTTTGTGTAACTAGACGAAACTCGGATGAATATTATGATCAACATGTTAGTGAAGTGCAGCGGGGAGCACGGTGTTAGTGAGACGTAGCGATGCGTAAAGCAAGCGAGTGAACCCGAACGTGCTGTGGCGAGTTGTACAGCATTCCACCGCACCCCACGCAACCACACTGCACCACGCTGAACATCATTAGGTCTCGCTCGTTATCGCCGTCCCTCTCTATCCCTCTCTAGACCTCTCTATCTCTGGCCCGCACGACCTATCTCTCGCTCTTGTTCGCTCGTGTGCCCGCTGATCACTCTCTTCAAACTTTTCTCTTTCCCTGGTAGGCGAGATGCGGCCGATCATCGGCTGCGGGATGCGAAACCGAGATGAGATTATTGGTCTCTGACCGACTGCCAATCCGGTCGTCTTGATACGGCGATTGTACCATTGGTAATGTTACGAGATGCTGCACACATCGAAATCATCACAGAATGATCAACTGGCGTCAAATTTTAGCCAGCGGCTAGTGGGAGATGGATTTCTCACTGTGAATGGCCTTAACACTTGTTAGACCATCTCATCTTCATCGCGTCTCCGCAGTGGACTCCTCCTGCGTCGCGTCGCGTCCAGTTCTCTGATGTGAGAAATGTAAGTCACAGATTAGATAAAGCATAACCTTAAACCACACCACAAAAAGGCGCCGCTGCAACCTTATCCTCTCCCAACCACACCCAAATAACCAGCTCATCCATTGCTCTTTCTGCACAACAGTCAATCGCCTTCGTACTGTTTAAAACGTCGGTACAATGGCTTTGTTGACGCAATACGTCTGTAGAGCTCTTCCTGGCATCGGGAAGGGCCTTTTCCGTGGACATGGAGGCCAAGGAGCCGTAGCTTTAAAAGGAATGTTTATGTCGACTACAGCTGCAGCGAGCCGCGCAATTAGAGGCCGCCAGCTTACTCAGATCAGGGGAAACCGCCTCAATGGCCGGACACGGCTTATCCACAGCTCAGCTCGCGTCTGCAATGGGCACGACGCCGCTGCTTACATCCAATCTGGCCACGTTAAATCGGTCCAGCGCGAAAACGTAAAGAAGGTTCTTGTTGTGGGCTCCGGCGGTCTTTCTATCGGCCAGGCAGGCGAGTTTGACTACTCTGGTGCTCAGGCCATTAAAGCTCTCCGCGAGAGTAATGTACACACAATTCTCGTGAACCCGAATATCGCTACCATTCAATCCTCTCACGACCTAGCCGATGAAATCTACTTCCTCCCTGTAACTCCCGAGTATCTGACGCATCTGATTGAACGCGAACGTCCCGATGGCGTTCTTCTCACATTCGGTGGCCAGACGGCCCTGAACGTTGGCATTGCCCTCGACGACATGGGTGTGTTCGCCCGTAACAATGTCAAGGTTCTCGGCACACCCATCTCGACTCTCAAGGCTTCTGAGGACCGTGATCTGTTTTCTCGCGCTTTGAATGAGATTAATATTCCCATCGCCGAGTCTGTTGCCGTCTCGTCCGTCGACGATGCCCTTGCATCCGCTGAAAAAATTGGTTATCCTGTGATTGTTCGTTCTGCTTTCTCTCTTGGTGGTCTTGGTTCTGGCTTCGCCAACGACAAGGCGGAGCTGCAAGCTCTTGCTACGAAGTCTCTGTCTTTGACCCTCAAATCCTTGTCGAGAAGTCGCTCAAGGGCTGGAAGGAGGTCGAGTACGAGGTTGTCCGTGATGCCGCCAACAACTGTATCACCGTGTGCAACATGGAGAACTTTGATCCTCTTGGTATCCACACCGGTGACTCGATCGTTGTGGCTCCCTCGCAGACTCTGTCGGACGAAGAGTACCATATGCTTCGTAGCGCTGCCATCAAGATCATCCGTCATTTGGGTGTCGTTGGTGAGTGCAATGTGCAATACGCTCTGAACCCCAACAGTCTCGAGTACCGCGTCATTGAGGTCAATGCTCGTCTTTCTCGTTCGTCCGCTCTTGCTTCTAAGGCCACCGGTTATCCCCTTGCCTACACGGCTGCCAAGATTGCTCTTGGTCACACTCTGCCCGAATTGCCCAACGCCGTTACGAAAACTACTACTGCAAACTTTGAGCCTTCTCTCGACTACATCGTTACCAAGATTCCCCGTTGGGATCTCGCCAAGTTCCAATACGTGAATCGTGAGATTGGTTCGTCCATGAAGAGTGTCGGTGAAGTTATGGCCGTCGGCCGTACTTTCGAGGAGTCTCTTCAAAAGGCTCTTCGCCAAGTCGATCCTTCCTTCAAGGGTTTCATGCCCATGCCCTTCCGTGACCTCGATAAGGCTCTTACCGTTCCCACTGACCGTCGTTTCTTTGCCGTCGCCGAGGCTATGCTTAACCAAGGCTACTCCATTGACAAAATTCATGAACTTACTAAGATTGACAAGTGGTTCTTGGGCAAGCTTTCGAATCTGGCTGCTGTTTATAACGAACTGCGTGAAATTGGCTCTTTGTATGGCTTGAACAGAGATGTTTTGTTGCGTGCTAAGAAGCATGGTTACTCTGATGCTCAAATTGCTGAGCTTGTTGGCTCGACTGAATTGGAAGTCCGTGCTCGCAGAAAGCGTCTCGACATTCACCCTTGGGTGAAGAAGATTGATACGTTGGCCGCCGAGTTCCCTGCTCACACCAACTACTTGTACACGAGTTACAACGCCTCTACTCATGACATTGATTTCAACGAACATGGTACCATCGTTCTTGGCTCCGGTGTGTACCGTATCGGCTCGAGCGTCGAATTCGACTGGTGCGGTGTTTCTTGCGCTCGTGGCCTTCGTCGCGTTGGCATGAAGACGATCATGATTAACTACAACCCCGAGACTGTTTCCACTGACTTTGATGAATGTGAGCGCTTGTATTTCGATGAACTGTCTTATGAGCGTGTTATGGATATCTATGAGCTTGAAACCGCTTCGGGCATTGTTGTGAGCGTTGGTGGACAACTGCCTCAGAACATTGCTCTTAAGCTTCAAGAAACTGGTGCCAAGGTTTTGGGCACTGACCCCCGTATGATTGACAATGCCGAGGACAGACACAAGTTCTCGCAAATGCTCGACAAGATTGGCGTTGATCAGCCCGCTTGGAAGGAGCTTACTTCTGTTGAGGAAGCCCGTACATTTGCCAATACCGTCGGTTACCCCGTGCTTGTCCGTCCCTCCTATGTTCTTTCCGGCGCTGCAATGAGTGTCATTCGTGACGAGTCTTCTTTGAAGAACAAGTTGGAGAATGCCGCCGCTGTTTCTCCTGACCATCCCGTTGTTATCACGAAGTTCATCGAAGGTGCTCGTGAGATTGATGTGGATGCTGTTGCCTCCAAGGGTCAACTTTTGGTCCATGCTGTCTCGGAACATGTCGAAAATGCTGGTGTCCATTCAGGTGATGCCACAATTGCTCTTCCCCCCTACTCGCTCTCTGCTTCTGTGAAGGACCGTTGCAAGGAGATTGCCGAGAAGGTCGCTAGTGCCTTCCAAATTACCGGTCCCTACAACATGCAAATCATTGAAGCCGTGAACCCCGAGAAGCCCGACGTTCCCGATCTCAAGGTTATTGAGTGCAACCTCCGTGCCTCGCGTTCTTTCCCCTTTGTTTCAAAGGCTTTGGGCGTCAACTTTATTGATGTTGCTACCCGTGCCCTTGTTGGCAAGGATGTCCCTGCTCCTCGCGATCTGATGAAGGAGAAGCACGACTACGTGTGTGTTAAGGTTCCTCAATTTTCGTGGACACGTTTGGCCGGCGCTGATCCTTTCCTTGGCGTTGAGATGAGTTCTACTGGTGAGGTTGCCTGTTTCGGCAAGGATGTTAAGGAGGCTTACTGGGCCGCCATCCAGTCTACTCAAAACTTCAAGGTTCCTCTCCCTGGTCACGGTGTTTTGTTGGGTGGTGACCGTAAGGAACTTGCTGACGTTGCCGCTAAATTGCACGAGTTGGGTTATAAGCTCTACGTCGCTGAGAAGGCTCTCCACAAGAAGCTTGCCCCTGTCCCCGTTACCGTTATCGATTTCCCCAAGGAGAAGCGTGCCCTTCGTGCAGTGTTCGAAAAGAATGACATTCAAGCCGTCTTTAACTTAGCTTCTGGTCGCGGTAAGAGCACCGAGGATCAAGACTACATAATGCGCAGAAATGCTGTTGACTTTAATGTTACCTTGTTCAACGACGTCCGCTGTGCCGAGCTTTTCGTTGAGTGCCTGAAGGAGAAACTTCCTCTCGTCCTTTCTGAAGAGAAGACAATGCCTAATGAAGTTAAAAGATGGAGTGACTGGATTGGATCTCATGCTCTTTAGAGGGAAGTCATTCCTCTCAAAGGTTTTCATGTTCCATCGTTGGCACTAATAATCTGTATTCTGACGATGCTATTATTCATTCGAGTTGACTTTGTTTAAAACAAGATCGCGATCTTTCCTTGCTGTTCTGTTTCTTCCTCATAGAAGTCAGGGCTTTGCTTGATTTCGTATAAAGCGCCTGTTCAGCTATCCGCATATTTCCGACACATAAACCTATATGTATATGGCAACAGCTTTTTTTTCCTTTCATCTTTTTGTTGTACTTCTTCTCCTGTTGCCATAGTTCTTCTGCGTTTTTGTTTTCCTCGTTCTTTAGAAGAACTGTTCTTATGAAACGGTTTTAATAAACTCGATTTTATGATTGAAGATATCTACAAATGCGACCGATCGGAGGAGAAAGGGGACTCGGTCGTTTAGGATGTTAAATTGTGAAATTACTAGTACTTGGAGTTTGCGCACGTTGATTATGATTAAAGCTTTCCAGTCTGTCTGTCTGTCTGTCTTACTCTCACTGTTGACAAAACAAAAACCAAAAACCAAAACTTACAACTTGCTTCTGATATGCACTTTTGGTCTTATGCGGCTATTTCGCGGCCGACAATTCAAATGGATTTAAAGTTTCGGCTTCTGTGCTACGTCACTCTCGCTTAACAATGTTGTTTATGCTACCTAGATCGTCGATCATATCCAGCCGCGACGGGGGAAACATAACCTATCGTTTACAACTCACGTCGTAAAGTATGGACGCAGTTGAATCTGCTACAAAGCTGGAAAATAATGTGCTAGAAGGCGCTGCTGAGCAGCAAGAACCTGTTAAAACTGAAGCCGTTAACGACGAAACTGCAACACCTTCTTCAAAAGAGGCCCCAAAGACAGAATCCACGAATGAGGAAAAACCAAAGGTTGAAGAGCCTGCAGAGGCCGAGACCAAGCCAGAGGAAGAGCAGGAAAAAAAAACCTCCGTTGAAGCTGAGGAAAAGGACTCAAAACCAGAGAAATCGGCACATGTGAAGTCGGAGCCTGTCACCAAAAAGGAGTCTCCTAAAACTGAATCAAAAAACCGGAATGACAAGTTCGCTCCAGGGACAGTCGTTCTTACTAAGCTCGCTGGTTTTCCTTGGTGGCCGAGTATTGTAATTACTCCTGCCCAAATGACAAAAACAGCACTTAGAAACAAACCCAAAAGGGGAGACCATTACATCCCCGTGCAGTTCTTCCCAAAGATTGAGTACTACTGGGCAACGAAGGATATTTTACGTACTCTTTCAAAGGCAGAGATTGAGTCGTTTTTGGAAAACCCCCGGCCAAAGCAAGTCGGTCTCATTAAAGCCTACAAGATGGCACTGACGCCTCCATCACTGGATTCTATTATTCCTCCTGAAACAGAAAGCGAAGAGTCTTCTGATGAAGAGGAGGAGAGTGAAGAGGAAAGCGAAGCTAGTGCCAATGAAGCAGAGGAGGAGGAAGAGGAAGAAGAGGAGGAGAAACCTCGACGCAGCAGCCGTCGTTCTACAATGACTTCTTCCGCCGCCTCACGGAAAAGACGAGCTCGGTCCACAAGCTCGGCTGCGTCCTCTCGATCAAGAAAACGTGGACGTCGCACACCCTCGGAAGAACGAGTAATCGAGGATGAGGACGATAATGAGCAGGAAGAGGAGCAGCAAACGCCGGCCGCTAAAGCTCCCTCAACGAACACAACAAAGGAGGACGCAGAGATGAAGGATGACCACAGCTCCGAAGCCTCTGTTGCCCGGGAAAAGGAAAGTGAAGAAAGAACACATCGTTCTCGAGAACAATCCCTATTCTTTCTACGACACAAGTTGCAGAGCATACTTCTCGCCTCTGGCAGACCCACTCCTACGGAAAATGAGATGAAACAGGTCTCGGAGTACCTGCATAAGCTTTCGACGTTTCAAGGCATTGATGTTGAATTGTTAACGAAGACGAAGATTGCGGTGGCACTTAGCAAAGTTCTGTCGCTCTCAAATATTCCATATGATGAAAAGCTGGGCATTAAAGCCACTTGCCGTGATATTATTGAACACAAGTGGGTTGACGTACTAAAAGTGATTGCTGAGCAACGACAAAGTAAGGCTGTACCAGAGTCTACGCCTAAGGAAGAGCTATCACAATCAAAAGCAAACGGCACCCCCGAATCAGCAGCTATGACAGCAGAAGAAGAGAAGCCTGCTAAGCCTGCCGATGCGGCGGAGGCCAAGCCCTCGGAGGATCAAAAAAAGGATGACACTCTGATGCAACAACCAGTGCAGGCATCAGTGACACCATCATCCACAGAAGTTAAACAGGAGGCAGTGCCCCCGGCTGCATCTGTTGAAAGCTCTACGAATGCCGCTTCGAGCACTGCCGCGGAAAGTGGGGAAAGTGCAATGGACTTGGATGTACCCCCGGCAGGAATAACAGCATCGAAAGATGTCGCTAACGTGGACACGACTGCATCCTCTGGCACTGCGACCATGTCTGAAGATGTTGTGGGAAATGACAACTCTGCTATGTAGATTTTTTGACTGGATTTATATTCTCTAATCTCTCAGGCAAACGGTGTTTGGAGATTTGCTGTACAATGGCCTTCATGTGATGCTTCAATGAAAATTTTGTCAATACAGGATGCAGGACGGGGTGCGAGAATGTGAGCGGCGGTTGTAATTGCAGGTGTTGAAAATGCTACGGACGCTACGGGTGCTACTGACGCTACTGATGCTACCGACTGTTATGATTCACAGCTACTACTTGGTATTGCTGACTGGGTACCGCTTCGTTAGTGCTTCAGCAAGAAGCGACTTACAACTTGTTCACATTAAAGGAAGCCAAGGAAGTCCCAATTAAAACAATGTCTCACGGAAATGTGCTGATTGCTGCTCAACCACTCCTTGACCATTGTTCCTCCAACTACTGTTACTACTACTACTACTACTACTACTACTACTACTACGTTGTTTCTCTCTACCTCTCTCCTAGTCCCCCCAGTCCCCCCATAAATACTCTCACCACCAATTCTATCCACCACCATTGTGCAGGTCCGGGTTGGCAGCATTCTTTATAAAAGTTTTTTGGTTTTCTTAGGGGTTTTATCGGATACTGTTTCTCTTTCATTAATCATTCCTTTTTGTTTCTGATTTTTATTTTCTTGATTTTTTTCGATTTTTTTATTTTTTTTTCCCTCATTAACAACATGGTCTCTTTCTCTTGTGAAGTCTGTGCAGACATTGTTAAAAAACCCAAGTTGGATCAGCACGTTTCCAGATGCAGAGGTGCTTATTTCACCTGCATCGACTGCAACACGACATTCCAAGGAACCGAATATCGTGCTCATTCTTCGTGCATGACAGAAGCCCAACGCTACCAGAAGTCTCTTTACCGTCCTACGAAAAAAGAAGCCAAAAAGCTGGCTGCTCAAAAGCAACAAGAAACGGGCACCACCAACAGCAATACTCAAAAGCGTAAAGCCGAGTCTGAGAAGGAGAACAGTGCTCCGGCTTCTGAAAAAGAGTCGAAGAAGTCCAAAAAGGATGATGACTCTAACAAGACCGACAAGCCTGAAAAGTCATCTAAGGATAGTAAGCTTTCTTCTCGTTTTGCTGAACTTTGTTCAGAATCGGATGTTTCTCTGTACAAGCTTCTGAAAAAGCTGAACAAGAAGGATAAGGATGGCAAGAAAATCGACTCCAAGACTGTCTTGGAGCAATTAGTTGCTAAGAAGGACTCTAAGGGTCAATTGGTTATTTCATTCGCAAAGTAAGCTTTAGATAACAAAAGGTTAATAGAAAGTAAAAGGCAAGGCATTAGATATCAAAAGTGTGTTTCAGATGGTTGGAACAAGGGGACGAGGCGTAAAACTAGGAGAAACAGAGCCTAATTACTTTCGCCAGCTTGCGCCTTGAAATCTTTCTTCCTTCCTTCCTTCCTGAATGAGGAGAAATGTCCACCCACCCACAGCTGTACTACTTACTACTACCTTTCTCCTTGGTAACAATCAGTTTCTCCTATTTAGCTCCTTGGGCAAGAATGAACTTCGGGCAAAATATTTGACACTGCACTCGACACAACGCAATATCCCCCATAGCTAAGACACTCGGAAAAATACAATGCACATCATCTCCGCACAGTTACTCATTTCACTCCCTTCATCCCTCCCTCATGAAAGCTATTTTAAAGTCTATATTTTTCGTTAAACCATCCGTGCTCACAATGCCCGTCTATAAGAACGACGGGACGACCTTTGTGCTGCCATAATGGTGGCAGAGTACACATGGTCATGCAGTCAATCCATGCAAAAAGGAACATACGAAACAAGTTAAAAGGAAAGAACGGTAAGCCAAGCGTGCGTGTATACGAGAGGCCTGTCATCACGAGCAAAACGGGAGAAAAAGAAAGAAGAACGAGCCAACCCGTTAACCACAGCATAGCCGCCCCGCTTGATGTATGCACAGTCGAGTAAAAAAAATTCATCAATTGAGTGTGTGCAGTATAAACATGAAAAATTCAACTGCAGAAAAGCACAAAAATATGCAGCCTTATAGCTTATCCTCTATCCCGTCTATATTAACATCGAAACGACAAGAACGCCGACACATGCACAGCGCGCGCCGTCAAGTTATGTTGCTTAATCATCGTTGGTCTCAGTAGTGAACTCGTTCTCAGACTCCTCAACAGGAGGTTGGAGGACCTGGATCATACCCTCTGGCTTCATGCCCTCATAGGCAATGCGGTAGACAGTGGTGAAAAGAGGGAACTCCTTGACAAGGTCACGGCTGGTGAGAAGCTCGTGAACGTCAGCAGCAGTGGCAGCACCTTGGAGGACTTGACCACCCAAGAGCTCCTTCTCGAGTTGTTGGAGGGACTTGCCAGTCTTGACGAAAGCCTCGGCGCAACGGTTGTTACGACCACCCAAGCAAGAGGTAACCAAATCGGCAATACCACAAGATTGCTCGACCATGGTGCGAGGGTCACTGTCAAAGAACATAGTAGCGAACTTTTGCATCTCCAACAAACCACGACGCATAATAGCAGACTTGGTGTTTCCACCCCACTCCAAACCGTCGGCGAAACCAACAGCCATGGAGACAATGTTCTTCAAGGCACCACCCAAGGCGACACCAGCGACATCCTTGACGGCAGCCACAGAGAAGTAGGGACGGTCGAAAAGAGCAACCATCATCTCGGCGGAGACGGAGGTACCCAAGTCGGGGTTGTAACCAATGGTGGTCTCACAGAAGTCCTCACGAGCAACCTCGTTGGCGACGTTGGCACCGGACAAGACACCACAGTAGATGCCGAGACGCTCGGTGATGTACTCAGAGTACAACTTGACACCTTGCTTGTTCACAGCCACACCCTTGATACAGGAGATGGCGACGGCGTTGGGACGGACGAAGCCCTTCATTTGCTCACAAACACGGTCGACGAATTGGTGAGGAACGACGAAGACGAGCACATCGGACTTGCGAGTGACCTCACGGACGTCGGGAATGGCGAGGATGTTGCTGGGGCAGGGAATACCGGGAAGATACTTGACGTTCTCGTGCGTCTCGTTGAAAATTTCAGTCAATTTGCGCTTCTCACCCTTGTACTCAATCTCCTCCTCGAAGACCCACATGCGGACCTTGCTTCTGAAGTGGTTACCGTGGGCACGAGCATTCTCACCGCAAATCTTGGCAATAGCAGTACCCCAGTTACCGGAACCAATAATACCGATAGAAAGACGCTTGTTGCGAGGAGGTGCGGGAGGGAAGTTGTGGGAGGTAGCGATAGTAGTAGACATCTTAAATAATAATAGCTTCTTGCTTTACTGAAAGAAAATGCAATGACACGGGGAAAACGACAAACTCTGTGCGCGAATGGTTAGGACGACACAAATTACTTCAAACGTATAAACTATAAGTCAAAAACTCGTGGAATGCAGGTGAGTTTAGACCGAGGAATGTAACAGGATGTGGTTGTTGTTGGTAGAGGGAGGAAGCACGTCCGCCTATATATGCCATTCTGAATTTCAAGGTTGTGAGGGTCAGTGACATCATACGATTGGGGTATGACGTAGAAAAAAAGCTTCAGCCAATGAGAAAAACAATGACATCACTAACGAGAATCGTTTACAGATTCGACAAACGCGCGCGCCCGCAGGTGAAAAAAACGACACTAGCTATCTATGACGCAATGCATGAGTGCAGGAGAACAGTGATGTCAGGGCAGAGAGACCAGCCGGTCAGCAGTGAGAGGAATCAGGGATGACACGGTTGGCTGCGTTAAGCAGGGAATAGCGAGATGGAAGGCCAGGAAGGGTGGGACACGACGCGTCCAGAGCAGCCTTGGCAGAGAAGCAGCAGCAGACGCGTCGTGCAGGCCGCCGCCCATCCCTGCCGGAGATACTACTACCTGTGCTAGTGCAGAGGCAGCTCCGCAGAAACTGTCTCGGTGAAACTGCGGAAGAGGAGAACGGAGCACGAGTTGAGGTTGCGGTTGTCGATGCTCTCTATTCGACAAATGGAGCATTTTTTTTCAGCAATCGGTGCTCCATCCAATTGCTGCATGCGTTCCGCGTGTTGACAGTGCGACCTGGATGCGATTCTAGATCTATATGATTGGCTTGCACGGAGAATAAGCTTTCAATAAAGTTGATGCGGAATTTCTCCGGCATTTGCCGAGGCGGAAGCGAGAGCGCCGTTAGAGCTGGAAACAGTGTGTTTAAAGCAGAGAAAAAAAGCGCAGCGCGTTTAGCATCTAAAGACGCACATGGCGCCTTTTCCGGGCGCAGAAAAGCAGTGCTTAGAGCAGTAAACGCGCATTCGCGGATCTTAAAGTTTGGATAAGCTCATCGCACATCGGATTAATTACCTCGCTTACCAGGAAGGGGCACAGATTCAATATGCGAGCCTGTCCGTTCTGGCACCATAGGGCCCATCAACACGCCTTTTTTCTCCGGAATCACTGGAGGTGGAGACCCGCCGTCAGCGGAGATTGCGAGAAAAGAGCGGTATTTATCTGTCCCTAGTGAAGCCTGCTCCTGTAGACTACCCCAAACGCTCAGGGTCCCCCACTCTTCCCTACATCGGGCCCGTCGGCTTTCCAACCTCCTCCTCAGGGCCTGTGGCGAGAGGAATTGCGACACTACAATATGCATAACGAAATACAACCTGTTCTATGAGTCTGTGCCTGTCTGTGCCGGGGAGGACTCTTCCCGCCCATGGTGCAGCTCGTTATCCAGCATTAACACACCCATTGCTTCCACGTCTCTAAACCGCTGGATGATGTCATAGACGAAGAAGCGACAAGAGCTAATGAAGAATAAACGTGTTGGCGCGACGCTCATTGGCTGTGAGTGTCCGTTCAAGAGCGCTCGCTTACGATGGGTCGGACCGACGGTGTGTCTCGTTTGGCACTCCATCCCTCGGGTATAGAGCTCCTCAGCACGCTGCATCGTGTGGAAACAGGTTCAGGCATGAACGTATCGCCAAACGCCCGGAAAACCTGCATTTTGCACCTCCTCAATTATCGAGATACCGCAGGGCGCCCTCTGCTCACATGTCTCCCTCCAGACTACCGGCTACTACTACTACGCCAAGACGCTTGTGATCCTCTCTCCGTCCACTCGCGATTCCCAACCGCCGCTGAGCATGACGTAGGTGCGACGTAAGATTTAAAAATAGCAAACTCGGGTCAAGGGAGGAGGATCGGCACTCCTCCAAATGCGCTGGCCAATCAAAGCCAAGTAGCTGAGCTTCTAAATTCGCGACGCGCGAGACATTCGAGCTGAGAAAGCTAAACATGCGCACTTCTCACTGTAACGTTCTAAACAGCGTCATGAATACCGCTACGGTACTAGCAGCCCCTGCGGGTAAAGCTACACGTGCCGGAATTCACACAGACGCTGTCCTGTGTTCTCGTAGACACACAGACTGTCGAGTTGGTCAGCGGACAGGTAACGTGACGCGGTTGACGTCAGTTTTGCTGCCACGGTTGGCTTTGTCGTAGGGGGCTGTACACGCGTTGAAGACGCGACACTGCCCTCTATCACGAAGGGTAGTAACGTGCTGCTTCGCAACGTAAACTCCGATAAATTGCGTGGCGATGCTGTACATCGCACGGCATCGCTAAATGTGATATAACGCAGGGTAGAGAGAGGCAACGCACGTTAGTGCAGGTTAACAAAGGTTAGTGAGAAAAGCGAGTGTAGTGAAGGGATGCGACGTGCGGTGCACTCGTGTCATGTTAGGAGTAATGGTACATAGTGGTAGCAGTGGTAGTGTAGCAGTGGCAGTGGGATCACTGGCGCACGGGATGTGTCATACAACGGTTTCGTCAGATCAGTGACGAGTTTGGCTCTTTGTGCGGCCATTGCAAGGTCTTTTGAGTGCCACTGTCGGTTTGAGATCGCAAAAGAGCTGCAGCGACACGAGCCTCACGGCCCCGAGAGCTCTGGGCTTGTGGTTTGGCAGTTGACTGCAGCAGACTTGCGCGTAAACCCAGATCGCGACCCAGCTTCTCGCCTTTCGGCTTGGGCTTGCGAACTCGTTGCTGTCGAGTAGACGACGAAGTTGACTTTCTGCCCTTTGTCGATGGTGTAGCTGCAGCTTTGGAACGCCGCCGACGGCGACTAAGTGAGCCTCCACACAGTTCGATTTGGCTTAAATGAGAACGTTGTTGCAGTGAAGTGGGACCTCCGTGCATAGGTGCCATGCTGCCTACGACTGAAGCTAGCGGAAACCGATCCCACGTCATGTATTTCTTTTCACCCTTGTAGCCTTTACTCAGGAGGACTACGAGTTCTTGACGCAGGGCAGCCAAATGCTTATGGAACACAGCGTCGTGGGGAGAACGCCATACATGGCACAATTCGTGCAAGAACACATCCATAACAAATTCAAATGGGAGCCAATGGCCTCGAGCATCCTGGAGAACGAGCTCGACGCATTCTCCCTTGTTCCAGTTTCGTCCCCAAAACTTGGCATTGTATGCTGCTTCGTCCAACGAAGTAAGACCCAGACCATTCTTTTTCATGATCGGATAAGCCATTGCCGCAATCCGTTTGAGATACTCACGCGCCAATTCTTCAGTATCCCTTTTCAGAGAGGAAATGAACGAGATAAACTCATTGGGATGATCGTCGTCATTCAATCGCAGAACCATCTCAGTAAAAAGAGTTTGCTCCACACTGGACGCACGGAATTCGTGTCGTTTGCGGCTCAGAACACCGTTTTGCAACTTTTTTCCTTCCCGTGCTGTTTGGCTGTGGAGAAAGCGCGTCGCATGAATGAAACCTTATTCTGGGTAGCTATTTTCAGGTGCGGTACGCTGCAGTAGGCTGCGACGCCCCTCACTAAAGTTCGTTATACATTCTTTGACTTCGTTAGGGTTCGCTATATTGTTTACCGGATCACGCTAACGAGAGCTTATGCTGCTGATAGATTAAGGTTGTGTTGCTGTGGTCACTGCACTCGTTTACCAAACACCTTACCGGCAACACATTTGCCCAATTGCCATTTTTTCCGTAGAAATGCAGAGATCCAATTCATTACGAGTGAATGGAGTCGTTCAAGATCTCCCTAAACGAGGTTTGTTTCTCTTACAAATTGGCCCGCTGTCCTGGTTGCTTTATTACAACGAATTCGTAAACTAACTGCTTGTTAAGACTTTTCCCTTGAATCCTTGCGAGAACTGTCTTTTGCTGAAGAGTCTCGACGCTCCAATAGACTCGTAAAAACAAGCAACTCGGCCATTGACTCGTTTATGCACTCGTCGAAGGGCTTGATTGCTGTTGGCAGCTTATTAAGTGATTGGGGCTCACAATCCGAGAACGCCTGTCTGAACGATATCAGCGACAAACTTGGCGTACTCATATGCGAAATGGGCGATTCCGAAGAGGCTTTTGCACGCCAGTTCGAAAAAAGTCGTATCGTACTCAAGTCCATTCGCAATCTGGAACACAGCATGGCACCCATTCGACTGCACAGAGAGCGCCTGTCCTCCGAAATAGACAGATTGCTTGAGAAGGAGCCTTCCAACCCTCGTTTGCCCGACCTTCAGAACAGTCTTGTTCGTGCTGAAGCCGAAAACCTTGTGGGAGAGGCTCAACTTAGCAACGTTTCTCGAGAAAAACTCAAGGAATCATACACGACGTTTATGGATGCCGTTCGGGTTCGTGCTCAAAAACAATTAACGTTGGCGTATTATGCTCAACAGCTTCTTGATCTTGTTGATGGACGGACTATGATACCGGGCGACACGCCGCCGGAGTACAACAAAGATCAGGCTGATTTGATCATGGACGAATGTAACGAGTCCATGCTCCAGTTTGCAACGCCTAAAGAGACCATCGCTGAAGCAGCTGAACCGGAGCTGGAGAACACGACTGCCGTCACATCCACAACCGAAGAACAATCTGAGCCAGCACCCTTGCGTCCCACATTGCTTTCGGATGTGCCAGAGGAAGAGGAACCGCCCATGTCGTTTATACTTTCGCCAACGAACATGTTAACTCAAACAATGGATGAAAACTGTCGGGTTATGCCTCGAAACGGCTATGGTATTCAAACTGTGGCTGAACTGAACTACGTCCCTCAGGATATACAAGAAATCCGTTATTCTGAGGAGCCAAACGATCAAACAAACATCTTAAACAACCCCCAGCAACGCTTAATCCCTCGTGGAAAGAAGAAGGAAGAAGCAATGCCTCTTTTCTCTTGAAGAGATCTTTTCACTCTCAAACGAAACCGTGTATTCTTAACCCAAGCAAAACCAACCATGGTGCTCAACTACTGTATGAATAGCGAGGCGTGAACTACTAAAACTTCGCAGAAAGTGCAATGCGTAACTTGCTTGCACTTATTTTTAAACAAAAACGATTATTATTTATTATTTACAGGCCGTGGAATGCATTTACCGCTGTTACAATTCAATTCTAGCTGCTTCCACTTATTTTCGATACTCTTGTTGTTCACGTACATCATTCGCTGATAATCCTTAAATCTTAATTACCGACGGCGTACGCACTACAGTGGACAATCTCTGTTCTTCTAATGAAGCAAAACTACTTAGGTTGACGACTCTCGTGTGAGGTGCCCGTTCAGCAACCATTAAACTTGTCCAATTGTCGACCGGTCGAGTCCTTTACCTTTGGTCATTACCTAACTCTGTAGCGTTCGAAGTACGCTTTCGAAGACTACATTTGCAAGAAAACAATTGATATCTCAAGAACAGGAGGTGAAAACTAAGTGGATAATCAATCTTCAGGGTTCATAAAAGCATCATGTTCAAACGGATAAAATCCTACCTTCCCGGTCGGAACATGTCCATTTTTCTGGGGACGGTGGCAGCATTTACTGGAGCAGTTTATTATGATAAACGAGAGCAGAAGAAAATTCTGAATCATTATTGTAATAAAGTAGCTTTTTTGGCTGACCAGCCAATGCAACCATTAGAAATGCCACGTCGGTTCCGTGTGTATCTTCATGGTCCTCCTGGAGATGGCATTTATGTTGCTCGTGATGAATTCCACCGCTACGTGAAGCCTATTTTAAATGCCGCTGCAGTTGATTTTGATATGTATGAATCAAAGGGAGAAGGCGAGCTGACCCGCTTTGTTGCTCGTGAAGTTTGGAACAAGCATCATAATATTAGCGATGAACCACAAAACGTTGTCGCCATTCAGTCTCTTCTTAAGCAAAGCGATGAGCCTAGCGCAACTGTCCTCCTTGGACGTCATGCCGTTAAGGAGTTTGTGCAAGGATGTTCTCTCGGCTGTTCTCCAAGTTACGAGGAATTTGTTGCTAAAACAACGCCCCCAGAGAAGCCTGTTAAGGCAGACGAGAGCAATGAGACGAAGGTGCCAAACACTTCGGAGGATAACAAAGACACAGATACCAAAACAGCAACTGCCGATGAGGAGGAGGATGGAGATGAGTCTAAGACTCCGGATCCCATGTTTGACAAGTCATTTATTCCAAAAGACATTCAAGCTGCCGACAAAACGGCTACGGAAAACATTCTTTTGGTCCCTCTTCCCCATCTGTTGGGCTTCTCAAACACATTCCGTCGAATCTACCGTTTCCTTCATCGTCGTGAACTGGCTAATAAGATTGGCGAGCTTGTTACCAATGCGATTCTTGAACAAAGAACGGTACCAATACAAAAAGCGACGAACGAACAGCTGCTTGATGCTGAAGAAGGAGATTGGCCAAAAATGTTTACTAAACGCGAGGACGCAAATGAACGTGTTTGGACGGGCCCGTTTATGAAGACAGATGATAAAGCTCTTGAAGACGTGAAGCTGTACGTGACTCCCTTGGACTCATTCACAGACCAAACGAACTAAAAACACTACACGCTGCTTTTTCAATTGGGTTGCGTTTGAACGACTACTCTTGTTTTGGAGACGAACTACTGTTTAAGTATAGGTTAGGATAGAAGGTTAGGCAATACATTCACGAACGAATCTTTGGATATGTACATATAGACTCAGAGGCAATTGTTAGCGGATGATGACAGCGCACATGTACGTGTGTCAGTTCTATCGCTAATAATATGCGCCTTCTCATCAATTGGTTTTTGTGAAATTGGATTTCTTAGGTATATGTCTTTTTGCTTAGTAAAGCAAAATTAACTTCTTTCAACTCATTACAACTCGTCATAAGTAGCCTCGTGTTTTTTGAACACGGCCGTCAAATCTGTAGCACCATTAGTTTACACGTTTCCACATGCAATCATCTTCTTAACATACCTTTTAGGAATTGACCCGAAATTTTTTTAGGGAATTTAATAGACCACTCAATAAAAGCATTACCATAGCGCTTCGTAGGCTTATTCTTGCGTTCGTCAAACTTTGGCATACCCTCATTTTTGACCTTTTCGACTTCACCAGGTCGAACAACGGAACCAGCATTGCGAGTAACAGTAACAAGGTGTCCATCCAAGTGTCGAATTGTCTTCTTCCAGTTACCGAGAAGTGCATCTTTAACAGAAAGTTCTTCTTTCCGATACAAGTCATCACCCTTTCTCGTCCATCCTTCGTTGTTGTTAGGAGACTCTTGAAGGATAATGTTGATGTCTCCGGTTTTGTAATCAGGACTTTCGTCTGCCTTCTCAGAAAACGTCATGCGGTAATTGACAGGAGCGCCTGCAGGAATATTCACCGTGAATGTCTCACGTTTTTGAACGACACGATTTCCGTGACACTTGGGACAGCTGTGTTTAATTTGCACACCAGTGCCATGACAAGCGTCGCAAGGCATCTGCATTTGCTGGAACATACCGGGGGCAATCATTCGTTTGACAACCCGTATTCCATGGCCACCACAGACCGTACACGTTTGCATTGCCTTGTCCTTACTGTACTTTGTGTTGAAACCCTGTCCCTTACAAGAGTCGCAAATACGATTGACGTCCAAGTAGATGTCGAACGCAGCACCTTTGTAGTATGTAGCCAGATCAATCTGTAAAGCACGGTCCATGTTTGGTCCACGGCGGGGTCCTTGGTTTCCAAAAGGATTCCGTCCGCCAAAGAGATTACCGAAGAAGTCACCAAAGCCGCCCTCGAATCCACCTCCAAAAGGATTTCCTTGAGGAGCGCCGCCGGGGTTTTGACCATGCTCACTCCGTTCGACGCCTTCTTCGCCGTATGTGTCATAGATCTGCTTCTTCTCGGGATCCGACAAAACTTCGTAGGCACGACCAATCTCCATAAACTTCTCCTCAGCTTCTTTGTTACCCCTACAGATGTGTTAGTACTTTCTTCGAACTTGATAAGTCTGTAGGACAGCGGTTCACGAACTTGTTCTTATCCGGGTGCCATTTCTTCGAAAGTTGTTTATATGCCTTACGAATGTCCGAGTCTGAAGCACCTTTGTTGACACCGAGAACCTATTTCCCGTTAGAAAGAGCACATTTACTAAGTTAAACTGCTTGTTACTGCAGTGCTCAAACCTTGTAGTAGTCTTCAGCTGCTAACACAAGCTGGAACAGCAAGAAGGCAAAGAAAAAGAACCTTAGAAGCATCCTTTCACTGGTTGTAAATGGAAAAAGAGCGTTCTGACTACAGTGTCCTGTTCTACTACTGTTTCTTGGAGAGGACACGTTGCACCTGCACGGTCAAAGTCTAGGAAGGGTATGACACTTTCTAGAAAATACAGTATATACGGAATGTATGGTTAAGTAAGGAAGATGATGAACACCTTTGGACATGTTCAGCATATTTAACATCCTCGTCGGTTGCTCTTTTTTAAAGTATTGCTTTTCAAAATGATTATGTAAATTGACAAATATAAAAAAAAAAGGTCACAATGAAATAGATTATTTATTTAGACGCATTCGTATTAATAAAAAGAGGACTTGTTAGAGAGTGTGTATTCAATCCACAGATGAATAGTAAAAAAACCGCTACTCTGAGCGAGAATCTCTGAGACTTCTTCGAGTACACAGCCTGCGACCCAACGTGCTTCCTTGTGAATATGCAATATCCTTGTGTGTAATACAGTTAATTCATTAGTAAATGTAACGAAGGTGCTCGGTGAAGAGTACTATGGGACGCAGCTTCCTTTCTCTTGGATTCAGTAACGGCAAAAAGAGACGACTGAAGAACCAAAAGATCATTCAACGGTCCGGACTTAGTGAAATATAAAATGCTGGCGAATATGTTTGCCTGACGCGAGTTGCAACTCTTTCGGCTCCCATTCATTCGCATTCCAACCACAACTTCCTGGACGTCAAGTGAATGATTTAAGGAAAAGGATAAAACAGGCACAAATCTGAAAGAGGTCATTACATCTTGCGCAAGACGTGGAAGCACAAGGAGCAAAACGACGTTAGTCCTTGAAATTACATGAGTGCCCTTCCTTGGCTGTGAATAAGCGATGAAAGGAGGAAAAAGACTTGTACGCGTCCGTATGATGAACTGTTTATGCGTATGCGTACGTGTAAGTAAATAAGTGTGCGTTTGTGTTGAGACGAAAGCATTAATGTTTAAAGTGTGGATTCTTGAGATAGGACATTTAATGGCAACGGTATTGCACTGAATTAATCTTGAAAGTGTTAGTAAGAGAAAGGGATCGAGAGGATGGGAAATCTTGGTTCGTTACCACAGCCGGTCAGGGGGATAACGGCCTTCATTACAACGGAACTTATGCCTCTTGGAAGAGACTTGTCTATTGCATGTGGCAGCGTGTCGAGCCAGACATTTCCTTGAATTTTTACATACCCTCATAGGAGCCAGCACAACACGAGCAGAGTTTTGCCCAAAAAGAACGTTTTTCTCTAGACCCAGATGATGGTTTTGCAGCTTGTACAGGTCGCCCTTGTGTGTTGGAAGTATTGACACGAGAGTTCGTTTGAGGTACAGCGCCATTACGACCGCCGGCAGAAGAAGTTTGTGGAGCAGAAGAGTGAGTATTGGGGGCAACATTAGACATTGGGCGAGAGGAGGAGACGCCGGGGGTCGGTGGTTGTGAGCCGTTCAATAAGGTACGCTTTGAAGCATCGACAGTGTCACTAGTTTCTGCACCAAGAGGCACAGGAGACGCATTCGCGGCATCGCCCGCATTTGATTGAGAGTTAGCAAACAGTTGAGAACGGAGTGCTTGACGTGAAGCCTGGTGAGTATGACGAGAAGCATGTTGCCAATTGCCTTGACTCTCTGTACGACTTGCACGCTTCATCGATTGCCAGCCGGCACCTTCATTCAGCAAGTCCCAATCGAAGGGGTCGTTTTCCGTAGCATTCAACTTCAGCAGCACAGAACTAAACAAACCCTGCAGATAGTTGTAGTCGGGTGTCTCCTCGAAACCAAGATTACGAGTATAGTGCATATACTTGTGGAACTCTTCAGGGAAACCAGCACACAATTCATCCAACGGTGTCTTTTGTTTCGTCTCGCCAATCTTATCATACTTTTGCTTGTTCGTGGCCGCCTTCAAGCCTTGCCAAGGCAAACTGCCTCGCAAAAAGTACATAAACACATGACCCAACGCTTCGAGATCGTCACGCCGAGATTGCTCGCGTCCAAGATGTGTGTTAATGGACATGTAACGCGCTGTACCCGACAGATTCTTCTTCTCTCTGTATGGGATATGCTGCTTGGTAACGGGATCCCGGTAAAATTTGGCCATGCCAAAGTCCACTGTGTAAACCAAATTTGCGTTTTTCGTGCCTGGACGTCCGATTAAAAAGTTATCGGGTTTGATATCCCTATAAATTAAGCTTTTCTCGTGGATATCCTGTACACGAGCAAGCATTTGCTTAGCGGCCAGAGCAACGCATCGGACAGAGAACCGGCGACCACACATGTCAAACAAGGACTCCAAGCTGGGACCCAGCAGATCAATCACAAGGATATTGTGAAGTCCCTCCTGTCCAAAGTAGTACACATTCGGAATTCCTTGAGTACCAACAAGCAGTTTGTATGTACGATATTCATCACGAAGTTGAGGAGCATCACTTCGGCGTGGTTCCTAAAACGAGTTAGATTAAGAAAAAAAAATGCATATTCCGACGGTCTCAAGAAACGGGAGGCAGTAAATGATCGTCCATGTCGTTGACGAACAAAAACTCTGAAAAAGGTAGCAAAGGGTGATAAACACCCAATTATTGTTTTAAATGAATGCTCCTTGCCCGTTTCCGATGAAGCAAACAAGCACCATCGAGAAAAACCTTGTTTTACTTACGAATTTGATAGCAACTTGCTGATTGTTAAGCAAGTTGGTTCCTTCAAAAATAACACCGAAGGAACCCTCACCAATCTTCTTGCCAACCTTGTAATGAACGCCGACGATGTTTGTGGACATGATCAACGAGACGTAGACTCTTTAACTAACTCGATAAATAGTTAGACTGACACTAAACGAAGCTTGGTTCGTCTAGGTAGCGTAAATTCAAAGAAACAGCACACGAGAAGAGAATGGACGTTCCAGAAACAAATCGTGATTAACAATGTCTAAATTACAAAGGGAACAACTGTTCTGAATGCAAGAAAAAGCGAAAACCAAAACTCACGTTTCGGATGGAGGTGGGCGGTAGCAGGGAGGATAATAGCTCCAGCCCAGATGACCAACTACTCCCTCCAACATAGTCGGTAACACAGCCAGAAAGTAACAGCTGTGTAGGATAGAAGGATTTGTCTGAATAGTAATTGCAACGAAAACTTTACAGTTGTCTATTCATAGTGATCTATCTGTTAAAAATTGGGACTGACTTGTTTGACAAGATACAATTGCAAGTGCTACTACTACTAAGCTAGTACAGAGAGTAAGTTAAAAAATTGCTGCCGCAAAGACGACTACGAAGCGAAACGGCCGTAGAGATGTTGTCTGAGAAAAAGAAGAGGTAAAAGATTTCGGAACACGATACACGTGGTCGTAGCGAATGCTTAAGCATGGGGAATATCCGTTGACAAAGGTAGACTGTAGAAGTGGGCTGTAAGAGACACTAGCAGCTGTTATGCGTTGTCATACAACAAGCTTCATTTCTTACGTTCGCCTTATAAGACAAAATCCTCATATTACGCCAGTCAAGAGACTTAGTAGGACTTTTAGTGCTGGCTTCCAAACGTTCAGTTTTCCATGTACGATGTTTTGCGGCAACATTTGCGTTTTTGTCAACGTATCTTTTTTTCTAATCTGTAAAACGCACAGATAAATCACCTAGAAGTTTTTCCTTCAATACACCACTTAGAACGCATACCATGACTGCTGCTCTTCGTTCCCCACTCGTATGGGTTGACTGTGAGATGACAGGATTGGAAGTTGGCAAGGATGTGCTTATGGAAGTGGCAGCCATCATCACAGACGGCGATTTAAACCCCATTGAAGAAAAGTTTGAGGAGACAATCCATGTCGACGACGACAAACTTCGTCAGATGAACGATTGGTGCATTGATCATCACGGAGCATCAGGTTTGACAGAACGTTGTCGGCAATGCAAGCAGTCAGTGAATCAAGTAGAACAAAAATTGCTCAACTACATTCAAAAGTACATTCCTCGGCGTAGAGAGGCTCTCATTGCAGGCAACTCTGTTCATGCAGATGTGCGTTTTCTGACCGTCGAAATGCCAAAGGTAATTGAGCATCTTCATTATCGAATCATTGACGTCTCCACCATTAAAGAGCTTTGCAGACGTTGGCGTCCCGATATTCCTCCCTTTAAAAAGCGTTTGGCTCACCGTGCCCTCTCGGATATTGAGGAGAGTATTGCAGAGCTGAAGTATTACAGACAACACTGGCTCTGTTCTCCCGAAAAAAAGGATTAGCAAGTAATTGGTAAGCTAAGAACAATTAGTGCATAGTGGAAATTCATGAATGAAAAAGCTCGCGTCAAGTAGCGCGGTCCATTACTGTAACGGAGACCCGTGTGTTTTTGGGGGATTTGCAGATGCACGTACATACTGATTAGTCTTTCTTTTTAAAAAAGGAGGAAATCTTCATCATGTTTGTAGTAGAAACTGACTTCAATTTGCGTGCACCAGCACTTTCCGAGGTTCGTGAGCGTTTCGTTTTGGTTGTGGAATTATTTGATGTCAGGACACGTTTGCTGGGATCCTTAAATTGGTCATGCTGGGAACGCTGTTTGGCGTCCCGGATATCCTTTTCGTAAGTATCTAGTTGCTTATGCTCCTCGGCATTCAAAGTAAGTTCACTTGCGAATGGCATAATAATTCCATCGCAAACGAATCCAATTGCACAGCGACGTTTTGCCAAGGCGACGATATCGTCAGGCACGTTTTTTCCATATTCGACAGGCGTGAGCTGCTGAAGCAAATGACTGCAAATACTCGGAGGTAGGTTGTCAACCGCAACCTGGATCTTTTGTTGCAGGTATGTGAGCACTTGTTTCTTGCTCAATTGATACGTTTCGGGCATGCCATTGGAAGATTCCTTTTTACTACACGCAACGTTCAAAGCTCGTAGAAACGCATTTGGAAGTATTTGGAGAACGAGAGCATATGCAGGGCCTCGAGCTGCAAACGAATCCTTGATATCCTCAAGAACAACATACCGGACAGGCTCATTTTGTCGATTCCAAGTCAATTCTTGCAGAACTGGTAAGACAAACGGTAATAAGGAACAAGGAGAACAGACCCACACCTTTCCATCTGCTACAATTTCATTTCCAATGAACCAAGACCTGCTTGGACATTCTTCTCCCACTTGTATTACCTCCAATAATGATTCGGTTCGTAGACCGTACCATTGTAGCCGTTCCTCTGCGGGATGCAGAAGTTGAACAAATTGTATTGATTCACCTTTAGGGGCAACAATAACGCGTCCGGGCATGATAAATGGAGGACAAGGATACAAGGTTGCGGATAGTAATGTTATCGAAAAGATATAGCACCAAATTTATGTTGTATAAAAGACTGAACCAATTAATAAGAATATGCTCGCGAAAAAAAAATTAACAAAACAAAAATTAATCTCAAAAAAATCGAAAAAAAAATTACTGCATCTTAATCAATGTAGACAATGCGTCTTTGGCAGTAGGAAGGTTAATTTCGGTATTCTCAACGTGTTTTAATTGAAAAAATTAATAAGGTTACAAGAGCGCACATTTGAAGCAAAAGAAACACGGTATAGTAAATACATCAAAAGGTTAAGTAGAATAGTGTAGTTGCATTTACGACATGTATGCCGTATAGAGGTAAAAGCAATTCTTTCCTTTGTTTACGCGTCGCGGCTGGACCCACTTACCCTCTGCAACCTTCATATAGACGAGCTTACCATATAGAATTGGTCACTTCTTGATGTGAAACGTGGATGGAATTACAACTTTAACATTTAATTTAGGGAAAAAGAGTTAGAATTTCGCGATAATAGTTTTTTTTGATGGAGCATACTGTGAGTTCATGGCCGCCGGCGTCCCCAGAACAAGTGAAACGAAACGTAAAGACCATGTCGCCAACGAAAACAATGCTGTCTCCTTCGTCTTCCCCAAAGCGTGCATCCAGACGATCGAGTATTGTCGGTGAACAGCTCGTTGCTGATGGTGAAGAGGATGAAGCACTACTGCAATTGCAGTTAAAGGAAATTCAAACCAAAATGGAGCTCATACGTGCTCGAAAACGAAAGAGGGAGAGTGAACAAGAGGAGAAGATCGAAGTTCCACGGTCTCCAGAGCCTCAACGTGTCATCCAGGTCCCCTCGCCAGCGAAAATGCACAGTCCAAGTCGCGTTAGAATGGGTGTGGACAAGGGAAAAACAGGAAAAGACATATCATTGAAACCTGCTCCCAAAGGCCCTTCGTTCACCGAACGTCTCATGTCTGCGCGACAAGAAGAACGCAGAGAGGCCGCAATGCAGAAACGACGCAGACAAAACCGTCTAAACGGCTTTCATGCCGGACAAACATCTTCCAACACGCACGAAAGTGCCGAAACTGCCATGAAAACCAAACACACGAAATCCGCTTCAACGACAAATCCATCAAAACATGCCATGACCGCTCACGAATCGTCCACGAATCCCCTCTCTACTCCTCACTCCCCCTCTCCTACAAACCCAGCATCGTGCAACGAAGTGGACCCGTACAGCCGGCAAGAGATGAATCTAAGATTCATGAGCGATGAGCAATTACGAGAGTGCTTGTCGGGAATGCGAGTGTTGCTCGTACCGCACATGCTCAAGCTCGTAATTCCACCGAAATTTGAGCCACCGGATGAGGACAATTACGTGCTTGCAGGAATTGTTGCACAAAAGTCCCCGGTCCTGACCACCGCCCGTGGTTCTAAATACTGCATCATTACCCTAACTGACCTCAAATCTGAGCTCGACTGTTTTTTGTTTGGTCGTGCATTTGAGCGCTACTGGAAGGTGCAGACAGGCACGATTGTGACCATTCTCAATCCCGATGTGCTCAAACCCGCCGACCGCACATCGTACAGCTTCTCGCTAAAGCTAGACACAGACGGGGACTCACTGCTGGAGATTGGTCGGTCAAAGCATCTGGGCCACTGCACAAGCCGTAAGAAGGACGGCAAGACGTGCAATCGCTGGGTGGATAAGCGGTCGAGCGAAGTGTGTCGGTACCACGTGGACATGGCTTTCGACCGTTCCGTCTCGCGACGCATGGAGTTTTCCAATGCAACCTTCCTTAGAGCGCCGGCCTCACATCGAGACGCTCGAGGCCGCGCAGGCTGTGAACGAAAACGTTATTATGCCGGCACAGAGATTGTGCTACGGTCGGGAGGACAGGCCGCATCCACCTTTTTTGATGACGAGGATGCGGTAGCAACAGAAGTGGAACGGAAGGAGCGTTATCGCCGCCAAATGCAGAAGGCCGAACAGGAACGTCGCATTCTCGAACGCTTGTCCCAGACCAAGGGAAGCATCTTGCGACACCATTCGCTAGGCTTGGAATATCTGCGAATGGAGCAACCTGGCCGCGAATTGGGTGTGAATGGCGGCGACAGCGACAGGAACGAACACAGCAACCCAGCAGCAGCAGCGGCGGCGCCTTCCTCTAAGCAACAGCAACAATCGCCTGCATCTTCTTCTACTGCGGGGACAGCAGTCGCATCTAACGCTTCTGCTGCTGCTACCACTGCTTCGCCAACCGGCGTTTCGGATGACGCATCCGCTACATCATCGGCTTCCCCACATTCTGCGCGCGCAGAATCTCTCGTGCGCGACGGATCGGCCAATGGATCAGCGGCAAGCGCAACTTTCCGTGTGTTCTCCGCAAAAAGTTTGCGACGCATTGGTTTCGATCCTACACAAAAATCCCCATACAGCAGTGTGGAACGGCCTTCTAGTTCACGCGCATTATGTCTGGATGGTCTTCGACGTTCTAGTTCGGATGTGCGCTTGTCACCTCTCAAAAACGTTAAGTTACAGTACGCGTTTACGGAGAGTGACGATGACGATGATCTTGAGATTATCTGAGAGACAAGCAGCGCTCGCCGACGGTTGGCGGACGCAGGCGTGAGCCGAGTTCGTGTTTCTACTTTTACTCTGATAGAGGCAAGAAGGACATGTGAGTTTATCTTTGCGTCACTAGCCATCTAGTGCTTTATAAACAGTACGTTGGCTGTTCCAACGGAAAAATACGTCCAACAAAAATTGAAAAATATTTTGTGAAGGTTGCTTAACGCCAAGAGCCCTTTTGAGCCGTGTCTTTCTGAAAAGTTACACAAGTCGCATCCTTACGCTATTTGAGCTACCAAACTTCCTATCTCATTACTAGTGCCTGCAGGACAGTATCTCATCCCCTTTTGTTCATTTCGCTGCATCCCTACCTACCTGCACCTACTCTGGTCCCCCCTTCATCCCAAGTGGTTTTTTTTTAATACTCTTCGTCATAATGTCGTTTTATCGTTTGGCCGTCCAGGTTTCCCGTCAATCTATCATCTCTTCGAGTGCTCTCGCTCGCACATCCTCTAGTCGTGCCCTGTTGCATGCCGCTCATACTGCCTCTTCGTACACTGCCTCGCGTAGCTTCACCGGTGCCGCTACTCGGCTACAATCGATGAATCGCCGCGTGTACATAATGGAGGATCAGTATGCAGATGCTGTGCGTGAGGCAACGCAAAAGCTCGGTGTCAACAGCACCTTTGTCGGCAGTGAGTCTGAGCAATTCCGCAACCTGGAGAAGCGCGAGCTGCGCAATAACCTTGACAGCCCCACATGGGGCTGTGAGCAAAACCGCTCTCCCCTTCGCGCTGCACAAGATGCTTGAACGTGGATGCGGCCCAGTCGGGACCGCGTCGGCGCAACTCAATCCCCCCACAACTCTGTGCACAAGTACACGTCCGAGCTCTCCTTCTTCACCTTTTCCCACAGCCTGTCTTTATCCTTTTTTTGCCTTTTGGTCTTTCGTTTTTACAGTAATGCATTGTTGAAGAAATCCCGGCCGGCGGATGGAGCTGTAGTGTCCTGTAGCGAGACTGGAGGCGAGCGCGGAGGCGATCGTTAAATTTGTGTAGTGTGTTGTACGGATCAAAATTTCTCTTCGTTATTGTAAATAACGAAATGTTAGAGATTGGCTTGCAATTTCGTGTGTTGCACTACAATTTGCTAACACGCTTAACGCACTACATCGCAATGCAACGCGCGAACCGGCTCGCGCTCCACCCCCACTATCCCACCTCGACGCGTCTGACGGTGAAACAAAGGAATCAATTCATTTCCTTACCGCTCCTGCGGCTCCTCACTCTCTCTTCTTCCTCTCTCCCCTCACTCCTCATCCGCTGGCGGATTGATTAGTATATTCTCTTCCTGCGGCTTCTTTCCTCTCACATGACTCGGTACACAGCTCCCAAACCCCCACTCTGCTAACCCGACAGACTCCTCAACCAACCCATATGCATCGACAATGCAAGTGCACCCCCACATACACCCCACTAACATCCTCAGGGAACCGGTATTCTCAAGGCCGGGTTTGCTAGCGAAGACGTCCCCCGCTGTCTGCTTCCCTCCGTGTATGCAGTAGCCCACATGTCCCCACCAAACCCCCGCTAACCCCCACAGAGTAGGACGGGTCAAGTATACGAGATGTATGGCCGGAGCGGTGCCAGATGACACGTTTATCGGGTCGAAAGCGCATGAAATGCGCGGCCTATTGAGGCTCACGTATCCCATGGAGCATGGAATGGTGCAGAGCTGGGACGACATGGAACGAATCTGGGCATTCGTGTACGGAGAAAGTCTCCAAGTTTCGGCCGAAGAACACCCGGCACTACTGACTGAAGCACCTCTTAATCCGAAACGCAACCGTGACCGGCTGGCGCAGGTATTTTTTGAGAGTTTTAATGTTCCTGCATTGCAGGTTTCACTCCAGGCGGTGCTCTCGTTGTATGCTTCGGGACGGACGACTGGCATCGTTGTCGACTCTGGCGACGGCGTAACCCATACAGTCCCCGTGTACGAGGGTTTCGCCATAACGCCGAGCATCCAACGCATGGATCTCGCCGGCCGAGATGTCACAGAGTATCTGCAATTGCTGCTCCGCAAGGCAGGATACTCCCTGACGACGAGCGCCGAAAAGGACGTGGTCCGGCAGATGAAAGAACAGTGCTGCTATCTCGTCAAGGATTTTGCTGCTGAACAACGTGAATGGTCGACTTTTCGTCAGCCGCTTGAAGAGTATCGGCTACCAGACGGCCAAATTGTTCGCCTCGGTAGTGAGCGATTTCGGGCACCCGAAATCCTCTTTCAGCCTGAGTTAGTCGGCTTAGAGATGCCTGGCGTGCATCGGCTTGTCCAGCAATCACTCTTTCGTGCCGATCTTGATTTGAGAAGCTCTCTAGCCTCAAACATCATTCTGTCCGGAGGCTCTACCGTCACCACTGGTTTCGGCGACCGGCTCCTAAACGAGATGCGCACCCTCATGCCTTCGGGCACTCATATTAAAATCTTCGCTCCTCCAGAACGCAAGTACAGCACTTGGATTGGCGCTTCCATCCTCGCCAGTCTCAGCAGCTTCCGCAACCTCTGGGTCTCTGCCGAGGAATACGCCGAAGACCCCAATATCCTCCACCGCAAGGGCATGCAATAAGCTTTGCGGGGCGATTCCATGTGCTTGCTGCGGTGTAACTGAATGGTGAAGTGAAACCTGGACGTTCCATGACGAAACTCACGGGATCATCTTAATGAACCCTTGAAGAAATACCTCCACACGAAAGAGGACCCCTCCCCGCAAAACTTTAAGCAAACCTTATAAAACATAACCTTTCCCCACACCCGGGCCCCACAAACTCTTTCTTTTTTATCCCAGAACGAACTGATATTTTTCTAACAAAAAAACAAAATCTACTTCAATGCATTTCCAACATCAAGAACGTGTCTAGTGCTTGTTCTCCTCGGGACGGAGAGAACGGACAGTCTCACCGGCTCTCCAGATCTCCAAGTCGCGGATCTCAGCGAGCTCCTTCTCGTAAAGCTCACGGTAGTTGGGCTTAGAGTTGTACTCCAAGGAGCGCTTGGCCTCGTTACCGTTGGCAACGTTCTCGTACAAGTCCTCAAGGACCTTCTTGTTGGCGTCGTAGAAGCGTTGAGTCCAGTCAATGGCACCACGACGAGCAGTGGTAGAGCAGGCGGCGAACATGTAGTCCAAACCGTACTTACCGATCAAGGGGTAAAGGGATTGAGTGGCCTCCTCAACAGTCTCGTTGAAGGCCTCGGCGGGGGTGTGGCCGTGCTCACGGAGAGTTTGGTATTGGGCCAAGAAGAGACCGTTGATACCACCCATAAGGCAACCACGCTCACCGACCAAGTCAGAAACGACCTCGCGCTCGAAGGTGGTCTTGTAGATGAAACCGGAGCCAATGGCGACAGCAATAGCAACAGCCTTCTCGTCAGCCTTGCCGGAAACGTTTTGGAAGACGGCGACGGAGGAGTTGATACCACGGCCCTCCTTGAACAAGGAACGGACGGTACGGCCGGAACCCTTGGGGGCAGCAAGGATGACATCGATGTCCTTAGGGGGGACAACCTTGGTTTGGTCCTTGAAGACGACGGAGAAACCGTGAGAGAAGTAGAGAGTCTTACCCTTGGTGAGAAGGGGAGCAATAGTGGGCCAGGTCTCGGTTTGAGCGGCATCGGAAAGAAGGTCCATGATGATGGTACCCTTCTTGATGGCCTCCTCCATGGGGAACAAGTTCTTGCCGGGGACCCAACCGTCCTCGATGGCAGCCTTCCAGGAGGCACCACCCTCACGAACACCAACAATAACGTTCAAACCGTTGTCACGAGCGTTCAAACCTTGTCCGTGACCTTGGGAACCGTAACCAATAACGGCAAGAGTGTCGTTCTTGAAGTAGTCAAGAAGCTTCTCACGGGGCCAGTCGTTACGCTCCCAGACGGTCTCCTTAACACCGCCAAAGTCCATAGTACGGACACCACGGGTTTGGACCATGGGGGCAACACGAGCAGCAGAGCGGCTCATAACGCCGGCGCGAGCCAAGACAGACATAGAGCGGGTAGCAGGGATAACGCGGCGGGCACCATTTTGGCGGAAGGCCTTCATGGCCAACTTAGAGGCGGAACGGAAAGACATGATTTCGAACTGGGTTCTGGGGTAGTGGAAGAGAGAACGTTGCGATTTAAGGAAGATGGTTGACATTGTGGCTGTGACTGCGACTTTTGTTTCGCTGTGATACGCGAAACTTTTGATATCCGAGTTCCCACTTTCTTACGATCATTGGTTGAGGCTCATCTTTCCTAGCCGAATCACGAGAGCAACCGAAGGCGTAAGCGAGATTTGAAATGCAAAATGCAACGCGTCGTAAACACAAGCGACGCGCAGGTGCACATTTAGAAAAACAAAACGCCATCGCAGATACAACGAAGACAGATGCGACGGATGCGACGGATGCGCAGAATGGTGTGAACGAGACGAACGCAAGCCACAAACTAAAATTACCAGAGGAATTACGAACAGGACAAGGCAGGGCTACACGAAACGACTTGACAGAAACGACACGAACGACACGAACAGCGGCACTGGCTACACTAATTACATACAATCACAGAACACCCTCCAGCTTAGACTGAAAAGAATATACTTTAATATGAAACAAACAAAGAAGCAGGCACTGGGCAAGACAGACAGAGAACACACGTTGACCTAAGTCGGTTGAGAAAGAAAGGGAAGCAGAGAGAGGGCGTAGACGGCAAAGTTAAAAAAAAGAATAAGGAACATGGACATGTGTGGGAAAGCGAAAGTTGAAGAGGCGAAGAGGAAAAGTGTTCGAGTGTGCGTGTGCTCGTTTGTATGTAAGTGAGTGTGTGTGTGTAAAGAGTCTAGATTGATTTGGCAGCCGTAAGAAGCTCAAATCCAAAAAACGAGACGCTGCCGTTTTTTGATATACAAACCAATGCGGGATAAATGGAAAGGTGAAAACGATGGGGGGAAAGGTGTACCCCGTGTTGGAGGGGCGTCGACAAACCCGTTGGAATAAATGGGACGTTTGAGCGTGTGGATTTTGATGTTTGTGCAAATACACACACTCATGCGTCCCACTCATTCCAACACACCCCATTGAGGTGCACGGAAACGTCGTGTATGTTCGGTCAAAGAGGATGTATTAGGGGACAGGGTCATTAGATCGTATCCAAGAATGAACGCGTCTAAAAGGAGTTGAATCCTCACGCTATCAGTACCAGTAGTAGCAATCACCGCAAACGTTCCACTTCAAGCATTCATATTGTGCAGATGCCATGGAGCTTCCCCGTTGCCGCGGTTACAGTAGCCAAGAGTATGCCTGTCCGGGACAAAGAGCATTTTATGTTTATTCAAGTGTGCTCGAGTAGTTAAGGGACGCATGTGTACTTGAGTGAATGCGACCCCGAAAGATGGGTGCTGGCAGTTTTTTATTTTTTTTTACCAAGAGGCCATGTCTTCCATCTCACCAAACACACTTTCACGAGTGGTGGTCAATGACTCGCCCCCTTCAGTGTTTTTCTCGTCCACTAAGGGACTCGAGAGAAATTGCTGAAGATGCTCTTTCTGGAACTCAAGAATGTAAGAATTCACCTGGTCAAACTCCAATAAGAAACCATCGTGTCCTTCGGCAGACGTGATGGACTTGAGAGTTCCATTTTTGAGCAAACGGACGATCTCAACTTGCTCATCAAAGGTAAACAGGCCATCGGTTTCAATACCCATGACAAGTGCTGGCTGGGTGATGGCTTGCATGGCCTGTTCCAAGGTGTCCGCACGATCACGCATCACGTCGTGCGTGTCGAGTTTGCGAGTAATGGAGATGTAGCAGTTGGCATCAAATCTCTTAACAAACTTATTGGCTTGATAGCGCAAGTATGACTGCGCAGAAAAGTACGTGTTCATTGGGCGTCTGAGGACGTCGTTGGATTGCCTGCGGGACAACAGAGATGGGGGTTGTGAAAAACTGCTGCTCATGTCGGACGTTGGAGTCGAGACGCCGCTTGAGCGTGCAGGGCGCTCGCTACGGTTAATATTACCTTCATTGTGCACAACCCATCGAGCATCATTATTAGAGAGGGGGGTGGGAATGTGATCAGGGTAGGGGTGACGAGTCGTGTCGGCGGCGGCACGGGAAAACCGGCGTTCGAACGAGCCTTTCGTCCTGTATGTGAGCAGCGCGGCCATACGAGCGGCACCGAGTCCACAGACGGGTTGCTCATCAGGCTCGTAATAGCCATCCTTAAAATGGGGGTCTGAGTAGATACTCTGACGCTGAGCTTCACACCAACTAATGCACCAAGCAGAGTGACGAAGCGAAGTTGCAATGGGCACAATGGTACCGACAAAATCCTTGTCGAAGGCCCACTCCAGCACAAGCATGCCTCCCATGGAACCGCCGACAGCCATGGCAATGTGCTTCACACCCAAGCGTTGCAAAACAAGCTTATGGATTTGGACATCGTCGCGCACCGTCGTCAGAGGAAACTCGGGGCCATAAGTAGTCTGCGTTTCCGGATTCCACGTCACCGGTGAGGCACTACCGTACGGGCTGCCTAACGAATTCAAACAAACAATGAAAAACCGTTGAGGATCAAAGGCACGGCCCGGGCCCATAAGAGGTCCCCACCAGTCGGCAGCATCTGCAGAGCCACTTAAGGCGTGACAGATGAGCAAACAGTTGGTACCCTCGGCATTCAATTTACCCCAGGTTTTAAAGGCAACCGGTACCTCATAAAGGACATCACCGGACTCGAGCACAAAAGATGGCACAATAGCAAGCTTTTGAGAAGAAATAAGGTTGACAAAGTGATTTTCCTGCTGCGAGTGATGAGAACAGTCTGTGATCTCAATAGAATCAATATAATTCTGAATGTCACTCATTTTTTTTTAATTTACGCCGTTATTTCCGGAGAATCGAGAGTAAAAAATTAAGACAGAAAAAAAAACCAAAAAAGAAATAAAGTAACTTTTGTTGTTTAGAGTACACGGGAAAAAGATTCAAAAACGTTTGCGAATCTTATAAAAAAATAAATTCAAAGAAGAGAAAGCTGACTTCCGTCAAAAAGAAAGACAATAATCGAAAACTAAACCTGTAACTAGGTTTCTCTATATTCGTTTAAAGAAAACACACACACAAAATCTCGAGTCACGAGCTTTGTTGATTGAATTCAGTACGTGTAAAGATTTCGTATTGTCGTTTATCAAGTACTTACGCTTCTTCAGATAAACGGCTCCAATACTAACGTCTAACACGCGTCTGTAGGCTTGCTAGTGCGTTTGTTGAGTTCCGCGTTATTGTTGTTAAACAAGATACTGTAAAGGAGCGAGGATGCACACTCGTCCAGGAGCAAAGAAAGGCGCAAAGTGTATTCGACCGTTAAACTCGCAACAAGCGAATCTGTATATACGTATACAGTTGTTAAGTTGTTAGTGGCAAGGAGTTGGGAAAAGGTAAGCTGGGTGGACAACGTGGTGTCTTCTGTACGGGGTACGGCTAGGATACCTCGATCTTGGCGCAAACAAACATATACAGCTTTCCTAGCTTACAGCTTGACAGTTCATAATCATAGATATTGGAAACGCGTTCTGTACATTAAATGCTATATTTTTCGGCGGTATTCCATTGGCGAATTATTTCGTCCCCACAATGTGCTGTGTGCCTTACGTAGGTGCGGCCGTGCCATTTCCCTATACCTGCTAAACGCAGTGAATTGAAGCAAAACTCATAGAATCGTGCTATAAACAACTTCTAGTACACAAATTTGGACGTTCTTTGGTTCCCTTCGTTTTTTTCTTTTTGGTTTCTTGACAACGAAACGAATTGCATGTATTTTTTCCCGTCCTTTGAAGACTAAGTTTGGTTTTTGTCCAAAAGTTTTGCCTGTGAAATGATAGAGATGGCTAGAGAAGCTCTTTTATTCTTTCTCCTCGTGACGCTTTGCGTCGCTCTAATTGTAAGTTATTTAGGAATCCATAAAAAAGTATTAACCACTGATATAGCTTTTTTCGTACCTCAAAAACTCTCACAATCCCCGGAAACCGCTGGCCGGCGAGGATGTGTATCTACATGCCGATGAGAATGGCCGAATTGTAACAGCAAGGTTAAAACGACACGACACGGACCCTGACATCAAATTGTCTGTTGTGGTCCCTGCGTTCAATGAGTCGGATCGCATTATAAACATGCTGGAGGAGGCCGTTGCACACCTAGACACGAAGTTTAAGCAGACCGTCTCGGACCGGAAGCGTCGCTGGGAAATCATTGTTGTGAATGACGCTAGTACGGATCGTACCGTTGATGCTGTGCTGGAGTACTCGCGCTCTAAGCGTTTGGGCCACTCCCTACGCGTGTGCTCGCTGCAAAAGAACCGCGGCAAGGGAGGTGCTGTTACGTGGGGCATGATGCATGCCCGGGGTGATTATGCCATTTTTGCTGATGCTGATGGTGCTTCACGTTTCTCGGATATCGACATCTTGTTTGATAAACTGGTGGACAATGAGTATGGAAGCATTGCGATCGGCTCTCGCGCCCACATGGTGAACACAGATGCCGTTGTCAAGCGTTCTCGTCTTCGCAATTTCTTAATGCACGGCTTTCACAGCATGCTTCGACTTCTCGGCATTAGGGACATTGGTGATACGCAGTGCGGCTTCAAGCTTTTCAGCCGGGATGCCTACAGTAAGATTTTCCCCATGATGCACGTTGAGGGCTGGATTTTTGACATAGAAGTCCTCATTCTTGCCCGTTTTCACGGGGTCACTATTGTCGAAGTACCAATTACATGGCACGAAGTCGGTGGCAGCAAGATGATGTTACTGAAGGACAGCATACGTATGGCTATTGACCTGCTTGTCATCCGTCTCAATTATACATTTGGTATTTGGAGACGTCCTAGAGTCAAGTAAGGAGAGAAAGAATTACTACGCTCCCTCCGACCTCCGTGAACACACTGATGAAGCGCACGGACCCATAACAACCGGACATGTTTTGTCCAACGTCCTTGGCGTTCAAAACCCCAAGACTTTCCTTTTCTCAACCGGTAATGCTCGCGACATCCTCACCACCTCTGACTGTCGGTTGCATTGGCATTACATCTCCCACTTCACTCGCCTCGGTGCTTTACCGTTCACGTCTTTCTTGCGTGTGTGTTCGGCATGCACCGCATCACTAAACCTTCATTTGATTATATAACGACCCACGCCTTGTACATTCATACGCATCAGTGCACTTACTGGATTGACGCAGATGCGGAATTCGCTGATCTACAAAAGACAACAGCTGGAACCACGTTCGCGCGTCTTCCGTGCTTCGTTCCCTCAACTAATCTTGAATGCATCAAAGACACATATCAAGTGATTGATGATCAATGTTTGCATCCCCCGACTTCACTGCTTCCTGACAACCATCTCATCCTATGCGCTCGCATGTTTCAATCTTCCAACCACTCCGCCGTCATAAATGTAAGCGAAGATGATCTTCCTGTCTACGCATAAGCCGTCGAGGCCACGTTTTATTGCTTTTGTCTTCTGGTAAGCGTGTTCGCTCCCATACTACCGCTCACTATCTTAATCTCATCTCATTGCGCGCTTGTTCACTGGCTCCACCGCCTCCACTTACCGGCTCGTTTACCTGAGGCATTAAGATTGTAACTGTTATCGCACGGTTCCCGGGCGCCTAATCCACGTCTGAGTTTTGACGTTTATCAATTCGGCGACGATTAAAAAGGACAATCATTTCGACATTTTTGCAAGTCTGTGTTCTCTTAAAAACCAGCTGCCTTACCATTGCAACTCCTCAGTGAGCTCACTAATTGGCTTATCTTTGATTGAAAAAAAAACAATCATTGTTGTGGCAATTTTGAGTGTGTTGTAGATTTATCTGATTCGCCCGACTTGGTACAACCTTTTTAAGCTTGGTCGCAGCACAATCGCCGTCCCTGACACAACTATCCTCTTATCGACGAGTTCTCGGGATTGGAACACCCAGGACTACCTACTACTACCGCCAGACACACCGTATATTATTTCCCTCGTGTCTGCCTCTCATTCTTTTTGTGTTTTCTCCCATTTATTTTTGGAAACTCTCCTTTTTGAACGAAAATAGCTTCGGATCTACTCAGCAGCAGTGATGCTCCGTTCATTCTTTTCGAAAAACTGCGCTGGAAGAGCGCTTTGGAGTGCTGAGAAACGTGCATTCTCCAGCCTTTCCATCAAGAATCACGAGCGTGTGCTCCCCAAACGCACCTTCTTCAAAGAGCCACCTGCACTGAACGAGATTGCGACCTTGACCATCCGCAACGGTCCCATCTTCCATGGCACATCGTTCGGTGCAAACCGCAATGTCTCTGGTGAGGCTGTTTTCACTACGTCGCCCGTGGGTTATGTTGAGTCGATGACGGATCCTTCGTACAAACAACAAATTCTGGTTTTTACACAGCCGCTGATCGGTAACTACGGCGTGCCTTCAAGCGAGGCTCGTGACGAAAACGGCTTGCTGCGTTTCTTCGAGTCTCCCGGCATCCAATGTGCCGGTGTGGTAGTCTCGGACGTGGCCCTTCAATACTCCCACTGGACTGCAGTGGAGTCGTTGAGCCAGTGGTGTGCCCGTGAAGGCATCGCTGCCGTATCCGGAGTCGACACGCGTGCCATTGTCACATACTTGCGTGAGCAGGGTTCTAGTCTGGCGAAGATTAATATTGGTGAGGAGTACGATGCCGATGAGGACGAAGCCTTCACGGACCCTGGCGCGGTGAACTTGGTCAGCCAGGTCTCCACTCGTGAGCCCTTCTTCGTGTCTGGCGGCGATGGCTCGCTCAACATTGCTGTTATTGACTGTGGTGTGAAGGAGAACATCTTGCGTTCGCTTGTGTCTCGTGGTGCTAGCATCACGGTGTTCCCCTTTGATTACCCCATCCAGCAAGTCGCCAGCAACTTTGACGGTATCTTCCTCACGAACGGCCCCGGCGACCCGACTCATTTGACCAAGTCTGTCGCCAATCTTCGTGAGCTGATTGCTTCCTACAACGGCCCCATCATGGGTATTTGCATGGGTCATCAGCTGCTCGCGTTGGCCAGCGGTGCCAAGACCATCAAGCTTAAGTATGGTAACCGTGGACACAACATTCCCGCTCTCGACATCGCCTCCGGCAGTTGTCACATCACCTCCCAAAACCACGGCTATGCCGTCGACGTTGCAACTCTGCCCAAGGACTGGAAGGCTACTTGGATTAATCTGAACGACCAGTCGAACGAGGGCATTGCTCACGTTTCTCGTCCCATCTCTTCCGTCCAGTTCCATCCGGAGGCCCGTGGTGGTCCTATGGATACCTACTACCTCTTCGATGACTACATTGCCAAGGCCAAGGAGTTCAGCAAGGCTCGTGCCGCTGCCACCGCTTCGGCGTAATAGACTTCCTCCCTCCCTCCCCCTGCGAGCTTAAACGCGTTGTCTTTCTTTCCTCTCTGTTTTATATTCTTCATCATGAACACGCTTTCAATTTAATATTCTTTGTATGGACGGCACACCCGCGTCGCCGCTGTGCATGCTGCCTTACTAAGCAAACGCTCCAATGGAAGCTATCTACTCGTTTGGCTGTGTCGCTTCAGCCAATTTAATTCGTTTCCGCGAGACAGCAAATTTAAAGTCGCTTGCTATTTTTGTTTTACACAGTCGGCGGCGGGGCAGCGGCAGCCTCGAGAGTGGAGAGGTACGACAAGGAGTGGAATTCGAGAGCTGTTCTGATACTACGGCAATTACCGAGGCACTTGTTGCGGTGTCTGCTGCGGTAATAACTACGATGGCTACGATTTAGTTTCTACATAAAATGTTTGTTACAGTGAGAATGTGGAGCACTAGCGTCGAGAGAGAGTCCTACTTCCCGGCGTGGCGTCACCAGGAGAGAGGGGGAGCGCTTATTACGGAGGCCGCAATTACAAAACTGCAGAAAGCTGTTTCTTAGTGGGTGTTTGCCCGACCCTTCTATCGGTCGTCTACGTAAAGGCGCGTCTACTGTGGTCCAGTCGTTCTATGGATCCCGAAACCTCTTCCCCGCGTTAGACCCATCTCCTCGGAGAATTTGGGCCGATAGCCGGGGGCGGTGGCTCCCGCATTTCCTGATTGCGTCGGCCCACTTTCGATAAGATAAGTTTAATTAAGAATACGTGAACTGTTTGCCGATACAATCATATTTCGGTGAAATAAGGACGGTCGTGGAGGAATTCTCTGGCGCCGAGGATGATGTGTGTAAATCAATATCATGTCAAGGTCATGCAGACGAATGGCTGACTCCTCGATCCATCGCATCTATCCGCGTGTTCGCATCTCGCTTGCCACCGTGTGTAAGCAATAGAGCCAGGCCTGGGCGCGCCGCCTCCTGTAACCTTGCAAAGCAATCACGCTCGGCTGTTGGGTTTCGCTTGCTGCAGGAGCGCTGAGGTGAGACGAATAGAACGGATAGGAGCGGATGGAAAGCAATAGAACCGGGTATGTGCCAATGTGCTTTCATGCCAGTCAGGAAAAAGTCACTTTAGCTGCCGAAAAAGGCCTCTATTTCGCCGCGTATTCCGTCTCCTTCACGTGTGGAAGCTTTTCGCGTTTCCGCGTTTTCGAAACATGTGCTGCGCCTGTGGAAAACTGGCTCTCCAGAGCTGTTTTCTGCAGACTTTCTGTGTTTCCATATACTCTCTTTCATTAAATAGGATAATTTATTAATAGAACATGCAGAGGTTCCACAGCAGTCGTATGACCGTCCAATTCGTGTCGTATTGTATTTTTCGTTTCGTTAACCGTGTTCTGGCGAGCATCCCAGCATTCGCTTAGAGTGCTCCCGTGACGTGTGGGGCACTTATCAGGGTTCGTGCTGACTGTGGGACACCACTGTAAAACTGAACCCTGCGAACCCCACAACACCCACCCCGTAATTAGCGGACGGCAAACCAATAACCCCCTCCACCAACTTAACATAAACACAACAGTACTGTGACCAGGTCCAGGAGTTTTTCGTTAAAAACGGCGTTTTTGAAGCTGGATTTGTGTAATTCAGTAGGTTTTTTGTTCTTGGACTACTTTTTTCCCCCAGGATTCTTTTTTGAACGGATTTTTTTGGGCTTTCTTCAGAGTCCCGCATTCGCAAAACTGATACTCGCTTGTAAAAAGATTTTCTATTTAAATTGCTGTTTTACAGGGCCTGTAATCCCGTGCACACATTCTCTATTTGACCGATAACGGTTGTAATACTCCTGGATACAAAGGCAATCGCACAATTTGTTGGATTCTCGCCCCATTCCAGACTATATTTTCCTTTTCTTTCGGCTATTAAGGAACTGAGAGGTTTTCGAAAAGGAACACCACGAGACACGAAACGTGAGAATTTTCATTTGGTTTGACGCGTGTTTGTGCTTGTCAAACTTGCGTCCATCCATTTTCTTGCGAGTTCTCGCAGCTGACAGCTTAACCGTCGCTTTGACTTTTTTTTCCATCTTTTCCCGAGACGTATCGACGTCTCTGCACACATAATATCGGCCTGCCTACAATAATGTACACTTCTGCTCTTAATCTCACGCTGCCCGGTGACGGTGGCAAGAATGCAGTATCGACTGCAAGACCCTCAAACAACAGTTGTGCTCTTTCCGTTGACGGAGCCTACAGCGGTAACTTGACTGCAGTGTCGCATGCATCAAGTAGCACTACCAACTTGCCACTCAAAACATCGGCGCCTGTCGAGCGTCGGGAGGACGATGACTGTGCACACCTGTCTTCCGCTAACGATTTTGGCATGGGCAGCTTGTTGTATTCAGCAAGCAAGTCTTTTTCCGGCAAACCATCATACACTTCTTTTATTGTCGATTCTGCTCTTGGAAGCAGTATTAATACTACCGGTGCCGCCAGTGGCACCCTCTCACAAATGGGATTGACTCCCAGTTCGCTTTCGGAGGAAATGCAATTGAAGCAATCTCAGCAACTAAACCCTGTTCTGAAATCTCCTTCTCGTCGCGCACGCTCTGGAACTCTGCCATCTCGTCTGTCTCGGGCATCTGCTCAGCTTGCCTCGTCTACAGGCGCCTTTTTGAATGCTGCAACGAGCTCGCTTACGGGTTCAAAAAAGACGGCAACATTGTCCGAGTATGGAGATGTATCGCTACCATCACTAGAAGGCTCTGCTCTATCGCTTTCGTCCAACCCGCCTCTAGCTCCTGTTAGCATAAAAGTTACTGATGAGTTGAGCGGGTCCACTGCCTTTCCTCTGAGAAGAGACACGAACGCATCCAATAACTTCTCTAGCAAGTTGGGAAACGACTTGTTTTCTACGTGGATGTCGTCTTCACAGTCATCCACCCAAGCGAGAATGGAGTCTCCGGAACTGCCCGTTTTCCATCGAACCAGTGACATGGAACGCTCGTTCCCTCAGTCGAGCCTTCCATCCTCACAGTTAGCCAGTGCTCTTTTGAACTCGTCCATGTCCTCCAACGAGGCTGAACACGTGAACACGCTCGATTATCTTGGACTTTCCGATTCCATTGACTGTTCTCGACAAACAACCAGGTATGTTGAGAAGTTCGAACCGAAGAACTTGAAGCAAGTTTCGTCGATGAATAGTCTGAGCAGCACCTCAAAGTCTGCTCTGAAAGACGACGGCTCATCGAACACTGCCGTACCGTATTCATCACATGGTTCTTTGCGTTCATCAGACACGCAAATGCTTTCGAACGCTTTTGGTTCCATGCATCTTTCCTCGATGTTTAAGAGTGGAACTAGTCTGGGCAGTTCATCTCAGCTCAATAGCTTGTCTTCCTCTCGTTTTCCCCCGACATCTTTGCTCAGTTCGAGCCACCTCTCCGATTCGTTTTTCGGAAAGCAAGATCGGTCTTTGATGTCTGATACACAAGAAGACTTGTCGGATAACTTTGGGCTTGGCTCTTGCGTTAGCAAAACCTTAATGATTTCCAATCTGCCTCAGAATTGTAGCATGGTTCAGTTGCATCCTCTTTTGAAGGACTATCAGACAGTTGAAAGTATTAGAATGTTGCCTAAAGAGAATGCCGCCATTGTCGGTTTCGACTCTCCTGCCTCGGCAATTGCCGCACATGAATCACTACAAAACATATCTGTTTTTGAAGGCTCGATGCCGTTGCAAGTTACATTCGTAAGCTCCATGTCGAGTTCCGAAAGCACAATGTCGAACAGTCTTTCAAGCTCCAAAGAGAGCGGCATGCTTATGGGATCGGGCACTTTGAGTGTTTCTGGACTCGGAAAGCATGCGGAGTACTTGGACTGTATCGTTAAATTTGGACATTCCATCAACCTTGATAAGGTTGAACAGATGCTTTCCGACTTCGAGAAGTTTACGTACTTTGCGACTGATATCAAGTCACCCTTGGAATCCCTCCGTTCACGTCAGTTTGACGCGTTCAAGCTTCGCGAGATTCGTAAAAACATTGACAATGGTGTTTATACACAGGAGGAAATTGAAGAGATTGCCAAGGGTATGTTGGACGACATGGCCGAGTTGTCATCAGACTATCTAGGAAATACGGTTGTGCAAAAGTTCTTTGAGTATTGTTCAGACTCAGTTAAGGAAAGCATGTTAGAGCGTATTGCACCTCACTTGGCTGAAATTGGTACACACAAGAATGGAACATGGGCAGCTCAAAAGATTATCGACGTTGCATCCACCAACCGTCAAATGGACTTAATTATCCAGCATCTCACACCTTATCTTCCTTTGCTTTTCCTTGATCAGTTTGGTAATTATGTCGCTCAGTGTTGTTTGCGCTTTGGTTCTCCAAAGAACGATTTCTTGTTCCAGGTAATGGCCCTTCAATGCTGTGAAATTGGACAAATGCGTTTCGGCGCACGGGCAATGCGCGCTTGTTTGGAGAACGAGAAAGCGACGTTGGAACAGCAAGCCCTGTTGGCGGCAGCTATCATTCTTAACGCACCACGTCTGGCTAATAACCCCAATGGGATGCTGTTGCTTACTTGGTTGCTTGACAGTTGTGTCTTTGCAAACCGTCATCAATTGCTTGTCCTCCAAATTTTACCCCACCTTGCTACGTTATGTACTCATAAGGTTGGATCGACTCTCATCCTCAAATTGCTGAACAGCAAACAGGAGATTTATGCTCGTGACTTAATTCTTGAAAAACTGTTTTTCGCTGAAGATACAATTACGCTTTTGAAAGTGTTTTCAGACCAAGCTGTTGGAGCCGGTCTTTTATATAAGATTATTACTGGGCCATATATTGAACGTGAGGCAATGCTACAAATTCACTCGAAGTTGGGACATCTTTTGCTCAAATACGCCACACACAACTCCCAGAATTATCGTCGTTTAATGGAAGAAGTTGGTCTAATTTCAAAGAACCATTCTATTCTGAATGGAGGAATGAACCCTATGCTTATGGACTCTACTGCCTCCTCTAATACAGTGCGAGATTACTCCTTTTCGCGTGTTTCTTCTCAATGTATGCCTGGACCAAGAAATGTTGACGTTGGTTACAATATGCCACAGATGCTGCATGGCTATGGCAACATCGTATCTTCTTCCGCTATGCCTGTTTATTCCGCAGCGAGCGGGTTCAACGACGCTTATGGCTTAGAAAACGCGTTGTCCGCTGAATCTACTGCGAGTTTGTTGAAGATTGGTTCGCAAAAGCCATTGTCTCATTTCCGCAAAGAAGCATTTAGTAATGTTTCAATGAACGCTGGTTTTGAACATTCTAGAGGAAGGTTGGGAGTCGCTAATTTGAACGACTCTTACATGCAAGCATCCACCGTGAACTTGAAGAATCTTCATAGCGGACTCAACCATTAATAATCGGCTTCTATGGCTTGCTGTTTTGTACCAGATGAATAGAAGCGAATAAGGCAAATGGAGTTTCTCACGCTGTTTGCTTTCCTTAATTATTCGGTTTGTTTCGTTTCTTTTTTGTTTGGTACACCATCAATGGTTTTTGTTTACACTCGAAACAGAGCGCGGTCAGGGTCTTCTTTTCTTTTGCATGGGCACTTTGTTAATTCGTTGGTGACTATGTTTGTTCTTCTCCCGTGTTTCTTCCATTGTTTCCCTTTTCCTAATGGTTTCACACCTCTTCGTTCCAATTCTATGCACGACAAGTTAGAAGTTCTGCCGCTCTTTTTTTAATCCTATTCAATCTGTTATCGTCTATCAGGTACGGTACCAGATGTCTATTTATACACATCTATATATTCATCCTTATCGTTTCTGTGTTTTACCCATCGACCGAGGCAACAGGCGTGTTTCCGCCAGTTTCTTTCATCACTATGTTTTCTCCCTTAATTTGTGTGTTTTGAGAGCAAATAGATTATTTAATGCCTCGTTGCCGATTTTTTGTTTGCTCTTTTATCCAGTTTTTTCGTTCGCGGTTCTTCTTTTCTGCTTGGGTTCTTCTATTTCTTCCTTCGTGTATAAAATAACTCACACGCACGCACACACACACACACACACATATATTTACTATGCACTCATACTCTCTCACTAACTCTTTCCTTCCATTTCTCCTAGCTTCTTCGAAACCTGACGAAGCGTCCGGCCCGTAAGGACATAGGGATGCAGCAGCGTCTTGAGACTCATCTTCGTTTTCTGTGTGGATTATAGTGTCTTTTTAGGAGAGTGTGTTTGCTCTGTTGAAAACTCTCATCCCTGTCCGTTTGTTCTGTTTCTCTGTTCGTCTAGTTTCCATTTGGAATATCCATCATCTGCTCTCGTTTTTGTTTTCCGTTATTCTATCTTATTCTACTACTACTACTACTGATTCGTATTCATTTAATTAGCAAATATATTAGTTGAATTTTTAGATCTAGCTTTGGGTTTGTGTTGCGCTAAGTAATTATATCTCCATGATAGCGCTAGAAAGCATCCGTTCTGGCACACGGCCTGCGGCACTTGGTGCACGGATGTGTAATTAGTTCAACTAGCGATTTTATTACTAACAAAATTGTGCAACTATCAATTTCGCGCCTTTTGCCTACCTCTTCCTGTTGCTCTTCTGTATTTCCCTTATAGCTAAGACTATAGCTACACACAATGTTACACCACCAAAAAGTCCACAGAGTGCGACTTCTACGAGTGCTCCACCACGACTAAGTGACGGGTCTATTCCTCCAACTTTGGCTGGTAAAAAATAGATAAAAGTGGAAAAATGTCGTCGCCAAAGTTTACTGTTCATTTTAATCCAAATCCAGGAACCAAAAAACAAGCGCGACATGTGTACTTGACTCCAGCAGCGGTTGCCCGGATGCGTCTGTGTGTGATGCAGTTCGTTTGCGTAAAACACGACGGTGGTGAGGCTGTAGGAATTGTTCAGACTCTGAGTAATAACAACTATGGTCCATTTGAAATGCTGATTACGCCGGAATTTGCTTCTTGGGCCAATGTGAAGCAGTATCAGAAAGTCACCATTGCCCCATATACAAAACCATTAAAAGTTGCTGCTGTTGCAAAAATTAGTACAGTGGGCCAATTACCCAGCAGTGTATCGTCCGAAGCAGCTGTAAAGGATCTACTACGGGAACTGCGTTATATTCATCCAGGAATGACAATTCCTATGTCGTTCATTTCTAACAACAACCTGGTAACACCGCCAGCTTCCCCGGCAAAACGAGCAGTAAACAAGAAAACGTCTCACCCTAACAAGACGGAGAGCGGGTCGTCCACTTCGGAAAGTTCTGCTGCTCTCACAATTGATGAAGTGCATGTCGAATCTCCAGATACACTTTTGGAAGCTGTGTCTGCACTTTCGCTAGAGGAAGTTCAGATTTTCAAGTTTGACGCTTTCTCAGAAGTTGATGTTGAGTTCCCGAGCCCTCCGGCACTTCAATTTGCGTCTCCCAAACGAAACGGAGCAGCAACACCTGTTGGCACGTCTCAGACGCCACAGCCTGAAGCCATACGAGTCACATTTGACAAGATCGGTGGCTTGCAAAAGCAAATTGCCATACTCCGAGATGCCGTTGAGCTTCCCTTGCTGCATCCGGAGCTTTTCGAGCATTTTCACATTACCCCTCCTCGTGGTATATTACTGTATGGGCCACCTGGTACAGGAAAAACAATGATCCTGAGGGCTGTTGCGGCGGAAACGAGTGCACAAGTGTTCACTGTTGACGGCCCATCGATCGTTGGTAAATATTTAGGTGAGACAGAGTCTCGTCTTCGTAAAATCTTCGAGGATGCTCGAGCCAATCAGCCGTCCATTATTTTTGTGGATGAGATTGATGCCCTTGTACCTAAGCGTACTGGCGATGTTAGCGAAGCTGAGAGCAGAACAGTAGCAACTTTCCTCACTTTACTTGATGGCATGGCAAACGCTGGACGAGTGGCCGTGGTTGCCGCTACCAATCGGCCAAATTCTATTGATGAAGCTCTTCGTCGCCCTGGTCGTTTGGAGAAAGAAATTGAAATTGGTATTCCCGATAAAGAGGCACGTTTGGATATTCTTAAGCTTCTCTTCCACGAAGTGCCCAACAGTTTGTCGGATGGAGACATCGAGGACCTTGCCGCACGTTCCCATGCGTACGTTGGAGCTGACTTGGCTGCTGTTGTTCGTGAAGCAGCACTTCGAGCTATTAAACGTGTCATTGCTTGCAAACAGTCAAAGGTTTCCGAGGAGAAGATGGATAAGAGCGTTGACACGGATTCTGCTGTTGTTGAAGACAACAACTCTGCGATACCTGCTGTAACCGATGAAAAGGTAAACATGGATGATGTTGAATTTGCTCTTTCCTCTGTCCGGCAAAGTGCCATGCGTGAATTCATCATGGAGTCACCTAACGTTACTTGGTCTCAGATCGGAGGACAAGAAGAAGTGAAGCAAAAACTAAAAGAGGCAATCGAATGGCCATTGACACACCCTGAAACTTTTGTCAAGCTTGGTGTGACACCGCCGAAAGGTATTCTATTGTACGGCCCCCCAGGCTGTTCCAAGACGCTCACGGCAAAGGCTATTGCAACAGAAACTGGATTTAATTTCATCGCAGTGAAAGGTCCAGAGTTGCTTCAAAAATACGTCGGTGAAAGCGAGCGTGCTGTCCGACAAATTTTCCATAAAGCAAGACAAGCAAGCCCTTCGGTGATTTTCTTTGACGAGATTGATGCTCTGACAACTGAACGAGGTGGTCATGACAACAGTAATGACCGGGTGGTTGCCGCTCTTCTTAATGAGATGGACGGTATCGAATCTCTGAAAAATGTTTTGGTTTTGGCAGCTACCAACAGACCAGATGTGATTGACCCAGCACTCATGCGTCCTGGTCGTTTGGATCGTCTGCTGTATGTTGGTCCTCCCGATGCTGAAGCACGTCTCGCTATCCTCCGGATCCAAGCCAAACGGATGACTTTTGCTTCTGATGTTCGCTTAGAAGAGTTGGCTCAGTTGACCGATGGTTGTTCTGGTGCTGAAGTTGTAGCCATGTGTCAAGACGCTGGCTTAATTGCTATGCATGAGAACGTCGAAGCGCAACAAGTTTCACAGGCACATTTCGAAGCCGCTCTGAAAAACCTGCGCCGTGGCATTACAAGTGAAATGATCGAATTTTACGAGTCCTTCAAAAATCAAACAACTGCTTAATGCATGCAGATTTCTGAAGCTTCTCTCACTTACATTTTTGACTTTTTTTTTTGGTTTGGCTATGGATTGTCAACGGCTTCCTCTCATCTTTACTATTTAATGCAACAACTCCTGTTCAATACTTGAAACAACAGAACAAACTCATAGACACAAAGTATACCACAATAATCCCCTTCCTGAATATATACTTCTTTCCATTTATCGTTTCAGAATCCATTCATTAGGTAAACGATTACACTACGAGTAAATAAAGGCGAGCAAGTCGGCCAAGTCGTTTTCATTGACCTCCTTGTAATAATAATTGGTACAAAAAAGTAGACATCTTCCATCTCATTAATTTTTTTAAACGTGCGTTGAAACTAAGCCGGGCTGAAGATCAACTAATGATGAAACATCTTCTTGATCTTGGAGAAGAAACCCTTACTGGAGGATACTTCGTCACCTCCTAAGGTAGCATTGGACAACCCGGGCACAGCGTTACCGCCTGTAGCTTTGTTCACACGGTTCATCATTTTCATTTTATCGGTCGTGCTTCCTGGAAGCATCTTATTCACCTTCTTCGCGTTTTGGTAGTTTTTGTACTCCTTCTTGGCCTGTGCAGCAAAGTTCTCGGACTGTCCAAGAGTGTCCGTTAACCCGGAACCATGTGCAGCCGTTGCACCAGTTAATGGTGCATCTGTAGTACGCATAGCAGACATTTCAGATGATGTTTCTTCACTTACTGTTTCGTTCACCAAAACAGAAGATCTTCTTTCTCGAGGTAAATGTTGTTTGGGGCTTTCTATAGGCGAAAGCGTGTTGTGTTGTTGTTTGGAAACAAACTGGTCTCGATTAGATTCCGCAGTTGTAGAAGAACTATCTTGGCCTGGATGTAATTGACGTCCCTCAGTGACAATGTTAGGTTCATATACTTGTTGCGACTGTGGCGACTGTGGGGAAGACGTAACAGACGAAGATTGCTGCTCCGTAGGCGACTGACGTTTGCCGCTGCGTAATTCTGACACATACTTCACTCCAGCGCTATTCTGAGTTGCGCTGAATGGTTCAGGAGTGTTACTATCGACGACGGAGACATCCTGTAGAATGGAACCCTCGGGAGAAACAGCAGGTGGAACTGATTTCGCCTTCGCAAATGCAGGCTCATCTTCAACCGCCGCGGACAGAGAGGGACGATGGGCTGCAGAAACTTTCATACTGTCTTCAACAAGGACAGGTTCTGTGGCCTTTACGGCGTCCAAGGCATGCTCTGCATTGTCTTCCGCAGCAGCATACTGCGTTGTGCCCGGAATGAAAGAACGTTTCAAGACAGTCTCCTGGTGTTCTTCCAGATTGGTGATGGGCTCATCCGTAGTCACGATTGTACCGTCATGTGCATTATGATAGACATTATCCTCAAGAATAGTTGGTGAAAAATCTTGTCGAGTGTCGTGCCAGGAAGCCTTGCTTTGCGCAGAAGGCTCACGTACTCCTTCAAATTCAGGTGCAATTTCCACCACCTGCTGAAGGTTTACATCAATGGACGATGCGTCGTGTGGCAGAGGAGTTTCCCTCTTAGACGAGGTAGAAGGCATATGACCACCTTTATTCGGCATAACCAGTTCCTCGTCACGCAGCGACTTCGTCGAAAGGCTCGAAACAGCTTCACTACTCGGGCCTAGTTTCTTCGGCTCCGGCCAACTGTAGAGAGTTTGCTTATTAAACTCATAATTGTTGTTGTGAACAGAGGTCTCGTGGTTTGCAGAAGACAGCTCGCCCACCTCATCTGTTTCCTCGTTTGCGGGCGTCGCAGAAGCTGAAGAAGTGTCGACGTGAGAAATCCGACGGCCTCTGCCAGCGAACTCTGCTCCTTGGTCATTCCTTAACAGAGGCGTCGCGCTTTCCTCTGTCCGGTAGTACTCGACGCCTCGATAACCCTCGTTTTCATCGTCATCGGCATAATCATCGCGTTCTTCCTTTGAAGTAGAGGAAGGTGTACTGCTCGTAACTAAGTACTTGTCCAAGTTTGACGATCGCAGTGAATCGCCCAAACCGCTCGATGCAGACGTTGTTGAAGCTACACCTTCCTTTTGTTTTGGTCGAGTTGGCCCAGCTGGAACTTCAAAATCGCTCTTAGCGTTCGTCTGACGCCAATCAAGTTGTTCGGAAGCGTTTGGTGGCTGATCCCGCCGCCAGCTAGCTTTCCCGTTCTCCAAATTGTCAGTACTGTCGTCATGCAGAACATCCGGACCAGAAGACGACACGGTGGACGCCCGGTGAGCAGAGGCAGAAGGCTGCTGCCGTTGTTGCGGCGAAGAAAATGACCCCGGAAGATGGGCTCTCTCCCTTGAATAGAGGGTTGGAACGTGGGTAGACAAGCCAGCAAGTCGATTCACCTGCTTTTCATCAAGCAATTCAGCCGGAGGTAGCGTTCGTGGACCAGACATTGTTAGGGACGAAGTAAGTGACTTGTATGTGTGGATATCCGTTTTCGTTTAACGGAAAGGAGAGAAAAGTTAGTAGGGTGAGTTTGAATTAGAGTACAAAAAGTTAAAATAACCGGAAATTATGTTCTTCAATATGATGTTAACCCGCTCACATGGGCTCAACGAGGCTATTTATGGGCAAATACGATGATTTCGTCGACAAAAGAGCGCCATCCTGCTCGTTTCCACACTGTTAAAGCCAACCAAAGACGGGCGTCATGACATAACAATTGCCACACCTGGGGGAGAAATGTAATCCCTATATCAGTTTAGTCATGAATACCATCATCCGTGTGTCAGAAAAAACCACTTTACGAGCCATTTTCACTCGTAATCCTGCAATTGACGACAAGAAGAAACATCTAGGTGTGATTGGGAGAAGGCAGGAGCTGGCAGGCGGCTCCCGCTCACCACTAGAAGACGGGAGGTTTAAGGTTAGTGCACTGCGGTCGGCATCGCTAAACCTAAACCTTAATTGGAATGCCGAGGTCAACAGCTCCAAGTCAAGCCGAGGAGTTGGAAAAGGGAAAGCGAGCGGGACGAATAGCGTCTTGCGGCTTATGGACTACATCATAGCTCTTCTTCCCTCACAATCGCGACCTAGAAGCAGCCGAACTGAAGAATTGTCCCTTCGCTGTACGCCGCGTGTCTCGGATTTTTTAGGTTCCTTGAGAACACTTTGATCATGCAATGTCGAACAGGTGAGGGATTCGCACGCTGTAGCTTCCATCTCTCATAAAGCATTCAGACAACGGCTCGGCTTCTTCTACACTCAGTGTGTCCACCATCCCAAATTGGTAATTCTCAGAGATACACAGTTTAGAGAAGACAGAAACTCCCTAGCCAATCACACGTCTCTGTTTAAACTAAATCAGCGAACAAAAGTCTTAAGCGAAATAGGAACGCTTGCATTTCATCCGAGCGACGCGACTGTTGCTGTCGCGTGACAGCCGCATCTGATTGCTGCCGTTTCTCGGACGAATACAAGCAATCCCATGCCCCCGCACGACAAGGGAAAAAGTATTCAAGCATCTCTGCTTCTGCTTTTGTTTTCTGGGAGACCACGCGCTGTGCTTTCTTTTGTAGACAAATTCCAGAACTCTATGATTGCGACCAGAAATGCGCCGTTTAGCGGCGGCTTCGGTCGCGAATGGTGTCGGCAGTTTCTGCTGTTGCGCGTATTACAGTTTAGTGTTTATAGACCACGTGTCGCTTATTATGCAATTCTTATCTCATTGATTGGTCGCAAAAAACAATAAAAGCGCACTTATCGCATGATTGGGAGAAAGGGGGCGGGGTAGCCGTCCAACGCGAAAATGCGATCTTTGAAGCGAGACGGCGAACGAGTATGAAGGCGATAGAGGAACGACGAGACAGACGCTTTCCTGTTTGCATGCACACAGAACCGGTTATTTACGGCGTTTCGTAAAGGGCCCCGAACGTCTTTTCCGAATACTGGCGGGCCTCTCCGAGCAGCAGTCGGTCGTCGGGTTTGTTGATGCGACAAGCTTCACGCGGTCTTCGGCCGACACAGGGTTTTTGTCGTTTCGAAACGAACCGTCGTTAAATCGGCAGTTAGCGAGCAGAGAGGAAACGCAATCACTCACACGCGTAAAGGCATCTAGGAATGGGCTGACAGATCCATACCGCTCGGATTTTTCAGCGATGAAAAAGGATTGGGTCTGCATAAATCTAAGCTGTGTGTTGCTGCAAATAAGCAGGTGCTGTCTTTCTTCAACACAGTCATGTGACACAGGAATGCGCACCGGTGACTGTGCTCATTCGCTCACCGATCGAATTGGATTGCTCTTTCGCGCGGCATCCAGGTCGGCAATGACGTGGCGCCTGAGATTATGGGGCTGCGAATATATCTCCTGTTGCAGCCAATCAGATGAGATCGATCGTGTTTTGCCCCTTCTTCTCGCTTAGCGCTCTGATTCGTGACGTGTTGTTTGTCTAATCGGAAGGTTCTCGTTCTACGGCGATGTCGCTTAATCGGTGCCCTGTGCACCTTAACGCTTGCAGCAGCAGCAGCCCCCCTGTGCTGCTGCTGCTGAACGCAAAGAGAGTTTATCCCCTGCACAAGCATCGGCTAGTTTTGCTGCGACAGAAACCACAAAAAACGAGCCTCAGCACATGTAGCTTTATTCGCCTAAAAGCCGATGGAAAGTCGCGTTTTTATCGTTTTTGCGGCATCAGGCCGTCGGTCGCGCCGTTGAAGGCGGCTAATTACGTAGTGTTTTAGAGAAACTTCAGTAAGCGAGGCGAAATAAAATATGGTAGCGCGTTTGATCGCGTCGCCTGCTATTCCGGCAGTTCGCGTTAATACTCTGTTTTCAGGCGAAAATGCGTCTGCTGGCCTTTTCTGCCGTTTCTCAAACGCAGCACGGTGCTGAGTCTTTGTCCTGCATGCCGTCTCTATCAATACCCTCCTTTCACACACAGATGGTGCTGAAAATTGGCTGCCCAGTGAGGAAACGCGAAACTCATGACGTAAGCAAGCGACCGTATATCTCGGCTACCGGCGCTCCACCAACGAGCCGAAATAACTTACAGCCAAACCTTTTCCCCTTTCTTCCTTCCGCCAACGTCTTCCCCAAATTAGCATTTCGCAGGAACAGGCTCAACGTGCTTGTTTTCGACATTGAAGGCTTCTTAAAACACGGTTCTTCGTCGGTAATATATAACGCTGCTTATAGGACTTGTTTCAGTGGCTTCTTCTGCTATAGCTTTTTGGACATCAGCGAATTAGACAAGTTAAGTTTGATCGCTCTCGGAATTTGACGCTGTTCAACGCATATGACACTTGGGCTTTACTGAGTTGATCTTCTGGCTGGATAGTATTGCCGTACTCTTTTTTTCGCTGTTTATCGCGCACTGGTTGTTTTGTTTCGGTAGGAATTGTTCTTTTTTTTTCTCTTTTTTTCTAGTTCTCGTGTTTTGCACTCTTAAGCGGAACAGAAAAGAAAACAGCCGTCGCATTCTCTACTTCTTCTCTACTTGTTAGTCTCTCACACTTTTGAATTGTCTAGTGTTGACTGTTCAGGCATTGAAAATTTCGGTTGCTTTTTTCCATCCCTGTACAAACTCGCCCGCTCAATTCGCAACTTGTCTTGCTTTTGTGCTCCTTCGTCTCTGTTTTCTACTCTTTTTGTGTTTTTGTGTTGTGTTCCTTCCCGGACCGCTTGCATCTCTCTCGCCTCGCTTAATTCGTTTTCATACATTGGTCGTTGGTATTTGGGGTCTCACATTCTCCATACATAAATCGTGGAAACTAAACAATCTTGTCCTTTTATTGTGTAGCATTTTCTCTTTTTCTTGCAAAAAGTGTATACCACGAAAAGGCCGCCCGCGTCTGTTATCAATTACTCAAACACAGACATACTGTCATATTTGACTAGTGTCTTTCTTTCTCCGTATAAAAAGCCTTGTGGATTTCCGTCAGGTGTCGCTGTATTTAATTACTCTTTCTGTGTGTGTGAAGCCTATCGCTGTTTCGCCATTAGCAATATAGAGTACACACGTATTCTCGACTGCCTCTCACATATTCGCAACCATCAACGAAACATTCGTCTTTTGCCGATTATACATCGCTTTTTTCTTGTTTTCTTTTTGCGTTTGCCGTACTCTTTTATCTTCTTCCCACACGCCTGTTCTTCTACTTCCTCCGTTAGACGCACATACCGATTTTGGCAATTGGGTTTGCATCAACTTTCTTCTAAACTCTTTTAACTCTCAATATGGATTTGAACAGTATACTACACTCCAATTCAAACGCTGCCGGCATTGCAGGATCTTTGTCTCATCAAATGAACGGTGTCAGTGCTCCGTATGCAGGCCATGCGGTCCCTGCACCCAACGATATGCAATGGACTCAGGTGCCTGGTGGTGCCTACTACTACCCTCAATTCGCCGCCTCTACAGCTACACCGATGCTGCGACAACTTTCATCTCAAGGTCAAGTGCCACAGTACTACGCCGTACGAGATAAGCAAACCGCCTCATCCAACATGCCCGCAACACAACCCCAGCACCAGTCTCAACAACTCCCTGGTTATGGAAGCCCACAACTCACATCTAACTCGCTCATGCCAAACATGAATAACCCCTGTGCAGATACTCAAAGCCCGTCAACACAACACGTTCCTCCGTTGAAACGCATGTGTCCGTCGTACATGGAGGTTCACAACCCCTCTGTCAACAACGATACGAATGCGTCTCCGTCCTTTGGTATGCCTAATGGTTACATGCCATCTATGAACGGAAACGTTCGAAATCCTCTTTTGCCTTCGAATACATTAAATCAGGGCTACATGGGAGGCATGCCCAATTATCCCATGAACTTCCCCCAGCAAAAAAAATTGCCCTCTGAAACACTGTCGGACGAGGATGTTGCCATGCAACTGATACGTTTGGGAGAACCCATCATGCCCAAGTTTCCCTACGGTTACGACAATGCTTCCAAACTTCCGCCCGTAGCCCAGCTTCAAACCATTGCTTCCCCTTCCATGATGGCGCCTAATGGTGTCAAAGTGGAGGATATGCCGTATGGCGGCGACTCGCTGCAGCGGCAGAACCTGGTGAATGCCCAGGAGGGGGCGATGAAGAGAAACCGCAACGACTACGCTGTCCCCCCTAATGATTACAATCCGTATGCACCTCGACCCATGACCATGCCCTACCATGATGTTATGGGTGCAGGTTTTCCCAACATTATGGAGCAAACTTCGGGTCTGCCGATGCCTATGCCGTTCCCAGTGAACGACTTAAAATCCGCTTATCCCCCCGTAGGTAACGGAATGCCTCCCGCTAACGGTGCTGTACCAGCTCAAGTCACCGGCCCTGTACACTCAACCACAAACAGTCGTTGTGCTAGATGCAAGCGTTCGAAAAAGGGTTGCGATCGTGAACGGCCATGTGGACGTTGTCGTGATGCTGGTCTTACTAGTGCTGAATGTGTTAGTGATGATGAACACCCTGCTGTTACGGCGAGAAAGCCTCGTGGAAGAGGTCGTGGCAGGCCCAAGACTCGCGCGTAATGGATACAGTGTTTCTCGTGTCTAGACTTTCTATTTGTAATCCTTCGTGAACCTGCTCCATTCTTGTGGGTGGCATATATATGGTGCTGTCATTATATCAGCTTTTCGTTTCCGTTCTTTTTCAGACTCTGGATTTTCATTTTCAATTGTCCCCTCGTTGTCCCTACTCTTCAACCGAATCAATATACCCCTGTTGTAATAACCTACCACATTTTCACATCCTTACTTTTAAAGATTGCTTCGTGACACTTGATGAGCTTCCAAGTCTGTTAACTGGTTTTCGAAGACCATTAGGAAATCAGGTTTCATCTAATTTATTAAACTCTAGGAATTGTCCGTTGCGAGTATATAACAAGTGTAAACGGGCGCAGCAGAATTCTATTCAATTAAACAGGTGTTTATAATAAGTTTACCAGGAACCGCTTTTCTTGATTCTAGCCGGTATTTTGTGAGACAAGCAAGTGTTATGAAACTACTGTTAGACAGATCATAGCAAATTAAATCCTTACTCATCAATCACACTGCTTTGACATTGTAAACGAAAAAAGTGTGTAAATCATGAAAGTAGCAATCACCGTGTACGGGAGTACCGAAGTCTTTGACGACAGAATGAATATGATCTCTATTATACACGATATTTAAAAACATAAAACTGTAATAACCTAACTCAATTTCCAAAAATTCCAAATCATCCGTTGTCTATAGAAAGCAGACTTTTAATAATCAAAATGAAGAAACAAAAACCAGCATTATTTTGATGCACCAACTTCTAGTGTCTTTTATAGATGGCATTTAGAGCCTTTTGATGAGCAGCCTTACGCTTGCGACTTTCTTTTTTCTTAAAATTGTGCTTAAGCTTCTTACGCGAGGCGGCTTCAGGATCAGCGACCAGCTCAATGGCACGCTTCTCTTTCCGCGCACGGCGTGTCTCCAAAGCTTCTTGGCGAACGGCATTATACGCGTTCGCATAAGCTGTTGTTCCGACCTTATTTTGCAAAACACTCATTGCCTCGGAAGTCATATCAACAAGGTCCTGTTGAGCTTTTATTTCGGCTTCGTTTAACTCAGTATAGCGGTAGAAAACCGACACAATAGGCTTCAAAAGTTTCAATAAGACCGATTTGTCCAATGCATGCACTGCAATAACAAACCACTGCGTCATGAATCGTTTATTTATGGTGGCAGCCTCAATCTTTTCATGTTTCAATGACTTGGCCATATGTGCAAACATCTCTTCAAGGGGTTCCTGGTGTTCTTCAACAATGTTTGCTAAATATCTCATAATAAACACAAGATTCTTTGTGGTTTGGACACCAAGCTCTTCAGTAAGCATAGAACTTCGTAATTGAAGCTGGAAAGCATTGCTAATTTGAACGACAGTTTGCAAGTCTAATTGAAGATCTGCAACCAAAAGCGGTACCTTGGCAAGGCTTCCTTCAGAGCAACGAGCGAAAAGGTGTCCGTAGAGTCTACTAACGGAAAGACGAACCCACGCATGTTTGTACAACAAAAATGAGCGCACATGCTTCCAAATTGCGAGATACTGCTCGGAACAAGCCTCATCTGCATCCTTCACGACAAGTTTCATCCAAGCCTGCAGACAGAAGTAAACTGTTTCCCAATGTTCTTCGGTGTTGTTAAGGTCGGCGGCAGCATTCTCGGAAACTTCGTTTAATTTTTGCAAGAAAAACGTGACAAGATCATCCTTTTCAAAACCAAAGGTTTCAAAAACTAAACCAAGTAACTGCAAACTCATAGACTGAAGTTGATGAGACTGCTCACCTTTATGAGTAATAGCCCATTGCTTGATACAGTCACTAATCTGACTGAAACGTTCCGTGTCTGCTCTCGTAAAAACAGATTTTATAAGTATTGCCGCCATTTCACGACAATGTGCATCATCGTCATTAACAAGTACCATGACTAAAGCCATAAATATACTATGCAAAAATTCAAGGAGCACGCTGTCGCTAAAACCGTTTAAGATAGAGTGCAGTAGTTCCATAACAGATTCTCGTCCAGGTGGATACTTGTACTCTAAGTTCTTTAAAATGAAGGAGAACTGTTTGGTCAATCTGATTTTGCCTTGAGGAAAGTCAAGAAGGAAAGTAAAGTACAGATTGCGAGCAACTTGTCGCGTAGTTTTTGTTTGATTTGTGACCATCATGTCACGAATTTTATCCATAATTTTGTACATCTCGGGTGTCTTCACCTTTCTCGATAAACTCGAACGAATCAAAGAGAACATAACACCTTGTCTATCCGGTTCTTCAATATCAACCGCAATTCTTTCAAGTAAGTAACTTAAAACGGACTCCTTAATCTCGACCTCAGGGTCGAGAATGATGTTTGCAAGGAACTTAAGACTTGCTTGACAAAGTTCAGTATTAGTGGCTGAAGATTCACGGACAAACTTAACCGCTTGAGAAATGAAGACCTTGCTACCATTGCGAACAGATTGCATATTCAATGGAAGAACCAACGTTAAAAATCTGAGAGATGCAATAAATGCGTCCTCCGAAGAGCCCAGTAATGCATCACCGACAAGTGGAATGAACGGAGACAAATTGCCCTCTGTCATTAATTCGCGATTCCTTGAAACAATACCACGTAGACTGTCTATAGCGAAACGAATAAGCTTACTGGAGTTTTGAGGAAAGTGATTACGTCTAAACCGATCATCAATTTGAGCGCGTTTAGAAATGGTATCACATTCTTGTTTAACATAATCAAAAATGTTAAAGCAGAAAACCAAGGACTCACGGCTATTGCTATTTTTGTTGTCCATCAGGCCGAGAGAAATGCGCCGTAGAACTTCATCCACTTTTCTTAATGATTTTGGAAGCGTTGTTTCTCCAAGAATATTCTTCAATGGTTTTATAAGAACCGGTAGTACTGGAAAACTTACAAGCCGAGTGATAGCTTCGTACGAATCATAACTTTTGTTGCCTTTGATCTCCTTAACATTTGAGCGATAATCCTCGGCATCTTTTTCAAGACCAACTTCACCGAAAATCTCATTCACAAAGATGTCCGCCAACATGGGCAAACAGTAATCCAATGAGCCATAAGGAAAGTATGGTTCCACACTAAGTAAAAGTGAGTGAACTGTATAACCTAAAACATGAAGTTGATATCCTCTCTGCAAAGAGCCTTTTAATTCCTTAAGAATAAAAGAAAAATAAGAAGGACCGAGATACAACGCAATGGCAGAAAGAACTTTACGAGTTTCGTCCCGAGAGTCTTGGGAACGACTCCTCAGTATATGACAAATATCAGTCAAAACAGGGGGAAGTCGTAGAACGACTTCATCTTTCGGCATAACTGATAAGAGTTGGACAATACTTAGAGCAATAGGAACTCTTAAGGATACAGTGGATTCCTCTCTAATGTGTAAATAAAGCAAGAGCGAGGGAAGAATATCTGTGGCCACGACGGAAACAAACTTATCAATAGCAGGAAGTGAAGAACGTAACTGGCAGCTGTTGGCGGGCTTTACTTCTGCTTCATTTTGCTCAGACTCTTCTGAAGTGTAGCTAGCGATTGCTTCTTCTTTAGTGCGAATTGCACTTATGACGATACTGAGCATACGAACAGCAATTTTTTGATCGACATTGCTGTCCTTTAAAAGTTTCATATAGCGTTTTAGAAGAGCAAAGTACTGAGTCCAGACAAGTCCTTTGGCAAGATCACCAATTGCAAGTATAGATTCATCAATAATGGATTGATTGACCTTTGCTGTGCCCTCACCGAAACAGAAATGTTCCAGCAATGGGATGAATATTCTAGCGATATTGTTGCTTTTGAGGTTTCCCTGCAGAGCAGTTGTACTCAGTCTTTTAATTGCTCTCTGACGTCTATGGACTTGGATGTGAAGAATATTGTTAAAGAAGTTTGCTTCCTCATCTCCTGCGAACTGGAGTACCTTCATATCAGAAATATCCGTAAAATCTGGCAAGAACTTTATCATATGATCAAGAATAGAAACATATTCTTGACGAATTAATTCACTTTTAACCTTCAATCCTGCTGCAAGTCGTGGCAACATATATTGTTTGGTGATAAAAGCGACTTCATCCTTGAAGCCGTGCTTAGCGGTTCCGTCGATAAACCTTTTCAGTGACATTGAAGCACTAGTTCTTATAGCCAATTCTTCTTCGTCTTGGACATAGTATAGAGCATTGTATACGATTGGTAACCAGCTGAGTGCCCGCACATCCAAATATTGTGTTTCATTGAAAGAGTTGTAAGCAGAAAGACGGCGGCCAAAATCCGGCTCATCAAGACGGCGAGTTGACATTGCATTGGTTTCCTTAACGTAAACGTAAGCGATGTTTAGCTCAGGAAACTTGTTAGAATATGTAGAGAGTATATCCTGTAATGTTGAACGAGACTGTACAGACGAAAGAAGAGAAAAGAGACTCATCAAAAGATTGAAATGGCCATTGGTTGAGTAAGAATTCTCTACCCAAGCGCTATTGTTTGGAATAAACTTGGATACGACACCAAGAATTCCGTCTTTAGCCGCATTAGAGGCAATGTTTTTGGGTTTCCTTAAGAATGGAACGATGAGATCTAAGAGTTTAGTACTTTCAACAGCCGTAGAGACAAAGGGAGAAATTCTGAACAGTAGCTGAATAACAGTCGTCAACACTGAAGAATCATCACTAAAGATTGGTTGTTCCAGGATGTGAGTGATTCGTTCAAACAGGGGAACGACGGTTGGTTCGATAATTTTGGAACGAATATCAGCCTTCACAGCAACGTGTGCTTCGTCTTCCATTTCTTCGTTTTCGCCTTCCAAAAACAGCAGTATATTACCATAAGTGTTCATGACATGAAGCACCACAGAAGGCTTAACAGAGGGATTTGTAACCACATTAAGCAAAACAGGGATCAGCTTATGACCAAATTTTATGAATACCGAAAGGTATTTAAAGCTTTCCGTCCACAGAGTAATTAAACGTAACAAACGTGACACTGCCTGTGCATTCTCGGCGGCAAATACATTAAGACGGGGTTCGACAAAGTAGGTATAAAACAAGACGATGCGAGAATCCCAATTAGTATTTGTGCATTTCTGCATCAGGTTAAAAATGGCTTCTGATGCATGATGCTTGACAGTATGTAAGTTTTTAGCTTCATATGAGTCTGCAGGCTCAGTTTGCAAATGGTTTTCAGCAAATGCAAGACTGTAGAGCGAAGCATCTGCAAGCTGCTCGGCAAATGGTTCCAATTTAGATGATAATTGGGAGGAAATTCCAATCAACATTGTAAGAAAACCTATCTGTCTTCGCGCAGACACAGGTGCTTTCCCTAATGCGGTTGTTAAGTCGCTAACTGAGTGCAGATTTAATTGAAGATGCGTGTAAGGTCTCAGCATCAACTGGATGAGGCTGCCGAGGTCATCCGTCCGAAGATTTCCTATTGTCGCGAGAACAGTAGCTCTCCGAGCAGACTGATTTTTCTGTCCGCCATAACCTCTAGCTGTCATTTTACCGAAAAGGATAGATATAACAACGGGCATTAAAAGAGAACGATGCTTGTCCTGGATGATTGAAGCATCCTCATCAACAAACAAAAACGTCGTGAGCTCGTCTCTGAATGTTTTATCATCGAGAAGGCGTTCGAGATTTTCAGAATAGGTGACTAGAGCTTCTTCATTCCAAGATAAAATGTTCTGAAGAGACAGTTTCTGGACTTTAGCGTCATTTGTAGTTAAAAGCCAGCTGAAAAAGTCTCTTCGGTTGTTAGCGTTCTTCGAAGAGGACTGATCCTTGAATTTCGTGTAGACTTCTAAAATCAAGTAAACATCCTGACGCAACCAGTTTGTGTTAATATCGTATTCAAACCGAATGTCAAATAAATACTCGTCCAGTTTCTCGAGTAAGGGACGAATAACATGGGGCGAATCAAGCATCACACGAAGTGCTTGAGAACGATAGCTTGGAAGATTACTGAAATCCTGAAACACTTTTTTAAGAAAATTTTTGTAGAGAAATCTGGCTGAATCTTTGAAGTTTAGGAAAACATCATGAAAAACCTGTCTGTTTTTATTCAGAACCAAGCAATTGCAGTTGGGCAGCTCAGTCAAAACGCGAACAGAACGGTCTTCATCCAGTTCGTTGAGGATGTTAAGTTCGACATCAGACAAGTTAGACTGAGGAGGTTGATTTTGACTTAACCAACTTAATAAAACTTGACCGTACTTTTCGTTGGGCTTTTGCGGGAGAATCTGAGAGAGTGTAGAAGAGAGGTGTTTCCATAAGGGAGTGAACTTCGTCAACATACTTCCCGTAAGAAAGTATATAATTGCGTATTTTATGTGTTCATTAGAAACCTGTCCAAATCTCGTAGCCAAGTTACGAAGCTGTAGAGCAGCATCACGCACGGAAGAAAGATCTTGTGGTAACTCAGCAAACTGTAAACACAGTTTCATAGATTCAAATGGAGAAACATTGGAGTTTAAGGTTTTGAAAATAGTAGCAAGAAGCTTCAAAGACGCTACACGTAGATTGACACCGCCCTTAAGTAAATTGGGAAGTAGAGTTTCTGATGCCTGCTCAAGAGTAATACCGAGTGATACCTTTCTACACATGAGCAAGCTGTTGAAAGACTCAAGGAAATAGTAACTGTCAGACATTCTGTCAAGATGCGTCACGCCAAACGCGATCATAGTCTGCAGTTGGTCTTCGGTCAATTCGTTCACAAGATCGATGCTCACGATCTCGTAAAGGAATGCTACAAAATCATGGCAAACTTTTGAGCTTCCGGAAAAGAAATCGAGTAGCCTCATCACCAGATCAACCTTTTCAGGCTTGGGCATGTTAGAGCAATGAAAAATCTGAAGGTCAGACCAAATTGACGAGTAAAGTGCTTCATAATTGTCGGTTTCATCTGTTAACGGATAGGATTTTTCGGGATTTCTGAGCCTTTCGACAGCGGAATTAATGTATGTGAAGTCCAACGAAACGTCAAAGGGGTTATACAGCACAAAAGCTGCAACGGCCTTGTTAAGTTTTGTGAAGTTCTGTGAAAGAACGTTTGGAATAGTGGAACGAACGAAAGATTGATACCGTTCATGATTTTGAAGTCGCAGATAATTTGCAAAAGCCAGGTAGAGAAGAGGGTTCAGAGTCTGAAGTTTCTGTAAAAGCTTTTTACAATGTGGAAGAACATCCGAAATTTGCGGATTCAAGATTAGAGAAGCGGCAATCTCATAAACAATTTTTGCATGTTCTGTGTCTAAGGCAGCATGTTGAATTTCTTCTAGCAACTTGAAGAAAATTGTGAAGAACGCCGACCAGTGCTAATCCGGGTTCCCTTAAATGCTGAGATGCACACAAAAAAGAGGCTAGCGTACATGGATGGCTTTTTTTGCATGCAACCACTGATAATATCCTGAAGAAGTGTGAAAGAATCGCGGTTCGAGTGACGAATAAGAGCTACTAGGACGGCATCGCAAACGTCAGCAGCATGTGGCATACAATAGACTTCAGGATCCAACAAATGCTTGAAATAGTGCACACCTTTTGAATGAATGCTGGTTCCAACTCCCTTAATAATTTGAACAAACAGAGTAACCACGCCGTCAAAAAACTGTGGGGTATAATTGGAGCTCAAATCCTTAATTACATGAGAGACAAAGGTTGAGCGTTCAGTCTCAGAACAAAGCCGAGCCAAAAATGCCAGGGCTTCGGCGGAGAAACGGATAATGTAGTGTTTCTCGTGTTCCTTGCCAAAAAGTGGGGAAAGCTTGTCGTACACTTCAGTTATCTGAGGTACCATTATTTTTCTCATGTACTTAAACATGTATGCCTCTGTCTGAAAAACCCAGTCAATTACATCAATTTCCGTGCTCTGAGCGAGAGAGGACAGCAGCGACAGTGTCTCGTATATATAAGGCTCAAAGTCAGCACTCAAATCTCGAGCAAATTGGGTGAGGATCTCGAGAATTGGTTGGACGGAGAGTGCATTACCCTTTAACGCATATTCCTTTATAACTTCAAAGATGTCTTTTTGGTGAAATAAAATTTGTGGAAGGGATTGTACTAAGGGAGTCAGAGCTCTTGAAAATTCAACAAAATTGGTTGACAAGTTCAAGTCTTCCCAACGACGTAGACAAGCCAATGTGAATGAAGATATCTATACAGTTGTGTTAGACTGTAATCGTACGAAAATGTATCTTAAATTAACTTACAGATTCATCAGCAATCTCATCAGGACGTTTAATTTTGTGGGCAACATCAATTTTTAGGCTTTCAACGCGTTTGGAAAACGGTAGAAACTACATGTTAGAAAGGAGATTATCGGTGTACAACATACCACATGGTTTCTTTTACGAGTTTCCAGCCGCTGCTGACTCATGTTTTCTGTAGGAAGAAAGCTCGAGTCCGTTCGTCGTAGGCAGAGTTTTGTTGAATACGCCGCCAAGCAAGGCAGGCAGCTTGAGTTCGGTGTAGTTCGGTGAACTCTCGGTGTCTTGATATTAATAATGGACACAGCCAGCAGAGTAAACTCTACACTAATCACCGAAATCACCGAGAGTTTGAGAGCCAGTCCGGAGGGAGACTGCCTGCCAAAAATGAAGGCCGGTCAAGGTGAAAAGGCGATTCAGTAGTAGAGGTTCCTGAGATAACTTGCTGTAAGGGACCGACAAGACTTGCGCCTATCCAAGCTGAAAGATGAGCTGGGAACTTTGAAGATAGTATACGAATTTCTGTTCCTAAAACCTTCATCTCTTCAGCAAAGCGGCGAGTCCATCCTGGAACGTTGGCGAGCATGCCGGTAAATAGAACACGGTTTTGAATCGTACACCGTACATCTACACTAAGATTGTTTATGAAATGATGTAGTACCAATGGGAGACTTTGTTCTTGGATGTCCAAGTGTAATGCATTCCATCCTTCAAACACACGTTCCACGGCAGCCATAGTCATTACAGACGAAAATTGCAAGGAATGCCTTTGTCCATCAATAATGTAGTCTAATACACTGTTCTCGTCGGTATGTGTACAGTATGAGTTGTGTGCTTGTTCAGGTGACAAAGGATATGGTTGACGTTCTTGTAGATGGAAGACTTGTCCGTATTGAAGTAGTGTTGGAAGAAGTAGGACTGGGTTTACATTTTCAAGCATGGTTTCGTTCTTGTTTTTTTGATATAGAAGTGACCGAAAGCGTAATAACACATCCTTTAAGCCAACATGGACTGTTTGAATGAACTTTGGATGAAGAAAAAAATCTGTTACCGCAAGTATGCAAGTTTCCTTCCAGCCGACGTCAATTACAATCGCCGTAACTTCTTCAGCAGCAACAATAGAGCATAATTGTGTACAGAGAAAGTAAACATCAGGAATATGTAACTGCTTTAACAGTACATCTGTGAGATGATACTTGACGCGGAGCGAATTCAAAGCACTCTCAACCAGAATGACCGGCCGAAACGAAGGCTGAAGAAAAAGATATTCTCTGTAGATCTTTAGTAGTGTCTGTGTAAGTTCATTACTACTCAAGTCAATTGTCCATTGCACTCGAGGAAGACACTCGCCAGCAATCCCAACGTTAATAAATGTCTCGGCGATTTCAATTACTACAGGACCATCACTTAATTGTACTGTAGCGGCGACATTTGAAACTTTTCGGCCCCGCGACTGAATGTGGTTGGCACTCAAATTCGTTTGTTTTAGATCCATCCTCTTTTATGAGTACTTCCTAGACTATTTCTATTGCACTCATACCAGCTCTTCCATTACCCACCGCTCTTTGTTTATGAACAAAGGATTACTTGCCTACGCGAACATTGTGAAACCGCCCATCGCTAGCGAAACCAAGGCTCTCTATCAGACTGCAGTACTCGACAACGCATGTAAGCATCATTACACAACTACGAAGCTTTCTTAAAACAACTCAATTAAGCACTAAGTTCAGGAAAAAGCAATTTATTGGGCATTCTCATCTCCGTTAATTTGTTGAAGACGCTTCTCCTCGGCAGCCTTGTGCTTGCGTTGACGGGCAGCCTTGGCACGAGCACGACGAGCCTCTTGTTGTTGCTCAAGAAGCTTGGTACGGTTGGCCTCAGCCTTGGCACGTTGGATGTGCTCGATAAGGGCACGCTTGTGCTTGAAGGTGTTACCCTTGGCCTCAAGGTAGAGAGTGTGGTAAAGATGCTTGTCAATCTTTCCGGCCTCACGGTACTTGCGAAGAAGACGGCGCAAGACACGTTGACGACGCATCCAGACAACAGAAGAGGGCATACGAGCCTCAGCAGTACCCTTACGCTTACCGTAACCGGTGTGGCGACCGAGACGCTTGGCAGCTTGAGTCTTACGGACACGGAAGCGAGAGTGCATCAAGTTGGGCTTGCGAATAACCAAACCGTCCTTAACGAGCTTACGGATGTTCTGACGACTGTTGGCATTGCTGATCTCACTAATCTCATTAGGATCCATCCAAATCTTGCGCTTTCCGCACTTCAAGACGGAAGCAGCAAGTCTCTTTTGCATCGCCAAATTTGCCATTTCTCGCGCTGTTTTTGGTGGACGGAGAATTTTGACTTGGTTCCACACTACGAAGAAGATTCACTAAAAACCCAGTCACAGTTAGGGTAGGGTATTGTGGGGAAGCCGACTAAGCGAAACTTTAAATATGATCTAGCGATTAATAAACAGTTGTTATTGTTGACAAGAAAAATACGTTTCGCTCTAGAACTGTTGCTTTCGATGGAACGCATTATTCTTGTTAAATTTTATTTAGTTTCATTGTTTTTCTGACGGCGTTTTCTCTATGAATATTAGTGCTTTGTTGTAACGACAATCGAACCCTTTAAAAAAAAGGGTTTTGATCGGTAAGCATCGCAAAGATGACGTTCAAGAGCAAGAAGCAATTTCCACTTTCAGCTTGGGTTATTCTAATAAAGCTTGATTGAGTGCTGGTAGCTTTCGGGTCTCAGAAGAAGTTACACTTATGAAGCCCAAACAGCTTAGTTAAACAATTTCCCTATTTCAAGTACAAAATTAGACAATTGGTATTCTTCATTTACTTGTAAGGATGATTAAAAGTTAGCCAATTTTCGATTAAAGCCGCTACAGATTACATGAACATTAAAGATGATAATTGCTGAGAGCTGTACATAATAAGCGAATAGCGTATTCATTAAATGTATTTTCATTTATCCCATATAGCTAGACACTCGTTTGTAATGACAAATAAAACTTCCACAACACTTTCTATACTAATTCAGATCAATTTGTAAAAGTAGTCCGTATACTCTAAAACTTTATAAATTGGCTGTATGTTCGTTTTTATTTTTTTTTTATTTATTTATTTATTTTTTATTATAATTAACGTATATATGTGATTGTTCACGTCTAATTTGTTGCGTTAAAAGTCAATTTATCGCAATATCGCATAAAAAAGTCAATAAGCCAATTACGTGTCTCAAAAGTTTTAATTTGTCAAGTTTTAAAGGTTAAAAAATGCATTGACTGCAAATTAGAATTCATTTTTCGCAATTACCGCATTATATCATTTAAAGTTTACTGTAACGAAAAGTTCGGCAACATAATAATCCTCCAATGGAGACTTGTACAACAAACATATGTGAAACAAGCTCACTACTAAGAGACCTTTTTAACAACCGTTAGCCTCTAAGTTCAATATTCAAAGAAAAATAGTTGCGAGGCCAGGTTTCGATCCTGGGACCTACGGGTTATGAGCCCGTCGGAGTTCCACTCTCCTACCTCGCACAGACCGTCACCAGCAGGACTTGAACCTGCGCGGGCATAGCCCATTAGATGCCTGAACGAATTCAAGTCTAACTCCTTAACCGCTCGGACATAGTGACTTTCTTGAAAATTCTTGAAAACAGTACAATATGTAGGGTGAAAACGTTAAGGATGTGCAACGGTTTTACTTTGTTCATTCCGTCTTAACGGTAAACGCGTACCGCGTTTTCATTTATAAACACCGTGCAATGAAGTCGAAGAAATTGCCCACTCACACGAGTAGTGATAACACTCCAAAGAATTATATCAGTGGTGACTTGGCTCAAGTAACGAGCATATTTTTGAAAGTGGTAACAAACCCTTATCATGGAGCAAACTGACTTATGTCATTGACTCCAAATACTTTTAAACTTTGGAAATAAATTGACCATTCAGCTAATTGGTTTCTTAATGACTAAGCATTTGTTAGCATTCATTGCTATGACGAAGCAACTCAAGGTTATCGCTTATCCATTTGCACAGCTTATTAAATTAATATAGTTTAATTTCACAAATTAACAGACATAGCATTTAGGTTTTATTAACCGAAGCTTATTGCAATGTTAAGGGAATAAGTTATTTCTTGTTTAAAGCCTAAGAACAAGAATCCTCGATCGAACTAAACATATTTGGCCTCGAACCGCGACAGAATGTCCTAAGCAGCGATGCCCGAGTGGTCTAAGGGGGCAGATTTAAGTTGACTGAAAGGTTAATGGAACTCTGCTGTTGATAAACGCGCGAGTTCGAACCTCGCTCGCTGCATTATTGTTCTTGTTGTTCATTTTTGTCGTTTCGGTTTCGTAACGGTAACTACAATTTCAACTAACTTAACTTGCAACAATGATAACACCTCTCTAGAACAGTATTTGTCGGCTTAAATAAATAACGATGAATCGTTTAAGTAGAAGGAATGTTTCCATGATGACTGTTGCCTTTCTTTGTTTTATGACAGAAAATCAATGATCATTTAAAAGTTCGAGAGACTCATGTATAAGTATCGAATATCAGCGATCCTTGCGTATCTGCATACAGTTTATGCATTGCAAGGTCCGAATTCATTCGTAATCTGTCGACGATAAACTCTATATTGATGCGAATAAGGTTTCGGCTCTTTCGATTAAACAATTACCGGCCTTCAGTATCAAAATATACAACATATTGAACCATTTTAGACTATAAATTGCTTTTATAGTAATCATATCATAAAAATAGTATCCATTGAACTGTTATGTATACCATAGACTGATTATGTTGAATTAACTCATGTCTTTAAAGATGTTTAAATATCGTAGAGTCATTATTCGGTCGTGTATAGTTACTTTTACGTTTTTTGAACATAAAGTCAACAGTGAAACCATGAAAGATTTGAAATGAAGGCTAATCATATTCTATAGTAAGTAAACGGTTCAAATTGAATGATTCATCCTTAAACGAAAAAAATAGGAGAGTAATTCCAAATACAGGAAAACAATAGATACCGTTATTAAACATTATTACAAAAAGAGGAAAACTCATCATAAATAGCCAATCTTTTTTAATTCACTTACCTATCGCTTCCTCGGCCTTTCCGCGCATGCTCCACGGTTGACGCGTCAAATACAGACGCGTCTTTAGTTGGAGATTTTGCCCTTTCCAAACACCATGGCTCCTCCGATTTTGCGTGTGAAACGAAAAGCTTCAGAAGACCCCGTACAGGCGCTGTGTACGTTGAAATTCTTCAATTTATCTTATAACTAACTGTTTAGATCTTCAGCTTGGCGACCCTGCGCACACCGGAACTCCATCAAAAAAAACAAAAGTTAATGGCAATTTTTGTAAGAAAACACGAACAAACTTGGATTTTGTAGTCCTAGTTTGTAAATGCAAGTTTCCATACAGAAACTAACCGTGAAAAAGGCTTTCAATTGGCTAAAACCATTCACGGTCCATCAGCTGGTGCACCCGTTGAACCTTATGCTCCTCCCCCTGTCATTAGTGCCAATCCACCTCAAACGAAACAACGCCCTTCTTGGATAGATAGTGGACATGTTGGTATTCCACGCGTTGTAGCTGCGGATGAATTTGCTACGCCCTCAAAACGCAAATTCTCCCCTTCAGCGAATTCGCAGACTCATAAGAAATTTGCTATCCAGGAAATTGAATCGGGTACCACTGGAAACGTGTTCGATGCGGTCTTGTCAGATTATGTCGAAGAGGAGAAGTAAGTATTATCTAGCCTTATTCGTCTTGCTACTAACATGTTCAGCAGACCTTCAAACGTGCATCCCCAATTACAGTATATGGTGAAAGAATACTTGGGAACAGAGGACCAGTTTGTGTACGATATCTATACCATTAATTCGAGCAACAGCCCGAAACCAACAACAGACTTTGGTGTTATTGATGCTTCAGCAGTTCCGGAAATGTTCCGTCAAAACTTAGAAAACGAACTGCTGCTGGACGACTCTGACGACAATACCTCTGATGATGGCGACGATGTCGACGAGGACTCCAATGCCGAAAGTTTCTATCAGAACAGCTACCCCGACGAGGATGAATGGTACGAGGGTCCCGACCATTCAGAAAGCGAATTTGGTGAATCTTCTGAAGATTACTACTAGAACTGAGACAATCAGTTTACATGAGGGCTTGCTGCGCATGTTTAACACGTTTCCATCCGACTTCTCACCCTCTCGAAGCAGGTCCTCTTAAATTATCGGTTTTTTGGTGAGCAGAACGCTCTTTTTCACTCTTTCTTATAAAGAAAAAACCTATATACCCTCTTTTTCACTCTATTTCCCACTCTATTTTTCACTTTTTATTATTTCTATTTGGTTTGTCAAAATAGAAAAATCCCAGAAAGCAATACACTCTTTGGCGAGCATATTTTATATCTGATTAGCCTTCATTCATGACAGGTTCTAGAAGACCACATTCTGAGGTGTGGTATGTATATGTGTGACTGCATCATTTGTTGTGCTGCTACAAGGGAAAACTTCGTCCCTCCTCACCTCTACACTGTCCTCCTAAAAAGCAGTTGTTTTTACAGGAAATCAACATTTGCCGACATTATGGACTCCTCCAAGAAGACTACTACTACTGCTGATGCTCCCGACTACACCTTGGCCAACCCGGATACTTTGACCAAGTACAAGGCTGCAGCTGAGATTTCTCAAAATGTCTTGAAGCAGGTTGTTGCCCTTTGCGTTGAAGGCGCCAAGATCTTGGATATTTGCGTCGAAGGTGACAAGCTTTTGCTCGAGGCTCTTGACAAGCAATACCGTGGTAAGAAGATTACCAAGGGTATCGCATTTCCCACTGCTGTGTCTCCTAACCACATTGCTACTCACCTTTGCCCCATCCCCGGTGATGATGAGGCTTCTTTGGCTTTGAAGACTGGTGATTTGGTTAAGGTTTCTCTTGGTGCTCAAATTGATGGCTTTGCCTCTGTTGTTGCTACTAGCATTGTCATTTCCAAGGAGCCTGTTTCTGGCCGTGCCGCTGATGCTGTCGCAGCTGCTTCTGTCGCTCTGAAGGCTGCTCAACGTCTTATTAAGCCTGGCAACACAAACTGGCAAGTTACTGAGACTGTCGACAAGATCGCAGCCGCTTACGACTGCAAGCCCCTTGCCGGTATGCTTACTCATCAACAACTTCGCAACGTTGTTGATGGTAAGAAGCAAATCATCTTGAACCCCAGTGACAACCAACGCCGTGAGTTCGACACTGTCACCTTTGAGGAGGGTGAGGTTTACGGTGTGGATATCCTTGTCAGTACTTCTGCCGATGGAAAGGTCAAGCGTTCTGACATTGCTACCCGCATCTACAAGAAGACCGACACCACTTACTTGTTGAAGCTCCAAGCCAGTCGTAAGGTTTACCACGAGATTCAAACCAAGTTCGGTGCCTTCCCCTTCCCTGTCCGTTCTCTTGAGAATGAACGCAAGGCTCGCATGGGTATTCAAGAGTGTGTTCAACGCAACGTGCTTCTTCCCTACGAAGTTCTCGTCGAAAAGGAGGGTGAGTACGTCGCCGAGTTCTTCAGCACCATCGCCTTGACTAAGAACGGCACCGTTGTTATTACTGACTCCGAACCTGCCGAGAACATTCAATCTACCAAGTCCGTTAAGGACGAGGAAATCCTCAAACTCTTGCAAACTTCTCTTAAGAGCAAGAACAAGAAGAAGAGAAACAACAAGAAGAAGGCTGCCGCTGCCCCTGCTGCCAAGAACTAGATGCTCTTCAAAAAAATGTAAAAAAGCTCCCGTCTATGACACCCCTATGAAATTATATAGGACGCACGGATTTTGTGCTAGTTAAAAATACAATCACGACTATTTACGTTTGGTAACATACTTGACACCCGCTTAGTTGCCAGAGAGGAAAAACACAAAACAAGGTAGGTGTATTTTATGCACACTTGTTCTGTGATCCGCTCCGACTACATTGTAAGATACATCATAATAAACCGTAAATTCGTCAATTCAAAAAAAGCTCTATGATGACTCATGCTAGTGCACTTATGCATAAATAGGCTTATGATTCGTCATGTCTAAGCAACGATTTCTTCCACGCCGTTGTCATTGTCTGCAACCTTGAATGTGCGAGCAGTACAGTCATTAGTAATGGAATACAACTCGTCAACGAAGTGAGGAATGAAAGAACCTGGTCCACAGTCCGAAACACTTGCAGCTCTCTCACCAGCAATACTGAATAAGAGAGTAGCAGCCAAAGCTGCTACCAGTCGATCTTCGGGGCAAAGAGCAGCAGCGACACATAAAACAGCACCCATTGCACAGCCAGACGCAGTGATGTTTGCCAACATTGGATGTCCGCGCTTCACAACGAATGTTCTGTTCCCGTCACTAATCACGTCCACAGCACCAGTCATGATTACCACGCAGCGACGTTTCTCAGCAAGCAATTTGGTTACTCGTACCTTTTCAGTCAAAGGAAACTCGCTCGTGCTGTCAACTCCACGCATTTGAACTTCAACTCCGGCGAGAGTAAGGATTTCTCCTTCATTACCTTTAATATAGTCGAAGTATGCGGAATCAAGCATCGTAGTTAGAGCACGTTTGCGGACCTCTGTAGCTCCAGCACCAACAGGATCCAAAATGACAGGTTTATTCTCAGCGTTGTTGCATTGAGCAGCGAAAATGTAACTCTCAAGTTTATCTACAGCTGCATAGTTACAAAGGAGAGCACCATTAGCGCGTGCGAGTTCAGGGAACTCGTCATCAAATTCACACATTAGAGGAGATCCTCCAACTGCAAGAGTAACATTGGCGTTAAAGTTCTTCGAGACGTTATTCGTAAGTTGCTGAACCAAGGGTGTTTTCGATTTCGCTCTACTGAACACGCGCTCAATACTCGAAACAAAAGCTGTCGAGTCAGACTTTGGAAGCTTTGAGACGGGAAGAGCAAACTTAGGAGTCGTTTTGATTAATTGAATCAGCTTCTCCGCTGCCTTTTTTGGTTCTGTGGATGCCATAATGGCTGAGACCAAAGCAATTCCATCAACGCGCACCCCATTCACCTCACTGAGGTAGATCACCCGCTGCACATTACTAGCGTTCAATCCTGCGATAGCAACAGTTTGGAGTCTGCGCTTCATATTCGAAATATGTTCCAAAAGGTCCCGAAGACCATGAATGCCAATGATTCTATCCTTGACATTCTTCGTCGCGGTATCATAAACAGAGCCCAATCCAACATAATCAGCACCGTCGGCTTCGGCCTTGTCAATTTCCTGAATATTATTTGCCGTAACTCCAATAACAGCATCAGAACCGAGTATTCTGCGAGCCGTCGCACAGTCCATATCACTTTGGCCGATGTGTACACCTTCAGCACCTACGGCAAGAGCGACGTCAACTCGGTCGTTAATTAATAAGGGTACATTGTGTTTCCGACAAACTTGAAGCACCTTTTCCGCACGTTCAATAAATAGCTTTGTAGAGACGTTCTTTTCACGCAATTGAACAAGTGTAACACCGCCCAAAATAGCCTGTTCAACCTGCTGCTCCAGGGTGGATCCTGTAGGGACTATAACTGAGCTTGTAACCAAATACAACGAATAATCAACAGTTGGCTTCATAATTTTTGAAACTGATGCTTCTTACACACAGATTAGTATGAAAAGAACTGAAGCGAGTAGGAGCCCATGCTGTCTATTTATTAAGGGGGTTTTCGGATGCATGCTAAGCCAAGATTCGTAAATTTGAACGATCAACCACTTCCAGCCGAAAAAAAGAGAAATTGATGTAGGGAATACAACAAGAACTATGCTTTAGACGATTCCATGACAGAACTCCGTTGTTTAGTACGAATTTGGGCGAGAACAAAACAAAATGAAGCACTTATTCTTTCGTTCGTCCATCGTAGACAGTCAGTATAATTAGTAGGAAAATTAAATAGTAACTTAAGAGATGAGTGATTGCTCTTTGTTAGAGATATCCGGTGCTGTGGGTCTCAACGAGATTGCCATTCTTATCATATTTCCAGTATAGATTCATCTTCGTGGACTGACTGTGTTTGATGCTGAAAACAATTGTAATGTGAAAATGATTTCGTTGATGGGTCGTACACAATGGATGCAGAACCAAATTGCTTTTCTGTGCTACACAAATCCAGGCCACACAGATTGCAGTTATTAACAGGGTCTACCTTTAATAGTAAACCTTTTGTTGCTTGATCATGACTTATGTCTGCGTAATGCAAAGCTTCACTCTTAAATAGATGATCACATGCTGAATATAGTGAGTGCTGGGTTTCGTGGTCCGCAAGTAACTTCAAGACAGACGATTTTAAACTCGAAACCTCAACCTTTGCGGGAATCCGACGAATTAGTTCAATAGCATTTTTGTCTGTGCCAATATTTTCAACAAGAGTCTTAATAAACTCGGGCTTGTCCATAGAGTATGCAATCAAAACTTCCCATAATTCTTGATCCGCCTGTTCCTTTACGTATTGAATAGCTCGACCAACGTCGTAGAGTTGATTAATAATAAGCATCAATGCCTTTTTGTTACTTCCCATACGTGTTAATACGAACACGAGTTCATCTAGATAATTATACTCTCGGCAGACTTCCACAGCATGGTCCAAAGAGTAACACTGGTTTTCTTCTAAAAAACGAGAGAAGCGTTTGCGATCAAACTTTGCAAACAGTTCCAGTTTGCTGTCTCCATACTCAGACAGCGAATTAGGATACACATTCTCATAAGCACAATAATAGGAAAAGAGTAGTGAAGGGCAATCTTTTAATTGATCGATAACACTTACGAGTTCAAACGTGTGCGTGTGTTGCACCAGCATGTCCAAAACAAGAGGATTAGCATCACCTTCATTGGTATCTTCGTGTGGAATACTTAGTAACGCAGCAACATTGTTCTTTGCCTCCGAATAGAAGTTGTACTGAGAAAGAATTTGGATTGCCTCATGCCTCTTCAGCTTCAAATAGTAATGGAATGCGTCCTTTGGCGATTTCGTTTCCATGCTCAAAATGGCCAAACACTCAATAAGGATTTGATTCTCAGTATCTTGCTTAAAACGTTCAAGAACTGTATCCTTGACGGTGTACGCATTGTATAAAGCCGAAGGCCATGTTTTCAAAGAATGAAGCAGCTTTGTTTCCGAGCTTCCCAACTCGTATGCCAGCACCATTTCATATACCAATGAGCTTAGATGTTGTTCTCCAAGAGGCAAATAGTCTACCAGATCCATCAAGTGATCGCGTTCAGCAAAAATAAAGACCCACTTTTCCCAAGAGGTCATGTCATTTTTGAACAAGGATGCAATTATACTGGCAGCCTGTTTGTAGTCGTTCTTGTGCACAAGATGATTTATATAGCGTTTTCCTAGAGTACGAAGCTCCAGATTAGGTGGAACCTCTTTTAAGGTTTGAACAATATCTATAGCCTCTGAATACCGTTCCTTGCTAAGGAGGTAAACGACATGGTCAATCTCATTTCGTTCACGAACACGAACGTATTCTGTAGGAGAAACAACATAAACGTCACCAGACTCGCTCATATCGTTGGAGAGTATGTAGTCGAGAGGCCTCAATTTCGCATAACTGTTTAAGCCAAGTGCATCTCCGGAAACTTCCTGAAAATCTTCATCGATCAAACGAATTTCTGGTCGTGAAGGCTCTTGAAGTTTAGAAGTGTCATTCATTGCAAATGCATCGGCATCGGCAACAAACGCCAGAACCAAATAATTACCGCCAATCATAGACAGACCACTTACAATACAGTCAAGCTCAAGCATTGCTTCTACCTGTGCAATAGGAAGTTCACCTGCTGTTTGAGCTGGCTCAATGGTAATAATTGTGATGTACTCAGCCCATCCGACTAATAGTCTTGATTCCGATTGCCAGTGAAAGCGATAAGGGAACAGTTGTTCATTCGCACGCCGCTTCGGTTTATGTAGGAAACGGAGGTGTTGACCGAATTCTGTGCTGTAAATGCGTACACCGTCTTCACTCGCCCAAGCAATGAAGTGCTTATGCCATGAAACTTTATACACAGTACCACAATTCTGATGGAGTATTATGTTTTTACTTCCAAGCCATCCTTATCATGTTAGTGAAACTCAATGCTTTACTGAACGATCGAAATAAGCAATACCCTTTTCAGTCAAAACCAATTGACCAGCACGTCCGCCGGAGACGACTTGTCTAGAGGAACGACCCGAATAGTATGGATCTATTGAAACACTGAGTAATGGTCTTTTATAGTCGTGAACGCTTGTTTCTCTCGAAGAAATGTTGAATATGACAATCTTGCCTAAGGAATACAATTCGGTTAGAATAATTCTCCAGACGACGCATTGAGATTTACACACCGTCCATAGAGCAAGTAGCGACAACTTCGCCCTCCAGATCGCAGTCGATGTCCATAATACTGGCGGTATGAAACCTAAGCTTGCGAAATAACGTATAGTCTCGACGAAACAAGTAAAGAATGCCATTGTGTGAACCAAAAATCTCAAAAAACATTAGTTTTTTTGCAAACAGAATGATCATCATACATAAAACTCTTTCGTAACAAGAGAAGCGGAAATTGAGTCTTGAGCAAAACACTCTGAGAAACTATCCGTTAACCGCTCATAACTCAATTTAGGCTCCTCATCTTCGTCAGAGCTATCATGATAACTAGAATCGTCGGAGGAGGATGTTTCTGTGTCAGACATGACAGACAATTCAAATTGTACACATTCGTACTGGGAAGACGCGTAAGCGTCATCATACCCAGGGAATAGTTTGTCTGAATATCTCACTGGGGCTCAGTAATATGTGTTATCGAAGTTTATCGCGAAACTACGAATTATAATGATGCCTTGCGATAAGTAAGGTGCTCCAGCCCAAACTACGGAACTCGTAAATCGGGATAACGGGACCTACAGAAGTCCAAGACGGCAATGTGGACAATGTGCTAATGGGCCAAAACAATTTGAATCAGAAAACAGTTGAGCTGTCTAACTAACGAACATAGAGATGAGCTTCGAGCCTCCATGAAAATAATTTATGCGTATGAGCACTTGGAACGTAAGACAGCAGATTTTGCGAACATTAATCGAAGCTATGTTCGTGAATTATTGAGAAATCGAGTTAAATTTCACGACAAGCTATCGGGAAAATGAATGCAAAGGTTGCATACATGATTGGAAGGTTATGGGCATGATTATGAATGAGAATCTATGCAGGCGAGGGGGAAAAGTGAAAGAAGGGATGAAGCTCTTGTTTCCCAAAAGTCATTATTGGGAGATACGGACTGTAATCACAGACAGATACAAGACAGAGGCCATTAATCATTAGAGTACTTAGAGTACCTCATGTTGCTGTGTCTCTATTTCTGCTTCAGCATCTCCGCCAAGCATTAGATTTTGTACGGCAAGCTTGCTAGTTTCATGACATTGTCCAGCAAGCAAGATCTCTTCTAAGACGTAATATGCTTTTTCGAAATTAAAAATGAGATCCAATTCACAGACCTAGTTGATGTTGTTAGCAATTGCACCAAGTTTCGCGGATACTCATGGGACCAAATTGACAACTTACATTACCAAAGTATCTGTCAAGACACTCAACAAAGCGATGGATAACTTCTAATGTAATCAATTCGTTATCTGTGGAATCAATTCCACATACGAAATACAGCGACGCGTATCTTCGGTATACGATTTTGCCAGCTTAACAAGAATTAGCAGTAAGTTCCACCAAAAAATGCATATAGAGCATGCTCTTATGTATCTGACAAACCTTTATACTCAAAAAAGTTACACATTTTTGGTTTACGGACAAGAACGATGGATGCAACATCTCTGACAATTTTGACACGTTCTTTCGCCGACAAAGCGTGAAACCACTTTGCCAAACGGACCTTTCCTTGCCGGCTAATCAGTAAGAGGAAGTTAATAGCCATTTCTTAGTAAATGAGTTGCAATTAGGCTTGATATCCGCTAAGGCAGTTGGTGGGTGGGACTTTAAGACAAAAAGCTCCCGACTAAAAAAACAGTACAGTATCGTATTATAATAAAATGAGTAAGGGAGAAATAGTTTCTATTAAATATGAACGGAGGATTTCGTCTTAAAAAGACTGCAAATGTTCCTAAACGCCGGGAAGGAAGTCTGAACTTGATTGCGAACAAGAAATCAACGAAAAGCAGACCAAAAATTTTCTCAAAGATGAAAGGAAAGCTATTAGATTATCAGAAGGGACGGCTTAACCGACCATACTTCTTTTTCTTCCACGCATGCGAACATCTTCAAATCTTCGAAGAACTGATTTACTAGCTTTCCAGCTTTTCGAATACGATTCCAATGTCAGCGAGAACTACATAGTTAGCATATGTTACAAGCAGGCTTAACACCAATAAATTCATACCAATTGTTCACTGTTGGGATGTGTACTTGCAAGAGCCCGTTCAAGAACATATAAATCAACAGCCTTGTCTTCTTCTGATTCAATGACCGTTCCCAAACCAAAGTCAATAAAAACAATATCATCCTGATTTTTGTTACGTAACATCATGTTGCTTGTCGTCAAATCACCATGTATGATATCGTTTTTGTGAAGATTAGCAACTTCTTTACCGATGTTATTCATTAAACGTCGGAGAAGGACTTCATATTCTTCTGAAGACTCAATAGAACGAATATAGTCACGCACAGAGCATCCTTCGATCCATTCCATATAAATTTCACCGCGTTTAGGGTCCACAAAATATAGCAAAGGGCACTTCAGTCCCAATGTTTGACATTTTGCCAACAAACGAGCCTCAGCAAGACATCTCCTTCTCGTAAGACGCTGATCTAATATAGGATGCCGCCAGTGCTTCGCTGGACGACATTTTAATAGACAAGGTTCCCCCGGAAATATACTTGTACGAAAAACAACAGCTTCTGCGCCTTGTTTCACAGTGACCCTGTTTTGTTCTTCACTAGTAGAGTAAAGAACTTTACAAGTTTCCCGTAAATCCTGTTTTTCGGTCATTGGACGCGTTTGTGATTAGCAGGCCGTACAACCAGGACGCGAAAAGTGTAACTAGTTTGAACGAGTCAAACAACAACCCTGATTAACGTATGGCAAACGACAAGAGCAACAAAAGAGTAGGTTAATGGAGGTGAATTTGGTGACGTAGGATGCCTTCTAAAAGTTCTGTTCATAATTTGTCACAAATGATTGATGAACATATTAGTACGGGTCGGAACAATTTAAGCGAGAAATATTCTTTAAGTTCTACTAAATTGTTAACGATCAACATTTTTGAATTTTGGTATTTTGGAAACATTACTTTAAACATATTTCAACGGATACTAGGTACCTTTTTGTAAATCGTTCCATGACATTCTCTTCACGTTCACCTCAAGTACAAATTAAGAATTCATACTAAATATTAAATATCAAATGTAGTTGAGAAAAAATATAACAGAAGCCTTGTTTTACTTAAACCGTTGTTTGTTTAAGGTCCAGTAGATCATTAACCAATTGTAGCTTACTTAAATTCCTCATTTAATGAATACAAATAAACTTGTGTTGCACAGACTCGGGCTATCGCAAGGAACCGTCTATATTTAAGCAGATTGTCGAGCAAGCAGAGTGTTTGATTTTCATCTTGAATAAGTTCAATCGGTTCATATTGAATCAACTCTTTTAATAGAGCTTGACTGACATTTGGATAGTGCAAACTTCCAGTTTCATCAGCAACGACTTCAATCTAAAAGTGTTGGTTAGAAATGTTCAAAGGAAAACATGAGCAAGTTCTTCAACTGTTCGCTAACTTACATAGTTAGCATACAGAGGTACCGCATTTCTTGACCATATAACAACATCTTGAATGCTTTTCATCTGTGCAAAGCGAGTTTTGAGCAAGATTAGACTTATGCGACAACAGTTTTCAAAGGGCTGTGTGCTTGTCAAAATGTCAAGGTATCGGAATGTGTGCAGTTGTATGCTATTACGTTTTATTAATCTTGATCGCTGAGCCGCGAACTTTCGCAAGGTATTCGTTTGATAAATTTCAGGATTAGGGTATATGGTTGCCGAACGTAATCCCAATTCAATCGTGCCCTTATTTTTTAAAACGGTGCAGTTATGGAAAAGTACAACTAGATGAGTATTGAGTTAGCAGGAGCAAGTATGTATCAAAAAGAATAAAAGCACATCACTTACTGGTTTGCCTGTTCCACCGCCGGACAGACTTGATTTGTGAATCGCCGTTCAACGTGATGAATGCTTCGCCAGTGGCGTCAAAAACCCAAATCCTTTGCGACGAGCACCATCGATTCGGTTGGCTTAAGTAATGGGAAATTGGTTCCATCCAGCCTATCGCTACAAGGGCTGTAGTCAATGAACCCTCAACGCAATCTAGTAAAGTAGAGACCGGTGATATTGGTAATGTACAAAGTTTCGACGGATTAGGAAACATATAGTCATACTCTTGTCGTTCTAGTTTGTCGAGTTTGATTAGCTTTGAATCCACGTTGCGTGCATTTAAAACCGTATAGGGTTCGTTTGATATAGAATATTTTAAACGGACATTACTGTACAAATGAACGACATCACCCAGTCTTAAAGATTGGAATACTTTACAATGCGGAGATGCATCGGATACAATGTATTTCACGTTCAAAATGCCGGTATTGTCTTCAAGTTTAAGTGTGTAAAATGGCATAGAAGACTGAGAATTACTTAGATTCGTGATTCTCCCAGTTATCATGATGTTTTTACTATTTTTGGTCAGTGCATTTACGTATGTTACCTCGTAGGAATCCCAGTTAACAAAATCATTTGTTGTTAAATCCATTTCGTTAGTGAACAACAGATACGTTTTTTTTTATCATGAGCGTTTTTTGTCTTTTAATACGTGTAAACGAGATTCAGTAAAGCCCTTCAATGTGTAAACAAACGTCTCTCTGTCGCGTAAATACAATTGTTGCAAGATGAGTGGTGAGGCAGGTAACCAGAACAATTACTGAAACAATAAAACGTATAGTAATGCCATACAAAAACTTGTAATATATCATTCTTCTTTTCATAGCCTAGTAAATATTTTTAGTAATATCATAACGTTACTTAAAAATTGATTCCAATACTGCAATAGTAATGAAAGGTCCAAGATAGATATTGAACAGCAAACAAGTTTTGTAAAGGCAAGACTTTAGCTAAAGCCTTTTACTACTTGGTGATAAGAAGAAACAAAACTATAGATAACAATTTAAACTCAAACACTTGAATATTTTCCAATTAATAGTTTTTGTATGAAATCAGCACTGTGGGATTACGTTTGTCGGCAAGAATATGATCTTTCTTGAAACAAAGCAAAAGTAATTTGAATTTTTATAGAAGCTTGACTAAATATTAAAACGTAGTTAAATCGATAAAACCTTCGTAAACGTTAATGAGAAACTAAAGTACTCCAATTTTACAACTGGACCTGCTTCATTCGCAAAATACTTATATACAAATCGTAGAATTCTATTGTAAATACAATTCTTTACCAAAAAGTACTAATGAAATAAAGGTAGAAACATTTCTGATGATACCAAGTCATGTAACATGTCACAGAACATTCCTAAAATGTAAAAGGTTGGAAAACACCAAGACTGTTAGTAACTTTACTTCAGGCATGAAAACAATGAACGATGAATAAAACATTATTTTTTTCGGGACACATCGTTCATACTGTCTAACAAAAAAAAATAAAATAGTTAGGGCACGAAACATCAAAGTTTATCCGGGACATCGAGCAAATGTCCCATTTTTGTTATTTTTGTCCGAAGGTAATCACCGAGTTCTTTGCTTTTGACGCCCTTCTCACCCTTCCATGCCTTTGGAATCATGGAAACACGTTCCACAACATGGACTTCATCATTGGGCCCTTCGATACTAGTAATTTTGTCCGGATTGTTTGTAAGCAAACGAATGTCATGAAGTCCTAGATCAACAAGTATAGAGGTTGCGATACCATAGGAGCGTGAATCAGCTGGATGTTGTAGTAACAGATTTGCTTCCACTGTATCGTTACCCAAATCCTGCAGATTGTAAGCCTTAAGCTTTTCAGCTAATCCAATTCCTCTTCCTTCTTGTCGAAGGTACACGATAACGCCATTCCCCTCGTTACTGATGAGTCTTGCCGCTTCATTTAATTGCTCACCACAATCGCATCGGGCAGACCAAGCCGTTTCGCCAGTGTAACATTCCGAATGGATACGAACCAAATACGGAGCATCACTATCTTCAGTTTCTGTCTGCTGGACTTTAAAATCTGCCGTGGAAGTCGTGCGTCCAGGATATAGTTTTCCAACATAAGCTCCACGAATCATTCGGTCCATTTCGGTTTCACCCTCTTGTACCGCGTCTAAAGAAGATGATCTAATGTTGTTTCCGAAAACGATAGCGAGGTGTTCCTTCGTATCCTGGTCATTTTTGTAAAGATGCAAAAATATCTCAGTTCCTTGGACCGTTGGAATTCTTGCTCTCACTAAGCAACGGACATTCGGTAATGCCTTTGGTGTCTCTATTTTTCTGACTGGATGTTTTAGTTGTCCATTTGGAAATTGAATCGGCGTGTTCACACACTCAATTTCACTCTGAACGAGCTGAGCGTTCGGTTTTACAGGAGTTGGTGTCTCCATATGACTTTATTAAATAGAAATAGAACAATTTTTAAGAAAAAAGGTTCTATATTAACAGTATTTTTTTTTATTGATGAAAGTTGTGGAAGCAGATGGAATGCCCAGACTGATGGCACAAATTAGTAATTATCTGTCATACCCAGTAAACGAACAAAATTCTTCAGGTTTCAACCGTCGTGTAAGTACAAAAACACATTATTCGTGTCATTTTCCTAAGGATTGTCAACAAATGAAAAGTCGCAAAGAAACAAACTGAACAGGTAAGAAAACACCAAGTACCATTAGAAATTACTTTTGTAGATCAAACTCAAAACAGAAAGACATGTAAAACCACTCCCAACAGAACCTTATAATAATGCTAGCCCGCAACCAGTCTATTTCGTATTACTGCAAAGTACATTTACAAAAACATAAAGGAAAAAAGAAAGTAGCATTGGAGAACATAAAGAATGTCCGTCACCTTATGTTCTTTGAAACATGAGAACTAAAACTCCAACGTTTGCGCACGTTTTGTAAGTGTCTAAACTTTTAAATTAGACCACCTTTTGCAAGGAAGTCTAAGCATTGGCAATCAGGTATAGTTACCGCTCCAAATACGCTTTCAGCTTATCCAACTGTAAACGTACTAAGTTTGCAAAAGGAGAGGAGTGACTTTCCGAGCCTGCAACTGCTTCCTCTTTTGGTAAACCGATAATGTCAACCGCATAAACTTGCTCATATACACTAGCAGGCGTTGCCAATGTGCTCAAATAATTGGGGTGTGTTATAAGATAGTCAACGCCGTTCATCATTTGTGTTTTCATTTCCGCGGCACCAATTTCTTGCAGCAAAATTGGGTTATAAGTTTGCAACAACTCAAACAAAAGAACAATCATAAACGTCTCATCAATAGCCGCAAGATTCACATTTTGGGGAAGCTGACGCCAATTCAGTAAGGACGTCTGTATTTGCGGAATAAATGACAAAAGCATTTCACGCGTTTCTTGTTGTATACGATTACCCAAAAACTTGATCGTCTGGAACATTAAAGGAAGAATTCCGCGTGTCCAAATCCGGTGCAATATGGGCGAACCTTCAGCTGTCACAGATGAATTTCTTAAAGTTGAAAATACTCTAGCCTCAAGAAGAACGGTGAATAACCCCGTGTTAACAATCTGTTCTGCAGCAATAGGGTGTTTTGAGCATGCGACCAAAAACGTAATGGCAGCATCAGCAAAGTAAGGTTGGTTTTCAAGAAGTAGTTCATGCGACCACGAAAGGAGGTGAACACAGTTTTCCACGGAAGCAGTGTTGACCATACAAGACACAATTTGTGTCTCCAAGCCCTTTACTAAGCGGCTATCAATTAGCAGCTCATGTAGTGAGTTGAATAGCACAATGTCAGCATGAATTTCGGCGCTCGGCTGAGAAATAGCCTTCTCAAACAGCTGTGATAATTTTCTATGACACATGTAAAGAATTCCAGCGACCGTGCTGAGATTCACATGGGCCTTGTGCTCCTTGTTCGACAAAAGAACGTTCAGAAGATTGTAAAGAGCACGAACAAGGGAGCGGTAGTAAGGCATGAAAGTATCGGAACAAGGGTCGTACAAAGAGAAATTTGAAGTCATTATAGATTTCCAAGTGGAGTACAAGAGCTTGTAGAGCAGTTTTGTATTTTCCTCATTAAACTCTACAATGTTTGCACATTGTTGGCTCATGCGAAAAACTAACTGTGCACGCTCAGCGTAAACACTATTGAAAAGAGCTAGACCTACACGTTCTGACTGAACAGACTCCAGTATCCATTCAGACGCCTTTAGGCACAACAGTGCTACCTTTGAATCAACCTTCGAATAGTCTGCCAAAGAACTCAAAAATAGAGAACAAGAGCGAAGAAGCGTAACCTGTGCATCAACAACCGACAAGTTTACGTTTACACTTTTAACAGTTTCGATTAGTGCAGAGACTTTCGGATTTAAACCCAACATTTGTTGAGCAAGCGATATGTTGTAGAAGAACTCCTCACCGTATGAGGGAGAAACAAGCCCCGTATTTTTTAAAGAAAGCAAAGGAAATTTCTTCCATGTTTTCTGAAAGCCTTCCTGTATTTCGGCATGTAGTTCATGATCATAATCCTTTAACGTATATATAACACGAATTAGCTGATCAAGTACCGAGTGAATGGGATCCACAACCAGCTTGGTTACATTAGTATTGTTCCGTGATTGTGACATAAAAAGCTGGACGGCAGCAATCCGAAAAGCATTTGAGGCCGCAGTATATATCACAGGACAATTTTTGTCTTTTGCATCCGTCTCCTGTACACTGGAAATGACACGAGTTATCGTATTCCAGAACTTTTCGTTCTGTTCATTTTTGGCATATGTTGAAGACCAGAAATTCCGAGCCAGGAAAACGAATTCAAAAATGGGTAACTTGGGCTGCAAATCAGCATTATCAGGCAAATCGGCAATTCGCTTTTCAGCTATAGATGTCAAAGATGTAGTACCCTTTTGCGAATCTGTAAAGTGATTCATATTTTTCATGCGCTTAAGAGGAAATTGCTTTCCAGAAAATAAAAGGACAGCTAAGCCTTGCTGTTGGCCCTTCATCAATGAAGAGAGAAACTTCCACACACAGCCTTCTGTCAAATCTGACCGCAGAGGGTTCGTTAAAATTTGGGTACAGACCTTGCCAACCATATCCGTAGAGTCAATCAAATAAGCAAGGAGTGAAGGCGTTTCAGACGTCCATGGCGCAAGTACTAACGAAGTTAATAACTGAAACAAGGGCGCAACAAATCCCTCAAATTGAGGTAGCGCGGAGATAATGCTCGTAGACCGAGAAAACAACTCTTTCTCCAGTTCAGAGGGACGAAGATTAAGATAACCACGAAGACGAATAAGGGTATCGAGAAATTCGAAAGATGATAAAACCCATTTATAAGCAACAGCGGATCCAGTCTGATGAACGCTTGTCATTAATGTAGCATACAGTTCGTCAAAATGATCATATTGTGAGAAAACGGAATAAAGGTATCTTTTTGATGCCTTTTGAACAAGAAGTTTGTCAACAAGATACGATCCCAACTCATAAATGGGATGAATAGAAGTCGTTTCCTTCTGCTCCTTGTAAAGTTCAATGCCAAAAGCTGCGTGAATGATTTTTGAGGCAACCTTCACAAATGAGAAACCAAGTTCATACTGCTGAGTGACATCCTTGTAACACCAATCGTAAAAGCTTGAAAAGATTTCACACATCGACTGCAGAGATGTACCCATGAACTCCATTTTTAGTCTAACCGAGAAGCCATCAGCGTTCGCTGAAGTGTTGATGCAATCAGAAACGAGCAAATCGTAAAACTTAAAGAAAGAAATGGTAAAATCGTAATTGCCAACAACACACTCGTAGTTAGTTAGAACTGCCTCCAAATAGCTTTGTCGACCGGAGCTAGAAATAAGGGCAGAATGAGTGATATAAGCCCAGACCTGGGCAGGAGAGAAACGTACGAACGTGGACAACAGTTGAAGCGACGCAACACAAATGTCATATTGGCTTTCACGGCCAAGAGGTTGGGACATGTAATAATCGAAAACATCGCAAATTGTGTTCACGAAATCTGTCTCACTGCCAACAGAACCGGCAGCGAGAATGGCTAGACGCCTGACATAACCCCGATTTTGAGCAAAGAGCTTAGCACATGTGGGGATTAGAACGTGAAGTTTGTCCTCGTTTTCGTCAAACGTTCTAGTCTGCACAATGGTGTACAACCACTTACCGAGCAGAGACCAGGCATTATAACTAACCATCCAAATCACGACGGGGGGATACGTCTCGGTAGAAATAATGCGGCCACGGGTGCCAGCTGGTAAAGCGATGGTGAATTGTGAGGTAGGTTCAAAAATGAATGGCAAATCCAAGGGAGCCTGCAACTCAATGAGAATATTGGTTGACACCTGCGATTCAGGAATAATTTCATAAGCCTTAAAACCCTCGGGTAATGCTTGTGTGAGTGTCTCAAGTTGTAACGCACCAACTAAGGCGTCCCATGAACTTGTATCAAGTGACTGAAAAAAAATTGGGATGCATGAAAAATCGTAAGGAAAACGCGCTTTAGAACGCAAAATCACCCTAGCCCAATCTTCATCTTCAGCAGCCATGTCGCGTATTACCGGAGTTTGCAAAAGATCAGAGGCACACGCAAAAAACGAGTCTGTGAATTTCACATAGGACACTGTTGACGAAAACAGAAGAGACAACACAACACAATACCGGTCCATCGAAGGATCACCCTTGAGACTAGTCAGTAGGTTACTCATTATACTGAACAGGTCATGATGCACAGTAGTGCGAATGAGGTACTGGTAGCTGCTCTTCACATCGTGGAATATGGCCGCCGATACTTCTTTTTGATCAGTCATTACACTCAAGTTTTCCGGAGACCCATCAAGAAGATGGAGGGCAATTCCCCATGCCATACAAGCAGGAGCAGCTGTTGGCTCCCCGGCAAGCTGCATGAAAGCCTCATGAACTTTGATAACTGTTTTTCCATTCAGCATAAAAAAGCCTGGCTGCTCGCCGAAAGGTTGCGACTGCCGGTCCAGGGCAATGAACTCTACTGAAACAATGACCGCAAGATACACAATTTGGCGACACAAAGTCAGCCCCAATTGGGCATCAAGATGGACGAAGTCCTGCTCCTGGAGCATACGGCTCTTACGCATGCATTCAAACCAGGCCGAAGCAATTTCCGCTGTACATGGTATCAGATCGTACACAAGAGCGAATATGAGTTTTTCCAAGAGTAATTGGGCCGAGAAGTGAAAGTAGTACCATTGACCAATGGCCTGTTCACTTAATTTTGAGATTCGAGTAGGGATAGATTGTTCGTAAAGCTGCTCCAGAAGCTGTATGGCCTGCACACAGTACTGAGAGGCAGCGTTTTCACCAGAGCCAGTAGCTGTATTCTTTTCGGCTCCCAGTAACACGTGTACAATAATATTTCTTGACACTTCATGCCAATTATTTTCCCTGTCCGAGCAAGTAGACAGCAGCAAACATATAAGTTTCCAGACAGACAGCCGCTCTATATTGTAGGAACGAGTAAACGTCTGTACTAGCGATGAATCGCTAGCAAATGATTCCATTCTGCGTTCCGAGAAAGAGTCATTGTGGGATATAAGCACATAAAGGACCTCCGAGATGTCTATACCCGTCAACTCAGACAGTCGGCTAGCACTTTTTTGTTGAGCCTCCGTAAAGCATATTGTCTGGCCATAAATGCATAATTTTTCATTTTGAACGCTTCCACGAAGGGGACTAGCCAAGTTGCGAAGTCCATCCAGCCGTTCAACAACAATTTTTTCGAATTCTTCTACGGGGAAAGAATCATCTTTTACTTGAAACGCGTCCAAAATCCAAGTCCACGAGCTAAAAAAGTTCATTAGTAACGGTGACACACGAATACCAAAACCGGGCCGAATGCAAATTGTCAGTAACATACACAATAGAACTGTCCATCTCGCGAGAAACAAGGAGATCGTTTACTTTACGTATACGATGCAGGGAAAAGAGAAGTTGGTATGGGTGGGAGCTGCTCTACAGACAGTTGTGTTCACGTTGGTGGATACTACTAACTCGAAACTGACATAGCCCCCACTAAGCATCTACTAATACCCCACATTGCCTGCCTGGTTCACTCCACCAACCCCACATCATAGAACGAAACTCCACCCCCACAAACTGCTGTAGTCGAACAAGCTCCATTTACTAAGAACCGCAGATAATTCAGTATGGGAGAACGGGAAGACAAGCTCGCTGCAGCCAAGAAACGGGTGCGTTAGAGAAAGAACTTGTTTTTCTGGTGCTAACTTTTACAGTTTCTTGAAGCCAAACGCAAGAAGAGGATTGCTGAACAGTCAAAAGAAAAGCCGAAAGAAAGCAGCGCCTCCAATGCCAAACCAGAGTCGCCAGACACAAAGGAGGAAGCAAAGAACGAGAAACAATCCTCGACACCGGACAATAATTCGAGCGAAACGGCTGAGGCTGTTTCGAAAGAAGACTCCGTGGCAGAATCTGCGTCGTCCACTCCCTCTGAAGCCAAGACAAACGAACAGGAAGAGCCAGAGCAACCAGAGCAGCAATCAGAACCTTTACTTGACGAAACAACTCATGACACTGAAATTGCGAAGACCACTTCTGATGAATCTAATACAGAGACTGTTGCCCCCACTGATGACGCCCCCACTGAAATGGAGGAAGCAAGTTCAGTGGAGAAGGACACGAATGAGGAGAAAAAGGAAAATACGGAATCTACTGCTGTTAAAACACAAGAGCCGGAAGCAGAGACAACAGAACAGTCAACAACATTGGAATCAGGGCCGGAGATGACGCCTGCGCCAGCAGTGGAGCCCACCCCAGATACCAACGAGACTGCAGAACGGTCTCCTCCAGCACACTCCTCCTCCCGCTCATCTACATCGACCGATGTTCATAATACTCCTTCGCCAGAGTCTAGACCAGAAGCCTCACCCATTTCGACTCCAATCCTCACCCAAGCAACCCCCACTTCGTCTACCGATTTACTGGCGGACACACGTGCTGAGCTTAAGAAGGTGCTGGCCGAAAATGCAATGCTAAAGGAGACACTGGAGCGTTATAAGCTCGCAATGGATGAGTTTACGGCCTGCCAGGAGCGCATCAAAGAGCTTGAAGCACTGCTCTACACAAGAGACTCGAAACGCCTTACCGACGAATCACACGCACCTGACTTTGACGTGATCGACAATGTCACTATTGACTTGACTCGCACAGGCTTCCCCGGCGCTCTTGGAGCCCCCTTCGAAGTTTAATTCCCCAAGCGAATTGTTTCGGGAGATGCCTCCGACGACCGCGCTAGTACCGCGGAAACAATCGCTTGTTTCTCGGTTATGCATGTATAAGCGAAGAATGCTTAAGCGAGAGATCGTTTGGGCGACAACAGCAGAAAAGTGTTGCCTCAGCGAAATTTTGCTATCCAAAGCATGTCGTTGCCTAGAGCCGTGGGACGGGTCATTGTTGTGGGCACACAAGGTAAGGGGAACGCGTTTGGCAAGCCCGTTGCGTTGTCTCTACCGGGGACACAGCTTCTCGGGGGAATGAGTCACGTCTTGGCGGAATCGAAAAAAAAATCTTCACGTTCAAGTGTCAGTAGCTAATTTATGCAGTCCTAAGCAAGGCATTTGTACAAGCCTACAAGCAGATGGTTGCCAATGCCAGTCGTCAGGCCTCGGGAAACGAGTCGGGCAGTGGCGGTGGATCTAAAAAGTCAAAGTCTGCTGCTCGCCGTGGAGAAATCTCCACTGAAGAGGCTGCGGACATTATGAACGTCCGCCCCGACTCCACAACGCTTGAAGAGCTTGAACGGCGTTTCAAGGTAATGTTCGACAACAACGATCCTAAGAAGGGAGGATCGTTCTACTTGCAGAGCAAAATCTTCAACGCACACGAGCGGTTAAAGGCTGAGGTTGCCAAGAGTCAAGCAACCGAGGCGACAGAGGAGAAACAGTAGGCAGCGGGACTCGCACGAGCATCTTGTATCATATCATACATTCCAAACAATGCCCAGCAATCGGACCCTTTTATGACGATGTAAAAAATGGCACTGTAATGCAAGTGTTGTCGTTCATTTCAGAGGGACGTAAATGTGATGTTTTCGTTTCAAGCCACAAAGACACTTCGACACTTCGCTACCTGATCGTTTGAAGCGTTTAAAAAGTATTTATGTCAACATCCAGGACATCCAGGAAAACAAATTAACCATTCAAAAAATATAAACAGCTCTGGCTATAGGGATACATACATTGAGCACGGGACGCGCAGATGTGACGTTTCCTGCACGCCGTTCGTTCGCATCTTGAAATGTTTTCGTGACAGGTCAACATGCAGCTTAGTACTTGAGAATAATATACAAAGCGTGAATGATGCCACTAATGCAGTTAGTAAAATGACCACGCACACGCACAGCTGTGCGACAGAGAACGTTATCGTTGTGACGTACGGAATGTAACCCAAGCAACACAGAAGAATGTTAATACTGCACACGACAGCGTTAGTAATGTGATGACGTGTAATTTAGTCGGCCACGACGCAACGTGACATCAGACCGGAGTCGCAACGCGACATCCATGCGACCGAGATGGACTTACAGAAGGTCGGCACCACAACCACGTTCCAAGAAAACACCAACAGGTGGAAGGAAGATGGCGCAGATGATCTGAAACACTAGTTAGCTAGTGCTAGAGACAAAGCTTGGCAACTAGAGAGCGGCAATGGAATCGTAGCACCGTCATCCGAACGGATTGCGGAGCCGGTCGTCAGAGTCTATGCTCTATCACGTACTTTAATAATATCACTTCCAGTCAATGCCATTTTGTAGTTTGTTTAATGCTTAGTGTCCAGTACCGTATACAGAAATGAAGAGTGTTATATACACAATGTGAACAGCGGATGTGAGAAGCAGAGAGCAGAAATGTCTCTCTTTATATCTTCTGTGAGCAGGGCGTTTCGGTATCACCACGTCATACACGCTACGTCATGTTGTATACATTCTCGAACCCAAATGATCACTAGGGTTTTGACCGGTGGACAAGGCAAAGGCAGCCATGATCGAAACGACCCTGTGATGCATTGGCTTGCCGAGTTAGCTGGATAGGGAAGTGCATAACAGGATGATATCCTTTGATAAGTCGTTTACCGAGCGACTTGAAGAGCTAATGTTCTCACATTTTATCCAATAGCAGAGGATACACAAGCCCCACGCGTCGCAAAACCCGGCGCCTCACTGTCCAGTCTGGTAACCCGAGGACCTTGCGAAAACTCACTTGTTTAGTCTGTTGGCCGATACGGAGAGACACCTAACTCCGAGTGCTTTGCGGGAATAGCCCCGCCTCGAGGACTCGGCGACCACTCGAAGGTTTCGGCAGCGAAGTGGGGAAGTGGGGGTCTGGAGGAGACAGGTCGGCTGAAGAAACCTTACTGCATCGGCTGGCATAACTTTATTTCTTCAAACGGTTAAGCGAGCGCTGGTGTGTTGGGTGCGACAATTTGCCGGTGAGGAGTTTGTGGCGGAGGACGAAAGAACACTTTCAACATCCAGCAGCTGAGACAGTGGCTCGAAAAGAATAGGTCAAAAAATGCCCGTTCTGTCGCAGGCTTCTCCGCACGGCATAACGAGAAGGATTGTTGGTTAATATTTTGGCTTCTTTTGCCCTATAAAATAAGCTTTCTGTTATCTGCTTCCGCTGCCAGTGATGTAATTATGCCGTCAAAACTCTCTCGTGCTTTAAAACCTCCAGCGCTAAGTCAACTTCAACAGCCAATAAACGCCTTGCTGATTCCCGTCGCAGCGCATCCCTGTCGCGGAGTCGAGTCTTTAAGGGAGGGGAAACGACCAATCACAGTTGAAAAGCCGGAATTACGTGCAGCATAACCGACGAAAGCCCCAGCACTCCGCGGCTCTAATATTGTGTTGAAGACGACAATAAGGCATAGAAAACAATTAGCTCCATTGTACTGTTGCTTGTGAGTCAATTCCGTTCGAAACAGACGCTGAATTCGTTCTTAATTGCGACTCTGCGCCCTTTGTCCCACCAACTGGTACGATTTTGATCGGCGTCGGTGTCCCTGAATTAGCCGGTCATAGCGTGCTAACCGAAACCCTTACCCTACATCGTTGTCGCCAGGACGTATATAAGGAGCCAACAACCCCGCAGCGCATTCTAACCAGAGCCAACCAGCTTCCCAATCAGTTTTCAGACGAATACACTGCAACACATTCCCTGGAATAGTTGTTTTTTGATTTGGTCGCATCACCATTTTTAATTTCGCAACTTGAACTGTTGATTCTTCTGTTCCAGTAGTATCAGTGTTTTTCCGTCTACCTAAAATACTCGCGTTCTCTCTTTAGTTCTTGCGTTTTTTCGTTTTCGTCTTCTTCCCTTCTCACCTCCCTCCTCATCCCTTGTCCTGTTTTTTTTTTAGTATGTCCCAGAGTGCTGACGTGATTATTATTGGCGCCGGTGTTACTGGTAGTGCACTTGGCTGTGCCTTGGGGCGCCAGGGTCGCAAAGTCGTTGTCATTGAGCGCGATATGTCCGAACCTGACCGTATCGTTGGTGAGCTCTTACAGCCCGGCGGCATTGAAGCTCTCGCCAAAATCGGCATTGCCGACACGGTTGAGGGTATTGATGGCCAATGGACCCAAGGATACCAAGTCTTTCAAAATGGCGACAGCGTCTCTGTCCCCTACCCCAATTCTGCTTCTGGAAAGCAATACCAAGGCATTGGCTTTCACTATGGTCGCTTCATCATGAACCTTCGTAAGGCTCTTGCCAATACGCCGAATGTCACTGTAATTGAGGCTACGGCGAATGAATTAGTTCGTAATTCCACTGGCGACGTTGTCGTTGGCGTCAGCTGTACCAAAAAGGGCTCGGAGAAGCCTACAGAGATCATGGCACCTCTTACTGTTGTGTGCGATGGTTGCTTTTCCAAATTCCGTAAGCCTTTTATTGACCATCCCATTCAAGTCTCTGATCACTTTTTGGGTCTCATTCTTACCAACCCGAAGTGGGTTACTCCCGGACGTGGCCATGTTATCCTTAGCAAGGTTGCTCCTATGGTCATGTATCCTATTTCCAGCACTGAAGCTCGTATTCTGATCAACTACCCTGGCAAGCAGCTTCCTTCCATGGACGGCCTTAAGAAATACGTTCTCGAACAGTGTGTCCCCAACATGCCCGGTGAACTTGGTCCATGTTTGAAAGAAGCAGTCTATAACGACCGAATTCGCACTATGCCTAACCAATTCCTCCCTCCCTCAGTCAACCGCACAAAGGGTATGATTCTCATCGGTGACTCTAATAACATGCGCCATCCTCTCACTGGCGGCGGTATGACTGTGTGCTTCCACGACGCGTACCTTCTTTCCCGTTTTATCGCCCCTTCTGTTGTTCCCGATCTGACTGACTATGACAATCTTCTCAACCAGATGCAAAAGTTTCATTGGAAGCGTAAGGGTTACAGTTTTGTTATTAACGTGCTGTCTATTGCCTTGTACAAACTCTTCTATCCCCGTAACCGCTATATGAAGGCCTTAGAAGTCGGCTGTATTGATTATTTTAAGCGCGGCGGCAGCTGCGTCTCTGGTCCTGTGAGTTTGTTGGGTGGTCTGGATCACAGCCCGTCTCATTTGATCATGCACTTTTATGCCGTCGCCATGTACTCCATGTTTCGCTATATTGCCGAAGCTCCTGTTTTCCTTATGCCCGTGCGCGTTATTGAGTCCATTTTTATTTTTGCTCAGGCCACATTCGTGATTATGCCTTACATTATTAGCGAAATGTCCTCTTAAACGACATAAGATGACACAAAATGGATCGAGGCGCGTTTTGCTTCCTCTTGTCGGTATGTTATCTTTCTTATATTCGGTGTCATAGGTACGTCTTTTGCACATGGCGGCTCCTTTGGCTGTCAACGAAAAGCCGGCGAGTTAATTCTTGCGGCCGTGTTGAGCATGCTTGATGCAACCATTGTGCTCGGATGGAAGAGCATGGGTCTCTGCCTTCTCAGGGAGTGAAACACCTTGGAATGGATGGCCCAGCTTCGGCCCTTACGGTGTCCTGCAGATATCAAGCGGCCCTAATGTCTTTCACTACTACAAAGTATTGTTGGATCTACTGGTGCTGGCCTGTTGGATGCTAGTTCTCCTCTTTGTTATTTTTATTTGTGTGTGTACTTTCGATACTGCGTCGAACTTAATTTTATATTTTGGTGAACGAATGTTACGTGCAAAGTAATGAATGGGCGCGGTTCGGATGGTATGGTATACAACGAAAAATTAATTTCATGCAAGTCATTTTTTAATCTTACAAGGACGTTGAAGTGTTTTTGTGGCTAAGAATTGATGTCGCAACCGTTGAAACGCGTAGGATTGCCTTTATATTAGTGAAAAGGCACGATACGACAAAGGACGACAGCGGCTCGTTGAATCGTGAGTTGCCCGTAACGTGTGCAATATTTACGTCTTTTTAAATCCATGTATGGAAAAGAGCGACACTGAGGTGTTGAATGTGTAATAGGGAAGGCGGACAAAAGGTTAGAAACGAGCGAGAAGCAGGGGTCGGACGGGGATGAAGAAGTCGCACCCATAAAAAGATATCAGTGCAGGAAGGGAGGTTTGGAGATAATTAGACATCTATAACATGTTTCATTAGTCAAACAGGCTCCCCATAAGAGGAGTCAACACTTGCCTGAGAGACATAAACAAGAACAAATATTACACGGGTTGTCGTGAACTTTTATGAATGTGTGCATTGGAAAAAAAGATGTGAATGTGTTTTTTTTAGGAATTGAGGACATGAACGACTGGAATCATCACATTCAAAGAGAAAAAGGGAAGGAAACGATAACAATTTTAAGTTCGTTCACAAGAACGGAGACTTTGGTGCTTCAACAGCACAAAAGTAGGATGGGCGTGGTTCATGAGGCAGGAGAGGAAGTTTCCTGATGAGTATTTTCTTCTTTTGGAGTAGCGTCAGGCACTGATTCTGGTGTAATGTCATCCGTAATTTCGTTGGTTGCCGGCAAAGATAATAATCCTTTTGAATCTTCGAGGTCAGCTAAACCATTAACGTCAAACTTTGCTTCAGTTGCTTGTGAGACTTGCTCACGCGCTTGACGCTTCTTTGGAGAGGCTTCGTCATCTGATAGACCATTTTCTTCTTCTGTGTTTTCAATGTGTTGTTCTTGACCATCAATCGACTCCATATGCGTGTAGGATTTGCGTTTTGAAAGGTACATCACCAACAAACTCCGATTGCAGAGTAAGGGACTCGGAAATAACGGTTTTTTCTGATAAATGAGTGTCTTCTGCCTCAGTGAACGCGTTCTCATCAGCAGACGGCTCTTTGTCCTTGGTCTCGGAAATTGATGCTTCAGTGGAAATATCATTTTTTGCGACTTCTTGATTGTTTTCTGTGTTGTCCAAATTTTCGGTTGTTTGGCGTTGACTTTGCTGATATGATTGTACCGTATTAATGAGATCTGCAAAGGTGTGCAGAGACTGCAACACAGACAACTTGTCTTGATAGTTAGAGTAAAGAAATAACAAAACAGGCATAGTTCCTTCATTTTTTACAAACTCAAAGAATTCGAGACACGCTGAGGTGACGAGGTTACTTCCTGTACGGACAGACAACATAAGTTCAAAAATTGCATCGAAAGAATGGTTTTCCAACATAAGGCTAATCATTGTATCCCAATGTGCACCAACACCAGTACGGAAAAACCGTAAGGCTGTAAGCTGAACGTGTTTTTTTGTACAGTGTAGCAGTTTAGCAACGCTCCTACTCAATCCAGAAAAAGTTTCACGTTTGTGCAACCAGTTTTCATGAGAACGCATGCAAAATCCTACTAGTTCGCATATATTCGAAAGCACATTCAATTGCTCGTCGCCAATTGCTTCTGGGTCTTCCAACTGAAGAAGCGGTTGGACGAGCTTGTCGAGAAACTTTTGATAAAATACATCAATAAAATGAAGACCATTTTCGATGTTTGTTTCGTTTACCATGTCATAAGCACGGCTTATGTTTTCATTTCCATAAGAGCCAGGACAGCTAAGCAGCGCTTTGAAGGCCTCCGTCATCTGTGCAAGGACACCAAGCGAAGATTCATGATGCAACATAGAAATAAGGGAGGTAAGCATGGACTGTTGAGCGTTTTGAGATGGCGTGTTTTGCATCTCGGCATCAACAGTGTTTTCATCTTCGAACTTGGCGACATCATTTTCAAATTCTTTCCAGATCAGGGAGGGGTTTTGGTCAATAATTGAAATAAGAATATCTGATCCCGTATTACGTACAACAGGATTCTCATGCTTCATAGCGTAATCCAAGGCGGAAAACAGGTTTCGTTTGACGAATTCAGTGTACAATACGCCACATGACTGGGACTGAAGTGACTGAGCGATTTGACATATTTGTTGGATCAAGAGAATTCCATCTTGTTTTCGTTGGTCGTTCTCGTCTGGGTTGCTATACAATCCAAAAAGTTCATTTAAAAATACATCGTCGTGTTGAAGATGTTTGATAATGTCAGCCTGATTAAAGAAAATGAATGAATTTAAAACGCAAAAAGTGGGATCGTCCAAAACACGAGAAAAAATAACGTCCCGCAAATACTGAAGTTTAAAAGTTTGGTGAATTTTTTTGAGTACTTCAGGATCACGGATGGGAACGACCTCTTTAAACCTTGAGTTATCCATCAAGTACTCGCGATGTTTAGCCTTGAAGTTAGGAAACTCCGGATCATACTCAAAAACACCGGCAAGAGCAAGAAGAGTTTCATCGTTGCGTATTAATGGTTCAAAAAACGCATCGTCGTTGAGTTGAATAAAGCTCTTGAATATTGAGCACAAAAGATACAAATCCTGGGTATTTTCCAGGTCTTCACACAAAGAAAACAGTTCAAGTAACCGTTCTGCGTAATGATCAGACACAATTAACTTGCGAAGAGCTTCTCTCGTCGTCAGCGATTGCATTGCACACAAGACAAACTCATTAATTTCAGCAAAGTTTGAAAGTTCAGCAGCAGGCAGAACCATCGATTCCGACAAATTATGTTGAGCTAAAGCCGCTTCGTCTAACAGAGAATCCTCTTTAATTGGCTTTCCGGTTACAGTTGATATAGCTTTTTGCACATCAACAAGAAATGTCCACATCTCTATACAACCAACAGCCTCCTGGAAACTTAAAGCCATATCGCTTCCATCCAGTTCTTGCCAAACTATCAATGTATCTTCTTGCCGCGAATAAATGTCTTCGTTTATAATTTGAGTTTTAAGGAGAACTGTCTCATTATCGATTTCCGAATGAACAATCAAAAATGCCAACGAGTCCTCAATTAAGCCACTACAGTATCCTGTTCCACAATCTGCCCAATTATCGAACTCCATTTCGTAAACCTTGACGCGTCGTGCTGTTTTTGGAACTTCTACTTGGCTTAAAGCCTTCGCAACTGGTGATAACGAGTTCCCGTCTTCTGTAACTTCATCGTGTTCTTCCACCTCTTTGTCGGCGTCTTTTTCATCCAAATCACTCATGATTTTGCGTTTTTTTGGTGAACCGTTATTAGAGTTCTTTTTTAGCGTGTTTGGTGGGAGACGCTCAGTGATCAACGCGACACTTCTAAATGCCACTCGTTACCAGCCAGCTGAAAAAATACAGAAAAACATGACTAAATGCATAAATTAGTGTACATTTAGATCTGTTGTATCGATATTAATCATGAGCTACTCTGAAAGCTGAATTTGAATTTGTGTCCTTCTCACACAACAGGAGAGGAGCTGGTGAAAATAGTTTGATAGAATAGTCTCAGATCCTTCTGTTGTTCGTGCAAAGAACTTTGCACCGGTTTGTAAGGAAAGTGGGAATGTCTTTGTTACGCGTTTTAATACTTGCTCCTTTGTTTAAAGCGCGTTTCTTTTCCTTTGTTTGCTTCAACTGCTATATAAAGCAATGAAAGGCTCGGAATTGCATCCTCAAGCGTGTTATTTAATTCAAAGTAATGAAAGGGGGCATAGAAGCATCTCTGCTTGCTTTCCCTTCCTTTGAAACGAAGGATGATGTTCAACGATTGCTAGTCGACATTCAGCATCGGCTTCTTCTTGCCGCAAAATTAGGAGAATCATTGCTTAAACAAAAACAGGTCTTGGAACTGGCGTTAAGCAAGTTTTATTCGGACGGAAAACGCCAGTTGACGAATGCTGATGCAGTGTTTAAGAGTAAACTTGACAGATTAAATGATGAAATGGCGGAAACTAATCGAGAGACTCAAAAATTACTGCAGAAAGGTGATACTGGACAATTGCATAGTCCGATGATTCAAACAAGTACAACTTTGCCACGGTTAACGGATTCTCCACATATCCCCGCCTCTCAATATGTCATTGAAGTTGCTAGAAACTTGCTCAAACAAGTTCAACATGTTCAAAGGTTGCTTCTGCAACGGACGGATCAGTGTTCCTTGTATAGAAAGAATGCTTCTTCACTCGCTGACAAACTTGAAAACACGAAACTTCAGTCAAAATACTCTCAGCAAGATAAATTAAGAGTGGAAGAGGAAAATCGGGAACTTCGTGCTCGAGTGCAGCAACTATTGGAAAGCGAATCCACAATTTCGTCTGTTAACAAGAGACTTGGTAACGAGAATAAGCGCCTGGAATCGCTGGTTAAGAAACTTCAGGAAAGTGAAGGAACTTTTGAACAGGCACATGAACAAACCTGTCAAAGTTATGAGGATCAAGTTTCTCAATTGCGGAATGAGATTCATGTTCTGAAGCAGAAAAGCACGGATCTGCAGAACTTATTAGACGAGGCAAACTGTCTGCTTCTCGAAGTACGCCAAGCACGGGGAACGAAATCCGCTTCTCAACCTTCTGATGAAATTGTATCTTTACAGCATAACGACGTTGTCACTTCAGAAATCGAGAATGTTATCCATCCGATATGCATTGAGGATGAACTTCGGTCAGTCTTGTCTTCCTCCTCACCAAAACGTGAATCTTCTCTTCCGCTTAGTCGGTCTAGTTCAATAACTCGTAAGAAACGAGTTAGTCGTTCTAGTATGCAACGTCAACTATTTAGCCTACAAACCGAGTTATGCAACAAAAATGCACCACCGACCATTCGAAAAAGGCAGCTTGGATCTTCGAACGGAAAGGGTTTTATGGTGAAGCCTAAGGCCCGGTTCTTGTTGGATGGAAGTATCCAGCATCCAAACGCATGGTTTGACATTGATGGCAGCGCTCATGCTGAATCTTCATCGGCAGAAACATCATTCTCTTTAAGCTCTGCTGGCAGCTTGTTTCATGAAACACAAAGTCAATCTACGGAAATTAGTTTGGCGGATTGGGACATTCCATCAATCCCAGACAATAACCATGTCTGCTCTGGTGATAGAGATCTTTCGTTTAAGAAGGATTCATTTCATGTTGAAGATCCCCCAAATCTCTCACCGCCTTCCAAGCCATCGCTGTTGACCACATCGGATGTTTTGAACTTGACTTATGTTGAGCCATACACTGAAGAACCCCAGTTGCCTGTGAATAATATTTCACAAACTGTTGAACTAGTCTTATTGTCTTCTTCAACAATTTCGGCACCTGCTCGTTTGTCCATTTGTACTGTGAAAAAACCACTTCCAGAAAAGCATTTTTCAAGTGAAACAAAAAATCAAAGTATAATACAACCACTCAAGTATCAGAAAGTTTCAACTTCATCAAGTGAGCAAAATTTGCTAGGAGATGGTTCCTGTACCAACTATTCTCTTGCTTCTCAAGAAAATCTCTCGTTGGTGACAAAGGACTTAATGCAAGCTAATATTCTCAAGGAATGTCTTGATCATTTCGTTACCTTTCAGCATACGTTCGATGGTCGCGTCGGTCAAGTTTATAATTTACCAGACTGCCACTTGGATGATAACTTTGACTTCGAGCCCAGTGCTCGCGTGAGGTTGTCAAGTGATGCTGATTTTTGTGAACTCCCAAGTTGCATCAAACAGGTAGCGAGCGATTCTACGATCAACTTGGATGCTTCGTTTTCTCCCTTAAGTTCTCATTTTGAAGAACCTTGCCCGATCAAGGAGGTGGCGGAAGAATCTTCAGATGCTTCAGAGAATTTCGTTGATGTAAGTTCAGAGTTCGAGCAGGCGGTTGCTGCGGTTTCGGGCCGTCGTGTGGACTCAGAATCGACAAAGAATGAACCTAAGTCAAAAAGCGTTACGTTTATGATAAACTCGGGATCGAGCAATAAAGCTTTATTATCTCGGAGCCCGTCTGCAACTGCGACTCAAAAGATTGAAGCACCAATGCCGAAGCGAGAAGAACAGTTGGACAATGTAGCTGCAAGATGTATACAGTTGTCTCCAATGGGTGTTCCGTTACAAAAAAACCAACATTCGGATTCTGTTCCCCATCCCTCATCTTCCATGAATATCACTGAAGAATGTATCGCTTGGGTCACACAAGGCTCTTATATGCACAAGCGTATTAGAGGTTTCTCACGATTCTTGACTCATGATGGTAGGCATAAACGATATGCATGGATTCACCCATCTCTCCTGACGCTGAACTGGACTCGTTTATGTCCGAATTTTAATGCCCCGAAAAATATGAAGACAAGAACAATGCACATTAGCAGTTTTCACATAGTTGAGGAGAAATCAAAGCATGCAAAGGCCGGGTCTCATAATGCAAGCATCATAATCTGTTCAGGATCTACGTCTGTGTGTCTTGTTGCTGAAACAAGCGAAATTCACAATATTTGGGTGTGTGCTCTGGAAAGGATCATTCACAGCAAAACCCTTTCTTGGTCCGAGCAGCAGATTTCTCAGATGCGGAATGTTATGACTGCTCTTCGAAAACGCGCTGGTCGCAGAATTCGAAGCTATAACGATATCCGACCTTTGAACCAAACTTTTCGCCAATAGACGAGAAAAGCATACGGTTTCATTTCTGCTCATGAACATTACCAAGTCTTCGCTCGCTGGTCATGAAAATTGTTTGTGTTCTGTTTTGTATATACTAATGAATTTAATGAATGAACTACAAGTTTACGTTACAATGAGCTCTAGTAATCTAAAACGATGAAACACATGCAACGTTACGAGCGTCGTGGAACAAGCAAATAGTGACTCGTAGGCAGAGGCACTCACAAGATATAGCAAGTATAGATGGACTTTGTGTACAAGTAACCCGTCCTACAAGGACTCCATCCCAACATTGGGAACGGCAGTCGTGACAGTAGTAAAGGTGGACGTAGGTGCTGCAGCCACAGGATTGCCCGTGGCATAAGGGACTTGCGTCACATGTGCTTCTTGCACATAACCAAGAAGCGTTGGGTAAATGAATGGAGTTGCAACAATTAGAGGTTCAGTTGCAGTAATCACATTATCGAGCGTAGAGAATGTGGTGGCTTTAGGTAAAAATGTTCGGAAAAACATATTTCCTTCATATCTATCTGTTCTTGTTTTCCATTCGATGCTGTAAACAGACTCGGGTGGGATAACAGGACTGTACGTGGCATACACAGTCTTTTCGCAGTTGCAGCTGTCATCATGATATGAAGTTGTAAAACCGGTCGCCGTGAGACAAGGCGTGCTAATCGTTTGGGACTCGATTCCTTTGAAAGTTAAGGAAACAGGACATTTGGTAACGGTAGTCCGTATATTTGTGTTTTCTGTGCAACCGCAAGGCAGTTCGTAGACAGCCGGAGCAACTGCTAGAGTGACATACGTATTATAAGACGTGATTACTTCAGTAATCGTTGGAGCAGAAAAAAGAGTGGTAGTAGAAATTGGATTCTCAGCGAGTGTTTGTGTGATGATGCCTGCGAAGGTGTAAAAAGCGATGAACAATTTCGCAAGAGGTGACATTTTGTGCGATCGGGAACGAGCAAATGTACTTTTTTTGATAGCCAAAAGGGAGCAAAAATCGGCGAAAAAAAAGAGTGAGTTTTCACCAACTTGAAGCAAAGAGTAAGTAATACGGGAAACAGTCGTAAAAGCCCGTCGATGCAAAGGGGAATGGAACAAAAGCAATGTACGATTGAAACTTTTTTTGGTTGTATCAATAGAAATATAAAGAGGAACTGACTGTTAGCATTAACCGTGAAAACGAGAGGGTGGGTGACGGAAAAGAGAAGAAACCCTTAATTGGTGTATCGTTAAACGGGGATGAAATGAAGCAAGAGGCTACGGTCGTTACAATTTACACTTTGAGCCGTCTTACACGGAACAAAATTCGTTATTCAATTCATTGCCATTCTTCTCCTTAAGAAGATTCCATTCTGTTCATCATTACTTACCTATTGTTTCCTCGATGAGCACTTATTTTTTATGCGAATATGGTATATACGATACAATTGTTCCCGCCAGAAGGAGCTTCACAAACACTACCACGGGTGAAAACGCGAAAGCGATATTGGTAAGTGAGAAAGTACAATCTCCTGCTTAAAACGAAGCCGAAGAAGATGAAATATAAACGCACTGTTGGTGGAGGCTTACCTATATCAGAGCCTCAATACTCGCTAAGGGATTCGTCAAGCAATGGTTTTTGGTGTAGCATTCCACTTATTAGAAATTTTTATCTATACGAACACTTTATTAAACTTAATTTTGAGATAACTCATATTTGTTCGATACTGATGTCATAAGTGCGGCTTCTTACGTATAAGATATCGCGACGCGCGGCGCAGACCAAAACACGAAACATACTATACTACTTTGAGGACATTTGAATTATATACGTTCGAATCTACTGCTACATTTAGACTCTACGTACTATCTGACGATACATTATGACTGAGACATTTATTGTTTTTGGCGGCCACGGAAAAGTTGCACTTTTGTTCACAAAATATGCTGTAGAAGCTGGTCATAAAGTTTTCTCTGTCGTTCGCAAAACAGAACAGTTTAAGGACATTGAGGCCCTTGGTGGCATTCCCAAATTACTCTCTTTGGAAGACACGACTGTGAAAGAAATAGTTGAGCTGTTTAAGCAAGTGGATCCATCTATTGTTATCTTCAGTGCCGGTGCAGGCGGAAAAGGCGGTCCTGAACGTACGAAACATGTTGATTTTGAAGGCTGCGTGAAGGTATGTGACGCCATGATAGAAGCTGGGTTACGCCGATTCTTGGTTGTATCTGCTTGCGATAATCGTGACATGGATAAACCTGTTCCTGCACATTACACGAACGAAGACATTGAGGCTAGTAAGTGGATCCACGGTGTTCTGGATAACTACTACAGATGGAAGTTAGCCGCAGACAAGGAAATTGTCCGTCGAACTGACAAGCTGGACTGGACAATTGCACGGCCTTCGGGACTGTCGGACGAAGAAGCAAGCGGAAAAATTCAGCTTGGCCACGTTACTCTCCGCGTTACAATTGCACGAGGAAATGTTGCCAAAACGCTACTCGCTTTGGCTTTGAACCCAAAGACTATACACAAAACCATCGACATGACAGATGGAGCTACGCCTATAGACAAGGCTGTAGAAGCATATGCAGAATCTGGCGAGACGTCATACGTTTACGAAATTTAAATCATTGGCATGTCCCATCTTAATGAAGACACATCGGCAATTCGCAAATGACTTTTTATATACTATTTACGATTTTTTTATCTCATCAATCGTACTGGCGACAGCGACACCGGCTGTCGCCGTTTCGACTCTGCGTATCTGCCGTTCTTTGACAGCTTATAATTGCACAACCTAGGGAGGTCACTGACAATGAATAATAATACATGTTCCAATTAATTGTTTGGGCACTTTTGAAGTAGATTAACCGATGTCTCAGTTAATCCTGTTTGTCGGCGTCTTCTAAACCATCAAGGAATGTGTGTTCAGTATGAAACCTTAAAGATACAGAGTTTATGCAATGGCGCTCATTTGTCGGCGTTGGATAGCCTTCTCCCTTGAAGATATGGCCAAGATGGCCTCCACAATTGGCACACACAGCCTCCGTGCGAGTCATGCCAAAGCTGGTGTCTTCAATGCGTTTCACCTTTCCTGGTAAAGCTTCAAAAAAGGCAGGCCATCCGCACTTGCTATTAAACTTGCTGTTTGCAATGTAGAGAGGTTCTCCACATCCGGCACAACAAAACAAGCCCTCAGTGGGAAACGTCTTGTCATATTTACCGCTGCCGGGTGGCTCTGTTGCTTTTTGACGAAGGACACGGAACTGTTCTGGCGAGAGCTGCAGACGCCATTCATCCTCCGATTTTTGTAATGGAAACGACATTTTGTGATTTTTCAATTGATGCTTAGAGGAAAAAAATGCAACCGGAAAAAAAACTTGATTACCAACTAAACGCCTGGTGTTTGTAAATTGACGGGCGTTTCGAATAAACAGACGGAGCATAAACTTTTTATGTCTAGTAATGTTTACTGCTTTAAGCGAATTAATTCCTTCCTTTGCTCAAGAAACTACTTCCCCTGTCAGTTGCTTTGAAATATATATTGTTGGCTTATTTGCCCTTGGTGTAATCTTGATTCAACCGTGACGCATCCAACATTTACTGGTGAGCTGCTAGAGGAGGCAAGTCGAATAGTGAAACTTCAGTGGCTCTTCTTGGTGTGCACTATGGTTCGTCTTTGGTGTAGATGCGAGTATCATTGCCATTTTTTGTGAATTCGCTTTAGTAAAATTGAGACGAGATTTTTTGTATCGGCGACTTCGCAACGAAACCGTGTAAATCAATCAAAATGGTTATTCCACTAACTATGTCTCTCTTGATGGTTTATTTGTTTCTGTATCTAGCTTCTTGACACATTTGTGATATTATTCTTTTCACAGGTGGTCCATTTCATGGTTCACCCTACCCTTTGGAAATACTCGAGTTTTTCTCAAATACGGGGAAATCTGCATTTATTTTGTTACTGAAACACAGTGCATGCAACTGCCGTGGTTTGAACACCCCATTGACTATTGTTTGTCCTTGAAATAACGCCTTTTATGTCCAAAGTGTAATTCATGGTAGTCGTGCATGAATTCGAATATCAATACAAAAGCAGAGTCCCTTACTCTGTCACAACAATCCTTTGATGACAGAAATGCTTTTCAACAACTTCTAGACGAAGTTTTGGATGTTAAAAAGTGCTCAAATTCATTTGCCGACTTTTCCAATGCCGAGGTCTCATTGCAACTTATTCAAGTCCTCGTGGAAGCAGGTTTACTCCCTTTTTTAGACAAAAAGAAGGCGGAAAACGTGCGGAATAGTCTATTTCTTAGACAAGCAGAGCAATCTCTCGATGCGCTTTTACTTGTTATAACGGCAAAACCGGCACTGCTAAACTCGACGAAGTCATCCATTGTGTTTCTTGAATGGCTTTTTCCAAGGACAATTTTTCTGTATAGTTTGGAATCGCTCATTCCTATATATGATAAATTATGTGGGTTTCACTTACAGCTTCTTTACCTCGTTAACGAGCATGCACAGTTATCGATGCATGCAGTGTGGCTAGAGGAAGAATGGAAACGGTACATCGAGTACAGCTTCGGCGCTTTAGTGAGTCTTAGTAAGTCACAATCTGTGGTACCCTTGTACTCTGCAGCTCCAAATTTTCTTATGAGCAATAGAACAAAAAAAGATGACTTTCTTATAGCGCTTGACACTCGATCTGCGGCTACATGCTTCTTTTTGCAGGCGTCCTCGGTGCTTGCAAAGTATCTTCCCCACTCTCAATTGAAACCTACTGATATGTTGTACATTCAGCATTGGGACTGGTTGAAACAACACGTATTTCACTTGCTGCTAATGCAAAAGCTTAATGAGTTTGAACCTGCAGTTCAACTGAGTATGTATTTTCGAGTACTTGACGTACTGGTGTGTTTTTCATTGAAGTATATGCTTCTGAAAGCTCCGTTATGCATTCGTTCTCGGAATTACATTCTTTCTATAAGCAAAGCCGCGTTTCAACTACGCGAATCCGTAAAAGTCGACGCTGAGTTTACTGTCTCAATAATGTTTGTGTACTTCTGCGCCTTTCAAACGTTATATCCCGAACATTTGACTTCTGCCGCATCCGAAATCATGTCTTTGGCGGTTCACTATAAAGAAATGACGGAGGATGCTCAAACGGATGCACGGAAATGTGCGAACATTCTTATGCGCTGTCTAAAGCACAAGGATTCTAACTTTTTCCACGCTTTGCAAGCCGAAACAGATGTCAGTTTGGAAAACCCATTTTGTAAATATTTTAACAACGTTATATTGCTTCGATTTGTACGTTACTTTTATTCAACTCTCAGTGATTCACCACTGGGTGAATTTACAAATCTAAAAGCAAACCAAGACGTCTCTTCCTTGTATTCCATTGGCAAATGGGTATCAAATCATAATCAGGCTTTTGAAAAGCGGTTTGAAGATGAGCTTAAGTCAAAAGTCACATCGTTTCTTGAAAATACAACTGAACTTCTCGTTGAAGACCTTCAATTGTTTGCTACAATTCACTGTTCTGAAAAGTTGAATACCTCTTCTAAATATGACACTAAAGTGCATACACATTATTGTTGGCTCTGTGACTCACCTCAACGGATTAAATTCTCAACGAGTGCTGAAACGGAAGTTCTGAGAAAAATTCCTACAGAACAGGTTTCTCTTTGCTCTTCAATAACTCGGTCATACAGAGCAATTCACTGTATCGCCAGAAGATTTTGGATGCGTATTGGCGATGGACAAATCATTCAAATACATTTATTGCTTTGGCAGACTCTGATTCTGGTAAGAGATGTTTGCAAATGTTATTTAGTTCTGTCAGAATGCTTCGTATGAGTGCAGGCCGTATATTACCACGCTTTTTTTCATCATTTTATACGCATGAAGATATTGTTTCCCCAACAGAAAACAGAATAATGATTTTGGAAACATTAAAAAACCTTGCCTCTGGGTCTCATTCAAAGTTCTTGGAAACTACCATTATGGCTTGGGCGCATATTGCTGAAGTGGCAGAGGGGGAGGAATTACATTTAATACTTCTGCAGTTAATTGAGTTTATTGTCGAAGGAGATACCTTTCATCAAGGTGTAGCCGTTAGCTGTCTCCATAACGTTGCCCGAAGAAGGGACGTAACGATATGGCAACTATTCTCCCCTTACTGGAGAACTGTTTGTGTAATGATCATTAAAAGTGTTACTCATAAGCCTGGCATTGTAAAACTTTTTGCTGAAACTATGGGCATTACTGATAATGACTTCTTGACACGAACTCAAGCCTACACGGTTCCGTATCTTGTTTTAACAAAAAATCGTGCGGTTATTCAAAAAATAGCGGAAGCCTCTCATAATACAGTCTCGTCCTTGTGTTTGTCAAATATGCCTAAAATACTAGCAACATTTCTAACATCCGAATCGGCAAATGTTGAAGAAAGTGTAATGTTACTATTGACGCTAGCGTCATCGGATTTTGAAAAAATTGATCTATCTCGTTTGCTACGTTCTGATCCTATTTCTGTTACTGTTGAGCTTTTACAACTTTGTCATAAAGAAGCTCAAGTAAGTCAAGTAATTAATGCGATAACGAAAGTCGCAATACTTGTTTCGCCCAGTTTAAATGAAAAAAATGTCAATGAGGAAACGCTTCTTCTGGACTTTTTTAATAATCATATCCTAGGAATCCTTGCAGAGTTCTCTAACATTATAAACAACTTAAGAGGGAAAGCTTCTATAAATGAAAAGACACGAACTATTATAGGAATGAAAGAAATGATCCAGTTTGCTGGAAGTGCAACAAAATTGGGTTTACCTCAAATAACTTCCTGTCTCCAGAGTGCCTTCCAGGACAATACCTTGCGATCCTATGCTTTGGAAGCCTGGTTGGCCCTGCTTTTAAGTATTGACGGACCCGAATACTTATCACTTGCAAGTCTTTCTCTTGTTTTGTTGCCCTCGATGTATCCTAAGATAAGCAAAAAAGAGAAAATAATTGTGGTAAAGGTTATAGATTATATTGCAAAGGATCCAATGGACAACATTGAGCAGCTTCGGCCGGTTCTTCCAGTCTCTTTTGCAAGTGAGTGCTTTTCTGAAACCAGTCGCGATTCATTTTCAAAAATTCAGGTTGACGATTTTCATTTAAATATTGAAGACATCATGCAGTGTTGCCGTAATGAACACGAGTCGGTTTGTCTTTTAGGTTTACAAAAGCTCGCTTCGTATCTTCAGACAAAGGAAGCATTTCTTCAGTCGCTAATAACAGTTGATGTTATTGATCCTCTTATAAATCGTCTTTTACGATGTTTACTAGACTGTTGCCTCAAATTTGCACATTCTAATGATGAAATCTCATTTTTGGCAGCCAAAAATTTGGGTATTTTGGGTGCTATTGACCCGAATCGTGCGGATGCTCAGAAAAGAATTGGTGGCTTTTTAATGTTAGATAATTTTGAAAATGGAGAGGAATGTTTAAAATTCATTACTCGTTTTATACAGGATCAGCTCATTCCTGCTTTTATTACTACTACGGATACAAAGGCTCAAAGCTTTTTAGCTTATGCCTTGCAGGAACTTCTTCATTTAGGAGGATTTAGATCTGCTGTTATCGGCTCACAAAAGCGCTCTACAAAAAGTGTGGAAGCTCAATACTGGAATTCACTTCCAGATTCATCCAAGCGCGTTCTAATACCGTTTTTGAACTCAAAGTACCATCTAACTTCATCTCTCAAGCCAAGAATATCTTTTCCAATTTATTCAGAGACGACAACTTTCACATATTGGATACAGAGCTTTTGTCTAAAGTTAATGCAGTATTACCATTCTAAAAATGCTGATCGTATATTTTCTATTTGTGCAAAGGTAATCAAGGATCAAGAAACTAGCATTTCGAGGTTCTTGTTCCCATTCCTACTCTTAAACGCTGTTTTAACCGAGTCCGCTGATGAATTAAAACTGATCTCTACGGAATTAAAAATGGTTGTCTTTCAAAAACGACCGGAACGTACAAATCGAGAAAGCATGCAACGTTATACCACTTTTCTTAAGTGCTTCTTCGAAGTTGTTGATTACTTCAACAATTGGCTTAGAGCGAGAAGGCGTAGAAGCTGGGAAGAACGGTCTGCGAAAGCTCGACGAGAGAATCGTTATATGTCTGTTGATGATGCCGTTTCTGAGGAAGCTACCGTCGTACGTGTGGATTCTTTCCTTTCCCAGTTTCCCGTAGAAAAACTTGGTCTCGTCTCATTATTTTGTGGTTTTCATGCGAGAGCACTTTTCTACTGGGAACAGCATTTACGCATGTCGAAAGAGAAAACTCCGAGCTCTGTTACTGAAAATGATTATCGAATTTTGCAAGAAATATACAGCGGAATCGATGATCCAGATGGGATTGAAGCAATCTCATTTAATTTTCACAACTATTCTCTTGATCAACAAATAATTCTGCATGAAAACTCAGAAAACTGGGATTCTGCTCTCACTTGTTATGAGTTAAGCTATGAGAAACAACCAAAGAATGATATTCTAAAGGTTGGAATGCTAAACTGTTTGCTGCAAGCAGGCCATTACGAATCTGTCATCAATAACGCTAAACATATATCGTCTCTAGTTGAAGAGCCATCACGTTCTACAGTTCTCAATCTTGCTATTGAAGCTGCCTGGAGTGCATTGCTTAAAGACAAATTACAAGAACTTGTTACAAGTAGTTCGTCCGTTTCATTTGATACAAAGGTTGGCCGATTGTTTTTGAACTATCTCTCCAACATGCATGATCAGGCGGAGTTCGACCAGCTGATTCGTACATTATATACCGATGCTACTATTGCAATTGCGAATACTGGAGCAAACAGTTCATATGATTGCTATGACATTCTCTCAAAGCTTCATGCTATTCATGACTTTAGTGTTATTTCTAGTTATACGCTCTCTAAAACACCAATCCCAGAAGATGTAGCGTCTGTTTTTAAGACTCGTCTTGAGTGTGTTGTTCCTTATGGAAAGTTTAAGCAGAGAATTCTGTCTGCACAATTGGTTGGCTTTAGTAGAGGATCAAAAAACTCTGTGTATCAAGCGCCTACACATTTGGAAATTGCAAAACTTGCTCGAAAAAATCAGCAAATGCAACGAGCGTATAATTCAATTTTGCGCGCTATGAGTTTAAATAAAGCCATGGCTGCAGTAGAGCACTCAAGATGGTGGTGGCATCAAGGACAGCGTCGTAAAGCGATTGCTGAATTACAGTCCTCTTTTGATGCATCTCTTTTTGAGTCTGCTGACGTTCTTTCGATGCATTCAATATCTGCTTTATCAAGTACGTCTTCAAATGAGTCGAAGGGTAGCGTTGTCAAAGGAAAAGCGTTGTTGACTCTTACAAAATGGCTTGGCGAAGCTGGTCAACTTGGACTGAAGGATTTAGAGGTCTATTATTACAAAGCGGTTAATATATATCCTGAATGGGAAAAAAGTCACTATTACTTAGCTCATCATCGTGTATCGATGCTTGAAGAAGAAAAGAAGCTTCCTCCTGGGAAAAAGAGCGAAAAGTTTCTCACTGGTGAACTGGTAACACGAATTATTAATGAGTATGGAAGATCTCTTTACTATGGAACGAAGCATATTTATGAGAGTATGCCCAAACTGTTAACACTTTGGTTGGATTTTGGAGCAGAAGAACTTCAGTTGTCGGAAGAAGAGGGCGACAGTTATTTCAGAGAACATATCATTGCCTCAAGGAAGAAGTCGTTGGAGCTTATAAACTCTAATATAGTCCGATTGGGTTTAAAGATACCTCAATATCTATTCCTCACTGCCTTATCTCAAATGATTTCACGTATTTGTCATCCGAACCAGAAGGTTTATCGAGTGCTGGAACATCTCATCAGTTTAGTCATTTCTGCATATCCAAAGGAAACTCTTTGGCAACTAATGGCTGCTACGAAATCCACTTCTCACAAACGGTCTGTGCGAGGAAAAAGCATTTTGAATCTGTTATATTCAAAGAAAAAGAATCAACCAGAAAACTTAGAAATGAAGAAACTTTGCCAGTCTGCTGTCTGTTTAACAGACAAGCTTTTGGATCTGTGTAATGTTCGTTTAGACACGCGGGCTGTGAAACTTAGTTTAAAGGGTCATTTCCGGATTTCGCTTAATTCACCTGTTGACTTAGTAATTCCGGCTCAATCTTTTATGAACATAACACTTCCTTCTAAAGGAATTGTATACCATCAGTATCACCCGTTCCCAAACAACCAACCAACTATTGAAGGCTTTGAAGATGAAGTTGATATCATGAATTCCCTACAGAAACCCAGGAAGGTGACTATTCGGGGAACTAATGGAAAGATGTATCATTTCTTATGTAAACCAAAGGACGATCTACGGAAAGATGCTCGACTAATGGAACTTAACAATGTTATTAACAAGATTCTTCGAAAAGATCAAGCAGCTAGTCGAAGAAAGCTAAATATACGAACTTATGTGGTTATCCCTCTTAATGAAGAATGCGGTTTTATTGAATGGGTTAATAATACTCGCCCTTTCCGTGATATACTCCTAAAAATTTACAAGCAAAAGAATGTACCTATTCCATATCAAGAGCTTCGTGCTAATCTTGATATGGCTTTACAAACACCTAACCCGGCCAAGATCTTTGAAGAGAAAATCTTACCAAGGTTTCCCTCGGTGTTTCATGAATGGTTTATGGAAGCATTTCCCGAACCCAGCAGTTGGGTAAAAAGTCGGCAGAATTACTCGAGAACTCTTGCTGTAATGTCAATGGTGGGTTATGTACTTGGACTTGGTGATAGGCATGGAGAGAACATTTTGTTCGATGAATTAAACGGAGACGCTATTCATGTTGATTTTAATTGTCTTTTCGAAAAGGTACTTATACGCTAAAGAGAGAATTTACTAACCATTTCAGGGATTAACATTTGCAAAACCAGAAAAGGTACCATTTAGACTAACTCATAATATGGTTGATGCAATGGGGCCAACTGGCTATGAAGGTAAGTTAAACTTTCTTACCCTAGTACTAAAGTTTGCCAGGGTCCTTTAGAAAATCCAGTGAAATTACGATGCGTCTTTTACGTTCCAATCAAAATACGCTTATGAGTGTGTTAGAGTCGTTTTTGTACGACCCTCTTGTTGAATGGAACAGAAGAGTATGTCAAAATCGACACATATTCAACTATGCTAACAAATAAAGGGGCAAAATTCGCTTTCTGGTGGTCTTGAACAAAATGAGGCGACTCAAGTTTTGGCAAAGATACGCAGAAAATTGCAAGGTTATATTGGAGAGGAGCCGTTACCCTTGTCTGTTGAAGGACAGGTACAAGAGCTTATCAAGGAAGCCGTTAGCTCCGATAACCTCGTACAGATGTATATTGGTTGGGCAGCATATTTTTGAGTAAGATACGTCTTTGTCACATCTGTCATGGGTAAAATGTGATGAAATCTCGTTACTAAACCTTAAAATGTCTACTTGTCATGAGAGGGGTTTGAGTCTGAAGCGCCCAAATTGTTTAACTCGCTGTAGTATTTTTCTAACTCGGAATCCGCATTGGGTTCTTCCAACTGTTGTGGTTGGCGTTTTAATGAAGCAGGAATAAATTGGGCTGCCTCTTTTCGAAGATCTCGAACAATTGGTTCTGCCGAGTATTCTGTTTTTACGATTGCGTCAGCTGTAATTTCCTGTTGCTTCCAAACATCGTTATGTTCGACAAGCGCCGTTCTTTTGGTGTCCTCGTGGTGGGGATTGTCGCCTGGAAATTCGTCCTCGGGCATCGGAATGTTAATAACAGACTCGTCAGTCTCTGAGCTCTCAGAATTATCATCATCAATTTCTTTATAAGGCATTCCAGGTGGTGGAACACCATAAGGGTTAAATATTGGGTGATAATAAACACTCTTTTTTGGATTTTTCGGAATAAACGGTTTCTTTTGGCGTCGTTCCCTATTGACATGTTTTGTTTTTTCGGATTCAATGTTGCCAATTGAGTGTCCTCCAATTCCCTTTTTTTTCATTACATAAACATCACGTTCTAATGTATCGAGTTGTTGACGCTCACTGGAATTTAAGGGTCTGCTTTTCTCAATATCCTTTAATTCAAAAATCTTCTTTTCCAAGAAAAAAACATTTTTTGTTGAAAGTTTTGCGTCCCTTCTTTGAGATCGTTCTTGACGAAGCTTAGCTTGTTCTTTCTTCTTACGTTTTCGAGCTTCGTCCTGAACCGGATTAAGCGAACGTTTTCCTTTCATTAAAATTTGGTGTTTTGTCCTCGTTGAAAATCAGGTTGAGCTTTCAGCTGCAAAAAATGAAAAAGAGAAGCGTCTTAACATAAATTTTGTGTGAGACTTTCTTTTATTAAGTGCCTATGTCATTAGGTGATCGTAATGAAAATAATTACTCTGTTAAAGAATTTTTGTGTGGTTGTTGATGTTGAAGGAACAAAAAAGTTATACTTGGTGCTACAACGTTAGCAGTTCTTTTAACGTGCTGGGTGGGTTACAATAAAAAAATAAGTGATTAAAAGATTAGTTATTTCCTTTTCCGTCGTAGAAACAAATGAAGTGTAATGAAACGAATTACTACAATCGGTTTCTTGTCAAAGCATGTTTTATGAGCATATTCTTCTTATTTGTTGTACTATTTCTTAAATATTTAATGTCACGGAGCAAATGAACTTATGTCATTGCCTCCGAGTACTTTAAGCTTGGAAATGAAACAATCATTCAACTGATTGGTTTCTTAAATTGAATGACTAAGCATTCGCTAGCATTCACTGCTATTACGACGCAATTTTAAGTCATTGTTTTACATTTGTACATCTTGCAAAACTATTAGATTTTGTTTCTCTAAAGTTAACAAACACAACATATACGAATTAGTAACAAAAGATAGTATCAATTAAATAGTTAATATAAATATGCAAGAGTTCAATGGCTATAATCCGTTGAACACTACTTAATTCTTTTGACAACAAATTTTCAAAACCTGTACATAGCATTTAGGTTTTATTAACCGAAGCTTATTGCAATGTTAAGGGAATAAGTTATTTCTTGTTTAAAGCCTAAGAACAAGAATCCTCGATCGAACTAAACATATTTGGCCTCGAACCACGACAGAATTGTCACGGAGCAAATGAACTTATGTCATTGCCTCCGAGTACTTTTAAACTTGGAAATGAAACAATCATTCAACTGATTGGTTTCTTAAATTGAATGACTAAGCATTCGCTAGCATTCACTGCTATTACGAAGCAATTCCGAGTTATTGCTTTTACATTTGCACAACTTGCAAAATTATTGAATTTTATTTCTCAAAAATTAACAAACATTACAAATACGAATTAGTAACAAAAGATAGTATCAATTAAATAGTTAATATAAATATGCAAGAGTTCAATGGCTATAATCCGTTGAACACTACTTGTTCCTTTCAACAATAACTTTCAAGAACAATTGCGCGCATCATAACAATTAAGGTTTCGTAACCGAAGCTTCGAAAGGTTAAAGGAAATAAGTTATTCATTGTTTGAAGCCAACAAACAGGAATCCTCAATAGAACTAAACATATCCGGCCTCGAACCGTGACAAGAATGTCCTAAGCAGCGATGCCCGAGTGGTCTAAGGGGGCAGATTTAAGTTGGCTGAAAGGTTAATGAAACTCTGCTGTTGATAAACGCGCGAGTTCGAACCTCGCTCGCTGCATTATTGTTCTTGTTGTTCGTTTTTTTTGTTGCTGAAACTATTTCAGCATTTGTCGGGAATAAATTGAGACCATTTGTCTTCAACTTCAGCATGAGGACTTTCCTAAGCACGGACACAGATATTTGATTGATATTTTTAAACACTGTGTTTACTGCTTTGGCTTTAACATCAATGCTTGAGACGAAATAAACAATAACTTTTTTACTCTCATTCCAATAACAACATGCTTTCAATTGAAGTACCCCACGGACAAATTACAAGAGTTAAGGTACTTCAAAATAGGGTTCGAAGTTCGTAAAAAAATTTGTAATAAATAATACGATTGAACTTGTTGGAAACCTAAATCTACAACGAGGTATCTCGTTTGAGTAAGTTGTGACAATGACGCCTACGGGCCTATTAATATAAGCGATACCAACTAGTCTTTCCTCAATGAGTTGTTAAAAGTAACAAGTGTACCAAAGTTGTCTACGTCAAGAAAATAACATCAGAATAACTGATCAGTACAGAAGAAAAAGAATAAGGACTAGCGAACAAATTATACTAAGCCCCAAAGCACGACAAGGAATAGTAAGTTCTGTTATACTAATGGGGTTAAGCTGCATAGTCTACCGTCTTTTATTTGAGCACATCATTCTTTAACAGATTGTTTTTCAAATTTAACATATTTTTCTTTAGAAAAATTTGTGTTTAAAGAAGGCGAATCTATCACATTGTCTCTTTTTGTATGTGTTTCGATCCAAAAAGTAGAATATTCATTCATACAGACCTTTTTGTATATTACTCGCTTAGCAGAAAACCTTAATTGATATTTACGAAAAGGAAATTAAAAGACAACCCAAATCATTGTATAAACTTTCAATGAGCAATGGCGATTTACCACTCATCCAAAATCACTTTTAGTATTAATTTTGTTGAATTTTGATAACTATAGTTCATATTAGCTGGTACATACCGATACTCGCTTGTTCGTAGAGCCGAAACCTTATTCAAAAATGCGAAAATTTGGACACTAAACTGTTAAAATAAAAATAAAAAACATGGAACCAACAACTATACGTAATTATCTGTACATTAATTGCAATTATAAATAGCTCTTTACCGGTTTACACCTTTCAATTCTTCTGATGTTAATGCAATTAGAAAATGCAAGCCGAAAGACTAGGCATTTTTACTAAAAGTAGTCAATATAGACTGCATCTCTCAAATACAAAAAGATACGGGACAGACAATCCCGTGTATCTCGTCACCAGCAGGACTTGAACCTGCGCGGGCATAGCCCATTAGATGCCTGAACGAGTTCAAGTCTAACTCCTTAACCGCTCGGACATAGTGACTTTCTTAAAAATTCTTGAAAACAGTACAATATGCAGGGTGAAAACGTTAAGGATGTGCAACGGTTTTGTTCTGTTCATTCCGTCTTAACGGTAAACGCGTACCGTGTTTTCATTTATAAACACCATGCAATGAAGTCGAAGAAATTGCCCACTCACACGAGTAGTCATAACACTCCAAAGAATTATATCAGTGGTGACTTGGCTCAAGTAACGAGCATATTTTTAAAAGTGGTAACAAACCCTTATCATGGAGCAAACTGACTTATGTCATTGACTCCAAATACTTTTAAACTTTGGAAATAAATTGACCATTCAGCTAATTGGTATTTAATGACTAAGCATTTGTTAGCATTCATTGCTATGACGAAGCAACTCAAGGTTATCGCTTATCCATTTGCACAGCTTATTAAATTAATATAGTTTAATAAAGGATTATTGTTCGTGGGTTTTAAACAATGAATAGTTTTTTCCTTTAGCTATATTCTGATAGTTATTGTTGAAAGAAACAGGTAGTGTTCAACGGATTATAGCCATTGAACTCTTGCATATTTATATTAATTATTTAATTGCTAATATATTTTGTTACTAATTCGTATTTGTAATGTATGTTATCTCTTGAGAAATAAAATCCAGTAATTTTGGAATCTTGGCGACTAAGCAGCCAGACCAACGACCAGCTTCCGCCTGATCAAACGGACGAACGGAAGAGAAACATTAATCCCATTGTTTCTCCCTAAACGATTCTTGTAAGCCCAGTCTCTGTAGTAAGATTAAGTCTGAATATTTACTGCTTTTTAGCTATTTATAATGTTACACATTAGTGAGGACTAATGCGCAATCGTTGTTGAAGCCTTACGGCCTCGTAGTGCAGCGCCGTAAGCGCTGCTTGGAGTTGTAGTGTGGAGTGCACACTTAGGGGAGTGCGGTAGCACTCGCTAGACTCCGTAGCGCAGCTCGCCAGAGCTGACTGCATAACCCTATGAAAATAAGATAGCGCGCTAGCGTTCGCAGAGGCACATAGGAACCCGAACTCAGGTCTTTCCCGACAACTGCCACATCACTTCCCCTAAGCCACAGAATTACGCATTGTACTGTAATGACTCCAAGGGAAACCCTCGATATCCTCTAAATTGGCATGACTCAAACGCCATTGTCAGAGAAAGTCTTAAAGCCACATTAGATTAGGTAATTCTATGAATATAAACTACTGTAAAAACGACTGAATTCTTCAGTCGTTCACTAACAGTGTTTTCACACCGTCTGCCGTAGATTGTGATAAATTATTAAAGTTATCTTGACGACTTTTAAGCGAAACTCTATTTATTAAGGTGTTCCTATCTAAGATAAATAGTTTGTCACCGGATATTCTTAATAGCCACTATGAATTATAATAAATCGGACTTGTCTCTGATCTTTCATACCAGAGTTATAGTCAGTTTGGGAAAACCATTTTTCCTGCAGTAAGGCTTTGCTGACATGAGCTAAAATTTCCCAACACCTTCTAGATTACCATCTTCTACAAAGTCTAAATAGTTTGATAATTATCCTACAATCCTCATTTATAAGTTTTGTTACACACCGACTCGGTAACAGTCATATTACTTCAACTTCGTCTCGACTTTCTTACTTTGTGCTGGCGCTACTCACTCATATAGGGAGTTCCCCCACATATCCCACTAAACACCCACATCTGCCCCCACGCCGTTAGCAGCTTCGAAGCGTCAACTATGATTGTTCAGACAGTCGTGCTTGGGCTCATTATAACCGTCTTCCTTCTTTGGAGACTCAGAGCGTCCAATGGAAAACAAAAGCGGAAAGCAGTGTTTCTTGTCGGACCAGCTGAGGCCGGAAAAACGAGTCTCTTCTCCCAACTAGTGTATGGAACTGCAGCACCTACAGTTACGAGTACCGCGCCTAATAGAGGTTGTTGGAAGTCAGAAGATGGTGAATTGACGATTGTGGATCTTCCTGGTCATCCCAAGGCTCAAGATATGTTGAAAAGCGAGTTCAACAACAACACCCTTTCTCCAAGTGCCGTTGTCTTCGTCATCAACAGCGCTACTATCGACAGAGATGTTCATTCGGTTGCGCTGATGTATCTTAATGTGCTTCTTGAGTGCTACAAAGCTAAGGTTCATCGTGTTCTCATCGCTTGCAACAAGTTTGATCTTTTCACAGCTGTACCAGCAAATCAAGCCTTTAAGTTATTACAGAATGAACTGGACAACATCATTAAACTTCAAGACGCACAGGTGGAGTCTATTTCTGCACAGGATGAGCGGTTGTGGGATTCGTTTTTGAATTCCCTTGACTCCTTTCATGTTGAAGCTATCTCAGGTAGTGCAACAAAGGGAACAGGCTTGGATAAATGGAAGGCATGGATTCAATTTAAACTATTCCATCTGTGAAGCCTTATAGCGATTGTCCTTTAGTTCCCAAATCAAAATCAGGTTCAAAAGAGTTCATGCTCCTTTGGTAGTAATGAATGTTCCTTCCGAAAGGTAACAGAACGTGTATAATAGGGCTATGTGCTTTTAGCAACAAAGGATCCGTTTCTGGAGTGCTTTGACGCAGAGACATTCTTCGGCGTTGAAAAGCAGACAAACCATTAACCTATTAAATGCTGACAATACCCTGGACTGTAAACTTCAGAACATGTTTTAAAACTTAATTACGCAGCGGGTCAGAATTGATATTATTCTATAACTACTACGGGAAACCATTTGCAGTTAGTATTCAAAAATACTGCAATGAGTGCAAAAAGTGTGGGCAGCAAAATCAAAACCTTCGACTACCAATAAATTACAGACTATGCTGGGCGCATGCCTGGCTCGCGTCCGAATCCTTGTTAATCCAGAGGGAGAGGACCCCCCCATCACCCAGTAGTATCATAAACAACTCGCCGTACTGGTTGATCGCCATACTCCTGATGGGTCATCTCATAGGGGTCTATCGAATCCACTCTGCAAAGAGTATTAACATGCTGCCCCATAAACAACCCCAACTAGCAGTCCTAGTCAGCAGAAACACTGCCAACTTTGTAAGAATAAATACCAAACGTTCACAAGCATCTGCTCACCACAGTAAATCACAATCAACCGCCATCCCTCTCTCTCACTCTCTCACTCTTAAGCTTCGTACGTAACTGCGTCTATTGAAACGGGGAAATAGGTGGGATCTAAACGGAACAAATATCAAACAAAAATCGTAAGCGACTTGCTTAGCACTCATACATGGTCTCCATGATGACACCGGTAACTTGGTAGGGATCGATGGAGGAAGCAGGACGACGGTCCTCGAAGTAGCCCTTGCCACTGATGGCAACAGAGCGGGGAATACGGACAGATGCACCACGGTTGGCAACACCCCAAGTGAACTTGTCAATGGAACCAGTCTCGTGGCGACCAGTCAAACGCTTTTCGTTCTCTTCACCGTAGACGGCAATGTGCTCAGCGTGACGCTTGGCGAACTTCTCCATGAGAGACTCGATGACAGCCATACCGCCGTCGGCACGAGTAGCCTTGGTAGAAACGTTAGTGTGGCAACCAGCACCGTTCCAGTCACCCTGAAGAGGCTTGGGGTGGAAGCTGATCTTCACACCAAAGTCCTCAGCAATGCGGTGAAGGAAGAAACGAGACATCCACAATTGGTCACCCATCTCAATACCGTTGCAGGGACCAACTTGGTACTCCCATTGGGAGGGCATGACCTCGGCATTGATACCGGAGATCTTAATGCCAGCGTACAAACAGGCTCTGTAGTGGGCCTCGACAATGTCGCGGGCAAAGCGCGGCCAGTGCCGACACCACAGTAGTAGGGGCCTTGAGGACCGGGGAAACCACCCTTGGGCCAGCCATAGGGACGATCAAAGTAGTCGAGCATGGTGTACTCCTGCTCAATACCAAACCAGACATCCTCGTCGGCATACTTCTCCATGAGCTTGGCACAAGACTCACGGTAGTTGAAAACGTTAGGGGAACCGTCAGCGGCGTAGGTAGCGGCAAGGACAATAATGTTGTCGCCGCGGCGGAAGGGGTCGCGGTACATAGCGACAGGCTTCAAAAGAGTGTCAGAGTTCTCACCGGGGGCCTGGCCGGTGGAGGAACCGTCAAAGTTCCAGATACGGAGCTCGGAGATATCAGTAGGCTTCTTGTCAAGAGTCATGGTCTTGGAACGAAGGTGGTTGTGGCCGTCAATCCAGACGTACTCGGCCATGATCTTGTCGCCCTGAGGGAGGTCAGAGTACTTGGCCAAGATGCTGGCCTTGGACAAAAGGGGTTCAATGTCGTATTGGCTCATATTAGCAGAGAGAATGAGAGTTAAAAGAGAAGAAAAGAAGTAAAGAAGAGAGAAAAAATAGGCGAAACTTTATAAGGATCGGAGGACTCTTCGTTTAAATTATACGTGAAATTGAATCGTCACGTAGATACACGAGATTATCAACAAAAGAGAATGCAAGGATGAGGATTACCTAACAAGAGAGAAACTGCACGCCAAAAAGGGATTCGGTGCGGTAGAAACGAATTGTTATGGGAAACTTGGTGCCAAAAATGTGCAGAGTCGGACGCAATTTACGACACTGGCTAACTGAGCTTTTGTATTAGGAAGGACTGGTCCTCAAAGATTGTGGTTTGTTAAGGTGAAGAAACAGAGCGGGCAAGCGTACCCTTTTATAGACACCGTACGTAATGGTCAGGGTGTTAGAGCCGATCGGTTTAAATATAAACTCGTGCTCTGATTGGTTGGCTTCATATATGCAGGCGGCCCAGACGCCGGCCGCCGACGTATCAGCGCCAAAAACAAAAATAAGACGACCAATCACAGGCCAGTTAATACCAGCCGATAAAGAAATGCGCGTTCATGGTGGTGGAGCAATAAAGATAAGCTCGGTGAAACATTGGGCGTTCACGCGAGGTGTGAACTACCCTTGCCGGTTGAGCAGATATCCCACATAGCCCACATAGATAAGCGTAAAAATCGCATGCTCGTGAGAGCGAAGCACCGGTCTGAAGCGGGGGGAAGCCTTATCTACGACTGGCTCGGTAACTGGGCCACGCAGGTTCCAGTTTAAAGCCGAGAATCATGACGACGTAATCGGAACAACCGAACGGGACACCTGGAACGCGGAGAGATAGGGGCGAGGGGCGCGTGCCAAGATAAGTGAGTACGTGTTTCTGTGGTTAATGGAGGCTTGACGCGACGTGAGCCAGAGTATGAGATACAATGGGACCTCCTCCCACACACAGGTTATCTACATACACAGCGACATGCTGTCCAGGAGCAATTCCTCGCTGAGGTTGGTGAAACTGCAGTCTGATGCAGTCTGGCCGGCTGCGAAAATGCGCCGGCACTTGCAGGGTTAGTACGCGACGCGAAGGAAGGGTTGGGCAGATGTGACGTAGCGTGGTGCAATGCTGACGCGCAAAGTGGTTTAGCGCGGACGGTCTCGAAGGGTTTTCGCTAAACCGCTTTGCGTGATCTACCGCAGTGCACGGCACACGATATCTTTCGCCTAAAGACATACCTGGCTGTTGTTGGTGACGTATGCGGACAGTGCAAGCGACGTCATCGGCGCCTTCGAACGCCCGCTTACACCAGGGACTTGCCCACCCCCACTCCGAGCAGGTGGCGGCACGCGAAAAGAGCAGAGGGTGTCTGTAGCCGGGACAGACGTGGACTGCATTGGTGGCCACGTCTTTCTTCCACACGTACCAGGGCAGCTGGGAGACGCGCTGCAGCGCTGCGAGTGAAAGCCCGCATTTTTCGCCAACCGTAAAAGACCATATTCCCTTATCCCGTGGGTACACCCCCACGCACACCCCACGGAACATGACGCGAAGCGGGTCGCTGCTTGGTTCTAGGTACTCGGCTAGAAAGTTCCGAAAATGGCCGCGGATATTACGCGGCGACACGAAGCAGAGCCCCATGCTTTCAGGCCGCGTGGCACTCTCCTCGAGACCGTGAAGCATCGCTTCACGTTTCACTTGCTCCTTTGTGTGCTGCCATAGCGGGAAAATTGTGCGCTGCAAGGCCTGATAGGGAATGTTGCACAAAAACAGCGTCTGGTCTTTTTTCGCGTCGGTCGGTCGTAATAAGCATGTCTCGTTTGTGTCACGAGCGATGCACGTGCGCGCGTAATGACCAGTAGCAACCCACCAAGCTCGCTTCGAGTCGGCCATGACGTGGGACAAATGCTCGAAGAGCGCACCGAATTTGACTTCCCTATTGCACAAAACATCAGGATTCGGCGTCCATCCGCGACGGTAATGCTCTAATGTGGGCTCAAATACGCGTTGCCAATAATCATGCTCGAAATTAAGTCGTGTCACGGGAATACCTAATTTTTCGCCCACTTTTTTTACGAGCGTCCAGTCTCGCTCGCTTGTGCATCCTCCCGGCGACGACTCGTCTAGCCAGTTTCGCATAAACAAGCCATGGACATCGTGACCCTAACGTGTCAGCCGTACACTGCGTAGCGCTAACAAAACACCCCCACCTAAAAGGGGGTAGCTACTTACCTGCTGCTTTAGGCGCCAAGCGACGACTGACGAGTCTACACCACCAGACATGGCAACGAAAACTGTCAGTTAGAGCAAGTTACCGTGCCGCACAAACCTTTGTCGCCCAGTTTAGGCCATTGAAGGCGGAAGCGTGGAAGAAGCATGGACGGTGTTGCTGCTGGAGGTACTCTGGGGACTTTCAGGGTGTACTCTTGGAGTACTTTAGAGGGTACTACCAGAATATCCCCAGTGAGTTCCCCAGCAACCCTAGGACGAATGTTGGATTACCGCCGTATAAGATAGTGCACTAGATTAAATAACAAACACTCTTTTAGAATACACTATTTACACATACTGCAGTTCAAGGTGCTCGCACAGCCCACTTTTCCGAGGTCTTACGTCGTGCACTAACCTGCTTAGTGAATGCCACCAACCACGCAAAATCCGCATTAGCACACTATTGCGTGCACCGCCGCACAGGTGACCGCGACCTTCACCACTCTTCCACACACCTCATCCTTAGCCAAAATGAAGTTCGGTTGGTGCCTAGTTGGCCTGTTGTTTGCTGTGGCCCAGGCCATCAGCTTTGAAGTGGTTGCCAAAGAGAACCCTGAACCTTTCTGCGTCCGCGAATTCGTGACCGAGAGCAGTTCCGTCCTCGTTGGCATCATCTCCTCCGGAAACTTGGGCGATGGACAGAAACTCGACATGGTTATTACTGACAATGAAGGAAACACTCTCTCCAGCACGAAGAACATTGTCAATGAGAAGAATGTCGCTTTCGACGTGAGAGGTCCTGTTGGGTTGAACTTGTGTTTCACTAATCAGTTGACCGAAGGTAAGCTCAAAAACGAGGTGATGAGGGTGTCTAGAAATTTTGTTTTATTCGCCGTTTGCTACTGCTACTTCTTCGCTGGTTGACTTTCTTTTGTTCCCCCTCTGTCTCGATCTCCCTATGTTCCCATACTAACAAATGTGCAGGTTCTCTCGCTTCACCATCAAAGAAACGCATGGTTCGTCTCGACTTTAATGTTGGCGCTGATGCTGATGACTACTCTGCACTCCAAAAGAACAGAAACTTGGAGCCTGTAGAGGCAGAGCTTCATCGCGCAAAGGATCTGGTCAAGGAAGTTCGCGGTCGCATGGATTACCAACAGCAGCGTGAGATGCGTTTCCGTGACACCAATGAAAGCACAAACAGTCGGGTGAAGAATTTTGCCTTCCTCACTACTTCGGCTTTTGTTGTCCTCGTCGGATGGCAGCTTCTGTATCTTCGTTCTTTCTTCCAACGCAAGCACCTTATTCCTTAAACAAAGTCGCGAACTCAAGTTGAACGAAACATTCACGTTTGCGGGCACAAACTCTGAGCGAAAAATAAACCTTCTCGGCGGGCTGTAAAGACCGCCGATAATTTGCACGGCATGTAACGCTCGTGATCGTGCACCAAACGGCATTATGACTTACGAAGCAAAATAGTTGCAATCAAAAACGGGCATAGCATAATGAAGGTTAGTCACAATGGCTCGATGATTGAAACAATCATAACCGGTGTAGCAGTTGTATGGGGTAGTAATAGTAGTAGTAGTAGTAGTAGTAGTAAAAGAGGACAGAGTTAACAGACGGGTGATAGGAGGGAGGGAGGGAAAGCTTGTGAACTTTGTTTATTGGAGCGCGACTGCAGCTCTCGTTGTAAATACGTGCTTGACATGCAGGTTGTGAAATCGTCTAACGTATTTTCTTAATAAGTTCATCAACAACACCGAGGAAGAGCATTGGACTGCAGACAGTCTCGTCGTTTACCCCAGAGTTCACGGCAGTTGTGGGGGATTTCAAGTCCGTAGAGTCGGATCGCCGACCTTCAATGAGTATAGGTTCGGAATGGGAATGAGACGTTATGGTAGAACGGTTCGTTCGCTTAAAGCGGATATCCAAGACAGAGGCTGCTCCAAGGGAAAACAGCTCAATAATTAAATTCACAGGCGTCCGTTCGTTCGTTAGTAGACAATCAATACGATAAATATTTCCACGAAGCCGGCCATCCTTCTCAGGCAGCCGGAATTGGCCTCCCATTTCCCGCAAAGCTGAATATAGGCGGGACAACAGGTCAAGGGGAGGACGTTCACTACGAATTCCATAATGCCAACGCAAAGGACGAATACGACCAGTGGTAGATAAACGCCGAAACTGCTTCTCGGGACACCGTTCTTCCATTAGCCGTGCATGTTCAATAGGAATTGAGGTTGGGAGCAAGCGAATAGTCGATTCAGGCAGAGACTCATCAGAATCTCCACACAAGGAATCTCCAATGTCCGAGTGCCAAGATGAAACACCAAACGCGTCGGGGAGATGAAGCGAGTTCCACGACGATTGAGCACGGCTTTCTGGTGAACCCGTGACATTAGGCGACGCAAGAGGAAGGGGGGAAGGGGATCGGAGGTACTGAGTACTATATGTGGTTTGTGTTGTGGGTCGTAAACTTGGGGAGGGAAAAGCAGAAACGGAAGGGATACGCATCGGGGCCTCAGTTGTCAATTCCGAGGGTATATCCATGGAGTTAGCTTTACTTCGAGCAGAGGCTGAAATCGTCCGTGCTCGTGGTCGACCACAGACAGTCGTACCCAGAAACCATGGATGCTGAACAATGCCGGCGACACGTATTCGATGTGTTGGTAATACCACTAACATCTGCCGAATAAGATCAGCTGCACCGCGTGAGACGTACGACGGAATATCGTACTGTCCTTTGCACACGCGGCTCAAAACATTCGTAATCATTAAATCTTCAAAAGGAAACGATCCAACAAGCATAACATACAATAAGATTCCACAGCCCCAGACATCAACATCGGATCCGTCATAATACCGACCTTGTATGACTTCGGGTGCTGCATAATGTGGAGTACCGCAGGCAGTGGTGAGGAACGTGCCGTCCTGCATTACATTCGATAATCCAAAATCCGTTAACTTGACGTGCAAATCTTTGTTTAAGAGTATACTATACAGGTTAGCATTACTCAATCGAAGCAAAGGACGAAAATAGCTATCAGGTTGTTGCAAATGTGTATGGTGAGTACAAGGAATTAAAGTTCCAAAACAGATGCTTATAAACATTGTTCTTTCTAAGGATATAAATTGCAATTCCTCCCGATACATAGCCATCCAACACTGCACCAACATCCATAATTTCCTACGCCCCCTTGCCAAGAGTACTTACTTTTCCAGTTTCAAATCTCTGTGTGCAACTGAATGGGCATGACAATAATCAATTGCAAACACAATTTGCCGGAAGATGGTACGGGCATCATCGTCGTTGAGCTGCGCTCGCTGTTAGTGGAAAAATAAGGGAGGAAACACGCGAACGGTAAGAACTGCATTACGGCTTTATAAGGTTTCCGTGGGTGCTAATTGCACCTCGTAGGCGTTCATACATGTCCGCGACAAGCAGTCTCGTCCAAACGAACCTTTTTTCGAGTAATCAAAAGACTATGGAGATCCATTTCCATGAATTCGAGCGCAAGGACTACATGCTGGCTCGTGGATAATACTTGATACAAACCAATGATGTTGGGATGGTGTAGATGTCTTAAAAAGTATACTTCTCTGAGCATCCGGGTATGTAACACCGGGTCCATCAGATCAGCTTTGGAAATCATCTTCAGAGCAGCTCTTTGATGTGTTTCGCAATGAACACCGACTGACTTGTTAGTATTGTCTATTACAATCATATAAGAAACGACGATTTTAGCGCGTACGCTTAACTTTACAAAAGCTGCCGCGTCCCAGCGTACGGCCCAGCTGCCAAGGCCCGACGCATTGCACATCCGGAGTCAATTCTGACGCCGCAGCTGCAGTTACGGGCTCTTGCATGGCAATTCGTGCCAGCCGCTGCACAGTATAAGTAGGTCTATCGTGAAGGGATATGGTTATTGGCAAGTTCTATTGAGCGGCAGCACACCACATAAGGGTTCGTAACGAGCCGCTTAGCCGAGCACGTCTGTACTACACGGGGTACTTTATGTGGTTAGTAGTGCAAGCGAGATAAAATAGCTGGATGATGATGTAGTTTTAGTGCTTCAAGCAATTAACGTTGAAGTAAGTTGAGCAGGTATTGCTAAAAAATCTTAGCGAATTGTGGGGTACAAGAGAAAGGAGACCAGGAAAAAGAAGGGAGGAAACAAGTAATAAGAAACAAAAAGCGCGTTTACGTGGGGTTAAGGCATAGGTAAACTCGCGACCGACAAGTCAATATGTCTTGTTGGATGTGTCTCTTAAACAAGGTGTTTCTAGCAGTGCTCGGAGATATTTGGAGAAAGACGCATGTTCCGTCTTCGGAACACGTAACGAATACATTTGCTGGATCATTTTCGGCTGTCAAACCAATGTTTACCTTTTCGTTGCCAAGGCTGCAATGTCCTTAGCAAAACACTACTTTTACCCTTTTTTTTCAAGAATTGTTTAAGTATTTCGTTAATTACTGTCTTCCTTATTCAGTGTATCGCTCTCGAGTTTTGGGCATTAGCTGGTTGGTCCATAAATAGAAATACCTTCTAGTTTCCTCAAATCTCGTCGAAAAACGCTCGTTCAAGTTTCATTCTCTTCACAGTGACCCAGACAGTTTTATTAAAAGTAAGCCAGATTTATTACGTAGCTGCATCTGCTCTTCAATTAGCCTCGGTATCGGGCCAAATTAAACACCTTTCGGGCCGTTTGTAAACACCGGTTCGTCTTTAGCGCACACACACATACACACTCTTCCTTCCAAAACCATCGACTACAACAGAAACAAACCGTTCTGGGAGTTTCATAACGTCCCTGAGCAATTTTATTCTTCGTGTACTCAATTACTTATTTGTAAGTTTTTTTTTAACGGCCAGAATTGTGCCGTCAGCAGTCATTTTGCGACCTCCTTTCGTTCTGTGTTTATGTTTATTTAATTCCTTGGAATGGAGACAGTTGAGGTTCGCAGTAAGGATCTGTTAGTGCGTTGGTTGAAGGTTAAGGAGAACTCGGTGATCAGCTGGCAGGTCCAGCCAAAGCGAAAGAGTATCCGTTACGCCATCTATCGTAAACCGGGAGACGGAGACGACAAGAATCAACATGGAAATGAAACGAAGACTGGGATGACAGGTATTGGAAAGGGACGTCTCGCCGCTGCCGGTTTGGTGCCCTTCTACGAAGGCACTCGCTGCATGCCAGACAAGCCTCACACAGGATCAGTGCTCGTGAAGCAGGCAGGACTTTATGCTTTTGTTTTGGACAACACGTTTTCAAAAAACACTGCAAAAACGGTAACATTCATTTTAACCGTTCAGTGTCAACCTACTTTACGTCCGGACATGTCTACGAATGATGTCAAGAACCAATTGTTGAGTGGTATACTACTTAAGAAGCGCAGAAAGAAGGCACAGGGTTATGCTCGTCGATTTTTCGTTCTGAATGTGACTGAAGGAACGCTTACCTATTACGCTACGAGTCATTCTTCCGCCATGCGTGGAAAAATTCCGGTTGGCATTGCTGTCATAAGCGTGTCTGCCGACACGCGGGAGATTAACGTTGACACGGGGGCGGAATTGTGGAACCTGAAGGCGCGCAGTGTCCAGGACTGGCGTCGCTGGTGCAACGCTATCGAGCGAACGAAGGCGCTGCATTCCGCAGCTGCCGTTCCGAGTTCTACCGAGTACACACGTGAATCTGCTTTTAAGCAACTCAGTTCTATTCACGCTCGTCTTCGTGAGTGTGTTGATATTGCTCACACTTACCGCCGGGCTCAACAATCCAAGGTCTCCATCTCGCCTAGTATTCCAGACATCCGCATCCATCTATCCGACGAAGCTATCGACTCGCATGGTAGCGAGAATCCCTCGTCGCAACCGAACAACTCCACGTCCGATCCAAACTCTCAGGGAAGTCGTGTTGGGGATAACACATCTGCTGGCATCGTATTGCGCCGGGTAACTCGCTTGCTGAATTCATTGTTGCATGAAGTAGAGTGTTTTGTTCAGCATTACGAATTTCATCGCGAACTCGCTGGTCAAGCAAGCCCATTGTCTCGTAACTCGATTGATTCTACCACAAGTGATTCCTGGTTTGATGCCACTGATTCTGCAAGTATCATGCAGGTCACTCATGACAAAGACTCAATGACAAGTAGCAGTGAAGATGCTGAGGATGCTACCAATTTTACACCAAACTCGTTGCATAAAGAATCTAGTGGTTCTGCCCAAGAATCTGTATCTAACACACTCTCTACGGAGTCATCCTCGACGGATTCGGAATTGACAGAATCTTCCTTTGAAAGCAGCCCGGATCTGCAAACCGCACCACCTTCTCCTGACACTCTGGCAACTTCCTTTGAAGATGAGAGTGAGTCTGATGATGTTTCGCATAAGAATGGTGTTGTGATATCTGATACACAGGTTCCGGTAACAACTGTTGAGGAGCCAAAGCAAAAGGTTGCTGCACCAATAGGACAAGTGGTTCAAAGCGTCTCTGTGCCTGATGAGGTTAAGCGTAGTGCGCCTTCCGTCCGTTCGTCCATTAGTAAGCAACCGAATGCTCCTGAATCAACATCCTCCACTCGCTCCACTATGCCCATTAAGCAATCAAACGCACTTGGCTCGTCGTCCTCTCTCCGTCCCACTATGTCCCTCAAGCAGCCGAAGGCTCTTGACTCGGCACCCTTAATTCGTTCTTCAACTACCGTAAGGCAGCCAAGAGCTCTTGTGTCTTCACCCTCTCTCCGTTCTTCCGTCACTAAGCATTCAAGGCCTCTTGAATCCTCACTCTCGGTCCGTTCTACTGTTCCCCCCAAACAACAACCGAAAGTCCCCGAAACATTTGAGCAACAGCTGTTACGAACCATTTATCACAATCATCCTCTTCCTCCCTTACCTCATGCTCGTGTTAAGCGACGTCAAACGATTCCTGCCATCACTGAACAGCCTCCAAGTATGTTCCAGCTTCTTCGGAAGAACATTGGAAAGGATGTGTCTGCTGTTACTGTTCCTGTTGTCTCAAACGAGCCTTGCAGTTTGTTGCAGCGCATTTCAGAGGACTTGGAGTATTCTGAACTGCTAGACAAGGCGAATGAAGCGTCGGCTGATATGAAGATGTTCTATATCGTTGCATTCGCTATCTCCAATTTTTCCAATATGCGGCATAAGGAACGCAGTGTCCGCAAAGTATTCAGTCCTTTGTTGGGAGAAACCTTTGAATTGGTTCGTGAAGATAAGAACTTTCGGTTTATTGCCGAAAAGGTTAGTCATAGACCGCTTATTGTCGCGAGTCATGCGGAATCACCCAATTGGGTTTGGAATCATTCTCCAAAACCCGTTCAAAAGTTTTGGGGAAAATCTATGGAACTGAATACTCTTGGACCCGTCACCATTAAGCTGGCATGCGGTTCTACTTTCAAATTCGTTAAGCCGTCATGCTTTTTGAAAAATGTCGCTATTGGTGAGAAATACGTGGAACCTTACGATCATTTAATTATTACGGACTTAACGACCCTTGATAAGGCTAAAATCCAGTTCAAATCCGGTGGTTTATTTTCTGGAAGAAATGAAGATTTTGTAGCGCATGTTACTCGCAAAAACGGAACTACTGATTCTCGCTTTATGAAAGGAAAGTGGACTTCTCATGTATCTATATGCAGTTCAACAGACAAATCCTATGAGAAACGAATCTGGAGTGTTGGAAAGCTTGTAAATAAACCAGAATCTCACTGTGGAATGACTGTTTTTGCATCCCAACTTAACGAAATTACAAAAATTGAGGAAGGAATGCTTCCTCCTACCGACACTCGTTTAAGACCTGATCAGCGTTATCGGGAAAATAACATACTTGACAAAGCTGAACCCCTCAAGCTGGAACTTGAACAAAAGCAGCGCGAGCGTCGAAAGGCTATGGAGAAAAACCAAGAGCAGTGGCAGCCCAAATGGTTCAAACAGGTGTCAGACGAACATCATGAAGGCCCTGTTTGGCAATTGACGCAGCCTGATGATTATTGGCAATCTCGAATGAAACATAGTTGGGGTCGATGCCCTAAACTCTGGTAGACTACCGGAATGTCCGCACCACACATACATTAAGAATGTGAAGCAATGTTTTATTTGCTTGCACTACATGCGTCTTCATATATCAAAAAAACAGTCAACCATTTTTGGCAGCGCATTACCATCGGATTGATCAGTTAGACTATATTAATGTTGCCTTTCTTTCACGATTACTATCATTATTCATTTTATAAAAGCTGCATAACACATTTTTTGTTGCTGTTTGTCGGGCCTGTTCTGTTGATAGCCATGACGTGTACGACTCACATTCATGAACCATCCTACGAAATTCAAATACACCATTATATACACTTAGCTGATACAGCATAAGATCTCAATGTCTTCTAATAAAGGATTCTGGCGCCGCCCACTACCATTGAGTTTGTTGGGTTTGGGTATTGTTGGTACAGGACTTGTTTACTTCATCAAGCCGTCTCCTATTGACAAAAGCTATCCCCCTCAAGTTGCCAAGTATCTTCATCGGGCCATTTACTATAGTGGAGACCGGGTTCATGACTTACCAAAGGCACTTACGTATTATGAAAAGGCGCTGGAATCGGCGACCTCTTGTATGAGCATGGCCTCACCTGCTGTTCAAGGAATTGACATCCAAATCGCAAATGTTTATGAGGCAATGGGACAAAAAACAGATGCTGCAAACGTTTATCTTAAAATTTTGGATAATACTAAAGATCAAACTAATTTTGTCGAACAGCGGGTGTATATTTCCAGCAAACTCATTGAACTGTTAGAGCAATTAGGGCGTGATGAAGAAGCAGCCTCTGTGGCCGATGACGCTTTGAAAGTGGTGTTCTCTGGAAAATTCAATCAACCGGAAGAATCTACTAGTCGTATTTTAGAACAGTGTGGTAATTTATACCTGAAACTAGGAAGTCCCAATTTGGCATTGCCATTGTTCAAACGGGCGTTTGATTTGACTACCGCCAATCCTTCTTGTCATGGTCTCGTTCTTATGCATAACTTGGCGACCAGTCTGATAGCAGAAGCAGGTATAACGGAGTCTCGTTACCACTCACGATTGTTTTCTGAAGCTACGGACTGGTTAAACAAAATCATTGCCTCTTACCGACTGTGTTTGGAAAAGGATCGCAACTCTGAATGCCATTCTGCATACTCTGCCGCTCATTATACATTAGGTAGTCTGGCGGAACAAAATGGGAAAATCCAAGAAGCCCGTCGTTTGTACGAAAAGGCTGAGCAAATGCGTGTAATTGCTCCGTATAACGATGCCTCTATCCTTGCTCGGATTGCTTTGGATCGTTTAAATGACAAGGAGTCAAACACCGATGCCTGATACAACGGAACATACCTTCTGTTGTTTCCGTTTTTTGATTCGTTTGATACACACACATACACACACTTTTCCTAAACTGTTACTCAACCTGACTGTGTCATGCGTTACAACCAAAAGAACAGTTTTATAACAAAAATAAATAGAGAATCCTTTAATGGTCCCCCTAGTAAACAAAAGCGGTGAGGTTGTCGTGTAAGGTGCTTGAAGAGGATGTTTGAGTTATAACAGTTTTTTTTATTCATTTACTTAGTAGCCAGGCTCTGTAGAAGTAAAAAATAGTAATAATAAGGATACATTAAAAAAATTCCGAATAATTTATCTTAATTTATAAACAGTCTCTCGGTCTTTTTCAAATTGGTTTAATAATAGAGGTCGTACGGTATTACATTATACACAACGTTTGATAACTTCTTAAACAGTATTCCACGCTTGAGAATAAGGCATGTCCTGTTATTATTCTTATTTTTCTGTTTATTGTGTGGACATAAGTATGGTGGTTTACTTTTTCCTCACCACCAAGAGAAAAGCGAAAACTGCTGGGCGAGAGCGTAAAGAGTGGGATTTAGGAATAGGGATTTTCAATTGTTACTAGGGGTTTCATTGTGTGTTTGAATTCTGCTGGAAGTGGACAGTGACAAAAAAAATGGAAACCACAAAAGCACACGTTCTAAATTGTCAATTCTCGAGCTGGTATCCTAAGTTTAAAAAACTGACACCACGTGCAAGGATTCTGAAGCCAATTCCACCTTCAGTGCTGAATTATTTGAATCAGGATGGAATTTTTTTGGGGGGAAGTGATGATGATGAAAATGAGGACGACGGTGAGATCAAAGATGAAGACGACGAAAATGTTCAGCGTGCTCGTGTATCAGCAGAGGACCTGAAGTTGATTACAGATACAATTGAAGAGTTGGGCGGTAGTGTAGTTCCAAAGTTAAACTGGTCGACGCCAAAGGATGCTCTGTGGATTGCACCAACAAATTCCCTCAAATGTACAAACGCAAGCGATATTCTCCTTCTACTCAAGGCGTCTGATTTTGTTGCTCATGACCTTGATGATCCCTTTGACAATTGTAAAGACGATGTTGTCGGCAAGCTGACGGAAAACTTTTCATACGAGCTCGTATTGAAGGAATGGTTTCCTATCCACACTTCACACGAGTATCGATGCTTTGTTAAGGGAAGAAAGCTGGTTGCGGTTTCTCAACGTGATCCTAATTACTACGATTTTCTTGAGAAAGAAGCTCCAGAACATTTAGAGTTACTGATAGAGCTCTCTGAAAAACTTCATGATTTTCCAGATGAAAACTGTAAGTTGTTTTTGCAAAGTGTTTTGCGCATGGAGCACTTATCCTTTACTAACCGCATAAAAACAGTTGTTTTTGACGCATATATTCAAAAAGACCGGGCATTTTTAATTGACATAAACCCTTATTCCCTTACTACTGATGGCCAATTGTTCTCCTGGTCAGAAATCAATAAACTCAACACGGATGATCCTGTTCTTCGTCTTGTTCCAAAAGGTCCTTTCGGTAGCTCTGGGTCCATGTATTCAGAAAATCGTGTTCCCTTCGATATGGTTGCCGCGAATCTTGGCGGAAATATATCCGAGTTTGCCAATAGCATGCAACAAAGCATGGCAGCAGAAGAAAAGAAAGACAAGTTTTGACCCAAGAAATAAAATTAAGAAAGCTTCGATAAAAACCACAAAACGAAAGGGAGGGAATGACAAAAAGAATGTGTTTTTTTTTTTCAGCGTGAATGTAGACAAGCAAGTGTCGTCGACTGTAGTAGTTTATATACAAACGGGAATGATATGTCTCCAAAAAGGATAGGACAAAGTTGGCCTAACTTACAATGATAGATTTTGTGTATGTATGGAAGTTTCCAACATAACTAAACATGAATACTATCATCTAGTTTGGGTGCGGACTTTCCCTTCCAATTACTGTAAGCCAGGTAGCGATGGTTCAATTCGGTGCGCCAGTGAATGCCGTAGGAAGACTGCATGGCACCGGTTGACGGTTGAGGAGAACAATAGATTAAACGATGTATGCGGGAGTGCAACAAGGCCATGGAACACATAACACATGGTTCGTGTGACATGACTGCAGTCAAGTTTGTGCATAAATAACGTTCTTCTTTTGGGTCGTGATCAAGCATACGTCGCTCCCGTTCTTTAACGGCTACATTGTTTATACCCTGAATGGCTGCATGATGCAAAGGATTACCAGAATTTTTCCGATCATCTGCTTGTAAAGACAGGATAGTATCGTTGTCCAAATCGTAGATGGCAATAGCACACGGAACGTTTCCGGAGGATTCTTGCTGACGTGCTAAACGTAAAACCTCGTCCATCACGCTGTCGAGCTGTCCAAGTTGAGCATTCGTCAGTTGCTCCACCCGATCAACAGGACGACGAAACGAAACAGGCCATACCTTAGACCATTCCGAAAACTGCTCTTCTGTCAGTGGAGGGAAAGCCGGAACTCCAAAGACGCTAAGTTCAGCTTCGATCCCTCTGTCGGCAAGAATCTTTTCCAGTTGATCTCTTGTCATAGCAGCCTCTGGACACAGAATCACCTCAAGTATAAGAGGCTCTCCTTCTTTTTGAATACGACGAAGCCTTTGATTGTGAAGTAATTTTTCATTTTGAATAGAGCGATATTCTTTCACAAAAGCAGCCGCTTTTGAAGCATACTTTGGCTGAATTCTTCCTAACCAAACATTTTCTACACTCGTTAACACCTCTATGCGCGTCATTTTCCGTACCGGTTTGTAGACTTCGAGTCTCGAGATGTGATTTTACTAATTGAAAGGGCCATTGCTCTTCTGGGACAAAAGAGCTTTTATTCGTCATTGTTTGAAAGCACTGATGAGCAGTCGGTACAACAAACGAACAGTATAATGCTGAATCAATGTTCCTCCTTTTTATGAAGTCAGCCGAAAGCTAAGAGCAAAAAGTCACCGTTAAGGAGTTGGAACTGTGACAGAGGAAACCGACTCTCTCAATAGAACAGCCTTCCTATTGTGTAGTGATAAAAACAATTATACTTTAACTACGCTTTACAAATGACTAAAATTGTTATAGATGGTTCGTAAAACTCCCGCAAATCTATTCAGAATCGAAAAAGGAAAAAAGAAGTATTATTAAATCATCGGAATAAAAGGTTCAACTGTAAGCGATTAGGGCAGATTAGTGTTGGTCGGGAAGCAAGTATTAACGGTAGATGTACAAGAATTAGTAGGTCCGTAGAAATATCGAGGGCCAAAAAAAAAAAAAAAAAAAAGCTCTAACGGGCAAGATCCACTTCTCTCGCAGTATTAGAAGAGCCAAATTAGGAAACAAACGTTAACAAAACACAGGAGAAAGCTCTGTCGAACGAAAGAACATCCTCATTTTTTTTTCGTCGCAGCAATGCAAACATTAATCAGTCATAAAATGCCCAAAGGAGTCCGCATATTTGCCCAAGAGGCAGAGGTTTTAAGCGGGAGAATATGGCGTAGAATTGCTCGTTTAGTTCTATTCGTAAGCGTCCCAAATTAACAGCAGTCCGATGAGCCGCTCTTGAGAGCGCATCGGAGTCTTGATGTAACAAGACGTGAAGTTTTTCAATGAGTCTTGAGTGTGAACGTTTCACCTGGCTCAAAAAGGTCTCACCGTCCTCGCAATCCACGTAGAGCAGCCGAACGCAAGGAATTGAGGGACACTCGGTCCACGACAACAACTGTGCTACTTCTGCAAGATCAATGCGCTCGTTTATAAATACAGAAGTATACGCTAAATACTCCGTTAGCTTTACAAGCGAAGATCGGCAAAAATCTAGTAGTTCTGGTGACGAATTCGAGGGAAGGATGCTGTTCAGCACGTTCATGTACATATTCAGCAATTGGAAAGCAGACCTCTGGGTGCCGGTGAAGGGATCCTCTTGCATTGAAGTGTTGGGCACCAGCCGAAGCAGTATTGGTTCAATTCGGACGGGAAGGCGTATTTGCTGCAGGGAGGCATAGCCCGTGAAGGACTCACTGTTGTTCACAGGAATGCATGGACGCTCGCACCATTCACGAGCATTGCTCCGCAAACCACTGGGCCCACTCGTCGAAGTGCTGGAGGACTCCATCAGAGGACAGTCGGAAAACTGCCCCAAGAAGTACGCGAGCAGGGAACGGGTCACAAGAATATGTGAGGGATTCTCCTCGTGCAGCTCGACAACCTTGTCAGTCAGCTCCTCGAATGTTTCTAGCATCCGACCAACTCGTTCACTCTGATGGAATCCGCGCACAGAACTCTGCTCCTCGTCGTCCTGCAGCTGCCGCATGTTAGACACGCTTTGACCCGCCAGAGGCAGGTTCTGTTGAAGCTCGACAGCTCGTTCATGGAGCAACGTGTCGATGTAGTTCCAGACAATCCAGTCCAGCGAAACAATTAGGGCTCTGTCGTTGGTTCCCGGGGGGGTCTCTTTCATGACGAGAGAAAAACGTAAGGGCTGTTAAGTATGCTCGCTGAGAAGCGAGTATACGGTCGCACAACAGGGTCTTATAGTACCTTGTGATACCCCAAGCAGCAATCGTGACGTAGCCATCCATTCATCTAATAGCAGACAAACGAGTGGCACACAGAGACAAAGGGTATCATCAAATAACGTCGCTGGAAGCAGCAACAGGGAGCCCCGAGGACCTCGGAGCACCAGAAATATGGTCCAATTGCCAGGCAATCAAAGCAATAACCGCACACGATTTTCGCTCTGAACGAAAGAAAATCCGAGCCAAAGAACAGAAAACGAGCAAGCAATACCAAATGGAGGGCGAAGGCAAGTGTTTTCAGGATTACATCATCTTTGGGAACGTAACTGGCGAACTTTAGCAGTCGCTAAGTCTTTCGTAAACGAGGCGAGTATTTTTTGCGTTCGCTTGAGAAAATACTGACCGGCCGAAGAATCCGCAAACTCGGCAATTGCGCTCTCCAGAACCGAGACTGACGACGAAACCCTTTCCGAAACCCGCTGGGCTTCATGTTCGAGCAATGAGAGCTGCTGCTCTGCACCCTGCAGGGCCAAGGATAGCCGAGACACCATTTGGTCCACTGTCAAGGGTTTCTGCTCGGTCGGGCGGCAAAATTCGGTAGCGACAGCTACTGCAGGGATTGGACCCGCGTGACTGGTAGGAGCCGCCGCTAGGTCGCTCGGCAAAACATCTTCTCCAATGGGTGCTCTCTGGTTGTGCTCCAGCGGTCGGCTTAAGTCTTTTACCCCAGGGGGAGTTAATTCTTGATCCACTTCCTCTCGAATGGAACCAGGAGCCGCTGCAGCCATCTCAATTGGAACAGCGGCTGGTGATATCGCACCCGAATGCGATGTTCCGCGCCCATATGGCTTGACAAAACTGTCAACAAGCGGGGATTGCTGCTCTTGAGACGGCAATCGGTCGGAGTAATGTGATTCAAGCTTCTGTTTCATCAGATAACGCTTCCGCTCTGCTTGTCCGACAACCACAGCTTCAATATCAATGCTGGACCGCACCTTCTCCAGCCGTTTTTTTCTCACACGCACGCAATGGTCGTAGATCTGCCTGACTATAGGATCTTCACGGTTTCGCCGGGGAAATAGCTTTCTCCACTCTTCTTCTGTGACCACCGACGGCCATTCCTCGTTTAAGAGGAGAAACTCTTCCAGAATCTGCTTCTCCATGCCCCAGATGCAGCTGAAGTTTTCGTAGCAAGCGACACGGTTTGCTGGCCTTTCAGTGTTGTGTCGTCGGGCATACGGACGGGGTCCTCCATACTCCCGAACTTGCTTGGTGGTGAGTTTGGATCGAGGAGTGGGATGGGAACCTCACCACCAAAGGTGGGGTGCGGTGTCCACACAGAGAAGCGGGTCCACGACAGTGGGGTTTCATGGAGTGAGCTGGAGCCGGTGATAGCTAGCTAGAGGGAAAGAAGTAGCATGCTTTTGCGATATGACTTTGCCGTGTATTGGGCGATACGCCCGAGTCGTTGTTGTGAGTAGTAGCGATTCCGTTACATGCTGAAAAAAACCAAGTCGTAGATGTCTCGGGATTGAGGTTGTTGTTTCATTATTTTTTGTTTACTTGTAATTTTGAATTTAATTAAGTGTCGACTATTTACTACATGTTGGTTACTTCTGTTTGCGAAGGTTGGTGCAGTTGTTGCCTACGGGATTAACATTTGCGGTTGTCACCACCAAGAATTGACAGGTGTGGGTTTGTGTTTGTGTTTGTGCCTGGCTGCTGCTGTTCGATCTCTCTCGGTCTCCCTTTGTGCTACACCCAAGAACCTGCCTCTTGGACTGTGTGCAGTTGCTGTCTGCTGCTGGGACCCACCGCTTGTCTTCTTGCTTCCATAGCAAACACTCAGTAGTCGGACCTTTTGTGGACAGAACCCTCTGTACGTGCCTTAGACGAGACTAGATAAAAAGACAAAATTTGAGACGGTGTAGCGAATGACTACGTACAAGTTAGGAGAACGCGTGTTGTGCTTTCATGGCCCTTTGCTGTACGAAGCGAAAATCATTGACTTGGATGACAAGGAGGAGACTCCCAGTTACCTTGTTCACTACAAGGGCTGGAAACAGAGCTGGGACGAATGGGTGGAAGATGAACGGATCCTCAAGTGGTCGGAAGAAAATTTGAAAACACAAAAGGAGCTCAAGGCAGTCGCCATCGCAGCTCGTCAACGATCCTCGGGCGGTGGACGAAAAGGCGGCAGCAGCAGCCGATCGGCACAGGCTGAAGGAGCCACGACGACAAGCACGACTCGGTCAAAACGAACTCGCGAGTCGAGCACCAGCACTGTTGACAGGGAGAGCGACGCAGGCCGTCGTCTCGGTACCCCGTCCAGCACAGGCCAACTGTCTGGAGGCAATGTGTCTGAGGAAGGCACGCCCGGCGTTGGAACCGATGAAGATGCAGAAGGGTACCATGAACCCAAGTACCAGATGGAGGTACCCAATCTGTTAAAGCTTTGGCTCGTGAACGACTGGGAGTACATCACAAAAAATCAGCAGCTGATCCCCGTTCCACGAAAGCCTACCGTCCGCGATGTCATCCGCTCGTTTCGCGAGCAGCAGATGCAGAGCATAACGGACGAGATTGAGGCAGACGTCTTTGAACAGGCCATGTCGGGATTGCTTCTCTATTTCAACAAGTGTCTCGGAAACATGCTGCTCTACCGTTTCGAGCGGCAGCAGTATCTTGAGGTTATACGTGAACATCCCAACACCGAAATGGCTGATGTTTACGGAGCCGAGCATCTTTTACGGCTACTCGTGTCCATGCCCGAGCTAATCGAACAGACACAGATGGACACAGAGTCTGTCCATGTTCTGCTACGCTACGTCGAAGAATTCCTACGGTGAGTTGAAACGAAACAGCCCAAGGGAGATGGCTACTTTCGCTCCCAAGTGCGTGTGACTAATCTGAATGTATAGTTATCTTGTTTGCGAACCGCGAAAAATACTTGATTAAGGATTACGAAAATGCTTCTCCCAACTACCGTTCGCTTGTGGGTGTTTAGTAACTTGGATTCTTTTAGCAAACAGTCTTCAAGACGATGGTGCCATACTTCTCATACGGTGCTCATTGGTGTCTTCTGCAGACGTCGCAGCTCGCTACAAAATTGGAGCTGGTTATCGTCAGACGAGGAAAATGGTTCTCGTTGCCGAGTGAAGCTTGAGCATTCCATGTTGACTACGTCTTTCAGAGCCTGTACACTGGTACTTAATGATACTTGGTTCGCACTTGTACGACCGTGTTCCTCCGCTGCTTTCCTTAACCGCGAGAGTTGATCCTGACATCTCTGTCTATTTGTGCGAATTTCTTGGAGCCGATGGTTAGCGGCTTGTAGCCCTTGCTGTTGTATGTTGAGGATGTTCTGTAAGCTAGTAAAGCCGCCGAGCCCATGCTTCTGCATGTACGAGCACACGGCCATCATTTGAAACCATCTTGGACGAATGATATACTGCGTGATTGATTAGCTGGGTAACATTTAATAAAAATGAAATGAGGTCTATGAAAGAAAACTTGTCATGTGTACATGCATGTGTAGCAACAAGAAAAAAGATCTGAATTTGTATTTACCTTGGCAGTGAAGGCTGATAGAGAAACGCCCGAGGAAAACAGGTATAAGAGGCCCAAAACGTATCTCCACAAAGAGTCTGATGCCAATAAGCTAGTAGTATCTAGGCGGGAGCTATTCGCGATCTTCATTGAATAGTGTTACACAAGTTTTTCCGCTTTTTGTGGATAGAACGTACTAGATGAACCATGAATGGTACTAAAATACCCTTCTAAGCAATTCTTTAGCACCCCCCCGGTCAATATAACTCTGGTGGAAAAAGATCCGCTTGTGGTTTGTGTTCTTACGAACGACCTTCAGCTTCCCACCAAACGGCCGTGAAAAAGCCCAGTCTTGTATTTATGCGTCGTAGGACCAGATAACGCGAAATTTGTAGACCCCCCAAAGCCAGTCGTGTACGGTTCCTTTGGTAAAATGACCGTGGAGGAAGCAGTTCCACGTAGTTCCCAATCAGCTTGGGAAAAGCAAAGGGAACGCTGGCTACAACCGTCAGAAGACGCTCTTCAGCACAATGTGATGCGTCCTGAATGCGTTCCTATTCCAGAAAGTGCATATTTACACGTCTACGACAATTTGACGCGCAAGTTGCGTCCATTAAAGAAGCCAATGAAACTGAGTGTTTTGGTAAGCAATGAAACAAATGGGCACTTTTTGACTAATCACATTCGCAAGATTCCCATTTTGAAGAAAGGATGGATCAGGGATGGTCTATGGCCTTCATGATTTTCTATACCGCATTGATGCTTTCCGTACGGCTGGATGAAGGAATTCGTTCAGTCAAAACTAACGCGTGGAACATGCACAGTTTGCAACTGAAAGTCTACGTATCTGTACATACTTGTTTACCATAGAAATTCGCCTTGATTCATTTTGTTTCCGTTTTATATTCACATGTTCACTTTCGATAGACAAACCTCTTTATAATATTATTACCCTTTGTTCCTTAATTCGATAGTGAAAGCGACTCAAGACACGCTAGTTCGTCTTTATAACCGACCTCCCCTTCATTAAACGCGGCCGCAACACGTAACGTTCGCTTCGTTGTGTCTGACGTCCTGTAATGTCCATACTGGCACGTCCCCTCGTAGGAAATTGAGCATGCCAAAGACTTTTACAGTTGAACAGGTTTTACCTTCATCCAAACTACGTCCAGAGTGTGTATTTGAACTAGGTACATCGACCTCTTAACGCTCTCTGGCCTTTTTGCTGACCTTAGACAATTATTTGTACATCACTTATAACAATGGCAATTTACAAACGTTAGAGCGGAAAAAATCGCCAATACAACATGAAGAAGGTTCGTAAAAGAATCCAAGAGTCTTGTGTCTAACAAATTCTTCAGGAAACGTTGTGTATGAACAACGCGAAATGAAAGATAGCTTTACGAAGAAACCTATAACGGAAATTAAATTGAATTCACAAAACAAGATTCTCGTTACGCTACAGGGTATGTGTTATTTCTGGAAAATGTTGCGGTTCCTAACTTTTGATGCACAATAGCATCCTCCATTGTTCTTTATTACGCCGACGATTTTCAAAAGATCCAAGAAATCGGTCACGGCGTATTGTCATTCGCATTATCAGACAAAGGTGAAATTGCTATAGCTTCGAAAAAACAAGTTGACATATACAAAGTTGAAGACAATGTCTTCCAAGTTGATTCTACCATTCACATTTCTGACAAAGCTTCCTCTCTCCTTTGGGTTTCCGATAAACTACTGCTAGCAGCCTTCTCTAATGACTTTTTCCTTCTCGATGTTGAGAAAGGACTGACTTCCTCACTTAATTTGCCCTGGAAAACATCTTCTCTAGGTCTTGGTATAGGATATATCAGCATGACTCGACGATCCAGTAAACTATTTCTTGAGAAACTCGAAAACAACGAGGTCCTTTTGAGCAAAGACACACAAGGCTTACTACTGAACATGAAAACTCTTCAAATATCTCGTCGATTTTTCACTTGGCCAAGCGCCCCCATGAACATCTCCTACAGAAAGCCATATATCATAACATTGCACAGTGACGCAACCTATGTTTGGAATCTTTCCTTGCGGAAAGCTGCTGAGAAAGTGGAGCTACGAAACATGTGTCGACTTATTCGTTGTACCTATCACGATTATCTGTTATCATCTTCGTCCGTCAGTCAATTAATCCAAACTGACTTTGCATTACAAGTGGAGGAATTAATGGAAAACAATGAGTTGGACGAAGCCATCTCCCTTCTTGAAAACGTTTCTGAACAGCAAATGCCGAGTCGGTCAAAATACCTGCGCTTGACGAAGGGTAAAAAGGGAAGGATTGCATTTGCGGAGGGGAATTATGCGCTCGCTATGAAATTATTCTCTGACGTTTCTGAATCGCCGTTCGAGGTTCTCGCGCTGTATCCTGAACTTAACGAAACCGAGTTTTCTGATACTCAAAGTATCATGTCATTCCAGATGCCGAATCTTGAATTGAACGAGGGATTGTCTTCGCCTTCGCGGTCGGCTTCAGGAACACAACTGAATGGTCTCGCACAAACCGGTTCTGCTCGGTCAAGACGGTTTCGCTCGTTAATTACTTATCTCGCCGACTCGAGAAGAAAGGTGAGTGTATTCTTATCGTGGGACGAGAAGACTTTGGAAACCCACAAGGACGCTGTATTCATGCACCCAAATGGTTCTCACATGTCAAGAGAGGAGCTTGAAGAAATTGCATCATTAATTGACACAACCTTGTTCCGTACATACATGGTTGTTAGCCCCACCCTTGTTGGCTCTTTACTTCGGCTTCCGAATCACTGCTCTCCTGCAGTTGTATATGATACGTTAATTGCGTCCTACAGGTACCAGGAGCTTCTTGACTTTTACTACGGCAAAAAGCTGCACAAAGAAGCATTATGTTTACTTGGTGAGTTGCGTGAAGAACAATTGAGCTATGTTCCCCCAGAGTTTCGCTCTTACGATGCTTTGTTTCATTACCTTACAAAGTTGGGCGAACCGGAAAAAGACCTTATCTTCCAACATTCAACAAGCATGCTTCAGGCGGAACCGGAAAGGACTGTTGATTTGTTTCTCACCGAAGATTCACGAGCATCGACTATCCCAAAAACGGTCGTCTTAGAATACTTAACGCAAGTCTCCGTCAATGCAGCAATCGATTTCCTGGAAGAATTGGTGCTTCACCAAAACATCCAAAACGAGCTGTATGCCACAAACCTGTGTCTTCTTTATTTAAAGAAAATACAACTGGACGGAGTAAACGCTGATAGCTCAACCTCACTTGACAATCTCCGTACTTTTCTCCAAACTTCACCGTCTTATGATGCGCCTACTGTGCTTAAAGCAATCCCAGAGGACAATGAAATGCTTAAGAGGATTCGTGTTATTCTCTACAAAAAGTTGAAACTTCACCAGAATGCACTCGATATCTTATTTGACTATGATGACGATTCACACGAAGCCATTGAGTATTGCAACTCTGTCTTCGAGGAGAGTGGAAGCGTAGAGCCGTATTACATTGTGATCGATCATTTAAGCGAATCAGAGAATGAATCGAGCTCTAAACTTCTGGTATCATTTGTAACGAAGTACGGTTCACGACTACAAATGTCCAAATTTTTGGACAAACTCCCGAGTGAAGCCAGCATGCAAACATTAAAGCCCTTTCTTTTATCCCAATTTCGACGTTATGCCGAACAACTCAGCACCGTTAAGCGCCAAACAACGCTCAATGATAGTGTGTTATCGAACCTTCAGACGGAATTGAACGATTTACGTTCGTCAAAAACGGTGGTCACTCGTGAAAAGACGTGCCTATTCTGCCATAAGAGAATCGGAAAGAGTGTTATCTCTATTTTCCCAAAGTACGTTCAAAAGCCTACACTTCTATACTAACATTTTCTAGTGGTTCAGTAGTTCACTACGGATGCGCCAAAGGCTATGTCGAAGAAAATCACCTCGGTTACAACTACTAAGGAAGCAAATGAATTTCAGAGCCCCGTTTCTTGATTTCTAATACTCATACATACGGAATACCTGCTTGAAGCACTCTTCGAACGATGTAAGGAAGTGCCGCCAATAAGCAGTATTTGATGCGGTATCGCACACGGTGAGCACTACACCAAACAGTAATTCTTGGTGGTGAATTTTTCCATAGTTAGTCCGTGGAGCACAAAGGTCTCCTCGGTACCAGAACAGCACACCGCAAGTTACAGCTTGAGATTACCCAGGGGAATTGTCGACCTCATGTCTGACGCTCAGCACCATCACAGGTCTTCTCAGAAGAAGAAAAAGTCGTTTAAGTCGAAACACGCGTCGAAATCTGCTCTGAAAGAGGCATTCCGGAACCGTGTTGAGCCTAAACAAAATGGCATTAAACCGGCTTTACACACATCCTCCAAGGCTGACAGAAAAAACAAGGCTAAACAAATTCAGATGAATAAAAGGGCCGAGATTGCTAACGCGAATCGCATTTTTGGCGGCAGAAACGGAGCTCCTAAGATCGTTTCTGTAATTTCCTTGTGTGCGAACGTCGATGCGTGGTCGACGCTCAAGAAAATCCTCTCATCGTTGGAGACAGAGATCCCAGAGAAGCCTGTCGAAAAATTTTCTGTTACTGTGGATAGATTCCGTCAGAAATTACAGTTTTTGGTTCCCCGCCGTGACTTTTTGTCCATGGCTGATGCTGCTAAGGCTTCAGATTACACAATTTTTATCCTTTCTGCTACTCAGGAAGTCGATGAGTTTGGCGAACTCGTTATACGTACCGTTCAGGGACAAGGTGCTTCTACTGTCATTTCCGTGGTTGACGACTTAACCTTAATTGATGGTCAGAAATTGAGAACGGATGTAAAGAAATCACTTATCAGTTTCATGAACTTCTTTTTTTCCGATCAAGAACGTATTTGGGCTTCTGACATCTCCACGGAAGCTCAAAATATCGTGCGTATACTCTGTACTACCCATCCTAAGGGTGTTCATTGGAGAGACACCAGAGCTTATGTAGTTGCTGATGATCTTTCTTGGAATGATGGAAAGTTGGCAGTTAGCGGCATTGTACGTGGAAAAGGGTTGGATCCCGATCGTCTTGTTCATATACAAGGTTTTGGTGATTTCCAAGTGGATGAGATTCACATTCATCCTCAAGTTCGCAACGGTGTTAAGAAGCAGGGCGATGTTGACATGGAGGGTTCCGAACCTTCTGACACTATTGTCCGACCTACTGAGAACCAGGATAGCTTGGATGAACTTGCTCCCGCCGCAGATGTCGATGACATGGATATGGCTGAGGATGATGCTGAGAAGCCGAAGGGTGTACGATTGGATGACTTCTACTACTTTGAAGACGAGGAAGTGCCTGCCGCCGCCCAAAAACGTGTTCCAAAGGGTACATCTACCTATCAAGCCGCTTGGATTCCTGATGATGAAGAAGAAGTGTACAGTGATGCCGAGGAGACCGAGGTTATCACAGTTGGCACCGAAGAGCCTAAACGGGAAACTGTTGAAGAGGAGGCAAATGAGGTTGTTAGCGACACAGACGATATGATGGACGACACCAAGTCAGAAATGTATGTTGAGTTGTCCGCTGAGGAAGAGGCTCGACAACTGGCCGAATATCGTCGTCAAGTTCGCGAGGAGGAGGAGGAACGCGAATTTCCTGATGAAATTGAATTGATGCCCGATGAGTTGGCTCGCGAACGCCTTCGCAAATATCGTGGTCTCCGTAGTATGTTCTCAAGTCCTTGGGATCCGGAGGAACCTGACGCGAACGAGCCCGCTGACTGGCGTCGTTTGTTCCGCTTCCAAAACTATAGAAACATGAAGAACAAAATGCTGAAGCAGCCGTTCATTGGAGATGTCAAGCCCGGACAATTGGTTACTGTGTATGTTCGCAATGTTCCAGAGTCTGTGTATCAATACTACGCCGATCGTCTCTTTGTTTTGTATTCGTTGATGGAGCACGAGCACAAATTGTGCGTCTCACATTTTACCGTTACGAAACATAGTGAATACGAGAACCCAATCAAATCTAAGGAAGAATTGGTTCTCCAAGTTGGTCCTCGTCGTATGTTTGTCAATCCGCTTTATTCTGACGCGTCTACTACGGGAACTAGCAACAAAGTTCAGAAATTCAACAAGTTTCTGCAACCTTCTCAGCTCAGCGTTGCTACCGCCGTTCTTCCAATTAACTTTGGAAGCAGCCCTGTTTTGCTTTTTAAGCAAGATGGCGACTCACTTAAACTGGCAGCTACTGGCACCTTTGTTAATACGGACCATAATGTTATTATTGCCAAGCGTGCCGTTCTTACTGGTCATCCATTCAAGATTCACAAAAAACTTGTCACTGTTCGTTACATGTTTTTCAACCCTGAAGATGTTCTGTGGTATAAACCTATCCAGCTCTTTACGAAACAAGGACGTACAGGTTTCATCAAGGAGCCTTTGGGTACTCACGGATACTTCAAAGCCACCTTTAATGGAAAACTCACTGTGCAAGACACGGTCGCTATGTCGCTTTACAAGCGCGTGTATCCTCGTATGTCTCGGCCTCTTTTGTACACATCTGCATAATATTACGAACAGGATCAAAAGGGATATTTGTTTTTTTGGTTTTATAACACTGGGTAAATAAATTCATTTGGTATCGTGAGGAACTGCTATTCAAGAAACGAGTGACTTGAAGCACTAAACAAAGAAGGGTTAGTGCCTTGCTTAGTGCAAGCGTTTATTTTACGTTGAAGGGTTGGTGGTTTCTTGATTAGACATTAGCCTTTTGTATAACTCAGCTGAACAAGGCATTGTTGCGATGCATATATCTTGTACTTCCAAGAAAAAGTCATGAGTTAGGAGATTAGAAAGCTGCTTGCAGTTCATGAGGTTCGTTAGAAATAGGGGTACAAGCTGGGTACAGCGGTTGAGGTTCGTTTCATCGGTCACATGTTGCAACTGATTGTTCAGTGCATTTAGTACGTGATAAAGCCACGGGAGTTTTCGGACCATCATAGTTGCCGTTTGCGGACGTCGTAGCAAAACTAAAAGTATCGTTTGTAAATTGTATACACTTATCGGTAGTTGAGAACACTCAAAAAGAAGATCCTCTTTCAGTTGTAACTCTTCTTCCTTATCTAAAGTAGCAATAAGGAATGTAGTACAGAAATCCGGATTGCAAAAGATAAATGCATCAAGTTCTTTTGTGGTTGGCCTGATCGGATTCATTGAGACCAATTCCAACAGATTTTGCTGCTCATCTTTCCTTAACTTCCTTTGTAAACCTAACTGCCAAACGTCCACACGAGACCGTTCTTTTGGGTTTGGTGCCAATTCGGCAATCGCTAACCAGTTCTGAAGCTCCTCTTCATTCACTTGCTTAACCACTGATTTAATGTACGAGTCGCTAGTCTCGTTCGTCAGCATATTCGGCGTCTTCGATAATATCTGAAGCCTTGTTAACGAATCTTATCGGCGAGCAAACCAGAAACAACTTTTCATACCTCTGGAACACGACCAGCAAGAACACATGAAAGAAGAAGTTTCCGTGCAGGTGGCAGAGACGGGTTCTTCCAATTCTCATAAAAATGGATCAGAAATGGATGATAGCGAAGCGGTGCATGCTCGTAGAGAGCCCAAATTTTAAACTCGATCAAAAGCTGCTCACAAGGGCTCTGAAATCGTCAGAAATATATGTTTAGAGTAGACTGCAAATGTCTGGACGTACGAGCTTTGGATCATCGAGGGTGCTTAATAATTGAACCGCGACATTAAACTTGTCTGTATCATTCAAAGCCTCGCCGTCACGATTTATCTGTTCGATGAGGGGTTTGTGAAAGACCTCGTCCGTTAACATTTGATGATTTTCCGTCCAAAAATCGATAATTGGTTAAAAAGGAAAGGACTTATCGATAAACAAGGTGTAACGGTTGTCGGACGAAGTCAATAGCTCATGACAGAAAAAATTCAAATTTATGATACAAGAAATTGACAAATTATTTTATTAAGAAATAGTTTGACAATTCGTTGCGGGAATAGCCCGTTTACAGTTTTGTGTGTTTGGAAAGCCCATACAAGGGAACAGCTGCCGAACGTTTGACTGAAGGCTCTTCGCTCTCAACTGAAATCCTCCGCCGGGGGTAACGAACTTCGTGGTCTTTAAAAGCCCTTGTTTAGTTAGTAAATGTTGAACCGCCACACACCAGATAACGTACACTTTGTTCCAATTCGAGTCTCGCGTGAAGAAACTGTGTGAAAGAGCGTCTTTTGCTGATATACGTTTTGAGGGATCGTACTCCAAAAGTTTCATGAGCAAATCAAGACCGTCCGGGTCATTGGCCTTCACGCTGTGATACCACTGCGGCAATAGATTGTTCCAGTACTGCACATCGTAGGTAGCCAGTTGATGGTACTCGGGATATTGAGACAGCCCCGGCCAGCGCTCCTCTGTTGGTGTGCCCAGCACTTCCATAATACGCAACATTTGATTTTTTTGAAAAGGGACAACTTTTTTCGTCTCCATTTTCATTTCCTCTCCTTTGAACAGCGGTCCAAGTGCGAGTATTTCTGCAAATACGCACCCAATTGCCCACATATCTATAGCTGGAGTATAATTCCTTGCACCAAGCAATAGTTCTGGCGCACGATACCATATCGTGACGACCACACGATCGCTAGCATACAAGGATTGCAGGGAATCTCGAAAAATCCGACCCAGACCTAAATCACCGACTTTCACTACGCCTTCTTCCGTGATGAGGATGTTTGCAGGCTTTAAATCCCGGTGAAGAATCCAGTTCTCGTGCAGGTAGGCTATTCCATTTAAAATCTGCCACGTGAAAGACTTGATGATGGACTTTGGAATGGGGTGTGGCCGTGGACGTAAGTGAAACTGAATGATCTGAAGTAGGTCATACTCCGCATATTCAAAAACCATGCTAATATTGGTGCCATCGATCATCACGTCCACTAAATTTACAATGTTTTCATGATGCAACTCACGACATAGACTTATCTCTCGTATGGCACTCTGAGAAATGCCGTTTGTAACATTCTGTCCGTTGGAAAATTTAGATTCGGGCTTAAACCGTTTTATGGCAAATATCCCCGGTTGCTTTGAATCTTTGGCGGTAGCTTTGTAGACCTTTCCGTACGTACCGGCTGATATAAAACCCAAAATGTTATAGCGTTTTTTTTCCATGAAAGCCTCCCCCTCCGACGACTGGTGGATTAAGCAACGCCAAGGTCAGTTTCCCACAAAAAAATTGGTGGTTTTTCATAACTCAGAGAGATGCAAACCTGGACGATCAGATCCAAGGGTGTAGCAAATGGATTCGCGCGTGAACACATTCCATGGAAGTAAGAGAAAAATTAAAAAAAAATATAACGGGATGACAAATGGAGTTGTCTGTGGGCTGCATTGTACGGGAGCATAGTCTTGAGATTTGTTCTTTTTGTTCGTCTGCTCTACCACGTGTGTACAAGCAAAGAGAATAAACGAACACAACACAGTACAGTACAATACAATTGCAACAGTCTTCACTCCTTTTTTTGCGTAAATAAGAACAAATCAATGACCTATTAGTTGTGTTAATAACATATACTCCCTATCAAACACGTACCATAACGTTGAAATTCCCATTCGCGATTGTCGAGGGGACAAACGTTTCGTGTATTCAGCCAACGCGAAATACAATGGAAGTGAAATGCATGCTAAAGGCAGTTAGCCAGTCTGCAGCGGTCCGGGTCTCTGTGTGCTTACATTACAAGTTCCCCAAGCGACTGTGCATTCTTCAGAAGCAGCACCACCCTGGTTCGCCTGGCATTCGATGCACAAATCCATGATGTGATTACGGCAAATAGCACAGTTGTCGACAACAATGTCCCACTGCCATAATGCGACAGCATTCCACTACCGTGTTTGTTAGAATGCAAAAACAAAGACACAATTTCCCAACGACACGCTTTCCTCCCGCGAAAAAGCGATTCCCCGCATTCTTCCTGGCTTACCTTTTTTATTTCAAAGCGCTTTTTTGTCGCCGGTACCTCAGAAGGCACCGTATCAACTTGCATACTCGTGTCTGACATATTCGAAGCGTTGGCAGAGGATAGGCATCGCGTCGCGACCTGTCCTACTTTAGAGCACAAGAAGCTCCGATGATCTGCATCCCCGTGACGTTTAAGGTTATGATCGACGCTTACGTCGATCATAACCTTAATCCGAAAAACGGGTGGTCGGCAGTTGGCATGCAAAAAAACCTTGCCGAATCGGACGCGAGATACCTCCATTGCGCGACATGTGCGACGTCAGAGCCAGTGTAAATTCAAGTTCGTCCAATCAGCATGCGATAGGAAGGCGGGGTAGCGTGTTCGGGACCCGGTTAGGAGGCTTATGAGGTGACGTTAGCCGCCATATGACTCGTCAAGCAATGTTGGATATTTCAGCCGAGGAAAACAGCAACAGGGAGAAAGAGGAAATATACTGAAATCCGGGCACCGCCGTTCCTCTACGACATTTCGTAACTGAATAACCAGCACAAACATTCATCCCCCACTCCGACGGGCTGATCACCTTCCACGGCGGCTAGTTACTATGCCAACTAACCATGTTGGGGATTGTTGTCGCTTATTTGTAGTTTCCAGCTTTGCATGCGGCAACGCGTGCTTATTTCGGCCAATCATCCTCAGTCCATGGCGACGGTCCAGCCTCATCTGGGATTATCGCGACGAGATGGCGGGAGTACGTTGCTGGCTGTTTACGCGCACCATAGCAACCAATTTCGTGATTTAGGTATATAAGACTGCCATCTTCTCTCACTCCTACATCCATCGTTTCATCCCGGTTTCCTAGCATTCGCATAACCAGAGCCTCTAAGCCCGTTTTCTCACAGATTACGTCGCATATTCTACTTCCTCCTTTACCCACACATATACACATATCCTTTTAGGTTCTGCATCTTTCACATTCGAAATCATGGTTGCATTCAAGTCTACTATCTCTGCTGCTCTTCTCGTCGCTGCTGCCTTCCAACAGGCTTTTGCTGATGACAGTTGCACTGCTTCTGCCTTCAACATCACTGCTCAAGGCCATCTCGACAACATCGCTTCCTGCACGAAGTTGACTGGTGACTTGTACATTAAGGATATTGACAACGATGGCATCTCTACCTTGACTGCCAACGGTATCGAGTCTGTTGATGGTGATGTTGTCGTCTCTGGTGACGCCTACCTTACCTCCATGGTCTTCCCTTCCTTGAAGAACGTTACTGGTACTTTCAGCGTCAACAACATGATCCGTCTTAGCACCTTGTCTGCTCCCGTCTTGACCAAGGTTGCTGGCTTGAACCTTGCTGTTCTCCCCAACTTGCAAGAGCTTCAATTCAACGCTGTCATCAACCAAGCTGACTCCGTTACCATTGATGACACTGACCTCCAAACCATCCAAGGTATCAACTTGGACGAGGTCGACTCCTTCACTGTCACCAACAACCGTTACATCCAGGACATCACCATGGCTGACCTTGTTAAGGCCAACACCATCAAGATTTCTGCCAACGCCAAGGGTGTCAACGTTAACTTTGGCAAGCTTTCCACTGTTGGTACTGCTACCTTCTCTACCGTCGGCTCTGTCTTCGTCGGTAACTTGAAGAACGCTTCTGGTTCTTTGGGTTTCAGTAACACCACCCTTGCCAACGTTTCCCTCCCCTACTTGACTGAGGTTGACCAATCTCTCTACTTCATGTACTCTGAGTCTCTCACCAACCTCTCCTTCCCCAACTTGACCACTGTCGGTGGTTCTTTGGTCATTAACGACACTGGTCTCACCAAGGTCAGCGGCTTCAGCAAGTTGACTGAGATCGGCGGTTCTCTTGACATCTACGGCAACTTCTCTTCTGTTGAGTTCCCTGTCCTTAGCGACATCAAGGGTTCCTTGGATGTCCAAACCAAGGCCACCAACTTCACTTGCCCCTTCTCTGAGTCTGGCAGCGTTGTCAAGGGTAACGGCTTTACCTGCAAGGGTACAGTTTCCTCCATCTCTTACAGCTCCCTCTCTTCTCTTCTCGCTTCTGCTACTAGCGTGAAGTCTTCTGGCTCTGCCACTGCTACTGCCACTGCTACCGCTGAGGCTTCCACCTCTCTCTCCAGCCAAAGCTCTACTTCTGTTGCCTCTGGTGCCGCTAGCACCAAGGCCGTCAGCGTTGGCATCGTCGCTGCCTTCTCTATGGCTGTCTTTGCTCTCTTCTTGTAAGAAGCTGATTGAGTGTGTGGATCTTGGTAGCAGAATTTTTATTACCGACACATGGCTGTGTGTTGGTTTTCCCATCACTTTGTCCGCTGGGAGCCTGGTTGCTCTTTCAGCTTAATTGTTCAACGACGAACACGCATTATTTGCATTCGGGTCCGCTCCCGGGAGCAGTTTCCTCCCAGTGTATAAACTCCTAATGTGTTTTGTGCCAAGAGACACTGCATGAAAAGATTGTTTTAAGAGTTAAAAGGATACTTCCAGGAGCGGCCTTTGTACTCCTGTGTCATTCTCTTGTGGTTATATAAGTTGCCTATCTTTTTGAAACGTTCATCGTTTTTTGCATTCCTTGTTTTTTTATATATATAGTTAATAACATTTGTCCAGGATAATTTAGATTGATTTTTTTGCAAAGCGTTTATGGGAAGGGATTTGAGTTTGCCAGTGGACTGGGAATTGTAAACAATTGCATTTTACTATGCTCTAATGGTATCGTCTATTGAGTGTTCTCTGTCTGTCATTGAATTCTATTCTTGGCGCGGTGCTCGGGTGCATGGGAAATATACAAGCGAAGAAGCGAGCGTGGTGTGTTCCGCCGACGGACCACGGTATTACGAACTTCCGGTTGCTAGGTCGCTAGCCTGTTCGGTAAAACGGCAAAAAGTTGCGAGGCCAGGTTTCGATCCTGGGACCTACGGGTTATGAGCCCGTCGGAGTTCCACTCTCCTACCTCGCACAGACCGTCACCAGCAGGACTTGAACCTGCGCGGGCATAGCCCATTAGATGCCTGAACGAGTTCAAGTCTAACTCCTTAACCGCTCGGACATAGTGACTTTCTTGAAAATTCCTGAAAATGGTACGATATGTAGGGTGAAAACGTTAAGGATGTGCAACGGTTTTGTTCTGTTCATTCCGTCTTAACGGTAAACGCGTACCGTGTTTTCATTTATAAACACCGTGCAATGAAGTCGAAGAAATTGCCCACTCACGCGAGTAGTCATAACACTCCAAAGAATTATACCACTGGTGACTTGGCTCAAGTAACGAGCATATTTTTGAAAGTGGTAACAAACGCGTACCTATATTACTATCGTTTTAATTCACTTTATCCACTGCTACTTGGCCATTTTAGGTTTTCACGCACCTCATCCGCTTTTTAGCTTATCGTTCGCTAAGATAACGTTAATGACATGTGTTTTCGCACGCTCCCCCTGTGTGTCTTGGAATATCGGGATAGCAGGAGTGAACGTGCAGCGGGAAATGAGTAAACTTAAAGACGTTTTCTCGTTGGCAGCTAGATGGATCACACTGTGAACGGATCTTACACACAGTGACTCAGTTCGGCTCAATGACAAAACGCCTCACAAACTGCTTGACGGGTAAGGGTAGCGCAGATAGATACAGCACACAATTGCTAACCACTACGGAGAGTTAACCGGAGCCAAACACTGTCCCTAAAATACAAAATGGCAGGAAGTGTGTTAGACCAGATTCAAAGATCACCAATTCTGCCCGTTCTGGCTTACTGTTCGGCATCCATCCTTATGACGGTGTCGAACAAGTATGTTCTTAACCTCAAGGACTTTAACATGAATTTCCTCCTTCTTGCTATTCAATCTACGGTTTGTACTCTTGCGATTACGGGTTTAAAACGCTTGAATATTATCAAATTCCGCGACTTCAACTTTAAGGAAGCTCGTTTCTGGTTTCCCATTTCCTTCTTGCTTGTTTCCATGATTTACACGGGTTCCAAAGCTCTGCAATATCTCACAGTTCCAGTTTACACTATCTTTAAGAATCTTACTATTATTGTCATCGCATATGGTGAAGTCCTTTGGTTCGGAGGCAGTGTCTCTTCCTTGACACTCTTTTCCTTTGGTCTCATGGTGCTTTCGTCTGTCGTTGCTGCCTGGGCCGATATCAAGAGTCCTGCTTCTGAGGGTGCTTCTTTCAACGCCGGATACTTTTGGATGTTCGCAAACTGCTTGACCAACGCGTCTTTTGTGCTTGCCATGCGCAAACGCATCAAGCTCACCAATTTCCGTGACTTTGACACCATGTTCTACAACAACCTCCTCAGCATCCCCGTCCTGTTGATTCTCACCGTCTTGACTGAGGATTGGAGTGCCGAAAACTTGACTCGTATCTTCCCTCCCGGCTCTGGTCTCTCCGTGATGACTGTCATGGCCATCAGTGGTCTTTCTGCAGTCGGTATCTCGTACACCTCTGCTTGGTGTGTGCGTGTTACTTCGTCGACTACATACAGTATGGTTGGTGCCTTGAACAAGCTCCCCTTAGCTATCTCTGGTATCCTCTTCTTCGGTGCCCCCGTCACCTTTGGATCCGTTACTGCTATTGCCTTGGGTTTTATCGCTGGTATTGTCTACGCTCTTGCTAAGGTCCAGCAACAAAAGAGCAAGGGCACCTTGTTGCCTACCAGCATTCCTCCTGTCAGTGCCAGCTCCCAGAGTATCCGTGACGGCATGAGTAAAGCTTAAAGGTCCGTCTCGCCCTGCCGCATGGAATTTCTTCTCGCCGACTATGACACCCATAAACCCACCCAGTCAACGACACCTCCCCAAACACACAAGCACACTCGATCTCTTCCCTAATTAGCAAACCTGTAATAACGAAAAGTCGCCCTGCTGACTCTAATAGCAGCTAAGGCGGCGCTAAACAAGGATAGTGAACTACCCATCCCTACCTTCCATCAATTGTCTTCTTCACAGGCGCTCCGAGAGACGTGGTGTGGACGAGAAGATTACCCTGACACGGCGAGACGTTCTCAAGTTGTCCAAGCCAGACTAACTCAATGAGTACGGTCTGCTCGTCATTTATGACATTGTGCACTCCATAAAGAGCAAAACTGTTTTGTTTCAGCAAGTTTTGTAAAAGGCATGCTGAGTTCGTATGAGTGCTCTATCTGGAATAGCGTATTCAGCTGCAGTTTTCTTAAATGGTTTAACGAGCTATTCATTCAATTTCTGTACCTCCTAATGAAGCAATAGCGCGTTGTGTAACAGGGTTCGGTATGGAAAATAGAGTTGCCAAACGCGCTGTAGCGCGCCCGACGGTTGCACAGTTATTCGCCTCCTTATAGCACGTTCGTGACCGCGCGTTTCGCACTTGCCCTCTCCCATCACTCTACTCGGGAACCCTTTGTTTTTGAGTATTTGGAGCATTTTTTTCAGGGTAAAACGTCAGTTTTTAGGGTTATACGGTTGTTTAATAACGGGACGTGAAAAAAATGGATCAAAGCAGTGAACAGGCCGAAAAGGCCATCCAAATTTGGAAAATTCGCCGTCTAGTGAAGCAACTTGTCAACTGTCACGGAAACGGAACTTCTATGATTTCTTTGATTATTCCTCCCAGAGATCAGATTTCCAAGGTCAGTAGCATGCTGGCTGAAGAGTACGGTACCGCGTCGAACATCAAGTCGCGTGTGAACCGTCTGTCTGTGTTGTCTGCCATTACTTCTACTCGTGAGCGTCTGAAATTGTACAACAAGGTTCCTCCCAACGGTCTTGTGCTGTACTGTGGTGAAGTGTTGATGGAAGGCAACAAGACTCGTAAGCTTAACATCGATTTCGAACCGTTTAAGCCTATTAACACGTCGCTTTACCTCTGTGACAACAAATTCCACACGGAACCTTTGGCTGAGTTGCTCGAGAGTGACCAGCGCTTCGGTTTCATCGTTATGGATGGTCACCAAACGCTTTATGGTGTTGTGAGCGGTAACACGCGTGAGGTTTTGCAAAAATTCACCGTCGATTTGCCCAAGAAGCACGGTCGAGGTGGTCAATCCGCTCTTCGTTTCGCTCGTCTTCGTGATGAGAAGCGTCACAACTATGTGCGTAAGGTCGCTGAAACAGCCGTCACTCACTTTATTACGGATGACAAGGTTAACGTTGCTGGTATTGTTCTTGCCGGTTCTGCCGACTTCAAGACCGAGTTGGGTCAAAGTGACCTTTTCGACCAGCGTCTCCAGGCTGCCATCGTTCGTACGGTCGATGTTTCCTACGGTGGTGAGGCAGGTTTCAACCAGGCCATCGAGCTTGCTGCCGACACCCTGGCCAACGTCAAGTTCGTTCAAGAGAAGAAGCTCATTCAACGCTTCTTTGACGAAATCAGCATGGACACTGGCAAGTACTGTTTCGGTGCCATTGACACCATGAACGCTCTCCAAGAGGGTGCTGTCGAAACACTCATTTGCTTCGCCGATCTCGACTTGACTCGTTGGGAGTTCAAGAACTCTGAGGGTAGCACTGTTGTGCTCTACCTTACCAAGGAGCAAGAAGAAAATGACAAGACCAACTCGTACTTGCTGGACAAGAACACTGGCCAAGAAATGGAGCTCATTAGTCAGACACCTCTGTTGGAGTGGTTGGCCGAGAACTACAAGAATTTTGGTGCTACCTTGGAGTTCGTTTCCGATAGATCCCAGGAGGGTATGCAATTCGTTAAGGGTTTTGGTGGTATTGGTGCTATCATGCGCTATCAATTGGATCTCTCTTTGCTCGATCCCGAGTCTGATGAGTACTATTCCGACTAATGACCAAAACAACCTGCCGACTTGGTTTTATTAATCCCAAAGCAACGTTCTATATCGGGGGAGCACGATGCGGGGGTTTAGTGGGCGTGAATGGGGGTGTTAAGTGGGGTGCTGTAGCAAGACAGTGTGCTGGTCGGTTATTTTTGGGTGGTTGGGTGTCTCGTTTTGTCGCGCTGCGCCGCCTTAAGTCACACTATTTCAGGTAACGCGCTCCCTTCCGCCACTTTCTATCTCGATAGATCTCCCTATGATGCGTTAAAGGGTCGGGGAAATATGGCGTCTCCATGTAGCAGAAGGTTTTGCTTACTACCACATTCCCTTCAGACATAAACGGAGCTGCTAGACAGGTTCACGGGATAATCTGTGAACAGAATTTCTATATTTATAACTATTCATGAGTCAGGATACGGACGTTGTTTCAGTGCCCATTCTGGGCAAGGAAGCTGTCTTTGTCGGCTTTAACCTGGAGCGACGCGTTTGCGATTTCCTCATTGAGAATGCAAAGTCCTCGGCATACGTGATTGTTACAGACACAAACATTGCTCCTCACTACTTGGAAAAATACACGACAGCTCTTTCAGAAGCTGCCAAGCGTCATGGAGTTGCTCCTCGTATTCTTACTCGGGTAATTCCCCCTGGTGAAACGTCGAAGTGTCGTTCTATGAAGGCCGAGATTGAGGACTGGATGCTGTCTCAGTCCTGTACTCGTGACACTGTCCTTGTCGCCATGGGCGGCGGTGTTATTGGCGATATGGCCGGTTATGTTGCTGCAACCTTTATGCGTGGTATTCGATTCATCCAGCTGCCGACTACTCTTTTGGCTATGGTCGATTCCTCCATTGGTGGAAAGACTGCTATTGACACTCCAAACGGTAAGAACTTGGTTGGTGCTTTCTGGCAGCCTTTGGCTGTTTTCGCCGATCTCAACTTCCTCGAGACGTTGGAGCCCAGACAATTCATTAATGGTATGGGTGAGGTCATTAAGACGGCTGCTATGTGGAACGAAAAGGATTTCTGTCTCCTTGAACAAAACCCCACCGTTATTCTTGAGGCTGTTCACCGTCCTCGCGTCCCTGGACAATTCAAGTTTGAAAACATCCGTAACCTTTTGCAGAAGATTATTCTTGCTTCTGTGCGTACGAAGTGTGAGGTTGTTACTTTGGATGAACGTGAAGGTGGCCTCCGTAACTTGCTCAACTTTGGTCACTCCATCGGTCATGCATACGAGGCCATTCTCTTCCCCCAGATCTTGCACGGAGAGTGTGTGTCCATTGGTATGGTGAAGGAATTGGAGCTTTCCCGTTACCTTGGCATTTTGAAGCCTAACGCTGTTGGCCGTGTCACGAAGTGTCTTATGTCTTACACCCTTCCCGTTAGTGTTCATGATGCTCATATTAAAAAGTACGCTGGTTACAAAAAATGTCCCGTCGATAAGCTTATTCGCATCATGGCTGTCGACAAGAAAAACCAAGGTTTACAGAAGCGTGTTGTCATCTTGAAGGCCGTTGGTGAAACTTATGAGAAACACGCTACCGTCGTCTCTGATGAGGATATTCGCGTTGTTCTGTCTCACGATATCCAGGTCAGTCCCTTTGACAACAGTGTTTCGGATGTTGTTGTCACTCCTCCTGGCTCCAAGTCCATTTCTAACCGTGCTCTCATTCTTGCTGCCATGGCTAAGGGCACTACAAAGCTTACGAACATGTTGCATTCGGACGACACTCAGGTCATGATGGCTGCCTTGGAAGAACTCGGTGCAGCTACTTTTTCGTGGGAAGACAATGGAGAAACGCTGGTTGTTAACGGAGGCGGAAAATTCAAAACCCCTTCGAAGGAGCTTTACCTCAGTAACGCCGGTACCGCTGCTCGTTTCTTGACTACTGTTGCTGCTTTAGTTGGCGAGAATGAACAAGGCGGCGAGGTTGTTTTGACCGGTAACCACCGGATGAAGGTTCGTCCTATTGGCCCATTGGTTGACGCTTTGCGTGCCAATGGATGTTCCATTAGCTACTTGGAACGCGAGGGTAGTCTTCCTTTGAAGATGATTCCCCAAAACGGTCTGCGCGGTGGTGTCATTGAGCTTGCTGCCACTGTTTCCTCGCAATATGTCTCATCGATTCTCATGTGTGCTCCTTACGCCCAAGAGCCCGTTACTCTTAAGCTTGTCGGCGGAAAGCCCATCTCTCAACTCTACGTTGACATGACTATCGCTATGATGAAGGGCTTCGGCGTCAATGTCGTCAAGTCTGAGACGGAGGCCTACACCTATCACATTCCCAAGGCCAACTACACGAGCCCTGGCGATTATGAAATTGAGAGTGATGCTAGCTCTGCAACTTACCCACTTGCCTTTGCTGCCATTACCGGTACAAAATGCACCGTTCCCAATATTGGTAGCGCATCTCTTCAAGGTGATGCTCGTTTTGCCCGTGACGTTTTGGCTCCTATGGGCTGTACCGTCGAACAAACTCCTACGAGTACAACCGTTCAAGGTCCCCCCATGGGTCAATTAAAGCCATTGGAAAGCGTCGACATGGAAACTATGACTGATGCCTTCCTGACCGCTACTGCTTTGGCTGCTGTTGCTTGCAACTCCTCTGGTAACGAGCACATCACCCGTATTACTGGTATCGCCAACCAAAGAGTCAAGGAATGCAACCGTATCGCTGCTATGGTTCACGAACTCGCAAAGTTCGGAGTGAAGGCCGGTGAACTGGAGGATGGTATTTTCATTCACGGTCAGTCTTACAAGGATTTGAAGACCCCCGAAGAAGGTATTTATACTTATGATGACCATCGGGTTGCTATGGCTTTCAGTATTCTTACTCTTGTCACTCCCAAGCCGACAGTCATTCTCGACAAGGCTTGTGTGGTTAAGACCTGGCCTTACTGGTGGGATGTTTTGCGCAACTCCTTCAAGATTAAACTGGCTGGCGTTGAATCCAAGGAGACGGTCAAGTCTGTTAAGCTCACCAGATCCCGCGCTTCCGTCATCCTTATTGGTATGCGTGGTGCTGGAAAAACTACTATTGGTAGCATTATTGCCGGCCAGTTGAACATGAAGTTCTTGGATTTGGATCAAGAGCTTGAAAAGAAGCTGAACACAACCATCCCCGATCTTGTTAACACTCGTGGTTGGGATGACTTCCGTCAAGAGGAATTACAAGTTTTGCAAGAATTCATTGACACCAAGTCTTCTGACTTTGTTGCTGCATGCGGCGGGGGAATTGTCGAGACTCCTGCTGCCCGTGAATTGCTTTGCAAGTATGTCAAGGAAGGCGGCATCGTGCTCCATATCCATCGTAACCTTGATCAAGTTTTGTCTTACCTTTCCATTGACAAGTCTCGTCCTGCTTATGCTGATCGTGAAAGCACCAAGAATGTTTACCTTCGTCGTCATCAATGGTACCTTGACTGTAGATCCCATGACTTCGTCAGCCCCACCATTGAGTCAGGAAATGTTCAAAGCAAGCTTGAGACTAGTATGTCTCGCTTCTTGCGCGTGGTTACGGGCAAGAGCACCTGGTTCGAAAAGGCCATTCAAAAACCTCACTCTTTCTTCCTTTCTCTCACTTTCCCTAACATTAATGATGCCATTTCCTTCTTGCCTGAGGCCATCATTGGCTGTGATGCCGTAGAATTGCGCGCTGATCTCTTGGAAGACCCTAACTCTACTACTGGTTATCCTTCCGTTGAATTCGTTGCCGAGCAATTCGCTACCCTTCGTGCCGCTATCGACTTGCCCATTATTTTCACTGTGAGATCCAAGGATCAGGGTGGACGCTTCCCCAATGCTAATGAGAGCGAAGCTGTCGAGCTGATGTTGGCTGCACTTCGCTGGGGCGTTGATGTTCTTGATCTTGAGCTTGGATGGTCTACTGAGTCGTTGCAAGCTATTTACGCTCGCAAGGAAAACACAAAAATTATCACTTCGTGGCATGACACTGCTCAACGTTGCTCTTGGGCACAACCCGATGAATGGTTGCAAAAGCTTGATATGGCTACTGCCTTTGGCGATGTTGTGAAGTTTGTTGGTATTGCTAAGTCTATGCAAGATAACTTCGATCTTGAAAAGTTCCGCAAATCCTTCAAGGGATATACGAACAAGCCTTTGATTGCCATCAACATGGGCACTGTTGGTCAACTTTCTCGCGTCTTCAACAACGTTCTCACCCCTGTAACTAGCCCTGCTCTTCCTTATAAGGCTGCCCCCGGACAACTGAGTGTCAGACAAATCATTACGGCTTTGAGTTTGATGGGCTCAATTTCTCCAAAAAAGTTCTATCTTTTCGGTACCCCAATTCAACACTCTAAATCGCCTATTTTGCACAAAACTTGCTATGACTTGACTGGCCTGCCCTATACTTACGATCTTTTTGAGACTGAAAGTGTCGAGGGTGTGAAGGATGTTCTTTCTCAACCAGACTTCGGCGGTGCTAACGTTACAATCCCATACAAGTTGGACATTTTGCAATACTTGGATGAGTTGAGTGATGAGGCCAGATTCTTGGGTGCTGTCAACACTGTCGTTCCCATCAGTGAGAATGGCAAGAGAAAGCTCCGTGGTGACAACACCGATTGGCGCGGTATTGTTCGCACCTTTGTCCGTGCTGGTGCTAATAACCTGAATGGTAAGAATGCATTGGTCATCGGTGCCGGTGGTACTAGCCGGGCTGCTATTTTCGCGATGCACAAGCTTGGAGCTAAAAACATTTACCTCTTGAACCGTACTTTGGTGAATGCGGAAAAGGTTAAGGCTGTTTTCCCCGAAGAGTATAACGTGAAGGTGATCGACCACACGAAACAATCCGAGATTTCCGAGTGGACCAAGTTGCAAGTTGCAGCTGTCGTGTCCACTGTACCTGCCGACCGCCCCCTTCCCGAGTCTGTCAGCAAAGTTATTGACGCATTACTGAGCGAAATTCCAGCTCAGAAGAAAGAACAATATGTATTTTTGGATATGGCTTACAAGCCATTGAATACTCCCTTGATGAGTGTTGCTTCTAAACACGGCTATACATGCATCAATGGTCTTGAAGTTTTGCTTCAACAGGGACTCGCGTCCTTTGAGATTTGGACTGGTCTTGCCGTCCCATTCGAACACGTTTTTGGACTTTACATGGTGCTTTGTGCCAAGGAACACAACTAGATTTTAAAAAAAATAGCGATTTAAGTGAGTTTCCTCTAACGATAATCTCCTTCGATTTTACTCAACTACATACTTGCTAATTTGCTGCAAAGTGCATCCGTACTGATATAACATTTGATCCACTGAGGGTGAGGAAAATGGACGCACTTCTGTGACAAATCTACCAATACCACGCAAATCCACCAAATATAGTCTAGCAAAATGAATACCATTGAAACTAAGGAAAAAGACGGGTCATATGTTAAAGCTCTTCTCCATTAAGCGAGTGGCGGAAAGGCAAGATAACAATTATGCAAAAAGAAAACAGAAGAACAAACATTAGACAAGGAAGGAGAAAATGCTGTAGCTTTTGCAAGCAAAATAGGTATACAGCTTATCCACCGAAACCATAGATGGTACGGCCTTGGCGCTTGAGAGCATAAACGACATCAAGAGAGGTAACGGTTTTTCTCTTGGCATGCTCTGTGTATGTGACAGCGTCCCGAATAACGTTCTCGAGGAAAAGCTTCAACACAGCACGCGTCTCGTCGTACACAAGGGCAGAAATACGCTTGACACCACCACGACGGGCAAGACGACGAATGGCGGGCTTGGTAATACCTTGGATGTTGTCACGGAGGATTTTACGATGACGCTTGGCGCCACCTTTTCCCAATCCTTTTCCACCTTTACCACGTCCAGACATGTTGACAGTTCAGGTGTTTTTGAAGAAGAAAAACTTTGTGTTGTGAAGATTTGAGTGTGAATGTGGAAACAAAACAAACGCAGCAAACTGAAATAAAGTTCTACGACGCCTGCAATTAAAGTCAAGCACGTGAACCGAGATTAGTTGGCGATGTTGCGTCTGCGGATGGTTTTTCGGGGAGCGACGGTCGCCTTTTTGTTTCTTTTCGCCATCACAACCCTAACCCTGGGATTTGATGAACGCGTGACGCGTTCAGACGCGTCGCTGTAATTTGGGTATATAATAGATTAGGTGCCCGCACTTTTCATCAGAACCCATCAATTGACGCAAGCAATCTACAGCTCGTGGCAAATTAAAAGTTGGTTATATCTTCTCGTTATTTCACCCCAACCCTTCACAACAAGAAAACATGGCACGTACCAAGCAAACAGCTCGTAAATCCACTGGTGGCAAGGCCCCTCGTAAGCAACTTGCATCCAAGGCTGCCCGTAAATCTGCCCCTCCCACTACTGGTGGTGTCAAGAAGCCCCATCGTTACCGTCCCGGTACCGTTGCTCTCCGTGAAATTCGTCGTTACCAAAAGAGTACTGAGCTTTTGATCCGGAAGCTCCCCTTCCAACGTCTTGTCCGTGAGATTGCCCAAGACTTCAAGACTGATCTCCGTTTCCAATCCTCAGCCATTGGTGCCCTTCAAGAGGCTGTTGAGGCTTACTTGGTCTCCCTGTTCGAAGACACCAATTTGTGTGCTATCCACGGTAAGCGTGTCACCATTCAACCCAAGGACATGCAACTCGCTCGTCGTCTCCGTGGTGAGCGTTCTTAGGTTCGTGAACTTGTTTGTTTTAAATTTTCGTTCGTTCACTTAAGCTTTTTTTAAGTTGCGCGTAACGCTGAGCGCTGGTCGCCTGAGTACGCGAACAATGTCTCGCCTAATAGTCATCCATATAGTTGCAGGAGTGGAAAACGTTAATCTCACCTCACAAACTCTTACACTTTGGAAGTTTATGTATTATGTAAAAAATAAAGAAAAGAGATGTGGCTTTATAAATGTTAGCTGGATTGTCGGGTTTAGCGCCTCGAGCTTATCTTATAACCTTAATTACTATTTTACTAGAGCGTTTATTGGTCATTGTTGAGAAATGAGGGGTTAGGCGCAGAAGTTGACAAAATTAAGGTTATGCATCTGTTTCAAATAAGCTTTTACACTGGTCTCGAATGCCAATGTCATGCTTGCGTCATGGCTTGATGCAAATTATAAATGAGCGCGGGAAGCTCTTTTCCTTGGTGACGGCATTGCCGTCACAGACTCTTTGTACAAAATATTGTAAAGCTGATGGCTTACTCTGATTAGTAAGCCGAATCTAAATGTAAACTTAGCAGTAACCCTTTTTTTGATTCTCTTTGTTTCTGATTCTTGTTTGAATTCTTTGTCGTTTTTGTCATTTGTTATTCCATTTTTTGTAAAGGTCCTTCTATTTTCGTGTTAATGGTTCCGTTATTCTCCGCTAGTCAAGCGGCATGGCAGTTCTATAGCGGAACTTCGCGCATTTTGTCGCGGTATTCATTCATTTGTGTAGCGCGTTTTTCGCCTCGGCTTTCTTTGTCACGTGGAATTTAAACATGTTCGGTGTTAACGGTTATGCGGGGTAATTTGAAGCCGACGTGGGATCATTGTTATGGGATAAACGTGAATGCTAACCGTCCCAACTGCGCTACACACCTAATTTTCGTCAAAAACGGGCCCACGTTGATTGCCCTCTTTCCTGTTTCTTAAGTTAAGACGAGCACTAGTTGTGCTCTTTGTTGTTACTTAAGGAGACCCCTAACCATTTGATACTGGCTTGTCCCTCTTTTCATTTCCAAACGCTCTTTTCCTGGAATTAGAAATATGGTGAAAACAAGGGGAAAGAAGCTTCCGATCTCGTTTCTCTACACCTTCTTCGTTCTTCTCATTCCCCGTCTCATTTCTGCATCCTACAGCATTGTTGACGATTGTGATGAAATTTATAATTACTGGGAACCTCTACATTACCTTGTGTTCGGACAGGGAATGCAGACATGGGAGTATTCTCCTGAGCATGCTATTCGTAGTTGGTTCTATGTCACATTGCATGCCATTCCAGTGAAAATTGGAAGTCTGTTAGGCTTAAATCGTGTGCACTTGTTCTATCTCCTGCGCATGGTGCTTGCTGCTGTTTCTGCCTTCTGTGAGTCGCGTCTTGTCGTTGCCGTAGCTCGTAACTTCAACCGTGCCGTTGCGTTGCACATGGTAGCAATTCTGCTGCCCAATGCTGGAATGTGGGCGGCAAGCACAAGCTTTTTGCCGTCGTCCTTCGCGATGTACGCTGTGATGTTGGCTCTTTCGTATCAGTTGAGTCCTCCTTCGACTTCTCGTACGGTTAAGGTCGTTGCCTGTATCGTTGTTGGCGCTGTCGTCGGTTGGCCTTTCTGTGCTGCTCTTATCGCACCGTTTATGCTTTTGGAGTTGTATGATGCTACACGTTATTTCCCAGTCTTGATGGCCCGCTGGGTTAAGGCTGGCTTGATTACTTTAGCTATCTGTGCTGTTTGCATTGTGATCGACTCGCTCTTTTATGGCCGTCTTCAGTTTGTTGCTTGGAACATTGTGAGATACAACGTATTTTCGTCCAATAGTGGTCCTGATCTCTATGGAACAGAACCCTGGTACTATTATTTGGCTAATTTGGTTTTGCAACACAACTTCATTATTCTGTTCGCTCTTGTTTGTGCTCCCCTTGTCTTGCTTGCTTCTTTGACAGGCTGGATGAACTTCGACTCGCTTGTCGATTTAACTGCTGTTACTGCACCCTTTTACTTATGGTTGGGTATCTTTACACTCCAACCTCACAAGGAGGAGCGTTTTATGTACCCTGCATATCCGGTTTTGTGTTTAACGGCTGCCATTGGTCTTGATCTTTCTCTGAAGCTTTCAATGCAATGCGTCTGTTACATTGCACGTATCAACAGAGCACGATTCCCTACTAAAACACTCGTCTTTTTAGTTTATCTTGTTACTGGGTTGCTCGGTGTTTCTAGAATTGTTGCTACGATGAACTACGCTTCTCCGATGGACCTTTATGCTTCTATCCCTACTCCTGAAGAAGGAAAAGCCCGTGTTTGTGTTGGAAAGGAATGGTACCGTTATCCTTCTTCCTTTTTCTTGCCCGACCATACCGAGCTTCGTTTCCTCAAATCCGAGTTTGACGGAATTTTGCCTGGTGAATTTAAGGAGCCTACGAGTAGCAGATTTTGGGACCGTCCCGGAATCCGGGACATTCCTGAACACATGAATGATTTGAATTTGGAAGAGCCTTCTAGATATGTGCCGATCGACACTTGTGACTACATTGTTGATTCTTTATTCTCTTACACAAAGGCTACGGAGCGTGAACCTATTTACGCGCAACAACCAGGCTGGCGTGTTAAGGAGGTACGCCCGTTTATTGACACTCAGAATTCGAAATTTATTGGCCGTGCATATGCTTTCCCCCTTATGGAGCCGAAATACGGGCTTTACCAATTACTCGTAAAGGACTCTAATGCTACTAAGCGGATTCATGAAGAAGCGAAGTCTACCTTTTAGGAAGCACCAGAGAATGTTGAAATAAAAAAGGAAGAGGGAGAATATGGATAGTAATGGAAAACATGGGCAGCAATGAAAATGCCTATATACAAGGTTCATTTGCATTTACGACCGTAGCATTTGACTTAGCAATTTCATTTTATTGAATGGGCGTACTTGTAGTTGTTCATAAATTTGTTATTCCCTAGTCTTTACAACAGGCGGCTGAGGACCACAAGGGGAGTTACGGGAAAAGAAAATAGTGGTTAGCAACTGCGTTGTTCTGATTAATGACTATGGTGTTCGTGAATCAATGTGACCAAAGGAATGGTGATCAGAAAGAGGTATATGGTGAATTCAGTTCATGTGAGGAAGAGGTGTTGTATCCATGGGTTGTTGGGATGAAAGTGTCGTTCATTGAAACCGTAAGATAGTGCGGCAAAAGCAGAGAGAAGTGTAAAAAGAGGTTTGTTGCGGAAGCCCAAATCTAAGGGTTCAAAAAGTGTTTAAAACAAAACAGAAAGAGGAAGAAAAGGTGTAAGAGAATAAGAGAGGAAGGGGAAATGTAGACACTTGTTTGTCGTTGGAGTGAGTTGAAATGTAAAGAGGATCGAAGAAGAGTACGTGTATGTTTGAAAGTGCGTATGTGTGTGTGTGTATATGTCAGTGCTTCAACAAAAAAAGAATTAAAAGGGGAGCATTCGTAGCAAGTGATAAATTTCGTGAGGAAGGAGTTGAAATAAAACAGTTAGTGGAGCTTCTCAACTTGCTTAATTACAAAAGCACGTTCATCATTGAATTGTTCGTCGTTTTTGCGATCCAAATGAAAAGAGGAAAGATAAGTGAGGAGCTTAGACTTATTTTTTCGTAAAATGTCTAAAACCTCTACCGATTTCTCCGGGTTTGCAACGAAAAGCTTAAAAACATGAAACGCTTCAAACTGGATGTTCTTACTCTTGTCGCGCAATAAAATCATCATTAACTTTAGATTCTCCGCAGACGCGATGTAACGGGTCATAACCGGATAATTCGTACGATTAAGCAAGAGTTCACCCAAGAGCTTCAATGATTGCCGTTTCGTAACATAATTGTCCGAAGTAAGTAAAAGGGTGTATTGAATAAAAAAATCGTTGTAATGCTGAACAATAAACCCAGCAACCAACGGTTTGTGTTGAATGAGAAGGGCCTGTACTGTTAGTTTTCAAATTACGAAAAGAGCAAAGCCAACTTTTGGAGGGTGTGGGGGGTACAAAACAAGCAACCAGTGCTTTTACTCAACAGTTGCTCGTATTTGAAGCCTCCCTAACAAAGCAAACCTACCTTGAACGTCGAGAATGCATCGCTTGCCAAATCGAAGCTGGGTGACTTAACAAACTTAAAAAGCAACCAAAACTCTGGCAATTCGAGAATTACACTGCACAGAGCTTTATGAAAAGCACATTCACGCAGTATGTTACCTGCAGTGAAGGCTACATCGGGAGAATTGTAATAGCGAAGTAGAATGGGAAATATGTCCTGATTAGCCAGTAAATAGTCTACTGAAGGATATCGAGAACTGATTTGATTATGTAGTAAGGCACTGAAAATTACAGCCGTGTCCTTTCGAGCTTCAAACCCAAGTACTGGCAAGTAACGAACAAGAACATTGAGCAAGTTTGATTGGTAAATTTCCAATCGTAGATTTGACACCTGGTCCGGTCGCGGCGGCACGTCTGTCGTTCCACACAACGTCGACTTTATTGATTGAAGTGCACGACAAACCTCATCAAAAGGCTAAACAAGTGATGCGTTAGCGAGAGCAAGGAATGGACATCGTGAGAGATGTCAACAAGTAAACTCACCTTCTTATGCTCAGAAGACGCACTCAACCGCGGAAGCTGTTCACACACAAAACGAACATGGTCATGAGACGGCTTCGACTTTTGTTTGAAGAAGAACGACATTGGGTGGGCGCGAAGAGCGAGAGGGGGAGCATGTACTCTCTCGTTGCTGACACGAAGCGGCACCCAGGGATGCGTTATTTAGAATAGGGGCTAGCTAAGAATACGCTATGTAGTGCATAGTGCGGGTCGGACGCGATGAATAGTGTAGAGATAAATGCTACGGTTGACTTTGGTAGAGTGTACGGGTCGGACACGTCTGCGAATGAAACTGAAAAAGATTCAAATTAGAATGCAGTTGTAATTGTAGTTAAGGTGCATGAAGCTAGTGTATCCTTGTCTGTACTTATACATTCAACTCTAACGCATTCGTTTACCACCGTCCCACATCTCTCCTTTGCTGCTAGCCTCGTCTATCTCCGTCCACCGCGCTACCGCTCGTTATCTGCTTTAACGCATTTTCCATACAACACCCTATTCTCGCCTTTGATTGTCATGTTAGAGGATCTCCGCTTCTCCCTGCTTGTATGACCTCTATTAAAGTAGTCTGCCGTATTCGCCCTCCTAATGCGCTTGAGCTGCAAAATGATCAGCACACTGTACTGACATGCAAGGACGAATGTTCTGTACAGTTGCAGGTGAGTGGACGCGACGCGACGAATGCGACTGACGCGACAGAACGATGATTTCTGTGGAAGCTTTTCGTTTGACCGTGTCTTCGACACGGACAGCACACAAGAGGCCATATTTGCCTACTCTATTCAGTCAATCGTAGACGGTAAGCATATCAGCTATCAACAAGCAAACATGCCTGAGCAGTGCTTCAGTACTCTCCCCCACTTGCCCCACTTGCCCCACTCAACTCGTTCTATCTGCTGACACATACAGACCTGTTTCTCGGCTATAACGGAACCATCCTAGCCTATGGGCAGACGGGCTCGGGAAAAACATACACCATGATGGTACGCCCCCACTCCTCCACGCATGCCCCACATGGACCCCACTAACGAGACAGGGAAACCCTGCAGACGCGAAAGAGAGGGGAGTGACTCCTCGTATTGTTGAACGGATTTTCGCTGCCATACAGGAGTCTCCGTCGTCCATCGAGTACACCGTCAAGGTGTCGTTCCTGGACATTTATATGGAGCGGGTGCGAGATCTCCTAGAACGTAAGTGAAAAGTGGGGGTCATCTCGATGTTACGATGAAGGCATGTAGCATATACTGCGATGCTGAGTGAATGGAATGAGGTGCACGCGTTGTTCTCCGCCGCGTGTTATCTTCGTGATTCTTGGATTTGTCTTCTCTGTTACTCTCTTGCCGTATCTTGTGCTTGACCATCTCCATTCCTTTTTTCCTATGCTAACCAACAGCTGAGCATGACAATCTTTCAGTGCATGAAGATCCTCTTCGAGGAGTGTATGTGAAAAATCTGCGCACATTCTACGTTACTAGTGCTGAAGAGGTCCTTGACACGTTAGAAGAAGGCAATCACGCTCGTGCCGTAGCGGCTACAAACATGAATGCTCAAAGTTCACGGTCACATGCCATTTTTATTATCGAAATCGGACAAACAAATGTGGAGACAGGTGAAATGCGACACAGTCGTCTGCTACTTGTTGATCTTGCTGGATCGGAGAGTGTTGGCAAGACGGGTGCTGTGGGACAAACACTTGAAGAAGCTAAAAAGATTAATCGTTCTCTGTCCACTCTCGGAATGGTTATTCACGCACTTTCAGAGGGCAAATCGCACGTCCCATATCGCGACTCCAAACTTACTCGCATACTAAAAGAGTCTATGGGTGGAAACTCGCGCACGACCCTCGTAATCAACTGCTCTCCCAGCAGTTGGAATGCAGCTGAGACGTTATCTACGTTGCGGTTTGGTACACGTACAAAGCAAGTGAAAAACAAGGCCATTGTCAATACAGAACTTTCCGTTGATGAGTTAAAGCGGAGGCTTTATTTGGCGGAAGAGGCTCTCGCTAGGTGCAGGTGTGGAGCTACGCAGACACCTATAAAGTCAGTTGCAGAATCAACCATTCTACCCTTAGTTCCCCCTCCGATTCCGGCTCCGACAGAAGTAGTGGCAGCAGAAACACCCACTACTGCTGTTCCTGAAGTTCCAGCGAAACAGTATTCCCCGTCAGACACTTCTCAGTCTCGTGCATCAACTCCAACGAGCTTTGTTGAAAAACCTCCGATCGTTCTTCCTACAACTACAACGCCAGAACCCATTGAACAAGAAAATGTGCCTTCTTTTCAATCGCTTTACGAGGATGCACAAACTCAACTACGCCGACGAGATGGCTTATTGAAATCCACGCAGCGACGGCTGTGTGGGCTGATGACATCTCTCAGTGCTGCTCATCAACGCTACGCTTCACTTGTTCGGCCGCCTTCCGAAATGTCTGTGGATGCGGAAACGTCTCGGGCGGCGTTCCTTGAGAAATTAGGAGTTTTGCAAGACTCACTGGCGGCCCTGGTGGATGTCAATGTTCGTATGGTGAATTGTCTGAAGCGGAAAAAGCCCGTAATTGTCAAGAGAATTCAGGGAGGAACTACGGATGCCTAAGATATATGAGTGCGATCAAGATCCTTGCAGGCATTTACCCCAAATCGTATTTGCATTTGGGTGGGACCCCTTACTAAACTAATTATAAGAGACAAACCTCCGCAGACGAAGTTTGACAAACGAACAACTACAATTGACCTGCTCATTCGTGCACGTCCTTGACCGCATCCTTCCTACTTTGTCTTCCTGTTCCAACTTCAACTCCTCTTACTTCTCTTACATGTTTTGCTGATACGCCGGCCCCCGCTTTATCCCGCTTTCCCACATACCCCCATATTCTGCCCACATGTTACGACTCCCACCATAAAAGATCCCCATAACCCGCGGACTTCCCCCACAAACGCCCACTTATCCCACTGGTTTGACGTCTCTGCGACCTTTCCCGTCTCCACTTCTCTGCGTTTTCTCTTTCGGTTTTTTAAAGTGCCGCTTCATTAGACCTGTTTCCTTTCACATCTCCTGTTGTGCTAGCTTTGCTTGCATCTTTTTGCGCTTGCTTTGTTGGTATGGTACAAACATGGCCTCCTCCAACCATAGTCTGTCTTTTCCGCCTGCTGAACACTTGGAAAGGCTGAAGGAAGCTATGGACGACCAGTTTTTCAAGAGCCAGCGCATCGTCCAGTCGCAGTGTAATGTCAGCGGTGTTCGTCGGTCGTCTGTCGAGTATAACATTGACAAGCCTGTGAGTCATGACGTTCTCCTCGCAACCCGCTCCCGGCGTTCCATATCGTCATTTCCTTACTCTTCTTCCGGTTGCAGCGATTTTTCTTCGAAATGGGAAGGTTCCGCTTGCACTTCGCCTAAGGCTCCCGGCAATAACGGCGTTTTCCGTGCGAATTCATCATCTACCAATTCCAATTCTGGTCTAACGGTTTCCGGATCTCGTAATGCGTGTTTTGAACGCAAAACGTCAGACCTGGACGCACCTACTGTTTCACTTGATCCTAGCTGGGAATCGTTTGTATTGAAAAGTCTTTCTGCTAACACAGTATTATCGTCCAATCCATCCAATTTGTCTCCTACCGAGAAAACAAAAAAAAATACAAGGACGGGATTAACGCTGGAAGTAGAGGCTGAAACAGGTGTTCGGACGGAAAGTAGTAGGGAGTCAAAATTTGCAGAGTTGAAGGCACTGAGTCCTACTGTCGCAGCGAATGCTACAGCAACGTCAGCGATTTCACCGCGGAGTTCTTCTCATCGGCCGAGCATTTTCTCAATACAGCGAGACGAGCTAGCCAACAGCAGTGTTGGTGATTCACATCTCTCTTCGAGTAGGAGTGCTCGCTCAAACACGTCTCCTCGACCTGCTTCCGCGACTTCAAAGAAATTTAATCTCTCCTTCTCCTCTTCGTCTGAGGATGGAGGTTCTGCCGCTCAACGCACGGGAATGTATTATCAACCTGATCCTCAATTCTCACCTCGTGAGCCAAACGTTCGCTCTCATCGTCATCGTTGCTGTAACAGTTCTTGTGGTCATGTATGCGAACCCAATGTATACGAGCATGCACTGACCGTAGTCTCGGACTTGGGAATGGATCGTTTCTGGGCTAATATCATTGATATTTTTACGCAGGATTTCTATGCCTTGCGTCTTGGACTTACAATTCCACACGATACTACCGATATATACAATACTCCTTGGCGCTTAAAAGCTGCATACGATGGTATTTACCGTCATCACGAAACTGCTTGTGCGGACACGACCGCTATACCCTGTTCTCAGCAAAACGTGTCGAATATGACGGTACACGCGCAGAATGGGAATTACGGTACCATTTTTAATTCAAACTATGCAAATGTACCCACTGGTGAGGATCTTGAGCTGATTGACATCCAGACTATCCATCATATATTGAATGAGGGAAGGGTGATTGTGTATACCCGACAACAACATCGTTGTCCAGAGTCCCATCAACAAACTACCAATGCCACTGAATCTTCGTCATCAAAGGAAAATTCTACCAAAGCTGCGCCAAAAATGCCTATGTCTTCTCGTCGACCTGCAGCTGCTTCGGAAGCCGACCCAGATATGCTTGGTCCACAGACTTCTGCTGGCAGAAACGGACGCAAAAAGTCGGCTGGTGACCCGTCTCATTCATATTTCGCAGAATATGAACAGGTGTCAATGACACCATTTTTCATATCACCCTCTGTCAGTCCGGCAGTTATTAAAGAATCATCAAACAACCCCTTTTTCCCTTCCAGTTCTTCCCGACTAGATCAATCAGCATTTATTAAGGACTGCGGACACGTTTGCAAACTTGCTGGACATGCTTGCAATTGTTGTGAGTCCTCGAAGATTCCCAATCCAGTTGCTGAAACGGCAGAAGAAAATTCTGCTGAGCGCTTTCATTCACAGGGCGATGCTGCGAGTACGGACGAGGCTTCACCCTCCACTGATAACAACGACTCAGTGCACGTGTGTAATGTGGGTGAGGCAGGCTTTGAATCTGCATTTAGCATTATTCACGTACCTTTCATACATCCTTCTGTGTATTTAAAGGGCTCAGGAAAGTCATCACATGTCCCCCTTGCTATCCTGTCGATTCAATCAAAGCTGGTGCCGTATCCTTCATCTTTGCTTTCCAGCATTCGGCGGTTGGCTCCTTTTTTAGCTGCATCCTTGTTTCATGCTCTCAATCTGTCTGCGCCTTTACCGCTTTGTACTACGCATGAGCGGACCGGTGATTGTGGTTGTGTATTCAACGATCTTTCAGATGCAAGTGAGCATGCAGAGCATGCAAGTGAAACCGAGTCTCCAGACCCACCTCGTACGCGGTTTGTTTCTCATGAGAAGCATTCCGATACCACACCGAATGCTAGTAACGGAAAGCATATATTTTCACCATACGGGGCTCGTATTTTGAGCCATACTCATAATAAGTCTCATCCATATGCAAACGGTAGCATTGGTTTAAGGTCATCTCAGTTGCGTTCTCGGGCTAGGGCGTTTTTTTCGGTGCCGAAGCAGACTGGTTTCAGTTTGCGTTTTGGAAGAAGGTTACCAGTGTTTGCTAATCAATTCGGTAACTTGCTTGGGTCCACAGGTTCAACTGATAGAGGTGAGACTAATTCTAAAAAAGCGAAACGAAAACGTGTTAATGATTCGGCAACTGTTCCTGACTCTTTTGTTCCGCCATCTAAACTGCTTAGAGTGATTATTGATTCTATTCCTGTTCATGTTTTTACCGCGTGTGCCACGACGGGCCGGATTACCTGGGTCAATGAGAGAGCAGCTTTGTATTGTGGAGTAAGCGCGGCAGCTCTCGTAGAGAAACAGTTTGCGCATATTCATCCGGATGATATAAATCTGTTCTTGGGAAAGTGGAAATCAGTAATCTCGGATGGTGATGTATTCTATAAGGAATTACGTTTACGTCGTTTTGACTCTCAGTATCGTTACTTTATTTGCCGTGCTATTCCTTTGCGAAACTCTAAGGGTGTGGTAATACAGTACTTTGGGACTATGATGGATGTTCACGAACAGAAAATGGCCGAGCAAGAAGCAAGGAAACAATCTGAAGCTGCTGCAAATATTAATGACTATCGGTCTTTGGCTGAGGCTTCTCCTCAGATCGTCTTTGCGGTGAATCCCATTGATGGTATTGTCTATGCCAATGCTCAATGGCTTAGTTTTTCTGGACTTTCGTTTGAGGAAAGCATGGGTTTGGGTTTCTTATCGGTAGTACATCCCGAGGACAGGATGAAATGCCTGCTTCCTGGAACCTCATCAAAATTTCCTAATTCGGATAAGACATATGCCATTGAGGTTCGTTTTCGATCAACTGTTGGTCAGTATCGCTGGCATTTAGTGAAATGTGTCTGCGTGAATCAGTTTGCCGACACTTCCAACGTCTTATGGTTGGGTACTTGCACGGATATTCATGATCATAAGTTGCTTGAAGAAAAGCTTCAAGAAGCAAACCGAGAGGCGCAACGAATGATGAATAGCAAAACACGTTTTCTGTCAAACATGTCTCATGAAATTCGGACACCACTTGTTGGCATCACTGGCATGGTGAACTTCTTGCTGGACACCAACTTAACTTCCGAACAGCTGGACTATGCCCATACTATTCAGCAGTCTTCTGAAGCTTTGTTGTCCGTCATCAATGACATACTCGATTTGAGTAAAGTCGAGGCGGGAATGATGAAATTGACACATGAGGCATTCTCTGTTCGTTCTATGATGGAAGACACAAATGAAACCCTTAGTACATTGGCGTTCTCAAAAAACTTGGAATTGAATTATGTTGTAGACCATGATGTACCTGATATGGTAATCGGTGACCAGGCTCGTTTGCGACAAGTTGCACTCAATGTTATTGGGAATGCCCTAAAGTTTTCTCATGAAGGTGAAGTGTTTTGCCAGTGCTCAGTAAAACCAACTCAGGGACTTGCACCAAATGAGATTATGCTTCAATGGGAGTGTTATGACACTGGCCCTGGCTTCAGCAAAGAAGATGAAGAGAAAATTTTCAAGCCGTTTTCACAAATTGATGATTCGCTTACTCGCAAACATGGCGGTTCCGGTTTGGGTCTTGTAATATCACGCGAACTTATTGAATTGCATGAAGGAACAATGTCCTGCACTAGTGTCAAAGACCGGGGCAGTGCCTTTTATTGGTCCGCGAAGTTCAAACTCAACGCAAAGCCTGTCAGTATTGAACCTCCTGTTGAGTTCGTACAACCGGAAATCGGCAAGCCAGCTCTCGACTGCACAAAAGCTCTTCGTCGTAACAAGTCACTTGCTCCAGATGCTTTTGCCATCGAAGTAACTCAGGATGAGGCGAGTCCGGAACCTCTAGAGCGTGCTTCAAATACTTCAAACAATGTCAGTACTTCGGGAGCATTAAAGAAGCCTACTGCATCTTCGTTGCCGAATATCACCACTGATTTACCGAAGAAACTTCAGCCTTCAGTTTTTAACATTGTTGTCATTTCGCATACCCGCTACAGCAGTTTTGCGCTGGCGCATCACATTCGATCAATTGTTGACTATGTTCAGATGAAAGATTTAATTACGTTTCAAAGCTTTCAATCTGCATATAACCAAATATTCGAACATCCGTTGCTTTCAACCGTCACACATTTTGTAATTAATTTTACTGACAACGACAGCATTATGAACATAGTTCGTCATATTAAGAGCTATGAATACTATTGCAACGCACTCGTCATCTTGGTTGTTACTATGAAGCAAAAGAAGGAGCTTTCCGAACACTTCAAGGAAAAGGGTGAATGGACAAAGCAGCATATTAAATTTGTGACAAAGCTTGCTAAGCCTTCAAAACTTGCTCCGTTTTTCACCGGTGATGACATAAAAAAGAGTGCTGTCTTGGACTATAGAAGGGAAAACGCCAAGCAGTTTGTTGCCGATCAAAAACAGATACTCGACGGAATGCGTGAGAAGTTGCTGAACACGAATCACAACATCTTGCTTGCGGAGGACAACATGATCAATTGCAAAGTCCTTACTCGTTATCTTGAACGGATTGGACTTAAAGTGCACCTTGCTCATGACGGTGTGGCCTGCTTAGAACTGTGGAAGAGCAAGCCTGAAGGCTTTTTTTCGCTTATTCTCATGGATTTGCAGATGCCAAACATGGACGGGTACCAGGCCTGTGTGGAGATTCACAAACTTGAGGAGAGCTTGGGTTATAAGATGCGTGTTCCCATCATTGCGCTTAGTGCTAATGTGATGTCTGATGTCGTTCAAAATTGCAAGCAGTGTGGTTTTGACTCCTATATCTCCAAACCCATTTCTTTTAAATTACTTTCTGCTAGAATATCTGGTTACGTTCTTGGCTCTATTCCTTGCTCGCCTCCCTTCGTTGAACATGACGGTTAGGGGGAGCACTACTACGCTCGTTTATTTTCTCTTTTCTCTATCTTCGGTATTAGTTTTTTTCCGTTTGCATATCTGTTACACATTTGTTACTCTTTCTCAAATTTCTTTTATTTATTACATATAACTCATAAAATTGCATCTTTCCTTTTTAGTTCAAATTCTAGAAGACATGACGAGTTATTAACGGTTTTAGTGGTAATCATTAGGTTCTTATTTCTTTTTCCATGTTTAAAGTTCCTTGTTTTGCTAAATGTTGCTTTTGGATTTAGAGTAGCCACGTGACTGGTTAAGGTTTACTACTACCGGTGTGAATAATATGTGGCCTCGTTTGGGGTAGAGTGGGTGCTACCCTCCCCCAAACACAGCAATGGATTCCAGGTGGAAATTCCCATTTGGTTCTTCAAAATCACAACACGAACCGAGCAGAAAACCTCTCCCAGGAAGCTTTTCAAAACCTGCATCTGTTCATTCAAACACGTCTCGCGAATTAAAAGCGCCAATGCCCGAAAGAATGACGGCAAGCGGGAGACCGGGAACGTTTAGAATTGCTAAGGCTACTTCAACGGAAGATGCCTTGACCAACTGTATCATAGTGTCCCCTGAGGATTTTGGTCAGCAGTATATAATTGTTGATGATTATTTTGTTTTGTCGACGAAGTATGTTTTAGAACCCGGACTGTGAGAGCTAATTGTTACTAACATATACATGCAGGCCGGTACCTGGCTTTCCCAGAGGCTGTCTTGGTGCCTCACAACCCCAACGTGAGTGGGCTGCTTGGTCATTGAACCAACAAGTTACTGTCGCGTCTTATGATCCCTTTTCGCAGAAGAATTCGTCTTATTTGAGTAACCTTGACTTGGAACTCTGCTTTCAAAACAGAAATAGAACAACAAGCGATGCTTTTGATGGTGAGGATATGGCCAAAAAGTTCAAACAGGTACGTTAAACAAATGTTGATTTCAGATTTCAACCCTCCTTTAAGAACTTAACTAACTGCTATGTGAAGAGTTATCAGAATCAAGTCCTTGCGCCTGGCCAGAAGATTGTTTTCGACTACCGTTCCTATAACATTAAAGCGACAGTTATTACTGTTACTTGTGCTGATCTTCTCTTGAGTGAAAAACCATCTGATCAGTCACCTATTAGCAAGGATCCTCGCACTCGCGGCTTGCTTACTATGGACACTGATATTACATTCTATGCTGCAAAAGAGAACGCTGTTCGATTGAAGGCCAGCATGAAACGACCAGCGGCTAATGCCATCTTGCAGCCCGGTTTCAAATTCGAGGACATGGGAATTGGTGGTCTCGATGCTGAATTCAGTGCTATTTTCCGTCGTGCTTTTGCTTCCCGTATATTTCCCCCGGGAATGATTGAGAAACTAGGCATTAGTCATGTAAAGGGTATGTTGCTTTATGGACCACCCGGTACGGGTAAGACTTTAATTGCCCGTCAAATTGGTAAAATGCTGAACGCTCGCGAACCAAAAATTGTTAATGGACCTGAAATCTTGAACAAGTTTGTCGGTCAGTCTGAGGAAAACATAAGAAAACTTTTTGCGGATGCCGAGCGAGAGTACCGGGAAAAGGGTGATGAGTCGGGTCTTCATATCATCATTTTTGATGAGTTGGATGCCATTTGCAAGAAAAGAGGAAGCTCTGGCGGTGACACTGGTGTTGGTGATCAAGTTGTTAACCAATTGCTTGCAAAAATGGATGGTGTCGACCAGTTGAATAACATTCTCGTTATTGGTATGACCAACAGAAAAGATATGATCGACGAAGCATTGCTTCGTCCTGGCCGTTTGGAAGTTCACATGGAAATTTCTCTCCCAGATGAGAATGGCCGTTTACAAATTTTAAAGATTCACACTGCCAAGATGCAGGAAAACAAGGTTCTCGACAAAGATGTTGACCTTGCTGAACTCGCAGCCCTTACTAAAAACTATTCTGGTGCAGAAATTAATGGTTTGGTTAAGAGTGCAACAAGTTTCGCCTTTAACCGTCACATAAAAGTTGGAACTGTTGCAGGAATTTCAGATGATATTGAAAACCTTAAAGTCAACCGTGGTGATTTCTTAAATGCATTGACTGAAGTTAGACCTGCTTTTGGCGTTAGTGAAGAGGAACTTGAGAGCTGTATCCAAGGTGGTATTGTGAACTTTGGTAAACACATCGAAGATATTATGACCGAAGGACGGTTGTTCGTTAAGCAGGTAATGAACAGTGACCGGACGCGTCTTGTTAGTCTTCTTCTTTCCGGACCAATTTCTTCGGGAAAGACTGCTCTGGCTGCATCCATTGCTTTGGCTTCCGAGTTTCCTTATATCAAATTGTTATCGGCAAACAGCATGGTTGGTATGAATGAAGGTGCTCGTATTGCTCATATCAGTCGAGTCTTCGAGGACAGTTATCGAAGCCCCTTAAGTGTTATCGTTGTCGACGACATTGAGCGTATTATAGACTGGGTACCTATTGGACCCAGATTCTCGAATACAATGTTGCAAACATTAATGGTTCTTTTCCGCAAACAACCACCTAAGGGACATCGACTTCTCGTCATTGCTACTACTTCGGAACGTAATGTTTTGCTTCAAATGAATATGGTGTCATCATTTGATGCAGAAATCGGTGTGCCTAATGTTACCACCTTTGAGGAACTTGACCGTGTACTTCAATCTGTTGATATATTTGCAGACAACAATGTCCGTGCAGGGGCTCTCAAGAGACTGCGCGAGTATATTGGTGTTGATAGAGTCAACGTTGGTGTTGCGAGAATCCTTATGATTGCTGAGACAGCCAAGCAGGATACTGATGTGGTTACTTGCTTTATCGATTCTTTGGCAAGAATTATTCCAGTTGATAACTAAAACGCTCTTTATGAATGTGCTACAACGATTAGCCAATTGTTTGGCACAACTTTCAAGAATTATGATAAAGATTAAGATTTTTTTCCTTACATCAGGAAGAATGCATGGGTGATTGATTTTTTCATTTCTTTTTTAGTAGATTTATGAATTTCATTAAAGTTTGGTGATGCCTTCTTTATTAAAAAGATGGTAATATGTACATGAGGAGTGAAACAGATTTTGAAGTGTGAATCAAAGAGAAATTATATTAGCCATTTTGCTTCGCTATCATGTGTTTAAAGAACTAACACTACAAAGTTTATGGTTGGTGATTAGTTTATACATTGCGCTGATGACAGATTAATGAATAAGATATGTAGGAAAGTAATGGTAAAACATCTTGCAGAACTGCATGAGAATTTTAACAATCAAAAGTAGAAAGATTAGATAATTGGGACAAAAATCTTTACTGACAATTTGTGAACAATTGCATTGGCTATTACGTTTCGCCCTTAATTCAGTAATCACATTCATGATTTTCCGTGCCTTCCGCAAATCAGCAACAAGAAGAAAGAATTGATTTATTAAAAAGTTTACAGTCAGTCCAAAGTCATCAAGATGTATTTTCAATCAAATTGTTTAAAAAGAGCGACCCTTTTGAGTGAGTCTTAAAGCTTTACCACAATTTGTCATAAAGGCATCTACGATCCCACAACCAATGGCATCACAAATTCGGAATTCCCAACTAAACGTTGGCGTATTTTTCCCTTTAAATGATGCGGTTGTGTTTCTTTGGACAATATCACATTCAAGAGCTTCCCCATATGGTCGTTTCTTTAAGTATCGAACAATGTCTTGCCGACTGTACTGGAGCATCTGAGTGAATACACCTATTGTTGGCAGTGACACGCCATATGTACTGGGTCCTGCGAGGATAAGTAAACCAAGCTTAATGAGGATACGGCGCTCTTGATCGGAAAAGGGTAAATTTTGAATGGGAAAGGTACAACCTTGAAATTCTTTGGAGGCTTCTTGAAACGATTGAATCACTTTTTTCTCTTCGTCTTCAACTAACGTTTGAGCAATTTTATCAAGATACCCCTCGAAAGTAGATGTCTTAATTAAGCAAGCCTCACCGGGGAAATTGTCGGATCGCTTGATATAGAGTTTTTTTAGGGAGCCTTTCTTCAGTAGCAAACTGAGATTCTGTGAAACAGTAGTGAAGTCATTTTGGAATAACCCACTTAGTTGTGACTCAACAACCACTGCCGGGCAGGCTACTACAAGTGTGTCGGCTTGTTTGGTGAACACTTGTTGCTTGTCAAACATGTTTTTATGCAAATACTCTATTGCTTTTTGCACATCTTCGGCGCTTCTGCATCGAATAGCAGGGTAAAAAGAGGGTAAAGGTTGTAACGGCGTATGTCCATCTGTATTCACGACATCGCTTTTTGCACTGACCTTTGAAGGAGATGATCGCGAACTTGACGTTTTCTTTCGTTTGTAGAACAAAGATGAAATTTTTGTTTGCTGTTTTCTTTTGTTTTTGAAAATATTAGGCGAGTTCATGATGTTGGACAACAGAAACAATTGTGAAATTAAAAGTAAAATTTTTTAGAGAATTAGAAAACGGGAACAAAATGAACGGAGTAAGAGGAATAACGAAGATCGGTTGGCTATAGCGATCCTTCAACGATTTAATGACGGCAGAAGACTTCAAAGTCGTCGAGTATAAAAACAATTTAAATTGTGCAGCTTAGAATCTAAAAATACAATAACGAGCAATTAAAAATATAACAGATTCATCAGCGCAAACAATAAATCGGTTGATTTTTTAATTTCGGTTTTTCTCGTTTGTTTGTTCACATTGGTGGTGAAAGTTGTGAAATAAACTATTCCACGTGTGAAGAGAAACGATGAAAAGGGACGCCGAGAAGTGGAGAACGCAGTTGTAAGGAATCTAAATGTCGTGTTTAGACTTACGGCTCGTTTTAACTGCTTATAATTATCATGGTATTATATTTATTATTATTATTATTTATTTTATTTTTTTTTTTTTTTTTTTTTTTTTTTTTTTTTAGCTAATTATCATAATTATATTACAAATAAAATTAAACTAGAAATCAAACGGTTTACAACTTTTATGCTTTAACATTATTTAAATCTGCTCCACTTTACTTTCTTATCTCTGTATCTACAAGTTAACATAGCTCGATCGGTCACCCGACTCTTTGCACTATTAAGTCGGTCGACATAACCAGTAAATTGCGGATCAACTTATGCAGCTCTTCGTTTCAAAACTGTTCCTCCGTCTGATTAAAATGCTCTAAATTCAGTACCGACAAGATCCCAAGTGCCGAGAACTCTGTACTCTTACAATCCAATCGTTTTATTTACTCCGTGTCTTCTATCGAATGCTGACAGTTTCCCCGTTACATCACAAAGACTGATTAGGTATATTACACTAGTTAGTTGGGAGTGTGTAAACATACGAAATATCTCATATATCTGTAAATCCTTTCTATTCCTAGCAAGACATATTCATCCTAGTTATAGCTTAAGTATAACAGAGTAGCTAAAACAAATCTCGATTATTGACTTAGTAGTTTACTCGCTCATTGTATGAATAACAGCATTACTCTATGACCGATGACCGGGCACTCTACTTCAGCTGTCACCTCCGGCAGAATGCACATTTAATATAGTCGCAAGCAAGGGACAGTCATCTGAACTTTGTTCCGCTATCATGATTAAGCCGCGGACAATGAACACTAGATTCGCATCTTCACCAAAGCTGCTATAAACGCATTTGAAGAATAACGTTGTTAATAGTGCTGTAGTGACTTTGAAAAAACCAATCAATTGTTGATGCAAGCAATGCAATTCCTCCTCAATGAGAAAACCTCGAACCCTGAATGCGAGAATACACAACTAAACGTCTCCGTTTGTAAGACCGAACCACGTATGCATCGGAAAAACAACCGTTTTCCTTAGCTCACCCGCTAAAAGCGCTCACAATTTCGCTAAAATTATTGCAATAGAAAGCTTGTTTATTACTAAGATACTAAACTAACTAAATAAAAATTCTTAATTCTAATTCCCCTAAATGAATTCTTCCCTATTACAGCCTAATTTGGTAGCCTGTTTTCTCGTATTTGGTGGTTTATTTTCATAGTAGATCATAGACGGCTCCTCTATGATCTACTGTCGATCCACCACACTTTTTGGTCTAAAGCTGCTGCCATTCCACGAGATTGTCTCCTTGAGAGCACAGCTGTAAGGCTGTTTCGTCCGTTTTGAAAAGTCCATTTCTCTGTTTTTCTTGCATCTATTTGCACATTCTTTGAGTTCTTTTTGGAAAAAGTAGTTGACTTCGAGTTCTTTTAGACTTTGCTTTCTTCTCTGAATCGTCTCACGGAAATACGTGAAAGACGTCATCTTGTTTTGGAGCAATGTTGTCGGCATCAGATAGTAGTCTTCATCATTCTCATTCGTTATTAAAGAAGCGGGATATCACTTTAAAACCAGAATATTCCGATAAAAAAAAGCCTTTTAACTTTTCAAAACAGCTGCTGTTAAACTACGACTGGCTGGGATGGATCTCTGTGATTTTAACATTCTTCTTAAGCAGGGACTATTCGGGACTTGACAGTAGACTGTTGACGATAAACCCATTTTTTCTCCTCACAATACTTCTTTTTGTTGCTTTCACTACTCAGTACTTGGGTATCTGTTCAGAAAGCTACCGCGAGTTTCGAGTCGTGAATGTCATATCGAGTGCTTTGTCCCAGACTTTTATCATTCTTGGCTCGAGCAGGCTTGAAGTCCTGCTCTGCATAGCCACATTTAGTTGTGTGCATCATCTATTCTCTGAGCATTTCAACCTTGGTGCTACTAGTAAACACCAAGTTGAAAAACTATTGCTGTCGTTGAGCTTGTTTGGCTTTACTCTCGCTTTCCATCTCATAAAAACACATTCGTTCTCATCCCTATTCGGCATTAGCTGTTCTTATGCATATTTATTTCTAGGAGCCCTCATTAAATTCGTTTCTACATTGAAATTACAGCTTTCAAAGATTCAGCAAATTTCTCTGTTCCTACTTCCCGCTCTTATTTGTGTGCTCTGCCAACTAAACTATCTCCCAAATGGAAACATTACCTTACCCGTAATCCCCCTTTCCTTCCTATGCATACTTCAGGTGTCAGCTATGAGCTGGCAACCATTTAATCGTATCTACAAACGCATGAACCGTACCCATGTATCTTTCTTCGTCGTTTTCTTCCTTAGCGCTTTATCTCTTGTCGTGGATACGAACAACTCCAATGTTCTTCTGCGACCATGCGAATTCATTTGTGCACTTGTGCTCTTTGGGCCCGAAATTGAGTTCGATACCAACATCTTTGGAAACTATAAGAGATTGCGTTTCGCATATCGATTCATTGAAAGTATCCTGGAAGAAAAAGAATCGCGCAGCATTTTTTATTTCTTTCTTCTGAATGCCACCTACATGATAGTGCAGATAGTTTATGGTTTCTGGTCGAATTCACTTGGACTAATTACTGATGCTATTCATATGATGTTTGATTGCATTGCCGTTCTTGTTGGTCTTATTGCAACAGGTCTGGCCAAGCTGCCTTCTTCTGATATGTTTCCCTTTGGTTTTGCCAAAATCGAATCTTTGTCGGGTTTCACGAATGGTATTTTTCTACTCTTGATATCAATCTCTATTGTCCTGGAGGCAGCCTTCCGTTTATTCTCTCCACCTGAAATGAGAACAGAACAGCTTCTTACTGTGAGTATTATTGGCCTATTGGTGAACCTAGTTGGTTTGCTTTCTTTCAGTCACGGCCATGCACATTCTCACGGACACGGATCGTGCCCTCACTCTCATCACAAGCCTCACGATTTTGCCCTCCCAAACACGAACAAAGACGCATGTGTGCAACCATTTGTGCGCGAAAATAGCCTTGATGAAACCGAACAAGAACATGAGCACGAACATGATCACGAGCATGATCACGACGAACATTCTGATGAAGATGAACACAATCACGATCACGACTTAAGTCATAATCATATTCACGAAACGCATGCTATACACAACCACTGTCACTCGCATTCCGAACACAGTCATCACCAGGATTCAAACATGCGCGGCATTTTATTACACATCATGGCCGATACAATGGGATCTGTTGGTGTGATTGTTTCTACAATTTTAATTAAGTGGTTTGGCTGGACCGGCTTTGATCCCATTGCTTCCATTCTGATTGCCGTTTTGATTTTTGTATCGGTACTTCCTCTAATTACTTCCTCTGCAAAAAACCTAATTCTTTACGCTGATCCTGGAGTTGAGTACTCATTAAAGCAATGTCTCTCCGATTTATCAGTCTCGCATTCTATCGTGAGCATTTCTAACCTTAAGTTTTGGTCTGCCAGCAACGGCGACGTTAATGGTATTCTACACGTTCAGGTTGGAGTGGATGGAGACCTTAGTAATGTACGAGATGCTGTTGAAACCAAATTGAGATTGGCAGTCCCCACTCTGAAGCAGTTATTCGTACAAACAGAACGTCCAAACACCTGCTGGTGCGGAAAATAATACTACATTTGTGACATATTTCTGATACGTATTTAAGTGACAGATAAACATTTTTATTCTATAATGTTTTTAATGAAAGCGATTCTAAGAACACACCCAAGTCCGATTTTTTGCATTCAATAACGCTAGCTTCAAAAGAGTCCATTCTAATTTTTGCAGACGTCATGTTTGCGACCTCTTGGAAAGCAAGTCCAAACTTGTTGTGGCCATGACCATCATCTTCATCTTTTGATGAAAATGTAGAAGTGCTTGTGCCAACTATAAGGTAACTGTCTTTCTCTTCTTGTAGAGCAGCTAAAACCAGCGGGAGATGTTTCAATTTACCCATCTCTTTTTCTTGTTGCTAGATATTGTTAATACAGACTTTCGAATATACTACGATTCGTACATTAATGGCTTCGGCGACCCAAAGTGTTAGTTTTGTGAGCGCTAAAGGGTGATTGAAAACCTTTAAATCCGCACCCTCGGTCACTAAACCAATGCGAAATGAACGTAGTGTTTTTATATTCCGTTTTTCCAGAAGTGTAATTCCTGAACGAACAATTGACCTTTGTAAAGACATGGCTATCGTTAATGCTTTCTCAATAGCATCAACACTAACACTGTCAGTAACATGCGAGTAATTAAAAATTCACATACTTATCTAGGGAATCATAGGCGTCATAAAAGTTGTGTAACCATTCCTCATTCTGTTCATCCTCGAGTTGCTTTATGTAATCATCTTCGTTTTCGTCAATATCTCTGGCCGTGTTATTTTTCTTTAGTACAAGTCTAGATTTTCCGCTTTCAAGCAAAGCACTAATTGCGTAAGTAACATCACTTGCACTTAGGGTGCATTTAAACCCAAAAGTTCGAATAAAACTTTGGTAGACCACCTCATCCAAACCATAAAGTGGCCCAAATCTAGTTAAACTTTGTTTTAAAGTTTTTTTTAATTCCATATTCATGTGGGTATATGTTTGCTTGCATTCGACAAGACTTAAACCCATTTTTGCAAGCAGCTTATGCAAACGTTTTCGTCCATCTTCACTCCAAATACGTAGTCGTGATCCTACGTATGATGAGTGTAACATTGCATCGTACAGACTCCAATGTCTGACAAGCATGAAACGAAACTCGTCTTCAGTATGAATGGAGTTGTCTGTCGATGATTTTCCATGGGGTCTAGCAAGACCACTTTTGTTAAGCGGCGGAGGATTAAGACGATTCACTTCGTCCCGAAGCACTTTATATGACCTAGCAATAGAGCGCGAAAAAACTTGGCTGTTGATTTCAAGACTGGTAAGACCAACAATTGCTAGCCAAAGTGCTTCGTTGTCTTCACGACCAAGGGAAGATGCAATGGAGTATAATGTATTGGTAACCGAGTCACCGACCCATGTGCCTCCGTTGTAGTAATCCGCCAGCACAGCAGAATACTGTTTATATTTTTCCTTTTTCCGTTTCCGCTCTTCAATCTTTCTTGTGGTATTGTCAGAGTATCTTCGCCGCCGTCTGGGACGCACTATGGAATCTTCACTGTTGTCAGTTTCATTGCCAGAAAGTTCGTTCACTTCTTCATTCGTAGACTCCTCGTCAGATGAATTTTCTTGGCTTCTTGTCTCTTCCGTATCCTCTAATGAGCGTAGGGTATACCAAGCTTCATGTATTTCAGTCATTTCATCTTCGATATCACCGTCATCAATTACGAAGATTCTATTGTCCTCTTCATAAATATTATCCAAATTGTACGGCCTGTGAGAGTCAATTAAATAGACGTTAAACTGGTCATTAACTGCTAAATATGCAGGAAGATCAACCATTGCACCACAATTAATTAAGATAACTGCCTTTAATTCTTCGTTTCCTTCAATAAGTGTTTTATTTGCCTTTTCCAATGCTTGGTATCCTGATATTGGCAATATTTTGTGGGTAATGAAATCTCCTTTCAAGAGTCGCGAAAGTAATTTACATGCACAGAGCGCATCTGGATCCAATCCAACGAGAATTTGAACTGGACATCCTCCGCTACCAATTTGCTCTTTGAAATTTGAGTAAAATTTCGCATATTCAGACCTCTTAACATACATAGTCTTGAGGTGGTTGATAGGTGATTCGAAAAGACTTACTATAAGCAAGCATTACTCCATAAGTTTTTCTTCTTATACATCGGTAGAGGCTACCGCTCAGCTGTAAGTATGTTCCTTTATTACTGAACGCTTTGCTAGATAGTCCTTTAATACTATATTTTAAGTCTTTTAATGAAAAATTCAAAATCAAGTAACCCTGTAAAAAACGCTCTTTGAACGAAATCCTAAAGATTATTAATGGTATCTAGGCAATTTTTATGTAGTGTTTGTTGTTATTGTTAAAGCACAATATGTGTAATGTCTAATTTAATGAAGAGTATTATGATTTCCTAAAATACTGGTTCTCCACAAATAAACCATTTCATCCCATCCAGTACTTGCAAGAAACGTGCCATCTCCCCATAAGCTCCAGTCGACATCTCGAACAAATTCTGTGTGCTTGTTCATAACGGATTGTTGGAAGCCAGATGTAAGATTCCAAACACATGCAGTCATATCGAAACTCGCAGTTGCAAGCTGGTCAGAAAAATGCGGAGCAGTTTTTAGAGAGCTAACTGCTAGCCGATGACCAGAAAGCGTAATCAGTGACTTTCCTGGTTGCCGGACATCAAAACCTTGAATGGTATTATTTGTTGAGGCAACATATATGATGTCTGGTTTGTACTTATTCCAGTCAGTCGCTGTTGCTTCTCCGTTCACCGGTATTTGACAAGTAGGAACCCGAAGCCGGATATCCCAGACTTTCAAACTACCATCGGCACCAGCAGACGCAAGTGTGTTGACAGACCGATAATGAAATGCTACTTTATGAACTCTTCCCTTATGTCCCTGTAAAGTTTGTAGGCTTGATGGAAAAGACGGAGACCAAATTTTTACACTTCCATCCCAAGACGCCGATGCTAATAGCTCTTTATCCACCGTGCTTGTAGACAAGTTCACAACTTCAGCGGTATGTTCGTTCCATGCACGCACAGGTACTGATTGAGGATTATCAGTATGGTATGTCAAAATACTTCCGTTCCCCAGTGCAATATGCACCACGTCCTGATTTTTTTCTGACCACTTTGCATCAAAAAGTGGTGCAGGGACATCAATTCTGTCTCATTGTTAGTACGGAAGATAAACTAGGAATTTTGAAAACGCACTTCCGTTCCAAACATACGGGTACTGCATTCAGTTGCAACACAAAAACCCTTCCTGTCCCTGCGAATCCGTATTTTTGAGTTGCCCCTACAAGGAGTTTTGAGTCATAAAAGGGAGAAAACTGTACTGATTGCCCTAAACGTGTTAGAAAGCTAAACCATAAGATAAATGAACGTACCGTGAAATCCAGTAGTTTGAAATGAGTTCATTCTCAATGTTGAGTTGAAATATAGAGAAACAATGTTGATGATTTAAAGATACGAGACTAAATGTCCCAGAAGCAAGAATTCAGTCGAAAAGATGGATAATTTGAAGTTAAAAACAACAAATACAATTAAAGTTCAATTCCTCTTAGTATTGACTTCAGCTATATGATCGTTCGACAAAGTCAATTGAGCGTTATAGAAGCTTTTAATGATACTGAGAAACCTTTCCGTGATTATATACCATTACCAAAAAGTTGTTTACCAGTGCAATGTTCGAGAGAACATATAATGTGCATTACCAACTTCTTATTAGACACAATTCTCAGATAGTCAAAAATTTAATGAATTTGTACTCCAAATTAATGACTCCTGAATGCAAGCGCTAAACAGCTGACGCTAGACGTATATCCTCCGTAAATCTTTAAAACATTTACAGAACCTTTTCCGTGTCCTGTTGTCTTAGATTTATTCTGCTTGTTTAAAGCTCACAAACTTAAAATGGTATTATGTTTTCCTTTTTGTTAAACGAAAGTTTGTTCTTTTCACCAATGACAAAACAACGCTTTTTTAAAACAAAAGAGTACACGTTTCCCGTTTTTCGTTCTGTCGTTCCTTGATTTGTAAATGTTTGAGCCAATTCACTCTGTCGTCTGCAAACCACTAACGAATCGTTCGCAGCGATTATCATTCAATTTTTTTGGTAGGATAGGTATAATGGGTCGTAAAAAAGGTGGAAGAAGAGGGGTAAGCTCAAAGAATAGGATTTTTAATTCACTACTTTTGTTTTTTATTTCTGTTCTAACAGTAGTAGAATCGGAAACCAAAGGCTTTTATTGATTGGGACACAATTCCTAGAGAGTACGACTGAACGCTGAGGACCTTCTTGTTAACGTGTTTAAAAGAAACGAGAATTTTGAAAAGTACTATAAAACTCAAGCATTACTTCCTGAGAATGAATGGACGCAATTACTGGAGACATTAAAAATCACTTTACCAACAACCTTTCGCATTACAGAAACGAACAAGTAAGTATTGAAATATCTTATTTTACTGGCCTATTTTTTTGCATCTACCAAATCGTTATATGCTAACATTTCTCGATAGGCATGCAAGACGTGTTCGCGATTTGTTTGTCAATCATTACTGTCCTATGGTAAACGGTTGTGAATATGAAGGTCAAAAAATCCCCATTCCTACGGAAATTCCATGGTATCCTGGAAAATTGGCCTTTACTATCAATATTCCGAAGTCCGTAATTCGCAAGACGCCTGCCTTAAAACCTCTTCAAAAATTCCTCATGTATGAAACTGAGTGCGGAGACATCAGTCGTCAAGAGGCTGTAAGCATGATTCCTCCTCTCTTTTTGGACGTAAAGCCCCATCACAAAGTGTTAGATATGTGCGCGGCACCTGGATCCAAAACAGCTCAACTTATCGAAGCATTACACAGGGACTCTAATGTTGAAAGCCCCGAAAAGGATATTGTTCCATCTGGTTTAGTGATAGCAAACGATGCTGACTCTCGTCGCGCGCATATGCTTGTTCATCAAATTAAACGCTTAAACTCTCCCAACGTAGTCATCACAAACCATGATGCCTCGTACATGCCGAACTTTCACATGATGACAGAGGGGAAAACCGGAGAGGCAAAACGCGTGAATCTAAAATTTGATCGAATTTTGGCTGACGTTCCCTGTTCCGGAGATGGTACATTCCGTAAGAATATATCTTTATGGAAAGAATGGACCCTTAAAACGGCTTTGGGACTCCATGCAACTCAGGTGAAAATATTATTGCGTGGTTTACAGATGCTTGCTACCGGTGGTCGACTGGTTTATTCCACTTGTTCTATGAACCCAATTGAGAATGAGGCCGTTGTTTCGGCGATTTTAAAGGCAACGGAAGGATCTGTACGCTTGGTTGATACGAGCAAGGAGCTTCCAAGTCTTGTTCGTAACCCTGGTGTTTTTGATTGGAAAGTAATGGATGGCGATCTGAATGAATATAAGTCATTTGAGGAGCTTCCTTCCAACCTCATTCAGAGGATGCCCAAGACCTTGTGGCCTCTTCCCAAATCCGAACTTGAGCGGCTTCATATCGAACGTTGTATGCGAGTTTATCCTCATCAACAAAATACTGGTGGCTTTTTTGTTGCTGTGCTTGAAAAGTACAATGACCTTGAGGGTACTATGCAAACAATTGTCGATGAGAACAAAGCTATCTCTCGTGGTTTAAAACGCTGCATCAGTCCTAAAAAGGAAGAAGAGGTTAAAAAGCCGTGCCCCGACTCTGTTGCCCATACGCAAAAGGAAACTACTAAGGAGGACGAATCACAGAAACAAGATGCTGTGCAAAGTCGTGGAAATGGAAATCGATTCCAAGAAATTGATCCATTCTCATATGTCAGTGAGGATAATGAAGAACTGAAGAAAATCTTCTCATTCTTTAAGGTCAACGACAAGAAAATGCACCGTGATTTGTTTTTGGTGCGCAACCCTAATGGCGTTCCTACTGGTGCACTTTATTATTCGAATAACTTGCTCAAACAGATCATTACCAATAACCGAAACCACATCAAGTTTGTCCACGGAGGTGTGAAAGTCTTTGTGAGACAAGAGTTTGGAAGCCAAACCAAAGAAGTTGCGGAGAAGACAGATGCATGCTACTATCGAATTCAAAGCGATGGCGCATTTTTAGCAGCCACTGCTATGGATCCTTCGTCTGTGACTAATATACCCTCAAGTGATCTTCGTGTTTTGTTGGACAATGAGACAGTGACGAAGGAATCGTTTCCCGAGGATAGTACTTTGGGGAAAGTTTACGAGTCCCTCCCTCTTGGATGCAGCCTGCTCCGAGCAGATCTAAAAAACGAAGAACATGCTATTCAAGAAGAGGTGTATATTTGTTTATGGAAGAGCTTCCGCATCTCAAATGTGATGATGGCCAAAAGTGAAAAACAGTACGCTCTCTTTCTTTGTGATTTCTTTTACTAACCAAACAGAAATATTCTTCTCCAACTGAACGGTTCAGTTGCCGCTGCAGAAGACAAGTCTGTAGAGGAAGCTCCAAAGTCTGAAGCTTAGAAAGTAAAAACGCTGCATTTGTTTATGGAAGAGAGAAAGAGATTAGACATTTATTTTTTACAAAAAACGCTTTCATTTACTATACATGCCCAAGCGTGGAGAAGGACGACATCAGTGGTCCTTTTTTACTCCTGCCTGAAACCGTGGAGAGGTAAAAAATCGAGAGAAAGAAGTGGGTATGATGATGGAAACATTACATGCCGTTGAAGCGCTCAAATGATAAAACATTTCAAGCAGCAGTTTCAACTACGGCAGGAGCAGCCTCGGCAGGCTTTTCAACCGATTCAGCTGAAGGCTCAGAAGTCTCCTCAGTCTTCTGAGTTTTGGCAGCATCCTTCTGCTTCTTAGCTTCAAACTTGGCCTCCAAATCGTTAATCTCCTTCTCGACCTTAGCGATCTTCTCCTTGGTAACACGCTCCTGGTTTTCCTTGAAGTAAGCGATCTTTGCTTTCAAGTCAGCAACAGCCTTCTCGTTCTGTGACTTGTTGAGAGGAGCCTCTACACCAACAAAAGAGAACTCTTGCAGAGTACCCAAAGAAAGGTTAAGCTTATCGGAGGATGACGAGTTGTTGGACTTGGAAGCCTTCTTCGTCTTCTTCTTCAAGCCAGAAAAGACGTCGTCAATATCGTTGGCACTCTTGTTCAAGACAGTACCACCGACAATAGGCTCGACAGCACGAGGAGCCAAATTTCTGGGACGCAAGTTAGAAGAAGTAGAAGCAGAGGCTGCTTGCTCCTTCTTTTCAGAAGGAGTACCGTGCAAGAACTTAATCAAGTTTTCACACGTCAAAATCTCCTCAGTAAAAGCGGGGATACTGGCTTGCTCCAACTTCTTTTGGGCAGTAGCCTGACGGCGCTGCATTTCACGAGCCTCACGCTCTTGACGAATTTGCTCTTGGCGCTTGGCACGTTGTTGGCGCTCATGATCGCGCCAAGCACGGAATGCGGTGTCGTATTCACGTTGCATGGCTTTACGTTGACCATAGACCTCATCACACTTAGCCTTGGCAGCGTCACGCTCAGCATAAAGAGCTCGTTGGTTCGTGTAAAACTCATCTTGCTTCTTACGAAGGGCGTTCAAAGAGTCACGAGCAGCGACAAACTGTTCGTTCAACTTCTTAGACTCAGGGTCGTCAAGCTGCTCACGAAGAGCAGCAGCTTCCTTCTTCAATACATCGATAGCACTTTGGGTGTTGCTGATCTCACCAAAGTTCTTACGCAAGTGATTGAGCTGGGAAATCTCACGAAGGTTCTTCTTCTCATCAACGAGCTTCATGGTACCAGACTCAACCTCGCTTCTGAGTCTCTCAATACGTTTGTCGAGATCTGCCTCACTCTTAAAGGGCACAGTCTTCTTCAAACCATTGATTTCGTTGATCTTTATGACAAAGTTAGAAACAATCCAAGCTGTATTTCATCGCATAAGTTACCTTCTTCTTTAAAGCATCCTCCTTTCCTTTCAGCTGAGCAATAATTTCTTGCTTTGAGCTGCGAATTGCACTCTGGGCCTCACGAATCTTGTCGAGTTCAGCACGAAGTTCTTTGTTTTTCTCGTGGAAAGGATTGGGGCCACGCGAGGCTTCAATTTTTTGCTTAACAGCATTCTTTAATCCGGGTTAGCTCATTTCATGCCCGACAAATGCGTTTATCGCGTATTAAACGCAAAAACGTCGACATACAAAAACTTTGTCGGCTGCTTCGATCTTCTTTTCAAGTTCTGCAACAGCAGCCTTGTGTGCAGTTTCATCGGGACGGACGGGCTTGTGGGAAGACATGATCGGACTCAGTAACGCGGGAAGGCGAAAGCGTACAGTGGTTGGGAGAGGGAGAAAGTGTTGTACAACGCCATGTCTCATATACGTGGTAGGAGCTACCTCGTGTAATGCAAATAAGGTTTAAGGTAGTCATGTGAAAATCTAAGCGAGAAAGAGATAAAAAAAGAGAATTCCTTAATAAGTTTCAATACTGTTCAGTACTTTTATGCGCTACTCATGTATGACCCTCTAAGCTTATTTTTAAATTCGTATTTCTGTTTTTAAGCAAATTCACTATAACGAAATATAAGGAGCCGTGCAATTTGTTTTAAGGCATTGGAATGCAATACAAGGTACACTGAGGCAAACTCCTAGTCGCGTTTGCCCGCTCCTACCCTCTCCCAACCAGGAACTCCTCGCCAATTCTGTCGCGTCTTGGAAAATGGGCTTGAAATCCAGAGACGCTCCTGTTCAGTACAAACAGTCGAGCAGGAAATCGAAGCGGGCATGGAGAAAAAACATTGATCTTGAAGACGTTGAGAGAGGACTTGAAAAAGTTCGCGAAGAGGAGGTTCAAGGGTGTGTATCTGTGGTTCAAGACGTTGAAACGAATAAACTAACAAATATTGCAGTGGTATCATCGCAGAAAAGTCTAATGATGCCTTGTTCGTGGTCGATACTCTCGGAGACGAGAGAATCGCGAAAAAAACAAAGAAGAAATTAAAACCTCTCAAGATCGACGAGATTTTAAATAAACGGTCTGCTATTGAGGCACCTGTGCAACACATTAAGTCCGGAATGGTCACTAATGGCGTTCTTCCTTCAAAACGAAAGAAGGTTATGTCGAAAAAGGAATTAAATCGTCTGAAAGCCCTTGTTAGAAAAGGTGACGGTAACCTGAAGGCTTCGGCTGCTCTCAATGACAAGAATACCAATGCCAATCATGGACTGTACGATGTTTGGGATGACAATGTCCATCCCGAGTCTATTATTCCTGTAAAACGGCCTAAGACTTTGGATCACGAGCCCGTGAAACTTGTGGAAAACGTGGAACAGGCTCCTGCTGTCGTTGTAGCCGATCCAGGAATGTCTTACAACCCCGATGCTCAGGCTTGGATGTCCTTGTTGGAACGCAAGGGTCAAGAAGAAGCTGCAAAGGAGCAAATGCGTTTAGAGCGCGAAAAACAAGAGGCACGAGTCCGTTTGATCGCTGCTTCCAAGCAAGAGGATTTCCGTGTAGACATTCCTGATGAGGATGCATCTTCTGAAAGTGAACAGGAGGAAAAACAGAAGACTAGCGAGGTCACACTGAGGGATACTCCTAAACGGAAAACAAGGGCTCAGCGTAACAAGGAGAAGCGCCGTCGTGAGCAAGAACGCGAGGAACAACGCCTTAAACAAATGCAAGAACTCGAAAAACAGATTGAAAAGGCACCTGAAATGGCTACTGAAATTGCCAATTTGGAACCTTCGTCCTCCAGCGAAACTTTGGAGCTGGTTCAGAAAACGACTACCACCGTTGTCACAGAGCTTAAGGTGCGTAAGCGTCGACTGGGTAAGCATGCCATTCCTGAGGCTCCCTTGGAACTGAAGCTCGGTGACGAACTTAGCGGCTCGCTTCGTCAATTGAAGCCCGAAGGCAATCTGTTCGTTGATCGTTTCCGTAGTGCTCAAGCTCGTGGTCTTATTCCCGCAGCCGTTCCAGTCTCCAAACGCAGTCGGTATAAGAGAAAACTTAAGGAAAAACATAGCCATAAGGATTTGCATAAACTTAAAAGAACAGTTTTGGATTAGTTTTTGATATTTTATTAGGAATAAATGTTTAATTTGGGTGTAATGAAGTTATTCCTGTCTTATTGCGTTTCTACTTAACGCTTCGGTTATGCAATTGAGTTTTCCACTCATTAACAAAATATATCATTACTTTAGAGTCTAAACTTTTCCTTTTTCGTAGGTGCCGGACGTTGTCTCTTCGCAGAGACTTTTTGAACCTGTTCTGCGACCATTTCCGATAAGTCATTTTGCCAATCAGAACCAGGATTTCGCGACCGCGCATCTTCAGAATTGTTCAGCTTTGTGGTGATAGGCACATCTTCTGCCTTTCTCTTCCTTCCTTGTTGGTCATAATCTGCACTTGTGGAGGGCGTTTCGTAACGTGTCTGTTGAGCCATAAATCCCTCCGGACGAGTCGCCTTTTCAGGCAAAACATGATATAACTTTTCATCACTAGTACTGGATTTTGGCCTGGCATTTTTACGAAGCTCCATATTTTCAGGAGCCAAGTCTTCAGCAATACCATATGAAGTGATAGGCTCCACAGTAGCTGCAGCTGGCCGTGAAGGTTCATGAGTGGTGTGCTGTATGTGTGCATGTTCTTCCATTTCCGGATGACCCATGTCCTCTTCTGGTTCCTCCTCCTCTTCCTCTTCGTCACTGGAAGATTCTTCTTCTTCAAATTCCTCCAGCTCGCCCCAGCGCTGCCTGTTAACGGGCTCTGCCTCCATTTCAGGCATGCGAGGTTTCGCATTTCCAAACACATCGCCATACAGAGGCCGATTAAATTGGTCCACCGGTGGTTTTCCCCAACCGCCGGGATGAAAGCCCCATTGTGCACCTTCTGGAATTGGACAATTTACACCGGGTATTTTAAGATTAGGATAACTGGGCGGAGGACCATAGCGTTGCATTGCAAATAACCACGGTGGTGGTGCACCTACGGCAATTCCCAGTGCGTCTCTCAGCTCTTCTGAAATGTCTCCTGGGCGTTTTTCCTTGATATTGGCTTCCAATTCTTTTCCTTCATAATAACACTCACCAAAGCCCGTCATGATAGGTTTAGTTTGAAAACGGAAAAAGGCATCGTGCAGTTTTTGATAGTCGATGTCAAGTTTACCCATCTTGGGTTGAACTTTTTCTCGCATCTTTTGCCGTAAACTCATATCGGCTTCTTTTTGATGAACTGCTTCACGCATTTGCATGATTCCAGTAGCACGAATATAAGACGGTAGCTCAAAGAGCTTCTTTTCTACACCTCTTTGGCCACTAAGGTAATCACGTTTTTGGTTCCAGTGCTGTGGAACAGGAATCGTACACCGATAACCCTTTAAATGTACTAACAAGAGAGGATCTGGCGACGAGACATCCCACCATTCCACAACTTCCGGATGTTCTGCCAGCATCTTTAATTGGGCTACAGTTTTCCGTCTTAAACGCCGTGCTTTCTTTTTGCTCAAAGTATGATTACCGTCAGCATGGTCCCCTTCACCTTCGGCGTTTTCTCCTTCACTCAATTCCTCTTCATCAGAGAACATGATTTGACCACGTCCGTATTCACCAGTGGCATCTTCCGTTTCTTCAACCCGAAATTTCTCAAGAATATGTTGGAACTGACTATACAAAGGATCATCTGACTCAATAGTAATTGATTCAACAACAACGGGTGTGTCATAAATAGAATCCTCGGGCTCTTCTTTTTTCACTAAAGACTTATCTTTTGCATGATGATCTGTTAGAGTTTGAGCAGCACCTGTATCCTGTTCTTTTTTCACCTGAAGTCGTTTCAGTTTCTTCTTTTCCCTTCGAATTTGGTTTCTGCTTTTCTTATCTGGTTTCTTTTTCGTTGTATTCTGTACTCCAGACATTGTTATCAAATTGTCAGCTACCGGAGCCGAATCTGTTACTGCGGAACTCATTTGTACAGTAATTAAATTCTTTTATAGATAATTCCTCCTCAACAAACAAAAAAAACCTGATATATACAGTTTCTACCGCTATATGCGGTCTCTCGTGCTTTCTTTGGAGTCGGCTTACCAAGGTGGTGTGTATACATGGCCGCTCACGACTAAGTCCTCACTCACCACCAAAAACAGACCCGTTAGAAGCTGACACACAAAAGGTGGACGGACAGTCTCCCGTGGGCCAGGAATTCTTGCCTCTAAAAGCTCTTTATTGAGGCAACTTTTAGTCATCAAACTACACATATATTTACTGGAGAAGAGCAGTTTCTATCATATCAAAAAATATCTACCGGTTTTGTTTAGATTTTTTACAAAAGTTGTGGTCTTTTACTTCTTTTTTGATATAAACTTTCTTTGGGTTTCTCTTGTCTTTGGTCAGTTTTTTTTTTTTTTTAAAAAATCTCTGTGCTACATCAACAAGAATGGAATTGTGGTGATTTGGAAATTTTTATTAACTTACTCTTGATTATGAAGGAATGGAGTTGGTGCAACAAATGAATGATTTACACTTTACTGAGCAGGAGGCAACTGCTCCGGTTTATATGCAAAAGGAACTCCCCAGACTTTCCCGACGAAGGAGTAGAACTATGAACACCATGAGCAATTCCGTCGGCACTCTTTTACGAGAAGAAAATGTGTCTATGAGCAGTTCACTTCCATCTTTACGGGGTCCCAAGAATAATAAGCTCGTTCAAAATAATTCCAAATTACCTTTTGAATGTGATGGGGAACAACGCTCAGCGTCGGAGTCCCCTAATGCGAATCGAAGGCCTTCCTTCAGCTTTAATCTTTTCGGTTTAAAGCTTCAACTTTTGGCACGGTCGCATAAGAGCAAAAAAATTCCTCATACACAAGAATCACACAGTCATTCCTTCTTAGCCCCGTCAACTGTTCACGGATGTTCTGATCAAATATCAGAGTCAAGTCACTTGCTCTCCACTATCGTTCCCGAGTCCATACAGAGCGGTTGTTTCATGCTTAGAATTACTAGAAAAAAGGTCCGGCAGAGAAAAGTTTCATTAGACCCATACACTGGTGATCTTTTACTCGATCGAAGTGCAACAAAGTCATACAAAAAGCTGTGTGTGGATGACGTTAAGGCCATACGCTCTGGAGCTGATGCACGGAATTATCGTGAGCAATTTAAAATATCTGCTGAGAACGAAGAGCGTTGGTTTACAATTATATATATGAATGCAGAACGGATAAAAGCACTGCATCTAATTTCACCTACTGTGGATATGAAGAATCAATGGCTAATGGCATTAGGCTGCTTGAAAAGTTACAGACTTAGCGAGCTTACTAGTGGTCTTGAACTATTTTCTATGCGACCCCCAGATACTGAATCGCCGATAATGGATGATTCTGTTGCTGAACCACCGCCACAAGCCGTTCCATCCGCTTTCTTGGAAAAACGCCAGAATGCAAGATTATCTTTCCACGATGTAGAGAAAATGTGTCAAAAGTTACACTTAAATGCTTCGCGTTCTTTTCTTCGGTCTATCTTCAGCAAGGCTGATGTCGAAGGAACAGGGAGTCTCAGTTTCGACGGGTTTCAAACATTTGTTAAGCTTCTGAAGACACGGGAAGAGGTGACAGAAATTTTTAAAAAGTATTCTAATAACGGTAGCGTTATGACTGAAGAACAGTTTTCTGGATTCCTCTACTCTTGTCAGAAATTTATTCCTGCCAACAAATCAGCCCAACAACTTTTCCAAAAATTTTCAAAAAAGGACGCATTCGGAATGGACGTATTGGGATTTTCATCTTTTCTTTTGTCACCCGAGAATCATCCGGTTACCCAAGTGGATCAAGACATGACACGCCCTTTAAACGAGTACCTGATTTCCTCTTCGCATAATACTTACTTGCTTGGGCGTCAGTTTGCCGGTGAAAGCTCCATTGAAGGTTACATTCGATCCCTCCAACGCGGCTGCAAATGCATTGAAATTGACTGTTGGGACGGACCGACAGGTCCGAGCGTATATCATGGGCGTACATTCACCACATCAATACCTTTCATTGATGTTATTCGCGTGATTAAAAAATACGCGTTTGTTGCTTCTCCTTATCCCGTCATAATATCACTAGAGATTCACTGCTCCTGTGACCAACAAATTCAAATGGCTAAAATAATGCGAGAAATATTCGGAGAAGCCCTTGTCTCAACACATCTGTCATCCAACGAATCAGTGCTGCCATCTCCGGCTGATCTCTTGTATCGAATCCTTCTGAAAGTAAAATGTTCTCCTTCCGGACCCGCATTAACTAATCCTGGTTTCGTTGACTCATCAACTGATACGACTGGCTCCTCAGAATTCGATAACTCGATTGCAGATGGTGATAGTCCTCAAAAGCCAAAACGGAAAAGCAGGAAACTTATCGTGCCGGAGTTGCAAGAGCTATCTACTTACAGTAGATCTATCAAGTTTCGAAACTTTTCGCTCCCAGAATCTAAAACATATGACCATATATTTTCATTTTCGGAACGGACTATATCCCGTTTCGGAAAATCTATTTATCCTCACCTAAAGAAGCACAATACCAAGTATCTGTGCAGGGTGTACCCGGCCCCCATTCGACTCGGAAGTTCGAACTTTAATCCTCAGTTTTACTGGCGTCTTGGTGTGCAAATGGTTGCCTTAAATTGGCAAACACCAGGTAAGTCTTTAGTCTGTTACTACTTCGTAAGCTTTACTAACTATCACTCAGACTCGGGCTCCATCTTAATGATGCTTTATTTGCATCCGATCCCCCTTGCGGTTTTCTATTAAAACCTATCTACCAGAGACCGAATGGTAGCGATTATCGCGAAAAAAACAGCAATTTGTCCCCCCCTCTCCCATGCAAAATTAAATTAACTATACATGTAATAACTGGACAACAACTCCGTAGGTCAAGGGAAAGTATTCACTTGGATACGCTATCTCCCTACGTTGAGATTAATGTTCACTCGCTTGAGGAAACTCCCATAAAGTGGTCTTCGAAAGTGGTATCCAAGAATGGATTTCGGCCTTTATGGGACGAGTATTTCTATTACGAAAGCGCGACGGTGGATGATGAATACTCCATCATCAGGTACGTACTGACGATTTTTTGTTACTATCAGTTTCTGCTAACAGTTACTCAGATTTTTGGTTCACCATAAACGACCAAACGGTGATGTTCTTGTTGCCCGGTTTGCGTCACCTTTATATCGTTTGAAGGAAGGTTATCGACACCTGCCTCTGTACGACCTCCAAGGAGAACAGCTGCTTTTCTCTACGCTTTTCGTACACATCACAAAAACTTACGTCCCTCCAACGGTTTCCACCCTTCCATAGAATAGACTTTTCAATGATGAAAATAGAAGTAATGACATTCAGGCAGATTAAAAAAGACTTCATTCTCATCGACAAGAATACGAATGAATACTGGCTTTAAATGGTAATTCATGACACATAATTTTTCTTAGAGTCTAGGAAGACTATAATTATTTGCAAAACCTTCAAGACTTTTTTCAGCAGTTTCGCTTCTTAAAGTCTCCCGGAAGACTGCTGATTGCAGCTTCTCCCAGACTGTCAATTCATGAATGAACTGTTGACTAGCAAGAATACTTTTCTTGGTTGTTTCCTCGTGCTCCGCAAGTGCATCTTTCCGTTTCTCATCTAGATTATAGTCTGGCAATTGAATTGCATTTGCAGAAGCAAGAGACTCAGAAGAACCCTGATTTTGATAATCCACAGGGGGACGTTTTGATGCCTGTTGTAGAGTCCGTCTTGCATTAGGAGATGAATGCCAACTGGACCGTGCTGGTGTAACATTTCGACCATCATATGAAGAACGGGAACCACGGGGCCGATAATTTGACGAAGGTGAACTGCGTGTTTGGCTGTCACTGTAATTTACATTTCGTGAACGGTATGGACTATGATACTGATTTTCGGTAGAACCTCTGTATGAGTCGTAACGTTTACTCATTTCCCGTAACTATTTTTCGTTAACTCGTCAGGAAAATGGTCTATGATCACCTCCTCTTGTACTTGATTGCTGAATGTGACGCGTCTGCTTCCAAAGGGCATCTCTTTTCGTAGATGTCAATTTTTTACCTTCTTGGTGGTAAGAAAAATAAAGTTCATTTAGAGTTCGTTTAAGCTTTTAACTTTGTTACAAACGACTTATTACGTGACGCGACATAATTTCATCCAGCAGGCACATAACAAACCCACAAACAGCAAACCATAGCTCTAACAGCATATAAGCAAATAATTCATTCATATCATGGTAGTATATGTCAGCGCTCGTAGGGAGTTACACAATAAATCAATACATAACTCCGAATAACACTGAGCATTTATCTTGCTAGGTATTAGCAACCAACAGACGGTAAAGAAAAGCCACTTGCTGGTGAATAAACTAGCTTCGTCTCACGACGGTGTTTCAATTTAAATTAAGTTTTAATCAACCACTTGCCCACCACATTACACATTGGGAATTCAATAGAAATTGTTTGTCCTCCTTACTTCAGTGGTTGTTGGTACATTCGACCAGAGTTTATAAACAAAAATGTGACTGTATTTTTTAGGGTAGGGTAAAACATTTGTCAAAATTTTCAGGCTGCCGTTTACCAAAATGTTGTCGAGTGGCACGTTAAGTTGTAAAATGGTATATGTCCGTTAGGACTCCTCATAGAGATAATCGAATTGGGTACCTGCATGAGCGTTCGCATAAGATAAAAAGTTGTAAAACCTAGTAGCTGTTAGCAGTCTATAAGCTTTCCTTAAGAAACATACATTTGCTCCTTTTGCTCAATTTCAAACATCTGTGGGAATACTTGGGTGTCTGCAAGCTTTTCCATAGCATTGGCATGCTCGTCAAAATGAATGTCTTCGTAACCTTTGTCCTTCCAATCTTGGGGAATGTTGGAAAAGACTGGGTTTCGTAATAGCAACACATGCCCTGGACTACGGCTGATATTCAATGGTGTCTCCGTAAATGCTTTCGTTACACAAGAAATAGGTGCTGCAGTTCGCACAACCATGATGGCGTGTGCGAGCATCTTTCGAATTTGATGCAGCATGAAAGATTGCCCATGTAAGAACACGGGGACCCATTCCCATTCCTTGTAAACAAATGGCTTTCCAAGTTGGATAGAATGAATATAACGCCAGCTGCTGCGAGAAGCGGCATCCTGGTTCACTGTAAAGTTATGGAAGTTATGATTTCCAATGTATTCTTCGCAGGCTTTCTGAAAGAAAGCAAGTCGGGTACTGGAAACTCGGTACTTCATGTAAGAATGTCTCTCAACACATTTTAAAGCTTTTTTAAGCTTCACTGTCGCAGGAAGTTTTATATGGGGCGGAATAGGTTTGTCTGGAAAGTATTTCGTATAAGGGTTTTGGAAAGATTCTGGATCTTTTTCAAATTCATCTTTCAAACGAATAGACTCAGTGTCAATGCTTTCCCAAAATGTGTTTACTTCTTGTTGGATATCCCGAACGAAATTGGCTTCTTCGTCGGGCAAGTTTTTGCGAGCAAGATTGGGTTGCATTTTCTTGCCCAACTGACACGTAGTTCTCGGCGGAATCAAAGCAAAAGAAGGAAGGTAATACTCATACAATCGCGAATCGCAGCAGAGTCGAGGATTAAATGACATGGGAACTTTTAAAACGTCCCATACACGAATATCTTCCGGCAGTTTTTCATTCAACCGAGTTGCCAATTCTTTGCCTGTAAAGGTGAAATTAGAAACCAAGAATGACACAACATTGCCTAATGCATGAACACCCTTGTCTGTTCTTGCAGCTCGTGAAAGCGAGATGTGATCGGCGTCAGTATCTCGAATTAAACCAAGTGCTTGGAAAACATCCAAAACTACACGCTCAATTGTTGCATGTGGATTGTTTAGTTGTATTCCATGATACTTTGTTCCCGAATATCCAAGAAGGACAGCAATTCTAACTTGACCTACATTACTCTGACAACTTGGCTCCTTATTGACCGTTGCCTGTTTTTTGACTAGTTCAGTATCGGTAACAACATCCCCAGCATCCTCCAGCTTTCTTTTCAACGATTCTTCCATTAAAAACGAGAACAGAAGGCGGACAGGTATGTGGTAGGTAAAAACCCTATTGCAATGTCCGTTTAAGCAATGGTATACATTTAACTACAGAAACAGTCCCCTCTTAACATCATCTTTCCTGTTCGCTAGCACTAATTTTTAATTTTAAGTATGATAATATACAAAACCTAAAGCTCCCTTTCTTAACGTGCTCAGTTACAATGGATGTCGTAAAGACTTTGTAAAATCACTGCAAGTAGATATAAGGGCAGGGCTGAAGTGAATCACTTGGTGAAATGGGAACAATAACAAACCTTGTTACGAACCAGAATCAATGGGAAGGAGGTGGAAACTTTAGTTGTGAAGAAGTAAATAAAAAGAACGACGCAGTATTCACAGTGTAATCATCTATTGCAAATATTAATTAAATAAACACTGTAGTGTTAATGTCCCCGAAAGCGGCGCCAACGGTTCCAATCAATTAGCGCTTGCATACAACCCCTATATTCCAATATTAGTATACGGTTAACGACAAAGACAGTGAGAACTTACCATTCAGTGATCTTCTTTTCCAACCAAACAAGGGAAACAGGCTTTGTTAAAAAGTCGTTACACCCTGCAGCTAATGCGGCATTTCGATCACTCTGTAAACTCGACGCTGTTAAGGCGACAATAATAACGGGCGACCGAAATTCAACTTCTGGAAGTCGATCTCCTTCAGCAATAGGCTCTTCGGGTTTTTTCACGCAGACACCAATTGCATTCACACGCTCTAAGCGACGAATTTCTTTCGTCGCCTCAATGCCAGACATAACAGGTAGCTGAATGTCCATTAAAATAAGATGAAATGATCCCTTTTTCCATTTATCGAGTGCCTCTTGGCCATCATGAGCCACGGTTGAACGAATGTTGCGCTTTTTCATGAAGGCCTCCAAAATCTTTTGGTTAATAATATTGTCTTCCACGATGAGGACGTGAATTGGGGGAACAAGACCATCCAATAATGTTCCCACAGATGCACCTCCAGCACCAGAAGAGGCGGCGATGTTTAAGGACTTTCTTCTGAAACGAGAAGCATGAATGTGATGGTGATCCTGATTGTATGAGGTTGAATCCAAAGGTGACCGTTCATCTGGTGCAATCAGTGGGCTATCTAGAGTGAACGGGGAAAGCTCTTCTGCAGCCTTAGGCTTTTTCAAATCGGAAAGAACACCCTGAGTTGCTTCTTCTAGCGAAACCGAGTCCTTGGAAGACATGAAATTGACACCAACGGCATCAGTAATTGAATTACCTGAATTAGAGTTCTTACGTCGAACTTGAGCAGTTGAACGGGGAGACGGTGGAGCATCGTCAATGGGCAACGTATACATTTGCTCATCGGCAGCTGAAAGTTTCGCCGGTGAACTTGCCTGTAAACAATGTTCGTTACCAGCAGGTGCTGCTGTTGCTGTGGCGGCAGAGCCGTTAGAGACGGCTGCGGAAATTGCCGTCTCATTCTGAGAAGAGGAGTGACGATGGGAAGAAGCATGGCTATGATGGCGAGAAATTCGGGGGAGGAGAAGAACACCGGGAGAAGGATGGTTTGTGTTCATAGCAACGGAACGGCGTGGGCGAGCAGGGTTCGAGGAAGACGTGGAGGATAATGATGCAAAGGGAATGGCGGCACTAGCAGAGTTCGGCGGCATATCACTAGCCATAGCTGCATTTGGGTTAATGGTTAACGGAACATGTGAGTTTCGAAGATTTGGGGATTGCTCGTTGGACGGTTCCAATCCAGCTGAAGGGACCACAGGGAAGTAATCGACTTGATTTCCAGGACCGTTCTCGTGAACATACCGGCTAGTCAGTGGACCAGTATTGCCGTTAAACGGTGCCGGGTACGAAAACGAGCCTCCACCCGTGGTCGACGAATTTGTATATGGAAATGATGAGTATGGAGGTCGCAATGCTGGGGGCACAGGAGGCACTGTGACTAGAAGAGCATCGGATAAGCTTTGTCCACCCGGGTAATACTTCTCCATGATGATGAACAAGCTCTCGTTAGGAGCAAGTTCACGAGCCTGCGTGTCCCGTCCACCGTTGACTTTTGTAACTACGTGGATGGAGACATCGGGTGCATCGTAAAACTGACCAATTCGGATAGGGTACTTTTGGACAATTGCATCTTTTAAGTCATCGACTAGTAGTTCCTTCGTCAGCTTTATTGAAGTAACAGTGCCATCGGGAATCTTCTTTAACCAAACACGCATGGGAGATTTAAACACAGCAACGAATGAATAAACAACGGATTAAAAAACCTCAAAGCGAAATCTTTGTACCAAACAACTGAGACAACAGAGAAGATGATTTTGCTGAGCGTAAAATTTTAAGCAATCGCACAAACACCTCAAGATATATGTCAGGACTTAAGTAATCTCTCGAATACGTCCTAGCTTTTCGAAGATAAACTGCAAAAAACAATTGCCACAATCAAACTGCTGAGTAAAATTACCACTTCTGGGACTCAGAAATCAGCCTTTCCAGAAGGTACTTTTCGCAAAATTCGCAGCTTAAGCTCGCTAAATGTCTAAACTTTGAGTATTCTAGCAAATAACCTGAATAGGTGCGATGAAACCTAAAAACGCAATATTAAATAAGCAAAAACACCTATTTTTTAAATAAGAAATAACCAGGTTCTTTAACGGGAAAAGTAAATGGACGAAAAACGCTCAACGATGCGTTTTTATGTCAAAATCCGGGTACTGCACCTGTGCTGGGGTTGTGTAGAAAGCCTCGGTGCTGCCGGTGTTCGGGATTTTTCTCGGACAACTTGCGATCGCTGATCCCTGCTTGAGTGAGGGTTTCGGAAAACTGAGGAAGTAAAGTCACCGAGAAGTCACCGGCTCCGGCAAGCTTAATCTGGGAACCGGAAAGTGCTAACCGGCTTCGTGTTCAGAGCTACCTTGTATCTCCTGTCATGTCAAATTCGCCAGATATAGCGGCAGAAGTGTCGAAAATAGTAGAGGAGTCAGAGAAATATGGACCAGAAAATGCATTGACGTTAGATCTCTCGCATTTACGTCTTTTCGAGCTGCCATACGAGCAAGTCGAGCGAGTAAAATCCAGGATTGCTCGACTTGCATTAGGACATAACTCTATTTCACATCTGAGTTCTCATATGACTGACTTCACTAGATTAAGGTATCTGAACATTAGATCAAATCACATCCGGGAGTTTCCTCGTGTCTTGTGCGAAATGTCATCGTTGGAAATCCTCGACATCTCACGTAACAAACTAAACGCTCTACCAAAGAATTTTGGCTGTCTGATGTCTCTTAAAGTGCTTTCCGTATCGAAAAACAGACTCAAGGAGCTTCCGGCTTACATTAGTAAAATGCCCAACTTGGAAATTTTAAAAGTTGACAATAATCCCATCCTCTATCCACCCAAGACAGTTATGAGTATGGAGATCCAGGAAACAGATATGTCGCGTTTTCTTGCTGGAATTCAAGGCTTCTTTCGCTCAGAGGAGGAATCTGGTTATCCTGTTCGAAAAGCTATGACTATTCCTGAGGACCATGCAACTCACTCTAAGCTTTCCTTAGCCAAACGAAATTCGGAACCACGCATTCCACATCCCCCTCTCCCCCATGGTGCCACTAATCCTAAATCCGGGTCTTCGTCTGTGCCGACTACGACGCCGTCTGCCGTAACGGTCGAAGAAAGTGAATCTCTTACTACAACTACAACTACCACTACTACTGCAGCAGTAGCAGTAGCAGTAGCAGCAGCAGCAGCTCCTTCTTCCACTACTACTACCACAACAACTACTCTAACTCCTTCTGCCCCTGCGCATGTGCCGGAAAAACCAAGGCGCTCTACCCCTGATATTCTCGTTCCTCTGTCTACTACGTTACAAGCACTCGGTTCCCCGAGCCTTGTTAGCCCGCATTCTGATCCTCAAACAGCGCCGTCTATAGCTTCTTCCACAAATAGTGCTTCTACCTCGACAACACCAAAATCGAATCACACAGAGAAAAAGGATGTTACTGCAGCAGCTCTTTCTCCTTCGGATCATCTAGAGCCACCGGCCATTCCCACTCCTCAAACATCCCCTTCTCCGACTCTCCTTGGTTCACCTAATACATCGAATACTACTCTACCGGTGAGTCCGTCCTCGGTTACTCGGCGCGAGCGGTTTCGTAGCAATAGCACAAGCGGCGAGCTCCGTCACTCAAGGCGATCTTCCACGCAACGACGACTACAAACGCTGGATGAACATGACTCCTCTTCTCCTTCCCGCACCCACACCCGAGGCCATTCTCATGACTGCTTGTTGCAGACTACACAAGAACGCATGGATGTTGATCTCAGTTCTCCTCATGAAGCACAAAAACAGCTCGGTTGTTACTTTCGTAAGCTTCCAAACACTGAGAGCTCGGAATCTTCACCAACGGAAAACGTCCGTCTGCTTGAAGCTTCGCGTGGCATCTTATTTGCACTTTCTCAAGTCCATCAGATGCTTCGAAACTATCTTCTCTTCTGCAACAACTCCAGTGTTCTTAATGTCATGCAGAAACTGCTTCACAATGCCAACACACATGTAGGCTGGCTGGTTCAGGTACTGGAGAAAGTCACTGAGAGTTTTCAAGAAGATCCTTTTGACACACAGTCTCTAATTCACGCCTCCACCGCATGCATTGCTTCTTTCCGGCGCGTTATAGAAGCTGCACGAAAGTATTTAAATGAGCTCACGGGTAGCGCTAATGTCCGCTATACACGGACATTGATTTTGATGCTGTACGGTTCTGCCAAGGAGCTACAAAACTCCCTTCACCGCATAATTCCACCGAACGCTCAACCCGCAGCAGCGGAAAACCAACATGTTACGTCTCCACTAAATCATCGACTCCCCTCGAGTGTGTTTCCTCGTCCCGACAAGGTAGCTTTGGGTGTTGCAACCCCTGCTGCCATTGAAACTGATCACCAGCTTCTCGAGAAAGTGAGTATAGCTATCAAAAGTGCGAATTCTGTGTTATCATTACTCACGGATGCTGTCGCTAAGAACGCTTTGGCGGGTGCTCATCCTCAAACAGCTGCCACTGCTAATACTAATCCATCAACTAATGCCAAATTGCGTGAACTCGCAAGTATGGCCGTTTCCGCAAGTGAGATTACACGACGTTTGAAAACACGCATTGTGACACTACATACACCACATGACGATTACGAAACAATACGATTTTTTGATGATACCCAAGCTTTTGTAAAAGCTGTCATTGCTGTTGCTAATGCGGCAAAATCCGTGTCGACCGAGTTCAGCTTTAACAAAAACGTTCTTACGGGATTGTCCACCTTGACTCGCTGCACAAAGGAGCTTATTATTCTCCTCTCTACATTTGGTACACGACAGAATCCAACTAATAGCGCGGTACACGACACGCAATCTAATGCCAATTTATCACCCATTTCTCGTGTTCCGGCCACCCCTCTGTCTGCCGCTCTGGGCTCTGCAGCACAATCTATAATATCTCCTCTTATCATGTCTCCGGCTGCAATGCCCCAATCCTCTAACCACGTCAATTACGATTATTTCTCTGAGGTGGATACATCTTCCATTGATGCCAGCAGCATTCACAAACCCTGATACCCAACTTCTTTCTCCCGCATTACCCCTGTTCTCCTTCGCACGTGTTCCCTGTTATTCCTTCTCCGTAATGTCTGTTCGTCTATCCCGTTTGCGTTTCCCCGCATCACCTTTCTAGTTGCTGGGTTGGTGATCGCTGCTAGAGCAAATATTGTTTCCGTATCCTAACCGTGTGCCTGAATTCCACGGAATCCTATACTATACCCTAAATACCTACTGTTCCACCTCAGTTCACGCACCGCCCGTTTTTGGAAAATGCGATGTAACTCGAATCCAAATTCCTTTGGCCAAAGGCCATCAATCGTACTTAGTCCACTGTCTTGGGCCGCATGATGCCCTTGGCATTTGTTTACAAGCGTAACGCCTCTATTTTTCGTTTGCTTCTAACAATAAGGTCGTCTAATTCTTGCATTTCGCCGTGACTAAGACGGTGATACTGTATAGAAGAGCATTTCTCACTATTGTCCTTGTCTCTAGAAGAGCAAAGTTGAATGGCCAATTTAGCGAATTCAATTGCCTTCTCATAATTTCTTAAATAGTACTGCTCTTCTGCGGCGAACTTGGCTTGCTCCGTCAAGTACTTTTCATCGGTTGCAACTACCTGATTATTCTTCGTCAAATGCTACCCTTGTTAGTTCAAATTCTTATGTTCAAGCATGTTCAAACGTAAGATAAACTCTCTCTAACACAAGCATATCTTTGTTTCCTACCCCGAAATCCTGTATTCTTGGTTCCCAGCTAAGATTTTGCGAAACAAGGTTCTGAAGACGAGCTTCTCTTTTCTGCTTTGATTCGTCTGGCTCAAACTCCAGATCTATCTGAAACAGCTCATCCATTCTGGTTGTTTGTCAAACGTGTTTCTGCCACTTTACAGTGTATGATTGTAAAAATGCGTGGATAAAACTATTGAATGCTACACCAAAAACTCACCACCAAAGGGGAAGAGCCGTTCCATAACCGTTGGTTAGCGGTATGGAGACATGGGGGAGCTGCTAGAAGCTTTCCCTAAAGCTTCTAGCTGAATCCCTGCTGAAACCCCAGTGAGCTGTCTTGGCGCAATGCCACTTTCGTTATGATCATGAAGTTCCGCTTTTGTTCTGTTACTGTCCATAACTTATCAGACTAACTTGGGTGCTATTGAAACGAGTTTGAGGAGCTTTTTGTCTCTAGTTTCTCGAGCAATAACCCCTAAAATGCGTGTGCCGAGAGGTTCACGGTTTTTGTCAACAAGAACGCATGCGTTGTCGCTAAACCTGAGCCAACTTCCGTCAGGTCGTTTTACGGGATATCGGGTTCGTACTACAATGGCCCGGTACAGTTCTCCACGTTTGACCTTGGTAACATTGCTCGATCCGATGTTACTCTTAGCTTTGTGTACGACTACAACAATTTCGTCTCCTATAATCTGTCAGCTTGTGTCGGAACAGAATTGCGCTTTGTGTAATTCATATTATTTTTTCATACCCACCGAAGCGAATTTCCCAGCCCGCAACACCTGAATGCATTCTGCTGTAATAGCTCCCTTATAAATTCAGTAAGTATGAATGACCATCCGTCTTCTTGTAGTATGTCCTTACTGTGTTATCGATCACCTTCAGTAACGCCTTTAAAGCAATCATCCTTGACGACGCTAGTTACAGTGGGAGAGATTGTACCAATTTCTGAGTATAGTGAATCGCAGTATTCCTTGTAATAACGTATTTAACGCACACTAACAAGCCTCTCATTAACCTTAAAACACGCCCTTTCCTTTTAAATGAAAAACTCGACGCGGGAATGACAAAACGACACCCCTCACTTAGACCCTTTTCCTTTGCTAAAAATGAGTAGCCCTTAGGGCGAAAACACAGTTTAAGTACAATCAAATAGTTCTGTCTGACCTGTGCCATTACCGTGACATTCGTTTTTCCTTTAATACACTCTTCAAATTTGTGAATGGTTCATCTGTCTTTGTCAAATCAAGTGAAGATCCCAGCTTCAAATTCGACTTTGAGTCTTATTATTACAATGCAATACAGTGATGTTGTTCTAAACAAGGATTTTTGCTACTCTTATCTTACTCCATAAGCCTCTCTTAACGCATCCTTTACCTACCACTTGATAGTTCAACTCGTTTTGTGTTTTTCCTTCAGTTTACAATTCCTATAACATACAACTGGTTAATACCAATATAGACACTTTCGTTGCTGCTAATTGTCCTTGTTGTGCTGCGAAAGATGGATAAGCTTCTTCGTCCAGAAATCCCCCCTCAAACAACTCAGGAAATGTACGGTGTCCCTGAAAATATCCTTGAGATTGATGTACGTGTCTTATTCCGATACTGTTGAGGATGTGTCTGTGTGGAATTCTGTTAGCTAAGCCGTGGTTAGGTTGTAAATCCCCAAACTCATGGCACCGGTCGACATATGTTCACGACGTATGAAATTCAAACACGGGTACGATGCATTCAAGTCGACTATGAATTGTTGGTTACTAACCTGTGGCATATTGGATGCCTTAAAGACAAACATTCCATCCTTCAAGTTTAAAGTCTCGAGTGTTCGTAGACGGTACAGTGAATTCGAGCAGTTTCGCGATATTCTTGAGAGAGAAGCCGGCCGTATTCAAATCCCCCCTCTTCCTGGAAAAGTTTTCACTCATCGTTTTCACGACGATGTCATCGAAGAGCGTCGCAAGGGTTTGGAGAAGTTTTTGAGAATGTATGTACAACAAGATCGCCTACGGTTCATTATGTAATGCTCTTGGGCCTTTCTACATCAACCAGAATGTGATTTCTGCCTTCAACCTACTCTTTTATTAACACGCTCTTTTAGGGTCTGCAGCCATCCACTACTGCAAACTGGTTCCCGTTCTCTTTCGGCATTTTTGCAAGAACAACAGTTTGACGCTCGCATGTGGACATCGTAAACCGTCTTTCAGGTCTCTAGAGCTTCCAATTACGGCATCCTCGTCTGTTTTTTCATAAACCGACAATTTTTCTTCAGAAGGTACATCCTGCTTTTTTCTGACTCCTTTTCCATTCATTACGCAGTATTCCATTAATGAAGTAAGTTAGACTCTGTGATCGACATTGCTCGTCGCTTATTACGGCATTTACTGCCTTTTGTGTCGTTTTTCGTTCCTCATCCGCCATTTCCAGTTAGCGACTGCAATTGTTCCTTTGCGCCTTTCACGTTCGTCATTTTCATTTTCATACTAACACTTTACAGTACTATACGTGAAATTGAGCGTCTTAATGAGAAAGAGCTTGGCAAATCGTTAAGTGCATCATGGCACCAAGACTATAAGGATAGCGCTTACATTTACATTGGCAATCTGGACAAGTCGTTAAACGAACATGATGTTGTGCGTATTTTCTCCGAGTTTGGCACTCCTGTCGATATTCATCTCGTCCGTGACAAGGAGACGAAAGAGTCGCGAGGCTTTGCGTTTCTAAAATACGCAGACCAGCGATCTACCATCCTTGCCGTGGACAACATGACGAACGTAAAACTTCATGACCGGTTGGTCCGAGTTGACCATGTTGCCAATTATCGGGTACCGGAAAACATGGAACCCTTAGAAGGTGATCCGTTGGGATTGGCAAAGAGCGAAGGCCCGGATGAAACACAATCACCGAAGTCCTCAAATCGGGGCGGCGAAAGGACCGCGAGAGACAAACCAGTGTCTGCAGAAGACTTTGAGAAAGAAATGATGGATCCTATGCACGAATACCTAAAGTCTCGTTCGCAGGAGAAAGAGGGCGAGCGAGAAGATCGAAAAAGGTCTCACCGTCATCGACATCATCATCGGACTGAAAGGACGCACAGACACGCTCGTTCTTCGGAAGCAGAGCGACATTCGAGAGGTCATGTATCGCGTGAACATAGCTCACGAAACCGTCCCCCAGCTGCCAACGATTCTGTTTAAGTACGTGACCTTTTAGTCAGTCGTAGTTGCGGTTTTGCGGTGTCATTTGTCTTGTCTCATTATAAACTTCATCCTATCATTCAAAACAAAACCTCTTCAGTAAACGGTTGTACCATTTAATCCTTCTGGCTGCTTCATTTTCCTATATATACTCATGAACTATTCATAATTAACTTATTTTTTAATACGAGGTGTGAAGTACAAAAGTGTGTTGTTTTTGATACAAAGTAACGGGATTAGCTTATAGATGTAGGCAACGTTTGAAAAACAACTGTTAAACCGACATCGTGTTCGTGTTGCAACCCGTTCCTCGCACCTTCTCTGACATCTTCTTGCTGTTTCCCCTACGTTCCAGGCCTTGTTTCGCCTGTTCCTCGTACACCAGTGCATATACCCTTATTATTCAGATACCGTCAAAAATGGGCTTTCAGGCATACGAATTGTCAAAAACACTATCTCTCCATTCACAAGATGTAAGTAGTTTTGGTTTAAGAGTTCTTATATTGACTTTTTTTGTTAGGTTCGGGGCGTTTGTGCGATTTCAAATGAATTGTTAGCTTCTGCTTCAAGAGATGGCACTTACGCCATATGGAAGCTCGAGAACGGATCTTGGACACACTCTGTGTATACAAATCACGATGGTTTTGTTAATAGTATTGCCTATATCCCTAGATCAGATGGCTCGTTGGGTAAGACAGTATTTCTTCCATTTTTTAACACGTTCTAACCGGAATTCTGCTCGCAGGCTATGTTGCTACCGGAGGTCAAGATAAGACCGTTATTCTTCACGACATACAATCAGATAAAGCGGATGTATATCTGCTAGGTCATGAGTCTAATGTGTGTGCCATTCATGGCATTAACGAAAATATAATAATCACAGGAAGTTGGGATGCCACGGCTCGTGTATGGGCCTTAGGGCAATGTACTTATACTCTTCGTGGCCATTCGTCTTCTGTTTGGGCTGTTCTTGCTTTAGATGCAGAAACATTTGTCACCGGATCTGCTGATAAAACCATACGTTTGTGGAAGAATGGTAAAACTGTGAAAACGATTAATGCCCATAATGACTGTGTACGCTTCCTTTGTCGTGTTCCCGATGGTTTTGCCTCTTGCGGAAACGATGCGACAATCAAGATTTGGACGTTGGATGGTAAACTTTTGCGGGAGCTTAACGGACATTCATCCTTTATCTATTCACTGTCCTACAATGCAACTAAAGACATACTTGTATCCTCTAGTGAAGATCGTTCTATCCGTGTTTGGAAAGAAGATACTTGTCTGCAGACGATTACACTTCCTGCTACGAGTGTTTGGTCGGTTGCCTGCACTCCCAAAGGAAATATTGTTTGTGGAACAAGTGATGGTCAAATTCGTATATTCACTACCGATCCAAGCGAGCTCGGTTCTTCTAGTGAGCGGAAAGCATTTCAGGATCAAGTAGCAAACTTTGCCGTGGCTTCTCAACAAATTGGGAATATTCCCAAGGAGCAATTTCGAAAGGCTGATGATTTACAAAGACCTGGAAAGAAGGATGGAGAAGTTGCTATGGTTCGTCATAATGCATCCGTTGATGCTTATCAATGGTCCGCAGCTAAGAATGAATGGGTGAAAATTGGACAGGTTGTGGATGCCGTTACAAACAATCGAAAACAACTTTATGAGGGCAAGGAGTACGATTACGTCTTCGATGTAGACATTGAAGACGGTAAGCCCCCTCTTAAACTTCCTGTCAATGTGACGGACAATCCGTATCTTGTTGCTGCAGAGTTTTTGGAAAAGAATCGACTTCCCAGTACGTACACTGATCAAGTGGTTGAGTTTATTCGTCAAAACACACAAGGCATGCAATTTGATGTTCCTACTCAGAACAAATCTTCCACGACATCCACTGCATCTTCCAAACGTCCATCCCTTTTTCCTATAGCCTATTATACGTTTACCGAGGGAAACCTTGAAGGAATGCGGAAACGTTTGTTGGTTACTTATGAAAAGGCTGCAAAGCCTGTGACGGACACACGCTTTCGCGAATTTCTTTCGCTTTTGCCAAAACTCAAAACTTTATCAGAGGATGAAACGAGCCTCTGTATTGAGGCAAGCTTACTCCTTTTGGACTCATGGTCTTTAGAAGAAAGGTTTCCGGTACTCGATGTTTTGCGGCTTGTTGCTCTCCAGCCGCGTGATTCATATGTTCCTGTGCTTACGGATGCCTTTATGCAAGTGCTTCGCACAGTTTCCGGACAAGGAAAGTTTGAAAGCATTAATCGCATGTTGGCTTTGCGGGGATTAGCAAATCTAATTCCGCATATGAAGGATTTTGGAGAGTATACCTCTCAGATCACGATCGTTATGAATGAACTTTGCCCTAATGATACCGACAAAGATGAAGTGAAGGTAGCATGGGCTACTTTGATAATGAAGTAAGTCGATGCGATGAAAAATAAATCGAACTTTACGTTTACTAACTATTTGAAAGTATTTGCACGAAGTATGAAAGCGACATTTTGGAAGACCTCTCGATCGAACTGTTACCCAAATTGATCACGGTATGAAAAGCAATTTACTTTTAACTTGAACTTGGACTAACCATATCCCAACTAGTTCCTTGGAAGACAAAGATTGAACAGTGAAACTGTGTATCGAACACTTATGGCACTGGGTACCTTGTGTATCATGCCGACTGTTGCATCTGCCGCAGTACAAGTCTATGATGTGCCCAAGTGCGTCAAGCCTGTGGTGTCCAAATTCGAAAGCGAGTCAAGAATGAATGTCGCATTCAATGAGCTTGTAAGTATTTGCAAAGCAAGTCAATGAAAGAACCGTTTATTTAAACGGGCTTTGTTAGATGCACTCGAGCTGGAGGAGCATATATCCGTTCCACTGCTCATTTGCAAAGCTCATTGTGTAGCTTTACGGTAATGAATATGACCATTCCTTATGTATTATAGGACGTTTCAATAATATATATACAGCTAATCTCTTTTTATTTAACGTTTCTGTAACGACCAACTTCAATCCTTGCAACAAATCTTCCTTCCCTTCACCTACCACATGGCGCCCAGACGAAAGTCCAAAGGAGCGGCCTCTGCGGTCAATAAAACGAAAATTAAGAACAAGTCTGCTGTAAAAAAGAGTAAACGCTCTAGTAAGACTGAAAAACCTGCTGTACGTACGCTCAATTCTGTTCTTTGGACTAACTTTGAAAAGCAAGTAATACTTTCCTCGAAGAACACCAAAAAGGAGAACAAGAAGCAAGTCAAGCTTCCACAGCTCGAAGAGAGATCTCTTACGGAAGAAGATGTTGCATTTATCGAAGAGAACAAGGAGCATTTAGGATTCCTTGCGAGCTTGAAACCCGAGGAATTGGCAAAGTATGTTTGCTTCTGGGATTTATAGTGAAATTTGTTAACATTTGTATTATAGAAAGGTTGAAAAGGGCTCTCGTCCGGCCATATACGATGCAAAGAAGTCTCAGGCTTCAAACTCAGAAGATGAAGACGAGGAAAACTATTATTCAAATGACTCTGAAGCTGAACAGGACTACGAGATGCGTCCTCGAGTTATCAAAAGCTATAATCCAAACGTAACAAACCGTCTGCCTATCAAAACTGCTAGTGGCGCACTCGGTGTTGCCGATTATGTGCAGCAGGACGAAGAATCTGAGGCTAGCAATGAAAGCGAGGAAGAGAAGGAGGCCCCTTCTGCAGAAGAAATGGACGTTGACGAAGCTGCCATTCAGCCGGTCAAATTGGAGAAACCCTTGTCGACAAAAGAGCAACTGCTAAAGAATAAAGAGGATATCGCTTCTTGGGCACAAAAGATTCTTGAAGATCCCATTGAAGAACTTCATCACCTTCGGGACATTTTGGGACTATACGAATCTGAATTGGTCTCAACAAAGAAGATTGCTCTTCTTTCTACCTTGGCGGTTTTCAAAGACATTATTCCCGGTTATCGCATTCGTCCTCTCACTGAGGTTGAAAGAGCTGCCAAAGTTTCCAAGGAGGTTGCTATCATGCGCGAACACGAAGAAAGTTTGTTAAAGTTGTATAGTATGTACCTTGGTATTTTGGAAACAATTCTGAAAACACTTTCGCGTTCCGAAGACAAGAAGGAAATTTCACTATATCTGACTGCAATTCGTTGTGTCTGTACACTTGTGGAAAGCGCTTCTCATTTTAACTTTCACGAGAAACTGTTCAGTATGGCAGTTCACCAGTTGGCCACTCGGAGACAAACTGAAGGTACTACACAACTTCAACGTGCCATTGTAAGTCTTTTCGAAGAGGATGAGCTTGGTCAGGTGTCGCTTGAGCTTGTTCGTCTGTTATCAAAAATGATGAAACAGCGGGATTACGAGGTCCATCCTACTGTACTTGACTTATTCCTTCATTTGAGGATTCTCACAACAATGGAACGCAAACACGAGGAAGAAGAGGGTTACTATGCAGGGCCGAAACGGAAGAAGGATCGTGTTCATTTCTCCAAAAAGGCCCGTAAGGCATTTAAGGAAGAGAAGAAGATTAAAAAGGAGATGAAGGAAGCGGAGGCTGTCATCGCATCTGAAGATCGTGAACGGAATCAATCTGAGGCTCTGAAAGCCGTTTTCCTTACTTATTTCCGTGTCTTAAAAACACCGGGCAAATTAGTCGGCAATGCGTTGGAGGGCATTGCACGCTTTTCTCATCTTATCAATGCAGAATTCTTTGCCGATTTGCTTCAGGCTCTGCGTGAGTTGGTTGACGACGACAATGTTCGTATTGCTGCCTCGAAAAAGCCAGGACAAACAACGCGTGAAGCTTTACTCACTGTTTCCACTGCCTTGGAACTGGTGTCGACGCATGGAATTGGAAAAATGAATTTAGATCTTGACTTGTCTTCATTTGTGTATCGCTTGTACGGTATACTTTATCCATCCTGTTTGAACCCGGACATTGACTTGACAGATCGTGCCGTGCGTCTACGTGATCCTGATGCGCCTAACAAGCCTCGCAAGGTCAACCTTGTTACAGAGATGGAAATTATTCTCAAGTGCTACCAGTATCTTTTCTTTAAAACCCGCAATCCCAATTTCACCCGACTTGCCTCCTTCACCAAAGCATTGGGAACAGCAGCTCTCCAATTGCCTGAGCAATCGACGAAAGCTGCACTTACATTGCTCGTGCGTATCCTAAGTCGCTTCTCTAAACTCCAGCGTATGCTGGCTTCAGACGAACGTGTTGGCGATGGTTTGTACCAACCTTTCGTGGAGGATCCAGAGCTCTGTAATTCTACGTCTGCCATTCTTTACGAACCATTCCTGTTGCGAAATCACTACTCCCCAGATGTTTCGAGCATGGCCAACGAACTGTTGAAATCGACGACGCAGTAAGGAGGGCAAAAAGAAAAAAAAAAGTATTCATTTTTGGAACACTACGGATATAAAGGGAAATAGATTTCAATGGATAACAAAAGGGGAAGTGCGGTGACTACGGGAATGTGAGAGAGGCATGTATTGTATCAAGTATTTCGCTTGTATTGCCAGTTTCCTCTACGGGAACTGAGTCCGTATCGCAAGCTTTATAACCTTAGATATTAGATAAGAGGGACGGGTATAGTATACGTCATCCTGCTAAACGTAGCGACAATCTATCCCGCAGAAAGTATTCGCGACCCCGCCGCCCTAAATGAAGCTTAAGTTGCCAAATCGTCCTCAATTATTCGTTATACAATTCCTGGTGCAGCAGTTTAATCGTAAAATTGGACAGGATTGCTCTCACCGGCAGAGCTACTGATCTCCTTCACTCAGTCCCCTCAATTGTGATGACAACGCTGGTTTGGCTAATCGCGCTGGTAACACCAGTAGAGCATTAGTAGTTAATGCGCCAGCCATTTGTGGGGAATACCAGCAGAAACTGGCACGCGTAACGGGTCTATATGAGGAGGAGCTCCGACAAACGTTTCTGAAAAAGCCAACACACCCTTTGGCTTGGTTGAGCAAATCCCTTTGTCCTCTCGTACCCCATTTTCTCTAAAACCACAAACTAAATAAGAAAAGCGACGAATCTCTGTTCACTACGACTTCTGTTTGTCATGAACTGGAGCAAGTTTATTAGTAAATTCTTAGTACTGCTAGTAGCAGTGCCAATTCATGCCTTTACTCTTGATGCCAACAACAATGCTTCGGTAGTTGAGGGCATGAAAATTACCACAAATGGCCTTATGGACTATTACAGTGCATCTGGATTCTCGTTTGTCAGTGTTTACTGGTGGTTGACGGGTTCCATCTGTGATGCGTTTTTCAAGACCATTGCACTTACGGGCAACAAGACGTATTACAACATGGTAAACCAGATCATGGTCTATCAAGCTGGCGACAACTTTGACTATGCCCCCGAATCGCAAAAACTCGACCTCGGAAACGACGACCAAGCTTTCTGGGGTTTGTCGGCAATGACAGCTGCCGAATTCGGCTTCTCTGGCACTGCTGACAAGAATCATTCCTATCTTGCAGCTGCCGAACGTGTTGTCGAAGAAGAGATGAGCCGCTGGGATGACAGTACTTGCGGCGGTGGTATTCGCTGGCAATTGTACTCGTTCCGCAACGGATACAACTACAAGAACTCTGTGACCAACGGAGCCGTTTTCCAGATCGCCGCTCGACTCGCTCGCTATACTGGCAACGAGACATACGTTGACATTGCCAACAAACTGTGGGACTGGAGCGTGTACGTTGGCTTCCTTAACTCGACTGACTACACAGTCATTGATGGAGGCATGACAGAGTACGACTGCTATACCATCGATGTCACTCAATGGTCGTACAACGTTGGTCTGTACTTGGGCGGTGCTGCCTACATGTACAATTACACAGACGGTGATAGTACGTGGAAGGAGCGTCTTGATGGACTTGTTAATAAGTCCATCACGACTTTCTTCAAGGACGGCATTCTGTACGAACCTGCTTGTGAAATTGCAAACACTTGCAACGCTGATCAAACTTCTTTCAAGGGTTATCTCGCCCGGTTCTTGGGCTATGCCATGAAGCTTGCTCCCTATACCCGTGACACTATTTTGCCTTTGATCAAAAAGAGTGCAGAAGCCGCTGCCCTTGCGTGTTCCGGTGGACGTGATGGCTATACGTGTGGTGGCCGTTGGTATTGGAATAATGGTACATGGGACGGAAACTACGGTGTTGGTGATGAGCTCTCTGCTCTCGAAGTCATGCAGACCGTCCTTATCGATCAATACCCCGTTCCCCTGAAGGCTCACTAAGGGAGTATAGGAGTACTGAAAAAAACAGACACTACGCCCAGAGACGACACAAGAATATCTCAGGCATTCAAGATTTCAAGGCACTTGCTTGTCTTCATCAGACACACCGATTTGCTTTTCATATGTGTATGTCATCGCAGCTTTCACCATTCCCATTTGCATGTATGTCGCATAACATGTAGCATACTTCATCCTTCTTTTTTCTCGTTCAATGCATTACTTTTTTATCGTTGTAATCACCGTCGCAGCATTCTAAGAAAAAAAAAAGCGTTGTTATTTTGCTTTTTACTGTTGAATGCTGCGTAGGTATGCTTGACGGCATTCACTCTTTTCAGCCTCAGCGGTGCGAGGAAGGGCAATCCATTTGGGATTTTCGAGGAATAGGCGCATTGCATGGGTATAGTGTTTTTCTGTTGTTGTAAATCGGTGATACAAACCAGCTGGAAGAACGAGTAGATCACCTTTTTCGACAAGTACACGAATCCAACGGTCGTCTGCGGATCGAACGTCAAAAAAACCTTCCCCGTCAAGGATGAGTCGACTCTCGTCGTCTTCGTGCAGATGTTCCTCGAAGAAAGTAGCCAATTTAGCGTCATACGCATCACCAAATGTTTTCCGGCTGATGACAACTTCGTCCCGTTCGCGGAAAGCGAATTCTTCCATAATTTGGTTTGCAAATGCAACCAAGTCTTCATCCTGGTGTCTGTAGTTGACGCCAATCCGTCTTAAATCGTCTAACGTTGCCAACTCACCCGAGTCATTGGGACTGTGTGGATTTAGAGAGCTTTCTTCGTAAAAGTAGGCCTTCATTTTCATTCACCTATGGTTTTCTAGGATTCCTTTTTCAGATGGCGGTGTATATATAATAAAGAGATTTTGGATTAGTTAGTCCGTGTTTCTTCTTGCAGTCTTTGCGTTTGTCATCGTCTTTTTCTTCTTCATCTTAGGTAATAATAAAAATTTTGATTGATAAAACCGATTGGTTCTATTGATCCTAATTTCTCAGAAGAGTCGGTACATGATGTTGCAATTATTTACTCTTCATTCGTAAACAATTCTCAGGACGCCAATCCAGCTCGTCTGCACGTAACCAATCCATAATCACGCTGACGAAAGCGAGCCGTCAAACCAGCAAACAGGGGAAGACGAACCAGTCGTTTGGCGTCCTTCTTCCCTATCGGAACGTGCGATCTAAGGCGAAGGAAATAGTTCACCAACACAAGCTGGCCAGCGCCCACGTTGAACTGCAGTAAAAGTCGTTGACGGGAACAATCAGTGAACTTTTTTATAAAGCATATTTTCTGTGTAATCCAATTCGATACCGCCATGAAACGACTGTTTGGATGGCGGTTATTTGAATCTATGGCTTTCATTGCTCGTCGCCAATCATTCGTCTATCCGGCTTTTATACAACAACGTTTTTACCATCTCGTGGAAGCCGACCTAGATGAAACGTTTATACGCGGACACGGCCCCGGTGGCCAGAAAATTAATAAAACGAGTATAGTGTGTCAATTGCGACACAAACCAAGCGGACTCATTGTTCGGTGTCAGGAAACCCGTTCTCGAGAACAAAACCGAAAAATTGCACGAAAAAGACTCGCAGAAAAGTTGGATTTATTGGCAAACGGAGAAAAAAGTCGTTTGGCTCAAGACCGTCAACGAATACTTAGACGGAAACGTCAACATGCCAAACGTTCTCGGGAAAAGTATTCATTGACAACGGATGAGGACGATGGAAACAAGATACCAACAGAATAAGCAGAAAATGAACTTAGACTTGGCAGAGAATTTGAACATCAATGTGTTCTTTTTTTTTCAGTAAAACTCTCCGCTTTTTTACCTGAGAGCTGTGTTCTAGCCTCAAGCTTTTTAGGATCCTCGAATACGTCGAGCAAGTTGCATGTCTCGTTGCATAATTGTTACGCGTTTTGCATGAATGGCACACAGATTCGTGTCCTCAAAGAGATGCACGAGGAAAGCCTCTGCAGCTTCCTGGAGGCACTGAATTGCAGTTGACTGCCAACGCAAGCCGATGTCGGTTGCAAAGTTTGCGACAAATTCAGATGAGATTTCACGGACAAGTCTGGCGAATGGAAGCCGTTGGATTAACAGGTCCGTCGTTTTTTGGTATTTTCTGATTTCTCGAAGAGCAATCGTCCCTGGACGATACCGTTTTTTTCGCGGATATGGAATTGGGTCACCTGGCTCCGCAACAAAAGAGCGTTTAGCCATTTTTGGCCTGGTAGAATGCAATTTACCAATTGTTTTGGCAGAATTCCTACAAATTCTACGGGTATCTTGCTGAATTGGCTGGGCTAGGTGTTCGGGAAACGATGAGTTCGCTGCACGCGTCAGTCAGTGATGCAGCACGCACAGGGTACGGGTTAACCTTAATTTGAGACCGACTGTACACCATTGTAAGCAAGAAAACATACTTAAATACTTATCGGCGCTGTGATTTTGTGAGTAGTTTCAATGGACAGGACTCTTCTCTACGTTTCATTTAATGTGTAGATCATGTAAATTTGTTTTCTGAAATTTTTAATGCCTTTCTTCATTGTTCCCTCCTCCTATTTATTTAGTGTGCTGCTGCTCTACATTCAACTCCGCCTGTGCGACCTGACCCTGCTTGGTTCTCTTCTTTGCTGGTCTGTCAGAAAAGCGTTTCGTAGCCCCACAAACAGCACAGGTGCGTAAAACGCGGTCAAGTTCCGGCTTTTTCGCACTGGAAATCTCGTATGAGACGCGACACGTTTTTCCGTACACGAATGGTGTATCACATCGCTTACAAATCGTCCGTTTTATGTGTGGGTGAACACGAAGGACATTTTTTTGGGAAATAGAGCGAATCGTCGACGCGTACTGACGCGCTAGTCCCAATTCGTCCGTTTGTGTTCCAAGGAGCATGGATGCCTGGTACAAGTAGGACATCCGTGAATGCTGATCCTGCTTATTCATCACGGCAAAGAGGGCAAGGAGGGCAGCAGGAAGGGCAGGAAGGGCGACGAGGACGAATAACTCAAAGTTCAGAATGGGAAGGAATGTCCTATATGACGAGCTTGAATGAACTGCGTTATAGAAAGTTTAAGAGGTGATGTGCTCAACCTCTGTAAGGGTGTAATACGGAGATGTTTACGGAACCGTGTTAATATATTTTTACGCGACATAACGTATGCGATCGAACAATGGTGCATCTCATTAAAGCACTGATCAACGAAAACGCCCTTACACACGTTAAACAACATAACGAAATATTAAACTGCCTCGTAACTCTTCACTAAATCACGAAACTCGTTAGTTACTACTATCAGTCATTTTAACCTGGCTGGTTGAGCGTGATAGCCGCAATGAAACGGTTTGTGCTGAAAGAGTTTCTTACTGAGACGCCGCTACAAAAATTGCGCGCAACCCTTAGCGATGTCTTATCGCCCTATTACAGTGAGCAAAAAGAGCTTACGGAACACCCGGAGCCTTCCGAGAAACTGACACTACTGCCTGGTGAACACCTAGTGTATTTCAACGATGCGAGGCCCGAACACGAATTGCTCGGAGACGGCTACGACAAGGACCACGCACCTTTCACAGAAAGCGGCACACCAATCCCGTTCAGACATCGACTGTGGTTGTACGGCTCTATAGAACATACAGCACCGCTACACTTGCACCAGTACGCCAGATGCCATGAGCTTGTACGAACCGCCACAGACCGAGTACATGTACAACGCGACATTTATTCATCCAATGGACAACTATGCATACGCGAAAACCGCACATTAGGTTACGTTCAAAACGACGTAAACACTCGCAGGTTTATTCGGATGCGCCAACAGACAGCAGACACGCAGACATTTCATCTGACACCAACGCCAGTTCTTGTGTGGAGATACTCAGCACTCATGTTCAATGCTCACCGCATCCATTGGGATTGGCGATACACGACACAGCAAGAGTCATATCCCGAATTGCTGGTGCCCGGTCCGCTGCTGGCAACGTTCATGCTTCAATACGCTCAGAGTCTACACCCTCACAAGAGTGCGTCAGATTTTCGTAATTTTACGTACAGGATCCTCAGCAGTGCGTGGGTAGGCAAACAGATTGCCTTGAATGCTTCAATGTCTAATCCACAGGCGGTTTGGATAGAAGACTTGGAAACGCATGCGTTAATAGCACGCGGCAGCATCACGTTTAACTCTTAGTGTGCATGACGAAAGAGCAATGAAGAACCGTGAGTATGCAGGTACATCGAATGCGAACCTTGTCCAGTTTTGCGGGTTGGTGAAGAGGAATAGACCGGATCCAGGAAGAAATAAGTTAAACATACATAAAAAGGGAAAATAAAATAGGAATAGGACATGACATAATGAAAAGAAAACTCAACGAAAACGTGGCCATCTAGAAAGAAGTATTGAGTATGCGATCGGAGATGGAGAAACAAAAGGAGGAATGAATCGGAAGAAAGAACATCGTAAAAGGAGGGATATTAGAAGTAGCGCGAGTAAACGAGCAAACGAAAAAGGACAAAATAAACGGATAATACAAAATCAAAAAATCACGAGGGAAAGGGGAAGCGCACTAGAATGGTGAAAAAGGTAAACAGCACCACTGCACACCTCACTCGTTTGCGAGAAAGATCATTTTAATGGCCATGTTTGACACGCATGTGACGAACTAAAGCATCGTGCCGACTAAAAACACGTTGGTCACCACAAATACTGCATTTAAACGCAGCCTTGTTCTTAGCGTGCACTGTGTCTTGATGCCGGACCAAGTCATAGGTTCGTGAAAACACTGTGTTGCAAATCTCGTTCGAGTTACGTGCAGGGAGCGTGCAACGGAAAGGGCCGGCTTGCTTAGCAAACTTGTACTTTCGCCTCCGTTTCTGGTTGGGACGCGTCTGTGTGTCAATAGAAGCGACCATGTCCGTCGACGAGACGTCAACCGGGGTAACGCCTTCGGCCAGTGTCTTTTTGCCCCTCCGTGATCCACCTGCTCCGTACTTTGTAGAATGAGCGTTGGACGTAATATTCCGATTCAATGGCTCACCACCTTTTCGGTACGATGGCGTAATCACAGCCTCAGAACCAGTAGCAGTATTGGGAGGATTGTACAGGTTAGCGGGTTGTGTTTGCAGCGGAGGCTTGTTGCTAGGATCAACGTCTGTGTTTGAAGGAACAGTCGTTGGAACAGCCCGAGTAGCATTGCCTACGAAGGCCGGATTGAAATTATTGCCGCTCTCATCCGGAATGCTAGGCATTGGTTGCATACGTTGCAAACCCTCATCTCCGGGTAAACTCATTTGCACATTAGGAAAAGTGTTCGCCGCAGCAAACACGGACGACGCTGGATCAATCGAGTTACCGTTGGGCTGCTGCAAATCTGCAAAGGACATAGGTTGCTGTTGCTCGGGAGGAGAGAGGACAGCCGCAGGATCTTCATGAGGCATAACGGGCGAAATGTACTGAGCAGAGGAGGGAGCGTTAGAGAGGGCAGGGGAATGAGGCATCGCTGGAGAGGTATGTAACGGGGGAGTCATGTGTTGATGTTGCGGCATAGGAGAGAGAAGAGAAGCGTCGGCCATATTTCCTGGACTCAACATTGAGTCAGGAGCGTTTGGTCGAAGACCAGCTGGCGACGCCTGATGTGAAGCAGACCCTTCACCAGCCAGTGCGACGTTCTGAAGATGCGGCATTTGCGACGTTTCAGGATTGTGATCAGAAAAGAAGCCCGTTTCTAACGACGATGACAAATCCCCACCAAAAGGAGGCACATGCGAAAAGTCACCGCCGCTTGTGTCGAAACTGCCATTCGCATCGTTCATGTCGTTGACAAACGATAACGCTGGCGGTAGCTCGTTCAAGTCATTTGTGTAATGGGAAGCGTTGAAAGCTTCATTTTGAACATTATCGTTGAGAGGACCATTGTCGGGCGGATTAGCCGTGACACTCCGACTACCATCAAAGTAAGGAGAATCCCGGTTCAGCAACCGCACTGATTCTTCAGGTCCAAGCGGGTCGAGCGCCAGCGCCGACTGATCGAGATTAGTTGTGTCCATGAGTCTGTGATCGTCAAACACCTGATTGGGAACGTCCAGCATGTCGTCCCACGGCGGAACAATTGCTGGGTCAGGCGTCTTTCCTTCGAATGCTGTCGCGCTTACAGTGTCGCGAAACGAGTCGTTTGTAGAAAGCCAATTGGGAAAATCATCGTCCAAAGGCAAAACAATGGGCTTTTGAGTCGTCATGGATTGGAACTGAGAACCTTGACGTTGCCACCGTGAATGGTTGTTCTCGCCTTCATGCACGACATCAGGGTACGTGCGATCAAATGTGTGTTGCATGGTGAGTAGGTGGTCCGGCCATGGCGGGCTAACTCCACTATTTATATACGTTTGACGTCATGAGGAAGACCAAAGGAAGCTTATTTCACCAGTTGACGTCATAAAAAGAATACAATAAGAGAAACTTAGCTCAGGGGACCACGGCCAATCACGAGAAGCGATAAGATACGCAATCCTGACTAAGCGTTCACTTGTTGAGCACTGCTGACGCAGGATCGACAAAAAACAGCCCTAAGAAACTCAGGGAAGATTGTACGCCCCGTCCAGAAACCGAAACCGATCAATCGGTGTCATTGCTCGCCCGGCGTCACAGACAATGCGTGAAACATTGTGTAGAAGAACCATCGCATCCAGACCAAGGCACCAAGTTTAGCGTGTCTTGTGGTGGCCACTAAGTGGTCGCAGTACGCGGGATACAAGACAAAAACACCTGCGACTCAAACCTTAGCGGCCCAATCAGCGCATCTGCTCCTTGTTGCGGAGATGAAGGGTGCTCGTGAACGGCGCACAACATCCGGTGGCAAAAGCTACTCGAAGACGATTGGCTTACCCGGCTGAAAAGACCGGAGCTCAATCCAATCACCGGTCGCTGTCACGTAAGCAATCAATGACGTTCTTCGGTGGCAAAAATAAAGGAGAAGGAGACAGAACGTGGCCGACCGAGCAGCGAACAAGTTTCAACATCCACGGGTGATTTAACCGAAGCGCTAGTGCTCCAGACTCCCCACAGAGACGCGGGGGTGGTAGGTGGTGATCGCGACAACTCACTTTGACCCCGCTGCAAGCACCACCACCATTGCCGACAGCATGGCACACCACCAAAAAACCACGTCATAGGTCTCCGGTTCTAAAACGAGAGTACTGTCTGTAGTGCATCGACGCGTACCGTGGAACGTAGAGCAATCAAGGGTACGCAGCCGAAATCAGTGGAAACAAACACAAGCGAAAGAACATCCAAGGTATACGGCAGACGCATGTCGCAATTGGTAATTCCAGCGGACGCATAGCACCAACTCGTTCCGTTCATAGTAATCCGGAAAGTCATTCGGCCCAGCCAGACGTCATCCAGCTCCGGCCAAAGCATAAACGACGGGAGACACATACATCACCAAGCTCGTTTCATCCCTACAACACAGTTACACTCACGTGCCGCAGAGAATAATGCAGGTGACAGAACGAATGACTGGCGTATATGTTCCATCTACCTTGTTGAAGGTAAAGGGATACGCGCCGCTAGAATGGTGATTGACTAAAGAAGCAGCGTTGCTGTAAAAACAACGGGCTCTATTCCAGCCTTTCCATTCTGCGTTTAAAGTCTAGAACGTGTAGGGAAGACGATATAGGGGAAGGTTAAGTTGCCCCAGACGTGCGGACTGCTTTTCTCTGCCTAAGGAACATCGCATTACTGTTACCTCAACGAGCAAGCTCGAGTGAGCGAAGACGTGGACAGGAGTAGCGCCGCGTACCCGACCCCACGCAACACAAAAAAACGAAAAGCATGATCTGCAGATACCCCTGACCGATCGACCTTCCACCCGCTAAGCCCTCACCCCGCGATCTTACAAACACTCGTTTCCTATCTGCCCCACCCCCACAGGCACAACTCTACATAGCTTAACATAACAACAGTATTCATTACAGTCATACCCCAGGAACCAGCAATTAAAATACAATGGCGAAATAGCTTATCCGCCGAAACCATAGATGGTACGGCCTTGGCGCTTGAGAGCATAAACGACATCAAGAGAGGTAACGGTTTTTCTTTTGGCGTGCTCTGTGTATGTGACAGCGTCCCGAATAACGTTCTCGAGGAAAAGCTTCAGCACAGCACGCGTCTCGTCGTACACAAGGGCAGAAATACGCTTGACACCACCACGACGGGCAAGACGACGAATGGCGGGCTTGGTAATACCTTGGATGTTGTCACGGAGGATTTTACGATGACGCTTGGCGCCACCTTTTCCCAATCCTTTTCCACCTTTACCACGTCCAGACATGTTGACAGTTCAGGTGTTTTTGAGGAAGCAAAATTAAAACGACAGGAGAGGAAACGAACTTGTTCTCAATAAAGTCAAGAGCGACTAAATGAATGAACGGCAACGATATTACGCGTAGACGTGCGTTCGCAACTGGAATTGACTCGTTGACGATTTTGATGACTTTACGGTAGGGTAGTCGCTTCCTATTTATATGTTTGCGACGCGTCGCGTCGAGTACGTGATTTCATTATAGGGTTAGGGTTATGATTTTTTTAAGGTATATAATGAAACTCACCACCTCAAATTCCTACCTTCTACCAAACACATTTTAAAACTAACCCACCTTAAAGATGGCACGTACCAAGCAAACAGCTCGTAAATCCACTGGTGGCAAGGCCCCTCGTAAGCAACTTGCATCCAAGGCTGCCCGTAAATCTGCCCCTCCCACTACTGGTGGTGTCAAGAAGCCCCATCGTTACCGTCCCGGTACCGTTGCTCTCCGTGAAATTCGTCGTTACCAAAAGAGTACTGAGCTTTTGATCCGGAAGCTCCCCTTCCAACGTCTTGTCCGTGAGATTGCCCAAGACTTCAAGACTGATCTCCGTTTCCAATCCTCAGCCATTGGTGCCCTTCAAGAGGCTGTTGAGGCTTACTTGGTCTCCCTGTTCGAAGACACCAATTTGTGTGCTATCCACGGTAAGCGTGTCACCATTCAACCCAAGGACATGCAACTCGCTCGTCGTCTCCGTGGTGAGCGTTCTTAAGCAACTTGTCATGATCGTTTTCGTTTGCAGCAATTCTTTTTCGTTGTGAATTTTGTTGTTTCCTCGCAAACTGCTGTTGTGAAGACCGAGAATCTTATAAGGGTCTTGTGATGCAGCTGGACACAAATTTTACTCACTCGACTCGCGTCAATTTATTGGTGTGCGACTCCCGATGAAAAAATTTTGTTTTACTGTATCACATTCTCTTAGATTCCTGCGTATTGCGATTTGTGGTTCAAGAAGTGGTGTCTAGATGGTTCCACATTCTCTTCACATGTATACGTATTGTCGCTTCCTTGCAAAACGACGGCAGCCGTTCCTGTGGTGAGGCACGTGTCTCCGGCGTTCGTCTCATCACACTGTACACCGTCCCTCACCGCACACCTTCCAATCTCATTTTACTTGGGTTCTATGGTTATGATATTTTTGTATTCTTCGCCTTGTCATCGGTTCCTGTTTCTATTTCCAATTGTTTAATGCACGTTTTATTCATCAGTGTCCTGGAGAGACTTAAGGTTGTGTCCACTGGAGAGGTGGTTTTGTAGATGCGGCTTCTGCTAGGGGAGGTTTTGATTGGTCTAGAAAAAGAAGGCGGACTCGTCAAAATCGGGAATGGAAGAAGGTGCCTGTGTGAGTGTCTGCCCCATTAATGACACACGGGGTTTTGCTGTTTGAGGTGTCGTAGTCTCTTCCGGCGTCGGTGTCTCCTTGGCTGTAGATGCCCCTTCCGTGGCAGTAATGGAGTCGTTAGACGGAGGTTCTGTCGTGGGCGAAGTTGTGTGTAAGAATGTCCAGTTACGAACCAGCGACAGGGCAGTCAAATCGCAGCCCATTTGGTCGTAAACTCTTGCCATATGTAGCACAAACTTGAACTCGTGTGACGGATTCACAGGTGCAAGATTTCCCAAAGGACGCAATTGACTTGCTGAACCTCCAAACGTGCAAAACTGATCACGGAGCCATACATACAGCAAAATGAGTGCTGGGTCGTCTGCTGCTCCGTTTTTGTCTTGAGGATGCCCAGGAAGGGCATCATCATCTCGAGGTAGAAGAGTCGCAGTGGCAGTCGTCTCCTTTTTCAGTTCAGCATCATCGCGTATCGTACTGTACAGTGGTGAAACGAGACACTGGATTGCTTTAGCCTTGTTCTTGAGCATTTCAAAACACCAGCATGCCAGGAATCTATCATAGTATCGCTGGGAGATGGGAAGCATGAACTCGACCAGCAACTTGCTGAATGTTGGACCATCATCACCTTCATACACACGGGCTACGGCAATGGCTAGTGCTGGGTCATTTAGATTGCGAATACAAACACGAACTGCATCAAGACATTGATCACCGAGAAGGAAAAATGCCGCAGCATAAAAGTAGCGATGCCGACTAAGAAGAGCAAACGCGTTTTTAGCAGCAGCCACCCTCCAACGGGGCAGTGTGAAATCATTAGACAACAATTTGACTGTGCGTGCTGACTCCTTGTGCCAGGATGCCAGCTTCCACAAGTTCACGAGTACTGCTTTCTTTCGTAACGCCATATAATACAAACTCACGAATTCGGGGTTCCGTTCATCATTATGCGTGTAGTGATTTTGTGCAAGCTCGCGAAATACTTGACACAACGAACTTTGGCTTAACCAGTAAGGTAATCCGAGCTCGCGTACATCATCCCATAATAGAAAGTTTCCGAGAAGTTGTTTTGAGTAGCCCAATAGCACGTCTTGGTTGCTACTGTAGAATGCCCACATGCAGTCTCGGAAAGGCAACTGGCTCTTTTCCTTGGTTTGATGACGAAGTAGAGTGTACTGGTTCAACATTAAACAGTAACGACGGCCATTTAAATCCAAAAAGCTTCCTACAGAAAGCGTCTTATGGAATGCCTCAATGAAATTCAAAAGTAGAAATTGTGAAGTTCGTGTCAAAGTCTGCACTTTTTGCGATTTCAATTGTGCTTCCAAGGAACTCAACCAGTCTAGTGAATTACGCCATTCATTGAGTGAGTTTACAGCCGTCTCTTCCACAGAATCATTTCCGCTTTTTATCTCATCTAATACTGAGTTCACCTGGGATTGAACATCGTCTTGGGCTGCACTCGGAAGAATGAGTTTTTCGGCTTCTATGTTCAGAAGAAAGTGAAGTGGATTGTTCTGTTGCAGGCATTCATATACTCGATGGAGGATGAGAAGAATTAGTGAAATTTTGTTGTTCAGCATAAGTTGCTGCAGGAATTGTGGATGATACACGGGAAGGATACCATTTAACTGGTATACCAAGTCAAATAAATCTTTGCTCTGTCGATTTACTGAGTATGGATAGAGCAGTGATGGATTTTGAGGAAGCGTTTTGTCGAAATAATAAATTCCGGTTCCACAAGCCAAAACCAACGTTCCATTGTCAAGCCAAGTGGAATCTCTAATTGGAAGGTCGGTGAAGGAAGATGTGTTAACACGAACAATGGGCACCCAGAGCGGTGATTTCATAATGTAAGACCGTCTGTTCTGGCAAATCAAGACGACATCATGTTTAAATGACACAGCAAGGATAGAATGCGAGTTAGGTGTACTTGTCCAGTCAAGGTCGATAATAGGACCAAGTTCAGGAAATACCGCAGATGATTCCTCCTGCGAGGAAAACTCTGAGCTTCGCATATCGAAAACAGAAAGACGTGACCCATTTTCGGAGACAACGGCCACTATTTTAGAGGTAGACCCTTTGATCAAGGTCGCGTCTCTTACACTTGTTTGTACTCGTGAAAGCTCTAAAACTCGTGGTGTGTTATCGCTTGTGACAGTGGCTGTCCATGTCTGGAGAAGACCTTCTTTCGAAATGGATGCAAAGACTTCACGATTAAAGGCATCGAGGGGGAAGGAAGGGTACAAAAGGGAAGACCAACCCATCACATCAATAGGTGATGCCGTATCCAAATCCTTCGTAAACTTCAGTCTATCGACGAACGTGATACTTGGCTTCTCAAGATCGGAAATGTCAACGCGCCAAAACCAGCTATGACCTCCCTTTGTAAGACAGCAAAGCATTAATGAATCCGCTTTCATTTGAATAGGAAGAATGAATACGCTTAGTGCATTACTTACCGGCACCTGATTGCATGTAGCCAGAAGAACAGGTTCTTCAGAAACACAGTGCCATAGTTCTATGCGGTCTTCTTGCAAAATGGATCCGTATTCACCAGCGAAAAGAGGCACGACGGTAGCGTCCGGTGATGGAGTCAGGGAGCTTCCTCTTTTGACTTTAAATTGTTGACGCGAACAGTCAAACGAGTAAAAAACGCAGCGTCCCGTATCATCTCTAGATACAAAACCATGGCCATTAGGAGTACGATGCAAACATTTAATTGCAGAAGAGTGACCGGTGAACCGAGCAAGAGCATGCGGAGTCTTTTTTTCGTAGTCAAACAAACCAGAAAGTGTAACAGAAAAACAAGTTAGTATGTCATCATTATCATCAAAGAAATAAAAAGCGTTTGAGGGATTAGGTTTGGTGAAACAAAAATGGAGAAAATCATTAGGCTTCGTCAATGCATGATCAGAAAGCTTCATGTGAGTGCGTGAAATTAGGGACAAGGATACGGAATCATTTTTTGTTGTACTAACACTCCACAAGTGTAAGTGGGAAGCACTAAACATGACGAAAAGATCGGTTTTTGTCTTTAGCTGCCGCTGCAGCCATACGAGGAACGGGTCAAAGGCTTTGTTGCTGGATTCGGGAGAAGCTGACAGGATACACGCCAGATCGTGCTTTGTAAGGAAACCAAAATGTGAATAGAGAGCAGAGGGAGAGTAGTCTTTTAAGTCAAGCCAATTGGCCAAGTGCATAAGTTGGGAACCAAACAAACTCCCAAACCGCCAAATATGCAAGACACCATCGCTGGACACTGTAGCTAGATACATAGATTCCTCGTTTTCCTCGGCCATAAGGGGCGCATTCCATTGTAGAAAGGCAACGGGCGAAGAATGCGGAAGGTAACTGTAATCGTACACAGAAGCGACGCCCGTTTGGGGAGAAGTACGCATCCACACCTTTACCAATGGACTGTCCTCCTCTACAGAAGCGATGTAGGATGCATCAGGGGACAGCAGAGCCCTCTGAACAGGCCGAACAGTTTGTTGCGACCAAACCTCAAGCACAGGATGTCCTGTCGAAATGTTTAGAATAGTAATAGTGTTTCCATGTGACACAACCAAGTCATGACTGAGACCCCAGTCAAGACACGTTACGTGACAATCCTTCTTAAATTTGTAGGAATTGACTTGGGTATATTTATTCGGTTCCTCAGGACGATAAATATGTACGACACCATGACTACCAATCGCTAGCCATCCCGTTTGCTTACATAAAGACACTGAGGTTACCGATTGATCAAGCTCAATGGTTTGAAATGGTAAAAAGTCTTTAGAACATAATATCACAATTTTTTCCTCGCATAATGCCTAACCAAACACCGTTAGAACAAGTATTTATCGATATCGAAAGCTTTAGGCAGCTTAGGGTGAGAAGAAGTAACATACGAAGACGGTAGTTTCAAAACAATTGGTGAACGAGCGTAATTCCGGAGAAGCTCGCAGTCTTCCCAGGCTGGAGCGTACCAATGGCATCCAGGAAAACCAATGTTTACTGCAAGAATACCACGCAGCAGAGTAGCGCTGCTAACGAGTAGAGAATGTGTATTTGGGAGAAGTCAAGTACTTGCTGAGCCTGACTCCTCTATGATGTAGATGAGATATTAAGCTTAGTGAGGTGCACCGTAATTTAACGATACGGGGTAGTGAGGGGAAAACTGAACATAAAACGCAGGTACTTTATTAAACAAATTGCCTAAGAAAAGAAGGAAAAATTATTCTGCATCGTTTGCTTACTTATACGTGAAAAATACGAACAAATATCATTTTATTTCAGAAATGGATACTTTTAAATAAATTAAGCTCATCCAATAGAAAAAATAAGCGAAACACGTGCATCGCCTGGTAAACCTTAAAGTCCACTTCCTTCAGCTTCAATAATGCGATCTTGAATAATCTATAATATTTTCGTCGTAAGCATATTCTTTTATATGCAGAAATACAGTTCTGACTCTATCCCAGAACGATTCTGCTAAGATTGTCATCATCGGACTTGCACGTTACATATTTTCAATGGAACGGCGTACGAGACGACGCACTCGCTTCTTGAACATTTCGGCTGTAGAGGTTAATGATGGGTTCTAAGACACAAACTAAGGGTTGGTTCGAGCGTACGGTTTTCACGGAACTCCTTTGCTGCGTCAATGTTGGCGGGAGATTCATCGTTGGGAGAGGAGAGCATGGATATACGCTGATGAGAATAGTTTCCGGAGTATGAACAGGAAGCCAGCGTTCGCCGGCATCCTCATACCCCCATTTGTCATCACCAGGAGGATGAAGGATGGAAATACACACATCCCCATTAGTGTGCACATTTGGATGCCAAAACTCAGACGTAAACTTGCAGATATTAGTAAAAGTTTCACTCGGTGCACTATTCTTGGCGAATAGCACAAAGAACCTTTCAGTTCAACAAAACATACTCTCATTTTAGGAGGCATTAAAGGATAGTCCTAATAATTGCTATGTCAATATCCAGATCCAAAAAAAGAGTCGGATTCCTCTCAGAAAAACGAACGGGGAAAAGAAAAGACGTACCTTTGGAAAAGAAAGAATGGCATTAAAGAATCCACCCTCATACAATGTGTCTTCGGGACCAATGATCATGACCTCCCATTCGTATATGGATTTGTCATCCACAAGACCTACACTGAAGCCCTGAGGCGGGTTTTTCTGAATTTCCTGGTACTGTTAACAAATGAATGAAGAAATGATTTTTCACAACAGTCCGCTTCTAAAACGAAGGAAACTTGAAGTTGAAAAAGGGTCCTGTTAAAAATTTACAAACCTTAAGTTGCTTCCGCAAGAGCTGTTCACTGACGACAGACATGACGAAGGATACAGAACCCTCTGCACTGGATTAAGTCCAAGTTCTGTGGTAATTTATAGGGCGAGATGAAACGGTGGCTTTAACGAAGGCACGTTAGTCTGCTGGGAAATTACAACCACCAAATAGTAGGCAGCGGTACCGGAGGCACAGAGTGGCAAGCAGATGTTTATGAACAAAAGCGGCCGAATGACGAGTGGTCAAAGGTAAATTGTAGTAGGGGATCTTGTTCCTCAGTAGTTTCTTTATTGCGTGGGACAAAAAGCGACGGGATAGCGTTGACTGAACGGGCAAACAATGAAAACCAAATGAGGCCGAACGAAGCGCAAGATCCCGCTAAAAGGGGATTTGTAGTGAAGGTGATTCGATGACTCTTCCGTAAAATACACAAGCTGTTTATTTGGACGGAAAAATGTTCTATAATTTTCCAAGGAGATATTAGTTAACGGAGTTGCACTCCAAGAGCTTTATAAAGAGAGACAAAACGTCTGTGGTTGACGTGGAAATTACTGTGCTAGCGTTAGTTACGGAATTAAACATGTAATGCTTTTTCAAGATTGCAACTTCGGGTTACTTACATCCATCTTGAGCGATCCGTAAATTTTGTTGACAAATAGGAAGGTTCCAAAAAAGCCAATTGTTCCTGTTAAAATCGTTATAAGCAAAGAAATAATAATGCTGTATCCAAAGTATAAGATGTCAGTGGTAAAGGACGAGGTTGACACTTTCTTGACCCAGTATCCGATACAGAAAATAAAGACGTAAATACCAGACGCACCACTTGTAAAGAATGATCTCCACCACCAGTGGTAGTTCTCAGAACAGAGCTGAAAGTAACAACTAAGAATGGAAACCATAGAGCAAGTTGCAATCATAATGCCAAAGCATAAGAATAAAAAGCCGAACATGAAATATAACGGATGAAACCAGAGACTGTCCATAACAGAATAGAGCTCTACGAAGATTGTTGCTGCTGGAATGGCTCCGCCTATAAGGACAGAAGGCAGAGTGCGAAGCCAGATACTCTGGTCGGGAATTTGACGAGGAATTTGGTTTGTACGGACAGGAGCAACGAATTCGCGTGAACGGAACCCAACAATAGATCCAAAAAAGCTGAGCGGAACAGTGAAAATTAGATATAAAAGAACGAGCGTTACTAAAGATTTAAGCGGAATTGTTGAGGATGAGTTTTTGAACCAAAAGATAACATTCAGAGAGCAGCAAGCACAGAAGAACACACCGGGAACAACGAAGGGGGTCAGTACAATGTTTCTCTTCAGCAATGTTCCACGCATAATTTTATACGCGCGTGCTGAAACGTAGCCCGATACAAAGCCCGACAGAATAAAGAGTATTACAATGGCCGTGGACAGACTACCACGACGGGAAGGAGAAGAAAGGCCAAGGATTGCTAATAGGATTATCGCAGACGACATGAAGAAGAGTTGAGCACCGGTGCCCAATACGACGGAGAATAGGAGAACGCGTTTGGGTGGACGAAAAACGTCGGCATAAATAAGTTTCCAACCAGAGTCCTCTTCCACATACTCTTGATCCAGCAAAGCATTGTTATACGTAGTGATATCGCGGTTCAGTACACGGAACAAGACGACAAATACAGTGATGACAAGGGTCAAAGCTATCGTTGCGGAGAGAGTCAGGAAAATCCAATGGATCTCCACATCCTCAACTTGCATGTACTTGTCCCAGCGAGTAGCCCAAGGTGTGTCTGAGTACTTCCAGGTCACCGAATAAGTAGATACCACATTAGTGTCCCCAAGCACCGAAAAGAACTCTGGTTCCGTTTCCGAGGCATCAGCACATGCTGGTTGACCGTCAACGTAGTTGGATTTGCGCGAGGCCGGATAAACATAAGCACCGACAACACGGTGCAAGTCAGGAGTAACAGAATGGTACTCAACTACAATGTGAAGATGATTGTAAAGAGCAGGTTGATCATTCACCATTGTGCCAATAGGAGAGCCGATCACAAGATTTGACTTTTGTTGATTCTCACGAATTTGCTTGGTAGCAACGGGAAGGTTGTCAATGTTCCAATTGATTACATACCGTTTCTGAATAAGCTCTTGAATTAATTTTGCGTCATCGTTTGGAATAGTTCTGCCGCAGAGCACCGTACATGACTTGTTCTGGAGCATGTTTATCTCAAAAGGAGAATTAAATATACGGTCGCCAAAGATAATGCTTCCTAAGCTCTCTGATTGATGAACAATACGTTCCGGGCGACAAAAGTGGAGCTTCTCGTAGTAGTCTCGCACATTGTTAGTATTAAAATTCTGTCAATGGGTACACTTTGCTGCTCAAGCCGTACACTCATAATTGATGATATCAGAGCTACCGTCTTCGGTGCCAATATATGGCGAAACAGTATTGACGGTGGTATCTACATTGTCTCCAGCTGCATAATTCTTCGGTCCAAACTTGAAAAGACCTGCAGCATAGCAAAGGTGTCCTGATAGGATCCAAAATATAAACCAATTGAACGGGAACAGAACGTATTTCATGCCTGATAGAAGTGGTTGTTAGTATTACATTACAGAGACGTTTAGCGTACTGAATGCACGAATGAATTGCTTGTAGCAAAAGTCACAGGAACTCGAGTCTTGCTGAGGATGTGTCTGGCTTATGGATCAGCCGGTGCTTGCCGCGGTTATGGACATACTCTCCCGCGGCTGCATGCTTCGAGAGTACAGCCAAAACCAGCAAGCCTGGTAATACAGAGAAAACAGTATCGAAGACGAGAATGTCGTTACAGTCGTTTTTGAACACTGTCCAGCAGTCTGTCAAACAAAAAAATGCGGAAACAATAATCAACTGCTTCGTTTTAGACAATTCAAGTCCGGACATTCAAAACTTAACGGAACAAATCGCGCCGGTAGGATGACTGCGAGAAAGGCAATAGCACTGAAGGAAGGCTAACGAATTGCAGTTGCTACAATCTTCTTCAAAGAAGAACATAAAATCAAAAGTCAAAGAGAAACTATCACATTGGCGAGGATGGACAGACTTGGTTATGGCTTTCTTTGAGTACCTCATTACTGTACGCGAGTTGGATGAGTATAAGGAAAAGACATGGATGTCTCTGAAACATTTTTATACGTATGTGAGATGTCGATAACTAATTATTTTTGTTACTGGATATGTGTGTATCTAACAAGACATAAAATAGATGTCTTGCGACTTGTTTCTCAAGTCAAGACACCGCTTGGATGGTTCAGCTCGTTGAAAGTGCTTCCAAGTTTTATGTGAATATTTCTCTTGCCCTCGATCGTGAATCAGAGGGCCCAAACAAATATGTCAGTGACACATCTCGAGATGTCTTCCGCATGTTTAACATCGTACTGAGTGATCGGCAAACGAACTTTAAAGGTTCCAAAAGAGAAGCCGTGTTCACTGTTGCCAACCTGTTGAATCGGCTATATTTTCGTATGCAACAAGTGCGTCTATGCCATACAATTCAGACAAATATTATATCTTCCGGAGTCACGCTTTCACTTGGAACGACAGCAGAGAGAGTGACGTTCGAGTATTATACAGGACGTTGCTACCTGTACCAGCATCAAATTCACCAAGCTTACCGTCATCTAAGCACAGCCTTTCAGCAATGTCCAGATGAGGCACACGTACAAAAACGGTATGTCTCGTTGACAGAATCTTTGCACGAATACTAACTGGGCATTACACCAGACTTTGTCTTCTGTATCTAATCGTATGCCAACTCATTCTTGGAAGGTCTCCCACAAAACAGCTGATGATGCAATTTCAACTAGAACCCATGTTTTCACCGTTAATCGCATGTCTGAAGGTGGGCAACATAAAAGGCTTTATTGATGCATTGGAAGCGCCAAATCGACTTCGTTGGTTTGTAAAACGCAACATCTACCTTACCCTGCGTGACCGTTGTGAGATTGTACTTTGGCGAAATCTGTTTCGAAAAGTGTAAGTGACGGTTTGTACAATGGAAGAAGAGTGTTAACAGTAACAATGCAGTTTTTTAACCACGTTTTCTCCTACCCAAAAAACGCCGCACGTTGCAAGTGCGGCGCTTCTTGCGGCTGCTCGGTTTGCAACGCAAGATGACACCTACGACGAGGAAGACGTAGAATGCATCTGTGTCTCCCTTATTGACCAAGGATACGTCAAAGGTTATATCATTCACTCATCAGGCACACTGGTTTTAAAACGTGACGAAAGTTTTGGATTTGAACCTATCCATGCGGTTCAGCCCGTCGTTATGAATAACGATGCTGAAGACAAATTCTTCGGTCGGTAATGTTGTATGCTGGTGAGAGAGAACTTGGAAGGCGAACGATTTACGTATCGCTCTCTATACCAACTTTCTATAACAAAATAAATATAAAATGAAGAAAGAGACTTTTTGGGAGAATAAAAAGTTGGCTCGCGAAAACCCAATGTCTTCTTATATATTTAATAGTTCCAAATCGATGCACAAACGTGTTCCGTTTGGCCCTACAGCAAATCGTCGTTTTCCGGATCATACAAGTCAAGGCCTGCAAAGACATCTGGCTTTTCTTCAACAGGAGCAGTAGGGGGAGGATGTGTGCCTTGATCAACGTGCATCATGGACGGCGAAGTAGTGGTAGTTAATCCAGTTGTGGTCGTTACTGCTGAATCTGTAGCAGGCTTGTCAAAGGAAGGAAGTACTTCGTCAATCTCAACCTTGACGGACGTTTGTTGTTTTTCTTCGTCCTGAACCATTTGACCTGCTTCAAGAGAAGAGTTATCTGTGGCCAGCTGGAGTAGTTTTGTTTTTCTCATTTGATCTTCAGAAGGCCATGGGAAATGAACGGGTGCATTTCCCTCCTGGCCCTTTTCTGGGTCATAACCTGGAGGTGCAGATGAAAATTTTGCGAGTTTTGCTCCGTACTCGAGTAACATCTTGAGGCTCACCTTCCGTTTTTTTCCCTCAAGAATACTTTTTGGTTCGATGCCTTTATGAAGAACGGCCAATTCCTCCATACAGGATTCAAGTTTTCCATCTAATTCCTCACCTTCTTTTAAAAGTTTTTGAATGGTCTTTTGAAGCTCTACGCCTCGTTCGTACTCTTCTATTAGACTTTTGAACTGGACCAAGTTCTTGAGCGTGGACTGCCAATTATCCATTAACGTCTCGATGCTTGCACCCTCGATGGAAAGCTTCAAATGTTGGTTTACACATTTTTCAACATCCTGAATGCTTTTCAGCAAACCCATGCTCCTCCTACGTGCACAACGTTTTGGTATTATTTCGCGTGTGCTAATCGCGACTCCAACGCGTCAATGATCGACATGCGATACGTTGCGATTTACCTTTGGTGGTGATGTCGATCATTACGTGGCGATTGCGGGGTAGACTCATTCATCCCTGACTTATTATCTTAGCGAAATTATCGCAGCTTACATTCTTCAGTCTAATGACACCTTAAACGAATTAAAACTCTATAACGGAGCTCAGCCTCTTCGGAACCCCATAATATGGTCGGTATGCGGCGACAAACCCACCCTTAGCAAACACCCACAGTCATTTAAATCCATTTATTGGAACAAATTAGGCCATTTAACGGATTTTTTTTAAAGAAATTCTTGCAAATTTCGTCAATTGGCAATTGACTTTTTCGTATACCTTTTTTTCGCGCTAAATTTCGACTATTTTACGCTTTTTTTCGCGTTCTACGGTGCTTAACGGAAGTGACGCCGATTTCTTGATACACCGTTTGTTACTTACTGCTTTTATTCCCCACTCCTTGCTCTGTCCCAGACTGTTCGGTTAAAATGGGAAAATCTCAATCCAAGCTTTCTCAGGATCAGCTTCAAGAGCTCGTTCGTTCCACGAGATGTATGCCGTAGACGTGTGTGGACGTGTAGGTTGCTAACAGAATACTGGTCAGTTGACAAGAAGGAGCTTCAACAATGGTACAAGGGTAAGGAACGCGAATTAGGACACTAGGGCTGTCTGGAGAGACTCCCTGGACCCATTGCGACTTAATCGAAAGGGTCTTCGCTTTGATGGAACTAGTTGTTAACGTGTGCAGGTTTTTTGAAGGACTGTCCTTCCGGAAATCTGAACAAATCCGAGTTTCAGAAGATCTACAAACAGTTTTTCCCCTTCGGTGACCCGTCCGCTTTTGCTGAATACGTTTTCAACGTGTTTGACTCGGACAAAAATGGTACCATTGACTTCAAAGAGTTTATTTGTGCTCTCAGTGTCACTTCAAGAGGTGCTCTGGACGAGAAACTGGTTTGGGCCTTCCAGCTTTACGACATTGACAACAATGGTCTAATTTCGTATGATGAGATGCTGAAAATTGTGGAGGCCATCTACAAGATGGTGGGTAGCATGGTCAAACTCCCCGAGGATGAAGATACTCCTGTCAAGGTGAGTGCAGTAGAGTTGTCGGGAACAATTTTCTAACATGGTGACTAGCGTGTCAACAAAATTTTCAGCATGATGGATAAAAACAAGGACGGACAGCTTACTTTGGAGGAGTTCCGCGAAGGATCTAAGAATGTACGATTATTGCATAGTTTTTCTATAGTTGCCTTTAGTTTCTTGACTAACACAAACCAGGATCCCACGATTGTCTCTGCTCTCTCTCTCTATGACGGTCTTGTTTAAACGCTATGCCGTGTCCTCGAGTTGATAAAGGGTACTGAATCCAAATTCCTTGATCTAGTTTAGCAGCGGATCATTCGCTATGCTGAAGACTGTTCTGCTTCTCTTATCAATGAAAGCTTAAATCAATGCCAAGTTATTACCTGAGACTGTCCGTACTTCATTTTGACGCTACTTGAACGACTGCCTCGTTTCCGTTCGTTGATACGCGCCTTGGCTTTGACCACGTTTCTCAAATTTGTCACTTTACTACTATTTATACAATGTTTTTCAATTAATACCTATAAAATAAAAACAATGAGTTGTCTCGTCATTTTTGCATATTCTTTTATTCTATTCTTCAAAATGCACACTTGTTGGTTTAATGTTGCCAGCTGCTATTTGTTTACGACGTGTCGGTTTTTTCATTTCTAAGCTGAAACGCGTGGTTTAAGGTTACAGGATGAGGTACGCGTCATAATGCAGTGTCCACACTGAACATTCTGTCAACTCCCTATATGGGCGGCCGTAACCTTGAATTCTTTAAAGTATGTTCTTTAATCTGTTCGTGTCCATTCATCTTTAGTTTGCGTTTTATTTCGCTTTGCCGTTAGCCGCGATGTATTATGTCGGACGGCCGGCGTATCGTGAAAAGAACATCGAAAATGTATACTTTCAGCGAGCATTCAATACGTTCTAACTCTTACTTGTTAATAGGTTGAATTCTGGCCGAAAGAAACGCCAAAACTACCCGGAGATCGTGAAGAATTGCGAGATGAAGTCGAAAGAATTAAGGCCTCCAGAAACGAACATCCGTAAGTCGGAAAACAATGTACGAGAGCAAAATGGCGGAAATCAAATAGAAAGGATCTCTTATTTTCCAGTCTTTAAGCTATTTTGTTTTTGGACGCTTTTGCTTCAAGCCATCTCTGTCATGTTCTCAAAATTGCTCGCATTTGATGACTCCTCAGCGCTCTTGCTCAAACAAAATCCTTTTCCCGGAAGGAACCAACTAATAGAGACTCTGTTTAATGCCTTTATTCGTTGGGATAGTATCTATTTCGTGGACATGGCAATGCATGGTCGAAAATATGAACAGGAATGGGCATTCTCTCAGGTGTGGCCTGCACTTATGAGAAAGGTCGCATTTTTTACCGACGACATGGCCCTTGTTGGCGTCATTGGCTGTTATGTAGCTGTTGCATTTCATGGAATGGCTTTATACTGTTTACTGAAAACAACAGAGAGAGTATTTACGAGCAAAAGATTTGCAGTCATTACCGGAATACTGTATGTTCTTTCTCCATCCGGTATATTCTGTTCTGTTGCGTTTACCGAGCCTTTGTTCGCGGCTCTTGCTTTTCTTGGAATGCTTCTCCTTACATATGATCAGTCCATACTGGCAGCTGTGTGTTGGTCAGCATCTGTTACTATACGAAGCAATGGTTTGCTATTCTGTTTGTTTTTCGGTATACGATTGTTGGCTGGTCTTTGCACATACTTTGGCTCGCAACGCAGCCATTTTGCAGAGAAACAAATATTGCGAAATGCAATCTGTATACTCATTGTGATGACTCCCTTCCTCCGTTCACAATGGCAAGCATATCAAGAGTTTTGTCCAGGCGCTACTTGGTGCGAGAATGTGTTTCCGTTTATCTATACTGCTGTTCAAAGAAAATACTGGGACGTTGGTTTCTTGCGCTATTGGACTCCAAACAATATTCCAAACTTTGGTCTCGCTTTGTTAACAATCATTCCGCTTATTATTGCTATTATTGTTCACGTGAGGTACTCGTTGCTTGGTTCATTGTTTATGGTTTCTCAGTGGCTGCTTGCTGCTATGTTGCTTTACGTTGGTATATTCCAAATGCACGTACAAGTATTGAATCGCCTATCGTCCGGCATACCGCTTTTGTATTGGGGTATTGCTTATGGCTTAATGCAACCGAAAACAACAAAACTTTACAAGATGTGCCTGGTAGTGCAAGCTGCATGGATCATATACACCGTTATCCAAGCTGGGCTTTACGGCTCGTTCATGCCACCTGCTTAAAAAGAAAGAAATATTCCCTAGGACACATTAATGATATTTATGTAATAGGAATGTGTTACTGGAAGCAATTGAAATGATGACAAAAGTCGACTTATGAAATGAAACTACGAATTCTAATCATTACATGCGTATGTAGGAGGAAAGAGTTTTACGATTCTTGCCTTTGAATAAGCATTACGACAGCCAGTACTCTATACAGTGTTTGCTTGACTCTCAAAGCAGTGATGCTATAGTTGACACTGATTTTATTTTTCCCTTTGATCCGTTCTAAAGTACATAGAAGAATCATTCACTGCATTACTGAGAATGATTCTGTTCCTAAGAATAGCCTGAATAACATTTCGGACACAGTGAACTCTTACTGGCACGATGTTAATCGCTAAACACTCAGAACGTTCTCTAAGTGTGATTCAAAAAGTTCTATGAGTAATGAAACTTGGTTAACAGTTCATCGTTTTCTTACAAATAACATCAAAACGAAAAGGATATGAGCTTTATGAGCTTTATAAATTTACAAAAACCTGTCACTGTTCATTGTCTTTACAATTCTTCGAAGCGAATGAAAAATACCAATTTATTTTTCTAAATAAAAATAATAATAAAATAAATTAAAATAAATCAAAAAAAAAAAAAAAAAAAGCACACACACACACACACACACAGCATCAACAGCATCAACAACATCCAACCATACCCTTCATTTGAATTAAACAGAAACGACAACCAACATAGTCAACCCTAACGTCTATCCGCCCACCTCACACGAAACAAACATTTTATCAATTATCTAAAGACTATCCGAGTGACCGCGTATATAGCCACCACCACCGAGGCACTTCCTCGGAAAACATCCCACCAATTTTCTCTACCTAGACCAAACTTCCTCTCCTAAAAGGCAGCAAACAGACAGTATGGATGTCGTGAAAAGCAGCCTCCAAGCGGCAAAGGAAGCTCTGCCAAATGAAATTCCTTCGTTGAAAGATGGAGTTTCATTATTCTCTTTAAAATCAGAGCTTCTTCTTTCTTACATTGAAAAGCTAGGCTTCCTAATGCTTGCGAAGCTCGATAATCGTTCTTTGGAAGAGTTTGAACCCGTCGTCGAAAGCTTGGTGCGCACACGATTGGAAATGGAAAAGATTCGGCCGTTCGAAAATCGAATGCAATATTCTATCAACAAACTTCTTCAAGCCTCTGAACGCCAGCAGGAGGTGGAACGGTTAATGGAAAATGAAAATGTCAATGAAGAAGACGAGACTGTTAAGCTTCAATTCAAGCCCAACCTGGACAACATTACCGACAGCGAAAACGAGTCTGAGGACGAAGAAGGTGCCTCTGGTGATAAGAATGGTGACGGTGTATATCGTCCTCCCCGCATTCACGCCGTTTCCATGGACAGTGAGAAGAAACAGCGGTATCGCCCCAACGCTGTTGTTGACGAATTCGTCTCCAGTGACCTCTCCTCACTTCCCCAATCATTACCAAGTGTCGGTGCGAACTTGGAGCGCCGCGGTCGTGTCATTCATGCAGATGAGAAGGACTTGCAACGTATGCGTGAGCGTACCGAGTACGAAGAAAGCAACTACACACGTTTGCCGAAACTTTCTAAGAAAGAGCTTAAAAAGGTCCGCAAAACGAAGAAGCAAGACTACGGCGGTGAAGACTGGTCCATTCTCGACCGTAAATTCCGCGACGAGGGACTCGACTCGCGTCGTCTTGATTTGTCTAGCCGTGCTAAGAAGCGCTCGGACATGGAATCCGATATGAGTAACGTCGATGTCAGCGGCATGGGCAAGGTTGGTGATGCATTCCGTAAACGCAGAAAGACGCTGAAGCGCCGCTAGTTTATGTGGACGGTGTCATCGAACAGAGACGTATTCGCTCGTGTGCGAGTGGCGAACAGTCAAAGTCTTCGTCTGTCAATAGCTCAAGAAAAGCGAGAGGATAAAGACTTTCCAATTTCGACTGTACATCGCCTCAAGCACTCCTCTAACGGTTTTCCGGTCGCTGGTTTGTTGGGTCTTCATTTTTGGTTCATTTTAGTTCTAGTTTGAGTTTGGAATATATAAAAAAATAATTTGTAACGTTAACAACAGTAACAGTTGCAGTGCTTTTTTCATTGGAGACGGCAAAGAGGGAAGGGATAACAGAGAACAATTGTGCAGGACGGTAAATAATGGCGCACCGTTTATTCAATTGTCCTTTTGAATGTCTCTAAAGCATGTCATCGTCGCTGATTTGCAGAAAATATGCGATTCAGCCAACAAACGCATTTACACAGTGACAGTAAGGGCTTGTCAATGGGAACATGTGATAAATTGCTTGCAGGGCACACGAATGATCGCGAACAAGATACAGCGCTCAACTTTCCCAGGAGTCTTCAACCGTTTTGCGAACTCTGCGGATGTACTCCTTTTTGTTTTCACGGTGAAGTTGAGCAGCTTCAGCATTGGCAGGAGAGGCATTATTTGGATCATTAAGAAGGCTAGAACAAGGAAACGGTTAATACGAGAAAGAAGATGAAATCCCACGCACCTTTGAATGGACGTTAAAATGGCGGCAACATCGTAGGTAGGAGACCAGCGGTTTTGGAGAATATCCAAGCAAAGTTCGCCGTTTGCATACACGTTCGGATGGAACTATTGCAGAAGTTAGAACGGATCAAAGAGCACAAAAGAAAATACGTGTGGCTCGGGCTCAACGGAACCACACCCGGCTCCGTATATTACGTACCATGTTGGAAACAAACTTGACCAACGGAGGCTTGTTCGGGTACTGCTCGTCAAAGGACAGAACAAGCTTGAATGTTCCATCCTCGAATGGAGTGTCAGCCGGGCCAATGATGACAGCGTTCCTACGAGTGTTAGCTGATTGCGGGATGAAGAGGGGGGCGGAAACAGGGGAGGGGTGAAAACGAAGACAAGGAACCACGGTGTGAGGCAAACAATTGAGTGGAACCGAATACTCAGAAATGCAGACACATAATTGCCGTCTCAACGTCCGTCACCGTAACAGAAACACGTCCGGCCCGGACGCAGAGACTCATTCTTCACGACCAAGTCGTTTTGAGCACCAACGAACGCGATTATTCGCAGAATCCGCGTCCTCGTCAAGACAAATTCGTTCACAGCAAACTCGCATCCTTACATACCACAGCATAACATTATCCGACACAGGAGATGCAGAGACACCGGCAGGAGGATCCTGCTGCATGCGCTAAATCACCGTTAGCTTTAAATAACTTTAACTCGTTCGCGTAATTACAAACAAACACCAAACACACCTTGAAATCGCGCATAAGCCTTCTTCTAGCTGTCGTGGACATTGTTCTGGTGAAAAGCTAAAACCTTGTGTACTTAAAAAGCCAGTTCAGGCGGGATTGGGCGAAACTCAACGGTTTTATTGTTGGTCAAGTATTTGGCTCTTGGTGGCAGGAGACCCGGGTTGAGGAGCCTTAAGGTGTGGTGGTGGTGGTGGTAGTGGTGTTGCTACTGCTGAGCTGCAGTTTAAGTGGTGTACGAAATGCAAAACGCGTCGCGTGACGGAGCTTAAATACAAGACGCCAAGGGTGAGGCGATAGAGACCGTTGGCATGCTTTTATGTGAAAATTTGTGTGTTACAGGTGATTAGAAGAGATTAAAATACACATCGGGTAACGTGATGGAGCGTGGTTTTATTCACATTCATTTTATTCAATTGTACTCGAGGAAACGCAACGCGAAATGTGGCGGCACGAACGCAGGCTGTCGTCACGCGCGTCAACGCTTGTCAGGAGGGTTCATGAGCAGCTGGATCGTTAGCGAAACGTGGAGGAACGTGCTGCACACGTACAGGAAGGTAACTCGAGAGAAGAGCGGCCACACTCATACTGGGGAATAAGGGTTAGTGGGGAAGTGGGAGAGACGAGACACGGTGGGATGATGTGGGGTGCGAGGAAGGCCCAGTGGGCTAAACGGGGGCCGGGGCCCCGAGTCTCGCACCCCACATCAGGTGCGCTGGCTACTTACAACAGCATCGACAAAGGTGACTGGCTGGAAGCGGATCGTGCTCCATTGTCGCTCATGAAGGCAGACGCCGTCAGGACAAAGCCTGTCCAGGCAAGCAGACTACTTTGTTAGTGGGGGCGCAAGAGGGGGCACACGTGGAGAACGAAAGCTCACGCCTTGGCAGCAGTCTTGGGTTTACCTGTGCAGCTGCTTTGGTGGTGATGAAGTTCCCCACATGCCCCCACGACACATACCGCTTTCTGAGGAAGAGAGCAGCCATGCAGATGATGCTTGCCAGGAGCATGACGTTCGCTGTTTGTTAGCTGCGTGCCGAAGATGCATCCCGTCCGGTCGTACATTCTTCGTAGACGCCGACGCGGGCCTTGTAGGGCACAATCAGGTCGGAACGGCGAGGATCAGCAGGAGGAGCCATGTGGTGTGCTGTGTGGTGCTATGTGCTGGGTCGTGTCTGTCTGTTACTAGGCCCGAGGTGGGTGGTGTGGGGGCACTGCGGAGGGTTGCTGCGAGCGTGGGGCACCACTACCACCACCACCGGTGCCCCCACCACCCCACTGCAAATGGGATGCCCCTCACTTGGCCCTTGCTCGGGCGGGAATGCCGGTGGCAATGGTGTCTGGAGGAACGTCCCTTGTAACGACGGCGCCGGCCCCCACCACGGCACCGTCTCCAATCGTGACCCCTGGTAGAACGACGACAGAAGCGCCGATCCAGACATCGTTACCGATCTACGGGTCGGTTAGCAAGCAGTGATCTGCAAGATATTGATGACTTGCCTTGATAGGCTTTCCATACTCGAGCCCCTGGCGGCGGAGGTTTTTGTCCAGTGGATGCGTTGCCGTAATCAGTTGCACCTAGCGACATTAGTATGGAAGAAAAACCGGCGCGACTTTTTTGCGATTTTGTGGCATTTGCCGACGACGTCTTTTGCCGAGCGAAAAATCCAGGCGGTTGATTCATCTGTGATGACGTGGATCAATTCGGCAAGGGTCCTCAAATGTGGGGATCGACATCGGCATCGACATCGGCATCGCTTCTTTCTTTTTTCGTACATTTGGACCCAGAAGCACATTGTTGCCAATCTCGATAGGGCACACGTCGAGAAAACAGCAGTTGAAGTTGCAGTAGAAGTTATTCCCGATGTGCAAGTTGAACCCGTAGTCGAATTGGATCATTGGTTCCATTTCGCTGGTGTCCGGCAGATCAGGAAGCAACTGGCGAAGGATCGACACACGCTGGCGGTGCAGATCATCGAGCGACAGGTCCTGGGGGTTTCCGGCCGTGTCATTAAATTGACGGGTTACTTTTTTCGCCAGGAGTCGGGCATCTGATAGTGCAGGATCTAAAGAGGAGTACCTATTCATCCGGTCAGTTCTAACGAGACCTTGTGGCTCATAACAATACTGCGACAGTCTGGATGCTGGTCGCTCGCCCTAGTCGAGACCCCCGCCTTCCCTTACGTACAGTTCGCCTCGAACCATTTTTGGGTATTCGGTGCATGTTTTAAGGCGTTCATTCATCTTCGGACTACAGATGTAGGGAGAAGCTTGGGAAATTACGATCTGAAACTTTGGTGTGCTGCCGACGATTGGTAAACAAACAGTGTTCAATGACAACAACACGTACTGCGTTCGCTGCCGGGTAAACTCGTTTGTTTGCGAGTTTTCTTGTAATGAATTGATTCACCAGCGAGTGATTGGCCAGTAATTATATTAACCCGTCGGCCGCTGTAAAACACCGAACCCTGCGCGTTCGGACGAAACAGGCACCGAATCCGGCGTCGTGCAATTTCAAACATTTGGCGCAACGAAATCTGGAACAACATCGTTCCTTCATTTAAATTCCATGTGCCGCAGATGGTAATTATTGCGACCTCGCTTATCGGCCGGCGACACTAGTTGCGTTAAAGTTTGCGGGGTCTCGCAGCCGAGAGGTCGGAAAAATAGCTAGGGCCTCACGTGCGTGATATAAGGGACTACTATAAGGGAGGAGGGCTACTAAGCCCACAACCTCCCTTTCCCATCCTTGCACGAAACAAAACATCCTCGTCGTCTTCGTGTTTTTTCTGACACCTCCTTTTTCCCAAAACCAACCGAAAAGTCGCCGCGCTGCTGTCGCCAGCCCCCGCCTTCCTCATCTGCAACCATTACATCACAGGGACTGCGCTCTCCGCCTCGACCTTCTCTCAACGAAAACCACGTGCTCGCAAAGATAACCTTGATTCTTGGACACCTCGGCAGCTGCTCTCACCCCTTCACCAACCACCGCTGGAAACTTACAAAACGCACGAACTGGGCAGTTTCGTGAGCGTAATTCGCCGTTCTTGTACTGTCTAAAAGAGTAATATTGTCATATATAACCTAAGAGGAAAACTGTCGCGATGTCGAACAACGCTGGCATGCAAAAAGTTCATGATCTTCTGGACGCGATCAAAACGGAGTACGACACGCTTTCTCAACAGGCCAGCGTGTTAAAGAACCGTAAGATTGACTACGAGAGCTCAGGTATGAAAAATTTCGGGACATTCACCTCTACATCTGTTAACGTAGACTCAGTCATCACATCGCAAATCCAGGAGATGCAGCAGATCCAGCACTCGCTATCGGAGCTCGAGACGCAGCACAAAAAGATGAAGGAGAGGTAAGTCCAGACGCGTGCGTGTTCTTTCTGTGCTTGTGTGTTGACACGCTGCTAGCTACGAAGAGGAGATCGCTTCCTTGAAGAAAAAGTTAGAGTCTAAAAATAATGAAACGGCGGGTCTTTCGGCGGCCGACCAGCACTTGTTTGGTAATGACTCTACTGGCCAAGCTACTCGGCCTCAGCTGCAGGCACAGCCGTACAAGCCCGTTCTGTCACAGCCCGGCACAGCTGCTTTCCAAGCAAGCACGCAAAAGCAACCCGTTCCATACACAGCCATTGACGGCTCCAGCGCCATTCAATCCATTCCCACTGTCCAACCACTCAATCATCCCCAAGGAGTGGATTCCCTAGGAAACCCACAGCCTGGCCAGGGAACGGTTCCTGGAGCAGCGACGTTTTCTTCCGGTGGTGCCTTCCAGCAGGATCCTTCGGCAGCCACGGCTGCTGCAAACCTTCCTCCCGGCGGTCCCATGACACAGCCTGTTGGCCCCGGTGCTGCCACCGTGGCACAGGGTGCTTTCTACAATAACAACGCGAACACGAACCCCAGTTCCAACAACAATGTCATTACTAAGCTCGAACAGACTCCCTCCACACCGGCTGAAGTCCCTGCTCCATCTGCCCATGTAGCAGCGGTGGGAAACCCTGTCCCGCCCTCCAACGCCGCTGACGTGAATCCCCAGCAGCAACAGCGACAACCATCACCCGCTGCATCCGCTCCTATTGACCGACGCATGTCGCTGGATGAACGGACGAAAGAGTCTGGTCAGGATTGGTATGCGGTGTATAACGAAAAGATGCCCAAGCGCATGTCTATTGGCTTGGTGCACACTCTGGAACACAAAAGCGTTGTGTGTTGTGTTCGATTTAGTGCAGACGGCAAATACCTGGCTACTGGTTGTAACCGTGCGGCAGAAATTTTTGACGTACAGACGGGACAAAAACTCGCTACTTTTGAGCAAGAAAACACCAATCCAGAGACCGACCTCTACATCCGTAGTGTTGCGTTTAGCCCTGACGGAAAGTACCTAGTCACGGGCGCTGAGGACCGACAAATCCGCATGTGGGACATAGCCACTGGCAAAGTGAAGCACGTGTTTGTCGGTCATGAACAGGACATCTACTCACTCGACTACAGTAGGGATGGCCGATACATTGTTTCCGGCAGTGGAGACCACACCGCCCGCTTGTGGGAAGCTGAAACGGGCAAGTGTGTGCTGACGCTTGCCATCGAAAACGGCGTCACTGCGGTTGCATTCTCGCCCAACAATCAATTCATCGCGGCGGGAAGTCTCGATCAAGTTATTCGCGTATGGTCTATTACGGGAACACTGCTCAAAAAACTCGAGGGACATCGGGAAAGCGTGTACTCCATTGCATTTTCGGCCGATGGCAAGTATCTTGCCAGCGGAAGTCTTGACAAAACCATGCGGCTATGGGAGCTGAAGCTTGACGAGAACGCCAAGACTTGCTCCAAGGCGAGCGCCATTTCGACGTACACTGGCCACTCCAACTTTGTTCTCTCCGTCGCCATTTCTCCCAACGGGAAGTGGGCCGTCAGCGGCTCCAAAGACCGCAGCGTCCAGTTTTGGAATCTGAAAACCGATGAACTCTACCTGACGTTTCAAGGTCACAAGAACTCTGTTATCTCTGTTTGTTTTAGCCCGGATGGCAAACTTTTTGCTACTGGCAGTGGAGACCTTCGTGCTCGTATTTGGTCCATCGAGGATACAGCTTGAGGAGATCTCTAAAGCATATCTATTCTTCTTCACCATGCATCAGATTACCGGCTCATCTGTCGATGGGCCACTTTTCAATGTCGCGCTTCTTCTATCTAGCTCTGTACCACGGGGCACCTTGTTCTTCTTCTTCTATGCACACCGTACGGGCACATTGCATACACACACCCGCACTCCTACACCCCCTCCCTACCGTCCGGCGCCCACTCCAGACTAGCATTTCATTTTATCTTGCTTGTGTCTGTCGCACGCACTCTATTGCGCATCGAACCCCGTAATCCGAGTTTTGTACTTTACATTTTTCGCTGTTAACAATGTTTGTTTACTAGTGGGATAAAGCGGGGGCTAGATGGGGTGAATGGGGGACTTAAGGCTTCCCGTTTTTTCGGAGGCTCGCCCCCGCTTGTGTATGGAGCTCCACTTCCACCATGGCGCCCCCACCTCTTATCGCTTGCCAACACCTGACAGAAACTGCTGCAAAGCAAATCGGTATCAATTCATGACTGCGGAGGAGCCTACCTCCTGACCTTATCAAATCTGCTTGAAACTGCCGCAACTGTGTTACTAAGGCGGTCTCGCGCCTTCGGAAGTCACTTATTCCCCTGCGAACATCCTGGCTAACACCGCAGCAAAAACTGTTATACTGCGGCTGAATTGCGTTTTCAACGGCCTTCTTGGAGCCTTCGTAAATCCAGACACGTCTTACGACACTTTGCTGAAAAAGGAATGAAGTCGGGAGACCCTCAGCAATGGATTTCTGCTGTTTCGTCTGCAAACAGTGAGAACTCTCGGCTAAATTGTTTGAAGAAGATCAAATCCGATGACCAACTGTGTCGATTGCTGCCTGCTACATTGGTTTGGGAGAACACCAAGGATGTCGTGGAAGTTCGAGCACCCTCAAGCATTAAGCATGCAGTACTTCGGGTTTGGACGAAAATGATCGAATGTCAGAAATACTTGCCGTTAGACGACCGTTTGCGGATGTACCACTCGGTTACACAGATTTCTGCAGTCGATGATTTACCGGATGCGATTGAGGTGCTTATTATGATTACTTCACAGGGTTCCGACATCAACGAAATTGCTTGTGACATTACTAAGCTTCTCACACATTGGTTCATTGTGATTTTCCACAAAATCGATGCTCTACGCAGCCACTCACACCTGAATGGGAAGGCTAAGGCGTTCCTGCGGACTCTGACTCAGAGCTTCTACCAATTGCTTCTGTTGTTCACAAACATTGTGCGTCTCCGGTTCTACTTGCTTGAAGAGCTCGATGTATCGGCCATGGTCGCCAACTGCGTTTGGATGTGTAAAAATACGACAAAAGAAAATGACATAGAAATGGCGTTTTCGCTGATTGGATACATTATATCATATGGCTATATTGCTACATCGGTGTTACCCTCTGTTGTGGAGGTGCTGTGCCGAGCAAAGTCGGGTCTCATAAAGAGTTCACAAACAGCTCACAGCCTGATTGACAAGCTGTTCCGCAGCCGTATGAAGTACCATGCCTTCCGATCGCTCATGCAGCTTGTTGACAGTCCAACCGAAACATCGACAATTGCCATCATTGGTGCTATCCGCATCCTTGGCGCTTATGTTGTGCGGCCTCCAGAGACCGTGTACTGCGAACGCAATATGATTTTCGAGTTTTTCCTGAAGGCCATGGAGAGTAATTCGCTTCGTGTCGCACTGGAGGCTTCTCGTTCTTTGTTCGATGCGCTTGGTGATCGTCATGTACTGAAAAAACTGAGTCCTGAGGATTGGAAGTTGTTTGTCAGCGTATTGCTGCGGTCTACTTCCTACCTTCCACATTCACTAAACTACAAGAACAGGAGTATCCAGGAAAAAGAGAATGTTTTAGACATGCTGGCGGCATACAACATGAAGCTTATTTTTGTTATTAAGGAATGCTATGAGCAGCGCCCCACGTATCCCGTTCCCTACGACGAATTTTACCAGTTATTGAAGGTGTCTCTGCCCTACATGGACAAGGAGCTCCACGGCTTGTTCTTCGAGATCATCAGCAAATTTCGTATTCTGTTTCCCTCGAAACCGGATTGGCTCGACGATCAAAAGCTGTTAATGCAGCAATACATGAACTCGAAATTAGATGCAAATGACAAGATGGCTATTATTGACGTATTTAATGAGTCCTTGTTCCACGCGCCTGAGCATCTTCGAGACGAACTTTTCCGAATTACCCTCATTCCACTGCTCCGCACATTGAAAAAAGAATCTCGTCAACACGTCCTCGACAAAATCTTCCAAAGTGTGTGTGATTCTTCTATTTTATTTTCCAGTGATATATTTCAGACCGTATCCAAAGAACTGACAAGCATTGTTCGCGACCCACCATCTGCCGCTCTTCAGTATTGCTGCATTCAGACTTTGATGAGCATGCTCTTTCTGTACGTGCTTCCGCCTACTTTCAAAGCATCTCTTCTTGAGACTCTTGCAAATGTTGTGAGCGAAGTGTCAATCCCACTCAAGTTTCGTATTTTGCCTCTTATTACACTCCTTCAACTTCGAGTATCAACCACAAACTATCTTTTTGTGAACCCTGTCCCAGCGGAATCACGTCTGTTGTTTGAATTTGATGCTCTTCCTATTATTTGGTATGCACCGAACAAAACTAAGTTTTCACATCAGCAATTGTTACGGGATTTGGATTTCTCAAAACTCGATGTGCTGCAGGAGTATCCTCTTAAGGTGAATACAACGGGCTCGCAGTCGGATGAACTACTGACGTTCCCTGTGCATATCTGGATGCAAAGCATTATACGGTTCCAAAAAACGGAAACAAATTGGAATGTGCTAAAATATGCAATCATGAATTTTGCAAATCAATTGCGGAGTATGTCCTTATTTAAAAACGATGCAGAGGGTTTACAACTGGTATTTTCCTTTATATCAGAAGTTATTCAGGGCGAAAAAGTGCTTTCTGCACAGGCGCCGTCTTCTAAAGATGTCCAATTAATGATGGTTACCGTTTCCGAGTTTTTGTCTGTTTTGATGATCTATAAAGATGTTTTGCGCGAGGATGTGAAAGAACAATTTTTCCTCCTCTTAAACTCTCTTATTGGACATAGTGAAAAGGCTGTGGAATCGTGTATTGATGCACTTATCATTAATATTTATGAAATGCCTTCCCATTCACTAAAATATCTGCCCAAATTCTTTACACGTATCATTTCAGCAGATATTTCAGAGCGTACGTTAGTGAACTTTCTTCGCCTACTGCATGTCGTCGGTAACAGTTCGTTACTGGGGCGTGGCTTACCGTTCGCTACAATTAAAGAGATCTGCTTGTTTTGTTTCTCCATTGTTGCCAACCGTAAACAGATTTTGCATAATGCAAAGGGTTTAATGGACCCGGGTACTCGGGTTTTTTCCTTATACATTGTCTCATTTTGCTACCAAATTGTAACAAATATGTTTCTTTCATGCCCTTTGCAAGATCGTGCGGAGCTTTCTCAGTTTTTGCTAAACCAACTGCTTTCAGGCGATGACTCTCGTTTTCTCGAACCATACGAAGTCGTGTTTTATGAGTTTCTACTAAGCTTCACGTACTCTAACGAGCTTGTGGCCGACACGTCTAAATACGAGTACATTGATTTCGATCCCTCTGCAATGCTTTGGCTCTACCGAGGCTGCGTTATCACGATCCTTCAAACTGACGAAGAACTCTTTAAACTACAGGTGCGTCGAATGTCGGGGGTTCAGACGTATGCAATTTCCAGGACTGTTCACTCTCCTCAGACATCGTCTTCGCGTTATGTTCACTTAAAACATTCCCCGACAAAGCATCTGTTGTTTACCAGTAATCTTGACGAGACAACCCCAAGTCACATTTTTGGTGAGCTCATACACACACCGGAGACGGCTAAAACGGAAGAGCCCGTGCTGCTTGACAATAGAGACGAAAGTACTCTTCAGTTACTGGACCGTTTGGATGCTACTGTGGTGCGTCCTGTTGTCCATGTTGCTGTCGCGTTTGCAAACACGGACGCAAAGCATGCAAACGTCACTGTTGGCTGGCAAGTCTTTCATCGGTTGCTGGAAAGCCTTGGCTCCAAAACTTTAAATCCTAACGACCAGGGTGCGACGTATTTTTGGAAGAGCAAGATGTCCAATATTGTGTTTCATCAAATTGACATCGAAAAGGATGCTTTTCCTAGTGCGCTTTATAGCGCCTTCCTCGTTTTTGGGACAGATGACCTTGTCAATAAACTGGCCCAAAAACTGAGTCGATGTAATGTACCTGTACTGCTTAAAGTTTCTCTAGACTCACATTTGGACAACCTCGCGATGTTTGATACGCTATTCCATATGCGTATCCAACTCATCACCACCGGTCTTGACTTGGCGCACCAAGGTTTTTGGAAATTCAACCAAATTGTCTCGGTACACTCGTTACCAGCAATCTTACATTCTTTCATCATGGACATTGGTCTTTACCAGTCCGTTTCCGAAAACTTCTACTACGTGCACCCCTGGCTGGAGCGTCAAAAATGTCTCGAGTCTCTCTACAAGTTGTATAATAAGCGGATTGATCGGAGCGTTTATATGAAGCAATCTCAGAAGGAGACACTTGACTTTACTCTCTACCTCTAACTTGTACATATGCTTATGAATCAATCTCTACGAACATTTTCCAAAACTACCATGAGCACTGCCACTATTGCTATTGTTGCTACTGCTATTAACTGCTACTGCTGCTTACCGTAACCAACAAGCCGACTGTGTCACTTACTTCACCTCGCAGGGAGTTGGACCCCTAAACCCCGGATTAGCCTCAGTGGCTTACGTAATTCTCGAACTTTCTCCGCGTTAGCCCCGCAATTTCGCCTGTTTCCCACAATTCTTCACCACATTGGTGGCAAGTTGTTTAAATCCCCGCAGTGATCGACGCGTTGTGCATTACCCTTACTCAACGAACTATATATAAAGCTGAACGCTGCACTCTTCCCACCCTCTCCCAGCTCCAATCTTTCCTCACCCCACCCAAATAGATCATATTATACCTTAAAAATGAAGAGAGGAGTTATCTTTAACACGTTCTTTGCATTGTTGACTGGTTTGGCCAGTCTCGTGTCCGCTGAGGTTCCCAGCTTGAACGAGGATTCGTTGAATGAGTTGGTTAAGACCGAGCCCTTGGTTATGGTGAAATTCTTCGCTCCCTGGTGTGGTCACTGCAAGAATTTGGCTCCTGAGTACGAGGCTGCCGCTGAACAGTTGAAAGAAGAGGACATCGAACTTGTCGAGGTCGATTGCACCCAAGAGGCCGAGTTCTGTCAGAAGAGCGGTGTTCGTGGATACCCCACTCTCCAAGTTTACCACAACGGTGAGAACGTTGGCACGTACAGTGGTGCCCGTAAGCAAGATGCTATTGTCAAATACATGCAGAAGCTTCTTTTGCCCGCCGTCACCCCTGTCACGAACGAAAACGTGAAGGATTTCATTAGCCAGGACCAGTTCACCGTTGTTGGACTCTTCGACGACGACAAGAAGAACGAGACTTTCACGAACCTTGCTGAGAAGCTCCGTGATGACTATGCTTTCGGTGCTTCCAGTGATGCCAAGGTTGCTAAGGCCTTGAACGTCACCATTCCCGCCATCGTCGCCTTCAACAACCTTGAGGATGGCGAGGCTTTCGTCTACAGCGCTAAGGAGTGGAACGACGATGACATTGTCAAGCACTTGGTCAGCTCTCGCATTCTTCTGATTGATGAGCTTCAACAATCCAACTATGCTACTTACATGCAAGACGGCAAGCCCATGGGTATCGTCTTCTACGAGTCCCCCGAGTCTCGTGAGGAGCTTGTTGCTCTCTTCAAGCCTTTGGCCAAGACGTACAAGGAGAACACCAACATTGTGTTCTTGGACGCCAACCGTTACGGCGGTTTTGCCGAGAAGCTTAACTTGGAGCAAAAGTGGCCTGCCTTTGCTATCCACGATGTTCAGCAACAGCAAAAGTATCCCTTTGAAAGCACTGATTTGACCAACGAGTCTGTCGGCGAATTCCTTGAGAAGTTCGCCAAGGGTGAGCTCACTCCTTCCATCAAATCCGAGCCTATTCCTGAGGAGCAAGACAACTTGTATGTTGTTGTCGCCAACTCCTTCAATGATGTCGTTCTTGACACCACTAAGGATGTTCTCATCGAGTTCTATGCTCCCTGGTGCGGCTACTGCAAGAAGTTGGCTCCTACTTACGAGGAGCTCGCCGACCAATACGCTGGTGAGGACCGTGTTGTTATTGCCAAGATTGATGCTACTGCGAATGACGTTCCTGTCCAGATTTCTGGATTCCCCACCATCATGCTCTTTAAGGCCGACGACAAGGAGAATCCCGTCCGTTACGAGGGTTCTCGTACTTTGGAGGACCTTGTCGAGTTCGTCAAGACGAACGGTGCTTTCGAGGCTGCCCCCGTTCCCATTGAGAAGGAGGAGGAAGCCGCCGAATCTGCCGAGACTGCCGAAACCGCTGAAACTGCTGCTAAGGTCGAAGAAGAGGTGAAGGAGCAAAAGGGAGAGGAGGATGTTGAGGATGAATTGTAATGAACTCGGCTGATGACTTGTCTTGCTTTTCTTATGCGAGACCTACCCACCCCATTCATACCTATATATAGGCCCGTCTTGATGATCATTCTTTATACGCTAAGAGAGGTAACTGTGTCTCTATGACTGTTCCCCCCGACAACGTGCCCCATTCATGGGTGACTATAGCTGACTATGGTTGGATAGTTTCTTAATACTCTGTACGAATAACAAACCAACACTTCTCTTTCGTTTATTTTTATCTAAGTGTGTCACAGGTGGATTGGGTGCGGAGAACGGAAAAAGGCGTTTTGGAATTACGGATTCATCCCACTCTTTCCTTACACCCCTATTGCCTACTGGTTTAAGGCTTCTTTAAAAGTTCTATTCCCTTACTAAAAACGGATCAATGTATAAATAGAAACTAGAAGGTGAAATAATCGTTAATGTTAATATTCGTAAAATAGCACGACAGTAGAAACGGTGTGTGTGTGGGCAACGAGAGACGAAGAACAGCGAGAGCTACTACATCATTTGCTTTTTCAACTGCAGTTGTTTAACGGAATTGGGCCGCTGTTTTTATGGTGATAGCAAGATACCGGCCGACTGCTTTTACGATATAGCAGACAGAATGGTTGTAAACTAGACGTATATCTAGCTAGACGTTGGAAAAACAGAACAGTTAAGTTTTGCAGTGAGGAAGAGAGGGGGACAAAGGCTAAGTTTACAAAACAGAAGCTGTGATCTTTTGGATGTAGGGAAGGCGATACGGTTAGCGGGAAGTCAAGCAAGGTCTATGTGCGTTTTAGTAATACTGCTACACAAGACAGAACGAGTAAGTACACTTTTTGAGGTCTCTGAGAGTTGCACCAAGTATATTATGTGAAGTTGAGTAAGTGTATCAGTATAACCTTAAGCAAACTCCCAAGACGATTTCCTTTCGAAGAGAAAAGAAGCGTCCTTGACAGAATCCCTTTGCAAGAGCTCCCGCAACAAATCCTCCTTCCAGGAAACTGCATTTCTGCGTTTCGACATTTCTGCATTCTGCCCAACGAATCCGCTTCGCATCCCGAACAGGCTGTTATGCTGATGCTCTTGTCTGCCAGTGAATCGCCCATCATATCACAACAAACAGCTGCAGAACACGATAGAAACTGTACACACGAATGTACTGCGGATCGCGTAGATGGAAAAGTAGTGATAGTAGTAGTAATAGTAGTAATAGAAAAAGAAGCAGTAGTTGGTAAGTTGAAGACGCTTGTACGAGACACTGCTTTGTATGAGGTGCTAATTGCCCCGGAAAAAGAGCAAAGAAACGGTTCTGTAAAGAAAAGGAGAAAAACAAGAGGCGATGGTTGAAATGATAATAGAATATAGGGAGGAAACAATGAGGGAAATGAGAGAGGGGAAACATAACTGCAGACCGGCGATGATGACAGTAAAAGTTGTTTCATTTATTCACACAGAACCGTTCATTCCTTTGCAAGCCAAAAAAAAAAAAAGAACAAGAGAGTGTACTGCCATCATCCGAACGGAAACAGCAAGAAAAATAATGGTCAGACAGCAAAAATGGCTTTCAGAAAGAGTTCTTTTCCAATAGTAGGTAGTAGTAGATTGTAGTAGTAAGTTGTAGCTGTTAAAAGAATTTTGTTCGATGTTGAGGACAGGCCAAAAAACTACATGCAGTACTTTGGATCCAGCAAATCAATGCTAGCACTCTTCACCTCTCCATCCAAGACAAGTTCTGCCATTACTTTTCCGGTACCGGGTCCGAGTGTGATACCCCAGCAGCCGTGGGCTGCAGCAACGTATACCGAATCTGTCATTTTGCCCAACATGGGAGCACCTGTTGTATTTGAGATAGGAAGGTAACAGGCTTGTCGAAGTTTTATATCCGACTGACGGAAACATTCGTGATAGTGGTCGGCGCAGCTCTTGATCCACTTGCACTTTTCGTCATTCACTTTTGTCTCTGAGGATAATTCGGGCAGCGGCTCATCGTCAAACTCGCCGCAAATATACATTTCATCCTCACGAGCGTAAAACTCCGGTGCTGCTGTTGTACCATCCTCAAACGTAATTTCCGTAAACGCTGCATTTCCAGATAATTTGAACGGCAGATCAACGAGTATACTGTGAATCCTTGCTCCAGAAATCCGAAGCTCTGGTAGTAAACGGGGTGTCCAGGGGCCAGTAGCTACTATAACATCCGTTGCCTCCATAGAGTGCAGTGTGTGAAGTTCTGCCTCATCTGAAATTTCATCATCTTCATCCGGCTCGTAGGGTTCCTCCTCTAGCAGGCGATACTCTACTTCGTTTTCCTCCACATTCGTAACGTGTCCTTTTATGATTGTGAAGTCTGCAATTTTGGATGTCTCTTTCACCAGAAAGTGACAAAACTTGTACGGGTGCACCTGACCCGTATCTTTTTTCGTTCCCAAACGGGTGACTTGAAACGGGTTAGTAAGTGATCAGTGGGAGAATGCAAAGAGAAATGAAGAGACAACAAAGGTTCGACATGGAACAGATGCTGATGGTCATTGGGGCTTGAGGTACGTAGATACATCGAGGGTTGCTCCGAGGACGCCAAACAAGCCCTCCAATGGACCAGAATGAGTTGGTAAAGAAGAATACCATGGTCAGATTATAAATGTGCAAATCAAAGCACACCATCAACATCGTTTCAGTACGCTGACCCGCTCTGTGGGCCTTCACGTCCACTTTCTCTTGCGCACATACCTTTCTCAACAATGTTTGAATCAATCCATTCAATGGATTCTGGCAGATGGTCGGGCTCCTTGCAATGCTCGTCAATTTTGACAGACCAAGTGTCTAGAGCACGGTAGCCCCATTGTTTTGCACCGTCATACTTTTCTGCAAGCTCTCGATGAAGATTGTATGACAATTTTGCCAGCGAACTTGTGGCCGGTCCATGCCATTCTAACGACAGAAAACCAGACGCTTTTCCAGAAGCCGCAGACGCGATCCCAGAGCTCTCAAAAAGCGTTATAGAGTCCCGAGAGCGATTAAACTTCTCGTGATTGGCAATATAGTACGCACAACACACGCCGGTGATTCCTCCTTCATAGAGTTAGTTTTTTGGTTCAAAAACAGCACCATCATGTAACTGAGGCTGTAAGGTGAATTCAGACGCAAAACCTGTTGTCTGGAGAGGCTTAAACAGAAGTTATTCCTTTCTCACCCGTTTCGCGTCCGTTTCTCCTCGTTCCAATTCGAGCCGACGCCTAAACGTACCGCCTATAATTACAATATTCCTGTTACCGCGATTCATCCGGTACAATGCGTATTAGAAGCCCTTGGATTGAGGTTCGTGTATAACGATGTTGGCAAAGGAAAAAGGTATACCCGACTGATTGGAATGGTAGGCAAGATGCTCGCGGGACAGCCCGTGAGTGGTCCAAGCGCGACGTGGGCTTAGAATGGATCCATTGGCGGGAGATTGTGCCTGTGGTTGTTGATTCGAAAGGAGACCGGGATTAGGCGAAGGAGTTCACCAATCGATTCCGCGCCAGGGCTCCAGTAGCTTCATCGGAAGGCTAAGCTAAGCGAACTTTTGGAAGACCAAAATAAAGTCTAAACGAATTAAAGTTCTCCAAGCGGGGTAACGCGCTTAGATAACCTTATTTATTCTGAATGCCGAAAACAGAAGCAGCAGGCTGAGAACAGAGATGGAGGTGGAGGTGAGGAGTAAGAAGAAGTACGGTAATGGAGAATGTTAGAAAAAGGCTGCAACATTGTAGCAAGAGCTAGAGTGATGCAACCATGTGCTAGTGCGGGGTCCTGGAGGAAACAAATGCAAAATCGAGGCGACCATGGCGGTCAGGAAGGACAGGGAAAGATCAGTAGACGGGGAATTTGTGCGGCTGATGAGGAGGATTGTTGTTTGTAGTTCTCTCTAGAAAAACACACCGTTCAAGACCAGCACTGTCTTTCCAAATGCTAGCATTCCAATGCGGAGAAGCGAGTTGAACAACGCGCTTTGCCTGCTCCTTGTCTCCAACCTCAAACGCAATATACCTCGGTCTGTAAACGGCGGCCCTATGTATCTCCCGAAGCACCTTGCGATAAAACGCATCGCCACATTCGTCTGCACACAATGCAAGCAATGGCTCGTAGCGGCGAACAGACGAACTAGTTACTCGAACCAAATCAGCGTCGGAAATGTAAGGAGGGTTGCACAAGAGTACATCACACCGTGCGACAAAGGGCAGCCATACATCAACTTGCTTTAAAACGTCGGCACGCACGAACCCGACACGGCCTCGACACACCTCTTCACGATTATTGTGTCGGGCGAGTGCCAGGGCTTTCATCGACACATCTATTGCAGTGACATGCACCCGATCATGCAAGGCAGACGCAACAAACTGCGCTATGCAGCCAGAACCGGTACACATATCAACGACTTCCAAAGGTCGAGAGTCGTCGTGAGCTTGCTCGTACAATTGTTTCATATACGGCAAACAGCGCAACACCCATTCGTATGTCTCCCACCGGGGAATGAAAACCCCCTTACGACACTGTAGATTCAGCGGACCAAATGATTCTGAACCCAGAACATACTGTAAGGGGACACCGCGCCCACGTGCTTTGCACATTCGCTGAAGCCGCAGCATTCGAGCGTGACTTTTTACAGAAGGCCCCAGTTCTTCGCACATCCACGTCCATTCTCGGCGCGCTTGTGCCAAAGAACGAGTCGCCCACAGCAATGGAACAAGAAGCGGATTCCTCCGCCGTGCTGTAGCAACCATTATAGGCAATAAACGTGGCGACATAATAGGTATAGAGAAAAAGCCAAGCTTCAGTTCAACACACCAACAAGACGGTTTGATAGCAGGTTTCGCTCACTGGATGCAAAAAGGAATTCTGGTATTAAAAAAGTCTTTGCATAAAGGTTGGCTGAGATATATATAAGTGAGAATGAAAAGGATTGAGAGAGAGTGAGAGAGTGTGTGAGAGAGAAAGAAAAGTATGAGAACATATATAATGTAAACGTGTATGTCAATCTATTAACGGTTCAAGTTAGCAAACAGTGCCAAAACAACCGACTTGAGAGGTCCGAGAAAACGAGAAGCACAAGGTGTGACGAAAAACTGAGGATGAAGAAGAAAGTAAAGACAGATAAAGAGGAAAGAAAATATTTGGAAAAAAAGATACTGTTGTTGCGGTCACGAAAATAATGAAGTCGGCGTGAAACTAATTTGAGGGTGAGTGAAGATCGCGCGAGACACTATGTAAAGGCTGCATGAAAACCGCATGAGCATGACCTTGCACACTGATTATGTACTCCATTTGGGTAGGAGTAACGGATATCCATAATTCAAGCCAGAGAAAACTAGCCCAAGTCAGTGCTTCTTTTTTCTTTTATTTGTTGAAAGCTGAAGCCCTCCGTACCGCTCAACAAAACGCTAGACGAGCTAGTGGTCTACCACACCCACGTCTGAAAGATTGATGAGCAGCTGGGCAAGACATTTTTTGGTTACATGGTCATCCTTCAACACCTGAGCGAAGGTAGCGTCACGTAGAGGTTCGGGAAGGCAATGACGAAGAGCTTCTCGAGCTCTGGGATTGTCGCTGAGACGCAGATAACAGCGGATAACGTGTTTTAGCAGCCGGAAAGCAAACGAGTCAACAAGCTGCATGACCATGTTGTTGAGAACAGTCGCAACGGCGTAGAAACGCTCGTAGGTCTGGCAGATGTATTGCAAGCCAACGTCATCACATAGAAACTTTTGAACAATGAAGATGGCCACCGTCTTGGAAAGCTCTGAACCGCTTTCCATAATTCGGAGGCACAATGGAATAATCTCGGTCGACAGCAGGAAATTAATTACATCAGGCGACTCATTCTTTACGAGAGCGCCAATTACGCCGAGACTTGTCAGTCGCAAGTATTCGAAGGGCTTGCTTTTTGCGGTCGTGTTGAGAAAGGGGTATAGAAAGAGAGTAACATGGGCATTCAGAAACGGAATTCGTGTATCTGGATGAGAAGCAATGCACTGAAGCAACGCAAGAGCATTACAAACACGGTTTGAGGTAGGGCCCGTAAGGGTGGGCGGATTTAACATTGGGTAAATGCTTATAATTTCTTGTAGTAAAGCAGTCATCACGCCGTATGCATGCCACAAAATAAGCGCCAGATCGTCATATTGTTCTCGTTTTTTTGACAATTCCACCAGAGCCTGTTCTCTGTTGGTGTCAGAAACCAACTTAATGATCCATTCATAGACAATTGCCGGCTCCACGTTTTGAGTATCCATTAGACGCAAGCTTTGTATGTTTTAACCAGCAACTTCGTTCGCAAATTACACAAATATGAAAATCCAATTTCACACAGAAAAGAGCAGTAATTAGACACCTTTTTTTGACCGCGTATTTCAACCAAAAGCGGGATTCCTTCGTAATAAGAGCTAATGCACAGTAAACTCTCAAATAGCCACCAGACCTTGTTTCGTTGTATTAATTATACCTATAACAGTTTTCTAGGAGTAGATTTATTCCCAAAATCCACAGTCCTATGAGTAACGTTGAGCAGAAGGAAGTTCCGTAGAAAGAGGGAGGTTACGTCCGTTCTCCTATCTTCTGGCGCTGCATGGTCAGGAGAAAGGAGACTTCCCCAGATTTGAACCGCAAACCTTTCGCATCAGTGATCGACGCTTTCGATGGATAGAGTGATCTGCAGATCGACAAGCAGACCGCAAATTAGTATGACGTAACCTCATAGACAACCCCGCTTTTAATCGTCCACGTACACCTCCACCACTCACAACCCTTCAAACACACTGAGCCCCGCACTTGTCCCGCAAACTATATTTTGTTGTTACAATTCCCACCATCATCGTACCGTCCTACACCGTGCTTGCCGCCAGCACCTGTGTCCTGTTTGTGTACCACTACCATTACCTCCCTCCGCTTGTTAGACCAGTTCTAGGCTTCGTTGCTGTGAGAATACACGTTTAAAGATTACTATAAGCTACGAGAGGCCTATTACTTAAGGTTGGTTTCCTATAAACCGTTTTTCGCTCGCAGTTCTACTCACATTTGTAACAAAATACGAAGTATATTAGGAACTAATGGCAAGTGGCGAGCATGCTAAAGAAAATAATACTTTTTCCATGCTGAGAAGAAGCGAATCTGGACCTTCCTTCTCAATTGGAAATGACGATGACTTTAATGAACCTGTGGTAGAATTACCACATCCTCAACTTCCTAATTTAACGCTACAGACACCTTCAAGAGAAGAGACTCCTCAAACGTTACACGTCGAGGATGTAAAAAACAGCACGTCTAGTTGGTCTCAGGATAATTCCCTTGTTTCATCTCCTATCACGGGAGTTATGGACCATAGCATTTTTGGAGAAAGGCCCGAAGCGTTCGGTAACGAAATGGTCACCGACCAACAGTTTTACGATCGAATCATGGACGAACAGACGTCGTCTTACGGTCAGTCACTCACTTCTACTGACTCGTTTGCCTTGCTAGCAGAGCATCAAGCTCGCGAACGATTAGACTACGCTCGTTCTGAACAAGACATTGTATTTGGACGTGAACGGTACGATCCTTTTGCTCCATCTCAGACGCGTTCTCCCGTCTCTCCCCATATTCCTCCGGTCATCATTACAGATCCAGATGCAAACAGCATGGAGGGTCCTTCGTTTTCATTTGGCGTTGCCGATGAGAGTTTTGGTGCGGCTGAAGAACGTGTTCCACAGTCCTCATCCGAACACGAAAGACATCATGGCAGTCTCTCGATACAAGAAGGATTTGTGCCGTACGAGGCGGAGCCTTCGCATTCTGAGAGACGCGACTTCAATGTCTTTATGCCTCAGCTAGAAACTAGCGTCCCTTCGCACCCCCCGGCTTACCAATCCAACGAGCATGAGGGTTCCCCAATTCAAGAAAATGATGACTCTGAAGAATCAAAAGAATTAGAATCCTCTTACGTACCGGAGAAGCCTACTGTTGAACAGCCACAACGGTCTGTTGAAGAGGTCGATACGAATAAATCCCCCAAAGCAGAAGGCATTGACAACGGTTCTGAAAATCCAGAGCAATTAGATACTATTAATGGCTCTCTTGTGGAAGAAAATGCTGCTCACGAGGAACATGCGGACGTAGTTGATGCTGACATCGCTACTAAGGAAGCTTCGCTTACTCCACATTCAGTGGAAGCTGCTAAAGAGGATATTTCGGCCCCAGCTCCGGCTACTCGCGAATCTACAACCATTTCCGTCGAGAAAGCTACGGATGCTGAAGCTGATTTGGAGCAACAGGAGACAGTTCAAGCTCATTCGACTCCTTCTGATAAGAATGCCTTAGAGACAGAAATGATGATTGATTCAAAGGTTTCAGATGCAGGTGCTAAAGCTGAGGTTTTGGATACACCAGCTTCTCCCTCTGCGCAGGAGAATTCTAATCCTGAGGACACGGGCAACGACGTCGTCGAAACTGAACCTAATGTGCCACGTGAAGCCTCGTCGGTGTCATCGCCGAAAGCTACCGTTGAGTCTAATACAAGTGCGAACGTTGCTTCTTCTGGAGCATCACCTCCAACGAAAGAAGCACTTCAAGCAAGTAACACTGTTACGGCGGTCCCCGAGGTTGAAGAAAAGTTAACTGAAGATGACTTGTTCTTCAAAAACATTGCTGCTGTTTCACCTGTGCCGGAGCCAACCCACAGTGTGAATGAGGAGATATACTCATCTGCACCTGTGCAACGCCAAGAACCACCCTCGCAACCGCAAGATGCTAGTCCCCTGAAGACGAATGAGACGAATGTTCAATCGCCTATTTCTGCAACTCAACAAGAATCGCAACCGCAAGATGCTAGTCCCTTGAAGACGAATGAGACGGATGTCCGATCGTCTATTTCTGCTGCTCAACAAGAATCGCAACCGCAAATGCAAAAAACAGCCTCTCCTAAAACGAGTGATGCGGACGCGGATTTCTTTGCTTCATTGGGAGCAGCCGAAGGTAGCTCCAAACCCTTGGACACAGAAGAGGTCAATGATGAAGAACTTCTTGATGACTCGGAGTTTGATGCTTTGATGAACAGTTTCATTGAATCTTCCCCTGCTGAACGACCTCCTCAACGTGCTATGACTTATCAGCCTTCTTTTCATCAGCAAATTCCAATAATGCATCCGAAGCCTCCGTACACGATTCCTGCTAGTGCTCCGCCAACCATGTCTTCTCAGAAAAAGGTTAATTCTTTTGTTGCTACTCATGATTCATACTCCTCTCCTTATGATTTACCAATGGAGATTGTTCAAAAGGCCCAAAGGAAAAGGGCTGAAGTTCAACATACCATACAGCGTAAGTCTCCTGCCGCAGCTTTTTCTCAAATGAGTCGTCCACCTTTCGGACGGCCTCCCTCGGTGCCTCCCTCAATGCCGTCGTCTTCGCGTACATCCCCTTCCATGCAGCGTGCATTTCCTCCAAATGCAACAAGTATGTCTCGATCATCCTCTTACGGTCGGACGTATCCTACGAACCTATCGTTGCCTCCAAAGACGTCCCCGCAGCACGCTCCTTTCACATCTACCGCTGCGGGATCCGCCGCTCAAAATACACAACCACTACATGGTCACGATGAAATTCCGGCAAAGCCAACTTATGCACCTTATATCCCGTCGCCGTACGCACCACAAAATGTCGCTACGCAGCAGATGCAGCATGCACCAATTGGAACTCAACAGCCTTCTTTGAATCGCATGTACTCCGCTCCGGTGTCTCAATACAACTCGCCAACCTCCACTGTCCCTAGAATGCCACCAACGCGCAGCTCTTCGAGTTATACGCCTCCGTCTGTTTCTCAACCTGCTGTTGTCACTGCCAATGTACCTTATGCTCCCCGCTACACACCTCAGCAACGAACTTTGCCGTCTGAAGTTAACGATCAACCCCCGAGAGCTGCACCACAAACTGCTCGGCGTTCGCCTTATGCTCCTGTCTCCGCGAGCATAACGTCTCCTGAGATAAAGGTATCTAGTGCACCAGCTCCTCTTCCTATTCAGCAGCCTATGAATTATACACCTGTTAGTGGGCTTACAACTCAACAGAAACCGGTACTTCCAGCTCTGTCTACCTCAAATTTGTCAGCAGCACCCTTAAATGTCCCAACTCCAATGAGCCGACAATCCTCGCATCAATCTGTATCCAGATATGCGCCAGTAGCGCCTTCAACGGCTGAAACCCCGGTTTCCATTGCCCGTGTTGCTTCTAACGAAGGCTCAGAGACGTATCCTTTACAACCTGTTTCTTCTATAACGCAAATGGTGAGATCGCCCGTAGATGCGTATACCCCAACATCGGCCACGCATCATGGAGAAGAGCTTAATTCAATGCCGCAAGTATCGGATGAACAAGCGTTGAAACAAGAAACGCCCATCAATATGACACCGATGGAACAACGTCCAATGCAAACTCCTCCCTATCTTAATCCGGCTATGTCGCTTCAAAACGATTCGCAAATGATGCAAGTTGACACCCAGGCCTCTGATGCTTTATACCAACCTAGTGCGTCCGTTTTGGACTTGCGTGCTACTCGAAGTCATGCACCACTTCCCGCTGAACCATACATGGCGCATGTCCAGCCAGAGGTAAATCATGGCCTTCATCTTCCTCATCCTTTGGTCAGTTTTGGTCCATGCGGAACCTTTTTGACCATGTGTCCTTTCCAAAGTGAGCGATTCACTAGTGAAGGTTTGGTTATGAAATCGACACCGGGGCTTTTGCGCTTCCACTCTCTGAAAGATTTCGTGCCCGAGGAAAACCTTTTCCTTACTGATTTTCAAGGACCATACATCGGGTCAAACGGAAAAATTGATAAAGCAAAGCGCAAGCAAGCCCTGGCTTGGGTGGAGAAGCGTTTGCATTATCTTGAGGATCAGGGTGAAAATGAAGAGAAACTGTATATATACAAGGCACTTGGGCTGATGCTTGGGACAGATGATAAGCACCGAATTAGGGATGGCGTTCGTGAAATGTTGCTTCCTAACTTTGTCCCTCCCGAGACCAAAAACTCAACAAAGACAGTTGCAGAATTGATGAATCCTTCGCTTGATGAAGACAATACGCCTGTAGTAGCCACGTCTAGCGTAACAGCGGGATTCTTGCAGAAGATTCACAATTTTCTGTTGGTGGGTGATCGGGAAAGTGCACTGACGTGTGCAATGAACAGAAAGAACTGGGCTTATGCCATTTTGTTGGCCAGTTCTTTGGGAAAGGAGACTTTCCAGTCGGTTGTTCACGATTTCATAAAGAGCGATCTTATGTCGGAAACGCAAACAGCGAATGTAGAGGTTAACTTGCGTGTTATTTTCCAACTGCTTTCTGGTGCATCTCTGGCATTTTCTGAACTTTCTAGCTCTTGTCCTCTGTTATCGTTGACGCAAGCGAATTCCGCCGAGGGAAATCAAGATTTACAATGGAAAGAGCTCCTCTGCATGTTACTCGCTAACGACGTTCCTGAACAGGTACAGGCTTTCAGGCATCTTGGTGAGCTCCTGCTTCAGCAGGGTAGAACATACGCCGCACATTTGGTCTTTTTGCTTTCCATGAGTCCTATTATCTGTTTGTACAATGGAAAAGAGCGTAATCCCATGCCTTTGGTTGGACTTGTTAATCCTAACGCATACTCAGACTCGACTGAGTTGCTTGAATCCGTGATGTTGACCGAGGTTTGGGAGTTGATCCTGAATCTTCATGCGAATAAGGAAACCATTTCTTACGCTCATCTGCAAATCTTCAAGCTCTACCACGCGCGAGTTCTTGCCGATTACGGACAACTCGCATTGGCTAAACGTTACTGTGAATGCATTGGACAATACTTGAAAATGGCTTCCAAAAAGTCCTCAGCTTCTATAGATCCATCGTTGGTTTCGGGTGTTAGGGATTTGTCTCGTCAAGTTTTGGAATCGTCAAATACCAACACGGAAGTGTCAAACTCCTGGCTCGGACGTACAGTATCCCGACCGAAGCTTGATTCGTTTTGGTCTGCATTAGAAAGCAAATTCAGCAAGTTTGTCGCGGGTGATGCGAACTTTGACATTACAAAGGACAACACCGTGGATGGTCCGTTTGCCAAGGTTGCTGAGGTGCAGGAAACGATTACTCGGGCGTCGTCAGCATTGGCTCTTCGGGACGATGAAGTTGTTGGAGAGAGAGTAATGCCTTATGGTTCAGTTCCTCAGAGTGTGCCGACGTCGCGGGTTCCTAGTCCTTACCAGCCGTTGGATCAACAAGTACATGCAGGACCTCATAGCGCGAACCCGTATGTTGGAGCTGCCGGTATACGAAGAGATACTGGACATGTTTCCTCTAGCGGTCCGTATCTTGAAATTCCATCTGCACAAACGTCTCCCAAACGTGGTCCATATGCCCTTCCTGTTCGGCCGACATACACGCCTACAACAACAGCTGGCTATAACCCGTATGTACCTCAAACCTTATCAACACCCGCGCAAGCCGCCGAACCCGCTGCGTATCAACTTGGTCAACCAGTTCGCAGCACTCCCCCTCAAGGGCCCATGTCTCCTGCTGAGGTTTCCGCGTTTGCTCCAGCTCCACCTACGGCGGAAACTCCAACGAGAAATACGTATGGTCCTACGCCAGCGGCTGTTTCGCCAGTGTATGCACCATCTCTTTCTCCCCAACAACCGTATCAAAACTTGCCGTCAAGAACGCACTCTCGAGTGCCATCGGCGAGTTCGGACATTAGCGTTGGTCGTTCAATGAACCAGCTTGCTGATGCTATGGGAGGCATGAATATCGACACGGATCGGGCAGCCGAAGCGAAACAGTCTGCTTCCAAGATCGCGGAAGAAATGATTAAACGTGAGGAAGAAGAGGAAGCTAAGAAAAAGCAGGCAGCTAGCACCAAGAAGAGTGGCGGAATGGGTTGGTTCTCGAAATTGCTACATCGTGGAGGTAATAACGAGAGTGCTAACAATGGACAACCTGTTTATAAGGCGAAGCTTGGTGAGAAATCTCACCTGCGTTATGACAAGGAGAAGAAGCGTTGGGTAAACGAGGATGGAAGTGACTTGAGCAATCAAGCAGCCCCTCCTCCTCCTCCTCCTAAAATGTCAATGATGCCTCGTCGAACTGCAACTACTTCGGTTCCACCGCCCGCCATGCCTGCTTCCAATTTGGGCACTATACCAGAATCAATGTCAGGCCTGGCCGGGCCTCCATCCAGTTCTGGAGCTGTTGCTCAACAGCCACTAGCTACAGGCCCTATTCCTCCTGCATCGTCGCCCGCTCCTCTCTCAGCTACTACCCCTACTGCGCCTGTTCCTCCTGCTACCGCACCCCCTGCTCCAACTCCTAGAGCTGGTCTACCACGTCCTCCTCTCGGCGGTACTGCAAGCACGACGAAAAAGACCGATTTACTCGACGAGCTTCTTAGTGCTCCTCCTACCGCTCCCTCCGAACGTCGGCACAAAAAGGTGAGCAAGCGCTATGTGGATGTTATGAACATGCAATGAGTACCTTTGTTACTGGGAGATGCATCTTCGATTCTCTCTCCTGCTACCTGATCGTTCATTCCTCAATTTTCTTTTTCCTTCAAGTCTAACTAACCAACATCCTTCCTCCTTTCCGTACTAAATACACTTTCCACCATCATCACCTTGCTCAGTTACAAATTCACTCAGTGCTAACTCTCAAGCTTGTAAATGTAATAAACCAGATACTTTTTATTCCCGTAAACAAAATGTTTGTAGACCGCGCTGGACATGCTGAACGAGGAACCTTTCGGCTATCGATGGGTCATGCAGTTGATCATTCAACTAGTACGCGTTACAAGACTAGGCTTGAGAAGGTTACTTGTCATGAGAGACAAGCTACTTTAACAAGCTAACCCCAGATATTTTTTCCTTGCAATACGGCGAATTGCAATCCTGACAGCTTATGGTAACTGCCAGGCTCATAAAAGTGATCGCTTACCAACCACGAGTGGCAAGCTTGTCCTTGTCGGCAAGAGACTTGACACTGATACCAACCATGGCGGGACCAAGGTTCTCGCTAACCTCAGCAAGAGCCTTAGGGTCGTTGTAGTGAGTAACGGCACGAACAATGGCGCGGGCACGCTTCTCAGGGTTACCAGAGAGGAAGATACCAGATCCGACAAAGACACCGTCACAGCCAAGTTGCATCATCAAAGCAGCATCAGCGGGGGTAGCAACACCACCGGCAGCAAAGTTGACGACGGGCAAACGACCCAAACGCTTGCACTCACGGACAAGCTCAATGGGGGCTTGGATGTCCTTGGCGTAAGCGTACAACTCGTCGTCGGACATGGAGGAGACGCGACGGAGATCGGCTTGCATTTGACGAGTGTGACGGACGGCCTCGACAACATCACCAGTGCCAGCCTCACCCTTGGTACGGATCATAGCAGCACCCTCAGAGATACGGCGTAATGCCTCACCCAAGTTGCGGCTACCGCACACAAAGGGAACAGTGAACTTGTTCTTGTCAATGTGGTTCATGTCATCAGCGGGAGTCAAAACCTCGGACTCGTCGATATAGTCGATACCAATCGACTCGAGGATTTGAGCCTCAACGAAATGGCCAATACGGACCTTAGCCATAACGGGAATAGAAACGGCCTTTTGGATCTCCTTGATCATGCTGGGGTCGGACATGCGAGCGACACCGCCTTCAGCACGAATGTCTGCGGGGACACGCTCCAAGGCCATGACGGCGCAAGCACCAGCAGCCTCGGCAATACGAGCTTGCTCAGGGTTAACAACGTCCATGATAACACCGCCCTTGAGCATTTGGGCGAGACCGGCCTTCACTTGAAGGGAACCCTTGTTTTCTTGAGTGGAAGACATAATGACAAAAAATTAAGTTACAAAAAAATTGAAGAGAAAGTAACGATGCGAGACTTAATATGCACAAAAAAAACTTCTACTTCTGCAAAAGCGTAATCGAAATTGCAGCAGGCAGAGGAGAGGGGAGAAGAGTCCGTTCTATTTATAACACAACAAAGGGCACAGTGACGGTGAAGCCGGGCGAATAGTTGTGACGATAAGGTGTGGTGGAGTTCACAAACTGTGGGCGACCGTTTTGCTTTTATATTATTCTGCAAAAGTAAGTGCAAAACTTATCGCCTTCCACATACAGCAATTTGCCTGCATAGATTCTTAACGATAGGATGCATGTAAATCATGTGAAGTATATGCGTCCTGTTTTTTGGTTATTTTCTGTTTTGCCTTGGCGTGCGGCGACTGCCATTCTGGAACCCTGTGCATTTATATCGACCAATTAAAATTAAGCATGATATCATCGCTTTTGGCGGGCCCATCAAAAAAGGGTATAGCAGCGCCGTATACACTCGGCTACATACTTGCAGCTCTTCATTTTTGGCCACGTCATCGATAGAAGCTTTGTATGCTTACGCGTAGGGCAGCAACACGAACAGAACAGGACAGACAGCCGTGAGGTAAAAGCCCACCAGACGAAGCGATTTCAGCGAAAATTAAGTAGTTGCTCGTTCCATTAGATGAAATGATCGTGAGGTTGTTGATTACGATCTGTCCGAAAATAACGGTGAACTGCATCTCGTGTTCCGGTCCGACCCAACTTCACGCTAGGAAGCCACGAGAAGGCCTGGGGAACGAAGAGGAGATGAACAAAAAAATCGGAATGTTAAAGCTATCATTGAAATAAAAAAAAGAAAAAGAAATCGATTAAAAATTGCGCGTAAATGGGTGTACTTTGTTTACTATGCGATATAAGGTTACGAAATAATACTGTAGCACGTGCATGCTTAAATTAGACTTTTTAACGTTACCTTGTGTTCTGCGGGGAATGAATTGATGTCATTAGCAGCGATATAGTGGGCAGCCCTAGGCGAATTGAAAGTAGTTAGAAGACTATTTCGCCATCAATGCAATCAATAAGTTCAAGAGTGTTATAACATTATAATTAAGACAACAACTTCGTAACGGCCCTTCTGGGCAATTTGTGAGTATGCACACCGCGCTTATTACGAATTGCTCACTTGGGTTGGAAAAGGACGGTGCGAGGACGACCGGTTTCGAGGTATGCGAGCATGTTCTCAATGCCGTGCGCCTCAAGGTTGCGAACAGTCTCCTCCGTGAGAGCGACGAAATGAGGAAGAATGGTTACACGGTCCTCTAAACGACCTCCGTATTTAAACTCTTTTGGCACTTCGGGCTCTTTTTCAAAGACATCCAAACCGGCTCGGTAAATAATGCCCTTGTCCATGGCATCGATTAAGGCCTCTGTGTCCAACACGGGACCACGAGCAGTATTGACAAGGAAGGATCCTGGCTTCATACAAGCAAACTGCTTGTACGAAATTAAGTGATGGGTTTGGGGAGTTAAGGGAGCATGAAGGGAGAGCACATCGCAAGCAGCACAAAGCTCGTCGAGGTTTTCATAGTAAACAGCATTTCCCGCAGCGACTTCGAGCTCTGTACTTAAGCGATGACGGTTGTGATATATGATTCGCATTCCCATTGTGCTCAACACGCGAGCAACATATTGACCAACGGAACCCATACCAACTAGTCCAAGTGTGCGGCCGGTCACTTCTTTGCCAAGGTAATCAAAGAAGCCATTCCATTGGCCTTGCTTCGTCTTATGTTGCATGAGCGACAGTCCACGAAGTGTGTCCATGATCAACCAGACCGCACCAATGGCCGTACCGTTCGTGACAGCATTAGGAGTCGTAGAAATCAAAAGGTTGTTGCGCTCAGCCCACTTCAAATCCCATTTCTCGGGGCCCGTAACTGTTTGACAAAAGTAACGGGCTTCAGGCAATAAACACTTGAACAAGTAGTCATCGAAACGTTTGCAAGCATAGCACACGCTCTCGGGACCTACGATGACAGCATCAAAAGGACCCTGTTCCTTGCGAACCTCTTCAATTTTGTTTTTCCAGGCTTCCATGGTCATTTCGGGCGTGAAGGCAAACACAACCTTTGCCTTTTGCTTCAATTTCTCGAGTTCTGGAAGAGCATACTTGTAAGGACGAGAACAAATAAGGACCTTTTTGACAACAGAAGCGGTCATTCTCTAAAAAGGGAAAAGGTAATTTAAGAATTAACGAAAACGATAGTAAGACGCAGAGACAAAGAAGAAATTACAGAAAACCGGTTTTATGACTTGTTTCTTCTACAGAAAGGCACAAAAGAGACGGTTCAATTGCAAAAAATCGCGTAAAACAAAAAAAATTAAAAAGCAAGTAGAAACAAAAATGCTTGAATCTGGACTCATTGTTAACGCTACGAACACGAGAAAACAGTATGTTTCTGGCGTAGACGTAATCTAGCCATACTTACGCGTTTCCGTTCAAAGAGGAGTAATGGGAGAAGGAAGAAACAATTCCCTGATGAATACGCGTTTCCCCTGCTTATCTTACGGGGACGCGTTCAGCGACCCGAGCCATAGTAAGTGTTACTTCGCTGTCGTGGATCCAGAAATCGAGATAATAAGCCGCATTGTGATAGGGTTGAAATAAACGTAAGGAAGTGTAGCGTCATGCTTTAACAGACATTAATGTATACTACCGCACTTTACTGTAGGTTTTGTTACACTGCGTACTATTTTCTTAATTGATTTACCGTGCTTTAGTGTACTGTTTTGATTGCCCCACAATCCCCACACAACTCATCCCACATTTCACTAGCACAACAGGAACATCGGGCTCCACACTGCCGTGCCAACTACCATTCAGCATGTGGAACAAATTGTCACTTACAAGCACACTCAGCAAGTGGAAGGATACCGGAGACGACGTCGATCCTGAAGATACGCAAGTTTCACGCTGCTTGCGAAATTATTATCTTGAAAAAACTGGCACTTTGCCTTCCTGGTTGCAGCCTCCAAACTGGAACGCTTCACAAACAACGGAGACTGCACGACTCGCAAAAGCTTACCACAACCCAAACTCTTTCAATCTCTCCTCGTCGTCCTCGCCGGTGTCAAGTAAGCATGCTTCGTCTTCGTCTGCTCATGCTTATTCCTCTCCTTCACGTCCTCCTGCTCCTTCTTCGGGTCTACGTCGCGCTCCTAGCACGTTTGACGATTTGTTTGAGTCAGTCAGTGCACGCAAGTACGCGCACCACAGTGCTTCTCACACTCCCAGCACTCCTTCATCTCTGTCTTCCTCTCAACGTACACCACTTTCACGTCCATCCACACGTTTCAAGTAATTATGCATCCGAGCATCCGGGAAAGCGTTTACTGAACTTCTGCTTCCAAAGATCCTTTAATATTCTATAATGAAACAGTTATAACGCGTCTTCTTTCTTCGCAATATCCTTCCGGTTGGTGTCGTCGGGTCCTAACTTTATTTCGCATGATACGCGCTTATTTTTCGCATTATGGAAATAAGGTTTCATTAAGCGCGTCGCGTTGCTGCGCGTTTCCTACCTTACCCTTCCTTCTTCTTTCAACGCACCAGTACATCACCACTACTGAGAGACGACTACAATTTGCAAGTTTACGTCTCAGTACATTCTTTGGATATTGTTTTGACGCCTCGACGATATTCTTCTCACATTCATTCTTCTGGCTGTTTTGATTTAAAGTGTTGGCTTTAATTTTTTGATGAAAAAAAAATGCAGCAGTCTTCTTGAGGGAGATGTCAGAAAATTTACGCAGGCCAACACTTCCTCCGACCAGAGCAAACAATGTACCCGTTGGCCGTAATAGTAGTCGAAGGACACTAGGACCGCGTGGACCGAAATCCGCTGTTAGTGTTCCTGCAATTTCTTTAACAGATCAGGATACTGCTGCTTCTACTGAAGAAACTGCACCCTTACCACATGTCGATGCTACGACCCCTGCTAGAGGAGGCAGCAGGTTGGTTGGGGCAACTTTGGAAACATCTCGTTTTCATGATGTGTCCAAGTCGACAGAACCTGCTGCTTCTTTGGCTCCTCCAATTCGTGCTCCTCCGCATCGACGGCCATTACCAGGGAGCAAATTACCCACTGCGAGCAATGGCTTACCGCCGCCAAGTGACTTCCCTAGGGATAAGGACAGTGGCCGTTCTTCCGTTCTTCATTCACTCAATAGGAAACCACTGCCGGCTTCTCGGCTCCCTTCACCATCCACAGCCAATACTGCTGTTCCCAATCCACCGGCCCATGTAACTTCAGCTCGCTCTACAAAATTGCAACATGGGCCAGCACACTCACTTCCTACGCCGCCGTCGCACACCAATTCTAAGAATCCGATACCCGTAAATCCTAGTTCCTCGCATCCGCTACCCTCGGTTATTCCTTCTCACAGTCCATTAAGATCAGGCCCGTTATTCCCTTCAAACCGGCGTCGATTTCAGTCATCGGTGGCTCGCTTAAATACGCTCCCCCCTATTCCCGACAACCTTCCCTTGCCTCCTACTCCTGTTATTATACCCTCTACACGCCCGTCTTCTTTAGAGGCCCTTCAACATCTCTTCAACGAGTTTCTCAAACATCCTAATTTTTCGCTCGATGAGTACGCCATAAACCTTCTTCAACAATTCACACCAGACGAGAAATGGGCGTTCATAAAAGAAAACGACAAGACCTTTGAAGACATCGCATTCAAGGAGGAAGGGTTTCCCGCCGCTCGTCGTCCCGCTGCGTGGTTTGTGCTGCAGTTATGGAATAAAACTATCAGTAATTTGCAGCTTATTACACTGACCTCGCTTTTGCGTTCACAATCAGAGAGATGGATCCTTTCTTTTTTAACCGTGGGCGGATTTCAAGCCCTTCAAAGTACATTTCATTACTTCAATGAATCTGCCATTACACAGACACAGCAGGCAGAAATCATTAAATGCTTCTTCATTCTATTGGAAAAGCGGCCGATGCTTGCTGTAACGCATGCTGTTGTCTTCCGACAAGCTGTCCAAGCGCTAGTGAATCCTAACATGCTTACTCGTAAGCTTGCAGCGGAGCTACTTTCTTGGGCGTGTACATTGCATGAGCGTTATGTTCTCGATGAAGTTCGAACGGGTTTCGAAGAGTTGCGGAAAAGCTCTTCATCTGATGAGCCGCTGTTCATGACATGGTTAGAATGCTTTTCGGCTTCGATTAATGACAAGGTTCAGTCCGCCAGTCCTATCTCTTCTCCCGGCGGTCCGTCTATTAAACCCTCCACAACAACTATTGCTTTCTTGGAGTATTGTACTTCTACTCTGATTTTTATCAACAATCTTTGTTCCTGTTCCGATGACTTGTCGGAAGCGTTCGAAATTCGTAATGAATTTCGTAAGTCTGGAATTCATACCATTGTCAGTAAACTACGGGGATTCTCGGACCGGCAGCTTGAGGAACAATTAAACATATACGAAGCTGAGGAGGACAACAATACAAGCGCTGTTCTTTTCACAGATGGAGATTCTCATATCTCTGATGATTCCTCTATACTTACTACGTATAGTGAAATTACTAAGGATGAAGTTGGAAAGTTATTGGATTCAACTGCACAAACAATCTTGCGGGCAAGAGGTCAAAAAAGGGACAAGATCCAGTTACTTCGTGTTGTTAACTCTTTCCTCCAAAGCTTTTTATTAAATGAAAAGATCTCAGAGTTGGACTTCGATAGCAATTTGCAGCATACATTTCAGACCCTTGTAGATCGTATGTATACTGATGAGACGGCTCGCAATGCTTTACAGGAAGCGAAAGCTGCCCGGGCAATGGCTGAAAAGCTTGTGATCGAGCGCGATGCCATGGCAGCTCAGGCAAAACTCGGTGCAGAAGAGCTTATTACAAAGTTAAAGCAAGAACTGAAGGAGCAAAATGATGTTATTCTAGCTCAGAAACGTTCGAGCGATACTATGCGTGAGGAATTCAACGAACTTAAAAGCATACACATTCGACAGATGCAGAAAAGCGAAATTGAGTTGCGGGATATATTTCTTCGTTTAAGTCAATTGAAGAAAGATCCTCACTCAACAACCAATGGTGTTTCCATTTTGCTTAATCACCTTCGTCAAGAAATTGATAAACAGAAAAAGGATTACATTGGAGAGTCTGCCTACTGGTCTGACGGTGTTACTGATCCCCAACTTCTGGATTTAAGAAACCAGACCGAGGGTATTCCGGTGCTTCCTGTGGTCGAAGAACAAGGTATCACAGTACCAAAACTTCGTGGTCACCAAACTTCCATGCGACGAAAGCCTGTCAGCTTAATGCGTGGACAGTATATAGGCCGATCAGTTTCCGAAGGTGTTTCTAAAATCTACAGCGAAGGTATCAACGATATTACGGCTGAGCTGAACAAGATCTTTGAAAACAGAACTATCGGAAGCCGAAAACGTTCTGTGGATAGCGTCGATGGAAGCAGTAGTGTTCAAACATCAGCGACTAAACATCGATCATGCGAAGACAAACTCTTTATTACCCCTTCCGATGTGACCTCTTTCGTAAAATCGCGTCCTCCAAGGAAGGATCGAACACCGTCCGGGGGAAGCGCGAGCACAACAGAAGAAGCGGTGCAAGCAGGAAAACCCGCAGAGCCTTCACCCACTGTCGAAGCGTCTGTTCCTCCATGCCCTCCACCGCCTCCTCCGCTTCCTGCTTACAAAGATTCTGGAGTATTCAAAACGACTACTGATGATAATTCAGCAGCAGTAACAGGAATACCCCCTCCTCCTCCTCCGCCTCCTCCTGCTCCAGTTATGTCTGCTGGTGGAAAGTTCTCTGAACAATCTACCGGCTCCATACCTCTTCCTCCTCCTCCTCCTCCTCAAGGGCTCTTAGGATTACCAATGCGGCCACGGAAGAAAATCAAGCAAATGCATTGGGAAAAGGTGGAGCAGGGTTTGGAACATACTTTATGGTCAAAACGTAATCTTGATACTAAGGTTATCTCGGAGGCATTCAAAAAAGCCGGTATCCTTGAGGAAATCGAAAAAAGCTTCTCAGTTAAGGAAGGAAAAGTGTTTACAAGAAAGCGGAGTCGTAAGCATGAGTTTATGTCCAGCGATTTGCAACAGGCCTTTGGTATCCACTTACACAAATTTAATCACAAAAGTCCTGATGAAGTGCTTCGGATCATTCTCCATTGTGATGAGTCTGTTTTGCAGCTTTCCCCCTTCTTAGGTAGTGAAAGCGTCTTGCAACAAGATAGGCTCAAGGCAGACCTCGAGCCTTATAGAATCGACTGGCTTAATGGTGGAGAGCAAATAAATGCTGATAAAGATGCGAGTGAACTATCCCGTTGGGATTATGTATATCTTCGTTTGGTCGTTGATTTAAACCACTACTGGCCCCAACGGATGGTTGCCTTAAACACGAAATATGCTATCGATACAAACTATGACACTCTTTTGCGTCAGGTCAAAACTATTGACAGAACGGCTAGACACCTTCGGGAAAGCTCGCGACTACATGATATTTTGGAGATCATTCTTCATATCGGTAACTTTATGAACGACATACCGAGACAAGCAAAGGGTTATACAATTTCTTCTTTGCAACGTCTTCCCTTAATGAAGAATTCTACTAACACAAAGTCTGTTTTGCACATAGTCGAGGCATTCATTAGAAATCACTTTCCTGATTTACAAAAGGTTACTAGTGAGTTTGCAACTTTGTCAGAAGCTGCCAGCATCAACATGGAATCTTTGGAACAAGAATGCAAACAGCTCATTCAAGGCTGTCGTTCTGTGCAATTGGCTTGTGATTCAGGCGCACTTTCAGATCCTACTGTATTTCATCCTGACGATAGAATTCTTTCCCTCATTTTACCTTGGCTTGAAGACGGTATAAAAAAAATGGAATTCATGAAAGAACACTTAAACTCAATGAACACTACATTGACAAGTGTTATGCGGTTCTATGGCGAAAAGCCTAACGACATTAGCGCAAGGGCAACATTCTTCCGAAAATTCAGCACATTCTTGTCAGATTACAGCAAAGCTAACACCGAGAACCTTGAACAAGAGCGGGAAGAGAAGCGACAGCTTATGAAGCGTCATGTAAGAAATACAGAGGGACGTTCAGCTGTAATAGAGGCTGCTTTATCTGGAAAACAAACTGAAAACCATGAGGCTATCGATTCACTTTTGGACAAACTGAAGCATGGTGTTGCTCGCCGTCCCCGGAGACGTCTCAATATAAAGCTTCCAAAGGCTGAGCCGGAAGACGTTTCTATCACTGAGGAAAAACCAGAGAAAGAAAAGGAACCACGGCCCGAGGAAAAGAAATTGGAACACTCGGTTTCGGTGATTACTCCTCCTGTTACTACTCCTCCTGTTACTACCCCCCCTGTTGTTGAAAAGGAACCTCAGAAAGAGGAAAAGGTTAAGATAACCGTACCGGTCTTACGAAAAACCCAAAGTCTTAAGAAACCGGAGGTCGAGCATGAGGCAAAGCCTGTGGACACTCTTCGAAATATGCGTCAATCTTTGAGACATCCAAAGACGGTGAAGGAAATTACTAAGAAGCATCAAAATCATAGACGCTCTCTCTCAGATCCGTTGGCCAACCTGGAAACGCAGAAAAAAGATACTTCAGCTGACGATGTTTCAATGCTTTCAAAGGACGACACGTTTGTGACAACGCACGAGTTTTCTTACATGCTTACCGATGCTGAATCTGAAGCCAAACACACTCCTGTGGAGGCACCAAAACATCACGAACCTGTATCTCGGAAGGCTAATCAAACACCAACTCCTACTGATACGCCTTTGAAGCTTACTCCAGTCACAAGACTCTCGTCGCATTTGAAGCATCTTGACATTGAGCAAAAAAGTAACGCTAGTAGCAGTCCCTTTCAGAATCCCGGCGAGTTTGAGACATCCACGCCTACGGATAAGAAATCCGCAAAACCGGTGTTTGCAAGACCCTCTTTTAAGGCACTGTTTGAACAGCATACGAACAAATATGCTCGAACTGCGCTTTCAAAGCATGAGTTTGGAAAAGAGAATTTGCGCTCTGTCCTCGAAAGTTCGCACGCCAACGTGCAGCCGAAACAGCCTTCGTTGCCTGAAGCTCCTGCTGCTAGCACTGCAAAACCTACTACGCATTCTACCCTTCAGAGTGTTCCCGTTGCTAATCGAAAACCTACTACGCATTCAACCCTTCAGAGTGCTCCCGTTGCTAATCGAAAACCTACGCCTGTTCATGAACATGCCTCTTCTAAACCCCCTCCTGTCACTATTACTGGGCGCTATAAAGAACAACCCGAAAGTGGTATGTTATTCAAGAAACCGTCTACGTCTCGAAAAGCGCATACTCCTAATTTGTTGTTCCGGGCACCAACTGTTAGTCGTTCCTCTATTCGAAGTGATTCTATTGGCAGTAGCAGACAATCTTCACATTCATCGTCCGCTAGCATTAAACGGTCCGTTTCCCACATGTCTCTCTCTTCTTTAGCTTCAGACAGTGAGCCAGACACCGCTGTGTCAAAGCTCCCAGTTTTGAAAAATCGTGACGAATGGAAAAAACAAAATGATGATAAAACCAAGAATGCTCAAACGAGCACGTCGTCATCATCTACAAAACAATCCACTCCCTCGACAAGAGCTCAAGAAATGCTTGCCGGACTCTTGTCAGGAAAGCTTGCTCCAAAATCCCCCAGCTCCAAGCACTAAATTGTGCGCTCTTGTGTGTTTATATTTATGTTGAATTGTTGACTATGAATTAATGAATTATGTACAGCAAAAAGAACGTGGTTAAGAAAGATGGAACAAGAAATGAGGTAAATTGTTATGAAAAGAGATTTGTCATTTGTCTGGGGAAAGGTGTGCGGGATTTTTTCTGTTACTGAAATAATGCGTGCTCCGGTAAGATCCATAAAGGATCAGAAAGCTTGTGTAACCGTACGTATGCACGAGACTTGCCTGTTGAGAAATAGCCCTGTTCCTTCCAAGCGGCCATGGTTGCACTAGGGTAAGGCCCATATATGTCGTCTGAGTTTTCCCATTTGAAATCCCATTCATCATCCTGGGAGTAGGCCAAGTATGGCTGGAATGAGTCGTTTCCGAATTTAAGCTCAGGATTAGCATTGCGGCGTTGAAGTAACCGCTGCAAGTTTTCCTTCGTTAAAGAATATATGTCCTCGATTTCTAATGCCTCCTCCACGACTGAAATCGCCTCTGTAGCCCATTCAATTAGGTAGCTACGGTACTTTTCTGAGCTCTGCTGCTCAGAAGAGAGAGTACTCTTTTTTGTTTTCTTGACAGTCCGATTAAAACGTTGAATAAATTCAAGAATGCTTTCGTCTGGAAGCATGTGCGTAGAAAGAAATTTTAGAGCAACGTCTGGGTTTTCAAAAGAAATTGTTTGTTGCTGCTTACGAGCTTCTTCTTCCCGTTCTTGTTGTCGAAGCATGGCCTTTTTTGCCTTGGCAATGGAATACTTGTCACTTGTTCCTCGTAACCAAGCATCGTATTCTTCGTCTGGATCACGTTTATTTTGAACGAAGTTTCCTTCTTCGTCGAAAGCACCCTCTTCCATATCTTCACGAACATTGAATGGCATAATTTTGATTCCGTGAAACTTTTGAATTCGAGACTCATCATCTTCCTCTTCAAAACCGTCACTATTTTCTTCCGGAGCAGTGTAGCCAGTTTGTTTGCTTTTGTTTGGTTCCATTATGTCTAATGTTGGATTCTCTTCTTGACCTTGAATGTCTTCTGGAGCCAAAAACTTGACATTTTTTTCATCTTTTTTGGAACTTTTTAATCCTCCGTCCTGTATTTCTGACGCGGGACTTCTTTTCCGTTTCAATTCAGGTTGTTCTTTATCGGAAAACATGTCATCAGAATCACTTTCCTGCAATTGACCTTGATCCGCTCGGTCATTTAACTGTTCTTCCTCCCCAGATCCTTCAGACTCTGATTCTGAGCCATAATAACCTATTTCCAATGTTAGTTTTGGCATAAAACATTTACAAGTTTGTTAATTCCCACCTTCAATTTTCAACCGAGATTTCCTCGGTTTCTGTTGGAAATCATAATCTAAAAATGCGTTATCCTCCATTATAACTTCCAAATGTTTGTCTCTTCTGGTACAACAGACGTGTAAGGCGAAAATCGAGAGAAAGTGTTTTCTGCCACGGGACAAATATGTGTCTGGTCGTAATCCTTCCAGTACAAACTGGTGCTGTCAACTTTTAAAGAAACAGAAAAGCCTTCTTCTCGAGTATTTACGAAAGAAACAATCGTTCTTTCAGCTGTCATTAGTAGCAAGAGCTCTGTATCCAGGATTACATTACTTTGATACTTTTGTCCATAAACGTTTTCTCATCAGCACTTCTAAAGCGGTACAATTACAGCATTTGGTTTGGAATCATCTTATTAAAAAGTCATGAAATTACATTCTGTTTATTTGTTCTTTTTTTGTACAGTATTCTCACTGTTTTCGTTGTCTAAGCAAACAAATGTAAAGGCACGGATCAAAAGCAATAGTGTGCTCCCCAGTCTCAACAGACTAGCCGTTGATACACGTGTGCAACTGCGTTCAAGAGATCGCACCTATTTGGCTCCAATTCAATCGAATGGTATTTTTGAATTCGTCAATGTATCTGATGGAACATACGCTTTAGACGTTTTGTCCATTGAATATGAATTTGCACACTTTCGTGTCGACGTGAATGGAAGTATGGTGACCCCATACTATCTGACAAAAGGTCATAGCTGGACTCAAACGAGTAAAAACCTTTCCTATCCATTTTCCGTCCGCGCTCTTTCTCAACACACATACCTCTTCCAACCTCGTCGCTTTTCACTCTTCCGACTTCTCAAGAGTCCTATGATGTTGTTCTCTTTGGCGGCTGTCGGAATGCTTCTCATTCTTCCTCACATGAAAGTTGATCCAGCTTTGTTGGAACAGGCCCAACAAGAGATGCAGAAGAAGCGGCAGTAAAGCGAGACAGCTAGAGAAAGCGCAATTAAATACAAATCCGACTACGTTCAGTAAATACTTGTCTGAGATATGATTCCATTACGATGAGAATACATCGTCCAGGGCCGGGAGCTGGATTACCAATCAATTTCGTAGTATCCTTTACTATCTAATATGCTTCAGACGTATCTTTAACAAGTGTTCTCTAGAGTTAAGTTACTCGAATGGATCGTCTAAACAACCCAATCACACTCAGCCCTCACGGCTCCTCCTCTCGTCCCTTCTTCGTCTCTTCTATAAGCCTATATGTACCCGTCTACGGTCTACCGACTCACACTCTTTGCTCATTCTTGCGTCTGGCCAACGCATCACTACGTTCAGCTACGTTTTCAGCGCTGACTTCAATCCACACACCGTGCGCAACAAGAATGCTTTTGTCAACAAGACGTAACACGAAAATCCCTCAAAACCACCGATTTCCTCAATACTTCCTGTATTCTCAATCCTTTCTCGCTGTAGTGCGATCCTTCTCGTTAAGCTAAATTTGCGTACTACTAGGATCTTCAGCACAAGTTTTCATCGCTGCGTCTCGTTCTAACTCGGTATTTCAAACTTCCTTAAGCATCGCTAAACTATTTAGCGAAGTCGAGCGCGTTCTTTTGTCTTTCTCAGTTTAGAACGCCACGGTGAACTGCGACTCGCACTGCTTTGCTGGTACTTCAAGCTCCGTCGTGGCGTGTGTGTGTGTCCCATAAACGAGCGTCTTTGCCGTCACAGCTTGATTCCTCGCTCCGGGACACTAGAGCTTGTTAGATCTCGTTGGGAGTCTTAGGAGCTCGTTATATGCTAACAGCCTCCCGAAAAAACCATCCTTCTGTCCATCATCAAATTGCTGGTTGTGATCATAAAACAGACGCCGTACGTTGACTAAAACGCGAGAACCACGCCGTATTTTTTGTTGCTGTGGTGTTTTGTAACTTTTCTTCGCGTTTGTGTTCGTACTGTCGCTGTTTACGTGTTTGTTTACATTCGGTGAAACGTTCTGTAAACAACTTACGCGTTTTCTGTGTTTTCCTGGAACGAACTGAACTTTACGCTGTGCAAGCAGCTGTAATTGGTCAAGTAAAAGACTCTAGGCTGGTTTCTGAAGGTCTTAGACAGTCTTGAAAGGTAGTAGCCTGTCTTTTATTCCAACTTCGCAGCGTCCCTTTGCGGTCAGTGTTGCCTTTGTCGCCTGCCACACATTCATAGAATGTTCGGTTTCTTATCCGAAAGCAAGGCGAAATTTCGCAAGTTCTATTGGTCTCGCGTGGGTTTGTTGTGCTTGTGTTTGCTATGGTACACAGCAAGTGCGGTGTCCAACACATCGTCCAAGTCTATTTTCAACATCAGCCCTTGCCCGGTGACGTTGACGTTTCTCCAGTTCGGGTTTGTGATGATGTTTAGTGCTTTATTCATTGGAATTCGTCGGTTCGTTTTCCATGGAAAAAGTATAGAGAAGCCTACCCGCTACGTGTTTACGACAACGCTTCCTTTGAGTGTCTTTCAAATTGGAGGGCATGTGTTCAGTAGTCTTGCAATCACGCGGATTCCCGTCTCTGTGGTCCACACGGTTAAGGCCTTATCGCCCTTGTTTACCGTTTTCGCCTACCGTCTCCTGTTCCATCATTCGTATCCTCGCGCGACATACGTCTCACTCATCCCTTTAACGGTGGGTGTTATGCTTGCTTGCTCGTTTCAACTTTCCTCCGACATTGCCGGACTCACATTTGCCCTCATTTCCACTCTTATCTTCGTGTCACAGAATATATTTGGCAAAAAGATATTCACGGAGCCTTCGACGAAGTCACACGACCGCTCTTCCCATCGTCGCTACGACAAGCTGGATTTGCTCGTGTACTCGTCCGGAACGGCTTTCTTAGTGATGGTGCCCGTTTGGCTCTATAACGAGGGACCAGCCTTTCTGCCGTCTCCTCATTCATCTGCCTATTTCCAGATTTGGCTGAACGGATTTTCTCATTTCTGTCAGAACATTCTTGCTTTCATTTTGCTCGGTCTCGTTTCTCCCGTCACTTATTCTATTGCGAGTCTCATTAAGCGAATTGCCGTGATTGTCGTATCCATTCTCTGGTTTCGGCAACGAACAAATGCCGTACAAGCATCCGGCATTACACTCACTTTCTTCGGTCTTTGGCTGTATGATCGTAGCAAGCACATCGAACGCGTTTCTGTCAGCCAAGGCGTCGAGCTAGATGCAAAGGCTCGTGCTTTTGAGCGGGAAGCTTTGAAGCTCGAGTCGTATGAGAAGGAAGTAAGCAATCGCAGCAGTCCAGTGGACTCTCGTCGTTCTTCCACCAACGTTGCTACTTCTTCCGATGCTCTTTCAGAGGCCTTTTTACGACCTTTTATTTTGCGTCCACCCAGCACAAATCCGAATGCCCTTGTGACTCCGTCGGCTCCAGTTACGCCATCCATTTTGTACAAAATGGATGCAGCTGCTTCTGGGGAAAGTTCACCCGCGCCTTACGAGCCCTACACTTCCAATTTCTCGGAAAACGAGTCGCCCCGAACTCCTAATAATCCCGCCATGGCTGCTATGTTGGCTGAAAAATTGGGCATGCCTAAGCCTGAAAAACCGTGGTTGGATGATGCAGTGAGACTCTCGCCCTAAACATATTTAACTGAAACTACTTCTCACGCTTTCCATCTCAATTCCTCGTGCTCTTGTCCGTCGGGAGAATAATATCGTATGTATGTGCAAGCTATCGTGCACATCCAACAGAAGAGCATCAGCTCTCGTCAAACTGTAGGGAATTTGAACGCACGAAGTGGAATACTCACTTTGTGCTACTCCTTTCCCTCTCTTTCTCTCTCACACACCCTCTCGCTGATACATTCAATTGTCCTGCTTTTTTTTAATCGTCGTTTATTGATTGTTATTGAACACACTCTTAATCCTCGCTGCATATACATGGTTCACTGTTATCGGCAATTTTTGTTTCCTCTCAACTAATATTATATTATGTCTGTGCGACTCATCTGTCTTTTTCTGGAAGATAATCTGATGTCTTCCAACAATAAAACACATGCACACGAGCATGTAAGTACTGATGCATTTGTGCTTTTAACGTTTTTTTTTTCTACTCCTTCCTTTACGCAATTGTGCGCCCTTTCCCTTTCCTTATCTCCTCTTTCGTTCGAGTTTCCTCTTCTTACTAACACAGCAATATGCTGCTGATATATGAAAAGATTATATACAACGGAAGCCTCCTATTCTGAAATATCTATTCTCCCCCCTCCCGTCTGTGTTTAATGGAAATAAACAACTTGACAATGTACTTTGCCCTCTCTGGACTTTGCCAAAACGTTTTTATTGCTTTTATCGGTTTGTTTCGTTCGTAATTACGATGGTGCTGTTGACACTGTGGTTTGTGCACTATTAGTATATACGAGTATTTGTAAAAAGGTTTACGGTACTTTGAAGGGTCTCTGCAATTCAGTGAATATGTTCTAGGGTTTTTAGTCTTAGGGCTTATGTTTATGCTTATGCTTATTAAGGATTTTACTAAAGATTGAATATTTGAAGCAGTGTTAAGGGACAAGCGCCAATACTTTATCGGACGAAGGGATGCATTAGGAGTTATTTTATAATTCGTCTGCAATTGGCGGGAGTGAGCGAAAAGGGAGTTGTCATGTTGTATTGTGTTTTATTTCCGCATTCCGTGTCCGGTGATTTTTTTTGATTTTTCTTTATTTTCTGTTATCAATTACAATTTTTTCGCTGCCTGTTCGTGCTTTTTACTATTGACTTCTAATGATCTCGAATTTAAATTATCTTATTTTTTTTATTCCTTTTTAATTAAAAATGCCAAATTTGCCGCGACAGCGATAAACTCAATCAAAAATTTCACAAAAAAAAAACCAATAATATTCAAAAACTATTCAATCGTCATCGCTTACCCTGTGCGAACGTACCCTCCGAGATTCCCGTTTCCTCTTCTAGCTATTTCCCTCAGGTGGCCTCATCGTGTTTTCATACTCCCTTGCTACCTGAAAAGCCTGTCGCAGTACCGGCACGTGGACGTCGCAGTACTAACATATAGTGGTCGCTCCTCGCTTAATCAGCTCGCTAATTGCGCTTTTCGGTTATGCAGTAGGTGTTTACGACTCAGGGGATTGGCTATCTAAACGAATTCCGCAGAGACAACATAAAGTTACGCGGTGTGGCCAAAGTAAACTTGTCCTCTCCCAAACACTTTTTAGGCAGCCAGCAAGTGGGAATAGGTATGCAAGCATGTCCTACATATGCGATTTTTTTGACGGTGGAATCATCTAACATTCGTGTTTAGAGCAGTAACTGGTTTTATTTTTTTTTGTAATTGCTCTGTACAGACTTCTTTAGCAAGTTCAGTACATTGTCTTAGAGGAATTCCTTTCCATCTTTTTTCCACCAATACAATCTTCCCCTCTAGTGTTCCAATTGTCGAGTTTTCACAATGGCTACTCAATCAACCACAACTGAAGTTCAGAAGAAGAAAATTTCTTTCTCCAACTTGCTCCTCGGTGCAGGCTTGAACCTTTTTGAGTAAGTGGATCCCGCTCCGTGGAGTTCAAGGGTCGCGACACGTAAACTTCATAACTCGACGCGTCGTCTCTCATATTTAACACATCTTTCTTTGCCATAAGAAATATTCTAACGCGTTTTTTAGAGCAAGCTCTCTTGGCCATCCATTGGAAGTCACAAAGGTATGAATTCAGCACTTTTCGACGCGTTTTGCTCATTGCAGAATGCAATTCTTATGGAACCGGTTTCATAATATTGCTCACGTCACGAACGTGTGTGTCGGTCGCTCTGTAAATCATTGTGGAACATTATTAACCTTTTCTCAGGTTCAAATGGCTAGTCATCGCAACCAGAATATGGCTGCCGCTATGCGATCTATCATGTCGCGTGGTGGTATTCTTGGTTTCTATCAAGGTTTAATTCCTTGGGCTTGGATTGAGGCATCTACAAAGGGTGCCGTGCTTTTATTCACAGCTGCCGAATTGGAGTATCGGTTTCGGTCTATGGGCCTCGACCCTGCTGTCGCTGGTGCCCTCGCCGGTATGGGTGGTGGCATTGCGCAGGCGTACGCCACTATGGGCTTCTGCACATGTATGAAGACTGCGGAGGTCACACGTGCCAAGCAAGCAGCTGCCGGAGTGCCGGTTCCCAGCACATTCCGTGTCTTCCTCGACCTTTACAAAAAGGAGGGTATTCGTGGTATCAACCGGGGTGTCAACGCAGTTGCCCTGCGTCAATGCACCAATTGGGGTAGTCGTTTCGCCCTTTCTCGTTTCCTTGAACGCCCCATTCGTTGGCTCACGAGCCGCAATGCTGATGATCCTTTGACTACTCCTCAGCGGTTTGCTGCTAGCTGCTTGGGTGGTGCTTTGAGTTGCTGGAACCAACCAATTGAGGTTGCCCGCATTGAAATGCAAAGCATGGTCAAGGGCAGTTCACAGCTCGGACTTTTGGGCACTATGAAGTTCATCTACAACAGAAACGGCTTAAAGGGCCTGTATCGTGGCGCTGTACCGCGTATGGGTCTCGGTGCATACCAAACTGTTGTAATGGTTTTCCTCGCCGACTACGTCCGTGCTTACTTCAGACGCAACGGTTATAACATCTAGGATGCTTGTTTGTAAAAGGTGTCTTTGAAATTTCTTGTACTAGTTTTAACAGCAAAGAGTTGGAACTGTGCACTCTTTCGTCTTGAAGCAGGACTGGCTATAATCTACTTGTGTCATACGTGTGTTTGTATACACGGGACTGATGACTGTTCGTATGCAAACACTCATGATTTCCCTATATCTGTCTCGTCTGTTTTCCTTGTCTTTTGGTACATCCCCTCCTTTTGTGTCCGTTCACCTTGTCATTTATTCTTCATTACGTTGATGTTTCATTTCTAGTTTTGGTTGTTCGTCTCTTATACCTTTTGTTCTCTTTCCCTCTTACAGAGGACGTAGATTCCTCGCCTCTCCTCACTTTTGCTTTTATTTTCGTTAGCTTTGCTAGGCATGTTCGTCGAATCTTTCGAGTAATTCTGGCTGTTACAATCCTGAGCTATCTGCTTCTACAATTTGAGATGCTGTATTGTCTGTTGTTTCTTAAACGTTACGTCGTTAGAGTTTACAGTCTCGAAGGTGTGTGCGCAAGTTTATTTGAATTGATTTGATTTCCTGTTCGACATTCCCCGCGCAATGCCGAAATTGCTTCTCAACCTATCTCTATCCTTAATTGCCACAGCAGTTAAGCTGCTCTGTCATGCCTGTCTTCTTATTGAAGCTTTTTTGTTGATTACGTATATTCGTCGTACCTTGGATGTTTTATGGTCATCACTTTTTGTCAGGGCGGCGAATCCGAACGCATACCACTAAACACAGTGACCATCTTTTTTCTTAATTGCTCCCTTTATCCTAAACGATACTTATAATTGATATCTATCCTTGCTCGGTTCAAATTTGTGTAACATGAAACACTTTCCATTTGTATTTTTTGTACTTGCAGCGTTTTTTCGCAAGCGTTAACGGTGAGTTGTAAATGCGCAGTGTGCACTCGACGAATTTAAGTGGCAGCAATTGACTCGGTGAAAGCACTTAGTTTTATCCCTGCTTACACTGACACACTGCTTACTTGTTTTGTTTATGCTTTTGTGAGAATTTATGTCTAATGATTTGATTAGCGGAAACATATTTGCTGGGTTTTCCGAACAAACGTTCTGCAGTATTAATGGAGGATGTAGCAAAAGAAGTGAATACAGCAGGAGCCACTTCCGTTCAAGTTCTTCGTGAAATTGGGTATGTCATTCTTTTTTATTTTGTACAAGTACAATTGACTCTAACACAGCAGCGTCATTATCGTTGAAGCAAGTGAACAGTTTTTACAAACACTTGAGGACATCCGTAAAGAGGAATCTTCTATGATTTCAGAAGACAACGAACCTCTATTTACCATCGAAATCGATAAACCTGTCTCTATTTACGGCGACAAGAAATCCTCAGTTGAATTTACTTCTCCCGTTTCTGCTTCTGCATCTGCATCTTTTATCGGTACTCCTTAGCTTGACATTAATGCGTGTCAAATGGTTTGTTCCATTTTTATGTTTTCCCATTACATGTTTTCGATACTCATTCCCATGAGTGACCTAATGAAATGAATGTTAGTAAAATCAATAAAGTAGACAAACAGAAGGACAACGTACATGGCATACAGCTTCATAAAGAAAGCGACAAATGCCTCTAAATGGAAAATAGACTTGTTGCCCATGTGAATACGATGTTCCTAAGGAAAAATACGTTAGCAAGCATAGTTGAGGAATTGCAACAAAGTGCGCATAATTTGCACACCATGCTGAAAAAACACATCAATACATACATAATTAGCCGCTGAAGAAATAATGGGAGCATGCAAGTCAGGTTTCACTTTTGCAAGCAATGCGCTTGCAAGCTCTTTGAGTACGATGGAAGGTGGAATGCAATGAGAAAGTAAGTCATAGAGCATTGAACGAACGGAAAGAATACGATTTGGACTCTGCTCCGCAATCATGGCATCTGCAACCTTATCGATAAACTCCTGCCAGTCAGGTTTCGGAATGCTGCCTGTGTTTCCCATTATCTGTCTAGAACCAGGTGCTTTTGCGTACAAAGTCTCCAGAATCAAGAGAGCCTTGCGCAAATTACGATCAGAATCCTGTGCAATCTTGTTCAGTAAACTAGGTGCTGCTTCAAGACTCTGCTGTTGTAACACTTTGGTCAACACAGAAACAATCTCTGTATGAGTTGGGGCGGCTACCCTAATTAAAAGAGTACGCGAACGAACAGGCTCAATGATTTTTGAAGTTGAATTCGCAATAAGAATCAGACGAATGTTGTCTGAGTATTTTTCCATTGTTCTACGCAAGGCAGCTTGAGCATCACGAGTGAGACTATCAGCTTCATTGATAACGACAGCTAGCATTGAATGTTAGTTTTGTAGACAGAGGATAGGCACTTTAACACCTAAATTTGCACCAAAAATACCTTTAAACCGTTTCTTAGCCTGAATGTCCACAGGAGCAGATTGAGCAACGTCTTTAAGTAATTCTTGCATTACAACACGGTCGTAATTGCCGACATCACTGGGCGTGAGTTCCAAGTGATATAGACTTGAGACGATGTTCACTTGGATTTTACGATTAGAGGGCGTCAGAAAGACACGTTGGTCAATTTTTAGCTAACAATTGTCAGTCGAGTCCATAACAGCACCTTTAGTTATGAAAGAAACAAGGAGATTACTCTCATAAAATTAACAAACCTTTTCAGCACCAGGGCCGAAGAGTTCTCGTAAAAGAGCAACAACTCGTGTTTTTTTTCCAGCACCAGATGGCCCATAAATCAGCAAATGCGGGAATTCGTTAGATGCTGCCAAATGTGTCAAGCGTTCTGCTTGTTCAGTATGATAATCTAAATTAGCCAATGTCTTGGGGCGATATTGATCAAGCCAAAGCATGTTAAGTGAGCTAGATTCAGTAGTAGTATAAACAGATATAAAGGAAAATGCTGTAAAAATTCACAGATAGAAAACTGGCTAACGAAATAAAAAACACAACAACTGACGCTGGTAATACGAGACAGAAGTTTTTTATACCCTTGGTACGAATAAGAGAGTTTCGGCGCTATAAAACACGAATTACACTAGCAGACAAGTCCAACTAAGGAGGACACGAAGGATATTGCTGAGTATGGAAAGGGAAGTTGGACAAATAGAAAACAGTTTGTTATTCGGGACAAATTCTACATACAACTTGAATAATCAAATGGGGCTTTCAATTATATGTTGAACGAAGGGTTGAAGGCGTAACATTATTCCGTAATTATAGAATTATGACTGGGATTTTGTTAAATTATAATAAAATATTAAATGAATTCATTCTCAAAAAATAAGTAGTCAGTAAGTATCTCATAACCATAAGGAAGTTTATGTGTATAATTTTGCTTAAAAAGAAATAGAATCACTCACAATTCAAATGTCAAATTTCAATATAGAGTTCTCAACGTGCTATCCACGTGAAAACGTTAACCGCGTTTTAACTCATTAACATTTCACGTGCGTTACTCACCACCAAAAACTCACCGCCAAGAAGATCAATATGACCACGCCTATTTCCTCCCGTAACAAGCTCTCTCTACGTTGACATTTGCAAAATGAAGGTTTTGTGCGGCGATGAGCTTGGTCAAATCAAACGTATGACGGCTCTTTTTCTTTTCTGTTGTCGAATCTTGAGTACTGACCATGAATGTTTTAGTTGTCAACATAGCGAAGGGGGTGGACACGTCGAACCCAGACTCTGAAAAACCAGAGATTGTTCGAGTTCCTAGCACTGACCGGAAACAGAGAGTCTTGTTTATGTCAAAATTAGATGAGGTATGTAAAAAGTAAGGAAACTTTCTCTACTCTTCAATGAGTGGGAATTAAACTTTTGGGCTTTCAATTTTCATTTCCAAACTGCATTCATGAAATTGGAATAAATATTGACCTCATAGGACCTCGTAATCGTGCTGAGAGCCGATGGAATTTTGGAAAAACGCAACGTCAACGACGTGACTGAGTTTATTGATTCATGGAAGGTCCCAGATGACATTTGGGAAGATGGAAATGTCGTTTCTTTCACGTTCAGTCATCACTGGATATTTATTGCATTTGCTGGCGGCAAGTTGTGCTTCAGAAACCTAGTCACTGAAGAAATCCGTTCCTTGAGTGTAAAGGGCCCAATCTCTGCCGCTGCGGTACACCCTCGCATCCCTGGCGTGGTTGCTGTTGGCGGCAATGAAAACGACATTGCTATTTACTCGTGTAATGAGGAATTGGACGATAATTATAGTACATCTTCTTTATGGGACTCCGCTACTTGGAAATGTATCTTTAAGGGCAAAAATGTAAAAAACGACCGGTTAGATTTGCGTGTTCGGATTTGGATTACTGGAATTGCGTTTACCGAGTCTATTACACAAGAAAAAGACGGTATGGTCACCGTAAAGGATAAAAAAAACCCTCTTTTACAGTTTGCTACCGTCACTCATTATGGCCATCTTCGTTTCTATAATACGACCAAGTCGAGACGGCCCAATGTCAGTATGGACATTTCCCAGTCTCCTTTAACTTTACTTCGAAGTATCCCGAATACTCAATGCCTTGCGGCCTCGGATAAAAAGGGAAGGGTGTTTTTATTTGATTATGCCAAATCGCGAATTGTTGGCAATTTTTTGGGTGTCAAAGGCAGTGCTACTTGTATCGATTGTTCTCACGGATTAGTCGGCATAGTTGGATTGGATCGAAACGTTAGAATCTATACGAATGAGCGAAAACCACTGGCTAATGCATACATCAAAATTCTGCCTACTTCTATTCTTATTTTGGACGAACGTGACACAGCTGAAATCAAGCAAGAGGAAGAACAGGTGAAGGACGAACAAGAGGAAGAAGAATTTTGGGAAGGCATCCAACAACTTCACAATGAAGAAGAAGAGAAGCCGCGCGTCAAAAAGCAAAAGGTATCCTCTCGTTCTTCGTAAAAACTTCTCACGTTGTTTAGGGATTGTAGGGTGTTTTAGAAAAAATAAACGTATATTTCATAATAGTAACAAGTTTGGATACGGGAAAAAGAGGTTGTAAAACAGTGCATTAGTTGTCTACATAAAAACTAAAAAAAATGTATTGCAAATGCAGTTTGCATTAATAACCTAAAAGCATGGGAACGATAATGGGCAAAGTTAACATCCCGTCACTCGTTTAATGTTACACACGAATCGAACTCGTGAAGGGCCGGAATTCCTGATATCGGCATGAATCTGAGCAAGTGTTTAAAGCCTGGTATTGTGTTTTTCTCGTAAGGCATCTTTTACAACTGAGCGCGCCATTTGTACTCGAATTGTGAGCCGGCTTTCGAACTCATTGTTGCTTCCAAAATCACGAGCGGCCTTAAGAAAGCGGTCGCATTCCTTCAATTGTGTCTGGTCAGTGCTTCCCGTTTCATACAGAGCAACTGCCATTTCATACAACCCAAAGCCTACGGCCCAACGCTCACTAGTTTTTTTGTCCATACCACGGAGTTCTTCCAAGAGAGGAAAGCATTCATTAACACGACCAAGATTCCGAAGAACGGCAACTTTAATCAGTAACTGACATGCCATATCATCTTCATCCTGCCAGGGTTCAACACGCTCGAGGTCAAACATCACCAACTCGTGTTGATTCATACGGCGAAAACCATTCCAGACATAAGTTAACTCGTATAAAGGAGAAAAACCAACGTATTCTGCAAGCCCACCGTGACCTCCTGCAGTCTTTCTACGGTTAATGAGCTTCAGTAACTTTCGTCGAATGTGAATATCAAGAGGAGCTGTTGTTTTAGCGACCAGATCATAAAGTGGTTCTAGCAAGCTAGAAGCAAATGAGAGCGATTGTGGATTTCCGTTTACACGCACGTCTTGCAGAAAACAGGCAGCAGCAAAATATGAGTAAAGTGCTGTGCTCGAGTCATTTAGCTTTGATAACTGAAGGAAACTACGAGCACTTTCAACGTATTTGTGACAAAAAGCACTGTCAAGAGCATGCTCAAATACGATGAGAACCTGTAGTTGCTTCAGTTGAGGTGCAGGTCTCGTCAACATTTCATCAAGGACTTCCAGTGCTTCTTCCGATTGCTTAATCATGGACAGAAGTTTAGCCCTGTGAAGAGGCCACATGGGGCCTGAGGGAAATGTCTTTTGAATGACTTGTAAACTTTTGAAACAATCGCCTGCCGGCCATCCATCTGGTTGTTCCGGAGTGGTTTTGTAGATATCACAAAGTTGTACTGCTCCGCTGTAAAATTGAATCAATGCAGCAAAACTAACAGCAGCAAAAAAACTTGTTGGGTAGGTATGGTTAACTGTCCACATTGTCTTAATAGCCCAGTCGCGATCACTATTGTAACCCAAAATGTTTAAGATACGAATCATTTTTGGAGGCAAAAGCGAAATGAGCAGTGTAAACAAGCCGCTGCATAACAGTGTCGCAGACTGCACGAACTCATTAATCCCGTCTCGGCGTGGATCGCCAGTTGGAGGAGCACCTTTAACAAAGGTCTCGTAACGTTTCTTGGTAATCTTATCAAATATTATATGAGCCTTTCTCAGTTTGTACACAGCTTTCACGCTAGTAACAATTGATTCAGAACAAAAACCAATGAGCGCACTTAGGATGAGTAAAAGTCCGTTCGCTACTTGGTATTCCACACCGGGGTCAAACGTTGAAAGAGTGATTGAATGCTTCACAGCATGAGCTCGGTCCTTTTCTAAAGATTTGTTGGCTGCAGTTATCGCATCTAATGATGCTGTAAACTTTGATGGCTCAAACGTAAGCACTGCTTCTATAAAAACGATGACGGCTCGTCCACACAAGTGAAAAGAACCATTATCCTTCGCGAAAATGGTCCTTGCTTCAGTCATATCATCGTTCAAAATGCAATTGAAGCCATTGAGGACTTGGGAAAAGCGTTCCAATTGAACGTCCGGGTCCTCTTTTCCAGACACCATCGATACAAATCCAAGCAGTATAAAAAGGAGTTATAAAGATACAAAAGGGTTTTTGAGAAACCAACCTCCAATAAAGTTTCAACAATCGCAGTTACTGAAAGAATCGTGTCACACGGTTGTGTAATAAACGATTGGAAAAGAAAAATACAGAAAGGCTTGTTAGGACCCAGGCAGGAAACTACGGTTGAGAATTGCGCGTGTGTTTACGCACTAATAGTACACAGGTCGTCTATAGTGACTTTTAAAGTCAATTGCGCCTGATCTTCGTTACGTTATCAAGGAAAAGCCTGAAAAGGCGTTAATTTACTCGAAAAAAATGTCGGTTCTAAAGAATTCGTAAGAAACGTACTGAATACACGGCAATTGCTAGTAATAATGCAGAGAATGCTGTTTCTTGCTAATTCCCGTATCGTTGGGTAGTTAAAAGTGTTTGGTAGAGGGCAGAATCGGAAAGCCTGGGGGTGAGAGACGTCATTGTTAATAAAGTTTATATCCACGACGTAATTAAATAAGGTTTCTCTTCGCGACAATAAACGAACGCGTAACATACCTTGAGTTCGTGCCCAATAGTCCTAAATCTAATTTATACGCATTTAGAAGCTCATAAATTCAAGAATACGTTTGTTTCTAAGCGACCAAGAATACGCATAATTCCACAACGAGGCAACTATTACTGTCGCTTGGCGCCATAACCACGTGGTTCTGCAACCGAATCAGCGAATACACAAAAAGGTAAGGTTCCACGTGAAACTGTAACTGGGTTAAAGTTTCGTGACGTACAATTGCATGACTGCATGCCGACGTAATACATGCGGCGGTAATTGTGCTGACGGACAGTAATGATTGGTTGCTGGGCGAAAATTCTAGCATTTTCCGCGGGGTATATATAGCGAACGCGTCTGTTCGCCTCTGGAAACATACCTGTCCTTTACCAAATACATTTTATCTGGTAAACCGTGTATACCACCTTAAAAAGCATATCATCGACTGACAAGGTCTTTAATAAACATCATAAACATGTCTGAATGGGATTCCGTTACGAAAATCGGCAAGCGTGCCGGTCCCGGTGCCCGTACCGTTGTTGCTAAGAGCCAATCTCAGATCAACGCTGCCCGTCGTGCCGGTGCCGTTGTGGCCACTGAAAAGAAATATGCTGTCGGCAACAAGTCTCAGGATCCTGCTGGTCAACATTTGACCAAGATTGACCGTGAAAACGAGGTCAAGCCTCCTAGCACAACTGGCCGTTCTGTTGCTCAAGCCATTCAAAAGGGAAGACAAGCCAAGGGCTGGGCCCAAAAGGATCTTGCTCAACGCATCAACGAGAAGCCCCAAGTCGTGAACGAGTATGAGAATGGACGCGCTATCCCCAATCAACAAATTTTGACTAAGATGGAGCGTGCATTGGGTGTGAAGCTCCGTGGTCAAAACATCGGTGCTCCCCTCGGTGGTCCTAAGAAGAAGTAAACTGTTTAGCGAGTGCTTTATTGCACAAGGTATTCAGCATCCTCAGTTATGAACGCGCGCCGTGAATGTGACGTTTTTCGTTCTTGGTTCGACAGCATTCTTTCATTAGACATAATACGCGTCCTGTAAAAGCTCGTCTCAGACTTGTCATAAGGAAGTGGTTCTCGCCTTTTGGAAATTCTTGGCGTTCTTTCTTTCAAACGTCTTTTTGTTTCTTTCCTCTCCGCGTTTTTTTATTTCCAATTTTTTTTTTCTTTTTTTTTAACAATCTTACACGAGTGTAGATAGGCAATGAGAATTGTTCATTCGTTTTGTTATATACGGTGTTACGCTTTTGATGAGCTGTGTAATGGGTGGTAAAGTTAATTTTGGTGTGTCTTGTCAACCGAGTAACTGTATCTGAACAGGATGCTAGATGGGGTATCGTTAGGCGTCTTAAAACGACAACGATTGTTAAAATCGTTAGTGGTATTGTATGAGTGAGAGAAAATGCCAATGCAAAACTTAAATGCAGAATTGAGAAAGAGGGAGGTGTATAAAACAGTATGCAAAGTAGAAACGTGTTGGGAAAGGAAACGTCAGCCCAAGTTTGGAAATTGAGCTGTTTGAGTCGTATGCGTGAGTTGTAGCAGTCATGGTGGACATAGTAGAGTTATATCCATTCTTTAAACGTTGAGTCATTAGTACGTTTGCCCTGTTGAACGCATATAATGTTCCCGATGAACAGGCGGTGTCGGCGGCAATTGATGCTGGTTACGGAGTGGGTCTGGTTCGCCCAGTCCATAGCGTTCAGAGATTCCTTGCTCATAAAACGCGGCAGGGAAATAGTCGGCATCTTGTGTTAGTGAACGAGGCGGATCTGGTTCTGAAGCCAAAGGGGAATGAATGTAGTCGCTTAGGAAACTACGTGAATCACCGTCCTCCATATCGTTGGCCTCTTCGTTACCATTGTCGAAGACACTTAAGTTTCGACGATGTGGGGGAGGCGGGAAAGGCTTAAGACCGTCCGACTTGTCCTGTCTGCCGTAGTCATAAATATCAGTTTCGTCAATAACAGTGTCAAGACCCGTATGGAGAGCGGGAACAGTGAAGTCGAGCGAAGCTTCGTCACCCAATTCTGCAGGTGGCTGTGGCAGCGGACGCATGGGCCGAGTGGACAGAGAAGTGTACGATGTTTCTTCCCGGTTGCGAACAATGGATGGGGTGAGTCCCCGCAGAACCGACTCATTGTCCACAGTTGAGGACTCTTCAGAGAACGTTGGAATGATTGAGACGTTATTTAACGGCTCATTATCAGCAACAAAATTTGTGTCAGCCACGATAGATGGAGTTGTGATTGTTTTCGAGGAGGACTTGGCAAAGTAAGAAGGGTCGGTTGGTTCAAACTGGACCTTTATCAAAACTTGACCCGCAAAACGATAATTTTGCTGAATCTCAACCCAATCTTCAAATTCGCCTTCTTCTAAAGCTTTCTTAATGCTAATTACTGTATCGCCAATCTCCAGAACACGTTTACGGAAACCCGTACAGCAAACGGCCACCTTCATGACATTGTATGCTTCACTTTTGATATCAAAACGTAGTTCTGCATCCCACACGGGCAATTGACCACCTTTATGGTTTGGACGAGTTCTTTTCACAACCTCACCAATCCTGCACACGCAGTACGGACTCTGTTTTCCCAATAACTGGCGGTTGTCCAGGTTCCTCTACAATTCCCGTTAGCTAGTAAATTCTATGAACCAGAACTGAAAAATGACAAAACACGGAAATCACCAAAAAAAAAACAAAAAAAAAAAACAAAACAAAACATACCGCTTTCTGGACATACACGACCAATTCTCCCAGAATAGCCATTTCTTCTATATACAAAGATGAAAAAGATTATAGCAAAATTGCAGCAACAATGCTGCGATTTGGTCCAAAAGTGGTTGGTAGAAGTCAGGCTACCGAACTGGTGTGTTTGTTTACATTGACCGGTACAACAGCCGGCGCCAAAAAAAAAGCAGATCGGCGCGTGAAGGTGACCTGTACAGTCTCAATATGTGTCGATCATGGTGTCATTGAAACGCGATTCATCAGACGATGCTATTTCATGGTTCACTTTCGAATAATTTCATATTATTGAACAACATCATTTCCAACTACGGAGGGCGAGAAAATTAGTCGTAGCACGTTGTTGAGTTTATTCTCTTTATGTTGTTACTTTTGCGTATTTTAGTACCGTGGATGTGTTTAGTATATTATAGCGTATTAGAGTCTAAATTCAAGCCCATAAGGAATTAACAAAAATAGAACCGTGAACACTGAGAGAAGCCGGAGCGGGTTGAGGCAAACGCTATTTGCTTAGTTGTTCGTTGTTAGCGGGAGGAGAAGCATGAAAGAATGTGCTCTAGCCCTATCTAGAAGATTAGCGGGTTTTAATTTCTCTCAATTCAATAATAAATCCAGAAAAAATCGGAAAAAAATCAGGAAAAATCCGAACCTATCTTCTTTGTTCGCAACAATTACTAATCGCCTAAAAAAACCAAAACACACGCCCCTCGTGACACTTTCACATAGTACTTACTTAGCACAGACCCTCCTCGTCCATCTACTGCAGCATACTGCTCCCTTACTCACTACCCCTTTCTCATTCTCCTGAGACGAAAACGTCATAGATCGCCAACGCGTACTTTATTTTCTGCATCCCATCGAAAACCCCTTCCTCGAAAAAACGCTCTTCTCAAAGAAAAGTTCAGTGATTCAGCAATTGTTTTGACGTAGATTACACCAACAAACAACATTGCTGTTCACAAGAACACGGACTAACCACTTCAATTCGAAGTCCCCCACCCCTGCCCCACCTTTTTTCATCATCCCAGATTGTTACCTTCGCTTAGATAAATAATTATTCTATTCGACTTAAGCAAATCTAAGCGAATTAGTGGAGTGTAAGAAAGAGAATGGCGAAACAGGACCAGAAAACTGTGGCAAAACGCGTAATTTATGAGCAGAAAAAAAGGAACAAAAAGCTCCTTTGTGTACTTGATCCGATTGTCTCATAATTTCGCGAAAAGCGGCGGAGATGCAGGTTCTTTGCTGCTGTAAGGCTTTTTGGCCCTTTCTCCACACCGCACCAAACCCCTCCTAGCCCTTTCTGGATCTCGAACCCTGCGCGCCGACTAGACTCCACCACGTGCCCAGGCACGTGATTGATTTAGAGTCACGGAAACCCGCTACCGGTGGAGCAGTCCAGATGCGGCAAGTGGCCGTCACATGGCACCCACTTGCCGCCTTCCCCGACTCTTTCAATTTGAGACATCCAATCAGAGGATTTCGGAGATGTCAGCTCAGGGATAGGACCACTGCTAAAAGGCGTTTCGCTTTGTTATTGGTCTAAAATAGCTTAAAGTGCGCTTTTAGACAACAAACTGTTATTACGTAGTTATCAATGATATCAGCGGTAGACAAAGAAGTGTGGCTTTCTTGAAACCGTGTGGCATGCCCCATACGCCGTTGACGGACCGAATTCGAGACCCTCCAATGTTCCACAAGCGTTTTCGCATCCGACGTTTTCTCGGAAGTCTCAATTGAGATACAGTAGCCGAGACCAACATGAATTTGTCTAATCAATGCCTATTCTCTCTACTGGCTCTTCAACTGCCCTTGGCCCGCATTTGACTTTGTGCATTCTCGACACCCCTGCATGTGTGAAAGCTTTCATTCGCTCATTCTCATACACACATCATTATTACGTAAATTGGGTTTTCCCGAAATCGGGATCCATTGCGTCACCAAAAAAACAATCCTCTCTTTTTGCCGATTATCTGATGTCATCTTTCTCATAGGTAACAAAGGCCGCTCTCCAGGTTCATTGATTTGATAGCGTTTGCGCAATTTTTAACGTATAACCATTTCCGTGGCATGTCGTAAATATGACGTACGCCCAGACTCACCAGCACCCCTTCAGCTGTGTAACCTCCCTTTTAAACTTACACAGAACCTATCACCCGAGACTGCATTCCAACGACAATTCGTGCTCTATTGGCAGGATTTGGGTTTTTTGTAGCAATTAGTCACTCGTATGCTTCTCAATTGAGCATTATTGACCGAGTTTGAGTTTAACCCCCCTCTGACCAAAGTATTTCGTCTTCTGTACACTGTGCCGGATTCGATTCTGCGTTCCTTGTAAGAAGTGGTCAACAGCTACTGGCTTTGTCGCTCTGCCCGATTCGCCTCTTACGTTTTCGCCATCAGTTCGCCTGTAACGTCCGTCCTCTTGCGTAACTGTTGCCTCAGTCTTACCTAGACCTAATTTAAAGTTGGGTTAATAACGTACGTAGCGCTAGAACAACAGCTGCGTGGATTTTACGAAAGGTCCATTAACCGTCATTGTCATTGATTGATTTGGTGAACCACGGTTTGATTACCCCGGCTAAAACGCGTACACAACGGTGCAAACAAATTGTGTGTGTGTTTAGACGCGTCCGTTCTCTTGTCGTGTGAATTCTGTGACTTCTTGTACACTGTTAAAAAGTAATATACGCATTTGCGAACGCGAGGCACGTCCTCTTTCGTCTGTCTCGCGTGTCCTCAACCGCATTCTAATCTGCTCTGCGAACATATCTATTTTGTCACACGTGTGGGTTTGTAGGAGAGAAACCTTTCCCTTCTGCTGTGATTATTAACGTTTCTAACATCATTGACGTTTGTTCATCGTGTCGGTATACCGATTGAACGACGACGCCATCCGTCTCCATCACATCACTAAAAATGTCTGAAGCCTCTGCCTCAGCAAACGGAAATCGAACATCCGATACCAGTGCCAACAACACTTCGAACCCCTCCACTGATGCACTTAATACGATCGGTGGGCGGTCAGCCAACGGCTCGATGTCCACGGTAAGCAATGCTGCCGAGCAGCCAGTTCCGTCACAGCCCAATAACAACTCGTCTGCTGGAGGGGATTCTTCACAAACAAAGCAGCTAAACACTGCTCCGGAGTCTGCTCAGGTTGCTTCCAACGGGCTCACTACGGATCAGCAACGGCAGCAGCAACAGCAACAACCCCGTCCTCCCGTTGGTGTAACCCCTTCGTTTGTTGGCTTTCTAAAACTTGATTATGAACCTAATCCTTTTGAACATTCTTTTGCAACCACGGCAGCTGGCCGACCACCAGCCCCAAATGTTGCCCAGAACATGCCAGCTGCCCATGGAGCCATCGGTGCCGGCTTTAACTCCCGTACAATGCTCCCTCCCGTTTCCTCAATCGCATCTCCTGACATCCTTAGTGCCGTAGCCGCTGGTTCGCCTTTCGGCTATAACTCTTGGTCTCCATTTGCACGTTCTAATGTTCCTAATCCCCTTTCTCCAGCAATTTACGACTCGGCATACCGTGCCGATTATATGAACAACGGCGCTCAACCCAGTATGGGCAATCCCACCGCCCCTGTTGGTGTAGCAACGCCCTCTGGTGGCCCTAATGTCCCTAATCAACCTGAGAATGCACCCATGTTTCAGGCTAATTCGAGGCTGCCGACGGGTCTTACACCTGGAGCTAACGATTCATTCCGCTCACTATTGACACCCGGTGCTGGTGTCAATTTCCCTGCTCCCTCTCCCGGTACCGCAGCTTTACTCGGCCTTCACCCATCCGAGTCTCAGCAATTCAATGACCCTTCCACGATGTACCGTTACGCTACTGCCAGGTCAAAGCTCGCAGCTGGTACTGCCGGCATGCCTGAACAAACAGACTACTTTGGCACGAGTGCAGCAGCCAACGGTTTGTACCTCTTATCGCAAGCACAAGAACAACAAAAGGCAAGGCGTGGCTCCATGGCGGAGAATCCACGTCAGCCAATCTCATCCACAGACGCCGCTGCCATCTTAAACCAAGCGCAATCGCAGATGAATAACGGAAACACTATGATGGATGCCCCTCGGCTACAAGCTCAGCAGCAACAGCAGCAACAGCAGCCATCACAATCTATGCCGTACTATAATGTCAACGGTAATACGAATGCGAGACGGTCATCTATACAAGCTAATACAGCCGCCGGCCAACAACCGTCACAGCAGGCATCCAATATAACCGGTATTCCTTCTGGTGCCCGGGCTAATGAGGCACCAGTGACCATCGATCCCAGTGCGACTTCACTTAACCGACCAGTTAACACAGCTCCTGCACCAAAGCAGGAACCATCCGAGGTTAATGGTCTGCAAAGTCAGCAGACTGTAGTGTCTCCGGAGTCAGGAAGCCATTCGCCTGAATCTCAGTCGAAGACGCTCACGAGCTCGTCGCAAAACGGGGGTAGTGCTAATGGAAAAGGATCTAGTCGTCGCGGCGCTAAGTATGAGACGGATGAAGATAAACGTCGTAGCTTTTTGGAGCGCAATCGACAGGCTGCGTTGAAATGTCGCCAGCGCAAAAAGCAATGGTTGTCTAACCTTCAAGCGAAGGTGGAATTTTATGGTAACGAAAACGAAATTCTCAGTGCACAGGTGACTGCACTGCGGGAGGAAATTGTCAGTTTGAAGACGCTTTTAATTGCGCACAAAGATTGTCCTGTTGCACAAAGTAACTCTGTGGCCGTGGCCAATTCCGCTGCTGCTCCCACAATGACAAATCGTGATGCGCAGCGGATAAACTTGGGCTTTTAGGTCTTGTTCTTGTATCAATGTCGCTTACATTGAGCTTGTGTTTGTTTGTTATGTATGTGCTAGATTTATTCTTGTTTCGTGTTTGTCGTTTTAGCATGAGTTATGAATTTACCCTAACGATATGTTTTCTTTTTGATTAGAGTATATAAGCAAGTTGTTTAAGCTACGGAATATGGGAGGTGACGTTTTGTGTTGGGAGTACTAAGTAGCTATGCTTCGTTGGTATAGATATGAAGTCTTCGTAGCAAATGAGGGAAAACCGCACGGCAATAAAACGCCCAAGAATTTTACACTACGAATTACTGTCAGTGGGGAACGTCACTTTAGTGCAGGCCATTCATTCATAGGCCATTAACTTGGAAGGGATGAAAAAATGCTACACTTTACATGATTTGAACCCAGAAGCCTCTGCGTGCAAAGGGACGTCATAACCACTAGACTACAGATGCTTGTCTTTAGCTTCTAAAAACAGTTTTACGTGCCCAACCGAGAAGGCAGTCAGACAAAGTGAATTAAAACAAGTGAACCTTTTATAATGAACTGCCCGTATGGGGTTATTCGTAGGAATTGAATGGCTGCTGTGTCATAATTGTGAGGCCAAGAGGTTTTATCTGTAAGAAAAACTACAACATGGAAATCTTCAAAGCAATTCCAATTCCATCCGTATATAACGAAAATATAATTGGAAAACACTGTCTATCTAGCCAAACTCGTTTCATATCAAATACAAAATGCTCGTCGGGAAAACAATTTTATAGCCGTTAATAATTCATAAGCAACAACATTAAGGATAAGGTCATAACTATCCCATAAGCGTAAACACGAATTGAATCAAGCATTGCAAGATTTTTCAAAACAAAAAGGTCGTAGATCCAAATTACTCCTCATTGGTTCCAAAGGAACGTTGCATGTATTCATTCCAAAAAACATTATTTGGATCCAACATGCTCCGCAATTGAAGCCATTGGCGCAGCTTTGGGTATCGAGCTTTTAGCTCTTCCGGAGGCAAACTGTGACGCTTGGCCCAATGCGGTTTTCCGCCATACTGATTCATCAAGTACTCAAAGGCCTGCCAAAGTCGTTCGTACGGCATGGAAAGGCCAAAGGGACGATAAACAATCACCTCCAAGTAACAAGTGGTTTCCGGAGCGGTCGAAAGCCAACACTCGTTAAGAGGCGTAGGTGCGGCTACACGAACTTCAATGGGCCAGTGTGCCGTAACACCTCGAGCATCAAAAGGAATCTCGGCGTGTTCCACATCGCCTTGAATCCATCTCACCAAGCGTTCCAAGGCCTCGGGGGCTTTTGAAATAGGAATAGACCACTCGTTTACGTACTGCGAAAACCAGCAATACATCTGCATTTGTTGGATGCCGGGGCCGCGACTGAAAGAAACCTGACCATCTCTGAATCCATAATGCATATAAAACCAAATGCGCTCAATAAGAGGCAAGGCGCGTTTAAAGATACGGCCAAATAATAGCATGCACTGGTACATGATTTTATCAAACCAATGTATGAGTCCTTTGGGTTTACCAAACGTGTAGTTCTTGATTAGATGCTTAGAGGGTTCAATTTTTTTGGCCGACCAAACTAATCCCTTATTTGTGAAAGGAAAGACCTGCAAGCGCACAAAGTCGCCTTGCTCCCAAAACTGATTTGATGACCATTGCGAAAATACCGTCGATAGAGGCACAACGGTTTCGGTGGCTTCGAGGAAGAACATGGGAACAATCTTAAGCGTCATGGATATGACTACACCCAATGCACCAAGACTAACCTGTGCAGCAGCAAACACGTTCGGTTGTTGAGCGCGCGAACACGTTACTACTGATCCATCAGCAAGCATCAAATGCAGTGACTCGATATAATGTGACATAATACAATGCTGCAGACTACTACCATGAGTAGCAGTAGCACAAGTTCCCGCAACAGAAATATCCGTGACACTGCCGACAATAGGCAACGAGTAGCCAAGCTTTTCCAGCACCGACTGCAATCGATTCAACCGAATTCCACCTTGAACGGTAACCGTTTGTTTTTCTTGATCAAGTGAAATTACACTGTTTAAGTTGTCTAAGGACAACAGATACCCACTCGTGCATACTAAATCACTGGGAGAGTGACCTGCACCAACCACGCGTATGTGTTTTCTTTTTGCATTCGCTTCGACAAGTATCTAAACGTGTTAGCGGGGAAGACAAGGCAGACAGACATGAAGGTTGGTGAGTGACAGAGCAACAGTGCGTTTCTCTGTGAAGAAGTTCCCTAACTTACTTTACTTCCAGTTGCAATTGACCCTTTCTCTTCACTCACCCACAATCACCTATACAAAAAACCGCAAATACACACCTTCCGAACCTCTTCTTCTGTACGAGGTCGGTAAACGCCAGCACAATGACTAGAAAAGGTCTTGGACCAATTCTGAAACAGGACCCCGTTCGTCTTCAAGTCGTCCTGGATATTCGGCAGCATTTTCACCAATTTTCCTGACAAAGTCAGCCAAATAGAAACAGACAATTGAGCCTTTACTGTCTTGTCTGCTCTGAAGAAGTGTTTGGCGAAGGACAGGTTTGAATTTCGGTCAGCAAAATTAAAGTTATCCACGTCTAACAGTGCATGACGTAAGAGGGTGAAGACGAGAAGCACAGGGGAAAGGAGAGAAAAGGAGAGAAAAAGGAGAAAGGGTAGCTCTGGGGAAAAAAATTTCTATGTCCCCTTCGTTAGAATTTCGACGATTGTTTCGTGAATTCTTGAATCCCAGCCGTCATCGTTGTGTCCGCGCCTGCTGCTGCATCGCAAAGGACTCGCCTGTCGTTTCGCTTAATTACAACCTTAACCGCATATAAAAATAAGTTTTTTCACGCGATTGAGATAGGTTATATTAGAACAGCACGACATACGTACATATGACGCAAGACAACCCCAAACAATCGCTTAGTAAAAACCTTAGTTACAAAGTAGACATCATATGATTGACGTCACCCTTCGTGACGATGTAGAGGAACCGTCGCGTATGACCATCCAACAGCATTCCAGGGAGAGCGAGAGGATATGGCAGAGAAAACGCTGAAATCGCGAATCCAACAGCTGGAGAAGCTTCCCCTACGCCAGAATCCGCTGATTATGCGTGGTGTATCAGCCATCAGTATTCAGAATCCACGACCCTTGGAGGCGGCGTTCGAGGAGACTGAGGTGAGGCCATTCAGTGCACCACGCCTTGCTCTCCCAGGCCTGACACACCCAAGAACGCGTCCTGAAAGTGCTCCTCCTGTTATGAACAACAGCGAAAACGACAACACCATGAGCCAAGCAACACGACCACTGACGCATGTATGTGTTTCATGTCCTAGGTTATCTCTGTCACCTCACTAGGGTAACCTAGGTTACAGCAGGATCAACTAACCTAACGTAATTGTAGGTGACCAAGGGACGCGCTCATCCTCGGAAAAAACGTCCACTCAAGCGAACGGAGACTACGTCATCAGCCAGCGACTCGGCGAAACCGACCACTACCGAGAAGGCGGCAGATGCGAACGACAGTCGCAACAACGATGACGTGGCAGCAGAGTCCGGGGCGATTGGGTCTGAGAAACTCGAACAGACTGAGACTGCCAAGAGTGAGGCCGAGGCCGAAACTGAGCGACCAGTTCAGTATTCCGCGCCTTCGCCGAGGCTGCCAGTATCGGGGCTCGACGACGACAGCACACTGCCACAAAAGGGCCGCGTTGCATCTTCTCCATTTTTGGCTCTGGAGCATGCTGCTGCTGTTGTCGCCGCAACCATCGCCGCCCCCACAAATCCCACCTCGGTAACCAGCGCATCCCACGGGTTTATCTCATCTGCCGATAGAGACGATGCGGACAAAACAAGCAGCAACGACCGTCCGGATACGGATGCGCAGCAGCGAAGAGGCCGAGTCTCGACGCGTCCTTTTTCGGCAATTCAATTGCCTGAATTACAACGCTTCTCGGGACCAAGTCTTGCATGCAGTCAGGCGCTTCTTCAGCGGTGGACGAAAGAACGCGACGCAGAAGCAAAGCGCCTCGCTTCTGGCAGCGCTCGGACTTGAGTGCGACCTACTGTACGCTATAACTGTGCACGTGTACCGAGGCGTTTCTTCCACGTGTACATGTGTCATACACGCACACACACTCCTGTGTTCCCCCTTGCATCTGATGTCATGACCTCATCTCAGTAGTGTCAAACTCCGTGTCTGGCCCCCCATTCGGCAAATGCAGCCTCAACATTCCACGTTTGACCCCGCAAATCCTCTCGGGGCGATCTAACGTCACCGGTTACGCATTAACTGCCGCACGTTCCCCCGCACAGCTGATTCATCAGCAAACCATGCGACCGAACTCTATATTGCCGACAGGTTAAGATTGGCTGATCGGCACTTAGGCATTTTTCCGTATCTGGGGAACTACCGTCGCAGCAAATCGCATCTAATGTAATTGCCGAGCAGATCTTAGACCTTGTCGCCAGGGCGAAGGCGACTGAGATGACGATGAGTACATGCGATGATGGGTGGTGGATTGCACGCCTTGGATGTCTTGTATGTATAAAGGGGGACGCATCTGCTGGGCTTTTGAGCTGTTTAAGCTAGTTGTTAGCAAAACTTTTATCCAAAAAGGTTACGATTCCCAACTTCGCAGGGACGGTACATTCGCTTAACTTCGACTGATTCGTTAAATTCGAATTTTCTGAAAAAGACAATTTTTGGGCCCCGACAAGTGCCAAACGTTCAATCGCTAACAGATTGGTCGGCTTACTAGTGTACGACGTGAAACTACGCTCGTCTAGGGATTTTCTACTCTACAGGGATTGACAAGACTCGTGCAATTGCAGTAACACTTGAAAGCAATTGAGAAAAAAAAAATAGCAATTGTCCGCAGAACAATTCCAAAAATCACATTTTTTGAATTTCCATTGGGTTTTATCATCCTTACATTCATTACTTATACCGATTCGTGGTTCATTCACTCTCTCCAACAAAAATGATTTCTTCGTATTCTTCCTCCCAACCGGTTTCTATTCCCAAATTGCCTGCAGAACTTATACGCCATGTGATGCATTACATGCCTGCCATGGATGTGTTTCGGACAGGAAAATGCTTCTCTTCTTACTTGGTTGCTTGTGCATCAGATATCATCCAACGTCGTCTTTCCTTTATCGATGATTACTCGCTGGTCTGCTCAGCTAAAAATGTGTTCGCTACCGAAGAGGCGTGCTCCTTTACCGCTCGTCGAAACAATGCTTTGCTTGATTACGAAGGCTATTCCGTTTTCGAGCTGGACGGTAACTCGGACACTGGAAACGGTGCTCTTCGTCTCACTTTCGATTCCGACGATGATTTTCTGCCATTTGTTGAAGACGCCGAAGACGCCGTTTTACCTTTTATGAACCTCCGTATTCACATGTCGCTCATGTGTCTTAAACAAGACAAAAACGTTCGTCGCGCGATTTTTCCCTGCCTCCAAACACACGTCAGAGTGAAGCGCTCTCAATTGGACGACTTCTTCCTTGCCAACCGGCCGGATACTTTGTGGTTGAGTCCCCTGCAATCACACAACATTGGTTTGATCGTTGAACCGGTGGACAGTGCACCTGGTAAATACGTCCTCAACGTCTCGTCTGTCCTCGTCCGCAACGACTACCTCTTAAGCCGCATTGAATGTGACCTGCGGTAGACTTCAAATGCAGCAGTGGTGCTCTTTCACACTCTCTGAGCCAACAATTCCCCCTTTTTCGTTCATCTAGTTGCTGCTTTTCTAGTTACCGTCATTCTTGCTTCTTCATCCCACCTACTCAACCCACATATGCTCCGCGTCTCCTTCTCCCTTCTCCATCTGTCCGTGTTCTGTTTATATTTCTCTTACGGTCATGCATCATACGTACGCTTATTTTTCTTGTTATTACTTATGTCAATGTCATTTTTTTATTTTTTTGAACGCTTAGTGCTGAATGTTGTAATTGCCCATCGCTTCTTGTCGCTCTGTGGGGTTTAACCTTCTTTTAGCTCGTCATGTGATCCACGTGGTTCACGTGACTGGGCTTCGTCATTAGCTTCGCGCGACTTGCTGATTCTCGACAAGACACGTTCTCTCTCCCACCCCCGGCATGAAATGTGTAGAATGCTGTGCGCCTGTTTCTTACCTGTACACAAAGTTTGGACGCGGTAATCAAAATATACGTCTGGCACAATGCGTATGTGGAGACAATTTCTCTTCTCCTAGGGGTTTGTAACTGACCCAACTCCTTGTTTAGGACAATTGCAAAAAATTCGCCGACAAGTACATTGAGCTTGACTTTGTGCTGCTTAGCATCGATGTGATACTCATGAAACCGCAGGTGTACCGTCATCTGCTTTTCAACAGTCTTAATTCACGGAATTTTCGGAATGTATGAACCAAAAGCCTTCTCGACGACTATACGTGAAAGATTTTCTCTAAGACCGAGCGTTCCATTGATGGTAGTGAGAAGAATCTGACGGGTTTTAGTCCGCTGTCTTTCTTTTGAGTTGTCGTAATTACATGCAAGCTTCGTACTAACACGCTCTAGGTGCTTAACTTTGCATTTCTTGTGATACTGTTTGACGTGTTTCTTATATGGTCACGGCTGGAGACACGCGCTACGCAGTTTCCCCTTTCCGTCACAAAGGAGTCGTTTGTTTCGAGACCCATTGCTCTTCAGTATCTTTTTCTTCTGTTCTTGTGTATCTCGGAGACGATTGTGTATCATCTTGCACTCCTACTGCTACTTCGGTTGTGCCTTGGTTGGCGACTTTTTCAGTCGGCGTGTGGAGCAGTCATTATGTCGTCCAGCACAAAAATGTTGCCGGTATTTATGGTTATTTGGGACTACGATGTTCCTGCAGCTGCCATGGTAGTGGAATGGGTTGTGCTGCTAAGCAACACGGAGGCTCTTTCCATACTGCTTGAAAACGTGAGTTTTTTCCGTATCGGCCTTCTCGTCTTTTTCGCCAGCTTGTGCCGTTCCGTTTTTGTGTACGGACTGCTACACGTCTTGACTTTTCTTCCACTACAACCTCCTGCTCATTGCATGAGCCTTGGTCCTCACTTGTCATTTCTTTGTAAGCTTGTTCACTCTGTAACCCTTACCACCCAAACCGCCGTCTAATGAAACGCCGTTCTGGACGCTACAACTGGCTTAAGCGAATTCCCCTACGCCCTTCATTCACCCCGGTTTCTCTTTGTCTTCCCTTTCTCGTCTTTTACGTTTCGTTTTACTATCCGCGGGATATCCGCGGTCATTTATCACAGGCTGGATTCCTTCCCTATACTAATTCCTACCCTCAGAGTTGCAGTGGTCTTTTGTCTCCGTTTCAGTCTTACTGCCTTCTTCACATACTACTAATGGACCCCACCACCGCATTATTGTGTTATTTATCGTTGTTTCGCGTTATAGTAATTAACGCGCTTCAATGCGATTTAGTGCGCGCTAAAATGGTCACACAAAACTTTGTTAAAATAGATAGTGCTGTTTAATGATACATACCGTAACAACGGGAATCCTCTCTTTAGCGCCGTAAACCGTTCGTTGCTTGGTAGCTCTGGCTATTATGGGGCAAACAGGTTTGCACGAGTTGTGCGCTTCGTATGCTCCATTGATATAGATAGAATTCTGTTAAACTGATACTCAATTAGTACTGTAGATTATTGAAAAAAGTCTCCCGCCGCCTGCGACCCAACCACATAGCTGCTAATACGTGCTCCACCTACCAACCGCCAAGTACGTTCGCAACCTCTTCCTCGATGCTCCGTCGCACAATTCAGCAAATTGCAGCGCGAAATTCATCGTTGTTGCGTGTGCAAATGCGTCGTATGGCCACAGAACAATTGAAGGTTTCTACGGCCTCGGCCGCCGACAATATTAAGGAATTTCAGGTTTACCGGTGGAATCCCGACACACCCGAGGTGAAACCGCGGCTGCAAAAATACCGCGTAAACCTTAAAGAATGCGGTCCCATGGTGCTAGATGCGCTTATTAAGATCAAGAATGAGCAGGATCCAACGTTAACGTTTCGTCGGTCGTGTCGTGAAGGAATTTGCGGCTCGTGTGCGATGAACATCAATGGATGTAATACACTTGCCTGCCTGTGTCGAATTCAAAAGGAATCGAAGAAACCCGTCAAGATTTACCCTCTGCCGCACAGTTACATTGTCAAAGACTTGGTTCCTGATTTAACGTACTTCTACAAGCAGTATAAGAGCATCCAGCCTTATTTACAAAACCCAGACGTCCCCGAGGATAGAGAGTTTTACCAATCGCCGGAGGACCGTGCAAAACTTGATGGTTTGTATGAGTGTATTCTGTGTGCTTGCTGCTCCACGTCGTGTCCCTCATACTGGTGGAATTCAGAAGAGTATCTTGGTCCTGCTGTATTATTGCAAGCGTATCGTTGGATTATTGATTCTCGCGATGCGGCGACTGCAGAGCGTCTTGACATGATGCAAAACTCCATGTCTGTGTATCGGTGCCACACCATTATGAATTGTGCTCGTACTTGCCCGAAAAGTCTTAATCCGGGTATCGCGATTGCGAAGATAAAACTTCTTATGAGCAAGTCGTAGAGAATCGGCGACACCAACTTCCCTGTGTGTGACTTTTGCCTCGCTCCAAAAACCCTTACACGAACAATTCTCCCCTTAATGATGTATGAAGAAACGCGAATGAAAAAGCTCTGTGACCGAGCAATGCTCAATTGGCAATAACCAAGTAGTGGATGTCGCATTGGCACCCACGTATCATGAACTGTTTACGACCTGAATCTCTTTCACTTTAATTTCACTTTAATTTTGTTGTTTCCCTTGGACTGCAAACTGCAAAACCTGTATGCTACTATCGACGAACTTGTATGTGCAATTGCAGCCGCGAGTTCGAGCTCATGGCCCCTGTACTTTAGTTTTTTTGTGAATTAATACATTTACAAGAATACGTGATAAGTAATAAGTAATAAATAATAACATTATAAATGTGTGTCTCTACTCTTGAAACTGTCATCCCATCCTCACACGCTCTCTACCTCTGTCGCCTCCTTCCTACCCTTGCCTTGATGACGCCCGTACCACTTTGTGACCATTTTTTGGTGGTGACTTGTATTAACACATACAATAAAAAATTAATATTTTATTCGAAAAAACAAAGTCACATTTTATATAAATAGGGTCACTCCCACCCCTAGGCACTCCTCCTCTACCAAGCACGCCTTCTGCTCCCAATCCCAAAAAGCAAGAAGCATATAAAAAATGGCCAAGAAGGTTAAATCTGTCGAGAAGAAGTCCAAGTCTTCCAAGGCTGTCGCTCCCAAGAGCGGTGCAGTCGAGAAGACCTCCAAGAACAAGGAGATCGCCAAGAAGGCTGCCAAGGCTGCTTTGAAGGAGAAGAAGGAGAAGTCTTCCAAGAAGAGCAAAAAGTCCAAGAAGGAGGAGTCTGAGTCTTCCGAGTCCGAAGAGTCTGAGTCCGAAAAAGAGGAGGATGTTAAGATGGAGGAATCCAGCAGCAGCAGCGAGAGCAGCTCTTCTGAGTCCGAGTCTAGCGACTCCGAGTCTTCTGAGTCCGAGGCTGAGAAGAAGGAGGAGGCCAAGGAGGCTGAATCTAGCTCCTCCGAGTCCGAGTCTAGCGATTCAGAGTCTGAATCCGAGGACGCCAAGAAGGAAACCAAGACCGAGTCTAAGAAGGAGGAGTCTGATTCCGACTCTTCCAGTGACTCTGATTCCGACGACTCTTCTGATTCTTCTTCCTCTGATTCCGACTCTGACGACTCTAGCTCTTCCGAGTCTTCTGACAAGAAGCGCAAGGCTGATGACGAGAGTGAGGAGCAAAAGCCCCAAAAGGCTGCCAAGTCCGAGAGTGGTGAGTCCTGCACTGTTTTTGTTGGTCGCTTGTCTTGGAACGTCGACGACGAGTGGTTGGGCAAGGAGTTCGAGGAGTACGGTACTGTTGTCAACGCCCGCGTGATTATGGATGGTCAGAGCGGTCGCTCTAAGGGTTTCGGTTACGTTGACTTTGACAGCCCCGAGGCTGCCAAGGCTGCTGTTGCCGTCAACGGACAAAAGGAGATTGATGGTCGTATGGTCAACCTCGACATCTCCACCCCCCGCCCCGCTCAAAACAACAATGGCTTTGCTCAACAACGTGCTAGCAACTTTGGTGACAAGCAATCCCCTCCCAGTGACACTGTTTTCATTGGCAACTTGAGCTTCAACGCTACTGAGGACGATGTCCGTAACGCTTTCTCCTCTTGTGGTGAGATCCAATCCGTCCGTCTCCCTACCGACATGAACTCTGGCCGCCCCAAGGGTTTCGGTTACGTTACCTTTGACAGCATTGATGCTGCCAAGCAATGTGTCGAGATGAACGGTCACTTCATTGCCGGTCGTCCCTGTCGTCTTGACTTTTCCACTCCCCGTACCGGTAACGCTGGCGGTCGCGGCGGCTTTGGTGGCCGTGGTGGCTTCGGAGGTCGCGGCGGTGGACGTGGTCGTGGTGGATTTGGCGGCCGCGGAGGCTTTGGAGGTCGTGGCCGTGGTGGTGCTCGTTCCGGCGGTTTCAACCGTTCTACCGAGTTCTCTGGTAACAAAATTACCTTCGATTAAGCATGTCGTGCTTAGCCATTGAGGTGACGGAGGGACCAGGTGCGAGGTGTTCTCATGTTCATCTTGCCGCTGTCCCCGAGCTTCATGTAACCTTCTTTTTGGGATTCTTTAACGTCTAATTCGGGATGAAGGGTTTTTCTTTTACGCTGTTTTTTGTGGATTATTTTTGGAACGCTTTCTTTGGACCATTCTTTTGATACGCATTTTGGAATTTGGTTGCGGCTGGTTTATACGCGTTACTCTCTACGCTTTTTATTTGATTTGTTTGGGTTGTGTTATATTATATGTTATGAACCAGGGGTATCACCGTTTCTATTGTGGTTGATACTGTGGGCGACACATCAATGTGGGCTTGTTACATACGAGGGGGGCTAATTGTTCATGTTGCTTTGCAATGTGTGCCTGTTGCCTTTGGGTACTGAGGGCTTGAAAAGGGACTGTTCATTTTGGGAAGGGCGTGTCTTCTTGTTTCGTCGATTATGTCGTTACAGGGCGTGCCGTAAAGGGAGGGTTTTCCCCCCTTTTGGTGCTGAACAGGACTGGGACAGCGGGTTTTGCTTCGTCTCGGTCCTGCCGATTGAACGTGGTCGGCAGTGGCTTGCCAGGTGCAGCTGCTGCAACCTTTCAAACTTGCTCAAAGACGTACTTCAAACCGTTACCTTGTCCATGAAACGATCAAACCGTTTGTAGTGAATAGACCTGTCGCGTGGGTACATTGAGTTGGGAGGGCGTTGTCTTGTTTTGTTGTGTGCTTTGTGGCTCTTGTTTTTTTGTCGCTATGGATGGATAGTTCCTGTGGGCAAGAACACGACGAGTCGATGCAGTGGCTTTTTCTTAGGTAACGGAGCTGCTTAAGTGGTATAATTGTGGGGAGTTATGCTTTCGTTCAGATATATTTTGGGTTATGTAAAATAGAGAAGCTGAAATTGTACTTTGTTGGATTGAAATGAAGCGGACTCACAGGATTCCACATCCCACTTTTGTTCCTCTGTTAACTGTTTGTTGTGTCACGGCGATTGTAGACTCGTAGCTAAATACCCACTATACTCATTATGATATGACTTGTTCTAAAACAGTCATAGCTAACAAACAACCTACTAAACCGGTTTTACTGTTCACTCTCACAGTCTATGCAGGCTGAAAATAAATAAGATGAGCCAAGTTGTGTAATTTTGTATTTATTCGTAGTGCAAGTTTTGTGACAATTTGTTCAAGGTGGTTCTTATGTCGAGCATATAACTTCCAGTAGCTTTTCTCAATGTCAAAATGGCAGACACTACGCAATGTACTACTACTGAAACATATCTAGAATGCGAAGTGTCTTTTGTATTTGAAGTGTCGGCTTAAACGAAAGCATGTACTTAACGCTAGTACCTCAACTTGGTCCCTGACTTATTCATTGAAATGCTGTTTCCGGAATACAAGTGTAATCAAAAAGAAGATATTGGCAGAAGACCATCACCGTTTGAATGTCGAGACTGTTTGTTTGAAAAAATAGATAAAAAAAAAAAAAAATACATTCACTATCAAAGGAAAAACTAATACATCGTATGGTGGCACGGATGTGCAAAGTTAAGCTGGTTTAGTCCTCGGTCGCATACTACGGTAGCTGCATATCGGATTCTACCAAATTCATCCGATCACAGTTCAAGTGATACCCGCATACCCTCCGTCTAGCATTTACCATTGCTTTCATGAGCCACACGGAGAACATTCACCCGGTTAGCTGTTCATCTGTGCGGTATTGTTCGAATCACTAACGCATAGTGAATCACTAAACTAAAACAGACTTGTACTAAACTGCAAGGGATAAGAGTTTTGATCTAATCAAAGACAACCGTTCTCCGTGCTGGTCCTTGGTCATAAACTAGTATCAAATTCTCGAAAATACTTTTAGATGAAAGAGTAGATCTCTATTGTATATAAACACATAACGTAGGCCTTTGCATGTGGGCTTAGCTTAGACATGCCGCCCGGCTCATAGTCTTTGCATGAACAGGAAGCGAAATCCTTAGCGAGTTCATCAGATTTGGAAGTGACGCAACACATATAACCCGTTCATGTAGATGCTTGTCCTCGACATACAGCTCAAAAGAATAGTTTAGATTACCCACTTTTGCAATGAATATTACACTTAAGAAGTACTTGAATGAAGTGTGTAACCTGGAGAGAGAGTCTAAACATATTGTAATACCAAGTTCATAAATGTGAGCGTATTTCTGAGTATAGATTGCAAAGTCGTCCTTCTAAAACTCCTTCTTTGCAACTTCTGAACGCAACTTCGTATTGTCTTATCAACGAACTGCCTTGCTGATGCTCGCTTAGTCGCCGCGCCAAAATCCTATTCGCAAATAAACCGGGGTGTTCCAAGGGCTGCTGACAGCGGGACTTGCCTTGGAATTGTTCTCCGTTAATGCAATTTCCTTAAGACAGTTTCGACCTTTGAGTTCAATGTGCTTATATGGTGCATCTCAAGCTGGTCCACACCCTTATATGCAACTTGAATAAATTTACGTTGTACCATTTACTCTACAGAGACCTTTAGCAAATGAAATGAATTACCAACGTACTAGTCCAACAGATCCTTTCTTGGATTGTTTCATAACACAAACAATTAGCAGTTTCAGCGTTGTCTTGGGAGTCATTGTATTATTTACTCTCCAAACCATTATTTAACAAAAAAATAAAATAAATAAAAAAATAATACACTTAAAGTTTGCTAAAAGAAAATTATGTCGGTCGACCAATTCAATCGTAAACAGCTTGGATTACATTGATTCCTGTGAATTCTGCCGAAACCATTTTTTCTTGAATATGTGTTTATGGGTATTACTATGTATACTATGTATACTATTATATAACTACAGAGTCAGAGTCGAGTCGAGTCGAGTCAAGTCGAGTCAAAGTCAACAATCAGTCCGTCCAATTTCCTTCAAGTCCACTTCCCCGTTACAGAGCCCAATGATCACCAATTCTCAATATCGTCGACACCTCGTCCTTAACGAATTCTTTCTGTTCGTGTCAACACCTACAATTCCTCGCGGGTTTCGCCGAGCGCTATCGTTGCAACATTAATCCGAAACTCTACACACCTTGCTGCCACGTGGCAGCTCTAGCGGTCAGTCCTAAGAGTCTTAGACTTCATAAACGACCGCATTGAAACTCCGAGTGCAAAGTCATGGGAAACGATAACACCATTCATATTGCTCTATATTCAGCGGTTCAGCTCTTTATTAATATTCTTCGACCAATTGCTACCGTTGTGCAGCATGAGCCGAACTAGCTCAGGACTACCCCTACCGCTTGCGGAACTCCTCGGAGAATCCTAGGGTGCACAAACCCACGTTAACTACATGTTAACGATGTTCTGCTCGAAAACGTTCCTCCTCGCTATACTGGATAGCCAAAACCTCTCCCCCTCGCTAAAACGCCTATCGCAATACACTATACCGCAGTAAACGATACGGTCTCACCCTACCCCTCTGGTCTCTCCGCTTAGGGTGACCCCTTGGTCCCTCTCGCCGGCCCCTCTTTTCCTCAGTCGCACCCGATACTTCCCTAAGTCCACCCTGCGCCATTATGGCTGCACGTGCCGAAACTGCGCTCGCGTGTTCGGATGCACTTGAGGCACGTTATATCTCGTACCGACGACGTGCTTCTCCACCACTCACAGCCCTCAGATTGGCTCACTTCTCGCTAAAGTCTCTAGCGAGTCACTTACTGCACCCTGCGCCTGTCTACGTCATCTTCTCCGCACCGCCCACATACGTCAGCACAAATGCCGCGGATGACGATAAGCGATGAGCCCCGCCTCACTCTCTTCCCACCACGCGAACGTTAGTCGCTCATAGGGTTCCGTTTCGACACCACCCCTGACTATGCGCACTCTTATAGAGTCTAATGCCGAAACGAAACTTATCCTTTCCCAAACACACCACGCACATGCTCACATGAGCCTCTGGCACACTGCAGCTTGCAGCGCGTTTGACGACATTTGCGGCCGCCAAACGCGTATCAGATTGAAATTGAGGTGCTCTGGAAGATGAATTTACGCGCATGTAAGCGAACTAATGTGTCAAGAGTCTAAATGAGCATCCTGGGTTGGTCAAACTGGCCCTGTAAGCGGGGCCGCTGGGAAGAGGCTCGGGTTAGTAAATTCTAAATGGATAACACTCACACGTGGACGCCTTTTCCAGGTCCCTAGATGCGGAGAAAGGAATTGCCCGGTGATATGCGATTTTCGGTAATTGCTTTAGAGCTTTGTAATACAGGACCTCGAACTGATTGTCTCGTGTCGGAGTGAAGACCGCGCGTATAAACAAGCCGTTAGAGATGATAACATTTCAAGCAGAGCAGAGCTTCCTTTTCTTGTATAAGTGGCTCATTCCTGTGCAGCCACCTTTTGTAAGAAAACCGAGCTGGGTTTCCACGAGTTTGTTTTGCTCCAATATCGTAGGGCCTAGTTTGAGCAACGTGTTTCCTTCTATCGAATCCTCGCTTTCGCGTAGAGAGTATTGCGACCCGGGGAGCTTTTGCTGCATTGTGGACGAAGACGACGCTCTGGTTACTTTTCGTCATACCAGTTTCCAGCTCCAAGCCTGCTGTCCTGCTAAACAGACCCGTTTCGGTTAGGCCGAGTCTCCACGGAGTGTAAGGTTTCGCCGTGTCAGTAGTTTCACCATCGTCGCCGCCGCTCAGCATTGTTGACACCATCTTGTGCTTACTGTTATACAAAATCCGTCTCCTCGTCATCCCGTATCCCGCCGTTGTTCCAATTCCCCTTGTCTTCTGTTTTTTCTACTCCATCTTTACCGCGTCACCTGCATTCTCGTTATACATTCTCATCACTCCTCATCATGGTTTTCCTCGGTATCAGTCAGCAGCTAGATCACCTGCTGGTTACAGATGCTAGCCAGTTGCCCGAGGCCCCTCCTAAACCTAAAAAGAAAAAAGACAAAAACAAGTACCCAAAAAATAGTCACAGTTTCGATGACGGCTCGGCCAGCGTGAAAACCTCCTCGGACTCTCAAGCGTCGAGCTCAAAGTCTAAGAAATGGTCATTCAAATGGCTAAAGAGCCAGTCTAAAACGTCTTCTGCGTCGCAATCGTCCGCCTCCGAGCACGCCAATGATGCTCGTAGCAGCAATTCGCGTGATGTCGATTCGATACACAGCTCGGCGCTTAGCGGCTCTTCTCTCGGGAAGGCAAAATGGAGCCAAAGCTTTGCATATGATATTCTTGATATTCCCGGTAGCGCTTCAATTCACACAACGTCTACAGACGAGGCGGCCTCGAGCACCACTGGCGCAGCAGGAAGCCCCAGCATAGTCACGGAAGACATCACAGGCGGCGATAAGGCCGACGCGACTTTGTCGGCTCCTGAGTCTAATCCGCAGTCGGCTCGCTCTAAACCCACTCTTATGGAGACTAAACTGGCGCGTGCGTCAAAAAACCGCCTCAAAGTCGGCGCCGCTTATAGACCCAATGTTGCAGGTGCAGAATTGGCAGGCGAGCATGGCGCTGCAAGAGAAAACTACGAAAATAACCATCTCGTTGTCGCAGATGCGTCGCAGACAGTCGGCTTGCCGACGCTCGCTTCGAATGAGAGGGAAAAAAAGTGGGACGAGGATTGCATGACTGGAACATTTGACAGCTCGTATCGGTCTGTTATGCAAGACATGGATGAAGGCGTCGCAAACGTAGATGATTCTCATCGGCCATATATGTCCACGTCCGACTGCATTCCACGCGAATGGTCCGCAAATACTGAAACTGATTCGCCGTTAGAACACATGCCCAGGCGCAGACCAACTTTACCCCGTTTATCGTCGCTACAAAGCATCCAAAGCAGCGACGATGCCCTTCGCACAACTTCTCCTTACTCCACGACTCCTTCTTCCGCTTCATACAACCTTCATGATCTTTCCGCTTCTCGTTTGTATGCCGATCCACTAAGCATTGGTAGCAACTCCTTGACGTCCGCTGGCGCTTCGTCCCTGGAGCTGCCGCCGCTTCAGCCGATTGCTGAATGCCCTCCGGCCTTTCGACTGTCACAAGGCAGACGCATTTATCCCGAGCCCAACGCCCATTACCGTGCTCTCGAGATGGAAAACGCGAATCGCTACCTTCCTGCTGACTATCCCAGAACACCCTCGGGCATGGACGATGTCACCAGTCAGGATTTCAACGCCAACCTCGGTGACATGAACCGCGCTTGGTCCCAGATGTCCATTCGTGACAGACAGCCCTCGCCCATTCCATCCGCAACTCCCTACCGTCGCTCCTCAGACCGTGTCCGTCTCGACAAAAACTCGTACGCTGCAGCTCCTGACCGGCCAGAGCCTGCGTCCTCTCTGCGCCAAGCGCCGAATCCCATGTACCGCAAGTCAGCAACAAATGCTGCTCTTGCCTACGACTGGATTGGCGCCATTGACCGTTTCTACATTACTCCATCTGTTTCCAAACGGACGGCGACTGGTCCGGGCGCCTCCAAAGATGTCATGGACGTTTCCCCTGATGGCTCTTCTGCTGAGTACTCGCAAGTCTTCGTGGGCTGCAAGACTATGTTCCTTCAACTTACCAATGGCCAGTGCTTCTGCTCCCAACGAGCATTGTCTCTCCTTCGCTCAGCTTCCCAGAGAGACGTGCATATTCTTGACATTCCCAGTGACTCCGGTTATGCTGTAACACACGCTCTTTCAATGCTTTATCCACAATGCGACCTGCATCTGTGCTCGAATCGCGATCTGGAGCTTAATGACTTGCCAGGACGCAAAAACACTTTCACCTTCTCCATGTTCCGACCCAGCATGCCGCTCCCTTACGAAAACAACTATTTCGATTGTTGCACCATGCGATTCCTTCCCGCTTGCGTTCCCATAGACTATTGGCCCAGCTTCCTGCGCAATTTGTACCGGGTTGTCAAGCCCGGTGGTGCTATTGAGATGCTTGTCTTCGACTTCACCTATACGAACGCTGGTCAGCTTACCCAGCAGTATATGTCGCATGTTGCTGCTAACTGTCGCAAAGCAGGCTACTTCGCCGAACCCTCGCGCAAGCTTTCAAAATTGATTGAGGATGCTGGTTTCCATCACTTAAACCTTGCTCAAATCGTGTTCCCTCTGCATCAGGTCGGTCGCGCCACGAACGCGTTCCGGCGTTTCGTTGAGGATACGGTAAATGTTTATGAAAAGGCGTTCGTTACTGAGCCCGAGTACGCTTCGGAAGACATGCAAAAACAGCTCCATCAAGAATTCATGCGCTACCGCTCTGGCGTACTCTACACCCTCATCACTTTTGATAAACCAATCGTGCTTTAGTACGTGCACTTTTGAAACCGTCTTTTACCCTTCCACCTTTAATAAGAGTCCGCTAAATCAGAAATACATTTCTGTACATAGACTCGCTCCTATGGAACCATCTTTTTAAGTTCGTTTCGTTTTTTTCCCTCTATTCCCTATGCAATTGCATTTTCCATTTTGCCCTCTTTTGTGGCCCCCGTTTCACCCACACGTACACCCCACCTACCCACTTCCATCCCGCACACCCCGCGGTCTTTACCGCACTTTTGCTCTCACAAAAATTTCCCCCACATATGCCCCCAGTCCGCTTGTTACCTCAGGTCACAGTGGCCGCTACTACTGAAACAACCTTGCCGCGCGATTCCTCCCTCAACCATGCTGCCGGTTGCTTAGACAAACACGTTTTCCTGCCATTGAGCCCGAATTTTTTCGTACCTGGTTCCCACTGCGTTACTTGTGTCTTCTATATAACGTTTTGTGGCAATTGCTATGGAATTAGCCGTTTCTAAGGATCCTGTGGAACTGTCCGACATTGGGGGAGAAGTCTTTGTGCTTGAGCTGTCTTTGAACTGTGAGATCAATTATGTTAGTGCGAACTTGCTTCAAGTAGTTGGGTATGTCGAAGCTTTATTTATTTCCGGTCATTTTGTTGTATTTTGACTGGACTTGTCGTTGTCCGTACTTTATAGCTAACAGAATAACCAATAGTCGGTCTTTGGATAACTTGGTTGGAAAGCCTGTAGCGAGTCTTGTTACTGATGATGAGGTTTTTCATGAATCAACGACCTCGTTGATGGAGGATGATTCACGGAGCGCGAAAGTGGAAACGTTTCTTTCCATTTTGCCTCCGGAGGATGATGTTTTCTTACGGGATGAAGACATGGCACAGCAGCCTGTATCGAAAGGAATCGAAGGTACTGGTATTCTCATTAAGAATCCGGCCACCGGTGAGTCCACGCACACGCTGTGGGTGTTTAAAGAGGCAAAAGGTGATGATGAGGTTCGTGATGTAATTACAACTCAGTTATCGGCAACTTTGGGCTTCGGTGCGAAGCTATTAGTGGATTACTTAAATCAAGTAAGAGCTTCTGCGTCTGGAAATGTTCCAGAGGAGTTGTTTCTGTGTCGTGTATGCGACCAAAAGGTACCTAACTGGCTGTTTGAAAAACACACAGAGCTCTGTCTGCTCGTGCACCAAGTGGAAGCCCGAGTTTTGTCAATGAATGATGAACTCGTTGACCACCGTAATCTTTTGGTTGCCATGTGCGAGGAGTTAGAGGATGATCCAAACAAACTTTCCATTGCATACAACGACACAGTGCTACAAGCGCTACCAGCTCCATCAACGGCCGTGGCACCTTCTCATGGACGTCCTTCACATGGCCATTCCCGCTATGGCAACAGTAATGACCATAAGAGACGGGCGCACGAGTTTCTATTGCGCATGGTCATGCGTGCCCTGGAGCTTACGGATTTGGGTCTTTCCATTCACACCTCGTCCGCCAATACCAGCATGACATGCAGAACGATAAACGATTTTCGCGCTTTGTCACCTACGAGCGAGATGGCTACGTCGGAAGCCCTATCCTGGTGCACGCCTCAAGTGAGTGACGAGGGTCTTCGGTTACTATTCCGCGAAACTATGGAGCTTGTGCAACGCAAAATAAAAGAGAATAATCGCTTGAGTAACATTCTTTACTACTTTACTCGGTTGTGTAGTGAACTGCAAGACCAAGTTCGTGCGTTTGTTGAAAGAATGTGCCATGTGGGTAATGACACTCCCTCCTCTGCACTTTCTCCCATTGCGTCGGCACTTGACTTTAATCAATCGGAATTTCGTGGTCCTCGTGATAGCGTGCCAACGTCTTCGCTGAACTTAGAATCCGACTCTGCCTTTAAGAAAACGAATGTTTCAGAGGCTAATCCGACATGTCCTGGTGCGTCTATGTTGTCTTCCGTTATAAAAACACAAACAAGTCCACCTCCTTTAACGAGCTTTCATGACTTACCGAACCCTATGAATAATATGAATATGACAGTGCCTCCGCCCGATAAATGTGTTTCTACTGCTGCTACATCCTCTCCCATTATGGCCGCCGTCCAACCGTCTTCCTACAGTCGTCGACAATCAATTAGTTCTGTCAACATGATGTACGGAGTTGTCTCATCGTCCTACACGATGGATTCGTCCCCAATTCACAAGCGTTCCCCGAGTTTGTCAGGAAACTCACTAATGCGCAACACCTCTGATTCTAGCCCTGTTCCAGCAATATCCATGCCCGTGATGGGTTCAAAAACCACCGCCTCAATTAAGGATTTCGAGCTCATTAAACCCATCAGCAAGGGTGCTTTTGGATCCGTGTATCTAGCAAAGAAAAGAGCTACTGGCGAAATTTATGCAATCAAAGTTTTGAAGAAGGGCGACATGATTGCTAAAAACCAAGTTACAAATGTTCGTTCCGAAAGGGCTATTTTGATGGCACAAGAACAGTCTCCTTTTATTGCACAGCTTTATTATGCATTTCAGAGCAAGCATTATCTGTATCTTGTTATGGAGTTCATGAATGGAGGTGATCTGGCTGCTTTACTAAAAAGTTTTGGTGCATTGCCCGTATCTTGGGTCAAAACGTATTCTTCGGAAATTATTCTGGCTTTAAAGCACCTTCATGAATTGGGTATCATCCATCGTGATATCAAGCCGGATAATATCTTAATGAGTAAGAAGGGCCATTTGAAATTAGTTGATTTCGGCCTTAGTAAAATGGGTCTAGCAACTCGCCAATATCGTCTCCAAAAACAAAGGGAGAATGACGATTCTGGTGACACTTCTAGTCAGGGCACTTTAACTACTCCTCGGCCAAGCTATCCTAATTCCCCTATTCTTGGTGCAACATTAAGTGCTCATCAAAGTCGAAGCAGCTCTCCTTTAACGCGTGAATTTAGACACGCGTTGTTGAATGCTAGTGAGGGTGGCAGTATTGGAACAGAGTTTATTGAACCGCTCTCCTTGTCCGCCGGTACCAGTGGTCACGCTAGTTTTCAGGAGGCCTCTGACTCCGGTGATAGTTTAATGCATGTTCCGCTAAGCAAAGGAAAACGACACCGTCATCAGCCTTCGTGGTCTTTCTTTCGTCAACCTGATGCGCCAAAACACTTTGTTGGCACGCCTGACTACCTTGCTCCTGAAACTATTCAAGGCAGTAGTCAGGATGATATGGTTGATTGGTGGGCTGTCGGGTGTGTAATATTTGAATGTTTATTTGGTTATCCTCCGTTCCATGCCGACAGTCCTGAGAAGATTTTCAAAAATATTGTTTCACACTCCATCCTTTGGCCAGATCGTGATGATTTCGAATATGGCCCTGAGATCTATGACTTGCTAAATCGATTCTTAGATCCAAACCCAGAAACACGGCTAGGAGCAAAAGGAGTTGATGAAATACAGGCACACCCATTCTTTTCTGACATAGATTGGGATCATGTATCTGAGCAGGCTGCTCCGTTCGTTCCCATAACAGAAGACTCTTATGATACTGTTTACTTTGACAGCCGTGGCGCTTCATTTGAAGAGAAATCAATCTCCTCTCTTGTGAATGATGATGCTGCAACGTTCATTTCTCCAAAAACAGATACTTCTCGTTCGTACCGCAGCACTCCCACTTCGGCAAGACGAATGAGTAGCTCTCGTTCTCGTCGATCCAGTCACACTACTGGCATGGACGAATTTGGTTCGTTTTCCTACAAAAATCTCAGCGTTCTTGAGCAGGCTAACCGTGATGCTGTTGAGCGAATTCGTTTGGAATTTCAACAAAAAACGGGTTCTGCACCAAGTACCCCGGATTCTCTTTCTGATAAAGCATCTGTTCCAGACAAGCTATCAGTCTCTAACCCGCCAAAGTTTGCCAAAAAATTCAACATGTTGAATGCCTTGTCAACGGAGGTATCTTGTGCTATAAGCGAAAATTCAAGTCCTATTAGTCCTTTGAGCAGCAATCTTGCCTTAAAGCGGAATCAGAATCGACACTTCTCTGATTCAGAAGCAGTGGCTCATGGGCTATCTAAAGTATCAATTGGCTCTGAAACTCCCGAACAGGGATCACCTAAATTGAAGTCCGAGACTGGTCGTCCTAGCTCTTCCCATATTCCGACCATATCTCTTAGGAATGAATGGAACCGCAGAAGTGCAACGAATCTTCACTTTCTCGTATGCGAGGATTCTTCAAATACTTACAGTGATCTCGTTACCTACCTCCGTTCGAATTTTGCAACTGTCACGGTTGTGGATAATCCAAATCGTTTCCTGTTTTACCTAATGTCAAATACAAAGTGTATGTGCTTTTGTCAAATTTTTATTTATCATTTGTGACAAACTAACTGAATTTTAGTTTCTATTATCTTCATACAGCTTTATTTACCAAGAGTTTCTGGCATCTCACTTATTAAACTGCTTCGAACGAGTACCTTTGTCAATAGAAACACACCTACCGTTGCTTTGTTTTCGTCGAGAGTTGACTTAGGAACCACTTTACCCCCTGTTTTTGACGGCCGTCTATACATCCCAATTAATTATTCTCGCCTGAACGACTATATTTCCCGATTTTGTAACTTCTCGCCGATATCCGAAATGGAATTTTAAATTTTGATTCTTTGCCTCGTTCATATTGTTATAGACTTGCTCGCTATGTTGCGAGGGGTTGTGTTAAGACCTCTCTATGTTTTGTTTCCATTTATTTAATAATTGTTATTTACCCTTTCTATCAAAAAAATCTGAACCTGTATGGCGCTACAAAATGACACTAAAAAGTGACATTAACAATCAAAAACAATACTTTTAAAGTGTATGAGATGTGCTGTTCTGCATTCAGTCTTTTGCGAATATGACACTAGCAGGAAGAGTAAAAGTACAGCAATACATGTCCTGCAAATGTTAGTCAGTTACGAGTTATTTGTTTATACGGTACCTTTTTTGGTGCGACCTTGCGCACGAAATGCATTGTAACCTCAGATGCTTCAAATCTGTGACCCAAAGATTCGTAAATACGCTATGAGTTAGTAAAGGAAATTCTGAACGGCTGACTTACGTTCAACAAATCTTCAGTCGGAGGGTCGTAACGACAGAAACAATGGACATGAACCTTGGGAAGTGGGTAATCCTTAAACAGATCTTCTTTTCCTGCGTAACATCCACGAAAAGCATCAAGAAATTCCAATGCAGAGCCAGGAAGATTCATTACGTAATGCTGAAACACTGGAGGAATAACGAAATCTCGGGACGTGGAGACATCGCCTCCTTTCTTGCCTTTGGGTTTTTTAGCAGGCGAGAAATGGATAGGGCCGGTCTTTGAAAATGACAAAAGTTCATCAGTTGATTGTTTAATAAACTCTCGTCCATCCTTCATAAAAGGTTTAACAAACGCATCAACCTTGTTAAGGGTAACATTTTGTACAAGACTCTCGTAACTGTGAGGATTTAAATCGTTGGCAAAAACAATCACTTGCTTCTTTCCTGCGGGACAAGCAAAAGGTCCCACACCAGCCATTACATCACAAACAGCTTCACCCGGTTGAAATTGTTGAATTAAGCGATCATGCTCTGTGCTCAAGCGGGAATTCCAATACACTTTCGAAAAGTCAAAGCGGAATCTACAGCCGGATTCGTGCTGGTGTTTGTTAGTAACAAAGAAGAGAGCCATAATCTTTATCAGTGAATTACACAACGTTGTTTCACTAGAAGAGAGTTTAGCACTTACCTGTGTAACGATAAAGTTATCTTCACCAGCCAAAACTTCCATACTAAAAGTTCGGAATTTTGTGTCAATAGTTGCAGTTTTGTTGACAACAGTCTTAATAGATGGGTTCTTGTCCAGGATAACTTGGCCGATCAAATACTTGAAAGGAAGCCACTCATCGCGAAGATTCATATGAGCAATATGTCCCACGGCAGTAAAACCAGATGGGTGATCCTCCTTTTGTGCGTCAGGAAGAAATGCATCCAAAATCTCGTCTATGAAATTTGATCAGAACAAGCCAAGTCATAAGTTTCGTTAAAACATACCAGCTCTCCAATAGTTATAGTCTAAATAAAGAAGATATGGCACCAAATGGATATCATTCTCCTTGAAGAAAGAATTTATCTGCTTGTATTGTCCAGTAAAGTCTAGCACTGTTAGAACTTACAGCTTAAGTTAAATTCTCAACGGACGTACCATCTATATCAAACTCGGGACTTAATAAAACCAATTTCTCATTATCCGCGTCAAATACTCGCTTCACCCGAGGCCAATTGAGCAGAGCTCTGTGTCTTTGTGTTAATAATGGGGTTTCGGTTGATAACAAGTGTATTTTCTTACGACTGGTAATTTTTGTTTAACAAGCCAACTTGATGCGGCGTAACTTTGGCAGCAACAAGACGGAATAGCTTTTCAAACAACGATTTGTCCAAAACCTTGGTATAGGGTGGAATTACCACCTTAGCGAGTTTTAAGGGTTCCATGAGGTTGGTTTTAAAAGACAAGCAACAGGTGTCTTAGAAGAAAGTGGTATCTTAAATTTTCACTAAGAGATTCGAAGTCGCACGCCGTGTTAGTTAGACTAATGATATTTTAATTACTAAATTTGTAGATTCTGGTCAAGCAAAATTTGGATTGCTATGATAGTTTGAATTCCTTTACTCATGATTTTACAAGATTTGAATACTCAACATGCTCACTCTAATTGAATCCATAGGTTTCTTTTAAGTAATGTTCTCTTCCATAATCTTTATTTACATAGAAACGAAGTATTTAGTGTTTTGGGAATCGAATGCTGTAGAGAAAAATAGATTCAAAAAAGGTTTCCATGCATCGAGAAGAGCCGATCGGAAAACTGAACGTGATTAGTAACTCTTCATATCGCCAGCGATATGAAACCACGTTTATAAATATGATTTTAAAATATCCGAAACAATACTGTACAAGGCGGTACTGTTCAAAAATCAAAAGAATAGATAGTAGTACACGAGCCCGCCATAGTTCAAGGGTCCCAAGTAGTGCGGCGGACTGGATATCAAGTTCTCAAATAAGACGTCGTAAATGTGGAAGCGGCAGTATAGGAACTCAAAGCTTCTTGAATCTTAACGACATGAGACTTTGTAACATTTTTGATAAGTGCGATTCCGATAAAGCCAGCATCGTAGTCATAAACTGTATATACATTCTTAAGAAATGATACCCCAAGAATGGGAAGTGAACCGTCGGATGCATAAAATGCCAATTGACATTTGTCGTTACCATCGACGGACCGTTTTAAGATGAAGTGTTCCACCGTAAGGTTCACAGACACCTGTTTGTTAAATTGAAAAGATAAATAGTCTGAAGTGTTGATTCGACTGCATGCAACATACGGAATGCCATTGTTCAGTTGACCACTGTACACATCAACAATTTTCTGTAATGCTTCACTAGGAAGTCCGGTAGAAGAAGTGCCACAATCAAATAAAGCAGTGGTATTTAGCGACTCTGTAGCTTCTGTATACTTAGTTGATCGCGATGTACCTTGTCCATTTGTTTGGCGCACATGAACACTAATTGAAGATAGATGCGTGTTGAAATTCGCAATACTCGTGTTGGCAACTTCAAGCCAATGCATCCCACCTGAGATTTTGTCAGTGTCATATCCTCCAAAAAGTAGCTCGCCGCCAGCGTCATTTAACAAAAGGCTAAAGCTGGTGTCATTTATAAGTCCTGCCTGCTTTAATTGATTCGTAAAAGTTGGAGCCTTAAATGAGCTTACGGTTCCCTGTTCATTGACCCCGTATATAGTCTGAGGAAGAGAAAGGCCAACGATTCCACCTAATGCTCCGATGCTTGCTGAATCAAATTCGCGAGTAGTAACTCCGAATTGAAACCCGGGAAGTACTGAACTCCCCAGATTTAGTGTGTCGTACACATTTCGACCTATGACTGTTGTCGTGTCGCCATACAGTATCAAGTATCCGACCATTCCTGTATTATTGTAGTGCATGCTGGAGCTATCAAACTCATAGCATTGATAAGTATTGCATACACTTGAACGTAGCGCGGAGGTATTAAGACCATTTGTATAATCAAGTCCTATATCACTAACATTGTATGCTGTGACATTGTTCGCCGTGATCCAGGTGTACGGACTTCCAGAATCTAGTAGTACTTGATACTGTTTCGCAGGAGTTCCAATGGTGAGGTTAACAAAATAGCCAAATGTTGAAGGACTGAATGTTGCATCAAGCTCAGGAGTTTTGGTATCGCGTTCATACAAAAGAGGCATTTCCGCAACCACCTCTGTCTCTTGCTTATTAGAATTAAGTGGAAATGAAACCAATTGCCTTCCATCCGAACGCTTAACTATCGTAGCAGACCTCACAGTTGTTGTTTGCAAAATCCCTGCCAGAAGGATCCATCCTAAGCTAATTCTCATGATAAAGCACCTTTGGAACACAAAGCCAAATAAAAGTAGATGCCTTTGTCGTAGTTATAATTTTCCGATTTCACATCTTAAGATGTAAACGTCAATGTCCATCATGATCACATTTTGAAACACCGGCTGAATAGCAAAGTCACTCTCTTGTTAAACACTCAAAACTGTAAATGTGGCGGGCAATGGTACTTACTCTCTGAAGTTCTTGACGAAATCCAAAAAAGTGAGATTTCATTAACCAAACAATTGGAAGCCAGGTAGCATGAATCAGGAGTATCTTGTCCATTTTCTGTTCACTGTGTTTCAAATCGCAGTTTGCGAATAAGCATCTTCACTTTCTGCCATACCCAGGTGATTGATACCAGCCGCAGAACCCAAATTGCAACAATCGTACCCTAATTGGATACTCACTGACATGAACCTGAGAGCATAGCCCCTATACTGAGCCTATGAGCATTATTGAGTAGAGTTTGTTTGACACTACTTGGTATCAAAACTTGGAAGCACTGTCGTCTAACGGTAATTCAGTCTAAATACGTTACGAGTGTAGTTTAGTGGATTATATAATAAAAATAACTGCAGTTAAAAGGGAAAGTTAGTCAGACTGTGTCATGTTGATGCAGAAAGGTTTTGTTTTGTGGAATTCACGTGAATGATAACAAGTGTTCTCGAGACAATATGATCTCGGTGAAGAAACTTAGAGACAGTGAATGCAGGTATTCGTTTGAGGGTTTCAAAGTATATGTTGCTCTTTTACATCAGGAAAGTTAAATGAACGTGTTCAGTGATGTTTATGTTCTAGAAAGAAATCTTAGTAATAGCATCGTATATTCAAGACTTAAAGACGGGATTGAATTATTTCGAAATCCGTGCAATAAGACTCAAACATGTTAAAAAAAAGACACTTTTGAGCAATTAAACTGGGCTAAGTTACTGTGGTATAAGAATTGGATTTCGTTAATACTACTTGACAATACCGCATCCATATCTCATTAAACGCATAGTACTATTGTTTACAGAGAAAGGCTGAAAAAGAAACTTGCATTAGTCAATAAACAAAGAAAAGACTTTAACGAGCGACAACCAAGTCGCATATATTTAACACGGCTTTTTATTGCAATCGTAACTTAAAATAATTAAAGATATCAAATTCCCTTTTTCTACTTCGCTAGTGACATTGGAAGCGAGGCTATAGAGGCTACGCACATAGCATTACAGAATGAGTATTAGAGTAGTATTAAAGATTAAACAGAGACTTACTTAGTTGCCGACGGTTAAAAAGCATATCGCTTCAGTTGAACTTTTCGGCTTGTGATGAATGAGAATCTGGTTTTGTTGTTAAATTCTGATTATGTTAGTATGCTTATATCGTATAAGATTGCTTTAGCTATCGAAATGAAAGCGAGCAACAATGGACGAATAGCCAAGTTAAATTACATTTTTACTAACGAATTAGACGTTTATGAAACAGAATGCGGCTTCCTTCTAATGCCGTTTATCAAGACCTCATTCTTAACATTATCTAATTCAGTGCACCACAGGTTAAGATGTCACAGTTACTGTTCTTCTTTAAAGTTCATAGATGAGAAAAATAATGTTATTTGGAAGTATGTACATTCCAACGGGTGAAGCCCACTTAGCGCATGCTAGAGAGCTTAAGCAATGATGCTGCAATTGTGTTAGTACTTGAACAATGCATCGAAATTGAAATGCAAATTACTAGATAAGCTTTATGACTCATCTAAGCGAGTCGCATATTGTTTATCTTCGCCAACTTTACTTACCACATGTTGGGGTAACGCCAGTGGGTAGGGTGGTACTTGGCGCCCTTGGTAGGGAGAACGTCAACGGCAGAGTTGTTGGAAGCGGCAGTAGAGTTCATATTGAGAATTGAAGTAGTAGTTGTTGTAAAGATAAATTGATTCGTCTTTGGATGCTGAAACTGGAGGTTTATAGCCAACTATTTATAATTTTTTGAGAAGCAATTGTTCTGAATCAGTCTCCTCACTTTCACAATTACCCCGGGCGCTTCATGGAAAAAAAACCCTGTTTCCCCTCCGTGTCCTCCATAACGAGTCTTGTGTTGTCAGACTCGCAGTATTCATGCTTTTAGCGAATTTACATGACCCCCCTTAGAGCAACTTGAATTCATGTTCTTCGTACCTGATTCTGCAACAATTCCTACTCACTTTAGATTGTACACTGCCACAATATCATGTCATACTGCTATACATACTTGTTTATTTGGCGTTTCACCCCCGCAAGCCAAGGGCTGCCGTTCCAATGCGAATAAGCATTTGCATTTCAAATACGGTCCTTCGTCTATAATATAACCTTAATTGCCGAAACATATTAACGGATTGTATGCAGAACTCGAGTCCCGAGGGAATTAGACTAAAAGTCGATTTCCCTCAATAATATGCTAGCAGAATTTATATGAAAATATTCCGATTGATCACAGGAGCCGATGAAGTCTGATTGATTATCATGTATGGACTACAATCCTTACTAAAGCAGTGGCGTGTATCGTTAAATGTTATGCGAAACAGTAAAAATCTTGATTGGTTTTCTTTTGTTTTGGGGCAGCACTTTATTGTTTCGCCTATTACAACTTTAACAGTCACCACATTCACCAGATGCTTGCAATTACGTAGAGTTATCTCCGACAGACTTTGGATTTATTCATTGTCGAGAAGGAAGCGGCAAATACGTTTTGGCATTGGAATCTTGAGTATACTCTATGACTCTTATTAGCTTCATCGCTTCAAAGTCTAAAAACTCGTCAAGCTATCGCTTTTGTCGCAGAATTAGCTATTCATGACAACAAGAGAACACATCGCAACTTATGCAATGTTGTTAAGCTAAAAGATTTCATAGTCGAGCTTTCGTTTTAATATGAAATAATCGTCAGTAGTACTGCAATAATGGTAGGGGTGGATGAACTATTACAGATATACGCTGTGTATACAATTTTTACCTGTGAAATTATGTTACCCTTCCTATTTACTGTCTGCGTATCCGCAATGAATCCGTTACCTTCTCTCCAGCTTTAGCTCTAAAGTGAGCAGACTAACCAATCACTCATTACGCAACAAGTCACCGCTTCAGGTAACGCATTACTGCTTTTCAAAGGCTGTTCCTCAATTTTACCTCACCTTGTTGTCTCACTCAGTCAAAGCGAACGATTGTTTCATTTAATCTCGCAATAATTCCCCATGACTCGTTCTCCTTTGATTTGCTCAGCTTCACTCTTTTTCAATGTGAATCATTACAGTGAGCGACAATTATTCACTTAGCTTGATCAGAATAAAGTTTCGCTTATTATTTTTTAGTTATTTATCTGCGAAAGTTTGCGAAAAACGTACAAACATAAGCATTGACATGATATTCGTATTAGTTATTTAGTTCAGCAACCGTAATACGGATAACTATAAATTCTCCAGGTGTGAACTATATTCAATTATAACCAGAGAAGAAATTAACAAACACATCACAAAAAAACTAAACCATTTATGAGTAGCTCAAGACTGAGACACTGTTTTGAGGAAAACAAAAGCAGTAATGTGTAATAAAAATGACACACTTACATAGACAATGCGATCGTTTGTGCAAAAGTTCAACACTCTTGAGTTAAGAATTTTTTCTGAACGAACTGCGAACGACGATCTTACAGAACAATAAACCAACAATAACCGATTTTTACATCTATTTATGAATCCAAATTCATTCAATCTTCCCAATTGTTGCAATTAAAAGCCACCCTACACAATGTTAGTCATCGCTAAAGCACATTAACGCACTGCAACGACCAAACCACCTCATTACCTCTGACGAAGACTCAGCAATTCTCTCTGTAGCAAGCGCCAAGTCAAAATGAGACAGAAACGAGCAAAGTCGTATCGCAAGTTGATGCAGACGTATCACCTGTTTTTTGGTTTCCGTGAGCCTTACCAGGTGGTTGGTATGATCAAATAAAAGTCGATAACATTCTGACGCTAACCTTGAGAACGTAGTCGATGCAGACTTTTTACAAGACTTAAACAAAAGTAAAATGAACGTTCTTGCGGCGCTGACAAGAACCGTTCAGGGAAAAGTAAAGCCTAGTACGTTTTTTTCTGAAGAAAATGCGATTACAATTGCTAATGTGTGAAAGTGATCACTCAATGCTGTATCAGCCAGCTTTACAAGCAAGGAAACGCGGCCGCTTCTGATATCAGACTCGCTAAAACATTCGAGAGAAGACGCTGTAACCATTTGGATGATCCAAAGTCACCGGCTGAGTGTATTCAAAGCATCGTTAACATCAATGGCAAAAACAAGCATCGCTATGTGGTTGCGACACAAGATCCAGAAGTGCGTGCGGCATTGAGAAACATTCCTGGTGTTCCTCTTATCTATATGAAGCGTTCGGTTGTCATCCTTGAGCCTGCTTCACCTGCAACTGTTTATTACAAGCGGCAAAGAGAGGGCCAACAAATGGGCATGTCGCAAGAAGAGAAGGATCTGCTTTCTGGAAAGACACAGAGACAACAAGAAGAGAAGGAGAACAGTAGCGAGGATGCTACTTCTGACGCTACCACTAAAAAACGCAAACGTGGACCTAAGGGTCCCAAGGGTCCCAATCCATTAAGTATGAAGAAGAAAAAGTCAGAGACCGAACCCGTTCAAGTAAACATTATTGGCGATGTCGGCCAAAGAAAAAAGCATCGCCGTGGACGCAAAAAGAACACCGTTTCCGATGAAAGCGGTACAGGTGTTGCTACTGGCGATGCCGTTGAGAACGATTCCTCGTAACATGGGTACGATAGTCTCTACTGGCTTCTGCACTAGCGGTCTTATTATGTACACAGAGGTTACAAAATGGTTTTGGAAACCGAGGTTAGACGGATAGGGAATACTGATACTATAGCATTGGAGACATAATTTTGTTGGGGAAAAAATAAATTGACGGATCCGATTAAGTGGATAAGGCCTTAAGCGTTTAGCTCTGCTGCTTTTGATACAGGAAAGACTGCCTAAAGTCCATGCATTGTAACTGAAGAATTTGGCATTCTTCACTTTTTCACTCTACCCTCCTTAACAAGCTTCCCTAAGACAATCCGTGCCCACCATGATAACAGCCTTCTCCAAACAATCCTCGCCAGATTACTTGGTGTGGTATTTTACACGAGGGGCATACAAAACTCCACCACGAGAACGGCAGCACACAAAATAAAAACTTTGGTTAATCCCCTCAGAAGGTCGTTCGTGGCATTCTCAAAGTAAAGTTCTGTAAACGATGATGACGGACAAGACGCCCGTGCACGAACCCATACTTAACAGTGCTCCTTCACGAAAATATCTAAACGAACATGTAACACCAACTCTGTTACAGGGTTTGAAGTTGCTGGCGAGGGAAAGGTAAATTCTAGTCTTAGGCAATTGAGATGGGAAGAGGATGATAGTCTTAGAATTAATGTGTGTTTCGGAATAGCGGTTAACGACAACAGACCGAGAGACCCATTGAAAGTGTTGGGTCTTTTCCTCTTGGATGCTAGTAACAAACAAAATGCTGCTGAAGCGGCCATTCAGCAGCCTTTTAATCCCTCTTCCACTCCTTCCGGATCTGCATAGTAAAGCGGGAGAGAGCATTCATAGGACTGGATTTCCTGTTGTGACTGAATGATGCGCAGCTCTCGGGCATTGTTTAGCAAAAACTGATTGTTCAACAGACTGGGGTCCTTGGACACTTGTGCATCTAGATATTCTTTAGTGTTTGTAATCACCTTGTGCATAGAAGTAAGAACTTGGCCGACTGCAGACTCAAAACCTTGTCTCAGTCTCTGTTTATCGTCCGAAGACAATTGGATATCGTTGCTTCTAAGTTCAGTGATTTTGTGAAACAAATCTCCAACTGCATGTGCAGTCTTGGCAAGCAACATGCTTGCAAACAGATCACCTGTTCCAGTGAAGAAGCCAGAAATGTAATCGAAAATGAAATAGAATGGTTGGCACGAGTTTCCGATTTTCATGGAAGCCATGCAGCGCAGTTTTTCTTCGTCATCAGAATCAGCGAAGGAAGTGATTACTACGATTGGTATGTGATATCGAGTGTGAATTGCATTAATAGCTGCCTTAGCACTCTTCATATCCTCCACCGGAAATCCTGCTAGAAGCTGTGCTTCGTACGCATTTGGTGTTATGATATCAGCCATAGCCAAGAGTTGCTGATACTTGTTGCGAACATTGTCCTCGACATACATGCGACCTTCATCACCCATTACCGGATCCATCAACCAAATGGTATTTGGGTGTCGTTGTTTATAGGCAATAGCGAATTCTGAAACAATATCCAAGATGTTTTCATTCGGAATGTAGCCGGTCAATATAGCATCGTATGCCCCCATTGAATCGTTTTCCAGGCCTTTCAGTAGACTGCTTACATCCTCACTTGAGTATACTTTCCCATGCGTGGATCCGTAGGCCAGATGATTTGAAAAATGCACCGTTGGCAATACATCGACATCCCAACCAAGCAATTGCAAAGGAAACGTTGCCGCACGGTTTCCCGCATACCCATGACATACAGCAGACTGAAAGAACATTAGTATTTCTTTAAAACATTTTTTCACAAATTAAATCAATTCGAACCTGGATGGAAAGAACCCTATATGTATGATAATAACTGCTTGAAGTCATTGAAATAAAAACAAAGGTCTAGGCAGGGAACTATTTATTAAAACGAGCGGTAGATTTTGCGCCGAATTGATACTGTGTATGATGTTCCAAATGATAATCAAAAACAGCGTTCTATAATTCAAAAAACACGTAAAAACACTTTTAGATTGACTGTGAATACAGTCAGGCAATTTGCATGAATGAAATCCAGAGATAACTGCACTTGCTGACGACGTACCACGCAAATAGGTATGCGGTTCTAGTCTGAGTAGCAAATCTCATATGCAACTTTTACGACCAAACTGCAACCCGTGCATGGAATCACATCCATACCGTTCTCTAGGTCATCTTCTGTCACAATATAGCCTCCGTATTCACCACAGCGGCACGGATAAACAAAGCTGCCATCAGCTTGTTCTTCAAAGTCGTCTAAATCAACCACAGCATTATAACGTTCCGTGGTCACTATGAACCGTTAGTAAATAAGTAGGAAAATTCCAACTTGCCTGCATCTGCTTCCAGCTTATTTGATTTGCCATTTTGAAGACGGTCAAGAAGACTTTCGTACGCTTTACGAACATGATCAACAGAAATCTCTGAAACGCGTCCATTCTGTTGTTTGTCTGGATGTGCATTCAGTAATGCCGTTTTATAAGCTATTCTGAGGTCTGAAGCTGTGTAGGCTTCTGTTGGCGAAAGTTTTAGGATTTTGTACGCGTCCATGTAGAAAAACAAAGCAAAACAACAAAAGAATAAGCGTAGAGTAGTTGAGGAAGATATTAGGTAGTAAAACTAAATTATATTCAACAGGAATTGCTGTTAACACGGCTCAATGGCTGTAATTAGGAGTTGAAGAGATTCCAAGTTATGTCGTCCCTCTAAAAATTAAGGTTATCGAAGCGGAACGTGCATTGTCGCACAAAACTTAATGTGACTGCTAATTATGGAACAAAACCTATTGTTTACTGGGTTGACCAGAGCGTATATGTGTAGGAATAAAACTTACAAGCCTAGAATGCGGCTACCAGAAACAAATTGATCTCTACTGTTTTTTTTTTGAGCTTTTTTGGTAACGAACATTAAAATCAAATAAGGCTACAGGCTTTTTTTGACGGGTGCTATATTAAAAAAGGAAAAGTTCCGGGGAAGGTTTTATTATTTGTGCGTTTATATGGGAGTCCCTCGGTTAGGAAGGTTTTTGGAAAAATACGGAACTGTCCAACAGTTCACAAGTACGCCAGATGGAGCTGGTCATACCGCAGTAATTGATGGCCCAGCTTTTGCATATTGGCTATGGTTCGCGAGAGATTTGGGTGAAGAACAGTATTTTGATTATGAAAATGCAGTTCGCTGGTTTCATCGCTGGCTGCAAACAACAGGATTTAAACATATGTACGCAAGCTGGAACGTAATTTATTCAACAACTAACGAAATACAGAGAATATATTTTTGACGGAGGTCTTCCATATTCCAAAAACGAGGTTCGGGAACATCGTTACAAGCAAGCGACCAACATCGATACCAAGATGCTGCCACACTTCTGTGTTCCTATCGCTCAACACATATTAAAGAATGAGTTGTCTGGCAATGTTATCGTCTGCAATCAAGAGGCAGACAAGTTTTGTGCGGTCAGAGCTCATAAATTAGACGCATTCATTTTCAGTCAGGACTCTGATTTGCTTGTTTTCAATTTGGAAAACGAGAGCGGTGGTTACATTCCTTTTCAGACAATAAGCTTAACAAAAACCGGATTTGTCGCAACCGTTTACCGCTACAAAGATATTCAGAAACACATCTCGTTTCCTCTTCACCTCTTAGCGGCGGCAATGGGTGTAGAAGGCCATCCTGAAATGGAAATAGACCAGCATTCCAGCTTCACTAAGATCTGCAGCGATGTCGAGAAAGCGTTGAAAGATGGCACATTGGAGTCAATGATTCCCAAAACCGAGGTTGAGCGAGTAGTCAAATATTACAGTCTCGAAGATCCCGAATTAACAGACACTGGGGATTCACTAACTTGGGGGAGAATTCAAGAGGCTTTTCACTGTTCCACTGATGTTCCATGTGTATGGCTTCCGCAACAGAAAGAATTGCCCTCAGCAAGGTGCAGCTGGATCGAAGGCGCTGCCTTACGTATACAGGCTTATGCAAACTTTCGAGCTCAAGGTCGTCTGCAATCAAGACAATTAAGAGAATTTTACCGCTCTTACCAAGAATTACACAGCAACGATGTAGATATTGATTTTGAATACTCAGACGGATGGCCCTACTTAGCTAATAAGTTCGCAGGCTGGCCTTTTGCACAACGCTTTATACTAAGTGCCATCCGGTGCATGAACGGCATTACCAATATCTCTCTCGTTAGTCTTTTGTTAATGTTCTCTGTTTGCTTAAGCAAGAAAAACATCCTTCTGGACGACAAGGTTTCTCCATCCAAAGCAGGCATCAGCGTTGTCTCACGATTCATGGCAAGCACCTACTCACTGAGCATGTTATTCTTTAGCGCAAATGACACGCGTGAGGATCTGCAATCATTCTCCCCTTTGTCACATTGCTGCAATTTTGTTTATTATCATCATTTCCTCTACAAAATAAAGACCGGAAGAAAGCCATCGAGTCTCGTCCCAGACAGAGATACTGCAAAACTCGCATACAACATGTACAAGGCGCTCTTGGCAGATGGTTTTAAAGTGGAAATTGTCATGTCAATATGGGAGAAGTCACTAAGTGGATCAAAAAGGAAAAGGGCATTGAACTCAAAAAAGGAAACTTAACAAAAGGGAAAGCCGTTTTCATTACGACAAACAAACACACATTTTAAACATTTATAATATAACAAGTAATCAAGGAAATCAAGGAGCGGAATTGTAACCGGGGTTCGTTGTCGTACCGGGAGGGGGGGGAACACCTGGAGGAAGAGCAACGCCCGGTGCTGCTGTTGCTAATCCTGGAGGGGGAGGAATCATCGCACCAGGTGCGCTTGGAACACCGACTGCACCAGGCATGCCAGGTTGAGCGAAATTCGGAACAGTAAATGGAGGTGGTACGGCAGCGTAAACAGCACCCGGTGGAGGGGGTGCTTGTGCAGGGGGGAAGAAAGGAACGGGTTGGGGTGGAAGAGTTGTACCTGGCACAGGTGCCTGCCAAGGAGGTGCTGCAGCTGAAGAGGGAGCATTGAACGAGGGTACTTCCTGTGCGGCAGGTGCACCGGGGAAAGTGTTGGCTTGCCAAGGAGGATTGCTGGCCGCAGCGGGAGCAGCAGGCGCGGCCGGAGGGGGCTTATTCCAAGGAGCACTAGTAGTAGAAGCACTGGCAGGAGTCGCGGATGCATTAATCCATGGAGGTGGAACAGACTCCCTTTCAGATTTGCGGTATTCAATTGCCTCAGGTGGAGCAGTAGTAGATCTGCTACCCTCGTTAAGCTCTTGCATAAGGTTTTGATACTCCTGATCTGTGACAGCGTTGGAAGCAGGTGCTTTGCCATTACGAACAGGACAATCACGAGCGATATGTCCGGCATTATTACAATAACGGCAGATGATATTGGCAGTGTAGTTAGACCGTTCAGGACAGTCGTACTTTCGGTGACCAACGTTACCGCAATTTTGGCAAACTTGATTTTCATCGTCACGAAGGGTACCATTCAAGGTTGCAAGTTGGCGAAGCTGACTACGCTTCAAGTCATTTTGTCCTTCAGGGACCGAAGCTGCAGTTTGAATAATTTCTTCGATAAGTTTAATCGCATGGTTGACCTTCTCTTCCGAATCAGCCATTACCAAACAATGCAGATCTTCTTCCATGTTTCCCCGAGCAGAAGGATCACTCCGGCCCTTTCCTTCTTTCACACTGCCTTTGCCACGAATGGCAATTTTTGCACCGGACTTTGCTTCCATATCTTTCAAGGTATGACCACGCGGACCAATTAACAAACCAATGAAATTAATCTCTGGGTAGTCTTTGACAGGTACGTAGACCTTTTCCTGTGTTTTTGTAGGTCTCCGGTAATCACTAGGAGCCCGGAAACCAGGGACCAATTTCATGGCCTTCTTAATAATTTTATGACGCTCATCCTCAAGCTTTTTCTTATGACGAATCTCACGCGTATTTAAACGACGTCCAAAATTGTCGTATTGAGGTGGAGGAGATGGCGAACGTTCAGCTCTGTTGGGCACAACAGCACCGATTCGAAGTTTTTGAGAAACTTCTTCAAGACGGATGTTCATAGAATACAACGCCAGCTGCTCACTCGTCATACAAGCAGTTATGGCAAAGTTTGTGTCCAGCAATTGAGGAGACCGGTCCTCAATGGGCGTTGGTCCGTCCCAGTAATGAATTCTAAATCTCCGGCGGCCACGTTCGACATTACCAGAATTGTCAAACTGAGGCGAAGATTTGTAAGCATACGGAGGCGAAGGGGAACGCTTCAGCTCTCCATTAGAGAGTGGAAGTGTTTCACGCGGTTCACTGTCTAACCGGCGTCTTCCTAAAGGAATTGAGTTCGACCCTAAATCTGTTAATCAGCTGCCTCAAACTACAACTTATTCTACTAAACGTACCCGTTTTACCGTTATTTCGTGACCTCCACATTCTGCAGGGTAATGGGGGAAGACACGTTCACGGCCACTGTGCATTGTGTCAAGGCGCGATTTGCCCCCACTCAGCAGAGCGCCCCCATTTTCAGGACATCACTCCAACTGCAGCAGCACATGCGACTTTATGTACGGTAAAAGCGAGCGAAAGAGAGCCGATTTCTGGGCTGAAAGTTGCTTGGTTTGGTAGATATAATACAATTTCTGTAGTTTTTTTTTTGTTCGACCTTTTCCGACACCTTTTATATATATATATATTATTTTTACCCCTAAGACACCGTAAATACATTACTACGGTGGACTAGTGATGCAAACGGCTTTCCATTTGTTCACCTAAGTGTGTTTGTAAATAGTTCTTGGCCGTCGTTAGAGCGGGATTTGGTTTTACTATTTCTTCCGTCTTCCAACCTGCGAAACCGCTGAAAGTACGCAAATGCCCATCTCTCAACATTCTCACAGTGGACAGTAAGAAGTTTTCCCATTGTCATTTTTTAACTAATGATTCTGTAACGAAGATTCTGTCTGCACGCCTCTGGAAACTTGGAAGAGGTCATTCGAGAAGCTATAAAACAAGGATTTAAAACATTCGCTTTCACCGAGCATGCACCCAGGGACCACGAGGAGGACTTGTATGAGGAAGAAGTACGTTACCTTCGCCTGAGAAGTAATTAAACTGGGTTTGAACAACTTCTTACAATACTTTTCTTAGAAACACCTAAAGGTACAAGACCTGTTCGACACGTTCGACGCATATTACAAGGAAGCACGCCGCCTGCAACAGGCTTACGGTGATCGCATTAACATTTTGGTGGGCTCTGAGATTGACTACATACGTCCAGAATCTGTACAACTTATTCGAAGTCTACTCGACAAGTATGACTTGGATTATATCGTCGGCAGCGTCCACCACGTTCATACAATACCCATCGACTTTTCCCCTGCGCTGTGGGAAGCAGCCTTGCACGCCGTAAACGACGATTACGAACAGCTGTTCGTAGACTATTTTGACCATCAGTACGAAATGCTTCGCCAACTGAAACCTCTGGTCGTTGCCCACTTCGACCTGATCCGGCTGTTCAGTCCTGAGGCAGGACTTCGCGTTTTTGCAGACTCTCAGAAGGTTTCGGACCGGGTGCAGCGCAACATTGACTTTGTAAACTCGTACGGCGGCATTTTCGAGCTCAATTCTTCTGCCTTCCGCAAGGGCTGGGATACTGCATATCCAAAGAAAGATATATTACAGGTACGACGAAGACGGACGGGACTGGCGGGTTGAGTAATTCCCATGTTCTTTTGTTAACGATCACTTCACTAGCGCATTTTGGATTCGAAAGCACTTATAACGCTGTCGGATGACAGTCATGGCCCTGCGCAAGTTGGCCTGAATTACCACCGTTTAAAGCAATACCTTATTGACCAGGGTGTCCAGCAAGTTGCTGAGATTCATCGCAGTCAAACGGAGCAAGCAGCCAAGCCCACATACAAACTAATACCAATCGAACAAGCATGGGCGGGTTTCGTAGGACAACATTAACATAGCCATCAAGCCATTTAAACAATCAAAAGCCAGTTGGTTTTATATCTAGTGTGCGCATACAAAAGACGGGCAATTGATAATACAGTATAGGAGGTCGACTCTTCATGTAATTGTTTATTCGTTGTAATGAAACTAATATCCCATGAATGTAACACAGCGCAACTCGGTCCAGCATTCACGCGGTGCACACGGGAAACACCAACCACTGTAAAGAGTACAAGTTCCAGGGCGCATTGACAGCGTTGAGAACAAGGAAAAGACGAACATTTGAAAGAAAACAGAAAAAAGAAAGAAACTTTGAGTCAAAAGGATACTTCAAAAACACACAACGATCTTCGTAATTACTTCGCACTGGGTAGTGGAATAACTGTACGTGGATTTCTGTCGCTAGAAAGATGAAATCCGACTTTTGTGCAGGCGTAAACTGTTTAGTGCTCACTCAAGTTGGGTGAAATGTTAGGGTGCATAGCTCCGTGCATAGCTGCGTTCAAGTTTACGCCAACGGAAGCTGGAGAGCCGTAAGGATGAGTGTCGTGTAGGTCTGTTTCTTCAACAGGCTTGAAGTGAGGTTTAGGCATCAATTCTGTTTGTTGAATAAGGTGAAAAAGACGCTTGTTTTCTGCTAGAACCTCATCCATTTTGGCTGTAATTTGAACGAGTTTCTCCTCATTGTCATGAAGATGCTTCGACAAAAAGTTAACCTTTGCTATTAACATGTCGACGTTCTGCTGCTCCTCTGTGAGCTTTTTGAGCTTGGCGTTAATCTCTTCATTGCCGCAATCGCACTTGCGTTTGCCGACCAGAAACTTTTCACGGTACTGTTGCAATTCACCGAGACGCTGCTTCCACGCATCACATAACCGATCCAGCTCGTCTTCCTCTGGTGTAGTCTTCATACCAGGTTGGCGATGCGCAAGACGCTGTTCGTACACACGCATGATACTGATAATCTGGTTTCTGCAAGCAGACTCGGTGTGAATGGCCAATCCTTCTTGTTCATAACCAATCTTCGCAATCTTCGCATAGAACTCGCTGGTTTTCCGGTCCACAAGCTCGTTTTTATGGCGGATTACCAACCGCATCAGCGTGATCTTCTCGTCAAGCGACAAATGCGTCCGCTGGGCCTTGGCAGGAGAAGCACTGGGAGAGAGGGACGCATTCTTCCGGCGGTAGCTCTTCATTTCAGCTAGCTTTGGCGCTTCCATATTCAGATTTGCCTCTGGCATGGGCCACTGCTGCTTGAACACTCCGCTCCCCTCCTCCTTAACGGTATTATTCGCAAACGACTCCGTCTTGAAAATTATTATAACGAAATATCCAAATGTTTTGTTTCTAAGAGAACCGACCGCTCGTTGATTCTCCGTACAGTGCCTTAATTATCGTCTTAACGCTTTTTCTGACTTTGGTCTTAACAGTCAGTGAATAAGGAGGTAGTGGGTAAGGTAACGTTAAAATTTGTGTTCCCTAACATTACATAGTGAGAATCACCACCCTGCTATGACGCACGGTAGAATGACATAATGGCAGTTTGTGGCGATATTTTGTCGCACAGCGTCCAATCATGTTTGCGCATGCGTCATTGTGAAGAAGGCTGTGTGGTGAGAAGCAGGAATTGTGCGGGACACAAAATAGTACAGACGCAAACATTAATTGAACGAAAACGTTTATTGTGCAAAGTTTGAGCTGCTCTAGATTTCATGATTTTACTCGACCTTTCATCTATAGGTCTATGTTTTCGCTGTTTCTCCTTTGTCGGTCTTTACCTTTCTTAGTTTTCGCTCGTGCATTTTATTGGTCGTCTAAATTTAAGCTCAGATTAGATTTGAATTCTTTACTATGATTGGTTACGTGAGCGCGCAAATGATCAACTTGTATCGTTGTTGCCATTGCAAAATGTAGTCTAAGAATTGTCAATTGCGTTGGCTGTGTTGTTATATAATAACGTATCCAACAGATTTTAACGTACCCAGAACGTACATTGTCCAATGACGGGAAATATCAGTGTCAGAGAATACGAGGACAAAGACTACAAAAGTGTTCTCCAACTCATCGTTTCAATTCAGCGCGAAGAGTTCGGAATCCCAATTACAGCAGAAGAACAGCCAGATTTGCATGATATCCACGGCTTTTATCAAACGGGCCGAGGAAATTTCTGGGTCGCATGTGATAATGGAAATATAGTCGCTACAGTTGGAGTCAAAGATATGGGCAATGAAGAAGTGGCACTTCGAAAACTTTTTGTGAGTTCCCCGTATCGCGGTGCTCAGTATGGAACTTCCAATTTGTTGCTGCAGACTGTTTTTGATTTTTGTCAGAAGCACGGAATTCGGCGGTTGTACCTAGGAACAACAGACGTATTTGCCCGCGCCATTAACTTTTACAAGAAGAGAGGGTTCAAACAAATAGAAGAGTCATCCTTGCCTAGTACGTTTCCTCGGCTAACAGTCGACACAATCTTCTTCACCCACGAGTTTCCGAAACCATCAGAAGAACAGCATTAGTATCCGTAACAGCATCCTCAACCCGTCCCTCACTCTGTCCCCGCTGACGTCTTGCAAATGCCCAACCTGTAATGTAAATAACATTAAAACTGTCTAACAAAACCTATCTTTTTTTACCTTTTAACGTATCCGAGAGAAACAGTTACCAATAGTGTGTGAGAATTAGAATACTCACCCTCCGTTTGGCTCTCTGCCTTGCCAAAACAACAAATATTTTTACGTTCTGAGAAAGTTCAGAACACCGGAACAGTAATCAATGTAACTGGAGACACGCTCGACTTCCTCGGTATGGGCATTTTTCCAGCGCTCAAGGGCAATGCGCACTTGTCCCATACCGTCCTCTCGAGATTGCATTACAAGAACATCCTCATGAGCCTTTAAGAACGTAGCCATGTACGCCTCCACAAGTTCCACGTCCAAACGTTGGAGGAGTCGTTCTGTCATCGCTTGGATGAAAGCCACAAACTCTTGGTATGGCGGGAAGGCAGACAGTGAACGAATTTCCAAATCAACCTTCGCGATAGGAAGTCGCTTCATAAATTCAACAAGCTGGCTACAATTGCCGGAAAGCAGCAATTGCGTAAATTGAGTGGCCTCCAAAGGAAGCGAACTCACTGTAGTGGAAACACTTGTTTCGTTTTTAGTGTTGTTAAGAGGTGTAAGGGTAGCATTCTCAGCGAGTTCTTTCGCAGAAGGCAAAAAGAAAGGAGCCTTTTCCGGTGCCTTAGGTGCCTCCTTGGGCTTGTTACGAGCTTTAATAAGATCGATATTTACAAGCGTTTGAAATTGCACACGTGGCAATTTACTGAGCGTTTGAATCTTATCACTGAGTTGTGTAGCGGTATGGAATAACAAATCATCTTCCTCGTCCTCTTGGGTTTCTGAAGCCAAAGCAGTCTCAATCACTGAAACGCCTTGGTCACCAGAAACCGACGGTTCAAGAACGGCTGCAACATCATCAAGCTTAATGGCTCTAGTGGAAACATGATGGAACAGGGAACGGTTCGTCCAAAGATTGATAGAAAGCTCATCTACATGAGTGGTGGCAAGGTATTCTCCGGTAGGACCAAACGCCAGGCTTGTGCAAACATTAGGAGTAGCAAAAGCGTCAATTAAATGACCCGTTGGTAAATCCCAGACACGAATCGTCCGATCAAGTGAGGACGTGACGAGCCAGCGTCCGTCCATCGAGAAGCTGAAATCGGTCAGACGATTCGTGTGACCCCAAAGCTCACGAATAATTCTTTTCGTCTGAACATCAATGACGCGGACACCGAAATCATCACAAGCAACGGCTACCAGATCGGATGAATGGTTATAGATGGCATGAGTAATGGCACTTTCCATGTCAATGACATCCAGCAAGGTACCCTTATTAAAGTCCCAGAATCTCATAATACCGTCCAAACTCGTACTAACCAGCACCCGGTTCACGTTATCGAGCATGACGGCGGTTATAGGGCGGCGATTAGTCAGTTGAGCGCCAAAGGTACGACGTTTAATACCACTCTGCATGTTGAACACATCGATGATACCTCCTTGAGAGCCAAGGATACCAAAGTTTCCACAGCAACTAACACAAACGCTTTGAACAGGTGTTTCGTCTGTGGTCTGCAGCATTTTTGTTCCCAAAGCCTTGTTCTTCCAGCTCCACGTACGTGCTACAGATTCGCCCTTGTGTGCTGTGAGAACATTGTCCCAGTATTTCTCCTTTGCGTTCGATGAAGCAAACGATATAATCTCGGGCAATTTCAGTTCGTCTGGACGCACGCTCAGTTTGTTGGCTTTGGATGTTATAGAGCCCTGAGACAACTCAGTGGTCTGGGAGTCTTGGAAAACACTAATGGCTCTAAGAGACCTGTCCGAAGACACGGAAATGATAGAGTGTACAGTAGGCCCGTAGAAATCAATCTTACTAGGGGGGGCCTGGTGACCAGCACGAAGACGCAACAGTCTAGGCGCTCCATCCATGGAATCAAAAAGCCATTCTTTTAACGTATTGTCTGCGCTTGAAGACACAAGCAAAGGTTGTCCATTCAGAAATTGAACTTTTGAGACAGCAGCATTGTGAGCACCACGCTGCACGTTCTGCAAGCGTTTCCGGTTAAGATCCCAGAAGGTAATATCACCCTTGTCATTCGCAGAGGCCAAAACAGCAGTACCGTCTGTACGGAAAGAAGTACTGCAGACCCGACCTTCTTGTTTAAATTCCATGTAAGTGCTATCGGTGCGGATGTTGTGTACCAATATACGGCCGTCAGCCAAACCGATGGCCAACACATCAATGACGGGAGCTTGAGAGAGACTGGTCACGGCGCTTTCGAGTCCGCGGAAAACGTGGATGCACTTGGCGATACGAATGTTCCACAACTGACACGAGCCATTCGACATACCGAAAATAATTTTGTTTAAATAGGTACTTGGATGGAGTATGCTAGTAATCGAAGCCTTCGAACTAGGTTGAAATACCATATGTAGCTCGGGCGTCTCATACTTGCTTGCACATTTCCAAATGTAGACCTTGTTGGATCGAGTAGTAGCAATAATGTATTGACCAAAAGCATCCAAAAGCTGAATAGTATCATGTTCATCGTCTAAAGCAATTTTCCAAGCAACGTGACCGCGTTTGAAAGCGATGACAAAATGACCGCAGGCAGCAAGCATGTAATTTCCGTAAGACTTCAAAGCAGCAATCTTTTTCTCTGTCTGTTTACCCACGAACAACAGATTCAATTTCTCACAATCATAAGTTTGAAAGGCGTTTCCAACACAGGTTGTAGCAAGAAAATGACTTCCTCTGGCTTCAATATCAAAGGGAACATGATTAGAGACATATCCTATCGCACGAAAAGCTGTTTCTGTTAGTAACTCCCTTTTTAAAAGCTACTTACGAGCAAAAATTCTTGAATCCCGGGGTTTTTTGGCCGGTTCCGGCTGAATTTTGCGTTTTTTGTCAATTCCAGACATTTTCTATTGCGAATATGCAGTAGGAATATGCAAAAGACCGGCAGAAACTACACAAATTTACAGTTTACTGTAAATTGTGGTTTTTTGGTAGTTGTGTCTGGCGAAGAAATGTAACTGCGAACAACTCCCGATAATTTTTACTTAGTAGTACTATACCCAATCTCTCTGAATATAAGAGGGGAAGGTCTCATTAAGCCTTTACCTAATTGTTTACAAGAGTTTCATCGTTTTTTCGTTAAGGATGAGCATGTATAGTACAGCTAATGGCAGCATTGCTTCTGGACTATCGACTCCTAGACGATCAGCTACAGCCAGCCCAGTGACAAAACAGTTTTCTAAGAACAATGTCGTGGGTATATGTGCCATGGATGCAAAGGCTCGTTCGAAGCCCTGTCGGAATATCTTGAACAGAATCATAGCCAATGGTGAATTCGAAGCAATTGTCTTTGGAGACAACATGATACTAGATGAAGAAGTCGAGAATTGGCCTGCTTGTGACTACCTGATTTGCTTTTTTTCTACAGGATTCCCGCTTGAGAAAGCTCAGCGTTATGTCGAGCTTCGAAAACCATTTTGTGTAAATGATGTCGTCTTCCAGGAGTTGCTGTGGGACAGAAGACTCGTCCTTCGACTTCTTGAAGCAATCCATGTGTCCACGCCGAAGCGAATTGAATGTACTCGGGATGGAGGTCCGAAAGCCAGCAAAAAGTTGGCTGAAAAGCTTCGTCGTAAGTTTGGTATCAAGTTTCCTAAAATGCCTCAACCAGAGGTCAAGATGATTGACGAGGATACGCTGTCAATTGACGGAAAAACTATCAAAAAACCATTTGTGGAAAAGCCAGTTGATGGTGAAGACCATAACATATACATTTACTTTCCCAAGTCTGCGGGAGGCGGTGGTCGTAGACTGTTCCGAAAGGTCGCAAACAAGTCTTCCGAGTATGATCCAAACTTGTGCAGTCCTCGTTTGGAGGGTTCTTACATCTACGAACAGTTCATGAATGTTGATAATGCTGAAGACGTGAAAATTTATACGGTAGGTCCGAACTACAGTCATGCGGAAACGAGAAAATCGCCTGTTGTTGACGGAATTGTCAGAAGAAATCCTAATGGAAAGGAGATCCGTTTCATTACACATTTGACAGACGAGGAGCGAGCCATGGCTTCCAAGATTTGCACTGCCTTCGAGCAACCCGTTTGTGGTTTCGACCTGCTCCGCGTGAATGGCCGTTCGTACGTTATTGACGTAAACGGATGGTCTTTCGTGAAAGATAATAACGATTACTACGACAATGCTGCTCGAATCCTTAAACAAATGTTTTACGTTGCCGAAAAGCAAAGACGGAATCGCGTCCCTTCCGTGCAGGAAGTACTGAACCCACCTCCTCGTGAAAGTGAAGCATGGAGATTAAAGGCTCTCGTTGGCGTGTTCCGACACGCTGATCGCACACCCAAGCAAAAGTTCAAGTTTTCGTTCATTTCTGAACCCTTCGTTGCCTTGCTTCAAGGTCATAAAGAAGAAGTGCTTTTGCGTAATGAGCAACTGAACAGTGTTCTTGAAGCTACGACTCGCGCCATGGAACTGCAATCTGAGGATCCGGAAAAGTTGAAACAGTTGCGAAATGCTTTGGTCACAAAGAAGAATCTCCCTGGTACAAAGGTTCAGTTAAAGCCTGCATACAAGGAAGGAAAACTTGTAAAGCTTCAGCTGATTATCAAGTGGGGTGGTGAATTTACGCATTCTGCTAGGTACCAGTCGAAGGATCTTGGTGAACAATTCTACAAAGACCTGTACATTATGAACCGCAGATGTTTAGACGATGTTGAAATATACACATCGTCCGAACGTCGTGTTTCTACATCAGCAGAAATATTTGCCATGGCCTTTTTACAAAAAGAGACGATCCCCAAGGGCGCTTTTCACACGCGCAAGGACCTGCTAGATGATTCGAATGCCGCTAAGGACATGATGGATAAAGTTAAAAAGCGCTTAAAGACGCTTCTCCGCGCCGGAGACCCTGCCCGAGAGGAGTTTACTTGGCCCAAGGACATGCCCACTCCTAGCGAAGTGATGCAACGAGTCATCCGTTTGCTCAAGTATCTCCGTTCTGTCATGCGCGAAAACTATGCCATTCTGGGTCCAAAGGTTGACCTTGTTCAAACTCGCTGGTGTTGCAGTGAGAATCCAGCTTTGTTCCGTGAACGTTGGGAAAAGTTGTTCACTGAATTTTGTGATACGGAGAATGCCGACCCGTCTAAAGTGTCCGAGTTGTACGACACACTCAAGTATGACGCTCTTCACAACAGACAGTTTTTGGAACGAATTTTCATGCCCTACGTTTATTTGAAGGATCCTGAAAATCCCGCTCTCGTTCTGAAGGAGCGTAGCCGGCCACACTCCCCATTGCAAGCATTGACGCCTCAGATTACTGGCGCCAGCCGATTTGCTGAACAACCTCAACAACCCATGGGCAAGCTCATCGAACTGTATACGCTAGCTAAAGCTTTGTTTGATCTTGTTTCTCCACAAGAATATGGTATTGAGAAGACAGAGAAATTGGAAATTGGGTTGTTGACAAGTATTCCTCTGATGCGACAAATCATTTCAGACATTAAGTTTGCCAAGGACTGTGATCATCCCGTGACTCGCATTTACTTTACGAAGGAATCGCATGTGTACACGTTGCTGAACTGCATTCTTGAATCGGGTCTGCCCATCAAAACCGCTAGAAACCAGATTCCAGAGTTGGATTATCTGACACAAATTTGTTTTGAATTGTTTGAGCGCACGAACCCAGAAGGTGTCAAAGAATACTCCGTTCGCATTACTCTTTCTCCGGGGTGCTACGCCCAGAACCCGCTTGACATGAAGCTTGATGCAAAGCACTGCATAAGTGTCGCACCCAAGCGTTCTCTGACTCGGCATCTCGACCTCAACGTTTTCTGTGATAAACTTGAGGATAGAGTTAATTCGATTGAACTTCCTAACAAGCCTACACTTCCAGTAAACATCAGTTGAATGGACAATTAGAAAGAAGCACACAATTCGATATTTTGAAATTCATATTTTGTCAAAACCAAAAAATGCCGCAATTGTTTGTTCTTCTGTTCCCTTAACACCCTTCTCACATTCCATCCCTAAGGTTTTTTTTTCCATTTAGTTTCATACTGCATCCCCCACTAGTATAATAGATACTACAGCTTTGTGGAATAATTTTTTACGTCTAGATGTTGTTACGCTACGGAGAAAAGAAAGACCATTGTCATATATCGTACAGATTCTAGTCACCCGTATTCGTTTGTTTTCTGTTTTTTGACGCTGCTAACTTCCTGTGATTTGTTTTTGGTGGTGAGTTTTGGAACGGCTTACAGATTTTGTCCACGCAAAAAAGTTTTATCTTGTTGTCTATCTCAGTAGCAAATATCTAGGTGTCTGCCTACGTTTGAAGAACAGTTCCCCTTCTGTATAGGCAGTATTGTGTAGTGAACAGGATGTCGCTCTCAGTTGATGAAAAGTATGAACTAATTACTCGCAGTCTCCAGGAGGTGCTTGGAGGACCCGCATTGAAGGAAATCTTGAAAGAGCGGAACCTCAACTTGTACTGGGGTACTGCACCTACTGGACGTCCTCACTGTGGATATTTTGTTCCTATGATGAAGCTGGCCGACTTCTTGAAGGCTGATGTTCACGTCAAGGTGCTGCTGGCCGATGTTCACGCATTTTTGGATAACATGAAGGCTCCCATGGAGTTGGTTCAATACCGTGTGCGTTACTACGAGGCCGTCGTAAAGGCTATCTTGGTTTCTTTGAATGTTCCTATTGAGAAACTCAAGTTCGTCATTGGTTCTAGCTACCAATTGTCGAAAGAGTACACCTTGGACAACTTCCGTTTGACTGCCATTACGACGGAGCATGATGCCCGTCGTGCTGGTGCTGAGGTGGTCAAGCAGGTCTCTAGTCCTCTCCTTTCTGGTCTGCTTTACCCCGGTATGCAGGCTTTGGATGAACAGTACTTGGAAGTTGATGCCCAATTTGGCGGCGTTGATCAAAGAAAGATTTTCGTTATGGCTGAAAAGGTTCTGCCTGCCTTGGGTTACAAGAAGCGTGTTCATTTGATGAACCCTATGGTTCCTAGTTTGGCCGGCGGAAAGATGTCTGCCTCTGCTGCTGCTAACGCGAAGATCGATCTTTTGGATGAGCCTAATGTTGTGAAGAAGAAGATCCGTTCTGCTTTCTGTGAGCCTGGTGTGGTTGAAGAGAATGGTTGTTTGGCATTCTTGAAGTTTGTCTCTTTCCCTGCCATGGCACTTCGCAATGTTGATGAGTTTGTCATCAACCGTCCCGAGAAGTTCGGCGGCAAGATTGTGTACAAGACATATGAGGAGCTTGAGAACGACTACCGGGAAAACAAGCTCTCTCCTCAAGATTTGAAGTTGGGTCTTGAGGATTCCATCAACTGGTTGCTGGCCCCCATCCAGGAATACTTGAAGGGTCTTCCCGACTTTGTCGAGTTGATTGATCTGGCCTACCCCGATCCAACCAAGAAGCCTAAGAAGGACAAGAAGCAAAAAAAGCAGAAGACTCCAAAGACTGAAGCCGCTGCTGCTAAGGCTGCTGCCGCCAAGGCTGCTAAGGCGAAGCAGGCTTCCGTCGAGCAAGTCACAAAGGAAGTAGCTAACGCTCAAATCTAATCAAAACTTTTTTGTTCCATAGACCAAATGAATTAGTAAAGTCGGCATTGCCAAAATGGGGAACAGTTTCTTTTTTAGGTTGCCATGAAGTGTACGACGGTGTTATGTGTACTACGGGACCATCTATCTACTAGACAGAGCTGAGCATGTAAACATGAATCGCACTTTTTGCTTTTTATTGTCGTTAATATGAACATTAAATCTTTTTCTCCAGATTAAGCAGAAGCCTTAGATGCCTCGTAGGTCTTCTTTCCGGCTTCGTCCAATTTTTGGAAGAGCTCGGGAGAAAGCTTGATACGAGCAGCAGCAACATTTTCTTCCAAGTGTTGGAGCTTGGAAGTACCGGGAATGGGGAGAATGACGGGACTGCGTTGGAGAAGCCAAGCAAGGCAAACGTCTGAGGGAGAGCATTTGAGCTCTTTGGCGGCGACATCCAAGATGCTTCCGGACTTGCAAAGGTCGCCGGCAGCAAGAGGACACCAAGGGATAAAAACAATTCCCTTCTTTTCACAGTAGTTGAGGACGTCTTCGGCCTCGCGGTTGACAAGGTTGAACAAGTTTTGCACACTCACGACCTTGAAGTATTTTTCAGCGGCTTGGATATCCTCCACAGAGACATTACTGAGACCAACGTGCTTGATCAAGCCCTCCTTTTGCATGTCTTGAATCACTTGGAATTGCTCCTCGCGAGGGACCTTGGGGTCGATGCGATGCAATTGCCAGAGAGGAAGTTGCTTGAGACCAAGACGACGAAGACTCATCAAAACACATTGTCTCAAGTACTCGGGACGGCCAACAGGCTCCCATCCATCGGGGGAAGGACGAACAACACCGCCCTTGGTAGCGACCAGGATGCCCTCGTAGGGATACAAGGCTTCACGAATCATGTTCTCACTGGTCTCGGGGCCATAGCTATCGGCAGTGTCAATGAAGTTGATGCCAAGGTTGGGAACACCACGGAGAGTACGAAGCGCTCCTTCCTTGTCTTCGGGTTCATCCCAGAGTTTGGGTCCAGTAACTCTCAAAGCACCATAGCCGATACGGTTAATTTCGTATTCGTCGGCAAGTTTAATAGTTCCAGCCAAAGCAGCACTGATTTTTTGCATGTTTATGTAATGGTATATCGAATATAGGGATGGAGTTTGGGGTGTTCCGATACCACTTTTATTTTCGCCCGTGAACCTCACAGCTTACTAAGAAACAGAAGTATTTTGGCATGATCTTAGCAAGCCGCGTTGTTAGCACGGGTATCACCATTGATAGGATCTGAACAAGAGCGCAAAGCGGCTTCTTGTGTTCGGTAGTTGAAATGCTTAAATTTCTTTCGTGGAAATAATCGAGGAAGTTTTGTCTAGAAAATCAATGAACAATGACCATTCCCTAGCGAAGAAAATGGTGCCGATTTAGACTACCTAATGACTAATTGAGCGCTCATTCGTATGGTTTGAGGTTCGCAGACGGGGTTTAAATATGTTAAAAACGTATGAAAGCGATTTTTATACAAAGAAAATGAAAAAGCGAAAACAAAAAAATGGGTGTTGGGAAGACAAAGAGTGTTCTTTGTGAAAGTTGCGCACTGGTGTCATACATACTGGTGTCATAGTATTCTATTTCGCACAAGTAGATGGATTGTGTCTGAATGGATATGATGAATTGGTACATAATTCATTTAGAGTTTGCTTATATAAATAGGGTTGAGTAAAGTTGTGTTAACGCATAAGGCATGTTTTTTTGACGAGCGTGTGGGCTTGATTTTTTAAAAAAATTGGATTTGTAGTGCTGTTTAAGTCATTTTTGATTGATGTTGACATTTGACTTTGTTATACCGAAACAAAGAAGACTCAGTAGTCGCAATTTATCTACTAATTTTTCTGCGAGTGCCATTTGTAGTCCTGTTGAAATTGAGAATCTGAATATCAAGCTTCTGTCTAATTTGTGTGCACGAACTTGATTATTTTAAAAATAAAAAAATAAATAAAACAAAGTAAAGTAAAAAAAGAAAAGAAAAGAAAAGAAGAATGAATATATATATATACACATATATATATATATATATTAACAAAAACCCCTTGTGGGAGAATAAGAATACACCTGTTAAAGGGAAACGTCTATAACTACTCTTTAGATTATGTCACTAACATACTTTTAAAATCTAAACTTTCATTGTATCTTGCCATTATTCATTGATTTGTACATCCGTCACGGTAAACGGTTGCTTATGACGTCCTCACACAGCGTCCATAGTAGCATTGGAAACCAGTCTTACTTTGGTGAGATCAGCATCAGTTTTCGGGGGCGGAAAAAGAATAAGGGAATGTGGCTTTTGGGCTTGCTCAGAAATGTTATAGCCCTTATTGTAATACGCCCACTGGGGACTGAGGTCTGCGACTTTGTATTATCACAGCTTCCAATGGTATATCGGTATCTGTGTGGGACCGATACGAATGCGTGTGTCGAACAAAAAAGAGTAGCATGTGGTAAACCCTGTGAGGGAGTTTCAGCTGCACCAAATGCATCTTCTTACTATACTCAAGTCGGACAAGTTAGTTACTCATCAACGACTTTCAATTGAATATGAGGAGTCACCACTCGTGACATAACAGCCCAAAACTTATGAACTAGTTCGTAGCTGTTATCAAGAAACTCTTTAAAGAAAACTTTTCTTAATAAAACAGGTTTAAACGAAGGAAATGAAATGTCGTCGACCGACACCACATTCAGTCTAGCTCTCCGCTCACTTAACTGATCATCATCGACGAGTCATACACTGTAACCTGTCTGTCTCGAAAGTTAAACGCAGAGGTAGATCCGCAGATCAATAATGATCGCTCTTGTGTGATTTGCTCAAAATAACGAAATAAAGGATTCATTGAATAAGAGACTCAATTCGCACTGTCATCATTCACACCAAGTATTTGACTGACTGCAATAAACACACTTATAGCGAAGCTGTCCTAGATTAGACCTCCCGAACCAAGCAAGTAGTACTGGTGTTCATCTTTGTTGTGGGTATTCGATCCAAGATTTCTTCTATCCTACCAATTGCTGTCGCAATGAATTTCTCTTTTTCTTTCTCATTCCCGTTCCCTTTCGTTTTCCCCTTCTCTTTCTCTTTCTCTGTTCATCGCACAAACTAGAGACTACAAAGCTTCCCCGCTCATCTACGCCATACCCTGCCTGTGTGTCGGCGCAAGCGAATGATCGACGATGATCTTCGACGATCACGGCATACCTCAGCGACTGAGAGTCTGGATTTTCTTCCGTTCACATGTCTCTCACGGACTGTGGCCGTTGACTGTTACTGTTTTTTCTTGATTGGTCGGTATTAAGGAGCTCGGTTCTGTACCCAGTTTAGTGGTGCCAAGTGTGAGAAATGATGAAGATCGTCACGCCGATCACGAAAATCGCTTCATGCATATTGCCGAGCAAATCATAGTCGACGCTGATCGCAACTAAAGACGCGCTAAAACAAGGCATGCTTTGAAAGGCAAAGAAGTTGCTGCGAGAGAAGTCGAAAAATCGCTTTCCATAGGTGCTGGTTTGCTCAATTGTTATTATTTACATCCAAGATACGTCTTAGTTCTAAATACTTGCTTTTTTCTTCGTCTAGTGCACCAATTGATTTCGGCCTTTTGCCCACGAAACGTCGATCATGAGTCGCAGTAAAAAAAGGAGGAACTGTTCTATCAAACGATCTGCCCACGACTACGTGCACGATTGCATCATGGAGAACAACTTTCCCAGAGATAATCCCGAATTTGTCAGCTGGAGCAATCACGTTTGCGTTTCTTGTGCTGTGAATGGGCGAGGAAAGGCTTGTTCTAGGGAATTAGAAGCACACAGTTAATGACGAAGTATCTACCAATAGAATGAGCTACAATTGTCCACAAATTTGCTTGACCCATTGCATCCACGGACAGTCGCAGAATCGTGTCTTGTTTATTCCGCTGTCGGCCGCCGAACAGCGATCAATTTTAGCCAATGAGCTTGTCGCTATTAATGGATGAACGGCAGATCAAGCCGACTGCAGATCCCCTGCTTCGGCGGGTTATTCATGAGAAATGGGAAATCACGGACACACAATTGCGACGCCACGGCTGTAGAAATTGGTATAAATAGAGAAACAAATTCCCTCTATATTGTCATCCACACTTACTTTTTTGTGCTATTCCTTCCTTATGTCTTCTGTCAGCGCGTTCTACATTCCTTTCTTCAACCTTTTCGGCAAGGGTTCCCTTGTCGAGGCTGCCAACCAGATCAAGAACGCCGGTTACAAGAACATCCTCATTGTCACCGACCCTGGTATCATCAAGATTGGTCTTTGCAAGCGCGTCCAAGACTTGTTGGAGGAGCGTGACTTGAAGGTCGCTGTCTACAGCAACGTCCAACCCAACCCCACAGTCTCCAACGTCGATGGCGGTGTCAAGGTTGTTCGTGAGCAGAACAGCGATGCTATTGTCTCCATTGGAGGTGGTTCCGCCCATGACTGTGCTAAGGGTGTCGCTTTGCTCGCTACCAACGGCGGTAAAATCCAGGACTACGAGGGTTTGGACAAGTCCAAGAAGCCTCAATTGCCTTTGATCGCCATTAACACTACTGCCGGTACTGCCAGTGAGATGACTCGTTTCTCTATCATCACCGAGGAGACCCGTCACATCAAGATGGCCATTGTCGACAAGAACCTGACTCCCCTTATTTCTGTCAACGACCCCGAGACCATGTATGGTCTCCCCGCCGGTCTCACTGCCGCCACTGGAATGGATGCTCTTACTCATGCTGTTGAGTCTTATGTTTCCACTCAAGCCAACCCCATCACTGATGCTTGTGCTCTCAAGGCCACTGAGCTGATTGCCAAGTTCTTGGAGCGCGCCGTTAAGAACGGTAAGGACGAGGAGGCTCGTGAGATGATGGCTTACGCCGAGTTCTTGGCCGGTATGGCTTTCAACAACGCTTCTTTGGGCTACGTCCACGCCATGGCTCATCAATTGGGTGGTTTCTACAACATTCCTCACGGTGTTTGCAATGCCGTTCTTCTTCCCCACGTTCAACGCTTCAACTCTAAGGTTGTTTCTGCTCGTTTGGGAGACATTGCCAAGCATTTGGGTGCTTCTGAGCATACCGCTGAGGGTGCCATTCAATTCATTAAGGACCTTGTTACTCGTATCAACATCCCCACTCATCTCGAACAGCTTGGTGCCAAGCGTGAGGACTTTGACATCCTTGCTACGAACGCTATGAAGGACGCCTGCGCCGTCACCAACCCTATTCAACCTACTCACGAGGAGGTCAAGCAAATCTTCGAGTGGGCCTTTTAAGCCAACACATAGAATTTCTCAGCAACTTATGTAGTGCCACGTTAAGTAATAGAAAAACGTTTATTTTGGAAAATGTGTTGTGGCTGTTCGCAAGCGCAGTGAGTGTAGTAATTTGCATTACTATGATTGTGGGTCTTCTATTATGATTACTACATTCTAGTAAAAGTGCACGCTGTTTGACTCAATTCAGCTACACGGAAGTATTACTACTATGTAAAGCAGTGGCTGAATATAATTTGATCATCGTCATAAGTGTATATGTATCTTCCCCAGGCTTAGTTTGCTGCTTAGGCTTTTGCGTTTTTAATTGTATGAATGATCGAATAACCTAGACTGTAAAACACAAACGCTATCCTCAAATTATGTTTGTGCAGTCAGTTACCATTCAATGACTTTAAAGTTAGTAAGCTAAAAGAATATCGCTATCGGGCCTTATGATACTAGTTTCTTATGGATGCAGTCGATCACTACACTTAGTCCTTTATTCACTAAAAGCGCAATTGGGATGCTTCAACGTTTCGTTGTTACTGGAGCGGATAGTCTAAACGTAAATCTAGAGATGTAACTACTTACGAATCATAGTTACGGAGAACTTGATTGATACCTATGGAGTTACTATATAACCAATGTCTTTTTTAGTTATCCTCCGGTGTTCACTATACGCAAATTCAAACTTTTATTTGCGTGTTGTCCTTACTAATTAGAAAGTTAGACAGAGTACATTCTCGCTCGTAACACGACACGCTTGTTTATGAGAAAAGCGATTATTAGTAAATAATGCAGTGTTGTAACCCACCACGCTAAACATTTAACTTCTCATCAAAAGCAAACGAAAAATAGCTCGAGCGATACTTCACACTATTCTACTCTATGTATGAATACGCTTTCGGTTGGAAAAAGTTATAGGAAACATAGTAGCTACTGGAATGAGCGACGCTGCAATCGAAAATTTCGCCTCGCGAGAAAATGTTTAGCAGTCTATAATCTTTATATAAATATATATCGAGTACTTGTGCACGACGAGCCGCTAGTTAAAGTAGTACTTTACTCAACGTCATTGTTCGTCGAGACGGCCGTATACACTATTGAAACACTAGTTCCCCTTGTTTGCATATAGTCTTCTATAGGGCGCGGCTACCTCCTTACACGAATCCATGTGTAAGGGTCCATAACGATGCAATGATTGCACAGACATAGTTGCATTTAAACATTATAGCAATACGAGCATTGCTCATGCGACCAATGCTTCGCTCCTAAGACTTTCCCTTGTTGGAAAGGGTGTGAGGATCGAAGGGACAGATCGTCCAACCAAAGCTGGCGCTGGTCATTTTCGTCATTTAGAATGGGCCAACCTGTTGGCCGTGTACCCGCCGACTTCCCGTATACCCTTGTTGATTGCGACACGGTGTAAAACCAATCAATGACTCACGGAACTTTCATTAGATGTCTACAACCATCTCCTCCTCCACCTTTGACTACTTGTCCCAACATAACTCGATACTCGATACTTCATTCCATTGCCCCGTTCCACACGTCATATTTTTAATGGGTGTGGGGGACCCTTGGTGTAGCATCCATGCGAAAGAAGCCCCTGACCCCATACTACCCTATCTAACCCAACACGGAAACTATCTGATGAAACACAATTCTCGCAATTCACACAGCCCTGTGGTCGCGGGTTTCTCAGCTACAACACGTTATTCAATGACATGATTACGATTGATTTTCTCGTGAGCTTGAATGAAAGAATTAAGTTACGTAGACCTGTTCGTAGCGAGATATCGCCACAGATTAGTCAGCAGGATCGCGAAGTTCCACCCACTGTCGGTCGGACACGGAATCTTGCCGACTCGAGAGTAACATGAGCTTAATTTTAGACTCTGTCTTCCCCGCTCTCCGCTCAGGATGCCTGTGATTCGTAAACCAATCAAGAGAAATAGTTTTCTTTTTATTAAATTTCCTCCTGCCAGTGTGTCCATAGGCCTAAATCGGCTTCTTCTGTTAGCGTCTCTGAGGACAGGTACGCGGCAATGGGAATTATTCCGCCCGAGGGTCGGCAGTTTTAGTGGACCAGTCGGTGCCTCGTGCACAGCTAATACCGACGATAGGGGTTGTAACCCGCACGCTCGGAATATGTTTCTCGCTCATTGGTGCAAGCAAAACTAAGTGACGCTAACTCAGGGGCTAGCTTGTGTTAGTTTCGTTTTAGCTCCCTAATAGCCGAACCGTCTTTCCCATCGATATGACTGGGGTCGAAGGGATGAAAAGGTAAAGTGTGAAAACTCAACAGCGGTTTCCTGACGTACTGGTGATGTCCATTAATCATAGGATCACTTTAATTCGTGGCCTTCATATCGATACTTATTTTTATTACCACACAATACATTTCAGGTTTTAGTTTCGCTTGATGCAGAAAAGCCAATAAACAGATGATTATCCCTCCCCTCCAGCACCTCCTTCCCCTCTCGGCTTCCAGCAACGGAGGGAGTGGACGCCGAGTCAATAGATATGTTTTCTTGTCCAGCAAAGCAGTAGCGGCATTTGCGATTGCGGGGGTACCCCTCGTGATGCTTGGATTGGGACTGCAGGAACTCTATGAAACAGCAGTAAACGTCATTTAGTAAACAGAGACTGCTTAATAGCATTCCACATCGAATTCTTTGCTCCAGCCGAGCCATGGGATTCACGGCGTGGACGAATACTGCATACAATTCTCTTCTCTCAACCAGGATGACTTCATTGCCCTTCCGGTCGTTTCGTCGTGCCGACAAACGAGGTGGTGGACCCTTGGAGTCGGCTGAGGTAATGTCGGTTTAAGATTGTGATTCGCCAATTTTGATTCGCTTATAAAAAAAGCCGACAGCTCGTGATTTCGATTTGTGATTGGTAGCTACCCGTCAATCCCTATTTCCCTTGTGCGAAAAGAATCGCGCACGGGGAGCTACCGTAGCGTCATATCCCCGGGCTTGTTTCAGGGCCCACTTGTTGCTATTCCGGAACGATCGTAGAAGAGAGAACAGCGTTACTGCGGTTTTTTAGCATGGATTCTGGGATTATATAAACCCGAATCACTCAACAGATGTTGCGAGTAGAACCGAAATTCTCTCAGAATGAAGGTGAAATCTCTTTCCTTGCGCAACGGAAGCAGACGCTCTCTATTTGCGCTATTCGCGTCGCTGCTTAGCGTTAGCGTCGACGCCATTCCTCACCATGGTCTTTACGGTGGGGATGCCGTTTCTTGCGCGCTCACTAAGACCGTCCATGCAAGCTATACGACCACTAAGACACACACAGTCGCTGAATTGTGTTCGGCCCCCCAGGTGACTTCGACTATCCCCGTCACCTACACTGAGTACCTGTACTTCACAACCCCAGGCGTGTACACGGTGCCCTGCAGCGGTCCCGCGTCGACCTCTGTCGTTACCACCGTCGATACATGTCCCGCAAGCACCGTTTACGAAACTGTGTCGACTTCAGTTGTTACCGCGACTGTCGCTTACCCTACTACGGTCTTCAGCACGAGCTATGCTGCTAGTTGCAGCTGTTACGAAACTCAGACTTTCATTTACAACCCCACTGCTTCCCCGGATTTCTCGCTGCCCCAAGGGGGAGCCGCCGCTACTGTCGGCGGGGGATCTGCAGAAGGATCACCAGCTACTACTGCGACTTCTACTACCACCATAAACGCTGCGGTTAAGTCCGGCAGCTCAGCAGCTCAAGGATCGTCTCCGTGTAGCGGTTCTACCGTCACTTATACACTTACTTCAACCTACTATACCACCTTGAAGGTCCCTACCACCTTATCATGTAGCACTCCCACAACTGTTTCTTTGGGTTCGGAGACCGTTACAGTCACCAATGTTCCTACCGTTACCGTTGTCACTTATACAACGACAGTTCCTAAGTCTGTCGTTTGCTCTCCAACAGTGACTTACATAACGGAAACAACCGTTATTCCCGTTACGGAAACACTCACCTACCCCGTTACCATAACTACTGACGATACTCATAACACTGTTTCTGTCGTTACATCGACATCAACGCGGACTTCATACCTTACTACGCTTGTAAAGCCTACTTTTACAGTAACTGAAGGCTCAGAGTGCACCACCAAGACAGAGTCTGATGCGGTTGTAGTCGTTGTTCCTACCACCAAAACTCTTACTCAGTATGTTACTCGCACAAAGTCGGGCGTGCAGTCTCAGGAATCAGCCGGCAGCGCTGTGACCGAGACCGTCACCTCTTTTGGTGCTGTATATACTACGGTTCGCTATGAAAACATAAGCACCACTGTTGTTCCCTCCGTCGCTACAGCGACTGTCACGACTGGTAGCGTCGCTTTCACTACGACAATCGTCAACGGTAATGCTACTACGGTTGAGATAGTTGTTCCTACCGGCGTGGTTACAAAAACCGTCACTGCTGGCAGTGTTGGTTTCACTACCACGCTTCCCGTGAGCGGCAGTACTACGACTGTTGAAGTCATCGTCCCTACCAATGCCAAGACTGTGACCGAGACTGTGACCCTTGGGTCTGTAGGCTACACCTCAACTTTTGTCGCGGATGGTACGACCACTGTAGAGGTTGTCGTCCCTACCAACGTAAAAACTGTTACTGAAACTGTTACTGCTGGATCTGTTGGTTACACTTCAACCTTTGTAAGTGGCAGTACTACCACTGTTGAGGTTGTCGTTCCTACAAACGCAAGCGCTATTACTGAGACTGTGACCTATGGTTCTCGTGCATATACTACTACGCTTCCCGTCAACGGTAGCACGACCACTGTAGAGGTTGTCGTCCCTACAAATATCAAAACTGTGACTGAGACTGTCACTCTTGGTTCTGTTGGCTACACCTCAACCTTTGTAAGTGGCAGTACTACCACTGTTGAGGTTGTCGTTCCCACCAATCCTGCTGTCGTGACGGAGACTGTCACTTACGGTTCTGTTGGTTTAACGACTATCCTCCCCGTAAGTGGAAACACTACTACCGTTGAAGTTGTTGTCCCCACAAGTGCCGTAACAGTTACAGAGACGGTTACCTCTGGTGACGTCGCTTATACTACCTTACTTCCTGTCAACGGAAGTGCCGCTACAGTTGAAGTCGTCGTTCCTACCAATGCAAAGATTGTGACGGAGACCGTGACCTATGGCTCCCGTGCATACACTACTACGCTTCCAGTGAATGGTAGCACAACTACTGTTGAAGTCGTCGTCCCTTCCAATGCTAAGGTTGTGACTGAAACCGTCACCCTTGGTTCTGTCGGCTATACTTCCACTTTTGTTAAAGACAGCACCACTACTGTTGAGGTTGTCGTTCCTACAAACGCGAGGGTTATTACTGAAACAGTAACTTTTGGTTCTCGTGGTTATACTACTACGCTTCCTATTAACGGCAGCACCACTACCGTTGAGGTCGTCATCCCTACCAATGCTAAGGTTGTAACTGAGACTGTCACTCTTGGTTCTATCGGCTATACTTCCACTTTTGTTGCAGATGGTACGACAACTGTAGAGGTTGTCGTCCCTACCAACGTAAAAACTGTTACTGAAACTGTTACTGCTGGATCTGTTGGTTACGCTTCAACCTTTGTAAGTGGAAACACTACTACCGTTGAAGTTGTTGTTCCCACAAGTGCCGTAACAGTTACAGAGACGGTCACCTCTGGTAACGTCGCTTATACCACTTTACTTCCTGTCAACGGAAGTACCGCTACAGTTGAAGTCGTCGTTCCTACCAATGCAAAGATCGAGACCGAAACTGTAACGACCGGATCCGTTGGTTACACGTCAACTGTTGTCGGCGGTAGCACTACTACTGTCAAGGTCTTCGTTCCAACCAATGCTAAGATTGTGACCGAAACCGTGACCTATGGTTCCCGTGCATATACTACTACGCTTCCAGTGAATGGTAGCACGACTACCGTTGAAGTCGTCGTCCCTACCAATGCTAAGGTTGTGACTGAGACTGTCACCCTTGGTTCTGTCGGTTATACTTCCACTTTTGTTGCAGATGATACGACAACTGTAAAGGTTGTTGTTCCCACCAATCCTGCTGTCGTGACTGAGACTGTCACTTACGGTTCCGTTGGTTTAACGACTATTCTCCCCGTAAGTGGAAACACTACTACTGTTGAAGTTATTGTTCCCACAAGTGCCGTAACAGTTACAGAGACGGTCACCTCTGGTAACGTCGCTTATACCACTTTACTTCCTGTCAACGGAAGTACCGCTACAGTTGAAGTCGTCGTTCCTACCAATGCAAAGATCGTGACCGAAACTGTAACGTACGGTTCTCGTGCATTCACTACAACTCTTTTTGTCAGTGGAACTACGACTGTTGAAGTTGTTGTTCCTACAAATGCTAAGACCATGACCGAGACCATCACCTCTGGCTCTAGGGGATATACTACGACACTTCCCATAAATGGTAGCACAGCTACCGTTGAAGTTGTGGTTCCCACAAGACCCGCCGTTGTAACTGAAACGGTTACATATGGTTCTATTGGTTTAACAACTACTCTGCCTGCTAATGGCAGCATGACCACCGTCCGCATTGTCATTCCTGCTGATTTCGCTTTCGTAACTCAAACTGTCACATATGGTAGTGTTGGTCTGACAACCACTCTCCCTGGCATCGGAAATACCAAGACAGTCGAGGTTATTCTTCCTGTAAAGCCCACTACCGTTACGGAGACCATCGTATCTGGTAATGTTGGCTATACTTCTACTCGTCCCATAAATGGAAGTACCGTTACTGTCGACGTCGTCATTCCTAAAAGACAAGCTACTCTCACACAAACTGTGACATTTGGAAATGTTGAATACACCTCCACTATTCCTGCTAGCGGTTCTATTCCTGGTACCGTGATCATCGTTGAACCTACTAAGCCCGGAACTGTTACTAAGACCCTTACGTCCGGTTTCGTTCAGTATAACTCTACTGTTCCCGCGAGCGGTTCTGTTTCCGGAACTGTCCTCGTTGTTGAGCCCACAAATGCTGAAACTGTCACTAGAACTATCACGTCTGGAGATGTGGAATACACTGCCACTACTATCCCTGCCAGCGGATCTGTTCTTGGTACTGTGATTGTCGTTGAACCTACTAAGCCTGGTACTGTTACCAAGACTGTTACGTCTGGCTTCGTCCAATACAATTCTACCGTCCCCGCCAGTGGTTCTGTTTCTGGTACAGTTCTTGTTGTTGAGCCCACAAATGCTGAAACTATCACTAGAACTATTACGTCCGGAGATGTTGAATACACTGCCACTACTATTCCTGCCAGCGGATCTGTTCTTGGTACTGTGATTGTCGTTGAACCTACTAAACCCGGAACTGTTACCAAGACCCTTACTTCCGGTTTCGTCCAGTACAATTCTACTGTCCCAGCAAGCGGCTCTGTCTCCGGAACTGTTCTTGTTGTTGAACCTACTAACGCTGAAACTGTCACTAGAACTATCACGTCCGGAGATGTTGAATACACTGCCACTACTATCCCTGCCAGTGGTTCTGTCCTTGGTACTGTGATTGTCGTTGAACCTACTAAGCCTGGTACTGTTACCAAGACTGTTACGTCTGGCTTTGTCCAATACAACTCTACTGTTTCCGCGAGCGGTTCTGTTTCTGGTACAGTTCTTGTTGTTGAGCCCACAAATGCTGAAACTATCACTAGAACCATTACATCTGGAGATGTTGAATACACGGCTACCACTATTCCTGCTAGTGGATCTGTCCTTGGTACTGTGATTGTCGTTGAACCTACTAAACCTGGTACTGTTACCAAGACTGTTACGTCCGGTTTCGTCCAATACAACTCTACTGTTTCCGCGAGCGGTTCTGTTTCTGGTACAGTTCTTGTTGTTGAGCCCACAAATGCTGAAACTATCACCAGAACTATTACGTCCGGAGATGTTGAATACACTGCCACTACTATTCCTGCCAGCGGTTCTATTCTTGGTACCGTAATCGTCGTTGAACCTACTAAGCCCGGAACTGTTACCAAGACCCTTACGTCCGGTTTCGTTCAGTATAACTCTACTGTTCCCGCGAGCGGTTCTGTTTCCGGAACTGTCCTCGTTGTTGAGCCCACAAATGCTGAAACTGTCACTAGAACTATCACGTCTGGAGATGTGGAATACACCTCGACTACTATTCAACCCAGTGGATCCGTGCCAGGTACGGTCATCGTGGTAGTTCCATCGGCTCATTCGACTGTAATGTCGACTGATTTCTACGCATCCACCGATTATGTTACCACTGTAACTGCCAGCGGAGTCGATACAGTTATTGTTGGTATTCCTACGGCAGAATGCAACGGTGTCCGTGGTCTTGCATACGCTGCATATGATTATGACGATCCCTCAAAGACCCAGTTCTGTAAGATGACGGTTACTAACACCAGTGCGTTTACACGACCAGCTTATTTCGGTTCATCCAACTTGACACAGACTTCTCCACTTTTCACTGGTGTTTTCAGCAGCAACACTGAAGTTCCTGAATGGACTTCGTCTCGTTACCTTCCTGCTTACCCACCCAACGCTGCTGCAATGTCTAAGACATCTGCAGCTTGCAAGGCTTTGGTTTATCAATTTTTCTTCAGGGCTCCTGTTACCAGCACCTATACCTTCACAGTGCAAAACGTCGACGATGTTTTCTACGGCTGGTTTGGTGACAAGGCAATCAGTGGTTGGTCTAATACAAACTATGATGCTTATGCCAAGTGGAGACGTTCGGCAACTGGTATGGGATCATGGAGTCTTGGTACTCTTCAGGCCGATAGTTTCTTGCCTGTAAGACTTATTGTTGCTAACGGATACAATGTCGGTGGTTTCAATTTCCACTTTGTCGACGGTAACGGAGACGTTCTCATGACAACGGCTTATACGTATACTGCTACCTGTAACCAAGAATTCCTTCCGTTCGGACGAGGAAATGGAGGTGTGGATAACTAATTCTAATTTATAGCTTGTATAGTTCTTTTTCAAAATTAATCTAATATTTTATTTTGTACATAAATTTTGTACTGGTTGAACTTTATTTTAACGATAACCAAACTTGCTGCTCATATGGTAACAAATGTGGTATACTTAATGTTTTGTAAAAAGAATTCTATACTCCACTGGGAAAATTCCGTAGGAAAAAGCAATCACTAATAGAAAAGTTTGGTGTACAAATAACGAAGCTGCTCATTCAATATATGCGTTCCAAAGCAGCCATTAATGTGTATACTATCAATGAGTTCTACTTCTTATGTAACAAATCCCCATAGTTATTCGTATTATAACTAAAGCTTTACTTTCCGATTAGGCACATGAGAGCAGCAATAAAATAGCATACGCATGAACGGTCTTACGTATTTAGAAGGCATCTTGAACGTATCTGGTAACTTAAGTTTAACTGTAATCTCAAAGTACATAATATATGAAACTTTTAGTCTTATAGCTACATACATACTGTACATATTCCATACTACCTTTTCAAACCAATCAAACAACGACATTACTCGTCAGCCTTGGTGTTATAAGAAGATATATAGTTACATTAAAAGTAGTCTGACAAGTAAAACTTTGATTTTCTCACAGTTACGACAAGTTTTCAGCTATTTTAGTAAAATGCATGTAACTATACAATTACAAAAGAATACTTCTTTTACCTACTTCTGCTTTTGTCCTCATTCTTTCAATAATAATAATTACGTATTTATATTGGGTACTTTATTGGCTCAAGGGATTATAGTTCAATAATTAATGAGTACCGTATGTGTAAGAATGACAATTTTGATTTTGTCTTACTCTTATTTTGCCCACATAAACGTGCCGTGAAATTATAATGACGCATGAAAAACAGTGTCTTACTTAATACTCGAGTGATTATACTACCTAGGGTTAGTTATAATACACACTATAAAACATATTCAAGGTCTCAATTTCATACCTCAGATCAGGTTCAATTAAATTACTTGTATTAAGATAACTTGAACATCTCGTCTAGCTCTATCAATACTCTCAATGGCACAATTTACTCTTTACACCCATAAGGGAGGACCTAACCCATGGAAGGCTGCTATGTGCCTCAAAGAATTGGGTCTTACATATGAATCTGTATACCTTGATTTCCAAAAGAATGAGCAAAAAAACCCGCAGCATTTAAAGTTGAATCCAAATGGCAGAGTACCTACTCTCGTAGACCATTTGAACAACGATTACACTATTTGGGAGAGTGACGCTGTGCTGTTATACTTAACTGATCGTTACGACAAGCAACGCGCTATATCTTTGCCCCATGACCACCCTGATTATCACCATGAATTGCAATATCTGTTTTTCCAATCATCTGGACAAGGTGTAATTTGGGGGCAAGCTAACTGGTTTAACATTTATCACCCTGTCCCGGTCCCATCTGCTGTTACAAGATATCGAAATGAATTAAAGCGTGTACTTGGAGTGCTGGAAACTATCTTACAAGATAAACCATATCTTCTTGGTGACAAGTTTACAATTGCCGATCTATCTTTTGTCACTTGGAACAATCTGCTCTCAATGATTTTCGGTAAAGGAAAGTATGAATGGGATGACCAAGTTCCACAACTGGATTTCCAAAAGGAGTTTCCGAAAACATATGACTGGAACCATCGCATCAACCAGAGACAAGCTATAGCGAAGACAAACGAGGAAAAGGCTAAAATTGGAGGACACTAAGAGCGGATTTCGGAACTGCCTTGGCTAATAAATGCATAAGCATCTCTTCACCTACTTGACAATGTTTCTTTTTTCAGAAAAAGCTATATTTAACGGTATTTCATGAATAGTATTGTTTCACTTAAATGAATGATTATTTTCTGTTAATTGAAATACAAAACGTCTATTGTTATTGTAACGTTTAGTGACGGCTCTCAACAGGCTTTCAGTAAAATGGATTCTCTCTTTATTTACTAAATAGTGTGTATTCGTAGACCGGTCATTCCTCACACTTCTAAGATTATATTTGTTTGGGGAAAAATCGACGCATTTTGCACGCGTTTGAGTTGCAAATTAACCTTAAATAAATAGTTAATAATGTCGTTGATTCTACCTTAAATAGTTTGTTGTCATTAAGCTTCCTTATTTTAGCGTTTAGACTTTTGTTAATATTTTAACAATACACTCTCATACCCATTACGAGCTCAATAATCAGTTCCATGAATGATTACTTTAATGGCTCCGGAGGAAGGATCGGCTGTTGTTTTGTAAGCCTCTTCGGCTTCCTTAAAGGCGAACGTATGACTAATTAAAGGCTTAAGAGGCACTTTTCCGGTCGAAACCAGTTTCAAGGCCTGTTCGTAACATCCTGCGCTGTAACGAAATGAACCGATAACCGACAACTCGTTGTTGACTAAATGATTGATAGGAAAGTCAACAACAGGTTTTCCATTACCTGCTTGAATAAATGTACCCCCGGGCTTTAGTAGAAGAACGGCAGTATGAATGCAGGTATCGACACCAGTAGCATCGGCAGTAAATTCAAAGTATCCGTGCTCATATTTAATAGCAGTTCTGCATTTCTCCGCATAGGCAGCCACGGACTCTGATTCATTCTTCTTCGGACAGACGTATGCTTTGGCACCTATGTATTTTTCGGCAAATTGAGTGCGTGTTGCTGACACATCTGCAGCAACAATTTCAATTGCACCGTACGCCTTAGCAACAGCCATTAGCAAAAGGCCTACAGGGCCACAGCCAAATACGAGAACACGTTTACCGAACGTTAATTGGGCACGCTGCCAACAATGAATGGCTACGCTTAATGGCTCAAAAATAGCGGCTTCATCGAGACTAATGTTGTCCGGTAACTTGGTACAAAAGTCCTCGGTAGTCACGTAAGTTGTTCTTAGGGTACCATCGTACGGCGGGGTAGCCGCAAATTCCATATGAGGACAAAGATTGTAATGGCCTGCTCGACAATAGTCGCAGATGCGACATACTCGACCCGGTTCGACGGCTACTCGATCACCGGGTTTTAACGACTTGACATTTTTAGCTACCTCGACAACGACGCCGGAGCTTTCGTGGCCGAGAATCATTGGCTTCTCAACAACAAAATCGCCGATGCGCCCTTGCTTCCAATAGTGAACGTCACTCCCGCAGATACCAGTCGATGTGATATGCACTCGAACATCATGATCAGAAGTGAAAGGATCGGGAGCTTGATTTTTAAAGCTCACATCGTGAGCTTTATTTAAAACAAAAGACAATTCGGACATATTTACTTATACAGTCGAACTTTAGTTTTTTTTTAACCTATGAAAACCTAAGTTACCTTTTTAATTAATATATTTATCTGTTTTATATAGTTGCGTCACTGTTTGTTTGAGAGTTCGTGTATAAACCGCATATTCTTTTGAGGGATTTCGAAGCGATCTTTGTGAATAGTAACAATATTTCATTCCGTCCAGCACTGTCATCCCGGGAATGAGTACACTTTTACGAGACAGCAATTTGTTTAGTAATGAGAGAGAGAAATACATGCTAAGCTTCGTAATAGTAATCCGAATTATTTGTCATTATGATCTAAAGTGTGTATGTGTTTGCTAACAATTGATAGCTGACCTATGTAGTACAATGTACCATTGATACTCGTTTCATCTGTAGCATTGCTCAAATGGCGGAATTACTTCATCGTTTTATGAAACTTTGCTAACAAAAAAAATCTGAACTTCAGTAACTTACATGTTTTATTACACATTATCGTAGCAATAGACTCTTTTTAACAATTGCATTTTACTAAATTTTTAAACGTTCATTTGGGAGCAATCCCTGTCACAGTAGCTGAAGCATGTAGATGAGATTACCTACGGAACGGTGTATTTATTCTGAAAGCCCGTTCTTTCCCACAGCTTACTAACACGTGGTAGGTTATGCACCACTGTTATCGGTTTATTATGAGCATCCGCACCTATCGTTTATTCTCTGCTCATAATTCCCCAAACCCTACGACTGACAGCAACAATTGTTCAACCGAAACCCGAATAAAAACAGACATAGACTTGTAGGTTATCAACAATATCACAATCGTAACGAAGCTATTATGCGATTTGGCAACACCCTTTTGTTACCAAACTACTCATGGTTCATGAATTAAAAGTCAAAAGCGTCCTAGTTACCAGACACTAGCTCAGCAAATGGGGAATTAACAAATTCTGCCCCTTGCGTAATGCTGGCGAAAACTGTAACTACTGCCGACCCTTACTTCACTTGGAACCTTAATTATAGTTTAGCTTACTTTTACTCTTAACTAGGTACTACTAATTAATGCTTGGTAATACCAAGCCTACGGTGCTCCCCTCCTCCTCCCTTCCTTCCTCTCTCTCTGTCGCAATTGAGACTGCCAAAGGATAACCGTAGCCCAGACTAATTGCCGATGTTAATTATCACTAAGGAATCTACTGAATCAAGCCCCAGTACACGCTACTAGACAACCTAGCGAATTCGTATTCTCGTTTGATTCGACCTAAGACCTACAGCAGCTTGCTCGGGTAAGCGTAACCCTCATTCCGCCACAGTCACAGTCACCTACTGGGTTTGGAAAAAGAAAACATGAGGCAGCAATTGTGTCGCATCCCTTTTTATAAAACGTTTATACAACGAATGTACGCTAAAACTGTAGCTAAGCGATTTTACCGGTTCGTTTTTGCAATTGAATCGTTGACACTGAGCGCTGAATAGGCTGTGTCGGCTTTAATTAAGAAGCGAAAGCGCCTTTGATTATGATTGGCTGGTGATAGCATATCTAGCGGAACGTGCTTTTAATCTTTACGTGACAGCGCCCCCATACGCGTTAAGCGAGACGCGCAGAAATGAAAACTGCGGGGCATTTAGCAAAACACCCAACGGTTCTCGACTCCTCCACTTCAGAGCCATCCATGTTTTTGCTGAATTCACTTAGTCGGTTTACTCGGAGTGCTCGCCATAAAAACGCGCAGAACAACGGCTCCAGCAGCAATTTGTCTGTTTCTTCTCATAGCTCGAAAAAGTCTAGTACGACATCGTCAACACATGGAAATCATGCCCAAAGAAAACAGACGCCGTTGTACCTTCGTCAACCGTTCATAAGCACACACTTGGTTAAGGGAAACTTTTCTACGATTGTGTCTCTTCCTCGGTACATTGACAGAAATGAATGGCTCGCCATTAATGGTACGTACAGAGACGTTTTCGTCCGTTCAAAAATTTCAGTGGTTTTCCCCACCCGTGAGACTGTTTTGTAAATGTCAGAGGTTTACTAACTAATGTAAACATAGTTTACGAGTTATTTACGTATCTGAATCACTTTTACGATGTGTTTGCTGCGTTTTGTACGGTACAGACATGTCCTACCATGAGTGCTGCTCCTGGGTATGCCTATCAACGAGTCAGATATTCAAGTCAGGCGTTACTAACAGCTGCAGTATTGATTATACTTGGTTAGACAGCAATCGAAAGCCATTGCGGCTCCCTGCTCCACAATATATTGAATATGTCATGGCCTGGATTGAAAACCGCCTTCGAGACCAGTCTATTTTCCCTACAAAAGCCGGCGTTCCCTTTCCATCAAACTTTGAGGCGATCGTGAAAGCCATCTACAAGCAGCTCTTCCGTATATTTGTTCACATTTACAACTACCATTATCCTGAGATCCTTCACGTGTCCTTAGAAGCACACTGGAACTCGTTCTTTGCACACTTTATCGCTTTTGGTAAAGAGTTTGGTCTTTTGGACCCCAGGGATACGGGTCCGTTAAAGAAATTGATTGACGTTCTTGAGTTTCAGGGAAATATCTAATTCAGACGGTAAAGCGCTCTCCCAGCAGAGATGTTCCCTTCCCTAGGATTATACATGTAATACACGCTCGTTTGGGCGTTCACACACACATATTCGTTCGTGAACTGTCGTCGTGTCTGACGACAACTTCTCGTTCTCGGTCTCTCGGCTTGAGCTGTACGAGTGTGTACGTAAACAAGAATGAAACGCCCGTTGGACTCGCTTTGAGGCCCCTCACTCGTCAATCCGAGTTTGGGTATCGCGGGTCTTTTTTTTTGTGGAAGCGCACAATTACATTTTGCTTACATGTATGCACGTCTTCTTTCCACACACGTCGTTGACTATATTCCACTACATATACTCAATTGCTTACGCTCTCTTATTCACATGCACGAACATACAGATACTATTTTTTTTTCTTTCTCTCTTCCTCTCACATATCAAAAGTCTCGCTCTTCCCCGCGAACAAATGGAGGTGTCACAGGAACACGAATTTTCGTAGAACACATATGATGTCGACCCTGACCGTTACGTTGCTAATGTGTTACTCCTCATTCCATGTGTGGCAAGGATTCAACCTGCTTTCCGTACTATATCCCTAGTGACAAATGAACGACAAACTGTGTGTTCCCTACGAATTTTTACTGAGAAGCGGCACGTGTCCAGAATGTCACACCTCCGCAGTGTATTTCTACTTAGAAGACAAAAACCTGGTCGGCCATCTTAGAAATGGCGCGAGACTTTTCATAACCCAATGCAAGCGTGGCTTCGCGCATGGCGTCGACCATAGGTTTGGGACCACAAATGAGCACCTTTGTGTCGGGGGAGGGTTCGGGAAAGTGATGCTTGATCAATTCCTTGGTCACAAATCCGACAGAGCCCTCCCAGTCCTTAGGTGGGTCGTTGAGAATGTGATGGACCTTGAGACGAGAATCCCTCTTGCAGAGTCTCTCGATTTCCTCGCGAAGCAGGATATCATCCTCACACACATTAGCATACAGCAATGTAAGCTCGGTCTTGTCATCAGGGTTTGAGAGAACGGCACGAATGATCTGAAGCATGGGAGTAATACCCGTGCCGCCAGCAATCATTCCAAAGTGTTTCACCATGCCACATTTGTAGCTCATTTGACCCTTCGGACCACGGACGCGAATAGTATCGCCGATCTTCAACTCCGCGAACCTCTTGCTGACTTTGCCGTTGGGATACGATTTAACAAGCAGGTCGAAATAACCTCTTTCAGAATCGGAAGTGAGAGGAGTGTATGCACGGGAGTACTCACGGCCGTCAACATCGACTGCGATTGTGATGTGTTGTCCAACAGGCAGTCCAAGAACGTCGTTTGGACGGGGAAGTCGGAATCGGTAAATGGCCGTGTTGTGGTTCAGAACGGCCTTGTCGCTCAGTTCGAATGACCGGTATTCATTGGACAGAACCTTACGTGTTCTTCCACGCCAGAATTTGAGGAAACCAAGTGAGACAGCAAGAATGAATGCGTATCCAACCCATTCACGTTTAATAATATACGCACCAAAGACGATTAAAAATGCAGGAATAAAGACACCATGTAGCGGTGTGCTCAGAAGAGTCTGGCGTGCCATGAGATAAGAGTGTTTGTTTTCTAAGAAAGGATTCAAATGTACTTTGAAAAAACAAAAACAAATATCGTACAGGAGACTGAATCTGGAAATGATAAAGTCAAAAAGTTACAGAACCACGTCGGTTGCTTTTTCTGCTCGAGCAAGGTGAAATGGTTGTTTTTAGAGTATTGGTCTTAATAGTTTGTGGTAGGGACACCTTGTTTCACTACGACTAGCGGGAAACTTAGCTTGCTTGCGTGTGGTTGGCGATACGCAGATAGGTTCCAACACAAACACGTTTTAGTGGTACCACAGGATGATCGGCAGCGTAGATCATTCATATGTGCGAAATACGTTAACGAATAGACGGCAAAAAATGATGTAAGAAACATCTGTAAAACGGAATAAGATGAGCTGTAAAAGTGGTCTGTTTTGTGACCAGTTTAGACGAAAGATTTATGGGCGGTTACAAAAGCTTTTTACCGATGATCTGCGGTTGCTGTATCGAACAGATGTAGCATCGTAGCGGAAGACCAGTGTAAACTATGGTAAGTTACGTATGAGAAAATTACAAGAGGTGTTCATTGAAAACTGTAATATGCATCACTATGGAATAGGCTGTTGAAAGTGATGCTCTTGGGTGTTACTGCAGTGAAATTAATGTAATCGAGTCTCCTAAAAGCCTCTTTGAGACGAAAACCGATTGGAGCTTTGAGGAGAAGAGAAATTTGATGTAGATTCAGAGACATTTTGGCATAATCTCAATCAAACAAAAATTCTGTATGTACTTAGTTGTAGAACGGGTCGGACATTTTTGTCCTAAGAGCTGAAATTGAATTCATCGCATTCATCCAATTGACAGTATTTTTTAATTAGTCTTTAAAGGAGGTTTGATACGACGTTCATCGACTGTAGCTTCTAACAAACACCCTTTGTATATCATCATTAGGCTTCATTATAACGGATTCATAAAAAAACAACAAGTCAACAAAGATTTTTTATTTGACTGTTGGAGTACGCGTTTCAGAAATTTTCAAGAAAGTCACTATGTCCGAGCGGTTAAGGAGTTAGACTTGAACTCGTTCAGGCATCTAATGGGCTATGCCCGCGCAGGTTCAAGTCCTGCTGGTGACGGTTAGTGCGAGGTAGGAGAGTGGAACTCCGACGGGCTCATAACCCGTAGGTCCCAGGATCGAAACCTGGCCTCGCAACTTTTTGCCTCAGTTGGTTGGGACAGAAGACTTCAATTAGTTCCTTGTTCTACTAAGTAAGCCTCATCTTTTACCAGGTTAATCCATAAATGCACTATTAACTCAATACGTTCTCCCATAAGCAGATAATAATACTAAATAGCGCCAATACTATCCCTATTCATACCGCCCAACAAGACTTCCCATACTGGTTGCAATGTGCACAAGCCTAGGACAGCTTTCAATTATTAATTTATTCTCTAGAAACTCCCAAAAAATATATATTTTAAAAAGAGACTGTCACTTCATCCGCTAATGAGGTATCGTGACAAGAAGGATTTACCGGGATGCATTAGATGAGACCCTTCTTAACAGCAACCTCGGCGTTCAAGATACCAGCGCCAGCAGCGCCCAAAACGGTGTTGTGAACGAGAGAAACAAACTTGATATCAAAGATGGAGTCCGGGCGAATACGTCCAACAGAAACAGCGTAACCACGCTCGGCCTCACGGTCCAAACGAGGTTGAGGACGGTCAGGGTTCTTTTCATCGAAAACGTGAATGGGCTGCTTGGGAGCACTGAAGCAGCCAAGCTTGTTGGCCTCACAACGGTAGTTGACCAAGGCCTTTTTGATTTCCTCGACGGAAGGAGCCTTACCGGCGAACTTCACAGCTACGCAAGAAGTGTGACCATCCAAGACGGGAACACGGTTGCATTGAGCAGAAACGACGGTATCAGTCAACTTGAAACCGGAGAGATCTTCGTTAGTAGAGCCCAAAATCTTACGGACCTCCCACTCGATCTTTTCCTCCTCGCCACCAATGAAAGGAACGACATTGTCGAGGATATCGAGACTGGAAACACCGGGGTATCCAGCACCAGAAATGGCTTGCATGGTAGTAACGGTGACCTTCTCAATGGGGCCAAAAGCATCTTGCATAGCCTTGAGGGGAACAACGACACCGGCAGTGGAACAGTTAGAGTTGGTAACAATGAATCCACGTTGCAGGCCGAGTTGCTCCTGTTGCTTCTTGACAACGTCGAAGTGCTCGGTGTTGACTGTGGGAACAATCAAAGGAACAACGGGGTCACGACGGTAGTTCTTAGCGTTGGAGAGAACGGGAATGTTGGCGGCACGGAAGTTTTTCTCAATCTCACCAGCAAATTCAGCATCCAAGCCACTGAAAACGATAGAACACTCGCTGAAAAGCTTGGGATCACACTCGCTGACAATCATCTTAGCAACCTTCTCAGGCATAGCCTTTGATTGCTTCCAACGAGCAGCATCCTCATACTTCTTGCCACTGGAGCGAGCAGAGGCACCAAGAACGGCAATTTCAAACTCTGGATGTTCATCCAAAAGAGTGATGAATCTTTGACCGACAGTACCTACGGGCTGTGTTAGTAAAGAGATCCAATAAGAGTGACATGTTTTAAGGCGTCCATGGTGGATCTATGAATGAGCAAATAGTAAACATCGTAGGTGATAACTTTTGATGCTATTCCAGACCTCCTTAGAACAAAACAAACGGGTTTCCAAAAAATTAAAGAAAAAAAGGAAAAGAAATAAACAGCAAAAGTAATCCAAAAGATTTATAAAAAAAAACGAAGCAATTCGCAGACAACACAGAAATAGCTCTGATGTCCAGATAGTGCTATTATTTCAGTGTTTTTGATCATCACGTACGCGTTTGCCAGTCAAAAACCACCACGGCCCTTGCCTTTCCTAATCGTACCTGTAGCACCTAAGATTCCAACTTTCTTGACAACCATGATTAGCGTATTCAACAAACGATCGTTTGGTAAAAGAAGCGTTGATGTAGCCGGTACCTTCTTAAAATACACTTTTGGTGGTGGAGATCAGACGCATCATTTTTTTCCATCATTGGGTCTGGCCACACAATTGAGGCATCGGACCGAGTGAATAAGACGGGGAGTTCAGAGATTAGATGAGCTGTATTCGCAAATAGTGAGAGGATGGTGCAAGAAGAAAGGCCGAGTGGGTCCGCGATGGTTTGAACGATACGTCCATTATGATCAGTAGAAAGGATTGCGTGAACAGGTTTAGATCGGTGTTCACCAATAAAAAGTATTATCACATTACAGTCTTGTAAAGTGTCCAGATGAATTAATGCCTTGTCCAAATATGTCCGGTGTTCCTGAACAGAATGACCAATTGTTGTATTTAAAATGGTATCACAGAATTAGTTTGGCAATAGGAAAATAGAGCACAGTGATAACCTGAGGTGAGGGGGTAAAAGTTTGTGGATAGATAACAGTAATAAAGGAATTGTAAATGAATAAGCCGCGAAGATTGATTATGTTGTAGCATTATGCAGAAATGATTGGAATATAATAAAGCACCCGATGGTGAGAGTGAAAGAATCAGTACGGGAAATTAAAGCAAAGGATTCATGATAAAAATCCAGGTATTAGCGACATGTCAGATAAATATGAACTGACTAATCGTCGTCCGTCCTCTCAGTCATTTCTGTGCCATCGTCACTATATACAACGGAATGTCTTTCAAAATCTTGAGCATGTGCTCCACTGATGGTTTTGTCACGTTGATCATGCACTTTGGGCCGAATAAGATCCGGAAGTTGAGTATCCCTCGCTGCACGAAAGTTCTCCTAAAACAAAAATTAGCAACTGCAGCAATGGCAACGAGATGGCTTACCCGATTGTATATCTCTTCATTCTCCAAACGGAAGAGATTCCAAACGGAACGCCGTATAACCTCAGCAAAACACATGAAAAAACTGACGTTGGAAGAATGTTGGATGTGGCCAGGGAAAATGCCATAAAAGATGAATGCACAGCGGATGATAGCATTGAAAATCATGGCTATGATGTAAATGATCAACCCGCCATAAACCCTATTCGGACGGAAACCCCATTTTCGATTCTTGCGTTGAATAAGGGACCAATCCATGACAACATCCCATATGTAGGAGTATATAGCGTTCAGAGCAGCAAATACTAGATATGTAATGTAGTAACGTCTCGACGAGAAACGGCGCCACAAGCTGAGAAAAACTTGTGATAGCATGCCAAAAGTGTATTTGAGCATGTTTGCCAAGTGTGGAAAACTCTGCGCAGTGTCTGCAAAACGGCGAATGCATTGCAGGAAACGGAAGATATATGGTAATGTGGTGAAGAAGCCCATCAAGGGCGAATGTGATGAGTTACATGAAGCAGGGTCATTCCATTTTTTTGCATACAAGCAAAAGAACAAGGCAATATTTCCGCTTGCATATGCCAAACTCACTAACTGATCAGCGAAGAAGAAGTCGACAAAGCAAACACTGAACAAGCCAGAAAGCAGAATACGAAACAAGCTGCGATAACAAAACAGACGCGTGCTTCCAAAAAAACGACGAATCGGCAACAGCGAAAGAATGAACACGATGCCTAAGAAAAGTACCGGAAAGTAGATGGTGAAGCCGGGAAAGAAATTGCGCAAAGATAGCCAAAAGAATAAGGAGAAAAGAAAGAAGAGCACGCTGACAAGCTCTAGGTATTCATGCCAATCGAGTGTTTTTCGCATGTTAAATTCGAAAATAAGAACATAGTTAATGCGCTTCGTCTGCCAAATAAAACAATTGACGCAAAAACACAAGAAGCCAAAAATTAACAGGAAGAAGCCACCCCAGATTTGCAACAAGTACGCCTCTCTCTCGTTTGATTGATAATAGCACAAACCCTCTATCGACAGCACCACGCCCGCACCCAACAGTATGCCGGCACGCATACTAATTGAGGAATACGACCTTTGAAGTCGGACCGAACGTAATCTGTCCGCAGCCTTCTTCAGGTCATTGTGGGTAAATAGACGCGCATAAAGCGCCGTTGTGGCACGCTGTAAACTCTCAACATGCGAATTGTCAGCAAACGCCTGTTGATCTACATTTTTGCGCATAATTGGTTCCTGAAGAAACGTGTCAAATGTTTTGTCATATTTCTTTAAAATCTTGCGAAATGCAGTGAGATTCAAAGTTTGGTATTGAGATACAAGACTGAGGAAATCATAGTAATCCGAAAGAGCCTAAGGACCATTAGTACATATGCACTGATCATTGACGTCGCCACGTCGAGACCTACCGATTTTAGCTTTTGGTGAAGCTTTTTCTGGCTCATTCGGGGAGAGTATGCATCACTGGGAATATCTGTTTGACGAGTTGCAAATCTTGGAAGCTTTTGTAAATGCACACGTTGTGTTAGCCTGCGAAGCAATCGCTTCCAGGGAGGCTCTACACGTCTTAAAAGTACCACATTCTCTGACTTCTGAAAATCGCCGTGCTTTCGCATGAGATCGAGTTTCGAGTAGACATCAGCCTGGTCAATGATAAGTTCACGCCGTTCCTCGGCATCACGTATAAGAGACTCATAAAAGGACTCAACCTTGGCTATTTGGTTACGAAGAAAGTCCGAAAAGGCTGGATGTAACTGATACAATTCGTCGTCGACTAAAAAGTCAGTAACATATGTAGGCGAGAGCGTAAACAAACCTTGATGACTGACAATCGTTAGTCGTGTATTATTAAACAGGCATAATCACTTACGGGGCCGAGAGACGTAAACCCTGTTTAATGTCATTAACAAAATGGGGATTTGACTGGAGATTTGTAATTATTTTTTTCCCCTTTTTATAAGATACGTAGACGTCTTTCCATTCTTTAATTAAGACGGGTTACTGAACTGTTCACAGACAAGTTTACAACCAATTCTTCTCTCGCGTACCTGGTACGAGTTCGTGCTCAATATACCTAGTTTCAAAAAATTAGCAATTCAGTTCACAAAGTCGAAAAACAGTCAACCTACTTTCCAAACTTCATACTTCACGTAGCTACGCGTTCTCGTCTGAGAGTATGCGAAAGCAAGCAGCACAATTGTTCTGTTGGCGGTATATTAAGCGGCGCAGAACGTGACGTTTATATTCGCTTTCTGCGATTTAAGGTTAGCGAATCACACTACGTCGCGTTAAACGAAATTACACGTCTAGACGCGTAAAAAAGACAAAAACCGAGGTTTCATTGCGAGTTCTTTGAACCAACCAGCCAATCGTTTGAAATACGTCTTCAGCAAACGTGAACATCTGTAGAATTCGGAGGCGTTAGTAAGACGCGAATGACGCGCAGGACGGGTCCATTTAAGAAGGCCAATCCTATGCGTCCTAGCGGTTCTGATCTTCACTCCTGGTGGTCGCGTCGAGTTCGCATACTATCAGCGAAAAAGTGCGACTGGGGGTGTCGCTTAGACGCAGCTGTTAGCGATTCGACAAGGAATAAAGTGCGAATCCGTGAAGAACAGATGTGCGCGTTCGCAGTTTAGGTGCAACTGGAAAAGGTGGGTTCGTTGAAACTTGAACCCGACTCTCTTCTGTTCACTCTACACTATTCGGTTATACCACTCGACTAAACACCATGAAAGTTTGCATAAGGTTCCATATTCCGGTGACCCATCGCTAGACCAATACAAAGCCGAACAAAAAAGTAAATCAATTAAAAATTTTCTGTCTGTTTGTCATATATTGCGCATCTTCTGCATCGTATAGCTGGAATTAAGAATTAAACAAAAAACGAAAAAAATAATTAAAAAAATTATGCAAGCCATTAGCATGGTTCCTAATCTCACAGGAACCAAAGAGAGCCGAAGTATGCAGCGTAGCCATTACCAGAAACCGTCCCAAAGGGATTGTAGTCATTTGTCGTAATTGAAAGTTCAATGGGTTTAGCGGGTGTTTGTCCAAAAGTAGCAAAGCAATAGTCGAGTGCTCATCATTGTAGTCGCATCTACGATGCTGATTCAAAATATGCATATGCGAAATATTAAAGCGTGATTAGTTTTGTTTAGTGTCTGACAATTGCACAGGCTTAGAAAACTCAAACACATCATACCCGCGATCCTTGACCAGCTGTGCGAATTTAGCGTCCTCGTCTTGAATACAGGACTGTTGAACCTTAGGTACGAGGAACAGCGCTAAAATAGCGACACCAAGCGACATGCCGCTAGCGATGAAGAAGTAGGTACGGACAGCATTTCCGCCAAACGCATAAACACCCGCTGCAGCACCACACTTTCCGATAGCGGCTGCAATTCCATAGTAAAGACCCCGGAAGGCGGCCGGACACGTTTTTGATGCGAGAACACCAACATTGTTACCGGGTCCAAACTCGCCAAGCGTCAGAAACAGTCCATAAAGAACACAGAATCCAGCAAGGTGTTTAACGAGACTGGGAAAGAAGCCGGACAGCAAGAAACCAACAACACTTTGAAGCACAAGACCCGTAATCAGACAATACTTGGGTCCAAGGAAATCGGAACCAAAGGCACCGAAAATAGTGCCCGGGAGATTAAAACTGCTAATTAATGTTGACCAACCAAATGTCTGTGCCATCGTAGCGTTACTCGGTAGCACACGAGCAATGATGGTGCTAGAGTAAAGAGCAAATGCGTACGCCGACATGTCGTACACGAACCAAATTAATGAAACGACGAGCAAACGTGGTCCATACCGCCGAATTACGAAAAACCATGGGACCTTTGTAAATTGCAGACGGTTTTTTGTATACGAATGAGAATCTTTCAGGCGAAGCCGATAATAAAGCAAGATAATGGGGACAATGACACCCAACCCGATGGAAAGTCTCCAAACAACGCGCAAATGCTGATCACCAAAGATGAGGCAAAGGATGAAGGGAACCAGCGCACCGAGCACAAAGCCAACATCAATTGCTGTATTTGTGACTGCAATAAACACTGCATGACGATGCCCACTTTTCATTTCAGCAGAAGACTCAGAAGCGGCTACAGAGCCACACGGAGACTCTGCTCCTATGCCGACACCCAAGAAGAACCGGAATACCATGAGAACGGTGATCATTCCGCTGATGCTTCCATGAGGACCATATGCACCGGCACACAAGGCAGTGGAAACAATGAGAATGACAGTAGCAATCAACATGCCGTACTTACGTCCGATCCTGTCAGAAACGAAACCGAAAGACAGCTGGCCGACAATGACGCCGACAAACGAAATCATACCAACCTTTTGAAGTGCATGTGAATGTTCGGTTTCTTTAGGATACAGTTTGCGCAAAATGGTGATCACTGAACCGATTGTATTTGCACAATATCCATCAGAAATGAGTGCAACTCCACAAACAAGTGCAACGAGAAACTTGTGAAGCTCAGAATCAGGAGGCCCTTGATCTTCATCAACTTCTTCCGGATTAGCAATGACCTGTTCCTGAATTTCCTCAGTGATTTTTGTTCCCTCAGCATGTTTCAGCGATTCATTTGATGTGTATGTTCGTATACCGCTTTCGCTTTCATTTTTTGGAACGGCTGAGATATTGTCCATCGTTAGTAAGATGGAAGAAAAGTGAAGACGACGAAGACGATTTTAGAGTGACAGTCTTGCTTGGATCACCTGTTAAAAACCCTCAAAACTGTGTTCTCAGTAAACTTGCTGTCCACGCGTTTCTTAAATACCAATTGCGTCTAAAACCGGGTTCTGCAGCGCGTTGACGCAGTCTTCGATTACTTAAACTACGTAAATCAAGAGACTTCGATACCTTAAAAAGCTCTAGGTAAATGCTAGTGTAAACAAATCCAGTTTTGTACTACACCGTATCTAGAATTTTAACTGCGCAACAAGGTTGAGCAATACAAACCTTAAACAGCCAAATCAAAGTCAAAGTTAGCACGAGCCAGGTACAGGCGAAATGCTTGTTTAAGTAATCAATCGCAGTAAGAGCCATTTCTTCACAAACCGTGGAAATCCCTTAAACTGATTTACTTCGCCTGATCCCAACACAAGCGAGGCGCTCATTATGAGCGAAAATCGAAGAAAACAAAAGAGCGCTCAGATGCATATCGTAGTATTGTGAAATAAAGGATCATTTTTTGAGTCGCGATTTTAATAATTTAGTTTCATATAAAATCCGCTTGCAGAACTAAGAGATAGTTGAAACGTCTCAGCGTAATATTCGAACTCACTACTTTTTCGTTTCTCCAAAAAGTAATTAATCCGATCTAAGCTAAGCAAAACTAGCTCGTTTATGAATGGCTGCACTTGACGGTGATTGGCTAAAAAAAGTTCACATCGAATGTCTAGCGGAGAATATAGGCATTGCGATTGAAATGTTGACTTAGAGAAGAATAACTCATATGTCGTATAAATACTGTTCTAGCCATTACTACTAAATAAGGATCTTCTTAGGATTAGATTCTCCGTATTTCCTGCTTGTTTTGGTGTAGCTCCTGTGGTGTAGTGTTGTTGTTCGCTTAAAAAAAGCTTAAAACCTTAATAATTAGCAGGATGAACGAAACAAATAGTTAAGGAAAGGAAGCGTCAAAGAAACCTAAGGATAGAAGATTAACGGTGTTTCATCTCTCTACCATTGCGATTTATAAGAGATTGACACTGTCCTATTGGCTTGCAGCGGGGACAGAACGTGGAGCTGTTCCTTTCTTCGTGAAATATTAAGCTATCGAGTAAAGAGGGAATCCATTGACTAGTTTTGTGTCTTTAAATGTTAAATACACGGTTATGTTCAATCTCATGAAAAAATCTTTGTAAGGACTCTTTATTTCCTTTTTCTCTTTCGCTGACTATTGAGTACTGTTCGAAAAACCGAAAGCCTTAATTTTTACTACTATTTTGATTAAAATATACTTTTTTTACGCATCATATGTTCTCACATGCATGCCTATTCTAAGTTAATATACAGCTGTCGTGGTCAACTGTCGCGGTTTGGACCAAGAAGGCTTTTATCGTACACGAGAGTAAATAGGAATTCACAGTATGAAGTACGTTTTCTTGTTATGAAACACGGAGCTAACTGAAGAAAGTACTCGTTTTGTGATAAACGACGTGTAAGACTAAAAGCTGGAAACGGTGGTCAAGGATGTGCTTCTTTTCACAGGGAGAAATACGTTCCATACGGTCCGCCAGATGGCGGCAATGGGGGCGATGGAGGAGACATATATGTCGTTGCCTCGTTTCAACATGATTCACTCTCTTCAATTAACAGTGCGTACCAGGCCAAAAATGGACAAAATGGAAAAGGTGATAATCGACATGGAAAGGCTGGAAAATCAGTTCTTCTCAGAGTACCTGTGGGAACAGTAATGCGTGAAATACAGTTCTCTCAAAAAGAGTCTGAGCCAGAGTCGTTACAGTGGGTGCTCTATCCAACCCTGCAAGCAGAAGATGTCGAACATTCTAGCTTTTTTCAGAAAGCAAAGGCCCGTGCAAAAGGTCTCGTACCATTACGAAAAACGAAAACAACAGACACTCCGCTCTGTATCGATTTTGATAAGGAATCAACCAAACCTCAGCTAGTATGCAAAGGTGGGAAAGGTGGTCTTGGAAACATTTACTTTCTTTCTGAAGAAAACTGGTCTCCCAAGTTTGCTACCAAGGGTCTTCGTGGGGAGGAAAAAGTGTTCGAGCTGGAGCTTAAGACGATATGTGATATAGGGCTTGTTGGCATGCCTAATGCTGGGAAAAGTACGCTACTGAACACACTCACCGAGGCCAAATCTCCAATTGGAAATTGGGAGTTCACGACTTTAAAACCCCATTTGGGAACATTACGTTACTTTGATCATGACCTGAACACTTCTCAGAAACTTCAGATCGCAGATCTCCCCGGGCTTATAGAAGGAGCTAGTAAGGGAAAGGGCTTGGGGCTCAACTTTTTGCGACATGTGGAACGTTCGCGAGCGTTGTGCATGCTGATTGACATTTCCCCAATGGCTAGAGTGACCGGGGAAACCGCGTTTGAGTTGCTGTGGAAAGAACTGTGTACTTACAATGCACAGCTCGTTCACCGACCCGTGCTTGTCTTAGCCAACAAAGCGGACATAGCGGAAGAAGACGCATTCTACCGATTACTGCACATGGTTCAAAAGCATCGCCCTGACGCACAAACGATTCCCATCAGCGCACTTCAAAGACACAACACGGAACAGGTAATACGAGGCATGGTAAGATTAATGGCACTGTCCAAAAAGAAGTGATGATTGGTATTTTGCTTATGATGGATTTATTTTGTGTGCTTCGATAGCATGTAGTAAGCCGGAACGGGTTGCTTTTGCTTGTTCTCGAAATCGGTTGATTCCGTATTGAATCACTTTGCGACCGAAACCAAACCGAATAGGGGAAATGAACTTACCCAAAACCGCCATAGTTGTCCACGAGCATCCCTTCAATGATGAGTATTTCGTGTACTCTATAACGGTCATAACTTTTTTGTGGTCAATGTTGGCGGTTTTGCAAAGGATCAATTGCTGTTTAGGGTCAACAATTGACCGTTCAAGAATGTGTGTTTTGGAAACGTTTAGGTATTTCTGTGCCCATTTAGGAATTCGACCCGTTTTGACAAGCAGCGCTCGGTGTACAGACGTCCCTTGTCGTCAACGTATCGCTCGATAATGTCAGAGGACAGTACATGTGCACTGTTTGGGCTAGGTGATGGAGAGTATTAGTATCGCTAACAAATGCAATGATCCTTACTTTGGGTACCGATTGAGCCAGCCGAGAGAGACGTCATCCCATGGATGTTCCAATTTTGTCGAGTAAGCAAACTGGTCCATCAAGAAACGTTTTTTTGTGTCACAATTGTAAAATAAAAAAAATGCTTAGCCAAAAAAGAAGAATAGAATCGCTGAGTGCAAAATAAAAACAGAAGCGACGAGAAAAGTAACAGCAAAGAAGGGGGGAAAAAAAGATAAAATGTAAAACTGAAGAAAAAAGAACCAAACGAAATAAAACGATAAAAGCTTCTTGGACTAATTGATTTTGTAAAAACTTGAAACCTGGTTTGCTAATCCTTATAAAAACATGAACCTTAGTGACCGTTGTGGGATACAGATGTTCGCAGACAAATTCATCTACTGATCATTCACAAATGTTGCTCTGTCAAACGGTGCTCACATTTTCTGATACCTGTGTTGACATCGCGTATCCAAATTAAGCTTTTTTAGACTACCGAGCGTAATAGTGATATTTGTTGTAGTTCATTATAGAGCATACCGAGGGCTTGCGTGCTGTAACGCTGTTGCTGGCGCTTCCTCACCACAGGTCGAAACCTCCCGTCCTAGACTTTCACGCTACCCCAGACGTGCTAAAAGATTCTATAAATCGCGATTGTTTGCAGTTTCTTGCGTCTGAAGCAATATGCAAACGGATAATGTACTGCCTCTAAATTTTTAGGCCTGAATTACGGCTACTAACACGACAATGCAGCAAGTGAACGACCTATACCCGATAGCAGTTTTAATAGACGAGTTAAAGGTTTGTGGTTCAGAGAACGAACGAGACGAGAAAGAATGTTATTTTAACGTTAACTCTACAGCATGACGATGTCTCGTACCGTTTGAACGCCTTAAAACGCATATCCACAATTGCACTTGCTCTGGGACCAGAGCGTACGAGAGATGAATTAATTCCATTCTTGGATGGTATGTCGTGGTTTTCTCGTTTTCTATTCGATGAATAGCTTTTGGTTCTTTTTTCTTACACGTTACTCGTTTATTAGAATCCATCGATGATGAAGACGAAGTGCTGTCGGCTTTAGCGTCTCAGCTTGGGGACTTTGTCGAATATGTTGGTGGTCCTGAATACGCACATGTCCTTCTGTCTATTTTGGAAAACCTGGCTGCTATGGAGGAACCACTTGTTCGAGACGCAGCAGTAGAATCATTGAACAAAATCTGTCAAGTCCTTTCTCAAGAACAACTCGTGGAGTACTTTGTTCCTCTGGTTCAGCGTTTATCAACCGCCGAGTGGTTTACTTCACGCGCTTCGTCGACTGCCTTGTACTGTGCCGCGTACGAAAGATCCACGAACCCTGCCGTGCGTGTTTCTCTGAGACAGAATTTTGGTCATTTGTGTCACGATGAAGCACCTATGGTTCGTCGTCCCGCAGCTACGAACTGTGCCAAGTTTGTTCTTTTAATGACAAAGGAAGAAGCCATCAGCGAGTTTATACCTCTTTTCAATTCCCTTTCTTCTGATGACCAGGATTCCGTTCGTCTGCTGTCTTTTGATGTCATGATTTCATTAGCAAAAGTTCTTCAAGAGGAATCTGACATCCGTCAGTACCTTCTCCAACCCCTGCGTTCATTTGTATCCGACAGCAGCTGGCGTACACGTTATATGGTAGCAGACAACTTTATTCGGTTGGCGGAGGTCGTTGGCATCAACATCATTAACGACGAACTGAAAAAACCATTCATTATGTTGATGAAGGATACAGAGCAAGAAGTTCGTCGCGCCATTTCCGGACAAATTCCCGGCTTCTGTGCTTTGATAGACAAAAAGGCTGTCCTTGATGATGTACTTCCTGTTCTGCAAGACCTGGTGAATGACCCGGCCCAACACGTTCGTGCTGCACTGGGTACCAATATTGGTGCTTTGGCACCAATTCTTGGTAAAGAGGAGTAAGTACATAATGGAGCGTGATCAACGCAACGTGTTGGCTGAGCCTTTGATCTAACACTCTTTTAGTACGATTGAGCATTTGCTGCCTTTGTTTTTGGACCTGTTGAAAGACGAATTCCCTGAAGTCCGCCTCAATGTCATATCCAAACTGGAGCTTGTGAATCAAGGTAAGCCGAATATTGGACTATTAGCACCGGCTAACGTAGCAGTTGTTGGCATTGATCTCCTTTCTCAATCATTATTGCCCGCCATTGTTACTCTGGCTGAGGACAAGCAATGGCGCATTCGTTTGGCGATAATCGAGTACATTCCTCTTCTTGCACGTCAGCTCGGCGTTGACTTTTTCAACGAGAAAATGGGTAACTTGTGCATGTCGTGGTTGGGCGACCATGTGTACGCAATTCGCGAGGCAGCCATCGATAATCTTCGTAAACTGGCCGAGTTCTTTGGTATTGAATGGGCCACGAAAACGATCATTCCTAAAATCCTCGCTATGAGCAGTCATCCCAATTATCTTTATCGCATGACAACCATATTTGCGATCTGTGTAAGTAGTCCATGTTTTGCTTCCTGTTTCCGTCAACTAACATCTCCTCGTTCAGTCTCTTGCCCCTGTTATGAATGCCGCCGTTATCCAGGAGCAAATTTTGCCTGTGTTGAATCAAATGGCCAATGATCCTATCCCCAACGTTCGCTTTAATGTCGCCAAAGCATATGCTGTCCTTTCTCCTGTCCTTAAATCTACTGGAGGTGAGAGTGCCATTGAATCTCAAATCGCCCCCATCCTACAAGTCCTTGCAAAGGATCAAGATGCTGATGTTAGATTCTTCGCAGAAAAAAGTATTAAGGATATTTGTGCTTAATACTCTTCGAGCCCACATGGATAGCTTTTTGACTCTCACGAATGTGTACGCGCACGCTTCTTCGTGCTGTGCCGCCTCAGTCTTTGAGCCAAGTTTACCAGTGTTTTTGTTAGCTAGCACAGGTGCATGTACCGTGCTTACATTCAATCGTGTCTTGGCTGCGGGCACACACACTGTGTTTTAGAACGGCTCTTCAGCCGAAACCTCGCCTCGCATGGCAAAAAATTGTGCATTGTTGAAAGATTACGCTCTGCTGGGGAAGTTACTTAAGGTTTGGGGCTCACCAATAACGTAGTTATGGACTTAATGTTGAGAATGTTATAAAACTACGAAAAAGGAAGGAAAATGTGTTTTATATTTGCGTGTATTCAGCGACAGAACCGAGCCATAGACTCGTTTACGCACACACTTTATAGAGCGAACCAGCTGTTGCACTTATGAACACGAAAGTGTGCGACATCAGAATGTCCATGTGTATGCTGGTACGTTGCGTGTTGGCAATTGCTGCTAGGGTATATGGAAATGTGCAGCTCTGTAGACTGTCTTGAAGAAGCGAAAATCATCAAGGGTAGACATGTAAGATATCGTTAGGTCTAGTTCGCCAGAATCATTTGGACAAACTCTGATACAAGCGTTAACGTTAGCAAGCATTAACGACGAGAGATTTCACACTGTTGAAGCGGGCATACCGTGGTAGTTGATCATTCCATCTTTGACAGGGATACCCTTGAGCAGTTCGTCCATTTCCTCATTGCTCAACTTTTCACCAAGAGAAGTAAGGACTGTGCAGTTTGCTCTATTAGCTGCAAAATTCCACGGTACAAGGATAAGTTCCTCGAGTCTAGCGCACGAAGACACAACAAACCCAAACACACATACCATAACGAAGTTCACCAACACCGATCATTCCGGAACCGTCTTTGTCAAATACTTGGAAGCCCTTGACGAACTCTTCCGGGTCGCCGGGCATGTCAAAGCCGTGAGGACGGTTCAAAACGTTCAAGAACTCGTCCATATTGACTATAGCATCCAGTTAGCAGAATTGCTTCTCAAAATCGCGTTTTTTTCGCGTGTACCTTCTGCAGGGAGAGTAGACTCAATCTCTGCAATTTCTGCCAAAGTGGGGTTTTGTCCACAGGCGCGCAGCAAGTCGCCAATTGAACTTTTAGGAATAAGGCCCGTTCCATGACGGTCGAAAAGAGAGAATGCTACATCGAGTTTGTTAATTGCCGTACAGAAAAAATAGCATCCATTAGACGCGTACCTTGCTTGTAGGGAGATTCCTCAGAGGACATGTTGACGTTTCGTTCTTGCAGAGGGTAAGTCGTGAAATGCTGGCAGCAAGGGAAAGCGCAGTGAACTGGAAGGAGACATAAGGAACTCTAGTGGGAAATAGTGTGCTTTGATGAAGTTTTCACGTTAAATGGATTAACGAGTTGTACTATATGTGTTATTTGTTTTAATGTATTGCAACACAGAACACATACTTGCACTATTCTGTTTTACATTCTCTTTACACATCGTTACTTTCTTTTAACGCACGTCTACGCACGCCTACGCACGCTCAATGACTGCTTTGTCGATCAACCGATCCTATCGTAGATCATTTCATTCGAGAGAGATCTACTGGTGATCAGTGTATTTTTGGGCTGTGGATAGCGTCGATCATAAGTGAAGATCTTTACATACAGGGATTTCAGTAGTGGCCCATGGGAAGCGAGGCGTAAGTCCGAACGGTGCGGTTTGTGTACAGTGTCTGGCATTTGGCTTTGTACACTTGGAAAACTTATGCATGCTTTCCACATGAACTAATGAATCAGTAATTAATTTTCGTCTTTTGGTTAGTCTATAGCCGACTGGGAGCCAAACCCCGCAGCTGTTTCGCTGCATATTTCCTAGGCGCCTGGACTCGCCGGCTGCCAGCAGACGTATTGCACGTCATTTTCATTGGTTGACATAATTTTCGGCTGCGGGATTTTTGAACCAATGAAATCACGGCCTTGTCAAAAGTGTCAGAAGACAGGACTGCGCAGGGATGTGCGCGTCCAGTTTCCTTTGTCGATCATCGTCGACCAATCATAGACTAGTTAAATTAGTCGTCGCACCTCGTCATTTTTCCGTTATATAAGTGGACGTTCTCCTCCCTCCTTCTACCAACAACATCAAATAAGCTCCAGTACAAGTGTCCCTGAAAGTCGCGCGCGCATTTTGAGCAGCGTCAGTCTGAATATCAACAGTTTTATAGCTTACTGCCGTAACCTTCCTTTTGTCGACCCTTCCAATGACTCGTTTCTTTGTTTTGACCAAGACGTACCGTCAATTTTGGGAGACACCTTCCTTCTCTTCACCGAAGCAACAACAGTCGTTCTCCCCCAACGATGACTCGTCTCCTGAGGACTTTCTCAGAATTGATGGTGTCTTTCAGAAGCTAATGAACTGCTGCAAATCACATCCTAAGGGACCTATAGTGAAAACATGTTAATACCTTGTCCTTAATACTCTTCTCTTTCACTCCGTCTCTCTCTCTCTCTCTCACACTTTCTCTCTGTGTGTGTTTCTCTCTTACGCACACATCCTTTTTCATGATCTCATTATTTTTACTATTATTGGCTTGATCTGTTGTGTTTCCTCAGCTTTTTGAGCTTAAGCACTGTATTGTTCTCTGGTTTTTAATTTCTCATCGCTTTTTAAGAGAGTTTATTGATGATTGTACTAGTCTTAACGTCGGAATTGGCTTCGTGATCCTTTAATTTGTTCCGTTATATGTGTTTTTTGCTTCATTGATATTATTATTATTAACTACTATGGATGATGTGTGTCGAAGGCGTATAGAGTGTTGAATGGGTTGTGAGGGGTTTATTACGGAGGAGAAGCTGCACGAGATAGGGTCAGCTGTGGATGAGTTGAAGTTGAAGCTTTATGCTTTCGTTGTGTTGGTATTATTTTTTTGGAATTTTTTATTTTTTAGTTTTTATATCTTTTGTACTTTGTATTTTTTATTTTATATTTTTTGTTCAATTTTTATTTAATTTTTATTTTTATAATTATAATTATTTTATTAATTTTTTTCGCTATTGTGCTTTCATAATAATAATAAAAAAATCCGTTAACAGATTTCACCGATTTCCACAAGTCCTCACAACTCTCTACAGCCCTCCGCATTACCTTATTTTCCTTAAAGGGTCTTTATAGGCCTACACGACTTTCTTTTCAAAATTATCTCATTTGTCATTGGTTGCTTATATCAAGTAACACAGTAGAACTTACTTTCTCGTTTTCTTCCTAATTCGTGAAACAATTCACCGTTTTTTTGTCAAATAACGGCTGTAGTATTAAAAAAAGACGTGAAGCTGAAGCTTTATAGAGTTTGTTTTGTTTTTTTTACGTGTAATTGAGACACACATTTCGAATGTCTAAATTAGCAAAGTTACTGAGCTCAAAGAAGGCGCAAAAGGCTGAAAATAATACACAACAAAATGAAGAGAGTAAAAACGTCATCAATTCTTTGACAAAATCGCTAGAAACAAGTTCTATATCCGGCTCTTCTTCAAATACACAAGCACAAACGCAGACACGTGCACCGGCCGTGCCCTCAAAACGTATGTAACTCACACGATTGCCGGCTCTTCTGGTGAGGATGTTGTCTCTTCTAACCATATTTACCATAGTCATGTCGAAGTTATCCCAGTTACAAAAACGTAAACAACAGGAACAACAGGAAAAACATGCTTCTTTAGCATCTGAAACGAAAAATTCACAGTCGAATTCTAAGGTGAATGACACTGCAAATCTGTTTAGTCAATTTCGAAAGCGAAGACTCAATTCGCAACCTACAACACCCATAATTGACTCCAAGTCAAGCTTGAACACTGAGCCCGTTCCCAAAGCAACCCCTCTTAGCCCTATTCCACATAATACTCCATCTCCACCTGATCGTCATAACTCCCAATGCTCTACTTCGTGTTATGACCATTCTATTCAAACACCCGATGCCTCCATGTACATGTCTCCCCCTTCTTCTTTTGCAAAATGTCTCTGTTTTGATATCCACAAGCCTCCAAAGGACAACATCGTTATTCCCTACAGCCGTAGTGCGCTTCTGGGCTTTCATGCACCTAGTCCAGACGACATTGTTCTTGCCGCACAATCTAAATCAAAAGGTATGTGTGCCCACTCTCATGCAAAGATTGCAATTACTAACAGCAAGTAGCGTTTCAGAAAACCGCCAATAAAGCTGCTGTTGGAGGTGCTGCTCAAAAACCAAAGGAAGATGTGAAACTCTCCATTGAAGAAATTACTAGACACGCTAAACCTGTGATCCATATTGGCATATTTGGTGATGTCGGCGCTGGTAAAAAGTCACTTTTGTCACGGTTCCTCTATCAGATCGGTGGTTTAGATACGAAACATGCCCAAAAGTGCCGCCTCTTGAATTCAAGACAGTGTACGATGGAGAGTATTTTGTCCCAATCAAACGATTGGTACAATTTTGAAACATTTGCGAGCTCTTGCAGCACAACTCTCCTTTCCTATTCCGAACTTGACCTCAATGCATGTTCTCGGCGACTGTTTCCCTTGGACATGGGAGTTTTTGTATTGCGACCGCATCCTACGGACACAGAGCTACAGCACATATGTGAAGTTGTGCGCGTTCTTGACGTTCTTCAAATACGTCTTTTCGTGTTCATAATCACCGGCATGGACATCGTTGATTGGAGTGAGTCGGCATTCACAGAAACTTGCCAGCTACTACAGCAGGCGATTCAAAAACAATGTAAGCAAAGTATTCCTGCAACACAATTTGTTCCCACGAGCGCCTTGAATGGTGAAAACCTTACTTCATTGTCACAAGGAAAACTTCGCAAATGGTATCGTTCAGGAACTGTCTTGAGTGTTTTGGACGAACTTTGTGAAAGTCTGGCTCCACAAAAGAAGGCACTGAATAAAGAGCCGTTGCGTGCTAGCCTGGAAAGCATTCAACTGGAAAAAACGGGTGAGTCCATCGGTGAAGTGAATGCAACGGCGTTGATACATTCCGGTATCCTTCAACAAGACATGCCATTTTATCTTGGTGCCGGAAAACTGGCGTGCACTGTAACCACAACGCATTCCATAACCAATTCGTCACACGCATTTGGAGTCTCAGGCGAACGAGTTCGTCTCTCGTTTACGCTTTCATCAAATTGCCCGCCGGTCGGATCATTCATAAGCGGTGACTACGCGGTTACACACTCTTCTAGGGTTCTGTACTTCCAAGGAATAGCCCTGCAACCATGGATGAGTATGGATGTCCATACAATGGATCTCTTCGTGTGTGGTTATCATTGCAAAGCCCGGTTATCAATCATGTCTACCGAGCGAGAGTCTACCCAGCAGGAAGACGGCCCATTAGAGCTCTTTAAGGCAGAAATACTTGACCAACCCATTGTTGCATGTACGTCCTCGACACTGTTATCCATGTCTCGTATCATAGCTGGCAACGTGGACGATCATACCGTGAACGTTATTGGCTTCATAACATCCATGCTATAAAAGATGCAGTACACATCATTGCACGAGTCATGTTCATACAAGCTTACAACAGTCTATGTTCAACTGCCTAACCGTCGTCTCTTTCTACCCACACTCTCGTCCACTCACATTTCCTTCGTTTCAGCCAGTGAATTAGTGTATCTCAATAAAACGCGCTAAACAAATTTACGTGTAATACTGTAAAACCATATATCCAATAACGACTCTTACTACAGTTCCATAAACCCATACTGAGATGTAACGTTTCGCCGCACTAACTGGACTTATCGCCACACAGCACCACGCACCATTATACACAAGCACGCGTTAGACCTCATTATTTCCTGCCACCGTGGTTTGGAAAATAAAGCAGAGCTCTTGCCTACGAGAGACACAAAACAAAAAATGGCAAGTCATTTGGCTAACATTTACGGTACGGAGCAGGACAAAGTCAACTGCTCCTTCTACTACAAAATTGGTGCATGCCGTCACGGTGAACGGTGCTCGAGAAAACACGTAAAACCCAATTACAGTCAAACTGTGCTGTGTCCAAATTTGTACAAGAACCCCATTCACGAGGATTCAGGCAAGCACATGAGTCAAGCAGAGCTAGACGAACAATTTGACGCGTTTTATGAAGACATGTTTTGCGAATTCGCGAAATACGGCGAAGTTGAACAAATCGTTGTGTGCGATAACATTGGTGATCGTAAGTAGTTGATGAAAAAAAGGGCTTTACTCCCTTGTTGAAATTGTTTTAAGCATTATACTAACAAGCATAGACCTTATTGGAAACGTTTACGTTCGCTTCAAGTATGAAGAGTCGGCTCAGAATGCAATAGACGATCTAAACTCACGTTGGTATTCACAAAAACCCGTGTACGCCGAACTATCACCTGTAACAGACTTCCGTGAAGCATGCTGTCGTCAACACGAGACCTCAGAGTGTGGACGAGGCGGTCTTTGCAATTTCATGCATGCCAAGAAACCAAGTCCGCACTTAATTCGAGAACTAATGGCTGCTCAACGTAAGTATCTTCTGTTGAAGGCTAAGGATGAAAAAGAGAAGAAAGAAAAGGCCAATGAACGGTCTTAAACAGTGAACTCACCAGTACACAATGAGCTTCCTGTGAATTTAACGAAGCTGTACTGTGGAAATACAGCTTCCAGCTGAACGCTCACAAACAAAACACACATCTTTCTTGTTAAGCATTTCGTTGTCCCCCCGGTTTTCCTGCGTCCGCTTCTCGGTCTCAGCTGATACACTTCTGAGACTGTTATTCCAAAACGTCTTTCCCTTACAGATTCAGCTTTACAGCGACACACACACACCCACTAGAAGATGTCTCAATCCTTTCTTCTAAAACATTTTTTGCATGCTGTTTCTATGAACCAAAACTACGAAAAATAACTCAAAATGCTTCTGTTTCCTACCAGAAGAAATATCAAGGGCAGCACCAGCCCTGTTTATCCCACAGGCTGCAACCGCCCTTTACAAAAAAGGACAAGACGAGAAGGGACACGCAAACAAACTTTTTTTTTTCTTCTCTCAGCAACGCAATACACACACATGCGCCATGAAAGTGTGCCAGGTATGGTAAATAGTAACTGTTCATGTGCATATGTACACAGACACACCATCATACTTTCTATACGACCACAAAAGTAGTTTAAGCACGGCCGGCACGACGAGCACGGACAGCAGCAGCGAGCTCCTCAAGCATAGGAGCAGTTTGCTCCCAGCTGACGCAAGCATCAGTGATACTGACACCATACTTAAGAGTCTCCTTGACACCGGGAGCGATCTTGGCGTTTTGACGACCCTCGTTGATGTGAGACTCAATCATCACACCCATAAGAGCCTCGTCACCGGCAGCAACTTGCTCGGCGATGGAATGGCAGACCTTGGGTTGGTTGCGGTGGTCCTTGCTGGAGTTACCGTGAGAGCAGTCAATCATGATGCGAGGGGTAATGTTGGCCTTCTCGAGGGCCTCGCGAACGGCAGCGACGTTCTTGGCGTCGTAGTTAGGACCGTGCTTACCACCGCGGAGAATGATGAAGGTATCCTTGTTACCGGCAGTCATGCAAATGGCAGCAATACCTTGCTTGTTGACACCAAGCATGGTGTGGGGATGAGCAGTGGCGCCAATGGCATCAATGGCAATACCGACAGAGCCGTCAGTGCTGTTCTTGAAACCGATGGGGAAGGAAAGAGCAGAGGCGAGCTCACGGTGGAGTTGAGACTCGGTGGTACGAGCACCAATGGCACCGAAACTCAACATGTCGCTGAAGAATTGGGGAGAAATGGTGTCGAGCATCTCACTGCCCAAAGGAACACCGAAGTTGGTAACGTCGCAGTACATCTTACGGGAAATACGAAGACCCTTGTTGATGGCGTAAGAACCGTCCAAGTCGGGGTCGTTGACAAGACCCTTCCAACCGACAGTGGTACGGGGCTTCTCGAGGTAGCAACGCATAATAATCACCAACTCGTTCTTCAACTCCTCAGCCTTGGGCTTGAGAAGCTTAGCATACTCCATAGCCAAAACAGGGTCGTGGATGGAGCAAGGACCGACAACGACGACCAAACGGTCATCCTTGCCGCCCAAAACAGCTTGGATATCACGGCGACCTTGTCTGACAACGTTGGCAGAAGCCTCAGAGACAGGAAGCTCTTGTTGAAGCAATGCGGGAGGAACCAAAGGATTGTAGCCCAGGATACGTTGGTCCTCAATAGATTCGGTGTTAATAGAACCGTTTGCTTGGAAAGCCTGCAAATGTTGTTAGTAATGTATCATTTTTGACAGCTGGATCTCGGAAATGAAAAACCAATGGACGAAACGAAAAAACAAACGTGAACCAGCAGCAACCATCACACTGGAACAAAACAGACGCGACGAAAATGAAACATCGCCGTCCGGACCCAAAAATAAGCCGTTCGAAGCGTGAATTTGCACATTTGACGCGGTTTTCACGCGACCTAATCATCCAAACATCGTTTACACGTCGTACTTGTAATTTTCAAACGACAACACAACAAAAAACACGCCGTATTTTCCCATTTTCGTCCATTTTTTCAACTTTTCGCGAGTTTGCAATCGTAGTCGGCAACGATTCATGAATCACTTACGGGAGACATTTTTATGACTTTTAGAAGGTTTATTCAAAAATTTAGGAAACAAAAAAGGAGTGCAATGCTTCAACAAAATTGCCCTCTGGTGTTGTGTCTGTCCTGGTATTTGGCTCTTGGAGCGTTGCAGTCCGTCGCAGCAAAGCTTTTAAAATCCCGAGCAGTCGAAGTGCAGATCTCGTCTGTGATACTATTACGCTCGGCAATAAGCGAACTGTCAACGCGTGTTACTCGACACGCAAATGTGATTGGTCGGAAACAATTAGTAACCGAAAGGCGGAGGAACGGAGCGAGGGTGAGAGAGTGGGGGAGTACTGGTGGAAAAAGAAACTTAATGCAGGTAATTAAACGTAAAAGAAAAATATTTTGTATGAATGTACGAGAAAAATAATTAACCACGTTGTTAATAAGGAATTGCTCGACATTTCTTTTCGCTAACAAAGTTTTGCGCATATTCGGCTACCGTTCGCTTAAGGTAAGTTCGTACAGTTGATTGGTGGCACTAAACGAATGAAAACACGTACCGATAAATGGAGCCTATCAACAACGAAAGGTGGGGTTGGTAAGAGGGCGCGGAGAAACAATCAAAGAGCGACTATAGCTTCCCAAAGACTCTGAGAGTTAAGTGGTGGACGGTGAAGAGATAGATTGTCCACGATAACTCACGTTACACTTCGTTATTCAGTTTTCAAAAACACACTAACCTACGTTAACGCAAACAACGATCACTTAGCCACATTGCGTTCGCCTTCACTATATGGATAATGATGTCACCGATCTGCAAGGGCCCTGGAATTAAGCATCAAGAAGCATCATAAACACGTAGTGAAGAAGCTATACAGCCGAGGCGTTCCTCCAATTAACGCAAACTTTATTCCGAATAAAATTGCTTCTACGTCATAGAGCGACGTAAGTGCCGCTGGCCGCTATGACGAAAAGCAAGCCAGAAAAGTTATAAAGAGCAGGTTGAAATTCGTCGAACAGCAGAACCAAATCTCTCGTGTACACACATAACCAATTCATAAGAACTCGAAAGTCTTAATAATTCAAAATGTCCGATCCCGAACGCAAGTCCTTTACTCAAAAAGCTAAGGAGTATGTCACTCCCGACTCCTCAAAGTCTACCCTCGACAAGGCTAAGGAGAAGGCTACCGGTGCTTACGACAATGTCATGTCCGCTTTCAAGAGCGACGAGCAGAAGGGCACCGCACAGGAGATGCAGGACAAATCGAAACGCATGGCCGACAACGCCAAGGACAAAATGAAGGATTAGATCCGCTTCAGCTGTGAACAGTGTTGATCTTCTCCGTCCCGTGAGCCTCCAATAATGTGTAACGAAATATGAAAATTTCTGGAAGTGACAGTCCTTAAATCTTAATAAATTAATTTTTTTTTTCTTTGCATACCGTAACAATCGTAACGATTTGAAGGGACGAAAAGTCAAGAAGTGGGTCAGGTATGGTTGTTTAGTTGAAAGGTGTGGATATGGTCGGTTATAGAAAGATGATGTTTTGCCAAGCACAGCTTTGTATTTAAGCAATGTGCTCAACATATCTCGCGTGAATAGCGCTTCAAGCACCGCTTGGTAAGACTGTCAGTTATATCTCTCGAAGAATCTGTAAACGCCGTTGAAAAATGGCATGCATTTTTAATCATTGAATGTTTGTGCTTCATCTCATTTCGTTGACCTTCAGGCTGCCTATTTTAGTAACGCGCCCCTTATATCGTCTAAATAATCATCAACATCACGAATCCTAACAGAAGAAATCCAACTTGAGTTAGCAAAAAGAGCAACTCGCAGAATTTCGAGCGACCAGCACTTTGGCTGTGAACAATCTCAGGCATAACACCGAGTGCCACAATGTAAAGGAAACTGCCGATACTGAAGGCAAGAAGGTTGTCTTCCAATGCCAAGAACCATGATCCAACCCCACTTTGCGACATGTTGTGAATCCAAATGCTGAACAACGCTCCAAGAATACCTCCCACCATTGTGAAAGACTGCACACCAAGAGCGTAACGCTTGGATGCGTTGTTCTGCAACAGAATGGCGAGATCACCAATCTCGGCTGGAGACTCGTGAAGCATAACAGTAAGCGTAATGGATGCACCAAGTGATTTGTCTGTAAGAAAAGAAGTACAAATTGCCATTCCGTCCAAAAAGTTGTGAAAAAAGTCGGTACCAATGCTCAAAAAAACGGCGACATTAGCGTTCGATGAACCCTTTTTCGATTCAACTCTTCCTTCTTCGCTAGATTCGCTAGAATGAGAGCTCATTGAAACGGGTCTGCTATCGCCGCTCATGGACACTTTGCGTTTCTTCATAGTTTGCTTTTCCTCCACGGCAGAAGAACTCACCAACTCTGAATGGCTTTCGCTCTTCATATGTCCGTGTGCATGCCCATGACCATGCCCATGACCATGGCCGTGTCCATGGTGGCCCTGGTTGGAACACAGACGCAAGAAACGATCCATAATGAAAAATACCATGAAGCCAGAGAGAATTCCTGTTGTGGCCCGAGTATGATCACCATTTGCATTGACGTACACTTCGGGCAGCAGGTGTGCAAATATGTCACCCAAAAGACTTCCGGCAGAGACACAAATTAGCAAGTTCAAAACCGTCTTACTTACCCGACCTCCCAAAAGTAAGACAAAAAGATAAGGAGGGACGGCGGTGTAAAGTGTTGCGAGTACGCCATTCCAACTAGCGCGGAACGGAAACAAAAAGTCTGTGATGCGAGTTTTCAGAGAATTCGGATGAAAAGAACCAGTAGCATGAGAATGGTTGTGTGTTGAATGCGACTTTTCAGCCTCTATTTCTTCAGCAGGTTCAGCAATGTGTATATCAGCAGAACCGTTCTCTTTCAATTCAGGTTTTGCGTGCTGCAATTCATGCATAACACTACGTTGACGACGCTGTGGTAACTCTTTCAATAACTCGCCCAGCACCTCACGTAGCTTTGTTTGATTGACATCTTTCAGCTTGTTCATATCCACATAATGATTCACCTCTGCAACATTTGCCGAAGATTCTGGTGATTCTGCTAGAACGCCAACCAGGCTACTTGCAACAGCAAGGGCCGACAAAAAGTGCAATGCCTTCATAGTTTATTGAGGAAACCTTTCACTTAGTAACACAGTTTAAGGTTGTGAAGAAAGCTTTCTTTTCTTCCGACCACTCGAAAAAAAAGACGCAGTCTTGTCAAAAATGGGAACGAAACAGAAAAGGAATAAAGTTCTTGAACTTTATGGGTATTGTCTGCCACCAGAGGATGTTGAATGGCGACGATGTTGGATTTTGAGGAAGGATGGGGGTGACGACAACTAGTAGTGCTTAGTCCTTCGCTACGCCCATATTTTTAAGTCCATTAAAGTGACAGAGAGCGAATAAAACGTTATACGAATGAAGCGAACTTTAACGGACACAGTATGATGTTTAGCAACGAACCGAGCAACGAACCGCACGGTCGATGTCGTTTCACGCAGACACATCGCACATGGCGGAGATGCAACTGAACAAGATGACCCATGGAAACATTTAACCCGCCTGATAGTCAGGGCTTTCAAAGGCCCTGTTTTTTTTTTTTTTATCATAGAACAGACATTTAACAAAGAAGACGGGTCCACACAGCTAGCATTAAGTGAAACAAATGGAGAGTGAAAAATCACAGGACTGGGAGTCTCTGTTCGGCAGTGATGATGACACTTTTGTTAACGAGTATGGTTCACGGGACGAATACGAGGAAGATCTAGTTAGTTCATTTTTCACGGACTCAAGCGACGATGACCTCGAAAGCTTTGATAGTGTTTTGACGAGTGTTGATCAACAGTCGTCTCAAAATGATACAAAAAAAGGTTGGACACAGATCAGTCCCTCCGAAATTCCTGGTCTCACATATATTCCGAATGTTCTGCCGCCGAGCGTTCAAGATGAGCTCATTCAGTGTCTTCCAGACGGCATCTTAGACCGGTCAACAGGTCGCCAGGCACATTTGTATAGGCCATTTGCTCCGGTTCTTCAAAACCTCATGCAGAATTTCATTCCTTCTGCCTTCAAGAAACAGGTATGGGAGGGAAAAGACGCGGAAGCCATTATCATGCAGGTGTATAATCCTGGAGACGGAATAATTCCTCACGTAGACTTGCCCATGTTTGATGATGGAATTGTAATTTTCTCGCTACTTTCTGACATTACCATGGAGTTTACACAACCAAGCAGCAAACGGAAAGCGAGCGTACTCCTAGAGAAGGGGAGTCTTACCATCATGGAAGGCGAAGCTCGATACCAATGGCTTCACGGCATTCCATTTCGTACCGGAGACTGGACAAACGGCACTTGGATACCGCGAGCACAACGATGCAGCATCACCATGAGACGCATTGGTCTGAATAAAATGTTTGGTTAATGTTTAATGGAAACCGACTTTCATTTTTTCGAACGACCGTCAAAGTTTTAAAGCAGACGGACACCCAAAAAAGGATTTTAAAATGTTCCTAAAAGGGTTAAAATGTCCCGCATACCGTCCAGTGCATAGACATTGTTAAGTTCTTCGTTCAAGAACAGTTTCATCCTTTTAATGCAACAATTCACAACACTCGCATACGACCTGATCTTGCAATTTACGGTGGATTAAGTATATGCGCCAAGATTACGTCAAGAAGTGACATTGACTATACTAGTAGTCTTTTTACCAGACGAAGCAGCTTATTGCTCCTCCTCCTCGTTGTCGACGACGACGTTGTAGTATCTCAACTCGTAGGTACCCTTCTTGGTAGCAACGACACGGAGCCAATCACGGAGCTAAAGGTGTTAGAGGTAAAGTGTTGAAGAGAAACAAAGGATTAACGTCACTTACAGAGTGCTTCTTCAAGAACTTCTTGGTCAAGTACTTCAAGTAGCGACCAGAGAATTGAGTGTGAGCAATAACAGCAATCTTGTTGCTGCCCTCACGAGAAACAACGATGGTAGTGCCCAAGTTACCGGTCTTGCCCTCGACCTTGATACGGTCAATCAAGAACTTCTCGAAGGCAGCAACATCAAAGATCTTGTCGTTGGCGGCGGCGGAAGCGTCGATGATGAACTTGTTACTAATCTTGGCGACTTTCTTCTGTTGCACAGTTAGCCTACTGGCATCATCCAGCAAAGCAACTTACAACCATGTTGGGCAATTTCTTCCAAGAGTTTGGCTCAGGGTACGACTTGCTAGGAGAAACGCCAGCCATTTTACGTTAACATAAGCAGTCACAAATTCGCTGTCCCCAACCCTAACCTAAACAAAACCATGTGTGTCATTAGAAAGCGAAACCTTAAATCAGTTAAGGTTTCCACTCAACCAAAGAGTGTCATCGCCTTATTGGTTCTTATTGTGAGTAGTAATAAAAAATAAAATAGGAATACATAACATTTCATTGACGGTCTGTGGTTTTGTACTCTATAGCGAACAGAGTAACTTTAAAAATTACAGGAGTGGTTCATTAATTGGTTTATAAATGCATCAAGTGCTTTCCTCAGATTTAATGGTTTGATCTGCCAATTGGCACATGAGCGACATACGACCCTGCCAGTCGTAGCCTGAAGCATCTGAAGCCTTCTTCAAATGCGAAACAATTTCGTGCTTTGCTGTAAGCCCTTTGGTTTCCCAATGCATAGCCGCCAGTTCATAGTGAGCAAATGGAATTACCCAGAAATCACGATCCTCTTGCTGCATCTGAGATTTGTTTAAACTGACCACCTTTTGATACTGCTTCTCAGCAGCGGCATAGTCTTTTTTGCTGCGTGCAATCACACCCAGAAAGAAATCCCGTAAGGCGATTTCATCCGTATCCGTGCACTTGGCATTCAGCACATCACGACGGATGGAATCACTCACCACCTGGTGATGGAAGCAATTAACAGAGAAAATGTACAACAACTCCACATACGGAGGACTCTGCATTACTTCGGTGATGGAGCTGGCGTTCCGGGCAACGGCTCGAGCCTTCCACTTGCGCAGCTTCCGGGACAGATACACCTCCACAGGAAGATTTGATCCCATAAATTTCTTTTGGGAAATATACTGTGTGGACGTGAGCAAGTACTGCTCTGCTTTTTTCATCAAATCTTTCACATGGGCCATTGTAGTCGGTTCTTTGGATGAAGCAGAGTCTTTTGCGAGTTGCAGAGTCGCGCAGCCAGCTGCATAATAGTAAAATGCATTTGACCACTTGCTGTAATTTAGTAGATCAAGCATTTCTTTTGTCGCTCTCGGGAAATTACGCAGACTTAAATGAATAAGCGCGCCTTCGAATTGTCTCGAGGCCACTATTTGCGTCAATTGAGCCTTAAGAGGGCTCTCTAACATTGCAAGTGATCTGTCGATATTTCCAACCATATACTGCAACTTCGCATCCATCGCAAGCCATAACGTGCCTTGGGGATAGCGCTGATGGATTCGAGACAGCAAGTCTGTGCACTCCTTCAACTCCTTGTGGAAACGAAGAGGTGCAAAGCTGCTGAAGCCTTGGAGCATTCCATAAAAGGCATACAGCGTCAGACCGGCGATGGCTCCCTGGATATTTGAGTACGGAGACGCGGTCCATAGAATCTCTAGCGATTCTTTCCGGTTTCCGTGGAAAGAAAGTAAGGATAAAATGCGGGCCAACGTGGGCGGGAATAGGGACACGAGGAAAGTTAAAATGGCATAACCGGAAAGCACTCCTGACTCAACGAACTCGTCTACAAACTTTTCGTCTTCCGTCTGCGTCTTTCCCGACTTCCGTTTCTTTGCCTGGGTTTCACGAACAACACCCATCATTTTTTCGAAAGAGAGGAATGTTTTTCGGATCCGGTATGCGGCTTTCATCGAGTCTACGAGGGAGCCAGCAGCAAACCCCAGCACGGCGTGCATGAGGGCAATATCGCACACACACACCTGCCAGTCCCACCCTGCTGGGTAGCTGCCAATTTGTTGGTTGTGGCGTGAAACTTGTTTGCACAGATGCTCACAGGCCTCGTCAGCCTTGGACAATGATTCCATAGCGCTGTTCACCAAACCAGGTTCCATTCCAAGCATTGCCTGGAAGAACTGACTGCCCGCCTCTACGAGTAGTGAAGTTGGCGAGTCATCATGGAACATGTTTCGGATGGCTTCAAACTCGTCCTTTTCACAGCAACGTTAGCTAAAATTGTATGTAAAGACACCAAGTGTGCCAACCAATCTCGTGTCAAAGGAGAATTCTGGTACTAGAAAACACGGACAGCGACTCCGATGCCACCCAATGCCTATGTTTTCCAAGTCAGACCCTTCATCGAGAACCTCATACGTACATTCATCATCATATCGAATCCCTTGAACAGTCGACGGAGAGTGTCCACATGCTGTTTTGGAGTCTGTGTATATGGTTCTGTCGGAGACGAGAACGACAGCGACTTTGTAATGCTACCAAAACTTAAACTTTTTGTGATGTTGAACATTTGTTCCAAAGCTGTCTAGCAGTGATAAAAGACCGATTCGTGGTTTTCTCGTTGAATTCGATGCTTCGAAAACTAAAGAGCAATTGAAATTCTGAAGATAGTGTTTTAACCGGACTACACGCAGCTCCTAGAAAAACGATCAGGAATCAACAGAAGACGCGATAGGACGAAAAACAGCTCAAGAAGCCTTGTTGTGTATCGAATTGAGCACGTCACCACGGGAAAGTGCAAACTCACTTAAATAACAATTCAATGCCGACGGGAACGAAAACAGTCTGCGAACGGTAGACGGTACTACGGCGTATTAAGGAACTGCAACATTGCAGCCAGACCATTGTAATTATGGGTTCGCTTTCCGCCATCGGCGGGTCTGGCTCTGCCGAACGTGTGCTTCAGAGTGACGTCAAAGATCCTGGAGAAAAGTCCACGCGCGTCCAGATGGGGTAAGCCGGGGAAAGTCGCGACGCGACGAATCAAATGCAAAACGCGACGCGATGCGCCTGCTGAAATGCAGAGGCGACGTAAACAAACGCGTCGCGTCGGTTGAGCCGCTCCTCGTCGCAAAACGCGATGTGGGGGTGCGTGTGGTCGTGTGGGGAAGAACACCGTCACCAAATATGCGCTGGGGAAGGAATGAAGCGGAAAACGCTGTGAGGTAATTGAGAGCATTGAAACCAGCCTACTGGGAAAACCAGCACACACGCGATTGAGAGCATCCGGAGGTCATTGCTGGAGGAACAAACACACGCCAATACCGCGCCTCTTGTTGAAGCGGTTATGGTTGCACGCGTAAACAAAGTTTTATCGGCCGGACAACGCGTGGAAAGCACGAAAATAAGCAACTGAAGTGCAGAATGAGCAGCTGTTAAGCGATAACCAGGCGATCGACGCTAATTGTGAAGAAAACCAGGCACATTCTTCCGAAAATCCCGCAACACCGTCCCTAACGCGCGTTTCAAGTGGGACCGCGACGTGTCGAGGCACTGCCGTCTGGAGAAGACGTCGTGCATATAATTCATCAATTGTCAGCGGAAGAAACACGTCGTTACACGGAACAAATGCTCAGCTTTCCGATCATCGTTTTGGTAAACAACGAGCAGTCTGGTGCTGGTGAAGGAGGCTAGCTCTTCCTCGCAGCATCCCTTGTATACATTGAGGCTGGCTAAACGAGCAATCTCCGATTGGATGATGGTTGTGTGATGACGTAGCATCATAACCTTAATTCGTGTATATAAAGAGCAGGCGCTGCTCGCCAAACGAACCGTGAACCATCTGGTCTAGAACGCAGCGCTAGCTTCGTCCCCCCACTATTGTCGATACTTTCTGTGGATTTTTTTGAGTCATTCCTTGCATATCCAAGCATTGGTCGCCTGCATTCCAAGTTTTACTGCCCATCTCTGTATCTATTAGGGCGACATTTGCATTTTAATTCCTTGCATCTGTAAATTCTCTCATTCTTTTTACTATATACACAGTTTTCGCTCATTATGAAGGCTTCTACGACGTTTACATTCCTCCTCTCTCTTCTTGCCGGCTTCGCGGTCTCTCAAGCCACGAACAGCACTGCAGAATACCCCATTGTCATCAAGGGTAACGCCTTCATCAACTCCCAAACGAAGGAGCGTTTTTATGTTCGCGGTGTCGATTATCAGCCTGGCGGCTCTTCCGCCCTCGTTGATCCGTTGGCCGATACAACCATCTGCAAGCGTGATATTCCCTACTTGCAGGCGCTTAACGTCAACACGATCCGTGTTTACCAAGTCGACAACTCGGCCAACCATGACGAGTGTATGGACGCCTTGAAGGAGGCCGGTATCTACCTTATTCTCGACCTGAACACCGTGAAGAACTCCATCTCGCGTCTTGACGCTGCATCCTCCTACAATGCCGTCTACCTCCAAGGCATCTTCGCTACCGTTGACGCGTTCAAGGGCTACGACAACGTCCTTGGTTTCTTCGCTGGCAATGAGGTTGCCAACACCGTTGAGAACGCTATTACGACTACGTGGGTGAAGGCCGCTCTTCGCGATGTAAAGGCTTACATCAAGGCCCAGAGTGACCGTCAAATCCCTGTTGGCTATTCCGCTGCCGATGTGGCCGAGTTCCGTGTCCCCTGTGCCGACTTCTTCGCCTGCGGCGACGATGACGACCGTGCCGACTTTTACGGCATGAACATGTACGAATGGTGCGGTTCGTCTAGTATGTCCGTTTCCGGTTTTGATCAGCGTGTGAAGGAGTTCTCCAACTACACGATCCCCCTCATTCTCTCCGAGTTTGGCTGTAACGATGTGACGAAGGACAGCGACGGCACTCCCGAGCGCCCCTTCACCGAAATTGATGCCATCTTTTCCACACAGATGTCTTCTGTGTTTTCTGGTGGTCTTGTGTACGAGTACTCGGAAGAGGGCTCGAACTACGGTTTGGTCGTTGTGAACGGCAGCACCGTCACCACCAGCAAGAACTACGACACTCTGAAGGAGAAGTTCTCTTCTGCCTCTTCCTTCAGCGGTGACGGTGGTTACAACTCTACCACCGGCTCTCTCACCTGCCCTGCCAACCAAACGAACTGGAAGAGCTGGAGCACTTTGCCTTCCATGCCCTCGAAGGCCGAGCAATTCATTAAGAGCGGTGCTGGCCAGCCTCTTGGCCTGAACGCTCCTAGTAACCAGCTGTACGCCGCTGATTCTGATGCTCTTGTTTCTGCTGGTGCCCACACAACTACGACGACTCTCCCCTCGTCCGTGATGGACAACACTGTCGCCGTCTCTACCCCTGGCTCCAAGTCTTCCTCTGGAAGCGGCTCTGCTTCCACCACTGGCAGTTCTTCCGCCTCGGCTACTGGCTCCGCATCTGGTTCCTTGAGCACTGTGACCGCTTCTTCTGCTCACTCTGCCTCTTCTACTTCTTACTCCGGCAGCAGCTCTTCCTCTTCTGTCACCTCTGGTGTCGCTTCGAACCTGGTTGCTCTTCCCTCTGTTTTGGCAGTTGCTCTTGTTTCTGCTATTGCAGCCTTCCTCACTTTGTAAGAAGTAGGAAGTCTCAGCCATATCGGTAGCAACAACAGCAGCAGCAGTGACGACAACAACAGCAGTGTAATCCACTAATGGACAACCCACAATCTTTCATATACCGTCGTGTGTCTCCAGACATGCCGGTTTTGCTTTCCTTTTTTTGTTTTTGTATCCTGTTCGTTCTTTTCCTTTACTTTCTCTGCACTTGTTTTTTCCGTAGCATCTTTCCATTAGTGAATTCCAATGTTTTGTTTCTCATAGCCGCGCTTTCAGCCGGACCATTGTTTGGTGAGCGACGAGCACTGCAGCTGCAGACGGTTGTCTCAGACAAGATGGGTCCGGACGGAGAGGTCAACGCATGTTGCTCAAACGCTTTTTTTATTGTTTCTCTTAAACGTGTTTCTCGTTGTGTTGCAAACCCTTAGTTCCTCAGTCTGATTCTTTCTCCTCTGCTTCTTCTTCAACTTTCTCCTCTTTTAACACAACAGCGACATCCGAACACGACATGTTCTCGTACAGTCTGTCTTGAAACCACAGGACGGGTGCGTGATGGCATCCTCCTAGACAGGACTATGTATTTGTTAGTCGTTGGGCCGACCGGTTATTGCCTCTGCAAACTCGCACGCACCGCCGATTCAATATTTATATGCACATCGAGACGTTTGGCTTCCCTTTGAGCATGCTTCCGTAACGCTTGGGCACCTTTCTCCTCGCACATCCAACTCGTACATACGCGAAAAGGCGAACCCGAGTCGCTGAGTCGGATGTATTCGTACTGGGACCTGTTTCGTTGTTTTCCGTCAGCAACAGTGTGCCGATGTCAATGAGCTAATCGTGTTTGTTATCTTACGCTGTCGCACGAACTCGAGCGATCGTTGATTTAGTCATGTCGGCAATCTCCCTAAGCGCAGCTTGAGGCACAAAGTTGCCCTGCTGTCTTTGAGCGAGATCGAGAAGCGGCAATGTGGCTCCCTGGGCCCACTCTTTTGGGTACCGACGAAGCAACTGCCTCGCAATCTCCAGGCTACGTCGGTCGAAAAACTTCATACCGATGGGAGAGGAGACAGAGACGACAGAGACGGCAGAGACGGCCCTGGGGAAGGAAGGCGCGCAACAACATGCATAACAAGGCACCGGACGACACACACCGGTCAAGCTACACAAACACATCACGCACCACTGACGACCGTACCGCTAACACCCTCTCGATACGCACTCGACAACGCATACTCGATTCCTCGAAACTCAATCCACGGTAAGCCCCCTTCGCGCTCGATATCTCTCGTTTACCGAACAGAAGCGCCTAATTAGGATGTCTCACTTCCCTCCCTAAACTCTCATTATCTGTCTTACCACACCTCGCTACGCCTCGAGACTTGTTTCTCCGTCCGAGCCTCGCACACTCGTGCGTGAGATGCCGCGTGCGCACTGCTAGCCTTACGAGCTACGAAGCCTCACTCTTTCACAAGGACCACGCGAAGGGGCTCCTTCTACCTTGATTTGATGCCTTTAGGGCAAGCTTTTGGCCACGACTACGATGATTCGCGGGAGTCACGAAGATGCAGTAGCAGGAGCAGCGGTCGATCAACTGTGATGTCAGGTTCGAAACCCTCTCCAAGGCTGCCATCTCGATTTCCCCAGTCTACGCCCGGGGCAACTGCTCCTCCGAAGCAAAGTCTCCTCCGACGGATTTTATCGTTTCAGTGGTTTCCACGACACTCACATCCAACGTCGCAAAGTTCTGTTAATTCGACAGATTTTGATGATCCAGCACATACACCTCGACCCCACACGAGTCTCCAATTCACCGCGACGAGTGGGTCGCCGACGGACGATCCCAGCAGCACCGGCATCACTAGTAGTCTCGAACAAAGGCCAGCGAGTGCCTTTGACAAGCGTATTCGACGGGCAACGATCCCTATCACATCAGCATTTCCCCGAAACCCTGCTCGCCGTGCTGTCAGTGCTGACTTTTACACGGCTCCCCAGTCAAAAGCTGTCGACAGTTTGCGCACATTAGCGTCGTCATCGTCGTCGTCTACCTCTCCAACTATGCGTCCTATTGCAAGACTAGCGACAGGTGGTGGTCCCGAATCGGGCCCTGTGGTGGGCAGTGCTCCAGCGTCGTCTTCAGAAGCGTTCCACGGTCTCCGATCTCGCTCCTCGTTAAAACGGTCTCCAACCATGCGACTAGAGGTCGTCGCCGAGACGGAATCCGAGTCAGCGGCCGCCGCGGAGGTGTCGAAGATGATCAACGTGTCCAATATTCCTGCGTTGCCCCGGTCACCACCGCCTGCTTTGTCGAGTCTGGTTGCTCGAGACGACGATACTTTTGCTCGACCTCTTATAACGGCTCCGCACACGAAGACATCTGCAAAGGAAGCCGCCCTAGACATATGGACGGGCACGGGGAAGATTGTGGAGAATGAAAAGGCTGTCGCCTGGCTTGTGCAGGAGGATCCGTACCATGAGTCCGTGCTCAAGTACTACATGAAGCTGTACGACTTTGGCAACATGGATCCTTTACAAAGTCTTCGAACACTGTGTGGGAACATCTACACAAGGGCTGAGACAACACAGCTCGACCGTTTCTTGGAGGCCTTTGCAGCACGCTGGTGCAGCACAAATCCACACCGGCCCTTCAGTGACCCGGATATCATTCACTCTGTAGCCTATTCGCTGCTTTTACTTAATACGGATCTCCACATAGCTGATCTTTCTCCCTCACAGCGAATGACGCGTCCGCAATTCGTGAAAAACACGCTCGACAGCATATGTCAAATGTATCGAAAGAAGCTGCGCAGACACTATCATGCTCGTCGTGTCAGTGCAAACTCCCAAGACCTGCCTAATTCCTCATCTTCCACTAATTCTGAGAGCAACAAAGCTTCCGCCTTATTATCATCTAGCACAACCATCCATTCACTTACATTTGAAGTTCAAATGCAGATGGAAAAATTCATTTCTTATTGGACTGGCCAATTGAAGGAGATGTACACATCCGTTAAGCATTCTCGCATTTTACAACCCGACCGCTACAGCGATCTAACTGCATTATCATCTTCCTCCATTCATCATCCGGACGGTGACGGTCCTTTGTACTCAGACAGCAGTCTTCAGCGTCGCACCTCGACTGTTCGAAGCAACTCGCGACTTTCCAATTTTTCGTCAAGCTCTACCGTATTTAATTTGGCCGACATGTTTGCCGATGGCAAGAACAATCACAAGCATATCCATTCACTCACCTCCTTGCGACCCGAAAACAAGCTCGCAAGCACCCGCAGCGTTTCAGGCACACTTACCTCCCTTTCCGTTGTGTCTACCACGCTGCTCGAGATTGATCAAAAGCCGCTGTCGAAGGAGGAGGGCTTCATGATCCTCCAGGACGAGACGGCTGCGCTGAGAGCTGAGCTCGAAGTGATGTCGAAACATAATTCGTTCATGCGACGACTGAATCGGTTCAAGGACATGTATGTCGTGCTGACCTCGAACGCCTTTAATCTGTTTTCACTTGGTCGCTCAGCAGCCACGCTCCTTCATAAAGGCGATGAAAAATGGGTGTATCGTTCGCATTCTATTTTCGCTATCCCGCTACGCTACGTTTTGGCACGCCTGGACGGCGTGGATCATGACTTGATGCAGACAAACAAGTTCAATTTGTGTCTGCCCTCCCAAAAAGACTATATCGTTCGCACCCACAGCAACGAAGAGGCTGCCAAGTGGGTTGACGAGATTAATTATCGAGCTGCTCTTGTCACAAGAATCCCACTTTGCGGAAACGTGACCAGCGTTGACTACGGTTGGGGAGCATGCCTTGAGGAGTATAGAAAGAACCCCGGAAAACCTCTTGAAGGGAAGATCAACATTGCCAAGTGGAAGCCTGATCCACTTCCTGAGATGGACAGCAACACATCAGAGGTAGACCAGTTGCACGCACTGCAACACTTCATTCCCGAGTTGGCCAAGGTGTATGCTGAGCACGCTAACATACGGTTACCAATGATTAAGGCTCTGTCAGCCCAGCACAAGGGCATCCAACAACGCGCCATCACCAATTGGCAAAATCGTTTACATTACTTGAACGAGGAAATGGCGAAGTTTCGTACGTATACGAAAGTCATTGAGAAAAGATGCTATATGAAGTCATAAATAAACGAATGAAATGAATTTGACGACGCATAAAAAGCACCATGATCCTTATTCTGTTTTTTTCTTCTTGTTCTGTGCTGTGTGAACTGGACGTCGATGCAACAAGAATTGCTGAAAGCAGCTATATAAAGCTACTTCATCTGCACACAGCAGAATTAATTTATCTTTTCCTTTTCGTTATTTAGTTCTTAAACGCCAATATTGTTCTAATCAGTTGGGCGTTCGGTAGTCTCTTCAGATTCTTCTTGTTCAGCAGCGGCAGCAACTTGCATTTCCAAATCCTGTTCAGTGGGAACGGGACCATAACGGAGAGTGCGAAGCTTCTCCAGACGACGTTTGTGATACAGCGAGTCCAACATCAGCGCAACAGAAGAGCCAACCCAATCAGCCTACATTTCATTGTTAGCAAATTAGGAACGAGTGGAGGGGCGACGAAATAGAAACCAATTGCACATACAGCTATGTCGTACACATCAAATGTACGATACTATTCGTGTTAAAGTTAGTAAACAGGAAGCCTGACTGGCAAGAACGTTGAAAATATTTACCGAAAGGAAACTTTGAATGAATTCCGAACCAAGAGCGCCCAAAAGGAAACACACAATGAACGTCAATTGTGCCGCACGCCGGCGACTGAGATCAAAAATCCAGTAAAACACAAGAGTGAGAACAAAGAACACGCAAAAATGCTGAATCTTGTCATTGACAGGGAAATTCAATGGAGGTGCAAACCCACTGGAAGACGGTTAGGCCAATGTGAAAACGAGCTTTCTTTGCGGAGACGAAAGGAAACAATCGCGCAAGTTGAGTCAAACATACAGATAACAAGCAATAACCAACAAACTGAATCAAAAACGGCCATTAGAAATGATGTAAACACAGAAATGATCAACTTACACGAGAAACACGCATAGAACGTTTTTGCGAAAGGTGAATTGCAAAAATGAGGGCATGACTTTCTAGTACTGTACCAACAGTAATGTCGTAAATAGGGCTGATTTTTTAAAGGGAATCGTTTTTTTCGTGGTTGGTGATTTATAGTTGCGTGGGAAGCGAGCAAGTCGAGTTTGTGGGCTGAATACGCGTACGTGTGTGAGGGAGGTCAGACGCTTCCGAACTCGTTCTTTTTGCTCTCGCAAGCTTAATTTTACAAGGGGAGCGGGATAAAAGGGTGGTAAGTTGGACAACTGAAATAGTTGCATCCTCCGTAGAGAAGGTCTCATCGGAGACGATCTCAGCATGTTAAACGTCAAAAACATCCGTCCAAAATCATAAGGGGACAATTCTTTGAATCAAGAACATTGTGTGCACAACCCTAGGGCTTTCTTTTGATGAGGGAAACGCTTTGTGATGAGACATTCTTTATGTCATCAGAGAAATCATCCCCATGCGTTCCCCGAGTCGTAATGACGACTCGGGGCAGTCGATGATGCACAGACACTTTGGCACTCACATAGTAAAGAAACTCAAGCTGCTGCAAAGATTGAACGCTTTGCATTCGCTGGGATCGTAATTCCGAAACGATCTCGGGAATGGGATCGCTTGCAAGTTCAAAATGATTCTTCTCGAGCAGATTCAGAATGCGAAACAGTGCCATAAACGTCCCCGTACGACCGCAGCCGGCCGAACAGTGAACAATCACCGGAGATCCTTTGAACGCGGGCAGCTGCAACAACTCGCGCACAAACTGCAAAATGTTTAGAAATGAATCCATTTCAGGAGCTGAAAAGTCTGGCCATGCAAAGTAGTAGATGTGGTGCACGATTTTTTTCTTCCCGCCGCATTGCAAGAGGAATTCGTGCACAACGTGTCGATTCATATCATCAATGAAATACGTTCTCATCAGTTTTACGCTCAGGGACTTCATTTTCAGAGTCTCCATGGGTTTGGATGGCCAGTACTCGTCACATTTCAGGCGTCCCTTCTCCTCTAATCTTGTCAACATGACAATGATGCCCTTCTCTCGAACGGATTGCCACACCATCATCCAAAATAGCTCTACCGTAGCCATAGTCGGCCCCTTAGTGACGAGTTAGCTCACGATCCATTGCTGAATGGCTTCCTTTACGATCATACGCACACCGATCCCTTCACCAGTCATACCTGAGTAGCAATGAAGGCGTTCTGGCCATCAAATTGAATGTACGAGGCATTGATGTAGTCACAATCGAGACCCCAGTGCTCCAAGTGCACTCGATTTGCCTCGTAGGGCAGGATGTTGGAGTACCGGTTTCGGGCCATGCATTCTTCGTCCAATTGCACCAGCTGCTCGCGGTACTTTCTCTCTTCTTCATAATTTAGCCTCTTAATGAGAGCCGCTTGTTCGTATGGCGTCTTTTTAAATACTGTTTCATGCTTTTTTGAGCGTAATAGGAACATGTCAATATTGGGGGAGGGCACGTTTCGTTACGACGGGCGACTATCAAAAGTTTAATTTTTGTGCTCGGATTTTGCTATACATATACCGTCAGCAGCACTGTGACAATCTATGAAACCAATTGATATATTCATATTGAGGTATATGCGTACTGTATGCGTGCAGTTTGTGTTCATGACGTTTTGAAAATTTGTAAGCGGTTCACTATCGACGGCCAAGCGGCAGCTCATTCGGCTACACCACGGTTTGCCCGGTATTTGCCGGCGGTTTTTCTTTGATCCTCGGCCTGAACTGCCGCAAATCTAAGTATGCATGTGGCCGAGAATGATCCGCACATGCGTAGTTTTTCCAGCGACTCGCTTGAACCAACTGCCGTTACGTCACACCCTTGTTTCGCAAGCGAATTAAAGGAAACACGTGGGCGTAATCCTGACGTGTGGACTTCACACGTCATCACATTGCGCGACTTGCACAGGAATGGGTGGCAGCCATTTCGAACCTGCCAACTACCAACCACAACGTAAGAGTTCTTACAGAATGGATTTGTTTTCATTATCGACGGCGACTACCTGAAACGATTGAAACCTGTTCGAGCGGAGGACAAACTGAACCTGAAACACGGATCAATGGTGGGTGTTACCATTGTAAACAAACATGATGGGATTTAGACTCGTAAACAGGCTCTGGATGCATCCTAGCAGTATTCCCGCGTCTTCCGTCCGGCCAGAGTGTATATGGAAGGACCTACACCCCGAGGTTTAAGTAACTATGATGTCATGTCAGATGATATCTTCGGGTAATTATAGTGTGATCTTCTGAGTCATCGGCTAAAGAAATAAGCTAAAAGGAAAATGAATGGCTGCGTTTTGGGATACGGCTATTGCTTATTTCTACACTGTGTTCGAAATATACAGTTCAAAAATCTCGGCGGGTTGAAATGCTGGAGAAAGTGCCCCTGTTGGATAAACCGTGCGGTGGTGACGCTCAGGCATTTCTCTTGACAGGTGCTACGTTACCGAGCAACCATTCACGTTGCCTTCGCTGCCTGCGGTCTCTGCGCTCAATTCGTCGTCTGTTGACAAGATCAACTTCGTCGTGACCATTAAGGGTTCACGCACCCTGACGCACACAAACGCTCACAAAACTCACCACACACATTTTTACTACACCCACACAGACACCAACACACACATAACAACTTCCACTGGACATCGTTAATTTCCTGTTTTTAAGCAGTTGCTTTTTGGTGTTGCGATATATCGTACTACGTTAGGACTCGTTTTTTGTGGACAACACCACTATTTACTAAGAACAACATTCTCGGCGCTTTGTTGGCCGGGTATTGTTGAGTTGCACGTTTTACCGTTTCATTTATCCCCAGTTCATTGATCTATCACCTTGTACTGTGTGCTCACGAGTCCCGCTGTACAGTTGTTTTCTGTTTTTGTGTTTTTTTACCCTGCAACAAGGTCTCTTGCACAATTTGGTTTCTAATAACACTGGTCATTAAGATTATCAGCACTTTTACCACTATTACTACTACGACAACTATAACAACGACAGTTGCATTGGCGTTGAAGCTTTTCCGTTGACAATTGTTGGAAAACAGGTGTCGCTGTGACGAGCTTTTTGTTTTTGACTTGATTTCCTTGATTCTTTCATCTGCAATGTTTAACCATCTGCATACGTTATAACAGACAAACGAAAGTTTACTTTTATATTGCTTTGTCGAGTTCAGTGAGTCTAATCACTATTTTATATTTCTAATTCTTTCATCCGTGTTTTGCTATGGCTTCCCAGCATTTCTCGGATGCCGAAATTCCTGACAGCCAGTCCTCCTCTGGTTCCTCAACACCCTCTTCCCCCACTTCGTCTCCATCGTCCGCCTCTTCCACTTCAGAAGCGCTTCCGGCTGTCAGTGCTTTATTGCCGACCGCTAGCCGCGTCCGCACGCGCTCGGCTCGACTTCGTGCAAAACGCCGATGTCTCCCTACACGCAGCTATGTGTGGAGTCTCGATCGTCTTTCGAAATCCGCGGTGAAGGACGCTACCCTGTCGCATCGACGTAAAAATGTTATCCAAAAACTTACCCACTATGGTAGCGCGCAATCTCAGGGTACCCGGGTTGCTAGCGTGGAGAAGGCCATTCTAAAAAATCTCGGCATGAACGAGAGCGTTCTGAGCAGCATAAAGGCGGAGCAAGATACTCAGGACGCTGCAAGCGAGTTTCACTATTCCTATGTGGGTGTTGTTGCGACGGGCGAGAAATCGCTTTGGTCCAGCCCAAAGGAGGAAGGTCGTGAATCTTCTCCGGTGGACGTTTCGTCGTTGTCACCGTCTGACGTTGCTGATTTCGTTTGTAGCGGGTTGTTGTCGTTTGAAGATGTCGTGTCGCAAATATTCACTAGGTTTTTTGAAAACAAAGGCGCTAATTGCGAGGAGTGGGCGGTATGTCTTCAGCGGTGTCTCGATAAGCTCTCCTCTTCGTCAACAAAACCCATACTTCTACCATACATCTCTTCTGTACTTCAGGCCGTTGTGGACATGCTAGGTATAGACGTTGGTAAGCGTCACACACCTGTAGCACATGATTCCGTGAGGCCGCCTGCATCCACGGCTCCGTCAAATTATTCCGTAGCGGCAACTGTAAAATTGTTAACGTTGTTGTACCCCCTGTGTGAGTTGCCGTTGCAGAAGGATATTGTCGCAGACCTTTGTCGCATTGCGCTCGATACAGCAGTGTCGGACGATGTTCGGCTGGTCATCATGGATGCGTTTGCCTCTATACTCAAGGTTCCTCGAGCAACACACAGTCGTACGCGTTCGAGAAGTTCCGACGATGCTTGGCAAATACTGTATGAAACAACAACAAACGCGCAGGCTTGGGTAACCCTGCTCATGCTGCTTCCTAATCGCAAGGGCATTATCCGGAATCGGCAAAAACTTGCACTGAGTTGGTTCCTGAGCAAACCACTTCAGTCGATAAACAACAACAATGACAATGCCAGTCTATTTGCAGAGGTGTGTGAAGCAATAGAGGCATTGCCAAACAAAACAGCAGAAGACTTTGTACGTGTGCGCTACAGCATCTCGGCTCTGTTTTTTGCTTTTCACGGTGAATTGGCTCCGCAGCCGGACGAAGTCCTTCGACTGCTAGCTCTTCTCCGAAAACTTGATCATTCCATCCACGGCACGACAACAGACAGCCTAATGCTGCTCAGATGTGAAGCAAAGGATGTGGTTCAACGTCTGTATCTCTACGTGTACTATGAACACTGCAACGCCTATCAAGTGCTTGAACAAGCCGCCGACATGAATATGAACGTGAGTGCCGCTGACTTGCAGGATGATATTATCGCACCTACGGCCAAAAGTGAAGCAGTGACGGCGGGCGACATAAAGGTTGCTGTGAAAGACAACCTAGAAGCTGAAACAGAAGAGGAACCGAAAAGCGAAGTCAAGGCCGAGGCGAAGACCCAATCAAAGACCAAAGCAAACCCTACAGATCATGTTTACCAGCACCTAGCACAGGTCGCCAACGTTGTGAAACGGGAAATTGCTACGGATGATAAGGCTGAGCACACGGACTTTTCGCTACCCGAGATTCGTCTTGGAAAAAAATCAAAGGAGTAAATGTTGCACGACTGGCACTTCTATAGCGTCTGTGGCATAAAACATTTTTAAACCCCTTGCTGCCGTTACTGTGTTAGACAAAAATTTGTATAATTCAAGTTCCTCCCTCATCCCTCCTCGCGACACCATGAGTTTGATTAATACGAGCTCCTCCTCTCCCAAAAGCCAAGCTTGGCAGTGCTGCATTCGCACCTGAAGTGGTTCCTGCACCTTCTGTCGCTCACCTCTTCTTTGCTTGCCTCGTTGTGTGTACAAAAAACTAATTACGGATTCGTATTGTTGGAGATTATTAGGGGTTACATATATCGGGAAAAATGCTCAAGGTCTCACATGTGTGGAGATATATGAGAAATAGAGAGTGAGTGTATAAAAGAGAGCGAGAGAACACGCGGTAAAAGAACGAGAGCGAGCTTTGAGGAGCCTAGCTCTGTAAAAAAAAACATCGCAAGTCGTGCAATGATTTCCTAATTATGTGCGGTCAGTAGTGATGAGGACTGCAGGCACTCGGCTCACTCAGAAGCGAAGTAGTAATGAACAGCGTTTTTGCAGTACGAGTCCGCCCCTAAACGACCCGAGGTACAAAAGTTTGCTGCGACTTGCGTGTAATCGGTCCGGTGGTTGCCTCAATGGCCAATTTAGTCCAAAAACGTGCGGTGAGGGTTCTTGCCGAACAAGATTTCACGAATTTGAGGAAGAGCCTGCTCCTTAATAAGCTCCAGACGTGCTTTGATTGTGTTTACAGAACGAATCTTGCCTTGGAATCCCAAAACGACGACACCGCCCAAGCAGTCATCATCCAAAGGTTCTTCCTCGTCGACGGCCAATTGCACGCCTGTAAGGCCAGAGGCCTTTTCGTAAAGCTCAACGGCTTCTGGAAGAGCCTTCTCGATCAAAGGAAGGTCCACCTTACGACCACAAACGATACCGATCTTCTCGTTGAGAGAAAGCATTGATTGCACAATCAAATCACGCAGAAAAGCGACGTACTTGTCTTCGATCTTCTCAATACCCTCAAGCTTCTTGCAAACAGTGTTCATGATGTCGTCCATGACAGATTCACGTGTGTTCAAAATCTCAAGACGACTCTTGTTCAGAACGTTCGAACGAGCAATTCTTTGAGACATAGCAGCTCTCTTCATCTTTCCATCGAATTCCTCGTCGATGGCGGAGCACTGTTGACGTACAATCTTTTCCTTTTCCAGTTGAAACTCTTCTTCACTGAGCGTATGGATCTCCTTGGCCTTTTCTAAAGCTTCTTGCTTGATGAAGCTAATCATCTTGCGCATTTCGGCCTGAACTTGTTCGTTGGATAATGACATTGCGTAGGCGTTTGTAGCGTTTGTATGGAAGGATATTGTCTCTCAGCAGGAAAAAGAGGTTGCTGGCAGTAGGAGCGTATGTGGTGAGCTGGGCTTGCTGGTCAAGGTGAGCAGTGAGACTAAGGTGGTAGTTTATCAGCACGTGGTATCACGTGCTGATATAGTACAATAAGGAATATGCGTAAGCGAGTATTGCATCACTTCTGGCTTGGGACCTTGCTTTATCACTGGAGGCCACTTGGCCTTAGTCAAAACCAATTTCAACTAAATCCGGTGTCATTGCGCCCTGTAAACTAACCGGATTGATAAATTGAATACATAGAACACTCCTTGGGCTGTTTTTGCTCAGAGTTTATATCGGAAGTTTATTGTTATTGTAGAGAACCGGTTGGCGTGTCAAGGATCCTCTGTTCAGTCACTTCTCCTTCTGTACTTTATCAAATTTATTTATTAATTTATCATCCATACATTTCCCACTCTTCCTGCATTTTCTTTATTCTCCTCTCATGGACTGGCTCATCTTTTGGGGCATAATAGTGTCCTTGACATCTTCCTTTGCTCAAAGTCTCGGTTTATCCTTACAGCGTCTTTACTATTCTCATGTACAGCAAAGAACCAGACGGAAGAAATATCTAGGCATGGGCCTGTTTCTGGGATCCAATATTCTAGGCAGTGCGTTTCGAATTGCAACTTTGCCGATGATCTTACTGGCTCCTTTAAATGCAGCGACTCTTGTGTTCAATGCTCTCTTAGCTAGCTGTCTCTTGCATGAACCGGTGTGCCGTCAAACTCAGGTTGGCACATGTTTCGTCGTTCTCAGTTCACTGATGCTGAGCTACGTAGTTGTTCACCACGACGACTACTTCACCGCAGAGGAGCTTTTTCAGTTACTTCGTAGTAGATCTTCTCAGATATTTTTCTTTCTTCAGCTTGGTCTTGTATCCTTGGTCATTGCTGCGTTTGCGGTCTGCCTACGCTTGCGCGAAAAGATTGGAAGAGTTTACAACACAACCTCTGGACTGCTTTTGGGATTTATCAGCGGAACGTTGTCTGCCCATTGTTTACTTTGTTCAAAGATCATTGCCATTACAATAACTGAATGTGTAACTTCTGGCGAATGGGACTTGCTGGAAAGACCAGAGCCCTGGCAGTTATTGTTTTTACTCGTCGTTATGGGCCCGACACATCTAGTCGCTCTCACGTCTAGCTTGTCCCGACTCTCACCTTCAGTGGTTTATCCCTTCACATTCTGTACGTACAGCTGTACGGCACTTGTTGATGGATTGGTCTTTCTTCAGCGCCGTATGCCTCCAACTGACTTGACGATTTTATTTTCAAGTACCTTGGTGCTCCTATACGGCGTTTTTCTTCTGTCGACACGAGGCGAAATTGAGGAGAATCCAAATGCCTTTTACGGTCAAATTATTACAGCCCAGGCGCATCATCTCGGTGAACCTCCACTGCTACCATTCATGGATGAAATTGAGGATGAAGAAGATACTGGCGATGACAGTGAGAACGGAAATGAAAACGTACGCGCGGAAAACACTGCTGTACCTACGGGTGAAACAGTTTCTTCAAACGCTTAAAAGCTTCATTCGCTTCACACTACTGCTATGAATCAATGGTCGAGACAAGAAGGTTTCATTTGTGTACATATATTTAGGAACAGGCGTAATCAATTATAGGTAACTTTGTCATTAACCTTGCAAGAAACAACAACGGTGGAACAATAGAAAATCGGAAGCATGAATGCTTATGAAGGACCCTCACATGAATGAAATTAACAGAGGAGAGAAAGTGGGAAAACTGGAGAGTTGGGGAAACGAACGACGAAAAAGGAGAAGAAAAGTGTGTTTCCAAAATGTATAAGGTTCGTTTTCCTGCTAATTAGTGCGGTTAATGGTTGACAATAATGTGATTAGAAAAAGGAAAAAAGGAAATGAGAAAGAGGATCACCAAATAGCCAGTGGTTTTAAGTGTCGAAATGGACAGCCCAAGAATACGTAAATAATGTTCGCAAGACACTCATTATAGTAGTTCAACTATAACGTTCATGCATCGGCATAATTGAATAGCCCCAGGGTTGTGCGGGTGCGTAATTCGATGCTTGCTGATTCATCGTGTTAGGGTTGTTTATAGCATAGCCAGTTGTTGGCATCGTAGGGATGGAAGGTGTTGATGGAAATGATGCATTAGATAGTTGTTGAGATGCATAAGCATAAATGGGCGCAGACTGCTGAGGAAGTTGAACATTGGGAGGATAGGCAATGGGTCTCGGTGAAGAGGAATAGTATTGTTGCGATTGACAAGAAGAAAATGGTGGCATTTGCAGCTGCTGGCAAAGTTGCTGACGGTAAATCTGGTATGGAACTGAGTGAACCTGTTGCTCAATATTATAGGGCATAGTCACAGGAGCCGACGACGAAGAAGACTCGAGCGGCTCCCTCTTTACCGTCAATAGAGGTGACTTGCCCTGAAACAACGAAGGGCAAGCATCAAATGCCGCAGCGCACGTAGTAGGGGAACGGGTCAAGTCGGAAAGAGGCATCAGCTGTGGACGTCCCACTCTCTCATTTGTACACGAGGAACGAAGTTCAGGTGCTGAAGAAGAGGCAAGCTTTTGCACTGCAGTACGCTTCGCAGAAGTACGTTTCGCGATGCCGGAATCTGGATTTGAATTGCCATCATAAGCATCAGGTTCACGGACTTTTGGTACTGAGCGGCTTGATTTCAAATCTGTTGGTTGAGGAAAATCAAGGTATGTTGGTGAGGTGTCGGGTTCACTAGACATTGAAGCGTACGACTCTTGTGAGTCAGCCCAAACATTTCTCTTCAAATCTGGGAACTGTAAGTGATCGCTGTTGGGGAAAGTGGTTTCGCTCAGAGAGTTTTTATGCGGAAGTGCAGGAAACTCGTCTACACCTGCTGTTGTCGAAAAATGACCATCCAAAGGAGACGTTTCCGGTGAGAGCAACGGTTGTTTTTGTGAAGGAACACTTGATGGTGCATCAAAACGAGTAGAACCGCAAAGATTCTGTGAGGAATCGAGACGACTCTTGAGTTGCCGTGTAGTTGCTGCGTTTTCCGACAACTGAACAGATTTCTGGGACGAGACATTTGTTTCCATTCTAATGCATTCGTCTTCAAATGCGTCCTCTCCAGATTTAGGAGTAAAAGTTGGAGAACGAATATCGCCGGCTAAGCGATTAGTAAATGAACAGAATCAAAAGACTTAGAACGTAAACACCATACCATTCGTGTTTAGCCCAAAAATTGGGTCTTTTTGAGAGGATTGTTCAGTGCGAATATTAGCCTTTAAAAACTCGTCGACTGAATCGTCGACTAACGAATTTGCTTCTTTGTTCGCATCCTTACTTTTTTCAAACGCTCCAAAATCTGATCCTAGATCGCAATTTTCTAATCCCTCTTCTTCCACTTCAACGGAGTCTGGAACACTAGGATCCTGTAAACATCTGGCAATAATTTCTTGACCTTCCTTCGAATTGACAACACCTTCGAGCTTTGAAGTCGCAAAGGTATGTACGAATCCACTTTCAGAGACAGCAATAACCATAATCTGAGTCCCTGTAAGCACAGAAAGTTCTAACGCCTGCGTACCACGAGTGTTAGTAAAAACATGATTCAAAAAACGCAAACAATTGACCAATAGGCATGTTGTAAGTCTCATTAAAAGCCATATCCAGCATGAACAAACCTTTTTGAAGAGACCTGCGCGTCGTTTAGAGAACGTCGCTCGACGTTTCGCCTTATCCTGGATAAAACGGGACGTTTTTGCAGCTCCAGGTGGAGTTTTCTGCTTAGATGCATTCTCCGTAGATGGTTCAAGATCATCTCGAACGCGTTTGCACATCTTTGTTTGACAGGAATCGTCAATACCGCACAGAGAACAAAGTGGTGAATACTGGCTGCTGGTAAGAGTCGGTTCATTTCAAAACAAGCAATAGAACTAAAACGTATTCCATGTAGAAAAAACCGCAAACATATACGTAATGCCACAGAGAACAAAGAAAACATCGTCTTGCTTCCTGTGAATGAATGCGCCAGCTTAAACTTTATTTCAAATAACCCTGAAAGCCGACTCCAAGCGAGTCGGCATTTTTTTTAAATGTCGGTCATGAAACGCTCACAACAAGCAACAAAAAACCAAGAAATTAACGGAAGAGAAGGTGCGCCTGTTCTTCAAAATTGCAATCGCATCCACATCCATAAGCGCAAACCATAGGAGTTCCTGATTTGGCGAATTGCTTAACCCAGCTTCGTAAACACTTTAAGTGACCGCCATGGAAACAACGCTTACAGACATACGTTGGTGTACGCATAGGTAATTCGCAAATTACGCATTGGACGCCTTGATTCACCAATTGGCACTTACTGCAGTAGGTGGATGACTTGAGTTTGCGTCCACAATTGCGACACCGAAATAAGAGCGATTCACTTGCAGGATGAGGAAGTTGTTTGTCGAGGTTGTTAATCTTCTTCAACTCCAAGAATGGTTGGTAAAGTCCCCAATGGTCGAGTTGCTTGATGTAAATGGTACGCCAGTTGCTGAACAGAGTATGTAACGACTCTACAGAACCAATCCAATCCGGGATACTTGGAGGAACATAAGTTGCGGTTTGATCAAGATGGCGCATTGTAATTGTAATGTTATAGGACTCGGTTTCCTTGATTTTGGCAACTGATCCACCCGGGAGCAGCGAAGCTTCAGGATGTGCTGGATGAGCGTCGATTGCTTGCTTTGAATCAGCATGAATAGCAGTCAGACTTTTCGTCGAAATGCTGTGCATAGTCTGTTGAGAGAGCAGTGCTGAAGTACCACCATAATCAGGCAACGATTGCTTTGAGTAAACAGACGTACCATTGTGTTCGGCATTCGTGGAAGTAGCTGAACAGAAATCAGTTTCCTCCAAAACGCATGCCAGCATAGCCAGCATTTGAATGTTTCGTTCTTCCATGTAGTAAGGAAGCAAACTGTTTAATATCCAAAACGCAGAGGGTCCATGAATCCACAAATTGATGCCTTTTAACAAAGTGCCTGAAGCATGTGCCTCCTGTAATGACAGAGCCAGTATTCGTCCAACAAGTTTCCATGCTAGAGAGACCTCTCTAAAGCCACAAAGCTCTGAAACACGGGCATTATGATCGCATACAGCAACCCTATTGCCGGATACTGCATAACGTACGGCAAGTTCCTTGCTATCGGGCAAATAACGGGACATGTCGAACATCACAACCAAGTGTTTGGCCTCAACAGCCCGTGAACTGACCATAGAACGGCGGCCAGAAGCACGCGATGATATGCGTTTTCCACTAAAGATGTCGCTATTGTCTACTCTTCGTGCGATTCCCGAAAACGTAGGCTGGTAACCCGGAAGTCGCCCGAATAAGTTGTTCCCAGTAGTCGTCTCATTTAACTCCCACTCAAACTCGCTATCAGACTCAGAATGACCAGTGCCGATGAATGAAGAGTCATCGTCAACAGTCATTGTTGTGTTTGAAGTGGACTCGGAATCACCGGTAAGGCCTATACCGTTCAGTATGCCAAACGACTCAAAAAGTTTTTGACGACCATGACTTTCGCGTGCGCTTGTGATAGATCGATTGGTGTCAAACTCAGTTTTGTCCGTAAAAAAGCAAACGAGTGTATTGTTTCCGCAGAAAATAGCTGCGGATGTTTTGGGTAACGGAATGTTGTGTTTTTGGCGTGTGTCTGGTTGTGTTTCACGAGTAGGATCAGGAAGGGGAAACGGCTCCTGTAAGTCGGAAGACAATGATGAAGTGTCTGAAGAGTCTGTTTCCGATTTATCCTCCTCCTTCCAAAAGTCTTCGGCACGAGACTCTCCGCATAAGTAAGACAAACAAACATCCATACAAGGCTTTCCCGTGGCTACACACAATTGAGCAATGTGATTGAGGGTTGCCATAATAAAACGAAACTGCTCATCGTCAAATGCACTCGATTTCTCTAACTGAAACTTGGGAACTGCAGATTGAGGATAGGCTGGGGGAAAAAAGATGTGTATTCGCATAAAAGTATATGCTCCGTTGTCCAAAACCGAACCATTCAAAGAAATTGTACACTTTCTGTCAGCAACATCTAGACTCTCAAAATTGACGTTGCCAAACTTTTGACTAACCCAGGAAAGTTCTTCACCTAAATTTTGAGGAATTTCCCAGTCTGAGGCATTTCCTAAACGACCCATTGAGATTCCACGAAGCCAGTTGAGAGGAGTCAGAGACGTATAGGACTTCTGGGACCGAGTCATATACGCGGCAGGACGCTTTTGAAGTGTATTTCTGCGTTGGGAGGGTGCAGATTTAAAAGCTTCATCAGTTTCAGAGTCAGTGACGTCTGGAATGCTTGGCTCTCTTGCGTATGTTCGATACTTTGCCCCCAGTCTTGGCAGCTCAAATGGAACTGGCAATGATGCATTGTGTCCCATAATGTTTAATAATTCTGATCCGATCGGCCACAAACGAACATGTCGATCTTTGGACCATGTAACAAGTTGAAAGTCTCGGTTATCACAGTGGGCAACCTCTTCGCCTCTACAACGCCAGAGGAACTCCTTGACCTGGTCGGTGTGACCCAAGAAAGAGTGCACTCTCCGAGGGCCAGTTTGCTGCATGTCCCTGCAGTCATACATATGAACAGAATGATCACCTCGTTGCGGCATAAGAATAACACCCACTCCAAAAGGCGTATATCGGGCTTTCCATACGGGCGTATTTGTGGTGATCGTATACTCGGCCTCTGTACACGACTTAGAGTAGTCCCAAAACTTGACAGTACGATCCATGGCGCATGTGATTAAGCGTGTTTCAGACACCCGATTAAATTCAACACCGTTGATCTTTGTAAGCGTGTCTGAGGTACAGATTGTGTGAAGCGGTTGAGAGCCTTTACGATCATCCCAGATTCGAAGTAGTCGGCCGTGACTTGAGGCTAGTATGTGTGGATTGCGAAGGTTCCATTTTACTTGTGTTGCGCCGTTGCTCCAATCGTAGAAGGAATTAACTGGAAAGCGTGGTTCACGCAAGTCCCAGCACAAAACAGAGGAATCGGTAGAACACGTTGCCAAAATATCCGGGTTCTGTCGATGCCAGTTCATGTCAGTCACAGCTCGTGTGTGTCCCCGAAGTGTAAACTCAATGGCTTGGTCGTTTGGTAGAGCAAGGTTCCACACAATGGCTTTTTGATTAGAGGTGGACACGATCCAAGTGTCACGGGCAGTATGGACATTCCATTGTGCGTCAGCAACTTCCCACAAAGTTGAGTGATGAAGCATTCGCGGTGGGTTATACGGATTATCAAGATCAATGATTAAGAGGCCATGACGAGAAGCCAAGGCTACATCCCGACCGCAGGGTGAAAGGGACATGGCACCAACAGGCTGATTCACTTGAATAGAGAGTTGACGTTCAAACGTTGGACTTCGATATGGGCCCATCTTGTCGTTCTCTTCGTTGACACTGTCGTCAAACCCTCCGACATTCGGGAGACGCGAAGAGTAGCTGTGAGAAGCAGAATTTTCGCTGGGACATTCAACTACAATAGGGGTACTGTGAATGGAAGTCAACTGGCTGGATAGGTTATTTGAAGAAATGGTACGTGTGTGAGTGTGTTGAAAAAACCGTTCTTGGTCAGTACTCGAAGTTTCCTTGGAAAAGGCCTGAGAAGCTGGTGAACGGAGATTCAAGAAACCGTTGATTGTTTCCTCAGGTATCCGAATAGGGGATATGTTGTTGATTCCAATCGAAGGAGAAGCTTCGCCATTCGTACCGAGAGACTCATGAAACGCAGAACGTGTGAAGGGACTTGAACTAAACGATCTAACGGCAAATCCTGAACGAACGTTGCCAAACTTGTTTCGTGCTTGGAATGGACGGGTGGAAATAGTCGAATTGCTGCTAGGGAACCCGATATCGTCAGCGTTGGCTATTTCAGCAGACGAAGCTTCATGAGACTGGCTTGAGTGTTGATCGTCGAGTGCATTTGTAGATGGTTTATTAGAAATAAGCAGTGCTTGAGAAGAAACATGATCTTGTGGTTCCGAATTCGAATTCGAATTCGGAGATTCGCTTTTCGTTAACGAATCTTCCATAATATACTAAATAATGAAATTGAGCGAGAATTATACCAATACACGTCAAAACCGTTAACCAGAATAACAAAAACAGTCAGAATTCAGCATACTTCCTTTTGAGTATCAAAATTAGCGCTCAGTAAAAAGATACAGGTTTCAATGGGTCCTAAGCTTTCCGTACTGTTTCTGTCTCTCCCACTTATCGTAAGTGGGGTATCGGTGCATCTCGTACACGTTCGGTAAATGCAATTGCGAGCGGCTTTAGTTGTCGCTAAAACATATTGCGAACCATAACGATCTCAGTGGAATTTGTTAGGATATGCTACATGTCCTTAAACAGTTTTGCGCATTCCCTTGATTCTCTTTATTCCCTCTCCCGTAAATCTCACTATCTTAAAGTGTGCCTCATTTGTTGTTCCCTAACTAACCGTCACCAGGAACACGCGAGTCCTATAATGGCCCTGCCAAAACGCATTCTGAAAGTGCGTCTCAACTTCGTAGTAGATACAGAATTGTTATTAACAATGTTTATAGGAAATTGAGCGCCTTACGGCCGATCCTCCGCCAGGAATCGTGGCCGTTCCCTCCGAAGAGAACCTGAGATACTTTAGTATTACTATGGAGGGACCCCGTCAGTCGGCTTACGAAGGCGGTAAATTTCATTTGGAATTGTTTTTGCCCGAAGAATATCCAATGGTTTGTAGCATTGTGGCAACTTGAGCAAATTGTATTAACAGAATGGCAACAGATGCCTCCAAACGTTCGTTTCCTTACTCGGATTTACCATCCCAACATCGACAAGCTGGGCAGAATCTGTCTTTCGACTTTAAAGAGTATGTGGTTGCCCTCAAATAGGACATGTGGTTGGCTGACTATTGTACAACAGAGGATTGGAGCCCTGCCCTGCAAATTCGTACCGTACTGTTATCCATTCAGGCTCTTCTGGGCGCCCCTAACCCAGATGATCCATTGGACAACGATGTCGCTCGTATTTGGAAAGAGGACGAACCACAGGCCATCGCTAATGCCCGTGAGTGGACAAAAAAATACGCAATGGGATCGTCTTAGACAGAAACGAGCAATAAATCTTAGCACAGAAGTATGGACTTGTTTAAAGGACAGGTGATATGGGGGAGAGGCAGGGCGAAATGGCAAAGGGCTAAGGCAATGAAACGATTTGGAAAGGCGGAAGGGTTTGAATGAGGTTCAAGGGGGTATAACTATTTGTCTTGGACAGCCATCATGAGCCGTGAAGCGAACATTCTTCCCTGGGATTTTGTAAACATGATCTCCTCCTGGAGGTAGTCGGGAAGCGAATTGCGTAGTTCTTCATTCATCGAACTGTCCAATTTTGGCATGTAGGTAAAATTTTCATCGCCAAGCAGAAGCTCGAACTTGATGGCTATGTAAAGATCGTTAGTTCGGGGAAGTGAGACGGTTTGGTAACACAGCATGTACATACAGCCTTTCCGACCATTTTGCACACAGTCGTACAGAATGCCTTGTTTGGTTTCTTGTGATCCTTTCACTTCAAAATCAAAGAGCTCCTTAATCAGCGCGTGTGAACGGTCAAGCGTCGACGCTGAAGAAGAAAGCTGTACGGTTTGTTGCTCCAAACGACTGCATTTTTCGGTAGACTTTTTCAGTTCTGTTTCTAATTCCTGTATGCGTTTTTCAGCGTCTAAAAGCATAGTTAGTAGTGGATCACCATTGCCAACAAAGTACCAGTTAAGGCTTTCCCCATTTTAATTTGATACTCGGTGAAGATGTCTTCAGCATCCGTAGACTGTAGTTCCTCGAGCTGATGGATGTAACTGTCTAAACGAGTCATTGCTTGATCGACATCCAGTGCTTCACGAGGGATTGAGGCGCCATTTTGTGAAAGGATAGAGTTCTGCGAAAGATCAGCAGCTTCGAGTCTATCACGCAAACTAGTTTTCCGTCTGTTTTTTCGTGAAGGGATTTCAACCTGCAGGAACTGAGAACTGTTTTCACTGTCCATGCTTGCTCGATCAACGAAATGATCAAAGCTCTCGTCTCCTTCCGACGGTGTCCGACTACGTGTAGAACTCCGTCTGCCGCTTTTTCTAGGTGGCTTGTTCACTGCTTTAAGAATGAAGTTAATAAAAACGCGTTAAATGGCTAATAATAATGACAATCGTGACTATCATGGCTTCTTACCACCTTTGGGTGACGAATTTGTGTTCATCTATTCAAAATTAAAAATAAAAAATGGAAGAAGATGAGTGTACGGGGTAACACATGAACAAATGAACGACAGAACGTGTGAATTCTGTAAACGTTAAATTGTGAATTCGGCTTTAAGAACGGGAGCTTCCAATCCAAGCGATCGGAAAACAGGAAAATAGTCCAAGGAATGAACCTAGAGCCGAATGCCAATATACAAGAAACGGAATTCCGATGCAATGATCACAGCTCTATATCGCCAAATCGCTGTGTGCTGTCTGAGTAGGAGTCTTTTTGGTGGTGTGTTTTAAGATATTTGTACGTATTACGGTATATTTATTAACGAAACTTAGTGTTTCATCGTTTTCATATAATACCGTGTTTGAATGCATTCAAACGCAAAAATAAGATTTGCTTATTGCATACGTGTCGCGCGCGTCCATCCTTCACCACATTGATATTTTGGAATTGAACGAGTTATGAGCCATCATGCACAGATTAACGCGTCGGAATAAGCCGAAAATCGTTCAAACAAGTGATAATGAGGATTTTGAAGATGAATCGCCAGTGGTCGTTCGTAAACGTAAGTATTCCATTCGCATGCCTGCTTTATTGTACTAATATCACTCGATAGACATTGTTAAGAAGGAGAAAAGACGAGAACGGAAACCACACAAACCCATACTCTCTTACTCTGAGGTTTGTTTCTTTATTCTTTGAATTGGTCTAACAAATAGGATGTTGACGAGTTTGAATTTCGTTCGGAGCACACCAAACAGTTTCCAAAGAAAAGCTCTCTTGCGCAAAAGTCCGATGAAATGTTCGTGAGTATTCAGCGACGGATTAAGTATGTGCTAACAAAAACTAGTATTCGAAGACGCCGTTTGGAATTGTCAAATGAGTCGAGATACTCCATTGAGGAGATGAATGAACTCAAATCCTCTGTAAAAGAAACACCAAAGGATTATATTATGACGAACGAAAAAGAATCTGTGATTGTGAATCAGTTGCCCAATGACCAGCTGAATAAGGAAACAATCACAAACAATGTGCCTACTAGCATTTCTTCAGAGGTCTCACGAATGATTGATCAAGGCCTTCCTGAAGAATACATCGTGAAAGAAATGAAGGAGCGAAAGATTCGCAGACAAAATATTGCTATGACAGAGGACAATTACATATCTCTTGAAACCGGTGATGCCCTTTACATACCTTTAAAGGAAAACAAATCATTACTACAGCGTGAGGATGATGTTCTTGACAATGGTTATGGAGACTATGAAGCTATGATAGAAGATGGGCTTGTTATAACCGACCAGCAAAAACAACAAGAAGCAAAGTTGAAAGAAGAGTGTATTGAAAATGCTGCTGAGCAAATTGTGGAGAGCGAAAATAATGTGGACTGGGGAAGCTGGGAAGCTGCACAAGTCCGGAAAGGCGTTTACAATGCTGACCAGCAAGAAATGCTACGGAAACAAAACCGCCCTCAGCTGGCAAAAATTCCAACGTTGCAAGAACAAATTCAACGGTTGCGTACATGTATTGCGGAGGAAAAACTTCAACAAGATGAACGGATGAAACAACTCGAGTCGGTATTGGCCGAGGAACGTGAAATTGCAAACCGTGAGCAAATGTTACGGGACTCGTTTAAGGCGCTTGATGATTTGAGTAAGAGTCATATAGCACAATTAAACGTGTAAGTGGATTGAACCATTTCAGAACATTTTGCAATTTCTAAATCAATATCTACACTCAACAAAAGATGTTAGGAGCTAGGCTCCTTTTTATCATTTCAACTACAAAGAAATGGCGCCTTAAATACTAATTCCGTACTTGATAATACGTTTCTTGGGTTATATTTTCTTCTCCTCATCCAATTGTCCGTTTTGAAAACAGAATACTCCTTAAATCATTTGTGAATGGAGTAAATTAGTTCACTATTGAATTTTAGTCCATTTGTTTATGATACTGTTTCTCCGTATGAGTCTATAGGGTATCGAATTCCTTGGAACGTCAACTCCATCCGGTGGCTATTTAGGAGATATACAGCTTAACGCTTCCCAAACAAGAATTAGACGTTACCAAATGTCAAAAAAACGTTCAGCAAGTCGGAATGCAGACGGTTTCAGCAAAATTCGTATTTTGGAGGCCGTCTGCTCCTCTATGGATAATCTCTCGCTGGCAGAAAAAGACGAACTCTACGAAGGTAAGATTACTAAGCAATTTCGGCAAAAAGGTTTATCTAACACTGCTTTAGATGTTGAAATGACTGTCTACAAGCGGCTATCCTACTATAAAGATAAGTATACGATAGTTGTCGAAGACATTGAAGCAGAACTAGAAGAAGAAGAAGAGGAAGAAGAGCGGAATAAGTCATCCGAAATTTCCCAGAATCGAGTAAAACTGACAGTCATATCCCCATTGTTTAACAAGATGAAGCGTAATATGCTTCGTATGCTCTGTAATCCGCGGACAATTGAGATGCAAACTGGTTACCCACTGACTCGGGAAAAATCCGAAGAAAGTTCATCTATTCGTGAAAACAACTTAACATCTTGTAAAACCACTACACATGCACATTAGACTTTCCCGAACGGCTATTTTTGTACTTTTTTTATGTTTTTGTGTTGTGTATTTTTGGCCCAGACACTTTCCAACTTGCCTGCTTCGTTACACACAGCAAATACCTCAAACGATTTTATTTGGAAAATGAGCACATGAAATCATGTCGGATCAGCAGTTAAACGCTAATGGTTCCCTTGAAGATGAATTGTCGCCGTCAATGGCTTTGTCTTCTTCAAAAGACTCACTTAAGTCTTCAGGATGCTCGAGTTCATATGTTTTCTCCGATTCAGACCAATTATCACATGGTGAGGCTTTCAGTAAGAGACATCCAACTCGGGGATCTTCCCGGTTGGCATCAATTGACTCTACCTTTACCATCGATTCGTCTATCTCAAGAAGTACTTCGTCATCTTACAGCTCTTTTTCAATTCCTTTGTATTTAAAGGTAGGACGGCTTCGTCAACTGTCTGAGACCATTAATTCTGATTATTTCTTACTCAAACACGGCTCACCAACCTGTATTAGCCGCTCGGAGAATCATTTTGCAATTGGTACATCTTTGGGAAAGGTGTTTCTCAATTTCCTACAGCTGGACAAAAATGTGGTTCTGAATGTGAAAGATTTTGAAAAGGACATTAGCTGCTTACCTGTTTCATGCGTCTGTTTATCAACCGAGTTGAACCTGCTTTGTCAAGCAAATGTTGATGGATCAATATTTATTTGGGACATTGCCCAACCCGAAGCCAAGCTTATATTTTCGTTCCCTTCTGATGCGAGTAGTCTTGGTAATGCTATATCTCAAATGGCTCTAGTTCATTCCGCGGAAACCACACTTGCTGTGTTGAATTCTCAAGGACGGATTACTCTATACGACTTTTACGATCTTATACTCAACAAAACATTCAGTGTCCGTAATGTACAGCTTGATATTCTCACAAATGAGCGTGCTACGTCGTTGTCGTCGATTTCGTTTAAAAAGCCATTTCTCTCGTTAATTAAAAACGAACCATATTTTGTCGTTCAAACATTGCGCGGCCTTTGTTTTTTCCATCCAACCAAGGTTGAAGAGTCAAATTATACGTGCTACTATTCGAAAAAAGATGCAACCATAGCCGCACATGTGGTGCGTCTCATCCCAAGAAAGGCGAACATAGCTAGGCTTGTGTTCTCCTACGACTCGACTGTTGAGGTACACCAGTTACAGCTGAAAAACGGCTTAAATGCAAAGTTTCGGAGACGCTGTACTTTGCCAAGCAATGTTTGTCAACTAGAAGCTCTCTCTGATGTTTCTGTTATCTTGGCATTCACCCTTTCCAAAGAAATTTATGTTTTGGATGCCAGAACACTGGTGATTATATCAATACATTCATTATCCTCTTTAAGGCTTATGGCCTGGGACTGGATGACTTCAATTTTTACTGAATTCACTGGACTCACACATGCTAACCTGTCTACATCCGTGGTAACATCCTCCAAGGTTGCCTATCTTCTTGGAACAAACGGCATATATGCTGCTTTCCCTCAGAAGCTTCAGGGACAGTACTACGTATCTCAGCAGCTGGGTAAATCTTTTCCACTTTTTTATGAGCTTTGTAACTATTACAAGAGCCATTCATATTTACAGAATGAGGTTAATAGTTCCGACGTATATGACAATTTGCTACTTGGTGTGTTGCTTCAACATGTAAGTAGCCAATTATCTAATTATACGAAAACGGACAACCATGCTACGAATCTACTGGATCTTCTCCAGGACGTGCTCGAAAAGGCGCATTCTAACAATTTATTCAGCGAATTCTGTGTCGCTTTATTGAACAGTGTAACGGACGAGATGTTTTATGATGAGTGTCTTAACTCCATCTCCGCTTTTGTTGTTTCGTATCAGATCTCGGATATAAGCATTGACTTGCAAACAATCGTCTTTCGTCAATTACGAGAAAAAGACCGTATGCACGAATTAGAGCAGTTTATTTGCTCCCTCAACTTTGTCCATATGAATTTTGATGCAGTCTTTACACTCAGTAGGGATCTGGAATTGTTCGATGCCTACAGTTATCTGTGCATTTATGCGCTTCATGATTACTCCTCTCCTTTACTTCAATTTCTTAAGTATATTAAAGAGGATGCCCATTCGGATGATTACGAGGAAAAAGTTCACAAGGGATTTCAATTCCTAAGCTTTTCGCTTACGGGTCTCAAGTATCCTTTGGGAACAGCTATGGAAGAACGAGATAGTTATCCAATTGCACACACGTTGTTAAAGTGCCTGTTTTCCTGTAATGTCCTTCCTATTCATGTGGATGTTAATGATAAGGAAACATTTCCTTATGTGCGTTTATTGCTCAAAAGGCGAAAGAAAGAGCTTTACTCTATGCTGGACGGGGCTTTTGAAAGTTCCTACTTCAACCAAGCGAACGTTTCCGTCGCGAAGCAACAGTCGCCAATCGTCAGTCGCCAGTGGATATTAGAATCTTTACTGGATATCGAAAAGAATGATGATAATTGTGATTATCTGTATATACTTTTGGCGAACAGTTTGGCCAAATATCCTCAGTTTCTACTTTTTCCAACTTCGTTGATGGAACAGTGCTTTTTCAAGTTGTGCCAGTCTTCGGACCTTTCAACCAAATTTGCACGAATTGAGGCTGCCGAAGCTTTATTTACAGTATTTACACCAATTGATGTAAAACGGATATCTTCTTCTTGTAAAGACAATAAGCTATATTCGTTAGTGGAAAAGCTGGCATTTTCAGTATGTGATTTTTCCTCCGCCTTGTCGGCTCTTGTGTCACGCTTTGAGGATGGTGATCTCGAGCGAGAACTTTGGCTTGGTCAACAAGAACTCTTTCAAAAGATTGAGCATTGGTTCCAAGTTCTTGTTAATATTCCTGAACAATATCAAGAACTTCAACGAGTTGTCATCGCCAACAGTGCAGTTTTATCAACTATCGATGTGCCTGCCTTCGCTGATCTAATAATCCATTATGCACCAACAGAAATGAGTTCAGTTTTGCGAGAATTAGAACGCGGAGATTGTGATAAGACCCCCTTCGTTGAACAAATAATGCATCTGGATCCGAATTACAAATTCGCTGACACTCTAAATTCTAAAGACATTCTGGCCATTCTTACGCACATACATAAATTACATGGAGACATGAAAGTTTTATCCGTTCTTCAGGAGTATCCGGAGTTTACAAAGGCTGAAGGTCTAACTGAAAGCCTCAAGCAGACAAACTCTTTTGAGTCGCTAATTCACGTTTCTCGGTTACATGGAAATGTTCGTGAAGCATTAGATTTTATTATACAATGTGTTCGGCATTTGCTTGATAACAGCCAACTAGATGCCGCAGAGTTGGATGGTATACAACAGAAGTTACGAACTGCCACACATATTCTGGATGAGTTGTTTTCTGCTCGTCAATTGACTGAGAGGCAAACTCTCGAATATAGGACACATCTTCTTTCGCTGATTATCTCTATTCATGCAGTGTTCGAAAAGCTTCAAGACAAAAGGTTTGTATTTGAATCTTTGGTGTCTCTATTCTTTGATGGAATTCGACACAGTATATGTTTTGGAAAGATGAACGACGAGGCGTCATGGAACGTGGTAAACGGTGTTCTCAGTAACACGCTCACATGGGTTCAGGATGGACACGACGAGTGCAGAAACCCATGGCAAGAAATGCTAAGTTTCTTGCTTCGCAGTTTCAAGCTTGGAGCACGTACGAAGCAGACATTCCAAAGAGCTTTCAATGCACAAAAGCTCCAACGAGTGTATGAATTACGGAAAATGAAAGCATGTGGATTACTGTTACAGCCTCCTGCGATTCCTCTTCATGCAAACAAAAACAAAGCAATAAAGGAGCTTGAAGGTGTTCGCCTGTACCTGTTTCAGTGTGGTCACTGCTCTATTGCCAATGTGGCCAACCTATCTAATGAAGAAGCACCAAAGTGTCCTTCTTGTACGCAAGAGGAAGATCATCCTAAAATGAGTGAGGCGTGAACAATCTTTCATAATTAATGACTTCTAATATCTACTTTTTAATGAAATGGCAAAAAGAGACTTGTGGTAGGGGTAAAACTGACATGATTACGTTAGTGCTCCTCAGTGAAGAGCTAACAAACTCATAACCGCAAGGAGTAAAGATACAACAGAGACCAGGCGTACGAGGAAACTACCACGACGTTTCAAGTTGCAGCGAATAGCGGCGTTGAAGAGTACCAGATTGAGAAGAATGAATGGCGCAGCGGATTTTCTTAAAGAATCCGTAGATAGTCAGGATGACTTTTCCGTGGCAGCTCCTTCAGAGAAAACGGTAGCTGGTGCGCTAGGCATGAGAGTATGAAGAACGTCGGCAGAGGCACCTTCACCAGCAAGTCTACCGAAAACAACGCAGGCAAGCAAACTGGAGCCTCCCAAACGGTTTTCTCCGTGAAGTCCACCAACAATTTCACCGGCAGCATACAAACCGCCAATGGGATTACCGGAAGTAGAGAGGACTTGCGACTTGTTGTTCACTTGGACACCACCCATTGTATAGTGAAGGACGGGCTGCACTTCACCAAAGGTGAACTCATCCTCGAACAAGAGAGGCTGCTTACCAAAAAGTTTGCGACCGAAAGGATCAGGCTCTTCACCAGCCAATGCCTTGTTGTAGGCTGCAAACGTGGCATTCAGCTTCTCCTCCGAGCAATGCAGAGCCTCGGCCAGTTTGTTACCGGGAACGGTACTCATAAGGCCCTTGAACGAGTAGAATTTGACAAAGTTTGCAACCTCCTTAGCCGCTGCACTGTTAAGCACAAGGAACACAGGGCTTTCCGTCTTACGCATCTCCGCAGTTAATTCATCGCGATAAGCAAGCTCATCCACGAAACGCTCGCCCTTGGCATTCACTAAAATACCGCCAGAACCGCGAAGAGCCTCTGCAGCCAAGAACTTGGTCTTAGCATCTCTGTTTTTTGGGTCGACCCAACCGGTGGGATGGATTTGGACAAGGTCAAGGTCTACCGTGTTTCCACCAATGGACATGACCATTTTATGACCGTCACCAGTACAGTAAGGACCGTTTGTCGTTGCTAAAGACAACGCCTCGGGGTGATACAAACGGAGAAGCGAGTCTTCGCTGTAATCGGCGGCGTAACCACCGGTAGCAAGAATGACGGGTCCATAAGCTTTATGAGTTGCACCGTCAAACTCATACTCAACACCGGTGACTGCAGAATGGTCTTCGTTCAGCAGTAACTTAGAAACACGGGCATTTTTTTTGATAACAAGACGGTCAGGATGAGCAACGGAGTATTTTTCCGTCTGGTCAAGCAGAACGAAGGCAAGAGGCTTGTAGGGATAGTCTGGATGTGTTCCTCTGTGTGTTCTTGGCTTCGAGTGTCCAGCAAGAAGTGAAACCTCGTTCATTTTAAGTCCAAAACGCTCATCCAGCCAGTCAATTGCTGAGGAGGATTTTGAAACGAGTGTGTGAAGCAGCTCAGGATGTGCTCTGCTGCGAGCTGACTTAATGGAATCATCGTAAAAGGTTCGATAACTGTCCTGAACACCTTTGTCGATCTGAGTCTGAGTAGGAGCACCATTAATACCGCTAGCAGCTTTAACACTGTTTCCGCCAAAAGCAGTGTTTTTGTCCAACATAAGAACATTTCCTCCACATTCCAGAGCGGTGTTGGCCGCGGATAAGCCGGCGAGCCCGCCGCCGACGACGATAATTTGAATTCCAGGTTCTGCTGACATAGTGGTAGGATTGCGAGCCTCGATGTATGGATAGGTACAGCGAGTAATGCAGGATGTAGCAGTGTTAAGTACGCGCTTTTGGTGGCGAGAAGTCGGAAGACGAGCGATCAGGGGTGGTGCAGATCTAGAGAACCCCTGATTGGCAGTAACCCACTGCATGAATGCTGATTGGCCATAGTCGCACCAACGAGCGCTAAGGGCGGGGTAATGAACTGATCGGCGTTGTGGAATCCGTAGATCGAAAATGATCGGCGACACGTTTGTAGACGGCGTCGATCCGTAACGAAGATCACATGCCCGTTTGGAACGAAAAAGGCGAGGACGCAGCCGAAACATGACGTATGGCAAATGCCGAGGCTCAGTCGGGGAACAACCGAGGAGCCGAAAAGACAGGGCCGGGCAGGCAGGGGCCGTAGAACGAGGATAGGACGTCAGCACCGGTTCGGGTTAGAACACTTTGTAGGAGAAAGCTGCTATGCCAGTGTCGACGGAAGTCGTCCAAGTGGGGAAACAGCGCTGATCATACAGTCGCAACCGTGATCGCGTAAATGCTTTTCACAAACTGGATTGGTGTCACTGAGTGCAGTTAGCACATTGATTGCATATGACGCCATAAAAATGATCGCCAAAGTGGGGGCATAACCCACACGTCGAACCCCGCGCGGGATAGATAAGCTTATTTGCGCAAACGAAAAATGCGAACAAAATCCTGCACTGTATAGTGAAGAAGTGCTGAAAAGGCAATTGCTTTCTCGCACGGCAAGCGCAATTAGAAACCTGAACGAGCCTTCTTTTTCTTTTTGGGCCGTCCGCCAAATTTTCCGGTAACGACTTGAGACATGACAATGGTGGGTTGACTCGCAGGCATAGACGCAGACAGTGATGACGGCTGCGAGAATTGGGATACGGGTGGAGGACCGGTGGTCTGCGAAAGCGTCGGAATGCGACGACGGGGAAGCGGTTGCGAAAGTGAGGGTAGTACGGGCTCGAATTCTTGTGAAGCGGGTGGGAGTGAAGTAGACTCTTCTGGGAGTGACAGCAGATCTAGTCGAGTTGGGTCACCAAGCTTCCAAGCCCCCAAAATTTCTTCTGTGTCTGGATGTAAACTAGAGACATCGAGAGTGTGGGCGACAAACGGCTGGAGGGGCGCGAGGACGTTGGCCATTTCCTCTCGTTCCACAGAAGTATCCGGCACCCTTACTGCTTCCGCACTGAGACCCAAACTCGAACACAGGAGTACAAACTCTGTGTCTGAAAGTGCAGCAGCTCGTAGACAACGAAGCACGGCAGATATTGAGCCAGAGTCTTCCGTCCACGAGGATATCAAGTAGGGGATTCCGAGAACGGACGTGGGTAACGGTTGCTGCTGCTCTATTTGGGTGCCGATTGTTTGTGACGAGAAAAAGGTACCCTGATCCATGTCGACGTCCATAGATTCGTTTGTAGCCACGGACCGTTCGGTTACATTTAATTCATAAAGTGTTCCCAAACCACTTGCTATAGAACGCAAACCTTCCAATACAGAGAGCTTACAAGGTTGCCAATCGGATAGCAAGATATTAGGGAAACAATCGTACAAAAGCGTAATTCCTTTGTTGGATTGCTCATACGCCAACCGGATAGATTCGTATGCACTCGTCAAGAACTCGCCTCCATTGGGACGGTTTTCGTTGAAACACCCAAAGATTGCCATATAGAAATTGTGCATTCGCATAGCATTTTTGCCGTTTGCTGTCATAAACGCCCTCCAGTTCTCGTTCTCAGATGAGTCACTATCCTCGTCACCATAATCCATTGTCAGAAGGGAACGCGAGGAAGAATTAAGCGGTCTTATGTTGTAATTATCAACAGCAGTTCCACTACCAAACAGGGTAAGACCTAAATAACCCGTAGTATTAAACCGGATTGCGACAAACCAAGGAGCGATACTTCTTTCCTTGGTTGCCGCATCCCAAAATACACATGGTAGGACGAGCAAGTGGACCAGTGAGTTTGCAAGCCCTTTGGAATAGAGGGCATATGGTGATAATGGAGATACAGGTAAACCCCGTTGCATCTCGAACGTGAAAACTTGTACGATGCCGTTGAGCTTTGAGAACACGAACACGTTGTAGTTCTCCGTGTTTTGATCCGGGTTGGCAACACTGACTTGCAGTTGTAGTGTTGGGTCGCACATTCGATTATGTTTCCAAGCTAACAATACGCCCTTACTTTCATCCATCCACAGTACCTCTTCAGATGTAAGCACAAACACGTGTGATCGGTTGGCCCATGCGTCGTATGTAGAGACTTGTAGGATGTGGTCTGCTGAAAGCAAAATTTTTGGTTTCTTCGCACGCAAAGACACACGAAGAATATGAGAGGCATCAATGATCACAATGGCATCGCGTTTGTAAGACCAACGGATACGATAAAAGGGATTTTTTTCTTGCTTTTTTTCGGTTTGTTGCACCGCTTCAGGAAAGATGTTTTTCTTTGCCCTGTCTAATTGCTGGTGAAATTTACCACGGTGAAGCACATTGTAAGTGCCGCCCTCGTATTTCCATACGAACCATTCACCAGTTCGCGTAATGGCTACTACAAGATTTTCATCGTCGGGATGTATGCAGAAATCAACGAAAGTGGTATGTCCGCAAAGCTCTGATGCGCGAACTGAATAAACGACATCCGTAACAAGGCGGTAAGAAGTTTCGGCTTTTACTTTTTCGTCATATCGAACATGAAAAAGAACAATCTCGCTAGCAGTACGAACATAAAGCCAGGACGAGCTGTGAGAGCCGAACTGAAGCTGCTCTATGGGTTGCAGAAACTGATGCGCTGGAAATGGGTTCATCTGAAATGCCGGCACATGCAACATTTGAGGACCCTTGTGGAAAACCCCTGCGGAAGGGTCAATTTCATTTGTAGCATTGGGATCCAACGGACTAACATGAAACTTCCAAGGAATCGCAAGAGCGAGAAATAGGGAAGTTCTCTGTTGACCACCGGCGACAGCTAAACACTGGTCTTGAGACAAAGAAGGGTTTTTTCTCATATTCGAAACGGCACCAACGGTCATAAGCGAAGTGACATCGGGTGTAAATGTTGGAAATACATGATCAAGAACGAATGACTCCTTCAAACTTGGTAATAGAAGGTCTTCCGGCACATATACGCTTTTTTCAGCGCTTCGTAAGTACGAAAGCGAACGATACGCAACAGAACTAGCCGAAGAATAAACATCCACATAATCTACGGCTTTTTTATCAAAAAAATTGGACACAACCTCCCAGTTGTAAGGTGTTTGAATGAGTTTTTTTTGGTTATCATTGTCGGTTTTTGTGAATTGCCATTCGTAATGTCCAGGAGATCTCGTCGGTTTTCCCGTTTCAGAATCTACCAGTGCACAAGAACCCAACACACCGAAGTCTAAAGAGACATACGGAGTGTGCTCAACGGCGTCTAATGGCCATGAGGACATGAATTTTATGGATTGAAGTAGGCAGTGGTCGATTAGTGTTAATTTGGTGGTGAGTTACTGGGCGGCTCGTTTAAAGAAAACGTGAAAACTTTAATGGAGTAAGCGATATGAGTTTGCATATAAGGTTCTGGGTTCTTCAATTCAAGAATAAAATTTACAGCGTCTAACGATAGCTGTATTAAATGGTTTTACATAAAATAAGTCCGTGGTTTGTTATCTATTCGGATACTTTGAAGTAATTCCTCATAAACAAGTCACTTTATCAAAGACGGCAAGAAAAAGTGCTTTTTAACATACTTAATAGGTGAGGTAGCAGATACAAGTGGACAAAACTTATTCAGAATATTATAATGCAGTTATGCTCTAAAAAATAATAACTGTCGCATTAACAATTAAGCTTTTAGTGTCGCGATTTAGCGATCCTATAATGTATCGTGCAATCGCTATGAGAACGATTGAAGTAGTTAATCGTTCACAAACAGCGTTTCTGCGCGTTCTATCTTGTGAATTAACATTCGTTAGATTAAGACTACAGTTCGGTTGATAAACCTTTCATCTTAATTTCTTCAATTATTCAAGGTAGATAGTTTGTCACGAAACGATGATATGCTTCTTAACTCGAAACGAAAACGTTTTCACTGATTATAGCCATTAAACTCTTGCATATTTATGTTGACTATTCAGTTTTTTAATATGTTGTCTACTAATTCATATTAGTAATGCTTTACAATTTTGTGAGAAATAAAATCTATTAATTTTGAAAAAGGTGCAATGACAAAGTGATGACTTTGAGTTACTTCGTAATAGCAATGAAGACTAGCGAATGCTTAGTCATTCATTTTGCGAAACATAAATCACATTTTCTCTCGTAATAACTCCGTTAATGACAAGTTCCATAAAGCCGGAACTTTCTACATTGTTGGAATCTTGGAGTTTCTTTAATAAGCAATTACAACTAGGCAAAGCAAACCATGTGAACAGGACTGAGTAAGTGGCTTCATTACTATTGGAAAGTAGATTTATGAATTAAGGATATCTAACCATCCAAAATGAATATTTCAAGAAAGCATTAGTGGTGTAGCGGTAACATTGGTGCTCCCCAAGCACTAGCTCCGGGTTCGACTCCCGGCTAATGCAAGCGTACGGGCCCTCATTCAGGGTATCCCTTTTTGCCCTACAGGGATGTGTTTTTTCTTTTCATGGATCAATTTACACTGAAGGACTACGCGTGAAAAAGTGACCATTGAAAGACGTTTGCGAACCTTAATTTATGTTATGACGTTTTTTATCTAGTCGAAACCTTAAGAAACTTAAAGTAGTGTCTGCGGTATGACAATGAGTTGGTAAGTAGTATCTAAGCAAAAGAACTTTTCGCTTCATGCATTAACCAACGGCCTCAGAGTCAATTTGTTTGCGTATAAGATCATATTAAACGATGACAATACTCCTGTGCACCCTCAGGTTTAATAGGATCAACGACTTAAAATACATAGAAACCAACAATAAATAAACAAATAATAATATTAGTTGCAGAAGGAAAGACATGAGAAAGCAGATAAATTAACGGAAGAATATCACAACAATTAAAGGCATATATATATGATTGGATTACCAGAGGTATCGAAAGCTCGCTTGTTGCTTATCTGTCAAGTCCATGAACTCTTCATTTTTTTGCCCATTGGATTGGCTTTGATCACTCGATTCTGCCTTCTTCTTGTCGCGTATACGATTTTGGTAAATGTAGTAATAAAGAAGTGCCAGCCATAGTCCAAATGTAATACTACACGAGACGAAGATGGCCTCCATTCCCATATCGTAAGTGGGACTTTGACTTGATTTGAACAGTTGAGGGGAAACGATATTTCCGATGGAATAGAAAACAAAAATACTTGCTCCGACAACCATCTTTTTTGTGTAACCTGCAACATTTGATGCAACCAAAGAAAGCAAAGTTACGAAACAAATGGGAGAACCGAAGTAAATCCAGATTCCGACCATTCGACCCCATGGATTTTTCAGTTTCCACACGAGACCTGCCGCAACAATTGTCAAGGCGGTACCAACAAGAGCAATAAAAATTCTTCCACGTTTGATGCGCGTAGAAATGAGACCAGTAATAACCAATACAACAAACTCTACGGCGCCGCTAGGCATGTTAAAGAGAGTAGTGCGAAAGGTGGAGAAACCGAGACCCTTGATAATGATAGAATTGAATACAGTGATACCATTTGAAATCATATAGGTACCGGTTATGAACACAAAAAGCCAGACTTGGGGGTCGCAGAATGCCTCAATAAGTTGTTCCTTTTTAAAGACCTTGTTTCGACACCAGTACGGTTTTCACGAATACGTTCGATGGCGATACGACGTTCGCGAGGAGTCAAAAACCGTGCGGTAACAGGGTTGCTAGGGAAAAGGAGATAGAAAATGCCGGCCCAAGCTAAAGAAAGACCGCCAATAATGATGAAAATGAACTTCCATGTTGACACATGAGAGTTGTGGATATGGCCAATGCCGTAACTAAGAATACCGCCAATGATAGTAGCGACACCATTAAACGAGTACCAAAGCATGGAGCGCATAGTCTGCTCCTCGCGTCGATACCACATGCTAGTAATGCTAACGAACGCCGGACTGACACACGCTTCAAATACGCCCATCAAAAAACGAAGGGCCAAAAGTCCACCAGCATTGCTACAGGCAGCCATAAGCATAACCATGGCGCTCCAGCAAAGTGTGTTGACAAAAAGAAAGAGGTTGTTAGGCAATTTTTGAAGAATATATGCGCCTGGATACTGAGCAACCAGATAGCCCAAGTAGAAAATTGTGGTTAGCCAACTGTATTCTGAACCATGCAAGTGAGCTTCCTCGATCATTCCAAATAAAGCTGCATATGACAGAGCAACTTTATCAAGGTACTGTAAAGCATAAGTAATGCACATTAGGGGCATTAAAACAAGGTCAATTTTCCGAAGCACACGATTAGCTTCCTCCTTCGTATACTCAAAATCATCATCAGCGAGCAATTGCACTGCAACGTCAAGGTTTTGGAGTTGAGCTTCGTTCACAGGTAACGAAAACGACTCAATCTCAAGCTTATAGGGATTATAGTCATCCGTAATCGGCTTTGCTTCCGAGAACGATCTTGCGTCCTTCTTTTCCGAATTGTGTTCAGACATCGTAATTGAACACAATAAATATATAGTACAAAAATTGTAAGAAGACTAAGCAACCGTCAAAATAGAAAGATCAACGGAAAGAAATAAATAGATCAAAGAGAGAGAACAGAAAGAAAAAGAAATATTTACTGTTTTCAGGAAAGCATGTACAAGGCTGTTGCACCAAAGACGTCGCTACAGTCACAAAAATGGCCAAGTTGTTTTTGTGCGGATTTCACAATGAGACATTGGAGCAGGGAGTTCATCGACAGCTTTTAATAATGGCAAACAAGGGTGAGAAATTCTTATTCGCGAAATGTCGTCTGCGAATCCAACAACATTGAATAGCGTTTTGTCGGCAAATGAGCATAACCTGCACTTTAACGGTGATGACTGAAATATCTCAGACATTATTCGTCCGAGATAGCGCCCGATTTATCGAACACGTTCTGCCCCGATGATCCGTGGAGTAAGTCGTTTTCATCTGACGTGGCTGAATCTTAAGCTTATCATCGAATCCCAACTATCAGTGTTAATTTGTTATCACTGACAGTAACGTAATTCCGGTAAGAGAGCTTTTGCGATATTGAACACAGTGCCTAATTCGATTGTTGGAGTGTTGTTTTTGGTGGTAAGTTTGAGAAGACAAGTAAGCTTTTCGCTTAAATAACCTTAATTGAGGAGTGCGAAGAATGATGATATATTGAAGTTCTTTGAGAATGGCAGCAATTGTTCTCGTGTGTATGTTAGGCATTAATATGGTACAAATTACAATATCGCATATAGTTGAGTTGTGATATACTGAGATTACAGGTACAACAGGAACGTAGGCCAATTAAGGTTTCGCTTAAATCTGGGTTTATTTTAGTAAACAAACAAATCATACACAGTACGAGTGGATATGATAAGTAAGGAAGCGATATCGAGCTATCCGTATGATAACTCAATGCATTCGATGCTTGGTAATTGAGTATGAGCTTCCCGAAGGTTGATACTGAAAGTGAGCAAGCTTAATCGAGATTGCTAGGAAACAGAAACACACTACATCTGCATTCAAAGCCAAATTTTGAAAATTGAAAATCAATTGCCGAACTATACAAAAGTGTAATTAACATAGAAATTCTGTTGTTTTGTACTTGCTCTTGGAACGTCTATTGCTACACATATAACACACTGCTTAAAGACTTTCGGATATAACGTAGCCTGTTAATGCGCTAATCCGTTGAATTGTGGGCTTCAGTGAGCTGTAGCTCAGACATTGTAGAAAATAATTATATTTAGAAAGGTCATAAGATGCTTTGTCTCTCAGAACATTCACATGTGAGGGAAGTTGTGGCTGTCATGGCTTATAAATTCACTCCTTGGACCATGTCCCTGTGTCTTTTATAGAGACACGTTACTAAATAAGGGTGCTGCAGAATTAGAAAGTAATAGAGATCAATTTCAAGTGAGTATTGCTCGAAATTAATTTCACATTCGGTACCTAACTGAAGGATTGAATTGACCAATCATCCAGTTACATCAGAAAATACCATTTATCGTTTTCGTAAATTCCAGGCTCCACTATGTATACCGAGTTTATAAATCTGAGCGTATTGCAAATTACAAAAATGCACTATGTTTGACGTCTCCATCATTACGCAGCTATTTAATGTCGACTACTTTATACCCAGTTATAGGATGGCACATTTGTTCATTCCTGTAGTTTGAATACTCAAGGAAAGGATTTAACAGAATTCGCTTACAGAATCGTTAGTAGCTTTCTTTAAATAGTGTATGTACGTGTATTGGCCAACCGCGATGACGAACACTCTTGATCGTAGGATTGAGTATGCTCGGTTGAAATAAATCCGACGGCTTCTATAAAAAGGCGACGCTGTCAACCTTTAATTCCGCATAATCGTACAGTAACAATCAAGAAAATGAGCAATGACTAATTAAGAAAAAAGAACACACTGGATATGCTAATGAATGAAGTTTACCAGTTATCACGATAATTGCCGCATAGCGGAGAAACAAAATTACTGGGAATATTTTATTAATTCACATACGATTTCCTAAGCGGTATTGTGTGAGCTTTCATTGCAATTGATTGTTCGTAGAATTTATTCTTCTCTTTAATTCCCCCAAAAAAAACATTCCCATTCAGTATTTGAAGTTCGCAATTTAGTGCACTTTAGAGAAAAACTAGATCGTATAATAACATCAGATCTTCAACTCACATTCACTTGTGACAAAGTTGTATCACCGTATCAAAACCTTGACCCTATTGATGTTTACAACCCTTAAACGGCGTTCCTAACAAGTATAACAGATACCTGTTGATTCCATATATGCTGAACTGTGGTAAACGCTTGCTCCTACTATACTGTACGAGAAAACGCGGACAATTTGAACCAAGTAACCTATTGTAAGTATTGGTAAGCTTTAAGGCTAACTGATCTATTTATTTGGGCCCTCAAAATCACTAAATCTTTTGTTTTCTCATTAAATTTTTAGGCATTAAAGTTCATAAAATGCAAGGCGACAGAGTTAACATAACTGTGTCAAAATGAAGTGGGCCAAATCCAAGTTTGTCCAGTACGAAGAATGCGAATTCATCGCTGATGAGTAATCATATGTGGCATCGGAGGCGGACTGTAGCATAAAATCAACCCGACCTGTGCTGTTGAGAGAATATACCTTCTCTTCGGGTTGCCAGACTTTGTTCTTATTACTGTTCGCCGTATTCTCAGGCGTCACACTCTTGTCGGACGCTGTGCGCCAGTTGTCCCCCAAAGATTGCTTAATCAGACTATTTGTTATACCAGAACGCAAACCAGCCCATACGTTAAACGGACCAAAACTCCATCGTTGCCCAGTATTATGCGTCGACAAACCGGGAATAGACTTCACCGAGGGAATAGGCTGGGGATGAACTTGTGCCATTCGCTTCGCAATTAAAGGTTCAACACGATAACTAATAGGGTCAGTCGGTAAAAAGATGTTGTAAAAGTTGCGACAAGACAGAACGGTCGTATCATCCACAAAATCCTCCTCAGAAAGACTTCCATGCATTAAAGAAGTATTAAGCGAGCCTTGGCCAGAAATGCGACGGCCATTAAGCATTTGAAATAAACCCAACGGACTGCCAAGGGCAAAAAAATTAGTCACTTTGAAATCCAAAGCATACTTTTTATGCTCTCCTTCGTCACCCTGACGAGCGAGTATATCAAACAAAATGACTGACCCGAGTGAATGGCCCAGAAGTGACACTTCGCCGGTGAAATCAGGATTGTTTTCCCGGTAAAGACGGTAAACATGGTTTAATCGTTTAACAACAACTGCAAGTATTTTTTCTCTGTAAGAAGGTTGGTAATATAAAAGTACATCTAAAAAGACATCGGAAATAATGTTGCGGAAACCAACCACAGCCTGAATGGTAATGTCCTCAAGAGTGGGAGCTCCTCCCTCCATATCGTCATCGTCTCCGAGATCATGCGAATAGTCTGCACCGTCTTCTTCCTCCGCGAGAGGATCAGTTTTTGTCATGCCAAAACGAATATCTTGCCGCCAAAGTACAGGCAGACACTGCACTACGCTGCTGTTTTTGAAGCCCGGTATTAGTGTTTGTAGATCTTCGGAGATGTTGTACAATTCCTTTAGTGTATGCCGAAACTTACTGACATCGTAGACAAAACTTGCTTTCTTCAGACGTTCACCCATTTTCTGGCCAATACCGTGACAACAGAAAATTAAATGTTTTGCTGGTTTCGGCTTAGCATTTAGATCTTCACCCAATGCGTCTACACTTCCTGTAACGCTGGAGGGATTGTAGTCACTAAGCTCTATAGTGTCTGCATCACTAGCATCATTTCCGGGAAGAGTAGTAGATGAACTAAGATTCACCGAACTACTGCGTTTCATTGACAAGACCGAGCGTTCGTAACCACGAACGAGTCTGTCTGTTTTATAGCCATTTGAGGGTGACCAACGGAAAAAGAAGCTTGAGGAGAAACGGCCATAATTGAGTTTGGCCGTGTTCTTTCCGCTGAATTCTATAAAGCCTCCAGTGTACTGTCCCAATAGGGGCCAATTTCCCAGACCTCCATGTTTTTGGTTGAAGGAACCCTGCTCCTCGCGAAACGGGCAACTGTGAAGATAACCCTCTTCTATTTGAGTTGCTAAATTTTCTTCGCACGGGTAAAGCTCGCTATTTGTCTCATAAAACCAGGTTCCGCGAACCACCCGGTATACTGGGCCATCCCAATAGATAGGATATAGTTCCCGTTTTGCAATATCCACTGCAAAGAGGTGATCCTCGTTCACCTGGATAGGAGTTAAAACTGACTCGTCTTCTGCTTCCCAGTAGGCCATTTCCAAGCGGTCCGAGTCAACTGCCGAAAAAGGCTTTAGTTTTCTGGCTTTTTTATCTAGTAATTCAGCATTTTTTAGAGGCTTGAGAGGACGATCAATGGCATAAAACCATCGAACACGCAGTTCCGGTGCATCCGTCACAGACTTGGATAAGCGGTGACGGAAGGGTAACCTAGGACGTTCCACATGAGGCAATGGGCTACTGCAGCCCGAATCCATAATTCTGGATTTTCGTTATTTATCGTGAACAGTTCGGCGAAAAAGACCAAATCGCAACACTTGACGTAGGTAGCCAACCGACGTCAGCCGTGGGCATATGACGTATGAAAAATAGAGTTTTCGCTTAGTCGCACAGTTTAATCTGCCGAAGTACATTCAAACAGAAACGAATAAAAGGCGTTGAAGACGAGAATCGCAGCGCGAAATATTGTATGTGTGTGTGTGTGTGTGTGTGTTGGAGAGTAGTGAGTACACCTAGTACTCCTCTGCAACATCAGTGTTGTCATGACCTGAGATAGCGACTTGCGAACGATACATCTCTGCAATTTGTTCAGCAGATGTAGCCTCCTCCCAGTTCTTGTCTTCACGTTCACGAACAAAGCGAGGGAAACGTAAACTCACGCCTTTATCCTCACTTATGTAACCAATTGCTGCTTTGTATACAGGAGATAACGACAGGTCTGCAGCAAGAATCTCCCAAAGATACTTTGGCTCAAACCAGACATCAGGTTGGTGGGCGGGAACATCGCTGTGAGATATGTACTCTTTAGGTTTGAGTGTAACAGTGTCCTTGAATTGGTTATAAAACTTTTCCAGAAGTTCTTCAGAGAAACCGGTGCCAAGTTTGCAGATCGTCTGGATCATTTCGGTGTCAGGGTCATAACAGCCCAACAAATATGCTCCATAAACAGAGGTACGCTTGCCTCGTCCATGATAGGCTCCAATGACAATTAAGTCGAAAGAATCACCAACACCAGACAAGTAGTCCTTTTTCAGCTTCAACCAATTGCGGGAGCGCTTTGAGGGCTCGTAATGCGACTCCGGTCCATCAAGCATCTTGACCATCAGGCCCTCGCAGGAATCATGAATGGAGTTTTCAAGGAACTTCTCTATATCCTCAGAAGACTGGGCATCACTAGATTTGGCAAATGTAAATTCGCCTTCAGCTGGGGAAAATGCGTCATAAAGCAAGCGTCGTCTCTCGATGAAAGGCGTTGTCAACAACGACTTTCCATTAAGGTACAATAGGTCAAACGCAAAAATACACGCTCTCACCTTCACATCTTCCAGTTGTACATCTTTACGCTTACGCGTCGAAAGGATTTGAAAGGGTAAGATTTTATGCTCATCGCGATCCCACCCAACGGCTTCGCAATCAAGAATGAAGCTCGTAGAGGTCGGTTTGCGCCATCTAGAGACCGATTCAACAATGTCTGGGTAGCGACCAGACACATCCTCTGAGTTTCGTGAAAACACACGAAGTTTGCCATCTTCAGTAAAATGAATTTGAGCACGTTCTCCATCGTATTTGTATTCACAGGTAAATTTGGATCGTTCGAATCGATCAAGGACTTCGGAAATCTGCTTACTGGGTTTTGCTAACATAGGCTTCATAGGTACACCAGGAGTCAGCTTACATGAATCTTCGAGGCCTTCCAAACCATGTTCAAGGAGGTGGGGTATAATGAAATCATAAGATGGGAGCTGTGAATAGACATCCCGGAGCTTTTGTTCTGCCTCCGCACAAATTTCCGGGTTCACCTTTGTGCTGTCCTTCTCGGCATGATACATTGCAGCTGCATGTGCAAGTGAAACAATAATTGTTTTTTCTGCCAAGTTAAGACGGAGCTTTCCTTCGAGCATTCTAACAAGGTATTTGGGCTCTTCATTTTGACATGAACTGAGCAACCGTCTAATTAGACCAATTTTCCGTGCCTGCGATTGAGAGCCTGTCATGCTGGCTATGTTTTTCAACGTTTTAAAAAGTACGGGGATAGTGAGGGGAGCAGGTTTGAACATTGTAGGCTGGTTTTGTCGGGAGGACTGTGCAATTAGGCCTAGGTCGCCGACTTTTTGGTACGAATGCTTCACTTGCTGGAGCGTTTGACCCGTGGACTCTGCAATAGCTTTGATAATGAAGCTTTCGCCGATGCCTAGCTCGATTCCCTCGTAATCTGGACCGAGCTTGGTAAGGGTTAGAACTTGAATCGTAAACAACTGTAGCGTACCTTATTAATACTAAGGTAAATGGACTGTAGCAGATCACTTGGATAGTCACGAAATACGGCAAAGAAAAAGTTTCGCATGATGTCGATGATCTCAAGCCGCTTAGTTGTAGCCTCCACTTTTGTAAACGTATTGACCATGCTTGCAAAGGTAAGATGAGGACCTTGAGCGGCCTCTTTTGCCTTTGTAGTTTCCTGCTTTCCTTTACCATCAGCCTTGTTTACTGTAGAAGCACTAGAGGTGGACGATGTATCTGTGTCATCCACTGGGGTATTTTTCTTATTCTTTTTTATCGATCGACCGTTTTCCTTGGGAGATGGGCCGTCAATGTCCATCTTCTCCGCTTTAGAGTCGACACTGTTCTTTCTCTTATTGCTAGAGCCCGTTGAAAGGGAAACGGGGTCATTGTTTTCGTTACGCGACGCATCTTTTAATTTAAACGCGTTTCCGAAGAAAGAACTAAACGTTTCAGCTTACTTCTACTGCTTACACGTACCTAATATTCGTTTGTCGCCCTGCCATGAGAAAAGAACGCACGCCTCTAATGGTTGTAGCTGATAGAGGAAGTGCACGAAGCATGAAGCTAATATCGCACGCGAATAGCTTGACAGAAAAGCTGTTTACGCCGTTATAATATAGTGTATATTATTTCAGCTAACTTAAGCTATAACGTATGAAAAAGCAATTTTCTTTGTTGACAATGAAACAAGGGGTTTGTCCAGCTACAGTTTTAATTCTATTGGCGCATCCTTACATCAAGGCAAGGTAGTCATTTGCTAGAAATTGAATAAGCTACGTTTCTCATAATGCACAGAACCGATCATTTCGGTAACTCGAAGTTTAATTGATATTGGGAGGAATTAACCCTTTGTAAAAAAAAAATAAAAATAAAAATAAAATAAAGTAATAAAGTTTATTTAACTTAATTTTATTTTATCTCAAAGATAATTATATTTAAATGAATGAATGATAGTTAAATACTCGTTTGACATTGTGAGAGAGTCGACCAGTTGAATCAATTGCTTATTAATAAATCTCGTAATAGTTGATTAATTAATTAAACAAAAAAAGAGCATTTATATTAGAATTTATTAAATGATGATAATTCAAGAGGGATTTATTTTTTAAACCATATAAAATTTAATAATTAAAAAATAAAAAAAAATATATATATACATATATATATAAATAATATAGAATCTCATGCCAAAAGAAAAATTAGAAAGGTTTCCTTAGCATCCGCAGCAGCCATCAATATGATTTGCTTAATTTCGCCAGTACAGGGTTCAATTGCCACTGGAACGGCAATTTCTTACTAATATCTAAAATACTATTTTTTGGTGTGGCCAATAGGCTTAAAACTCACCACCAAAAATTTCGCATATAGTGCGAGGCACCGGCAAAAACAACCTTCCTTCTACCAACCACTCAACCTCAGCATTTGACGAGGATTTTGTTCGAACTCGAGCTCGGTCAGATCTTGTGGTACTTTGGTGGGTTAGAAAGCATAAGCAAAAAAAGATTTCAACCAAAAATCTTGTGTCTTTAGTGTTTCTGTCCGTTCATTTCCCGTTTTCTTTTTGCATCTATTCCTTTGTATATCTTTTTGACTCCTTTTTGGAAAAACACACCATTAGAAAAAATGTCTTCCACTTTCAAGTCTGCCGCTGACCAACTGATGCGTCGCTTGAACGCCATCGGTGGCTCCCGTTTCTTCAGCTCCAATGGCTCTAAGCAGCCTCGCTGGCTTCTCTACACCGGTTTGGGTCTTGCTGCCCTCGCCGGTTGGGCTGCATGGGATCTCTCTGATACCAGAAGTTTCATCCATCGTCACATCACGATGCCCTTGCTCCACGCATTCACCTCTGCCGAGTTTGCTCATCGTTTCTCCATCTTGTCCGCTGCCATGGGCTTGACCCCCAAGGACCGTGTCCCTGATGATGAGAGCCTTGCTCTTGAATGCTGGGGCCGCAAGTTCTCCAACCCTGTTGGTTTGGCCGCTGGTTACGACAAGCAAGGTGAGGCTATCAGCAGCCTCTTCGACTACGGTTACGCCTATGTTGAGGTTGGTTCCGTTACCCCCGAGCCTCAACCCGGTAACGAGCGTCCTCGTTTCTGGCGCTTGAAGGAGGACCGTGCCGTTGTCAACCATTATGGTTGCAACTCTCATGGTCATGACGTTGTCTTGGGTCGCCTTAAGAAGCGTATCCACAACTTCCTTGCTCGCCGCTCTTCCGATTTGGCTCGTAAGTTCGACAAGGACCCCGAGTCCTATGTTGACCCTGCTGTTCTTGGTGTTCCCCGCAGTCTTTACCCCCGCAAGCAGCTCGCCATTAACGTTGGCAAGAACAAGAACGGTGATGAGACTGAGGATTTCTTGAAGGGTGTCAGAAAGTTTGGTAACTTTGCCGATATCCTTGTTGTCAATGTTTCCTGCCCCAACATTTCCGGTGTCTGCAACCTTCAATCGAAGGATACTCTCGTCCCCTTGTTGAACAAGGTTGTTGCTGAGCGCAACAAGCTTGTCTCTCCCCAACCCCCTATTGTCGTTAAGATTGGCCCCGATTTGACTGAAGCCGAGATCAGTGACATTGCTCACGCTCTCGTCGAGACTAAGGTTGATGGTGTTATTGTTTGTAACTCTACTGGTACTCGTCCCAAGACTTTGACTCCCAACAAGAACTTGGAGAACGTTGGTGGTATTTCTGGCCCTGTCATGAAGCCCTTCTCTCTCAGAGTTCTTCGTCTTCTTCGCAAGGACTTGCCCAAGGAGTTCCCCATCATTGGTTGTGGTGGTATTACTAGTGGTAAGGACGCTGTCGAGTTTGCTCGTGCCGGTGCCACTATGATCCAAATCTACACTGCCATGACTTACGAGGGTCCTGCTGCTATCCGCAAGATCAAGGATGAGATTGTGGAGGAGCTCAACGGTAAGCGTTGGGTTGATATCATTGGCACTGAGTCTGCTTAAAGGAAAAACTGGAAGTGACCAAAGTTCCGCCGCTGCAGCACATCACCATAAAAGTATATATGGGTACAGCAGCGTATGGCTATGCTGAGGTAGTTCATAGTCGTTTATATGTTTCCTGGCTGAAACCGTTTGGGTAGTTTATCTCCGGGCTTCGAGTGGACGAACTAGCAGTAGTTTGGTTTTTTGTTTATCCTTTACGTTCTAGTGTTTTGTTCTTTTTTGTTCAGAGTTTGCGTTAATCGTATTGCTCTTTAGTTCTTAATTAGGTGTTTGTTTAGGTCTAGGTTTAATATTTTTTTTCTCGTGTTCTTCGATCCGTCGGGTATTGGTTGGTCTTAGCGTTTCTTAATCTGGAGCGGCTTAAGATTTGTCTTATTATCCGCTTGTGATTTAGCTTGACTTTTCCGTTGCTCACTGTTTGGTACCGACCCGTTCCCTTGTTCTCGCTTGAATGTGTTGCAACTCCTTAAATGTTTTAAGGTTAAGAAACTGCGCTTGAATTCTCTATACCCTCTAGTACCGGTCGCACCGTTCCTCTTCGCATCGCAAGCTTCATATAGAAAAGCGAAACGGCAGGAAGGTTTTGGCTTGTTTATACGAGCACGGACAGTTAAATATATTGTTAGCTTAAGAATTGAACTTCTAGGGACTAGGTCTGTCGTTAATAGCGAAAGAAAAGAAAACATAAATTGTAAACGCAGCATCATGTTTTTAAGGAGACTCTTACCGCGTTTACGGATGCTGCGAGCTTCAAGGGGATTCAATACTCCACAAAAATTAGCGTTTCGTAATGCTTATTTCTATACCAATGGACCGACACAGACACGTAACTCGAATTCTTTCTGGAGAAGTATGACGGTACTTGCAGCTGGTACATTTCTTGCAGGATATGCTGTGGGAAAACTAAATGGTCTCAATCATCTTGTACAATTGCAGCGTGACTCTGGTAATGAGCCAAATAATAACGGACAAGACAAATGGAAGCAGGAAAAAAGCTTTCAAGATAATCTGGATAGTCCACCAATGGACCATGTCCGTTCAGAGACTCAAGGTACGTGGACGCCAATTGGAAACAGAGCAGTGTTTCTGCCGAGAAGCGTTGTCTTCCGCTCTTTACACATCACTAACTAATTCTTGCAGCGTATAATGAACCTTACATGCAACATCGCCGAATCGAAGACGCTGCCGAGAAAGCAGAAGAAAAGACGGGAGAGTTAAAAACGGATGAGGAGGTTAAAAGTACTCCCGAATCATCGAGTACAGAGGAAACGCACCCGCAAGATATCCCACAGGACATTCCTGTGAACACTTCTACAGAAGGTGAGAGCGAGGTAGAGGCTGTGTCAGTGTCTACAACAACACCCGCTGCCAATTCTGCTGGTCTTGTGGAGGATATCGCTGCCGAGCATGAGGACGAAGAGGCTGCCTTTGACCCAGAAACCGGAGAAATTAACTGGGACTGCCCTTGTTTGGGAGGAATGGCTCATGGCCCGTGTGGTGAGCAATTCAAAGCTGCCTTTAGTTGTTTCGTCTACTCGACAAGCGAGCCTAAGGGTATGGAGTGTCTGGAGAAATTTCAAGCCATGCAGAACTGTTTCCGTGAACATCCAGAGATGTATAGTGACATGATTGCCGATGAGGATGCTACGGAAAAGGATAAACCACACAAAACGGAGACGGCGGAGACGACATCAAATAGTAGTGATGCACACACTACGACTAAAGAACCACCCAAGAATGTCAGCGACCCTTCCAACGTTTCTCCATCAAGCACAGCTACGAAGCCAGTTTCTACGTCCTCTATGGTGTCTTCCGATGATACCTCTTCAAAAATTTAGGCATGAATGAGTGTACAGAATGAACAAGCATGCGACAATGCGCCAATGTTACCCACAACAGGATTTGTTTAATGACCGCCACAATTTCAATGTACCCAATGCAACACTGCACCGAATAACGCTGGAGACAGCTTCCATAATTTTACTCTATTGTTTTCCTGCGAAATATGAGACTCACCACGCCTGCCCCCGCAGAACCCCCACAACACATAGTAAGGGTGAGACACCTCTGCTGAGAAAGTTTTGTGGATACGAACGAACCTACGCTCTACCAACCACAGAATCCGTCTGTTGACTAAAAAAATGTCTTCTGCTGCTGAGACTCCTGCCACCACGGCACCTGCTCCCGAGAAGGTCGCTGAGACTCCCGTTGCTGAGCCTGTTCAGGCGTCTACGGAGTCTGAGGCTTCTAAGACTGAAGCTGCTCCCACCGTTGCTACTCAAGAGGCGGTTCCTCCTTCGGAGGAGGAGCTGGAAATTTTGAAACAAGTTGAGTTCTATTTCTCGGACAGTAACTTCCCTCAGGACAAGTTTTTGTGGACGACAGCACAGAAGAACAACGGCTGGGTTCCCATTGCCGTTATTGCTGCTTTCAAAAGAATGAAGCGTTTCCAACCCTTGGAAAAGGTTGTTGGTGCTCTCCGGAAGAGCAAGGAATTGCTTGAGGTGGATGAGAAGGGTGAAAATGTCCGCCGTAAGGTTCCTTTGCTTCCTCCGACCAAAACCGGTGCTGGTCCTATCTTGGAAAGAAGCGTCTACGCTAAGGGTTTCGGTGAGGAGACAGCTACTACTCAGTTTGATGTGGAAAAATTGTTTGAGAGCCAGTCCGAAGCTGTTGCCAGTGTCCGTCTTCGCCGTGCCGACGACAACGCTTTCAAGGGAAGCGTCTTTGTTGAATTCAAGACGGCTGATGCTATGAATGCCTTTTTAGAGAAGGTTAAGGTGACACCTCTGCAATGGAACGGTCAAGATCTTACTATTATGAGCAAAAAGGCCTATGTTGATATGAAGGCTGAACAATACAAGGACGCTCCTCCCAAGCAAGGAAACTTCCGGAGACGCAGACGGTTCGATGCCTTCAAGCTTATGGACCATGGTAAGTCTGGCAACCGTCAGCACCAAAAGCGCAAGCGCAACTTCCACCGTCAAGACAAGGAGAAGAAGTAGACGGAATCTACTACTTACTTTTTGAATTTTATACTCCTGTCCAGGTGTCCAACGGACATCGGAAAGAAATGGCTAGTGAGTGAACGGTGTGTAACGTACTGTTCACACTAGCCAAAGATCGATCGATACCTTTGGCATCGGGGGCTGTTTTACTACTTTTTACAATTTTTTTAAATGGGTTTTTGGGGAATTGTTTATAACCGGACCGGCTTGCGACTGCTCATCACTGTATGCACTTGTCGCTGATTAATGAAAACGGCACATTAAAGTATGACGATTGGGGGGAGGGGGAAGCAACGGGGTTGGAAAGGTTGAGTGAGGAGTTGGTTTTGTTGAGCGGTGCTTGGGGAAGGTCGTTGCGAGTTTCATTTCTGATACTTACTACTCGTTATGAAGTATTCTCTTATTCATTATTAAGCTGTGAACCGGTACAGTACGAAGAGAGCCTGCACGCAGTCCCGCCGTGTGTTTATCAAGAAGAAACTTGCCCATTTCATTCCGTTCATTTCACGTAATAAATCAAAACTCTTCCTGTTCAACAGAGAAGAATCGGGAGTAAAAGTTGACCACAATGTAGATGATACTGCCGCCGAAGAAGGCCATCCAAGCAGCAGTCTGAGTGCACAACTTTAAGTGGACAAACATAATTGGGAGGCCTATACGAGTTAGAAAATGAAGGAAGGAAGAGGGAGAGAGAAAGAAAAAAAAACAAGAAAGAAAGGAACGGAAGAAGGGCGTACAAAGTAGCTGAACCCGACCGTTGTTGACATACCAACTGTAGTAGCCAACAGGGCTCCAAAAAAGAAGCGACCCATGTCGACAATGTTTCTACCGTGGTTAGGGATAAATCATCGCTGGACCCTGACATACCGATCCTCCTCTTGTAAAAAGTCATGCTGGGCAGAATACTTTTGAGAAAGATATTGAGGAATTGGAGCTAACAAGGGTGGAAGTACTGTAACCAACTGTTAGATATTTGTCCATTGCCGCATAAAAACAGCATTTCCGTACCAAGAATAAGAGGGAAGGCATTTTTAAATAGAGCACAAGACAGAATGACAAGCAAAAAGCCAACGGCCAAGACCTAAATTCCGAGTCAGATTCCGTCCCGAGTAAGAATGCACTTTCTCAATAGAAACATACAGAGGAGAGGCCAACAATTCTAAATCACAAGTTAACAAGCTGAACACGGTGAACGGTCTACATTGATATGAAACGTACTTTCTTAAATCCGACATGTTTGTTCGTACACCGGAAGGGGTGATGCCAGTGAAGTGTAGGCCATATAGTGAGGCTCTACGTTGTGTTGCGCAAAGCGTAAACAAGCGGTAACTAGTTTTAACGAGGCCGAGTGAAATTAAACGGGAGGGAAGGTATCCGAACGCAGTTCTACGTAGTACGGAATTTGTTATTGGGTTTTGTGAGAAAACTTAAGGCAGTGTTGTGCGTTACATAAAAACGTTTAACGTAGGATAAAAACACGATATACGTTTTACCGAGTCTTAAAAATAAGTGAATAAGAATTCGCTATGTCGTTTTATGATGTCTAACACACCGTAAAGCGTTATTAGTATTACTGTTTGCGTCCCGTCCATACACACCTCCTTTGCACCTTTGCACATCCGCACCCCATTGCCCGTCGTTATCTTGACCTCATTTCGCCCACACCAAGAACACGGAAAGGTATTCGTTGACGCACACACCCTCCATAGACCTCCCTCTAAACGACTACGCTTATTTCTAACGTCACCGCCACTGGGTCCACAAACCCAGAGAGAGGCCACAAAAAGACGCACCAATTTGCTACTAATCATTTACCTTTTAGTTTTAGAATAAATAACATTGAACGCGGCATTGGCGGAGCAAAAGAATTACAGAAGATGAGTGCAGCTGTGGTTGTTGTTTTTGCCGGTTACCTGCTGTATCGAGCAGTGAAAAAAAAGCGGGAGAAGAACAAACTGAAACGTCGATCCGTGGAAACCGAACACGTATTCAGTAAGGGCGATGAAAGCCTTGATGCACAGCGAGCGAGTGAGTTCACACAAGTCACTGAACGATCCCTGGGGTCTCGAACAATTTCGTTCGAACACCTTCCCAATGATACCAAGAAAAATAATAGTAGTACAACTACAATCCACCGAAAGTCGTCGTCAGAGGACGATTCCATGGACGGATGGTATTGACGTTCCGTTATAATATGTAATGACCCTTTAAACAAAAATAATGAGCTTTTCCAACAGCACCAGCTATTCAAACGAACAGTGCTACCAGCTTCCCTTCGTACCACACTCCTGCAATCTGTTCCGTTTCAATTAGCGTGATTTATTTGTTTTTTATTTCTGTCGACGGTAGACGTTTTTGGATGTTGATTACCAAACTGCAATACTTCGGAGAATAAAGGGAGAGAAGGTAGGGGAGGAAAAAGATGATAGAATAAATAAAAAATATACAGTGCGACCATGCTTGCACATACACACGGAGGTGTACAACAGCGCTTTGAATGCCTGAACAGCTGACGCTTAGTGACCGTCCTCAACACGGATAACTGAGCTAGACACGGACGGCGGAACTGCACCGAATAACCAAACGGAAATTTGACCATCATCGTAGCCGGCAATCACCTCGCAGTCGCCAAGTGTCACCGACGTCACAGGTGCATTGTGGTCTTTTAGTGTGTAAACACATTGGCTAGCTTCCCAAACCTTAACACACCCATCGTGTGCTCCAGAAATGAGTCGGAGACGGTCGGCAGCTATGTCCCAAACGCCCTCGATGTGGCCGAACATTGTCTCAACACACTTTTCGCGATTGACATCCCATTTCTTGATAGTTCCGTCGAGCGAAGAAGAGAAAAGATACGAGTCTGTGGTAGCTAAACTCTGCACCGGACCGATGTGGGCGTTAAAAACTGCCAAACAAGTGTTGGTTGTGAGGGACCACAAGCGAATAGTATTATCGTCAGAGCATGAATAGACAATATTGCGTTGCCGAGATATTTTAACCGAGTTCACTGGGCCAGTGTGACCACGCAAAGTGATTCGTTTGCAGCCAACAAAGTGCCAGACTTTTACGGTACAGTCTGCGCTACCTGACACGAGAATCGTCGAGTCAAATGCCAGACACAGCACACTATCCCGGTGGCCAGTAAATGTAGACAAACAAGCCCCAGTCCGATAGTTCCAGATTTTAATGGTCTTGTCCATGGAACCACTAATAAGCTTGCAGCTATCAAACTGCAAACACGTTACACCGCTCGTGTGGCCTTCAAGTAGACGGATCGGCTTCATTGTATTCATGTCCCACAGACGGATAGTCGTGTCATAGCTGCCACTGGCAAGCAAATGACCGCGTAGCTGTAATGCCATGATACCGTCGCTGTGTCCTTCCAAAAGCAACTGCCGGTATCTTCCGTGTCGCCAATTGCACTCCACACGACAACGTTCAGCATACACCTCTTTCCACGGTTTGACAGTGCATGCGGAAAGCGTAGTACAGTCCTTGTTGCAAACGTGTAACTCGCCACCGGCTTCCTCGTTCACAGAAGCAGCACCCTCGGAAACACGAGCACGCTTCTGATGAACGTTAGCGGGAGCTGGAGCCTCTGAGGCGTCTTCGAGGGGACGCTTAGCCGTAAGACGGCGGAAACGTTCCTCAATTGCAGGCTTTGCAGCTGTGAGTCGTCGGCGTTCCATGAGCGGAAGACCCCAACCGCACTTTTCACACTTGCGATTAATGTGTTGCTCACACATTCGGTGCCAAACACAGTCGTCATCAGCCAGCTCTCGCCAGCGACGACAAACTTGCGCAGCTTTACACAGGCTCCTGGCATCAAGGTAGGAAAGAATTTTGAAAGAGATCTCAACGGGCAGAAGGGAGATGAAATCCAGGCGCACTAAAGACTGCAATGAAGCGGATGCGAACGATAATAAAGACGAGCAGCTGTTGTTGAATATTCCTTGTAACACAACACGCTGTTCAAACACAGACAAGTCTTTAAACTCGTCCCAGATGTGCTCGATCTTGGAGCGACTTTTGTCGTCCAAAACGTCCATATCTTTTTGGATGTCAATAGGCTTGAGCGGCATTCGACCTTTTTCGCCCTTGGCAATAAACTCCCTTTCGTATAGATGACGATAACAGACTTTATCTTTGGAATTGTCTTGAGGTGCAGCAGAGGGTGCCATGTTGGAATGCTCGTTTGAAATTAGTTGTTGAAGGGACATGAGAAGGGAAATATCGTAAGGTTATAAACAATCGTCAAAAAGAAGGAAATCCGAGGGAAACAAAATGAAGAGGTGATATAGTGGGCTAAAAAAAAGATGACAAAAGGGTAAGGTGAATCAAGGAGAAAACGGTAGAGAGGAGGGCCAAACGGAGAAAAAAATAAACACACAAAGGGAGACGAGAATGAAAAATATAGAGAACACAACTCAAAAAGGGGAGAAAGCAAAGGACCACCCAATTGAATGCAAAAGATGTGTGAGACGCGATTAAATTCCCAATTTAAAGAGGAAACAGTCTCAGCATCAACAAGTTGCCTGTATGTACCAAAGACAACCTACGGTTCGGAGGAAAAGATCCGAATATGGACACTATCTTTTGATAGTTTCAACACTTCTTTTTGCTCGTTTCTTCACGAAAAAAAGACCAAACGCCTGTCGATACGGCAAATACGAGCGTATCAGGTCCTAAATACACACGTTTGGGGCTATAAACACAGGAATTAAAGATTTAGACCTAAAAAGGTCTCGTTGGTAGTGGACAGGTTTTGTATTGGTTGTGAGAGTTGAACCTGCCTAGGTCAGGAAAGGAAGGGTGAGGCACGTAGACTTGTTGTGGTGGTAAACTTCGGCCGGTGGAGGATCGACGTGCGTTTAAATACTATTGGCGCGGGGATGATGAGTTCATGTTCATGGGAAATGTTGTGATTCTGGAGCAAGAAAACGAATTTGGCTCGAAAATTAGCGAGCGCAAATTGTTCATTCAGGAGTCAACTTTGTGAACCCGCTTGCGTATCTACACAATGCAGGAGATACGACTAGTTATCAAGTTGACAGTGGCATGAGGCAAATCGCGCTCGGATGCTTAATCAGACCAAATTCCATCCTGATTTTCGGGACAAATACAGGGATATTTTCGATAGAAAACTAAAGTATGCATTCGTGTATTTACCCAATCAATAGGCGTTCAGTACTCAAGTGAAGATGAAACGAGGATGAAACGAAAACGAAGGGCTCACTCGCTCAAGTGCACTGGAGTTTGGGGTAGCTCGTTGGATATCAGTAACGGTGTTGACGTCACTTCACCTAAATGCAAGCGCGTTTCAACGCGACGCGTCGCGTTGAAACGCGCTATATAAGAAATGAAAAGACGAATTGCTTTTCCCCTTAGCCAACACGCACAATTCATGAACAGCTGCACTCTTTTAGATGACTTCTTACAGCTTCCACGTGTACAAGAAGCCCATCTTTTGCGGAAAGACAACAATACTCTAATTGCAAGCACTGGCTTGGGTGTCGCAGTCGATTACACAAGTCCAGACACGTCTTCCTCCTTCCTTGATGCCTCGGAAAGCTCAATTTCGCTCTCGAAGGGAGAACGCTCCTTTCAAATGAACGAGCTTGTCATTCCAGATGATGTTGAAAAGTTGTGCAACTACGTGTTAACGATTCTCCAGGCTTGTGACGACGCGAATGCGCCAGACGAACCGGCCGAGCTCATCCGCTTGTCGTACAGTGGATCGCAGTTACACATACTTCAAGGTACGTACGTTTCCCTTAAAAAATTAGCAGGAACTGACCCGTTATCGAATTTACAGACGAGATGTTCGCTCTTGTTCTGCGCGAGATAAGAACTTAGTACATGGACGCGGTGATGTGATTTAAGGTTATATAAAGTTGGCGAATGCGTCGTGCCCCGCAGTCAGCATTTTCGCTTTCTCGCTTAAAAGTCACCACTACCGCGGCTGCGTTCGGTGGCTTCCACGGAATTAAGTGTTCACTCTAGGGTGTTTGTTTTGCCAGTGCGTGCTGTGTCTTCGCCAAAGGAGTTTTCCCATAACGGGAAGTGTACAACAAGTCTGGCTCAGAATCGGCGCCCCTACTGCTTTGAGCTCTACTGGAAGCACATTCTGAAATGCTAAACAGGAAGCCTGTAATTCAGTTACCCCTGTACTTGAGTCAACCCTCTACACCCTCAAAGTTTAGACGCTTTGTTCACTCAAAGTCCCGGTTTATTTTGCTTGTTGGTGCTGTGTTTGTGTGTTTTTTGTTTCTTGGTGCCCTGTATTTAAATATGACGAAGAACGAACTCGTCTGCTTCCATTCTGCACCGCTACTAGCTGCAGAACCACTAAAACATCTGTCTCACCTCATCATCATTGCAGGCCACGCCGTTTGGCTCGGTGGTGCGACGAACGGCGAAAGCGACACTGAATGGATTCTCGAGTCGTACCAGAAAGGAGAGGGAAAGGTGTTTGCTCAGCACGTTCGCGCTGGTATAGAGCTAATGCAGGCGGATGAGAATTCTTTGCTTGTGTTCAGCGGTGGTCAAACACGTCTGCACGCAGGACCACTCTCCGAGTCACAGTCGTATTACCGGCTCTCAATGCAGATCGACAGTACGCACTCGCCTGAGCGACGGACAACCGAAGAGTTTGCCCGTGACAGTTACGAGAATGTCGTTTTTTCTATTGCTCGATTTCACGAAATAACTAGCCGGTATCCCGAAAAGATTACGATTGTTTCGTTTGAGTTTAAGCGTGAACGATTTGTTTCACTTCATCGAGAAGCTGTCCGGTTTCCGCTAGAGAATTTCCAGTTCATCGGCATTAATCCGGACATTGTGACTGAGGAAACTCTGAAGGCAGAAGAACGAAACGCGCTTATTCCGTTTTCTAAGGATCCATACGCTTGTTTGGATCCTGTACTTCGTCAAAAGCGAATCCAAAGGAATCCGTTCCGCCGGCAGCACTCTTACTTGGATACATGTCCCGAACTTCGCGACCTCATTGAGTTCTGTCCCACTCGTTTCCATCAATTCTTTCCTGGTCGACTGCCCTGGAGTCATAATTAAGAGAAAAAGTATTTTTTTTTTATATTCTCTTGAGTCTCATTCATTACTCGAGTCTTTGTCCGTCTGATTGTTTGATGAAAGGCGAGATTTACCCAACAGTTCATCGAAAAAAGTCACTGAAGCCCATAGACTTCAAGACTTTTTATGTTTAACAGTCGATTGTGCACCTTTTATTCCCTTTCTTTCTTTTGGTATGGTGTGGTGTGGTTTTCATGTTATTCAAAAGTGCTTAGTGCTTATTCTTATTAATGTCGGCTCGTTTCATTTCTTCATGCTTGCTTTCGACACAACTGATTGCATTGCGGTTTGCTGCAACGTTCAGCGAATTGCGAAAGCAACTAACAGCAGTCAGCGTCATATTTTTTTTAATCCTGATGTTTGTGTTCTCATCGTCCATTTCTTTTTCATACAAACACATGTTGGTCTTTCAAACGATACACTTATTCTCAATACGGTTTAGCAAAACACCTATTATGTGTTTCGACACTCTGTTCTCTATGTTGTGCAAACAAATCACGTTGTGGTTGTAGTATTAAGAACAGCTCTAAACTCGTTCCGCAATTGTTGTGCGAATACATTCCAAAAACTAACAAATTTTGTGAGATTGTGAATGCTAGGGGGTTTACATCCGGCTAAAAGCGGTGTTGATAGACTTTTTAGGATTAATGCAAGGCTGTGATTTATCCAAGATTATTTTTTCGTTCGATATTTTATTCATGTGCAAGTTTAAACCTCTGTCCAGTATTCTTATGCAAGGTGAGTATTAAAATGCAACAGTTACTTGAAGCTTCAAGCCTTTTCTTTTTTTGATGTTTTTGCGATGTGCATAAAAGTTTGTTGCCATAGACATTTTCTAATTCATACATGCCTATCAATTGTCTTCTGTTATGTTTGAGATTACGAGATATCATTCCTTTTGACAAAGGTCGTGTGAGCGTCTTAAAAGAGCAACTGCAAAAATGTTTCTGTAATTGCTTTTATTCTTTTTTGTTGAATGTCTCGATTACGAAACAACCGATTAGCTGAAACTAATCTGCAAATTTCTAGGGTCAGTGACGAATGCGATAGAATTAATAAAGATATTCACTCCATATGATAGCTTCATTTACAAATTACAACAAGATTGCTTGTTTCAGTTACCCCCTGCTTCTAACACTACGTTCATTCATCTCAACGCCTCTGTGGCCTAGTCGTAACGTCCATACTATTTCAATCCTCCTATCCGGAGTTCGAGCCCGTCAACCAACGAATTATTTGGCAGTCATTCAATTGAATTAGTTATTGAATTAGCAATTGAATTATCTGCTTTTCAGTCAGTGGATGGCAGTTATTTTAAAACGGAGAACTATTTTCTCCTTCTAAGTTTATTTAATATCAATTATTCCGACTCTTCATAGCCAAATGGTAAAGTGGTTGCGTTTTCGAAATAAAATGACGCTTTATTTATGCAATGTTTTACTCGTAAATTACGAATTCAACATAGTAAGCCTTTTCCATGCTGTTTATATGTCTATGTTCGTGATAGATTATTACCTTAGAACTTTTCATGCAAGGTTTCTTGTGTTTGATAACTCGCTTAATTAACTCAGCTTACTAGAACAATGTTATACAGCGTTCCATTGATATGAAAACTGCCTCTTGTAAACGTTCTTTATACAATTCATGGTTAGTTCCGTTTATAGAACTTACGATTTATGACATATTATGTTTCTGTGAACCAGTACCACATAATTACGATTCTCCTCACCATATTTGTATTACCGAAACGCATGCGGTTTTAAAATCTAATACTTATTATTAAAATAACTAGTTACTGTGCACGTACTTAGAAGTAGTAGCAATTATTTCAACTGATCAGTTCCAATGCATCCACTTCTAGACGAAAAAAAGTATCCAAAATGTGCAAAAATTATAGCCGAGTTAGCAGAATGTCATAAATCTTATGGTCGCTTCTTTGGAAAGTGCAATGAGTTAAAGAAACAGTTAGATACCTGCTTGATGGAAGATGTATGAGTAAACAATTCAGTGCAAAACTTTATTGAATTTCATTACTGTTGCTGACATTATTGTATTAGCGGAAAGAAAAAATCAAACAAAACAAGCATATTTCTGCTCTTAAGCCGTCGCATGACATGAAAAAGCAGAAGTCGGATCATAAGGAGGATTCATGAATAGTATCGTTACGTGATTCTCGAATTTTAAACCACCTGTCTGTTAACTGGAACAGTCTCTGTTTGACTAGTTTGCTTTTTTTTCAGTTTGGAAAATACGCCTCTCATCCAGGAACTCTTCGCGCCAGTGAGGTTATGCTGTCCCCAATCTTTTGTATCTTGCATACTTTCTGTGCTTTTGTCCGTAGAACCACTTATCTTCTCATATTCACTTAGCCGGTCTTGTAGCTGCTGTCTGCTTGCCTTGCTGAATATTTGATACAAACCAAGCCATTGTTTCTTACCGCTTCGTTTACCAAGCTTTCGTGAACATTCAGCTAAAAGAATCAGATTCTCACAGTTATGGATCATGGTTTGACAAAGTGAATATAAGTCGTCAGGTAGTTCGGCACCATTAGCATCAAGTTCCTGCATTGCAGTTACCTGTGCAATGCTCATCTTTATTCCTAAAAGTACCTGTGCAAGAATCTCCGCAAAGACGTTGATCTTAGGGTTGTCAAAGGATTTATAGTTCTCTGAAAAGACGCGAACAATATTTTGAAAACGGGTATTCTCCTCTGCAGCATAATCATTCTCCTTTAGATTACGAGAAAGCAACAATTCATCCAATGAATCGAGTACCATTATGACAATTGCTGAAACAAGTGTACTAGTTCGTTTGCACCAAACAAGCTGCTCAGAAGACCGTTTTCCAACATCCGTTTCTTCATCTGTTTCTTGCTTTTTGGCAACTTGGCACAAAAGTCTGGAATGACGTTAGTTTCGAGTTCTCTGCCAATTTCTTTCTTACTTTTCGACTTGTTCAATTTCAGCGTACGGAATGCTTAATACCTCTTTGTAGTAATCCTGCTGATCAATTGAGGACTGATTCTCCATAATATTTGATTCGGAAGACATTGCGGTCTGTAAGGTTTCCAACAGGCGTTCTATGTTTAATTAAGTTTGAGTGATTTCATAATGTAAACAAAAAGCATACCCAATCAACTGTAGTAGGTGAACAACATCGATTGACACACAAATTGTAAACGAAACATATAAGAGTTCGTAATACGTTCTAGCTATAGTTTTGTATGTCTTAAAGTGACCACAAAAAACCAGAGTATTTTCATTAAATCTCTACTAATAACATTATCTGACATCAAAAACTTCCATTATGTTGTTAGTAATCATAGAACCAACCTGTTAACCTCATCAAATTGAATTTACAGCGCAAACCCAGAGTATACCTCGAGCATGCTCAGATTAGACCACCAGGTTGTCCGAATAGCAATAATTTTTGAAAGGATCGTAGCTTTCCGCACTGCGTGGATCCAATCGGAACCTCTATAAAGCTAGGCAAATGAAAAGCTAGAACGACACAGAGGACAGCGGCTTGCATTAGACGACTTAAACCATTTGTACAAACAAGCAGAATGGAACTTATGCTTGCACGTAGCACACTTCTTGTTAGGGAGGGTTCGTTCCATCGATAGCACAGCGTAACAAATTGCACACTCCTCCACACCTTCAAAATGAAGAGATATGTTTTTGTTTAGTAGCAATAATGCATCCAAAATTGTGCCGTTTTGCGAAACGAGCATGCTTTGGGAAGCCAAAATCCACGCTCTCCACTGTCTTTCATTAACGCCGACACGCTGAAGTCCTTCAATTCGAACTTGTCGAAGAGGATATGCTGCCGGAATACGGATAGACAATTCCAGTTTGTGCTCATCAACGCGATAGATAAACAACACCTCACGTGTAAGCCTGTTAACCTTAATCTCCGTATCATTTGCAGAATGAAAGTTCGTAGTCTGAAGTGCGTTCTCAACATCATCGAGTGACGCATTAACCATAATTGGAGAAATATGCTTTTCAACAAAAGATTCCATAACGCTAGTAAACGCCCGATTCTTGAAACCAGCCCAGGAAGCTCGTACAACAGACGGCATTTTACTCAAGCATTGGTACAATATGTGCGTTCCCAGAGAGCGTAAGCGATCGATGGCGGAATCATAATCATGAAGCGAATAAGAAACAATAGAGTACTTGCTGACATCCACAGGTTTCGTATAATTAAGTTGAAGGAGTTCAACGAGGAAATCCAATAATGGTTCCAGTAAGTCCATTTCAACAATTTGTTGAGTTATAGAATTTTTTATCTGATAAATTGTTCTGTCAAGGAAAAGAAATGCAACCTCCCAGGCGAGTAGGTAAGAGCGCAAGAAGGACTCATTACTGTCAACATTCCTCAGCATCTCGGTAGGGTCATCTGGGTGGTCAACAATTATCGAAAGCAATTCATCAGGAACTTCAACCTCTTCTTCTTCATTTTCATTCAATGACAACTGAAGAGTTTTCTCTTCGATGTCGCTAACGACCTTCTGTTTTAAAAAGCTCAAAGCTAACAGTTGGAGATCAACATCCCGACCTTCTGAAACGTTCGGACATAATTCTCCATAACTGCGCTTCTGTATCAACTTAACCGGACAATTTCTTAAGAATTTGATGAGTAATGATGTGCACATTCTCATCGTTATGGAATTCTTCAAAGGCGACGAGGTAACACCAAAGAACTTTTGTACAAAACACTCGTAAAATACTTGATTCGAGTCCTCTAACAGAGACTGCACATGCTCATTGTCTTCAGAAATCTTCAGGAACACCGAGTACATCCGTAATGCATAAAACTGTAAGGACAATAAACCAGGCAACTGCATAGAAGACATTTCTAATACTAGACGTAAAGAATCCAAATATTCCGTCCACAATCCATTAGGAAGAGAAGGAGCCGAGGATATAAACTTGCATGAAAACGCCAGGAACAAAACCCCTTCAGTAACGGATCCACCGCCCAAAAAGTCAGTCTTCACCTGACGAAACAAGTTTTGTAAGAGAACAACAGCTCTTGTAGGAGGCAAGATTGGTTTCTCCTTCGCTTTTCCGGGTAAAGAAGCAGTAAGTACGATAAGATTTTGAATCGTATTTGCTTCAGTTAACCTTCCAGCCAGATTATTTGCCGCCTCAAAACGAACACGTTCAATTGACTTGGTATCATGAATTCTGTCTCCCAACATCTCAAGAAGTACGGCCTTCGACAAATTGTCACGTTTGGTCAGACCGATATTCTGAAGAAATGTTTCAAGATCATCACTCGAATATTCAATGTTAAATAATGCAACTTTTACAAAATCGCTAAGTGACTGAGCGTAAACAATCTGTTCCATGGAAATGTTCTCAGATGAAGAAACACTTTCGCTTTTAAGAAAATCGAGTATCGATGATGAGTAGTCAAACAATTTCTGCATCAGATTCGCAAAAACAGAACTCTCGGAAGTGTTACGAACACAGGAGTGCACATAATTGTCGAAATCATTTATAAAGCTTTCAAGCATCGACGTTCTTGATCTTGAAGTATTTCCCAATTCAAGTATCACCCTGCAGACCAATCTTGCGAAAATAAGGTAGCTCGGTGGGAAATCATTGCATTTTGAATTAACGAGTACAGCCAAGTCAAAACTCATAGCTCGAATATAAGTATCCAAGTGGTTATCCAAGGGAGCAGTACATATATCCATTTCGATCAGATCAAGCCAAGAAAGAAGATGACTCGTATTGGGAAAATAGTGAGAAGCTACCAACGGCACATACACACGCTTGAAGTTGTCCCAATATTCTGAGGAAAAGGCAAAAATGCTAAGGCTTTCGGAAAAATTAAACATTTCCAGAAAACGAATGCATTTGTCTACCACATCACGGGCATTACGCTGCCGGACCAAAAGCCATTCCCGAATAAAAAGTACTGCGGACTCAAATATGTCCTCACGTAGTTGAGCATTCTTAGCAGTTGCACTTGTCAACACCGCCAATACATCACGCTTAACATTTTGATACTCCATCAACTCTGCGTATGTGATGTCTGAGGGCGTCTCAACAAAAAGGATATATATCGTTTTAAGCGCACTCTTGTCTTCAGACAGTAAATCTTGCAAGTCATCAGCAAAACACTCAAATATCTTTTTCATCGCTATTAGCGCATCAATATTAGTAACAAAATTCCTGCTTTTAATAAAGTAAGCAATGTCACAGAAGCAGTATTTTACCGTAGCGTCAGATACAAGTATATCTTTTGAATCGATAATATGCTGAATTAAAGCCCAATCCGGACTGTCCGTTTTTGTTAATGCTTTCACTGCAGACTGAAAATATTGGTTTAGTTCGGGAGATAAATCGAGCTTGTGAGCCAACTCCTTTGTAGAAAGGATGAAAGGAAGCTTATTTAACAATGAAACACGCTGGTTATCGTCGGGGCATTTAAGAATTGAATTCAGAACAACGGACCACACATGTTTGGCATTCTCGGTGTTCAGAGTAGATAGTAAAACCCGTAACAAAATGAATGCCGACTCTGATGTATTCATCACAATAAGCGAAGGAAGATTCTCGGTAGCAAATTTCAGTAAACTTGTATGAGAAGAGTCAAGAGAGACATGGTTAGTGGACAAGAAGCTACAAATTCGCGACAACGCCAACAAACAACGGTCCCGTCCAACACCCTCAAGGCTAAGAACGCTGAAGACAAAGTTCAAGTAAATTTCCAGAAATGATACCAGCAACTTGTGAGGATATTCCTCATCATAAGGAACAAGGAAAATTGCTTCGAGTAGCCCTAAAGTAACTTCCAGATCCTCGAAAGACGCTTCAGTAACATTATACGTTTTAAAAAATTCATCAATGATATCCGTCAAAATAACTAGGGCTTCTTTGGAAGTATTTAAAAACGTGTTCATCATTGTATGAATAAAGTCGGTACTTGCGCAATGGGGCTGCCATGCGTTCCTCAGAAAGTTGACAATATTCTTTCGGTTAGATTCCAAGATAAACTGTCGAGTACTTTCACAACAGTTGTAATACAACAACTTTCCAAAGTCAAACATATGGAGATACACATCATTTGCGAAACAACGCTGTTCTTTCTCAGCAGCCTCCATAAATGCCGCAATAAACCCATTAAAATCCTCAAGATTTTGGATGATTGAATCACAGCCTAACGCATCTACCAAATTATTAAATTCATCGTAGAAACGAGTACCGGGAGAGCAAAGTTTGCGAGAGATCAGATTCTGCAACCGGCTCTGAATCGTTCGCTTTTTATGTTCCTTCAGCATTTCAGTTTTCGCCAAGGGAAATTGTCCAACAGTGGTTCTGAGAAATATCAACATATCAATACAGGACAAACCATCCGCATTTTTTAACATCCGATGACTTTCATTTCCAAACTTTACACAGTAAGGCTCCAAAAGGTCTGGCCGATGGTGAAGCAAAGCAGTAAATAAACCATAAACACGCCTTTTGATGGCGGAATCACCAGCACTGGCAAAGTCCCAAAGTAACCCACTTTCGAGTAACTCTTGGAGGCTCTCAATGACTCCCGATTTTTCGAGTTCGTCATTTGAAAGTTTCTCAACAAGTAATCGAAACATAGAGATTGTTGAGCAAACAACTCGTATATACTTGTTATTTGAATCTTCCACCGAGACAAAGCGAAGGTCGCTCAAAGTTTCCGGACTTTCATACTTTAGAATTTCAATACAAAAAGGAGTAATGATGCCGCTAAATTTGACGTAGAGCATATCCCATTTCTCTTCTGGAAAAAGCAGTAACAAAGATTCCCGGGCTGTACGAGAAACCAAACGGTCTGTGTCGAAGAACCCAAGAAGCCACGAGCTCATAAATTGCCGTAGCCATGGTGCAATCTTGCGTCCAAGCGTCTGACTAATAAGTCCCATAGCCTTAAACGTCAATTGCCTCACACTTCGATCTTCATCAATCGCAAAACGAGGAAAATAAACAGACCAGGCATTCAGAAATTCATAATTCTCAAAGACATCACTATTTTTCATGTTCAAGAGCTCTTGAAGCGCTCGTTTTCTCGTTATTGGGTCACGTTTTTGAAAACTTTTAAAAATGATCACAACATCACTGTCAAGACTTCTCAATTGAGGAGGCTCGAATATCGATGATACAGAGGGCCCGGCAACTTCATTTTGGTAAGAAGATGCTTGGCTGTAAAGTGACTCTGACGACGATTTCCCACTTTTATTTTGTTAGCGACTAAAAATACGTAATAACGAACCTTTTCAAATAGCTTTTCTTGCTACTCATAATTAAGCGCAAAATTACAGTTGCAAGGTAGTAGATGACAGCAGTTTCTGTGCTTTCTACAGTAATAGATCACTTTACGAAACCTGCTTATTGCGGTAATCGTGTAGCCCAGTAGGGGTGCTCTGGAAGCGCGGTCAGTAAGGAAGTACCGCGGAAAAGTACTGCCACCAAAAATTTGCTTAGATATCTTAAGACGATGAAGATTTGAGGCTGTAACCGCCTGCTTGGTATATTAACGAGACCTTGGGGCTACGCAGTGGCTATACGTCTCGCTTTTTGGATCATACATATATATAAACAACAACGCTCCGCCGGTTCAAAAGCGAATATTTAAGATTAATAATTGACGAATAAATATTTACGAGATTTCCATGGACCTCTGTGACGATGTAAATTTACTTGTATACATCACTATCACACAGAGTCATCCAGATTGGTCAGAAGACACAGTCAAAAGTGAACTGGCTCAAAACCCGTTCACCATACAGACACCAAGTGCAGAGCAATATGACAGGGTAAAGGACGCGCTGCATACAAAATTAGAGGAAGCTGAAGATCAACCGAGCCCGACAGCGGTGAAGGACAAAGTTAGGTCTCGTCTCATTTCAAAATTGATTGATGAAATTCATAAATGTGACACCAAAATTGTAGCATTATCCACAGCAAAAAGCAAGGCCCAAACTCCTGTGCCGAAGGCTACACCGACACCTCCAATCTCCGGACGACAGTTGCGGAGACAGGAGCTAAAACAGAAACGACTTCAAAATATAATGATGAATATGATCGACAACATTTCCAACCATCGTTCCGGAACCCCATTCAGTCATCCCGTTAATCCAAAAGAGGCCCCAGATTATGCAAGTCTTGTTCGCCTTCCCCAAGATCTTAGAACAATCAAGACCCAAATAAAAGACGGTGTTATTTTCACATTCGAACAATTTCATCGAGAGGTCCTCCGTGTGTTTGCCAACAGTGAGATGTACAACGGCAGCGATAAGACCAGTGCCCTTTCCATTTGGGGGAAAGAATGCTTTAAATACACGGAAGAGCTCTTTGACCTGTATTACCAAGCGGAAAATGAAACGTAACAAAACAGCAATCGATAATTTGTGCACGCTGAAAACCTTGATGTAAACGAAAAGACGAAAATCTCGGTCAAATACGCGTGTCTGGGTTAATTTTAATGTTCTGCTAATGAGATCTAAAGTGTCGTTCATGCGACATAGCAGCTTGGTCTACGCCAACAGTGTCTTCCTTTTCTTGTTCATCTCAGTAAACCGGGTATTCATAATCCTCTTGGACAAAAAGTATTTCATAGAAAAAAAAGAGAATAAAAGCAGACATCTATAAGTAAATCCAAAAACTAACGGGTGAGCACAAGTGGCGACAAAAGAAAACAAGAAAGATCATTAATGGGCGCTCCACTCAATCGTACTGAGATCAACGCCTTCTTGGACAAGATCCCATAAAGGACTCAGTTCGCGCAAGAAATCAATTTTTTGCTTTACAAGATTGACTGTGTAGTCAATCTCGGCTTCTGTGGTAAAGCGACCAATACCAAAGCGGATGGAACTGTGAGCATTCTCATCACTTTGACCAATGGAACGAAGAACGTATGAAGGCTCCAAGGATGCTGAGGTACATGCGGATCCAGAAGACAATGCAACATCATTTAGTGCCATTAAAAGTGACTCGCCCTCAACGTATGCGAAAGAGATATTAACGCAGCCAGGGAATCGAGCATCAGCATCACCATTCAAGTAAGTGTAAGGAATAGACAGCAAGCCGTCACGAAGACGTTTTGAAAGCCTGGAAATGTGGGCGTGATCATAAGCCATTTCTTCTTTGCAGATGCGAGCAGCTTCACCGAACGCAACGACCAAAGGGGGAGAAAGCGTGCCGCTGCGCAAACCGCGCTCCTGGCCTCCGCCGTTGATCAAAGGCTCAATGCGAACACGGGGACGACGGCGGATGTAGGCGGCACCAATTCCTTTGGGAGCATAAATTTTGTGAGCAGAAATAGACATGCAGTCAATGTTCATTTTGTTCACGTCCAGATCAATCTTGCCAAATGCTTGTGCGCAGTCGGAATGGAAAAACACTTTCTTGCGTCGGCAGAGCTTACCGATCTGTTCCAAGGGTTGAATAACACCGATTTCATTGTTGACAGCCATAACCGAAACCAATGCGGTATCCGGCCGAATAGCCTGTTCCAGTTCATTCAGATCGATAAGACCGTTCTGTTTAACGGGAAGATACGTTACATCGAAGCCTTGCTCCTGCAAGACACGGGCAGAGTCTAAAACACACTTGTGTTCCGTTGTAACGGTAATGATATGTTTCTTTTTGCTTCGGTAAAACCTTGCAATACCTTTGATAAGCATATTGTTCGATTCCGTAGCGCCTGAAGTAAAGATGATTTCTTTTGGATCCGCGTTAATCACGCTGGCGACTTGAGCCCGAGCTCGTTCAACGGCTTTTTCGGATTCCCAGCCGTAAGCATGTGTTCTACTGTGTGGATTTCCAAATACACCCGTCAAGTAAGGCATCATTTTGTCAAGGACGCGAAAATCTACTGGAGTCGTAGCTTGAAAGTCCATGTAAATGGGACGTGTCGAGCTAGCAACGGCCTTCGCCGCCGTTTCTTCTTTTGAAGGAGATACTGGCTTTTCAATTGCAGCAGCTGGAGCCATTGCACCGTCGGCAGACACTGTGACGAAGCGTGCCTTGCGAATTCCATTCTGAGTCGATATTGCAAGACGCGACCGCACAAACCGCTGCATAAGATTACGCAAATTCGCCCTTAGAGTCGTAACCTGCATCCTGGTTGAAGAATTCTGTCACAGAAGACGTCTAATGAGTAAGAGACAGGTTGTGGTTAACGGAAGAAATGGCGATTGGGTTTCTTGAATAATACTGGCTTATGGAGGCAAACCAACCAAGAACAGATTTTGGAAACTACGAATGAACTGTAAACTAAATACATGATTATTAATAATACGAATGAAAGAACACTATTTATGTATTTTAATGGCTGATTTTGAAAGAATTATGTATTATGGTTTTCTTTGACAAATAACAAATCTGATATTACACAGACATTTAGTACATTTATACGCAGGCGTAACATAAACCGTTTATGTATAATTTATGGGTATTGCGTTTGCATACGTCTGATCGGTTTCATGAGGTACCCGAGAGTACTCGGCTGCCAGAACTCAACGTAAGCCATAGTCTTCAATGAGCTGGAAAGGATTTAAAAAAGGAATTGTGCGTGCGCCGCAGACTTTCCGGAGCAAATTTAACATTGGTGAAATTACTCGGGATCCAATCTACGAGGATGCTGGACGTCGGTTTAAAAGTTTGGAAGCTGAGACGAAGAAGCTCTCTGATGACTCGAGAAAGTATACCGATGCTGTGAACGGTATGCTGAATCACCAGTACGAGTTTGCTCAGGCTTGTATTGAGCTCTATAAACCAATTAGTGGACGTGCTTCTGATCCAGAATCCTACGAGAACGAGGGAAATGCTGCTGGAATTGAAGCCGCTGAGGCTTATAAGAAAGCCGTTGTGGAAGTGAAGGCCGAACTGGCTTCAGAGTTAGACGTAATTGAGGCTCGTATTGTCAAACCTGCTCAGGCTTTGATTACTGTAATTCGAGCAGTGGACAAGTTGCTTGTGAAACGTGATCACAAGCAATTGGACTATGACCGTCATCGTTCGAGTTTGAAGAAGCTTCAGGAGAAGAAGGATCGTTCTTTGAAGGACGAAAAACACTTGTACCAAGCCGAGACTGCGTTTGAGCAAGCTTCCCAAGAATATGAATACTACAATGACTTGTTGAAGGAAGAGCTCCCTCGTCTCTTTGAGCTGGAGACTGAGTTCATTGCTCCTTTGTTCCGTGCCCTCTATTTCATGCAATTGAATATCTTCTGGACGCTGTATGAAAAAATGAATGTCTGTGACATTGCTTATTTCAATCTCAACACCGATATTGTTGAGGAGTTCGAGGCGAAGCGTGGAGATGTGCAAGCTCGCACAGAGGCACTCACCATCACACACTTTAAGACCGCAAAACCGATTCGCAAGCTTGGTGCTCCTGGATCCAGCTCATCGCCTAAGAATAGCAATGACTCTAGTAGACCGGTCTATCCTAGCACCGACTCCAGCAAACCGGCCTACAATAGCAGTTCGAAGGCCACCGAAGCGGCCATGGACTCGATGAGTGCTGGTGTTGAGGCGCCTCCTTCATACTCAATCGTTTCTTCCTCTTCTTCTCCTTCCTTCACAGCTAATGCCCCCCCTTCGACCGCCTCGTCTGCAGCCTTTGGTACGCCTCCTGCATATGTGGACGCATCCCCTATCCAACATGCTCCTGCAGCAGCTGCTGTCCCTCCTCCTCCGCCTCCCGTTCCTGCAAAACCAGCTGTCCCTCGTGCAGAGATTGTTACCGCTCTGTATGATTACACTGCTCAAGCTCCTGGTGATCTTTCCTTCCAAGCTGGTGATCGCATTGAAATTGTCAGTCGTACCAACAATCAAAATGTATGTTGTTGCTTTGCCAAGCAGATGGTCAAGTCTTGTCTGTCGTTCTTTTGTATAAAACTAACAATTAATTCTAGGAATGGTGGATTGGTCGTTTGAATGGAGCCGAGGGCAATTTCCCCGGTAACTATGTTCAGCTTTAAACTGGCCGATCTTCCAAGCACATGATGCATCTTTAAAGGCATCCGTAAGTCTTGCCGGTTTTAAACAATGTTTTACATGTGGATTTGGACATCTTGCACATAGTCCTTTTTGGTCAGGGGGACAAGCTTCAGCTTAACATTCCTTAAAACATTCCGAAAACTGTGTGTGTGTTCAATTTTGTTTTTTGTCAACGGCTGTTAGATTTTGGCAACCGCGTCCGGATTTTTCGTCCGGCTTCATTTCGTTTAAATCAGCTGTGTTCTTATTAATGAACTATTACATTTTCATGCCAATTGTTTCACGTTTTGCAGCGTGGTATTGTCACTCTTTAGTAGGTTTTAGCGTTCTCTGTCGTATCTAAGCGAACGTCCCACATTACTCTAATCTACCTTAATGCCCCACACATTCTCACCACCAGAAACACTACACCATGAAAACTGTGCTTGGGAAGGAAAGGTCTGTGGACGGTAGGCTTACTGGAGACCTCGTGGCAAAGTCCGGCATGATTTCCTCGTCGATGAGTGTTCAAGTATAAAAACAAACAACTTGGTATAAGCAAAAAAACGGACCCTTTTCTCGTCACATACATTTTCATTCTGAGCGATGGCGAGGCAGAACGTTGTTGAAGAAGAAGTGGAGAGTCTCTGGAAGAAGATTCACTTTGGTTTGAGACCACTACATAATATTTTTGAAGAGCAATCAGAACGAGCTAAAAGGGTGAATGAGAATGTACATAATCCAGAAAAAAGGCTGAAGTTGTGCGAGGAAGCCTTGAAAACTTACATACAGGAAGAGAAGCTCGTAAAACAAGTAATCCTGTCTATGGAACGAATTGTCGGTCTCATTGAAAAAGCCCATGATCAGACAGAATACATGAACAGTAGTCCACTCACAAGAAGTCGACGGAACAGGTCACAGAGCGTTTCACGGTCCTCTCCACAGCCTCCGGTGTTTTCTAAAGGGGATGTTGTAGCCTTCAGACTTCCGCGATCAAGGAATCAAGATGGCGGCTATTGGATCCAGTGCATCATCACAAAAGTCATTGGTGAAGGCTCGAAACAAAGGTATGTGAGGATAAAAATAGAGCTGTAATGAACCCTGTGCTGATAGCATTTCTTACCGAACGAATTCTGTTCTAACGTGTTGGTACAGGTTTGAGGTTCAGGATCCAGAACCGGATGATGATGGAAACCCCGGTCAGGTGTATCGAGCGACAGCCTCTAACTTGATATATATTCCAAAGGATTCTGCTGGCTTGCTGGAACTGGCACCGGGGACAACCGTCTTAGCCCGTTACCCAGAAACAACAACCTTCTACAAGGCTGAGGTAATTGAGACCTTGAAAAACGGCTCATGCAAGCTTCATTTCGAAGGTGAAGAAGAAATTGGTAAAGAGACTATCGTGGAACGGCGACTGATTCTTAATTGCTCAAAGTGAAATTGAGTTCTCATACTTTCCTACTATCTCCGTACACTTCACATATTCCTCGTATAGACCTTCTTTAAAATGGGATGAACTCATTTCATCATGTATATAATAGATTTTTTTTTTTACAATTCATACTCTTCTTCTTGCAATTGTAGTTGACAGACACAAGATAATTCTTGATAAAATACTGCATTCGACTCTACGACACTTATTGTATACAGCTATGTATTCTGCTCGAGGCGGCTCGTTTGCATCATATCTAACACATAGTTTATTACTAACCGGTTTATGCCTCGCCTTTGCTTCTTAGAACCACTTTGACCAAAACACTATTGTTGGTGTTCCAGCTGGGAAAAGAATCCCAAAACGGTCTATCACCACTTAAGTGTGTTTGTTTTATGCGCTAAGTTAAAAAAAACGTGGAATTTTCAAAAAACTATTGAAAACATTTGTCTTCATTGAATTCTTGGTTAAAACGGCTTTCACGGCTTTCACATTAATATATCAAAGACAAAAATGGGTATTAGTGGAAAGGGATTCCAACGGACCGTTTTAAAGGCCACTATAATCTTAATAGCCGTTTTTGCCAGCTTGCTATGGATTTCATTCAAAACCGATCTCATTGACTCTCAATCGAAGGCTCTTATGAATGACTATTTGTCAACATTAACCTCCAAGAACTTCAGCAACAATGTATTATTCAAGGCAAATGAGGAAAACGTTCCTGGGCTCCGATTATGTCTCGGAATATTTTCACAAATCTCATCGATGGATCGCCGCGCTATGATCCGTAATGAATACACCAACATGATCAAGGAGACTGCCATGAAGAACGACAATGTAACTCTCAAGTTCGTTGTGGGCATTCCGTCCACTCGTGAAGAACTAGATCAAGTGCGTCTTGAGTTATTGGCATATAACGACATTGAGATTCTTCCCATGCCTGAAAATATGGACGAAGGAAAGACGACTGTGTTCTTCCAAACGTTTGGGGAAAACTATGTGCACTATCCAATCTTTGACGAAAGTGCAGAAAACAACTTGCGGGACAAGATTATGTTGGATCGCGATGATTTCAAGACGCATTACATTGAAACGTTTGAACTACCAGGAATGTTACGCTATGATGAAGTTCAAAATTACGGAAAGGAGTACGATTTTATTGCAAAAGTCGATGATGATACATTCGTGAACATTCCATACTTGCTTCAAAATTTGCGCCCACTTTTGGGGAGAAAAGAGCTATATTACGGCCGGGATTGTTGCCGTAAGGAGCTCTTAAGTGAAAGCCGCGAATTTCCTTACATGTGTGGTTTCTTTTACGTCGTTTCTCCTGATTTGGCCTTTGCTGTTAGCCATAGACGGGAAGTCTTATTGCCATGGGAGGATGTTCAAATGGGCTACAGTGTCTACAAATTGAATAAAACCAAGAACTCCATCTTTGAAAAATCTATTCTTACAAACGTTTGGCAAGACCCTGAACATGAGGCATGGAGTGTTGCTCGTCTACGCAAGAATGCAATTGCTGTACACAATTTGAAAGAACCTCAAGTTTGGCTTGAGACGGCTAAGTGGTATCGTTTAACTTATGCCTATCGCGCTCAATGCAATCGTATTGTCTCTTCCAAGCTCAGAAACCAATGCAATCGTGCGATCTTTCCCATTGTCGATTATATAAAACTGAAGAATTATGAACAGGCAGAAACTACTACCGATTTTCTCAATGTTTAGCTTACTCTGGATGAGCGTGCTTTGCTGAAAAACGCTATCTTCGTTCCTTTCATCTTGTTTTATTTAATGTCTCGTGTTCCGCTTTCTCCATTCTTGGGTTCTATAGCATGCGTTTAGTAAAAAGAAATTCATGCTTACGAACGCTCAATGAGGCTTTTCCCTTAATTTCATATTCGCTCTTAAAGTCGGCTCTCGGCGTTGCTTATCAATCACTGTCGGCTAGTCAAAGCTGTTAGTCTGCTTTATTTTGCAATTGGCGTCTTAATAGCCGAAAAAGACAGTGGCCGCACAGTATAGAAACGGAACAGACGTGTATACTTGTACACATCATATGACACTTTGTGTTTTATTTAAAGCTTCCCTCATTTGTTTGCCTCCTTTTAACTCTTGTTTGATTCTGTTAGGTATTACGCTTCAACAAACAATTCCTCACAAGCTTACTTGTAGTGTTAAAGCAATGAAACCCAAATGACTTTCAGTCTTCTCTCGTTGAAATACATCCCATAGCCTTCTTTCTGAATTTTGATTCTCTTACTACCAACCTTACAAAGCTTAACAATAAAAACAGTAATATTGCCGCTTGCGTACTCTACATTTGGACGACTCGGTATCTATAAAGACCAAGATGGGCTCTAGGTATATTGTCTGTTCAATATTTCTTCCTAAAACCGTGGAATTTCACTCGGATGATGTCGAGTTTTCAACTTCACCTTATTGTGACAATTCCGAGTCCGCACTTGAACAGTCTCTATATGAAAACCCCTTGAGTAATTCTGTTCCAGGTAGTCCCAGAAAAAATGGAGACATTTCCGATAAAGAGAAATCATTAATCGATTCTTTACGTGATAATGTTCCACACTCTACAAAAAACATTTCAGTGTCAGCATTGTCTTCTAGCACTGCTACTTTAACAGACCATGTATTTGACTCTGTAGGACAAACAAGCTCTCCTCCATCAGAGTCTTCAATCCTTCACTGTGGAAGTCGCAGGAGGACTTTAATTCAACCTGCATTCAAGGATCCCAACTTACCTCCCTCTTCTGTTGCCGAGCATGGAGGATGTACTAAAAACACGAATACGAGCTCGTTATTTCCTCATCTTACTAAGCCAAGCGTGAAAAGTTCCGATAACTCTTCTCACTCTTTCAAAGACAAACTCGACTGTGCCCGTTGTGTAGTCACAGACTGTCATTCAAGCAACGGGGGACTTAGGAATTCAGTAAAATCCGCCCAAAGGCACGGTTACTTGTCCGATGTTCTATTCGTTGGTACACCGGGTTTATCTACTCAGGCACTTTCAGATTCGACGCGTTCGAAAATGGAAAATCTCTTAAAAAACGAAGCAAATTGTTACCCAGTCTTTGTGGATGATGATGTCTTTGTTGGTCACTACAATCACTTCTGTAAGCAGATTTTGTGGCCGTGCTTCCATCAACAGATATCGTGTATACCAAATTCTATAACTTATGAAGAGCATTTATGGAAATATTTTTGCGTTCTTAATGAAGCATTCGCAGACAGAATTGTTAAGCTTTATAAGAAGGGTGACATTATTTGGATTAATGATTACCATTTATTCATTTTGCCTATGCTTCTCCGAAAACGTCTTCCGAATGCAAAAATTGGCTTCTTTTTACACGTTTCCTTCCCAACCTCAGAAATATTCCGCTGTCTTGCTTTTCGAAAGGCGTTATTAGAAGGTATACTGGGTTCAAACTTGATTGGGTTCCAAACAGAAGAATATGCAAGACACTTTCTCCAATCTTGCTCTCGCGTATTGTACTTAGAGGTTATGTCAAATGGCGTCTTGACGGATGACGGCTTTGTTGAAGTTAAATCTATGCCTACTGGAATTGATTGTGAGGATTTGCTGAACAAACTTCAGACTGACGAAGTTTCTGCTTGGATCAATAAGCTATCGGATCGATTTCGTGACAAAATTCTGCTTGTTGGCCGTGATAAGCTAGACCATGTGAAAGGTGTTCGCCAAAAACTACTTGCATTTGAAAAGTTTCTGTGCATGTATCCAGCTTACCGAAAACGAGTTGTTCTTTTCCAAGTAGCGCAGTCCACGAACGAAGAAAATGCGACTCAGTCTTCCGTGTATGATATTGTTTCACGTATCAATTCTTGTTTTTCAGACTTAACATCGCAACATGTACCTGTATACTTTTTGCGTCAAGACATTGATTTCCCTCAGTACTTGGCTTTGTTGACTGTTGCTGATGCATTGGTTGTTTCCTCTTTGCGGGAAGGTATGAACCTGACATGTCATGAATACATTGTATGCCAACGGCAGCGCAAGAAACCTTTAGTACTTAGTGAATTTGCAGGCAGTGCATCACTACTTGGCGCAAATGCGTTTTTGGTTAATCCTTGGCATGCTCGGGGAATGGCCGAAGCTATTTATAAGGCAATTACTCTGTCACCGGATGAAGCAGCGAAAATGCATGAACGTCAATACAATTTGGTTCTGCATAACGATGGAGCCCGTTGGGCAAAACAAGTCTGTGAAGCTATCACTAGCGCTTGGGAAAACAACATGTTCCATCAATCAACTCGCATTCCCCTTTTTAAGGGACATTCGTTTCAATCTATATATCAATCAACGAAAAGACGATTTTTTGTTCTTGATTGGGAAGGCACCATTTCCAGTTGGGGCGTAAAAGGTGAAATTGTGAGTTCTAACATGCAACAAGCCATGCATTTACTATCTTCATTGTGTGAAGACCCTGTGAATGATGTCTATGTTGCGAGTTCACAATCCTGTGCCGAGATGGAAACGCTATTCTACTTGCTTCCCAATCTAGGACTTATTGCAGAAAACGGTTGTTATGCCTCGCAGTCATTATTAAATCGTGAAGAACGGAAATGGTTTGATATGACTGCACAAGTTGATTTATCCTGGAGAGGTAGCGCTAAAAATATTTTGACACGTTATGCATGTCTAATTCCCAACTCGTTTATTGAGGATAAAAACGTTACCTTCATTTTCCACTTTGAGTCTGCTGAAGATAAAGACGCTGCTATTCGTGTTGCAAAAGACTGCTGTAATGCGTTTAATGACGATGTTTCTGGTTGCCATGCTGTTCCCCTTAACGGCGCTATTATTTGTGAGCCTATTGGCATCAACAAAGCCGTCGCGACGAACTGTCTTTACGCAATGAAAACCTCAGAAGGGGTGAAGTACGACATGGTCTTTGCTGCTGGAAATGATCGAACTGATGAGTGCTTATATAACTGGGCGTCAAGTTTGAGCAAGACTGAACCGGACGTTCTTGTTACGACAGTGAATGTTGGTTCTCGTAATACTGCGGCTTCACACTTGTCTAGCAGTATCATTGGTTTTAATAAGTCTATGGAAGTTATGTATCGCAATAACTGAAGTAACATTTACATGGGTTTGCTGGATTCGGGTAAATAGATAAATAAATAATTATATTCTATGACTTTAAATCATTTAAAGGAACTCTAACTGTGAGTAATCTTCGCATTACGAACAAATCACATAGCGTCAACCGACGCCTTAATAAACTCTGCTTCTCTTGCTTTAGTAATGAATAATGCATGAATGTCACATCGTTAATAATCGATGTACTTCCGTAATGTTATATAACGTATTCCAACGAAAAGCAACACCAAGCGTTTAGTGTTGCTGTTTTGTGACTGTCCATAACCCTACCCTGGCGGCAAACCACTACTATAAAAGGCCAGGACGCGCACCCAGTTCATCAGATCAAAAAAGTAAGAGGTCAGCCACGGTGCTTACATTGACTCAGTGTGTAACCACTGCCAGAGTCTCCGGACTTTGAGACCTCGAGAGAGATATTCGTTGATAAAGAACCCTGCTCTTATGACCTATTCAGTTAGGCAATTGGCGTAGGGGCCGACGATGCGAAACATTCATTCGTAGTTTATAGTTTTTAATTTATTGATTAAAAGAGAATTTGTTGTTAATTGTGTGGTTGTGTTTGACAGAGGTTACGGTGCTTATTGCTGGTTTCCCTTTCTTGAGTTTGTTGGTCTCACTAGTTGACGCGGATTTGGTAGAATTGTTCGTTCAATCGTTTGTCGAAAGCGTTTTATGCTCTGCCAATCCACCCATCACTCAATGTGTCACAATGCTGTATGGTCATCAGAAATTCATTCATATTTCTTTTTAGCGTAACATTTAAACATAATAGCCAGTCTTTTTGAGCCAGTCGACAATATCGCCGCTAGACTTAGCAATGAAGGAAGCACTAGAACGCACAACATCAATTGCTTGACGAAGAGGACGCTCGTACTTTCTCGTATCCTTGTCGGCAAAGAAGGCTTCGATTTTCTTGATGTCCTCCTCAGAGGTGAAGCTAGAACACATGAGATTGACAACAGTACCTTGCATGGTACCAGCTGCAGGCAAACGCTTGCAAATCTCAGGCCAGTGAGTTGTGTTGAAGTCCCACATAGCACGGATACCCTTTGCGGAATTACGGCAAGAACCGTAGACAATGTAAATATCTTGGTCCTTAACAATAGGGTCCAACACCAAACGAAGGGTGCGTTGAAGCAACTCGTCATCTTGAGTACGTCCGAAGGAACGCAGAGCGTAAATCTTCTCATAAGGATTACGAGAAGTCTTGTAAATGTTGAGCAATTGCTCCCATTGCTTCTTTCCACCGTGAGTGATCACAATTTGGAATACGGCAGAACGAAGGTTATCGTTGATAGCAGAACTGTCACCTTGAACGTAGGCATCGAACATGGCTCTGGCAGCGGCAATAACCTTTTCATCTCCGTTGAGACCAGCAACAGAAAACAAAAGGGCCTTGAATTGGCGAGAAATGTGGTCATCCTTATCGTCAAACTTCCAGCCAAGCTCATGGCACTTGGGTGCAGAGATGTCCAAGAGGAACTTTCTCAAGGCGGTGGTAAGTTCCTTAGATTGGAAGTTCATTGTGTTGTTGATGCCATTAATGCGTTGCAACATAATGCTGAAAACAACGAACGAGCTATCATGCTTCCAATGGCGGACAATGTTAAACAAATCACTGACATGTCCGTAACCAGCGCGAGAAATAGCGGCAACGTCGGCTACCAAACCAGCTCTGTCTTCCACAGTCAAGTAATCAGGTTGTGCAACGGCAAGCTTTGAGAGACGCTCAAGATGAGCGGAAGTGTAAGCGACACGGTAGATGGCAGTTTGGTCGGCGTTCAACTTGTACGAAACCAAAGCGTCCTTGTCGGCAGGTATAAGAGCAGAACGCTCAGTAGAGACGAGTTTTTCATCAACAACAGCCTTTCCGTCCTTCAAAGTCTTCAGCTTCAGGGGAAGCCAGTAAAGAGTCTTGTCTTCCTCCTCCTTCACGTCACCACTCGAGAGGAAGCGGTGTTGTTCAACCTTCAGACCCTTTTCAGTTTCAGTGACAGAAACGACAGGGAAACCAATCTTCTTAACCCAGCAGTTCATGATTCCGTTGACGTCGATACCGCTAACTTCAGAAAGAGCATCCCAAAGGTTCTCGGTTACGGCGTTACCGTAACGATGCTTGGAAATGTAACGCTGGATGCCCTTGATGAAAACATCCTCACTAAGGTATTTACTGATCATGCGAATGACACAAGAACCCTTAGAGTAAGAAATGGCATCAAACATTTGGTTAATTTCGTATTCATGAAGAATGGGCATCTCGATAGGATGGCTCGAACGAAGGGAGTCAAGAGACAAAGCGGATTGAAGGTTGTCAATGACATATCCTTCCCACACCTTCCACTCGGGATAGAAATGGTTACAACTGAACCAGGACATCCACGTAGCAAAACCTTCGTTCAACCACAGACTGTCCCAGAACTGCATGGTAACGAGGTTACCAAACCATTGGTGAGCCAATTCGTGCTGTACGACTTCCGCAACGCGTTCAATCGTAGCAGCTGCCGAGTTTTCATCAACAATAACGGCGGACAGACGGTAGGTAACAAGACCCCAGTTTTCCATGGCACCGGCCTCAAAATCGGGAATAGCGACCATGTCGCATTTGGGAAGGGGATAGGGCTCGTTGAAAACACCGGAGAAGAAATCCAGCGTCTTGGCACCCAAGTCAGCAGCAAACTTTCCGAGATGAGCGGAGCCAGGAGTAGTATATACACGGACGGGAAGCTTAGCACAGTGCTCGCCGGAAGTGAAAGCCTCAACGTACTCGAGCTCGCCGACAACCCAAGCCAAAAGGTATGTGGACATAGTGACTGTCTTGGCAAAGTCCACAGTCTTGTAGCCGTTGTCAAGGCTCTCCTTTGCAGCATTCATATTACTGAGGATCACAAAGTTTTCTTTAGCAGTGATAGAAATAGAAAAGGTGGCCTTCAGAGCCGGCTCATCCCAACAGGGGAAAGCACGACGAGCGCTTGTGGGCTCGAATTGTGTGGTACCAAGGTATTTCGTTTTACCGTCAGCATCAACATAGCTTGAGCGGTAGAAACCTTCCATTCCGCTCGAAATGATGGCACAGAAAGAAATAGACAAGACAGCGACCGTATTCGCGGGAACGGTGCTGTTAAAATGAAGAATTACGCGCTCGTCTTCTGTAGCATATTCAATATCGTCCGTCCAAACGGCTTGCTTGCCCCATTCTAAGCACACAGAAAGGAAACGAATATTCAAACTGTGGAGAGTAATTGTGTTTGTGTCTTCAAGCACATCCAACTGGATAGCAACTTTTCCGCCATACGTGAAGGTGTCCAAATCCGGATACAACTTTAAATCATAGTGAATGGGTTTCACATTTTTTGGCAACGTAGTCCGTTGGTCCTCTGTGTCCACTGCAGGAGTTGGAGCAGTAACTTGCATTTTAGAGATTATGTTCTAATAAAACTACAAGCGAAATAAATGATCGTCACGAGCAAATCTCAGGAATTGAAAAGAAAAACGAGAAGGAAACGCAAGAAAGAACAAGTAGGAAGAGCTTTGAAAGGAATACGTTAGTATCGACTATGACGGACTGTTCAATACAAAGGGAATCGGTCTTGAGCCGCCGAGTCGTATAGTGAGTGGTAGAGGATAAGTTCTTGCGCGTACAGGTTTGGAGGTTATAAGCTATCTCGGTCATATGACGTCATTTCTTGTTAGCCGTTGAGGAGTCATTTGTTGCCGATTTTGGAATGCAAGAAGACATAGCTCGAGAGGCCCCAGGAATTGTCTTACGTGCGTCGGTAGATAAGCAGAATTCAGCGCCTGTTTTCGTTCTTCGTGTACTATTTTGTCTTGTTTCTTTTTTATAATTTAGGTACTTTTTAATGAACAGAGAGATCTTCGCAACAAGCGAACATAGGAAAAAAAAACGTAATTTCAATTAGCGAAACAGAATAATATCCATACATAGTATGCTGGATTAGAGACGATTCGGATTATCTAACACGTAAATACTGTTATATTAACTTGTTTTTATCGCATTTCGCGGTGATGTCGGCTCTAATACTGCCGGTGTGGCATAATAAGGGACTCCACGTGTGACGCTTGATGAGCACGTGTAGGTTATCGGCAAGCTTCCCCTCGGGGAAGATAAGTTCCACTGCGGATGATAGGAAATCAGCAACTTAAGGTTGCACGTGCTTGGAGATAGTTAAGGGGTGGAGTAAAACGATAGCGAAGAAAATGATATGTGTTCATTAAAACGCGCAACGCGTACAGGGTAAACAATACAGAGGAGCCATGCTGAAAGAGCAGTTAGTAGAAGGGGTAATATTCGCATCGGTAGTTATAGAAATCCAAGTGAATAGTTGTCGTTGATTAAGTGTGTGCGGCGTCTCCCTGAATTGCTATGTTTAGTTATTGCCAATGAAAGTGATTTGCGAACTCCGAGGATGAATCGACCTCCGAGGACCTACGAACGTGGGCTATTTTGTAACACACGAACACAAGAATAGTCTAAATTAATCCATAGAGGCTTAACATATATACGTAAATTAAATATGCAACACTGTAGGCTGATTCCTTGATACATCTAGTTGTTTTTTATTCCTTCCATAATTTTGAATATTTTAATAATTTACAGATAAATTAATATTTACAAGTGGGTTCTCAGCATTACATTTCAGCCCTTTCAAATTTTATCATTAGGTAGTAATGATTGTCCACGGTAATATACGAGCTTCATAAGAACATATCCATTCTGTCTTGGTAACCTACGGCCCTCTTCTTAATATCTGTAGAACATTCCAATGCAATGCCATTGTAAGCCACAGAAGCTTTAGACTAGTGAACAATTGCATATTGAAATTGCTCTGGATTATACCAGTATACGATCATTTCACCATACAGCAATTTTTGCAGATCAAAATTCGCATCCCTCCATTATCTCTTCTATCAGCAAAAATTCTAACGGTAATGTTTGTCTCCTAATAGCAATGCATCTAATTCGTTGTTTAGCATGGGTTTGTGGGATACCATACTCATTTATCCGTTAATCAAGCGCAACGAATTATTTAAAAATCAAAAAATGCAATAAAAACGACAATATAATTCATGTATTGTTAACCTAAAACGCTAGCTATAGGTCTGAAACTTGTCGATTTAAGAAGAAATACACGGAAGCTAAAATTAAATTTAACTGTACAGCTTACTAAGCAACTTAAGAGTATTACCCGTATTCACACAGCTCCCCTGTTTTAGCGGAACTGGAATAACATTCGAAACTGTCGATTCCGAATGTATGCTTAGTAATGTTATGCATCTTGCTTTGTCATTACTTCATCGCCTCAGCGACTAGCTTAGTAAGAAATATGTATTTAATAAAGAATATTATGCTATGAGTTTTCCACAACATTCAAACAAGTCAAATAATCACCGCAATGTCTCAATTTACTTTGTATTCTCTCAGAGGAGGTCCTAACCCTTGGAAGGTAGTTCTCATTATGAAAGAATTGAATCTTTCTTATGAAACACGCTTTTTAGATTTTTCAAAGAAGGAACAAAAGAGTGCAGAACACATTGCCCTTAATCCCAATGGAAGAGTTCCCACATTAGTGGACCACGCTAACAACGACTATACCGTCTGGGAGAGTGATGCTATCCTTCTGTACTTAACGGACAAGTATGATACTGAGAGACGCATCTCCTTGGCCCACGATCACCCCGAATATCATCACGAGCTTCAATACCTGTTCTTCCAGGCTTCTGGTCAGGGTCCAATGTTTGGTCAAGCCGGATGGTTTAACCACTATCATGATGTGCCCATTCCTTCTGCCGTTGTCAGATACAGAAACGAAATCAAGCGCGTTCTTGGAGTGTTGGAATTGATTTTCGAGCGTAAGGAGTATCTGGTGGACAATAGATGCACAATTGCGGACTTGTCATTCATCCACTGGAACAAAGCTCTTACTCGAATTTTTGGTGAAGGAAAGTTCCAATTCACTGAGGAACTTCCAACGCTTGACTTTGAGAAAGAATTCCCTAAGACGTATGCTTGGCATCAACGCCTCCTTGCACGACCTGCCGCCGTCGCAACTACTGAGGAATATAACAAGTCCCAGATTTAATTGTCAACATTTTTGCATTAACATGTAATGACATGACTAGCAGCAAGAAACTAACTTTTTTTCGCACATTGATCATTCATTTAAGTTGTGTTTCCTAGTCAATTCCTGTGTCATGACCACCGTCTCTGCCTGTTCTGAAGAATAGTGTAATTGCTATAACTATCGACTACTGTTGCTTGAATAGAATTGTACTCTCAATGAAAAAGCCATAATACCCCTTTACATTATTATTATGTTAAAAACGAATAAGCAATAAAGATGTTAATGGGCTTCAATGGCTCCTGATCAAGTCACCAGTAGTTCCAATTGAAACGCTGACAACTGAATAACTCTTTCATTCCGAAGAAATGTTCGAATTTCTACTTGCACCCTTGAGCTACACAGTTCCTCGTAGCAAAATGACTAAGTAGCTCAAGAATTGCATCTCCCACGCAAAAACATCAAACAAAACCCCTCCACAGATCACAACAAACCCTCCAACTCAATCCAGACTTCAACAAACAAAAATAACATTTAAACCTATGAAAATAGATATCTGAACAACCGACCCACAGAAGAAGGGAGATGGGACTCCAACTGTAAGGGTGCTAAGACGTTCATGTACCTCTGGCCCACAGTTGACGCTCGAAAAAACCTTCCAACCATTTATACGAAAAGGTGAGCAACACGAGAGTGGGCGTTCGGTATTAAAACCGCACGATGGTTAACAGAGAGGAATTTGTTCTCCTTTTATAGAAAATCAATAAACGAAATAGTAGTCACATCAAGTAACATAACCCTACCCTACTTGGTGATGAATTGCAGCGACGTACTGCAGGTTGCTCCACCGCGTTATGGGTCACTGTAGTTCCATATAGTTGCTTATCCAATATACTGCATTGAAACGCACTGCTGCACAACACACCAACCCTCCGTAACCGCTTTACCGTGCCGCTACACTAATTTTCACTAACCTTCTTTCTCTTTCTTCCACTCGGCACGCTTGTAGCGTTCGCCAACACGGTTCAAGATGCTGCGTCGTAAACGGGACCGTAGGGCAGCGAAAAAGGACTCTGAAATGGCTGTCGACGTGTCTTTGAGTAGGAGACGGGAGACGCCGCGGTCTCGTAAGAAAGAACCGCCAATTTCGGTTGTTATCACCGGCCATACGAAGGCTTCGGAAGACGACTTAATCAATTTCGTTTGGAGAAAGGCCAAGGTGCGTCTACTGAATGTCACATACTCTCCAGCGTCTGTAACGGCGGTGGTGAAGGCGGTTGAGTTTCCGAGACTCAACAGCTTGAATGGAGTTGCTTTTGCTGGAGACTGTTTAGCAATTCGTCGGACAGACGGTGGAACGGGAGACACAAGCTCTACCGCGCGACGGAACAGAGAGAAAAGAAAGCGTAAGGCGGCAGCCCACGCTAAAAAAGCAGATGCGACACTCGGATTGTCCTCATCTGCAAACGAAACAATTCAAAACTTAAAACGGTTCCTCGAACAGCGTTACAACGCTGAGGCGAAAATGCTGGACTTAAGTGCCATGCACGAAGACCAATTTCTGCGTCAAATGGGTATTCTCGCCGAGGCCTCTACAAAAAGCAAAATGTTCCCGGCACTCATGAAAGTGGCATCCATGTATTTCAAGGATGTTCAGTCTGTGAACCTTACAAAAAACAACATTACCTCCGTTACCCCTATCACCACACTCGCTCAAACATGGCCCAAGCTGCTTAATCTCTGCTTGTCTGATAATAACATCACAACATTGGCTGATCTAGACCCTTGGGCCGGAAAGTCGAAGCTTGCTTGTCTACAGGAGCTCGTGCTTCTTGGCAATCCAATTGTAACCGTTACCTTCGCTGGAAAACCGGAGGCGTATATGACTGAGATTGTTACTCGATTTCCAAATCTTAAAATGCTGGACGGCGCCGTTGTGCCACCAAATCTCATGGCTGCTAAGCACCAACTTGCTTTCCCTACACATTCCGGATTCTTTGATTCAGAAGAAACCCAAAAACTCGTCCTTTCCTTTTTAGGTGCCTTCTTCAATGGATGGGATGGTGATCGAAAAACTACCATCCAACAGATGTACTCACCGACGGCACGCTTCTCAGTTTCTGTCAACTCCTCAGTTCCACGGAGCTCGCGGCAGAATGCTTCGCATGCGAATACAGAAATGGGACAACGCTGGTCTAGCTATAAGCGTAGAAGTCGTAACTTGATGTATGTGAAGTCTGCTCCTGAACAAACGCTTCGTTTGTCGCAAGGCCAGGATGATATCTTAAAAACAGTTACTGCTCTTCCCGAAACAAAACATGATATGTCAGATGCGTCACAATGGCTTATTGAATCGTGGAATATCACGCTTCCGTCCTGTGGACCCGCGATAAAAATTATTGTTCACGGGCGATTTGAGGAGCCAAAGAACAAACATTTAGCGCGCAGTTTTGATCGGTTTTTGCTTATTTTACCAGGTGGTCCTACAGGTGTGCAGGTGATTAACGATATGCTAGTTTTACGGCCTTATGTTGGCCCCGGCGCTTGGCAGAACACTCTTCCTCAGCCGACACAACCAGTAGTAGTGCAACCAGCACAACCAGCGCCTGTTGCACCTGTACCTGTTACTGCAAGTGGCACACCTGTTGCACCAGCTACACCTGCTCAAGTGTTGCCTGTAGAACAGCAGCAACAAATGCAACTACAAATTCAGCGTGAGCTTGTTGCAAGGGTTAAGGCGGAAACCGGGCTGAACGATGTTTTTGCCGAAATGTGCTGTCAACAAAATAACTGGGACTACAATCGAGCAATAGCCGCGTTTACAGAGCTGAAACAGCGGGGTGTCATTCCTCCCGAAGCCTTCCGTTAGCTGTACTGTTTCGTCACGATTCGGACACACACCTTTGTTTATAGAGTTTTTGTTCGTTTGCATGTTTGGATCTTAATGAGACAAGTTCATATAAAAAAAAGAATGGATTATGCGAGTTATTTTTTACGAGAGGAAATCTGATACAGAAGAAGGACTTATCAATGAGACATTAGGTTCTATGATATATATTTATTTTTTTTTGTGGTATTTACGTGACACGAATGTGAGATGGATGCGTCGAAACTTTTGGAGATAATCGTGTTTCTGGTAGTCGGGGAAGGACAATTAGACTGCTGAAAATGAAAATTACTGTCCTGCAGTAGCCTAAAGAATAACATTCAGCTGGTCATCGTCCTCCAAGTCTAAGTCCTGAATGTTATCTTTGGGGTCAAGCCAATCACCTTCAAATTCTAACCGAATGCTAGTTTTGTATGGGATGTTTGCCTGCTTACAGTACTCCTTAATGAGTGTATCCACTGTAACATTGGGGGGCATGGAAATGCGTATGTCGGGATTTGACTTGGATCTTAGAAGCAAGTGCAAAAGTTTTGCTGGTTCCCCGTCATCTTCACTATCCGAGTGGTCGCTGTGTAGCAGTTTTGTGTCTTGTAAAATCCGGTTGGTACATACGAGCTTGTAATCATTAACCTCGTACGCATGTATAACAAGTCGGGTATCGACTTTCAGCATTCCAGCACCTTTCGGCGTGCCAAAGTCCCAAAGCCGTTTGCCTTGGAAGGTCAAAACGACCTCTGGGATGTTTTTTCGTTGACAGTAAACAAGTTTAAGACGCCGAAACTCCTGATTCGACTTGATTTTGAAGATGAGAGGCTTGTCCCAGTCTTTCGGCAAATCCGTCTTACTCTCAGCAACACGTTGTCCAATAACTGCTAACTGCAGGAGTACAGCAGGTGTTGCACTACTGCCGTCGATAGAAGATATGCTACTCACAACGCTAGTATCGTTTCCGTTAGTAAGGGACGTAGCGAATGAGGTCGCCGGTGCTGCTAACCCTATTGAACTCTCTCTAGAGGTTTGTAAAGACTCCGAGTTAGGAGCGGGTATTGCCCCCTCAGTTCCAACGGTTCCTAGTCCTGTTCCTGCCACTGCTGTTTGCTGAAATTCCTCCACGTGTCGTTCAACCTCCAGCAATCTGCGTTCAAACTCTTCATCTTCTTCCGTTAAGAAAGAGACCAAAGATGTTGTTGTTGGGGCAGCTGCCGTCGTCGCCGCTAGTGACGGGCCGTATGGAGATGAAGGCTTTTGTTCATCAATGTGAACAATTTCCTCCACTTCTTTCGAGTCTAAGGCTTGATCTTCATCCTCGTCCGACTCATCAATGACAATAGACGTTGAAGCAGCAGTGCCAGTCTCAACACGGGCCGCAGATGATTGTACTGTTTTTATTGCGCCGGTCGGACTCTTCTCCTTGGGACCATCTTTGAATGTTCCTTTTCGTTTTAAGACCTCCTTCTCGCCAGAACCCTTTGGATCCGTTTTCGCTTTCCTTAAACGATGCCGACTTCCCGAGCGAAAAAAGTCCACATCATCGTCATCATCCTCGTCATCCAACGTGTCTATAGCACCTCGTTAGCAGACAAAAAATAACTTTCGATGAATTTAAAGTTCATCGTGTGGCAGCCTTAGTGTAGAGTCTTTATGAAAAACCAACCCTACAACCATGGCTGCCTCCATCCACACCTACCCGACCCAGACAAGTCTGAAAGAGCATGAAAACTCAACGCAGGCTTTTTGATGGGCTTCGTGAAAAAAGCCACATCGTCATCCTCCTCCAACGACATTCGATAAATTTACCTTATGAAGAACCTTTGATTAGTGAACAATATCAATTAATAGAGAGAGGAACAGCAAATTGGCATAAACATGTTCGATTCTACCTTGTCCTAGTGCGCGTTCGTCTAGCAGTAGCCAGATGCACTTTTGGTGGTGAGTACCGGGTGGGGCAGACGTGGGGGCAACAATATGGGGACGGTTGTGGGGGTACAGAACTCGCTGCAGCGCATTAATACAGAATACAGCAATTTGCGTTGCACTACTAGGCATTTCCTAGAAATACGTTGCGCTGCATTAAAATAAAAAGTCACAAACGAGGCTGAGTGAGGAAGGCCTCCTTTCCGACCTATGTCATAATCTTATGCCCCGGGATTTTACTCCACAAATGGCGACTTGATTATCCAATAATAAAAATTGCGAAATAGAGGACCCCTGTACCCTAATCGCAAAGGCGAACATAAACCTTAAATAAGCCAATTAAATATATAAGCGCCAAGGCTTGCGAAACGCCGTCGGCTGCCAAACAGTCAAAAACAGACTTTCCAGTGTCGTTTTGCATTAAATGTGTTAAGAACAAGCAAAATTAATGTGTATACAGCAAGCGCTTATCGTATTTGTGTCTAAATATGATTCAGAAAAATCATTGCTTCCGTGTACATCGTCATAGACGATATTCCGTGTTTTATAAATTTTCGAAATGTGGAGTGAGAAGGCAAACCACTTTTCGGCAATATCGAATCATTGAGGCACTAGCCCTGTCAAGACAGTTGCTATAAGGTCTTGCTGCACTCTGCTGCGTCTCCTGCCCTCTCCCAGCTCTCATTGTACGCTAGGATCCTGGGTTTTTTTATTCTTAACAATTTCCCGTGTGACGGCTCGAGTTTCTGCACTATTTCTGTGAGTGAGTGCTATTTCCTAATTCAATAGACAAAAAAAGGGAATCGCGACGACGATATATATATTTTTGGTCTTTTTTCGTTGAAGCTGCGATATAATTTATTCAGTTTTATTACACTCTAGGATTCCTCACACAGTTTCTCCATTCAGAGGTTTTTCTCCTTCTTTTGTTCCTTTTTCTTCCCTTTCAACAATGCCTATAAACACGAATCTTACTCCCCGCGATGTTCCTTGGGATGTTACTGCGGACCATTTGACTACCCAGTACAAGTCTTTCTACTTGAGTTTTGACGACAACTCTTTCGGCTATGTTCAGTTTGCCTATGGTAACCTTGGTTTGTTTATTAAGGTTTCTCCATTGGGCTGGACATACTACCCAAGTCCCGAGGAAGCACCAAATGAGCCTATCATTGGTAGTTCCACCCATTTGTTTCGCAGCATGAAGATCTCAAAGGATCGTTTCAAGGTGACCGTGTCTGGAAACGACTTCAACATTGATCCTGAAGCGAAAAAGTGCCATGTAACCATTAAGGGACTCTACGATCTCCACATTGAGATGGAAGGTGAGGGTTATCAAGTAAAGGACTTTGGCCGCACGTCCAAGGTCGAGTTTATGAGACATCGTACCTTTCCCATGAACAAGGTTACTGGTACGGTTACTGCTTACGGCAAAACAAAAAAGGTTACTGGTAACGCGGTTGCTGTCGATGCCATGTTCTTTCGCGACAAGTTTACCAGTTTTGGCCACACTTGGCAGAACGCAATGCTCTTTGACAGAGAGCAGAAACATGTGCTTACTTGTTTGCACTACTACACTCGTGATCAACCCATGTCTGCTGCTCGTTCGCCTTCTCAGGCCAGTTTGACACTGGACGGTAAGTTGGTTTCAGTCATGCTTGACAACGAGTACTATCAAGACGAATGCCATTCACCCGACGGTCTGCGTTATGAGCTTCCAAAGACGGTTCGTCGCGTCCTGTCCGGTAAAACATTTGACGGTCGTTCGGTGCAGGTAAAGCTGCGAGCAGAACTGGAAACGATTGGCAGTATCACTGACGTACTTAAAATTTTCCCCAAGTGGGCCAAGGATCTCGTGTCCATTTGGGCTGGTTTGCCTTATGTTTTCGTTTGGTTGCAAAACATGGCTGCCGATGTGTACATTGACGGTAAGCATGAATGCCAGCTCTCTGGTGCCGGCTATGTCGAACAAACCTGTGTCCATTACCCTCCCTCGGAATCTGAGAAATAGTTCTCCTTAGTTGTCGACTCAAGGGTTGGCGTCTGAAACACTATTTCATCTCCTCACTTTAATCCCTTTTGCGAAATCTTCAGTTACTCAATTTTTTCCTTTTTTTTTTTGCAATCGCATCTGGGCTTATGAATGGCATGTAACGCTACTACTACTATTGATATGATGAGTTTACGACTACTTTCGTTCATACCCAATACACAAACAAGCACGCACATACAAATGCATATACACCTGCGAGTACATGATAGCACAGGTACACAGACACCTATCACACAACGTTTATACACGCACACACGCATTCTTAATTATGTTTTACGCTCATGTTACGGTTTCAAGTTGCTCGCGGATGAGCAATCGGTTGTTCCCTATGGATAGGTACAGGGTGTTTGGATGTCCATCGTTTACGCCTATCCTTTTCCTTTATTCTACGTGGTTATACGACTGTTTGTCGTGGTCAAAGCATCTGTCGGTCCGTCATTTGCTTTCGTACTCTTGTCAACCCATGGGCGGATTGGGTTGATCCAAGATCATTTCTTCTCGTTTACACACCTACTCCATTCTCTTTAAGTTCTTTTAATAAATGTTCTGTTTTTCCTCTATTTCAATAATTTCATTCTGTTTTCCCAATGGTGTTTCGCATTTTCTCCAACCGTACGGTCCCGCGGTATTGCCGGTGGGGCCGATCTTCCCGCGGTGACTTGTTGGTGTTCCTGTTAGTCTGCCAGGTCGTCGTCCGTCGTGTTCTCTACGCACATCCTCCGCCCTAGGCAAACATCTGCTCGATATGTCGGCAGAATACAAGTACGATGAGCAAGGAGCTTTCTTTCCCGTCTTTCTGCTCGTTTTTGTGCTGGCTTATGCCATTCCAGCGACCTTAAAGGAGTGTTTTGGACGTAAAAGTACGACTTATTTTTTTTAAAGGAAATTTGTATTTTACAGACCAGCTAACACGTTTATCATGTAGAAAAAGATGCATTTACTAGCTGTGAAGACAAACTGAAGCATTTGCGTCCCAAAAACGGCTTAGACAAGCAGTGCAAAAGAATTCCGAAAAGGTACCTTACGACCACTACGTGTTATACTAATTCATGCAAGATATTTTGCCATTGTCCTTGCTTGGATCCTTGCTATCTACCTCGTTTATGTCATTGTACAAACCCGTTCCAATTCTGCTCTGTATGATCCCTATGAAATTCTTGGTCTTCCTAAAAGTTCGACACTGGACGAGATTCGTCGTCATTACAAGCGTTTATCGATCAAGTTCCATCCTGATAAGGTCCGTAATCTGGTGAACACAACACGAGAGGAGGTGGAGTTACACTACATTGAAATCACAAAAGCCTACAAGGCATTGACGGACGACGAAATTCGTGAAAACTATATTAAGTATGGTAATCCTGATGGTGCCCAGGATCTTTCTATTGGTATTGCTCTGCCCAAATGGGTCGTAGAGTCGAAAAACAGCATTTACGTTCTCGGGTTTTATGGTACTCTTTTTGGTCTTTTACTTCCTTACAGCGTTGGAAAATGGTGGTACAAGACACGTAACTTTACTCGAGAGAGTATCCGTGTCGGTTCCGTTCACCGTTGGTTTAAAAACTTTGATGAAGATGCTACGGCAGACGACTTGTTGAAAGCGTTTGCATCCAGTGACGAGTTCCGCCATGACAGCAAGGAGTCTGTCGACGAGTCTAGCAAGCGTGTAATTCGTTTGCTTGAGGAGCGTTTCCAACGTAAACCCTCATCCAATGAGCACGAGTTGGAACAAGTTTTACGCCAATCTGGTAACGTTTTAAGTGGTCTTTTGAATTTGGTTTCGGCATTCGGTTTTGCGAAGCCTTTAAAAAATGCCATGCAGCTGACACAGTGCATGGTCCAAGCACTTCCTCTGGATTCCACCTTGTACACTTTGCAATTGCCTCATTTGAAGCAAGAAGATGCATACAAATTGGCCCTTCACGGTGTCAAACACATTTCCCAATTTTGTGACTTAACTCCCAATGAGCTTTCTACGCTGCTGCCCAAATACACGAAGCAGCAACGTGAAGAAATGTCCTTGGTCGCCGGCGCCATCCCTCGTCTTTGCGTTACGGATGCAAAGGTGGTCGTCGATGGGGACGAGTTCGTTACGTCCAGCGCGATTGCTACTATGATTCTGCGTGTGAAGTGTTGCTATAACAAAGAAAAGGTGAAAACGGTGAATGTTTCCGGTGAGGAGAAATGCACGGAGGAAGATGAAAAGCTGTTTTCTCAAAACAAGGAGACTGCTGTCGGCGATAAGGAATGCTTGCCTGCAGCTTGGGCTCCGTACTTTTCTCAACGATTCAAGCCTGTTTGGTGGGTCTATGTAGAGGACCCCCGTCAAGGACGAGTCGTCGTTCCTCCGGTTGCATTAACAGACATTCCCAAAACCTCTCGCACAGTGACTATTCCCTTCCAAGCGCCGCCCACTCCCGGTACATATCACTTCCGTGGCCATGTTGTGTCAAATGCTTTCTGTGGAGAGGACGTCTTGTTGAACATTACCGTAGAAGTGAAAGATCCAGCCGAACTGGTCAGCGATGTTCCTGAAAAGTCAGCAAAGGGCATGGATGAAGACAGTGCCTATGATGTTGACACCGAGGATGATAACTCGAGTGATGAAGAAGACATGGACGACAGTTTATCAGACATGTTTGACACGGATACGAGTGTCAGCGATTTGGAAGATGAGGATGAAGACGGAGAAGAAGACGAACACAAGAAAAATCAAGCTGTTGATGAGGAGAAAAGCACTACCAAGTAACATTATTCACTATCCTTAAAACAGTTTTAGGTTCATTTCCTGCATGACCTACACGCTCATTTTAAAACGATTTTACTTTGACATGCTTACAAACGCTGCTGTGTACTCCATCCGCAGTTTTACATTCATTCACCCTCCTAGTCCCCTCTTAATAAGAAATGACATTTGTAACGAAAAGAAATATTCAAGTGTTTTGGGATTCCAATTCTTAAAAAAGGATTCCCAGGCAGCTTGTTAGAGAAATGGTTCAAATGATCTTATTACTGCAGCTTTTTTATCCAGATTCGTATTTTCATTCCTTATGCCGGCTGTTTGGTGGCAGTAGTTAACATAGTTCCTGTTTGTTTAGTGAAAACGAGAACATAAAACACTTCTTGGTAATAAAAATGTAATGAATCCTTATTTACTTTACGCAACAGCACTTAACAGATATTCTGGAATCGTGTTGTCTAAAAATCTCCAAAGACTGGCTGCTGGCCGATTTTGCCATCCTTACACCCGACTCTCTTCTTGGCCACACTTCGTTGCTTTCCAAAAACAAAAACGGCTGACCGAGAGGCAGTTTAGTCAATTCAGCATGACGATTGCAAAGAAGCTGCACGGTAGAGCATTCTACGAAAGTATAGGCTCTCCGAAGAGAATTTTGGCGCCTATGGTTGATCAATCTGAACTTCCATGGAGAATTCTTGCTCGACGAAGCGGTGCTGATATGTGCTTCACCCCGATGTTTCATTCACGTTTGTTCAGTGAAAGCAAAGACTATCGTGACAAAGTTTTCTCAACCAAGGACATTCCTGAGGAGAAACCTCTAATTGTTCAGTTTTGTGGAAACGAGGTTGAAACAATGCTTCAGGCTGCTAAGCTTGCAGAGCCGTACTGTGTTGCAGTGGATTTGAATCTCGGCTGTCCTCAAGGTATTGCTCGTAAGGGAAAGTATGGCTCTTTTATGCAAGACAACTGGGAGTTAATTGAGGCAATTATTTCCAAGTTGCATGCAGAGCTTTCTGTTCCAGTAACAGCAAAGATTCGCATATTCCCGGATCCTTCTCGGACGCTGGAATACGCAAAAATGATCTTGCGTGCGGGAGCATCGATTCTCACTGTCCACGGTCGGACGCGAGAGCAACGCGGTATAAATACTGGCATCGCAGACTGGGATCAAATCAAAATGTTACGGGAAAAACTGCCTGCGGACACCGTTTTGTTTGCCAATGGTAACATTTTGCACAGCAGCGACATTGAACGCTGTCTCGAATACACCGGTGTCGACGGCGTTATGTCTGCTGAAGGAAGTCTCTATAATCCCAAGGTTTTCTTGTCGCCTTCCCGACCTTACACAGAGTTGTATCCTCGAGTCGACAAGATGTGTGAAGAGTACTTTGACATTGTCCGCGAGCACGGTCTCACGAAGGACTACAGCTCTTTGTCAGCAATGAAAGGTCATTTGTTTAAGATTTTGCATTCCTTTTTGTCAAAACACACGGACCTTCGCCAGGTCCTTGGTGTGAAATGTACTCCAACGGATTTTGAGAGTTTCGTACAATTAGTACAGGAAGTGCGGGAACGTATTGAGACTTCACTAGCCAACAAAGAGTATGTTGACGACACAGAAAGCTTTGAAAAAACACTCGATGAGCGGGGTTATCCTGTCGTCCCGTTTTGGCGTGCACAGCCCTACATTCGTCCACTGCCTAATCGGAAATTGAAGGAGGAAAACGAAGAGGATGTTGCAACGAAAAAGATAAAGCTGAGTAAAAAAGAGGAGGAAGGAGAGGTGTTGCAATCGTAATAGAATTGTTTGAACACAAGTGTGAACACGTTTTTCGTGTTATGGTTTGTCGTAATCTGTTGGTACATATCTGTTTGCTATAATGGAAGCTTCTGCAGGACACATGCAGCTGCTGTAGTGCAGAAAACAAAGAAAGCATTATTAGGCGTAAAGGGCGTTTGACAGTATGCAAAAATGATGGAGGTGAAACAAAAGAAAAGGAGAAGGAACTTGGGAACAAGATCCTGTTCATAGGACTCATGAAATGTGAATATTCGCTGCATGTACAGGACATCCTGCAGCTCCGGTGTGCAGCCAGTCTCTATAACAATCCTGAGATGGAGTTAGCAAAGAATAACAAGCATTTAATTTTTCCTGATGACATACCAGATGAAAGATGCATAAACAGTACGCCAGACGTGCAACATTATCACCAGGAGCAAATTCCTCAAAGCAAATAATGCACTCTTCACCAAGGCAGGGAGAATCTTCGTTCAGCTGGAAGTAGATGTACTGTCTCGCTTTCTTTAACAAAGTATTAGACTTCAATGTTGTATTAGGTGACCCAAAATCAAGACAAGAGCGAAGGTGTTCTTCCTGTTCTTCCTGATCCATGCTTGCTAACGATTCACAGCAAACTGGGCATTCGAGTAACTCAGTGGATTGATTTATATTTGTGCGAATTGCCCTATTCCGAACATCTTCAACAGACATATCCATGAGTACAGAAGAAGAACGGGTCACATTCTCTGTTTGATTAAAGCAATTATCACAAACACGAACGCGTACTAACAAATCATCATTATCGTGTTCCTGTAGACTTTCTTGGGAATTATCATCTTCGTAACCTTCGTATTCAGCATATGCAATGTGAGAGAGAGGAAGAAACGCAAAGTGGTTGGAGCAATTGTTGCAGAATATGAAACCGCATTTCCGACAATGATGTCGGCGATGAAAGAATGTAAATGGAGTTCCGCATGAGACACATTCAATGGCTTCACTGTCTGGTTGCCATTTGGCTCGTTGAAAGTGAGTTTGACGATTCAGCGTTTCTGACATATTCAACTCCACAAGATGGCTCAAACAGCATAAATATCAAACAAAAACCGGGTATTGTTCGTTTCAATGGTGCTTATTAACAGGTATGATACCCGAACAAACCCAATTCCTGATGTGTAACGACGTACTGGGAACGTAAGGGCGAGAGCAGATAGGAGGCGAAAAAGAGTGGAAAGAGGATTTAGTTTGTCAACAGGAGAGCTAAAGCCGTTTAAAGAGACGAAATACGTAACAGCGGATGTGAGGAATTGAGCTTAGAATTGATCAATGAGACGCTTTTGGGCATTTTCTTCTGTTGACCGAAGTAACTTGTCTCTGTTAGCAATTGTGTCTGACCAAACAATCAGCTAGCACGCGAAGAAGAGCCTTGTTTTGTTCTCACCTCTAGTGACTTCTCTAGCTTGTTGCTGAATGTCTGTCCCAAGTGCTGGAGATCGTTTTTGTAGTTTTCAATCACCACGGGAAAATCAGAAGGTGAGCTTAAAGTAGACAATATTCTCTGAAGCTCCGAGTCTATTTGAGATAGTTCTTCTTTTAATCTGCTCTTCTCTTCCGAAAAGTAGCGGATGTTGGACAGAAACTTGTCCGTCAAGTTGTCGATTTCTGATATGGCAAGCTGGATTGCGTTGCTTTTCGCATACACTCTATCTCTATTCAATGTTAGCGATTCAATTCTTTAAGACTACGCGAACTGTTTTATTACTTCAACGCGTTGTCAATCAGGTGGGACTGAATGGCTTCGTCATGATGCTTGCTGAACGAAACAACTGTTGATGCAAGTAGATTGGAATACTGAGAATCCAGAGCTGACTGTAGCGAAGTAATTAAATGAGACATGGTTGTGGAATTGTTAGAAGGCTGGAAACTGCTACGCATTCACTGTTCCTTATATACGTTTTACGCGACGCGTTTTTCATTTAACGCGAATTTAATGGTTTAGAACAATGCATAATAGGCAGAATATACTACTCTTAGATTATATAGGGGTTTGACTTATTTGAATTATATCGGCCATTTCCTGTTTCTGAATGTGTTTATTTCTCTCCCTTACGGCTAAGCCCGTATGTCGTTCTTTTGGCTGTCAACGAAGAACTTGAACAATTGCAACCTCAATTACTTATCTCACTGCATTTTTATTCACGTCTAAGGCTGTATTTTTGTTTGATATTCAACTAGCTTACGCTTTTTTTTCCCTCTTTACTTTTCATAACGTAAACACAGGCTTAAGGAAAGCGTTCCTATTTTCAGCGGTTGGATCTTTGATTGTCATCACAAAGGACCTCTTTTCTCAATAATATTAAGCATAATACGCGGAAGGAGGCTCTTTTTCGTTTATTCATACAAATTCCTTCTCTTTTTTGATAATCTTTTTGTACAAACATGCAAGATCCATTTCACGAAGTTCGAGAGTACGACTGAACATTTAATAATATTAGTGATACAGAGATGATGCTAACATTTGGCTCTACTTAGGGATGCGACGAGACAGCTGAAGCAGATTCAAGGCTTATTCGCTCAATTTTTGAAGGATCGCAACTCCGGCTATCCTACTCCCTCTACTGAGCTAATTTATGCCATCGATGAGTTGTCTGAGACGTTAAAAGATCTTCGTGAGGCCGTTAAAATTGCTTCAGACAATGCAGAGCACTTTCAATTGAGTGCAGAAGAGCTTACGGAACGTGCCAAATATGTCGAGGGACTAGAACGGCAGCTGAACGATATCCAACTGGGTCTTGCCGAAGAATCAAAATTACCTCCGGTCGGAGGGACGAATGCTGAAGCTCAAGATGCTGTTGACAGGGCAGCGGTCGCTGAAGATACCGCAGCTCGCCGTGCAGAGGAACAACAGTACCAACAGCAGCTGTATCAGGAACAGGATGTCATGCTTGACAGTGTTTACAATACCGTTGGTACCATACGTGGTCAAGCCGTCCTCATGGGCCAAGAGTTGGCCGAACAATCGACTATGCTTGACACACTGGACGAGCAACTCGAAACGGTTGGATCGAAATTGAAAACTGGATTACGAAGAATTAAAGACTTTGCCATTGCGAATGCCGGTAAGTGTCTACAAAGAACGAACGAGTTTTATTTCTGTAAGTACTAACATTATAACTAGACTCCAGATCAGGTTGTTGTATCACAATTCTCGTCATCATCCTTGTAATTCTGTTAGTACTGGTAGTCATCATTTAGTCACTCTTTCTGCTTCTCTTTGCGGGAGGCTTCTCTGATGCTTCTCAACTGGTTAGTAGAATTCAGGACAACAACGTTTGCAGTAACATACCTTCATCTTCGTCATCTTCCTCCTCTTCGTCTTCTTCAAGATCAACAGAACTCTCATCATCGTCACCGAGTTCCTCCGACATTGTCTCGGTAAAGTATTTCACAGCATTGGGGAACAAATCCTCTGCCAAGAAAATGGCAAGCTCTGCGCCGTCAAATTCTTCTCTGTCTTCTTCACCTGTCCACTCGAAGAAGTCAAAGAAACCAGGAGGGCTGTTTTTGTTCTTCCGGTTCAGGCTTTTGCCTGCCTTCCAGTTAATCTTTACAGGTTCGGACACATAACGTGTTGTTGTCTTTTCCAAACCCTCCTCATCAAGTTCTTTCGTTTCTTCAATGCGAACATTCTTTTCCAACGTAAGGCTGTCGTCCTGCAAAAAGTCATTTTTCAAAAAGCTCATAGTAATGCGCAAGTTGCGTGGTTCATTTTCATCGGGACGTTCAACATAGAGATTCTGTAAGTTTTCGAGCAAGACACTGTCATCGGGCGTGATATATTGGCCTACAGATCAACTGTTAGTCTTCAACCATCAAAAGTCGCGATATCACTTACTGATTTCGTCTCCAGCAGCCTCCAAGACAATAACCCAGAAGTTCTTGATGTTTTTCAAAATGTCACGACGCTTTGCGAACAAAGGCTTGAAGACTTCGTTTTGTTTTTTCACTGAAAAATATTGTTAGAGTATTTAGAACAAAAAATACAAGCATTCTGCGCGTCTTTCTTACAGATTTCGAGCTCTGCCTTTCCAAAATCATGCTCCAAATCGGCAAGCTCCTCAAAAGCTTTAGCATCGGCTTCCGACATCTTTTATTTTAACCTAGTTGCAGGATGTTCTGTTTTTGCTACGAAGTGTGGTAGTGACTCCTTCACTTTTAAGAACTGACAGTCATCCTAACAACACCGTCAAAACAAAATTGGAATGTAGAAGCGGTAAGATATATCTTTATTGTTGTAAACTTTTCATTTCAATTATTCACTTTTTTTTTCGTGTTCAAACTTCGTACATTTTGCATGCTGTTGTCTAAAATTACATAGTAGCGATTAGGCGAAAATACACTGGATTGTCACGTCTAGAGTAAACAATATGTGTCTAGAACACTTCCTACACATTACAGGATTAAAGGGTGTTTAAAACGTTTGATTCTAAAACCCAAAACATTTACGATTGATGTCTTACAATTACTTCGAACGGAACGTCTACTGATATCAATAGTCACGCAATCAATGTTTTATATTGTGAAATGTGAACGTCTCCTGCTTTGAACTGTGTTAAACTTCACGAATTTGAATATCTTATACGGCTCTCAGTCTCGTCGATTCTTCCATTACCAACCCATAAGCAATACGCCACTTGACCGAGATTTCCCAATAAAAAACGAAAGTAAACGGTAAATACGCTTATTTTCCATAGCCTCCTCTATGGATACGTCGCAAAGACAGCTTTTTTGTGAAGAGAGTCAGAAAAATGAGCTCGAAGCGTTGGAGGCTATTTTTATGGATGACTTGGAGAAAGTCAATGTGAACAATGCATGGAATGTATGTCAATTGACACGTTTGTTTGTGCCGTCCGCTAATCATTGTGTCTACAGGTGTCGAATCAAAATACATATGTGATACATTTGTGCTCCCGAAGCAACAGCGCCAAAAACATTGCAAAAATAGACTTTGAATTTGAATTAGGACGCAGCTATCCATACAACAAACCTGTCATTCGTTTAAAAAATGGGAAAAATGTACTCAATTCCCAAGTTCGGTTTTTACTTTCCCAGCTTGACCGAAAGTCTCGCGAGCTCGTGGGTCAAGAGATGATCTTTGAGCTTGCCTCAATGGTCCAAGACTACTTAAACGACTGGCAAAGCGAACTGTCATCTCAATTCGCGAGTTTGGAGGAAGAACGTGCGGTGAAACTTAAAGAAGATCGTGAAAAGGCAAGCCAAGATCAAGCAATGCTTCGTAAAAAGGAAGAAGATGAGAGACAACATGAACAAATGCTATTAAATGACCGGATACATGACGAACTACAACGAAGGTCGTATGAAAGAGGGCCTGTCAACACGCCAAGAAACAAAAAAACCAATGGCACACAAACTGCCAAACTTAAACGACTTCCTCACACCATTGACCTCGAATGCGAAGTGTCTGTTAAAGATACACAGGATGCTATGGTAACCTTTTCCCAAATTCGGCCTGTGTTCACCATTGCGGAAACTCCTCTTTCTACTTTAACTGCGGTGAAACCTGTGGTGCATGATACAGATGTGGAGAATCAGTTGTTTGCTTTACGTACTGTATTAATTACCAATGAGTATTGGAGTACGGAAACGGGAAAGAAATCTTTGCAAACACTAGAAAAGGAGTTACAAAGTCTTTGTGGAGTTCGCCACGAATTATTAGCATCTATTTATGAAAACCAACTAGAACGAATCCCGTCTGCTGGTTGGCGTCTGTATGTTCTTCAGGAATATGCCCCTCGACTTACTTTACATTCTCTCTTGCAAACTGTTCTTTCCCTCGACGTGGACACTGTCCGTTCCTACGCCAGTAATATTCTGGAAGGTCTAAATGAACTTCATCGTTTGGGCATGGCGCACAAAGATCTACATGCTGGAAATGTGCTGCTTGTGCAAAGTGGTCAGCGGACGTATGCTCGGCTGTCAGATTTTAGTTATATGCGCACTTTGCGTGACATGAATTCTTCAAGTAGCTTCACCGACGAATCTGTTGGAATGAAAACTAACTTTCCTACTGGACTCTTTCCACCTGAAGTTTCGGATGCCTCGTTTGCATTGGCGTCGAGAAAAACAGATATATGGTGTTTCGGTCTTGTTGTTATTCAAATGTTATGTGGTCTGCACGTTTTTGAGAAATTTAACACAGCCAAACTCATTTTGAACAGGGTTTTGCCTTGCTTGCATAAGCCTTTTCAGGATCTCCTTTCTCAATGCTTGATGCATGAAATGAAAAAGCGGCCTACTGCGTCAGAACTGCTTTCTAGTCATGCAATTCGTTTGGGAACGGCACTTATCACGAGTAAGGATAGACAAATTCCTCCGAAAGGCATGAACTTGGCACAACTTAGCCTACAGGAGAATATTGCTGATGCGCTTTATAAACGAGGCATTTCACGGTACGAATCTGATTTCGAAGAGATCGAGTTTCTCGGCAAGGGCGGATTCGGTGAAGTTGTGAAAGTAAAAAATCGCATTGATGGTCGCTTTTACGCTATAAAGAAGCTTCCATTAAATAACAGTGCTAGCGGAAACAACAAAATTTTGAAAGAAGTCATGACTTTGTCCAGGCTCCATCATGAGCATGTCGTTCGTTACTATACAGCTTGGGTCGAAACTGAAACTCATGAGACTCTTACAGAAATGTTGTCCTCGGAGGAAGACTCTTTGTTTTCGTCTGCAAATGTTAACAGTGATCTGTTACAGTCAACAAGTTATGCTAAAAATGGATTGTCGAGTCTTGATATACATTTTGATGAAGAATCATCAAGTTCTAGTGAAGATGAAGACGATGTCGTTTTTGAGGGAGATGGAACGGCTTCCTCGACGAGTTCAAGTTTTACTAATGATTATATAAGCACGCAGGACACTTCTCAGTCTGAAGAGCAGTCGCTCAACGTAACCCTTTACATTCAAATGGAATACTGTGAAAAGCTTTCCTTGCAAGATATCATTCGAGACAAGTTACCAGCCGAAGAAATTTGGCGCCTGTTTCGCCAGATCTTAGAGGCGTTAACATATATTAATAGTCGAGGAATGATGCATCGCGATCTAAAACCAGGAAACGTCTTTTTAGATGAAAATCGAAATGTCAAGCTAGGTGATTTTGGCTTGGCAACTGAGAATGAGGGATTTCAAGATCCAGCATTGGTAAAGTGGAAAAATAAAACAATTGAAGATGGGGAAATGACTGCCGGTGTTGGAACCGCACTCTATGTTGCACCAGAGTTGCTTAACAAATCAACAAGCACACATTACGATGCTAAAGTTGATATGTATAGCTTAGGAATCATTCTTTTTGAAATGTGTTGTACATTTTCCACAGCAATGGAACGGATTCGGATGATTGAGGATATCAGATTGCCCTCCATCAGGTTCCCGTCTTCGTTCCCATATTCAAAAACCAGTAATGAGAGTCGTGTAATTACATGGTTGCTTCAACATGATCCTAAGAAACGGCCTAGCAGTCAAGAGCTAAGTGAAAGTGATCTGGTTCCTGCCAAGGTGGAAGATGAATATATTCGTGAGGGTTTGAGAGTTTTGTCAAATCCGCATACCCCGTACTACAGTCGTTTACTCAAGGTCTTATTTAATCAAAGCATCGACAAACACATCGATTACACTTATGACTTCTACACAAATAAGGAAAGTGGAATGACTACTCGCGCTTTTGATCGCATGCTTGATCCTTCGCTTGTTGGTTTTTACCGTGATAGAGCCGTACAGGTTTTTAAACGTCATGGCGCAAAGGAAAGGAAGCAGACAGTACTCTTTCCGAAGACGAACTTGTATACGCAATCACAACCACTTGTGAAACTTCTTGATTCAAACGGAACATTGCTTCAACTTCCATACGACAATGTACTTCCGTACGCTAGAGAAGTTGCGCGTAGCACATCTGAGGAGTTAAAGACATATTTAGACTCGCACGTTTATCGTGAATTACCCGCCGGAGGCCGCCCTTTTTCTGTTCATGAACTCAGTTTCGACATTGCTTCGTATTCTGACCATTTAGAGTGGTACGATGCAGAGGTCATGAAAGTCATTGATGAACTTATGAGTGAGTTTCCAAGTTTGCAAAAAGGATGTATACGCATTAATCATGCTGATATATTCAATGCTATTATGGAATATCTCAAAGTGGATAGGGAAAAACGTGCCAGGGTTAGCACAATCATCAGTCAAGTGAGTCAAAATGCTAGTATTACGCGCATCCGTAATCAATTGCGCAGCGAGTTCCTGGTTCCTTCCACTACATTGGATGAGCTCCTCCTTTTTGACTATTGTTTGGAATTTGAAGAAGGCGTTTCGAGATTACTTGGCATTTTTGACTCTTCACTCAAAGAAAAAGTGATGCCAGCTATTAATAATCTGAGACAGATTATGAGTTTCGCCAAGGAATTGCAACTCTCCTTTCCCGTTTACTTCGCTCCTTTGTGTGTCTATAACCTCAATTTCTATACCGGTGGTGTCATGTTTCAAGCTATTAATACTATTGACCATTCCGATGTCGTTATTGCCGGAGGCCGTTATGATGCACTAGTCAGGCAGTATGATCCTCCACTGCTGAGGACGGCAAGAAGGAAACATGCCGTTGGAATAACAGTTGCCCTGGAAAAGCTGGTGCATTCAATGACTCGCTATGTCCATTCATCTCTAAAAAAGTCTATGAGAGGGAAGAAATTTTCTACAAGCACTATTCCCCTCAATAATTGGATTCCCCGGAGATTGGATGTCATAGTTGCAAGTATTGGAAAAGACTCATTAACCGAAAAATGTGCCGTGCTTCGCATTTTATGGGCTTTAAATATTAAGGCTGATGTACTACACAAGGGTGCTACAAGCTTAGAAGAAGTTGTTACAAGATTCCGCAATGACGGAATAAATTGGGTGCTAGTGGTTCGTCAAAAAAACACTGCTATGCAGAATTCGATAAAGGTTCGAAATATATCGAAAGGAGAAGATTACGAAATCCGGACAGAAGAGATAGGTTTATGGATGCTAAGTGAAATCAATGAGCGCAAGCGGCTGAAGAACACAAAGCAAACAACAGAACTTTCTCGGACATCTTCTCAAGAGGCCTTTAGCCAAATGGAAGGACAGGATCTGAATCTTGATGTTCAGTTAGTCTCACTTAAAGATGTAAACGATCGGAAGTATAAATGGAAGCATAAAATGAATGCAATGAACAAGGTATATGATCTTGTCAAGAATGCAATCAGTGATTGCAGTACGGATGCCGTAGCTTTGGCTGTTGATTGCAGTACTGAAGTTATGCATAATTTACGCAGCACTACTCTTCAAAACGAGGAATCCTGGAAGCGTTTTATCGATTCTTCGCCTGCTTCTCAACGACAGTACCTGGAACAATTGCACCAAAAACTGCTCGCCTTTAAAGAAGAGGGAAAACAACGTGTCTGGGTTGCATCATTTAGAACTAACGAGCTATGCTTGTATGAACTTAACGAATAATTTTTTGGTTCCATAATTCATTCTTTTATGTTAAGTGGAATTGATTTTGTTATATTATTATAATGTCTAATAGTCGCAATGAAATAGAAAAAAAAATACTTTAGCATCTAGAGTCAACCAATAACTTTGTAAGCAAGTATCATTCGATTTTATCGCACAAACAGTATGAGATATCTTAAGCCGCTATATGAAAGAACCAGTTTTTAGCGAGTGATTTTTTGACTCACTGGAACATAAAAGAACACTTAGTAGTTACTGTCATAAATACTTTTTTGCTAAATAGAGGACATTTTAAGAACAGAATGACAGACGAGAATGTAACGGATGAACTAGAACGGAAACTGGCGCTCATTGCTCCAAAGTTTTTTATTGATGGATCTTGTATACAAGTATTACTTAAACCTGATGAATTCTACAGTAACCTAAAGAAAATGATTCTGGAGGCGAAACGTAATGTTTTTCTAACTACACTTTATATTGGAAAAGAAGAGAAAGAGCTTATTGAAGTATTGAGAAGCGCACTAACAAATAATTCAATGCTTCAAGTATCCATAGTGGCAGATGCACTGCGTTCTACAAGAGAAACACCAAAAGAAAGTTCAGCAAGCTTGTTAGTAACGTTGAAAAAGGAGTTCCCTGAAAGAGTTCAAATTCGTTTGTACCATACACCGAATCTTCATGGCTTCAAAAAACGTGTCGTCCCTCCGAGAATGAACGAAGGTTGGGGACTTCAACATATGAAAATATATGGAGCAGATGACGCTGTTATGCTATCTGGGTAATGATTTTAAGAACTATGAAACTTAAAAAATTTTGAGGCTAACAGCTGGTATAACAGAGCAAATCTTTCGCACGACTACTTTACCAACCGTCAAGACCGTTATCATATCATACATGATAAGGAAGTAACCGCTTTTTACCATGGTGTTCATCAAGCATTGTGCAAGTTATCATTTGCTTGCAATCCTAATTCGGGCAACAGTGACATGAAGAATGCGATCCCGTATAAGTTAGAATGGAAGAACAGTGCCCCAAGTCCATTGCACAAACCAAGAGCTTTCAAGAGAGAGGCTTCTTCAATATTTCGATTCGCATTACAGCCCGGTACTTTAAGCACACAAAAGCATGCAGACACCGTACTATATCCACTCTTTCAACTTACTCCTATCCTCGCTGGACCATCATCTGAATCAACAGAAGCCACTGCAGTTTGCTGCATTGGTGAACAGATGACGAAGGAGAAAATACCTTGGACGTTCACCGCTGGTTACTTTAATGTCTATCAAGAACTTCGCAGACATTTGTTGAGTGCAAAAGGAAAAGGCACTGTTGTCGTTGCTTCTCAAACGGCGAATGGATTTTACAAGTCTCCAGGTCCCTCAGGCATGATTCCGGGTGCGTATCAATACATAGCAGAACGATTTCTTTCCGTGGCAAAGAAGCTACATTCACCGCTAGATGTGGAAGAATACGCTAGAGACAAATATACATATCATGCCAAAGGTAAGAGGAGTTTTATTCCAAAGCACTCAAACTAATTTCTATTTCCAATGCAGGTATTTGGTTGAACTCGTTGAAAACAAGCCATCCATTTCTTACTACAATAGGATCTTCAAATTATACAAGACGATCTTTAAATTTGGACTTGGAGGCAACTGCTGTTATTGTCACTAGGAGTGCCCCCCTTCAACTTGCATTTGCAGCAGAGATTCAAAACATCAGAACTTTCTCATGCTCAATGCAGCAGAAAACATTGGCTAAAGTGCCATTGTACGTAAAGACATTCACCAAATTATTTCAAGGGAAATTGTAGCCACCTTCATATTACGCTAATAACTTTTTGCCATTGGATTTATACAACCGTTACTAACACCGACGAAAAACGACACTCGCTTATCAGAGCTACTAAAACTACATATCTCGTGCATTTATCGCGACAATTCTGATATCAAACTGCTATTTTGTTTCAACCCTAGACGGCCTCCTTCTTCCTACACCTTTCCCTGACATCGGCGGACAGCTCCAGCGGCGTCCACTCTATGACAAGAATGTCGCATGTTCATGAGTTTGGAAGTGGAATTAGCTGCGGTTGTCTTAACCTTTTAATCTTAAATGTCCCTACAATACTTCGAAACGAGTGGTTTACGCTAAAGTTAAGCTTCTTGAAAATAGTACGTAAAACCAACGTGGACTCAGCACATTGTACTGTGAATGGGATGCTAACTTGAGTCTTTTTAGAAGTTTTGTTCCTTGTTTGATGTAGTACCTACGGCCAACGGAAGCATTGTTGGTTGTAAGGTTTGCGGGAAACCTGTTTTCTGTACACGAGAAAAGTATACGAAAGAACAGATTCTCGAACTGAAAGAGCAGACACCAACGCAGACGATTTCCATCAGTCTGTTGAAGTCTGCTCAGAACCTTGATGATTTGCGAAAGAACGAAAAGTCTTCGCACCTGGGACTCGCGCAGAATGTAGTTCAGGCTGAAGAAAATATGAATGTTTTGGAACTCGGAGAGTCTATAAGCGTTCAAATCGAGACTATTTTGCGCAAGACGAGTCCGGAATTACGAACACATGTTCAAATTTTGATGGAAGAGAAAAGGGCAGAGAACAAAGCTGCTTTGCTCAAGTTTTTGCAACAACAGCAAAGTTTATATGAGTCATTCGTGAGAGAAACACTCGCTGAGGTGTTATATCTCAACCAACGAAGCAGTAGTTTTCTCGAGCACACAGACTTTGAGAACACAAACCATGATCGGATACCATTGACTTCTTCTCCTAGCCCTAGCGGTGTGAATGCGTCTGCTCACAGTCGCTCAGATGAAAACAAACAGCTAGTGGAAAGTCGATTTACGCACAAAGCTAAAAGACGTGTGGCATTCAATGACAAGCATGAAATCATCCCGAATCATAGTCGATCGCTAAGTCTAGTGCAGCAAGGTGTTTCCATATCTAATCTTCCCGGCACACGAAGCTATGACTTAATACGAAAGAATGCCTTTTTCAAGGGCACTGGAGTTTACACACAACCGATGAATGTTGGATCTGATATGTCTCAGCAAAGCATTTCAGAGCTCTCTCTGAGTGCTTCGGGAATTTCCAATCAAGGATCTCAACACTCTCAACAGAGCTCCGTAATTTTCGAGCCCATTCAAACCAGTCATTCATACTCAGAACCCGTTGTCATTCCAAATTCCCTACGAATTCAAGAAAGTCACGAAGACTTGTCTGACCCTATTCATTCATCTTCCATGGATACCTCATCTGAAGACGAGCCTGCTATTGCCCTTACCGGACCTTCGTCTGTCGAGGACCGTAAGACGAGATGGTTTAATCTCATTCAACGAACAGACAGAGAGGCTCAAAGCTCGTATGCAAAGAGCATGGGATTCCAGATTCACATGGACGACGAATATGAACAGAAATTTCTGTCTCAAGGCTGGAAGAGTCTGAATTGAGCAGCGAAAGAGGAAGGGCTCGAGGGACCGACCAACCCAACAATCCGTTTGCTGCCGACTCTCTCGAGGACATCCAACTTCCTCGACTAAAACTCTTCCAGCCCGATGACCGTTTACGTCCCCCTACACCCACCGTTACCTACAAACCCATTAATTCCTCGCACCAATCCCATTCACAGCCTTTACTATACACACCTGCCAAGTTTCCTATTTTTGTTGTGTTAAAAAGACATTACCGCGTTCCTATTCTATTTAAATAGTAGAAGGGTAAAGCATAACACGGAGAGAGGCTCCAAAGGTCTTGGAGGGGAGGTTGTGCGTGAAGCGAGCACGAACAACGCCAGAGTTTCCGTGAGGACGGGCAATGGTACTGCAAAAAAATTTGTTAGTAAACTGTGTCATGTGTTACATGGTGCAGTTTTAAGAGAATCCATTAAGAAAACTCATACACCTCTTACATACCCCCAGATAACACGAATCTTGGAGCCGCGAACGGCCTTAGAGCTCTTGTAGACGTAACAAACACGCTTACCCAAGTAGAACTGGGCAGCCTCCTTGGAATCACATCCCTCGATCTTCACGAGGGAAGTGCCAGGGCGAATGTTGCACTTGCTACGTTGGAAAGAAAGGTGCTTAGCCTTGACGTACAATCTGTGTCCCTGGGCAGGCATTCTGGCTCGTTGGAAGAAATTGTGTAGTTCCTGTCACGTTTGGGTGGCAGTGTGACTGCTTAATTTGAGTCACCACAACACCTTGGAAATAACAAATCGGAATTCAGCGCTGATTAAAGGAAAGTTGATTAGAATTTGAATCGATAATACATTTATAAATGGGCAAATGAGAGTTATTTGTCTTTTTGGAAGTATTTTAGGGTACTTGAAAAAAAGTAGAGTATGTGTGACTCGAACTTTGGACTATATGGACTATGGTACGGGTCGGACCATATGTGAAACGAGTACAAACGGTGTGAGATGTGTTGTTGTCTTGCTGAAGTTAGCTATTCTATTAAGACTTTAACCTTGTACAAAGGTTATAAAGCATTTAAGAAAACGCTGCTTACCGTGACGGTTCATTGTAAGTAGGTCTTCCCGGACATCGTAGTAGTTCGTAACAAGGGTCCATATAGTAAAAGTACTTTTCACAAATAAACCTTAAGGGTGCAATTCGGTAATTACACAGTGCCACATGTCAATACTATACCCGTGGAAGTAATTTCGCTTATCCTGGAAATTCGGTTTCATGGCGGTTATGCTAATTCAAACTTTAAGCAATGTACTATAAAATTGGCTTCTCTAGCATTGATACAGTTTTTTGTTCTTGTGATTCGTATCGATCGATACCTAGGATTATACCTCAAGACAACTGCTTTTTCAAAGTCACTACAACACTCACGTACCCGATTCAACACTGATTGTAACGGGATTTCTCATTCTCCCTGTGTACAAACTTAGAATAGTACTAACTAATCCCATGCCCTCCCGTGGCAGCGTAACTAGTATATCAACCCTTACTCCATTCCCATTTGGTGATTTACGAATGAACGGACGCCTACACACATACCCTCTCCCCTCACCAAGGCCCCGATACCCGTAACAGTACGTAACACTTTTAGGAACCAGCAGCACGTAATAACAGTTCCATTCTGCTTCCGTGTCGGCTCCCATCCTCGAGCCGACACGGTGCGACAAGCATATGAATTTAAAACACAATTCCTTCCAAATAATTCATTAAAAAAATTGAATAGGGCTGTGCGGTAATGCTGTAAGAGAACTTGTTTGAAACACGTTTGGTGTCCGAAATTTACTAGTATACGGGTCACAATTGCTGAACTAAAATACATTTCAACCTCCTCTGAAAGTTGGACTGAGTAGAAAACAATACTTTTATAAGGAAAGCTGCAAACGCTGTGGTTCCATTAAATTTCGTGTCTATGTAACAGAAACATATGTATTTTTTTTTCATGCGCCTGCATTCATTCGGTAGTGCAAAGTATTGACAGTGCCCGATTCCGTTGCTTGTTCCGTCACCATAAATCCGTCTATTGGCCCTAATAAGCAGTGCCTTGTACCCTTTCGGATGCAGAGTGATGTGCAAATGACACTTCCTAATACAGCGATTTTCACAATCCTGAACTCGACCAATATCTTCATCGAGTCTCCACAATCAGTCTAGCCGGTTCTCCCCAAGATCGCAACGATTTCGTCTTCTCAATACAGAAGTGCCGACTAGAATTCTTACATACATCACCAGATGCCCATCATAACCCAGGCCGGCTATTGTTGATGGAATTGCGGCGAAAATTCCGTGACCTTATAAAGTGAAAGACTCGCAAGCCTCGTTGCTTAAGTTTCACACTTTATACGAACGAATTGTATTGCTGTTGTCCTTCTAAGCTGAACGGCTCTCATTTCCCATATCACATTACTCCTCTACAATGCTTGCATTCTCTCAGGCGAACAGCGTCAATTCTCATGATCATATCATTGCAGGATTAAAGGTTCATGTTTACGGATTGGAAGAATTAGAACCTGACGTTAAAGACGTTCACTTTGTTTTGGGAATTCATTTTCGCGGCGGTCATCAAAAGAGCGATTGTATTGTTGAAGTTGCTCGCCGTCTTATCGTACGGTCAAAGAAAGACCACAAGAATGTCGTAGTCTGTACCTTTGATTTACCGAACCACGGAAGCCGACTACTTGATGCTCTCAAGAAGTATGTATTTTTATCTTCTGTGCGTCGCTGCTGCCGAAATGCGACGCACATATTGTCCCTGGGGGAGGGGGTGATTTTTCTGCTCGTAATCCCTTTGCTGGACCCTTTTTGTGACTGATACTAACCAATTTAGTCGTTCCTGGAAAAGTGGAAATGAGACCCATTTGTAAGTGGATTTTGGTTTGCAGTTCTCTTGACGAAAAACAAGTTATTCGGTTTTTCGAACATGTGATAGCTTTCCTAAATATGTTCTTGACCATGTGTTATGCATACAAAGTGGCTTTTCATTCTTGTCATGGCTGGATTATCGAGTCGATAGAGAGCTGTTCCACCTTTTTGTGATTGCAATTACCACATTGTGTTCTTCATACTAATTCATTCAGCATCGATCAATTCTCTTTCCTCTACGGTGCCGTTAACGATGCCCGCATGATTCTTGACCTTGTTCCAATTATTCTTTTCCCCGATAACCATCATCAAGTCGCTTCTTATGCTGCATATGGTGTCTCACTGGGAGGACACACTGTCTGGCATTTGCTTAATGGTATGAAAACACAAGCGAACAAATATATATATGTGCGTGTGTGTTGCTTCAAATGCACAGTAACACTTGCAAGCCTCGCACTCGGCATTCGTTTTTCCATCTTGTTACTAACCGACAGACGAACGTATTACTACGGCTTGTGTGATGATCGGTTGCCCTTCCTACACGGAAATGATGTGCGAACGTGCCAAAGAATCCGATATACAAGTAACCGATCGCATTATTCCCCCCAAATTGGTTGAATTGATTGAGCGTGTCGGCCCAAACCCGGAGCTTATTAAGGGAAAGCACCTCGCAGTTCTCAGCGGTGCTGATGATACGTTGGTCCCTGTTCGCTACACAGACGCATTCTTGCCTAAACTACAATGCGCTGAGTTGTTGAAAAAGACGTATCCCGGAGTAAAGCATGAAACGCCTGACTATATGCTTGAGGAATGCGCCGAGTTTCTGTACAAGCACTTTTAAGGAAAGAATGCTGTAAATAACGACTTTGGACAGACCACGAACGTGCCTACGGACTGTGACCCATCATCTTCGTTGTGCACTTCTTATGCGTTCTTTGGTCGAGTTATGCCACATCACGTATTATCATTTTCGCTTTTTACGAATGTGTTTCAGACAGATTTAACGAACAAAATGAAATGACTTCATGAAAATAAAAAACTTGCATGCAATGCAATACCAACAAAAAAATGCAGCAATACCCTATCGACACAGTGCGTGGCATGTGTATGCCACAGGCTTCTCGTCACCTTGGTTTCAAGCATGTCTAACGGCGTCATCATACAAAGGAGGTCTATCTTGGCTCGAACTTGGACGGTGGTATGGTGGCAGTGGCTCTAAATGCTGTACATGTCCAACATTTCCCACTTCTTGGTAGCGTTGAATCAACCGTTGTAGCGATTCCACAAAATCGAAGATGCCGCCTTCATTAAATTGGAGTCTCATCTAGCAAACACGGTTAGAAACAGCCTTCCATCGACGAAATTATATACTCGTACCTCTGCGTCTGAAGGAATGCCACCGTTCTGAACTGGAACTACAAGTCCCGAATAATAGTTTGCGCCAAAAAACGCTAAGAATATGTTAGCCGGTAGTTCGTCGCGACAGTATTTTTCGTACGTTGGTTTAGCTTCGTATCTTTTAGGTTACATATAGGTGTCTGGAAACTTTTAAAGTCGTCTGTGCTGGTCGTAGGTACATAAATAAGCTGAATCAGTTAGCGTCTTTCGAATTTATGATATAGCGACGAGCGGAACGGGAAGGAAACATTCAAGACGTCCAATATAAACGGGGAAACAGTTTTGTAGCATTAAAACGGCACTTTCGCAATGTCCATTTTCAGTAACCGTGAGAAAGAACAAATAACATGTTAATGCCAACCAAAATTTCGTCCGAACGTCGCTTCCGATCGACCAATTCTTCAATCTCCACATACTCTTTTGTTCGTAAGATACAATTTGCCGCTGGTACTCGTCCATGATTTATTGCTTGGGGGTACACAAAGTAGCGACAGAGCAATTTCGCCATATGTCTTTAAGATGAACTCTTCTTCGAGCAAGTATGGCTCCTTCACGTCTTCTCCTTGAAATGTCACCCAATTGACACTCATTCTACTTAACAATTGAAGAAAAAGGATTGAGGTATTGTTTTGGTAGAGGGTATGTGCGGAACGAATACCCCGGGCATACTTGCTCTCGCATAACCACAACAACAAAATACCATGATTGTTAGGATGTATGAAGAAAGCAACCATTTAAATTAATAATGTCCACGATACGCTTCTCTTCATTTGTAGCTACTCGTAGATACTGATTATATTTAATTTCATCAAAGACTGAGCGAGAATAGGTGAAATGTATTTTTTGTTCTAGTAGTGCATGGAAGAAATATTAGTAATAAATTTAAATTGCATGTGACAGGAGTTAAAGCTGTGACGGAAGATTAGAGGGAGTAGTTGTAATGGCGGAACAAGAATTTGAAAAGCAATTGGCATTCAAAGGATGTTTAGAAACGTGGATTTTATTAAGCCGAAATTGTCTTACACCTTTATGAAAAAGAAGTTGCTTAAGTATTCATTACAAAAAAGGCATTGAGAACATAACGTTACCCTTCAACCTAACCCCAACGTTCTATTTTAATTTCCTCTAAAATCCATACTTTAATTTATTTTAAATTTATTTAAAGTAATTATAAAAATAAATAAAAACAAAAAAAAAAATCCAACAAAATCCCAACCACCACAGCCCCTGCAATAAACAGACCCCCAGTACTCGGCAAATATTTTGCCTTGAATTTTTTGTAGTTTTTTTTTTGTCATTGTTTCCTTCCATCCAACCTTACCAGCCTACTTACATTCGGTAACCAAACTCACCTATATAATTGTCACGGAATATAGATATATACGCAAAAACCTCGCATCTACAAGTGTTCCTCTACACGTAGTTCAATTACAGGTGTTTCATATTCTTTTTGCGGCTTTACGATGGTTGTTTTGTTCCACAGTATAAGAAGTTTGTAATTCACGCTGTCTAAAGAACACGACTACAAAAAGAAGGAAAACTATCATTGAAAATGACCGAAAAAGAACAAGAATTCGCGCAGACACCTAGAAAGCGTTCCCGGGCTCACCAGCTTGGAGATCCGCGTTTTTACTGTACCTTTCCAAACTGCACCAAGTCTTTTACAAGAAAAGAACATTTACGAAGACACGAAAGATCCCGTAAGTATTGAAAGTTTTAGCCTGTAATGTTTCACTTATGGAATATATTACTGATACTTATTTAGATGAAAATATCAAGTCGTTTACCTGCCGTATCTGCAATAGAGCCTTTGCTAGAAGTGATGTTCTTAACAGACATGTCCAGCAAATGCATTTACAGCGTCGAAACCAACAACAATTTACTCAAGCACAGCAACAACGTTACCAATGTGATCCTCAACTTTACACCGTAGCAAAAAACGGTTCACTTGGCCTTGCTGGAGCGGGTGCTGCAGCACCCGCCGTTCCTGGCGGTTTTGCCTTACCGAAATCCCCCCTTCCTGTAGGAGAAAAAGCAACTGAAAAAGAATTAGCTTACGTTGATGGAACTACAGCACTCCCTCTCACAACTGATTCTTCGGCATTACGGCCTTTGATGGACATACCAGGAAGTGTTTTAACAACGGAGCTTGTACAGACAGAGCGTGCCAGCTTCTTCCCTTCCAGCTTGCCTCTTCTTCCCATTGCACCTAATAAGTCCACTAAATACATTTTAACAGCACATTCTGATATGGAGGCCGAACAGATTCTGCTGAATGCATTTCAGTGGGTAATCTCAAATTGCAAAGATCAACAAAAAGTTGGGCTCGGTGGGGCGTTTGTCTACACAAACGGTAGCTGGCAAGCAAACAGACTTATAGGCGGAAAGGATTTTACACCTTATCGATTCTCTTCTGCCACTGTAAGTTAGGAAATACATTTCTACCGTTGCTTACTAAAATATAGTTGCCTGCACCCTTCGAAAGCACACCTACTACTACTACGAAGGAGGAGACTGATATCATACACACATTTATAAAGGTACCTAAGCTTTCATAGCGCATTACAATCTAACGAGCTAAAGAACGAACTTCACTTGGAACTATCGGTTGAGTTCGATGCCAGCTTAATATCTCAATGGTTAGATGTCTTCTGGAATAGATTTGCTTCGCTATGGCCCATCATTCACCATTCAACTTTTTCCGTCCAAAAAGCACCTCCGGCCCTTACAATGTCAATTCTCATGTTTCCCATGCGTCTTTCGGAAAACAAAGTCATCCGCGATCTTAGTGCCCTGATACAAAAGCAACTATATCCTTATTTGATAGATGTATGTGGGATATTCAGTTTGGACTTAAAGCGCCATGTTGTTTTGATGTGTTTATTAACGACTACAGCACCCTAAATTTGGTCCTCCAAGCTGCCTATGGATTCTCCAGTCGTTGTTCCTTAATGTTGTGTATGCTCGAATGTCTACTACTGTACAACAGCATCAGCACAGTAAACCGATGCTTGCTTATTTCATCGAGGTAAGGTTACGAATTTAGATCTTTGACTGACTAGATAATAGCTTTTGCAACAAGGTTTCGTTCCTTATCAATCTACAACTCCTGATGCGGATCCGGAAACCGAAAAATGGTTGGCTTGGGTACACAATGAATCAATAAAGAGGTACGTCTGTCCGCTGCTTTATGCGAACATGTTCTAACCAGTGTTCAGAGTTGCCATTTATACTTTGGTGTTTGAAGTTCAAGGACTTATTCTTTTTGGATATTCTCCTATTCTAAGCGTTGCCGAGGTTTCGTACTCATTACCATGTAGTGATGATAAATGGAACAGTGAAACAGCTAGTAATTGGGCAAGAGTTGCGGATAGCGAATCTGATCATTTACTCAACCTTGTTAAGGGTTACCTAACTCAAGGTGCTTTGCCCGAGAAAAATGCATGCCAAAGCATGATAATATTATTCTATGCACTCATTTCCATGGAATATACATTTAAGAAAAAGAAGCCCGGTAAGTATCTATACTCGGTAGTCACACCATTGCTAATAGAGCAGTTCTGCTATACCACACAAACAAGCGTGGTCTGGATACATTTTTTGGTCTCTTTGTGTCTGTGTACGAGCGTTGGTATCGCGATTTCCAAATGGTCTACTTAGACTCCGGGCTACTGTCTGCGAATAAGACGCTCGTGAAGGAATACCTGTCCTTTTACAACATGTACTACATATCTTCGAGAACGGATGTCAGCAGTATTCGCTGTTTTGCGTCTACAGTTGCCAATGATCCAAAACAGTGGCCTACCTCACCTCAAACGGCGTTTGTTAAGGCATGGCCGAAAACAGATAATGCTAAATGTGCTGTGTTGAATGCTATTTCGCTGTTAGAACTCCTCCTCAGCGACGATTTCGAGTCTGATCTCACTCTTTGTGCCGGTCTCAGTCAGCCTTGGTGTGTGTTCATTTCGACAATTATCTTGTGGGCTTATGGGTTCGCCCTGGATGAAAAGTGCTTGGGTTTTGAAGATCAAGGAAATTTACGGACACATCTTAATGTGTACCTGATGAAAATGCGTTTAATTATGCAGTACAACGATATGGAGGCTATTCATATAAGAAGTCGAACTGTCGACTTAATCAATTGCTCAATACAGGCCCTGCAGAGGGTTCCGTGGGGGCTCATGACTGAGGGAACACTGCTGTTACAGCAACTCGTCGGTCATCAACCGACGGAACCCACCTTTGAGTGATAAAAATGCATTACGTGAATTCGTCGGTAAAATGTATAGCTTTATCTTGGCATCCGACTAATTTGTTTCTACAACCGCAAAAAGGACAGTAATAAGAACGTAAACAGCTGTAACATCTCGATACTTCCCCGATTTCTGTTTTTCCATGCTAGCCATCTCCGTTCTACTTATCCGCTAACGTTCGATCTTTTCCCAAACCAGAATCCCACGAGTAAAATATTATTAAAACGCAATTCTTTCCTATGTTTCAGGTATTGTCTTTGTAATTGTCGTTTTCTATCCGTTCTATCTTTTTGTTCTTCGTTTTTCACACGTTTTTTCTCTACGTAGAGGATACAAGTTTCCTGTATTTTATTTACAAATTGTGGCAATCCTAGGGCGAGTGATCACTGAATTTACACAATTGTAACTGATCCTGCTGTTTTTGGTTCGGTGAAAACGATATTCATCTCAATTATCAAATTATGAACTTTAAGAAGTGAAAATGTCGGACAAAGCGTCTGTTTCCGCAGAAGAAATCATTGCAGTGAAGAAAAGACTGTCTATCTTCCATAGCAGTATACGATTTGTCGATCGATCAGATGAGACGAGAGTCCATGGAACAAAAGTAAGTGCTGGAATTGGTCATCAGATTTTCCGCGGCATTAAGAACCGTATAAAAAACCACGGAAAAGGAGCTATTATTCCAACACAATTCAGGCGGAAACCGTCTCCTCAAGCCCCGTATTCGACGTTTGCCCCTATTTGTATTGAGGCAAGAAGCGACAGCTTAAAACGAGGCTTCCCACTCGTCTACTTCCCCCAAGACTTAAGCAGACACGATGTTCCACCTGCTGACTGGGCTTCGTTTGTTCATGATATTAATCTGGCGTGCACAAACAACGAGCTCATTAATGCTAGTGTCGGAAAATTAATGAACTTTGTCTCACTCGGTTTCATTTCAGGCTACATCGTGGGTGCCTATGTCGAGAAACTAATTTCACACATGGAACATCCCATCATTGAAGGAGTAATCAGCATGTGGAATTCAAAATACTTTCAACCACGCGGTTTGCGACTTTTCTTCTTTACTCCGGAGGATGTGCAAAAACAACGCGAGGCTGCAATCACCAATTACTTGCAACAATCTGGTGTCTCTGGTGGCTTTTCCAAGTTTATTAAAGAGCGTGAATGGAAGAAGCATCACAGACATGTTTCCAAGTCCAAGTTCTACCTGCTCATCATGTGCGTCCCCAGAAAGCCAGTGTCTGAATAAATGGTTGTTAATTCATCTCCCATGAGCATATTTACTAGTTCTTATTAAGACGGAAGGCGCAGTCGGGAAAGAATTTGCGTCAGTTCTTTATAAGATGTAGCTAATGATGCGCTTCTGCTGGTTAAAAGATTGGCAAAGACGAGAATACCCTCATTTGTCAAGCACACACATCTCTTTTTCTTTTTTTTTGGGTTATATTTTTCTTTAATTTATTCTATTAAGTTCTTGTCAAAAGTATTCACTATTGTAGTTTAGTTGAAGCCAACATCAAGGGGGCAAACAGCTTCAAATTCAATGGCAGTGCACCAGCTGGGGACCTCCTCGTCGTTGTTGAAGATGTTAACAGTAGGGGCGTCAAAGTATCCATTAGTGAAGCCGGGAAGGCAGGTAGCAACCTGGACACCATAGGTACTAGCGTTCATCAATTGGTTAGCAAGACCGTTGATGAGGGAAGCGTTAAGCATGGTATATGCCCAAGAGTCGTATTGGATCTCGTTAGTGACGGTGTTCACGAAGGGAATCAAGTCGGACTCAATCGATTGAGGGTTGCAAGAAGCTTGGTTGGTAGTGAAGAAGAAGGGATGGAAGCTGTCAGTTTGGTTCTCGGCGACGGTAGTGAGACGGGGAATCAATCTGGGCTCGTTCTCAAGGTAACGCTTCAAGAAGTCTTCCTTAGGCTGGGTCAAAGCCTCGAAACCAACAAGGTACTTTTGGCCAAGGAACGTAGCATTTGTTCCTGCGACACGAAGCAAATAGGTACCACAGCGAGGACCTCTCAAACGAGAGCAAGTAACGTTGGTCAAGTCAAAACGAAGGGCACTGACTCCGTTAAGGACAACAAAAGTTTGAATGAAAGCAAGAAGAGTGTAGAAGAAGTTCATTGTGATTGAATTGGAAATTGGAAGTAGTTGTCAATGCTTGAAAAGTCGAAGCTGTGATGATGGTTTTTGATGCAGAAACCGGACCTTACTTATACATTTCTGAATGAGCTTTGAAAGCGAGACCCTGGGAAAGGGGGACTTGCAATTGCAATCTAGAACAATGATTTTCTCAATTCCAAGGGTACAAACCGTCCATTTTTAGACGCTAATTCGAACTCGACTTCTGTTCTGCGAATTAGAATGGATCGACGAAAGATCCCCGTAGATCCATGTAGATCGCACATTTCTTGAGAGTGAAGAATTGTCGATCGTTTTTTCGGGGCCGAAAACGTGCGATCCAATGAATGACAGTGATCGACAATGATCTTCCCACGCGCAGCTTGATCAGCACGATTTGCTTTGTTTGAGCGAAAACTTCATGGGAAAGTGGTGATCCAATGAAGATCAGTCAATCACACTAAATTAACTCGTCGATCGTGATCGGCATTAGGGGGCAACAGCATGTTACAGATAGCAAGAAGCACATGGTAGGGAGGGCCTGTACACGGGATATGACGATAGTAGTAGGCAGTAAGCAGCCTTTGCATCCTTGATGATCATTGGTAAAGAATTGTAACTGTCGCTGTCCCTTTTACACACACAAAACCCTTTTCAATTAGGATTTGCGGCGTCCCTGAACATTTTGTAAGAACTACACTACTCCCATGTCGTTCGTCGTAATATCATTCATTATTTTTTTGTTAATATTAAGAATGAAGAGCCGCTTTTCGCATACACTATTGAATATACTTTCATATAGCATTCACGTCTGACAGCTCTCTAGAAAAAATAAAAAAAAAAAGAGAGAACAGAATAACCCACATTGTAAATTGTTTAAGTTAAAAAGAACCCAGTGATATAAGATAAATAAATACGTAGAAGCGTAAGTAACAGCTTCATTAAATGCATTACGCAATAAACCATCTCCGTATGCACCGATAATTGCTACGGCGCAAGAAGTGACTTATCGTGTAGAAAGAAAGCAAGTTGGCCAGAAAGGTAGCAAACAAAGGCTGGAAACGAATGTTTAGCCATGCCATTGAGAGCAAATCCTGGTTCATTTGCCGATTATGTGTATGAGGTACTGCTTGCTATGGAACATGTTTATGCCCCAAGCATGTTTGAACAGTATATGATGAATGCAACCTGAACATTTGTTCAGGCATTATGATGAAAGGAATGGAAAGGGATCCCGATAATGGCCGAAGGTTAACCCTACTCATGCTGTTCTGTGACAAAACATTTATACAGCAGTATGTTGCATGAGGAGGCAATAAATAAGAAGGGGGTATGATGATGAAGATGATGATGAATGAAAAGAAGGTCGAAGAGAAATTGTGGATGGCAATAGGAACCAATTTAGATCGAGCGAAGTGTTTCCGGAGGCAGAGGATGATGGGACAAAGGATGCTCGTGGAAGAGCTCCGGTTTGGAGAAACCGGTGTCATGTGCATGACTCAGGAAGGGGAAACGAGTGTTAGACGACTCAAAATGCGATTGAGTGGCAGGATCGGAATGAAGGAATATAGTCTGGTCGGAGTAGATACTGACAGGCAAAGTGGAATATGCTTCCGGCACGAAATGTTTCTTCAATGGTAAATCGTTTATCGTTGTATCGGGAACAGAATCCATAGTGGTCGCTTGCTGATGAAGATCGTGGTTAGCGTCCATGGAAAGTGCATGGTCCACCTGCTGCAAGGACAGGTTCATGTTCGTCGGATACTGTTCGTAGGCATGCTCTTTGTGCAACACCAAATGTTCATGCATACCACCAGCTGTAGCGTGGTCGTAGTCTTGCACATGGTTCATGCCCTGAGCGCAACCATGTTCATCAGCGTACACGTGGTTTACCCCGCCTAACGAAAGGCTCGCTTGCATGATGACTGGAGCGCCGTTCGCATAGCTAGAGCAAGATGGGTGCAAATTGTGCTGATCGTGTTCCTGACCAGGTAAAGCATGATAATAGTATACCTTTGGATCTAGTTGATGCAAAGAAGCATCATTGGTTGATGTTTCTGGGTAGGGCATGGGACAAGAAACGGTGGCATCATAATGAGAAATACCGGTACTACCTTCAGGTACATGAAGGTTTAGCAGATGATTTGCAGAAACATAATTCATTGCAGCGTTCACTGTGTGTGGGTCATCGTGAAGCATGTGGGCCATTGATTTGCCCGTGTTGTAAGTAACATCACTCGGCAGCGACAAAGGCGCTGAATTCTCGTGGGATGAATATTGCTGGTGAGACATTTCAGGACCTTCTTCGGGATGTTGTTGATCATGAACACCAACGTGAGCATAACCTACCATGTTACCGGTTTGGTAATGTGGCACGCCTTCTAACTGCACGGTCTGTTCGTAATGGGCAACGTCCGGTGGAATTGTTGACGCGCTGGATTGTGACGACTCCAATTCAACATAACTCGGATACTCAACAATTGCATGACCGTCTCCATTCGTTGGCTGTAACACGACATTCGTCTCGTGAGCAACCAGCGTGTGCTTGGGAATGTACATGCCAGACTGAGGAAGGTTCATATGTGGGTTGACTGTAGGCGCCTGCATGTAAAGACTTTGCGAAGCAATCTGATCGTAGCCATTCACAGACGACATAACCGGGTGCGGAGCAGACTCAATAGAGCCGTCCATATAGTAAGAGGTTTGCTCCTTGGAAGTGAGTGAAGGAGGAGAGAGACTTTTATGAGAAGATGCATCAAAAGAGTCGCGAGTGGCTGCACTCCCAGACTCTGAATCTTCTTCACTTTCTGCAGAAAGTGTTTCCGATTGTGTTTTGTTTGGAATTCCATTCACCGATCCTTTTGATTCATAATACACATTGTACTGCGACTCAGCGGCCTGAGCACGGCTTTTGGCAACATCTGTTGGCAATCTCGGTCTTTTTAAGCAAAGACGTTTTCTGCGATAATGTAATGCCCGTTTCGAAAGCTTTAAGCCGAACACAGCCTGTATCTGAGCCAGTGACTCCTTATCAGTATGATAATCCAAGTACAACTTGGTAACAAACTCATCCAATGCAGCCGAAATATTTCCAGAACCGGTCTTTTTTACGGCACCAGCGGTTGGAAAGATGAAACGCTGACGATGCAGCTGAATGCCCCATCGAGACAAAATACGTTTATAGGAGCGTAAACTAGATAGAACGTTAGTAAGTTATGTCGGTAAATACGAAAGGAGGTTGTTGAGGTGACGATTACACAGTGAGATGTGTAGAGAAAGGTTCCGAACAGCGCCAAGGTAGGACAGGAACAACCAAACAATTGTTCAGAACCATTCTTCGTCACTCCAATTCGTCGTTGTCAAAGTCCAAGTATGCTGCACCGTTAAACATAACGGAAAGTGCACTAAGATACTTCACAGGCGGCCAAAAGTCTCCATCGACGTTGACTTATCCAGACATGCAGTTATGTCACCGTTTGGTACTTACCTAGCCTTAAAATTGTAGTACTTGAACATGCGTTCTTGCAACTCACGTAACGTCATCCCCGTCACACTGGCAATCTCCATTATATGCTCGCGTCTTTCCTCCCATTTTTTGGTCATTTCCAGGGGAATTGTTAAAAGCAGGTAGTGAACCGTGTCGTGTTTCAAGGTTGGTGGTGAGCAGGGCTGAGTTTGTTGTGCCTACTGCAATTCGTATAGGTAACAAGCAGGTAACAGAGCATAAACCCACGGTATAACGTGGGAATCCCTCGGAAATAACTTTAAAATAGGCCAAGAATACCGAGGAATAGAAATAACAAACAATAGAGAAAAAGTGCAGATGTGGTGGAATGGTATTGAGTTGGTTTTCATTAAGTGTTTTATAACATTCATTATCTATTTGTTTATTACTAATATTTTTTTTTTGTTTTGGGCTGGGTTGAACAAAAGTCAGCTAGAAAGTGTGGTAGTTTTTGTGGATGTAAAAGTGAAAGAGACGGTGAGTAGCGACGCCGGACAAGGAATGTATGACACATCGTTGTTCTTTTTGTGACTCTCTAAGATGGTTTCATCGAACTATAGTCACGAAGAATGTTAAGATGCGTGTTCGTAATCTTACCGCGGCGGGTTTTGGGCTTCTTTTGTTTGGAAGCATGCATGAGTGTCTTCTTTTTGACGGTAGACGGATCCACAGCAGTTGGTTTGAGACCATACTTGCCGAGCTCAGTAGCTAGATCAAGTGTAGGAGGAATGGGAATTTCATGCCATACCGACTTAAACTCGTCATCTACATGACAATCACAACTTCTGTCATTGCGCCAAACCATTTTCGGAACAGCATCTTTTTTTGTTCGAAGTAAAAGCACTTCACCTCTTTTCTCTAATTCTTCCAGTTCTGCTGCGACATTGGGCCAGCCGTCCTTTAGCTCCTTAACACTCATTCCGGCATGTACCTTGAGTGAGTCTAGGTAGGCCAAAAGACCGGCACTAGAACGAATGTTGTGAAGAGGCTTGAAGGTGAATGTTTCATGTCTTGCATCGTACAAAATGCGATCATTCTTCTTTAACAGCTGAAGAAGCATAGGCGTAAGCGGCGTTGAGAGATACGAAGCAATCTCCTCTGCTGTTTTTGGTTCATTGCGCTATATGATAGATATTAGAATCGTTTCATCTCATAAATAGCATTTGTACAAACCTCTTTCAAATATTCAACAGCATAATGAAGTTGGGAAAGGTAATGTGTACCGACACCAGAATCAGCCGGTTGAGAATATACTGTGAACGGTGTATTAGTACATGCGTTTAATGGAGGGGGGAACAATACCTACCTAAATTTGTTTTACTTCTTTTTTTCTTTCCTAAAGCAGGCGCTGGGCTAGAAGTTGCAGAAACATCTGTAGGAGTAGCCGAACGGCTAGCAACGTAAGCGGCTGTTGGCCGCTCAATTTGAGGTTTTGCATAGATAGGTTGGTTGGCAACTTTCTTCTTGAAAGAACTAAGTTGTTCACTCAAGGAACTCATTCTAACGAAAGGAGAAGTCTTGTTCCTGTCGTTTCCACGATTTAAGAAGTATTAAAGACGGACTTTTATGAAGAAATATAACTGGAACCCGAAGCAAGCCCAAAAAATGCACAAAACTGGTCAAGAGCGATAATCACTTTACCTACGAGGTGTATAAGCAGACGAGGAGTGATTCTGCTTAGGAAAACTCTCAATTATTTCCTTTTTTACAGAGTTCACCAACGTCGACTACCACGCTGGAGCGGGCGTGCCCGGTTCGCCCCTAGTGGTGAATTATATTGAGCGGTGCAGGCGACAAATGGACACTCCTAGAACCAATATTTGAGCAATTCAACACAATGCATTTGCCGTTTCCAGTCCTAAGAAGACTGTACTTGTACGTTGTAATGTCAATTCCTGGAATTAAACTGTTTTTCTAACAGAATTAAGATATGAATACACGGCTCTTGTATTAGGTTTCGCGCTAGTCGTTTTCGAAAGTTTCGTTGCGAGTTTAGCGTTTGTGATCAATTCTCTTGTTGTAAAAGTATTTCCGAAATGGAGTGTTTGGAATAAGAAAACCGCTTTGCAGGCATATGCGGTGGATGACATTGAAACAATTGACAAGGCTTTTTCCCTACACGACGCAAAAAGTATTCGCGAAATGTGTGAAGTGCATGGATTTGGAGTTGAGGAACATCTCATCCGAACGAATGATGATTATATTCTGTGCGTTCATCGGATTTACCAAATGACAGATAACGCCCTGAACGGACCAGGTAAACCAAAGTCCCGTCCGGTCGTGTACTGTCATCATGGACTCCTAATGAATTCAGAAGTCTGGGTGTGCAATCTTGATGCGAATAAGTGTCTTGTCTTTGATCTCGTTCGCCGTGGCTACGATGTCTGGGTACGAAGCTCCTAAACGAGTATGGATTTATAACTACTAACATTTTGTTGTATAGCTTGGAAACAATCGCGGAAACAAATACAGCAGACAGCATCTCTATCTTCGCTCTAGTGATGTTGATTTTTGGGATTTTTGTATTGATGATTTCGCGCAATACGATATTCCAGACACTATTCATTACATTTTAAATGTGACTGAACAGCCCTCGTTGAGCTATGTTGGATTTTCTCAAGGAACAGCACAAGCTTTTGCTTCACTCAGCATTCATCCTCTGTTGAACGAGAAAGTGAATACGTTCATTGCACTGGCGCCTGCTATCAGCCCTCGTGGGTTACACAGCTCGGTAGGCGATGCTATAGTACGGGCAAATCCATTCTTGCTTTACATGTTCTTTGGGCACAAGTCTTTTCTCGCTTCTGCTGGCTTCTGGCAAAGTATACTTTGTATGTTTAATTTTTTTGCGAAGACTTATTCATCTAACAAAAGTACAGATCCTCCTCTGTTTGACGTAGTACTAAACTATTGTCTCGTCCATCTGTTTGACTGGCGTTGCAAGAATATGACACCACTACAAAAACTTGTCTCGTATGCACATCTTTACTCATACACTAGTGTGAAATGTCTTGTACACTGGTTTCAAATTATGCACAGCGGAGAGTTCCGAATGTATGACAACGACATGCTAATCCAATCCACGTATGCTCCATACTATAAGGCGGCAAGGTTTCCCACAAAAAACATCCGAACGCCTATCCACCTCTTGTGGGGAGATTGTGATTCTCTCGTGGATATAAACGTGATGCTTAACGTGCTTCCGGAGGGCACTCAGGAAGTTAGAGTAAGTTTGACAACTAGCATTCTTGACAGTCCCTAACCTTATTCTAGGTCGACTCTTACGAACATTTGGATATGATCTGGTCCGATACTGTGGACGTAGATGTGAATCCTCATGTTTTTCAATGGCTTGAGCAAGCCAAGCGCGGATAATTTTTTATTACTTAAGATTGCCGCGTTTTGTAATATTATGCTTTTTTTGTACAAGTACTGTAATATTATAAAAAGTTTTGGTTGTTAAATTAGATAAAGTAAGGATGTATTAAGGAAACAACTTGTCTTATGCGAAAAGCTTTTGTTAAAAGGATGTAGAAAAAATAAATATCAAAAAAAACGTAATAAATAAAAACGATAAATTAATTAATGAATTAAAAAAAAAAAAAATAAAAACAATGTCTAAGTTCGTAGTACTTACAGCTTTTATACTAACAGTATCTACTTCAAACGTTATTTTATCCAATATCCTTCATTAATTAATAATTATCCACAGAGAAACCATACTTTCGCAAACCTTCGTTGAAAGCGAACATATATTACATCACTATGACATGAGTTGAAACCACACAGCAACCCTACCCTACATACACATATGACAGTCACAACCCTTACCCTCGCAATTTAGTATAAATTGACACAAGAAGCTACCCTAAAAACCATCATCAGTAGCGGTTTTAACTTACTTTGTTATATAAGTAATTAAAATCAAACTGTGGTCAAGTATGATGATCGGAGCCGAATGGCTTAGAAGATGCATCCGTTCCGTCCACAGAGATGACTGAGTAGCTGTCCCGGTCGACGTCTCAGGTGGGACGTTGTTGGGTTGTTGCTCGTACATTTAAACATAAATAAATTTTTTGGTTTTTATTTTTTGGTGCATACATGCTTACTTTAAACGCAATTTAAAATTTACCTGGTAGATGTGAAACCGTCATGATATCTTCATTAATTTCTTAGCCAAGATCATGTGCCATTCTAGCAACACTTACGTCAAACCGTTAGTGGCTGGGAAGGTTAAGCTCAAACTGGTCCTTGTCCTCAACCTTGGCGAGTGCGGCCTGGTACGCTGGTCTGCCCTCTATTAAACGCAGCCAGCGTTCGATGTGTAGGTACTTGCCCTCAAACTCGCTGCCCTTTCTCTTGTACGCGACTGTGAGCGGGAAGCTCATCATGATGTCCGCGCCACTGAGGTTGTCTCCAGCAAAGTAGGTGTTCTTTGCCAAGTGGTCATCAGTGTACTTGAACATACTTTGGATTTCCGGGTCCAGGTACTGCGAACGAATTCCTTTGACGAAAAGGTCGATGATAAAACGCATAAAGAATGGTGTCTTCTGGGCACCAGTGTCCAAAAAGAAAACGGCCCAGAGGAAAGGCATCATACTGCCTTCACTGTCGTGCATCCAATAATCGTATTGAAGGAGTGCCTTCTCCTCTCCTTCACTCGGCTTCATCTGTCTGGCATACTTGCGAACAAGGTACTCGACAATAGCACCGCTCTCAAACAGTGTCAAGTCGCCATCCGTCAACACTGGACTCTTTCCTAACGGCGACAGCTTCTTAAACTCCTGGGGAGCTCTTCCATCAACACGTGCATATTGCTTCAACTCAAAAGGAACCGCGATTTCCTCAAGCAACCAAACGATGCGAAACGATCTGGATGCTAACAAGTGGTGAAGTGTAATCATTTTCGCAATGTGCTCTCTCTTTCAACAAGAATATGTTTCGGGGCAGAGCATTCTTCAACGGTCCGAACCTTCCTTTTCTATACCTGCTAGACGTAACCATTGCGTTTACCATGCCGAACGTCCCAAGATCCCGCCACTAATACGCCTTGCGCATCACACCAATTGCGTAACAAGTCTGTACTAACATTCAGATTGTGCTTTTTTAGCCACGATTGTAGTGCATCCAGTTGCACCGGAATGTACGCTAGCATGTCTGACCATACGCTTTCTCCCGGTGCCGATCGTACTATAGCCGTTATTGCATTTGATGTCTGAGCGATGATGTCCTCGAATTTCGGTGCCTCATCATTCGCCTTGGTGTTCGCTTGCCTTTCCTTTCCGTTCGGCTCGGGCTTAGTGTTTTCGAGAGCATACAAACACTGACTTAGAAGCTTGATGCGTTGCTTTCGTGATTTGGGAATCTTAAAGCCAAATTGTGAAAGCTGATCGTGTATCGACTTGTCGCTTTCCTTTTCCAAACGGACTTTCAACTCATTGAGACGATCTGCGTCCTCATCTGTGGTTCCTATTTCCCTTCTTTTTGTCGTCTTTGTGGAGTTTGTGCGCTCTTTAGCGGGTCCAAGCTCCGGTGGGGCTGGAGGTGTCAACTTATTGGGTGTTGGTTTTGGCGTTTGGAGTGGGCGTGTATCGTCGCATTTCGGCGAATGCTGAGACGGGAGTAGCTGCCAGTCTTCTGTGTCGAAAAGTTCATTCTCATTTGGTAGCATGCTTGCTTGATCACAGCTTTGCAATACCTTGCTGTAGTCTTCGGAATGATCGAATCCGTACGAAATGTCAGCATTACTGATGTCGAGCACTTCAACCTCGTCATCACTCTCACCAGAACTGCTGTCTATTACGATCGGTTTCTTTTCCGTCATTCCCGCGGTGAGTATTGCAGTGTGTGAATTGCAAGCGAACTATGGTTAAGTGTTAATGTCCGTCGACGCTCGGGCAACTTGTGGAAATTTACTGAACAAAAGAAATGTCGAAGAAGTTAATGCCAATAATGCAAGTATGAATTACATCTACACAGATATAATAAAATAATAAAAAGGACGGTAAACTCGAGGACAACAGTTCATTAATTTTTGGAAAAGAATCCTTTCCCCTTTTGCTTTCCACTGCTATCGTCTTTGTTTTTTCGTCGAAATACATTAAATAGATCCTTTGCTGCGTTCTTTGATTTCTTGGTTACCTCACTGACAGCTGACGACACGTTCTCATGCGAGAAGAGGCGTGAGCTACGACGAGTAGAACTTGCAACGGAGGGCGTGGCTGAATGATTAGAGCGGATTGAAGGACATGATGAAGTCGCAGCTTTTGTGAGCGGGGGCTCAAAGCTCGTACTAGCGGGGAAGATGACGGAGTGAATGGAGGAACGGGATGCCTTCCGTCCATTAGTGGTATTGTTGCTGGGTTTGTCAGCGTGTAAGCAAAAATTCATCCACTCATCAAGGCCCGTATCGAACTGAAGGAATTCACGAACCTTGCCTTTGTAGAAATAAAATCTTTGATCTGTAGAACCAAGAGCATTTAACTTATCAAACGACATCAAAGGACTGCCGATAAACGCTTGGAAGTTAACGAATGGTATGGTTTTCATTCCGGATTGGTCAGCACCGGTTTCAGACGCTGACTTGTTTGCTCCGGCAGAAGCCACTGGACGCAGTGGTTCAAGTTCATGAAGTATAGGCTTGCTCTCGTTTGTAACAGTGTCGAACTGGACACGTCCATGAGTTGAAAGTGAATGAGCAGACTCTGTCGATGTAATCGAAGGAGCTCCATTGTCAGAAGTGACCGACGTAGTAGGAACTAAGGCAGGAAGAGGCGGCAAGGACCCACGTTTAAAAGCCCGCTCTTCCAAGTCCCTCTCAGTAGTCGCTAGGTTACTGGGGAGACTACGGTTCTTCGTGTGTGAAGATAAAGGACTTGGTGATGCAGGAACAGCACTTGACACGCCGAACTTGACATGGTCAGGGCTAAACTCGGGAATTTCCTCCAAAGCTGTTGAACGGTCACCTTCAGTGGTGCACACAGACACCGCTTCTGCATCCGGAGGATCGGGAAGCGCCCTGTCAGGCGAAGCATTGCCGGCAATTTGCTGCTTCTGGCCCGCCAAAGGAGCAGCCGTTACTGCAGGAGCAAGTGTGTTCACTTCATCCATCAAGTAGTTATACAAAGAAGACAGTTCATCGTTACCTTGTTCGTTTGTTGAGCTCTTCTCCAAGGGAAGAGCCTTTTCCGTTTGTTCGGATGAGTCGACGTCTAACTGCGAGGTGGGAGGAGTGTCATCAGTGGGCTTCTTTTCATCAAAATCAGAAGCAGACTCTGACGCATCGTTAGAAACGGGCTCGCGGGGTAAAGGGCGAGAAGGTGGTGTAGGTGGTGTAGTAGTGAAGATAGTGGAAACAGCAGCTTGCTTCCCCTTGTCGCTAGCTGCAACAGCCGGCGCGGCAGAAGCGACAATCGTGGGCATGGAAAGTCCAGGACTTATTTGAGTCAAGACGGAAGAGGCTATAGCTGGCTTGCTTCCAGAAACACCAGATGCACCAAATGGCGACGGGAGAGGTCGGCTAGGGGGGAGAGGCTTCTCCTTAGGACGATTACTGGGAAGGGCAGGCAACGTATGAGGGACAACAGCAGAGGCTTGTTGAGGTTCCTGGTGGGGCCCCTGTTCAGGCTCTTGTTCAGGTTTCACGGACGCCGCACGCTCCTCCGGTTCAGACTCATCAGATGTAACAGAAGGAGGCAAGGGAACGGCTTCGGGAGGAGCTAAGGACGACTTTGGTACTTCGGGAGCCATTTCCGCAGCGACACTAGGTTTAGGCTCCTGAGCAGCTTCAGGGACAACTGTGTTAGCTATATCACTCTCGGTCAACGAGGGCTTTCGAGTAAGAGTATCAACTCCAGCCGTTGAATTTGCTTCCTTTTGAGCCTCAGATTGCTCAGTTTCTATAGGTGATTCCATTAGACAGTGTACTTCCTCCAACTCACCTTGCTCATGGTCATCATCAACCATTTCCTCAGCATACGACGCTGATGTACTCATCATGATAGGAGTCTGCATGGACTGGAAACGAGGGGCCATTGTGGGTTTTGCAGCTACAACGTGTCTTTCAGGCTCGCTGAGGACTACTCGCTCGTCCTTTCGGAGCCCTGGTGTGCCGGTTTTACCCAATTTAATGTCATTCAACACAGGTTTTTTGGGAAGAACACTTTCGTAAATACGGTTCTTGTATTCCGCACCAAAAAACTTCAGCAATTCCCGATGTTTCGCAGCCCAATACCGAGCAGCCTCCTCCGCTGACTTGGATTGTTGACTGATGGTCAACGGGGCCTGAGCGGTCTCTGACTCTTTTTTTTGGACAATAGGTTCAGCTGACTCTTTCAACTGAGCACTTTTCTGCTTCGTCACAATGTCGTCTGTCCCATTCTCCTCCTCCTCCTCCGATACCATCTCCTCTTCATTCTTGATGGTCTCCTCACCTTTTTGTCCTGCTGCGGGGGAAGCGATAGCTGCTCCAGACTCCTGGGGCTTTGATTCAGATGAACTGGTCCTCGAATGCAACCCAATCGACTTTGGTGCACTCAAAGTGGTCCGTAGCGGGGGAAGAGACGGTAATTCGGGTTCACTCTCCGAATCACTGCCCCATTCCGTGCCATCATACGTTGGGATGTTCGAAACCCAACGTTTCGAAATTCGACGTTTCAACCCAGCATTGTTGTCTTCACTCAACAATTGACTTTTCTTGTTCAGAGCAACATTGAACGTCATTGAATAGCGCTCCTCCAAGAACAATTCACCGGCAAATTCAATGTTCTAGCTCTCGGAGTGAGTGGTAGAGGGCAGGTGTAGTGGGTGGATTTAGGTTAGGCTCCATGGGTAATTCTTGGTGGTAGTGCTTCCAAGAGCGGCTCTCCCTCCACTACGGCTGAAATCCAACGACGTCTTAAACACCAATGGCGACAGAATCGCCCATACACACGGAAGGACGACGTCGGTATTAAATTCCGAGCCCATTTTCCAATTAGATTTCTCTTCCTTTTATCGTTTTTATCTTTCTTTATTGATTACGTTTTTCTTTTTTTTTTGCAGTTATTTCCTTAACGAATTGAATTGCAATTGTCAAAAACCGTATATTCATCGTTCTGTATTTCCTTTGTGAACCTGTTAATTCGTTGCTCTGGTCATTTTGGGGGTTTTTAATTTTGTAATCTGGGTTCTTTTGTGTTACTGCTTTTAGAAAACTGTTTGAAACGATATCTGTCGAATCGAAGCAAGCAACAAAGTAAAAGAAATTTCGGTCGCTTTATGCTACTGCACTTTGGTTGTCTGTCTGTCGAGAAACACAAATTCACTGATTGAAGCTCTTCTAGGTCATACAAACTGTTCTTGTGGAACTTTATTAACGATTTTACTACTACTGTTACTTTTATCACGGGGTTTTCCATACCTTTATCTCGTTTATGAACAATTTACTGACGACAATTTTTCTACGTATTTATTATCCAGAACATCATATGTCCGAATCACAGCTGTTTCTTCTCATCTATGCATCAATCGTTTTCTAATAGTTCAATTGGGCGGAACGATGCGACTTTTCACTCCAATGGCGTCTCCGTTGTCGAAAGTCATAATGCAGCAACATCATCCATGGATGTGTGTTACTACAAACATGAATTCGACGCGGGCGCGTTTGAGTCACGAAAAGTTCAGCAGGGACACTTTTATGTCGCCGAAGTCGCCGATGAACACACTTCTTCTTCAAAAGATATCCGCGAAAAAATCACTTCAACACAGGCTTTGGGGAATGTGAAACAGTTTCTAGCTCCCCTGTTACATGAGAAGTATGCCGAAGAACCCAACTTCGAGTACTCCGATTTTAAACCGCCTCCTCGAGTCACTTTACAGGAAAGCAAACGGGCATCATGGTTTCAGGACCTCGCTAATCATCTCGTACCGCTTTCAAATTTGGCCAAGCGGATACCTCACGGCATTTGGGGCAAAGACATTCTTCGCTCCTGCATGTCGTACTTCGTGCCTATCAATCGTGCGGCATGGTTTATTAAATGTGTTGGCGTAAATGAGGCCAGGGCTTTTCTACGGAAAAACCCAAACAACACTGTGGACGATTGGTACGCAAATTGGACGGCGTCTGTGTGTGCTCTTTTGTCGGAAATCGTTTCGTCAATGGTTGATATGAAACAGCGGAGCTTGCAGGCCAAACAGTTTTCTTATGTTTTACAGATCATCACTTATCTTATCCAAAATGATTTGTTAAACGAAACTCACATGCTTCAACATGTCCTCCGGTTTTTGTACGAATCAAATGCCAGTTCGTTGCCCAAAGCTATTCTCGTACTAGAATTCTTTTGGTGCCGAATCATGGACAAACCACAGATAGCACAAATCGGTGTGATACTCATTTTAGACTTTCTGAAAATTCTCAAATCCTCTTTCTACGGTCTACCAGCAGAACTGAAAAGCTCGTTTGATCAGCGTTTGAACCTACTGCTTTTTCGTTTAGCGTACAAACGGCCAAATTGTTATTTTATGCCTGACCAATGGAAAACAATTGAGCTCCAGCTAAAATACGCGTGGAGACGGTTTCCAGGATCGGCTAATGTGTACGCTGTCATACACGAACGCAACTCTCGGTCCCACAGACTCATCAACCCGCTCAATAAACGGTTCCGATTCTTGGAAATCCTTAACTCATTAAATCCTACTAGTGATTGGAAACTCGTAACCAGTGACTTGCTTAAGCTGCTGCCTACCGATGAAACTCTTCATCTCATTATCAAATGGTGCGTTGGTATTAACCATATGTATCTTGTTGAAAAACCCTACTATACTGCTATGTTGTTTCGATACGCCGATTTAAACATCCAAACCCTTCAGGAAAACATTCTACATTTTCTGTTTAACTTTGATTTCTCTCATCCAAATGAAGTTACAGCGTTGGCTGTTTTGTTGGATGAACTGCACCAGCTCCACCTATTTTCCTTCTCAACATATATTAAGCTGCTTGCAGCGAAGGGCTACCTTCGTGACTCTATGCGAAACACAGAAGTCGTAAACAAGCATTGCCAGTTCTTAATGCAGTATCCCGTACACAACCTTCGCCGGTCGATCCGTACAGCGGTACACAATATCTTGATACGTAATGGTGTAAAAATACATTGGGAAGCTGTGGATCAGTACATTCAACAGTTTCGAAAGAATCCAAAAACATTTCACTTCGCGGATGACGAGCTTTACTCCATCGTTTCCCTTACATTAAGTCGCTTACTTGAACTTATCGGAGACAGTACAATGCAAGCGTACTTTCTGTTCATTTTATGTTGGCGTTACTCCGCATTGCGAGTAATCGATCGGGCTGTACCCATTATGAGAAACAACGGCATAATGCGTTTGTCTTTACTGATTTTATTAGTGAAGGGCTTAACACTTACACCGATCTTGAGAAAATTCATTATCGAAATGAGCACAAAAGATGAGATCTTGTCAGAAGCAGAAAAGGCGGTTTTGATTCAATTGGATTCGTTATACAAGTTGGACTTGAATGTAAATTACACATTCGTTATTCCCTTGTTCGTTGTTCAACAAAACTATATGTATGAACGAGTTCAAAACGAGCCTTCTTGTCTCAAAAAGTTCATGTTGCGACCAAACATCCAGGCAGAGGAACTAGTTGAGTACCTTACGGACACCTTGGAACACACAATCAAAGATGAAGAGATTATATTCACAAATACATGCTTGCAATGTCTCAAGGTTATGTCGAACGCATCACTTATTTCTCAAAAAATACACAATCTTGTGCGTAAATGGCTATTTACTAACCCTTGCGAGGATATGCGTCTCAACAAACTTTTACATATCGCAAGAGCTCGCCTTATAAGCATAGAAGAACTATCGATTCTCTTAAATGAGTTACTCACCGCAGATACTGTTGGCGAAGTTGGAAAAGAGTTATGTTTTAAAATATTCAGCTATCGTCTGTCGCGCACGGATGATGGATCAAAGGAATGGTACAGTTACAGTGAAATTCTACAGCTTGTGCGATGTTCAATCGACATGCAAAACATTATACGGAAGGCAATCTCTGGGTTTAGTCACAATCGTATGTTTATGCTAAATACACTGGCACTCTTGTATACTCTTGACTTTGAAACATCCGTTTCGCTGTTTTCGTCAAAGGAAGAATTACGCGATATTGTGTGCACGTTTATCCCTCAACTCTGTACCATTGATATTCGTGAGAGTTTTAGGTTGGCGTTGGAAAAGTGCGACCTATTTTATACCACTCTGTATTCATTGTGGCTTTATACATTGGACGAGAGACAGCTTTCTAGACTATCTTTTGATTTTTTGTTCGATTCACTTGCCGCAACTTTCCCGCGCTACCGTCCCGAACTCTGGCAAAACATGTGCTTGGGACTATCGTTTTGCAAGGATTTGTTCCAGGAAGTTATCTTGCGTACACTAAGTACATTCAAGGCTTTACCGCAGGAGTTCCTTAGCGATGTATGCAGTATATCCGCATGGATCTTAAAACACAATCCCGATAAGCACTTTCTAAATCAGCTTTCACAAATGTTTCCTTCTCGCATGAAGTTAGTCTACTCTTGGTGCAAGACTGTTGGTAACGACGAAACCAAACAGTTGGAACTACAAAGTTGGTAAGTTCAATTCCTTGTTTGTAACCCTATGCCTCTTTTCATTCTTGTGCTAACTTCCCCTCAGGGTAATGCTCTTCATACACCTGTTGCTTCATTTTCATTCCTACCTGAAACAACCTAATCTTATTCATCAGCTAAATACGTTTGCTCAGGTAAGCAGGCGTCTTTACTGACTGCATGAAAACTAACTTAAATTCAGATTCCATTTATTTTTGACAACCCTCATATCATTGACATTCTCACTGATGCAAAAACATTTCTTTTGCAAAGCGAAAAGATGAATGATAAAGCAGAACAAGCCAAGTCATTGGCTCCTTGGGAGGACATTGAAGGTCTGACCCTTCAAGGCAAGACTCCGTACACACTTCAACAGTTTGATCCAAAGCGGACAACCTCTCAATTGTTCTTTTGGACACTAAAAAACAGTAGTGAGCATTGAAAACCCTCACATCATCACTTGCCCTTTGAACCCACAACAATCCACACACGCACTCAGTTTTCCCTCTTCTCGCCTCTACCACATTTCTCTTGGTCAAGAGGTTTCTGTATATAATAGTTTTCGATTTGTTCCCTAACTGGAGAAATTGGAATGCGCCGACAATGCGCGCCATTCTGTTTAGACTTATTCTTAATTGACAGTAGAGTTACTTTTATTTCTACGGGTACATCGTATAACGGCTATAAGGAAAAAAAAAGTTCATATCTATCCAACTACTGCGATTTTGTCCATACAAGGAGAAGGAGGTGTTGTAGGTATTCTGTAGGAGTATTCCTCGTTAAGAGTCCGTAGCCCTCACTAAAAATGTTAGTGAGTTACATCGAAGATCATCAAAAGCAGTCACGCGAAACCAAAACTCAGGACTTGTTTAGCTTGGAACCTGTTCACAACCACCACCAGCAACATGCCTCACTCCTACGGTATCAGAGCTCGTACGCGTTACCTTTTCCAACGTGGATACAGAGAGCATGGTCAAATTCGTTTGTCCACGTACTTGAAGACCTACAAGATCGGTGACATTGTCGACATCAAGGTCAATGGTGCTGTCCAAAAGGGTATGCCCCACAAGTACTACCACGGCAAGACCGGTGTCGTTTACAACGTCACCCAAACCTCTGTTGGTGTGTTGATCTACAAGGTTGTTGGCAACCGCTACATGGAGAAGCGTGTCAACGTCCGTATTGAGCACGTTAAGCACTCCAAGTGCCGTCAAGACTTCTTGAACCGTGTCAAGGAAAACGAGGTCAAGCGTAGAGAGGCCAGAGCCGAGGGCAAGACTGTCCAACTTCGTCGTCAAGCTGCTCTCCCTGTTGCTGCTCACGTCGTCTCTACCAAGGACAACACCCCCGTCACCCTTCACCCCGTTGCCTACGACACCACTATTTAAACAAAATACAGTGTTTGGAGTGGACTGCACGAAATACGTTTGTTTGTGAGGAAGAGAAGGAGAGGTAGGATATACGATGTAGAGTGAGAGTGTATGTAGATGGAGAACTTGTGTCTGTGCGGGCCTGGTTTGTTTGTCGAGGTCAGTGTTGCCTCAGGTGTGCCAGACGCTTCATCTTAGGACCAGGGTCTGCACAGGTAGGTGTCCTTTCCCGTAGACCGTTTTCATTCTCGTCACTAAACTTCTCCATCAGGACCCTACCCTGTTATCTAAACTTTCGCTTGTTGCACATGTTTATCTTAACGAAACTCACCACCAATCTTTCAGCCAAGTTGCAGAGAGAACACGAAAAGCTGTCGCTGAACACGACACGTAGCTGTAGCCATGGGTTCTAGCAGCGAAGCAGAAATGAAAGCTGCTCCTAAACCTGCGCCTTTAGCACATCTTTTTGCTGGAGGGTACGATGAGATAATGAAACGAACAAATTGTCAAAGAACTGCGTGTTAATGTTTTAATATAGAATTGCTGGAATGCTTGGAACCACAGCTACAGCTCCCTTGGATGTGGTGAAGACAAGACTTCAGTCGGATTTCTACAAGGAACAATTTGCCAAACGGCCTCCAATTTCACGGAATGTGTTTCGGGCGACTGTCTCTCATTTTGCGGATACATGTTTAATTTTGCGGAATGTTTATGTTCAGGAAGGACCAAAAGCTATGTTTCGGGGTTTGGGACCAAACTTGGTTGGTGCAGTGCCTGCTCGAGCAATTAACTTCTTCACTTACGGGAATGGTAAACGCATCTTGGCCGATGTATTCAACAATGGCCAAGAAAGTACACAGATTCATCTTATTTCAGCAGCCATTGCTGGAGTTGTTACTTCGACAGTAACAAACCCTATCTGGCTCGTGAAAACTCGCCTTCAGTTAGACAAACGGAGTGGAAACTCCATACGGTACAAATCATCTTTTGACTGTATCGTGAAAACCGTTCAAGAGGAGGGCATCCGTGGTTTATACAAAGGTCTCACTGCAAGTTTTCTGGGTGTTGGTGAGAGTACGTTGCAGTGGGTTCTGTATGAACGCTTTAAGCATACGCTTGCTATGCGCAGACAAAAGCGTGTTCTCCAGGGAAAACGGGTTACTCTTTATGACCGAGGTTTAGAGTGGGTCGGTCGTTTAGGCGGAGCAGGAATAGCCAAGCTTCTGGCTGCATGCATAGCCTACCCTCACGAAGTCGTTCGTACCCGATTACGACAGAGCCCCATGGCTGACGGTAAGCTGAAATACACTGGTTTGCTCCAGTGCTTCAAGTTGGTATGGAAAGAACAGGGTATTGTCGGCTTGTACGGTGGTCTAACAGCCCATCTCATGCGTGTGGTTCCTAATGCTTGTATTCTTTTTGGAAGCTACGAAGTACTTATTCAACTATTCAGCCGATAAAAATTCCCATCCAAAAAACTCTTAAAACAAAACGACCATGTACAGTTGGCACACATCATTGAAACCCTCATCCAACCTCATCATCCTTCATTCCTGTGACCATTGTCCTCTCTTTTTTTCCCTGGTTCTGTCAACTGTTTTACTGCCTGCTTCCAGCAGTGTCCTATAACTCACTATTATCTCGTATTTATTTTAGCAAAATACACAACCAAATAGAACATACCCTTCCAAGTTCGTTAATTAATTTAGGGCAATTTCACTATTGTTCACTAATAATAATTGTTGTACGCATCTCTCCCAAATGAAATCGTGTCTTTACATTGCAGATTTACTGCGAATTCATTCATCGTTCACCGTCGACTACGAAGCAACCATTGATTACTTTTTTTTGCAAAATCACATAATCAATGTAATACTGTTCCATGAAATTATCGCTGGAATGCATGGATTGGACGCTTGAGCCGCTCCATTCGGCTCCTGCTTTTGTAAAGGAGGATTGTCTGACAAGTACACGATTTTCAACAAAACAGGTTTCTCTGCCAGTACTACGAATATTTGGTCTTACCGAGGCTGGTGACTCAATATGTTGTTTTCTACACAATTGCTTTCCATACCTTTTTATTGATTTTGTTCCGGAGGAACATGATGACTTGATCCAGTTTCTGAAACAGCTGAAACAGTTTATCGAAGAAACGTTGAGTCGCTCTCTTCATTTAGACAATTCTCGCGTTCAACTTGTGTATAATATTCAATTGGTTAAAGGGATTCCGTTTTACGGCTACCATGTTGGTTGGCGTCTCTTTTGCAAAATATCTCTTTTTAATCCAAATCATATTAATAAACTTGCAGACCTGTTTCGCCAAGGACGAATACTGAAAAACAGCACACGCGTTTACGAGGCACATGTGCCTTATCTCTTGCAATTCCTCATCGACCACAACTTATATGGTTGTGATTGCATGGAACTAGACGAAAATCGCATTGAGCTTGTTACCGATAAGGAAACACGGAAAACTCACTGTTCATGCGAGCTCGTAGCTTCTGTTACTGCCGTCCTCAATCGAATGCGGATTCAAGAAAACTTTGTACATTCTCAATTGTACGAAGATCTGTCGGTCTATGAGCGTATCCATTCCGTTGGAAGTTTAGCGGAAGTCTGGAAGTCTGAAGCTGTTCGTCGGGGTCTACCTGTGAACAGCAGTGGAAATTCAAGTCTAGGTTTGACATACTTGCAGAGTACGCAGGCCGGATTAAAGGTTTCTTCTTCAGTCGAACGTTCTACTCAGCTTGAATGGCGAAAGGCGGAAAAGAACGGACAACTGTTTTCCAACGCCCTTCGGCTTATTGCTTCTGAGGCATCAGCAAGCGAAAAGCCGAATGTACCAATTCCAGACTATGAGAATGTGGACACAACTTTCTCATGCGTAGATCATCATTATGAATGCACAGATGCAAGCTGTCCATATTCTACAAATCAGATTGTAAAGCTACAAACCAAGCAAGCGGCGCTGGAACTTAATAGCCGTGACACTGTTATATCATCTAGTTTGCCAAGCAATTCACAATCTTCCTTACTTGGTGCTCATTCGTCTACAACGCCTTTGGCTTCAAAAGAGTCTAACGATACTTCCGGGAGAGTATCCGACATGTTTCCTTCAACTGGGTCAACAAAATCTGACAGCGAAAATCACGAAACTGTGACTGGAACCTCGTTAGAAAACAGTAATGCTAAAAAGGGTGGAAGTCAAGATACCTCACAATCAATGACCCATGACCTTCTGTTTGTTCCTTCGACAAACCCGGAAACATTACACGAACAAACTCGTCATCAGGAGTTCGGTCGTAAGCTCAAGTATACAACCAACAATCCGTTTCTGACTCAAATTCCGGAACCATCGAACCAAAACGCCTCAAATCGCCCATTTTTCATTTACTCAAAGGGTCCTCCGAGCACTAAGGAATTGTTGGCTGAGTTGCATGATTACAATTTAGCATCTACAGTGTATGACGATGTTTATTTTTCGAATGCTAAAGACTATGATCCCAATGCCACATCTCTGCCTTCGCAAATGCAAAGACCCCGCGTACATTCCATTGAAAATCTTCCTCCTTTTCACCCAGGAATAACAGAAGACATGAGCAGTCTTGCAAATGGACATGGTCTTCTTCATGTTAAAGAGTGGGAGTTTAAAGATCTACCGCCAACTTCATCCTCCTTAATGAGCTCATGGAATACTACCGTAGGAGAATCGAAACCCGCATTTGTGCAGTCAAATATAATTACCAAGACCTTCAAGCGTGATGCCTTTTCGAGCGTCAAACTTCTCGCAATGGAATGCTTTGCCTCGTCTCACGTTGATAAACTACCAGATCCCAAAAAGGATAAGCTGCAGGGATGCTTCTTTGCCTTCCAATTTGACCCCAATGTCGAGGGGATTGATGGCATGTGCTGTATTTTATGTGATGACACTATACCATTAGAGTTGTATCAGAAAGCCTTTCCTCATGTTTACTTTATCCTTGTGGACACCGAAATTGAACTCATTAATGAAGTCATATCGGTTACCCGAGACATTGATCCAACTTTGCTTTGTGGATATGAGATTCAGCAATCTTCTTGGGGCTATGTTATTGAGAGGGCCATGATGCAATTTCAGTATGACTTAACGTCTGAGCTTTCTCGCTTAAAACAATTTGAATCAGGAAAGTTCGGTAGTAAGGATGATCCCTGGGGTCATCGCAAAGCAACTTCCCTTCATGTTGTTGGACGTCATTTACTAAACATATGGCGTTTAATGAAGGGTGAGTATAATTTGTTTAATTACTCACTAGAGTCAGTAGTCTCGCATGTTTTTGATACTCAGACACCTCATTATAGCCAGAATGACTTGAACACTCTCTGGGCTAGTTCTCAACTTCGAGATAAGTTGCATTTTGTACAGTATCATTTGTCAAGAGTCAGTTATGATCTTCGTATACTTGTTTCTAGCGCCGTCATTACGAAGGTGAGAGAACAGGCACGAATTATTGGGGTCGACTTTTACTCTGTCATATCGAGGGGTTCACAGTTTAAAGTTGAATCCATCTTATTCAGAATTGCAAAAAGTGAGAATTATATTCTCCCATCACCCGGACCACAACAAATGACCGAACAAAACGCGTTGGAATGTTTGCCTCTTGTGCTTGAACCACAGACAAATCTGTTCAAAAATCCAGTAGCAGTTTTGGATTTCCAATCTCTGTACCCTTCTATCATCATCGCTTTCAATCTTTGCTTCTCCACTTGTCTAGGATATGTTCGGAATATTGATAAGGCACAACGTTTAGGATTTACATTTTACCAGGCTGATCCTACTCTTTTGCAAGCCTTAAAGGATGACATTTACATATCCCCAAACGGAGTTGCTTATGTTCAGAAAAATGTTCGAAAGTCTCTATTAGCGAGAATGCTTGAGGAACTTATTGATACGCGGTTACTGTTGAAGTCTGGTATGAAGGATTGCACTGATGCCAATATCCATCGGATTCTGAATGGTCGACAGTTGGCACTGAAACTAATAGCAAACGTGACATACGGCTACACATCTGCTTCTTTTTCTGGCAGAATGCCGTGTTCGGAGATTGCCGACACTATCGTTCAGACCGGCCGAGAAATATTAGAGCGCTCTATCAACATAATCAATGCTACCGAACAATTTGAAGCGCGTGTGGTATATGGCGACACTGACAGTCTATTCGTTGAATTGCCTGGAGCAACTAAAGAGGAAGCCTTTAAACGTGCTCAGCTTTTGGCTAACAAAATATCATCCGCCCTTCCCTCTCCATTGAAGCTCAAATTCGAGAAAGTTTATCTTCCATGCTTTTTGCTAGCCAAAAAACGGTATGTTGGATACAGTTTTGAGTCTTTAAGCGACAAAAAACCTAAGTTTGACGCTAAAGGCATTGAAACCGTAAGGCGAGACGGTACGCCCGTGCAACAGAAAGTTCTCCAGGCATGTCTCTGTGCTTTATTCGACACAATGGACTTGTCCTCAGTAAAGCGCGTTTTTCTGGAACAGTGTTCGTCCATTGTTGAAAACCGAGTTTCTATCATGGACTTTTGTTTTTCAAAAGAAGTTTACCTGGGCACGTACAAAGATGCGACTACAGCACCACCTGGCGCTGCACTTTCGTTGCGACTCATGTTGCAAGATGCTCGCATGGAACCACAGTATGGTGAACGTGTACCATATGTTATTGTAGCTGCTCCTCCGAACACGACATTAGTAAAGCGGTCTGTTAGTCCGGAGGAATTTGTGAATGACAGGTATGATAAATCTGCTATAATAAAGTGGAAGCTAACACGATAGTACACTTCATTTGGATTTAGACTATTACATTAGGCACAACATCATTCCTCCTTTAGATCGCATGCTGAATGTACTGGGCGCGAGTGCCAAACTTTGGTACGACCAAATGCCCAAAGTAAAGAAGCTACTTACTGATTCCGTGTCGACGAAAGCTTCTGCAGTTGGCCAAGGAAGAACATTGGATCAGATCTTGCATACCATGTTGTGTTGTTTATGTTTAAAGAATCCAGTTACTGCAGTTCCCAACGCTCCAACGTCGCTTTTATGTGAAGATTGCCGGCAGCATTCTGACAAAGCACTAATGAACACCCTTTATAACCTTAATTCCTCTTCACTTTTGTTTAATCGGCTCAGTCACATATGCGAGGGATGCAGCCGTATTTCCTCAGTTGATCCTATTTACTGTAATTCTCAAAACTGCTGTATCTACTATGAACGTGTTCGGCTAAGAAGTCTAAAAGATCTTCACTCAAAACGCTATTCTGCGCTTCTTCAAGCACTCGATTGGTAAAAGAATGGTGCTGAACGCAGAATGACGCTACAGGTTTCAACTCAACCTGTCTGTAATTTTACAAAATCTTTATGCTCATACAATTCGTTTAATGTACCGCCTTCAAAAGCCTTCCCTGTTTCTTCCTTCTTTCACAAAAAACATTAATATAATGACTATTATGCTTGTAGTATAGAGGTAATTCACATTCTAACTGTAATTCAGTCCCTATTCTCGGAACGTAAATTAAGTAGCAATACTACGGATCAATAATTATATTCGTCCCTGCTCGCGTTTTTAGACAAAAATAGCTACTATGAACTTGAGCCGGTTTTCCTTGGAGAAATATGACCATTTCCGTCTTAATAGCCGTCGTGCATCACGACCTTCCGATACCACAGCTTACTTGTACTGCAACTTCCACCAAGCCATACACAACCTAAGAATCCAAGAAATAACGGGAGGAGTTACAATTCTTCTTCGTAAACGTCGTGAGAACATTAATTTGTTAGACTTCTGCTTGTATATAAGAAAACGACAACGCAATGTCGTTCCGTACATATACGGATCACTCGATGACGGACTCCTCGTTAGTAACGAGTGTTCGTAAGGCCACAAGTGTTGATGAGACAGCACCTAAGAGAAAGCATGTAAGAAGTTGTGTTATTTTTACTTGGGATCATCATACTGCAAAACCGTTTTGGACAGCTATAAAAGTCCAGCCTATCTTTTCCAATGAAGTACAGACATTCAAGGCACTGATTACTATTCACAGAGTTCTTCAGGAGGGTCACAAGTCAGCTCTTCGTGATTCAGTGAACGAGGCCAGCTGGCTGAAAGCCTGTGCGCGTCAATTTACTGATGATGGAGCCAAACATTATGGAAGATTAATTCGAGACTACGTAAGTTATTTGCTTGACAAACTTGCTTTCCATAAGCAGTACCCAGAGTTTAACGGCACGTTTGAATACAAAGAATACATTAGTCTTCGACGTGTGGATGATCCAAACGAAGGTTACGAAACCATTTATGACATGATGAACCTCCAGGACCATATTGATGAATTTCAGAAACAAATTTTCAGTACCTTTGTCCGTGCCAAAAAGAATGAGTGCCGAATGGCCGCCCTTGTGCCTTTAGTGCACGAATCCTATGGTATTTATCGCTTCTTGACCAGCATGCTGCGTGCCTTGTACAAAAATGTCGACGACGCATCTACTATTGAACCACTGAAACAACGATATAAGGCCCAGCATCATCGTCTGCGTCAGTTTTACTTTGACTGTTCGAACCTGCGTTACCTTACTAGCCTTATTTCCATTCCCCGTCTTCCTCATGACCCTCCAGATTTGGAGGGCGACGACAATGCACCTGACCTTCCCAAGCGCCCAGAATCCATCGCTCCACAAAAAACGGGCTCGTCAACGATTGCTCCTGTTCCTACGGGCGGATCGAGCTTCCCCTTCCCGACAGACCTCCAGGCGCAAAACACGCCCGCCAGTCAATATGCCGCTCCGGAACCCATTCAAGAGTTTTGGGCCGACCCATCATTGGGCCAAGAATTGGCCATGCAACAACAACAGCAGCAGCAACAGCTTGCCGCTCAGCAAGCCGCGGAAGCTGAACGCCAACGGCTGGAAACGATTCAGCAGCAACAACAGCAATTGGCTGCTCAACAGGCTGCCGATATGGAACGTCAACGTATTGAAGCAGAGAGACAGGCCCAAGAATTTGAAGCCATGCAACGCATGCAAGCTGAGGCTCAACGTCAAGCACAAGAAGCTTATGCTCGTGAGCAAGAGAAAATGCAAAACCAGGGCCAGTTAGCAATAATGCAGCAACAACTTATGGCAACACAAGGACAAGTAGAGCAAGACCAAATGATGCTTCAGCAATACGACGCTCGTGTTAAAAGTTTGGAGAACGAATTACGCCAGTTGACAATCAGTTCTCAAGCACAAACGAACAGCAAAGACGATGCGATTGAAAACCTTCGTGAACAAATTGATACATGGAAGAATAAGTATGAAGCTTTGGCTAAGCTGTATACTCAGCTTCGTCAAGAACATCTGGATTTGCTTTCCAAATACAAGCAACTGCAGTTGAAGGCTAGCTCCGCCCAGGAAGCCACGGAGAAGCGGGAGCGCCTGGAAAGGGAGATGAAGAACAAGAACTTGGAGCTGGCCGACATGATTATGGAGCGTGACCGTGCTCGTCACGAACTTGACAACCTTCGTCGTTTACAACAAGGTAAGACGGAATCGGCTGAACGCGATTTGCGTCTTCTTCAACAAAAGGCAGAGGCTCTGGAGCGAGACAAGGCTTCCGAACTTTCTTCACTTATCGGTCGCTATACAAAGGAAGTTGGCGAACTCGAAAACAGTCTTCGTGCGAAGGATGCTCAGATTGCCGATCTTGGACACCGTCTGGAAGAAACGGAAAGACACTTCCAGCACCTTATTCAGTCCAAGGATGAAGAATTGGAAATACAAAAGGCAGCTGTTGATGAATCTTTAATGCAATTGGGCGAGATGCAAACAACTCAGCTCGATGTTGACAAGGCAATGGATAGTCAGATTGATAGCTTGTTAAGAGCTCAACTTCAAAAACTTGATGAGATTATTGACTCAGTTCTTCGCACGGGTATTAAGCGGTTGGACAATTGTGTTTACGAACTTGATTCTCCTATGCAGGCAGGTAATCAAAACGCAACTGCCGAGTTCTTGTTAACAACAATTGAAAACACCAGTAACGTTGCTACAGAATTTTCTACCGCTTTCAACAACTTCTTTGCCGATGGTCCTAATGCTGATCACTCCGAGGTTATTAACAGCGTTAATGCTTTCTCAGGTGCGGTCGCCGAGGTGTGTAACAACACAAAAGGTATCTCGCGCCTGGCTTCTAATGATAATGAAGTCGACAAGACTGTTTCGTGTGCTCGCATAGTTGCGAATAATGCCAAAAAGTTTTTGACAGATCTGGTTTCTCGCAATGTGCATCAATTGTCCTCAGACCAGAAAATGGATCTCGTCATTGCGAATAATGTTAATTTTCAACAAAACTTACAAACCCTTAGTCAAGTTGCTGAAACATATGCTGCCCAGAGCAAGACAGTTGGCGTGGTACAAGCAAATGGCAATGTGGAGGAACTGGTTGACCAGCAACTTCGTGATACGGCAAAGGCTATCCAGAATGCCATTGAAAAGCTAAATGCTCTTCTTGCTCAACCAAAGAACATGAACCTTCCGCCATCCGAGTTACAAGTTCATGATTCTTTGCTGAACGCATCCATCTCAATTACTCAGGCTATTGCTCGTTTAATTGAAGCTTCCACCGCCGCTCAGGCAGAAATTGTAGCACAAGGAAAGGGTTCAAGTTCAAGGGCCGCTTTTTACAAGAAGAACAATCGCTGGACAGAGGGTTTGATTTCCGCCGCTCAAGCTGTTGCTCGTGCTACAAATACACTTATTGAGACTGCCGACGGTATCATTAACGGAAACTATGATCTTGAGCACTTGATTGTTGCTTGTAACGGTGTTGCGGCAGCCACCGCTCAGCTGGTTGCTGCTTCCCGTGTAAAGGCCAATTTCGCATCCAAGACACAAGATCACTTGGAACAAGCAGCGAAAGCTGTTGGCGACGCCTGCAAGGCCCTCGTTCGCCAAGTGCAGTCTGTCGTTGAGGCTAGAGCAAAACAACAAGCTGAGCAAGAGGATTACAGTCGTTTAGGTGTTCACGAATTCCGAGTTAAGGAAATGGAACAACAAGTTTCAATCTTAAAACTGGAACATGATTTGAATGCCGCCAGAAGAAAGCTCATGGACATGCGTAAAATGTCTTACCATTACTCCGAAGAGTAGGTGGCTCGTTCAGCTTTGCATACGTGTATGCGTGTATATCTTGCGAACGGCCTGCTTGAAGAAGTATGTTTTTCACTCTCTCGTTTTCAACAGGTATTTTACAATCTGTGCCATCTTTTGTTTTTTGTAGTGCACATGAATATAATGTTTTAATCAATCGCAAGAAACGAAAGGAGACCGAGTAATTTGTATTATCTATGAAAGAGTGAAGAGGAAATCAGCACCAATGCAAAGAGAACATGCCGTCGAGCACGATGTTGTATATGTTGTTGCTATCGAACTGTTCTATAATAGCTTTAACGCTTCTTTTTGGACTCGACTTGGCTGTCGGTGCTGCTGGGTGCTTGTGAAAGGCCAGAACTGTATTCAAACAATTTCCAAGAAAGCATAATGGCAAGGGAAACAATTCCAAAAACCGCGAAATTGAACGTAGCCAAAGAACATTGAATAAGGACGAACGAGCCAATGAGTTTTACAAAAACTTCCTTTGGTGTAACTGTAGGCGGAGCGTTTTTATCCTTTACAATTCGGAACGGAAACCACTGAATACATCCTGGAGGACCAAAGAAGACGGAATACTGACCAATTCGGAGACCTTTGTATTTCTTTTTTTCATCCTCGGAAACATTTTTTTGGATATGAATAACATTGAACGCCACACCAATGCAGAGAATAACGATTCCTATAACATTACTCCGAAGATCATGAAACGTCCAAGAAAACTTAATCGCATCCGAAGGCGCTGAATCCGCTGCTGCCTCCATTTTTCAAACGGTGGATGGGTGAGTTTGGGTGGTGACGGATGAAGACGAGAGAGTGTAAGTGGTAAAAGATAAGCAGAAAGACGTAAGGTAGATTGCGTAGATTGGATGGAAGGATGAAGTTAGGTGCATGAGAAGAACGTTATACTTTAGTAGTTGACACAATGATGTTGTGGTTACCGGACTGCTTGAGCAGTTCCTCCGGCACCTTGACGTTGTAAATCGTTGGAAACTTGCTGTACACCGCTCTCACCTCCCTTGCGCGGGAGATATTGATGGGGGATGGGTGGAGGTGCACAGGAAAAGTAAGGATGCTGCAGGGCCTCCAATGTAGTGGGACGTTTGTCTGGGTTGTAATGAAGCATTGTCTTGAGAAGATTGATCTCTTCGTAACCAGCGGCAGAGAACAGAGCTTCCATACCTCCATTCGGTGGAGGCATGGCCTTCATTTCCACGTAGTTGGGAAGCTTTTTCATGGCTGGCCAAACACTAGGATCCGGTGAACCCAAGGCTCGGAAAATGACGTTCAATTGATCCAAATCAGACTCACCAGGAAGGTATGGTGTTCGAAGCATCAACTCGGCGAAAATACAGCCAACACTCCACATGTCAACGCCCGTACCGTATGCTCGAGCACCCATTAGCAGTTCCGGCGACCGGTACCAACGGGTAACAACTTGGTGGCTCATGTTGTTCGTTGTACCATAGTCACGGGCCAAACCAAAATCAGCAAGTTTCAGTTTTCCGTCGCTTGAAATCAGCAAGTTATTAGGCTTTAAATCACGATGTAAAATGAATCGAGAATGAATAAAGTGTAACCCACGAAGAAGCATGACCATCCAGGTCTTTATATGAGCCGGTTGAAAGACGATAGACCGGTCCTTAATTAACATTTCCAAGTCACTTTCCAAGAACTCCAAAATTAAGTTTAAGTTCGATTTCGTAGAAAACACGTCAACTAATTCAATAATATTTTCGTGTTTAATCTCTCGAAGAAACTTCACCTCGCGAATTGCACTAATGTCGAGTCCATCTTTGAATTGACTGAGTTTAATTTTCTTTATAGCAACCTTTCTGTTTGTTTCTTTTTGCCGGCCCAAGAAGACAACGGCATATGTACCTTCACCAACCTTGCGCTCCTTCACATATGTCCATTTTTCAGACTTTTCAATGTCGGCCATGACAGCTAGCAAGAAACACACCTTCACACAGAACCACGCTCTCCTCACCTTTCTAAATTTGTCGGTTTTGGTGGTGAGTTTGTAAACGTGGGGGTAAATGGGGCAACACATAATCTACAAAAAAGTAATATTAAAAGAGGTTTAAAAAAAAAAAACGGTTTAGAAAAGCGTTATATGTAGTAGAACACTCAGAGAACATACATTGAATAATATAGTGTTGTAGTACAGTTTAACGTAGTAACAATCCCGTTCACCCCCTGTTCATAACCCATACGTCCCTAGTTAATGGCTCACTAGGTTCATGGTCAAACAAATTCGTGACGAGATATGGATAAATGAAAACGGCTCAAAGCAGGAATATAAAAATGATAAAGCCCCCATGGTCCCCTTCCTTCTTACGTTAGAGAATTTGTACTCACCGTCCTTTTGTGCCCATCTGTTCTTAGCAGTTGGCCAGCAAGCTAAACAAGACTTCAATCTTTCATCCTAAATCAGATCCTGCCACAGGAATTGTACTTGTTGACTTCGTAGATTGACAAACAGGAACACCTTTCTCGCACTCGAAGGATGAGTGGATTCAGAAACAGCGATGACCAAGATCCCTACGAGCCAGTCAAGACTCCATTAAAAGTTCTTTATGTAAGAGAGGCACCCACACCCGATGTACTTGCTCGTATTCCAAGCATTGACGGAGACACACTTGGAGGAAAGACGCTGCGAGAAGCAAGTGAAAGTCCAGCAGCAGCCTCCGGCAATCTTCAACGGAAACTGAAAAGTCGACATATGAAAATGATTGCCATTGGAGGATGTGTGGGAACAGGTCTTTTTGTCGGCAGTGGAAACGCCTTATCAGACGGTGGTCCTGCAAGTATTGTAATTGCATTTATCATTGTTGGCCTGTACGTTCTTTGTACCACTAGTGCTCTTGCAGAGCTTTCGGTCGTGTATCCATCCCCTGGTTGCTTTTACAAGTACTTCTCCCGGTTCATCCATCCCGCATGGGGCTTCTCTGTCGGCATTCAATACTGGCTTGCATTTTCGGTAACGATTCCGCTGGAGCTAACTGTAGCGCCAATGGTTATAAACTTTTGGAACGTGCACGTTCGCGCGTCTGTTTGGATTTCCATCTTTTTTGTCATACTTATCGGCATCAATTTTGTGGGCGTCAAGGGGTATGCTGAAGTGGAATTTGCATTGAGCATTGTGAAAGTTCTTGCCGTTTTTGTCTTTATTATACTTAGCATCATCATTGACGTGGGTGGCATACCTAACAACGACCTGGGTACTGTGGGTCTACGGTACTGGCAGAACTCGATGGCATTCCGGAACGGGCTGAAAGGATTCTGTTCGGTGCTTGTAATTGCCGTCTTTTCCCTTTCCGGAACAGAACTTGTTGGTCTTGCAGCCGGAGAAGCACAAAACCCAAACAAAACCATACCGAAAATCGTGAAGCAAATATTCTGGCGTGTCCTTTTGTTTTATGTCGTAGGACTGTTTATGATGACGCTCATCGTGCCAGGCAATATTCCAGAGTTGCGCTCAGAGAGCACGTCAGAAGAACTTATTTCGCCATTTGTACTGGCCTTACAACTGGCAAATCTAAGGGCCCTACCAAGTATCATGAACGCGGTTATCCTGTTATCCACTATTTCGGTTGCGAACTCCGCGTCGTACGCAGCCGGGCGAACACTATTCGCCCTTGCCAAGAATGGATATGCTCCCAAAATTTTCCGACGCACGACGAAGAAGGGAGAACCACGGAATGCAACAATAGGTGTCTTGTGCTTCGGCTGCATTGCGTATGTCGCTGAGGCAGGTTTAGGGGGTGCAGTCTTCAACTGGCTGTTGTCACTATGTGGTCTTTCAACCATTTTCATATGGGGAAGCATCTGTTTGGCTCATTTGCGTTTTCGAAAAGCATGGAAACTTCAAGGACATACGTTGAACGAACTCTTGTTTACAAGCAAATTCGGTAAGCTTGGTTCGTACTACGGTGTAAGTATGACTGTGCTGTGCCTAATAGCGCAATTGTACATTGCCTTGTTTCCTATCGGACGGAAAACCAACGCGATTGATTTCTTCCAGGCATACTTGGCAGCTCCGGTAGCATTCTTCTGCTTTCTATTTTGGAAACTGTACAAAAAAGAAGAGCGGGTTCCGCTGGACAAAATCGATCTCATGGAGGGTTTTAATGGACGCATTACTGAAGACCTTGAGACAGCCATTGAAACTTCTGACATTGTCCAAGTGCAGTTTTCTCCGAAAATGAAAATGATAAAGGAGAAGGAGGCGCTTGTCTCCGTTGCCGAGCAGCCTGAAGACTAGTACACGCCTCCGAAGCAGCTTTCATTATGCGAACAGAGCTTGACGAATTTCAGCTCCTCATCCAAGAAGCCCAGCTTCCTCGCTCAAATCGCCAATTCAGTCGCAACACTTATGCAGATCATGACATCATAAACAAAATAAAGTACATTTATGCGAAAATGTTCCAGCACATGCTAACCTTGTATTAGACTTTCTTTCGCAAGTCGCGCAGCAGAACTTTTTCGAGTTTGGGTTGGAGAGTTGCGTCGTTTAAGTCGTCGAGAAACAAGGACTCGTAGCTAAACGAAGACGAACTTGCAGAAGAAGACGCGGGAAGTGGGTCAAAGGTCCGGAAAAAGGTAGGATCAAAGGCGCGTTCAATTTCCGTATCCAACTGTTCGTGTGACACGATAAAGTTACTTGGAGACGTGTACAGCGAGCTGATCTTTTTAATGAGAGTCGCCTTTTTCTTAAAAAGCATTTTCTTCGCGTTATTCTTGCGTTGTTTTTGGAATTCGGCGGAAGGAAGTTCCTTTATAGGCTCATAACGGATAGTAGGAATAAGCGCATCGATAGCAGCCCTCTGTTCTGTAAAGGTGTTGTTCCTTCTGGCAGAAGGACGCGTGTCTTTGCTTTTTTTTAAGCGACACTCTCGTGCAGTAGACAATTCTTGCTGAAACTTGACGCGTAATTTGTGAATCTCGTTTTGAAACGAAGGAGAAGCACTACTAGAACGACATTGGAGTGACTTGAGGAGTTGTGGAGGACGAATACAGCGATTCGTTCGTTTCCAGAGCATGAGGGAGGAGACTGGCGAAGGGAGGAAAGGGGAAAGGTGCAATTAGCACGTCCGAGGCATAGCCGCGGGGCAGCCGCGCTAGCGGTTGTCCCTCGGTGCTGCCTCGGGATCCTCGTTCTCTGTATTCTCCCTTCGCCTGTCTCCTCCCTCAACCACACACGCCAGACCAGCACCATGAAACTCGTTCGGTATGGCAGATAAACGCGTTTTCTTGCTAACAAACGCAGGTTTTTGATGAAACTCACGAACGAGACTATCTCAATTGAATTAAAAAATGGTATGGGCGAAAAAAAACGCGTACATTCATCGCTAACACCGCGACTAGGAACAATCGTAAACGGCACCATCACGTCGGTGGACATGCAAATGAACACGCACCTAAAAGCTGTAAAAATGACCGTCAAGGACAGAGAACCTGTGCCTCTGGAGACGCTCTCCATTCGGGGGAGCAATGTCCGTTACTTTATTCTTCCAGACTCGCTACCCTTGGACACGCTGCTCATTGACGACTCGCCTAAGCCCAAGCAGAAGAAAAAGGAAACGCGTGGCCGCGGCAGGGGCCGCGGACGAGCCAGGGCTCGTGGCCGTGGTCGGCGGGGTTTCTAAGTGGGGGCTTAGTGGCGTCACACGAAGCTACACAGCCTTGAAAACAAAAAACAAACGATGTTTACGACGGAACGAGGCTGACGTTTGGTGGCATGAGTGGGGGAAGCGGGTGGGGAAACAGGTGGGGTAATCGGTTTAAGACCAGCCGATGGAGTCATGTGATATATGCTCCACGTGCGGCATGTGCTCTGCACGTGATCACGCTATGCTTGTTCTCTGTTTACTACCACCACCACCACCACCACCATCATTTCTTTGCTCCCCCGTCTCCCCCTGCCCACCATGAGCTACAAGAAGAATCGCGAACACGACCCGCTCGCACAGTCGATTGGCAAGCCGACTCCGTTCGATGCTCGTGGAAATCCGCGCGTGACATTCTCCACTCCCTCACGAAAACCATCGAAGCGGATTATCCTCCCAAGCAGCGAGCCTGTGTATGAGCTATGGCAACTACGGGAAACAGTTGGTAATCTTGATGGAGCCGGCGAGGAGCCCAAAATGGAAGAAAAGTCTCGAAAAATTGCACTCTCTCGGATGTACGCACACCCAAAACCGACTCCCGAGCAACAAGAGCTTATTATGCAAGTACTTTCCTACCGCGTTAGCCAGCTTGACGCGCTCAATTGGAATGCTGTCGAACCAACGGAGTAGAGGCCCTGTGGCGGCTGCGTATGAAGGATAGAGTAATGCACAGAGCGGTGAAACCGGTCTGCTTGCACGTTTCCACAGATCACCCGCTCTGTTTTATGAGTAATGAATTGTTATGAATGAACGCGAAGCTGGCGTCTTACCCAGCCTGGTAAATGCAAACGCGAACACGGTCACACGCGTTCGCGTTTGCATTTACGAGACTACATCATCGTCGGATTCCATGCAAGAAAATTTCCGCAAACAGCCCCCCCTACGTCACCGCGGCCCAATCCAGGGCCCGAAAAGCGCTTATCGCAGAAAACGTGTGCCCAGGCGTGGACAAAGAAACCCTGTGAAAACGTGCAACCACCCCCTTCGTAGTTTTATTCGCATCAGCATCGCGTACGAACCATTGTCGTCATCGAATACGGAGGACATCGGCGGCCATCGTGGACGACTTTGTGGTCTAGACCACGCGTGCGTTTTTTGCTCTGGTTTCTGTTCTGACGATGCGGACCGTCCCGTTAGCAGATTCAGCGGCAATTAAGCAGCAGGCCCCGCAAAAAACACTGTTCACGTGGTAGACTTAGCTGTCGCTAAATTAAGCTTGTTTTTTTTTCATCGTTGGTATTCGTCCGTCTTCCCGAAAACTGCCCCCTTTTGCAAACGCGTGACGTCAGGGCCGATCGTGCCTTCGTCATCGGCGCGTTCTTTGGTGCTGAGGCCCTGCTTCGAATGAAAGCGACGCGTGCGTGTTGATTAGCAGTCTTCCGTAGCTGCAAACAAAGAACACGGGAGGAACGCGTTGACGCGTCAAAAGCACGTCCTTGGCCGATAAAAGCATCCCAACCCTCCTCCTCATTTATCCTCTACCAACCACTCTCTCTCTCTCTCTCTCGTTTTCGTCGCCTGTGTGCTGTCTCGCCAACGACAGCTTTGCACACATCCAACACTCTCTTCGCGTATTAAAGCACAGTACACGATTCTCTTAGCGTGTGTTCGCGTGTGAATCCATCTGGTTCCGGTGTGCTTGTTTTATTTTGCTTGTGTGCAACCGTTGTTCTTCTAATTTACTACGACGAAATTTACGCGTCGTGCAGCATCTGCAACTATTTCTCTAGTCTTGTTCTTTGTCTTGTTTCGTGTCAAAACGTGTGTTTTCACTCGTCTTGACTAGCTTTTGTCGCTTCTTGAGTTGACCAAACTTTAATTTTCGCGTCGCGTCGCGCATTTTTCAGGTTTCTTTACGTTTGTTCCTTTTGCAAGAAAGAATCAATCCTCGCTAGTATTTTTTCTTTGTCCGTCGTTATTTTCTACCTTCGTTTCTTTTCCTCGTCAGTTGCGTTGTTCTTCTTTTCTTTGTCCTTTCGCTCTTTTTCGTCGTTTGTCCCACGAATCTTTGCTCGCTCTCCTCTTCTACAGGGTTCCTTCTTTTGTATCTAATTTGTTTCTTGCCCATCAAGCGCGTGCTGCTTCTCTCTTGCCTCTCTAGCTCTTTTTATCTTCTCGCGCTTTTTCGTGTGTGTGTCCCCGTTTCGCTTCTGCTCATTGCACAATTGCTGCCTGTGTGTGTGTTTCGAAACCTTTTTCTCCAAACTTCTCTACTAAGCTACCTACAGTTTATGAGCACTTGCCGACGCCATTAGCTGTTGTCTCCATTATTTCTTGTCGCTTCGTTCTTCTCGGCCTTTATCTCATCTTCTTTCTTGATTGAACCTCGTGAAACGGCCAATCATTCAGCCATTGCTTCGTTCAATTACTCAATTGTCACCCACTGTAACGACCCTCTTCTCTTTGATTCCGTGTATACCCTTTTTCTTCGAAAATGACAGCCAACTTGCCCCTTTCGAGTCTCAACAAAGGCCTCTCCTCTGACTCGATGCCGTTCGCGGACATCGACCCAATGGGCCCAGCACTGCCATCGAGCCTATTGCACTCCCCCATGCTGCCTAGCGAAGCCTCCAGCAAGCCGAGAATGTCGCTTCTTAGCCGCCCCTCGTCAAACAGCATGAACGAGTCCTCCAGCGCCCCCAGCACCATTACCAACCCCACAACGTCTTGTGAGCTCAACAAGGACAAAGACGAAACATTGACCAAGCCTGTGCAACCACGCTCCCTCCTGGCCGCCTCTTTGGAGAAGTCGTCGTCCACTATGACGGCGGCATCCTCCACCACAGGCGCTGCTCTCCGCAAACAGCCTGAACATTCGGCTCTGCTCGCCTCCCTCAATCAAAAACTAGTTTCGCTCAACCCGCTCACTAGCAAGGCGGCAGACGCCGTATCGGCTACCGTTAGTACTACTTCGTCTTGGTATCCACAGGACTCTGTGCTTTCCGAGTCCCCGCCCATCTCGACAGCAGATCTTTCGTCCTCGGCTGCTAGAGTGTCAGGTGAACCGTTCTCCATTCTCGCTTCGAACGCCGCTACGTCTGCTGCTGCCATTACGAACAATTTGGTCGGTCTGAAATGCGCTCCCAATGCTGCGCATGACGTTACGGTACCCTCATTCTTTGACAACTCAACGGTCACGTCGCGTTACTTGATCGTTTCGAATTTGCCTCGCATCGTTCCATGCTCTTCACTCATTGAGATCTTTTCTGTATGTTCAATGGTTTGATAACAATGCTTTCAAAAACGTCACCTGCCTAACTGTGGGTTTGACGCTTTTGGACTCGTCCTGTTTTTTTTGAGAAACCCCCCTTACGCTTTTTCGTTTGTGTATGACATTTACTAACCCTTGACAAATAGCAATTTGGCGATGTTAAAGGTATTGACACATCGGCCCTTTCGACCGATGGAATAATCATTGTCGCGTTCTATGATCTCCGTCAATCCATCCAGGCTTCAAAAGCCCTACGCCACAGACGGTTCTTCAATGATCGTTTACTCAATTGTCAGTTCTGCTCACGGGCAACGCTGCAAAAGGTTCGTTCTGTCTAAGCACTGATCCGAATGAGGGTTTTGTTATTTTGGTTTTTTTTCTGCAATCGCGTTACTAACAGCACACCCAGATGATAAACCAGGGTGCTCCGATTCACTTTCTTGATGACAATGAAGGTCAATTATTGATCACACTACAGGGGAGCACTTCGGTAACGAAGGAGCAAATGCAGGGGATACTCCAAGCGTTCGGCTCCCTAATTTCCTTAAAAACTCTGTACACGAACGGTGTTGCCCAGGTTGTTTGCAAGTACTTTGACTCGCGTGATGCGTCTTTCGCCTACGAAGAACTGGACGGGCGTGTAATTCACAACATGTGCTTCCGAGTTTCGTACTACGACCCGTCAGTTGACTCGTCAAGTAGCTCTGCCTCACTTTCAAGCTATTCTATGAAGAGCCTCGGCGCTATGCCTCCTTCTTTTGATTGGAGTGGCAGTACCGGTGTGTCGTCAACAAGTCGCAATACCGTTACTGAGATGTCGTTTTCACCCTACGCTTCAGATGCCTTCCCCGCGTATCAGTCTGTGCCTTTAGGCCGTACAGAATCTTCGCCCGCCTGGGGAACACAGCGTCTGCACAGACCCCTTGCAGACCGGTCAAACAAGTTTGACTATGGTGCCAGTGCGTTTGGTGCACCGAAGTTTGGGCTCGAGTCAACATCGCTTGGGCAGCCCAATGCATTCCGTTTGCGTCATCTGTCGAATGACTGGTTAAACAACATTTCTTCGCGTTGGAATTCCATCCCGCAATCGCTAAATGAGCGTGAGTCGGAAAATCTGGCCTCTGTTGGCATGAAGAGAAGTTTGACTGTAGATGTTGGTTCCGCTCGTCCTAACCCGTCAAATTTGAGTTTTGCTTCACTAACGTTGCATGACACAAACAATAACCGGCCTTCGTTCCGCGACGTTAGCATTCCTCATTCTATTTCCAACGGTTCGCAATGCATGGAACGGTCTGCTTCCTTGGACCGCAATGTTGTTGATTATGATCGCATCCTTCAAGGCCTTGATACCCGTACGACGATCATGATTAAAAATATCCCCAATAAGTTTACCCAGCAAATGCTTCGTGACTATATTGACGTTACGAACCGCAACACCTACGACTTCTTGTACTTGCGTATTGACTTTGTAAACAAGTGCAATGTTGGTTATGCTTTCATCAACTTCATCGAGCCGAAATCTATCGTGACTTTTGGAAAGGCTCGTGTCGGTACGCAGTGGAACGTTTTCCATTCCGAAAAGATTTGCGACATCAGCTATGCCAACATTCAAGGCAAGGAGCGTCTCATCGAGAAGTTCCGTAACTCGTGTGTCATGGATGAGAATCCAGCCTACCGCCCAAAGATCTTTGTCAGTCATGGTCCTAATCGTGGTCAAGAGGAGCCGTTCCCGGCACCTAACAACGCTCGTCGTAAACTTCGGTCAATCGCCAGTGCTCAGCAAATTGGTAAGCTGCCACCGCGCCATGCCAACATGTTTTACTAACTCTGTCCTTCAGGCTTATTCCCGCCGACGACAAGCAAATGTTAAACTCAAAAGACAGGCAACAAAGTGGTGATTTCCTTCACCTAGCGGCATTTGTTTGCTTTTCATTCCTCTAAATTTTGCATATACATGGCTATCTCTTTACATATATTAAGAGTCATTGTTAGACTCTCGGCCACTATAGTTTTGCACGATTTGTCCGATTACAACTTTTTCTTCTTTTTCCCCCCACTCCATTTTCGTCTTTTTTTCTTCTTTTCCCCTGTTACGCTTTGCTTACGCTTATGGCTTGATGACTGATGTTTCTTTTTTACGCGCGAATTCCTGTTGACGGTTCAAAAAACATGTCTTCCTAACTACCTGGCGCTTATGAATGGAGAGGAGGGAGTACTGTCTGGACGAGAAGCAGAAGGAAGGGATATTTGATGTTGAACAGAGGAATCGGGATGTGGATCTCTCATATCTCATGAGCTTTCTCTCTCCTTGCCTTTCTCCTGTATCATCGTTGCTCTCTTCATCTTTGTTTAAATGCCTTCTACACCGTACCACTCGCCCTGGTCGCCGTCGATCAATACTCCCAGAGTTGTTCCTTGCTCCTACCATTCGTTCCCTCCATGCTTCCAAACCCCTTCTTGCCTTTGAAATGCGACGGTGCTGTCCCTATTCGTCCATCTTAATACGAAAGTCTTTTGGTTCATTTGGAAGGTGTGTGCTATCTTTTGCTTAATGTATGTATCATTAGATTTGTTTTCTTGTGAAATATAAATGCAGGATTTATTACGAAGCTGGGTGCGACAAACGAAATGAGGGAAAGCGGATTAAAGATCCATGCTCATTTGCGGTTAATGTTACGGAGCTCGTTTATAATTAGCCTCGGGCTATAGCTATCTAGTGAGCTAGTTGCTAGTTTACATATATCCTCGCTCTTAAGTCTCTCCCAATTTTATGGCGTGGGTGTTGTTGGTACCAGCCCTCCGGAACCTCACCACCAAAAATGCACCACAAGTTGGATTGCGTAAGCATTTACTAGCAAAACACGAACAGCTGGAAGACTCAAAGAAAGTCAATTCAATTGCCCGAAGGAATCTGGATCCAAAATTCTTTGTATCTTCACGTAAACTAGTGATTCTGCACGATGTTTGGTCGGCTGAAGGATCAATGGAATAACTCGCTTGCATACGCCCAAGAGCAGGCTCGGACTCATTCTCGACATCTCTCAACGACAGATCTGGGAAATGCAGACAAGCTGGAGGAAAAGCGTGCAGAGCGTCTCAGTATGGCATACGAAAATGTGAGACAGCAATTAGTAGCCGAGAAAAAGAAAATTGAGCAATTTCAAAAAATGCTGCAAGAGAAAACTCCATTGTCAGACATTGACGATGTACAGGGTTTCTCTGACTACATGGACGACTTATCAAAACGGTACAGTATGTCTATGGATGAGGTTCGTCGTCTCTCTATCGAGCTAGAAGGCACGAAGAAACAAGCAAATGAACAGAAGGAAGCGTCTGAGAAGGCTATTCAGGGTTTGCAGCAACAGCTTGAGGAAAATAGCACTTCCATCCAACAACTCCGAGAACAAATTGATTCGTTGACTCAACAGAAAAGTGAGCTGCTAAGCAAGACAACTGCAGTGTCGCCATCCGTTGTCACTTATGCACCTACTGTTGTTCAGCAAAAACCCCGGAACTGGAGTAAGAAACGTGTTTCTAAAGGAAAATCACACAGACGGGCAAAATCGAGACCCATTTTACCCACAGATTTGCCGTCTTTGGAGGAAGAGGTTCCTCAATCTAATAACGTCAATGGAGATGAGAAAAAGTTGAACAAAGATACTTCCATTACACAGAAGCAGCAAGACTCACCTCGTGGTAATACACAGACTGACCCGGAACTTGTTTTGGAAACTGTTGGAGTGTCCGATGATGAACGGAAAGCTTCGTACGAAGAGCAAATTGCTCAGCTGAAGAACACACTAAAACAGAGAGAAAATGAGAAGTCTTCTATTCAAGATTTACTCGACACCGAACGGGAAAAAAACGTTGCACAAAAACTAGCTTCGGAGTCGTTGATCAAAGCAACAGAGTCCAAATTGCTTGCGTCGCAGAAACTTACGACAGAACTTGAGTCTCAGCTTACCGCAGAGAAGCAGAAAAACGAGCAGCACATTGCTGCCATCACCCAATTGCAGGCAGATCGTTCCTCCCTGCGAGAGCAAATAAACGCCGCTCAGGCTAAAACCAAGGAATTGGAAGACAAGCTTGCCATGCTAGAAACGCAATTAAGTGAGAAGGAAACGCAGATACAAAGTCTTCATTCCGAAGTTGGTAACGCAAACACGCTTTTAAAGAAGCAAATGGACGCTGCCAGCGACTACGCACGCAAGTATGCAATGATCAAGGAGCATAATACAGAGCTCGGTTGTCAACTTTCAGAGTTGGATGATCGTCTTCAAGCACGAACAGAGGAGATGCAGGAGGCACAATCTATGCTACAAGAGCAAAGTGCCGACACTCGACGGTTAAAAGAAACAATCGAAAGACTGGAAAGTGAACGTCAGGAACTGCGTGACCTCTCTAGACTGTCTACAATGCAAAGGGAAGAGACCAGTGCGAAACAGTTTGAGAGTCTTGTTCGTGAGCTTGAGTCTTCCAATAAGGCCAAAGAGGAGCTATACAAAGAAGTTACAGAGCTGCGCAGTGTATTAGATAATCTGCGAACAGACAAAGATGTTGCGAATACACCTCCAAAAAGCTCATCCTCAGAGCCATCTTCTTCTAGTAGAAGGGACAGCTCTCTTGATTCAGCTTATGCCTCTCTTCGGACGGAGCACGAAAATGTACTGAAGGCGTTGCATGATTCTATGGCGCGCTACGAACATTTACAGACTTCCTTTCGATCTGTGTATTCTAAGTATGAAAAACTTAAATCCAATCAGACTGCTGGAGACACACCTGAAGCTCAAAACAACGAACAAACTGAGAGCAGTACACAAAAGCCTCGTAACGTAAGAAAAGATGATGACATGTCTATCGACAAGGAGTACACACGAAATATCCTCTTCCAATTCCTTGATCAAAAGGACAAACGAAATGACATCTGCACTCTTTTAGCCACTCTTTTAGACCTTGACCGTGATCAACAAGCCAAGTTGTTAAGCATAAAGTAACGATTTTTTGTTGTCTCTTGTTCCCTCACTCATCCAATTTTTCATGAACGTGAAGACAACTCATCATGCATCTAATTTTCTTAGTTAATAAACAAGCATCTTCACCATTTTAAAACTAATTGTACTTGTTTGTTCATCCTGTAAATGTTAGATGGGCTTTCCTGAAAATTGTTTATACCTTGTCCTCTCCCATACAAAGTTCATCTCAAAATAAGTTGGATCAATCGCGCTCGTGTTAGACTTTAGAGCGTCTAAGAAGCTGTATAGTGTTTAATAACAGCATCTTTGTCCTGTAGGAGCTACTGGTTTATTCAGACGCCGGCCTTTTGCGTCGGTGTAACCAGTTTTTGTCCTGAGTCTTGCTAAGGCTTGCTCCATTGCTGCATTCTTCATTATGTACGTTCCCAATGGAGTTCCCCAATATCTAGAACTTTATTGTTATCCTCTCCGCATTTTAAAACTTCGAAAAAACCCCGTTTTTGTTGTCTTAACTCAAAGTGATATTTTGATATACCAAACCCATCCAATATCTCCCCTTTTTTGTTTTAAAAAACCAAAGGCAAGTGTTTTAAAGCATGGTTCTAATAATGGTCTTGCTTTTGACAGTGATTCTATGACAATTGCCGTCTCTACAGACAAAAACTATGTCGTACTGTTCCGACTTCAATTCGATGTCGAGGAACAGTCGCTACGTCCGTCATCCTCAAAAACGGTGCCTATGGAAGGGCCAGGTGAGTGTCTGGGGACAATTAAATGTGTTGTTCGTCACAGTCTTACTCTACGATATGATTCTGGGATTTCCTGTATTTTTGCCCGGAAAAACGTCTTACTGTGTGCTGCTAAGAATGTTCCTGTGTTAAACGCTGCACATTACAATGCTAATGACAGTAATGATGAACAAAAACAAAAAGTGTTGACGAAAGCCATTGACTTCTCACAACAGTCCTGGTATATTTCGAAGGACACGCATATCCAAAAACTGTTTTACGATGAGAGCATGGGGCTCTTTCTTTTTGTAACAGCTAATGGTTTTGTATATACATGTTTTGATCTTTTTTCACAGCTCAAAACGAATGATGATAAAAAGGGAGTAAACGGCATTTGTGTCCATAATCCCAATACGGAATACGCAAACGATTGTTTGGGAAATGCCACGGCAATTTCCGTAAACTCAAAGTTTTCATTGGCGTATGTCGGTACGGAAAAGGGCTATGTGTGTGCCTATCAAATTCGCGACTTTGGTCGAACGTTCGTTCTCAGCCGTATTCATAAACCGTGTACAACAGTGCAACCAGTGTTTCATCTAGATACAAGTCCTGATGGGTTCCAACTATTAGCTGGTTTTGGTGAATCGTGGTTTACTTACACGCCTTACTTACGGCCGGTTTCAAATAATACCTCTTTCGGAAGTGGTTCTTTTGGGGTCGTGGATGGTTTTTGGGATCTGGACGGAACATCTTACTGTTGTTTAGAGCAGTGGAAGCCAATTGCAAATGACGATGGATCGTCTGCTATTGCACCCGTTGCGCGTACGGCCTCCAGTACATGCATGACCATTATCCCATTCCTACGGAATACTATTGCTTGTGGAGTACAAACGGCCCTTCACTTGTCTGCTCTTCATACAACAGATCGCATTTTTATCCCAAACACATACTACACCTATGCTTCCGATGTTGACAATTTTGGTGTCAATTCATGGAAGCAAGTTGAGTACCCACCCGATTACATTTGTCTTAACTGGCCAATTCGTCATGTTGCTTTTGACCGCGCAGGTGAGTATGTTGCTATCGCTGGTCGGTACGGCTTCGCATACTGTAAGATACATGCGAACAAGTGGAAGATGTTTCATGATGAATTAGCTGAGCAGTCGTTTACGGTTACAGGAGGGATGGTATGGTATCACAATTTTCTTGTATGTGCTGTGCGGACTGGCAACGGCCTAGAACTGCAGCTTTACTCGCGTGACAGGGATCTTCTGATCGAAAATATTCAAAGTCGTTTACCCGTTACTGCCCCAATACTTACAATTTCACGAGATGGACCTCATTTGCTAGCGTATACATCGGACAATACGCTTTATCACGTACAAATTGTAGTGGAACGCGGGAGCGGTAAACTTCAATTTGTGAGTAAAGAGGACTTTAATAATGTTTTCCCTACGCCTTATCGGATTCGGTCTTTATCGTGGTTTTTGCCAGACTATGCCAAAAAATTTCCTCCAAAGCAATTTCTTTCCTATGCTATATTTATCATTTTGATTGATGGCAAACTCATTATCCTTACATCTGACAAAAAGGGCACGGAAAAAAGTGTATATTACCAAAGTTATATACTGTGTAAAAACGTCGAGTTTTATTTATACAATGACAAAGAGACGCATGAAGAGGCTAGTTTATACACGCATTCCCTTTGGGCTATAACGGCTGATGGTCTGAAAGTTTGGCTAAACTTTTATGAGCTACTTCACGTTTTTTGTCTAAAAAAGAATACCGCTGGCGACAATCTTGGATCCATTGAAGAGGATGTTTCGTCAAACTTTGACAAATTACAGTTATCCAGTCCTCCACTTACAAGTGAGGTGCTTGTTTCTTCAGACGCTACCAGTGATCGGTATACACACTCAAGATCTTCAAGCAGCATATATTTCGGACCCAATTCCCCGCTACCTAAGACGCTAACTGATTTTCAAGCAGAAACAGAAATGCGAAACCGCGCCATCGTCTTGAACCTGACGGACAGCTTCATGTCCATCCTGTTGATTAATGGACTACTCATGAGCTATACATCCGACTACCGATCTACGAATACTAGTGGCCTGTCATATGCTAACGTTGAGGTATCCGTAAAACCATTTGTTCCTTCACTTGCTCTAGGGTTGCTGAAAGCTGGTGAGGAAGCTGAATCTATCAAAATACTGAGCATGTTCCGTGACCAATCTTATGGAACCTATTTACTCGAAATGATGTTACAACAAGTGGTCGTGAGTCAAGAAGAGGGGAACACAACTTGGTTATTGTCATCCGTTGCCCGAGTTCTTGAGCGTTTTCCCAAGCAAAAGTGGAATGTCGTTGCGAATTGCATTCGCAAAATTGAAATGAAATTTTGGCCGAGTATGTTTAAAGTGTTTGGGCAACCAACGGACATTTTTCAAAACGCTTTGCAAGAGGATAACATACTTGCTGCTCAGGAATGTCTTCTTGTTCTGCACGTGCATGATGGAATCTCCAAACACTGCAAGGAAATGCTGCAGCTGTTACAGCAAGTGCAACAGCAGAAACAAACGGACGTTATGAATGGATTAATAGATTACTTATCAATGCTAGACGTCGAAGGAGTTATGAGCAACATTCTTCGCCAAGCGTGCAAAACCATGCAATCGTCGTTGGACTCGGGAATGTCCACAGAAGTTTGCGATCAATACACACACGAGCTCGAAGCTCGAGCTCAAGCGTTAGACCTGTAGGAAAACCTGACACATATACAAAAAGGGACAGCGAAATCATAGACTCGTAAAGCAAGCTACATGCATCACAATCATTTTCATAATCAATTCATGCATTTCTAGAGTGTAATTAGGAATGAATCAGCAGCAAAATGTATGAGGACGGTTTTCAAGGTTGGCCGCAAAAATTTAAAAACGCAGTTATGCGGAGGACAAGTAGCCTTTAGTTTTTACAATAGTGCGAAGGGTGTAAACGCAAAACGGAAATGGAAAGAAGAGAGCTGCATTGCATGGCCCCAGCGATGCACGGAATGGAAGGACCAATACACTCCTAAAAATTGGAAACTGGAAACGGCAAACTCGGGGCAAAAGAACAAGCATATGCTTGCGTGCGTCTCTGCTTGATCGTGGTGTTTGCAAAAGTATTTGACTGTCCATCACAAGTATACATATAATGGTCCACCATACTACGCTTGTTTTGCCGTTGTTTTTTGTGATTCATAGGCCAATTGAAGACGCTTCTTTTGCTTGTTACGGTATGAATCTTGCTTTTTGTAAACACCAGTGTATGCGTGAACCTTGAAGCCAAAAATACGAGGAATGTACCGTTCCTGGGGCTTCGTTGTGGCAATTTCGGGATACACCTGAATCAACATGTGAGGAAACGTGGTGCCGAAGTAGGCACCATCAATAGCAGCGTGTCGCTGAGACTTGGGGGCATAGACATCCTCACAGCGCGGGCAGTACAACTTTACTGATTTGGAGTGAGGTACGTCCGAAAGACCAACGGGCAATACGGCCTGTCCATTGCAGAGGAAACGAGGACAGCGACCAAAATCGCATTTCTTGAACTTTTCGAGCTATAGCGTGTTAGCAAGGCTGTACGGGCCGTCTCACACAGAATAGATAGACAAAATGAGAGGCAGTAAAGAGAAATGGGAGCTGTCGTTCCCGATTTGCCCCATTCCCGTTTACTGCCTCTCATTTTGTCTACCATCATCCTCGCACATACCATCTTGTAAAGCCCTTGAGCAGTAAGAATATACCGTGCATGGATCAGTCCATAAAGGTGTCTAGCACTTGTTTCTACCTCATCCTGTAATTCCTCAGGCAAGTCGGGATCCAAGACATCGAGAATGAGGTCTAGAGCATGGACATAGTGTGGTACTTCGTTGCTGAGACCCGTCAAGTTGAAACGATCCTGTATGTACTCTTCGTCTACTTCACAAAAAAAGTCATTTCCCTTGAGACCAAGAAACCAATCAACCCAGTACTGAGAATCTTCAGACTCACTAAAAATGTCAGTAAATGCACCGAGAAATCAATCAACGAATTGCAGAGATTATGTAACAACGCAGTATTGCTTCTACGAACCTGTCTGAAGAGTAGATCTGCATTCTTTGGACCAAAGAAAAAATGAACTGTAAAAACCGGTTGGCCAAGTTTACAAACAAAAAAGGATTATAAGGTACAAAAGAAACGTAAAAAAGTTATTTTAGACGTAAAAATCCACCGTTTAGCAGCTTGATATGGCTGAAAACGGAGCAGGTGACGACCACTGAACTGTTGGCTCTAGGCAAAAATGTGCAGCTACGCTTTCTTAGTTGCGGTCCGGGGGGTAAACTTTAATTAACTCTAACTGAATTAAGATTATCTTACCGATGCAGCGGGAAAGGAAAGGCCGGCACAAGCTTTCGCTAAGTAATTACGGTTTGTACAAGGTTGTCCAAAGTTTACGACAGGGTTACAATGGGTCTAAGATAAAGTTACAGCAAGGTAGTATAGGGTCCATAACGTAACGACGAGCAATGGTCATAACAATGCGACACTATGCGCCAGCTTCTTGTCGCTTTGCGAAAATGCGATCGAAAATTGTTTCTTAGGCGCCGTTCATTTTTGTCGTGTATCGCACAGCAATACACAGGAAAATTGTTATTAATAAAGACTACGTATGCAAACAAGGAAAAGCGAAAGGATAACGGAAAGGAAACACGGTGCAAATACCTGCACAGTAAGGATTGGTGGACCATGCTTGCGGCAGTAAACAAGCAAAAGTCCGTTTGCAGACGAAACTTCTTGTGGACAACAGGGAGGAAGAAGAGGAAGGAGAGTACTGTGTACAATGTACAGCTGCTGCCTTTTACACAGTTTTGTTTTGTGTATAAGTGTGTGTGGAACGCGCGTTGACGAAAGAGAACGAGAAAGTGTGTGTTAATGTATGTGTGGCTGGGTGCGGTTCCGCCTAGAAAGGAAGTGATGGGTTGTACTGACAGTCAGGCTTGTGCTAGTTTGTAAGTATAGATGGCGTTAAAAAAGCATAGAAAGAAAAGAGAACCGGGAAAAAAAGCAGCATCAGAGAAACAAAGATTGTCAAACATAAAAGACAAAGAGGGAAGGGGATGGCAAATCAGTTGCAATCGGACGATGGCGATAACCCATAGCAAGTGTCCGATACACAAGGGGGAATTATTGAATAAAAGGGGAAACAAACACAAACGTGAAGAGGAACACAGGCATATAGGAAAGGCAACAATGGGATGACTGTCAGTCACTCGTACAAAGGACGAGCAAGTCGTCCAAAGACGATGGGAGATAGGTGAACGAGACTTTTTATGTCCTGCATGGGGAAAAGTCCGCGTTCACCCGGACAAAAGTAGTATCTGCTGACCGTAACCGGCAGTCGTTTTTTGTATCCCTTTTTCACAGGAGAAAAGAAGGGAGTTTATAGACATGTTTTTGTGGAAGAAGGGGAACTGGTTGGTTTGTGAAAACCAGAAAACAAGCCAACCATCACGACTCGACTCATTAAAGACTCAAAGGCGGAAACCGCCAACACCAGGGGACACGCGCTGTGCTTACGCAGTGGTTTCGTTCTCGTAGGCAAGGAAACGAAGCGTTTCCTGGACAGTCTGCACCAACTTGTTAATGTCCGTTGAAGAACGGATCAAAAGAGTGTCGCGACGGCGTCCTTGAGAGTCTACAATGACAATTGCATCCAATGCAATATGTCCGCCGCCCAGTGGATGGAGCATGCCCATCTCCAAACAAATCTCACGGTTCCAATCAGAAATAATGGGCAACGAGATCGTGTTCGGCAGGATGTTCTGCTTCCAGGCAACAATACTATCAGGGGAATCGGTCGTAATTCCAAAAATGCTGGTATTGTAAGCCATCAAACAAGGCAATACGTAATCCAGCGCCAACAGATGAGGAGGAATTTCATCCACACTAAACAGGGGTCTCTGAACATTACCAAAGAAGCACAGGACGCAAGAAGCGGACGAGATATACGAGTCTGAGAAATTCGACACGTTGCAGTTCGCGTCAACAATTGTAATTGGCGACGGAATGTGCGTGAAAACGGTACTCTCCTGCATCATCATATCGTCCTGCTTCAACAAAGCCGCTCGAATTTTCAATTCCTTTTTTGCAAACGAATTGCTGACGCGGCGGCATCTTTTTTGGCTCGACTCGGAGACGCTCGAACGGCGTTTCACGCTTGTTTCACACTCCATTCCGGCGTATCCCTGGACAGGAACAGTGTACGCAGCGTTGTCAATTTCCATAGTGAGGTTGGTGAAGAAACAGGGGAAGAATGACCAGGTCAAGAATTTTTTTGGTAAAGGAGTGGTAGGTTCTGGGCAGAAGATCGGTTTGTTTACTCGCAGATATATTAGCGGTGTAGCAACGTGGTTACTAGGGGAATGGGAAAACCAATGAAACGCGGAAGATTGAGAGACCCTGGCAACCAAATGACGCAAGTTGATTGTTCCGAGGCGAAAACCGCTTCGTGTTCTTATTGGCCCGGTGAAACTAGCTAATGGGGTAGCTGGTGGGGTTGCCGCCAGGTAGGCGACTGAGGAGGAGGGTTGGAGGAGGGGGAATGGAACAGGAGAAACGTGTTAAAGTGCAGTTCTCAGCATTTGCTTCAGCCGTTCGTATTGCTGGAGATGCTTGAAATGTCTATGTGAAGGGCGCTGAGATTGCGGTGTCCAGCTCCGGAGCAATTGACATTCAACTGAAAATGGCTGGCCACAGATGCTATCTGCGAGCTCTCGAATTGCCTTCATGGCGGGCAATGAGTTGTGGAGGACCGAAATGGGGTGCTGCAGATTGTGTTGTGGAAGAATTGTTTCGTTGAGCCAATCTAAATCTGAAATGCTCGGGTCTTCAGGTTTGGTCTGAAGCACGACTTTAGACAGCAGCGACTGGGCCTCTTCTAGTAATTTTTCCGTGACTGAAGACCCTGAAGAGGGCACTGCGTAAGGAGAAACGGCGGCGACAGTAGCGGTAGTAGCGAGCGCTGTAGCGTTCACTACATCGGTGACTTCGTTAGGCGCAGCACTAGCGGTCGGTGTGGGCGACTTTGGTGCTGTGAGGCTCTGTTGTTTGTTTATTAATGAATTCGTGGACGATTGGGTATCCGGAATCGTTGTTGTAGGAGCTTCGGGTGTTTGGGACGCAGAAGACTCGACTTCCATAGATGGACAAGCAGGCACAGAAGGATAGGTTTCTGTTGCGCCTGGACTGGCCGGTTGTATAGACTCCTGGGATGTTGCTTCGAGAGCACACAAGCATCTTTCTTCCCAGGTGCTTTTGGATTCGCTCACGGGCATGTAATTGGCATCATCGTAGACTAATTGTTCGAGTGTCTGCCAATGTGATGAGTGGAGCAATTTCTCAACCCCCTGTGATTGCGATGCGGACAATAGCTCATGTCGGTAGCTTGCTAGTTCGCCCAACATTGTTGCTGTCTTTTGCGTTGTTGTAATTATCTGGCGAGACTTATGTCTGCTTTCTAAGGCCGTTTGGATACTTAGGCAGACAGACTGCAAGGAACGAATTCGTGTCTGTGTCTCCGTATCTTGAATCGCGTGTTCCGTAGAAATGTTTATGTATTCACGAATTAATGACAAGATATCATGAATGTACAAATGGAGTAAAAATGGAGCCATGATCTCACCCAGCTCTATGCTCGCTTGCGCAAACGCAAGGGTATTCCTTTGCAGATTAGTAAATAATGTTTTTCAGACCTAGCGCACATACTTTTGCAAACCTTCCGAAAACTTTGCCAGCCAGGAAGTTTGTAAACAGATGCAGTTAAACGCTTGTGCTAAAAAGTCGGTCAGTCGCTGAATAGTTTGATTCAAAGTAACAACGGTGAACAAAGTCTCTTCCTTTGGTGATGAGTCAATGGCTAGAATGAGAGTGTTTGTCCAGCAAATTGTGCGTTCTAGACGACAGCATATTGTCTCCAACAGTTGACGTTCTGAGGAAGAAGCCAACTCATGATACAAGGCAAACAAGCCGTTTGACTGTGCCTTTTGAAATAACTGACACATGCTTCGCACGAGCAATAAGTGGAAATAGGCATCTGTGTTAAGAGAAAGAACGGTATTCAACGGAACTTGTTCCATGAGAACCTTCTTCCTGTTGGTACACTCGTTGCTGACTATGGCAACGTCTTTTTCTAATCGAGCAACTAAAAGTTCGTGCTCTAGTTGTGCAATCTTTTGTTCAAGAAATTGTTTTTTCTCTTGTGTGAATGCATCTGCAAGAAGCACTTTGAGTCTTTCCACTTGTTGGTCACGTTCGTTCAATTCCCTAGAAAGTTTATTAGTTTAAATAGTCGGAAACAAATAGGAATGCATACTCGCGTAAGCCTCTGGATGCTTCAGTTAGTTTTTTGATGCCCTCTTCAAGGTGATCAATATCCTCTATTTGTTCATCTAAAAAGGATTCCAATTCATCAAGCTGAGTATTCTTGTGCTCAATTTCTTCCTTCAGTAACAGCTCCTTCTCCAAGTACTCGGCCTCTGTGTGTACAAATTGATTTTCTTTACTAGCAGTTGTACTGATTTCGGCAACCAGTTCTTCTATACGAGTCTTCAAGGCAATGTTGTTTTCCACAAGTTCTTCCATCATTTCCGATTGTCCGTAATTGGCATCCACTTGTTCTTGTAAGTAAGCAACTTTTTCCTCGGCGAGCTGTAACTCCTGCTTAATGTTTTTGTTATCCTGCAATTCTGCAGTTTGACAGGAAATCTGTTCCCGGGCATTCAACAGTTCCTGTCTTAGCTTTTCTTCTTTCTCCTTCGTTATTTTTTTCAGAAGCACAAGCGCATCATGATACTGCATGTTTTGAGTCTCAAGTTGTATCCACGCATCTTCCGAATGAGAGCTTGCAAAATCCACTGAAGACAAGGCATCCGTCTGATTTTGGAGAGTTGCAAGCTCGTCTCCTAATTTGACCAACTTCATTTGGACTCTGTCCAATTCATCCGTAAGTTGTTCCACACGTTCTTCTGCCAGCTCCTTGTCAAGTGTGACTAGTTCCAACATATCTTTCAATTCCTGTTGTTTCACAACAAGCGCCGTTTCAGAGGTCTGATGTTTACGAATGCTCTTTTGCAGAGTATCAATCGTTTCTTGCATTGAAGCTAATTTTGCCTGAAGTTTCGGACGAACAGCCCTCCATACTTCGTTTTCTGCGAGTTCCTTTTCAAGGGACTTCAACTTTAGAGATGTCGCTTCATTCTTTTGTTGTAGAACCTCAATCTGCTCCTTGTACTGTTTCAACCTAATGAGTCCGTCTGTTGAACCTTCCTCTGTGCTCGGTTTTGGTACAGATGCATCTTTTGGTAACTGTGCTACGTTTTCATCTTCAGTTTTTTCTACGGTAGCTTGAGCACTAGCTAGTGTAATTGGACTATTGTCAGTTACCGCAGAAGCAGTTTTCCTCGGTACAGAACTGTTCCTGGAGAATGAAAGCCGTCGAACATCTGAGTGTTTTCTTTCTTTTGCAAGTTTCTGTTTTGATGCTACAATTTCCAGAATTTTTTGTGGCCGAATAAAAAGGCCCTTTCCAGGAGCACAATGAAAGTATCGTTTTCCATTAACAGAGCCGTCATTCTTTCCTATTCCGTGCGTCAACTCGACACCGATCCAGTTACCTTCAGAAAAACTTGTGTTACCGATATACCGTACAATACCTTCATGATTCTGAGTACGAATTGATGAACCAAGCTGTAACCCTTTCATAGTCAGAAACGTTCGAATCTTTTAGTGTTCATAATAAAAGACCCGAAAGTATTAAATGTTTTAAACATCTGTTTGGTGTTTTCTCTTTCGTAACCGCATTTCTTTGTTTGCGGCTATCAGATTTTTTATTACATATTTAACAGTATATGCAGTCGTGTTCCCTTAAATTGAGTAGCTGAATTCGATGTAGTTAATGAAAGTCTAGTTACGTTTGAGAAACTTGCATATTGAATTTGTGCTAGAAAACCATCCGACTAATTGTCACCAAGTAAGAAACATTTTTGTAACACTGTTTGATGATTAAGCAAACTTGCTTCAATACTTAAAACTGTCTTTAAATGGAATCATCATACAAGAGGAGTTTTCCCTTCGTCCAAGAATTATATGTCCATACCCCAATTAGTATTAGTAATCGTACTTTATAGCTTCTTCCGTTTTAGTTTTGCTTCATTGATCCTTATTTGTGTTGCCTAATCCCTCGGCATCCCAGAATAATCGTCTAGGAACAAAATTGCAGCCAACACAAAGATTGGTTTTTCATTAAAATAATCTACAATGCCATTTCATTGATTTTGTAAAAGTAGCCGAACACGAGAGTCGAGGATTGGGGAAAAAAAGAAAGACTATCATTCGTAAAACATAAACTATTCGGCTTGTGCCTCGACCTTTTCCCCGGGTTCTTCTTTCTTGTTATCATCCTCAGTCTTTTCAGTAGAAGAGGGTTTAGAAGCCTCGGGCTCTTCGTCGTCTTCTTCCATATCCGAGACTACAAAAGGATCACTCTTATACTGTTTGCCTTTGGTTTTTGCTTCGTCCCCCTCGTCTTCTTCGATACGCTCTTCGGAAATAACACGCCGGCCACCTCTTCTGCGTCTCGTTTTTCTAGCAGATGTTTCGGCATGTTCAGGCTCATGCTCAGACTCGGTTTCATCCTTCGTCTTTCTGCGCTTACGTTGCTTTTTCTTCTTGGGCTTCTCATCCTCGCTGTCAGAAGGTACCGGTGAGACGTTTTCATCCTGCTGCTCATTACGACGGTATTCAGCAACTTCGGCCTGCATGGTACGTCTTTCCTCTTCCAGCTCTTGTTCGCGTTTTCTCTTTGCCTCTTCGAGTGCCGCCTGCTCCGCCAAACGACGAGCCTTTTCTTCTTCTCGACGGTGTCTGGCTTCGTCCAATCTTGCGTTATTAAGAGCATCAGTTTCTTTTTGCTGCTGGATTGCACGTTCAAGTTGTCGCCGAGTAGTATTTTTAGCCATATTGGAGCGCTGCTGGATGTCTGCGGGAGGGAATGGAGGAGTTTTTGACTCAACGAGCTGATCAAAAGTCTTGATAGCTTCGTCTAACTGTTCCATAGCATACTCCAGATCTTTGACCGTACGTACATTTTCGTTTTGTGTCCGAATCAATTCCGATAACTGAAATTGGACAAAAGCCGTGTTGAATTGAAGACTCGTGTTAGTGGGATTTTGAGCCAAAGCTCTTTGCGTGTATTTTAAAGACTCGCGGAGAAATGCTGGATTCTTATCCTCACGACCTCTTTGAAGCCAAACACGACCCAGCGAACTCAAGACATTATAACCATCAGTTTCGCCAGTCTTATCTAATACCTGTTCAAAGATTTCGATAGCTCTGTGATACTGCTTTAACTCAGCAAGACAATTTCCAATATTAATTAACGTTGTGACGTCCTTAATCGTCTCACGAACTTTACTCAAAATAAGCATTGCTTTTGAGAATTGTTTTGCGTGAACCAATGTTATGGCAATTCCTTGTGCAGCATAAGCATTGTTGTGATCGTATTTAATGGCTTGATCAAATGACTGGATGGCTTTGTTGAATAGCTTCTGACGTTTGACCTTGTCTGCTGGAGATGCGACGCGAAGTTCACGTGCCTGTCTCAAATACGCATTACCCAACTGAACGAGAGAATAAGTATCATCGTGCCAGTGTCTCAATGTCTGAGAACAATGACGAAGTTCCGGATCCTCCGCCGGACGGCGTTTTTGTTTGCTCAAGTACCAGCCGAAGAACGCGCGAACTTCCAAGTTTTCACCGTCATTAGTCATCAATTGACGGATTGTTTTAAATGTAGCGTCTGTAGGATTTGCAAGTTCTAAAAGGCATAAACGAACACGTGCATCAGAAAACTCGGGTCGTTCTTGAAGAACGTCTCTGTACATTTTTTCAGCCTCTTGCAGTTGACCGAGCTGCTCCTTGCATCTGGCAATGTTATATGTTAACAAGACACGGAAACCATCGTTTCCTTCCGTCATAACAGTTTTTGCTGCTTCAAAATGCTTTAAAGCATCGCCATAGTTGAAAAGCTGATATTCCAAGACACCAACGTTGTTTAAAAGTTCAGGCGTTTCCACCATTTGGGCGTCGCGAATAAAGGCAAGTGCCTTTTCCAGATACTTAAGACTTTTAGAGGCATCGTCTTTTTCCCAAAGCCGAGCTTGAGTAATAAGTAAGTCTGAATCCACAACACGAGGTATTTTAGAGGATGAAAGGATGTTAAACGCACGCTCCAGAAGCATTTTTGGTTTTGCAGGATCAGCTTTGGGATCAGAAGCGTTCAAACAACCCAAGATAATAAGAGCCTCAGCACACTTTGGAGCCTGCTCAGAGATACGCTCGAATGTGAGCTTAGCACTTGTATAATCCGATTGCAAAATTTGAATTTGACCAATACCCATGTAACTGAGTAAGTGGTTGTCCTGGATTGAACGAGCTTGTTGATAACATTTCATGGCCTCATCGTATTTTCCAAGTTGGTGATACGCTCTGCCCATCCAAAAATATCCGTCAGCGGATAAAGAGGGTGTGAACGCATTGTGTACCACAGCATTGGCAAGCTTGATACAAGCTTCTAGATTTTTTTTAGTGTAAGTGAATCCGGCAAGAATACAAGCAGCCACTGCATTAGTGGGACACGCCTTAAATGCTTTTTGGGTGTAGTTAAGAGCTTGTGAGTAGTTGGCTACAAACTCTTCAGTGCCTAAATTTTTGAAAGCACGATCATAGTGATACAAACTAAGATACGTCCCTATGGCATAATTTGAGGGGTTGAGTTCTTGAGCACGGGTCCACGCAGCGTGTGCCTCTTCCTTCATGTCAAGTTGCCAGAAGCACAAGCCGATGCCAATACGGGGATCTGGCTGGAAAGACGGATTGGAAACTAGAGCGCGCTGGTAAAACTTCAAAGCGCTACGGAAGTTCTTTTTATGATAGAGCACGAGTGCTTTTCCCATTAAAGCGAAAACATTAGCGCCTGATTTTTGCAACACACGGTCATAGCCGTGAAGAGCGGCGTCAAGAGTAGAGTTGCTTTTTGGTGACTTCATGATCCCAAAGGTTGCCTGTAAAAGCAAAGCAGGGTCCCATTGTCGGTGACTGCCACTGATTTTGTCCAAAAACGATTGAGCGCGGTTTAAGTACTCTTCCCGATTCGCACCACGCGTACGTCCAGCCAGTCTTGCTTGTTGCATGTATATAGCAGCCAAATATGCGTTAAAGGCGGCCTGACTCTCGTCGTCCGTAAGCACTTCGAGACCTTTTGTGAGGATGCTGATAGCTTGTTCGGACATACCACGAGTAATATACTCATACTAAACACATAATGCTTGTTAGTACAATTGTAACTCCATCGGCAGGCAGGTTTTACCGATACAAACGTAGTCATACTCGGAACATGTCAATTACATACAGCAAAACGAGTCCAAAACTCCTTTTCCGACTGTTCGTTTGTTAAAATATCACAAATTTCGGAAGCATCGGTAGGCAAACTAGTACAATCGATTTCGACTGATTGATCGTGTCCAAGCAAGGGAATCTCAATAATTCGAGGCGCATTCGCCTCCAGGGTGAATCCTTCCATGTTCTCGAAGAGACGAGACCGTCAAATGGCTTTTTCTCCACGGAATTTCACAAGGAAATTGGGTATTAAACAAAATTTATGCTATGCTGCACTAGCCAACGTGTTGGTGTCGTTCTCCCGTGCTTCAACTGCTGTCGGCCGCCACCGCAGATCCCCCACAGAGTAGTAGAACTCAATCGCATTAAAGTTATTGTGGGGTTTGGCTGAGCGAACTTTATTCGGCAAATGACGTAGTGTTCAGCATAATGAAGTTATACCCGACCTGGAGTAACGAGATAAAGCTGTGGGGCTGAAAAGAAAAGCCGCGGTTTTCATAGGAGGCATAGTTTAAGCGCTAACTCTAAGTCCCAGAACCAAGTTCGGATCCTACTGGATATCTCTTCTGTCGGATCACTGTACTTCCGTTTTCCTCGCTTCCTCGGTTTAAGCTTATTTATGCACCAAACTGAGCGAAAATTTATGAACCCTCATACCACTAATAATTACATCAGTATATCTACGTCATGAAAATGAAAGAGTATTTAAAGAAGAGCTTGCCCCGTCCTGCTAACCAGAGCGCGTTTTCTCGACGTTAAATAGTTTTGGTTTAGTGCATAGAGGTCGCCATTTTTGTCCGAGTCCTTTACTCTTTCTTTAAAACAATTGCTACCGGTGCTTTTTGGAATCTACCAATATCCAAGCTTAGGCGCCTCACGATATTTATTTAACCTCAACAGGGAACTCAATTGCTTGAAAAGTTTTAACAATGCCTCTTTTATCAGCCGAAGGAAAACTCCTTGTACGGAACATCATCTTCCTTGGATTGGCGTTTTCGAGCGTGATAGCTCATTTCTTTACGTCTCCTTCCATCCAAAAGGTGTTCCGACAGAACTTAACGCCATTCTCGGCGAACAAGGTTCTGCTGCTGTTTTATTTTCTTGCACAGATGCTTTCATTTGCGGGAATGAGCGCTCCTCTGTATTTCGTACAGGGTGAGGCAGACGAGGTAGTAATGGCCGCGAACAAATCGATCCTGTTCATCTCAATTTTTATCTTCGGCTGGACCTTTGCTTGGACAGGCCGCTCAATGGTTTGGTCAGCACTTCTTAGCTTGTTTATGTTCTCCCAGGCGTCTCGTATGTACTTCCGCAATGTTCGTATGCACAAGGGACCCGTTTTCTACACAACTGTCAAACTTCCAAGTAAGATGTTCTTTGCTTTTTCAATCTGGCTTCTGGTATACACGATGAGCGCCTTCTTTGATTGCAAGTCGCTTCCTTGCCGTGTTTTCTCCAACGTTATGATCTGGTTCATCGCAGGCGCTTACTTGGTTCCTATTTTCGCATTCTATGACGCTACTCTCGCTTTCTTGAGCAGCTATATTTTCTTTTCTATGGGCGTCGGACAAGTTATGATCAGCCTCTTCACTTTACAGTACGTTTTTGCATTCCTTTTGTCAATTATCCTGGCCGTGGTCGGCGTTGGAGCTCTGTTTATGCCCAAACGTACTCCGGCAAGCCCTGCTGGTGATGTTGAACAGGCACCTCTTCTTAATGACAGCGCATAAAGTCGCTAGTGTGGAATGCTAGTGAGTGTGAATGCTTTCTGACATAAGTGGGCATTCAAAAAACGAAGTATCATGCAACTTGTGCAGCGAATTCAGACAAGTCTGGAACTTTCGTTTTAATTGTTTACTTTTGTCGTGTGCCGTACAGGCCCCACGAACCCTACCATCTCAAATTCATACTGTTGTATCTTTTACAGTAAGCATTTTGTCAATCGAGATCGAGCCGTGTTATATTAATGATCGTATTTTGCTAGTAATAATCTTTTAACTAACTGATTCGAAGACGAAACAAAAGTCCGAATACTAATGCACGGCGTTGAAGTAGCTGCAAGAGGTGTCATAGTACTGCATGTCTGATCATCTAATGTTTCGCAACAGCCGACGCTTAACTTGATTAAGAACAAACGGCATTCTCCTAAGCGTTTTGTCGCTCTTCTTCATCTAACTGCGTTACAGTGTTCTGTTTCTCTTCAGCTACAGCGTCCCTTCCCTACGTTGCTGGAAATAAGTATGCTTACTCACACGAGCCCACCACACCCAACTTCTACCAACTCGTTCATTTGTTTCTGAGGCTTTTACGGTGTCTTTTTGAGCCATTGGCATAAAATCTCGTTCAAAGAGTCAAACTGTGCGTTTGGAAGGACGGTTCTTGGGTTCACATTCGTTTTCGTAGTGACCAGTTTTATTTTGGCTTTTCTGTGATTTTCACCTAAGATTGCCTTTATAGAACGTCAAACGGATATCCTTGAACGATTGTACTAATTACATTGCGATTGCATAGTGCGAATGGCTTCTGTATGACGATTTCTGATTGTGTTACGTGGTCCCGCTGACTTTTATGATTTCATAGGCAAAAGCAAAGTTGTACGAGGAGCTGCTCGATCAAAATCGATGCAATGGTAACTGGAGTGCCATACAAGAGTCCACCCGAAAGTTGCTGAAGCATAATCCTTCGAAACAATGTATGGAAAAAAACCAGAAAATAGTACTGCCGCAATTGTAATGTTCATAGCCCGGCAAGCTGCGTATGGTCTATTACGTTCATGAGCTCTAACTTTATATACAGACATATGTTCGTTAGCGAAGGCGGAGGCCGCTTTTTACTTGCACAACCAACGGGAGGACAGTATTAGCACCGTGAATTTGTTCCGTATAGATGCGGAGACCGTTGTTCCTGCTCTACAGAGCAGTATTGTTAATGAGCTTTCTTCTTCTCTTCAGAGTTTGGAGAGCATGTCCGGTACCGAAGTTGAAAAAGCACAAGCGGTGTACCTTAAACTGATACTTCACTTGTCTGCTAAAGAGTACGACACGGCCGTCAGTATCGTTCGTGATCCACAAGGACTTCCTTTATCTACAGACTACAGTTGTGTTGCCCTTCTGAAAGCAATAGTTTTGTCAGCTATTGCTTACGAATGTTTGTCGCAGGAGGGAGTAGCTATGAGCTTTTACCAAAGAGCATTCTCTGTCGTAAAGAAGGCTTCTGCGGCGGTTCCTAGTGACATGAAAGTCAGCTTTGGCAACACACCTGAATTTGGTATTTGGGCAGAGGCTGCTTTCTATAGAAATTCCGTTTTGTGCTTGCAAAAAGAGTACGTGGACTTGTTATTCTTAATGATGGCCTTTTATTACTAACACTTTGTCAAATAGTCCCAATGCCAATTCGTCGGAAACATTGGATGCGTTCTATGCTTATTATGTCTATCTTTCCTCCCACCCTTCCCGCAAACCCGAGCATTTGCCATTGTTTTTCAGTAATTTCGTACGCACACTCGTTTCTCATCATAAAAAATACGAGGATCCCGCTGCTTTTTATGCCGACGAAAATGTGTCTCGTGTTTTAAAACAAGCTCCGGACGTGCTTGAAAAATACGCAGACACACTCATTCAACACACACCTTTTCCTAAAGCCGGAACCCAAAATTTACCCGCTAATCAATTCTTGGATAATCTCTATGATATATGGAAGCTAATCCCCTTTTCTTTTGAAAGCACTCGCAGATGCATCGAGTTAGTATATTTGATGGCGCAGAAGACTTACCAGTCCCATCGCCTCCTCCGTTATTTAATCATTCTCCATGACTCTGTTGATGAAAGTCTGCATGCTGACTTTGCCTTCAAGTCTTATCGTATCTTGACCGATACGGCTTTGGAACGTGTGGAAAAAGAAAAGTTAAAAGATGCCGGTGTCGCTGATGAAACTGACCTGAACAAGGGTGAGATTCTAGATGTTTATGCTCGGATGCTTATCATTTACGTCGTAAAACTAAAGGATCAAACGAAGGCGAAAGAATGTGCCAACCAACTTTTTGAGAAAGCTAAAGTTTTCGATTTCTTAAAATTGAGAAACCAAACAACAAAGTGTATATTACATGCCTTAGGAGTTTATCATTCGTTTGTTGCATTCACTTCTGTTGATCCCAAAGCCCGTGAAGCAGCGCAACTGAAAAGCATTGACTTTTTCCGGGACTGCTGTGGTGTCGACCCAAGCGATGCAGTTGTTCAGTATCACCTTGCTAGACAGCTAGCGGAAGCTCGACGGAACGATGAAGCTGTTGAGATTTTACGGAAAGATTTACTGGGTCAGCCGGAAAGTAGTATTGAAGCATGGCACCTGTTTGCATTGTTGCTCTCATGCTCTGAACAGTACAAGGCCGCCTTAATGGTCATCGATTCTATTCTTGGAGTTTGGGGAGTGCCAGCGGACGGCGGTCATATGGAAGAGCCAAGCGCTACTGCTTCCTTACCTTTCCATGCTAGATGTACGTTGATGGAACTCATGTTCACAAAGTTTGCTTTGGTGGAAAAAAATGATGGGCTTCAGGTTGCTGCAGGACTTCAAAGCTCTATCTTCTCACTCTTTGCCTGCCTTTTTGATTTACCAAAGTACAACACCATCCTCTCCAACTGGAAGCAAAGTCGAGCACTTAGCGTTAAAGCAGAAGCACCGAAAGGCGTGAACAAATTTATCGAGAAGGATATCCGGGTTAGAGAAGCTGAGCTTGTGGTTCGGTACAACCAGCAATTATGGATCTTAGCTGCTTCAGTTTTTCGTAAATTGAAACAATGGGATCAGTTGTTGAGTGCGTTGAAGCAAGCACGAGAATTAGATCCCGATTATTCCGCTATATATCATTCCCATGCATTGGCTTTCATTGATCAACACAAATATTCTGAGGCATTGGAACAGTTAGAATTGGCTGCATTGTTGGAACCGGATGAGCCGTATCTTTGTACGACATTAGCGTACACGTTGATACAGCTCGAAGAACCTTATCAACCTGCCGCACGAAACCGTGCTGATGGTTTGCTTGACAGAGTAACAAGAGGCAGAGGCTGGAACATTCCTGAGGCCTGGTTTTTACTTGCGCAAATCCATCACACTTTAGGAGATGAGAAGTTCACGGCTTCGGCGTTTAGCTATGCAATTGAGCTTACCGACTCGGAACCTGTCCGTAACCTTAGTTGTATTACTCCACGCTACCTTGATTTGAATGGACACCTTTAGTATCGCTTTGGACACATTCACAGTTGATATCATGGTACATCATTACGGACCAATTTACTCGCCTGCCTGTTGTTCACATTTTATGAAGCAATTCCCCCCATCATCTAAACGACCATCGTCCGCTCATGCAAGCGCCGGTAGTCGCTGCAGCTGTCCTTTTTGAAGAATAGTTAATGAAACTAGACAAAAAGTTTATTAAGAGAAGAAAGAAAGAGATTGTATTAATTAAACTACAGAATTGTAAGTCGTGCTTGGTAGATATTAAGGTAAGAATGGATTATGCGCTGACCGGAGTCGTGTCAAGAACATCCTTCGACCGGGTCTTAGAAGATCTCGAGTAATATTGGTCAAGAATCTTCTTGGGAATACGATTCAACATTTCACGAGGGAAGATACGAAGCAGCGTCCAAGCCAAATCAAGTGTTTCTTCAATGGTTCGAGTTTCATAAGCACCTTGAGCAATGAAGGTGTTTTCAAATTTGTCCAAAAACTCCAAGGCCAAGCGGTCTTCCTGGGACAAGGCTTCCTCACCGACAACGGACTTCATGGAAGCTGCATCCTTACCAATGGCATACATGGCGTACAATTGGTTAGAAACATCACCGTGATCGTTGCGAGTCATACCCTCACCAATGGCAGACTTCATCAAACGAGAAAGAGAAGGCAAAACATTGATGGGAGGGTAAATGGCACGGTTGTGAAGACGACGGTCAACGAAAATTTGACCCTCAGTAATATAACCGGTAAGATCAGGAATAGGATGAGTAATATCTGTTTAAATTGGTTAGTAACATGATTTTTTGAATAAGTTCCATAGTCTCTGTACTTACCATCGTTAGGCATGGTCAAAATGGGGATTTGAGTAATGGAACCGTTACGGCCCTCGACACGACCAGCACGCTCGTAAATAGTGGACAAATCGGTATACATGTAACCGGGATAACCACGACGACCGGGCACCTCCTCACGAGCAGCGGAAACCTCACGCAAAGCGTCAGCGTAGGAAGACATATCGGTAAGAATGGTCAGAACGTGCTTTTCCGTCTGATAAGCCAAGTACTCAGAAGCAGAAAGGGCAAGACGGGGAGTGATGATACGCTCAATAGTAGGGTCATTGGCAAGGTTCAAGAAAAGAGTGACACGCTCCAAGGAACCGTTCTCCTCGAAATCTTGTTTGAAGAAACGGGCAGTCTCAAGGTTGACACCCATAGCGGCAAAAACGATGGAGAAGTTGTCTTCGTGTCCGTCGTGCACATCCTTCGTGGGACGCTTAACCAAGCCGGCTTGACGACAAATTTGAGCTGCAATTTCGTTGTGAGGAAGACCAGCAGCAGAGAAAATGGGAATCTTTTGACCACGAGCAATACTGTTAAGACCGTCAATGGAAGAGATACCCGTTTGGATCATTTCTTCGGGGTAGATACGACTGTAAGGATTGATGGGAGAACCGTTGATGTCGAGATAATCCTCTGCAAAAATCTTGGGACCCTTGTCAATGGGAACACCGGAACCGTTGAACACACGGCCTTGCATATCCTCAGAAACAGGAATACGAAGAGAGTGACCAGTAAACTCTACACTCGTCTTCCGGACATCAACACCTGATGTACCCTCGAACACTTGAACGATAGCTTTTTTGCCAGCAACTTCCAAAACCTGGCCAGAGCGAACGGTTCCATCCTACATGTAAACGCATTAGCAAAAAAGTACCAAAAAAAACGTAATTACTGAACATACAGGAAGGTTCAAATTAACAATTTCGTTGTACTTTGGACGACGAATGTTACTAACACGTTGTCAGCGCTCCAAAGCCTCAAATTCTAGCAAGTCCTTCACGTACTCTAAGATAACCAGGGGACCAGTGATGGAACTGACGGTATTATACGACAACCGAGGGTTTACAGCATAATTTCTGCCTGTTAGTTACATATACTACGCGTTTCTAACATACCTTGAGGCAGCTGCAGCATTTATGTCAAAAACGGTTGCCATGTTGGTTCTTGGTAAGAGCTGGGGATGCGATAAGCTCATGGAGTAAGCTTAGCTTTAACGTGGCATAGTGTGCTGAATGGAATGCACAATATCGCTAAAATAGTTTACCGAAATCTACGGAGATTGAATAACATGTATTTCACGACACAGCGTAATTTGGTATATATTTTAACGTGTAGTGAAGTCATTACGGTGCGCCGCCTTACACGCTGTTGCGGACGCCAATGAGGCGCAGTAAACGAACTAAGGACTGCGGTGCAATTTGGTACATTTTGGACTGTCTTTAGGGTTAGGGTTTTGGTCCGAGAAATGCTATATAAGCGGGCAGATTTCCTACCATATAACCATCAGCTTCGGCTTCAACTACTCAGCCATCTCCTCCTCCTCTTCTTCTTCTCTATTCAGCAGTGAATTGGATGAGTGGTGGTCTGTGGTTCGCAATACTTGGCGGTAAAGGTATGTCCTATCCACTGGGTGCACAGTTGGGTGTTACGATGAATACTTTATGCGTCTTCTTTACCCGTCAGATCGACTATGAAGAAAAACGTGGCTGCTTCCAGGCAGCTAATACTTGCCAGTATCTTGTAGTCTGAACCTCTACTGTCATTCACTACAATCACACATTGTGTACTATTTACTAACGTTTCAGATGTGTATTTGCAATAGTCTAGAACAGCTTGTCTTTTTGGACGAAGTCATTGCGGGTTCATTCCTGTACTTCTAAGTTTTGGTCTTGGTTTTAAGCAAAAGGAGGAAGCGTGTGATGATAATTTTCCACAAACATTCGCAGTTTTCACGGATCGACATAAGAACCCAATCTTGTCGGATATGACGGCCCAGTCCTTCCTTTGGATGTCTGATGCTTCCTCCTTTGTTTAGAATTTTGATTATTTCATAGTTTAGGTAGAAATTTTTGGTTTTTTGAACATTTTTGGATTCAGGTTGTGTTTTGTTTTTTGATTGTTTTTTGTTCTTTTTTTTGGCGATTCCCCTTTTTCCTTCATGTTTTTCCCGTCTTGCGTTGTGCCTTGGACCTTCGTTCGTGTGGGGCTGCCTGTTTGCTCCTGGCCGTGTTTGTCGTACTGATTCTGTGCGCCGTAACTCACTGGAGTTTGTTTCTCTGGAATAACGTGAATTAGCGTGAAATAGTGGAGTTCTACATTCTGCGAATGATGTCTCAATAACGCACTCGAACAAAACGGACCACGACTCCTTGGATCTCATCGGAAACACGTTAAATACTTTAGTGTGTTTCGCTACACTACCTTGCTTTAAAAGCTCAAGTTACAACTTCGATGTGCGGACGAAGTTTTGTTCTTCAGTTTTACCATGTTTCGAGGGAATCCGTATGAGCAAAGAGAATACCAAGGCTACTACGGTCAGCAGTACCAGCAAAATTACGACCCTAGAGCTGTTTACAATGCGCCAAGTGTACCACCACCTCCCCCTGGTGCTTACTATAATCAATATGATACACCGGCTGTAAATCCAAACTCACGTCCTTCTCAGTACGGAGGTTATGACTCTTCGGGACCTTCTTTGAATCCGCAAGCAGGCCACATCGACATCGCAGATGCAAACTCTGGTGGCTATGCCCCTCCCTCGGCTCCTCCTCCGAATACGGCTTCAAATTCCTACGGAAATACTGCGTACCAAGGTCCGTCGCTGCCTCCGTCAAATCCGATTTCGTACTCTGCTGAGGGACAAGGACACAATTATCAGTATTCTACATGTCAGGGAAAGCGTAAGGCTCTGTTGATTGGTATCAACTACAAGGGTACCAACAGCCAACTGAATGGTTGCATCAATGGTAAGGATGACGGTGCAAAAATAGTTTACGATTGCGAGGACAGTTTCTCTAACTCAGGCAGATGTTCATTCCATGTCTCAATTGCTTATACAGCGTTACGGATACAAGGAAGACGATATGGGTATGTTTGGAAATGGCCTCTCCTATTGTTGTGCAAACAACATGGTTGTAAATGGATGAACTGACATGTCAGTAATTATGACCGAGGAAGGAAACCATCCTCGCAGTATACCCACTCGTCAAAACATGATTGATGCCATGCATTGGCTTGTGAGTGGAGCTCAACCAAACGTAAGTACCGCTTATTGGAGCGTAAGAGTACTTAGACGCTTTAAATACTGGGCCTCAGCTCAGTATCACTTTCCCCACTCATTTTTCTCCTCGTTTCTAACATCTTCTAGGACGCCCTGTTCTTTCATTACAGTGGTCACGGAGGACAAACGAAGGATTTGGATGGTGACGAGGTCGATGGTTATGACGAGGTCATCTACCCTCTTGACTACGAGAAAGCTGGTCACATTGTAGACGATGTACGTGTTTTGGTGTAATTGACCGTTTTCTAACAGTACAGGAAATGCACGATATCATGGTAAAGCCCCTTCCTATCGGTTGCAGATTGACCGCCGTGTTTGATTGTAAGTTAGCCTTGGTTTCAAGCTTCGATTTTTTCACTGTGCTAACATTCACAAGCTTGTCACTCTGGTGGTGCTTTGGATTTACCCTTCATGTACTCAACCAAGGGTGTGTTGAAGGAGCCTAGCATGTTAGAGGAGGCCGGAATGGGCCTGCTCAACGCTGGTTTATCATTGATGGATGATGACTTTGACGGAATGATAGACGGCATTACGAGTGCTATAACGACTGCTACTTCTGGTAACAGTGATGCACTTGAGTATTCTCGTAAAACCAAGTACAGTCCTGCCGATGTTATTTCCATTTCCGGTTGCAAGGACTCGCAAACAAGTGCCGATACCAGCGTCAATGGTTTTGCAACCGGTGCACTGTCTTATGCTCTTCGTCAAGTGTTGACCCAATACCCCCAATTAACCTACCTTCAGTTGTTGCAACAAGTGCGTGAGGCGCTTCGTGGCAAGTACACTCAACGTCCGCAGTTGAGTTGCAGTCATCCACTGGATGTCAACTTGGCCTTTGTGATGTAGCGTGTTGGTTCATTGCTCATCTTTTAGGACCTTATCTTAGTAAATTACGAATTAAATTCGTGCTTCTTTTTGGTGTTATAAACGTAAAAGACATTGTCTAAATGCGATTTTGTTTATTGAGTCTGTGATAGTTACAAAACTTAGATATGGATACGTGAGGAAATTCATGTATTCGTTGACACTGCGTATAGTTTCTCTATGGCTCGGTCATACCGTTCTCTGCAGGTCTAAACCACTCACGGGAGAGACAGTCCTTTACATCATTTGCAATAGAAGCGGCCTTGTCATGGGATTCGGCGCGAGCGCAAATATAGTACTTCAACTTGGGTTCCGTACCACTTGTACGAATAGTGAAAATGACTTGTCCGTTGTCTAACTCAAAAGTAACGTTGTCTGATGAACTAGAGCAAGGGAGAAGGGCTTTATTGTCGGGTGTCGATGAGTCGTAGTTGATCGTTAAATCGCGAATACGAGTAATGGAGTGGCTTCCTAAAGTATTGACAAACGTACCGTTTGGACCCATATGACGAACGTTATCAACGAGTCGGCGAAGCAATGCACTGTTTTTGGAATAGTAGTATGAGTTGTTGGTTGCAAAAAATCCATATTTCTTACCAAGATCATCAAACGTCTCCGAGATGCTCTTTCCGTTTTGCTGAAGACGCTTAAGAAGATGAAGAAAAGTAATAAGGGCGTTGACTCCATCCTTGTCTCTTACAATGTTTCCAACGAGGTAGCCGATGGCCTCTTCATAAGCTAACCCGACAAACTTTCCTTGGTTTTCCAACTCTAAAGCACGATTTCCCAACCACTTAAAGCCGGTGAGAGTTTGCACATGATGGAAACCTTCTTTCTTGGCCATAGCAGTCATCATTGCACTAGACACCGTGGTTGACAAGACATAAAAATCGTCGATGGGTTTACCAGAGTTACGGTACTCCGAAAAAATAAAGTAACCCATAATACATCCAATTTCGTCGCCGGTTAAACGGTTCCATTTGCCCTTGTACTTTTCGGCAATTGCAAATCGGTCAGCGTCAGGGTCGGTAGCGAGAACATAGTTGAGACCCAACTCGTCAGCGAGTTGCATGCCCATATCCAGTGCACCTTTTTCCTCTGGGTTGGGAAAACGAACTGTAGGGAAATCTGGATCAGGGTCCCGTTGAGCCTGTACGACGTGCATGTCATTTTGTTCACCGAACAAGCTCAAGGCCTTCTCAACATACGGCAAACCTACACCATGCATAGGTGTGTATACAAAACCAAGGGCTTTGAACTCTTTATCAAAAGTGTTTGTCATATGAAAGTTGCGAAGTTCAGACCAGTAGTCTGAAAGCACCTTTTCAATAAACTTTGTATCACAAAGGGTATTAGCCTCAATTCCACTGTCATCCCACACGGTTGGCTCCAAGTTTTCCATGATGCATTCTGCGATGCCTTTGTCGTGAGGGGGGATAATTGCACATGCGTTTTCCCAGTACACTTTATAGCCGTTGTAAGCAGCGGGGTTATGAGAAGCAGTAATCATTACACCTGCAGCAGCCTTGAGTGTTTTTACTGCAAAGGGCACAAGAGGAGTGTGCACAAGCTGGTCGTAGAGGTACACTTTGAAACCCGCATGAACAAAAGCAGTTGCAGTAAGACGAGCGAAACGCTTTGATTTGTGACGATGATCATGACCAACAACAACGCCTTTCTCTTTTGCATTTTCGACTGTTTTAGTCAGGTAAGCAGCAAAACCTTGGGAAGCTTGTAGCACAGTAAGATCGTTCATTCCCGAGAAGCCAGGACTAATTTCGGCACGCAATCCAGAGGTTCCAAAACTAATTCTAGGTCTCATAAGCTTATCCAGCTCATCATATTTGTTCTCTTTTTGGAGAGTTTTAATGGTATGGAGCGACGACTCATCATTGTCCCAGCGGCACCAGTCCTCCACGAGTTTTGATAATTCAGCATCCATAGTACAAAAACACAGCACGGGTTTACGACTTCTCTATGTCTTCCAATATAAATTTAAGAAGAATTTCCGTTGTTTTTCGCGGTATCTAAAGCCGGTACCGTCAATATGTATTCCAGTTCTCGCTTAAAATAAGCTTACATTAAGCGATAGACGGGTATAAGTAATGCTTTGCAAGATAATGGGAAGAGAAATAGTTTTCTAAAGAGTTGATAAGCTGTTGATGTGCATCATTTATATTATAATCTGTTCTCTGTTGTGCTCGGAAGTTTTAATAAACAAATTATACAGATCAAGTATCGAAAGGTAAAAAAGTGGACAATTATATGTGTATGAATACATATCTTCTAAACCATTAGCAAACATTAAAGAGCTTAATTGGGCAAATGCCACCATTTTTTATAATTATGCTATTACGGTAGTTAATTATCACGGGAATTTATAACAAAATTCCAAAAAAAATAAAGTAAAGTAAAATATATATATGCGTTATTGACATTGCGTTTAAACGCGAACACAATTGATTACACTAGTATGAAAATGAATATATATTGCCTGCCTATAACGTGGGGAAAATTATGGAAAACACCTCTCTTCTATATAATAATAAGTAAATAAGCTTAATATCTAGTAACAAAATACATGGTATTTAGAAACAGTACCTATTGACGAGCGAGAGCGATGTTAAAGTAGCAGAAAACAACACGGCAACTCATTTAAAAAGTTCACCGTCTTCATTAATGTTGCTATTGTTCCATATACTTTTATACACTACTGGGCTGAGGTCAACTTCATTTTCATTCATTCAGATCATAACGTGAAGCATTTGAGTTTCCTTAACTTAGATTGATTCTGTTTTTGTGTTAGAAAACGTGATCTGTAGCTACTGAGTGTGTACATACCGTTCAGAGCTTGGTTAAGTTTAGTAACCTTGGATTGAATGCTTGCATCAACAATCATGTCTCCAATTTCCAAAACAATTCCACCAAGGATGGAAGGAGTAACTTTGTTGTTCATCACGAGCTTCCCTTTAACGAAACTGGATTTTGAAAGTGCCCTTTGAAGTCGCAACATTGATTGTTCGTCTAGAGGAGTAGCTGTAGTCACAGTAACCGTAACTTCATTGTTCTTTGCTTTCATTAATTCATGAAACTTCAAATAGATTTTCTGTAACAAGGAGAGCCGATTATTGTCTGAGAGAACTTGCAGAAAGTTGCTAAAAACCTTGTTATCCCCACATAACTTAGTCATTTCTTTCACAAATAATGACTTATCTTCTTTTCTCAAGGCAGGATTCGCTAAAAACTCTCGTAATTCTGCATGCTTCATGACCTTTTCAAGTTGACGAAAAGATGAATCAACTTCTTTCAAATTGGATGTCTTTTGAGCAGCTGTGAACAAAGCTACAGCGTAATTACCTATTATGTTAGGTTTATTTTATAGTATAAACGTCTTTTTCCAAAAAAAAAACGTACCGTCTAAACCATAAAGACGAATTGGCAATTCTACGGAATCCTTCGTCGCAACTGCGTATCCACGAAGTCCTACCCGTCCAAAAAGCTTTGCTGATGGTCGAGCAATAGCTCTATTGAATGCTACATTCATGGTAGATACTACTTCGAAATAGGTGGTAACGGTAGGTCTTATTAGTAGAGTGAAGCTAGTCGAGTAGAATGTATCAGCAATGTTATATGGGAGCGAGCTGTATTTATGATTAGACACTAGTGGAATAAGTTTTATGAGTGAAGGAAGGGTATTGAATGGTATTTGTGAATTATTGAAAATGTATTTTTGATTTCACTGCCATTGAAGACAGTCCCGTATACAGGCGTAATGAAACATAACCAATGCAGATGAGAGAAACGTAAATGATCACTAAATATAATGACAATTAAGAGTGGTACACCTTACCAATCTGATTGCATTATTTTGCCGTGGTCAACACTACAGTTGCCCCTTCTTGGTTTTGGAGAGCAGTTCAGCACGATCAGCATATACAGCACTAGCAACCACGTACTCTTCATCTTGCTCAAGTCGAAGAATGGCTTTTGCTCCACTGTACGCCGACGAAAGACCAGTGTCGATGAGAATGATCTTGCCATCACAACGCTGACGAATGCCGGGGAGCTGGGGAGTATGTCCCATGATAACACGGTCTGCATCAATAATACGGAGAATCTCCTTAACATTCTTGCATGCCGCCTCATCAGGAAGATTGGCATGTCCTCTGTACCACATGGGACCATCAGATTGCCAGAAGGTCATATATTTGTTGGGAATGGATTCACGAGCCATGAACAGCTCAAGTAAACGATTTCCAAGGTCGTTGATTTCACTCTCATGTTTGGCCCAATGTCTCGAAAGACCTGCATGCATAAAGTGGGATCGAGTTTGTTTTTCGAAATACGTGATGTTGTAGGACGACAGAAGCAACGAACCAATTTCGCCGTGAGCCTGCCAGTCCTTTGTACGATGCTGAATAGATGGCTCTGGATAGGACTCAATGTCACCGGGGTGAACATACCGCCAATCCCCACGGGCATTCATAAACTCATGGTTTCCCAGCAAACGAATAACAGCACCGCCCACCTGTTCAGCCTCGGCTGCCAACGTGTTCATCCAGGCAAAAATTTTACGCGTGTCAGGACCCCGATCGACGATATCACCCTAAAAATGTGTCAGTGAACAACGGTCAAGGTATACAGACAAACTTGTTCAGCCAAAGACCACCTACCGTTTGAACTAAGATAGAGTTACCACCAGTCCAGTGTCTTTCTTCATCATCAGAAACAAGACCTGCAAATGAAAGGACTTCAATAGCGTTGTTAAAATCTCCATGAATGTCACCTAAAGCATAGACCGTAGGAAACTTCAGTTCCTGTGCACCCAATCGACGTGTATGATCTTCCTCGAGTTGATTAAAGACTCTGTCATTATGGTGGAAGACATCCTGAAGCCAATTCTGAGCTCGACTACCCAGAAAAAGAGTAACGAATACATAAGCAAATAAAACAACACTGAGTGCACGTAGCACAGGAAAACCTGCCATTCCGTACTGAAAACTGTATATTCACAGGTTCAATCCAATTATAAGACAGACTAAGTAAGTAAATGACCTAATAAAATGTTGGTGTAAATTGAACCTGGTGGTATCCCAGTATAACAACTGGCAGTCGGAATGACTCGCAGTAGTAATTGCCGTAGACGACAGCATGAAAGATGCTGCAAATAAAATGTAGTCGTAAAAACAGACCGGACACTCTTGCTTTCATACATTCTTGTGTATTGTTCTGTTTGCTCCGTCACAAAAAAGAGATAAATTCATGGGTTTTAATGGAGTGTGTATTTTACAACAGATGACAAGTAGAAGCACTAGGGACATCAATTGACAGTTTACTGCTGCTTGAATGTTTGCTTTGTGATATATTTCGCGTAAAAGGAACGTAAAAAGGTAACTGAAAAGACCAGGATCCAAACCAACGAACGAAGACTGAGTAAAAGACTCACCACAATTCCAACAATCCAGATCACTGAGCCATATTTAGCAAATGTTGATAGCATCTGAAGGAAGAAGGCGCGTGTTTTCGACATGGTGTACTTTGTCTTGGGCATTTGTCCATTGCTTAAGGACAATGCCCGCAACACTGTGTCAATAACGGCATCAGAATCACCAAACGTTAAGGGCTTTTCATCGACAGAAGTGTCCCAGTACTGGACACGAAGAGGATCCAAAATTATGAATTGATTAGATGGAACGTTGTCATGACCCAAAATTCTGGTAAGCCATTTCCGCCAAGATACCGCGTTCACCCACACAAAGCTTACCTGCTTGTTTTCAGGAAGAGGTATCTTGTGTCGGGAAGCAAGGAAGGGCACGTTATCGTAACCCTTTGCCTTCAAGTTGTCTACATAAGCATGCCACTTACGACGGCCCTCAAGCAGCTGTTCGCGTTCAATCGCACGGAGACGAATGTTCCATGCGCGAGCAACCTCATTAACCTTTGCAACATCCCGTATCATGCTCGTGGTAGATGATGGATCAACACAAGCGATGGCCAGGTATGTACGATCGCGCAACGGATAAGTCATCTGTGGATGTACTTGAGGTGCGAGAGGCAGTTTTTGCTCTCTTGCCCAACTGACAATTTTATACGTATCGTGCATATCCGGTACCATTCGGCCGGGATACACAAATGGAAGTCCACCGCGAACGGCAATTAATCGAGGCAGCGTTGTGATGTTGTAGCGTTCCATGACAAGCTTATTATCCGTTCCATACAGCTCTGCATAACCAAGCAAAGAACGGTAAAGCACTCTAAGTGCGTTGAAATCTTCCGCCATGGATGAAAAGTCATGCAGATACAGGAAGAAAGGCTCACCCGTCTCCTCCAGCAGCTCAACGCCCTCAATTCCTACATCATGTTCAGGGAACACAGTACCGTCTAATTGATTCGTAAGGCCTGCGGCCTCGACGAACGTTTTTAATGTGCTTCCAGAAGCGTGAAGGGGGACATTCGTCTTTTCACCTGTTTGATGAAAGTAGTACACACTAGGAGTGCGCTCGATTTCTAAAGCTTTACAAACGTCACTATTGTGTGAACAGTCGAAGTGAAAGAAAGGAACCTTTCCCTTATACTCATTTGTGACAACATTCCACACAGAGTCTTCTTCCTCCAAAAAGCCTTTGCAACTACCACAGCGTTTAGGAGAGTCCGTAAAGAGAACGAATCCATGCTGCCGATAGTTGTAGAAAAGCTCCCCAGATAGTTCTTTGATATCAACCGTTTTGTACGCCCGCTCAACTTCGGTGCTGCGCTTATACCGCATCTTCGCCTGCGAATCCTTCATACAAGGGGCCCATTGAACACTTGACTGAGTAAAACTGGGATCAGAACTGTTCCAAAGCACGACGGATTCAGTTGTGGGTATCCGTTCGTACAACCATGCTTTCAATTCTTTAAACTGATCGTCAATAGACGTGCTCTGTTCATCGTCTTCCAACAAGACTACTTCATCATAGTCAGAGAACCCTAATTTATCACGGAAACAGTTTCTTGTCTCGCCTTCAGACAAACAAGCAGAAAGACGCGAAGGGCACCAATGGACCGGAACAACACTTGTCGTAGCAGCTTCAACGCCATCAAGACCAAAAAGTGCAGCAACCAGCGTACTGAGAGCGAATCCAAGCTCCCACATCGCGACACAGGAAATGCAGTTTTGTTATAGCCGATGTGAGCTTAACGCGTAAACCTTGTTTAAATTTATGTGCTGCTTGAGACTCGAACCCGTACACGATTAAGGTGGGCGAGTGAGTCGGGATATGGTGTGGGGAAGTGGGGGAAGTGGGGAAACGCGAAAGAAGCCCGGTCAACTAAAATCCAAAACATGATTAAATCGTAGACATTAAGTGCAGTATATGACTTATTAGATGTATTTTAATAATATAAATAAAAGTTGCTGTATTTTGATTGTTCACAAACTCTTTGTTTTTCCATACTCTTCTATGCTGTTCCGCCGTGAGTTAAAACTCCGACTGGGTTAGGGTTTCAAAATGGTATATAAGAGTCCGCATTCGCCTTTGGAAGACCATCGTCAAAGCATTTCACAAAATCTATCGCATCTATTTCTTGCCTTTTACCAGAAATAGCCGTTTGTGAGGTGTGTGAATTTGACTGTACAATTTTTGCTACTGTTTCCCTAACGGGGGACTCCCATTCTTTTTCCAGGGTGTTAGACCTGGTGATCGAATAGGAGTTTATCGTTTGTGGGTGTGGAGTTTGGTGTATAGTTATGTAAGTTAATATGATATGTTCGGCTCTGTCTTTAGCACAAGGTCCTGTCTATCTGTAGTGGCCGTCTGTTCCGAAGATTCCAATTACTCGTAGTAGTTGGTGGTGATGTGGTATTGGTTCCCTCCGCTGCGGTTGCGTTCGAGCCGTCGTGGGTATGTGGGCACCCAAGACGGCTCGTTTATTTCCCAACGTGTCTTGGCCAAGGGGCTCTTGCGCAAATTTGTTTAAGACTACTAGGAGCCGGATTAATTTCCCCACGAGTTGTCTCGTGTATCCTGTCGGGGCATCTGATTCTCCTTTCTCGTCCCCACATTCTTGACGTCTTGTTTTTCACCTTCCCTGCGATTGCCATGACCAGCGGTTTTACTCCCCCTCGTTCTCATCTATAACTACATCATGATGACGAGTAATATATTACGTCATACTTACGACATACATGTTCCACCTAGACTGCTTATATGCGGTGTATGTCATGGTGAATACCTCTTCTCTGCACGTATCCTCTCCCAACATTCTTTTGGCGTCTGTTTCTCTTCAGCGCCAAGTTCTCTAACCGCTATACGAAGTATCTTTCGTTCTGAATCACTCCTCGTAAGTATTCCTCAATTCTGGACGAATTGCTGTGTCTGAGAGCTTTCCGCTGTTAGCTGGTCTTACCCTTTATGCGAATTCATTAGGTGGGATTGGCGTTCGTCTTCTAGTATCAATTTCTGCAGCGTACAGTGAACTAACTCTTTTTTTCAGTGTTTATAGGACTGTTTTTGGTCTTGCAAACCTTAAAACGGTTTTGTTTTCTTCCTAATTACGCTGCTTAACGATTGTGTTACGATTTGTTTAATTTTTTTGGACGCTTTTTGTCAGTTTTTTTAGCATACTGCAGTCTCTACTTATCTTTTAACGAACTATTCAACTTATTTGACGATGCCGAAAACATATATCTGTTCTATTTTCCTACCTTACACAATTGACTTCCATTTGGACGAGGATGAGTCGGCTGTAGAATCGACTCCATCTACGGCTGGGCTTACTGCCACCCATGCTCGCCGGGATTCAATGCGTCTGCACAATTTACTTTCAGAGCTCTCAGTTTCTCGCACTCAAAGTCGTCATGGAACACCTCCAATGACTCCCCAACATGAGCTTCTCAATGAGTATTTTGATCTCAATCCGCGCGCTCGTCCCCTGTCTCGCACAACCACGGGTACCATGCTCTCTTCTGGTGTACGCAGCAATCTTGCGATTGCATCTCCATCTGTGCGCTCCGGCAGAGCTTCTCCGGTATTCACGCAGCCACGTTCTCGGGCCAATTCCCCTCCCCCCTCTCTTAACGGTTCGGATTCCAACCGATTTGGTGCTCCCGGTATTGGTGCGACTTTGAGACCCCTGCGCAAGCGCAGAGAGTCGTTGTCGAGATCTGTTACGCTGTTCGATAAAGCTCGTTGGACCGTTGAACTTAGTCTTACAGGCAACGGCGGTCTGTATAATGCCATACATGCCGCTAAGCGCGACAATGTTCTTGACAACTCTGTGTGGATTGGCTTGTTGGGCTTCCCCACAGAGACTCTTTCTGATAAAACGAAGCAAGCAATATCTGCTGCACTCTTGGTGAAGCACCAATCAATTGCTGTCTATACTTCTGATTCTAACTACGAGGGTCATTACAACCATTATTGTAAGAAGATTCTTTGGCCGGCTTTCCATTACCAACACAACGAGACCTTCTCCTTCTTCCACGAGGAGTCCAGTTGGGATGCATATGTCGCTGTGAACCAGGCTTTCGCGGACAAAATTATTCAAACGTACAAGCCGGGTGATGTCGTTTGGGTAAACGATTACCATTTGCTTTTGGTACCAGAAATGGTTCGTAAACGTGTTCCTAATGCCATCATCGGCTTATTTATTCACGTTTCTTTTCCCTCATCAGAGGTTTTCCGTTGTTTTGCCCGTAGAAAAGAACTTCTTACCGGTATGCTTGGTGCAAACTTGGTCGGTTTCCAAACGGACGAGTACAAACGTCATTTCTTGCAAACCTGTGCTCGAATCATGTATGTTGAGGCAATGGGCAACCGTTTATTGCTTGAGGACCGATATGTGGATGTGAATTCATTTCCAATTGGTATTGACCCCATCTTGTTGTCCGACTTTCTGAATGATCCAGATACGACGGAGACATACAACATCCTTGCAGAGCGCTATAAAAATTTGAATGTGTTTTTTGGTCGCGATAAAATGGACAACATTAAGGGTATTAGGGAGAAGCTTTTGGCTTACGAGCAATTTCTTGATGACAATCCCACGTATCAAAGCAACACTGTCCTCCTGCAGGTTGCGTTGATGGAGGACGATCGCGAGTATTCAGTGAGCATTGCTGATATCGTCGCACGTATCAATTCAAAGTACTCTGACTTTTCTTCCGATCACCTTCCGGTGGTGATCGTCTCTAGAGACTTGAACTTTGCTCAATTTTTGGCTTTACTGAAGGTTGCAGATGCGTTTGTTGTTACCTCATTACGTGAAGGCTTCAATCTCACTTGTCACGAGTTTATCTATGCTCAGCAAGAAAAGAGGGCTCCTTTAATTATCAGTGAATTTGCTGGAAGTGCTTCTATCCTTAGTGATTCCGCGCTTATTGTGAATCCTTGGAGTACCTTGGAGACGAGTTTGGCGTTCAAGACCGCACTGGAATTGTCCGACAACGATCGCGAACGTTTATTCAATGGTTCATTCAAGGCAATCATGAAGCACAATGCAACTACATGGGTTGCTGATTTTACTTCTTCTCTTAAAGCGTGCTATGCAGCTCAAGAAGCTCGCGATGTGCTTGCCATCCCGCGCTTCTCTTCCGTTACCTTCACCCAAAACTTTGAGCGCAGCAAGCACCGTCTTTTTATTTTGGACTTCGAAGGTACTACAATCAACTGGGGTAGCGCTCACCAGTTTGTGAGTTTCAACTACAAGTACATGCTTGACATCATAGCCAAGTTGTGCAGTGATCCAAGAAACACAGTCTACATTACTAGTAGCCTGGGACGTGACGAGTTGGAAGGCTTCTTCCTTCGTTTGCCGGATGTTGGTCTGATTTGCGGCAATGGTTGTTTTGTGAGACCGCATGCTCAAGCTGAAGGCATTCCTGATATGTGGTTGCGCATGTTTAAGCCCGAAGACATGACTTGGCGTTCATCTGTGAAGGAGTTGCTTGATTATTATCGAGAACGTACTCCTGGTTCCACTGTTGAGGATCGTGGATTTTCATTTTCTTTTAATTATAAGAATGCAGAAGATGAAGCTAACGCTATGCGCTCTGCCGGTGAGCTTTGCAGCAGTCTAAACGAGGGCGCCTCCAATGGTTGTCGTGCGGTTCCTCTCGAAGGAGAGGTTATATGCGAACCCTCGAACATAAACAAGGCTACTGCATCCGAATATGTCTACAAAAAACTTTGCAAGGACCCTGACTCTATAGACCTTACTGTTGTTGCTGGTAATGACCGTACCGATGAGCCTAACTTTGAATGGGCAAACACATTAAAGATGGACACGATTACTATTAGCATGGACAAAAAGCATACCGAGGCGAAATGTTTTGCCGAAGGTGTCTCTAATCTTCTACACACTTTGGACAAAATATGTAATATTTAGTTGATTAATGTACTTTGTAAATAACGTAATCATGCTAGGTGTAGTAATGATGAATAGATACAGGACGAGGGTTGTTTACGTCCCCCGTTTGCTTACTGCCAGTACACTGTGTTGGTATATTATGAAACGCCTATAGTGCGCTATAACGTAGTTACTGTAAGCATAAAATGCAGTACGAAGCGCTTTGGTTTAGCTCAATAAGTTACACTATATAAAATAAGAAGCAGCGCGAAACCGTTTTTTAAGGTAACATCATTGAGTAACATTGCATAACGAAAACCTCTCGGACATTCGAAACTAAATATCCTTTGAGCTGGCACTTACCCAGAACCCACACTCACTCTTCTTGCAGACCCAGAATACGACGCGTGTTTTTACCTGAACAGAGGATACTTTAACGACATTCTGTGTATAAAGACACTCGTTTCACGATTTAAAAAGACTCTTTCGAATTTTTGTTGAGTTAAAAATGTCCCAATCCAGATTTGATCCCTACGTCCAAAATGGAGGTACAATTGTTGGCATTGCTGGTGAAGACTTCTCCATTATTGCCGGTGATACGCGTAATGTCAACGGTTACAACATCAATACCCGTTTTTCGCCTCGTGTTCACGAGGTTGGCGACAAATTGATTCTTGGTGCTACAGGATTTGAAGCTGACGCGTTGACTTTGGTAAAACGTATTCGTCAGCGGATAGATTTATACCATGACAACCACAAGCGTATCATGTCTCCTTCTTCTTGTTCCAGAATGGTGCAAACCATGCTTTATGGCAAACGTTTCTTTCCCTATTATGTCTACACTTTGGTTGCAGGTTTGGATGAAAAAGGTGTCGGCGCTCTCTATTCTTTCGATCCTGTTGGTTCGTACGAGCGTGAATGGTGCCGTGCCGCTGGTTCTGCGGCTAATTTTATGCTCTCTTTCTTGGACAACCAAGTTAACCTTCACAACCAATATGTGCCCACTTCTAATGGCACGGAAAAGATGCCTCATCGTCTTTTGACTTTGACGCAAGCTGTGAACCTTCTTCAAGATGTAAGTAACGCATGCTGGCACGTTTTCAGTGTTTTCATGCTTAAGCGCATGAATTATTTTGCAGCTCATAATTATCAACATCTACTAACAAATGTTTAGGCCTATACTGGTGCTTGTGAGCGTCACATTGAGGTTTGGTGATGCCCGTGCTAGTCAAAATTGTTACGAAGGAAGGTGTTGAAACACGTATTATTCCCTTGAAACGAGACTAAATGAGTTTTATTTACGACATGTTTTATAAAAGCTAGATGATATATGGAATGACTGACAGGTGTTGCCATTTATTGCTTCTTTTTTCAGTGTCTTCTGTATTCACAAGCCTTGTTGCTGTTTCTCAACTGTTTCTCGAGAGAATGCTGCAATGCACATTGACACTGTATAACGAATGAGGACTTGATGTTTTACTTTGCTGCAGTCGTGTGTGTTTGTACTGTGGCCCAGTTCCTTACTGAGTGTAGGGAATTGAGTGGATGCAACTATGGACCCAACATCCACCACCAACGTCGAACCCAGGTTAACATCTACAAGCAACACTTCGCAGTTGTTAAAACCACATAAGTGAGCCCATCATATTTCTCTCGTTGAAAAGCCCCTGCAGTTAAGTAATTATTGGTGAGGCTTGCTGTATCTGTTGTTGAAAAAAAACGTAACTAAAGAGCAAACAACGGTCTCATCCACTTTGTCTACACATCTAATCTAAAATGTTACTTCCATTTCGGTCTGTTTTGTTGCTTTACACAGTACTGCTTTCGTCGCTGGCAGTGATGCTGCTTTGGAAACCCGAAAAAATCGTTGACAGTGGTCTTGTCGGGTTGATGGGTGCTGCCATGGAAGTTGACCCGTTGGTGATGACAAAAGACGCGAAGCCTCTGCTTTCGTTTTTGGGCCTTGTATTCATGCTGCTTTCTCTTTCATACTGGGTTCCTCTCCTGCAGGACAATATGTCTTACTTTACCGCACTTGTTCCAATTCGTGCATTGTTCAACTTCGGTCTCTCATCTTTCATTTACTTGAGAAAGCAAAGTCCACTCAGCAACAGCCTTGCTTTTACTTTTGCCTTCTGCGACTTAATCATTCATTTCTGGCTTTTCGCCTCGATGAATGATGAGAGAAACAAGCTTCTGAAGAAAAAGGAAAATGAAGAAAAAGCCAATTAAGCCGTTACATAATGACAAGTAATGAATGAAGCTGAGGCGTTCATTGTTTTCTCTAGATGCACTGTATCATGAATGTAATACTCGTTACGCCAGTGACGCAAAAAAACAGTAGTTAAATGGATGGAGCAGCAGGTTGTAAAGGCTCTTCATACAAGGCTTTCATTTATTAATTATTAAGTCTGTTTACTGCAACTTCGCTAGCAATTTATCATGCACAGCTTGCGCCTTCTCCGCAGGGTTATTTAGTCGACAATATGCAATAAAGTGCTTCACGTGTTCTCCATCATTTAGATCCTTCAAAGATTCAATGTCGCTGAGGTTCGACAGATGCTCCAAAAGAGTTTGTTTCACAAGCCAGTGTATCTGATCGTTTTTAGTAGCATCGTAGAAGATATCGATAAGCTGATGAAACGTAAAACCCGAGTCGCTTGACTTACGAAAGGCTGAAAAGATACAATGAACAAGATTGCATTGTAACGTTCTTACATCATCGACTGACAAGTCGTTATCCGTAGCAAAAGAGGAATCCAACGTTGCGCCGAAGGTCGACTTGCACTCGTCATAACACACTTGTGCCAAATCGTAATCAGCGAGCTCTTTTGCACCGAGAAAATCTCCAATGCACAGATACACTCGTATTTTGTAGCTGTAATTTCGACGATTAATTTCCGTCTGCAACATTCGTAGTACATCGTTTTTATGATCAGCCAAATATTCTGGAACCGCCTTAGCAAATAATACGAGGGCCTCTAAGACATTTTCCTTTCCTGGCCAAGTACGAACGCGAATTGCATCGCTCAGAAGACCATATATAGAACTCTCTTTGCCGGAAAGCCGTGCAAGTTGGATGACTTCGCGTAACGATAAAGCACCCAGAAGTTTTCTTTCATACTGAGAGCTTGTAACACTCTCCTTCACATAATTGAAGATCTCATCGTAGTAAAGGTTTACAGCACTACCGCCGCTTGCGCTGTCATTATAAACGGATGTCAACATGTTCCGTACCTTCTCGAAGGATGAGTTTTTGCCAACAAACACAAAGGGAAGGAATAACTGACCCATTTGATGGTACTTATCTGAGGCAAACCGAAGGATGGAAGCTACCAAATAGCTGCATACTGTTTGTTCCGACTCCACGCAGTCAAAAAAGCGCTGAAATATAGGGCGGCAAATGTTCTCAATCTGCTCGAAACTGAGAAGTCGACACAGATAACCCATCGCAGCACAGTAGCTTTCTGAAACAGCCGCATTTCGATCAAAGCAGGCAGCCTTTAATGACAGCATAAGTTTAGGCGCGTACGGTTTGACAAGTTCAGCCCGTCGGATTACCAGAAAAACACAAACCTGAGACGCACCAATCTTTGTAGGAACACCAACAGTTCTTGTTAAGCTGTTATTCAAAACCGAGACAAATTTTGGCATACTTTCCTTTGTAGCGAGACCAATAATAACACCCATCAAATCCATCATTGAAGAGTTCCGTACAGCAGAAACACGAGCGGCATCCAGTTGACTCTGTTCAATACCATACGTCTTCGTATGAAAATCGAGGAATGATGCTACTTGAGACTCGTATTTCGTAAGATAACCCAACAACGCCTCTGCCAACTCAGGGACAAACGGACTTAAGGAAGGACTTTTTGTTTTCACAAGTTTGGTGACAGTATCATACGCAAATGCATTAACTTCTTTCGCTGTCGAATTATTTCCTTGATCAATAAAAAACGGAAGTGCCACATTAAGAATCTCTGTTCCTCTTTTAATACCAGCGTCTGTCCGATTGACACTAGTCTCTTCAATGCTGTTGAGCAAACTACGCACCAACATCTTGCAAAGTGGTACGGCCGAAATTCGGACTGATTCTTTTATGTCATCCATCGCACGGAAAGCCATTCTCAATAACATTTCCATATCATTAAGAATATATGTGAGAGGCACACCACCAAGCAAATCAGTGAGAGTATTTACCGCTGACTCGCGATTACGCCATGAGCGATCTGTCATGTTGGATAAACATTCCTTTATAATGGCATCTCGATAATGTTCAATTTTGAAGTCAGCGGGACTTAAAAGTTTCCAAATTTTATCCATGGTTTCAGCAACACTAGTGGTTGGATCATGTTTGAAACGATACAGCTTGGCAATAAGCGCAGACGAACGCATGTTGTCACCGAACAGAAGCTCTAACGACGCCTTATCTGCTTTAAAGATGCTTTCCAATCCCAAGGCAGCACCTTTACGGGAGCTCCAAACGGCACTGCTATTCGCTACATGAAGAAAGGTATACAACAACTCAGGATTACCTGACTCGTTCGCAAGTGAACATATGTCTTTGTATGTGGCCACCTTTCCTTGATTTGTTTTGAAAAGCTCTGTTTCTTCTGTAAACGACGTTTTCTGAGTGAGAGATGTCGCATCTGCAGTAATAGTTTGCATAAGTTTTGTAGTAAACGACTGTTTCTCTTCCTTGCTGGAGAGATCATAAGTAGCCTTAAGACCAATTGCTGCAGTTTCTTGTAAGAAATCGTCCTGGCTGGCAAGACAAGAGATAAAAGCACGATAAATATCCTGCAGCCGTTCGTGAAGTGGGGCACATTTAGAGCAGTTACGAGTAAGGTACAATAGCCACAGGGTCGCATACTTCTTAACTGCGGGTTTTGGCGACTTGATCCACTCATCAAGCACACAGCCAAGCACATGAACAAAATTTGGTGAATCGGTAACTGGTGCATTAACATCTCGAAAACTATGTTCAGCACGGAGAGTGGTTGAATTCCAACCACCAGCAACGACGGACATTGATTCTGCACTGAGGAACATCATGTCCACGGAAGAGTTGTGATACATTAAGTAAATGGCATGCAGAATTGTTTCAAATTCTTTAGGACGCTTATCATGACTTAATGTTAAACTATACCGTGATAACACAGAGCATGCCGAAGCAGTAAGTTCGCTATTCTCACTGTTCTTAGTAAGGGATATAACCTCATCAATAAGCTTTGTGTTATCGACTGAATCGCAAATAAAATCACCAGCGTAAGTAAGACATTCAGCAATAGATGAAAGTGCAGCAATCCTGTTCGCCGCAACTCCATTGTTAATAAGGGTTCTAAGTTCTTGAAAATTCTTCAACAACCACTTTTGAAATATAGGTAGCATATTGGAATTGTAACTTCGTCTCGCAAACAAAGACGCTACAACATAGCCCATTAGGAATCGTTTTGTAACTGAGCCCAAAGTGTTGTTAGCATTATCTGAAAATTGGTTGAAAATCTCTTCAATTTTAGCTGTCTCTTTATGCAGTAAGTCAAAACTGGCCATAACGCCATACGAGCGGGCCAACATAATCTTTAATGATGTGATGGAACAATGCTCTATAGGTCGCTGCAATTTTTCGTAAGGAACCGCTGACATGACATTTCCTGGTAAAGCAGCAGTTAACTGGAAGAAAGCAACGATTGCTGGTTTAAGCAATTGACAGGCGCCTTTAAAGCACAACAATATGAACAGTTTTATTTTGTCTGAACGGACGCAACTGTCGCCGTACGAATAACGCAATTGTTCGTCTGACCGAAATGCTTCGTCAAAGGAAGAAAGCTGAAAGTCGTCCATCAACGATAATGCCTTCGGCAAACGGAAAACAATGCAAGCTTTTGCAAAGGAAAGGGTAGCAGAGAAAACATCATTTCCCACGGAGCGAAAATAATCCTCAACAGATTGTTCTTTTATTGTAGTAGACAAAAATTCATCCAACGTAGGATAACAGTTCTGCAACAATGAGAAAGTATTTGTCACGGAAAGCTTGTCATTTTCATAGTAGATACTGTTGTATAAGGACCAATCGTTCAAAGTAAGTCCTTTCTGTGCTTCCTCAACAAATGCATGGGAGAACCGACTCTGGTCTTGAGACAAAACGCAGAGGGTTCGGGCGGGTGTGTAATGGAAAGGGAAGACAACAAGGATATAGCGTAAAGCGGCATAAGAAGCATTAAAATTTTCATCCACGACATAACTTTGAAGCATTGTAAATAAGGCGTCGAGATCATGAAAGTGACGATAACAAGCGAGGACGATAGAGAGCGCCTCGTCAATAGATACACGAATATCTGGAGACTCATTTTTCAAAGCGTCAAACAGAAAAGATAGATTGCCAATGTTAGCCAATCGCTCACGATCAGCCTTAAGAACGGAACCAAGAGACGTGTACAAGAATCCTCGAAGACTGCTATCAGCGAGGCCAGGTTGTTGGAGTGCCCGTTTTAATAGAGCAAACAAGCTTTCGGAATGGTTTTTAAGGAATTCGGGCTTGGCCATCGTAACGATCCAATGTGCAAATTGGATTAATCGTGAATGCAGGGGAGGAGGAGACTGGAAAATAGACTCTATACATGTCAAAGCATCCTCCCGACTTGCAGCTAGTATGCTGCGACACAGAAGCTGCAATGCCTTTGCACGGAACGGAACAGAGAACTGAACCACTGTGCCCAACCTGGGCAACGTGTACTTGTTCTGTGCAATAGAAAGCAGCAAACTCACCAACGCGTCATCTTCTAGATTCTGAGTGTCAAGTTGACGCAGGGAATCACCAGCAACACGAGATACCTCTGTGTTTTTGTCAAAGGTACCGAGTGTAAAAGTCAGCCAGCGATAAACTTGTGGCCATGAGTTTTGGGCAAACCAACGGAGAACAGCCACACGATACTCAACGGTGTGCTCCGAGGCGCGAAGCGGAGCATACACACTGTCGCTGGAATGAGGAGCTAGCAGTGCTGCCAGTAGTTGCAATGAATCTGGAGAAGGTGTCACAGACAAGGTTTGTGGGGGTGTGTGTACGAGCAAACGAAGCAACAGTGGAAGAAATAGTTTCGGGTCAACGGACAGATTTTGCATAAGAAACTCTGTGAACTCGAGATTTGGCGTTTCCGGCAGACGCTGTGTGCCAAGAAGCAGAAACTGGGCGTCAACTTGTTTCAGCAGCTCTGAATGGGGCTCAACGTACTGTTTAGAAAGAGCAAGTAGTGGAACTTGCAAAGAAGAGTCGCTATTTAAGCGCGACTGGACGTGTTGAGCAATGTCCATTGTCTTTTTGCGAACAGCATCATGAGGAGATTCAAACTTTAGTAAAGCTGGGGCTAAATAAATGTCAATTGTTCTCTGAAAACTTGAGGCAGAGCTAGCCAAAGCGAGTTTTAATTCAACAGCATCCAAAAGACGCAATTCGTTAGCAGCCATAGGGGTAAAGTGAGAGGGAAAAGTAGGGTTCGAATAGGAGAAAGAAACAGCAGCGTTTTGCGGTAAAACAAGTACAAGGCAGAATGGTAACGAACTTTGGGGGTCGCGAAGGCGTTCTTACCACCATAATCCAAAAATCCCCATTCTCGTAAGCGTTAAGAAATAAGCAGAAAATTAATGAGAGCAACAGGTAGATGCTTTAGGGGGGAAACACGCTTTATCGTAGTTGATTCATGCAAAAGAAAATGAATTAAGAAAAGAAAAGAAAAACCACTGAAAAATGCCACAAGCTTCATGCGTATGCGGAGAAGTGCGGATGCTAAATATGTGAAAATGCGAAGGTTGTTGCGGGATACAGCTTGTATTAGAAAACAAAAGCTTTTCCAACCAAAAAAGTCGTAGAAGAAAACCCGTCCAAAGAGCGTTCTAGTATGACAAACCGTAATTAGTGTGGGTGCGCCTAGTGGATGCCAAGGTTAGTTTTCCTTCCAAAGGCTATTAGAGCTTGTGCGTAGATGTCTCGTGTGGGCACGAGGAACACTTTGGATCGTCGAGAGACGAGCAAGTTTTCGTCGGGACGCACTGGGAATAAGTACAATTTCATCGTCATCTGAATCGGATTCGTCGTTTTGTTTCGAGTCTAGCCAAACCTTGAAGTCTAAAACTGCCTTGGTAAGTTGTGGATGCTTAACGCCAATCCGAGCCACGCGATTTAGATAGGATGGAACGTGCTGTCCAGTCAACGCAAATGCCATGGCATCCGTGAAGTGGTTGCAATTGCGCTCAAGCAACGAGTACGCTGTTCCTTGGAACTCCTCACACAGTTGAGCGATGATTTGCGTGACGGTTTCTCGAGGCAGCTCACAAGGAGGTAAATCGATTCGACAGCGCCACGTAAGGTTCTCCAGCTCGGTCTTGGGTGGGAGGATAAAGACACCGGTCTTGTCTGGGATTTCATGTGCTCCATATGCAAACTCTTTATCATCAATGACAAAACCAGAGTGGTACACGCCCGTTCCACAGCTCCAGGCCATGTTCGATAGAAATCCACGCAGATAAATATCATAAACATTAATATAAACTTCCATGGCGCGCACAGGGAAGCCTACTTGCAACTAACTATGCACAATGGGCGTTGCAAGGTGTGTGTGGAGGACAACTCCTTCGTGTCGAGAAGACGCGCTTAATCTGTCGCAGTCGTCTACGTCACGCGCTGATGTAACAGCCACGTGCGCAGCTAAAACAACACGCACCAATCAAACAAAAAAGCGCCATCAGACGCGACACAATCAACACTTAGGCGACTAAAATAAATAACTTTATATAAATATGCACAGAAAAGCTAGCTGAGAATCAAAATACAAAATAAATAATCGGAGAATATTAGAGATAAAAGTCAGAAACATGCAGTAATAAGAAAGGAACCCGTCTTCGTTGGCCCATGCACGGCGGTCGCTAGTCGCCGAGTGAGTTGCAGAGTGAGAGGGAGCGAGAGCGAGCGATTGAGAAATGAAAGCTAGCCGGCCAGCCAAAAAAAGAATGAAAAAATAAATGAGAGAGAATTATAGAGACAAAGATTGTTCCGTGCGCACCGCTTGCGTACGATGCCACGGAAAGAGAATGAGCAAGCCGTCTGCAGTCAAGATAGTAGGAACAGATGAACTTGGCTCTGCAGAAGAAACAAAACAAAAAAACAGCATAGCACTGGCAAGAGCACAAAAACTGCATTTGTCTGAATAAGTGCAGGCATGCAGAAGTTCAAACGCACGAGCAGTTAATAATAGAATAGAAAAAATAATAAAATAATAATGCCCACGTTTGAGCATGAAATAGTGTGTGTGTGTGTATGTGTGTATGAGTATGTGTTGGCGGGCAAGAAGATCGAAGAAGCGCGGCTCTCGAGCGAGAGTTATGGCTGCTATTAGGAGGACAATAGGGATGAAATGCTGTTGGGAGAACTGCTGCAGGACCGGGGAGAGGAAACCGTGTCGCGGAAGGGCGACGTGTTCGACGGCGACTTGAGGTAGATGGGAGCGAAGGAGGAGATAAGAACCGAGTTGGGCTTCTGGTTCTTAAAATGCGTACGGGTGTGTTGGGAGCAGTTGTCGCGGCGACTAAACCGGGAATGGCAGATCCGGCACTCGTAGTTCTTCTCGCCCATGTGGATGCGATTGTGCCGGGCGAGGTGGCCCGAGGTCGTAAACGTCTTGCCGCAATGGCACTGGTACGTCTTCTTGCCCTTGGTCGTATTCCGCACAGCAGACCGCTGGCGCTTGCGCACCGGGCCCCCCGCACACTCCCCCGCTGGTGGGGTCGTCGGGGGTGTGGGGGAGGACGCGGGCATAATGGGGGTGAGTGGGGGCATTGGGTCTGTCAGAAGCCCAAGAGGAATGCGCGACCGGTAAATCGTCGTGGGCTTGGGCATGTCGGCGGACACGCTCACGGGCACCGCTGAGGTTACAGAGGGCATGGAAGAAATGGGCGGAACCACAGGACGCGGGTCGTCCCAAGGTGTGTCGCTGAGAATGCTAACGCGCTGGCCCGTGGCCGTCGTGACACACAATGAGGCGCTCATCGGTGCAGTCGCTTTAGCAGGGTGCAGTAGATGGTGGAGAGGAATGATGGGACTCGGCAATACGCAGCTGGAAGAAGCAAGACGAGATTATAAACGGCGGCGTCCTAGACCACGGAAAAGTGTTCTACCGTCTCGATTCGGCCGTGTCGTTTCGTTCAGTGTCTCCTTTTGTTCGCGCGGGCTCGTCGCGTCAGGCGCGTCGTGTCGCAATAAGCTTCGGCGAAATAGATAGGTCGCTGACGTCAGAAACCTAGGTCCTTGCTAGGGTTTACTGATCCAGGGTTTGCGGTCAGGTTTAGGTTAAATTAGGGGTTGCGCCAGACCAGAAGCTACTGTTCTTGCGCAGCGGGCGAACCAGCAAACAGGCAGGGCGAACAGGCGGACAGGTTGTCGTGCAGACAGGCAGTGAGGAGGCCCGAAAGGCAATGGATTAACGCAAAAGAAGAGCTCGAAGGCAGGACTCGGTGCAGTGGACGTGCCAAGTGCCCTTTTTAAGCACTGACGTCGATCACGAGAGCCACCGTTGATAGCACTAGAACTGGAGCGAGGGAGCGCGCTTTGTTCTTTTTCCGACATAGCCTGTTAGTGTGCTGCGCTGAGGCGACGCAATGCCCAGGATAGTCGGCACTACCCCAGACGTTCTCAAGGATAGAAGAGGATTTAAAAACGTTTAGCGAGACATAGCGTCATCGCGTCCACTCAGGAGCTAAACACTCCAATGCGAAGAAATGGCTGCCAGAGAAACTCCGAGAGCCCTGATTGGCAGGGTAAGACGGAATCGAAGGCGTCGAGAGGGCAACGAGCACAACGGACAGCACAGAGGACGAGCGGACAGGGCACCGGGGAGAGCAAGCAAAACGAACGGTTTGGCTAGGCGCATCCAATGCGAAGCAAACAGGCCATGGGGCTGCAGCATTATCTTCGCTTTCTGGCGTGTGAGCCTTGCCCTGGCCACTTAAGCGAAACGTTATTTCGCAAGCTCGGAAGATCACGGGGCGGCAGAGGGCTGCGGAAGAGGAAGCGAAACCGCCAAGATTAGCGATTGGGCCAGACGCAACCCTTGATCCCTGGGTCCCTGGACGCAGGGGTGTCTTAGCGAAGGGAAAGGCCTACGTCAGTGTGCAAAGCTTGTGTCTAAGCGAGCCATTCATGACCAAAGTGCATAAATCACGCCCTGCGATATGATCGGGTGAAAGGATGCGAGACATGCAGCTTGTGCGCGCTGAGGGGGCATTTCCCGCGCACATATTGCACAGCCGCGGCGACACCCATGCGCCATAACGTCAGAGATTCTCCATCAGGTAGCGTCGAAAAGCATAAAACGTCATCGGGCGCCACGCGCATGCACGCGCTTGAGGTGAGATGACGTACACCCCTGTCCCTCTGTCGCCAACCCGGCCCACGTCACGGCATCGCGGGGTGGGGACCATGACTGTGCATGACACGGTTGCACATGCTCGCTTAGCTGAGGCCACTGCCCTGGCGCGGTTCGAACTGCGCACACGCGGTCGCAGGTGTCGGGCGCAAGCTCTCGACGGCGGCCGCTGATTGGCCGTTCCCGCACCGTGATCGGCATCATTCCGGAAACCGTGTTCCGGGTAGAAGCAGAGGTCTTGTATTCCTCGGCATGTGTCGGCGAGAGTCGGCCTGCGTCATAGGATCCTCGATTCGCAGTCAATCCCTTTCTCTTGTCTGTGCACCCCTGGATGTCGGCTCACCCATCGCGCACCTAAACGCGCCCCACGTCAACAGGGACCAACACGCTCGAAACGGGTTCGGAAACGAGAACTTCCGTCATCGTCCCAAGCACGCCCATTCACAGGGCGGGACAAGCACAAAGGTAAATGAGGAGCAGACCCACTTGGCACGAATTTCCCTCTCCCCACCACCTACCCGACGAAGCGACGGCTACCACGCCTATTAAGATAATCGAGGGGCGCGGACTTGTGCAGTGGCGCCAAGAACGCCAGGATCTTCCACGTGAACACGCGCTAGTTGCCGACCGAGCGGCGGGGCGGGAAGAAAATGTGGGGGAGAGGGGTCGTGGCACTACGAGCTGCTGCGAGGGACTACGCGGGACTACGAGGGACTACGAGGGCAAGCAGACTACAGCGAAGGAGGAGGGAGGGTACAGACGGAACAGAGCTGACAGAGTGAGCAAGAATAGCTGGAGTCGTAGGGTCGTAGTGATCGGCCAGGATCTGCCACGTCAATGAATTACGTAAACAAAAAAGTGCACAGTTAGTTAGCGCAAGCTGGCGAGCAGGGTAGCTAGCGGCAGGCCAGCGATAGCGAGAACGGGTGGTGTCCTAACGGCAGCTGATGCCATCGTCGGTGAAACATGCAGGCTTCCTGGGCGATCTTGCCGAACGGACAAAATAACCCTGGTCGCTTACTTGCCCAAACCAGATGCCCGCTTCGTGGCCTCCTCGATACTGCGAGCAATGGTACTACGGAGTTTGCCGTCTTCAAGCGCCAACAGACCACTGATGGTACAGCCAGCGGGATCGAGACGTCATTACGAATCATGGCAGGGTGCTGACCGCTGATGACCATCTTGGCGGTACCAACCATCGTCTGTGCGGCGAGCTCTTGTGCTTGACGGAAGGGAATGCCCATCATAATGCCACCGTCAGTCATGGCCTCGATCATCGTAGCCACGAAAGCCGGTCCACTGCCACAAAGAGCAGTAGCGGCATCGATCAAGCGCTCGTCCAGCTGCATCGTTCGGCCAATGCCACTGAAAACCCACTCGGCAAACTCGACGTCGGTTGGGGTGGCACGGGGTCCAGCACAGATGACACTCATGCTCTCGCGAATGCGGCTAGCTGTGTTGGGCATAATGCGGACGACACGAGTGCTTTCGTCGACCATGCTCTGCAGCTGATCAATGGTTTTACCGGCCAAGATGGAGAGCACAAGCTTTCCCTTCAACGCCTCGCGCATGCCGGCGACACCGAGCACCTCGGAGGCCACCTGGGGCTTGCAGGCCAACAAAACGTATTGGCTTTGCTCCGCAGCACGAACATTGCCCGAGTGCTGCACAAACTCGGCACGGCCGCCCAGCAGCCGCTGTCCATCCTCCACTTCTTTGGCAAACTTCACGCACGCAAAGTACTTGTCAGGCACCGCAAAGGGGACATCCGTAGGCACACCGTTCTCGGCGACAGAGTCGAAAATTCCGGTCAAGAGGGCCTTGCCCATCGTTCCGCATCCCAGTACACAGAAGCCAGTCATGATGGTTGTTGGTGGGTGTTCGTTTCGCTTGCGTGGGGGGTTATGTGGGTGTGTGTGGGGGATGTGGAGCGGACCTCGTCGACGATGTGGGAGACACGGAGCCAAGTGGGGTGTGGGGGCGGTGGACAAAGTATTCGGGTTGGTTGTCGAGGGTTTGGGCGACAGGGCCGATGGGCGGTCGAAAAGCGAGGATGTCATAAATGCACTGCAATTGCTGTGTAACTGTGCAACTGATCCTGTTTCACTAATTCCCAATCATCATAGACTTCATGTGATCTGTTTCTACGCTCTGATTAGCTCTTCTCGTCTGTAATACTCTTCAGATCGCATGTTGGGAGAAGAGAGGTGTTGGCGCCGTTAGACCCTCTGATCGTTCGCTTCCTCAATTAAGGTTAGCATCCTGCGCTACAGCGCCGAATACCCGAACATTCTCGAAAAAACGAGTTGGCGAGATTTACTGGAGTCACGGTATTTAAGGTTAATGCAGTTTTCTGAAGTGCACTAACCTTAATCCTTTGCGACGCTTCTTTGAGTCGCCGCCGACCGAACACACCTGCCCTCTGCCAACCACTGGTCTGTGAGTGCGAATTCTGCTTGCTAGCCTAAAATGTCAAACTTCCAGTACTGTATCGAGTGTAACAACATGCTGTACGTCGTATTTACGTGATTTTAGACCAATTTCTAATTCAAACTTTTTGTTTAGTTATCCTCGTGAGGATAAAGTAAATCGAACCCTCCGCCTCGCTTGTCGGAACTGTGATTATTCGGAGGTACGGACAATTGCTTTTTGTGCGTCAACTGCCCATGGATGGTGAAGCGTTTGCGCTGATTTCCATGTGTTCACTCAGAGCTGACGCGTTCAGGTCGCTGCTGGCAGCATGGTTTACCGCCATGAACTCATGAACTCAACGGGGTTTGTGCATTTTTTTTCAACGAGAGTTTGCTCGTCGATGTTGACGGCAAAACTCTTGTTTGTTCGTTGTACACAACATTTGCTAACACACGTGTTGCAGTGAAACCGCCGGTGTCACACAGGATGTGGCTTCTGATCCCACCCTACCTCGAACGGAAAAGGAATGTAAACGCTGTCACCAGTCTGAGTGTGTGTTTTTCCAGTCTCAGTCTCGTAGGGCTGACACTAAAATGGTACGTCTATCTCCACGACGTGCTCGATCACGCCGTTTGTGAGCCCCCCTACAGAGCGTGCGTTCGCTTACACCTATCCAGACCCTGTTCTTCGTGTGTGCTTATTGCGGTTTTATTTTCGAAGACTAGGGGAGGGCCTTCACGATGCTCTACTCTAATTTGTCGTGATCGACGATAACGACGACAAAGCTGACCTTCCCGACTATCCCGCCAACGCTCCTTCAGCGCTTTATACCCGACGCTTCCGTTCTATCTGCCGAAGAAGCGCACCCAATCTGGAAATGCTTGAGACTCATATCCATGCATAATAATTTGTAAATTAGGCTGGCTGGAAGCGCACACGTGGCACATTACAGCCCTTATTAACGCCGACTTGCGTTATTTATTGGGCCTCACGGTGGGGAAGTGGTGCTCGGCGTGCCAGCCATTTGTTTGCGGTCCGTACTTGCCAGCCTCGTTTACTGTTTTCGATGGATACCGAGCGAAATTCGATGGTGCTTATTCCATTTTTGCATCACGGCCCTTGATTCGAAGTGTCTATATACGAAGCATCGTTTCCCCTGCAATTCCTCACTCATCTTCCTCTGCCTTGTAGCGGTAAGCTACTTTTCCTTTCTATCCCTCTCCATATCGTCTACAGCAAAAAAACAGCATTCAACGGCAGACAACACTCCGTTGTATTCAATTGGCTTTTCTGTGAGCTCTTTTTCTTGGCATTTTTGTGTTTCTTCGCCTTGTTTCTCCTCATTATTTCTTTTCTCTTTACACCTACAGATTGTTTGTGGTTTTGAAATTTTGTTATTGACTTTTTTGTCCGCTTGCCTTGCCAATAAACTCTTTAAATTCGTATATGGCAGCTATTTCTTTCAACCAGATTTCTTCCGGACCAGCTCACCCGTGTCTGGCTGAAATTCACGAAGCACTTCGTGTCCCCTCTCCAATTCCCAGTAGCGATTGGGATTGCTCAGACTACGATCCCAGCCTTGTCTCTAACTCTCGTCATGCTACTCTGAACACTCGTCGCTTTAGTCCGCTTTCGTCTAGTGGGCTTTTGGATACCCCGTCTATTCATTCTACTGGCAGCTCTAGTTGTTTCCCCTTTGATTGTGCTTCATTGCACGCTAACGAAACATCGTCGAACGATCACTCTCTCGTCACGCCTAGTGAGTCAATTGCTGAACAGTCATCTCAAGCAAGTATCCATGAGACAACACCTATTGTGCAGTCTCCCGTGGAGCGTGATGACAATACTAGCATGAACGAAGTTTCTCTTAACGCTGTTTCTACAGAAAATAGATCTGAGGCCGATGTCCTCCGTGTGTATAATGCCGAATCGGCCGACGGACAAGCGTCGCACGAGTCGGTTACCGATACGGCATCTATAAGCGCCGAAAACAAAATCGCACATTCATCTTCTATTCAAGATCGAATCGGTACCTATGTGGACGATGCTGATGACGACAGTAGCTACAGTGACAGTACTGTTGATGGTGCCGCGCTCCCTACCCAACACCCCAACAGCAGTATTGAAGAAGACCCTTTATCTATGAACATGAAAACAACATCGCCGGTCGATGTCTCTGGTGAGTTACACAGTGATGCAGATACGGTGTCCAATGTGTCTCCCATGACTTCGGACATTGATTCGCGTTTGAGCTTCGTACAGCACAACAATGGCAGTGGAAGCGTGCTTGAGACCGCTTCTATTATTCACGAACATTCAACTTTAGAGATCGGAGAGTCGTCTTTTGAGTTTAGCGACAGCGCCAATTCGGAAGGCTTGGTGGATGATGACGACGAGAATAATACCATTCGCTCTTTCGGCATGTCAGATGATTCATTTTCTTCAGACGAAGTGAAAACTCCTCCACGCTACTCCATGGAAAATGATGTTGCTCGTCCAGAAGTGTATTCCGAGAATTATGCAAATGAACCTGGCTTGAACGCTGTTCCTACGTCTGTTGAACCCAATCCCTACGATGCCAACACACCTCATCTTTTGCTTCCAAAGGTTACACATCTTCCCGATCCTCGATTTACCGATGTCCTTTCAGCTTTGAATTCTTTCAACCGTGGTTATTTGATGCGGCAATGTTCGAAGGTTGTTCATGCTACCAGCGGTGGCATTGAGCGAAGCCATGTTGTTGAGTCTGCCCTGCCTTCTCAAAATAATGAAAGCGTTACTCCTAAGACGCTCAGACCAACTACCTCGCGTACAGCAGCATCGACTTCTGGTCGCCTGTTGGTGAAGCTTATTGAACTTAAGAATCTTACTTTGCCACTTGCAGCAGGCCATGACACTATGTTTATGTGTTATCAAAATGGTGAAGAAGAGACTCGCAAATGGAAGGTACTTCGTTCACACACGGCAATTCAACGTGAGTATTCGTTTGACCAGGTTTCCGGATCAGTCCTTACTTGGACTTTGCGTGCAAAGTATGAGCGTCCTGCTCCCAAGCCTCGTCCTCGTTCTACACTTGGTAAAGTTTTCTCTTCTTCTCGCCGTAAGACAGTCATTCTGGACCCTGTTTCGCAGGCTCTTAACGGACATGTATCGCCTGAGGGCGTATTCGGTACCGTTACCTTGAATTTGGATACCATTCGCAATACCGCTTTAGGCCGTTGTCAAGTTTTGCGTCTTCCCATCATGAACAAATGGACTGTTAACACAACGAACCCAGATGCCAAGCCTACTTCTCATAAAGTTGGTGAAATGGAAGTTCACGTCTTTTACATTCCGGCTTTGCCAGTACCTCCTAAGGATCTGCCAACTACGATTTCTGCTGCTTTACAAGATCTCAGAATGGCCGAGTGGGATCGTACTCTTTTGTGTGATGGTTACCTCTCGCAACAAGGTGGAGACTGCCCTTATTGGCGTCGTCGCTACTTTCAGTTGATAGGTTCCAAGTTGGTTGCGTTCCATCAGTTCTCAAAGGCTCGTCGAGCAACGATTGATTTGTCTGTTGCTACGCACATCGTTGATGACAATCATTATAGTGATGAGGATGAACTTGAAGGATATCTTTTCTTGGAGACCGGTTTCCGTATCATTTTCAGTGATGGTGAACACGTTGATTTCTATGCAGAAACAGTCGACGAAAAGGAACAATGGATGGCTACACTTCGTAAACATCTTGGTCAATGCTCCAAAGTGAGTAAGAGTTGGACAAAAGCTTTTCTTACCACGGTTGCCCAATCGTAGGGCATGAATTAGCAATGGGTTTTTCCATAAGTTCATTCTTCGCAGTTGCCTTCTGGTTCAAGGCAAACTGTATTGTGTTTCGTGTGCTCCTAGCTTTGTCTTTTTTCTCCTCACCTTTGTCAACCTCATCATTTTCCTGTTCCTCTCCGTTTCGTTTTGTTTTTCTCATTTTTGCATGTTCGACGTTGTCGGCCCGTTATGATACGCTGCTAAAGCCGATGCCGTGTTATTACTCGGGATATTTGCTTTCATCTTGTTCTCGTCCTATTTTAATCACTTAGATTGTGTCCATATCATCTCAGGAACGTCTCTTGTGTGGTTGTTTTGTGAAATCATATTCTGTACAAAAACTCGGGCTGCTACTGTTGATGACTAAAAAGTTCATCCTGGAAAGTAGTATGCCTTGTCTATTCCAATACAACATCACAAAGAGCTGACCTGTGTCTTGTCTATAAACACCTAGGGCGCAATGCGTACTCGGTATGTATTAATTTTATTCCTCTGCTCCATTAAGTAATAAATTATATCTTCTCAATACGACTAGTGGTAGGTGGTATCTATGTGTATGGATATTGCTATTGTTAGGATCATTTATTCAAATAAATGCGTTATCTCTAAACTTTTCTTAGAAGGTCGCACTTAAAGAAGATTACCAGTATGGCGACAAAGAATTGCTGAACGCAAATAATGACGTGGACTTCAACATCACTCGTACGAAGTTTCAAGCAAGTAAATTGTGATATCAACAAAGCCTTGGTAATTCCCTGTACGTACTAATTGTCTTCACACCAAGACTTTGTAGTTGTGTCTATTAGAATACCAGGTTTAGGATGAATTATTGAAGATAATAGATACGCAGTTTAGTCATATACGTCTATTGTGTTTTCCATAGCGCAGCTTAGGACGGGACGACTCGTGACTATATTTCAATTATACCCAAACATTTCGTTTGCCGTGGTTTTAAAACGATCATCTGAATTATTATAGACCATGTGATGTTCATACGATATTGTCATTTAGAAATAAAGGAAACAAAATTCAAATACTGGAGTCGTTTGCAAGGAATGTGAATATTCTAAAGAATAATTAAGAAATAATAAAAGCTCGAATAAATGTTATTCCTGAGTAAAAATAATTAACTGTGTCTTGACTCAATTAATCGTTTATAAGTAAAGAAGTTTGATAAACCATAAAAAAAGAAAATGTGGGTTCTAATTAGGAATTAAATAAGTAAACTCTCGGAAATTCAGACAGACCGTGAACTGTGATTGTCACTTATTTATTGTCTTATCATAAACATTAAGTGTTCATTAAATCAGACATAAATTTGTTCACTTGTAGCAATATGATTGCGTTTTTCCCTTATATTAATGAACAGAGAGGAGCTTACAGACTCAAAAATTGTACAGTTATTGATTTTTTTCTTAATTTTCTAGCAAAATTCCAGTGTCTCGATTTCTAATAACTTTAAATACTTATTTTATAAAACAAAAAAAAAAAGACAGTATAGTATATTACCAATCTTTTTATCAAATCAATGCACAGTCTACTGTTTTAAGCTTATCAAAAAACACGAGAAACAAACAAATATAAACTAAAAAAAAAAAAAAAAAAAAAAAAAAAAAAAAAAAAAAAAAACAACGAAATGTTGTTTTTATGGCAAACTTATAGACTCAACAAGGTCAATCCAATTGACCTGAAAACTTCTTATTAAGATAATTATTATGTCTCGACTTAGCATACTTTTGTTTTAGCTTTATTAAGCGTGGGTAAAAATACAATCTCACCACCAAAAACGCTACACCAAAAACAATATGCCATCAACTCTATAATTGTCATGCAATACGAAGAGGTCCTCCCTTGTCTGGGCTGACATATTTGGCGACTTAATGCTTTAACCTTTTCCCTTACCAACACTGTCTCATTCCATGTCTTATTGTGCAGATGCAATTCTTTAAAGCTGAGGAGTACGCAACATGCCGCAATTGCTGTTTATGAGTAAGACAAGTACTAATAACAGTAGTTTTATTCTGGGCTTCATTCGTTGTCAATACCTTCGTAATGTTCCTGATGGAACGGATGAACGGATTATTACGAAGGGAGACATTGTACCTCCTGATTACTCTCAGTTTGAGAAATTGCTGAACCACAAGCAACAGTCATGTCTGAGGCGTTGTCCAAGTCCCGTTATCGTCATCGACCAAAGTTCAAGTCATTTTGATGAATACGTTAGGCGCAATTTTCATGAAACGTCACCAAGAAAGCATGAACAAGGTGATACCTCTGCAAATCAAACACACAAGAGGTTTCCGTCGGACGAACGTCCCCTCAAGGGGGACGATAATGAGTGCGTCTTCTCTTTCAGCAAGGTTCCGATGCAATTTCAAGACCCTACAAAACAGACTGAAATTAAAGAAGATACGCTTTTAAAACATCGTGATGATACACATCCTCTTCCTTTCAAAAAGGAAGACCGACTGACTGCCTTAAAGTTTCCTTCGAGTAGCATTTCTACTGAAATTGGCACTCTTCGATCTATTTCTGATGCTTCTGACCATAGTGCAGTTCCTTCGCGTCACCATATAGAAGCCGTATCTGTACCAACAGAATCCGAGCTTTCTGTCCTAACCAAGCAGGAACGAAAGGAACCAACGACTGATGCACCTGTCTCTGCGCTCACGACCATATTTCAACGTAACTCCTTACGAAAGACAAGCAATCCTCTCGTTGATTCCTTTGCCATGCTTTCCGGAAAAACACTCGATAATCCGTTGAAAGTTGACATTTACTGTCCTTTCAGTGAAGAACCGGAAAAACCTTTAAAAATAATGTTGAAGCCGTCTGTTACTGTGGAAGAAGCCATTGGTTATATTCTTTATGAGTATATCGAGAATGGTCAGAAACCAGAGCTGCCGAAAGAACAACAGAATCCAAATTACTGGAACCTTCGAATTGTTGAAGATGATGGCGAAATTGACGAGGACTTCCCATGTATGTTATCACGTTTTATTTTCGCTATGTTTTCTAATTAAATGTCATAGCTTTGGACCGACATCGCCCTTTGGCAAAGTTTTCCTTTGATGCATTTGCTCTTGCGCAAGCCTCAGAAAATCAGAGTATGTGCTTTGCTGTGTTTTGCTCCATTTCCTAACATAATTAGTCAAAGAAAACCAACAGGCGAATCCTTTCCCACCAACTTCAGAACAGAAGGAACCATCGGTTGTAGAAAATATCCAGCAAACTAGGCCATCAGACTCCTCTAACGTTTCATCTGAGAGTCTGTCTGATAAAGACTACGGAGTCTTTCACGTTGTACACGTTCGGTTGTTTCCCTATAACGAAACCGCTCGTTCTACGGCAATTGAAGTCACAAAAGATACACGGTTATCCTCAGTACTTATCCAAGTATGTCGCATACATCAGCTTGAACGATCTAAGTATGTTTTGCGTATTTCAGGAACGGAGCTTTATGTGCCTACTGATAAGACCTTTCAGCTGTTGGATGGGTTTCCAGATCTGGATTTGGTAAAACAGAAGTACCGGGACCGTCGTGCACTGGGTCAAGCAAATCATGCACCCTCTCCTGGTAGTAAGTTTCTTATGGTTCATTCCATTTACACAAGTTTTATACTAACAAGTTGTCTACAGCTTCGTTATACGGATCTACAACTCATGACTTACTACCTCCGAGTTTCAATGCCACAGATATTGTTTCAAGTAACGCCTATCAGAAATTCATTGTCTGGAGAAAGCAACCAATGTCATTTATGAGTAGGCATGAACGACTACTTGCTATTGACGGCGAGTATGTTCACATCATGCCTTCGGAATCGAAAACAATTTTTGAAACGTCCAAAACGTCTAGTGTACATGCCAGTTCAATCACTAAGTGTAAACAATCTCGAAAGTCACCATTCAATTTCAAGATGATTGTTTCGAAAAGTCGAGAAACAAAAAGGTATTGCATTCAGAAGTGATTATTTTTATTACCTCATTTCTAACGTCTTGAGCAGATACGATTTTGAAGCCATGTCTCAAATTGAGGCTGCTACTATTGTGAGTCGAATTAACGCTCTTGTTGCGGCCTATTCAAAAAACAATTATCAGAATTGAGCACCATTTAGACATCATCCTTATAACGTAATGAAATGAGCATGGCTTATCTCCATGCATGGACATGACCTATTTACCCTTTTAATATTTCTTTTCGGCTATTAAATCTAGTATTATAAGTGACAGATTGGAGTTATTTTCTTTTTTGGATATTTAATTTTGATTTTGACGATCAGATTTGAACGGGCTGCCCTATACATCTTCAAATTCCGCGTCATCGTCGTCATCATCATCGTCGTCGGCAGCCAAAACTGCATCAGCAATGTGAACAGCTTTAGCCGGTTCCTCAACTTCTTCGGTTTTAATCCTTTTGTTGTCATTAGCAACTAACACACTGGCTTCACGTTTTACAGAAGTAGAAGAAGAATCGTTATGAGACGTAGTTGTAGTAGGTATACTCACAAATTCAGTCTCATCATCCGAGTTATCGAATGCAACAGTGGTCGGAGTAGATTGAACAGTAGACGATGGGGCCGTGGCCGTCTTCTTTGCACGCAAAGAAGCATAGTAAGCGTCCAACGCGTCTTTTTCAGCACTGATGTCAATCTCATCTTCTTTTTTGTCAATCAAGTCATCCGAGACTTGTGGCATAATAGATGCATGCTTGGCACCAACACGAGTAATGTCGCCAGAAATTGTTGACATAGCATGCCATTCTGGAAGGGCATTTTGAGCAGCGAGTGCAGCTTGACGTTGTCTTTGTTTTTCCCGTTCTTCGTCTGTTTTCTGTACCTCTGCTGAGATATCGATAGTAAGTGAAGTTTGGGGTTGAACAGTTTTGCTTTCCAATTTCTGCATGTTCTGTTGCTCTGCATTTTGGGAACTCTCCGTCGTAATGGGTACGGCATGCTCCATTGCCGTAGTATATGAATTTTCGGGAACAACAGTTTCATCCACTTGCTTTAATTGATCAATGATCTTGTTCACCTGACCCATTAAACGGCCCAAACGTTCTTGACTGGAAAGCATTTCCACACTCTCCTCGTCATCTTTCAGTTCTGTACCACAATCGTCACAAGCAAATGTTCCGGCCATTGTAACCAAAGAGAGTACATCCAAACTTGAGTAACGACGCTTACATAGGGGACAGATGTAACCTTTTGAGTCAAAATCCTGGACTGTTAGTACTACATTAAACCAAGGATAAAGAATTTGCAGTAAGACCTCCGTAAGGTATCCATAAAAACTCCAGTTGTTCAATTCGTACATTTCTCATTCGATCTTCGATCGTTTTCACCAATTGGTGCATCCGCCATTTGATACTGTCAATGGTCGTACAAAAGTTTATATAGTAATATGGCATGTGAACTTGTCGTTGTTGTCCTTCTTTTGTTTCTGTTCTATTATGGCTATTTTAGGAGTTAGAGACTTTATATAATGTTGTATAATTGCATACATGGCTAGAAGTCTATCTTCTCTCAATTTTCCAGCAATATTTCTGCATTCTTTTACGGGAATTCCCATCAACATAGCCATTTGTTCATCCGTAAGACTGTTTCAGGTTAGATATATTGTCAACACACGATATACATACCACGAATGCTTCAGAACAGCATCGACAAAGATGATATGCCGCGTTTCATAAAACGCGCGCATAATCATCTTTATAAGACGTATAACACTTTTTGGAGCATTGGACATGTGAAAGAATTCAAATTAACGGTTTCTTCACTGTCGAAAGAAACTGAAGGTGAGCAGAAGAGAAGGTCAGAGAAGGAGATGCTAAAGGAAGGTTATTACAGGAAGGAAACAATAATAGAAGGAACTAACTAAAAACGAGCGATTTATGAAATGCTATTCGGTGCGAGCTTCTCAGTGATGTGTTGTATATCGTGTACTACTCAGAAAGATTGCTTATATTAGATACTACTAGAAAGAGAAAGTTGAACGGAAAGCGGCGTGTTGCGGAATTTACGAACGTGATAGATTCATGAACCAATTAATATGAACGAAAAGAATGGAAGGGTTTTGAGTTTGAGGCAGTTTTGACAATGTGCAAAAACCGCTTGAAGAGAAACGGCGAAAAGAAAACTCATGAAACGTATCAAAAATCACTCATCATCAGAAAGAATGTTTCCAAACTTATTATTAACAGCCCGATAATGGACTGAGAGAGTTGGCTGAAAACTTGATTTGCCCTTATGTACATGTTCCTCGACAGTCAAAGTAAACGTTTGATAGTCCCCATTGAGATATGCAACGAACAGACTTGTGTCTGATAGCCATTCCATTGCAGATGGATCACTGGACGCAAGTTTAATGGTCCAGTGTGGACGTTTTCCGGCATCTATCATTTCACCGATGCGCCGTTTCCAGTGTGTTTGTTGCACAGCATCTTCTGAGTCTATCATTTGATTTTCAAAAGAATCGGTTGACCCAGATCCTGTTAAACGATCTTCATCATCAACTTTCAGCGATGATTTAAGAAGCTTTATTGGATTTCCTTGTAAACTGTAAACATGCAGTGTAGAACGTTCGCTTGAAGCAGCAAACAAAGTCTCATCAGGTGAAAAGCGAAGCAATTTAATTTTTGCTTTTTGAAAACCACGTCGCAGTTCAGTAATCTTCTCTCCAGTCTCTGTATTCCATACACGGATGAGAGTTCCGTGTTCAGAACATGATGCAAGTAACTTTCCAGTTCGAGAAAATGATAAACTAGAGATGGCGGCCTCATGTGCAAGTATTATGCTGGATTTAAACTGCTTTGCTTTAAAAAACATGAGCTGAATATGACCAACATTCCGAGCAGGAATACACATTATGGCATTTTGACCGAGTGACACCATCGAGCATGTGCCTATTAAAAGTTAGTTCCGTATATCATTAAAGAATCCAACGAACCCCGTTCACTGCTAGTCTGTATTTCTTTTAACAATACTGGACCATTCGTTATGGAGTACAGTACCGCCTTATTCTTCAACATGACAAGAAGACTGTCTTTTGTTAGATTATTCGACCAAGTACCAATTCTTATAACTCGTACAATTGTTTATCACATTGAATGTTCAGCACTTCTGATTTAAACTCAATTTCACCAACGGGTGCCTGTTTTTTTTCATCCCAAAAAATGACCTTTGCGACGTTAGATTTTGAAGCAATCACCCATTAAATAGTCATTCTTGTTCATTACCTTATTTGAAGCGAATTTCGGATTCTTTCCGCCTCCTACTAAAAGTATAATGTTGCTCCGATAAATCATTTGAGCGATTCTCACGCCGCCATCGTCAAATCCTATATGCGATTTCGTAAGTATTGATAATTCTAACTTCTTTAAGTGTCTTGTCTTACTTCGTCGCGCTTGTAGACTCAACGGTGATAGCTGGTAAACACAAAAGCCGTCTTCAAGCGCTGCAGTCAGGAAACTCCTATCCTGGTTTGTAGTATATCTTAAGACGTTCTGCATCGGAATACAAGAGCTACTTCATTTACAATTAAGTGCGTTTGACAATACTGCACGATTTATTCTCGAGTAGGTGTCTCCAACTAAGATGGAAGACACGTTAGGGCACCGTAACGAAATTAACAATTATCGTCAGCTTTACGTTGTAGTTGTAAGAATAGCCTTCGTGTTTTAACTGTGAGTTAATGATTTTACTAATAACCTTGTTGAAACCGTTTTGATCTACAAATTGCAATCAATTAGTCCAAGTTAATAACCGCCAAAAGACGTTTGGCAACAGATCCAATACTTAGTTAGTTAACAAACATATAAAATTCATTATGCTTTGTCATACATTGACACAATCGTAAACTATTCATACTACAGTACACAAGTAAAAACAAAAGAGCTTATGAGGATGGCTTCCCGAGTGCTCGTCTATTAGGGGAGGGTTCAGGCACAACGAAACGTTCGTGAAGTTGAGGGAAACGAGAAAAAACGAAAGCAAACAAAGTGGATCATGACCGCATGTATTGAGCAAGATTGTGCATACGGTCGATAATCTGGGGAAACAAAGCACTCACGGAATCATTGATCAGTTGCTCAAAGTACTTGATGGCTTCTGACTCAGAAATTTCCAGACAAAATCGTTCTTTCACTTTGAACACGACCTTGTCTCGATCAATTTTGATATCCGGAATGTTGGCATCAACCATTAAGGAAAACAAGTTTAATATCAAATTGGCGGACTTTCGCAACGCAGTAAACGTTGTATAACAATAACTCTTAAATTTCTGATAAAAAGGAGAGTTGTACCCACCCATGCCTTCGACCATTTCCTTCGAGAGTTTCATTGCTGGTGAAAACAGTTTGGGATCACGTCCCAATATATAGCCGAAATCTGCATGGAAGAAGTGGCCGTCATCTGTTAAGAGTAAGTTGTCGAAATGACGATCACCAACGCCTAGTAAGTATGTAATGACACAGTATCCCGCGCAGCTGCGAACGTAATTATCCATAGCAGTCGGATGAATACCGTAAAGTGCCTCTGACCGATCAGATGGATTTTTCTCGCGAAGAAAGGATAAAACGCTGCCATGGTACTCGAGCAAAACGCTGGCAAGAGTCCTTGATGGTACAAATTGGACTGCTCCATGAGTGGGGCCCGTGGCTAAAATTCTGTATGGCTTCAGCTTCAAGTCCAGTTTTTCTTTTTTTAGAAGGTTATCCATCAAAATTAAGATTTGGATGACTAATTGATCCTGTCTCAAATCGTCTCCATTTTTAAAAATAATTGGGTACGTAGAACCATCGGTACACTGAAACAGGATACGAAGTGGCTGCATGGTTGATTTGAAAACGGAACAGCCATCGGGATGGATTCCACAAACCTCAATACTCGGGTCGAGTGGAAGTGGTAATGCCTCAAATCGAGACAAACTGTATGTGTCATTGCGCAGCAGCTCTTTCAAATATTCTATTTTTTTTTTCCGCGTTCCGCGGTATGCCTGAATAGCCTTACTAATTTTCAAGAGATTTTCAATGAGAGAAGCCTGTTTTGCAAGAACATCACGCGTTTGCAATCCTGCAGGTGTCTTTGAGAGATTAGATTGGAAGGCAAACATTACTTCCGAGAATATTAAGTTTTTTGGAGAGTCTTCAATTTCAACGAGTAAGTACCAGTAGAGATAATTACATATGTTTTTCGAATTTGCTGCCCGTGAGACAAGGAAAGACGAGAGTGAGTTATCAGGATCATTTTCGGACTGCTTCTCCGTGTTTTCATAACGCAAAGCCTGCACTAGCTGCAGCAAATACAGCAACAGCTCCTCGTTTGTGGCAGTTCTTAATCTTGAGACAGCATATGCGCGAACTTTCGGATGCTTGAAAGAAGGACCAAGTAATTCCAACGCATCGTCAATGCTTATTTCCGTCCAACTAGATAGTAACGAAATGGCTTGATGCACTTCACTTTCGTCCGACCATTGTACACACTTAAGAAACTTCGTGAGTGCACGCTTATCACGCGTTAAGTAATACCGAAACTTCCATATTAGATCTTTCTCCTCAATCGTTAAAACTTGACTTGGTGGGTACGACATAATCATGTTAAGCTCATCACGAATTTTTGAGTTTGGTTTCAGGTCTCTGTCGAGAGGACCATTGCGTTGAGAACGCACAAGTTTCCTGTGCTTCAGTTCCGCAGGATTCTCAAAACACATTCCAAGGTCGAAGGACACCTGTGGTATTCCTTCATCATAAATCCGTTCTTGATAAATGATGGGAACGCCAATTTGCGGAAGTTCCATATAGATGACTGGATGGTCTAACGATTTTAAAGCATTCGAGCGTTCCAGTTTAAGCTTCTCCAAAACAGCTTTGTCCAACCATGAAATGCGATGTATTTCACCACTCTTGTACTGTATGAGAAAGTGGTCCAACTGTTCTAACCGTCTCAAATTCGGACTGACTTCATTCTTAATTGCTGTTTCACTTGGAGACTGTAAGTAAAGATGTACTTTCTGAAGTCCTTGTTTAAGGATTCCTTCCGACGAGAAGACAGGCAAAGACGCTTTTCCAATACACTTTAAAGGATCGTAACCTTCCTTATTTGTTTCCCAGATGGCAATCACAAGTTTACTGTTTAATGGCAAATCTCGTAAACGAACAGGAAATTTCAGCCATTCGTCTGAATCATTAATTTCCAAAAAACCGAGAGGTCCGTCTGTGCGAATGACAAATCGTCTGTAATGCAAAGAAAGAGCTGTGTCGCTAGAAAAAAGCTGTAATGTACAAATTAACGGAAAATCAGCTTGTACTCCTTCCACAACGCCAATTCGCACCCTCAGTACATCGGGTATCTTGTAAGATGGACAAAATGAGAAAACTACCTTGTCCATGCCATACGTGTTCTAGTTAAGCTCGTCGCATATTCCTTGAGCAGGTCTTACTTAGTGTTCACATTCGCTCCACCAGGTGAGCAAAAAGGCTAAAGTTAAAAAGCTACGCGACGCGTCGCGTCACTGAACTTTTACCAATTGCAACGTTGTTGCCTTCATTTCGCCAAAAACAATGTCTCAAATGTTAGAAGACTTATTAAAACAGTACTCTTACAAGCCCAAGAAATCGACGAACTCGCGAAATATTATTTTGATAGGTACGAGTTATACTACCTTGAATGAACAACCGGCTAAATATAGGTGATGACTTGCACGTCGTCGAGAGACTTTGTTCATTAGATTCATTTAAGAAAGAGGTCTGTACGGTTTCCGAGGAGACTGGCTCTTGTCCGTGTCAAAAAAACGATGAGAACGGAAGTCATCTTTTAAAATACAATAAGCTGTTCATAGGTTCAGTCACAGAAGAAGGTATTAGACGCAGTTTTTTTTTTCTTGCCGCATCGTTTTCATTAACAGTTATTAGAATGGGAACTGAATGTTTGGAGCGTAAGCACACTCTCAGCTTCCCTCATTCAATATGCAATTGATAAATGTCTAAAAATTTCTTCACTAGAAGACTTACTAGTCATTTTCCAGTATGACGCATCCAACGGATGGAGCGGTTACTGTCAACGGTTATGTGAGTTTTATCTTATCGTCAAAAATGCCTTGTCTATATCCACAGAAGAGGAATCAACTTACAGAAAAAAAGGTGAGTCCACAGAATCTTAGATCAAACGCTTACAACCAGTCCTCGAGAGCTATAACTTGCCTCAAAATTTTCAATGGAGACGAAAGTCGGTTTTCCCGTTATTCATGGTCCTTTGTGAACAAGTAAGGCACGTCATTTTTGCTCCGCTAACCAAAAGGTGCCTTCTGAAGCAAACTCATCGGGTTTTTATGAGCAAAACGAGGACTTTGTGCAACAATTTACACGTTCTCTCTTACTGCAAATTCAAACAGGACAATTCCTGTGTAGCAGTGATCACGTAACAGAATGGGCGCTTCTCGGTTCAGCCATTTGTAATACATTGCGCATTGTGAACAAAACGAAAAATGTTGTGCCAGTTGGTGCAAGAAACCAAGTATACATACCATCATTTTCTGACTCTGAGAAGCAAGTTGATGATCTACTTGCTGGGTGCTCTATAAAAGAAGTGGCAGAAGCATTTCGAAAACTAGAAAATGTAGGGAAAAAAGAGCCCTTATTACAGCTTTTTCATCAATATGTCCCTGCACCAAAAAACAGACCAAAAGCTGCACAGTTTCTTAAACCGCGAAAATCAGTTCAAGAATTTTTGTTGGAGTTAAAAAGGAAACGCTCAGAATTCTTTGATACAAGCATGGAGGACATAAGTTTCACTTCGACGGAAGACAATTTGCCTCAAAGCACGAAGCAAAATAGAGCAGACACTAACGAAAGTGGAGGACATAATCAAATTCTAGCAAACTTTTTCCAAAGTCTTCTGAAATCTGAAACATCTTAAAGGCCAGCAAGGCCAAAACGACCTTTTGAAAGCACTTCAGAAGCTGAAAGAACATTTTCAATTGCCAATGTTTTGTAATCTTCCTTAAATTGTTCAAACTTAATCAATATGTGTCTTGCCGCCGCATGTACATCTTCCTTTTCATAAATAGATTCATTCATCAGTTCAGCATATTGACGGAATGCAAGTACTTCTCGAGAATAGTCTCTGCATAGTAAGTACCCAGGTGTGGTATCGAATATGGACAATACTCCATACAATATGGCTTCTTTTAACGAAGAGTCATCAAGACCCAGCTGAGAACATGACTTCAGCACATTAAAGTATTCGCCCGTCATTTGTGAAAGGTTTGGATATCCAGAGGTTGCTGCTTTTATGTATAGGATACCCAATGTCCTAAGAAGTGATGTTAAGAATAGAGGTTCCTTGGATTTGGAAGCTCGCATTGATAGGGAGAAACCGTTTGTCAACAGGAAAAATGTGTTTACCTCCAGAAGTCTAAACATCTTGTTCTGCTTAGGTGAACGTTTTTTGGCTTCAATTTCGGACTGGTGAGAAATAACACGAGTAGATAATAGCTTGAGGTTGTCAGACACAAGATTTTCTGTTTTTTCTACTTCTGGCAGCGTAAGATTTTTAAGATCACCCGTTAAGAGATCCAAGTTTTCGGTGAAATACTGAGTGTGCAGATGTTGAGGTAGCAATTTGGATGGAAATATAGCAGGGTCGTCGCCTTCAGAAAGTAAAACGGCTGCGTACGAAATGCTTGAGAGAATTATAGTTCGCTGTTGAAGCGATAAATCAGCCGCAAAGATGTCAGAACAAGCGGTAGGCGCACATTTTTCTGGTGCGGCATAAATCAAGTAACTGATGGCTTTCAACCTTTTCGTAAAAAAGTCTGGCAAGTTGAAGCTATCTTGTAACCCTAGTAATAATTTATACAAACGAATACAGTGGTCAACGACTTCTGTACCAAAATGTGTTTTTCTTTTAATGAGTTCAGTCGCAGAATCAAGAGCAACTTTTTGCTTTTCATACGAATCGCCGTCTTGTAACAACTCGCACAGTTTCTGGATGTATACGGGTTTACTGACTTTTTCACCAGTAGAATCTTCAGTATCAGAATCAGGTAAGTCATAAGGTTCTAACTCTTCGGTACTTAATGGCTGCTTTTCTGTGAAGGGAATATCAGTTGCGGAACTTTCCATTTTTCCTGTTCTTTCTTCTGAAAAATGAGTTTCTTTTACTGCAAGACCAATAGGTTTTGAAACAGGATTCTGAAAGTTGTCGTTCAAACTTGCAAGAGCTTTGTAGTACAAAGCTGATTTCGTGTTCATGATAGGAACATCAAATTTTAAGGGTCTGTCGTCGGCGGCAAAACAATGAGTTGAAAGCAACTCAGCTATTGTCATTCCTTGGATTCGTACTTCATCATCGAGTGATTCTAAACGGTTTTCTACACCTTTCATTTCCATAAACAGCATAGCTATGCGACGCAAAACAACTTCGTCAGAATGCTTAAGGAGAAGGATAAGAAAAATAGTTAGGGTTTTTTGAGAGAAAAGTGGAACATGATTGATAAAGTACTTTGTTGACCACTCACGAAGTAATTTTTCAAGAAGACAAGTTCTCAAGTTGTTATCATTTTCGAAAGGAAGCGATGAAGCACATAAAACAATCAAGCGCTGTAGTGATAGATTTGTACAGTTCATCCAATTCAGTTCTAACCACTCAATTAGATCTTTTGGTGGGAAATGCAGACGCACTACTGTTGCAATTGAACCAATGGGTTGACCAAGCTTTTCAAAAGGATAATTGCCATCAGATTCCATACCATCTTCAAGTTGTTGGTTTAACATGAGTTTTAAAACGAGCGTTATAAGATGATAACGGGCATTAGCATTCAAGCTTCCAACAAATAATTGAATTTTACCATTGAAAGAATAGAATAAAGGAAGAATGTGTTCAACAAATAGGCTGGCATGAGCAGAACGTACCAGCATATCGAACATTCTATTCCAAAGAACAATATTTTTAGAAGTTGAGTGTTCGAATAATTGGGAGAAATGATGTGCAAGTAAAATTGCATATTTCTTAGGGTCCAAATACAACATTTTGTATTGATCGTCCTGCGGTATTTTCGTTATTGCTAGAGAAATTGCACTGGGAATTCTAAAGGAACCAAAAAAAAATGAAACTTCATTCATGAGCTCGTCTTTTTGCATACTGTCCTGTAGCTTATTGAGCCGCGTAGAGCACTGAGAAAGATTAAACTTCTTAAAAGCAACTTGCAGAACATCAATATAAAGTTTCAATTTTTCCACTGCAACATTTTTCTCAGCACAGAGACGTTCAATCGTTAAACAAAGAGTTTTCAATCCAAGGAATCCGGAAACTGTGTGAATAAGGCATTTTTGCAAGTATAGATTGCTCGTGGTTTTCCAATAGACCGGGAAGACAAATTCCAGAACATTTCGCAGAAAACAAGTAATATCGATTGAGGGAACGGGAGAGACCGCGTCAAAAAGCTGAAGTATTTGAATCAATCGTTCCGCAGAAACTTCATTTTTCAACTCCAACGCTAAAGATTTAACGGAGACCTTTTTCAGATCCATTTTTGTTTAACACAGCAAATGAAGTAAATGACAGCAAACTATAAACAATAGATAGTTCAATTTCTTAGCAAGTGTACATAGTCACACAGTCTTTGAGCTGTATATGTTGTTTTATAGAATTCGGGCGCTAATTTAACCAGTACAAGGCGATACAAACATTTGTGGTTTTGGTAATAAAAAATTATTTCTGTGTCTATTGGTTTTTTGTTACAGGAAAAAATGGAATTAAATATTATTCAATATAAAATATGCTAATAAACTTATTATTATCCTTTAAACCTCGGCCATAGAAGTTTTTCATGAGGCGAAACAGATAATCTTCAGGCTTGAGTGCAGATTTTGAATTAATAAAAAGCAACTAAGTTATTACAAACTCCTTGCTTTAATGCACTTTAATAGCATTGAAATTCTTTCAAAAATCATCATTTAATTTACGTTCGTTCCTCTCTTGCTGTCCCTTACTTTGAATACCTCAAACGCAAAGTTTTAGCCACATCCAGTTGTATAAAATTTACAGCATGAAGGACTACTTTGAGGTAAACTGAAACACTGTGACCTTGTTCATTCCTTCATTCTCTTATAAAAAGTATTCGTACTATAGCATTATAGTGCCATTCATACGAGTCTTATATGATAGCATATTGATTATCGTCTATCAAACTTAAGTCATTGATATTCATTTTGACTCAATTGTAAGAGCCCTTCTCTTTCTTGTGTGTGTTATTTGAAGTTTTCATTTTTTTTGACAAATTCTGTTCTTCAACTATTCAATGCAGCTGGACGACTTTTTTAACACTGATTGAGGATGGCCATTTTAAGGAAGCGACAGAAGAAATCTAAAGCAACGTTCACGGTAGAAGACCTTTACTCAAAAAGTGCATGCAGGCTTCTTTGTAAGGAACACGAAAACACGTACGAGGCTTTTCTTGAGCAGTACGAATTCTTTGATTTTCAATGGAACCCACTTTTTGAATCAGTAACTGAAACAGTTCCTGCAATTTTGAAAATAAAACGTTATGACGGAGAATTGCTGTTACAGTTTTATCCTTATACGGAGAAGAAAATCACACCTCGAACCAATCTTCCCGTTATTTGCGAAGTTAACATGTCGAGAAGTGATATTAAATTAAAGTTTCCTGTACTAGAATTATGGTCCAGACTATGGGATAGTTATCGCTCTTTAAGAAACTACCTTTGCTTTCACTGCACGATACAACGACGCGATCAGTGCGTTAATTGTTCCATCGGTGTGTTTATTCAATTCACCAGTCTTGAAGATATCAACGCAGTTTATGTTTCCGGTGCTTCATCACCGCTTACAAATCTTTTTGATTTCGTGTTCCCACTAAAAGAAAATGACAGGAATCTTGTAACATGTTCTCTATTTTATGAAAGTTCACGGAACTTAGCAGCTACTTTGGAAGCCGATAACTTAGCGAAGAACGATAAAATACATGCAACATTCTTACCATTTCAGAAACGGGCTATCACATGGATGGTAAAGCGGGAAAGGCTTGATCGAGACTGTAATGGCTTGCCTCCAATGTGGGAGAGTATACGTTTAGATGCGGAAAGCAAAGACATGCTTCTTTATATCAACAGAGTGTATGGTTATATCACTCCTTCAAGGAACACAATGATTCAGTTGTTCGACGAAAGCATTATAAGAGGGGGAATCCTTGCCGACGAAATGGGAATGGGGAAAACTCTAGAAGTTATAGGATTAATTGCTTCTAATCCATGTTCAGAAGAGATAGCTAAAACTACTGTATATGATCCCGTCGTTTGTGCTGGCGTTCCAACTTGTCATTCAACATTGATTTTTACGCCCTCGACTCTTTTGGAACAATGGCTTTCCGAGTTAAAAAAATTTGCTCCATCTTTACGTGTTCTACATTATAAAGGAGTTAAGAAGTTAAAAGAAAACTTTAAGTTAAGTGATTTTCATAATTATGATGTTGTGCTTGCAAACTACAGTGATCTGCATTCCGAACTTCTCTACGCACAGTCAAACGAACGTTTATTCAGAAATGCAAAGAAATATGTTCCTCCAAAGTCGCCGTTGATTCAGTTTTGCTGGTGGAGAATATGTCTTGATGAAGCACAAATGGTAGAGATGACACAAGCTCAAGTTGCACAAATGCTTTATCGAATTCCCAGACACAATGCATGGGCAATAAGTGGAACTCCCGTACGACATCATGTAGAAGATTTGTTTGGACTTCTATACTTTCTTCGTTATAAACCTGTATATCTTGCTAAAAAACAAACTTGGAATCAGTTAATCACGCTACACAGATCGAAACAGTTCTGTGAGCTGTTTTTTCCGATAACATGCAGACACACGAAAAATGCTTTTGGCAATGAACTTCATTTACCTAGCCAAAAACAGTACTTGGTAAAAACCCAGTTTAGTCCAATTGAAGAAACAAACTATCGTGATTTATTAAAAGAAAGTATGATGCTTTTAGCAATTGATGATTCAACAGACTTAAGCTCATGGATGAGTACTTTTGGAAACAATAAACTAGACATACTGAGACGTTGGGTCACTCGACTACGTCAAACATGTTGTCACCCTCAGGTTGGAAGCGGAAACAAGTCGGCATTTATGGATGAGGGAATGAAAACGATACAGGACGTGTTAAAGCTCATGGTTAACAATACTATTTCCTCCATCTATCTGAAGGAATTTCAATACTTCTCTAGCGTAACGCGATCTGCTTGGATTTATGATCATATTTACAATTTCACTAAAGCAATTGAGATGTGGAAAGATGTTCTTAAACTCGTGGACGCACACTTGCATAATGGATTCTCTAATATCTTAAGTCCCTCTTTCATCGAGATTGGGGCATCAAACCCAATAATTTCAGAATGCATTAACTCGTTTCTGGAAAAACACTCGCGTTCATGGAAGTTGTTGAAACACCGGCTCTTGTTTTTCATTGCAAGTTCTTACAATTCTCTTGAAGATACAAAAAAGGAAGACGAGTATTATGCACTTGCAAAGGAAACGCGTATCGACCTTATGCGCGATGCTTCTGAAAAGGTTAATCAGTCGGTTACACATCTAATTGAACGCTCTCAAAGTAGTTTGTTTTCAAATCTTCCAAGATTCTCTATGCGGCAATGTAATGATATATTTAACCAACCAAAAACTAACCTTGATGCTCGTCAATTGACAAATACCCTAAATGTACAGGCGGATGCAATTGAGGAGTTGCGCGATCGCGTATTGCACATTCTTCAACTTCCACTTTTTGACCAAGACTCAACTCCTTCAGGAGATGAGTATGAGGAAAGTCTACTAGCACAAAGTTTGGCTGATTATGGTCTTGATGTACTTCACTGTATGATCTTGGATCGGCAGTTCGCACTGAACGGTGCAACCAGTTTTTCGCCCGATTTAATTACTGCAACTGCCGAGCAACGATTAAATGAAGAACTTGCAAAATATGAGGGTGAAGCTGGCGAGGACGAAGAAAAGAGAAACAAGGGTTTAGTACATGACCAGAATGTTAGGGATCTTCTCGACACTAGAAATGCTTGTAAACCGACATCTCAGGTGAATGGGACACTCCTCGCTCTTATTGATCGTGAAACATCCTCTGCTGATGATTCACGATTTTACAACGCCCAGCTCGCGAGAAACACACTTTTAAAAGAACATACTGATAGCGTTAATGGTCTGGAAAAACAACTTGGTTTACTGCGTTCGGTGTACAATGTGCGTGTTGTATATTATAAGCAATTGCAGGAAATTAGCGACACTCTTTTAGTATCAGAACCCTCTTTGTTTTTGTCAAAAGACAAATATCATGCTCTACAGAACCAGTCTTCTATTGAACGAAGTGAGTGTTGTTTGCAAACAATGCTGAACTTTCATGAAGAGCGGCTGAAGAGAATGATACGCGACGAAAAGACCAGTGCAACGGAGCAGACGTTATCTGAAAAAACCAGACATCATCCAAATTCAGACCCGATTCACGAAAGGAACTTTTACGGCTATGTTTACGAGCTGGACAAGTCAAATGAAAAGGAACAGCAAATGAAAACCGAGTTGCTGAAATTGGGCTCACGACAACGATATCTAAACAGTTTGATCAAGCAATTGGACGACTCTGAAAGCAGTCAAGAATGTGTGATTTGTCGGGATACAATCATACGCGGCTGTATCACCGTCTGTGGACACAAGTACTGTGTGAGCTGTCTCTCTGCATGGCTAGCCCACCATAAATCCTGTCCAATATGCAAACAGCATTTGGGCCGATACGATGTGTACATAATTAACAACCAAGCAGCAAGTGCTAGCCTGGCTCAACAAGAAGGCAGCCTTCAAAATGAGAAGATTGGCTATTATTACCCTTTCGACAAAAATGCCATGGACTCAATGAAAAAAATTAAACTAAAGCAGAGCTTTAGTTCGAAAATTGATACAATTGTAAGACATTTACTGGTACGTTATGGGCAATGTTTCATGGATAAGTTTCATCATCTAACAAATTCTTGTAGCATATACGCTCGCAGGACGTTTTCGCGAAGGTGGTCGTGTTTTCACAATGGGCCGATGTGCTCGATGGCCTGCATTTGTCTTTTCGCGCCAATGACATTTCCTTCGTCAAATTTGATGGACGCAAGAGGGGAAAAAGCATTCAGGATTTTGTCAAAAACCCCACTAAACAGGTGCTTACATTACACGCACATTCTCAATCGTATGTTCCCAATTTTCTCTCCTCCTTTTTCAGCTTTTCGAACTCTGTCATATAAAGTTACTAACACCGCCACAGCTCCGGTTTGACACTTATTGCAGCAACCCATGTAATTCTATGTATGTTTCAGCCACGTTGCATTTGTTTTGACTTTCTTTGCCCCTGCATTCCGTTTCACTAACATGTCATTCTAGGTGAACCATTGCTGAATCCCAGTCTAGAGCTTCAGGCTATTTCGCGGGTGCATCGAATTGGACAAACGAAGCCTACTTCCGTTTACGTCTACGTTACCGACAATTCCATTGAGGAGGAGATTCTCCGGTTGTCAATTCAAAAACGGCAGCAGGTCGTCACAGCAACTGATGAGGCATTGGCCGCGAATACCGTCATCACGGGTGAGAATGCCACGGGAGATGAACTGTTCAGATGCTTCCAAATGTCCATAATGCGTCAGACCATGGTTTGACACCCCCGTCATTCAATGCTAGCTAATCTAAATCAATTCATTTTCTCCTCCTCCGAGCTCTATTATTCCTCCTCCGCAACTTGCGTGTCGGCTTCGTCGGTAGTTTTAAAGAAATCCCCTCAAGCGACGACACGTGTTCGTTTAATTTGGGGCTTTGGTGACGATGGCTTGTCGTAATAAGCATTGATTGGTTAACCTTTTTCCTCTTCCGATCAGTTCCGAAGAAAAAAGCGGGACAGCTCGCAAAGGGCCTCGCCTCCATGTTGCGGCTTGCGACTTAATCGCTAAGCTTAATTGCATGACAGTCGCCTGTCTCGGAAAAAACCAATCATGTCAGCTTTAAGAATGTACCTATTTTTAGCATCATTCAATGAAAAATAAAGTGCGAAGCGTGGTGACGGAAACAACGCAGACTGAGTGCGGCTTTGCGACGAGGACTGCTATTTTTGGAAAAACAACGCAAACTTTGAACTATTTCTGGAAACCAGGAAACGCATAAATACCGCTCTGTGAACCCTTGTACTACATCATTCAAATCATCATCTCTGATTCATTACCTCCGTTTGAGTTTAATCAACTTTATACGCAAGACATTCGCTTAAGAAAACCTTAACAGCGAAGCCGACAATTTTAACTTTTTGAACAAAATGCTTTTCCTCAACTTCATCATTTCTACTCTTCTTTCTCTTGGCGTTATGGCCGCCCCCGTGGCCAAGCCCAATTTCAACTCTGGTGAAAAATTTGGTGTTCTCACCGTGCGTTCTGGTGATGCCAACGTGCATCAACGCAACTTTTTCGTTGGCGATTCTGGCAAGATCTTCCTTGGTCCTTATGACGGTGCTAAGGAGGCTTCTACCTTCTTTATTAAGGACAAGAAGCTTTACTTTGACAACCAGGTTGCTTCCCGCGATGACAAGGGTACCGTTGTCTTTACCAACGACACGAACAAGGCTGCTGAAGGTTTCACTGCCGAGGTGCCCACGAGTTTGGGTTACTACTTGCAATTCGATGGCAAGTCTCCTTACGCTTGTCCTTATGAAACCGCTTACGAAATTGTCTATGCCGACAAGGCCGACAATGGTTGTGTCGGTGTGAATGCTATTGCTCTTAAGCCTTTCACTCCTGCCAACAGCACCAATACTAGCACCAGCATCGTTAACCCCACATCGACTGTGGCTCCTACCGCTACCATTAGTGATGATGTGTCTTCTGTCGTCGGTGTTCGCGACATAACTTCTACTACTCTTGATCAGTCTGTTATCGTCACCTCAATTCCCACTCCTACTAGCGGCCGTTTGCTTCCCAACAAGATTCGCGTTTACAAGTCTTCTACTCCCAACAAGCAAGGCGAGTCTTGCTATTCCCCTGAAGTCTCCCTCATCGGAGATGAGCATGTCAATACTATTTTCACTTTCAATGTTGGAAAGGTTAGCGGAAAGTGCTACGTGTCCTTCCATCTTGATACCCGTGCGCGCAACCTCGCTATTTCAGGCGATAATGGTGTTGGCAACTTCATGCTTTACAATTTGAACGGTAACCCAACCGACGGAACAACTTATGCTAACACTCCTGCTCGTCTCAGACAGGTTTCTCGTGTTGATTGTAACTCTGAGGGCTGTGACAGCTTGGTTCCCGTGACTTGCCCTTCTTCTAACTCGGTGGTTTCCTACGAAATGACCGCCTACGTGCGCAACTCCCACCTTTCCTTCTTTGAGTCCGTTCTCCCTACTGAGGGTCTTTCCTTGTTTATTTAAGCAACATTTGACAGCAACTGATAACCGGTCTTTTGCATCGCATATTCGCATATTTTTTCATAGCTTGCATTTTCATATCATCATGTAATTATCAATGAGATTTTTCTGATTCTTGTGATTAAACAGATGGTAGAGAAAGTTTCCAGGCGTTTAATGATACATTATGTAACAGGCACCAGTGTTCTTTTTGTCGATGAGTAGAATTTGTTTTTATATTGCAATATTGCTTATTGCCTTATAAAAGAGATGTAAAAATTCTTTAGAATAACATAAAATAATATGTAACTTTGACATCCCAATTTTACCGTATTTTTAATTATTAACATTCATTAAATAAAAAGTTACTAAACTGATTTACATGCATATGAGGACAAAAACGAATGGGACCGAATTTTGAGGACGAAGAGAAGATAGGAAGATGAAAACCTGAAATGCAATAAGGGAAAAGAATGTGAGTGACTGTGGGCTTAGAAAAAGCAAACAGGCAAAAATGCGAGCAAAACGAGAGCAATGGATACGGTGCTGGATGTAGATGAGCCACTAGTAACTGTACTGAATACCATTGTGTCAGTACGGTTGATGCAAGAAGAAGTAGCAAAAGAAGGAAATGCGGTAGTCGGGACCGTCCAGTTGGAGGAAATGACAGACGTTGTGGTATTGACAAAAGATGGAGAGGTGGCCGACGGAGAAGGGTTTGTAATTGTTGTAAAAGTGGTAACCTGAACCGTCGAATTCGTTCCGTTATAAAGATAAGAAGTCGTAATAGCCTTATTGGGATAGTCAATGACAGAGGGAGTAGCAGTGGGAGAGGCAACACCAGCTTGAACGAATGGATTCGCACTCAGAGTTGTCAGTGTTTCTACGTTGAACTCAGCAGAGTATGCGTTGTTAGCAACGACACCAGCAGCCGTTGCTATATCATTAATAGCAACGGCGGCAGAATCCACAGCGGGTGCAATGCCGATCAATTGAGCTTCCCAATCGTAAACAGTGTAAATGCTTTTCATAAAGTACAGACCAAGAATCTGCATATCGCTATCGCCCACACTGCAGAATGCGACTGAGCAAGTGCCGTCACCGTTCGCAATTAGGAACTCAGACATGGGAATTGTAACGGCAGCATTGTTAGAGAAAACAAAGTCAAGTGAATCAGAAGCTTTCACAGCATCACATTCGACTGTAACCGTACAATCGGTTGTGGAAGACACACCGTTGTACATTGCTGTAATTTGGTTTTGGACACCTGCAGGAAGATTGACAACAGTCGTTCCACAGTCGAAAATCACGTCCTGTTGAACGGGCACGTCTATGGTAGAACAAGAGCAGCCATTGTTATCATTTGTGTAATCCGTGTGAAAAGTGACGTGGTCTAGATACGAGCCATAAAATCCAGGTTCGTTTGAAGAAATAGGTAACCATTGTAAATTTCCAGTGAATTTATCTTCATCGTACCCACCGAGGATAAATTCGCCGCTATTCTCACTGAGAAACAGGCTAAACGAGTTGCTGGATATCACGCCTGCGTCCTTAAACTGTTGCAACAACGTAGGAGCTGCCCAAGTGACAACACGGTTTTCTTCGTCTATACCATAAATCGATGTCTGAGGCGAAATGCCCATAATTCCACCGATGGGACTGGAAGACTCGTATTCGCTAACCGCGATGCCGAACTGAAAGCTACTGAGAGAGAGGCCATTAATGCTAATTTGGTCTTCGACATTGTAACCCAAAACCGTACTATTGTCTCCATAAACCATCATAAAGCCAAGAAATTCGGAGCTGTCATAACGAAAAGTCGAGCTATCGTACTCGTAACACCCATAAATCGGGCATGCAGTCTGCAATGCCGAAGCTTCCAAACGCTCTGTGTAGCCTAGTTCCTCAGCGACCGAATTTAAAGCAGTAACATTGTAGGCGGTAATCCAAGTGAACGGGCTGCCAGTATCAAGTACCAGCGTATAGTCCTTTGCCGGTGTACCGACTGACAGATGAACGAAGATAGCAGAGTTCTCATCACCATATGTAACAGGAATGTTGGCGAACTGTTCACGTTTACCAATGCCTTTTGAAGACGCATTCGCCCGCTTGCTAATGCTAACAGGAAACGATATGATCTGATTGCCCTCAGTTGTACGCTTGGTAAACGCTGTTGCGTCTACTGTTGCTGTGAGGGATAAAAGGCCGATTAATATGTTTTTAAGAAAGGACATATGGCCCAATTGCTTTCGTCCAAGATTTGTTGAAGCTTTTTGTAATTTTTTATTAAAGCAAACGGTAAACGCTTAATAATTGTTAAGTAAAAACTAAGAAAACACGCCTATTTAAACAGAAATTGTTAACTAAGCATACACCTACGAAATGGGAATTCAAGTAAAGGGTCCAAGCGGCTGGAGAGATAACAATAAGGGAGTCACCTCGGCTTACCAGCAGGTTAACGAAAAGCATGTGAATTGACGGCATACGAGCCCTTAAAGCTATTTAAAGATCTCTTTCATCATAATAGCGACAATGATTCGTGTTTGTATTTTCCATTGATTCTCATTGAAATCAGCTAGGAATACAAATTGTTGGCCGTTGAGCGGGAACTGCGTCTAAATCCGTATTAAGTGGAAATACCTTAAATCTGAAATAAATAAGATAATACATTCATGTCATTTAACTAAGTGTTGTCATTTATATTTCGAATAAACGGGATTTGTTTACGCTTCTTTGTCTGAAAAATCCTTGACTTGCGCTTTCACGGGGTGCTCCTTTGCGGGAGTTGCGACATCTCAGCCAATTAAAACACTAAACGAAAACTAATTGTCGGTGCCCTTTTTTTTTTTGAAGAATAAGGCCAGCACAAAATTCGGTTATTAATTAAGGTTTGAATAAAGTTTGCGATGCGAAATTCTAGGGCAAGATGAGGTTTATTATGAAGAAATGGGTTAAAGACCAAGTCTACGCCTTTGTTCTGACGAATCTCTTAAATAGGGAATTCAATTCATGCTATTACGAACATACTTTGTTCTTCTTCGAAGCCGAATATAAGTGGGTGCTCCTACAAACAAGATGTGTATTACACAACTCGCGTGTAAAATGCACCGTGGGACATTAAAAAAGGCCTGTATCACTAGCAACAGAAGCTCTGTGTTTTATTTAGTATACGAATGAAACTGTTAGTTCATTTGAACTTCTTGACTTATTATCTACATTGATCAGCTTTCATTGATCAAAGTATCACTCCATGTTTACAAGCTAATAATAGCTTTTACATCACACACAGGATGGCCCTGGAGTTTAGTTATGCTTAACTACTTCTTACTCGTAAACTGGATATAATTCAAAAACCTTTTCAGCTACATACGATATTGTAACTCGGCGAATTTACTTTACGAACAATTATTTCCTCAAAGCTCACACTATAATTGAAGGAAACGCCATGCAACCTCACCGACGCATAGCATCGTTTCATTCAATTGTCAATCTCTATAACTAAACATAAATCTGATTCATTCATAACGTCGACTTCTTCTTCGAAGATTTCTTCTTCTTGCTAGACTTCTTTACCTTTGTTTCTCCGTCTAAAACGACACGATGCTAGACAAAGTCAGTAAAACAACACCCGAGTAATATAAAAATTCACTTACGCCCTTCTTCTTTGATTTCTTGACCTTTGTGACTTTCTTTATCAAGGAATCGTCAGTGTTTGGCTCCCGTAAGGTTTCATCGAACGAAATTAATGGTACTTCTTTCGCGTTGAGAGGCACTGAAGTATGTTCCGCATCAGTATCAGATAAAACGACACCTTCCGGCAACTCGTCTTGTGCAATTTCAACAGGGCCAGTAATGGGATATGAATAACCAGTTTTTATCGTACTCATTTGTGAAACCACTGAATTGTTAGTATCTAATTCTCCAAAGATTTTCTGGTACGTACTCTCTTCATCATTATTTACAGAAATGCCATTCTCGTTTTTAGAAGGTTCATCAGTTATGATTAAGTTTTCCGCCGAGCTTCGATCATTACCAAGATAAAAGGGACTCTTCCTGTCATGGCCTGACACCGAGCTCTGAAATGAGTCAAGTTTGCTCAGCTCGAAAGAGCGCGAGGACACGTCATTCGTTCCATCCAGAGCCGAAACATATGCCCAAACATCCTTCTTCTTTAACTCTTCCGGAACAACAAGCTCTGCGTTGATCTGGACATTTAAGTCCAATCCTTCAGGAGTCTGGACTTTTCCTTGAGCTTTAAACGCTACGGGATTCAAAGGAGCATGTGTGAAAAGCACGGGCAATGTGTTCTGTAAAATATAAGGTGGTTGATTTAAAAGCTCGAGGGTTGCATTTGCATCTGATGGTTTAAAAACGTCCAAAAGCTGGGTGAATATGTAATAAATCTCCGCTGCCCTTGTTTTAACTTCAATGTGATGGACAGACATCAAGTGTTTAGCAAAAAGTTGGATTTCCTCTGCCCACATCGATAAAACGGTTAACTTCTCTGAATCCCACGAATTAACAAGTTCACGGAACTTTTGTATGTAAACCTTTGGTAAAGCCCACAGTAAAACTGACTGAACCTCAGGTGGGTATGTATAGAAAACAGGCCGAATCAAAGCCTCCACGACGGCAATTGCATCAGGGAGAAATTCAGCATATTCACCCAAACACCAAACAACAGCACGCAAGATGTTCGATTTTGGTTCGATACTTTCGGTCTGCTTGTCCACGAAAACAGGTTCAGTAATCACACGGGAAAACAATTCCGCAGCAAAAGGACGAAGTGCTTTTACTCGAACACAGAGATCCAAAATTTGATGATTGAGCTCTTTTTCAACAGCGATGTTGGGAACACGAGCCAAATCAATATAAACACTTAAGAGCCATTCAAAGTCGGTTATGTTGGCGTAATTTGATTTTGATGTCATTTGAATAATAGACATAGCCGACACCTGGCGGAAGTTTTCGGTTGTGTAGTCGGAATTGACGATGAGTTGAAGCATCAGGGTCTTCACTATACTTTTGATACTGTCCTTGTCAACAATGTCCGATACGAGATCAAGTGCTCGAAAACGCAGGGAAACATCAGGGTCGATCAAGCATTTCAAGAACAGACTCATATGCTGTACGACTAAGTCCCGATGAGACTCAGCAATTTTTTTGAAAGTTAACAGACCAAGATACTTTAAGTTTTGATCTGTGTCTTCAAAAAAACCCTTAAGCTTATCCACACACAAATGCGCGAGTTCATCGGCGTGAGAATGTCCGGTTAGCATTCCGCCGCTAACAACAGTGTGAATACACTCATACAAAAGGGAAACGGCTGTGCTCGTTTGAATAAGCTCCGTCAATGGAGGAGTGAGCTTCTTAATGAGCCTAGGTTCATAAGGTGTCAATGAACAAAACAGTTTTATAAGTTTTATGAGCATCCAATTGTTGGAAGAGTTCGTTAGAAGGTGAAACATTTCTGGAGCAGTTTCCAAATAGCTTTTGGGCTGTTTGCGAGCCAACTCACATATAACACTGACGGCAGCATTCACCACGGACGGGTCCGGGTCGTCTAATTTGCTCCGCAACTTTGGAAAACATGTTTTAAGAGCCTCTGGATACTGAATGCAGATCTTGTATAGCACAATAATTGCTCGTTTACGGATATATGGGACAGAATGACTTAAGAGCATAAGAACATCCTGGTACAGATCTCGCGAAAGACTGATGTTTGCCAAATGAGAGAGACCGTTAATCGCAATAGCAATTTCAGTGGTATTGGCGCTCATCATATCCTGAATCAAGATTAGTACATATTCTTTAAAAAACTCCAAAACCAAAATTAAAGTAAGCCTCAACAAGCTTCAGCATACCTTTTTAATCAGATTTGTCGCCAACATTAGCACATCCGTGTTTGATTTAAAAGATTGGATAGCTGCCAAGTATCCTTTCCGCTTTAAACTGAGTTTCGAGCTCGACATTACTTCAATGACATGAAAACTAGCCCAGCTGATATCGATTCCAAACATTTCTAACTGTCAACGAAGATCGTTAGTAAGAATAATACCGGGCGAACAGCATACATAAGTCAATTTTGCAATTGCTTCAGCTTTAACGACCATTTCTTTCGACTGCACTTCCTTTCGACATTCGGAGACGGCAGAAGCGATGAAGCTTTCTTCATCGCCTCTGTGCTGTCTCAGACCTTTAATAAGATCTTCTAAGGTCTTTTCAAAAACCATAAACAAGCAAGAACCAGAGCAAACTCAAAGATGGCTCTTTGACGTGAATGAAGCTACTACTATGTTCACGAGCTGATTGCCCCTCGCTAAATAGCCGAAGCCGTATCGTAACGAAGCCAATACCGAATTTCATGAATAACAATTCTGTTTGTAGTACTAGCAACGAAAAGGAGAGATGAGTTTGAGAAAAAGTGTTTAAGCAAATTGAATGCGATTCGTTCAACTGTTTTGCAATTGTTACCCGAGGATAGACGTTAGTGTGTGTTTCATTGCAGATCATCGCTTCGCTTAGAAGGAGATAAGCTTAGTAAAAGTAGGCGCGGCACAATGGAAAATACAATTGACTAAACAAAATAGCGCATCTAAAGCTTAGATGATTATTTACTGAAAGCAGAGTTAGAGGAGGGGTCAATCAACTCGTTCGTACCCGTACGACACAGAGCTAGGCCGCTGTTAATTGAAGCACAGCTGCATGCGTCTAGTTCTGTGGTGTAGCGGTAGCAAGCGGTGCTTGCCTAAACGCATCCGGGTTCGAATCCTGCAGATACGAAAACAGAAAATGCTACCAGTTTCGCTGTTGCCTTTTTCATTATCGTCGTTTTCATGCTGAATACCATGGCTTGTATGAGCTTTTGTCGTTCATAGACTGTGCTTTAAGAGATCCCCACATACTTCCTTCTCAATTTATCATCAATTTGTGTATTACTATTTCATCATGAACGCACTTAGGCAACAGCAATGCACTCGATCTCGATCTTGTTGCCCTTGTCGGCAAGAGGGAGAGTCTTAACGGCGACACAAGAGCGAGCGGGCTTAGGGTCGGGAAGGAACTTGGCGTAAACTTCGTTGACAGAAGCAAAGTCGGCCATGTCACCCAAGAAGATGTTGACCTTAACGATTTTGCTCTTGTCAGAACCAGCAGCTTCAAGGACCTCTTGCAAGTTCTCGAGAGCTTGTTGAGCTTGCTCGGCAGCAGTAGCACCGACAAGCTTGCCATCTCTGAAGGGGATTTGACCAGAGCAGTAGACCATGCCGTTAGCAACGGTAGCGTGGCTGTAAGGGCCAGCAGCAGACAAAGTAGGAGCGTTAACAGCCTTGAAACTCATAGCGGAATAAAATCTGGGGGTTGCAAAAGATGTGCGAAGAAGAGGTGCACGGAGGACGGTACGAGAGAGTGCAGGACGTGCAAGAGCGAGTCTGGTAACGAAGGGCTTAAACATTCTTACTGAGGTGTAGCTGAAAAGAAGACAGCGCAATTTATCGAATAACGATCAAACCGCTATATAGTCCCAGATTAGAACAGAGATGCCCACTGATACGACACTATCACAGCCAACAGCGACCATTTGCCGCGCCCTCCAGGGTGAACAGACCCGTCGGCTCTCTCTAAGAGAGCGGCTGCCTGTCGCTGAGAAATGCTAAAGTGCTGCTGGCAATGGTACGAAGGTAGACAATTTGCACTATGAGAAGAGTGTGTTTTAGGGGTGTAACTGCGTTAGCGCTGATGGTTGTGCTTCACGTTTCCTGTTTTGTTTTCTATTGCATGTTAGCGCAATATATAATTTAATGTCAGGTTAAGCATGTTTAGACCTTGTTTAAAAGAGCTGTTTCAATTCATTCGATCCAATTGATTTAAACACAATTCCACACCATCAAGATCTTTATTCGAAAGCAAATGTTGATTCGTTTGTTGCCTTCGTACCGGCATATGCGAACAGTAATAAATAACCAAAAAGTCCGTAGTACATATCCAAGCCTTTTCCTATGTACACATTTTAAAATAATCCAAATACCTCGCCCTTGTCGTTAATGTCGATGTTCAAGTAAGAGGGTGCAGTAGGGAGTCCGGGAATAGTCATAATTTCGGCGACCAAAGGATAAATAAAACCAGCACCCGCGCTAAGTCTCATATCTCTGATAGGAATAACAAAGTCCTTGGGGACATTCTTCAACTTAGGGTCGTGCGACAACGAGTATTGTGTCTTGGCCATACAGACAGGAAGATGTCCAAAGCCTTGTTCAATAAAACGCTCCATCTTTTCACGTGCTAAAGGCGAAAGCTCAATTCCACTTGCACCGTACATTTCCACGGCAATCTTTTCGATCTTTTGAGAGATCGTGAGATTGACGTCGTACAAAAACTTAAACTTTTGATTCTTCGACTTTTCACATGCATTCATTACTGCACGAGCCAAAGGAATAGCACCCTGACCACCCTTTGCCCAGTGTTCGGACGTAACAGCGTCTAAGGCACCTGCCTTGATGGCTTCCTCCCGGATCACATCCAGCTCGGCGTCCGTGTCGGTGATATACTTGTTCACAGCTACCACAACGGGAACATTGAATTTTTTGCAGTTTTCAATGTGCTTAGCCATGTTTGCACAACCGCGGCGAACGAGTTCAACATCCTCAGTCGTGTACTGCTCAGGCAAGGCCTTACCAGGAGATACATCAGGTCCACCTCCATGAAGTTTCAGTGCACGAACTGTGGCAACCAAAACAACAGCGTTGGGAACGAGACCAGAGCTGCGACACTTGATGTTGAAAAACTTCTCCATACCGATATCCGAAGCAAATCCAGCTTCCGTAAGCACATAACCAGGTTCGCCGTTAGAGCCACCGCTGGCAAGCTTCAGGGCAATGCGATCGGCAAGCACGGAGGAAGCGCCGATACTAATGTTGGCAAAGGGACCAGCATGAACCATCACGGGTGTTCCCTCCAACGTTTGCATCAAATTAGGTTTCACGGCGTCCTTCATGAGAACTGCCATGGCACCAGCAACACCCAAATCCTCGGCCGTAATGGGTTCGCCTGCTTTGTTGTTGGCGACAACAATGCGTCCGAGACGGCGGCGCAAATCAGGAAGGTCATTTGCTAAAGCTAAAACAGACATACATTCACTCGCGACAGAGATGTCGAAAGCTGCTTCACGAACATGTCCCTTCTCGGTTGGTGCTTTGCCAACCTCAACACCTCTCAGGAAACGATCGTTAACATCCAAAACACGGTTCACCGTGATTGTGGAAGGATCAATGTCCAGACGAGTGAGTTCGTACAAAAGCTCTTTAGGGGCTTCGTCAAGTTTTGAGGAGTCGTATTCATGTTTAGCGCAAATGGCCTCCCAGCGAGCCTTCATTCCTTTGTGAAGTACACGCTTACCGTTCTTGACGGGAATCAAGCGACGGAGAAGAGCCTCGTTCGTTTGTGTGTCTTCATGAAACATTCTTGTTTCCAAAGCAGCCGCCATCAGGTTGTTTGCTGCGGTAACAGCATGAATGTCACCGGTCAAATGCAAGTTAAACTCATCCATGGGAATAATCTGAGCATAACCACCACCTGCGGCACCGCCCTTAACACCAAACGTAGGACCTTGAGAGGGCTGACGAACACAGGCAATGGAAAGCTTGTCTAAGTTACCCAGGGCCTGTGCCATTCCAATCAACACAGTACTCTTGCCTTCACCAAAAGGAGTGGGGGTAATACCGCTCACAAGCACATAATGACCATTAGGACGATCGACCGTACGGTCTAACACATCCAAACTGACCTTTGCCTTGTAAGGACCGAAAGGCTCAATTTCAGAGGGAAGAATACCGATGTCTTCGGCAAGACGGCAAATTTCCTTAGGGGTTTGCGTTTTGGCAATCTCAATGTCAGAAGGAACGGGCGTCTTTAACTCAAGAGGCAACAGCTCCACCTTGGGGATAGCTCTGCTTTTCGCGTAAGCAAGTTTTGCTGCATCGACAATGTTGGACATCAACATTGCGACGGTCATGGGACCCACACTACCAGGAACGGGAGTAATGAAACCGGCAACCTTCTTGGCAGACTCGAAATGAACGTCACCGACAAGCTTGCGGCGAGCACCGTCTTGGACAGAGTTAATACCGACATCAATGACTGTGGCCCCGGGTTTCAACCATTCACCACGGACGAATTCCGGTTTGCCCAATGCTGCAACAACGATATCAGCCTCGCCAACGTATTTCGGTAAATCTTGAGTGTAGGAGTGACAGACGGTGACAGTGGCATTGGCCTTTCTCAGTAAATAACTAACAGGATTACCAACGATATCACTCCGACCCAAAACCACAGCATGGCGACCAGCGATCGGGATGTTGTAGTATTGAAGAAGCTCCATAACACCCTTAGGAGTGCATGCAGAGTGAATAGGTTTTGCCGTATTCTTCGACAGACGTCCCATGTTCACTTCATTGAAACCGTCAACATCCTTTTCAGGAACAATACTCTCCGAAACCAGTCGCTCATTCAAGCCTTTAGGCAAAGGCAGTTGCACCAAAATTCCGTGAATGGAAGGATCGTCGTTTAAGCCTTGCACGCTTTGCAAAAGCTCTTCCTCCGACACCGTCTCGGGGAAATGGCAATGAACGAAGCCGACGCCAATTTCCTGAGCAGCTTTCTGCTTCATACGAACGTAGACATTTGAATCTTCGCGTCCACCCACTTGCACAATTGCTACACGTGGATGAAAAGACGGACTAGCCGTTTTCAAGGTGTCAATCTCATGCGACAGAGACTTTCGAATTTTTCTAATTGTGTTAGAATAGAGGTGCAGATGGAGCTGAAGTTTTTTGTTCAAGACTTACTGTGCAAGAGACTTTCCATCAATGATCTCTGCTTGAAGCTGCCATGCGGTCCCATGGAAAGCTTTAGCGTGCCGAAAACTAACACGCAGACATCTTCGCGTCCAAAAACGCGTCCCAAGTGCCCTGCCGATCAGCATGCTGTTATTGCGGCAGTATGCTGAGAAGGTAGTGGCAGAGGTCAGGGACCTGCTCGTAGTTGAAAAGTTTCATAATTCGAAGTCACTGAAGCCTTCCTGTAATATTTGAGTGTGTATACGTCATAGGGGGACCTCGCTTAGATAGTTTAGTAATTATAAAGTTACGCGAAACCTTAGTGAAAATAAAGTTGGCGGGAGCTCTGTGCTCTAAAACCACTACACCAAACTGGCATGCTGTTATTACACATTAAATAACAGCTTGGAAGCAGTGTTTGTTACCGAGTTGCTTACGCGTGTGTCTCAATTCTGGTGCAAAAATACACGTAGAATAGGATCTCTAATACGTCGTAGGATTCTGTGTAATCTGAGTACTTAAGGAGTAGAATTGGTCCATTTATGCATGCTTTCGTTTCTTTTGGAACCCATTTGACGCCATTCGTTCTCTGTATTATACATTTCAACGTCAAGTTACTTCATGAATTTTGCCTTTCTGCTGCGGAAGTCAAGAGTGTGTGCTGTTCCTAGTAGGATTCAGAGTACACCAGCTATGCAGAAAAATGCCCCTCTTCGAATTGCTGTGATGAGCAAACAAAATCTTAAAAGAAGGGGGGACTGGGGAGTGAAACGAAATCTACCTGCCATCAATAACCGTCATATATCAATCAAGCTACTGGACTCGGCCGATAATCTGTGCTGGTTTGAAAGCAGTGACCGTTTTGTTCGAACTCTGAAGAGACTAAACGGTATACAGTTGCCATTGAGCACTTCCCATAATCATGAAACTTCAGAAGGAACACTTTTAGAAAGGCTCGCCTCATTTGTACACTACAACCGCAGCCCTGTCCATGAGCGATTCCCACGGGCCGCTGGAATAACTTACAGCCGGCTTCTCTTATTAAGTGCAAAGCCCACAAAACGGAAAAAATTCAATTCTGCTATTTACTTGAGCAATCCTGTCGGGGTCGTCAATCTCCCTTCTTCCCGAAGGTCCTTGCGGCACAGTGGCATCAATCCACTGCTACGTAAATGGAGTACAAGGGAGAGCACGTACTTTGGATTGGCTGGAGTGGTAGCTTTTATTACACACCCGTCTCCCGCAGCAATTTCACAAACAGTACAATTGCAGTCGTGGTCTGTCACCAAGGAAAAGAACATAAGCTTTGAACCGGTTTTGGCCGTCAAGGAACCTTGAGCATTGTACATGTTGTCCAGGAGCTTTTAAAAGTCTCGACGGTTTTTTGTTGCAGACATCAACATAGGCACTCTGTACTCAGTATGAAATTTCGCAAGCCTACTCAGTATAACTTGTCGCCGACACTAGCTGCAAAGCCTGATTTATGCAACTTTAAACCCCTTACACAATTCTGTTTTCTCTGTGTTCCCATTTGGTTTTTCGAACTTCGTCGTCCATATACTCTATCTCAAACCTAAATCCGACCGCTTCCTCTTCTGTTCTTTTAATGATTATACTCTAGTTAATGAAATCTATTTACAAAACGGGAAAACGCTTTTTTAAAGTGCGTCTCAGTTTCCGTTTGACTTATTGTAATCCGTTTTTCAATCATAACTACAAACGCAACAATGAAGGAGGTTGTGTAAGAACCTTTTTAACTACAGTGAGACAAGGGTTTTCCATGCTTTAAACGAGCTCTAAATAAGTATCTCGGGTGTACCCCTTTTGCGGACCGAGCCTCTCCAAAACCGAGTTGGAACAGGTGAAATTACTGCATAATGACTAGTGCTTCGAGCCATTCGACGATGGTAATTCTTATTTTAATGTTTATAAGAAGTCCCGAAATACTTACATTGTACTTTTGTATAGGAAAGAGCCCATGAATTGCATTTGGAGCTGACGGGCGAGAAAAAAGACAAATCCAAGTCGAAACGGATTAATGCCTTGAAAAAGGTTGTTTCTAATATGACATATGGATATGACATGAGCTCTTTATTCCAAGATGTCTTGGCGTGCATGAATACAACTAATTTGGAAATCAAAAAGCTTTGCTTCCTATATATTCTTAATTACGCAAGTATAAAACCAACCATTGCGGCCGAAGCAATTCCCATTATGCTTCGAGATTTGGATGATCCAGATCCTCTTGTTCGTGCTTTCTCTCTTCGTACAATGTCAAGCATTCATGTGAAAAAGTTTTGGCTTGCCGTACTAGACCCACTCGTTCGTTTGTTAAATGATGAGGACCCATACGTCCGGAAAACAGCTGTTATCAGTGTTGCAAAACTTTACTCTCACGACAAAAGACTTACAGAGTCAGCAAACTTGATTAAACGACTTCAAGAAAGACTTGATGATGGGAACGCCATCGTATGTGTAAATTTATCCTCAGACATGGTAACTAACTTTTAGGTCGTTGCCAATGCCTTAGCTGCACTATCCATTATTACTGAGAGATCGAGCAATCTTAAAATTCAAATCAGCCGGAGTGTTGCCTCGAATCTCCTTACGTGTTTAGATGAGTGTTCTCAGTGGTTACAAGCTGTAATTCTAGATTCTGTGCAACTGTTTACGCCGCAAGAACGCGGCATCGCTGAACAATTTGCAGACAGAATACTGCCTTGGCTGCAGCATGCCAATGCTGCGGTATGCATGGGCGCTGTAAAAGCTATTCTGTACTTTACCAACTATATGCAATCTGACGAACGAGTGAACGAGTATTTGTACAAGATTGGTCCTCCGCTTGTATCGCTTGTTGCAGGAAAATCACCTGCACTTCAGTATGTTGTGCTCCGGAATATTCAAATCATATTGGATCTTAACCCAGACATCTTTAAGCAAGACATCCATATTTTTTATTGCAAATACGACGACCCTATCTACATTAAACTTGAGAAGCTCAGCGTTTTGGTTAAGCTGGCAGATGAGCACAATTTATCGGACATCTTGAGCGAGTTTGTTGACTACGCCACAGAAATTGACGTTGAATTTGTTCGCAAGGTTCTTCGATATATTGGTTTACTGGCGCTTAAAGTTGAGTCCAAAGCTGATGAATGCGTCGACCATCTCTTGGAGTTGGCTGAAACTAAAATCACCTATGTTGTCCAAGAGATTGTGATTGTGATGCGAGACATTCTGCGTCGGTATCCCGGTCGCTACGAGCATCTCATTTCGGAGCTGCTTGAGGAGTTTGAATCGTTTGAAGACGCCGAAGCAAAGGGGGCGATCATTTGGATTTTGGGTGAATATGCCGAACGCATCGACGGTTCCATTACGCTTCTTTCCGAGTTTTTTGATGGATTTTCTGACGAACCAGTTACCATTCAACAAACTCTGTTAACTGCTGCAATGAAGCTTTTCTTAAAGATGCCTACTCAGGGAAGTGAATTAATTACAGCTGTACTCAAACGAGTAGTTGACGAGTCATCAGACCCAGATTTGCGAGACAAGGGTATCATGTACTCTCGTCTTCTCTCTCTTAGTCCTGATTTAGCCCGTAATGTTGTATTGTCTAAGAAGTCCGACATTGATGTTGAGACTGGAACCTCTGATCCTGATCTGACTGAACAACTTCTGCTAAATCTCTCGACCTTAGCGTCGGTTTACCATAAGCCGCCTAACCAGTTCATTAAAGGCGCTCGTACAATTTATCCAGCTTACAGTCCTGTTTTGCGTCAACGTCTTGATCGACGGAACGGTGTTGATGAACCTGAAGAACAAAACGAAAGTGTGAATTCCACTCCTCCCAGACCTGTGCGCTCATCTTCAAGTTTTTCTTCTGAGGGTTACATGTATAATGGAGCACCCAACGATCTCTGGCGTACGTCTCGCAATTTCGGTAATGCTGGAACGCTTGGTTACTCGAACGTTGCTGAGGATTTTGACCCCAATGTCACAATTGGTCCCGTTGCGACAAACTTCCGCAACAGTATCAATCCTTCAAAAGGCTTATTAGATCTGTAAGCTCACAATGATCACTTATACCTTTCAAAATACTACAGCATACTAGCATCATGTTTAAAAATTTACTTACACCAGAATAAACAATTGTTCTAAAGATATGTAATATTAAATTTGGGAATCTAGGTTGAAAATTCCTTACAAAGAAGCAAGGAGTTTTTTAAGCTCTGACACCATAGAAGCACGAGGAACGAGAACGCCTTCATCACTGTTCTCTTTTTGACCCATGCGCTTGATACGCACATTTCCGCCATTGAACTCATCTTGACCGAGAATCACAGCAACAGGGACACCATATTTGTCGGCGGCCTCAAACTGTTGGCGGGGTTTAGCCTTCACCTTGTACAAGAACTCAGCCTTGATACCGGCGGCCCAAAGCTCGCTACAAACGTTCATACGCTCCTTTAAGAAACCAGTCCACTCCTTGCCGCCGCCGAAGGCCATAACGTAGACTTCGACTTCGTTGGCACGAAGCTCGTCATCGGGAATACGGTTGCGAAGAATAGAGAAGATACGCTCCAGGCCAAGAGAAATACCGACACAAGGGAGCTGTGCGTTCTTTCTGCTCGAAAACATACCGACCAAGTTGTCATAACGTCCACCAGCAGCAATAGAACCGACACCAATAGTATCGTCGTTCGAACGGTCAGCTTCAGGATCGTCGCTCTTCTTGACATCCTTTTTGCTAGCAATCTTTTTGGGAGCAGAGGCCTCTGTGACGGCCTCAAAAATGATACCGGTGTAATAATCCAAGCCGCGGGCCAAAGACATATCGAAGGAGAAACGGTCCAGAATACCAAAGTTTTCCATATATTCAAAGAGCAACTTCATGTCTTCAAAGGCACCCGAAGCAGACTTGTTTGCAGAAAGTTTTTCGTCAGCCTTCAGCTTAGCAAGAAGCTCGGGGCCACCCTTCAGTAGAACATACTCACCGATACGGTCAGCGACCTCCTCAGGCAAACCCTTCTCCTCGGTCATCTCCTCCTTTACGTTTTCCCAAGGCATCTTGTCCAGCTTGTCGACAGCACTGGAAATGGTACGAATCTTATCGGAAGGGACGCCGCACACTTCAAAAATTCCGTCGAGGATTTTACGATGGTTCAACTTAATCGTGTACTTTCCGACGTTCAAAGCGTCAAGAGCTTCAACAAGAATCTTAAGAGCCTCAGAATCGGCGACCATAGAATCAAAGGTTCCGGCAATGTCGAAATCGCATTGGTAGAACTCACGCATACGACCCTTAGTCATAGCAGGTTGGTCTCTCCGGTAGACCTTTGCAATGTGGAAACGCTTAATGCTGGTAATCTTGGGGTTCATGGCCAACCAACGAGCAAATGGAACGGTCAAATCATAACGAAGAGAACAAAGTTCACCTCCTTGATCCTTAAGGTCATAGATAAGCTTGCTGTCCTCACCATACTTTCCAGTAAGAATCTCTTTGAGTTCGAAGACAGGAGTGTCAAGTGTGACACCTCCGTGACGCTTGAAAATGTCGGTTACAGTACCAAAGATTTTCTCGCGAAGAGCAACATCCTTTTCTGCCCAGTCACGAGTTCCCTTAGGAGTTTTCAACGTGAACTGAGTACCCTTTTTGGAGCCATTCTTGGCATCACCAAGCTTAAGGTTCTTCAACTCAAGCAATTTGCTGACTTGAGCATCAACTTCCGTTTTCGGTGCTCCCTGCGCTTTCAAAGAACGCACGACGTTTCCTTGAGCGGCAATAAGCTCGTTAATGTTTTCTGGAACGGTAGACATTGCTCTTCTATAACAAAACCAACCTTTTCGTATTGGTTGAAGAAATTTGGTGTGGACAACCCTCTTACAGCAAGACCACATAGAAAAGACTGTGAAGAAAAAGCCTTTGTCAAATACTCATAAATTGATTTAATTACACGGTAAAAACACCGCGTAAATGATTTGACAAGTTTTGATTTGTTTGTTGTGGACGTCGGGGGTGATTGAAATATAAAAAGTGAAAGTGATGAGGAATTGTATGGTTCGTAACTGTAGAATGCCGAACATCTTTGCCGTAATGAATAGCAGAGATAAGATGCTTTTGTTCAAGCAAGAAGAAATTCGGATTCCAAAACTTTTAGGACCAAAGCGTATTGAAAGCTGATTTCATTAAATCATAACGAAACCAACTCCACTAGGTCTGCTTTTATCAATAGCTCTTTTCTCTGTGATTCCACCAGGAATCTTCGGACAGCGATAGTTGTACATATAGTAATTCAAGTAACCATCGCCTTCGCCAAACAAAAGATCCTTCAAAAAGAGGTTGTTATCCAAAGCAGTGACTGCGTTGAAAACATCAAAATGGAGCTATTCTTGTGTTAGTATGACCAATTACAGTTTGGGAGCGTTTGAAACACCCACAAAGAAAGGGAAACATACATTGTTGGCCAGAATAAGGGCACTTTGAAGAAGCTCCTTCAGACGGTGAATATACTTTTCTTGAGCAGAATCGGAACCGTCGCGTGGATATGATTCGGTGGCATAGTAAAACAAGTATGCCGCTGAAATGTGGTTGTACTTAGGGTTACCACTGACGGAGGAAGGCAAAGAGTAAAATGAAAAGAAATCGGTGATCTTCTTCGTTTCTGGGTCCTGTAAACAGAGAGTTAGAAAGAAAACTGTATACTAAAAAAAAAAAAAATGAAAACACAAACCTCGACAACGTAGGTCCAAATAACAGGTCCCTTAGAAACAGGATTACCACACAACAACCAGTGTTCAACTTCTTTGTGCGTAAACAGCTGGGCAAGTTCATAACGTTCCAAAAATCGGGTCAGTAGATCACAAACCTGTTCCACGTCCTTTGCTTCCATTCTACGAAGGTTGGGAAGTTCAGTCTTCTTAGGCAGACCGAAACGTTCAATTTCACGTTCTTCGCTTGAACCAAGAGGAAGAGGGGAGAAGCCAATGTCATACAGCTTTTTCCAGTTGATGCTGCGATGCAAGTATCTACACGTACTGATGGGACTGGGAACCACAATTCCGGCGGTGTAAATAGCTTGCCAGATATTCTTCAAATGACAACGACGAGTGACTTCTTTGATAAGGACAGGCGTTAGTCGCTTGCTACGTAACTTCTTGTGAACGCAGAGGAAGTTGACCTCAGAACAACGCTCAAAAACTCTGTCACGAACACGAACTTGTACGGGAATCGCTGAAATGAAAGCGACAAGTTTTCCAGACGACTTGACACGAACACCGACGTGCCAATCCTTGACATAACCAGGAGGCATAAGAGCCCATTGTAAAAACTTTGCAGAATAGTCAAAACGAAGCATGGAGGAAGAATCTTCCACGTAATTCTCCGTTAACAGCGAATAAATTTCCGTTAACTATAAACAAGAAAAGATATCATTAGCACGTGAAGCTCTCACTAACGCGAAGACATTTTTCTGTGCATACCTGCTTCTCATCGCAAACGTCCAACGTAACCCATTCAAAATCTTTCAACATGCGCAATGGTTCCGTAGGAACGGCGGAAATGTTTGTGTTTGGATCAATCGGTCCCTCAACATCATTCTCGTCATCTTTTAAACTGTTAGTTGCGGATCATTCACTTTTATTTGCATACCAAACTTAGGAACTGGTTGAGTTTTCCAAAACTTGTACTCCTCGAACTTTTTGGGAATAACACTTTCCTCTTCTTCTCCAGCACCGTCTGCGAGTGCTAGACGTTCCAAAAGCTCACGAAAACTCGCTGCAGTGAGCTTATTTGTAGACGAAACTGTTTTCTCTTGCTTTTCTGGTGCCATGCTACTTGGTACTAGGAGTGGTAAAATGACCTATAACAGGCCAAAACAGAACAACTGTTAAGCAGGCCTCATGAACAAACGGCACATTAGTTCGTGTTATGTCTTGTTATTACGTATGCTTCGTTCATAAAACACATGCATACGCGGGAAGACTCTTTTTTGTTACGTTTAGTTATTAACAGAATTGTCTGCTTAAATTTTCAACTTGACGGAATCGATATAAATTGGCAGAGACAATGAAGCTGTTTGCTAACACCTGTTTTTTTTTCCTCTTAGAATGTTTGTCTTGATTTGTCCTATTCATCAATGTACATTGAAGTACTCTTACGATTGATCAATTATAGACATTCATTTGGTATTGAGATACCTATTTTAATAGCACTATTTCGAAAAATAAGTCTGTCGAACAGTTGAGTGCCGTTCACGTGGTACTATTCGTTATGTTTATTTGTTTACATTAAAGTCTATATGCTGAAGGCATCGGTTCTTGTTCTTTAGCGTTTTCTGCTCCCTTGGAAAGCATAGGCAAGTTACTCGTTCTTTGCTTATATCTTATTCTTGGTATTTGTCTGGCTACGGACAACTTGGGTTTTGATTCAACTATGAATCAACCTTCAGAAGATACGAGGGCTACAACTCCTCGGGCGTATGCAGATGACTTGCCTGAACCCACGAATGCGCCTGAGGATATCCTTTTTGTAAGCAGACGATAAGACAAATTATGCCCTAATTTACTAATATATTCATCTAGCTCTTTGTCGTGCTTCTTACCATTCCGGTTTTTATACTTTTTCTTGTTGCACTTCGGAGATACATCGATTATAAACACAAGCCAAATCGACTTTTGCGATCCATATTCTGCTGTGTAGAAGACGAGCGGCGAGCCGGTGGAACGGACATGTATGCCATGCCGGCGGGTGAATCGACCGCTTCACTTCCTCCATACACTGAGACAGTGCGTGCTGGGGAACAGACTATTGCCGTGGAAGGGGAGCGTGAAAATGTGGACGTCGTCTTGAGTGTACCTGACAATACCGACGGCGAACCCGATCCATATCCATTCCCTGCTCATGGATTCAATCACAGAATGCGCTACTTACGGCTCCTACAAAAGTATCGTAATAGTCATCCTCAAATTGCTTATGGAAGTATTGGTATAAGCCGATGCAATGGTAGCAGACTCGTTGCTGGTCTACCTCCACCTGCACCGGCTGTTTCTCCTATGGAGCCAAATGCCCCACTGTATGACTACGAAACGTTTTATTATTCACCTGATGACTTTGATCCAGCATCTCGCTATTACTACCCTCGCAGTAATTTAAGTCCTTGTAGCCAAAGGACTCTTCCTCCTCCTAGCTACTCGGCCGACGACCTCTCTTCCTTTTCATTCCATACGGAAGATGGATACTTGTCAGATACCTCGACACTTATTAGTCAAATTGTTTAGTGGGCGAAGACACTTATCTGCTTTGACACTTTTTTTTACTTGACATCCATTAGTTACATACATGTATCCACGTGTTTTCCCTTCAACCTTGCTTTGTCACCGGGTAGTTTGATTATAAATAATACATGTATATATATATTACTACATAAACTAACGGCTATATAGCATGAACGATATGTTTACCAAAATAGAAAGGGGAAAGTATATTGGTTACTATTTGTTGGGTGTTACGTGTGGACCAACTCTTGCACCTGTCATCTCTGGATTTATATCTTCAACAGGAAAGTGGAGATGGGTTTTTTGGCTCTTACTCATTCTTTCAGCAATTGTGACGGTATTTTCGTTCCTGTTTCTCAAAGAGACTTATAAACCTGTTTTGGAACAAAAGAACAAAAATGCATCATCGGCAATTGAAAATTCGGGTAATGCAAATGTCCCGAAAGAAGGGGAAGCGGAAAGAAAACCCATAGTTCGCATTCTAGTAGATGCACTTACTCGTCCACTTCTAATTCTCATAACAAGACCCATTGCAATTTGCATAGCGCTAATCCAGTCAATGATTTCAGGCGTCTTGTACCTCTTTTTTACTGGAATTCCCGCAATTTGGGAGGGTGAATATCATTTTCCCATCCAAAAGGCGGGTCTTACTTATTTAGGTTTGTTAGTAGGAATGCTCTTTTCATTGTTTGCAGTGAAACTTTTTGATAAACTCGGTTATGGTCGGGGTTTCTCACTTCTTGGATTCTGTACAATTGGTTTGTCTGGAATACTTCCCATTTTATATATCTTTGGTGAACGACTTCGGCGCATAGGAACGCAAAAGAATTAATACGGGACTAGGGGTAGGATTAGCAACCTTAATTGATTTTTGTGTTGCTGTGATTGGATTATTTATGAATGTTATTTATTAATTAAGACATGCCATTTTGTAGATACTCTGAGAGTATCTTCATAGAATTTCATGTATTTATAACTACAACGAGAGTTGCACGAATCAATTAAAGAATCATGTAGCAGCACTAGTTTTCTTTGCATTTACTCGATCACATAAAATAGCGTTTTACAAAGTAAATTCTTACAAGCAACGGATCCTCTGTCGGATGGTTTATTTCTGCTTTTCTTTTTGTTTTTTGAACAATTACATTTTCACTAGTAACAGTTGCTACTGCTTCATACTGATTTTCTCACTTATCAGCAATTCGCCAAGTCAACAAAGCCGAAAACGTTAATTGAACTATGCGACGATGAAACCGCATTGGTGACAGAAAGAGGGATTTCATAGTGATGAGTATATAGTGTGTGCGCTCTATTTTCGCAAGAAGGCCCTGGAATCAAGCGCCAAATCTGTGTTAATGCGACAGATGCAAACAAACTGCACGGCAGCTTTAGAATGTTGCGTTTCAAGACGATTCTGGATCGTTAAGAGTGAAACTAATAAGGGTAACTAAAACTATGTGAATTTATTAAATAGCTTTGAATATAAAAAGTTAATCAGAAAGCAAATTAAAATAATCATACAAGCAGAAGGAGAGAAGAAAATGGAAACAAGGAAAATATTGCGATTATTGTTAACAATAGGAATATCGTCTTAGTGAAAACTGGTCATTAATTTTATTATTCTCGCAAAAACGAACAGTAGTGAACGGATAATTCCCTACAAATTATTAATAACATGACGAATCTTAATATTGGAGGCATTTAAGCCGGGTTTTTTATAAATTGACATTATTATAATCCATTGCTCAATTCAAGACACGAACCGATTTCATAATTTCATTCCAGTGATGTTTTATATAAGGGATCTGGCTATAAAGCACATTGTCTCAAACGGCAAACTAGCAAATTCTGCTTGTATACCAGATTTAAATGAGAGAGCTATTAAGCAACAGCTGACATGTCGTAACTCTTTTCCTGAATAACTATATAACTTGAAATTTGATTAGTAACCCCTACTTCGCCCAAGGTGCTACGCCGATCAACTCTCCGACCTGAAGATTACTTTCTTGGTTTTGTTGGTTTCAAACACATTCCAAAGTGAAGCACAAATTACTGAGAAAAATAATGTTATTGGAATTATGAATATCCCAATGGGTAGAAGCTCAATTGGCGATTGCTAAGGAAGAAACTTAAGCAATGATGCTGCACGCATGTTAGTTACGGAAAAAGTGTACTCAAGGAAGGAAGCGAATGCTCGAATGAACCTTTAAGCTCATCCAAGCGAGTCGCTTTTCGCTTCCTTTTCGGCAAGTTTACTTACCAGTTGTGGTAAGGAATGGCGACATGGTGGTTGGTGGCATCAGTCTTAGCGGGAACGTTGGAAACGGGAGCAGAGTTCATGTTGAGAATTGAAGAAGTAGTTGTTGTTGTTGTAAAGATGAATTGATTCGTCTTTGGATGGTGAAAGCGGAGGATTATGGACACCTATTTATACTATTTTCCAAGACAATTACTTCTCAATCTATGATTCTTCGTTGTCACAACTCCCCCAAGATGCGCCTTGAATTTCGCACTAACTTCGCACTCTTGATACTTTCTCCAATGGATCTTGCGATATCAGTTAGCAACGAAAGCAATCTTAGCGACTTTACATGCGGCTCCCTTACATGTCTCAGTTTTGTAAATGTGGTCCTGATTCAATGACAAATCCTGTCTGTTTCCGAGTCGTACACTGCCACAATCTCATGTCATACTTGGAATTCTGCTTGCTTATTCAACACTTCATCCCGTAATGTCAAGCGACACTGTAAAAGAAACGAACAGTCGTTCGCATGTTTAATTCACTACTCTTCGTTTATCATGTAAGCTTCATTAACCGAGGCATTTAAACAAAAGTGTCCATAACTCAAGTCCCAAGGGAATCCGACTAAAATTAATATGTCTTTTCTTCTGAGTGGGCAAATTTGGGATGATAATATTTCAATTGGATGTTCGAGACACTATCGTTATGGTCGCAATTCTCACTAAATTATACAGTGGCTGTGTTCATAGAATGCTCTGCGACGCAATCTAATACCAAGGGGTTCACCATGTATCTCATAAACAATATCACTATGCATTATTCATTGTCGTCACGATTAGAAGATTATTTATTTATTTAGAAAAAAAATGCCTGGCCAATTCAAGAGAACAAAGGCATTATAATGCAGTACAATTTATGTTTTAGAGTCGAAATAATGATTCTCTTACTGTTCCAGTTTACATAATGGACTTTAGCAAAAGGCAAGCAGACTAGACAAACAGTCATCGCTCAACGCAACATTTTTTCACAGCCGAAAAAACGTGCTATGTCAGTGAATGAGTAACAAGTCCAAATGTTTCATTGTAATTGTTTTTTGTTTTAAGTTACAAATTACACGCGCGACTTAAATGAAAGACGCGTCGCGTCAGTGACGTTATGCAAAGTATATTCACGCGTCTACGTTCATTTTGAAACTTATCCTTTCCCATTCCTATCCACCCTCAAGTACAAGAAAACAGACTCACAATCACACCTCTTTCAACATTCTTCTTTCATCTTACAAACCATCTGTCTATATTTATTATCAATTATTAAACCAAACTAGCAAAACGAAAAAGTCAAAACATGTCTGTTCAATGCGAAACTCAAGAACCCTTCTCCGATCCTCTTTGTTCAGACTCAATTTCAGATGATCCCTTGTCTCAAACCAGTAGTACCTTTGGCGACTATGAATTGGCTTATTCATTGCAAAGGTATCTCGAATCATTAAACTTAAACATCACATTGAAACGTATAATTGAGCAAGAAGAAGAAGCTATGAAAAAAATTTCCCCACAGAGACTTATAAGAAACAAGGCATTTGCCGACAAAAGACAGCAATTCTTTACCGTTCTATACGAGGTGTGTTATTCACTACTTTGTTTTTGAAACCGATGACTGACAATTTTTGCACAGGAAGCTGTAGATTATGTATCCATGGACACCCTTTGCATTGCTGTTACTTTGCTGGATCGGTGTTTTTCGCGGAAACCTGATATTAGACGGAACGAATTTAAAGTTTATGCTATCGGCTCTTTATTTATTGCTTGTAAACTTACAAGTGACTTTACAGTGTGTATGATTGAACGAATTATTTTTTAATGATTTATATTTATTCAGCTGACACTGATATAGCGCGAAAAACCTTTTGTGCGACTTTAGCGCCGAGTCTGCCGCTTTCTGAACTTGATGTGAGGATACAGGAACGAACTTATGACTATGAGAGCTAACTTTTCGGAAAGGTATACGAACGACGGGTGTTGTCACTCCTCAAATACAATATCTATGTTCTAAGTATGCCTTCAATAGAGGCCTTTTTTACTCCCCTGCTCTTTGAGCATGAATTCTTTCGTTTGCTACGTAATTCGGACAGAGAAAAGTTGATGTATAATTGGCAGGGAATTTTGCTACTTACCATGAAAGGTTCGAAAAATCATAATGATGATGTTGTCCAGCATATCTAACTACCCGAACAGATGTTGGATTTGTTAAGTATCGTTCTATGGAGCTAGTGGGCGCCTCACTTTGGATACTGTTAGATCTGTTTTTGCCCAGAGTCTTTCAGCAAAAGTACTTTGTACGGTTGTGCAGCAACAAAAGCAAATTGGAAGATCCAGACGAATTTGATAAACAAGAATATCGCTTTCGTGCGTGTATTCAAGATATCCTCTTGCGGATATAAGAATCAATTAAACCATGAAACAATAGGAATGTCAATGTCTGTTCTTGAAAATGGATGCAGAAACTGCATTCTTGAACAACATCTTCAATGTACCTTATATTCGGTAATGATTGTATTAGATGACTGTGTTGTTCCCACCCAAGTCTTGCGGGAATCAAGCAGCTTAACAACGACAAGAGCATCTCTAAACTGAACTAAACTGAAACTCAAATTCATCACTAGACAGTGGAATTGTCGTGCTTGTTAAGGAAGCAACTTAAAGCATCGTTTTAAACAGTGATGGAGCAATCATTTGCACGACCAGTCAATGGCATGCATTCATCGATAACATTTCTTTTATATTTTATTTATTACTTAGAGAAACAGAAAGGCAGGGTATATATAGCAGGCATGAGCAAAAGGTTTTTTAAGGTCGTTTGTACATTATTAGTTGGCAAGAAACGGACACATCCGGACACAGGCTATGCAATTCTCTATGATGTATCAGGTTGACATTTACTAGCTGGTTTGCATGCAACAAAACCCTGCTACTTATCGTCTCAGTACAGACAACCTACACACATAACGGCCTATACGTAAGGAATCAACTTCATACTTTCGTAACTGTTCCTCCTCCTCCCCCCAATCATTGTTCCATACAAAATTACCATACCAGGCATGTTTGTAAAATTATCAATAGGAGTATAAGAACACTTTCTCCAACATTGGGGTTAAACTAAATAGTACAATACGCAGAGCAATAATTGCTGAAGTAGAGGTGTTTTGCGAACCGCTTAACGAATCGCTTAAACAGCCTTCACCTTCAGACGGCGGTCACCAGGACCCTTATTAGCGTTTTCAAAAAAGTACACACCATTGCCACAGTCTTGAACCCATTGGCATTGGCGGAATGCCCTGTACAAAGCGACAAACATGTTCGTCGTGTCGCGAAGGTAAAATTTGCCAAGCAATGGACGAACGGCTTCTGTAGCTTCACGGGCATTATAAAACGGAATCCGAGAAATGAGGTGGTGAAGAACGTGAGTCTCAATAATATCATGGAACAAGTGCTTGCCAATAAAACCAAAGTCGCGGTCAACACTGACAAGAGCACCTCGAGTAAAGTTCCATGTACGGTTGTCATAACGAGCAAGCAGAGGGTCTGTATGCTGCAAGTATGTAATTAAAACGAGCCAACCGTTAACAAAATAGTAAGGAATACCATAGTACAAAGCTACAGTGGAAAGAGAAGTCTTTCGAATCAGATATATAAGAACACCAAAAGCGACAAGCATTCCCAGATCGGACAACAGGACCGCCCGCAATTGATCGCGGCGGAACATAGGAGCGCCGGGGTGGAAATGGTTCATTTTGTACCAAGCATATCCCGGGGGATACTGACCCGTGGCATTAGTAAATAAATGAACAATCCATCCAAGGGACTGCTGGAGAAAAACATTAAGCGAGGTAACTAAAGGCGACTCATTAATCGCTTCGTAAAAAGCTTCTGAGTAAAGGTTAATTTTTTTACCCTCCTTATCGCAACCAGTGCCGCCCGTTTTGCGGTTCAATTTCACTTCGGCGGTCTTGGGAACGAAGACAGTGTCCTCAGTCATGTGAGCATTCTTCTTGTGATGCGTGCCGTGAGTAAACTTCCAGGAGAAGTAGGGCACAAACAACGCCGAATGAACAATCCAACCGACGGTGTCATTCACCCAATTGTAAGGAGAAAACGCCGAATGTCCACACTCATGAGAGAGTACCCAAAGTCCCGTAAAAAAGAGACTCTGGATGAACCCATACGTTGTCCACGCCATTGAACGAACTATAAGAGATGAAGGAAGCAAGGGAATGAGTTTGTGGGCCAAACCACCTGTGATAACGACACACAATAGATCACGTAGCAAGTAAGAAAAAGAACGCACCAAGCTACGCTCGAAACAGTGTTTTGGGATCGCATTGTACACGTCCTTCATGGAAATATCGGGCAATTCGTAGGGATTACCGTAGGAATCGGCCATACAATCCGGAGAACGGTTGTTTGGATACACCGACTCCTGTGCACTAGGAGAAACGGTAGGTTCAACATTTTTCTTGGGTTCCAATGGCTTTGCTGAAGCCGTGGAGGACTGTTCAGCAATGACAGAATAAGTCATTGAGTCTAAGATTACAAATTATCGGAAAAAATACAGTTAAAGGGAAAAATTCGCCAGGAAACTCGCACAAAAGCACACAATGAGCCAGAGAAGACGCAATTGACGACGAAGAGTGCGTAGAAAACTGCTAGAAAGACAGTTTAAGTAAAAATTACAGGAACGGTATCGGCGTGCGGTTAAGCGCAGCTGAAAGTACTATTGCGGCAAAAAAGCGACTCGGTTTACCAATAATTGCTCCTAATAGTAGTAGCGACTGATGTACAATTGGCAGAAATCCTGGGAGACAGGGTGCAGGTTGGACCCCTTTTGTAAAATTCGGAACGCTCGTTTCGAACATAGCCGAACAAGCGATTAATGGGTGACGTAAGAGGGTGGAGGGGGTAGAAGGGTGTCAATGGGACGTCGACAAAATTGTTATCTCACTAATCGTTTGGAGTGTAAAACAAGCGGTGGATTTAGAGGGGATGCCATAATAATTTTTTAATTTTTTCTGGTATTATATTATTGTGTATGTTTGTGAAGACAATCTACTCCACTTCCCATGTATTATATTAAATGTCCGTAAATATTGCGACTTGCAATTGATTTTACGTACTTCTTGCTCTCTCATTGGTCAAAAACAAATAGTCGCTTAATAATTTGCCGCAAAAGCTTATCCAATCAAAACACTTAACGAAATTACAAGGGAGTTTATTGATGGGGATTCAGCAAGCGAAAAAAGGGGCTCTATTAAGGTAACATACTGCGCTAATAGTGCTACGGTGGACGGCTTTTTCGTCCAATGAGACTCACTTTGGTTGCTCCATCGAATGCGAACCAGAGATCGTCGTATTGGCGGCTCTGGCTGGTTGGAGAGGGTCTCTTGAAATTCGACCGGATTGCTGTAAAGTGTCGCTTCCCGTCAAATGCTTTTCTGGATTGGATGGTGCACTTCCGTGGGTCAATTATTAGCATGGGAAACGACGCTAGAAGGAACTATCGACATCCGGAAAAAAGTGACTTCGCAAACGATTATTAGGGTCGGGAGGGGAAGGGGGAAAGCGATTTATTGCAAGTTGATGGATTGAGTTAGCGCATTGATACAGTATCAAGGAGAGGATGGGCATGAGTCATAAGGAAACTAAGGAAAATATGACGATGATTTGAAGAGATCGACTGTTAGAAAATTTTCGTTACACACTAGTTTTGTATATTCAGATATACTTTTCTTTTCTAACGAAAACCGAGAATGCAGGATCGTTGTGACAGCTTTTGAAGGCAATTCTCTCAAAGTTACTTATCATCAATTCGGTTTACAGCTTCTGTCAATGTTAAGAGTTAATGAGTGTAAACGATACTGACATAACGAGCAGGCAGGCATTGACCCAATGCTCAAAGAATGCTTCAAGGAGCTGTCGAATCCTTGACAAGCGTTTTTTGTAACACTACTGATTGGTCTGTAGTGAGATGCTTCACTAAATGAATTGTAAAACGAACACAAATCTTTCCGTTTATTTTAATGTTCGACGTCATAGTGTTCAATTTGAATAGTCGCCATCATTTAAGGTTTCGCTTAAGCGATTTTAATAGCAAATAAGTAATATAATAACTGTCAGTTCAACAATATAAAACGAGCAGTTATAATGGTTAGCTACAGAATTATTTTGTCATGACTATGCTAAAAGAAGTGCTTTTTAAGTTCGACAAATCGGTAATATCATAAACATTATCAAAATTGTGCAAGAAGAAGCAAGACTCGGTTAGGAGTCATTTTTCAAAAGTGACAATATGCAAGTAAAGAGTATCGTAAACCGGTCTTCCAACCTCATTATATCCCATCTAACACAAGTCGAACGTGCAAGGACGATCAACATCAAAGCCCTTGGACTTCCACTCATTGACTCTTGGAATGTTGTACTTGGTCCACAGAGTATCAAGAACCTGAACAAAATTGTCCACCAGCTTCTGATCGTTGTGCAAGGGTGTCGGTGACACACGAAGACGCTCCGTTCCGACAGGGACAGTGGGCGAATTGATGTTATGCAGGTAGATGTTGTATTCAGTAATCAAGTCACGACTGACTTGCTGGGCGATACGAGGATTACCAATCATGATAGGGACAATGTGTGAGTCGTTTGACAAAACGGCAATTTGGCGCTTTGACAAGGCGTCCTTCACGCGTCGAACTGCAGATCGGTGTTGCTTGCGAACACCGTCATCCTTTCTCAAGTAATTGACCGAAGCAATTGCGCCAGCAAGAACATGAGGCGACAGACTCGAGGTATAGATAAAACCAGGAGCAAACGAGCGAACAAAGTCAATAACATGTTTGCTTCCGGCAATGTAGCCCCCCAATGCCGCATACGACTTTGCAAGAGAACCAACAATGATATCTACGCGATCCGCCAGACCTAACTCTGCTGCAATACCCGCTCCTCCTGGACCGTACATGCCGACAGCATGCACCTCGTCCAAGTAAGTCATAGCGCCATACTTTTCGGCAAGCGTGCAGATACGCTCAATAGGGGCGATACTGCCATTCATACTGTAAACCGACTCAAAAGCAATCACTTTTGGTTGGTTAAGAGGTAAGCTAGCCAACTTGGCCTCCAGATCCTCCATGTTGTTATGCTTATACACAAGCTTGTCACAACGGCTGTTGCGAATACCATGAATCATAGAAGCATGATTCAGCTCGTCACTGATGAAAACACAGTTGGGGATTCGACGGCCCAAAGTAGTAAGCGTGGTATCGTTGGCAACGTAACCGCTGTTGAAAACAAGTGCAGACTCTTTTCCATGCAACTCAGCCATGAGATTCTCGAGGTCCACAAACACTTGGTTGTGTCCACCAATGTTTCGGGCTCCAGTAGAGCTAGCACCATACTCATCAAGACACTTGTGCATGGCATCCACAATGGCCTTGCATCTGTTCATGGACAGGTAGTCATTACTGCACCAGATTTGGATCTCCTTGTTGTAGTCCCTAGAGTATGCAACCGGGACACCCTCGAGAATGTGATTAACATTACTCAGCACACGGTATGTGTTGTTGCGTTTCCGCTGTTCTATCTCATTCACAAACAACCCCTCAAAGTTGAATCCAGTTCTCGAAGCCGTAGGAGTGACCAACGGAGTTGCTGCAGATTTACACGTAGAAGCCGTTTGTAGCCCACGGACAAAAGAACGACGAAAGGATGGACGGAGCATGTATGTCGATATTGTCGAAATGTGTTGTTTATCGAAATGCAAAAAAAAGACCGTTTCTTTACACTACACTGCGAAATGTCCAAGTACGAATAATGTCGTAGCCAGCAGCTCGCGGTAAGCGGTTTTGATAACCATTCCGTGAATACTTATATAGACAGCGGCACTCCCGTTTCCCTGAAATAAGGTTTTCTCACGTAACTAAGCGAACGGATCTACAAGTCTTGTCGCAAATCATGCGGCGCATTAAATAACATGCGGGTCAAATTACTCCGCTTGCCAGAAAAAACAGCGCAGATCCAAATGACAGATAAATGATGTCATAAACGGGGCTTTGCGAAACCAAATTGAAAGTGCATGGCGTAGAAGTAGATGATGAGCATCAACGGGAGGAAATGTTCAATTAGTCAACAACGCGATGCCAACAGTTAATGAAACGCATATATGTCATGCAGAGCCTCTCTCGAATCTATCAGTGCTGCGACATCAGCCTTCATGTGTGTTGATACAGTAATAAACAAACGTAAACAATAGGGTCCCGCGTTGCTATAAATACATCGAACGCGACAGCTTAAATATCGCCTGTTCGCACCAGCTCACGTATCATCTTCCTTTACCCCAAAGTCACTCTCCCTTTGCAAACACTCTTTAGCAAACTAGCCGACACGTTTGTGTTTATTCCGTACTAATCGTGATCGACATAGACAGTACCCTCCTTTCATGAGCGCACGGAGTCGTCTTATTTTTGTTGCACATTATTGAATCTCTACAACTGCATAAGTCCGATTTCCCTATTCCCTATTTTTGTTTTATTTTCTTTTTCTATTCTTCTTTTGTTTTTTGTGCATTTTCATCTTTTCTCTCCCCCTCGTTTTATCGCTCTTGTCGTTTACAAGCATCTTATCACCCTTTTTTCATTTTTTGATTTTTTAATCCGTAACAGGGCTTTTCAGAAACTGAGAATATGCTGCTGTTATCTGTGCTGGAACTTGTTCCTGCATTTCTATTTTTCGTCACAGCCCAGGCTGCTTCTAAGGACAGCTGGCGTAGTAGGGTTATTTATCAGCTTCTTACTGATCGGTTCGCTGTTGAGGACGATGGTTCGTCCACTTCCTGCGACCCTGCTGACAAGGTTTACTGCGGTGGTACCTGGAAGGGTATCCAATCCAAGCTGGATTATGTCCAGGGCATGGGTTTTGATGCCATTTGGATTTCCCCCATTATGAAAAACTTAAACGGTACGCATGGCGATGATGGCCAGGCTTACCACGGTTACTGGAACACGGAGTTTGAGACTTTAAACTCCCATTTTGGCACGGAAGACGACCTCGTTAATTTGATCACCGATGTACATAGTCGTGGCATGTACATTATGTTTGACAGTATCGCCAATTCCATGGCCGTTGCTGGTCCCGCTGCTGATATCGATTACTCGACTTTGAAGCCATTCAATAGCTCAGAATACTTCCATCAATTCTGTATGGTTAACTTTACCGATCTCACAAACACAACTCAAATCGCCGATTGCTGGAACGGTGATGACAACGTCTACCTTGCCGATTTGGATATCGAGTCCGACGTTGTGAGCAGCTACTTGTACAACCAGATTGAGGCAACTACTGACCGTTACACTGTCGATGGCTATCGTGTGGATGCTGTAAAGCAAATGAATCTTTCCTTTTTGGATCAATACACTACCTCTGCTAGTGCTTTTGTTATTGGTGAAGTTTTTGATTACACTCCTAAGACGGCATGTCCGTACTTGGAACATCTTCAAGGCATGACAAACTATCCTGCTCGTCTTGGTATGCTCTACTCCTTCAACCAGACTGGTGCCGGTTTTGGTGCATTACATGATTTGGATTACCAAATGCGTTCCAACTGTTCCAGCTACGACATGTCCCTTTTAATCACATTCCTTGAAAATCATGATCTTCCTCGTTTTGCCAGTCAAAACAACGACACTGCACGTGCTGTTGGAAGTCTGGCGTTCTTGATGCTGTGGGACGGTATTCCCGTTCTTTATTATGGTCAAGAGCAACATCTTTCCGGTGCATCTGATCCTTACAACCGTGAGGCCTTGTGGACTTATGGTTACAATACCTCTTCTACCTATTACCAAACAGTACGCAAGGCCATTGCTTTGCGTAAGCTTGCATCAGCTGACGATGACAACTGGTTGAAGGACCAATACCAATACCTTGCCTACGACAACGCACCCGGCACTTATGCTATCGTCCAAAAGGGCAATGTTCTTGGTATGTACACGAATGTTGGCTCAAGTGCTGGTAACAAGGTGTACTCTGCCGTTTCGAACTTTGATGAAAATACCGTCATTACCGATATCTTTAGCGGTAAGAACGTTACCGTTGGAAACAACGGTTCTGTCACATTCACTGTCACTAGTGGAATGGCTCAAGTGTACTATCCTGCGACGAAATTGACTTCGTACAGTCACTACCTCGGGGCTGCCACGACTGTTTCGAGCGTGTCGAGCACTACATATCCTTCATCCTATTCCACAATTACACTTGGTCAAACTCAAGCAACGGGCTCAATCTTGGCCTCGACTTCCGCCCATTCATCTGCTGGCTCCTCTTCTGCCACCGGAAGCGCATCTCACGTCTCTTCGTCGGTTAGCAGCGTTTACGCATCGGCCTCCACGTCGTCTCAGCATTCTGCGGCTCCTCGTGCTTCTGCATTCTCTTCGGTCGGTCTGCTTTTGGTTATTGCAACCGTTGTGCTTACCGTCTTGTAAGCAATTCACATTTGAGCCGATACCAAGAAAAACAACGAATCCACCTTCGTCCACCGAACTACTGAATTGATGAAACAACTCGGTATTTTTGTTTAACGATATCTGATTATTCCCGTACATGATCATTTTTGTTTTGTGATAACTGAATAATTATTTTTTGAATTTTGGTGAAGAACTAACAGGAAGTTAACATAAATGGTAAGTAGGTGTAATACATTATAGTGTAGGGTGCTGTGGGATAAGCAGCTGCTGTTAAGGGTAGGCCCTAAAGGGTAAGGGACTTGAACGGTCAGAGTTACTTAATGAAAAAACGAACAGTAGTGTAACTAGCCTTCTAAAAGCCTTCACATTATTTCAGAACAAGTGCTTTGTTTTCTAAACGGGCAACTTTCTTAATGATTTCTTGAATAAGAGGCTTGTTACGAGCATCTGAACGGAGTTTCTGTTGAAAGAAACGAAGAAGATCTTTCACAGTCAATGGTCCATTCTTCAACACATTCACAACTTCTTCTTCTGTGATGATGTTCGCATCCGAAAGCGACATCATGGACTTAGACTTCTTCATAGACGAAGGTTCAGCTGCAGCCTCTGCTTCGCCCATACGCCGCCGCTTAGGTTTACCTGCAGCAGCCGATTTGTCCGTATGAGATGGCTTGCCTTTGTCTATCTTCAGAACAACATAGCCGCGACCATCAGCAGTTGTAGATGATTTTGTCGGCACCATTGATCCACTGGCAGAACGTTCCAAGCGCTTAGATGCTGGAGGACTTGTAGCTGAACGATGAGTGCCAGAGCCGAATCTGTTTTTCATTTTTTCTTCCTTTTTGTGCATCTCTTCTTCCTCCTTAACGACTTCTTGCTCACTGTCACTTTCTTCATCCGAGGCGTAAGGATTCTCGTCCTCATCGTCACTTTCATAGGCATTGTTTTTCTCAAGAAGCTTCAAATAACGCTGCAATTTCTTACCCTCACGGGAAATTGGGCGATTACTATCTTGGTCTTCCAATTCCACTTCTGGGTCTGCTTCACCAAATAGATTTGCTGTAAGCATTTCACGCTTGATTTTTTCCTACACGAGATAGTTAGAAAATAAAGAGCCATTAATAGAGACACGCGCCGTTTCACACGTACTTCTAGTTTCTTATTGTCCTCTTCATTTCCTTCAATGAGAGGAACGTCTTCGTCATCCGCGAAATCTTCTTCAAAATCAAGCTCTTCGTCACTGCCGGGAACTCGCTATAGGAAAGTTAGTCTCGTATAATGTTTCAGGCCGGTACAAAACATACAGGTTCATGAACAGGCTTGGCGTTCGGCACGGTTTTCAGCTTGTACATGGGAGCAGCTGGACCAGTATCTCCATCGGGTCCAGGTGCTTCCTTTTTCATAAACCATCTGGGAATGGGAGTCTTCTTATTCATCTGCAAGAAAAAGGATGTTAGTACCATTAAACTGCCACTCTAGTTCAAAAAAAAAACAAATATGTTCTTACTTTTGCTTCAGCCTCATCGATTGTCAAGGCTTGAAAGTTACTTTTCTGATTGAATCGGTAAAACCGATCCACGGGAATTACTTTGAATCCGTTTTCCTATGCGCAAAAGTTAGTAAATTGAGGTCGTCGTAACCAAACTCATTTCCCTCATGTGATATAAAACGTACAGAAAACATAAAGAGTACAAACGACGAAGATTGCCCGCCTTCCATAGTACTAGCCCAGGTATTTTTTCCGTCAAAGTCTTCCATAATCCAAGGGCAAAGCTCTTCTTCTTGCAGACGGCGAGCTTGGGGATCTACTTTGACCACTTGTCGAGTTTTCCGCTTGAAAGCATTTTGCTTCATATTCTGGGCTCCACCGTATGGAGCAATGGATGCAATATTTACGGCAGGAGCTGATGAAGAAGGTCCTTCAACAACAAGGGGCTGTTCTGCCGGTGTGTTTTGTGTCGCGTTTGGATCCTTCCGTTGCATCTTAATCGGAGGAACGAACGACTGAGCAGGATTAATGGTTTTGTTGGAATGAAACTTGATAATATGATGTTTTGCATTTCCTCTTTCTGTCCTGGGAACCCATGTGAGTCGAAAATCCGAATAGCGGGTAGTCTGGGGAGTAGGATTTGCCGCCGAACGTAAATCACCGTTTAAACTTGGTTTTTCTGGATCTATGGGCTCCTCTTTAACAGGATTGTAAGAATTTCCTCCTAACTGACTCATTATAGCGTCTAACTAGCAAAAAATATGTCCTACCCCAGCAATCTGAGGTAATGTGTAGAGGCTACGTTAACCGGCGCAGATACGCTTAGAGTTATCCAGAGCCATTATGTCCACAGCTGAGTACATTGCGAAGCGTTATCTCACGAAAGACGGCGGTTCAAAGAAACGAAAGAAGAAGCAAAAGGTCCGGGAGAATTTGGAGATTCAAGACGACGATTCTGCAGATCTTTGGGCTGCTGAAGAAAACACCCAGGAAAAAGAAGCTCTTCTATACGGAAACGCTGTCCAGAACGACATATTAGCAAACGATACAGTTCGGATTTCGGAGAGCATTGACGTTAAACCGCTGGGCGGATGGAAACCCGTTGGTGAAAGAGCAATTGCAAATTCTGTACCAGCAGTTTCAGAAGACTTGGCTGATCAAGATGCAAAACCGAAATATGGTCTCGTTACTGGAAAAGAAATTGCGGAGAAGACACGTCGGGAACGTTTGTTGGAGCAGCAACGGTTAAATGCCATTTCGGAAGAAGAGCTGCAGAAATCTCAGAAAACAGTATACCGAGATGCTACAGGACGCCGAGTGGATATACAATTGATTCGTAGAGAGGCGAGTCAACGGCTAGAAGAAGAGAGGCGGAAGGAATTGGAAAAAAAACGACAGCAACAAGGTGAAGTTCAACTTGCTGAACAACAACGACTTCAAGAAGAGTTGGAAAAGATGAAGACTGCTCCACTAGCACGTTATGCTGATGATAAGGAGCTTAATGAGACTCTTCGGAGGCGGTCTCGTTGGAACGATCCTGCTGCATCGTTTTTAAAAAACAAACCAACAGGCCCTTCTTCCACATATCAAGGTTATGCACCGCCGAATCGGTTTGATATCCTCCCAGGACACATGTGGGATGGAGTTGTCCGAGGAAATGGGTTTGAAAATCGTTGGTTTCAACGTCGAAATGAATTACAAAGCCGGGAGTTTGAGGCCTATAAATGGTCAGTGGAAGAGTAAGTATATGGAAAAATCAACTTTTATTGATTGCTTGCTAACGAACACAGTATGTGATTTACGACAGGTGGTCTTTGGTTGGATTTACTATTGAATGTGCTTGTTCTCGGAGCACAAGCTCACAAGAGCAGAAGGATTTCTCTACTAATATGTAAGAGCAACTCCGCTCATATATCTTGGGTATTGTGATTGCGAGTTCTGTTTCTGTTTCTATTTCTTAATTTTGTTCGTTGGAATCCGTCAGACTCTGCTATTTGCTAATTCGGTGCTCTAATGGATTTCACTATTTGCTTTATCTGCAATACGTTGTCATGTGGTATTCTATTTTTGATAATGTAACGCGTTCTGTTATGCTATTTCTGCATTCTAACGAGATACGTTATCTTTGTTTTCGGCAGCACATCGTTGTTCACTATACTCAATTCTCATTTCAGCTACACCTATACGGGAATTTGTCCTCTACGCTCGTGCGATGACGGTTGCTGCTGATCCTGCAGTTTACAGCGCAGATCGTTCGCTGTCTGCGGTTGCTCACAACTCCAAACGACTGGAACGTGAGCTGTTGCATCCTATTTTGCCATGTCTCCAGTTCAATTTAGGTGAATTGGAGAAACGTGCCAATTATTACTTACAGACAATTACTCCCTCAAAAGATGGAAATACAAAAGCGTATGTATGGTACTTTTCCCTTCCCTGATTCTGACGTTCTTGTAGTCATTATCTGCTTGCTGGCAGTGGCATGAATGCTGAGCAAACATTAAAAAAAATCGAGTCTATAAACTTCAACAATGGAACCGTCAATTACGAAGAGCTGTCGGTTACAGATGCTGACGTTTATTTGAAGTATAAACGTGAACAAAACGTTCTTCAATCGTTGCAGAGCATTGTTTTGGGAACGCAAAAGGAATTTGACACATACATTAGCGAGATGTGGAAAGTAATGAAGTCTTCCGACACACCTCTGGAAGAACAAACCAGTTTGAAACGATCCAAGGTCACAAATACATTATATGCTTCCTCAGCACGCTCAAAAGCTTTTGCAGCCGCTTTGTTGCGGGCTTCTGATGAACGATTAGAAGACCCTGATTACTCCGTTCTCAGAATTTTTACATCTGTTGCCGAAAAATACGGTCAAGAAACTAAGTTTCAGCTTCTTGTAGACGGTTGGAAGGCTTTACTGATGCTCTCCAACTCGGGAGAGGATATTGGTGTGCTTGAAAATGCTGCGACGCAAGCTTCTAAAACGGACGTCTCAAACGAGACGAAGACTGACTTACTCAACACTATTCAACACAAACGCCGGATTGTTAACAACTCCCTTCGTTTTCTTGAGAAACAGTTTTACTCTTTGGTGAACAAAGAGGTAGAAAAGAATTCACAAGCTGCGGCAATGGGCGGTGTGCCTTCGGTTCGTAACAAGATTCGTGCCTACATCAATCTTCGTTTTTTGCGAAATGGGGAGTGGATCGATGCAAACTTGGAAATCGTAAACAATGCTCCCGTGTGGGCTTTATTGTTCTATTTAATTCGTTCTGGTTATCTGGACGAAGCAGTTACATTTGTCAATGAGAATGAGGATGCCTTTGAGAAGTTTGCTCGAAACTTCCCTTCTTATCTGAAGTCGTACGCCAGTTCTCCCGATTACATTTTGCCCCGTCCCATTCGTGAAAAAATGCATGTTGAATTTAACCAATTCTTACGGTATGCAGTCAACCCAGATCCGTACAAGTTTGCACTTTACAAAATTATTGGCCGCTGCGAGCTTTCCAAGCGTTCCCTTCCGTATGTTTGCTCCGTCACTGAAGACTACTTATGGCTGCAGTTGAAGCTTTCTCGTGAATTTAACGAACCTACTGTTGCAGCACACGAATGCTTCACCTTGGCAGATGTGCAAAAATCCATCTTAAGTTTTGGTGCTGAGTATTTCTCACAAAAAAGCTGTAATCCAAGCATATACTTTTTTGTATTACTGATCTGTGGTCTTTTTGAAAAAGCCATTGATTATCTTTACTCCTACTCTCCGTCCGATGCTGCGGGAATGGCGATTGCCTGTGCTCAACATGGATTGCTTCGGACGCATCATGATGCTACGGGTTCTGCTTCTCATTTTATAAAGGAAGTTTCTCCCAATGTTTTCTCTCTCGATTATCCGTCCTTGTTGACAGATTATTCATACACGTTTGACAAAAAAGACGCAAAGCTGGCTGCCTGCTATCTACTTTCCATATGTTTGGATGGAAAGTTTACAACTGTTGCTCACAAACGTTTGTCGGACCTAATTCTGTATACTCGTGATTTTGCAGGTCTTTTGGGTGATACACGTGAGGATGGCAGTCGTATTCCAGCGTTCCTGGAAACACATCGTTCTCTGGCTTACTTTGATACCGAGACCAGCTTTCTGAGGAACATAACTCGTCGCTCAGCAATGAAAGCTGAACAACGGCATCAAATCACTGATGCTATTCTTCTTTATCATCTTGCTGAGGAATACAACACGGTTGTATCTGTGGTCAACCGGCTGCTAGGCAACACGCTTTCTAGCTTTTCCCAAAATAGTTCGTTTGACGACAAGCCGGTCATGTTGGCAAAGAGTATGCTTCAAATGTACGCCAGTAATCCTGGCGTTATCACTCGTATAGACTACAAAAATCGGGAGACAACGGACCTTTTAATGCTTTCAGTCTCTGCGTTTCAATCATTTTCGCAGAAGAATTACGAACTTGCATTATCATCTTTACAAAAACTTGAATTTCTGCCGCTGGAGTCTGAATGTGACTATGCTTCAATCAAGAAAACAGTTCAAGATCTTCGCTTTCTACACGAGGCTGTCCTTCAAAACCTTCCTGGGCTTGTTTTAATTGCAATGGAAAGTCTGAAGGAACTTTATCTGAAAAATCGTCACTCAGCCTATGGGCGTTTGGGTCGGGAATCTAAACTGGAAGTCTATCGGCACCAAGCACGTCAATTGATCATATACAGCTCGCTGATCGATTACAAAATGCCTTCTCATGTGATTGAGAGTCTTAATCGCCTTGAGATTGAGATGAACTAAAACATTGGTATATTCACCGTGGGTTATATTGTCCTATAACTGGTTTAATTCCCACAATTTAAAGATACTTTTATAGAGTTCACTTGAATGAAAATTTGATGAATGATACAGTAATTAAAACGTAGACGAAAACTTCATAGGGGGGGATTAATGGTAATATTTAAGAAACAACATAGATGAAGGAATGAAGGTATAGGACTTCTCATTATTCTCGTATTCACTGGGATGTTCGTGCTTCATTACCGAACATTTTGGATAAGTCTTCCCATTTCTTAGTAATACTGTCATACCGTTCTTTAAGCTGTTTATTGTTAGAATCAAAAAAAATGTAAAAGTTAGCAGCCAAAAACCATTCCGTACCTCATTATGTGCCGCTTGTGTTTTATCGAGTTCTGAGGTCAGATAATCAATTTGTTCTTTGAGTAAATCATTCTGCTCAGAAAACTTCTCGTTGCGTCCCTTCATAATCTCTAATTCTTCCGCATACTTTCTTCGCAATTCAGCGGGCCTTTCCTCAAACTTTGCTTTCAGCTCATCCAGTTCTGTCTGTAATGCAGCAGTTTCCTCATCCATAGAAGTGTGTTCCATCTCTTTCTCTTCAAGTTGAGAAGCTAAAGAGTCATGTTCGCCTTGGAGCTGTTTCGTTGAAACAGCGGCTTCAGTGGTATCTGTTGTAAACTTATCGATTTCGGTACGCAGGGTAGCAATAGTTTTCTCTAATTGTTCTCGCTTCGCCCGCAACGTATCATAAATAATGTTTCTTCGTTCTGGGTTAAATGGCTCTATCTGCAAGGCCAACGCATCCTGTATCCATTCGTCTATACTCACAGGACTACGGCCATAAAACGAATAGCGAGTGGGGCTGCTGGTCCGATAGACACCATATATGTCACTGTTCATAAACTTCTTAAATTGTTCGATTGTCTTTACTTGCAGAATTCGTTCGGCGTTTTTTATAAGCACTGCGATCGTAAGCCGAACGAAAAATGGCAATCCGTGTATACACAGTAAGTCAAACAATCGAAGAGAATCCGTAACGCTTAAAATGGCGGAGAAGCAAGAGCAATAGCAATCAAAGTGTTTTTCAAGTGATGTAACACATAAACGAGAAAGAATAATGGCCAATTCAGGGCATGCGTCCTCAAGGCCTTGCATGACCTGCATAAACAAGGTGCTTTGAATGGATGTAGTATCGACGGTGAATAGCTCGGACATAACATTTTTCCGCAATAAGCACACGAGGGCACGGAAACTGTTCGCTTCGGGAAGATAACAGAGAAAGGCAGTTGTTATCCACAGAAGCTTGTCAAAAGCATATTCTACAGTAGTGTCAAATAGTGTAAATGCATGAAGCACAGAAAGCAGACTATCGTTTGAAACGCGTAATCGGGAAGCATTTCCCTGGCGCAAAAGTTCGACGGGAGAACGAAAGGGCTGAGACCGTATAGTTCGTCTAAGTTCAACATCAAGTGAATTTCGTTGAAGTGCAAGAGTAATGTACAGCGTTAGCAATTCATTTTTTTGAACATTAAGAAACAATTCCCAACAAACAGCACGTAAAGGTGAGGGAATGACATCGTTGCACTCATTGATAAGTTGAGACAAGGTCTCCGTACTTGGTGCTCCGTCATCGTTAATAAATACTTCAACCCAATTATTCCAATCCACACATTTAGCCGCCGGGCTATCCTTTTCTGTCCGTTGTGTCAACTTGCTTTGTAGTGCTAGAATCTTTTCCTCAAAGTCCGCAATCTGTTCACCACTCCTGCTTTTCTTCACAAGACCGCAAAGCTGTTGGAAAGGTTGTTCGGGAGAGCCTGAAACATCGCTTGCCGGTGGGCTGGGGGTCTTTTTAAACGCGTTCGTAGCATCTGACTGTAGCCAAGAAAACCGGCTTTTAAAGGACGCACCACTGGTTTCAGAGCTAACAGAAGTGTTGGAGACGACAGGCCGAACGATAGATCCTTCGACATAAGAAAAAGCATTCTTGTTAGCATCCAATGGAGTTGTAAGAGCCGGTACTGACCCGTCTAAATCAACATCCTTCATAGAATTGGCAGTTTCTGCTCTGAACTCGCCGATTTGAAAATCCGTGGGTTCAGATTCGTTTTCTGCTCTCAATTGAGGCTTTGAGCCCAAAGATCCATCAGAGATGCTCATTAGGCGACGTAGAACAACACCGTCTCCTTCTAACTCTTTAAATCCTATTGTATCACCAAATGTTCACTGAACAAAGACCCTGGAGCAGTAACGCGTCGACGACCCGTCCGCACAGAAATTGTTAAGTAAAATCCTGTACCAGCAGGATGTTCCTCGTAAACGTCAAATTAGCCTGAAAACAACAGCACAACCGGTAAAAAACGCGAATTCCCAACAACCGTGTCTTTCTGTTTGGGGGAGCGCACAAGTAAATAAACCGACACCACATAGGTCAACTTCCTCAACTCGTTACAGCTCCCTAAACCACACTGTCACTACAGAAACCCTAAATGAAACTCGCGACGCGTAAACAAACACGAAACAGACTACTCGGTTCGCAAAAAAACATCTTCAAAATCTAACATTCACAATTGCAAGGCAAATACACCAAACTATACTACAAGCAAACAAACAAGCAAACTAGACGGTCAGTATTGAGAAACAGGGAATACACCACATCAATAAAAGAAGCAGTAAAAAGATGCTCAGTAGGAACAATTGGATAATTTGGGTTATCTCATATGCAGAACGAGTTGCGGTCGTCCTACATCGTATACCTAAATTTCATCGTTGCATCTGCTGCTTCTGAAAAAGAAGACATACCATATATAGTACATTAATTATTGTCCGAACAGAACCGAATTGTTGTTAGTAGAAGGCAAGTGTGCATTTTATGTTCCTCTGAACACGAAAAAGCAGTCACATGGTGTGGCACATGAAGAAGGTGCAAAGATGATTGGACAGCATAGTGCAGGTTGTACACACTGTTAAAATGCTCTCAGGCATTTACTAAAACTCGTAAGCTGACTATTCTTTGTTTTATTGTCATTTTTGTTGTTTTTTGTGTGGACTTAATTGACTAGTATCGTCGAGCCTCTAGTGAAAACTCACCACCAAAAAATGGGTTTGAGACGCACTCAAGGTGTACACGCGAGACGAACAAGATTGACTTTATTTATTGTTTATATTTGCTGCGGGTAATAGTTTCGTAATAAAATCTGATTAAAAAGTTATCATTATTTATTCCATGCTGTGGAGTCGCGCCTAAAGTTTTTAAGCGAAACCTTAACTACGAAGAGAAATAAAGAGAAACGAAACATAAATGCAACATGCGAAAGAGCATTATGGCTGATATCTTATTCATCAGACATGAGCTCTTCAAGTTCGGCCAGTTCCTCGGCGGTAAGTATGTCGTCGGCGTTTTGGGAATTAGAATCAGTAGGTTTGACAATTGAACGTCCCTCAAGAATACGAGGAACATCCCAAATGGCTATGGTTGTATCGAGTGAGCCTGAAAGCAACAAATTTTTCCATTTTAGTAACTTCGTCACCTTGTCTGAGTGACCATGTAATGTACGAAGGCACTCTCCGCCGCTGCCATTCCATAGATGGATAGAACCGTCACGGCAGGCGGTCACCACAATAGAGCATGGCCATTGAAGAACGTCTGTGCAATGTTCACTGTGTTCCAGCTTTGTTTCTTCGCGAAGCTGGGGATACAGAGACCACTCACGAACGGTTGAATCAGCAGAGGCCGTCCACACGCTTCCATCGTTCATGGTGTCAAAGACTAGACTATACACATTGGATTGATGGCCCCAGAAAGCGTCATCGATGGGTTGGACGCTCTCGCGACTAATGCTCCAGCAGCGAATACTGCTTTCGCCGCCGCAAGTCCAAATGACACAAGACCCAGGCTCACGCACGATGCACTCGACACCACGGGTGTGTCCTTTCAACACGTGCAGGCATTTTGTTGGTGTCTGATTAAGATCCCACACGAATAACTCCCCGTTAGAAGAGCCGGACACAAGAAGTCCAAGGTCCTGTAATAGCAACAGCGAACGAACATAGTCAGAATGACCAAAGAGTGTTTCCACACACTCCCCCGTCCGGATGTCCCATTTTTTGATGGTTTTATCCCATGAACCAGTAAATAAATGCCGCTTCTGGTCGGTCAGCTTTTCAACCTGGCAACATGTCACAGGTCCGTTGTGTCCGCGATATGTCTTGCAGAGAGTTTCCTCTTCTAAGTCATACAGATAGCAGATATGAGAAGCAGCGCAAACAAATACACGAGGAAACACCTTCCGTTGTGGAGTCGTCAGATCAAGTTCCAAGTTTAAAATCTTGCCCTTCAACTGACAAACCTTGTCAGCGCAAGAGAATCGCGTTTCCGATGACATAACGGTATCGCAAAAGCGGATAAATCTTCTCAATTTGTGTGTCTTACATGGTGTTGCATTGACAATAAAATAGAGTTAATTAAGCGAACTACTTGCGCTTCGGTTATTTGAAATAGCTATACACGATCAAATATATTGGGCTATAGTTGTTTGGTAAGTTGTCTCCTATATGAACGTTTTAGTTTACGTTATCGCCTGTTCTCGAGTTACATCTTGCTGTGGTTATTTTTGTTCAATGGATTAGTTTAGATGAATATTGTTACGCTCAAACGACCGATCATTTAAGCAAACAGAAAACTTTATTTAGTATCATAATTTACTTCATTTTGAACATCCATGCTAAACTTTAGATTACGTTTTTTTACCTTTTTTACAGCGAATAAGTCTAAATTTTGTGTAATGCAAATCAGAGTAAGTCTTGCTGAAGCGGAAAAAGAGATAGTTTAGTCCATAGAAGCGATAAAAGACTCTAAACTTTTGGCTTCAGCAGCATGTTTGTTACAATTACGTTAATGAAATTGATTAAGACGTGGCACATTCCATTTACGAGTGACCTGTCTATTTGGGTTAAAAGGGTCGCACGCAAAATAAAACAGAATAGTGTACGACATTACTTGAATAGTTTTAGGGGCTTAGTCAATAGTTTTTCTCGGTAAATCAATACTACAAGGGAGACATTGATTCGATTTCCTGTAATTATAGCGTTTAAATGCGACATTAAAACTTTGAAAATGCATCGGTCAAGCTAAATATATTATAACGATTACACACTTGATCATTCTAAGTTCGTCTAAGCTAAGCTTACCGTCCGACATTATGAACCTAATTTAGGAAGCCGGTATACAGTAGCCTGCGAATTATAAGTTAAGTCTTATTTAGAAAAAGAAGTACAACCACCATGTTCCCTTGTTACAGTTTAATCTAAAACGTAGTAAAATCGGAGTTTATACTGTTTAAATGGATTACGTAAAGTTACAGTTCTAGAAGTACTTAATTCTTCATTAGCTAAACTCTCGAGTAGGTGTTATACTATGTACAGCAAAAACATGTTTACTATTATGATGACTATTATGTGTTAATAAACACCACAGGAACGTTCAAGTCTCTTGATTGTACGACCAGTCCCTTAAACATAGCAACAATTTGCTGACCTAAAAGCTATATCAACTACACATATACCTTGGCGACTAAATTACTTGGTTTTTTGTTCTTAGTATCTATCGTACATGTAAATAAGCGAGTGAACTTGCTTTATTAAAGATAAACTTCAAACATATGTTTCATGTGACAGCGACACATTGTCGTACAGTAGTCGGAATTGTTGTTAGCTCACAAACTATCAACTCGTAACTCAACCTGAACTTCTCTATCTTATTTCCGTTTCATAATAATCTATGTATTTTTTTTATCAACTCAAACTAGCTCTCTAGAAAAGCAATGTCTTAACAGAGTTTGAATGCGGTTTAGAGTTCAAGAATCTCATCATCCTCCGGATTCCTCGAAGACGCATTTTGCCTCGTGTTGGTTTGGGACTTTCCGAATGACAACTTTGATTGTTGGGATGCTCTAGAGCCACTCCGGCCTCGTCGAGTACCTGTCATTGTAGAGGGAAGTGTTCTCCGTTTAGTACTTGTTGTAGTAGAAGACCTTGTGTTTGGTGCAGCTGCTTTTGTAGCGGCATTCTTCCGTTGCCGCGTGGAAGTACGCTGTTTGGGTTCTTCATGTACATCGTTATGCTCGGTCTCAAAGATACTTTGGGATTGAGAAGGAAGGAACAACGGCATTTCTTCCATAGTTTCATCGTGCGCAGGCGCATCTTTGAAAAGATCGTGTTGTTCAGACCTTTCATCCATTGAAGTTGGAACCTCAGGCTATATTATCTAGTTAGCAGAAACCATAACCATTAATAATCATAGTTTTAACATACACTGCCTTTTCGCTTCATGTGGGCCAAATTGCCCATGCCATCCATAATGTGTTTGATCTGTGCCAAGTTAGAAACTTCCTTCATTCACAATGAATTCAAAACACACCTCATCTTCTAAATTTTCTTCCGTAACTCGTTTCTGTACAAGCACAGACACTTGCTTCTTCACATAGTTTTCGACAAAGCTATCAACAATTAGAATTACTGAAAATGATTTTCGTCCTAAGACGTACTCTTTCAATGCATCCTTGTCATCTTTCTCAACATATTGTGCGACGGCATAACCAAGTTTCTGCTCAGGAAGACACTCCAATCTGTTTGTATCCAAATACTGTTTCACGAGCGTTTCAACACGTAGAGAGTCAAGTTTAATTTCTTCACCAGGTGCTGCCAGCAGCGCCTTATCTTTGGCCGTTCCTGAAAATGGTTATTAAGGCTTGCGTATAAAACAAAAGGTACATACGTTTGTAATGCCGTTTCTGATAGAAATGAACGATGTCATTCACGTTCGCAACTTGTCCCACGAAACGATTAGAAAATCTTTGAGGATTCTCTGTCTGGTACCCACCAGAATAATCAACGCGAAGTCGAATCAGTGGTAAAGGAGCTTCTCCACGCTCATTTTCAGGAATATCTGACTGACTTTGTAGCCACTGTTCTTGTGCTTCTTTAATGGCATTGTCAACCTCGCCAATTAAATACTGCAAAACCTGTGACTTATTATCGACCATAGGTGGGATCGATTGAACTTCGGAAAGAACGACGTCTTTCATGACAAACGGGCGTACCGTTCGCAACCGAATTTTTTCCAAGTTGAACTCTTTTCCCTTTATGTTCAGAATACCCACATGCTTCAACGCTGTCTCACCTTGACATAGACTGGTGACGACGGAAGAACCCGGTTGTACAACGGTAAATTTTTGCGTAGGATTATATGAACCATCGATTAGACACTCATGTTCATGACCCCACAAAACAAAATCGTAGAAGTCTTGAATAAAGCTCTCAGGTAGGTACCCAGTGTCAGTGTGTGCAGAGTGATTTTGATGAACAGTCAATAAATTAAACCATTCATCCCGATACAAGTCTGGCCTCATAAATTTTACCTTTCCTTCCCGGAACGTATGGTACAATCTTTCATCACGAACATTTGACAGACCATACAGTGCCAATTTCGTGTAGCCCTTCTGTAGAAGGATAGGTGCGATACTAATATTGTCGTTTTCGGGAACCCTGCCAAAGTAATTCAGCAACCCGGCGACTTGCAAGATATCCAAAGCGCAGTAATGCCCTTCTCCGGATGGATCATCATGGTTTCCATGGATAGAAAAGACAGGAATAGCGACATTGATATTTGGATCCTGGTAATTAATATTACACACAGCTGTGTCTCCGGTAATCATAGACATATCAGTCAAAACCTCTAGCTCACAAGGTTTGTCACCAAGACAGTTTAATCGCAATGCTCTCATTGTCTGATACAATGCTTTCCTAGACGGTTTATTATCATGAAACAAGTCGCCTCCGAGTAAGATCATGTCAACCTATTTTCATCTGTTAGATTATGAATCCATGATTCAAAAACAACCTCTCGCTCTCTGGCAATTCCAAGAATCTCATTAAAGGTACGGATCGCGTCATTTCCTCGAATTGGATCACGTTCAGCATAGCCTATGTGATTGTCCGAGGCTATGAGAATTCGGATTGTATTTTCATCATAGTCGTCAACACCTTGCTCCTCAACTTCAGACAGTCGTTGTCTTCGCGACATTGAAGAATGAAGGGACCTGAGCGTGTTCTGAGCACAAGACGCGTTGCATTCAGAGAAGATGATACGCTAAATCCCGTTAGTTTTCCTTAAGACGATTAACGCTATCGTTTTTCTTCGTTAAAATAAACAAAAGTATGCAACACAAAAGACTTCATTAATAAGATGCATTAAGTGTTGCATGCGACGCGTCGTATTGAGGTTGTTCAGAAAATGATTTTCCGAGTTTGTTAATTGCGAGTGACCTCAGAAAACCAAAATTATATATCTAAAAGAAAAGAACGAGACCTCAATAACCCGTAAAATAACGACAGATCGCTTCAATTAGCATTGATTTCTTGCCCGAAGTTGGAATGCCATGCCGTTTGGCAATTTCTTTTAGATTGACAACCTTAAGTCCCTTTGCATATTAGTATTGACAACAGGAGGGAAAAAAACAGATGATACGAGGCACTTACTTTCAGGCTGTCCGCCAGCATATCACTATCGCTGAGCGATTTTAAAACGGTATCATCACTGTAATCGAAATTGCTCTTCTGAGTCCGAATGCGTTTAGCTTTTGGTGCACTGGAACTGCTGCGAATCTCCCTCGGTTCCGATGCTGCAACAGTTTCTTGAGTTTCTGCCTTAGGCGAAGTGTGAGCACGACTTATTCTATTTGCAGCTCCGTTTACTTGCTTAATAAACGGACCAACTCGCTAAAATAATAGTTAGACAAGGGAAATAAATCGACGAAATAAAACTTGCTTTTTCAATTGCAGCGTATTTTGGCAGTGTGGTGTCGACTAGTTGGCTCGGCACAGGCTCGTCCAAAGCCAAAGCTTGAAGTATAGTATAGTGCCACTGCAAAGCTATATTGCTATATTTGCCCGGATAAAAACTTCTTAATTCGATTCCTCGCACAATCTGTTTGAAACCACTCAATAGCGTGTTGTCAGGCTTTGCTTTGGTTCTCGGAGGAACTGTACGAATATCGTCTGCGGTTGGCAATTGAATTAAGAAGAAACCCTGTGGAAGTACAAAGTCGTCGAGAACCGCTGTTGAAGTAGGTGTCGCTATTATTGCTACAAAACACGGAGTCGCCTTTTGCTCTGCAATGAACCATCCAATACCCAATAAATTGTCACGCAGGAGCTTTGCATGCAGAGCGGAAAAAACCAGTTCACTTCCTTTTATATCAATGCTCTTTGCTCGTATAAATAGCGAAGGTTTCACGTTCATCCAGGATTTGTATGTAGTCAATGGACGGAAACCAATAATACGAAGTACAGGTCCTCCAAAATAACGAATTTTTGACAGTTCGTCCTGAGAAAAAACGACTTGTTTTCCACCAAACATATACGCACGTTTAATCTCATCTTTTTTTAAAACGCGTTTTGTCTCGAAACTGACTTGCGTACTTTGCGGCACAGCAATTGCAAATTGCTCACCCTTTGTGTATACCCATGTTGTTTTCGTTGGCACCAAACGCCTAAATATAGCGAATCCTTCAACATTAATCTTTACATTATCGCTTAACTCCATGTTGAAATGAAACTGGGCGCGCCGAGGTTTCTGCAGCGCCCGAACAGCATGCAGCATGTTATTTAGCTGCTCTTGTCCGCGTTGTACCTGTGGTATGGTTTCATGATTACGCGAGGCGATACTAAGGAACTCCCGGTAAAAGTTGCTTACGTTAAAGCTATGAGCTGGAGAATCGAGAAAGATGGGACAAAGGTCAATGTTCATATCTTTAAGGTCCTTCGCTCTCTGCATAAGCGCGTTCTTCTGTGAAGAATCCCACGCAGGTGTGTCATTATCGGTAATTAAGAACAGTCGTTGACCAATGTTTTTCCTAAAGGAACAAAGTTGTCAGTTCTCTGCATTGATCCTTATATGAAAGAAAGACATACGTGGTTGTGAGCATGATAGAGGCTGAATACAATGCATGGGAAAGAGAGGGGGGATTAGAGGAAGGGCGTAAAGATTGTTTTACCGAATCGAAATCTAGAATGTAAGTAGACATGATCCCTAATTCTTCTTTCATGAAACCTACCATTCGCATAGTGTTTTAGGTGTTTTAAACGGTTGGAATCTGGCATATCCATTGGCAAAATTACATATTCATTCTCAGCATTTCCAGTCGCTTCTTCCTACAGACGCGATATATTAGTGGTCGGGAAGAACGCTATTTGTAAAGAGGCTCTACCCCAAACTATACATACGGTTCCAAATAAGAGAACTCCAATTAAGTCATTAGGAGTCGAAATAACCTTTTGAGCAGCCAACTGGTAAGCACAAATGAGAGCAGTTTGAAGAGAACATGGATCAACATCACTTATAGGCTCCATCATACTGGGAGACACCTCAATGACAAACAAAATCGCGTATGTTTTTCCATATTCATTCTAATACAACCGGTTCATGTTAAAAAAACTGCAATTTCCCCGATAACGGAGCGTGTTGCTTGACGTACCTCACTTTCATCCACCCAATTCTCTGAATTACTGGCCATCATAAAACATGACAGTCTGTGAGAAGATAAGAGAAAAAATTGACCGTAATTCAATGATCAATTGCTAAAATACACGTGAATTAGCAGAGGTCGCTAGTACGTGGTGCATGAGAAGTAATACGCAATTACGCTTACTGGCATTTTTGGTGGAGCATTTGGTGAAGGGGCAGACATCCCAATCCACGCATTTTTTGATACACCAACAAAATTTAAGAGTAATTATCCAAAAAGTATTTCTTTATTTGTTAAACAGAAGTATATACGAGCAATTTTGGTTTTGTTTTAATCAGATTAACAACATCAGCGATTTATGCATCCAGTATTCAAGAGCTTGACAAGGATTCGCCCAATTCGCTTACCTGTTACCCGAGTTGTCACTTTAAAGATAGCGCGGTATAACGAGTCTTTGTCCAGCTCAAAGGTAGTAGAAGGTGGTGCCGATGCAGCTGTCTTTTCCCCAACAGAAACGCTTCCAGATCAAGCTATGGGACGCGGTGGGAAACGCAGCTGGCACTCCGGTGATCGCCGAGAAGCAAAACGAAACCGCAGAAACGCGGTTTACAACGGCGAAGGTCGTCCGGCCGACTTGGTTGTTGGCGAAAAAAAGCCCAAACGCAAAGTCGCGTGCCTTGTCGGCTACTGTGGTACAGGATACCATGGAATGCAGTTGAATCCACCGAACAAGACAATTGAGGGTGACCTCTTTGAGGCGTTCGTAAAGGTGGGAGCAGTCTCGTCATATAACGCAGACGATCCCAAGAAAGTTGCTTTAGCGCGTGCTGCACGGACAGACAAGGGCGTTCATGCAGCAGGAAATGTGATCACATTAAAGCTCATTTTGGAAGACGAAAACTTGATCCAAAAAGTGAATGAGGTTCTTCCACCGACGATTCGCGTTTGGGACGTTATTCGGACCATCAACTCGTTCAACCCTCGTACATACTGTGAGTCTCGTATTTACGAGTACTTGCTTCCTTCGTATGCATTTGCACCCCCAAAGCCCACGTCGAATCTCGGAAAGTTAATCATTGACAATGCTGTGTCCAAGGGCGACAAACTGCCTGAAGGAGATGCGGCGGAGGAAGACATCGACAATCTTTCTCGTCGTTTGTTCTTTGAAGAAGGCAAACAGTTGTGGGACGAATTCGACAAAACGTTGTCTAAACTCAAGGACGATTTCAACGCGGACCCTGCATCGTTCAAGGATCCTTATCGCGAATCGCTCAATGAAGCTGATGCTTTGTACGACATTCCTCAAGACACCAAGTTGTCACGCGTACTGAAACACGCAGAAATTCACGAACTGCGCAAATACCGCATCACTCCTGAACGTCTTCGTGTTGCTCGTGAAGCCTTTAAGCGTTTCGAAGGTGTACACAATTTCCACAACTTTACTGTGGGTCAATCGTTCCATGATCGCAGTAGCAACAGAGTCATTAAATCGTTTACGGTAAGGAATGAAATGCCGCATGGACCAGCGAATCTGTGCATCCAAGGCTGGCGTCACGGCCTGCTCGACTTTGTCGCAACGTACTAACAGAATTGAAACAGGTCTCGGATCCGATTATCATTGAGGGCACCGAGTGGCTCTCGTTAAAGGTGCATGGACAATCGTTCATGTTGCATCAAATCAGAAAAATGGTGGCTTTGATTATGCTCGTGGTGCGTACAGGATGTCCTTTGGGCCGGATTGGCGAGACGTTCAGAAAACCTCGCGTCAATATCCCCCGTGGACCTGGATTGGGCTTATTGTTGGAGAGCCCATTCTTCCAAGGTTACAACGAGCACAAGGCCGCTGAGAACAACCGGCCTCCCATCGACTTTACCAAGTACGACGAGACGATTGAAGCATTCAAAAAGGAGTATATTTACAGCCACATCTTCAAGGAAGAAGCAGCCAGTCAAGTGTATGTAAAAAAAGACGTATGGCATTTGTGCCATCATCGAATAACCGGAAAAATCAAGATGCTAACAGTATAGATTCCATGGATTCTTGACGTTTATTGACTCATACATTGGCGATACTTTTGCTTACCTGTCTGATCGAGGCATTGAAACTGCCGACAAGACGGAGGCCGAGGAACTTCCCAAGTTGCCTAAGGAAATCTCCAGCGAAGATGAAGATGATGAACAGGCTGCCGCGGGAAACAAAGCGGAACTGGAGGGTTAACAAAAAGAGAGGATTGAGCCGCGTGTTGGCATGCAACAAGTCTTCGGCGTTCCTCCATGACCAAACCACTTTTTGTATAGTTGAAAAGGGATTCATAACGGGATTCATGCTAGTAATAGATAAAACACAGGTTCACGGAGAACTAGGCGAGTGCTGGGGAAGAGAGCGTTTAGACGCATACTGGAGCACTGGAGAGAGATGTAAAGGAGTAAAATGGGAGGATTGTCGGCGAGAGGGCAGGATGACTAGCTGCAACTCTCATGAAGCGTTGCCTCCTTTACAGAACGCTGAATGGAATAACCCGACCAAGAATGGTTCCCGTCACCTGCATATTCCGTTCGTCGTGTCGAAAAGCTGCAGCGACAAGCTCACGAGCACGGAAGTAAGAGTGCCGACGGCGGACAGGAATAACGACACGATGCTCGAGGGGCACTCGGCCACTTTGAGCACATGCGTTCATGACCAAGTCCGCCTCATGGTCCGAGTCCACAGGTCCCTCGTTCTCATCCTCGTTTTGCACGGACTTTGCATTTTCAAGCCGTTGACGCTGTATACGCGCATAGTTTTTCTTCTGATACGCAGCCAGCAGCACATCGTACGGTTGTGAACGGCCAGGAACAGCACGCTTGCTACCCATAGAATGCGTTTTGCACGTTAACGAACGAGCACACATCTGGCCATTAGGTAGCAAGACACCACATTGTTTCTCCACATCGACAGGAGCTCGGACCTTGACAGCTCCCTTTCGCTTCGAAGAAGCCTTCGTTGTGGTAGATGAATTCGATGGATTAGCACTGCTGCTTGTAGCTGCCGCTGCTGCCTTCGACGGTTTGCGGGACTCCTTGCTGTCCTTGTCGCGGGTATTTGAGTCAGTCTTGCGGCGCTTCACATTCACGACCGCGTCCTCAACGGAAGCACTATTGTCGCTGCTACTGTGAACAGCAGTACTAACGACTTCCTTGACACTGGAAGTCAACTCGCTGCTGGACACATCTGCGGGCTTCGGTGGTTTATTGTCATTACACTCTTCAGCGTGTTCCTGTGCAAACTCGACAAGAAACGGCCGTGAACATTTCGGACAAATTCTGTGCTGCCGTGATCCTTCTAAAGGGAACGACAGGAATTGTGGAAACAGAGAACCTGGCAAACGAGCAGGTCCTCCTTCATCTTCATCTTTGTCACGGTCGACCCCAACCGGTTTTGTTACAGAAACAGAATTGGCAGTAGCACCTGCATCTGCGGCCAAGGTAACGGCCTCTTCACGCTCCCATTGTTCGGGGAACACACTTGTCAATTCTTGTTCACTGACGAGGGGGGCCATGGTGGGGAGTTAGTGGTGTTGGGTGAAGCCGTCAGATAGGCATACCTGCCATTTACAGAACCATTAAGAACAGCATTAGAAACAGCGATAACCAACTTACTGCGATGGAGTAGTTGGCTTTTCTGCTCTAAATTTTTGCTTAAACTCTCTCGAAAACGGTGTTTTGTAAACGGGTCCATGCGCTGGGAGAGACACGTTCAGCGACTTCGTTTGCAGTGCACCATGCCCAGTCCTCGACGCCTTTCATTTCAATATTGTCTGCATAATCCTGCAACCAACGAGCTCGTAAATAAAATATCTAAATAGTTAGTAGATGAAGGGAGGAGAAGACGAGAGGATGCAAGGGACGCAAGAATGGAAATGAACAAGGACGGAGTCGTCGTGCTATGCAGTTTACTCGAACAACATGCCGTTCTCAGTTTCAGCTTACCTTTTCATCGCCGGTTCCAGTGCTTGCAACCGGATGCCTGGCAACAAGCCAATACGGTGCATCCGAGCCAGCAAGGGACGTGATCAATTGAGTTGCGACTTTGTGTAGACTCGTTTTTTCTGTGACAGGGGCTGTTGGGAACTGCCATTGCTGTTCGCCTGTGTTTTTCTTTACCATCAGGTACAGCGACTGGTCCAGCTGTCGACGCACACTCCGAGTATTGCCCGAAAGATCGTCCGGCGTCTTCCGTGGTTGTGTTACGAGGAATTGGTTGTTTTCACTGCTGTCGGTGCCTGAATTACCGCTGGTTTCCTGGTGAAGAAGTTGCGATGCGTTTTCAGCATGCTGGAGCTTCTTTTTTGTTTCAAGCCACGTCTTTTCAGCCAAGGAGCCTTTCTTTAAGAAGAATTCATGAGCAAAATCCTGGGACATTTGGAGCTGGAGCTCGCGATTGTACGCGTAGATGGCCTCCTCGAGCGGAGACGGTGTTTTATTAAGGACAGGCGGACGAATGAGAAGAATTCCACAGTGGATAAATCGAGAGCCTAAAGCAAAGCGCGTGGGACGCGACAGAGCGTGCAGACAGCGATTTCTGACAGAACCAAGGGGAAACATGCAGATGGTACGCGTAGTAACAATCGGGGATATTGTGAGCAGCAGCGAGAAATAGTGTAGACTAGTGTGCTTTAGCGAAACTCAACGAAGTATTAGAGGCATTTAACAGTGTGCTGCTCCGCCTTATTAGTTTTACAGAAGGATAGCACAATATACTACATTTCTTTATTGTGTTTAACGAAACATAACGCGAGAATCACTCAATCCTCGAGGTAGTATGCAGTATGGATCCTCGCAGGCTTCGGGATGCTGGAGTATCATGAATATCGTCCCGGCTATTTAAGTTAAACAAACGCGTCACTACGCGCAGAGACGCGTCCTATTGAACGCATTACGCGTTTTGACTCGAGACGCGTCAATCGCGAAAGTCTTCCCCACACATTTCTACGTCATCAATAGCATAACCCAAATTTCACTCTCGTTGTCTTCTGCCCTCTCCCATTACCTCTTTCCGTTACCACTCACCCAGGTGCAGCTCAAGAACTGCAAATCAGCATAAAAAGCATCGTCTGCGCACGTAGAATTCACATTTATGGTCTCTCTCTGGAACACGGCGTCTTTGATGGGTAAGAAATCGGTCAAACTGGACATATACAGTTGTTTGTGGGTTTTCCAGACTAGTTTGGAGTCAATTGGACCAATTGACGAACTTGTTTCCTGAATGAATATTTTGCATTGCTCTTCTTCGCACTCATTGCTAACCCTACAGGCCTCTTCGGCGTCGGTTTGGGCGCGTATGGCGCTCACGGGCTCACAAAACGCGTCAAGGATCCGCACTTGCTGAAGTCTTGGTCAACAGCAAGTTACTATCTGATGTTTCACGCTGCTGCTCTTATGGCCATCTCCCTCCATCCAAAGTATAGTCAACGTTGGAGTGCTCCACTTATTGCTACGGGCTGCACCATGTTCTCTGGCAGCATTTTTGGCCTCGTTCTCCTCCCTAAACACTTTGCCTCCATTCGACGCGTCCTGGGTCCCGTAACCCCGCTGGGAGGGCTCACCATGATGGCCGGCTGGGCTACTATGCTAGTGTAAACGATCAGTGATGAAGGGCTGTATTGTGCAATGGGCATAGCAGGCAACTTGTCAGACCAATATGCCGCTAGTCCTTTTCTCATTCATTACAAAACTGTGTTCTATCGGAAAAGAGTGTCGGAAGAACATGGAGATATTTTGGTTAAGAAAAAAAGAAAAAGTGGAAACCGTTCCATGCAATTCTTTCTTCACCTCACTCTCGCATTAACCTCCAGGTTTTCAAGCCTGTGTGCAATGTGTTTGCGCTCTCGCGCTAACTCACGTCTGCTTTTTTTTTTAAAGCTTTACGAGGTTTTGTGACTCCAGATACTGGACGATTTGATGTACACACTCCGAAACGGAAGAAGTGTGAGACGAGACAACCACTTCGGGTTTGGCGGGAGCCTCGTAGGGAGCGCTGATTCCGGTAAACTCGGGAATCTTGCCCTCGCGGGCCTTCTTGTACAATCCCTTGGGGTCACGCTTCTCAGCAACCTCGAGAGGGCAATCGACGAAGACCTCGATGAAGGGGAGGCCGTCCTTTTCGTGGAACTCGCGAGCAGAGTCGCGGTCCTTGCGGTACGGCGAAATGAAGGATGTGATGGCGACGACGTTGGCGTCAGCAAACAACTTGGCAACATGCCCAATACGACGGATGTTTTCGTTACGGTCCTTCTCGCTGAAACCCAAGTCGTTGTTCAGACCGAAACGGACATTGTCACCGTCGAGACGGTAGGCGTTGATGCCGTGTTGGAGAAGATGCTGCTCCAAGGCGCAAGCGATGGTCGACTTGCCAGAGGCGGACAAACCCGTCAACCAGACGGTGAGTCCCTTCTGATGCAAAAATGTGTTGCGCTCTTCGCGTGTAACAGAGCCTGCGTGGAAAGTGATGTTCGTTGCCATTGTCGCTGACGTCGTCGAAGGCCAACCGGACACTTTTTATATCATCGTCTCGGCGGCTGTTTGACAATGAGCACCCTGAATTACGAATTGGTTTGCAATCGCGTAAGGGGCTGTCCGGATGATGCTCTTGCTCCGAAGATGGTGAGATGCAACGTACGGAATAGAGTTTCTCGCTAAACGAGATAGCGGCGCTCGACGGATTTCGCTATCTCTAAATACGACTCTTGCACTCCTGCGCACTATTTTACACTACTGTTCGCTGTTCTGTGCTACGACGCGCTAGAGCTCGTTACAGTCCATTTTCACTCACTGCATCTCTTTGCCGCTCGTTATTTCTCACTACACCAGTCCACCTCTCCCTCCCACCACCATTTTCACCTTCCCTCTGCAAACCATCATGGCCAAGGACAAAAAGTCTCGCAAGAGCCTCGGAGGCGACGAGGAGGACTATGAGGCTCGCTTGGGCTCTTTGATGCCCATTGCGAAGCCTTTGGCTCCGAAAAAATTGAACAAAAAGGTCCTTAAGACTGTTAAAAAGGCCTCCAAGTCGAAACACATCCTCCGTGGTGTGAAGGAGGTTGTCAAGGCTGTCCGCAAGGGCGAGAAGGGTTTGGTCATTTTGGCTGGCGACATTTCGCCCATCGACGTTATCTCTCACATTCCTGTCCTGTGCGAGGACAACGAGGTGCCGTATGTGTACACCGTGTCCAAGGAGCTCCTTGGAGAGGCTTCCAGCACGAAGCGTCCTACCAGCTGTGTCATGATTGTCCCCGGTGGCAAGAAGAAGGACATGGACAAGGCTGAGGACTACAAGGGAGTCTACGACGAGATAGTCGCAGAGATTCCCCAGCTGGCTTGAGGGTCTCTAGGAACTCGGCCTACAGCTTAGCAGGTCAACTCGTAGTAAGAAAACAGTGCCACGCAGAAGTGGGGGCGGATCAGAAGGAGTAGTGGGGGCTGTACTTAGACCGGCTGGTGGTGGTGCTGGCTTTCGCTTACGAAAACTTAAAGCACGCGGGCTTACGTCACTTGCGACTCAAACGTCACATGACTGTATTACATCATACAAACCATCCTGACACGTGTTCATAGGCATTTCACGTGCGTCACATGCTCGCTTCGCTCGTGCTCTATTAGGTAGGCGCTTTTGTTGACATTCATGTCTCCTCTGGCAACCCTTCGCGACGACGTGTCCCACCGGTAAACACTGTTGAAACGCGTAAAAAACCTCAATACACAGGAGATGAATGCTCAAGATGACGGAATGGGGGAGATGATCGAGTTTTTGGAGGGTACATCTGCTGCTGGGTTGGAATTTGCATTTACTGACATGTCTAGACAAACTTTATTACACGTCCCTGTCAGAACCGCCGAGAGAGGCCTTGTATCCTCACATGCACTTCTTTACGATTGACAATGTGCTTCTATACAACCCTTTTTTCCATGATTTTGGACCACTAAACGTGAGTCACTTGATTCGGTTTGCAGTCATTGTACATGGGATCATGAGCCGTTACCGGCAGGCAAAAAAAAACAAGGCAATTGTGCTTTACTCGAGCACAGACTCTCGGTCACGGTCAAATGCTGCGTGTTTGCTCGCTTGTTATATGGTTCTCGTTCAAAACTGGCCGCCTCATTTGGCGCTGGCACCGTTGGCACAGGCAGAACCGCCGTTTCTGCCGTTTCGAGACGCAGGCTACGCCATGGCAGACTACAGTATCACCATTCAGGATTGTGTGTACGGAGTCTGGCGTGCTCGTGAATGTGCTATCCTGAACATACGGAATATAGACGTACAAGACTACGAGACACATGAACGTGTGGAGAATGGTGACTTCAACTGGATCACACCAAAGTTCATTGCATTCGCCAGTCCCATTCAGGCTGGCTGGGGACACAATGGGACGCAGGCGAAGAAGCTTCCGCAGTCGTTTGCCATTGTGTTAGACTATTTCACCAAAAACAACGTCCGTCTCGTGGTCCGTCTAAACGGCCCCTTGTACGACAAGCGCGAGTTTGAGCGCTGTGATATCCAGCATCGGGACATGTATTTTGAGGACGGCACAGTGCCCGACCTGTCGATGGTCAAAGAGTTTATCGATCTTACCGAGTCTGTCGAGCCCGACGGAGTCATTGCCGTTCACTGCAAAGCTGGTCTTGGCAGAACGGGGTGCCTGATTGGAGCCTATCTCATGTACAAATACCCCTTCACTGCTAACGAAGTGATTGCCTTTATGCGCATTATGCGTCCCGGAATGGTCGTCGGTCCACAGCAGCATTGGCTGCACATCAATCAGGCGCATTTTCGAGCTTACTACTTCGAGAAACTTATGGCCGAGGCAACTACGAAAGCTGCTGCTGCTATGGCGGCAACTGCAACTCCTCCTCGTTTGCCTCTCGAAGAAATGGCTCGGCAAGCAGAAAACATGAAGAACACACCGTTACCTGCACCGACTCCTGGACAGCCACGAAAGACCACAACTATTTCTCGACAGTCGCCGCTTCGTCGTCGCTCGACCGGTGTGGGAAGCCTGGTTGACAGACTGAAAGACGCTGCAAAGGAGCAAAATGCCGAGCAACAGAGACAGCAAAAGCAACAGTCCATAGCTGCTGCTTCTGCTCATGCTGCTGACTCCATAGAGCAGCAGGTGGAAGAGATTCTTGAAAAGAGTACTCCTCCCAAGGCGTCGTCAAGTGGCGCAAAGGGTGTACGTTCCAGCACAGACGGCATCTCTGTTGTTCGTATACGGCGGTCTTCCTTGACTGCTGCCTCGAGCGATAATCGTCGTCATCCCTCAACCCTTGCTTCTCCTCGAAAAGTCAGTCTGGGCAAACGTTCAGGGCCCGCAACGAGTTCTGGCAGACGGGTGAGCCAGCGAAGCTCAAGCATGTCCTCGTTGAACAGCACTTCCGAAGGCCGTGTTGTAAAACCAAGGTCCCCTAGAAACCGTTTGGTCTCATAAATTGCATTCTTAATTCACTATGTTGGAAAAGTTTGTCCCCCTCGTTCACCCGAAAAAAACGAAATCTATATGATGAATTGCCTCTAGCATTCCCTTTTCAGTATGTTCAAGAGCCCTCTTCTCAGTTTACAGAGTTTACTTTTGTTTTTTTTTTACCCACTTCCTCTACCACCCACACAGAGCTTTTCACACTAAGCTTCCTTAGCAAGTACCAAAATTCGAACTCGACTTGGTCTCGAAAAAATCATCAATTGGCCTTTAAGTACCTTGTGTTTCTCCCCTACTCACATAATTCATGAATCTTTTTGGCTATGTTTACTCCTCTGGGTCATTTTAAACAAATCCAATGCCCATACGAACGATCTAAACAGCAATGTACGATAAAACACTGTTTCTTCCGTCACACGTCCTCTACCTCTAATCTATCGCTAAAAGAGCTCCAGGCCCGTTCCTATGAAAAGCTTGTTGAAAAGAAATTAGAACGAGAGTCTGCTCTAACTGCTGCTTCTCGAGTTTCAGAAAATGACGACAAAAACAAACTGAAGCCTACGCCTGCTAAACGGCCAACCATCGCGGAACCGCAGGCAGTTCCTCCTCCCAAACGTGTTCACATACAGCCTGTTGCCAGTGTTGCCCGGACTCCTGTAGCAAAACCGAAAGCTCGTACCCCTGCAGTTCCTCTTAAACCTGCACTTAAAACGAAAACAAATGATGCAAAGTCAGAAGAGCCTGTTTCTACGGAACCAGAATACGACTACAATGCTGCAGCTGGACACGAGTTGCGGCGGCGTATGGCACAACTCATGTATGATTGCTACGATCGATTGGGCTATACGTTGGCAGAGAGCTGGAAAAAGGCACTGGAAGATGAAGCGCTCATTAATAAACAATCCCACAGCAAAATGTCTTATAGTTCTGCTTGCAAAGCTCGAATTATTTCCTTGAAAAAGAAACCACGGAAAACAGAAAAATCGACTGCTGAACAAGACTTTGAAGCTCTGTGCACGCTTGTTCACTCGAAGGAAGAGCTCGTGAGTTGGAAGTATAATATGGAAATCGTCACACCGGAGACGCCTCCTGATAATATGCACCAGTGTTCACGCTGCGGGAAACATTTCACTGAAGCAAGAGAAGGTTGCACTTATCACTGGGGAAAACTCGTCCGAGAGAAGCGGCACGGAGAACGAGTCCGTGTCTACACATGCTGTGATGGAGCGTATGGTGAAGATCGTGGATGTACAAAGGGACAGGCACATGTGTTTCGTCATGAATATCTTCCATACATGGCTAGCGTACAGCCTTTTCGTATACTTCCTGATACACGGCCAAACAACTGGGTTCCGTGGTGTGCTCTGGATTGTGAATTGTGTTATACGACTCTCGGCATGGAGCTAACTCGATTGACCGTTGTCACGCTAACCGACAAACTGTTGGATACATTTATAAAGCCGAAAGGTGAGATTCTTGAGTTGAATACGCGGTTCAGTGGTATCCACAGTGCTGAAGAGTTGGAAACTGGTATTACCATGGATGAGATGTACGAAGAACTGTACAGAATTGGTGTTAACAAAGACACTATTTTCATTGGACATGGTTTGGAAAACGATATGATTGCTATGCGTTTAGTGCATGAAAGGGTGATCGACACAGCTATCCTGTATCGTCACGAAAAAGGACAACCATTTCGCTATTCACTCAAGTTTCTCACAAAAAAATACCTCGAGACTGTTATTCAAACCGGAGAACATGACAGTGAAGAAGATGCTGTCTATGCTCTCAAGCTTGTTTTTCGTTTACTTCGCAAAGAGCCAACCTAGGAAACTACCTGAACCCTTTTAATATTGCTCACCGTCAAACACAGTTCTACACTAATTCAATACCTCATAAAAAACAAGTCATTCATTATCAATTTATGCCATTGAACACGGCGCCAAATAAAGGGCGCAGAAGGGTTTTAATGAGCATGATGAGTTTCCTGGAATTTGTCAGACAGTATGTTCTTGTCATCAAGACTGGATTATGCTTACTGCAACTCCTTTCTTGGAGTTTATATATTCATTCTTCTTATTTGCCCAATGCATAAGGTAGAAAACGGAACCCATTGGTATGAGAATGTACAGGGCGTTCGATTTAAAGGTTCGAAAACCATTGCGGAAGCTAGAAGATAGCAAGCCGGCCATGGGACGTTGCTGAAATGGTGAAACAGTGTACGTGATGATACCCTTTTGTTTGGGACCACCCCTTTTGGCGGGTTAGTATGCTGTTGAAGTCGTTGAAATTTAAAGTGACAGAAAAGATTGTGATTTCCGTTTCCTTGTTGATTCATACTTACAGTGCTCCCCACCATCCCCTGTATTATTGTTAGTTGACCGTCGTCTTCTTCAATTTTGTGTATTCTTCGTCCTTACAAGTATGTTTTTCCGGAAGGTGCGTGACCCATTGTTTTAATTGTGTTTAAACTTATCCTATAGACGTTTGTCGATATAGAAGAAATTAATGAATCCTCGTCGTTTGTATTAGAGAAACTGAGTTTGCAGTTAATAATTGCTGTATATGTTGCTAGTCATCTGAGCAAAGACGACGTCATCACATGGCGGACAGAATGAGCGTGTGGTGGCCATTTAAGAGTCGTCCGCGTACAACTAAATTCTACTCAGAACTACTATTCTAGATCTCTGTTTCTTGCTTTCTTTACATTTTCCCTTCAACCGAACGGCTCCTGTTTTCAAGTGGATCCATGAATAAAGTTTATTAAGGTTATCTTGGCTTTTGATAAGTATCTTAGCGATGCTACACCAAAAACATTTTGCTGAATGCTAATAGACGCAGTTTGTTAGCGGTAAGAAAAAAGAAAACAACAACACATACATTCGACCTACTGCAATCGCTTAGGAATCAATGGCAGCCATTGTTGAAAGACTGGCAAGATATGCCATCCCAATAGGTCTTGGATTTGCTGCATTAAACGCCTCTCTTTACGATGTTCCTGGAGGAAAACGAGCCGTCCTATTTGATCGTTTATCAGGTGTTAAGCAACAGGTTGTCCAAGAAGGAACTCATTTCTTGATTCCCTGGTTGCAGAAGGCCATCATTTACGACGTGCGGACACGGCCACGAAACATTGCTACTACTACCGGAAGCAAAGATTTACAAATGGTCTCATTAACACTTAGAGTGCTTCATCGACCGGACATCGGAATGTTGCCCCAGATCTATCAGTCCTTGGGTCTTGACTACGATGAACGTGTGGTACCTTCCATTGGTAACGAAGTTCTTAAAGCTGTGGTTGCTCAATTTGATGCAGCTGAGCTGATTACACAGCGAGAAGTTGTCTCTGCTCGTATTCGTCAAGAGCTTGTAAAACGTGCAAGTGAATTTGGTATTCGTTTGGAAGATGTGTCTATCACTCACATGACGTTTGGTAAAGATTTTACAAAAGCTGTCGAGCGCAAACAGATTGCACAGCAAGAGGCCGAACGCGCAAGATTTCTCGTGGAGAAGGCCGAGCAGGAACGCCAAGCAAGTGTAATTCGTGCCGAGGGTGATGCCGAGGCTGCTGACATTGTCTCCAAGTCCCTTGACAAGGCCGGTAACGGTTTGATCCAAATCAGAAAACTGGAGACGAGTCGAGAAATTGCAGCAGCCTTGGCAGCAAAGGGTGGTCAAGTCACATACCTTCCTCCCACGAACACGAAAACAAACAGCAACAACAACATTCTTCTCAGCTTGAATCCCTAATGCAGGTAAAGCATAGTCTGTTTCCGAAGACAGCGGACAAGTGTACGACTATGATGACTCAAGTAAAGACATATGACCGGTAGCACAAATAACGTTCTGATTCTACTTGTTAGTGGTAAAATCATTGTATATGTTTCAAAAAGAGGGAAAGATTCGCGTAATGTAAGGGAGGTGGAGCGTTAAATAAGATAGATGGTTTCCTATAAAATCATTGAGTTCGTTTGCAACACAAGCGCAGACAGCTTAGTCAAAGGGAAGGCGCCGGCCCTGAGATGCTGCTGCAGCGATTGCGCTGGGAACCTTGATACCACAACAATCGCCATACGTAGAATGGACGTGCATCTCGTCCGCATCGGAACCATCTTGCGGTGCGGGTGTCATGCCAGGCTCAGCAGGCAACAGGTACCCAAACATAAAGTGCTGCATAATTGGGAGTTTAGCCAAGACCTCAGCTCGGTACATTTTTATCATGCCTTCGTTTACCTTTTTCCACGTTTTCACTGCGGAAATATCGTCCAGCATGGGAGAATGCCAACGAAGGGACGCGCCAGGTTTGGTAGCATTGATAAAGCGAATACAGCCAAGATACAAGTAATCATCGCCGTACATTTCTAGCACATCGGGATCTCGAATGTGTCTCGGTCGCATGTACTTATGGGTTGAGAGTTGATTCGAGCCAAACAAAAACGGCAGAAAATGGTAGTCATCCAAACCCCAGACTCCATGCGAACCAGCCGGCTCCTGCCAGTAATTGACTTGTAGTAAACGCATTAGTTTCATGTACTTTACAAACACTCGGAGGACAATGGCTTCATTAGACTCCTTGTCCCATACCCCCAAGCGTCGAAGACATAAAAGCCAACAAATGAAATTAAGCTCGTGGCCACTACCATAGTCAATTCGAGTACGATTGCCCCAGCTTTCAATGAGATACCGAGCAGCCTCACTAGCAGCATTTTCACGAAGACCAAATGCTTTGTGGAAGTCGGTGGCTTCCTTAACGACTGCGTCGTAAAAAGAACGAAAGGCAGGGTTACCGAATCTGGATCCGGAGTTATCGATGGGAGGGTTTTCCTTTTCAATCTCGGCAATGCGATCAAGTATACGAAGAATGTGTTGAATTGATTCCGTCTCCTGGACGGGCTTTGAGTTACTACATCCTTGAACGCTTTCGTTCAGTTCAGATATAAAGTCATCAATCAGCTTGTACGTTCTTCCTTCATGAAATAGTTTGAGGTCGTTTTCGTTGACGATTCTTCTCACTGGAACAAAGCAGTGATCCTGTTCCTCGTCAGACATCAGCATTTTGAGTATGTTTCAGTATTCCAACGCGTTTGTTACTGTCACCAGTAAAGGTTGGAACTCGACGGCCTCGTTCGGTTAATGCTAAGCGATGAATAGCCGAAGAAGCCGAAAGCAGCCGCTGGGAAACAAAATCAGCAATTGCGGACCATTGAGAAACTTTGAAGAGTAATAGCTTTCAATAAATAGAGTAAATGACAAAAGTTGTGAGCAGATAACTTTCAATCTTTTTTTGCAGGAAGTAGGAGATAAAAGCGCACATTGTTACAACTGTGTGAGACGATTTCAGAAAGCTTTACTTTCCAAGTCGTCTTCTAAGAGCACGTTGCTTTTTCATTCTCTTTCTGTACTTGTGTTTGTTCATTTTCAGGCGTCGTTTCCGCTTTACACTCGTTGCCTCCATGGTATGGCTTTTGTTTGCTGTGACGGAGCCCTCACTCTCGGCAAACAGCTCCTGAGTAGCAAGAGAAGTTGTGGGGAGTTGTATAGAGTCCTTTGTGTCTCCATCGATAGTGAGGATTATATCTTTTGTCGCTCCAAAGTTGCTAGTTCTCGTGGCAAGATTGTCACCAAGAGGTCGGTAGCCAGAAAAGAATATTTCGGTAGCAATTTGTCCAGGAGGAATATGAGCCGTAGTAGGAGCCCAGGGAAGCTTGCTACTACGAGGGAAATAGCGTGGACAAGCCGCATGCCATGTGTGATACGAATTTGCTGAATTTTTTCGAATTACGCTCTGAAACATTGACGAAAAAGCGCGTCTCAGAAACATGTTCAATCTTCTTCCTCCTAACCGGAAAACAAGAGCTTTTTTCTAACGATTTGGTAATGGAAAAGGCCAAAAGTTGTTGTTCAGTATACGGTCGGGCCATGGTGGTGTAGAGAGGCCAGAGGCGTAACGCGTGTACGTCTCTAAATGAAAAACCGTACACGTAAATAAACGAAAATTACTCGAACTGGGAATTAAAACAGGATGCAGTGGTAGTAGAAAAGAAAATAGACGCTGAAGTAGTAGCTGTGAAGTGTATCATCAGTCGAAAAGTTGACTTTATCTGGTAGAGAACACTTATTTTTTATGTTTTTTAGATGGAAAATCATCATCATGAAGACCACCCAAACGGCGGAGTGTTTTTTGTAAAACGGGATTTCTCGAATCATACCAAGAAGAGTCTTTCCTGCTGGTATCTTCATTGGCAAGATGTGTCCATTTTGTTTGACCTGCTTTCGAGAACTTGTCTCCGCGAACTTGTAACGGCTTCGGTAGAAGCTCAATATTCCGTATTTCGCTTTCAGCGGCTTCTGAAAAATCACGTTGAAGTATTTCTTGGTCCTGATAAAATGCTCCACGATGATAGTATTTTTGCATGAAACTCATCTTGGACTTTTCTTTCCGTCTGCTTTGCTCAGCGGCTTCCATGTCCTCGGCATCTCGCTCCTCTGCATTCATCAAACGACGTGCCTCGACTTCTTCGCGCTCACGTTCCATCCGGATAAGACGTTCCTTGTCGCGTTTCTTACGTTGAAGCTTTCGTAACTTCCAACTTTCGTATTCACCTTCGGGATCTAAGCCATCTGTGTCGTCGACCGAAGTAATAATGGATTGTTGTTTTAACAGCTCCTTTTGCTGGAGCTCGTTTTTGATTGTCTCTTCGAGAATCTGCCGTGAGACATCTTCTCTGGACTGTGTTGTTTGAGTGCTTTCACTACCGGATCTCTTCTTGCTAAAAAACACGGGTCTCGCAGGAATAACTCTTCGTGGTTCTTCATCAGAAGATTCTTCTTCCGAAGACTCCTCGCTCTCGTCTGAGGACGCTTCGTTCTCAGTTTCATACTCGCTGCTTGATTCTGCCGATTCAGCAGGCTGTGACTGATTGAACTCAATTGTCCGATCTTTGACTATGTTACTAGGTGATGTTTCGGAAGCATTCTCCGTATGAAGTTGAACTTCGTGTTTTATATTAGATGAAACTGTCACTTGTGTTGTTTGTTGCTCTTCATGACGTTCTTCAACGACTAGTTCTTCTTCTTCATAATCACTTTCAGAAGAACTGGAAGATGATTCTGATACTGCTTTTCCAGCTCTGTATCGAGCAGCAGGTCTTGGGATGCGAGCGCCGGACATGATATGAAATTCTTCAACACAAAGTAGATTTCAAAAATTCAACGTTTTAGAGGCGGAAAAGGGGCAATTCTAGCGAAACTTTAAGAGGTTCTCTATGTCCTCATATGTTTTACAAGAGAAAAACGAGAAAAAAGGGGAAAATGTATTGCCGTTGCCTAAACGCGTGCGTGTTAAAGACAAGGCGAAATCAAGGACCATAAATAAAGTTTTAATCTAAGCGAAACTTTAACTTTGCACGAGAATTAATTGGGGAAAGCAATAATAGAGTTATCTGTACAAACGAGTCAAAGTTTTACTTCCTAGTCCTTTGAAACGGCAAAAACATGATATTTTGTATTCATTTACAGTGTTATTAGTCGATGTATTATTCATATTCTTGTCTATTTTTTTTTTGTAGTTACCATGACTCTCGTTTGCACATTTCAGCTGTGAGCAGTATAGTATGAATTTACTTGCTTTGGACATCTCAAGTCGTATGAAAAAGCCCTAATAGCAAAGTGCCTTAATAAATTAGTGAAAAAATGTTGACAACGCATGTGATATGTATAACGAAAAAGCAATTGATTAATTGACGTTAAGGAAAAGCAGAGACAAGTAACTTGTTGCTGTTTAATTGAATACTAATGCCAACTCAACGTCGCAAAGACTTTAATATAATAAGCTTATCCAATCATATTAAAAACTAATGGAAGATACATTCCATTCGAGGACATCTCTATATTCCGCGATTAACCCAGGGGGCAACTGTCGCAATTCTTACACACTCTGTAGGGTTCAATTTGAGAAAGTCTGCCAAGAAAGAGTTTGTGGCAGCAGCCGGCACTCATTGGCAATGTTGAAATAGAGTGTGAACAACACAACAATCGTCGAATACAGTAATAATTTCCTTCTTGAATAGTAATTGGTTTGCTAATATTTCGTTCTTTCCCCGCAATATTGCTACCAATAACAAATACTTCGCGTCCGGATATTAGTGTTTCGGCTCTCCGCTTAAACAAAACTTGAGAAACAAACAGCGTCTTAAATACTTTGAATCCCGTTCATCATCATCGTCATCGTCATCGAAAGACCTGGATTCATTTGATCGTAAAAAAGCTATAAAAACATTTAAAAAACAAGGATAAGTACTTAAAACTTAAACCAATAAAACATCAAAATAGTTTTCATCTTGACATGCACATGGAAAAGAGTTGTCAGAGCGTTAACATAAAAAGAATAGCCCATGCTGCGCTATTCGTTTAGCCGACATAAGTGGCATATTTAGTGAATTTTTCATCAGCCTTCAAGAGTTCCATGTCATCATCTCTCAAGCAAATTGCTGCCGCGACTTCACCGTTCGGTCCCTTAGGCAATAGGTACGTAACGCCCTCAAACGGCACCGAGTTCGGAATACGTATGGACTTTGGTTTTCCCAACTGGAGATTGAAATCAAGGTCACAGCAATTAACCTTTGACCATGAACTCAACATGACACCTTCCCCGGCATTGATTCTCGCTCCCAACGAGATAACGCTTTTGTCCTCTATGCGAGAGATATAGGTTGAAAGAGCCCGGGTGCGATATACTAGATCCGAGGGATCCAACGCCGAACGCAGCTCTAATGCAACATTACCGAGCGCTTCTTTCAGCAATGTCTCAATCTTATAAGTATGGTACGTCGGATTAATTAGAAAGCCAGGATATCCGGAAGGGATGTCGAGGAATTTTCGAACATTTACAACGCGAGAGCAAGTTACATCAGCTGTAGAGTCTAGACGAGGAAGACGTGAACGAACGACGGACTGATGAATCAAAGCTGTGAGTGAATCGTCAGTGGAGACGTACTTCCCAGAATCTGAGATGGCACTACAAGCGAGCTGTTTTAACGCACTAAGGGAATCTTGACTGAACACAAAACAACCCCAAGAACACTTTTGGGGAGACAACAGCCATTTACTTTTGTCCTTGTTGGAAAGACTAGGCTTTTGTTCCGAAGTTCTTATTTGCTGCGCAAGTTCTGGACCGGGTGTATAAGATTCATCGAATAACGGCACGATGTTTTGTCGGTCGATATTACCAATAGCCAGCTCTTCGCTTGAAAAAGGCTCATCATGACAAGCTTTTGAAAACAAACGCAGAACCTCGCCTAACCCAGTTATGTCCATCGCGCTATGATGACCAGTAACAGCGAGCAAAAGGCCTCCAACCAAGTAGTTAGCTTGCACTAAAAAAACCGGTTCCGATTGCGCTGCAGGGCTCGGGATGATAATAGAGCCATGAGGCGCGATGACATTTTCAGCCAGTGATTGAATGGGGAATTGGGCTTTTTGAAGTTCCTTCATCGTTGGTACGGAGGGATCATTTCTTAAATCCTTGATAATGAGTGGGATGTTGTTCGTGAACTTGATTCTCTTGGTTTTCAAGCTACTTTCGGGAGTATCATTAATGACAACTTCGCCAGCAATCCAAGGGAAGGATGCCGAAAGGCGTTGGAGACCACTTTTCAACGTTTTTTCAATATCTTGATATGATGAAGGATCCTCTACTTCATAGAACAGACACAATTGAATGTAGCATGGGATAGGCAGCTGGCCCATAGGATCCAATGAGTAGTACACATTTTGCGAAATTGTCATTTTCAAAGATGTATCCACCAAGTTTCTCTATGTATTCAAGAAGTTGGATAAAAGAAGCCTTGAAAACCAACGTGAATGACGAAGTATTAATGGGAAAAAGACTACGCGTATTAACGAAAATAGGAAATGTATTTAAGCGATATTCGCGAACACGACTTTACGATAATAATTTGCGAAAGGGGGCTTCAGCTTAATTTTGCTATTCTTGCGAACTAAAGTGAAAGGGGGCGCCCTTCACACGACTTTAATGCGGGGAGAAAGATAATTAGAAAAATGATCAGCTGAACCACGGTTACGTGGGTAAAAATGAAATGTCACAGATCTCCGATAATTGTTAGTATAGCTGTTATGATGTGGCTTATTCATGTCCCCTGTAGTAAGGGAAAACAAACACCACAGCCATTGGGAATGCTCGTAAGTTGGAATTCAGTTTCGCTTTTCGTTTTCTTCGGGGTCTCGAGATTACTCGTATTTTTTCATTAAAAGTTGTGGTTTTTTTAATTTGTGCTGAATTTATTAACATAGTATGGTATATTTGTTTATTTTATGATATACACTGTACGTTATTTTATTTATTTATGTATTGATTTATGTATTTTATCTATTTTTATATGTTTTTTTATGATCTCCCGCATAAGTTCTCAATAAATGAATATAATTGTATTCATCCGTATACTTTTTCTTCTTAATTATGTCTTGCACCTTTGTGCTGTTCAATTTCGGTCTAGTGGTTTCTTCGCTCAACTAACTGATTAAATTCAATTAAGGCCCATTATCTGATGCTTGGGGTTCACATGACTTTGTTTGATATGGATTTGCGAATACAAAAACTTAAAAGACGAAAAACAAAAAAACGAAGCACACTATTTTCGAGTTAATTCATATTGTGATATTCAAAAATTTTCTACAATTAAACAAAATCAATTAAAAGTTGTTCAATTGAAAATGAAAAACATAAATAAAACTTAATCAACTAGCCTTAAGCTCTGAAGTTCGTCCCATTGACAGAGTGATTGAAGTCCCTCCACTATTTCTTACTGCCGAATAGTTTTGACTACTCGTAATAAGTAAAATACGGCATAATATCCGTAATTGACGAACCATTGCAGTTCATATTATGACTTAGTCTGAACTACTAAAACCAAAATGCAGGGATTATATCACCCGACTTTCTAAAAAATGCACTGTGTGTCCATGGAGCCTCTAGCTTTGGTAGAATTTTGTCTACACCTCTGGAAACCTTCTGATCACAAGGAAATACTGGCTACGAGCAATTGACTAAATGCCGAAGAAAAACCGATATGCTCTTAAGCGAACATTGATGATGACAACTGGAACCCCTGTACAAAAAAAACGCACCGCTTAGCCACCGCACTGTTTAAAAGCGTATCTCTGTGATATGATTCTCATCTTGTTAAGTATTTCAACACAGAGTCTAAACCCGTATCTCAAATGACCCACTACTGGATAGCCATACAAAATAGTCTTTTTTTTTTTTTTTTTTATTGAATAAATTACAATAGGTACAGGGAGTATTGTAGAACACTGCATAGCATACTTCATTGGTGGCTTCGTTACTGAAACGGTCCAATAGTTGGAATTAAGAAACTCCCGTCTCAGGAGCACGATTGTAATAATAGATTAATTGTGCCACCTGCATATTAGGACTTTCTAAATCCGAGGAATTGCTTACTAGCATTCGGCCTTGGGCCGATTATGAGAAGCCGTTCACCATGAGAAAAAAATTGTCATATTTCGTTGTCAGATTTGTTCTGTTCATAGGCTAGTAACTCACTCACTTTAAGCCTCAGACGATGAAAATAATGTTTAATCAAGCCATTAGAGTTTAAGGTTTCGCCTACTCTAATCTTATTTATTGAATGCGAACTTCGGGAAACAAGGCAAGTGAATAAGCTGAATGGAATTAGTACTAGTCAGTAAGATTGTTTGCTAGAATGCATGGTCTTAATAAAATCCCAATTTATTTTCAAAGAAATTACGGGGTTGTTTAGTGGAATTAAGTGTATACAGAGCTCAAATAATGGTTTTGCTAAACAAAACAGATTTATATACTTCCAGTAGTTTTTTTGTGAATAAACTATTGTGAGATAGTGTATTACATAAACCACTGGTTAATTCAAACTCAAAAAGCCTTGCAACATAACGTACAAGTCGCACATTAAAGGTGATGATACACAAAGCAGAAGTTTGTTTGAAGTAGTCTACAGTGCAATAAGTAGAGTAAACCAGAGGATTGTTTCGGAAAAATGATTACTTCCACAAACTTAAAAACGCTGACGAGATTACTGTTACAGATCATTCTACAGCGTAACAATATGTAAGTCACACCCGCAGCCTATTGAGCAAGAACGCACGACCCTTGCTCAGGACGTGAATCCGACCCCCCGCTGGATGTCATTGTTTCACTTAGCTTTAAAATAATTGCAGCCAATTTGTGACTTTCATCATTGCGGTTTTATTAGATCCAAAACTTAACATATTTGTTATATAAATGCTTGTTTTATGCTAATACAATAACGAAAAAAGGACGTAAATGTTAGACTAGTACCACATTAAAACTTCTCAGTTAAGTGGATTGTAGGAAGTGGGAATTTCAAAAATACGCTCAAGAACTTCTCCAACACCACCTTCGTTATTAGAAAGGGGTGAGATTGTTCTTGCACATTTCTTGGCAATGTCCATTCCGTTGGCCATGCTGACAGACCAATGGACAACCTTGAACATAGAGATATCGTTTTGGCTATCACCAAAAGTAATAACATTCTCGGGCTCAATATCGTGATAAATGTTAGTAATTATAGCAATTACAGATGTTCCCTTGTTAATGTTCGAGGGGACGAGCTCAATGGAAAAGTTTGTAGAAATCATAGGGCTAAAACTCGTTACTGGGAAATCTTTTAAGATTTCATGAATCTTCTCCAGATCCTCAGGAGTTCCTAACAAGCCAGCCTTGACGACCTTACAGTCATTATGAAGGACATTATGGCGCACAGCTTGCGAGGGAGTGTCCATGTCAACAACCTCACCGTAATGTGCAAGAAGCTTAACGAGAGGCTTCTCTGGGCCGTCCTCTTTCATTACATAAACAGTGTTCTCATCATATACAACCATTCCGACAGTGGGCATGTCCTTGATTCGGTCGTACACTTCAAAAAGAGCTTCCGTCGAGAGTTGCTCAATGTAAACGGGTTCTCCTTTATCATACAGGACACCTCCGTTCAAATGAACAGCAGGGAATACATCCAAATTCAATGACTTGGAGATTTCCCTCGTCGAAGAACGTTGTCTTCCTGTAGCAAGAACAATTGGGAGTTCGGGATAATTTTCACGGATATACTTCAAAGCACGATACGTTCTAGGATGAAGTTTGTGTTCTTTGTTAAGAAGTGTTCCATCAACGTCTGAAACGATTAGTTTAACTGAGCTTGCTTCGGGTAAGTTAGAATTTTTCGTCATTTTATTTTTTCGTTGGATTGTACTGGGATGTAGTGTATTATATATAGAAAAAATCAGATTTGATTCCGAAAAAGTGGGGATCGAGGCTAACGTAACTGAGCATTATGTGAAGCTATCTGAGCATTGTACAGTTTTTTTTACAAGTTAGTATCAAGATTTTTATGAATTCATTCGTTGAAGTTTTATTACTGAACTTAATAAACTAGGGTTTGAGGTTTAGGAACCCAGATACAGGAAAGGGTATACTCTCACGTCTGAGTGCATGGAACAGACGCACGTGTAGTGATCGTACGGATCAAAAGCGGGTATTTCCCGCAAGCGCTTTTTCGTAACATCAATGCGTCGATGATTTTATCAAGACAAACTGACAAGCACAGTTCAGACATGTTATACTATTTACTACGATAACTCTTTTTGTAGTGTTTTAAACGATATATCTCTTGCTTCGGAGAATGTGTATGCATTTTAAGTTTCGTTCGCTCAAACTTTATTACGAGATGCAACTGTTCGAGTCAAAAAGACCTGCTGCATGAGCAGTATGCTCACAGAACTTGTCGGATAAAAGTTGCTAAATTCTCAATTGAGAGTAATATATGCAATTGTTTAGAGGTTTTTTCAATGAGCTTCCAGGCGAAGTTGGAAACATGGCGAACAAAAATTAAAGCCACAGAATGAGTACAGTTTTGAAGCTGTTTTCGTATTAAATACACATATTCTAAAACGACCAAAATTTTATTACAAAAGGCTTTAAGTGTCAGAAATCGGTATGATTTTAAGGTTCGATAGATCTGAACATGACGCATATAATTAAGTGATATTTAAATTTGTTTTTGAATCAAACTGTATCATGGAATGAAGGATATATTTTAGCGCAACGTAACCTAGTAATATAATAACAATAATTTCAATACTCCGTGTATGTTCAGAGAAACTGAAATATAGCCATAAAGCGGCGATTCAATTTCGGTCAAACTTTAGAAAAAACGCATATCACATTACTTTCTTAAACTTATCCTGTTATCTTTGTCCATAGGAACTTTGAATATCAATAGGAACTCATCCCATTCGGCTGATTCACTTGTTTTGTTTCCTGAAACTCGCATTCAATAAATAAAGTTGGGTTAAGCGAAACCTTAACCCAATGATTCATTGAATGCAGTTGAAGCTTTAAACGTAATTATGTATTGAAATGAAGATTTTAAGTAACAAATAATGTTGCCTGTTAAAAGGTCTAACTTCATTTGTACATTGACGTCTAGTATTCTCATCCTATAGACACTAACAGCGCATGACATGTGCACTCAACATTAAAGAAATAAGGTTTCGGTTCCAATATACGTTTAAATAACAAATGCGATTAACTAAAGAAACAAAAGTCAATGCACTCGCTGTTTTTAACGGTGAATTATCAATGAATTTTTAAAAAATGTACTATAGTTATTCAACGAAAACTTTTGACTTGCTGTTCTCTGAAATAAAGTAAAGAATCACATCTTAACAATTGTTTAACGAAAATGTTAAAGGCAATACTCCAACTACCTAATTTAGAATTTCAGTTTAGGGATTTATTGTCGTCGCCACAATAGGAACAGGACCCTAAGTAACCCTTAGATAGCTGTTTAACGATAAACTTGATCATATTAAAGCCTTTCACACACAGCTGAAGGATTCGCAATTAATTCACCTACTCACGAATTGGAGAAATAGTTATTGATACGGTTTTAATTATTGACTCAAGAATTCTTGTTCTAAGTTCAAGTCTTAGTCTAGATTGTCCTAATGTGCAAGAAACATCATATGCAAATTCAACTTACTCCTACTAATTTAGTGCTATATAAAAAGCTATATTTCATAATTAAAACAACGGGGATGTGGTTTAGGGGTATAACGTTTCATTCGCATGTCCGCGCCTTGAAAAGGTCCCGGGTTCGATTCCCGGCATCTCCAGCTATATTTTTATTCTTTATGAATTTTAATTGTCGTAGTGCTAAATTCCATGGCTGTGCTAGTGCATTATTCGTTTCTTACTGTCGTGAAGCAAGGAATTTTCTCAACAAAATGAATGCTTATTCTTAATGAATCTGTGAAATATCAGACCCACTATCATCATTACTCACGGCTGAAGGGTTGGAAGGAAACAACTTAGAAACCAAAAGTTCAGGTGGTAATTGTTGCATATCCTTGATGATGTGGTTCAGAATTTCTATATAATTGTTAGTAAGTTTTACACAATCTCTAATCGATGTATTTACCTTTTAACGACTTGACTTCCCAATTCGGTACTGTATATTTCAGAGTCTTATACTGTTGGCGACATATATCCGGTGACCAAAGGTTGTCTGTACTTTGTGAAATATACTTCCAATCAATTTGCCATTCTTCCTGGACATTTAGTTGTGATATGCTGGGGTCCGTTAGTAATGATCACTTGCTTCAAGAATCCATGGATTACGAACCTTTCAATTAACCATAAACTATCACCAGCCAAAAATATGTGATCTGGTTTCGTTTGTTGCTTTGTAAGCGAATTGTATTTTAACTTGCAATGATGCCGATGCCTAGTGCCCAGTTGCTCAGATATCTTCATCCAGCGAATGGGCTGTTCAGGATTATTTTTTTGGTAATCAGCGACAAGTGCCAACAAACGTTCACATTCTTCAGAAGTCCACGCTGACCGGTTTACTGCGTTGCAATGAATATAATCGCGCCAAAAATCACGACAGTCCATCGGCCTACGTTGAAGCATCTTCCCGATGGTTGTCCATGTTGGGCCGTGAATGTTAACAAGGCTAATTTTTAATGTTAGCAAACAAATTTCTGATACGTATCAGTCCACAACATACTCTTTTAGCTCTTCCTCCTCCTCCGAACTCCATACGCATTTTTTTGGGCATGGGTGATATTTACGACGAACATAGTTGTATACGCTCTTTCGATTACGGTCCAACATGCTATCTGTTTTATCACAGTTAGTACATGTAATGAAAAAAGTGATAACTTACATAAATTCTGAAGAAACTGTGATATTTCCGGCGTCCGACTTGAGTTCCACAACCGATAGCGAAAATCATCTTCTGTACAATTGTACATCTATCGAGTTAGTGCTTGTGTTACTAGAAAATAAAAACCTTACCGCACAAAAACGTGTCACTTCTCGTTCAATCAACAACACTTCTTCCACGCCCGGAGTTCCGCTGTCAGTTGATGATTTATATTGAAAGTTTTCATAGCCAGGTACTTTAAAGTATCCCCGCATGTGTCGAACAATCGTCCTACGGGAATACATCGGCATTTTTGAGCCTACTTTTGTTAGACCAATGACGAAGCGAAACAAGTTAGCGTACGAAATCTGACAAAAACCGGTGTAAATTTCCGTGGAAGGCGAACGGATGCCATAAGAACGGAGCGCGCTTCAACAAAATCAAGCTTATGATCCTTCAAGATTTGTGTTAATGTCTTAATCAACAACTCCCAAGCTGCTGGTGTCCAGTATGAGTGATTGCGCTGCAGCTTCCGTTCAAAGAAGGTTAAGTCCACAGTTCCGGACTCGTTGTTCTGGTTGATAGAGTCATTTAACAGAATGTTGGAATTGGCATTAGATGATTCATTGAAGGAATTCTTTTGAATCCCAGAACCGTGCTCTTCCCTAACAACAATTTCGCTTGAGGCAAGTTCTGACGGAAGGTCAAAGATGGTACTGGGGGGTGTCTGCGAAAGTGGAAAAATAGACGATGATTGGGGAGGTGTTGGAAATATAAAACTAGACGCTGTTGATTCATTTCCAGGATTGAAAAGCAGTTTAGGCACTGCTTTACTTTGCGATGAAGGGGACAACATTGTAGCGGTGAACAAGTGTAAAAAAGCAACAAAAGGATTTCAATCAATCAAAATTTGTAATCCAAAAAATCAAGCTTGCAGCAATATTGCAAAAGCCCCAAAAAATTATCCCTTAACGCTTTCTCCAAACCTTACAAGGGCCGTACTCACGTAGAAAGTAATATGAAATGCTTAATAAAAATTCCAGTAAGAATTGAGTCGATGAGGATATAACTATTGCAACAATTTTCAGGTACTCATAGAAGAAAACTTGTAGGTATCGGTCGACTTATATATCAATGTTAAAGTAGCACGTCCTGTTCTTTTTAAATGGTGAGAATCCGTTTCGCTGCGAAATCCGTAGAATCAAAATCCTCAACAGAAAAAAGCCATCAAACAAAAAAGAGAAAAATACGAAAAATTATCCCAGTTTAAACAAAGTACTGACTGATGCAAAACGCCCGCAATTGTTCCTCAGTCTACTCTGTTTCTGCTATAGCAGGTTGTTTTTTCAGGTTCGGTAAGGGTTAGGCACTACCCACACCCTAACTTGGCTACCTCTTACTCATACCCTCTTGAAACGAACCAACATCTTTTTCTTCAGTGGCTTTCCTGCTTTAACCGTTATCTAATTCTAGGTTTGCTACTTGCTGCTGCGGTAATTGTGGATTGTAGACAGTTGATTTGGTAGCGTTGTGTGACCAAACAAAATGAACAATCCTGAGGGTATGTATACAGGAAATCCCAATGATCCTGGGAATGGATATGGCAGGCAACAATATAACCAGTATGCTGGTTACTCGAATGTAAATTATGGACCGGGAATGTCGAATGCTCCTAATAATGCGGGATATGGAGCTCCTGTCGCGGGTTCAGGTGTTATTTCTCCCGCAGCGGCTCCGTTCACAGGTTCTGCTCCTCTGGGATCTCCTCCTACTGGAGCTGCTACTCCTACGGGAACAGTTCACAAGTCTCGTCGTCAATATCCTGCTGAACTTTTCGAATTGACAAACGCTCCCGCCGAACCTGCTATTTCTGGTGCCTACGGCGCTGCTCCCGCGGGTAATGTTGCAAAGGGATATCCTTCCGCAAGCAGCGCATATCCTGTTGACCCTTCTCTTGTGTCTGAAGTTCCTTCAATGGCCAACTTAAACGACCAATTTTCGAACATGAACGTTAGATCAGATGCTTCGCGTCAATTAATGTCTGTTGAGCTTACCAACCAGCCTGCAGATGTTACCGCACTTCATGAACCACGTCCGTTGGCGGGTCCTTCGCCCGTCGAAACAACGACTGGTTCCCCCAATGCAAACTGTCCACAAAGATTCCAGACTTCGACTTTAAACGCCATTCCCAACACGAGTGGATTGCTGAAGAAGTCGAAGCTTCCTTTCGCTGTTATCGTTCGTCCCTTCCCAACACTTCTGGAAGAAGATGACCCTGTTCCTGTTACTTTGGACACCACAATTTCGCGCTGTCGTAGATGCAGAACATACATTCATCCCTTTACTACATTTATCGACAATGGTCACCGTTACCGGTGTACCGCCTGTAACATCATTAACGATGTGCCTCAAGCCTATGACTGGGACAGTTTCAAGAATGTATCCCGTGACCGTTGGCAGAGACCTGAACTCAACAATGGAGCGGTTGACTTTATTGCTCCTCAAGATTATATGGTCCGCCCCCCTGCACCCCCCGTTTATGTCTTTCTTATCGATGTTTCTTTTATTTCCATTAGCTGCGGAATGGTCGCTACGGCCACTCGTACCATTCTTGAATCGCTCGACCGTATCCCTAATGCAGACGGTCGCACTCGCGTGGCTTTCATTGCCGTCGACAGTTCCCTTCATTTCTTTTCTATTCCTCTTGGCTCTGATGAGCCCTCTCAGCTTGTCGTATCCGACTTGGAAGAGCCCTTCCTTCCCCTTCCTCAAGACCTGTTACTCAATCTGAAAGAGTCGCGTCAGGGTATTGAAAATTTGTTGACTCATTTTAATGACATGTTTGTCAGCTCTCGCGATTCTAGCAATGCTCTTGGTCCTGCTTTGAAGTCAGCATACAAGTTAATCGAGAACATTGGCGGCAAGATTATTTGTTTGAACACTAGTCTTCCCAATGTTGGCGCTGGCAAGCTGTTGGTGCGTGAGGATCCTAAAATGCTCGGAACCAGTCGCGAGTCGAACTTGTTGCATGCGCAAGAGTCTTTCTACAAGTCTTTTGCTGTTGATTGCAGTACTTCTCAGATTTCGGTCGACATGTTCCTGTTCTCTGCGCAGTACCAAGACGTGGCTACATTGAGCTGCCTTCCCCGTTATACTTCTGGTAGCACCCGCTTCTACCAATCCTGGAATGCTTCGCGTAGCGAGGATGCAGTCAAATTTGCCTCGGAGTTTGGTGATCACTTAAGTCAAGAGTTCGGTTTGGAGGGTGTCATGCGTGTTCGTGCTACTGCTGGCGTGCGTGTCTCGTCCTTCTATGGTAATTTCTTCAACCGTTCTAGCGACCTTTGCTCATTCCCTTACTTCCCCCGCGATCAGTCTTATGTCATTGAGCTGAACGTCGAGGACACAATCACAAAACCTTTCGTTCTCATCCAAACAGCTGTACTGTACAGCACATGCTTTGGCGAACGCCGTATCCGTGTTTTGACCACAGCGATTCCCGTTACTCAAAGCTTGTCTGATGTGTACGCGGCAGCCGACCAACGTTCGATTGCTCACTACTTGATTGTACGTGCGGCTGATCGTGCTTTAACGTCTAAGCTTGATGATGCTCGTGACAGCATTATTTCGAAATTGATTGAGATCGTCGAGGTATACAAAAAGCACCTTGCCGGTCAAAACACTGGAGCTGCCCTTCCCCTCCAAATCTGCGAGAATCTCAAGCTCTTGCCATTGCTGTGTCTCGCAGCTTCCAAGCACTTGGGCTTGCGCAGATCAAGCCAGATTGTTTCTGACCTTCGTGCTTTCGCATTGTGCTTCCTTACGACTTTGCCCCAGCCTTTGTTGTTGCGTTACGTTTACCCTACTTTCTATGCTCTGCACTCCATGGCCCCCGAAGCTGGCACAGTTGGTGAAAATGGTGTAATCCTTCCTACCCCATTGAACCTTACTTCTGCTGTTATCGAGTCGTACGGTCTGTATCTCATTGACTCGCACGTTCAACAGTTCCTTTTCATTGGTAAGGATGCCGTGCCCCAACTTGTTCTTGATGCCTTTGGCGTGAACTCCTTGGCTGAGCTGAAGCCTGGACGCTTCACCATGCCAGTTACTGAGAGTCCTTTGAATGCACGCATTAACGCCATTCTTGCGAAGCTTCGCTCTCTTGACAAGGGTACCACCGTTCTGCCCAGTTTGTATCTTGTGCGTGGTGATGTTGATCCTCAACTGCGTGCTTGGTTCCTGTCACACTTGATTGAGGATCGCAGCGATACTGCCCCTAGTTACATGCAATATTTGCAGTCCCTCAAGGAGCGCATTAACCGTTAAGTCAGGGCGGTGAGTGCTTGTACTTAAAAATCCGACAAGATAACGCTCTTTAGGCAAAGAATGTCCCTCTGGAACTTTTCATTGAAAAAAGTAAGAAAAGACTGCAAGTATGTATTTGCCCGATCTTGTCGTCGTGCTAGAGATTGCTTCATTTGGGTATATATCATGCTTATACGGACACGGGCATATGTTCCTTCTCATCGAAAAGAAAATTATGCTTGCATTATGGACAATCGTGTAATGTTTGTCGCTTGTTTCATGCAGAACTTCATAATTTACCTATACGTTTACGAAGAAGCAAATTGTATTAATTGTTCAAACTCGATAATAATGGTTTTATGAAGTATTTGAAGCACTGAAGTCGGTGTTCACTGATAAGACGCGAAAGACGAATGAAACAGGACAGTGAAGCTGCTATCAAACATCAAAGGCGTTAATTTGGTTAACCATTCGGTCGGCATTTGGAGGTAAAGGCAGCGCAACTGTATCTTATGTTCATTTAACCTTTAAACTGTATAAACTCTGCTGAACCCTAAATCAAGAATGTCAAGAAGGAGAAGACCCTGTTACCTTAATCGCACCAGCACGTTATGCATAACTAATTTTGAGGGCTCATTTACTGTAAAAGGAGTAGGAAGTCTTGCTTTTCCTGGGGTGTTGGAAGTCATTTTCAATTTCCACCAATATGCACTATTCTGCATCGCGAACACAATATTCATGCTCCTTCATACTATCCTCACATGTTCGTATACGAACTTACTGTTTCTCTGCACTCCAGTCCTTACAATTGCTGTTTACTATTTTCTATATCTGGCGCCCACTCGGGTCGCGGCTTGACGTCAAAAATCGGTTATCGTCGCAAAAGGCGGAGCTTACGCCAATACGAGAGATACCAGCGCGGAACTAGCGTCGCTGGACCTGTTTCTTTGTTCGCCTGAAAAAGGGACCACACCAAAGGCGATACTCTTTGCGACAATTGCTTCAACTGCCCTCGACTTAAAATCTTGTCAAAGCTGCAAAAAACGCAACTGAATTGCGGAAACTTGAGGTTTACAATATGGATAACTCAAGTTTCCAACGGAAACCTTCAAAGTCTGAGGACAAAAACGAAAGAAAAACGGGTTTCTTTTCACCTTCCATCAAACGCCGCAAAAGTATAGTTGGTGATCGATTTATTCCGAACAGAGACCTGACATCTGAATTTTCTGCAGCTTACAATGCGCCAGAGGAATTTCTGAGTCCTACAAAACGCAAGAAAACGCAAGAGGCGTCGGCAGACGAAACTTTTAAAACACTTTTGCGATCGGAACTTTTCGGCAACGATGAGGAGGAATCTGTGACAGGAAATACAAACAGAAGTGAAACACCAGTTCCTCAAACACCTCCCTCGTCCTCGTCGTCAGGACCTGCTCAAAACAATGCGGGACCATGGACTACTCCAGTAACTCCCAGCAGAAAAGTGTTTCGGTACATGTCTCCTCGAGACCGTTCCGAACATTCGACAATGCGTTCGATGTCTCCTTTTCATGACGACCCGAGACGCAACATTTATTCGCTGTCTCCGGTGAAAGCTACATCTCACACTCTTCTGACGAACCGGCAGGCACGCAAACGGGATGTACCGCAAGTTCCCTACAAGGTGCTGGACGCACCAGGACTTCGTGATGACTTTTACATCAATGTACTCGATTGGGGAAACTGCAACATTCTTGCCGTAGCACTTGGTTCACGCGTGTACTTGTGGTCGGCTTTGACTCGCGAAGTAACGCTGCTTACGGATTTTGGGCCTGCCGAAACTGTTACTAGCTTATCATGGGTGCAGCGGGGAACACACCTTGCCGTTGGCAAGGACACTGGGGTCGTTGAATTATGGGATGCAGAAACATGTCGCCAGAGTCGTACAATGACGGGACACTCCTCGCGAGTCGGTGTACTCTCGTGGAATGAGCACGTTTTGAGTACGGGTGGTCGCGACACCAACATATTTCACCGAGACGTTCGTGCCCAGGAGCATTACTTCCGTAAACTGGAAGGCCACCAACAGGAGGTTTGTGGGTTGCAATGGAGTCCGTTTGGTGACCAACTTGCCTCTGGAGGCAATGACAACGCTTTACTGGTTTGGGAGCGTTATGAAGAACGGCCAGTGTATCAGTTCAACCGACACAGAGCTGCTGTGCGTGGTATAGCATGGAGCCCGCACCAAAGAGGCCTGCTTGCTTCGGGAGGAGGCACGGCAGACCGAACCATGAAGATGTGGAATGCTAGAACGGGTGCGTTCCTCCGCAGTACAGACACGGGTTCACAGGTGTGTAACCTTGCATGGTCGAGGTTGACGAACGAGGTTGTGTCTACTCACGGCTTCATGGAAAATGAAATCGCCCTTTGGGATAGTCAAAATCTGACTAAAGTCGGCGTTCTTCACGGTCACACCAGTCGTGTGCAGTACTTAACAATGTCGCCAAACGGCGAGTCCATAGTCACAGGCTCTGGCGATGAGACTCTGCGGTTTTGGAAGCTTTTTGACGCAAAAGCTCAACCTGGTACCACCATTGATCAGCACAGTTTCGATTCACTTTTTCAAATTCGTTAAACGAGGCCGGAATTCATTTACTGTGATGCTCTGACGCACTCCAATCTAGTCAACCACGCCGGCTTTTCAACTTTTGTCATTTACGCACAGGTTATTTGTTTATTAATTCCTGGGGTTCCTTTGTTTCTCTTTCATTCTGTACTTCATTCTGGCCTTTCTCCTCTTTCATTTGCCCGTTCCATCATGTCATCTTCATGGTCGCCTCTCCGTTCTTTCATTTTTTTCCTCTTTCGTTGTTTATGCTTATGTTCATCTTCATGTTAACCGTTTCGTTTTTGTTTTCTTTCTTATTCTATTCGTTTTTCTTTCTTTCCTCCTTGTTCAGGATGTGTATTGAAATAGAAGTTGTGCATGTATTCGTGTTTCAGCTACTTTTATTATCATTACTCATGCAATTGGTTTCTTTCTTTTTCACTAAAATTAGTCGCTGCTATACGCTCTATTGTCCATTCCGCTGTCATTGCCCTCTGGCAACACAGAACTGCCTTTTCTTCTTTCACGTCAACCAGCAGTTGCTATTTTAGAATTGTACATACACACTTTCATACGCACATGCCAAAAGTGCATGCTGCAATCCAAATCCCTCCTCCCTTTAGCGACACGCACGCGACCGTCCCCCCGTACGCACGGACGAGAGCGTAGTCGCCTTGCGTTTTAAAACATGTGTACATAAACTTTTCTTCAATACAAATAGTACTATACATAATTCATTCTCTTCTGTGCCAGTTATGAGCAGAATTACAGACAATGTAGGACACACGTATATATATTAAAGCAAAAAACTAGTTCGGAATTTTAGACGGTGATAACGTTAGGGTTCTCGCCGGTGATCTTTTGTTGAACAGCTGAAGCAACAGTGACCTCTGCAGGAATAATACGCTGAGTACCATCGTTCTTCTTTACCGTGACACTGCCGTCAGGGTTACCGAAGTAAGCAGACTGGATCATTTGGCTGAAGATACCGACCTCAACGACGCCAATAATAAGTTTAATTTGTTTGAACAGTTCCTCGGGTTTGTCGATCAATCCGAAGTTGGCATCGATTATGAAGTTGCCGTTATCGGTGACCAAAGGACCGGCCTTTCCCGGAGCACCCATTCTCAGCTTGGGTTCTTTGCAACCCAGACGCTTAAGCTCACGGAGAACAAATGTGTAAGCCATGGGGACGACCTCAATGGGAACTCCCTTAACCCAGTAAGCACCAAGCTTCTCTGAGTTTTTTCTAGAGTCAGCTACGATAACCAAACGCTTGGTTAACACAGCAATCAGCTTTTCCTGGAACAGGCAAGCACCACCACCCTTGATGCAGTTAAGGTTGGCATCAACCTCGTCGGCACCATCGAAAGCCACATCGACGTCGGGGTAGCAGTCTGGGTCACCGAGACGCAGACCATTGGAAACAATGAGTTCCTTTGACTGGAAACCGGTAGGCAAGAACACGACATTCTCGATGCCGGGTTTCTTCAACAACCGCTCGACAACATAAACCACCGTACTTCCACTACCAATACCAATGACCTTGGCTGATTTAGGAAGGTTTTCGTCGACAGCCATATGGCAAGCCTGACGTTTTGCGAGTTCAATAGGGGATAAATCCTCAGAATCCAAGTCCAAAGTTCTCGACATTATGGGCCAAAAAAAGAAAAAAAAAAGAAAAGGGAAAATCTATGAGGGAACCTGTAAAGAAGAAGGAAGGGAGATTGAGTGATGAGACCTTGAAGAAAGTATGAAAAGTGTTGTTTACTTTTCACAATCCAGTAGATACTTTTTTTAACTTTAAGTCAACTTAAGACTAATCGAAAATTATATTCCAAGAGTAGTTGACTGCTCGACTTTTCTATAGTTCACAAATAGACCAAAGACAGAGCACAAGAAGAACACCCAAAGTGTATCTAACCCAATTTTTTATAGAGAGAGTGTGTGTATTATACCACGGATTGGTACCGGAAGAAGCAGAATTAAAAAAAGAAAAGGAAAAAAACCACGAAAAATAACACAAAATATATATAAACTGTTCAGTAGTCTCTACCAACTAATGTAAGACGTTTATCTGAACACACCGTACCTCAAGTCAACCAGCTGCCCTTGCCGTGCTTGTTGGTAAAGGGATAGTGCTTCTCAGCGTGTCCCTGCAAGGCGAGATTAAGGTTACAAAACATTACCGAAGAACAGAATTGATATCAGCATATCTCATCTGATAGATGGCGTTACAAACACGATACAGCGATGAAATCTTATCAGATATCGAGATATCGGAGCAACACGAAGAGAACGCCGAGGCGCACCACACGCCCCCACGAACAGCCGCCGAAAAAGTGACCGACCGGCTCACCGACGGAAAACTGACGGTGAACAACTCGGGACCCACATCACCTAAAGTCACCGAACTCCGTACCCCTACAACTCTATTACCCCGCTAAAAACACCCCACATAACCCTAAATTACTCAAAGAAATCACCGAATTTTCGATTCAACCAAGTTATTAGCTTTTTAGAACTTGCCGAAACGCTTGGAGCCCTCAGAGTGCTTAACAACGCGAAGAACGTTGAAGCGGACGGTCTTACTCAAAGGACGGCATTGACCAACGGTGACGACGTCACCCTCGCTGACACGGAAAGCAGGAGAGAGATGAGCGGACAAGTTCTTGTGACGCTTCTCGTAACGGTTGTACTTGGGGATGAAATGCAAGTACTCACGGCGGATGACAACGGTACGGTGCATCTTGGTGGAAACGACGGTACCGGTGAGGATACGACCACGGATGGAGACTTGACCAACGAAGGGGCACTTCTTGTCGATGTACTCACCACGGATGGCCTCGGAAGGGGTCTTGAAACCCAAACCGACATCCTTGTACCAACGGCGGTTGCCGGCAGCCTTCTTGGCGTTCTGGAAGATGTGAGGTTGCTTTTGGAAAGCACGCTCACTTTGGACAACAAGTTCGGTGGCCATCTCTGATTCTTTTCCGCAAGGGTTGGTGGTGGTGAGGAAGCTGGGTGTGGTTCCTCTGTTGTGGTGGACTGTGACTGTATTCTACCCTACCCTAATTCTAAATAATTGCGCCGGAATATGGTAAAATCTCGTTAAGTGGGATACTGAACCAGAACGAGTCGTAGCGAAACTTTTAGATACGTTGCTTGACTGTCTTAGGAAACGCGCAACCTTTAATTAAAAATTGTAACGCGAATGTAAACAAAAGTCTGTAGCAGAAAAAAAAATAGGAATAGATGTTGAGCTTTAAAGTTTCTGTTCTAAAGGAGGCTCTGGGAACCCTCGTCACTTTAGATTTGCTTTGTTTTTGCCGTATTAGTGCGACCACCTGTTAAAGTGTTTCATTTGCCGAGACAGCCCCGTGTCCTCCTGCCGACAACCATACTGCACAACTTCATCAATTTCCAATTGTGTACTTGTAGCTCACTTTTTGCAGGTCAGTCTTTTTCTTTTACAACATGTCAAAGGTGGAAAAGGAGCTGTTCGTGTCCAATTTGACTGGATCGTCAATTGAGGACACAACGACGCTATTGTTTGTAGGTCTTGGATTGTACATGTTATGGTCCATTATGAGCGTCCGTAAAATCATTCCCAGTGGGTTCTTAGGCTGGTTGGTGCAGTTTTTTATCTTTGCTATAATTCCTTTACTGGTTTCGGTCAATCGTGTATTCCCTAGTGTGGTACTGGTTATTCTGTTATTCATTCCAAGCATTGTGCTCTTGCTTATGCGTGACGACAGTCCAAAGCACGCAAGAAACATCCAGGAAAAGCATCACAAGCCTGATACTTGGGACAAACGGGTCGGTGCTGTCACTTTTTACCGTGCTCAGATGATGCTTATTACCGTGACCTGCATTCTAGATGTCGATTTCCCCATGTTTCCACGCAAATTGGGCAAAGGTCGAGACTTGGGGTACATCGTTGATGGATTTGGGTGTCGGCTCCTTCATGTTTTCCTCCGGTATGGTTGCTGGACGCAAAAACAGCATGACCGAGAAGGGCGCTTTTCGCAGCGTCCTTCGAAATGCATTAGTCATGTTTGTTCTGGGCTTCATTCGTTTGGTAACGACAAAGGGACTTGAGTATCAGGAACATGTTACCGAGTACGGTGTTCATTGGAATTTTTTCTTTACACTGGGTTCGTTGGCTATTGGTGTGTACTTGCTTCGCTTGTTCTTGCTCCGCTGGTCGTACTTTTGGCTTGCTACGCTGGCCACCGTGGTGCATCACGTTTTCTTGACTTGGACACCTTTGCAACAGTGGGCTCTGACGGCTCCACGCACAAACTTGCTTGCTCAGAACAAAGAAGGAATTGTTTCTATTCCTGGTTATGTTGCTTTATTCCTTTATGGAATGGAAACTGGAAAGATTCTGCTTCAAGACAGACCGGCCATCTACACGAAAGCTCATGCTTGGGCACGAACCCAGAAGCTTGTCATTCGACTTGTAGCCGTGCTTGTCTTTTACCAGCTTAGCAAGAAGATGTCCGTCGGTATTTCTCGTCGTTTGGCAAACATGCCTTATGTGCAATGGGTTGTCGGAACCAACATGCTTTTCCTCTGCTTCTACACTTTGTGGGATGGCTACATTTTTCCTCCGAAGGCTACATACCAAACTCGAGTGGCATCGCTTCTGCGTCAATTGAATGACAACGGTCTTTTTGTTTTCCTCTTGGTAAGCAAGCAAGAGAGCAGTAGGATACAGAGTGTCATTGCATGTACTGGTCACTTCCAGTTTATTGAATATGCGCTCTTTATACTCACTTTTATTTCTTTCATTCATATGAACTAACCTTTATTCTAGGGAAACCTTTTTACTGGTGCTGTTAACATGACTGTTGATACTTTGCGCTGTGGTCTCGTGAAAGGACTCGCTATTATGACCCTTTATCTATTTGTCATTTGCTACATCGTTCGCATGCTCTCAGTACACAATATCCGTATTCGTTTTTAAAAGCAGAAACGATATTGTTTTATTCCTCAATTCCACCCACTCTCGCTAAATGACTCGCTTGCATCGCTTAGACGCTTAGACTGTTGAATCAGTGTGAGCACGAAGTCTCTAACCAAAACCGTAATTGCGTGTCTCGAATGTGAAACTGCTTTTGCGGGACCCGTTTGGATGTTGTTTCGGTGTCCAGAATCATTTACCGAACTTGGATCTCTCCCGTTCTGAATAATGGCCGAAAACGAGTCCTGTTTGGCTCCTTTCAGTGAAACGAAAGCCCTGAAAGTGAAGACCACTCGCAAGACTTCTCTGGACGATAAAAAAGTTTACGCATGCCATTTTGGCAATTGCACAAAGCGATACGCAAAACCATGTCTGTTGGAAGATCATATTCGAACTCATACTAACGAGGTAAGTAGCTACATCGTTTTGACATAAATTATAGGACTTTATTAACCGTTCAGCGTCCATTTGCTTGTGATTATCCCGGCTGTGGAAAAAGGTTCTACCGCCTTACTCATTTGCAAACGCATTTCCGCGTCCATACAAACGTCAAACCTTTTGCATGTACGTTTGAAGGATGCACATCAACGTTTTATACAATGCAGCACCTTCATCGGCATGAGGCTGCACATCGTAAGCCAAAAGTGTACGCCTGTACATGGGAAGGATGTACGATGAGTTTTTCCCGCCATCAACAACTTCGTATTCATGTAGCTAAGGAGCACACGCATACCGACCCCTATCCTTGTCCATATGAGGGATGTACGCAGGGCTTTCCAACAAAGGTAAAGCTCAAAAGTCATGTTGATCGTGTTCATGAAAAAACCGTATCGTATCAGTGTACACATGAGGAATGTAAAGGACAGCCTGGATTTTTAAAATGGAGTGAGCTTCAACAACACATTCGAGAATGCCACGTTCCCACTTGCAGCGCTTGCGGACAGGTTTTCCGACAAAGCAGCAACTGCGCAATCATTATGTTGTTCATGAAACCACTCTTGAAGAGCGCCGTGTTCACAAGTGTACATATGAGGGCTGTGAACGTGCATTCACTCGTTTGCCCGCTCTAAAAAATCATGTACAAGTGGTTCACATGGGTGTCCGTCCCTTTTCATGTGAAAGGTGTGGGAAACGGTTTGGCTACAAGCAGCTTTGGCGAAGACACTGTGAACGAAAACAGTGTAGTGTTACGAGCACCGTCAATAGCTGTGAGGATGGAAGTATTAGTCCGGATGCATTATCTATTCCTCAATTACCGGTTCCTAGTCTGAAGCCAACAATGAATGCTATGGAGAAGGAACTGCTATTCAGTGAGAACAGTCTGCAAATACTCGATCAGCAAAACATTGCTGCTCATGCTCAAGAAATCGTCAAGACGCTCACAGGATTTCGGTATGAGGATGATCGTGATATTTGTTGTGTTGTGCCGGACTGTCCATACCGCTTCAAGAGAATGTATGATTTGTCTCGGCATGTCGCCTCTATGCATCCGGAGGTTCCACTGGTCGATGTTTCAACGTCTCCGGATCTGTACAACGCAGTGATGGAGACGTCCAATGATGAGCAATTGGACCAACAAAATCCTCAATCTTCTCCAATTTCCACGGTACTTCATGTTTAAAACTCGCTCTTACGACTGCGGAACTAATCGTACATATGGTTTTCTTTTCTTCATTTTTTTTCTTCTTTTGGTAGGGACTGCTTTCTTGTTAGCTGTTATTTAGGGTAGAATACGGATTTTCTTACATTTATTTTTTATTTCTCATCTATCTTTCATTAAACCGATAAGCAAGAGGTTCATAAATAATCAGCTTCTAGGTAGATGTTAAATAAGAAAAAATCATTTAATACATAATTCAACGCTATCAAAGACGGATAATAGAATGGTTTCTAAAGTTCTTGAATGTTACGACTGATACTTTCCCAATAGCGTAAACGAGCAACAAAGTATCGAGCTTGTTCCCAATCAGCCTTCTCCATCGCTTGCTTCAGATTTGCAATTTCATTCTGCTTTCGTTCATCGTTTTCCTGCTTCAGTCGATTTAGCGCGTCAGGTGAGGAACCGACTTCCTGTAATTGTTCGTGAACTTCTAAAATCTGCATCAAGAATTCTGGATCGTTGTTCTTAATTTCTTCACTGTCTGCACTTTCGTTGTTAAGACTTAAAATGTATTCAGCACGACTCAAGGGAGAGAGCAAAGTTCGGTAAGCCTTGGATAATTCCGCCGCTTTAAGTTCAATGGCTTTACGGTCTTCTCCTTGAGCAACGTCAGGGTGCATGAACTTTGCTTGTTTCAAGTAGCTTCTTCTAAGCGCCTTAGCATCAATGTCAAAGGGTCCTTGTGGAGGAGGTTTGGAGACGACATCAGGAAACATATCATAAAAGTTTCGTCTCACCTTTGTGCCATAGAAACGGTTACCAAAAACGGTTGACAATGAAATAGTTCTATTCCGAATCAAGGAATTCGAATACGGAAGCTTGTTTATATGCAAATTCTCCCACACTCTTTTGCCGAGTATTGATCCTAAATTTAAACGAGAAATTGAGTTAAACAACATCTTAAAAAACGATATCTAATGATTGTTATAATGGCAATGACTCCAATGTAAATAGCTTTAAGATACTTTGAATTGTTTGCAATTTGCAAGAAAGAAGAAAAAAAAAAGAACAAAAATAATGAAGGAAAAGAACGAGTTCAACAGAAACAAACAGTATCCAAGTGCTTAGTCCAAAACAGAAAGTGATTAAGAAAAAGTTTTATTGAGTTTACTTCGTTTTACAGAAAATAAGCATTTGTCAGCCTTGGGCTTGGTTGTTTGTAAAACCCATCTGATCGGTTCCAAAATTAAGTATTCATTTTTTCGTTTTTATTATACAAATCAAGCGTCTACCGCATCCCAACTGATTTGTTTGAAAATTCTTTAGGCTTTTATTTTGCTTTTGAACGGCATCATTGAACACATTTCTTTATTTGTAATTCTCGGTTGTTTCTGCTGTCGTTTAAGCATTTATCATAAAACATGACATTTTGTCAGGTAATAATCTATGTTTGAGTTTCTTCACACTTACTAATAATATGTAGTTTGTTGTTGGTCCTCCTGGTGCTGGAAAATCTACATATTGTCATGGCATGTATCAATTTCTTTCAGCAATTGGTCGCAGATGTGCTGTGGTAAATTTGGATCCTGCGAACGATCATCCTGCGTATCCTTGTGCAATTGACATACGTGAAGTCTTGGATATCGAAACCATTATGGAAACGTCAAATCTTGGACCAAATGGTGCATTACTATATGCAATGGAAGCTATTGAATACCATGTTGATTGGTTGGTTGAACGGTTACAAAAGTTAAAAGGTATCTAGACTCTTCTACTCAATCGGATCACTAACTAGTAGACATTTATATTATATTTGATAGCCCGGGCCAAGTTGAGTTGTTCACACATCACAATTCTCTACGGAAAGTCGTTACAGTTTTGGAAAAGAAGCTGGGATATCGGCCTGTTGCCGTCCAGTTGATTGACTCGTTTTGTTGCACAGATGCAGCAACCTATGTTAGTGCTTTGCTACTTAGTTTAAAAACCATGTTACAGCTCGATTTGCCGCATGTCAACGTACTCTCAAAAGCCGATCTTTTATGCACATATGGTCCTCTCCCTATGCGTTTGGATTACTTTACTGAGGTCCAGGATCTGTCACATTTAGAACCACTGCTTAACCGGGATCCCAGACTGGCTCGTTATGGAGATTTAAATGCTAGAATCTGTGAACTGGTAGAAGAGTTCGGACTTGTTTCTTTTGAAGTCTTGGCTGTTGAAAATAAAGCTAGCATGTTACATTTGCTGCAAACCATCGATAAAGCGGGGGGTTATGCAATGGGTTCCACTGAAGCAGGCGGTGATTCTGTTTGGGCTACTGCTGTCAGACAAGGCGGTGATCCATATCGTGATGTCTCATTACAGGAACGTTGGATTGACATGAAAGAAGAATACGACGAGTATGAAGCAAAACTCGAAGAAGAGGCCATGGAACAGATGGAAGAAGCAGCTGAATGAGCGGATTCGCTTCTATCAATTTATGCAAATACTAGACATCGTACAAGGTTACTACACTATGACTGTATGGCATAGCTTGCTGTTTCGTTTAACGAAACTGCGTGCCATAGTGGGAGTGCAAGCTTAAAAACAAAAAGTTCTCGTTTACAATGGATTTCCTTTCTTCATAAACCCCATTTTATGTTTATTTTCTCTATCAACTCCATTTTATCAGTATCTGTAACTACTATAACAAGTCATGTCGTAATTTCCGGTATCCTGTTTTCTTCTCATGATAGTTAGATTTGAATTTGAAAAAGCTCAACTTGAGGGAAAGCGAGTTGTACGTTAACACAGCAAATTTAATTACTCTGTACGTCTTATAGTCATTCAATTTACCTATGCACGATTCTGTTTTTGTTCCGCGGAAAAGACCGAGTAAAACCGCGGTCTAACCGCTTCGCAAGGCACTACTCCACCCCAGACTAACAGCTGCTTACTCTCAACCATAACGGAAATGTCTTCTCCTAAGGTTCGTGAATGGCTAAGATGAATGCTAATGCAACGTAGAGTACTCCCTCTGTGAAAAGTTCTCCCGGCGCCGCTCCTGGAGGCCCCAAATCGCAGATCAGGTGGGTGAACTTAATGGTTATATAAGACTGACATACTGACGAAATGTGTTAATAGACGTCGTGCTGCTGCTGAAAAATCAAAGGAAGGAAAGGCTCTTCCTGCCGGTCCCAGAGCTGCCGGTGCTAATGGCTCGACCCCTACTATGTTGAAGCTGTATACAGATGAAACTTCTGGTTTCAAGGTGTACGTTCGATATGATATTCTATGTTCATTGTTAAAGATTAAAGCTAACATTCAGTGACCCCGTTGTCGTCATGGTTCTCAGTGTTGGTTTCATTGGCAGTGTCTTCGCTCTGCACATTATTGCCAAGTTGATGCGTAAATTCTCCAACTAAACTTGGGGCTTTCATTATGATAATACCAATAATTGCGGCTCATCAAAATTGTTAAAGGTTGTACCTTCATCGGTGTAACGGCTTTTTTGTCTAGTAGTAGATCATCCAAGTTTCCGAAAAGAACCGAGCATTCTTTGGCTCAGACCTTTCACAGCAATGACATAAAATCCCAAAAATGGACATTATAATATAACTTTCACCTTGTATGGGGTGTTGAATTAAAATAGCGGCTTCCAAGGGATGTTGTCTTGTTCTGGAGACGTCTCCAGAAGATCTGAGCTTCCTGTAGACAGGACACTTGTGGCACGAGACGGATTATTCGGAGTGGAGTTGGCTTGTTGAAGAAATGGTGAATCACTTCGTTGAGGTCGAAGAGGAAGGATTGGCTTAATCGGTGCAGCACTAAGATAGTCCGGCTTCGATGGCTTTAGTGGTTTGCGAGGCAAAGCGAAGGATGGATTCGGTGCAACGGGCTTTTGTGTTTCTGGATTTTTCGGATCAATCCATTCTGGAATTGTTGACTGTTCAAAAGGATTATCAGCACGAGAAGGGTTTAAAACATAACCCGATTTGGGAGCTTTTACATGCGACTTTGCCGAAAACCCGTCATCAAGCCACCATTTTCCCTTCTCATTACTTGGTTTCTTGAGCTTGTCTAGGCTTTGTGTATTGTGATAAGAGCGTCTCTCGGCTGAAACCGGCATACCAAGGTCAATTAAGTTCAGCGAAGTACGATCATTCTCATGAATAGCTTGTTTTCTAGAGGTGTAAAAGTCATTGAACATTTTCTTTTTCTTCGCCTTATCCGTTTTTGTAATTTTCATTCTGAATGTACCGTAAATAGGTCGATGATCTGAGGCATAAAGGGGACAGCATCCGTACGTCTCGGGAATCACCTCTCCTCGGAACAGGATACGGTCTGTCCAAGCAGGTACTCTGTGTTTGTCAGACGTATCATAAGTGTCGCTTTGAATGTCAAATTTGTACGTTGGTGGGAATGTAATGGTTTGTTCTGAAAAGAAAGGGAACACAGCACCCATGAGCATTTGCGTGTTCAATTGGTCACTGTCGAAAAGATACTCGAGCTTTCCTTGTTGAATACACTGAACAACTTCCTCGTAGGTAAGAGATATCCGATAATTAAAGTCACCAAACCAAAGAACATAGTCATGGTTGAAAATCGAACGTCCACGTTTGAATCGAAGTCCATGTGAGATAGTATGATAATCATGGTTTCTTTCGTCGTAATTGGTGTAACCGGCTGCGAGATGAGAGGTTACGAAACATATAGCAGTATCATCGAAATCAAAACGAATTGCGACGGCACCTTTGTTGCCAGAAACGCCTCCCAGACCAGTTTTCTTAACAGTCCCTTCCAAGTTTCGGATGCTGTTCAGATGTTTTTCTTTAGCAAAGAAAAGTAGAGCAGTTCCAACTAACTGGCCAGAACGTACAAGCACATACTTTTCGCCTTCTTCTGCATGGCTGTCGAGCACGTCCTGTACACATTTCTCCCATTCCACACGTTTCGCTGGATCTGCACTGATAACTTGTTGAGGTGTAAGTTCAACGATTTCTTGGAAACCAATAACGTAAATATCGGCCATAGGCTCGTTGTTTGGGAACAGCCACGGCTCTAGTTTACTCGTAGCAGTGCAACCGTTAAGATTGTATGAACCGACAAAGACGTGAATCTCTTTTTGCGAAGAGAACTCGTTTGCATGCTTTTGCAACGCAGAATTCACATATTCATGAATTGGGTCATAAAGAATAACTGGATGCTGGTTGACAATTTTTCCAAGCAACGTATCGATAGTTTCTTGCCGACCCTTATCCTGAAAGTTGTTGATGTACATACGGCCAACACTCTTTGACAAGTCATTTAGAGCACCTGCCAAACTCAGCTTTCCCTTTCTAGTAAAGCTTGATTTAAGAGCACCGGTTCCGGTATAGATACGCGAAAGCGCGTCACCATTGTTGGCCCATATTGTAGAATGAATCTGCCACATTTCCGATCCAGCATTTTGGCGAGCCATAACAAGAATATTTTCAAGAATAATTCTAGACAGAATGTTCTGAATTACATTGGTTCTGTCCAAACAGTCTAGACAATTTGTTCGAAAAACACCATCTTGCGTTTTAAGAGTATTATGGTTAGCATCTTCGAAATAAAATCCAAATGCGGCGGCATCCTCAAATACAAGAGGGCGAATCTTGTTTGCATGTTCAAATGACTTTACTTGTGAATGATAATCGAACTCAGTGAGATGAATTAAGGGTTTTTCACGGGAAAGCTCAACATGCAAACGTAAACGCTCAGTTAAGCTACGTTCACCCGACGGCGTTCCGAGAAGGTTAACTATGTGCAAGGGACCATACTCTTCAATGATGTCCGACACATGTTTTTCGAAAGCCACCGTCGTTGCTTCCACGGGTCGAGTAATGTCGATCTTTTGGCCAAACATTTGCATGCCCTCCTGTTCCCAGAAAATGGGAATGCTTCCACGTAGTTGAACGAAACTTGCACACCAGTTCTTGCTCGTTATTATTGTCTCTGTCTCGACAAAATTGGCAACGTTACCATCATCGTCAATACCACGCGCAAGGAATCGTGTTCCGGCACGAAGGGAAGACAGTCGAGAAATAAGGGTCAAGTTTACCACTTGAAAGCCAAGATTGATATTGGCAGTGGAGGCATAACCGCGAATAATGCAAGTAAGAAAGCAACTTTTATCAAACGAAGTACGCTCTTCCGAGTTCAGATGAGCTCTAAATCGAAGCAATTGCTCTAACATGAACTTATTCCACATGAATTGCTCATGCATAGAGTCATAAACTGGATCTGTCGTTGACTGTGATGCTCTCAACTGCATTTTTGATGTCAAATCAAAGGACTGGGAGAAATAAAATGTCCCATCTGTCAAAAGCTTTCGTAAACTCGAGTAAGGAGTAGAGGCGGAATGAGCGGACTCATACATTGACTCATTTTCATAATTTTCAGGAGTATCGAGTGTGTAACTTTCTTGTCGAACATGATCCCAATCAGACTTGTTCAGGCAATAGAAGCCTACGTCCATAATTTTGCGCACGCTTTCGCCCTCTCGGACGCGAGCAACTTCTGAAACGCCGCTTATAACACATAAGAAGATGGCACCGTCAAAGTCGATCAGACCGAGTGTGCCATAAAGCGGACGGCTAGTGAGTTTTCTAAAACCATCGAGTGTGTGTTCCTTCTGCGGAAGATACTCTGCTAGTGCAACCGCCGCAGTCAGGTTCTGTTTTTTGGGTACAGAATGGAAAAGCAGCACATTACACTGGTTTGTCAACGCAAGAGCCCTTGGTTGTTCTCGCAACCAGCATTGCATCCTTTTAAATTACCTAAAGTAGATAAATATGCCCCTAAACGAGCTTAACGTAAATCGAGACAAAATGTCAACAAACGAATGAGCTTTCAGCAGCAAGACGGGAAAAGAAAAGTTTTCTACCAACGGACGATGTTCTGTTACAATTAATAACTAAATTACCACAGTATACTAATATTTAAGTCAGTCCGAGTGGAACACCTGTCAAGCTGGTTGGTGCCAACTAATAAATGGAGGAAGAGAACAAGCTAGTACTTCCTGCTGATTTAACGACAGAATTGAAAGAGATATGAATTTGGGATGTGTGAAGTTTTAAAGAAAGGAAAGCTTGGGTGTAAAGTTTGTATAAGAAATTAATGGGAACGACAATAACAGAAAACAATGTAAACGTTACAATAATTAGAAAAGAAAAAACGAGGTTAGGGATTTGTTTAAAGGAAGTTTAAAAAGGTTATAAATGATGATGTTTTTATTTTGCTTGTTTTTGCGTCTATTTCTAAGCTGTTGAATGTGTTCTGTGATACTGCTTAGTAAACCAAAGTTATAAATGCTACACGGAAGACTATTTGATAGAATGAATGTACGAAGAAGTTATCGAAGACTTTTATTGTCCTTTTTAACGCGAAAAACAAGCATAGTATATTTGGATCGCAAATAAATGTGTTATGAGAAATGCAATTGAAGTTCTTGTGTATAGTAAATGTGCCTGTGATCAATACTACAGCTTGTGTACGGTTCAAATGAGCTTCAATAACCGGTCGAGCGCAATTACGGCTATGAGCTATTAACTATATCGCCGAATGTAACTAGAAAGCTCTGCAAACTCAAACTGGAAACGATGCAAATGAGTGAAATACGATGCTGTGAAATTCAATTTCCAAAAGCAATAAAAACCTGTTCTTTCTAACTTGTTTTATGTCGGTGATATACGCGAGACAAATCTGTAACGCACTGTACTAGTAAAATGATAATAAAGCTCTTGAACTGAAATAGTAAATGCATATATAAAACGGAGATAATACAGTAGAGACCGGTGACATTCTTGAAATCATATATTATAATTGCTAATGATTTATCGAAGGCTAGAATATATCTTGAATGAAGCAGAATTAGAAAGTTAACGAATAGAACTACCTTAATATTTATACCGATGTCAATTAGCAAGTATTCTTCTATAGAAATTATCTTGAAACCTAGAAATGAATAACAAATTATCGGAACATACCAGAGTTTTCTTTGTAGAGAAAAAAAGAACGTTAGTAGTGTAAAAAGCAGTGCAGTTTTAATTACATCTATTTCTAAGTTGTTTCACTTCGATGCTTCGTTTGTCAGTCTCACAATTATCGAAAGCGTCCGGTAAACGGTTTGTATGCTTGTAGCTTTTTTCAAGCGTTCATGTTTTAGCAAGATACGATTTTCTAAGACTTCTGTGGCTTCTCCCTAATTTTTTTCCATTATTTATTTTTTATCTTACTTGTTGCTTACATTCTATCGATTACCAAGAGCAATCATTTCGACTACCAAAAAATCATAATAATACTTGGAGATTACTGTATATCCTCAAACGCGGTTTATATATAGCCGATTAAGGAAATTCTTAGTTATTGTCGATCAGTAAACGGTGAAAATCAGTATATTCTCACGGTACTCATGACAAGTAGTTCATTCGGCCGTTTTTAACAGAGCTAACACGAGTATTCTCCATTGTCTTATTCCATTACATGATTAAGAAGTAGAAATACTTCATTTGTTCTGCAATTGGATTTAGTTTTTGGTAGGACATTGTAACGAAGATGTCCGGCTTGCTCCAAAGAATAAAAAGAGCAAGCTCCTCCTCATATGTTAGTGAGCGGAAGCTGGTGTTTAAGATTGATTGGTTCATTTTGTCCTACTGTTGTATTTCGTACTTCATCAATTATCTCGATCGTTCATCCATTAATAATGCGTATCTTTCAGGAATGAAGGAGGACTTGCACATGTACAGCAATGAGCTGCAGCAGATTAACATGGTTTTCACCTGTGGTTATATCATTGGACAATTACCAGGATCATATGCTCTACAGATTCTTCCTCCGCGAATTTGGTTCCCGTTGATGAACTTGCTTTGGGGAATAATGACCATCTTTTCCTTTGCAGCTCATTCAGTAAAGTCAATGATGATACTCCGTTTCTTCATGGCATTAGCAGAAGCCTCAACATTTGCTGGAACACACTACATTCTCGGTGCCTGGTACAAAGACACGGAGTTGTGTAAACGTGCAGGTATATTTTCTATGTCTGGTTTGGTGGGTACAATGTTTGCTGGTTATCTTCAGACCGCAGTTCATCACTCGTTAGACGGAAAACGTGGATTGGCAGGCTGGAGATGGCTGTTTATTGTTGATGGTTTGTTGACCATTCCACTTGCTCTTTACGGATTCTTCTTGTTCCCGGATGTCCCAGAGACGACGAAGGCACCGTACTTCTCTCAACAAGAGCGTGAGCTCGCACTAAAACGTCTTCCCGCAAAACCTGCGAAGAAGCCATTGACATTGGGTTCTTTTAAGTCTATAGTATGCTCCTGGAGAATTTACGGTTTGTGCCTCTTGTGGATGGTGAGCGGTGAAACACAGGCCATCGCTGTTAACGTGTTGATGGGTCAATGGATGAAATGGAGCAATCGTTTCTCGGTTGCCCAAGTGAACAATTACCCAACTGTAATTACGGCAGTTGGTGTTATTTCCACCATGGTATCAAGCATTATTGCAGATAAACTGCATGGCCGTGCGCGTTGGCCATTTGGTTTTTTCTTGTGTGCAGTGGTTTCCACATCTGCGAGTATATTGCTTGCATGGAATGTTTCGGACGGAGTAAAGTTCTTCGCTTACTTTCTCTCTGGTGCTACATATGCTGGTCAAGCAATTTGGTTCTCTTGGGCGAATGACATTTGTCGCGACAATGACCAAGAGCGCGGAGTTGTCGTCTTCTGTATGAATATGGTTCAAAACATATGGCACGTTTGGTGGGCTCTTGTCATGTATCCTAACACAGACACTCCTCGATTTATTAAAGGTTATATCGGTTTGTTAGTGATGGGCGGCACCGTATTCATCATGTCCATCATCGTGAGCATACTCCAAAAACGTGACAAGCGCAGAAAGCGCGAGGCTCAGGATCAAAAGGAAAGTGTTGAAATGCACTCAATTTCTGAGATTGATAGCGTTTCATCGTCCTCTCTCAAATTATCTCAAAAAGACGTTATAACAAGTGTTGCACCAACACTTAAACGGCAGCGCGTTCGTTCGTAGAATAATATTTATTTTGGTTGTTTTTTGAAATATATGACAAATAGAACGTTTGTTATTCATTTATTAACCCAAAATTTATGCAGCCAAGTTGCTCAGCTCTTTCATCCACTACCAAAAGTTATGGCTCAGTCGGATTTAGAGTATAGAAATGTTATTTCACAGTACAAAGACGGTGTAAAGACGATAACTCTCAACAATGTTGGTCTTGTTGTAGAAACCAAAGAAGGCAGTAGCTTCTTGTTAAAATGGGAGGGTGACTGGATTGCGGAAGAAATGAACTCAGAAAACAGTTCCTGTAAATCCTATCCTTCAGCCGAGGCTGCGTTAATGCAATTCAGTGCTGAATTCACAAAATGGTTTCATGAGCAGCTTGTGTTCAAGTTGAAAAAACTAGAAACGCTAAACTAAGAGATACATGGTTAAACAAACATTCATTTTTCATTAAATCGATACCATCAAGAGCGTTAGTTTCCAGAGGTGTCCTTTTTTGATGTTGCATGTTTTGGGTATGCTCTAATCTCATAACCAAGTCGATAGTTTTGACGCTGTCGAGCAATGTATCGTCTAGTACGAGCATCAATTCCAACCGTCTTCATTTCACCTGTTGTCATACTGAACAGCTTCTCCCAGGTGTCAATTTTGTCATTTACTTTGTCGTGGACATTTCGACCGATCCTCCTCAGAAACTGCTGAACATTTTTTATATCTAGGGAACGGACAAGTTAGCGAAAAAATGTGAGAACAGCATACCTGGTCTAGGAGGAGGTATTTGAGTCTTTGTATGCAGCATACGAACATTAAGACTTCTCCAAATTGTTTTGATTACGTTGTTACTACTCATGTTGCACTTGATTTTCCTGGTTACTATGAAAGAAACAAATAAGAGAGTCGGGAAATTCCCGCGGATTTATGGACAATGTCATGAAGCATCATGAAAGCTTTTCCCGTAGATAGTTCATTATAAGACATAAAAAGAAACACGCTCTATGAGGAATAACAGTGAATGCGTGTTGATATAATTAAGTTTAAAAATGGTAGTTATTTAAAACATTAAGAAATACGAATTAGAGCGGCAATAAGTTACAAACTTGTCAAATTGGAATAAGGTAAGTAATTCTAACTGACCATATACCGTTAATTTAATTAAAAAAGGTTGACCCTATCGTACTTACCATATTCCAGTTTAGAGAAACAAGATAACCACAGATTTCGACATTCTATCACACAAAATCGAGTTTGAGAGACACGTTTAAATTATGATTAAAGCTGAAAATCATTGAAGGACGAACTTTCTTTCTTCCCGTTTATCCATCAAGCCGTAAGCAACCGAGTTTGAAGTACCAACTTGAATGACAATGCTTTTCAAGCTCCCTTTCACTAAATTACACATATTCTGAACACTACAGCCGTTCGTCTTCCATTCACCTTCTTGTAATACTGTAATTTCTCATCGGTGATTTACGGAGAACATTTCGGTGAACTCGGTAATTTCGCGTTAGTTCTCCATTTCCTTAAAAAATGGAAATAGTCAACAGAGTAAATTAACGAATTCATGTGCAATTGCTCGGTGAAAGGAAACGACGAAGAAGGGAGTAATAGAAAGAACCTTCGTACTATCAAAACTGCCATTTTATTTACTTTTTATTGAGCAATATACTCAAGCACAGCTCAACACACACTGCTTCTCCCGAATACAGATATGAATAAGCAATCCAACACACGGGATCTTGTCTGGAATGGTTCTCTATCTATCTCGGTGACAACTGAAAGCTCTCCATTATGTTATATGGTGGGTCGTTGTATTCGCATCTCTCTCCTTCATTTTTCTAACAATTTATTGCTCGCATAGACAAATATTCCACGATTGTCGTACATCGCATTCATTCTTGATGAAGTCCGAAAGATATTATGTCCTAATGAAAAACTGGATAATTGCTGGCTAGAATTCGAGGGTGTTCCTCTCAAAAGGTAACACTCATCATTAATAATTGTTGGTTCATCACAAATGTACTAATCAAGTATTTCCTAGTCACTGGCCTATTGGCGTCCTCTACGATTTATATACAGCTACGGACCCGGATGCACCCCGGTCACCGGTGCTTTGGAAACTGGTTCTTCACTATGATAACTTTCCAGCATCCCAACTTATTCCGTGCAACGAGCCAACTACTTTTCGAACACTGTTCTTTAATGCTTTGAAGGAGGTATGCCAAACAATTTATATTTTATTTGCTTCATTGCAGTAAGCTGACTTCTCAGAGCGACTACGTACGCAACAAAAGTGCTTCCTATATTTTGTCATTGTCCAACAGCGCAACAGAAGAACTTTGGACTTCTATACAAAAGCATGATTTTGAAGTCTATCAACGGTTTATTCCGAGACTGCGGTCTGCAAAGTACGACCAACTTCCAGTACGCATATACATTACACCAGACACACCCGTCGTGCAAGAGAGTGTTTCTTGTAAAGAAACACTCGGATCCATGTTGCACAAAACTCTTCCTAAGTTATTTCCCTCACAAAATATTGCCGTCTTAGCCAAGGCTATTGTTCACGGAATATCAATACCCCTTTCCACTAACATGAATTTGCTAAACCAGGAACTCTGCTATACCGACGGTTTTGTTCATATTGTTATACACATGTTATAAACGACAGGGCAACTATCATGTCCATTGTATTATGAATTCATGACTCAACTTTTAATCAAAATTAACATTACTGCCGGGACGCGTATGAAGTAGTCTGGTATGATGCCTGGGCGGTGGGAAGTTGGGCGGTTGAACCTTTCATGATACCTTGTGAACGAAAGTATTTTTCATAAGGCGACTCACCCATTTTAATCCTGGCTTCATTCACCGCAATGCCGGGATGACCCTGCATGGAAAGTAGGCGGGCTTCTACCTCGCTGATATTTCCATTTTGCACAAGGCGAGATTGATCATGCTTCCGAACACTAAAGGGTCCAAATGTGTCACGATCAAGTTCAAAGTACAGTTGAATCGCATTAGGATGCTGTGCCCGATTCAACAAATAATCCATACTTAACCGTGCAAGATCTTTGATGGTGCGAGGGGGCAAGTTGGTATCTTTTCGGATCGTGTTTATTATCGAGGAAACATGCTCAAAGTGTTCTGCTGCATTTCGGGTATCTAGAAGTGTTAGAATTTAACAGATGTGGATGTCGGCAGATGCTTACCAAGAGGCTGCTCAAGCTCAAAGGTGAGATAATTTATCCAAAAGTAGCGACTGTCACGTAAAGCAACTGCGTTTTGTTGAAAAGCTTGGCGGGCAGCTTCAATATTGCCCTCAATTTTCCATGTTAATTTGATATCTTCGGTAATAAAAATGGCGGCTGTCGAAGGATCGCATTGGCCCTCATTGACAATACTTCGGAGCACCGATCGTGCCATAGAGAGGTCACCGTTCACTGCGATTCTACGCTCCAAACCAACCCAGCCCATGACAGCCTCAAGATTTCCGGGAACTGAAACGCTGTTAGTAATAGGAAACCCAACAAGGATGCGTACGTTGTGTTAAAATAGATTGATAAATAATCCGTGCAGTATCCACGTTACCACATTTTTCTTGCAGCAAGGCATATTGAATGCGAAGGCCCGGCCGCGAAATAGAAGTGAAGATTGCGGCTGCACGTTCGTATATCATTTTTACATCTTGTTCGTGACCAGGTTTTGAAGACATCCATCTGGCATATCGAAACCAGAACTCATCATATAGCGCGCATGCAACTAAACATTTTTCGTACAAAAATACAATCCGGTTGAAGTCACCCTCCACCTCTTCAAAGTCCAGATATTTTCGCCAATTTGTAAGCTGCGTTTCGTCTAACTCCTTCACATGGAAGTAGGGTCTTTTTATTTCCGACTCGAAGGTCCAACGCTTGACCGTTTCGGTTTGTGTCTGCTGGAATTGTTGAAGGAAAATGCGGTGAATGCGAGCACGCATTTCACGCTCAATTTCTAGTTCACCACGCTCCAATTTCATTTGTTTCGAGCCGGCATTCACCATTTTTGGGGGTTCACGAAGAACGTCGGCGCGTACCGAAGCCAAAACGTCTTCAGGAAGTAAAATATTAAGCGACTGTGTTTGTGCAACCTGCATAAACCTTTCATGATGTTAGTCATTGCGCGTCACAAGACAAGGAAGGTGCCAATCATAAAGAACGGCTAAACTTACTTTTCAAAGTACCGAGCGTACTGGTGCAAGGGGGTACGAATAAGTCTCTCCAGCAACCGGAAAACATTGTCTTGTCGTTCCTGTCGCTCCTCAAACTCAATGTACTTGTCCCAGAAAGGGTGTGAGAGAAAATCTAGGCCGATAGACTCAGCACCAGCTTGAAAGAGCCTAGAAGATTTGTGGTTAATTCCGACGTTTACAAAAAAAATAACAACACACAGAACCAACCAGTACGTACTCTCGAATTTCTTCTGACTTATGGCTCGTTTCCATTTTGAAAGCACAGTAGTTGGCCCAGAGGTCTACTGAGCAAGGGATTCCCGCAATTCCGCGTTCATACACCTTTTGTATTCTGTTAGCAACAAACCCAAAACCCTGGGACTCATTATCTTCGTCGAGAGGCAATGAACACTCTAATAATGAAAACTTACGCGTTCTGCGGCTTCGACGCCGGCGACATAAAATTCCAAGTCGGCATATTTTTTCCAGTAACCAAAGAGCAAAGGAAACTTTGTCAAAAACCGATCGTACACACCTCGAAGCGTGTCCAGCGTTTGTTTTGACGAGTTCCGATTAACACCTCCTTCCAGACCCTCTGATGCTCTAACTAACGCTTCCCTAAACAATGATGTTAGTTTCGTGTTTCATGAAAAACGCGTTAATTGCGTACCAAGCATCAAAGTCGTCCGGATTTTTAGCGACCTGACGATTGCAGTTGTCCCATTCTGTCTCTTCTGTTATATAAATGTCACCGTAATCCATTATAGGAAGAAACAATGCACAGCAAACCGTGAACGCTGTCAGCAGGTCCGTGAAGCGATGCTGGGCATACAAATTAGGTTAGTGAGCTTTACCGGGGTTTAGGGCGGCGGACATAGTGCGGGGCCGTTTTTTTTGACTTTGGCGGGGTCAAATTGCCCGCCGGGGCAGCTTAATTACGTCGAAAAAACAATAAAGAAATAGTCTACACTGGACTCACAACAATGAAACACCACTACTACTATTACTACAGTTCAACACGCAGAAATTAATGAACATCGCCGAGTCTATAGGCATTTTTATTCTTAGAATAATCGCAATATGATAATAACATGAAACTCTTTACAATAATACACGCAAAGACAGTTAACCCGTATGGGGTTGTAAAAAGCGAAAGAAAAAGTTGGGTAAATATGGAATGAGATGACAGTCCTCGTCAAAAGAGACGAGGAGAAAAACCAGAGGCGAGTGAAAGTCTATAAACGACAAAGGCCCTGCCTTTTGCCGCACAACAAACGCGTGGAAGCATTCTGTGAGGGAGGTGAATTACACCGTGTAGGGGTTCGGCGGAGAGAACTTTAGACTGCCAAGGCAATCTACAAGTCAGAGCTGTGAGTGGCATCGCTAGAGTTAGCATTGCCATTCTCAACATATTGAACACTCTCACCGCGAACACCACGACGCTTCTCGTTTTGCTCTTGCTCCTCACGCTTCATGTCACTGTAGCTGGGCTTGAAAGCACCAGATTGCCAGGGCTTGATGTCAGAGAGATACAACTCGTTAATCTCCTCAAGAGAAAGACCCTTGGTTTCCTTGGCGAACAAGAAAATGACGATAGCAGCGCAAAGGTTGCAAGCACCGAAAACGTAACCGTACTTGAAACCCATAGAAGCAGTAATGAAGGGAGTGAAGAAGGAAATCAAGAAGTTCCAAACCCAGTTAGCAGAGGTAGCGACGGCAGCACACTTGGAACGGTAACGAGCAGGATAAGACTCACCGACAATAACGTATGCAGCGGGACCCCAGGTCATAGCGAAACCGCAAATGAAGAAACAAGAGAAGATAATCATAACGGTACCAGCGCCGTGGTTAGAGGTACCATCCTTACGGTAAAGGGCCTTTTGACCGACAGCAGCGTAAATGAAGAAACAGCAGCATTGCCAGACACCACCGAGAATAAGAGGGTTACGACGACCGAAACGCTCAAGGACAACCAAACCACCAAAGGTACAGACAAAGTTGACAGCATCAAGAATCAAGGCAGCAAGGAAAGGACTGGAGATACCGGTACCGTTGAAGACTTGAGTACCGTAGTAGAAGTAGTAGTTGTTACCAGTAAGTTGTTGAAGAGACATGACGGCGACACCCAAGAAAGTACGGTAGCGAATTTCCTTACCAAAGATAGAACCCCAAGTAGCGGGACCACCAGCGAGCTCAGCTTCACAGTCAGCCTTGACACGGTGGTACTCATCTTGGACATCAGGGTGGTCAATAGGCAAGTCAGCATTGTTAGCCATAATGCGAAGAGCCTCCTCATCGCGGTTGACGGAGATCAAGTAACGAGGGGACTCAGGAAGGTAGGAGATACCGATGAAGGTAATGAAACCCCAGATGAAGTTGATACCCATGGAAGAACGCCATTGAGCAGAACCGTTGTAGTGGTGGGTACCCATGTTGATACAAGCGGCAATGAAGATACCAGCAGTAACGAAAAGTTGGTAGGTAGTAACGACGGTACCACGAATACTGGGAGGAGCAGTTTCAGATTGGTAACCAGGAGCCAACACAGACAAGGCACCGATACCGATACCAGTCCAAATCTTAGCAACCATGATTTGAACCCAAGAGAACTGAGTAGTGACTTGAATCACAATACCAATGATGTAGACAACGACGAAACCCATAATAGCAACACGCTTACCCTTGCGATCAGCAATAGGGGACGAGATAAGAGAACCAGTGAAAGAACCAACGTTAACCATACCCGTCAACAAACCTTGACGAGCAGAAGAGTAGCTGTAAGTCTTCGTTGCCGGATCATACCGGTCAGCGAAACGCTCCTTGAAAGCAGACATGTTCGTGATACCACCGATGGAACCAGTATCAGCACCGAACATCCAACCGGCCATTGACACGAAGATCAACATGACCAAAGTCATAACCTTCGCCATCTTGGATATATATTAATGAAAGACTGACAAAAGAGAACGACGAAAAAGAAGGCAGCTTATGTCAAGCCTGGAAATGAAAAGAATGACCGTCTAACGGAAGAACGGATTAGAGACAATTAAACGTCCTTGACGAATAAATCGAACCACGAAATATATAAAATAAGACGTGTGTATTAGAAGGCTCCAAGAGAAGGTATGGATATCTCTTTAGTTGGTATTAGAAGTGAGTAAAAGTTGCTCAAGCTTCTTATTGACTAAGGACGACAAGCTGGTTCTCCGTAGGATGTGTGATTGTGGAGAATGCCGGGGAACGGCAAGCCTTTTATACATTTCTGAAGTAACAAACTGACCACGTACGAGTTAAGCTGTTGTCGCGAAGTTGGGGCACTAACAATGCCGGCAATTCAGACATCCACGTCATAGATTGACAACAAAACAGCCTATTGGCTATCCCACAAAAAGAAGAGCATAGCGGCAGTGCGATTGGATAACGGAGCATTTGAGCAGGCCAATGGAAGAAACCAAACCGGACAAAACGTGATGCTGCAACTGTGGGCGCCAATCGTTACCGAGTACGTCACCGGAACACAGGGGCATCAAGGTTTGGCGGGGGTGGTGAGATGCCCCGGGGCGAGTCCCACAAGCGGCAACCGGGGTAACACGTTGGGGAAAAATCATGCCAAAATGGTGTGGAGTAGGACGGAAGACGCGCACAAACATAGAAAAGAAAATGCCGCAGAAGCTGACGACGATGCGTTCCGTGCGGAAGCGAAAACAATCAGTAACCTCGAGAATCCCCGTGTTGCAGCACCTCGCGCTCATAGTCGGCAAGGCTTCCATCGGCGTTGGGAACAGCCCTCGTGCTGGCCAATCAGACAAAGGCGCATACGTAAGCCCGATGTCATAAGCCGACGGTAAAGTTGCAGTGATTTTCCGCGGGGCGAGCGAAACTGCGAGTAAGCTTCGCTTCGGCGACCAATAAAATTCGCGTACCAAAACCGGGGCGACCTTATTAGCAGATTGTTGACCGTAGGCAGAAGAACGAATGAACGCGAACAAGCGGTTGTGAGCGACTCGTGAGAGTGTAAGAAGCGTCGGTAGCAGCGCTGCGACTCGGTCCCAGAGCCACCAACGGCAGCAGGGAGTGTGTGGACGTGTCGCCAGGCAGCCAGTGCCGCTGGGCAGGAAGCGCACTTGGGTCGAACCGCGATGGCAGCTAGGTTAAGCAAGTGCTGAAAAACATTGTATTGTTCGTGTCGCAAAACGACGTAAAGTGTGCTATGGAGCGGTTCTAGCGTATTTATACGATGCTAGGTTCCTATACTCGAAGCAATGTAGTATTCAAAGTAAGGTGCAGGTGGAGAACTCCAGCCAATGATTGGTGGGGAGTAGTGCGGAGAAGCGCAAATACGTATGAGTAAACGAAAAAGTGGAGAAGCCACGCCAACCATTGAGCGGCGAAAACCGTGCATAAGTCTTGTCCCTGTCTTAAAGTTGTATGTGGTCACCCGTGCAACTGTTACCAAGTTTTTTTCAGGCAGCATACTGTTTTTTTCGCCTGGGGTATCGTCGTTTGTCGCCTGCTGCGCTGGTGCCTGAGCTTGTTTAGCGAACGTGCTCCAGATGGTCGCCTCTAGGCGAAAGTATGACGCCATTGGGGTGGAGCCCTTCCAATTGCAGGAAAGGCGGTTCGTTGGTGGCCAACGCTGGGCACAGTCGACGAGCAGCATGCGGAACCATCGTCGGCAGATCGGCTAAACTCAGGGATGTGACTGCACTAGGTTTCATGATCCGTCTATTTTTAGCAGCAGCGCTTCGCCGGGTTTTCGAGATGGAGACGCTGATACGGAGCTGTGCTAGCCGTCACTAACACGTAATCGATACCAGCCATGTTTATGACGTACGGTAGTTACCGACAAAGTGTGGAGTCCCGTTTAGAGCGGGGAAATCGCTGAAGGAAGTGAGGGGCTCCGCACGAAAAAGCGGAGAATCGATGGCCCGCCCGATGTGGAGAACTGCCAAGGAGAGGGGAAGTTGCCGAGTCTGCCGACGGAGTGTGGGGAATAGCGGCGATCGGCAGTGTGGAGAATGAGTGAAGGCGGATGCTGTGGTACCCAGAGTCGCCGTCTCGGGCAATTCGTCGACGCTGGTGGGACCGAGCTGAGGGGGAGTGTTGGATTTTGTTGCTGTGCGCTGCAGCACGGTAAACCACGGAAAGAGTGACGCATCCGTGGGCTGCGTTGGCGTTCGGTATACTTGTTTACGGGGGCACGCGGCAGTGCGTATTTCGAATAACGAGCCCCGGCATTCTCCGTATCCTCAGCATTGTTTGTCTGGTGCCACAAATGCACCCCACATACGCGCCCCCACTCCAACCATAAACAAGCGCACACGCAAGCCAGAAGTATCCCTCTGACAACTTGTGTCTTGAGGCCTAAAAGTTAAATTTCAGTAATTCAAGCGTTGAACGCGTCCGTACGGATTAAAAAAGAGTACTAGAGTCTTTGTCTACGTGGTCGGATTGTCAGTCGTTGTTTCCTGTCTCGATCTCAGCACGTTTTGGTAATTTTCACATCGTTCATTTCTGCAACTCGTTGTATCTCGCACATTTGTTTTTTTGTTCCGGAATTATTCAGCATATCACAAAGTAGAAAGCATGGAGACCTTGTCGTACACTTGTTTGAGAAAAAGAAAGGCCGAATCGGACGAACCTGTCCAAAAACGTGTCCGCCAATTGCCCGTGGGTAACCATCTCCCTCTGAGCCGGTTGCTTCAGTACACAAACAAGCAGCAAGTCCACGACCTGTTGCTGCAGTGCGTTCACAAACACCCTGATCTGGCAAAGGACATCCGCAACAGTCTGCCTCCGCCTTCGTTAGAGGAATGCATCGACACACTTCAGCAGCTGCTGAAGCAATTGACAGACGCTTTCCCCTACGGAGGCGACGCCCGCGGTGACTATGCGTACCATCGCGTCAAACACGCATACATGGCCGTATTCCATGCGTTGAATGATCTTGTTCCCTGTTTCCTTCCGCCTCATTCCAGTTGCTACAAAACGAACTTTGCCTTCCTTGACGCCGCTACAAACGTAATCCACAAGCTACCCGAGTTTCACAACGCCAACTACAACGTGTACAAATATCAAGCCTACTACGAGCTCTCTGGTGCCTGGATCGTCGTGTTGCGGCAACTGGAAGACAAGCCTGTCATTCCCGAACTTCCCATTCGGGAGCTGCAGGAACACAACAAAAAATCTCAAAACCGGTTGCAAGAGGCGCTTGATTATGTGACTTCGCTTCAAAAGGACCAGTCTGTCTTCACCTACGACACTGGCTTTGGTGCGTTTGACTGGAATTTGCATCGCGCTTGAGCGAGCAAGCGACACAGTTTGTGCGTGAATGTGAGTGTTCCTGTGTGTAAGCACAAGAACACGTGTTTGTGTGTGTGTTTATGCGTGTGCGTGTGTATGTTGTCGTTGCTCATTCCTGCATATCTCCTCCCTTTTCTTCATCTTTTCCCTCTTCCGTTTCCTTGCATAATCGTATTAAACCAAACGCAATAAACGTAACCGATGTACACACACACACGCACACATTTGCACTCGCATGCCGGCGACAAGCATAGGCTGAAAGATCCATAGAGTGCCGTGAATGCCTTGTTTCCCTGTAGAGGCATGGATGATAACGACTTGTTGTGTTTACCGTCCCTGCCTCTTTATCTCGCATTACTTCCACAGTTGCCGCACTTGCTACTACTTCTACTACTATAACCATCCATTCATCATCCTCCGTCTCCAGTCTCCTCCTCCTCCTTCCCCTTTCCTACTTGGGCGCACCCGTTTCGCTTAGGGGTGTGATCTCGTTCGAATTTACATACATACTCTCATGTGAACGGCTCTCAAGCACACGCACACATGCATTAGAAGATCGTGTTCATATCTCGTTCCCTTTACACATTCATACGATTTAAATAAGTAACCCGACGAGGAAGCAGATGACAGACATGAGAAAGGCAGTCTTTACGGTGACTGTATTTGCAACCTGAGGAATAACGACAGCCCCGTCCTTCGGGCGGCCGACGGTTGCGAACCCGGGACGACGAGAAGACAGTGTGGGCATCCGCTGCGGTGTAGCGCTTCCTGGAGAGTGAGGGACAGCGAAACGCTGGTCGGTGTACACGGCAGTCGTCGATGTCGTAGACGATGTCATTGGGGCAGCAGCCGGAGCGGCAGCAACACGTTCTGAGCTTCCACTGCGACGAGCAGTGGATGTGGCAGGGGCAGGCACCTTTGCTGCGACAGTAGCGGGAGCAGGAGCTGGTTCTCCTGTGGCAGGAGCCGCACGTTCTGTTGTGTGTTCAGACGCAGGAGCCGAGGTTGCTGCTGCAGAAGCTGCACCGGCGGCGTCACCGTACGCGCAGCGAATCTTTTTTTCATGAATATCGTTCTTGTCGACTTGGGGCCACTGCAGTTGTTAGTAAGGCACGAACGGGGTGTGAGAGGTATGGGGAGGAGCACGGGGGAGGAGCACGGAGGGTACGAAATGCAAACGAAGACGCCTGGTTGGGTTTGTCGGTTTCTGTGTCACTCTGTCGTCTTGTCGTCTTGTCGTCTCATAGTCCTCGTCGTCCTCGTCGTCTTCGTCGCCCACCTCTCCTTCTCCTCTCCTCTCCTCCAACTTACAATCTCTGTGGGCTCTAAACCCGCATGTTCCGGCTTCAGCTCGGTGCTCTGTACCAAAAACTTGTCTCTGCATTTTGCGCCGGGTTCGGGCTCTGTGTCGAGAGCCTGAAGAATGACTGCCACAAACTGTTAGCATCTAGGATACCAGAAACAACGTCCATGTAGCAACATACCCTGAATAACAATTGTTCCATTGGCTTCGATTCGACCGCCGTTTGGGCGTACACAGTACTGCTTAGGGGCAGTGTCTTTACTTTAAAGGCAATAGGGCGACAGGTGTGCGGATGTGCAGGTCCCTCTTCACCAGGCGCGTTAGGGTCTGGGAAGACGATTGTGCTACTGCATTCAATGCTCATGGTGCGGGAAAGGATGGTTACGGGCCAGCAGGTCTGTGTGAGTCATCTCGCTGGGAGGTGGACCGGGTGGAGGAAGCGGAGGGCGGACGGAGGGAGTGCGCTAAACCGGATACGGAGGTGCGGGGCAGCAGGGGAAGGTGCGTTATCTATGATACCGGGGTGCAGCGGAGTGGGGGGAAGAGGGGGGAGAGGGGTGCAATGGGATGGAGTGTGGTGCAATGAGGTGGAGCGCGGTGCAGTGTAGTAAAATACGGATTCGTACGGTACTACCGTATATTTGTTAGCGTACGCGTTTCGAGTACGCTATTCTCAATACAGAGCTCTAGCGCTGTCTAGCGAGGGAGTGAGTAACACCCTGGCCCGGTGCTGCACACTCGCATCAAGAACCAACATGCCGTACAAATGCAACGACTGTGAGAAAACGTTTTCGACGGTGGAATTGGCAGAATTGCATGGTGTCCGTAAAGGACACGAGGAATTCGAAGAAATTGAGGCCTCGGTACGGACGCTGGAACGACAATGGCGGCTAACCACATCAAACAGGAACACAAACCACGCACTGCCGAAGAAATTAAAGAGACCCTTGATCGCTTGCGTGAAAAGGTCAAGGACAAACGCAGATTGGAGCAGGAACAGTACCGTTTGGAGCAGAAGAAGAACGCTGAAATCGCGTCCAAGTCGAACAAGGAGACCGGAGATGCCATTGAGGCCGCACGGAAAAAGACTCAGTTGAAGGAATGGGAGAAAATGCGCCGACAAAAGGCCGAGGACGTTTTGGCGCGTAAGAAGATTCTGGCGGAAATTGAGGCAGACAAGAAACGACGTGCCCGTGAACGCGAACAGCGTCAATTGCAGCGTGAGGGAAAAGGCCAGGCGGAAAAGGTGCAAAAGACTGAACGCGCCGAGAATGTTTCGGGAACGTCTCCCTCGTCTAACACTGCTCGTGCACCCGCTACATCGTCTCGACTCTCCATTCGTCACGCCGGCGTAACGGTCAATCTCAACGTTCCCGTCGAAGAAACACTGGGCCAGGTGTGTGCAAAGGTTATGGAAAAGATGAACTTGCCTCATGAGCCGAGTGCGTTTTACACCACGTTTCCCAAGGCAGAGTTTCCACAAAGTCGGTTCACAGAATCGCTGAAGGATTTAGGTAAGCAGGACACTCGATGCGAAACCGTGTTGCTGTTACACACACACACACACGCACACTCGATGCAAAAGACAACCTCGCGCATCCTCTTCGCATGCATGTGTTTCTTATTATTATTACTATTATTAACAAAGGGTTCACACAACCCAAACAGGTCTTGTCCCTTCAGCGGTATTGCTATTGAAGGAGTAAAAGTCTATTGTGGGATTCAAGGACGACGATACGGAATTGATATGCGTTTGTAACAAACAATGCAGTAATGACAGTAACGATGGCCGGTTGTTGAAACGTTTTAAAACCTTTTTTTTTCAACAAGGCCCTGCTATATACACGATTCGGAAGCGAACAAACTAGCAAGCTTACCCTTGGATGTTGGTTTATTCGGAACGGTATTTAATGAACTGGAAGAAAATGATGACGTCCAAGAAGACGGTGCTAGCAGCACCAATGAGCCAGGGAGAGTTCTCCTTGAGGTAGTTGCAGTAATCCGCAGCAGGGAATGCGATGATACTCAACACATAAGTGATGTTTCCCGACATGGACAGAATGAAGAAGAAGATGGAAAGACCTGATTGTTTGTTAGTATTGGAAACACGATGGATTGGGGTTGAGAGAGGGAGCCAATCTACGGGCAATTTCTTCCCAAACATTTTCGTTTACGGAGAATGCGTCGTAGTGCTGCTGCCACTCTTTCAAACCACTTCTTTCTTTTCTTACCCTTGGTTGATTTGTTGCGGTGGTTTTTGATAATCTGGGGGAACCGGGCGACAAAGTACAGAACTGAACTGATGACGCCAAACATAGAGGGCCAAATGCTGACATCGTTGTTGCTGTTGTCGACCGAAGCCTTGCTGATGACCCAGTTACCGATGAACGTGGAAACACAAACGATGCCAATCATGAACACACCACGTTGGGTCTCAGTCCAGGTGTCCCAGAAAATGACACGCTCCTCGTAAGGTGCCATGGGCGCATGACCGCTTGCAGTTGTACGGCTTTCGAGCAAAGGTTGTTGTTCTCCAGTGCGGGTGCCGTTCTTACGAGCCTTATACCGGTAATAGTATACTTGCAGCAGAAGCATCGAGTCTGAGAAACAATAGTATACGGAGAGCACGAGGACTGTGGACGCAACATTGCCCCAAATGGAGCCGATTACGTTGAAGGCATCACCAATAAGCCAGATGATGAGGAACAACTCAGAAATGCTCTCGCCCGACTGGTACTTGTAAGTCTCGAGCAACTGGGGAATGAGAAGCACAACCCAGCAGCCCAAGGACAGTGCTCCGAGCAAAGACGCAAGGCTCTCTAAAAAGGAAGAAGGACCTCCAATGATGGGCTCCGGCACGACAGGAAGTGTGGTATTGCTGCCGTTTAAGGGGAGAAACATGGTGAAGAGGGAAGGAGAAGGAGTTGGAAAAAAAAAAATTGAAGAGAATAAAAAGGAGAAACGAAAAAAAAAAGGAAAGAAAAAGAGATCTGCCTACTGAACGAGTGGTGAGAAAATTGATGACAAGTTTCGGAAAGTTGTCAAGTTGTGGTAAGTTGTTGATGGATGGATTGAGCCTTTTTTTTTTAATTTATTTATTTTTTTTTCTCTTGAAAATTAAAGAAAATAAAAAAAAAAGGAAAAAAAGAAAAAAGAATAAAAAATAAAAAATAGAAAAGGAAAGGAACAGAAGAACAATGGAAACTACGTTTGAGGTTAGTTAAAATTGTTTTCTCTGTCGGTCTTACTCTTCTGTCTTGTGTTCTCCACAGTCGGTGCTTACTGCCTTTAAGAGGAAACTTTTTTTTTCTGTGTGACGAGGACTGTCACTGGTGTCCTTGATAAACGACGGTTCGTCCAAGTTGATTAGTCGCGCTATCCCGCTAATTGCGGCGGCGACCTCTCAGCGACGGCATGGTTGTCCCCACCACGAGCTGGTTTATCAGTAGAGGAAGATGTCGGGAGAGAAATCAAGGAGAGGGCAGAGGGAGAGAGATGCGTGCCTGTAACAAAGCGCGGGCCAGCCGGCGCGTCCGCAGACAGACAGGGAACGGTAGAACGAGGTGCGCCTTGTAGCCTGGTACATAACCTTTTTTGTCTTAGGGAATTCGCCTACTGCCCATGGAAATTCGCTGCTGCTGTTGGTCGCACACTGAGGGCGTGTGGAGAAGCGGACGGAGATTGCGGGCTCATCCGCCAATGGAGGCGAGTTGTGAGATCTTATCGCGACACACGTGGACGGAAGCGAGGAGGAGTCGATAGAGGAGCGAGCGAAGGCGAGAGTCGTAGACTCGGGGAAGGTAAGATTGGACAATGCGCAGGGCATGCAGAAAATACACTGCATGGCCATCGAAGAAGCACTTTCTGCCACGAAACGAGGCGATTTCGCTTAATCCGCGTGACAATCGTCACTGTTACCTAAGTTAATAGCTTAATTGCAATCTTATCGTATCTCTTCTTAGATAAGATATCATTGGTGGCCGAGCGGTAAAACACTGTCTCCACCCCATTCATCTTCCCCGCTTTCTCCCGTTCGAATCCCGGCGACGTTCTTTTTTTTGTCTCGGTTCTTCCCTCGACACGTCATCACTTTGCGCATCCCAAGCCAATGGCTCTGCCGGTGCGTTTCGTAGCAGCCGTTGCATGCAGCAAAAGCCGTCCGTACTGCATCCGCCATGCTCGAATTGGCCCGTAGCGGCCAGCCCTAGGGCGCCTACGCACACTCACACATCCACCGGGTGCGCTTCCCAGTAGGCGCCTGCCTACCCTCGACTTACCCATACCAACCTTCTCTCCTTCCTTCCTATACACAACCTCTCCCCGTTTGTTATCTATCCACAACCAACAATAACGCCAAACCAAACAAAGCAAATTCGCGTTTCTGCAAGGTCAAGAGAATTCATCACTGCAACAAACAGAAAGAAAAAAATAAAAAAAAAAAACTTCTTTGCTTGTTTACAGTGAGCAATGACTGAACCAGTTCCTATTGAAGACCAGTCCGTATTGGAGAAATTAATCGGCATCCGTCAGCAATTGTCTGTGTTGAAGCATGACCGTTCGCGCTACATCGACAAGAACGATGTTTTCAAAATCTACCATCAGCTTGTAGAACAGAGTAAGTGCACAGAGTTAGAGAGAAGAAGGAGAAAAAGAAGAGAAGGCCACAGGAGGCGAGGGGGAGGAAGTACCGACGTGTCGCCGTTTGTTGTTTAGGGGTGATCATGCTTCGCAAACGTAATGTCCGCCGGTAGCGAATTCATGCCTTGGGAGTTATTTGCTAACAGGTTTTTTTTTTTATAGTGAACGTCTTGCAGAGCATCCGTAAGGAGCAGCCAGAACGCCACAACAGAGTTGATTTCCTGCTGGATGACTGTCTGCACTTGCTTTCTCTGTTCTATCTGGCCATTGGCCGGAACAACGACCTGCCTGCATTCTTTGCCCAATTGAGCATTGTAAAGCGTCTTATGGACTGCAGCATGGAGGGCGCTGCATACACGGAAAACGACACCAAGTTGGTCAAAGAGCGTTTGGATATCATTCGCGAAGCCATTGAAAAAGAAAGCTTCAAGGACGACAAGGACGTAGTCGTTGTCGAGTACCTGAAGCGCAAATTCGAAGACTGCGAGGCCAAGTACGAGCAGGTTGTCAACAAAATCAGTATTCTGGCACCTGAACTAGTGCCGGTGCAGACCCAGCTTGTGTCCATCAAGCGTCAAATCGCCAGTTATGCTGTACGTCCCGCCTCCGACCCAAACACGCTGGAACGCTGGGTGAAACAACTCAAGGAAATTGAGGCAAAACACAACGAGGACGGTCAGTTCTGTGGTGCCGATGGTGAACCGCTGGCCGGCCAAGAGCTGTGCAATGGCTTGCTGGAAGAATGCTTCAGCTTCATCGAAGACATCAAGTCCAAGCAAGGCCTGTCGGAAGAAATGAAATCGAGTCCCAAGCTCCAGGCCATTTATGAACGATTGGATGAACTTCTCACGAAACTAAAACACCTGACCTTGACACATCGCTGGACGCTCCGGGAGACAGAGTATGTCAAAGTGCAACGAACTGTTTATGTGATTGGCTAACAATTTTTTGCTTTTAGTTTGTACCTGTACAAAGCGTCGCTGGCCGAAATTGATGCGACTCGTGTCGATGGTCAGTTTGTCGATGAAAACGGAATTGCCCCCCCTGGACAACGAGTAAGTCTGAAAACTTCGTGTTTAACAACACTCACATACTAACATGCGTGCCAGATTTTGTTGTACCTGCTCAGACGCTGTTACGCCTACATCTACCAATTGATGGCAGCTAGCGAACCCGTGTCCGAAGCCCTGCTTCCCGTTCACAATCAGCTGCAAACGGTGAAGCGCTGCCTTCGCGAAGTTCAGCGCAGCGGAGGCATTTATTCCGAGCGTGACTTGTATCCTTACCAGATGAAATTGGCTTCCCTGGAGAACCTTCGCGTGGGTGGAAAGTTCCTCGCCTCAGACGACTCTGTCCCCGAGGGTCAGGAACTTGTGAATTCGCTGTTGGCACAATGTCACCAATTGATTGAAGAGATTCGTGATGAAATGCACCAACACGATCTCGAGGAGCACGCATCTGTGCAACACTAAAACACACTCCCTGTGCAATTGCATGGAGCACCAACCAATACTTGCATGCACTTCGTAATGTACCGTTATGCTTTGGGAGTTAGTAACCGTAGGTTGCTTTTAAAGCACAAGTAGCAATTGTCTCGTAGACCTTGACAGCGTACAAACACCTCTATATGGCCCAGACAAACTGGCTCTACTCGCTCAATTCGTGTCAATTTGACTGCCCGCTATTTCCCGTCTCGCATCTTCAATGATAATCGCTGCAATTCGGTAAAGCGCTATTGCACGACAGAGCGAGCCTTAGAGCAGTTAAGGAGGAAATTTCGGTCGACAAACAACGGCCGGGTGTGGTTGGTAGGGCTGGCAGCCGTCGACAAGCTTTCCCAACCGCGCTGTAGTAATCCTCTCCCCGACGAAACTTGTGTCTTTTTTTCACAGTAAAGGTTTTTTTCTTCCCATCTCATCCATTCGAGGAGTGTATAATAAGAACCACTAGTAACCTTTTCAATCATGGCACCTCCTGCATACAGTTCTATTGACCGTCTTTGCAATGACTTGCTGAAACGCGACTTCCCCATCGGTTCGACTCAACTGGGCGTCCGTACATTTGCTCCTAACGGTGTCGTCTTCAACGTTTCTGGTGCTCAGGACCCAAAGGGTATAATCGCTGGTAAGCTCGAAACCAGTTATTCCGACAAAGTGAACGGTCTGTCGTTGTCCCAAGGATGGACCACGGCTAACGTTTTGGAGTCGCGCATCAATTTGAAGAACCAATTGGCCCCAGGTCTTGAGGTAAACGTCGCAACTACGTTCAGTCCTGCTACGGCTGCCAAGACTGCGAAGTTGGACTTGGTTCATCAACATTCTTTAATCAACACGCATGCCTTGGTCAACGTCCTCGACGGAAAATTTGTTGGTGATTTTACCATTGGTCACGAAGGCTTCCTTGCCGGCGCTGAAATTGGTTACGATGTCCACAAAGGTAGTGTTTCCAACTACGCTGCCACAATTGGTTATGTTGCTTCTCCCATCACGATTGCTCTTCAGGCAACAAACAACCTGAGCGTCTTCCGCGCCAGTTATTACCACCGCGTTAGCCAACAGGCTGAGGCTGGAGGCTGCGTCTCGTGGGATGCAAAGTCAACCGAGAACTCTGTTTCCTTGGAACTTGCTTCCAAGTACACCTTGGACAAAGACACCTTCGTGAAGGGAAAGATCAATAACGCAGGCATTGCTACGCTTTCGTACTTCCAAACCGTTCGTCCCGGTGTAACTGTGGGTCTTGGCCTGCAGCTCGACACCCAACGTCTTGGTCAACCTGCTCATAAGGCTGGTTTGTCCATCAACTTTTCTGCTTAAGGCTGATGGATGACCAGCTGTCCTTGACCATTGGCAAGCACATTTTTCACGACTTTTTCGTACGACCATCCGTACAATATGACCAGTCAGAGTTTTAGTAGTTAAGCTTTCATTTTCGACGTTTGTGTTTCACCAAATATTCATAAAGACATTCAATAACTCGTTTTAGTGACCATTTTCAATGCTCGTTCAGCCGTTCAGTAAAACAATCCGATTATGTATTCCTAACCGTAAAAACCTTAATCCTTTCTCCTAAAACAAAACAATTAAAAGCACACTCTAGACTGTGCACTGTAGTAAACCAAAGGTGTTAACTTTTTTCCAGAATGGCGAACTTGCTTGTTTAAAGCAGTTCATCATCCAGTAAACCAAAGTCGTCGTCGTTTACGGATTTTTCTTTCCGTTTGCGTTTCTTCGAGCTGGTGTTTTGGTTTACGAGCTGCTCGCATTAGTTTATGTGTGCATGTAAAAACCTTACCATTTTGTGGACCTCCTTCTCCGACTCAGTAGGAGCCATTGTTTTTTTCAGGTACTTGTAGTATCTCTCCTTTGCGTAATCTTTTGATTTTCTCTCTTTCTCCATTAGTTTCGTAGGTTCAAAAGCTTTTTCTTTTTTGGAGAGTCTCTTCTTTTGAAAGTATCCTACATCCAGGGCTTTGGGGTTCTCTTGCGTTAAACGCAAGTTCATTAACGCTTGTTTTGCTCTTTCTCTTGACATTTTGATTCAAGTTTGTGTGAAACGTGGGTATCTGGGGTAAAAGTACGGTAGGCGATTGCAGTGGTGGGGCAGTAAGGGAACGCTAAAGAATAGTTAAGCTAAACAACTTGGCGCCATTTCTTCTTGTGTGTGGGTTCGGCTGTTGAGATGCTTAATTCATTGGTTTCTGTTTGATATTTCCTTGTTTATTATCTTTTGCTTCTTCCCTTCTTTTTTCACAGACACGAGAAAAAGCAATGTAATACATTCACGTTAAGAAGTCAAACTCCGTTTTCGTTACTCAAATGGAACTGTGTCTTCCGTAAGGGTGTTGTGAAAGGGGAAATCGTAGATGAAGGAATTCTTCAAATCGTTGGACCTTGTACATGCGACGTTGTTGTCTACGCTCTTGATGTTTCCGAATCTTTTCTCTTCTAGAAGTGTGCTTTTTGTTAAGTAATAAATAAAGTAAACCACGAACGGCCGTTTGATCTTGCGTGTCGAGTTCGGGATGCATTTGCATCGTCAAACGAATAAATGTTTCTGATAAAGGACAAATAGTAACAAGACTCATCTTGAATTAATCAATTGCTAACAATTCGAGTAATTTGAAGCGTACAATTATTGGGTTTTCTGCAGGTGAAGTTAGTTGTATTTCTTTATTTATACACAAAAACTCAAAGTGCATACAGCACATAAGAATACATTAGGTAACGTTTACCAAATCAATTATTTACGGGTATATTATGAATTTACGCGTTAAGCGTAAATAGTAGAATTCTGTTATTTCTAAATGAAAAGCGCGTCGCGCAATGGAAGAAAAAGGAATGTGTAAAAAACTGGACAACAAGAACAAATATTGTTTGTTAATGTAATTCAATATTTCAAGATGTGTAATAATTGAACGGCCTTAACATGGTCTTCCTGAGATGTCTCTGTCGCGCTCCTTCCCATTCCCTTAATTCAGTTCTTTTCTGTCCCCACACACCCACTCCTCTTCCCCACATTTCAGGGCCATCTCTTTAAACCCCCCTATACCTCGTTAAATTTCACCACCAAAAAACAAAAGCTACTTTTATACGGTGCAAACGCAGGAGAACCACTTCTATGCTATAGATTCATAATGTCTATCTCTTCAGATACTTCAGGTTCCGTTCCAGGTTCTCCAATTGAACTAGAACCAGAAGCAGAAACCATATGCCGCTGGCAAGGATGTAACCAAGATTTGTACACCCTCGATAATCTCGTGTACCACATCCATCATGGTATGTAACATACGCGCGACGTAAAGTAATGTGTCAAAAAAGACTTATTATGCTAACGGTTAGGCCATATTGGTAACAGAAGACCAAAGTACACGTGCGAATGGGATGGTTGCCCTCGCAAAGGTCTTGCCCAAACATCACGATTCGCTCTTGTAGCCCATCTGCGATCACATACCGGTGAAAAACCGTTTATATGTTCTGTACCAGAATGTGATCGATCATTCACTCGTTCAGACGCGCTAGCAAAGCATATGAGAACAGTTCACGAAGCGGACACATTAAGACCGTCAGACCCAATTCCAAAAGCCCATCCTATGCATCCGCAAAACGTGGCAAATGCAATGGTGCAGAGTGCTCGGGAAGCACGAGCTGCCCAACAGAGACAAGAAGCTGGCTTGCTCAACGTGGACATTGAGAATTGGTTGGATGCCTCTGCTATGCCTAAAAGCTCCCATGATATGTATCGGTTGCAAAAGCGGAAACTTCAATGGGTAAAGAAGGAGAGAGACTCCTTAAAGGCTGAGCTTGAAGAGCTTGAAAAACGGGTTTTAGAAGCAAAGACTGCAAAAGAGTATGTTTTAGATCGGCTAGTCCAAAACGTGGACCCTACTATGTCTCGTTGAGACAATCCAAGACTCTTACATGACCTTTGGGGAAAAAAATTACAGGCAAAAAGGGTTGCTACGAGACATTTCTGGGAACGAAATTAAAAAAGAATAAGATTGCAACTTGAGCTAGTACATAATTAAATACTCGTTACGGGGGAGCGACACGTTATTGTTGTCGATAATGATTGTGTATATAAGCAATCTAGCCTGCATGCTAACTTAGTGCTTCATATAGCTCGTGCAATTCTTCGTATATTTTTCATTTTCGCAACTCATGTCCCTCCCCGGTCACTCTGTGCAACACAACCCCAGACCAACCTTAATTGAGTTAACATTTCTCTGGCGCGAGACACAAACAGCTGATGCATCAAGCCAGCCGGAAAAAAACAGTATGCATTCATAAAGCATACAGTCAACTATTAATACATGAACGTAACGAAAAGATTCTGTTTATATAGTTCCGTGCGTCTCTAAGTATATTCACTTTTTGTGCAAAATTATATATATATGACTGCTCGGACATCTGCCTCCTAACCCGGACAATACATACTGAATACGATATGTAGCCAAAATGTTCGGGTTTTTATTGCGATAATGTACATTCAAATCAAGCTTTGTTGTTCACAACTTGAATTCCATGGCCGGTAGTAGCCTTTTCTTCATTGGGAAAATCGTTAGAGGGATGTGTCAAACTCAGAAATCTGTTTTGTTTTGGTAAACCTCTCTCTTTCTCGTTTTCTGAGTAAAGAAGGCGTGTAAAGAGCTAGTGTATTGTGTGTGTGTACGCTAGCTTTATGCACGTTAACGTTTTTACGTTGCCTTTTTTATTTTTATTTTTCTTATTATTACTTTTTATGTCTTAAAATCAGTTTATGGTGATCTTTTATCAGAAAGCGTTTGTTTTTATGTTTTACTGGTTGCATACAAAACAATATGCTTTTTACTACATTTAAACAAAAACTCAGAAAACTATGCTCCACACACAAGACATTTGTTATTCGCATTCACTTGTCTCTGTTATATGATACCTGCCGCAGACGCTTGCACCTCGCTCTAGACGATGTTTTACCGTTCAACAGCCTGTTCCCGTTACCAGATTAATGATACGCTGGTTCGTATCATATTCGCTGAGTCATGCTATCGAGAGATCTTACAGGATTCGCGGAATCCGCTTCGCCCCTTCGCGTGCACAGCTCGGATCATTATCACCGTGCGACAGTTTCTCCGAGAGGATGCTGGCCGGGAGCTGAGCCGAGTTGTTACTGCGGGTAGTATTTGTTTGGCGGTTTAATGTGCAAAAAGTACATGATTGCTGCTTCTCTTTGACGGGACTGTTATTGGACGAATTCTGGCCTTTGTAACTGGCGTTCGGTTCGTGTCTTCTTTGTTTGCACATGCAAGCGTTCTTCTCCCGGTATGCTTATTCCTTGGTGTGGAGAGCGAAGCTGGTGTTCGGTAAGTTCGCTTATCTTATCGGGCCGTTTCATTGGCCCCTATTTTTGAGATCGCCTGTCGGTGCAGGATTCTAGGCGCACGAAAAGGTGAACATTTGTAGTGATTACAGGTGTGCACGCGGAAAAATGGCAGTGAGCTGCGAAAATTTTTCATTCAAAACGCACTCAACAGCGCATCCCACAGCCAAAAATCCACCACTCAACACAACAGCAAAACTCTGACACACAACACATAATGGCACTGGTCTCAGAAACAGGCGTCGATGTCTCTACGGACGGCATTACTGTCGTTCTGGGCAGTCAATGGGGTGACGAAGGTAAGGGCAAGCTTGTCGATATTCTTTGCGACAACGTCGATATTTGTGCCCGTTGTGCCGGCGGTAACAACGCTGGACACACCATTGTTGCCAACGGTCAGACTTACGACTTCCACATTCTTCCCTCTGGTCTTGTGAACCCCAAATCCGTCAACTTGATTGGTTCGGGTGTCGTCGTGTACTTGCCTGCTTTCTTCCACGAGTTGGAGAATCTTGTCAAGAAGGGTCTTGATTGCACAAACCGTATCTTCATTTCCGACCGTGCCCAACTTGTTTTCGACTACCATCAACGCGCCGATGCCTTGAATGAGGCCGAGCTTGGTGGTAAGAGCATTGGTACCACCGGTAAGGGTATTGGTCCTGCCTACTCTACTAAGGCTACTCGTAGCGGTATTCGTGTTCACCATCTCTACAACTGGCCCGAGTTCGAGAGCCGTTACCGTAAGAATGTCCGTGATCTTCAAAAGCGTTACGGTGCTTTTGAGTATGATGTCGAGGGTGAGCTTGTTCGCTACAAGGAGCTTGCTGCCAAGCTTCAACCTTACGTTGTTGACTCCATCGCCTTCATCCACACTGGTTTGAAGGAGAAGAAGCGTATCTTGGTCGAGGGTGCCAATGCCCTTATGCTCGACCTTGACTTTGGTACCTACCCTTATGTCACTAGCTCTAACACTACCATTGGAGGTGTCTGCACCGGTCTTGGTGTGCCACCCCGCGCCATTGCTAATGTGATTGGTGTTGTCAAGGCCTACACTACCCGTGTCGGTGCTGGTCCTTTCCCCACTGAGCAATTGAACGAGATTGGTGATCATTTGCAAAAGGTGGGTCGTGAGTTCGGTGTTACTACTGGACGCAAACGTCGTTGCGGTTGGTTGGATCTTGTCGTTCTCAAGTACTCTACCCTCATCAACGGTTATGACTCCCTTAACCTGACAAAATTAGATATCCTTGACGACTTCAAGGAAATTAAGGTTGCTGTCGCTTACATCGTTGATGGCAAGCGCATTGAGACTTTCCCTGCCGATTTGGACAGTCTTGAGAGTGCTGAAATCATTTACGAAACCTTCCCTGGATGGCAAACCAAGACCACCGGTATCACCCGGTGGGAAGATATGCCCGAGAACGCCAAGAAGTACATTGAGTTCATTGAGAAGTTCCTTGGTGTGCCCATCAAGTACATTGGTGTTGGTCCTGGTCGCGACGAAGTTTTGGTCAAGCACTAAGCTTCCTTGCTTCCTCCTTTAGCCCTATACTCCATTCCCCTCTTAAACCTTTAACAGTTTGTGTGTTGTTCTGTCGCTACTCAGACGACGGTCGCCTCACTCTCATTTCAACTTTTGTTATTGTCATGCCGTTCATTTATCCCCTTCGCTTCTCTGTTTTACCTTTTTAACAAAGCAGCGTCTTAAAACACAGTGCTTGGCTGCTGGAATCCTTAGGGATGAAAACCCCGACACCTGCTGTTGCGCCTCCATTTACGCCTTCCTCATCCTTTTGGATTGACCCTGATAGAAGAAAGCAATAAATTTTTGATAGCTTAGCGCGTTGGCAGGGAAGTGTGGTCAGGTATTTGAATGTGTATCTTATGGCAGTGTAATGCGGTTGAAACTTTATTTACCTGCACCGCCGTCCATAGATTGGAATCAGTATAGGAAAACGAGAATAAACATGATATAGGCTAACGGACAAGCGTCCATATTGACAGAAACTAAACTAAACAAGGTCTGTTGACACATACTCAACTTTGCTGGTTTGGAATCCGTTGAAGGAGCTAGCAGCAGCTACTGTATATGCACCGGCATCGTCGAAGTAAATCCAGTCACCGACTTCGAGTTCAAAAGGCAATCGAGCGTCAGAAGCAATTACGTCCAACGAGTCGCACGTAGGACCCCAGATTGAGCACACGTGGTCACCAGTTCCCACATACTGGTTGTAACACATACGACCTGCGTGCTTTAAAACTCGGGCGACCGGATGTTGATGATCAAATAAAATACAGTTCAAACTGCCGTAGACGCCGTCGTTAACATAATACATCACCTTGTTCTCTTCGGGAATCCGTCTTTTAGCTACGACGTTTACCGCTAAAGTAAACGCTGTAGCGACAAAGAACCGACCGGGTTCGGCAATGATGCGAACGTTTGCGGGAAAGTGAGTATCCAACTGCTCGCGAAGAATAGCAGCCGTCTGCTCAAACGAGTCGCTCATAAACCCGCCGCCAATGTCAAGTGTGTTGAAATGAAAGCCATAGCGTTCACCTTGATCGAAAACTACACGTGATCGACAAATTGCATCGATAAACGATGCTGGATCAAGGTTACCAGAACCCACATGAAAACTAACACCGACAACGTTCAGGTCAAGCGTCTTAGCAACACGCAACAGTTCTTCCGTCTCGCTCATGGGTGCTCCAAACTTCAGACTCAAACGACAAATGCTATTCTCGTCATTCGTCGAAATGCGAAGCAACAAACGAGCATTGGGATGATGTTGTTTGCACTTGTACAGCTCTTCCGTGTTGTCGAATGTCATAAAGTCGACATTATTGTTACGGGCGTACCGAATGTAGTTGATTGCTTTGCACGGATTAGCATACACGATCCGTTCTGGTGAAACACCGAGACTCAAGATCTGCTGCAGCTCACCCTTAGAGGCGCAATCAAACCCCGTTCCAAACTTTACCAATAAGGCCAACACGCGAGGATCTGGGTTGCATTTCACTGCGTAAAACGGCTGCACACGGGGAAGGTTTGTGTGCCATCTCACCAGTTGACGATATACCTCCGCGAGGTCAGCAACGAAGAATGCATCGGCATCCCTCATCTCCCCAGTTGCCGAATTTACCTCGGATTCAGAGATTTTTTGCTCCAGTAACTCACGAATTGCCTCACGAGACTTCCCACAGGAAGACCACGTAGAAACAGACTCAGCCGGACTGAGTCTGTTCAACAAGTCCGTCGTACGCAACGACTCGCTAATGTTCATGTTCTGTTCCAAAATCAATGGCATTTTTATGTCTTCTTGTCGGCTCTTTGTAACTCAAAAACAACGAAAAGCCTCTTGACCACTGCACAAGCAATCCTGTTCCCTCAAGGTACTTTAGGTGTTCAGAAAGCACTTAAATTAGTGTCGTTTCGTCCTCTGTTTTTTCTATACGAAGATGTATATAGAAATGAACAGAAACTATTTCAAGAGAAAGCGTAGACGACCCCTATGGTATTCTTCTCTGGTTTATCAATGTCAGCAGCAGCTGTAGGCGTACTTGTCCAACGTTACCACGATGAAACTATTGGTGGAAGTGAATGGTTCTTCGCAGGTTTGCTGGAGCGAGGTTAGGTTTACATTAGCTGCGACGTAAACAATAAACTCAAATCTTAAAACTTGAATTTAAAAAAAAAATAGGAAAAGCATATGTTTATAATTGAAATATAGAGCTTACATTTATATCCATAGGCCTATGTATACAAAACCTTAATAGCAAATTTGACGCATGTTGCGCAAACAACGATATATATAGCCTTTGCTGTCGCATTAGTCGCTAAATTCAACGATCATTTATTGCATAATAATTCGTCTTGTCTAGACACTACAATCTAACGTCTTACATTACAAGCAATAGCTAATAGCTAACTGTTTATACGTACGTTTTATATGGCAATTGAAAAGCTGAAAAATGCAAATACTTCCCCTCCGTGGTCCTCAGTGATATCAATCGCAAGGATTAGACCCCTGTCGCTAGAGGAGATGATTCAGGAGAGACCCTGTGTTCTCTCTGTGAGCCGCGAGAACAAGAAAACAAATGATATTTACAGTTGTATGATTACGAGACCTGAGAGTGAATACACAATTACTGTGTTGAGTGAGCCTCACCCATTACGTTTCACTGTAAATCACTGCTCCGATTCACGAGGTTTAGATTGCTCGTCTTATGATATTGGTAATGAGACCCTGCATGCCAGGTTAATGAAGCCATTGCTGCATAAGCAGAATGTCTGTCTGTTTGTCTGCGGGTCAACGGGCTCTGGAAAATCGTTTTCGCTGTATGGAACTAATCGTAGCCCCGGATGCGTGTCACTTGTATTAAAGCAGTACTTTGAAGCAGATGATTTTTTGGGCAGACGTTCTATATCCATACATACGCATCAATTCTTGCTTCAAAAGCAGCTGGGACGATTACCTGATGATGACTGCTTCGATGGTAATTTGGTGCATACGAATACATATGAAATCTCTACGTGGAATGACTTTATCCCATTAATCCCTTCACTAAAACAGGTGAGAAAGCGATGGAAGCTATGTTTATTACTAACATTATTTTGCAGCGTGAGATATATTATCCAAAAAAAGACGACTGCACATGGATTCGTCAAAGTACTTTCTTGTTTCAGCGAACAAACAAGATTACGACAAAACTAGTGGTTATCGAACTTCAAGAAGACGTTTTGAAACAAAAAATGTATAACAATCAGTGTCCTCTGGGCGACTTAAACACATATAGTTCTAGACTTGCTCAAGCTGTTGCTTCAAAAAGACCAGTATGTCTAAAGATGACCTCTAATATGGGTACTCACATCTACACGAATGACTACAACGAGATGCAACATCTACTCATCCTCTCCTGTCTCTCTCCCACTTCCTCTTATGATTCTGCACAGGTGCTCAACACAACACACCTCTGTGAAGAAATGGCACGATCAACGATGAACCAAAAAAACCTACTAAATACTTTTACTACGCAAGAAACGGATACTACAAACCAATTTTTCAAACCAGGAAAGCCCTCTATGGCTTACAGTGTTGAGACAGCCATTCGAAATGAAATACAAAAGTTAAACCAGTGTCGGCTTACTAAAACATAAATTACTCATAACGAAAATATCCATAAATATCTATTTTTCGTATACCCTTAGCATGGCATACAAATTGGAAACTTGCTGCATGTATGATTTTGCTGAGTCCATAAGTGCAGGTGAAACATTCGACAACAGGGTCCCAACCTTTTGAAAATACTCATCTGAGTATGTTGTCGCACCGTTGACTTCCGTCTGTTGTACCTTTGATTGAACGTAAGGGGTTGCAAGTTGAAACAACAGACAGATAAATACCTGGTCAAATTCGACTTGTGCCTTCAAAAACTCACTTTCTGATAACTCGTTCGTCTTTGTTTCTTCTAATGAAACAAACATTCGGAAGCCCAATGTCGCAGCTAGAATGCGTTTCATTTGCGGAGAAAGAATGTCCACGCCAAATGAATGAATGGAGCGCATTACCTTCCATAGAGTTTCCGAAGTTGTTTGATTTATAGCAATTAAATCAGAGGCTTCATCCCTTGTTTCTGGAATATCAGCCAGCTCCTTTTTCAAATCATCAGTGAAACTTTCCGTCACGGTGTTTTGCAGATAAGTGCAGAATTTATGGCATGCTTCCTCTTGCAAATCATCCAACTTTAAAACAGTTAATCTGCTCTTAATGTGTGAAAACTTGTATAATTGCCGAAGCAAACGCAAAAAGCGCACACTGACAGAAGGGATACTTTCCTTCGAAACTCTTTCCAACGAGCTGTGATACTGATTCTGAAGAGTTATGAAAAACAGTTCGAATGCATCGTTAAGTATACTGTCATAACGTTCACACAAACCAATAAACAGATTGGTGGAAGCAGATGGAGAGGATATGGTTGTGATACCCGAAAACTTTAAGCTTTGGATTTCTTGCAAAGCGCAATTTGTAGTCTCAAGTGAGTTATTGAAAGCGAAAAGCTCTTGATAAATCTTTGTTAAAGCATCATCAAAGCCCAAGACAGATGCAAAATGACCACGTAAACTAGTAAGGTTCCATTCAACCGTTTCGATTGAAAACGGAGCCTTGCTTTGGTGCTGGTAAGTCTCCAATACATCTGTACAAACCTTACACAAAGATTCCGTTGCACGACTCACCATATCGTTTATAACAGTTTCCAACTTTGCTTGGAAGGAAGAACGTAACTGAGAGTTCCAAAGTTCTTGAAACAATCCTTCATACTCCAAATCGATAGATTGAAAAAGTGAGCGTATAAGGTCAAGGTACTGCTGGAGTGATGAAAGCTTTTCAGTACTTTGTGGGGCATCGAGAAAGAGCGGTGGCGTAGAGACTTTCCAATTATTCAGCATTTGCTCCAACTTCGTTGTAGACATGCGTTCCGTTGGAATAGTTGGTATGTAACTGAGGATTTCCTCGTCAAAAATACGTCTATAACTTTCCGTAGGTAAAGGTCCAAGAGCTTGTAGAATCTCTTCATCTTTGAAAATAGTTTTTTCGTTTAACGAATGTCTTAGTCGCTCGGTTTCCTCTAAAACATCCTTATTACAGACATGACAAGTGTATAAGAAAGCTTGACAATTTTGAAGAAGATCGTCGCTCTCCCGTAATAAGCTGGTTTTTTTGTCAAGGTAGTATTGAAACGAGTCTTCCTCGGGAATTGAATTATATAGCGACCAGGCACACAGAAGAACGGCAGGTGGTTGTCGGGCACGGAGCTCAGTTTCAAAAGATTCATGGAACAGTTCATCCAAAGCTTGAAGACGAACTAAAAGGACTCGCTTCGATTCCTCATTTGTGTTTAATCCATTCAAATACTGACTCAAGAAACGATAAAGTCGAACAGCTGGCAAAAGCTGATGCTTGAGAAGCAGACTCCTCCCTGCATGAAAGCAATGCGCCAAAAAATTGAATGTGATATTTTTTCCAGGCACAGGGGCTACATGTTCATTCCAAACTTTCGACGCTGTACTCATTCCTTCCGAATTCACTTTGCTAAACATATCTGAAGCATTTTGTGTGATGTCTTTCAACTTGTCACTCACGTAAAACAGTCCCTCAGCTGCTTGTAAAAAGCTTTTATAGTTTAAACAGACCATTTGACGTAACTCAACCTGTTTCTCTTCAATCTCCTGCCGAAGGGATCTTTCATATTGCAATACAGCAGGAATTCTTCTGTTCATGAAAACCTGCTCCCAGAGATTGTTTCCATCTTTAATACTGCCCATTTGAGATATTGTTATACATAAAAAGAAGGGCGCGAAACGGGGTATCTATTAAGAATGAGGTTGTTTTTTCCAAAAAGTGTTCAAACTTCTTAATTAGCTTATACAACACTTCAAGCACGCTACAATATATGAGTTCGATAATTGATAAATGAATGTTAATGGACTGTATTGAATTCCAGTCCAGGGTATGTTGTCTGTGGCTAGAAATGATTTTGGTGTCGAGAACTTCGCGGGCAAATTGCATTAAGAGAACCCAGCTCCCCAGCTCGACCAAAAAAAAATCAACAATTCCGTTTTATAGACCCTAGATTTGATTTTGTTTCATTTATAGACAACTGCTGAATCATTTATCATATAATTACAGATTTACGGCATGCCGGCAGGAGAATTACAAAACGAAAACCCTCAAATTAAGTCAAGCCATTGCATTCCAAAAAGAACGAAAATTGCTGGACCTGATGAAGTTAACTATTACGCTGGATTAGATCCAATCGATGGAATGGGCATAGTGGAGTCCGCTGAAGATTCTACTTCTGAACCATTTGATGCACAAGAAGTATTTGGTAAGCACGAATATTCACAATTTCTGCATAGGAGATTTAGGTCTTTATTACGATTATTAACCAGGTTAGATCTACTAGCATCGATAAATGATCCCGAACATCCCCTGACACTTGCACAATTGTCGGTGGTAAATTTGAATGACATTGAGGTCGTTGACAATGGACGTGATTCCTCGGTAACGGTTCACATTACGCCAACGATTCCTCATTGTTCTATGTGTACACTAATTGGACTATGCATTCGAGTTCGTTTGCAACGTTGTCTTCCTCCGAGATTCCGAGTTCATGTCTATGTAAAGAAGGGAACACATGCCAGCGAAAACCAAGTCAATAAGCAGCTTAACGATAAGGAGCGTGTTGCTGCAGCTTGCGAAAACGAGCAATTGCTCGGTGTTCTCAACGGAATGATGTCTTCTTGCGCTTAGTATTCACTTCTCGGTTTTGTTTTGTTTGTTTTGTTTGTGATGGAGTCCTTCAATTCGTTAAGAGTTTGGGAAAAATGAGAAAAGGGATGGGGTGAGATAATATAATAAAAAGTTTTTTTTTCTGCGGTCGTAAACAATTTAACATTATAGCTCGTTTAAAGCGTATTCTTTTAACATTGCACCTTCACTGAGAAAGGTCAATCGGTAGATATGACTGGGTTGTAGTGGGATGTGAATGATTTCTGATGAGGGAATGTTTCTAAAAAAGGCATATAGAACCTTGATCACATATGGAGAAGCCATCATAACAATGTCACCGGATTCATGTTCAAGCTCTAGAAGCAGTGATTCCAATCGAATCGCCAAATCACACAGAGATTCTCCATTAATAAAACGATAGCGGTAGGGGTCTTTTTGAAACAATCCGTATTCCACTTCCCCAAGTCGTTCTTTTAGAGAGTCAAATCCAGTATACTCGTCAAGCGGTACTGGAGACAGCTCAATGCGTTCGTTTACTTTAAATCCTCTTCTGGAAAGCTGACTAATGTATTCTTGTTCCAGACACGGCGGAATGTAAAGGGAACGCCTATGTTTTGAGCTTTTCATTACGCCGATAGCGCGTGAAAGAGTGTCAACAAATGCAGTACTATCAGTAGCCGACAAAAAATCGCACAAAGGGTATTTCAAAGCAGGTGATAAAAGCAAGTAAACGGCTGCAGTGCTGTGACGAATGTTAATGAGTAAGAATAAAATACGAGACTGTATGGTCAGAAATATGCGATGAAAAAGCACTTTTCACTTACAATTAAGTAGCCGCTATTACTCTCATTTGTTATCACATGTTCAGAGTAGTTTCGAAGTTTAACATAAGAGTATTCAATTTCATCGACTGGCTCATACGTCTCAGAAACTGCTTGTACTCGTTTGTTGTAAAGACTTGATGCAGTTTCGTAATCCATATTTGTAATCTAATTCAAAGATTAGTCAGAAATAATAATATTCACGCGTTGAAAACACGTACCTTTAGCAACCGTTTTATTACAGTCGCAATATTATCATTTATGATGTTCGTATCCGTGCACATACTCTCAATCAATAAAACTTTTATACCTCGTTTAGTGAATAGATTAACGAGTTCTTTTCTTCGTTTCTTCGTTCCATTAATGTCGTCAAAAATGGCAACTTGTCCATTTTGTTTGTACAAAAACTCGTTGATATCCGTGAGGCAATTGTTAACGTACTTTTGATAGTACCGGTGTTCATGTAAGGCTGTATATTTGTTAGTTCATGCAGCAGAAATCCGGACTCATGTATGCTTACTGTTAGGATCTTCATAAAACTTCATAGAAAAACCACTGTTAAAGCTCTCAATGTACTCGTCCACTCGAAAAACATCACATTGAACGCCCAACCAACTCAAATACCGTGCTAGCAAGCGAGCAATTCGAGATTTTCCTCGAGCAGGAAGTCCGGCCATAATCACAACAAGCTTTCCTGCATGATATAGTAAACCATTCTCTGTCGTATAAATCTGAGCACCTCCACGAGGAGAATCGAATGAAATTTCCGTCGAACTATTGGTAACCCGTTTCATTATGTAGAGAGTGAAAGTTCCAGGTGTTCAGTATTAGAACACGTAAACTGTCTGTAACGGGAAATATGGAAAAGAAAAAGGTAGGGTGTAACGAAGGTTCCTTTCGGTTCTGAAACTAATTTACGGACAGGAATGAGTAGCAAGCAATAAAATGTGATTGCGACCTCACTCAATATGTACAAGTCCAAACAATACAAATAAAACAATCAATGCTCAAAAACGACGTTACAGAACGTTAATTGAGTGAGAGATAGAGGCATGCAGCTATTACAGGACCGTTGGGATATAAGCTGACGTATGACCACGTTCAGGTGAGGGTCTCGAAGGCCACTCATACCCCGCTATAGAAGTAATTAATCGGCCGTCAGTTCGAGGATGTAATGAGCAATATGATGAATGTAAAAGTAACGCGACAAAGGACATTCCCATGATTATTGAATAGTATATACTGAATCATTCATGTCGAAAATTAAGGATTTGGTTTTGTATGAAGTGAGCGTATATAGACGGAGCACAAGAGCCTTCGAGACATTGTAATCACACTTAGTTAATAAAAAACTTTGCTAATACTCTATGTCCATTAGGTTTCAATTCAAGTCATTGCTTGTGCAAGGATTATTACGTTTTTTTCCATTTGAAAGTTCCCTATAATGTCATTTCTTTTTCCTCACTCCATTCCAAGAGACCGAACGAAGCCTTCATCTAAATTGTTTTATTCAAATTGGATTATTTATGCTATATTTGTGATAAGAAGATCAGCGGCTATAGTATAGAACCTGTTTAAAAGATAGTAAAACGACCGTTAGAAGAAATTCTTTCTATTAAAACACGCATTCCGACTCTCACCATTTCATCCTTCCTTAACTTGACATGATCGTAAACGATTCACATAAATTCAATATACACTATTATCACTACATGAGTGAAAATATGATTAGCGGCCGCCTTAAAGCCACGTGTTGAGCAGTTTTCGCTAATTAGTTTGATTCGTCCAAAAATCGCAAATGCGAAGAGCTTATTGAGCTTACTTGCGAAGAGGTGTGTCCATGAATAATTTCTTTCCAGGTCCGGGAGGATAACGTTCACCAATGACTTCTGCTTCTTGACAAGCTTCGCGGATCTCATCGACAACTGTTTGGGGAAGTTTCACGTTTATAGCACCAAAGTTCTCATCGAGATACTTAATGCGTTTGGTGCCAGGGATGGGCAATATATCGTCACCTTGAGCAAGCAACCAAGCCAAACTGAGCTGTCCAGGAGTAATTCCCTGTTTTTCAGCAATTTTTTCAATCTTCTTCACAAGCTCAAGGTTCTTGTAAAAATTCTGTTTCTGGTACCGAGGAGCGTTCCGACGGAAATCGCCCTCAGGGAAATCATCAGGCGACTTGTAAGCGCCAGTCAAAAATCCACGGCCCAAAGGAGCGTAACAAACGACGGTGATATTGTTCTCACGACAGGCCTTCAGCACGCCAATTTCAGGACGCTCAATTTCGAGAGAGAAAGGCGAGTACTCGACCTGAACAGCGCTCAAAGGGTACACCTTGCAGGCACGACGGATAGTGTCTGCACTGCACTCGGAGAAACCAATGTAACGGATTTTACCCTCCGCAACCAGTTCCTTTAATGTTTCCATAATGTCTTCAACAGGAGTTTCGCCCGAAAAACGATGGACATAGTACAGGTCAATGTAATCAACACCGAGACGCTCTAACGAAGCATCCAACGCCTTGCGAATGTACTCGGGTTTGTTGTTAATAGACGCGACACCCGTCTCCGGATCCTTGTAATATCCAAACTTGGTGCAGAGAAAGATTTCCTTCCGACGACCCGTTGCCTTGAACCAACGGCCCATACACTCTTCGTTCGCTCCAAAACCATACATATCAGAGCTATCCCAAAAAGTGCAACCCATGTCGGCGGCATGAGTTAAGATTGCCTGGTTCGCTTCTTCTGTAGAAGGTCCATACATTGCGTGTAAGCCCATTGCGCCAAATCCAATGGCCGGGACCACATCTTTGCCAATCTTGCGTGTAGGGATGCTCATTCTATATTGCGTTTCTGTGTTTCGTACCTGTTCGACCCTTTGACCAGAGCCTTTATATACAGTTCCTAAGCCGACAAAACTGCAATGAGGAGCAACCTTAGGGGCGAAAACTAGGCTCCTTAGCATCGGCGCTATCGAAGCATTCGTTGCTTACTGCTTATCTAAGCATGACTAAACAGCGTATTACGAAGTTTAATGAAAATTAGCGCATTGTTTAGACGCACGTTATTTACTTTTAAGAGAATGCATTTCATAGCCGTATGACATTTACCGAATCATAACGATAAGTTCCGTATTACACAACAACTCATTGATCGCCCATCTTACCCCCACTAACCACTTACTGCCTAGGTGGGCTACATGAGGACGGGAACGAGCCTAAGGTAGGGCCAAGTAAGACTCAGTCACCAATCCCAGGCCCATGCCGAATCCTCTGGAATGAGCTTGCCTCGGCGTAAACCAGTGATAAAACGCAATAGAAAAATTACTTCTTGCAGAGAGTGTCACAGATTAAAAATTAAAGTACAGAAACGCGTCGAAACGGGTTCATTTAGCTAACATTTAGTGCGACCGCGTCTGGCCTTGTTCAACATGCAGGAAGCGGGGATTTGCAGATATTTGTCCTGATGGAGTAACAATCTATGTGAGGTTTGTTGAAATCAAGCGCGTACTACCGGGTTTCGTGATGTTTTTGGAGAATTGACCTTTTAACTCTCTTCAGTGACAAGTCGGTCCGGACGTTATTATCGAGAATCGATCAACTGGAACAATTTGTTAGTGTACTGGCTCAAAAGAATCCCTCTGTCGATGTTCCTCCTGTCTCGGAAATCGATGCTCGAACATTGGCACAAGTCCGCGAACGATGTGCTGCCCCTCCTCCTGGGCTGTTTGAAGCAGCTTCGTCTATGTCCTCAGAAACGGAGGACAAGGCGCCGGCATCCGTTACCTCGGTGAAGCTGGAAGATGTTGCAAGTGTTAAGGAGGGCGAAAGTAGAGAGAAGTCGGAAGACGTAGAAGAAGAAGCAACAGAAGAGGAGGTTTCTCAAATGCTGGGTAGACTAAATATCCAGCCAGACGGGCGTGCATGCTATTATGGTGCTTCCTCAAGTCGATCATACTTGTCAAATATTGATACCAGTTCTGATGATGACGAGGACTCAGACCACAACCCGCAATACAAGTTTTCTGGATGGTCGTATCCCATTCTTTCGCCGCTTATGTTTGAAAAAAATAACATGCATGTTCTATGTGATATGCTGCCAGTACCCCAATACAACCATTCGATTAATGCAGCTATACTTTGACAATGTTGATTGGAATTGCCATATAATTCACAGACCTTCTTTTGAAGAGCAGTGCTTGATGTTGTACACACAGAACTCTTCTATCAATCCACAGTTTTTGGCACAGACATATGCCGTGCTGGCTTTGGGCACCTTGTACACGTCGCCTTCTGCTGTAAATAATCCCAGACGATTGGCACACGCATTCTTCGTACGGGCAGACTTGTGCTTGCAAATATCTCGGTACACCTGGCACTCGAGTTTGTATTCGGTAATTACTCTCATTCTAATGGCTCAGTACAGCATCTCTTGTGCTCGTTTGGAGAATTCGCATTTCGCATGGAACGCTATTGGCACGGCTGTGCGACTTGCTACATCTATGGGCCTTCACCGTGATGGTGAGGTTTTTCAACTGACACCGTATGAACTACACATACGCCGGCTTGTGTGGAGAGAATTGCTGTTTTTCGATCGATTACAGTGTTTGGGTCTCGGTCGCCCGTATTCTATTTCCTCATCACAGACTAATGTTTATGCTCCAAGCAATATAAACGACATTGAGATAATGCCGGACAGTCCATTCATTCCAGAACCAGTCGATATGAACACGCGTACGGACGCTAGTTTTACGGTTTTTAAAAGCAAACTTTCGCCCGTACTTGCCCTTATTTTAGACCGAGCTTTTCGGTTTAAACCCTCTTCTTATACTGTTGTTAAGGAGCTGACGGAAAAGATTCGCGAGGTGGAGAACGACATACCTCTTTGGGCTCAGAACCTCAATGCATTGGATGAAAGTTTGACGCACTCGCAGGTGATGGAGGCACACTCTATGCATGTTCTCGTGCAGCAGATTTATCTGTATCTTCATCGGCCTTGGTTTGTGCTCGCAATCACAAAGCCAGAGGATAGGAGTAAGTATCAGGAATCCATCACCATATGTACACAACAATCACATGCTCTTGTCATGACTTTGTGCTCAATGCTTTCTCGAGTGCCACCCGGGCCATGCAAATGGTGGGTATTTCGCTTTCACTCATTGAATGCTGGTGTCATTCAGGGTTCTTATGCGCTTTGCTTTCCCAAAAACCGGTATGCCTTTACCGCTTTTGAGGACCTGCAATACATGTGCCAGATTTTCGAGCATATTCGTGGGACAAGTTCGATTACTGCGAAGGACCTAAAATTCATGGTTCAACTAAAAGATCGTGTATATCACACATTGCAAATGTCTTCACAAGGGCTTTCCACACTTCCATCACTTGATGATATTCCTTTCCTGCACTTCAACACGCCAAGTTCACGGAACAATAGTCAATCACCAAAAAGTGTTCACGAGACAACACCCACGGAAGTGGAAGATACAGGGATTGAACGGATGCTGCCTCCGTTTGAGCAAGAAAATCCTATGCTGTTCAATTCAACCGCATGGCGTACGGGGACAACGACGACGCTTCAGGTACAGGGTCAAGAATACTACTCTACAATGTTATCAAATCGTCCGGCTCAGAGATTCCCGTATGAGAAAACAGATGCACTAAACACGCCTCCTCTGCCGACTCAACCCAACATTCCAATGAATTCATCCCGGCCAACCGGTGCGTCTAACCTTCCCGCTAATGATTCCAATTACGAGTTTTGGACCTCTGCCTTGAACGAACTAGGTATGTAACGTTATCCCGATGCTGTTGCTACCCTTTCCAACACACTTGGGTAGTACCAATCATTATTTATTCCTTCTTCTCTCGGCAAACCCACTCTCTTTTCTGTTTCCCTCCGTCTGGTTTGTCTCGTGTGAAAAAAACAACTTGCACCTTCCTTTTTTCCTCCTTGTGCATGTTTCCGTCCACTGTCTCTTTACATATAACTATATACGTGAGAAGGGGTTAACACGCAATGACTGGTAAACGCCTTGTTTTGACGTCTGCACTTTCATCTGCACAAGTGCCCAAAGCAAATGAACGCCAGCAATCACGCCGTCAATGACTGAAACATTGTCGCCGACGGCTTTACGCACAATATCTCCCATATTCGCCATACCAGCACAACCAAGACAAACAACATCCGCACCACCATCCTGAACAAGACGTTTGGCGCATTGTGCCAATGACTCTTCAACCACTTCTCGACTTTTGGACTCCAGCTCGAGCGGTGTGAGACCAGTTGTCTCCACACCTACAAATACAGTGTTATCAATTCCCATGGCCCGAACGCCATCGGTCAGAAGGTTGTCGTATCGTTTTGTCGTCGTTACAATTCCTATCCTATGGCCAACGCTCAATGCTGTAAGAATGGATGCTTGCATTATGCCTAAAACTGGCTGGTGCACGCATTCCCGCAATGAGTGAACCAGTGGATGATCTGAGTAACAGGCCACGAGAAACGCACTGTACTTTCTCTCGAGCTCCTTTGGCTCCGGCAAATTGCTCATAACGACATTAGCTGATCGAATCGCGTCCGTTACAGATTCAATGGAAGCAGGTCCCTCTGGCGGACATGTGTAATAATCTATGACTGTATCTGCGGGAGAACATTTGGAGAGTGTATCCCTCATGCAGTTTGTCATACTCTCTGTGCAGTTGGGATTTATTACGAGAATAGTTTTCATGATTGATCCTTTGTTGGTGCAACTGGGAGTTGTGCAGCTTGCTAAGTTGTCTTTATTATCTGTAAGGATACCGGATGCTATCTCTCTTCAATTTCTGACAGATTTAGAATTTCTTTTTTGGAAACTTGCTACTACAAAATCTATTACTTCACGCCTCTTCTTCTTCCTAACTTTCGGCCTCTTAAATTCGCGTTACCACGTTCCCCTGCATGCGACTATCTCCCTGAGTTTTCTACGAATTATAGAAGCAAGCGCCATTTCGGGTCAAGCTCTATCTTATCGCCACGACCTGAGGGTTTTCATCACGAATTTCAACGCTGACGAACACCGACAACGTCGGCGACAGAGCTGCACCGAGTCCCTTCTCCTACTCAGCTGCGCTTTTGTTACTGTGTAGGGTATACCTCCTGGTTAGCGAGTCGCAGCACTGTTCAACACCAACGCTACCGACATCTCGGTAGGCGTAACTGTCAATATAAAGGTGTGTATAGGTGTCCAGTAGTACATGGTAACACGGTCTTGGGCTACTTTTTTGCAAAAAGATCTGTTTACGAAATTTTCTGAAATTACTCATTTTTTCTTGTTTTTCTTCGTTTTATTGATTTCTTTCGCATTTGTTCTATCTGCCACTTTTTTCTTCGATTCCTGCGTCGTTTGTGTCTTGTAACGCAATTTAAAAAAGTCAGGCTCGGTTTATCGTTTTAAACTTTCATTTTTTTTGCAATTGTCGACTATTTGTTGACGTTTCTCCTGTTGGTTTTTCCTTTCCTATTTAATTGCGTTCTCTATGAAGATGGCTGTTCCAAACATTAAGCGAATTGATGTGACAGAGTTTGACCACATACTGGGTCAAAACACTGTAGATCTGGTTTGTGAATCACTGGGTGGGAGCGTGATTGCCTGCAGTGATGAGTTTTTCGCTGCAGCTAAAAACTTGATTAATGCAAAACCCCCAATTCGCAAAGAGGGGCACTTCGTGGAAACGGGTGCTTGGTACGACGGTTGGGAGACTCGTCGTCATAATCCAAAACCTTCCGACTGGGTGGTTATAAAGCTCGGCGTGCCTAGTGGACACGTTTTAGGTTGTGAGATTGATACTGCTTTCTTTAGTGGCAATCACGCACCGGAAGTGAGTGTCGAAGGCACTTTTGTGGCAGAGGGGAACACGGTTACGGCTCAGACGGAATGGATTCCCATTCTTCCTAGGATTGCCTGTGGACCTAGTCAGCGTCACATTTTTCAGCTACTCACACCTCCCTCCGAAAGCTTTACTCACGTCCGTCTGCAGCAGTATCCAGACGGCGGTATCGCTCGTTTCCGCCTGTATGGTACCGTGATTCCTGTCTTCCCTGTCGACCTGGAGGCGCGTATCGATCTCGCACACATGTACTCGGGAGGACTGGCTGTCCAGTGCAGCGACCAACACTTTGGTCGTCGCGACAACTTGCTGCTTCCAGGCCGTGGCGTCGATATGGGAGACGGCTGGGAAACAGCTCGTAGTCGTGTGCCTGGTCACACCGACTGGGTAATAGTGAAGTTGGGTGCCGAGGGATATATCGATGACATACTCGTCGATACGAATCACTTCAAGGGCAATTATCCAAAAGAGGTGTATTTGGAAGCTACGAATACTTCTGAACAGGTTCCGAGTGCTTCGTGTGTGTGGAATCTCATCCTGCCTGCTCACAAGTTAGGTCCTCATATGGAGCATACGTTTGCCCAGCTACAAAATAACAACATTCCCTACACGCACGTTCGCATGACCATTGTTCCCGACGGTGGTGTGAAGCGACTTCGTGTGTATGGACGCCGTGTCATTCGGTAAAAGCAACCTAACCGATAGTACTTTTTCCCTATGATCCGTGTACATGCTGCAATGATGAGAACACTCAGTGATTGTCTTTAACTGAAACGAAAACGACTAAGTCATTTTGTCTCTCCGTTTCTAACCAACAACCCCCTCCTTCATACAAATATAGTAAATGAATCCTGTTATTGTTCAGCCGTCCATATTGGTACTCGTGGGCCCCATCCGCACGCTTCGCTTTCAACCAAAGCCTAGCAGAGGAACAGCTTCACGTAACTGAGCATGAAGACTACATCACCACACACCAAGGCCAAATGAACAGACTACGCAGACCCCCTCCAACCCGCTTCCCCACAATTATTCCAAGCTGGCCCAAAGATAGTATTCCTATGGAAATGTCGTCTAGTTCTCGACGGCAGCAGCACCGCGGAGCAGACCGGTACGGCGGGCGGCAATAAGACCAACCTTTTGACCGGGGGCAGATCCACGGGGAACAGTAGAGGACTTACCAATGTGTTGATGGTTACCACCACCATGAGGATGGTCGACGGGGTTCATAGCAACACCACGAGTACGAGGCCAGCTGTTACGCTTGACACGGTACTTGTGGAAAGCACGACCGGCCTTAAGCAAAGGCTTGTCAATACGTCCACCACCGGCAACGATACCGACCATACCACGGGCAGCGGAGGGGATAACCTTCTTAGCACCAGAGGGCAACTTGACACGGGTCTTGCCAGTGTCAACGTCGTGGCCGACAATGATGACATAGTTACCGGAGGAGCGACCAAGGGAACCACGGTCACCAGTCTTCTCCTCAACGTTGGAGGCGATGGTACCCTCGGGCATCTCACCAATGGGCAAAACGTTACCGACGGTCAAAGCAGCCTTCTTACCAGCGTAGACGAATTGGCCGGTGTACATACCCTCGTTAGCGACGAAGGTCTCGACGTCGGTCTTGTAACGGTAAGGGTTACGGAAAGCAACCTTAGCCAAAGGAGCACCACGGCCAGGGTCGTGAATGATCTTTTGGACAACACCGCGGACGTAGCCGTGACGCTCAGCGTAGTCCAAAGTACGGAACTGAGCAGCGCCCTTGCGGAGGCGGGTGTGGGCTTGGAAAATTCCACCACTCTTTCTTTGAGCTCTAATAACGCGTCCCATTTCCGGTGTTGGATGGCGGTAGGAGTGTGGGTTTCGTTTGGGTACGATTATTCGCGTGACTGCGAATAGTACACTAGGGTAGGGTTTGGCTAATAAGTCGCGCTGGTATGTGATAGTGCACGTGAAAGCTTATTTCCGATTACAAGAGTGTCATTACATAGAAAAACAGATATGAGAAATTGGAAGCCGATAGTTTTAAGAGAACTACATACGAGCAGGAATTTCTGCACTTATGTAGGTCTGTGATTAAAAAAGTTGTCTTCCGTCTGTTCCAAACTAGCATACTAGATCCGTAGCTAATCCGATAACAATTGACTGTCAAATTAAAAAGTACAAACATAGATTGTATAGCAGAATAGTGCCAGATGTATCCATTGAATACGCTACTAATGGCTAGAACTCGGAAACGCTTGTTCTCTGTGAGTTGTTTAAAACTAGAAATACTTAACGCACCACGATTCAACTAAACTTCGCGTATCCCTTCTAGTGTTTAACTTTCCTTTCAGTAACGTTGTGTTCTTCACATAGGTGCAATATACGTAAACCCTAGGACTACGGTTCGCATCTTAATCAATTTCTCGCGAAACAATATTCATAAAATGAAACTTAACTATAAGGAAGAAGATGATGTAACTTTATAATTAACTCATAAAAGGACATTTCGATTCCCACTGTCCAATTCACCGTTTCTCCGGTTCTGTTTGACAATGTCGCTCTCCTTCCATTACTGTCTGCGTCGTCTGGATTGCCATCCTGGCAGTCCTCCTCTACATTTCTCACCTTTTGCAGCACAGTAGAGTTTCTTCTAAGCCATCGTTTTTATCACCAAAGTAAACGTCTTCATTGGAACAAATTTTGCGTATAGAAGTGTAAATTCTTATTTTTTTACGGTTTTCATTAGGGATTTGCATTTTTTTACATTTTTTAACAACATTTCTCGTCAACCCAGTGCTTCCAGCGTTTGCTAATCTTCTCTGGATTTTATTTCTTATTTTCTTTTTTCATTTTCCATTTATGAGTCGTATTGACAGTCGTAATTTAGCAAGAGAATTCAGCAAAGCCGCTAATTGTACACAAAAAGCTGCCTTAGCTTGGCTGAAGAGTTACGACTATGACTATCCACTGGCATTGGCTTGCTGGCAGGAAGTGAAGGAGCAAGAAGTTCGGGAGAAAAAATGCGACAAATTATTCGATCAGTATGCCTCAGCCGAGGACAAATCTACCATTGACTTGGACAACTCACTACAATTATTTGAAGATCTTGGTCTGTCCTTGGAGGATCCGGCGACTCTGCTTGTATCATACCTCTTCCAGTCCGAAAACATGGGCGAGTTTCATCGAGACGCTTTCGTAAAAAGCTGTCTTTCGCTGCATGTATGCAACATGGAACAACTGAAAAGCAGAGTAAGCGAGAAGAAGGAAGAGTGGAGCTCAAATGCTGAACTTGCTAAGGCCGTGTATCGTTACACTTATCCTCTCGCTTGTGAGAGGGGACAAAGAACACTCCCAACAAGCATTGCCATCGAATTTCTTCAGCTTCTATTGAAGGACTCTTTTCCACTACTCTCTGAATTCGTCGCTTTTCTTGAACAGTCACCAGTTGCTAACAAGACGCTTCCCAAGGACACATGGAACCAACTCTGGGAGTTTGCCGCGTTTGTTAGATCATGCCCGGACTGCTCTCAGTACGACTTTGAAGGTGCCTGGCCGGTACTCATTGATGAATTTGTTACCTATTTCAAAAACAAATCGTGAAACAATAAGTTATCTACCAACAGAGTCTAATGGTGACTACGAACTGCTAAATCTCCTTAATTAATATGAAACGCACTCATCGTTGCGTGGAGAGGCTACCAACGGCTTATAAAAGAAAATTACAATACTCTCTGCGCCTAGGCCTATTCCAATGGTAGCGAGGTTTATACGAGAATAAGACAAGCCACAGAGTACAAAAGGAAATGTTGACAGAAGGAAATAATAAAAGAGATAGGAACCGTATGTCGCGAATTCGGAACATACAGCAAGGGGGGAAAAGATCCGGAACAACTTTAGCCGCCACGCGATATTATTGTTTGAATATTTCGTCGTAGTCGGGGGGTGGAGTACCAATTATGTCGTTAAAGTTTTCAATGGATGCTGCCGGTGACAATGCAGGACTGGGTGTGTCGATTAATGTAGCCGTAATTGGATCAACGCAACGACAAGCTGCGGAATTATGAAAATGGGGTTCGTACGCTGGCAGAACTGTAGAACTCTGACAACAACGACAGGACATGATTATTATAGGTGAATCAATAAAGATTTTGTAGCTCTTGGGTTTCTCCGCGGGCCGTGCATCTTCCATTCTCGATAACAACAAAACTGTCCGCAAGGTATGCGTAATCTGATTTTAGTAAGGGGTTAGTAATCCATCTGATCCGTGTACTTGGAGCTTGACTTACCTTAATGTTTGGATATGTTGTGTCAAAGTTTACAATGTTTGAGGCCATATCATGGCAACCAGGTATCCGCACATAATCTTCAAACTCTAGGGTGTTTCCTGTCTTTCTGAAAATGTGCAGCATGTTTCCATCTTCATTCGTGGCAACCTTTTCGTACACCAGCAATTGCCGTGTTTTCTCTTTCCGATGTACTGTACGCTGTCGACAATAGTAATTCCTGCGCTCGATCAGAATTACATAAAGCTTCTGTAGCTTAATTTGCGCAAGGGGTGTAAATTTAAAAAGAATGGGTACCCGTTGCCCCATAACTTGACATTTTCCGGTGATGGATATTTCATAATGCAGGGCATTGTCCCAATTCCGAGACACAATAATGGGTTCTGAGGAAGCAATGCTTGCTGTTGAGAGCGAGCGGATTAGTTCAACTTTCAGACGTCCAGAAGCATTTGAAGCAAATGTCCCATACTTCTCCACAAACGGCTCCAGGTAATAGTAGACCATGCCCATGTCAGTCTGTATAGATTCCGGAAACGTACATGATATAGGAAGTTCAAATGCATACACATACTGACCAGGATAAAAGTGATCATGTGTCATCGTGTACTTCGACGTATCGGTATAGGTTGAATCAATGCTATGCCAAATAGCGCCATGGCTCTCAGGATCGAGTTTTTGGTCGTAATGATAAAACAGCCAAGAATGGTACATGATGTTGCTTTCTTCATACATGTCCGTGCGTTTTGGAGGAATTCCGTCCGGCCACTCCGTCCGTGCTTTTCCATAAAAACCAAGTTGAATCTTTTTCAGTCGAGATGTTTTCAGGACGTGAATACACATAGCGCCTCGAAGCACTGTAGACTTCTCGTCGCGACTTTCCGATGCACTTGCTCCCTGCAGATACAGTACAGGTTCGGCAAGTGAAATCGCTACTCGCATGCTGCCGGTCTCAGATACCAAAAGCCATTCGCGAGCCTTGTACTTTATCCCTTCACATTTTCGCAGCTTAGCCTCTTGGTAAAGATGTTTTGTGGGATCTGGTTGAGAAAGTCTGTCCGTCAAACGAATCACTGTGTCTCGCTTTTGCGTGACGTTCATCGAACCAAAAGACTTGTTACGACTCAATCCAAACATTGACATTGAAACTGAGTATACAAATGAGTAAGAACCAGTGGTTTGATCCTAGTTGCCGATAAACTTTTAAACAGAACACGATTTAACGAAAATATGAGAATAATTAAAACAATAAATAAAAAGCTGAAGACGGATTCTTAGCCGAGTTTCTCTCCAGCATCAATATGCCAGTCAAACAAACTTCTCCTGAATCCCGATATCACGTAGGCCGCCTCACAAGGGGAGCTAAGACGTGCTTCTTCGTCTAAATTACAACAACTATTGTCAAGAATCTAAATCGCCAAAAACGATCAAGATCAATCAAATGCAGCAAATAAAATGAAAAACAATGATCAGTAAATGAATATAGAGAACTGTATATACACGGTTTTGAGCTTAAGAAAGGCGTTGTCGGAATGCTTTCTTTAAGGTGGTGGTGCTACATATGACTGAATATCATGAGAACAAATGGGAGACAGAAGTGCAGGACCCTATCGTTTAGAAACAATCCCCTTCTGTTCTTCGTAATAGTGTCGTTATTCTGCTTTATTGGGTATTTTCCTTGGTTTTTGTAAAATTATTGCTATGCTGAATAATATTTCTATTCGTATTGATATGTTACATACAATTTATATGGAACCAATTTTTACCTTGCGATCGTTGTTTGAAAAAAGCGTAATTGCGAAAAAATGTGTCAGGTGTTAACCAGGGTGTACGGGACGACGTTTGAATTAAGTTATCTGTTTAATCAAAACGAACTCGAAACGCATCTGCGTAAAAAGGAACCAAAAAATGCATCCTTCGCATTTATTTTTTACTCGCTTACTTCGTTGAACTAGCTAGTCTTCTTAATAACAAATCATCCCCTCTCAACTAGTGGTAGACATCGTAGTTTCATTAGGAACGTCTCCTTAATATTTTATGATGCAGCCCTCAAGCTGTATATTGGAGAGTCGACGTTCCATATTCGTAGCCCGATTCTTCATGTCTGTGAAAAAGTCGCGGGCGTATTTACACATTCTCGTGTCCCTAGTCGCTTCCTCAAGACGTTGGGTTTGCTGCTTGTGCTGTTGCTGAAACAACCGACGGAGCTCTTCGAGGGGAAAGCCTAAAACCTTTCTTGTTTCTAAACTCAACCAAACGCTGGTATTGTGAGTAAAATCGGAACGGCGCAGAGAGCGATGTATTTTTCGAGAAAGCTTCATAGGCAGTGCCCGGGGTATGTCATGAATGATATAGGCAAGAAATGCCGCAATAGACAGTCCAGCAACTGGGATAAACAAACGCGCTGGATTGATGTTTTGTAATGAAGAAATGACAGGGAGAGCAACTCCAGTTACACTGGCATAGCTGAGGAGATATCTTCCCAAAAGTAAACCCAACGTGCTCAATGAAGCACCCCATGTGCCAATGCGTTCGGTTACGTCCAAGTCAATAAAGTCAAGAATGTCGATGTCAAAGACAAAATGTTTCTGTAGCTGCAGCTTATGTGTTTTAGCAAACATATTCTTTGCCTTAAATCTAGGCGCCAAAAAATTAGGGAAATACTTTAAAGTCGTAGAGTGAATCCGTTGGACAGTTGCCGTCGTTTGTTCGCGAGAAAAATCTTCACATAAAATGAGTTTTTCTTGAAGGTAACTACGCATGTTATCCCGCACCTGCAATGCATATTGATAAGCGAACAGAAAACCAGGATATTTTATATGCGCGCACGTATCTAAGCTGTCCAATGCATCCTGCAACACAACCCGAGTGTGTTTCGAGACATCATTCACCGTACTCTCAACCAGCTCCTCTGTCTCACTAAGAACTTGCGATCGATTACTTTCGGTCTCTTCAAGTTGTGGTTTTGCTTTATCAATAGTTTCGGAAAGCTTTTCAGCGAAGAGCTCCAAACGTTCCAAGTTTTTTTCTGAGATTAACAAGCAATCGGCAGTAAGATTCATGAGATACTTGCGTACAGGCGCTAACTTGCTCTTGGAGCGGTTTTCGAGTATGAATGATCGTAGCGCAGATTCCATTGTTGAAAATGCCTGTTTTTGCTCTTTCCCAAAGTCACTATCAGCATCTTGTTGCAAAGATTTACAACTGATGAAATGAATTAAATCATCAGCTTCGTTGTAGGTTTCGCGAGAAAGACCTTCTATTTGAGACAGAATGATGCGTTTGCAACGCTGTTTGTCACGAATATTGTCAAACTTATTAACCACAATAAATATGTGAGACTTTTCTACCGAAGCATTCCTCAGAAATTCAGTTGCGGAAAGCGTAAAGTGATTTTCAGCATTCACAACAAACACTATCACATCAATCTCTTCCTGACAAGCGAAGACAGATGTTGTCTTCATTGAATCAGTATTCAGACCAGGGGCATCAATGAGTGCGACATCCATAATTCCATTGTGAAGCAGACTCTCACAAGCCGGTCTTCCGTCGTCAATATACACCTTTAGCATACCCCAATTGTCCGTTTCATAAACCAGGGTTTGCAATGCTGATATGGGAAACACAGTATACGTTTTGGGATCGCTTACTGAGTATGTACAATTATGGGCGATTGCATGCACTGCTTCCTGATTTCCATTCACGCTGGAGTCAAGTACTTCACAGAATACCTCCGTACACGGTTGTTGATCTTCAGGTAAAATCTTTCGTCGTACAAGAGAATTACAGAGCGTTGACTTTCCAGCATTCAGGTCACCAGTAATGAGGACTTTAGAAGACGTGTCTTCTACACGGTTCAGTAGTGCTTGGAGATGACGGATAACCTTGCTTAATTTTGAACGAAGAATTCGACTGGAAATCTCTCCAATTTTAGAGGAAACATCGTCCATATGGTCCCGCTCTACATCAATATCAAGCTCGGTGTCAAGAACGAAGAGCCTTGGTTCTTTTATTACATTCTTGTCCTCATCGTTTTTTGTGAAATGTGCATTTGTCCAAAGGTACGGAGCAGCGTCAGAATAATCGTTTAAATAGTCAAAAAGCTTTGACAGTAGTTCAGTTGAAGAGAAGATACATTGAACAAGATATTTTTTGTTATTATTGTATTCGAATTCTTGTTGTTTGGTAAACTCCGTTGAAACATCCTCACTGAAAGGCTGAATAGGCTTATGAGTAAGTTTTGGTGAAGAAACACTTTTTACTACTGGATTGGGGTCTGGATTCATTGAGTCTGACTGCTTTTTCCAGCTGTTCTTCCATAAACGTAAGTAACCCAGCCTAGAGTTTGGATCTGCCGAGGAGAACAGTTACGGTCTGCAGAAACATATGGGTATTCCAAACAGAAATATTGCAACCAATTGGTAGAGAAAAAGAGCGAAAATGAGTGTGTATTGAAACTATGTAGTAGCTAAAAATATGGAAGAGATGTATTATTACAGACAAGACCTTTTCTCTCCAAGTATGTATAGTCAAAATAGTTTCTTTATGTGGAAACATAAATAGGGGCAAAAATATGTTGAGTTTCAGAACCGATTGTTTTTAGTCATAAAGATTTCACAGCAGTTCCAAGTTCGGCCGAGAGATTCTGAAGAATCTCCGAGTACATGTTTTCTAGATCAGTCATGAGGCGCTTAGGCTCAACAGGTTGAACGGACTGTGGGACAGCACGGATCCCTGCGTATTTCACAGTCCAGTACAATTCACCTAAAGAAGTTGGATCAGCAATAAAATTCCTCAGGTTGCTGAAAGCGGATTTTTCTTTTGCAAGATCGGCAACAGAAGCCATTAAGGTTAGTGAATCCTTACTAGCGTTCCGATCACTAGCACAAGTCGATAACGAATCATCAAACGGCTCAGATGAAGTATGATTCATTTGAACGGGTTTAGTGCTTTCAGAAGGCGTTGATGCCAACTCGGGCCAAGGATTCACATTGTAACTCGGTCGAATAGCAGCAATAAATGCTTTTTCAGAAATAACTTCGGAGGTAATCTGGGATCTCCTACTTAGAGTCGAGCCAGCTATATTATCAAACTCAAAACGATCACTGACATTACGTTTGCCAGGTTCAGTATCTAAAGGGGTTTTGTACCGCTCCAGTTCATCAGGACTCAACGGGGAAGAAACTAAAGACTCGCGACTGGATAAGTAATTATCAATTGTCGATTCGTCTTTAGAGAAACGATAGTCATGCTCATTTGGTATATCATGCTCAGCGAGTACAGGTGATGAAACAACTTCCTCTTGCTGAGGAACAGTTGCTTCTAAGGTGTCATCTGTGATCTGAGATAACCTACTACCATTGAGCGATTGTCGGGTAAGGGAATGAGAACGTTGACGGGATAAGATTTGAGGGCTCGGAGTCCGAAGAGATAGTCGCGAGGATGGAGAGGGAGATGGTGCTTTTGGTCGAACCGTTTCCATGACCGTAACATCATCGGCTGAATGACCAAGCGATATTCCTTGATGAATTTGACCTTCAAGAGGAAGCGAAGAAAACGATGCGTTTTGCATTGTTTTCAACGAAACACTAGGCATAGGTTCCAATCGATTACGCATAACGTGTAATTCATGCATAGTCGGTCCGTTAGTGGATGATTCGTCTTCAGAAGCCGTATCAAGTACAGAATAATATTCGTTTGTAGTTGCCTCATCTTCCGATTTCGCATCTGCAAAGTCCGCATCACCTTTTGTATCATTCTCAACTTCAAGTTGAGAATCTTCTTTGGCCGTGAGCAGGCTATCGTCAGTTTCTTCAAAGGACTCATAGAGCGGACGAGTAGCATTGCATTCGGCGTCACCGTCGACATTATCTGCTACCTCCTCACTACTATCACTAGCGTCCGAACGAGTCGAGGAAGACGTGGAGGATAGCCGTTCATCTATAAGCAATTCATCTGCCCGTGAAGAGACAGTGTCCGGCGAGTCAGATATGTTTGTGTCTTTTTCGAGTACTTTACCATCGTCAGTTTCATCTTTGCTGTTTTCAAGAGACTTGGTAAATGAAGCAGTTTCGTTGGTGCTCCCTTCTTCAATCACGACTGAAGTAGGTTCAGCAAGGGCTTCTTCCACCTCAATAGTATTCTCCTCTTCTGCCACGCGTTCCACGTCTGAATCTGAAGAATGCTTATATGAGAACTCAATCAAAATTCCGTTTTCAGCAACCGTACGATTCACCAATTGCTCGTAAGCATCTTCGCCATCTGAAAGTTTAGAAGTACTTTCGTCGTCACCATTCCAGCTGGGACTACTGTCGCGGCTATTAATACTAGGGCACGAGAATGCAACGTGACGATTGCTGCTGCGTGGTTCTCGTTTTCGTATGTCTACCACTGTGTCGAACTCGTTATTCGCGGGCCCTAACAGTTCTGTATTTTTGTACTTATTCAACCGAGCAAGTCTTTCCGTAGGAGTTTCAACATACTCTGCGGGAAGGTAACCAATGGATTCATCTTTAATAAGCTTGACAAGCCACCAGTAGCTATTAGAATCATCAAGAAGAACCATTACATCGCCCTTGATCGCATTCACTTGACCTTCGACAGTAGCTTCAAAACTTCGTATAGCGTAAACATAGTTAAAGTCAATCACCTGCAAACATGTTAGTATGCTGTACACGCTCATCTTATGTTTGTGTAACGAACATCTTCATGAATTGATGGAGAAGAACTCAGCTCTGCTTCAAACATAGCGATGGCGTCGTCCTCATCAACGTAGCTATCATCATCGTCGTCAGAATACGAAGCGTCCGAAAACCTGTCATCACCATCTTCAGAAGAACGCCGGTCTTCATTGGCAATGTTATCGGTCATTTTTTATGCAATGGCAAGTTAGCCGTAAACGCGAATCACACAGGAAAAAGCTTATTTGTGTTAAGAGTACCCAAATTAAGTCCAAAATAGCTCAGTACCTATATAGTCAAAAGAGATACAAAAGCTGGATTTCCGCAGTAGGACACATAAAACCTAGAATGAAATAATGCCGAAATTTTAGAAAAGGCGTAAGCCACTACTAGTGCGATAACCGAAATCCACTTAGTCTTAAGGTTTACTTGTTCAAACGCATTGGCTGCACCGTTAAGTGTCAATTCCACTAATTCAAGCAGTCAATTCAATGCTCCTTAATCCACTTAATCCGGTATAGGCGAAGGAGAAGTGCCTTCCCGCACCTGCATTAACTCAGTGTGATTCATGCATTGTTACCCGGATGTTACTTCCCAAGTCTGAAGCTTAGTAGGTTACTTCAAGGCTCGGTGAACCTACCCTCTGCCAACACATCATTGGCGCAAGAAACTAATTTATGGGCAATTGCTTATCTTGTTGCAGCAGTAAGTGCGTGTGAAGAATTCATTTTAACTTGAATTGCGCAGGAAAGGGCACAGACGAACCATACGAACCGTTGCTTGCGGATCGAGAACGGGAAGCTGTGGCCGACCTTTTGAGCTTTCTCGAAAACGTACGTGATAAACGGATTATTCATGTGGCTACTAACCTGTTGCAGAGAAATGAAGTAGATTTTTATAGTGCAGAACCGCTTAGAGCGCTTACAATTTTGGCTTATTCAGACAACATTGATCTCCAGCGTTCAGCTGCTCTAGCGTTTGCTGAAATAACCGAGAAAGGTTCGTTTATGCCAGGAATGGCCGAATATGGCTTGCAGCTGGCTATGAAAAAATTTAATGCTGAATTTGTTTTGGGTTAGAGACTAATGGAGTTTTAGATGTTCGAGAGATCGATCGTGATACAATTGAGCCTGTTCTATTTCTTCTGCAAAGTCCAGATGCAGAGATTCAAAGAGCTGCTAGCGTTGCTCTTGGAAATTTAGCTGTAAACCCGGAAAACAAAGCATTGGTAGTTAGGTTGAACGGATTGGAATTGTTAATTCGCCAAATGATGTCGCCTCATGTTGAAGTACAGTGTAATGCTGTTGGATGCATCACAAATCTGGCTACTCTGGATGAAAACAAATCAAAAATTGCACACTCGGGTGCTCTGGGACCACTAACGCGTTTGGCGAAAAGCAAGGATATCCGCGTTCAGCGTAATGCAACCGGAGCATTACTAAACATGACTCATTCAAAGGAAAACAGACAGCAGCTTGTCAACGCGGGCACAATCCCTGTGCTTGTCTCTCTCCTACCGAGTACAGACACGGATGTTCAGTATTATTGCACAACTGCCATCAGTAATATTGCAGTTGACGCAGAACATCGCAAAAGACTTGCTCAAAGTGAACCAAAATTGGTACAACTGCTTATTCAGTTGATGGAGTCCGCTACGCCCAAAGTTCAATGTCAAGCGGCGCTAGCTCTTCGAAATCTTGCATCGGATGAGCGCTACCAAATTGAGATTGTACAAAGCAATGGACTTCCTTCTCTTTTACGCTTGCTCAAGTCCTCCTACCTTCCACTAATCCTTGCCTCAGTCGCCTGCATTCGAAACATATCCATTCACCCGCTTAATGAATCTCCTATTATTGACGCTGGTTTCCTTCGACCTCTTGTTGATCTTTTATCGTGTACGGAAAACGAAGAAATTCAGTGTCATACAATCTCTACACTACGAAATCTTGCTGCCAGTTCAGAACGAAATAAACGAGCCATCATCGAGGCAAATGCAGTTCAGAAACTAAAGGACTTGGTGCTTGATGCACCGGTAAATGTGCAGAGTGAGATGACCGCCTGCTTGGCGGTGCTAGCTCTGAGTGATGAGTTTAAACCTTATCTTCTTAATTCTGGCATATGCAATGTCTTGATTCCCCTTACCAATTCGCCTTCTATTGAGGTTCAAGGTAATTCCGCCGCTGCTTTAGGTAACCTTTCTTCAAACGTAGCTGATTACAGTCAGTTCATCGAATGCTGGGAATCACCTGCTGGTGGCATTCACAACTACCTTGCTCGGTTTCTTGCAAGTGAAGACACTACGTTTGCTCACATTGCTGCCTGGACAATCGTACAACTTCTGGACTCCAAAGTCCTGCGACTGAAAAACTTGCTACGTTCCAGCGAAGACATCATCCAACTGTTAAACGAAATTGTGTCTCGGGACGTGAGCACAATTGAGTACGAGGACGGCGAAGGCGATGTAATCCTTCTTGCTGGTCGCGCGCTTCACCTTATCGACCAGAGCACTGAGTCCTAAAAACAGTGGACAAAAACCCCGTATATTTTTATTAGTGGATGCTTTTAATTATCTAGGGACGTAATGACATGAGCTGCAAATATAGAAAAAGGAAGGGAACGGAACGGGATGTAGATGGAGGAGCGCGAGCTCATGAGCCTGCGAGCAAAAGCGGGACAATAGATAGACGGATGCTTGTAATCAAAAGTAGCAAAAGTCAAAGTTGAACTGGAAAAAGAATTCGGAAAGCGCAGGTGGAATGAAAGTGTCAAACGGATTTGGATATCGCATGTATATGAGACAAAAGTGAGTTGAGGGGGAATGAAGAATTGCTCCTTTTTCGACCAGGGACTTTATGCTGGTTCGACGATTTATACTCAACGGAGCGTTAAGGGAATAGGTCAATTATACACTTTCCTTTGCAACACAATATACAGAAAAAGGATTGTCAAAAAGTCGGTAGGGAGGTAATTTACCACATCATTCTAAGTTTTTTTCTTCTTAAAAAGTCGTCGGAAAATATTGATTCGCTTGTAAAATCGAGAAAATCCGTGTTTAGACTCCTTTTTATCTGACTTGGAGCTTGTGGTCCCATCGGAAGGAATAGCGGTAACTGTTCTAGCCTTTAACTTGCGGTCAGATAAAACATTATCCTCCGTAGCCTTAGAAGTTGGTGCAGACAATATAACCGTCTCCGCTCTCCGAATGTTCTTTGTCGGTAGCGGCAAAGTAGATGTGCTTTTAATGAAAGACTGGATTGCTTCTGCTTCTGAGACATGGGCCGGAGTAAGTTGGTTTTCAAGATCTTTCTCATTTGAACTTGAAGAAACAGTTACGCCGGCATCGTTATTTGATTCTAGTACCGCTCGCGTGGTTTCTTCTAATAAAGAAGGCGATAAGGGCGACGTTTGTCGAACAGAAGGATCCTCTGGTTGCATATTTGTGAGAGAAGAATCATCCGCAAATGAAAACGACACTTGATTGCGTGTATCATTTTCAGGATAAAAAGAGAAAGCAGTGGACATTGGTGTAAAAAACAAGTCCGCCGGTACATTGCTATTGAATAATGCACTGTTCCGTTGTGAAACCAAAGCCCTAGACGACGGTACTTCGACGATCGTTGAAGGATTCCTTGTCACCGTAACATTCTCTTCTTTAGTAACGTTTTCGGGAGAGTCTGGAAAAGCGGCAGCAACCTCCAAGCGACGCATTTCAGCAACAAGACCAGGCCAGTTATTTATAATGTTTTCAACGATCTTTGCCTCAAGCCGAACTTTCTCGGTTTCAAAACGCATCACATCATTAAGTTGTGCACCATCAATTTTTGTTGAATATGGCTCATCCGACATGCCAAGCAAAAGAGGCCCAAATACGATGCCGAGGGCTTCTGCTCGCATATAAGTTGATTCGCCAATATCAGCCAGGCTTTGTTCTACCTGTTGTGTTTTAAGTACAATCAAATGTAAAAGTGCGAACAGTGAGGCAAACACAGAAAACCGACGGTACGAATCAATCTGTGCTAGTGCCAGTACAGTCATTTCCAACCAAACATTCTTTGGCAGCTCTTGTTGATTTGGTGCATGATGTAGGGACACCAACAAATCAAGCACCTCTTGCCGTCCCAGTAACCCACCGGGTAACATAAGAATGTAACGTTTCAGCACACCGGCTATGTCTATGGCAGTTGGTTCACCAATTTTCTGAAAGAGATCCTCCGGATCCTCATACCAAAAGCTTGGCGGCTCAAAGTAATAGTCCATGATGGCTCGAATTACGGGACCAGAACCGCTTATTCGAAAAATGCCAGGAACAGCAAGCCCATGACTTATAAGGGCAGTAATGCACTGAGAGAAAACATGAGGAACACGAAGAGATGCAGGGAGTGCGTGAGAAGGGAGGGCATCCGGTTCACAAAAGGTAGACTCGTTATCAGGTAGCGCTAGAATATCCTTACCAAAAACGCTTCTTGAACTTGCGAGCAAATTTGTTCGACTTGATAAATTGCGAGAATGATGGGTAGAGGAAGGGGAGTTACCCGATATAGAAAACTTGCGTTGCAGATGAGAAGTGCTTGGGTGTCGCAAGAAAAAAGTCCAGCTGTTACGATGAGCACGCTTTAAATCAGCTGTATCCGGAGAGTCTTGGGATGTGTGAACACTTGAACCGTACGCTGAAGTCTTCGGTCGTAAAGCGAGACTAGACTCGCTACTCGCAAAGCCGAGTAAATTGTTTCCATTTGCACTATCAGCAGATTCATTCAGACTAGAAATACGGTCAGAACTGAGAGTTGCGGAATGCATGGGTTGAAAGGACGATGGGGACGAGGGCACGAAAACTGAGTGCCGGTGGAGAAGTTGCGAGCGGGATCGTTTTGGAGATGAACGTATGGAGTAACGTTTCGTACGTCGAACATTGGGGGAACCGTCAATTTCGTCGTTACCTGAGGACGAAACAAACGGAATGAGCCCACCGGAAGTATAAGGCCTACCGTCAGGCGTAGGTGTAGCAGGACAGTGAGGGACCATATCGTTAATGGTAACAGTAGGAATGCGGTGAGCTTCTGCAAGGGTATGAAAGGTTTCCAAAAAAGAATGGGCCATCACACTGGTGTTGGCATGGCTGATGCAGTTATTGGTATTTGGTGATTGTTGCCATTTTTCCGATACCTGCAAACTTGACAACGATGATGTATGAGCCAGGTAGAACTGGGTTCCAGCATTGAATGCTGGTGTTGAAGTGTTAACAGACATCAAGAAGAACAAAAAATGACAGGATAAAGATGGAAAAAATAAGTAAACCTGTGAGTGCTGGAAGACGTCACAACCTGTACCGGTATAATAGCCGTCCGTTAGGGGCAGACAATGAACAGAGCACTGATTTGGTTTAAGAAGACAGAAGAAGAACCAGAACGACCCGAAAAATTTATTCAACTTAATGAATTTTCGTTCGTTTTAATGCCAACTCTAACAAACTCCACTGGCCAACAAATATCACTCGTCGCTGTATTGCTGTGATTTGCTTCCTTCTCCAGAATAATTCCAGTGTTGTATAAAAGCAAAGTCCACAATCGCCGCTAAAAACGAGGTTGGAGACTATAATCGGTCCGTCGAAATTGCAGCAGTTTGTCCGGGCACGGAGGGCGAAACGTCGCGTTTTTTGTCACGTTTTCGCGGTCGATTGACGTCTCGTCGCACCGACAATTCATGCACAGAGCAATTTCAGCGTGCGGGACCAGCAAAGATAAGAATGAAGAACCGTGTGTGCTGACAGGTGATGTGCGAAGGGCAAGTTTGTCCAGGTGGAGATGACTCCAAGGGCTCACACGGAAGCCAGCTCGGATCCAGGATGCGGACAGGGTGGTGGATGTGGGATACTGTGGGGGTGCTTACAACAGGAGTCGGTGTAGTGGCATGAGGTCGGGACCCTTAAGGAGAGCAAAAATCACGAGGAGATAAACGTGGTTGAGAAAGGTATCACGGGAACACCACGGGCACAACGTGGTCAGACAGATGAAATCAACGCGAACAACAGAAAATTTACCCACAAGAAAAATCCAATACCTGAACCCTAAGACAATACCAACAAACAGAAGGCATACACCAAACAAGATACAATCAACCCAGAACCAGCACGCGCAACTACTTCCAATCAACCTACACCTCTCAACAATTCATCATTGGACAGTACATCCATTGGCATCATGATCTATCTAAAAGACTTCAAGAAATTTAGTTGTCCTTAGCAGCAGAGTAGGCAACAAGGTCAACAACACGGCGGGAGTAACCGTACTCGTTGTCGTACCAGGAGACAAGCTTGACGAACTTGGGGGAGAGTTGGATACCGGCAGAGGCATCGAAGATGGAAGAATGGTGGTCACCAGTGAAGTCAGTGGAGACAACAGCGTCCTCGGTGTAACCCAACACACCCTTCATGGGGCCCTCAGAAGCGGCCTTGACGGCAGCCTTGATCTCCTCGTAGGTGGTGGCCTTCTCGAGCTTGACGGTCAAGTCGACGACGGAGACATCAGAGGTAGGGACACGGAAAGCCATACCAGTGAGCTTGCCGTTCAAGGCAGGGATAACCTTACCGACGGCCTTGGCGGCACCAGTGGAAGAGGGAATGATGTTGTCGCCGGCAGTACGGCCACCACGCCAGTCCTTCTTGGAGGGACCATCGACGGTCTTTTGGGTAGCAGTGGTAGCGTGGACAGTAGTCATAAGACCCTCCTCGATACCGAAGGTGTCGTTGATGACCTTGGCAAGGGGAGCCAAGCAGTTGGTGGTGCAAGAGGCGTTGGAGATAACAGTCTCAGCAGGGTTGAACTCGGTGTGGTTGACACCCATAACGTACATGGGAGCATCCTTGGAAGGAGCAGAGATGATGACACGCTTGGCACCACCCTTCAAGTGAGCAGAGGCAGTCTCCTTGGTGGTGAAGACACCAGTGGACTCAATAACGTAGTCGGCACCAGCAGTGGACCACTTGATGTTGGCGGGGTCACGCTCGTTGAAGACAGTGATGGCATGGCCATCGACGACGAGCTTGCCGTCCTTGATCTCAACATCACCCTTGTAGCGACCGTGGGTGGAGTCGTACTTGAACATGTAGGCCATGTACTCCAAGCTGATGAAGGGGTCGTTGACAGCAACGATCTCGATGGTCTTGGCCTCGAGGGCGTTACGGAGGACGATACGGCCAATACGACCGAAACCGTTAATACCAACCTTAGGAGCAGCCATTGTTAATCTGATGTGTTTGTCTTGTACTGTGAAATGTACTTGATGTTTGAGTGTGGAAAATAGCGCGTCTTTTATAGCTTTTGGACGCGATGACAAATACGTCATAATGACGTTAATTTATCCGGGGCGCGCGGAAAAGTTTCCAAATGGTATTCTCGAATGTTATCGGATCGGCAGTGAACATCGCCATTTTATTCATTGGTAGGCGCAGCAAAGACAGCCGTGTCCCCATACAGAAATTCACATATGATTGGTTGAGAGATTGAATTCTCGGGTGCTTGTTGTCTGGAGGTGTTTCTGATTGGCTTTTTTAGCACAACAGTATCTAGGCGAGCGGGAAAGTACTTAATGCACTGGCAATCGAAAATTATGTTGTTTGTTAGGAAAACGAATTAATTTAAATGAAAAGGCTTCATAGAATGACAATTGAAACAGAAACAAAAAATCTATGCAATGAATTATGAACTGCTTAAACGAGATCGGCGTTTCGTCGCGTTTTCGCACTGTTAAGGGATGGCCTGTGTAAAAGGACGAATTACGCAGATCCATGCGATGTGACCTTGGTATAATGAGCGAGTCATGATGTCACGCTCAACCTTCTCCCATACGCATGTGATACCGCGCGCTTTTGCCTTGAGCAATGATAAGCATAGATTCAAATTTTCGTGCTTTCGGCAGCGACTTGCGACGCGATATCAGCTATTTGTTAAGCTATTTGTTATTGTGTTCATTGCTATAACTCACAAATCACGTTCTTTGTTGATGGCAGCGCCACTCCATAAACCCCTCTAAAGTACTATACCAGTTATTCCGTTCGGCACGACGTGTTGTGGTGGACCTTAATGCGCACAGATTTCACCGAAACCTGGAGGTGAGGCGATCTTTAAGTGCGGGGAAAAGACTAAAGGAGACAATATGGCAAAACAACTGGAACAAAGTGGATTGAACATCGGAAGCAAAACACCGGATTTTCGGGAATTATTGGGTTCTTTGATAGGATAATGATGTCTGTTAATTTGTTGCACTTCCAACTGAGAGTTTCTGTTTTTGCTGCTATAATGCAAGTTAGAATTTTCGCTTAATTTGAGCTTAACTCAGATTACTTTAGTGTCTTATGGTAGTGAGTAAAGGTCTGATAGCTGACAGACAAATATCTTTTGGTCCGCTCGTAGTAACGTAAGTCGAGACTAGAATAATAAAATATGGGATATAGTTCCGTGGTATTCACTGTGCAGAATGGTGACAAAAGAGCCGACTTTGGTGGCTCCGTGTGAAGTTAAGTCGACAGCCGTCCAACTTTGGAAATGCCTGAGCATATAATACATGTTGCCAAACTTTAACGGTTTTGGTGAAAGATTTTGAAGGGAGTATTTGAAAACAAGGGTTTATAATTTCATCATTAGGCAGATTTTGTGACCTTCAACATTAGTATAAGTGGGTTAAGAGGAAGGGTGCAGTTATCGAGGAAAAGAAATAAAAACCTGCGGTGCAGCACTAATAAACGTTATGTTTATGAGAGCTCTGAGTTGTTATTTTTATTGAACTTAGAAACCTAACTATGATAGGATGAATAAGTGGTTTTCGCAGAGCAGTTTACTCCGGAATATAGGTTAGCACGTCAACTATTTGTAACACTCAAAACTCTGGTAAATCTTGACTTCTTATATTGGCCGCCGACAATGATAACTCTAAGACACCTGCGCTTTTGGCATTTGACAAGTCACTGATCATTACTATCAACAATGTCTCACAAATATGCTACTGCCAATTTGTACTCCTACACAACGATGAATTATTAATTTAGTTTATGAACCAAAGCGTTAAGAGAACAGATAAAAGAACAGGCAGCAGAAGCGGCGTGACGCGGAAAGCAGCAGAAATTTTCATTGCGACGTCGGCATATGCACCAAACATCGAAAACTTCACCTTATAGTCCTTGTACTTGTGTGTCGTGTTCTTCAGAGATTGGATCCACAAACAGTAATTTCCAGCTTGGGGTAATGTAATCGTAATCTCTTTAATCGATGAATCGTTGAACATGGGACTAAATACACCCTTCGAATGAACATATTCAGAACCATTGAGAATGACGATGTCTCCGAATTCTGCTGAGTAACCATATTCATCTGTTACGTTGCTCGTGAAGTTAACATTCTTATTATCATCATACACCAAATATTCGAAAGCTGCATCATTTTCACACTTAGGATACAACTTTATTAATGGTTGATTGTATCCATAGTCTTTAAATTCAAAACAACGTCCGCCTACAGGCCAAGAAGCGACACCAGACCAGACAGCGGTAACATTAGGTTGATCGCGTTTTATAAGAAAAGTTGACATTTTTTGAAGACAGGATCCCGAGCGGAGGGTGCTCTCTCATTTTAACACAATCACCTTTAGTATCACCTTTGTTAAAGTCGTAAAATTACTGCTATTCTCGGCCCGTGTTTTTGTCCCACGGGTTAATAAAACGCAAAAACGGCTCATCAACGGAGGAAGCAAATAATTGAAACAAAAAATGAGCGTGTGGCCGGCAAAACATAGCAGAAGTAATACTATTTCAACAATTATCTAATCTAAACAAATGCATCAAATGTAAGCTGCCTTGTGTATCAATTTGTAGACACCTCGACCTTGGATGAGAGCACTTGGTCACCGCCAGAGATGAGCATTCCGATGTAGCGTGTTCGCTTAATCGCAAATGCGAAAAACTTATCGTAAACGCGATTAAATGTTTCCGAAATTGTTTCCCACAAACACTAAAAAGCATGCAACGGCTTCTCTGTCAGATTTCATGTCAGTGACTAATCGGCTAATGGCAAAATGTTGCTTGCGGATAATTATATTCCTGCAGCAATAAAGTAAACCCTTCAAGCCGAGGGATCCCCTTTTCATCTTTGGGATGCATGTTAAGAAAAAAAAAACAGGTTACCGTATTATAGCGAGTTGTAGTCTTTGGACCTCATTGAGGGGGATTTAAGTCTAGTAGGAGTTCTCTGATTTATACGGTTTTGGTTCAATCAATCAAAGTAAATCGGCAATAAATTCAAGACAGCATATCCGAGCAAAGTATATTTAACAGTAGCTCAAAATTCGTAAGTGTATCGGAAATATGTCTTTAATGTTCCGCACTATATCAATTTGTTAAATTAATGCAGATCTACATCAGTACTTTAAATTGCTTGCAACAAAAAAGCGTGTTAAACAGCTTTGCTTATGAGCATCTCAACGAGTACACAACATATCTTAAAGACCACGATATAGTCAACAAATAATGCGATAAGATGAAAGAATAGTAAATTAACAAACAAGAAAAAATAGACGGAACAAAGGTAAATAAACGAGTAGTAGAAGCCTTGCACGAGAATTCACCAAAAATTTGTTTAAGACTACCTCCTTGTGCTACATCAGAACCAAGGGACACCATAAGTAACCAAGCTCTGCTGAACAAATTTCTAATATATTCATAACATTGCTTTTGAGATTAACAGATTTGCCTCAGTCGTACACCGGTTAATGCAATGCGGCATTTTTTGTTATATTTTGATAATAATCTAATTAATAATGCTATTCATCACTTAACATATGTTGCGATCGGACTTTCCCGTTATTTAATCCCCATTAAACTGCATGATGATCTCAACTTGATTGGGATAGATGTCATGGAAGACATTCACTGATGTGCTGAGCATTAATGCGAGAATCATTTAAATTTGTACTCTTATATAAGCATTTTAAAAGTATACACCTCGTTGACCGTTTTTACAAACTTTCGAGTGACCACCGTCTTCAAGCATGCTCCCAAGCATATTGCTCACTTTATCGCAAACGTAACAGTTTATCGCATGTGCGGAAAAACAGTTGTGATGTTGTAGCAGTTTCTCTATCACGTCTTGAGAGCAAATTAAGTACATATTTAATATGGTGAATTTATTAATACCCAGAATAACCCTCAGTTCAATTGTACGAGTCTAGTTTTAGTTTTATGTGTTAAGCTCAATTGCTCCAAGTCAAACGGATATAATATTTTTTGTTGACACTACCAGTAGGTATTTTCATTGCCTTGGGAAAATCTCGTTAAACAAACATTGAACTCGATTTTTGCGCCAACAACTTACCTTTTTAAAACAATAACGTTTAGTCATGGCATTATTACCTCTAACCAAAAATCATTTTATCGTTATTGTGATAAAATCGATACAAATTACAATCATTCATCAATATTTATAAACCCAAAGACTAGATTCTGACTTCTTCAAGCTGTTTAAGGACATGTCATATTCTTTTTTATTTATTTTTATTGTGTAGGACTTGTCGAAAACCAATAAGAAGTGCACACTGCAATTAAATCATTATTTTTCTGTATTGCCAAAAAGAGTATGTGTATTATATATATTTACAAAAGCCTTCACTTTTTCCTATTCCACATCTAATATCACTTTATTTAATTAATTGTATTTATCGTGTGTTAGTTTCTCGCTTGTCATATATTTATAATCTTAATCGCATTTACAGAAGTGGTTACTACCCACCAATGAAAACATTCATATTACTATTGTTTATAACTAAAGCAATCAATAAGGTCATTATTTATCATGACTCAACCTTGTCTGATTAACAGAGGTGATTCAATTGCGAAAAAAAAAGCACCCTAACGCTAACATGCAATATTTACTCATTTATTTCAAAGCATAGGCTCCCCGTTTGGTGTGCAAATGACGTACAATTGTTCTTGCTCCTGGGATATTCATTACGCCTTTCTCCAATTGAACATTCGCTACATTTCATTTACTGTTTCACTGGCGTTTAAACGTTAGCGATCATTAGGCTAATGTCAATGCCACACTACAAAGTCTACAACTACGTTTCCAAGCATGATGCTTTAAATTAGGGGAAGCGGTGCAAATACGACACATCAACAAGACTCCTGAAATGGCTTAGATAATCATGTCATTCAATGCAATATTGCTCTCAAATGACAGTATAGAAAGGTAGGAACCCAAAGGAAATTCAGTGCATTATGAAGTTATCAAGTATTCCTTTGTTGTTAGCTTCCATTTTTACTTGCAAAGCCGTTAGTGCATACTCCAGCGATTACGATTCTCTTCTAAATGACATTGTCAAGAGCGATTATGATTCACCGTCTGGCGGCGAAGGACAGGTAACGCTGTCTAGCCTGTCAGGCTTGTCTACTTTGTCGAACCTGGCAAAGCGCGATGTTGAACCGTACTTCAAGGAGCTCGATATGTTTTCTTTCGACAACTTCGAGAAACTTACAAAAATTAAAAATATGCTCGCAGACGCGCAATCCAATGAGATGTTGGGTGATGCGCTTTATCTTTACAACTTTATGGATCGGAATGGCCACTCAAAAAGCATCACGTTGAATGACTCATCCGAGTTTGTTACTGAAACGTGTAAATTTCTTTCCTCATACGGTTTAAACAATACCGAAATTCTTGCTTCTACGGCATCGAGTTCATTTCTGGTTGACTTTTATAAGAATTTTGAGGTTTCTGTTTGTAATGCTAACCACAAGACGACGAAGCGTGAATATGTGGAATGCAGTGCTAATCATGCCACTAACACAGAAAGTTGTAAGAATCTCAATGAGAGTCTCAAGAGTCGTTCGGAGTTCCTCCCTGGGATCAGAAGTTGGTGCAGTGGTGCTTGCTGTATTTCGTGGAGCAGAGATACTTACTTTACTACAGCTTGGGCACGTGATAAGCTCCAATCGTGTATCACATTTTGCATCGCGCCTTCTGGAAGCTGTGAATGGAAGGATACCGGCTATTTTTTGCAAAAATTTAATTTCTGTGTTAGCAACAGAAGCAGTGGTTGCCGCTGATTAAAATCAATTACAAATCAGTATCACCTTAATGTTTATTTATAGTTTTTTAAAGACATAACATTCTTCTGTTCTATATGAATAAATCGGTGTTTGATTTGTGAGGTAAGCAAGTATACAGCAGTATCAACGTTTGTTCATATGTGGCGCTCCCCTTTTCATTAACTCCGGGAAGTGCGAACCAATGTTCTGAACGTGGACAATCCATATAGTTTGGAATTCACGAGCAGAAGAAGCTTATTATATTACCATATCAACTTATTTATTGTCGCAGGTTGGTAGCCAATGACTCGCATAAATTAACGAATGCTAGACAAGTCGCACGTAAGCTCTTAGTAACATCGATGAGGGCGAAATTTTGTTTTTTTGTTTTTTTATAGATTATCATATAACCGGTCCACAAATTGGAAAGTCCACTTCATTCATTTAAGAGCATGCTTTAAATTTCTAAAACTTTATAAAGCATGTTCAGATAATTCGAATAGAGGGCTAAATTTATTCACAGGCTATTGAAGATATTTATATATGCTGGAAGTTCAACTGTATCTTCCTCACGTTATGGCTATCCACAACTCACACTGTACAATGGCAGCGTCCTCGATTGCCGTATACCCAACCAACAGCATACTTTTTCATCAAACAACTATAGCCCCGAGTCCCAACCGACGAACTTAACCTCAAATAAAGCCAGATCCCGTAAACCAACTCTTTAAGCAAAATATAAAGTTCCCTTCGACCACTCACTGCCAAATAACATCGTGAAAAAGTGAAATTCATTTACTCTATTATGTGCGAACAACAACCCAACAATGTCCCACCTGAGACACCGACCGGGACAGCTACTCAATCATCTCCGAGGACGGAACGGATGCATTTTCTAGGCCATTCGGCTCCAATCATCATACTTGACCCCGGGATAGATTTTAATTACTTGTATAACAAAGTAAGTTAAAACCACTACTGATGATGGTTTGTAGAGAAGAAAAGACGTTTCTTTTATACTAAGAACTTCCAGGGTAAGGGTTATGATACTGCTGCATACTAGGGTAGGGTTAGACTTTTTCTTTCCAGGTATGGCATGAGGCAATGTGTCGTCGTACTCGCTTACTTTGATAGCTTATTGTCTAATGCGAAACATTTGCGTAAATACTGTGGAACTAAGTTTCGCTTTACATTAAAACAATGATAGCAATGGTGATATTTAGAATATAACATAAAGTACGTGCTAATCATTCTGATAGTTATTGGGGTTTCTGTTGCATAGCGTTATATCAAATCTCTAATTTTAGTAATGTTAATAAACCTCTGCGCAATATTTAAAATTACGTGTTGTAGCAAAATAAACTATTTTTCCTGTCATTTGACGAAATTGAACTCAATCACTAGAAATGGTGGAAGTGAGGGATGAGCTTAAGAAAAAGGAAAGCAAAGGCAAATGTTACTTACATTTACGTCACAACGGTTACTGTGGATGACTTGTTTCATTCCCATTTCGCTCTTCCATAAACACTGCAACAATTGCCTTGTAATCAATATGGCTGATTTGTTGAAAGACATTTTGGGATGCAAGCTTTTCAACCTACTAGACATCTGGGAAGATCATCTTAGTGATGACACATGCTTCAAATACGAAAAAGCTGATCCTGCGAACCCCAACGCACTTACGGTAACAGCAATAACGGCCAACGAAGCAATGATTAGTCGGATCACGGTTGTTGGAGCAAAACCTGTTCAACCGTACTTGGACTATATAGCTGAGTGGTCAAGGAAGGCAGCAGAAGAATTGTCTGCTAACGGAATTGCGCCCGAAAATTGGAAAATTACCAGACAGGATGTCAATGAATTTGCCTGAAACATAAGGTGACAATTTTTCGGAGGCAATCTGAAAGGCACTTCTTTGATACGGATATTAGTTGTTAAATGAATGAAACGAAAATTGACAGCTCAATTCTTTGGAAAATGGTTTTATTACAGATTAAATTGCAGATGCTGCCTGAATAATTGATGATTTCGAATTGCATATTTCCTTCTTTTCGTATCGAGTATTGCTGATAAACCCTAGTACCAGGCCAAGGCAAAAAGCATCCACCATAAAATCTCCTAATAGTTAAATGTGATACCTTGCTGTGAGCAATTGTGTGCAAGTTACAAAGTGTACATATACTCAGTATCGTAGCACAAAGGTTCTGATAACCAGCTAACAATATTAAAGCGTGTAGAGGCACTTCACTTGAATTTCAGAACTACACATACTTGCAAACGGAATCACGTGTACTTCTATATGTACGAAACAGGTAGCAGCAAGATTTTTTTCCCGTTTGTTTACTATATAGAACTGCGATTAACAAGACAGTGAGGCTACCTAACTCGATCCGATTTTAGGAGCACAAAACAAAATTTATCAAATTTCTCTATGAATCCGCCACTGCAGAGCCCGGTAACTATCCGCAGACGGTACTGCATTCAGGGGCAATGCAAGTACGAAAATACCGACACCCCTTAACGCTTGAAGCATTACATCAAACAGCGGTACTGGATCGTTCACTAATGAACACCAGCGAAGAGACTCCTGCTCAGTATCTTCTGTGTATGGTTACTGTGCAAACTGATTAGTCGTGATTCTATAAGGCCACACAGTGAGGGCTTTAGAGTCTCAGATTGGCTCAGAAGAAGAAAGTTACAATGAGAAAACATTAAAGTCGATCATACATACACTCGAGAATCAATGTTTATTAAGAATTACAGTAACTTTATTGTGATGCTTGGTTTTACACATTACTGTACATACTTAACAACAATCTACAGCTACTACACACCATTAAGCTTTGAAACGTGGGCAATGCGGCTCTTCGAAGTCTAGAACGTAACTCTCCCGAATGTTACGGGAAGTCACCTATTGCTAGCGGTGCACGTGAACACGACACTCAGCAAGAACGAGATCAACTACAAAGAGCAGACACGGTTTTCATGATAGCTGGAACTTCTGGAATACCGTGCCTCAGGTATTCTGGCATGACGATATGGTTCCAGATGCCGCGTGCTTGTAATAGGTGTAGAACAAGCTCTCGCTTGTAGCGACTCTGCCGAACATGTCGTAATACCAAACAGAGTCCTTGGAAGTACGTAATCAAAGGCAGCCAGTCGGATTTCAATGGATTTGCTCTATCGCTTTTGCTCTTCAGTCGCTAAGTAATGAAAATACCATAGTGGCTACTCTATAAATGTTTTAAAAGTTTGCCAACCTACGTTCATGAATTAGAATGATATATTAACACAAAATTAAAAAAGTCATAAAACTGTAAATCGCCTCGCGATGTAATTGGTGTTAACAAGCGCACAGACTGTGGAGAAGCCGCTTCAACTGCCGAAGACCCTGTTGTTAATTATGAACCCCTTGTTTTGTGAGCCTCTTTACCCCCTGGTAATGCGTTCCGCGACACAAACAAACCCCTTTGCAGCGTCGTAGTTGATGAATTGCCGAAGCTTCTGAACCAATTCCGTTAGCATGCCATTGTGATGATTTTTTTCAGATTTACCGTCAATTTTTTGTATATAAACGCTACTTGTTGCACCCTTAACTCCACTTCATATTTCTTGTTCGGCTCGTTTACATCTACTTTTATTTTTTTGACAATTAGAATCAACCTTATCCAATTTAAGAAATGACTAGCGCTTTGGATTTTCTAGGTCAATTGCCTGGAACACTGTATACTCAACTGTGTCTTTGTTACGGTGTAGAAGACTCAATTCCCTATCCACGACTTCTAAAGACAATTAAAGACGGTTTGCAAAGGCTTGCCGCCGCCTTCCCTTGGGTAACGGGTGAACTGATTACTGAGCCTGCTGGCAATGGCCGTTCAGGCATTCGGAAAATCAGATACTCAGGCAAAATTCCGTTTACTGTGAAGGACCTGAGAAATAATTCGGATATGCCAACAATGAATGAACTTCGTCGCACAAACTTTCCTTTCCGCTCTCTTGACGAAAATCTTATTGCTCCCTGCGATAGTGTTGCTTACTCAGAGAGTACGTCGGACTCCGAGTCTAACGCAGAACCGGTATTTCTGGTGCAAGCTAATATCATTATTGGGGGTTTGGTACTTACCTGCGTCGCTCATCACAGTGTCATGGATATGACCGCACAGGGCGAAGTAGTGCGCTTACTTTCAAAGGCCTGTCACGGTATTCCGTTTTCGTCGGAAGAATTAGAAAATGACGACCTACTTAAACGCACGCCGATACCGATGCTCCAAGAATTAGAGGAACCAGAGACTGAACTTGCCCCACAACTAAGGGAACCGAGCGAGTCCCATTATCTTTGTTCTGGGACGAAATTTAACCCCACGCTGCCTAGTACTGCAAAGTGCAGTTGGAAATATTTCCTCTTTAGCCAAGCGGCACTCGACGATATAAAAATGCTGGCGTCTAGTGCTCTTTCAAACACCGGGAAGTTTGTTTCTACAGATGATTCATTAACTGCGTTCATCAGCCAAGCCGTAGTCCGTGCTCGTATGCATCGCTTGGAACCTACAGAAGACATCAGTATCTGTCGATTCGTGAATGTACGAAGCATCTTAAACATCCCTCGCACACACCCCGGTTTTTTGATTAACGCTACCTATACTACACAAGCGGCAGGAAAGATGGCTACCGAGCTCCTAGGCCATGTCGCCTTACAATTTCGATCGGCTTTGGAACCCAGCGACTTAGAACACAGAACTCGGGCACTTGCCACATACCTTCACAAAAATGAGGACAAAAGCGCCTTCTCGTTTGGAGCCAAAATTGACCGATCTAAGGGATTGATGCTCAGTTCATGGGCAAAGTGCAAGATTTACGGATTAGATTTTAACCTTGGGTTAGGAACACCTGAGGCCGTACGTCGTGCACAGGACCAACCATTTGAAGGATTCGGCTATTTGATGCCTAAGGCCCCTAATGGTGAAATTGCATTGGCAATCTGTCTGCGGGATGAAGATATGCAACATCTGAAGACGGATGCTAAATTCATGAAGTATGCAAAGTATGTAGACTAAAATGCGTACCGACTCTTTTTGCTTGTTATGATTATTTAATGAATGTTTGCTTGTTTACATACGGGAGGGTAAAACGAATTTGCCGGACATTGTTTGTTTTTGCTTAATTATCGTAATATAAATAGTGACACTTCTATCGTACAAAAACATGAACAGATATCCGCAAATATCTATCGTGTTGCCATCAGTTTCAGACAAAAAATCATCTTAGGGGCATTATTAATCAATATTGAAGCAGCTGAAGATATTGAAAACTCGAGTCTTTGATATGCCACTGCCACATTAAATTTTGTTTTAGACGTAAACGTTGAATTCGCGTTTATACCTTAATGACAAAGGGTATATTTATTTTAAAACATGCTTCTTGTAATAACGAGATTTTTTTCGCTTTATAGGGACAAATTGGTTTGACTTGCAACTGCATCAGGTTCGAAATTCGTACTCTATGATTTATGAGTAAAGTTCTGATTCAAGATTGGGTGTGAACTACAAAGACATTTAAAGTAAAAGTTTAATTTAATTATATCTGTGTGCTCAACTTAAGAAGCGTCAATTCAAACAATTGCTTTATTTGGAATGTTGAGTTGAGTTAACGATAAAATAACCTTCCGTTGCCCATAAACTAAGCCGAATAAGTCGCATACTTAATGAATTCCTCGTCTGACTTCAGATTTTTCATGTCTTCATCTCTCAAGCAAATTGCTGCCGCAATTTCACCACTTGATCCCTTTGGCAACAAATAGATAAGGCCTTCCATCGGTACTTGTTGAGGCATACGAACAGCTTCTGGTTTTCCCAATTTGAAATTAAAATCAAGATCGGAGCAATTCACCTTTGCCCACGAACTCACCACCATACCCTCTGTGGTGTTTATTCTTGCTCCAAATGAAATAACACTTTTATCACGTATGCGAGATATATACGTGGCGAGAGCTCTAGATCTATAAACCAGTTCCGCAGGAATCAAAGCTGAACGAAGTTTCGACGCAATACCACCGGAGTGGTCTTTGACTAAATTTTCAACTGTATCGGTATAGTATGTCGCATTCACCACAAAACCCGGATAACCGGAAGGGATGCTAAGGTACTTTCGTGCATTTACGATACGACAAATAGTCACATCAGCTGTAGAATTTAAACGAGGAAGGCGTGAACGTATAATCGCTTGGACAATAAAGGCAGTCAACGAATCGTCGGTTGAAACATAATTTGCAGAGTTCAACTTGCTTGCATATGCTTGTAGCTTTAAAGCGTCGAGTGAGTTTTGGTTGAATACAAAACATTTCCATGAGCAATTTTGTGAAGGTTTTATACGTGTACTTTTTCCCTTATCGCGAACATTATGACCTGGTTGATATGAAGGCCTAATTTGCTGGAAAAGCTCCTTCCCTGGCCTGTAAGATTCATCGAATATGGGTATGATGTTGCGCCGATCTAGGTTACCAACCGATAACTCTTCACTTGTGAATGGGTCATTATGGCAAGCCTTTGAAAGCAATCGCATAACCTCGCCCAGTCCAGTTGCATCCATGGCACTGTGATGGCCAGCCACAGTCAACAAAAGTCCTCCAACAATAAAATTGGCCTGTACTAAGAAAACAGGATTTGAAGATGCTAAAGAGTCGGTTCCTGCTTTTGGAAAAATAAAGCCGTTGCAGGGTGCTATGACATTCGGCTTTAACAAATCGAGAGGAAATTCTGCTTGTCGAAGTTCGTCCATTGTCGGTAAACCGGGATTGGCTCTGTAATCATTTATAAAAACTGGAATACTATTGCAAAGTTTTATTTTTCTTGTTCCTGAGCATCCTTCACAAGCGCCATCAATAACGACCTCACCAGCAATCCAGGGAAAATTTGAGGAAAGTTGCCGGACGGCATCTTTCAACGTTTTTTCAATAAGCGTGTATGATGAAGAATCTTTCACCGCATAAAAAAGACACAACTGTATATATAGTGGTATAGGCAGCTGACCCAAAGCATCCAAATGAAAAACCATTTTTTTTTTTTTACAGTATTAACGTATTGAGACAAATCGAATACGAATGTAAACGGAAGTAGCAAATAAGCTATTAGAGCAAAATCGTTAATGATATACTGCCAAAAAAAAACTAAACTTAAATAGACGTGTCATTGGGAATTTAAGGAAATTATCATATTCGCGAACATGTCTGCAATGACGTCTGCGAAAGGGATAGTGGCATACTAAAATTATCGACGGACTAACTATTAAAAGGAGTATCATACATGCTATAAAATAGAGAAAATGTCAATGAATAAGAACAACTTACGAACTGCGACCAATTGAGCAAGTATTTAATATTCCAGACGAACTATTCGGAAATATTGCTAAAAACAACAGGAGTCTCTTGTTAATAAATATGAAGCAAAGGATTCCCTATGGATACGATTTGTTATTGATCGTTCTCTCGAAAGACAATCGTTCATGCGAAATTATGTATAAATCATAAGGGATGTCAGGTTCCAAGATCCCTTGGGGCCGCAGTAAAATTTACCTCTACAAAATGAGCGTAATTTAACGATTGACTTTGTTCCTGTTTAATTTTGGTAAATCCCAACTGTTTTAGTAACACAGAGATCCTAGCGATATAACAAATGAAATCATGATGGTATGTAATTTCCCGAGACACTATACGTTATTTAGGTATTAACTTATCCCTCTTCACTCTAGTACCATGAGCGCTCGTTAATAAAAAATGTTTCAAGTTCCATTGACAAAGCTTTGATTGCGCCCTAAACTAATCTTCCTCTGACCTACGGACTAGGTCTTACAACTGAAACTGTCAGTTATTGATTCGGCAATCATGTTTATGAAGAAAGCTGAGTTAGTCTCCGTTGAGAAATGAAGTTCACCATTTCCTCTTTCAAACTGATTTTGTTTTTTTAGCCGTAGTCTCTTAGGTTAGACCATTATTCCTTGTCACTACTTTTTAGAATTAAAAGAAAGCCTTTTAAGTAAGCTTTTTAAAAAGGATATTTAACACCCTCAATTTCGTATAGTAGTTTCGTGTCTTTTGCTATTTCACTAATTGCTATTAGTAAATTGTTTAGAATGAATTCAATGTAACGCAGTTTTGTTGCATTTGAACTTCCCCAGGTCTTACACCATTACATATTATCTCAATGCGTGTTCAAAAGAGTAAAGTTGGTCGATTTAGAACGTATATTTATAAGCCTGAAAAGTACATTTCATAAGATCAATTGTTCACGGCTTTGATTCGCATTAATTCCCACCTACCTGACTGCGCACGTTAAAAAACTAAATTTTTTATTTACACATATACAAGGAAGATTCACAGATTTCAATCTAATAATGCAACTACTCATGCACAAACTAGCACGTCTTCGGTAGGAAGCAACATCGCCGTCGTTGAATTGCGATGCATTGTCGATGATGCAATGCGTGCGTGGTGGTCAATTTCAGTTTAGGACGGGTCGGACGTTATTTTACGAATCCGAGCAAATACATAAATACGGGTCGGACAAGTTGTTTAGTTGGACATTATATGCATGAGGAGATTTAGTCTAGGGTTTGCTTAGTACACGCACGTAAGTTATGAATGAAAAATTTACGTTTTAACTATTGCTCTGTATGTTACTTCTTGTCCAATTTATAGAAGACACACGAGAATAAGACAGTCCGTCTTTATGAAACCGATTCTTGCATGCCAGCTTGAGCTTAGGTAAAAAAATACTCAATTATATACCAACATTTTAACTTCAATAGTTTGTGTTTGTAAGCTAATTACAACATAACGTTAATGTAACATTACTGTGAATTGATTTCATGCGCTTAAGGAGTTGACTGTTGCTGACGTGAACGCTACTCTTGATCGACATGGTGTTTAGAATGTTGATTCATTGAGCCAATTCTAGTCCCGTATTAATATATGTTCTAGGGTTCTAGGGTTCTAGGGTTCTAGGGTCAATTTACTGTATATGGCTTATCAAACATACTATGAGGATCAATGGCCTGCGGCGTCATAATTTTTTTAGGGATTACACATGTTATTAGCCTCAATCATTGTCCAGTTCTCTTGGAAATTATGGATGGTTCCTTTACGCTCAAGTAGACCCAAATTTCATAATTTATGACGTCTAATTCTTCGTTGTCATGAACTATTCAAAAATCTGGGTGTTCTTTTGAGCGATAGCAGGCTAAACGAATCTTTTATTGACGTATATCCAAAAACTTGCCTTCTCGAAAATTGTTCTATTATATAACATTTTTACAGTAGTTGCACGCAAACAATTATCAGGGATGGTTCTATGATAAAGGTAACTTATCTAAAGTACGGCTAGGTTAGAAATTATTTGCGAAGACCGGCTTTCTTTTGTATCATGGTTTCGTTTGAAACATATCCATTATATCGTAGAAACATAAACCGTAGTATATACATCTGTATTGTGTATATACTGTACACAAACCCGACGACCAAACCAAACTGAAATTTATATTCAGCATTTATGTAGCTAAGAATCAAGATTTGTCAAAGAATGCTTAATTTAACTTGTATGTTTAACTTGCTTTCTTTATTAAAGGGCAAGCATTCTTAATAATGATGTTGTGTCGGAAATCAATCCTTTTGTTAAGCGAATTACTCTGGCAACCTTTTGAGCCGTAACGAACCAAAACATGACCGTCTTGCTCACATTTGTCGATTTTCTGTTTTACGCACTTCAGGCATCTTCGTTCAGGGGTACCCAACTATTGTTGTCCAATTTTTCATAGTAACTGAGTGCACAGTCACAAGTATTGAATGTAAATATACATACTTAAGCACGACCTCTTAGACTTGTAAGTTGGATTATCAAATATTATGGCATAAGCATTCTTGAAATTCGGTCTCTAGAAGGTATTCGTTAGGCCTCGTGCTCCAAATATGGCCAGTAATGTAACATGAGTGGTGTCAGCAAAACCACCAGTAAATACCGATTTAGATAGACGGATTTCTCAAAATATCAACTCGTCTCGTTCGCAAGTCCAGCGCACAGAGTAGTTTGACTATGGTAATATACGATGTCGCTTTACGATTGCTCCTCACTAGTAGTTGAATCAGTGAATTAAAACTAACTGCTAAAGAAACAGCGGTCGGCTAACCACGTGGGACCACGTCGAATAAGCCCCTGACTAACTGTGACCTTGCGATTGGTCAGCACCATTCTAAGCTATTAAACCGAAAAGCTGTAAATTGTTTTCGCGTAAAGAGCACTAGTGTCTATTATATAATCTGGCTCTAAAGCAATTCCTTTAAAATGATGTGTGCTTTTTATAATGATAAAACAAACAGAAAATAGGATTATTTTATTTGCTTTCTGTCTTACCTTAGTCATCTACTGATTCGTTCAATTTGGAAACCGCATTATCACATGCTTGTACTAGCGAAGGATTACGACGCTAATAGCATTAAAACCACTAAGTTTGGATACGCTTACTAAAGCTTAAATATAATGAAGTGCAAAATATGACGTTTTGGACAAGCAAAATGTCTTGGGTGGTGATGAAAACACAAATCTATAAATTAATGCTTGTGCAATTGACAAAAAATGGCTCGATAGTTTAGAATTCATGATACAGAATCTTTTGTATACGTACTTTTGAAAACGGACGAAAGAAAATAGCTGGAAAAGAACGTTTTCCATATCGAGTTCGCCTGCATGTAGAGGAAAACGTCATAGGCGCTGTTTCTTCTCAGTTAGTAGATAAAATCGCACTGCGAATACCTAAAAAATATTTTGACAGTACTCTCGCTACGTAATATGTGAAATTCTCAATGCTTTCAATATGATATAAATTGAACAATTGCTCCTGCATTAGTAATTATTACCTGTTTGAAAGTACATCCAAGTGTTTGGCTTTCGTACGCTTCCATTTGTTACCCGAAACGAGGTACAAGTGCAGATCGCTTTCCATTTTGTTTTTATACTAGAGAAGGGTGACTTAGTACCGTGGAATTACAAAAAATTGTTATTTCTCGTTCACCAATTTGACTTTTTAAGACTTCCAGTTTTAGAGATTGTCCAAAAGCGGTCAAGTCGCATGTTAATTTATATGTAAAAGTGCTTCACTTTTTTTTCCTATATTTTGCATTCGTTTTTCGTCCTTGAGCGGGGTTTAATTAAAAGGTCAAGGATTTCAATTTGTTCACTGTTTTACGGATATATTACTGTGTTTTTTTTTTCTCTTTTTATCCGGTTTTTGTTTACTCGCTGAATTGTCGGCATTATTTAAAAGACTACGGTCAACTCATTCGTTTTATTCTGTTGTTTTGGTAAATTGTTGTGATGAGTTTTACTGATTTCGATACTTTATCAAGTTCGGATTCATTTTCGAAGCCATACAATTCCTCTGTTGAAACTGGCGAAATAATTTTTAGGCCTGTGTATCGAGATCATGTGGATGACGCAGAGGACTTGGCTCGTTTAGGATACAAACAGTCGTTCCACAGAGGACTCTCACTGTATGGCGTCTTCAGTGTTTCGTTTTCTGTCTTGGGTTTACTCCCTTCAGTCGCGGCCACGCTCAATTTCTCTATGCTATCAGGCACACCAGGAATGTTATGGGGTTGGTTAATAGCTTTGCTATTCGTTTGCTGCATTGCCGCGAGTATGGCTGAATTATGTTCTAGTATGCCAACATCCGGAGGATTATATTACTCGGCTAAAGTACTTGCTCCCAAAGGATGGGGTCCTTTGGCTGCTTGGATTACTGGTTGGTCCAACTACATAGCTCAGCTAACCTTTTTTGCAAGTTGTGTCTATAGTTTATCCAGCTTGTTAATTCACGCTGCTGATGAGTTTGATGGCAAAGATGTTGTGATACATAACTACCACATATTTTTTCTTTGCCTTTCTTTCATTGTGGTGCTTGCAATCATGGCTTCATTACCAACAAAAATAATAGGGCGGATTAACTCTGTATGCACATTTCTGAATTTACTTTCTCTTCTTGCGGTTATTATTATCATTCTGGTCAGTGCTTCGATGCGTCAGGGCTTTAATAAATCTGATCAAGTATGGCATCATTTTCAAAACAAAACCGAATGGCCACAAGGTTTCGCTATGCTGATGTCGTTTTGTGGTGTTATCTGGTCCATGGTAGGATTGGATACCTCTTATCATCTTGTTGAGGAATGTGCCAGTGCTTCTGTAAACGCGCCCAACGGTATAATGCTTACTGCTGTAGTGGGTGGATTTTCTGGCTGGATTATGCATGTGGTAATTGCATATACTATTGTTGATTATTCAGGCGTTCTTAAAGCTCATAACTTATGGGTTGAATATTTGACACAGGTGCTTAGTCATAAACCAGCTAAGGCTGTCATTGCTCTTACGTTGTTTTCAAATTTTCTTATGGCTCAAGGTGTATTAATTACCTCTTCTCGAGTTGCTTATTCGTATGCTCGTGATGGTGTTCTCCCCTTCTCAAAATGGATAGCGCAGATAAATAAGCGAACGACAACACCTGTTAACGCAGTGGTCGTGAACAGCTCTATTGCGGTTGTTATTCTTTTATTTCTATTTGTTGGACAATGTGCGATAGACGCCATTTTTGCCGTTTCTGGCATCGCAGCGTTTGTTGCGTTCATAATTCCAATTGGCCTTCGTTCATTCTTTGTAAAGGACAGCAACTTTTCTCGTGGAGCGTGGAATCTAGGTCGATTTTCTCGATTCGTTGGTGGAGCGGGTACCATTTTCGTTCTGATAATGATTCCTATCTTATGTTTTCCAACAGTAACACATCCTGGTCCTTTTGAAATGAATTGGACAAGTCTTGGTTATAGTGTGCCAATGGTAGCGGTGCTACTTTGGTTCGTTATAGCCGCTAGACACTGGTTTAAGGGACCAAAGACGGACATGCCTGGGTTGGATATTCCGCGTATATCGAGTTTCAAAAGCAACACAAAACATCCTCAGTTTTCTGGTCATTCGTTAGGAAAAAACTGAATGTTAAAAAATACACGCAAAAAAAAAAAAAAAAAATGACAACTTTTATATAGTGTCAGTTTTTCTGTAAATTCGTTAGTTTATTATTTATTTGAGTTCTACCTCCGCGTTTTAATTCTTCGTTGTCTTCGCATAAAGAACAGTGGTCCAGTATTCCCATCCAATGTGGTCGACAAATCTGGATACACTTTTTTTTGATGTTGAATGTAGTCGAATCGTACTTTAAAAGACAGTAACAAACAAGTAATTTTAAAATAGTTGATTTAAAATTTAATACAGCATAACTTCAGCATGTTTGTTTTGAAGTAAAATATTAATAAAACACCCTACTAAATTATATTCTGTGATTGTAAGATAAAGTTTTGTGTTACGATCAGTATTAGAGTAAGTGTGTTCGTCATATTGTATTTGTAATGTCAGTACACCCAGAAATAGCTAAATTACGTACATCATAAATGAAATGCTGAATAAATGTCCATTTTGAATGCAAGTATGATGAGCCAGAACTTAGAAACTGAAAGGAAAAAAAGTGAAGTTATTCCTAATTTTATTAACAGTTCATTATCGCATGAAAGAGAACAGTAATGTTGTCTTCCAAGAACAAAATCTCAACTAAGTTCGCAAGCCGGGTTGTTTATAAGGATTAATATAATAGTGATGGTACCAGTAATCAACACTGCAGACGGCGAAAGCGAGCACGGTCGCAAGTTGGAGGAAGATACCAAGCAAAATAATATCAGAACCGGCGTGTTCTTTCCTACCGTCTTTATTTTCTTCAGTTGCGGTATCAATTCTCGCAAATTGTATGATCAAGGAAATGACATCACTAGTGATATAAGCGAGCCCATAGAGTCTCTGGCCAAGGACACCAATATCGGCTCCATATTGCGTAACTAAATGCTTAAGTGCAGTACACATTTGTGCAGTGTAGAAAACAGGAAAATCCATGATCAAAACACATTGTATGATTTCCGGAACAATGTCCGTATCATTATTACTGTGAGAGGAGGCATAAAGTCGAACGATCCAGGAAATTATCTCACCAATGGTTCCAATAAAAGCAGCAATTGAAGCACGGCTTTGATGTTTTATAATTTCCAATAGATTGATAATTTCGCAAATGGTAAAGGAAACAATTGCTATGACGCTTAACCACTTTGTTGGTACGTATCCATAAATTTCCGATAATCTCATTTGTTAACTGAACATGAACCGTTGAAAAAGGCGTATTTCTTCACCAGTTCTACAAACTACTGATGCCGTAGGACGTCAAAGATTGTGTGGCAGTTCTGTTCTTTCTTTAATTAGTTTTGGAGTGTGTCAGAGAGAGAGAATAATTGAGACACCGCTTGGAAATAGGATGTTGGGTTCTGTTCGTGTACTGCTTATTAAACTATGCTTTCCCTTAATTGCTTAGGATTTATGATAAGAGACAAAACATAAATGATGAAGCAAAAGCCAGGACACTGCCGTATGAACTGCCCCAAGACCTAATACTCTTATTAGACACCAAAGCGTATCACACGGAGCCAATATTTATTGTTTTCAGAAACTCCATCATCCTGAAAAACCCTAAGTTTAAACACGACAAAACCAAATGATACCCAAATCAACGGCTAAACCCACGGAAACGTATACACGTGCCCATGAGCTAATTAAGTTTTTGCGAGGCTTTTTTTTGTGGGGTGTCGAGAATTTTATTCACGCAAATAGCAACAAGTCGAGTCGCAGAATGAACGGGCCTTTCAAATGTTGAGCAATTTTGTGTCAACTTTCTTAAACATAGTTTACTGGTCTACAGCTATAACGAGCTCAAACATTTGACGACAAGCGCTCGCTTCCTGATAATCAAATGAGAAGGCTAGTTAGTTGCCGAGAACACTGAACAGGTAATAACTGCGCCTTAAATTTCATGATCATGTCATGGCGTAGTTCCCGTATCATATGAGTGTGCCAGGAGTGCGACAAGAACCAAGCGGTCCCTCGAACAGTTCGCCCACGTTAGTTACTGAGAAAGTAATAATAGGCTTATTATAGTATAAGTGAATTAAGTCTCGCACCCGTAATGACCCATATTTCAACGGATAGCAAGATGAAACACTCATTTTTCTAAAAAATTATCGCTAGTACAGCATCTAATGGAGAGCTAGACCTTTGGTAGGAACAAAATGATGCACACACTGTAACTCAACTACTTATGCAAAATAGTTGTTACTGCACGAAAGCTTGCGCATTTTCGTCGCTATTCCACTTCCACGGAAACCAATTAAACTCAGGTGTTGGCTATAAGCGAGCGGCAAAAATTCGGCTTGCGAAGCTATGCCCCGCTTTCCTGTCGTCCACACGTTATATGCAGATTAATGTTAGTAAAGTCACTATTCTATGGAAAGGCTAGGTCTTTGTGACACTCATTGCAAATGTGTTTTGAGGACTGTTCCAAACAACAGTTTAGATTACAGCTCTAGGTTTATGTAATAAAAATTTCGCCCGCTGAGATCTACTATTATGTTACAAACACCGGTAACCCGAATTACTGTCATTATCAGTATTATATGAAGTTTATTTGTAATAGGCTTTACCACAAGCAATTTTTAGCACTTCCCTATAATGAATTAACTATTGCTGAACATTTAGACATGTAAATAGTAGTAATATTGAGTGTTGAACGACGTAATATGGAGAGTTATTCAATTAGATACGATGCAATAAAGTTCGTACTGGCTGCATTATGCATAAACGCGATTAAATGTTTGTTGACACAGTTATCAGTCTACTAATGCCGGCTCGCTGTCATGGTATGCTACGTGTATTCCTCACCCGTGAATACAACTGCAAGGGCACGGCAAAAGTCCGCCTCGGCCTTCTCTTTAGCAAACTCTAAAATCCACACGTGCAACAATCTCGCCTTGCAACACAATCAACAATTGACTATGTAATACACACCTAAAGGAATGATGTAGTTATGATAGAGCAGAATTGTTATCATTCTTCGATTCCCGACGTTAAAGACGGATCTTTGTAAATGGACTGGTCACTCGTAAACGTCGCGAACATTGTCCTATTGAGACCAATCTAGAGGTTTTGTGATTGTTCACAAGTACAACGGAAAGCTCTGTAAAAAAGAAAGAATGTAATAGGCTTTCAGCGTAAAGGCTATGTTGCTAAAGGTTGCACAGAACTCCTATATACAATTCGGCATTTAAATGCAAATCCTATTGTTGATAGTAAACGGGGAATTCATAGTTGCAAACTGTGCTTCATAGTCAACCAATTGTATTCACAGGCTCGTTGAATTAATAAATTCGCTATATTGGCATCTTGGCACAGGCATTAGAATAGATGTGCCGCAAGTTATACGCCTTGGGTAAAGTAATTGTGTTACTATATTCCCTATGGTGTTACTTTTGCTTATCATTTTCAAGAAGACGCTGCACACTTTCATTCGATAGCAAACCTTATATTGCTCATAATTAAAAGAATCGAACTACAGGATTTTTATTACGATACGATCTTCTTGGTTCGTATCATTTGATACTTAAGTTTTGTCGCTGTAAGGCTTTGTATCAATACCAAATTTTAACTAACTACGATCCTGACCTAAAGTTACTCTCGTAATGAAATCTGGTCGTTTAAATTGTAATTATTCGTTATATTTTTTCTTAGGCATTACTTCTTTATCTTTTATAATAGGTCCCGTTTCAATCACATTTTAACACACAAACGGTAATAGTATTTAGTATAACTAAGACAATGTTTATGCACAAAACAATTGTTCTCTGCCTTCATTGCTTAACACGATAACGAGTTTTTCACGAGTTGGTTTCCTTGTTTGTTAGAAAGCAACAATCCTAATCGCAATTAATCAAGTGAACATTATTTGTCAATGAAAACATGCAGTACGTATCTCATGTGCAATCTAGGCTAACCATAATTGAATGTGTGATTATAAACGCCGACTCTGAGGTAACATGTTTTCATGACTTGGCTTAACTTAACTCGGCTGACAGGATGGGAGGGTGCGATGCAAAGTTGTGAGAATTATTATCCCTGACAATGGCATGTATATTGCTTATTTAGCTTTAAGCATAAGTTCATATGTCTATAGCATGGGGGTTGTTTATTTACATTTACTCATGGAACATTAATCATGTTTGCCTATTACGTGTCACTTCATGCACTGCTTAAGTCTTTGGAAGATAGCAACCACTAAGCAAGTTTCAGTGTCACATTTCAAATATGATGCTTTGAATTAGGGAAAATAGTGCAAATGTGACACTTTAAAACTCCCGAAATGACCCACACAATTATTTCATTCAAGATTGATTAAAGGACAGTAGAGAAAGGTAAGAACCCAAAGGAAATTCAATGCATTATGAAGTTATCAGGTATTTATCTTTTGTTAGCTTCCGCAATTGCTTGCAAAGCCGTTAGTGCATACTCTGGCGATTACGATTCACCGTCTGGCGGCGAAGGACAGGTAAGGCTGCCTAGCCTGTCATGTATTGATGGATGCATAAAGACTCACGGGAAGCTGTTAAATAAGAGATACGTTCTACGGCAATACTTATTTGAATTTTTGTGTTAGCAACAGAGGCAGTGGCTGTACATAATAGAGCAAACCACTGAACGGACTGCATCTCTTCATTCAAATACATTGTATGAACTTAAATTTACGTGTAACTCTCTTTTGTCAGTACTAATTTATAGAGACTATCAATCATCTTGTAACCTCCGAAATAAGGAGCAGTCGTAGTTAATATTTTGTACAGAATAATGTAATATTGAGAATTTTCCAAATTTCGGTAGCTTGAAAGAGTACAGACCATACTCTAAATTAGTCGTTCCATAGAACCTTAACTCCGTGAACGGAAATCCTGTTTATACTATGATTCCAACTTATACTGTGTTGCACAGAGTGGTATTCCGTGTCTATGTGGATTGACTATAGCCATAGGAAATACGAAAGCTTATATTTACACGTAGGCTTGGCGCGTTGTTCTAGATCAACACTCATTCAAAGATGAGGGCAAATTATTGCATTGCCTTTTAATGGGTTGTATCATGACATATGTCTAAGTGAGCAGGTTTTGTCTACTTGTTCGATATGCAAAATACTTTTCCACACCTTCATTTTAACTAGTTGATAAAAATGATGAAATACACTCTTATATTGTGGGATAATACTCCCATGCTTAACTATAACCACGGCAGTGCAAACATAGTAGATTAATTACCGAATATTCAAATCCATATACGGATATGCCGTTTGTGATTTTAATAAAAATAGAGAAAATTAAATACGATTTAACAATATAGGCTTAGATGTACAACACAGGTGACTGATATTGAGGAATTATTTAAAACACATGTTATAATCGTTCTGATATCTTGCAATGCTTGTGAAGATCGCTAGTCCTATGAAAATATGATAAAAGGAGCTACGTTACTTATGGCTCGATCAATTATTTGATGCGTCCAAATTAGGGGGCTTTGAAGAATATGTGGCCACTCAAATGATATTGTACATCGTATCCCACTTCTTGCCGGTATATTTATGGTTTTCTCATTCTAACGACCCGACTTACACAATTAAAGGTGTTACCTTTTGGTAAAGTTAGTTAGAAACATAAATTATAATTAAGATAGACTAAATTAAATACACCAAAAAAACTTTAAACGAGCTGAAACAGAATTAATAGCTTGCGCACATCAACTTCAGTAACCTTTTATAGCGGGATGACAAGAAAATTCATGTTGCACATCTGCACTTTTGAAACTGGACATGCGCGGAAAATCTAAGCCAGGCATATCCGCTTTTGGGCCTTTGAACCAATGTCTAGCAGACGTCGCATACCATAAGAGAATTATGCCCATTGGAACACAATATCCAACACATGTCCAGTTCATTTTTAAGGCACTAGGATGCCTCTCGGTTGGGAAACATAATATAGGTATCATTATGAGCACAAAAACAGTTCCTATAGCACCAATAAATCGAGAATATCGACCTAAATGCCAAGCTCCGCGGTAAAATTCATTGTCTTTTACGAAGAAGGCCCGCATTCCAATTGGAATGATAAAAGCCACAAAGGCTGCGATTCCAGAAACAGCAAAAACCGCATCAATAGCGCATTGTCCTACAAAAAAGAACAAGAAAATAACAACTGTTATAGAGCAGTTTACAACAATGACATTAACAGGTGTCGTTGTATGTTTATTCATTTGCGCCATCCATTTTGAAAAAGGTAAAACACCATCACGAGCATAAGAAAACCCAATGCGAGAGGAAGTAATTAAGACACCCTGTGCCATAACAAAATTTGAAAACACAGTAAACGCAATGACTGCTTTAGCTGGTTCACGATTAAGCACCTGCGACAGATAAACGACCCACAGATTCCTTGATCTAACGACGTTCTCAAAATCAATGATTGTGTATGCAATTACCATATGTAAAATCCAACCAAAAAGTCCACCAACAACAGCGGTAAGAATTATGCCATTAGGTGCATTCACGCTAGCACTGGAACACTCTTCAACAAGATGATAAGAAGTATCCAAACCTGCTAAGGACCAGATAACACCACAAAACGACATCAGCATAGCGAAACCTTGAGGCCATTCTGTGCCATTATTAAAGTGACTCCATACATATTTTGAATTGTTGAATCCGTGGCGTAAAGAGGCAGTGATAAGGATGATAAGCACAACAGCAAAAAGGGATACTAGGTTGAGTAAAGTGAAGACAGTGTTTACACGTCCAATAATTCTTGTCGGTAATGAAGCCATGAAGGCAAGTACCACAATGAAGAAAAAAGAAAGGAAAAATATATGATGTTGTTTAATCTCATAATCCGACCCATCGTATTGAGCAGCAGCATAAATTGTTGTGCTAGATAGACTATAGACACAACTTGCAAAAAACGAAAGTTGAGCTATGTAGTTGGACCAACCAGTAATCCAAGCAGCCAAAGGACCCCATCCTTTGGGAGCAAGTACTTTAGCCGAGTAATATAATCCTCCGGATGTTGGCATACTAGAACATAATTCAGCCATACTCGCGGCAATGCACCAAACGAATAGCAAAGCTATCAACCAACCCCATAGCATTCCTGGTGTGCCTGATAGCATTGTAAAATTAAGTGTGGCCGAAACCGAAGGAAGCAAACCCAAGACAGAGAATGAAACACTGAAGACGCCAAATAGAGAGAGTCCTCTGTGGAACGACTGTTTGTATCCTAAACGAGCCAAATCCTCTGCGTCATCCACATGATCTCGATACACAGGCCTAAAAATTATTTCGCCAGTTTCAACAGAGGAATTGTATGGCTTCGAAAATGAATCCGAACTTGATAAAGTATCGAAATCAGTAAAACTCATCACAACAATTTACCAAAACAACAGAATAAAACGAATGAGTTGACCGTAGTCTTTTAAATAATGCCGACAATTCAGCGAGTAAACAAAAACCGGATAAAAAGAGAAAAAAAAAAACACAGTAATATATCCGTAAAACAGTGAACAAATTGAAATCCTTGACCTTTTAATTAAACCCCGCTCAAGGACGAAAAACGAATGCAAAATATAGGAAAAAAAGTGAAGCACTTTTACATATAAATTAACATGCGACTTGACCGCTTTTGGACAATCTCTAAAACTGGAAGTCTTAAAAAGTCAAATTGGTGAACGAGAAATAACAATTTTTTGTAATTCCACGGTACTAAGTCACCCTTCTCTAGTATAAAAACAAAATGGAAAGCGATCTGCACTTGTACCTCGTTTCGGGTAACAAATGGAAGCGTACGAAAGCCAAACACTTGGATGTACTTTCAAACAGGTAATAATTACTAATGCAGGAGCAATTGTTCAATTTATATCATATTGAAAGCATTGAGAATTTCACATATTACGTAGCGAGAGTACTGTCAAAATATTTTTTAGGTATTCGCAGTGCGATTTTATCTACTAACTGAGAAGAAACAGCGCCTATGACGTTTTCCTCTACATGCAGGCGAACTCGATATGGAAAACGTTCTTTTCCAGCTATTTTTCTTTCGTCCGTTTTCAAAAGTACGTATACAAAAGATTCTGTATCATGAATTCTAAACTATCGAGCCATTTTTTGTCAATTGCACAAGCATTAATTTATAGATTTGTGTTTTCATCACCACCCAAGACATTTTGCTTGTCCAAAACGTCATATTTTGCACTTCATTATATTTAAGCTTTAGTAAGCGTATCCAAACTTAGTGGTTTTAATGCTATTAGCGTCGTAATCCTTCGCTAGTACAAGCATGTGATAATGCGGTTTCCAAATTGAACGAATCAGTAGATGACTAAGGTAAGACAGAAAGCAAATAAAATAATCCTATTTTCTGTTTGTTTTATCATTATAAAAAGCACACATCATTTTAAAGGAATTGCTTTAGAGCCAGATTATATAATAGACACTAGTGCTCTTTACGCGAAAACAATTTACAGCTTTCGGTTTAATAGCTTAGAATGGTGCTGACCAATCGCAAGGTCACAGTTAGTCAGGGGCTTATTCGACGTGGTCCCACGTGGTTAGCCGACCGCTGTTTCTTTAGCAGTTAGTTTTAATTCACTGATTCAACTACTAGTGAGGAGCAATCGTAAAGCGACATCGTATATTACCATAGTCAAACTACTCTGTGCGCTGGACTTGCGAACGAGACGAGTTGATATTTTGAGAAATCCGTCTATCTAAATCGGTATTTACTGGTGGTTTTGCTGACACCACTCATGTTACATTACTGGCCATATTTGGAGCACGAGGCCTAACGAATACCTTCTAGAGACCGAATTTCAAGAATGCTTATGCCATAATATTTGATAATCCAACTTACAAGTCTAAGAGGTCGTGCTTAAGTATGTATATTTACATTCAATACTTGTGACTGTGCACTCAGTTACTATGAAAAATTGGACAACAATAGTTGGGTACCCCTGAACGAAGATGCCTGAAGTGCGTAAAACAGAAAATCGACAAATGTGAGCAAGACGGTCATGTTTTGGTTCGTTACGGCTCAAAAGGTTGCCAGAGTAATTCGCTTAACAAAAGGATTGATTTCCGACACAACATCATTATTAAGAATGCTTGCCCTTTAATAAAGAAAGCAAGTTAAACATACAAGTTAAATTAAGCATTCTTTGACAAATCTTGATTCTTAGCTACATAAATGCTGAATATAAATTTCAGTTTGGTTTGGTCGTCGGGTTTGTGTACAGTATATACACAATACAGATGTATATACTACGGTTTATGTTTCTACGATATAATGGATATGTTTCAAACGAAACCATGATACAAAAGAAAGCCGGTCTTCGCAAATAATTTCTAACCTAGCCGTACTTTAGATAAGTTACCTTTATCATAGAACCATCCCTGATAATTGTTTGCGTGCAACTACTGTAAAAATGTTATATAATAGAACAATTTTCGAGAAGGCAAGTTTTTGGATATACGTCAATAAAAGATTCGTTTAGCCTGCTATCGCTCAAAAGAACACCCAGATTTTTGAATAGTTCATGACAACGAAGAATTAGACGTCATAAATTATGAAATTTGGGTCTACTTGAGCGTAAAGGAACCATCCATAATTTCCAAGAGAACTGGACAATGATTGAGGCTAATAACATGTGTAATCCCTAAAAAAATTATGACGCCGCAGGCCATTGATCCTCATAGTATGTTTGATAAGCCATATACAGTAAATTGACCCTAGAAACCTAGAACCCTAGAACATATATTAATACGGGACTAGAATTGGCTCAAAGAATCAACATTCAACATTCTAAACACCATGTCGATCAAGAGTAGCGTTCACGTCAGCAACAGTCAACTCCTTAAGCGCATGAAATCAATTCACAGTAATGTTACATTAACGTTATGTTGTAATTAGCTTACAAACACAAACTATTGAAGTTAAAATGTTGGTATATAATTGAGTATTTTTTTTACCTAAGCTCAAGCTGGCATGCAAGGATCGGTTTCATAAAGACGGACTGTCTTGTTCTCGTGTGTCTTCTATAAATTGGACAAGAAGTAACATACAGAGCAATAGTTAAAACGTAAATTTTTCATTCATAACTTACGTGCGTGTACTAAGCAAACCCTAGACTAAATCTCCTCATGCATATAATGTCCAACTAAACAACTTGTCCGACCCGTATTTATGTATTTGCTCGGATTCGTAAAATAACGTCCGACCCGTCCTAAACTGAAATTGACCACCACGCACGCATTGCATCATCGACAATGCATCGCAATTCAACGACGGCGATGTTGCTTCCTACCGAAGACGTGCTAGCTTATTAATAGATTTCGTTTTGACTTAAACTTGATTTATTTATATATACAACGACGTAATTAGAAAGCTAGTATACAGAATTAAAGATTAAATCCATGTTCTCGTCCTAAAACCCACTACAGCACGCAACACTAGATCCATTTCTCTTCCTTAGGCAAAAAACTGCTTCCATTGGAAACCGCTGCAACGGAAAACAGCGGTATAGATGTCTCAACGCTTTTTTTTCTTTTTTCTTTTTTCTATTTTTGATTTGATATTAACAAGCAACCCAGAAATACATTTTCGATTTACTTAAACAGTGCTATTACCCCCCCTTTGCAGTACACTATACTATGATTTAAGGGTTTGCTAGAATTCATAAAATTTCACTATTATAACTAAGAAAGGATGTTGTCAATTATTGCGTAATTATCATTTAACAATCGCGTTGAAACACATTAAGTTCTTCATACAGTAGTATTTAAAGCTACGCAAACTTGCGGTGCTACACCGTACACCACTAAAGAACACACACCAACGTATTGCAGTGCAATTCATAAATAAATTATAACGTGTTCCAAAGGGTCACTATTTACAATTGAGTACCTCGTTAGAATGTGTAAACGAGATAACGTGCCATACAACAGTGCTGTATTTACACATTATGATCCTAAAACGCACTACATTAAAATCGTGCGTACCATAACGCGCTTTTATGCAAAACGCTAATAAAATTTAAGGAATGAAAAGGATGCGTAAGCAAACATAAAACGCATCCTTAAGATGTGTTAAAAACGTAACACGCGTTTTTCCACCACGTTAAACATTTTACTGTCCTCTAAGCCAGAACACAAAAAATAACACCGAGTACAAAGGCAATACTTAACGACACACTAACAATATAACGAGTGTTTTCGGGATCTACTATGTTAAAGTTAATAACACGCTTTGTTACACCACGCAATATATTTAAAAAAGGTATAACCAAGATTTGAACACGAGCCTTAACACAACATAACACAAAAAGACAATACCACTAGGCTATCATCGGATACGTGTGCCCAATTCAAGTAAAACTCGCGACTATATCAAAACTTGGAATCATTTTATGAATATCATGGAAAAAGAAAAGGTGTTACGAAGTTATGCGAGTTTCCAAAAAACGAGGTTTGCTTACTTTTGTTCGTATTATTGAAACTATCTAAACATTTCTTAATATTATGCAAACTGTTTTTTTGACATACCCTTTCCGAAGAAGAATGTTTAGTCACAGTATCGCTCCTGGTAGCAACATTAATTTGTATTGTTATGCTAAATCCAGTACTGTGAATAAGACTAGTATTGTGAGCAACACTTGAAGCCATGTAGAATAAATTTTATATTTATTAGTAATTCTGGGTTTCTATACATATAATTACGAGATGCAACGCGCCGCATGATAACCCGCAATTAGTAGTGGCTAAGTGTAAAGTTTATACGCTCTAGCGGCGCGCATGCGATTAAATACGATCGCCAACTTCAAACAGCGATTCTGATCGCTACAGGCATCGTACGAGGTTCGCGTGACAACAACTGCAGTCGCGTAAATTACCTCTTCGTGACTGTATAATTCACGCCACGCTTAGTCATACCATTATGACTAAGAACCGTTTCTTCAGTATAAATACCTTAGCCTTAGTCTGAAATGATCATCACTTGTTTTTCAGAACATTCTCGTTCAACTTTACACATAATGCAGTGCAGTGCAACGTAAGTCAGCACTTGCGAACACCCTTGACTAAGAGTACGGGTCGGACGCCTATTAATTTTAGTTCACTATTATCAGTTTTTTATTAAGACTGCAGTTAAATATGTCTAAGTTGGCGATCGTATTTAACCGCTTGTGCGCCGCTAGAGCGTATAAACTTTACAGAGCGATTAAGGGAACAATGACGACAGTCGTAAGAGAAAAAAGATTCATCTTCTCGATATAAGAAGGAAGTAAAAAGGTAAGTGATTTACCAGACCAGGTTGCAGTAACGTAAAGCAAAGACAGTCGACGATCCATGTAACGCCTTAAGCTCACAAAAGTGTGCACGTGACCAGGGCCTGAACCTGGACACCACACCGAGAGCGCCAGCGTTGTGCTAGGCCACGCAGCAACACGCTACGAAAGCCTGCGGTCTTTGACCGCACCCACGCAACGCGCGTTAATTAATTAGCACGCACCGCGACGAGTTTGTTTGTTATGATACGCTAAGGGACTTAGACGTATCAAACGAAAGTATAAGTTTTAAGAACTTATACACTAAACAGTAGGAGAATAGAACTTGTTTTATTAGTAGTTTCTATTCTAATATTTATACTAATTATTGTTGCTATTATTAGCAACAATGTGACTGGTCATTCCCTTTTTGGAAAGGGTATGACAGAAGTGCAAGAATTGCAAATTCGGAAAGGGTATGACCGAAAAACATTTTTGTACATCGTCTGAAAACGACTAAGTTTTTCGGAAATGCATACGAAAGTATGCAAAGTGCGTTTTCTAGAAACGCGAATAACTCCTTACGAAGTCATCCTAGAGACTTCGTAACATAACCATTAAACTTATCTTGACGACTTTTAAGCGAAGCTTATTCAATTAAGGTGTTCCTATCTGAGATAGATAGTTTGTCACCGGACATTCGTAATACAGCTCTTTTACGAGAAACAAGACCCTTCACGGAATACCGCCGTGACAAAACATTGTCACGGAGCAAATGAACTTATGTCATTGCCTCCGAGTACTTTTAAACTTGGGAATGAAACAATCATTCAACTGATTGGTTTCTTAAATTGAATGACTAAGCATTCGCTAGCATTCACTGCTATTACGAAGCAATTCCGAGTTATTGCTTTTACATTTGCACAACTTGCAAAATTATTGAATTTTATTTCTCAAAAATTAACAAACATTACAAATACGAATTAGTAACAAAAGATAGTATCAATTAAATAGTTAATATAAATATGCAAGAGTTCAATGGCTATAATCCGTTGAACACTACTTGTTCCTTTCAACAATAACTTTCAAGAACAATTGCGCGCATTATAACAATTAAGGTTTATTAACCGAAGCTTCGAAAGGTTAAAGGAAATAAGTTATTCATTGTTTGAAGCCAACAAACAGGAATCCTCAATAGAACTAAACATATCCGGCCTCGAACCGTGACAGGCATGAGAAGCTCACATGGTCCAGTGGTCAAGACTCAACGTTGTGGCCGTTGCAACCGTTCGAGTCTTGTTGTGGGCATCATTATTGAGGTCCAACCAACAATCACGTTGCAACGTGACTGCTCAACCCAGCCACCTTAAGACGGTGACTAAGCCCACTTCCGAGTTTCTCTCTATTTAAACCTGTGTTCGCTCCCCAAAAATTCATCACTTGTTCTCAGAACATCCTCAACTCGTCCTTACGCCTGAGGTACCGCGCCAACATACTTGTCGGCGCGATACTGGGTATACAATATTTGGTAGCTTTTTAGCCTTATTGTAACCTAACCACTACACTTACCTTTCAACCATGTCTTCTTTTACTTGTAACGTTTGCCAGAAAACTTTCGCGCACCGCACGTCTGTTTATTCGCATAAACAACGTACCCATGCAGAAACGTTTTCTGTTCACTTACTTAGTGAATTCAAGCAGGCCGTCATCTTTCGCAGATCCGATGACGAGGGACTTTTCCATTGTTGCTGTGGGAAGCGTTCTTGGAAAGATCCAAAGACTTTGTCAAAACACGTGAAGACGTGTCCAGCTGTTTTCCACGCAGTACTTGACGGGTCTTTGGAAATTGACGAGGAAAATCCCGCGATGTTGAGAATTTTTCTTGACGCAATCAAAGAAAAAGTCCATTCCGAGCTTGGGCAATCGTCTGCAATGTCAAAAGAACTCGTTCTCAAGGCATCTTCAGCTTCTTCGTTTACAAATCCTGAAGCTATCCCTTGCGATTTTTCTGGGGACCAAGATTGCTGGGACACCGAGCTGTGGAATCCACAGCAAACAACATTTGCTTCTCTTTTCCCCGACTACAGGGAAGTCAACGTGCCATTGCCTCTGCTGAGTAATGGCTTTTGTCTGCACTCCGTGTTGGAGGGCACGATCATCGTTTGCCTACGGTGCAAAACTGTATTGGACGAAGAAATGCTACTTCGTCATATCGAAACGGAGCACCCTCAGATGGCAACTGAATATTCTGCCTTCTGTAAAGTGTTTTCCGAAACAAGGTTCTTGTGTCTTGACGAGATTTTCAATTACGTTGATGACCTCAAAAAAAACGGACTTCAGTTTCCTGTGATTCCCGGACTTGACGTTATCAAGGATTGCTACTACTACGAAAACGAAATCTACAAAAGCAAGAAGGATTTTGCCGATCGTGTTCGTAGGCAGCAGATTGGTTTGATGTCAGCACTATCGAAAACAAAAAAGGTTGACATTCAAGTTCTCAACCTTGGAATAATGTCAATATTAGCATTGGTATTTTCTCGCAAGTTAGCAAGACACTTTCTCGACAGCTGTCTTCGTCCATTTTTGAACAAGCACTCCCGGCTCCTTCTGCACCGTAAGCTGTGGTAAAGCAATGTCTTCATGGACTGCGTGTTCTTTATCAGTCCAGCAAAAGCCGCCGGTTTAAGCTGTTGTCAAAGCCTTGAAGAAGTAAGAGTATATTTGGAAGCTGGAAAACTTCCAAATATCATTGTATTTACTACAGACCAGGTTGTCTCTACTAGTGCTTTACAGCTTTTGGCTACTTTTAATGAGCGTCATCAACTCGCTCGAGTTGTTATTGATGAAGCTCACACCATTGTTGCAGACAGCCCTTGGCGATCTGTTATGTATCGCATGAAGAATTTAATGCAGGTAAGTTGCTCATTTCTGTTGTTGACAGCAACCTTGCCCTTAAAGATGGAACGTCAACTGTGCTCCGAACTGTGCATTGTTCCTTATCCAATTCGCTGTTCTACGATGAGACCAAATATTGAGTATCGTGTTCAGCGGCTTGTGAAAAGAGATTTCTTAAACGTGCTTATTTCATATTGTGAGCAAGCACAAAAGATAACGGAACAAGGATGGCGTGGACTAGTATTTTTTCAGTCCAAAAAGGTTTTACATTCCTGCTACGAAGCTGTTCAGAAAGACACAAGCTTCAAGTACAAGGTCGGTATTTATTATTCCGATTTGGAAGAAACCGAAAAAAAAGAAAACATGGCGAGGTTCATGGCTTCTGAGGACTCGCTAGACATTATGTTCTGCACAAAGGCTTTTGGAATGGGTGTTGATTATGCCCATGTCAGATTCTCTATTCATTATGGAAGTCCTGGCACCATCTTCGACTACGCACAAGAAAGCGGACGCTGTGGAAGAGATGGAAAACACGCTACTTCTTTATTGTTGCATTATCCCTTTAGTGGTTTTGAGTCAGAAATGCATATGGAGGAAAACATGAAGAATCTCTTGCGCGATAATAATTTATGTGTGAGAGAGGCAATCAGCGGAGAATTGGACAACGCGGCAGAGTCCTGTTGTAGTTATCCTAATTGTGTTCCATGCTTTAGGTGCTCTGATGATGTTAACAACGAGACATATTTACCGACACAACATGTTGGTGACATTCAGATGTTTAACCGTACACCCTCCGCAATGTCAACATTAATTATTGAGGACGACAGTTCTTTTTTTAGTGCGTATGATGCCTCTTCACCTTTAAAGAACAAATCTAGGGTTCCGCACCAGGACATCGACATCTTTTCTCCCACTATAGAAGGAAATCCGAAAATAAGTGAAGGAAACACAGACGCTGCTACGACCCAAACACAAATTTCTTGTGAGATTTCGTCAAGTTCGCAGGAGAGAAAACGGAAGATTGGAAGCGACGATTCCGCATCCATGAATGTACCAAGCTCGGACTTTTCCTCACCTACTAAAAGGGTGCAAAGGAACATCAACAATAACACGGAGGTGGTGGACCGTGTCAGGTCTTTACATATGGGACGTCTTATGTTCATCAAGCATTGCGGAAAACAACGGAACGTGACAAACAAAGAAGACTTCTCGCCTCGTTTCCTCCCTCGACAGCTTTCCTTGCTATTGCTGCGATACCTTGTCCGCATTCGCCCAGCAGAACAACTATTCTGTGAGCTTCTCTACAATGAGGACTCTAAAGTGGAAGACCTTAAGACTTCTGTCTTCCTAAAGAATGGCTCTACACTCCCTATTAATGAAGCGTATCGGAAGTTGTATCAAAATACTTCCAAGAAGTCCTTGGTCTGTTTATGGGTCTTAGAATTTATCGAGATGTGGCTACTTACTTCAAGGAGCGTTTCCTTGAAGGACCCCAGCAAGCACAACTCTCGACTTATGATGCACAAGACAGGTCGCTGTCTCAATTTATGGTCGCTCTGATGCTGGTATGTCTTCAATGGACAGATGTATTGCCCAATGCATACACAGCATCAATCAATTGGCAAAGTCTTCTTGGAATAGAAGAAGAACAAGAGGCAACAGGGCAAACAACAACAGAACCCCAAGCTCCTTCTGTGGTTGAACATTCGCTCCCTTTGGCACAGGAACATTCCTGTATCACTGAGCCAACAGTGACAGAAGTACTGAAACCAATTGTCACTCGTGGTCCTAGAAGGATGACTGCCTGGAGGGCTTACGACTTCTATTACAAAAAGAAGATACCTGCTTTAGAAATCCAGAGCAAGGATGGGCTGTTTCTACAGCTTTGGGTCGTCGACTGTCTTTGCTTTACATTACTGCCACTATTAGGATGTCTACTGGGTTGCTACTATTCACAAGGGGTTTTCTGAGGAACTTCTTGTATTTACTAGTTAGTCCAAAGTTAATTGATTAATTCTAACTCCTTCCTATTTATACTATTTTCCGTGTGGATCCTACGGATCCACACCATTGCGGGACTACGATTCCTTTGAGTACGCTAGCGCACGGTATGGAGCGCTAGCGCCGGTTCGTAGTTTAACGACATTGCGGTCGCTCGCAATTGCGAGGGTTACGGTGCGTATCGTAACATGAGAAGGTAAACAAGAACGGCATTGCCATTAAGGAGACTCTAGAGATAGCTTTGGTAAGTAAAACTCGTTGGAAAAGTACTAACTGTTTTAGTAATAATATTATTTCTTAAAAATTTGAAAAAGGAGGGAGTTGACCAAAGAGTCCTCCAATATTTTTGACATGTCTCATTGCTAGGGAACCTCTGTCAAAATCAAATTTCTAACACTATAGGAACAGCCGGGGCTCTGTTACGAGTCGAACCCCGTTTGTTTGAAGCCCATTGCTCTTCTGCTTCTTGCGCAATGGAGGGGCTGTCGTTGAATAATTTTAAAGGTAAGTCATTGCTGCTGCTGCGGCGTTTCGTTCTCAATTCTAACTACCTCATAGGCGAGAAGGCTACAATATATCGTAGCTAATGAATTCAAAATTGTTTTAACTCTATTCAATATTGTTCTTAGGGTCAGTTGCCGTCGACAATCAACGGGAGATGTTGAATTGTGCCCGACTGAAAAGCTTTTATTGTTATTTGACTACACTAACAATCCTATAATCGCTATTTGGCCTCTCTGACAATCCCATTTTCCGGTTTTGACTTACAATTCTGTCTAACCGACAGTACTAATTTTTCAATTGCGGACTTAGTCGTGAGAGACTTCATGTAAGCCCAGGCTCTATTGTGACGTCAGCAGCGCTACGACCAATAGCGAGCGACCAATGCGACTTAAGTAATCGCAAAACTTCGGAATGTAATTGTGGTCGCTACAAAGGTCATACGAGGATCGCGTGACCTTATCTGCAGTCGCCCGATCACGGACTATGTGACTGCATAATCACGTCACGCTTAGTCAGCGGACTAAGCCCGCTTCCTAGTTTTCTCCTATATAAACCTTAGTGTTAGCTCCCAAATAACCATCATTAGTTTTACAGAACATCCTTGACTCGGCCTTACACTTGGTTGCGAGTTCTTTGCCCTGTTCTGCCTCGGATCCCCTCGTCTCCCTCTGTCTCTCGTCCCTCGCTTGCGTCTCAATGGAACCATCGACGCCTATGAACCCCTCGGCCCCCATGGGCACTCCCACTCCTGCTGCCACTCCTGTCCCCATGGCATCATCAACTCCTGTGCCTCCCATGGCCGCGTCAGCCCAGATGCCTCATTTTGTCCCCCCGCCCCCGATGTCTCCCATGGAAGTTTCCATGTCTATGGAAACCGGCTTCGACTTCAGCAAGCTGAAGGTTGAAAAGCCCCCGGTGTACAGTGGAGAATCGGATGTCTCCACATTTGAAAATTGGTGTTACCTCATGTCGGAATACCTATTTTTCAACAACGTGCCTCCGCCTTACCAATACCGCGTGATGGGCCAATTTCTCCGCGGTAGGGCTATCGAGTGGTACCGCAATTGTATCGCCGAGGCTCCGACTCCGCCAACGGATAAGGATATGCTGATCGCGGACATGAAGCGATACTTCCTCCCTGCCAACGCGTACGATAGGTTGTACGAGGAGTTCTACCAGTTACGTCAGACTGGTACTGCAATTGAGTTTATCGGCAAGCTTCGTCGGTTCAAGACGTTGCTCAATCTTTCGGACCGAGAAGTCCTCCTCCGCCTCCGCCTCGGTTCCAGCCCTATGGCACAGTTCCAGCTTAAGCAGCTGAACCCGGGCCACTTCGAGGAGGCTGCCAAGATCGTTGAGAATGTGGACTCTGCCCTCCCGGGCCTCTTCAGTGACCTTCTGCAGCGGTCTGGAATGTCTAGCCGTATGGCTTCCAATGGCTTCTGCTCCGTCTCGCAACCAGCATCGGATCCGATGATGGTTGATTCAGTCCGTCTCCGTAAACTTACGGATCAGGAACGCGAGCGTCTTAAGCGAGAAGGCCGCTGTTTCCGCTGTCGCCGACCTGGCCACTTCGCCAGCGCTTGTACACGTTTCCGTGGTGACAAGCCTAAGGTCGCAGCTGCGCAAGTGGCTCCCCAAGCTGCTGCTCAAGCACCTGCCCAAGGAAATGGTTGCCACTGCGCCGACTGCCCCGCAGCGAAGGCCGCCAATCAGAATACTGCAGATAGTAATCTGATCAACCTTTCCAATTATCCCTCGTTGCGCCATGTAGACAAACCAACAATAGCGGAACTTCGACGTCGGACACCACCGCCACCAGGATTCGAGCATCTGTTCTCCGCTCCGTTGCCCAAGGAACCATCGCACAAGGAAACCAAAGCCTCTCCTACCACGACTCAGGAAACTAAGCCACAGGATCGAGTCATCTCTCCTACCCCCTCGGACGAGCTTTCGCCAACAGGCGTCAACGGATCACCAAAGGAGCTAACTGCACGTGTTGAACAGACTGCCGTAACGCATGTTGCCCCACCGCCATCATCGAAAGAAGTCACAAGCCTCGTCCCACCAATAATCGACGAGCTACCATCGGAGGAAACGCCTTGGAAACCACTGGACCCCGCGCCTCGGATTGCTGCTCTAACTTCGGATACTCTGGAAGGAATGCCGAAGCTCATACGACTCCATGAGCTTCGCCCCAAATTCGGCAAAGCTCCAGAGGTTGAAGTCCAAATCGGAGAAACTTTCATTCGCGCGCTTCTGGACACGGGCTGCGAAACGATGCTCATGTCCAGGCGCTTAGCCACCGAGCTCCGATTGGACGTTATGGAAATTCCCCAGCTACCTGTCACCTTAGCTCTCGGAAACCAGGACAGCTCTCCTGCAATCTCGGCACACACAGGACTTGTCACCTTCCGATTGGGTGACCACGAATACCAGGAGCGATTTTATGTCGCCGACTCGGAAACGGATCTCATTCTCGGAACTCCCTTCTTCGAGGAACACGCGCCGGAGATAGACTGGAAGCTTCGCGAAGTCACCGTTGACCGCTGCACGGTGCCCACTCAGAACCCATTGGTGGCACCACTCAGGATTCAGCAAATGAGCGGTCGTGGCTTTGCTCGCCTGGTTCGGAAACGCAAGGAGGTTCATGCACTGTTCGCCCTTCGGTTGCATGAACTTCGGGACAAACCTCAGAACCTGACCCCGGAACTCCTCGGCGAATACATGGACGTATTCGCACACAAGCTCCCCGACGGACCACCAATCTCGCGTAAGGTCGACCTCAAGATCCCATTGGTCCCGGGAGCCGCGCCACCGTACAAGGGAATCTACCGCTTGTCCCAACCAGAACTCCAGGAACTCAAACGGCAACTCACGGAACTCCTCGACTCAGGAAAAATCAGGCCATCGACGTCTCCCTATGGTGCCCCAGTCCTTTTTGTCAAGAAGAAGGACGGCTCGTTTCGAATGTGCATCGACTATAGGGCGCTAAACAACTTAACGATCAAAAATCGTTACGCCCTTCCGCGCATTGACGAGCTTCTGGACCAAGTCTATGACGCCTGTAGGCCTTGTCCCGTAGGTATAGTTAAGATTCCTTTTATTCAATAATTATCTACCTATTTATACAATTCTAGGACGACGCGTAAGTGTAAACAAACGCGTCGCGGTGCGCGTTAATTAACTAACGCGCGTTGCGTGGGTGCGGTCAGAGACCGCAGGCTTTCGTAGCGTAGTGCTGCGTGGCCTAGCACAACGCTGGAGCTCTCGGTGTGGTGTCCAGGTTCAGGCCCTGGTCACGTGCACACTTTTGTGAGCTTAAGGCGTTACACCTTCTCACCTCCAGAAGAGAGCACACCCTCCGGCACCTCCCCACCTAGTGCCTTTACTTTTCGCCAGTACGTCCGGATGACGTCTGGCGCAATGTGGTCGGCGGGCTCCCAGACGTCGTCTTCTTCGGTATAGCCCGACCACCGGACCAAGTACGACCACTTCCCATAGTGGTTCGCGTGTGCCAGGAGTTCTTCGACGTCGTATTCGACGTCAATGGATCCGTCTGGATTGTACGCTTCAGGAGGAAGCGTACCATGGTAAGTTTTAAGGCGCTCGATGTTGTACACCGGGTGAGCCTTTGAGTCGGGGGGCAATTGGAGCTTTGCGACGTTCCCCAGTCTCTTCAAAATTTTAAATGGGCCGTCCCAGCGGCGACCCATCTTCGTTCCCATGTTTTTGATTCGTTTTACTAACGCGAATCGTCCAGGAATTAGATCTTCGTCCGGCTCCCTCCGGTGCTTGTTCCCTTCCCTCTCCTGGTGCTCCTGGGCCCGCTGCATTGAGTCGCGGGCCCTGCAGATAGTGTCGTTCAGGCTCGAGAGGTATTCCTCTGCAGCTGGCTCGTCACTAACTGCATGGCGGGCGATCCCAGTGGGAGTAAAGCCATAATTGGCTTGGAAGGGAGTTGTGCCAATTGATGAGTGAACGCTGTCATTGTACGCGTACTCTACGAGAGGGAGCAGGGATTCCCATCTGCTCGGGTCGCGCCAGGCAAGCGTCCTGAGCATCTGCTTGACAGTCCGGATGGTTCTCTCGGACTGTCCGTCGGTCTGTGGATGTGCGGCCGTCGACATCTTGAGCTTCGTGCCCAAGATTTTGTGTACCGCCTTCCAGAAACGGGCCTTGAACCTCGGATCTCGGTCTGAGGTAATTGTTTCAGGCAGCCCGTGCAGCCTAAAGACGTTGCGGACAAACAGGTCCGCCGTTTCTGTTGCTGAGATGGTCTGTCGGCACGGTGCCAACACGACCATCTTCGTGAGTCGATCTACGACCACGAGAACAGCGTTGTTGCCCTCGGCGTCCGTCGCCGTCATGGGCCCGAAGAAGTCCATGGCGATTTCTTGCCATGGGCGGGTGGGAATGCTCATGGGTTGCATCAACCCTTGAGCTGGTCCAGAAGTACCTTTGGAGAGCTGGCAATCGTGGCACTCTTTAACGAACTTCTGGACATCGCGATACATCCGGGGCCAGTAGAACACGCGGGCCAGTTTCGCATAGGTTCTGTCGACTCCCGGATGGCCTGCTATCGGTGTGCTGTGATGGTCGAACAGCAGTTTCTGCTTTGTAGACCCAGCACTGACGCATAATCGCCAAGGCAATTGGTGATTATTGCGATAATAGAGAAGACCGTCTCGAATCATGAAGCGGTCGTTCTCGCCAGGCGTCTCGTTTTCCCGCTGGGAATTCTGCAATAGCTCCCAGCGCTCCTTCCACTCTGCTTCTTCCGGATAAGAAGCTCGTAATAAAATTTTTTCTTCCTCATCTGTAATAGGGCAAATAGATTTCATTACTATTCGAGAAAGTGCGTCGGCGACGGGATTGTCAGCACCAGGTGTGTAGCTAATTAGAATAGGAAATTGATCCAGTTTTCCCTCCAACGAGCCAAACGACCTTCGACGTGTTTCTGCTTCATGAAATCCTGTAATGACTTGTGATCGGTGTGCACCACAAAGTCTTGTGCCATGAGGAACGGCCGCCATTTCGTAACCGCGTGGACGATTGCAAGCAGCTCTTTCTCCCGGACCGAGTAATTGAACTCATGCTTTTTCAATTTCTTGGATTCGTAGGTCAGAATGAGATTCCCGTCTTGCATTTTCTATGGCGTCGATCGCCTTCGCGTTTTCGCTCGCGTCGGTGAAGAGCTCAAACTTGCCATTGGGATCGGGGATTTTGAGGCAAGGAGCGGACGTAAGCGCTCGTTTTACTGCCTGAAACTCCTTTTCACAGGTCTCATCCCAATCCACCGGCCTGGTGTTTCGATTGGACTTCGAGGATCCGGACCTCGACGTTAAAGTCGCAACCATTGAAGAGTAGTTTTTAATAAATCTTTTATAAAAGTTACTCATACCTAAGAAACGCTGTAATTCTTGTACTGTCGACGGCCTGGGGAATTGTTTGACCTTGTTGACTAGACTTCCGTCGGTCTGAATTTCCCCTCCGCCAACCACATACCCCAGGAAGTTAACGCGCTTCCTGAGGAAATCACATTTCTTTGGGCTCGCGAAGAGCCTTGCGTTTCTTAAACGCCTGAAGACTTCGTCCAAAAGCTTCAGGTGTTCGTCTTCCGTCTCTGAAAAGACGAGAATGTCGTCGAGATAGACGACAACGCCTTTGTTGAGGAGGTCGCGGAAGACGTTGTTCATGATCGACTGGAAGGTCGCAGGGGCATTGGTTAGCCCAAACGGCATTACCTTCCACTGGTAATGGCCGAACTGCGAGCTGAAAGCCGTCTTGAACTTGTCCTCAGGCTTCACTGGGATCTGGTGATAACCTGAGGCCAAATCGAGTTTGCTGAAGACTCGCGCGCGGTATACGCGGTCCAGCAACTCGTCAATTAAGGGCAAGGGATACTTGTTCTTAATTGTTTGTTCGTTCAGGCCCCGGTAGTCTATGCACATGCGTAGACTACCATCCTTTTTCCTGACGAACAGCACCGGGGCGCCATACGGCGATGTGGACGGTTCAATGCGCCCCGATGCAATTAACTCGTTCAGCTGTCGGTCCATTTCTTGGATCTCTGGGGCCGACAGTCTGTAACGAGGCCTGTGGACTGGCCGTGACCCCGGTTTCAGCGGGATGTCATGGCTAGGAACCGCGAACTCCTTCGGGACGTCTGGTAATTTCAAAGGTAAGACGTCCTTATTCTTTTTTAATGTTGCTAACAGGTTCGGATTCCCGTCCGCTAGGTCTTCCAGGTGTTTCTCCTTGTCGTCGGCGACTTTGATCGACAGGAGGAACACCTCTTCCACGTCTTCTGGCTGCGCCAGTTGCCTTGTCGTAGCTCTTTTCGACAGGCACTGGATTCTCACTGGCGCAGCCCGCACTTCTGCTTCGCTGGGTGTTACCGTTGGCACCCAGCTATTCCCAATTCGGGCCCTGCCGTCCCCTAGCTGGACGGAAAACTCATTCCAGAAGGGGATGCCCAGGATGAGGTCGGGGCCCGAGTCTTGGCTTACGACGTAGAAGCATTGTTTTGTTTCTACGTCGCCGACTCGCAATGCGAGCGGAGGGGTCTGTTCATCGAGCAGCAACTCCTGCTCCGTTTCCATTGCGAGTGCCACGGGTACTGCCTTGGTTTTGGTGACCGGCAGCCCGTGTCTTTTGACAAAGCTGCGTGACACGACGTAAGTCGCGCAGCCGGAATCCAGCAGAGCTTGGCCTTTGTGGCCGACCAGCTGGCAGTTGACCTGCGGCGGTGAACACACTGCCGGAGGGACTATTGTCAGCTGGCGACAAATAACTGGTAAGTCTGATGATGCATCGACGAAGGCCTCATCGTCTGCATCGGAACAAGAATCCTCGGAGCTGTCCTGTGCGTCCGTTGACGCATCTTCAGGTTCGAATTCGCCTCCTGCGTCTTCGAAATTGTCTTCTGAGTCCTCGTTGTTGTCTGAGGACTCTTGCTCGTCGGACGAGCTGTCCTGCTCGAAGTCGCTGTCCGCGTCTTCGAAGCCTTCTTCGCTTTCTTCGCCCTCTGCGAAGTCAGACTCGTCTTCTGAGGACTCGTCGTCCTCCTCCCAGTCGGAATCGCTGGTTTCTGTTGGAGAGTCCACCTCTTGGGACTCAATCCCTGCAGCTGAGACGCTGCCTTCGTCCTCGCTGGACGGTTCTTCCTCCTCCTCTGTCTCCTCTGGTTGTCTCTCCTCCTCCTCGCTGTCCGAATAGGTTCGTAACTTATTCATTACTAATCCTACTAGGGCATCGAGCTGGTCCTGAGACATCCCCGTCTTGGCAGCTGGGTTTTCTGCCGCAGTTGGAGCTGCAGGACTCAGCTGCATTGCCTTGACGCGGCGTTTTGGCTTGCCGCGTCGCTTCGCTTTTGCCTTCTGCTTCTTTGCAGGGCAGTCCGCTGCTCGATGGCCGGGCTTTTGACAATTCAAGCAGCGGCCAGAGCGAAAAATGCGGACTAGCTCGTCATCGCTCAAGTCTCTGAGCGCGGCGAGCCGGAGGCGAAGGGCGTCCACTTGCATTGGATCATCGAATCCAATGCTGGCGGGAGCGGGAGTGGAGGGCGCGCTGTGGGCACTGCGTTCGACGGAAAGGTCCTCATCGTCGTCGCCCTCAGCGCTAATAATCCTCAGCATGTCGCTGAGTGTCTTGGGCTTGCGGATGTCGAGCTCCTTGCGAATGCGTCGCTTGACGCCTTCGTGGAGGACATCCATAACCGCCCATTCGGGGAGCCGAGCGTCGCCTGATACTGGTTCACCTTGTCCACGAACTCGTGGACCGAACCAGTCTGGCGGAGGCGGTAAAACTGGCGTCGATGCTTGTCTAAAGCATCGGTAGGGATGAACGCATCCCGCAAATACGCCTTGAAGGCTTCCCAAGAAACCTTCCCGTCTTCGAGCTGGCTGAACAGTGTTGTGTCCAGCTCGCATCTCGACGCGGCCTCTCCTGTCAGATTGTGGAAGGCCATCCAGGCCTTCCTCTTAGCAGAGGTCTTGTGCCAGCGGAAGAATCGCTCAAGACCTTTGATCCACTCCGTGAAGACGCGCAGATCGCGTTGTCCTCTGTACGGAGCGGGCTTGGAAACCCAAGACGAGGTTTCCTTGTCCTTATCCTTCTCTTTCTTTGTTAGAGCGAGAAGGATTTCTCCCAGGCGTTGAATCTCTGGGAAAGTAGCAGCGTTTTCCTGCTCAACGCTTTCCATTTAGATCGTAGAAAATAAAAAAGTTGTAAATTTGAAAAAACGAAAAACTTTCCACGACAAGATAAGAACTCTTCTATTGGATCAGAAGAGCCTCGCAACCAAATGTAGGCCTTGTCCCGTAGGTATAGTTAAGATTCCTTTTATTCAATAATTATCTACCTATTTATACAATTCTAGGACGACGCGTAAGTGTAAACAAACGCGTCGCGGTGCGCGTTAATTAACTAACGCGCGTTGCGTGGGTGCGGTCAGAGACCGCAGGCTTTCGTAGCGTAGTGCTGCGTGGCCTAGCACAACGCTGGAGCTCTCGGTGTGGTGTCCAGGTTCAGGCCCTGGTCACGTGCACACTTTTGTGAGCTTAAGGCGTTACAACGCCAAGATCTTCGGGACAGGTCGTACTTTGTCTTGTGCTACGACCAACAAGCGAAGAGTGTAAGGCCGAGTCAAGGATGTTCTGTAAAACTAATGATGGTTAATTGGGAGCTAACACTAAGGTTTATATAGGAGAAAACTAGGAGGCGGGCTTAGTCCGCTGACTAAGCGTGACGTGATTATGCAGTCACATAGTCCGTGATCGGGCGACTGCAGATATGGTCACGCGATCCTCGTATGACCTTTGTAGCGACCACAATTGCATTCCGAAGTTTTGCGATTACTTAAGACGCATTGGTCGCTCGCTATTGGTCGTAGCGCTGCTGACGTCACAAAGAGTATCCAGTAGCCTCAGACAGATGATGTTTACCCCGGAAGTGGTTGTATGGAGTTCCCTTAGAACCACAAAGATAGTTCTTGCACTTCAAGCATTCGTATGCGTTAAGACATACGGGTAGACCAGCAACTACCTCATAGATTACTTTGCGAAGACCAATGAGACTTAAGACTATCCAAACGCAAGAAACGAATGTTCTCCAAAGTAAGATGTAAGTCTTTAGACATCTCAAGCTTATGCTTTTTCAGATGGCTCGCAAGTTTTTCCATGGGAATAATTGACGAGCAAGTATTGCAAATGAGCAAAGGACCTTGAATAAGCTTAAGGCCAAGGGAAGACAGTTCCAAGGCCAAAGGTCCTACCTCGTCGTTACCAACGTCAGGGCAAGATGTTGGGACCCAACGAAGTTCCTCGTAATCAGTTGCTGCATTCACTAAGGGAACGGTGGCAGCTGTTTCGTACTCGTCTGTATCAGAAGACGAGCTAGAACCACTCGAGTTGAGCTGAGCTTCTGTAACGACAGAAGGATCCTCAGCAGATGACATAGACTGTTGATTGTTGTCACCCGTTGTTGAAACAAGTGAGTGTGTGTCGATGAAGCTAGCACACTGTTTGGCATGGGCTCTGAAAGTTGCCGGCCATTTGGCAGAAAAGCCACAAGTACAGTAGAACAAGTTGACTTCCGTGTTCTTGGAGACAGTAATGGGGATAGTGCTATCTCCATCTGGGATGTTTACTGTGACCGAGAGTTGGTGCTTTTCTCTGATATGAGAGCGAAGCTTGGAATCGGACTCGAAAATAATTGCACACTTTTCGCACGACATTTTGGTAAACAAAGAAGACTAAGACTTGATTTGCTGTATAGTAGTATATGAAAACCGTCCATATGACTTTGATGGTTTTATTCTCTGTTTTTGTGACTGCTATACGTCCTTGGAACACACGTAGAAGAGTCTGGAACACTTTGGAAGGCCAAAGGATAGAGGGAGAATTGCATAATATTGTTTAGTCTACTACATTAAAATTTACAACATTATCGAGCAAATATCTGTCAGTGGCCAGTATCTACGTCAAGGTTCAACAGATTTATTAGTTAGAATAATATTTTAATCTATACTAAAACTAGAGGATTGTTGTGCGTTCGTTCTGGTGGAGCTAGGCTCTGAGGTATACGCACAACTCCTATACGGTACTGTAGTGCAGCCCCTTGTTCGTAGCTTAGCGACGTTGCGGTTGCTAACAATATAACGTAGTGAGGACTAACGATCGTTAGGATTGGATCCTGACAGATTAATGAACCTTTTGAATGCTTTAGCGGAATGAACCACCATAAGCTCCAAGGCATCATTCAGCTTGTCGAAAAACTTGTCATCAAGCTTATCGACGGTCTTTCGATGGCATCGGTATAGATGATCAATGACGTCATCCTTTTCCAATGCCACCACACACCTGCGGCAGATGAGCAAATGCAGGCCCCATGCGCCGGTGACGTAAATAAGCATGGGAACCAGCTTTCGCACTGATTCCCACGCATCGGATCCAGCTGTTGGTGTGTTAAACCAGTAAGTTGAAGTAAAGCTCACATCAACAGCCTTCCAGCTATCCGAATTTTGTAGTGTTGTAGTTAATTTGAAATCGTTTTTTTTTATTTTTTTTAAAGATCTACAGGGAGTAACGTGGCAACATGTAGTAATATGCTGCTTGAATGTTTTTGCACTTCGGCATCTGAAAGGACACCCGTTAATGCAAGTGAACACCCCGTTAACTCTACGTAACTCAACAACATCAGAGCCCGTTTTTCCCAGAGTAGGAGCACGTACAACATTACGATGATTATAATCGTAATGCTGCTGAAACTTCGTCTCGGAAGAAAAACTGGCACGGCATTGCTTACAGTTGCGATGAAGACCCATAAGTAAAGAAGAAAGTGTAATGATAATTTGTAATGTTATTAGGCTATTAGTACTTGATCGAGCTTTCTATCTTGATAGTTTACGTAGTGTACCGCGAATCTACGAGCTATAAAGACTAATGGTGTACTTGCGACTTTAGTCAAAAGCTCATTACCACACCACCAAAAATAGAGCAAAAAATTTTCACGGCCAATGTTGAAAATAATAACTTTGCCAAAACCTAGAAATAGTTTATTACTAGTATGAAGAAATTAAATTTTATTGCAAATTAACTTTTACTAAAACATCCGCAAAGGGAAATTTTAAAACTTGCACATCAACAAACTTAATAGATTTTAATATTAGATTCAATGACAAATTTCTTTCCTTAAAGTATTCCGGTAGCTTTTCCTTTTCTGCGAAAATTGTTTTGTCGTAAAAAAAACAATTTCGCAAAATATTCAAAAAAGGAATAGATCGAATTGTGATTTTTTTCTCCTGTAAAAATAGTCGAACAATGCTTCCTGACTGTAGATTACAGAGTTGGAGAACGACTCCTGGAACTTATAAGCACCTAAAACGCAGTCACAGTGGGGGTTGTAACGTATTACTTAACGGTGCGCTATTCTGGGAGAGTTGGTCGAACCAAGATTCGAACAACGAACACAGAGGAAACACATCCCTGATGAAACCACTCGGATACAGCGATATACTTATTCTTGTCACGGCGGGATTCCGTGAAGGGTCTTGTTTCTCGTAAAAGAGCTGTATTACGAATGTCCGGTGACAAACTATCTATCTCAGATAGGAACACCTTAATTGAATAAGCTTCGCTTAAAAGTCGTCAAGATAAGTTTAATGGTTATTCACAATCTAAGGTAGACGGTGTGAAAACACTGTTAGTGAACGACTGAAGAATTCAGTCGTTCTTACAGTAATTTATATTCATAGAATTACCTAAACCAATGTGGCTTTAAGAATCCCCTTTTGTGGCTTGCTCTGACAATCACGTTTGAGTCATGCCAATATAGAGGATTCCGAGGGTTTCCCTTGGAGCCATTACAGTCCCCTTCCTAGATTTTGTTTGTCAAAATCTACTATCGTTAGGCCATGAAACACCTTTTGTGCTTCTATTGTTTCTTTCTGGTGGTGGTGTTTCGGGGGCGTCTGTAATAAGGGTAGTAATCCATAGGTAATTTATGCTTCTTGAAATAAGCGAGCAGTTCTCGTTGCATGTGACGTTTTACCACCGTTGGTGGTAGCCATCCTCTGTAGTTTGTGTATATTGGCTCACCCGTGTCTTCCTGATGGGTGAGTCTGTGGAATTTGCAATTGAGCCAGAGCTTATTGTCTTCCAACTTGTGTTCCATGATGAGAATAATTCCTGATATGTTCTCATAATTTGGGGTGATCTCCTCCTCCGTTCTTGGGTGATACTTTTCCACTTGAGACACATGAAAGAGTGTCGATGAGTTTTTCCGTTGGGTCTCAGACAATCCCAATTCGACTGTGAGGTTTCCGTGGACTTTTGTAATCTTAAAAGGTCCCTGGTATCTGGTTGCGAGTTTGTGTTCGTGGTCCCAGAACTCGTTAAATCCTTTCTTGATGAGAACTAGATCCCCTTCCTTGTATTCCGGTTCCTTCGCAGTTTTCAGGTCGAAATAATACTTGTGTTTTTGTTCGCGTCCGCAATGTTCTGGCGTATTTGGTCATGTACCCTTGCCATTTCTAACAATGGGACGCGAAACGTTCTCCCTGGTGTAAGCTTATCGATTGTTGAAATTATCGGTTCTCTTCCGTAATTTGCGAAGTATGGACTCATTTGTGTGGTTTCGCTTTTCGTAGTGTTATAATTAAATTCCGCTTGTTTCAAAAATCTAAACCAATTAGTAGGACAGTCTGCCACGTAATGGCGTAAATAAGTCTCAAGGATTTGATTCACTCTCTCTGTCTGCCCATCTGATTGTGGGTGGTATCCTGAGGCGAGTCGCAATTTAATGCCGATTGCTTCAGTGTATTCCCCCCACGCCTTGGATGTGAACTGAGTTCCCCTATCACTGACTATTTCGTCTGGTTTCCCAAAAGTGTAGAACACATTGTTTTCCAGAAGTTCCTGCAGTTTAGTTGCGTCACACGTTTTGTGACAAGCGATGAATTTTGCGAATTTAGTCAGTCGGTCTACGACGACTAGTACTGAATCATAACCATTTGAAATTGGTAGATCAGTAATGAAATCCATTGAAATTGATTCCCAAGGGCGATCAGGGATTTCCAATGGCTGTAACTTACCGTATGGTTTGTGTCTTCGGGACTTTGTTAGTTGACATACTGGGCACGTTTTGACGTAATTGTCAATTGTTTTGGTCATCCCGACCCAGGTGAATCGCTTGGCGATTTTCTCTCTCGTTTTGTTCCGTCCGACATGTCCTCCGTTTAGGGGATCGTCGTGAAATTCTTTAAGAATCATGTTTATGTGTTCACCCTCTGGTGGTACCACAATTGCGTTTCTGTTGTTAGCAATTAGCCCCTCTGAGGTGAGCGTTAGACCTCTTTCTTCTCGTTTTTCCTCGCTGTCATAGATGTCTTGGAAAAAATCGCTTTTCTGGGAGGCTTTCAAAATTGCATATTTCAGGTTATCCCTATCAACTGTCAGGCTATTAATCAGCGTTCTGTATTGTTCTTCATAGTCTGGTCTGCGCGATAGTGCGTCAGCAGCGCTATTCGTTGACCCGGACCTGAAGTGAATACAGAAGTTAAAATCAGACAGTGCAAAGATCCATCTCTGGATCTTGCGAGGGAGCTGTTCATTTGGTTTCTTGAGGAAATAAATTAGATTCTGGTGGTCCGTCAGAATACTAAAGGGTTCGCTCGTTCCTTCCAAGTAATAATGCCAATGCTTGCATGAGCAGTAAATGGCATATAATCTTTTTCCGCAGTGGACCAATTTTGCTGGCATCTGGTTAATGCCCGCGAGAAATAAGCAATTGGTTAAATTTTCCATCTATTGCTTGGGACAAAATTGCCCCGATTGCGAAATCGGATGCGTCGGTTTCCAGTTGCGTTTTCCTAGATTGGTGGTAATAATGAAGGAAAACGTCTGCGGACGCCTTGTCCTTCACGTTTTGGAAAGCTTCTTCTTCTTTTTGTGTCCAGATGAATTTTCTATTTTTTGTGTTAAATCATTTAAGGGTTTTGCTATGTCCGAAACTTCAGGAATGAATTCCCTCACGTAATTAACATAGCCCATAAATGATTTAATTTGTTTTACTGTTTTTGGCCTTGACCAATTTTTGATTGAGGCGATTCTCTCCTCATCTGGGCAAACTCCATTTTTCGTAAAATAGTGCCCAATGAACTTGACCTTCTCTTTAAAGAATTCGCACTTCCTGGCATTAATTGTGCACTTCGCTTTGTGCAATGTCGCGACGATTTCGCGTACATGATCGACATGATCTGCACGATCTTTGAGTAGATCAATATGTCGTCCATGTATACAACACAGGTTTTGTTTAGGAATTCACTCAAAATGTGGGTAATAAATCTCATAAAATATGCTGGCGCATTTTTGAGACCGAAAGGCACAACATTGAACTCGTAAATTCCCATTTTTGTGATGAATGCCGTTTTCCATTCGTCACCCTTTTTAATCCTTATGAGGTGATATGCGCTCTTTAGATCGAGCTTAGTGAATATATGGTTTCCGGTTAATTGAGTTATGATGTCCGCATATGTTGGCAGAGGAAATTGGAACGTTTTTGAAATTTCGTTCAATGGTTTATAATTTATTACCATTCTAAATTTCTCTGGTCCTTCCTTTGGGACAAAAAAGCTGTTACAAACAAACAACGATTTTGAAGGGGAGATGTATCCGCGTTCTAGGAGTTCGCGAATTTCGTCTTCCATTAGCTTTTGCTTCAATGGACCCAGCGGAATACATCTCGCCTTGAATTCCTTGGGTTCTTCCTTCAATTCGATTTCCATGTCTAAAGGCGAGTGCATTGGGAGTTCTGCCTCCTTCAATGCGAAAGCTTCTCGCATGTCCCGTAGTTCCTGTGGGATGTACTGTTCAATTTCTTCCGTAACAGTAACCCATTGATCCTCGGGAAAGTCCATCTGTGGTTCATCCCTTTCAGACTTGAGATGATTAAGTCTGATTATTGGAATGTCGTTTTTCTTTGAGTCAGATGACTCTCCAATGGTGATTTTCCCAGTTCCGTAGGAAATATTGACTTTTTCTTTCTGTAGAACATCTGTACCGATGTAGATATCCGGTAAAACATCCTTGATAATTTTGAAGTTTACCGTGATCCGTTTGTTTTCGAGTCGAATGTCGAGCTCGCATTCCCCCATTATCGCTAACTTCTCTGATCCTGCGCAACGCGCAACTCTCGGGTAATCATACTTGGTAAATTTGATTTTATGATTACTAGCAAAGTTTAGGGATAAGACGCTAGCATTCGACCCAGTGTCAATAAGGGCCGCCTCCACGATTTGTAGTTTGTAAATGTAAATGTTTACAAATATTTGACCGTCCCTTTCTAAAGGGATTCTGCCGTTGTCGTTACCCAGAAAGTCCACAACGGTCTCAAGTAGTCAGCTTGAGTTCTCGGTTTCATCCTTTTTTGGCGTGTGGTTTGTTTCGTACGTAGCTGGTTTAGTCCACGTATTGTTTGGTCGGTTGAACGTCTTTGGTTTGTAGTCCTTATTATAATTGAATCTGTTTGTTGGTACTTGGGTAACAAAACACACAGAAAGGAAGGACACGACTATTACTAGTCGGACGGGCGATTAGCCTTTTCAGCTTGTATTAGGGTAGGGTTGCTCGCTAAAGGCCAAATACTGTCCTCTCATTGGTCGAGAGGTCTCGCTTATGCTCAATAATTGCTAATCGCACGCTTAAACTCGGCTACCAATTGTGCGATTAGGGTTTTGCGATTAGCCTACGGGGGCAGGATAAGAAAACAAAACAGCTTATAATGTTCTTTACGACTGTATAAACATTGCCAAGCAGTCCTGAGCTAATCGCCTATGGTTTGCCCAAGTTATTGGCGAATATATTCTAGGGTGTAAAGGTAAGCGAGAATTAGACGAGCAGGCAGGTTGTTGCTTCGCGGTACACAGTCATCAAAGGTAATGTGGTGTTAGCTTCGCGGTACGCTTTTCTAGAAAGCAAAGTGGTTCGTAGCTTCGCGGTACGCTTTTCGAGAAGCAAAGTGGTTCGTAGCCTCGCGGTACACAATCGTGAAAGGTAATGTGGTGTTAGCTTCGCGGTACGCTTTTCTAGAAAGCAAAGTGGTTCGTAGCCTCGCGGTACACAATCGTGAAAGGTAATGTGGTGTTAGCTTCGCGGTACGCTTTTCTAGAAAGCAAAGTAGTTCGTAGCCTCGCGGTACATACTTTGCAGATTTTAAAATCATTCTGTATTAATACGCTTATAATAAAAGAATCTATTCTACGGTTTCATAAAACATGTTTGTGGGATTCAATTGAACGAATTATGAAAACACCTCAAGTGCTTAGAAAACAACGTTTATAAACCTATTGAAATGTTTTTTGTTGTTTTCCGTTTCCTTTTTTTTTTGTTTTTAAATTCATTTACGATTTGTTAATTTCGATAACAAATAGTCATATATTAAGTTTAAATTATTATAAACAGTTTGCGGATGGTTTACGTTGGAACTTACGAAAAGACGCAAGCTTAGATCACCACCAGTAATTACTATGAAAAACAACAGCAACTTTTATAAAATTGAATAGTTCTAGTTCGGTAACACCTTGCTCTTTTCATTTTATGAAAGTTATATGTATGTTATTTCATCCTTAGGTCAACGTGTTTCACGACAAGTTATGTTCGCGATAAATCATTTTCAGCTTCGCGGTACGCTTATTAGTCTCTTGTGGAATTCGTAGCCTCGCGGTACACTTATAACCCCTCTGAGAAACTAGTAGCTTCGCGGTACATATATCACCGTCTAGTTGAAGTCGTAGCCTCGCGGTACACTGATTGTAGCTCTTAGTACGGGTCAGACACCCGTTAGACATGAATGGGGCCTGGTGTTCATCTTCAATGCCCGTGTAGTAATCCCAACAAAAATACATTAAGTAACGTTTTAAGATTCAATGTACTCTAATAAAAACAATGTTGTTTAGATCAATTTATCATTATGAGTCATCTAAATATATAGTTTCAACGAACAACTTTTCATGTGTGGATTGAGTGGTTCAATGGTTATTGTCGGTTGCGGGATTCGAACCCTTGACTAATCGTCCGTGGTTCGAACCGCACGCTTACCACACGTCCATGAGTAATAAGTTTCGAGATACTAAACGGAAAGTCTTATTACCTTGCTCTATCATAAGTTTACGTAATTAAGTAATTACTGAGACAAATTGTTGTTGAATTATTAATTTTACAAATATCATAAAAAATTCTGTAAAATTAACAGCAATAACGGCAAGCAAAAATTTCATACTTATAACTTTTGCGAATATTACAGAAAACAATAAAATTATAAAAACTGCTCTCAATGGTTTTAAACAGCTTAATTAATACTAGACTACGATAATTTTCTTAGATTTATTCATCAATAACTTAAAAAATTTTTATTCCATAATTCCATAGTACTGCATGCAAAATGTCATTGGTAGAAGTTTGACATCATTTGAACTACAACTGAGTGAGTTATAGCCATTTACTTGCTTATTTGTGTTGTTTGTGTGTTGAGAGGAATTAAAATTTCAGTGGCCAAACTCACCACCAAGAGATTGAACAAAAACAAAATTTCATTTTCCAAGAGTTTGAGCTGCTTAAACGGATATTATTCTGGCCGGCTGTACTAAACTGCTTTATTACCTTGCAGATTTGAATAGTAGTAGATTATAATGAATTATGTTCCTTTTTCTGCGCAATAGTTTAGATCTTCTGGCGTCCCGCGTTTGCGGTGCACATCTTTATGCGTTGGTAGTGGTGGTTTCTTCGCGGTACGCTTTTCGTGGTGGAGTAAGTTGTCTGGCTTCGCGGTACGCTTTTTTGTGGTGGAGTAATCTGGCTTCGCGGTACGCTTTTTTGTGGTGGAGTAAGTAGTCTGGCTTCGCGGTACGCTTTTTCGTGGTGGAGTAAGTAGTCTGGCTTCGCGGTACGCTTTTTGTGGTGGAGTAATCTGGCTTCGCGGTACGCTTTTTTGTGGTGGAGTAAGTAGTCTGGCTTCGCGGTACCCGCTTATCTGTTGTCAAAGTGTTCGCGCATGCCACTCCGAAAGGTTGATACTATGTTCGTCAGATGAAGTTGCATTCGCTTATACACGAACGAAAAGTCTGCCATTGTACATTATACACTAATTGGTCTTAGCAGAATAGTGAACAAGCTCTGTCTGACCATGAAAAGTTCGAATCTTGAAAAATTCGTAAATGTTGCAAAATACAAAAACATGATAAAACACTTCTAAAAGATTACAAACAACATTATTAGACCTGTGATAACGTTGAATTATTGCTTTCTGTGTTCAATTTCTTGAAAATATTTTATTCCATTTTACTGTAATAATTCATGAATACAATCGCGTCTAAAAGTTTCACGACAATTGGACAGCAATTGAATGAGTTACAGTCGTTTATTTGATTATTTGTGTTGGTTGAGCATTGACAACAATAAAAATTTCAATGGCCAAACTCACCACCAAAAAATTCAAAGAAAGAAAATAACTCTAAGGAGTCGAGCTCAGCTCCGCAGAATTCTTGTAGAATAAATTTATTGTTAACTAATACTTCTTTTCGACTCGTAATACTACGAACTTGAGCAATAAATAAGATCATCGGTCATATATATCTATATATATATATTTATAACAATTGATATTAGTAGTGAGATGTATGGCCGGGTGGTATATGTGAGGTTCGAACTTCGGGTGCAAGTGCAGAGTTCGAATCTCACAACCCACACACTAGTCCGTTAGGCCAATCAAGCTCCTGACGAATATCCATGATAACGCGGTGATAACGGTGTGTCTTAACAGCAATATGTCCCAGGGCTTCGGGCTTCACCATGTAAATTTTAATACATAGAAAAATAACAGTTCGTAACTTATATCTCATACAATAATGTTTACCTGTGAAATTTGTGATTCCAAACTTTCTACGGAAAAGTCTCTAAAGGCTCATCTTAGCAATGTACACGCCAATACGTGTAATATCTGTTTATTCAGTGATTCACGTGTCAGCGTTGAATTTCAACGTGAGGAAGCCTCTGGGTGTTTTCGATGTGTTTGCTTGGCGCGTCCGAAATGGAAGGACCCAAAAAACTTGAGTACTCACGCTAAGAACTGTCCGGAAGTCTACCAGGCTGTGCTTGACGGTTCTTTACCACTTCGTAAGGTAACTGAGAAGCGCCTGGAACATTTTATGAAGGCCGTACGTTCGGTTGTACACGGTGCGGACTCAGCTGCTGATTCTGAGGAAGAAGTCGAGCTTAATCCCTTGTTGCGGGCTCCACAATCGGTGCGGTACTCAGATGTTTATCCTGATGTTAGGCACATAAAATTAAACTTCCCTCTCTTAGATAGCGACTTTATGCTATATGCTATTGATGAGGGGTACGCTCTTCTCTGTGCTAAGTGCGCTTGTATTGTTCCCTCCGATCTTCTAAGCGAGCACCTGAAGAAGTCTCACCGAGGAAAAGTACGGGTGCTTCGTAAGTTTGAGGAGGCTTTTTCCAATGCTATCCTCTACAGTCAGGAAGCATTGTTTGACTACTTTTATGCTCTACAGGAGGAACGAATTACTATTCGACCTATTCCTTTTGTGGATATCTTGCGAAATTGTTTTTTTTACGACAAAACAATTTTCGCAGAAAAGGAAAAGCTACTGGAATACCTTAAGGAAAAAAATTTGTCATTGAATCTAATAGTAAAATCTATTAAGTTTGTTGATGTGCAAGTTTTAAAATTTCCCTTTGCGGATGTTTTAGTAAAAGTTAATTTGCAATAAAATTTTATTTCTTTATACTAGTAATAAACTATTTCTAGAGTTTGAGAAAGTTATTATTTTCAACATTGGCCGTGAAAATTTTTTGCTCTATTTTTGGTGGTGAGTTTTTTTGGTGGTGTGGTAATGAAATTTTGACTAAGGTCGCAAGTACACCATTAGTCTTTATAGCTCGTAGATTCGCGGTACACATTGAGTCTTGGGGTTATTGTAGCTCGTAGTTTTTAATAAATCATATTCAAAAATGTCGTGCGAAAAGGCTATGCAAAGTTACGAGGTTGGTTGCTTAACGAGAGTTGTAACTGCGTACAAACTTTTGCCCGAGGAAGGCCTTAGGGATAGTTCGTTAAGATTATTGCAAACATTCTATCCCATTGGAATATCGTCCTCAGACTTTGGCATGTTTCTATATTGCCATGAGTGTGAGATTTTGTTGCAAGAAATGGACGTCATCAACCACTTTCTTTCTCACAAGCCAAAAGATGTGGGCAGTAGCATTCTCATTCCTGAGGATTATGAACCCCCGGAAAATGTAAGCTGTGGGCCCGAATCTGACGAGACTATCATACATCTAGCGTGCGAGCTAGATACCAAATTCGTTAATCCAGCTCGAATTCGATGGATTCTGACGAGGAACTTGAGGAGTACGAGAGTCAATTGGAGTACTTGCTAGATCCCATCAGGGAAGATCTCGTCTTGACTCGAAAACAGATCCTTAATCTGTTTGAGCCCGTGTCTCGTTTTCCTACCAGGTCATTACTTCCGGGGATACAAACAACGAATCATGTCCTGGAATGTTGCAAATGTTTATTTTATGATTCCAAGGAATTCAAAAAGCATGTGCAACTGCACCATCAAGAACGAGACCCCCCTAAAAAGTTCGTAATCGTTCAAAAGCTGAAAGTTTCGTCTACCGACGCAAATGACGACGAAACTAAAACTCTAATATTTCCGGCCACAGATGACTGCAATTACATAATAGAATAGCTAATAACAATGAATTCGAATCAAAAATGTTGTAATTTTAGAAAATGTTACAAAAAACAAAACACTGAAAATTTAACTGTATTTAGCTTAATTTAGACAATATCTATTACTTTATAAAATATTGTTTTGGTTTACAAATTTTGAAATGTTGTTTTTTTCAACATTTAAGAAATTTACAAATTTTATGAATAATGCAATAGTGATACTGTATTCTTACTAAACTAAGTTTTGCAACGATCTAGACATTTTTAGCGTTGTTAGTTGTGCAGATTCTCTCAACTTTTCATTGTTGGTGGTCCCGAAAAAATTTTCATGGTGGTGAGTTATGGTGGTGAGTTGTGGTGGGTTGTTGTGGAGGGTTTGGTGGGGTTGTAGTGGAGGGTTTGGTGGGGTTGTTGTGGAGGGTTTGGTGGGGTTGTTGTGGGGGGTCGTGGTGGTGAGTTGTGGTGGGTTGTTGTGGAGGGTATGGTGGGGTTGTTTGTGGGGGTTGTTGTAGAGGTCGTGGTGGTAGATTCGCGGTACACTACGTAAACTATCAAGATAGAAAGCTCGATCAAGTACTAGTAGCCTAATAACATAACAAATTATCATTACAATTTCTTCTTTTATTATGGGTCTTCATCGCAAGTGTAAGCAGTGTTCCGTCTCGTTTTCCTCGGAAGCGCAGTTTCAACAGCATTATGACTTCTGTCATCGTAATGTTGTTCGTGCTAAGACTCTTGGGAAAACTGGCGTTGATACTGTTGAACTGCATAGGGGTGATGGTGTGTTTAGTTGCATAAACGGCTGTTCCTTTAGGAACCGTAGTGCAAAAGCCTTCAAAAAACACATTTCTACCTGCTCCTATGTAAACCCCTTAAGATCTGTAAAAAAAATAAAGAAAAATTGTATTGATAAAACTACAAAATTACTAAATTCGGATAGCTGGAAGGTTGTTGATGTGAGTTTTACTTCAACCTACTGGTTTAACACACCAACAGCCGGATCCGATGCGTGGGAATCAGTGCGAAAGCTGGTTCCCATGCTTATTTACGTCACCGGCGCATGGGGCCTGCATTTACTCATCTGCCGCAGGTGTGTGGTGGCATTGGAAAAGGATGACGTCATTGATCATCTATACCAATGCCATCGAAAGACCGTCGATAAGCTTGATGACAAGTTTTTCGACAAGCTGAATGATGCCTTGGAGCTTATGGTGGTTCATTCCGCTAAAGCATTCAAGAGGTTCATTAATCTATCCGGCTTATGGATTAGGCCCTTTCCTTTTTTTAACGTGGCACGCAATTGTGCGTTATGTTGTGAAAAATTTTTTCGTGATCCCGGTGCCCTAACTAACCACCAAAAAAAATTTTCGGCGGAGAACCACTGTGACAAATCGACATTTGTGGACGTACAAACAATTCGATGGGCCGAAGGAACATCCCTCGAATTCAAAGTTGATTGTACTGGGTTAACAGCCATCGATGACGGAAATTAAGATAGATTTAATAATAGTAAATTTATTTGTTACCAATAAAGCTGTAAAAGTATACAACAATAAAATACTCAATAAATAACAAATGTTTAAATACTTGCTATGAAGTATAGATTAGACAAATTTCTTTCCTATTGAAATCACTGATCCCGTAGCTGAATGGTACATGACCATACCGAGATTCGAACCCCTGAACTTCTGATCGGAGGTTCGAACCTCAATGTAACCATTATACCATCACGTCTCTGGTAAGCAAACTGAGTTTGCAATTTACTAAGTATTGTCTAAACTCCGTCTTAAACGTTAATATCTGTACTATAAGAAATCGTTCAATTCGTAAAAAAACGAAAATGAAAATTTTATCAAAAATACATACAAGAATGAGCCTGACAACCACCAGTACTGGTTGAAATGTTAAAATTTTCGTTTTTTTTAAAAAACAGTTTTCAACAAAAACACATTATAGAAACATTATAAATAACTTAATTATGCATAAACAAACGTATTAGAAGTGTTTTTTATGTCTTTTTTACAAAAACAACATTCAACATTTAGCAACATTATACGGCAGAAAAACTTCTCGGTTGCAGTTAATTAACTTAGTTTTACATCAATAAATACTCTTTTTTGTGTTTGAGCTACTAGCTGGATATTCGTTAGATTCAATAAAAAACAAAACATTACTCAATATTCGTAGTAGATGTTTGATGCGATGGTATGATAGATTCGTGGTACGCTTTTTTTTTATTACGTATGTCTTGGGGTGCTACACCAAGTGTACCACGAATCTGCACCACCATAAACATATGCTTGATATCAGTACCCGAAGTATAGACCAATTTCCCTTCGGCGACCTCCGAATTCTCAGTAGGGCTGGACGAGGAAACTTTTCCGTGTACGTTGTTCGACTCGCAAGTGACCCAGACAAAAAAGTGATGGCACTCAAACTTGCTAAGCTTGATCCCTCACCACTCAACGGCTCGTCTCGTGGATTATTTCGAGAGTTTAAGATCCTGCGTTCTTTGCAACATCCGAATATTATTAAGGTGTTTCGCGGATTCAATAATGGTCTTTGCTTTAGTTTCTTGATGGAGTATTGCCCCTATGGAAGTTTAGAGGCATATATCAAGCACGGCGACTTGGATATCGTGTCCTTAAAGAAGCTTACCCGACAGATCGGAAGTGCCTTGGAGTACCTTCACTCAAAATCAATAGCTCATTACGATGTCAAGGCGGCCAATGTGCTTATAACTCCATCGTTCGACTTCAAGCTCACGGACTTCGACAATGCCTCCGACGCACTGGTAGAGCAACATGGAATTCGGGGAACGTTTGCTTATTTGGCTCCCGAAATCATGATGGGCAAAGCGTACAACATGTCAGTGGATATTTGGGCGTTTGGGGTTCTTCTCTACTTTGCAGCTTACCATTCGCTGCCTTTTCCCGAAATTGACAACGCCTTGAACATGCTTAAGGCCGTTTGTAAGCGCAATGTCTCATTTCCAGGAACCATGCCTCTTCAGTTCGAGTATCTTTTACAAAGAATGCTTGAAATAAACCCAGAATTAAGGCTAACTTGGAATGAATTTCGTGCAGTAAAGTTTTATTCCTAATGTCAGTCGTGTAGTAGGATTATTAATATCATTTATCGTTCAGCGGTTAAGAGATTCGAATCTACTATCACTTGTTTTGCTCGGGAAGGAAATACTATGTGATATATAACCATCATAGTAGCCCCGTCACTCTGATGATCATTCATGGCCCAGTGGTAATTCGTCGGATGCGAGATTCGAACACACCCCCTCCTGTCCGAGTTCGAACCGCAACGATACCACAACACTATTTGAACCCGTATAATAATTTAGGTCTGATAAATTAGAAGTATTTAATCAGACGAATCCTAAATAGGTGAAAGAATTATAGTACTGATATATTTGATTAAAAATATGTACAAAGAAGCCCACAAAACTGAGCTCATGTCTTAACACTGTCAGGCATCTCTTACAATTCCTGGTAGCTTCATGGTACATCGTTTAAGACTATCTATCACATAGCTTCGCGGTACACTTCGGGTTGTACACATACTGTACAGCTTCGCGGTACACTACCAGTATTAAGCCTGTGTGTCTCTGTCTTCTGTGGAGATAGCCTAGTCTATTCTATAGACGCATTTTCCCGATGTGTAGGAGTCTTAGATTTTTATCTGGAGTCTAAAATCTCCATAGAAATATATTATATACTGCGCAAAAAATAATATGAACGAAATGTCGAACTTTGAGAGTGAATTTGTTACTATGAATGATGCTGCTCTTAGCTGTAATTGCGGTCTTTCATTCCAAACAGAAGGAGAGCTGTGTAAACATGTGTCGCGATGCGCTGTTTCGAATATTGGCAAGCAGAATGTTAACATAGCAAATGATGCCGACACTGTGATGCTGTCTCCGGTTGTGAATGATCCTTCGTTCCAATGGGTTACTACCGAAGTTGACACTTCTAAAGAAGAAGAACTGTCGGATATTAATACTGTTCTTTGCGATAAGAATTTGGTAATTTCCAAAGAAGTAGGGATTATATGCCAAAGTTGTCAGAGCGTTATCAATTGCAACTCTGTTGTTTCCCACCTAAAGGGACATAGTGAAACAATTGACCGCGAGCTTGTTGAATCGTTAACTCGTTTCAAATTTAAAACGTTGGGTGAGCTGCGAGAAGAGTTCTATACTAAGGTCCATTTAAGAGATGTTGTGAAAGGGTTGCCCATTCTGCTGAATGGGCTCAAGTGCAAACTGTGTCCTGAAGATGATATGTATTGTACATCCTTAAAACGATCAATGCAGAAACATATCTCTTCGGTACATAAGAATGCTTTAAGCTACAGAGATGCTGTTGAAGCATGTCCTGTGCAAAGTCTTGCAGCAAATGCAAAACGCATGCGTTGCTTTCCGGTTCGATATGATACCGTTCTCAAAAGTGTTAATCAAGAAGAAACTGTGCTGTTTGTTGACAGAGAAGGTAAAAAGTTTCTGGAAGATGCTTGTTCACTGGAACATTGCAATAACAATGATGCATTTTCAGACGCTCGTACAAGGAATCTTTTCTTTGAGCGTTACCGATGGGATCTCGTAATTGCCGATGTGGACGATCCTGAAAATCTGCTGAAAGAGCCGAATGCTACTGAGGAGCCCAAATTGTTCTTTGTGTTTGAACAAATAAAATTATATTTTGTTAAAGCTGAGCAAACATTGAGCCAATTGGACATCAGTCTTCGTCGTTATTTTGCTCAAACTACCCAAGAAGAAAGTTTTGAGCCTGGCTTTCGTGGACTTGAGCAAGATGATTCTATCAAACTCTATTCTTCTCAGGGAGCAAAGTGTGCAATGTTTCATTGCCGTTTGGTTCCAGAGATTTACGAGGAGTATTGCGAACGCATCCGTGATGATGTCGAGGACACAGAAGTGTTCGAAAATGTTCATGAACTGTTAAAAAGAGTATTTCTGATTACGTTCCCGGGAAATGTTAGTCTCGATAACAACAATGTTAACAAATTTTTGGCATGTCAATCGTTGCATACAATAGATGGTTCTTTTGATGCATTCTACTTAATCAATCCGAGAATAGCAAGATTATTGCATTGTTGTCGATTGGTTGCTTTAATGCAATTTGACAAGTTAAAAAACGATAATCCTGAAACTGTATGTCGATCCGAAGATTATGAAACACCTGGGAAGATTATATACGAAAATGTCTTCCGTTTTGTAGGTGTTAATACCAGATGCATATGCGAATACCTCGTTACAATTCAGGGCTACGTTAGAAGAACCGCTATTACACAGCCTCATGAGTTCTCACTGTCCGTTATTCCCGGTACAATGGGTGAAGTCGTTCGTTTTCGTCCATTAAAATTGACAGACAAAATTATAGGACCTCATAAGAACGGGTTTCAGAGTTTCTCATTACAGAATCTACGAAAATTTTATAACCTTCTTTGGAACGATGCTCTTAAACTCTTTAAAAGATTGGTGTTTGATGTTGACTTCGAAGCAATTGTACCCGAAGGCCGTTTAAACGAATGTGTTGATGATTTTAACAGAACAAGTACTGGATTTTCATTTTTAGACAACAATAATTGCTTGAAAAGATGTCGCACAGTTATTTTTCGGAAGGCCTTGAGGTCTTTTCACTTGATGTTTCCCCCCGCGGAGCTTCGCGGTACACATGGGAGTCTCGGATTTCTTCAATCCTTTAACGAAAATTGTGAATTTAAAGAGGAACTTCGCAAGCTTTCGTGGGACTACGAAGGTATACGACAATACCTTACTGAAGCAGCTCAATTTGTTGAGCTGCTAGCATTATTAATTCATATTGGAAGTGGTCAGCCAGCACGCGGCGAAGAAATTCGTAAGTGGAAGCTGAGGAATACACAATTAGCCGCTAGAGATATGTTTATTGACGACGGACGCATCTTATTGATTCCTTCGTACAGTAAAAGCAGGAACCGCTCATCAATGGACAGACCAGTTCCAAGATATCTCCCCCTAAGTCTTTCCCTCCTCATGCTGAGATATTATTCTTTGGTGCGTCCTTTCGAAAGTCTTTTGCTATATATTGAGTCCGGCGATGTAACGAAAGTCAATACTTCTGAGTATTTTCTTTTCGTTCAAAATGGCAAGACATTTGCAAGGAATGGAATGACGGAGAAGTTCCAATCCTACGTCTTCAAGTATTTCGGAGTGTCTATGGGGCTTGCCATTTATCGGCATATAGCCGTTTACTTCAAAGAAACGTTTATTCAGGGAACAGCTTATGATGACGAAAACTCGGCCTTTGACTTACAAGCGGGCCATACCAGAAAAACAGCAACATTAGTATACGGAAAGACAAACGAAATGCCTGAGTATGGATCCACAAATTTTCTCACTCAAGCCTTTGTCGTATCTACTCAATGGCAGAATTTATTGAATATTGACCAACGGAAAACTCGCGAGGAGTTTTCAACTACACAGCTTCGCGGTACACAATTAATAGAATACTCAAATTCAGAAAGACCAATTCAAAAGACGAGCTCGCCCAGCCTTAATATTCCTAGTACAGAAGATCTTTGCTCACAAGTTATAAAGACACTTTCTCGGCAGCTATCTTCGTCCAATTTTGAACAAGCACGCCCGGCTCCTCCTGCACCATCTTCTGTAATAAAGCAATGTCTTCATGGACTACGTGATCTGTATCAGTCCAGGACGGCACATTTTAAAAATAGCGAACAAGCTAAAGCCTGCGGTCTCGCATTGTTGAGGACGTGCAACTTGTTGGTTGTATTACCCACTGGTTCCGGCAAATCCCTGGTATTTTTATTACCAGCATATCTTGAAGCCAGAAACAACAGTGGCCTAGTTACGGTGCTGGTTGAGCCTTTGTTGTCTTTGAGGCAAGATATGCTTAGAAGAGCAAAAGCCGCCGGTTTAAGTTGTTGTCAAAGCCTTGAAGAAGTAAGAGTATATTTGGAAGCTGGAAAACTTCCAAATATCATTGTATTTACTACAGACCAGGTTGTCTCTACTAGTGCTTTACAGCTTTTGGCTTCTTTAAATGAGCGTCATCAACTCGCTCGAGTTGTTATTGATGAAGCTCACACCATTGTTGCAGACAGCCCTTGGCGATCTGTTATGTATCGCATGAAGAATTTATTGCAAGTAAGTTGCTCATTTCTGTTGTTGACTGCAACCTTGCCCTTAAAGATGGAACGTCAACTGTGCTCCGAACTGTGCATTGTTCCTTATACAATTCGCTGTTCTACGATGAGACCAAATATTGAGTATCGTGTTCAGCGGCTTGTGAAAAGAGATTTTATAAGCGTGCTTTTTTCATATTGTGAGCAAGCACAAAAGATAACGGAACAAGGATGGCGTGGACTAGTATTTTTTCAGTCCAAAAAGGTTTTACATTCCTGCTACGAAGCTGTTCAGAAAGACACAAGCTTCAAGTACAAGGTCGGTATTTATTATTCCGATTTGGAAGAAACCGAAAAAAGGAAAACATGGCGAGGTTCATGGCTTCTGAGGACTCGCTAGACATTATGTTTTGCACTAAAGCTTTTGGAATGGGTGTTGATTATGCCCATGTCAGATTCTCTATTCACTATGGAAGTCCTGGCACTATCTTCGACTACGCACAAGAAAGCGGACGCTGTGGACGAGATGGAAAACACGCTACTTCTTTATTGTTGCATTATCCCTTTAGTGGTTTTGAGTCAGAAATGCATATGGAGGAAACATGAAGAATCTCTTGCGCGACAATAATTTGTGTGTGAGAGAGGCAATCAGCGGAGAATTGGATAACGCGGCAGAGTCCTGTTGTAGTTATCCTAATTGTGTTCCATGCTTTAGGTGCTCTGATGATGTTAACAACGAGACATATTTACCGACACAACATGTTGTTGACATTCAAATGTTTAACCGTACACCCTCTGCAATGTCAACATTGATTATTGAGGACGACAATTCTTTTTTCAGTGCGTACGATGCCTCTTCACCTTTAAAAAGCAAATCTAGGGTTCCGCACCAGGACATCGACATCTTTTCTCCCACTATAGAAGGAAATCCGAAAATAAGTGAAGGAAACACAGACGCTGCTACGACCCAAACACAAATTTCTTGTGAGATTTCGTCAAGTTCGCAGGAGAGAAAACGGAAGATTGGAAGCGACGATTCAGCATCCATGAATGTACCAAGCTCGGACTTTTCCTCACCTACTAAAAGGGTGCAAAGGAACATCAACAATAACACGGAAGTGCTGAACCGTGTGAGGTCTTTTATGGAAAATTACGCCAATCAATGTACTATTTGTCTCCTTAACGGCTATACTAACTGTCCCGCGCACGCGTACTGGAAATGCCCATTTATTCAAGGTCGTTGTTTAAGCTGCAATTCAAAAGATCATAACGCCCGCAGCTGCCCTAATCGTTTCCGTTTCCAAGGTGTTTGTCAGCGTTGTGGTCTTACAAATGCCTTTCATGATCCTACTAACTTCGGCTCTAAATGCAATAACTGGGCAACCGGACGCTTAATTGAGTTCTGCCGTATGGGATGGCAAATTCCCGATGCACAAACGTTAATCGTCAACGAAATTCTTCACGGAAATCCGGACTACTTAAAGCTCTGCGAATACATCGGTACATGGGAAACATTTCCTGGTGCACTAAGAGTAGCCTATCTTCTGATTGACAAGTATTTACATTTAGCAATTTAGTATAAATAAGACAGTACCACCATTTAATAAACACTGTACCTCCTTAAGTTGAAAACCCCATGTTACATACAGAAAAGTGTACCGCGAATCAGTTCCTCCGAGTGTAACGCGAAGCTTGGCAGAAGGAGGATCGGTGAGTACAGTATTCGCAGAGCAAGCGGCTAAGTAAGAGAGTATGAAGGATAGCTTTAAAGTAGTAATTGGCGAATAATTCGTAATAAAAGAAGGAAAAGAAGGTATATTTGGGAGAAAAAGACGCTATTGAATATTTGTCTATGGGGAGAAAGTGTAGCGCGAGTCTACGTAGTAACGGATATGAACTAGAGGAAGTGTAGCGCGAGTCTAGTCTAGTCTAGTCTAAGGGTTTGAGGGAGAAAAGTGTAACGCGAATGTACGTAGTAACGGATATGGGGGGAAGTGGGTGGGTGTGTTGTGTAACAAGAAGAGGATTAGGCTGTCTATTTGTAAAGCAAAGCGAGCAAGAAAAGCAGTAAATGAAATGGGCAAAGTGTCGTAATGTATTGGGAATAACTTGAGCAGGAAGTTGTTGTGTAATTCAGGAAAGGGGAGAGTTTGGGCGTGTATGTGTATTGTGTCGTGTGTGTGTCTAGTGGTTATGAGGTTAGATTTAATGTTAAGTGTGTATTCTAATGGTGAATATTTGTAGTGTTTTGTTTGAGTGTTGTTTGTTAGTTGTTGAAAGAAATAAATAGAATAAAAAGGTAGATTAATAAAAAAAGGGTAAAGGTGAAAGAGTGGGGAAACGTAAAGAAGTACAGGATGGGTGTAAATGTGTTTGTGAAGCTTAGGGTAGCAAGTCTTGGGTTATAGAAATCTTAGGGTCTTGAGTGTTAGGGTTAGTCTTAGGTGTGGATGCAAAGTAGGGAATAATATAAAAGAAAGATAGAAGAAGAACGGGAAAGAAGAGCAAAAAAAGGAAGAGTAGCAGTAGTAGTGAAAGTGATGTAGGGGAATGCAATGAAGGGGGAAAGAAAGATGTAGGAAGAAAAAAGGTCAAAAAAAGTGAGTAGTGTTTGTGTCTTAGTGTCACACAAATAACAAAGTGAAGAGGGGTGCAAATAAAAAAAAGGAAGCTCTGTGTGAGTAATGTATTATGTATAGTCTAAACATGCGATTGTATAAGTCTACGGCTCTGTAATTGAAGGAGAAGGGGGGGA